GTGGCTTGGCTCGCATTGCCGATGCTCGCAACTCCGCTGAACCTGCTGATAGCAGCCTGGACGCAGAGCAAAAGGTCAACAAGTCCAGGGTTCTCATACGATACTCGGACGCCATCAGCTCCTTGTCGGCGGCAGCGCTCTCACCACGAGTTGCTTCCGTTGCGCTAGGAGACTTGGCAACATTCCCAAAGCGCCACGATATCATCGCAGAGCTCGAAACTACAAGCAACGGCTACACTGTCTTCGTGCGTGCTAGCGATGTTACGCTACCGGCGGACGCCACAGCCAACGGCGCCCTGTACTCGTTCCGCACAGACTTCCGCGTCCCTACAGATGATGATGCTATCAGTCTCATTCGCAATGGCGTGGCGCCCCTGCTCGAACGTTTTGTTGTTCCTCCTCATGAACTTCCACGTCAACACACACGGTGGGTCATCAATGGTGCAAAGCTATTGACCATGGATGCTGACTCCAAGTTCAACCTCGAATACACCGAACCAGCCATCGTTCAACGAGGCGATCAGGTCTGTGCCTTGGTAAGAATAACCGGCATAGATCCGCTAGCTCCGAAGCAGCTGAAGTGGGACGCTTGGTACTACAGTTTCTACGTCTACGCACAAGCAACTCCCAGTGGCGAGGAGATCGTCATTCCAAACAGCGAGAAGATCAGATGGTTGAAACGACCCAAGACAGATAAAGATGCGGATCCGGACTTTCGCAACACCCCAGGATGGCAAGTTGCACTGCTGTTGACCTCCACTTTCGACGGGTATCTGGGTACCAGAGTCGAAGGTCGGAACCAGGTCCGCATTATGGTCAATCGCCTTACGGTCCCGACCCTCCCCATTGCTGAATCTTTCAGCAGTGGCCTTACGGATCCTGCCCTTCCCAATCCCACCTCCGCTTCGATTGCATCAATCAGAGCCCTAATTCCATGTCAGGTCAAACCCTTTGCAGAAGGCGGCGGCGGCGTCCTCATCACAGCCAAGCCTTCGGTGTTGCAAAGCCTCACTTACACCATTGGCAGCATTGTGCTCCGAGACCACAGTATTGACTCAGTGGTGGAGGTTCTCACCAGTATGCTGCGGCGACTCATAACGGGCAGTGACCTCCGGGAAGTGTTCGCGCGAGGTTGCATCACGGCCGATCAGGTTAATGAGGATGTAAAGGATGGTCTCGACATACTGCCGGCGCCTCCATGTACTTCCAACGACCGGTCCACTCATTGGCATGTTTGTGCGGCTTGTCTGGACGGTTTTCCTTGTTCGCTGTTTGACTCACCTTCCCAATCCCCGCTCGTTTGTGGTCCTTGTGCTGCAGATGGCAAGGCCATAGGGTGGAAACTTGGCATGCAAGTGTCTGCGGAAGAAGCGCCCTCATCAGAGTTGTTGCAGGGTAAATACCCATTGGGAACGCCAGCGACAGTTGCCCTTGCTAAAGGATTCGCCAGAGGGGTTCATTTCTATTGCCAGCTTGCAGTCATAAAGGAAGATCGACTTGGACGTTTTGGTTGGAACCTGGAAGCCAAGAAGCAAGAGACAGAGAAGATTATGGCAACCGTGAGGGAAACCCATCAAGCAGACAAGGCAACAACCTGGCAAGATCATTACGTCAAACAGAACTTGGACGAGAGACTGGACAAGACGCTTGTTTGGCATGGGAAATTCCACAATATGTTAGTGCCGTCTGTCGAAGGACTCAAACTGATTTTCTTCCAAGATGGCAGTTCTCGATATCATGCGGAGGGCAATGTCGCTGTCACCACTTGGGCTATGAATTTGATGCTGGGATCAAACCCTAAGGTAATCGCAAAGGCACTCAAGCAATACCTTGCTGCATCGAACCTGGACGAATACCAATCGGCCATCATCCTCCTGCAGCGGTGCATAATTCTTCGCTGCGAACTGGAGTTGAACAGAAGATGGAAGAGAATTGGCACACCTGAGACGCCTTACCTCCGAATGATGGAATTGGCCTACCATGGAGGAGTGCTTCCCGAGCGACGCTATGTTCCTAGGAATGTGTTCTCAAGTGCTGGAACATCGATTAACAGAATCATCGTAAAGCCGGAATGGCTGCCACCAAATTACGAATATCTTGTCACACGGATGGAGAAGGTTGCTGCTCGTTACGGCTTTGATACCGCTGATCGAGATCTCTGGACATTGAATGACCCTGTCATTACTGCTGGGAAAGAGGTCCCATTCATCTTCTCACGCGATTCTCTCGTTGTTTCTTGGACTTGGTGGGAATGCTACCACTGGTTCTGCGAGCGCTTGGAACGACTCAAAATCATGTGTGATAACCATTCGCAAGAAGCGTATAAGGACAATCCCGAGTCGAGGATCACTCTGAACATCGAGAGATTCATCCTTGCACTCCTCCACATACATATGTGGAAGCTGGAACGCAATCGTGATGTGGAGAAACAATGGCCTGGGCAACGCCTTAGAGCTCTGGACGATGGCGGTCTTGAATCATGGTGCAACATTAGGACTCCACTTTCGCAGAGTGTGGCTCATTTCATCCATGGCGCTGTCATGTTGACAGGGTATGTTGATCTCCAAGAGCAGTTTCCACAATCTCAGGGCCCAGACGTTTTTGACCATGAAAAGCGGAACATCATCCCAGAGACTTGGCTTGTCAACGGAGGTAGATTGTCTCAACTGCAAAGCAATTCCAGGACGAGAGTTTTGGATCGGGCACTTCTGAAGACGACGAAGCGGAGCAATCTGATAACTCCAGTGGAGAGAGCGCAGGAGCAAGAGCGGATCGGTATGCGAAGCGCTTTGGCTTTGGCGCCCTCACCTATCGTCAAAAGGAGCATGACAAAGAGATTGGTGTTTCTGGTACTCGGAAAGCTGCTCACTCAGCTGACTTGGACAGGGAGAGAGCTAATAGCCGCTTTGCTGCATCAGCTCTAGCAGAGAACAATAAGGCAGTGCGCCGGGAGAGAGATGCACTGCGCCTGGAGAAAGAGGAAGTGTACCGACAGAAGGCTGAGATTGCTGAGGCAAAGGCGTTGCTTGCACGACGGGAGCAAGATCTGGCACGTCGTGAGGCGAGAGTGATTGCTCGAGAACTTGCTGTTCAGACCCGGGAACGTGCGCCCAGCGAACGTCACCGAGAACTTGATGATCGTGAGGCCGCCGTGGCTAGAAGAGAGACCGAGGTCCAGTCAAAGGGGGCTCCACCGACGGTCGATCAGTTCCGCAAGACCGCCGGCGACTTCATCAACTCTCTTGGTCTCTGGCATGATCACCTTGGCAAACAGTTCAACGCGTTGCAGGCTCAATCCGATCCGTCTGCTGCACCCACAATCCTGACTACACCTACACAGCCACCACTTGGGACTACGCCTGCACACCCCTTTGGCAAAATAGGTGTCACTCCGTGGAACTTGGCCACAGCTCTCGGCTCAGGAGCACCTGCTCTCACACCAATTGTGACGTCTGGTCAGTCATCCGCGACTAGGATTAGCGACGTCCCGCCAGCATCCTTCAAGCCTCCTTTCCAGTTACCGCCCCCTGTGCCAGCGTCTCCCACTAAGCCCTATGAGCCTGGTTACCGCACACCGGCCTCTGTTCTGCGACCAGATACGCCCGAAGTCCAAATCACAGCCACAGGTCCACGACCAGGACAGCCGGGAAATCGTGTACCTGGAATTCAGCTGCAATCACTGAGAGACAAGCTCTTCGAACCACCCAGATCACATTTGAGCGAGCAGGAGATGTCGCAACTGGCCCCCCTACAAGCCTGGGGTACGGCATCGGCAGAGAGCGCTACGCAGCCTTTTCGTGGACCAAACTCCACAAGCCCAACTCCTGCTCGAAGTCCTGCTTCAAGTCCTGCTCCAAGTCCTGCCCGATCTTCACCTTTGTCTCCGACAAAAGTGGCACAGCACAAACCTCGAATTCCACTATAGATTCCACGCCCAACGACATCGCTGGCTGGCACAGCTGCAAGCCTGACAGGACAGGCACAACAGAGTACTCGGGTTCAATTCCAGATCCCACCACAGATTCAGCGTCCCAAGACATCACAAGCCGGAACAGCTGCAACTCCGGAGAGACGTCCAGTAACCTCATTCGGTCATCAACAAACCTCCCCATTGAGGCCTGGGACCAAGCGAGAGGCAGAGTCGCCATTGAGGCCCGGACCACCATCCAGAGGTACTCCAGGCTCGCATGGTTACAGTAACATCATCGATGTCATGGGTCGTCGGCAAGGAGCTCTTGAGATGGAGTACTACATTCAGCGTCCTGGAGTTCAAGCACGATGGGAGCCGGCCTCGAAAGTGAAAAAGGAGTCGCCAGAGCTTGTGGCAGACTACGACAAGAAACACCCTGAACCTTAGGGAGAAGTGTGATAGAAAAGAAGATTGGGCGGGGGGGGGGGGGGGTACGCGGCTCACGGATCACACGGCATTGGATATTTTTTGGCGTTGGGAAGGTCAGAGGCATGACGATTGAAACGATTATGACGAGGTGAATTACGGGTTAACTGGTTTGGCAAGGACAAGATTGGATATTTATTATGGGTGCTGCTTTTCCTTTGTAATGTCTTCCGGGTCTCAAAATGTCAGTCTACTCGCGTGGTTCAGGTTGGGTATTAGTCAATGGAGAAAATAATAAGGATGCTTTGATTATCGTTACCTCAAATTTCATATTGGAGCACAAGTCGACGATACCCAGCTTGGCGGCGGTCAAGTTCTTTTGGGGCGATGAGGTTGTTTGAAGATCCACCTCTTGAAGGATTGTATCAATTCCATATGGATTTACGCGGTGTAAAGTGCCTAAACGCTTCCGAAAATGAACCAAAGATGATATGCAAGGAAGTGAGTATCTTAAGCGTTGACTAGTATTACTAGACGAGACAATAGTTTTGGTCCCGGGATAAGAGGCACTTCCACACCGCGTGAATCCCTATGGACTTGATACAATCCTTCAAAGGAGGATCTTCAAACAACCTCATCGCCCCAAAAGAACTTGACAGCCGCCAAGCTGGGTGTCGGCGCTATGATTTGCCTTCAGGTCTCTTGCCCGAGGCCGGCCCTTATCGACGTGCACGGCGGCGACAAGTTTGGAGTCTATCCAGGCCATTTGCCACTGCCGGCTGTCTTCCATCCTGTCTTCCATTCCTTACCAACAGCTCTCGCAATGAGCCTGACGTACCTTCAGGAAACCATTCACGAAGTCGCAAGTATATCGATATACTGTGGTAGTCAGAAGTACTGCATGTCCGCATTGTCAATCGTGAGAGAGGTCATTCCGAACGAGGGCATCTCCCCCTCAGAATCTTATTGTTTTGATCTACGTCAGTTGTATGACCATAGGACCAATTGAACTTGACCAGATGGTCAACCGAAGAGCGCCGCGTCGATTGAGGTCAAGACAACACAGGGTTTGCATGTCGAATCAAACCAAGAGGCCGTGACTTTGTTATCCCGTTCCGACCAGACTCTGCACAAGAACGTCTTTGTGGCTTTTTGCACCATTGGCGCGAATTGGTCGACATATTCATCTACGTTCTGGAGTGTCTGGCGGCGGGCTTCCAGATCCCGCATCTCGAGTGCAGCCGTGATGAACGGCAAAGTCACGCAATGTGCCGGCCGCTTCGTGATTCGTCGGGCAAGTTCCAATTCAACCATGATCTCTCTTGCCCAGATGCTGGCTTGATCGTCCTGGTCACCAAATGTGTGTCGTAGCCGGTGGCTCACAAGGAGTGCCGCCAGTCTGTACACCCTGGCCTGGGCGAGGAGCTGGACGATCTCTGTCGATTCATACTGCTCCAAAAAATGATCGGGTTGTGATGGCTGCCACGCTTCAACCTCAGCCTCGATTCGACGCAATTGTGTCTCTACCAGAGCCATATAACCCGCGTCGGTAGTGTTGGCAAGGGAGTGACTGACCACGCAGAGGTCATGGAAGTACGGCAGTAAAGGCACACATAGTCCCAGACGCCGATCTACCACTTCCTTTTTGGGGCCAATTGATCTCCGTGGATCCCTGATGGTGGGCCTCCGGCGGTGTACCAGGCATTCCATCGTCTCCAGCAGGACAAGGAACGTCAAGCACGGCTCCGCTTCTGGATCCAGCATTCCTGTTTCAACGAACGGTCTGGCCATGCTGAGGCAGTGGCGAGAAATCTCGTAGACGCCCTCACCGACGGCTGAGTAGACGAAGAGTGATAGTGAAATGCCCAGGGTCAGGCACAGAACTGCATCCTGAGGAGTGGCGACTGGCAGAGCACGAAGTGTTTTCATGGCAGTCGATGCATGCAGCAGGCTGGCGTGGCCATCATCCATTTCCATTGTATCGTGATGATAGTGTGTCGACTTCAGAGCGCCAGCACATGCAAGATATGCATCCTTGAGTACCGGCAACGCTGCAGGCAGGTGCGCGGCGAGAGAGCGTCGCTCCGCCTCTTGGAAGCTGGGGCCCAAGACATAGGAGCTGAGGTTTTCGGGCTGGTTCAGCAGAAAGAGTAATTTCTCCTTTTCATTTTGCCCAAGATCGGGAAGATCGCTTATCCATTTGCCAATATCAAGCGGCGCTGAGATTGCATTGGGACTGCACGCGCTCGACGTTGGCCCGGCAGAGTTTTTGGCAAGGTGGTCCTGGACGCACCGAGGTTTCCGTCCCGCTGGTCGCGGTGGACGGACGGTTGCGCAGGTCAACCCGAGTCTGGCACATCTCCCACAGATATCAATGATTGACTGACGCGTGCACCGTTCCTTGAGCCTATAGCACCGGTCACAAGCAGTCTGGAGCCGGCGTACTTGTTTTACGGCCGGCGCCATACCTGCAGGACACCGGAAGTGTGGTGGATTGTCCAGAAACGACAGGAGATTAAATTGGGAAGAGACTCAGGCGAGTTACGCATAAAAGCTGCAGTCAGCAGGGCGGAGTCTTCTTTCCAATTGCTGGGGGCCTTATCATGGGGTGGTTTGCCCTGGAGTGGCTCGGGGGATGCCGCATATGCCAAGCCTTGATGCTACGTACACTACATCGCCATTCACAGAAGTGCAACTCTTCAGCTCCGGTTCCGGTTTTGCATAGGTGTTGTATTCGAGGTGTCACGAAAAATTCAGGATGGAAGTTATTAAAGTCTTTGTGGATCCTGAATTTATTTGCAATGCCTCCCGTATAACAAGAGGGACGGTATTGGGCGCCGAGGCCACCGTTCCCTGGGCCGGAGGGTTGGCCGGAGATTTGGACGGTGCATGCATTGAAAATTACCGATGAGATGGCAGGATGCCAACGCCTGACTTTAGCATTGCGTGGAGATACAACAGGTATAAAACTGCCCAGGATTACTTCCTGATGGCAGAAGCATCCCCAAAAGTCAGCAAGCAATCTTTCGAGGCGGTTCAAAGACAAGATGACGGGCTATGGGAAGGATTATCGCAGTATTGCCGCCGACAAACAGCGACAACGACAGGACAAGATTCCCGAGCAATGGTTGATCGACGCTCAAAAATACGACAAAGCCACCAATCTGCTACAAGTACCAGTCACTTGTGGGATCTTGAATGAGGTCGAGTGTCAGATCACATCCGATTACGACGCGACGGCGCTCCTAGAGAAGATCCAAGGAGAGGTCTGGTCTGTCGAACAGGTCACGGTCGCATTTTGCAAACGAGCGGCCGTTGCTCACCAGTTGGTAAGTATGGCCAGCTTTGTCGCCCAGTTGTTCCTGACTAAGCCATAATTGTACGCCAGACCAATTGTTTGACCGAGATCTTTTTCTATGAGGCCATTGAGCGAGCACGACAACTCGACCGAGAACGGCGAGAGAGTCCCAATGGCAAGGCTCTCCGACCTTTACACGGACTACCTATCTCGCTCAAGGACAGCTTCCACATCGTTGGACAGGATACTTCCACAGGCCTGGCCTGCTTCGTGAACGATCCAGCGGAGCAAAACAGTGCTCTCGCAGCCTTGCTACTTGACCTTGGTGCAATTCTGTACTGCAAGACCAATCTCCCTCAAACAATCATGACTGGGGACAGCGACAACAATGTTTTCGGCAGGACATTGAACCCTCACAACACCAACTTGACCGCAGGTGGAAGCACTGGAGGTGAAGGCGCACTGATTGCCCTTCGTGGCAGCCTGCTTGGCGTGGGCACTGATATTGCCGGCAGCATCCGTATTCCCTCTCTATGCAACGGACTCTACGGCTTCCGAGGCAGTGTAGGAGTGGTACCCCATGGTGGCGTACGAGATCTCGCCGTGCCGGGAACAGACGGCGTACGCTCAACCGCAGGTCCCATGGCCACATCAATCCGAGACTGCCAACTTTTAATGAAAGCCATCATGGAGTCAGAGACCTGGCGGTACGATAGCACTGTTGTGTCAGTGCCCTGGAGAGGCCTAAAGGTCAGGGAAAAGCTGAGAATTGGTCTGGTCGAAGACAATGGCATCGACACGCCTTCCCCTCCAATACGACGCAGCTTCAATGAAGCGGCTCGACTCCTCCAGGGGATTAATGAAATTGAAGTGATCCCTCTCAGCCTGCCCGGCCTCGGAGACATCTACCAAGACCTCGTCCGGTATATGGCGCCACTAGGGACCGAGGTATGTCGTCGGCCCATATTGACGGATATTGCGAGGCTGACTTGGGACTGATCAAGCATTACTCCGAGCTATTCAATCGAACTGGGGAGCCGGCAATACCATCACTCGACACCATTGGCCTTATGTCCGTCGAGGGAACAACCTTGAAGGGTTTCTTCGAAATGAACGCCCGTCGACAGGAGGCTGCAAAGAAGTACCTTCAGTTGTTCTGCGACAACAGGATCGATGCCATTCTGATGCCAGTGGCAGCTCACACAGCTGTTCCTTGGGATAAATGGGCGAACGCAACCTATACCGGCTTGTGGAACTATCTCGACTACCCTGCCGTCGTCATTCCAGTGGACAAGGTACAGGACACAGATCTTGCAGACGATGTTTTTCATGCGAAGTATGGTCCTGGAGATGCCGAACTTTACAAACTCTGTTTGTCCAACCATCTCCAACGTCGTGGAGCGTTATAGCTGACATCGTCTAGACACAGGCCCGGAGTTGTACAGGGACGCTCCAACAGCCGTGCAGGTGGTTGGGTATCGACAAATGGATGAAGCGCTGCTCAACACTGCCATTTTTCTTGACTCGATCATCAATGGACGGAAATAATGAAAGACAGTACTTGAAGCAGGGACGAGGTAGAGATTCAGTCGATCAACGAACATAGTATCAGGACGAACTTATCTTCCCCATGCATCTTTTGCTCCGTGTATCTTCTTTTCCGCGACAGAATATCCCAGCGCCAGCCAATTATTCATGCGGACTCCACACAAATTGGCCTTCCGCCGCGCACAGCAGTCTGGCACCATCGGCATGTCCACGGAAGCGAGTATATCTGTGCAATTCGATTTTTGTGACCTCTTGAGCTTCTCGATATCCCAGTGGTTAGTCGACGCCCTCACCCATATCATTGACCTCGACGGCTGGCTAACGTCTCGCAGCAAGGGCTTGACGCGTATCAGTGAGGATTCATCCGAGATCGTGTTTTTGCTTCTCGTAAGTCATCCCTCAACATCAGAGACATCAGATACCTTGCCGGACCGGCGAAACCGGACATCCCTTGATGGACCCCAGTATTGCTTCTGCGGGTCACGACCATGCCGGCTGACGTGGACCGCCCAGACAGTGTTCGTGAAGTTGCATACCGTGTGCAACGTAGGGAAGTTCCACCACAACGGGAGCCGGCCTCGAGAATGAGAAAAGAGAGGCCAGAGCTGGTGGCAAAGGATGACAACCGACACTGGTGATTCAAGAAGAGAAATGTACGACATGGAAGAGTCGTTGGCAAGGAAGAATGAATGCACGATGATACGACATCTCCGGATGTCAAAACACTACGATCTTTGTTGACTCGCACATGAACGACAGAAACAAGTGAAAGGAGGGAACGAAAGTAGGGACAAGCTAGAGAACTCAAGTCCATCAAGGAGAGTACCAGGAAGGACTTACTTGTCCCGATTGTCTTTTGGCCGGCCATGAGGCGATGCTCATTGTGCCTCTTGTTGGTTGAAAACGCATGACTCGGGACTAAGAGCAGCACTTCTCCGGGCAAGCATTTCAGGTAAAAGGTACGAAGGATTTCGCTTTCTGGCTGGACACAGAGAGAATTATTCCAGGAGACGGCTGATCTCTGCGACATCGGCAAGCGTGCTGTACAGCATGACTTCATATCTCTAGTTCAGACATGTCTGGTTCACGGTGAGTACTGAAAGTGAGGTTCGAATAGGGGTAGGGATCTTACCGCACGTTTCTAGCCTGGGAAAGCGCCAGCCGATACCGCTGGGCTGCGATGGAAAATTTTCGCGTGATTGCCATCGCCGCTTGCGCCAGCAAAGATTCTTTCAAATTTGCACCGATGAGAACCAAGCACAATGAAATGAGGCCTCTACCATTTTCCTCCGAGGCATATCTGTCGAGGTGCTTATCACCCCTAGAATGGGTTTGCTCTAGGCGTACATATTTGAGTGCGGGTAACGCCCTAGGCGATAGCTGGGTGATTCTAGGTGGGGTATCACTCGACCCAGTAAGTTACTGTAAGATCCGCTCGCGGCATACCCCGATCTGGAGCTTTGGTCGTGGCCCCTCTGTTCTCGCCCCAAGATGATCGCGTTCACAACCCAATCCAAAAGCGAATACAGATAAAAGCAGCGTCATCAAGTTGGAACCGAGGCTACATGACAACTGAGTTCCGGACTTCACTCAGTGAAATCACTTCTGCTTCTTCCTCTGGAAACAATACTACCTGGAATAACAGCCCAAGTGACCTTTACGGGATGACTCAGGGAGACGCGACTTTGACACCACAGCCGGACCAGAGCACGCCTCGGAGCGAACGCTTCACCCGCAGCTACATTGCATGTGAGCGATGTCGGCGCCGAAAAGTGAAATGTATTGTACAGGAGAAGCCCCCGTGCGCCAAATGCAAACGAGAGCTTCGAACGTGTGTCTTCCGCCAGTGTCGTACCAGTGGAAGGCAGAGAGAACCTCCCAGTTGGGCCGCTTCTGCGGACCACCAGCTGGACGAGAATATGTCTCCTCCACCACAGACAAGTCCCCCGGCAGTAGATCTGGAGTCACTGGAGAACTTGACTTCTGCGGACCTTCCGATGGATAACAACCTTGCCCATGCTAGGACTCAGCAATCGCTTGTGGAGCGAGCTGTGCCCTTCGCCATGCTGAATTCGGGCGAAAGTCCCATCTTCAGTAGCGAAGCACGCCAAGCCGCCGAGTCGCTGATGTCTCGTGCAACTCCTCTGCCAGGCCTTGCGCCTGCGCCTGACCCACATCCAGCTGGCAATGTCGAGCAAGGCTCAGTGGTTCCGACGGTTGTGAACGAGCTTTGTGAGGCCAGTCCAGAGCTGCTGTCCACGTGGAACAAATGTCGCTTTGTCAGGCAGCACTGGCTCACTGCCCAAGCAGCAATAACCTATGTTGAGCTGTAAGTCAGATCACGTTACTTCATACTTCCATGGCTGACGCCGATCTAGGTTTCGACGCCATATTGTTCCCTTCACACCTGTTCGTGTAGGCGATTACTGCATTCCTGCGAATCACCAAAGATTGATTCAACACGAGCCGATGATGTGCTGTACCATCCTCATGATATCCTCTAGGTATTTTACCCTGTCCGTCTCTGGCGGTCTTCTTCGGGGTCAAATGTTGCACCAACGGTTGTGGGAATATTGCGAGCTTCTTATACGTCGAATCCTGTACGGCTTGGAAAAAACCTCAACCTCGCGGATCCGGATAGTAAGCACTATCGAGAGCTTCTTACTCATCTCCGATTGGCATCCACGCTCCATATTATTTCCCTTAGACCACGAAATGTACGATAGCGATCCGGAGCCGCTTGATACACAGGGGATCAGAGAGGCAGAGCGCAGCTCGGGTCCATCCGTTGAATGGCGCAACAATGTCCTCGAGCCCGCGCGACGGTCGGACCGCATGTCATTGATGATGCTGGGGACGGCAACTAATCTTGCTTATGAGCTTGGCCTATTTGCTGACGACCTTGGGATGATCACTGACGGCGAGCATGAACGCAGAAGGCGAATGCGGACCCGGAAACTGCTGTACATCTACGTCACAAACATCGCAGTCAGGATGGGCTTTCCAAGCGGACTGCCTCAAGATATTGTGTTTGCCTCGTCCAAGGAGTCTTTCAATGCCCTGAATGAAGCTGGGACCCCATTTGAATCTTGGAACACCATCGCAGACTTGTGGCTCGAGCTGGTCCGTCTGAGCAAAAACGCAACGGCAATCTTCTTTGGCTCGCACTCACACACGAGAAAACAATTACTCAACGGCCAATATGTGACCTTGATCCAACATATTCTCCCCTTGCTTGACCAATGGTACATCAAATTCCAGTCGAGCATCGTCCCAGGTATGTATCCAGTGCTGTTGCTGTCTACACTTTCTTACGAGGCACAGAGTTTCAAGCCCTTTGCGATCTGCTGAGCATCGAGTACCAGACCTTACGCTCTTTCATCCATGCTCTGTCGATGCAAGCGGTAGTGGAGAGGGCTTCTGCGAGAGGGATCGAGATGTACAGCCAGAATGATTTGCAGAGCACATGTTTCCTGAGTCAAGACATCAACTTCATCCACGAGGTCATCGTCAGTAGCCAAGAGATCTTGCGGTCGGCTACTTCGATGGCATCGTCGGGCGTCTTGCGCCTCATGCCTGTCCGCCAGACTCTCTCAATCATCTCAACAACCATCCTCTTGTTCAAGGCTATCAGTCTGGGCGCATGTGACTCAGACTTGCAGTCGTCACTCGAGATCTTGGAGGCGTGCATTTCAGCGCTGAACTCGACTGCGGTCAAGGACGAATTTGACTTCTCTTCTCATTTCGCCGCCTTGATCGAAACGCGGATAGCGGTGTTCAAAACCACATTCGTCCGGCCACCCGACGTCGAAAGTAGGATGACGAGACTACAGACAATCCGTGGGGATCCTCTTGAAGGCGTACCTGGTGTGGCAACAACCCTACAAAATTCCGCGGGCATACATGAATCGGGTGTGACTGCGCCGGTCAATACTCACCCGAGCGATCTGATCTTTGATGACATCAGCGATTGGTGGACACGACCTTTTGATCCGAGCCTTGCACCATTCAGCGCATGGGACGACCATATATCCTCCAACCTGGAGATCGATTCTTTGGACTTTTTATGGAACATCCCCATGGATTGATCACCGGAAGAAATCGCCTCATAGACGCACGCATATCAATACTACAACTGCAACTTTTTTCTCCCCCTGTTCTTGTAACTGCTTCCGAATGTTGTTCCAGGATTGAGGAACAGACGTCACACAGCCGCACGATTCTACAGAATTTCCTTGTTGACGGACGATCTAGGCAATCCATAAGTCGCCCAAAAGGCTATCTAGTAGCATCGTTACGGTAACAAGAAGATAGCTCACAAGCTCTCATGCGCCAGTATGTTCCACAATTCCAGTTCCAAAGTGCATCTTTTCTTCCAGAGCTCTGCAATCGAGTATGCTGTCTTTTGCGCACCCTCTGCGCCGAGGAAAAAGTAGTGATTGCCGGATACTGTGCAAGTCAGAGCGCCTGGCATGTTCCCCAGGACGAATGACGAATACGCATCCCATTTTGAATCACTTTGAGTTGCGCCGTCCTCTAGCTGGCTGCTGGAAGAATCAGAGGTACTGGTTGTGGACAAGGAAGCCTCAGTCTCGAGATCGATATTCCTCTCCCGCACTAACTTATGGCGCTTCTCCCAGATCGATGTGAGTCGCTGCACATTCATATATTCCCAGGCCGTCCGGTCGATCAAAACATGCCGTGAGTCCAGACTCTCCGTGCCGACGACGGTGGCCATCCACGGCAGAAGCGAGAAGTCGTCAGCACTCGGGGTCGCGTCGGTCTCCGACTCCCAATGGTCTTCGGCAAGTCGACCTGTTGCTGCGTGGTGCGATAGCCTCCAGCCATGCAGTGACACGGGAGTGTGGCCGAAGTATTCGGCGCGGAAGACCTCTGTCGGGATGACTTGGCGGATCTGACGGACAAACAGCTCAAAAAGGCCGGCGCATGTAGCGTATCCGTGCCTCGTCTGCGTGATCCCAGGAGGTGGTGGCCTGAGGCCCGCAACGCCCGGGGTTGCAGCCAATGAGACAAACAGTCCAACGCGCAGTCCATACTTGATGGCAGCCTCGGTGTACGGTGCCACGATCCTGCCGCCCATGCTCCATCCGACCAGCAGTATTTCTCGGCCCGCCAGGGACCGTGTAGCGTCGACGACTGAGCGGGTGACTGACGCGGCCTGACGTCCCCATGTGTGTATGCGTAGCCCCGGCGAGACAGGCGGCATCAGTTCAGGCTCGCTTTCCAAGGGATATGATATCGCCAGGACCGGGAACCCAAGCTGGCTTAGCCAATGAGCCAGATAGTCATGAGCACTGTGTCCTTCATGGCCGCCATAGTATACCCGGGCGTTGTGTGCACCACCAGGGATGAGCACCACCAAGGGCAGGCTCTGCTGTTGTTCCCGCTCCTGGTCTGGTGTGGGCTCTGGATCACGTGGAGGAGGGTGGATATACCTGTAGACACATGGGTGACCTTCTATGATTTCCAAGCGTTCGCCCGGATAGAGCTTGGGAGTGGCACCATATGCCGAAGGCTGGCCCTCCTGTGGCGTGGCAGGGTCAACTTCGCACACCGTGTCCTTGTGTGTGGTCTTGTGTGTGGAGTGGAAAGCGTAGACGAGGTGTGCGCCGTTCTCTAGGTACATCGTTGCACGGTTGTGACTATTCTCGGTTCACTCTGATACACATGTGCGCGTCTTTCAGAGGGTCGTCGTGTTCTCCTTCGAAATGATGAGGTCTCAGGGTGCGGGGTGAGACCTGAGCAACTCAATAGCCACAGCCTACAACCTACAAACCTCTAAATACAGTACACACTAGAAGGCCGAACAGATGTGGGCCGAGCATGATGACCGTTACTACGCCGTTTCGGTCGTCGACGGTCCCGAGGCTCAGTCAAAGCCACTAATTTGCAAGATTCGATGTGGCATTTTTCTCGGCTTCAAACAGGAGACGTGACGGTTAGGCCCTGGGGAAGCCGCTCTTACCCGTCAAGTCGGATATTGGGTTCGGCTTCGATTTTCGGAATCAATAGTTGGACCTCCACATTCCCCCGCAGGAACTCGTATATCAGCCTGCTGGAGTCTCAAGGCGATCGTTGCACACGCAGATCGAATCTCGCGCGACATCGGCAGGCGCGCGGTGTCTCATTGCCGCTGTGCCAGATCCCATGACTGAGAGGCTTGCCGGGTCAGGTTCAACGTCTTGCTGGCAGCTATCTTTTATGCGGAAGAGTGGCCACGCTAATCTCTCAAATCTGGAGAAGTTGGAAAGGTTTCGTAAGAGGTCTCATGAGCCCTAAGAGCATTCTATGTTATGACAATCGCCAATGATTGGGGTATCAAGGTACTCAGCGTCCTATATTGGAACATGGCCAGCCTCAGGCATTACTGATGACCATGCAATGATGCTATTTTCTTGTCTTTTAACATGTACATTGCTCGAGATAAGTGACAATGCATCTTCTAAGTCCGATCAGAATAGTGATATGATCACGACCTACGCGACACTGTCACGCATTCTTCCGTGCCTCTCCGTCCATTGCGACCAACCTCACAATGTCAGGTAAGTCACAAGCCAATTTCCGCCTCCGGTCCCACCTGGGTCAACTGCAGAGACAACCCAAAGCGTCTCAAACCTTCTCAGTGTGACCAACACCTGTCGAATCCTTGGCGCCTTCGGTAGGGTCAAGTATAATAGTGCCGCCCATTGGAAGCTGCTTGGCCACGCGGACAGGATCAAAGATGGATTTTGATGCCAGGAAAATCTCATCGATCTCTTCGAGCGACCTGCCTCGGGTTTCTGGGTAGAAGAGATAGATCACCAAGACTCCGGCAGCACTGGTGCACGCGTATACAATGTTGTACCTCCATGCGATATTCTCAAAGGCGGTAAGCGTCACTTCGGCGACCATGAAGTTGAACAGCCAGCTAGTCGCTGCACCCATTGCTGTGACCTTGTGACGAATACCCAGAGGTGCAATCTCGGCTCCGTACATGAACGGGATCACAAACATACCAATCGGTAGAGTGTACAATGCGAAGAAGTAGAAGAAGATAGCCGCCCTTCCAGCATTAGGGTTTTGCAAGTCCGATGATAATCCTGCTACAGCAGCCTGGGCAAGGCACATGCAGCCGGTTGAGAAGAGCATTAACCTGCGGCGACCGACACGCTCCACAAGGAAAATAGCCGTAAGTCCACCCAGCGCAAGGGTCACCTGGAGACAAGCTGTAAAGACTCTGGCGTCGCGGCCGGAGTAGCCAAGTGTTGTTTCGAAAATAGAAGTCGAGTAAAAGGCAATGACGTTGATTCCAGTGAGTTGACATATCGCAGTGGCAACCATGGCCAATACTAGGCGATGGAAGTGGCGATTTTCGTTCATGGAGAAGGGGTTACTAGAGTACTTGTGGCGGTGACCAGCATCTCTTGCAACTGCAGCTTGGATGATAGCAACCTCCCTGACGACTGTACCATCGTTGACGGGAAGGCCCATAAGCCTGGCCATAACTCTTGTCGCGTCTTCCATCCTCTCTTTTTTGACCAGCCATCTAGGTGATTCTGGGAGTAATGGTGTAAGCGATACGATGATCGCGAGGAAGGCCAGCTGCAGACAGATGGGGAACCTCCAAGTCACAGGTCCGGACGCATAGAACATGCCAAAATTGACCCATGAAGCAATGGCCAGACCGCCCAGGGCAAAGGGCCCTTCGAGTAAGACAAGTGGACCGCGGTGATTGGCTTCGGCGGTTTCGCTGACATACATGGGGATGGTTCCGGTGTAGAGGCCGATTCCGAGACCTAAGTATATATCAGCTTCATGTTCCTCAGAGTTGGCAATGCTGTGGGCTAAACGTACCAGTAATGATCCTGCCGGCGATAATCTGACCTAGAGAGAAAGTCGAGCCCTGGATGACGACTCCAATAATACATATTATGCCTGCCAGGAGCATGGTCTTCGGACGACCTAGGCGATCACCGACAAAAATGCAAGAGAGTGCACCGAGAGCAGAGCCAAGCTCAAACATGGCTACCACAAGACCTGATACTGTCAGCGCTTGCGTTTTTGATAGAACTCAAGGTGGACACCTACCAAAGATTGTAGCATTGTGAGATTGCTGGTGGCCTGTGGTGTTGACAGTGTCCAGCTGCGGAATCTGTGCGAGGAATGTGGGCAGCGTGGTGAAGCCATTCATGACAGACTGGTTGTAGCCTTGTACGAGGAAAGCGATAGAGCTGAGCGTGGCAATGAGACGCTGCAGGCTTCTGCCCTGCAGGTTGGAGAGACCCATGATGGACGACTATCACCTAACACGACCGTGGTATGGTTGAGAAAAACATCAAGGATCCTGGGGTAATGTCTGGGGTATATGTGCGAAAAATTCTCATGGCGGGGATGATGAGATGAGCTCTTGTGGTTGTGTGCATTATGGAACAATTCGAAGACTATCCGAGGGACGTGCAGTGCATAGACGGCAATGCTCGGGTCTCGAGCCTCGAGTATCCGTCTTCTGCCACGAAGCTCTAGGCTAACCGAGGCCGGTCGAAATGGCAGTGGGTCTGCTGTCAGGGTTTCGAAATCGGATTCACTTATGGACGGCATGATATCTGTCTCGTCACCGAGGCATGATTGAGCGTGAAATTCCAGAGATGGCCATCGTACAAGGGTCATTGAGTATCGTAGCGCTGCAAGTTGTGACCTCTTAAGCCGAACAACATGGGGGCCTATGCCACACCGATCTTTTCCAGCTGGCCAGAAATCTTGCTTTCCGCCATGGGAAAGACCTCTTGGTTGCTCAAAAATGTACTCCATAGGCAATGTCATGCTAAGATCTACGTGCCGGAAACGCCAAAAATGGCACACCACTAATGAAATGCGACATGAACTCTATACCTTATGCTCCCACTGGTATCCTTTGGTCCCATTCAGCATGCCACTGTATGCATAGCGCTCTTCCTCCTGATAATACTGGGGGAATCCCACTGCCTCCATCACGTCCGAGGCAGGCAGAGTCCGTGGTATTGTGTCGGAAGTGAATGATTCTTTGAGCTCTTCCAGCGATTCCCGAATGCCCTGTATCGCAGCGGCAAGAATGGTGAAAGGGTATACAACAGCGCTGTAGCCCATCTCGGCAAGACTTGCTGCCGATACACTTTCTGTGCGACCACCGGGGATGATATTGGCCATCATGGGGAAATCCAAGTCCCGTGCAAAACGCTCCATTGTGGCACGGTCGGGGACTGCTTCAACGAAGACAGCGTCTACCCCGATCTCAATGTATCGCCGAGCTCTTTTCAAGGCTTCGTCATAGCCATGAATAAAGCTGTCGGTTCGACCTAGGATCCAGATGTCCATCCCCTCATTTCTTGCGTCCACGGCGGCCTGCATTCGAGCATATGCCTCATCCTCAGGGACGACGGCTTTGCCTTGGGTGTGTCCACAACCTTCATATTGTCAGGAGGGACCGCGGGGAAGAGTTTGAGGATTTGACTTACGTTTTGGCCACGTTTGGTCTTCAATCATAACTCCAGCAGCACCAGCAAGAGCAAAGCTTATGAAAACGGTCAGATTTGCATCAACAAGACGGACATGCTTTATTTACCCGTAGACCGCTCTTTTGACATTCATAGGGCCTCCATAACCAGTGTCGCCGTCCACAAGAATAGGGCATTGAACTTGGCGGGCCGTTTCAGCAACCTTCTGTGACATTTCGCCAAAGGCAATGTAGCCTGTGTCAGGTAAACCTAGCGATCCTGCTACGGGAAAGCCTGAAAGAAACACCACCGGAAAGCCAGCTTGCTCAGCCAATTTGGAACTCAGAGCATCGAAACTGCATGCCATGGCAACTATCTTGTTGGGCTGCTTCCATGCCTCGAGCATCATGGTCCGAAGGCGGGATGCTTGTGGGGAAGGTCGTCCGCCACGTACATTCTGTACATTTGCCTGATACGTCTCGTTGGTTGTATTGTTGCCATTTTCGGGTTCGAATTGGAAAGGATATGGCTTTGAGTTGACTATAGAGCTTGACATGGTGTATTAGGTATTGCCAGTCTTCGATTCCGAGCAAGATTGGTATGATACAGCCTCGTCGAGAAGTGTGAATAATTGGACTGTTTTGATCACTTCTCAGTGTGCCATACATGTCTCGCCGGCAGGCTTTTATGTCTCCGGTACCTCGCAGAGGAACGACAGAGGACCATCGCGAATATGCGCGGGTATCCGCGGCAGGCCACCATTTGGTCTCATGCACGGGTGGCTTCGCATGTTGTCGGTCGTGTACTCACGTAGGTCTCTCCGATAACGGAGGAACAGCGGAGAGAAGGTGGACAGCACCGAAAAGCTTTCTGCCCCATGCTGAACCGCCATCCCATTACGTCGGTAGGAATCTTTCCCGCATGATCTTCTCCAGATTAGTGGAGGCGGGGCATGGCTGCCCTTGTGATGTTCCAGGCTGTGGGGAGTATAAGTATACGAGAGAACACGGGACTGATCCCAGGCAAAATGCACATACCGATCATCCGAAGACCCTCGCCATGGCTTACACGTCGATATTCGCTTTATGTGTCTTGAAGCTTTCTCTCCTGGTTTCAGGGGCATCCCATGATAGTGCAAGTATCATCCCTGGGCCTGCCAGGTGCCAGGCCCTCGCTTCAGACTTGCAGTTCCCCAACTCGTCAGTGGTGGTCGTGGAGTATCACCAAGATCAAGCCACGCTGACCTTGCCTGACGTGGCAGCTTCGTGCGGTGTCGTTCCCGGCACCATCAATGCCACGGCAGATCTGTGTCGCGTTGTGCTCGATATCAACACTACCAGTACCAGCAGTGTCATTGTCGAAGGGTGGCTGCCAACAACATGGAACAGCCGCCTCGTAGGTACCGGTGGCGGAGGTATCTCAGGCTGCATCGACTATGCTACCCTCATGTATACCACCAACCTTGGATTTGCTTCGTTCGGCACCAATGCAGGCCACAACGGATCCAGTGGATACGAACTTTTCATCGACCAGCCTGAAGTCAAAAACGACTATGGGTGGCGTGGCGTGCACACGCAGGCATTGGCGGCGACATATGTCGTTCAAACCTACTATGGCAACAACGCGTCGAAGAAGTATTATGTCGGATGTAGCACTGGCGGTCGTCAGGGCATCACCGAGGCGCTGAAATTCCCGGATGACTTTGACGGCATTCTCGCAGGCTCGCCCGGTGTCAACTGGTACAACATTGTAGCTGCTTATGCACTGAATGCACGGAAAGCGGGATGGCCAGCCATCAACTCGTCGAGCTACGTTACCGCAGCCCAGTGGGGAGCCATCACTCAGGCGCAGATCGATCTTTACGATGGACTCGATGGTGTCAACGATACAATCATTGACCAGCCTTATATGTATCAATTCGACCCTAATGTCTTGCGATGCGGTGGCGGCATCCTAAATGACAGCGTCTGTCTCACTCCATCTCAGATCAACGGGGTTGAAGCGGTGTTCCAACCCATCACGAATAGCACAGGTCAGTTGGCCATGCCTGCCTGGGGTTTGGGATCATCGACCGCTGCCTGGTCAACCAATGTTGTTAACGGAACTGCTGAGCTTCCCACGATCATTACCGTAGGTAGACATGGGTATTGTCGCTGGTGACTCGCTAACGACCATGGTAGGATGTTTTCAGAGGCCTCATCTACGACAATGCGAGCTGGAGTCCAGACGATTTCAGCCTTGCTGATCTGGATTATGCTGCCAGAGTTAATCCTGGAGAGGTCGAGACGAGTGAGACTGATCTGTCAGACTTCTACGCAAGGGGCGGCAAGCTTCTCTCTTACCAGGGTGGATATGACAATGTACGTTTTATCCGCTCGCTGGATTGCTTGACAGGTGACTAACAACCATTGAAGGCAGCACCATTTGAATTGAACATGTGGTATTACAACAGAGTTGGCGCCACGCTCAATATGACAGCCCAAGAGTTGCAGTCGTTCTACCGTTTGATCTTTGTGAATGGAATGTATCATTGTACGGGCGGACCAGGCGCATGGAATATTGGCCAGGTTGGACCTCTGCCGTCGAACTTGAATTCCACCAACAACAGTGTGCTGCTGTCACTTGTCGCCTGGGTCGAAAATGGACAAGCACCAAAGTCGATCGTTGGAAGCCTGCTGGCTGATAATGGCACCGTCCTTAATCAAAGAAGTGAGTGCAAAAACATCTCCTGCGAGAGTGAAAAGGAACTAATCTTTGGATCAGCGCATTGTGTCTATCCCGCAATTAGTAAGTGGGACAAGCAGGGTCCCACGTCACTCGCCTCTAGCTGGCAATGTGTCGATGCTTGCGAATCGGGACTCGCATGCTGAAGGCATCGCATGTCAAGCGAGCACCCGAGGTCATGTAATCACGGTGGTTCAAGGTCGCTCTTGAAACGTATGATGTGCGAAGAGGTGTTGACGAGGAGAAGGAGTGCACGGATCATACAACATCTCCGGATGTCAATGTCCGACAGTGGACGCCTTCGCAGCGAATCATTTGTCGGCTGGGGAATAATAAGGGGTCACCTGATTGCGCGGCGCACAGACGGCGAGTTGTCATGGATACGGAAAGACCATGTAGCGAACTATGGGAATAGTCACCATTCTCCAGAAGCAGGGAAAAGCACATTAAAAAACCATGATTATCAAAATAAAAACAAGATAGTTTGCATCGGCCAATTCTGCTATCGGTTACTGTACTGGTCGAACACCTACGCACGCAGATCTTGGCACATCTCTGCCGGATTCGGCAGCAAGCGCGAGAGTGGATGCTCAAGGAGGAGCATACACTTCTACGCCGGCCGCCAACATGGTCGAGCTCTTATCGGCAGACAGGAAGGTTCGTAGAATCCCTTCGCACGTGTGAAGCATATATGACCCTCCGCGCACCTTCGCATTACTCTCCAGAATTCATCTTCAGCATCACCAGCAGACGACAACATGGCAGGTATATTACTGGGAGGTATCGTCAAGGGCGTAGCGTCCGGCGTCGGTCTCGTGTCTGAAAGCATACATGACCACAATGAGCGGAAAAAGGCAAAAGCCTACGGATCAGTCGTCGACGGTGAAGCCGGCCACGGTGCTCGACATGCCGACCGCGAAACCCCGACGCTCGAAGAGGGTGACGAGGAGCATTGGGAGCTCGACGAAGCCCAGGATGAGCTTACAGGCGTACACTCCCACGATTCATCAATGTCGTTGTCCAAGCACGACCAGATCAGTCCCACGAAAGTCACCGATGCGTTCATTCGCAGATGCCCCGTCCCTGAGAAGGGCGTCCCAGCACGCCTGCCTCTGCCTGTCGTACTTCCACAGCGCAGACCCAAAGATCGGTCACGAGGTTTCATCCGAGCGTACGCACCTGACCTTGCAGCCAAGGAAATTGACCAACACATGTTCCTCGACTTCATCGAGACGTTCAACATGGCAAGTCAAGCTAACCCATGGTTGAACGCGATCAATTTGGCTGGATTGGCCACCTGGGCATTGCCTCCAGGTATAGGTCAGGCCGTTCAAATTGCTATCATGGTATCTGTCAATTGCCAAAGATGTACAAACCCGGGAAAGGTAGGCCAGACCATGACCCTTATAGCAGCTTCTCCTTAACCTCGTTCTAGACAAAATACCTTCCTAGATCGCATTAACGACGAATTCTTCCAGCCTCGAGGACTTTACTGCCTGGTCCTCACATGGCAACCCGACTCAACCGAGCTACATACTCCGATTGACCTGAACGCCACCATTGCCCAGCGCGAAGAGCATGTGCATGGAATGGACAAACTCAAGAGAAACATGAAAACCGGCAGTGCTGTCGGCGACGTCGAATTCACCGAGTGTGCAACTTTGGTCTTCCCCAAACTCGATGAGCTGGCAGATCAGCATGGTCCTGACGCCGACAGCAAGAAAGCCAAGCTCAGGCACTACAAGGCCTTTTCGGAGACGTATTTCGACCGCCGAGCGCAAGCGAAACTTGTAAGTCCAGACCCCTGCATATCTGGTTCGCGGAAGTCAAGATTATCAGAGAGTGTGTGGCTGACCACATCCCTTTCTAACAACAGCCTGGTAAAAATCCGAGCAGTTTCATGGCCAAACTCAACGGACCAACACCCAAGTTCACATCGAGATATGCTGATCCCAACAACCCGGCCAGCAACGGCAATCTCTTCTCCTTGCTGAGTGGGGGCTTAATCAACACAGGTCCTCCACTCGGTACCAAGGGCAGCCAACTCGGTGGTGGCCTACTCGGTAATCGGGGAGGCGGCTTTGGGCGGTCAAACAGCGGAGGTCTCTTCGGTTCTAGACGGCAAGACGATTATGGTTCTGACTACCAACAACCCTACCAGCAACAGCAAGGATACTATGATGAACAAGGCTATTACCACCAGGCCCACAGCAGTCAGCAGCAGCAGGGTATGGGTAGCGGCTACAGCGATGATTCCGACAGGGGTGGGTTTGGTGGCACTGGCGGACCGCTGGATGGTCTTGTCGGCACCATTCTTGGTGGTGGAGTCGGTGGCGCGAACCCTATCAGGCGCATCCTCAAGAAGGTGAGTCCGACCCAATTTGGGATTGATCTGGGAGTTTCGTGCTAACTTGTCGCGTACCAGAATGTTTTGTATCTGATGGTTGTCAATATGCCGACGGAGCAAGAGCTTGCTGCTGGGCACGAATTCGCTAGAAGGGCGGCGGAGCAGGGAGGATCGCATACGGCTCAAGATTTCAGATACTGAGGCTCGACATTTTCATGCCCGAGACAACAACATAACCCATCGTCGAGCCTTGATTGATGCCGCGTCAGTGGAGGTGGCCTTTGCGAATCACGACTTTGGATAATGGAAAGCGATGATTGAGCACGCACTTGACTTCTTGTTAGATTGAAGTGCCCGTACACTGAGATGCTTCGTTGATGTTCGCAACGCCGTGGCAATCCCTGATGGACCCTTGGTAGACAATAATGTCTACACCATACTCCCTCTATGCCTCCCCCGGCCTCAACGCATACATCCTGACCGGTAGTAACCCCCACTCCTTCAAGAAACCAGTCTGCAGCTCCGTCCTGACCAGTCTTAACCCGGCTTTCTCGAAACTCAACCTCCAATTGTTATCACTTCTCGTGACGCTACTGTCCTCCTCGTCGAACAGATCTGCGCCATCCGCGGCGGTGGATAGATTCTCTTTCACAATGATCCAGCCACCGGGCGCCAGGAGCGGGATCAGACTGCTGAAATAGCGAACCAGGTCCGGCATAGGTAAATGATTGAGACACCATTGATTATATATCAGATCGTAAGATCCTTCAAAGTCACCTCCGGATGGTCGTCCGTCGTCCTCTCCAGTCGCGGCAAGTCGATCGAAGATGTCGTCGCCGTCTCTCTTGGGAGACTTCTTGAAGATCTTGAGGTTCTTGAACACTTGTGGATCGACGTCAATTCCCTGGTGCACTCGGACGCCGTCATTGCCGGTAAAGTCAAAGATGACTGTAGAGGGATCTCGTAACGTGATGTTCTCATACTTTAAACGGCATACTGTCTCAGCCTCGTCTTCGCCCTCACCCTCGCGCTCGACGTTACCAAGACGAAGAGCGGTCGCACAATGATCGATGAGATACACAGCGGTAGCCTTCTGTCGGTCTACCATAAGCTCGGACTTTAGGTCGGGCATGTAGTCCTTGTTGAGGCAACGGAACTTTTTGAGCTCCGATGATCGTCCACGCTTGGCTGGAGGTGCTTGGTAGGAAGGAGTCGAGTGCGGCGTCCAATCTTGTAGAGGCACATTGTAGACACGGCGTAACTGGCCTGATTTGACGAGGGGCGAGTCTGCAGCAGTCAGGACAGCGGTGAATTTCTCAATGGGTTCGACAATGTCGATGTTCTCGCACAACGGCGCCAGGAGGTTGAGGGTGACACGTCCTATTCCCGCTCCCGGTTCCAGACAATACCGAAAGGGATATTCAGATCTAGAACCGCTGCTGCTGCTGTTTGGTGTTCTGGATAATTTGCGGAGAAAGTTTCGCGAAACGCGCAGATCGACTCGTGAGACTTGTGGGAAGCCGCCTAGCATGCCATTGTCGTCGGCGGATATTCGTTGCCAGTAGGCGAGTTGGTCGGCTGTACGCATTCGTGAGTCGGCGTCCGTGAGACCATCGTCGCGCCTCGTCTCTGCGGAGGATCTTCTGCCTGACCGCGTCGGAGGCATATTTCTGCCGACAGAAAGAAAGCTTTGATGGTGGATCAATACTATGCTCGATGATCTACCAGCTGACTGCCCAGGCGACTCAGAATCTGGAGCGATATGGAGAGCACTAGAAAATATGGACTGGTCGTTCTTCCCCAGGCAGCATCGCGGAAAGAAGATGCACCGCGTCAAAAGCCGCCAAGAGAAGTGATTCATGTGTCTGACTAATATATTATCAATCAAGATAAAACACCCCCAAAGACTCAAATGCGGGGAAGCCTTTTGTCGTCCTTTTGTACAGCATCGGACTGCAACTATCGTGGAACAATGCCAACTTCAACCGTTGTCGACGGCAAATTATGAGGCATCACTGACTCGTAGGATGACATAGCGTGTATACTGTCCAGATTCATGCTGCCATGTGGTTTTATGATGGTTGGAGTGTCGGTAGGAGACCACATCGTGCAAGGCGTTGAATGTCCGAGAAGGGAAGGAGAGAATAGCGTTGTCAGGCTGTCAGGGTCATTACCCCAATGCGGCATCTCTACCTGGCAATGCATCCGATTGGGCACCTTGAATGGTGAAAGCAAGAGGGCACAGATAAGAGTAGTTGCCATTTTGCTCTCTTCTATAATCCGCTGCCTTTCGAACGTTGGAACATTCATCAGGAGACAGGACAAAGTTGTTTCTCAAACGAGCAAAACAGCCCAGACCGCTATCTCAACTGTGACAATTCATCTCATCTGATCGATATACCATGGGTAGTGTCGAAGCTCAACAAATTACCGGCAAAAGAAGGACGCTGCATGAGGCCGTGGAACCGCACATGAGCAAGGCTGCGACTGCTCCTCCTACAGTTCGACATGACGACGCCTTCATCTCGTATGAACGTATGCTCTCCGCGTATGAGGACATCTGGCCGCCTCGGAAGGAATATGTCATCCCAGACTTCACCAATGATGCAAATCCAGATGATGTCGTTGAAGGCCTCAGGAAAGTCGGTGGTGTCATTGTGCGCGAGATCCTCTCACCCGAAGTCATGACACAGATAGAGAAGGATATCAGACCATATCTCGAGACTGACATCCCGTGGGAAGCCGGCAATAACTTCTTCCCACCCTCGACGCGGCGGGCGTTCGGGCTCTGCGGTAAATGTCCAACGTTCGCCACCGATCTGGTCGGGAACGAGTTATATCAGGCAGTATGCGATCAGTTCCTCACCACAAAGAGTTATCCATGGTATGGCGACCGGGATGTCCTCAATGTCTCACCACCACAGGTGAATAACACCATTGCATTCTCAGTGAGGCCAGGTGATAGCTACGACCAGCCGCTTCACCGGGACGACGATATTCACTACGCAGATCGGCCGCATGTTGATATCTATCCTCGAACCAATTCGCGAGAACGTGGGGTGGGGTTCTTCGTTGCAGGTACCAAGACCACCAAGGCCAATGGCGCGACAAGATTTATTCCTGGAAGCCACCTTGAAGCCACTGAACACCCGCCTGAAGAGAGCTTCGCAAGATATGCCGAGCTGAACCCGGGAGACGGGTTTATCCTGCTGTCAAGCTGCTATCATGGTGGTAGCGCCAACACGACCAAGAACGAAGAGCGACTCCTGTTCAGCTGTTTTATGACCCGCGGCTGGCTTCGGCAGGAAGAGAACCAATACCTTGCCGTCCCACCAGAGGTTGCAAAGAATCTTCCAGTGAGGATCCAGAAACTGCTTGGGTATGCACTGAGTGATGTAAGATTTTGCCCGAGGGTCTTTCCACTTCAGAGATTCTGCTGACAATGCGCACAGCCGATGCTTGGATGGTTTGAATTCAAGGACCCGCGCAGCGCGATGGACCCCGATGGTAGTGAGCGCGTAGGCCACAAGCAGAAACCCAAGATGGCATGAGAGAGTCTTTCAAAAAGGGGAAAGCCGAGCTTACAGCCATGCCGGCGTTGGGAATTGATCAATATTCTCAAGAGCATTCCAATCAAAAGACACTTCGTCAAAGTCGGCGAAGGAAAAGGCCTCTTGATGTATCCCGGATAGATTTCCAGCTTGCCCGTCTGTTCTTAACTGACTTGGTGTGGCGACCAATCCGGAGAAAACTGGATGATCTGTGATTGTATCCGGGGCCTGGGGTTGCTCCCCAATAGAGAGTCCGAGTGTATGTTCAGAATCCGTTCGTAGGTAACGCAATTCGTCAACTCTTTGACTGTCTTGAGCGGACAAATCCTCCATGGCTATTTTCCCGACATTGGGCTCATTGCTGTGATTCAGATCTGCCAGTATCCTTGATGAGACAATGTCAAAGGCGTCACGCTTTCCTTTGAAATCAGGAAAATGCTCAACCATTCCCCACAGCACTGAGGAACAGGAATGAATTAAGTCCTCTAGTTCTCGTAAAGTCAGTCTTTCTCGAACCTGGGGCGAATCGACATAGCTGTACAGCAGCGCTGTGCCAGCAGAGAGTAGATTCTCCACGGCTTGCCAGTATATTGTCAGCCGGTGCTCGCGGAAGAATGTAGGGTACAGGCGAATCATGTGGGTGGCAGCCTCTGCAACTGCCAGCAGTGACGATTCAAGCGGGGATGGAATGTTTCGTGAGGGCCGATACAGGTACAACAATGCCCGATGATAGGTGAGTTCAAAGTTTTCTAGGTTCTTTCTTTCACGATCCGTCAGAGTTTCCCGACGTGGCGTGTCGTTGTACCAGCATTGAATGCGGTTGTGCATTTGTTCCTGCCATCGGCACAGGTCCATCGTAGGACAAGCTGCCACAGATGGATTCTCGTATAGGACTGTTTGCATTTCTGACTGGATTCTCCGGTAGCGGAAGACGTGGATGCTGACACGTTTCGGCTTTGGTGCATTTTCGTCGACCACGTTTATGCCATCTGGCGTGATGCATTCATCATTTTCTTGACTTGGGAACTGTACCATCACTCAGCATGAGCCCCGTGTTAGGGGAAGTTATTTTTTTCATACCTTTGCAGTGATAGCACCATCAGAGAGACACAGCGGCAAGCCCAGGGCGACGGAAACATTTCTGTCCATCGCATATGCAACCCAAAATGTCCTCCTCCAATTGTCCAACGTGAGGCAGTCCATCGTGCCCGCAGGTGGATCTTGATGGAGGCCCACTTCGACCGCAAGACGAAGAGCAGCACCAATTGTCTTCCAGACTGTCCAGGCTATGGGGTGGTGATAGGAGTACTGCGCAAGAAGCAGAAGTGATTGCACGCCCTCCAAATCGTTCGGCAGACCAGCGTCGACCAGGCCTTTGAGGGCTGTCTGGTGATATCGATCAGCCAATGAGGTAGGGATCCTTGAAGGGTCCTGCTTTTGCAGTATCAGTAACGCCACGGCAAATGCCTCATAGACGAAGAAGATGTCCATCCGAGATTCTCTACTGGTCTGAGCTGTGTTCAAGTCTACCGTCCGTGGGATGGCGTACAGCGAATCCAATCTTTGTCGAAACGTAGGCTCATGTAGCAAGGGCAAACTCTGGTTTGCAAACTGGAAATACGCTTTGACAAGGCTCTCGGCGCCATCTTTCGTCGGGAGGGCAACAGGCGAAGTGTCTAGATCGGTCATTGCTTGGGAGGTGAGCGCCTCTTCTGCGACGTCTTGGCCAGGCGTCTCACTGGGAGGAGGCCGTTGGCCCATCGATCCGTTCATAAGCTCTCTTAGTAAGACCTTGCGGAAGGCAGGTTCATGAGTGGAATTGCGCTGCACCAAATTAGAAACCTGCCCAAACGTGACGTCGGCTCCCAGACTTGACACCCGTGCAAGGTGTACAGTGGTGCTTGCTCCTAGTGGCGAATGTTCTGCTGTCTGCGAGGTTTCGATGTCAAAAGCTTGAGGCGAATGCTCGATCGGTGCGTTATCAAGGTCAAGGTCAGTGCCGCCACGTTCTTGGAGCTTCATTTCCAGATATGCCACCCGTTCTTCGAGACTGTGTACGTAGCTATACGCAGGCTCGTGTTAGTCGTTTTCCATGGATGTTTAGCATTAGGTCGATGGATGGTTGTCAATTGACCTTCTAGGAATCTGTCTCCGGGCCACAGCATCGTAGCTCACGCACTCGACTCCAGCATTTTGACACATCCTGCATTTCTGATACCATGAATGCGTCAGCTTTTCTCAGGACCCTTATCTGCCAGGATCCGGGATTTGCGTTCTGGCGATGGCAGGCACTCACTGGCAGTTGTTGGTCACATCGTTTCTTTTTATGGCGGCAGCGCAAGCACGCAGTGATATTTGATCTGGCCATACTAATTGGTGACCTATTGTGACTGTCATGACCTTTGTGTCTCTTTGTAGCATTCATATGTCAACGATGACATGTTGCTTGAGGCATGGAACGAGCGATGAGAACGACGTCAAGTTAAAGCGAGCTTGGGCGGGGTCGCGGCTGCTTGGCTGTGGCGGTCTCGCTAGCCTTAAAACAGTCAATGTTTAGGGACTCCAGCCATTGCCCAGCTTAACCATTTAGGGATGCCTTGGCTGAATAGGCCACACTAGCCTGGCATACCGCCCCAAGGTGTCTAACAATTTACCAACTTTCTCTCAATCTCTCAAACACGGTCTGACTTTCGCGACATTCACATTGCCCATCTTGCTTTATCCACTGTCGGCGCAGACTCTTGATTTGAATACTCCGTCTCATAGCTACTGGGGCCTTTGTCTGTTCATCCGGCGCAGCCTACAAAGGTCTTTACAGGTGGTGGCGAACTACGTCGCCAAGTTCTTCAGGATCCCCATCCATTCGAGGACTACTCTCATCCTTGCCCTTGGACTCTTTGCGAAAGGCCCACTTGTCTACCAGCTCTTGTGGAAGAGACCCTTCCATTGAATCAACAACGAGATCGCCGATTGTAGGCAAGAATTTCCACGCGTGCGCAGAGCCACCCGTTGCGAGATGAATGCCGGCAATGGAGGGATGAGGAGCAATGAGGAAGTCACCCGTGGGCGTTGTGCTGATCCTATTGTAATGTGTTGGCCAACAAGAAAAAAGAACAAGAACAAGTTTTCGAGAAGTAGGGTATTACTCACCAGCATATCTTCGACCGATCGAATGGCCTGCCTGCCAGGTCGGGCATGATTTCCCGCAAATTCGCTCTCATTGCAGCTTCGGCATCAGCAGGAATAGTATCAGTGGGATTACTGACCATCGTTCGAGGCCAGGAAATGCTGATTTGCTTTGTCGAATCCTCTGGATGCGCTACAGTGACAGTGTTCTTGTATCCGGGCGACCGACGCAGGATTTTGATCTCACCACGGTATGGTGGGAACATATTCAGGCCAGTGCTGAGATTCGTCGAGATGGACATGTTCTTCCAGCGTCTCTGCTCTTCCTCAGTTACTTTGATCCAGGCGACTTCATGTCCGATGGGCACAAGACGATTGCCGAGATAAACAAGCTTGTTCGACCACGCACCCGCCGCGACAATAACCATATCCCCAGGTATGGTGGCGCCGTCCTCCAAAACGACTCCCTGAGAACGGTTGTCAACGACCATGATGCGATCCACAGCAAGGCCACATCGGAAGCTGATGGACGGAGTTTTCATGCAACGATCATAATAGATTTGTATGCACTCTTTGGCGTCAATGAAAGCAGCTGAGAGATTGCAATAAGCTTGATTCCATTTCGATCCTCCTTCGAGCTCTGAAGCTGGTACAGGCTGCGAGCCTTCTCCATGGATACGCTGGTACACTTTCTCGCGGGTCTGTTGCTCAACGATGTTCTCGTGGCCTGACAAGGTCTTCGCCTTCTCTAGTGTCGATTGCCATATCTTGGTAAACCGACTCGGTTGGCCGTCACAGGCAAATGTCATGCCTTGCTGAAAGAGAAAACGACTCAGATCCGGGTCTTCCTGGATCTTCTTCTGAGCCTCCTTTGCTAATCGTGCATAAATAGGGTCAACGTAGTCTTTTTCTCATGTTAGCAACAAGTCTCTCCTATACATTTACGGTCAACTACCTGAGCGAATGCATCGTGTTGTGTCAACACTGGTTCCATCTTCGACGGGAGGTGTAAGACGATCGACAACGATGACTTTGGTCGCAGGATATCTCTTCGCAAGGGCCAAGGATGTCGATAGCCCGAACACACCTGCGCCGATGACTATGACAGTGGACGGGAAAGGCGCTTGTGATCCCATGTTTCCTTGTTGGTTGTATGGGGAGATTTTGATGTGAAATCGAGTGATGAATACTGGATGACTAACCTAAATGATAGAAAGGCTGCCCATTTCTTACTCGGACCAGGAGCAGCGTTTTGCGGTATACGCCGCCACACCTCCGCATGTGGCGAGGCGAACAACACTATCACGGCGCCCGAACCCGACCATTGCGGCATATACCGCTGCCGCCTAATAGGTGTCACATTTTTGTTGTCTGTTCTGCCCTCCTTGGATTGTCTTTTATGAGTTGTTTCCCGAGATATAACGTGACGAGAATAATGACCCTCCATTAGCTGCTATACGGAGTGCAAACTGCCGAATCCATCTGCAAGATCGTCGGCAACTGGAACTCAATGCCCCCTGGCATCCAATCGGGGTTTTCCGCCCTGAGATGGAGCTGGTGCCAGCAGAGTGAGGAACCGCAGCAGCACATGCCCTACTTCAAGAATTCTAATATCATTACCTTTACCTCCATCTAATGCACACCGTTGAATCGCGTATTCTGGTCTGTAATTTGACCAACTTCCCTAGGTGGTTCAGCTGCCAAGTCGCTAGCGTTAATAGAACCCGCCGTAAACAAAAGTGTCCAAGAACGAGTGATTTGAGGCAACTTAACGCTTAGTCTTATCAACAAGTCAGGGCTGACTAAGGTACACGGCGGTCCCCCAACTAAACTAGCCCTTCGCTTCAGCCCTGCCCAACAGTAGGGCTGAGCATAATTCTACCAACTACATCGTACGGAGTACTAGTATAAATCCGGTTCGATAATGTGTCAGCTTTTCAAAGCATGTCAATCTGCCGTCCCTGAAAGATCCGGAATCTCGCGTCCACCAAGACGTGTTAATAACCCCTTAGTAAGCGTTGTTGGACACTGAAGTCTCACACCATTGTCAGCATTCGGTAAGAACGAGGTATCTATTTGGTCTCGCTCCTATCTCAATGGTTCGTGATCGCGCTTGCATAACGTACCGTTCTCGATCCATCTTCACCTTCAGTAGAACGATCTCTGCCATAGCCCTTCTATCCAGTTCACACTCCACTCTCATTGCCTACAATGCCGGCTGACCACTTCTCCCTGACTGTTCCCGAGTCCGCATTCGAGGGTCTCATAACTTTCCTCACCACCTCCCTCGCCCACTTTGGCTTCAAAGAGATGACACACCCGACCCCTGGCGTCGTGGGTCTCGGCGAGGTGATACCCTACTTTTGGATCAAAAGTTATCTCCCTGAGGGTCTGAGTGAGAAAGCCTTCCTAAATCTGTTGAAGACGAATCATGTCGCGTTTACGGCTGAGAGTGAGTGGACGTCCTGTGGCAAGGAATTCGTATTGGAGCTGATTGATTTGCGGCAGATAGCGAGCAGGTCAACCAATTCCATGCTGCTGCGCTAAAAGCGGGCGGGACGTGCAATGGACCGCCAGGCTTGAGGCAGGAGTATCATGCCGGGTATTATGGGGCGTATGGGGCGTTTGTGAGGGATCCAGCTTGTGGGGTAAACTTCGAGGTGGTATGTCATCTTGGAGAGTGATGGGCCCCATGGACGACAGGGGATGATCATGAGGGTAAGCAGCGCATCTCCATTCGAAAGCCAGAGGTGCCTAAGATCTGGTGAATACTAGTATTGATCTCTTTCAGTCCTTACTTCCTCGTCTCAAACATCATCCTGATGCCCATGCTGTCCATTCTTGCCCTAGACGTAAAGAAGTCTCCCAATGGGCTTCCGTTAGTCTCATACATCTGAAATAAATCCAGGTCGCACAGTCCTGCCACGATGGCCATAGGATATGATCGAGACGTCGCTGGAGTGTTTGTCATCCTCCATGCTTTTGTTGTGCGCAGCACATACTAGTAGGTGTAGGGAACGTGTGTTTACAGTGTGGAAGCACTGCTTAACGAGCGCTATGCTGCAAGTGCAACGAGTGATTTAACACACAAGTTACCATGCTGAGTAGATCCCAGACTCACTAAGCACTCGCGGGCAGCCTCAAGCAATATTGACACGGGCTATTTGCAACCTCATTCATCGTGATCCCCATATATGTCTGTCATACAGCCTGCTGCAGGGTCCGAACGGGATGATGACTGTCCAGAAACCGGTCAAGCATGTAAAATCGTAATTCTCGCTGCGATACCTCGACCTGCACGTCCTTGATCGACAGCACACGAGTTGCGGAATCAATGAGTATCTATTCTACACTCTTCTAGAAGCATCTGCTCATCCGAGGCGTACTTCGCTATAAGCTCCCTTCTCTTTCCTCGGATCTCATCGCCCTTGGTCGCGTACAGTCCATCCATCATAGCTTTCAACTCACCCACAGCCCCAGCATTCAGGAGCTCTCCCATAACGGCCATATAGATGGCATTCTCTTCTGTCATGCTAGCATGCTCCTGATAGAGGTTGTCTCTCTGTGTCCCACGTATGATCAACATTGCCCGCTCAAAGTCCAAATTCCCTGGCTCAAAGGTCACTTTGCTGCTTGCTCCCTCGTCACCAACCAGGAAGTTATGTAGCTGGCCTGGTGGCACCGTGATCGACTCGCCGATAGCAAGAACGGTAGCCTCGAATGATGCTTCGGTCATGTCAGGGGACGTGTAGATGGTCATGGAGCCGGCGAGTATCGTGAAAGTCTCGGAGAATAGATTGTGGTAGTGAGGGAACGTTGTTGCTGCTGGAGCTAGATCACCCAGCACGACAGTGCGTGCATTCTCGTTGGAGAGTGCTGACTCGATGATGGTGGGAATCTTGTCTGCTGCCATTCTGTAGGCAGATTGGAAGGCTGATGGTGATAAATTCGATGATGTAGTATTCGCGAGGATTCTCAAGTGAACTGCCATGTCAAGGAACGCTTTCAGCTATATACTCCTAGAAGTCCTAAAACTCCATATACCGTATCTCTCAATTAGGAGATTTGCACTGCCCAGTGCCAATCAACACTATGTCGAGATTTGAGGAAGATCTATCTAGGTTAAATCACTCCAGCATGCTTTGCCTCCCAGTCATCTCGTGAAATACTGTAGAAGTACTGTACACCTTACGTCAGCTTGTATGTTACAGTAGGTCTCGGCAGTCTGATTTATTGAGCACACCATTAGCTGGATGATACTCTATCTTGGAGGTGGCGGGTACGACTCGGCGGGCGGCGTGACACGCAGAAATATTGGTCAAGTGTTTGAATCGTGGATGGGTCGTGGTGCAACTAGTAGACGAGCTAAATTGCCGATACTGTAGTGGTCAACAGACACCCTGGACCATATCAGGACCTCTTCAGTACTAGTAGCCTCACCCGTTTTGTTACACACTGGAAAGGCATAAGGATCTCAGTCTCATGACAGGACTTGATACTGACTGAAGCAGACATCCTTCGTCAATGGTGACTTGCACTGGACGGTGGCTCGATCGTCAATGATTTTTCACTGGTAGAGCGGCTCTTTTGGACGAGTCGAAATTTGTCGCTTGAATTTTGTGAAAGATCCTCGGGTCGAGAACGGTGCGGGCTTGGGATTATAGGCATGGAGACTAAGACAAAAGTGAGATTTGCCTACAAACTCGCTTACTGCGTCCGTCAGTCTGGGGTCTGGTCAGCCTGGTCACTTTGGTCACTCCTCGCTGACAAAGATCAGGTTCTGAGGTTCGTTCTGGTCTAAACTGGTCAAATTTTCACGCGCGCAAAGCTGAGCGATGCTTCAAAAACGGCTCGTCAGCTTACTGCTGCTAGTCCCTTGGCAGCGGCAGACCGTGGTGACGAGAAAGGCAAATTTAGCTGGCCATCCGTTTCCAGTAGTCTAGTAGTATGTCTGATGATCAGCGTCCATATGTTGTGACCCTCATAAGCAAGCTGAAAACTTGAAGCGATCAGGAAAACAAAGATGTCGACTCACTTCATGGCGTCGTCTTCACTCACGCCGAAAGACACCGCACTGGGTGTCGTTGGAAATACGACAGTAGTCCGGCTTTGTCGCGTCGTGCCAGCAGACCATGCTCAGGTCTTCCTGAAGCTCGAGTCCTTGAACCCGACCGGCTCTTACAAGGATCGCATGGCCAAATCCATGATCGAAGAAGCCGAACGCCGTGGGGACCTGAAACCGGGTATGACCGTCGTCGAAGCCAGTGGAGGTAGCACAGGCTCCTCGCTCGCATTCGTCTGTGCGGTGAAAGGCTGTCGGCTCTTGGTAGTCTCGTCTAATGCCTTCGCGATGAGCTGGCGCTGAGCTGGCGCTGAGCTGGCCCGCTCTGGCTCCTATAGTACATATAATAAGAATAAAAGCTTGACCCGTTCATGCAGGGTGCGTGGAAGAACACGTGATACTGAAAACATTCAGAATCTAGCCATGATGAATAGTGAAATCATGAATCTCAGGTGTCTGGTGGCACACCGATGGACCTACACCGTTCTGTTAGCGAGGGTGTCGATCTCGTGCTAGTGATTAGGATATAGGCACGACTACAGTATAGAAGGGAAGGCACGACTATGGGAGGGAAAGCACGACTGTGCGAGGGAAGGCACGACTGTGCGAGGGAAGGCACGACTGTGCGAGGGAAGGCACGACTGTGCGAGGGAAAGCACGACTGTGCGAGGGAAAGCACGACTATACGAGGTAAGGCACGACTATGAAAGGGAAAGCACGACTATGCGAGGTAAAGCACGACTGGGAAAAAAGGGAAGGTACAAAATCGAGAACGTAATTTATTCCATGTCGAAAAATAAGTGTTCCTTTACTGTACTCTGGCTTTCAGAGACGCAGCACCTGAATTACTGGCTCCAGTTTAGCCTAGATGCAGGCAGAATCGGAAAAACATGAGATTCGCTGCGGATTGGTCACGATTCGGTTGGTCAGACGCTGATTTTTCACCTACTAGTAATTTTGACCTTAAACCCTTGCGAACAACAGTACCAGCGCAGGGCTCGGCCTATCTTCAGCCCAATACAGCTCGATACCAGCCCGACACAGCTCGATACCAGCCCGACACAGCTCGATACCAGCCCGACACAGCTCGATACCAGCCCGACAAAGCTCGATAAGAGCCCGACACAGCTCGACATCAGCCCGACACAGCCTAATGTCAGCCCAGCACAACTCGCTACAAGCCTATGGGCCAGCTCGGTGATATGGCAGTACTATAGCAATTTTAGCACTAGTAAATACGGGCCAGTCTAGTACTGTACCTGCGTAGATAGGATTAGTAGTACTGTAGTTGTGCGACACAAAAGTTTGACAAGAACAGTAAAAGTTACAGTAGCCTGATAGAGAAAAGCTCGAGTGAATTCAGGCTCATACGGGGGTTAGCGAGCTCGCAGAACTCGTGACGAGCATTACCGACGGAATCAGAGTCCCAGAGCCCGTAGATTGATTGCTTGGACAGCTAGCCCCTGGTCGTATAGCGGACGACTGAACGATTGGGATCGCAGCCTGACCTGTCATCACATCAGCCTCAGCTTCGCGAGTTATAGGCTAAACAAGCACTGGCAGTCGTTCCCAGATTGAGAAAGATTGTCCCATTTGGATTGCGTCTGCTCAGTCTTGAGCTGTTGTCCCGGAACAATCGCTCTCAGTCGAAACTGCTGAGATCCTGCCCCGAACTGTTAGTGACGCTGATGACAATGTTGTCAGTAAGTGCACTTTTGAGCGTGGTCGAGAGAATGAGCGTACGTACTAGTGCGCAGGAAGGAGTTTCCCTACCTAGGTGAAGAAGAACAATTCCGGCTTGTCGGCTTCAGCAACCTGAAAATAGCCATGACACATCTGACCTGTGCCTCGAACAACCATGCAACCAGTCTCGCTATCCTTGCCGTCATTCAGGTCGACGACCCAGAAGATAGCGGTGTTCTTGTGCCTCCTATATGCCAATTGAGTATCAAGAATTGTTGAAGGTAGAAACACATATTGTGTACTGCCAGAAGATTGTTGAACATCGAATATCGCTGAAAGGCCTGCGTCTGGCGGTATACCAACGCCTGTTGATGATACCCGGTGCCCCAGAGGCAATGTGCCTTGAAGGATCATGGTCCAAAGCCACTCATTGGACTTCCATCGTCGAGCGGTCTCTCGATGATCTATCGTGCTAGAGTCGAGGCCGGTCCCAGTTTCCTCGAAAAAGAACCTGTAATCAGCTTCACTTCTCACCCACTTATCATCACCGCAATAAGCGAAATTGCCAGTGTCCAGGTCGAAGATATCCTCCAAATTAGCAGGGATTTTGTCGTGGTCGCTGGTTTCCCAGGTTCCGAATACACTATGTCTCGTGAAGTACCAGAGCACTTGTGCCGCATAAAGAAGCTTTTCCCGCATCAGTTGTTTAAGCAGACCCCGTACCAAGGCGGTTGGGTCGTTCTTCCCTGATGTTTCCAGACATTGCAAGATGCTTGGGTCGACCGCTAGGAACTTGTCCACTTTCCACAGCCAACCTCGTAGAAGTAAGCCCTTTTCGTGAAGCTTTGCTGGTGAGGCTCGTACGAGCTCGCTGTCCTCGCGCCAGTCAAGTTGAGCAAGGGACAGATTTTGCTGAGGTCCCCATGAATATGCCAGACACTCACCATCCACGCCATTGCTGAAACGAGTCAAAGAGAGATCCCCATTGAATATCGCGAGCGCAAAAGCACAGATACTGAAGCCATAGCCGTTACTGACAATTTCGTTGGTGTCAAGTCGCAAGGTATAGTGGCACATATTTCCCATTATTGCGAGGCGATCAGAAACATGACTGTTCATCCTTGGTTTCAGATATATCAAAGCCTGAGCAGCATTGCATACCTGTCGATAGTCAGGGTCAGGTTCACTGGAGTCCAAGTTTTCCTCATATTTCTCGCCATCCAGCGGCATATAGGATGACAGTCGGTCGATTGTGCGGTAGAGCTGCGTCTGCAGCTGCGAGTCGATCTCATCGTCGTAAATTGAGACTTGTGCATACGCGAAGCTCATGGCCAAATAAAATTCATATAAGCTGAAATCGGCTTCACCTTCAATGAAGCCAAGAGTCTCGGGCTTCGTCAGATTTGGTTCATGTTGAATCAACAGTCTCATGTCGAATCCTGCCGAAGTAGACTCCTGTAGGGTCCATGCACGAGTGAAGAATTTATCCTGTTCAATCAGTTGTAACAGTTCAAGTAGGGCAGGTAAGTCTGTGGGAGGAATGTGTTGACCTTCTACCATCCGGGCGAGTAAATCGAGTTGTGCTTGCGTGTTGATGCGAGTCTGCAATATACCCAACGGATGACTGCTTCGCTGGTACACGATGTCCATGGACTGAATACCCAGCCACTGCTGAGAGGGTTCCTCTTGGACTATGCATTCTCTGTCGAACCAGATGAAGGGCACTATGTACTGAGCGGCATAAGAAATTGCTCTCGACAGGATATTTCGGGGGACGTTGCAGTCTCTCAGTCCATCGTTGGTCTTGACGAGATATCTGGCTGGTGCCCTTACGGCAACATGTGCGTCTTCGTCGCTAGGCCATGTCCAAGATACAGCAACGTAGTTTCTGCAGTTTGGAAAATCGAAAGCATGCGTGACTTCCAGTACGTCTCGGGTTGGCGCGTTGTGGAATCCGATTCGTCCAGAACATAGGCAGAGAACTGACGACGACGCGGAATCATGGGCCTCGTCAGAATCGCTGTGAGCAGGATGATCGGCCGCGGGACCTAAGAAGCTAAGATTACGTGCCCATTGTCGAGCTTCATCTCGTGTCTTGAGGCACTGCTGAAGCTCTTTCAGGGCCTTTACGACGTCATCGGACTGATAAAGTTCGCCGAAAGTCTTATCAACGTCGAGATTCATTCCTAGACGAGACTCCGCAGTCAAGCTTTATAAAGCGCACGCGACGGTGTGCACGCCGGCATGCATAGCTCGAGAAGATCGTAGACTGGTGCTGCTTGCTGATATATGATAGGATCAGTGAAAGAGTGGCGAGATGAAGTGAGGACTTGGAAGTTGTTGGCGGTTGGTGGTTGTCTTGGCGAAAAAAGTACCTGGTAGTACTAATGTGGTAAGTACAGTATCTAGGGATGTGGTAGATTTACGGTGAGCACGGGGGCCTGACCTAACTTACTCACCTTCCACTCACCTCGCCTCACCTCACACAGGAACCTCTATGCACCTTCGTGCGCACTAGGTAGGGACTTTACGTGGACAGGCTTTCGGAAAAGGGGCTTGCTACCAAAGTATTCAAACTAGGCCCTAGTTTATGTAACCTTACCCCCCTCTTTCAACTACAATACCTATGACGAACCAGTTCGGAGGGATGCATTACAAGTCAAACAAAGCAATATTTCACATCCTTTCGTTCATGAGGTAGGTGTATGTATCACTGTAAATGTCAAATGGAGTGGGCACGATCGACACCAAGACCACGCCCAACTTAGTCAAGGTGAGGTACAGGCCTGCAGCGGTCTTGATAGTGTACCCTTTCGAGCCGCCGAGGTTCGTATGGTGAATGTTTGCGCCTCGTGGACATTGGTAGTAAGACCGCCGAGAACAGTGAGGTACCTACCGTCCACGACACTGGAGACGGTGAAGGTTGTTGCGTCGATATCAGCCTCGTGCAGAATCCATTGCTGGTGGATACTCTCATGGTCCGACGTGGCTTTGGTCGCAGAGAGGAGGAGGGCATTCTTTCCAGCATCTACGGCATACCCATTGGCCCCAAAGGTGAGGTAGCGACTCTCGGTGAGAGAGCCGCGTACTTTCTTGTGACCTTCTTCGGTGTACATGGAGGTGTCCGAGTACATGGAGTATTGGAGACCATACGGCGGCTCGCGCTTGGGATTGTACAGCTCGGCACAGATACTCTCTGTGATGTTCTCTTGGTATGTGCAGTTACTGTCGCTACCAAGAGTTGGGGCGGCCGGGCTCGACAGGGTCGGCGGGAGGGTGTAGTCGGGCTTGAGGCAGTGGTCAGCAAAAGTGCCATTCATTGTACAAATGATACCACATAATCTCACGTTCTCAAAGTCAAAATGCGTTGACTAGGTAGGTTCGACATGTGTTCACGTCGCCACGATGTGATTTGCTCTGTCACAACAAGAATCAGTTTCGAGTCTGGCCGCGTTCGCCAAAATAAGAGGTTGGCTCCCAGTCTTGACATCGTAACCTTTTGCCTGTAGCCGTTGCTCTGCATAAAAAACTTCGGCCTAATATGTTCGGCCTGCTTCTACGGCTGACAATGGCCTTCGACGCGGAACGTACCAAGGATCGGATTGTTCAAAGTTAGTGCTGGTCTTGCAAGAAGATGGAGTGTTCAATGAGGCTGCTGCCATGGTGATGGCGTTTTAGGTTATGGGGTAACGAGCATCACCAGGTCTGTTTACGGACGATATTCAGCGAAGGAGACGGGCGGGACAGTTTTGTGGATTTTGAACATACTGTACTAGTACTGTGTGACATCAGGTACTTATTTTGTACCGTTACACCATCGAACAGAATGCAGTTCAACTGAATTCTCCTATTTTCACTTTAAGATGCACTCCCACCCTTCTTCCCGGCCTCAGATGGATCGACTTTCCCATGGGCAAACTCTCCCTTTCCACTGCCTCCACTTCCCGAGTTGCCACTGCTGCCAGTGCTTTGTCCAGAAGAACCCGAATCGCTGGTGCCACCTCCACTTGCCAGACCACCCTTCTTCCCGGCCTCGCTGGGATCGACTTTGCCGTGGGCGAACTCGCCGGGTGCGCTGCCGCCTGATGAAGACATTTTTTGTATAGAGGTTGGGTGAGGTATGTACTGCAGATCGTGATATTAGCACGATAGGTCAATCCAATAGGAGAACAATGGGCATTCAGCCACACGGGAGTGTCCGCACTTACGTTCTTCTAGCTTCGATCTCTTTTGCTGGTACTAACACTAGTACCGATTGACTGTAACCTGCACGTTATTTGGCGTAGAGAATATGTTGACAGACAACTTCGCAAGATACTTCAGTGAGAGCTGGTCATGATGTACTTAAGTACATTCATATCCTTATTTCACTTGTGTTCTACCCCTCTTTCAACTGATGTCATTATGCCTATTGATGACACGAGAACCGGATATCCCATGGGGGCCATGCAGGGACGACTTCAATGAAACGCACGCTGTGGAGAGTGTGGAGAACGCGATGGGCCATACAGTGGCATTTCCGGGGAACCCTGTGCATATTGTTGCCTGCCCTCTGGTGCCTGGATGGGAACAGTCATGAGATCAGTGCAATACAGGCCAATCACTTTGATGTTCATGAGAACACTCAACTGCATTTCCTTTGCGCTCTGAAACTCCAATCCCCCAAGAGTGTGTGCGTCCCTGATTCGTGAATCATGCGACTCTCTCCTGTACTGACGCTCAAGAATAAAGACAAGAATACTGTGCGTCAAATCATTCATGCGTCAAAAACATAGGACGCCAACGCTAAATACCAATCGTCACTTCTTCACCAATGAGATCCAACCTGCAGCGCTTTGCCCATCACTGCCAAATTGACCGCCTTTAGCCACTGCCATAACGTCTGCTTGGACAATCGGTGCAACCGTCTGAAGGACCTTTCCAGCTGCCAATTTGACAAAGGCCCATCCGCCCAGCTCAGTCATGACCATCCCAACCTTCACCTCAGGCGTCGGTGCAGCTTCAGCATCTTGGGCTTTTGGTTGCTGGAAGAGTTGCTCGACATTTTGCACCGCGACTTGTTGATGTGTGTTGGCCTCGGCAAAGCACGTCGCCGCCAAACCCTTGACCGAAAGTCTCTCTTTCACTGATTGTGACTCGGAAGGATTGGTGAATTGATATGCCGCTATTGCAAGACCGAAGACTGCCATGCAGTAAAGGAACTTGATCCCAAGCAGAACGAAAAGTGGGACAATGGGCACCCGAGTTGCACCATAAGTGTTATTCCTGGTCTGCTCAAGAATGCTCAGGCTGGGATGGTGACATGACATGACGCGCAGTCCAGGACTTGTCCGACAGCGCCGACAGGATTGCGCAATGGCCACAGCACACGATATCCATACATCTCCAATGGAACAAGAGGAGTGACGCTGTCTTGCGCCATGAGGGCTTTGAAGGTGATCCCCTCCGGTCGCAACAATCGTGTCAACATCTCAGCATATACGCCGCCGTGGATGATACTCCAGGGCAGCCTGGCGAGCGGATAAGTCATCAATCACTGCGTTATGCGTGCCTTGACGATGTTGTGACTGTTCCTGAACCGTTCATCGGGTCCGAATTTGGCGAAGCGGTCGCCGGCGCCGGCGTACATGAACCACTTCAACCGGACTGAACAGCGATTTTGTAGGCTCGAAACGTCCAGAAATACTCCTCCGGCTCGCCAATAGCGAAGCTGTCCAACACACAGTAACAGACATCTTGTTTGGCAGGTGAGGCGCGAAGGCCCTCCTCTGTGGTATAGGAGCCTCGGATCAAGTTGACTTTGTGCTTGTTTTGGAGTTCGAGGGCACTAGGTTGCGCCGTGTCTCTCGTCAAGACAGAGACGGAAAATTCCCCAGCTTCCGATAGTGGTAAGAAAGGGTCAGAGCAGAAGCGCTAGGATTTTGAACGTCCTCATACATTACACCACTGATTTGCCTTGAGCACCTGTGCCGCCAAAGACGACGACTCTGATAAGTTGGTCGGACACCACTGGGCCTTCAGATGACATTTTTATGGTAGCCTGAGAGGGTCCGGTGGAGTGTATCCACATTAAGAGTTATTGTGGGCTTTTGATCCTTCCTCAGATGCTCGAGCGTGTGAATTGAATTGGTCAGCATAGATGGGGTAAAGGCCCTGTCTGGTTAAACAGTAATCTGTCCACGCGGCTGATTTGCAATGTCCAGGGGCAATACTCCATTATCATTCAGTCAGGAGTGTCTTTCCAGGCGCATGAAGCGTGGATGGATGTCGGCGCGCCATGCGACCAGAATGATGCCATTGGCATGGACTCTGATATGGCAGCGTTTGCGCAAGGGAAAAGGCACCTCAAAGAATACCAGACCGAATCGCCGATTGCTTGCACATTCCATTCATGTCCGAGGAATTGAGACTGACAATTATATTTTTCGAGTTGAGTATTCCTCAGGTATGTTTATTCCAAATGACCTATGCTGGCGCTTCAGTACCTTCCTTTTCCTTCACAGGCTTCGGCCCCTTTGTCGACTTCCATTCCATGAAAAGACCGGGGACCATGGCTGTGCACGCATAAGCCAGTCCAATATAAAAGACCACGATGAGCGCATGGTTGTAAACCTTGATCACAGCTGGCAGTTGTTCTGCGCTGAATACGTTCCTTAGGTCTGTCGCACCCAGATCCGCAACATTGATCGGTGTATTGCCTGGCAGACTCTTAAGCCCCGAGATGAGTTTGTTGTCAAGAACATTCTGTGCGATGGCGACAGAGATCGTACCACCGAGACCCTGTCCGAAGAAGACGACGGACATACCGGTGGGGACGTCCTTTTTAGGAAGGACCGCCTGGGCTGCAATGTTGGTTTGTTGAAGACCGAGTCCGATTCCAAATCCATATATGACCTGGCAACCAATCCACATGGGGTGTGCGGTCGTCGGTGTGAAAAGGGTGACCAATCCTGCACCGATGGGCGCCAGGGTGGCGCCAGCGAGGATGGATGGGTTGTAATATCCGAGTTTCATGACGAGAGTGCCGGAGAAAATCGACGCTACAACCAAACTGAGAATGAATGGAAGGGTCGAGAATCCGGACCTGATCGCCGAGTCGCCCTTGATTGCTTGGAACCATATGGAAAGGTAGTAGATGACGATCATGAACGAAGACCCGAGGAAGAAAGAGTAGAGGGTGCCGGCCAGGATGGTTCTTTGCTTCATGATGCGTGGGGGTACCGTTGCAGCCTCTTGGCGCCAGATCTGGATGCCGATAAACACCATGAGGAGCACACCAAACACAACGAACAGTGCGATGATTCGACCGTCAGACCATGCATATGTCTGACCGCCCCACTGAAGGGCCAAGAGCAGACAGACAACGCAAGGGACGAAGATCAATGTACCCGGAATATCGATGCGCGAAAACTTTTCCTTGAACGGAAGATGGCCCAAGGCTGGGGCCGTGTTATCAATGGCGAAGAAGAGGAAAACCAGGACGATGGCCCCAATGGGTAGATTGATGTAAAAACACCATCTTGCATTTCGTTAGTATGGTGCGACTGGTTCTTGGTTGTCATCACTTACCTCCAAGTCACTTTAGTAGTAAATACACCTCCGAGCAGGGGTCCTGCAACCGAAGCCACACCGAACACGGCGCCGATCAGGCCCATGTAAAACGGTCGCTTCGACATGGGGGCAGCATACATCATCAGAATCATGGCGCCGTTGAACAGACCTCCAGCCCCAAGACCAGCGACGGCACGTCCCCAGATGAAGCCGACCGAATTTGGAGCAGCCCCACATACGGCGGAGCCTATCTCGAAGACCACCACAAGGCTGATGAAGATCCATTTGGGTGAGTAGAAGGTGTAGAGACGGCCGAAGAAAAGCTGTAGGGCGGTGGTGGGAAGTAGGAAGCCGGCATTGTACCAGCCGACATCTCCAAAACTGTTGAACTCGTCCGTAATCTTGGGAAGGGCGGTGGCGATAATTGTTCGATCAAGAGCAACCAGGAAAATGGTAAGGTAAACGCTCAGGAGCACTGAGACGAGTTTTGCACCGGTAGGGTAGACCTCGGCTTTACTGGTAACTTGTTCGAGAGCGGCGCCTTCATCTGCGGGATCTTTTGAGAGCTGTTCGTCGTCGGATACTGGTGCTGGCGCCTCCTTTTCCCGGAGTTCCTCGTCGGAAGTCATGGCGACGTGCGCTGGAAGATAATAGGTGGGTTGAGGGAGGTAAGGTGGAAGGAAATGAACAAGTCTGTTACAATATCTCAGGTCATGAAGATGGGAAGAAAATGTTGTTGCCTAGTAGAAAATTAGTGTATATGAGGCGTCTGGAAGATTGTGTTGACGTCGAAGGGGTTCAAAGAGTCAAAGGCGACGAGAGTCTTTTTGTGCGAGTCATTGTGCACGTGTGGTATGCAGAAACGGGAATAGCATTTGGTATTTCACGGGTCCCGATTGGTCGGAATGTTCACTCGGAGCTGTTTCGATGCCGGTTCACGGATTTAAGTCACTTGGTCAATGGATTTAGCGATTCGGCTGCATGGAGTTAATGCCCCACGATGCCCCCAAGTGCATACTTAGGTACTCAATTTAGGTGTCATTTGGGCAAATTCTTGCGCCTAGTGACCCCAAACAACTGCTTTCGGTCCTGCTAACAAACTGCCTTTCACAAGTTCGGCGCCGACGGTGAAAAACGTCTCCGGCTCCTCCTTTTCATGCTTTCATATACTTGAACCTTCTACAACCCGTTGAACCTGAAAGATTTGAGTCGATTGTAAACGTCAAGACTCAACCTGACAGCATTCTTTTCACAGTGGTCTCAAAGCTCTCAGGCTGCCGGCGAAGGAGTCGTTCAAGCTCACCATTGACGACACTGGTTTCTCCATTTCGGATGGCCTCAAATACCGTCGTCCAGTCTTTGGCGACTTGATTGCCCCCAGGCCCATGAGACCCCAGCGGAGTTGTGACCTTGCGATCGTTCGCATGATCGTCAAACGACACCTGCTCGACGGAAACTTGCTTCCCCGCCATCTTCCCAAGCAGCTCCGCCGTCTCGTTTAGGCTCCATGATTTTGGCCCACTCAGCACGATGATCTTGTTGATATATCTGGCGTTCCCTGGGTCTCCGACAAACTCCTTGATGAGATTTGCACTGGCCTCGCCCAAGTCGCTGATGCAAGCCCATGCGACTCCGGGGCCTGACCCGTTGTGCGGAACCCTCACTTTGTCGTCCGAGCCTTGCACATCGAAAAAGCCCGTGTACATGGGCCACGTTTCGGAGTATATTCCCTCCCGGATAACGGTGAAGGTGACTCTGGAATGCTTGCTGACCAGTTCCCTCAACCACGCCTCCGTCTTTAGATGTGCTTGCATGACGTATGCTGCCGATCGCGGTTGGCCATCACCTCCGAAACCCAGTGATGTGTAAAAGACATGTTCAATACCCGGACTACTGTTGAGCGCTGCCGTGATGGCCTTCTGATGAGCCTGGTAGGGTACGTTCAGCAATCATATTCATGACGTGGAGATTTGGTCTTACCTGGAAGCGGTTTTCAATTTCGATGCTGGGATAGGAGATTAGGAAAAGGTAAGATACGCCATTGAAGACGTCCTTGAAGCTCTCGGGCGCATTGTAGTCAGCTTTGCGCACTTCGATGCCGGCCTTGACCACGTCTTGTGGTATCTTGTCTGGGTGTCGAGTGATAAGAACTATCTGCTCTGGCGGCAGTATTTTCGTGATGTGCTGGTACACGCTGGTCCCCAATTTACCAGCGGCCGGGAAGATGGCAATCTTCTTTATGCTTTGAGACGACATTGCTAGCGGGATAAGTCAACGAGCGGTATGAACTCGAACAAGACCTTTTTTCCCTGACTTTAACGGTTCAAGCCGTAGGATAGCAGGTTTGTCTATCGAAAGTGAATTCCTACTGCAAGTTACCTGCCAGATTCATGTTAATTAGGTGCCGAAAACATGCATATGTCATAGCCTAGTGTAGCCTTCCTCGGACGGACCAAATTCCCATCGTATTTCTAACACCGGCCCACTTGAAACTTTCGAGATTAGGCTGAACTCCCCGCATTCTCTAGAATACCGCAAAACTTTCAAGTGCAACGATGAGTAATTCTCGTAAACTTGACTGCTATGAATGGGACACATATGCGCCAGTAGTAACTGGACGAAACGCCGCCCGTACTCTATGTAAAATGTAGTGTACAACGCTTCTACGCCTTTTCCATCGAACGCCTACCTGATCCAGCCTTTCGGTCCGCCCCACCTGCCCTTGACCATATATTTGGAGTAGACCCATGGGAAGAAATCTTTTTTCAAATGATAAAACGCCCGACGTGGAACTGCCTGATCGATACCGAACCAGCTGTTGAACGTCTCTTTGGGCTCACCACCGTACTTGAACTCGGCGAGAAGGACCTTGCCGTACTCCGTCGTGAGCGGACACGATGTGTAGCCATCGTACGTGGCATCGGATGCCTTGCCCTGCATGGATAGCAGGATGTTTCGCACCAGGACGGGTGCCTGTGACGTTATTGAGGCGACAGTCTTTGATGTCGGTAGGGATGACGCATCTCCACAAGACCAGACATTAGGGTACTTTTTGTGCTGTGTCGTTGCTTGATCCACGTCGACATAACCAGCCTGGTCCGCCAAAGCACTGTCCTTTACGAATGCATGAGGTCCCATCTTGGGCACGGCATGCAAGAAGTCGAAACGCCTTGTGACCTTGTCTTTTCCGTCCGGACGAGCAAACGTAGCAACGTCGCCATCGACCGCGACGAGGTCGTGCTGGAACAGCCCTTCAACTCCCCTCTCGACACGTAACTGTTCGAGTGCGGCACTGTACTTGGGTACGCCGAACATGGCTGGAAGACCAGTGGCGAATGAAATTTTGATCGGTGACTCCGCACCGGGGTTGTACAATCCGGCCCGTTTCCAATAGTCCAGTGCCAGCCACATGAGTTTCTGCGGCGCACCAGCACACTTGACAATCCCAGCCGGTTGAGTGAACAGCGCGGCACCGCTGGAGAGTTTCTGAATGCTGCGGAATGCCTTGTCGCAGAAGTCGTAGCCGTAAATGGAGGAGACAAGAGATTTCGGATCGGCGAGGGCCTCTGGCAGGCCTTTGACGCTGTCGAAATTGACCTTGATGCCGGGCGCGACCACGAGCTGTTGGTAGCCGAGCTTGTCGCCGTTGTCCAGCGTAAGGGTGTTCTCTTCTGGGGAGAAAGACCCGACACCATTGTTGTAGAACTTGAATTTGGGATCAACCAGGCTGTTCAGGGGCTCTCGAAGATCCTCCTTGTTTTTCAGACCACCACCGACCAGCGTCCATCCAGGCTGGTAGTGGTGCCATTGGGCTGGGTCGACTATCGCAATGTCATTTTGGGAGAATTTTCCTGATCGCAGGAGCTGATGGCTGACAGCTAGTCCGGCACTGCCTCCACCGACCACCACGATCCGATGGTCTCGAGCAAGTGGATTTGCTGGTAGTACTGTTGCGAGGTTTCGCACTTGTTGGCCACGCACTGTGCGACTGAGCGAGCGCCCGGCAGCACACGCTGCAGATGTTGCGCGCTGGAGAAGCATTATCAGATGTGAGAACAGGGGAATGAACGCATGGTCATGCTATCAGATACAGACGAAATAAATATTTCGAGGAACGCGAAACGGTACGACAGATGGATACATAACCAAAAGATATCACGAGATGGTGACCCACATGTTGCAGAAATTGTAAAATTTGGTTTCTTCGGCGAGCTGACGGCGGGTGACAGGCACTCGGAACCAGATCGCATTCCGATAAGCAACTTGATGAGTCAGGTCGGCAAAGCAGTTTGGTGAGTAAGGTCGGCGAGCAGGTCGATAGATTTATGCAGTGAGCAGGATATGATTTAGCGGAAGGATGACCGTGCAGTGGGAGGCCGACCAGGTCGGCGAGCAGGACCAGTCACGTGTCAGTCCCCGATTTCCCGGGAGGTCCGGCTCCAAGCATAACGGAGAGTGCTTAAGGAGGCCGCAGCCTTGTCGGTCTGATGGATTTCAAGTGTACGTTTCAACTGTCGCTCGACTGTGTTTTCGTCGTTCCTGGATGCTAAGCTAAAATGACGTGTGTGCGACCCTTTCTCAACGATGCTCGTCACGGGATGAAGGCTCTATTCCCAGCAAGGACCACCACTCCAGCATCCGTTCATTCTTGCAGCAGTTTCCGCCCTTCGCAGCAACAGATTAAAACCATATCATACCAAACCTGGTCTTGGCGAGATGCTGCTTCGAAACCCAAATCGACCAGTACACCGCCTTCCAAGAAACAAGTAGCTCGTGCGCCTTCCCATGCTCGTCCGAATGTCAGGCGAAGCCTCCACACAGAAGTTTCAAATCGAGCTTCGTACAGCAACGAAGCACCCATGACCAAGGAACCGACCATCCACGACATCTTCGAGCGCAATACAGGAACATGGCAGTACGTGGTCGCAGATCCATCCAGCTCAGCCGCCGTCATCATCGATCCTGTCTTGGACTTCGACGCAGCCACCCAAAAGGTGACAACGCAGGCAGCCGACTCACTACTCGCCCTGGTCAAGGGCAAAGGCTTAAATGTTGAGATGATCCTTGAAACGCATGCTCATGCAGACCACCTTTCAGCAGCGTCGTACCTCCAGAACCACCTTACCCGACAGCAAGGCCACAAACCGCTCATTGGCATTGGAAAGCGTATAGGGCAGGTACAGAAAATGTTCGGGCAAAGGTACGGCGTACCGGCGGAGGAGTACCGAGCTGTATTCGACAAGCTCTTTGATGACGACGAGACTTTCAACATTGGTGGTTTAACAGCCACCGCCATCCACCTTCCCGGCCACACACCCGACCACATGGGCTACAAGATTGGAGGTAAGACTCTAATCCACCATCTGTGATCGAGTAGAGCCGACTGACATGACTTTCCAGACAACGTGTTTTGCGGCGATACTATCTTCCACGCAGATATCGGCACTGCCCGTTGCGACTTCCCAGGCGGTAGTGCAAATGACCTTTACGGCTCACTGCGAAAGCTCCTTGGGTTTCCTGAACATGTGAAAATCTGGACGGGGCATGACTACCCTCCAGAAGAGCGCGGTAACCCCATATCTTCAATGAGTGTTGGAGACCACAGGGCCCAGAACAAGCACATAAAGGACGGTGTCAGTGAAGATGAGTTTGTGAATCGGCGGAAGGAACGCGATGCGACATTGGCTGCACCGAAGCTACTCCACTCGTCCCTGCAAACGAACATCCGGGCAGGACGACTTCCCACGCCCAACGAGTCTGGGCAGCATATACTCCATCTTCCTTTAGACGTGCAGAGCGAGAAATGGTAAGCGTAGGAGACTGGCGATGGACAGAGAAGATCGGAGGTGGTGGCAGGCGTACGCTCTCTGCTCCACGCCATTGAGGATGCTCCAGTGTTCGCATCTGCAACTCAACATTTGCCAACTCTGCAGACAGATATTCAGCCATCCTGATACATTTTTTCAACCTCCTGCGCGTTTTTCTGGTGGTCTTCTTGAGGCGAGGGATTGCCTCTGGAGACGAATCGCCCGCACCATATTCGGCAAGCCTGATTTCGAGCGTTTTTCTGGCCATAGGCAAAAGATCGCTACGCTGTCGCTGGTCCCCTAATGCGTGCTGGAGATATTGTCGTTGTTGTTGCAGTTGCGAGTACTGCGAGACGCATAGCGTTGGTCCTGGAAACATGGTGGTGGTGGAAGAGCATAGCACTTTGAATAGATGTGCTTTCGTTGACCGCGGTAGGTTCAGGATCAGATTTCTTGACGGTTATTGATTCCATGTCGCCTATCTATAGAACGGAACTCACTGCCTTTGCTTGTTGCGTGGCCCTGATTGACTCATCTCACAAAGAGACAAGGCTGAGCCGGAAGGAGCTCGGACGAAGGAGGGTGGAGCACCACAAACATGATGCCGATTTGGCTGATTGTGCACGAGCGTATAGGCTCACACATTCCAGCCGCCGTGTCTAGCAGCTTCAGCAAACCTCCACAGACCAGCATCGCGTGCGGCTTTCTGCACAATTCCAACCTCCTCTTTGTCCACAGGTCGATTGATTTCAGCGTAACGCTTCTCTTTGCCAGCTTTGGAGCCTCTGTTCTCCTTGCCGACATGTGCATTTGGATAATACTGCTCCATAACATTGACAAATACGTCTTTACCAAGAGTCTCAGCAAGCCACTGCATGATCTGGACTCCTTCGTGCTCCTTGCCAGGCATGACGAGATGACGGACCAAAAGTCCTTTCTTAGCAATACCATCGCCCGTGAAACACAAGTCGCCAACTTGTCGGTACATTTCCTGAATGCTTTCTTTGGCCGCATCAGCATATGCGTCTGCCTTGAGGAGTCGCTTGCTGGTCTCGTTACTCCAGACCTTGAAGTCTGGTAGATAAATATCAATCAGGCCATCCATCAATTTGAGACTTTCCAGGCTGTCAAAAGCACTGGTGTTGTACACGATAGGCACATTAAGCCCCATGTCTCTGGCAGCTAGGATTGCCAACGCCACTTGAGGCACCACATGTTCCGGAGTGACGAAGTTGATGTTGTGCACGTTTCCCACCTCTTGTAGTTTCAACATCCATTCCGCAAGTTCATCGGGCGTCAAGTCAAATCCCACTTTTTGATGTGCGATGTCGTGGTTCTGACAGAACACACAACGCAGGTTGCAGCCACTGAAGAACACAGAACCGGAACCATGGTGACCTTGCAGGCAGGGCTCCTCGCCGAAATGTGGTGCAATAGTTCCGATCTTGACCGTTTCAGCGCCTATCAGACAGTGCCCTGTGGTCTCGTAGCGGTTGACATTGCACAACCGGGGACATAGATTGCATTGGCGGAGGTGAGCATATGCGGCGGACCGTTTCTTCGCAGCATCAGCCGAAGAAATGAGATGATATCTCGGGATGTAGTCGTCGAGCAGAAAGGGCGGAGCGAGATGTAGGCTTCTTCGATTTGGCTTGATGCGTTTGAACTCGGGTAAGGCACGAGATCGGATCGTGCTCGGCCGTGTTGCGGCTGGCTTAGCGAGGGATGATCTGAACATGGTGACCTCTCAGGGAGTAGGCGAACATATTCATAGGTCACCGCTCGGGGAGGACGGTGTCCTTGTGATAGAATGCAAAGATGTTGTTGATGAGAAGCAGAGAATTGACACACATCCCATTCGACGAGATGGACGTCATTTCCCCGGCTCATCCTCGCTGCAATGCAATGCGGCTCCATCAAAGGTGGTAAAGTAACCTTCCGCATGTCACTGCTTAGTGAGTTACACACATAATCCAAAACGCTGCATGCGCCATTCGGTGCAGACGGCAACAGCGACAAGCATTCCGATTGCTTATAACATCCAGCTTTGAAATCCCTCTACATTCCGAACTTCCAATCTTTCAACCTTCTGCGACCCCATCCTCCGTCCACTACCATGCGCGCCATAATCGCGGTACCGTGCATTGTCGCGCTCGTCCTTCGAGCATACACCCGCAAATCCCTCACGATCATAGGCTGCCTAGTCGCAGGCCTAACTGCGAGCATCCACGCCCTTCATCCGTCAGCAATCCCCTTCACTCTACTAGGCACGTTCTTCCTCCTCGGCACATCCGCAACCAAGGTCAAACACGATATCAAAGCGACCCTCACACAGTCCAGTAGCGGCAGCTCCGGCGGCGATGGACCACGCACGAGCGTACAAGTCGTTGCCAACAGCGGCTGTGCAACCCTCTTGATCCTGATACACGTATGGCTCTATGGTCTCGGTAACACCACCGCACCGCAATGTTTTGGGGGAGGTACAACAGCAGACATTCTCCTCATGGGCATAATGGCCAACTACGCCGCAGTAGCAGCGGACACATTCTCAAGTGAACTGGGGATCCTGTCAAAAAGCAAACCCGTGCTCATCACGAGTTTACGCACCGTCCCTCCAGGTACCAATGGCGGTGTCACTCTTGCGGGCCTGTTGGCCGGTGTGGGAGGGAGTGCCGCCATGGCAGTAACGAGTCTATTGCTGCTTAAATTCTGCGGGGCTGGTCAGAGCGGACGTATACAAACATTTCTCTTGCTCACTGCTCTCGGCACTGCGGGTACGCTGCTCGACAGTCTTCTTGGGGCGGTCCTGCAGGCGTCAGTGGTGGACCGGCGGACGGGCAAGGTTGTCGAAGGTCTCGGAGGTGCCAAAGTCTTGACGAAACCTCGCCAGCCGCAACATGGAGCCGAGGATGCTGGTAGCAAAGGCCACGAAACTCGTGTCATCAATTCCGGAAAAGACGTCCTGGACAACAACCAGATCAATCTTCTTATGGCCTCAATCATGACTATATGCGGCATGGTCGTAGGCCAGCTGGTACTGATGTAATGATATGATATGTATATCGTGTCAATTATATCCTCCATCCACGTCCCTCGAGTATTAGCTATCCTTGGTACGCATTTCCGTGTGATATCAAAATATATCCAGGCCAAACACCATCGTCTCAGTCATTGCTGCATTCCGGGTATCATGTCATCCCAATCTACTAAACTATTCCAAAAATCCATTTCTACCCAGGAAAGCTTTTCCTCCCATACCAAGCGCCAAACTCCGCAATGCCATGAAAAGCATTAGAACACAAGCACTGCCAATATGACAGCCATGAAAGGCCAGCCACCAAGTTGCAGAAGGGACAGACGTGGTGCCGATGCACCACTGTCAGTCTCAGTTGCAGACTGTGTCGACGATGCCGCCGTATGGGACTTCGATGCTGTCGTTGACTTGACGCTACCTAGCGTTGTCGTGGTTTGCGATGGAGGTGCCGTCGGCACAATAGTCGTCGAGTCCAGACCGACTCCTCCGGGTCCAAACGATATCGTCTCCCCAGCAATGGTCGTCTTCACCTGAGAAGCATCAGATCCGATTTGATAGGTCGTACCAGCCACGACCACTTCGCTCTGATCCACCGAAAATGTCAGGCCTTCAGTCGTGTACACGACGAACGGCGACGTGACCAGAGTAGCAGGCGCTATAGTGGTGCTGGGTAATCCCACACCGTCGGAGCCGATTGAAACCTTGGTTCCATGAACAATTACCGTGGTTGCCGGCGCATTCGCACCAATTCTGTAGGTCGTGCCGGATAAGATGGCAACGGTCGGTCCAACGGTGAAGGTCAGATCGCCGACAGTCGTGATGAACGATACGGTTTGCACAGGTGCAGACGTCATGGCTACATTGTTCTGCTGAACTCGTGTTATGGTGATCGTGGCGGAAGGAGCGACTATCTCGGATGGATGCACTGTGAATGTCGCGCCATTGGCTTGTACGGTGGTTGCAGCGGCGGTTGGGATCGCAATTGTTTGACTGCCAATAATGACATCGGAAGAGGAGACAACGACTCGGACGTTATCAACCGTCGTCGTGAGCGGTGCGATAGCGTTTGCAGAAGTCGTCGGTGCCGGCGTGGCGAACGGTGAATTGAGGATGGAAGCAATGATGTTCCCAAGGCCTAATTTCGTCGATGTCGTTGCGACCGACGTGCTCTGGCCAGTTCCAGCTCCAGCTTGATTCGGGGTCGGCGGAGAGCTTGTGGCAACGATGTTCGTCTTCGCACCTGGATTGGTGTTACCTCCGCTTCCACTTCCTGCAGTATTGCCGTTCTTGCTCGATCCTTCTCCTGTATTTCCGCTGCCACTGTTACTACCTGAAGTCGAACTCGACCCTGTATAACTGTTGCCGCCACTGCTGCCTTGATTCGATCCTCCGGTACCACTGCCACCAGTACTGCTTGCTTGCGAAGCTCCCCCAGAGTTGCTGTCCCCGCCTCCATTTCCGCCCCCTGGCGCATTGTTCCCACCAGGGCTTGCTGTGCTTGACGTCTTTCGCGTCGTGGGAGAGGGCGGCGAAGGCGCTGAAGCGGGCGAGATAGATTGGAAGTTGACGGCAGGAGAAGTGGTTGAAGGAGCGACCACCGTGACTGGTGTCTTCTTGGTGACGATGACCGTGCTCGTATATGAGGCGCTGGTGTATACTGGAGTGGCTTGAGTGGCAGCCGGTGCGAACGGTGGTGCGGTCGCCGTCTCTTCAGGACTCGCGGTCGCTACCTGTGGGAGACTGGCAGGGAATATCTGTGGGACGAGTCCACCAGTCCGGGTTGGACTTGCCGTTTCCGCGGTTGCATTGGCAGGTATGAATGGGGCGTTCGACGCTCCTGGTACGGCTCCAGGTATTACTGTGGCCTGACAAGCAGGCAATGGAGTTATCAAAGTCGCAGTGTCCGTCACAGACACATTGCTGGCTGTAACAGTCACGTCAAAGCCTTCGGTGACCGTAACGTATACGGTAGGAGGGACCGCCCCTACATATGTGACAGATCCAGTACATGTTGGTGTATCTGTCGTGCTGTTTAAGAAAACGGCAACACTAGAGTTGGTCCATGAACCTGTAGAGATGACTGGCAAGGAAGGTGGTGCTAGAGATGTGCTAGTGGTTGTAGTCGAGGAGTTCGAAAGCGCCGTTGAATTGGTATAAGCCACACCTCGCGGGCCTTTGTTGCTATATTTGAGAGCCAGCCGTCTACTCAATGTGGGATCTTGCGCGGAGGCTGCTGCGGCTGAAAGCGAAACGAGAGACCAGGAGAGATGCATGTCGCTATTTCGTAGAGCGACTTGTTCGTCTTCGACCGTTCAAGCGAATGTTCAATATCTGTCGTGTCGTTGAAAGCGAGCGAATGTGCCAAATTTGCACTATGGTTGCGGTACCTCAATTACTCATTTCGACACTGAAAGCGATCGACTCTGGCGCATTAAGCGCCACCTTCAATACCTCGTCGATCTGATACCGACGGGTTCTGTCCGTAACGGCTTCTGTCCAAGCGGGTGTGTTTGATGTGAAAGAATAGGAAGCCATGAAAGCAGCAGAAGGCGATAGCTTGAGAAGTCTCAGACCTTTGGGTGATAACCCTTGGAAATTCGCCTGGGGGAGGTGGAGATCCAGAGCAGGATTTGCGGAGTTTCATTCACTCAAGGCTTCAGGGCTTGGTCGTGTTGCTTGCATGATGCATGATTGAGTTGGGACGGTCCGGTAAGGCCAGCAATCGACAACCCGCTCATCGCAGCCTCGGGACATTCGACTGGCTGACAGTGGCTAATGGCGCTGATTGCAGTGGGCTCCCGTAACAAGACGGGAAAGGTCACCTCAATCGGGTGGAAAAGGTGTGTGGAAGTGGCTGCTCGATTGGTGTCGCATCTCAACCAGGGTTTTGGGCTTCAAGATTGGTTTGATTGCGCCAATTAGCCACTCACAGTTGGGTTTTTCCGAGACCAAAGTCTCAGTTTGACTTTCATAGTAGGGCCGAAATGTCACTCCGGATGGGCGGGAGGCTGCATCCACGAGGCGACATTATGGGGTCTCGACTGCCTATCTCCCTCATATCGTTCCTGAATCCTGACCATAACATACCTAGGTAGCCTTATCACAGTGTGGGAGGATAGAGGGTTGTCGACCTTTGATCAGCTATCGTGCGAAATCCTTTTCAATCCCTATGCCAGGCAGGCAAATCCTTCTCCGGGATGAGTCTTCCAAGCTGAGCAGATTTAAGACCTGATACATGACGATATGCCTCCTCAAAAATGTTGCCTCAAACTCTAGGTACGCACAGATTCCACTTGTCCCTTGCATCCGATCAGTGTCCTGCTTGGCGCGTTACACTGATCTGTCGAATGCTCTTAAACCTCCCTGAATTAGTCGAGCAACTCCATCGAGTACTTGCTTGGCAGTTTCTTGTCGCGGAGTCGAGTTGTATTCTACGGGTAACATAACGGCATTTAGGCCGTAGGGACCACCTGCTCTCTGTGCAAAATCTGCGACCCGCCGAGTCTGCCTTGTCGCATGGATTCAGAGACCAAGACCGAGTGAGTTCCTTCCTGAGATTGCGGGCCCGGAAAAGGTGAAACCACACAATTATGACGCGACAATGTATCTTCCTGTCCGAACCTAGTTACTACTTATAAGGTCATGGTAATGGACAACAGCAGAAAAGCATTGGGGCCACTTCGAATGATTGCGACGTCTTTCGGGCCCAACCAGGAGTACGACAACCAGAGTCTGCACTTGATACACTAAGCGTGAATTCTCATAGGAGAAGATCATAATGTCGGTTCTCGCTCTCGCTGGACGATCACGTCCAATCTCGAGAACTAACAGGTGGCAGCGCGGTACGAACTGGTAGGAAACTCCCAAAAGACGCGCACAAGCACCAGATCGAAAGAAGTAGTGACAGTCTTCTCTTTTGGTAGATATATACATACAGTACGACAAGGGTCGCGCCCATCTTTGATAGAGGTTGATGCGGGAGCCCTGATCACAAACGGTGATGACCCAAATGTTCATGGGGCAGTGCATCAGGCTTTTAAGGATGAAAAAGTCTATCGAGGGAGTCTGGGCGCCAGAAACCCAATCCTCAGGGTCCTCTCGTGCCTCTCTAAGTGGTACTGTATGGGATGGAGCCCCTGACACGCATTCCTTTGGGACCCTGGTCAGACTTTTTCGTCTTAGTGTTGATGGAAGCGAATTCTCCATTCACCCCAATGCGCGCATGACAGGATCGAGGGCTGTCAGCACACGTACAGTACTGTACAGTATCTACGTTGACTACTGGTAAACTGCTCCCTTTCAACTTCGACGACACAGAAACGGCATGCGCTCATTTGCATAGTATTTACTCCCTCCTGGGCTGTATTTCTTCGATACTCTCGCTATTGCTAGGACCTGCTGGTGGGACCCTCCCTTGTTGAATTTAATTGTCACGGAATACGCAATCAGGTCATCTCCAGTTGACCCCCCAGACACCGTCCTGATTCTATCAATTGCCGACTGCAATATATGCCGATGGACGGCCTGCTACTCAAAACGGCGACGTGATGCGCGACTCCAAGTCCATTCTTGCACGGCCATGCCCACTCTCTTCCTACCGCAGCCTTCTGCTGGTGGCAGGCCTGTTACCACAGTTTGCTTTGGCCTCAAGCCAAAGTCCTCAACCGATCGTCGCGTCCACGAATACGGATTTTCTGGGTTATGATGGCTCGTGGTCCACGGTCAGCATCCGCGTAGGATCGCCCGACCAGTGGCTGGACGTTCTGCCGAGCACAATAAGTCAAGAGACATGGGTAATCGGTCCAGCTGGGTGTGATAATACCACCACATGCCAGAATAAACGAGGAGGCCTGTTCGCTGCAATGGCTTCAACCACCTGGGTGGCGGAAGGCCTCTACGAACTCGACTTCGACACTCGCCTGGGTGATCAGGGGTACGGGTACTACGGACTCGACACCATCGCCCTCGGCGACACTACCTCTGTCACTGAGCAGATCATCGCCGTGGTGAACTCCACAGATGAATGGATCGGTAATCTTGGCCTTGGGGTTCAAGATACTCGTTTCAGTGGGAGCGAGAACAATCTGCCGTTCTTGTCGAGCCTGGTTGAAAACGGGAGCTACATTCCGAGTCACAGTTACGGCTATACGGCTGGGGCTTCCTATCGTAAGTCCTGCAATGAATCCTTGCTGGTGTACCCACTAATCTCGATACTAGGCCTCAAAGGTGTCCCAGCTTCGCTCGTTTTTGGGGGCGTTGACGCAAACAAATTCATTCCAAACAGCGCCACATTTTCATTGACCTCCAACTATTCTCCTGTCCTTGCTATCAATGAGATAATAGTCTCCTCGTCGGCCTCGAATGGCGGCTCTTTGCCTTCCAACTGGGATGCGAACCCTGTCAGTCTGCTCCAAGCTAGTCAAGCTGGCTCCAATCTATATACGATCGATTCATCTACACCCTTCCTGTGGCTTCCGGAGTCAGCTTGCGATGCTTTCGCGAGCGCTTTGAACCTGACATATGACGACAACCTCCAGCTATACTTGTTCTCAAATGACAGCTTTTCATCTCCGGACCTCCTCGCTTCCTGGAACTTGACCTTCACCTTCGCACTCAGCGACACGACTGGGTCCTCGGACGTGATCCAACTCACGCTACCATACGATGCATTTAACCTACAGCTATCATATCCTTTTCCCAACCTCGCCGCCAACTCTTCCTCTCCCGCAACCAATTATTTCCCTCTTCGGAAAGCAGCAAACTCAACCCAATACACAATCGGCAGAGCTTTCTTGCAGGAAACCTATCTTACTGTGGATTATGAGCGCAACAATTTCTCTATTTCACAGGCCATTTTCACTGAAGAAGCTGTGAACAATGTAAACCTGTTGGCGATCACTCGTCCGAGCAGCAGTATATTCCCTGGACCTAAGACTGGCAGCTCAGGCATTACAGCCGGCCAAGCTGCAGGCATCGGCGTTAGCAGCGCCATGACTGTCTTGCTGGTAGCGGCATTGATCTGGTGGCTGTGCTTCAAGCGAAAACGCTCCAAGAAAACTACCACGTCCGAAAAGCCCATGAAGCGGAGCTTATTCGCCAGACTACACCGTGCGCCCCAATCAAAGACATCGTTCTCCGAGCTTCTCGGCGATAGGCGGCAGCCTACAGAAGTCCCTGCCGATGCTTCAGCAACCCGGTACGAAATGTCAGGAGATACACCTATTGAGATGCCAGCGGATCCCGTATCCCCCAGATATTTGGCGACCAGTGCTGATAGCGAGCAAAGAACGTCCGGCCTCTTGAGAAACAATCCCAGACGCCTAGTAGAGCTCGAGAATCAGGATTCATCAGCAAAGGCAGCCGAGGCAGCCGCTAGCGATAGGTCGGTGTCCCCCGTACCTCCATATTCGCCGGCCGAGATCAGCGACAATCATTTTAGCAGCAGCGGTGTCAGTCCTCACAGTGTCCAACACAGTCCCGGCTTTGGCACCGCATCATCTGGAGAACAGGGTATCAGCCCGATTGCCGCCAACAGTCAGCGAAACTCCAGGCAGCTGAGCAGCGGGTTTGGAGTGCCCAGCCCAATATCGCCACAAGCAACGTCTACGGCTCCACAACATGCTACACAACTCTCAAGCGACAGCCCCTCCATGAACACCAATCGTAACAGTCTCATGATACCTCAATTGAACGGACGACCTCCATCTCGGTCGCCGAGTACAGGGAGCAGATTCGTGGAGGAAGGCTTGACCACTGTGGCAGATGACCGGCAGCCTACTTCCGCCCTGAGGCCGGCCTCTCAGGGCAGACGATTCAGTTGGGAACAATGACGTTCCACCACAATTCCTACAACTATTTGTGACGATTTTGAATGACTTGAATGTCTGTAATGATACTGCCATAGTCCGGGAGGATGGAATGGTCTCAACTTGCCAGTTTTGGGGCGTAAGTGAGATCTTGTGGCATCACCGTTTTTGTGCTCCGCAATAATGAAAAGCGGTTTCTCATCCATCTACACGTTGGACAAGTTAGACCCTAAACAGAAGCGTATTTGAATGTTGCCATGCCCGGTGACCTTGACCTTGCTAAAAGCTACCAGAATCAAGTGACCTAATATAGGTGAATAGAGGAACTTGCGCTGGTTTGTGAGTGTGTCATTGTGACTGCTTAGTGTTCATAAGGCTGCTGAGGCCGCGGCAAGGCTGAGAAACCTCCAATTCGTACGTCACCCCCAAGTCCTTAAAACACCAAAACGTCTACCCACGAAGTGATTGAACGCGTCAAGAGTACAACGCCGATTGTGCTCGCCACCGATCGTCCTGAGCTATCATGGCCTTGCGCGACTGCTTACGATTTCCTTAGAGACCAAAGGTCATGGCGCTCACGAGCTGGAAACAGTTCCCATTCTTCAATGTGTCCCAGGTGCCTGTACCTGCGGACGAAGATGGGTCGTACGTCTTCGATGTACGTCTTACCTCGAACACACGATTGTCTCTCGCTAACCTCGTCTGCAGAATGACACTGTCTCTATCGCCACCGGCACCGACTCTCTCTTTCTAGGCTCCTCCGATGGCTCAGTCCGAATCCTATCACGAGCACTCAAGGTCGTACGTACCTTTCAGGCTGCGGATGCCCATGATGTTTCGGTCACGCATATAAGGCAGATACCATCTACGCCCTACCTAGTCACCATCTCGGAAAATCTGTCAACAGATCCGTCGTTAAGAGTATGGGCCTTGGACAAAACCGAGAAACGGACAGGGGCACCTCGATGCCTATGTACAGTTGGCGTTCAGAATGGCAGGAGACAATTCCCAGTATCGGCACTCGTTGTGCTGGACGATATGACCCAGGTTGCAGTCGGATTTGCCAACGGATCCGTCACTGTGATTCGAGGGGATTTCATTCACGATCGCGGCACCAAGCAGCGAACAGTTTATGAGTCCGAAGATCCAGTCACAGGATTGGAAGTCCGACAGGGCGCCACCAAAGTGCTGTACATTGCAAATACGGCAAAAATATGCAGCCTGGTCATTTCTGGCAAAGGCCAGGGCCAACCAGTGCGGACAGTCGACAATCGAGGCTGCAATGTAGGATGCATGACTCAAGATCGCGAGACAGGCGACATAGTCGTTGCGCGAGAAGACGCAATCTACAATTACGGTCCGAACGGACGAGGACCAAGCTATGCCTTCGAAGGCCCCAAGAAGTTTGTGAAGATGTACAAAGAGTATATCGGTCTGGTATGTCCGCCACGAGTCGCACAGATGTCAAAATCAAAGACGTTCAGGAGACTTGGAGGTGACGAGATTGATGAATTGTTCAGTAGCTCTTCTTTCACGCTGCTGGACACTGATCTCAAGTACATTGCCCACACCGAATCTTTACCGGCGCAGGTGAAAGATGTGTTCGTCGAGTGGGGAGAGCTCTTTCTGCTCACCATCGAGGGAAAGCTATACAGATATCAAGAGAAAACGCTACAGCAGAAGCTTGAAATCCTCTATCAGAGCAGCCTCTACATTTATGCTATCAACCTGGCACAAAAAGCGGGTGCGGACAAGGTTCAGCAGAACATCATATTCCGAAAGTACGGAGACCATCTTTATCAGAAAGGCGATTATGACACGGCCATGCAGCAATACCTGAGGGCCATTGATAACACGGAACCATCACAGGTCATCCGGCGTTTCTTGGACACTCAGAGGATCCACAACCTCATTGACTATCTAGAAGAGCTGCACGAACATGACAAGGCGACTGCTGATCATACTACATTATTACTGAACTGTTATGCTAAGTTGAAGGACACGGATAAATTGGATGCATTTATACGCGCTCCAGGAAGTGCGAAATTTGACATTGATACAGCTATTGCCATGTGCCGGCAGGGCGGATACTTTGAACAAGCGGCGTATCTTGCCACGAAACACGGCGAGAATGAATTGGTCATAGACATCTTGATCGAAGACTCGAAGCACTACGCAGAAGCCCTCCAATTCATATGGCGCCTCGAACCTGCTGCAGCCTATCCTGTCTTGATGAAGTATGCTCGGAGTCTGATTGAGCATTGTCCTCAAGAGACTACCAAGCTGTTTATCGAGTATTATACCGGCAGATACGCCCCGAAAAAGGACGTTCCAGCAGTGTCTGAAGTGCAAGCACAGACTGGGGGCGGTGCCTTTGAAAAACTTTCCGCTCTTTGGACCTTGCCTTTCATGAATCGATCATCCACAGCAAATGGAGCAGTGCCAGCCATCGTCGCACCTGAAATGACCGAAGAGGTCGATGAGCCGGTCGAGCAGCCTCCAGCTTACACCATACCACGCCCTCGCAGCGCCTTCTCGGCATTTCTTGCACATCCGGCCGAGTTTATCACATTTCTGGAAGCTCTCGTGCTTCAGGATAATTTGTCGAAAGCAGACAGATCGGACCTCTCGACTACTTTGTTTGAGATGTACTTAGAGAGTGCCAACAGTGCACACGACCCTACAGAAAAGGAGAAATGGCAGCTCAAAGCCATCAGTTTGATTGCAGACAACAAGACTGCGTCTCTGGATGAATCTACTATCGACACCTCGAACGTGCTGCTTCTGTCTTCGCTCACCAAGTTTTCAGCAGGTACGACTCTGGTGCGAGAACGGGAGAATCTTTACGCCGACATATTTCGTTCATTCACCTCGGCGAAGGACACGTCTGGTGCGATATCATCACTGAAGAAGTACGGACCTAAAGACCAGTCTCTGTATCCCCTTGCCCTTGGCTATTTCTCTTCGTCAGCGGAAGTGCTTAAGGAGCCGGGCGTCCAAGATGAACTTCAAAATGTGCTTCGAACAATCGATCAAGAAAACCTCATGGCGCCACTCCAAGTGGTCAAAGTCCTGTCACAAGGTGGTGCCGTCACGATGGGCATGATCAAGTCTTACCTCTCGGACAACATCCGGAGGGAAAGAAAAGAGATCCAAGCCAATCGACGTCTGATCGACTCTTATCGGACAGAAACAACCGCGAAGAAGTCGGAGCTGGCCGATCTCGAAACGAAGGCGGTCGTCTTTCAAGCACGGCGATGTTCGTCGTGTGGAAGGAACCTGACCTTACCGACGGTTCACTTCATGTGTAAACACTCGTTTCACCAGGAATGTCTGAACAAGCCTGGGGTGGGCATGAAAGAGGACGACAAAGTCGATTGTCCAATCTGTAAGCCTGGCAATGATACCATCAGAGCGATCCGTAGGCAGCAGGTGGAGAGCACTGAGCAGCATGACCTGTTCAAGGCAGCCTTGGCGCGAAGCAACAACCGATTTGGAACCGTGAGCGAGTTCTTTGGACGAGGAGTCATGGGCACAGTGCCTGCAGCAGCAGAATGACCGACGGATTATGTATCATGATCGGAGATTCGAGATACTTTAATCAGTCATGCAGTCTGGAGTGCATGTGGCATTGCAGTTCTTTGGGCATTGATAGGGAGATGCACGCCAGTCTCGGATGTCAAACGGCAAGCCTAACGCAAGGCTAATGGGAAACCGATGATGCGTCTCTGCACTTATGTGCAATCGTCAGTGTCAATGAAAAGGTATTGGACACTCCTGCCCAGCCACGGACAAATTTCTCCAGCGAGGTCATTCCTGTATTTCGTGTATGAGTCGACATATTCTCTGAGCCTCCTGCTCGTCGCTCACATGTCGTCTGTTCAATACCAACATGGGCATCTAACAAATTTTTCCTATTTGTAGGGCTGTGTTCAAGGGTGTTACGGTGGTGGAGTGGATGTGGCGTGGCGGGGAACAGACGGACTGCAGTCAGTGAGGGGCTGGTGACCAGGGCCACAACAACAACAGTAACTTAGTGGGTGGTCTGTGTGGGTATGGGACACGTTGTTTCTCTTCTTAACAGTAGAGAATTGAATATCATCCGGCTGTTAGATGCGAGAGAGGCAGAACAGCTTAGAAAGAACTCAAATGCATACTGACCATTCTACAGACAGAACATATAGATAGCAACGCCTGAGTGAGTGGTGAACCACTCATAGGAGCTACCAATCAACCCTGAAATGGGCTCGAAAGAAACGGAAATATTGTACCCAGAAAGGTAGTTGTACGGTGCCTGTATGTGTCTAACTGTCATACCCCGAGGACAGTGCCGCATGCCTGTTCCCAGTCTTGTCATCTCAAGAATAAGGAACCGTGAAAGCCTGAACCTAACTAAAGGGCCTGACCCGAATTACCACATCAATACTGTACAAAAGGTTAAGAAGATCATCATCATAAACATTCTTCAAACTCACTCAGCTTGCGTATCTTTTTATTCTCCCTGTTATTATTGTTCATTCTTTCTCCTTGAACGAACCTTACGTTCCACTTGTCTCGATTTTCTCGGGGTTTCGCGTCTTGTACAGTGGCAAACGAAGATTACAAAAGCAAAGAGGCCGAGTGTGTGGCGTGGTGTGGGCGCAGTCAGCCGGCGTGTGGAAAGCAGCGCGCAATACGGATACAGCACAACGCAGCGCAGCGCAGCCGCAGGCGGACCGAGCAACCCTGGACCTGTGGACTTGGACTTGCCTTTGCCTTTGCCTTGACCACCTGCACACCGTCGGAAACCTGGAATCAGAACCATCACCACTAACTGCACCCATTGCGTCCTTGCTCGCCTACAACCCTCAATTGTCCTACATACTCCGTCAGACGACCTAATGACCTTCTCTTGCTCGTGGAAATTTCAATGACAATCTCACTCGACTATCCATAAACACCGCCGCTTTCTTGGTCGCGCGAGCACATTCTTCCCCGTCCGACCTCACCCCGGTCAACAAATGTTACCTCATTTGTGTCATCAGTTGTATGCACCACTAGGCTAAGCCCATGACATTATTCCTCACCGCAGTCTGACACCATCAACCTTTATCCTCTTTCCTCCACTCTCCAGTCATGGCGGACACCGATCAAGCCATTGCGGAGGTCTACCGCAAGATCGAAAGAGAAAAGGCCCTTATCAATGCAGCTACGCATATGCGACAGTCCACAAACAATGCTGCAGTTCAGGCACGTGTAGACAGCAACATCCGTGATGGGAGGCGGAACATCAGCTATCTCGAAGACAAACTGCAAGAGTTGCAACTGCGTAAGCGGGGAAGAAGCGATGAGGGCGCTCCCACCCCACCGGCTCATGGCGGTGGTGGCTACCAGACACCCGATGGTCGCGGTCAACGACAATATAACGTCCCAGCACCTCCTCCTAAAGATGGGCGAGGAGGATATGGCTCACGGGATAGGGGTGACTACGGTGATGCCGGCCCTGGCGGTTACAGCCAGGGTAATAGTGGCATGATGCCACCGCGCGCTCCCTATGGGGATCCTCGACCGTACAGCGCTCCTATACCTAAAGCGCGGCCGAACTTCTCGAAACTAGGTATGATGCGCCATATTGAGACGTTCTTGAGAATCTACTGACCCTGTCGCTACAGATCTGATCAAATATGACACTCCATATCTCGGTCCCAAGATCCAGCTCATGCTCTCGCAGCTGGAATTCAAGCTCTCTGTGGAAAAGCAGTACAAGGCTGGTATTGAAAAGATGGTGCGGCTTTACCAAGACGAAGGCGATCGAAAGAGTCGATTGGATGCAGAAGGTCGTCGCATTGAGAGTACACAAAAGATCCAGTTGCTAAAACAGGCATTGAAAAGATATATGGATCTTCACGTTGATATTGAGACGCCTGATGCTGATGATGGTGAGCAAATCCTTGCCTGAGGTAGCTCTGCATTGGAACACTGACTCGGTTTAGATGACAGCCTGAATGCGCCCAACATGAGGAAACCTTTGACAGGTCACCTGGAAATGCGGATTCATGCAATCAAAGACGTCGACCATGCCGCATCTTCACGATTTTCGAGAGGCCCCGAGACGTTTGTTATCATGAAAGTAGAAGACAACATCCGAGCAAAGACCCGAGCCACGCGTACGGACAAATGGACCGAGGAGACTCACAATGTTGATATCGACAAAGCAAACGAGATTGAGCTGACAGTGTACGACAAAGCGGGAGATCGGCCAACGCCTATAGGGTTCCTTTGGATTCGCATTTCGGACATTGCGGAAGAAATGCGTCGTAAGAAGATCGAGTCCGAATTCCAGCAAAATGGATGGGTGTCTGCGGACAAGATGGCAAATGGTGGTAGTCCCGGGAAACCAGGCTCTGAATTTCAACAATCCCAGTCTGCGCCGTTCATGCCGCCAGGTGATGGTGCAAGTGCTGGTCCAGCTGCAGGATTCGCCCAAGACGCACCACACGCTCCCTCTGTCTTTATCGATTCATGGTTTTCATTGGAACCCGCCGGTAGGATTCACCTAACGATGAGTTTCCAGAAGCAAACGGGTGCTCGACGACCATTTGATATTGGCCTCAACCGTCAAGGAGCCGTTCGCCAGAAAAAAGAAGTTGTGCACGAAAAGCAAGGCCACAAGTTCATCAGGCAACAATTCTACAATGTTATGCGCTGTGCACTTTGTGGAGACTTCCTCAAGTACTCGGCTGGTATGCAATGTGCAGATTGCAAGTACACTTGTCATACCAAGTGCTATCCCAAGGTCGTCACCAAGTGTATTAGCAAAGCCAACTACGAGACCGATCCGGACGAGGAGAAGATCAACCATCGCATACCCCATCGTTTCGACAACTTTTCAAACATTGGGGCTAACTGGTGTTGTCATTGTGGTTACCTGCTGCCGCTTGGCAGGCGCAACGCGAAGAAGTGTTCAGAGTGTGGTCTCACTTGTCACACCCAGTGTCAACATTTGGTTCCGGACTTCTGCGGCATGTCGATGATCGTCGCAAATGAGATTTTGGAGACTATCCAAAGAACCAAGCATCACAACAAATCTTCGTCTGTCAGTTCTGGCGTGAGCAGTTCCGGCCTCAGCAATCGAACATTGAGACCCAACTCAGGCAGACCCGGGCCAACATCACCGACTCAAAGTTTCATCTCCGAAACCCAGACCTTGACTCCATCCGTCTCGAACCAGTCATATGATCAACATCCCGAGCCACAGAAACCTTCAGCAGCAGCGATAAGTGCGGCTCATAATATGCTGTACAACCAGACGCAGCAACCTCCGGCCCAGCAACCGCAGAGGCCATTGCAACAGAGAGCTGTCTCTGCAGCCGCTGTGCAAGCGGCGGCGGCGGCAGCTGCTGCGACGAGTCGTCCATCATCACAAGCATACAACCAAAGCTTTTCGGACTACAATCCGCACAGTCCGCAGAAAGTTCCGGTTGATCGCTATGCCAATGCTCGACCCCCTGTTCCGGAGGCACAGCCACCGCCACATGCCTCTTACGATCCTCGAGCTTACCAACAATACGACCGACAACCTGTACAACAGCAGATCCCTCAGCACCAAGCGCCTCAACAAGCCGTCGTTCCGCAACAGAGGCCTCCACCACCAACTCAACCAAGTTACCAACCGGCTCCCATAAAGCCTCCACCACAAGAACAAAGAGTTGCAAACCCACCATCTGGACGTGGATCCGGTCCCAGAATCGGCCTAGATCACTTCAACTTCCTTGCCGTGCTAGGAAAGGGTAATTTCGGTAAAGTCATGCTGGCAGAAGCTAAGAGCTCGAAGAAACTGTATGCCATCAAGGTCTTGAAGAAAGAATTCATCATCGAGAATGACGAAGTCGAGTCGACAAAGTCTGAGAAGCGAGTGTTCTTGATTGCAAACAAGGAAAAACATCCATTCTTGCTCAACTTACACGCATGTTTCCAGACCGAGACAAGAGTCTACTTTGTAATGGAGTATATTTCTGGAGGTGATCTCATGTTACACATTCAGCGTGGACAATTCGGTCTTAAGCGAGCTCAATTCTACGCTGCGGAGGTTTGTTTGGCACTCAAATACTTCCATGAAAATGGTGTCATCTACCGAGATTTGAAGTTAGACAACATCATGCTCACCTTGGACGGACATATCAAGGTGGCTGATTATGGTCTTTGTAAGGAAGACATGTGGTATGGTTCTACAACATCGACATTTTGCGGTACGCCTGAATTTATGGCTCCCGAAATCCTTCTGGACAAGAAGTACGGTCGTGCAGTCGACTGGTGGGCATTTGGAGTGCTCATCTACCAAATGCTTCTTCAGCAGTCACCTTTCAGAGGTGAAGACGAAGACGAGATTTACGATGCAATTCTGGCCGATGAGCCCTTGTATCCGATTCACATGCCGCGCGACAGCGTGTCAATTCTTCAGAAACTGCTGACCAGAGAGCCAGAGTTGCGTCTAGGTAGTGGACCTGGGGATGCACAAGAGATCATGAGCCACGCCTTTTTCAAGGGCGTCAACTGGGACGACATCTATCACAAGAGAGTACCGACGCCTTTCAAGCCTACGGTTAAGAACGAGAAGGACACGAGCAACTTTGACCAGGAGTTTACCAGTGTGACGCCAGTCCTCACACCAGTGCAGAGTGGTAGGTACATGTGGAACACATTGGCAACTATGACTGACTTTTTATTAGTGCTTTCACCGGCTCATCAAGAAGAATTTAGAGGGTTCTCATACACAGCCGATTTCGTCTAGGAGAGGAACTCGAGGTCAGGGATTGAGACTGAAACGACAGCTCTTACGGAATACGAAGATGCTGTTGCCGTAGAGGATTCCTCTGGTGACAGGCTCAGACTGGCCAATTTTTACAATCTCAAGGACGAGGCCAGGGTCGAACGACCCGGTATCTTGGCCGACACACACCGCCGAAGCTCCACGGTGTGATCTGAAGAGATCGAGACGAACTGCCCTCGGCTATGCTCCGATCCCAGGTACATGCTGTCCAAAGGAAGACACGGATGATCTGGACCGTGCCCAATGTCGGTCTCAGCATATCACGAGTCGTGTTGTTCGAGTCAGAAGGTCATACACGCCCATCAATGGTGCGTGACTGCTTGACATGAATCATGGAGTCAAGTTGCGTATGAGTACAACCTTCACCGGAACGATCCGAGAGGTGGTCAAGAGCAATAGTGGTCGGAAGATGAAGACGTGTCATGATACGAACGCAGACGAATGCCTTGTGAGGCCGGGTTGGAATATATGAATACAGACGCGGCGTTGTGCCCTAACACGTATGAATTACGGGTGGGCGGCAATGTTGCACGACGCTCCATGGGAGCGACACGAAGAATGACATGGATGAAGTGTGAGATATTAGAGCAGCGGTGACATAGAGTCAATTCTTATCAAGTCTAGAAGTTGTCAACAAACAGTGACTCTTGTCAGATTGTGCAAGATGAAGAATCTGCTTGACCCAGGTGCAAGTAGGGGGGCGTCCTGCCGTGTAGGCTGGATGGGATTCGTCAAACATGGCAGTCACTCTGGCATCGGCAAGGCATACAAGGCAATGTTCATTGAAATGTTCTTACCTGGACAGGCCCAGCCTAACATGATCAAGCATCATAGGATCCAGGAAAACAACTCACGGGCAATGTTGGGGGCTGTGCTATTCCCGTCTTCAGACTCTTGGTACATTGAGGATTGCCTCACACAGTGTCTTCATGAAGGCTTAAGAAGGCAGTCGCGAGGCTCCGCGTCATTATGATATTCATTCATGCCTCAAATAGGAATAGACTATTTTTTGGCTGATTTCTTTGCCTTTATGAGATGTCTCCTGCACTTCGTCCTCAATCTCCTCACGTCAAACGTCAACCCTCCAGCAACGGCAATTTCAATACTCATGGAATAATCATCTGCGTCTTTTCTCTCTGCTATTATGCTCCGCCTACCGCCATCAAGCAGTCTCGTCTGCGGCATCACCTCGCTGGGGCCTTGCCCTTTCCCTCCTCCTCTTGTTTTTGAGCCAGCCTGAACTTCCTTTCTTTTGCTGGCTTGACTACGGCAGTCTCATAATGCCTCCACAGCCTATGTTTCGGTCAGAACATCAATTGTCAGCGCTTCTGCATTTGTAGCACTCACGGAAAGACCGCATTCTCGTAGAAATACTCGAAGGCAGTTGCGTCATCCTCCCAGTCATTGAAGTGAAATGTCAGACAGATGTTGATTGTCTGGGCCAGGTCCTCGCTGATGTCTTGCAGTTCTACCTGCATTTCGTCGTCAAGCAGCCCGTCCTCATCGATAGTGAACGATGACTCGCGTCCGTTGAATCTGAACAAACCGGCCCGTTTGTTCCCCTCATCTTCACGTCCTACTCTTTCTACGGCCCGATCCAGTGCCAATTCAAGCAGAAACAGTCCAAGCCGCCATGTAGGTACGTCAGGATGGCTTGTCGCTGTACTACACCACGACCGGCCTCTTGGACCTTGGAAGTGACGTGTACAGTGAACACTGAAAGTGAACCTACCCTTCCGGGCTGGCAATTCCTCGAATCGGTGTACGGAGCATCCGCAAACATCCTCTATCCAAGTCGAGCGCAGGAAGAGGAAAGCAAATTCGGTGAGCTCGTATCACAATTGAATTTGTTCTGCTTTGGAAATGGAGGTGCGACCAGTTGTGACTAGGCTGTGCTTGAGATTGCGCACCTCTCGCGCGCGACATTCGGCTTTTTCAAGCGCCACAAAGTACGCCGGATCACCATCTGATACTGCAGTCGCCCCAACTCGAGGTCCCTTGCTCAAATGGACTGTAAAACAATTTCGGTAGCCCAGAGTCTTCGACTGGGAGCGAGCATGGACTTGCGTTCGAATGGTGTCTTCAAGGCAGCTTTCAACCAGCATCTGTGACCGATCTTCCGGCGTCACGCCATGATCGAGGTGTATGTCGAAAGCCACCTTCTGTTCTCTTCCGAGGTTGATCATGGCCTTCCGCAATGCTTCACCTTGCGCTACAAACTGCGAGCTGACCTTGGGCAGCAATATTCCCGCAGCGAACTCCGTGACCTTTGCCTTGATTTGGGAATTATCGCCTCTACGATGATGGGTGACAAATTCTCTTTGAGCGAGGACTTGAAGACTGCGGACATCCTTCCATATTGAGTGCAGATGCTTGTCGAAGATCTGATTTCGGTACAGCACAGCTTGCACCCGCTTATAACTCTCCTTGAAATCTTGCAGATTGACTTGCAATTTTTGTGCTGCAGTTATAAGAGGTCCCGATCCGCGCCTGGTATGTGCTCTCCATTTGTTTCGCACCTTGACGTAGGTGAACCCGTATAAATACCTGAATTCCTCTTTGATTTCTTTAGCATCGCGGCGAACGTTAGATAGCAGATCGATGATCTTCTGCTTTCCATTTTGCCCCCAATATGCCTCTAGCAGAGAATCCGTCCAGGGTCCTGGCTTGTCAATGTACCAGAACCTTTGCCATTCATACAACTCGTCGATAAGTTCTTCGACCTCAATGCACAGCGGAATTAATTTCTGGCAGTATCTGTTCCAGTCGTCGACATCTAGCAGGATCTTCTCTATGGCATTGCGGATTGTCACAAGGAAGCCAACAGCTCCGAACGCAAAACTTATCGGTTCTGCCATCATGAGATATTTTGCTGTCAAAAATGCAATGATGCATCAATCCAAGTTGAAGAGGTCGTGTCGAAGCTGACGAAGCCGTCTTATTCATGATAACCATGTGCGCCATTTGCTTCAGCACACCGGTCTTGCACAATCACATTCTCCGTGAACATGATTGGGCAGTAAGCTTTGGGATTGGCAAGGTTGGGTACGTATGGATTTCGAACAGGGTAATACGGTGCATTAACTCACCCTGTGACATGCCATGTCTAACCAGGGCTCATCGCCTCATCTTGTTAAGGCTTATCGGTTGTGGACAGCCGCTGAGAAGCCTCTTTGCAGGGTGACTAAATTGTCGCGCAACTCTTCATCAGTGACAGTGCGGCAACCCAAGGCAAGGCTTCCTACAGTACATCAGAGATATTTCGCCGTCACCGTGGTGAGTCTCGACCCGAAAACGACAAGTAAACAACGTATGACACAAGGCCGTGTTTCTCATCTCCACCAGCAACATCATCAGCATGCAACACGCAAGTTTCCATCCGTTGGATATTTATGGCCGCCTGACTTCTACGATAATGCGTCTTGAGAGCCTCAGTGATACCATCGAAGAACATAACGCTCCGGACTCTGTGGAGCAAATTAAGGTGGACGACTTTCTCCTAGATGTCCGGTCATGGGCTGCAGATGCTCGCGTCGACGACGGATCTTTCTCCGCTCTTGAAAGCGTACCATTATGTGAAAAGATAATGTCTGCTCTTTCTGAAATAAGGGACGGCACCCATACATTGCAGGACCAGGTGATGCACGGAAGCCTTTTGCGTGAAGATCCCTGGGTCGATATGCAGGATGCTTGTCAGACACTTCGGTCTACAGTGAAGGCCATTCGCCTGGCGCAGGCTTCGGCCGATGGCAAGGGACCCTATGCAGACCTGAGAGACCGAGTGAGCCGGGTGAGGGAGATGGTTGCGAAGAATATCGGTCGTAGATTAGGCCACGATATGCAGCGTTCATTTCAGTTTGACACTAGCCCTAAGAGTCGAAATGAGCGCATCAAGAGTTGGAACTTCGATTTTGGTAAGTGTGCTGTACTTCGATCCAGAGCAGCAACGACTGACGATATCAAGATGACTTGGAGAGGGATGAGCCAGAGGATCTGGATATGAGCAGCAATCCACCGCCTCCAATCTCTACACCGAAAATGCCAAAGATCGTTGGTTCGTCCTCAGAGCAGACCAAGGGCAAGTCTGCTGCCGGCTTCGGGACCCCGAGTCCAGGCATTGAAGAGGATGCGCCACGGCCTCCCTCGTTTGTACTTCCACAGAGACAGCGGAAGCCATAGTCGATGGTGGTCAGCGGCTCAAGGTGGCCGCGGTGCCACCAGAATGTAAACACAGCCAGCTGGTAGTCCATCGTGGCCAAGGAGCCAGTTATCAAAGTTTGAAGAAAATAGGACCTTGAGTGGAAGCTGGCAGCTGATCCCCTTTGGCCACGACATGCGCGCAAAAATCTTTTCTTACATTGAGCGACAATACACCGACGAGCCGATGTGGATCCAGTGAGTATGTGCTGCCAGAAGCAAAAGGTATGGATCGTCCATCAACGTTGGCTTCAGCTTCTGATGCTCAGAGTTCCTGGATGGCGTATTTAGAAACTGTATCAGCGAGAACATAAAGCAGGAGTGGCCGTTGTAACGTTGCCCGTGGAAAATAACGCACAACCCATGCCGACGCATACCCGCCGCGTGTGTCGTCAAGTTTGAAAAAGGAAAATGGACCTTTCTCAGAGGGATCCAGCAATAAAGCGTCTATACATCTAGTGAATTGGAGCGATGTGCATATTGAACTTTTATTGCGTAAAAGACTGCTCCGCATGTATCCTCTAAAGCTTTGCCGACCTTTGGCGCCATTCGCGTCTATGTATGCCGAATCAGCTCTTGTGTCGACTGCTCAATGACTGCAAATCCACCGACTTCATCGCGCTGGAATTGTACCAGTACAAGAGCACCAGCATGTAGTGCTGGATCGCCATTCTCTCCGCACAAGTACAAGAAAAGAAGCAGGAAACAAGCCTACCTCTCTCTTCCAAAGCTGGCCGGCTTAGCAGGCTTGTTGTCCAAAATCTCCTCGATCTCTCCCATGGTCTTGTCGTCCAACTTCTCCAACAACTTCAGAGCTCCGAGGTTGTCAACGATCTGCTCGACCTTGGTGGCGCCGAGGATGACAGTGCTGACGTTAGGGTTCTTCGCGGCCCACGCAAGCGCGAGCTGCGAGGTGTTTCCGCCCAGACGCTCAGCGATCTTGGTGAGTTTGCGGACCTTCTCGATCTTGGCCTGACCCTCGGGCTTCTGGAGGGACTCGATCATGCTGCCGAAGAAGTCCTTGTGGTTGTGCAGACGGGAACCCTCGGGGATGCCGTCGTTGTATTTACCGGTCAACAGACCTGAAGCAAGAGGCGACCAGATGGTTGTGCCGTACTTGTACTCCTGGTACAATGGGGCGTATTCGACCTCGAAGCGCTCACGGTGGAAGGCGTTGTACTGTGGCTGCTCGGCAATGGGGGCGATCAGGTTGTACTTCTCGGCAATGAGGGTCGCCTCGGTGATTTGTGTGGCTGACCACTCGGAAGTACCCCAGTAGTAGGCCAGGTTGAGGTTGCGGATGACTTGGGTGAAACCCTCGACGATCTCGCGCATGGGGGTGGCATAGTCCGGTCGGTGGGCCAGGACGATGTCGACATATGGTTGTTGCAGACGGGCGAGGGAGCTCTTGAGACCTTCGACGACGTGTTTACGGGACAGACCGCGGGTGTTGGGCTCCTTACGCCCGGTGCCGAAGAAGACCTTGGTGGACAGGACGTACTCGTCACGAGGCCAGTCGAGTTCTTTGAGGGCGTTACCCATCTCAATCTCGGATTCGCCGCTGGCGTAGGTCTGCGGGACGTTAGTATTATGCAAGACATGTATTAACGAATGAGTTGAGTACTGACCTCGGCGGTGTCGAAGAAGTTGACGCCATGGTCCCAGGCGGTCTGTAGGCAACTTCAAAAGGGGGTTAGTGACGGGGTGAAAGTGGACATGTGGCGGTCTTACTCCTTGACGATGTTGCCTTTTTGAGTGCCACCGTAGGTGAGCCAGCCACCTGTGGGAGAGATGTCAGTGAGTGCTCAATGACACGGACAAGAAAGTGGTCATACCTAGAGAGAAAACAGATACTTTCAGACCGGTAGGACCAAGGTGGCGGAACACCTATTGAACAAATGAGGTCAGTTGTGTTCAGCGATGAGGAAAAAAGTAGAAGCGTACCATGTCCTTGGGGTCAAAGGCGGATCGGACAGCCATGTTGTCTGATAGAGATCGAGATGTATGAAGTGAGGGGAGCTTGGTGGTAGTAGTAGCAGCGTTTCGTGCTGCTAGGGCTAATGAAGAGTTGTAAAGGAATTTGGGTGGTCTGGTCAGTGATTGCATAAAAGTAAAGAAGAGGAATGGAAGAAAAGCTTCTTTGTTTTTTTCTTGTTGGAAAGAGCTAAGAGGGAAGGACTATTGCACCATAGGGTATGCTTCTCTTCTCTTCTCTCTGTGAAAGGCGGTAAATAAGTCTGAGCAGCTTCGGAGGTGGGGTAAAATGAGGTACGAGATACAGCCACGCAAGACAACATGACGTTGAGATATACTGCCAGAGAGCGGTCTAACTTAGTGGCGACACTATGACATCGGAGTTTGGGTGTGTTGAGGACCCTTAACTCGTAGCAGGCGAATCGAAGAAAGCTCTCCACCACAATCATCACCGACAAGCATTGTCCCCATCCAGAAAGAAAGCCTGTACGAAGATATCCGTCTCATCGGCAGATGCCCGGACAGACATACAGCTTACTAATGTCGACCGGTGTCAGTATCCGTGATAATCGACTCTATCTCCATTGAAATCTGTCAAGCAGCATTCAGCCTGATTCCCAAGTCATCGCTAGACCGGCAGCATTGCGTACCAACTCCGTAATATCTATCATCCCCTATAGACTGAATGACTCCGGCAATGCGCCCTTCCCATCAATCACAACCTCCTTGCTGTCAGCCTGGACCACCAGCAGCCTCACCGGCTGCGTGTCACTGGGGTTGCGCCAGCGATGTGCAGTCCCTCGCTGCACGAACATGTCTCCACGAGGAATTAGTCGCTTCTCACCAGAGTCCAGTTCAAGTTCAATCTCGCCTTCCAAGACTACTCCATAGTCAATCGACACAGTACGGTGCATTGGCGACCCTCCACCTGGTGCCATGTCCACCACTCGAAACACCACGCCACCTGGAATGACAACAGGTGGATGCTCATGGAGGTACTTGTAGAACGTGTTTAGATCTGCGTTCTGACTGAAATCCGGAGATGTCGTTTGCGTCGCATAGCCCAACCCAAAGGCAGATCCTGGGTAATTCGTCCACGTCGGTACAGTCGATATAGGCGGAGCTGGTGCCGATGTCAAGTCGTCTGGATTGTCAGGATCCGGTGTCTGGAAAATCGCCTTTCCCTCCGCGTCGTGTGTCGTGATATGGCGATTGAATACAGGTAAGCCCTTGACTTCACTGGCCGGCTGTGTCATATTGGCTTGCTGATTGTTGTCACTTCAGCCAATCGTAGGCAGAGAAAATGTCACTGCTATCAAAAAAGTAGGTGTGCAACCAAGATTAAGGCTCAGCGAGGTGCGTGTATGTGATCCTCGAAGGCTTTCGTAACGTCCAAGATCGAAATGCTTTCGAGTATGGTGTACGAGTATATGCTGCGTGCTGTCCTGTGGCCTAGAGTCGATCCGGAGAACCCAAAGCGTGGGGCTGGTGCATCCACGGATATCTGCCAGTTTACCCCTCATAGTCCCACGGGCTCCGCAAAATTCCCATGAGTATGATGACGGCGCAAGTAAAAAGCTGTGTCTGCCTTTCAGATAAGGATCAGGCTGAGTCAAGATGTCGGTCACCCTCCTGATCCACGGCTGAAACACGCTGTCGTCGCCGCCGAGGGGTTTCCAGAAATTCGCAATATCGGTCAAAGTAGCGGAGCAAGATCTAGGCTTTTAGTCGCCGATCTTGAGAGTTCCATACTGTGGTGCCGCGCCAGCAATACCAACTTCTTTGGCATATTCATCCCAATGCCTGAGTAGCTCTTGTAGCTTCTCAGGCTCTTGGTTTGCCAGGTCATCGGTCTCTCCTGGATCCGTACTCAAATCATAGAGCTGCCACTTACCCGGTCCATAAGGCGCTGGAATCATGACAGCCTTCCATTTGCCTTTGCGAAGAGCTTGACGATCAAACAATTCCCATCCCATGACAGTCTGCTCGTCGTGGATGTACTCCTGATCACGACCAGACAGATAAGGCACCCACGATTTCCCTCTTATGGGCACAACGGCACGTCCCCTATACCTGTCACCTGGATGCGAAACCTTGGCGAGGTCCAACATGGTGGGCATGATGTCCATGACTGTTGCGAAGGAAGGGTCGACTTTGCCTGCCCGGCAGGACGTCAGGGCTGGGTACCTCAGAATGAATGGTACGCGTATTCCGCCCTCCGAGGAGAAACATTTGTACAGCCGAGACGGGGCTGTCGCTGCTGATGCCCAACGAGGCCCATACCAGACGTAGCTGTTGAATCGTCCGACGTTATCGAGACTGTTGTCATAATATCGGTCGATGTAGTCAAAGATATTTTCCGTCACCACGGGATACGCTTCCAGCAACAAGCCTTCCGCTCCATTGTCGGACATGAAGAGGATCAAGGTATTGTCCAACTCACGTGTTGACTTCAGATACGAGATGACCCGGCCGATTTGTCTGTCCATATTGTGCACCATACCTGCGAATGTTTCCATGGTGCGAGAGGAGAAATTGCGCTCGGCGTCGCTCAAGACCTCCCACTCCTTTGTGAGTGGACGGTCGACAGCCGGCGTGATGACATCGTGAGGTTTGGTATCAGGCGCAATGATGCCAAGTTTCTCAAGGCTCGCAAGACGTTTCGTCCTCAATGCATCAGGACCGTCATCATATACCCCGCGATAGTGCTGACAGTCGTCCTCCGGAGCTTGCAGTGGCCAATGCGGCGCGGAGAACGGAAGGTAAGCGAAAAACGGCTGTTGCTTCTGGGTCTCGTCACGTTCTTCAAAGTATTCTAATAACCTGCTGGTAAACGACTCAGAAGAGTAAAAACCTGGAGGTAGGTCTTTGGGCTCGATGATGGTGTTATCTTCGACATAGAAAGAACTATTTCTAGCCAGGATACCGGGGGTCTTTTCTTCGACCTGAGGCTCGAAGCCATAATGATTGGCAGCACCCCGCGGATTGTCAGCTGCTGCCCGACGGCTGAAAAAGACAGAACCTACAGGAAGTAGAGCAAAAGATCGATCAAAGCCTCTCTGCGACGGATAACGGTCTGGTGTCATGCCGAGATGCCACTTGCCCGACATCAGAGTCAGATAGCCTGCATCCCGGAGTAGTTCTGGTAAAGCAGCTACCCTGTCATTGAGGTAGCCTTCATACCCAGGTTGTCCTTTCTGAAACTCTTGTAGAGACTCAACCATGGCCCCAAGACCTGCAATGTCTGGAGCGGTTGTCAGAAGGAGGGTGGAGGTCCAGTAAGAGGATGAGGTCGGAACTTGCGATTATCTGTGCCAGACAGTAACATTGATCTAGTGGGAGAACAAGCAGCCGCTGCATGAAAGTCGGTAAACCTGATTCCCTCTTCCGCCAGCCGGTCAATGTTGGGGGTCTTGATCTCTCCTCCAAATGTCCCTACATCAGAGAATCCCAGGTCATCGGCGACGATGACAAGAAAGTTGGGACGCCCACTCTTGGGTGCAGACGATGCATCCTGCCCCATGATGATCAAGTAATGAAGACACTTGACAAGGTGCCTAATGTCGGCCAGCAAAAGGGCTGGAATTTATGGCTGAATCATGTTGACAATTGTCATTGGAGATAAAGGATTGGCTGCGGTAGAAGGCGTAGAAACTGGCAACCTGGAGGTCAGATACGAACACAACACGACGCTTCTTGGCACCTGTGGCTTATGTAATGCTGCCCCTTAAAAACCATACACCAGGGTGTGCTTGAGGGTAAATGTGTACTCTCCTCCGTCTATTCGTCTATATGACCATCCTAATCTATTAGAACGTCGTTATTAGCCCGTTCATATGTCTAGCTAAATGATACATGGCCAGGAAACCTCCCGACGTTGGGGGTTGACCATGGTATGGCTAATTGCCAGCACCGTGTAGTCGTGGACCTCTGATGTCGCCGCCCGCGGCGTGAAGTGGAGGCCGTCCATGTCCGCATAGAAATCTCAATGCGCCCTGGACGGCCCGTCTGAACTCGAAGTGCCCTTGTCACAGACGTTTCGGACGATGACAATGTCGAGACATTGCACCGGGGTCTCTCGCAGATACGACGGAGTGCTGCCGCGGCCATCCAATGTCCGCAGCGGTGGTGAACCTCGCTATGTAGATTGGCAAACAAGGCGTTCAGAAGTCTTTGATGGAAGCCTCCTAGTGACGGTACTGTTGCGAGTAAGTCTGCCAGGACGACGCGCGTTGCATCCTTACATGGTCGTGCCTGTGCCTCAGTGGGCGCTCAATTCTGGCTTGGGTATTGCCAGGACGTCCCTGAGCCAATGGTTGTCCCACTTGGATGCAGGTGCCCGGGTTTGGAGGGGAGAAAGCTGGTATGTTCTTGCGTAAAGATACCAGTTGTTGGAGATGGGGATAATCTCATGACAAGATCAGCGCCATCAACTCTTGTTAAAATATCTCGCGATCTCTTTGTCGAGTCGTTTCAGGCTCACGGGCTTGACAAAATACTCATTGGCACCAGCCTCCATCGAGATTAATCGATCACCAGGTGAGTCCTGACCTGTGACCATAAAAATAGTGCATGGTTTCAGGTCGGTTTCCTTCTCGTATGCCCGAATTTTGGCAGTTGCAATGAGTCCATCACATCGTGGCATCTGGAGGTCCATGAGTATGAGATGAATCGGATTGCTGACGGATGCCTGTTGGAACTGCTCGATAGCCTCATCGCCGTCGGTAGCCAAGACATACGGAATCGCTCGCTTTTCGCAGTACATGCGCAGGATTCGGAGGTTGACGCTGTTATCGTCGACGAGCAAAGCCCTGAATGATGAAACGGCCTTCTTTAGGGGATGAGGAGAAGAGAGACTGAGAGCGGCAAGTGAAGCAAGATCGCCAGTCGTTAGAGCGGCCGCATTGGTTATGCCTGTCGTCGGACTGGCCACGTTCTTATCAACTGACGTGAGAGCATACTGCTGGTCAGCCATCAAAAGAGCTTGATCTATTCGGCCCGCATAGAACGGCCCTGATACGGCAATTGTGTGATGAATCGGAATCATCTGTTGCAGGAGGCTGAGATGACCCGACGTTGAGACATCGTCCAAAGTGACGCAGATAATCGTATGTGGGTCTTTGAGACTCTTGACGACTTGCAGACCAAGGCCATCGGGATTGGGCTTCTCCATGATGATCAATGAGCCATGTGGATTGGCTGTCTCAACGAAACCTCGTTGCACCAAATGTCTGGTCAGGAACGAAAGGAGTATTGGAGTCCCTCCTGATCCCGGCAGCTGGTAAAATCGTTTCGGGAGGCTTTTGAGTTCAACTTGAGCTTCGGTCGTGCGCGGACCACAAGCAAAGACGAGACCTGGTACGACGACCCGAAAGTGGGATCCTACGCCTTCTGTAGAAGCGACAATTGACAACGTACCGCCGAGCAGCTGGACAGCTTGGTTGGCCAAAGTGAGACCGAGGCCTGCACCTCGGGCATGTGGAGTACCTTTTTCGAAAGCTTGAAAAATTCGTGCCTGGGCATCGATAGGAATACCGCACCCAGTATCGACGATATCGAATTGAAGTACCGAATTTTCCACCTTGGTCGAGATGGTAATGGTGCCGTGCGTGGTAGCGTGCAGTGCATTGAGTATGAGCGGCTGAAGAGCGTCTTTGAGAAGTACAGGATCGAGCGAAACGATGCTTTCCTGCACTGTACCATGGCCTTCGAACGATATTGACACATCTTTGTGATAGTGGTCGAAGAATGTTGAGAAGATGTCAGCCATCACGTCAGCTTCCAGATTGCGGAGATTGTAGCTCTGTGCTCTGATATTTTGAGCCTTATGGCGTGACCAATTGTTGAGTTTGAGCATGTCATTGACAGTAGACATGAGTTCGGTTCCGGATCTTTGGATAGTGGACACGTAGGATAAAGCGGTCTCGAAATCATTCCGAACATGCAATCTCTGAGTGCAGTGCTTTGATGTCAGCTCCTCTGCTAGGAGCTCGCTTGAAGTAAGTACCCCATGTATCGGAGTCCGTAGCTGATGTGTGATTCCGCGTAAGAAAGCCTCCTTGGCTCGCAGAGCTTCCTGTAGATGTTGTTGTTGAACAAAATCTCCAAGCATTTGGGCGCATGAACGGACGAACCAGGCATCGTAGTCGTCATAGACACGTTGCATCTCGTTAGTTGATACGACGAGAAAAATATTATACCTCGCACAATTGCCTACCACAGCCCGGGCTGTTTGCGTCGAGAAGAGCCTGGCCTGGTTGCCTGATGTGATTGCCTCATCGATTAATCTGGTGTTCTCCCAGAGACCGGACTGGACAGTTGTGAAAGGCAGGCTGGTACCTCCTTCGAGAAGCAATGTATCATCGGTGGAGTGCTGTATCGAAACGTTGGCAGAGGAATACATGGCCCGGACCACGTCTAAGACGGCTGCTTCGAATTCCTCTTGACAAGTATAATCGTGGGCTTGGAGCTTCATCAGTGCCTCGGACATGCTTTGTTTGGCCCGCAGACGGTTCTGTCTCGTGGTACTAACGATCTCACTCGTGAGCATAGCCGCGAAACTGACCAGAGCTACTTTCTGCTCCGGTGTCAACGGCTTCTCTACGGTATTGGAGGCGATGCAAAGTGAGCCTAGAGCAATTTCTTCACCTTTGTCTGTTTTGAGGCGCAGTTGAGTACCTGCATAGCTCTTTAGACCACCATACTCAACATGGGGTGACGACTTGAATCTCCAATCGGCTGGCATGTCGGTGATGCTGAACACGCTGCCAGGTTTTTGATTGACAGTATGCGCACAGGTACTCTCGCGTCGAGGCAAGATGGCAAGTGGTAGGTTCGCTGTTGCCAGCCTAGTGTAGACAGCTTCATCGAGTGTTCCCACGATTGCGAATTCCCATCCCATGTATTTTTGCACAATTTTTACCATATCTTGCAGTTTGGTCATCAATTGGTCATCTTGAGTGATGAGTCTTGTGTAGTACCATAGCACAGTCAACCTCAAGCGCTCGTTGTGAGTTAGCGAGGGGGATAGGTAACGATCGTGAAGCCATTCCGGTTGTGGAGGAGGAGCAGCCTCTGGAGCCTCGGTTGGATCTTTGCCATAGACAGACTCGTGGACGTGACTGTCGAACTGAAGCAAGGGGTCGTTTGCATGCTTGTGATCGAAGACAGGCCCGACGCTGTGTGGTCGTTCCTTGACTGATTGATCAGGATCTCTGGCGGTCGCTGGAGAGTCGGCACGGGGGAAGAAGGCTTGCGCAGCCGAGTCCCCTGCGCTTGAGGACATATTCATCCGTAGCGTCCCAGTGTATCATCCTTCAGCGTCGTCTTCTCCGGTGTGTGTTTGCCATAGACGCGATGGTGTTTATCGGTACCAGCCTGCGTCGAGGAGTGTGCTTGGTCGCACTGACATGATGCGCCGAGCATTTTGTATTAGTATGGGTCTCAACTTGTGGCGGGCAACAAAGTCTAGGCGAGAAAATCCGGGCCTTCTGAAAAGCATCGCCAAAAGAGGCCCCTCGAGGCCCGGAATTCGCTTGACACATCGCTTGAGAGTTTTGGCGGGAGCCTCGGGAGCCCTTACTAGCCTGATCGACTGCCACTGGGCAGGATTCAAACCTAATCGTCCACTGAAACCTTTAAGGCTTTAACTAGCGGCTTCCCCGGCCCCAAGGCCTTTCACTCTCATCAACGGCACCGGTTGTCATCCTTTGCCACATTCTTTCTTTCAACATCCACGACACGGCGTCGAGGTCATTTGAGATTGCCCTTTCGTGCCTTTATATAATCACATCTGCATACCTGCTACGTTGCACGTGACTGTCTCATCATTCCGTCTGGTGATCTCCAGTCGATATCGAAAGGTATGTCAGGAGGCTGAGATGAAGCAACCTCGCCTACCCAATGGATGCGCAGACATTTCTGGCATGGCTGAGACTGTATACCCTTCTCGACTGGGAACAGTCCACGTTCTTTGTCGAAACCAAGAACAACAAAGACGGCGATTTCAAGCTGGCCGTCTACCAAGACAGTACACGTCCGCTTCTGGTAATGTATAGTGAACCATGTTCTTTGTTCGAAGCAAAGCCTCTTATGATAAATACTGGGTGTTCGTCGTTCTACACAATTAGCCTGCATTTCAACAACGGTGGGAACATTTTTTCTTTTCCTTTACAATGCGTGTGCTCAGTTTCTTTGCCTCATCATTCCTCTTGGGCGGCCTTGGAGGTCATGCCGCTGCCCAACATGATCCGACCACCTTGATCACTGCAGCACCCGAACATTCTTCGGCTGTTCATGCCAACTCAATTGAAGTCGAAGAAATTCAAAAGCGAAGCCCTCCTGCAGGTGTCTATGTATGCAGTGGTCCGAACTGGACTGGAGAGTGTGCGTGGCACTCAATCAGCGAAATGACCTGTGCAAACTTCCCGTGGACGAGCGATATTTCATTCGGAGTGAGTCCCTACTCAATTGTCTGTTGCCGTAAGTTGCTAACAAGACATGCGTGTAGCCCCCAAATGGCTGGCAATGTAAATTTTACTACTCTGAAGGCTGCACTGGGCAAATGACCCCTGGCAAGCTTACATTCCCGGGCACGACCAACTTTGCATACCACTTTGGCAATGAAGTGCCGAAAAACTACAAGTGCCGCCCATGCCCAAGTGATCCTGGCTGGTAAGTCAATCATATTGGACGCCTACCACGGGCCATTACTAACATGTGTGATGTGCAGTATCAATAACAATGCTCCGGACTTCTTCGAGGCTCAGGCAAAGCTGGGAGAGGTTGCAGCCAACGGGAAATGTTCCTACTACTCTCTCGGGAATGTGTTTACTCGACCGTGCTGATTCTACGATTGGTTCAGTGCAGTGCGTGTATGAGTCCTGGTCCCGCGTTGGATCGTGGAGCAAATGGAAAATCCGGGGAACATCTCATATACCTGCTAGACGGGCTGGGATTGACGTCATTTAGTAGGCAATATATCATCAGCCCATCTTCGTCTCATCACTTCATGTCTACACGTCGTGGTCCTCGTTGGTTACTTGTTCAACCCCTTCATTTTAAATACTCGCATCATCACACAAGACGTGATAGCATACATCATTACCGTTCAACAGGCCGTCAAGCTAAACATCACATCACGTGAACTCGGCAATCTCGCCACCAGACTGTCAAAATGCCTGCCACTACACGTAGCAAGACAAAGCAGTCTCATCTCGAAGACGTTGCGACCACAGAGACGAAGCACGAGTCCAAAGCGAACAAAGCATCTGATTCAAAGGACCAAAAGCAGTCCAAAGCTTCCGCCAAGAGATCCGAGTCCAAGTCCAGGCAATCAACAAAGGACAAGACAAAGGACAAACCACCCACCCCAAACAAGCGCAAACAGCCCGACGCCGCCGATGGTGCTGATGGCAATGCGACGTCCGGAAAACTTTCTCCCGCGAAGAAACAAAAGCAACAACATGCGCCCAAAGCCGGCGATGACGCCTTGTCCGACGACAAACCGATCATGATCAACCGCTCTCCTGTTCTTCAACTCTGGTCTGCATGCGTTGCACAACACCTGTACCCCGACCAATCCTGGACGACAAGCCTATCCGTCGGCTCCGCCATCTCAACACTGTGCGCCATATCAAAGGGCCGCTCCATCGGCACGATCGAGGAGTCAGACAAATCACCCGATGAGAAAGCCGAAAAGGACGCTCAACGGCGCGCCGCAAACGCCGGAGCCGACATTGAAGTCCAAGTCATGGGCTTTACACTACACATCAAGAACGGCGATGTCCTCCTCCAAGGAAAACCGAAGCATGGCAATGAAGCACTCTTAAAATCTAAGTTCGGCGAGGACAACTATGAAAGAACCAAAAAGGCTATGGAGGATGCCCTTGCGACGTGGAAGAGCAAGGACGATGACTTGAATGCCAAGGCATTCCACATGTACGAAGAATTCAGACCGAGTGTGCAGAGTGGACAAGGAGGCTGGGGCAAGAAAGGAGCTTTGGAGCTGGACCGAGTCAAAGAAGTAGTTGAGCGAGGATAAAACTGACCGACCGAGAACGAACACTGACCGGCGTTCTCCCAGGGAAATCTATTTCTCATTCTCAAAAACATTAATCAATGTCCCAATATGCGGCAGGATCTCCACGGCAAACTCGTCGCCTTCTCGCAGCGTAACCTTGGGTTTCTTCCCGACACCCACGCCCGCCGGTGTCCCGGTGATTATCAACGTACCAGCCGGCAGCGTCGTGCCCTGCGATAGGAAACTAATCAACTTGGCCACCGAGAAAATCAGATCATCCGTTCCACAGTCCTGCAGCACCTGGTCGCCGTTCTTGATGCCACGGACATGCAGCTTCGACGGATCTGGGATCACCGACGGCGACACCAGCGTCGGCCCGATCGGGCACGCGCCATCGAAACCCTTAGAGAAACTCCACTGACTCTGTGCGAACTGGCTGGTCCGGCTTGAGACGTCGTTGCAGGCCGTATACCCAAGGACATAATCCAGCGCTTCGCTCTCGGACACGTTCTTGGCAGTCTTGCCCAGGATGACGGCGAGTTCTGACTCGTAGTCACCGCAGTCATCTTGCTGGGTTAGTGTGGGAAGGATAGTCGGTGCGGGCCACGGATCGCCTAAGGATGTGTCGGGTTTCCTGTTTCATTAGTCCCCGGTACAAGTGTACAGTGTACGGTGTTGACACCGCAGAGCCTCGGTACGTACATGAAAACAGTCGGGACTGTAGGTAAAGACATGTTGACTTCTGCCGCGTGTTGCTTGTACTGTTTTCATACGCGATCAGTCCTCACGGTTCTCGGAGTGCGAGTCGACAACGTTCGTCCGCGGTGACTTACATTCAACCCAATACATCGGATCGTGCCGACCTCGGACTTAGCTAAAGGGGACAGAACTCGGTCGATGATAGCGCTTTTGCCCGTATCCTGTCCTGGTGATAGCACCGAAGACCCAGAGAAGATGCTCACAGGCACATCTTGACCCTTTTTGAGAGCGACACCAACGTCGACATTGTCGTCTTCAGGCTGGCCAATAAGGACCTTTGACGAATCGGATCGTGGGACAAAGCGGACAAGACCTAGAAGAAGCACCAACCGTGAGACTCCTTGTGACCCGAGCTTTTGCAAAAGAACTTACGCTTGAAAGGGGCGGAGGAGGCCATTCTTCGTAGCATACTTTCTTCCCGTGGTCTGATCGTGAGTTTCAAGACTGTTGATATATATCGAAAATATGATATTGTGGGGATGAGACGAGCATTGAACGTGGGATGCGGATCGGATGATCAAAGCACCGAGCGATGCGTGAGAGGTTCGTCCTCCAGACACTCTAGACAATGCCCACGAATGCCCCACAATCCAGCTTTCGTGGGGACCTCCTCCAGCTTCTGCAATATGTGCGACTCATCGTATGCCCGGAGAAACGACCTTGAACACACCCCGTCAACTATATAATCAACTCTTAAAGGTGCTGTACGTGTTGTTCAAGAAGTAGTAGCACACCGACAAAGCGAAGAGCCCTGTTTCGGACCCCATCAAGAGCACAGAAACACCGGCATTAGGAAAGTCCATACCGAAACCCGTTTCAATACTGCCCTATAGGACAAGAAGAACAATCAACCTAGAACAGACAAAGTATTACCAATCATGGCGAACTCCAAATCCAACAGCTACCACCAATATATCCCAGACCTGAGTCTACCCAGGTTTACCACCATGGCCACTCAAGACGCTCACGTCTACGGCGAAGCGTTCAAGAAAAGCGGTAACCCACCCTGGATACACGCACTGTGGCAGCACTGGCGCAAACTACTCAAAGAGCCCTTCAAAGGCGTAACGAGTGACGGTAAGTCTCTCCTTCTCTCGGCCCTGGTACACGGATTGAACGTCTTTTAGGAACCGTCCGCCCAAACCTCTTCCCCCTCCAAGACGAAGGCATCCCCATCGAAAAAATCGTCTCAACAACCCAATCGCTCCTCTCCCAACTCTCTCCCGACCAACAATCAACCGTATCCTACCACATCGACTCCCCCGAGTGGCGAACCTGGTCGAACCCCGAATTCCTCTTATCCGACAAAGGCATCCGTCTCGACGAACTCTCGCCCAAAATCCGGGACAGCGTCCTCGCCGTCCTCCGCGCAACCCTCTCCCCAGAAGGCTACGACAAGGCCATCGGCGCCATGCGCATCAACGGCTTCCTAGGCGAACTCGTCAAATCCCCCGCCGTCATGAACGAGTATTCCTACAACTTCGTCCTGTTCGGCGAGCCCAGCACAACGGAACCATGGGGTTTCTCCTTCTACGGCCACCACCTCTGCCTCAATATCTTTCTGTACAAGACCCAGATCATCGCCTCCCCGTGGTTCACGGGCGCCGAACCCAACGAGATTGACGAGGGTCCCTATGCAGGCACCCAGATCCTCCAGGAAGAAGAGGTTCTGGGCCTGAAACTCATGAAATCCCTACCCGCCGAAAAACAGGCTAAAGCGCAAACGTTCAAGCTAATGAAAGACCCGGCTATGCCCAAAGGTCGCTGGAACCACGACGACCAGCGACACTTGTGCGGTGCGTACCGGGACAATCGCATCGTTCCGTACGAGGGAATCTTAGTCAGCGACATGACCTCTGAGCAACAGGAGCTGATTAAAGGTATTTTGAACCAGTACTTGCTGTACCTTCCCCAGACCGCCCGCGAGATCAGAATAAAACATGCGGCGTCGTTCTTCCATGAGACGTACTTCAGTTGGATCGGTGGATACGAGGATGCGGATCCATTCTATTACCGCGTTCAGTCTCCTGTCATCCTGGTCGAGTTCGACCACCATTCAGGAGTGTTTTTGAACAACAAGGAGCCTGCCAAGTTCCATATTCATACCTTGTTGAGAACTCCCAACGGCGGGGACTATGGTATGGCTCTGCGGCCTCTCATTCCGACCATGGATCAGAGTTTTGTGTGGGAGGGCGACAGAAATTAGCGTGAGACGGATTGAATGATGAGGTTGTCACAATCTGGTGGGCGGTTTGGGGCAATATGTGTCTAGAGGTATGTTCTTGGTCACATGTCCTCTTTTCCCATAGTGCAATTTAACCAGGGATCGAAGACCTGAGGTTTCGGTTGCTGGAAAAGACGAGCTACGCGACTCGACATCTCGTGCTGTTGTCACCATTCAAAACATAAAGGTAGAGAGGGATCACGCAGTGACAAAAGGGAAAAATTGTATGATATACCGCCCTGTATGTACGCCATGATCCTTGCAAAATAGTCGTTTCACTCCATGACTGAGGACAGCATAGTCCCAGCCTTTTGCTTCGCCATTCCGCTAAAAGCCATATACACAACAAAATAACCCTGACTTCGTGCACCGACTAATCCCGAGCCACCATCTTCTCGAAGAATGCGGCTCGACGAAGTATTGCGGCTTCACTTTGTATGCCACCTGCACTTCTGAGCGGTACCAAAAAGTTCATTTCAACCCACCAAGTGGAAGACAAGCTGGCCCGATAGCCTTCCACTTATCGAGTACTCTGGCACACCATAAAGGAGCCCGGACGCCCTTTCGCCCGGAAAAGCAGATCCTGTCCTCCATCCAGATAAAAATGGAATATAAGAAAGAAGCCAACGTGCTCGTTCGCCCACCAACGCCACGCCTCGGCTCAACAAACGAAGAGTTTCCCACCAATCATGCAAGCGAGGTTCTAGCGAGGTGTAGCAAGGAAGCGTTCCAGACCACGGCTGTGACAGACTTCCGTAAGAAGATGTGTGCTCGACAGCAGTGATGTCGAATCGTGACCGTTCAATCACATGATGATACAGCGACAACCTGGACTTCTGCCCTCCGAATCTCGATTCCCTGCCATGGATGACTTCCCACCCTTGGCATCCTCATCTTCGACATAGTCTTGTGGCTTGATGGTCATATGTAGAACGTTTGGCGAATCATGGCCGAATTTATAATCTGCAAGGAGAGGTTTGTTAGTCCTACTCAACTCAACAGAAGAGAAGACAGTATCGTACCTTTGAGAGATGACTTATCATCCAACAATTTGCCCATGCTGATGAGTCTAATATAGTTGGGACTGCTGGGTTTAGCCTCCCACTCTTCTCGCCATTCACGAAGAATGAGTTCCTTCAACTTGTAAACACTCAGGTTGAATGGGTCGTTGTCCGGCAGCTCAACTCCTCTTTTGGCCAGGTATTTGGCATCCAACCTGAACGGATGTCTTGCTCCGTTGGTGAGTAAGAGTGTGACTATCAGGACGGGTCCTGTCAAATCGGTATCTTTAGCTGGCACAACAGGTGACTCGGACGAAGGTCCAATAGCCGTTGAAAATGTTCTCGTCATTGAAGGTGATCCGGCGATCACAGAGGAAAGAGGAGGTGGAGGTTGGATGGATTGATGGATGGCTGTGCTCGTGTCGGTCCTCACTGGGCCCAGCATTGGTTGGCCCAGACCGGCGTCTTGTTGGGAAGATAAGGAGGAGGGATCTCGTTCCGAGATAGGATTGTTTTTCGGGAGACTGGACATCTCGACGGGTGTGGATGAGGGTAATTGTTCTTGTGGACGAGGTTGTTGCTGAGGAATGTCCTGAGCAGTGGTACGGGTGTCGGTAGCAGACTCGGGCTGTTCGCTAGTAGTGGTCGCTGAACTCAACATGGTTGCTGCAATGACTCGGTTTTTACGGGGAGATGAAAAGGCAGCAGTAGATGATTTCGTTTGAATTGCAGGGTTTGAAACGAGCGACTGTTGGTGGCTCAAGTTTGGTGGTGTTTGGTGCTAGATCTACCGTGTCGCAAGAGTCGAGCTGAAGGACCCCAATGCAGGGTGCGACCGACTGTGGCAGATGATCGAAAGCGATTTAGCTTTGATAGTCAAGCGTGGCAGTTAGAACAAACAAAAACGATGGCAATCAACGCATGATGGATCTAGATGATGGCATCAGGCCGAGTGTATGGAGGTTTAGGAGAGATAAGTTAGAAATGGCGCATTGATTTCCATTTGGAATTGATTGAGAGGAGTGGCGAGGCGGTTGATGATGAACTGGGAAAAGCGGGAAGGGAAGTTGTACAGCAGGGCCGCGAAGTGCCCACTGCTCAACCGCTCATGGCTGTCCAGTGCCCAGTTTCCTGGGGGAAAGAAGCAGCAGCTGTCAATGACCCAGGCCGCCACTAAAAGTATCTAACCGGACAAGGTACCTATAAGGTACCTAGACACGTACCTAGGTCTGCAAGGTGAAGCCGCGATAGTTAAAGCGCGCCCCTAAGCACTGAGCTAAAGTAAAGACAGGTGACCACGTGGGAGTCTTCTCCGCCATGGCAAGGCTTGTTTCATTCCACTATAGATGCCAGTCTTTGGAGCAGACTGGTCTGCCGTGTACTTCGCCATAATCGGATGTCCCGTTGCTACTTACAGAGTGTACTGTCCGTAGACAAAGCTTTCTGGTAACATCGGTGTTGGGTGTCAATGTGATCTTCCATTCGCCTACCATCTACGCCCTCATAACCACTCGCCATACTGATATATTTCCTCCCATCGGATGCCCTCATTAGCCTGTTTGACTCCCAACAACCTCACGTTCCCGATCGTAGCTCCCTCTTTATCTGAGCACTTCCATCCGTTCAGTCTGTCTCGCAAACGCTGTACCACCTCCCCATCGTTTACGATCAGAAGAGCGACCGCATCATATCCTCCAGCACCTGGTGCAAGACCTCCCACCACTCCCGGCATTGCTGTGCAGTAGTCCAGCAACTCAGTGATCACCGGTGGCTCAACAGGTACTTCAGACTTTATCGACATCTCTCGTACGAGACTCCTGATCGTGAGGATGATATCCCCAAGATCCTTGCATCCTTGTATCCCAATTCTGTCTACCTCGGCGAGTCGTCGCAGTTCCTGGCAGAGCTCTTCTTGGCCTTGTTGTAGAGCGTTCCACAGTAGATTGGCCTCATCAGATTTCTCTTTGCGCCATTGCAACACCTTTCGAACCATTCCAGGTGTTTCGGAACCACAATCGACATCGCACATGACCAGTATCAGATCGTTTGGGATCTTGACCGCATGGCTAGCCACTTCAACGTCCCACTTGGCTTCAAGCTCAAGGTCATCCACACACATACGCAGCCGTTTGCCGAAGTGAGGATTTGTGTGCTCTCCCACCACCTCCAATATCGTAGGAGTAAATCTTCGGTACAGACACGATCCAAAAACTGCAGCAGCAACATCGAACCCCGACCCGACCTTGCCTTGAGCTGCACAATGAGCTGCTTGTGCGAGGTTGTGGACCGTCTGTTGAGGTAGAGAACCATCGGCGCCGGACTTTGTCGAATAGAAGGCCAACATGGCGCCCGTCAACGAAGTCACCAGAGCAGCAGAAGAACCCAGACCCGTTTTGTGAGCGTCGCTCAGGCTGACTCCAAAGTTCGAAAAAGCGGTACCGGACCTTTGCACTATTCGCGTCGATTGCGAGTAGTAATCATCATCTGCCAGAATGGTGATCTTGACATTCCCTCCAACGCCCTTTGTGGTTTGTGAGATATATGTCAAACCATAGCGAAGCGTAGTCTCGACGAATTTGTTGGCACTTGTCGTGAACCCAACTTGGCTCTGGACTTGTTCCACTTGGACTCCCCTGTCCTCAGCACTGGTCTGGGTAACCTGGTAGAGCCACCGCGCGTCCAGAAATTGAGGTGACTGAACGAATATGAAATTCCCTGTCACATCGTCGAGAAGCGTCGGATTCCACTGTTCGATGTGTACATGGATGCGCGCGTTGAGTCCAAAGACCAGACCGGTATGCTTCCTGTCTAGCACCAGGAATCCACCTGCAAACAATACCTTGCCTGGGGCCGATACGGCCACCGCTGACGGCGACATCAAAGAAGCGAAGAAGAGACAGAAAGAAGCGGTGTCAACATTGAAACAATTATGCTTTAGCTGTTCCATAAGTGATTGGTGCAGCTCCAAAACGTGCTGCCAATTCACGCCGCTTTTTTAGCCGTCCTCAGCAATGCATAGTAGACAATGGCTTTCGTTACCTAGGTAAGGTAAGGAAAGACTTGCTTGAGATGCTGCAGACAGGGGTTTATGATCATGATATTGCAACTCGAAGACACAGTAGTGATCGCGCTTAGCGAGCTCCCTTTATATTATATGAGCCATGCCAGGCTCATTATATATCTATCATAAATTCACCTACACGCCAGCTTCGCAGATGCTCCTGTCATGCCTGCCTTTAGCTAAGAATACACCCGCCTGTAACTCCTTCAATACCTTCACAGTCAAGCAAACCCGTCTCTTTCAGAAGATCCATCTCTCGACATTTGTTCGCCATCTCTTCAGCTCACACATTCTGTACAGGAACCTGCAAAGTCCCATCATCCTCCTTTCCCTTTACGGTGACCCCAGGACCCGGCGCCATTGGTCCTGTGCCAGACCTTCTTCTCCTTTCCCTTTCCGTTGGCCCAGCCTCAACCTTGTTCAACATGATGCCGAATTCGGTGCTCTTGCGGAATTTCATTCCATACATCCAGCTATCATGCTCATCACTTCCCAGCCAGTAACTCCGCCCAATATTGAGCATGACGCGTCCCAACCTGCCCCTCCACCCTTGACCTTCAGGCTTGTTCTGAGCAAAAGGGTTCTCCGCCAGATTCGCATTCGCCGACGCTGTGGTGTAGCTGTTGCTGCCGGTCTTGACACCACTGGCTGCAATGTGCTGGCGAATCACCATGCGTGCAAAGGCGAGCATAATCAGACAGAAGTACGCCCGTATCGTCCACAACGTGATGATGACACCAATGCTGTTCATGCTCTCCGTACCCAACACGACATCTTGTAAAGCCCCTTTGCTCCCACTGCCAGCAGGAGCGGCGGCCGGCGCCCCCGCGGCAACGGCATCCTGTCCAGCAGCCAGCCCCGACGCAGGTGTTGCAATGACGTCCACGCCGCTCACATTGTATTTCGGGTTGGTGAACCCGCTCGTATCATCGATCGTGCCGGCCCCAGGTCCGCTCTTTTCCACCTGTCCTGCGTCGTGCTGCGCCAGTACCAAGAACCACGTCACGGCGAATGCGGCAGTGTATGCCGCATTGATGATGCTGTCGAGTACGTAGAACCACGCGAGCGCCAGGCATTGCAAGGGCGACTGCTTGCGAATATGTGGCATAAGATAGGCGGTCAAAATCAGACCGAGGACGGAATAGATGTACATGCTCAGTTGTAATGGGGAAAGATGGTAGCCTGTGAAGAGCGCCAGGATGCCATAGAATCCGGCGAGTTTGTTGACGAGTAATGACAGCGCGATCAAGCTTGCGCCGGTCGAGAGGGTCATTGTGTAGAGGAATCGCTGTAGCATAGTCAGCAGGAGGCGATGGATGCCTGATCAAGGAAAATCGTGCGTACCCTGGGCCTTCCCAGCCGTTGAAGATGTGTTGAGATACCCATGATTGAGCGGCGGGTATATAGGTTACCAGACGTCGACCAGAGGCAAGGAGTGTTATGTGGAAGAGGTATGATGTTGGTAAGGATGGAAATTAAAGAGACAAAGTCGAAGGTCGCCTGCGGCTGGGGCCGGATCTGCGACTTTTGATTAATGGATTTTGTGCCCCTGCGTCATCTGATCTTATTGTTATGCAGACGGCGATGCTCACTCAGTCGCAATGCACCATTCCAGCACTATATCTCTACAAGCAGAGACACGAATCAACACAGAAACGTACTCATTCAAGCATTCATTCTATTTTGCCTGCACTTCATTCTCTAGTTAGAATACAACTTTGTGGGACCAGTATGACGGAAATGCTTTCTCAGGCCTCCCACCCATGGAACTCGGATGCTCCTAGTCTGTAAGACGGCCATTTATCCTCGACGCCTATCATCCTTCGCACCCCATTTCCATGCACATTTGCTTCTCAACCACCAGATTGCGTAGGTAATTACTCCTCAACCATGCTTAGTCGTACAAGCTGTCGTCGTTGCCAGCCTCGCCGAAGCCATTGCCGTTGGCAGCAGCCTCGGTTTCTTCAGCGGTTGGGAACTTGAAGAAAGCGCTACCACCACTCTGCTTCATGGCTTGTGCGAAGGCTTCGTAGCGACGGATTTCAACATCGCTGACAGATCTTCGGGCCAATGACATGGCTTCTTCGAAATGGGCCTTGGTCAACTCAGGGACGGGATCCTCTTCATCATCGGCGTCCATGGCATCCTCACCAGCAGCTTCACGCTCCTTTGTGCGCTCGATGTCATGGGCGATGGACTGCTTGATAGCAAGCTTGACGGCACGCTGAGTGACAAAGCCCAAATCGGCACCAGAGAAACCGTGCGTCTTGCTGGCAATGAAGTCAATATCGACATCAGGAGCTACAGGAGTCTTGCGTAGCTGTGCTTTGAGGATCGAAGCACGAGAAGCCTCATCCGGAAGAGGAACATAGACCAGAGTGTCGAGACGACCAGGTCGGCAAAGAGCATTGTCGAGCTGCTCAGGTCTGTTCGTGGCACCAATGACGAAAACGTTTTTCTTCGAAGTCATACCGTCCATCTCGGTCAGGAGCTGGTTGACAACACGGTCAGAAGCACCACCAGCATCACCAACTGAACCACCACGGGATTTGGCGATTGAGTCAAGTTCGTCCAAGAAGACGACGCAAGGTGCAGCTGCTCGAGCCTTGTCGAAGATGTCTCGGATGTTGCTCTCAGATTCACCAAACCACATGCTCAACAACTCAGGACCCTTGACGGAGATAAAATTCGCGGCACATTCGTTTGCGACAGCCTTGGCAAGCATAGTCTTACCAGTACCTGGTGGACCATAGAACAAAACTCCACGCGATGGTGAGAGACCAAACTTGAGAAACTTCTCCGGGTGGTCGACGGGATATTGGACGGACTCGATGAGTTCGCGCTTGACACCCTCGAGACCACCGATATCGTCCCAGCGCACGTTGGGAACCTCGACAACAGCAACCTCGCGGAGAGCTGAAGGGTTGGAAACGCCAAGGGCGAATCTGAAGTTCTCCATGGTGACACCGAGAGAGTCCAGGACCTCAGCATCGATGGTGTCCTCATCCAAGTCGATGAGGTCCATCTTCTCACGGATCTGCTGCATGGCAGCCTCTGAGCACAGCGAGGCGATATCGGAACCAACATAACCGTGTGTCTCGGCAGCGATTGACTCGAGATCGACGTCATCACCAAGCTTCATGTTCTTGGTGTGGATCTGGAGGATCTCAAGACGGCCAGTTGGGTCAGGAATGCCAATGTCGACTTCACGATCGAAACGACCGAATCGTCGGAGAGCAGGATCGATCGAGTTGGGACGGTTGGTGGCCGCCATGACGACGACGTTTGAACGAGCCTTCATGCCGTCCATGAGGGTGAGAAGCTGCGAAACGACACGACGTTCGACTTCGCCGTTGGTCTTGTCACGCTTTGGTGCAATCGAGTCGATTTCGTCAATGAAGATGATGGCAGGTGAGTTCTTCTCAGCCTCTTCGAAAGCCTTTCTCAAGTTTGACTCGGATTCACCAGCCATCTTTGACATAATTTCTGGTCCGTTGATGAGGAAGAAGAATGCGCCAGTCTCGTTTGCAACAGCTCGAGCCATCAAAGTCTTACCGGTACCGGGAGGACCGAACATGAGAATACCTCGTGGTGGCTTGATACCGATAGACTTGAATAGCTGGGGGTGTCGTAGAGGCAGCTCCACCAACTCTCGAATCTGTGCCATCTGTTTGCGGCAGCCACCAATGTCATCGTAACCGACCTCGTTGAGGTTGCCTTCTTCATCTTCTCTCTGAATGGGTTCGCCTTCACAGTGAATAACGGTGTCTTGTGCAACGATACCATACTCCGGTGGATCCACCTCGACCACCTTGAATTCTACTTGTCTCATACTGGCTCGAACTGTGAAGAGATCACCTTGTCGCACCGGTCGGTAGGCTTCACGGAAGTAAGGGGCAAGGAAGACGTCGAATAGGGAGCCGGTAAGACCTTCCACGGTGTCGGCGATAGGCAGGACAGCAATGCGCTTAGCCTGCGGTTTGTGTCAGTATGTGTGATGTTGGATGGCGGGAAGTAAGGCTTACATATTTGATGTCCGGGCAAGGGTGGACGGTAATGATGTCGCCATGTTTGACTCTCAGGTTGTGGCGGACAACTCGGTTGATACGGGCATTTCCGTCATCTAGGTCATCATCGGCGAGCACGATCAAGACGGTGTCTTTCCTCTTCTTTCCCTTGACCAAGACTGTGTCGCCTCTGAAGAGCTGTAACGTCTCCATGGTGTTGTTCGAAAGGGCAATGATCGAGTTATCATCGTTGGTGGCGTCCGTGACACTACGATCATCTGTCAGTATTGAGTCAATTCGTAAGGTGCAATTTGCAACTTACATCAAAGAGTTTGGCTTCTTCTTCTTCTTGAGAATGGCGGTCGCGGTGTCAAGCTCCTGATGTCCTGTCAGTTTTGTTCATATATCGCTGATGATGGTGTTGCTACCTCTCTCTTCTCGGAGCCAGAGGCATCCCTACAGCTTTGATTAGCGACAATCTGAAAGTCATGTGGCAATAGCGACATACTGAAGGTTGACCTTGGGCTTGGGCTTGTGATGCGTATGTTCAGGTTGTTCAGACATGTTGTCGGTCGTGTGAGGGTTAGAGGGTAGGAGGTTCGGGGGATGGTTGATTGCCCCAGGTACTGGGAGGTCGTGCGGCCGCAGCGGATCTCAAGACAGACTTTGCCTTGAGATGAGATTTGAGTGAAGGACTGGAAAGAGGTATCAAAGACAAGGCTCTTCTACAAGCGAAGAACCTCAAATAGCAAGGTTGATGGTAAGTAAGATGTGCAGGTCAGAAAGTTGAAGCTGTAGTAGAGAGAGGAAAGCAGTGATGTAGCCGCAGGGACGGACTTGTGCTTGGCAGGATGGTTTGAAATGACACGCTTTCACTCCATCCACGTCGCCCTTTGCCGCCTGAACCTGAGAAGCAAATGGAACCTGGAAGCTTCTCACAGCGACCATCGCCATCACTATTACTCGTATTTGTTACTTTCCATTTGCCACGGTTTGCATATCGTTTGCACTATACATTCTTTGTAACAGCAACACACCACCAACTCTGTTCATATGCAATATCATCATCTACCAGAAGACGCCACCTTTCTATTGTAGAGTCCAGTATGGCCGCCGTTTCAGGTGGCAAGGCTGAGGCCACCATAGCTTCGCTTCTTTCGCTACAATCAACCTATTCATTCACCTCTGCACGACAGTATCTCGTTACGTCCTTTATGCAGTCTTCCGTCTCTGGGCGTGAAGATTGGTGATGGCAATCAGTGCGTCAACATTCTCGATATCAACACTATCTAGGTACTTCGGAGATGCTCTCCATATCATACTACGGCCAATGATTCATGACGCCATTGCGGCTGTGGTTACTAATCAATGACGGGTCCTGGCAGCCTTGTAGATCCGCCATTGCTAGCGATGGAGAAGTACTTCTTTTCATTCAATATACGAAACTCGCAATTCAAGCCGCTGCAGGAATCTTGACGTACAACAGCGGCGCATGCTGCTGGGTGCCCAGAGTATCTCTCTCCCCAATGCTGCCCTGCTCCCAAGGCCTTTTGATTGTACATTTTCAAGCTCTCGCCGGCTCAAAGAACATATTTGTCAGTATGTCTTGCTCCTGAACATTATACAGACGTCCTATCACATCATTCGTCAGGACATTGGCTGCTTTGACACGTTGGTATGTTGCGAGGTCGTCGAACATGACGTCGAAAGTCATCTCAAATGGTCCGCTATTCTTGGATCGAACAATTTTGGCCACATCCATCATCAATGCCTCTTCTTGGGGCACCACTTTCGGCACCAGCGGCTTCGGTTGACCAGTGGTGAACTCTTCGAGCTCTTCCGGTGAGAAATGTGTTGGTTCAGGCTCAGCAGGCTCGCTGCTGTCGATGTTGACACTGTTTATCGGGAACATGCTGAGTTCCTCCCCGGGCTGCAAATCGATGAGATGGTAAACGTTCCACCTGAACACTTCACCTGCATCCTGCTCGTGCGGTGACAATGGTGACGCAAAGTTGCCGGCCGTCGCCATCTGTCCTTCATATGGCATATGCAGAATTGATGCTCGTACATTGTTGGCGATTGCGTGAGATTTCTCTTTTGTGGGAGCAACAACCTCGCCGAGGACTCCAATCTCATGTGCAGCCGTCGTGGTCGGCTCGAGTGGACCCATGACTGCATTCTTGCCATACACTTGGAACCTGAGCTGACAATGCTCGTCTTTGTCCAGCTCCGGAAACATCTTTTTCGTATATGCTCGAGCTCGCTCCAAAAAGTCGTCGATTTGGGCAATCAAGATTGGATCACGGATACCGCCAATGAAGATTGTTCGGTGTCCTAGCTTTTCCACACCCTCCAACTTAATCTGGTAGATGGGCGTCGGCACGAACCTAGCCCCAGAAACCCGAACGGTACGACCATCTTCGAGTGTCTTGTACTGAGCGGAGTCCAAGTGCAGGACACCACCTGGCCCTGGGAGTCTGTCTGGCCGAGTCTTCTCATAAAGGGTGTGAGCAGCGACCGAGACAGGTGTACATTGTTCAAATGGCGAGACCGGTGTCAAGTCGAATGATGATTGTCTGACTGTCGCGACCATGGTCCGTCCTTTGGGCACAGCACAAAATGCGCCGCATTCCATGATCTTTCCAATATACCATGCAACACCAGGATCGACCCCACGGCTAAGGCAGAACCCGGCGAAAGGTGAGGGGTCATAGGATCTCCCAGAGAGGATGATGTCCGGATCTGTCTGCAGAGCAGCAATGAACGGTTCGGCACCATCTGACCAACGATATCGACAGCTTCGTCCACATTTATCTCTGTGAGATCGGCGACGGGACCACAAGGATGAACTTGACTTTTGACGATTCTAGCTTTAATGCTTTCTCGACTGATGTCCGTCGTGATCGTGGCGACCTTGAAGGAAAACTTGTGGGTAACTGCGATCTCCTTGATGATGCCGATCATTTCTTCGACATGCTTGTTGCTGCCATCGCCGCCAGCTGAGGATATCAGCACTTTGATCTTGCGGTAAAAGCAAGCTTGCAACATATGGGTCAGGTCTCTGATGTAGCTTTCTCTCCCGCAAGTCATTTTATTCATCCCCAACTTATATGGTCCGCCATCGGTGCTACCTGCATCAACGACGATAGCAGCGGGCTTGTATTTGTCGATGCCCAGCCAGAAGTGGTCGCTTCTGAACCCATAGCCTAAGATGGCACATGGTGTCAAGATTCTGAAGTCTGAATAGTCGATGCTGCCCATGATGAAACTTGTTTCTTCTGTTCCTTGGTGATCCAAATCAAACTATGAGATGCCCTTCGATCTATCGCGTATATATCCCCGGCCACCAAGACCAAGACCAAGCTTCGACCAGAATTCGTGGGGTCAGACACAGGTTCGGTATCATAGCGACCAAGCCTGTGGAGAGGGCAAAGGCCCAGGGGGTTTTGACATGGTCCTACCGAGGTGGACACTTACCAACAACTTTGAGTGATCACGCATGTCGTAGTACTCGTGGGAGTGGCTATGAATGCAATATAGTGGAAATTATTATACCGACACAGATTGGAAGTGTTTGTCAAAATATAGCGATGGCGTTTGAGGGACTGGCCACGCCGCTGTCCAGATTTAACGGAGAGCTAGTCAGCAAGAAAGTCCACCGCCCTGTTGCCTGACACGTTGTGGACAGCGTCTCCAGGTCCCAGACTTCGCCAATTGGCATGCCCCAGCCGCTAAGGAACACCTCATGACAAGCAATGCCCCAAGGTTTGGAAGGTGCCCCCCAGACTTCATATGCGTTAGTGTCGCTGGCGACTGCCGCGAACTGACGGTCCCAGTGCCATCTGATCATTTCTTCACTTGCTTCAACGCCCACAAAGCATCTTTGCTCTCGTCTCGCCAAATGCAACTTTTCTGCATCGGTCAATTTGTTGTACTCTTCTGTCCATCCTGTTCTGATTATCAAGATGTCACCTGGGAAAAATTCAACCCTTTGAGATTCAGCCACTTCTAGCAGTTGCTCTAGCGGAATGGCATGACTTGAGAAGGGAGAGTATTTTATTCCCTTTCTTTTTGCATACTCTCGCCAATCCAACAAAACACCGCGACCGACGATGCCGTGCCGCGCCATGTCTACTCTGGTCAGTTTGGTATAGATATGGGAGACATCCGCTTACTTTGCACGCCAATCTTGGAATTTCGGTTGGGCCCTGAAATGTCTTCCGTCGTGACACCATTGTAATAGCGATGTTCGGACTCAATTTGGTATGGATAATGCCGCAGGCCATCCCAGTGACTTGACGCTTGAGTGTTGAGATGGACTTCGTCGTCGTTGGCATAGCCCTTGGCGATGATGTTATGGGCGCACGGCGTTCTTCTCGGGTTCATCGGTAGCAGCGGCGATTCAAGGGGAATGCTCAAGGGTACAACGATGCCATTGCGCGCTTCCCTCGAGGCTCGGGCGACAACATCAGGAGTAAGAAGGTTCAACGTGCCAAGTTCATCCTCATCTCCCCATAAGCCCCATGCCGAACATTTGGGGTCACCTTCGCGGAGCGGCAAATCTTCAAACTGTGGCCTCTGAAACTTGTGAACAGGACTGAAGTCTGCGACCAAAGGTGGTGTCGCTGGGTCGTCCATATTGTGTTGTGTGGGAAGTAATGTGGTGTATTGATGGAAAGTCGTGATCAAGCATTCCAGGCCGACGACGAGAGATGCTCTATCAGCCAAGGATCAGACCAGCCTTTCGACGATGAAACGGCCAATGTCTGCTCAAGATTGACTTTGGAACAAATGGTTCACGGAACCGAGCCCGTTGAATTCAACCAGCCTCAATGTCCACCTAACTCGCCATCTCGGCCTCATACCGACAGTACGGAGTATGCGGTACCGCATTCGGACGCAGAAATCTAGTCCGTGCATCATCTCCACAAAATCCAGCTTGGAGATTAAGCAGCTTTCCCCGGCTGGGGTTCGGGATCTTGCTTTCTTATTTTCTCCCTCTCGGTATCACAGCGTCTTCATCGCTACTCTTTGTTCTCGACTGCACCATGCCGTCCCGTGCCAAGAAGTACGGACAATCCTGCCTTAGTTGTCGACAGCGCAAGATTCGTTGCGATTTAGGCAGGCCAGCTTGTGCAAAATGTATGCGGATCAAGGAATGCTGTGTCTACAGTGCCCATGATTCCACAGTAACCCGGCTGCAGAATGCTTTGGCCACATCAGAGCAACGTTTTTTGGAGCTAGAACGAGATCTCCAGGGCTTGTTGCTGCTTGAGCCTGCTCAATGTCGAGACGCGCTTCGGACTGTCACAGAGAGCTTCGGTCAGAGGCTTTATGAGGCTCGCAAGGGCGAGCATGAGCATTCCGGGACCCCAGATCGCACGTCCAATCATGGGTCGGTCAACTATCTTGACGGTCATCAGCCTGGTCAGCATACCCCGGCCAACGACGAAGGGAGCACGGACGAGGAGGAGAATGAAGAGGTGCGTATCTACGCGTGTGTTCACGGCCTACTCTGACTCTGCTTAGGGCTAGGGCGCGACTTCAAGATTTCACATCGAGGAACACGACTCCAACGCCGAGCAAGACCAACGCCCAAGCTACGATGATCCCGCACAGATCGAATATCATAAACGCTGGCTGACTTCGAACGCGCGGTTCCACAAATCTTTCGAGCAAATGGCATATGCTGGTTTGCACAACGATGATTATATTGATGCAGAGACTGCCAAGATACTCCTGAGTATGTACTGGATGTGGCAAGGTCCCTTGCATAACTGCGTCTATCGTCGAAGTAAGTTGGTGGCCTTCAAGCGTGAGCAACGCGCTAACATCTTAGGCTTCTTCCGAGATATGGTGTTAAAGGGCCCATACTTTTCTGATTTCCTTGTTAATGTCATATACGCTCATGCAGCAAGACATATTCAACCTAGCGACACGAGATACGCGACACTTCTCCAAGGCGAGCCATTTCTCGACCGAGCAAACTGTTTCTTCTTGATGAGCTGAAAAAAGACAGACCAGCTATTCCGACGATCCAGGGTCTCCTGATTCTTGGTGGACGACAGTGTGCAGTTGGCAGGAACAGTGAAGGTTGGTTATACACTGGCATGGCCATCCGTATGATCAAAGACTTGGGTCTCCACCTTCCACGACGCTTGCGATTGGCAACCACGGAGCCGGACGACCTTGAGACCTGGAAGCGTGTGTACCTTTCCGCCTACGTCTGGGACAAGTCAATCAGTTTGTGCTTGGGCAGGCCGCCATCATTGACAACCATGCTATACCCGCTGGATTGTCTTTATGACCATACTGATGACCAGGAACTATGGCAACCGTTCTACCTGGGTGGCTTGGAGTCAATCTATGCATCCACTCCTTGCTACAACACCACAACATTCTCCCATTTCGTTAGGTTGTCGATGATCGTCAACGATGCGTTCGATACCGTCTTCGGTTCTCGTTCCCGAAAATTCGTCTTCTCTCGATTGAAGCACATCGAGCAGAGGTTGTACGAGTTCTATCGGACACTTCCAACGGAACTTCAAATGAACGAAAGCCTGGCCAGCTCAGGCTACCCACCTCCGCACATATGTTGCTTGAATATCTTATATCATACAATGTACATCCTGATCTATCGGCCTTACTTCCTGAATAAAGGCCTCGGACCCAGCCGCGACGATGCTTTGCTCGAGCACGCGGCCACAGTGTGTACTCGAGAAGCGACCGCTGTCAACAAGATCTTCCAAGCCTACGGGCGGGCTTTCGCCAATAAAAGACAGACCTACTTGCTCTCATATTGCGTATATACCGCCGCCACGATCGAGGTCAAGCAGGTGGGTGACCCAGACCCTGCAATATCACGGGCCGCTGTGGAGCGCCTTGCAACGACTCTGGCTATGCTCGAGGAGGAAGCCAAGCAGACGCCTGGGATCCGGAGAAGTATCGAAATCATCAGAATGCGTCTTCAAAAGCAGCGACAATCGTCTCAGACAGTCGAAATGGCTCGCACTCAGCAAGAAACGATCGCTGCTGCGGCCATGAACGCCCTACCGACCGTGTCCGGAGATTTGGGGCCCCCACAGCTACAATACGAAGCGCATGGTGGGGATACATCAAACGCTCACGCATATGGCACTCATGGCATGCCCACCTTGGGAAATGACCACAATCATACAGCCTCAATGGATGCTTTGTCCCAATGGCCGGTCAGTGAGGGTTCTTTTGACTTATGGAACATTCCTACACCGGACGTGAGTGGAGGCTTCGTGCCAGATAGCTTGAGCTGGTATACCATGATAGAGTGACGCTTTCGAAGATTTGATAAGTGTCGCCAAAATCTCAAGGTCCCCCAGACGAGCTATTCTAAATCATTTCCAATCAGGATTCTGGAGACTGGTGCAGTGGTGCATCGCTCGCAGGCCTGCGCATGGACATCGTGATGGATCCACTGCGGACGCCTTGGGTATCGCTACAACGCATCGAGACAGAGGCACGGCTCGTCGGTCAATACCACGATTTCCGTCTGTCCCAGTCTTACGCGGAGGTCCTTGGCTCCCATGTCATCCGGCATGCCAAATAGATCTCCTGATCACCGATTGATTCCTCATAACCTTCAGTGGTTCCCCTGGGCGGCCCACAGCTCGGTATCATACCGACATTGCCAATGCAATCATTATCATATCCCCGCATTCAACTTCCACATCACTGCTACCTATATATCTGGGGTATCCAGTGGCCAACAGGTATGCTGGCTAGCCAGCGTGCCAGAGCTTGAAGAGTCAATCATTTGAACGCACGTAAGATGGACATCCCTCCGAAATCCGAGTCGACAAGTATCGAGCATGCCGCCACCCACAGGCTAGAATACACAGACGACGAGGCAAACAAAGTACTTCGTAAGCTTGACTGGCACATTTTACCATTTGTCTTCTTGCTATACACCTTCTCGGTGCTCGACAGGGGCAACCTGGGAAATGCAAAACTCGCTGGTCTTGCTACGGACCTTGCTCTTTCCAGCAATCAATATACATGGCTGGGAACAATGTGAGGAAACACCTGGCCCGGTGCAGACGCTTGCTGACAGGACCCAGGTTCTACATTGCTTACATTGTCTTCCAATTCACCTCCCTGGGTTGGAAGATCTTCAAGCCTCATCAATGGGTGACATTTGTGGTCTTCTTCTGGGGAACTGTCTCGACGCTGCAGGCAGTATGCACCAACTGGAAAGGCTTGATGGCATGCAGATTCCTGCTGGGCGTCGCAGAGACCATGTTCGGACCCGGAATCCCCCTATACTTCTCATTCTTCTACCCCCGACGACACATGGGGCTGCGGTTCGGACTGTTCCTGTCGGGCGCGGCTCTGGCAAACGCGTACAGCGGAGCCCTCGCATACGGCATTAGCCACATACATTCATCAGTCAGCAACTGGAAGATCATCTTCATCATCGAAGGCGCTCCTACAGCTCTCCTTGCAATCATCACCTGGTTCTTCCTGCCTGACTCACCCAGGGAAGCCAAATTCCTGACTCCTCGCGAGAAGGAAATTGCAATCCATCTTGCGGATGACCATCAGGCGCAGACGGAAGATCCTGGACAAACCGGAATCCATTTCAACAACCTGCTTGACGCGTTCAAGGACTACAGGAATTGGATGTTCGGCCTGTCCAACTTCAGCACCAACGTCTCATTTGCGTCGCTGCCATTGTTTTTACCCACCATCATCTCTGAGTTCGGCACATACAGTACCTTGACATCAAATGGGTTGTCGGCACCTCCCTACCTTCTCAGCTTTTTCCTGATCATCGGCGTGTCGTTCTTTTCAGATCGCTTCCGGGTCAGGGGACCCTTCGCCGCCTTCTTCGCCTGTTTGTCGGCGATTGGATATTTGATCCTCGCGCTCACAGACGTGGTTGCAGCGAGATACGTCAGCTGCTTCTTGATCGTTACCATCTTCGTGACCGTTTCCATCGTCCTTGTCTGGAACGCAAACACCAATGAGAACGAATCGAAGCGAACTGGTGGCGTCTGGATCATCCAGACGGTTGGGCAGTGTGGGACAGTTCTTGGGACCCATTCTTTCCCTGCGGCCCAGAAGCCTTACTATCGTCGAGGCATGTGGACTGGATTCGGCTTCTCCTTGTTTTCGGCACTCATCTGTACGACTTTGAGTTTTTTGCTCTGGAAAGAAAACAAGAGAAGAGATCAGCTTTATGGCAAGATTGACCGTGCCACAGAAATGGGACATGATGAGGATACCGGTGATCTTCCACCGGAGGCGAAGTTCAGGTACATCATATAGACTGGTCAAGAGGTGACCCTCCGCCAGAGGATATGGGACTGCCTGGAAATAGACGATCCTAGCCTACATAATAAACCGCTCTGGTCTTGATGGCACACTTTTGGATAGACTACCGTCCTTATTGATAATCTGACCTACCGCGTAGAGAGTTTCAAGGACATCCCACCATAAAGTCACGTCTGCACTGCTTTGGGTCTGTTCAGAATAGCCTCACTTCCCCTGGCTAACTAGCTCATCTAGGTGTTCCGTATTACACTAGAAATAGAATGTTGGGTGGGCTTGGGTGGAAGAGAATACTGTACCAGTTATGGACGCTACTCCCCACTCCGCCTTCCGAAAAAAGTTTCCCTCACGCGGAGAAACCCTGGCTTTCGCATCACTTCGTAAACACAATAGCACTGAACCTCATATTGTCCGTACACTCACCCTCTCCGGACCTTGTTGTGCTGGTATCAGAGGGCATACATTTCACCCGGCACCGCCAACGATTTACGGCTGCCGGACAGTCGCTGGACCGTTCAACCTGCGCTTCATCCCGAGCAACACCGCAATATCGCAACGAGCATTACCACGACCACGCTACTAGCCTTCGACAGACAGGCAACAGGGACAGACACGCGACAGCGACCGGAGTAACATTGAGCGACACTCACATAATCACACACAATGTCGTCCTCCCAACAACCCGAAATCTCAATCCCAGTCCCCGTCTCCCTCACGTCCACATCAATGACCCTCCCCCCACCAACATCCCAAGCCCTAATCGCCCATCTGCGCGCAACAGGCGATATATCGTCCCTCTCCGGCCTCCTATCCGACTCCCTCGCCCGCACCGGCTGGACCGACCGCGTCCGCGCCCTGAGTCTCGAACTCCTCAGGAACGGCACATGCGACACATTCCCCGAACTCATGTCCGAAGTCCTACGACGGGCCAAGATTCCCAACACTGGCAGACACTCAGATGGCCCCAGCTCCTCCACCTCAGCGTCCACAAAGAAGAAGGACGCACAAGCAAACGGTACGATCGCGAACGGCAACGGCGCAATCGTCTTGAGTAAAGAATGGAGCGGTGGGCCAGATGGTCTACCGGACATACGAATCCCCGAAAGTACAGTGGAAACGGGCGTGGAGTTTCTGAAAGAAAAGATCAAGCATGCAGTCGAACCTATCGAGGATGATAGTGATTGAACACCTTGGGTTACTGGGCGCTGGGTTTTTGGCATAGCGAGCGGAGTTCTACTCAGGTTCATCGGACTGGATATCATGTTAGACTAGCGGAGGACTTCACGGCCAATGCTACGGCATTGGGTAGGGTCGACGACAGGGCCATAGACGCTTACACAATGACACATTGAATGCTCGGTCACCTCCAGCCATAATGGCCATTGGGGCGATGACAATGCGGTAACAGTATGCGCTCTTATCGTGCACCGTGACAACAAGTCTGCTTATTTTGTTAGACAGCCGGTCCGTCAAAAAGTTCTGCAAGATCAAAGGGCCATCAAATCGATATAATCTGTCACCACCACTGTGTGGCTTCATGCACGTCTGTCTTTTCGCTAATTGCTAACCAGAATTCTCCTCAAGCCGTACATACCCTCATGCACTGAGCGGCAGAAGTGATATTAAACACCAACAACCTATCTGTACATGATCTGATCGCCTGGCAACCGAGTAGAAGTTGTTAAAGAACGCCACCAGGTAGATTCTGTGTCGGCATTGTTCTCACACTCGCAGAGCCCGAGAGACTTGCACCACCACCCGACCCAACAGGCTTGACCCCTCCGGCGGCACTACCCATATCGCCGCCAATCGGGTTGGCCAGTTTCCGCAGCATGAACATTGGTTTCTTGCCTTCCCTGTCCAAGTCCTTGAACAAGGCCAACGGCTTCTCGTCAAGTCCGACGCACCGTTCCTGATCACCATAGACAATGTACAAAGCATATTGTCTCCAGTCAGCTTGTATGTTGTATTTACGCAAGGCAGCTGGGAGGACTTTGTAACAAGGATCCTCAAGGCCCACGCGGAATGACTTGAAGATCTCGACGGATGGGGCTTCTCCCGAAGTGTGTCCCCCAGCAGCACTTGACGGTAGCTGCGGTGGGACAGAGGCGGACTGTTCTCGTGACGGTATGAGTGTAGATGCATTTGATATCGTGGAGTTGCTCGGGTTGATTTTCGCGGAAGCGGATTTCGCTGAAGTGGGAGGTTCTCGGTCACCAGACAATGAATTTGTTCGCATAGTCGTCTCGTCCATGCCGTCGTAGCGCGGGATGGCACTGCTCCCTTCTCGCTGATACGATCGAGGAGCCAAGGGTGGGTGTTGGTAAGGTAGAGGGGAGGTCGGAGAAGGAATACCAGGAGAAGGATGCGGTAATACACCACCTGACATCGAGGCTGTTAGCGAATTCGAAGCCAGGCTAGCTGCTGCTGAAGGATCCAGCGAACTGTTGTCTGCAAGTGTCCTACCCTCGTGTATGGTGTTCGGTATATGCGTTGGAGAATTGTTCTTGGGTGTTGAGCTTAGGCCCAGCTTTTTGGAAAACGTCCTAGTAAGACTTGTCTTCTCAGGGAGGACCGTCTGCGGTATGACTGGAGGAGAAACGACGTCCTGTTGATACATATCCGGACTCATGACGGAATTCTGGTAGGGGGCGTATGGTAAAGGCTCGGATCTCTCTTTGGCCATCTTGAAGACTGGTAGAAGTTCCTGTCGCAGCTTGCGGTAGTCGTCTGCTAACCGGGTTAACTGCGCCTCGGCCTGTAGGATTCGCTCGTCTCGCAACCGCATCATGGCTCGTGCCAGTCGTGTGATGTCTTCTTTGGTTGCCATTTCATGCTGAGGGTTCTGCTCGGCAGCTACATCGTTCAATCAGACGATTACCCTCCCCGTACAATGGCAGACTCACTTGGTGGAACATAGTCATCAGGTTCGATGGGAATGTCCTGATTCACTTTCATATCGTAGACGTTTTTCAGTATCGTCAACCTGTGTCCCACACTGGCAATGCCCATCTCTTTCAGCTCATCGTGTTTCAACGCGACCAGTGCTTCGCCTTCGATGCCATGTTCTGACAGTCAAGTCAGCCCGATGCCGCCCGCCTGTCATGGGCTACGCTCACCTAGAAAGGCCTGGCAATACTGCCGCAGGTTCAGACTCGAAACAAATTGTGCGCATTCTTCCGGCGTCCATTCCGTGATGATCGTTCTCGGTAAACCAGAGTCTTCTCCAGAGTTGTCGAAAGTGGTAGGGGTGTGTTCGTTGGAGGCCGGCTCGGAGGAGGTCTCAGAGTCTGTGTATGTATGTACTTGGGTTGGGGAAGTCATGACGCTTCTCTCATACTCGTCGTCGGCGTCTGAATCGGCATGATACGTGGTGTCGCCAGGGTATGCCATGTTGTCTTAAGCCTCTGTAAGCACGCGGCGCTTGAGGGGAGCCTCGTGCAGCCGCGTGGAGTATGCCAATCACCGCCCTTCGGGGGTCCTTTGCAGGCGCACTGACACAGAGTTCGTAGTGAGACAGGGAGAGGATCTCATCGACGCTAGGATCTCGTTTCGGCAGAGGACGTGGGTGCGGTGGTCTGAGTGCAGGCGGAGGCCTCGTGGACTCGACTTGACAGCAGATCGGTTGGAAGCCAGTGGGCGAACGTCAAACGGGGACAGGCGTCAAGGAGGGTGAATGATTCAGTTCTTCCTGGTAGTCACAGCAGGCCAAATCTTCGTATTTTCTGGAAAGGAACAGAAGCCTTAGAATCAATCTTGAAGGGAACGCAGGACCATCGCAGGTGGAGGTATTGTATAGGGTGCTGTGGGTTGGTGGATGAGGCGTGGATCTGCGTTAGGTATGGTCGCCGATCTAGCGGGAACTAACAAGGCCACTCCAGGCTATCCTTTCGAGAAGTCCGCTGGCTGCGCCTCTTTTGATGGTGAACATCTCGCTTGTGTAATCATGAGGTGCTAACACAGTTTTAATGGAGATGTTGAATACCTAGTGAAATTCCTGACGGAGATCATGCATGGAACAGGGTGTTGCGGAAAGATGACTTAGATTCAAAAAGTAGCTGACTGTCTCAAGAAAGCCCCCATACATCGATGAGGTGCTTCTACAGGACCAACCGCTCATACTGATATTGACCTTTGTTCCTGCTCTCCAACATTTTGATCTGGGAAACACTACGCTTGGATACCTGGCCGCCCCCTTTCCTGACCTTCAAGGGGTTCACGACATTGTCAACACGCAGGGCAAGCGGAAGCCCTCCTTGGACCTGCAATGAGTCACCACCTTCACTTGCCTCTGAGTAGAGTGTAACGATCGTTCCGGGCTGTTGGTCCAAAGTAGCTTCCGGTCCTGCAATGGGCATCTGTCCTCCGGCACTCTGATGTTTCCGTACAGATTCTTCGTACCTCAAAGTTTCACGGAGAAAGCCTTGCAACTCTGTGGCATCTTCCAAGCTCTGTGTCGCATGCGTGATTTCTGTTGCTAGGTCTGGTACGATGTTACCAAAGAAGTCCTCGTTTTCCGAGGCCGCGACAAATCCAAGGGGCCCAATAGCATCGACACAGCTGGACAAGATCTTGACAACACCGTCAAGTTTGGCGGTTGAGCTCCCACTTTCAGCATCGGCAGGTGGTAGACTCTGCAAAGACCTGGTATGACCGCCTTGGAAGAGCTGTTGCCGTAGAAATTGAATGAGGGCCAGAACCTCTCGCTGGTCCAACAGGGTTCGGAGATTCTTTGATATGACGGATGTTGCGGAAGCGCCCAATCTGTCCAACGCCTTGACCAATGCTCGTTGCAATTCTGCTGGTAGCCACGTTGACTCAGAATTTGACACTGACAACGTTTGCAACTGCATGTTCTGTTTTGCATCATCTTCGGAACCGGCTTCAGCGGCCACAGGGCTTTGAGCCGCTTCCGCTACCGTCGCCAGTGCTTGTTGTAACAGCACTTGAACCACGGCTGCTTGCTCCTCCACCGAGGGACTGAAGCCATTTTCAAGACACTCGACAAGCAGGTTGCGGCTAGGGTCAGCATCAACCAACGCATGCGCAATCGAATGAATCGTGATTGACCCCGCAGAGCCAGCATTAGCTGCTGACAAGGCTCGCTTTATAGCAGTGTGGCAGAGCAAGCCCAAACGCGATAGCCAGACTATCAAGCGGAACGTTGGCAGCTGCACTTTTAATATTCTCGCGCCAGGGATGTCGATATTCGGTGTGGTCTGACCGAAGTCCAACTTGAAGACCTTCGAGATGAGATAGTTGACTCTGATATCGGGAATCGAGAATCGACTGGTTGGTAAGTCATCGATGGTTTGACTGGGGAAAGGCGAATGCAGCGATTGTGAGCGTACGTGGCCTGTGAAAGCATCCTCAAAGCCAGCCACATCGCTTGCTTCTGCCAGTTGATCAAGTCGCTTACGCAGAGCCTGCCACTCGGCGTCCGTTCTCGCACCATCGTTGAACGTCCCAATGTTCAGTGTTTGCACATGCTTCGCGATGGCACGCGTCCCGTCCTGGGTGCTGACGCCTCGGCCAATGCTTTGTAGGAGCTTGCTGCCGTGCTCGAGCACCTTCTTGGATTCAGCGTCCGGCGAAATATCGATTGCCACCAGCTGGTTATGGCGTTGCCCGATGATGCGTCCTGACTGTGTCAAGTATGCAATGAATTCGACAGGGCCTCCTTGGTTCTCTACGGCTGTTCTTATCCGTTTTCGTTTGAGGTTTGCCTTCTTGGTGTCAAGTTGCACTCGGATCGATTGAAACTTCAAATCGTAGAGCCGCAATGACTCTTGATCCGAGCAAATGGCGAATGCGGGAGAGATGGGCATCATCTCGTACGTCCCAGAGAGACCTGTATGAAGGACAGAGGCCAGAAAGGGTACAAGGCCTGTGAGCTCGTAGGTCAGAAATGCCTCCCCACTTCTGACATAAAGATGAGAAGCGAGGTTTCCAAAGATGTACCGCTTGTCTTTCGCATTGGCCAAGCTGGCTGGTTTGCCTTCCATGGCGAGCTCATGCTCAAACAGAGGCGATATCGTTCTGGTACTGGCCCAGGCTTTCTCCTCAAATGCCTCAACGGGCCATAACCCGTAGAAGATACTCGATTTGTCTGTGCTGTCCTTGTGATAGGCAAGTGCGAGATAAGATGTGTGGGGATATGCGTCGCCGAGTAAGTCCGACCGTTGTTTCAGGACGGTTTTCCGTGCCTCTGCCATACTCAGATGGTGAACCGCAAGGATTTGGATACCTGACTCTTTTCCGACACATAATGACCCTGACAACACCATCTTGTCTAGGTTGCGGGAAAAGATGCTCAAGCTGCCATTTTGCTGCACGACCAGGATCTGCTCAGCATTGTCCGAGAGTACATTGACGGACAGCACTTGGCTGATCTGATCGCGAAGTTCGGGACTTTTGCTTGTCTTTATAGTTGTATCCTGGCTCTCGAACAACTGTATCTGGAGGCTTTGAAGTTTTATCGCACAATAAGATCTTCGCTGTTGCTGTCCGTCTGCACTCCAACGAATTGAGCACGGCGGTCCAGAGAAAGAGGAGGTGGGAGGCACAGGGTACGATGTGAGAATATTCCCATTTTGCGCCTATGTTGTGTCAGAGCATATCGGCAACTCAGTTGCAAAACTCGTACCTCATAGATACTGAGTGAGTCGCCATCAATGGCCGCGCAGATTTCTTTTCTTCTTCTCTTCACGCCATCCCGCAGAGCGTAGACGCTCCCAAACTGGGTTGTGGCATCGGACCTAGCATTACGAGGGAGTCTGACCAGCAGATGAGGAGCTGAGATCTCCATTGTCATGCCGTTGACATAGTGAGCAGGTGCACAGCATGAGTTGTACCAAAAAAAAGTTTCAGTAGAGACGCTCACAAAAAGTTTCCCCAAATTTTCATGTTTTAACTCGGAGATGGTTCCGCAGTCAAGGCTTCCCGGTTAAAGCTTTAGCGGTCGATCACCCGCATGGGCAGCAGAGAAACAAGCGGCTCAATGAACCCGCGTCACTGACGCGCTCTCGTTAATGGATTCACTTCATGTTCAACACGCGACAAAATCCCATCTCGGATTCAGAAGTCCTACACTTGCAGCCAAGTCAGCTGCAATGTCTTCTCATTTGTCCTTGATTTCTTAGATTCATTTTCACTAAGACTGTCTTCAATGACAGCAACAACCGGACTTTTGGCATTGCAAACAGCGCATCTGCAAACAACGAAGTTATGAATGGCTGCATTGTTGCAGTGCGACAATGGGCCAGCGCAAGCTGCTCAGATGCATCCCTTCTTCAGAAAAGGTACTCCTCTCGTGAACGCGAACAATCCAGCCACTAACCCTCCCACCAGTGGTTCTGAACCATAACGTTCCTGAACAACAACCGTCGTCGAACTATCACTTGGGCCTCGATGGCACCGCAGACAATCCTGACATCCAACCTCAGCGGCAGTCAAATGCTGTTCCACACATCATTGTGAACGATGCACATGTCCCGAGTTCAGACTCCAAGCCAACATGTGCCACATCACCCGCTGAGACATCGCGAAATCTAACTTGGAGTGCCCCCGAACGAGATGACCTGGAAGATGAGAATAGAAGGACCAAGCGTCGCAAGTTATCTTCAGAAGCAAACGACCAAGACATTCCGACTCAGATGAGCATGAATTCACACCAGCGAACGTGGCACGACCAGCTTGAAGCAGCAGCAAAGCAGTCCCCAGAACATAGAACGCGGGAGAGAAACCCTAGCGAGGGAAGATCAAGCTCACGACCTGCCGATCTAGACACAGGGACAATTGAATCACATGCAGAAGTAGGCAGATCGGCTGGATGTGATGAAGGCAAGAGCCTTACTCCGGACCCGGCATGTAAAGGAGAATCCGAGCTTGGAGATATCTCAGACTACAAGTCGTCCATACCGTCCCTTACGATCCAATCACCTCCTCCAGAGCACAAGCTCGTCAATACCACCCCAAAGAAGAAGAGCATGATAGGTCTCAACGCTCAAGGCAAACTCATGCAGTCACCAAAACGATCGCCTAGAACGAAGAAAAAGGAGGGTGACCAGCAGGATCATGGCACCAGCAAGCCTGTTCGTCGATCTAAGAAGGTGGAAATAAGAAACGGGAAGTTCGTCTCTTCACTTCGGATCACGCTTCCTTACACAAGTACGGAAAGTGGGCAGAAGATCGATACTATCTTGTCCAAGCAACCAGACATACCCATCCGCCCTGCGCCGCAACATCAACCGCTGGTCGGAAAAGCTCCCAAGGACAACAAATCAACGCATCCTTTCTTCTTGGGCAAGCTGGCCGTCAAGACGGATAAGGAGGCACTGGCTAAAAGTGAGAATTCCTCTATCGCACCAACCACAGATGATGAGGCAGCCACGAGTCCGAAAGCACCAAAGCCATGGAAAGACATCGTCTTTGCTTCCAGAAAGCCGACTTCCAACCGGACTCTGGGCCTATTGCCTGCGATCTGGCCACCAGCCTCTCTGCAGCATATTTGCACGGCGGACACTGCTCGCTCGACCTTGATTCTACCACCACAGATTCGCTCAGCATCCTCAAAATTCAAGTATTCTGCCTTTTCCGTCAGGGATGATGAGGATGTGCTGCGCAACTTTGCTCGCAAGCTCAGCTTTAGGCCCTCTCAAACTGGGTCTGTTCACCTTCCACTGCGGCGCATGATGAGCGGCAAAGCACTTGCTGCAAGTATCGATCTCGAGGCAAGCACAGCGTTCGGAAGCCCTAGTCGACTTCTATCACTACAAGAACCACTCAAGAGACGCATTGAAACAAGGCCTAGCCCCTTCGACAGAGGCTCGGCCGCCGGTCCTCATATGTGGTCGCAGGATTATGCTCCTACATGCTGGCAGGAAGTCTTACAGGTACAGAGTCAAGTGCTGCATGACTGGCTGAGCAGCCTGCAAGTGCACCAGGTACAGACTGGCCAGTCGCAGACAAGACTGAAGGTGCCGGCAGTGAAAAAGCGTCGGAAAAGAAAATCGGATGAAATGGATGACTTTCTCGTGGACTCAGATGAGGACGTCCCAAACTCGAACCTGGGTGGGAAGAACGCGATCTTGCTTGTGGGTCCTTCGGGTTGCGGCAAAACCGCATCTGTCTTCGCCATCGCACAGCAGCTGGGCTTCGAAGTGTTTGAACTTCATCCCGGCATGAGGCGAAGTGCCCGGGATATTCAAGAAAAGGTTGGCGACATGACACAAAACCATCAAGTACAACAGGCGGACATGCTGAGCAGAGCATCCAGTGTCTCTCCGGACGACGCAGATACGCCTCCGTTGTCTACTGAGGTTTCAGAGACAAGTCGACAGTCTATAGCAAGTTTCATGGGTCCAGGAAAAGGTGGGAAAAAGAAAAAGTCCACCGAGACTGCTGAAAAGAAAGAGGTGAAGGCCAAGTCCCAAAAACAGTCATTGATCCTCCTGGAAGAGGTTGATATCCTTTTCGATGAAGACAAAGGATTCTGGACCGGCGTACAATCGCTGATCAGCACTTCCAAACGACCGGTTATCATGACATGCAATGATCTAGAATCTGTTCCTCTGGAGGAGCTCGACCTTTTCTCGGTCCTGGCCTATACACAGCCCGAACCCGATCTTGCTGTGGATCACCTTCGATGCATCGCAGCAGCTGAAGGGCATCTTCTCAGCAAGGAGTCTATCGAGAATCTTTATGCGACGAAAAGCTACGATCTACGCGCCTCTATAACCGAACTCAATTTCTGGTGTCAGATGACTGTGGGCTCGCATCAGGGCGGGCTTGACTGGATGCTGCCCTACAACGAAAAGCAGAGTATCACGGAGGATGGGTCTATAACTCGAATTGTTAGTCAAGACACTTTCACGACGGGTCTTGATCTCTTCCCTGTCGACATGGATGCGCCGGAACTCACTATTGACTTTACCCGCAACTGCTTGGAGATTCCAGCCTCGGACTGGGTCAAGGACGAGATTCCTCTAGCAGCTCTTGGAAATCGACTGCAAGCACTCGATGATATGCTTACTTTCTCCGAAGCCAAGAGTGCCATGGATCTCATCGATGGAAGCGACACCCCATTCGTCAGTGCCATGCTCACAGAGCTCTACGGTGGCCAAAATCGCCGATCAGCGCGAGACGACGTGGTCCAGCTGCGCCTGGAGCATCTCAATGACAAGCACATGACCAGGCTCGACATCGCCGACTCCTTCGAAGCATTGATGGAGGAAAGCAGAATCGGTCTACCCACGAGCCTGGGGCGAAAGGCACCTTCTCTTGACAATGCCGCACAGTCTGTTGTGACGGACGTGGCTCCGTACATTCGCTGCATCGTCGAGCATGACTTACGGCTGGAGCAGATCAGAAATGAGCTTGGTGGAGGTCCACACGTGAAACGCCAGCGAAAGACACGGGCGGCTCGAGCAGCTCTCGAAGGTGGAACGAAGGTCAGCACTCGCCGAGATAAATGGTTCCCGGAGATTCTGAACTTCTCTGCTGTCCTGGCGACTGGTAATGGGTGGCCACAGTTTAGATCGGACGAGCTGAGCTCTGCAGGAGCTACTCCGTCTTCCTCAATGGCTACGGAAGTTGACTGAGACTTGTGGATTTACGGAACGATTTTCGAGACGTGGGAGAAGCTTATGACCTCAGTATGGGACGATTGATGACTTTGAGCATGAGATCTCGCTAGCTGCACTTCTGAAGACCGACTCATGATGCCATAAAATGACAACAGCACAGAAGATACAATTATTTACGTTTTGACATAATCCCGGCGCCTTCTAAAAATGATAACATGTGCAACGATGTGAAGCCGCACCCACTCCAGCGTTATTATTATTAGGGCCAATTATTCCAAACAAGGCTGCAACCCCCTTTCTATGACCCCTCCCAGGGAATACGCCGCCAAACCAAAAGGCACTGCATGTAAGTTTCCAACTAAGTCACAATCGCCATCTTTTTCAAACGCTGGAGATTTTTACGTGGAATTAATATTGTCAAGATGGAGGAAGGCACAACATATATTCTCCTCGATAGAACTAAAGTGTTGCCTTTCGTTAACATCCTGCTCAGCTACTATATGTAAGCTCTCAATACATGCAGCGCTCAAGGTTCCTGATTCCATTGCTTTCACATCAACGGAACGGTATGCCGGATATTGTCATTGCCATCAATGCAATGTGTACAGATGTCCTGTCATAGACCGTGATCAATGCTGATTATCTGCAATGCTGAAACTTTTCATGTCGCAAAAATGCATGTTCCGGATTGTGTTGAACATGCCACTTCAAGGATGAGCAGGAGGGACAAGAATGGGGTACCAGTCGACCAAGAAGAGGATGCGCACCAAAAATAGTTGGAAGCAGTATTAAGTCCTCAGCAGGTATGGCCTTGACGTGGTTGACTCATTTGCTGGATCGTGGAGGGGTGGTGGTCAGGTTCTCCTTGCCGCTGGCAGGCTCAACCTTGATGGTGACTGTCTTTGGGCTAGGTGTTCTAGTCTTCTTGGAATCACCCGTGTCGGGCATGATGGGAACAATGGCCGTAGTCTTTGGTGGAACTTCGATGTATGTGTTGGGAGCCGAAATGACTGGCATGTTGGTGCGGACAGTGGTGGTATTGGTGATTGACTGAAGGCCACCCTGCATTGGCCAGGCAGAGCTGCGAGTGACGCTCACAGGCTTGTTCACATTGTTCACACCTGGCAAATCACTGTGGAAAGGAACATTAGCGCTGTACATGATAGGAGAAAGCAGTAAGGCCAAACTTACGCCGGAGAGACTGACGTCGCTGGGGTGAAGGCATTGCTAGCTCCAGCAGGGGACTGGTAGCTTCCATTGGGACTGATGTGATCGCCCATGTTCTGAAGTCGTGTCAAGGTCGGAGACGGAGTGTGCTCAACTGAAAAGCTGTATTCACGACTGCGCCAGTTGCGGCGTTCTTGACTTTGCTGCTTGAGTTGCTTCTGAGCTTTGGTATCGGCAAAGCGAAGGAACAGCTTGACACCGTCGTGCTCGATGTGGGCAGAGTGGTACTCTTTGATGACATGTTCCGCAATCTCACGAGTGTCGAACCTGGGCAAAGTCAGTATAGAAGCTGACGGTCTTGCAACAAGATGGTATACCTGGCAAAGCCAACCTCCTTGCTGACTCCCGATGGCACGTCTCGACAAATCTTGGTGGAAATGGCACGGTAGGGGAGAAAGTGCTTGGCCAGATCCTATAGTATGTTAGCAGAAATATCGAGGTACGGCACGAACACAAACCGATTCATTCCAGTCGATGGGGACACCCGTGCAGTAGATGTTGGTAGAACCTCTGTCTTCGAGGTCCTTGAGACGAGAGTTGCGGGATTTCTGCAAATGTCAGAAGGTGAGCTAACTTGAAGGATCTATCACAAACCTGAGCATAGCTGGCTTGGAAGCCGAGGTGGAAGAACCCTCTGATGCAATTCTCCGCAGCAGCAGGAGAATAGTACATGACGAAGCCGAAACTATATGGTCAGTTGACATGACCATGCTGCAACATGGATGGCACGTACCCTTTGCATTTGCCCGTGTCCTGTTCGATGATGGCCTTGCATGACTCGATCTCACCAAAGCGAGAAGCCCAACGCTCAAGGTCTTCGTCGGTGGTATCCGGCATGAAGCCACGAATGTAGACGTTGGTAATACCCTCTGGGTTTTGGAGACATTTGGCAAGACTGAGCTCCTCCTGGTTGGTCCAAAGAGCCGGGACGGCACGAGGAATGGGTGGATCACGGGAGACCAGCTCGTCAAGGTTGACCATTTCGTATGACTTGTTGTCCATACACTTCATGGGTTGGATTGGTCCGGCAATGTAGTGGGCAGCGGCTGGCATCGTAGACATGTATGGGTAGCCTGGGTAATAGTCGGTCTGAGCCTGAAGTACAGCGGCCTGGTTGGTGGAGACATTCTCTTCATTTGACGACCATGAGCCTCGACGAGCAGGATCGAAGCCTGCGAGAGTGGCTGCCATAGTGTATGGCGATGGCCAGCCGTATCCTGGGAGGGCTCCTGAAGCCATGCCTGTAGTTCCAAGGAAGTTTGGGTACATGCCTGTTGGGAGGTATGGAACTTGTGAGGTGTTATCTCCAGTTGAGGCTTGAGTTGGACCATAGTAGTTGGTGAGAGGAATTGTTTGACCAGATGGAAGGACCATGAGAGGACTGTTGTAGCCTTGACGGGTAGTGCCATTCATGTCATTGTCGACTTGACCAGTCGCTGGAAGGGTGGCCTTCAGGTTCTGCATGTTGGCTAGTGGGTTGGGGTTGGTCATGTTCAATCCTGCACAATCATGAGCAGATGTTCACCACCACACACACCATCTCTTACCTCCGCCGTAAGCCTGGTAGCCGCTTCCATTGTATGGCATCCGAGATTGAGGGTAACCAGCATAAGCTGTGCTTGGGGCAGTTTGAGTAGCAGGCTTTTCAGACATGATCGGTGGGTTCCTGGCAAGAACAGTCAGTCAACCCGGGTCAATGCTGGCTTTGACAGGTGATGAGAGGACGTCTGCTGGCGAAGTGGGCTCCATCATCACTCACCTGCAGATGGACAGTCTGAAACCACGTCAAGAGCCTTTGTTGCTGAGGATTTGGTGGTAGAATTGGAGGAAATCAATAGAGCAGCAATGGGATTGTACAATGACCAAGCCAAGATGTAGTGCAGGATGGATGATAAGGGTGAGAAGATGCTAACAGCGGGTGAGGAGTGTTGAAGCAAAGCTGTAGCTGGTGTATTAAGTGACTTGTGTAGAAGAAAGAGGAAGAAGAGGAGGAGAAGAGAAGTGGGAGAAGGACATGCTCGCTAGGTGGGCAACTGAAAAAACCGACGGCAGGAGCGACACAATAGGAAGTGTGCTCGAATGGTTGACAATGGCAGTCGCGAGGCCTATTCAACTCGTCTCATTCCTCAATTGCAGCCGCATTCAATGCCTACCAAACTGGTGGAAGCCATCACGGCGCGGCACGATCTGGCTGCCATGCCATTGTGCCCAGCCGCGCCTGACTGAGATTAGGCAGGGTTCTTTGAGCGCGAGACTGTTCACTTCTGTCCATGATAAGAGACTGACATCACAAGTACCTCGCGCCAGTCTCTGTCGTGTCTGCCTGGCTTGCAACACCAAGGCCTCATGATGCCCCAACGACGAGGTTGTCACTACAGTTTGTACCCACGATTTCCAGGTCTTCACGCAATTGGGGCACCTAGATGGAGCAATGACAGCCTGTCACCAAGTCAGACGAGGGCACACGTCAATAGAAAAAGCATTGCAAGTCCTGGGTGCTGTGCTACTGGATAGAATATATCTTGGTGAAGTGGCATTGGTAGAGAGGAGGTGTTTCTTGATGTGAAGTTGAATTTCGTCATCGACCATTTGTGATCCACCGCACTTCAGCCTCGGCTCACTTCGGTGAATCATTTGCACCGCCTGGAATTGGAGAAATTTGACGCCCTTGACTGCCTTGACTCCAACAACGAGGCTCTACAGTACATCATTTTCATTCAGACATTTTTTGGGCTGAGACTTGATTGTACAGAGTGGCTGTAGGATACCCTTAGGTACGATCACTATGGACACCGATGACAGCGAGATCGTTTGGGCAAAGGTATGTCTCCCAGCTGCTTCTGGGAGACCTACGTTGACACAGTCCGCAGTTTTTCGGGCAGCACGACTCGATCGTGTCGCTACTCGACAGCCATGCCTCCTTGCTTGTCGAGATGTGCAAGCATTGCGCCGATGGTACCGCTGCACGGGATATGATTCAGTCACGCCTTCTCCATACGGAAACCTTGATTGCAACATTCAAGTCTTCGACAGAGTCATTGGTACGTTCATATGGATGTATCCCCCGGGCGCTTTGGATACTGACACATGTGTGGTAGAGAGAGGTTACGAACCGGGAAGAAGTCATACTCAAAACATCAGACGGTCCATCATCGAAGGTGACCGAGTCGCTTCCACAATCCCCAGCAGAACCAACGGTCGACCCGAGTGGTCTATTTTCTGTCGATCCGAATCCTTCTGACATCAACCATTTGCTCCAAAAGAATGCCACACCTAAGCGTAAAACTGGTGGCTCTGGGTCAGAATTTGTTGGCGTTAATGGAGGAGAACAAGAAGGCCCACCACACAAGAGACCAAGATCAAACGATCCTCCTCAGCCTGAGAATGACGACTCCTTCCTACGAGGAGTGGAAGCCCGAGTTCGAGCAAAAGAAGACCGCAAAAAGGCGAGATCAGATAAGAAACGCAAGAGACAGAGCAACGATGCCATGGAGGATGGAGGTAACGGGTCGCGGCATAAAAAACAAAAGTCCGGTGCACACAAGCCACTCGAAATGAGACACGGTCGGAACAACAAGAGATCGAAGGGCGAATCAGGCAACAACGACGAGCGGCCAACCAAGAAGCGGAAGAAATCCAAGTCTCGATAGACAAACGAGGGCTATTGAATCTATCGCACTCAACACAACACACAAGCGACATACGCTCACTTGCACGAGACAAGTCTTCCGCTGCATTGCAAATCATGCTGTGACACGTCCTTGTACAACCTGATCCGAATCCCTCCACACAGCCAACCCGCGATTTGTACGACGTCAAGCGGACATGCACCTTGAACATCCTGCTATGTGAAGTGCAGAAGAAACTGCCTCCTGAATTGAAGGCACCACTGTCACGGTCCACCCTGGTGTCCAGACCTGAAAGGAGACCAGTCCCTGTACCTGTACCTGGTGAATTCACCATGCTATTGCAACACGTTGATTGGTCATCATTATAGTCAACCGCGGTGCCAGCGCTGATAGCTCACCAGTCGACCACTGGTGAGTGATCTAAATGACTCTCATGAGGGCGCCCAATGGATGACAAGAAAAATGTTCAGTTCCAAGCTCTTGGCTATCCTCCTCTTGAAAACGATGCACCCAAATGCGACCTCTAATGTGTCGGTCTCCGACACTGATGATCCACCACGACAACTGAGCAACATGACATCCTCGCATCGATCGCCAGTCGTGATCAACAACCTCCCTGCGCGACTCCGGCGACAGCAGACTCGAGAAAGTGAGCAGGCTCGTGACGAGCTGTTTCAGTCCGGTATCAAAGTCCGGGATTTCCAGGATGAAATAGACGCAAAGAGGTGCGGCGACCAAGATGCAGGTCGACTGCACTAGCCTTCTGGCCAACTTTCACGGATCGTGGACTTGTAGAGCAAAATGGCTGAAGGCTCTGGCCGGCGTGTGTCGATGTTGACGAGAGAGGTGAGAAGAAAACTCTCACCCCACCGTGACAGCTTCAATCAAGGCTTATTCCTGCTCTCGAGTACTTCCTCATCTTTCTCCTTCAGATCTTCCACTTTCTTCTCGCCCCAGTTCCACACTTCCCATACCTGGTCGACGATCATATCCCAGTATCCTTCACCTTGATCGAGCTTTTCCTGTTCCTCTTTCAGACGGCGCTCTTTCCACCCCTCAGTCTCGCCGCCCATCCATATCTCTCTAGCTTTCTCCTCTAGTAAGGACCCCTTCTTCTTCTCCGCAGGAGTGCCGGCCTCTTCGAGAAGTCGTTTTCGCTCCATCTGTTGCGCTTGGATCTCCTGAGCACGCTTGGGCATGGCAAATGGTCGGCCCAGATGGCCCATTAACCCTGCGCCCGTACGTTGTTTCGTCTGGTAGTTTGCGGACACGGCGAATGCGCCGGCCAGCGAAAATGTGTAGAGGTCGAGTTTCCTCGGAGGAAGGATTATGAGGACAGGCGCGATCAAGACAGTGGCCAGAGATGCTGTATGCAGGAATTTGCGGTAGTCACCCGTCATCTTCTGGCGCTCCTGGAAGGAGATGTCCTCTGGGGTGGGTGCCATTGCTTTTGGGGCCGGAGGGACGTGCAAAGCTGGCAACGGACTTGAAGTTGTAGATCTTTCTGAGAATCTTCTATGATGCGGAGAAGCAGTCGCTGCTGGATGTTTCAGAAGTGGCCGTGTGCTCCAACGGATATGGTACTGCGCCGGAGCTGGGCACGTAGTGCACTTTATCAGCCTTGCGGCTGGACGGGCACCGACGATGCTAAGGGGCATTCACCAAGCGCGGGAACCCCTGGACCGAGCCGGTCACTGAAAGATGCGAGAACACGAGTATTGTTTCCTATTTCGTAGCATGGTCAGTACTTCTTACAACCTTCGAATACTAGTACACAAGTAGTACACTCAGCCGAAGCGGGTACCAGAGTTCGGAGTTGCGCGTTGTGGGAATACCGCGATCTTGAAGTACTTTGTACTTTGTGCCCACCTTCAGCATCGAGAAGATGGACGGCACAGAGAGGAACGCCTCCTGTGCGCTACAAACAAGGTCATCATCTGCAGAAACGAAGCAAAGTTGTGAAAGTCGAGGGACCAGCCTCGCATCGTCAATATGGGCTTCCCTCATACGGAGCCGATGACCTCGTTCTGGCTCTCTGCGGCAGGGGATCTGGCAGATCACCGAACGACCGAAACATTGCCTGAGGAAGCAGATGTCGCGATCATAGGTTCCGGCTATTCGGGCGCAGCAACCGTCTTTCACCTACTTGCGGATGCAAACTCAGGAAGCAGGCCGTCAACAGTCATCTTGGAGGCCCGTCAAGTGTGCTCAGGCGCGACTGGACGGAATGGAGGGCACCTGAAGCCTGATACTTACTGGTCAGCTGCCGAAAGCTATAAGAAGTATGGCGCTGAGACCGCTCTTGACCTGATAAAGTTCGAAAGCCAACAAGTGATGGATGTTAAGCAATTGGTTGAAGAGGAGAATATCGACTGTGATTTCGAACTTACACGGGCGATCGACGTTATTACCGACCAAGAGACCGCAAATTCGGTGCTGAGGACGCACAAGGAGATCAGATCCAAGGGGTTTCGATTCTCTGACGATCTACATGTTATTGCGGACCCAAAGAAGGCCGAACGAGTCTCAGGGGTTAAAGGTGCTAAAATCGCAGTCTCATTCACCGCCGGTTCAATATGGCCATACAAGATGGTGACCCATCTTCTTCGCCGAAGCCTTGAGATGGGTGCCAACCTGCAGACCAACACGCCGGTGCAGGCAGTTGCTCGCGACGCAGATGGAAGATGGAGATTGACAACGAGCAGAGGGGACCTGCTGGCGAAGAAAGTTGTCGTTGCCTCCAATGCATACACTGCCGCGCTGTTCTCGGAGTTCAAGGAAAAGATCGTGCCCGTAAGGGGAGTCGTCTGTCGCATCGCGGTACCAGAGAGCACTGCTCGCAAACCACCGCATCTGAACAACACCTATGCTATTCGGTTCAACCCGGAACATTTCGACTACCTCATCCCCAAAACAGATGGCAGCATTGTCGTGGGCGGTGCAGATAGATGCGCAACAGAGAAACAATCATTCTGGTATGGGAACACTAATGATTCGGAACTTATCCCAGAGACGGAGAAGTACTTCACCAATTATATGCAGAGAATGTTCAGCGGCTGGGAAGATTCTCAAGCTGGCATAACAGACATCTGGTCCGGTGTGATGGGTTGGTCCTCTGATTCTATGCCGTTCGTTGGCAGACTACCTGGCCAGACAGGCATCTTTATCACGGCCGGATTTACCGGTCATGGAATGCCTCGAATTCTCGGCTGTTCGAAAGCGTTGGCTGAGTTGGTCAAATCGGATGGCGAGACAGACGACCTCAGCAGGAAGTATGGCCTACCGAAACCCTACTTGTTGACGACAGAAAGGCTCAGCAGCAAGGACGGCGACATCTTGTCATATGGTAGAAAGGACTCGGCGGATGTCAGATCGAAGCTTTGATGTTTTAGAGGTCCGCAACAGCTTTTCCCACTAGCTGCAGAAAGTTCACATGAGTCAGTCACGTGCCACGCCTTCAACTGCATTTTCGTAGACTTCTCTCCATCCCACAAAACTACGTCTTCTGTAAGAGATTCTTGACATTTTCAGCCTCGCTGTATTCGCCATGTTATGTAGACGTTGACGCAGTCTTCTAGGCTGACAGGACAGCCTCACCAACCGCATTCCTGAATCTATCAAGATGGTATGCAGACTTACTCGACTTCCTGACTTCGTCATGCTAATTCCTTGCAGGCTGCTGTTACAGCTCACCCGTTTGAGCGACGCGTCGCTGACACTCACATCTCAAAGACGTATGTTCTCCTCCTCCTGGTCTGCCTATGTTGCCTTCGATCTCACAAGATGTACTTTTGACAAAATGGGAATCTCTCTGAACACCTTGAGGAGAACTATGTTATTTTGCTTTCTGAAAAAGAGTCAAAGTCTTTACAGCGCTCAAAACGCAATCAGCCACACAAGCTGACATGCGATCTGCAACAGTGATGTGAACAACCTCATAATGGACTATTTGATCACAGAAGGGTACCCGTCAGCTGCTGAAAAGTTCGCCTCCGAAGCCAATATTCGACCTCGCGCCGACTTCAGCTGCATCCAAGAACGTGTCCAGATTCGAGATTCCATTCATCGGGGGGATCTACAAGCAGCCATCGAGTTCATCAATGAGCTGAACCCTGAAGTAAGTCCTGTCCACAATTCGCTGTCCTATTCTAGCATGATTAGATTGGTTTTCATGCACCACTCATAGCCTTCGGGCAGAGATGAGAGCAAACACCTTCAGTCCTCAGTATGATTTTGCACAACATATCCCGCCTATATTTCCTACCATTTCAGGTCATACAGAAGCTGACATGGCGTTGAACTAGCTCCTTGATACCGACAAAAAGCTCCACTTCTCGCTTCTGCGGTTGCAGCTTGTCGAACTCATCCGTCAGAGTTTTGCTTCCTCAGATGCTACTCTCGTAGGCAGAGCCATTGAGTTTGCTCAGAACAACCTAGCACCATACGCGCCTCTCGAACAACAATTCAAAAACGACCTCGAAAGAGCGATGGCACTTCTGATAGTTCCCAAGGACTCGTGGACCAAAGCAGCTTCCTCAAGCTCATCTGGTCAATCAACGTCACAAGTCCAGGCCGATTTCGGTGCTTTGGCTGAACTTGTGGACCCGTCATTACGACGGAAGGTCGCTAAGGACGTCAATGAAGCCATTCTCCAGTCCCAGGACCAGAGAAGAGAAGCAAACATCCGGTACCTTGTAAGAGCTCGCGCATGGGCCGAAGGGCTTGCGAGGGAGAAGAAGGTGGACTTGCCAGAATTTCTCAGCCTTGGTCTTGATGCCGACGCGCACCCAAAGGATAGCCACAACGGACACCATGGAGATACTGAGATGACAGAAAATGGTGCCGAAGACGGTGCTGGCGGTGGTGATGCCGATCTTGCCCGCTATACGAATATTACATCTTGAGGTCCGACCAGAAGTACCAATCATTATGCTGCTTGGATTGAAGGGTAAAGCCGAATACCAACTATGGATACAGAGCACTTAGATGTGCTTACATGACTACTGGAAGCTCGCAAAAGATGTTGAAGCAATCCTCAAAATACCGCCAACGCCTCGCTGAAAGGACACTATCTCCAAGTCATCTCTCCCGTTGAGCTGAGAAGGCCTACCAATTCCACGTCCGGCTGCTAGCTGTGAAGACGGGCGGCTTCCATTGCAACTTGCTCGGATTAATCCTCCTGGTGGCCCCTCTGAGTTTCTCCTTCTCTCGACGCTTCTCCTGCCATTCGAGTAACTCATCTCGAACGACGATGATCCACGCACCTTTGTGGTAGCGCAGCAATTTCAGGACCTCAAGTTGTTCATGGACATCCTTTTCCGTCATAGCCGTCAGACTCGCAATCTCCGCAATACTTGAGGAATACTGCGACGAAGGCGTCGGGAAGCCTAAACTCGAGTGTGGATGCAGATGCTCAGACGACGGTGTATGGCTCGCTGATCCTGGTGGCGGCAACCTTGCAGGATCCGAAAGCAGTTCCACTAGGATTTCTTTCCAATACTGCCTGTATCCCAGCAACCCGAGATCTGAAAGAGGTTTCTCCGGCGATCCGAGCTTGCCTTCACGCTTGCTCAGCTCGTACGAGAAGGCGATAAGCAGTCTTCCCAGACCCTGTCGCTGATACTGCGGCAGCGTCAGGATACACGCCACATTGTACCCTTCGGCCGATTCTTTTTCCTTGCTGAAATATCCGATGAGATGACACCCATGCTCGTCTCGCGTAACCATGCAGTAGAACAAGAAGGGGTCGACATCATAATACAGCGTCTTGTGGTCGAGAAACAGTTTCGATAACAGACACAAGTTGCGACACCACGTGCGCTGCCGTCGACCATCGACTTCGAAGAAGCTCACAAAGTCGTCACGGTAGATCTCGTTGCCAGGCGGGTGACGCAACTCGCATTTCGACCTATGTCGCTCGAAGGCCTTTTTCGAAGAGAAATACGACAGGCAGAACTCGTCGACGTACACCATGTCCACATCCGAGAATTCTTGTGGGTACGGCGAAAAGTACCACGGCTCGATGATGTGCTTGCCCATCTGGATCTTCTCCAGATTTCGGACAAGATGGAGTTGAGCGTGATTCTGCACCATCGAGCCTCCGGTGCGAAGCTTCTCGATTTCCTCTTCGGGCTCCATGATGGGCGCAACTTTTTCTTCCGTCTTCGTAACGTCCGTCATCTCGACATCCCCGCCAGCGGGGATCTCGTTGCTGTCTTCATGGCTGAGAGTGGCCAGCGGTGTGCCTGCCTGTGCGAAAGACGGATCGCCATCTTCCTCCTCGCGGTTCTCTTTGCCGCCGGCCTTGGACGGGACAGGACGTTTGCGGTCGTTTCCGGCTTTGGATGTGAGAAGGTCTGGTGTCGCGGATCCGGGTCTGGAGTCTGTCCGCGGTCGACCGGTAGTTTTCGTTGTTGTGATGGATTTTGCCTGGGCGGCTTTCGTCGACGGCGCTTTTGTCGTGACGGTGGTTTTCTTCTTCTCGGGCTTTTCGGGTGCAGGCCATTCCACCTCTTGTGAGAGGTCGATACGGTCTGCTGCTATCCATTCTACACCGCGTTAGCGTTGGTCTGATAGAAGAAGCGAATTGTTCTTACCGTCAAGACGCTTGTTGAATTCAACATAGTGAACGCTGCAGGTCGTTAGCTTGTAATCCAAACCCAACTGAATCACATCAACGTACTAGAATGTTAACAATCCATTTCTCTGCTTGATCGAGAGGATCTCGGCTTTTCTCGGCTCGCCATTCTGTTGACACAGAGCATGTTAGTCTATTTCGTAGACCTCCACATCGAGTCTTTGCGCGCGTAGTCGGTCAATCGGGATTGGAACGAACGAGACCTCCAGTCTTCGAAGTCCTTTGTTCCCGTTCGCTCCAGGAACAGAAAAGAGTCACGTGATGCATACAACGAGGAAATGAAAACCGTGAAGAAAACGTACCTTTTCCGCAACGACTTTCACACCGATCCTATTATCGATATATTAGTATCATTTTTCACGTCTCTGAATCATGACCTTTCCAAAGATATGGACATTGATGACTTACTGAAGTTGCGTGAGCGTGGCGAAGCCCTTGATCACAGGCTCAGGTGTGCCGACTGCCTCGGAGCCGTGGTCCCCGCCCGCCATTGTGATCGCTGGATCGGTGCGACAATTTTGATCGCTCGATAGGAGTTTTGAGAGTGTTGTGGTGAAGAAACGATGGCTGAATGGGTTTTGATATCTGTTCTGGCGGCGAGCAGTGCTGCGGGTGAAAAGTTGGAGGGCAGTTAGAAAGGCGCTAAAGGTTCAACAGGCGCCTCTTGGCCGCTGGATTATTGGCCTCGAGCGGCAAAGTTTTGGGGTTACGGCTAGGCTGCACTTCAATCGGATTAGGCGTCACAATCGCAAACCTGCACAGACATACGATAGTTCAGCCTCGCATTCACTGCAAACTGCCAACGACGCTCTGATACACTTAAACCTTGAAGATAATAATCCGTATATATTACTGGCATCTACTGCCAACCATTGTGCCATAATGCCATGGATATGATATGGAAAGGGAAGGTTCTTAGCAAAGTCTTGAACGCTCAACACCAAACTCATTCTCCCACGGGCATGCTTTCAAGCTGATCGACCAGACCCCTCCAGTTGCTCGCTTGTAGTTCCGTATACTTGACCCGCTCTTGACTCCAGTCTTGATGCATACGGCTGGTAGCGTAGATAGAGGTCTGAAAGGTCACAATTTCATCTCTGACGCATTCCTTGATGAACACTCCACGAGCATGTTGTTGAACAATGCTTTCTTTATCCGACATGATACTGCTCTCGACTTTCTCCATCTCTCCGGCTTTGACTTGCCCGGGTGGTTTCTGTCGCAGTTGTTGTAATTTGTGCTCCGAGTTTTCGATTCGCCTCTCGAGCTGAGGTATATTGTCCCGTGCATACCGATCTCTTCGGTCGAACATGTCTCGCATCGACACAAAACTGTCACGGACCGCTTTCAGATCTTCAAGGAAGCCCGTGTCCCAGGCTTTTGTTTCGTCGTCTAATAACGTCTGATGTGTCGATAGATGTTTGGCGCTTGCAGTTATGCCCTCGTTCAGCAGAGGTACGTCATTTGTATCGATGGCATAGGTGTCATTCGAGCTTTCGGTAAGATGCATCAACGTAGTACTGAATTTCGCGTTCTCCGCGGCGAGCCCTTCATTGCGCTTGACTAGCCGTTCCGAAATGATGCAGAGATTGATGTATAACTCTGCTGACCGTCTCACGCCAGCGCGGACTTGCTCGAATAGATCGTGTAGATTGGCAGGCAGACTGTCCTCAAGTGCAGGAGGTAGCGCCTTGCCAGTGAACTCTTCTTGTACTGATATCGTGGCCTGCTTCCGCCACACGGCCAATTCCTGCTCCTAATGTCAGTTGTCAGCCCGTTGGTATTTTGGGCGGTTGGGAAGGACTTACGGTAGGGACAGTCAAGAACATCACTACCAAGGTTTCTTGACTCAGGATAGGATGTTGGACTAGAGCGTTCGTGAACCGAATGAGGCCCCTTCTTCGCTTCTCGAGGAAGACGTGTGTGTCGCCCGAAAGGTGTGTCCCGTTTACTACGAAAGCGTATCAGCAGGAGCCGGGAGTAGTGACGGGATTGCATACCTTGAACTCGCTTTGGCGGTAACAGCGGCAAACGTCGGAAAGGATATCGCTTTTGCAAACAATCAAGTAGCCAAACAAAGTCGCTGTACCGCCTGACAACACTGCTTCCCCGCCGGAGTGTTTTGACTTCGTAGTTGCGGTGTTGAAACAGGAACACGCCCTCTTTGTCTGGGAGCATGCTTACCGTGACCTGTTCGCCGGTGCCGGAAGGTAGAACGATACTCCGGCCCACGGACGTCTGATTGTTGGGAGCAGATCGGCCGGGCTGTTGATCATCGCCTGCATCGCCAAAGCCACCCCCAAGTGTTGGCTGCTCTGAGAAGCCTGCCGTACTTCCGTTGTAGCTATTCCAGCCTCCGACGGCACCACTGGAAATCGTATCATTTGGCGAACCAGCACCAGGACTCTCCTGATCCCCTCTCGTAGTGAAGGCACTTGTTGTCCTTCCTATACCGTTAGGGGCGGTCTTAAGGCTGGGTTCGGATAGACCATTGGTTGGCATTGTGTGTGCCGCCGTCGACGGAGGTGGTAATTTGTTGTTTGACGGACTTGCCCAGGGATCTGATGTCGGGTCTGTACCGAAGGATTCGTTTCGAGGCTGCTGAGGCCTTGCCGGGGTGGGTTTTGCTTCCGTAGCAGGAATCGGTTGCGGACGAGCGTTGGATCGTAATTGGTCTATGTAGCCTACCTTGGGCTCAGGTAGTTCTAAGATTATGTCAGTCCCGATGCATCATATCAATCATTTGCGCACTCACTCCGCCTTCGTTCGTCAACACCGTCAAGCGTGATGTCTTCGCCCTCTTGACCCAGTCCGATCAGCGCAAGCAATACATTGAACTCGCTCCTGCCAACACCGTTCGCACTCTCCTGTCCGCCCGGTATTACAAAGCTCAGGATCTTGTGTTGTTCTTGCTCGCTTAAATTGCTGCTTTGCAGTATACTCTTCACTGCAGCCACACCGATGCCAACTCCAGTTCTCTCAGTCACATTGAGGACGGTGTCGTATGCATCCACGTAGTTTTCGGGAACGTCTGTGGCAGGGAGAAGGTTCTTAACCAAATTCTGGCGCGCATTCCTCTTAGGCGTTGGCATCGACCATGGCGAATCACCGCCTGCATCCGCAAAGAGTGAGGACGAAGTCGGAGGCTGAGCAGGTTCATCGCCGAAAAGCGTCTTGGAATTCAATGGAGCACTCTCCGTGGGAGAGGAACCAAATAAAGACATGCTGAAGTGCAGGAATCAGAACAGAAAGTGCAGGCAGGATATTTTCGATGATGCCGAACACTGTTCAGGTCAACGACAGTTCGCGCATTGAGCTGCGTCAAGATGGCGAGCACAAGACTGCTGCACTGACGCACGCTATCGTGAAGGTTGGAGACTCGGGATGGAGCTCCTAAATGGTTTGGGGGCTACTTAGGGTAGGCGCCTTGGCATGTCATAGGCGGGCCCGAGCGGGATAAGATATCAGGATAGGCTCCCTAGGCCCAAATGAAGCATTTCTTCGTTTACCATGGATGAAAGTCTTCTTGGATTTCAATCTACACCTTGACGCTAAAGTCTTTATAGGTCCATTTCTCCGTGTACTCCCTCTTCGCTTTCTTGGGCTGAAGCACCGGCTTTCGAGCTTCCAGTTTCCCATTCACCAGGAGAGTCCTGAACCGATCGTTAAGCAGGTTTCCTTCTGGCTTCAGTCTCCGTAACGATTCTTGAAGCTCGTCAGGGAGGACAACCTCGAGTCGTCTCTCTGGTATGACAGAATTGCCCATCTTGCGGCGTCGTAACACTCGGTCATTACCCTCTTGCGTCTCCTCGTCATCTGCACCCTTCATAGCCAAAGCCGTCTCGTGCTCTTGACGCTTGATCAGAGCCGATATCATCTGCTCGACCTGCTTTTGCTTATCGCCCATCCGCTTTTCATGTTTCGCTTGTCTCTCAGCCTCCTTCCTTCTCTTGATCTTGTTTCTTTGGGTCGCTGTCTTTCGTTCGGGACGTTTCCGCTTCAGCATTTGCGCATCGTCATTGTCTGTCTCGAACCCCTCCCAAGCACTTTCTTCATCCGCAGGGTTTGGTTCCGGCAATGCCGCCAACTCTTGGATCCTCGCTTGCTTCTCTGCCTCTATTTGAGCTTGACGCAGACGGATTTTCTCTGCCTCGACTTCACGCTCTCCTTCTTCGTTCAACAGGTCGTCCCAATCCTCGAACGTCGGATTGTAGCTTGCGCCCGCCTTCGGTGGCTGCACAGCGCGTACCGGTTGACCGTCCGCTGTCATAGCGATAGGCGCTTTCCGAATAGTAGGGGGCGCAACCTTGGCTTTTGCTTTTGGCACATATTCCAAAACAGATGCCTGCTCTTCTTGAGTTTTGGGCACAGAGTCGACACCCCATATATCAAAACCTGTTCCATCACCATCTATTTTCTCGTTGTCCAAGAACGACGTTGTATTGATATTGTTTCTGAGTCTCTGGACTTCCTTCTTGCTCACCCAATCTGGCTTTTGTCTTTTGTTCGTGATCTCGAGGACTCCATCTGTGATTGCTCCATGTGGTCTCTTTCTACTTCCCAATCCCGGCACCGCAGACCGTCTACTAAGGATTTCGTCCACCTTCAGAGGCTTTTGTAACTTATACTTTTTCGCAATATCTGTTGATCCTGTTGTATCGAGTGCAAACAGTTCTTCGGATGCCTTTTCGGCCACGGGCCCGCCTTGTATGATTTCTTCCCGCAAATTTTCGAGGCCTTCCTGAACTTGTGTAATGTCGACATTTTTGCGCCAGGCTTTCTTGCCTTTTCTTGATGGCTGTTTGTGCTGTTGAGGGGCACCGATTTCAGAAGGCATCTTGCTGGTTGAGAAGTGCTGTTCTGAAAAGAGCGGTCGACCAATTTGTACTGAACGCGCAACTGAAAAAAGTGCCGCCGCATTCACATGAGATTTCTCCGCATGCCGCCAAGGCTCGTCAAGAATTATTTGGTCTGACAGTGACTCTCCTAGCAGAGTTCCGCCTGTTTACTGCTTCATCTTTTGGCTTGACACTCTCAGACAAGAATTTTCCGCCTCGAAGATTAACGACCTGCGCCTACATCTCTCCCTCACTGCAGTCTACATTTCACCAAGTCAGAGTTTGACAACCGCTTGCACTTCGCAGCGGCCTCCGACAAAATGCCCGTTGTCAAAGGAGGTGTTTGGACGAATATCGAGGATGAAATCCTCAAAGCAGCTATATCGAAGTATGGGTTGAACCAGTGGGCTCGAGTATCGTCGTTGTTGGCGCGAAAAACCCCGAAACAATGCAAGGCAAGATGGACCGAATGGCTGGATCCTGGCATCCGCAAGATCGAATGGTCGAAGGAGGAAGACGAGAAACTCCTGCATCTGGCAAAGCTGATGCCCACACAATGGCGGACGATAGCACCTATTGTCGGTCGCACAGCCACTCAGTGCCTCGAACGATATCAGAGACTTCTCGATGAAGCAGAAGCACGCGAGAACGATGAGTTGGGTCTCGGAGGACCAGAAGGTGGAGAGTCCGCAGCACCAACTGGAGACCAGGTTCGGAAGCTGCGTCCCGGAGAACTCGACCCTGATCCAGAATCCAAGCCCGCAAGGCCTGATACAATAGACCTGGATGAGGATGAAAAGGAAATGCTCAGCGAGGCACGTGCGCGTCTAGCAAACACACAAGGCAAGAAAGCCAAACGAAAAGCTAGAGAAAGACAGCTAGAAGAGTCAAGAAGGTTAGCTGTGCTTCAAAAGCGACGTGAGCTCAAAAATGCCGGCATCAATATCAAGATCACGAACCGGAAGAAGGGCGAGATGGACTACAACGCAGATATTCCCTTCGAAAAGCTAGCTACAGCGGGTTTCCACGACACGCAGGAGGAAGAGGCAAAGAATGAGCGGGAGCGGGAGATGTTCGATCCACGGAAGCAACAGCTGGCGAGGAAGAGACAAGGCGACCCCGAAGACAACGAGGGCTCCAAACGCCAGAAGCAAGGCAAGGACAACTCATCCTCGGCAGCATTAGCTGCAGCGGCCAAAGCTGGCCAGATGCAACGCATCCGCGAGGCAGAACAACGAAGTAAGCGGCGGGCTTTGAACCTTCCAGCTCCTCAAGTCAGCGAAGGCGAGCTAGAAGAGATTGTCAAGATGGGCATGGCTGGCGATAGAGCGATCAAAGCAGCTGGCGAAGACGATGAGGACGGACCTGGTCTAGTATCGAACTATACAAACATGGTTGGAGCGACCCCTATACGAACTCCACGCGCGCCAGCCCAAGAAGACCATATAGCCAACGAGATTCGAAATATAAGAGCTTTGACCGAAACTCAGTCGTCATTGCTCGGTGGTGAAAACACACCTCTACACGAAGGCACCAGCTCAACAGGATTCGATGGCATTGCTCCGCGAAGGCAGGAAATGGTTACGCCGAATCCTATGGTCACACCGTTCCGCCATGGCGGACCAGCTGGACAACTACCCGGAGCGACTCCAATGCTCACGCCACGGGACAACTTCACAATCAATGAGCAGGGACAGCGGCAACTGGTGGCACAGACACCTCGCGACCTCCGTCTAGCTGAAACTGCAACGAAATCATCCCTGAGAGCTAAGCTGGCCTCGCTTCCCAGACCAAAAGAGACAGACTGGGAGCTGGAAGTCCTACCATCGGAGCAAGAAGAGTCACTTAACGCGGCGAAAGCGGATAAGGAAGACCAAGAAGAAATTGACAGACGTCAACGCGAGGCACAAGAAGCCGCTGCCGCTGCAGAATTTCGACGGCAGACTCAGGTCTACCAACGCTCTCTACCCCGGCCCGTTACGGTCGATTACAACTCTCTTGCTTCCGAAGCAACGTCAATTACTGATCCAATCCAACAAATGATTGCCCAGGAAGCCGCCCTCCTTATGGCGCACGACGCGCAGAAATTTCCTCTGCCGGGATCAAAGGTGCTTGGCAAACCTCCTCGACTAACGTCGCTATCCGATGATCTGTTGTCAAAGGCGAGAGAAGAAGTAGAAGCCGCATGCAACGACGCAGATCTGCAAATCTATGTTGATGCTGTGCAAGAACTACATGCTACCGAGCCGGAACCAGGTGCCCTGTTCGAGAACGCCACCATTGAAGAATACAAAACTGCCTTCCAAAAGGCGCAGACAAAGCTCCTGAATGCTGCCGAGGCAGGCAACAAGCTGGAAAAGAAGCTGTCGCTGCACTTGGGCGGTTATCAAGCACGGCAGAAGACGCTGGTCCAGAAGATTGGCACTGTATACAAGCAGATCGAGGAGCAGCGTGCCCAGTTGGAGGGGTTCAAGTCATTGCAAATTGCTGAAGAGGGTGCGCTGGCGAAACGACTTGAGAGTCTTAGGGATGAGGTAAATCTCGTGAGCCGAAGGGAGAGAGAGGCGCAGGAGGACTATCGTGCTACAAGGGACGAACTGCGTGAGTTGGACGAGAAGCAGAAGAGCATCCCTCAGGTCAACGGGGTCAATGGGCATGCTTAGCTCGGAGTTGCCTGTCGACAAACATGTAATGGGCTACTGTATCAATCGACCAAGCGTCATTGATGACATTGTTATAAGAACCCCTTTCATTCTCGGTTCTTGGTCCCTATTATAGTTCCATCCAACTTGCGATCTGCGGGTGCCAAATAGTGCCTCACTGTCTCATGCCGCAAAACCCCTTTACTTTCATTGCTCGGTTCGGGACATGCAACACGTTGCAAGATCTACCACTCCATCTGTCCGAGGATGCCAGGCCAACGATACCTTGATCGAAGCCATTAGGTTTTCAGCGAGGACATCTGTACTCCTCGCTCAACATCCGACCACAAAGAGGGGCTTCCTGCACTCCGCACGGAAAGTACCGAATCATGAGATGTCAAGATCTACACAGGTGGTCTGACCATCACGAGGTCGCTAGGATCCAACGGCGACCCAGAGCAGTTTTTCCCATCACCGGACGCAAGATCATGTCAGACACGACTCGTTCGTGGTATAAGTCCGACATGAGTACTTACAGTGCTCGGCTAACGACCAACCATGGTTCCAACAACTACAAGACCAGCATTATCTGCTCTCAAGCCCATCCTAGGGTCTTGCTCAGCAAGAGCAAGTCTGTCACACCGTACTAAGCCATCTCTCCGACTCTGTAGCAGCCTCAGAGTACACTACTATTCCAGCCACAACGCCCTTGCACCGAGGAAGACCGTCAACCAAGCCAGAAGAGGAACAAACTTCACACCCAACCAACGTCCAGCTCTACATCGACCAGTAGTGCCTGCTAGCGCATCCAAATCGAGCACACGAGCATACATTTCGACCTCCAATATGCAAGCACTTGTATACAAAGGTGAAGGTCAACTCGCCCTGGAAGACCACCCAGTCCCACAACTCCAGGAGCCAACTGATGCTATCGTGAAAGGTGACATCTCTTCCCTTTCCAATGCACGATGGTCTTCTCACTGCCAATAGTCGTCTACACCACGATCTGTGGAACAGACCTGCACATCATGCATGGCGACGTTCCAACCGTTACGCCAGGCAGGATCTTGGGGCATGAAGGTAAGCACCAAGCACCAATAACGCTGCCCGTCCCATGCAAAACCGCAAGGCTGATAGTGTGTTAAGGGGTTGGCATTGTACAAGAACCCGGCGCAGCGGTATCTCGCTTTAAGAAGGGCGACCACGTACTCATCAACTGCATCACCAGCTGCGCGACCTGCGAGTACTGTCGCCGCGGAATGTACAGCCACTGCACTCAGGGAGGGTGGATTTTAGGTAACACCCTCGACGGCACACAGGCCGAGTATGTGCGCATCCCACAGGCAGACAGCAGTCTGCACCATGTTCCCCAGGGTGTCGACGAAAAGGCTCTGGTCATGTTCTCCGACATATTCCCTACGGGTCTCGAGTGCGGAGTCCTGAACAGTAAAGTCCAGCCAGGCAGCAGTGTCGCCATCGTGGGCGCGGGACCTGTCGGCCTTGCAGCACTGATGACGAGCAAGCTGTATTCACCCAGCACGATCATCGTGATCGATCGGGACCCCAAGCGTTTGGAAATCGCGAAGAAGCTTGGAGCCAATCACATTATCAACAGCGGAGAGACCTCAGCTGAAGAAGCGGTGATGAAGCTCACGAATAAAGTTGGGTGTGATGCCGTTATTGAGGCTGTTGGCGTGGCGGCCACGCTGGAGATGGCGCAGGATCTGGTCGCGCCGGGCGGGACGATTGCGAACGTCGGCGTGCATGGGACGAGCTGCACTTTGAAGATTGAGAAGTTGTGGGATCGCAATATGTCCTTGACCACGAGGCTGGTTGATACGGTCACCACGCCGATGTTACTGAAGCTGTTCGCGGCCGGAGGTATAGAGCCTGGGAAGTTGATCACGCATGAGCTGCCGTTCAAGGAGATGGAGAAGGCGTACAGCACATTCAAGGCGGCGGCTGAGCATGAGGCTCTGAAGATGCTGATCACAATTTGAGCAGGGTCAAGCCTTTGCTCTGACATGATTATGGATTGCCACCAGCGCAGCGATGTGCATGTTTATATGTTCATTCATGATCAATGCTGCTGGACAGCATCAGTTCTCAGGAACTGAAACCCAAGCCCTTGACCTCTGCGTCACCCATAAGCGCGCTTTTCACCTCCTCTTCTCCAACCTTGAATCTGACTTTGCCTGCTCTTTCACCTCTGTTTCTCGTCTCCATCGCTATGATGCCCGCTTCTACCAGCTCCATTGCCGCGGCGCCGAGGGCAAGGATTCGTGGCATCTTGGATGACGTTTTTCCAGTGGAGTCATCGACAAGCAGAAAATCATGGATGGCACTGTTGTCAGCGACGTCGGCGATGCGCTTGGCTTCGACGACTACTTCGCCTAAATTGGACTCGGCGACACCGGTGCGACGGGTACGAGCAAGAAGAGCAGCGAGGAAGAGCTTAGATGACAACGGCAACGATCGTAGATGTTGAACAATCGGAGACGAGGTGGCTTCATTGATGGCTTGTCTTATCGTTGCGATAGTGACTCTAGCCATTTTTCTGGGAGCATCATCTTGTTGATTGTCTTTCGTGCTGATCGTAGCGGGTTTGTTCCTCCCTTTCCGGCTGGGGGTATCGGCAGCGACTTCGATATCCGTACCCACGTCGTTTGCAGAAGTAGGATTGATTTTCTGCTGTGATTGTTCTGCGATCTCGACAGCGCGGCGGCAGATATCCAGCGCACGACGAGCATCACCTGAAACTGCGGCTACTTTCTGACTGGCGAATTGTACGGCGTCCTTGTCGACAATGTTCCCCGGCACGCCTTCCAGTCTTGAGGATATGATTTCCATCAGCTGCGTATGCGTGTAACCAGGAAAGGTGATTCTGGTTAGCCCTAATCTCGAGCTGATTTTGTTGGACAAAGTCCGCTCCGGAAGGTCCATCGTATTGGCAACGGCAAGCACAATCAACTTCGAGTGCCGCATTGCCGGCCAGTTGAAGAAATTGTACATGACGCTTTGGTTCCTCGTGACAAGCTGATCGAGTTCGTCCATGAGGACGACGCAGGGAATTCGTCGGGGCGAAGGGTGCGAGAACTCTTGTTCCAGCAGACTTAGGGCGTGGTTGGGGCTGACTCGATCACCTTTCAATGCTTCCCAGAGGAGTGAGTATGACTGATGTGGTTCTGTGACCTTCATGCCGTTGATCTCGACAAAGTTGAAGTCGTCAAGTTCTTCGTTTAAGACAGCTTGGTGGAGAGTGCCGACCACTTCACGAACTGTGGCCGTCTTACCCGTGCCCGGCGTACCCGAGATGTAGATGCAGGCCCCAGACCCGTCGACAATGGCCGAGTAGAGATGCGAGTAGACCGTGGTAAACTCGTTGGATCGACACGGGAGGGAGGTCGGGAATGCAGAAACATGCAGAGTTGTGCGTGCGTGTGAGTATGGGGTTGACATGTATTGTGCCGGCGACAGGATTCGCGTTCCTAAAGGAGTGATCTCAATAGGCTTCTTGATCATAATCCGCTTGTGCGTCGGTGTACTGTACTTTGAGCCTTTGATGGACGACCGTGGAGTCGAAACAGCGGAGGTCATCTTCTTCCGCTTACGTGGTGTTGTTGGCTCATCTTGCACAGTCTCTTTCTTTTGGTCATATTCAAGGTCTTCTTGCTTTTCGAAGGTCTGCTTTCTCTTGTTCTTCGTCTGCTCCTTCATCCAGTCGATGAGGTCCAGCAAGTCTTCTGGGCCTTTGTAGATGTCTTCCCAGACGAATTCTTCGGTGAATTGCAAGTTTCTTTGCTTGACCCCTCGCCGACAATGGATTGTCTTTGCAAATTGGTTGACCCCAGACTTAGACTTTGGCGGCTTCCCATCCGGGTACTTCTTGAGAAACGCATCGGTTGACAAGACTGTTGCCTTGCCATTGATTGCGGTTAGAGGGTTCATATTGAAATCTGTTGTGATGTATGACTCGTTTGGAAGCACATCTGGTCGGATCTTTGATCTTTTCCCAAATGCCAACTCCTCAGGCGTACAGAACCATTGGATGTACACCGACATGTCCTCGTCGCCATCCTCGTCGGTTTCGGAGAACGAACAGACGAGTCCAACCCAGTCTTTGCCTTGCTCGGGTGATTTCAGCAAGATAGCATCTCCTATTCTGACAACAAATGAGTTCATCTGAGCACCGACGATAGGACGTTTTCTTGAAGTCGGTCTGACATTGCTTGTTTTTCGTTTCTTCGAAGGCGGTTCTCCTTTGTTGGCTGGTTCGTCTTCCTCATATTCATATATCCATTGCCAGGGGTGATCCTCGTATCCGAGTTCGTCATCGGAATCTTCGCGATGAAGACCACCTTTGGTCGCAAACTTCTTTTGTCTCTGCATAGTGACTGTGTCTTACAAGACTGCTAATATACTTTCGAGTTATGGTAGGGACACTAGACTGTGCTAGACAGGAGTCGATTACAAGATGTCTCAATTCCACTTTACGCGTAGTTTGACGCGTCGTGACGCGAAAAGTATTCTGTCTTATGTCAGCATCTTCTTGGCATGTTTGCTCATCTACTGCAATGGGGAAGACTTCATTCCGCTGCAGCACCATGGTCACTCAAAGGTTGTACATAAACCCATGGTAGGCAGATCCTGGTGGTGTTGGTCCAGAGGGTCTCATGGTCGAGAGTAAAGACGATCGTTGCCGCATGTGCAGGACCTCTGGCTATACAGAAGAAATAGAAGTTGTTTGGTACTTTCGTGGACGGCGGCATTACCCTGTTTGCCATGAAGCGTACTCCCTTCCGACGGAGTCCACTTTCAAACAGCTGTATACTTGTGGTAGAGAAGCACTCCTGCCACAAGCGGCACGGTCTTTGTTGGAGTCAACGGCGTAAGCTGAGTTCAAAAAGGCAGGAAGTCCCATTGTCTTCGAAGAGGGCCCCCTGTCCATGCCTCTTCACTACTTCAACTCCATGCCGTCTGCCACCCTGCCTATTTTCAACACCATCAGCATTGTCTCGGGAGTGAGACACAAAGACATCACGACAACGTCGTGCAAGACGGCAACTTAGCCGGTCTTTGCATTTCACTCTCCTATATCAACACACGTCGACTGCCGCTCTCTTCATTCCCTACACCAGAGGGACACCCAGTCGATCTATTGATCCCCTCAACCTCTACTACTGTGCCCCTTGTCGCGTCGCTGGCATCTGATTGTTTGTTACTTCCTTCATAAGCTACGACCATGAGCGAGTGAGTTCAACCTTGCTACGTCTTCGCTCGCTGGATTGCTGACCACTCGTTCTAGCCATGAGGGCGAAGGTCTTGACCTTGAACGTACGTCCGCTTCTGACCTGAGGCTTCACTTTGAGCTCTCTGTCCCCTTTCGAAAAGCCCAGATCTGACTCGACACAGGATGGGAAGTAGCTAGCTTGCCTGGAGGATCGATCTACTCCTACGCAGCATCGGATGTCTTCCACCAAGGTGTGGTACCTGGTGAAACAGGCCTCCAGCCCACCTTAGGACCCCACACTTCCCATAGACGAAATTTCCAAGATCGTGACCTCCTCCTCCGAACTACGATTCGCTCTCCTCGCGGTCCTCATCCACTCCAATCGAGCGGCGTGCCGGCCAGAGCTCCGGAGGCCCCTTTTAGAAACCCCTCGGAACACCTCTTTGAGAATGGACACCCACCCACCGGCGAGCTGCAATTGACGGCCACATGGAGGTCGCTTCAGACGGTCGCATTGAGGGCCGATAGATCGGCACCTCACCCCCTGTTGAAACTAAAAGAATTCATGGGAAAGTTTGGTACCTTCATTCGCAAGCCAGAGCACCAGGATGGAAAGCTTCTTATATGGGGAGAGCTCAAAGATGTTGCAGCGACCCAGGCTGCTTTGGCGGAATGGCAGCAGCTGGTATACAAATCATTCGCATCATCTAAACCCACCAGCTGGGCTAAATCGCATGCACTCGACGGACGTGCAGAACATCGTTTGGAACGCCAGACCCAGCAAAAGGCCTTCACAGACTACCTGAGACAGGCCGACTACGATTATCCTGTGCAATGCGCCTTGCTTTGGCCGAAAGATATGGATATTGAAGAGTTTGAGAAGCTCAATCAAGAAGTGCTGGACCAGCTGCGATCAACCTTTTCCGACAGTTTCTGTCGAATCACTCTGAAACATTCTGATCTTCAACACATTTTGATAGAAGCAAATAACGAACGCGACGCTCTCCAGATTATGAGCAGGCTGCGCAACCTCATCAAAGAAAGCATCTCTCAACGAGATGAGCTTGCCATGGTGAATCTCGTCCATCTGCCGGACTATGAAATCTATAGGGACCGGGTCGGCCTTCAAGACAAGGACCCGCGAACGGAATCATATCTTCCTACCTTGCATGGAAACCAAGCGCCTGACGAGGAAGGCTGGACCAAAGAGAGACGGGTGACGCACGCCGGCAATAGGAAAAAGATCAAAAAGGTCATCGACACCTCCATCAAGCGCCTGAGAATCTCACAGCAGCATGTACGTCTTCGAGCAGTGTTCGGGGAATTGGGTTTCACACTGTTCCAAAAGCCCGCTGATGGAGAGGACACGTACAATTTCCAAGACTTCTACAGCATGGTGACCAAAGGGCGCACGAAACTCCACCTCAACGGCCTGCCAGTGCGACAGGGAGACATTACCGACCTCCCAGACATCCTCGATTCGATGGAAGCATTCTCAGATCGCATTGAGACTTACGGAGCATTCTTTGACTTCTCAGCGCAGATGGCAAACACGACTCTTCGATTGGATGCTGTGATCTATCCCAATGGCGACCAATTCGACATCTACGAGCAACGCTGGATCGAGTTTGGTGACAAGGTTTCTAAGCTTCAAGTAAGTCTGTTCAACTTTGAACGGCCAGACTTTCAGATTACGATGGACGCCTTTCCGCTGTACCCTGAGGAACGCATCAAGCCTCAAATGCTCGAGTTTCAGAACAATTTGTCGTTCGAAGGACCTCCAAATGGCATCAAATCAACACCACGCAGAAGAGTTAAATACTCTTTAGTGCTGGGTCACGTACAAACCATGTCCGAATTGACGGTGATCAAATGGCGATTCAAGAACACTCACGGCATCTTTGAGCTGCGTCGAAAAGATGTTTATGACGAGGCGCCAGGCCTGAGGAGTCCTGGCCCGAAGGAGACACGCTGGCATGCATTGTATTACTATCCCGAATGGGACAATCTTATGGGCCAATTCGCTACGGTCAAACCAGGTGAGGATATCACTTGGACAAAGTCGGTTGCAACCTTCTTTCCAGAGAGTGACAAGATGGGCCGGGCCTTGCCACAAGGTTTCAAGAACTTCATTACCGAGGTGGAAGAAATTCAAGACTTGCTTGCGGAAGCCATTGGCAAGCTCGCAAAAGGAAAGCAGAAGGCAGCTCAGGCAAGTGGCTTCCACGGAAACGGAGCAGGTGATGATACTATCTGAGGTAGAGATGGTGGGTTGACCCCGGGTCGAAAGACTTTTAATGATACAGTGCGAGGCAGGTTAAGTTTTCTACCAGCGGGACGCACGACGTTCGCTTGCATCGTCAGGGCTTGCAGATCTGGGTGATGCGTTTGCGATGTGACAGGCGCTCATCATCATGCGGTTGCTGGTACTTGAGCTCTATTTGTCCCAGAACCACTAGCTTGTTCTGCAAGCATCTTTTGCCGCAGCACTAGATGGGAGAGATCTCGTCAGCAGTTGCATACATGGTTTGAAAGGGAGACATATTGTCCCCAAAGAACGAACGAAATGAACCTACCTTCTTCAATGATTCTCAGATTCTCGTTCTTCCCTCCAACCGCCTTTTCAATCTCGGAGAGGTTCTTTGTCAGATCGTCCACCTTGCCTTTATAGAACTTTATGCCATCTTCTGGAGATTTCTCGACGTAGAAACCCGTTCCGACGTCAACCAGAACAGTCGACCCTGACGACGGTGCTGAAGAATCTGGAGCGGAAGGACTTGCCAGCGTGGCTGGGACGTATAGCGAAGTTGTAAGGGGTATGAGTAGTGGTGTTTCTGCGTCGGGTCAGTAAGTGGAAGGGCGGCTGGGCTCAAGCTCGTTGTTTCTCACCACCGCTTTTGCCTTTTACACCATCCTGGATGCTGCGTATGCAGTCTCTGAAGCGCGACTGCGCGGCACGCAGGCGCTGGTATGATGAGCTTAGGTGTTCGAGCTCTTGGGATAATCGGGCTTGCAAGGCGGAGAGTTGTTGGACTGAGAGCGTCGAGAGGTCGACTCCTTGAGGCTGGGAGGACATTTCTTCGAGATGCTATCGTAGCGATTTGGGAGCTCGTTAGGGCAGGCCGATAGCCGAGAGTCTTGGTCGGCTGGTAGAAGGGCCGGATCGCACGGATTGGGGAGGTGAGTGTTCAATGCGTTACTGGAGACAGAGTGCTTGCAGTAGGTACAAGTAGGTTCCTCGATTTCGCGGACGGAATATATTTTGTGATTGCGGGGAAATGTCAGGTACAAGTGCAGGATGTTCAGCCTTGCGCTCACCAGGCAAGGCTGCAATGCGAGATACTGCACCACAGTGAAGATACAACACAACACTGCACTCCGACTTCTCTTTCAGGCCGGGTGAGGCAGGAAATAATACAATACTTGATGTATTATACTCGATAAAATTTGGTCAACAATCTCCCTTCCAGTATTCGACCTCTTATTCTCCTCTACTCTGTTACTGAGTTAAAGTCGGAGAGACGAGTGCGTTCCGCTTCTGCTCGGCGAATTCCCTTCCAGTATCTGACCTCTTATTCCCCTCTACTGTGTTACTGGGTTAAAGTCGGAGAGACGAGTTTGATTGCAGAAAGAAGTAGAAAAAAATTCTTCGCGGGTTTTCTCAGACCTCGAGAAGGACTGAGTTTTTGCCCTTTTTGCTTGCGCTCTGTTCGATCTGTGGCTTTTTGGAATTCTCACTTGTAGTCTCTATGGGTATTTGATGAGCGGTAATTTTCTGTGTGCGCGACTTTGTGCGGTGAGGCAGAATTCCAGTCCTCCTTTTTGGGTGAGGTATGTGATGTACATGATTTCACTGTCGAACAGGTATTTTACAATTGTTTGAGTAGAGAATGCACAAATTGTGCTACACCGTCGATATCGACATCCTGCTTGACCTTGAGTCGTCGACATTGGACTTCGACTTTGCCTTGGTCGAAAGATTTGCCGACGACGATGATCACAGGATATCCGATCATATCTGCGTCCTTTAGCTTCCAACCAAGTCCTTGGTCGGGCCGGTCGTCTAGGATGACGTCGACTGCGGTATTGGAGCCCGATGAGCCAGCCCCGGCGAGCTCGTCGTAGATCTTTTCCGCAGCTTGCATACGCTCGGGTTTTGATGTCTGGACGACGACTACTGCTTCGAAGGGTGCGATGACCCGAGGCCAGTTCAGACCCGCTTCGTCAGACAGACATGATGCGACTGCTGCGATGAGCCGAGAGACGCCGATGCCATGGCAGCCCATTTCGACGGGGATAGGGTCTTTACTGCCAGTGTGGCGGACGGCGAGACCGAGTTTCGAGCTGTACCGGGTGCCGAGGTGGAAGGTGTGGGCTATTTCAATGGCTTTATCGAGTTTCAGGGTGCCTTTGTGGCACTCGGGACAGGGGTCCCCATTTTGGAGTTTAAGAAGGTTAATCCCATTTTCTGGCGCACTGATCGTGTAGAAATTCACTTTTGCTGGGGAGAACAGTGCCATGTCGTTGGCGATGAGGTGGGTAACGGATTGTGGGTCGACACGTGAGTCGAGGAGGTAGTATATTGATGGCTTGTTGGAGGAGTTTCCGTTTGCGCTGGTTGCTACAATTCCTTCGAAGAAGTGTAGTGGGTCTTCGAGGCCAGAGTCGATGTCGACGATACCTTTCAAGGCAGCTTTTATTGCGTAAGAGTTCAGAATCTGTGGAGCAGATTGCTTGGATGATACCTGTGGTGCTATGGCGCGGATCAGACTGCGTTCGTTCAGGCTAAGTAAGTCTTCTTGGAGGAATGGTTCAGCATTTGTTGTTGGAGAAGGAGCTTCAGTGATGGGCTGTGGTGGATACGACCGCTGCGAGACGAACTCTTCGTTGCGAGCGTAGTCGCAGTCTGTGCAGGTTATGACAATGTCTTCGCCGGCCGTATTGGGAAAGTGGTATTCATGACTGAGGTTGCCGCCCATGTCCCCTGATTCGGCCCTGGCTTCGGTATAAGGGACAGTGAGCTCGTCGAGGAAATTACGGTATGCAGATCTGATTTCATCGTACGTCTTGTGAGCCTCTTGAGGGGTGGCGTCGAAAGTGTAGAGGTCTTTCATGAGGAACTCGCGACCTCGCAGGAGTCCACCTCGTGGCCTTTTCTCATCTCGATATTTTCGGCTGATTTGATACAGCCGTACTGGGAGTTGTTGACGATTCTGCACCACCTCGGCGACGAGTGTGGTGATTTCTTCTTCATGGGTGGGAGCCAGGAGCCACTCGGAGTCCCTCCGGTCCTTGAACGCGAAGAACTCGGCGCCAGGTTTCCACCGCCCTGATTGTTGCCATACTGCTTTGGAGGTGAGGGACGATAGCGAGACCTTGGAAGCTTTCGCAGATCGCATATGCTTGTCGATCAAACCTTCCAGCTTCTCTTGGACGCGTAGACCGAGCGGGAGCATTTGGAAGATGCCCGCATATGCTTGTCGCAAGTAGCCTGCTCGAGTGAGCAATTGTGTGGCGTCTGGAGCTGCATCCTGCTTCTGCACGTTGACCGTAGGAATCCAGAAGTTGCTGAGACGTTGTCGCGAGTCAGTGTGATTTGAGCGTATGTTGGCAGCCCATGGCCCAGACTGGCCAGCGACTCTGCCGGGAGCTCGTAGAAGAAAGTGGCGGCTCATTGAGGGGCCCTGGTCAATCTGCAGGAACCTTACCACCTTCGCAGTTATTGATCCTTGACAAAGTGATTACCGTCGCTGATAGCGTCCATGATAACCCGGTCTCCGTGTTTGTACTCCTGAATGACGGACAACCACCACCTACTACAGTCCCTAGAAGAATACGTGGTCGGGTTAGGATTGAGATTTGATATTGCTTGTCGCCGTTATCTACACCGCCGTAGCTATATCTATACTGTGGAGCATACTACGCACGCGTTGTCAACAAATGACTACAACCTTTGAACAGTCACAACTTCGCAGACCGCTAGAGGCTGGTCAGATCTTGGTGTCGACACGCTGAGGACCGTTGGTTGTGTGGTATCGATGGTGAAGTGGAAAGATCGGCATTGATACTATAAGTCACTGCGTCGAATGAGTCGTCTAGCAGCTTTATTGTGGGAAACAGAAGTCAGTTTGAAGATGTGCAGGTGTTGAGAAGGGAATTCTTGTCTTGTAACAAAGCCAATGTATAGAGGAGGATGGTTCAAGGTGTTATGGCAGAAAGACTTCTGATGCACTGCAGTAAAAGGTAGCAGGCTGGTCAGCCTTGCATGTGAAGCGGAGTTTTGGCTAGCGGCAATCTTTAAATCCGGTCCAAAATAATTTTCTGGGACTTTTTGCGTTCTCGACAAGCGATAGATAGACAATACGTCCTCCGACAGAGTATTGCAACACGCTGTCCACTCAGCGAGGTTGTAGGTCGGACTGTTGCTGTAATGTCGAAAAAGTCTCGTGCCGCTTCTGCTCCCCCCAAGGAAGCAGAAAAGCCCACAACGACCCCCTCAGAAACCACGATTGATCCTCAAATCGGCTCATTCGATAACCTGCGCAGCAAGATTGAAGCGCGATTACATACTACCGGTCCGAAGAATGTTAAGAGCCACGGCAAAAAGCAGAAGTCTGCTCAATCAGAAAAGAAGGGCAATCAGAACAGCACTGCGGTAGGCACGGACAGAGGAAAAAAGCGTGACAGCACAGGCAATGTTCTTACCCGTCAAAAACCATCTGCAGAGAAACAACGACCACAAGAGGCAGATGACGAGGATGAAGTACTCCGAGCAGAAGTTGAGGCTTTGGGTGGCACTTCAGAAGATTTGGACTTGCTTGCCGGCGCTGAATCGGATTCCGAGCTCGAAGGCGAAGGAGTCAAGGAAATCGAGCAACCACGCAAGTCTCGTGCTCGTAAGAACGATAATCCTGAAGGCCTAGGTAATGGTATGAAGAACATCTTGAAAGAGATTGCGCTGGCACAGGGCAAAAGCGATCAAGACCAGGATGGCCTGGATGAGGAAGAAGATGACGAAGAGGAGGAGGACCAGGCCCCAGCAGCCAATGCTGGTACACAATTAAATGGCAAGTCGAATGCCGAAAAGAACCATGCGTTGCCCGCGGAAAAGCGTGGGAAGCAGCCACAATTTCTTTGCGAGCCCAAGCCTGACTGGTACGACGTGCCTGGACCCAACGTCAACACTGAACAAGCACGGGAGTATACACCCTCGCATGATACCATATACCAGCTTGCAGACTATGCGAGATCACTTTTGGAAGAGGAGAACCAGAGGTTCAAAGAATCGCAGCAATCGTCATCTGCACACTCATTCTACAACACAGTCATCACCTCAGGCACATTATCTGACAAGGTTTCTGCGTTGACACTGGCGGTTCAAGAGTCGCCCATTCACAATATGCGAGCACTCGAAAGTCTCATGGCATTAGCACGCAAAAGGAGTCGATCGCAGGCCCTGGATGTCCTTCGAGCTCTCAAAGACTTGTTCGCACAGGGCTCTCTTCTACCTGAATCGAGAATGCTCTCTGCTTTTCATTCTCAGCCTGCTCTTTCATATTTGTTCGGGCAGATGAGGGCCTGGAGAAAGGGCGACAAACTGCCACGGGGCCTACAGCAGGCTCACCTTGTGTTATGGGCATTTGAGAGTTGGCTCAAGGAGCAGTATTTTGAAGTGTTAAAGATCTTGGAAAATTGGTGCGGCGATGAAATTGAGTATTCAAAAGCACGGGCCGTTAGCTATGTGTACGAATTGCTCAAAGAGAGACCGGAGCAAGAGGCCAACCTGCTCAGACTGTTGATCAACAAACTTGGAGATCCAGTGAAAAAGATCGCGTCGCAAGCGTCTTACTTGCTGATGCAACTACTGATCGCTCATCCGGCCATGAAGGCAGTTGTCATCTCAGCTATCGAGAGCGATTATTTGTTCAAACCTGGCCAGAGCCTGCAGGGTAAATACTATGCGGTGGTTACGCTCAACCAGACCGCACTCAGCGCGAAGGAGGAGGACGTGGCCAAAAAGTTGCTTGACATATACTTTGGCATGTTCACAGGTCTCTTGAAGCCCGTGGCCGCCCCGTCGGAGGACAAGACAGATGAGACACCACCTCAACCTCAACAAGGGCGAAGGAAAAAACCCAAAAAGCCAGCGGTTTCAGGGGAAGCACAAACGGAAGAGCTGAGAGAGAAGTTGATTTCAGCCATTTTAACTGGTGTCAATCGTGCGTATCCTTATGTGGGCGCGGATGGAACCAGTTTTAGTGACCATCTCGAGACCCTGTTCAAAATCACTCACTCGTCGAACTTCAACACCAGCGTCCAGGCGATGATGCTCATACAGCAGCTGTCGTCTAGCCACAAGGCCTCACACGATCGATTCTACAGGGTGTTGTATGAGTCTCTGCTGGATCCTCGTCTGGTCATTGCCTCGAAACAACAACTATACCTGAACCTGTTGCACCGCTCGCTGAAAGGCGATCTGAACGCTAAGCGGGTCAAGGCATTCGTCAAAAGAATGTTGCAGATAATGTCCTTGCATGAGCCATCCTTCATTTGTGGAGCGTTCTTCCTGATCCAAGATCTCGAGAGGACTTTTCCTTCACTCACCGGACTCATCGACCAGCCGGAAGACCATGACGACGACGAAGAAGTGTTCCGGGACGTGGATGAAGATGATGATAATGCAGCCCAGACTCCTGACAATCCTCAGGGCAACTTATACGACGGACATAAACGTGTTCCAGAGCATGCCAACGCAGACAACAGCTGCGCGTGGGAGATACTGCCTTTCCTTGCCCATTTCCATCCATCAGTATCCGTGAGTGCGGACCATGTCTTGCGACACGCCAAATTACCTGGCAAGCCTGATCTCACTTTGCACACTCTAAGTCATTTCCTGGACCGTTTCGTCTACCGCAATGCAAAGCTGTCATCGTCTGGCCTGCGTGGATCGTCTATCATGCAACCTATGGCCAACGATACACAGAATGTGCTGATCGGCAATGCGCTGGGTGCTCAGCGCAAGCTGCCTGTCAACAGTGACGCTTTCAAGAACATGAAGGGTCATGAGGTGGCAGCGGATGACGTGTTCTTCCACCAATACTTCTCGAATCTGGGCAAAGTGACGGACAAGAAGGCGCAAAAGAAGAAGGGTAAGGACGAGGAGGCGGAGTCAGGTGACGAAGATGAGGTATGGAAGGCCATGATGGAAAGTGCACCGGATCTTGAGGGTCTGGAAGATGATGAGGACGATGACATTGATTTGTCAGAGCTCGAGTCGGAGATGGATGCTTCAGAAGGTGAAGACGACGAAGCAGAGGACATGGGTAAATTTGACGAGGGAGTCGATCTTGATCCGGCCATTTTCGATGAAGATGAGGATGACCTGATGGATCTGGACGAGCAGGCTGGTGGTGACGGTGATGCCTTTGAAGGATTCCATAGTGAAGAAGAACAGACCTCGGACAAGAAGAAGGGTGGCAAGAAGAAGCAGAACAAGAAGAAGACGAAGGGGCTGCCGACCTTTGCTACTGCGGAGGACTATGCGAAGATGCTGGATGATGATGAGGATGAAGATACAGGGAGATAAAGGGAGGTGAAAGACCTCGTCGTCATGTCGACGGTGATGGTCACGTGAGGTCGCATGTGAGGTGATTGTTCTTACTCTATTCGTATTGAGCATCTCACCACTTGTCCTTCGCATGAACCGTTGTTTCCCGAACACAATCCACAATTCTATTTGAGATGGCAGAGTTTTCCTATTCAATCATGCCACGGATATACTCATCAATTCTGGAAATTATGGATATCTGTTATGCAACCAATACGTATATGAACGGGGCAAAAGGGTGCGCCACGGCCCCATGAAAAAAGTCTGCCACACTGTCACGGTATTCCACTCCCCCGCTTCTTCTCTCATGGCTGGACCACATTATCCAGTTCTATCTCATTTATTGGATGCCACCCATCAGACCATGCTTTGTCCATCCCGCTTCGTCCCTTGTCACGCTGCCGAGGACGCCTATTTTACGCCTCTCCCGCCAGTCCTTTCGCCTCGCTTACTGGTGACAGACTATCCTAGGGGATCTAAGCAGCCATACGGTGTCTCAGCGTTGGAGATCGTCAGCACCCGAGTTTCCACTAGGCCATAGTGTGCCGACTGTGCCATAAGGCCTTGTTGCTATGTCGTCACTATGCACGTCCTATACTCGAGGTATCCATGCTTGTTCCCACGCTGCATCACTGCAACCTTGCTGAGGTGTGAGGTCTAACGGTAGTACGCTTGGACGAGGTTTTCCTGATCTTGATCTTGATCTTGATTCTGACGATTGTTAACCTAGCCTCGGTTTGCTTGGCTGACTCTTGCAGTGGAAATCCAAGCAGGCGAAAGCTTACCCAGCTTGCCTTTTTAATAACAAACACTTTTTCGCCTAATCCCTGGTCCGTGGCTCAGGGCTCGATCTTCCTTCTCGTAAAGGAACTGCTGGTCAATCTCCCCGGTTCATTGATTTTCTTACAGAGAAACCACATGCAGCCTGTCAGACGATTCGATCTTGATTCTTTGTACTACACCTGTTTCGTACGGGCCATCCGCGCAATTAAGTGGCGTTGAGCAATTCGTAGCAGACCCTCAAGCAACTCACTCAACACCATCATTATGGCGGGATTCGGCGAAAAAGACGAAACTCTAGGCCAAAAAGGCGAAACTTTTGGCCAAGGCGGTGTTTTTAAGCCTGGCCAGAATGCCGATCTCGAAGGACAACGACGATATAGCTCGACTGTTGTCCAAGGACGCAAGATGAGCAGGATCGCTCCTCCTCCGCGAACAGGCTCTCAGGCCGTACCACCTCCTGTGCCCGCCGACGATGTTTCATCCCAAGACGAGTTCAGCAAACTTGTTGAAATGGAGGCTGACGATGCTATCAAGTATCGAACTTGCTCCTGGCAAAAGGTCAATTCGCTTCGTCCACGAAAAAGGATAATGTATTGACTTATTTGCTAGACTGCAGCACTGCTCTTTTCCGAGTACATCTGCTTGGCTATCATGTCGTTTCCATATTCGTACTCGATACTCGGCCTGGTCCCTGGGCTGATCTTGACTGTGGTACAAGCCGGCTTCGTTCTGTACACCTCGCTTATCGTCTGGTAAGTCCTGCCTTTCTAGGTCTCTGTAAGGACGTTCAATACTGATCCGCCACGCCAGGGAATTCTGTCTCCGTCACCCCGAGACCAAAGACGTATGCGACATTGGACAGATGCTTTTCTTCAACTCAAAAGCGGCATGGTACTTCACGGCCATTATGTTCCTCCTGAACAACACGTTCATTCAGGGTCTTCACATCCTGACTATCTCCCGGTACCTCAACACCATGAGTGGTATGCATTCCTTTGCCCTCGCCTTTTTTGACCGTCCACTAACCCGGCATACCAGGCCATGCCATGTGCACTGTTGGCTTCGCCGCCATCGGCGCCGTCGTCTGCTGGCTGTGCTCCATGCCGCGCACTTTCAGCGCCTTGTCCAAACTGGGCGCCGCCTCCGCGTTCTTTACCTTCATCGCTGTCATCCTCGCCTCTGCTTTCGCCGGCGCCGAAGGCAAGCACGGCACCGCCGGCTACAACCCGGACCCGAATCACATGGTCGATGGAGTCAAGATGGGTGGCGAACCAATTGTTCTGGTGATTCCAGCCGTCGGCACCACTTTTGTCTCAGGCATGAATGCCTTCCTCAACATCAGTTACACGTTCATTGGCCAGATCACGTTGCCCAGTTTCATCGCTGAGATGAAGAACCCTTATGACTTCAGAAAGGCCATTTGGGTCGTCACGATCTGCGAGATCATTCTGTTCAGCTTGGTCGGTGGAATTGTCTACGGTTACACCGGCACACAATACAACACCGCCCCGGCCTTCTACTCGCTCGGCAACGAACTGTACAAGAAGGTCTCGTTCTCATTCATGATCCCCACGCTGATCTTTTTGGGCGTGTTGTACGCGTCTGTCTCCGCGCGCTTCATCTTCTTCCACATCTTCGAGGGCACCAGACACAAATCTTCGCACACGGTCATCGGATGGGCCACGTGGGCCGGCATCCTGGCTGTCACTTGGGTCTTCGCCTTCATCATCGCCGAAGTCATTCCCTTTTTCGCCGATCTCCTGGCCTTGATGAGCAGTCTTTTCGATTCCTTCTTTGGCTGGATCTTCTGGGGAGTCGCGTACATGAGAATGCGCCATGCCGATTTGGGACCGGGCTTTTACAAGAAGAGAGGCATTAGAGGCTGGATTGGATTTCTGATTAACGTGTTCATTATCATTGTGGGAATCTATTTCCTGACTGCCGGCACTTATGTGAGTTCACTTGTATTTACGGGACGTGAATTGATGCTGACCTTGCAATGACAGACTTCTGTAGAGAGTATTCTCTTGGACTACAAGGCTGGAAACGTCAAGGGTGTGTTCACTTGTGCCAACAATGGTTAGACGGGGTTCAAGAGAAACCACGTGTATTGATTGGCGAGCTCTCTTGAGAGTCTTTCGACCACCCTTTCTCGGCAGCACCCAGAGGTCATGATTGGATTGGGTTGGATAGGAGAAAGGGGCCCAGCGATGAAACGATCGGACCATCGTGGATGAAATTGAAGCAGAAGTTGGAGCAGAAAGAGGTGTAATGATACAGTATCTGAGCAGGAATCTAAAGATTGAACCTGCCATGACGATGTGAGAAAAATTGTTGTGTCCTGGCAACTACACAAGTTCGGCAAACTAGCCCTTTGAGACACGATGGTACACAGTACCCGATATACAAGGTGCGATATACGAAATGAATGCATCTGTCACATTGAAAGAGGGTAGCACAACTGTGCCTGGGCTGCCCAACGATAACATATGCTTGAGTGTAATACCACATGTGCTTGCATGTTTCTGGGCATCTTTTGAGCCCTTCGCAATTTCAACATAGACCATGTGCAGCTTTCCGGGGTTTCGCTTCTCAGGTAAGCGCAAGGAGGCCACCATGCCGGCTCGATCTGTCAAGCCCGGGCGCATTTCCGCACAAGTCAGCCCAGTCTGCGAAGACATCATCGAAGCTGTCGAGGTCTTGTAAGTCGTCCATTGAATCAGAGTCGTCATATGCTGGATCAGTCATGTCGACGAAAGTCTGGTCGCTCGTACCGTTTCGTAGTCCCAACTGCGTAGCTGTGTCGTCTCGTTGCTTGTCGGGTCCAGGACCAAGATGTGCCGCGTTGCCAGCCGCACGTTCGGTCGGCCAAATAACATTGAACAACACATTCGCGGACATGCGGGACGTTACAGCATGTCTGCCACCGATCTGTTTAGTCCATACCTGCTGGGCATGGAGGTTGGCTGCGGAGGTCGATACCTTTGAGTTGGTGAAGTCGATGAACCTAGCAATGTGCGTTGAGATGCGCGAGTAACTGTCCTTTGGGAATAAGGACCATAGTCGAACGAGACTGTTACCAGCCTGGCAAGTTTCGAGCAACGATCCAACTGCAATCCCCGACGGAATTGTTCTTGCAACAAGGGAAGCGCCTAGGACCGTGGCAAAGATGACACAATTCTTCATGAAAAGGCAGGCCAACGGGACGTTGCATTGAAATTCTCACAAGCGAGTTGCAAGAGCTCCGTAACTGTAGCTAGAGCTTTCCCCGACACTTCTGTTGCAGTAGAATCCGCAAAACCCGTCTGGTCAACGTCGTTTTCGGTGTTGAAAGCGTAGGAGTATAATGTTAATCTCGTGAAGAGGTGGAAAATCTTGCATTGCTGCGACAGGTTATCTTTGAGTAATGCGTATGTGCATTGGAAATCAATATCGAGAAGTTGGATGTATCGTAGAGGGTCACTGGTGAGGCCCGCGGGGCCAGAGCCATCGTCACCAAGGAGTGTTGCTATTCTCTGGCCAAGATAGGAAATATGCAAAAAGTGCAAGAGCGTTTCAGGTACGCTTGAAGAGTACCCCTTTGCAATCTCCGACATTATCGACTGACATGACGTGCTTGACGATGGGATTCCCAGCCTCATGGAAATGCTGTGAAATATGAGCCAGGAACGTTGGATGGCATAGCTATTGGCTTACGTATAATTTATGACAAAACAGCCATACCAGGTCAGCTCGCGTTCGCCTATAGAAATCTCCTCGTGCCGTGTACGATGACAGCAGAAGTCGGATTGGAGCGATGGTGGGCGGTGCAAGCCTAGTTGTTGGGCAAGATTAGTCGCTAGTGACGCATACATTGAAGACGGGTCGCTGACGGTGTGCTGGTAGGGAAACGGCCATGCACAGAGAAGGAGCAACGCCTGCACAGTTCGAGACCTCTGCTCTGATGACCGTAGACATCGCCTGCCAGGCGACGCACGGGATTGACCAGAGAATTGTATAGGAATGCAGTCTCCGGACTTCCACCTGCGGAAATTGACAAAATCGACCATAGCAGAAGCTTGTTTGCATCGTATCGTGAGATGAATGTCGCGGCGTCTGGGAGAATGGGAAATTGTGGATGAAACGTTGCGTAGTAGCTGTTCAATCAGTCATAGAGCTTCAAATGGAGACTGTGCGCAACATACTGGTCGATCAAATTTTGAATGTCAACGTGGCCCAGCTTCACATCCTCTAGCGCTTGATCCGTAAGGTGAGTGCGATCGGTAGGCACTCCGGGGAACAGATTTGATGATCGGGGCTGCAGACCAGTTGGGACGGCTTGAGGGAACCGACCTCCCTTGAGGCGCTCCAATTCATTTTCTTTTGCGCTGATTGGTGCTCAGGAGCAGATAGACGACTATGCCACATCAGTCATGTGCTTCGATCGCCTCTGATAAAAAAAGGCCTTACCTTCTCTTCCAAATCCTGTGAAAGGAAGGGTCGACGGAGCAATGCCGCCCAAAATTCGTGCAACGTGTACAAGGCGCCGGAGACATCTCAGTAGCGTCACATTGTTGCTATCACGACATGTCACCTCGCCGTCCACCCCAGGCTGGCAGCCGTACCTTTGCTTGTCGACAAGTCGTGCACACAGCACCTCTTCTCGTCCTTGCCCGCCGCTGCTCGGAGGACGGCGTTGATGATTCCATGTTCGCGTAGTTAGGTGCAGGATCTAGGATTAGGTTCCATTCGCGTCCGTTTGAAGTCCATTGCAGTATCACGATTCATAATGTTCATTTGAGCCATGAATTGAACTTGGAGTTGCCATAAGAAAGAGGTAAGAAAGGCCATCGGCTTGCCAAATCGACAGCCAAGTGATAGTTAAAGTTCCAGGCAGGATTACATAATTCCTTAGGCATCATTCACAGATCCTGTGGCGTTGGCCCTTGCGATGTGAAGAATGCTTTTTTCTTTCGACTACTTGTGCGCAACTGTCCAGATAAGAAGGATTGGAAACATGGGAAAAATCGTATTTATACTAGTATCAACATGCCCATCTCAATTGCCATTTTTCTCGAAGAACATGCGTGCTAGATCGAGGGCCGTGTTCATGTCAGGTGCAATGCGTGTACACTCGCAGTCACGCGTCCACGTATTGTGGAAGTTGAGGTTCTTGCCAAGTTTGCTGTCTATAAGAATGTGTGGCACTCCGATGACCGTCGCGAGGATGTGCCCGTGGAGGCGGTCTGTAATGACGAACTCCGCTGAGCCCAGCAGCTCAAATCCGGCAATGGCCTTGGCCCACGCGCGCTGGTTCTTGCCATTCTCGCGAGTCGAGTCTTTGTCGCCCTCTTTGCCATTGATATCAGGAGTCTTGGTCACTTTCCAGTCGACTTTCTGGTACGAGACGTTACCGATGTGGCCTCCCAGGTCGAGCTTGCCTTCGCCCCATGCAATCTCTTTCGACTTGCCGGCGGAGACCTCCCAGTCATCTCGTGCGAGAATCAGGACGTCGTGGCTGCGGAAAAGTGTCTATCAGCATCTTGCCACAAACAGCTCATGGGAAGGCCAATACAACTCACGTCTTCTGGGTATTGGTTCGAAAATCGGATCGATTTCCCCACATGAAAGCGATGTCGGGGACGAGATCGGTTTCGATACCTTTGGTGTTTCCGAACGTGTCGAGAAGCCACTTGTGGCTGGGATCGTCGCGGGCCACCAACTGCAGATCGTGATGCTTCTTGAAAGCTTGCTTGGTGGCCTGGATGCGATTCTGTTTCGTCATATAGATGCTCTGGGGAAAGGCACGCACCGAGACGTTGGTGAAGGTCTCGATCATCTTCATGCGTGACGGCTGGTCTTCCCAATAGAAATCGTTAAAATTGCCACCACCAGCCATGATGATGGCGGAATGAGGCCTGTGTTCATCTAGCCTACCCGTGAACTTATCGAGATCGCACTTATTGAGAAATCTGCATTACGCGAAGAAGCATTCCAATTAGTCCTCTGGTGGACAATGCCAGAATGTGCTAGGGCCGAGGCTGTCTTACCGACAAGCTTCCATGGTTTCTATACCCAGCATACTGAGAAGAATCTGCTGGGCAGACCAGATGGCGGCGTCGCCCTTGTTCTCGGTCTCCAGATAACCCCAAATATTGGCATATCTTATGCCCTTGAGTGCCTTCGAGTAATGATGAATGAGCCGCTGCTGGAGGTCATTGACCAGTGACTCGCATCCATGACTGGGCGGCGTGCTCAGGTCGTATGAAATGTTCTTGTTGCTGACGCTGTTTGAGAACGCTGAAGACGGGCCCCACGGCATCGAGAATGAATCAGTTGTTGGTAACGACGGACCGAAGTCGCTTCCCCCAAGTACGAGCAAGAGCTTCAAAGTGATGAGCAGGGCGGCCACGGCGAGCATGCCGCGACCAAACCTGCTAGAGGCAAGGGCGAGCATGTTGAGTGTTGCTGCTGTGGTTATCAAGAGACACGACAGAGTATGCTTCTCTCCCTGGCGCTGAACATAACGGGTGTAGATGTTCTCTACACTTTTCTTGCGGAATGTGGAGCATGCACTGCCTCAGAACGACCCCTTTTCTCCTTGAATGACATTTTGCCCTGAGTGCTTGGTGTCCGGGTTATGCATGGCAGGTCTCCTGTCACCATTGCTGTCAAGTCCAGCAAAAGGTCTTTGCGATGAACACCTACCGTGTGCTTGTGCCGTGGGCGGTAGGTTCGACCAGTATCGATCAATCAATCACAATGGCCCGTAAACACAAAAGGGTCCACCGTCCTTTCTCGATGTGCGTTCGAGTCAAAACCCACAGGGTTGCCCGCGGTCGAAAGCTTGCACTTTGATGCTGTCAGTCAGGCGCAAAACGCCACACTTTGAATGTAATCGAGACTGCAATGAGCAAACCCTTTGAGCCTGATGATACGACCTGGTGTTAACACCATATTCACGGAGGTACTAAGATATGTGGTCCATATGAGTACACGAAACGACTTATTATCTTGGTCGACAGGTGTCAGATGTAGTCGAGTCTTGGCATCTTGGCAGCGGAGCACCTTTACTTGGCACCCATATACCCATTGCTCCCACTACTGTATCTACTGTAACTGACAGAGCCGCATCTGAGATAGGCACAGCATCATTCGCCCAGGACATGTACCTTGTCTTGGCCATACCCACACATCTGGTATGTTAAGACTTCTGACACTGTTGATGCGCGATGCATATCCTGCCATTCGTGATGACCAAAACCATGATCCAGCCACCATATGTGTGTATGATTGCCTCCGGAGGCGTACCTTGCACTTACTAGTCCATCGGCAATTCAAAACAAGCTCAGTCAAGCTCTACACATAGCGCTGACATTTCTTGGTATGCCACTCTCGGATTCCTGACACTGCTCATCAATCTCCTCACTGCAAGGGATGGCCCCTTAGGGGCGAACGGTATAACTTGCTCTCCATGATACCAAAAACCGAGGGCTGGGCACCATCTGTCTGGGGATCCTACTCTACGCATTTTCGTACAACACATGTTGCTTCATTCGTTTGTCGACTTTGTTCTGCGCATGTTTTGAGCCTACAGCGGCAAGATGCCGACCATATCATTTCCTCAGTTCCAACGGTTACAATCATTTGTCTGGCTTCTCACTGTCGTTCCCCTCTTCTTTCTCTTCGTCCTCTGGAGCAATCTCGACCACGACTATCTGTCCAACACTCTGTCAAGTTGGCAACTCAACACGACCCGCATCTTGCGGTTTCCTGGGCATAATGTTCCTCTTCCCGATCCATTGAAAATATGGATCCTCGAGTCGACCGGAAGTCACGATGAGGTTAGGGCCGCCCTTGTCCATTCATTTGGCGGCATCGAGCATGGAGAAATAACCATGTTCCGTTTGATGGAACGCTGGAATATCACCGACATCATGGACAACTACACCATGGAAGCACCCGTCCAGTCAATCAGGGGCAGCCAGTCTTTAAAGCACGCCGTGCACAACCTATCCCTCCCGCATGTAATCGTCTCCACAACATGCGAAGCCGATCTCAAAAACGAAGCGGAGGCATTGCGATACCTGCTGGCCAATTCGAGCGCCCACCTCTTCTGCACGTTTCACCATGCCGACCGTTGGGTCAAGGGCGCACACGTAGAGCACGCCCGCGAGTGGGTGGAAAAGGGCCGCATCGACTTTGTCGGCCTTAGCAAGCACACTGTGGACTTCTTTGTGAAAAACACCGCCTCGCAATGGGACTCGCGAACGCCCTTCAAGGCACGCGCATATCCACCAGTGTTTCCCGTCCAGCTGGCTGAACCGGAGACCGGCACAGTACACCTCGCCATGCAGGGAGACTACAGCCCACATCGTCGCAATTACAGGAGCATTTTCCGGGAACTCGACAAGGTCATCACCAAGGTGGAGGAGTTTGGTGACAATGAAACCGTCGGCTTGCGTCTTCTTGGGCATGGCAAAAAGCCCAAGGTGCCCAAAAAGATCAAAAAGAATGTCCATTTCGACGAGCGCCTGACGTACCCGGACTTTTACTCGCTACTATCGACCTCGTTTGCCGTTCTTCCTGCCTTTGCGTCTTCGGGTTACTTGGACCGTAAAGCATCGTCCACAATTCCAGCTGCTTTGATCGCTGGCGCGCCGGTCCTGGCCAGCGAGCAAATCCTTGCCGCCTACACCTATCTGCCTAGGGAGGCAGTGTGGATGGTGAAGCCAGGGGAGACTGAGATGACGGCTATGGCAAGGTTGGTGGGCCACAGGAGTGAGTACCTCAGAAAGAGGGAGGCTTCTCGGAGGGCCGCAATAGACATAATGGAGGCGAACCGACGAAATGTCAGAAAGTGGGTTGCCGAGGCGTCGTGGAAGGCGAACTGGGTTGAAACTCCCTGAAAAAGCAAGTTCTATGCATCCTGTTATATACGATATACAAGAAAGTAATGAAACAAGACGGCAACCAAAAATTTGGGATGCCATACGATGTCAAATGCAACCAAAATCTATCAAAGATCTACACTAAACGCGCCTGCTGGCCATAGCAGTGCAACCAATAACAGTCGTGGTCTTTGGCGCACAATATGCATCCGGTCGTACTTGGCTCTTCAGTCGGCACACAGACTCTACTTCTCCCCTTGCCTCCATTGCGCAGCTTCCTTGTCCTGGGCGTCGAGCTGCATCTCCTGATTGTCCACCAGGACATAATCACCACGTGCCGCCCGCTTCTTCTTCTGCTGGTTGTAGCGGTCACTGGCCCAACCGTAGAGAGCAGTTCCTGCGAGGATGAGCGCCATGCTGCCCACGCGGTCTGCCGTCACAATCTCGCCGAGCACGACGATAGCAAGTGAGCTCTGAGCAACACCACGTCCAGCCGTGACGATCATGTGGGTGGTCGGACTGGTGACCTCAATCTGCATGAACGTGGCAATGGTGAGCAGGAAAGCCGACAGCCCCGTCAGCATAGCAGAGCCGAGAAACTTGTGGAGCAGGGCCTTGCTGCCTTCTGTGGCGGCATCAAGGTCGTTGCCGTTGCCGTTGATGTTGAACAGGCTGAAGAAGGTGCCGAGCTCGCCTGACATAGGTAGCAGGGGCACGTAGAAGACCAGGGCCATGACATTGGACATCCAGACCATCTGCCACATACCCTCGCTACTCTTGCCGAGGAAGCGCTTGACGACGACGGACTCGATGGCAGTGGTGAAGCTAGACCCAACGCCGAGCAGGATGCCCTTGCCGCTGGTCAGGACCTGGCTGTAGTCCGCGGCCATTCCCGCGCCGAAACCGGCCATGACCATGGCACAGCCGACCAGTGAGACTGGCGGGTAGTAAGGACGCGGCCTGAGGACGAGCAGCGACAGAAGGAGTGTGAATGGCAGGAGAAGGCCACGGGCGATCTGGTAGACTGAGGCGTTGACCGATGCAAGACAATATGTCTTTGCAAGGATGCCGACTAATCGGGCTATCGTCAGAGGGAGAAGAGACCACCATGCTGAACTTGGTCGCTGCAGCTGAATCCATCCCGTGATCGTCCCAATTGTCGTCAACAAAAGCACCTGGACGGTCGTCTGCAGGGCAAGCAGAGTAACTGGAGCCTCGATACCATTGAGGGCTGACTTTGAGAGAATCGTGCTCCAGATTGCGCACGATGAGTGGAAGCAGATGGTGAGCGCAATGCGCCTGCGAGATGGCGGGCTAGGGGCCGGTGCCTCTTGTTGCTGTTCTTTGTCGTCCATTGTCGATTTGTGCTCTGAGGTTGGTGATGCCGGATAGTATTGGAGGCTCAACGATTGTCTTTACTTCTGCAATCGCCGCATCCCTGTCGGGCGACTCCCACCCGACGTGCGTGCATGGCTCCATCGCGAACACGAGAAGACACAGTTGATGGAATGCACTAACATTAGAGAAATCAGTGCACTGTCAAAACCGACTTCAGGATCATGGCCGTGCATGGCCAAGGCTGTCAACCCCTAAGTCACCAAGATTGACAGGGGACGGATTGAGCCTTGTTTCAGGGCCACCGCCGCCGCTTTTGCGAGCCCATCACGTGTCTGATATGGACAAAGCAGCGGTATGGTCATCCCCTTCAGTCACTGATCCCTGTCTCCGTGCAGTCGTATGCTTGTCAAAGGCAAGTACGTGGTCGTTTGTTCAAGCAAAAGGGACAGACACGGCAACGCTGACTGACAGGGAACGTTTCCTCTACCACGCCTCCCATCTCATCTTCAACCTGTCCAGTCGCAATCGTCTCTCTTACAGAATTTGTGATGTACCAGCCTCGCTTGTCCTACTAGCGGCCTCGCTTTCGTGGACTCGTCATACAACCACCGACACTTTACATCTGGCATCTTCTCACCCCGGTCCACCTGCACCCAAGATCTTGAACACCCGGTTGCCGCCGTACCAAGAGATCTACGCACGGTCTACCATCCGTCGCGACATTCAGTGGTAGTGCTGTGTCCTTTCATTCCTGAACCTCCGTTGCCGCAGTTCGGGCGATCGCAGCCCAAGACCCTATATTCTCTCACAGACGCATACCGGGTCTACTCCTCGCCGACGATTTCTCCCATACTCTGTGAGGGCTTTTGCTGGCCAAAAGCTGCACAAGGAGATCAAGAACCGTGGCTAGGTGATGAGGTAGAGGGATGAACAGGCACCACGCCTTCACGAATGGCTATGCCGCCAACAAGAAAAGAGATGATGATCACTACCATGGCAATTACTCGGACAAGTCAGATCTAGAGAGCAAATACATCTGGGGAATGAATGACCTGGTCGAGGACGAAAAGCCCGACCCGTCATTCAGTCGGACGCGCAAATTCGAGCCTCGACGGAAAGCTCTCTACACGCGCTCTCGTCTTATACGGTTGGGTCTTGCCGCCGTTGGGACGCTTGCCATATTATCATGGTTCTTCTTCCCCTCCTCTGCAAGTCTGTCGTTATTATCAGGCGGCTCCACCTCCTCACAGGGTGATTTCGAGATCGAAACCCTACGATATTATGACCTAGGGGATGTTCAAGGTACCTCTGTTGGATGGGAGAGAGAAGAGCGAGTATTGCTCTGTACACCTCTAAGAGATGCCGCACCTCATTTGCCGATGTTCTTCGCGCACCTGCGGAACTTTACCTATCCACACCACCTCATCGACTTGGCTTTCCTTGTCTCGGACTCCAAGGATAACACCGAAGAATTGCTTGAGCAGATGCTTGAAGCCCAGCAAGCAGATCCCGACCCTTCACAACCTTATGGCGAGATTTCCGTCATACACAAAGATTTTGGGCAAGCCGTTGGGCAAGATGTGGAGAGCAGACACGGCTTCGCTGCACAAGCAGGGCGCAGGAAACTCATGGCACGTGCGAGGAACTGGCTACTCAGTGCGGCTTTGAGGCCTTATCACAGTTGGGTGTATTGGCGTGACGCTGATGTTGAGACTTGCCCATTCACGATTATTGAAGATCTCATGCGCCATGACAAAGATGTTATTGTGCCTAGTGAGTTCTCGAGTTTGTTTCTAGCCATACACGCGCTAACGTGAAACAGATATCTGGCGTCCGTTACCTGATTGGCTAGGCGGAGAGCAGCCATACGACCTGAACTCGTGGCAGGAATCCGAGACCGCCATCGCCCTAGCTGAGACATTAGATGAAGATGCTGTCATTGTCGAAGGTTATGCCGAATATGCCACGTGGCGTCCTCATCTTGCTTATCTCCGTGATCCTTACGGCGACCCAGACGTTGAGATGGAGTTGGACGGTGTTGGCGGTGTTTCCATCCTTGCCAAAGCCCGAGTGTTCCGCTCTGGCGTCCATTTCCCAGCCTTTTCTTTTGAAAGACACGCAGAAACTGAAGGCTTCGGCAAGATGGCCCGGCGGATGCAGTACTCCGTGGTTGGCCTACCTCATTACACCGTCTGGCATCTTTACGAACCATCCGTGGATGACATTAAGCATATGGAAGAAATGGAGGCTGAGAAACGTGAAAGAGAAAGGCAGGAGAAAGAAGCAGCTGAGAAAGCCAAGAAGCTACAAGACGACTTTGAACATGTGGGTTCTCAATGGGAAAAGGATAAACAGAGTATTGCTGAATCTGGCAAAAAGCTCGGAGCTCTCAACGCTGCTAACCTAGCTGCCGTCGATGCTGCCAAAGAGGTAGTGGCCAGTGATGGTTCTACAGAGAAGCTCGCAAAAGGTGACTCCAAGGCGAAAGCACCTAGGAAAGAAAGCGTCCGAAAGATCAACACTCGCCAAGGAGACAAGAAAAAGGAGCTGGACGATGAGAAGTTGGAAAAGACCGAGAAGGCTGAGAGCGTAATGAGCAATGATGAAGCTGTAAATCCAGCTGCAGCACCAGCAGAAGAGCCCAAGGCTGGCAAGAAGAAAGGTTACACATGATTAATCACAATCCGGTTGGCACGACGGTTGTACCTGGAGTGGTCTCGAAATCATGAATCCTTTTAGGAAAATGGGCGCATTGAATATGGAATAGACATGGAGCGATCAACTGAGCGGCATCCACCAGTTTCGGATGCACGGTCTTGAACTTTTGGCGAGCAGCATGAGGAGGCCGGAAAATATATCACACATGTTTTCCCTGTACAAAATATCACAAGAACCCTCCTTGGAATTGGTGTTGAATGCGAGTAATCGTGTCTAGACAGATCGCGTGAAGCAGGCAGGCCACGATTCACTCTTGACGTTGCCCGGAGGATTGTGGTACGACCTTCGAAAATTGAAATATGTTGCTACCCGTTGCTCGTTTCACTATAATTTTTTTGTGTTCTCTATGACGTCGCGTTCGAGACGCGTCCACATCCAGACGCGTCGTAGCGCAGCCTTTCTGTGACATAGTACCAGATTAGGTCGCCGGTCAACCCGCTGTACGGGACGTGTTGAAGAAATCTCTGGTACATTCAAGAGCGAGAGAGGGTATTGCAATTGCACTAGAAGCCTGCACGCAGCACGATGTCTACTCAAAACTCCGGGTTTCCTCATGTTCATTTCTCTACGACATACCCTCAGCAGAGCTTCAGACTGCTCGAGTTGCCGCCAGAAGTCGTGTCGTTGATTGAGAGCCAGGACAAGAAGACAACGAGGTGAGTGGATTGGAAAGTATACACATGGTCATTCCCAGACTATCGTTTAGAGTGATTGGTCTTGAGTACAAGTACTGATGATTCTGTGAGTGCCAGACTCACATTCAAATCCGCGCCTGCTCCCTCCTCGAAAAGACCACCCATAGCGAGCAACGGCTACCAGGAAGATGTCGGTCAAGGATATCTTCACCTATGCAGCGACGAGAAAGTCTGGGCTGTAAAGCAAGTCAGCACGAGTAACAGCGTCTATGTCACCCTGACCGATCGACGGCCTGCAAAAAGAAGGCGCATCGAGGATGAACAAACGAATGGTGCATCCCCGATGAGCAATGACGACGAGGAGAGTTGTACAGATGATGTAGAGGGTCGAGCAGGAGTAAGCACGATAGCACAAGTCAAAAGTATTCTGGAGTTGATTGAAGTCAAGACCGCCGATGGCGATGTGGAGGGGCGTATACAGGATATGGTTCCCTCGCACGACGTTGACAACGATGACGAGGTGCGGAATGACTCTACGCGAATTGTGCGACTACGAGACGTTCTCGACAATATATCCGCGCCGACGAACGCCATATTGGATGCCGCGAAGAAATTGTTCATGTTCAGTGTTCCAGAGAGTCTGGAGGCAGGAAACGTTCTTCTTTACATACCATCTCCCTCCCTCCTAATCCGCGCATGGGAGGCTTTCTTCCAGCAGTGTGCGATCTCAGGAGTGAAGATTGACAGTGATGGGTTTGATACTGCGGCTCTGCAGGGTGTGCTTGACGATTTGTTGGCCAGCGAGAACGATAGCACACATGAAGACGGTGGGAAAGGCTCTGGGACAGTGATTGTTCCTGTGGTCAAAGCCATTTTGAGACGCTTTGCAGATCCAGCCACGCCCCTGCCGGGAGATGTGAACGACCATGAGATCGAGGAAATCTTCATCGCTGCGCCTGCTACATCTAGTTGGAACCAAACAGAAACATGTGAGCAAGTCGGCGGCTGGCTACTCGAATCTATGAAGCGCGAAAGCAAGTCTCAATCATCAGCCAAACAAGTACAGCTCGACGACTTCCGAAGGCAGTGGACGGAGCTTCTGCCAGACTCGTGGGCCGGTAAGGCCTGTGATGTCGCCGCTCTGGTCAAATCAGTTGACGGCGTGACATTGGCTCGTGATGAGCAAGGAAATGAAGTTCTGCGGTTCACGACTCCAGAAAGCCTCGAGGACATTCTCGGGCTTGGAAATGGGCTTGGGCTTGGGCTCGAACGTGGACGGATACAAAGTACTGCCGCCAAAGCTGCACCGGCGAGAAATGCTCTGGATGCTGCGAAGAATGAGAAGAAGAGGAAATGGCATGAGAAATTCGGGGCTCAGAGGGCTGTTGCTGCGGTCAAGAGATGACCATGATACAGTGTTGTAGCAGGCAGTATAGCACTTTGTGCAAAAGCAAGCCACCTCCTTCGAGAAGACCATGTTTCGCTTCTTTGTATGCAAGATCCTCCACTGACTTTGCATTCTATCCTGCCGAAATACTCCATGGGGTATGATACGTAACGATCTGTGTGTAAATCAGCACAAAGCTCAATCCTGACCATCAATCCTTAGACCGAATCCTGAATGCACCACGAAGAGCCTTTTCTCCGTCTGTCCGGTCTAGCTTTCATCCAAGCATATTTCGCACATCCTCAGTCTCTGCGAGATACCACGTTCATACCATTGGATTCACGACATGCTCGTCTCTTAAGCAACCAACTCCCTCAGTTTCCCCTTCTCCTCATCGTTCAATTGTTCAAACTGACCGGCAAACCCCTCCCTCTGAGCCTCAACCTTGAACCACTCCAAAAGATACTCAGCCGTCTCCTCATCCCTGGCCCGACTCCCAGTCGGACTGGCTGCACCATCACGATCACCACCCTCACCAACCAACGCCATTAGATCATTCCTGACACTCGAACTCGCAAGATCTATCGCGCCCGCCGTGCCCACATCCTCCCAGTCATCCGCGTCGTCAGCATCATCGTCCTCCTCGTCCAGCGCATCCGCCGCGGCCTGCGCAGCAGCTAGGTTTGGGAATTGCGATGTCGCCGCACTCGCGAGCTCATCGACCATGATCTTCAAGATCTTCAGGTCCGCAGGCACATTCGTCCACCGATCTGGCATCAGCTTGGCCATACTCCGCGTCTTGATCCGCCCACTGGGATTGGCATCGATGATCAAATCGCCCTTGACACCCACCGCCTTCACGCGCGGGTCCTGCAAGCTGAAGACCTTTGACAAAGCAACAACATTCTGTCGCACCTCGTCAAAGCCAGCGAAGTGCACGCTGTTCTCGAGCCACTTGGTCAGCACGACATTCAGGCCATTCACGCCGTTGACATTGACCTCAGCCAGGAAGTCGAGGACTTCTTTCGGAGCCGCGAGTGTTAGGCCAACGAAGACCATGCAGAGACTCTGGATGAACTGGATTGTGTCTGCCGTCGCTAGCCGGACTGCAACCGCTCGCAGCAGGTCCATTAGGTATGGACCCAGTTTATCTGCACCGAATTTGTTGACCAGCGTAGAGGCGAGACCACCCACTTCCTGGCCGGCGTTTTCGTCGACATCAGGGGAGTTCAGTAGTCGATTGATGATGGTGAGGAGTACTTCGATCGCGGATTTGCCTTGTGAGTCAGACCACGTGAGGAATTGAGATGAACCTTTGCTTAGCATGTGTTCGACAGCAAGGGTTGCTGGGCGCACAAGTTCGGCGTCGGATGCTTCCATAAGGACCCGTTGCAGTTTGGGCATGACAGCCGGAACGAAGCCTTCTGGTAGGGGTTCTGCGCCGAATTCTGCGAGTGCTGAGACAAGTTCGGCCGCAAGATTTGTGAGCTCTGACATTTGTGTCATGCTGGCGATGTCGAAGGCGCCGGTGAGGGCTGGGATTGTCTTGGAGCATAGTCGAACATAATTCTCCTGACCGTGTGAAGCTACGGAGGAAACGATACCCTCGAAAGATTCGGTAAGAAGGCTGAAGAGCTGAAAGTTGGCTGCACCGTCCGAAGCGAGGGTGAAGAAGAGGTCGATTGCGTTGGTTTCGGTGATGTTGGTGGTGTCGAGCATGATGCCATCGCGCAGAGTCTGAATCAGTGCCGCTTTGACGTCGTCCGCATCTTCTAGCTCGTCTTTCAGATCGTGCGAAGATATAAATTCTTCGATGGCGTGGAATATGGCTCCCTGCATGGGTTGCGTGACATTCGAGGGGAGTGCTTCGAGATAGTTTGGAATCGCGCTCAAGCATGCAACCTTGACGACCTCGGAGGGATCGGTGACGGAGGCGTTGATGGCGTTCGTGAATGATGCAGCGCCTGCTGAAAAGTAGTCGTCTCCGACAACTTTGAAGAAAGTAGCTAGGGTGAGATGTGCGGCCGCACGCATGAATGCTTTGGAATCCTGCAGAGATGCTGAGACCTGGCCTACTAGGATCGAGGCCGTGGATTGGTCGAGCTTCCCTGAGAACTCACTGACGTCGACAAGGCATTGGTTGAGGAGGTAGAGCAGTGCTTCTCGTTCTTTCCAGTGGGCAGACTCAGCTGATAATGCTTGTTGTTTGTAGTGGAGCAGTGCAATGATGGGTATTTGTTTCAGCCATTCGCCGAGACTGCGTACAACTAGCTCTCCACACGCTGCCCTTGGAGTATAATTTGCTGTTAGTGATGTTGCTTCTGATAGGTAGAGGTTTGAGTCATATTCCCACAATGCTTCCTCCTCCTTTGGTATTCTTGAGTACAACACCAGCACGCGGATCAACTCTTGTAGCCAATGAACAGTATGCTGCGCATCGCCTAGTTGTTTCATCTGAGTGGAAAGTTCTGAGCGTACAGGCGGTGCTTTGATCATAACTTGCAGAAAGTCAATCTCTTCGAGGACCAGCGCATCCAAACTGTGGGGCAGATTGTCGCTGTCAACGAGTTTGCCCTCGACATGGCCGTCGAGAAAGAGTTCTGCATATGGACCTGCAAGTCTCGATAGCTCTTCCCAGACAATTTGGAATAAGGACACGGCATGAGGAGAGATGGCGTGTACGTAGACAGATCTTAGCTTGTCGAGAGTCTGGAAAAATATTGTTAGCCATCATGACGCCGGTTAGCGGGTGTGACCCTACCTTCACCACTTGGACCTTCAATGCTATTAAACCTCGCATGTGAGCACCATCGTGATTCAAGGCTACCCCAATCTGATCCAGAGGTTCCTTAAGTGTCTCCATGAAGAGAGGCATCCAAGTTCTCATCGACTCGTCCAAGAATGCTTTGACAGCCACGCCATGGTCGCCCATAACCATTTCCAGCATCTCGAAACAAGATCGAAAGACGTTGAGTGCCATTGCTCGAACGATCAGGCTGCGATTGTTGTCCGGGGAGACGACATGCTGTAAGGCGTTGACCAAGTCGGGAGCGACCGTGAAGAATTGTTCCTCTGTCAAGCCGGAGTCGACCAACTCTGCAAGCACACGAAGAGCGCCGTGGATAGGTGCATCGTTGGTGGAGTTGTTCAGGATCGTGAGAAGTGCAGGGAACAACGATGGCCACGCGTCCGGGAAGTCGACGCTGGCTATCTTGCTGGCTACTCCGGCGGCTAGCGCTTGAATACCGGCATCTTTCGAAGCGTCGCCTTCGGCTGTACATATGGCAAGGATTTGATCACGCACACGGGCCTTGGCTTCCTCATCCAAGGAGGTGCTACCGTTGATGTAGCTATCGTCGAATTGCGGTGACCAAGTTGTGGAAACATAGTTCTTGAGGGTGGTGACAGCGGCTTTCCGTAATCCGGTCTCAATGTCGTTATGAGTGGCGATGGTAAGGAGTGCAAAGGGGAAATCTGGTTGTGAATAAAGTTCAAGCAGTCCATGATATCCCGCCTTGACCACTATAGTGTCTGGCCGAGTCGTCGCTTCCAACAGTTGAAGGACTTGTTGCTCCATGATGGGCAAGCCAGCCTTGCACGGCTCGGGAGGGAAGAGAGCCGCCCTAAAGGAGCACAGGCCTTGTGAGCAGGGGTAATGGTTCAACCTCGTAGATATTGCGCCCACACCCACACGCAACGCGAGTATATGAGAATAAACAAGACGATGAACGCTCACAGGACAACAAAAGTAGGAGTGAAACTCGTAATGTGAGAAGTTGTTGATAAACAGAAGTGACGAAGAAGTGAAGTGCCAGTGTCGCGCTCAAAGTCGTCACGTGACAGCAAAGCGCGTCGAAACCGCCAAGGCAGTATCTGATTGGCCGGTTACCACTTCTGTAACTTGCAATGCCAGGTGCGTTAGACCAGGCGTACGACGGGGGCATATAGGCGGTATAGAGGAGTGTCGTGCTTTGGTGGACGTCCGCAATATTGGGGGGACTGCGGACAATTGGACGTAAGAAGCGCTTCGTGATCATCTCGTCCATTTCTACTTGGCACAGCAGCTCTCTACAGTCATTCTTCACCAGGAGGTTACCGACAGACAACGACGACCAGCGAGCTTACATGCCACTGTAGTCCTCCCAGTCCTCCTTCGCCTGGTCGACGTTGTCGACGGCAACCTCCTGGCTTCCAATGAAGCCTGTAGTCCTAACCACCGTGTTGGTGGCAGAGTCCATCTCGAAATCAAATCCCGTCTTTCCGGGAGCAGGACACCAGATCGAAAAATACACAGTCATCTTGAGGGCAAAGCCCTCCTCTGCTGCCAAATATGCAAATTGTCGTTGCTTCCACTTCCAACTAAACACGTCATCAAAGAGCATTTCGATGACGTCCTCCACGCTGCCGTTGGTGTTCATGTACCGAACGATATCCGCAAACCCGTCCGGCGCATCGACATCGTGGACGACGTGGACATCTTGTAAAGACGTCAGGCGCCGACGATTGATGTGTACGAATGAGTCGATATGGACTTTGATGTTCTTGATGCTTGATAGGAACTCATCAGGGATGTTTGCAAGAGGATCATGACGACCGAAGCACCGCGGAACTTCTAGTGCTGTGGCAGTCTTGAGGAATGGCAATGCATCCTTGTGAAAGAACCGAGACGCTGAGATAATGCTTGTGTTGACGTTTTCAATGAGTCTATATGGTGAGAACTGATCAGTGGTGCTGCAGCGGTCCATGTTGGGTTTCGAAGCTTCGAGTGTTGCACCTGCGAAGAGGTAACCATAGATTTGAGCCCTGATCTCTGGTGGTAGATTATCGAGGCGAGGCGGTGTCGATGAGAAGAGAGACCTTGCATGGCCAGTTCCTGCATGACTATTCTGATTCGTGTGTATGTTCAAGATAATATCCAGTGATTGCATTGTTGAGGCTTGAAGTTGCGTCGACGCTGCATGAGCATGTAGGTTTGTTGAAGTGTTTGTGTCTATCAAGATGCCTAGCCTCACTGTTTGAACAGGGATGTTGTGATTTGAGTACAGGCGAGTTCCTGCCATCATGTTGTTTCGTGATTGAGTTCGAAGAGGAGGCTTCTTAAGTGAGAAGACAGGCACTAGCATTCCCCTGTTTGCTTGTCGGTATGTATTCCAATTGAACACCCATGGCGATGATGCAGTTGGGTTGAACATAGCACGTTGCTGCGAAGTGTCTTGACTAGGTATCATGTTGAGTTGAGTGGGCGCTTGACCTTCATATGGAAGGACTCGCGAGTTCAGAGGCATCTGTCTGTTTGCTGGTGTATCAGAGGCTGCTGGGATGCTATTCAATGGTCCCACACTGTTCATGTTGGATGAATGAATTGATCTTTCAGATGAGGCTGGACCTGGAGGTGGAAAGCGTCGAGGAAGGTGATGCTCCTGAGCGATCTGGACAATCTGACAGGAACCTGAAAACGTACAGATGGAGATGATGTTCAGAACAATGAATCAGACAGAATGAGGAGGTGTTTTCGAAGACGTTGGTCTTTTGAGAGATGTGGAAAAGTGAGTGGTGTTGACTGAAAGTGAAAGAATGTAAATCGAGTTGAGGAAGGTAAGTCCGACGCAGCACACAATTTACACCCACCACCCGAGTCGACACACCTTGTTCATTGATTCATCAGCCGCATCATCATTATGGGTCATAACAATGCTATTGTCTTCTCTTCGTTTGCTGTGTTCCGTATTACAAAGGCATTGGTCGTTTTTGTAAAACTTCTGGACTGACGAAACTGAAGCCGGGAATGCCTCAGAGCCAACTGCCACGTCACCACAGCAGTAGGGGCCTCGCCATGGTAGCTCTCTTGCTGCAGAGGACATACTGAATGCTGACAGAGAGGCCCAGGACAATCATTGCGTGAAATACCGGACGATGTCGGCGACGCCATTCGAGTAGTCACCCACCTTCTCCAGCAGACAGCAGATGAAAACACGAGAGTATGACGCTCGGCGAACGCTGCCAGAACGAATCATCCTGACGTCCATCTCAATACCCATCGGCGAAACCTAGTAAAAGCCAGCCCACGTATGCCTATCCCGAATCGGCGGCCCTCTTGACTTGTGTATCACAGCCTTCTCATCAAGGTCGATGATGGCATGCTGTTGCATACAATTAGTTCCCATTCGAGCAGGAGGAGGAAGAAGAGAAGAGGAGAAGAACTTTCGGCTTACAATACTTTTGCTGGACGACGATGTGACAAAGTGGCAGTGAAGCAGTATTTTGAATACCCGCTGCGTATCGAAATAACATATGGTGAGATTGAGGGTAGATCTCTTCAGGTTGAAAAGGGCAAGGCCAATCATGCCTTCGTCTGCAGTAGGGGTCTCAAGGTAAGCTTGATCATAGTACTTGCACCAGATAACAAGGTCCCGCACTTCTAGGACCTTCAGGCCTCGAAACCTTTCCAGCTGAAGAGGCCCACTACCGATGGCATCTACCCTGCAGATCACAGCTTGTGATATAGCCGCGAGGTAGTTTTGTGGAAGTCGGTCGGCATTCTCAAGTGTGCTAGCAAACCGGAGCGTCGTTGCCGCTAACAGGTATGGGAGCGCGTCTTGTCGGAGCCTCCGGCACGTACCCAGGATCTGCCAGGGAAAATCACAGGAGCAGAGTTCTGGACCACAGTGAAAGAACTTTGCTTTTCCTTGCAGAAACAGCTGAGCGTCAGCAAAAAGATGTCGATATATCTCGATGCGGATCTCCGCAGGAAGCTCTAGAATCGGACAACGCCAGGGAATCAAGCCCACTTCGTCCATGTCGCAAGGTATCTGCTGCGATGCCTGTGTACGTCGGTGTTTCCCGTTGTAAGTACTGCGCCGAGGCTTATTGTGCGACTTGCCGAGAGTCCTTGTTTGCAAGCTGTGGGTGTCAAGTGGATGGTCACCGGTGGTGCCACGAGCACACAGGCGTACGCGAAGCAGCTATACCTTGTCAAGAATGTTGATACTGCCGCGTCGGTTGCCCCTCCTCGTCGCGGAATACCGAGCCGATAATGACGCCGAGATTGGCAGCGACTGGACCTTCTCCTGTTCACTGATTATGCATTGCGGGATAGAGTCGAGGGCAGAGGTTGCCGGCACGATCTCAACAAGCATCCCGCTCATACACGAGCGCGAAGCGACAGTACTACCAGCACAAAGATGGACAGTACGAACATGGGATCAAATGGACGCGACCTCTTGTCGTCTGTAAACGGTCCACAAAGGGCAGGTGACGCGACTTATGCTATTCGGAGCCGGGGAAACTATCAGCCGATCCCAGCAGATATCTACACCACTCAGACAGTGAAACCGTCCTTCATAGCAATGCGTATGATGGATGACTCTGTTTACACAAAACGACGGAGATATTCATTGTTCTGAAGACTTCCCGACAGTGACCTCTTAGCCCTGTTAAGGATGATTTAAGCTTTTGATACAAGGCTGTATACCCCTATTCACCTTGGATGTGTTCGTCACCTTGCACCGCTGGGACAACCTCTTCGTTCCTGACAAGTCGAGATATGTGGAAATGTTGCTTCAGCTTCTGTGAATCCACCGGTGTGACACGACATGATTCGTTATGGCTTCGTCATACAGGCGCAGACTAAGCTGTGCCGTCCTGTGCCATGGTAGCTTGTCCACTTCAGAAGCACTGTCACGGCTGGCCCGTAGCCCGAGCGCATCTACTCGATATTTCCATGTCCGTTCGTGGCAGGTACAGTCTGAGTCGTCCGCGAGATTCTGCCGCAACTCCAAATGCACTTTAGGCTGCTGAGCTTGGGTAGGCTGTCTGATATACAGCATTGTGCCCATTCTTGGGCCCTGGGTGAATCTGAGCACGCCCCATAAAAAGACTGTGTGTTTTGTACATTTCCCCTCAATCTTCGTCCATGGATTCCCAGCCGTCCTGCCCTGCGTCGGCACCCCCATCCTCATCGTCATCATCAGTCTCATCGCCATTGTCGTTGATGGCAACGACTCTCTCCTTCCCATCTGACTCGGGCAGTTTGACCTTTCCAGCGAAAGCCTTCCGTACATTAGGATTGGTGCTGATATCCCATACTTGTACCTGTCCCCTGCTGCCGGCGACAGAAAGTCTGAATGCGACTTCGGAATCAGGCGCAAACTGCACGGAGAAGATACGTCCGACATCGAGATTCCTTGAGACAACCATAGTAGGGGTATTGTTCTCGATGTTCCACAATTTAACTCTCTTATCCTCAGAACCGGTAGCGACGAGGCCGGGAACAGATGGACTCATGTCGAATGCGCTCACTGGACCGTCGTGTGCCTGCAATGTCCACACCGGCTTGCTTGGCTTCTCATGAGAGGTTGGCACATTCCTTGCATCGAAATAGTGCACTGTGCCGGTCTCTGTCGTCACGAAGAAGAAATTGGGGTCATGCACATCCCACCGAACCTTCTCGACATCAGCTTCAACCACCCACTTGGGTGCTACGGCATCTGGTGCCCGCATGTCTGTCGCAACCACTGTCCGATCATAGCTGCCGCTGAGTAGCACGGTGGACTCGGTAGGATGCCAATCTAAGGCACAGACTTTCCCGCTGTGCATGGTGTATGACTTCGCGCATTTGCCCGTATTCAAGTCCCATAGTTTGACCGTCTTGTCTGCTGACGCCGAGGCGAGCAGATTTCGATGTTCGCGATTCGCAGCCAGAGCGAGCACAGCGTCAACATGGTACTCGTCATTGGCCTTTGGCTTCTTTTTCTTCTTCTTGGATTTCTGCTTTTTCGTACTCTCGCCGTTGACGTCTCCTTCTGCTTGGCCATCAACTTCTTGACCCAGTATGGCAGTTGGGTACATGCTGTCCACGACATCGAGGTCCCAGACCTCTATTTCAGGGCTCATGGTGCCAACGGCCACAAAATTCCCTTCTTTGCGGTTCTCTGAATCTTGCCCCACCGGGTGGTTGATCCACTCGACGCATAAGGGAATGGCGGGTAGCATGATGTCGTGATGCACGTAGAGATTGTCTGCCTCGTCCTCGTAGACAAACACCTCGAGATGCGCAACCTCGTCCTCGACTTTCGCGGCCAAAATGAGATTATCTGAGGGCAATATTTGCAAGTCTTCTCTTTCGTCATCTGAGTCTTGTTCGCCTTCTGGTAGCACAAGATATGGATCCTCCTCATGAGGCGCATGGTATGCTAGGGAGCCCACGTTGCCGAACATGGCAAATTTCTCGCCCATCTCGTCTGCAGGCTCGTCGTCGTCGTAGTCGTCGAGGTTGTATTCCTTTAGGTCGTCCGGGTCGTCGCCGGAGGTGGTTTTCGTCTCTGTACCCTCCATTGTGGAGACTCCATTCTCGCCATCATCGTCCTCGTCTTCGGACCCATCCTCGGTCTTTGGATTCTGAGCCTCTTCGAGATCTGCCTGCGCATCTTCAAGTTGCAGGCGGGCTAACTTCGAGATGCGACTGAGCTCTGCTTCGTCTACTTCGTATTTGGTGGGGAATTGTGCAGCAACACCCCTCCGGACCCATGTTGTCGCCAATGTCATCGACATCTTTGCGGTATTATGTTGTTGTTTCGTTCGTCAAGAGACTGCAGTCGCTGTGCAACAATTTTTTGGTGGATCTTCGCAAAAAGCGGCAGAATCGATAGACATTTGGGCGGTGAGCGGTGAGGGGGGCAACTTTTTTCGGGGCTCGATTGGCAGCTGCAAGGCTGAATTTTGGGGGTGCAAGGCTTTGCCCTTGCGCTAGACTGAGTTCATCAATTGTAAGTTCGAATTGCTCAAGACTGCAACTGTTCCGATCCCAACATCGACGACTTGGGACCCTCGCTAGACACATGTGGGCGTGGCTCGAACCGCATGATCAATATTGGAGACGAGTCTCCCCCAAGATGCATTCCCATCTGCATACAAAGGACAATGTCGGTATGTGGCAATCCAGAGCTTTGCGAATCGTATGACTAGTTGCCGAGCTGTTCCTTTACGTCGCTTTGACGCTCATTCGCAAAGCGCCGTTCCGAAACGATTCAGCTTGCGATCCGCTGTTGCGAAAGAGAATTTGACCAAGTGCTGATTATGTTCAGGCTGCGAGGAGATTATGAACGCCCTTGACGAGTGCCATGCCCGTGGCTTCCTTTACAAAGCCGTTGGCGGCTGCAACGACATCAAGCGAGAAGTGAACAGATGTCTATCAGGCGAGCGACAGAAAAAGAGTAGGAAGAACCGGGAGACCGGCATGGAGCGTCGAGCCAGAATAGAGTCTGTTTGGGACAAAATGGATCAAGGCGACTATTCGGCACTGGAGCGGTTTACGAAACGGGAATAAACAAGTTCACCATCTACAGTCATTCGATCGGTCGGCACTCGAGGAGGGATATGCATATGGTTGGCGTTCAATTGAGCTTCGCCGTCGTACAGACATTTCGCTTTCAGGCACGAATATACCTTTTGTGCATACTCATTCTACTCCCAATGGCCTTGATCTTCCTCAAAACGATACCAAGGAACGATAGCGTTGGGTATCGTTGCGCGGTGTGCACCGTCAGACATATCATGCACTATGTCCTACAAGACGCATTATATTGCATGCCGCAGTTGCTATAATCTGGATCATAGTCAGATACGGCATAATCGCGGAATGTCACATTCTATGCTCACGGCCAAGTTACGAGACGCTAAAGTGCAGCAGGTTCTGTTGTCCTATCACCGGAAGTTATTAAGGTTGCGAATAGCCCGGACAGCTTCCGTTCAATCCAGCATCCCGTGTATGACTATCGTCGCGAGGATAGGGTTCTCTGGGTGACACTGCACCTCTCTCTGACCGACTGGAGGATACCCGTACCTGTTGGGACCGTTGGACTGATCGATCAGGACATATTTCTTACGGAGGCATTCGTCTCGATACACGACAGCGGCAGATGGTACGCTGACCTGGACGTGCTCTCACTATGCAGTATCACCGCCACTTCCCTCAGTAGCGGTTGTTCATGCGGATCACCCAAGAAACATGACGAACAGGAATTCGTCTCGGTGAATACATTCGACGAACTTCTTGAGCCACCAGAAGGTCTTGCCATCTTAAGAGTACGAGACAATTGGGCGGCTCGCCTAGCTGCAGTGTGCATCTGACTGGAGACCATCTTTGAAGTCCCGTTGGAGAAGACGACACATTCGATGTTGGAGTTGTCTTTCAATCGCCCTGAAGCTGGATTGACATCGGGAAATGTGGACAAGGAGTCATAAGACTTCATCAGGTTGTTTGTGTCTGGTGCATCTGCAGGCAGAAGCTACTTTGCAAGCGTCCAATCTTGTTGGAGAGAGACGTGGAATGCTGGCAATGCCTAGAGAGGAAAATGCTTCAGACTGCGAAAGCGAATGGTGACCAAATCTTCATTGACTGAAAGAGTGGTAACGTTACAGCTGAATTGTCAGAATTGCAGTGCCTACACATGATGACTTGACGTTGGAGCGCGTGAACAAGCCTGACTCAAACATCGATAGACTCATTCCATATGGGATATAATAAGTTGCTTCAAAATTTGTAATAAGGAGCTCTTCAGTCGCACTTCGTGTATCCTTCCCTGGGTTGTCTTGAAATCGAGAAATCCGGGGACGTCACGTGCCTCACGTCATTAGTGCATGCGTGACTTCTTTCACTTTGTCTGCGGGTGTTGACATTTACATTGAAGCCATGTGTCAAAGACAAAGTGCACCCCTGACCATAAGGGATTGCCAGCTCTTTTAGGTCACTCTTTGTCTCGTGTTGGTCTTTGCTTCAACCTTCGCAAACGGTGTGCTGACTGAACTGGCCCTTTCCCCGGATGACTTCGAGACACATGTCTCAACCCTTGGATGCGGCATTATGACCGGTGGAAATAGTACCCAGCCAGACCTTCCCGCCGAAGACTTGCAAAAGGAGCCTCCGCCGGAAGAAAGGCCGCCTCCCGCAGAACAGCATGTCGAGGAGCCGGAGCTGGATGACTTTGGGTTGCCTAAAAGGCCGCTGAACGTGCTCCCTCATGCTACATCGGACGACAGTGAAGATGAGGACGATACTTTCCACGACGCCGAAGCGGCTGTTGAGACGGCTGCCTCAAACGAAGAACAGAAAATGCGACCGCTGCGGAAAGAGAGGACCAACGGGGAGTCAACGGCTTCTGCGGGTCATGCTCTAGAGGACTCTACAAACAAGCAGCCCTCTCCAGAACAACCGGACAATGCAAATAGCACACCTGCACCCGAAGCCGACACGGCGCAAACCGTTCCGGCCATTACTATCCCATCCCCCGACGTTCGAGCTCCGTCCCAGTCAGCAGAGCACGCTTCCGCGAGCATAGCAAAGTCACCGGCGAAGTCCCTCTCTTCTCCAATGAAGGGGACGTTGAAGCGTGCGCAGTCTTCCGACGCACCTGCAGTTTCTGAGTGGTCACATCAGAGACAAATCACCAACACTACAAACGACGAGGAAGAAGAAGAAGAGGAGGAGGAGGAAGCATGGCAAGCGATGCCAGCCATCGACGAATTCGACGTATACGATGATTATGGGAGGCTGGTGGCCAGGGGTAACAAACAAACCGAGGACGAGACAGATGCCTATGTGGGGATAGGAGGCGCCGGGAAAGGTTATACCAGAGTACAGCTCGATGAGGACGCGCAGTCGGCCACTAGCATGGACGAGGATACGAACTATCTGTTCAAGAGTGGTCAGAAACCCGAGAAAGTTGATGAAGGCTACATTGAAGAGGACGATCAAAGAGATGCACTCACTCAATTGGAGGCAACGAAGGACCTTTTAACGGAAGGCCAGCGCATAGCGTATGTCGCTGTGGTTCGTCTAACAGTTCACAAAATGTTCAACGCACTTGGTGACCTCGAGAAGACTAGAGGAACAAGGAAGGAACTCATGAAGTCTGTGGAGAGCATGGACTTGTGGGGTCAGACGATAATGCTGCGCCTATATGCGCACATGGACATCGACCCGGCTGAGCAGCTTATGATCGAACAACTTGCCTCACATGGCGTACAACCGGCAGACCTTGTCACCCCTTTGATGCACAACGCAAAGGTTGAGAACCCTATGGCCAACAGCAAGGAAGCGCTACAGCAACCTGAGATCCCGCCCAAGCGGAATTCAACAACATCGACCAAAAGCAGTAACCTCAAAGACGCAGAAGACGGCGAAGAAGTTCCGGAAGTACACCTGCCGGAGGATATGCCACAAACCAAACAGATAGAGCTTGATCTACGCTGGACAGTTCTGTGCGACTTGTTCCTGGTCCTGATCTCGAGCAGCGAGTACGATGCGCGCTCAAGGCGCCTCCTGGAGAGAGTTGCTTCGACCATGAAAATCACCTGGACACAGATTTGTCGATTTGAGAAGAGAGTAATCGACGCTCTAGAGATGCAAGAAGACGAAATAAAGGAAAATTGGGACGAATCTGAACACCTGGAAAAGAGACGCAAATTAGGCCTGAAGAGAAAATACATGGTGATGGGTCTAGCAACTGTGGGCGGCGGTCTTGTGATCGGTCTGTCGGCTGGTTTGCTGGCGCCTGTCATTGGAGCAGGGCTCGCTGCTGGCTTCACCACGATCGGTGTCACGGGCACTGCAGGTTTCTTGGGAGGAGTGGGTGGTGCGGCTCTGATTACCTCTGCTGCTACTGCTGCTGGTGGAACGATTGCAGTTCGAGCGTCGGACCGCCGAACTGGCCACGTTAAAACTTTCGAATATCGGCCCCTGCACAACAACAAACGACTGAATTTGATCTTGACAGTCTCCGGGTGGATGACTGGCAAAGTTGATGATGTACGTTTGCCTTACAGCACCATCGATCCCATCATGGGTGACATTTACTCTTTGCTCTGGGAACCAGAGATGCTTCAGTCTATGGGTGACACTATTAATATCCTCGCGACTGAAGCATTGACACAAACCGTCCAGCAGGTCCTCGGGAGTACCATTCTGGTTGCCTTAATGGCGTCTATTCAGCTTCCAGTTGTCCTCACGAAGTTAGCATATCTTATTGACAACCCGTGGAGTGTGTCTCTGGACAGAGCCAATGCTGCAGGGCTCATTCTTGCAGATTCGCTGATCGACAGACACCTGGGACAGAGGCCCATCACGCTTCTTGGATTCTCACTTGGGTCTCGACTTATTTTCTCTTGTCTCAAAGAACTATCACGCCGCGGCGCGTATGGCCTGGTCCAGAACGTGTATCTATTTGGCTCCCCAATTGTGGCCAAGAGAGATGATTATCTCAGAGCCAGGTCCGTCGTTTCGGGCAGATTCCTCAATGGTTATGCTTCTAACGATTGGATTTTGGGCTATTTGTTCCGGGCAACTGCTGGCGGCATCATGGGTGTTGCAGGTCTTGCTCCAGTCCAAGACGTTCCTGGGGTCGAGAACGTCGATGTGGGCAGCATGGTCAATGGACACATGTCTTATCGCGCTGCTATGCCTCGATTAATGCGAGAGGTTGGCTGGGAGGTTGAAAGCGATGAATTCACCGAGATCGAGGATGCTGACCCTGAAAACCACGCGCAGCGACAGCGCGAGCTCATTCAAGAGATTGACGAGGCCCGCAGGAAAGCCGAGGGAAAGCCTGAGAAGAGGCGATTTGGACTCTTCAAGCGCGGCAAACTGGCTGACAAAAAAGGGTGGGAAAAGTACAATGTCAACCAAAACGGGCACAAAATGGATGGAAGTTCAACTCCCAATGGCCAGAATGGCGATGTCAACGTTCTGTTCGATATCGACGCGATTCGGAAAGAACTAGAATCTGAAATGATCGAAGTGCGGGAATTGGACAGTACACTACCGCCCATGCAGATCACCTCCATCCAAAATGGAGAGAAACATGTCGAATACCTGCGGCTACCACCTGACATGAAGCCTGAAGAGGTAGCGAGGATGAATCTTCCACCTCGTCCGGACGAAGTCGATGTGGATTTTGGACATGAGCAACCCGCCCTGATCCTGCCGGCAAGAGTCTCATCTCTCAGGCCATCATCATCGGCAAGATCCAGTCCACAAGGGTCACCACGACCCAGCCCAATACGATCGCCTCAGCAGTCATTCGACTCTGGTCGGCGTTCATCTTATGGCTACTCAGAACCGAGGGAGCTTACTAGCACGATGCCGGCACTCAGTCTTACTAGCTTACCCAGGACGGAAAGCGATAGTGCACCTTCGATTGTACGGCCCGAGTTGAAAGCCCATGCCACTGAACCTCCCGTTCCGAGCTGGAACCAGCAGTCAAACTCGTCCTCTAATGGACTAACACCATCGATGGCAGCCCTGAACATAGGGCATAATGCATGGGCGGATGACGACGCCCATCTCGGGCCTGAAAGTGATAGCATCAGCATGACCTTTGAATGATGACCATAATGCATGGAGATTCTCTACATTTCTGGTTGCATAGCGCGGCGTTTGGAGGCATTATCTGTATCAGCATCATTTACGGTCAGCATACATTCATTTGTATGAAACACCTCCGGTTCGCATCCGAGTTGGTTTCAGTACTTATGCCGGTTCCTCAACTTTCATATTCATATATTCAACAAAGGATGTCGTCCTTGACCCTTGACTATCCCTGAACTTCTTGCGAATGGTATGGCGGAATTCAGTGCCACCGATGTGTTCTTGATCATCTCAATTCCTTATGCACAGAATGCGGAATCGCTGCGTGGAATCTCTGTTATGTTTCTGATTCCGACTGTCACTGACCGGTCTTCTTGGCTGAATGGTTCTGCTTAGTTCTCCTTCATGTACACGGTCTATTCCTGGACCGTGGGGTGTTACAACAGCTGGTTGCGCCAGTCTCGGTCATCTCAAACAAGGATGCAAACTTCGCAATACAGGAGGCGTGATCGTTCCGGCTACTACAGCCCTTGGACGCCCCATTCCATGCACACATCTCACTCTTTGCTACTACTGTTCGACTGAGGCACCCACGCATCTTGAACGTTTCGTCTTTGTTGCCTTCTGCTGCCCTGCCTATTATTGAACTTCCTTTGTCCGACTTCTCGGCATACAAAGGCTGGGGTATGTGTACTGGTTTCTCCTTTGTTAACTCATTGTCTTACCCTTTCCTGCCTTCAAAGACAATGACTATGGCTTTGTCACACTCTCTCACAGCCTATGTTCACCTGCCTGTTGAGATTAACAATCATGCAGTACCGGTGCGAGACTCGATCGACTCAATCATATTTTCACGACCACATCATCAAGATCCTGCGAAGCACACGTCCCGACCCGGACATAGCACTCACTCAACAACATCATGTTTCTCCTCGGAGACATATACGCTGCTCTCGGCTACCTCAGTCAAACTCAGCTGGTGAGCTACCTTGCAGCACTCTGCATGACGATACTGCAGCACCCAAATGCTCCCTTCCTCTTCCTCTTCACTTTTCGATATCTTCGACTGCTCGTCCACATCGTTGCCTTTTGGCTATACCGTCCAGCACCCATCCCTCGGTTCGGATATGTGACTGAGCAAGATGTCTCTGTCATTATTCCGACAATCGAACCCGACAACCCGGATTTCACAGAATGCCTTGCTTCAATACTTGATAACAACCCTGCAGAGATCAAAATCGTTACAGTAGGCAAAAGCAGACTGAGGCTGACCAAGAGAATCATCGCACCGTTCCGCGCCGCCAACCCTGACGTTTCATTCAAGGTCTATGATACTCCTGTCGCTAACAAACGCCAACAGGTCGCTCACGCCTTGACGAAAGTCCGCACCAAGATCACCGTTCTCGTGGATGACCACGTTTTCTGGCCCTCTCGGAACTTCCTACGTACAGCCATTGCCCCTTTTGAAGACGGAAGGGTCGGCGCGGTCGGGACAAATAAGCGTGTCCGTCGAGCTGAGACACCGTTCGGCTTCGCTTCATTCTGGAACGTTATGGGCGCATTATATCTCGAACGACACAACTTCGAGATCCGCACTACCAATGCTATCGACGGCGGCGTCTTCGTCATCAGCGGTCGGACTTGCCTTTACCGTACGGCCATCCTGCAAGACCCGGACTTTTTGAAAGCATACTTGAACGAGCGATTCTTCTTCGGTAAGTTTGGACCTCTCAACGCCGACGACGACAATTACATCACTCGCCAGGTTGTTTCGAAGGGGTGGAAAATCAAAATACAGTACACTCAAGACAGCATGATCGAGACCACGCTGGGCGTGTCAGGCCACAAGAAGTTTCTGTCGCAGTGCCTTCGCTGGGTACGCACCACATGGCGCTCGAACTCGGCTTCGTTGTTTACGGATCAGACCGTCTGGCGATCGCAACCCTGGTGCGTGTACGCGGTGTATTTGACCAGCTTTGTCAACTTTGCTTTGTTCTACGATGCGGCGCTGGTGTACACGCTCATGAGGAGTGAATTCAGCAGCCCAACGGCCCTCAAAGCACTAGGTATGTGGACCTTTGCGAGCAAGATGGTCAAGATCACTCCTTATTTTATGCGGCATCCGAAAGATCTTGTCTATCTGCCAGGGTATTTTGCTTTTGCTTACTTTCACAGCTTGATCAAGTTATATGCCGGACTGACGTTCTGGGTCACGGCCTGGGGTGGTCGTGATTTGAACAAGATCAATGAGACTGCTGATCAGGATAGCAGCTTCGGGGACTCCTCGTCCAGCGGATCTAGCAGCTCGGACAGTGACTCGGACTTTGGTCCAGATTTCTCAGGATACCCACGTGGCTTCCAGCCTTCTTACACCAGCCGTGAGCATTCGTCGGCACGGTCCTCAGAAAGCAGCAGCAGCAGCAGCAGCAGTCAAAAGTCAATCAGTACGCCATGGGGAAGAGTGTCTCCGGATAGCAGACACATGCCTGCCAATGTCCTTCTGGATCAGCGCCCCCTGGTGGCCGGCCGCCAGCAACGATGCTGGGAAGATACCACGAAGCAAAGCCACGGTGATGTCGATGAACTGATGCAGCAATCGTGCTCACCACTGACGCCAGAGTCCTCTGTCACAGCCGAGTCGCTTTCGCCCCGCGCGTCCTGGATCGACGAGTTTTGGCAGCAGTACTGGCTTGTTCGACGCTCGTCAGACTCGCTGAGACGTGTTCAATCCCCATCGCCAGTACCATCTTTTAACCTTGAGCCGGAAGTGGGTCGAGTATCGTCACGGTCACCATTTACGCATACGCCACTCCAACTTCCTACGCCTGAACCCTCGATCAAGGCTGAGCCGGTCTCACCGACAATCACCATATACAATGCCACCGGAAATCATGGACATGGAACCGGTTTCAGCTTGCGAGAAACACCGGCCGTGGAGTATGCGCGAGGACAGCGGTACTACGATGCGTACTGTCGTGACTGGACACGAGCGGAGTGTGGCAGATTGCATTATGAAGGTAAGCATATCCATTCTGGGGAGTGTGGTGTGGTGGATGAGCGATTTGAGTACTGGTGAATGGTAAGGGTAAATTTGTGGAGGAAGTTGTGCAGTGGACGAGGGCAAGGTTTGTGTCACATGGTGAAAAGCGTTTGGATTCTTGATGACCGGTTTGTAAGTTTGTTTTGTGCTGTACATTTAGTTGATTGGTAGTCATGCAGGTCATGGACTAGAAAGTTGTGGAGCGGAGCGAGTCTGCCCAAACTGGGAGGGGGAGGTCCTCACGGGGGACTGCTGTGTCGTGAAAATACAGATTTGCTTCCCGATTTGGTAATTCAGATTACTGTTTATGGATATCACATAATATCTTCCAATGACATCCAATGACATCCAACGTCATCATCGCAACCCCCTTTTTTTTGGGAGGAGGCCGCACTAGGGAACTCCCTGTTCTCTATCTATATTTCCAGAATCCTGGAGGTCTATTGATAGATTGTGGCTTCTGATCTCACTATGCAAACTTGATTGTATAGCCATGGATTCTCATGATTCGCCGACTTTTCGCGCTTTGCCTGATATTACCGTGCCGAAATAGCGGCCATCCATTTCTGCTCATCTTTTCTGTGCACAATGTCAGTTCACCGCGTGCTGAAAGGACCAAGACAAACTTACCGGTCAAAATGCAACAACATTCCCAGCACAGGAATCAGTTGCTTTTGGTGTCCCTTGTCCCGTTGCTCCAAAAATTGTAGTAATACATTCTTCAAATAAACATAGTCGACGTTGCCCTGGCTCAAGCCTCCAGTTGGCGTCTCGCTTCGACTCGTCGAGGTCGGCGACATCATTCTCTCTTTCGGCGCGGGCGACCTCATGCCACTCGACGAGTCGATCGAAGTCCTCGAGCTCTGCATCCCCGAATCAAGCCCCGTTCCTACTCGGTTCGAGGCTCTGAGGGGCTTCGCGCCAGTTTGCGCCACCTTGAGTTCCTCCGTGAGGTTCTTGTTCGCCTTTGTAAGTTTCTCGACGCGGTCTCTTGCCTCATCGGCGGCTTTTCGGAACTCTGCTTTCTGGCCGTCAAGCTCGCTGACTTGCCGTTCACTTTCGTCCAGTGCTTCGCGAAGCCCCGTCATCGCTGCTCTAACTTCTTCAACCTCCTTCGACGCACGCGATGAGACCTGCTCGAGCTCATCTCTCCGTCTCTTCCAGTCGCGCTGGCGACTTTCGAGCTCTTCCTTCTCGTCTTCCAGGGTCTTAAGTGCCCGTTGAGCATCGCGAAGTTTGCTCCGCGCTTCTTCGACTTCGCGCATCATACGTCTGCTGCTGACGCTTGCTTCGTCTTCGACACGATCACGTTCTTCGATGGCTGCGTCCATGCGTTCTTTCATTTCGCGGATCCTAGACTCGGTACCGCTTTCGGCTTGGTCGAGCAGCATACGCATTGTCTGTCCCTCTCTTGTGCGCTCAGATAGCATTCGTTGCGCTTCGGCCAGCTCATCTTCTAAACTATCAGCCCGTGTCGCGGCCTCGCGAGCTTGCATGTTCAGCTCGTGCGTTTGATCTCTCAACGATTGAACCAAAGACTGAGAAGAGCTGTGCTGAGCGGTCTTCAAGGATATTTCTTCCTTGAGTACAGCCACTTCCCGCGTGTGAGCAGTCAATTGGTCTTCCACTTCGCGAAGTCTGGTCTTTAGAGTCTTTGTCTCGTCCTTCGCCTTCGTAAGGTCCTTGGCCAATTGATCTGACGACGAAGCTGCATCTTGTCTTCGAGCTTCCGCCATACGGACATCCGTCTGTGACTTTTCTAGGTCCCTTTCGAGTCTATTCCTCGCATTTGTCTCCTGCTCAATCTTTTGCTGCAACTCTTTGATCTCGCTATCTTTGTCGCTAAGTCGCTTACCAAGGCCTTTAAGCTCGGCCTTGAGATCGTCATGTCGAGCTTCCAGCCTGTTGAGCTCTCCAGTCTTGTTCTTGAGGTCTTCCTTTACAGACTTCAATTCAGCAACCTCGTTTCTCAGACTCCTGAGCTCGGGCTGTGCCTTGGTAAGCACCTCTTTCAGATCTGTTATATCCTTGAAACGACCCGACGCAAGTTGCTCCGAGGCAGCAAGGTCTTTCTCCAGAGTCGTGCAACGTCCCTTTAGGTCGTCGAATTGCTCTAGGATCTCCTTGTGGGTCTTCTCCAAGTCAGAACCTTTGGCAGCAGCATTGCGAGCCTCGATAAGCTCTTTCTCGAGCTTGTCAGCCGACTCCTGTAGCTCCTGCCTGTGGCTGTGTGCTTGTTTCAATTGATCACGCGCCTCGACATGTTCTTCTCCCTGATGTAACAAGTCGTCGCGTAATGTCTCGATCTCTTCCTGTAGGGCTTCTTGATCCTTCAATTGTTTCGAGAGACGCTCAACCGCTTCGTTCTTGGTCGCTAGATCGTTCTCCAAATTCATAATTACTTCCTCGAGTTCCAGAATCTCGCTGATTCCACCAGCCGAGTCATTTTTGGAAGCACCGTCTTCGACTTCGGCCAGGTTCTCTGATACTTTGACAGGCGCTCCAGGTTCGCCGCCTTCAGTAGTGGCATTCTGAACTTTGCCTTTCTTTTTCTTCTTGTTCTTTTTCTTGCTTGCACTAGTACCTGTCTCGGATGGTTGAGGAGTCGGGGCACCTGGCCTGGCGGCGGGCGTATTGTTGGAAGTGCTCTGCAGATTGAAAGTCTCTGCGAGGTATTTCACAACATCTTCGCGTGAGTCCAAGGAGTCCATTTTGGATTTTGTAGAGTCGTCAAGAAAGCCAAAGACCTTCGTCGACGGTCTTGTCGAATACTCATCACGAGTTTTCTGGATTTCCGCCTTCAACTCGGTAACTGTTGTCTCGGCGCTAGTCAATTGGGCCCTCAATGAGTCCATTATGCTTTGCATTGTGGCGAGCTTCTTTTCGCTGGCTTGATCGCCTTCCTTGTTTGCCGCTTCTTGTCGCTCTGCAGATTTGTACATGGCCAAGCTGTCCTCCAGGTCCTTCGCAATGGTATCCTTCTGCGAGAGCTTCTCGTTCAGGATATCCGTATCGTTGCTGCTGGCTTCAATTCGCTCCTTGAGCGTGGCATTTTCTGTTTCCAGGTCCTGTATCTTGGTTTCCAGGCCTTGGACCTGCTTCGAGGTTTCATCCTTTTCGCTCTGCAGCTTACCAATCTCCTCCTGCAGCTCATTCGTTTTGCCGGTCTCTGATGCAGCTTTTGACCCTAGCTCGTCAATTTGCTTTTGTAAGTCGGACTTGGTGCTTTCGAATTTGTCCTTTGCCTCTCGCAATGTATGTAGCTCCCGAGTGGCAGTCTCTAAACTTTCCACCATGCTTCCTGTGGACTCCCGTGCAACTTTGAGATCGTTTTGAAGGTTGCTGACTTGCTTTTTCAAATCTTCAGCCGCCGTCTCCCGCTCGTGTAACTCGGCTTCCAGCTTCGTGTGCTCGGAGTCAAAAGAAAAGATATCCTCTGACGTTTCCTTAGTCGACTGCGACACTGGTTTCGATCGTGGCGAGAACAAAGAAAAGCTCGAGATTCTAGAGGATGAGGTGTTGGGAGATTTTGCTGCATTTTCTGCGTCACCCGTCTCCTTCGCCGCGGTACTGTCGTCCACCGTCGCTGCTGCATAATAAGGGACTGGCACCGGCTTCTCAGCCTCAGATTCGTCTGGCTGATTGACGGGGACAGGCCGTGCTTCGAGTTCTGCGATCTGGTTGTGCAGCTTGCCTGTTTCTTCCTCTGCGACCTGGAATTTCTTCTTGTAGTCATCTCTGTCCGACGTGACCCGTTTCAATTCATCGAGCACCATGTCGCTCTTGAGGTTGATTTGGTTTAGGTATTCAACAAAGGCGCTTCGGTCATTGATGCTCGTCAAAGGGGTGTTCTCTCTTAGAGAGGCTTCGAAAGATTCGGTCGCTTGTATTCTTGCATGGGCAGTCTTGTACGCTCGCAACAACTCGGTATACTTCACTTCCATGCGGTCCAACTTGCGCAGCTTGACACGAACCTCGGTGGGAAGCTCTCCAGAGCGTGGGCTGGCAATCGTGCTGCCATTGGAATCCGGCGGCTTCTCGTCGCCATTGTCCGGCGTCAACTCTGCTGCTTCCCCCTGTGTCTGTTGTAAATCTTCTACTGTTGTGGTCTCCTTGTCTGTCTCTTGTGTCTCTGCCTTCTCGACCTCGGGCTTCGGAGTGCCTACTCTGCTGGGTGCGAGACTCTCATCGTCTCCTATGGCGAATTCGGGCTCGAATTGTGCAGGGTCTGGACCTTTATCCGCCGAATCGCCAGCAGGATCGCGCTGCCGTGAGCTGGCTCTTTGAGCATCATTCTGCGTCTGTGGACGTCGTCGTGGGGCAGTTCTTGTGGGTTGATTGCTGGAAATAGCCTGGCGCTGGCGGGCTTGCTCTTCAGCGATCCTACTGTCAATGGCGCCTTTGAGGCGCTGGCACTGGAGTCAGTGGACGAACATCATTTACACAGCAATCACCCACCTGAAACATATCCACGTCGGCGGTGTTGGCAGAGACTGCCCTTAGCGGAGGGAACAGGAGTGTACATCAACGCAAGCAGAAACGCGCCCGGGGACGATCACGGTCTCCGCAGTTTGGACACTTTGACCGGTGGAAAATTGGAGATCATCTTTCGAACCATTTTCACCACCTTGATATATTCACATCTGAGTGATCTTCAACATTGAGGTAAGAACTCAGAAGTCTTGAGACCACCGAGAACGCCAATAATGTCTCTTCCTCATACACCGGCTACCTATTCGTAGGCTCATCACTAGTGAGCTGCGGGCTGGTGGGCGCCGCGCATGCGCCGTCAATTCACCTTCAAGTGCTCACCACAGCATGCCCTCAACGTGTCTGCAAAGACCACGGATATCTCCTACACCATGCTACCCGAGTCATGACCGCCCAAAAAGCATGTATAATGGGCCAGCTCTGCAGTATATCTTCTGCACTGCTGCTGAGCCAGCATACCCGCCCTGACCACAGCTCTTTCAATATGCTGTAACTGATTCTACTTGCCATGAAGTTTCGGTATTGTGTCAGCCTGGCGAAGAGGAATATTCTTCAAGTCCACAATTAAGCCGGAGCGCTTCCTTGAACTGGTCGTTGAAAGACACCAGTGGGTGGAATGGGCTTGACTTAGATGGCCTGACATCTGCGCATTGCAAGCCTTGTGAGCTTATGTCTTGTTCTTCGTGATACCAAGGTAATGTACCACGCTCTGCCATATATTACCTCATTTTAGAACGACGTTTGCTCCTCTCGCCGCCAGATACTGGTCAGGGACGCCCTGCGGCAGGCTCCTTACCACTGCGAATATTTCCGTGTCGTAATATCTCAGCTTTGTCTTGGGATCAACGTATCTGGATGGTAGACCCGTGATATCGCAGTAATGTTTGTGATTTGCAGGATGTAGGCTTGGGGCACTCTCAATGTTAGTGTAGGTGACGGCCGGTCCCAATCCGCCGCTGAAGCCATTGGTAGCTTTCTGTAGATTTCGCTCCAATACCAGCGTGCTTAAGCTTTGAGTAGCCTGCGCCATGTTCAACGGTTTCGACGCTCCTGAAGAATATGCAGGCGTGGCGGCGCCATCGGTGGTCGCACCAGTCGCAGGAAGAGGTGTAGATGCGCCAGAGTTGTTCTGCGTTGCGAGCACAGAGGCTTCTTTTCGTTGAGTCTCGGATATGATCTGTTTGGTGTTCTTATTCCTTCGAGTGCCGGGTTTCCAACTGGCGTTTCGAAAGGGTTTTGAGGCGTAGTATATATCCATCTGATCCAGCAGTTGCTGGTGCACGTCGTCTTCGGGTTTGGGGGTTGAGGGAGGCATGGTGGTAGGCAATGGTGGCGCTCGTCAGAGGCGCTTGAATGTTTGGGATGTAGGAGGTACGAATTAACGTTGTCACGTTGTTCGGAATGAGGTTCATGGAAGAAAGACGAGGTGCGCGAAGCGGGTGTGGCATCCTGGATATCTTGCGGGGAACGCGCTCGAGGCTATTTCAGATGATCTTGACAATGAAACTTCTCCGCTGCTTAAAACGCATCGTCGCCCTCACATGACACATTCACACTGGCTTCTGCTGCACTTTGAATGCAATTTAGGTACCTACGTAGGGTTATGCATGATTTCCTCCCATTAAGAATTCAAGGCACAACAGGCTTGTCCCAAAGGCCCCACGGGCCGTCGACTTTCATACTGGAGCAGTTACGGTTCTCACATCATTGACTTTGTCTGCTGCTTGATGGCCTCAGCAACAGCATCCTCTAATGTATCCACCACATTCTCAGCTTCAATCAGGTCGTTGTCACGCTTCTCATACAGAGTTCCACCCTCTGCCCAAATCCTGCGCAAGGTGGCTCCCGTGGCCATGGGTGCTCCATTGCTCCATGCTTCCTGTTCGATCTTTTTCAACTGGCCCATGCTCGTATATGAAATCTTCCACTTGTTACCGGTTTGTTCTTCGAACTCCTGAAGGATCTCCATATCCGTTGCCGTGAATGAATTGACTTTCAATGCCTTGTTCCGGCTGACTTCTGGGTGAAGAGCAGCAAGCGTTACCAAATTTCCGACACTGTTACTGTCAGCTGGAAGAGCCCATCCCAGCGGAAAGTTGTTACGGACTCGCGCATGGTCGTGTAGCTCGTCTTGAGATTACCATCATCCAACAAAACAGCTTCCTTCTTTATCACATCAAAGCTTCCCAGTTGACCCATCATCGGACCGAGACAGAGATCAGCGTATGGACCGGTAACCACGTAGGTGTAATCTAGGTTGTCGCATGATTTCATTGCGGCACGAACAATGAGCTTCTTCTGGTGAGGTTTCTCGTTTGCCGATGCTGGCGAATACTCAATATCTGTGCCGTACTCGGAGGGAAAGAATCTGTGAACAGTGTCGCTATCGTTTGCGAGCCGGATGAGCTCGACCTGGTGCTCGATAACGTTCCTCCCAACGGCTGAAATGACAGTGTCGATATCTGCGCCGTGTCTTAGCACTCTTCCAGGGGGACTCCGATGCTCCTACCTCGATAGGCGTCAACGACGTCCTTGAAATTTGTGACATCTCCTACGATGATGTCGACTCCTTCTTTCTTCAAGTCCTCGATCTCCTGGACCTTATTTTGTACAGTGTCCGCGGATGTGAGGATCGCAATCCGGTCAAACTTAGACTTGCTCTGCACAAGTGCCAGCGTGATGTATTTACCGATCAATCCCGTTGCTCCAATGATGAGCAGCTTCTTGCAAGCAGCAGGGTGTTTAGCAGGCATTTTCGGGTCAAAGTGCGAGTCACAGCCAGACTCCTCGAGGTACTGGAATGTTTTCAAGGTGAAGCATAGGACATTGCGCAATGTTTAATAAGCACTGCGATATGGCCTGACTCCCCTCGCTCTTCATTGCTTCCCCGAATCCAGTCGGCCACCCAGTAGGCGATCCTGAAAAGGTGCAAGACATGAATAACGGCAGCGACTTGACAGCGCTTGCATTGTCGCACAAACCTGCTCCACAGGAAATGAGAGTTTGGTTTGCGCAACCGTTGCCATCATGCTCTGAGATGCAAAGGCCGTCAGATTCGTCCTACAGCCAAAGGCGAGTAAATGTAGACATGAGATACAGTAAGATCCCCCATTTAATTAAAGCAGCGGGAGACATCAGCGCGTCACGCTAAAGGCGGCGTGCCTTGACATTGACGGCGCGTTTCCCTTTCCTTAACGTTGTCAACAGAACATATCCAACCAGACGTTGAAGCTGAATGAGAGTATCCTGTACATATTCTCAATCAAGCCTGTGCAAAACAAGATCATGGTCAGCCGGTCCATTGTAAGGTCCAGCGCACTTATTGACGGATGATGACAGGAGAGCCCGCATGAACAACAACAGAGTCTGTTGCTTTCACGCATCATCACCAACATTGTGTGCACTAAGCGAGTCCATTGCCCAACCCGTTATTGACAAATTGGCAGGAAAAGCTCAATGAAGCTGTGGCAATGATGAACAAGAATCTACAGGTATTGAGGTGTGCATAATCCGCAGACCTAGAACATGCTAAACATGATTGTCAGGATGTTAACGTACAGAACATGAACGTGGAGCTTGTGGCTCAAATGTTCAAGAACTACCAGTCCAATGTACTCTTTCATCTGGAAGGTAAGATGTTGTCATCGTCGGTGCCTTCATGGATGGTGTTGACCACATTGCAGCGACAGAAAATCTGAAGGACCCAATCTGAGGGGACTTTATATACCATGTCCAAACCCAACAGTACTTGGGTACCACTGATCTACCTTGCTCAGTCAGCCAAAAGCCAACGCCTGCAACTCAATAAACGCCGTAGAACCACCATTGGCTCGGATCGAGGTAGTAGCATCGTTACTGGCTGACCTCGAGCCATGCAGCGTCCAGAGGAAGAGGCTGAAGTTCCGTGCGATCTGGCGATCACAGGACACTCGTGACAACAGAGCCGCACATTGGGCTTCCGACTGTCACGATCGGATCCGACCTATCAGGTCAGCCCTTTCGCTTCAAACCCTTTCTACGCGACGCGAGAAGAATACAAGCATCGCCCACGGCCGAAGTCAGACAGTGTCATATATCAAAGAACGAAGTAGATGTACATAGCGCATTGCGCACCGTGTTGCATTTAAGATGTGAGGTATTACTCATGCTTGCTCGTTCACTAGGTCAAGAACCACTGGTCGCACTGTGAAAAGTACGTTAAATAGGTAGTCTGGCGCTTCCTGGCAGTCCCTGTTGAGGATGCGAGGCTACGATCTCCGCACCTGCGTCGACTCCGCAAAATAATAAATTGAGGCCCACGACTGTCACTTCTAACGTCAATCTCAATCCCTTGCTTCAAGGAAGCCTTCGTTACTCTTCAGCAGGCGGAGCAAGTCCGGAAGCATTGCTAGATCACAACTCCAAGAGTTAACCCGAGTAGTGGACCATGCATGCGACATCATGACAATCACCACCGTCTCACGCATTACGGCGGAACGTCGACTTCCTACACCTCCTCCAGACGGTCAAGTACGCTCACAGCCACGCGTGTATCCTGCTCCAGACTTCCCTTTCAAAGGCTGGCAACCGCCGCAAACCGATGGGTATCGGCAAAGCGCTGCGAACCCGGCTGAGAACGCCATCATCATTGACAATGGTAAGGAGCCTGTGTGTCCCTGAACGAATATGGAACTGACCCTTTAATGCTGCAGGAGCCAGCACTGTCAAAGCCGGGTTTTCCTTCGAGAAGAAGCCTCGATTCCTAATCCCTCCGGTCGTTGCAAAATTCAAAGACCGCAAGTACAACAAATACTGCATGTTTGTAGGTCACGATGCCTACGCCGATGCCACGACTCGTGGACAGATCAGGACGGCTTTTGAGCAGTTTACCAGCATCCCAACCAACTGGGATATTATGGAAGGCATATATGATTACATTTTCCTCAAGCTTGGAGTGGACAATGAAGGGAGCGTAGGCCGACCACTGGTGGTCACTGAGCCGGTAGCAAACCTGGGCCATAGCAGGAAGATGATGAACGAGATGCTCTTCGAATGCTACAATGCTCCGAGTGTTACATACGGCGTCGACTCTCTCTTCTCCTATCGGTACAACAAGGGCACATCTGGCCTCATAGTGTCTTCTTCTCATACGTCGACCCATATCATTCCCGTCCTGGACCGAAAACCTCAGATGCAATCCTGCGCAAGACTGAATTGGGGAGGAGCGCAGGCACAAGATTACTTGCTAAGGCTCCTTCGTCTGAAATATCCAACTTTCCCAGGTAAAATGACGACCGAGCAGATGGAGCAATATATCAAGCAATACTGTTATCTCTCCAGCGACTTCCCAGCTGAGGTTTCCAACTACCTCGACTGGTCTGGGCTAGAGGAAGAGCGTGACATCATCATCCAATATCCGTTCACGGAGCAAGTGGTCATCGAGAAATCGGCTGAAGAGCTTGCAAGAATTGCGGAGCGGAAGAAAGAGTCTGGACGACGACTTCAAGAACAAGCTGCAAAGATGAGGCTGGAAAAATTGATCAGAAAGGAGCAGCAGCTCGAATATTATCAGCAGCTGCACCAATCCTATATTAATGCTCCTACGAAAAAAGAACAGCGACGAATTCTGGATGACGAGGAACTCAAAGACGAAGCAGCATTGGAGAGAATCATCAGGGACCTGGACAAGTCGATCAAGAAATCCAGAAACAAAGATCTAGGAACAGTCGAAGAGGAGGAGAGCCTTGAAGAACAGTTAAACAAGTTCCCTCTTCTGGATGTCCCTGACGATCAGCTAGATGAGGACGGCATCAAGGAAAAGAGACACCAAAGACTGATGAAATCCGGAGTTGAGGCACGAATTCGCGCAAAGGCGGAGAAAGAGCGTGAGCGAGCTAGAGCGGCGGAAGAAGAGAGACAAGACATCGACCTGCGTGAAAACAAATTCGACGACTGGCTTGCTGGCCGTCGTGACCAGCGGGACGCCCTCCTAGCCAAAGTCAAGGAACAAGCCAGAGCAAAAGCCGATTCTGGTAATCGAAAAGGCATTGCTTCCCAGATGCGAATGAAGACTCTAGCAAATCTTGCTTCAGATGGCCCGAAGAGGAAGCGTCGTGGCGGTGGTGAATACGATGATGACTTTGGCGCAAACGATGACGACTGGGGAGTCTACCGAACCGTGGCAACCGAGCCTGCAAGCGATGATGAAGAGCCAGAAGAAGACCCAATGGCTGCTTTGAAAGCCGTGGAAAGCGAACTCCTACAGTTCGACCCCGAATTCTCTGAGAAAGATACTATTGAAGCGCAGAACGATTGGACCAAAAGTGTCCTGCACGCCTTTCTGCGAGGTGCAAGGCCTGCAGACCCCGAAAGTCAGAGAGAGGCGAACCAGATCCATCTCAATGTTGAGAGGATTCGTGTTCCTGAGGTGGTCTTTCAGCCCGGGATTGCTGGAGTTGACCAGGCAGGCCTAGTTGAAATCATTGAAGGTATTGTCATGGGTCGATTTTCGGACGTTGCGCAACAAAGCGCGCTGCTCAAGGACGTCTTTCTGACTGGTGGTAATACCATGTTCACCTCTTTCGAGGAACGACTGAAGCGTGAGCTTATTGCCAGCGTGCCAACCGACTTCGCCGTCAATGTTCGCAAGGCGAGTGATCCTGTCCTTGACGCTTGGAGAGGGGCGGCGAGTTGGTGGAGTTCTGGCGCCAGAACGGAGAGAGAAGCAGCCACAATTACGCACGCAGAGTATCTTGAGAAAGGAAGTGATTACATCAAGGTAACCCCGTCCCATCAACCCGCTGGTGATTCCAAATAGATTGCTTACATTGTGACAGGAGCACGACCTTGGGAACTTCGTCGCGCCATCATTCAGCTTCGGATGAGGGCACTCAACCAGACACCACTCACAGAAATCTACTGACAGAGATCGAAGTCGCGCTGTTGGAACCAGAGTACCCGGCGCCAATTGTGGAACGCCTGGAGTTTGCCTCGGTGTCCTTGTTTCAGGGTCGAACCCCTGGCTTCCGACGTCTGAGATGATTGAGAGAGACGAACAGAGCGGGCTGTGACTGACTGCAGAAAGCGCATGTCAACAACCCCTTACACGAAGATGCTTCGTGTCAGAATCCATCACGGCTTCCGTGTGTTGGAATAGCGGTAACGGTATCCCAGGGGTCACAACGATGGACGAGGCACTTCATCATATCTTCACGTTTCATTTAGGTGCATCATGCGCAACAATCCTTGCACGACAAGTCAAGGCAGGAGAGCTTGCCGCGACGGTCGATTAGTAAATGATTACAGCATGGTCCAGGACTTGGTAGCTTGCGTTGCTGCCCACCCTAACGGCCGCAATCCTGGGGTCTAGGATGCAACGAGACGACCACAGAACCTAGCTGGGCTCGAATGGATATCCCTTTCTGTCTGTGTTGCATTCTTGACGGCACGAGTCCTGACCCTTCATTCGTAAACTTACAATGGTGGCTTGACAACAAGTTGCAATCAATGACGAGGGCTACACGACCTCGGTTGGCTGGTTGTATGTTGGCGCGCTTCGAGACCAGCCATATTCATATCTCCAGTACCGGATTAGGAACGCTTTCCTTTTCGAGAGTCTGACTAAAATCTTACTATTCTTTGGAACAGCCCATAAGCGGGCGCCTCGATCTCGGGCTCCGGGTATCAGAGAATGGTCGCCCAGATCAAGCTTTATGCGAAATTGGAGCGAATTAAGGCGTTCACATCTTCTCTCAGAAGGATCTTATGAACGGACAGAGTCCCTCCGAGGCCGGGATGTGTCAGCAATGAACTTCCAAGGCGCACCATCCCCAAGGCCGGCAGTGAGTGGAAATGGGGAAGAAACTTGCTCTGTAATCACGGCCTGTCCGGAAATCGCACGAAGCCTCGTCTAAACACTTGCTTTTTGGGTGGGTTGAACGGCCCCCGTCAAGCCTACGCTGACTCCAGAAACTCGATACTTGGGTCGGAAATTGCAAGGCGCGGGAAGCTTGATGCAGGTCGGATGCTTCTTTTCCATTGCTGGCCTTGCTTGCACTGGAGTACACATCGCGATTTTGCCAGGCCCACCTTCAGCTTACTCAATGCTTGCGTAACCCGGCCACATTGCGCCTGGTGCGCTACACTTCGTGCTCCGGACTGGAACTTTTGCTTTGGGCTTGCCGAGAACACGATAGTGATTGCGGCCGAGAGTTGCGGTCATGACTTATTCAACACCTGGAAGTCCGACATCAGGTGCCTAGGAAAGTAATGGTTCGCTGAATATATGGTGCGAATACGATTTGGAGCAAGCCACACGCGATGCGTCACGAAGGGACCTTCGAATGACCGTCTGGCCTGGTTCAAGTGGCAAGGCTCCGTAACGGGCCGTACGATCGCCAATCGTCTTGTCTTTACAACTCTGTCACAAAAACGTTGGCGACAGTCTTTACATCCACCACCTATCGTGTCCAATATTTCATGCTTCGGATGCATTCATTGCCACATGGTTGAAACACCGCAGCACAATGAATCAGAACTGCGGGGTCACTGCAGGGGAACCTCCACTTAGGCCTCAATTGCAAGTTTGCGTTCATATGGGTGCTGTTGGCTACTTCGCGACTGCATAGGTACCAAGAGAAGTACCAGATTACAAGCAATGCTCGATGCTTATCTGATCCACTGCCTCTCAGACAAAAGCCAAGCACGGGGTAGAAGCTCAAAATCGACCAGCACGAACATGGGATGACGCACTAATGCACGACGATGGATCGCTTACGGCCATGCTGTCGATCAATCTGGAGTCGACTTCTACCAGAGCGGTAAATGCTCCGACGCATGAAACGAACGACAAGTTTGCTGCGTCTCCAATGGGCGCTAGCATCATATCATGTCAGCAAGAAGTGATATGACAATGTGGACTAATTTTCATCCGAAGGATAGTCTTTCCAGGAGGAGCCGTTCAATATGGCTATTGCCCTCGTTCTGATTCGAATCTTATGATCTACGAGATCCTTATGGATGGTTACATCGGTCCAAGAGCGCCATGAGAAAGTGATTGCGTCCTCTCCCCAATAATGTCTTGTCCACCGCATCATCGGATATGTACTGGCGCAGCTTCTAATGGCCAATTCAATTACAACGTCGCTATCGACGAGTGACGCATTGAGGTCTGATCTGCGTAACCAGAAGTACCTCCGCATTTAGGTTAGTCGGATGACGAGTCTCTTCTTAGAAAGAGCATGCGAAAAGTCTCCTTCAAGGATATCGTTTTTTTGATTGCACACAAATCCATCATGCCTGGTCGCAGATTGACTCCTCATGGTTCATCTAGCCAGTCAGCACTACCCGGAAGTCATGGCTTCACACTGGGGACAGCTACTAAGGCAGTCCTCACTCGCACGACTAATGTCCCAAACCTCCTGAACAGCAGCGTCCTTTGCGGTGGCTAAATGCTCCTGTGATATCACGCAGTCAGCAATCATAGTTCCAGGTCGGGTCATTGGCTTAGGCTGAACTTCAAGGGGAAGTGCGCTGCAAATTTTCAAACGAGCCTTGATCGTTTGCATTCTGGGATGCGGTTTCTATGCGAATATTGACGTTTTCGGCAAAAGCCCCGACAAGGAAACGATTGAGACTGCACAAAAACGTACAGATGACGTCGCCAATCGCAGGCATTCTCGGTATGACAGCGACAATGGATGGTCAAATCAGCGGGCATCAGCCGGCCGGCAGTCGCAAGGAGTTCGATAATCATGTAATCACCTCTCAGCCTTGTGCCAGGCGGTCAGAGTGGAGCCCCATCAACGGTCAACGACTGGGACCGTGATGATTTGTCGGCCGAAATCTTCATAGTGACCATGAGACGAATTCAGTGTTCCTTTCACCCTAACACGGTAGCACTTGATCCTGCTCTCGCACCACGGTGCTTGCTTGGAAATGAACCGGTGACCACTGATCAGAGCAGCACTTGCGTAAATACGCAAACATGCAGGCCAGGGCCTGGTCTGGACAATGTTGGCTACTCGTGAAAGTGGATTCATCGGAGGGACATCGATGAGCTTCCACAAACAGGTAAAGACATCGCCACCAACTGCCCAGGTGTGTTGGTGCATCAATGTGGCCAATGTCTGACGCGTGGCTTGCTTGGAGACCGTATCAACGTGCGCATCTCGATTGTCGATGACTAGGTCCTGACCAAGGAAGATTATGGTATCAATGATATCTTGGGGATGGTATTAGTCATTGCGGAGTGCCGGGACCGAGACAGCCTCCGATGAGTGCTTCCTGAGTTAGGAAAGCGCACTATCCGGTGTCGTAAGGCTCGATGACGACAAGCACTGTAGGATGGTTCTTGCCATTACTGGCAATGGTTTCTTGTGTCAATGATGGGCCGTTTTGCCGTTGCGACAGTAATCGCGCTTGCGACCTCTCACGCAGAAGTCACGGGCTCGGCTCGCACCTTTGCTCAGCAAGTCGTTTGCGTTCATCGAATGGTGTCCTGGTGCCACTCTCAACATAACGTCGCCATGCTGGAGACACTGACGACAGCATGCGAGCGCCCACGGAAACGATGGTCATGCGGAGCATCTTGCCACTGTACACCCGAGAGCAAGGTTCGCGTGACATCTTCTTGTGATCACTACACCTCAAGATGCTTGGTTTTTTCCTGGTGAGCCATGCTACCCAACATCTCATCCGGCAGCATCCGACATTCCTCACTGGGCCTCTTCCGAGCCAACTCTCCCAGATCGACAAAGGTGACTCTGCTTGCACACAATTGAGTGCCAGTGGAAGGTCCGGATTCTGCTGTCACGCCACCCGTTGATTGTTGGACAAAGGAAGAAGCAATAGCCCGGACGCGGGCAGTCGTCACTTCGGCCAACTGTTTGTGCTTGCAAGAGCACCTTGAGATTGATGGGCACGAACTGAACTCGAAGCCGCGGTTCAGCCACCATAGTGGCGCAATCGTGCCTAAATTGATGGCCAAAAGCAGGCATGAGGGTCATGATTCAGTGAACATTCTTCACCGGGTGAGTTGCAAGAATCTCGCGGTCGAGGGTCGTTCTAGAAGCCAGACGACCCGGGATCCGTCCGGAAAGCATCGAGATAGTCAGGTCTAGAAGCACCTTTGCACAGTCAGCACACCCTACTCATGTCATGTCGATTCTGGAATGAGATTACAGCACTTCCGAGGCCCGTACCTAAGCTTATGTAATTACAGGAGTACACTGACACTTATGAGAGCTCTTTGGGGGAGTCGTGACATGCCTTTTGGAGTAGCAGCATAGGCGCCGAATCGGGCCGCATATGATGGGCGCATGTAGTCTTGATTCTAGGCTAATGAATACGAGATGCTGAGACTGACTTGCACGCGACTTTGAACCTCTTTGGAGAAAGCAGGTACGGATACGGGAGTATTCTGGCATGGTCTGATGGCGTACTGAGAGACGGGATGGGTTGCGATATGCGGTAGATTACCCAGGATTGATTTAATTTGCGCAACGATAGGCCCCGTGAGAAAAGTGTTGTATTATAGGCGTTGTCCCCCACAAGGCGTGAGCCCTGGAGAAGAGATGCGTATCATGAGTCTTTTGCGCTAGGCCAATGTCCGCCGTCCCGCGTCGCTTAATGGGCAACGGGGGCACATTTTGCGCCGTGAATGTAAATGGATGATGGAACGGTCGGCGGAAGGCCGACAGTGTGACAATCAGGTAGAACCCATACCCGTAGTGCTGAGCCTGAAGTTGAGTATGCGATGTTAGTCATTGACGAGCAAGGATAGACGAGGTGCAGCCAGCCATGGCCCAGAATGTATGGCGGAATGATGTCGGTATAGTTCCGAAATGACGGACTTATGTTTGCTCGCCAGATACTGTGATAAGCCTCGCCTGGTTTAGAAGCATGTTTACCTCATCCGTCTTGCGTACTTCTGTCATCTCTGCGGCATCTGCGTTGGGACGTCGGCAAAAGCTGTGATCGCCGTGTGTTACAAGTCCCGCGCCCGCTGAGTCAAGAGAGAAGGGCTGACACTATCGGAGAGTGTCCAGGGGGGCAAGATGCATAGTAAATATGGACTTATGACAGGGTTTGGACTCAAAAGAGACATTACCTAATTTGGAGAAGGAAAGATCGATTCTGATTGACGCAATTCGTATCCTTGCCACCGCAGCCACAGCTGGCGCATCGAAGTTGTCGGGATCGTGGTGTTCGATTGTAGCGTTCCTGTATTGTACCTCATATCCCAAGATGGAACAGGGGAGTCCTCTAAGACCACTTGCCCTTGCAGGACATCTCCATCTTCAGATCTCGAGGTCTGGGCCTGAGAGAATGTCATGTCCGGTTTTTGAGCTTTGTTATTGTGGGCGATATTAGTCAAAACACCGCCACAGACAGGGGATTGGGTCGCTGCAGGATGCGATAGGGCGATGACTGGTGCCTATTCGGGCCGTTGAGCCACACTACTGTGATTCTCCTGATACCGGCATCTCCCAAGCGCCTCGTACTCCTGTCAAGGTGGAAGAGAAAACAAGGCCTGCACATCACATCCCAGCAGTTGCATCGTTCCGGCTGTACCCACTGTGATGGCCTGCATATTGATGGATGCTGGAGGAGGGTGGGGTGAACTATGATCGAATTATTGATATCAGTGTCCATAGCACCTACTACTCGTTCGACATCGAAGGCCTTGCGATCATAACGCAAGCGGTCTCCGGACATAGGTAAGAAGATTGACGACAAGGTGCAGGCATGTTGAGTAAACGAGATGGCCCTTGTATCTTGTCGATCATTAGCCCCGGGCCATATCCTTTTAACCGGCGGGCCTGGTGACGATGGATTTTCAGAGAGAAGAAGCATGAATCAAGGCTCCGGGGGATATGTCAGGCGCATCGTTCTCGGTGACAGACTTGTGGAAACATGATCTTCAAGACTGTAGAGGATCACGTTATCAATCATTTAGCCGCGTATGATCGGCGTGGCCGCGAGACTGCCGCGATGCGACAGGGGAGGCGAACAAAGTGCTGGCTAGACGTCCAGAGAGTACCAGGAAATCTGGACACGATCGACCATAGTGAGGTGTCATCAAGCCGATGGCATCATTGGCATGGCAATGGTTCGATCCGTAGCCATGAGCTTAAACGGGCACGAGGAGGTACTGATGACTTTGCCGGCCTTGAAAGCGGCCGCAAATACCGCAATACTGTGGAAACTGTTCGGAGGACGAGTGTTACTATGGTACGGCGTAGGGGGAAGTAATTGTGGTTAGTGTTGAGAGAGTTTCCAGTACCGAGATAGGAGTCCTTCAGTCAGTTCATGATTGGTCGACAGCGTGACAGCCTCATGGGTGAAATGACCGCATGTAGGACAGCCGGAAGAACGTGGAATGACACACGTCAGACTACGACTTTCTTTTCTCTTTTGAAAAGGACTCGGTAAGGAAGAGGAGGAGAGGGGAGCGAAGTCCATACCTGAATGGGTAACCTTTGTCAACGATCAATTGCAAGCTATTCATGTCGACAAGATTCCTTTGATCTGGTAGGATCGGTCGTATACATATGTTTGTTGATAATGTATACCTTGCCTCCTTTGGTTGCGACTTGTCGTAGAGGTCAAGCGACTTTCGGTGCCATGGTGGTACGTACCAAATGTAATATCTCCTCGGAGGACAGTGGCCACGATGTCCATGCCATAGACTTGGTGAGAAGCATCGCTTGTATATCTCCATCAAGCCTAGATCGGTGGTCGTCACCTCAATCCTTCCACTAGAAGGATGTTGGAACTTTCCCTTCTGGAGATATCCACCTTTATGCAGGTTGCATGAGAGATCCCTACTGTGTGCGGTCTACCGGTGCCACGCCTTACCCACTCCCTTGTGACATTGCTGCGATTCATCATTGCTCCCAACCTTGACGAGTCGTATCTTGTTCCATTGGGTCATGTAGACCAGATCACTAATACACGAAACGATCTTCTCGGATTTAGGAACCAGAATGTCACGAAGACACCGTAGAGTCAGCGTTATCTCGACATTATCTCGCGCATGTCGCTTAGCGAGTCGTTGTCACGCACACACTTCGTGCTGACTAGCCGCCTGTGACATGCCCTGGTCGTGAAGATGGAACCATAAGGAGCAAGTTGCAACATCAAACTTCCGCGCATCGCGGAGATTTGATCCACTTGTACATTTGCTAGCCACGGTTATTGCGGCCGTACCTGTCAATACACTGCGCCCATTGCTAGCAGAGCTCACCTAAGCCATGCAGCACTTCCTTCTGGTGTACTTCAACATCTAACCCGTGCATTCGTAGGACTCCCGTGTCCTCTAAAATCTCATTGTTCGTGAACAGTGTCTGTCTTGGGTATGACATCCACTGAGAGCCGATCCAGACGCCGATAATTTGATTCTTGACCAAAGACACCCACCCCCAGACCCCGAATATGATGCCGCCCAGAAACACCGAGCATACAGTCCCCACGCCGTTAAATTGAACAAAAATATCGACCAAAGGATGGCAGATTTGACAGATTGTTACCGAGCAGCTGTGGGCGGTTGTGTCAGAATGGCCGATCCTTGTAGCGCAGCTTGCGACGGTGTCATCTCAGACGATCCAGTCCTTGCGCGTTTCGTCGCTGGAGCATCGGCATATGTAGGGTCGGGGTATCCGCTCCGGAGAGGTTCATGGTGTATGCTGCTGACGCCGTCTTGTGGTTGACCAATAGCACCGAGTTCCGACAGACGTGGTAGCGTGCCTGGTTGTTGGACAGAGCCGGCTTTACCTGGCTGGAGTCCATCGACGTTGCTAGGAGGCGGTGGTACTTCCCCTTGAGACTCTAGTAACCGGGATTGCAAGTTGATGATGTAGTCGCGCAGTTGGTAGTTTTCGGCCTGGACAGCCTTGAAATTCTCGCTCAGGACTTGATAATCTCGAACTTGTTCCTCGAGCTTCTTGATGTAGCCCTCCTTTCGTTGGCGAAACGCGCGCTATTAGGCACACATTAGTACTGCCTGAGGCCAATAAGGACATGGCGTGCCAAGGAATACATACCTGGGCAGCCCTATTCTGGGCAGCTCGCTTGCTGGTACTGAGTTCGCGCTTTCCATATCCCTTTCGACCGTCGCCATTGCCTTCACCCTGGTCACTTTCCGCACTTGCTGTGATGGCGTCGTTGCTGGCAGGATCGGTTGGCGGTGAGGGATGATGTTGTGACATGCTGTCGATGCCCTCGAGAAGTGATGATTGTGGTGGAGGATAATGCTGTTCGCGCAAGACTATTGAATGCTTAGAAACAGGCCATGGTGACAGTAATTGCGTAATTGAGGTCATGATGATGTGTTATGAAACGTGCTGTGAAGGAGTGGGAAGTGTAAAACAGATCAAGCCAATGATGGATGAACAAGACCTGACACAACGCAAGCTCATACTTGACAAGTAGACAAGGCTGGGCAGGAGGGAGGCTATGAAGGATATAAGTATGGGACGAGAGACTGGGGAATGGGGGGCGTCGGTACTCTTGCAAGTGTGTAATTAGGTACGCGACGTATGATGCACTGATTGCATGTCAGGGTAAAAAAAGACTTGAGTGTGGATAGCGGTAAGAAAACAGGATCGGCGATGTCGTACCGGGAAGTGCAAGTGAAATGACAGAGCGGATAAATGGTGGAAGGGGAGGAGGAGAGGCAGGAAGATGCGAGGTCAGGGAGGTATTAGGGTACCGATTCAGGCCTGTTGTGTTCGAAGACGGCAAGGTGGGGCGGGATTACTATACGTACGCTGGTCGGAATTGATTTGGTCCTGTTCCTCAATCGGGTCAGAGATGCTTTGCCATGATATTACTTGAGAGACAGGGGTCTGAAAAGATGCAAGATGGCGTGGACGATGATGGGGATGAAAAAGAGATGGGGGCCAGGCACCACAGGGCCATTGGTGGTATGGAGATGGGTGCAGCAATAAAAGAATGTCATGCGACGGAGAGACGGGATGATGAGGTGTGGATTTGTGCAGGATGTCAATGATGGAAGGAGCTTGGGAACGAGGGCAAAGGACTGTGTGTGAACTTGTGTCTGAATAAGGGCCGGGGTTGACTGGACTGCTTACCTGAGCCATGGTCGAAGAAGAGCTAGCCGTGCGAGGTGCAAGGGCAGGCTGCATCACAGAGCCTAGGTGGTTTACTCAGAAAGAGTAGTTGGAAAAGGGCAAAGGGGTCTCCGAATTGACGGGCGCAGAGGAAGAGAGTAATCGATCTTGTCGTAACAAGCACCAGCAGCTTCGGCGCCAAAGAAGCAATCACTGAACTGAAAGAAAGCAATTGCAAAAGGATTGCAATAGTGAAATGCGCGCTGCCACTCCGACTCGAGTCGCTGAGTAATAACAACAATTATTGAAGGAGAGGAACAGAAGGGAAAGAGAGAAAAAAGAGTCCGGGAGAAGATTAGCAATTCCTTACATAATAAATTCGGGTCGCGGCTCTTGCCAAATGTTGGACCACTACACCCGGACCTGATTCGTCCGTTTGGCCTCCACTCCCCGCGTCATTTCTTCCGCTTGGCAGCTATACCCAATTGAGATGAATGCGCCTGCCACCGTTGATTCACGATTCACGAATCATCACTCAGTGTTCCTAGATTAACTGACGATTGCGCTTCCGCATCCTGAAGCAAAGGTAAAATATCACCAAATTCAAGTGTGCATCGATTGCAGAGAGCATAAGCGCAAACCGCAACCACAGCCGAGGTCGAGGCCGCAGGTACGGACAAGAAATCAATGATAAGCGGACGACTGCTCAAGCGATGGAGTTAGTTTCTCGAGCGTCGCCGCCTCTTCCAATCACACTTGCCACTTGGCCTCCGTTGCTTCCCACATATTCTCCTTTCAGTATCTTTCTCTTCCCGACACTTCCGGCCGCACTCTTTGCCGCTTCAGGCCTCGCACGACTCCTGTTCCTGGCTGACTGTTTCCTGACTGTCGCAATTTTATCGCCCCATTTTCGGCCACGGGCATTTGACCAGCCTTGCGCACACGACCACAAAATCGATCATTGATACCATTGTAGGAGGGGTCGAGAGTCATCCCGTTACGATGGGGCGTGCCATTCGCGGTCACAAGAAGTCCTGTCTTTTCTCAGTCTGACCGGAGTTTGGCCAGCTTGACCAAATTAGACATTAGAGATTATGAGGTCCTCCAACTTACACATCTCACAGAAGTTGCTCCTGAACTGGAGAAGGTGATTTTCTTGGAAGCAGGTAGGTTGGTGGTCGAGAGGTTGCCTTGCCCATAAGCCTACCGTCACTCCCACTCGCCTGACACGTCCGACAGATCGCTTAAGAATCTGAATGAAATGAAATGTTACGTTCGGGGCATCGATAACGTTTCAGGCCTGTTTCGATGCTGAGTGCATTCCAGAATGCTACAATGGACACATGAGCTTGCCAGTCACCAGTCCTTCCAGGTGGGTTTGTGAAAGACACCCATTCGAAAGCGAGGTATTTTCTGCAGCCCTGCTCGATTATGCTGTTGCTTGCTCAGCACGAGGCTGTGCCCGACTCATCGCCCACATCGGAAAGAACGTGGCTTTCTGGCCATGCAGAATATACCATCCGAGGATGAACATCATGTTTCCGGCCAAACATGTGCTCTCAGGTCGACCAGTACCCGTCTTCACCATCACTGGAAGGAAAGCTACTGGACTCTCAGCTGGGCATGGGGGTTTGATGTTAGGTGAGCGCCGTGCGGTGTAGGTATGACGCATGCTCAATGCCTGAATCCAATTATTGGTGACCCTAGCCAGATCTCAATGCATCGGTTAGGATCTGGAATGCATTTCACATGTATGCTCGAGCATGACGGTGCATTCACTTTCAAACGATCGTGGTGGGCCCAAGTTTGCTGGTTGCTGGGCCCTGGCAAGACCGAACTTCAGCCTTGCGATACAGCCAGAATGATCGACAAGGCATGCCGATGCTTCAGTAAGGCTCAGACTCATGCAAGCTCGAAGCGGCAATCCTGCACTGAACTGAGCGATACGACATTATGGCCGGAGATGCTCCTTAGGAGCATGTCGAGCCACATCCCATACCGGAGAATCACTGAAATATCTGATGTCCCTCAGCTTCAGCCAGCATGGCGCTGCTGCCCTCACCATGACTAGCGTTTATCATACATCACCTCACAGGAGGCGGTGGAGTAGACAGGTCTTGGGGGCATTTGTGATTCGTCGTGCGCAAATTTGCCAGGCCACACCTCCCAATGCTGAGATTCCCGAACTGGAGGATGCATCAAGCCGAGATTGGAAACTGCACTATCGGTACTCCTGGAAACTGCACTACAAGTACGGAACCCTTGGTCTATACTGCACTTTTCCGTACCAATGGCTGCCCAACGACATGGCAAATACCGGACAGCCATCAATACAGGAGCCCATTACGCAGTACCACGATGGCATGAAGGTGCTTGAAATGACGACCACTGCCCATAATGTTGATCGCAAGCATGCAATACCAGCATGCAACACCCTCCGGAATCGAGGTTGCTGCGGCATTTGATGACTGCCCTGCTTGCTAATATCACCACAGGAATCCTTCGCAGGGCATCCTTCAACGGTCTAAACGACACCGATCCAGCCCCATCAGCAACTCAACTGGCTGAATATAGGGCGGCCCCGACGGCAACATATTCGATACCACGCATGTTCGGCTCAACATTCGATATTGGCCCCTATCACGCTATTATTCTGTCAGCAGCAGCCTTTTCACCGGCATCGGTCCAATGAGGTCATCAGAAACCCGCATCCTTCGATAGTCCACAGCATCCGGTACGACTACATGAACGAAGCAGATGATGTCTCACTACTCAATATCAGGAGGCATCCACGTGCCCCGAACATCGACTCGACCTTCTCGGGCGACAGTCGACCTCATTAGTTGCCGCTAGCACCGTGTTGCATCTCCAAGTACAACTCAAACTATTGCATAACCTTAGCCTTCCGATGCTGGTACGGTAGTCGAACGTGTAGCACTCCCCATGGCCTTAGCCCGGTGTGCAACAAACCCACCAACTATGCGCGTCAGGTGAAGACTGAGCATAAACGAACCCAATCCAGGAGCAGCGGTCAGGCCATTGCACCGAGAGCTTAGATCGAGTAGGTTTGACGGAAGAAAGGGCATTGATCAATTTATCACTGAGCATCATCATTCGTCGTGGTCTACCCTCAATGTTGTAATCTGTCATTATGTCCTGCAGAATCTATGGCTCTGCGACCACTTCTTATCCACATCTATGCCCGAAACATTCATGGCATCCGTCACATTATGATGCTTTTGCCCAGGATGGCCAAAATACTGGCATAAACATAAACCAACAATGTCGCCGTGCCAGGTTGGGTATCTTTTGAAAACGAAAACATAGTAAACACATTGCTTTTCATATGCGTGGCAGCCGCGCTCGTCGCACTGGCTCCGCTATTGCTTCCACTCGATGTCCTAGGTATGCTCGTTGCTGTGTACACGCCTGTGGGAAGAGTGCTACTCTCGCCTGTCGTCGTCGTCTTACTGTGGGCACTCGTGGAGCCTGAAGTGGACAATCTTGTTGAAGAGCTTGATGCTGGGCCGCTCGTAATCATGCTGATGGGTGCTGTACCGGGGACTCCTGCCACGGTCACCAAACTAGGGTCGGGAGACTGCCAATCTGATTTCTCTTGAAAGAGGACGCCATTGATAATGACCCCGGCATCATTGGCCAGCATGTTCTTCTGGTCTGTATCACATGTAGAGTTCACAGCGCGAAGAAAGCATGTCGGACTAGCCATCGCCGGTGCTGAGTTTTGGTAGGTAGCATTGGCATCACCCGCCGATCCGTATGTGGACAAGTTGACAGCCTTGCCCATGCTGATATCGTCGCCAGAGATTATTCGCGAGAAGACGGTGAAAGCTGTCTCTGGCTGATACGCAGGGACCAGATGGCCTGCATCGTATATCCGGCTGAAGCTCAGATTGCCATACTGTCGAACCACACCGCCAATGTATGAGCTGTTGGCCACTATGGGAGCATAACCCGCTGCATACCAAGGCTGATAAGCTGCCCCTGCAGCGCCAGCAATGGAAAACGAAACGGCTTCACCACCCAACCAATTGCAGATGTAGTCTCGGTCACCATAGATCAGAGCAACCCTCACGCCTGAGTTGAGAAGATCAACAAGGTCTTGCAGAATATCGTCACGAGCATAGTCGCCCGTAGTATTGAATGCTGTGTATACGGCCATCGAATCTTGTGTGTAATTGACTGGAACACCAATGGCTTGCTGAACTGAGAGCTGATTAAGGTATTCAAGGTAGTGCGAGTCTGGAAAGGGGTCGAGAACGTCCTGTGAGATGTCGTAAATTGAGCGATTGGATATTGTGTATGGCCCAACGACATAAGTCTGACAGTACAGTTGCGCCTGCGAGCACGCTTCATTGACGGCAGGGATATTGCCGTAGCCAGAAGGATCAAGCGCGGCTTGTTGCGCTCTGCAAACCATCGTCTGCTGTAAGCATCCATCGTCACCATCGTAAGCACTGAGCGCATTCAATTCTTCCAATTGTGTTATTGTCTCAATGCCATATGTATTTTGATAAGCAAACTTGGGATGATATGGTGATTGGCTGACCAGATCGATCCAGCCATTGATGATGCCAAGTGATGCAAGGCTAAGTTCAATTGAACTGTTGGCAAACTGAACGTCATCTTGTCGGCGAGCATTCTGACTCTGGATAAACTGTCCTATGGCAGGCCCATATTTTCCGCCATAGGACTCCGTGAAAAGGTGTATCTCACTGGCCGATGTGGTGTTATCTTGTCGGAGAGCTGTATTATACTGTGGAAATGTGGTGAGAAAAGTCTGCAGAAAATGCCACACGGACTGGGCAGCAATTTGTGAAGTGTTTGCTGTAGAAGACGGGTTTCCCGAACCATATGTGCCATTCAAGAATGTATAACCAGGCTGACTGATAGGAACAGATGTGGGCGGGGCGATGACCAAGTCGTCGAGGAGGTTGACTGACACATTTGTCAAGGTGTCGTAAGAGAAGCCGACCTGAACAGGTTGGTCTATAAAGATAATGTTGCTGCCGCGATCCCATCCCCAGTCCCTGGGTACAGTACCAAGCTCATCTTGTGCAATTTCGACAACTTGACATGGGCCTACCTCTTGGAAGAGGCCAACCATGCTGCTCGAGCCTGGACCGCCATTGATGTAGACGGTTAGAGGTGCCAACTCTGGAAGCTGCCTTGCTTCAATAAACCAGAAAAATGTGTTGATAGTGTAGTTTCCTTGGCTCGGGTCTAGCACATTCGGTGGGAGTGTGATGTAGCCTGCGAATTGTTTTTGAGTAGCGAAAACCGTTGTGCAAGTTCCAACTGGAACACTCTTGTAAGTCACCGTGATGTCCGGATCGATTGGTGAATGTATGATTGTTGAAGAGTTGTCCGTAACGGGCTGAGGGTACTGAGCAAATACTGTCGAGACGAGGATGTAGAGGTTAGCAAGGATATCCCAGCGCCATGTTGCTTTGGGTGCCATGCGCCTTGGTCAACCATTGATCTATTGCCGCAGGGCCTGTATGTTGCAGCTTTGATGTCCCAAGGTCCCGGCAACAGCGCCGTCGAAGGATTGAGGATTAAGTCAGATTTCAGCTGTCGGCATAGCCCATTGTCCCAACTCTTATCAGTGCGACGGTGGTGGTACAATTCGCGGGAATGAAGCGACTGGTACTGGTCGGGAAAGGTACGATGTGACGGCTCGGGACAGTATTTCAGTGTGGATGGAACAGATTACGAGCCTGTCGCCCATAAGGCAAAGGAAGCGGTGCAGGAATGTGACTGATGTGAGAAGCTGTCACGGAAACGAATGTGAACCTGAGGACAACAATGAAGAACGATGTGTATGCGCAAGATGGGAAAGTATGGGAAGGTAAATATGGTGTGCTTGGGGAAGCTGCGCCAATCATTGGGCGCCATCAGCGGCGAAAACAAGGGTAGTCTTGCGTTGCATCCTCGAAGTACGCAAGGCTCTCGGAGAGGAGATTCCCAAGAGTCGTCCAGAGCGGTAAAATACAACCTTGCTCCACCAACGCTGGTACAGGAGACACCGCATTCGAATTCTTTCGAGAGATAGTCCGAACAGATGCAGCAGGTATGTGTTCATACCAGGTAGTGTAGGCAAATGCGCAGCCTCGTCGCCAAACTCGCGTGACTAATCAAGACACGTGATAGCTGCCAAGCATTATGCAAGGCTGCAGAGTGCAGTGGCTCGAGGCGACTCGGGGCAGTTATTCAAAGCGCTTGTTGAAAGGATTCAAGGTCGCGCCGGCGCAGTCTTTCATCAACCCTTCCGCATCTATCTCGCTCGCGCCACCCAGCCTGTGTCATTTTGCCCTGAAGTCAGGGCCTTGACGTCCAACGACGCAGATCTGACAAAGATGGCTTACAATGGCTATAATGGCTTTGGCGAAGATGGGATGGATGGCGTCGAGACCTCGGGTCCCAAAGTGACCGTGAGAGAAGTCAGTTCAACCTTAGGTCATTCGATATCCATGCTGATGCGTTGACAGGTCGAACAAGATCGATGCGACTTCGTCTTACAATCGTGCTCTCTCGCACTCGCCAATTCGTTACGCCGCGCCATGTTGGCAGAGATTCCGACCATCGCAATCGACCTTGTGGATATCACCACGAATTCTTCCGTTCTACCTGACGAATATCTTGCACACAGACTCGGCTTGATACCTCTGACGAGTAAGGGAGTGAACGAACAACTGAACTACACAAGAGATTGTGACCAATGTGACGATCACTGCGAATACTGCTCAGTTGTGTTGAGCCTCCATGCCAAATGCACGAGAGCCGGTACCATGATGGTCTATGCACGCGACCTTGCCATTCGAAGTCCACGTCAAGATGGTATTGGCATGCCTGTCATCCGCGATACCAACGGCACTGGGCCACTACTGGCGAAATTGAGACAAGGTCAAGAGATTCAACTCGAATGCATCGCAAAGAAGGGTATTGCAAAAGAACATGCCAAATGGGCGCCGACCTCAGCGCTCGGCTTCGAGTACGATCCTAACAATAAGTTGCGGCATGTGGACTACTGGTACGAGACCGATGCCAAGGATGAATGGCCCATTGACGAACGCAACGCGAATTGGGAAGGCGATGACACGGCCGCCGATGCTGCATTCGATCCAGATGCCGTGCCGAGTGCCTTTTTCTTCGACGTCGAGGGAGTTGGCACTCTTGAGCCCGACGACATTGTGAGGGGTGGAATCGAAGTGCTGCAGAAAAAGCTTGCAGAAACAATAAGAGTGCTTGGAGGTGCAGATGCTGCCGGAGTTGATGGCATGAACGGAGGTCAAAGTCCTGATGGCTATGAACCCCCAGCACCCAATGGGACATATCAGCCATATGGTGGAATGAGAGGAGGAGGCACGACTCCTTATGGCAACACTCCGTACGGAGGAGGCTATGGATCATACTGAGCGACACGTCTGTCATCATGATGATAGCCTTGTTTACAGCGCGGCGTTAAGGGCGGTAAAACTGCTGATCCGAGCATCTGATTTCATCGGGAAAAGAATTCACAGCGATGGCCAGGAGACAAAGATCCTGCAAAAAGTCGAGCAGTGTACGTGGGCTGCTTTCTCGTCTGGTGAGGTGGGATGATTGGCGGTCTGCACGAGTGGACTGACAAAAGGCTTGAAATCATTCATCGCGGACGATCCGCATGGTCCGGTCCACCACGAATGGAACACGTGAATGAATACGTGCTCATATGGACGCAGCTTTTTCGAGGACAGAAGTGGTCCCTGCAAATCCATCAGAGCAGTCCGGAATCGGAAAGCGGAAGCTTTGCTCTCCTGACTGGGTTGGCGAAGAAGTAGTCAGCAATGCGGTGCAAGGTTGCTTTCATAAGCGATGCTAGAGCATCTGCGGATGCCACGGGTCGCAGGATTTATTGTTGATATGCTTGACGATGGACGCATCCGTCGTCTTGAATCTGATACCATCTGAATCCTCTTCAAGTTTGACGTTCTCCTTGCTACAAACGTCGAGACAGCTACAAGGAAGTTTTGTCCGGAGGCATAGCGTTCTACTAAGATACACCGAAACACACGCCGCCTCAGCCCGTGATCGTGCCGTTTGGTGGGGGGTTTTCATCACCGTGACTTCACAGGTCCCAATTGCCCCACGTTGCCTGTGACAAGATTTAGTTATTAGCCTCAATCGAGCATCTCCGGTGGTCAACAGCTCCAGGTCTGATTCTAAAATTTCTCAACAGCCTCTCCAACTTACAAACCCATTCTACTTTCACCCTTGATTGTATCCGACAGCATCTCACATATCAGATCGCGAAGATGGGGTACTCAGATCAAGACTGGAAGGCTATCAACACTATCCGACTGCTTGCGGTATGTTTGCTACCCCTCCATACCAGCCATCATGGCTCCTAACTGCTCATTCTTCAGGTCGATGCAACCCTCAAGGCGAACAGTGGCCATCCCGGTGCCCCTATGGGTATGTAATATCATTATCCTGTCCAATAACCCAGCTAACACTGTTGCCTTTTAGGCCTGGCACCCGCGGCTCACGTCCTGTTCAACAAATTCATGACGTTTAACCCCAAGAACCCAGAGTTCATCAACCGCGACCGATTCGTCCTTTCGTGAGTACCACTGTCTCGTCCATAGCAGGAACAGTGCACCCAAGAGGAAGAGCTTTTGCAAACATGGCGGATGTCGATTGTTCTTCAGAGAACGGCTCACATCTTCCAATCTATGGCTTGACATCATGGGTTTAAACACTGCACGCATCCATGCTAGGACCGGGGTTAAATGGTGAACAGTGGGCTGACGTAGTTCCAGAAACGGTCATGGTTGCATGCTGCACTATGCTCTCCTCCACCTCTTTGGTTACGGTGTCTCAATGGACGACTTGAAGCACTTCCGAGTAAGTTCTCTCCGTCCCTCACCGACTTCTCCGCGGAACTGATGTTTTCTTCAGCAAGTCGACAGCATCTGCCCCGGTCACCCTGAAGCGCATGACACTCCTGGGATTGAGGTCACAACGGGCCCTCTCGGTCAAGGTTTCAGCAACGCAGTGGGTTTGGCCATTGCGCAGGCGCATACCGCTGCCGTTTTCAACAAGCCAGGATATGAGCTCCTCAACAACCACACATATACCATCTTCGGTGATGGCTGTGCTATGGAGGGTGTTGCAAGCGAAGCTGCCTCCACGGCTGGACATCTTCAATTGGGCAACCTGATCGCCCTATATGATGACAACCATATCTCTATCGGTAAGCAACAGGTCAAATACCATCGCATGGGTAATGCTAATAACATCAGACGGTGATACCAAATGTGCCTTTACCGAAGACGTCTCCAAAAGATTTGAAGCATATGGCTGGCATGTGCAGCATGTCGAGGACGGCGACCACGACCTCGAAGGTCTCGAGGCTGCCATTAAGAAGGCAAAGGAAGTCAAGGACAAGCCATCCATGATCAAGGTGACAACTACCATCGGTTTCGGGTCCAAACTCCAAGGCACTGGTGGTGTGCACGGCAACCCTCTCAAGGCAGATGATGCCAAGCAGGTCAAGTCCAAGTTTGGCTTCAACCCAGAAGAGTCCTTCGTCGTGCCAAATGAGGTTTATGAAATGTATCACAAGCACGCTTCCGAGGGTGCGGCTGCCGAACAAGAATGGAACGACCTCTTCAAGAAGTACGCCAGCGAGCACAAAGAGCTCGCTGATGATTTCAGCCGACGCCTGACCCGCAAGCTTCCTGAGGGATGGGAGAAGAGCTTGCCTCTCTGGAAGCCAACTGACGCAGCTGATGCTACTCGAAAGACCTCGGAGAAAGTTCTCCAGGCTATTCACAACGCCGTCCCTGAGCTCTTGTCCGGCTCTGCCGATTTGACTGGCAGCAACAACACCCGATGGAAGGACGCAGTTGACTTTCAACCTCCATCTCTCGGTATCGGCGACTGGTCCGGAAGATACCTCCGATATGGTGTGCGAGAGCACGCTATGGGGGCTATCATGAACGGTATCTCGGCCTACGGCACCCTGATCCCTGCCGGCGGTACTTTCTTGAACTTCGTCTCATATGCGGCTGGTGCCGTCCGCCTGTCCTCGCTCTCTCACCAGCGAGTCATCTGGGTCGCTACCCACGATTCCATCGGTCTAGGTGAAGACGGACCTACGCATCAGCCGATTGAGACCCTGGTGCATTTCCGCGCTCTGCCAAACATGATGGTCTGGAGACCTGCCGACGGCAACGAGACATCTGCAGCTTACTACATGGCACTGACCTCGCAGTCAACTCCATCTATCTTGGCGCTGACCAGACAGAACCTGCCACAATTGGAGAACTCCACAGTACAGAATGCCATCAAGGGTGCATACGTTGCCATTGAAAGTGAGAACGCTGATGTCACCTTGGTATCCACTGGCTCAGAAGTCTCCATCTGTATTGAGGCCATCAAAGTATTGAAGGATCAACACAGCCTTACCGCTCGTGTGGTCTCGATGCCTTGCACGGAAGTCTTCGATGCTCAGCCTAAGGAGTATCAACTCAAGTGCCTCCCAGATGGCATCCCAGCAATGTCAGTTGAGGTCATGTCCACACTTGGATGGGAGAAGTACTCACACGAGCAATTTGGCCTCAACCGGTTCGGTGCTTCTGGCCCGTACAAGGATGTGTACAAGGTAAGCTTCACTCAACGCTTAGTTATTGAACACGCACTAACATCAATCAGAAATTCGAATTTACTCCAGAGGGCATTGCCAAGCGTGCAGCCGCCACTGTCGATTTCTACAAGGGCTTGAAGCCCAGATCACCAGTCAACCGTGCCTTCCAGCAATTGATCTAGGTGCATAATCCTGCTTGGTGAGATCAGCGTCAATGAAACGCATACACCAAAGAAGGGGCTGAAGCTGTCTGACTACGTCCCTCGGACAGCTGAACATGGCATCACTGGGACGTTAAATATGATACTCATGAAGAGGCGGGTACTACATAGACGAAACAGAAAACATATGTTGAATGGTACCCGAGCCAGACTGAGCAGGTTCGTTGACATATCACGCAACAAATGTACCCAAGAACTCCCTATCTCATAGACTTGGATGACCAGACTCGACCATGCAAGTTTGCCTTTCCCCAGCATCATACTTCAGTAGCGCGTAAATGATACCCATGCATGTTATTGACATGTCAAGATGTCTCGCAGGCTTGCAGCCAACAGCGCGGAGATGTCCCTGCATTTGTGCCAATTTGGCCTGTCCAACCAAGAAAAGCAAGTCTAGTCGAACCAAAGCAAGCAGTCCATACACGAGTGTCATGTCTAGCCGATGGCTTGAGATATCGACCCTGATACCCTGCTTGCTTTCTAAAGTTTCGCTGCTCAATCGCTTAGTCAAGTGAGACCTGATCGATGGCGTTGCCTGCGATCGTAATAAGCTCAACATGTCCCATCTTCTTGTTGAGCCTCTTTCCCCCAAGCCGTCACGATGGCTGGCTGATATTGAGGGCCATGTGAGCTCCACTATCGGTGCCTGAGACCATGGGCAGACTGCAGAATGTACTCCCGTAGTTTGACTAATGTAGGGTCCACCAGCCAACCCTCGTCGCTCTTGTCCATCCACCCATCACTTCTACCTCTGGCATCATTCGTCCTGGGCTCGTGAGAATTACAAGATCAGATCAGCGAGGAGAAGTCACTCGCATCGCGCTCGTTTCTTGTTCTTCTCACATGCTTTGTCCTAATGTCGTCTCCTTCAACATGGTTAATAGTGGGAGCTTCCAGGGGCATTGGCCTGGAGTTCGTGCGTCAATTGCTTGACCAAGGTCATCAGGTCATTGCTGCGGTTCGGAATCCCGCAACGGCGAACCAGATCTGGCAATTATCTGCAAAGCAAACGAGGCCTGGAGCCTGTTTGATTGAACAGTGCGATGTGACGGATGAAGCAAGCATAGACGTACGTTTACCGGCGTCAAGCACAAGCGACTCCGAGCTTTTGGGAAGGCGATCAAGTCGTCGAATGATATTGACCTTACGGCAGGCTTTTGCCACCCGAATGGGAAATCTCGTGTCCAAAGGCATGAGAATCGAGAATGTGGTGCTGAACTCGGGCGTGCTGAAGTATCCCAATGTATGTGGCTTGCTCTTGTTATATATCTTAGGACGCTGACACGGCTGGAAGAGGGCTACAGAAATGTACAAGACAAGAACCACGACGCAATTGTTGCATTTGATCCCAATGTACTGACATTTGTTGGCATTTACAGATCTTTTAGCGATTTCGCACTGCACCTACACACGAATACGATCGGGCCGATTCTTGTGGCACAGAAAGTACTCAACATCAGCAGCTCAGCTCCGCCTGCAAAGATGATCTTCATTTCTTCTGACTCAGGCTCGACTGCAGAGTTTCGAGACCATGAGGATGGATTCGGTGCATACGGCGCCAGTAAAGCGGCATTGAACCAGATGCTTAGGCATATGGCTGCCGAGTTGAAGAGGAAAGGAGGGAAGTGGGCCGATGTGTGTGTGCTAGCTATGCACCCCGGTGAGGTCCAGACGTAAGTATGGTGCACCATGGCTGTGTTCATGGCACTAACAGACTGATAGAGACATGGCCAACATCGAGGTCGACTGGGAGGTCGAAGGTATCATCGATGCGGATGAAAGTGTCACGAAGATGTTGAAGGTCATTGGTGAGAAGGACAAATCGCAAAGTGGCACGTTCTGGTGTTGGGATGGGAGGGTAAGTGTTGACTAGCGTTGTGGTATTGCTTCGGTATACTGACTTTCTCTCTCAGGAGTATCCCTGGTGATTGGTCTGGGCCGAGATGGAAGCATGGAATTCCGTGTCTGGTCCATCTTTTCGAAGGGATTGAAAGTAGCAAGCATTGTATGGGCTTGCTGGGGAAGGTCACGTGCTGGCAACGTGCCTTGAAGAGAACAACTCACTGATAGCACTCAAAAGCATGCATCTCTTGATAATCATCGTCGAGGCAGCAACAAGGCCTATACCCAAGCAGTGACGGTCTCTTCCATTGTTGCTCTGTTTGTACACTTCAGTATCACGATTCACACCCAATCCGTCGAGAATTTTATATTGCAGTCACGCTTACCCCTATACGGCTAGCGCGTCCTTCCCAAATTCTTTGATTGCCTTTGACACTTTTTTGGGATTTCTCTGCCTTCACCACCACTGCATCCACAAATCTCAGCACCTACTTTTCCCCGTGCATCGTCTGCTTGTCCTTCCTTGCACTCGATTGCTTTCCTGCCCCCGTTTCCCTCTCAAAAATACTCGTGGCCCAAAAAAACGTGAAAACAATATCTTCAAACCATCGAGTCGCGCTGTAAGTCACCCGGAGCCCCAATTCTGAAGCAGCGCACCCTTTTTCTCACCAAAATGCGAGAGTCCATTCGAAAGACTGACGCCCGTTTGAATAGTGTCCGACTTTATCGCAACATCAATTACCATCACTCGGTCCTCATCACGCACGATTCTTGTCCATATCTCCCCTTCCTGTAATTACCGAAAAGAAAAATCACAAAGAAGGTGAGCGCCCGCTTCCATTGTGCGCTGTTTGCAGATCGAAACAAAGCATCCGAAATCTTGAAATGTCCTTCGTTGAATGCACCATGGAACCACTGCTAACCCTAGATATTTCTAGCAAACATGTCTGCAGCCGATGTGTCCAATGCCACCCCGGCCGCTGGCCAGAACGGCGCCGACGCTACTACCCAAAATGGTGCCCCTTCGATCAACACCAACGTCGCCCCCGAAGGTGCCAACGATGAGCAGACTCCTGACTCTGCCGCTACCCCGAACACCAATGCTGCTCACTCCGCCTCCCTCTATGTCGGTGAGCTGGATCCATCCGTCACCGAGGCCATGCTCTTCGAGCTGTTCTCCTCCATCGGTCAAGTCGCCTCCATCCGTGTCTGCCGCGATGCCGTCACTCGACGTTCCCTGGGCTACGCTTATGTCAACTACAACAACACTGCTGACGGAGAAAGAGCCTTGGAAGATTTGAACTACACCAGCATCAAGGGCCGTCCATGCCGTATCATGTGGTCTCAACGTGATCCTGCTCTTCGCCGTACTGGACAAGGTAATGTCTTCATCAAGAACTTGGATGCGGCTATCGACAACAAGGCGCTCCACGATACCTTCACTCAATTCGGCAACATTCTCAGCTGCAAGGTCGCCCAAGATGAGATGGGCAACTCCAAAGGCTATGGTTTCGTCCACTACGAAACCGCTGAAGCCGCCAACGCAGCCATCAGATCCGTGAACGGCATGTTGTTGAATGACAAAAAGGTCTTCGTCGGTCACCACATTGCGAAGAGAGATCGTCAGAGCAAGTTCGAAGAGATGAAGGCGAACTTTACCAACGTTTACGTCAAGAACATCGACGAGTCTGTTACCGACGACGAATTCACCAGACTCTTTGAGCAGTACGGTGATGTACTCTCCGCCACTATCACCCGCGACGAGACTGGCAAGTCACGTGGCTTTGGTTTTGTCAACTTCCACGATCACGAGGTAGCATCTAAGGCAGTTGACGAGCTCAATGACAAGGACTTCCATGGCAAGAATCTGTATGTGGGCCGTGCGCAAAAGAAGCATGAACGTGAAGAGGAACTCCGCAAGCAGTACGAAGCTGCCCGCATGGAGAAGGCATCGAAATACCAAGGCGTGAACCTGTATGTCAAGAACCTTACCGATGATGTCGACGATGACAAGCTTCGCGATCTCTTCAGCGGCTATGGCACGATCACTTCTGCGAAGGTCATGCGCGAAACTGCTGATCGCACTGCCTCTCCCGCTAGCACTGAGGAGAAGGACAAGGAGAACAAGAAGGAAGATGGCGAGACGCCTGCAGAGGAAGCCAAGCCTGAAACCGAGGAGGGAGCTACCGAGGAATCCAAGGGTGAGGATGCAGACACCAAGAAGGAGAACAAGACCCCCTCGAAGACTTTCGGCAAGAGCAAGGGCTTCGGCTTTGTCTGCTTCAGCAACCCAGATGAAGCTTCCAAGGCTGTTTCGGAGATGAACCAGAAGATGGTAAACAGCAAGCCACTGTACGTTGCTCTTGCCCAGCGCAAGGATGTTCGCAAGAGTCAGCTTGAGGCTAGTATCCAAGCACGAAACACCCTGCGCTCACAGCAACAAGCTGCGGCTGCCGGTCTGCCCCAAGGCTACATTCAGCCAGCTGTCTTTTATGGTCCAGGTCAACAATTTATGCCACCCGGAGCTCAACGTGGAATGCAATTTGGTGGCCAACCTGGCATGGTCCTTCCTCAGATGCAAGGTGGCCGTGGTCAATTCCCTGGTGGATTCCCACAACAAGGCCGAGGTATGCCTCAAGGCCAGCAGCTACCACCTAGCTTCGGTTTGCCGGGTCAGATGCCGGCATTCATGCAGAATCCAGCTTTGGTCAACGGCATGTACAGCAACCCGCAGGCACTCGCACAGATGCAAGGTCAGATGGGCCGTGGTGCAGGCGGCCGTGGCCAAATGCAAGGCATGCAGGGTATGCCTCCTAACATGCAGGGCATGGGTGGTGTTCGTGGTGGACCAAACTTTCCTCAAGGTTCTGGTCGAGGTGGTATGCAGAATGTTCCAGGTGGTCAAGGAGCTGGCCGCATCCCTCCACAGGGTCGCGGACAGGCTCCCCCTAACCGCGAGGAAGTCGGCACCCCTAGCACTATCGGCAACCTGGCATCTCTGCCTCCAAACCAACAGAAGCAGATGCTTGGTGAAGCCATCTACCCCAAGATCCAACAATTGCAACCAGAACTTGCTGGCAAGATCACTGGTATGCTACTGGAGATGGACAACTCGGAGCTCCTGGCCTTGTAAGTTATTCTTGTCATTTCGTGTCATTGTTATATTAACGAGGTTCAGGGTTGATGACGATGGTGCTCTCCGCTCCAAGGTTGACGAGGCTCTTAGTGTATACGATGACTACATGAAGAGCCGAGGCCCTGAGCCTGGTCCCAACGGCACCAAAGAAGAGGACACTTCGAAACCTGAGGAAGCTGAGGCTGCAGCCTGAGCTGGTCATCTGTGCTCCAACTTTGCTGTCTCGACACAGCTTATCCCCGAAACTGCATGAACACTGCCTTCATTTCTAGGCAATTATGCCTTTACCAAAAGTTTTTCAAAGCAACATCCGAACATGAGTGCTGTGCAACGGGCCTCGGGCGAAGGTTGAGCTGGCGTCGGGCAGGCGAATGGCGTGTCTCTCTTTGCTATTGCTGCTGCTGGTGGTGGTGTCGTGACGATGAGTTCACTTTTCATTGTATGTGTATGATAGATTGGTGATATGGTCTATTCTGCTGCAAGCAGGTATGTACCAGCTACCTTTTATCAGCCGAGATTTCCCTTTATGGAAAACTCGAGATAGGTTGCATATATTGCCTAGCTGCACAGATAGATCCCCTTAATGCGAACACATGTATCCCATTCACTCATCATTGCTGCCATGGCTTGCTGTCTCTTTGTACCTACACACATGGTTTGACCAGGCATTGTCTCCGTAGCAAAGCTTCCGAGACACGGATCCAGGACATATACATATCCCCTCGCCATTGTACTCTCTCACACTTCACGGGCCCTTAGCAAGCTGTTTCATTGTTTAATATAGCCCGACCTTTGTGCTGAATTGTCCAACATCAGATTGCTGCGCACATGCCTTTGTATCTCGGAACACTGTCATCCATGAATTCAACCGTTGAAAGTGCTACTGTTCAAAGAGTCAATCACCAAACCATGGATACATGCCGTATAGGTCACAAAGGAGCTGGGTTCAGGAGGTCTGCCACTCAATGGAGACCTTTTAAGCCTGTGGGAGTCTGCTTCGAATCATATTCAGACTTCACCGCCTACATTAGACGCAGTGTGAGTGAAGTGACTGTTTGGGTGCGGCGAGATCACCACGCGTCTCTGTAATACCGCGTTGTGTATCTCTTCTCTGTGAAAGATCCCAAGCTCTCACTCTCACCTCTCTTGTTCGTCGTCATGTCAAATATCACAAATGTTACCGACTTGTATCCCCCGTATCCCGCATACGCAGGCGACATGTCAGTAGGAGAAGTGTCACCGGAGGATCTCTTCTTCTTTTCCCCTGGACTGAGCTCACCAGTCAGGCGAGGTCCCGATGATGAAGTGCCAATCTTGGTCGAAAGAGCAAGCCAGGCCACGGCTCTCAACCCAGCGGTCAACGACTTCGTGGTGGGTCATAAGGCTGGCTTTCTCAGATTGTTCAATCGCCAAATCAACCTCATCAGATCACGCTCACAAGCTTTCGAAGATGGTCATATCACTGTTTTCGACAAGACACTTCTGAAACTCACTCAGAATGGCACTGATTTGGAGAATCCTGCGGCGATTCAGTACTATTGTGAAGAATTTCTCGGTATCCATGTTGGTGCAAGCACTGCTGAGGCGAGCAGAGTCCTGAGCCAAGCAATCCAAGTGCCAGAACTCTTGATCTTTGGTAGTTGCCTTCAAATGTCCTCACGTGTTAGCTTACCTGACTTTGATTTCACAGAGACATCCGCCCTCATCAACAGTGATGTCAAGACCGAAGCAGACGACCATCAACCTGTGGCAGAAGAGATGGAACCAATGTTGAAAAGACTGTGGGAAGTCTATGAGAATGCAAAGTCGGATTACTTTGCGAGATCAGACAGCAAGAGCGACGACCTGATCGGAGCAGCCAAATTCCTGCGTGACACGGCCGAGAACACTCAGCAGTATCTGACCGACAAACCCATCGACCCGAACATGTTGGCAGAGCTTCAATCCACGTATGACATGGCCAAGGCGACAGTGGTATCGCTGAGTGGCGGGAAGAAACGCAAATTTGACGATGTGGACAAAGAACTGAGCAAGGATGCACCGCGTGCACCTGCCAACAGCAATCAAAGCCAGAGGCGCCGTGCACAGTCAGGCCAGTACCCATCTCGAAGCTCGGACAGCGGCTATGGTGCAGGCGCGCCTTCTCTGAGGGACAACAACGCAGACATCGATCGTGGTCATGACAGAATTCAATATCGAACATTGCGTCGTCGAAGCTCCAGTCCACGAGAGTATCCAGACCGTTCGCCAGGAAGCCTCCGTGACCGTGATCGTGATCGCGAGGAACCAGGACATCGTGGGGCATACGGTTCGAAGCGTGGCTCGGGACACAGGGCCAGACCCTATGGATATCGGAGAGACAGAGAGGTCGATTCGTATCGGCCGCGTGAATACAAGGATGACATGTCTGATGGAGGTTAGATGTCTGCATTACATGAACGAGCAGGATGTCGTCTGCGTGGCAGAGAAGTGGTGATGTCGATGTTGGATTAGACGACGGCAGATGGGCGTTGCATGGCAAGATCCTGGGTCATGTTGACCAAGAACTCAGTAGGTCATGCTAAGCAACGATGGAATATGTTGCTACAAGAGGATGGATTGTTACTGTACATGTTGAGAAGATGATTAGAAAAGGTGCAGTGGAAAGAAAGGAAGGAACGTGAGTGCGCCTCACGACACTCCCAAATTGGCTTACATAAGGCGATGATAGCGCCGATAGCACTGTCACAACCTATCTCTATCTCTCCTCCGGACTACAAGACTTCTTTCCTTGCAACATCCCTTCCTGCAAACCTCACACAGTATTACTCTGCAAAGATTTACTGCTACTTAGCTTCTGGCCATGTAGCACCCTACAAGTCCTTGCTCTTGGAACCTCCCACCCTTCTTATTTATGAGTAGTTCAAGGCTTCGTCACGCATATGCCATCCTCAAAACCCGAGAGACAACGTACTAGGACATTGACAGGATGCCAGACCTGCCGCGAACGCAAGTTGAAATGCGATGACACTCGACCAGCTTGTAGAAGATGCCTAACATTGGGTGTCGAGTGTCAAGGTTATGGAGTCAAGTTATCATGGCTCATCTTCGAGCCTAGCCGTGGAGGCATAAAGGAGGCAAATGCTGCGTCAAAGCGAGGCAATGAGTCGCCCAGAGGCAGGCCGAAGGGCTCATTCGAGCCTTCCATTGCAGGGAATCGTCGGCCTCTATTTACAGGTACGTCTCACAACCGTCGGTGTTAACTCTTCTCGGAACTGAAAGTGACGCCCTTAGACCGCGAGAAAGCAGATATGATTTACGAGATCCAGAGGGACTTTCTAGCCGGCGATCAGGACTCCAACATCGATCGCGCTATCGACAACCTTGACGCATTAGCTGAAGATCTCGACGGTCACTCACGACCTGGCAGAGGTTTTGGTCCATTTGGCGTCTTCGGTCTTGACATCCATACTCAACCGGACGTGATCGACGACGGTCTCTTCGATACACCAGGAGCGGATGTGAGATCCTCAGGCGGCGAAGAAGACCATCCTACACCCGAGCTTGTGCGAGGTGGAATGTTTCCGCTCGACAGTGGCCCTGCTGTTGATCTTGACGAGGCTGCGTTGCCTTGGCTCATCGGTGTAGATGAGATCACGCTGCCATGGCTCGATGAGATCGATAACAATACTGCCCCGACACTGGCAGATCAGTTTCCCGCCCCAGTTCCGGCGATTTCAGCCCAGTTTATACCTGGCTTTTTCGATCATCGGCACTATGCACTCGCCAACATAAACCACGCTCCTGCTGCTATGCTTGGTTTCATCTCGCCATCCTATGGCAGACAGACACCACCTGCTGCTCGTGGAAGGGTGGAAGACATGTTTGCATCTGGAATCCCTGAGCAGCCACATTGGGCAGGACACTCGAGCATGAGCCGTATTCCCAGGTCACTGTCGAATATGGAGAACATCTCGCGCATTCCATCCGAGGCTCGCTTTCTGCTGGAATACTATTCCACTGACGTGGTGGACTTTATGTGCCATTTACCGAACCCTCAATCACCGTGGCGGACTATCCACTTTCCTGGCGCCATGAGTACTATGGCAGACCTATTGGTCTTTGGAAGCACCAACAATGCTCGAATGGCGCTTTTCTATGCTCTACTCTCCATTTCAGCCAATCATCTGGGCTCCAAGATTCCTTGGTCAGCACAACTGGAGAGACGATCTCAAGATGCAGCTAGGGACTCCGGATCCAATGACTCGAGAGAAATGTCCAACTATTGGTTGACAAAGGGCGCCTCATTTGAAGATATGGCTACGGCGCAGATACAGAGCTGCCTGGATCTGAGCGAGGATCACGAAGTCTACCGCGAGCTTCTGGTGAGTTTGCTGAGCATGGTTACAATAAGTGTGACAAGCGGAAAGCTGGATCGCGCTCATCTCTACCTTCGACGGGCCAACAAGCTGATTGAGATGTTCGTTGCCCGATCACAAGGTTCATCTTTCAAATCCAGCAAGATAGCCGCATTGCACCAGATTTATTCCTATCTGCAAATCATCTACAGCAGTACACATGTCTCCAAAACGTTGAACAGGTCAGGGTTGGAACATCGGGACATAGTATGGCCCGCCAATGAGGGAGCAACTTCTGTCGAAGTGTTGACTGCCACCGTTACTGGTCCGCTGTCACTGCCGACCCTTGAGAACAATCTCGATTCACTTGCGCAGCACAGGGATGACTACCAGCTCTTCGCCAAAATATATGGTGTACCGCGATCTCTTCTGACGCTCATATCCCGGGCTTCTGCACTAGCCCAGAAGCTGGAAGACGAGGAAGGGACACCAGACAGCAGTTCTCCGAGCAACTACAATTTTCGAAACCGGTGCGAGCTCCTGGAAGACCAGATCTGCAATTGGCATCCTATGGATGACGAGGTTTCTCCCATGCCAGCATCGACCACCTATGATCCCGAGGTCGGCTCGCACCTAGTCCAAGCAATGCACGACGCTCTCATCGTTATGTTCTTCCGCAGAGTCAGACCAGTCAATCGCATGGTCCTTCAACACTATGTTGAGAGTGCAGCGGATCATCTGAACGAACAAGAAGATGTCAAGAGTCGAACTGGTGTAAAGCAGCCCGCACTTCTGTGGCCATGGTTCATGGTCGCCTCAGAAGCAATCAGAGAGCCTATCCGGGACAAGCTGCGCCTGTGGTCGAATGTTGCAAGGCAATATGGCGGACGAAACCTCGAGATAGCCGAACAGGTAGTGACTGAGGTCTGGCGAAGACAGGACTTGCGGCTACCGGGCTCTGCCTGGTGGGACGTGGTTCGTGATTGGGATGTCACGCTTGTCCTGACCTGAACCGACGCCTATTATATTTACAATGTCATACAGCTGCGAGCGCTGTCTGGATTGTACTCTCGAAGAAGACTTCTGACATTCTCAAGTGCCGAAAGTGCTGAATGGCTCCCTCGGCATCTCAGCTGATTACCGACAAGCCTGGAACAATTGGTGCGCTCGGGAACGCCTCCTGCTTGGAGCTGGGCTTGGACCTTCATTACCTTGAGTACCTGCCGCGATTATGTCCATATGTGATAGCAACCCTATCTCTCGTCGGCAACACTCGCATTCACATCTTGTGATCTTCTTACGCGTGCTGTTGCGGAAGTCTGGACTCTGGATATGCATTTCTGGTTATCGAAGCTTCGCCAAGGGGAAGTGGTGAACCCTTATCTTCGATGTCCCACCAAACACAGACCATGGAATCCACAGCTCGGGATAACCTGCCAACGGTTATCCGCGACTTTTTACTCTACCTCGCTCTCCCTAACTTCACTCAACATTCGACCCATGCTGCCTCGCACGAGGCTATTTGGACTAGACTCAGCAGGAGAGGGGTTGTCGGACTAGATAGATAAGCTCGGGATAGCCTACCTGCGACTCACCTTGCAGCTCACAATCAGTGACAAACCATTAACGAAGACGGCCCAGGGACTTGACAGTATGACAATCACCAATGAGGGTAACGACTGGACTGAGATAGCCTCGAACTGCGACGGTCCAGAGCAACGATTATCTTTATAAAGGCCAGAAAGACTCCGCACGGGCAAGTTTGCGATCAAAAATCAGGACTTCTGTCACTCGCATCAGGACTTCTTGAGATTCTAAACGGCTACAGTATAACACCTGCCAAAGGGTCATTGAAGGCAACAGCAGCAACAACAACAACAACAACAACAACAACAACAACAACAACAACACCTCCTATCACGAAAAGGATTGACGACAAGATGATGGAATCAAAAGAGGTTTATGATGCCCCCGTCACCGAAGTACAAAATGATACTCGAGTCGGAACCGTCAACCCCGTTGGCGAGACTCTCAACCGATATGGCGAGGAATATGTGGGAAAGTACCGTCGTTCATTCGTCTCTCGTCACATCCAGATTGTCACATTGGGCAGCAATATCGGCTCGGGTCTGTTCATCTCGACTGGTAAGGCGCTTCGTAACGCCGGGCCCGGAAACATGATTATTGGATACACGGCTGTAATGACCATGGTATGATGACGACCCAGACTCTGGCTTGTATACTTTCGCTGACCGAGTTCGCAGGTTGTGGCAACACTTCAAGCTCTGACAGAGATGACTGTTGCTTTCCCTGTATCTGGAAGTTTGATCGACTATGCCGACAGATTCATTGATCCCGCCCTGGCCTTCGGCATCGGGTTTGGAGAGTGGCTGGCGTGGACAACTGTGCTAGCCGCTGAAGGCGCTGCGTTCAATGTCATCGTACAGTACTGGACTGATGCAGTCCCTGTCGCTGTGTGGAGTGAGTAAACCCGTCTGGCTGAGACTGGGCTTGACGCCGTGTCAATGGGTATTGACCAGAACGATAGTGACCATCATTTTGCTCATTACCTTCGGCATCCATGCATGCCCCGTTCGTGTCTTCGCCGAGGTTCAATACGCGACCTCCCTTCTCAAGGTTGTCGTCCTCCTCATCTTCATTTTCACATCGGCTGCAATGGTCGGGGGCGCTGGCCCAACTGGAAAGGTTCATGACGGTGAATATTACCGTGAACTTCCGGCCTTCCTTCACAATGTCAAGGTATGTCACTAGCACCCGAGGGAGACCTTTTCCTGACAATACGGCAGGGAACGTGCCTTTGCGCCATCTATGCCATCTGGGGGGTGGGAGATCAGGTGTGAGTACAGAATCGTTTCACAGAGATTTGGGCATCCACTAACGATACCTAAGGTATGTTGGCATCATGGGCGGTGAGACAAAAAACCCTCGCTACAGTATGCCCCGAGCAGTCAAAAGCGTTGGCATCAGAGTCTACTTCTTCTTCATGCTCATCGTTATCTTCATCACGCTTCTTGTGCCCCTCAACGACGAGCGTCTTCTCGGAGGTTCGGGCATCAACGCCTCGCCGCTGGTCATTGCCCTCAATGACGCCGGAATCAATGGCATTCCCCAGCTCCTCAACGCCGCATTTTTGATCATCTCTGCGACCGGTGGTCTGGAGCCTCTCTACATCGCCTCCCGCGTCATGCGACACATGGCACTGTCCGGAATGCTGCCTAAGAAGCTAGCCAATGTCGACAGCAAAGGCCGCCCTACATGGGCTCTATTCGTCACCGGCCTGTTCACCATCACCTTCACCTATATCAACTGCTCCAACACGGGTGCCACGATTTTCAACTGGTACGTTTCTCTCACCACGGAAGCCTTGTGAGAATGGTTGAGAGGCTAACACGCCCTTTTAGGTTCTCGAGCGTTGCCTCCACAATCTTCATGACCGCCTGGGTCGTCCTCGCATGGTGCAGCATCCGCTTCCATGCGGCGATCCGTGCGCAGGGAAGCACCATTCTCGAAGGCAAATATGCTTACAAAGCTCGCTTCTGGCCTGTCGGACCTATTTTCTTGGGCGTCAGCGCCTTCTTGGTCTTGGTCGGCCTCTTCGCGGATGCTTTGTATCCGGTCGGCGGCACCCCCTTGAACGCATACGATTTCTTCATGACGTATCTGGGTGTTCCGCTCGTTCTGGTCGCTACGATTGGATACAAGATCATCCGCCGCACCAAGCTCAGGCGCGCAGGCGAGATCGACTTGGTCACTGGACACCAGCCCTTGACCGAAGAGCAGGAGAAATTCTTGGACCATTATTATAGCCAGTCTATGGGAAAGAGAATTTGGAGTTATATCTCGACCAGTGATTAGTTTACCTGTGCCGTGGGAGTTGGTAGCAGCTCTGAGATGGGTTCGAGGCAATGAAGTATGGATCTTTCTGAGGAATTACGGAGATGGCAGAGAAGACGAGTCAGCTGCATTGAGATATTGGCGATGTTTTCGTCATGTACACGCATAGAATGACACTTCTGCAATTTTGGAGACTGTTCTCGAATGCGGCCAGCCTCACCAGACCTGCATTAGGTATGATTCATAAGGGGACACCATGCAATATGACCCTGCTGCAAATCTAGACGGAGTAGGAGGGTCTTGCGTCAGACTCTGCAGGCTTCGGTCTGCAGCTGGGGAACTTTGAAGTGGCTGTTCGAGTCCGTCTGGACGCAGTCAGACCTAACATGCCATGAATTCTGACCTCATCTTCACAATTATAAGTGTATGTATCGCTCCTGCTCAGAAAGCGCCAATCCTTCCATGCACCTTGGTCGGTGGTCAGCTGGTAGGACACTGTCAACCATGACCGCATCAATGATGCCCTCCAAAACCTACGGCATCCATTCTCAGGCGTCGGACAGGCAACCCTTTACGGTGTTTGCCGCCGCAGTAAATGCCATTGAACAACGTTCAACAGCTCATACACCTGACTAAGTACCGGCGTACTCACACCCTTCTCCCTCGCCACCCGAAGAGGCGCCCCCAAAATGACGTCGAGTTCCAGTGGCTGGCCCTTCTCCAGATGCACCAACATACTGGGTCTGAAGGGGCTGCTATCGGGCGTATCATGCAGCAGAAACTGCACTACATCTTCCGACACTGTGTCTCCATAGCCCGCTGCGGTGCCTATCGCGGCGATCTCACGCATCGCGGGCTCAAGAAGGGTGGTGCGACCAGGACTCGAAAGGACTTCGCCGACCGACATCCTGGTGACGGCACAGATGGTGTTGAAAGAGCCGTTCCACAGCAATTTGCGCCAGCGAGCGGCGATAATGTCTTCGGCTAGGACGCACTCAGCTCCAGATTTCGTGTCGGAGAGGCCAGCGCTGTACGTCTCGACGAACAGGCGTGCAGCGTCGAGCTGCGTCGACTTTTGAAGGCTATCGACGTGGTGATAGTAGGGGCCTATCCTGAGCTGGTCGGGATCTTCTTGGAAGACGGTTCGAGGAGATGTCGTTCTCGATCCGATCATGCTCAGGCCTGAAAGAACAGGGGTCTCGGGGAACGCGGACGCGAAGGGTTCTTCGATAGCCAAGCCGTTCTGGATGAGCACGAGGCTGGTCTTTGAGGGTGTGATGAGTGGTTTCAGGCCGGGGATCAGTGAGGCGGCGAGTTCGGGGATGGCTTTGGTGGTGATCACGATGAAGTCGTAGGGTTGGTCGGTCGTTGCGGAAGAAAGGGAGGGGGTTACTCTGTGTGGCTTCCAGCCTCGGATTTGGCCATGATCGACTGAGTCGATATCAAAGCCTTCTTTCTGAACGACAGCATAGTTGGATCGTAGGACTGCCGTGACGTGGCACCTCATGGACTTCTCGAGGACGTATGCTGCACATGTTCCCACGCCGCCGGCGCCGATGAGGCAGACGTTAAGCATTCTCAAACAGTCTTCAACGAGGGGGTCGTGAAGCGGATGGTCGGGTAACGGCTTTCAGTATGAGAAACCCTCAAAGGGTCTTGGACTGGCCCTGCACACTTCCTGGGACAGCACCGGTCGATCAATTCCTCGTACGCCACACAACGTCTACATCAAAGGATGCTCGTGCGTGGCCTTCTCTCAGTGACTTGTTTTCTGCAAGCATCACCCTCTCCCCACGGACCTGGCACCTTTCAGTCCTGCCATTTTCTTACGTGCCTGATTAGGTAACCATAACAGTATTGTTTGTTTGCATGGCTGATAAGCATGGGGCTGGACCGAGGCTGTGAAGACTTCGGATAACGGGCATCTCAATAAGTGCGGGCCATCAGTGTTGAGGCGGATATTGGAAGTGGAAGGGAATGATAGGCAGAGGCAGGTTATCCCGAGAAGTTCTTGTAAGTGGTCGGCGTTGGCGATAAGCACGGCGGAGACTCGGAATATTCAGGCTCCACTTTGTTGGCCGTCTTCAAAGCGAGGGAAGGTCCACGCAAGCGGGTTGGCAGTCACCAACTGAACCACAGAGACTCGGCGCTGAGCATTGCCTGATCAAGTTGCCCTTGCAATGAGTGGACATGTTCTTGATGTGGCGAATGTCTTTCGTTCCAGACCGATCCGCTTGATCCGTTGCTATCGGCATGAGTTTCGCATACTGTTCAGTGGTTTTGTAATTCGAGCCTCACGGGTGAATGGGTCTGCCGGGGCGCGTCGAAGTCGTCGCGCAGAGGTGGGAAAGAGGAGGTCGTACGTTGACCAAGAGATGAAAGCGTTCAGCCACGGATCTCAGTCACTCAGGATACTACGACTGCGTCGCCAATCTGCTGGTGGACTCGAAGAGCCCTTCACCGTTCACGCACAGTCTGGACAAGAAGGCCAACGTCGAGAACAATGGAGTACCTCCCAAAGTCATCATTGATCCTGATTGTAGGTACAGGCACATTTGGCCTCAGCACTGCAGTCCACTTGGCTAGACGTGGTTTCACCAACATACAATGTCTGGACCGTTTTCCATACCCTTCGCCCGACTCAGCCGGGTACGATGTCAACAAAATCATCGGCATGCGGAATGACACTGCTCTCACTGCGCGGGTAAGTCGAGAGGCACTGGCCGGCTGGCAGGAGCCAATGTTTGAATCCGTGTGGCACGAAGTCGGCTTGATCACAGCCGCCACAAATGATGAAGCAGTTGATTACTGTCGAAGTGCATATCAGAGCTGGATCGACTGTGGCGAAGGCGACAATGTGCGATGGCTCGAATCCGCCGAAGACTTTAAGAGACTCGTTCCTCCACTTCGGAATGGCTCAATACCGAGATGGCGTGGATTCCACCACAAGCGAGCGGGATGGGCACACGCAAAGGAGGCATTGCGCATAATGGGTGACGAGGCTGCAAGGCTAGGAGTCAGGTTTGCAGCAGGCAAGTCAGCCACAATGGAGTCATTGATGTTGGACGATCAAGGTAGAGCGATTGGCATCATTGCAGAAGACGGTAGACGGTGGACAGCCGACCGAATAGTCCTTTGCACAGGTGCATGGAGCGATGCTCTGCTCGATATGCAAGGTCAACTGGAGGCGAAGTGTTGGACGTTGGCGCATATACAGCTCTCGCAAGATGAGTGTGCAATGTTCAGGGATATGCCTGTGGTGATGAACCTGGAAGAAGGTAAGCCCTCCCAAGCGTGGCCAGAGGAGTACGGTGCCAGAGCTGACACTCTAGTCAGGGTTTTTCTTCGAGCCCAGTGAGGATGGTCAGATCAAAATTTGCAATGAATTTCCTGGCTTCACTCACACGGTGACTTTAGCCGACGGGCGGAAAACGAGCGAGCCACGATCCAACGCTCAAAACCCAGGAGACACAATCCCGCATCAGTCACGAAGGGAAATCAGAGATCTCATAAGGAAGACGATTCCACAATTTAAGGATAGGCCATTCGTTGTTGAGAAAGTGTGCTGGTGTACTGATACGCAGGACCGAAACTGGCTGCTTGATGTACATCCTCAGCATCCAAAATTAGTTGTTGCAACAGGGGATTCAGGCAACGCGTTCAAGATGCTCCCTGTCATGGGCAGATATATTTCGGATCTGGTAGAGGGAAAGTCTCTGGATCCCATGCTGAAGGAGGCATGGAGATGGAGACCGGACAAGATCAGTCGTGACCAACGATGGGGCGGTGATGGAAAGACGCGTGATCTGAAGGACATGAAAGGTTGGAAAAGTGAAGACTCAAAGGTAGACGTTGTCGGACATTCAATGCAAGCCAGGTTATGACCTCGATCTCATTGTTGGTAGTTGCTGCAATGTGAAGAGTGAGTGAAAGGCGAGAGAGATAGATGGTGAATTGGGAGCAAGTGGTCAAAAAGCAATGTTGGTCGCAGGGCGCGTACGGAGTAAATTATTAGGTGCCAAATCCCAATTTCGACAGCAACAACATGAGGTTCTCCTTCCACTTGTTCTACAGCTACAGCTACAGCTACAGCTAGCTGGTCGAGCTTGCTGCCTCGCGTCCTACCTGTTGAATGTGAAAAGGGTTGAAAGTCCGCCAATGCAACGCACTGGGCAACACAATGATGCTTCGACGATATTGTAACACAATGTCTACACGAAATCTGACCGGCGTAACGATCGCCCGGAGGATTCCAGCTGATGGTTCCAGACGCTGGATGCCTGGTCTCATACTCCAGTTTTTGTGAGCCTCTGGGGGCCGAATATCAACCTGAGTCACCTTTCTGCCTTGGTGTGTCAAATGATGAGCTGAAGGCTTTCTGCTTCGCATTTCCACCGACCATTCCGCACATCTGATATGCACCTTTCCCCTGTCACCACTGTATCGGGCAACCGCAAAGGGTCAATCGACAAACCCAAACCCGTACCAACAATTCATCCGCAACAGCTCCTCACCCTCAGCCCAATCGCGGCCATTGGCCATTCGAAAGAAATGACTTCCTATGTGGGATATGCTCCCCAGCCACATGCGCTCACGATATTGCGGATACTCGAATAGCTGAGCGACACGAGGCTGTACTGCACCTCCAATGCGCACGCCTTCGGCACGCAAGGTCTTCGACCCCACGATTTCTGTACCGTAACCTATTCCTAGATGAGGCCTCGATCCATCCACCAAGTTCAATCCACACGCCGTTAGCCTCAGTCAACCAGGTGTGTACCTCTGTTCAACCACTATGAGGGTAAATAATGCGGGATTGCTCCCGTTGAATACTGTCGTTTATTTGACCCTGTAAGCCGTCGGAGCACGACCAAACAGAATTGCAAGGCCCCGCCTGAGCCCCGTGGCACCGTGACACAAGACCACCGCCCTGTTGAGGCCACCCGCGAAAGTACAGATCACCTAACGAGGCTGCTTCCCTGCATCAGAGACGGTTGGACGAACCAGGTCATTGGGCCAGCCTGCTAGAAAGCATATGCCGAAGCTTTCGTGGCTCACAGGATGTTTGCTTGCGAAAACCAGATCAATCAAACCGTTTGAAGGGCGAGGCTTTGGTCCTTCAGAGCTCGTTTGTGGTGAAAAGCTGAGGTCTAGGGAGAGACTGAATGGAGTTCGTACTTTGTGCAGGACAAAAGGCGCTGCTGTCAAGGCCTGTTCAGCTGGTCACTCGAGAGACAAGCCCACGGCCATTAGGCCTACAGTGGGGTCCGCTCCACTTCGACCATCTCTACTGCCTATGGCGAGATGTCTTCACAAGAGGCTATGCTGGATTGCCTGTTCTGGAGCCATGGGAATGACATATAAGGTCTTTCCTGGAAGTGATCATCACCTTCTCTCTTACGCTTCTCAATCGACCAGTATCTTTGGATCTGCTCAGCGACAAGATGCATTCCGCCGTTCTACGCTCATTGGCAACAGTGCCCATCTTGTGCACTCTCGCGTCCGCTGGCCACATCTCCCTTGGTATCCAAAGGACCAGAGGTCTTGACAAGAGGGCGCTTTCTCCCCGAGATGCCGGTTCTATTGGTGTGGAGCTTGTTGAATCAGCGGACGAGAGTGTAACGTCTAGCATACATCCAGTTGTGGGCACTAAGATACTGATCATTTGATTTAGCTGTACGCCATCAGCTTGAGCGTTGGCACACCACCACAGCCTTTTGACCTTCAACTTGACACGGGCAGCAGCGACCTGTGGGTTCCGTGGGCTGGCGCCCAAGCTTGCATCGATCAAGGCGGATGGTGAGTCCACCTTTGATAGTGTTGTCGGACCAGATATCGCATAGGCTTACTGGATCGTCAACCATCAGCCCAGGCGGTGACTTCCAATACAACGAATCCAGCACGTTCCAGGTGCTATTCAACAATTTTTCTATACAATACGGGTAAGCCAAAGGCCGCCGAGTTTCACCTGTAGCTAAGCTAAGCTCGATCACATACAGAGACGGAACTGGAGATACCGGGGACTATTTCACCGACACGGTCCAGCTTGGGAATACCACGGTGCAGAACTTTACCATGGGCCTTGCACTAGACACAACAAACGGGGCACATCTGAATAACACCGGCCAAGGTCTTCTGGGAGTCTCGTACCCTACCAATGAAGCTGGCTATCACGAAGCAGGGTTCGAGACCCTCACCATCTACGAGCAGATGGTGTCCCAGGGGCTCATTGCTCGCTCCGCATACAGCTTATACCTCGATGACATGGAAGTCGGAAAGGGCACAATTCTCTTTGGTGGCGTTGATCCCAGCAAGTACAAGGGCGATCTGACTGTACTACCACTTCAACCCGACCCGGCAACAACGTTCGTTGACGCATTCTACGTGAGCCTCACAGATGTGTCTTATGATGAAGGTTCGGACAAGACCTCCCTGTTTGCACCCGGGTACACGGGCTGTGCTGTTCTCCTCGACAGCGGCACCACACGGTCCTACATCCCAGCCGAGGCGTTCAACAACCTTGTCCAAGGTCTGGGCGGGTACGTTGATGGCACCGGCGACTATTATGTCCCTTGCGACATGCCGGCTGGCAACGCGACAATATCTTTCCAATTCGGCGGCAGTGAGGGCATTGAGATGGCCATTCCATTGTCCACCTTCATTTCCCCGGACGCCTCGTCGCAGCTTGCGGACGGCACGAACCTGTGTATACTGGCTCTCCAAGCCGCGTCCACACCCTACGACATCATTCTGGGCGATTCCTTCCTCAGGTCCTTCTATGTCGTCTACGATGTGGCTAATGACCAGGTGGCTATTGCAACGGCCGCGCTGAACGCCACCGCCACAGGAAGTGTCACTGCGATTCCTAGCGGGACTAGTATTCCTGGTGCTTCAAGTACTGCCAACTTGGCTGTGCCCACGATTGCCAATATCTCGACTTGGACTCCTACCACGACGGCGATCGCAACCGCCTCTCTAGCTGCTACATTTACTGATCTCCCTAGTGTGACGGCAGCTGCGACGGGTGCGACGACAGGAGGAGCTTCGACCTCGGCATCTGCTTCGGGCACTTCTTCTGGCACCTCTTCAGGAGCGGCTGACGTGACTGCTCACGGCTCGGGCCTGGTTGTTGTCTTCTTCATGGCTGTGTCTGCGCTCTTCTTATTTTAAGGTCCATAACCAATTCTTGAGACGAGTACGAGGGGTGTGAACGGTCAGACAAAAGGGATACGGTACTGGAATGGTTCATATATGATTTTTGACCACCGTATGCGCTCGACAACCAGTGCCAGCAGGATTCGACCTCTATAAGTATGAAGCACTCCGTATATAACATGTGAATTTTTGAACCCGCTATGCTTTACAAAGTACACCAGAAAATGCGCCGCTCGTGATGCACTGACAAGGAAATGAAAACAGAGAGACACTCTCTACATGGCGAGAACGGCGAATGCACCGGCAATGATCAGACCTGCGCCACTGAGACCGGCCTGTGGAGCTGCACCACCAGTGAAAGTCGAAGCAGGTGCGCTCGACGTAGTCGAAGCCTGTGTTGCGCTGGCGAAAGTCGTGGTGCCGCTAGCCACGACAGTGTATGTCGACGTGCCGGAGACAACGACTGTGCTACTTGCGGCGGTCTCGGTCGATGCTGCGCTGGAGCCAGAAGCGGCGGAGGTGGTAGTGGTCTCGCTAGCGCTACCCGAGCTGCTTGTGCTGGTGGATGATAGCGAGTGGTTTTTGGTTGTTGAACCCCACAAGCTGCCTGATGATGTGCTGGAGGCGGAGCTGGTGGTTGTGGATGCACTGGATGTGACGACGCTGGCGCTGGCGCTGCTAGATGAGGATGAAGCGCTGCTGGATGATGAAGAAGAGCCGCTTCCGCAGCTTGAATTGGCGAGAACGGAGAATTGAGTGGAGAATTGATACTCGCCTGTGCCGTCGACGATGATCAGCATGCCGTATCCTGTGTCGGTGTTTTGGGTGCCGGCGGCCAAGTCGCAGGGGACGTCCCACGAGTAGGATTTCTGGGCTGCTGGGATGCCGGAGGCGATGGCTGTGGAGGCGTCGACGCAGTTTGTTGATGGACCGTGGCAGAGAACTAGGCTGACTGTCACGCCGTCTGTTGGGTGGCTTTCGGGATCCCAGGTCACGAGAGCGGTTTGGCCTTGAGTGACTGGGTCGGAAGTGTCTGGTGTGAGGAGAGGACCCCAAGTCTGAGCGCCCGGTGTGGTGTATGCTTGAGCGAGGCTGGCTAGGCCTGCTGCGGCGATGACGATAGCTGAATGCATTTTGATGGATTGGCGATTAACAGCTCTGGTTGCTTTTGGATTTGTGTATTTAATTGTTCTTGATGGTCTCTTCACAGTTCGAGTTGGATCGATATATAGTGGTGGTGGATGCGTATTTCCTGTTAGCAAGCGATGCGACAGTAGCAGTGGTAGTCCGTAGGTGTCCAAACGAGTGACGATATGTTCTTATATCAGCCCACCTGAGAATGAAAGACCAAAGACCGTGAGAAATGTGTAGCGAGTGACTTATTAAGTAGCAGCTGAAGAGGGAAAAAGAAATCTGCACCTTATACTGAGACCTACCGTACAAGGGGTTGGCACTTGTGGTTGGTGTGGTGTGTGCTCTTCTGTCAGCTCTGCTCTGGCCAAGTGAGCCCATGAGCCCCCCCGTGTTTCATCGGGTAAGGGAAATTGGCAGCGGGCAGACTGGTTGATCTGATGTAGGTTTTGCGCGAATTTCACTTGAGATGGACCATTTCACGCCATTTGTTTCATAAGCGAATGCGAGTGGTGTTCGGTAAGCAGAAAGAGGGATAGTTTGGGTGGTATCGAAAACTTCGGGACGTGCCCAGAGAATTGGGAGTCTCTGGGAGATGGGGATTTTCAAGGCCAAGCCATGAACGCCCGCAACAGCAAGGAGCTGAAACTCGAAGGATGCAATGCTTGAACCTACCTTGACTTTGCCTCAAGTATTGCTTCATATCATTTATCTTCATCATGATACTGATGTCTCCTAGCAGAAGGAAAACCATCTCTTCATGGGATGTTTGTGTTGTGTTGTGTTGTTGAAGAGTGTGGAGAGCGAGAATTGGGATCGTCTAAATCGTGGCCTGAAAATAGACTTGATTGGCAGATGTCGCACCTGCAACTCTGGTAAACTCTAGCCTTAATTTCTCCAGATTCCCAATCCCTGGCGGTATGAGATGCTGTCTCGGATAACTGCGCCCAGTACGGAGTATCGAGTGACACTCATCTCTCGTGGTTCAGCTTTCAGGCAAGCCACATCTTCGACATGTCAACCAGCCGGTGAGGCTGAGGTCCGGCATTTCGCCAGCCTGGTCAACTCCATGGAGTCAAGCTACGACCTTTGCAAGTAACCTTGGAACCAGCCGAGGTGCGACCCGGCAAAGGTACGCTACCGGCCATGTCTTCGTCCAAGTCCGACAACGTTTCGGCCTCGAGTTTCATAGCGACACCTGCGCCTACAGTCCTGACTCCGGAGTCTCGTAGCGACGAGTCACCTGTGGCCGCGACTCGCAGCTCCCGTGAACTCGACGGCGATGCGGCTGAGCTGCGCAGACTGCACCATCATCTGCCTGGTCATGGACAAGATAACGAGGCTGAGCCCTCCGAAAGCGAGGACGATGTTGACAAGTACAGACATGTGCGGCGCCTGAAAAGAGCTGGAACCGAGTCCAAGGAATACACAGACGAAGAAGAAAACGCCGTTGTGCGCAAGCTTGACCGCAAGCTCGTCCTCTTTCTGGCCTTTCTCTACCTGTTGAGTTTCCTGGACCGTTCCAATATTGGCAATGCCCGAATTGCAGGACTGGAGCAAGATCTCAGTCTGTCTTCAGCAAAGTATGACTGGCTCCTCACCGCCTTCTATATCACGTATATCGCTTTCGAGTGGATGATTTTGCTGTATCGACTTATCCCGGCGCATGCCTACATCTCAATATGCGTCCTGTCTTGGGGTGTGGTGGCCAGTCTGCAGAGCTTGGCCACTTCTTTCCCACAGCTGCTCATCCTGCGTGCCTTTTTGGGCATTACTGAAGCGGCATTCGGTCCCGGCGTACCGTTTTACATGACGCTCTTCTACAAGCGGTCAGAACTGGCGTACCGGGTTGGACTCCAGATCTCGGCTGCACCACTAGCAACCAGTTTTGCCAGCTCACTAGCGTGGGTCATTGTGAAACTGAGTCAGAATGGTCCTATCGCACCATGGAGGGTACTGTTCCTGGTTGAAGGGTTCCCGTCCGTCTTGACTGCTGTGGCGGCCTGGTATTACATCCCAGACTCCCCAGCGAAGGCTCGTTATTTGACGCCAAGAGAACGAAAAGTTGCCGTCATGAGACTTCAATCTGAACAGCATCATTCACATGCCTTTGAAGACTCGGCATCTCACGGCATCAACGTCAAGGACGTCTTGGCTACCGTGCGCGATCCCAAGTCTTACCTGACAGCCTTAATGTTCCTCAGCGTCAACGTATCTTTCAGCTCCCTGCCAGTCTTTCTTCCGACCATCATAAACAGCATGTCGTTCTCACCGCTTGCTTCCCAAGCTCTTGCCGCTCCGCCGTACCTTTTCGCTTTCTTCTTCGTCCTCGCTGTTGGTCGTTACAGCGACAAGATTCCGGACTCACGATCTTTGTTTCTGATGGGCGCGGCATTGCTCAGTGCCGTTTCCTATGCCGGGATTGCGCTTGCCGGATTGCTGCACGAGTCGATTGGTGAGGCAGGGAGTATCACGATCCGCTATGTTGCAGTTTATGGTGCTGCAATGGGTTTGTTCGCTTCAGTCACGCTGATTATCACATGGACTTTGAACAACCAAGCGTCTTCAACGAGTAAAGGTACGGGACTCACTATCCTGAATATTGTCGGACAGTGTGGTCCTCTGATTGGCGTGCATGTGTTCCCGAAGAGTCAAGGTCCGTTTTATGTGCAAGGCATGGCGGTTTGTGCTGGATTCATGGCGATAGGTGTTGCCGGATTAGCCGGCGTACTAAGACTGGTGCTGCACCGGGCTAATAAGCGCAATGGACTAAGTCATCCAGCAACAGGGGGTGAGTACGAGCTGGTTGGCATGGTTGCAGGCGACACCGAAGACGATCAGAGGCTTGTAGGATCGGAAGACGTCGAGGAGACTTTGATCGGCGGCGCTAGGAAGGTCAACACCAAGAATGCCGGGTTCAGATATATGCTCTGACATGATATATAGCTGGGTCTTTGTCAACATCAAAAGACATTGGAATGGGATATGTATCACAATGACGTGGAATCTTCTCATTCAGCTTGAGCAATCAGTATTGCTTTTTTACACATGACTTTCGTCTTTGCTGTCATCAAAGTACTCCTCTGGAAACCCACCGAGCAATCTAAGTCCCTGACAGAGGTGTCTGGAAGGAAATTTCCATCTCACGAGTGAGGCTGTTGCCTTGCAGAGCGACGGGATGGCCTCTTGATTGATCCTCGATCTCTGCTCGATTATACGTCGTGCGCGCCCTTGGAGCTGTCACTACCACCGGGATTTTTGTCCTCTTCCGATCTGGTTTCTCCCAACTTTTGCATTTCCTCGATCGTCATGTCATGCTTGTCGCCTCGGACAGCGTTCTCGCTGTTGCTTCCGAGCTCCGGCTTCCACTCTCCCTGACCAGTCTTTGCCTTTTCTAGGCTGTCTTTCTGGTGGTGATCAATGTGCTTGTCTCGGTCTTCGCGGTCTTTTCGGATATGGAACGTGTCAGCAATAAATCCTGCGGCATAGCTACACAATGTGACGTTGTCGCCCCGTGGTTGAGCCAGAATTATGGCTGAAGAGCTCTTTGTGCTACGGACAGTGGAAGCACTTACGGATGTTATCCTCGTTCAAGCCCCGACGTGCGATCGAGGTGTGGAATGCGGCAACTGAGCGCGAAGGAATGACTCTTGAGGTTGCCCGCAATGGGGTGAATGTACGTGCAAGATAGGACATGATGGTAGAGGACGATAAAGAGTATGAGACAATTGCAAGTTTGTTATCGAATGCGGTTGAGCCTGTAGCAGATGTTCAATTGTGAGGGAAATTGAAGAGGACGTCTGAAATGATAAAAGAGCTTAGCAAGGGCATTCGTCGGAGAAAGCGTCCCTAGGTCCAACTGGTGTGGTTGACGCTGCCGAGGGCTGGCTGGATTGTTATTTGCTTCTCGTGACGTAGCGAGAGAGAACGTGACCGCAGAAACGACCTGCACCTGCCGTCATATTAATCCCATACGCAATATTTATTACCTAAGGTGCCATTGGTTCAAGCTCCTTCCAGCCGAGCGCGGGTTATCTTCGGCCTGGATCAAGTCCGTCGCGTCGTTCGACTCGTGAGACGCGCTTTTGCTTGCCAATAACTGATGAGATCTACTGAAGAGCGACAGGACAATGGAGTCCCCAGCAAAGCGACGGAGGGTCGATGGTCCTGATGTCGAACCTGACGATGAAGAAGACACAGAAAATGCTCCGAGAACACCCACCAGAGCCTCCTACCGTTCACCAACCAAGAGTTCCATAGCACGATCACATCCACATCTAATCACACGATCTGGGCGGCAGGCAGCGACAGAACCCAGAGGAAAGGTATTGCTTGACGACATACTAAAGAACAGACCTGTCGCTTCAGACGCACTGCAGACGGTATCGAAGATCGATCAGTCTGCGGAAGAAACAATCAACGACTCTGTCGCACATCGAACAGACGAACACCCGGCAGAACAAGAACCTAATGAAAGAATCGAGAGGTCCGAAGAGACGAATGGCGCATCCTCGGAGCCAAAATCGTCTCAATCCGCGATAGAGCGGCCAGTGTTACAAGCTAGCCGCATCAAGAGGAGGAACGATGAGATGGCATTCAGCCCGCCGATAATGCCTACCCTGATTCGTAGGACAGACTCAGGGACCAGAGCGCGCTCAAGACCTGGAAGTGATGAGCCTGAGTTGCCTCCAACGCCGGTAGAGCTAGGACTGAGCACTGCACCTGACAGGCCACGTGGTTTGGCCTCCAGCAGCAGCCCGAGGTCAAAATCTGGCAGTGGAAGTCACCGAAGACGGACGAGATCAGGAGCTCCAGTCACGAGCAGCCCGCTGAAGCCTAAGGGACGGCCACCCGGTCAAGACGGCAACGAGGCATCGGAAAGTAGACCCATAGATGTCAATGAGGCGGCAGAGAGTGATATCGAAGAAAGCGAAGACGAGCCTCCGAAGTCAGATCACCGGAAACAACCAGAGACCGAAGTGGTTACACACTCAGAAAGCCAGAACGATGAAGCCATGAAGTCTCGACCAGACACAAATGCCGATGTGTCTGCAAAAGGTGCTACATCTCAGGCAGGGGGCCATTCCAGTGCACGCCAGGCTGATGTTTCCGTGGCAAACGACCGGCTTCCTAACAACCTCCCGTCGGACCTGCAAGACAAGCAAGCAAGTCTCCGGCGTCTGCGAGCAGAGCTGAGTAGACTAAAGGAAGAAAACGAGACGTTGGAGAGAGTGATTGGGAGCGAAGGGAATCTTGAAGGTGATCATCTGGCCACGATACTACAACTGGTTTCGAAGAATGGTCCTCCGCAACCAAACAACACCAGATCATATGCAACGCCTCCGGATCTGACCAAATTCTTGCCGGGCAAACTCGACTTCCGGCATCAGACAGAGACTCTGAATGTTGAAGGCCGAGTACAGCTAGGTCATGATTTGAAAGTCAGAGCCCCTGCTCCATGGCCAGTGAGCGTGTTCGCTTTTGCTTTAGGAGTTGTCGTCGACATAGAGAGCGGACAGGTCAAAAAAGTCAAACTGAATGATGACCGCCGTAATCGACCTCCACTTGGGAAAGGCGCCAGAACTGGCATACTGAAATGGGCCAGCGAACGAATACAGCCGCGCCCCGACTCTCTTCGTGTGCACCAATTCGATGTTGGCGGCACAATCTGGGGCATAGGGAAGTGGTTCGAGGCCGCCGTTGAGCGCGCCAAAACCTTCCGGCTACTGGACTTGCAGTACAATATGTCGGTCGACGAAGATATCTTGCGAAAGGAACACGACCAAGCATTGACTCAGGAGACGGCTATCGCGCTGTCTAAGTATCTGGAGGTCATACAGGTACAATTTGAGGCCCACCCACCGGCTTTTCGAAGGGGCAGAGGGCTCAATAATGGCACTATGAAAGCGAAGGTTTTGCTGATCTGGGATATGAACGTTGACTGGACCGGCAGCATATCTTCTCGGATCGATCTCGTCCTGAGCGGCATATCAGGCAAGGCTGAAGGAGCTTTAAAGCAGGTCTTTTCCAGTCTCGTGCCGACGAAAGGAGTCCGTGAGGCTTTCACTGTGACGTGGAAAATGATTCATGCCGAGGATGATGACTTTGATGTTCAAATAAAGGGGAAGACGCAGACGGAGAACAGCAACAACACTGGAGAAGGTGAAGCTGCAATCACGACGGAGGGCAAAAGAAAACGTGCCGAGAATGAGGCTGTTTCCTACGATGTATGAATTATGATGATGAGCTCGATACCCCATACCATGTTGGTAGCGTTCAAAAGAATTCAAGTTGATGCTGATATTTCATTCATTGTTATCGCCTTCTTGATGCGCTCATTGATAATTCCGCACGAGCACGGTAAACCATGATATCGACGCGGCTTTGAGTCATCATCAAAGCTCTTCTGCCCCATGCAAACCATTGTCAATCCGTCCATGAAATCTGCTGCGGTGCATGTTAAAACCCTGCCCACAACAACAAGCAAGTCATGTCTGACTCCGACGTCGACAAAAATAAGTTTTCTAGCACTTTTTCATTTGCCTTCCCTGTGTCCATGAAAAATCAAGATTTGACTAGCTTATTTCTTCTTCTCGGCGTCGGCATCGTCCTTGGCCTTCTGTCTCTTCTCCCGTACACCGACCAGTCTGGCATCAGACCTGGCCACTCTCAATTTGCGGTAAGCATTCTCTTCGCCAGATGGCAAATCGCCCTTGCTGATCTCCTTGAAGCCGTGCTTCAGGCCGACACCGCTGTCGATCGGGAGCGCGGCGCGGACCTTCTTGATGATCTTGTCTTCGGTCGCGGCCTTGACGTCCTCGGCCGAGCTGTCGAGTTTCTTGTGCTGGCCGGACTTGCGTGGGAACAGGATCAAGCGGGCCTTGTAGGCCTGGAGGCGTTCGACGTTCAGGGCGAGAGCTTCTTGGCTGGTGGTTTGGCGGCGGTGGTCGACGGAGATACCGATTGTGGATGCGAGTTTACGGGGGATGCCGGCTTCCTTTGTGGTTGTTAGCATTGAAGTTGGGACAGTTTTTCAAACGTGAATGCATCAATCTGTTAGATGGGCCAGAGATTCATTCTTCAAGCGACGGTACCAAGATTCGTCCCATGACCTTTTCCCCGGCTCTTGTAATCTTCTTTTCCCACCATTGTGCTTTTTGCTTTGAGATAGAATAGGGATCCGCGTGTGGGTGTGTGTGTGCCATACCTTCAATTCCACCAGGGTGAATCCTCTACCGGCTCTGGCGCGACGGTTGTATTTGAGTGTCGGGCATCGGACGACGGGTCTGAGTTTGTCGACAGGTCTGGGAGCGACGGCGGCAGCCTTTGACAGACGAGCAGCCCGTCTTCGAGATTTGCGGCCTGGCTGGTCGAAGTGCACGCGAACTCGGCGCTGCCAGTCCTTGCGGAAGTGGTTGTTGGGCAGCTGCTGGTTGTGTTTGATCGCCATTGTGATGGACGCACAACCTGGAACTGAGATCGAGGGTTATGAGGGATGTCGATTCGTGAAAGAGGTGAGGCCGCAGTCTGAGAAGGGCTTTCTCGACGTTCTCTTTCGGCAGATTGTGTGAAAGCTTGGCAAAAATCTTGGCGCCACTCTCGAAGGTCACGTGGAGCCGACTTCGAATTGTGCTGCGGCAAGGCTGAGCATTGGCCCTGAACCCAGCCTCATCAAGCCAGCCTCGCCAATTGCGTCTTGTCCACGCTGTAGGGTGGCCACAATCAGGTTTTCGAGTACCGCCGTCACTTTAGCCGTCCGACTTCGATGCAATGTAGAGCTCTGAGCGATCGGCAATGGATTATCACTACGACGGAATTGACCCTCAAATCTGGGTCATTATTCGAAGGTGAGAATGATTTCATTCCATAAGACTGAGCATGAGTTATTGTACTCGAGACATATCGTTTCCCTCATGACGATCGACTGAGGTGCATTGAGTGGGTATCATTACAACTGGCATTTCGTTCCATCCAAACTCCTCCAAAAATGACATGCTCTGGTTCACTGACTCCAAGTTTCAATACCAAGTCCAACACCCTTGGACGATTTTGCCTTCTTTGTCTGGATATCAGACTCTCCAAAACTTGCTCCTCGCTTCTTGCTATGAGCGGACTTCTTCACTGGACCAAACAGCTTAGACTGAAGCAGATTGCTTGTTCGTTCCGCATTTTGAGATAACCTCAAACTCTCCTGGGGTCCGGGGTTGCGACGCAACATGTCACTGGCCAAGGAACTCGCTTGCGACTGTGGGATGTTGTCATCGCTGCCTTCTTCAGCATCGGATATGGAGATGGTGCTATCTCGGTGATGACGTTCTCTTTCCGCCGACTCAATGACCAATTGAGAGGCAGGAGCCGAGAAGGGGACCATACCTTCTGGATAGCCATCTTGTGTATTCGGACGCTGGTGGACTGGGGTAGTGTGTATGGATGATAGAGAATGAGCACCACGAGTGTGTCCATGCTTCAGCTTTGAAGTATGCGTCTTTGTTGGGGTTGATGGCACGCTGAGGCTCTCCCGGCTAATGATTTGATCTGCTGCAAGCAGCGCTGCGATGTTGTTCTGGTTTGGGGCCGACTCTGCAAAACGTGGGACAGCTTTCCGCTGTGGAGTGGTGAAGGCATCCCGAGGCGTATTGTAAGAAGGCGACAAACTCTTCAATCGACTGAAGTGTTCTCTGTTGTCGCGAATGCGTTTCTTGAGCCGGGTGTTTTCCTCCAGCAATAACTCGACACGGTCGCTTTCGATCTCGAGTGACTTTTTGATTCGCAGTACTTCGTGCTCTGCCTCATCCCGCTCATCCTCCAATACCCTACAAGCCCGGGTCAATGCCTCAATCTGTGGTTGAGAAGGTGGTTGCGAATTTCTCGTCGAAAATGAAGCGCGGTTTCTGTGTTCGACGGTTTGTAGGACCTCAATCTCTCGGCGGGTCATTTGGGATTCAACTTCGGCTCTTTGTGCAGCCTCTTCCGACTCCATGGCCAGTAGACTGTGTTGTAGCTTGAAGTGAGCGGCAGAGGTCCTAGCTTCTTGTACAGCAGCGACCAACTCCCTAGCGATGTTGCGCATCTCTTCGATGTCTGCTTTGGCGATCGCATCTGGTGTAGGTAATGCGCGCAAGACATTGAGCCTGCCGGTGTACGGAGGTGATGCCAAAAATACTTCACTAGGACCTAGACCAATGCGGTTGACTGGCGAATGAAAGCGAGGCGGTTGTGTCGATGGAGGAGGGGTCATGCTGGCGGACATTGGTGGAGGAGAAGCGTAGGCTGACTTGTTCATGCTGTCTGCCGAACGTGTGCGCTGTGGTGGAGGAGTTGAGGGAAGCTGAGTATCCTCGGTAGCCATGTTTACTTGCGAGGTTTCCATGTCGTACGATTAGACTCGAAGTCGGATGGTCTATTACCTCAGCTGCGCAGGACTTTAGAAGTGAGGGGAGATTGATGGATGTCGAAGGGATCAACAAGGCGGATTTGCTGTCAATTGGCGCTACGCTCCCTATCGATAGTAGTGGAGTAGAGAGTTGAGGCGCAACAACGGTACGGGTTGAGCGACAGCGGAAGCGCAAGAGATGCGTTATGATCGGATCACGAACTGGCGCATTGTGGTGAGTAAGGAACGTCTGTGAGACCTGACAAGATGTCAAAGGATAAAGAGTGCGCAGCTTGGTGATGATATTTGATGGGCTGGGATTTGGGATCATTGACGCTGGAGAAGGAAGAGGCTGGGAAAGGCGGGCACAGAGAGAGCGTGTGAGTGATGAAAGGGTGAGTATACGGAGTACTGGGTGGAGCCAACATGAGCAGGTGATGAGACCCTCCAGTTGGTGGACTCGATACATCAACTGCCACTAAATCAATAGTTGCTTAGCGGCTGCCGCGCGATTTTCAATTAAACGCGTCGACTGTTAAGCGTTTTGTGGGCGTCCATTCTAGTTTGCTTTAGGCGATAAGGCCCTACTTTGTCTTATTGCTGGGACAACCAAAGCCGATCCTTCTCGTGTCCGGCCCCTTTTCCCTGTCAATGTCATTATGCGTGTCTCCCGAGGTCCGCAGGAACCAATTTCAAAGCTTTGACATCTACCTTTTTATCGACGGAAGTACCTTCATTGAAAGTCCCCAGCTTTCAGTTGTCGGGATTTCCAATAAACGGTTCATGGAAACTGATGTAGCAAACATTTTCTCAACGGGTCGCCGCGACGTATATTGAAGCATGGACCAAGACTACGGCTCTAATGGTCCGCTGCGTGGTGGCATTCCACGGCTATCCAGGCTACCCATGCCACGTGCAGTCGCGTCCAGCGACAACTTGAAACTGTCCGCCAGAACGTCTGTGGTTCCAGGGAAACACCAGGATGATCTACGCAAGAAGACGAATATCCCGCTGCCTCCAGGTCCCAAAGTGCCCTTGGGAGAAAATCTGAATCAACCACTTCGATATCGCTTCGGATGGAACGGGAAACCAGTCAAGCCGAGAAGCGCGTCGCCTGTTCGGGATGCTCTTCGCGACGCGCAGACCGCGACCTTAGACATCACTCCTCCTAATTCGGATGCAGATTCGCCAGTCTTTGAGGATGGCTTCGAGAATCCAATAGCAACTACAGTCGAGCCAGAGACAAAAGATCGGCGGAGACCTCGACCATCATTGTCTGAGCGCACCGCAGAGACTTTATCGCGACTAACGCCTTCCCCTTCCCGCTCTAGGAGGAGGTCAAGTATCTTCAGCAACGATGGCACAATGCCACCTCCGGCACGATCAAGGTCGAGACTGAGAGACTCACGCCCTACCACGCCAGCACCATCGCGTCCAGAGTCTCCAGCCAAGGTACCATTCAGGCCACCAGGGCGATGCTCGCCCATAAAGGATGTGATGGGTCCCCCGCCCATGATTTTGCCGGATGAAACTTGCACACTGCCCAAGGCCTTTGTTAAAGGTCAGCGGTCCAAAATTGCAAAACCTCTTCGGGATCCCAGAAGGTCCACCAGCTCTCTCGATGCAAGACCGCCCGAGCAGATTGGTTGGGCACCAGGCAGCGATTCGGCTCAGACTCCAAAACAAAAGCCAGTGTACCGAAGCAAGGCAGTAAGGTCGCAGTCGGCAGCACTGAAATCCTCATTGCCGACAATATTCAGAGATCCCTGTCCAACCATCAAAATCGAGAGCGTTGTGAGCCTTGAGCCACGCCCGCCAGTTGCAAAAACAAAGCCAAAACCAGCGGATAGGACGGCCACCGTTGTTACTCCCAGGCCATCTTCAAAGAGGACCAAGAGTATCTCGAAGGCGGAGCAGAATCAGAACAACATCCCCATGATAGAAATTCATCCCACAACTTCACCAAAGTCGTCACCTGCTCTGCGAGAAACAATTGCAAAAGCGAAGGCCGCCCGGCGAAAAGCACTTGAAATTACCGTGGCCCCGATCGAGCAACCCCTCAATGGTCATGTTGCCCATATTCAAAGCAGTGTTGACGAGACACCATTGGGAAATGCAGACAATGCACATGTCTTACGAACACGCCTTCAAACGGCAGCAACCACCGGCAAACTGGACATAGTCGGCCTGGGTCTGAGAAAGATACCTACAGAGCTTATGAACATATACAAAGCGAATAATAACACCACTGACTGGTACGACGTGGTGGATCTTACGAAAATTAATGCAGCGGATAATGAGATTGATGAGATTGACGAGCAGTTCTTTCCAGACTTTTCAAGGTCTGATCTCGAGAATGACGACGATACAGGCAATCAATTTGGTGGTCTTGAGGTTCTCGACCTACGCAGGAACATGATTCAACAACTACCGATAGGACTGCGACGGTTGACGAGGCTGCAATCATTAGAGCTGAGCGGCAACAAGCTCACCAACGGCGCCCTTGAGATCATTTGCCAGATACCGGACTTACAGGAACTCATGCTCAGCAGAAACGCTTTCAGCGGAACGATCGATATGAGAAATGGAAGCTTGGAGCACCTACAAGTGCTTGATCTGCATGGCAACAGCATCGAAGGCTTTCACGATGAAGGACTGGCCCAGATGAAAAGTCTCAAAAACCTGAACGTCGCAGGGAACAAACTGGCGTCACTCCCTTGGGACGTCCTGGCAACCCTTACACTCTCTGAATTGAACATCTCGGGCAACCAATTAGCAGGCATACTCTTTCCCACCAGAACCACTTTGACCGAGCTACGTGTTCTTGATGCATCATACAACAGTTTGACAGGCGTGTCTGAGAACGACCTCGAGTTCCCATGCCTACGCTCGCTCATCTTGAAAGGGAATCGGATAGCCAGGCTACCGGGCTTATCAGGTTGCAGCGAAATACAAGCTCTCGCAGTTTCGGAAAATCAGCTAGAAGAGTTTCCTCCTGACTTTTTTCAATTGGAGTCACTGAAGATTGCCGACTTTGGCCACAATAACATCAAGTCAATCATGACCGGAATAGCAGGGATGAAAAATCTAGCATTCCTGAACTTGGTGGGAAACCCACTTGCACAGAAGAAGTATCTTTCTATGAGCACGACCGATGTGAAACGGGATCTTGAGAAGAAGCTCGACGTTGTCAAAGAGGAGGGCAGAGTTTCAGACGAGACTCCGCTGTCTCTTAATCAATCCTTGTTTCGTTACCGATACAAAGCATCAGGTGGCGTTCTCGACCTGTCTGCACAGTCATTGTCAGCGATCGAGCTTGCCGAGATCGACCTCACTGATTCAGACGGGCCGATTCGCATTTTGAAGCTGTCGAACAACAACCTTTCCGTGTTCCCAGTCGAATTGCTATCTCACCCACTTGTCAAATACTCTCTGCAGCTGCTGGACCTCAGTCACAATGCTCTCCTGCATCCAACCGACTATCTCTCTTCGGAACTTTTCCTTCCCAGCCTCAAATCGTTGTATATCGTCAGCACCGGCCTGACCTCTCTCGACACATTGACGACTTACTTGAAGGCCCCAGTCCTGGCCGAGCTGAATATCTCCTGTCACAAGTTGGCAGGGCGTGTCCCATGGGTGCGAGCTTGGTGGCCCACCTGCACTACACTGCTCGCGACGGACAACTGGTTCACGAGCGTTGACGCCGAAGGTGTCAGGGGCTTGGAGGTCCTTGACATTCGCAACAACGAAATCGAGACAGTCCCTCCGAAGATTGGCTTACTAGGAAACAAACCTGGCAGCACAGCGGAATATGGGAGGCTGAGAGTACTAGAAGTCAGTGGTAACAGATTCCGCGTTCCGAGATTGATTGTTGTCGAGAAGGGAACGGAAGCGGTGCTCAAAGATTTGAGGCGAATGGTCATGGCAGAAGAGGTGCCTGAGGACTGGAAGGAGTTTGTTTGATCTTTCGCGCAAAACTTTCGATTCTTTTTAACATGTTTTTGCATGGGTTTTTCCTCAGCAGGCGACTTTGTTGTATGTGTCAGCATGGTTTCAAGGTGGAAAAGGCTTCTGACGGCTGCATAAACACCAGTGTTATGATAGTTATTGTGTATGATTGTACCAATATGGGCGACGGTCGATATGGCTGATGAAAGATGGGGTTCTCAGTACCCAGGACATAAATGACCATGAACGCTGGTGTATACAGTGGTTCTTATAAATATTAAGTAAAGGCCGAATCATTCGACACACTCAGCTTCATACTGCGGACGAACATTCATCAGATCTTGATATACGAGGCTGAGGCTGCATGTCAACCCCACACAAGGCTGAGAAATGCAGGTACCGAGTTAGGCGCTCGCAGCCCGCAATATTTCTCTGCTTTGTTGTTTTCTGATCTACAGCCAAAGCCCGGCACCCTCACCACTACATCTCCATCGAGAACAAAACTAGAGACGCCCATAATATCCTTCAGATGGCTAGTGAGTACACGGCGATCGCTTTCTAGTCCCACACTAACACCTTTGTCAGGCCAACATCCCATCGGCGACCCTCCAACGGATGCCATTTCGGCCTTGAGATTTTCACCGCATCCAAATTCCTTGCGCTTCGTCGTGGCCTCGTGGGACAAGTTCGCATACGTGTACGAGCTCATCGATAGCAAAACCTGCAGACAGATCACCAAGTTCGAACACAGAGCACCCGTGCTTGACGTGTGCTTCGGCAAAGATGACAATGAAATCTACACGGCCTGCTTGGACTGGGATGTGAGAAGGTGCGCAAACACAGCCTCCACGAGAAGATGAGTCAAGGCGGAGAACTGACATTCTTCTGCAGGATCGATGTCAGCACTGGAACTCAAACGGTACTCAGCACGCACGACAACGGTGTACGATCAGTTGTCTACAGTAAGCAACACTCCCTCGTCGTGTCCGCGGCGTGGGACTCGACGCTGCATATCCATCCGGGCACAGCAGATGCACAGTGGTCCACCGCGACCATCAATTTACCCTCCAAACCCTACTCGCTCGCCGTATCGTCATCCAAGCTGGTCGTTGCAATGGCCAACCGCGCCCTACACATCTACGAGCTCAAGACACTAGCCAACGAATGCAAGAGCTCTGCAAACTCTTTACAAAACAGACTCGATATCGAACCGTGGCAGCGGCGAGAGAGCAGTCTCAAGTTTATGACGAGAGCGGTGGACTGTATGCCTAACGACGAGGGTTACGCTTCTTCAAGTATTGAAGGCCGTGTTGCGGTCGAATGGTGCGATCCTTCGAACGAGTCGCAGGCGCGCAAGTATGCATTCAAATGCCATCGTCAACCTGAGGGTGATGTCGATGTCGTTTACCCGGTCAATGCGGTCGCGTTTCACCCGATTCACGGCACGTTTGCGACCGGCGGCGGTGATGGTGTTGTCGCAATCTGGGATGCCATTGCCAAACGCAGAATTCGTATCTATCCGAAGCTAGCGGCCAGTGTGGCTGCAACGTCCTTCAGTTCGAATGGCAAGTACCTCGCCACGGCGATCAGTCCGGGCGCCGAGGACGGCAAGGATGAGATCCCTGAAGGTTCGGTAGGCATATTCATCCGAGAACTGGGCGAGAACGAAGTCAAGAGAAAGACGAAGTGAGCTTTGATTCTTGGAAGATTCTATGCCAGCAATTCACGCTTGCCGACAGCCCAACAGTCATTGAATTAGGTCTATAAGTCTCATGTCTCCGCTGAGTGAACGGGTACCAAGGGCGGATACTGCGACACGACGGAAGGCCGTTTCTCCACGGCCCTCCGAACAGAGACACTGCCGTCAGCCATGCCAAAGTAGCATGCGACCGGTCTTTGACCTCCAATAACCCCAGCTGCTTGAGCTTCAGGGCCTGTAGGACCGCAAAAGAGGCCAACGGCAAGAACGCCATTGATATCCTTTATGGCCCGGGCAAGCTGTTCTACTTCCCAGTATCCATGCTCACCATCACCCTGTCGCCCCGAGGTCAGATCGGACCCTATCAGGAGAGGATGGGGGAACGGCGCGTCGATGATGAAGAAATCCTGGTCGGTCTTTATCGGTCCGGCTTTGACCATGTGGCCCTCTCTAATCAATGGTCGTGCGCCGGACGGGCTTCGACTTCCCAGCACGCGCAGCCGTTGAATGACTTGTCTGGCAGCTTTCGGTTCCACTTCTATCGGGACAGTGGGCCATTTCGTCACGAGGCGAGACTGCGATTTTCTGTAGTCTATGACGAATTAGCAGGTGTTCATGCGCAAAATGCGAAACACATACCAGCTACACAAACGAATTGCCTTGCGCGCATGGCGACGAGCTTTTCCTGGTATAAACATGCGCCGCCTCCTTTTATGCAGTTAAGTTCATCATCCACCTCGTCTGCGCCGTCAAAGGCCACATCGATCATAACATCATCGGGGAGAGCGTCGAATTCGATCGGCACAAGACCAGCATTTATGATGAGTTGTTTCGATTGGTATCCTGTTGGTACAAAGCCCGCCCTTGACACGTCCGCACCACTGTTCTTGATTGCTTCCACCACGTAGACGATTGTTGTACCGGAGCCGATACCGACGAAACGTGGGTTCTCGGGGAAGTGGTTTCGTACTGCCTCTATTGCTGCAGCTCTTTTCGCATTTTCAATTTCGGCAGCCATGTTGTCGGCAAGGGTTCGAGTCGTGTGGAAAGAGCTCCTGGTCACTGGACAGTGTATGGAGGTACCGAACGCTCGGAATATGTGAAAGCGTAATCGCACAGGAAGGCTTCCTGCTTGTCTAACTGTGCAGAGTGAGTTGGGACAAAGTGGTATGACTGCGGAGCCTTGTGTTCCCTACATGTGCGGCTGCAGCTGATCAGGTACATATACCTCTCTTCGCAATCGTCAAGTCCAGATTACGTACGCGGTATCGGATGACTATGGCAGACCGGTCGACCCGCGGTCGGAGAGGAAGAGGTATAGTACTCGGAAAAGAGATTTCGTATCTGGTGCGCTGGTATGGTTTGTGTCCCTGTCGAGAGAAAAAAAAAAGGGTTCTTCTAAACGCGGGGTGGGTAGGAGGGGAGCTGTTCAGAACTTTACTTAGGTAGGATCAAAGAACCGCCCCGAGGCCTAGAATGAAGCAATAATTAGGCACAATGATTAGGGGTCCATGTTCAAATCGGTGGGGAGGGCTAACTAGACGGTGACGTCGATACCGGTTGACTTTCCTCGTCTGACAAATGTCCCCCCGTTGTGTTTGTCTGCGGTGTAGTTCGTGTGCTGCAACGAGCCCTATAAACTTGTAACAAACCTTGTGAAAGACAGTAAAGGCTACCGGGGATGTCTCAGACTCGTACGTCCTGCGACTTACGGCGACGGTGACGCCTCGTCTCTGAAACCTCCATCACGCTGTACAACAGCCATGACCGATGCCGAAATCGCACCTCGCGAGGTCACTCCGCCTCCGCTACAGGCTCCTACGGCTAAAGAGAAGAAATACGATCGTCAACTACGATTATGGGCTGCCTCTGGTCAGAGAGCACTAGAAGAGTCTCATGTCTTGCTGGTGGTCGGCGATGAGCCTCAAGGATCCAACAGCAGTGTCGCCGGCGTTGAGGCTCTGAAGAATCTCATCCTTCCATCCATTGGGAACTTCACAATTGCCGATTCGGCAAAAGTCACAGACGCCGATCTGGGTGTCAACTTCTTCCTGGAAACAGACAGTCTACACAAGTCAAGAGCAGAAGAGACGAAACATCTCCTGTCAGAGCTGAACCCAGACGTAACAGGTCATGCTATCACCGCACCACTAGCAGAATGGCTTCCTGTCGAAGGCTCTCTGACACCGTACAACCTCGTTCTCATTTGCGCACCGATCCAGCCAGAGATCCTTCAACGGATATCCTCGTATGCAACGGAAAGGTCAATACCCATAATCTCCATCCAATCAGCCGGCTTTTACGGTTCCTTCTCGATACAACTGCCTCACGAGTTCCCCATTGTCGATACCCATCCAGACCCTGAGAGCACGCAGGATCTCCACCTCCTCGCTCCCTGGTCAGAACTAGAATCAGCAATAGATTCACTGGGTGACCTCTCTGCACTGTCAGATCACGACCACGGTCACATTCCGTACATCCTCCTCTTGTTATATTACCTGAGAGAATGGAAGTCAAGTCACAACGGCTCCTATCCTTCGACGTTCAAGGAAAAGACAGAGTTCCGTGAATTGGTTCGCTCAGGTGCAAGGACGAACAGTCCCGAAGGAGGCGAGGAGAACTACGACGAAGCATGTGCGGCAGTATTAAAGAGCATTGGCCCTCCACCCGTGGGTAGTGGTTGCAAGGAGATGATGTCTATGCCTACTTGTACAGATCTCAAAACAGAGTCTGCAAACTTCTGGGTCATTGCACATGCGATCAAGACTTTCTATGACGCCCATGGAGTCCTTCCGCTTCCTGGATCGTTACCAGACATGAAAGCGACCAGCTCGGAGTACATACGACTGCAGGGTCTCTATAAAGCGAAAGCGAGAGCCGACGTCGCTGAAGTCGCTAAGACTGTCCGCCAACTCGAGGGGTCTCTGTCGAGGTCCACCCGAATCGAAGACTCGGAGATCGAAGCATTCTGCAAGAACGCCTCTCACGTCCGTGTCCTTACGAACCCGAACAATGAACGCGTTCCATCTCTCCGATTGGCCACATCTGATGCGAAGACTCTCGCAAGACTGCCGAGTCTTGTCGAAAATGATTGGGAGGGCATGTTCGCTGTCTTTGTAGCATTGAACGCGAACATCAACCCTGAGAATCCTATTGATGTCACTACATTATCGTCCGATGCTGAAACACAGGAGAACTACACCAATGCCATCACAGAAGTTGAGCGAGTATCTGGTGGTGAACTGCATAATATTTCAAGCGTTCTTGGCGGTATGGTGGCACAGGAGGCGATCAAACTGCTTACTAGGCAGTACGTTCCTGTGGATGGGACATGCGTCTTTGATGGCATCAGAAGTAAGACCGGGGTCTTCAAGATCTGATCTGACCCCGTGAGGGTCGAAGACAAGGTGGTTATGAGAGTCACATACCAGTGAACATGCTTGATGGCCGTACACTAGTCATGACATAAGCAAGGCATTCGTCCAAGTAGCATAGACGGACATGACCAATGGACGAGATAGCCGCGAGACGTTTATCAGCATCATACAGAAGTAATACCAGACCAGAAAGCATCATACGAGTATTACACTCGACCAAAAATGTTGTATAGGACTGGTCCCAAAACGTTCCTACCAGGATTTGATTGATTCTACCTGCTGTACCAAGGCAAGCCCATCAGGAGCACTAAGTGGTTATCAAGCGATATTGAACTCATCCGCTCCTCCACCCATCATCATCTTCCTATTCCGAACCTTCTCCTTCATCTTCTTCGCCGCATCATCAACATCACCACCAGCACCCGCCTCGTGCGTCTCATCACCACCACTCCTAATTCTCTTTCCTCCAGCACCTCCCTGGCTCTGCCCGCGCCGTCCCGTCCCAACGACGTTTACTCGCCCAGGCGGATCTCGCAAACCAAAAGCCTTGGCCAAGTGACCTAAATGTAAATCCTTGATATCAAACCACTTCCGCTCAGCAGCAACATGCGTCGCATAAGCACGTACATGGCTCTGGAACGCACGCTTCGCAAGCTCCTTTGTCGTCGGATCCGCAAGAACCCAGCGCTCAACATCGAGTTGGAACGCTGTGGCGCGCGATTCCCAGTTCCAATCTTTCTGCTCGGCTGAGTTTTTGGTAGCGATGACGCCAGTGGCAGGACTGAACCCCTTCTTCAGCACCTCGTCGGCGGCCATGTGGCTTACATTGCTGGAGGTAACGCTGTCGGAGGATTTGTAGGAGCTTTTCAGGACATCCACGTAGCCTTCCTCTTTACCCGGCATGAGGAAAATGGTGGCACGGCCGTCACGGCCTAGACGTGCAGTCCGGCCGATACGGTGGAGGTGGTCGTCGGAACTGAATGCGGGATCGTATTCAATCACCAAATCTAAATTGGGAAGATCCAGACCACGGGATGCTACGTCCGTGGCGATAAGCAGTGAAGGCGTCGTGGTGCTGGCGAAATGACGCACGATGTTTGTGCGAGTGGCTTGCGGGAGGGAGCCGTGTAGTTTATAGAGTGTGACTTGGTTGTTTTGGGAGGAGAGAATCGGTGAGGGCGCTATCGAGTCCGACTCGGCTTCCTTAGTGGGTTGAGGTTTGGACGTAGGTCCCTTTTCCTCGGCATCAGAATCTGAAGTATCTTTCGTTGTTGGTTTGTCTTCTGCTTGTTCTTCGAGGGCTCGAGTGAGGACTTTGTAGTGGAACTCGACGGAGTCGGCGCACGATATGAAAACAATTGCTTTCATAACCGATCCCTTCCGGGCGAATGTTCGCTTGAGTAGTGCTGTGAGGGTGACGAGACGCAATTTGGCTGCCGTGACGAGGTATGATTGTTTGAGCTGGGCTGGAGCCAGGAAGGCTGACTGTATGCCATTCGTGGTGGCTGTTGTTTCGTCTTCGTCGTTGCTAGCGTCGCCTTTGATCAGGATTGCGTCCTTGAGACTGATCTCGCCCAGCTTCTGAACGTTCATTTTCAGTGTCGCCGAGCAGAGTACAGTCGTTCGCTTCTCGGGTAGACCCGGTCTACTGCTCTTTCTCTGCTTCTGGTCAAGGGTTTTGACAATCTTGGTGATGTCTTCTTCGAAGCCCAGATCCACCAGACGGTCACCTTCGTCCAGTACAAGCCATCGCACGTTACTGACGTCCAAACTCTTGGTATTCTCGAGATGGTCGACCAAACGACCAGGCGTAGCGACCAGGATGTTCAACCCTTTTCGTAGTCTTGCCTTTTCTGATTTCTTTTTCTCGCCTCCAATCACCGTACCGGCAACGATATAGTGTGCACACCCTAGTAGACGCTCCAGGACCACAGAGATCTGCTTGCACAATTCTCTTGTAGGTGCAAGAACTATGGCAAAGAGTCCTGAGTCCCGATGCACGGCCGGGTCTTGGGCAGTCTTCGTTTCACTCCTGCGTAATTCTGCCATAGTGAAGATCCGTTGTACCACTGGAAGTAGATATGCAAGGGTTTTGCCTGAGCCGGTCTCAGATTGTATGAAGGCATCACTATCTTCCTTCAGCAGCTGGGATACCGCCGACTTTTGGATCGCAGTTGGGTTCTTTAGGTTCATCTTGGTAAGGAGATGCGCAGCAAGTGTGGGCGAAAGGCCTAGGGATGTGAATGTGTCTATGCCGTCGGGAAGAGGCGCATTGGTGGGTGCCGCAGCTTTCTCGTCCGCATCCTCCTTTTTTTGATCTTCGTTGGCTGTGACCGGCTTTGGATTGTATGAGAACAAGGATGAAATGACCTCCCGTGGTCCGGTCGAAGGCTTTTGCTCGTTGCGTCTATCTCGTTGGGGAGCGTGGCCGGCAACGTCGTCCAAACCAGGAGTGTACCCATTTTCCCGCCTCCTCTTCTGCGGTCGATCGTCAGGAAAGTCTTCAATCTGATTCTTCGAAAGCCCTGCGCTGCTATCCAGACGCCGTCCTGTGATCGGGAGACCGTTGACACCGCCTTGTCTGCGCTGTCCACCTCGTTGAGCGGTTCTCTTCGCCTGTAAACGTTCTCTCCAAGACCCACCTTTGAACTTCTGAGGACCCGCGGCGACACTGTCGTTGACCGCGAAGTTCAGCAGCAGTCCATCGTCCGCCATTGCAGTAAGGGCTATAAAAGGCTCAAGTGTAGAATTTGTCTGCGGAGGCCACCCAGCGACATGCGTAAAAAGATGCAGGACTGATCAAGTTCTCGCAGATCTCGAAACTTTTTCCTAAAGAATGCGGAGAGATGCAGCCACTCCGATTGGTGGACGCTACTCACCATCGCTCTCGAAAAGTGCAGCTCACTCCTTCTGTAGACCACGCTGCACTTTCCATCATGCACCGTCTGACTCACTTGAAACCGACGGTGACCTCGTGTCGTTCACGATGAGGCTGGTGTCTGCATTTCCGACCTCAGTCAACCGCAATTTGGGCGGCGGGTCACCAGAACGATGGAGACGGCTGCATTGAGAACCATCGGCATACGAGCGCTGGCTAGGCCATCCTCGCAAAGGAATCCTTGGTCAAGATGGACACGCTCGACGATGCATATAGTGCGCTGGAGTTCGACCACAGGCGCTACACAAGTACCCTTCCCAATCTTTCGCGATGTCCCGCAGTTACGAGAAGCGCGCAAGAAAATGTTTCGAGAAGGAAAGGAGGTCGGATTTGTTGCGACGATGGGAGCACTACATGATGGACATGTTTCTCTGGTCAAGCACGCCCTCGAGGAGAACACCGACGTCTTTGTCTCGATATTCGTCAACCCTACACAATTTGCGGTTCATGAGGATTTAGACGCCTACCCGCAGACATGGGAGGAAGACTTGAAGAAATTGAAGCAAATACAAGACGAGCATGCTGCCTCATCAGGACCGAACAGCAATTCAAGGATACGAGGAATATTTGCGCCTACGGTGAAAGTCATGTATCCAACTCTACCTCCGAGTTCTGATATTGCTGGTTATGGATCCTTCGTCACCATCACACCTTTGGGGAATCAACTCGAAGGTGCGTCACGACCAATATTCTTTCGAGGCGTGGCAACAGTCTGCACCAAGCTATTCAACGTCATTCAGGCCGACAGGGTCTATTTCGGCCAGAAAGACGTCCAACAATCTGTCGTGATCAAGCGCATGGTCAAGGACTTCCTCATCCCTACCGAAGTAAGGGTCGTCCCCACGAGTAGAGAGCCGGACGGGCTAGCCATGAGCAGCCGCAACGTCTACCTTGGTGAGCGACGACGAAAAGATGCCGTTGTGCTTTCAAAGGCGCTATTTGCTGCTCGTGAACTGTACAATGCCGGCGAACTTCGCGGCAAGGTGATCAGAGACGCCGCCTTTGAAGTCTTTCACCGCGAGACATTGGCCAAGCGAAAAGATGGGAAGCTTGAGAGCAGCTGCCGGATCGAGATCGACTATATCGCGTTGAGCGAGCCCGAGAATATGACCATGATCAGGGACTTTGACAAGATCGACCCAAGACGTGGGGCGATTCTAAGTGCCGCAGTGTATGTGCAGCCTGTTGATGAGCCAAAGAACCAGGATGAACTGGACCAGAGACTTGTGAGACTTATCGACAACGTGATTTTTGAGCCACGGGAGGGGACTCGGCACTGAGTCGATATGATGAAGTAATATGCCAGCATTGTGTTGGGAATGACCATCACAGACATCATTGACCTCAATAGATATCCCATAACGAGATTTTGCCATCTTTGCCGCCAGCTGCCAGCCAGTGCGTCAAACGTGCATTTTCTGCCCGCTGTTGCTTGATCAGGTCTAGAGCAGTAGGTCTTGACACAACTTCGGTGGCATGGTCGTTCGAAGAACCTGTCTCATTGTTCTCGTGACTGTCATCGTCTGGATCAATAACCGCAAAAGCTGTAGCGTAACAGCCCAATGTATGCCACTTCAGCACCGCCAGCTCCTTGAGAGTCTTCGCTGAGTATACTCGTACACGTCCATCCCAACCAGCGGTGGCAAGGATTCTGCCGTCGGAACGAAGTCTTAGGCCCTGCTGACCAGCATGTTTCGTATTGACTGATTTTGCAGGCTTTGTTACCGCTGATATGTCCGACAGCCTTATGGCGAACTTGGCAATCGTAGCATCAGCACCCGACGTGACGAACTGGTCCCTTGACGGCGAGACGTCAAGCGATAGAACAGGCTGTGAATGTGGTCTGCTCGTGGTGACCTTCTGCCAGGGGCCATTCACGTCGAGGAGCCCATCGTGCGTATGAACCATTATGCTTCCGTCCTCATAGCCGGATATCAGAACAAGTCGAGACGAAGACGGGTCTCTGAGTAAAGAAACGGCCATGACCATACCAGTCGTAGAGTCCTTGTCTGATTGAAGTTGTGATACACGGCGCTCAGAAGGTAGTTGGAAGATATCGATACCTCCTGAATCCAGACCGTTCGGCGAGGCAACCAGTTGGGGGACAGAGCCTTGGTCAAGAGGCGGCCGCACTGTCTCGTCACACATGGACATGGCGCAGAAATTGAGCGCGCTGACCGACAACGAGTGCAGTAGCCATGGCTGGGCTTGGTCGAGTGTTGCGCCGTCGTTTGGCAATGTGGTACTGAGGCACGCGAGATCTTCGGTTCGGACATGCCATACGCGCAGTTTGTGGTCCCTTCCGTGACTAGTAGATATTGTGAGAGAACGCTACCCAGGCGGAAGTGTCCAACTTACGTGACGAGTCTGTCATCGCCCCAAGGGCGGATTGCCATGAGGGCGCCATCGTGCGCTTTCCACACGGCGACAGGACGTTTTGTTGCCAGGCTCCATATGATCAGCCATCCTTCACTGTCGCCCGAGGCTAAGTAGCTGTTTCTGCAGTAGAAGTGCAGTGCGTGGATGGGGGCGTTGTGACCTCGTAAGACGTATGTAGGCACGGCAGGGCCTTGTTCCATTGCTCTGGGTCGCAACTATGTCATTTCTTGCTGGGCATCGAGCACTTTGGAAAAGAGTTCATCATGTATTGACGATGTCGTTCGTCGGAGCTTTTCGGCCGCAGAGCACACAGAAATTCCACTACACCCCTCGACACCGAACGGTCATATGAATGCGTTGATGAAACTGTACAGGCATGAAACGCGCTTCACAGTACCGTCGAGATTTAAGTTTAAGTAAGTCCTAGGTCTCATGGTAGGTAGCCTGGGTGCCCGGGTCAATATGGTGGGGTGCAAGAAGGCTCCCTAGGCTGCCAGCCTTTTGAGTGCGCACCTTACCTAGGTAAGAATGGGAGCCAGTAATGCTGCCTCCTTTCGAGCTTCACACTATACGACGGGTGTGATAGTCCTTTTTAAGTGTATTATAATGATCGTACTCAAGTTATTGTAGATGTACAGCTATACACAGACGTATATCTCGTGCCCATATTCACATCACCCATATTCGTGGGTATTAAAGGCTGATAAGCCATTGAAAGACACATCAAACGCTTGCTAAAATGCCTTGATTCCAATTGCAGCCTGTCCTGTTCGTCCAGTCATGTACGAGTTGGGTATCTAGTACCTGCAACAGAATTACCCATTTGCGCCGTACTCTGTGGTTACGCTTGTTTCATCTTGAGATCATTGATTGATATCTTGGGTGAAAATCCCAAGGAAGAACAATGTGAACGAAAGCTCTTGATCGTCCGCCTTGCTGGTGAACTGATGGTCAAGGTGGATGACAGTATGATCAAATATCCAACGCCGTCATGCTCCTGTCGTGATTGTTTGCTGCTACCCCATGGTAAACAAAAGACTGATTGTAGGAATACACGAACCTCCCTCAGAGGGAAGGTATAGCAGAGTATCCGTACATCAGTGTGTTGTGCATAACATGTCCAGGGGCGGGAGGAACGTAATTGCCTTGATAGGGGGGATTTTGCGCCGAAAAGTCGGCATTTTTGTACAGAGGGTTGACAATGCCCACGGGATATTTTGGCCGAGGAGGTGTGGCTGTTGCTGGTGCTGGCTGACCTCCAGATGTCGAATTGGCATAGTATGACGGTGTAGAGCCTATGCTGCTGTAGTCTTGTTGCGGAGTGCTGTGCCATCCCCATTTCTCCTTTAGGTCATCATGAATAAATGTCACACGCCAACCAGTCTCCTTCTTGATTCTGTCGAAGATCTGCAGGACCTCTTCTTGCTCTCGTCGGATCGTCAGATGTTCTCCTGCGACTGCGAGACATCGAATGGAAGCGGAGGCAACACCTCTATCCTTGACATGAGACACGATGCCGCATATTTGTCTTGAATGATAGACTGTCAATTCCTGCATTTCTTCGGCTGTCTGGGGCTGCAAATCAGCCAACGGATGAAGTGAACCTAGCAGGACCATCGCAGTGTGATAGAAAAGCCTAGCAACAACGGTCGCCCGCTTGATGTACCAAACCTCTGGAAAGGCGCTCTTTGACGAAGTCATGTAAGCTGGCACAAATCCCATGGCGTGCATGGTCGGTGGAACGCATTGATTCCAGCGGTCGCAGAACTGCTTCAACCCCAGCCACTGTTGGTGTCTCTGGTGTAGGCGTGTCTGCTCTGCATGTACGGTAGGCTCCTGAAATCGTGGCTGTGCTGATGATCGGAAATTTGTGATCTTGGACAAAATCCATAGCATCTTGTGCGTCCAGCCTTCTTCATTGCCCGGAATGTGCTGGGGGTTCATAGCCATGTCGATGCCCCATGTATCCGGGTCCCAAGCCACACTCCAGTTGAAGTGTAAACAGCTAAACAATTCCAATCCGACGTTCAACCAGAAACAGGCGGCACCAACACCAGTGGAAGTGGCATCCCACCGACACTCTTTGATGAGCGCGCGGGCGCCAGCGATATGGTTCATGCGCTGCAGAGCTTTTTCAGACATGACTTCGTAGACGTTGAGTATAGTGGCAGTGGTAGCGCAGAGCACGCTATCCCGATCTGGATTTTGTAGCGAGTTCAACAGGAGTTGCGTCGCATTGTTGTAGTAGTTCAGAGCATGCTCTTCCGGGTAAGCAGGATTCACCAGTGTCAGATGACGGACTCCGCATGCTAAGAGGGCGTATTTCAACATGGGTTCTCGGAGTGCTTGGAAAGGCACGCGGCGGGAGAAATGCTTGTCGGCATCCATAGAGTCCATCCAGAGACCAACCTCTTCGACAAAAACTTGCATGTAGAGGACTTCGTTCCTGTCTTCCATGCACGGAGGGGGAGGGTTCTGGTCGGTGGGTACCAACATCGTCTGGTCAAATGATTGTCTGATGTTTTGAGCCGGCTCCGAGTATGAAGCCATGGTGTTCGCAGCATCTTCATACGGTTGAGCGGTAGGACCAACATATGCCGCCTGAGATGGTTCGGCATAAGGCTGTTGGTAGGATTGTGGACCTGGAAGCTGTTGATGAGCTATCATGGGAGCGGCAATCTGGCTGTAGTCGTAGCTTAAGCTTGTCGTGTGTATTTTCTGCCGCTTACGCTCGGGCTCCAACGGATGATACCTCTCTAGACCGCCCTGATATTCCGATGCGATGTCGCGGGAGTCATCCTGGAAGGTGACTTTCCAGTCATGTGTTGGTGGCAACAGGTGCGGCGGTCTCTCGCATTGTATGTCGATGAAATTGAGGCGGACACCTCGCTTGCACTTGCGATTCGACTTCCTACAGTTCTGGCAATTTGGCAACCCCTCGTCGCACTTCAGGTGTCGTTCTCGGCATGTCAGACATCCGGTCCTTACACGCTTTGGCTTTGCCGCAGGGGCATTGTCAGACTTGGCCGGAGGAAGACCCTCTGGCTCAGTCATCGAAGAGGGGGTGTTGTGCACAGTGTGAGAGGGGGTCGATTTATTCGACGAGGCCTGGGTCAGAGAGGTGTGATCATTGATCGCCGCATCTGCAGCGGCGTATGGCGGCGTCAGTATGACTGATCTCTGGAGGGCGTGTTTGTCGGGTTCCTGGTCGTATAGTAGCGGGGGATGTTGCGGTTGCGACGGTGTTGGTGCGGCGTAACTCGAATGGTATGGTGAGACAGAGGCAAAGATAGAGGCGTGGTTGTTGGAAAGAAAAGGAGCCGCAGCGGGCAGAAATGTTGAGTACGAATGAGCCAGCTTGGATCCTTTCACAGTGTTGTCCTAGCCATATGTTCTTGTATCGGGAAGTTCAGCCCTCTGACGGTGCTGACAGTGGTCTTTGCAGGCAGCAGAATCGGGAGGAGCTCTTATAGAACGATGTCGGATTGAGCAGGCGCACGGAGGACTGATGTAGGGGCCTACGCAGGATTCCTGGTATTGCTCCGGATGGTTGCGATAAGTTTGCTGAACAAAGAGGGATCAGTATATGCAATTTGCAAAACATTTGGACCGCAAGAATGTTTCTGAAAGAATGCATGAAGACAAAGTGCAATTGCGCCAGACCCATGCAGCAAAGAAAAAGAACGGTGTTGTGTTGCGCAGCTCTCAAGTGGTTTCAGAACAGAGAAAGGAACCGCAGTTTTGTTGCATTAAAGCTGAAAATCGCAGGGCCTTGTTCATGCGCCCCCCCCCTCCCAATGACGGCATCTGACCGTCTGTACCCCGAAGGAAATAAGGCACCACCACCTAAGCTTGGCTTTTGCTTAAGGTATACATGCTTGTGGAACGAGACGTCTTTCAACAACGTACCTTTTCTTTGTTAACTTCTTGTGAATGTGTTGGTTGTATGCTTCTTGGTAGTATCAATTGAGTTTGTGGCACAGTTTTGACGAAGGAAGGTCGAGTCGGTGGACATGGGGCACATATACATATTATTCTAAGGAAATGGAAGAAGAGACGAGCAGCACAAGACTCCAGGGCCCAGGCTTCGAACAGGGAATTGAGTTCAGTCAGGCATGATCGAGTGGATATTGCTGGCCGATCCGCCTGGTTCCAACACTGTGGTCAGAGGAGTGATTTAGGGTGTGGCTTTCGCAATTGCAAGCCAAATGTCATAGCATCACAAACTAAAGGAAAGACGTCGGAGTCGACGAAAGCCAGATGCACTGGGGTGATTGGTAGGGCCATCGCCAAAACCCAGCAGGGGAGCACAAGGAGAAGCCGAAGCCTATTCCATAACAGTCCTTGCATACCCAGGGAGCCGGGGTTGAAACTACGGGGCCGCGCACAGTGGGCATCAGATCAATTGAGATTTGGCGTCACTGGCGTCGTCTGCTGTTGCTACTGACATAGGCGCAGCTCCGCGGGCATCCTTTGCGCAAGGCCTCATCAGCTGGCAAGGGTAGCCCTTCCTGCGACAAGACAGACTAGCGAAAGTCCAAGATTCAACATCACCACAAATTCAAACACAAATCCAGGAGACGATCACTGTCTGTTCTGAGAACATGACGGCCAGTTCCTTCAAATCATTTGCTTGACAGTTCAAGGGCCTAGACGATCAATGGAGCCCTTGAATCACTGTGGACAGCGATGATTTGAAAATGAAGAGGGATGGACTCCGGCTATCGCCTGACGATCTCCCTCGAAACGGCAGTCATCTCTGTCTATCCCGACTATCATTGCCCTTCTCTTGTTTACTCCGCCCTGCATTTCCTGCTCAATTGGTCATTCTTGTCGCTCATTTGGGATTCCTGCGTTTTCCATCGCCTCGCCTTTCTGCTCATTTGTTGCTGAGAGTCTTCTCGGGTCCTGACAAGCCACACTTCCCCCTGCTCGCTTGTGTGACGACTTGACGCTGTGCTTTCGTTGGACGATAACTTGTGGCGAAGAGTGCTGAATGAACCTGGTTGTGGCTCAGTATTTGATCCTTCACATACCCTTGTCAAGGCCATTTCAACAGGGCAAGTTAGCAGTATTTCTCTCGCTTGGAGTTTGCCATCCGCCAAAGCACCCACCTAAAGCGTTGTCCTACTTCGTCCCTCGGGTATGCAGTGTCAATTGGTGGCCCTTCAAGTATACCAATGGTGGCATTACTTTTCCACTCCATGAGGCCTTCTCGGCCCTTTGCGGGCGTAAGATGTTGCTCCTAGTGCTCCTCCCACCACCGGCCGTTCCCGTTCATTTCTTTAGTTCCCTGTCATTGCCGTTTTTGGTCGTCTCGTTTGAATGCCTGTTCCCTTTTGGGATACACGCCCGGCTACCCCTGCTTCCGAAGGCATTCGGCGTCCCCGAACGTCCAGGCTTCTGGAATCTGGACCTTCCTCCCGCATCACAGCTTCTCATAACGGTATGGTCTTCGCTTCAACATCAGGGATCCATCATATGTTGTGGCTTCATCATTCCACGTGGCAGATTGTGCCCCGTAGTCATCTTCATATGCAAGACATGCATGGCTGGAGCCTGCAAGCACGAGGTTTTCCACGCGAGTCTCATGTGTTTTGATACATTAGCGCAGACACTCGCATTCACCCCTTGTTCTAGCTGGCTCTGGAGATTCCTCCAACTCCTAGTCTTCTCGCCTACCAAACGAATCGCTTGTTGCATCATGTCCTCGAGTTCGAATATGGCTTGTTCATGCGCGCACAAGGAATGATCCTGGTAAAGACTGTAGTCAACCTGACCACCTTCCAGGTGAGGTCATGTATGGGCGCCCAATATCACAGATATCTAAATGACCTGCCCAGAATGGACAAAGCTTTGTCAAGTTGATGAGTCGTCAGGCCTCCGATGGCAGACTGTGTTGATTGCAGTTAAAATTCGAGAAGGTGCTGGCTTGTAGGTCCGTACGAAGTATGAATTCAAGACTAGGCTCGGCTCCAAGGTAAGGGCAAATAGTGTCGAATTGTTCAGCTTCACCACAGGCGAAGCACAAGTACATACGCCATTCCTGCGACATTAATCCGAACCATATTCATGTAAGCACGTACAGAATAATAACGCTCTACCAGGTATGCCAACCTGAGAGGGCGTACGCTCCAAAACCATGATAATAAGTATCTCCTTTACACCACACAAGTGAAGGTTACCTCATCCACACAAAAAGCGCTCATATCAGACTAACCCAAAAAGAGATTCATATATTGGTACACCTCAACACACTTCAAAAACAGAAAGATCCAACTTTACAGCAAAAAAGAATGCTCACTATCGGATTCGAACCGATGATCTTGTCATGACGAGAATACGAGTGACACGCCTTACCCCTGGGCCAAGCGAGCCTAAGAATTCTGGGTCTGTCAAGTATGAAAGACTTGCAAACAATTCTGTGACAGAAATTGCACCTTAATTATCCTGTTTCAACCTTATGAAGAGCCTAATTCATCGCCGGTTAGGCGTTATTTTGGGGGGGCTTGCCGCCTCCACGAATGAGAATTAGTGGCTGCTAGCGGCGTCGTGAGGGGTCCTCCAAAAGTGTTCCGGCTAATGGTCGGTATGACACAAAAAGTTCTTGATGCCCATCTCTGACTGTGTCCTGGCCAGCAGCGAACACGAGTCAACCAACACCTATGTGTGCAGTACACCTATCCGATTCAACAGACCTCCCGTAAAACTCACAGCCTCTTCGAATGGCACCCTTGCCAATCGGTACGCCACACATCCTCTCCCCGTCGCCCTGGTAGGCACACTTCCACCGAGGCGAGTACGTCGTCCACTTCCACAGACCCTACATAACCATGACATCCTCACCACGGCCCACGGCCGCCACGACATCAGCACCGCCAATCTCACACCCAGCACACACTCTCCTCGCCCGCGCGCACTCCCCGGACACATCAGCACGCATCTTCACCGACAAAGTCAAGAACAAACCTCTCCTGCTCGAACCGACCGCAGGATCCGACAAGCGCGCCCTCAGACGACACATCCGCCTCCGCAAGAAGGAGTACTACCTTCGCAAACGCAAGCCACGCCCGCTCAGTGCCAAAGAGAAACGCGTGCTGGGCGTTTTCAAATTACAAAAGAGTGAAATCAAATATGATATCTACAAGAACTTGCACGACCTGTGGAACGGGTATATGCTTGAAGTTCTAGGGTTCACAACACCCCCAGCAAAAGACGGCAATACACCAACGAAAAGGTCCCCAACAGTGACGGCGCAGAGTCACGGCATTCTTCTTGCCAGTGCGGACTTCCACGGTGCCGAGCTCGAGGTCGTGCGTTGCGGTGATGCCGGGAAAGTCGGGATCAAGGGTATTGTAGTGCGCGACACACAGTATACGTTTGTCGTTGTTACGCCCAAAGACGAGGTCAAGACTCTGCCGAAGCGGGATACCGTGTTCAGGTATGAAGTCGCTGTTGCCGAGGAAAAGAGGCTGGTGTTTGAAGTGCATGGGAACCAGTTCGAGTTTAGACCCGTGGATCGGGCGAACAGGAAGTTCAAGTGGAAGGTCATGGACTATCTATGAGTCTATGGTGAAGAGTTGCATGTTGCTAAGAATGTTGAAAGCGGTCTCTGTGTTCTGATATGCGGTATGATGAGTACGACGGTTTTCACGACTTCGCACTGAAGTGCCGGCGAACCTCAACAGCGGCCAACCACTTCGCTTTGAAGAAATGTCATTCACGTTCTACGAGAAGTCCACTTCGAAAAGATAAACAAGGGGTATCACATTGCGGCCCACTCCACGCTAAAGGTCCTAACATCGCCTGCTGGAGATGCACCGCCGAGCAAAAAGCCCTTCTTCACGCCCGTGCCGAGTCTGCCACCACCAACGATATTCATCAGGTCAATCGGCTCATCCCACTCGGCACCGACAGCCAGGAAATGCGAATGGAATCGCAGAGGGTCGCCTGGATAGACCGTGTATTGGCAGCCGAATCGCAAACCGGGTGTCGTGAAATACCCTTTGTCGTGCAGGTGTCTGTAGAGTGGGTATGAAGGCGGCAAGTCCTTAATAGCCGGTCTGGGCGTCGATGGAGGAATTGGGAGAAGAAGTTCAGATGTCGCTGGTGTGATCTGAACAGTATTCGCTGCGGACAGATTCGACGGGACCGCAGTGGATGCGGATGCCTGAGAGTTGGAACGATCTGTTGCAACGACACCTGGGACATCCGTTGACGCGTTTCCATGCTCGTCGGAGTCCTCAAAATCCAGTAGATTAGTAGCAGTGCTGTTTTCCCGTGGCACTGAACATTTGGCTGACTTCTGAGATTGCTTCTTCAATGCGCGTTGCCTTGCTTGCTCCTTTTCTTGGCTTCTGGCTTCCTCGAATTCTCGGGATTGCTGTTCTATGCTTGCGAGATAGTCATCTCGACGGGTTTTCTCGGCGGAGTGAAGTGCTTGATCATGAGCTCGGGCTTCGTCCAGTATGTAAGCAACTCCCCTTTCCACCAGTAGTTGTGCTTCTTCAGGCATAATTTCTGCCGGCATTCCCAAGAAGACATTCTGCGACGGAGCCAGTGGCAACGTGCCGATCTGCGCACCACATATGCGATGTTCTCGACGCAGGTAGGTGGCTATCTTGACGTCGAAGATCAGATACCTTCCACCAACCACAGAGATGGGCACTGGGAGATCGGGCTGATAGTCGAACCCCAAGTCCGACGAGCTGTCCATCAGGGAGCTGTCCACCAATGATGAATTCTGCTTTGATGTGACATTAGTCAGACGTCCCCAGGAGTAGAAAAAGAAGATATTCGTAAGAAAGGATAACGATCATATTTCAACAACGATTTTTCGCTTCAATCAGATGGCTCCGAAGAGCTCTTTCAGTGGATTGACAGATTATAAAAAGGATTTAATCATGCAAAATGTAAAAAGGGTGCTCTGATAATACGTACCTCGATTGAAGACGGTTTGAAGTCTCGAAGGAAAACCGGTCACTGATCTCGAGCGAACGATGTGGCGAGGGTGCCTAATGATGGCGAGCACGAGCGAGTAATGGGAGAGGACGGCTTGAAGAATGGTCCTCAAGCAAAATAATTATGGCTACATGATTTCGTGGTTGATGGAGTAAAAGAGAAGAAGACAAAAGTCGAAGTTGATGTTTCGAAAATATCGTATATAATTCCTTGGCGGGCAAGTGCTCCATCTTCTCAACGACGTGCTCGCCTTCTCATGCTCACAGTTGCACCAACAACATCTACCCGGCTACTTCGTCCTGCTGTCTCGACGACCATCGCCCAACCGGCAAGATACTTTGGTGTCTAATCAAACCTAGATCTCCCACACAATCGCATCCCTCAGGTAATGGGGGTCTTCTGGCTGTTAACACTACTGTTCTTTGTCCCGTTGCTCCTTTTTCTAGGTTTGTATGCACTGGACAAACGAAGCACAAGCGTTGACCTGTAGGTAGTATTCCTGGCACTATCGTCATGTCTTGGTGATGGTTTCCGTGCTCGAATCTCGGGGTTCAGTCTTAACCCTCGCCATGGCTCGTACGATCACACATACTTCCGCACAATGACCAATCCTGGACCGGGCTCTTCCGAGCACATTGAGATGGAGACGATGCTCAACGATCGACATCTGCATTCTGACGTCGATCTATGACGCGTGATAGACGCTTCAAAATTCCACATCGGCCTTCTTGGTCTTTTGATCTGAGCTCGAAGTTTGCTGGGCTTCAGTGTCACCCTCAAGGGGCGGAAGATTGAATGGCTTTATGATGAACTTTCTCCTGCTCAGAGTGAAAGTCCAGTCGTTCTCTGAAGTGCTGGTTCCGCTGCCACGCTCATGCAATATCGGTATTCTGTGGACTTGTAATAGGCCTTGAGGCGGTTCTTCTGCCGTGCCAGCTGGCCCACGAGATACGTTCGCATCCGCGTCCGCCGAGTGGGGAAATGGAGCGAGCTCGAAGACACCGTCATTTAGCAGCTCAATCCACCTCACCAGTCCTGACGATCTCGGGTAGAGCGATAAGGGAAGCGACATCATGGCTATAATCCTGCCAGGGTATTCCACAAACAAAGCCCGAAGGCCATGCAGGAATTTAAGAATATGTTGTGGCTGGCTGCATTGTGGGGGATAAAGAGCGGGAGAAAGCATCGATGGTATGACGATGCGGTGCACCGTGTTTGGTGCAGAGTTCGAAATCGAAGCATACAACTGCTTCATCACCGGTACAAAAGGTGACTCTGAAGGGCTCGAACTCAATTGGAGAAAGTCGATCTTTGATGAAGCTGGGTGGACAAGCCTCTTCGTCAGGTCGAATGTGTGACAGAACGACGCAGGCGCCGTCTCTGAACCCGTGCCGACGGCTCTTTGTGGCCGTTCTGTAGAGCAAGTGTTAGTCGACAGTTAAACATGCAATTGGAAATTGTCGAACAAGTAGCATTGGGTCTAGCTATGCTATTAGGAAGAATGTGCCCACCTCTTGCATTGGTACTGGCTCCGAACTGTCCCATATGCTCGTATCTCCATGCAATCTTCATCTTCTCCGTGCCTTCAGCTGGCTTCTCTTTCTTCTCTGAATCCCCAACAACGCCCGGGAGTTCTCGACCCCAGTGTTCGGGCATGCCAACGACATGGACATGGTGGTTTTGTAGGAGGCCTTCAGCGGCATAGAATCTCATCAGCGCACCAGCATAGTCTGTGGTTCCGCTCTCCTCAATCAAGACCGAGCATCCAAGAGGGAGTCCAGAATGTCCAGCAATCAGGGAATCAAAGCTGGTCGTGCCAGTTGACGTCGTGAGTCGTCCATCTATAGGCGAAGGACGAACTCCGGGCAGATGAACAGGTTCCTTCGGGTGCGGTTGTGGAGATTCTCCAGGACCCGCAGAGCCAGAAAGGCCTACATTGCGCTTGCGAAAGGACATCGGTCTTGCTCAGACTATGATTTGCTGTGCCATGGTATGGAAAGATGGAGGGGAGTTTGTTCGATGGTTGACAGGGTTGGTTGCGGGGACAAATTTGACTGCACTTTCACTCGCGCCAAAATTAATTTTTGCGCCGAACGCGACTTGCTGCGATTTACTTCAACACCTTCAACTTTTCGCCTTTGCGCCTCGAAGCACCCTCGTCAGTACGTCGCCAAAATGTCGGAAAACATCCTCTTCGAGAACAGCTTCAAGATCACTGAGATCAACAGCGCGAAATACGATCGAGTCTCCCGCATAAAGGCCTTTAGCGAGGGAGGACAAGAAGTTCTCCTTACGTTGGACGTCAACAGCGAGCTTTACCCTCTCAACGTCGAGGATCGTTGCACCATCGCCTTAGCACTGTCACTGAACCTCGATGGGAGCAAGGACGACGGAAAAGGATGGAGAGAGATTGGAAGAGGAGAGCAAACACTCGCCGACGAGTTTGACTATGTCTGCCACGGGAAGATCTACAGATTCGAGGAAGGCACAGGAGACAATATGTGAGTTTGAACAGCTTGAAGACTTTGTTTCCTGAGACTCATTCATCTGCAGCAAGGTTTACGTGTCCTTCGGCGGTCTGCTCCTCTACATGGACGGTCCATATGCCTTGCTCAACGCGCTGAGAATCGACTACGTTTATTTGCTGATGAAGAAATGATCTTATTCTGGAATCCGAGTGATGGGCAGAAAAAGTCGAATTAGCGCAGGCGTTGGAGGTATGCAATACTGGGTTTCAGAGCATCAAGGCATTGGAAATTCCAGCTTTCTATGAAACTTCGAAACAAGTTCGATATAATGAGGCTCGTTCTCTGCGGTCAAGATCCCATGTCTCACAAAGAACTCGAGCAGCAAATGAGCACAATTGGGCTTGAATTTCCCGTTAGCAATCGCTTTCCGGACCTCATCCACGGTGAGGAGCTGGAAATCGATGGCTTCATCATCTCCAGGCTTTGGTGTGACATCGGCCGGCAACTCGAGATCATAGATATATTGACATTCCGGTTGACAAAGCCCTGTCTCACCGCCAGCTCTCGCGTCTCGGACGTGGAAATACGTCAACGTCCCGCAAGCTTGTGCAGATTGCACGACGTCTGCCGGCAATGAAGCTTCTTCCTCGCATTCTCTCACCAGACATTCGAAAGGCTTTTCTCCGGTGCTCAAACCACCAGCCACAGTGTTGTCCATCATGCCTGGATATGTCTGCTTGGTCAGGGCTCTTCGTGGCGCCCATATCTTCATGCCTTCTGGAGTCTTGACGTATCCTGTCATGTGGACACCATAGGTGACCACTCCGAAAAGCGGTGTTGCTGAGCGTTCCATGTTCAAGAGAAGGGTTTTGCTTGGGCCATAGATCGGATACAGCTCGCTCCGCCAACCGTCTAGAACACGAAATACCTTCTTCTCTCGAACATCTTGAAGGTACTCGGCGAGGATTTGGTTGCGTTCTGCAAAGTCCTTGACTGGCTCACCGCTGGTGGATCGAGGCTGAAATGTCAGGTGCTTTTTGTCGTGGTCGAGATTCCAATCTTTGGTCGGAGGCATTTGCGCAGCAACAGTTGAAGTAGTGTAGCCCAGACATGAGTCGCATCCCTCTAGCCGAAATTGATAATAGTCTTTCAAGGCAGCTGTGTAGATCTCCGGATTGTCGGAGTAGTAAGGGAAGCTTTTAAATCAGTCTTCCTCGGAATCCAGATGAGAATGGCTCCCACTCACTTGTCGCATTCATTCACGATGTCCAGGTTGGAGAGATGCCCCATCCTTGCAACTCCTCCCTAGTGACTGTGTTCGCACTGCGTGAGTCAGAATCTAAGGTATCATCACTGTACAGTATTTAAATATGTTGACTGGCGGTCAGGTATCTGTGGATCGGGATAAAGTACAGCATCCTCCCCGCATATCCCTCACCTTGGCATGGTTTGTTCACAGCCTTCGTAGGTCAATCTTTCATCCTCAACGTTCATCACCCATGGGTGGCCGAGATGATCTGGACAAGCTTGGTCTGCTTTGTAACTGGTATGCAGGCACGTAAATGGATATATTTCGTTGTTCTCGCGAGGTTCTATCATGCCATCGTGTCCTATTTACATGCCTCTCTACGTGACTGATCCTCAAGCCAATTCGGCCTCGATCACAGTCTGATCGTATTGACTGTAACTCCAAAATCCATTGACCTTGAGGCCGATCTCAGGATCTTCGAGTATGCGTCTCCAGTGACCATCTGACCGCTCACTAGCGGCCCAGAAGGACATCATCTCCCAGTCAAGAGCTGAGAGTGTGGGAGGCGAGTTCTTCGCCGGAAGCACGTACTCCCATAGCAATAGCTTGGAGTATCCCTTCTTCATAGCAGCCGCCAGGTTTTTCAAGATAGCACGCGCCTTGTCGTCATCCCAATCATGGATGATGTTGTGGAGAAAGTATGCTCTGGCTCCTGCAAAAAGTCAATAGGTGAGCTGCGAACTTCCAGCTTGAAACTTGTTGCACTCACCTTGCACAGGCTGTGGAGTAAAGAAGTCATGGGCCATGGGCTGGATACCGGCGCTTAAGCTACCCTTGGGGATAGTGTCGATGACTTCAGCACGGTCCTGCACGACCAAATGTCCTGGGAAGGTGCCGAGGGGATGGAGAGCTAAGAAGGCGCTGAGGTCGTGCCCAGTGCTGCCTCCAACATCGACGAGGAAGACTGAATCGTGCTCACCCGTTGCGCCTTGTATAAGTCGTTCCTGGACCGGGTAAAAGCTGTTGTCAGACCAATGAGGCCGCCCCAGCATCCATGTGGCCATCATACTGCCGAATTTCTGAGCTTGGTCATGCTCCTCATATAGCTGCATTACATGAGTCTTTCCCATGACGTTGTGCGCAAACTGAGCCGGGGCACTCAGCGGGTCAGCAGGGTATTTGTAGCCATTTTGCGCGAAGAAGTCGGCCGTCTTGAGGTTGATCGGGATGCAGAAGTCGTGCCTGAATGCCCAAAATTGATCTAGGTCAGCCTTGCATTGACAATTCCTTTCCGCTATTGGTCTGGGAAGACGCACATCAAAGAAAGACTGTCACTGAAGATGGATCGTGTCATCGACTGCGAAAGAGGACTCGACGCATAGCTATCTGCGTCGACCTCACGTACAGTGCCTACTGCGGCAAGCACTTTCAAAGTCTTCTCTAGAAGGGGATCGCGTGTCAGTGTGGGAACGGTCGGAGAGGTCGGCTGAACCGACCAACCAATCGTGGATCAGCTGAGCATAAGGCTGCAAGTTGAGCACTGCTCTTCGGCGAGCTACTGTCGGCTGCTAGCTGTTCGAACAGCCCCATTCCAAGGGCAACACGCATAGACGAAAGATGACTGGGCTATGGCAATCGTCAACATGCAATTCAAGAACATCAGCGCCGTGAACCGACCTCGACCCATGTCATCCTCACAAAGGCTTCACTGGGAGATTCAAGGGTCGATGCAAGTGTTCGACAGGCCTCAATTGCCGCGTCCCGTGCCTTGAGATCCCCGGAACTGAGGGCTTGTACATGCTCATTGACATTCTCAAGAAGTCTAGGTAACACTTCTGGGTCAAGGTAAGATGGCAAGGATGGTGGCGCCATGGTGCTTTCTTGGTGTTGTGGTTGCAATACTCCTCAAAAGAAGCAGGGGAAAGTCAGGAGATGGAACGGCAACCCCTCCAAATTGCGAGATCCAGTACGCCATTTCGGCACTTCTCACCTTATGTATGCGCTGTCACAAGGATTAACAGCCAGGGGATGGCCTGTCATGGTACATGCTCTTGCAGCAGACATGCAGCGAGGTTGGTGTTAGACGACCTCACTAGGGCCGTAAGGGGCATGGTAAATCGTGAATACGCTTTTTGACGTCTCTGCACCAGCAATTTCTGGGTTGCCGACAGGAGGACGTGCAGGACCACATGATTGCGGGCGGCGCCAGATATCCCGTTCTTTATCATAAATCTGTGTGCAGATAACATGCTTCTATCAAGATCATTTCTCACCAGCAATTGCAATGCCTTGAGTATGTTGACGCAGTGATAGCAAGGATTATGAGAGAAAGAAGAGAGGTTTTTTTTCGAATCTTCACTTCACCTTGAGCAATTTCCCGTTGCTTGGCGGTTCACTGGCTTCAAGCATATTCTTTGGATGGACTCCTTGTATGGTGCTGCACTTTGAGACTCACAGAAACACACAGCCACGGCAAACGAGTAATTCAGCAAATACCTGATTACTCTAGATGGGACAAATACAGCAATACTAGAGGGTCATTCTCGTTGACCTACATCGTCAGGCGGATACGCGCTGTCCAGATAAGCGGACTCAACGCGCATCATGTACATGCTTTTCGCATCATTGCAGATTCATCCTTCATCGCCAGCGAATCCTCTGCGTTCATTTCCAAGAAGCCCGTCAACAGTGTGTTGGTCGGATACCTGTCTAGCAAGAAGACGCCGATGTGCCAGCAAAATTGCAATTACTCCCATCGAACAAGGCCGACCCTGATACTTCGAGTGCCCCGCCATCATCAACGTCCGTGTAGATGCAACTAATGAGGGTGAGTCAGTTTAGATTCTATACTTCCGTTCATTCTCCACACTCACGTGTCTGCGTCAGGCGTCAGTTGATCCTCGCACGAACAGATATTCGGACAGAGGTTGTCGTCTGGGGAGCCTCCGGCAAAGAGGTCGAAATGCGGCGGATCATCCTGGCAGTCGGTACAAAAGTCCTCGTAGATGAACCATTTCTGCAGGTAGGGCACATAAAATGAGTCGCACTGGGCCACAGGCAGATTGTCGCCGGCGCTGGCGGCGGTGATGGGACTGTCTTGGTCGCCCACACCTCCAGCCAGGCCTGAGCGGCCGGGACATTGGTACGCCAGCTGCAGGGTGCCAGCCGTCCCGCCGGCGTCACAGTTGGCGGTGCAGTCACCATCGAGGTTGTCCGTATTGTCGACGTAGCTGTAGAACGTGAGGCGGACGTTCGCCGTGTTGAAGGTCTGTGCTCGCGCGGCTGAGCCCGACAAAAGCAAGAAGACAAAGGCTGACCAGGCTGTAGAAGCGAGGAGGGATAGGAAACGCATATTGAATGGCGATTTGGATTTGGCAACCTCACCTTCCAAGTTGTCAACACAAAAGTACGAAGCAGGGCTCACAGTGTACTGCGCAGGTAGTTTAGTGTCAGGCTGTCGGCGAGTTATGCAGACTTATATACCTTCAGGGCTTCACTTCACGTTGGGCAAACACATCGTCGATTCTCCAGGCCGGTGAGGCTGAGTGAGGCACACACAAGGCGGCCAGGCTGAAGGATCAAGTGATCTCAGTCGCCCACTCACCAGAGTCACCCGCACTGTCATAACCCAATCACGGAAAGCGGAGTGGCTCGAGGCCGGTGATTGCAGGAATTATTGAAGAAAGGAAGAGAGGTCGTTTTTGGAATCTTCAGGTAATCTCGAGCAACTTCCAAGTTGCTTGGCGGTGAAGGCTGCGTCATTTGAAGGGATTCGACGTCGCTGACCTAAACAACATCTGATCTATCACCATATTGAAACCTCAACTTATATCACGGGTCAGAAGACTTACAAACCGATTTCGCATCAGAGTCACCTTTGCAAGTGATACTAGTATGCCGGGCAACCCAGATATCTGCCCTCCAGCATCATCATCTTCTCCACCAGCAAGCCTCACCCATCAGGCTGTCAGTCTTGCTTAACCCTCCTCAGCATGTTCGGAGTCTTCATTCCCGCACGACCGGTCATTCCTGAGATGGCCACGGTCTCTCAGAACCAGTTCGCTGTGTCATTTCCTGCCTCACCGCAGTTTCACAACGTCGGCGTCTTCATGCACCCGAACAACATGCTGCCTCCCGATACCGCTGCAGGGGTGTACATGCAACTACCCGGCGAGCAAGGGTTCAAGTTCCTCGGCGCAATTGGCAACGAGAAACCATCAGCTTTGTTCAAGGTGAATATCCCGGATTCAATGGCGGCAGGAGAAGTCAACCTCGGAATCTCCGTTGAACCAGCTCAGAATATACAAGCACAAATGTCCCAGTTACAACAAAAATCCTCAACGGCTATGGTCGTTGCTAAGCGTCCTCCGGACACCAGAGTACTGGCGCAAAGAATCATCAAGAACGCATTCAACTTCCTCGCCAGCTTTGGCGGAAGCGTGAATGGTGTCGAGGTGGTGCCAGTCAAGAGCTTTCAAGATTGGTGGACCAAATTCGAAAGGAGAGTGCAGAATGATCCAAGCTTCTTGGAAAAAGACCAAGACTGAAGGCAAAGTCATCTACAACGGTCTACCAGAACGTCCCGCCCAGAGATTCTACCCAACGCCTCGCCATCTAGTTACTCGCTCAATCAAAGCAGTTCTTCGCGAGACCTGCGACTCGAGAAAAATCACCAATTCATCGCCAAAATCTCCTGTTTCGACCAAAACTTCCTCATATTCTCCGCACCAAGCATGCGGACCTCATCGTCCAGATGCGACCATAGCACCTCTCCAAACGTATCCATCACCTCTTTGAGCTCGGGCATCCTCAATTCGCGCTCACCAGACCGACACGCGTCAAGGTACTCCTCTAGCTTGACAAGACCTTCGTGGATTGCTTCGTGCTGTGTGATCAAATGGTCGTGCTCGCCAAATGCGGGCATCCTCTCGGCCAACTCTGGGAAGACATATTGCTCCTCGATGGTGTGATGCATGGTCAGCACCTGACACAGGTGCAAACCCTGTGAAATGAAGCTCCGAATTGACATGCCGCTGGGCCGCGTGCCAGACTCACACGCCTTGTACAGCATGTTCCATGTGTAGCGGAAGTGGTTGTGCTAGCAAACATCGTTAGCATCAAGGATTCAGACCAGGGACGATCGAGTCCAATCATCGGGGAATAAATTTGCAGGGTCACAACCAGGATGAGCAGAAGAATATCGGGGAGACTTACATATGCATTCATCATCACAGCCAAGCGATTGTACACCCTGAATTCCTCCATTGAAAGTTTCGGCAACTCAGGCTCAGCAGGCTCAGTTCCCTTCTTCGAGACGGCAATATCCTTGTCCGAAATGTCTGCAGGCGGACCTGGCATCGTCCCATGTTCAGGAGAAGGCATGGTTGATGCTGTATTGACCTGTCCGAGCGATTGAGCTGTATGAAGTCGTGCGCTGGCAGTGGTTGATATGGAGGAATATGCCACAGGTGTCTTCTGGAAAAGACCAGTCACACCCCGACTCCCTCTCAGCGCGGTCTTGAAGCTCTGTGATGCGAGCGTGGCGATGTGACTGCGTAGGACGATTGCCACCATGAGAATGATCAGGGTTGGTGCAGTCCAGAGCCAACGTCTCATACGGAGGGTTTATATTCAGATTGAGGTACGTAGGTAAATATGCAGTCTTCGGACGGCTCATCCAACACAAAGCCTCGGTCCTATACTGGTCTCATGTAAGCATCGAGTACATTCCGTTGTGTAGGGAATAAGAATGAAATAAATGGCCCCGGAAGAAAACATTGGAATTGATAGGAGCGTCATTGGCTACAAGGCCCATGTGGCGGGCCAATCTTAGGCAGTTGAGCATCTCGCTTGGGGCTTGGATCACGTGACGTGTCTGCCTTCTCGGCCGAGATTTGTCGAAAAGATCGTATTCGTGCCCAACCGACAACCAGGCCAAGAGAGTTCTTACATATGTCCTAGATTTCAAAGGATCTCGTATGCCTATTCCTCAAAAAAATTAGTATGATGGTTATGCTGGCTGGGTGAGGGTCATCACGCAGGAAACAGCATCGAAGCACGCATTGCGGTCCACACCTCAATGGGACATGGTCAGATCAATAGTTTTCTCTCATATCTCATTAACATGTACATGACTATCGATAGACCAGGGCAACGCTAGATCAAACCCCGGGGCAAATGCAGTTTTCGTCCCCAGGCACGCCAACCAACCGAAGCCGCAGGCACCATGTTCCGAATTCACTGCTTCAGTTGCTGTCACAGCCTCATTGTTTCTGTTATCTGGTTTTACTGTTTTAACTTTATGCGAGCAACTCTTCTAGCCGAAGAGAGCACCACCGAGTCGGACACGGACAGACTTGACTTGGGTGTAGTTGGCGAGCGCGTACTTGCCGAGCTCACGGCCAATACCGGACTCCTTGAAACCACCGAATGGCACCTGGTAGCTGATCATGTTGTAGTTGTTGACCCAGACGGTACCGGCCTTGAGCGAGTTGGCCACACGCAGGGCGGTGTTGAGGTTCTGGGTGTGGACGGCAGCGGCGAGACCGTAGGTGGTCTCGTTGCCGGCTTTGATGACTTCCTCCTCGGTCTCGAATTTGCTGATGGTGCAGACGGGGCCGAAGATCTCTTCTTGCATGATCTTCATATCTGGGCTGACGTTGGAGAAGATAGTGGGCTGGATGAAGAAGCCCTCGTCACCGTGTCGGTCACCACCGTGCTCGACCGTGGCGCCGGCTTCCTTGCCAGATTGGATGTATTGCATGATGCGGTCGAACTGGAGCTTGCTGACCTGAGGGCCCTGGAAGGTGTCCTGCTTGAATGGGTCACCGACAACGTTCTTGGCTGTTCGCTGCTTAAATGCCTCGATGAACTTGTCGTACACGCCGGACTGGACGTAGATTCTGGAACCGGCGCAGCAGCACTGGCCGTGGTTGAAGAAGATACCGAAGTTGACCCACGAGATGGCGTCTTCGATGTTGGCATCGTTGAAGACGATGTTGGGAGACTTGCCACCAAGCTCAAGAGTGACCTTCTTCAGGTTTGACTTGGCTGCGGCTTGGAGGATGGTTCGGCCAACGACGGTGGAGCCGGTGAAGGCAACCTTGTCGATGTCCATGTGCGAGGCGATGGCTGCACCAGCAGTCTTGCCGAAACCAGAGATGATGTTGACGACACCAGCCGGGATGCCGGCCTTCTCGATGAGGGTGGCGGCGTAAAGAGCAGAAAGAGGTGTTTGTTCAGCGGTCTTCAGGACCACAGTGTTACCAGTTGCAATGGCAGGTCCAATCTTCCATGACCACATAAGGAGAGGGAAGTTCCATGGAATGATTTGACCGCAAACGCCGACTGGCTCGTGTCTTGTGTAGTTGAAGGTCTCTGGGTCGGTGTCAATGGTCTTGCCGTGGATCTTGTCTGCCCATCCACCATAGTATCTGAGGCAGCCGGATGACAGCTGGACGTCAACCTTGGCCATTGAGAGGGCCTTGCCGTTGTCTAGGGATTCGATGGCAGCGAGAGTGTCCGAGTACTCATCGAAGAGGTCGGCAAGCTTGCTCAAGAGCTGACCTCGGACTGAGGGGAGAGTCTGGGCCCAGACGCCGTTGAAGGCTTTGCGGGCGGCCTTGACTGCGAGATCGACATCTGGCGGACAGTGTTAGCAAATATCCAGAAGCGGGTTCTCATTGATATGGCGACATACCCTCTGGGCCAGCCTCGTGCACTGAGACAATGGGCTTCTCATTGGTAGGGTTGATGGTCTCGAAGGTCTTGCCCTCAACACCCTTTACCCACTTGCCGTCGATGAACAAGCCGGTCGGCTGGTCATACGTGACGCTTGGGGTTTCGATCTTGGTGAATAGAGACATAGTTCAGGTATTGTGTGTATAAACTTTTGATGGGGGTATCACAGGAAGAGTAGACGTGAAATTGAGCAGAAGAAGAGGAACGAGACGGTTTACCCGAGGGGCGAGAGAGTTCCTTTATTTGAAATCTGTCTGGGAGGGAGAAGCGCGGGGAAAAGGCCCAAGAGCATCGACCTTGCACTCTGGCAACTGAAAAGGTTCACTTTACGGTACGCAATATCCACAAGAAGCTTCGCTTTCCTATAGACCGAGCCAGTAGCAACTCCGGCACTGGTAGTCGATTGGCCGGGCGGACGGCGGGCGCAGGGGACCATGGATTCTGTCTGACCTCCATCACACTTGGGGTTGAGAGCAAACGACCAGGTGACTGCGGGGTTTTGGAGGGTCAGACGAAGAGGGCAATGGAGATGAGCATCAGAGATTTCCTGTCGTCCACCAAGATTGGCTGCTCCGGGAACCACAGATGGAGATTCTGATGCTGTGGCAATCCCGAAGGAGGGGCATGCTGAGCGATCCCCTGGTCCTTATGATTACTATATCGAATCGTCTGGGCAAATGCTACTCGTGAGATGCGCACACGAATTGACTTCTTCCCAGTCGTCAGAATCATGCGCCATCGGGACTCGGGAGTCGAGACCTTGACTGTTGTAGCTGCTGCGTCAGTGACCATCCTTCCTGGAACACGTCGGAACCCAGAACCCTACTGCCATGTCTTCGGGGAAGCTAAGATCGAGGACTTACGGAATACAACTATCCAGCTGCGGAGCCACGGTCGAACGGTAACGAGTCTCACTGCGAGACGTTCACGCCCAGCAACCTAGATTACCTCTTGAGTTTCGAACGTGTCCAACTAGTCCGGAATTACGAGAGCCTTCCGAGATAAGAGATATTTTACCCTATTCAGTAATAAAAGCTAAAAGAAGTTCATCTCAAGTGAATTGACCCTGCAACCGACATGAGCACTTGTAGAAGTCCCCATTCTTGTATGTCACTAACCAGGGCATTCCAGTCACTGACTAGTTACGGCCGACACGCTCCCCTGTCGTGCGGGGAGGATGATGCAACCAGTCAGTGATATCTGACTGGATGCAGATTACCTTGTGGAAGGGGTTGAGAGCAATTCATTTACTTCTTCCATCTCGAACGCTGTCGTAGGCATATTACTCAGAGGGGAAATTCATGGCGCAAAACGAGGGGCAGGAAAAACTGCCGCGGTTATGCGAGGCTAGGCTAGCAATGCAGGGAAGGAGGGAGGGGCTTTCACACGAACTTGACCTTGCAAGCTGCGCCTCGTGCCCGGTCTAATTCCGCCCGAAGCGCATTCTGCGGAATCAAGCAGCTCGGCATAATTCAGGCAAGTCAAAGTGACGTGGGGTATCTCGCTAGGCTCGCTAAACTCGGCTGACCTGAGACATCAAGGTAAGCACGCATGCAGAAGAAACACCTGTTATGCGGAACTGTTCTGCACGTTTCCGTTGCATTGACCTGCCATGTCAGACCCGTAATGTCACATTATTCGACTCAGAAAGTAATCATAGAGCATTGTAAGTCGTAGAACAACTAACGTATACGTCTTATCTCGTATCATGCGATCTCACAGTAGAGGGAATTCGGTCACGTGCAAATAATCCATTCTTGATATTTTATTCTCCCGAAAATTCTGCTTGGCTGTCATGGTCAAAAAGTTAGAAGGTCACTTTTGGGCTCGGGGCGTCGCCTCACATCCCACTTGTTCATGTGTGCCTTACTCGGAGCTCCGGGTTGTCTTCGTACTCGTGCGTGTAAACCACGATCGCTACGAGGCATTAAGCAATGGAGTTGAACCTTGAGGGAAGCAATTCTGCAGAGACACCTCCACCCGGGGCTGGCGGCGTGAGATTACACCATGGCAAGATATGCGAAGTTTCGGGCTTGTCTTGTGGCCAACTTTTTTGCTGTTCGAAACAAATGATGTTGCTCTCTTTTTTGGTTCTTTTTTACGCACTGGCAATTCGTGTGCTAGTAAGCTGAGTCGAGGCCATCGCTCTTGGCGTGGACGCGACATGTGGAGTCCTCTCATTGTCAGACCATACTCAATCCATTGATCACTAGGTAGGCATGCCCACGCTCGCTCTAATCTTCTTTGCAGTATACTCAGGTCTAGGAAGGCTCTATTCAATCTATGCGTGTATGTGTTCTTTGAGCTCCTCCAGAGACTCGTTAATGTCGGACCTCATCGACTACGAGCAATGACCATTCATCTTAGAGACACCGTCAACAAGGACGCTCTGGTTCTTCTCCTGTGTCGACACAGCGACATCTATGGCAGGATTTGCTGTGAAGAAGTTGATCGGTTTCAGTCCAACAGTCATTTTCTCGACCGGCATCACGGGCCAGTCTTCGGCTCGCGGATTGTGTGTCGATCCGAACGTATGCCAGATAACAATGTCTTCCTTCCTCACACTCGTCTCCTGCCCCTTCTCGCGACGCTCTTTGATCCAGGAGGCAATCCCCTGCCCGCCCATCGATTGCATGGTATGTTGACCCGAGGCAAACAGCTCTTCGTCACTATGGCGCGTGACCCATACTGCATGCTCGCCGAACTCCGACCTTTTGGCGTGGTATGACGAGGGGTGCGCCAGTACCAGCTGGCTGTAAGACGGCGCAAGCTTGTACCCGACCGGACTGCCTGTGACTGGATTGATGACATCTTCGTTGACGATCTTGAACACCCGGCCCACAGAGTGATCGAGGTCGAGGCCACTCTCGCTCTGAACAATCTGCGACTCTGTTGTATATCCGATGCCGAATGGATTGTGGACTTTCGGATCTTGAATGGGCATAGGATGCGACTCCTCCACCAACAGCGAATTCTTGTAACCTTCAACAGCCGGATCGATGCGCAGGGAGAATAAGTGCTGGTGATATGGCGCCATGACACCTGGTGCGACGACCGTCCCAAATGGTACCTTGTCGCCAACACTAATTGGAACAGTTGAGACGATCCCTGTCGCGCGAACCTCGTAGTTCAATGACGCATCCTGGCCAAATTGGAAAGCAAAGATATACTCATAATTGCTCACAGTGATGATCGTCTGCAGTATCAGGATCCGCGACCGAGTGACGACAGCATGTCCGGTGCGGAAGTTGGTATGCTTCCAGAGAATGCCATCGTCGGCTTCGTGACAGCATACAGCGTTTGGCAGTTTGATCGGGGTCCCGTCGGTTGTGGTATGCCAACCATCAAAATACTTGATGTGGCCCAGACAATCGCAGCCTAATTTCAGGTCATTCGCGCAAACCCCGGCGCCGTCACTGCCTAAGTCAAATGCTGCCTTGCGAGCATACGGCATGCGAGGGTCGGCGTAAGGGACAAACATTTCTGAAAGAGACAGACGGTAGAAGAGACTCCGGCCATCGTATCTCACATCGTGCAAGGTCAGACCTTCGCGGTAATTGAAGCCTACACGAAATCTCCATTTTTCCCACTGAATCAAGTTCCCATCAACCTCAAACGAGGGACCTTCGGGTTGAGAGACGTGATAAGGCTTCGTGGTCGTGCGGTGGTTCTTAACCAAGTCCGGATGATACTCGATTTCGGCACCGTGGACTTTCTTCGAGTCATACGCCTGAGCAGCTTCGCTGATGTCGTTCCCAGTACCAAATGGAAGGTAATATATCTTGAGGACCTTGGCGTCTCCTGACATTTCGACGCATAGATCCAGAGGGTAAGCATAGTGGTTTGCATCAGGATGGCTTATCAGCTTCATGTAGAAGTAACACTACTTTGATCAGCACTCCTCAAGCAACGCCAGCCGAGCTCATGTCAACATACCATGGTGATCTTCTGGCTCATATCATTCATGCCGTCTGTCCCATAAGTCCATGGTTCGATGTTGATAGTCGCACCTTCTGGAAGATGCATGGATTTGATGGCTGCCTGCACCTCTGGGTCCTTGAGACATTCCTGCTCAGCCTTCCGCATATCGGTTGCATCGACATGAGGATGGCAGCCTTTGAGTTGACGTTCTTCTAGAATCTTGCCAGAAGAAACATCGACCTTGAGCTGATAGAAATGGTCACTATCTCTGGGACCGAGAAAGACTTGCACCATGGCTACCCGTGCGGGAGCTGACAGGGATTGTGCCCCATGATGTTCATCTTCCAGGAAGCGTATCATCTCCTCCTTTGGCGGCTCCGAAAGCGTAAGCACTCGAAAGTACGCATCTTTGCCCGTAAAGGCAGACCGCACATGGTCAGCAGTCTGCTCGTCAGTACATTAATTAATGTAGACATCGAGGAAAGCTTGTTGCTCGCGCGTACCTGAGATATCTCGTTAGGAGTGAGAGGGTCAAGCGGGTGAGATCCTGGCTTCGACATGTTGAGCAGAGTTCGCTACGGTGGCAAAGACTCGAAACTTCTACGACGTTGGGCTGGTGCAGTCTACCGAGGCGTATCGAGGTGTTGTCTGCTCTTGGACGGATGCACGCCGTTCACGTTTCCAGCTTCCCAGGAGTTTGTCAAGGGCAAGGAGAAACTTATGTACCTACGTCAATAATCATGACGGCGCCTTGTGACATGTCTCAGTCGCAAAGGGTAGGTGTAGCAATTGACTTCCTGAGAAGTTCCGCAAAGGTTAGGAGTAGACGGGATCTTGACTCGGAGGAGGGCGCCCTTTTGCCAGCCGCCCCCAGCCTTGCCGGATATGTGCGGGGGATGGGCATTTGCTGTTTATATAGAGGAAGTCCGGAGGTGGAGCAGCAACGATCACCTCTCCTGAAAGCACGCGACCTCGAGATTCGGCTTGAGGTCGTTGCGGTAGGTGGGTTTCCTGAAGTAGGGACAAATCGGTCAAGCATAGTTGGCGTGCCGACATGGAAGTGCCGAATTTCGAGGAGCATGTTATCCTGCTCCCCATACCGACAACCTGTGGCTTTGGTAATGAAGACCTGTCCAGGTCTCCTCAATGCATCGTTTCCGCCTCAACGAACGGCCATCCTTCATTGTCAGATAGCTAATTCAGTCGAGCACATTACACAGCCCGCGCTTGCTCCTGCTGTCCTCAATTGAGCACCTCGAATAAGACCAACGTGAACAACCATTGAAACAAGGAAACAAGGGACAATGTGTGTTCAATGATAGAATTTTGGAAATCCTGTAGAGCCTTCCATTGGTGAGGATCAACCTGCCAAAGTCCGCAATATTATGTTCAAGGCAGAGATATCTTTTGAAAAGGAGCATTCGCCTCTAGGACGTTGATATACAAAAGTCGTACAGAGGCGAGAGTTCATCAGCTAGAGCTTGAGGATATGATCGGCTCTATCCACAGACCGCATTAAGAATTTCTTGTTGATACAATGTCGTATAGACCTTCTGTGGCATGAACCTATTCAACGCCCGGTCCGCTGTCGGATGCTCCCTCATTGCTGGCACCAAAAGAACCCACTTTTAAGTTCTTGTCCTGGGCTACCATGACTGCCAGGATCTCGAGGATGTCTTTTGGGACGGTGTTATCGTAGATGCCGATAAGTGACGAGGGTTCGGGGTAGACCTTCAGGCCTTTGTAGAAGCAGAGAGCAGCGCCAACCGGATCCGAACCTGTGAAAAATCAGTAACCGCAACCTCCGCCCAGTAAGGTGTGCATACCGTCACCAGCTAAGGCCTCGCCCTGAGCAATCTGTTGCATGAAGAAGGCCTCCTTCTCCTCGATGTCGGTCGGGAAACCCTCTTCGATAGCCTCTTGGACTACTCTCTTGACTTCGTCTCTTTGCTTTTTGCCTTGGATTTCGGCCTCTTCCTTCGCTAATCTGGCCTGCCTCCGTGATTCTCTTTTCAAAGCTTTTCGGAACTCGGGATCATTTCTTCGCTTGTAATCGAAATAAACTGCATATGCTGCACCAATGTTAGTCTGTACAGAAGAATATTGCCCACTGAGGGACTGACCAAGCAATCCTGATACGACAGTCCCGACGGATATCGTGACAATCGTTGAAGTCTTCATGATGCGAACACTGTGAACGGGGGGGACGCGATTGCGCTATAGGTGAAAAACTCGAGAGATGCAAACAAGTATCGGACTGATGTATGAAGACCCTAAAAGTACGAGATGTCGCTGATGCCAATGGCAAGATAAAAGCGATGAATGGAGTGACGGTGATGTAGCTTTTGGCGAAATTTCCCAGCTTCTGGAGCCCGACCAGATTCAGCGGAGCAGGCGCAACTGGACGCAAGGCTGCTGGCTGCTTTTAGCGCTTGCCAAGTCCGCAAATCGACTGGCAGCCTCGTCTCTCAGCCTTGCCCCTGGCTCTAAGACGAGATGCACGTGACTGGCGCGTCTCATCATTCGGCGCTCGCAACTACGACTTCATCTGCCTACGAAACGTTGACTTGCACACCACCGCGCAGTTTCGCTGCAGGTACAGAGTACACCTCCTGTACCGCAGTGCGCGTGTCCATTCGTCATGGACACTCGTGGCCTCACTTTGCGGCGGAAACGCAAGGATCGTCCTACCATAAGTGCACCCCAAAATCCCACTGGTCCAGGCATTACCAGGCCTGCAGCACAGCAGAACAAAGGCGGAAGTACTCTCGCTGTTCCGAAAGACCGCAATGCGCCCACCGAAACGTCAGATCTTGTGAAGCGAAGGTATTCCACACGTTATAACCAGCTTCCAGACTTCAGCAAGGCCGGCGCCCCTCCTGTTCCTGCCCTCCCAGGCACCGTAAAGCGACGTTCTCAAGGAGGCTCTCCCCGTCGACCAGGGACATCCTCCTCCGCACTCCCCGTCGTCGTCGACGATGAAGTCTTCAAGGACCCGAACTTGCAAACCGACCGTTATGTTACCGACCTTCTATCCGCTGCCTCCGAGCAAGACATTCAAGAATATCAAGCCAATCTTCAGCGGCTGAAGAATCGTAACTCTGCGGAGTTGCAACAGAGTGTCTATCAGAACAGAACATCTTTCATCAAGATCAGCAAAGAGGCGGAGAAACTAAAATCTGAGATGGGCATTCTACAAAGTCTCATGTCCGAGCTTACCAGCACACTTGGACAAGGCGCCACTGTCGGCTCTAACAATCTACTCACACCAGAGCTCACCCACACATCTTCTCAGTCACGGCGCAACGCGAATCGGACTTCAGTCGCAAACTTGGAGCAGATGTGGAATATTCAACTCCAGGCCTTGTGGAAGAACATTGAGAAGTCACAAAAGTTCCTTCCAGCCGTACCCGGCCGTCATATTGTTGCTGAGACGGGCAACTGGATAGAGCTTGATAGTGCGACTTGGAAGCCCAAACGTCCCGTGCACATTGTGCTTCTCAATGACCATTTACTCGTTGCGTCTAAGAAGCGTAAACGAGTCGATCCAAACGTTCCACAGCAGGGCCCTGCGCCAACCAAACTTGTTGCCGAAGAGTGTTGGCCTCTTCAAGATATCGAGATTATCGATATGGCGGCCAGCATGGCCAATGGCACTGGCGCCCCGGCAGAAGAGAGGGCCATTGCTTCTGCATTGACAATCAGGTCCGGCGCACGATCTTTGACTTACAGACATGAAAAACGCGACGAGAAAGCCAAGACAGGCTTGATTATGGCTTTAAGGAAAGCCACTGAGGATGTCAGAAAAGCGACAAAGCCTCAAGAGGACCAAAATACTACCCAGACTGAAAGCTTGAACTATTTCGCCGCCCGAGATCCAGCTTCGGCAACGAACACTGACATCATTGAGGGTATAACTTCCGCCAAAGAGAAGCCTGAGATCCTGATTGACGTGGATGGCAAACAGCAGAATTTCAGGTGGATTGAGGGTCAAATCGATGACCTTGATATCGACATATCGCTCCAACGTTTCCCGGAGGCCGTTGAAAAGGTCGAGAAACTTCGACAGATTGCCAAGGGTCTGAAGAACAACTCAATCGCTCAGGACCTTATCGCCGTCAAGGTCGACGAACGTGCCGCAAAACTCGCGACCGTTCTCTGCCGTGAGCTAAAGGAAACGCCCTCGTTCATGGAATCAACAAAGAGGAACACACAATACCTAATCAAACTCGGGTTTGAAGACAGGGCACGCGAGATATACCTGAATGCTCGCAGTGAGACTCTCACGAAGCGTGCGAGGCAATGTGTTTTTGACGGCGATCTGCAACGATATGTGTTCTCAATCTCTTACGTCTATTTTACCATTGTCAAAAATACCGTGCTCATCTATCAAGCCTCGTTTTCACCCTCAACCATCAGCGCGTGTATCAAGTGGGCAAACGGCCATCTTGAGACATTCAACACGTTGCTTGCGCGACAGCTGAGCGCCGTTGAGAAAGAGGGCAAGCTATGGAGAGAATGCATGGACGTCGTCTGGAATCACGAAAGAGAGATGCTCGGCGGTTTCGGGTTGGATTTTAGAGCAGTCATAGGGAGACGACTGGAGGTAAAAGAGGTGCGAAACGTCAAGGCAGAAAACGGAGAAAAGAGCAGGTCAAAGTCGAATACGAGGGTACAGGCTTGGGAAGAGCGAGGACGAGACAAGAACCTGCCGATGCCTGGACAATTTTCTTGATTTGAGCGGAGAAGATTGTGCTTTTGATTGTGGCAGCCACAAATACACAAGGTATATCGACAAGATGCCGGAACAACTCCACACTCCCTCTGATGGATGCTGTGATTACAATTTCCTGCGCAACTCTGCCTAGACGGACTGATCGGCTGACGGTTCGGAAACATCGAGGGTGTCTTGGTGGTAATACATGCTGTACAAATCGCTAAAGTAAGGTCTTTTTTATGTCCTGGGGCCAGTGATTCTGAGCAGAAAGTATCGCCCCAACGCCATGACATGAGATAGCAGGATAGTCAATCTATTCGTTGATCTTCGCCAGGATCCTAGTGTCGTTAGCAAAGCGCCGTCCACAATGTTCGGCAGTGCGACATACTCAGAGTCCCGGAATAGAGAATACTCTTCCTCACCGACCTTCACGGGGCTACCTCCATACTACACCAGCGCATTAGCCTCGTCATTCGAACTTGGGTGTGAGAGCTGATCATACCTGAGGAATCAACACCTTGTCGCCTTCCTTCACGCTCATTCCTATTCTCTTTCCATCCCTGTCGAAACCACCAGGTCCGACGGCCAGGACTTTGGCTTCGTTCAATTCCTTCACGCTGCTCTCGGGGAGATAGATGCCACCAGCGGTTCTGGCTTCGGCTTTGATGCGCTGAATCAGGACCCGGTCAAGCAGGGGAGCGAGAGAACGAATGCTCTTGAGTGCGGTAGTCTATATAGTTCTTCATTAGCGCACGAGGTCATCTTCAATAGAGATGCATCTGCGGAGGTCAGGGTTTTGCGGCGTCCGGACATGCGGACTCACCATTTTGAATAATATGAGGCGGCAGAGGGTACTCGTAGAGATATAGAGGGGGAGACGAGCTTCGAATAGTGAATGCGACGGTGTACAGAATGATCCGAGCAACCAGAACAGAGGTTTATGGTTTATTGCGAACTTATTTTCTGGAAGAATCCAGCCGGCAGACTTTCCCCGATCGCGGCTCGCCAGAAAGCAAAAGCTGTGGTTGGAGCTTCCCCGAAGGCAAGAAGTGCAAACGTAGCAAACTTAGCAAACGTCCTGCGCTTTCCATACCAAGCCCTCGACCGTTTCATTCCCTTGTTTACTGCTTGATATCTACGAATCCAGCAAGATGATGGACTCGGACGAAGACGATATATATCCCGATTATGACCCGAAAAATGGCCACACGCACCAGGCTGAGGTCAAAATGGAGGACGCAGAGGACGGAGAAGAGGAAGGCGAGGAGGTCGAAGACAGCGACGTAGGTCACGCCGAAAATATCTAGAGATCCCGCAACTAACACTTCGACAGGACGATGTCGATTTCATAATAGATGTCAAAGAAGAGAATAAGTCCGAACCTGCATCGTCAGTCGATCTCACTCATGCGCAACCCCAAGATCTAACAGATCCTAGACAAACAAAACGCCCTCCAGGCCTCACACCAGGTCTGTCGACCACCGACATACGGAAAGCGTCTAGCACACCACAACCAGTAATAAAAGCAGAAACACCAGGCGCTGGCACCACCAGAGCGGACTCACAAACGCCCAACGACCGACCAGGCACCGAGTACCCAGCAAGACACACCTCGAAGCTCGACCCGAACGGAAACCCTGTACATCCTGCGACCGGCAAGCCCATCCTATCCACGGATTTCGACGTAGACTTCACACCAGAGTCCTCCAAACCGTGGCGGAAACCAGGCGCCGATATTACCGACTACTTCAACTACGGCTTTGACGAGTTCACGTGGGCGTCATATTGTCTTAAGCAGCAACAGATGCCGAAGGAGGTCAAAGAAATTACGCAGCAGGCCGAACAATTGAAGGCATTTGTTGAAGGAATTCCAGGAGGCGGGATGCCCGGAATGCCTCCCATGCCCGGTGCGCCGGCACCTGGTGCTGACATGTCGGCTATGGCCATGCCGAGCGAAGCTCAGATGCAGCAGATGTTCACAGCCATGACCTCGCAGGGTATCGACCCGTCGACCATGGACCCGTCGCAGTTCATGCAGTTTATGGGAGGCAGCGGCGGGGGTATGATGGGTCAGCCTCAACAGCCAGCTTATGGTGGAGGTGGTGGCAGCGGCTTCGATCAAGGAGGCGGAGGTGGAGGTGGTGGCTTCGGGCGTGGCAGGGGTAGAGGTGGACGGAGGAATTGGTAGAGACAGTTTCGTCATCCGGATTCCCCCGAGCATTACTGATTGCGCGCATTGTGCATGTGCATCGTGTTATGGACCTGGCGTCAGGCGTCAAGGGGGTCTCGCAATAAAGTGCAGGGACAATATGGGCAAGGGACGCTTACCTTCACTTTTTACAGAAGGTGTGCTAGGTTCATGGAAACCAGGGTATCAATCAACGAGAGGCTGCTTAGATGAGATATCCCCTTTGATTTTCGAATGTGAAAGTATCAAGGCTGGCAAGGGAGTGCGTGCTACCAAAATACGTTGCTTGACCGACTGAAATGAAAGGACTTTCCATGCCGTTGAATATGCTTGAGCTGAGTATCGATATTAGTTAGTACACTCATCCAAGTACAAAAACGAAAGAGACTGGTGTCGAGTATTTCAGGACTACTCTCTCATCCATGCCGGTTCGAGCGGTCCTCAGCCTAGACAAGTGGTGCACAGTATCGGCGCTTCTCGACCCCTGAACATCTCAGCCTTGCGCCGCATGCCAAGAAGAAGTCTATCACGATGCTACACACCTGCAACTTCAGTGACCACAAGCAGATACCCAAGCCTGACGTTGGAAGACGGCTGTTCCTACGTACAGTTGCACATGCTATCATGTATACCTTTGACATGTTTCTCTTCTTGCGACCCTCAGTTGAGCCTGTCCTAACTCAGCCTTTAGTTCAGTGCGGCATGACGCTCACTTCTCTGGACGGGAACAGCGTGTGAAGGTGGCACATGCTCTTCAAGAAGTGAAGTGAAGAGATCGACTTCCGTCGACACAGCCTATAAGTATCCTGTCTTCCACCTCCTTCCTCCTTTCCCATACCATATACCTCCTAACTTCCCCTATCTACACCGTTACATCCAGTATCCCAGGTCTGTGTCGACCCAGTCCGTCTCTTCAGCCTTTCCTCACTCCGTCTGCAGACATTCAAAGCACATTTCAAGAGCTATCAATCCATCATGTCGTCCAAAGGCCGAGGCCTCGACCTTGCGGTCTTTGATGATCCCAGATTCTGTCGAATGGGCCCAAGATCACCAACAAGTTCATCGACAACACAACCTCTAAACAATTGAAAGCTACTGTATCTATGCCTGCGCGAACAGTTCGAAGTAACAGACAGAGCCGGACCCAGAAGGCAACCCGCAAGAGATCCACCAGGACGAAAGCGATCACCGAGACAGAGACGAACACCGGATCAGTTACCACAAACGTCACTCGCTCCGCTGACGGCATCACCAAGAAGAGTACGACGAAGCAAAAGATCATCACCTACACGGTCGTCGAGAGCATCCTCAAGCCTCAAGCGGGTAGGAAGAAGGGTCATTTCGAAATGTCGAAGCGGGCTCAGTTGTTGTTGAAGGACAAGGAGGAGAGTGAGGATGAGGGCGAGGATATGGACGAAGACGAGTATTGAATGGTGACAGAAGCTCCCACCACTGGCGAGACCAGCGAGGTGCAAGTGGACAGAGCATCTTGGTCACAGTCATGACATCTGGTGCCAAAAGATTCGTTACGTTCTTCAGCCACTTTTTCAAAGGATATGATTGCGCTCAAGGTCCAGAGCTGAGGATATTGACGAGAGGTGCAGAGCGAACGTTCTCTCTGTGCTTGAAAGCCAGACGACCAATACCGTCGTAGAGTGGGGGAATTACCAACACTCTACTCATGAAATGTACTTAAGATCCCAATATTTATGCATGCACGTCGAGCTGGTGCGCAGACATAGTGCTTAGCAGCAACTCATGGCAATACATTACTATGATCTCTTCTCCAGAGCCAGGCATAAAGCCCAACAATGATGAAAAGATCAAGCATCTATCAATGTTAGCCAGCAACAGCAGCAAAACGACGTTGATCAAGAATCTGAGGACCCGGCCATGGGATGAACAAAATCGAGCAAACTACGCGCTCTCATCATGGCACTCCAACCACCCGCCTCTTCCAGACCGCGGCGACGAACAGCCCTGGTAGCCATGAGGCATACCAGGCCAGCTTGTCCTGGAAGAGGCGCCTCAGTTTTTAAGAATAAGTTACTTACCTGCTCGGTTTGTTTGGGCGAAAGTGTTGGAGAGAAAAGAAAAGAGAGAGTAGAGGGGGGAGGCAGCGGGTATATATAGACCATCAGATCAACCGTGTGGATACTACTGTGCAGAAAGGCCATTGTCAGATCAGAAAGTAAATCGCCAACGGTCGTTTTTGAGTGGCTGAACCGGATGAGTAGAGGGTGGCGGATCTGATGAGGATGGATGCCTTGTGTATATCATGCGCACGTTGATCGTGTTCCAAGACTGGTTGTGAGGGTGGGTAGGTGGGTACAGGTGCGGGTCTGGATTGATATTGGGCACCGACTGAGTACGTGTAGACATAGAGGTGGACGTACCAAGCACAACAAGAACTCGAAAACGCGTTTTTTTAGGCAAACCGATCATGTCACGCTGCTTAGCCGAAAATCATGGGCTAAGAACGTGCCGAGCTCGACGAAGTGTACTTGATCAACGTGGAAAAACCAATCAATCCCCCAATGATCCATCCCATATCTCGAACAACTCGGTAATGAAAGCTGTGCTTCGATGGGAGCAAGCAATAACCGCGCACATACAGTATCTGGTTCTCCCTAATGCTGCACCATCTGGTAGAACTTGCCTGCCATGCATGAGTCGGGGGGATTCCATCAGAGGAAAGGAATGCGACTTACTTGTATTTGAATCAAACTTTGGATGCATATCCCCTGATCCAGCTGTACCCGGCCGACTTATCTTGATACCTTGCAGTAGTCCAGTGTAATTGGTCGATACGGGCACTTTGCTGTTATGTATGGGCTGTGGCCGGGCAGAACCTGGTATACGTTGCTCATGGGTGAATTGAGTTCTCCCAGCTGTTACCGGAAGTTGAGATCGATTGACGGCAGCCCTTGCCTGACCCGGTAAAGTGGCTCGATGTAGTGGAGTGCCAGAGATGCCAACGGTAGCTTAGACACATCAGTAACTGTCGAAAATTCGCGGCCGTACACGTACCGAGCTTCGCAGGAAGTGTGGCTGTAGATGGCATCCCTCTCTGAGCAGCGGCCATCGCACTACTGCCAGATCTTTGGTGAGGATGCAGCGGCTCGACACCACCATATCCGACGTCCAGTGGCCGGTTCCCTCTCTCGGAAAGCGACGGCCGGACTGTTGGCTGAATCTCTGGCCGTGGAGCTGGCTTTGCAAAACCAGCGTCGGGCCGTCGTACACTGGCAATCGACTGCAAAGTCTGCTCGACATCCTTCGAGGCAGCAGGAGCTATCATCTCTGCTGCCTGGGCTCTTTGTTTGAGGGCGTTATACAACTTCTGCATCTGGGCAAGCTTGCGGCTTTTCTCTCGGTAGTAATCCGCGAGCTCGTCATGTTTCTGCTGCAGACCTTGAAGCTCAGCCGTCGAGTCTTCGGATCGTCAGCGTTGATATCTCCTCTGTGCATGGGTATCACACCTCCTAGCTTCTTCTGCATTGCTTGAATCTCAGTATTGGCCTCGTGGACCACTTTGTCCATTGTTGAACTGAGGTGGGTGTATTTCTCCGTCAGATTCTTCGCCACAAACTGCTGGTAAGCACTACATTGCAATGAGCAGTATCCAGACAGGGTCGAGGTGCAGGGTGTCCCCTACATTTCATGTGTGACCTGGTAACTCCAGAAAGCCACTGCTCTTCCAGCGCATTCAAGGACCGTTGAAGGGTCGAGTCCACTGAGGACGCTCGTTTTGTACTCTTCGGAGGGGTCCAAGCGGGTCTTCACAGCATCGTCTTGGTTTGGAAGAGTGCTGTTGCAGGCAGGACAGCGACGCCGATCAAGTGGTGCGTCGGCGAGGCCGGTATTTTGCGTGCAAGGCAGACAGAAAATGTGTCTAATGAATATTAGCCAACAGAAGAGGTATGCCATTGATATATCTTACGAGCATGTGGTGACGACTGCTTCGCGCTTCAGAATCGCTCGACACGGTCCGCCATGCTGATTGTTGCATGTGAGTTGATGTTCCATGGTTCTCAAGCGGAAGATCGAAACGGGATCTTCAGAGCAAGCAGTAATAGGTCATTGGGAGGATGAAGATCCGGCGTCGAAGCGTGGAAAGAAGGTCCATAAACCGAATTGTCGGAAAACGGCGTCGGAAACGACGGGGATAGGCAGGAGCCCAAAAATGCTTTCTGAAACCAAAGCATTTCTTTTTATCCATAGTACTTTGTCCTCGATTGATATTGACTTGCCAACAACTCGGTGCTGATGCTTGTTCTGTTCGCATGGGCTATCCGAAGAAGAATGCATTCCCCTGCGCATCTCTCCTCCCCTTCGCCAAATCTTCAAATTCTTTACCAACCTTGAACTCTTTCCACACACTTGCGGGATATATGTGCTTGTTCTTCTCATACCAGCGCCTGTCAACCACCTTGGTCACAGTTGGATCATCGTTCTGGCCTTCCAGGTCCTCCTTCCCGGGCACACGAAGCACCGGAGCGTCTTCACCGTCTCTCTTCTTCGGAGCGGTGCCAGAATACTCAAATAGTAGCCTCCCTTCGGTGGTAGGATCTGGGATCTTGTTGGCAATAAAGTAGTAGAACTCATAGTGCTGCGAACGTTAGTTCTCAGAACAATTGATCGTCTTTGAGACACTCACTTGAGGAACAATGACCTCGCCTCTTACACACATCAAGTCGTCCACCCCAACCCTAGCCCACTGCTTCTTGCTGTCTTCTCTACTCTTGAGCGTCGCACCACCGCCAGAGGCACTCCCAGACACGCCAAGCTCGGCCCCGACCTTTCGACACCGCTCGAGGAATAGCCATATGTGATCTCCCTTCTTTACTTTGACAGTGCCGCCGGGTATATTTGCGCCATCATAGAACACAAATGGTATGGCGATCTCCGTCTCTTTAACAGCCTCTTGAATCTCAAGGAACTCTTTCCGTAGTCTGTCTCGTTCTTGCGCATCTGCTGCCAATGCAGCCTTCGTGATCGCTCTAGGAGGTGGTAAGGTAGAGTTTGGATTTGGTGTCAACTTCCGACTATTACTCGAGGGTTCTGGCGACGCTTCGGCTGTTGTTCGCGAACTTCGTGCCGCAGGAGTCGAGATGCCACTTGCGTTGTCGTCTTCATCCTCTCCAAAGGATAACAAGCCCTTTGCGGCCTTCTTCTTCTTCTTCTTTTTCGCGGGTTGACGCACTACCGCACTGTACTTTGCAAGTTAGAAACCCGTCAAGAGTTCTCAAATCGAACGATCTTACCCGTCACTATCTTCAACATCGGGCGTGGCCGTACCAGAGCCATCGCGTGCCTGTTTCTCCTTCTGCTCAAGCGCATCTGCGCGGCGTTTGCGAAAATCGTCGAGGTTGACAAGGCCGACAGTCTGTGATTTGAGCAGTTCTTCAGCCGACGCGGTCTGACTCGTGAAGCGCGGGGTAGACGCTCCCGAGTCGGTCATGGTAGAAACACTACGGAAGACTGAATGGTGATATGTGTTACTGATGCGGTTCGATGCGAGAAAGCGTCAAACCCCAGATCTTTAGGACAAGGCTGAGTAGCGTCCGCATTTTAGTTCTACCACCAATCAGAAATGGTTCAGTCCAGCCTTGTCCAGCCCGATGCTACACATGATGTACCTTTGCATCCTACGAGCAATGACAAGATGAAGGCATCTAGAAGACATAAAAAATGTACTTGAAACCTACCTATGCAATGGCCAGATGACACCGCAATACCACTCAAGCATTTCTCCATCCGGCGTCTGAAGATGTCGCGCCTGATTCCCTGAGTGGTCATGCTGTGTACTGAAGAACGAGTTGGTCTAAGAAGTCTATGCACTTTTTCCTGTATCACATCTTCGTCATCATATGTCATTGGGTGTATGTTCAAGATCCAAGGCCCAGATCCTTGCTTGTGCTGGATATCCTGCTCAGACGGCATCAGACCACGATATATTCACCTTCATTACCCTCCATCTTCATTATAGTCGTGAATTTGAACCCACTCTCATTGCCACTGCCTGGCGTATATGGGGTATTTGTCTCAGCATTGGCCTCATCTTCCCTGGTCTTTTCATCGTACCGTCGCCAGACCTTCTCTAGAAGCTCAAGACAGCTCTTGTTGTTAAGAAATCCACTGTCTTTCTGGATATCCAGGCACCTTTCTCGGATGACCTGCCGATCGATGCCGTCGACACATTCGCTACCAGTGATGAACAGAGGCCAGAGCAGGTAGACGTCTGACTTGACCGCCTTGATGTACATCAAACATTTCTGCACCCAGTATCTGATGCTTGCATCCGTGCTGGGAACAGTCGGATTGGCCAGGCGCTCGGTGTAGAGCAGCGCTGAATAGCGGAATGACTCTGAAATGTTTGCAAGGTCGACGCGTTGATCGTGAGTCAGTAGTGGTGCTTCAGGACTGGAGCAGTCGAAGACTCTGGTGTCAAGTTGCCAGGTCTGCAAGGCCTGGCGAATTTCCCTCCACTCCCGCCAGAATTGGGCTTTCACGTCTGGATTTGCGGTCTTTGAAGAGAACAGATCTTCATCTTGAACAATTCGCATCCACCCGTTACCGTCAAAATTGCTGTAGTCGAGGTCCACAGTGCCGGGCATTTGCGGAAACGGCCTTGACACCAGGGTCGGGCTTTCTTCGACAGTCTTCCCCTGACTCAAGACGTTCAGCCTGCCTAGCTTGGCTATTGTCTTGAATAGCTGACCATCGCAGCCTGCAAGATTTTCCAATGCCCATTCCTCGTCTGACAGGGCCGAAACATCCAGATGATGTCCTTGAAGTTGTCCTTCGCGATCATTCACCGTTGCGGTCATTGCGTCGAACCAGGTAAACATCCTTATAAACCACTTTGCCTCTTTCGTGTCCAATCCAAAATCATTTTGTCGCATACCGAGCAGCTTCTTCACACCTGCAAACTGGGTCTGAAACTTCGCTACTCCAGAGTCGCAAATGTGGAACAAGCACAAAATCAGGAGCGTCGCAAGAATTGAGTCGTCTTTCCTTTGAACCGGATCAGCAAGCTGTTTGTTCAACGATTGGATTGCAATGCCCTTGTGCAGAGATTCCTCTCGAGCTTGATCTTGAGGCGAAAGGGCGCCTATATCCTGCCATGACTCCTGCGTCAAGGTTAAATGTGCTATAGAGGAGCGCCTTGCAGGATCAGTCTTGCCCGTCGATAATGCTCCAGTTTCTCTTCGTTGTCGCAAATTGCTTGCAGACAATGCGGCTATGGCGTGCTGAAGTGTTTCACTCCTCGCTGCTAAGCGCAAGATCTGAGTCCTGTAAGGATTGGAAGGCCCATCGAAAGCCACTATCACAGGTGAGATGACCTCCGTGTAGTAGTTTATAAGGTACTGCATTCGTGGATTGGCGGTGATGGCGCCCATACCAGCATAAGACGCTAGCGACATGTTGTAATTGAAAGAGAACTGGGGAAATCCCGCAGTGGAATCATCATCAACAACAGCGCATTCATTGTCATACTCGTTGTCGTAAATACCGCGATCGATCTCCTCAACGTCTTCGTGAATGGCAGCAACATGTCCTTGTTCCGGCACTGGCTCCAAATGTTGAGGTTGTAAGGTTTGGGCGTATGGCTCGTTGTGGACATAGGATGTCTTCTGGCTCTGAAATTGGGGGATCTGCCCGTGGTCGGGCAAGGCACTGTCATACGGCGAGGGTATTTGAGGCGAGAGCGGGTAGCTAGACAGAGAATTTTGTGGCCGTAATGAGCCTTGGTTGAGACCTCGCCCGAAGTATAGAGTATCTGGAGAAGTGGTATAGGATGTAGGCGATGCAGTAGCGTTAAACCCAACACTAGGGCTAAACCCGACCGAAAACCCATAGGTATCAAGTGGGGAGGTCAAAGATGTGGAGGAGATCGATGCGTAGTTGTCCGTTGATTCTATCTTGATGGGGCCTGGCGCGTGTGAAGAGCGCGCTGATGTTGACGGCAAAGATGAGGTTGTGTACGAAGTGAAAGCCGAAAAGGATGTTTTCGACTGATCAAACAGAGATGAAGCGTTGTTCTTGCTGGCCGTGGCTGAGCTCATGGAAGGATGCGTAGCTCCTTCCTCTGGCTTTAGGGTTGGCTTATATTTTGCTTCTGCACGAGGCTGTGAGTCTTGCTGCTGCTGTGATGGCCTTCTCTTTGATCTCGATGGCGACACAGGTGTGATGATCTTTTGGGTGCCTGCGACAGGCAGTGACAGACCCCGTAGCTTGCCCCGACTTGCGACACCATTTCCCCAAGTCAATTGGGTTTTGTATCCAGCACAGTCCTTCCCATCTTCTAAGCATTTCGAGCAGTAGGGTCTTCGACGGTCGCATTTGACACTGCGAGTAGAACATGTGAAGCAGTCATCGGCTGCACCCGCGGCAGGAGCGCGCTTCCTCCTCTTCCGCGGTGCATTACCGTCAGTCTGAGATGCTGTGACTTTCGGGTGAGCCTCGACCTTGGCCGCCGACATCTTGAGCCAGGTGGATTTCAGGAGACTTTTGCTTCAGGACAATGAGAAGGGAGACGTCACTCGTAGGACTGCTAACGCAGGCTCGAAGCAAGCATTGAAGACGAGATGAGCATGTCGGCCTTTTCTCATTTGTCGCCGATATGGTGATACTTAGGGCCTGGGCCTGGTTGAGAACGATATGCACCCTCTTTGCATTGAGACCGTGGCTCGCGGGATGAAAAGGTCGAAAGGTCGGAGAATGACCGTGGATGGTAGATGGGTAGACTCGTAGATGATAGGGCTAGACAGACGAATGGACTTTAACTTCGCAATATCCGGGATCTGCAACGCAATAAACGGTCTGAGCGCCACCCACGAAAGAGATGCGAAGAGTTGATGAATGGACTCGTAGCGACCTGCTGTGCAGGAAGGTCTCTCACAGCCTGGAGATGCAACGGGGCATGCCGGAGTGGCGGCCAACGGTGCCCATGATGGGACGTACTCGTGCTGTAGGCGAGGTGCATGGGCAAAAAGATATCGCGTGCGTATTTCATGGGTGTGCACAGTGCCCTTGATTTTGCGGGCGAGGTCCCCGGATATGCGCTATCAAAGGCACTTGGAGGTGCACCCACGGACCTGAGAATTGACGGCAGTTGGTGCAGCATATCAGCAGATATAATTGGTGAAACACTCTACTTGGATAACACCAGCATCAGGCTAAATATGATGGCCACCGTTTAGTGGTCAAGCCTAATCTTCAAGTGGAGAGGCGAACATGGGAATTCGAGGATTCCTTTCTTCCAGAAACCTTGCTGATCGTGGCCACCGGCAAGTATCACTGGACGCTGATCGTTTCCGCCTCCACCACCGGCTGATGCACTAACCGTAAACTTGTCCCAAGACTCTTTAGCCTCGGTCTACATCCATTCGGACTGTCACCCTGCTATCTTTTTCACGCGCACGGCTCCGAAGAAGCAAGAAGCACAAAAGCATGGTAACGTCGTAGGGAGGATCGATACAATCTATGTTCAGCCTTGTGTTGTTGTGCCCTCTGTGAGCCCAGATCCGACAATAATACTGTACAGTGACTGGGTTAAGACCTATTCGTGGTCAAGCAAGACAGCACTGTACCCTGTTCGACACACCGTAGCTCGCTCGCTCGCCGGCATCATCCATCCCATGTGAGACCCCGGGCCTCGTGCTGGTCGCTTTTAGGAAATGCTGGTCCTCATCCTGCAACGTTCTACCCTGCACGAGCCGAAGGTACATCTCATACCAGACATGTCGCCTAAAAGCACTCGATATCCGTGAGGATTCGGATCATTGCAACATACTCCACCAGGTAAACGTGCTCGGTTCGAGCACCGCCAGATAGGTGCTTTGATAGCCCTTGGCTGAGCGAGAGAGAGTCCCTGTTGCGTCTCAGTGGGTGACTCTGGCTTTCAATTGCCTGAATAGATACTCGAGGCTCGTGTCTGCAAGGCTTGGATGCCATCTGTCTAATGTCCCGTAGCCGACGCTGCGTAAAGGTTCGGTGTGTTGTATCTTCACCACGGTCGGCGCGGGGTTAAAATTGCGGCCCGGGGCATGTCCCAAATTGCGATAGGTTCTGGTAGGGGTTTGGCCACTAACTTACCCACAATGCTCACCTTGCTGGGTCCGGTACCTACCCTTCCATTTTCACACCCATTTGGGGCTAACGGAGAGGTACGTACCACGACATGTCTGGTAAATTTACGCAACCTCCTCTCTGATCACGCTGCGAGGCTGCAAATGTCTTTGATGGCGAAATCCACCTCGACCGGCATCACAGTGAGTCATGACTTAGCGTCCTCTGCCTGATGCTGATCAAACCAGATCATCAAGTTCAAGCCAGGTCAGGCTTGGAAAGGACCTTTGGTGCAGCTGTTCCTGTTGTTTTGGTGCCTAAACACGGTGTTGAGGGCATTCTTCATGTATCCAAGGTTCCTGGCGGCCAGAGACCGTCCTCCTAACTGGCAGACTTAGCCATACAGGTCGGCCTAAAGAAGTTCGTAATGACTCAACCTTGGGAACTCATGGAAATATGCCGTCGAAAGCCTCGGAAGCAATTAGGAACCATCCTTTGGTGCCTAATTCTGTCATCTCATTGATGGCCTTGATCGTGCGCAGCAAGTAGTCCCTGGGTTCCTCTGCCCAAAGTGACAAACATTGACGGAGCTGGGCACTGCATCATAGACGCCGACAGGGCAAGTTTGCCTCATTCTTAACATATGACTCAATAGGAAATCTTCCAGATTGACTGCATGCAGTGATGATGCGATGGATGCTTTAGTGAAGATGGAAAAGCCAACCGTACTGGTGGATGGTGGAGGACATGCTGCCCAAGCCTTGCCAAGTCTAATGCGCAGCGAGTTGAGTTGGCAGTCTTTCACTCGTCAGCAGCACAACGACGAGACACTAACCTCATGCTGGAGCATTCCAAACAGTCAAGATCTTACAATATTGTACTGTAACAATGTCGAAGTATCCAATACTGTCGGTAACGCAAAATCAATGGTCATGACCGGTCAAGAAGCCAGAAGAGTGGACGTGAGGATGACCATGTGCCGTAGGCATTTCACAAGCACGGTGCAATTGACGGACGAGGCCAGTAGGGAAGAGAGCCCAGGCTGCGTCCAATGTCAACTCCTCAGTGTGAGATTGATGCGCTCTTGCGAAAGACATTGGCATTATCTCGAGGAAAGCTCGATGTTGACATGCTCCCCATGGGAAGGTGGCTCTGCATAGATTAGTGACATCTCTGGTGACCGATGTCAGCTGAAGTATGATCAGATACGCGGACATCGTTCGCAAGGCTGGCCGATGATTGGAATGCGCCGCGACCGCCATCGCCCAAAGGATAACTGTCACACGCTGACGCGACGGGATGTCTCTGCTGTCACTCGCAGCCTTCCAGCGACGCCAGGGACAAGAGCTGGCCATAGACCTGACGAGGCTCCATCATGCATATTCCGGGAATGATTCGATATCGTGGGCGAAGGCTCCAGCCGCGTGAGGGCCATGCCATTCGGTAGAGACCTTGATTGGATGTAAAGTTTATTCGAGTTGACTGTTCAGCTACCGTGGATATGAGCCAGAGGTTCACTAGCGGACCATAATTAGTCTTCAACTTTCTCGGAAGCCAGGCTGGTGGGAAAGATGGGCAGCCCACTACCCGTCGACCGGTTAAGCCGCATACCGACCGGGCCCGGTGCGCTGTCGACGTGTCCTATCCACAGTCGTTGTGTTGAAAATGGAGCAAGTCAGAGAGGATACCATGAATGCCATAATCGTTGTATCTTGACTGTCGCAAATACTGTCATTGTTGCGAGTGGCTGTGCGGCTTCGTTGGGTAGAAATAGTAAACGTCTCTCATACAATGGATCGGTAATCAAGAGGTACCTAAATAACACGAGGACGCAACAGTCTTGCTAAAGGACGATTGGAGCATTGTGGATGACCTCGTAAGCTGGCTCTTCAGGCACGTTTGCCGATCTACATGCCCGGAAGACGCCCAGATCCGCCCCTGGGATCTGCTGGATACTGGACATTTTAGACATTGCAGTAGCCCGAACAGTTGAAGAATAGCGAACGAGATCGATCAGGCTATGCGCAGTTAAGCAAGCAGCGAGCGAGCGGCATCTTCCCCAGTCCTTCTCGTTCTCCTTCTTTCCTGTCATCGCCACTGCCATGGGTGCCGCTTCCATCGACTTCTGTTATAGTTTGCTCAGCAGCAGGCACCAGGAAAAGAAATTGAAATAGAGAGTCACAGCCACTGCTAGACCCTCCTATGGCACAGGCGAACAACGAGCCGACGTCACGGTATATTTCTCATCCAGCTTTTGTCCTTGGACTTCCGAGTCTGCGTTGTACAGCAAACTCGGTATTATCCAGTTCTACTTACCCGTCATTACCGTACGAAACCACTTTTGTGATCCGATCTTTTCGCTTCTCGTTTGCAGTGCCCACTGCCCCCCCTTCCTTCGTTCTTTCTATTGTCAAAGGGGCCAGTCACAGTCACAATCGCGAGAAAAGTGACTGACTCGGGCCCACACACCCTCAAGGCCTCCCCCCCTGCAACTAACCCCTGCTCTCTGCCATGCTATGGGGGCCGTCGAAGCCTTGAAGTCCATCGCGCTGCAAGCCTGCAACGCATATCAGGAACGCCTCCACTGCACTATCTACTCCCTCTCCCAAAACTGTCTTTTTTAATTGCCCCTGATCTCCCATTTCCAAAGAATCAAACAGTCAATTTCATCTCTCAACAGAATCCTGCCTGGCCCTAGGCAGAATGCTCATTGGCCTCTTTTTACAACTTGGATCCAGGCGGCCCTAGCCTCTTCTTGTGGCTTCCACTCCTTACCAAATTCTTGTTTAGTCAGAAGCCTCAGCCGCGACCAACGCGCATACAAACAGGGTTCACAGAAACAACTCCTCTTCTATCAGACCCATCATTTTGGCCTTCAACGACTCATCCGCCGAGCCGTAAATCGACTCACGCCGGCTGCCTACCTCCGCGTCCCTAGATCGATCCACTCTGGGATCAGTTCCTGACTCCTCAGAAAACAACTTATACCTCCACGAACTTTACCCAGCCATCCAGATTTTCCTCTCTTCTCCTCTCCGCACTGCACACTTTTGCACGTCATTGCGCACTGCAAGCGGACGGAAGATCGACTCGACACTTTGGATTCACTTGGGTCTTGCGAGGCTCAATTTACGCGATCAACCCCAACCACCCTGTCAAGGCCAATCACGCTATGATATTCAGCCAGTCCAACATTTTCCGGAACTGCTTTTTCTCTCGACAACATCCTACGCCAGACCAGTCAGACATAGAACCAGATCGAGGGGGACACTGTTGCGGCCAGGGGCAGGAGTGAGGAGTTGAAGCCCAGCACGACACCACAGTTGATCCGGTGAACTCAAGATGAGTTACCACTACGGCGCACCGCCACACCACTACACCAAGGTCTTTGGAACACCATCTCCCTACGACCGCGACGAGTATGTGCACTACGCGCCGCAGTATGACGCGACGCCCAAAAAGCACACTCGAAAGGCCAGCTACAACCCATCGCCCAGAGTCGGTGGTTGGTACTCACCTGCGGGTGCCCCACCCAACTACTATGAGCCCAACGTCCAATATGCGGTACCACAGGATGACATCTATGTGAGTGAGGAAAAGGGCAGAGCCCGCAGACAAGAAAACCATTACAACACATTTCCCACCTCAAGATATCATACTCGTTCATCATCGCGCAAGCAGAACCAGCCCGTCTACATCCACGACGATGAGGCTGGATATGCAGACGTGCCGCCTACATACATCTATCGGGAGCCAAAGACAAAACCAAAACATGCAAGGAAGCCAAGCACTGACACGTACTTTTACTATGGGCAGGCACAGATCATAGATGAACAGCCCAAGCAATCTAGAACTCGGCGCTCCTCAACCACCAGCAGAACATCGCCTAAGTCAAAGCAGACGAAATCAACACCGAAGGCAACCGAGGAAGACGCCATTCGAGCAGGGATCCCTTCAGGCTACTCCATCAAGCATTGGGATCCGACAGAGTTGCCTATCATCCTGCTGGGAAGCGTGTTTGATGCCAACTCTCTCGGGAAATGGATTTACGATTGGACGGTTTTTCACCATGGTGCATCGACCCCGATGGCAGACATGGCTGGGGAGCTGTGGCTCCTGCTCATCAAACTTGCAGGGAAGATGAAGCGGGCAGAGGAATGTGTTGGCCGTGTCCACAATCTCGACAAACGAGAAACCGTCGAGGACTTCATCATCAGTGGCCACAGACTATGGGACAAATTCAAAGGGCTTCTCAAAGAGTGCGAACACTATATGCTGAAGGCGGCGAAGCGTGACGGCACAAAGACCATGGGCAAGAAGGCAGGCACAGAGTTCGTCGACTCCATCTTTGGACGCGATCGTTACCTGGAATCGACGGAGAAGATAATGAATCAGGTCAGGCTCTGGAACATGCGCTTCGATGTCAACTGCGAGGATACGCTGCGTCGACCCTCTGCTGCCTAGAATTTGCTCGACCAGGAGAACAAGGAAGAAGCAACTCTTTGATGGTGGCAAAAACATGACTTCGCCACATCACAACTCAACCATACACATTATCGAAGCATTTACGCGAGGCAGTTGGTGTTTCGCAGTCAGACACCCTGTGGGAATATTCAGCACGATTCATTCGGCGGCTAAAGCGTGCTATGAGTCAATTTTGAGCCTCGACTCAGGGAGGTGTTTTTGTTAATCAATTCTTTGCAGCCACGGCGAGCCGTTTTTTACAGGGAGGCATTCCAAAAAGTTACCACAGGGAGTGGAAGAGGATGAAAATCATGACAGATGATCTGTACTTTACTGGGTATTTGTTACGGCCGTCTGCGCATGTTGGGTTCCTTGATTTTCCGAGGCGGTACTGGGCGTCTTTCTCGTTTCATTGGGAACGTTTTTGCAAGAGATACCCCCTTCGTCTGGTCCTTTCACTGTATACTTATCTTGTCTCCAAGAAAGGGATGTCCGCAAGGACTTGTCGGGAGTTTTTGAGATTGTTATCGGGATTTCTGCTTTCTGAAAGGGCTACAGAACCTCTCAGGTACCCCAGGAACGGATATCATACACGTGTACGAATAACATAATATGCGTAGCTTCTGTCCTATGTCCATTTTTACTTCTGTTCTCTTGCTACCTAATTCTTGTATTTCGTATTCACTGTCTCGCAATGTATCGCTCTGTACGGTTACAATACGCGATTCTCTTTGATCCGAGGTGCTGCTATCGTCTAGCTCGATGTACACTTGGTGATCAACACTCCAATTGTTCACCAGCAGGGGCCTGAATCAGCGTACCTCGATATCTGCAAGATGAGTCACGCGCTTGATGGAATGTGGGCAAATAGTTCAACGATCAGCCGCTCGTGTCCGCTTACTCTGCTTCAGCTGCTTCCACGCAGCGGCACCAAAGTCTAAGAAAAGTACACATGTCGATCCGGGGCATCAGATCGATGAAACACAGAGGCATACAGCACGTCTGCCTGCACACCACCGGCAACTAGAACATCCTTACGAAGCGATACCTTCCATGCACTCGTGACCAAAGATAGTATGAAGACGGAAGATGCCAGGCGCTTACTTGCATGTGACTTGTGATGTTCACCTACCAAGCGGGTGGGGGGAGCCAGTCACTACCCATGGATCAATGCGAACATGCGTTCGTAAGGCCCTCTGTCCGTCCGGAGTGTGACACACTGATAGGACTGTTATGCTTTTCAGTGGGGGAGTCAATTATTGATGGGTGTGGTTGTACAGAACGCGGGCAGGACTTTTGTGCAAGTGACAGTTGGCGTGATTACACGAGGGACAAAGCCCAGGCATAGCGAACTAGCAGCTGAACAAGCAACTGGTGAGGAGTAATGGACGTGCGGGTGATTGATGATTTGTCCGGCGCGTAGATACATGCAAACACGGGAGATATATCAGAGATATCTCATCGGCTTGGGGCTTGGGGCTGGGCCAATGATAGGGCGACAAGGGTATATCATTGCGGAAGGGTGTGGAAGGTTTGGGCTTGGGGAGAATGCATGGTCGGATTCGCATGGGATTACTCTTATGATGGCTTGCTGATAGGCATAGACTAAGGAAATGCAGGTGTTGCATGAGCAGAAGCCATAGTTTGCAGTAGATCGTCAGTGGCTGCGGTGCGACTTCAAAGGAGGGGGGTATGGCGAATGTTGGGGTCCGGTGTTTGGACGTTACTCGCTCACGGACTATTGAGTGTTTATTTCTCGTACTTTGTGGTCTTCGCGATCGGAGGGTTGACTTGTATTGGATGTGAGAACGTCCGCGTGACTTGTCGGACCTGTATGTAAATTGATGGGCATTGCGACGGCGATGGTGCCTGCCCGTGGCAAGTTCGATACGGATGGTCGATGGCCGGTCATTCACTTCGGGATAGGTCTCTGTGTAACCTCAGTCGGGGCGACGTGCATGAAAACTGTCCGAATGGGTGGGTGTGATACGAGAAGAGACCTGGAGATAGTCGCCGGTGGGTTCGTTCCTTTTTCAACGGAGAAAGGAAGCGATGCATTGCAAGCATTCTGTGGCATGGCCTAACAAACATACCAGGTAGGTACCTATGGCCTGATGGAGTAAGATACACTAAGTTTGAGATGCCTGCGTATACAATCGACTTGTTCGTCCCTTGACACGGCAAACCGTAGTGGAGGATAGATACGTTCTGGTGAACAATCGTGATGTACTGGATATGCAACTCTGCCTGTCTTCACTTGTTGCCTCCTTACCTGACCGGCGAATATGCCTTCATGGTTTTGGACTGGCGAGTTCGTATCATGCCGCCTGGGCGGAAGACTGTTGAATACTTGACTGGCAGGTCGTGTCGACCAGTCAAGTGTCTTAAACACGTCGGGTCTATCGTATGGGGTCCAGGGAAATATATCCTCGCCAAGGGGTTTGTCGTGGGGGACAAGCCTTTGCGATTGAACCAACAGGCGCCCGGCCAGAACTGAAACAGACGCACCCCTGACGCCTAAGGGATCAAAGTCCAAGGTACGCTTTTGCGGTGCCTTCCAATACACCCTCTTTAGAGGCTACCGACACTCCTATCCCTCCCACGGTCCCTAGTGCCACGCAGCAGACAGTCGCCTGCGACCTTGACTGCAACCGATGCTTGATTTGACGTTTTTGCCATGGTGAGTTCTTTTGGCAGCTCTTGGCCACGCCTCTCAAGACCAGTCACGCGAATACATGTTGCCGGCGGGTTTCATATGCACACGCTACACATACGGAAACGACGACCCGAATAACGGGTATGCCGCTTTTGCGCGGCTGACTTGTGCTACTTGTTGACTTCCGCTTGTGACCTGTTACAAGTCTATGGTCAATGTTTGTCCAAGAGACAAGGCTGCCATGCCTGCAAGGAAAAGGGGCTCCATCGACGTCGAAACAAGCGGTTGGGCCGGCGTGCGTGCTTCTGCAGGTCCAGGAGTCTGTTCCGTGATCTAGTTGCCTTTCCCGCGAAGGCGTCCTTCACCGCCATTTCAGTGTCCAGTCAGGCTGGGTTTGGTAAGGTATTGTATCTTGGAAAACCGAAACGAGCTGCTATACACAACAGTATCGGCGTGTTTAGAGCGGAAAATTTCAACTTGATCAGGTCCGTCAATGGGTTCTGTCCCTGCCGACCCTCGCGTGCAGCTTTGTATGAGAGCGGCACTTCTATCAGCCTACCTAGGTAAGTTTGGGTGCACCTGGTATGCATGCCGTTCAGCAAGGCTGCAGGACAACTGCATCAAGCAGTTGCACACCAGAGGTCTTTCAGTACAGGTGTCTCCCTTGGGGTGCATGACCTCTTCAGCAGAGAAGGGCGGTGGCCATGTCCATGTTGCTTTGCGTGACAACCGAAAATGTCGCATCGGCCTGAACCCGCAGCTTGCTGACATACCCCCGACTTCATGCTGCAGAAAGTCGCTATCTTCGACTTTGCATAAGAGGTAATGTAGGTACATATACGAAAATTCAGAGATGATTTTTCACCACAAAGGCATTTTTTGGCAGGTGCGCAAAGCCTTAGGCGTCTGCAGGAGCATGACAGAAGGGCGGTCACCGCTAGCTAGCATGAATCTTCTGCAACAATTTGCAACCATTGCAATGAATCTGCTGGCATAACAAAGGTGAAACGACCAAATTGCTTGATCTGCATTGATTTGCGAATGTCGAAGTGCAACTGTGCAACGACTTGTTTATTCGATATCGGTCGATGATCCGGAGCCTGATTGCGGGGAACTGCGTACACCATGCTGAATAGGCGCGGAGTTGAGCAATTGCGGGAGACTTGCCCTGCCGTGTCCGCCCTATCATTCATCATAGGCCATTGGATTACTTATCGGCATCGCAATATGGATTTGTAACCTGCGAGCACATCATTGTGGGGTTAAATGATCTATGATGGTCTATGTGAATAGGCTCATTATTTCAAAGGTATTTCTTTACATTCGCATACTATCATTGATGTACCTGTGAGAACGTGTCCCAGTCACTGTATCTACCGGATTGTATGCCAGCGACCTCCTCACAACAAGCTCACTACAGGTTAAGCAGCGAAATTCACAGACTGACTCCTTCTGATATGTCGTCGCAAAAGGCTTGGGCCATTGTTGCCGGTGTCGGGCCTGGCACGTAAGTTCAGCTACATCCACATCGATGGCACGTCTGACCAGCCCACAGAGGTGCGAGCGTTGCACGTCGCTTTGCAAAGGAGTATTCGGTTGCCCTCCTTGCACGAAATCCATCCAATTACGAACCACTCGTGAAAGAGATCGAATCCGCAGGCGGCAAGGCTGTCGGCATCAGTACCGATTGTGCTGATGGCAAGAGCGTGAAGAATGCATTTGATCAACTGAAGAAAGAGATGGGTGGCGCTCCCTTGGCTGCCGCAATTTACAATGTTGGCGGACGGTTCATTCGAAAGCCTTTCCTTGAACTGAATGAGGAAGAGTTTGAGAGTGGTTGGGAAGCCAACGGGTATGCTTTCTTCCACCTGCAGACAGGTCGAGTTTGATCAAGTTTCGGCTGACCACCGTTCAGACGAGGAGGTTTCCATTTTTCACAAGCAGTCTTGCCCTTGCTCCTCGAGGCGCTCAAAGGCTCTCTTGAACACCCACCTACCTTGATTTTCACATCAGCAACTGCTGCCATGAAAGGCTCTGCAAACTGCTCCTCCTTCGCAACCGGCAAATTCGCCATGAGGGCTTTGGCGCAGTCATTGGCAAGAGAGTTTGGACCGAAAGGCATTCATGTCTCCCACGCCATCATTGATGGAGTGATTGATATCGAGAGGACGAAACACTACCAATTTGATCATCCTGATGCAAAGATCAAGCCCGAAGCGGTAGGAACACAGCCATGGCCGATATGCAGTGGTAACCCCAGTTGGCTGACCTCTTTCTCTTTTGCACAGATTGCCGATTCGTATTGGTACTTACATACACAGCCCCGGACATGCTTCACGAACGAACTCGATATCCGGCCATATATCGAAAAGTGGTGATGAATATATGAAGAGCACATATATATTTGGAATGATATTGCCCCGGTATCCGGTCGAAACTTGTCCTTACCTCTGTCTTCCGCGTGAAGACTTCCCTTTTTGATGCAGTGACAAATGCAATCCGGCTTACCCGGGTCAACGTCCGGCGTGGAAACTAACCGGATTGTTCCAACGCAGACTCCATTTGAGTGAGACAGGCGCCATACTGACTAGAAACCGACGACGCCGCGACGGCGCAATTCCGCCAACCACGCTTTCAAACCCGGGCATGTCACAATGTCGACGACACCCATCGGACCATCCACCGGACGAAGGCCGCCAGAAGCAGAATGGTTTCTGTGGACATTCTCGGTGTAATTGTGGCCGTGAGGATCCTTTTGTTATGCAAGTTGCACGACTACCGACCGAAAATGCCGAAGCAACAGGGATCCAACTTTTCAATTGAATATTCCCCACATGGAGGAACGCCATGGCGTGGTCCCCGTGCGGGTTAGGGGGCATTAGAGGATTACCTCCGCCACCGACATAACCGTTTTGCCGATGCTCTCTCATCAATGATACCTCGATCATCCAATGACGAATGATCACCGAGGCACTTTGACACCTCCAGCGTTTTTGATTGCTTCTCTTTCGCCGCATGGACTCCATTCACTCCATTCTTACGAGATTCACCTCATCAATTATTGAATCGCACCTTCCTCATTTTGTCACGAGGCCGCCGCCACTTCCATTGCTTCGGCTGATCAAGCTTTTTCGACCTAGTTGCCTATTCGCTGGTCCAGCGAGATGGCGCACGAACAAGAGTGATCGTCAGCACGTACACGTTTCTAATCCTGACGTATGGGTTATGCCCTCTCATCAAGGCGCTTCACAAATGACGATTGTATGTCTTTCTGGATCTTCCGAGTAATTATGATGGAGTGCAATCCCTGCACTGGCCGTGCATAGGAGATGAACAGTGGTCTAAGTCAAGGCCTGTCCTGCTCTTCCTCCGAGGACCTGGCTCCCATTCGCTCATGGAAGGCATACTGCTTCCACTTTATGCAATTACGGTAGGCCCGGGATACGTTATTGATCTATGAGCAAAAGAGAAAACCCTGACCTCGAAACTGAGGTCGCAACCAGAGCCCACAGGGTTACGAGTACATCTACCCTCCACCACCCCAGACTCACTCCTCCTTGATTACTCTTCCACACTTCTACCCCAGACTCGCTTGCCCCAGATCAGCACTTGCCATCGTGTTCAGTAATCTCATCTCAGATCCTCCCAAGCCGGTGCCGACGTATCAGACAACGACATCATGGCTAACGATCATGACATGTCACGAATGCATACCAACGACATCGAAATCGGTGTTTCAGACGCTCTCCAGCGTCACATTACTAGGCATGTCGTTCCGGCCAAACCAGTCTCGCAGCGAAAGCTCAACTTCGAGCACAAGCGACCGCGGATAATGCGAGAGATGATGGCAGAGGCTACAGGCGTGTTCTTCTACGTCTTTCCGGGTATTGCCTCGGTTGCTTCATTCACCCTGGCCACCACGAACCCCGTAGCGGCCGCCGTCGGGATTCCTGTTTTCGGATCTCTTTTCCAGATTGGTTGGGCCTTCGCCATTGGCATCGCCTTTGCCATCATCACCTGTGGACCTGTCAGTGGTGGGCATTTTAACCCTGCCATTACCATCTGCTTCGCTATCTGGCAAGGATTTCCATGGAGAAAGGTCCCTCATTACATCTTCGCTCAAATCTTTGGGGCCTTCATGGCCGGATTGGTCCTTATGGCATGCTACTGGCCGGAAATCCAGACTGCGAAGGCTGCTGACATCAAGGCCCATGGTACAGCGGTATACAACGGTGGTGTCGCCAGTATCTTCTGCGCATTCCCCAACACCAATCAGACGAACCAGGGATATTTGTTCTTCCAAGAATTCTTCGTGGATAGCTATATCGGCATCATCATCTGGACGTGCTTGGACCCAGCGAACCCCTTTGTCAGCCCTGTCTCTGTTCCGTTCACCATTGGTATCGCTTACGCCACCATGGTCTGGGGTTTCGCGGGTAACACCTTATCCACAAACTTAGCAAGGGATCTGGGTACGCGTATCGTGGCAGCAATCTTCTTCGGCAAGGAGGCCTTCACGTACAGCAACGGTTACTCGTGGATTTCGATCTTGGTCAACGTGCCTGCCACTATCTTTGCTACAGGATACTACGAGTTCCTTATGCGTGATAGTTTGCAGAAGATTCAAGCTGGTCATGCCGAGCACGAAGATGGCGATGACGGCCTGAAGAGGCATATCTCCAGGGTTACCGGTGCGGATCTCCACGCTGAAGAGCCATGGACGCCGAACCGTGGCGCAATGAATGCTGCTTCGGCTCCCAATGGCGTGCACGACTTCGGAGACAAATGATGGACTGAGACATTGCGAGACGCAGCGCTGCTGCACGTGAAAGCATCATGGGATGATTGGGAGGAGATTTGAGAAAAGACAGGACGAAGAGGGAAACCTGTACTGTATATCAATTCCAGATTCTCAGAGTATATTTTAAGAAAGAATTGTACCTCGCCATCAAATCCTGCAACTCATTGGAACGTATCCTTGTAGACAGTCTGCCGGAAAGGCATGCAATGGAACGATGTTCCATGCATGAGTAAACTTCAATCTGCGCCAGGCGTATACCTTGTTCAACCACGAGTAGAACGGTAGGCAAGGAGATAATACTGGCAGAATTTGTACGAGTGAGATTGTGCGAGCGGGAAAGGAAAACATATTTTGATATGTGGTTGACTCGTTCGGGACAACCTGTGTCCTGAAGGGAAGGGATACTCTCCGGTAGAAGGGCTGACTCGTTTGAGGTTTGAATCTTTTTCATTCATGCATGATCGATGCATCGTAATGCCGAAGCCGAATATGTAGACACTGCTCTATCAATCATGGCGATGCGTTTGATTCCCGGCTCAAATTCCCGTGTGAAAACACCCTGGTTGGAATGCTCAATCATCGCACTTTTTCGCCCTAGACCCATCTTTCACCGCAACATAACAGAATCAGGATGACTTTGACTTGAGAGCTTCACGGCCTTTTGAGATTCGCTCGAGGATCTTTTCCCGGTCCTTGTCGAGCTTCAGCTTCGTGACGACGACTTTGCTGGGGTGGATGCCGATTGGGACGGCTTGGCCGTTCGACTTCTCGCGGGAGACTCGCTCGATGTGGATGAGGTATTTCAATCGGTAGACGGAGGTGACTTTTCCTTCACGGCCCTTGTTGGTGCCTCGCACAACGGTGACTTCGTCGTCCTTTCGGATGGGAATGCTGCGGACCTGTAAAATTCGGAGCGTTCGTGTCAGCCTTGCAATTCTTCCATGATCAAATCTTCAAAGCAATCTCATTGTGCGTATCATGACAGCGGGAAGGCTCGTACATTGTGCTTTTCTCTTAATTCCTTGCTAAGAGGAGCGCTCATGATCGTTCGTCGAACGCTGGAGGGGGCATCGAAATGCACCTTGCGAGACTTGCGCCTCGACGAGGCCAGACCTATTGGAGTCGTCAGAATCGTGCCATTTCGCTATAGCAAATCGACCGTACCTGAGTTGATTTTAGTCATGGTTGCGGTTTGGCGAAGGGTTGAAGGAGTGGTCGACAGCGAGATTGTTCGTCTGATTGTCGCTCTTTCCTCAGGTTTTCGCGATTGTGGACTTGTAAGTCTTGGCGGCAAGAGCCACGTGATTTCAGCAACGAGTAACTTAGCCGAGTCTCCGACGCTGGATCGCTGGGCTTGCGCGGGTCCACTCATGGCACTTCAACATCATCTCCACCTGCGCGTCCCTCAAGTGCAAGATCGGTGCGATGGCAGACTGTACAGACTAGATACGGTCATCTATCCACAAACAGCACGTCGACACTAACCCCGCGACATCCTAACATCGAGTATTAGCGATCACCACCATCAAGCGGGCCTCGGCGCCATCTCAAACATAAACCTGCGATCGATACTTTGCAACTTACGGGCAATACAAGAGCAGAGACATAGTGACGGACACATGTAATGAGACCATGGGATTACCTGAGGCCAGATACTCTAGCGGCATAGTCGTGAAGGCCGACAATGTCATACGCATCGATGTCAGGGTACGGTGACTATTATGATTCTGGGAATCAAGGACAGAATATGCAGGGCTCTTACAACACCGGAAGACAATCCAATACGACCGATCGCTACACTACGCAATCCGCGTATTCCGGCGACAGTAGACAATCTCAATATGGCTCGTCTGGGTACGAATGGTCAGGGCAAACCCAGCAAAATTACGCCGACGGTTCCCGTCAACAGGCATACAGTAGTGCTTCGTGGAAGGACGACGACACCCAGAGTACAGCCTATGGTGACAGACGTGACACCCTTACTCCACAGCCTACTGCCGGTAGCACTAGACAAGAGTACTACAACTCGCAGTCAACCAATGCCACGGGTCAGAACACACAAGGGTTGAATAGTCTTGCGTACGCATCAGGTTTGGACGAATCTGGACTCCAGCGACAGGGTCGGGTACAGCAGTCAAATGCGGTGTCGTCAACGAAACACTCATTGTCGACTACAAATGCGCCAAATCGTGTTCAATCCCCACTCGCTCATAACGCCTCACAGTACAGTTCGAGTCAATCAACTGGTTTTAACTATCACAATAATTCTGTCTCTACCACCAACAAGCAGTCAGCTGCCGCGGCTGCTCTGGCCGGGGCTGTCAATCGTCGCTTTCCGCAAGCTAGTAGTGCGCAGTCAGTATCCCCAATTTTGGATGGTGCAGCTCCTCGGCCATCGGCTCCACAATACTATCACCCGAATACGCAGGATCAGAGACACCCTTCATCTCACGCTCAGCGAAATCCTCATGTGGTAGCGGCAAACTCCAATCGCCAGGCAGATCAACAGATGTCCCAAGATAGAGTCGGACAACGTGGACGTGCGCCAAGTCGGGGCGCTCAGCAGGCGTCGAATCAATCTCAGCAGCAGGCGCTACAGGTCAATTCCATCTCGAATCTTGTCAGTCACCCCACGGAAGAAGCTCGTCAACCACAGTATTCCACGGTAGCAGAGCAACAAAGCACGATGCCGAGTTATATCGATCCGACACAGGTTTTTAATCCTTTCGCTAGGGAACATGAAAGAAGACGAAGGGAGGCTGAGGCGGAAGCGAAGCGCAAAGCAGAGGAAGAAGCTGCCTCGGCTGCTAGAAGGCGGCAGGAAGAAGAGGCTGCGCGAAAACGTCAGGAAGAAGATGCTGCTGCTGCTGCCCAGAAACAGCAGGAAGATCATGATGCTGCTCGGAAACGACAAGAAGAGGAATCTGCTGCGGCCGCGGCGGCGGCGCAAAAGGCCAGTGAGTCAAGTAAGCGAGTGAATAAACGGTCAGAATCCGCACCAAAATCCCGCAAGAGAAAGGCCGCAGCCCAAAGTGATGAACAGCCACCAAATTCTCAGACTGGCGAGGCCGATATGGCAACTGAACTGAAAGTCATGATGGAGAAGATGAAGGAATTCCGCAGCAAAGACCCATCACTGTTTCAGAAGTTGTGGGATGACATGCGGAAACCAACTGTACCCGTACAATCTCCTTCGCCTCAGCTGTCACAGCAAGAAGCTATCCCAGAATCTCAACCCTCTCCTCGGCCCACGCCAGTGGCATCTTCGGTGGCTCAATCGTCAGCGATAACTTTCCTGCCCAGTGCGACATCAGCAAATATTTCTGTATCACGCCCGCTAAATGGTTACAGGGTTGTGGTTGAGAACAACCAAGAAGACTTGCCTGATCTGGGTCGATTTCCTGCAGAACGACGCATACGAGCGTCGTATGTGGCCAAGAGAGATATACGTCACGATACACCTACAATCCCTTCGCCTCTCGTCAAGAACGCGCCGCTGTCAAGCGTGCCTACTTCTCAACCAGGCAACCTCAATCCAGCTCCAGCTGGCCCACCGGTCCAACCCACTCCCGTCTCTGCGCAGCAGTCAAACGTTCCCGCTGTGTCAATCGCGCCTCTGGCGAAATCACCTCTGCTCACACAAGGGTTGCCACCACGTGGTCCATCTGGCGGGACTATCTGGCCCGAGGAGAAAAGAAATGCTTTGGCAGGAGAAGCAGTGAAGGCTTTGAAAGCAAATCCTGCAAATGAACAGGTCAATATCAGTCCGGCAGACATTCACGCCATGTTGGAGAAGAATCCAGGCTATATTGATCTATGTCAAATGTTGGAGGACAAAGGTCTCAAATTTCACAGGGGTCAATTTGCCCGACAGCTATTGAGCAACGTCCCCTATCTGAATACCCCCGCGGCTACGGCTCCTCCGCCAACAATCGAACCTCAGCCTCAATTCCACTCGCATCCGAGTCCAGCCGTGCCACCTGCCGCCGCGCCTACGCCTGCTCAAAACCCCGTCCGTGTACCTGCGCCGCAGCCTGTCTCGATCCTGGGGCCACCACGCGTGCCGATATCGATCACGAATGGGCCGCGCAACGACCCGAGAGTTGCGATCGCACCGCCACTTCAAAGAGTCATCCTTCCTCAGTTCCGCAGCGTTAATGGTCCTGTAACTTTCAAGCCAGAACATCCGGGAATCCCTCAACAGCCTGTGAAAATTGCAAGGCCCAATTCGTTCAAAGTCACAGCATCACCTCGCCACGAACCGCCACAAGGGTCGAAAGAAGCATTGGCTCGAAAACGTGACTTCTCAGAAATAGTCGATCTAACAGCACTGAGCGACGATGAAGACTACGTTCTATCAAGAAAGCAGGCAAGAGTCGAGAGTCCATCGCCCGAACGCGACCCATTCCACGAGTATCAAAGACAGCAGAGTTCGGCGTTCCAACCTGCAAACCCAGCGATACCGACCGAGGGACTGGTCCCATATCAAGGAGGGCATGCATTCCCATACGCCCTCTCGAATGGAGCTCCTTTGAAGTTCAATCCTGGCCCAATACATCAGTACGAAGCTAGGCCTCCTCCACCCGCGCTCCAACCAGCGCCAACGTCGACGAAGTCAACCAAAATACTTGCCAAATCTATCAACAAGGATGAAGCATTGCAAAAGACTTATTACAACCCCAAGACTGTGGCGCTCGATATCCTGATTGCAGCTGGAAGACATCCGACCGAGAGACCGCTGAATGCTCACATGGCCGGCATTCTTGGAAAGCATATTGACCTTGACTCTGACCTGAGTACATTCGACTGGGATGCTGTGGATCCTGGAGGTCCGCCACTGCCACAAGTCGAGGTTGTTGATGTGCCTATTGCGCCTCCTCGTTTCCAGTTCGGAAAGAGACGTGCGGACATTTCTCTTGCCATTGATCGAGTTGTGAATGGAGAGTCACGCTTACCTGATTCGGACAAGCGTCACTTGCCTGCGCCCGCGCCAGTCAACGGCAACTCAATCACGCGTCAAGACGGCTTCACACCTCGATCACGTCTAAAAGACCTCAATCGACCTCCAAGGTCGTCCACTGTCCGTGGCTCCCCTGCTCCGGAATCTGACTCACGAAATGTGAATTCAGTGAAGCGTCAGACACGAAACCCTAGTGTCGCTTCTCCGACAGACCCTCTTGGTCAAGAGCAGCGCTCCACTCGATCCTCCTCCAGTCAACTCAGACCCTCCATCGAAGTTGAAAAGTCCAAAAAGATGGACTCAGCGCCTTTCTTCCCCAGTGGCAAGCGACGAGGGCGACCTCCAGGAGCTAAAAATATTCACCCGAGTGTCAGGGAACTGAAGGCTACCAGCAATCAACCTACTCAGTTCTCCGTCAGCGTCCCTTCACCTTCGTCGCCTAGCCTTCCTTTATTCAGGTGTCGCTGGAAAGGTTGCAAGGCACACTTGCACAACCTTGACACATTGCGACAGCATATTACGAAGGTTCATCGGCCAAGTGAGGGTGAACGAAAAGACTACGGTTACATCTGTTGGTGGAGGAAATGCAGATACCTGAAAGAGGACAAGGATGGCTTGATTCACCCGGAGAAGACATTCGACGATGATTCGGAGTGGCTCGAACACATTGAAGAGGATCACCTGTATTCAGTCGCCATGAAACTTGGGGATGGCCCTTCCACGAAACACATTGGTAAGCAGAAGTCTTCGGTCTTTGATGTCTCGAGATTTGTTTTCAACCCTCCTGCAAGAGAGAAAGCTAGAACTCGTTCTTACTTAGAGCCGCAGACTATCCTCCAGGATAGGACCCGATACCTTTCAGACGAAAACGGACGACTTACCACACCCACATCATCTGAGACGTTGCAAGAAGACCTGGAGCCCGATACAATGATACTGTTCAAGGCGGAATGGGACGAACACGAAAAGGGAACCCAGCGCAGCTTCATGAAAACGCATAATGTCGAGAAGAACGTACCGAGAGCGGTGGCCGAGGAAACACTGAGAGCCATGACTGCTCGCAAGGCCAAGATAGGTCCTGGTATCGAGAGAGGTGGCTGCATATTGGTCACCGAGGCAAGAAGAAAGACGTTGATACAGAATCAGGGACTTGCTCGCGTTGTCGATGCAGATTACTGACGAGTTCGAAAGGATAGAGAAGGTGCTGTGGAGGAAAGCACTTATCACAACAAGCTCAGCACAAGGTGGCTGATATGCTTGTCGCAGTATCAGTCCAAGGTTGATATTGAGCGTGCTATCAACAGTGGAGCTCGCGAATCAATTTCATGTATGAATATAATATACATTCGATGCTGGATCGTTGCGCTGAAGGCGCCAGCATCTGTACGGAACAAGTCGTGTACAGTAAAGCACGATTGACAAAGACTCCTTGTTATATCTCCAATTCCCAACATGCATTCCAGTAAGACTTCGTGGTCTGACACTCCATGCTCAGGGGTCATGCATCACACATATCGGTCCAGGTATGCCCATATGGGCTCATCGCATATGCTCGACGTCCACTTGCTCGTGTCCTCCCAGGCATGTTCGTCCAAGCCACATCCGTAGCATACTAGTACAGTTCTTGAGAAGATCGAGCATTCCGCACTATCAATCTTTTCTGAGCAACAGAGCAGCTCTTCCTTCCTGCCTGCCTCGCAGTCGCGTCGGTCCGGGACACGTAACGCTTCAGCTTCCAAGCTACTCGAGCTTGATCGCCAGGAGGATCTCGCGCGTTGCCGAATTGGCATTGTGAGGGCGTGGTTGTAGAGTCCAGCGACCAGATTTCGTTCTTTCAAGGTCCACGTCATCTCTACTCGACAGCCACAGGCTTTACCGCCCCGACACCGCTCTTCTCGCTGGTCAATTTCTCAAGAGCTGGGTCGTCCTGCGCATTGATTTCAAGGAAGTGGTAGAGGACGATCATCAGCATTGCTGCCGCACCCAGGAAAATGGCCAGGTTGTAGAGTTGATTGTCCGAAATCATTTTGAATGCTCTGGAGACGGAGTCCGCTTTAGTTGGAACAGCTTGGTCAGGAGTGTGGGAAGGAGTGGTGGGTGTAGGAGTTGTTCAATGGTGTCTCGTTTCGTAGATCGTGGAGTGCTGGATTGTTGGTGTTGAGCGTGGTAGAGGGAGTGCAGGTGTGAGATGACTTGGTAAAGAGGAGTGCTGGGTCTCGGAAGCTCCGTATGGTGAGTCAGGCGTGGGAGTATGCGACCGGAAGAAACTGGTTGGGATGTTCGGTATGGTGCAGGGTAGAAAGAGCATGAGAGTGAACGTGTCTACAAGTGGAGGCGCGTTATTGGTCAGCCTTGTTGTATCTACGGTAGGTGTGGGTAAGGCTTGCAGGTCGACGGCCTACCATACATAGTATTCAGTGGCGACTTCTTGTACTCACAACTTCATTTGGTAGTACCTTCTATGTATGATCATTAGTGCATAAACCATGTTTCTATCTCACTTGCAAATGCAAAAGGGTGTGGAACGAGCCAAAACAGTCTAAGAATAGATTATTTATCTCGTCAGCTCTATCGCAAAAACTCCTGTAGGGAGTGGTGATTCTAGAATCTAGTCTCTTGAAGAACAGCAACAGAATGCTTAGTATCGATATCAATGTGCAAAGAAGGTGCGCATCGTGCGCTCAGGTATGCTGATTCAGAACTCGCGTGCAGTGACAAAGCGTTCTGCAGACGGTCTTCCAGCAGTCGATACTGCAGCTCCCCCAACGGAAGTTGACTGAGTCTCTGGTTGTCGAGTCGCTTGGACGTAGGTCGATGGCTGAGAGGTTTCGTTGACAGTTCTTTTCTCGAGAGGTTCGTTCCTGGCAGCAGCCTCCTTCTCCTGCTTTGGTGCATTGGTTGCAGCCACTGCAGCGCCATCACCCACAACAGTCTTCTCATTGAGGTGGCCGGCTTCCGAGCTACCTGTCGAGCCACCGTTCTCGAGGTCTCCATCAACGCGCTTCTCTTTCTCGGCATGGCTTTCCGTCTTGACCAAGCCTTTCTTGTCATCTTTGCCAGCATACTTCTTGCCCTTGGGCACCCTAGCCAACCAGTAAATCGCGGTTGCCGCAAGAATATTGAAGGCGATGTAGACGAAGATAATCCCAAAGTCCCTCCATCTATGGTCGAACGAAATGCTGGACAGTTCCAGGAAAGTATTCGTATTGTCAAGGGTGCAGAACTCGCACTGTGAGGCGTTGGAGTCGATCAGATAGCCACCAGCCTCGGAGATGTAGGATTTGAGATATGTCCCACATGTCTCGCCGGAGGGTGCCCTGAAGTGCAAGAGTTCATTGTCCGCACATGTTACTGGCGCATTGGCGACTCCGACAGCGAGTAGTCCTTCGACAAGGTAGGTGAACGGTGATACTCGGTACATGAAGATCCAGAAGCCCGGCATAGCTTTGGGCCCGACCAGTACACCGTTGAACAACAGACATAGTGAGAAGAGGACGTTGGCGAGATTTGATGCAGCCTCCGCAGTCGCGATACCCGCGATCATCAGATGTGCAAAAGTCGAGCTGAACATGAGGAATTCCCAGACGAACAAGAATTCTAGCCCACCTCGCGAATGGACGGAGTTGGTGTAACTTGCGTTTTTGTACAGGCCGATCGGATAGTACCAGCAGAAGAAAAGTACCACGCCGCCCAACGTTGCCCATGGAAGTTCGACAAGAATGTTAGACAGCATGAATGCTTTCCAATCGTACGTCTTCGAAGGCCGCTCACGAGCTTCGTACAGGCTTCGTTGAGTGACAAACAGAGGCATGATCTGTTGGACGAGCTGCGAGAAAAGGACGAGAAGCATGAAAATACCGAAGAGTTGATTCTGAAGCCCTTGTTCAGTGTTCGGCGCCTTGTACAGTGAGAAGCCAATGAACAAGCCCTGAAACTCCGTTAGCGAGTGCGAACAATGCGACAGGTTTTGATACTCACAGTCAACGCGCAGAGCAACATCTTTGAGTAGATGTATACGGGTGTTCGCCAGTATTGTTCGAAGACACGTCTCTGCACTTCCCAGAACTGCATGGTAAAAGGTGCCGCAAATTCGAAGTAGTCGCTCTTGTGTGACGTGCTGGGATGCTCGATCTGTGATCTCTCGACCTTCATCTCTTCCAATTCTCGGTGCACTTCCTGGTACTCCGGCGATTGTTTCCAAGCCTCAAACCAGTTGACTTCTGTGTGCGACCCAGGGGCGGCTCCTATGGCTTCGAGCATGTATTCGGCAGGATTGGCTCCAGGCGGGCATGCGGGCGCTCCGTTCTTCTGGAAATAATTGATAAGAATATGTGAGTCTCGGCCGACCGGGCCAAAGTACACTGTCTTGCCACCTGCCGCGAGAAGCAAGAGTCGGTCAAATCTCTGAAACAGGATCGCCGATGGCTGATGGATAGTGCAGAGAATGGCTTGACCAGCATGCGTTAGCTTTTCGAGAAGGTTCAGAATAGACCAGGACGTCTGTGAGTCAAGGCCTGAGGTGGGCTCGTCAAGGAACAGAAGCAGTTGTGGTCTGGCAGCCAGCTCAACACCGATTGTCAGACGCTTGCGCTGTTCCACATTCAGACCTACGGAGAGGAAAGTGTTAGTATCGAAACAATGAGTTAGTGATACGGGGACGTACCTTCACCTGGAACACCAACTACGGCGTCGGCGTATTCTTGCATATCCAACAGTTTGATGACCTCTTCCACATATGCTAATTTCTCAGCCCGGGGAACGTCTCTTGATTGTCTCAGGAGCGCGCTGAAGCGTAGTGCTTCGCGTACGGTCGAGGTCTCAAGGTGCAAGTCTTGCTGCTGCACATAGCCAGTTTTGCGCTGGAAAGATTCGTCACGTTGCCGGCCGTCGACCAGCATTTCGCCAGTGATGACACCCATGGTCACTCGAGTTGCGAGACAGTCGAGTAGAGTAGTCTTGCCGGCACCTGAAACGCCCTGATAAATCGTCAGCCATTGGTCTCGGGAATCATCACAAAGTAACTCACCATCAAAGCCGTCATGGTACCAGGCTTCACCCAGCCGTCCACATGATCGAGGATTCGACGAGGGTTTCCTTTGATTTTGATGTCATAACAGACATCTTTCCACTGGAAGATGGCGGTCTGCCTCTGAATAACAGCACTGACTTGTCGCTCTAATTGCTCGTCCTTCGTCTGCTGCCTCTCGAGAGCAAGAGCTTCGTCCAGGTTTCCAGATTCGTCGTCTGTCGGCCTCTCCTTCAAGAACGCTGGTTTGTGGCCTCTGCGGAACAACAAAACCTCGCCTTTCGACTTTTTGGCGGAGACGGTTTCCGTCGCGATTAGGTAGAAGACAAGCAAGCCAAGCATGAAAACGAACATGATACCAATATCCCGCCACTTGTGACCCCTGTAGTATTGGTAGGCGGAATTGATGTAAGCATCTCCATCGATCCAAGGCTGTCCAGCAGCTGCAGCAACACCCGAACAAATTTGTGTAGTGGTGCTTCCATCTCCGAACTGAGGGGCAGGTGGAATGAAGGTTGAGCATGGGTATTGCCTGTGGCTCATCTCGTTGACCATAAGAGCTTCGAAGCCGTACGCAGTAGGATTGATGTAGTTCATCCATCGCGCCCATCCATGCATATAAGTGACAGGAATGACAAATCCAGTATAAACAACAATGGCGATCATTAGTACGGCCGTAGGCACCAGGGCTTGAATCAGTGACCTCGACACTGATGCAATGAAGCGAAACAGCATGCTCATGGTCAGTGTGAGAATGTAAGTTGTGAATAAGAAGAAGAAAAATGCGCCGGGTGTCCGTCGTAAATTGGTCATAAAGTACAGGATTAGGTTGAAACCGATAGCGTTGAGAGTTTTCGCGGGGATGTCTGTCAACATTGATGCGAACGCTTCAGCTGAAGGATGATACAGTGCATAGCGCTTATGCTTCTCCACGATAGGTCGTTGGGCATACAGTGTAAGGATTTCGAGCGCGCTGCCGAATGCATTGAGAAGGACGGCGAAGAAAATCAGGGAACTTCGAGAGCGTAGTGAGTCGCTGTTGGCCTGAAGATTGTAGAAGAGAGACGAGACCACCAAAGCATTGATGCAGTTTCCAGCTAGCTGAGTAATCGTGATAGAAGGATCATCTGCAAGACGCTTGAAGCCACGCCACAAGCACAGATTGATCTGACCTGCATAGGACAAGGTGTAGGGTGAGGAGGCTCGTTGGACTTTCGATTGCTGAATGCGACGCGAGTGTTGAAATGCTTCGAGATTCGGGCCACCGATTGGGTTTGCCGCCTCGAATCCCTCGAGCTCCGTCAAGACCTTTTGCCGTTGTTCACTCTTCTGCCACCGTTCCACAAATTCGTCGGGAGTTCGAGGGACCAGCTTTTCGTGACCATGCATGACAATACGTTCGATTGGGTTTGTCATTGATGTGAGGAAATCTGGAACCGTCTGACGTTTGGGGCAGTCGAATCCCATGTCCAGGAAGTACTGCTTGGCGTCCGTCGTCCGGCCAAAATAGATTTGTCGACCCTGATAGAGCACTAGGACTTTATCAAAATAGTTATAAGCTGATTGAGGAGCTTGGTAGATGGCCACCGCAGCAGTAGTCTCGTTGAGATCTGTCGACGTCCGAAGAGTTTTACAGAACTCGATAGCGTTGGCTGAATCGAGACCTCTCGTACTGTTGTCCCAGCATTGTAGAGGTGCACCACTTAGAGTTGCTTCTGCGATTGATACTCGCTTTCTCTCACCACCACTGACTCCGCGGACGAAATCATTGCCGACCTTGGTACTGATTGTATGCCTGATGCCGAAAGTCGCCATGACTACGTCCCGGAGATGTGCAGCGTACATTTTCTTGGTGACGCCTTCGGGCAGTTTCATATGTTGTGGTGTTCTTGCGCGCGAGGCGAATAACAAGGTATCTCCAACAGTAAGCATGGGGAAGTGAATATCCTGCTCGGCCGTGTAGATGGCTTCGCCTCGAAAGTCATGGTGCATTTTCTTGTAGCTGATGCCTTGGTAGTTGATGTAAGAATCATCGCTAAGCGTAAAACCATGAGTCTCGCCAGCAATGGTTTTCAAGAACGTAGAACACCCAGAACCGGGAGGACCAAGAACAACAAGCATTTCACCTGGTTGCACCACGCCCTCAAAGTTGCGCAAGATGTCGACGCGGCGTCCTTTATGGCCAAAGAGCCCTCTGACCAGGTCCGACGCTGCCAAAGCATAGTTGTCGACAGTTCTTTGAAAGTCGCTGCCCTTTGTGAAGCCGAAAGCCGACAGATTCCGAAAAGCAAATCCGGCCTTTCGTCCAACGTTTTCCTGACCTGACATTTTCTGGAGCCGCAGCATTGCCTTGGTCCAGGCTCTGCCATTGAAGTTGTCGGAATTTGGGTCGATCTCTGAATCGGCACCGGACGCATCAAATGGATGAAATTGAGGTTCCGTACCAGAAGCACGGGAATATGAACGTGCCAGATCGCGAACCTCTTTGTTTTCATCCTGACCGTCCCCTAGAACCGGGCCACCATCGGAATGAAATGTTCTATCCTCATAAGGATAATCAGCTGCTGGGCTCTCGGAAGAGGCTCCAGCCATGCGACGACTCCGATCATAGTTGGTGGTGATGTTGCCAGCCAGAAAGGTCGACATTTTCGGAGATGTTGTCAACAGTCCAGGCAGAAAAGTATCCGGAAATCAGTCGCGTCCGATAAGCGAGTAATTGTTGATCAACCTTGGACAATTTCTCTCATCCATCCCTCGGAACCCAGTTCTGCAATGAAGGATTAAGCAATACGCAGAAAACAAATACTGATAATGAAAGGAGAGTGAAAGGTCGAAAGTTCCTCCATATGATTGACGTTTTCGTTCATGAGTCGCATCGAACTCGCCATCCTTACTACGAGTAGATGTGGTGGAGAACAACAGGGCCTACGACAGGCGTCCACCCACCAGAGCAAGGTTCTCAGGCCGCCTAGGCCAAGGCTAGGGAGGCCAATGGAGCCTCCGTGGGATTGGTAAAGCTGGCCCGTATACCCAATACGAATGCGAGATGACGTATAGGATAGACGGCAGCCTGATTGATACTCCATTCTAATCTGAAAATGGGCATGGTGTACGAGCACTTTTGGTCCGAAGCGACGGTCGTAGAGCCGTCGCGGCGCGGAGCTTAAGCCTCTCAGGGAAACTCGCAGATTCGCACCCAAGATTCCCAAGACTCCGCCCGGAAAAAGGTCAAATCTTGCATCCGACCGATGAACTGCATAATTTGACCCCTGACTTTCGTTTTCGTATTCATTGCTCCATATCTGTTTGAACCAATTTCACGTGGCAATGTTCACAACGTACAAGAACAACGTCTTCCACATTGCTGCTGTCGTTGTTAGAACTGTCTCAAAGTGTTCAAGTTCTCCCATGATGTTTCGCGGCTGACAATTGTACAAGCTGATCCAACACCTCAATACGGGACGCTAGTGCATGCAGAAGGCGTACCTCAACAATGGTGTGTTGCTCATCTGCCTCTGCAAGCTTCTTTGCGCATGGCCCTTGGCCAGTATTGAGGTTATTCGAGATGACATCAATGTATGTAAGTGTCCTGCCCGCATTCTTTTCATAGGTAGGACCAGAGTCGCAAGGCCAGATGAGCAGATCAAGATTGGGGTGGCGCAGGACCAAGAATGCCCCGAAGCGCAGAAGTGCGCGAGATTCTTGTTGGTGTCGAGTTGTGGTCGGGAGATCGTGGGCCTCGTTCGGCGGGAACGGAGCTGCATTGGCCCTATAATCGCTCAACGATTGGAATCGCATGAGGTCCGGAAGTTGCTCGCATAAGAAGGACAAGGTGTATGGAAAATGATGCTCGTGACGCGTCTTCAGGAAGAAGTGCGTGTTCACCTTCAAGAACTAAATCCATTGCAAGTTGTGGGGTCCAATATCGTGCAGCGGTGAGGACAAAGTCAGAACACGCGCCCCAACGACATTGTGCTCCTAGGCAACGCAACGCCCATCCTAGGCGGGCGGGATCTTGTTCTACCCGAAGGTTCCCAAACCATTGCATCAGGCCAATGGTTCTCGATAGGACACATGCTCTCCGCAGCACTGGGTGTGAGTCTCGCGCCAACAAGCCGACCGTAGCAAAGGTCGTACGATCCTGCTCGACGGCGACGGCAGTTTCCAAGTGACAGCCCAGGAATTGAGTACTGTCATACGCCACCGTCTCCCGCTGACGATTTTCCTGATCAACAACGCCGGGTACGCTTACTAGAGGCAAATCCACGGAATGAAGGAGGATTACAACGACCTTGCGCCTTGGCGGTATGGCCTGATTCCACAAGCGTTTGGGGCTCCGGAGAAGGGCAGTGACGCTGATAACGAGTACCCCATCAATACGTACCAGATCTCGACGTGGCGTGATTTGGAAGATCTTCTTGCAGACGACACGTTCTGCGCTGGCTGGGGCCTACGATTTCGTCGACGTCCGAGTGGGAAAGTACGACGTGCCCGAGAAGTTTAAAGTCGTTTTCCAGCGGGCTGGAGAGCAATTGGATTAGACCACACCGGTCACTACCCCTTGTTGTTCGAAAGGCTATGCTCATACTGTCGCACAGGAAGAACCTGATTTTACCACGGCAGCTCCTGACCCTCTCTATGCCAAAACTTCCCCGTATCCTCCAACCCCTTACTCTTCAATACCTTCCACAATTTTGAGGCGGCTTCGTCCGCTCCCACAGACTCCGGACTATTCACCACGATCCCGCCAAGATTCGTCCTGGTGACTCCCGGATGCAGCATGCTGACCACCACATCCTGGTCCTTCAGCTCGACGGCAAGACTTTTGAAGATACTGTTCACCGCGGATTTGGACGAGCGATACGCGTACGCTCCGCCGGAGGTGTTGTCCGCGATGGAACCGACGCGCGAGGATACGACTGCGATATGCCGTGGTGATGGGGCGGCAAGGACGTTATCGAGGAGTGCTTGAGTCAGAAGGAGCGGTCCGAAGGTGTTGACGGCGAAGGTTGACTGGAGTGATTCTTGGTTGACGGTGCGGAGACTGTCGGCTTGGGGTGGAGGCATGACACCGGCGACATTCAGCAAGAGATCGATTTTCTTATCACCGAGGGACAACTTGAACTCGTAGATTGATTCGAGCGATGTGACGTCTAGCCGGCCGATTTGACATTTGTCGCCATGCAGAGCCTTTAGTTTCTCCCCGGCTGTCATGTCGACGGCATATACGAAGAATCCCTGGAGATGGGTTAGTGCGGGTACAGGCATGACACAACAATGTGGTAAGATGCGACCACGGTGGTCTAGTCTCAGGGGTATGCAGCCAAGATTAATCCGTTCGTGGGGACTTACCTCCTTGATGAGAAGCTGGGCAAAGGCATGCCCGATGCCCGAGTTGCATCCGGTCACAACTATACTAGGCCTTAGCCTTGCTGAGCCAGTGAAAGGAAACCGTTCTTACCTGCAGTAGGCATGATATGGGGTTGATTCAAAGCTGTTTGATTTCTGCTCGATTTGTTGCTTGTAGGAAAGCCCGTTCGATGAGTACAAGTATATGACGGACGATACAAGTATATTTTGAGGATGACGGAATACAGAGACAAAATGCGGGGGATCTGCCGCGACGATTGATCCCAAATCTGTACATTACGAGATTCCCTTGGGTATATGTAAGTGTCTGTGAGGAGTCGCACCCTAAGATTTTGGCCGTCGCATCATGATGATTACTGAGACCTCCAGATGTCCTGTTTGTGCAATATGACAGCACCAAACACCGAGATTACATACAATTACCAATTTGTGTCGAAACTGGCTCTTCTTTCTAGATCATGCAGGTTTCCGGTCGGGGCTGATCCCGCCACCGATGATGCCGCTGTCCGAGTCCTCCTTGAGTTGTTGGTGGTGGTACGGGAGATAGACAATGGCGCGACCTGCTCGTCAACCTCATCTTCGCTCTCTTCTGTCACTGCTTCATCCTCATCCTCAGGAGCGACAAGTCCAGTACTCTTTTTGTCCATGTCCTCCTGCCTTTGTAGATGCGGTATACCGACTGGCCAAATCAGAGAAACAACGATCACACTGATCACGATTGCAAGCGCGAATGTGACTCGGAGACTCTGCGCATAAGCCATGATGACCTGTTTCTTGTGTTCCGGATCGAGGTCTCGGATAGCTCCGACAGACTCTCTGACATCCCGAATGATGCGGGCTTTGATCTCGTCATCTGGACCAACAACTGTGCGGTCGAGATATACTAACAACGCGTTCTGGAGGAGCCAACTGCTGATCGCGACACCCAGAATTGCACCCAAGTTCCTCAGAAGTCCAAGTGTAGTCGTAACGACGGCTTGATCTTCCTGTGAGTTCAAAGAGAGGACTGCAATTGTGGTGGCAGGGAAAAAGAAGCCCTGTCCGATCGAGCAGAGTGGTATGAGAAGCGGAACGGCCCATGTGGGTGTGGTCGATGATAAGCACGTAACAAAGATTGCACCCAGGACAGACAGAGCTGTACCTAAAACCATCGGTGGCTTTTGTCTCCTGGTCAGTGTGATGTAGGCGCCCGATATGAGCGCCGTGATTGTTCCGCCGATCAACAGTACGAGAAGATTCAGACCTGAGGCTGTCGGTGTAGTTTGCCTGACTGCTTGGAGGTACAATGGTACATTGAAGAGTACCGTGTTTGTAACAATGCAACTGAAGAAATTCGACCACATGAGATTGCCCACGGGAATGGTGGACAGAAGTTGCAGTGGTAGCATGGGCAAATATGCCTTCCGTTCCACGAAGTATAGTGAAAATGTCGACACCACGAACAGAACAAGACTCGTAATGACGAGCGGGTGTGTCCAGCTGAAGACATTCCCACCAAGATTGACTCCAAGGATGAGGCAAGTAACGGTGACCGTGAGATTGATTGCGCCGAGGATATCAAAGGTCTTGAACGCCTGTCGTATGGTCTTGCCTTGGGTTTTGGCCAAGTTTGGCCCCAGATCTGGTGGACATGACACCAGGGTCAGGAGAGCGTAGATGAAGAGGAATGGAAGTTGCACGTAAAAGGCAGCCCTCCATCCAAGACGATCGCAGAGAAACCCGCCTAACGCGGCTCCAAGTCCATTGCCTAGACCCCAAGCCTAAAGAGTCAGCGTCAGTAAAAGGCATGTGAGGAGGGTATGGAACGTACTATATTGAAATAACTTTGGTAGATCCCGCGGTATTCAATCTTGACAACATCACTGGTCAGTATACCGGCACATGACATGACTCCGCCAGCACCAATACCAGCAACGGCTCTTGCGGCTATGAAGCTTCCGATACTCCCCGCAAATCCACACCATGCCGTGGAGATGAAGAAGATGGTGGCTGCGAAGAACACCACAGGCCGCCGGCCAATGGTGTCCGACACTCGCCCGTAGAGTGGCTGAAAAACAGTTGAAGAAAGGTAGAAGACGGTGCTCAGCCAGGAAGCTGCATTGGAGGCATGAAAGTACGACGTTATGACTGGGTGGGCGGATGCCATCAGCGTTGAGTCGAAGAAGGCAAGTGTGGTTCCAAACATTATGCTCAGAAAGAGCACAAGAAACCGTGGACCGGATATGTTCCGATAATGTACATTGGCCGGCTTCTCTTCGTGGGAGCTTGGAAGAAGAGCAGTAGTCTCTGTTGGCTGAGGAGCGGCGGGTTGCTCTGGACCTATCTCAACTGTAGCTTTTTTTGCCGGATTTGGTCCAGCCGCCAACCGTCCATCCTGGTTCATTCCACCCATTCTCAGGAACGAACAAGTATGGTGAAGTCGAGCAGGCGATAAGCCTCACCAATGCGTATTTCAATGTCGCCTCCAGCAGATAGAATCGCCGTCGTTGTTGCGTAGTATGAGTCTTATCACAGTATCTGAACGTGGTCGCACAGTTGCATTATTGGCCAACGCGATAAGACCTTCGGAAAAGGCGCAAGATCACTGAGCATTCGTCCTCCCAGGTTGGCCAAAAACGGATTGTTAGGACTCCGATATAGCTGGCAAGTCGGTCCACAATCGAAGGAAAATCGGGAATGTTAGAGAGAAGAGATGTTGAATGGACTTGCCTGTCTACACAAGCCTCTAGTGGTGGAAGACGCCATCGCTTCCGCAAGTGGGCTACCAGCATTCGCTCATATCCGCTGTCAAGGAGCCGCCAATAGGAGAATATAGATATATCCCTGCAAGGGTCTAACGGCGACGTCGGTGAAAGGGCGGAATACTGAGCCTCCGATCCATAGGTTAGATAAGGGAAAGTCATCATTACCGTGAGTCGAGCTGCAATGACATTTGATGATCATATTGTCTCCTTAATACCTTTTGCTGGTGTTTGTGCGCCTTGAACAATCTCGCCATCGGCGCCCTTCACGAAGAAATGAACCTGAAGATTCACCCGCCCATCCGGATCGCGATTCTCGAATGCGACACGCCTTTGCCCAAGACAAAGGAGAGGTTTCAAGGGTATGGCGGCGTCTTTGAACTCCTGCTTCGCTCGTCCGCAAAGGCGTTGAATCGACCGGAGTTGGATCCTGAGAAGGGTCTGGAGATTTCGAAATTCCAGCTCGAATCAGACCCGGACAACTATCCTGATCCAGAGACCATCGATGCTATCCTCATAACGGGGTCTAGTAAGTGTCTCCCTATTAGTCGATCACGCAGTAAAATTGGTCGTCATGTCCTTGTTGTTCTCGAGGAACGAACGGCAACTGGAGAGAGCTTCGACTGACCAAGGTAGAACATGACTCCTTCGCGAATACACCATGGATCAACAGGTTGGTCGAGTACACGGAGAAGTTGTTATCTGAAACGCACGTCAGGATTATCGGCGTTTGCTTCGGTCATCAGATTGTCGGTCGAGCATTGAAGGCCGGAGTGGGACGAAATCCGGAAGGATGGGAAGCGGCGGTCAACAATATCGACCTGTCAGCCAAAGGAAAGGAACTATTTGGCGTTGAGAAATTGGTACGTCGTCCAAGTACTAAGTGAAGTGGTCATTACTGAGACTTCTGCAGCGGTTACACCAGATGCACCGTGACTGTGTCTTCTACTACCCTGAAGGCGTAGAAGAACTGGGCTCTTCCCCAGTCTGCAAAGTCCAAGGAATGTACTCACCAAAACGCCTTATGACTGTTCAAGGGCATCCAGAGTTCAATCAGGACATCATGAGGGAAATCGTCAACACAAGGCATGCGACAGGTGTCTTTGACGACGAGGCTTTCAACAATCATATCACGAAAGTCAACCTGCCACATGATGGACTGATCGTTGGTCAAGCGTTTTTGAAATTCTTACTGGAGCAATAGATTCGAGCATTTATGAAGGGCAAGACGACGCACTTGGCATGATAGAAGGATAACAGACTCCAGATGGAACGACGGGGCGTTGAGGAAGCAGACAGAGAAGCCAGAGAACCACTCTGCATTCGAAATGATCATCGTTATGATACAAATACAATGGTGCAAGCCTGCCACGCTGATACTGAACCTACGACACCATCCTGTCCGCATCGGCTGCACCAGCAGGTATTCTTCCTTCAGCAAGATCTTTCTCTATCCTCGTGATCTCCGCAAGGCTCTTTGCATTCTTGATCATCTCTTGCACTCTCTTCTTCTCCGTCTCCGTAAGTTGAGTGCGTACGCCCTTCCGCTTGCCCTCAGCCGTGCCGTTGACACCAGCGCCAACTTCAAATGAGCGAGTCTTGGTTCCTTTGATCTTGGCCGCTAGTTCAGTCGGTGCATCCGCCGTTCCAAACAGGTCATTGGCTTGTTGTCGCTCCGCCCGTTTGACTTTCTGGTAGTCGAGGAACCGTACTGACGGCATGGACCAGATGAGATACAATCTGTAGTGCTGTTGCAACGTTTCCGTCAGCGATCTTCTTATGTAGCTAACAGTCTCTCATGACTCACCTCTTTTCTCGTCACCGGGTTTTCCAGCAGACTCAAATGTGTCAGTCTTCCGCATCCGGTCAAACCTTCCAAATCACCCAGCTCTTTGACATGGTTACCCGTCAAGACCAGCGTCGTCAGATTAGGTATTTGTTCTGCTATTCTCCTGTCTACCGACTGTATCCGATTTCGTGCAAACAGTAATGTGTTCAATCGTGGTGAAAGAGGGAAATTTGTGAGGGTAGTAATGTCGTTGTCGGTGAAGTCAATTGCATCTTGGGGCCCGGCGACACCCAGGTTCTCGATTGTGGGAATTTTATGGCCTGTAACGTCACGAAAAGACGAGCGTGTGGTCAACTATGCTCTTCATCCTCAAAGTGTAGCATCTGCTCTTTTCAGACATACCTCGTAGGTCAAGTTCACGTTCTTTCAGGGGATTGAGATAGGATAGGGAGTTGTTTATGAGGTCAGCCGTGAGTCTCATCCTTGCTGTGCAGGAGAACTTCTCTCCGCTGCGTTGTGTATGTGGTTGTAGGAAGTATGTTCAAATGGTTTGTTGTCTCGTGCGAAATGTAAATTTCCGAGGACTTTTGCGCAGATGATGTGATTGGTCAGTATCTCCTCAGCCTTGTGCCGGCAAGGCTGGCTAGTAGTCACCGTTGACCTACGTCCACCTCACCTTCCATCTAACGCCAGAGCATCCAATCACTCAATCACCAAAACCATTGTCATGCCTCTACATTTTGATTCCCTGCAATGATGCTTGCGGTCTTCGAGGTGAGTGGGCACGGATCAATTGGTAAGGCTGGACTGAACATTCCTGTTGCGGCCACAAACAAAGGAATTGTCCCGATCAAGACTTCACCTTGTCTATCGAATTTGTTCTCTGGAGTCGCATACCCGGCTCTTCGCGAGAGTCCACAATCAGCGCATGGCTTGACGATATATCAATCTCTTTTGATGGAAATCTCCACAGACGCCGGCCTCGCTCTCACACTCCTTGAATTGATGGCCTTTTTTCAGATTGATCACGCGGTGGTTTGCTCATACCATCAGCATGGTTTGAGTTTGCAATCGCCAAATATATAACAAAGACCATCGCGCCAAATTGGCACTCGCACACAAAGAAGGCCCAGACCAACTCTCATCATGCTAAAAGAAAGGACTATGGTAGTGTACCTATTCTGGACCAGCGATCGCATTGTCTCCAGGTTGCAGTTCAAACCCTATCGATGTCTTTGAGCACGTTCAAAATCCCATCACCACCCCATTCCTCTTGTTCCTCTGTGTCAGAGTCCTTTTCATCACAGCCTTGCTTGCGTTCAATCTCGCGGTCTTGCTCGAACCAGCTTAACTTCAGCTAGCTTGCTTGAGAAGAAGACATTCTGAGCATCGTCATCAAAAGTGAGATACAAGATGATCCCACCAACCCCCACCTCTCCAGGCTTTCCGCTGCCGTCGCCACGTTCACCTCGCTCTACAGCCGTGGAACCTGGCTCAGCGGCGCTGTCTCCTGTAATGACCATGTTCTCTCCGCAACAGGCAGATCAAGTCATGAGAAGTCCATTGTGTGAGCAGCGATGGCTGCCGACGTCTTCCAATCTATCAAATTGTCGGCGAAACAGCCTCACCACGCCAGTCGCATCTCCAGCACAGCCATCATTTATGCCGAACTCGCCAAAGTACCATCTCCGCACGCCAGAACGAGCCTACTTTCAGAGCCTCACCTCTGAGCCCGGTGCCGGCCGCCAAAGCAGAATGGCTATGCACAGCCCCCTTCTCACTCTACCTCTGCGCGTCAACACAAGTGTAGCCTACCCAGATCTCAACTCCCAATCAATGGCGCCCATCAGCGAAGAAAAAGCCCATACTCACATTGCATCGACGCCATTGACAACCAAGATGAACTGGTCACCCACCTCCCCATCGCCCTCTCAAAGGCGCATGATGAGACCTCACGCCCCAACCCCAATCCTCACAAGGCGCTCACCCATCCGCAAGAAGCCGCGCACAAAATATCACGTCACCACGCTGTCGCCCGCCACCCTACGCACCCGTGCCCAATACACAAACAGTCTACAGCACCTCCGCGCACCGCTCGTCCCACTGATATCCGTGTCCAATGGTCTCCCACACCCACAGTTCCCCACGACACTCCTGCAATACCACCTCCTGACACACGACCAACTCGACAGTCTGGCAAGATGGTACCACCAGGTCGACCCGCCGCTCGACGAGACATTTATGTACCCAGCTTGGATTCCGGCGTGGACATCTTTGCACCCATCGCACGAGTACAGGAATGTTGTGCTCGACAACGACTCCACTCCATCAAGTCACAACGTGGATCTGGAGACTAAGAGACGGCGCTTTGGCCGGTTCATCGGCCTGCGAGGCTGCGAAAGTCCGACCGCCACAAGCCCTCAAGAGAGGCCGGATGAGCTCGCCAGACGAATGGAACGGGAGTGGAGACGGGCGCTGGAAAGGGCACAGGACGAGGAGAATGCGTGGGAGAAGAGCTGGAGAGGGAGATGGTAAGCCCTACCTTTTTGCGAACCATTGTCCCAAAGTACTGTAAGGACCGCATGTCAGCAGATCATTCTGAACAAAATAAAAATATGTATTCTACATTCGAGATCTTCCATATCCGAAGCTTGTTCTTCAACAATACATTTCTAGAAGTAATGACCACAACACGGTTTTTGATGGACAAGGTGAACTCCACTTTTCGGCTCAGTTCCGGATCTACTTCAAGCTCCCGGCCGCCACCATTCTCGTAAACAGGTTCATAGTAGTATCAGCTCTAACCCGTACAAGCACCAACACCTAATGAAATGTAGGGACAGTGGCCTTTCAAGGTACTCCGCGTGGTCCGGGGACACAATGACTTTGCTTGGTATCATGCCGGGCTGAGATTCCGTTCAGATAGGTGAAAGTGACGGCATTGTTACTGACATCATAGGAGATTCTTCATACATCATGAAAACTACGAATTTTTGGTGGACCGCGTGAGAGTAGACAAATATATCTCGTTTGCGTCCTGCCTCTGCTGTGCTTACTGCGAACCCATATCCATTCCTCTCCTTGTGAATCGTCAAAATGTCGGAATCGATCATCCAACTCAAGTGTGACTGCAATCAGTACCCGTGGGGGAAGAAAGGCAAAGAGTCGTTAGCAGCCCGGCTCGCTGCAAACACCAATCCAGACTTCAAATTGGAAGATGACAAGTACTATTCGGAGATGTGGTTCGGGACATACCCCGATTTACCATCTTACTCTATGAAGACTGGCGAAAACCTCCAAGACATTCTCAACGCCAACAAGGAATCGCTCATTGGAAAGACTGTCCTCGACAAATATGGTGCCGATCTTCCTTTCTTGCCTAAGATCCTCTCCATCGCCAAAGCTCTACCACTCCAGATTCATCCGGATATCGAGTTGTCGAAGAAACTGCACAAGGAGAACCCCGATCAATTCACAGACCCGAATCACAAACCTGAGATTGCACTGGCTCTGGGAAAGTTCGAGGCCTTTGTGGGCTTCAAACCACTGAGTGACATTGGGCAGCTACTGGAGTTGGAGCCATTGAAGAAGTTCAAGCCGAGCGGCAAACTGGACGATGATGCATTACGCCAGCTCTGTGTCGACCTGCTCAAAGCCGACGAGGATACGGTAGCCTCCACTCTCAAGGGTCTTCAATCACAATCCAAAGACAAACTGGGCAAACAAGCCTACATTCTCGATCTGATTCCTCGCGTGGAGAAGCAGTATGGCATAGAAGACAACGGTAACCTTGTGGCCCTAGTGTGCATGAATTTCCTGGTTCTCAACGCCGGTGAATCAATTTACATCCCTGCCGACGGCATCCATGCGTACCTTTCGGGTGACATTGTCGAGTGTATGGCTCGATCCAACAACGTGCTCAACACGGGCTTTTGTCCTCGCGCGGATCGCGATTCGGTCGATCTGTTCGCCAAGGCACTCACATTCAAGCAGCATGATCCGCAAGAGCCGATTCTGAAGAAAGAGAAGAGTGAGAAGAGCGGCAATGGCAAAACGACCGAATTCAAGCCGCCGATGAGTGAGTTCAACATGCTTGTGACGGAGTTGAAGGGCGGGGAGAAGGAGACGGTCAAGCCGGTTAATGGTCCGAGTACTTTGATTGTCACGAATGGAAGCGGGACGCTCGCCTCGCAGGGACAGGAGTACCCGCTGAAGGAGGGAAGTATTTACTTCATTGGTCAGGGGGTTAAGGTCGAGATCAGCGCGAAGGACGAGATGGCTACATATCGTGCCTATGCAGAGTAATGGTGAGACGAGGCGTGTATGTCTAGTCATGACGGAGCTTGTAAAAAGCATGGTTCAATGAAGTGCGCCGGCAGCCCAGGCGGAGATCGTAGATATTGTATCGGTGTAACAGAGGTCGAATGAGACACCCTGACCCATCAACTTGCTTGACTGAACAGTCGTACATTGTCTGGTCGATGCATACCACACGTTTTTATTTGGAGCCAGACACGCCAGACCAGTCAATACTGTTTCCGCCAAGCGGTTGCAGCGGATTTATTCGTGTGAATGACGGACATAATATCGGACGTCACCTCGAAACAACCATCATCAAACACTCAATCCGAATCATATCAAGCAACTCCTGGTAAAATCCATGGCTGTACAAAATGCACGAGATTGTGACGGTCCAATGCGGTCAGAAGAGTAATTACCTTGCAACTCATTTCTGGAATACGCAGGAGTCCTACTTCACGTACTCAGAGAATGAAGAGTCGGTAGTTGACCACGATGTGCACTTCCGGCCGGGTATAGGTGCGGACGGACACGAAACATTCACACCACGAACGGTCATATACGATCTCAAGGGAGGGTTTGGTACCCTGCGGAAATTCAACGCCCTCTATGAAGACCGCGGAGAAACAGCCCCCGTACACGGGCTCTGGGATGGCACGCTTGCGAGACAGCATGAACCGCCCATCGCACCGACAGATTACCAGAGAAGGCTCGAGCAGGGTCTTCCTACCAGCCAGCTGCACGACCCGGATGTGAGATTCTGGTCCGATTTCAATCGAGTCTTCTACCATCCCAAATCCATCGTCCAGTTGAACGAATATGAACTGAATTCGCAACTCATGCCTTTCAACGACTGGTCCGCGGGTGAAGAATTGTTCCAGAATCTTGACAGGGAGTTCGATCTTCTTGACAGAGACATCAGAACCTTTGCCGAAGAATGCGACCATATGCAAGGCTTTCAGCTTTTCAGTGGGGTTGACGACGCCTGGGGTGGCTTTGCAGCGAAATATCTCGACAACCTCCGAGACGAATATGGCAAGACAAGCATTTGGGTCTGGGGACTCGAGGATCGTACGACGGTCACCAGAGAACGGCGTCTGGCGAGAGCATGTAACTCGGCGCAATCGTTGCGAGCGATTAGTCAGCAAGCGTCGGCGTACATACGGCTTGCTGCACCACCATCGCGCTTACCTCAGTATATCAACTTATTGAATGGTACTGCTTGGAGGACCTCGGCGTTACTCTGCGCAGGTCTTGAAACCATTACTCTGCCGACAAGGTTGCGACCTGACGCGCACAAACGAAGCTTGCTAAGCTTGTTGGAAGACACGCTGAATACTAGCGGTAGGCAAAACCTGTTCGAATTGCAAGCGAGTGCCGGGCACCTGACATCGCAAACCAACGGTCATACGAATGGCGCAATTCGTGAACCAAATGGGAGGATGGCCAGTGGACAGGATGAAGCCTCGGATTTGCAGCCAGAACCATCGCGATTTGATATCACGTACATGCCTGGGGTGGATGGCGAAAGTCATGCAGCCAAAAAGTCTCTCCACATCTTCGCCAAAGTGGAAAGCGAGCGTGGTGCAGGCTACGACAACTTATCGCCAAGTCTGACCCCAGAGGAGCGACTTCAACGAAGACTGAACGAGGAAAGTGTGGTTGAAAGGTGAGTCTAGCACGCCTTACCCTTGATGTTCTATTCGCACTTGTTTGTTCCGAAGCTCTACTGCCCGATTGGGACAATGAGAAGGAAAAAAGTCAAATCCTTGGGCATTCAAAAAGCTTGACTATTATTTTGTATGGTGAGGTCTTTTGTTGACTGGGCGCAGATTTCAGTCCGACCTTAGGTTTCCTCTACTGGATACTTTCCCACACGACCTTGTCGAAGCGACCCGGCTGGGCAAGGATGGACTGGATTTCTCCGCAGCCCTGGTCAGCAGCTCGGCGATGAAGTACAGAGCTCTCCAGTTGAGGGACACCACGATGCGTATGATGCCACTGACCGAAAGAGAAAATCATTACAATGAGCTTACCCAGATATCGAGTCACTATGGCAATGGCTGGGACTCTGATGTCGATGATTACGACGATGAATGACGAGGCACGATACATCTACGCGGCAGTCCTCGTACGACAGTAAGGAAAGACACTCGCACCCACATCAGAAGTCGCCGGTGGACCAGTGACCGGTGTACAGCGTTCTGTTTTTAAGGCCTCGCCTTCCACCACGTTTCTAGTTGTTGCATTTGTTGCTGCTCGCCTTGGTACTCCATGATCTCCATGTCAAAGAGCACCCTGCAACTGCAACCCCACTCGGGGGAGGCATCAACAACAAACAACGGAAAAAAGCATGCAAACTGAAAAAATTCCAATTGTCGGAACCCTGGTCAATCACCCGCAGCATGAAGCAGCAGTCTGCAGCGGTAGAAACATCCTAGCCCACCATTCTACGCAAGTCGATGCGACTGTGAAAGGCAAAAAGTTTGCGCCCAAGTCGTCACTGGTCGAGGGACCTTGGCGCAGGGCCCCTCCAAAACCCGGATTTTTATGCATGTCTTAGCTTAGCGCAATGTCTTACACACATGGAGAACAAGGCACCACTTCTTGATTCGACGACGATTTGTGTTGGTATGAGGGAACTCTCGTAAACTCTCGTAAACTCTTTCTTGAGGTCGCAACGGGTGCGTCGGGTGTTATTCTCGTTGCAGGAAAAGCTCTTCTCCATCCACCAGAAAGCTTTCGACCAGCCACCCGGTTCGAGGACTACCGAGTCGAATACCTTTGCAGCCTGCAAGGGATCCCGCCCGGCGTCACTCGTAGGCTTCCCGTACGGAGAATTGTTATATGCAGGAAGCGTCGACCAATAATCAGCAGATCGCAATACTCGTAAGCTTGACGAAAAGACAATAAATTCACAATAGAGAGGCCCGAGCTTCACCCATCAGACGGGAATAGCCTATTAGGAAATATGGCAGCTGCCTTCGAGACTGGTTCAAAGCGTCCAAGACAACCCAGAAATAGCAGCAGTGAAGCTCCCCGGGAGGCCCGGGCGGTAGATCCTCAACCTGTCAATTCAGTCATTCAATGAGTATTGTGAGCCTCTAGTGTCAGTATGGGCCGAAACCCCGGTTGCTCTGGTGAACAATGCGCATGGCCGCCACCAAGCGAACCTTCTAGTTCCACCATAGTACGGACTTATACGCCATGAGACTTTTGTCGTTCCGATCAGCCTTGCAAAAAGCCGGAGGGAAAAAAAGGCGCTCGTCAAGTGGGAGAGACAAGCTGGACTAGATGACTAGTTGCAGGTCCAGAAGTCCACCAGAGCAACCGAAGACGGGAATAGTTGGCTGAACAACCATGCAAGCGTATGCCAATCGCATTTCTATCACGCCAATCGGCGGTTTAAGCAGCCTATCGAAGTTGTGGAGGTTCGCGCCGATGGGCGGCACTTGGACATTGGCACGACGTTGACACTTGACTCCAGAGTCTAAACGATTAGACCGTCAATAGCGTGCCCCAGCGGTGAAGCTTCTGGACCTATGAGAAATGGGACATAGTGAACTTTCAATGCGAAAAAAGCAACCCCAAGGGCCAAGATCGACTCAGCAGAAAAGTCTAGCGACAGAAGCTTTCGGTGTCTAGTGCAGAATGGTAGCGTAACTGCTTCTGCCAGCACGTGCCCTCTACCATTGACATCTGTTGGATTCGGTTGTAACTTCGATATCCCAATATTGATGATCTATTGCTGAAGGCGCAGCAAAAGTTCACAATGATCCGACTATTGAGATTTCCAAAACACATTTCCGGGAAGTTGGAACCCATGTGCCCAAGCTGCCTATGGATACCACGGGGATTTTGGTCCTGCAAGCAGCTGCAGGCAGGATCCAGTACCTGCATGGCTCTCCACATCTGATGACGAAATGCATAGGCTGAGTTCAGGCACCGCCTGTCGGTTCTTCTCACGCCACAACAGCTTCCTGCAACCAAGTGGATTGGGTATAGCTAACTAGTTGAGGCTATCGAATCATGTCGGCAAGGAAAAAACGGGACCCCCCGGTAGGGTTGGATGCTCGACGACCATCCCAGCATGCTACTGTGTAGGTCTTTGCATTCTGGCTCCCAAATGGCGACACCCACACACACTACTCAACAAGGTACATAAAACCTGCATCCCATGCTTTCCTCTCTCTTCTATTCCTCTTCCACCACAAACCAGTCGTTATCGCAAAAGAGCTCCTTCGCTAAGGCTCCTGCTACATTCGTTTCTCCTTCAGTACACGGAAGCATCACTCTCATCACACATCACCGTACTAGCAAAACCTGTACATAATACAAAATGGTTAAATCATCCGTCATCCTTTTGGCCTTGGCCAGCAGCGCCCTCGCCGGTGTCGCTAAGAGACAATCCTCATGGGAGGAGTGGACTTCAACCACCACCTCTACCACCTCCACCACCACTACTACCACTACCACCACCACCACCACCAAGCCTACCACTACCACTACTACCACTACCACCACTCCTGAATGGGAAGCGTGGACCTCTACCACCACCACCACTACCAAGCCTACTACCACTACCACCACTACTACCCCTGAGTGGGAAGCCTGGACCTCTACCACTTCTACTACCACCAAGCCTACCACCACCACCACTACCTCTGCTGAGTGGGAAGCATGGACCTCAACTACCACCGCGAAGCCTACCACCACCACCACCTCTGCTGAGTGGGAGGAGTGGACTTCGACCACCACTACCACCCCCAAGAAGACCACCACCACCACCTCTGCTGAGTGGGAGGAGTGGACTTCGACCACCACCAAGGCCACTACCACCACTACTCCTGAGTGGGAAGCCTGGACCACTACTACCACCACTACCCCCAAGAAGACCACTACCACTACCTCTGCTGAGTGGGAGGAGTGGACTTCGACCACCACCGCGGCCAAGAAGACCACCACCACCACTTCCGCTGAGTGGGAAGCCTGGACCTCAACCACCACCCCCGTCAAGGTTGCCACCACCACCACCACCAAACCTGTGGCTGTTGTCAGCACCACCTCCGCTGAGTGGGAAGCCTGGACCTCGACGACCACCCCCGTCAAGGTTGCCACCACCACCACCACCAAACCTGTGGCTGTTGTCAGCACCACCTCCGCTGAGTGGGAAGCCTGGACCTCGACGACCACCCCCGTCAAGGTTGCCACCACCACCACTACCAAACCTGTGGCTGTTGTCAGCACCACCTCCGCTGAGTGGGAAGCCTGGACCTCGACGACCACCCCCGTCAAGGTTGCCACCACCACCACCACCAAACCTGTGGCTGTTGTCAGCACCACCTCCGCTGAGTGGGAAGCCTGGACCTCGACCACTACCCCCGTCAAGGTCGCTACCACCACCACTACCACCCCAGTGGCTGTCGTCAGCACCACCAAGGCTACCACCCCTGTTGCCGCTGTAAGCTCCAGCTCGGAGTCTGCTTGGGTTGAGTGGACCACCACCGCCGCCTCTTCTGCCATGGTTGCTTCCACCACTACTACCCCAGTGGCTGTTGTTAGCACCACGGCTACCACCCCTGTTGCCGCTGTCAGCTCCAGCACCGAGTCCGCCTGGGTTGAGTGGACCACCTCTTCTGCTGCCGCAGTTGCCTCCACCACCGCTGCTGCTGTCTCCAGCGCCAGCTCTGTCGAGGCCTCATCCGTCAGCGTCGCCTCGTGGACCTCCACCAGCGCTTCAGCAGTTGCCACTTACACTGGCGCTGCCAGCAGCAACAACAAGCCCGCCGTTGCCCTGCTCGGTGGTCTTGTTGCCCTTGTCGCCATGGTCTAAGCGTGCCATCGAGCGGCTTGGTGCACAATTTTCGCTTCTCACATGTCGTTGCCCATTCATTTTGGGAACGAACACTTATTACGACTACGAAAGTCTCGGCCTATTGTGCGCGAGCAGACGATCTCTACGATAACCAAAAAATACGGCATTAGCATAATACATAGAGTGGTGAATGTGTGAAGGGGCACGGGAGGGCTTGCTGAACAGGGCGCCATTGGATACCCCGGGCGCATGCAGTAATCCGTGTTGATGAGAATTCATATATTGTTAATAGCAATTCAAAAAGCTAAAAAAATATTCATATCCAGAATCATGATTATGATCATTTTTGTTCTCATTTGTCCTTTCTCCATTCTTGATCTTCCAACGCTCTAAGCGTTGCATAGAGCTGAGATTGATGTTGACCCGGATATGTTATGAGACCAAGCAACGAGAAGAGTGACTGTCGATGGTCGGATACAGATGTCGTTTGAACTAGGTGGTGCACCGAGTCATGTGGAACTGCATGACAGCCAAAATGACTCGTATTCGTTGAAGTGACCAACTTGTCAAGAAGGTGAAGATGATGCACAAAAGAACACTGTTGTCCATCCACAGTTTTTAATGTCTACCTAAATACCTCGTCTCCCAGATCCCTGTTCGTGCTTTGTATTGGAGATGCCCTTCCTATCCGAAACGCCTGCCTTCTTGTCCTGAATTGTCTACCGAGACTCGCATCAATCTCACACTCACAACATGGCACCACCGGGACGACGGAAACTCCCCTGCCTCTCTGCGCTGCTGCTTTTCGTCCTCCTGTTATTTTCGACCAATGCACATGCGGCCTCCGCTGTTCTAGGAATTGATTTGGGCACCGAGTACTTCAAAGCTGCGGTTGCGAAGCCCGGTAGCCCAATCGATATTGTGCTGTCCAAGGACTCAAAGAGAAGGGAAGCGGCAACACTTGCGTTCAAGCCAGCTAGATTGCACGTAAATAACGCTGAAGTCTTCCCCGAACGGTTATACGGCGGAGATGCTGTCGCTCTGTCTGCTCGATTCCCCACCGATGTCTATCCGAACCTGAAGAGTCTACTAGGCGTGGAGTCGTCTTCCGATGCCGTCACAACCTATTCCGCACGATATCCAGGGCTGGATATACAGCCAGTACCGAGATCTGACGCTGCAACGACGGTGGGCTTCAAGAGCCACAGCTTTGGCAAGAGAGATGAAGTGTTCATGGTGGAAGAGCTGCTGGCAATGGAATTAAAGAACATCCGTGGCAACGCAGAGACTATGGTCCCCAAGGGTACATTTATTACCGACGTGGTCATCACATACCCTGCTTTTTACACGGCCGAAGAGAAGCGAGCAATCGAGTTGGCGGCGGATCTGGCGGGCATAAGAGTGCTAGGCCTGATCAGCGATGGGCTGGCTGTTGGACTCAATTATGCCACGCACCGCACGTTTGACAGTGTCTCTGAAGGAGGAAAGCCTGAGCACCACCTTGTTTATGACATGGGTGCTGGATCGACGACAGCGACGGTGCTCAAATTCCAGGGCAGGACGGTCAAGGGCTACGCAAAACGCAACCAAACTATCCAGGAGGTTATTGTGCTTGGAACAGGATTTGACACGACTCTGGGAGGCGACTCACTCAACGATGTCATTGTCGCCGATATCGTCAGTCAATTCCTCGAGAGTCCTAAGGTCCAGAAGTTCGGCCTAGACACTGCCCAAATTCGCGCCAATGGAAAGACGATGAACAGGATTTGGAAAGAAGCTGAGCGCATGAGACAACTTCTTAGCGCGAATGCGGTCTCTTCAGCCACGTTTGAGGGCCTGTATGATGAGGACATCACTTTCAAGTACAGTCTCACTAGAGAAAAGTTTGAAGAACTAGCAACAGATCACGCTGCGCGGGTTGGATCACCGGTATCTGCAGCACTGGATTCTGCGGGTCTCACGCTTGACGACATCGACTCGATTATCTTACATGGAGGAGCAGTGAGGACCCCTTTTGTGCAAAAGCAGCTTGAGAAGGCCACTGGCGGGACCAGCAAGCTCAAATCCAACGTCAACGCGGACGAGGCTGCTGTGATGGGAGCCGGGTTCAAAGCAGCATCTCTCAGTCCTAGCTTCAGAGTAAAGGACATTCGTGATACGGATATCTCTGGATCGACGTACACCCTCAAATGGACGCACGATAGCAAAGAGAAGTCCCAAAAGCTGTTCACCCCAACGTCCCTGGTGGGCACTGAGAAACAAGTCCCCATCAAGGTGCTTGAGGACGTTAAGCTAGGATTTGTCCAGGGGGTCAATGAAAAGGATCTTCCGGTCCTGGAGGTCGAAGCAACAAATCTGACCAAGTCGACAGCTCAACTCAAAGACAAGCATGGCTGCACAGCTGCCAATATCAGCACTGTCTTTAACATCCGACTCAGTCCAAGCAATGGACTGCCAGAAGTGCTGGCAGGAAGCGTCAGCTGCGAGGCTAACGGCACCAAGTCAGGGTCTGTAATGGACAATGTGAAGGGGTTGTTCGGTTTTGGGTCAAACAAGGACGACAGCCAAAAGGTACTCGATGATGAAGACGCAAGCGAGGATAGCTCTGCATCCCTGACTCCCTTGCCTGCGTCCGACCCCACGAGTTCGGGATCTACCGTATCTGAGGCGTCCGCCACACCCGCAGATGCATCATCGGCATCGGCGTCCTCGTCTGCCAGCAAGTCTGCAACATCTGGAAAGGCCACTCCGTCGGTCGTTACCATACCTCTCGCATTGAAGTCGAACGTTGTGGGCCTGAACGCGCCACCAGCTCAGGCCTTGCCAAAGATACGACAGAGATTGACTCAATTTGACACTAGTGATCAGAATTCCGTGCTTCGAGCAGAAGCTCTGAACACGCTTGAAGCCTTCACGTATAGAGCACGTGACTATCTTGAGGACCAATCCTTCATCGGTGCGTCGAGTGAGTCTGTACGAAAGGAGCTGGAGAAACAGCTCAGCAGTGTCTCGGAGTGGTTGTACGGCGACGGACTTGACGCCAGTCTGCAGGACTTCAAGGACAAACTGAAGGGCTTACAAAGCTTGGTCAATCCTGTCCTGAAGCGGAAGGACGAGGCTGCTAAGCGACCGGATGCTGTCAAAGCTTTGCAAGAGCAGATCGAGAATCTGACTGGAATGATCCAGATGGTCGAAGGTAACATCAAAAAGGCAGTCGAGGATGCGGCTTCGAGTGTCAGTTCAGCGGCGTCGTCGGTGGCGTCGAGCGTGACTGGCAGTTCATTGTCTGCAGCCGATGCCGATGACTTGGACGACGACCCTTACGGCGGTGGTAGCGCGTCGACGCCAGAGGCAGCCGCAGAGACGGAAGAGTCGGGACCCAAGCCTTATGAGTATACGAAGGAAGATCTTTCCTTGCTGACTACGAATTACGAGAAGGCGAAAGCGTGGCTGGAGGAGAAGATGGCTCTACAGGATAAACTTGGCCCCTCTGATGAGCCGGTGTTTTCGGTGTCTGAGCTGGAGACCAGAGGGAAAGAGTTGCAGAAGGTGGTGCAAGATATGATACTGAAGACTATCAAGTTCCAGGATCTGCCCAAGAAGGCAAAGGGTGGTAGTAAGAAGGGCAAGGGCAAGGCTAAGAAGAGCAAGGCTACGAGTGGCACGAGTGATAGTGCTGGTTCGTCGGCAGGTGGTTCGACGAGCACGCCAGCGGCATCGGCGACGGCGACAAAGAGTTCTGTCAAAGATGAACTGTGATGTAGCACTGTTAGTCTGACACAATGAAAATGCTTTCAGTATCAGATATTTCTTGTAGTGGTGGATTTGACCCCAAGACAGCTATGGAGAAGCTATGTCTCATCGGCTCCCGGCAGCTCAGCCGCGCGCCACGGCCCCAAGTGTTCAATCGTCAATGTGCCGTGAGTGTCGAAATGCTCGGAACTCTTTTCCATAAAACTTGTTTGAGGGTAATCGACGGTTGCGCCATATTTCGTGGTCAACAGGTATATGGCGACATGGATCAGGCTGAAATCAGGACATCAGAGCGAGTTGGCGGGGTAGTAACATGGATAAGGGAAGCTCTCAAAGAATAATAAGTTACTGCCTGGATGCATCGCACATCGGTGCATTACTCCGTGGCCACCGTCAGCCTTACAGTTTACTAGATAATGATTGTCAAGAACGTGCCCGGCCCCTGCAAAATGTGGGTTGGACTGTGGTATGCGTGCTGGGGCGGGGATGTGTACTCATGACATCGACGAAAATGCTGTGGTCGTGATGGCGAGTAGACGCCCGGTTAGATCGATGATTCTGGTCAACGCCCTTCGACTGTACATTGTTCATCAATAAGTAAATAACCATATTATCAGAGAGAGCAAGAGAGGAAGGAAGATAGCAGTAGTCCTGTTAATTCGGCCCCCAAATGAGAATTCCACCTCTAGCTGTAAGACAGGTCAAGACCAATACACGCCCGCCCTTGATAGAATCCTTGGCCACTGCACTTTTTCGATGCCCAGACACTTGAGCTGGAGGCCTTCTTTGTTCATTGTTCAATAGCTTGACCCTTCACATTTGAGGAATTATTCTCTCAATTCTAACGGGTTCCGACCCTCACATACAAGGAGCATCACCCGCCGAAAGCAGCAGTCGATTAAAATCAACATACGGACTTGCGATCTTGAGCTTGCCCACGCTGACGGGTCAGCCTAATAGCCCTAAGGACTGGGACTGGGTCTAATAAATCCGGTATTCGTACTTGGTAACAATACAGTTTACGGCAGTCTCCAGGCCTTAGCCTAAGCCTGTGCCAGTGTCCTCTCTTTCTCCAACCCGCACGGCTGGCAATTCACGCAGCACCTGAACCTGACCTTCGCATTCCCTCCTTCCTTCAGCCAGACTGCAACGCCCGCTCCCCAGCGCTACAAGTCCGACTCCCTCTCCAACTCTTCCTTTTCAACAACTTTCGCATCCTCTTGTCGATGTCATGACCTCTCGCTTGAAGAGTCTAGGATTCGGTTCCAAGCGAAAGAGTAGTGCCAACATCCAAACCACCTCGGTCGCTTCACCCAACGGCTCCATCTCCACCGCTGCCACCACGCCGCCTCCTCCCAATTCCTCTCAGACGAGTCTCCCTCCATCTATGAATCAGCAAGGTGCCCCTGGCAGGCCACCTAGCTATTCATTCAACAGCGCCCAAGGTCGTCCTCAGTCGCCTATGCCCCCGCCCCCAAACCAGATGGCGCACCACCCACCTCCCATTGATACCAGACAGAGCTACGTTGGTGGAAATCCTCAGCTAGGCCCGCCACAACCGGCGGGATATGGAGGTGCATATAATCAGCAGATGGGTGCTCAGCCGGGCATGCAACATACACAACAATACGCTCCTGGTCGTCCAGCCGAAGTAGAGGGCGGTGCCCGGAGTAAGGCTCAGCTTATCGTCGGCATCGACTTTGTAAGATGGCACATTCCATACACTATGAGAACTCCACCATACTAATTCATGGATCAGGGAACAACGTTTTCGGGTGTCGCTTTCGCCTTCGCAACAAATACAGAAGCAAAGGAGGATATAATAACAGAATGGCCTGGCGCAGGCAACCAAACTAAACAAAAGGTATGTCACAGATACGGTCGTCCCCCCAGAGCCAGCGACTGATCATCCATAGATCCCAACAGTTCTTTACTACGATCAATACCAGAAAGTGGTGGGCTGGGGCCCAGACATCGCCGATGCCCTCGCTCCCACTGGCTACCCTAAGCCAGGTGTGCAAAAGGTGGAATGGTTCAAGCTGCAACTGATGCTCTCCGGCAACACCTACATAGATCCCATCAACCTTCCTCCTCTTCCTCCTGGAAAATCCGAGATCGATGTCGCCGCCGATTACCTCTTCAAACTTCGACAAGCCATGCGCGTCCAATTGCAAAAGACGCTGGGCGAGGTGTTCAATCGAGAAGAGCGCAACATCCGATACTTCTTGACCGTACCTGCCATCTGGAATGATGCGGGCAAAGCTGCGACAAGAGCAGCCGCCATCCAAGCTGGTTTCATCCGCGACGAAAACGACAACAGACTCACTCTCATTACCGAACCTGAAGCCGCAGCCATGTTCTGTTCCAAAACTGGTCTCCTCAACCTCAAGATCCATGACGCTGTCCTGATCGTCGATTGTGGTGGTGGTACTGTCGATCTGATCGCCTACGAAGTCGAAGAAGAAACTCCTTTTACCGTGGCGGAATGCACAGCTGGAAGCGGTGACTCCTGTGGTTCAACAGCTCTCAACCGGAATTTTTCCAACATCCTACGCGCCAAGATCAGGAAAATGAAGCTGCCGGATGGTTCAAAGACGGCGGGCAGAGTTTATGCCAAATGCATCATGGATTTTGAGAATCGAATCAAGGCCGATTTCCGCAACAATGGGCAAAAATGGGCCGTGGATGTTGGCATCGAGGCAGAGTTCCCCGAAGCTGGCATCGAAGAAGGATACATGACCTTTACCAACGAAGAAATCCTCCAGTGCTTCGAGCCTGTCGTCAATCGCATTCTCGAACTCGTACGCAATCAGATCATCGCCATTCAAGCACAGAACAGATCGTTACAGAACGTGCTTGTGGTGGGTGGGTTTGGTGCGTCCGAATACCTTTTCCAGCAGATCAAGTTGCATGTGCCCCCACAATTCCAGTCCAAGGTCGTTCGGCCCATGGACTCAGTCGCTGCTATCGTCAAGGGTGCTGTGACAGCAGGAATCACGGAAAGAGTCATCACTTCACGTGTGGCACGACGACACTACCTTATGGCAACATTACAACCTTTCAAGGAGGGTTATCATCCAGAACAATACCGTGTACCCAGTCTCGACGGCAAAGATCGATGTAAGTATACTCGACAGATTTTCGTCCAGAAGGGCGAAAGGGTCAAGATTGGTGAGCCCGTCAAGGTCTCCTTCTTCAGGCAAGTTGCGCCAGGAGCCACCTTGATGTATGAGGATATTTTGTATGCTTGTGATGAGGATGTTTGGTGAGTCGGACGACAACCGCGCGTTTTTGAGAGTTTGCTAACAAGATACCTCAGCCCTGAATACACAAAAGATCCTCGAATCAAGGAGGTCGTCACACTCACTTCAGACCTGTCCAGAAAGAATCTCGAAAAGGATTTTGAACGAATGGACACGCCACAAGGAACCTTTTACCGCGTTTACTTCGATATCTACCTGACACTGGACGGCTCAGAATTCAACGCCGAATTGGTTTGCCAAGGAGAGGTCATGGGACGATGTTCGGCCAGATTCAGATGATTGATCACGATGGTGGTTTACAAGAGGCCGGGCCGGAACAGCGCACGACTTCGAGAGTTGGGAGCGGGATGCAGGTGGCACACCTCTCTCTTGAAAATGACTTGGATTCTATTTTGCCTGCAACAGCGTCGGAGCGAATGTTGGTAGAGGTTCTTTAAAAATGCATGCGGGTTCACTTTTGTGGTGGTGAGATCCTAAAGCAATGGATGTCACGGCAGTAATCATACTATAAACTTCGATTCCACCACGGTCACTGGGTCCATGGATTTGATTGTGAATGATGGGATATCAGTACTGGATGTCGAACTAATGAGGGAGGTAGGCTGAGGAGATGGGTGTAAAAATGAGAGTGTTGCAAGAAGGTACACGGAATGCTGGGGACATGAGAGGCTTATTTTAATGGGCCAATTTGATCACTGAAGAATTGAAGTCCTATTAGCGATGAATGTTTGGGACGAGAGCGGAAGAAAGGTGGAAGATACTCTGCGAGCAAATGTACTTGTTTGAGTACAAGGGAGGATATCACAGTATGTTCATGGCCTCTTGAGCAGCTTGTCCACAAGTGGAGCGATCGATCTGATTCCATTTCTCTTGTCACAACCCCTTCAAGATGCAACGCTACTATAGATCCCATGTTGTCACCATCTTCTGGACAATACCGTGCTCTGGTACTGTACACTACATCTGCAGCGGACTGGCCTAGCAGGATCGTGCATGTAGCCTGCAGGGCTGGAGCAGCGGACACGAGCATTCAACTCAAGGGATGGTCTAGCCCACGGACAAGCAACATTGTTGGATATCTCAAGCATTCGACGGATTGTCCAGCCATCCCCACAAGCAAAGCTGTTCGACATCTGAAGGCGGCTGGCACATGGCAAGCTTGGTAGCAATTGCATTGCGGTTGAGCCTTGCTTGACTGGGAACAGTCAGCCACGGCTCGTAAGATCTGGATCAGCGATTTAGGTCCGTTTCAAAAGCCGTGTCGAGTACTGGCGTGCGGGCTTTGAGCACTTGCGAAGCCCGGTTGAAGGGGATCGCATTGTCAGGGGATGTAGTCAAGTCAAGATCTCCCAGGCATCCAGCGACTAAGGGAAGGTTTGTAGCCATTCGTAGAATTGTGAATAGGCCGGCAGGATCTTGCATGTAGCCATAAACATAGCCCCAGCAGTTGCCGCTACTGTTGAGGGTTTTCAATTTTTCATGCACTGATGACTCACTCTGAGTGCCTTTTCCTGACTGTGGTTACCCTTTTTAGGGTGGTATTATAGTTTCCTGGCGACCCAGTGACTACACTTGTAGCGGTTTTGCAGGAGACTTGAAGGGTCTTGCATATATCCGAACCCAGCGCCATTGTTGTCGAGGATTTCGTGCTTGAGAATTTCAAAGCCGAGTTTGGAAACGAGTCGGGTGACTTCTTCGTCGGAGAGTTCGAAGGAGCCGGGTTCGGCTATGCCTTGGTCTTCCTTGTCAAGCATTCCCGTTTGTTGGTGCGTTGATGTGGAGCTTCCGGTGGGCGTGGAGGATGTGTTGTTGGAATGGGAATGTGACTGTTGTGTCTGTTGCCCGACCTCTGCTTTTTGTCGTCCTCCTGAGGAGTTGCTGTCCCCTTCGTTGTGACTTCCGCCGTGGACGCGGTCGTCGAAATGCCAGAGTAAAGGACCGATGTTGATCCATGTACCGTTGGGTTTGAGACAATTTCTTACTGTCTCGATATAGCGGAACAGATTGGGTGCAGTGTCGATGAAGAAGACTGAGATCACGGCATCGAAAGATTCTCTTGTGTCGGGGCCGGAGTATGAAAGCACAAAGTCGCCGGCTGTCATGTTCATTTCTCCTATGGGGTGGCCGGTCGAGGAGAGCTCAGCTAGGGTTTGGGCCGGGTGCGTGTCGGGGATGGTGTGCCGTGCGAGCTGGTTTTCGCGGGAGATGGTGTTGGTAAATGTGGTTGCGAAGGGGTAAATTTCATATTGATCGGGGTTAGTGGTGGCATTGAGTATGAAATTGCTGGCGAGGAGTTGGTGGTAGGATATTTCGTTGCCTGTGATGTTCCAGCCCCATCTACATAGTTCGAAAAGGATCCGGCCTAAACCGGCGCCTGGAAGGAGGATGTTGCTGAGCCTTCTGTCGCTCCTGGGACCGGTCATGTGGATGTCCAGATCCTCCGAGATGATGTCGAGTAGAGGGCGCACCTCCTGGATGAAGCCTTTGTGAGACCAGTCGCGGTAGAATTGGCGGATAGTCGAGTGCGCTTTAGACATGTCGTTGGGTTGGGCGTGCGAGTGCCAATTTAGAGGTGAGTCTGCGGCGGGTGTTTCGTCAAGGCCGAGCGATGTTATGCCCAGATTGAAGATGGCGTCGGCCAAGTCGGCGTTGTGGTCGATGGCGTCGTCGACTGCTGTGAGTGTGTCAAGGATGGAGAAGGGCGGGTCGGCGAGTAGTTGCCATTGCCGGGAAGGGAGGGCGTAGAGGTTCTGACGGCGACGGTGGGTGGTATTGTAATGGGCATTTTTGCGATACTGGCTGTTGAGCTGGGTTAGCTGGTGTTAGTTCATTTGCTGGGGTGGTGGGTTTGATATAGATATCACGGATTCAGATAGGTTAGGTAGTGGTGGAAGCATGTTTGTTGGGCATGATAGATCTGACAGTGACATCGCCTAGCTGCTCTTGCCCTCTGTTTTTCGATTTACCCACGTCTTTTCTTCTTTTCACTTACTAGAAAGAGTCCAATGCAGCGAAGATTGTACGCCGTTCCAGGGGATCTTGCAGTGGGCCAGCAGCATCATTTTCCTCAAACACTGGATTTGGTCCGTCGTTGTTGTCCTCCCCATCCCCGACCTGAGCGGCCATTTCAGTCATTGTGATTGTAGTTTGACAATTTCGGGTGTAGGGATATCAGATATAAAAGTGGCAGAAATGGTTTGTGGTTTTCGAGGCAAGAATCAAGATAGCCGACCAGCGCCAAGAACAAACAGCGATTGCATAGAAACACCGAGTCGCAAACACTGTACACACTTGCATCAACTCATCTTTTCGTGCCATTACTGTTCAATGCACGCTTGATCCGGAGGAAGGTGCCAGATACTGCAGTACTGTGTGCATGCCTTTGCACCATGGAGCCTTCATTTTCTCCTGTCGAGATATCCTTTCCCTTACCCAAACATCCACACTTGAAGTTCCATGCTCACTTGAGTTTCTTGGGCACTTGCAACATCATTCACTTGACAACCACAGATCTCGATCTATCCGACAGCTCGTTGCCGCCGATGGGCAGTTTCGTCTATGCAATGCCTGATGTACGTTGAGAGTTGATTTTCGTTGGGGCTTCAGGGCCTATGGCGATCACTAATTAGCTGTAGATGATCAACGACCGCAACGTCATCAGCACAGCGTTGTCGACATCTGGCTCAAGCATAGACTACGCTACTCGGATGGCCAAAATACTTGCAAGGAGAATGAGAAGGCCCGTTTATGTTGGCTGCAGCATGAACTTTGCAGGCACAACTCCCGAAGAAGAAATGGAAGGATTGACCGTCGCTGTCGATCAGATAATGCAAAATTGGAATCAGAAATCATGATCAACTGCATTTCGCAAATCTGTCTCGGTCCATCACACCCCTATCCTTTCCCTTCCCGGAAGCACTGATCAAGTGCAAATGTGTTTCAAATCTCCATCAGGAAGTCTGAGATCACAGGCATGAAGGCGAACTCTATGCGATTTGCACGACAAATCGGGTTCACTCCTGCACCCACGTCCGGGAGAACAATTTACAACTTCAGAACCATGCGTGCAAGGGTAAGGGACAGGGAGTTGATTTGATTCAGCACCCAGGACAGTGGTCAACATTGCCAATAACTTCTCAACCCGTGGCAATACGAGTGTGTGAAGGTTTACTGTGCTTGGCGACATGTCTCTCTACGTCAACCTCAAGATCATCGTCAAGTTCAGACGTCAGGCAGCGGTAATTGCTGGTGTTCGTCAATGGGGCCTGTAGCCGCGAGTGTGTCCACAGGCCTCGAAATCAAGGGTATGTCGAACGCTCTAGACCTCCGAGAAGGCGCTAAAGCGTGCACCGGAAGTGGTAGCGACTTGCTCATCATTTCGGAGACCCTCAGTGACACACTCTACGGACCCTGAGGCACCCGCAACACCCAACCTTAACGGCCAGGCCCTCCGCATTTAGAATGTATGTCAATCAATCATATACTCTTCGATTGCGACCTCCGGTCCTGACTCGATAGCATCGATGTCTGCACTATAATCACAATCATGACGATCTCACAACTATGATCAGCTGATAGTAGTCAACTGAAGCGCCCTGGCGTGGATCGTAAGATATCCAAATCAAGGAATAATTCTCGACCCGTTGAACTTCCTAGCCGGGTCAAGTCAAGATTGTCCCTACATGCACAGTGCATGCACCGGTTGTGGCTGATGATCCTTCCCCAATCCATGACGAAGCAAGACAGTCATCCAAGAATTGGTACGAGAAACAACTCTGCTCGATTCCAAATCCAGTCGAGTATCTAGTCGGCAGTTCTGCATCGATTTTTGCACCACACATCTACGCGTGTCGCATGAAATAATCTCTTCTAGCGAGATTCGAGAAGGGCACGATGTCACCCCTGGCTCCACTGAAGCATGGCAGAATCCATGGTCTTGTTGGCTGGAGTTTGCCGGGGATCCCCGTACTGAAAGGCACGGTCTATGAGATGCCAGGCTGGTTCAAGTGATTTCGAGGTTGCGATCCTACGACCATTCCTCCATCCTGCAGCAAGCATAGACGAGATCGTGGATCAATGCTTGATGCGTAATTGTCAGCAAGCAGCCAATGTTTCCAGGAGAAATGCATGTTCTTTCTAGGTAGGGATGTTCCGACTGTGGCGTCAGCTGCATAGGCGATCATATTTGTGGTTTCCTCGTAGATCCGAAGTTCGGTGACCACCAAAAGTATCCTGGAACTGGCTGGATCCGTTTTTGGTATCAGACTACAGGTCTCACCGTCTTAGGCAGGAGAAAAGTCAATCAGCATTATGAAATTTACACTGACCACGCTGGTATCCTTCCACGGAAACCACCGAGCCTGCGATGGATTCCACATCTACCATCACTGAGGGCACACGAAACCCTCAGGAAAAAGAAGATCCTTCCATCAGTCCTACTCTGCGCTTCTGCACCAATGGAGCGGATCTTCTAGTCAACGGTTTTTAGCTTTGACAAGTTGGTTCAGTAACCGACAGCCGAAGCTAGGGTCGCCGAATTCGACAAGAATGCTCAGAATAGCCCGCTAAGGTATTTCACAAGTGGTGGGAGTATGGTGTCGAAGTCAATGAACTCGTTTGGCCGCCGATATCGCCTAGCATTGAGGCATCATGTTCGCAGGATCTTTCACAGTCACACGATTATTCTACGCTAAGTTGGTTCCCACAAGCTGCTTGAATTGGCGGGCCGGTACATTGCTCCAAGGTCCCTGCAGGAATGGATGCCTCCTCGCCTGTCTCGGTTATGACTTTGCCACGTAGGAGACATCGTTTCTTATTTCGCCGACGATGTTGGGACGACAAGCAGGTTTTCGACTACACACGCGAAACCTTCGCTTAACGCAGGGGCAACTGTTCAGTGGTCTTACCAGGTTTCTGGCGTGCATTAACACGAATTGATGGCGCTGTCAACATCCATCGTCCTGCAGAAGAAGAGTCTCGACCAGCAAGGTTCCAAATTGATCCTTTATCCAGACGACAAGATATTGGATGTAGCTTGCTTGGGCATCTCAACCCACAGGCCATATGCCAAGCACACATCGAGGTGGCGATTTTTCGTACCTCATCGCACAAGTTCCGATCTCATGATTGTACGTCAAGCTTTCCTCGCCACATCTCCGAGGCTCTCCTGGGCTAAGATTAATTTTGGCATCTCGCTCAGAACGGCAAATCCCTTCGAAACGGGGGTGGACCGAAGACAAGCTTCATCCCAGTGTCCTGCTCAATCCGGCTCCTCGGTTAGCCGGCTGCCCTTGGTCGGACAGGCTACCGGGTATTACAACCCAAAGGCCTGCACGAGACAAGCTGGAAGCTGGGGTTGGTGCTCCCTCCGTGACACTATTCCATGTTTCCATCCTCTTCGAAAATGGCCAACCTTAAATTACCGATGGGAGTTGCTGAATGCCATGTTATAGACTGGGTCCGCTTTGTGAAACCGACTCTCTGATAGCCTCGAATATTTAAGGAGCCGGCTTTCAAATCAACCACCAACCTAGGTGTATTATCAACCTCTGACTGCAAGGCCGAGGTTGGTTTTTGTGGAGACTGACAGCGCTGGTGTGCTTGATGCTCCATCTTTCTCCATTAAAGCTCTTCTTTGCACCTAGGAAGATTGAAACATGACGGGACTATGCCTGGTTTGGCAACGATTGTTACGAGTGCTGCAGATGAACACCTAATGTACAAACCCTACCCCAAATACTACCATCCGAGCGCAGCCGACATAATCCTAAATCCAAAGCCAGAGATGGATCCTGAGAGTTTCTTTGGTAGATCACGACTTTCAGTCGGGTTCAGAAAGAGCCGGTCGAGGTGTCTCGTACGAGGAATGATCTATATTCCACCCCCAAGGGACAACATCAGACCTATGGGCACGGTAGCCGGTGCCAAGATCTGCACAGACTATCAAGGAGCAGATCTTGTGGCCAGCTAGTACACCTCCCGGGGCTTTGGGGGCTGGAAGAAGCCCACCTAAGGCGGGCCGGCAACAATGCCGTCCCCTGTCAGTTGCACATACCGAGGCCAAGCCTCATGACCAAAGACCCCGTGGTCTGAGAGAAGCGGCGCCGTCCACTGAAGGAATTGGGCTGAGATCACTCTCTTTTAGGGGAAGCATTCTGGAGGAAGTGGACCACGAGCGGTTGCACGGTGCACTTGTACTCAATACCACCACTGCGGCACAAACTTCACGATAGGAAAGTATCGAAGAAGCTGTGGCCCTTTGTCTCCGCACTAACCTGTACGCACCTTCTTGTTACGGCTTGACTCGAGATCAACTCGGAAGCCGAATGATCTATCATCGACTTGGCTTCGAGATTCCAAGCATCACTTCGGCTCAACTCGGGCAATAAATCTGGGTGTATACTTGAAACCATCTAGGGCTTCTAAAAATGTTGAAGTGCTGCAGCAATGATCTTCTGGCGCCAAACCAACGTTAGCGGCCCCTAGGTCGATTTCCAGGGCCTCCCTTGCCACAAGGTTCAAGCAGGGGGAGCTCTTTTGGAATGAGCAAAGTGGATTGGGCGATCACCAGTCAGTGGTGTTCCATGCCCGTCATTCTCATTCGGCTGCCCACAGGACGTTGCGGCTGGCTTCCTTACACTTCGGCTGCCAGAACCGGGACCTTTCAAACCATGCCCCTAGCTCGTTGCTTCCTTCCAGGGTCACGATCAAATCCGAAATCTTTATCCATCCCACTCGGTATTTGGATAGTATTGGATCCTGCTCCGGTGTCCACTGTTCATGATCGAACAGAGGTTGCGTTGAGTTCTATCTCGTGCCAGAGAGGTCGTCTCCTCGACATGCTTCCTAAGGGCATCTCCTCCCCCTAGGCGGGTCACCCTCTGAAGCGTTCCCACGCAACGCGCAGCCGCAATTTACCAATGTCAGTAAAATTCTCCCGAGTAGGTAGCCCTCGTTTCGTGCCATACTTTGAGAACGAATGGTTTAGCGGTTTGACTTTTCAGAAGTTTCCCAAATGTTCGTTCGCTCTTGACTGAGTACTCCTCTTTAACCCCATGCGCGTCCCTTTTCCTTAGCTCTGAAGATCGCGGCTTCCACCCACTTGGCCTTTGATCGACGAGTCAAGCGTCTGGCAATTTGTGGAAACAGTCCCTGTCAACGACCGTATCCTCTTGTCAACACTCCTTCCGCCCGGGTGGTCAAGTACCCTATGCACTTACCATAGTATGCCACCTGCTAGTAACAAATTTCGGCTATACTGACCGTGGAAGTGGCGACCAGTTGTAGGGGACCACTTTCGCTTTTATTCCGGGGACCGTTTGGGCCAAGATCGGACCTTTAACTGTCTCCAGACTTGCATCTCGCTTCGACTGTTACGGCAACTCCAAGGAATCGTCGTGCCGGGTCTGCCCTGCGTTCTTTCTACGAGAACAACGCTTTGTTCTCAACACCGCGGACTGACCCTTTCGAAGTTTGTGGTCGCTGGGTGAGGGATGGGGTGTTGGAAGGCCTAGGCAGTGCGCGACGGTATACTCTTCGACACCGGAGCACGACTGACCTGGGCGCGTCTTGGAACATCTGTGGTGCAGAAGGTGGTGGAAATGCAGCATCAGCTGTATGCTGGAAGAGAGTCACCGAGCGCTACCTCCTCCGGATCGCCCTCAAGTGCTCACATTCAGTCCCAGCAGTCGCTACCAATACCGTCGTTCGCTCCCCATAGTCGACCGGGACTACAGTCACAAGACTCAGCAACAACAATGGCTTCTTATTACCCTCATGATCTAGGGTCGGTCTCCCCCCACGAAGGATCGTCGCACCTCAGCGACACCCTACGGACTGGCGTAGCAAGTGGCACTCCGTCTCCCGCTCAGCTTTCAGCCATGATGATGCACAACCCCAAGCGGGCATACCGCCAACGAAGAAAGGATCCCAGTTGTGATGCGTGTCGAGAGCGCAAAGTCAAGGTTGGTCACTAAATGAAGATTGACTGGGATCGTTGTTGACATTTTTCCAAGTGCGATGCAACAGAGACCACCAGTTGTACAGAGTGCTCGAGTCGCAACGTTCGCTGCCAGTTCACCAAGGACACAAATCGCCGCATGTCATCTATCAAGTGAGTCCATGCCGATGACCCGGTGATGTGTGAATTCTGATTATCTGCAGGCAAGTACAGGATTTAGAAAGGCAACTAATAGAAGCCCGCCAACAGCTGGACCGATTCCATGCCGTCGAGCAGAGGACCGAGTTCTCAACCGACTTTCGTCCTGACGCCACTCTCCTGGCTTTCACCGACTTCCCAGCCGTTGGAAAATCCCCTAGACGGATGTTGAAAGCAAGGTCACCTCAAGATCTCACAAATGCAAGACTGCAGTTGAATGATATTGGCCGGGGGTTGCTGAAACCTCCCGTCACGGGCACAAACCCACGATCGCACGGCTCACATTCGAACGTTTCAGACCTGCAAGGGCTACCATCACGCCCTGCAGCAGAGCGCTTGTTGCATTACTATCACGAATGCGTACATCGTCAATTTCCTGTTCTGTACTGGCCAAGATTTCAGCGGACGTTTGCGGTCGCAATGGACAGACCCAGTACACATACCCTACCAACAGATTGGGTCGCGGTCTTGTATGGAGTGCTTGCTTGCGGCGCGCTAGCTACCCACGACTCCAGTAGGCTTCCGGAAGCGCAAGATTACTTGACTCGGGCCATTTCTACGATCAATTTCTGGGAGGACGATGTCTCTGTTAATCAGGCCATTGTGGCATTTCTGGCCAGCATTGCCCTGGTTGAAATGAACAGAAAATCTGCCAGCTGGATATGGCTAGGCTCTGCTATTCGTGTTGTGCAGGATTTGGGACTTCACGTCCAGGGCGGTCAGTGGTCACCCATTGAAGGAGAAATGCGGAAACGCATATGGTACTCCTTCTATGTTTGGGACCGGTAAGTGCCCAAGTGCTTTTCGCTTTGCGATACTGACAATGGCAGACTCCTCGCTCTGGAACTCGGCAAGCCCATGCTGATCAACGACGACGAATGCGACACCGAGTATCCTCAGGTTCTTGACGAAGAACGGTTAGTGACCGACGATCTTCAGACTCCTCTTCCTCCTACTCTGTTGTTGGCGAGTGTCCACGTTGCACGACTGATGGCTCCTCTGGCCAAGATGTTTCGCTCTCTGTGTATCACCAATGAAGCCTTGACGAGATTCGAGACACATCTGGGTGAATGCCTTCAACTATTTCCTCGGCAAGTGCAGCTGTCATCGACGGCAGCATTAGATCCGTGTATTATGGTACCACTCATCTACTTCCAAAACAGCCGCATCCTGTTACATCGCCACAATCTGTCTCCGTCATCGTCTCCCGAACAGCGTGCGCAAGCGATCGAGCAATGTGTCCATGCGGCACGAGATACTGCCGGGGTCCTTTCGAGGTGCATGGTACCCAACTCAAAATCACAAGATTGGGAGCAGCGCTTCATACTCTCTTCGACGACGTTGCTCTGTACGCACATGTGGCGATGCATGCTCCTACTATTGTTTCGGCAATTTTTTGATGCCTTCTTCATCGTGCTGAGAGCAGCTGCGACGATTAACGATGCCCGCTCGATCAATGTTTGTTGCGGCCGATACCTCTCTTTTTTCCTGCGCCGATTGATCACCCACTTCGAGGGCCCAACTTCGCTTGGTCCAGAGCATGACGAGGAAATACTCGTGTACCTGACGGCAGATCTACAGTCAAGTACGAATAGCTGGGTATGGGGTAACGCCGAAACAGGCACACACCTGAGTCGGCGACAGAAGCATGGACGTCCAAAGCACTTGAATTCAGAGACAGAGCCTCAGTCAACTCCCAGTGCGCAGTCTCCTTCGTGGGATAACTTCCTTTCCGAAGAGGAACAGCACGATTGGGGTGGGTGGTCGCACGTCGAGCAGGCGGCACGTTATCTTCAGCGGCTATGGGAGAACCGACAACATCGCGGACCCGACCAGGTTCCATCGCCATATCCGGGGCAACAGCAACCACTACCACCACTACCACCGCCATCAATCTCACATACGCCTACACCAGGACTTCCATCGTTGATCCTCGCACCGAATCAAGACACGAGTGAAAATCGCACGCGAATGAAAATTGCCAGTATCATTTAGTAGCAGACATTGCGTGGAGCAGGAGCATGAGCATGAGCATGAATATGGACTTGGAGCATGAATATGAACATCAGCGTTAAAAGGGTCACGAGCGTCATTAATGATCGATATGTGTCTGACGAGGAAAAGCCAGTCGAGCAAGAGATACCCCTTTCTTTAGAGCAAAATGAGTTGATGAAAGTGGCGCAGGCAAAACAGCATTCATTGCATTGCAGATGGTGTAACAACTTGTCCACTGCCAGTGTCCACAATGCAAACACTTTTTGGCCTTTTTGTGAAGTGGTCTTGTGCAAAGCCACCGGCCATCGAAGTCCGATGTCTTTTTCGCCTGGTTTTGGTCGGTAGCAGGAGAGTATCGGTGTCCAACCCCCAGCAAGGAGAAAGCTCTACAGAGTTTTGTTCTTCTGTTGCCGACCAGTAGAGGCCCGATTCGGAGTCATCAGAGACCGACTTCCTGTCGACCACGAGGATCCGAATCAAGTAGTCGCTTTCTGACTCCTGACTGGAAGCGGCTTAAAACGGGCGCCGAATGCTTCTCAAAAGCTTCTGTCGACTTGAACTCCGCTAGCCAGCCATCTAGGTGTATCTGATGTGCGAACTCACAGACTGACAGAGGTTTGATTTCCTACTCTATTTATGCTACCGAACTGGGGAATAAGCAATGTGCCAGTCAGAAGTGACATGAACTTCCTTCGGTAAACACGGCATCAGAAGATCTTGTACGATCCGTGGATCATTTGTGACACTGACCCTATTGGTACTCGACGTCTTCAATGTGATGTACCCACTGACCCGACTTCCCGTGTGGGAGTACGTGGCGCTCTACGATCTATATAGACTTTGTATGTAGTCACAGACACTCGACATCCCCTGTGTCACCCATCTATTGTGAGTTAAGTCTGTGCCGACATCCGCTTTGAATGGGATTCACTTGCTACATGCTGTGTGTGTTGTGGTGTAGACAGTGCCCGACATCCGGCACCTCGTGTACATGATCACGGTTCGATTCATGGTGACTGTGACGACTACAGTACTCCACAGCACCACATGCGATTCCATCAGTGTTGAGGTCCGACGTGTTTCGTACAGTACAGGCTAAGTTTTTCGACAACTACCTAGTAGTAATAGAGTGCGCCCAATCTGAATGAGCTAAGTCAAAATACTCCGTACACAACATGCTATGCTATGTAAATTTTATATGCTATACATTTTTTAGACTAGGAAGAGATCAAATCGAACCCGAAAGCCCGTCTGCCCGCCTCACCACTCAAAATGCCCTTCTCGCCAGTGAACAGCTTAAAGTCCTTCTCGCGAGGACCCTTTCGGAAGTCCTCGGGTGGAACACCCTTCAAGAAATCCTCCAATTGACCCTTGACGTAGCTCATGTTCTGCTCCGTCCGGGGTGTGGCGGCGATATACGTGACGCTCGCGTCGTGGTCGCCTTCGTGCTCGACCTCGACGGCGTGGCACATGTCGGCGTGCCACCAGACGGTGTCGCCGGGGTTCATGTGCGGCACGCTGACCATGCACTCGCGCAGGCGCAGGTGAGGATGCGAGCTGGGGGACAACAATTGGCTGTCCATGCGGAATGTGCCTGGGAACCAAGGGCTCTCGGGGTCGAAGGTCCATTTGCTGGCGTCCATGACGTCCTCTTCGGACGATGGGGCCTGGAAGAATGGGCGCAGCAACAGGTATGCGATGGTGTACTTGACGTTGGGGTACAGCATCAGCGATCCCTCGCCGGGGCCTGCGGACGTCAGGGCCGTCCAGGCCTGGAAGCTGCGGAAGACTCTGGAATGTGCGGAGCCAGGGAATAGGGCTTGGTTGGCGTTCTTGCGGATGGTCAGGTCATAGTTGTCGAGGTGTTCTGGGTGGCCTGAGAAGACGGCCGAGTAGACGGATTGGTAGGTTGGGTCGGCCCATCGAGAGAGACTGCCGGCGTCGATGTGAGGGCCGAGACCTCGGAATTGAACCCCTGGAGGACGGATGCGGACACCGTCCGCATAGGACAGGGGCTCGGGCGAGGTCTTGCCCGTGTCGTCGTGCCACCAAGAGTTGAGCTCCTCAGACAGCTTTAGCTGGTTGGGATGTGAGCGGGCAGCGATCTGAGTTGGTGAGTAGTATAGGTTGAGGATGAACGGGGTCTCGACGGGCCAGCCTTTAATCGACGACCTGTTGGCGGCGACATACTCTTTGAGGTCCGAGAACCACTGGTCTGCTTGCTCCTTGCTGAAGACGTTTCGGACAACGAAGCATCCGGTGTTCTTGAGCTGGGTCTTCTTCTCCGGACTCAAGGAGAAGAGGTCGTCAAATTGGAGCTCTGGGATGGCGGCGCTGCCTTGGGACGCGATGTTGTCAGTGACAGACTCCAACTCCTTGCACACCTTCAGCCAGCTCTGGACAATGGCGTCCTTGCCGTACTTGTCGACTATCGCTTTCTTGTATCCGATAAGGTCATCTCCCCCTTCAGCCTTGGTAGGGGTGAACTCGGGCCACTCTGGCCAAGAAATGAGTCTGCCTGGCATCTTGTGTCGTGTGTCGCTGATGTCCTTTGCTACAACTCACTAGACGTTCAGAAAGAGGCCGGCTGTTAAATAACCATAGTACTTGAGGTAGTCGGACATCTGCGCACCCCAGCCGGACTTGTTTAGCCTTAGCTTGTAGGTTCACTGTGACCCTCGGAAGATAACGGACATGCTCGCTGCCGTAAGAATTTTGGGGAAATGGCGCTGGGGAAGGTCGATATCGGACTTATGCGACACCTCGTAGGCTGGTTGGAGGTATGGGACCTTTTGCATCGACGATTCCACGGAATTTAGGCCAGTGGTGATCTCCCTCGCCCAGATAAAGTGAGGGTCCAGGTTGACTCTCACCCTGGGCTTGTCGGTCCAGAATCGATAATCCAGCACCCGTGACTGGTCCAAAAGCCCTAAACTGCCAGCCGTGGCGCTGAGTTTAGCGGAAAACACCGTATCTGTGCTAGATATCCAAGATAGCGGACACATCTGGATCTTGGTGTTGCCCCTAGACGAGTATGCCTGTGAGTGTTATATAGAGCGGTGTAGAACCTCAGCTGATCGCATGCTCAAAGTTCTCAGAGTGATCAGGAGTCCACAATCAGCATATCGTTTTACTAAACACTCCGGTCGCCGCAGTCCCGCACCACCATGTCTCCTATGCCTTGGGAAATACCCTCGTGGGTCCCAGCAAACTCACAGACCGCCAGCGTCTTGCTGGTGCTCACATCATGTGTGACATCGACGGTGAGCAACCCATTCCAGCGCATGAGCACATAGGATATGGACTGACCATGGCGCAGACATTGGGCTTCGATGGCTCCATGATGAATGGATTGAACATCTTGCCTTCCTACACAGATTACTTCACCCTCACCACAGCAACGTTGGCACTCAACACTGCGTCCGTCTGGATGGGCAGCGTTCTTTCCGTCTTCTATGCCAGAGTGCCTGACACGATTGGAAGAAAATGGGCTTTGTTCTTCGGCGCCCTCCTTACCATCATTGGGGTTATTATCCAGACGGCCGCACAAAACATTGCCATGTTCGTCATCGCCAGAATCATCATTGGCTTCGGAACAGGTGCTTCATCCATTGCTGGTCCTGTTTATCTGGCCGAGACGCTTCCTGTCCGTTATCGCGCTTGGGGTTTGGGCATCTTTTACGACTTTTGTGAGTTTGCAGTCTCTCACGACCGCAAATGCACTGCTAACAATTAGCCAGGGTATGTTGGTGGTCTCATTGCTGCCGGCGTCACTTACGGCACCGCCAAAATGGACTCGACATGGGCGTGGCGGACTCCATCCCTTCTTCAGTGCCTGTTCAGCTTCATGTGCATTGCAATCCTGCCTTTCGTGCCCGAGAGTCCTCGATGGCTCGTGTCTCAAGGCCGCAACGATGAGGCTCTGATTGCGCTCGCGAAGACCCATTCCAATGGCAATATCGACGATGCCGTCGTTCTCCTCCAACACCGTGAAGTCACAGACACTCTCAGATTCGAGAAGACGTACGAATCGCCTTCGTTCATAAAGCAGCTCACCAACAGTGCCTCCACCCGCAAGAGAGTCTTCCTCGTCAGCACTGTTGCCATCTTCTGCATGTTGTCCGGAAACAACATTGTCTCCTACTATCTCGGTACCATGCTTGAACAGGCCGGCGTGACAGACTCGACAACACAACTCGAAATCAACATCATCCTCAACGCCTGGTGTCTTGTTATCTCGATCATCGGTACAATGATGTCTGACAAGCTTGGTCGCAAGACACTGGCAGCTATCTCAACTGCCGCGTTGACCGTGTTCCTCTTCATCGTGGGCGCCATGACCAAGGTCTACGGTAACTCGACTTCGCACGCGGGCGTTTACGGTACCGTGGCATCGATCTTCCTGTTCCAAGGAGCTTACAGCTTTGGCTGGACGCCTTTGACCGTTCTTTACCCACCAGAGGTCCTCAACTACAGTATTCGGTCGGTCGGTATGGCTTGGTACACGTTCCTGGTCAACGGTGTTGGGTTGATGGTGACATTCGCCTTCCCATTCGCCCTGGATGCCATTGGTTGGAAGACATACATGATCAACGGTGCATGGGACGTGCTCGAGTTGGTGGTCGTGTTGATCACCTGGGTCGAAACCCGAGGCAGGACGCTTGAGGAGATTGATGAGAACCTTGACGGTGTGGTACACAGCGATGTGCCCAAGTTGCAGACCATCTTGGGTGTGCCGGAGGCGGAGCGGGAGGGGATTGTCAACGCCTTGGAGATGTCGACAAAGGAGGTCGAGGCGCGCGGAACAGTCACTGAGGTGGCAAGGGAATAGTTGTGTTTCCTGCACGCAGAAAGGTTGACGATTTGTGATGCGAGGGAATTGTTGCGTCGTGGTGGATGCTTGGACGCATGCTTGATAGGCTGTAGCGACGGGAGGTGGCAACACGAGTGATTCAAGCCAGTAACGAGCTGCCAAAGTCTGCTTCTGTTCCTCAATGTGCTAGGTAAGTCTATTTGACGCAAGCTTGAGTACCCAGTCTGCCGACCACTAGCGACCCACTGCATCGAGACCATAGTGCCCCTGGAATAACTCCACTTCAGTTGGGCCTGCTGGGTAAGTGGTCTCTCATTGTCGCCTTCCTGACTCAAGTTTGTAAGCAGTGGCTGTCAGGAGGGGATGTGACGAACTTTGGGAACGAAGGACAGGTATATTGGAAACTGCAAAGCTCAAAGTGAATTTGTTGTTGTGATTGCTACGACGCAACAGGATCCGAAATGATTTGAAACGCTCAAAATGCCAATACTGATCGTCGCGAACGAGAACGTCGAGCTCTTTCTTCTTCGACATCTATGCACCGAGCTGCTGCAAAGATTTAACAGTATCAACGATGGTTGCCTCCAAGCTTCGGTATTTGACTCCCAGGATCTTGATCGATTTGCTGTTGTCGAATTTGTAGGGCGGAATGGTATCGGAAAGGTCGTCGCGCAGGTTTTTCGCAATATCAGGGAAATTCTTCCGAATCACATCACCCATTTGCTTGTCAGTTCCTATACCTGCAGTGAAGAAGAATCTCTGATTTGCAGCCTCGGGGACCTCAATAGAGCGAACGTGTGCCAGAGCCAAATCGCGAACGTCGACGAAAATGGGAGTGCCCGGGCTCACGGGATTACCATGCATCATGTTGAGAATGCGTTTGTTCGAAGTGTTCAAGCCGGCCAGAGACGCGATTTGATGAATCACAGGCCCATAGATCAAGGGAGGATTCAACACTGTCAGGGCGAAAGTCGGCTTGTGTGTCTCAACAAAATCCCAAGCAGCCTTCTCGGCGAATGCTTTGCTGGCCCGGTACACGATCCCACCCTCAGTAGCGGCTAGTGCTTTCTCCCAAGTCATGTCGCTCCAAGTCTCTTCATTGTAGACTTTAGGTGGAGTCGATGGGTTCACGATGGCAGCGAATGAAGATGTGATAACCACGTGCTTCACGGACTTTGCGCCTTTGGTGATAGCTTTCAAGATTCCCGTGGTTCCGTTGACAGCCGGGTCGAGCATATCTCTCTTGTTGTCTTTGACGTCGAAGTGGTATGGACTGGCAGTATGGATCACTGCGTCAAAAGGAGGATCGGACTTGACGGCTTCGTCGAATGCTCCTTCGGCTGAGATATCCTTGACGATGGTGTATGTCAGAGGTTGCCCCTCGAACATGTTGAGCAGGAAACGACCTTTGTCATCGGAGCGCACTGTTGTGACGACCTCATGTCTACGCACTTATCAGTCTGGCCTTGTGTGCAATGTTACGTGCGCTCTCTTACCCGTGTTGAAGAAGTTCTTTCAAGACATGTGTAGCCAGGAAGCCGGACCCGCCAGTCAGCAGAACTTTTTGAGCCATGATAACTGTGAAATCGACGCAGACAAGTCGACAGCAGAGTTGGAACCGGTGTCGAGTCGGTAGTGCGATAGGCTATTTTGTTAATGTCGCAAGGTGCTGGCTCTGGGACCTCCCTCAGCAGCGAACGCTTCGTCGCCTTTTATCTGTTATCTGTTGCGCTGGCATGTATGGCGGACATACATCTCAGGCGGATATATGCGGCCTATGCGGCCGCATGATGACAAACGCCATATTATGGTGTGGATTTCTGGGAATTGTTCTGAGGTGCACAGAATCATCGGAGCCTATAACGGTGGCGGCAGTGGGATACGGTTAATAAAGGAAATCCTGCCGTTCGTTAAGGGCGAGGTCGAGGCCACTTAGGCATAGGCATTGAGGGTAGCCAATAAACCCGCGTTTGGTCCCGGGAATACGCAAAAGCGGCAGCATGATCCCCTGTTGCGGCCAAGTTGGTGCATCTTCATGATAGAGAAACACTTGAACCATCTATCTATATCGTTACACTCATTGGAGGCACGTCCGCGGGCACCTGCACTCCTCAATGTGCGATGCGCATGGTTTCGCAAGATGTGACCTCCGCAGCTATCATCTTCTTATCGACCACTCTCTCGCCCAAGAGCTTCCCTCAATGGCTGATCTGTCTCCTCTTCATCGCCGGTCTTGTCCCGACTGCGCTGACTCAGACCCCGGGCCAGGTTACAGCGCTGAAGAAGGAGGTTGAAGATCTTTTCTATCATGGATACGAGAATTACATGCTACATGCATTTCCCGAAGACGAACTCCGTCCGATCTCCTGCAAACCCTTGACACGCGACCGTGACAACCCAGCCCACATCGAAGTCAATGATCCGTTGGGAAACTACTCCCTTACTCTCATTGACAGTCTATCTACCTTGGCCATTTTAGCATCCAACCCTGCGAATACGAAGCATAATAAGCCCTTGCGGCTGTTTCAAGATGGTGTTCGGGATCTAGTCGCACAATATGGCGACGGCAGTAGTGGAGAGGCTGGTCAGGGATTAAGAGCAAGAGGATTTGATCTGGACAGCAAGGTGCAAGTGTTTGAAACAGCAATCCGCGGCCTCGGTGGCTTGCTGAGCGCCCATCTGTTTGCTGTTGGCGAGCTTCCAATCCGTGGTTATAATCCGTCAAAAGAGCAGGCTGCCCTGGCTAGAACATGGCACAAAGACGCGAATGCGATCGGTGCCAAAGGCATCCTGTGGCAGAATGGTTTCGAGTACAATGGGCAACTGCTGAGACTGGCGTATGATATGGGAAACCGTCTCATACCTGCCTTTTGGTCTACTACTGGAATACCATATCCGCGGGTCAATCTTCGTTCCGGTATCCCATTCTATGCCAACTCACCACTAAATGCTCCTCTCCACGAGGGGCAATGCGACGCTCGGCCTGGTGCGCCAGAGATTACTGAGACATGTAGTGCTGGCGCCGGCAGTCTAGTGCTCGAATTCACCGTTCTGAGTAGACTAACAGGAGATGACCGTTTTGAAGAACTTGCCAAGAGAGCTTTTTGGTCTATTTGGAATCGACGGAGCAGTATCGACCTGATTGGCGCTGGAATTGACGCCGAAACTGGTGCTTGGATTGGTACTTGGACTGGAATTGGTGCTGGAGTCGACAGCTTCTTTGAATATGCTTTCAAATCGCACATTTTGCTCTCGAGGGACGCTCATCCTGTTTACGCAAGGCGCGAGGACGTTGAAGATCCAAGAGTGCTGTTTGACCCCCTGCCAGTGGAAGAAGACACTTCTCAGGCATTCCTTGGGGCGTGGAACATCGCCCATGCTGCGATTAAGCGACATCTCTATCGTGGGACGAACTTCCAGCATCCTCACTACATCCAAGCTGACTTGATTACCGGCGCTGCGAGAGGCTTCTGGATCGATGCTTTAAGTGCTTTCTACCCCGGGCTTCTGGCGTTGGCAGGCCATATCAACGAGGCTATCGAGACTCACCTCCTCCAGACAGCTCTTTGGACCAGATTTTCTGCTCTACCTGAACGATGGAATCTAATAACGGGAGGCATTGAGGGTGGTCTCGGATGGTGGGTCGGCAGGCCGGAATTCATTGAGTCAACATACTATCTTTATCGTGCCACAGAAGATCCCTGGTATTTCCACGTTGGGGAGATGGTGCTACGGGACATCAAGCGTCGCTGCTGGACCAGATGTGGTTGGGCCAGCATACAGAACGTCTTGACCGGCGAAAAGACGGACAGAATGGAAAGCTTTTTCCTGGGAGAGACTGCCAAATATTTGTTCCTTCTATTCGATCCGACACATCCACTCAATCATCTCGATGAGCCGTTCGTCTTTACGACCGAAGGTCATCCATTGATTATTCCTCGGAGCGTTGATGATGGTCATCACCAGGGTAAGCTCTGGAACCCCGGCTCTCAGGAGGAAGCCACCTGTCCAGTGAAGCCGAGCCCGTTGCCTTTTAGTGTTTCCAAAGTTGCAGCAAGAGGCGACGTTTACCATGCAGCGAATCTGGCCAGACTGCATCTCATGCCGACAAGGGACAACGTCGAGTCTGTTCTCGGTGAATATGCAGCAGATCACCCGAGTATCACCTTGTCAGACATCAGCTCACCGTCCAATTACACATACTATCCTTGGACTCTGCCACCGGAACTCGTTCCTGTCAATGCCGCCAGCTCCCCAATCCATACAAGACCTACGCTCGACATCTCGTTCCCTGCCACCTCGACTCCTGGGCAACCAGCGCCACCCCTGCAACGCGTGAAAGATGGCATCCTCATCAACTCCATTGGCGGTCTACGACTAGCAATGATCCAGGATGCCCCGATTCTGGAAGATGGTGGAATTTCTGATGCATTCCGCATACAAGCCGTCAATAACATCCCGCTCGGGAAGGATGAGAAAGTGTTTCTTGCGAGAGATACGGGCAAAGACATCTTGAGCTCAATGGACCCCAATTTCTCCCGCATCCGAGACCCGATGATGCTGGACATTGTCATTGATCTCGATAAACCGCTAGAACAGCACGATGCCGGGGCGAATTCGACCGAAGGGGCGTTCATGATTGACATTCCCGGACTCGAAGCCACGACAGATGGCGCAGTCAGATCGGCATGGAATGCCATTGTCGCACAACTATCCAGCCTGCTCAAGGACCATTCCAAGACATCCTGGCCCTTCGCCACTCCACTGTCCCTTCACCCTCCGGCAGGCCAGCCCTCGGCTCCAGCCCAAGATGGCACACCACGCTACCATCTCACCGCAGTCACTCCCACTGGTCCCGGCGCTGCACCTCTGCCAGACTGGCCGGAAGTATTGACGCTAACGACTCCTGGAGGCCAGGTCATTCCACTGTTATGGAACAAGATCTATGCTACGGATGATCTGTGCGATTACCGTCTTCCAACCGACGTGGTCAAATCCCACCAGATTCTCGTGGCGAAGCGCGGTGGATGCAATTTCAGCCGCAAGTTGAGCAACATCCCGTCATACTCACCGTCAGCCCAGGCCCTACAGCTTGTCATCATGGTTTCGTATGGCAGCGATGACATCTCCTCGGAAGAACAGCACATTGACGACGAGTCATCACTTGTGCGACCGTTTCTGGAAGACCCGCAGAAGACGCCCGCGGGACTGCCCCGGCATAATCCCATACCTATGGTCATGGTTGCTGGTGGTGACAAAGTTTACGATGCGTTGGCTGGAAAGACCGTGGGGATCGGAATCAAAAGACGGTATCATGTCGAGACCAAGGGCGTCAAGATCGCGAACTTGATCATTGTGTAGTAGTGTACATTAGTTGAATGTCAATGAGGATTCATATAAAACTGTGATAAAACACCCTGTGCGTGCATCCTCATAATCCGTTATACTGCCATGCTATTGCAAGTACTCCATACATCATGATTGTTCCCATGAACACGGATCTCCGTGGGGATTCAGAAACTCCTCAAATGAAACATCGAAAGCGTTGAAGTTGATGTCCGACTCTGGCACTGGGCTAGCTGGTCGAATCGGTTCTTTGCTCTTTCCTTTCACCTTGTCCTGTACTGGCCGACCGTTGTGTTTCGCTGCGGAAGAAGCAGGATGGTTGGCTGAGGTCTGAGACATGGATGGTCGACGGCTTCCATAGCCCGAGTCAACAGATGAAGCATTCGAGTGGTTGGCTTTCAATCCCGAAGCTATGGCCGGATTCTGCGTCGATGGGGGCTCCATGCTAGACAGTCGCACCGGTTTAAACGCAGAGATACACCGTGTCGAACCTTCTGGCCTAGCATTCTCATCCAGATCGGTAACTGCTGAATCAATCGTTGGCTGAATATCAAAGTCAAAATCGGTGGAGATGGCCAGGCCTTGTTCATCTCCTTGCGTCCAGCTACCAGAATCTTTGTCATACTGATCATTTTCAGGGTCTGTAGCCGCACCGGCGGCAAATTTGGTGCCCATGGTTAAGTCGCTGAAGTTTTCGAAAGGTTGTTGTCCCAAGGCCTCGAACGAGTAGCTTTCCAGGCTCCGCTGAGGTACCCTTGCAGGCAATGGCCGGCTGAAACTGTGGCGATGACTTGGTAACAGAAAGCTATCGGAGCGCGGTCCGTTGGTAACTCCAGGACCGTTGATAGGCGAAGGTGGCACAGAGTTTGCCGGAGTCAGGGAGATGGAACTTGCTCGCGCGGCCTCTGACGGCACAGCCGAATCCGGCGATATCTCTAGGGAGGGATGGGTCATGGAAGGACTGCTGGCGTGTCTAAGCCGCTGAATGACATCAACCATGGACGCTCTGAGTTGTTGGCGGATAAAGTCACGTGCTGCTGGTGCTCGAAGCCAGGCTTGTTCTGCAGACTCAACTTGCTGATCCAAACGTGACTCGAAAACCTCGCCCAGCACATCCATGGCGTCTTGCTCCGGAACGCAAGGACTTTGCTCATCGTCTGCTTGATTCTTGACGTTTTCGGCATAAGGACTGGTAGGCTGTGGCTGACCAGGGAACAATGTACTATAAATGATATACCAGACTTGTTCGGCAGAGTGAGCTGGCCTCTTCCGGCGAATCTCGTTATACTGCGCATCGTCGAACTTTTCGGGGAATCGGCACTCCCCCACAGCACATGGCTGTGCTGCTCTGGAGTGTTTGTCGAGCAGCTCTCTTTTGTCAAATTGTTCATAGCACCTGACACAATGGAGTTTTCGCCAGTGCACCCGGTACAAATGCTGCTTCAGCCGAGATATGTCTGGCCAATAGCCGCTGGCACAACCGCGATAATGCTTCTCATGGACGTTTCGCTCAGAGTACCTAGGTTTGTCAAATTTGCAATATGGACAAGCAAACAGCTTCTCAGGTGGCTGGGCGGCATCTAATTCTTGCTTGATCTTTTTCGGCGTGCCAGCTCCATTCTCTTCTTCGTCATCTTCAGATGGATCCTGTCCATGTCCAGCACGTGGCGAATGTTTATGCGGCGATCGCTGGCCCGCACCGATAGAGTTGGATGGGGAAACACCACTTTGACGGTCGCTTGCCTTTCGCTTGTTTGCATGGCTTCTTATGTGTTTGTCCTGTTCGCGACTGTCAGAAAACAACAGTTTCCATGAGGGCAAAAGGAACGCTCCGCCGGCACTTACCTGGAAGTCGTCCTCGAATTGAGCCCCGACCCCAACGTTGGTCTCCTTTTCCAATGCAGAGCGCAGTTGAAGGGTGAACCACTGTTGCTTGACGTCCAAAGCCGCCTGTTGTTCCCTCAAAGAAGCGTGCTGTTCTCTCACGGCAGCCTCCTGCTCACGTAGAGTAACTTCCTTCACACGCAGAGCCAAATCTTGCTCCAGTCGTCGAAGCTCAACGTCCTTGCTGTGGTCGACAGCCGAAACATGGTGGGTATGCCGTTCCTGTGCTCCAGTCGCTGGCTGGTGACGTGCGAGGACGCCGTTGTAAGCCCAAGGACTAATCGCCGACATTGTGCCTGGAAGCGAATGGTGGATCTGTCGATCAGCCTCCGACGAAGGCCCCGGGATGTGGAGACCCGACATGGCAGCAGTAGTGTACAGTTGTGCCTCTGAAGCGCTTCGCTCCCTACCCAGACTGGTCGACTCTTCTTTCCGTGGTGTCGGCATACGTGAGACACTCCTCACCTTGAGGGTTATCTCATGGCGACAGCTCCAGCCAGCTTGATCACAAGACGAGCACACTATACGATCGCCGTCCTCGCAGATGGAACAATGGTAGTAGACCTGGTCTAGGCGGATGGGAGTCTGGCAATGATCACACCGCATCGACCTAGAATTGGTCCGGGACGGCTTCGGCGCCATCTCGTCGTCCTTGGTAATCAACACATCTTCTTTCTCGTTTGACATGGGAGCGTTCTCCAACAAGACCGGAGGTTCGTTGTCTTGTGTACGAGTCGAATCCTGGAAGGGTGTGTATTGCGGCAGCTCGGCGGGAAGTTCTGCAATTCCGCCAGACTCCGAATCCTGTGTTGGATGGAGATACTCCTGGAAATCCTGTTTGGTGTCGAAGTCGATGACCCTTGGCGGCTCGTGTTTATCCTTCGTGACATGACGGGTAAGCCGGTCGAGGGGACGCTTCAGACTTAGTTTCTTCACTACCTGGGATGCAATGCTCCTTGTGCTTTTAGCGCGCACAGGCAGCTTCTGTCCTCGAGCAACGGCACTTTCCACGGCCTGGAATGCACGATGTAATTCTTCGGTTTCCTTTTGTGCTCTAAGCTGCTCCTTCTGCTGCTTTTTGAACGATTTTGTGAGTAGCTTTTGGTATCTCCTTTGCTCCTTGAATGTTTGCACCCGTAGTTGGGGTCGTGGTGGAGTTGGGTCCTGAGGCTCGTACTCGGCAGAGGGTTTCCAACCCAAGCCAACGCATGGCGGGCTGATTGCAGAAATAGGAGATCCTCTGTATAGGCTCAATGCAGCTGCGTCTGCTTCGCGTTCGCGGTGCAAGGTTGAGAGCGAGTTGAAGCTGTTGGATCTTTTCAATGGGTTAGGTAGAGGGTCAGACACGGTCTCATCGGTCAGGCTTGCTCGGTGAGGTAAAGTCCTGCTCTTTCGGAGGACTGCGCGATGAAGAGGAGCAACAGGTATGGGAGACAGGTATGACTGTTGTGAACGGAGGGCCTTCTGCTGTTGATCGGCCAGTTGGAGTTGTGCCCTGATGTCTTCGGCTGATTGATCATGGATGCTGATCCTCGCTCGGATGTCAGGGTGGGTGTTGCGGGGACCAAGTGCAGCCATTGTGGTTGATGCCCGTAGCAATGGGTGTGGTTCTACAATCAATGGTAGTGGCAAAAAAGCATCTCAGACGTGACGATCTGAAGGCGAAACCGATTGAAGGGTTGTGGTCATTATTGAGGCAGCAAATGCTGCTGTGACGAGTGAAGGTGAGGCATCCTTTTTGATCAGCTTGTGAGAAAGGCACGCAGCACGCAACTGTTCAATGCAAGTCCAAACCCCCGGGGATATGACAGCAGCATGCAGCATGACTTGATGGGGGGGCGCACTCTAGGCTCCTTAAGGCTTTCTAGATGACTCCTCATTTGCTCCCCAACACCGATAGACATGCAGGTGGCCGCACAGATGACTTGCAAAAGATACAGGCATGTACCACAGTACAGGGCAAAGCCACAGATTATGGCGGATAGCCACAGATTGCAGCCACAACCTCCCGGCGAGTCTGCCTTGTCCTATGCCGGATCGATGCTAGCACAGATGTTTCCTCAATGAACTGACGTGCTTTTGCGCAACGAGACAATTAAATCAGCCCCAACAATTGTGGTCCTTGTTAAGGCCTCCAAGAGGTCTGTCTTTGTCCCCGAGTCCCCAACACCAAAGGTGGCTTGTTAAGGCTCCCTCCGTCAAGACATTATCCTTCACCCACGATGGAAGTCGCCGCCAAGCGCTTCTTCTCATCTCCCCATTTCGCCGTGGTGGGCGCCAGTCAAGATGCCAGCAAGTTTGGCTACCGGAGTGAGTAATATCCGTTTGTCCTTCTCGCAAGGTTCAGCATGGAGTAGCTGAACGGATTCCAGTACTAGCATGGTACCACACCCATGCACTGGCCGTTACACCCATCAATCCCGGTCGACCGTCCGTATCAGTGCCATCAAAGATCTATGAGGCAGTGCCAACCGTTTCGGCTCTTCCTGATCCGAAGCATACAGCTCTGTCATTCTTGACGCCTCCTTCGGTGACGCGAAAAGTCCTAGAAGAGGCCAAATCCGTGGGCATCCCTGCGGTCTGGCTGCAACCAGGGAGCTTCGAGCCTCGAGACCTGGAATACGCCAAGCAGAACTTCGAGTCAGCTGTTGGTGGGTACGAGTCTGGTACCGTAGGTGGAGAAGGTTGGTGCGTGCTAGTTGACGGTGAAGACTCACTACGAGCTGCTGGCAGGAAAATTGTCAGGCAGAAGCTATGAGTGGGTAATTGAGACCAGCTATCTTATCCAGTGTATGACCAGGCTATAGAAGAGCTCGACAGCTGTCATCAGGTACTTCGATATCACACTATTCCGACACGCTCTTCCTGTGTCCAAATCTCATGTTCGCAAGAGCATCGCCCTCTTCTACAGTAGCCTCACCACCTTCGACCCTTGCATTGCTCAACTCAGCTTCAGTAATCGTCTTGATTGGACCCTTAAACCAGTACATTGCGCCCCATTTGGGAAAGAACCAACCTCCCAAGCTGACGATGGTGATGATGCCGATGCAGATCGGTGCATAATTGAGAGTCTCCGAGGTCACCGGATACAGCTGTGGAAGGAGCAGCACGATGAAGAGAAACATGATGTACAATGAGGCGATCGTTGCCAGAGGTGCCGAGAATTTTCCCAAATTCCACTTTGCAGGGACAAACGTCTTCCGACCGATGGTCTGCCTGGCGATGATGGGGAAAAGGTAAGAGAAGTTGGTCGAGATCGTTGCGGTGGCAGTGATGGCGGAGAACGCCACGGTCGACCCGATTACTGCTGTCGTGACTGCGATCGAGACGCCGCACACCAGCAGGGCAGCATTGACCGGCATCTTGCGTTTGGAGAGTTTGCGGAAGAAAGAGCTGAAGGGCAAGACATGGTCGCGCGAGATCGCGTAGGTGACTCGCTGTGCGGACATGAAACATGATGCAGTGGCACACGTACTGTCGACCCACAGCAGGGAAAGGATAGCAACAGCACCGTTCTCGCCGATCAACTGGACCAGGTACTCGGCCCAGTTATTGGAATATGTGGCCGAGACAATGCCGTCAAAGTCCTGCATGCAGAACAGGACGATGATGAGCGTTGGGATGGACAGGAGCCACGCCGAAAACGTCGACATGTATATGCCCTTCGCAACCACAGTCGAGGCTTGTTTCGTTTCTTCGGCAAGATGGGCACTCGCGTCGTATCCGTAAAACACCCAGGCACCGAAGAGAACCGAAATGACCCAGCAGTATGCATCGGACGCTTGTTTCTCCTCGCCCAGGTTGATTCCGTTGTAGAACAGGTCGAATGCACCAGAAGTGGTGTTGAAGTGTTTCTTCGAGGCCGCGACTGGGAACCAGATCCAATATATCAAGAAAAGGGAGAAAAAGATGGTGACCGCAAATCGGAAATACCATTGCAGGATCTTCGGGCTGTAGATGTTGGGGATCATGGCGAAGATCATTCCGATCGAGGTCAAGAGCCAGCTGAACCAACCCTTGTACAGCACTGTTGAGTTGGGATATTTGATCTCCAAAGCAGCCAAGAGGAAATTCGTCGAGCCTTGCTGGACACCCGGGACAACGGTGACCCAGCCAGCCCAGTTCCACCAGGCGGTCATCCATGACAGAAATGGGCCATATTTCTCTCCTCCCAAGCGGTAGCTCCAGAAGTAGATGCCGCCAGTGGTGGGTAGAGCAGCTCCAAGCTCAGCCATCACCAGACTGACTATGCAAGACAAGCCGCCGACCATTGTCCAGTTGGCAAAGGCAGCCTTGGGTCCGCCGGTATACATGCTAGACACATTGTTAGCACTGAAGTCCAACTCCGGAAAACAAAGGTTGGAGCTGGAGGGTTCATGTAGTCGTGGGACGACAGCAATGAGGTTGTGTAGCGCCAAAACAGATTACTCACACCCAACCAAAGAGCACTGGGATACCACTGATGAAGTTCATACTGGTAAATGTCGCCGCCCAACTTTCGAAGAACCCCAGACTGCGTAGGAACTCCTGCTTGTACCCCAGTGTGGCCAGGTGGTACTCGTCATGTGTAAGGACGAGGCCAGAATCCGTGGTAGTGCCATTCTTGACAGACACAGCGTCAGAAGGAGTCGGTGACTGCTTCAAATTCGTCTGGGACGGGCCCTTTTCAACTGTGGAAGCCATGTCTATGGTACAGAATGCGAAGGTTAGACAATGCAGGAGAATTCCAGCATCTTGAAGCGCCAGTCTCGGCTAAAGCCTTGGTTTTGTAAGCCCAAGTGGCCCTTGCCATCTCGGACTTGTGCACCAGCAAGTATCTCGCTGGCGTCTGATACGTGATGCAGGGGGCTGAACAGGTACATGGTCGTTATCATGGGGGAATAAAGAGCGTCTGGTTAGTGGTCAGCCGCTATACCAGGTTAGGTGCGAGTTTGCGGAGTAACAGGCTCTCCGTGAAGGCTAAGTACCCAGCGAGTGTACTTTGTCGTGAGTTACTGGCTGATAAGCTAGCAGGACCTTATCTTGCTTTGATAAGTTGATCAGCAAGCCTTCTAGACCGGCGTTGGCACATGGTACCGTTAGACTTTCTGCCTGTACACAAGAGGAAAGTTGACGAGAAGAAAGACTTGGCTGATAAGCAGGAATTGGTTATGCTGGTCATTGGACCGTGCTAATATTCGATCCTCGGGGAGGCGTCCAAGAGATTTTTGCAGGCACTGGCTGAGTTGACCTGCCTAAGACTACGCAGCTTCTCGGTTTGGTGGCAGGGGGTGCGCCACGTGGGCAGTGAACCGAGATGAAGCCGTAACTCCAGCCGTGCAAGGTGGGACACAGTACCTTGCTAGGCAGTGGAATGCAAGTAGCGAACAATAATTCAGGTCGAACGAGAGAGGTAATTTATAGAGAAAGGACCAGGATTTTGACAAGTAAAAGACTGGCTTTTGCCGGGGTATACTTCACGCACTACTTTTGTACTGAGTACATAGAACACATATCTGATAGGTACATATCGAAATCTGACTCAAAACTCCAGTCTCATCATACTTTACACACCGTTTACCTTCCCGTCTTCTTCCTCTCAAGATATCTGAGTGGTGGGTAGACAAGAAGAGTGATAGCACCAGACAGATAGATACCAACATCACCGCCATAAGGTCCAAAGTAGCGAGCGATAGGTCCGACATACTGAGCAAAGCGTTAGTATAATATTCCACAAGATCATGCAGGCTTGCAAAACTCACCCAAACTTGAGCCATACCAGTGACACCACCAGCGAGATAACCTGCAAGCAGCGCCAGGACGGCTGCTATGCCTAAGGGCAGCTTTGAGGGCTGGTCCCATGCCTCAAGATTATATCCCTCCCCTGATCGTTTGCGGAACCACTGATCTTCAATCAGAAGGATCAGAGTAAATGAGATCGTCCAGTAACCGAGCAAGGACACGAAATCCGAGACAATGGCCGAGAGATGGTCTTTCCCAGCAATGGCAAGGACGGCGACCACCAGGGCAACCAAGAAGGACCAGATAAAGCGGGGAACAGCGTGGAACCAGTGACCAAGGAGCTGCAGCGAAAGACCGGAGGAATAGTTGATGGCGATGTTGTTACCCAAGACGCTGAAGGTGAGAATAACAAGGCAGAATTTGGCCCAGCCGCTGGGATGGTAGATCTCTCTGAGCAGACCACCAAGACCGTGGTCTTCATAAGCGTCTGCGTAGGGTGGGTAAGCATTCAGCAAGGCAGCATTGCCAATGCAGGCGCCAATGACGGTGACAAAGGTCGTGGGTATCATGATACCCCATAGAGTCATGAAGAAGACCTTCCAGGTCTTTGTGTTGGCAGGATAGTTGCAATAGTAGTCAGCAGCGATACTGCACCAGCCCGAGGAGCTAGAGAAGCAGACGGCCATGAAACTGAGCCACCCGCCAGCCTGGCCGAGTTCCCTCAGGGAGCCATATCCAGGTGCTGAAGGTCCAACATGAGGTGCCGCTTGACCAATCAAGACGCAGAGGAGGATGGCGCCGACAATCCAGCTGTACTTTTCAAAGGTATGGATCATCGCAAAGCCAAACACAGAGACAACATAAGAGACGACGGCCACAATAACGCAACCGACAGCGATCGTCATGGTATAATCCGAAACGGCAGACAGCATTTGTCCTGTAATGACCACATTGACGACAGCGAAACCGCCACCAACAATGACATTGAGAACACTGCAGAGCTTGGCGCCCCAGAAACCGAAAGAGTATCGTGAAGTCGCAATTTGTCGCAAGCCAGTCTTTGGACCTAGGGTGCCGGTGTACGCCGTGCAAAGTGCACCGAGGAAGGTACCGACAACGATGGCAGAGACACTTTGATTCAAGTTCAATCCGAACTCGGGACCGAGAACTCCCAAGGGGAGAGTGCCGACGTGGCAGGTCATGGAAAACCACATGAAGAAGGTGTTCCACAGAGAGGGAGGGCGCTTCATCTCTTCAGGGATTCGATCGATACCCTGGGTCTCGATGCCCATCTTTTGATCCAGCCACAACTCGCCTTTGCTCAAGAAGCGAAGCGGCGCGATGGAGTTCTGGATATTGCGAGCTTGGGCGATTTCGTAGGCGGGTGTGACGCTGCCACGGTGAAACTCGGCGTCATTGGAAGTCTCGTGGTCGTAGCCAGGTTGTTTTTCGACATCGACGACATCCTTGGTGGTGGGCGATGCGCCTGTGGTTTGGTGATGGGCGGTAGCCATTCTTAATGGCTATGGCTACTCTTGTGCTGCGTCGAGAGTACCAGTGTAACTGCTTGCAGGTCGAACACAGTTGCGCTTCAAAGGAAGAAAACAAAGCATTGGGAAACGCAGGGGTCACGGTGAGTTTAAGTAATTTGCCTTGTGAGATAACAAGGCTCGCTAGTCGCCTGGCGCATAGCAACTTTCACCTACGACCTTGCGACGTCAAAAGCCATAGCACCCCTTGGATAAGGGTGTGCACGCTCTCGCCGAGGTCGAGGAACGCTTGATGCGACCCTGCGACTCCACGTACGAGCTTGTCAAGAGGATCAACACGCATGCTAGCGAGTGAGAAACGCGGAGGCAGCCGACAGTGTTTCTTCTGGAGGGGCCAACGTAGGAATCTGTAGCGAGCAATGATAAGGGCGGTCCAGTCAAAAGGCCCGAATTGCATCGGCGGACGCCACATCTTCGATGGGGCCATATCGCGGATGACATCCTGCCTTTGGATAGAGACCGATGACGGAGTCAACACCATGAGATATGCCAACGAGAAGATGCGATTGGCGTCGCTAGTTCAAGTCCGGAAGTGCTTGCCAAGTGTGCCTGTCTCATGGGCTTCTGGAAGCTGGTTCGATGGACAACCAAACCATCTTTGTTAGGGCGGGACGAATGCCACAGTATAGCCTGAAGCAAGACGAAAAAGAAAATCCATGGCCCGTGTGCCCTCATCGAGAAGACAATCTTTATCAAGCAACCTTGGCGATGAGGTCAAGCATCCATAAGACATTGCCCCTATCACTTGGCTTGCAACTGATCAGCCTCCTTGACCAAGTTGACATCAACTTCTTTGCTCGCGAATCGATGAATGACCGTCTTCAGGTGGATGACAGGAAGAATCCTTTCATGCAATCTAGGGGCAATCTTACCTCTCCGTAATACCAGTGCTCCGGGGTGCTGCACCTAAGATGTCCGGGTCTGGATCCTACTCCCGGGCAGGGAGTGAGTCTGCAGGAAGTCTGTGTTCGGCGGACCCCGAAATCAGCCCCAGAACAAGGCCAACTAGTCCGTGGCGAATGGCCTAGACAGGTTGTCCTTCTAGCCTTATCTCTGCATTAGGAAGTCCGTTAACAACCAATTCATGTCCATCTTGGTCCTTATCATCGCTCATCATCCACTCCTATTGGACGACAATCGACTGCCTCGATACTTGACATCTCGATTATCTTCCAGATCACATTTGCTTCATTTGATGCTTGAAGGGGCTGCGAATTTGTTCTGCGCAATATTGGGATTGTACATTTCGTGTACATCGACGCAGGTACTCGGCGGAGCCCGATCTGCGAACGAGGACGCCATGGACATACCAATTATTGATTTTGAGAAGAGCTCGTCCTCTCCCAAAAACGTGGCAGAGGATCTCTTGAAGGCGTGCGCCGATTGGGGTGAGTTTATTTCATCGCAGTCAGGTGCATGTGCTGAGAGATGTACCCCAGGCTTCTTTTATGTCAAGAATCATCCGATACCACAAGAGGCTGTTGATGGCATGTTTGACCTGGTAAGTCTTGCGATTGATATTGTGGTGACTGTTGTGTCGTATCTCGCCGGCTCTGTTCTGACTAAAGCGTGTTGCTGTGCAATGTCATGTCGAGCTATCACCGTTTCGTCCTCCCAAAGCATCGCCGGTATCGATCGGAAGACGAGGCTGTGATACATCAGTGGCCCGCTTGATATCGAGGCTACTTCCATGCCGCCAGACGCGACCTGAACCATCACAGTCGCCCAGACAAGTCCGTTTGCGACGGATCCACATCCAAGCGGAATCCTTCTGACCCTCAGCCTCGTCCTTTTCACAACGATGCCCTGTTCACACACTAACACTTATTCGCCAACAGGAGAAGTCATTCTTCGCCCAAGATAACTCAACAAAGCTAGAAGCGCCCTACATCCCGTCCAAAAACGCCGGCTTCAAGCCCGCCAGTTCCAATGGGTAAAGACCTCGCCTGTTTCCACCCCCTTGACTCAACCTAACCCTAACCACACGACCAACGCAGAGCATACGGCAAAAAGACCGACCCGCGCGAGGCTTTCAGCATCAACAAATGGCCCACTGAATCTCACGCCTCGAAAGCCCCCCTTCCACCGATCCTAGACCAAGCACGTCCCCAGATCCGATCCTTTCAAAAACACGTCCAATCCTTCACAAGCCGACTCCTCGAACTCATCGCCCTCGCCCTTGACCTGCCCAGCACCCAGTTCACCTCCCAACATGATGCGTCCGCCGAAAACTTCGACAACTTCGAGCTAATGCACTACCCGCCCGTCGCCCTCACAGAGAAGGAAGCATCACAGGCCATCAAATTCCGCATCTCACCACACACCGACTGGGGCACACTAACCCTCCTCTTCCAACAGTCAATAGGCGGCCTAGAAGTTCGGCCTCCATCCTACACTTCACCCTCCCTCGACTTGGAGCACGAAACTTGGACGCCTGCACCCGTCTACGATGACATGGTCCTGATCAACATCGGGGATATGCTCGAGTTCTGGACGGCCGGACGCCTGAAGTCGACGTGGCATCGTGTTGTACCGACAGCACTGCATGGCGGCGTGGACCGGTATACGTTCGCGTACTTTCGTCATCCGAATAAAGATGCGGTGCTGGTCCCGATCGAGGCGATGAAACGGGACGGGTGGGTGCCAAGGTATGCTGGTATTGGGAGGACGGCGGAGCAGCATATTCATGCTAGGATACACGGGCAATATGGACTTGTCAAGGACGACGAGAAGAAGCCTGAAGGTGTAGTCAGTGTCGCTGTGGGGGAGGTAGCGGCACAGGCATAGAATTGGTTAAACTCATTTTGTGATGATGAAAAGAGATGAATAGAAGGTTATTCGAATTGAATGTACGATGTCATAATGTACAAGGCAAAAGCATGCTATCAGGTTAAAAGTATACCCTTCTCGACTGCGGTGCTCCCCTCCATACCTAAGACATCGCTCAGACGCTGGACGCCGAACGTCAGATATCTCGACGATCATCACCTTCGTGTATACACGCCGACTATCCGTGCTCCCGTATATACATGTATACTGCTGCTTAGATGTACAGTAGTCGAGGAACAATTGGTCATTCAGCGGATGGCCAAACAATCTGCTCAGAGTCTCGAAGTCGGCTGCGATGGTGGAACTGGGGGGATGACGGAGTCGGTAGGACGGATTGTCACTTTGTAAGGGAAACTCGTGCCGTGCATACAGTGACGAAGCAAGGAAGGCTGCTTTGTCCATAGGTCTTTAGCAAGAGATGACTGCTGTGGAGTGCTGCAGCTTCAGCCTCGAATTTTCCGTAGTGTTGCGGAGACTTGACCGAGGTGGATATGAGGTCTCTTCGATGTTATACGTCGACAGAAGGAGCCGTCGTGCTCTGACACCGTTGCCGTTGCGGCTCCTTGGAATAGTTCGAGTTGTTTGGCTTGCCAGGCTGACCATCGGTCCTGTTGGACCTGCATTTGCTTCGTTATGTGCCCGTGCAGCTCGCCGCTTGAGGCGTCACTGGAAGTGCTTGCGGTGGAAGAGGGGCTTCTGCTGTAGAAAGGTTTTTGGGCTGAGTTATCAGAAGACATTTTGTGAGGAATAAATTGAAGTGGAGGGGTTTATGGATATCGGTACAATGGCCATTGCTTGTACTTTTGAGGGCCGGTGGTTGCTTTGAAGAATTCCTTCATACTTAGGTTGAGGACAAGCACAGCTCTTTGTCATTGCAAATCAGGAGATGTATGCGACTCGTAATGGACTGGAATCAAGCATGCAGATGTAACAGTTAGCCGAGCAAACTCTCGCAACAACGATTGTAACAATGGACTGTGCTGAGTGCGAGCCCCAATCGAGACCCAAATGCAAGTAACCATTGTAACAAAGTCAGGCTAAATGTTTTAATATCTGCATGCAGGGAACAAACCATGAGCCATTGTCGCGCGTGGAGCGGCAGTTGCCCTTAGGGCCTGATACGAGAAATTCCGCTCACGGTTCAGGTATTGATAAAGCAGGATATAGTTGGCTCGCCAATTGACCCTGGTATGGCCGACCATGTCATGAGCCTGCGTGTATTTGGTAATCCCTGAGTACGGCTGACGAAGTCCGAGAAGTCTCCTTGATAGAGGTTCGACAGCGGATCTCCTGACAGTATTCAACGTCGGGAACAATTCCGGAAGTGATGAGGGAATTCTAGCCCCCTGTAAAGTAGGTCATTTGCGATCCACGTCAAGAGCAAACGGCAAACAACAGCGAGAATGAAATAGATGGACTGCCAGCATGATGCAAGATGGCTCTGATGAATCAGGAGGTATCTTCTGCCAGATGTTTGCATTCCGCTCTCGTAGCACTGGCGGTCGTCAATTAGGCAGCATTGTAAGGCGGACCTGGACTGGTAGTCGAAGATGGATTTCCTGTATCAATTGATGCCCAAGAAAGAGCAGAAGATTCTTCGCATATGCTTCGCCATAGCAAACACGATCTTCATGCTGGGAACGAAGAAGTCTGGAGATCGTTCTCACTGATCAGCAGCCATGAAGATGAAGAAGCCGGATCAGTTATCTGGCGGTGTGTTGGCTGGGCGACCACGAACCGTCTAACAGGTCTAACAGGGGCCCTGCAGGGCGTGGAGCGAAGATGGAACTGTCAACAAGTGCACACGCCATCTGTTACTTCAGGAGAGCCTCACCTTTACCACATTGCACCGCACTGCACGATATTTCGTTTCTCTGCATTTGAGAATATTGTCTGAATCACGAATAACCGGAAAAGACGCCTTGGGTAAAGACTTGAATCCAAGATGGTGAGTTCTCTGTTTTTATTCGCCCAATGAACTTCCCGTTCCGAAGGCACCAGAAAAGGCTCAAAGGCTGCTCCCGACACCATTTTACTGTAATGGGCGCAACCAATGCTCATCTTTGACAAACACAACAACCGCGATCTTACCCGAAGAACAACAACAAAAGCCTACACCATTTTTCGCCTGACTGCCATCCCTTCCTACCTCGATTATCCCTTCGACTTTACACGTTTTCATCATGGCTAATCATCAATCCGCTTCGCAGACTTCAACAAACTACAAAGAAGCCTTCTCCCTGTACGACAAGCGAGGCAATGGTCGCGTCACACTCGAGTCGCTTGGTGATCTCCTTCGAGCATGTGGACAGAACCCAACCCTGGCCGAGATAAGAGACCTGGAAAAACAAGTGGGAGGTGATTGTAAGGAATTCATGAGCACTTGAAGAGATAGGATGGAGGTTAATATGTTGACAGTCGATTTCGAATCATTCAGCAAAGTCCTCAACAGACCCGGTGGTTTCAGAGATCCTGGCGAACCCGAAGAATACTGCCGCGGCTTTCAAGTATTCGACAAAGACATGTCAGGCTTCATCGGAGTCGGACAACTCAGATATATCCTTACGAACTTGGGCGAGAAGATGAGCGATGATGAGGTGGATGAACTGTTGAAGGCGGTTGACACCAGCAGCGGAGAGATCAACTACATGGATTTGGTCCGGACGATTCTTGCCAATTGAGAGAGTGGTCTTCCCGCAAATGAAGAGTTTGGCGCATCCTGATTATGAGTGTATGGGTATGGTCTACAGCATGGAAGCAATGCATGTTGATTGTTCAGCGTTGGCTTTGGCGCGACATGGTCTCTTGAGTCGCATTTTTCGGGCAGGCAAGCACGATTCACAGTGCAAGTATGCCGGCGTGTCGGGCTCATGTATATCTTCGAACGCAGATAGAAATTCTGCCTAAGTGACCTCGCTGGAGAAGTCGTGCGATGTTTCCGCCTCAGTGACCACTTTGTGACCACGAGGGAATGTCTGGCTTGATTCCTTTTGCCATGTCTGATGTCGTGACCATCCCGCCAGGAAGCAAATAAATTGGACGCGACTGCCCGGGTAGATTTTCAAAATGCGCCTCGTCCAGATTGTATCCCAGGACCAATCTGCATCTCCCACATCTCAACAGCGTCCTTTTCTCGAAGCCATCATCGCGTTGGAGGATAACAGGCTTGCGTTCTGTGCTAACATTCAGGAGGACAGATGGGACAGTTTGAGGCTCTTGTATCGAAAAGTCGTCACTTCTGTGTGTTTCGAAAGGTGGAGGGAGGATCAACGCAGTGTCTCGAAGAGGTGATGACCGTTGAGGTAGGCTTTGTAGGACGTGAACAGTGGTAAGGACTAGGGTATTGCATAAGCAATGGTACGAGTTGACTTGAGACGTTATCGAGCCCTGTTCAGCCATGGATTGGATTGGGAGGATTTCTCGCTCCTATGGATGGAAAGTCCTCTGTGACCTGCTAGAGACCACAAAAGATTTTCAGGCACGCGCAGGCCCTTGTCAAATCGTCCCCCGCAGTCCCTAAAACTTGGGCGGCTCTTAAGCGGGTCCATGCCTGAGTCACAAGTACTGTACTTTTCTGTAAGCGACGTCACCACTTCTCGCCTTCGGCATCCCTGCATATCTGACATTGTCGAGGAATCGCTTCAACATCGCGCGACGAAATTGCGACCTGGATGCCCCCAGGCAGAGTGGACTTTGGTATCTCTCAAGGCCATCCCTCCTTGCAGAGGTGCCATCCATCATCAATGCCTCGTAAGGCCGCTCACAATGCCCCCATTCATTCCTCGAAAGCGGCCTTCCGCATCGCCTCCGGCATCTTTCAAACCTATCAAGAGAGCAAGACTAGCAGATGTTCTGGATGCCGAGTCTCGTAACATACCTGGCCTCAAAAAGTCGAAAACCTTCTCGCTTGGAAGTGACGACTCTGATTCAAGTCTAAGCGACATTGACAGCGACGAATTCGAGGAGGTCTCTGCCCCTGTCAAGCAGCCTCAACTTCCCGCCGATGATGATGAAGAAGAGGAGGAGGATGAAGACATAGAGTGGGAGGACACTCATAAGCCCGAGGAGCCTCGCGAGTTCCGGCCTTTGCCTGAGGGCGGAGTACAGTTAGTGTTTCGCAAAGATGACAATGAGATTGACTACGGAACAGCCGCCGCTGCGACTGCGGGCAAGAAAGGTCCGACCAAGCGCGAGAAGGAAACTAGACTGAGGGCTCATCAGATGCATGTTCAATTGCTCCTCTGGCACAACTCTATACGGAACAGATGGATTTCAGACAATACGGTGCAGAAGACACTTGTCGAACAACTACCGCCACAAATCAGGAAGGAGGTCGAGAAATGGAAACGAGCCAGCGGGCTCATCGATCCAGAGATTGAGGCAAAGAAGAAGACCCCGAAGAGCAAAGGGCGGAAGGCGAAAACAAAATCCGCAGATCCACGTCAAGAAAGAGATTGGGGGAGACCGAGCCAACGTCTCGAAAAGGGCAAAGCTGACATGAGTAATGGCGATCCGCTGATCTCTTTGCTGAAAGTCCTGGCTGCGTACTGGAAGAAGAGGTTTGCGATTACAGCTCCAGGTCTACGGAAACGTGGATATGGCACCAAACAAGCATTGCGGCAAACAATCTACTCGTTCAGGAATGACGAGCATGATCAAGAAGAACATGGCGAACGCATCCGCAATCTTCAGGAGTTCCGTGACACGGCCAAAATTTGCGAAGGGTCGAGAGACGTAGGAGCTCAGCTTTTCACTGCTCTGCTGAGAGGCCTTGGGATCGAATCGAGGCTGGTAGCGAGTTTGCAGCCGACTGGTTTCGGCTGGACGAAGGCAGAGCAGCAACTCCCACGGAAGCCTGCCAAGGCTGTACAGGTTGACACTTCGTCCGAAGAGTCAGACGTCGAAGAGTCGATATCCATTTCCGAGATTACACAAACAAAAAAGCGACCCGGGCGACAAGCCGCGAGTGCGTCGGGCACTCGACGCGGTCCGTCGAAGACCACGATCGATCTGAGCTCTGAAGCGGAGGAAAGCCAGGTCGAAGCGGACGCCGAAGAAGATCAATCTGTTGTGGATGTTACACCCTCCATGCCGAAGGAGCGTCCATCAAAGTACGACCGAGACAATTTCTTTCCCATCTACTGGACCGAGGCCATATCACCAATCACAAACAAAGTGCTGCCCGTCTCACCCCTGGTGCTGACCTCTGCAGTAGCCTCCACACCCGAAATTTTGGCTACCTTTGAGCCTCGTGGAGCCAAAGCAGAGAAGGCGAAGACGGTCATGTCATATGTGATCGCCTACTCTTTTGATGGCACAGCAAAGGATGTCACGGTCAGATATTTGAGGAAGAGAATATGGCCGGGTAAGACGAAAGGGTTTCGAATTCCTGCCGAGAAGATTGCCATCTACAACAAACATGGCAAAGTGAAAAGATACGAAGACTATGATTGGTTCAAACGCGCTATGAGTGGCTATGAACGCCCTCATCGCTTGAGGACTGCTGTCGACGATGTTGAGGATGCCTCCGATCTTGTACCACAACTACCTGAGAAAAAGGAGGTTAAGGAGGATGTCGACACTCTTCAGAGCCTGAAGGCTTCTGCTGACTTCGTGCTTGAACGCTTCCTAAGGAGGGAAGAGGCACTTAGACCAGGCGCAAAGCCGGATCGCATGTTCGTTTCAGGCAAGGCCGATAACCTGAAAGAGGAACCTGTCTATCTGCGTAGTGACGTGGAAAGATGTCTGACGGCAGAGTCGTGGCACAAGGAAGGTCGAAGACCAAAAGCAGGCGAGACTCCATTGAAGCTTGTGCCTGTTCGCGCAGTGACGTTGACGAGAAAGCGAGAAGCGGAGGAGCACGAAAGAATGACCGGTGAAAAGCAGATGCAAGGCCTGTATTCTTGCGATCAGACTGAGTACATCATTCCTCCGCCAATCAAGGATGGCATTATCCCAAAGAATGCCTACGGTAACATTGATTGTTTCGTACCAAGTATGGTACCGAGAGGTGCTGTTCACATACCATTGAAAGCCACTGTAAGAATATGCAAGAAGCTTGACATCGACTTTGCAGAAGCTGTTACTGGATTTGAGTTCGGCAACAAGAGGGCTGTGCCGGTTTGTACAGGTGTTGTTGTGGCCAAGGAGAACGAGAAAGCTGTGAGGGAGGCATGGACCATCTACAACGAGGAGCAGAGAAGGAAGGAAGAAACGAAGATGGAGAAATTGGTTCTCGATCTCTGGCGAAAGTTTGTCATGGGCCTCCGAATTCGCGAACGTGTTCAGGATGCCTATGGAGACGTCATCGACCAGCACTCTACAGACGCTGCTGGAAACAGCAAGGACCAGCCGATCAACCTTGAAGACGATGTGGATACGCCTGGCGGAGCATTGCCGTTCGTCAACGATGATGACTTTGGAGGTGGTTTCATCGTGGACGACGAAGAGCCGGCAGTACCTGATCATCTCGAGCTGGTCCACCATGATGCATCGCAAGAGGCCAATACTTCGAAGGGGAAAGCTCGAGCAGTCGACGAGTACCCCACACCTGCATCGATCTCGCCTCCGAAAGGTGCTCGTCGGCAACAGCGGAAGTCACTTCTACAAGAAGCCGAAGGAAGTCCGAGTTCACCACTATCCTCTGCAGCCAGCGATGTCAACTCCACGATGTCCGGGCCTGAGGATGACGAAGATCATGGTCGTGGAGTATCTGAAGTTCAGCAAAGATCGAACGTTGAGGTTGTTGTTCCCAAGTCTCAAGGACGGCGTGCTAACAAGGCTGTGTCGGCACGCTCATCATCCATGGCTCCCAGTTTATCACCTGAGCTGGAGGACGAGGACGAAGATGACGAAGAGGATTACAAGCCGGTCAGAACACCAGTCCGCAAGGGCCGCGTGAACAAAAGCTCGAAGTCTACTCCACAGAAGAAACCCAGTGGCAGAGTGAGTAAGCCGAGATCCAGGGCGAAAGCGAAAACGAGCGCGAAGAGTGAGATGACTGATGAAGATGTTGTGACGCCAAAGTCAAAACGTTCGAGGCGTCGCTTGAGGAGGGATAGTACGTTGGTCTTGAGTCCGTATTTCGACGGTTGAGTCTTTCTGACACACCTGTACTGGTATTAAGACATGAGATATCGTGCCTACGGTAGTGCTGCATTGTATGATTATCATGCCAGACTCATGTGACAAGCTGGCCATCCTTCCTATTTTCGATTACTCAATTCTTCTATATTTCGTGTGGCCGTCTCGGCTGGCTATGCGACAGGGCTTTATATCATGAGGGGTGGTGTGCCTTGCACATTACTCGTGCCCTGCTCAGACCGCATCAAGTACTACGTCACTGATGGTTCAATCACTATCACCACCGCGCTCATCATCCATCTCATCACCATCCGTCTCTTCGCCGGCATCAAGGACTTCCTGTCCGGCGAAAACTAACCACTGTCCGCCCAGGACGCTTTTGCGCCAAAGCTTGGTCACGCCATCCGAGCCATTGCTCATCAGGACTTGGCCTTGGCCGTCAAAAGAGAGCGACCATGCATCTGTGTGGGCGTGGGGTAAGCTGCTCGTCGACTGTATCGTCGTGACAAAAGGGAATGCGTGGCCCGTACGGGCGGCTCGCGAGGGTGTGGATGGCGGTGGCTGTGCTGTCGTTGCAGCTGATGTATTCGTGCTTGTGTTTGTGTTTGTTCGACCAGTCAGACCGGACGTTAGGCTGGACTGTTGTTGCTGCTGTTGCTGTCGCTGCGGGACAGTATTTCTGGCTGTCGTCGCTCCGCCTGTACTGTCGGGGATGTTCGGCGCCGGTGCAACTGCAAGTTCAAAGATCCTTACGGCGCCGTCTTTACACGCCGTCGCTATACGGTCTGTGCCACGCACGCTGAACGGCGCCCACTGTACGTCTCGCACAAGTGCTGGATGGCGCGGGATCTTAGCGGCCTCGTAGAACATGAGGCGGTGGCTCGCGCCGTCGCTGGACATGTAGTCGCCGCCACCGACGACTGAACGGTAGATTTTGACCTCGTGGAGCACGGAGACCACGAGGCTTAGTTGGCTCCGGTCGTCGCTTAAGCTGTTGATGTACGCTAGCGGCGTCGGGTTTTGGTCGAAGCGAACTTTGAAGCTGGTTTCGTCGCCTCGGCCGGGAGGATTGGTGGAACCGCAGACGTTGAAGATGTCGATTAATGTCCAGTCTTTGAAGTCGTCGGGCGCGTTGGGTTCGTAGATGCTCAGCAGGCCTTGGCGGTCGATTAGGGCCAATGTCGTGTAGATGTTGTCAACGGTCTTGAGATCCATGGACACAAAGGGGATGCGGGGGGTGGATTGGATGGTGGCGATGCGCCGGAAGCGACGGCCTGTGTTGGGGGCTTGGGAGACGTCTTCGGTCCAGAGGTGGAATTTGAGGTCGTTGCCTATGCTGGCTATGTGGGAGCCTGTTGTTGGGTGGAGGAATTTCGCCTGCTGGGGTTAGAAAATTTCGCAGACGTAACTAGATAAGGCTGGCAGCGGCGGTGTGGAAGTATCAGGCTTACATCGCGTATGTCGGCGTCGTGAGCGGTGAAAGTGTCGAGTAATGTACGCTCGCCAGTCTTAGGGTCACGCTGCCAGACTTTTATTCGGTGGTCGATTGATGCTGTGAGGATTCTTGTGCCATTGAAGTTGGTGTGCAGGACAGTGACACGGTCATGATGGCCAGTCTCGAATTCCTCCGCCTTGCCCATACTGGAAGATCTTCTGGGGAGCTGGTGGTGAATGTGCTAGACTGAGGATTCACCTCGTCTTTCGAGGCTCGTGGGAGTCGGGTCCCGCCATGAAAAGAGGTTACCTAGGTATAAACTTATATCGAAGACCGAACTGAAGATAATTCGAGGGGAACGAGCAGTCTTTTCCCGTGCTTTAGAACGATTCTTGTAGAGACATTGATCGAAGAGGTTGGATTCGGTGGTTGATGATTGGTCGGATGTAAGAGGCTGTCTATGACTGTCGGATCATCGTTGTTCCGGTGCGGATATCAATTTGTTAAGGACAGCTTGTCGTCCACCAAATACTCGCCTCGCGGTCGGTCATGGCGCGCCATCATTGCACGTGGCGTCTTCATTATTTTCCATGAAGATGTTGTTCCAGCTACCAGTTCTGCCGTCCTTGTTTGCGCGTCTGCTTGTGTTTCCATGAAGTGGTGCTGGTACGGCTTCAAAACAACATTTTCCCTGATTCAATAAGGAGAGGCCAAGATGTCTGCCACTCTCAACCACACTGAGCGCTGGTCGCTGCTGCTGGTGACAGGATTTTCGCTCGCAGTCATCGCCAATACGTTTAAAGGAGATGGAGCGCCTCTTGTCGCGTCTCTGGCGTTTTCAACACTCGCCTTTGCCATGACCTACGCCTTCGTACGATGGTCCGGACCTGCTTTCGTCAAAGCTGGCCTCAAAGGCAAAGATATGAGTAAAGTGGCACCCAAAGAGATGTAAGCTTTTCCCTCCGATGGCAACGTTGAGGATGCTCATGTCATCTCAGTCCGGAAGGCATGGGAGCTGTTGCAGCGTCCGTTTACATCCTGGCCCTAATGGCTTTCATCCCATTCGCCTTCTACAAGGACATCGTCGCTGCCACATCAGGTGGCGGTAACCGAGATGTAGTCCTTACGGTGCATGAGATCGAAACAGGACGCTTCCTGCATCGCTTTCCTCACTCCAAGCTCTCTTCCTACCAATCCGCCCTCAACACCCTGCAAGCAACCACCATTCTGGGCATGGCCGACGACATTCTCGATCTCCGATGGCGACACAAGTTCTTTATTCCGGCTGTCGCCTCATTACCACTTCTGATCGTCTACTATGTCGATTTTGGCGTTACTTCTGTTGTGGTCCCCAACTTCCTAGTACCGTACATGCCAGGTCAAACCCAACTAATCAACCTTGGGTTCCTGTACTACATTTATATGTCAGCCCTTTCGATCTTTGCACCAAACTCGATCAATATCCTAGCGGGAGTCAACGGTCTCGAAGTGGGACAATCACTGGTTATTGCGGGATTATTGCTCCTCAATTCCTCACTTTACCTGGTCCCGTTTCCTGGAAACCCTGTCTTGACCAACGGTTACGTGGATCATCCACATCCAGCAACCGACTCTCATCTTTTGACACTATATGTCCTTTTGCCGTTCCTGGCTGTATCACTTGCGCTGTTCATGCACAACAAGTACCCGGCGAGAGTATTTGTCGGTGATACATATTGTTATGTGGCAGGAATGACCTTTGCAGTTGTATCTGTCACGGCGCATTTCAGCAAGACTCTGTTGCTTCTGCTCATTCCCCAGATTGTTAACTTCATCTACAGCACGCCACAGCTGTTCCACCTCGTCCCTTGTCCTCGGCATCGCCTTCCAAAGTTCAACGCGAGAACTGGTCTACTGGAACCTAGTGTCACGCCGTGGCCGCCGGAGAAACCAGCCAGCAAGATTCAAACCACCGTCTTCTTCACTTTGGAAAAGCTGCATCTGCTTCAGGTGACGGTGGACCCCAAGACCAACCGCATCTCGGCCACGTCCAATCTGACCATTATCAATCTGTGGTTAGTCTGGAGAGGTCCAATGCGGGAGGATCAGTTGACAAGGGAGCTGTTGATCATGCAGACGTTCTGCGGCCTGTTCGGCCTCTTTGTAAGACATACAATGGCTCTCTTCATTTTCAGCATGGACAATAGAGGCAAGGGTGGAAATCAATTCCCAGTATAGTACATAGAAATTTTATGTGTAGTGCTCGATTATATTCTGATGAGCATTGACTCAGAATGCCATAATGTCTTTCCCATCGAGGAGAGACCTAGGTACATTCTCAAGCAGAAAATAATGTCGGTGCATTACCTATATCGATCCTCAAGACTTGTTCACTTTGGTGGTGTTGTACCTACATCATTCTTGGCGGCTCCTGTCACCGTTGATATTCACCAGACAGCAACTACTTTCACTTCACACACCAAATTCCGATACCTGCTGGATAGGTAGGAAGCGCTGGCCCGTGGGCCTTCCAAAAGAAACCATCACAGTGACGTCTCATTATCATCATCTATCGGGTAGGCAGTTGCTTTTGAGTTGTTCGCCTCTAATGTCCAACGACCCTCACCTTTGACGTCCACAATAATGCATCTTTGATGATTGCAGGCAGGAGATTTTTGTTTATCACAGCGCATGTGAGATTTACCGTGTCAGCCCGTCTCATACCTCGCTTCAGCATGGATTCACGTCCCGTCAAACGTGTCAAGTTGGACTCGGATAGCAATACCTCGAATGGCCTCCCAGGGAACTCGGACGCTGCGTCCATCAGAGCGAAACGAACTGCCTTCCTGAATTCCATCTCACGATCAGTCTCGCCACCTGGAATTTCACGCTCAGGCACGAACACACCGACACCGAAGATCGACGCACTTCCAAGCCGACAAGACGAGGCGATAACTAGGGTGTCGCCAGCGCAGAATGATCAGAGCGAATCGGTGATAAGGGCTGGCAGAGCCCGACCGGAGTTGCCTACACAGTCCCATGACAGCACCAGTTCCAAGCCAGCATCTCGAGTCAAATGTATCCCTTCTCCGTTCAAGCTCACTTCCATCCGCGACTTACCTTCCTCGCAAAATAATGACACCGTCTCTTTACACGATATACTAGGCAATCCGCTGATCAAAGAGGCATGGATATTCAACTTCTGCTTCGACGTCGATTGGCTCATGACATTCTTCGACCCCGACGTGCGGTCTCAGGTCAAGGTCAAGGTTGTACATGGCTCATGGAAGAGGGACAGTGAGAACAGAATTGCGATCGAAAACGCTTGTACAAGATGGCCCAATGTCGAATCATTGACCGCTTACCTTCCCGATCCTTTCGGCACTCATCACAGTAAGATGTTCGTCCTGTTTACTCACGACGATTCGGCTCAAGTCGTCATTCATACGGCCAACATGTTACATCAAGACTGGACGAACATGACACAAGCAGCCTGGCAGTCTCCCTTCCTGCCTAAGCTCAAAGACAAATTGCAAACAAGCATTGGCAATATTGGATCTGGCTCCCGCTTCAAGTATGATCTTCTAGCATATCTAGAAGCGTACGGCTCGAAAACGAGAGCTGTGAGGGAGCAGCTGTCGGACTTCGACTTCACATCTGTACGGGGCGCGCTTGTCGCCTCGGTTCCGTCTCGCATGAATGACTTCTCAATCGCTAAAGGTGTTGATGAGCTGTCGAGTCAAAAGCTTTGGGGCTATCCGAGTCTCTTCCGCGCCCTGAAAGCCATAAGCGCTCAGCAAGCGGAACATCCTAAACGATCTCACGTCGTCTGCCAGGTGTCTTCCATCGCCACTCTGCCCATGACTTGGCTTGACCAATTTTTCCCGACATTGTCGCAGAAACCGAGCGCTCAAATGTGGAACAGCATCTCCATCATCTACCCTACTCCCAGCAACGTTGCGACCTCCCTCGATGGCTACTCCTCCGGCGGATCTATCCACACCAAGGCACAGAGCGCAGCGCATCTCAAGCAAGTGACCACTTTGCGAAGAACACTGTGTAAATGGACGCAAGGACCGAAAGAGGAATGCCGTGCGGGTCGGCATCAAGCAGCGCCGCATATCAAGACATACGTCAGCTTCGCTGAAAAACCGACTGCGAATCTACGTCCGGACGTCAATTGGGCACTGCTGACCAGTGCCAACCTGTCTACGCAAGCGTGGGGCACCTTGCGCGGAAAGGAAAAGGAGGTAGTCGTCCAGAGTTTCGAAATCGGCGTGCTCGTCTGGCCTGAACTATTCGCTGAGGACTTCGATACTAGTGAGCAAGAGGATAATAGCTCAAGGGATACGAAAAGTGGGGACAAAGTACGAATGGTGCCAGTCTTTGGCAGTGACACGCCACATGCCGTTGAGGACAGCAACCATACGAGCACGCTGGTTGGGCTGAGGCTGCCATATGACTTACCGTTGACACCGTACGCGAACGGCGATATGCCTTGGTCACCTCAAGGGACTTATGATACGCCAGATAGACATGGGCGACGTTGGGCGAGAGACTTTCGTGGCTGAGAGTGGCAATGTCTGTGCCGAGGCAAGTACAGCGACAGTCGAGCATGTTATAAGGAGGCATCGAGGAGAAAGTGAAATTGATAGCCTGTCGCAGCAGGGCATAGGAGGACGTGCCCGGACGAACGGCCAGCAATTGCCGAAGGCTTCAACATCATTCTCAGAGAATTACTGGGCGGCCTGGGCCTGAGAGCGTGTTGCAGTGGCAGCCACAAAGCATGACAGCATGGTGTATGATAAGTTCCTTTCATGAAGCATTTCGCTATGCTATTATAGGTTGGTATCTCGTGTACTAATCATTGGTTCCAGCGCATGTCAAAACCAGACTTCATTTCGAGGCGGATCGTATGGATTGGTTGTATAGTGCTCAGTTACCCCCAAGAGCCTCAGGCACCTTGTTCGCATCGTAGCCATATTTGCTCTTCAGGCTCCCGACAAGGTCGATGTACTTCTTCTCCGCGGCGGCCGGGGTCGTCTTGGAGTCGACCTCCTTTTGCCAGGCCTTGAATTTGGCTTTGCCCTGCGCGCGTGAGAGGTTAGTCACAGAGCTGAATTCATGCTTGGAGCTAGGCATACCTTCAGATCGAACATTCCTGGTTGAGTGGCTTTGGAAATGTCCTCGCCGTTTGCGACTTTGAAGAGGCCGTACATCTGGAGAAGAGAGCGTTAGCCATTGTTCCATCGACAATGCTCGAGACTGGGGTAGAACATGTAGCGTGACTGCTAAGGGAGCTGTGCATGCTTCGATTGACTCCGACGAACGCCCCTGGCGAGTCCCAGTTTTTGCGCAGAGATGCTGGGTTCACTGGCTTGTAGACTGAATGTATAGTCTGCCTTGTTCGGGCGGCTCGCATTGTCTTCATGTTTGTGCGTCCACACATTATTCAAACAGCCATGTTGCGAGATCCTTCGTCGGCCCGCGTCTTGATGTCTCCACGCACCAACTGAGATCATATGTTTCAACCGCGTCCCAATACCCCCAGCCAAAGAGCAATTCATCGAAGCAGGAGGCGCACAGAACAGGTCGAACTCACCTCGAGTAGTTCATCATTGCCCGGCTTGGTCTTGAGCTTGCGACTATCGTCGGCAGCCTTCTTGAATGCGGCGGAAGGCATCTTGATTTTTCGACCGTCTGTCGTTTCGAAGTGAAGGTCTTCGGGATCCGGTCTGGGTGAGTGCTTGTCTCGAACTTTTCTGGCCGCAAGAAGAGTCAACATCTGCTTGAAGAGTTTGGGGTGCAAGGGGGAGGCAGATTCAGGATTTCTGTTTCAATTGGCAAACACTTCTTGTCAAAGCCATGTGCACAGCACGACTCTTGAAAGGAATGTCCAACGAGCACACGGCCACACCCTCTCGAGGCGCCGTCAGCGCACCACTGGTGGTAAGTGACGCAGAGGCCTCGCAAGATCCCTGGAAAAGCAGAATCGGGGATGGATGGTAGGCTCACTCACCTCGTTCGTAAAATGTGGGAGACTGAGAGGCGTGTTCAAAAGTTCGCGAATGATACCAAGTATGGTTATGGCAGAACGGGGCAAATAACGCAGACGCAGGCAGCTTGGTTTCTCACCAAGGCTACCTATGAAGTCAACAAAAAGAGTGTCATCAGGGCAAATTCAACGAAAGACGTCACACCTGTGGCGCGGCAAAGTAACGTTAAGCCCGGAGTCCGCAGTGCAACCGAGGCTGAGGGGCATTGATTCTAGGGCTATGAGGGCCGTACAGTATATGGTTACTTCCACGAGTCTGCCACGTTGGAGAGCATTTTTGTATATTCAATCATGTCTTCGTAACATCCACATCTAGCCTGATAGAAAGGATTGGCGCCTGGGTATAACCCAACTTTGACATGATGCCCACCAATGTCGCCTGTATAGCCAATGTGAACCATTAGGGCAAGCCAGTACCGAGAGCCTTGCCTACGGCGCTGACCATGCAAAAGTTCAGGTCCTTTTTAACGTCGTTGCTCGCAAAAATGCTCATCATCGCTAGGTGTAGAAGGCGATCACCTGTATATCAGCTTACCAATCCACGGCCCAACCGTTCTTGTCCAGAAACTCTGAACAGGCGTTCTTCAATGCAACATTAGGAACCAACTGTTCCGACTTCAGAGGAAGCCTTGTCAGCGGATCACAAGCATGAACCTTGATGTGCTTGAGAAGACTTGTCCGTTCGAAAGAGACACCGGTAGGTGTAATGACTGGGTCGTGCATGACTTCGAACGTGATAGGATCAATCATCCAGTCCGGTACGACCTGGTACCATCTGTCAGTACAGCACGTGTGAGCCTGTGGCGCGCAAGCAACATACCCTCTCGACCGTGTCTGGTTCAGCAGAATGCTGAAAGGCCATTCGGATATTCCCTCGCCTTGTTTCCGCCTCGTCTGCCAGTCCTTGAATCTCCTCACGCCTTCCTGTCTCGCCGATCTCTTGTCTTTCGAATCGATCTTCGACGTCCTTCAGATCACGATCCAACTGCTGGTTCAGAAGATCCTCCACGAGTGCCAGTGTGTCGTTCAACTCTCTTAACCGTGAAGTCTCCTTCGCTTGCCATTGCGCTTGTTTCGCCTTTAGTATGAACTGGCCGATAAGTTCGGCGCTGGAGTCTTTGGTCTCAAGACACGTAGCATAGGCATGCTTTGCTTCGTCAAGAGCCTCACCCACGTGCCGTTGTGGAAGGAGTGCTTGTGCGAGGTAGTAGTGGGATTTCATGGCAGCTGCTCCGTTCTTGGGGCCATACAGTTCGATCGCCTTCCTGGCATCAGATTCGGCGCCTTGCCAATCCTGTAACTTCAGTCGTGTAAGGGCTCGGTTGGCGAAGACTTTCGGGTCGGATCGAGAGTGTTCAGCGATGCTGCATGGACATCAGTCAAGATGCGACATAAGTGAAGTCAGGACTGACGCTCTACTGTATAGCTCTTCGGCCTCTTTGTATTCGCCGGCTTTGAAGCGCTCATTGCCCTGCTCACGAAATGATAGGTTGGTCATATTGAGTTGGGGTATAGCCTGACTCAGGTGACGGCGAAAGAGTGATAATAGGTGCAGTAGGTATGAGTAGACACAAGCGTGAACAAGCAGGAATGAAAGGTGGAACGGATAGCCATGGCTATGGACAGTGGAACACGCTCGGCGCAAGAGTCTGTGATGAGGGTGAATAAGTCAGCTTCCGAAGGTGATGGACGCATTTGGACACTTTGGAAATCCGGCCGATCAAGCGGAGAACGACAACAAGGCGAAGAGGGGTGATGGGAGATGGAGTAATGGCACTGCCACATACCAAGGCAGAATCTTCAATCTTTGCATGGTTGATACTAACCGTAAACTACAAGTTGGAGCAGTGATTGTGGAAAGTGAATGGTTTTATCTGATTTGCTCTAATCTGGGTATTGGTGCTTTGCAGCAAAAGCGCCATGAGGCCGAGACTCAAAAAACGGTCAGAAAGATAGCAATCTATCCCATAACCCGCGAGCCAGTCCATCCTGCATGCTTTCCGAACGCCAAAAGCACATATATACAGTCGCTAAGCAGACAAGTTCTCATCAATTCAAAGTTTCATGGCCGACATCTCAATTGTACAACTTTAAGCAGCTCCAGCTGTCAAAGTATTCTGAATCACCTTGGTAGGTTGGTGTCCAGCTCGGACAACACGCTCTCCGCCGCTGTCTCTGGCGATCTCACCCTTCGCTTCCATTTGTGCTCGCTTCCAGATCTCGACTTCGCAACCTCCACGGATGACACCGACTCTCATGGTAGAGAGCAAGTTGTGGGCAGCGTTGCTGTGCATATAGATCCCGCCGTTGAACATGGCAGTGGCGTCCTTGCCGATACCAGAGTTGATCATAGCTTTGCCACCGGGATGATCCTTAATAAACTCGGTCACATCATGAACAATGCCAGCGATGGCAACGAGGCCACGACCATTCTTGGCTTGCTCGACGTAATCATCCCACTCCATAACTGGAAGTTGGTCCAGAGGGACACCCCAGTCGAGGCGAGAACGCTTCTGGTCGAGCTTCTTCTGTTGTTGCTGAAGACGGCCCTTTTCAATTTCGTTGGCCTTGAACTGCTTGAGATCGTAGGCAAGGCCGAGCTGCTTCCAGACCCAGATAGACCACTTGGTGGGATCATACTGATGCCACTCGATGGCGTTGCGATAGTCCGATGGGAATTCGTGGTGGAAGTTGTGGTAGCCTTCTCCGAGTGTAACCAGTGCAGTGATGACGTGGTCACGAGGAGAGTTGCGGTCGTCAAATGGCTGGTCACCGAGCCAGTGAGCCAGGGAGTTGACGCAGAAGGTGGCTTGTTGAACGAAGAAGATTCGGAGAATGCCAGCGTAGACGAAGCCGCCAGTCCAGTCACCCCAGCCCAAACCTGCAACGATCATGGGAAAGACGAGACCCATGAAGAGGACAACCTTCAGATAGTTCTTGTGTTGCCAGACAACGACTGGGTCTTCATTGAGATCAGAGATATCAGTACGTCCAATTCTCTTGGGGTTTTGCTTCATGACCATCCATCCAAGATGAGAGTAGAGGAGGCCCTTTCGAACAGAGTATGGGTCCTTATCGGTGTCGGTGTATCTGTGGTGAGCTCGGTGGTCTCGGGCCCACCATCGGATGGAGCCCTCAACAGCACCGCCACCAACAGCAGCAAGGAAGGCTCGAAGAGGAAGAGTAGCGGAGTAAGAGGTGTGTGCCCATAATCTGTGGTATCCAGCTGTGATTCCCAGACCGGTGGCGAAGTAGTATAGAACGGCGAATATGGCAGTTTTTAATTGAAGAGGCACCCAAAGGGCTTGTACGCATCCGTAGACAGGGATCATGACGATGAGGACGACATTGAGCCAGTTGACGTGCTTGTACCAGTTCGATCTGGTCATGGGCGTCTCTGTGATGTGTGGCTTCTTAGGGTCGTATTTGGCATTTCGGTTTGGCTCGCTGGTTTTCGCCATAGGGTTGGGTTTGGAGGAGAGGTACTCGGGCTTCACAGCCAGATCACCGGCTGTGGGCTGAGAGGAAGGCATGGTGAAGACGGAGGTCGGCACAAATCAATCAATGCCGGAAGGAACAATTGACTGTCGATGTGAGAGATGGGAAGCAGGAGAGGAACACAAGAAAGAAGAGAGCGAAGGGTATATATGGATGGCGGAAGCTTGGTCGTCAAATTCGGTTTGTTGGGGGTGGATCAAATAGAGGAGGAAATGTACTTGGATGACTGCCTGAAGCGATGTGGCCTAGATTGTTAGGGATAAGTGGGAAACTATGTACCGAGGCAGTTCAGGGGTGCTAACTTGCACATCACTTTCTCCATTTCTTTTGCAGAGATTCAATCATTGACTGACGATGCGCGGGTGAATTGCTGGAAAGCAGCTTGGGTGAAGCCTTGGGAAAAAGGGTTGGGGAGAAGAAGAGCGAAAACGCCACACTTATTCCGAGCTATTTCGTGCCTTGCAGCATTGTGAAAGGCGCTAAAGAAATCACACCATTCTGACCCAGAAAGCATCTACAATACAAGCCGGTTTCCCGAAAGCCATTGTGTCTGACGGGCACTGCGTCGATATAACTTCAGTCTCGATCTGCCCACGGTATTGGACGCCTACACACCAAAAGACCGACATTCCGCTGATACTGATCGAACTCGCAGTCTCCTAGGCGTTAATGAATAATACTCTACCATCATACTTGACAGGCTCTTGATAAATAACAGCAACATAAACATATTTGAAGCTGACGAGCCCCGTATCAATCATCGCCAGTCCTCACGAAGTCGGCCCGAATTACAACCAGACCTGAAAAAGATCTGCCGTGTTACAATGTCAGACGAGCACCATTGCCGCTGTCAGTGGAATTTCTAGAACTACCAGGGGCCCGTGGGCCGGACCCTGAAAGCCTGGAGCACCAGTCAGCGTCGAAAATCTGCCACAATCTGGGGTTGAATGATGTATGTGTGCGAGGAGCACTCTGCCACCAGTCTCGATTCTCAAGAGAACTGAGAGCATATACTACCTCGACAACAGCTGCCGAATGCAAGATGATTGTACTTGTTGCTTTGCGAGTTTTCTTGAAAATTTCCCGACAAGATCTTGCCCTCGGCATGGGTACGCGACTCACGGCGACCGAACTCGATGGGGTGTTCAAACGTCGGAGCGATGAATCCGAGGGAGACGATGTCAAGTCTAAGCTTTCAAAAATCTCAACAGTTATCGTATTTCGTATTCCAACCTGGAATCACCCTTCCACGACACCACTCTCCAGGAGTGGTAAGACCACCAATTGCTATGGTCGTTTGAGGTATTGCGTTTGAGGTATTGTATGCATTTCTGCCCTCATGCATTGACTGATAAAGCCTGGACATACGACACAGCGCAACTTCTGCCTGCTCACTCGCTCACAACTTAAACACTCATACGAATGATGACGCCCGCCAGGACCCTTTGAGACTGTTGAGATGCACCTCAGGACAGGCACCACCATTTATCGTCGGCGGTGCAATTCACATGTGATCTATGTCTCCAACACCTGATAACTTCGAACATAACATGTGATCCGTCTTTGTGTAGGACGGCCGACTGGGCACCACCTTCTTGTATGTACAGGTGATCAAGCTTGCCTCGACACTACCCCCGCAAGCTCAATCGAAGAACCCACCAGCATAGCAGTGACGACCCCCATCTCAAAACCCTGATGATCACCACGGCACCGCCCTCGGACCCATGTCAAGACCATATGCTCCTTCACTCCTAACAGGCCCTTCATCCTCAACCCTTTCCCTCACCTCAGCGCCAACGTCTCCTCCTCCCTTCTTCCAGCGATTATGCAGTCGTCGTGCTGCAAACCGTCCAGCGCCCCATATGCTTGCTGCGACAATGCTCGCTCCAATGGTGGGAGGAGCAGCCAACCACGCGACGCCTGTGATGGCACTGCCGAATGCCGTAGCCCCGACTGCAGCGACTAGACTCCCAACGGCCACGTACTTCGCCCAACGGACCAGTCTCCAGATGATGAATGTCCCAGCGGACCTGACGAGTCGCAACAGTGCTCTTGTGCGGAGCTTTGCAGGTTTGTTCGCGCCTGGTGAAGTTGGTGAGAAGAGGTAATTTAGATTGCGTTTAGCATTGATCAGAGCCGAGTTGGATTGTTGTTGGACAGCGGCATCGCCATCATGGATTGCTTGGACTTTGTTGCTCCCTCGTGAAGGTGCCATTCTTGATATTCTTGTGTTTGCTGTAGCTTCCACTGCTTTGGTGAATGTGTAAGACTTTTACATTAGCAGTGCAGCAAAACAGCCTAGAAGGCGGTTACGTCACTGATCTAGACCTGGATGAGGTCGGATTAAAGGTTATCCGCTCCGGATAACCTACTCAATGGCAAAAGTTGTTAGAGAGGTCACTACTGGACTGCTTCTGCATCTTAACGGGTACCACGATGCCTGAGAAGACGGCCGACTACGCTGTGCTGATGAAGCTGTCATGTCTACTAGGTGAGTGAAGGGCTTGAGACGATGGCCGCTACCGAGATGAGATCTGGGAGGACGGCACCCCAGATAACATCACTCCAAGGGCAGAGAAGAAACTCCAGCGCCTTCCATCGTCATCAACTTCAACCATGTCGCTGTCGTTGGCCAGTAACATCGTCTCCGACGCGAACGAATCTGCCCCCTCGTCACCGGGCCCCATGCTGATCCATCGCCCCGAAACAATAGTACAGGCGGTCGACCTCGAGCCTCGGCATGTCTCATGCGTACAGCTATCATCTAGTCTCTAACTGCGATTACGCATGCTCATTGGGACCTCAATGCTGACGCTGCAGTTGCATCAAACCACTGTCAAGCTTACCCGTCAAGTGCTTGCTGAGCGTGTTCGGAATCCGTCGTTGCCTAGTCGAAGGCCTTTGCACACGACGTTGTTGCGTTCGTTCTTGGTGTGGAGGGGTCCATCATTTCGATTAGCATAATCCGAGTGTTTTCCTGTCTAGGCGCCCACGGCCTTGAACATGCTGAAATTGAAGTTGTAGCCCTGATGTGCGCTGTGTCAAACGCTGCCACTCGCTCGAGAATGGGCTCGGTGCTCGCCCGCGAGCAAAGGCCAAAGGTCGGAGTCCACGCACACCCTGGACGATCGACCCTAAATACTATGCTGCCCACCTCGCTCTGTCAACTCACTTTCCTTTCTTCTGGCGGATGGTATACCGCAAGTCGCAGTAGGTACAGAGTCTGCCAGCCTACGGTGGCCACGGTATTGCCCTCTGAGTCCTTTCCAGGTGACCAGCTATGGACCCTGATAGGGTTGCTCTGTTCCTCCAATGGCATGACCAGAGCTCGAGCAGCAATATAGTGGGTCTCGCTTGACTTTCGTACAATCATTGAAACCCGCGTCCTCGGACATTGAACCACATAATCACCTATTTCAACTCGAGCTGTGGCGAAGCCCACAAAGCGCTTGCCCGACACCGCGTCTTTCCAAACAAAGGGGAAGAGGTCCCTGACTGATATCTCAATTCCGCAATTCCCTACGGACTTCGTATAGTCGAGTCCATCGTCCTTGACATAAGCCCACAGCAGCTTCGTGGCGTTTTGTACTGGGTCGAACTTGAGCCGGGGGAGGTTAGTGTAGTGGAACAGAGTGCCGCATAGTTCTCGTCTAGGGCCCCCGGGCATTGTAGAGATCTGGAGTTATGACACTCTCAATAGCTTCACCCCTTGTGTGGAAAGAGCTTTTGATAACCACGGGTTGAGGGTTTCGATATCTTCTACCGTCCTTCAAATCGAGCTTCCCGGGGTGGAGCTTAAGTCCTTTGGCGAGTGAAAGCGCCAATGGAATGATATGCCGTTCCCAGTCGTAGAAGTAACAGAATTCTATGGTCGCAAGAAGAAGATCAGCTTCATCGTATGTGTAGTCCACGGTGAAGTGTTGGCGCGCAGTTTGCGACAAAGACACTAAAGCGAAGACTGTGTCCCGCACATCCTGGCAGTTCGTGTTTGCATAGTCTCTCAGCAATTGTGTAAGGGTTATCTCCCTCCGTGGACTCGACCTTTGAAGATGATACAGACGCATGGCAAGGCTGTCTGAAAACCTCTGACAACTAGGTATGCCTCGGCATAACTCGACAATCTCAGAAACACAGGCCAATGGAAGAACATGAGGTCCACATTTTATGAGGGCGGACTGTGACAGTGCGACCTCTTGAATGATCCATCGCCTTCTCCAATATCTGTGGTTGAAGAACGTGATGACCGCCGCCTCATTAGGTGGACGGCGTTTGACGACGATATCAAAAACATCGGAAACCTTGAATTCGGGAGATACGTTTTTGATATCCTCCAACCAACAGATTACGCGCACAGCGGTTGAGAAAATGTCACCCACTTTCTGTACTTGTGAACTGCGTTCTGCTATATCGCACTGATTGATACAGATAGTATCAATCCAAAGCGTTTGAGTGTCGGTCTGGTGACGGAGCTCTTGCATCATCCTTACTGCCATAGATAGGATCTGTACTTCGCGGCCGTTGACCAAGATCTTGGCTGTGGAGGTATCCGTACCCCATGTATACGATATAGCATTCTAGAGTGGTTTTTGGCTGCGGTTGGCTGTCTTCAGATTACAGCGTACCGAATCATCGCCGTTCCCCGGAAGCAGCTCCAGGAGTCGGATTGCATTTTGCCCAGTAAGCGGCGTGAAGATGGTCTTCCTGTTCCACCAAGAGACGTCACTGTGTTTTTTGAAAGGCCACATTTGGAGCTCGAAGGACTTCCAGTCCCGAGTATGATCCATATACGTTGGAGAAGTCCGAAGCAAATCACACCAGATGACAATCGCAGACCGTGTCCAGTGACAGGGGTCAACGACCAAAAGAACCTAGGCGCAGGTTGCAACGCGGGGTGTATTACTTACCTATGCATTGGATGATTGGAGGCAACCAATACATCAAGTCTTTCAGTCAGCCTCGCTTGAAGACGCATCCCACGCTTGAACGACTGTGGGCTCATGGAGGAAGCCTAGGTCCTGCTTTAGAATTCCTGATCTGCCCATGACCTGCAAAGGCCAATTACTATGGCGGGCACAGCTGCGTGAAGGGGAGTACAAGTAAACAAACCATTCGGAGAACGCTAGGAATGATGCTTTGCAAATAAGGGCCATGATGGCAGCAGGCACCTCGACGATAAACCGACAGATTGACTGATAAGGCTGATAGGGCTGATGAACGCCCAAATGCCATGGTCCAAACATACGGCCTTGCATATGAAGAGCTTCAGATAAGTATCGAGTGACAACAGCCAGATGAATTCAACGGGCTCCGAGAGTCAGACAGTGCCTTTGTCTCTGGAGACCGTGCCAACTTTACTATCAGTGTGCACCATTGCCCTAAAACCCAGGACAAGACACCTTGATCAACGCTGACCCTCAGCCGATGCCTGCGCGATATTTCGGATTCGGATTTTGACCTCGAGCGAATGCATATGGGACCAGAATGCACGGCTGACTGTCTGTCCATAAATCTGCAATACCCGTGGTCGTCAGATGCCAATATCTGGGGTGCCGGTGACAAAGCCTTGGTGAGAATGCCTGGGGCTGAGTAAGAGACTATTCGGCGGCAAGTATTTGGAAGTATTCAGCCATGAAAGTTATTCAGCCATGCTGTGAGTCAGGTATTCCATGGTCTCTTCAGCCAAGTAAGGATTTCGTGAAGCCGAGTGAGGCACGCGACAAGTGAGCACCCATGAAATATGAAGATGCATAAGCAGAATAAGCTGGGAAAGACGTTGCTTATTCCTAGGATGAACTCTGTATATACTTACTGCCAGATGCGCGTGCGGAGTAGGCCTTATTCACCTTACGAACAGACCCTCAATTAGGCCCTGGCGGACGGACATCAACGCCAACCGGTCATCGGAACAACTCAACACTTGATGATTGCATCAAGGAGAATAGAGTGTCTCACGGAAGCAGATGCTCTCCGGTCCTCCTCGCGCAGATTCCACCACTGACAGGTCCAGGGCCTACACCTGCAACAGTGACCTTCGGATTTCGGGTATTGCTACGTCTGTGACCCCTGCATAATCGAATCACCCTGACTCCTGCTTTGTTTTATTCACTCATGCTAAAGGAAGGGGCAGATATCACATAATCTGTCAAGAGGCGGCAGGGGCCTCTGATCATTGCCAGGTCAGAACAAAACTCGATTGAGTGACTTTTCGTATTTTTTGCGAGGAGGACGGGAGGGGAGAGTGTGGACACAAGATCATTTGATCTTGCTTGCCTTGCGATCGACCACCTCGATAAAGGATGGCACGGATGGACACACTCCTCGTGGGTTAGCCGCCGGTGCCGGTGCCGCAGTCTCAGTCTCAGTGCTGCTATCTCGTATCTCATCACCCCACAAGCGCGGGCCACGGGTGGCACATCGAGTCCCAAGGACCAATTGACTGGGTGCTGTCAAAAACCTGCCTCACCAGTCATCCCGGTCATCCCGTCATACATCTCGCAAAAGATGCTGTGACAACTCCCTCCAGAAATACGAAACACTTGCAGTCGCGAGTCTTAGGCCAGCACAGCCTCAACTTGCGCTTCCAAATCATCAACCTCTCCTGGTTTCTCTCGCTCAATTCATCACAGCGCGAAGCACTTCGTCCTGACGATTTACCCTTTTCCTCCCTTCCGGCTCCTTACAGCGCCGGGATATAAGCAGAGCCGAGTGCCCCGGAGGCGATTTACTTGAAGTCTTTCCTGTCGAGAAATGTCCTTGTCGCGGATCATCAAGTAAAGTTTGATTCAATTCAAACCGGACCAAATAATACTTTCATCCCACTCGGCAACCTCGCCAATCGTCAGTCCAGCGCTCCCGAACGCAGCGTTCGTGATATATTTGGATAGTCACTCCGTTGGAAAACGGGCCAAAAGGTGGAAGTGAAGAGAGTACAACGTAATTCTGACACCGCTTCGACAAGATGCATAGTTTCTACGATATTGGAAGATGGAGTTCGGTCGCGATAGCATCGTTATCGATGCTGTGTTGGCAGACATATGCTCAGACCCTCACACCCTCGAACGACACCTCGGATCTTTATTCGGCTGCGACCTCGCCCAGATTCATATTGAACGGCACGGAGTTCTCCAGTATCAAATCCGTGGAACTGGCACCTTTGGGAGTCTATGCCGAAATGTCGCATAGTAGCTTCTTAGCAGTCGATGTTTCAGGCCACCTAGCAAACGTTGATGCAAGCAATGCCAACAGCATCACGGATGAGAGTCAATTCTCCTACCTTTCTTGCGATCCTTCAGCATACAGCGGCGGCAACCTAGACGCAAGTGACGTCTTCAGAGTCGTCGTCAACTCGCCACGAACGAGCATCGTCATTCTGTACAGCGAAACTGCCAACCATTGCACTGTTTCTGGACTCAGTCAACTCCCCACAATCGGCGGTATCCTGACCACCACAAACCCGACCACAGCAACGAAGCTCGCCAAGTTGAATCTCGGTACAGGGAGTAGCGGGACCGCCAATATATTTCCAGACTTGGACTCTTACACCAATTCTACAAGCGGCAGTTTCAGTGGAACCGCTCTTGGCTCGTCTCCGACCACAGCGGTGGCAATGATCATTCTCTACTCCATCACTGGCGTCATTACAGCCTTGTTCGTTGTAATCATTGTCACAGGTGCTGTCCGGGCACATCGTCATCCAGAACGATATGGACCTCGAAATGTTATTGGAAGAGGTCGACAAAGTCGTGCGAAAGGTATCGCACGTGCCATGTTGGAGACCCTGCCCATCGTCAAGTTCGGCGATCACGATGATTTGCCCAAGAAGCCTGCCGAGGGCTCTGATCTTGAGATGAACGCTGCGAACACGGAGACGCCGGCTACAAACGACGTCGAGCCCACCAACAAAGCTGTACCTGGACAACTGACCACCACAGATGCCGCTGCTCAGGCAGGCGTTGCCGCCCACAATCCGGATGGGAGAGACGCTGAAGGGCACCTGGGATGTTCCATATGTACCGAAGATTTTAACAAGGGTGAAGAGGTTCGTGTCTTGCCCTGCAACCACAAGTTCCATCCCGCTTGTGTCGATCCATGGTTATTGAACGTCAGTGGGACATGTCCGCTATGTCGAATCGACTTGAGACCACAAGACCAGGAAGGTGATGTTGAAGGCGCTCAACGCAACGACTCGAGTACTCCGGTGCCAGCTGGGCAAGCTGCCTCGTTGCCGCCTCCGCTCGTTGGTGCCGATACTACTGACGAAAGTGGTCCTCGTGGCGGACGGAGAGAGACCATTGCCAACCTCCGCCACCTCGCCCATGGCTCTCGAGAGGACCGCATCGCCGCCCTGAGGCGGTTCCGGCAAGAAGGCCAAAGGTCGAACTCACCGCCGCGACAGTCGGACGAGGAGCGGTCTGGATTATCGCGACGGTTCAGGGAGCGGTTCCGAATCAGAACCGAGCGGAGAGGGACGGCGGCCGATCAGTCAGCTGCTCAATAGCAGTGGCAGCTTGACCGGGGTGACGTACGGCCGCGATGCCTATGAGTGTATACACAATGATTAAAACGAGAGCGAAGGAATGAATTAGCGTCAATGCGGAGTTTGGCTATGCACTTGTGTCAATGCAACTGTTTGGAATGACTCTTCTTCTTGTGTTATGTTTTGGGCTGTAAGGATTTGCAGGCAGGCCAAAATATTGTATATGGTGCATCGAATAAGGCGTATATGGGCTATGAGGTACATGAAGAAGGGCGATGAAGCCTGGATGAATTTGCAAGACATGGTGTACGAGCAACCAAAAGCCCGGACTGTCATTGTCATCCATTGTTGGTGCTGGCGTACTGCAATGGCATGCGGCATATTTATGGATGCATCAAGTTTACTTCTTAGTGAATGATGTGGTATCATGCATGCATATCTTGCATTCTCAATCGTTTACGGTTATTCCAAGCAATGCAGTCGTGATAATTCTCTAGACAAGATGGGTGAATTCATCTGCCCGTGTCCACACCACTACTCATACCGCGCGCCATCTCCTCCGTAATATCTCTCGCCGCAGACCAACCCTTTGAGGCGGTCGACGATTGCTCATCTGTGTCTCCTCTATCCCGCTCCGTGCGATCATTGTGAGGGGTTGTCGAGCTACCACCACCAAACCATCCACCCATACCAGCTGGTAACCAGTTTCCACTTGTGGTCCGACGGGCCTGAGGAGGTTCAGTCGCTAGTCTTGGTGGTGTCGAGCCTGGAGTATGTACACGTTCAGTTGCTTCGTCGTAGTCAACATTTTCGAATGACACCTCACTTCTGGACTTTGTCTTGAGGCCGCTTGCACCCGATGAGCTGCTGGGTGGTCTGTTATAAGTCGGTGCAGATCCATATGCCAGGTCGAGACTCTGTTGTTCTCTGTCCAGGGCTTTGAGAAGAGTTGACAGTCGCTCGCGCTGGGCGGAGATGTAGTTTGCCTTCTCTGATGAAGTGGATCCTGGGATGGTGTCAACGAGGGAGCCGGGGATGGAGGAGGCTTCATGTGCTGCTGAACGTGGGGCGCCTGCGGCTGAGGATCCGGCGAACGCGGCACCAGCGAGGTTGGAGATTGCACTGTAGACGCTGGCGGAGGTTGTGCCTTGTGGATTCGGTTGATCGGTTCGCGCACCGGGCATGGCGAAGCGAGAGAGGAGGTCTGAAGCGTAGCTTGCATATATTGCTGTTCCTGCGCCTGCAGTGGACTGGGACTGTGAGTGCTCAGGCTGCGGACTCTTTTGACCTAAGATCTTGTCCCTCAGAAACTCGATTAGAATGTTCATGTAGCCTAGGCCCATCTGTTGGAGGCGCGCATGGGTTTCGCCGATGAATTGATCAATGCGGGATTCGTGATCGACTATGTAGGGTTCCAGGTATTCGAGGTAGAGCAGCTTAGCACCTTGAGTCTGAGGGAGGACGAGGTAGAGGAGGAAGATCAGGCGGAGCCATGAGTAGAAGGGGATCCAGCCTATGATGAAGATTGTCCAGGATTCGAAGAGGAGGGTAAGGGTTAGGATGGTGAAGTAGATGAGCCAGGGGTGCGTTTGGGCTGGGTCGTTGGTTCGTAGGGCTTTGTAGGAGAGATACGCGGGCAGGAGGAATGTTGTTGCTGATCTAGATAGGATGGTCAATTTGAGGGTCGTGTTGATGGTGGTGTTGTACTCACGCAATGAGGTCTGCTATGATGCCGAACATTGTGAATGCTCCTGTTCAGTCAGGACACACGATGGAGAAGTGGTAGGGTGTATAGGTGGGAAGATGAGATACAATGTGAAGTAGATTGCAGGAGGTATGGGTGCGGGAAAGCTGGGGGTTAAGTATATCTCTCTACTGAGAGGTAGCAAACATTAGGAAATGAAGTAGAACACCAGGTGTCCTCTTGGGAGTTTCTTTGTTCTCAAGGCAGACACATGAACTGCATGAAGAAGTGTTCATGACCAGGATGAGACGGGAAGATGCAGTCGGAGGAGGCAGCGAGGGAGGGATGAGATCTCGTGCCCAGGCCATCGATGATCTCATCTCCCGCTGACCGCTGCAACCACTTTGACTGCAGCCTTGCGCCCTTATCGATAGCCTAAGATAGGTGAACTTGGGTAGCTGGATTAGGCATGGTAAGGCTGTGGCAGCTTTATCTACTGGGGGAAAAGAATGCCCCTCTTCGTTTCTTTTGTTGCTCAATGTTTCCCGTACGGTTGCTGGCGTTTTCAGCAGTCGCTGGTGTAGCTATAACAGTGCTTGCAGATCAATCAGCGAAGAGAAATGCACTCAAGCATGTCGTCACCAAGGGTGTGGGCGAGCATTTCTTCCAGCTGGGCGACATAAACTATTTCAGTGAAAGCCTCAATTCCGCTTGCGAGCAAGCTGCATCCGATTCAGACGCCGATGGATCTTTGTTTCCCTTCACCCACATCATAGCTGATAGGCCTGTGATCACCGGCAGCTGCATCGAGGATATCGTCACTAGGTATGGCCAGGAGGATGATGTGTTCAACGAAGATTTCCTGCAGGCCATCTTCTTCACTTCATCCAGTAATACAGCATCATTAGATGCTTCTGCGATCCAATATCTCTCTACTCTGGGCATCTCGGATCTCATATTGAGCAAAGCATTCGCTGACCATGCGAGCAACATCACTGGCTCGTTTTCAGTCATAGTCCTGTCGACTGCGAACGCTGCGTCCTTACCTCCTGGGCCCTTCATCGGAAAGCTTGAGGAATGTGGACTCTCGATGTCCACAGTATACAGACTGTATACTGATCACCAACGAGCTTTCGTGGACGGAGTCTACCTTGCGAGCGATGGCACCCGGGGTCACAAGTCATTTGGGTTCTTCAATCCGGAATGGCCACTGCCATCCATTCCAGTCCCATCCAGGATATATAGCTGGACCGATGACAGGCCCTTGGCAGGCCAGCGATTTGCGGTCAAGGACATCTTCAACCTGCAAGGCATCATAACGACTTCAGGGAGTGCATCATGGACAAGGATTTCTGGCCCTGCCAATGTGACCGCACCAGCCATTCAACGGCTGCTTGATCTAGGTGGCGTCATAGTCGGAAAGACCAAAACTACTCAGTTTGCGTCTGCTGCTGAACCCTGGATCTGGGACGACGTCTACCCTCCATTGAATCCTCGTGGTGACGGATGGCTGTCTTGTTCGGGTTCATCGGCAGGCAGTGCTACTGCCATTGCCGCCTATGACTGGTTAGATTATGCTATCGGCTCGGACACTGGCACTTCGATGAGAAGGCCAGCGGCTGTGGCTGGAGTGTATGGCCAGCGACCGTCGCAAGGTCGGATGACTCTGGAAGGTGTCACACCAATCAGCCACTCTACAGACACTGCAGGTGTATTCTGCAGAGACCCCTATAAGTGGCTCAAGTTTTCTCGATTATGGTATACTCCAGCATTGTATCAGGACAGATCTCTCACCGGTCTACCAGCCTACGATGGGCCTCACGGCCAGGGTCTTCCGAAGAAAATCCTGTATCCGGTGGACTACCTGCCTCTAAAGCATCCTGCAGCCGAGGATGTTCTCCAGGGCTTTTTGGCAAAAGTGACTGGAGCCTTAGACACGGAGATCGAGCAGTTCAACTGGACCGCCAGCTTCGAGAAATTGTCTCAACCTGCAGACTTTGATCTTGCACGGCTTCTATCCAATCTGGTTGTCATGTGGACTTATGAGCAGTATCAACTGGTCGGAGAACCGCTGGTGGCTATGTATGAGGCTCACCATGGCAGCTACCCTCGCTTGGAGCCGCCCATGCGAGATAGGTTCAGAAGCCTTGACTACTCCGCCGCAGAGCATGAGGCCGCGCGCGACATCAGAAGACGTGCTGCGGAGGCTTTCGAACAACAGGTGCTGTACAGTACCTCAGACATCTGTTCCGAGTCCATCGTACTTTCCGACATCAGCACTGGAGGTCTGCCGGCATACCGCGAAGAGAAGATGAACATGTCTCCTAATGCTAGCTTCCTTGCGCCGCCAGGTACGGCAGGCACATCGGGAGACTTCTGCCCGTTCTTTGGATGCATTGATGTTACAGTACCACTTGGCCAGGTGACTTACTGGAGCAAGAAGACCTTGCGAGAGGAGACGATGCCAGTGACAATAGGGCTGATTGCGAAGAGAGGATGTGATCTCATGCTGTATGACTTTATCGAAAAGCTGGCTGATGTAGGGGTTCTGAAGACAGTGAAGGCTGGTGTGCAGGCTTTTTGATGTTTCACGTACTCGTCAAGGGTCTCTGATTGTACACCTGCCATATATGAGGAGGTGTACACTCGGCTCATATGTGATGTGTGAACGTCTCCTTAATGGCCCTTTGGGCTTGGCGCGTCAGTAGTCTGTACTTGGCCGTAGGGATTTCTTCGGCGGAGCATATCGCGTTGCGATGGAAGCCGAGGGATGATGCCATTGTTTATCATTTCCATTCAGCCTTGTTCCTCCTTCACAGTATTTCGCCATCTCGATTGCAGTTGCCTCTTTTTAGCGATCCGGACATCCTCTTCGTACAGAACATTCTAGACTTGATGGCGCAGTCCTAAGTTTTCGACGTTATTGACACTTCTGCAAGATCGTGTTGTTCCCATCCTTGTTTCACGCAAACAGGTCGACCGTGGTACGATAATCGAATCATGTGGACACAGTGAAAACGCATTCTGGTTCTGGGCATATAACTTCCAGTGATCAATCCTTCACTCTTTCATTCAGCGCTCAAAGGACCAACACCAAATAGAAAGTATCTTCCACCAAGATGTGCATCGCCCTGATCTCCACCGCCCACCCCTCATATCCACTGATATTGCTCGATAACCGAGATGAGTACCTCAACCGGCCAACCGACCCAGCGAAATGGTGGCCCGAACCTCACTCAGAAGTCATCGGTGGCCGTGACATGCTGCGCGACATCCACGGGACATGGCTGGGCGTCACCAAGCACGGCAAGATCGCATGCCTGACCAACTACCGCGAAGACGTTTCTCCGCCACCATCAGCCATCAGTCGCGGCGCCATCATTAAGAAATGGCTGACCGAAGATGTGGGCCCCGTGGAGAACTTCGTCAAGGATGTCGTTAACACGGGCATAGCCAAGGACGCAGGCGGCTTCAGTCTCGTGTGCGGCGAGATCGATAAGAAATTGGCTATCATCTCGAATCGCGCCGAGGATCCGACTCAAGTCCCCTGGATTGCAGGTGACGTCGTCCAGACAATTGGACTGAGTAATGCCGCGTTCTCGGACCGCACATGGAAGAAAGTCCTACTGGGTGAAGAGCTTATGCTCAACACGATCCGGCATAGCGTCGAGAATAACGAGTCGGAAGACCAATTGATCCAGGGCTTTCTCGAGTTGCTCAGTCTCGAAACGCTGCCCAGAGAAGGAAAGGAAGATGGTCATGGGCTGGAGGCCTATATTCCCGACCTGCGCCACACGATATATGTCCCGACGCTGGGACGGAAAGATAAGCATGATCTCAAGGACGATGAGATCGCAGCGGCCAAGTTGCATGAGAAGGTCGATGTCGTTGGGTTCAATACGCCGGTTCGAAACGGGAGTCCATCGGTCAAGGCAGCGCAGAAACCTCAACAATTGGGCGTCAGTGGACTTTACGGCACTCAAAAACAGTCGATCGTGCTTGTCGATAAGGAGATGAATGTGAGGTTCTTTGAACGGACATTGTTCGATGAGGACTCGAATTTGATACCGCCGGGGAAGGGGGATGTTGATGTAAGGTTCAAGATTGAGAAGAGGTGATGATTGACGACGACTATACAAGTATGGGTGATGAGAGACTGGGATCACATCTCCATGCTATTCAGCGGTCGAGCTCTTATTCTGTGGAGAGACCGGTCTTTGACGATGAACTTTTGACGCCTGCGATGACCATTTCTTCAAGCTACATGGACGGCGTCTGCAGCTCAAAGGCACGGGCGTACGACCACGCGACACGTTCCCACACGGCCTCATGTTAGGCTGATGGACTTGGGTGCAGTGAGATCGATGTGCATTCCAGCAACTAATGGAGTGGTGAGAGTTTGCAAAATGGAGGCCATCTTAGACGGCAACGGGGAACGGCAGTGGAGTACTGAAGCAACTACCTACGAGACTGACATGGAGGTATGGATTTTAGCAGGCGAGAACCATGCGGTATGAACTTGTGCCGGTCGGGACTGGTGTTGTGAGCAGCGGAGGAAGGCATCCTTTTGAGACCACAGCGAAAGGAAGGATCCCCGTTCAAGTGTGATGTTATGTGGTGTATGGGCACTTGGAGCTCTCTCTGTCGAACAGGCGCTGCGAGCTGCTTCAGACAAAGCACACCTGCACGCCATCGCTAGGTCTCACGTGGTTCGTTACCATTATATTATGAATACCCCCAAGAGATATCAATTTACCCCTAGTGGATTGGATTTTCCGTTCGGCCCACCTCCATGCGTCGCTTCTTGCTTGGTAACCAATTTTCTCCCTGCGCTGGCTGATGCTTGCACTTTTTCTTATACTGATATACACCCCGCGCAGAATCACTACTCCTGTAGATCCTCACCACAACTCACAAACCGGCTCTTTAGCCTCACACTTGAAACTCTCCTTGAAGTCCCGCGAATTAGCCATCGTCCCCAAGATACGCGCCCACTTCGGCGCATGCGGATCCGTATAAATTCTTTGAATGGCCGTCTCCTTGCGCGTCTTCCCACACCACCAATTCGCATACGACACGAAGAACAACTGCTCTTGCGAAAAGAAGTCCAGTCCCGGCAAATCCTTGTCCGGCGTCTCCGCGGCACGTTTCTTCCACGCTGCGAACGCAGCCGCCAGACCCCCCGCGTCAGCGATGTTCTCGCCCAAAGTGAGCTTGCCATTGACGTGTAGGGGTTTCTCGTTGGCGCCGTCGACCGTGAAATTGTGGTATTGCTCGACGAAGCACTCGGCGCGCTCTTTGAAGTTGGCGACAGTCTTGTCGGTCCACCAGTCTGTATAATTGCCGTTCTGGTCATAGTGACGGCCGGTTGAATCGAAGGCGTGGGAGAGCTCGTGGCCAGATACAGATCCGAAGGCGCCGTAGCTGAGGTACCCTGGAACGTCGACGTCGAAGACGGGGAATTGCATGATGCCGGCTGGGAAGACGATCTCGTTGCCTGGTGGGTTGTAGTAAGCATTGACGGTCGGGACGGACATGTCCCATTGATCCCTGTCGACGGGCTTTCCGAGGGCGGACCACATCTGGGCAATCTCGAGACGGTTCATTGAGACGGCGTTCTCGAAGAAAGTGGAAGAGTTGACCTTGACGGGCGCATAGTAGTCCTGGATCTTGTTGGGGTCCAAAATGTCAGGGCTCTTGTCGGGATAGCCGATCTTCTGGACGATGTTGTGGACTTTGTTGATGGCTAGGTCGACAACTTCCTGCTCCATCCAGTCGGTCACTTTCAACTTCTCGATGAATTGATCTTTGATGTCGGAGACGATCTGATCACCGAACGCCTTTGCTTTGGTGGAGAAGGCTTTCTCGACGAAGAATCTGCTCAAGATCCAGCCCAAGCCGCCATCGACATGGTTGACGCAGGTTCTCCAGCGTTCAGGTGTAGATTCGGGATCCTAGAGGACGTTAGATATAGACTACGCAGACTGAAGTCTCTTCAACTCACCTTGCCTTGCAATTCGTTGGTGAATCGCTTGTACGGTTTGATCGCATCGGCCTCGATGTATCCAGCGAATACCTGAATAACCTTCCAGTTCAAATATGCACGTAGAGTGTCTCTAGGTGTCTCGTCCAAAAGCTTGCTGACAGTCTTCAGATATTCTGGCGCCATGACAATGATCCTGTCGACATTGTAGTCCTCAGGAGCAAGGCTCTTCAGCAACTTCGGAAGCTGGAGCTGAGGAATGAGACTGTCGGCCTCCTTCAGTGACATAGGGTTATAGTATTTCTGATATCAAGTTAGTTTACATTTGTACCGAGGGGTCTTCGTGAACGAACCGTAACATCATCACGATCCTCCGCATCTGGTGATGCAGCTGCAAGCTTCTTCTCGAAGTCGACAAGAGCATGAGAATCAACTTTGCTCTCGGAGTCTTTATGAAGGCCGGCAGACACCTGCGAGATGACTGTTTCGTATTTGCTCACGATCTTGTCGTCGTTGTAGAGCTCCTTGGCTGGTAGACCGATCCTGTAGGGGGACGATACAGAAATGACAACAGTATCTGGATCACGGTCGTCGGCGCCGGTGAATGGTGCGGCAAAGGCTGAAACTCCCAGGGATGCAAGGTAGCGGACAGTGTCTGCAAGGGCATTTTGCTCAGAGACGGCTTTCGAGTTGGGGCAACTTTGGGCGGAGAATCGGCGGGATGTCTCGTTTAGGATTTCTAGCAAAGGCGTGACCCCGAGACTCTTGATGGTATCTTCGTCCAGACAAGCGTCATAACCAGCTTTGAGTTTGTCGAAGTTCTCCTTGTCGGCAGATTCACTGGCAGCGTCTGACTGTGGAGAGAAGTCCGCTTGTGTGGCTTTCTCCGGATAGGGTGCTTCGAGGATATGCCGCAGCAGCATCTGAGAGTTTTCAGACATGATGGTGCCAGTGAAGGCATCGCCCTGATCGGGCCGAAGGTCATGATGGTCTCTCCATCCGCCGCAAACAAGCTCTTCGAAATCGGTGCAGGCGTCTAGGTTCTTGTAATCTGGTGAGAGATTGTACAAGAGTTCGGAAGAAGCGTGGACACAAGCTGGTGTGAGGCAGACATCGGCACCCTTGTCGTGCTGGTGGCCATGGTGGTTGTGATGATGGCGATGGTGGTCTTTCCCATGATGATCTTGTGGTATGTTAGTCAGAACATTCTTTGTATCGTTGCAGGTGATTGACTAACCTTTCGAGAATCCAGGAAGACTGATGGACCCAAACATAGCCAGGTCGTGAATATTCAGTGCCGCCAATATCAATATCGTTGCCACAGCCATGAAAGTGGCTTTGATTGTAGCCTGGTTGAACCGAGGCCGGGGGGTGGCGGCACGTTCCTCCTCGTCCATCATCAGTGGTGTGTCGTCGACATACTTGTCCCCATGATCCAGAGACAGCCGCGGACCCATGATGCAAGACAACCAGACTTCCAACGATGGAAGTCAGTGGGTGATTGATGACACTTTCAGTGTTGTTTAGATGAGGTCGACATTGATGACTCCAAGAATAGATCAATAACACGCCAGCCAAGCTATGCTCCATAAACAGACTAGCGTGCGGGGAAAGACCTTGACTCGAGTCGTTTCGGTGTCTTGTATGGTAAATGACTCGCTATACACCTACACACTGGTACTTCCGCTATCATTTGAACTTCCCCGATCTCTTCCATACGATAAATCTCAATTGCAAGGAATCATTAGTCTGCGGTGACGTACAAACAGTCGCGAAGGCAAACACCATGACAACATGACTCTGAGGAGCCACAGCAACATCACAAAAGCCAGCGTTTTGCCGGAGTAATTGTTCCTCCGAATAAGTCGTTAAAAATGCATGTGCAATCGAGTGAGGCTATAAAGAGAGCATTCCTAGAATGACCTTGTCTTGCGAGAACGACTCCACAAGTGAACACTCCCAACGGCGTTACTTTGATGTGTTTGTCAACAAATCATTGGCTGAATCACCGGTGCTCCGTGGCCTCGACAGCGATCGGGAATCTAGCTTCCGGAGGGTCGGACGGTCGGCGCGGAGGAGTGTTTTTGCTTTGATACTGACTCCCCTTGCAGCGAGTTGATTCATGATATAAAGTCTTGATAGCCTCAGTCCGAGTGATGGAGCTTCACTTCCAGATAAGACTCTCTTCAGGACCTCACTGTCCCCAGTCTCGTTCACTCAAACCAGGATTTCGACGGCAATTCTCCGACAAATCGGCAACATGTCCAAACCTACCAACCAAGCAGCATACCTGGTCGCCAAAAACACCATACCCCTCGAGGTCCGAACAGCCCCGTACACCCCCCCAGGGCCTGACGAAGTCGTCATCCGCACGCATGCCGTAGCCATCAATCCAGTCGACCACATCATTCAGCACCTCGGCAACATAATGTACACGCACCTCCAGTATCCGGAAGCGATCCTTGGATTCGACGTATCCGGCGAAGTCGTCCAGATCGGCCAACAAGTTACGCGATTCAAGCTGGGCGATCGCGTCGTTGCAAATGCCGTTGGTACCGCCAAAAACCGCAACCTCCCATCCCATTGCGGTTTCCAGCTATACACGGTCCTCCTGCCACGCATGACATCTCCCATCCCAGAGACGGTGCCGTACGAGAAAGCCGCCGTCATCCCGCTTGGCCTCTCGACGGCGGCGTGCGGCTTGTTCCAGAAAGATCAGCTAGCCTTACAGCACCCCTCTGTTCCGGCGCCCAAGCCAACGGGCAAGACAGTCCTCATCTGGGGCGGGTCAACCAGCGTTGGGTGCAACGCCATCCAAGTCGCCGTAGCAGCTGGATACGAGGTCATCACCACGTGTTCGCCGCGCAATTTCGCATACGTCAAAAGCCTCGGTGCGACAGAGGCGTATGACTACAACAGCAGGACCGTCGTGAAGGATATCATAAGGGCGTTCAAGGGTAGAGTGACAGCCGGCGCATTGTCCATCGGTGCCGGTGCCGCCGACAAGTGTCTTGACGTTCTCGCGGGGTGCAAAGGAGACAAAGTCCTCTCGATGGCGACTTACCCTACACCGGCGACGCCGCCTAAGCGCTTCGTCTTCGTCCAGACTGTCGTCACATACCTCTCCGGCCTGCTCTCGTTGTGGATCAAGGCTAAGAGGTATGGAGTTCGCTCGGCATACATCTTCGCGGACAGCCTGGTGGATAATGAGGTTGGACCGATGATATACGAGCAATGGCTGCCCAAAGCGCTTGCGGCAGGGACGTTTGTTGCAGCTCCTGAGGCTGAGGTTGTAGGACATGGCTTGGAGAATATCCAACGCGCGATGGATATCAACAGGAAGGGTGTCAGTGCGAAGAAGGTCGTGGTGACTTTGTGATCTGTTTGGAACCATGGTGCGAAATACTCTTCGTTCGTTCAAATGTTTGTCAACGATACCTCTGAGATTGTATAGCTGCTTGCCTATCGCTTGATTGATCATTCCTTCCAACGTACCGACCCTCACATGCCGTATCATGTGCGTGAGGCTATTCGGTGCTGCTCTGGTTCTCTCCTTGGCGGCCGCTCGTGGTCATGTGAGTTGAAGTGAAGTAAAGTGAAGGCTCATTCCACTTGCGGCCGAAATTACTGTTCATTGTTTATATTTCCTCAATTATTCCTCGCATATGACCCAAACGAGGATCAAGAAGGCAGCAGACTTATGGTGCACACCCCACTTCGATGACAGCGGCTATGCAGTGGTCTGGTTGGTGGGCCTCTTCTTGGGCAGTGAGGTTTGGGGTCCTTACTACCTGGGTCTTGGTACCGTTAAATCGGGCCAAAGAAAGGAAGAGGTATAGTAGTAGGTTCGAGCCTACTACTCGCCGGAATTTTGCACTTTTTGTCGATTGCAACTCGGCAATATTTTGTGGTGAACCTGGTTGGTGGGGGTGAGGCAGTATCGTGGTGTTGAAACGGGCTTCATGTGACATGGGCGGTGTGGTGAACGAGGCGTTGCCAAGCGGCGACAAGATGACCATTTCATATGTACGGCGGAGACCGCAGGCCATACAAAACATCTATCTGTCCTAGCAACTCAAGTCAAGACACGGTGAGATCCATTACTTTCCACAGTAGCCTGATACCGAGTAGTCCCTGGCTGATATGAGAAGTCGTGCGGAATATCATGTTCGCTTGATATACGAAACGACCTCGTGGTTGTTTGATCGAGACCGGACCCAGTCAAGTTCACGGCTCGGGGTGCGGGTGCTGAATGGTCGTCATCATGTTTAGACGCGCCATGTTTGGACGAAAACAGGGAGCAGGAGGGAAGGTATCGCCGCAATACGAGTCGAAAGGACGGCATACATATGCAGGCGATGCCGATGTTAAACTCCAAGTCAGAATAGGCTCCCAATGGTACGGCGTCATCTGGCTAACAGTCAGTCCGTCTGCAAGTCGGGCGTAGACTGTCTGTGGAAAGGGGTACATACACGTTGGATTGTAGGTGTCTGCCAACGCGATCAGGGTCCAAAGTCGTAGAATGCTGACAATGGTAATACTGTAAAGATGGAGTAAGTACCTTGCCAGTCAAGCCATTTCTCCACGAACTTACAGGAACCCAACACAAAACATGGCTATGACTTGAACCTTTTTCTTCCGAGAAAGGTTTAGGTTCCAGAGCTGCGATATCGGAAGAGCAAAGATCAAAAAGTCCAGCATTATATTCATCACGGCGTGCAGCACAGCGCCGAGGCCGAAGTCCAAACACTTTCCCTGACCCTGGCCAACCCATAGAGTCCATGCATAGTTGATTGGGCTGCATTGGAAGATAAAGAGAAAGAAGAAAGTAGTGCCGTGAAGTAACGTGATGACGAGCAATGGTATCGCCATCCTACGAAATGCGGGCGATGGAAAGAGCTTGAGATAAAAGACAAGGAAAGTGGTTTTGATGGTCGTGAGGCCGACAACGAAGAAAACCCCGCCAATGTAGTAAATCTATGACAGCGACTTGTCAGCGTCTAGTGTGTCTGGGACGGGATGTAGATCTGCATAGCGCACCTCTTCCACAGCCTTAGTGTTGTCAAATGTCAGGCGCCAGGCATCGCGTCCATACCCATAATGCCTTGCTAGAGAACAGGTCAGCCGAGGAGTTTGGCGGCACATCGAGTGGACATACCAACAAGAGTGGACGCGGCATTGCAAATCGCAACCACCTGGTCAGATTTAGTTTCCACAAGTCCCAGCAACGGAACAGCATCGTCTTACAGTAGCAAATGCGACAAGTACATCATCCCATCCCCAAAGCGTCTTGATGTTGGGGGCGAGAGCAATAACCCGCGTCACCACCAGGCAAAGTGCCACGGCCAGGGAGGTGAAGGTTGGCCAGCTGCTATCTGGTCCTCTGTTCCTGTCGGGAAAACTGCAGCTGAGCGCGGTGATATTCTGCGCGACTGGAATGGTCAGAGAAAATGTTCCAACTGTCATGATGTACGGATTTCCGCATACCCAGTGCTTCTTGAATTGTGCAATTTGAATTGAAGCAGTGCTGGCCGAGTTTCCATAGATAAGAATTCGTACAGAAGCATTGAATCCCAGAATTGCATGTTGAGAACTGGCTGGTCACCTCGGAAGTGCATTCGGTCTGAGAATCGAGTTAGGATTGTGGAACGAGTGTTTGATGGCTGTACGTACAGCACATTCCGAGAATGTCAACTGCTGGGCCGAGACAGACCGCGACAGAAACATGCACAGCAACGCAAGAACATGGCCTTTGTACATGTTGACAAGCGTTGGCTAAGTCGGCTACGTAAACGACACGATTGTAGTAAGAAAAGGACTGGCGATATGCATGACAAGCATTGAGGCGTGTATGAAGAAAGCTTCTTCGCGGTTGCTGTGTTTTAAGGGGTATGCTGCCTTTGATAGCCACTTGGGAGGATGTACCTCATGGGAGAATCGTAGCGTTGATGGTGTTGGGCAACTGTGCCACCGGAGATGTCCTCGCATACGAATCCGTGGCTGTGGTGTTACGAATCCTCCGGATACTGACTCGAAACGCATCGAATTGCTGTTGTGAAGCGGCGCCCACGGGGAAGGAGGCGATCCATGCGCGTCGATATAACATTTGAGCAAACCTTCCTTTTCCCATCATGTCTACGATGGAGAACAATTTGCCTTACCATGCCATCTGTGAGACTCCTCCGGTAGCCTTGTCATTCGATCAGGCATGCCGATAAGGTTCCATAACGGCTCGGTAGTATAGTCCGTAGTTGGTCTCGCCTGGCTGAAGGTTCCGATGCAGGTGCTGTCCGTCGCATGACAAGCAATAGTGAGATCCTGTGGAGTAGAACGTGGATCTCGGTAATCAAGGCTAGAGCATTAATGATGGCGGAAGTTTCCCAATAAGCTGAAAAAACTGCCTTCACATGGGCCAAGAGCGGTAATTATGGTCTGAGCTGTTGATGGTCCAAGCGACCTGACATCACAAATCATTCAGAATAGCCTCTTAACATTCGGATAGCGCCGACGAAGCTGTGGGGAGGCACACTAAGCCCCATGTCATTGGCTGTGTCACTCATATCATGGTTTGGCAGCAAGATTGTCGCTCGAGAGACGACAGCTTCCGGCTGCAGGGTACTTGTAATCCTCCAACGGCGGCAGACACATACTCAAGGGATATGGAGGTCGCTAGGAGTCGATGACATCCTTGCGGACAGACTGACAGCTTGATCCCTTGTTCGATGAGAGCGGTCCAGACGTTGTTGTGCAATCTTGTATGAAATATATGAAAGATTGAGGTCCAAGCAAGCCTCGAACTGGAGCTTTTGAAGCCGAGACTGGCCAAGAGTCAAATCTGCCCCACGTTCCAAAACAACATCAATGACATAATCCACTGGTGATCTGCACTTCGACCTCAAGAATGGAACGTCTTCCATGTTTGCATTATCGACGTGACAGTCGATATCAAACCGAATATGAATGCCAGGATGAATGCCAGGAGCGTAAACCAGAAGGTGGTAAATGATGTCGCGTCTCTCCTGTCATAATACCATTGCTTGAGTCGCCCAGGTTTCGAGGTTTGGTACTTATCATCAATGATCGCCAATCGATGGCCCCAGTATCGATATAAATGAAGCTCTCGGTCAGGCTCGCCAGTAACGGTTGGAAGTTCTCCGACTTCAAGATCAGCAAAGTTCTTCAGACTTAATCTCTGCCTGCGGCGGAAGAGTTTGTTCTCGCCCACAGGGAAGAGGAGGTCTATCGTGGCTTGGGTTTCAACCAGGAAGTCTGGTGGATATATGTCGCGCCTAGACGGTGTGAGCCTTCGTGTGTCGGAAAAAGGACTCGGACATGTGCAAATTGGGACTTACATTTGACTGTCGCACGCGTACGCACTCAGCGCCGAATTATGCCGAAAGACGAAGAGTTGGTTTCCCTGAAGCTCCAGGTGTTTTGTCAGATTGCTTGTGTACCGGATCCTGATGTCTGCTCTCCTTGTCAAGTTCTTCTCGCAGAAGTCGTCCTGCAATGTTTGATGTGGGCCAGTCAATGTACAGGCGGTGATCTTGTCGCGTAGCACCTGCTTCATGCTTTTGGAGCTTCTTCGCAATTCCAGGGTAAGAGGAACAAAATGACACAACCTGATCGCGAACGAGATGGCCTGCTCGATCGATCGGTCTTGAAGCTGCTGTTGGGCCGCATTCGATACTTGTGAAGTGCGAATCTTGTCATAGATGTCGTTCAAGCTCTGCGATATGCAGGCATTCACTTCTTCGCACAATTTGAGGATGTCGGCGACCTTCTCAGTAGCGATTGATGTGTCATCCTTCACCTTCCGGCACTCCCTTATATGCTCTCGGTACGCTTGAACTTGGTAATGCTCGAGCCTATCCGTGACCAACCAAATCTGACTTAGCAATCTCCTGACCGCAGCAGAATCAGATTGTCTGAAAGGCATGAACAGCCTAGCAGATTTTCGCACTGCCATGAAGTACAGATGGTTGGTTTGGGCGCCTCTCCCTTCGACAGATGCTCAGTATCCTGTGTGATTTATCTCCTGGAGAAGTATACGAATTTGGAAATCAATGGTCTAAACCCCACCGGTCAACTTGTTCTTTTGGTGTCCCTCAGGTAGGGGCTCTGGAGTGCATGTTTTTAAGCTGGATTTAGGCCATCTGCGCCCCCAACCATTTGGTCGCACAGCCACTCTCCAAAATGCCGAACACGAAGCTTCATGCAGCTAGTTGAGATTAGCATAGCCTCTATGCAGCCTACATGATGGTCGCGGCTGAAGCAAAAAGTGAGCCATATCATCACGAACAGCCTCACGAATCTCTTATGTCGCACTGCTTCTGGGCCTTTGCACATGCGACGAAAATCGTGCCAGGGCATCTCTAACGATGCCTACAACCGCATCGAATGCAGCACAAGCCGCCAGCTCAAGCCTGATGACCTCTTTTCACTGGGACACTGAAAACATTTCAAAAAGACATTCCTACGTCGACCCCAAAACAAGGTTCCGAGTTGGCTCACGCTGTGCCTGGTACCCAACAGAGTACTTCGAGGATCACGTGTGGACAGGATTCCTCCTTCCAAAGCTCTCGAACGTGTTCAACAGGAACCAAAAGGAAATCTTTGGCTCACGACGCAAGCCGTTCGCAGAGATCAAATGCTACATGACAAGTGGATCAACGGAATGGAAGGCAAGCAGACCAAGTGTCGTCGCGTCGAGCGAGAAACCTAAAATCGCCCAAAAGATCATCTCAGTACTGTCAAAGAACCCCATCATCTCTCGACTCGGTTCCGGCTTCGACTTCTATGCTGACCCAGACCCAGCCGATACCAAACTAAGCGCCTCGACTACAACGCTCTACCCGCCAGAACTTGGAGCCACAGCATCCAGTTTGTGTGGCATCAGAATCCTGATCGCGCCCCAACCTGGAAGCGGCTCGTTAAAGTGGACGCATGCTACGCTTGGTGGTCTAGTTCAGATCGACAATACTGTTTACGGCCTTACTGCTGCCCATGTCTTTTCAGGTGATACCGACTCGGGAAGCTATTCCACAGAGAATAGCGAGAGCGAGCAGAATGATTCTTCTCGGACCTCATTCGCGCTCACCAATTCAGCGGCCTCGGTGTATTCTAGCACCTACCTGTCCCAGGGCACGACGGTGTATATTGACCCTGCCAAATACACACGGACTATCGACGACGGTGATGTATGTGAAGTACTCGAAGACGGAGACAGCCCCAACGTGCAAGGAGCACTCGTGCTTGGAGAGCTATATGGAACTGGTTCACAGGGCCCTTGGCTTAGCACCAGTAGAGATTGGGCTCTCATCAAGATATCAGACCCGAAGTACCACTTACCCAATACTTTACAGTTCAACGGAAGGACAATAGAATGCTCTAGCATCGCAACGAGTTTAACGCGTGGGCAGGTTGCAGTCGCCTCGGGCTTCACAGGGGTACGCTTAGCAGGAAGTTCGGGAAGGACAAGGGGCGTGCTTATCCCTGGAGCGCCGGAAATGATAGCCTTGTGGACTATTGACGGTAGCAGTTGTAAGTACTGGCTCTGATGGAGACAAATTAGCGATCTGGGGAAGCTGACGTATTTCATAGTGCCGGGCGATTGCGGTAGCTGGGTGATAGACCTTACCAGCGGTCAAGTCTATGGTATGCTACTGGCATCCTCAAAGGAGCAGAACTGCTCTTATTGCTTGTCGATGTCGGAAATCTTCGACAGCATCACTTCTACTCTCGGAGTAAATCAGCCGACCATATTTGATCCCAGGGAGCAGCACCTCGGTTTGGCTGGGCTCGTTAGACCCAGTATCACAGATGCGCCGGCACCGACGCAGAATTCAGGCCCGGCTGGAAATACATCCGCCCAAGAAGCATTTTGCGGAAAGCAGGCCACTACTGACCACTACCAGTCCACTACCGATAAGCCTGTCGTGGAACCACTGTTACCACGCGTCACTATCACCATGCCCGACACCACCAAAGAGCACGATGAGCCAGCTATAGTCAGCGAAGAAGGTACCCCTTCCTTGCCAGTGGCTTACGATCCTGATGATGGGACTTTACTCAAGGCTGTCCAATGTGGGGCCTCTCGCTACGAGCTTCCAACTACAAAGGTCGACAAGTCCGTGGCCCAGAAACTAGGCTACGAAATATGGCAAGGACAATTCTCAAGTATTGTCGAGACATACGGCAAGGAGGTAAGTGAGCCACTTGGCAATTGCCGTGGAAATGACCTTCTTTCTTTTCCGCTGTCGGCGCAATTGCGTTAACCATCTCAAAGTTCAGTTTCATTCAGCTTGTCCAGGAAAGTCGACTACAAAGCCGCATCGTGTGCGCTCCAAACGCGTCTCTCGAGAGCATACCTGAGAATGATGGAAAGAAACTCCCTTTGGGTGCAGGCACAACCGGCACCGAGGAAGTCACCGAAGGTTTCCCCAGCCCTGGAGGGCCTAGTGAAGATATAGCCTTTAGACTGGCGCAGGAGCTCGAACATGACGATGAGGTTGGCCCATACCGAGTAGATCCTGCTAAAACATGGGATCCTGATCTATCGCAGATTGAGAGAGCCTCTCCACTGAGTAAGGCGCTTTTGCACAGATCACAAACTCGGGCCAGCCAGGAAGACAACGCAACCAGAGTGGTCGACATTCAAGCAAACGACGGCACTGATCTTGAAGACCAGGGGCTTGAAGAGAGAGTAGCGAAGTCAAAGGACAAGGAATGGTACTACCTCAGTCCTTCACAGGGAACATCGCGGAGTGGCTATGTCAAAGCAGCACGTCGAGAACGAGGCCGGCCGCGGTCCCCACCGAGACGCAGGACTAGAGGGACAGGTGAGACGGTGGTCCTTTGGCAAGACGAACAAGACAGGGACAATCGACGAGACTTTGATCGTGAAGGGGTCACGACCCGACGACAAAACAGCGTTGAGAGAACTCGGGGCGGCGGAGTGCAGCGCTGGGACTCGGATTATGGCAACGCAAGGCCTGGCTATACCACTCTGAGAAGAGATGTTGGAAATGATGATGCGAGGAACATCAGAAGCGAGTCATTTGCCTCGAGGAGAACAGATAAGACTGAAGACATCTCTGTGACTCGGAGCGAGAGCATTCCCAGAGCAATGACGCACGATTGGACCTTGTGGGACTCTGACACCAATGTCGCTGTTGTTCGAAACCGCAATGGGCCTGGCAGTCCAGCAGAGGAGCTGAACAAGAACGGTATCAACCGCTCGGAAGCGACGCGAGCTGAGCCAAGAACGGCGTACCGCCATTTGGAGGCTGCCCATTACCCAAGTGGGCTATCTGCGGAGGAGCAGCGCATGCTGCAGGAAGACATCGATGATCGAAGAGGTGGACATTCCCCACGACATTACTATGATGGGCTCGAATCTACTGATCACAACAAATTCTCTTCTCAACAAGAAAAGCCTGCGCAGCATAACAGTCGCAAGCTTGCAGGGTCGGCCTACGCCTCTGGATCTGAAGATAACGCACCTCGTGGCTGGAGTTACATACCAGCTACCACAAATTCAGGCGAGGATTCTGATCGGCAAAACTCGGCCGGTCGTGTGCAGCAGTCTTTTTACAACCCTCCAAGCGCGAGGTCCAGCTTCGCTCATGATGGGCCACCAACCGTTGAGCCGGAGCCCATATCAGGCTTCGAGTCGAAAGAAAGTCTTGCATCCGGAGATGAGGTAAACAGACAACGCCCAAGGAGAGGCACCACAACAATACCTAAAAGGCTCGTTAGAACCAAGGTGCTGGATGAGGTGGGGTACAACTATGTGGAAATAGTAGGAATCCTTCAGTCCAAACCAAATATTGACTGACATGATCAGAATAGTGAGACGATCCTGATTAAGCATGCTCTGGAGCCGGAAGACATCGACGAAGTCCTCTCCTTATCGAACGGGCCACTTTCGAATAAGTCCGTCCAAGAGGGTAGACCTGACACCCAATTCGCTCGACGCGATAGATCCAGTGGGGAATTGCCGGCGACACGACCAATTACCCCTCGTCATGAACGAATTCTGCGAAGTCACCGCGACCTACTGGAGGAGTACCGCCGGGCTGAGAAGCGTTTGTTGTTCAAGTGCCAGATCCAGCAGATATTCCTTGAAGGGGAACTCCCGGCTACACCAAGAATTGGACGCATCATGCAACACTATGATGAGCATCTTGGGCCGGTTGGAGGAGACCGTATTGTGGTGGAAGCGTTGAAGGAAGATGGAGTTCCCGTCTACCCAAAGCCGGCACGACGAGAGCCCGAGTACACAGACACGACTGAAACAGATGGTGAGAATGGTCGAACCACGCTCAACGATTTGGTCGACAAACTCACCAATGAACTCCGTCGACTTGGACTCCGGAACAACAAAACGACCGTCGAAGGCGTAGAGCTAGCTGATGATAAAACAGCAGCAACGAGCGTTCGTCATGCTGAAAACCGAGAGCCGTATCGTTCGGCGCAGCAGCAAAGCCCACCAGGTGTGTCATCAAAGATCGAACCCAGCAATGTGTGGAATCTTGGCGATGAGGAAGAGTATAAACAACTTCAGCAGAAATATCGGGCTATAGCCATCACCCGAGGACTCAGTTTGGGTCAAATTGACACGATATTGAGCAAGATTGATAAGACTCCCGGCCTAGAGGCAGAGGAGTACAACAAGTTTTCACAGCTACAGGCCCTGCGAAATTTGCTGATTGATTTGCCGACAGTGACGGAACAAAAGGAGGTGAGATGGTGGAACCCACCAGCCAGCAGTCGTCCTGTATTCGTTGGAGAGGACGAGAGCTATCGTTCCGAGGAAATGGCGCCGCTGCCAGAAAGGGGCATTCCAAGAGGACAGTCTAGACTTGATACTCCTGACCATCGTTCAAGGGACAGGACGACCAAGTACACGAGATAAGCTGTGACAGTGGCCGCACAATGAGACAGGACGACAAGGTGACTCTGCTTGACGATGACGGCTTCATCAAATTGTACAGAAAAGTCTTCAAGAATCGACCAATAGGCATGATGGGACACAGCCAGCGCAAATCATGGGCACTTTCGTTAAGCTGCCAAGAGCTTTTTTCAGGGTCGGGTAGCCTAAACCTACAGTACCTTAAGTTAGTGAGTCAAACACATCTTGACACCCAGAGCCTTGTCAACATCAGAATATTTCTTCTCAGCCTTGTACTGTAAATCCACTCCTTCCTGTCTTATGGCTTGGTCATTGCCATGATCATTATTTCATGCCTTCATCTGTCGCTTTACCCAAGAATTGGCCCAAAGACACGGCCTTCCTAAATACCCTTCACATCCCAGCACCACTCACAAGCACATCCCTCGACGTCTCACTTCCCTCGACCCTCCCCATCATCAAACCTCCACCAACTCCAAATCCGCTTGTCCGCATCACACCCATAACCACGCCCTCACACCCGGCCAACGGACAAAACGGACTCTTCGCACTTCGTCCACTACCACCCTCGTCATTCATAATATTGTATCTCGGCACCTTACACCCATCATCAACCACGGATCCGACATCAAACTACGACCTCAGCCTCGACCGCGAGATAGACTTGTCCATCGACGCCACTTATTGCGGCAACGAAGCCCGCTTTATCAACGACTACCGAGGGATCCGTCACGAAGGACCAAATGCCGAGTTTCGTGACTGTCTTGTCGAGACAGGCAAAGGCAAATTCGAGCGAAGGATTGGCGTGTTTGTCTTGAGTGCGGGAAAGGCTGGGAAACGAAGCAATGGGATCCCTAAAGGTTCAGAGATCGTGGTAAGCTATGGCAAAGGGTTCTGGAATGCTAGGACTGGTGATGGTGATGCGGACGAAGATCACGACCATGCAACCGGACCTTGAATGAGCAAGCAGTTTTTCACCAGTATTTGACCGTCGCCATTCTTCATTATATGTCTAGATGTTACGGACAGCCTGCAGGTATCCTCAAATGTACCCTATCCCGACCGCCTTTTGGCTATATCAATCAACAACCTTCCTCCTAATCCTCAACTTCGCCCCATCAGGAAACACATGCATCGGCCCCATCCACTCACACTCCGGCCTATGACCCTTCCCATTCCAAACACCACCCACCCCACCCTCCATGACCATCTGCATGTCATAATTGACCAAAAGATACGAAAGTAGCAGCTTGAGTTCATTCGCCGCAAAGGACCGGCCCGGACAAGAGTGCCTTCCGTGCCCAAAACCCAAATACGTCGTCGACGTGGCAGTGAACTGCTCAGCAGCGCCTCCATCAACATATCGAAACGGCTTGTACTCGCCCGGCCCATCACACACCTCCCCATCATTGTGCACTCCCCCACTATGAACCGCCACCAGCGATCCTTGAGGCAAGAAGGTGCCCTCGGGCGTAGTCACACCGCCCTTGGCAACGACTTTGTGATTCACGCCCACACCAATAATACTAGACCGCCTCGAACTCTCTCGTAGTGCTGAGTCAAGGTATTTCATTTTCGGCAGGGCGTTGCGCGCCCAACTCCGCACCTTGGCGTCGTTATCGAGTTCCGCATCGTCCATGGTCTCGTGGGCCTCGGCCTCCAATTTCTCCGGAACTTTCTGATCAGTCGGCGCTGCGAGAATATCAAGAAGCGCGTTTGACGCGATGAAGCTCGTCGTATGGACCGATGCAAAATTAATATGCAGAAGGCGTGCTGATATGATGTTCGGGTCCGTCTCGTCGGGTTTAGTGTGGGATTTGGTAAGTGAGCGGGTCAAAAGCCATTGCAAGAAGTCGTTCTTTCCGTGGGTATCTCCATCACCGCCGTCTTTGGTTGTATCCCCAACTGGTTCAGCGTCCCTTAGTTCCTGTTGTCGGCGCTGGATCTCAGGCGTGAGAATCTGCGTAAATGCATGAGCGTGCTTGCGATTCGATTTCGTCACGAACCGAGATGCCAGGAGACGTAGCGAGCCAGGGATCATTCTGAGTGCGGTCGATGATAAGGCGATATCTTCGGCGAACCCGGTCGCGTTTTCAATGTACTTCTCATCACGACAAAGCGGCAATCCAACAAAAACCCGATTATTCACCCGTGCGATAATCCTAGTCAACGAGTCAAACACCTTGACAAATCCCCATGTCTTCGTGCTGGTTCCCCAAATCTCATCGACCGCCGCAGCCAATTCATCGCACACCTCCGGCGTGACGGTGAAGAGTTGTCTCGTAAGTTCGGATCTGACGATATCGAAATGTACTGTCGGATCCATGACCTCCGGCCGTGGAAATGTATACCTCGTCTGCAAAACGTGCTTATGCGATCCATTCACGCTCAACACATTCTCAGGCTGGGCGACCATCCACGGGATCGCAGACTGTGGGAGGAGAATCGTATCTCCGTCCAGACCCGCTAGGATGCAAGGTTGATCATGTTTTGCGAAGTCATCGTACGCGATCTTAAGTGCGTCGCCGTAATATCTGGTCGTCCATATCCGGGTCCGCAACTTGGCGAGGAACCATCGTTTCTTGTTGCTCACCCTGGGCAGCTGGGTACGCTTTGATGTGGATGAGACGATGATGGAGTAGAATATGTATATACATATAAATCCCAGGAATCCCGAGACGAGGAGAGTGATGGGGTGGGCGTCCGTCATGACGGGCAGGTCGGCAAGGGCCATTCCGCTGTCTTAGATTGTCATACTGCTAGGAAAGCAAAGATAACCCTTACAGGAAACAACGTACAAAGAAAATATGGGAAAGCTGCAGATATGAGGCTGAAGAAAATGTTTGAAAATGAATGGACGAAATACGTACCAATTCACGCAATGGGACTATCGGAAAATATGTGGTGAGGTCTAATTGGTGTGTGTTTGGTCCTTTAGGCAGACTTTAAGCATGTTTACTGTATCACACACCCGGTCATTGGTCAATTGAAACACGTGCGCTCCGCGAATTTGCTTTGTCTCCAACGCTATTTTGTCTGCCTATCATTACAGTCTCATATCGAAGAGACTTCTTCCGATCGCTTAGCGACCTTTCGAACGAAGAGCTCTTCTGAATGCAAAGCGCCTGACTCGTACTGCGATGCTCAACAATCTGCTCTTCACGTCACAAGCAAATGTACCGGCACCACTCTAGCCGCGCTCATGACCAATCTCAATCGGTTTCAACCCTCTGTTCGAAGGTCCGCAAAGCTGAGCACCATCCGCCGCAAATCGACTTCCATGGACCGGACAATCCCAACTCTTCTCATCGTGATTCCAGCACACCACACCACCCAGATGGGGGCACAGCGCGCTCATTCTGTGAATCTTGCCGTTCTTGTCCTTGTACACCGCCTGCGGAAGCTTGGTCGTCGGGTTCAAAACACCGCCCTGATCCAGACCCAGGTCCTCCACGTCCTGGATATCCGACTTCAAGAAGCGCTTGTACTCCTTGTTGATGTCCAGATCATGCTGCAAGATACCCGGCGCCTTACTCAAGAGCGTCAAGTTTCGGTTTTTGGGATCGTATACCTTCTCCCATGGATTGTCCACGCCCGTGATCTCATCCGCGAGCAACCTCCCAGCAATCACACCATGAGTGAGGCCATTGCCTGAGTCACCTGTGACAACATACACGTTTTGACATCCGGACTTGCGTCCAATGAACGCCATGTAATCCTCCGGCTCGAAGATCTGGCCGGACCATTTGTAATCGACAGAACCAGCCTTGGTGAAGCGCTCTCTGACCCACGTCTCGAGCTCTTGATACCGCTCATCCTGCTCGTTCTCCTTGCCAACCTTGTGATCGCATCCTCCGACGACCATGTAATCCCACTCGTTGTCACACTCGGTCATCCGGACGTACTTGTATGCCTCGGCGTTGTCGTACAGCAGACAATCCTCGACGGAGCCTTTGGGAACGCGGATGGCAATGCAGTACGTGCGGTCGTACTCCATCTCGGCAATCAAGCTCAACTTCTGGAGCGGCACGCAAGTCGTTTCGACGGAGTGGTTGCATGTGATCGTGTGACCGTTTTCCGTCTCGACCTTGACACCTCTCGAACCCAAGTGAACGTCGACTACTGGCACCGTGACGCCCTTTTCTGTGTTTCCTCGCATGCGTGTGCGGGTGTAGCATTGGAAGTTGGACTGTCTCTTCAACCAGTTTAGAACACCGTTGAGGTATTTGGTTGGGTGGAACGTAGCTTGTCTTCCAAAAACCGCGGCATCGCGCTGGTCCGGCTTCCCATCCCAGCCTGGGACCTTGAATCCCTCGACGAATTTCGCGTCCAGTCCCAATTGTGATGCCATCTCGCATTCCTCTTTCAGTTCTTGACATTCTTCATCGTGCTCCTTGGTGCCCTTGACGTACTGCGAGACGTTGTAACCCTTCAGGATTCGGTACTCGCACTCGATTCCCAATTCCTTGGATAGTTGTCCGACATATTGCAACGCCCAGTCATGCGACTCGGCGGCAATTTTGGCACCATCTTTGCCAAACTTCTTCGCAATCTCCGTGTAGCCGTCGTCAAGATCTGAGGCCAAGTGTCCTGAGGTACGACCAGTCTCTCCTGAAAGCACGTCTCTCGCCTCGATCATGACAACCTGAACGCCGCGTCTGACAAGCTGTTCAGCGAGGGAGATACCTGAGATACCAGCTCCAATGATACAGACATCAGTCTCGAGATCTTTGTTCAGTTGAGGAAACTCGGGACGATTGTGGTACGGGTCCTTGTGGATCCAGACCGGGTCATTTTTGCCGTTGGTCCTTATGTAATGCTCCACGTCGATAGACATGGTAGTTCGTGAGGTGGTGAAATTCCGGGTGGTACTTCTGTTGGTGAGTGGTCTTGTGAGTGACGCTCGTCCGAGATGAGGTCGGAAAACAACCGGAACTGCACTCAGGCTGCCGATAGTCGACTGAGCTCGAACGCTTCGACAGAGGACTTGAAGACGAGGAAGCTGTCGACCCAAGTTAGATGCAACGGGAACCATGTTTGAGGAGTGAGGCAGAGGGACAAAAGAAAGTCATGATCCTTTATCATACCATCATCATGATCAATCACGAGGTGAGGTACTAGTACATGTCCACCACCAGGTAAGTCAACAGTGTCATTACGTGGTTCGGAAGTTCATCCGAGCCAGTCGATGCAGCGAATGAGAATGGCGAAAATCGACATTACCCTGTATAGTCCAAAGGCTGAAACTAATGATGTCAGGCACAATTTTAGTATTTGGCTACCCCAGACTTCGGCCCGGAGATCAGATCCGTCGCAGTAAGATCTTATGGTTCCCTCAAAGGAGGATATTTGGATTGTCAGATATATGTCCTGTTATGTCCAGTGGGCGAAGGTGATCCAACTTCTCTTATGTATGTACATGGAATGTTAGTGGTTTTATGAAGCAGCGACCGAGCCACGTTTATCGTCTTTCTTGCTGCGCCTGAGTCCAATCAGTTGGAGCATCTCGGTCCAGAATCCGACGGCCGGCGACAGGAATGATGCTTCGTAAGCATCGACAATAGGCCTCTCCCAGACGAGGTCCGCTTCGGCTGAACGCACAAGCTTGGTCCGCTTGATAAGTTTCCAGCTAAGAAAGAGAATAGGCGCCACAATGACCATGGTATAGTACGAGAAAAACGTGCCGACATCCCATGGTGTGAAGCTCGAGTATCCGTAAAAGATAACAATGATTGTCGTTGCAGTCAGGCCAATATATCCGCAGTAAGGCTGGAACCATCCGGTGTAGGGAAACGTGTTGCGGTCGACGCCCTGGGCCTTGCAGGCGTTGAAGAAGCAAATGTAGGTGATGCACATGACGATGTAGTCGATGACGCCGCCAGCGGTAATCAAGTTGATCAGCCATGTCAACACCTGAGACGAGCCGCTGGACACCGAAAGGAATGAGAGCAGAGGAAACAGCATCACGATGCAGAATGCCCAAATCGGGACGCCGTTGCGGGTGCACTTCTTCAGGAAACCGGGAGCTCGGCCTTCCAGGGCCAGGCCGTATAGGCTTCGAGTGGCGCAGTAGGTGTAAGTGTTGCCGGCGGAGAAGATACTCGTAACCATAAGCGCGTTGGTGACATGAGGTAGGACGCTGATACCGAGGTTGCTCATGGCAATCACATACGGCGAGGCAGCTGCAGTACCACTACCAGATTTGGTGCCACTGAGAATGTCGACGAGAGTTGGGTCATTGTAGGGAATGACGATACCAACGCAGAGCGCACCAACAATGAAAAAGATGCCGAATCGCCAGTAGACGGTCTTGAAGGCGTTCTTGATGTAGATACGAGGGCGTTTGGCTTCCGCGGCCACCATGGCGATATATTCGGGACCGACAACCGTGAAGGAGGCAGACCACAAGGCTGCCAGAAACCCTTCAAATCGCCCGAGGCTGCCAGTGCTGTGATGTTCGGCCATCGGACCAGGGTTTCTCCAGTAACGAAATCCGTAAGCATCGTGCTTCGGATTGCCGCCGACCATCTGGAAATAGTTAGAATGCTTCAAAGGTGGATATGACCACAGCGCGAAAGACTCTCGCTGCAATGGCACAATCCTTCGCATCGGCAAATGCTTACTGTGACAAACGTGAAGCAGAATAACATAGCAATCAAGATGACTTTGCCTCCTGAGAGCCAGAACTCGGCTTCTCCATAAGCCCTGACGGCTAAAATGTTGATCAGACTAAACAGATACTTAGCGTTTGGTGCGTTGGAGGGAATGTCGCTTTCGGAACAAGAGTCTTACGCATAAAGCACGATGCAACCAGCGCATACAGCAGCTGTAGGTATATCGTCTCTCCAGTAGGAGAGGACCAGGTTCAGCGCAGTGATCTCAAAGGGGATGAGGAGAGCTTCATAGAAAAAGAAGTTCCATCCAGCCATGAAACCAAAGGCGTCGTCAACCCATTTGCCAGCCATGCGGATGAAGCCGCCCGAGACTGGATGTAGTGTCGCCATTTCGGCCATGCAGTTGTTGACAAGGCCCAGGAGGCCCGAGTATATGGTATAGGCGAGAAGCAAGCTCAAGGGGCCACCCTTGGCGAGGCCGCTACCGATACTTACGAAAAGGGCAGTGCCAATCGAACCACCGATGGCAATGAGCTGGATTTGGCGGTTGTTCAGGCGCCGTTGGAGCTTGTCCGCATTATCGGAGATTTCCCCAGGTTGGATTTCGACGGATCTTTTGTGTCCGTCTCGGACGACGACGACGCCATCGTCGACGTATTTCATCTCTTTGTCACTCATGGTTGCTGCGTAGGGTGAAATTCGATGGTGCAATCGGGAATGCTGGTAGGGTGGTAGTCCTAAGTCGCTGGGAGCAGGATTCGATGCTACCTATATAGTGATGAGATTTTCGAATGCCTAGACTCCAGTTTCAGGAAAAATGCGAGGTCTGTTGCACCCATGATGCTGGCTGATGTCGGACCACGCGACACTGCCCAAGAACTCAGCCAATAAATCGAAACACCAGGATTAGCTTTGAAGCAAATTGCAGAGAGGAAGAGATTTCGGGCGGCTCCATGGTCATAGTGGATGGCGCGTGGCATACTTGCAGGTACAAAGCACGCCTGATGGGGTGACTAGACCACCTACAGACCTGGTGGAGCTGGATCTCATTCCACAAAAGACCAGGGTGACGAACCTTGAAGGAACGCCAGTCGACGATCAGCCCTGGCCGCAAAGCATACCTGGGGTCTAGGTACGTGCCGACAGTTGAGACCATGAAAGCCCTGGTTATGCAGTTGTCTTCTGGAAAATCCGGTCCGCAGACGCCACCACGAGTTTCCTCGGTAAGTGGCCCAAATCGGCCAACATGGACGAGCTTTGTCTGGACTCTGGTCTGAACATCCTGCCCGAGAGGATAGCCTGGTACGCGGTCCCTATGCTTGACTATACCTTGAGCTGCCAAGGCTTGGAAAATTTTCGTTTGCATGGCGAGCCATAGGGAGACGTCGCAATTACCTAAGAGAGACGGATACACGGCAGGGAAGATCTGGATGCGGATCTTTCCCTTCCAGTCTCGGCCAAGGTCTGCGATGAATCGGGTTACGTAACGTCGAATGAAGTCTGCAGTTCCTCTGATGCGCGAGGTTGGGCTGGAAAAACGTTGCGTCTCTCGGGAGGGAACGATGGCGACATTCGAGGTAACTTTTGCAGTTTTACCGCTATGATTCAACGTAGCTGCCAAGAGCTGCTCAATTGTCGAGCTATAGAGAGGATCATAAGGACTTGAGCCGCCGGAGTACGAATGGCCTGTCGCACTTATCGGCGATAAGCCTCAGCAATGTCACACGGCACTCGCCTACCTCATACGAACCGCGCCTGCACTCAGCCTCACCTCGACACAGCCGCCTTTCAGCCTATGAAGGCGCTGGGCGACAATTTACAATGAAGTTCTTCCATCCTCCTGACCCATCGAACGAGCACCGGAGCTGTTGGACTCGGATGCTCCAGCGCAAAGATATCTACTCCGGCCTTCGGACAATCGTGTCGCACTCTCTTCCCTAGGAGTCGAACCTCAACTTCGAGCATATCCTCTATGCAAACCTCATAAGACTATGTGATGCCGCCTGCCTCGCACAGTCTACCTGGGATGGCTGCTTAAGAACACCGTGAACGTGCTCGCCTGGTTGCCGAGAAGCCCTCCTGACCGGGATGCTCCTCAACGTGTTGCGAGGTCGACCGCACCATGCGCCTCTTGTATTTTGACGCTCGTGGTGAGCTCAGCCTGACCAGAGATCTGATAGAAGAAGTACCCGCCTATGCGATACTCTCACACACATGGGGAGCGGATGAAGATGAGGTAACTTTTAGCGATTTGCAGAATGGGAACTATAAGAGCAAGGCTGGCTACGCGAAGATTCAGTTTTGTAGGGAGCAAGCTCGAAGAGACGGCATTGAATACTTCTGGGTGGACTCATGTTGCGTTGATAAATCAAACAGCACGGAGTTGAATGAAGCCATCACTTCGATGTTTCGCTGGTACGGCTCTGCAGCAAGGTGCTACGTCTTCCTTTCCGACGTCTCGGCTCGCAAATGCGACTGCGGCGGAGCCCTAAGGGTATGGGAATCCGCCTTTCGGAAAAGTCGATGGTTCACCCGCGGCTGGACGCTTCAAGAACTCCTTGCACCAGGCTCGGTCGAATTCTTTTCGAGGGAGGGAGAGCCCCTAGGCGACAAGAGGAGCCTGGAGCAGACGATACATGATATCACCACCGTTCCTAGAGAAGCACTTCGAGACACGCCTCCATCTCACTTTCCTGTCCCTGAGCGGTTGCGATGGGCGAAGAATCGAAACACAACAAGGATAGAGGACGAGGCTTATTGTCTACTTGGACTCTTCAATGTGTTCATGTCTCCTATATACGGCGAGGGGGAGAATGCGTTCGTTAGGCTGAAAGACGAGATTCATCGGTCGTATCGGAGAGAATTGGACGGGCTTGGACAAAAGTCCGTTGCCTCGACATCACTTTGCCCGAAAGAGGATGACATCAAATACAGTTCGACTCAGGCGGCACAGACCTCGCTGCAGGATCGCCGAAAGTTGCTGCTGACTTCATTGAGCTTTGAGCAAATGGATTCGCGACGGTCCACAATCAAAAATGCATATTCGACGACCTGTCAATGGCTTTTGAGACATTCTGCGTACCTAGAGTGGATGGATCCCAAACAACTCCCGCAACATCGCGGGTTTCTATGGCTCAATGGAAAGCCAGGAGCCGGAAAGTCAACCTTGATTAAGTTCGCGTACGCGCATGCTGAGAGAGTAAGATGTGAGAATGAGGTTCTCATTTCCTTCTTCTTCAATGCCAGAGGGGATGAGTTAGAAAAATCAACGACCGGCATGTATCGGGCTCTACTTTATCAGCTAATGAATAAAGCCCCGGACTTGCAGACCATTTGGGACGATGTACATACCCCTTGTGAGGATCAAAATCAACCTCCTGTGTGGACAACCGAATTGCTCTCTGAGCTCCTGTCCACCGCGATCGCGAGACTGGGTCAGCGACGATTGACGTGCTTCGTCGACGCGCTTGACGAGTGTGACGAGCAGCAGTTCAAGAAATGGTTCTCTTTTTCGAGGAAATAGGACAGAACGCTCTTGAGACCGGAAGCCAGCTCTACGTATGTTTCGCTAGCCGCCATTATCCAACCATCGACATCCGGAGTGGCGTGAAGATGACCCTGGAAAACGAGAGCGGTCATATCGAGGACTTGGCTAAGTACATACGGAATAATCTCCGCGCTGGCAAAGGACGTTATATGAGGAAGTCAGAGAGCAGGTGCGGGAGAAGGCCAATGGTATATTCATGTGGGCGGTTCTGGTTGTCGACATTCTGAACAAGGAATTCCGCGGTGGCCGTATTTTTGCTGTCAGGGCACGGCTACGGGAGATACCTGCAAAGCTCAGCGACCTCTTTAAGGACATTCTGAGAAGGGATGGTACGAATATGAATGACTTGTTGCTCTGTCTCCAATGGATATTGTTTGCAAGACGACCGCTCCGGCGCGAAGAATTCTACTTCGCAATGGTGGCTGGTCTTGATCCAAGTTACGAAAACATGGCCGAGTGGAACTCTGAGCAGGTCACTGTTGACGATATGAACCATTTTGTGCTCAACTCGTCCAAAGGACTTGCCGAGCTCACCAAATCAAAGGCACCCACGGTGCAATTTATCCACGAATCGGTCCGGGATTTTCTTGTCAAGGATGACGGGCTATGCGAGGTGTCGCCAGAACTTGGGGACGATTTCTACAGCATAAGCCAGGATGAACTCAAGCGATGCTGTGAGAATTATTTGAGCGTGGATGTTCCGGCTTATGTGTTGCCTAATACATCCTCGAAGTCGTCTTGTGAGTCTGCAAAAGATCTACGACAGGCATTGGCCACTAGGTCCCCCTTTCTCGAATATGCGAGTCGTTATATCTTGTATCATGCCGAGGAAGCTGCGGCACGGATTCCACAGAACGATTTCTTGGAACGCTTATCTATTGAAAGATTGGTCAACGTTAGTAACCTGTTTGCGCGATATGACATCCGTCGCCACACATCGAATGCAAGTCTTCTATATTTGCTTGCGGAATACGGGTTTGCAAGATTGATCAGGACGGTGTCCCATTCCGGCCCTGTGATCGGCGTCCTAGGGGAGCGCTACCACTATCCTCTGTTTGCTGCATTGGCAAATGGTCACCGAGAGGCTGTTGCAGCACTTTTACACAATCGCGGAAACTGGCTGGCGCAACTGGAATTTGGGAAGGCCTTTTCGGCTCGGAAAGGCCAGACACCCCTCTTTTGGGCGCTTGAAAGGAGACATGAAGCACTCGCTGAAATCCTTGTTGGTTGTAGAGATGTCCATTTGAATTCAAGTGACAGTGCCGGACGAACTGCGCTGTCATTTGCAGCTGAAAATGGCTGTGAGTCCATGATAAGCCTGCTGCTGGAAACTCATGGGGTTTATGTTAACGCGATTGACAAAAAGGGAAGAGCACCATTGTCATATGCCGCACAGCAAGGGCAAACGAATGTCGTGCGGCGACTACTTGGCGGAGGTGCCAGTGTTAAAGCTCGTGACCATGACGGCTACACAGCTCTGCACTGGGCTGCTGTAAATGGGCACGAAAAAGTGGTGCAGGAATTACTACTCGAAGGGGGCGCCAACATCGAACATGCTGTTGACCTTTATCGCAACACAGCTCTGCACCGGGCAGCTGCATCCGGGCACACAACAACGGTCGGGAAGCTACTCGACGGAGGCGCCAACGTAATAGCTGCCGGCAGTAGAGGTTACACAGCTCTGCACTGGGCAGCTGACTACGGTCACGATACAACGGTGCAGCTATTACTCAGTAACGGCGCCAATGTCGAAGCTCTTAATAGTGATGGTAACACAGCCGTACTACTAGCGGCTGTAAATGAGCACATAACAACGGTGCAGCTATTGCTTGACGAAGGCGCCAGCATCGAAGCTGTGAACAATGCTGCCGAGACAGCCCTACTACGGGCCGCTATACACGGAAGAAAGGCAATGTTGCAGCTGCTTTTAGAGCGGGGTGCGAATACTGAGGTACGGGATCAGGATGGCAGGACACCATTGTCATACGCAGCGGAGGTTAGAGCTGAGCATTCTCTACGGCTATTGCTTGCACGGAATGCCAATGTTAATGCTGCAGACAAGACCGGTAGAACACCATTGTTGTGGTTAGTCGGCCAGTACAGGCATACTGACTCTGACCAGCCGGCAAAAGTCGAGGCAATCGTGAAGCTTATGCTGGAACGTGGAGCAAGCGTCGGGACCACCGACGACCTGGGCAAGACAGCCGTACAATGGGCAGCTGCCAGAGGAATGGAGGGGATTGTGCAACTGCTCGAGGAGAGGCTAACCCAACATGGATGCCGTTAGTGAATGGCATGAGAGTGCTGTGAGTGACAAGCCAGAGCTGGTATACGTCGCTGATCCTTTCATGCTAGCCTTCAGTCTGCCCCGAGACTAGAGACTTTCTATGAAGGAAGTGCTACATATCGAATGACGGTGAAATTTATAGCTGTTGGGCAGGCCCGCATGTTTCCCGTGTATCCAAGCCGCAATCTTTCCAACTTCAACCTGACAGGTTGCAGTCCCAATACTTCTCCGTCGTCATATCCTCAACGAGGCTTCATCCAAAGGTTCTCCCTGTACTGAGCATCCTCGCCGAATTCAAGATATACGTATTTCGCCCTCCAATGTCTCTGCAGATTGAGATGACGTCCTCGATACCTCAGAAGGTCAAAAAGGAATGCCCGGACGCGCGATGACAAATTGCCAGGTAGTTTTGCCTCTAACCCCCTTTTCGGGCCGCTCTCGGTTTCGGGTTGACTTAGGCCCACAACAGCACAGCCTTGTCTCCCTATACCCCAAGCCTTCCCCGGAGCCGTCAACGTGCCTTTCGACTTATTGAGTACAACAGAGGCCTTCCCATTGGATGCAGTAACGCGCCTAAATATGAGGCTGTACTAACCACATGATCGGAGTCAGTGGGCATATATTTGTCATTGAAGTGCGAATGCTGATTGAGTGCAACAAGACATTTCCCACGGCTCAGCCTCCACAGAGTGCCGCAACGATCATTGCGCGCATTCAAAGAATCTTGAACTGGCCACAGGAGATGCAAGAATAGAAGAGTAATGGTACTCAATGTTGAAGATCATGGACATAGGATGCCCCAACCTTCTGTCATTCTGAATCGTGCCATGAGAGGTGGGGAGTTTGCAAGTGCTCCAGAAGATTTGGATCTCATGAGCTTTTGTCGTTTCGATTGCTCCACGAAGCCATCGTCTATTAAGGGCAGCCAACTGCGTATCCGAATGATACCCTGATATTCAGCTATGATGTTTAGCACGATCCCAATCTCAAATTATCAACTCAAGGCACTAGCTCCGCCGACTGAGCGACCTGGTCGTTGGTAGGTCCAGAGTCATATAATGGTTCCTACCCTCGTAGTCCCGTTCGCTTCTCCCATTCACGACCACTAACCCTCGGTACACCTCAATTCCCTCTTCTCCTCAAGGCATATCCAGCCTCCTCTCCTATCAACATGGCTTCCATCATTACCGCCGTCATTCTACTACTCCTTACGAGCAGCAAACATGTCACAGCTCAAGTCGATCCCACCTTCGCAGCGAGCCACTCCTGCAACGCCACATGCCAGGCATACACCGACACTGGTCTAGCATTCGAAGCCAGCCAGCATGCCACAGCCAACGACCCTTTCTACACAGTCTCATCCAACTTCACATCTGACTCCCAGCCCGGCACCATCCTCTCCATAGAAGCAGTCACCAACCTAACGAACTACACCGTCCCCTCAGGGCTCACCATGTCCCGCTTCCAATACACAACGACCAACCTCAACGGTACAGCGATTCCAGCATCAGCGTACGTCCTCTGGCCTTATACGCCGTACACGCCCAAGAACTCAAACTCCACCAAAATCCCCATGGTAGCATGGGCACACGGAACCACCGGCTCAGGGGCTCTCTGTGCCCCATCCAACTACCAGGCCCTGCAATATAACTTCATCGTGCCCTTCCCTCTAGCTTTGGCGGGTTTCGCAGTCGTGGCTCCCGACTACGCCGGTCTAGGAGTCAGCCACTTCGCCAACGGCACCCGCATCCCACACGCCTGGGTCTCGTCTCCGTCTCAAGCCAACGACCTCGCGAACGCCGTCCTCGCAGCCCGCTCCGCCTTCCCCAGTTTGTCCCAAGATTTCGTCGTCATGGGCCACTCGCAAGGCGGCGCCGCGTCCTACGCCTACGCACAACGACAGGCCCACTCCCCTGTCTCGGGATACCTCGGCACAATCTCCATCGGATCACTCTCCACGCCAATCAAGCAAGTCGAAGCAGCGTTCGTGAATCCCCTAGACACGTCCCTCCAGACGAGCTTCAGCTACCAGGACATGCTGATCGCCGCAGTCACAGCAGATTACCCGGCGTACAACTACAGTGGCTTCACCGACCTGGGTCTCAAGAGATGGCAAATCCTCATGGAATACGGTGGATGTCTGCCGACCTCGAGCCTGTTGTTTGCCGACGTGAACCTGGTGACGATGATAGGTAAGCCAGGATGGTACCAAGATTCCACGGTCCAAACTTGGGCCGCGAGGATATCGGGCGGTGGGAAACCGCTGGTAGGCCCTTTGCTGGTGATTGCAGGAGAGGACGACAAAGCCGTGCCGCTTGAGACCGTGGAGGCGGCGTTCAACGCCAGTAGTGCTTTGGCGGCAAATGCAAATCAGAGCATGGAACTCGCGGTCTATCAGGGACTAGACCACTTCCCGACCATTGATGGCTCGCATGCAAAATGGATGGACTGGATCAAGGCGAGGTTCGATGGGGAGGTTATTACGAGCAAAGAACTACATACGTCGACTTTCATCCAGGGTCCACGACTTGCTGGGACAAAGCAGAGTACTTTGCCGAATTGGCTGGTGCAATTACCTGGACCGCTTGATGTTTGGAAAACGGCACTTTAAAGTCGGACCACCATGGTAAGTTACGACGTGGGAGTGGCAGCGGCATTTTGGACAGTGACGACTTAGGTCGTGGGTGTACCAAAATATAAATACTATATCCTGAGCGAGGCTCACGGTGCAAACCACAAGGGATAGTCCGTCCATGCATAGTGTGCCTTGATAAGCATAAAGGTATCCTCTAGATCCCACCTGCTGATTCTGCCCCATCTATCATTACTCGCATCGTGCAGAGGCCTGGATTGATCTCCAGCCTCAGTGGCTTTGCAAGAGTCGGCTCTGATCGTGGCCGTTACTTGACAATCCAATGTTCCGTCATCAAAATAGGGTCGTCGACATCGTCCGCCCTGTATCTACTTCCAGAGGTGGGGATTGTCTCGCCGTGACCATTCTTCGGCACGGTCTAGTAGACATGCCGCCCGATCAGATATCGACTGGCCGAAATTGGCAAAGTCTCTGACTTGCGCGCATGGACTGATCCCTTCTTGCATCCAGGATGAGCCACAGATGGTGACAAACATTAGACCCTCGCAGGTTCATCCACGCTGCGTACGATCGCATAAACGCTGTCGAAGCCTTCGATACTAGGGGATATTGGGCCCGTGGCGCGATTGTCACCGTCCGTGAACTGTCATGGCGGCGTGCCAGAGGGCAGCCTGCACGCAGTGTCCGACCGTCGACGTCATCCTGAGAACATGCGGCTTTTGAGATGAGTGAAGCAACACGGTTTGGAAAGGTTGTGTCTCATAGACTTGTGATTCGCTTGGGTTCATGTCATCGTAGCCATCGCAGCAAAGCCTGTGTAAGTAACCTCCTGTCAACCGGTTTCGCCACGTAGTCATTCATGCCTTCTGCCAGATATGCTTCTTCGTCCCCCTTAAGAGCGTTCGCAGTCATGGCGATGATAGGGACGGTGTAGCCCATAGCTCGAAGTTCTTTCGTAGCTGTGACACCATCCATAACCGGCATGCTAATGTCCATAAGAACCAAGCTGTAGGTCAGCGGCTTCTGCTTGATCAAGCGGAGCGCCACCGCACCATCACCGGCCACATCCACCTTTTCGAACCCAAAGCTGCGTAACTGCCGGACCATGATTGTCTGATTGATGGCATTGTCCTCGACCAAGAGCAATGTCTTGTGCGGAGCGACGTCCTTGAGGTTGATATCAGATGCAACAACAGGTGGCGGTGTCGCTGGCGCGTCAACTTTGTTCATCTTCAAGGTGAAGTGGAAATTGCTTCCTTGTTGCTCCGAGTTTTGTGCGAAGCCGATAGTGCCGCCCATGAGTTCTGATAAGCTCTTGCAAATCGAAAGACCAAGCCCGGTTCCCTTGTACCGCTTGGTCGGGGAGTTGTCCAGCTGTGCAAAGGGAGTGAACAAGACGTTTTCGGCTTCGCCAGTAACACCGATGCCCGTATCGATCACTTCGGTCCTGATGCTCCACGCGGCTTCATCCTCTTGTTCCACCACGACCTTGACCCGTACGTAGCCATATTCCGTGAATTTGATGGCATTTGATACCAGATTCTGAAGAACTTGTCGGTAGCGAAGAGGGTCGCATTGGACGAATGTGGGTAACCGTGGATCCAGCTCGACTTGAAAATCTAGGCCATTTTTGGATCCAACATTGAAAGCTCGTCGTACGGCGTCAACAATTTCAGCCACGTTCATAATTTCTTTGCTGATAGTGAACGAACCCGAGCTCAATTTCGAGTAGTCGAGGATGTCGTTGATAACCTGTAACAGTACAGCACCGGATTCGTCGATGATGTCGGTAAGTTCTTTCTGTTCGGGTGTAAGTGCAGTGTCGGTGAGAAGGCCCAATGCAGATAACATTCCATGCATGGGCGTACGGATTTCGTGGCTCATATTAGCAAGGAAGTCGGATTTCATCTTGGACGCTTCCTCGTAAGCCTCAATCAGACGGGCTTCTGCTGCTTTTCGTTCAGTAAGATCTCTCGTGATCTTGCTGAAGCCCCTGAGTTCTCCATCGCGGTAGACAGGAGTAATGATGACATTGGCCCAGAATCTCGTGCCGTCTTTCCTAATGCGCCATCCCTCGTCTTCTACTTTCCCATCTCGAAGAGCAATCTCCAATTCCTTCTCAGGTTTTCGAGCTTTTACGTCATCCTCGCTGTAAAATGTAGAAAAGTGTTTTCCAATGATTTCATCCTGGGTATAATGTTTGAGAAGCATGGCCCCAGTATTCCAGGTGGTTATACATCCGTTGGGGTCGAGCATGAAGATGGCGTAGTCTCGAAGGGTGCTGACCAAAATGCGGTATGTTTCGGCAACCGATAGCTGGGCATAATGATCCAATGTCCTCTTGACGTCTTCACTGGCGTCCACCGCTTCCGCGACGATGTAGAGAAGTTCATCAACGTCGTAAATCGGTGTCACACGGAGCCGCCAATATCCTGGTAGCCTGTTGCCCGCAATAGGATCGGACCTCTGTTCTTTTCGTACATGAATCGCATCTTGGACGAGCCTAACAGTCATGGCCATATTCGTCGGCGAAAGTACCTTGCCAAGGACGTCGAAAAAGTTTTTGCCATCGCATTCCTCAGCGGTCAGGTCAAAAACCTTCTGGTATGACCGTGATACTGTAAGAATCCGCAAGTCCTTGTCCAGGACGGCACAGGGGTTGGGCGAGAGGGTGAAAATTCGTTCCATCCCGCTCGGCTTGGGCAAGCTAGAAGGCTGAGTTGATGTCGGACTTGGTGGTGGACTGAAACTATCAGTTGCTAGAGGTGTAACGGTGACAAACGAGGCTGGAAATAATGGCTTCCTTCGTATTGCCGTTACGGCGTCTTCGATTTCTTCCACAGCGATGCGCTTTGCTGCCTTCATAATTGCAAAGTCAATGACCATGTACCCAAAACCAACAAGCGTCGGAGCGAGGAGAGTGTAAGATATTAGGAGATTTGGCAAGGAAGAGAGCACCAAGGAGACGGGGTTGAAGGGCACAAGCACATTTTGAAATAGTGGGATAGGAAGAACTCACCCTCAATGGGCAAAGCCACCCCTTGTTTTAGATGTTGGTTACGGGCAGCGCCGACGGCACGGCATATTCGCTCAATGCACCATCCCACACCTTATCAATGGTCAGCTCGATTGTGTAACACTTTTGGAGTCGAGATCAGGGCGGAAGTAGAAAGACCAGGCTATCTGGCGGGAAAAGCACAACCACTAAGCAGGTGGATGCAGATCCGAAAAGCTGTCGCAGTTGAATTTCTGACAGATCCTGGAAAGGTTCAGGACTGTTTGTGATGGCCAGGTCTCGTTCATGTCCCAAGCTGAAGCAGATTGGAGACAAGCAAGTCCGGTCGGGAGGTGGCTGGATGCAAAGCGGCAAGCCTCAAACCGTACGGGATATTCCCCGGATCCTGGGTGCTTCCAAGTTTTCGGCGAATTGAATTGCCACTGCTTCAGCTGAACTGCTTACTGCGTGCAACTCAACAGGACGCGATCACAATGGACCGCCAGAGTGCAGATGCAAACCTCTGCAGCCCGGGACTCGACGAATCGGTTGTGAAGAGGAAAGTAAGAAAAAGAATGACAACAGAATGCAGAAAGTGCCTGGATGATCCAAACGTGGTTGAGAGAGAGTCGACCAGGATTTGTGACCCAAAAAGTCTAAGTGATCAGCAACGCAAGCCTGAGAACGGAATAGGTTCCCATGTGCAGGGCGGCACACTTGTCGAACTTCGGTTAGGCGAGGTCGCTGCAGGAAAGGAGTCAGTGGCGCCCACAACTACTGTAGGGTGTTTCGCCGGGCCTTGTTGACTTCGGTACCAAAGGCTTCTCCCGCGTTGTTGATGTGATAGACAAAGCTCTGTGGCGTAGAACTCACGCCTCGATCGGAAAGTCGGACTGATATGATGTTGGTGTCGGGATATAGCGATTCGACGAGGGGATGTTGAGTTGTTCAAGTGATGCGCGACGCGATCCGAACTGGGGTTCTGGAGAGAGGGAGAAAGCTTGACGTTGTGGGCAATCCTATATCAACCGGACAAGGAGGATCTGAGAATGGGCGATCCCAACGACAGATGCGATGAGAAGAAAATGATAATAATGCAGGGGTCCACGGGTAGCTAGGTTTCAACCGCACGAGGAGAGAGAGTTTTGTGGGAAAGGACGGATCCATTGGCAGCAGCGGCCCCCGTTGTAGATGAGGCTCCCTCGAGATCGTTGCGATCGTTATCCAGTAAGTCATCGGTCACATATTTGGCTATTGGGCAATGGCCACTTTAACTGCCCTGTCCATGGACCACAAGCATGTCTGTCATTTTCAGCTCCGCCCATCCAAGCAAATTGGAGCTCCCAAAGGTGCTTTTTCAACCGCCATAGGAAGGACTGTGGCTCCCTCTATGCCTAGTGAGCCTCTATCGTTTAACTAGCAGCAGCCCTAAAGCTCTGACATCACCCCCGTTGGAGCCTCTCACGGAACCTAAAAATCGATACGGAGTATCACTAAGCCAGTAAGTTCGTGACGCTGCATCGCTCTTCCGCTTTTCCTCCACCATCAAGGGTTCTTCTGGTTGTGCTCCTCCAAGAAGAGAATACATAAAGGACTCTGCTCGACGGTCTTGTACAGTACAATGAGAGGGCAATCCTGATGGGATTGGTGTGCGTGCAGCTTCTTGTCATGCTCACATCACAAATTTCCCCCCCGGCTCTTGCAGAATCGTCTGGGATGAACAAACAACGCCTAGCGAATTTCTCCGGCGCATCTTTCCTTCATGTCGAAACCTTGACTGGTAGTGGCCCGGCAATACATGCCGCAACAGCAGGATAGAGAGCAAGGGGACTCCCGTACGATTACGAGGCAGTAAGGTTGCCAACCACCTTGCCGCCACCCCCACCTTGTCGCCAATCGCATTTTGATGTCCTTCCTACCCACCTGTCAACTAAACTCTCATATATATCAACCAATTACCCTCGCCGTCTCTATTTAAGATGGATAGGGCATCACGAGCCCTTGACCTCTTTCAGGAAGGCCGTTTTCGCAATGTATCGCAAGCCGCAAAGTGTACAACCACACCACGATCGACGATCTGTGATAGGCGCGACGGTCGCGCACCACGCGGTTCGGAAGAGCAAAAAAATGCTAGGTTATTAAGGACATAAGAGGAGGTCTTATATCAATATATAAAGGACTCTTAGCTATAATACTCGCCCGTTAATACTACCTAATTATCTATTGTCGCGTAGGCACTGGCGCGTTAAAGAGAGCCTAATACGCGCCTCGGTAAGAAATAGATTTCAAGATTCTTGAATCGATATCCTAATCTTAAGCGTGATCGTAATAGGTCTTTCGAATAGAGTTGTATAATAGCGGCTATCCCTAGTATAATCGAGAGCTGGTTTTAATACCTCGACGAAACTATTTCACGCTATAATGTACGTCTAGAGGACCTATAGAATATAGACGAGATCGGCTTTTAAATGAGTCACTTATAGAAAGAGTCTATAGTCTTTAATCGACGTATAGGACCTTCGATATTAATTACTAGTGGATCTACGAGTTAGGTTTCGATTATAGAGGTGATCTCTGCCTTTAGCGATACGATACGGCCTCTTATTATTTATCGCAGCAAATTACACTATTAACCACTTAATTACTAGTTCTTACCGTTAAACGAGTACCTTAACTAGTATTAAGGCTTTATAGAGAAGGGCTAGACTAATAACGACTATACGCTCGAGTAGTTAACGATAGTATTTATCTTATAGTCTCGACGAGAACGTTATCAAGACAATATCTCTTACTAACGAATACTTATCCTTAATGGCTACGATAGTCACACTATAGAGGTATTTATCGTAGAGTATATTATAAATTAAATTCTATTAATTTATCTCTTACCTTATATCTCTTATCTCTATTAACCGTACGATTTAGGGCTATTTAGTTAGTTAAAGGTATTCTACTTAAAATATCTTAAGAGCTATATTGCCGCGGGCGATACGTAAGTGAATCGTACTTAATTTAATTTACTATATGAACTTATATGGGAATTAGGTATAATAACTTAATATATCAATACGGGTTAGCGCCGTAGTAGTCTTTAGCCTATTAACGTTAGAAAAGTACTCGATATACCTTAAGTTTTACGATATCGATACACTACGCTAGAGATCTTGTCTCCTAAACGGCCTTATAGTTACCCTCCACGAGATACGCACGAGTATAGCAAGATAAACGAGGAACTAGCGGCAAGATTAAGTCGATCTAGTAAGGCTATAGTACGATAACTAAATAGAGCTTACTACGAGGTCTCTAGCGCCTATAAAGTACTATTAACTAAGCTTTCAACTATTAGGAAATATATACTCGAGGACGAGGAGCGAGCCGTATCAAAGAGACTCAAAAAGCAAGATAAAAAGCGTATCTAGGATACGATCGAAGTCATATAGGGTAGGGGGTATACGGAGGAAGATACGGCAGTATTATTAAGCGCACTGCCTAGTAGAGATATCATCTACGATGTGGATAACTCGGCAGATTCATAGGCAATCCCCATACAAAGTTATAGACTCTCCATCGTCAGGATGCATGAGTGGTTACCCTTTGCTACAACAATATACGAATTCATAAAATTGGCGACAAGGTGGGGGTGGCGGCAAGGTGGTTGGCAACCTTAGAGTGGAATGCGGGTGGCCACAGAGAGACAGCCCCCACCGCTAATTGACTGGCCATCCGAGGCTCATCATGCCGACGTTATCTGTCCATACAGATCCCGGTGCAAAGTCTTCACTGACCTTTTGACTCTCTGAGCAGTTTTGGCTTTCCTGTCATGCACGACGAACTTCACCCATAAAACCGTATCTCGGTTTCGATACATCTCGACACTTCGGATATCCCAGCGACCTTGTGGTCACACCGCATACATGCAATGTTCTCTTGTTATCTGGTGTGCGTGTAGCATGTGTGAATGCTTCACTTTCGAACATGCAGATTGATTCAATATGATCTATCAAGCACGCTCTTGCTCTCAGTCTGGCATCCGTCTTTATGTAGTATGTGACCACCGTAGTCAGTTCATTTTGCGCTCAGGCAAGCAAGCAAACCCATGTACATAAAATGCCGAAGAGGTCTCTCGTGCATGTGCAAAGCGCTTCTTCAACGCCTGAAACACCCAGCCTCATAACATGCCCAGTCCGGCAGGCAACATACCCGCAGGGTTTTCGCCAGTACTATTCCGAGTGACAAGTTTGCAAAGAAATCCCATGTTGGTCATAATCATCGCTTGGATTGCGACTTTTCCGTGGTGTTATAGACCCGGCCTGAAGTCGGCTTTCTGAACCAAATCTTACCCTCGCCCCATCATTAATGCCTGATATGACCCTCATAGACTGAGTCGATCTAGACTGCGTACCCTTTTGCCCGTGCCAGAGGTCACCAAGCCCAGTTTGTAGAATGTCTCTTCACCTCCGGCATTACGGCCGCCGATGTACCACTTCTCTGGTCCCAACGCGTCAATAAATCCGCCCGAAGAATTGGAACTATCGCTTCCTCTCCGTTGTCGACCTCTTGTTAAAGGTGTAGACGCGCCAGGAGGTGACATGGATAGGTTGGCATTATGTGAATGAGGTCCACCAGGTGAGCTCGGTCCCGGTGATCTCGACAGAGGTGGAACATATCGATGTGTGTTGGTGTTGGAGGAGAATGGTAGAGGTGACGTGGTGGAGGGTTTACTTTGTGCTGGTTGTGATGAAGCCGAGTTATCTCCCGTCGCTTTCGTCGTGATCGTTCTCGTACCCGACGAGGTCACCGTGGCGGTTGTGGTAGAGACATGAGCAGCGGCCACAAGCGAGCCTGGTGAAACCGCGTCATATGTAGGACTCGATTTTGCTTGAAATGTAGGATTTGTTCGGGCTCGAAACGCGGAGAAGAAGTTGGCGAAGAAGGGTCGATTAGTAGGCATGATGTCTGACGATCTGGCGATCTGGCAGACCGCAGGTAAGGCGATCGGTATCAAGAAGGTCGTCGCAACTTTGAACGTCTCTTATAGTGCTCAATAATCGGATTAAGAACTGGCGAACGCGGACTGCGATAGGTCTGGTCCTGAACAGTCACACCCGCGGTCCTCCGTACGCACTCCACCTGATATCCTATTATCTTTCTTTCGCCCAATACTGGCATGCGCGGCACGTAGGTGGGTGAACGATAAATCGAGCCACTCTTGCCCTGGCTGATGTTGACAAGGCGGACGTGGTGTTGTGTAAATCTCGTTCCGTTATTGGCGTAGAGATGTGGCTGGGAGAAGAGGCCCGGATCGGTTCGGAGGGTTTGACAGCGGTGGTGCAGCGTGATTCCACGCACCCTGGCGATCAGTTCGCAAGACGCGACAACGATATGTGGACGACGACGATTATTGCGGGTGATCGACTGTGGAATATCATGAGGTTCGTAGCAATGTTGTCACGAAAAGAGGAGTTTGATGGGAAGCAGTGATTCAATCGTCACCTATATTCCATCGGGCGATGAAGGGACAAACCGGGAGTTTTGAGCCGGCCTGGTCAGCCTGGGCACCAGTGAAATCGCTCGGGGATTGATTGACTGGCCTCGGTAATATTGGCATTACACTTTCACAAAAGCTCCATGCTTCCTCTTGCCCGATACAGGTGCCATCTTAGCCATCCAATCACTAACATTACAGTATGACATATACCACTGCAGTCGTAGAGACATGTCTTCAACATGAACATCATAAACTATCAACTATTGCCCCTCCTGATCTAGAAATTCGGATTGCGCCTCTCACGAGCATTGTATGATATGCAGGGTGACTACTCGTACCACTCCAACCTCACTATGTATAGGAGATTTAGAGGAATTGAGTCTTCTGCCGAAGTACACAGCATGCCATACACACGCACCTAAAAGGACGTCTCCACCCATGATAAGGACATCAATGTCCTCCAAACACTGGCACGCTCTGACATGCATCACCGACCTCCAAACATGAATCAGTCATCCTCGTCATCTTTGAATACAAGCACCTGTACGTGGTCAGCTCCTGTTGTAACATGAGTACAGGACTTACCATGTTATTCCAACCTCCACCGCAAGACGTGACTGAACTGGGCCCCATGTTCTCGAAGCCAAGCGCGGTGTAAAATGGGACAAGGTGGTCGTGAGCAAGCAGAGCTATTCTCTCCGCACATTTAGAGTCCTTGATGCGCGAAATATACGATTTGGCCAGAACTGTGCCCAAACCCATCTTCTGGAATTCTGGGGCCACGGCCAAAGAATGAACACAGACAGTGCCGCCGATTTCTTGGTGGCCGAGAGGTTCTTCATCAGTGCTGGAGGGGAGCGAGGATCTGCTCGTCTCCCAGTCGGCCGGAAGTGCCATAGACTCCTCTGTCACACCGGGCGCCGGACTTCTGGTCGCGACAATATGTGCCATAAGTTTCCGTTTCCCGGCATTTGATGACTTTTCTGATTCTGCCTTTGTCGGCTGGGTGAATAATCCCAGAGATAGTTCTGGGCATCGGGTAAGCCGATATTGAAACTAAGAAGATGAAGGTGTCAGTAGTGAACCCTGTACGGAGACTCGAGAAGATGGAAAATCGTCTTCTTCAGCGGTTCAGAGAGCGACAGAATCCTACCTTTTCCCGGCTCGCCCTCTCCTCGGGCGGAAAAGCCTCAGTTTCGAGTGAAAAACATTCATCAACATTGGCCACCGACAGGACCTGATTTTCGGGATGTAGTCGATCCCATACATGCGTGGATCCTCGTCGCCTTTGCCCCAGGCGTCCAGTAAGCATATTTAATAAGGGGTGATTTGCCATTGGATCGTGTTCGTCCTCCGAGTCGTCTTCGTTGTCGACAGCCACATTAGGGTCTTCGAGATTGTTCGAGTATCGTTGCAGTTGGTGAGGCGCTGGCGATGAATTTGACGCATCAATCGGCCCCGATTCCTGCATATCGATGTCGTCGTGTTCAACGTCGATGAACTCATCTTCGTCTTGTGAAGGCTGACCGCTCGGGGGATCAGCCTTGGCACGACTCTGCGCGCCGTGGGATGGTGTGTTTGATTGGCTCATTGTTGTGGTTCCGGTTCCGAGTCAGGTTTTCTGATCGATTGTGATAAGCTAGGCGGTCTTGTGCCGCCGGTCAATTGGGTGGTGTAATGATAGCGAAGTTGCCGACGGTGCTGACTGATGGATGAAAAGGGATTCGAGATGGTCCCGAGAGGAAGAGTGGTGACAAGGTACGTAGTATCGTGCAAAAATGGAAATTTTCAATCAAGAGAGTTGGGATTCGGGAAAGGCTATGATTGCCTGTGGTGGAATAGACCCCGAAAAGACAATCTAACAGTCTGCAGGAGATTCTTAACCTGCAGAAGATGGACCAACAAGGATTCTCCAGACTAACAAGCTTCCAAAAGGTCGATGGTATCAAGATCCAGCAGATTAAGTGATAAGGAATTGAAGAGCACGCGACAGAACGACAGTCGTGGTAAGATCAGAATTTTCGTGGGGGCTGCGCATGCGTGGACAGTATTTCGTACACTTTCTTTCGCCTATCATTTCAATGTTACAGTGTCAGAGGTACCAGGCACTGCTTGATACCTGGTACCTGTGCCTCTAACCTGTTCACGCAAAGCAGAAAGTATTGAGTGTACAAACACACATGCGTCAACGGCCCTGAAACAGTAAATTATGACCTTGATTCGAACAAACACACATACGCATCTGTATCCGTGAGCGATCAATCCAAACCCATCGGGAATGTCCCTTGAGTTCCTCTAAGTGAATTGGCCCCTCACGCCCCTGTACCTTGATCGCTAAGGTTACGGATATGCTTAAAGTGGGTTGAGTTCCCCGGGATCTTAGGCGCCTATGCCACTAAAAGAGGCGGAACATCTGAGGCGAAGGTGCGCGTCATCAAGTGATTGCCCTTGTGCCTGAAATTCATGAACCGTGTTTCGATCATCGTCCACTCAAGGCTATGATGAGAAATCATTCATAAAAAGTTCCCAAGTCTCCTTGCAACTCATGTTTACTGACAACGATCTTGCATACACCTATTCTCCCCGTCCTTGACGCCTCGTATTTGGATCAGTTGGACTTCCCGCCACGCCAACCTCAACCATACCTTGATTGTCATTCGAAAGTCCGTCGACGAAGTTCCGATTGCGCACAACCCGGAAAGATGTAGGCACATTCTCTAGGTCGACGACTTCGCTGCGGTGAGATAACTGACTTGTCGTAGGCACATCTCTATATCTATCGTTGCGTCTGATATAGACCTTCAGTCCGACTTCCTCAACCTCGATGTCAACCCGGACATGACTCTCAGCGACATCAAATCCTTCATCGAAGCTGAGATCAACGTCCCTCCCTCCTCTCAAATCTTCCTCCAGGACGGTCGGCCGGTGACGGACAATTCAACAACCCTGGCGCAGATGAATGTTCAAGAGGGTGACGTCGTGGCGTTGGCCGTACAAGGTACAAGACAGAGATCACAGCCTGCACAACGGAGTACACCTGCGCAGCCAACCCAGAGAGCCCCAAGCACCAACGATCCAGAACAAGCCAGACTGCGCGTTCTCGGCGATCCAGTTCTTATGGGTGAGTGGCGGAGGCAAGATCCAGAACTTGCTGCAGCAGCTTCGGACCGGGACAAGTTTCACGATCTGTACAGTGCCCGGCAAAGACAGTACGCCCAAGCCCAGCGTGAGAAGGAGGAACAACATGCGCTTTTAGCAGCGGACCCATTCAATGTTGATGCACAGCAGAAGATAGAAGAGATGATCCGACAAGAGCGGGTCGCTGAAAACTTGCAAAAGGCCATGGAGGAGAATCCTGAATGTAAGATGATTGACCTGTGCTTGAAGTGCCCGGCTAACTGGAACAACAGCGTTTGGCAGGGTCACCATGCTCTACATCGATGTCACCGTCAACAATGTGCCCATCAAGGCCTTCGTCGATTCGGGAGCCCAAACCACGATCATGTCCCCCTCCGCTGCGGAACGATGTGGCATCCTGCGACTCATTGACAAACGTTTCGGTGGTATAGCAAGAGGAGTCGGGACCGCAAACATCCTGGGACGTGTCCACTCAGCCGACATACAGATAGGGCAATTCAATTTGGCTAGCAGTTTCACGGTCATGGAAGGAAAGGATGTGGATCTACTCCTTGGCCTCGACATGCTCAAGCGGCATCAGATGTGTATCGACCTCAGAAAGAACAGTCTAATCGTGCAGAACGACGAAATCCCGTTCTTGCCTGAAAGCGAGATTCCCAAAATGATGGACGATATCTTGAAGAACGAGCCCAAGGTGGAGGGTCCAGACGGGTCGACAATAGGAGCTACCACTGGCACACTCGAACCAGGCACAGGATCATCAGCAAGTCAGCACCAAGAAGCAGGCCCTAGTGGCACCGCTGGGCAGGCTTCCTCGTCACAGTCCGCTGGTGGTGCTGGTAACTTTGGACAATCGCAACCAATCACACCAGAATCCATTGCTAAAATTACGGAACTGGGGTTCACAAGAGAAGAAGCAGTCGCTGCCTTGAGGCAAGTGGACGGCAATGTGGAATTGGCCATAGGTCTGTTGATATGAGGGGTTGACCATGGTTCATGTGCATGGAAACGGTGATGCGTTCTAGCGTTTTGATGCAGGTCTACGGACACTCGATCCTGGCATCTAGCATGATTTGCGAATTTGCAAAAAGCGAACTCATAGACAGAGAAAACTGTGCAGGCGATCTTGGCTTAGGAAATGCCTTTGACTGATCATAGAAGAAATCTTCAGTTAGATCTATTCTTCCTGATCTTGAGCGGAACCACCTGTGCAAGGGTCTTGCATAAGGGTAGACGCATCATGCAGTGCTAGTAGGTTAGCGCCAGCGTCCCCCAATCGTCTATCTCGTCCCGCCAAGCCATTTTCGGACTACTGCTTTCGCTGCGCAACTCGAACCGCAGCCCTAGTGAATCGAAGTACTGGATTAAGACCAAACTCACTTGGTGACCAAAGCAGTTTGTCGACGAAATCCTCACGGTGTCAGATCTTCTGTCTTCCTAGGCAGGTGTTTGTGAGGACGATCTGGGGGTCAGATATGAATCGTACAGGTGGGTTTTCCTCTCTTTCAATCGCGTTCAGCCCAATCACCGAGCACCGCAATGCGAAACCCAAAACCCGATTCAAGACGAGAAGCAACCGGTCCAGGAAACCAGGAGACGACTGTTGTTTGTCTGCCAAAAAAGAAGGGACTTAGGGTTGTTCAACGCCACGACCGTTGCGACAAAGACCGGTTCTTTTGAACGCTACATTCACGACACCGATCCTTCCGCTGCCTTATCCGCAAGTTCGATCTCACACGCATGCGCACCCAATCTACAGTGTTGATTAAGGCGAAAAAGCTGGAGAAGATGGAAGGACAATATTAAGCCATGATGAGGTGCTTCTTTTTGGTCAGCTTGGACGGAGTCTTGCACTGGAGGTCTATCCTACTGAAGAAGAGCTGCGACCGCAATCGACCGACAGCACAATGCGGTGGGATTCCGCGGTGTTGACACCGTCGTCCCTGCGTAGACCGCCAGGACGCATATCCAGCAGACTATCAAACACCTGAAGGAACGGATTCCAGCCGCATCTACGAATGATCGACCGACCACTCCATGATTGACACACTCGGTGACTGCTCTGGTGTCTTCTTTCAGACTAAAGATTAAGTCCTGCGGTTGACCTGCCCCTGCAGCCGCAATACTCTTCCCTGGAACATGGAAAGTCTTACAGGACACTGTTCATCGACGTGTTACCGGTCGCCAGGCACTTAGACGAACCAATCGCCTCCAGAACTGCTATTCCGTTGTCGCGCTTCCTCACACTTTTTGTCTTCATCCGTCCAATGATCTTTGTGTAGACGTGCAATGGCTGATTGAATTTCTCCAGGACAAACAAGAGCACCCTCAGCCACGAATAACATGAATCAACATACTCAAAGCCGGACGGCTAGCACTTCTAGAGTGATTGCTAACAAGCCTGGTATGTCTGCTCCGTGCGCTTATCGCAAAATACTCATCTTTACCAGGCACCTGGGCCCAAGCCGGTCTCCCAGCCGCATCAACCACCTCACAATCGACCCGAGATGCAGTAGCTCCAGACAATTGGGCGCAAGCTATGGGTGCCAGATCCAATGGGCCTCTAGATCTTTCCGCCTCTTCGTACGTGGTCTCTGATGTTATCATTCCTTAGATTTGAGCTCCCCCAGTGGACTGACACACGCCTGCATAGTTTTCCCAGTTTGAACAACAGCGGTCTACAATCCCAGAGCCACAATGTCTCTAGTGCTTGGCAGACTGGCCCTCCACCAACCGAGCAAGCCCAACGACAACAACAATTACCATCTTCTCGGTCACATGTATCGTCTCGACAGCAACAGCAGCAACCGAGTGGCGGTCGTGAGGGATTCTATCCTACCGATACCTACTCGAGGAATGCGCCAATGGAGTATTCCTCGGAACCAACCTCTCAACCAGTCAGACGAACAAGCCAAGTACCCAGTGGACCACCGGGGCTTGTCCAGCGACCAAACCAACAGACAGATAATTCTTCGACCGATCCAAGCCGAGTAACATCCCCTTCAGGTCAAACACAAATCTGTAGGTAAAGCAACTACCCACTATGGTATCGCATACTGACCGCAGTCACACAGCTCGCTCACCGATATCACAAAGTATCAACGCGGCAATCGGGCAAGACAGATTTCTGGGGCAGGAGGGAAGGTCTCATAACAAGGAATTCTCACAAGATTCGCCTTCACAGCAGGTAACTGTGCAAACACGTGACATGTTTGGTGACCGAGAGCCAGGTGCAAGACCAGAACAGACTATGGAGGCGCTGTTTGCCGGCATGTCCGAAAAAGAGAAATTCGGAATGAAAGGATACCTTGCGGAACAAGATAATGCCAGTCCCGCTGGACGAAATTTGATGCGAGGGGTGGACCTGTCGACCCTGGGCATAAACATGAGTTCTCAAGAACCCCTGCTACCCACATACCCGGGCCCATGGGCAGAACCGAATGCTCAGCCTCTACGACCGCTCGATTCCGAGTACACCATACCGGATTGTTACACGGTGAAGAAGATTGCACCTCTGTCAAGTCGTATCAACGGCTTCATGGATGAGACGCTCTTCTTCATCTTCTACACCATGCCTCGAGACTACACGCAAATGCTGGTGGCACAAGAATTGGTGGCTCGGAAATGGCGCTATCACATAAGGGAGAAACAGTGGCTCACCAGAGATGATGCATCACCCAGTCCGGTACTGCTCGATGACAAAGTCAGCGAACAAGGGTACTACATCTGGTGGGACACCAAGCTGTGGAAGAAGGTTCGACGGATTTATACGCTGAGATATTCGGATCTGGAAGAACAGCCGAGTATGGGTAATCGCACGATACCTGCCGGAGCAATGGGAGCGATGGCCGAAGGCATCAATATGGGTGTGGGCAACTTCAACGCCGTACCAAGTCTCGAGAGAATGGCTGCCAGCGGCCGAGGGTTCTAGATCACCCGGAGTCTTGTGTGATCAAGCGTTGTGTACGGATACTCCAACTCCGGCATTTCATCCGTGAATGGCATGAACCAGCTTCACATGATCGAGTGGCCTCAAAGATCCCAAATCGATCCCCAAAGGACCGCACCTTTATTCAAACTTTTGGTTCGCAAGCGTGCTGGTCCCTGGGTCAACCGACATTTGTTTTGATATCACGTGCTTAACAGGCCGGGACGGGAGATTCCGCACATCGATCGATCTCCAAACTTTGAAAGTCAAACTCTCTCAAAGTCCTCACTATTATTCATACCCTCCATCATCCCATCGTCCTCGTCATGACTCTCACCTGATATATTCAGCACTTTTCATATTCCGTCTTTGCAACTTGTTTCTCGCTTCTGCAGCGTCCCTCATTTTTTTCTCTGGTATCGTACCTTCCAGAGTGTCATCTTCTGTAGCTTACCCTGATTGTCAAAACGAATTCAGCATTTGTTTTGTTGTTCGGCATCTCTGGAAGATAAACATTCGATACCCAGCACGTTATCAGCGATCTTTCTGTCATTTGGCAATATCCTGTCACAGTCATTTCCAACCGCCGTTATGGGGCTTTCATCATGGTTTTCTTCCAGCACTATCTCTGACAAGGCTGATGAACCGGCTCCACAGGCGGCCACCGCCACAGGCCTGACTATGGATTTTGATACTATCGTGGGAAGAGTTGTAGCGATGAAAGATGAACTCGCCCAGGCTCATGAACTCTGCGAACAAGCTAATCTGCAGTTTGCCAAGTACCGAGTGGAAATTCAGGAGCTCAAACAGTCATTTTCTGCAGAACGGTCCTCGAATGCAGTCCTCAAGGAAATGCTGAGTGCTGAGAGGAAGCATTCCGCGGCTATCCGGGACAAGGCGAATATCGACAAGCAAGAACTCAAGCGGCAGAAAGTGATAACGACACAAATGCAAGCACGACTGAACACCGAGGCCGCTTCTCTCAACGCCATGACCAAGCACGCCCGAGAGATTGAGCAGCGATATTCTGAGGCTCAGTTCGATCTAGAATACCTCAAATGCACTACAGACGCTGAGAGAGCTTTGCAAAGCCCATCAACCGACGACAAGGATTCTCCATTGCCGCCTTTACCATTTGTTTTGGTCCTCGTGGACGGCGATGCGTACTCGGTATGTGGCTTGGAGGGACACATAGGACGAGCTAGGCTGACACGTTTGACAGTGGTCTCGAGACATCTTTTCCACCGAAAATAGAGCGAGGGGACGTGATCTGATCGAGCCAGGCGGACTTGCTGCCACTAAAATCAAGAATGAGGTCACGAAATATATCATGAATCAGAACGGAAGAATACCATTTGCTTCGAAAATCATTACCAGAGTGTTTTGCAACTACGGAGGTTCCGAAGGTCGTATGCTATCTAAGCAACGGGCGAAAGCAACGGCTGTTGGTTTGCGAGATTTTGCTGTGCAATTCACCGAGAGAATGCCCTTATTTGACTTTTCCGACGCGGGCAGAGGTAAAGAAAGAGCTGACGACAAGATCAGAGGTACGTTGTTCGACCCACCCAGTTCCGTGGCCAGCATTAACGCACCTTCGATGCATACTGACGCCTATCTTGTCGCAGAGAACTTCCACTTATTCCTCAGTACTCCGAATTGTCACGCCGTCTTCGTTGCTGCATGCACCGATGCCGGGTTTGCTCGAATGCTGGAACAGTACGCCGATCATCCGATCGCCTATGAGAAAATCGTACTGGTGACACCCGGATTCGCTACTCTCGAGATTGAGAAGTTGCAGTTCAAGCAGACTGTTTGGCCGAATGTCTTTGGAGTCAGGGCATTGTCGAAGGAAGAAGTCCTCAGGCGGGAGATTATCTTGCGCAAGAAACGCCTCGCGAAGAGCTTCGCCTACAAGGGCTTACTTGGTCGTACTTTGGGCGGCGGTACCTCGATTGACTCTCGGGACTTGCTCATGGCCGTGGTGCCCAAGGGGAGTGCTATCAGTGTTATGAGCAAGTTCAGTCAAGGTGGAGGCGCAAGGGGCTCAGACTTTGCAGCAGGACCTCCTGCTCGCCTCGCGATAATGTCGGCGGACGATGACGTCGATTGAGCGTCATATGGCTAATGATGAGTCTGATATCCCGCCCGTGAACATTTGAACGTCGCATCGGCGAGGTCGATCTGGCTATTTGCGGTTGCCATACGGTATCTACTGGTAGCTAATCTTCATGCTGCTGGAGCGAGAGAGGACTAGAGATCTAGTGCAGGCATCTCGTTTAGAAAGGAAGCTGTCGATGATCCGTAGCATATGCAGCGAAATCCATCTATGTGTTCCTCCTCCATATATGTCATGCAAGGCTGTGACGGGGTGGTCTGTTCCCCCCATTCTCAGCCTTGCCATCAAGCAGCCACTAACTCAGTACGGACTACTCCGTCATATCAAATGCTAATCACATCACTGTTCAACTACCTAACAAGACCTTCGTTCTCATTGTTTTACCGAGGTCCTGTGAGTGCATATTGTTTCCTGCCGCTCAAAATCGCAACATACAGAGATGACTACTCTTCTGGTCGTGCTCCTCTGCCTCTGCGCCTCCCTATTCCCAACGCTATCAACCGCCAAACAATCTCCAGTCCACCCAGTCGGCAGCGGCGCTGAGATCGATCTCGAAAATGACCCGGTATCCGCAGATATTCGAGCGCATTGGATGCGCAGAGCCATCTCGACTCTGAGCGACCTGCAGTCAACGTGTCCGTTTGCACCTTTCGGTGCCGTCATCGTCAACCACACTGTTACCGAGCCTGGGGAAGGGGAGTTGGTGTGCATCGGAGTCAATGCGGTCCAGATGGATGGGAATCCTACATTGCATGGTATGTTGTCCGCTACGCCTGATTGCCCCAGCACTCTGTTCCGTTGGACTTGGCTACCATGGCCGTGCTTGTCGCTCGTCATCGTCATCGAAGCCACATACTCGGATCATCCTCCGTCCCGACGAATCGACCCGGCGGATATAGTGCCATGTCGAGATATGAAATTGATGCTGACTGACTGTCTTGTGTGATGTAGGAGAAGTCGCAGCCATCAACAACTGCACCAGTATCCTGACTGATCCGGCCGGCAAATATCAACTGTCTGGGCCGGATGCGCTCAAGGCGTTCTCCGATTTAAGTCTGTACACCACAGCCGAGGCTTGTCCCATGGTACGTTAACAAATCGCCCTTGTGGATCGAGGCCTGTTGGCACAGTGTTTGCGGTGTTGTTTCAGTGGGTGCTTACGGGTTTTAGTGCTCATCCGCAATCCTCTACGGCGCATTCCGCGAGTACATCTACTCGACGCCCATCCATGGGCCGAACAGTCTACTCGCCCATGGGTGGCCACAGATCGATCTTCCGTCAAAGGAGATCTTTGCAAGGTCGTTGGGCAGGGAGGTCCGGACTAGGATTGTGCCGCAGGTGCTGGCCAACGAGACGGAGGGATTGTTTGTGTGGCAGTTCGGCGATGGGGCGTGTCCCGCGAGCTGTGTGAAGGAACAGGATGAGAGAGGATGGTGCGTGGAAGGGGAAAAGCAGGAGGTACCAACTGGGAAGAAGGCGAGTCCTGGGAGAGAATTGTGATGGTGACGGATCTGCGTCCACCAGGCGCAGCACGCATTCCGCATCAATCTAGATAGCGACTGATGACGGCGAGGTGGCTTAACGGTTGTTATGAAGAGCTGGGATCTTGAGACAAGGCAAGCGGCAGGGTGATTTGACGAGCGGTGTGCGACATGTGGTGGGACGACAAATTGAGGACAAAATACCTTGGTGATGTGTACAGCACAGGGAGATAACTGCTGCACGGCTAGATGCAGTCTTTTATCATCATCTGACACGCATTGCACTGGGCGTCTGAAACGCTAGTGCAAATCAACTCCCAATTCCTGTGGAGTCCGGCCAGATGACCACATGCGCTCTGAAAACGCTGGTAGCCGTGAGAACCATGGGGATGGGTTGCAGGAGAATGCAACTGGCAGAGCAGTGACATTGTATGGTATTCAACAGAACAAACCGTAGCAGTCCGTCATGATGAGCGGCAAGACCGTCACTCTGCTGCAAAGTCGCAGGACGAACAGGACAAAGTCGGACCTTTAAATCATGCTCATGTTCCGGCTCAGAAGAGACAAGTATTCATTTTCTTCTCTCTATCATACAACAGTCACCCCGATAGTCTTGCTATTCCTCTCGGCTGCGAATATCATCATCAGCTATGGCGTTCTTCAATAGCGGCACATGCACTATATGCGGAACATCTGTACCTTACCCTTTCGCCTGTCCCGGCCCACGGTCCAGCCTTCATCCAATGCTCAACGTTCATCATGAGCTTCATCATCGTATGTTGGTCGAACCACCTCCAATGATCCTCTTGCTGCAGATGCTGGTACTAATGAACACGTTTAGTTTCTTCGGTCAACACAAGGTACCTCCGACACTGTTTCACGGCGGTGGGTCAGGTATTGATTTTTTTCGGCAGCAACGCCGCGTATCCAGGAGCCAGTCTCACAGCTGCGACGACCATGTTCCATACCTCGACAGAATCGTACTGGCATCAAGCAAGTGCGGACCAAGATATGCACGGAATTACCCGGCCACCACCATTTGCAGGTCCACCACCGCACGCACGACCTCTGCAGGTATATGCGCACTACGGAGCAGTGGACGACGTGCCTCGAAAGCACCTAGATGATGCGGCCAAGAATGCAGACAACAAGCCATCTGGAGACAGGCAGGTCGTCATCAACCACGGCGCCCATCAAGGCGGAAGGAGTCCTAAGACTGCGGCAAAGAACAGAAAACGCCACACAAAGAAGCGCATCAGTGACGAAGGACAGCATAAGGCACTGTCCTGGTTCGCCTGTCAGGCGCGCCTGAAGTAACGATATGGTTGCAGCCAGTAGCACAGGAGCCTCACAGCTTGAAATGGATGGTTGGCGTCGTCGGTGATTCTTTTATCGGCATGGGTGGGCCATGGTTATATACCTTGAATTAACTTGATTCCATGAGAACAAATGTCTTCATACCATCATTATTGTATTGTGACTGTCGAAGCTGCCATCACTGTCCAGTCTTGCCCAGATGGACATCACGTCGACAAGTAAATAGTCTTCAACTCGGTGAAGTCGTCGGCACCATTTCGTTCCCATAATCGCATTTGGAGGGGCGTGAATGACGCTTGGAGCTGCGACGGCGTCGACGTCAGTAGTTCCAGCATGGTGCACATGGCCTGCTGAGCAGCTACTTCAGTGTGAATACATCGACGTCAAACATGTAGAGTGACTGTTGATGCGATTAGGCGGGGGTTCAAGAGAGTCCTCGGGGAGGATCGTGCGAACGAAACAAATATGTCGAACTGACAGTGCATGTGATAAATAAAGAAAGGGCATCGCCAGGTAGGGAAACTTGTCCGGCCCATCGGTTACCACGGCAATTATCGATGTCACTACTGAGGCATTGATGCGTCTTTATGTACAGTATGATGGAAAAAGGGGCCACCGCCAACATCTCAACAGAAAACCAATCGATGGAATTGTTCCAGTTTCTCAAATACTGAACTCTGATCTGTACCAATCAAGTTGAATGGAGCGTAGGCACATGTCAAACTGTGTGCATGATGCGATACCATAAGTACTCAGTCCACCTGCTAACTCTTCGTGTGCAGCCTTCATATAAACAGGCGTTCGTTACATTCTTGTGGATGCCGTATTTGACCTCTGTCGTCCTACTGTCCATGCGAACCCTTGTAGGTGCAATTGAGACGTGCTGAATGAAGTGGTTCGAGAGCACCCCCACTAAGCTTCCTCGGGCCCAAGACCCTTCAATTCATGAGCCGCATCGAAATCGCTCAAGTTTGTACTCCCAAACTTTCTGGCCGGAACCTTGCGTGCGAAGAGAACATCAAGTTCCTCGAAAGTTCGACCTTTACTCTCCGGGAGATAGAAAAAGGCCCAGATGACAGTAAGCGTTCCCAGGCCAGCAAACAAGAATCCCGTTTTCGCACCCCAGTTGGCTTCTGTGTTGCTCATGGCGTAAGGCAAGCCGGCCGTGATAGAGATGGAAAAGACATGCGGCACGAAGCAAGCCACTCCCAAAGTCTTCCCACGAATCTTCGTGTTTGGTAATTCGGCAATCAGCACGTAGACGATTGGGCCCAGACCGATGTTGTAGACAAAGTTGAACAACAGTAATATGACCGACTTTGCGTACATGGCACCGGTGTTGGACTGGGGAGCAATGCCGAGAAAGCCGATTAGATACATGAAGAGTGTCGCCAGAGCGGCGGTGAGGATGTATCCACTCCTTCTACCCCATAAGGTGATCAAAGGCCACGAGAGTATGTTTCCGATCACGCCCAGGCCAAACAATCCGAGCGATAGGTCAAAGGCCTGATTCGTAGTGACGCCAGCCAGTTCGAAGAAGTACGTACAGTACCCTGATGCAATGTTGATGCCGCAGAAGAATTGGCCACTGTAAGCAATTGCACAGATAGCAGTTCTCCGTAAGTTGGTGCCTCGAAAGCAATCCAGATACGTCACACTTTGAGACACCTCTTCTTCCAAGGCGATGGTCTCTTTCATGTGAGCCAAGGTATCATCGGTATTGTCAACATAACCAATCCTCTTCAGGGACTTTGTGGCTTCTTCGTACCGCCCCTTTTTCACCAGAAACCATGGAGTTTCAGGTGCGAAGAGGGCACCAAGGATGAACATCACTGGAAAGGCGTACTCAGTGATAAATGGAACTTTGTAAGCCCATTTATCCGATCGAGATTCCGTTCCCCGGAGGATGCCTGTTCCAATGAGAGATCCAAGGACCTGGCAGAGGTTGTTGCACGACAGCCCGATACCTCGGAGACAGACCGGGAGGATTTCAGAGATGTAGGCCGGACCAAGCACAGGGAAGCTGCCTGTCAAGAGGCCAGTCAGAAGATCACCAACAAAGATAACAGCTGCACTCTCCCCAAGCACTTCGATCAATAAAGTGCCCAACGACAAGACAGTAGCGCCCAACAGCGTCTTTCTGGGCCCGAAGCGGTCAACACACCAACCACCCCAGAGAGCAGCCAGCATGAACCCGATAACGGGTGCGTAAGTAAAGGCCGACGTCCAGGCTGCTTGGAGGACATATGTCCCGGATCCAGCAGGGTATTCGTAGCCGAACTTCTTGCGAAACTGTGGGATTCCGACAAGAGAACCGACTATGGTTGGATCGTAGCCGATGATGAGATTGGGAAAGCAGAAACAAATGGCCCAGAAGACGCCTCCTTTGTGCTGGGATATCGCTTCACGGATAGTAAGCTCATGTTCTCGTCGTGCAGCTTTCTTGGAACCTTCGACGAGGTCATGCACGGGAGTCCGACTTGTGATAGCCTCTTTGTTCTCCATGGCAGCGTTGTACTCCATGGGTTGATTCCGGGATGATATTCTTCCCTCAGAACAATGTCTGCGGAGGTAGTCTCGAGGCCGAGAGTTGTATCTTGAAGAAAGAGTTGGAATATTCTTGGACTTGATCTCGAATGCAAGTCAGATGGGAAGGCGATTTCAGTCCCAATTTATATGCAAAGCCATAGCGGGTTCTGCAGAAGTACTGGAGTCGTCGGAAACATTTTCACAAAAACTTGGGAATCTTTATAGCCGTGTACGATTTGTCTATCTCTCCTGTTACCTGTTCAAGCAAAGTCGGACCAGATTAGCGTATCGATGATCCTGCCTTATCAGCGAGCAGCTTTCCTATCAAGACTGGAATTTCTGGAGAAATGTGGTATGATTCGATGAACTCTACCTGTTCAGGGAAAGTAAGATGATATTAGTGCGTTGTTAAACCCACCTTCTCATCGAGGGTTTATCTTATCAAGACTGGGATCGCTCCAGAAATGTGCCAGCTGATAATCTTGATAATGTTTGCGGCAACTCCATATCATCGGCAATTGTCCGAACGCCGAACTTCAATCTTATCTGGACAACTTGCGCAGATCGATGGACCAACATCGTAACTGCCAAAAGCTGGAAGGAAGGATATCTCGTCGAGTTGTCGCTAGGCAGATGAGCAGTCTACACGAGGACAGGCTCGCTGTGGAAGCTTGAGAAACGAGGGTACCAATCATACTGGAAGTCCGACCACCTCCCATGCGCTGTTGCCCGGGTGAATTCACATGCATGCGCTTAATCCCGAGTTTGTGAACCGACCACCAAGTTGTGACCGTGAGCCGTCGGGACGGCTATGGCTAGGGTATTCACAGGTCGCTGGCGATGAATTCGAGAGGCTATATTCGAAAGGTCATGGTGATGCTGTGACCCTGCCTGCCTAGAGCATTCATGTCAAATCCAGTCATCATCACAGTCAAAGTGACCGACCCTCCGAGATTACCATACCGGTCGCGGGGCGGTCACCGCTTATATATGGACAATGGTAGACTAGACCCTGGAAATATATACTTTCACACGCGCACTGCCCATGGCAGGGGAGCTGGTGGCATTGCATTCGATCAAGCAGCCCGATTTTGGAATTCGAACCTAAGAATGGTGAATTCCGTGACGACCTAGACTCGTTGCCTATCTCAGGTTTTCTCCATACCTGCTGTCGTTTCTCCAAGGGTCCCGACGCCAAATGGGGATCACAGTTGTCGTGCGCCACGCCTCTCCTCGATTTGGTAGTTGCCGTATTGGGAATGCAGCAACAATGCTGCGGTTCGAGTCAACTAATTCATGTTTCATTGGAAAAAGGTAATCGTGAAATCTTGAAGGGACACACGGCGAACACCATATATACTGTCTTTTCGTTATCATTCAGTCGTCTCTGCTGAGATCACAATATCTAAACGCTCTAAGCCCGCTTCAATATACTACAGAATATACATCAAGAAAGTATTTTAACATGGCGACCATGGATAAGGTCTTCGCAGCGTACGAGAAGCGACAAGCCGTTCTCGGGAAGAGCAGCAATCCTCTTTCGAAAGGTATTGCCTGGGTCTTCGGCGAACTGGCCCCCCTCGCCGAAGCCCGCATCCCCTTGATGGACGAAGGATTTATGCACAGCGACCTTACCTACGATGTCCCATCAGTATGGGATGGCCGGTTCTTCCGCCTTGACGACCATCTTGCTCGCCTGGAAGCCAGCTGCGCAAAGATGCGGTTGCAACTTCCTCTTCCCCGGGAAGAAGTGAAGCAAATCCTGGTCGATATGGTGGCCAAGTCAGAAATCAAGGACGCATTCGTCGAGTTGATCGTCACGAGAGGAATGAAGGGTGTCCGGGGTCACACTCCAGGCGAGACTTTCAAGAACCATTTGTACATGTTCGTCCAGCCTTACGTATGGGTCATGGACCCCGACGTACAGCCTACCGGAGGTAAAGCTATCATCGCAAGAACCGTACGAAGAATTTCACCTGGATCAATCGATCCTACCGTCAAGAATTTGCAATGGGGTGACCTTACCCGAGGTCTCTTCGAGGCAGCTGATCGAGGCGCCACCTACCCATTCCTCACAGACGGAGATGCCAACCTGACTGAGGGCTCAGGATTCAATGTCCTGTTGGTGAAGGACGGAGTGATCTACACACCAGATCGGGGCGTTCTAGAAGGTGTGACGCGAAAGAGTGTCTTCGACGTGGCCAAGTCTGTCGGGATCGAAGTGCGCGTGCAATTTGTGCCTGTACAAATGGCGTACGATGCCGATGAGATCTTCATGGCAACGACGGCCGGAGGTATCATGCCTATCACGACGCTCGATGACAAACCCATACAGTCAGGGAAGGTGGGACCCATCACCAAGAAGATCTGGGATGGATACTGGGCAATCCACTACGACGACGCTTACAGCTTCGAGATTCAACACGGTGCCTCTACCAACGGCACATCGAAGAATGGTCAAGTCAACGGTGTGAATGGCCATTGACGAGGTCCTGACTAGTCACATGTCTTGGACAGTGGGAGCAAAATGATGCACAAAGGGGTTGTAGTCACATTGAAGCAGAGATGCATGGCATTGGGAATTTGGAAAAATTTCATATTCATACTGGTCACGGCGTCACACATATGGGGATAATATAGAGACGTTAGGCAGCGAAAAGCAATCAGCCACAATAACTCAATCATGAGTTCACTAGCTATAGGACATAAGATTTGTGTCAGGACATTAACCGAAGAGAAATTGTGCCGTCACATCTCCAGCTCTTCCGGAGGGAGACTTTGAGTCTAAGAATGACCCCCACCACACAGGGCTTCCATCCTTGGAAGGTTTGTTCTCCCAGTACTCCTCCAGCAGGCTAGAAACACTGTAGAACATTCCGTAACGGCTCCTTGCGCCCCACCAGAGACAGTAAGCACGAACAGTGTCCTGCACGTCTCTATCTCGTGCTTCGGCGCCGGCCAGAAAAATCGGAAGGAGAAGCTGTTTCTGCACCTGCGATGTCTTACGGCAGTTTCGACAGTGCTCGATGATTTTGCAGGTGAGTGGCAGTATCGCCCGTGGTCGGCGATGAGATTGGCGGTTCCACCGGAACACTCGTTGAATGTAGAGAAGCAACGCGTACCTCCAGGCTTCCATGCAATGATAGTCATCCCGTTTCTTGGAATACTCTCCCTCATTCTCGCCTTCTTCAGAAGTGGTAGGACTATCGTCCTCGACATCATCATCCAGCAAGTTGATCATCCCCCCATGAACATATCCAGCGCCTACCTCGACCTCGAGACTGTTCTTCCAATGCAGAAGCTGCTGTTCGATATCCAGGACGACAGTCATGTCGAAGGTCAGAAATTGCATAGAGTCAGCCAGTTCCTTCTGTCGGGCCATCTCAGCAAGCCGGACAAGAAACACCACGAGTTCGGTGGGACAACCGGTCAGTTCGTAGAAGGACCATCCGTCGTTCAACTCGTGGTTCAGAAGGTGTTCGAAGTAGGACGGATGTAACCTAACGCCTTGTCTTGATATCATGGCCAGTGTTGCATCCCACCAGACGAGCATGCTAGCTTGTGATCGTAGTCGGGGACTGTTGAGCGCAGAGGCTCCTCCCCATGCCTCGAAAACGGTCGCGGCATTGCGAATATGGTCCGCCCAGTTGCCCAACGCCGATATTGTACAATCCAGGGTAAACATTATCAGTATGGCTTCCAGGAGACAGCTGGTCTTGTGGCTCGATTGCCCGTTTTGTAGGGCTTGGCTAAGCATCTCAGCTACTTGGGAACGCTTTTTCATTGCTTCTGTGGGCTGCGTGTTGCCGGTGTTGACCTGATGTTGAGAATAGAGCGCCAGCACGGACTGAACAAGAAGCTGAGAGTCTTCAGAAGCGAACCCTCTGATGCGAAATGGATTAATGACCATATCTGAGGTCAAGGGAAGGATGCATAGATCTGTGTCGTAATATTTCAACGCCATCTCATGCTGCTGGCGCCAGGCTGCGCCGGGATATGGTGCGAGTGGAAACGTGCTGAATGCACTGTCGAGCATTTCTTGAGTGTCTTCTGGCTCCATGTTCGACCAGTCGAAGGAAAGAACGATGTCCGAGCCCGATAACAAGTTACTAGGTGACAATGTTGCTGAGTCAAGATGACCTACTGCCACTGTCGTGGAAGGTATCGCCGTGGGAAGGACATCCTCATAATCGATGACCTCGTTGTTCTGTGCCTCACCGCCTGTCCAAGGTACTAGATGCTGAATACTAGGGCTGGTAACCCCGAGTCCCGGTACTACATCATGGCCTTGGGCATTTTCCGGGTATGTCTCTGGCGCGAAATCATCCAGAAATGAGTCGATATTCGTCGTGTCCACCAACCGGCCTTCATCTTCGATGACGGCAATCGTCCCTTCTGGCGATTCGGAGTGCTGGTCAAGGTTGTCTTCAGTTTGTGAAGGGGTCACTGGAGACGTTTTCTTTGATCCCCTACTGCGAGTCTCAGCAAGGCGAAAAGTGCCTGCAGTTTCTGTGATCAAGTTGGTCGGGCCACCACGACCGCATTGTTGATCTTGAAAAGGTGACCTTCGATTAGGCCTTTGCTGATGACCTCTTGATGATGTCCTGCCTGAATATGCTCTGCTTGAATGCCACGAAAGAGTAGTGGCATAGCCACCGCACTTGACCCCTCTTTCCAGGCATGTTGAGCAGTATGGTCGCTGTCTCTCGCATTTACGATTCCCTGATAGGCAGGTGTGACAATCCGTTGGAGCAAACGCTGTGAAGCGCGGTCTTGTTGTGCCTGCCTCTTTCATCGCGTTTGCAGTCAGTCTGATGTACGAATGTAGTAACAATAGACATTCCCTAATTTCGTTGGCAAGGAGGATATTAGGGTGGAAAATGGGTCTTTAGACGATTTAGGCATAGCACTCGTGACCGATCTAGGGCATCATTAGCCTGGTGGGGTTGTGATAGGAGATATCCGACCTTGCCGAATGTGGCAACGGGAGAGAGTTTGACCAGGGCGATATTACTCATAGAGCTTATCTATCTCTCGGGAGTATACGATATCTATCAGATTATGTTTCGCATTGAACCATGAGTTGGCAATGACTACATATGCAGTGACATTGAGATCGATATCTGAGGCTTCTAGATCAGACAACGCCACTCTTTATCAGAAGAGTGGTCCATGGGCTCGGTCTCTAGATACCGAGCCGTTCAATCCCACTGATAGACGCCTCACAATGTGGGTCGTCGGTCTTCTCATCCGTCGGCCCATTCGTCTCGAACATTTTGCCTTGTACCACGAAAACGGTAACTGCCTAGAAGGGTTTGCCGGGTTTCATCCGCAACTGTCTTCCTAATCAGTGGAGACCTACCCGTAGTTGTGGTCTGAGATGCAAACTACCTGCAAGGCCTGTTTCCACGTGGCCTAGCCTTGCTCCAAGTCTGCCCAACATTCTTCACCAATTACATCGAGGCTTTTGCGTGACAACATTGCTTTCAACTATTTCACAGAGTGAGGTGCTCAACCCTGGAGTGCGACAAGTCTTGCATTAGTCCTTCACAATTGGGCTAGCCATGGCGGTCTCCGATGTTGGAAAGGAGAGCTATCCGCCGGAGATTATTGGCTACGCGGAACCCTGGATCGTAGCCCCTGGCGAGCCGATTGCTATCAAGGTAAGCACCATTAGCGCAACTCTATGTTCTTTTGACACAAGCGGCATGCTGAGATGGGCCTGTACTTCATGTTGAGATGTACCAAGTTGTCCATTGTCGACGTCCCCATGTTTATGGGCTCCAGCATTAGGCGAACAGACATGCTGACAGCTGTGTAGATATCTTGCACCGAACCAGAATATACATATCGAACTGTCCGGTTGATCCAGGGCATAACTCTCGATCACGCGCCGGAGAAGCGCGAAGAAGAAATCTCGCAAATTCCTCGAGGTCGACAGAATGGAAAGGTCCAAGTCGCTCACCCAGGCTCATATGGGTATATCAGCCACTGGAAACTGCCAGCCGCCCCGGCGGGCCTTCAAGTCTCGTTCTATCTGCAACCGTGGCTCGTGGGTTGTTCACATCCGCAGACGCTGGTTTCTTCTCTAGACACCGCGGAGGGCACTGGATTCTCTATCGTTTTGAACAGCCAAGGTTCGATTGACGTATGGATCGGGAGCGACCACAAAGTCGAAGTTGTTTCCACTGGGCTCAGACCTCACAAGAAGACTTGGGCAAAGTTCAACCTTTCGATTGTTGGTCGGTCAGTCCAGGTCTCCTTGAGTCCCAAGTCATTCAAAGTAGAACCAATTCCAACTTCCACGACACACGAGGCGCAGCTGCAGGGTGAGCCTCTGATATATCGACCTGGACCACTTTTCATCGCGGCAAGCCAAAATGCAACAGATGATCCAAAGCAGCAGGCGACCAATTTTTTTAATGGTCGTATCGCTGATCTAACATTGGAGACGTCGGAAGAAAAACCATCTGTTCTTGCCAAATATGACTTTGCACTCCATATGTCAAGCGACATCGTCGTTGATACCTCCGGGCACAGCCAGAATGGTGTGCTGATCAATGCGCCCACTCGCGCTGTCAAGAGTCACGATTGGGACGGGTCGGAATGTGACTGGACAAAGGCAAAATATGGCTATGGCGCCATTCATTTTCATGATGATGATATGGACGACGCTGGCTGGGACACAGATTTCACTATCACCATTCCTTCTGACGCTCGCTCTGGCGCTTACGCGGTTGAGGTCGAAGCCACAAACGGCAAAGATAAGGACTGGGTTACCTTCTTTGTACGACCTAACTCGTGGGCTCCAGGAATTTCCAAGAAGGTCTGCCTTGTCTTCTCCACATTCACCTATCTTGCCTACGCCAACGAGCGCCTATACGATACCACTCGTCCGAATACAGCCGACCTAGGGCCCGGTTTCGACATAGACAAGACCGTCAAAAGCAGTGAATTCTACAAGATGCGACGCCGGCTGGACCTGGGCTTGTCCACCTACGACCGTCACAACGACGGCTCTGGAGTCACATTCTCTTCGTCAAAACGTCCGATATTGAATGTCCGCCCAGGCTATATCATGTGGGCCTTCTCGCGCCCACGCGAGTTTTCCGCTGATCTCATGATGCTCGGGTATTTGGAACGCGAGGGCATCCCATACGAAATCTTGACCGACCACGACTTACATCTACGAGGCGTTGATGCTCTCAAGGGCTTCAATACCGTCATGACAGGCTGTCATCCTGAATATCCCAGTCCACAGGTCTTTGCTGCCTATGGTGCATTTGGTGCACAGGGCGGCAATCTGATGTACATGGGTGGCAATGGTTTCTACTGGGTCACTGCTATGGATCCTGCTCGTCCCCATCGTTTGGAGCTGCGCCGAGGAGACGTGGGAGTCCGTCCCTACACTCTTCCAGGAGGTGAACAAGTCAACAGTCTCGACGGACAGCAGAGCGGTCTTTGGCGCTCCCGTGGTATGAGTTGCAATACACTATGGGGCGTCGGCTTCTGCGCCCAAGGTACTGGTCTTGGTGTGCCATACAAGCGCACTGAGGAGTCCAAAAGCCCGCAGTTGTCCTGGATCTTCGAGGGCATAGAAAGTGATCTGATTGGAGAGCATGGCTTTGGCGGCGGTGCTTCGGGCGACGAGATCGATCGCTATGATGTGGAGAATGGAAGTCCAGAAGACGCAGTAGTTTTGGCCACCAGCACTGGTCACAGCGATGAATTCGGCATTGCCACCGAGGATCTCACCTATCCCGCGCTCAACACTCTTGGGACGCAGACAGACTTGATTCGCAGCGATCTAGTGTACTATGTTGGGGCTGGGGGTGGCGCCGTATTCAGTGTGGGGAGCATCAATTGGTACTGCTCATTAGGCTGGGACGCCTACGAGAACAATGTTGCTAGGTTGACGGGTAACATCATCAAGGGCTTTCTGGCAGGAAAGCGGTAGGATGGTTTGGCTAGTAACTATATACAATACCAATACCTGAGCATGAATGAATCCCTCGAGGCCCTGCGGCAGTGCTGACGTAGCGAATCACTCAGTACGCTTCATACTATTACTATCGATCTTATTTTAACGCCCTAGTCCACCCATCGATTGCTGTCAGGTCAATTCGTTGAGGCCCGACATGAAGGTTTTAGGTGATCATAGCGCTACCAACCAAAACCACTCCTGCCTAAACAGGTAGGCAAGATGGATTGACAATGGTGGGCAACAAGGCTGAGATATCATATTTCTGAAAGCCTCCTGCACTGATAAGGAAACATGCCTCACCTGACAAGTGGCCTGTTCTCAGCCTCGCCAAATGACAGGGGTCACGCAACGATTTTGCAGCATTTTGATACCTATGAGCGACTGCCGTCGTGTTTTCCCTCGCTACTGCGAAGTTGGTGAGAGCACTTGAGGAGTACCATATAGAAAAGGCGACGTTTGGCTCCCGCGGAGACCTGACGGCACAATCATACAATCCTTTCCAAACCAGAGATCCCTTGTTCATTGAACCTTCTTTCAGCCCCTGATCCGATCTTCCTCGTTTCCGGAGGCCAAGCTAGCATCACTACGTCGCTATGGCGCAAAAGAACATTGTTATAGTTGGGTATGTTGTTTCTACTGCATACGTTTGATTTATAGCATCGGATACTGACGTTCTTCAGGGCCGGCGTTGCTGGACTGACAACAGCGTTGCTACTGTCCCGGGAACGTCGGTACAACATTGTCGTGGCAGCCAAGCATATGCCCGGTGATTATGATATCGAATATGCCTCGCCTTGGGCGGGCGGCAATTACATGCCGTAGGTAGCACTCCAGACTTCTGCCCAAATTGAGAAACTGACCCAGTTCCTGATCAAGTGTTGGAGCTGCAGGCTCAAAACCAGCTGAATACGAGAAGAACACATGGGCTCCTCTGGAAGATCTAGCACGGAATCGTCCAGAGGCCGGAGTTCACTTCCAAGGTGCGTCTAGCCAGATCACTGTATTGATAGTTAGGGTGTCCCCAACTGACCATTGAAAGAATGTCATATCTATAGTCGTGCAAAGGATGCCGACTCAGCAACGGCAGACTGGTTCAACGAATTACTCTCGCCCAAAGCGTGGTTCAAAGATGTCGTTCCAAATGTGAGTCACTCATCCGACGTCGTCGCTGCAACGTTCAATAGCCGAGAATGCTTACACATACACCGCACCGCGTCTTAGTTCCGTCAGCTGCCTCAAAGTTCACTCAGTCCCGAGATCAAGTCAGCGACAGCATTCACGTCCGTCTGTATTAACACGGCTATCTACCTTCCTTGGCTGGTCTCACAGTGCTTGAAGAATGGAGTAGTCTTCAAACGAGCGGGCTTCAATCACATCAACGATGCCGCTTCGTCAAGTCTTTATAAAGGTCAACAAGTCCATCTTGTGGTCAATTGCACTGGTCTCGGTGCCGCCAAGCTCGGCGGTGTACAGGACCAAACCGTCGTTCCCGCTCGAGGTCAGATCGTAATTGTACGCAACGTGGCTCCCAATATGCTTGCGACATCTGGAACAGATGATGGGTCGGATGAAGCCTTGTATGTAATGACCAGAGCTGCGGGAGGAGGGACCATCCTTGGTGGTTGCTACCAGAAGGGGAACTCGGATCCTCAAGTTGACCCTAATCTTGCTGTGAGAATCATGAAGAGAGCTGTTGCAATGTTCCCTGCCTTGACTGGTGGGAAGGGAATCGAGGCTCTTGACATTATCAGGCACGGCGTTGGACTGCGGCCGGTGCGTGAGCGTGGCACTAGAGTCGAAAAGGAACGCATCAACGGCGCCTGGGTTGTGCATAACTATGGTGCTGGCGGAGCAGGTACGAGAAGCACGATACCCATGAGAGACGTACAACCACTGACATTTCCAAGGTTACCAAAACTCATATGGATGCGCGCAGGCTGCTGTCAAGTTGGTCGACGAGGCTCTAAAACCGTCAGCCAGACTATAAGTCCGAGGCATAAAACTGTATCGTGGTTTCATGTGAACAAGCTACTAGTATTGATCAATAGGAGTGGTACTAGTAATATCATTGATTGAGCGTGCATAGATTGAGCGAGCGGTCCAATTATCCGAGGAGCAGGTTATTCCGCAAGCGCGACGGTTGCAATGAAATGGACGTGGCGACCCGCATAACATAAATACTATGATTTCGCCTCCCTTTTCATCAAGATCTCAGTAAATGCCCCGTCAAGAATTATCACCCGGTCCTGTTCCCTCCAGCCATACTTTGTGTATACAGGTACTCCAGGTGGACTGGCTTCCAAGTAGATCTCCTTTCCTTCACTATCTGCCAACTCGACACCATATTTTAGTAATAGGCGTCCGGCACCTTGTCCCTGGTGTGTCGGCCGACAACACAGACAAGCCAAGTACCAGTACTTCCGACCGCCCATGATCTCGATTTTTCGTTTCCTTAGGCGCGGAAAGAAGATCTCGGCGACTTCCTCATCGCCTCCTTCGGGACATAGTGGTCCTTCCTGGATGGTGTCCTCGTCGCAAGCTTGCCAATTCGCATAGGCGATGACTGGGCTGCCCGGTGAATCCTTGTCGACAATGCATCTGATGTGGTGTTTCGGGTCCGCAATGTCCTTCCGTAGGCCATCTACCCAAAATGCTCGAACAGTGGGTATGTCTGGGAAGCATTTGCCCATGACATAGTCACCCGCGAAAGCAGAGAAGAAGGTGTCGCAAATGGAGTCAATGTCGGACTCTCGCGCCTCCCGGTGTTCCAGAGCCACCATTTTGGTCGATGTTGAGATTGGTTGGTGTTGGAAACACAGTTGGTTGGGTCGACCGGACCTTTTTTCTTTGATGGAAGCCTATGTGGCTATTGAGACGGTAGCTGTTGGAGTTCGATCTTGTCGTTGTGCTTGAGGCAGATCTTATTATGTGGTGGATCTGGGAACCTCAAAATAGATAGTGATGTTGAGCGGCAAGGCTGACCAATATTTTTGCTTTTGTGGTCGAACTTGCCTCTAGGGTAAAGCATTGAAGCATGAAAGCATCTCTTTCCCCTTTGTCAGAGACAAGTGTCACGGCTCTCGGAAATTCCCGCGGATTACTTAATGCCTACTGACATTGAACGGTTGCTATCTTGATCCAGTGCGCGCACAAAATTCCATGTGTCAACGATCCAGATCCAGATCATGAGATTCAGATCTAGAAACTCAATTATCCGCAGCAGGGTTCAATGCGCGCGTAACGACTTCTGATGGGATGCAATGGCAAATCAAATGTGGTAGTTGCCTAAATAGGCAGGAACCAGGGTTCAGGAGAGACCCCAACGCCTGTGGTCGTTGAAACTGCCCGGTATACTTCGATGTCACCTGAACAACCATTCATTGACCTTGTCCCATCCTCGACTTCAGGACCCTTCCCTGTGCCTTCTCTCCCTTTCAGTCACCACTACTAAGCCTAGTGTCATTCTTGAAGCTTGTCAACCTGGTGCTCACCTAATCAATCGCCTGACCCTCAGACAATTATCCCATACCACATAAAAAAATGGCGTCTCTCCCACCCAGTGTCGCCAAATCCATTGAGAACTCCAAAGCAGAGTACAGACGACTTGGAAACTCTGGTCTATACGTTTCAGTCCCAATTGTAGGATGTATGTCGATTGGAAACCCCGAGTGGGCGGATTGGGTATTGGGGACCGATGAATCCTTGCCTCTTCTAAAAGCGGCATACGACCGTGGTGTCAACACTGTGAGTCTTTACCTTGCTTCCTCCCGTCCTTCCATACGCAATATTCACCTGGACATTGGTCTACTCTGTCATATGTAAAGAGCCATTCTAACATTAAACAGTGGGACACGGCCAACATCTACTCCAATGGCGACAGTGAAAGAGTCATTGGAAAGGCCATCAAGGAGTACAACATCCCACGAGACAAGCTGGTTCTGATGACCAAAGCATGGGGTGTGTTAGGCGAGGAGCAGTTCGCGGCATACCCAATTATGGACCAGTTGAGGACCAGCAAAGACTATGTCAATCAGTTTGGACTCTCTCGCAAATCTCTTATCACCGGCGTCAATGGCGCCCTGGAGCGCATGGGCACTGACTACATCGACCTTTTCTGGATCCATCGCTTCGATCCAAACACGCCGATCGAAGAGACCATGGAGACGTTGCACCACCTCGTTGTTTCAGGCAAGATTCGCTACATTGGCGCATCGAGTATGTGGACATACCAGTTCGCCCAGATGCAGTTCTGCGCCGAGAAGAACGGCTGGACCAAGTTCATCGCCATGCAAAACTGCTACAACATGCTCTACAGGGAAGAGGAACGAGAAATGAACAAGTTCTGCAAGGAGACCGGCGTGGCCCTCTGCCCCTGGGGTCCCCTGGCTGCGGGTAACCTTGCGCGTCCTCTAAAGGCCAAAGGCGAGACAAAACGATCTGCTGGCGGTGGTGGTGATCCTTCCACCACGCGGGAGGAGTCTCTTGAGATCATTCGACGTGTTGAGCAATTGGCGGAGAAGAAGGGGTGGACGATGAGTCAAGTGACATTGGCGTGGACGTTGAAGAGAGTCACAAGCCCTATCATTGGATTCAGCACTGTGCAACGGATTGAAGATGCATTGAGTGCTAGAGGTAAAGTCCTGACCGCTGAGGAGGAAGCTTTCTTGGAGGAGCCGTATACTCCATTGAACATTGAGGGTCACTTCTAGGTACCACACTGTCGGAATATGATATAGACTATGTGTTAATGTCCAGTGGTAAACGTCAGGATGTCTCATCTGATCGGTGTGAAAATGCTCCTCAACGTACTGAAACCCAACATCGGCAGCATACACGCAACCTACGAGTCGAGTATCACTGGTCTATGTGCGCATAGGGGGACTTTTCTGGATCTGGCAGCGATTTATGCTGGCCCTTGAATATTGCGGGATCTAGCATGGTCGATTGAGAAGTATAAGGTTTGTCCAGTTGAAACCAAACAAGTGGTTTTATTGCACGCCCATGTACAGTAAATCTAGCGCCCACTTCTCACTACCTAAAGTAATCCACACCTCGACAAACACCCAACCTGACAACACACTGACCGCCGAATCCCTCCCCAGCCCCAAAACTCTACTCTTCGATCTTCTTTTCGCCACCTGGAACATCGTGACCAAGGTTGTGCACCTCATCCTCAAAGACATACTTGGAGAATTGCCGTGTTGGTACACGAGCCTCGAACATAGCATCTAACTCCTCAAAAGTTCGACCCTTAAACTCGGGCAGTCCGAACCAGACCCAAGCAATGCACGGAATGCAGACTCCAAAGTAGACGAAACCCAACTTGCCACGCAAGTTGCCAACTTCAGGGTTGATAGCGTACGGAACGCCGATAACGGCGACAAGATTGGCCACAAACTGCATGGCGGTGGCAAAGCCAATGGTATAACCTCTCATTCTAGCCGAGGATGACTCGCAAAGGATGATATAGGCGACAGGGCCGATGGTCAGGTCGTACACAAAGTTCCACAACAACATCATCGAAGACTGGACCCATCTGATAGAGGAGTTGGAGCCATAGGAAGGAACGACATCCAGAACGGCAATCAGAAGCAAAGCGACAGACAGTGCCAGTAAGCCGAACAGATAGATGTGTCGTCGGCCATATTTGGCAATGAGGATCCAGGAGAGACAGTTTCCGACGAATCCGACGCCGAGGACACCACAGCCAAGACCAAAGGCGCTCGATGTACCCAGACCAGCGAGCTCGAAAAAGTAGACGCAGTAGCCAATGACAAAGGCCGTGCCACTAAAAACCTGGATGCAGAAGGCCATGCTGGCGATGATTGTGCGGCGAAGATCGGATCCCTTGAAGATGTCGACGAATCGGGCACCCAACATTTGTGCTTCTTCAAGCTCAGTCGTGAGAATGATGTTTGCCAACAACGTTTCCGTGTCGATTTCCTTTGTGGTGATGCGATCGAGCGCCTTGCGAGCCGCCTCGTTCTTTCCCTGACGTGCCAGCCACCAAGGCGACTCGGGAGCGAAAAAGACGCCGACGAAAATGACCAACGGGAAGAACCACTGACATGCGAATGGGATGTCGTAGCTCCAACGGTCAGGACGGTTCTCAGTACCTGCCAGGATACCGCTGCAAACGAGCTGGCCGGCAACCTGGAAGATATTGATCGAGGCGGTGGCAACACCACGGAGGACCACAGGAGTGATTTCCGAGATGTAGGTCGGGACGACGACAGAGTAGCCGCCAATAAACAACCCGTTCAGCAACTCTGCAAGGAGCAGCTGCACTTTGCTCTGTCCGGAGGTTTGGATGGCTACAGCAATGATTGAACCGACGCTGCAAGCGCCGAGCGCCCATCGACGACCCCAGCGGTCAAGTGGCCAGCCGATGAAGTATGAGCCGATTATGGCGCCCAGAGGCGCACCAAGGTTGAATGCAGATTGCCACTGTGCCTTGACAACGTATGCACCCTCGAATAAGTGGCCGTACTGCCTTTGGAATTGGGGGATGGCGATCAGAGTACCGGTGAGTTGAGGATCGAAGCCGACCATGACGTTGCCCATGCTGAAAAGCATAACCCAGATGATCGCCGGAGCGTAGACACGGAGGGCTTGCTTGATGGACAAGGTGTGCTCGATAGCTGTAGCATCGCGGGCTTGTTGGAGGTTGACCACGTCGCCCTGGGTCCTGGAAAGGACTTGTTGGACGAGGTCTGGTGATTTATGTTCTTTCCCAACCGCGGGCACACTTTCTGGACCATCTTGTGCCGTGGTCGCATCGTGGGCAGTGACTTGCCTTGGACCCTCGAAAGACATGGTTGCAGTTTCTGCTGGTGATGTTAGCATGAGTCGAAATGCTAGTACATGGGCGCAACGTACATGAGTGCTTTCAACTGTGCAATGGGATTTTCCGAATTCCCCTGGTCAAGCTCAAACCCTTTGCAAAACTTCTCAATTAAACCAACTTGGACCAAATGCGGGGTGAAGAAGCGATATGGTTTGGCTGCTTTGACTCTCTACCAGGGTATTGGGTCTCGTATATATAGGATCTGCACAACTCTTAATCTCTACCTGGAGTTCGGAATGACCATGGTTGATGAGGCTAGGCCCTTAGTCCTTGGAGCGGGGAGACTGGGCGATGCACCCCACTGTTGATTGCGGCCGATGTGATAAATCAGATAAGCCTCCCTAGCCCTTGATTCCTGCCCAGAAAGCACTAAGCACTGTTCCCTCCTAGGCAATTACCGTATTCGGACCGCACTGATAGGACTGATAGCCTCACGTGTTCGTTCTTTCCCAATGGCTATGGTTTCTGATAGGTTATCACGCAACAGCACATCTTGTTAGCGGTTGAGGCTTTGGAAGGGTGTTCTAATATCGTGCCATCATGCGCGACTAAGGCTCGATCTACCTACAACATTCTCGGCACTCTAAGAGTTGACACACATCTGATAGGAAAGGAAGATGTGGCAGGTACACCCGATCTAAGCATTCGAGTCCGCATATCTGATACCCTTGCCATTGATTTCCCTGATACAAGCTCTCGCACTCCTACAAAGAGATATAGACGCTCTTCACTTCGGTCCACTCATCAAGACAGTGCTTACTCAGCTCGCGACCTTCACCACTCTGCTTGTAGCCTCCAAAGGGCATGTCAATGGCTACTGTGGGACTCGTGCAATTGACTCCGACGGAGCCAGCCTCGAGAGCCTTGGCAAAGCGCATGGCGCGTGAGATATCCTTTGTGAACACGCTGGCGTACAGACCATATTCAGTGTCGTTGGCACGTTTCAAGACGTCCGCCTCATCGGTGAAAGTGTTGATGACGACTACAGGACCGAAGATTTCTTCCTTGACGACCTTGGACTCCTCAGGAGCGTTGGCGATAATAGTGGGCTCAATGAAGTAGCCAGTCGAGCCAATCCTGTTGCCTCCGAGACGGATGTCAAGGCCCTGCTCTTTAGCATAGCTCATGTACGACATGACCTGGTCGAATTGCATCTTGTCGGCTTGGGGACCTCTTGAAGTCCCAGCAGCGGTGGCATCGCCCGGCTGACCGATCTTGGCCATGGTAGTCTTCATCGCTTCCAGAAAGGTGTCGGCAACGTTAGCGTGTACATACACTCTTGAGCTGGCAATGCACGCCTGGCCCGAGTTGGAAAGGATCGAGAAGGCAGCAGCAGGAACAGCCTTCGCAAGATCCGCATCGTCGAAGATGACCAGTGGGCTCTTACCACCGAGCTCCAGGGTGACGTTCTTCAGGTTCGAGTCTGCGGCAGCTTTTTTGATTGCTCGCCCGGTCGTCACAGACCCGGTAAACGAGAGCTTTCGGATATCCATGTGTTTCGCAATAGCTTCACCGCAAGGGCGGCCAAATCCGCTAAGGATGTTCAGGACACCCTTTGGTAGGCCGATCTCCTTGCAGAGCCTCGCGACAACAAGGCAAGATAGCGGGGCTTTCTCTGATGTCTTGAGGACCAATGTGTTACCACCAGCAAGTGCAGGACCAACCTTGCAGATCAAGACAAGGAGCGGCATATTCCACGGAATTATGGCACCGCACACACCGTAAGGCTGACGAAAAGTGACGTTTACCATGCCGGCCGTGTTCAGCGACGATTCACCGTGAACATCGAGAGCTTTGCTGGCAAAATATCTCAGGAAATAGCCAGCGTAAGCGGCCATGGCTTGAGTAAATTAGCAAGGAATTGAGCTGAACCGGCATGCGAGTGCTTACCGTCACCAATGTAGGGCCTACCCATGCTGATAGCATCAAGGTATCCAATCTCATCGATATTTTTCTCGATGGCATCGGCCAGTTTGTTCAGCCATGCACCTCTCTCAGCAGCCCCAAGGGCAGACCAAGCAGGTAGAGCCTCTTTGGCCGCCTCAACAGCGACATCGACATCTTCGGCGCCACCCTCGTATACCGAAGCCGCGAACTTCTCGGTGTTGGGGTTGATGATGTCAAACTTTTTTCCCGAGATTGAGGGGACGAACTCGCCGTTGATGAACAAACGATTTTCGATGTGCTTGGGTTCGTAGCCTTCGGAATTGGATGTTGTTGACGAAGCCATTCTGGCCTGGGACGCTGGTCGGCAAGATAGGAAGCTGTAAATCTGCCGATTGGAAACTCAGTGTCAACGAAGCGAAGTGGGGAGGGAGGCGCTCTGGAGCTTTATAGCAGTAAGCCTCCTCCTCCGACAGCTTGTCGCCACCAATGGAACATAAGAAGGTCTCCTTGATCCAGACGGTCAAGATGTGCCTGGTAACAGTGGGACACGACGATGCTGGGGCTCCCGGATCGCTGGGGCGCACTCGACACATGTGCTCCGAGTTTGGAATGGCTGTCAGACATCGTCCCATTGGCCATGGCACAACAGACTAGTAGGGTGCAGTCCATGCAGTGGATTGCTTCATCCAGCCACGCGGTTAATGATGGGAAAGAGAAATAAGTCAAGGCCGCCGGCATGCCTCGTATAGACACACTTTCTCCCATCAGTGGGTACTGAGGAGAGGAGCTCTGCAGGGGACTAATGCCGACCCATCCCTGTCGAGTGTGTCGTGTCTGCCACAAGGTCGAGGAGGGAAGGCTCCTCATCCTGGGGAGCTTAGTTAATTGATGACTTTGATGCCGTTATCAAGGCTTGGTGTGCAGGGGTGCCGTGCAATATGGCCCTGTATCAGTCTTGATTTTCGTAAGCATTTAGACCGTCTCCTCCGTGTCTTGCCACTCTGGAGAGTTGATTGAATGTGTTGCCTGAAGTCCTTCCCCAATCCTGTGATTTTTGTCATCGTGGCCAAAGCTGACCGAAACCCTGTTCGATGAAATGACACATCAGCGGAACCCACACGTAGAAGCAAAAGTCCATTGTCAGCTGAGTGATGGTATCGTAGCAACCTCGTATGTGTGATATTGGTGGGGATTTGGTAAACTTGGCTGCACTATGCTTCATTGGATATTCTTACCCATCTCGTCAGCATCTTGTGTTTCACCTTCTCTCCATTCGGTAGGTGAATTAACTCGTCCTGGTCAGCACTACGCCTCGTCTGTTGCGCGTATCACTCAATTCGTACCAAGGTGATGTCGAATTTATAACCATGCCGACGGGAAACTTGGCCAATGTCGCTGTTGCGCCATCGTCCTCAATCGCACGAGGAGGATAGATGCCGTTCGCTGATCAGAACCTATCGGCTAGTACACACATCAACGATTTTAGGGACAGCTCAATCGGCTGATGCATGAACTCGGCGGAGCTGCGCCGGATGCGACTGGGCGAGCCGCAGGAGAACCGCCGATAACATACCTACCTAGGTATTGTGCGATAGGAGGCGCCAGCTCTCCCGTACGGATGAATTAAGACAGAAACCCTGGCATTCGACTCATCTCTCAGACATTCAACATGTGCCCACGGTCTATCTTGCAGTCCATTATGTCTCGAGATATGGTAGAAGAAATCCGTCAAGAGAAAACCATATATGCACAATTGATCAGCCCGTCATGACTGAGTCCACTCGGCCTTTTTCTTTTCGGCAAACGCTTTCATACCAATCTTTTGGTCCTGGCTGCCGAACAGCGAGTGGAAGATACGGCGCTCGTACTCCACGCCTTCCCGGATACCCAGGTCTTGACTCTTGTTGACCACCTCCTTGGCGGCGATGACTGCCACCCGTGAGTAGCTCGCGATCTTGGCCGCCGTTTCCAGGGCCCCGTCGAGGACCTCCTTGTTTCCGCCATCAAAAGCTTTGGCTGCAAGGCCGTGCTTCTCAGCCTCTTCACCACTCAAATTGTTGCCTGTGAGAATGAGCTCCATTGCCTTGCTCTTTCCCAGTGCTGCTGTCATTCTCTGCGAGCCGCCGGCTCCTGGGATTGTTCCTAGTTTGATTTCGGGCTGTCCAAAATTGGCGGTCTTTGTGCAGTAGAGAACATCACACATCATGGCAAGTTCGCAACCACCTCCGAGCGCGTGGCCTGAGACTGCAGCTATTACTGGTTTGCGCAGCGTCATCATGTAGGACCAGGGTGCAATGAAATTGTTTACGTATGCATCGGAGAAGGTAAGAGGGGCCATCTCTTTGATGTCGGCGCCGGCTGTGTACAGTGTCAGTTGCCCTGTCTTGCCTCTGCAGAGACTCTCGGGACGTACCTGCGAAGGCTCGGTCGCTTCCTGTCAGGACTATGGCTCCAATCTCTGTGTCCTCTTCAAACTTTCTAAGTGCATCATTGAGCTCGACGAACAGAGGGCTTGACAAAGCATTGAGTGCCTTGGGTCGGTTTAACGTGACTGTGGTACAACAGACGGTCAGTACCAGGTCCAGCTACGCAAGAGAGAGTTTAGGGCCAACCATACTGAGGCCAACGCCAGGTTTAGGAGTCGAGACGAGAATGTTTTCATAGCTGCTGCTCGAGGTGGTTTGAAATCGGACAAGTCGAGGGAGGGTTCGTGGTGCAGAGGAGAATGCTGCCACAGGCCGTAACATAAGTCTGAGGGAAGACATTGTTGGCAACACGTGTCTGTGTCAGCTACACAAACAAAGACACCAAAAGATCCTGTACAAGTCCGCTTCACATTTCTTATACGACCGCGCGACAGGATGCCTATGATGGCAGAAAGGTGCGCTTATCCTCGCAACGCCTCGGTTGACTCTCCGCATTCCGAGCTCCCCCGGGCGCATCTTGACAGGGACGCCGAAGAATCCCCATCATCGAGGTCTCAAGCCCGGACCGGAATAACTAAGGTCCTTCAATAGGTGCACTCGGGTGTTCGTCCATCCTCTGAGAGGCGCAGCTGGCGATACGGGCAGTCCAGCCACATTTTCAATAATTCAACTCCACCCTCGCTCGCAATTCGCAGCCTGGAACCAAAAAAGACGTGGCTTCATCCGCTAACAAGAGTCTGCTCTCAACAATTCTGATTCTTCACTCAAGCCCATCACCTTTTCTTTGTCACTCTTTTGGCCTGGAGTTGATCCATCTTGACTTCGGTGCGACAAGCTTCTCTGACGCAAACAACTTTTGGCTTTTGCGCGCCTCGAGTCCATCGAGCGCATGCGCCGACCTTACATTTCTTCTGCTCTACCGACGACCGCTACAGTCATGGACGGACCCGAGCCTGATACAACGCCCTTCGATGCCATCACCACTCAAGGCAATAAGTTGATGAGGGTATGTGGCAGTCTTCTTTCGTGCAATGCGCGTAGCGTACTAATGAGCCTTCTCACAGCAATACCAAACCTATCTCGACAAATCCACCCCCTACGTTTCCTACCGATGGTCGGCAACCGGAGCCCTGCTTGTCATGTTCTTCCTCCGTATCATCGTCGCCCAAGGCTGGTATATCGTCGCCTACTGCCTCGGCATCTACCTGCTGAATCTGTTCCTGGCGTTTCTCCAGCCCAAGTTCGATCCGAGCTTGTCACAAGATGAAGGTTTAGAAGACGGCGAAGGGTCTGAGCTACCTACAAAACAAGACGATGAATTCAGACCGTTCATCCGACGACTGCCCGAGTTCAAGTTCTGGCATTCTGCCACCAGGGCTGTCACGATCAGCTTCCTTTGCAGCTGGTTCGAGATTTTTAATCTGCCAGTCTTCTGGCCTGTTCTGGTCATGTACTGGATAATTCTGTTTTCGTTAACGAGTAAGTTCGCCTAGGGTCTCGGTCCTGCTGGCGCCTTTCTGACAAACCATCATAGTGAGACGACAGATCCAGCATATGATCAAATACCGCTACGTTCCATTCTCCTTCGGAAAGGCCAAATATGCGAGAAAGACGTGATTTCTTTCTTTGTTGCAGGCCAATAATTACGAACTGTGAAGGACCTGGGCCCATTTTTAAGGGAACAATGAGTTATTGGAATGATGTACAAAACAGCCAGATATCTTCCCTGCCATGCGACAGGGGCTGGTGAGGAGTATGGAGAGATGAGATACAGCTTCCTAGGATCTGTCTATACTGGACAGCCGATAATGTGACGAATAGATCTGATTCAACGTGGGGCCCCTGCGCTCGCAAGCATTTCAAACGAGACTGGATTTGAATCTATATCGGGAGATATGCGCACCTTGCTTGAACGAGCTATATCACTGCTGGAACGCTTTTTGTGACATTTGCTACCTCGAAAACACCTATGCAAACTTGCGGCAAGTCTTGCGCTTCTGCAGCAGACAGGTCGGAACTCATGCGATCTTTTCTATGGGTGCAACCCGCACCGTACATCTCATCTACTCCTTGAACACCGCCGCCTCCTTATGCTTTAAATCAGCATTCGGATCGACGTCGTCCAGCACCGACTCCCCACGCTTCGCCGCCGCCACTCTCGCCTTCTTGATCTCGCGCGTCTGCCTCTCCGTGTCCCGGGTAACCCACCACGTAAATAGCGTAACCAAGATAGACGCCCCGATCACGCTCATCGCAATGGCAAACGAGACAGTATAGTGAGGCGCATATTTCGACTGGAAGATCTGAGGACCCAGAGCACCACCGATCTGCCCATAGCTGTTGACGAAGCCGATGGCGAACGCCGACCCGGTGGCGCGGCTCGTGGTTTGCACGCGCCACGGCCACATCAGCGGATACCACGACGAGGAGAGGGCGTTGGAGATCACGGTCGCGGCGTACACACCGCCGTTATTCGGGAAGGTGTAGAGAACGCTGTAGCATGCTAGGATCCCGGTGAGAAACGTCAATGGGAGGACGGGGCGTGGCAGCCAAGCGCTGTCGGCGAAGAATCCGGATACTGCGATAATGATGATTGAGAGCACAGCGGTGGGAATGTTGAGAAGTTGACTCTTGGCGATTGTGGTGAAGCCTAGGTTCGCAATGACTGTGGGCTGGTAGAATGTCAGACCGGTTGTGCCGACGGTCATGGTTGCCCAGACTAGCGTGAAGAGCCACATTCTTTTGTCCTTGAGGGAGTTGATGATCTCGCGAAGGTTGAAGTTCAATTCCTCTGCGCGCGGGGCATTGGACGGGAGGCGAGCTTGGATGAAGGCTTTCTCTTTCTCGGTGAGCCACTTGGCTTGGTTTGGGACTGAGATAGAATGTTAGCCACGGTACGTTCGTTTTGGTAGGTAAGAGACTGACAGTCAGGTAGAATGAACCAGAGAGCGATGCCAAAGGCTATGGTGATGACTCCTTCGACGAGAAAGATCCTGGCCGACAGAGTTAGTCAGGTCAGAAGTGGTACATCGGCGGAGAGATTACCATTGCCAGCCGGACAAACCACAACGGCCGGATATCGTGTCGAAACCGAAGGCGAGGACTCCGCTGATCACGGTGGAGAAGTTGCCGAGAGCGTCTGGGAGCTTGTTAGTTATACGTGGCGGGAGGACAGACGTTGTTGGTGGTGAGCCTCACAGAAGTAAAGCAGTCGTACGGACATCTCGTCGGGTCGGTACCAATAAGTCATTTGTAGGATGACGCCCGGGAACATACCCGCCTCGCACTGGGAAGTATGTTTAGTCCTGTGCTGTCCATTCAACAGGTGAAACCCTACCAGGCCAAGAAAGAATCGAGCCGCGTAGAGACCTTCTTTGTTATGAACAGCGGCATGACAGGCGAGAGCGATACCCCAGGTGACCTAACCGAGTCAGCTTGTGGCTCTGATGATCACCCATGCGGTAGAGTTGCGTACCATGATACGGGACTGCCATCTTGACGGGAGTATGCGTTTGATCAACAGGTTTGAAGGCGCTTCGAAAACAATATACGGGATCTGCATATGTCAGCTCGAAACATTGGGCCCAACAGGCGTGGCGGACTTACGTAGTAGATTGTGGTAATGAAATTATAGGCGTTCGAACTCATATCCAGCTGTATGAGGATGTTCTGCTTGGTGCCTTTGTTCATGATGCGAGCATTCGCGGTCTAGAAGGGACAGTGTCAGCTGCACAAGCCGCCCATCGAAATGGGGACTTACATTGTTCGCATCAATGTTCTTCAGCAGAAACATAATCGAGCACAAGGTCATCAAGTGCCAATCCACGCGCCGCATCAACTTCTTCTCCTCCAATTCGGTCAACAATGACCGACCCTTCATCTTCTCAGCATCGAAGCCGATGATATCGCTGTCGACGGACGAGGCATCCTCCACCGGCTCTCCACGGCGTGCGTAGTGAAGGACGCCATGCTGTGCTGGCCCCACGGCCGTGGTCGAGGCACCGATCTTGTCGGTATCCATGGTTGAGTGACCTTACTGCTGGTGAACCTCTTCCTATTCCGCTACCAAATATCCCAGGACCGTGGCTGTGGTAGCCATGAATGCGGCTGACCATCCTTTTGTACTCGGTCCATTATTCATTGCTGCTGCAGGGACGGGTATCGTGCACCAAGATCCCGCCTCTAACTTTTTGTCGAGATCATTGGATCCATATAGGATGAGTGTATTCAGGCATTGCATGCAAAAAGCATACTCGTAATTGGATGAGAGCTCCAATCTCGAGATGTCGCCATAGACCCCAAGATGTGATCATTTCGGAGGAACAGCAAGTCGTGGAGGTGGTGTAAGAATGGACCTCGATCACGCCAGCGCTCCCCGGAGGATAGTTGACGCGCGTTACCTTCCTGATCATAGTTTCGAGGAAACTATGTACCCACCACTCAAATCCGACATTTCGGCGTATCACAAGGCCGAGGACGAAAAGGCATAGCTTACCTCTTCACTGTTCTTCGTAGACATGCTAGTGGTGTGCTCGAGAGAATGCAGCGAAACCAGAAGGTCAGAGACCTCGTTCATGAAGTGCTGGATGACGAAACGCCCGATAATTCGTAGACCAGAGACGGCAAGCCGTGGTCCAAAGGAGTAAGGTGATATCGTTTGTTGTTGAAGCTTGAAGTTATGCTTAACAGCAAGGCCGGTCCCGGGTGCAAGCGTCGGTGATCCTGCCAAATCATCTCTATGCCATTACTGAATACCTTCCAAGGTAATATCAGGATCTGCTGGAACTTGACCACGTTAGCTAGAACGGCTTGGGAAAGATGATCGACCTGATTTTTGGGACCATGTTTGGCCGTGCCACGTGACCAGTCATTGAAGAGACCTCATTCCTTGAGCATGACAGATAAGCCGTGGGTTTTGCTTGACCATGAGTCTTGATTGGCAGAGCTCGCACTCGGACGGACAGACCAACCCTCATGGACACGGGCGACTGCTTCTTAGCTTGAGGATCAAGGTAAGCGATCCTGTACTCCTATCTATGCGACCCTTGGCGGTTCGGCAAGCAACGGAGAAAACCCTAGCATCGGCCTCACATTATGTCATCAACAAGTCTTGGGGGAACAGGGACTGAACGCCCATCCCCGCGTTGTCGGTTTGACAATATCGGACCTACATTCTTGCAGAAGCGTTCCATTTTCTGTCTTTGCACGCTTCAACGACAGTACAATGCCTCACTCATACAGCTCGTTCCCACCACAGCTTCAAGAATGGGCACTGCAACAGCCCATGTTCTGTACGGGCTCGGCTCCATTGCGCGGCCATCATGTCAATCTATCACCTAAGGGTGTTCCGGCCACAACCTTTGCCATTTTGGACGACCACCACGCTGCCTATCTCGACCTGGTCGGCTCAGGCGCGGAGACCATCGCCCACATCTACGAGAATGGCCGAGTAACGGTCATGTTCTGCAGTTTCGGTCCCAACCCACGTATCATGCGGTTATATTGCATCGGACATGTGATTGAGTACAACAGCCCAGAATTCATGCCAATGATCGATCGCATGGGACTTAAATTCATCCCCGGAACGAGAGCGGTGGTGGTACTGGACATTTGGAAGGTTTTCACGTCGTGCGGATATGCAGTCCCAACAATGGATGAGGAATCGCACAAGGCTCATTCGATCGAGAATGCCAACCAAGAAATCGCAACCACCGGCAAATTGTCTACCAAGCCATGCAAATGCTTCGAAGAGCGGCATTTGCTCGAACAGTGGCTGGTCAACAAGGTCAATAAGAAGGCGCTGGATGCGTACATGATAAAATTCAACTCGAGAAGTATGGACGGCTTGGTTGGGCTTCGAGCCGCCCGCAAAACCAATGGAGAATGGCTCTGGGTAGGTGACACCTGGGCGTGGATGCAGAAAAAGTTGGACTATCCGGAGGCTATCCTACTCGGTGTCTTTATCGGAATTTTGCTCTGCATACTGGGCCCAGCCTTGCCAATCGCCATTGTCAGGCTATCTGCACACTTCCAGGCTCCCATCTCGTGGCTTAGTTGGCTCCTGAGTTCGCTCTTATGGCGCTCATTGTCAGGGCTAAAGCTGCTGGTCTTCAAAGTATGTTTACTACTGAGGATAGCAGCACTGCATTTTGAACTATTGCTTCGGAGTTTGGAGGCTTCTGCCATGCCCAGTGTGCGGGCTTCGATCTCCAGATAGCCTTGCGATACCAGTGGTGATAGGAAAAGTCCAATGTATACTACTAGCCCTCGCAATACTGTGGGATAATGTCTGGCTCGTATTGAATACTCTTTCTCGATTCATGTGGTCTGAGACTCCTGTACAGCCGCTTACCTCGGTAACGCTTCCGATTGTTGTGGCAAAACAAATCGACATCGATCAGACCATTGTTATTGTCACGAAGTTGGTCCTTGCCACGACACTCATGATAGCCTAGGACAGCGGCCAGAATGCCCAATGGCTGGCAAGCGATTAATCAACAACAGTGCTTATCAGTCTGTTGTTAGCCGTGCACGCATGGACGCGGCAAAAAGGGGAGCAAGGCAATCATCGGCGCCGACAATATCCGAGAAGATAAGGAAAAGGAGTGTGGGCCTCGTCTGGCAAGATCGTCCCGAGATATCAAAGCCAGATCAGATATCCTTTGCAGACTTAGTCATTCTGAAAATCGGGCTCTATGAATGTCAAAGGAGAGGTCTTGCTGACGTTCAATGCCCGATCTTAACTGGGAAGGCTAGTTCGAAGTATGAATCGCTCCTTGAACATTGAAGCGCAAGGCCTTCTCCCTACGAAACCAGACAACACATACTTCTATCCCTGGTTGCTCTTCGTGGTCGTCGCCTTTTACTACTGGATCAATCACGAATCATGGCATTCACACCCTGCCAAATCTACACCTGTCCCGCCCATCACGCCAACACATCCAGCTACTTCCCTCAAGCGTTACCTCGAGATTCTCGCTGAAGAAGCAGCGAACCAAGTATCAGCTAGACCAATACTCGACCCTGACAATCTTCAAGACTATCCTCTGCTCTCCAAATGGGACATATCGCACAATGTCACAGTCTTCCGTCTCGGTCTACCACAACCCACAGACGTCCTTGGCCTGCCATCAGGACAGCACATAGCACTAGCTTTCACCGATCCTGAAACCGGAAAAGTCGTGGCTCGCTCATACACACCTATCTCAACTGACGACGACCGCGGGTACTTCGACGTCCTCGTGAAATTATACCCAGATGGTCTCATGTCGAAGCACCTCCAGGCTCTCCAGGTCGGAGACCTCGTCAAAGCACGCGGGCCCAAGGGTGCCATGGTCTACAAGCCAGGCATGTGTGAGCGCATTGGCATGATCGCTGGAGGATCTGGGGTTACGCCTATGCTACAGATCATCAAGGCTGTACTTGCCCAGAGGCCTACAGACACTACCCAAATAGACTTGATTTACGCGAATCGCACATTCGACGACATCGTCTTGAAGGATGTGCTCGACGAGATGGCCGAGAAGGACCCGGGTTTCAAGGTCCACTATGTCCTAAGCCAAGCGCCTGAGAATTGGACCGGGTCGATTGGCCATGTCACCAAGGCGATGATCAAGGAGAGGTTACCGCCTGCGCAAGCTGGGACAAAAATCATGCTCTGTGGACCGGCAGGTATGCAGGATTCTATGAAGATCTACTTGGAAGAACTAGGGTTTGACAAAGCGAGACTCGTCCCCAAGAGAGACGATCAAGTCTTCTGTTTTTAGGAATCCAAAAGTTTAGGGCTCTATGCAATGCTTAACGTGCTTCCATTCGCGATAACAGTCGATAGTTTCCAGGCCTTGCTAATAGCGAAAAAGAGCTGCTTCGCATCATCCCAGCAAGCCACAACGATGAATGAGCATCGTGTGTAGCGTCATCCGAGGTTCGTTTTAGGTTGGCCGACTTTTTATCAGCAAAGCCCCAGTGTTGGCTTCGACAATGTCAAATTTGTCATTGAGTAGATAGTCCAAGGCAATTCCGAGAACATCATTGGCCACATTAGGGGTAAAAGATGCATTGAGGCATTATTGCGAAGTCCGGTTGTCCAGATCGATCTAGGCAGACCTTCAAGCATGAAATTAAGACATCAATGTGGAGTCTAATATATTCCTATCGACTAAGTGGGCGGCTTCCTAAACCCCCTCTGCCTACACACCAAGAACCATCATGATCGGTAAGTATCTGCTGAACCTGCACACGATGCTCTCTTGGTTGCTTCTTCCACCTCTACCTTCTCTTCCCTGCTTCGTGTGACAACATTTACAGTATCTTAGAGAGTATAGACGAACAGAGGGCTGTAACGTACTGGTCAGTGGCTGATCTGTGCGGTGGGGACTGAGTTGGAGAGCATACCTTTCATCTGCCATCGCATTGAGTTCATGCTCAGTCTTTCCTTGAAGCTTATGGTCTTCAAGACCCTTGGCGCGTTGGGCGTTGGCGTGGCGGTAGGAGATGTAGAGGATGGTGAACAACACCCCAGAGAAAGCCAGCAAGCCGAGCGTCACGCCGTGGCCGAGAAGATATCTTGGAGAGTCTTTTGTGACATAGATCTGGTGTATATCAGCATAACGCACCACGAGAGGGGTTCGCGTGTAACTTACAAAGGGAGCCGTGACACCACCGAAAGCGCCGAGGGTCAATTGAAGTCCGGAGCCGAATGCTCGTTTGCCATATCGAGGCATGTTGCTGGGTAGCCAAACCAGGGGCAGTGCAACAGAAACACTCAATCCACCGGCCACAAAGAAACAGCCGAGGTAGCTGACACCAGGTGAGACATCTCCCATCAGAAGCGCGTATCCGATAATGGAGATCATCAAGAAGATCATGGTGAAAATATAACGCAGCCTATAGTGGTCGGAGACTCGTGCCATGATCAAGTACGCTGTGGCGGACAGCACGTAGCAGGGAATGGTCAGCAGTTGAACTTGGATGCTGGTCCAGGTGCCGATTGCCTTGATGATTGTTGGCAAGAAAGTACTGAAGCCGAACCACATGGTCTCGGTTCCGTACTGACCGAATCCAAATAGCCAGGTACGGTAGTCGCGGACCGCAGCGCGGACGTCTTTCCAGTGGAAGCGCTCACCTTCCTCAGTGTAGCCAACCTGCTTCAGAGCACGGGCTTTCTGTAGCTCTTTGTCCGCGGCTGTAAGGTACCTGGCCCGGTCCGAGTCGGGCGCCAGTGTAAACCAGACAACGACACCTAGAAGCACACTGGGAATGCCTTCAATAATGAATATCCACCTCCACGCTCTCCACCCTGCAATCCCATCCATATGTCCAATTGCGTATCCGAGCAGGCCTCCGAAGGCACCGGCGGACTGTGAGCTGACGAAGATGAAGGCCAGCCTGAAGCCAAGCTCGGTTCGCTTGTAGAAGAACGTGAGATAAAGTGTCAAGGCCGGAAAGATGCCCGATTCCAGAGCGCCCAGGATCAGTCGGCACGCGACAAGGCCGCCGAAGTTCTGTGTCAGTCCCGTGAGGGTAGCCACAATACCCCATGTGATGCATGCCAGAGATAGGTAGCGCTGTGGCTGGATCTTCTTGAGCAGGAGATTGCTAGGGATCTCGAATAGCTGTGTCGTTCCGTGAGCAAGAATGGCCTCAACTCATTAGCGACGACGAGCTGACATACCAGGTAGGTGACGAAAAGCAGGGAGACACAAGTTTGGTACTGTTGCCCGTGCAAGCCCAGGTCCTTTTCCAGGCCGAACAGTCTTCCATTTCCTATGTTGACTCTATTTGATGTTGTTAGTTGATCGCACAGACCTCATATGCACAACAGCCACACTTACCGATCAAGAAATGATATAAGGTAAATGGCCATCACCAATGGGAGGATGTTCCAGTCCAGCCTGCGTACCAGGGCCTTCTCTGCAGCTGGATCGATGACAGCACCTTCCTCGACATCGGCCGGGCCACTGGTGAGAGTTGGGTCATGTTTTGTGTCTTTCTCCATGGTAGAGATCGACGCCATTGAATCTTCTTTTTTCTTGAAGGCTGTGAGTTTTGTCAACATGGAGATATAGAGATACGGTGATGTGACAGTGTGATATCGTCTCCTTCATTTTTGGATCATGTGGAGGATGGGTCGCATTGATATACAAACAATCGTCTCATGCCGAAAAGATCCTGAAAGGCACAGATATTGTGGTACTCCCCAGTTCGGCAAACGTCGGTGTTTTGTTATCTTGCACTATGGCGGCATTGCACGGAAATTCCAAGAATCCGGTCAATAGCGAACAGGGTCCTTATCTATATTGGGTCTCCCATGTGGTACTTGCATTAACGATATGCCCCGCTGTCTCGTGTCAATTCAAGGAATCAAGGCTCATCATATCTAGACTAGCCTGGACTCCTGGTTGAAGTGATGCAAAATCCGACGACACGGCTCAGAACACGTTATCATTTGACCTATTCAGAGGCTTGCTATCACTCCGATCGCTCCATTTGATTGTCTCTGAACCGCCGAGGCACTTCCGCCCAAACGTCCCGCTCGATATCAAAGAGATATGAAGGTCTTCACAGTCGAAGATGTCAAAAAGCATGATCAGAACAGCGACCTATGGATGATAATCAATGGTCGAGTCTATGATTGCACCAATTATGCGCCTGATCATCCGTAAGAGTTGCCCTAACCGCAATGGTTTCGGGCCACTGACTTATTTGACAGTGGCGGTGCAGAGGTCCTCATGACCGTTGCCGGAGCGGATGGCACAGAAGGCTTCAATGACATTGGGCATTCTAAAGAGGCCAAGGAACAGCTGGAAGGGCTTGTCATTGGGACTGTCGAAGGTGCAAAGACGATGACAGTGGTGGTAAGACTTGCAAATCGATGCAATCACAGAACCAGAAGTACTGATGGGTACATCATTAGGAAGAGGCTCAACCTCAGGGGCAATCACAAAGTTCAAGTGCAAAATCAACAGCACCGTCAACATCAAAGGAGATACCAATGCCCACTCATCAGAACAGGCGACTAATAGTTTTGGCAATAATCATAGTGTTATTGCTTGTGTTGATTATGTATCCAATCGATCCCATAATAACCGAGATCGAAAGGCTCGAGCAGCTTGTGCGAGAACAAGACTCGATGTCCACGGTGATGAATAGGAACAGGACGGCTGGGGATAGTTTCGGCGGCCTAGGAACATGAAGGCGACCGTGGAGGAAATTGTGTGAAAGTATGAGTAGCGGCATTTCGTGGCGGCGTCAACAATGAGGTCTTTGTACGGGCTATCGGATGCCCTGAAGCCTTGATGAAGCTTTTTGGGGTTCCCTGTGGTGGCTGATCAAAGCCAAGTGGACGGACCGCACTCCGCCTGCGATGGAGCGTCTGCAAACGAAGGCTCGAATTGTGTGTCCCAACCAGGAATCGGGCTTACATGAAGTTGTCGGTAGTCCATATGGGGTCTAACAAAATCCGTGGCCCGGCACCAACCAAAATAAAAATCGAAGCATCAATGATCATCGCTCTGCTTGATACCTTGAAGTACTTTCAGCAAAGGGGCCAGGGATATAATCGCGAAAGTCGATGTTAGGGCCGAAAGGCCCAAGAGTATCCTCGATGTCGAGCGGAAAGGAGCCCCAGATCTGGGGATCGTAAAATGACAAGAAGCCGTCTGCAGATGGAGAAGTTCCAGGGTCCATGTCTAGTTGTGCAGGGAACGATTCCACTTGGTTTACGTTGATATTGCCCCTGCGTTGACCCAGCACTTGAGTTTCCGCTTCGGCTAAATCGACGAACATTTTCCCCCACCGAACGCCCAAATTTGCATCGTCGACAATTGAATCTGTCAAGGCAATGCCTGTTTTCTTGATCATTGCATAGGAGGCTTCAGCTTCCGTAAGAGAATCTGTTAATCGAACAGCCTAGATCGTTTGTTAGATAGGCGGAAAGGGCCAGGTTGATACTAGACAAGACTGGTTTGGACGAAGGGCTTGGATGCTCACACACCTTGATCAAGTAAACAACGGCGGCAAGGATGCGATAGTAGCTCCTCACGGAAATGTATGTGAGGCACTTGGTAGGACCCAGCAGATCCACGACGACCCGAAGGACAGACCTGGACCCGTCAATGATTTGAGCGATGAAATCGTCATTGCGCGAATGTGATGATTGCGTCTGAGACCGATGCTTAGTAGCTGCAGCTTGCATTGCAATGCTGTTCGTCTGCGCCCTGAGATGACCGTACTCCATTTCTAAGATGGCTCGCATCGGCTGTGGCACTGCGACCGATTAGCATGGCGGAGCAGACAGCAACCGGAGACAGTGCTAACCTTCACTTGCATCGAATTTCATTTTCCATTCTTCAAGCGTTGGGCCTAACAAGTACAACAGTCCTATATAACTCCCGTTTGCCGTGATTTCGCGGACGTGGTCGCGAGATACGAACAAGGTCTCCTGGACCTTGACGGTGAGCAAGGATATGTCTGCCCACAGACGTGTGACAGAATCTGTGTAGCTAGCCGCGTGGCCCTTCAGAGACTCAGGCACCTTCACATGAGAGCCTGTACAATATCAGTCGGTCTCGAGCGTGTCTGACGTGGAAAATAGGGGCAGCTTACCTATCCGGTTCGATGTTTGTGCTATGAAAATGAGCAACAATTGTTGTAAGCGGTATGATCGAGCATCTGTGTCTCTCATAACGAACGGTATTGGCCCGGAGTTGTTCGTCCGCTCTCGAGATGCTGTGTCGGCTCTGCTCACATCGAGTTCGGCACCCAGTGCAAAAGCAGTCCAGATCAAGGACCACGTCAGACGATCAGATCTCCACGACCAATTCTTCCAAGCAGTTGAAGTTGAGGTGGACGACGCACCCCTTCTTGGTCTGCTAAGGTCGCCCGTCAATAGTTGCAGGCTATCTCGACCAGGCGGAAAGTGAACTGTACGTGGATGCCATTCACAGATCAGGAGTAAAGCCTCGCACGTGCCGATAGTGCGAAGTTGAGAGCCAGATGAAGCATCGGCAGGCTCATCTTCAGCCCAGAACAGCCGCGTCTTGATTCGTTGTACGCATTGCCAGAGTCGTTCGTGAATGATGAACCTCCTAGACTCCGCTCCAATCCCAGGCAATGCACAGTATCTGCTGGCTATCATCAGTACAGTGGTGGCCAGAAGTGGCTCTTGTATGAGAAAATCTGCGCGGGCCTCATAATCCAAGAATCTGGCGACGGAAATTGGCGTAATGGGGTCGAGATGGTCTTGGAAAAAGTCAAGATAAATCATAGCTTCTTCCGCCGTGAACAGACCATCCTGTATGAAGATGAGCTGAGACCAGACTTCTTTTGTGGCTCTGATGACAGTGTCGTCAATTCCTAGGTTGTCACGGCCAAGTTCTCCTGCTTCGGGGTGTACACGTTCTTCCCTGATTGTTGGTAGGTTATCATTCTGCCCATCGGTGCGTGCTGCTTTCGAGTATAGGATGTCCAGGGTGTCTTGGGACGTATAGGGACCAGCTTTGAGCGCAGCTCGTTCCTGCTCTTCTGCCGGTTGCGCAGGATCGTTTGTGACAATGCTCATATCCCTGCTCATAGCAATGCGATTATGGTCGCTCGGAGTACTCTGAGTGGTTCCGTCGGTCCTTCTCTTCTTCACGGGCCGTGGCTGGTCGTAGGTATGCTCGTGGGATGGGGAATACGATCCACGCGACCCTTTGGTGCCGAAGTAGCACTCTTTTTGTTCTCGACGACATCTTGCGCATGGCGGTTCGTGAGGACGGTCCACGGAACCGAGGTCGCATTTTACCTTTCTTTGACGGCAGGAGAAACAGGCCTATGGTTTAGCAAGAGTTAGTGGAACTGTGCAATAAGTGCAGAGCCGTTGTACCTTGTAGACACGCTGATGTTGCGGGTGCAAGCCTTCCACGAGACTCATAGTCGTCGCCTGGGCAATGGCGCTCGGTGTTCATGCGTGAGGTGATCGAATACTCGAGACTTCCCTCTACCCAGGTGCCTACTTTACGGGTCGCAGGCAGAGAATACCCTGCCGACAGCCTTGGGGCGGGCTTCATAGACGTATGGATGAGGTCAATGCCAGTATTGATGATCACAGATCCAATAGTCGATCCAGCCGCATCCGATAATAACCGTCCGTGCCGTGCTTGATAAGATAAGGCAGCTAGCGAGGCTGAAGATTGCAGTCATGTGATACAAAGGATACAAAGGTTGGCCGACATGTCTTACCCCTTTTCCCTGCCGAAGCGCGGCACCCGTACCAACCTTGTAACTCGTATGCACCATAGGCATATTGACTCTGACTGCTTCTGGTCTTGACGAGTGTCCGAGGACCGATACATGAGCCATTTGTCGACGACTGACGACCTTGAAGCAGGACGAAGACGATCACGAAGAGCGGAGTTCAGAGAGGGCAGAGGGCAGAGTGCAGAGTGCTGAGCTCATTTCGTCAGAAGATCTTCCCTGACCCTCAAAAGGTTGTTTCCGACCGGGATCCTTCGAGTCGTAGAGTCCAAGCCTGCCACCGCAAAGATCAAATTCGTGGCCATGTGCGGGGTCAAGCCAGGGGCTCCGTCGATATGGTTTTCATTTTGTCTGGGCATACCACCATGTCGTCACATTCTCGGCCATGCCCAGGGATTTCCGTGAAGAGAAGGGTTCTCAGTACGGGAGCATGGTTGAGGGGCTCCCTAAATGAGGGCACTTGTTCAATTGACTGCAACCACTTTTGCCTGATCTTCCGTTGCAAGTCACATAGCAATGGGCAGAGAACAGTATTTTCGAGAAGGCTTGCATATACACATCCATTTAGGCATTGAAGAGACTGATCTGCAATTGATATATCAATGTCTTGTCAGGCTGGTATCGTGTTTATAACAGTTTCATAAAGCGCATGGCAAAACATGGCGGCCCATATAGGTCATTCCAGGACAGCTCAAAGTCAACCACGCCACACATCAATTTCAGGAAGAGCAACTGCTCACACCTTCTCAACATTGACTGATCTCCTCTTGTCCATCTCCTCGAATGTCTGCGCATCGTTGATGTCACCAATGATGGTTCCACGACGTTGGTCGGTATAGCCAATCTTGGTCTCCCGGAAGCCGTCAAGTTCTTGTCGGCAGTATGTGTTCAGGTAGATGGGGAACACGAAGGAGATGAAGAATCCACACAATGGTACACACATGGCCAAGTGGTATGAGCCGAAGTTGTCAGCCGCAAGTCCAGTCAAGGCCGGGAATAAGGCTCCACCAGAGACGGCGGCAACGATGAAAGATGAGCCTCTCTTGGTATGACGACCTAAGCCTCGGATGCTCAACGTAAATATCGTGGGAAATATACACGATTCGAAAAAGAGCACCAACGAGAGCACAGCAATACCAGCTTCTCCTTTGACTCCCATAGCACATGAGATGAAGATCATGATAGCTGTCATGAAGACCAGAAGGACAAGTCGAGGCTTGACAAACATGAACAGGCCTGCAGCGGCGAATCGTCCAATGGCGAACAGTGATTGGCCGATGGCATATCTGTCTGATGCTGCAGAAGCACTGATGCCGGCTGATTCTTGGCTGTATTTGATGAACTGAGAAGCCACAGCGACTTGTGCGCCGACATAAGTGAATTGTGCCGCAACTCCGAAGAACAGCTTGTATTGCTTGGCGAGAGGCTTTTCTTCGTAGCCAGTCAGGTCTGCGCACTGCTCAGCCTGAAGCGCCATGTCCGCATCGGTGACTTCTGGAAGGGGGCTGAAGAAGAAGACAACAGCGAGGAGGAACACGAATGCCGCAATGCCGACATATGTCCATTGTACTTTCGACAAATCGTCCGAACTGGTGTCCTTGAAAAAGACTCGGGACGCCAATAGAGGTGCGACAACAGAACCCACAGCCTGGAAGGACTGGGAGAGCTCGAGACGGAACTCAGAGAGTCTCGGGGGACCGCAGGTAGCAATATATGGGTTTGCTGACGTTTCGAGTGTGGAGAGACCGGAGCCGACGATGAACAGACTGCCACAGAAGCCGGGAAACGATTTGTAGACAGCCGATGGCCAGAACATTAGAGCTCCAACCCCATAAATGCAAAGACCAGTCATGAAAGTGACCCGGTATCCATATTTCCGAACGATCCAGCCAGAGTATGTTAAGGGGCCGATAAAGTATGCGCCGAAGTAAGAACCTTGAAGACCACCAGCTTTAGCCGCGGTGATGTTCAGAGACGTCTGAAATTTGGCGTTGAGTACGTCGAGGAGACCATATGCGAAGCCCCATAGGAAGAAGAGCACAGTGACTAAAGCGACAGGAAAGATGGACTGTTTGAGGGTCAACGCTGAAGCACCAGTAAGGCCTTTGTTGGCCACGCTCCTGCGTGCTTGATTGTCGGTCGTGCCAGCATTCGAGGGCAGTCGCTCAGTAATGGTGTCGTTCTGATCCATGTCGGAGATGACCTTGTAGAAAGCAGCAAGATCTGGGAGGTGGTGGTTGATGGTTGTAGGGGGATCGATACACGAAGGCAAGAGTGCTTGATGATGCAGATCACCTCAGATCTGAGGGGGACAAGAGGCGTTTTATAACCTTTGAAGAGCGAACATCTGATCTTTGACAGGGACACGAGATGCCTTGGAGTCTTGCCATTGAGTCCCATGCAAAAGCCCAGGCTCGAGCTTGGCCATGTTCTGCTAAGGTGTTTGATCTCCATTCGATTGCATTTCCAGTGGAGAGAGTCGTAGGATGTCGCGCATTGGGTAACATGGCTGACATGCAGGTAATTTGTCCGACGATCGTCTTGGAAGAGGTGCCTGATCCAATCAGAAGGACAGCGTAAAAAGCCAATTGATCAAAGGAAGCATCACATTCCAAGATCATATGCGAGCCTCCGTGGGGTAGAGACCAACATCGAACCATACAACCAATGCGCAGGAAGTAAAGACCGTCCCGACAATTCGAGCGAAGGAATTCAATTGGCTATCCAGCCCTAACCCATGGGGATGCGGGACACGCTTGATGTCGGCGCGGAGAAACTATTGGCCTCATGAGTTGAGTTCAGCTCCGGCCTTTCTCGAACTGGGGTTTCGCCGCACACATCCCACCTAACCCAACCTCTCCATCCATGAGCCAGCCAAATCGCATGCAGTGCTGTATACGGAGTACGACTCATCATCTGGTAGTTGTGGATCCTGCCGCCTGCTTCAGACCCTTGGCATACAGTGCCTCTTGGTGCGGGACACAATCAGAACGGCAGATTTTCTCAAGATGATTTGACCTACGGAGCCATGTTGCTGGAAGACTGATAAAGCGCGTCGTATTGACTTTGCCTGACTCTGGTCGCACACGGACGTCGCTATTTGCTTACGTTCATCTTCGAGTTCAACGGGTTGCGACCTCAATGATAGGTGGATGATCTTGCCGTGGGCAGTACCTGCCACAATGCGGCATGAGTGATCGTGAAACTGACCCCAGTGTTGGCATGGTTATGCAGGTCCAAGTTCCTGACGTGCTTCACTGAACAGTGCAGCATGTGGAGTTGGGCTTAGAAGCTGCCTAGAAGGTTGGCGAGAAGGATTGTTCCATGCTAGGCCAAGTTCGTCTGGCCTAGACCTGAAAATGAGTCTCATGGAAAAGGATTTTTCCGATGTCCTAAAAGTGTGGTATTGATTGGTCCGCGTCAATTGCCGACCGGGATCTGATATGAATGAGGTAGAGTTTGTCTGATCCATGCTGCAACGACAGCTGGAGATGACTCTTTGTCGGCCTGAGTCTCGACTTCCTGTGGCTTTTGCGACCCAAACAAATTCTCTTTGTATCCAGGATGAACCGGGGTATGCTGCAGCAACGACTTGCCGACCTAGGCGGACTGAGGGTGTCAAATGCGTGCGATTGACAAGCTTCTGCAGGATAGAGCTCCAACAGGTTCAGGGCGCAGCTTCTCGGGACCTCAATATCGGCTATCTCTTTTGTGCCAGCAGCTTCGTTTTGGCCATCCCTTTCACGGTGGACAGTCCTTGAGGAACTGGCGCAGAAGATTCGGTGAAGCACACCCAAAGTTGGTTGTGCTAGGAGCCGTACAAATTCCGCGCACTGACCGTCTCTACTACAGTAGGGCAGAGAACCGCTGGTGAAGCATGGGGTCGCTTTGCTTGAGAGGCTCATTTACTCAAGCCACAGTCTTGGACTTTTTCGACTTTCGGACCTCTCCATCCGAAGTCAACTTTCTCTTCTTGGGCTTCTCGGCGGCATCCTCTTTTGGCGGGACGAAGGCCTCTTCACGCTGATGCTGTCTTTCTTCCTTCTTCTCTCTCTGTCGCTGTAGTCTTTCTTGTTCCTCGGATCTCTTCTTGGCCTGCTTTGCGAGGAAATATTCACCACTTTCAATCTGGAGATCGATCTTGCTCTTTTCTTGTGGAGGTGGGAAGGGCGTGTACACCTTGCTGGACTTATCTGTCACCTTGAATGGCGTGCGCCTCTTGCTCAAAGTTTTCTTCTTGAATTGTGGAAGGAATCTTTCCCAACTCTCATTCTTCAAGGTCGGATCTTTGGCCAGCTCTCTTTTGATCATGAGTTCTTTGACATGGTATATCGGATGTATGTTGTCCATACAGTCTTCAACCACTCTTCGCACCTCTTTTAGTCCTTTGTAATTGCCCATGGCGCTGACGGTGTTGCCTTGCACCAGGATGTAAGTGTTTGTGAGGAGTTCCAATGCTTTCAGTGTTGAGCCGTTCGGACCCAGCAGACGTTGCCGGCGTTTGACAAATCTCTCCTTGTTTCTCACCAGATTTCGAATCTTGATGACATCGCAGGCAATATCGTCTTCGAGAATTTTGATGGCCTGCGGTGCGGGTACGCTTCGAGCCAGCAACTTGATAAGGTCTCTTGCAGCCAGAATTGCGGCAGGGTCAAACGTTTTACGCGTCGTCCGAACCTCCATCCTCCCTTCCACCAAGTCCAGCGTGCAGGCAACTCCTCTCTTTTCCAAGGCTTTGGTGATCATGGGCCAGGCTTGTTTCAGATAGACTTCTCGGTATTTTGGGAAGAGGCAGGCAAATGACGACTCCTCCAGAAAGGTACCAGCGACATTATGCTCTGGCTTGAATTCCTCAACCTGCAAAGTCGAAGGCATTAGTGGCTTGCAGCGTCGCCCACGGGCAGTGTTACATGAGGACTTTCAAAGACTCACCTTCCATTTGTCTATATCATCAGTATCCCAGGGCTTGTCCTTCTTGTGTGTGGAAGGCATGTTGCCTATGTGCGTCAAAGGTCTAGCACTTCTAGAACACTTCCGGATGTCTTTTCTGGTTGTCAGTAAAGATTTGATGCGATGCGGAGAAACAAAAGATTTGCGGCGTCGGTCGGATAAACTCCGGAGTCCAGGCGAAAAAAAGATTGGAGAGGCGAAGTTACGGTGAAAGTGATCGAGATTAATTGCTTCGGCCTCTCCTCACGTCGTCTCCGCAAAATCCACGGTCACACATGGACGCCAACATTTAGGAGGCCTTCACTTTTGATTCGAGTATCTATGTGCTACCTCCCAGGTATTTTGATATGCTACCAAGCGCTTTCTCTGGACCACCAACCTCAGACTCTCCTTCGAACGGGTACACCTTGTATCTACACTCGTTGCCCGTCCGCAGCGTCGTAGGCTCAAGGTCGGCATTAGTGCGTTTGCTGTCTGACTTGATGTCGTTTGCCCTTAGTCTTCTTCGCCTTTGCCACATTCTCACGACCAGATCCCTCCTCGAGGAGCCTATTCATCAAGAGCGGAAGATCATGCCCATCAAGTATATACCGACAACCCATGATCAAGCTGTGCTGCATCTTGAAGCTGTTGTATGAGTTTGGTAGTCCTCCCAGAAGATATTCGGCCACCTCATGATCGGGGTAGACCCCATCGAAATCCAGGAGATCCTCGCGAGTCTCTAAGACCTTGTTGACGTAAGTACCAACGTTCACAATTGAAGTTCCTGAGAGTCGTATCTTTTCGCTCCTGGAACAAGTCCACGTAAGCATCACTCTCAGATGGCTTGTATGTTTCCTGCAGGAATTTGTAGGCTTCGACTGGGTCGTCCTTGTTCCGAATCAACGCGGCGATGAACGGGCTCACAGCACTCTCGATAAGAGCGCGAGCCGCTTCGATCGTCTTCTGACCTTCCTTATACTCATTGTGGTCGTGCTGGAACCGAGCGAAAGCAGTGTTGTCTCGCAGGACGATCGAGGTCGGAGAGGCCGTGGTGGCACCAGAAGCTGAAGTTGACTGGAGGCTGAGATGCCTATGCTCGCTAATGACCCTGATGTCATCCTTGTCTTCCGTCGAAATTGTTACAGTTTGTGGTTTGTATTTCTCATCGTCCGGATCGGGCTCAGTGAGGATTGGCTTGTATTTTCCGATGAGGAGATCCCAGACATCCTTGTCCTTCGCGCTGCGGATGAAGGTATGATGCCAGTCGACAAAGTTGCTGGAGCTTACCAGCCACACGATTCCGGTGTTGGTGTCAGACATCGCGCTAGTTACCTAGCTGCCTGATCGAGCTAGCTAGTGTTCGGAAGAGGATGCGCACCCTCGCATCGGCTGTAGCGTTCTTTGCGCAAGAAAAGGATACACGGCGGTCGCTTATTAGGTTTCTTGTAGAGAATTCAATCCCAGTCGATCATCGGAAGAGACAGTGGAAGTGCAAGAGTATGGACAAGCATGAGAGTCCTTGACAAGTCCTCGTGCAGTGAACCGGAGATTCAACCTCACCGCCTGCGATTACTGCCTCTCTAGTATTAACTCATGACGTGATCTGTGAAGCCAACTCCGCCGTGAGTGAAGCGAAACAGTCTATAATGGCTCCTGTGGGCGGAGGATCGAGAAAGCGACGGGGCTGGAGATCTAGGGGTGTCTCGAAGACGAATTTAGGGATTGCATTTCGTGGAGCCATGACTGGCGCATTGAGCGTCTCTATTCCGACCCGTGAAGCGTGTCTGTACCGCGCTTCATGACCTGGCAAAGCTATCCATCCTGATCGTTGGTTCAGAAGCAAAGTATGTATGAGCGAATAGGCATTGCCGTACCTAGGTATGCATTGTGTAAACAAGTAGTATATCATCAAGGTGTCATCCCTGAAGACAAACAATGGTTCACCAATCATGGACGTTGGGTACCCAACAAGACCATCAAGGCATTTGAGTCAACCACCTAGATATCAGGTCAAACCCTAGTGTCTGGCACTTGACAAGCTTCATCTTGGGCGCAATAGCAATATTTTCAAGACTGAAAGTACGAAGACGACGAGAAAGTGCGACATACCAATATATGCGTCGTCCGCGAGATCAGTTCCTACCAACATCAAAGTCTCTTCGTCAAATGTTGCTCTACTTCTGCTCGTCCACCCTTCCTCACTTGTTAGAGCACTTGTGACCGTTCTTCGACCAACAGTCGCCTATAAGATATCCTTGCCAAAACGTCTCGTACCGTCTGCGCAATTCCCTTCACAAGAGATATGTCCCCCAAGATTTTGACCAGTCCCCTATCTTCTGAGGAACGGGATTCGCCTGAGTTGCGATCGAGGGCTCGGGTATGTGGAAGATGTGCGCCAGGGGCACATGCCTCAAAGAGGGGGATCTCTTATAATGACTTGCAGGACCCGTCTAAGTGGACGTTCGAAACCGTCCCAATTGTAACCTCTTTTCCTCACGTTAGAGCTCTCCGCTGGCCGAATACCACACACGTACCGCCTACACTCGTACGACCATGCTCTCGAAGCGGGCTGTCATTGCCACAGGGACGAAGGATTGCTCGGCAATGTTGAATGAGGAAGTAGGAACATGAGGAGGAGTAGATCATAGAATTGATCAAGGCTTTCTGCCGAAGAACGTGTGTCTGCCAACAAAGTCAGCGTGTTCACTGACCTTCGTGTAAGGAAGAAAGTACAGTCTGAGATATGGTTTGGCCTGGATGTTACCAAGTTCAGAGGATGCCGCGTCAACCAGTTCGTTGAACTCATCAATGGTACGAAACTGCCGATGTGTCACAGGATACAATGCCAGCGCATGCAGAGTCTCTTTCATGTTGGATAGATTTGCTTGGCCAATGGATCGGCCGTGCGAATCTGTCGTAGCGAAATCAAATCAGCTCGGAACCCATGCAGCCAGTCTCCATCGACGACATACCTGTTGGCCAAGGACATGTGGGAATGTCGCGAACGTCAGCACTCACATCGACGAAGCCTGCCATCCGCATCCAGGCCTCGCAATCTTCTGTTACTCTGCCCCTTTTCCTGCCTTGTGGACGACTAGATGCGCCCAAGGATTGAGCATGCAGTTGGCTCCATACTCGGAGTGCTTGTAATGCATCGCTGTTTCCGGTGGCGGAGCGAAAAGTGAAGTCCCATTCGGTCACCTGAACCCAGCCATTTCTCTTCAGCAGACTATGTCCTTTCGTCAGCTTGCCACGTTACAAGACTCGAAAGGAGCATTTACCGATATATGTCTCGGAAATAGTTTGGCCAGCGTGATGATGCTATGCCGTCAGCCACGAAGCGGGAATGTATGAGGTCGAAGCTCTCCGACTCTGCGAAATCGAGGCGATCGTTGAGATTGGCGATCTGTCAACTCGTCAGCATGTCCGTTGCCAACGCCATCTTCAGTCGGCTGGATCTTCAGCAATGACGCTTGTGGGAAGCGCCTGAACAGAACGAGTCCTTGAGGAGGACCGACCGGTGCTGTCAGGTCGCCTCCACAGCGTATGTAGATGATGATGGGGCGAAGTACCTGGAGGTCCATGTTTTCCAGCTGATCTGGCGGCGCCATGAGGGGGGAGATGTCGACACCGGTCACCTGAGCAGGTGAGCATTCTATTTCAAACAGTCTGCATGCAGGACACTGACGCTACAGTCTGGGTCGTACTCTGCCAAATCATACGCCCAGTTGCCTGTCCCAAAGGCACAGTCCAGTACTGACTCTGGTTCACCAATGAAATCCGGGTGCAAGAGGTTATGCCAGTCACGATATATCCATTTCAGCATCTCGTGCTGGTCTCTCAATCGGGTCTCTTCTTCCTGTAAGCCTCGGTCAGTGGGAATATACATGTTGTGATGGTTGACTGACGAGGTCGACTGGGGCGAGATATATTTCGTGTCGGAGAGAATAATCTTGGAAGTCTCGGTCGCAGTATGTAATCTTTCGGTCAAACTGGTCTTCGTTGGAAGAGCTGTACAGCAGCAGTCAGCGTCCGATCCAGCAATTGCGCTAATTGCTACAGACCCAGTAGCCATGAGAGTCGAGGCTGCGAGCCTTATACAAGAGGCGACAAGGTTCTTCAGAGCCTTGAAATTGCATTCACCCGCTACCTAGGACAACTCCAAAAGCTCTTATAGCATTCCAGGACCGTTAGCTGGTGCCGAATTCTGCCGACGAGGCGAAATGCTCCTGCCGTTCGGCTTCACCAGTACAACCGCTTGGAAGAGTAATTCAAGCCTTCCAGGAGGAAATAACATGGCAACTGGAGGGAAGAAGGGTCAATAGAGCTAATCTTGCTCAATGCTTCAGTGCGTTGCCAGCGTGGCAACCGCATTGGGACAATGAACTCAATTCTGCGGTGTGCTAATAAGACGCTTTAGAATCGGGCAATACACAGAAGAGCAAGTGGAGAACAACTTGACAAGTCTTGACAAGTCTTGACAAGTCTTGACAAGTCTTGACAAGTCTTGACAAGTCTTGACAAGTCCACAAACCCACAAACCCACAGGTATGGCTCCGACCGAGACCCTTTACGCAGGTAACCCAAAAAAAGGGCTTCAGATTAAATCTTCAATGCAGATGCACGGCGATGATCTCGAAACCTAGGTGTCAGGAGAAGGGATGGCCCAGGACCGCCCCTTTTGGGCGTGCAGCAACAAATGATGCGCCTATTGCATCATTCAGTATGGCTGAATGCAGGCTCGCTTAGCTCTGGGGTCGCACGACATGGACGCGCGCATTGCTACCACTCTGCACCCAGCCGCCCGGGATGACAGCGCATAAGTTCCATTGACCCGGGGGTCTGGCACCCATTCAGCGTTCATCTAATGCTGTTGGGCATAGTCCAGGGAAGACAAGACAGTCTGACAGTCCTGCCTTGCCAATTTGCATCTGGCGCAATGAGGAGTGCGACTGGGCAACAGTCTTTTTGGTGGACGTATCCATGGGACCTGCCCGTATTGGCCATGTGGCGGGCCGCAGACACCGCTGATGCCCGCCGGCGGGTTCGTCGACCAAGTTCGATGATTTGGGCTCCAAAAGCCTAAAGGTTATCTCAGTATAGCCGGACCATCGAAAAAGCTGGGATGAACAATATTAGGTTTGGCTTACCAGCGACAAAGTTGCACTTCGTTGCCAATGACCTCGGACAGTGGAGTGTGAGCCGGGAAGCAGACTGGACCACGTCAGAATTGGTGTTGCTACCGGACCATGGACTAGGGGAGCCGGTCGCTGTGGTATAGCAGGAAGTTCACCTGGAGAAACGAATAGCTTTTCTGCGCACTTCTTTTCCGGAGTACACCGATCCAGCCAGGCCACAGTGTGACGCTACTGTGTACAGGACATCCTGCAATGCCCATATTAGCCGGCCAGCACTCAATGCATGTTTTCGTGCCAGCGGTGTTGGTGGAGCTGCAAAGCAGTCAGCGGTCAGCAAAAGTTTGTTACTTTGCATCCACTGCTGACAGCAGGTAAAGGGCCGACGATGCGAGAGTCAAATCACCGAAGCACATACTGTATTGTGTTCTCAGATTCTGCCACGAAACTTTTGAGGGTTCCAGTCTCTCTGGGCTGAGTGATTCCACCTAAAGACTGCAGCGGGGCTGATTAATGCCACACAGTAAGCTGTTTTGGTTCCTTCCAATCCTCTCAGACATCTTACGAGAAGGTCGCACCATGACTTGCCATCATAATGCCCCTGGCGGCGGCAAGGTGGAATGCACTACGGCAAGTGCCGGAAGGCAGCTTCCTCTGTGGACTCTGATGCTCGGCTGTTTGACGGCAATTCCAGCTTGTTGGATTGTCGCTCCACTCTGTTCCATCCTTTCTTTGCAGAAAGCAAACCGGTGACAGACGAAAATGCTGCCAGTCCCTGCTGGCCGAAAAGCATGGGCCCAGGAAAGCTTCGGTCAGGGTTACTAAACTTCCTCCTACAGCAACGGTGACCCAACACCATGCGTGACTGCGTCAGTGTGTCACAAGTCGCAGAAACCAACCGCGAGGTCGTCAAAAACTCTCGTAAACGTGGCGAACATGTCCGATCTGATGACGAAGGTCTTGAAGTTTGATTGCAAACGGGTCGCGCCGCCAGGGGCTTTTCCCGTTCGTGACTCGTGGAAGCCCACATTGGGTATTGTGATGCGGACTAATAATCCCACGGACTCAAGCTAGACTTACCTGGAACCATGCCAGGTCGCCGAGTACGAGTACCAACCTCCTGGGAAGATCACTACGCGGATACTCCATTACCGATTCCCTAATCGAGATGATGAATTTGACGCCCAGATCCGTGTGTGATGTCACCTGAAGGAAAAACCCTTGTTGTCCAGTCGCGATACGAGAAAAAGCGCATGCTAGGGTTTTCCAGTTTTCGGATTGGAGGCCGACGTGGCTTGATTTCTCTTCCTTCTGGCTTCTGCAAACCGGATAAAGTTCTGGTCGACAGCTCAACCAGATTATGGCTCGTATCAGAGTATGCAGGAATCCCGCTTGGGAAAAGTCAAGGTTTCATTGCAGGTTGTTGATCGCCAACGTCGCTTGGAGGATGCGACACCAACATGGGACCTGCAATGATGACAGGCCATCCTGTCCATTTGTTACTAATGGCATTCGCCCTTCACATCCGACACGTACAGGGGCAGTCGTCAGCTCAGGCATTCTCAATGTCCGCGGCCTCCAGGCCTCTTTCTGGACATCATCCGCATGGCAACCCAGAAGCTGCATGATCACTGCATCTGGTCGGTCGATAATTTTTCATGCACCGGGCAAGAATTTGAGCAACTTAAAAGTTCACACCTAGCCCGGCTGAAAGGAAAGGCGACTCGCTTGTGAGTCGTGACAGTACGTGAATTTTGCCTCATGCACTATTGATTGGGTGCTATCTCGGTAAGTCTCCGCCACTAAACGACATCGTGCCGCTTGGTGGCATGGCGTGAACCCAACGGTCAACGTTGTTTACTCCATCAGTGCTCCGTACACAGATTGCGACCCGACAGCGTGGTACGCGCTATGCCAGCCAGGGATACCGTTACATGCTGGCTGCCGGGGCCAATTTAGCCGGAGTGTTTCATTTCCAGCCTCGCGTTTTCCACCCTTTCTCAGGCTGTCAGCAACGAGGCTCCTGGCCCGAACCAGTCTCATTCACCCAAGACTTTTAGTCAACGACTGGCGAATATCCGGTTTTGGCAACTGCAGAAATCCGCCTCGTTCGGAATTTACCGTGCCGTCCTGCCATGTGCTAGTTCTATTCAAGACCTCAGCGGGCGAGTTGAACACGAAAACGAAGGTTCCTGTGAGCAGACTTCCACATAATGCACCACGGTTGAAGGTTTTGCAGCTCTGCGAGTCAAGCCACTTTGGAGCTGGAGCGCAAATTGTGTTCGGTGGCAGTACAGTGAGTAACCATCTGATTGTCTGGTCTGGTCCAGACACGAAACCCTGTTCGAAAGCTGGCAGCTCCATGTCTGCTCGGCGCCGCGGGTACCGCAGTGATTGTTCTACATGCGTGTCAGACTTCCTTAAAGCTGAGGGTGGGAATTCTCTGGGGAGTTGTTGAACCGTTGGCTGCCAGATGTTTCGACATACAGTGTGAGGTGCGTGCACCCGTGGGTGTTCTCGGTACTGCATTTGACTTTTCGGCCACATACGTATTTGTTCCATGTGTCTGCATGGCAAGGTTCGGTCCTATAAAGTCAGTCTATAACCGCCACGCTGCGCTACTTATGGAGCCTCCTGCGATTCATAACCCCCTGAACAGGGATATAGAGAAACTCAAAGGACCGAACGAAACCACATCAATACGAGACCGGCGGCGTTCTACTCCGTGGTGTGCGGGTTCGACTCCGATACTATCCAAGAAGCTGGCAGTATCAAACAGTCGCTCCCAGCTGGTTTCCGGTGGTGAGCAAATACTGAGGGGCAGCAATCCAAGAAAGGCTACAAAACAACTCAATGAGGAAGACCTCCGGTGTAGGTCAGTAAGGTGAAGCACTGTGAGCCGATTCCTTTCCGACAAAGATGCCCGGTGTCTCCCATCTTGGTGTCCGGTCACTAAGTGTCTGGCTTCAAGAGAGGATTCACCCTTATCGCGGAACATCCAACACCGAACGATTGACATATCACAGGATTGCCTTTATCAATTCCTGGGTTGATGGCAGTGTCAAGACTTTTGACGGTAAGTAGCCACCACGTAGCCGCTGTCAGGGTTTGGTGAGAGAGACCTGCAACATGCTATCATGACCCCGGATTGATCGATAGATAGCTACTGTCCGGAACGGCCGACGCCTCACGTATACTTCAAAGTCCTTGCCACTCTGCCGCGTGTCCTCTCAACTCTTGTTTGCACCTCCACAGAAAGTGTGCAAGAAATGATTACTTTCTGCGCACCATATTTCCAAATTTACCATGCTGATGGCTCTGGAAAATTCGGCTATGGATCGTGGAATCAACAGGTTGTCATCCCGTCCGTCACATCGTCGTCTGTCTCTTTCGAGAAGCAGCTTCAGCGTCGACCCATCGGCAACCATTGAATCCTGTAGGGCTACCCTCCTCTCTGAAGCCGATATCCCGTGGTCTACGACGGGTCAAGGACGACTGGGTCATCATCTAGGCTTCATGATCGAAGACGTGCTCCAGAGTCAGTCGTCCGGGATACTCTCAGGTGGCCAGAACGAACAATTCAAACTATTGCAATCGTCTGTTTCCGGGCTCTCCTCGTCTTGGAAGGGTCTTCTTCTTTCATAGCTTGAACATGCACTGTTTGCTAGAAGTAGGATCAAGGGATCGTCCTTAGCATTTTCTAACCAACGATAATAAAGGGTGTCTTTAACCCATATTCGCATCAAAGGTGCCTAGCAAGCCTACCTTGTTCTTGATACTATGGCTCAGACAGTTGTGATGTTGATAGTAGGAGGTTGCGCCTGACAGTGGTTAATTACCTACATTACCTAGGTACCTTCTGGTGGAAGCTGAAAAAGCAGCATGAGCACCATCCCCATCTATTTCGAGGTCCGGGGAGGAGAGGGCAAGAGGGGCACATCTATGCAGCACTTACCAAGTAATCCATTGGAGAGACTGCAGTACGCAGCATGTAAGCCGTCTGACACTCACCATCTCAGCTGAATTAAACAACTACGGTTAATACTTCTACGGTCCGAGCCTAGAGCAATAAGCTGAAGAGGTCACCTACCTCGTTTTCCTTCCAGAGCAGGATCAACGACCAGAACAGCCTTCATTTTCCTCCTCGCGACCCCTCCTTCGGCCGACGTCCGAACCCTTTGACAAAGCCTTACTCATACTCCTACCGCGACAACTGCTGAAGTCGTTGATACAGTCTTCGCGCCTGGCGCAAATACTTTCTTTATCATGGCTTCGCAGGGCGGGGCACAGAAACCCCAGGTCCAACCATGTCGCTACAAAACAGGTGCAGTCAATTGCAACACCATGGGAGGCTATTTGCTGACCTGGGGCAGGAAAAACACTGGGCGCAGGCTCTTATTCGGTCGTGAAAGAATGCGTACACATAGATACAGGGAGATACTATGCCGCCAAAGGTTGGAACACACAAAGATATGGAAGATGAACCCAAGTCTGATCAGCGCGCAGTTATCAACAAACGACTCATGGCTGGACGTGAGCACATGGTGCGTTTGATGTTGTCGTCGCAAGAATGAATCACTCTGACGACTAATCGACAGGTGCGCAACGAGATCGCCGTCCTCAAAAGGGTGTCAGTGGGTCACCGCAATATCCTGACGTTGGTCGATTACTTTGAGACCATGAACAATTGTACGCTGCGCGGCGGGACTATAAACCTCATTGCACACTCTGACCCGGCGCTACAGTATATCTCGTGACAGATCTTGCTCTTGGAGGAGAACTATTCGATCGCATCTGTCGAAAAGGCTCCTACTACGAATCCGACGCGGCCGATCTCATTCGTGCGACCTTGTCAGCAGTCGCATACCTGCATGACCATGGCATTGTCCATCGAGATCTCAAACCCGAGAACTTACTGTTCCGTACACCAGAAGACAACGCTGACCTCCTTATCGCGGACTTCGGCTTGTCGAGGATCATGGATGAGGAACAATTCCACGTCTTGACTACTACGTGCGGAACACCCGGGTACATGGCGCCGGAGATCTTCAAGAAGACAGGCCATGGCAAACCAGTGTATGTGCATGAGAATCAGAACCTGGTTTATGGGCTGACATGTTGCACGCAGAGATATTTGGGCCATCGGTGTCATCACCTACTTCCTCCTTTGCGGCTACACTCCGTTCGACCGAGACAGCAATCTCGAGGAAATGCAAGCAATCCTTGCCGCAGACTACTCCTTCACGCCCGTCGAGTACTGGCGCAACGTATCCGAGACTGCACGGGACTTTATCAAGCGATGCCTGACCATCGATCCCCGCGCCCGCATGACGTCCCACCAAGCGCTCCAACACCCGTGGATCAAGCCGCAAGATCCTACCAGCCCGGGAAAAACAAACGGGGACGGCCAGGATCTGCTGCCGACGGTCAAGAAGAACTTCAACGCCCGTAGGACGCTGCACAAGGCCATCGACACGGTTCGCGCAATCAACAAGCTTCGTGAGGGCGGCGGACTCATGGCAGGCCATATGGATGGAGCGATGAGCGTGGACCCGAAGCCCAAGGCCGAAATGGTCAATGGAAGCAAAGTGATCAATGATCAGGGTCAGCAAATTTCCGGTGACGAAGCTAGGGGAGCCCATGCTTCTGACCATGGTGATAACGGCCACGACCCCGATGCGATGGAGATTGATTCGCGGGGCCACGGACGTGGACAAACCCAGGAACAGATCCAGAGGCAGCAGCAGAAAATCGCTGATACCGTGAGTGGGCTGTGGGGCAGTAAACGATAGATTTGTCCAGTGGCAATGGACTTGGTGATATATGTCGAGAGAGTACATTCACAGCAAAAGGAGCCTTTCCTCTTGTATCTGAGCTGAAGTGGTGCACGACACGGCGTTCGACGGGTCAGAGGCTGGATGGAGATGATATCCTCGTGAAGGGCGCTGGGCTGCGACTGCGCAAAGTTCACGTGCCTCGCATGATACCTGAGTACGACCAAAGGACTGACTCCTGATGGTATTCAGAACATGGAGTCATGGCATCAAGATGGGTATTTTACAGGCTCAATGATCTATACCAGTTGATTTTCTCCTCGTCAAAAGTCATACCCATGATACACATTTCCGGGACGCCGTGGCTCATGCAGGAGACTACTCCACATCGGCTTCTTTCCCCTTTCACGCAGTACAGTTTTTCTAAACCTCTAAGCTGTTTCTTACTCCTGCTCGATGCCTGGCGCAGTTTGCCTGCCCATCTGGCGAGCCTTCAATAACTCGTCGCACAAGAGCAGGTTGCTTGCGATGCCCTGGCTGCTGGCAATGCTATTCCTGAGCACGCGGAAGCTGTCGTACACGCCTTCCTGAACAGGATCCATGGGTTCGCCGGTCACCAGGTCCAGCCCGACGACATTGCCCTCAGCATGGTCGTCCTGCAGCGCCGCAATCGCGTCCTGCACGTCGTGTCCGCTGTTGGCAGCGAGAGTCTTGGGGATGATGAGCAGTGCGTCTGCGAAGGCGGCGACACCCCATTTGGCTTTACCCTTGACGGATTTCCGCACGGCTTCGGACGACAGATGTGCCGCGGCGGCGATCTGAAATGATCCGGCGCCAGGGACAACGGAGCCATCCACGATGGCATTGTATACGCTGCGCAGACCGTCGCGGACCGCATCTGTGACTTGGGTGATGGTGTGCTGGTTGGGGCCCTTGATCAATAGTGTTACCGACTTGGGGTCTTTGACTTCTTCGACGAATGTGTATTTCTCTTCTCCCAGGGTGTGCTCGTAGACCAGGCCGGCCCAGCCAAGGACTGAGGCGTCGAGGTCGTCGACGCTGTTCTGGGCTTGTCCGCCGCAAACGAGTTGAAGACGTTCCATATTTCGACGCTTGGCTCGGCGGAGTGCAAGGATGCCATTTTTGACCAGCACATCGAGGGACAGCGGATCGATGCCTTTCTGGTTGATGACAACAAAGGACTTCTTGGGATCGGAGCCGCAGACCTCATTCTTGAGGGCGATGACCTTCTTGAGCTTTTCGTCGACAAATCGCCGCTCGGAGGCTACTAGTTTGTCACGCTGCTCTGCGCTGCTGTAGTAGAAGCCGGAGTTGATTTCGGACTTCTCATATTCGAGAGAGACGTTGAGGGTCAAGATGTAGGCGTTCTCTAGGCGTTTGGGCATGTCGGGATGGCGCGCGCCGTGGTCGAGGACGAGACCACGGATAAGTTGTGTGTCGGAAGCGAGTTTGTGCTGAAGTTTCATGATCTCGATCATGTGAAGGTCGGGTTTGCTTGGTGGTCGGTGAATGGAGAGAACGGCGTCGACTATGGAAGGGGTGAGTTGCTCTGCAAGAGTGCGGTTGATCTTGGTAGATAATGAGGTTCGTGCGATCGATAGGAGGAGGTCTCTGTCAATTTCGCGTGTGATCTTGAATTCATCGAGGAATTTGAGGGTCTCTGTCTTTGCGACCTCGAAGCCGTCTGTGATGACTCGCGGATGTAAGCCTTCTTGGATGTATCTATCTGCTTGCTTGAGCAGTTCGCCAATCATGAGCACCACTGAGGTCGTCCCATCTCCCGTTATGTCGTCTTGGGCGGTAGCCGCACGGGCAATGAGGGTTGCGGTGGGGTTCTGTATGGACATCTCTTTCAATAGCACAGCACCGTCTTTCGTGAGTTTGATCTGCCCGGAGCCATCGACCAGCATTTTGATCGTGCCCGACGGACCCAGATTGGATCTGAGGACATCTTGTAGGCCTTCACCTGCGCTGATGTTGATCTTCAGGGCCTCTCCGCGGCGACGACTCTCCGCCTTAGGGTTCAAGAGTTGCGTTGCTGGACTTCTGTTAGACTGGGGGTTATCGACATATGAGTAGAAGACATACCTGACATCTTGATGCACACTCGTTGAAGAAGAATCGTGGACTGGCATTGTTGTCGGTGCCTTGAGCCTTCCTCAAGCGGTAACTTTTGATGCCAAGCCTCGAGTTACCCCGATTTTTGGAATTTCTGCAAAGGTTGGAAAAAGTTCTACGAGACGGTACTACAACTTCTTTTACAGTCAACATAAGTATTATTTGCATATATTTCGACTGCTACGAAATACTCGACTTGCGGTAGGCTCGACTTCAGGTCGACGTTGGTCTCGCGCAAGCAGTTTGCGCCTCCTCACCCGACTAGGTAGTTGTGCGGCTTGCATCCAGACGACCTATCGTTACGATCGAGCACTTTAGCTATGGCGGACTACCTTCTCCATGAGGGTCCAATGGGCTACTCGCTCTTCAAGGTCGCCCTCCAGGCCGATACTGTGGGCAACCGGCTCAAGGAGGTCCAAGATAGTGTGCAAGACCTTTCGCGGTTCGGCAAAATGGTGGACCTTGTCAGCTTTCTGCCATTCGAGTATGCGCACCTGCTCTGGGGCTGGATGCGCAATCGCTGACCATCAATAGGAGCGGAAAGCAAGCCCTTGAAGAGCTTCACGATATTTCTGAAGGCATTGCGTCGGACTACCTCAAATCCTTCCTCGAACTGAACCTGCCTAAGGCTGGGAAGAAGAACAAAGTGACGTTGGGCGTTTCGGACAAGATTTTGGCCAACAGTATCAAGAGCGCATTCCCAAACCTCGAGTGTGAGACTGGCGACACTAGTGAGGTCGTCCAGGACATGCTCAGAGGAATTAGGATGCACTCTGAGAAACTGCTCAAGCAACTGCGCGAAGGCGACACTGGCACTGCTCAACTCGGTCTCGGTCACGCTTACTCCAGAGCCAAGGTCAAGTTCTCCGTGCAGAAGAACGACAATCACATCATCCAAGCCATTGCCATCTTGGACCAACTTGACAAGGCCGTCAACACCTTCTCCATGCGCGTTCGCGAGTGGTATTCATGGCATTTCCCAGAGCTTGTCAAGATCGTCTCGGATAACCACAAATACGCAAAAGTTGCCCTGTTTGTCAAGGACAAGATGACGTTGTCGGAAGACAGCCTGCATGAGCTTGCAGCCGTTGTTGATGACGACGAGGACATTGCGCGAAGCATAATCGACGCTGCAAAGACCAGTATGGGACAGGAGATCTCTGTCTCGGACATGGAAAATGTCACGCTGTTCGCAGCGCGAGTGGTCAGCCTTGCACAATACCGGAAAACCCTCTACAGCTATCTCGTCTCTAAGATGGGCGTGGTTGCTCCCAATCTGGCAGCCTTGATCGGAGAAGTCGTCGGAGCACGACTCATTTCTCATGCTGGTAGTCTCACAAACTTGTCAAAATACCCAGCTTCGACGGTCCAGATACTTGGCGCCGAGAAGGCTCTCTTCCGTGCCTTGAAGACAAAAGGGAACACGCCCAAATACGGCCTCCTGTATCACTCATCCTTCATTGGTCGTGCAGGCCAGAAGAACAAGGGCAGAATATCTCGGTTCCTTGCCAACAAATGCTCCATTGCTTCCCGCATTGACAATTTCTCGGAGAGTCCTTCTACAGTCTTTGGCCAAGCATTGAAGAAGCAGGTCGAAGAGCGCCTGGAGTTCTACTCGTCCGGGACGCAGCCCACGAAAAATGAAGTTGCTATGGTAGGTCTGATTTCTCTGCTATATTGAGTCCTCTAACATTTTCTTGCAGAAAGATGCCATGGACAAGGTCCTCGCAGACATGGATGTTGATGAGCCCGCCAAGGCGGATGAGGAGATGTTCGATGTAGAGCCGACACCTGTGCAAAGACAAGAAAAGAAAGACAAGGAGGGGAAAGAGAAGAAGAAAGACAAGAAGCGCAAGTCAGAAGGTGACGCTGTTCTGGAGAAGAAGAAGAAGCGGAAGTCGATGGATACCGACGGTGAGGTGGAAAGCAAGAAAAAGAAGAAGAGGAAGTCCGAGTAATGGGCTCGACGTTGATGATGTGCATGGCGTTGGCGGTTGCGATTGGTGTCTTTACTACAACTGCATCAAATGAGGCATTTGTCAATTGTGATGTATGAACATAATTTCCTTCTATCTCTTGCGTTCGTTCGCTCTTCGATCAGGCTTTTGACCGTGGGAAAATATTGACTTTCTCTCATTGTGATTCGCGATTCGCGGCGAGATTGACTCCAACCAAGAATGACTAAGAAATTGACTTTAATGATATTACGGAGTCGTACCACACTGATGTCGACTTCAACAACATCACATCCCCTTCACTAAGGTGCCTTTCCGTGGCAAAGATGAACAAGATCTCTACCTCCTGACGCACCCCATCTACTTACGCTGACAGAGTGATCATCCTTTCTGACAAGGGAGCGATTGCGATGACTTCACCATCCCCGAAGAGAAAGCGTGGGCATGCGCTCCCTTTAGACACCAAAGGACCATTTTCTCGACTATGGCTCGAAGATGATAGCGATGACTATGGCGATGCTGCCAGTCCTCGTACCAAAGTCGCCAGGAACCTCGATGATCTTGAGATCGACAGTCCTCAGACAAATTTGCGACATGGTGTTGACTGTGTAGATATGTCAGATCATCCGGAACCATCAGCTCTATCTGCTGAAGAGTCGCCTGAGAATCAGTCCAGTGATGACGCAGAAAGACAACCACATCAGACACCCATCGAAGTACCCCGGAGTACGTCAGCAGAATCAGTTGCCGAATCCCCCATCTCAAAGTCCCCGCCGCTTGGAGGTGAAATATCAGAACATTTCTGGCATGATTCTGAAATAACAGGGCACGACCCTGATGATCCAAACGACGATCTCTACGGCATCAACGGGATCGGGTTTCGCCCTACAGCAGCTGTTGCTTGGTCCAGATCACAGGAACGGAAAAAGCAGCTGGCGGAATACAAGAATCGAGAAGCCCGTGAAGCAAGGCAACAGAGAAGCGAGAGGAGAAAACGCTTCATAAGTGACAGTGACGACGCTCCATCTCTGGACTCTTCGCCGCGCAAGAGTATGCGAGTCCGCTTCGATGACGGCTAACCCATGGCGACCGCTCGCTGAAGCCGACTTCCATATCCACTCAACCATCGCTGAAGCTGAGAAAGGAGCAGTCCAGCTGTATGAGTACAAGCTGCGCGTCGCCATATTACGCCAATCAGTGCAAAAGCATAACACAATTTTTACCAGAACTTGTACCAATGCTGGTTGCGCTTTCGCTGCTCTTCCTCCTCTTTCGCTTTCAAAGCCGCGGCGGCCTCTTCGGCAGCCTTCTTCTCGCGAGCTTTCTTCTCATGCAGCATCTTCATTCCAACAACGGCTTGTGCAATACCTCGCTGCTCTTCTTTGCGCCTCATGTCGCACCAGTAATACATGCCGCCGGCCGTGAGAGCAAATGCACCAACTGCATAGTTAGTGGTGACTAGGACGGAGGAAAGGCCTGCGACACAGAGTCAGAAGAGATGCTTAAATAGCGGCGTTGGATCCAGTTGCGCACCTTTGAGGACAAATCGTAGTCCTCCAATACCGCCACCAGAAGCTATTCCTACTAGTAACGAATCTCTTGAGCATGGCGTCTGATACCAAGCAGGTCCTTTGCCATGATATGAGAAGTTGAAAGCATCCTTCCAAGAAACATCGGCCGGTTTTCCACCTGCAGAATTGTATTGTCCTCCAGGCATTTCATTTATCGGGTCTGCAGGATTCCCTAGTGCCGCCCACATCTTTCCAGCTTGAGATTGAGGGAAATCATGCTTGGCCCTCCGCTTAGATCGAGCCAAATCTGATTGTGACTGATCATCCGGAGTGATGTCGCTCGATTGCCGCGTGTCGTCCGCCATTCTGAAGATGTTGGTGGTTACGAGGAAGCAACTGCGGCCAAAAAAGTCGAACCATCATTGAAGCGCAATCGATAATTGTGGGGCACCTGGGCGCCTCGAGTTTTAGGCTTGTCGCTTGACGAGTTTCGGGTAAAGGCTCCCTAAACTCCGCATTTCAATTAACACGCGACGCGTCTGTTTGCGAGACCGCGACGACGATTTCTGATCCCTCACACTTACTAGGTACTCCGTACTCGTGCACAGTATTTCGCAACAACACTCTGTGCGCTGGTCTACGACTATATGTGCTCACGACTAGCATGTATTGTGCACTTCGACTTGGCTTTATGAGCTGAGAGGAAAACATAAGATTCCAGTCACCGCCTGCGTCTCGCCGCAATGCCGGTCAGGAAACCCAGCAGATATGGCTCCAATGTCAGATTTGTCAAAAATTCTGCTCGAGATCCTCAGGCCAAGACGGTAGACTCTTCCTCTTTACGCCATACCGAGGCAACCTCTCAAGATGAAAAGCTCCAAGCCACGCGGCTGGCCAACAGCATCGACGAGGCAATGGGATTTCCCAGGTTCGACTCTGGCAGGAAAAAGGTGGGATGGCTCTACAACATGCACAGTACCACGGTCGAAGACTCAAAAGTGCCTGGCGGCCGAGCAGGAGTCGATTTCTACTTCATTGGCGACGATGGTGACAACTTCAAAGCAACTGTCGAGTACGATCCCTATTTCTTGGTCGCCGTAAAACGAGGTCGAGAAGCAGAGGTGGAAGAGTGGTGCAAGAGAATGTTTGAAGGTCTGGTCAAAACAGTCTCGCGAGCCACGAAAGAGGATCTGCAGATGCCGAATCATTTGCTTGGGTATAAACGCACGTTTCTACAATTGACCTTTGCCAATGTGTCGGACCTGCTGGCCGTGCGCAAGACAGTGATGCCTATCGCTGAGAAGAACAAGGAAAAACTCAATGCCATGGATACTTACGCGGAGGTAGCTACTGCAACAGCTGGATTCGATATTTACGATGAAGAGCAGCTCAATGACACCCGAGCCACCAGCATTGCTGATGCGAGCGATTTCATCGTCGACATTCGAGAATATGATGTTCCGTACCATGTCCGTGTGACCATCGACAAGGACATACGGATTGGAAAATGGTACAGCGTGGAGGCAAAGCATGGTTCGGTCACGCTCACTTGCCTCGAAGAACGTCTACAGCGTGCCGATCCAGTCGTGCTTGCCTTTGATATCGAAACGACCAAATTGCCCCTCAAGTTCCCAGATTCGGTCATCGACCAGATCATGATGATTTCATATATGATTGACGGTCAAGGCTTCCTCATAACCAACAGAGAAATCGTCTCCGAGGACATTTCCGACTTTGACTACACGCCTAAAGCCGAGTACGAAGGCCCCTTCATGATCTTCAATGAGCCCAACGAACGGGGAGTCCTTGAACGCTTCTTCTCCCACATCAAAGAAGCCCGGCCTAACGTCATCGCAACTTACAACGGTGACTTCTTCGATTGGCCCTTTGTCGAAGCTAGGGCCAGTGTCTTGGGCATCGACATGTATGCCGAGATAGGGTTTCGCAAGAACAGTGAAGACATCTATCAGAGCGACTATTGTGTCCATATGGATTGCTTTGCTTGGGTCAACAGAGACAGCTACCTTCCTCAGGGCAGCAGAGGTCTGAAAGCGGTGACAGTCGCCAAACTGGGATACGACCCAGACGAGCTGGATCCCGAGCTGATGACACCCTACGCAAACGAACATCCCCAGATCCTGGCAGAATACTCCGTCTCAGATGCCGTGGCCACCTACTACCTGTACATGAAATATGTCCACCCTTTCATCTTCTCCCTATGTACTATCATCCCGCTCAGTCCTGACGACACTTTGAGAAAGGGCACGGGCACTCTATGCGAGATGCTGCTGATGGTGGAAGCGTATCAGAAGAGGATCGTCTTGCCGAACAAACACAAAGAACCGAGAGAAGCATTTTGGGATGGCCATCTGCTCGATTCGGAAACGTACGTCGGTGGGCATGTCGAAAGTATTGAGGCTGGTGTCTTCCGTGCAGATATACCGGTCAACTTTGCTATCGACACCACGGCTATCGACGAGCTAATTCGTGACCTTGACGCGGCGCTGAAGTTTTCTATAACTGTCGAAGAAAAGAAATCCATGGACGATGTAACGAATTATGACGAAGTTCGCGCTCAGATTTGTGAGAAGTTGAACAACTTGAGGAATACGCCAAACAGAAGTGAGCGTCCACTGATTTACCACTTGGACGTGGCTTCCATGTACCCCAATATCATGACGACTAATCGATTACAACCGGACTCCATGAAATCCGAGTCGGACTGTGCGGCTTGCGACTTCAACCGGCCGGGAAAGACTTGCGACCGACGGCTACCCTGGTCATGGAGAGGAGAATTCTTGCCGACGAAACGAGACGAATACAACATGATTCGGAGAGCCATCGCAAACGAAACGTTTCCTGGGAAATATGCCAAGTCTGCCCGAAGGACTTTCCAAGAACTGAGCCTTGACGAGCAGGCAGCGGCAGTGCGGAAACGACTTCAAGACTACTCAAAGAAGATCTATCACAAGATTCACGATTCCAAGACCCTCGAACGTGAAGCGATCATCTGTCAGCGTGAGAATCCTTTCTATGTGGACACAGTACGTGACTTTCGTGACAGACGTTACGATTTCAAGGGCAAGCAGAAGGTATGGAAAGGAAAGACGGAAGCTTTGAAGTCGTCGGGTGCTTCAGCTACCGAAATTGAAGAGGCAAAGAAAATGATTGTCCTATTCGACTCCCTACAACTCGCACATAAGGTCATCCTGAACTCTTTCTATGGCTATGTGATGCGGAAAGGTTCGAGATGGTATTCCATGGAAATGGCTGGTGTCACATGTTTGACTGGTGCTCATATCATTCAGATGGCCAGAGAACTTGTGGAACGCATTGGCCGACCATTGGAATTGGATACTGATGGTATCTGGTGCATGCTGCCGGCCACTTTTCCAGAAAACGTCGTTTTCACCCTGAAGAACGGAAAGAAGATGGCAATTTCATACCCTTGTGTCATGCTCAACCATCTTGTGCATGCCCGATACACCAACCATCAATATCAGACACTCGTCGACCCTGCCACCTTCAGATATGAGACTCACAGCGACAACTCGATCTTCTTTGAGGTTGATGGCCCTTACAGAGCAATGATTTTACCGACATCGAAAGAAGAGGACAAAAACTTGAAGAAGCGATATGCTGTATTCAACCATGATGGAACCCTCGCAGAACTGAAAGGGTTTGAGGTCAAACGTCGAGGCGAGCTGAAACTCATCAAGATCTTCCAGACTCAAATCTTCAAATTCTTCCTGGAAGGCACTACTTTGGCTGAGACCTATGCTGCTGTTGCCCGTGTCTCGAACCGCTGGCTTGACGTGTTGCACCAACATGGCTCTACGCTTGCCGACGAGGAATTGATCGACCTCATTTGCGAGAATAAGAGCATGGCCAAGACTCTGGAGGAGTATGGCGCGCAGAAATCGACTTCCATCACCACAGCGAAACGCCTGGCTGAGTTTTTGGGCGAACAAATGATCAAGGACAAAGGTTTGAACTGTAAATACATCATCTCCTCAAGACCAAAGAACACTCCCGTTACCGACCGGGCGATTCCAGTCGCGATCTTCTCTGCAGAGGAAGGTGTCAAACGATTCTTCCTACGCAAATGGCTGAAGGAGGATCCAGCAGATATGGACCCAAGAACAGTGATTGACTGGGACTATTACCTGGAACGTCTGGGTTCTGTGATTCAGAAGCTTATCACGATTCCAGCTGCCTTGCAGAAAATTCGGAATCCCGTCCCCCGTGTGGCACATCCAGAATGGCTGCAAAAACGGATCGCGGCAAAGGACGACAAATTCCAGCAGAAAAAAGTTACCGGATTTTTCGAAAAGAAGCCGTTAGCAGAGCGATCTGTGAACCTCCTCGATCACAGACTTCCCCCGAGCGGCGACATCGAGGAGGCTCTCGATGCTGACCTGAAATCTCAAGTGCGACTTAGCAAACCATCCAAGCGGAAAGCTCCCGAACCCATCAACCAAGTCTTGATCGACCCGTATGCAACACTGTCATCGGATGCTCCTGCAAACGACGAAGATTACAGTGGTTGGCTCCAGCATCAAAAGCAAAAATGGAAGATCCAGAAGCAAGCCCGGGCTAGGCGGCGGCAGCTGTTCGGAGAAAGACCAAACATTGCAACAGACTCCATCAGCAGCTTCTTCCGGAACCAAGCAGAAATGCTGTACATCAACACCTGGCATGTCCTTCAACTGCGTCAGGGAGAATCACCTGGCGAGGTCACGGCCTTTGTCGTCATTGGCAAGAAAATACACTCCTTGAGCATCAAAGTACCACGGACACTCTATCTCAATCTGAAAGCTGATGAGCTACCCAATGTGGAGGTTCCTGGTTGCGAGGTAGAGAAAGTCACCCACACCCTGCCAAATGGACATCCATCAGTGCATCTCTTCCAGCTGACCATGCCGGAAGACACGTATTTGCGTGAGGCAGAATCTGTGTCACTGTTGTGCAATCACCCTAGTGTCGAAGGTGTCTATGAACGCCAGGTGCCTCTGTCCTTGCGGGCCATGCTGAAGCTGGGCAACATGTGCGCTTTCGATGAGAGCCAAAAGGGTGTACTTGGAAAAGGGCTGGAGCAGGGCTTCGACCTATCAGCACTACTGAGGAGCAATTCACAATCGACCTACCTGGAAGATCCTAGCTCTATGGGCTATGTCTACGTCTACCATGTTACCGCAGGGGACCGGAATGTCTTCGCTCTCTTTTCGACATCAAGAACAGAGGCGCACATTGTTGTTCTGAGTAAAAGCCGTGACGCTCAGCTTCCGAATGCCGACAAGATCTATGCTGAGCAATATCGACAGAAAATCCAAGAACAGGCATTGCTGGAAACCAGCTTTGCGTATCAAAACAGCATAAATTTCAAGGTCTCACAAGTGACAACGAAACGAAAAGCACACCTTGAGATTAGCGACATTCTGAAGAAGTGGCGGAATGAAGAGTCCAAACCCACGATGCTCCTGTTACAAACAACTTCGCACAAGCAGCTCGTACATGATATCCGGATCATGAAAGATTACCCAATATTGTGTCTGCCCATGGAACACGCCGATGCGGATCTGCCTTCTCTTGGCTGGCAAGGGCATGCGTTTAAGCAGCTGATGTCACACTACCTCAATGTTGCTGGATGGCTGGCACATCTGATCGAGCTGGCGCGCTACGGCGATGTGCCGTTATGCAATCTCGAGAAGGACGATCCCCGCTTCCTCATTGATCTGGCCTATGCCCGTCGGCTGAAAAACAGCAACGTTGTGCTATGGTGGTCTGATCAGCCACGCCCAGACCATGCTGGTCACGAACGAGATGATATCGTGGGGCAACTCACCGAGGTTGTAGAAATGCCAGCGATCAACAACGCAGGAGCCTATACTTCTGTCTGTGTGGATGTTTCAGTTCAGAACCTGGCGATCAATACCATATTGACATCTTCTATCATCAATGACCTCGAGGGTTCTGCAGAATCGGTTGCATTCAATCCCGCTGGTGATGGCGAGCCAACTCAGAATGGTGGCACAGCCAAATCCAATGGAGGCTTTGCCCAGGCTGCGCTCGAGGTACTTCGAGAAATGGTCAAATCGTGGTGGGCAGAAGCCTGTCGTGGCAACCGCCTTGCAGATGTGATGGTCCAACACCTGGTACGATGGGTCGAGGCACCTGCATCATGTCTGTACGATCGGCACCTGCACTACTATGTCCAGATGATGTCGAAGAAGGCAATGCAGCAGCTCATTACCGACTTCCGACGAGTCGGGTCGAATGTTGTGTTCGCAAGTCCGACAAGATTGTTATTGCAGACATCCAAGCAAGAAGTTGAGAATGCTTATGCGTACTCACAGTACATTCTCAAGTCGATTCAGCAGAAACCCCTGTTCCATTTTCTCGGACTCGAGGTCAAGGACTATTGGGACATACTCATCTGGTATGATGCATACAACTACGGTGGCAAAGGCACCCAGGTTGTTACGGAAGGGACCAACAACTCGAATCTGGAAACGGTTGTTCATTGGCAGCTCTCTCAATTTCTGCCATTGCCCTTGCAGCCTGTATTCGATGACTGGGTGATCACGTTCGTCGAGTTGATGCAGAATTTGAAAAGACCACCCAGCTCATCGGACGAAACCTCAGCGACACCCCGGCCTACACAAGTGCCTTCAGCATTCATTAGCTTGACTGAGGATCCTACGAGCACCGAGATTACCACTGTCTTGCAGGATGACTTCTCGAAGCCGTTGAAAAAGCAGATCACGGCTCTTATTCGGCGGCAGCGAGAAGAGTTGCTTCATCCTGAACTTGCCAGCGATTGGACTTTCCCGTCTCTGCCGGGCGGCACCCTGGACTCACAGGATCAGCGACATCCGCGAAACCCTGTCCTGGAGTTGGTAAAATCCTTGATGCAGATTGTGTCTTTGTCAAAGCCACTCCAGCTCGAAGCACGACTTCTCCGTAAAGAGCTCTTGGCATTATTCGACGTGCGGGAGTTTGGGCAAGAGGCTCGTTTCGAAAATCCAAGCGCAAGCCTGCGGTTCGACAACTTGGTCTGCGATACATGTACCATGACAAGAGATCTGGATCTGTGTCGAGATGAGGATATTCTACCTGACATTCAGAACGGAGAAGTGGACGCAACTAACAAGCCTTGGAGATGTTTGAGTTGTCAGAGTGAGTACAACAAGATCGCTCTGGAGGAGAGCTTGATTGCTAGGGTACAAGCGTCGCTGCTGGGCTGGCAATTACAAGACCTGAAATGTAAGAAATGCGGTACTCTGCAGGGTGATGACTCGCTGTTCAGTGATCACTGCGCATGCGGTGGAGAATGGACTGGCACTGCGGACCGCGGTGAGATTCGATCAAAGTTGAGAGTCATGGAGCGTGTTTCGTCGGCGTATGGCTTACGCATGCTGTCTGGTGTTATTGAGGGTGTCAAGGCTATGTGCTTATTATCATGAGAAGACGTTATGTTGGGTGGCTGCATGTACAGTGGCGTCTTGAGGGCATGGCAATGTGCAACGAAGCATTGATGGGTGTTTATGAAAATAGCATAGCGAAATGGTGCCCTTGTTGGATGGACTAAGTTAGCTGGTGTTGGGACATGCCAAGGTAGTCAATCGCGATGGTGCGGTAAGTCCTCGGCATTATGGGGGAACAATAAAGCCGCCAGGCAAGATGACTTAGCCTGGGGAGCCCTCCTAAGGCTACAGTAACTTAGCCTAAGTTGAGGAACCTATTCCTCCTGCTGACTCACGCTTAGCTTAGGTATCCCTTAGCTCCTTCCTTGGGGCAATGGCCATGTCCGAGTCTGATACGCTGTTGCTTGCGGGATTTGACTTCCCAGATAACAAAACTCTTTGTTGCTGTTGGACGGGAGACTTTTCCTTTGCACATGGGATCAGAGACGACATCTGCACATCATTCACCTTGTGAAGGAATTGAAGTACTCCGGAACAGGCGTTTCAGCTCGACTCCGGAGGCTGGATCCAACGGAAATGCCAATCCAGCCACAGGGAGAATCGTTCCTAGCTGTAGAAGGGGTTATCAAACATGGCAGAAAAGCGATTGACGACCTCCGAGAATGACCAGGGGTACAGCGATCGAAAGGACACCGTTCGGCCCTGACCCAGTGTCCCACGTTCCCGTGAGAATGGTCTCTCATCCTGGTATGATATGCGCACTTTGGTCGCGCCAGTTGCGGCCAACCTGGAAGAAACTCCCAGCCGAACTTTTCCCTTCCTCTTCGCGCTTGTTTTATCACGCCCAAGAAGCGGTCTGATATTGCATCGGACTGTCCACAGCCATGATACGTGACATTGACGGCAAGTAGCTGTCGTAAGACGATCTGTGGCCCACCGGAGAGCCCGTCCAAGTGGTGATGTTCACCGTCTTTCCCAATAGTTGATTTTTGAGGTTGCGGGAGGAGGTACTGGTCAGGTCCTCCATAGACTCATTGCTGGACATCGGCACTGAGACGTTTTCTCCCAAAGAGCTTGCAGTCGAAGCCTTGCGACTAACGCCGGTCTGCCGTTCAAGTCGTCTCCTCCGACAGACGAGGTGTAATTGACACGAGTCGCGGTGAGGGATCTGTGGGAAACGTGTCCACTGAAACGGGAGACTCGACGTTCGGACCTTGATCGCTTCGTATGGAGATGCTGAAAGATCTGCAAGAGTGATAGGAGTCGTGTCTGCTGATTGAACTTGACCAGGAATCGGTGAGGGTGGATCAAAACCAAAGTTGACTGAGGGCGAGAGTGCTGGACCGAAGATGTCCTCGTCCGGCGTAGTTTTCCCTGATTGTACCTGATCCGCATCCTGAGATCCGAGGGAGGAGACTGCTGTGTCCGTTGACGATTTTCGAGTGTCTGGTTCGTGAAGCTCAGAGACATTGAATCCCAGTCCTTGTAGGATGTCGTTGGTTATGATACTTGCTTTATAGCCGCGGATAAGGTTCTCAGGGAGGTCTTCATGGTTTCGCCAAGCCCAGTATAATCGCTGTAGAGCTTTGTCCAGGATTTCGAGCATACGAATATCACTGTTGATGGTCAGTCACGGATGGTTTCGTGCTTGGTTGCAACAAGGGCAGAACACTAACTGGCTTCTAGATTCTCGTCCTCTCCTCATAGTATACGTGCAACTGCTCCTGGTTTCAATGCACTTGCTGCATCTTGTAGCGCCGTCACACTGTGTCTGCGTCAGTTGCTTTGCCTCGATCCAGGACTGAAGCGAACCTTTGATTTCTTGGTCCTGCAGCGGTCGCAAGCACGAGGCGTTCGTCTCTTGGAGTGCTCACCGTCCTCCGAAACGCTGACTGACCGGCATTGTGGCATTTCTCTCACCAAGACCTAAACTGGAGCCAGGTTAAAACTTCAAGTCTACATTTCCTGTGCACATCGGAGCGTCCCAACAGTGAAGTATAAAGAAGATAATCAATGGGCGAGTGGAGCAGCATACTAGCCGCCTCAGGCTTGCAGCATGATGTCACCGCCCCAGCACAGATGTGGAAAATTCCAGGACTTGCATGACGCTGCTAGTTTGAACTGGCAATAAAGGGACGCTTTCGCAGTCTATTGGGTAGGGACATGAACGGCATGAGCATTTTCATGTCAAAAAACAATGCACAAGCGTTTGTTGCCACGGATAAGTCACCCAAGATACAAACCGAAATTTATCTGGTGTTGAACGGCAGCCCTCGTCTTAGTAGGTACCGGACGTCTGATCCTGTGGAGCCAAGATGAACGTTGAACCGGGGAACAAGAGTTCAGGAGCGAAGCCAAGGTAGTTATGAAAAGTCGAGGTGATCTTCAAGTAGCTAGACCGGGCTGTGTGCATCGCGGTTCGGGGCATGATCCAACGACGATCAGGAGAAGAAACATCTTGGGAGATTCGGATTAATGGACGGCTGTCCTCGTCCCCGTCTCCGCGGCTGTTATGTCCGCGGGAAAAGGTTCCGCGGGTCTTCGTTCCAGGCGCTAGCAATTCTCTGCTGGGACCCTTGTTTGTGAACAAGCGTCACACTTTGCCGTAATGAGATGGAGTTGGGAGAAGCTAACGGTGGCTGGCTGTGCATTACCGGTGCGTGGACTCGTGGAGGGGAAATATCTTCCGCTTGCCGTAAACATTGGTGAAGATTCTGTGACGCTGTGGTTGTCATTCGACTTGTGGGAGGTTTGAATCTTATGCCTTTGAGGACCCGGGCCTTGGAGTTCGACGAGTGTCTAATGTCAAAGGCAGAAGTCGTGTCTTGACAAGGAGTACGGGTACATAGGTGGTGTTTTGTGTAAAAGCTTCAGGAACAGGTGAAACGGGTGAGGATAGTGTCCACCAAAAATACCCAACTATGGAGGTAGATTGCGACTGCCAGATAGCGTGCTATGACATGCATGAGAAGTCTCCACAAGCGTCACAACAAGTACCGGCCCCGAGCCATGTCCTATTGGCCCAGTGCAGGTCCTGCCGATGACCAAAAAGGAGGCATGCCGATGGTCTTGAGGAATCAATACACTTACATGACTTATGTGCTGAGCTGCTGTATAATGATGACCATTTGCGCAGAAGACCAGCTGGGCCGTCGCCATGCCATGCCATGTCATGCTTGATCATTGTGACGCCGTTGCCTAGAACCCCTGACCCTCCTCGTATATTGACCCGGTTGCAGATACGACGCCCTTGCGTACGATGCTGTCCCGTCAGGCACAGACTGAATTCAAGGTGTGTCGTTGGCGGACTGTTCTCTGGCACGATCTTGTGCGAAATACGCGATATCACCCAGATGGACGGTTCACTGTGCAGGATACTGCACGAAGTCACTTCCTGAGCCATGATACCATACCAGCGAGGATCGCCCCTGCTTTCAAACCCTTAAAAAGGCCTCCTACCAGAGCCTCCGATCACGACGAAGCTCATCCCAAGGATCCCAATCCACGTTATACTCACACTAGGAGCATCAAGCACAGAACATGCAGAGCTCATCCGAAGGATCCCTCTCCATGTTACACTCTCATTGGGGTTACCAGGCACAGAGCGGAAGAGAAAAAGAAGTACAGAAAGTAGAGCAGTCTCACGAAGTACCAGAGAGTGAAGGACGGTGGATCTTCATGAATAGTGGGTGATATTGCTGCGAGGCAATACAGAATCAAAATACCCGCAGACAGGAACAGGATGATGAGTTGAAGTGGATTCATCTTACTTCCTGTGATATTTAATTTCTGATAATTCAGCTCGTTGCTGGTTGTTACACAGTACATGTGAGCAGCATTCATCATGCTAAGCTCCCATGCACATCGAGGTGAGGTGCGACTTTAAAAGACGACTTGTCTCATTGCTTTTCCATCTCGATCTCCCACGCAGCTTCTCCGGTTCACCGATCATATTGACCGTGAAGATGGTTTGATCTATTCGGAACCACCGGAAGCCAAACCCCCCTTTCTGCCGGCCTCTTTTGCTCTCTCGCTGCCTGGTTCGAAGGAGCCGCTGGACGCTTGACCACCCTTCGACGCTATCTCGCGCTGCGAAGGAAAAGGTCAGTCTTTGCACATCAAAATCGATGAAGTGTAGGCAGGCATGCTGCTGGTGTTTGGGAGGAAGGATGTCAACAGACCTGCTTGTCTGGATCCATCGAGGCAAAGCCGCTGTTGTGACTTGCTTGTCCACCCTTGCTTGCGATCTCCTGGACCTCCTCCTTGGGGCGGTTGGCGAAGTTTCCTGGGTTATCGTTGCCGGACATTTTGATGGTGTTGACCTAGAGGGGGTTTGGTTTGTGTGATGGTTGAGTGTCAGTGTTAGACAGTGTTTGAATTTGGTTGATTGATTGTGGGTGAATTGGTAGGAGGCTTCAAGGCCAGATATATATGTTTTTGTTGCACGAAACTTGGCGTCAATATGACTTCACTCACGGGTACCTGCCTGAAAATTAGGCGTTGATTTCGATGTTGCCTGCGTCGGAGGTGGTCGAGCATGCGGAAGTCTCGTCCGGACCTCAAAGCCGTGTGAGAACTAGGGGGAAACAAACAGAGAAAGGAAGATCGGCAGCATGATGTTACACAAGATAGGCATCACAGCCAGGCACAGCTAGGCACCATCGCCGGTCATGGACACCGCTACCATGAGATATGATACGATGAGTTTGTGGTCGATCTCGATATGAGCAATCACGCCAGAAGACGCAAAGCACTTCTCCGGAAAGCCTTACCTACATTGTGGATAGTATATCAGTCATATTTACATCACTGCGGGGACCGAGACCTTGCCTCGTTGAAAAGAGGATCAACTTTATCATTCTCAACAGCATCGTACTTTTGTCCCAGTCATCTCGTTCCATCAGGTCCTTCCCCATGTTGCGATCGATGTAGATGTTCCCAAAGTTCATGCGGCACTGACTACTAGAGTTGGGACTAGACCGTCAAAACGGGGGCCAGCCAATCACTAAATGCGCTAGCACCGGATATCGGTGGGGTCTCGAGATAGCTTCTTTGGTTCCGGGGCACAATATCCATTGCATGCATCCTTTGCGCTTGATGTTGAAGTTTCTCGAATGTACGCTGAGCTCCTGGTGGCTACCCTCGATATCAGGTCCCACGACGAAGTCCACACCCAACTCCCCCGTCCGCCTTAGCTTTAGAAACAGCCTCCAGAGCATCGGGATTACACTCCCTCCATCAGCAAAAGGCAGGTCAGCCTGACGTCAAAATCGCGGGGAACGGCTTCTTCCAACGTTTTTTGATCATTACCCCGGATGCAATTATGCGACGTCGATAAGTTTCGATCCCGAAATGGGTTGGCCTTGATCCCCCGTGAGCAATAAGAGGACGAGCAACGGAGATGACTGAAGCCATGAACTATTGTGGTATAACAACCTCTTCGTATACTGGACTCGCTAATGGGGCAAAACAGAGTCTCCTTTCCCCAACGTCTCAACCACTAACGGGTAGCGGAAGTACCATCCTCTCCTGACTTGACCTCCTTCGGGAGATCATCCTCATCCGGTCCCTCAGAGTATGACCCCACCGGCTTCGCATGGCGTGTCCGACCCTTGATGATGTTGCTCTTGTCAATGGCTTCCTTCTCATCTTGTTCTACAAGCCAGTCAGCACAGACAATTCCTACCCTCTGACACCACCCAAAGTTACCGAGCTGAGCATCGCTATTCGACGTCGGAGGCTGGATGGGGTCCTCGATAGAAGCACTATCCTTCTGCACGGGAATCGTCCTGTCGCCGGACCTCACGTAACTGTCGTCGTTAAGGTCGCCCGTTGGATCGACTTTGTAATCGTTCTGAGCTTCATACTTGTCGTCGGCGGCGCGGTAATTGGACGTATCGGTCATTGTGGCCTGAATTTGTCCCGAAAGTAAGATCTTCGTATGCTGTTGACGAAACAAAAGGATCTTGCTGGACGAGGCTGGGTTCGATGCTCATATTATACCACCGTAGTGCGACATAGAGCCCTTGCAAAACGACGCGGTGATCGTATCAACTCCATCATCAGAGCAGAGCCACTGTCCGAATGATGTGAAGTCAGGACGGTCATGTTTTGACGTCAAAGTGACGCTACACGTCTTGCTCGAACAAAAGGACGCGGATGAAGGGGCACAGTTGTGGATGGCCCTTTCCAGGGCAGGCCATTAGTTGGACGGGATGAGGCTGTAAGCACGGCAGCCTACCGGAACGAGGTCCCGAGGTAAAGTCGAGCTTTCTGACACAGTCGTAAGCGATATGAAAAGCAATATACCCAGGGCGGAAGCATGATCCGACCTTCATGGCTTTCGGGTTCGGGGACATCCATCAACGTCAAGTGTTTGAACATCATTACCAGCATTGCATGATGCCATGCTTTACGTGCGTATGAATCCGAATCATCGAGATGCTCATGCATTCAACCAGTATTCACGCCATGGGCTTTTGCATCGGGTGGCACTGGGATTGGTTGACGCAACTGACCACGAGAATTATGGGGATCCTGGTGAAGGAAAGTGTATATTAACTCACTCGAACGAACAATATTATTCCTCGTTTTCCAACTCTGCAGCCCTACCCGACAAAGCGCCGCAGAATAACGAACCATCCACGTGAGGTTTCCTGGTAGGAAAGCATAGCCCGCACGGCGATATGCAGGTTTGATCTGTAATACCAACAATATGCGCCGATGCGCCTCGTGACTGCCCCTACTTATCTATTACTCCATCAGCTGGACGAAGACATACACGTACTTGTTCTGCGAGCTTCTCCATTTGCTTGATCTCCAGCTGCCCAGCTGGGTATGCACCCTCGGCACCTTCCAGAGTATGAAAGACCAGTGGTAGCAGAGACGATTTCCAGCCTCTGATTGTAGAATCATTGGTAACTTCTGCTTGCATGATCGTGAAGAAGAGGAACAAGGTAGTAAGAAAGACCACGGCGGCCAGGACCGTCATCCAGATCCAGTGCATTCCTATGCAGGTTGATTCTTGGAATATGACTCCCAGGGCAGGTTTGCTGTAGTCTGCGTCTCCGTTTTGGCGCAAATAAGTGGTAAGGTACTGCGCAATATTGCTAAACGTTGTATTGATGCTATCGAAGTTCAGCAAACCATTATTGTATAACACGTGCTGGTGGGCTGGAGCTTGATATGGCGGAATTGCGTCAAGCCATGTGACATTGCCAGTCCAGAAACTTGTGATAAAGTCGCCGAGCTTCTGGTAAACTTCGATATCTATCTGATAATAGCAATCTTCGTAGAAAAGAGTTGTGATGATATCTAGGCACTCTTCGCTGGCGTTGAATTTCGACTCGCCGGGCAGCCATGATCCATCAGGGTTTGGTTCGTTGTAGCGTTGATACATCGTGGATCTGTCATGGTCACGTAGCGATGGCCAGAAATGTCGTCCGTTTCTTCCCAGGCATTGTCACAAACCCTATCGAGAGTTTCTGAGAGTTGGCCAGCATCTATGGATGAACACTCCTGTACCGAACACAGAGATCTCTCGAGGTAGGTCCAGTGATTCTCCAAGACCAGAGCTATCAAATTTAGAGAACCTACTTGACCGCGGAATTGATGCATTCCGAGAGCTCGAGGGCACTCTGCAATCGTGATAAGACACGACTTGTTGAGTGGTGACGTCGATCAGCAGAGTCAAGATGGTCAAGACGGCACCGAGATTGGCAATAAGACTGCGGCCTCGTAGGTTGAACATCAGCTGACAACAGCCTAGGGGTCCTCGAGTCGCGGCATCGTAGCTCGTCAGAATTGTCAGCGGCCGGGGTTCCTTTAGCCATTCCCATTTCAGCTGGCTGAGTCCTTCTGCAATAACGAACAGAACCGCCACCTTTATGATAGTTGCACCTGCTGAGATGATGGCGTTGATTGAAATGCCATAAGGCCATTCGGGCAAAGAACGACCTTGATAATTGATCAATTATCATCGCAATTGCAAACAGCATTGCGATTGCCAGGATACATGACGATATTTCAATCCACCAATTGTTGATTGTCCCAGTCTTGGGAACCCGAGCTCTTGCAATACTGAAGGAGCCTTTCGACGGGGGTAGCAGGCTATCTTGAGGTTCCCCCATCGTGCGTTCATTGGAATGTTCCGGGTCCGGGGCCGTGCCTGGGACACGTTTTCGCCGGATGACTTTTTGACTTTCCGAGGATGGCTGTGAAGGCGATGATTTTGCTATCAGCGCAGCAGTTGCTTCTGTTGTAGCCTCGTCTCCGTTGCCACCAATATCAGCATCTCTTGCTGGGAGCAGTGCACGTTCCTCATCTAGCATGCCTTCCACGGCAATCGTTTCGTCGGATAAGGCTTGCGCACACCGCAACTCGTATTCTTCGTTCGATTGAGGAGGCATGTCCGCGGCTATGCAGGCACTTCAGGGGCCGGTGATTATGAGAACGCCAGTGTCTGAAACCGAGGCAGGCTGAACGAGGTTGAGCGTCTGCGAGTGTTGCTCCAGGCCCTCGCTGAGGTAAGAAGTACAGGATGCTCAATTTTGGCCTATGGCCAGGTCGCTGAGATGAGTGAGAGAGAATCATGGTGAAGTTACTCGATCAGGCTGGAATGCAAGGGGGCTATTGAAGCGGCCTGCAGTCCATGGAGGTCTCAAGCAGGTGCTCTGCGACTTCGTGTCACTTGAAAAGAGGTAGTCGACATACTTGGTATACTTCTGTATTGCAAATCTTAGCACGGCCCGCCGATAGGGTTGTTGTCTCGATTGCCGGGCTTGTGAACCAACCATGAATGCCGGAGGAGTGCTGGTTATCGGCGGGCTTGCATGGTGTAGTCCGATTCTGTTTTCCCGCCAATGGAGACCCTAGTCCACCCACCTTGAAGTGCACTTCCGTGCTAACAATCTCAGTGCGATGTACGAACTGGGCCAGACATGCTCAGGGTAGTCGCTGAAAGCACAATTGACGATATCGAAGAAGGAACTTAGATGTCGATCAGCACACTTCAGATGCTGAGGTCTTCACCAGTGGATCCATAGGACAGGCCTTGTTTTCGTTCGGCTCCCCGGGTTCTCTGCATGCGTCGGGCAGATCCTTTCCCTTTCAGTACTCAGAATGATATGACAAGGTCCTATACAGCCCGTCGTGACCCTCATGTTCAGTGTCATTGCGAACACCTTCATGATCCTTGTCAATCGTTTCTCCTGACTCGTTTGCGACTTGATTCTCTTCCTTTTCTTTTTCAACAATGCCAACCATCTCCGGCAGGTTGCCACCCATGGGTGTCTTCTCCTGCCCACCCACAGTATCCTCTGGCAGCGGAGAACCACTCTCACCTCCGCTCTTCCTCCTCAGCTTTTCCTCCTTGGCCTCCCGGGCCTTCTTTTCTCTCGCGTTCCGTTGACCTCGCCACGTCATCCCACGGAAATACACAATCCAGAGCATCGGCGACGTAGCAATCAGGAACAACGTCAAGAACGTAAACGTCCAGCCTCTTCCCATAGCCTCAATCATCGGAATGATCGCAGCCGTAGCACCAGCCCCCAAGAGACATCTGACGACATTGTTCGCTGCTGTGGCCGTAGCCGGCGCCGTCGGGTAGAAGTCGACAAGCAGTGTACTCGTCACGTTGAAAGCAATGGACATGCTGAAACTCGCAAAGAAAAGCACCACCAGTATGGCGGCGAGGGGGCCGTTCACATCCATAATCCAACCGAATATGCACACCAGAATCGCTGCGCTATACGAAGCTGGAATTGCAATTTGTAGTCTCGCCTTCTCAATGGGGAAGTCGCTCAGGTCTTGATTCCGTCCCTTCCTGATCTTGACCCCAAGTCTCTTGCACCAGCGGGCAAAGTTGCGGTCCAACAGTTGACCATTGACCAGTGCTGCACACATGGACCCAAATCCGAAGGGAATGTAGCAGAGACCAATTTGGAGCACGTTGAAATTGTATATTTCCTCGAACTGTGTTGGTATCGAAGCTGTGACATCGTAGAAGGAAGCGAAGAGGAAGGCGTTGTAGAAAAGCAGGAGAGAGTTCTCCTTGTCGAAGATCAGTGCCATTGAACGAAGAGGATTGGGAAAGCGAAACCCGGTCTTTTTCTTCGGCGAAGTGACGCCTTGAGCTTCATCTGTGAATTGTTGATCTTGACCGAGCTTTCGAGCCTTTCGGATGGCCAGGTAATTCATCAAAGACATAGACCAACCCTTGGGCGGTATGGATCCGTTTCCGACTTGATTGCGCGCTGCGGATGAAGGTCAGCCTGTCACCATTCGTTGCGTGTTCTCGATAGTGCAACTCACCTGTTTCGGGAAAGAAGATTGCAAAAATGATCAAAAACGTTGCACCCATGATTGTCAGAAACCAGAATATAGCACGCCATCCAAGGAATTGAGCCAGGACACCACCAATGACAGGTCCGATGGCAGGGCCTAGCAGCGACCCAGCGAGTGTGAAGCCCATGTACTTGCCCCTTTCGGCGGCAGTAGCGACATCGGACACCACGGCACTGCACATGGCGATGGTGGCGCTGCTACCTGTGCTCTGAACGCATCGGAGGACGAAAAGAGCAGCATAACTGTCTTGTAATGCGAGGCCGATATTCGCCACAAGATAAACAATGAAGCAAACTATGGGCGCGTCAGTGGAACCAGTAACGAGCGTGCCAGGATTAGGAAGGCATACCAGCATATGCAGGACGCCGTCCAGCAGCGTCTGCGAAATCTCCCACAAACGTCGGGGCGAGGCCTTGAAAAATCATATAGGACGTCAACGTCAGGTTGATGAGAGAGGCGGAAACGTGCAAGTCGTTCGCTAGGGGGACCAAGGCGGGAAAGTATATCTGGCCGGAGACAGGGGAGAAGAACCCTGCCCACGAGGCCATGAAGACTATAAATCGTTTCTGATTCGCGGTGAAGACCGAATGGACTGGACCGGCTGCGGATGCAGTAGTCACCATCCGTTGAGCTTGCTCAGGTCGGGCCGGTGAGTCTTGCGCCGTCGGAGTCCTCTCGAGGGCGCCATCGTTGTGGGTGGCCAACTGGAATGCGAGGGTCTCGGACGAGCCTGATGCAGCGCCCTCGTCTGTTTGGGGATCATGTCTACCCAGCTGTGCCTCTTTGGATCGGCCATTGCCGTCGGTCAACGTTGATTGCAACTCGACATCATGACGCTCCGAGTGCTGCTGATAAGTGGTACCGCTCGACATCAAATCCAAGACCGCTTAAGCTTTTTCTCCAATTGGGGCGAATCTCAGGCTAATGACGCTTTCCACTCGTCTCATGGGTAAAGACTTGGCTGGGTGACATGAAACTTTATCAAGCGACAAAAGACAGGGCCTGGTAGAAGGCTTGAAGAACAATATAGATAGAAAGAAACGCTCAACAACAAATCGACATGATATGATGAAATTGCAGAAGGAACAAAACAGGACAAGCGAAGTCGGTCAACGACCGATTGCGATTGCGGAAGGACGATACTGATTGCCATTTGCGCCCTCTTCAGTGGCCGCGGCAATGGCAATAATTATGATGCCTCTAAGCTTAGGGCAAGTCCAGCGCCTGTAGCCTGTTTTCTGCAGCTGTATTCGCCATTACTGTAAGGTGCAATGTTTGCGTGGAGATGCTAAGTTAGGATGCACGTATCACTGGTCATTACAACACTGTTACATGCTTGCTTGTGCCGCTATAGCCGTAGCCGGACAAACACCGGATTTGTTTCTGGACAAGGCGCGTGAAGCCGGACGCGACATCGCTCGTTGCTCAACTCATCGGCGCGGGGATAGTCTGAGACTGTGGTCGACATCGCAACGATATACTCGACACTTGTTGTTCCAAATGAATGCAGAAACCCGACCACGGCCCTCGCCCGCATGATATCGTCAGCCCTTCCGACCCAACCCACCTAACATTCTACCCTGCCTACTCATTCAAAGCATCCGAGACCTGGTCGAAATGGGTCAAACTCACCGCCCGCGACATACACCACACCTTGAAACCTCACCACAAATACACCGACATAACCATAAATGCTGCCCGACATGATCCGACGGACCATCGCCATCGGCGCGATGCTGCCCCCTCATCCTCACTCCTACTCTTCTATCTGAACCACCCTATCCAATTTGTCCAAGTGGTTGGTGTGATCGTGGTTTTTGAACAATATTTCGAAAAGTTCTGGCTCTTCACAATCGACGACAGCAGCGGAGCCACCCTCGACGTGACCTGTCCAAGGCCCGAAAGGGAGAAGAAGGACAATGCAAACGCCATGGTAGTGAATGTGCCCACAAAGCCCATGCCGCAACGTCAACCTGCGGCACCTGCCGAGCCCACCGAGGAAGAACTTCTCCAGAAGACGGTTGCGACACTGGACGTTGGAGTGGTGGTGCAAGCCAAGGGCACGCTCTCGACATTCCGATCCTCGCGTCAACTCACGCTCCTTCGCCTGTCCGTCGTTAATGACACAAATCACGAGATGGCCTTGGTTGCCTCTCGCATGGCTTTCTTGAAGTCGACCCTCTCAAGGCCTTGGACGCTATCAGAAAGCCAACTCAAGAAGCTACACAAAGAAGCTCAAGGAGAGAAAGAAGACGAGAACAAGCGAGTGAGCAGGAGAAAAATGCAGCAAGCACAGAGACGACAGAGGGAAGACCGGCATGCAAGGTTGATTAGCAGAGAGTATGAAGCGGAGGAAGAGGCAAGGAGAAAGGCAGCGGACGAAGCAAAGTCCGCTGGCGAAGCTTTGCGCTCACGGGCGAGACGGATACCTTCCTAGCGCATAGTCGTGAGTGTAGGCCTCATGTTCACGGCACAGTGCAACAAAGACGTCGATGAACATAATTTAATCTTTGGAATTCGTCAATGTACAATACAGAAGACAACCACTCTCGCCTGGTGTGCTCGACCTCACTGGAAGTCGACGACAGACTTTCGGAGCAACCGATCGTAGAGGCGAGGCACAATATTATCCACGCATGATCGGTCGGCATGCTCGTTGTGTTTCCATGCCTCTTCCCACCTTTGAAAACACTTTTCTTCCCGCAACGCATTCCTTCCCTCTCCATTAATGACGAGAAAGCATATCAATAAAAAGTTCCTCATCTCAGAAAGGAGCTCAGCAGCGTGGAATATGCAAGCCATCATGCCTTCTTTGCTCGCTTCTGCACTTTTGTGTAATGATAGTAACACACAACGCCGAAAATGCTCCACCCAACCAGTAGATGAAGACGCAAGGTATGCGAAGTGAAACACATTCTCTATCGCTGTCGGGTCGAATCGAAAGTCTTCTGGAGTGAACTCGATGGCGGAAGATTTTTTGTCCAGAGCAAAAGTGGTCCGCTGTGCTGTAAATGCTAAACATGTGGCTCGCGCCGGGTATCAATGCACATCTTCACAACCCTCCCCACAAGCGGCCGTCGAATATTAGTGAGTTCATTGAATAATGTTGTACAATTTCGATCGAGCTGTCGAGTTCATTCGGCATTCTTCTCCGCCGATGATGACTGTTCGGGTTCGATATTCGGCTGCGACTTTTGTGTGGGAGGAGATGCGGGATTCGATGGCGGTGAGCCAGGTCCTTCGTTTTCAAGGGCGGCGAGAGCACTGTAGCAAAAAGTTAGTACCACTTCATGAAGATATTCGGGACCCCGTCTTACCTGAAAGCATTCGTGCTGGCTTCATCTTTCTTATCCTTACCAGCTGGTGGTGTTCCAGTCCGGCTGCTTGTGTTACTGTCTTCTCCACGGCTGAGCAAGCCACCCGGTCCAAGACCACGACGGCCACTATTGGTACGTCCACTGAGCATACTTGGAGGGCCGAGCGAGCCAGTTCCGGTGTGACTTGGGTTGCGAGCATTGCGATTGCCAAGTCTTCGAAGATCATCGGTCCCAACTCGGTTCGAATTGTCCGGTGGCGGCACTTGGCCACCAAAGTTGCTGAAGCTGCGGGCATCGCCACGGCCCATGGGCAGTCTGCCTCCACCCCGTCCGCCACCTTGCGTAGCCAGTCTCTTGAGATCATCTTCTTGTTTCTTTCGCTCGGCCTCCTCGTGGATTTCGGCAATAGTCTTTGGACCCTTGTCGTCTGCCTTAGAGACCCAACCTTTCCGTCGGAGATCAACAATATCCATCAGCATAAATCTCAAACGACTCGGCAGATCTGGAAGGACGATGACCGCGTTGATGCGTTCAAAGTAGACGTCCATACGTCCGGCACCCTTGCTTTCAGGGCTGTCGAGCTGTCTACCAACAGTGCGCAGCAAGCCTGTCAAGCTCTCGATTTCTGCTTCATCAGGAGTACCCTCGTAGTCGACGAGCTTCTTGACACACTCGTGCATGATACGCTCTGTCAACATGGACAACTTGAACAGCTCACCAATGAATCTGACCAGACCCAAGCCACGTCTCTTGGCGGCAGCAGCGATGTAATACTCATCGGAAAGCATGACCTCTTCGCCTTTGCCTTCAGGTTGCGGTGGGAGATTGACCTTCCACCCTCGCTCAAACTCTTCCTGACAACGATTGAGGAGGTACTTGCGGAATAGATTACCACCAGTGACGACATTGCCATTCTTGTCTTTGATGCCCTCATCTCGGATATCAGGGCTCATACTCTCCAACATTTTGCGGGCAAACGCAGCGTACATAGGTGCCCAGTGAGCTTCGTCGGTGGCTTTCTCGAATGTGAGTTGAATGACTTGGCGTAGGGTGCGGCCGTCGGATTCGTGTTTAGATTGGGCAGCAATCTCCAAGACTTGGTCCGCGATCTTGTCGAACTTCTCTGGAGTCATCTTGTTGAGAGCAGCTTTGACCTTTCGCTGCACCACATCAGGCTCCATTAAGCCATCGCCACCAAGGGCAGGGCCAGGGACGATATTCTGGCCAATACTGCGAGGCTTCCATCCGGTGGATGAGACCTCGAGCGATCCAATGTTCATGCCGGCGGTAAGGGGCATTGATTTATTGTCTCCGTGGCCGTGGCCAGTGTTCTGTTTGGAGCGCTTACTCTCAGCACGAGATCCGCCTCGGCTTGCACCACCAGCCATGCGTGGAGAGCCAGGGATAGGACCAAGAGGATTGTTGGAGGGAGTGCGTCCCATAGCAGGCGCCATTTGGCCGGGCCGGCCAAATTGAGCGAAGGGGTTGCTGCTTGGCACGCCACGAGCAGCAGCATTGGAGGCAGCAAAGCGCTGTTCAGAGGTCGTGCCAGGAGGTAGGTTGCCACGAGCACCACCAAAGCTACCCATCGGTCCGCCGAAGTTGCTCATGGCTGGAGGTCCACGAGAAGATGCACTGCGGTTACCCATGCCTGAAGGCGTCCTGGCAGAAGCACCGGCTCGAGCAGAAGAATCGCCATCACCCAAAGCGTCCCGTATTCGGAGGTCCCAGTCTAATGTGGGTTTCTCCTTGAAGACATCCTGGAATTGCAGCAAGAATTCTTTGTCGTATTTGAACTTGCGGTCAGCCGGCGCATCGGCGTTCAGTGAAGAATCAGGTGCTGTGATGTCCGTGGGGTATGACACCTTGGACAGATCATCCAGCTTTTGAGATGCTTGTAGAGACTTCAAAGTGGCGCTAGGCTCAGGCGGCTCAATTGGCTTCTTAGTGTCAAGAGTTAGTTCGGCGGCCTTGCCACGTTTCGCAGGAGCCTTTGCTGCTGGAGGTGGCATCGAGACATCCGAAACAGGAGTAGCAGTACCACTCTCGGCGGGGGTCTGAGCAGGAGGACTCTCGGTCGAGGCAGGAGTACCCAAAGGATTGGCCTTGAGCTCGGCAAACAACTTCTTGCTGGTCTCATCGCCAGATGCCCCATCGGCCTTTTCCTTTTCGCGAGCGAGCTCCGCCTCTTCAGCTTTGCGCTCCAGTTCTTTCATGTTGGCTTCGTAAGCAGCAGCCTCTTCTTGCTCTTTCTTTCGTTGGGCTTCGAGCTTGGCAGCCTTCTTCTTGTTGTATTCTTCTTCTAGGCGTGCTTCCTCGGCTTCCTGTGCTGCCAGTTCAGCCTCGATCGCGTCGTAGTCAATCTCCTCTTCCTCGGCTTTAGCTGGCTCCGACGATTTCTCCTCGGGCTTCTCTTCTGGCTGCTCCTCTGGCTTTTCTTCCGGTTGTTCTTCCAGTTGCTCTTTCGGCTGCTCTTCCGGCTGCTCTTTCGGCTGCTCTTCCGGTTGCTCTTCCGGTTTCTCCTCTTCGACGGCCTTGGCTGCTTCAGCGTCTTCCTCAGCCTTGCGAGCCGCAGCCTCTGCAGCTTCTTTCTCCAGTGCATCGGCTCTTGCTTTGGCTTCAGCAGCCTCACGTTCCGCGGCTTCTGCTGCTTCCTTGTCCATTTGCGCCTTTTCAGCCAACTCTTTTTCGGCTCTGCTCTTAGCCTCGTCCTCTGCGATCTTCTTGGCAATGGCTTCTTGCATGGACTTCCTTGCCTCTTCCGCGGTCTTTGCGGCAGCACTATCGGTACGGTTGTGCGCATTGTCGGCGGCACTGGCTGTACGGCTAGGAGGAGTGGGCACTGGTTGAGGAGGAGGAGCAGCTATAACAGTGACGGGTGTTGCAGTTGCTGGAGAAGCTGGAGGCTTAGCGAAAGAAACGACCTCGCCTGCGGTGTTCTTGATTATGATGGCAGCACTCTTCTTGGGAGGAATTGTGTAACTGGGTTTTTGCGCAGAGACACTGGGAGTGCGGGCAGCCTGCGGAGGCCCAGAAGGTCCCGGTGTGTGCGGCTGCTGGCCGATGCTCGAGCCCGGTCGCTCAGGCGCAGACATCTGAGAAGATTGTCTCGACATCGATGGAGGTGCACCCTGGTTGCTGTAGGCAGGCTGCATGTTGGGCGCATAGGCGTTCTGCTGGAAGGGGGGGCGGGGAGATTGTGGCTGCATGTATTGAGGAGGGTATTGACCCTGCATGCCACCTGGTCCATAGTACTGCTGTTGGTACAGCATCTGTATGCTAGGATCAGCTTGGGTGGGGAGACCGAAGCCCTGTGCTCTCTTAGTCAGAAAATGTTCAAAATTACCGCTTTCGGGAGAAAGATCTGGAAAAGGGAAGATTTTGGGGGTTTGCAAAACAGGGGGACGATTCGCAAATTCCGGGCGATAGTGGTCAGAGGCGGGATCTCTGCTGAAACGGGGTCCTCTCTCTGGTCCACCTCTACCAACGCCTCTGCCGCGACCAGCTTGTCGGTTGCCACGGCCTCGGGCTCTCGTAGAGTTGCCTCTGTCTTTTGCGGTATCACGGGAAGAAGAAATCAGCGCTGGGTGGCTCTTTACATGTTGGGGTCCCATATAGTATCCATTGGGTTGTCCTGGCATTCCTTGCATGCCGCCGACCATATGCAACGGGTTCATATTCGGGGTTCCGGGGGTAGCGTTGACAAGCGCCGGGCTGCGCGTGCCCATGGCTGGTGAGCCTTGATAGTGCGGAAGTTGTTGACCTCTGCCTTGGTATCCACCTTGCATCACGCGACCGTTGGACGGAGGGCGGAAGGATTGGTGAGGAGAGTACTGCATAGGTTGCTGATACGACGGGTTGAAACCTCGACCACGGCCGCCTTGTCCTTGATAGCCACCGCGACCAGGACCAGTCGGAAGACCAGGGCCGCCAACATCGCTATGGACGGACTGGGAAGAGCCTCGTCTCATGTGGTCTTGTTGAGCACCGAACTGCAGCTGGGACATTGGGCGGGACAAACCCTGCTATATAGTCAGTAAAAATCTCATGTGGTACTTTCATAGCTTTCTTACGCTTGGATCCGACGGATCGGCCGGAGTTGGCATCTGTCCGAAAGTGTAACCATTGCCCTGGCCCTGGAACGAGGATGGAGGTCGTCCCCCACTGACAACAGCTGGCTGAGGAATGGGAGATGGAGAGTTTGATGGTGATGTCGCTCCAGGGTTCAATCCAGCGACGCTGAGATTGGAAGAATTTTGAAGAGCCAAGGAAGGCGTGCCCATTGCAGGCGAATTTGCGTTGGCCATTCCTATCGAGCCGAACTGTATTCCAGGCTTGTTCTGAGGACCGCTTGATGCGCCTCCGTTGGTTGTAGCGCCTGCAGGTGTGACTGTCATAGAAGGCTTGCTAGTAGAATCTGGCAGAGACACATTCCCGTTGACAGAGGGAATCGCAGGTATGGTGGGATTTCTTCCGTTCATAGACTCGCTATGATTGTGTGTGGGCGGAGCACCTCCAACTGCTGCTGACATTTTGTTGGGCTCCGATGCATTTGGTTTGAACGAGGAAGGACTGGTGGCGGATGGGAGCGAGTTTCGGCCTTGAGCAGCCAAATTCGATCCGTTCGCGAGGTTTGAGCTTTGTGCGCCAGTGGCAGACGCAGCAGGCTTCGATCGACTTGTGGTAGACTGCGGAGGAGAGGATGTCATCAGATTAAGATGAGTATTTCCTAGGCAGCGCAGGCCAAAGTGTGCAAGGTTGACTGAAAGGCTGAAACGAAGCGGGATGACAAACGCAGCTTTTTGGCTGGATAAGTCGTCCGAACCTGCAGGTTAATGAGCGATAGAAGATGATGGTGTCTCCGGGTTTTGGACCACGAAGCGGCGACTGTCTCGAATGAACGGAAGCCGCTCTTTGTGCTGGTGGCAGTGTGAGGTGCCAGTGGTGGTTTTTTATTTCCCGGGAAAACCTGAGAGGAGATTCACAACACGCAGGCAGTTCCGAACGAGGACGATCGGAGCTCTGCTGCGGCGGAAAGATCAATCTCTGCTGGAGAGAAAGATGAGAGGCACGACAACTGATAAGTTGACAGTGCCAGATAACCCTCTACGCGATGAAGAGGGCGATGTGGAAAGTTGTTAAGGGGGTTGAATGTGAGGGATTGCAGGCAAAAAAGCGCAGTTTGGGAATAAGAGAGCGGCTCGGGTCTTCTACTGCTAGAAAAAAAACTCGCCAAGCCTCAAGTGGCTCATTCATTCAAGTGAGAGTGAAAGTCAAGAGGACCTGGAGGACTGATGAGGAACCAGAACCAGGACTTGCGCCCAAACAATCCATCCATTTGGTCCTCATCCGTTATTATTTCTTTCTGCCTTGTCCCTCTACAGTATTATCCCTGTTGAAGTCTTCACCTACGACCCTCTTTGTGTTGAAATGTTTGCTTGGTTGTACTCTCTGCCCGAACAATTTCTTTTCTGGACCGAACAAACATGACTCCTTTTTCCCTACTCCCAAGACGCATCATCCAATCGTTCTCTGGCCGATGTGCCAACCGTCTACGGATGCATTCACATCATTGGCGACCGGCGCATGCTGATGGCTAATTCTGACATTTGACATTATTTCTGTTTGGCGGAAGAGACATGCTTAAAAGGAAAATCGAGCTAGGGCTCCCGCAGTGGCTTGCAAGTGAAGAAATGGAGGCCTTTCAGTCCCAAAAACCCATAGACGAGCCAGATGCCGTCCCATCCACAGTCATCATCATCATCCATCATCACCTTGTCGGCGTGGCATCGCTAACCCGACAAACCAGGGGTCTTAATCCCCTTGTCTGTCAAGTTTTGAATCTTGCTAAGTAAAATAATGCCCAACATCCGGTAACTTAGTTGGCCATAACCATCTTCAGCCTCCCGCTGTCTCTCCTGAATAGACGTGGTGTCGGCTGCAACCACTTAAACCTCAAACAGAAGATCTGATCATCTCTTCCAGAACACCTCTGGGATTCTCCTCCAGGATCCTTGTGCATGGAGGACACGGACCAACTGCGTATTCTCCGCAAACAATTTGCTATTTCCGCGTAGGCGAATATCGGGTCTACGCGTCTGCACCGTGTCGATTTGGTCTCAGTCTATCACATCTTCCCTAGCCATCTGTGCTGTCAGTCGATCACCATTCTCCATGAAGACTCCAGGCCAGGGAGATGTGGCAGATGCATCAAAAGACCGTTTAATTCCGTGGCCACCACAAAATTTCTCGCTTCCTTATTAGTTTTCGTGCTATCTTTTATTTATCTCCATGCTCCACATCTAGAAGAAAATAGTTCAAGACCGGGCCCCGGACGGGTGAATGCCGGAGCGGAAAGATGGCATGTGGACCGTGCCGTTTGTCTAGGTATCATCTGGTGAGATTGAGAAGTCGCAATCGTACTATTTTACCAGTCATCTATACTGCGCCTGACTCGTTATCAACTGCATTTGATCGACATGCAGGTAACATGTGTTTGCCGCATTATCCACGGACACTATTGGCAATCGAAAAGTGCGGAGAGCTGCCTGCATTGTATGATTGTGCAGCAAGTTCTCTTCCATCTCGTTGTTCTATCAACACAATCGAGGACAGGAATAGAAAGGTCCAATTCCTGTTCGTTGAGCTATGTGGTAAGCTACCTGTAGATACCCATCTGAGAGACCAAGCCCGCATAGGAGCCCATCTCATCATTTATGCGCCGCTCCCGCCACTCAAAAGCGCCAACACAACGTCAGCCCGTTAGATGAGAGTCAGCCCTCTTCGTTCAATTTCATTAGCATAATATCCCCAGATGCTTTTGATGTCCAGAAAGTCCTTCGTGTAAGCAAAAGCCCAGAGCACCAAACGCCACGCTTGTCGAAAACTGTGCAGGAATATGCAAGATGCAATCAGCCGCAAGTGCGGGTTCAAGCCTTTGCGCTCTTCTTGCCCTTCTTTGCATTCTTCTGGAATGCTTCCTCTGGTGGCTCATCCATGGTCTTCCGCTTGCTCTTCTTCGCACCTCCGCCATACTTGGCCTCCAGGTCATCGAAGAAGTTCTCCGCGCGGGACTGTTGGCGTTGTTGGATGAGTGCTTGCAGCGCATCGGTATCGTCCTCTGCCTTTTTCGCCTTCTTCTTTGGGGCATCCTTCTTGCCAAACAGCTTGTCCTCTACGCCAAGCTCGCGAGCGTATTCTCGTGCTTCTTGCTCTTCTTGCTTCGCATTCGCCCGTCTTCTGGCACGGCTCTTCTTTCCTTCCTTGGTGAACTTTACATGCGCTTCGACCTCGCCCTTGGCGATTGCTTCGTTAATCATTTGTCTGAAACGGTCTTCGTCCACCAAGACTTCACTGCACATGACACTTTCGAATACTGCGTCCATGTCACCTTCGCCTTCTTCGTAGGCTGCCAGCACATCCGCCCTCTCCTCCTCACTTCCTTGATACTCCCGTTTGACTTGCTCAATCATGTCTGCATTGACCATGGCAGCAGTCTGCTCTCGGAAGAAATCGGCCCAATCGAAGTCGTCATCTTCGATGTTCGCACTCTCTGCGGTGTTACCAGTGGCGTCGTAGCGTTTGCGTCTACGCTCATCGCTGAGGATAGCGTATGCGAATGCGATCTCTTGGAATTTCTCGCGCGCAGATTCTCGATCCTCTGGCTGGGCTTTGTCAGGATGGTGCTTAAGTGCGAGCTTGCGGTAAGCTGACTTGATATCATCTGGTGTTGCTGTCTGGGAGACTTGGAGAACATCGTAGGGCTCGACCGTAGGAGGATCTGCCACAGAAAGGTCTTCTTCCTCGGCGTCGGTGCCGTCTTGCTGCTCCGGTTCTTCAGCAGGTTCTGGCCTCGACTTGGCTTTACGAGCCATGATGAGAGACTTGCGGGAGAAGAAATTGTATGATCGTGTACCAGTGTACGTGGAATATGAGACGGTAGAGAAGAAATCAGAAGCTTGTGTACGTAGGAGTGCTGTCAATATCGAGGTTTATTGAGACGGCCTGCGCCCATGGGTATGCTGGGTTTTAATTAAGGTCTGTTGGAGGACGCGCCCCGAAAAGACGCGTTGTACCACTTACACGTGCCCAAGCCAAGCCTACGTCATTCTTCTCTTACCTCACCCTCATCTCACCGGTTCACTACAATTTTATAAATGCTCCTTTATTCGAAGCGAATGTAAAAGTTTGCTGAAAAGATACGCCGCGACGGCCTCTTATGGCGACACGAGGTATTCCTCAAATGGTCTCCGGACCGTAACAAATATGTGTTGCACCAGGAGTACAGGCGTGCTACCCTCTCTCACAGCCACACAGTAATTGTGGTAAGTGGCCCAGTCAAAAGAGCATCAAGGTAAAATAATACTGTGCCAGTGCCCTTTAGAGACGGCCAAAGTTCCAGGCCTCCATTGAACCATCACCCGTTATCAGACCCTTGAGGTGGAGTGCATTCCGATCTACAGAGGTGAAGCGATCTGGGGTTGAGATCGAACACGGGAAGATTGACATCACCACCAAACCATGCTTTTTCAGAGGTTATTTCATCAACTCCCTGCGGTCCCTCACTGATTTTGTTCTATACAATTTTCTCTTCAATGATTGTCAATCATCACTCCATTACAGTACTTTATAGTTGCTGCCACGCAGACTTTCAGCTTGCCTAGCGTCATCAAACATCATCAGGAATAGAATATCCTCCTCAAATGCGTCTTCAACCCCCCCCTTCGCTTCCTCCCACAATCTTCGAGACATTCCCAAGGCCAGTCCGCAGGCATTTCAGGCCTCTTGTAGCGACTGGCAGCGGGCGTCATTTGCCATTGCAATATCGTCCCACCACGTCCACAGCCAGCCTTCGTCCTGTACCGCTTGCGAAACCCAGATGCAACTTCGCATCGTCAGCATGAATTGTAACCTTGTGGACCGGAAGTGAATATGGGCAGATTTACCACGAGCAGTCGGGGACTTGGGTGGAAGGCGGTACTCCAGGCTGCTCTGTGCAGGTGAGTTGAAATACAGTGAATTCCAGCTTGGTCACTGCCCATCATCTTCCTTAGCAAGATCAGTACCAGGCAATGACTGACCGTGCCATGGCTTGTGCAGGGATGAGTAACGACGTCACGCTTTTCTTATGTGTAACAACAAATTGTTTTCAGCGAAGGAGGGTGGCCTTTGTGCATTAACTCAGAGCCAACGGTAGCGGTCTGGTCTTAGCAGGTTTTGGTATGCCATGTGTCAGGACATTCTTGTACTCAGTATCGGTGACATGCCACGATTACCGAAGAAGCGTTTGTACCAATTCTTTTTACGACACAGACAGTTTGAGCGATTTGAAAGATATCCATTCATTATGTACTGCTAAGTGATCATTTTCGTTTACTCGTTGGTCTCATCAAGACTGTGCCCCCATATCTCAAGGAGGATTGCCCCCATTTGGAATTGCTGGCCTGTAAAGCCGGTACCGTATGTCCCTATATACCAAATATGTTGCATACCAGGGCAGACAAGGCGGCCATCGTCGCTGTCAAAATCCTAGAGAAGTCTGATCTGGGAGCGGCGTTCACATAAACAACTCCGTTCACGGTGGTATAAGCCTGAGCAGCATTCTCGGTCACGGTGGTGGTGACCGGGACCACTTGAGAGGTGATCGTGGTAGTGCATTCGTTGCAATTATTCCAAGTAGTGGTGGGTGTAGTCGTACAGGTTGTTGTTGACCAAGTCGTTGTAGGCGTGGTCGTACACGTTGTGGTAGTGGTATAAGGAGAGTTCCCATTACACGATTCTCCATATGGACAGCAACCAGGTGATCCGTTGTTCTGCCAGTAACAAACATTTGGATAAGGACAACAGAGCGACTCGAGTGCACTGTTGCCCTTGCAGGAGGGATTCTGGTCGGTTCCACAACTACTCCCACCCTTTACGGGCGCAATCCAAGCAACAAGTAGAGTCAGGAAGACGACGGCAACAGTGAAGACCACCATACTGGCAAGCGAGAGCCTGTGCGACAACGAGAGAAGAATGTGAGCAAAGAGCTGGGAATCGGGAAGGCTGGGGTTTTTGTAGCTTCCATGATACTGCACCTCTGGGCCTGAATGTCGAGGTCAGCCATTTCCAGGTTTAGAGTTCCTGTCTAGAAGGATCATGCCGGGATTGCCTTGAAGAGTTGTGAAGCCCAAGGCGAATGAATGCTTGTACGACTTCGCAAAGAGCATGTCTAGCAAGCAGCATGACGTTGGGACGCTGTTGAACCAATAGCTGACCTGAAGCAATGAGTTCGGGGCAAGGGGTGCAGGCGGGAGCTAACTGGAGTGGTAACATTGTCAGTAGTGTCTTTTGGCTGGTTCCAGGCGTTTATCGCAGGAAGAGCGGAAAGAGGTCTTATGGATCTAAGGTCACAGTTATTACCAGATACTCGTGGGTGTTGTCGGTGCCCGTGTCAGGCGCCGCGGGTGTAACAAGAATAGGCACTGATAAGAGATACCCAAGTCAGCCCCGCCAGAGAGGAGAACAGGAACCGTGAAGAGTCGACCTCAGCATTCCTTGACTCTCATTATTCTTGAAGACAATGAAGATCTTCTCCAAAGGACCCAAGATAGCGTCGCCAACATGACATGCATCACTGTTGTTCTACCCGAAAACTCTCCCGCCTTCACCTTTCTCTCAGTGGTGACCACTCTTTCCCATGCCACCAATTGCTGCCTAGTGAGTTCTGGGCATGAAGGCTGTGTGCTGCTGCCACCACCATCACCACCCCACAATTGGCTGTCGTTGCTGCTTCCCGTCCGGAAAGCCAAGATGCAAGATGCCAAACCGCATGACATGGGCCACTCGCCTGCGCCTGCACTAACTAAATCAAAAGAGACTCGAGAACAGACCTCCCCGATTCTACTGTCACTGCAATGTCTTTCTTTATTCTTTCCCAGCAGCAAAGAAGTATTGTGAGTTTGTCGCATCTTATTGTACACGGTTGATCTAGTCTTTGTATTTGCTACACCCCAAGATTGCCTCCATGAACAGACCACCTTCTAGATCTCGTGCTCCTATGAGCCTCGAGGATTCACTTGATGAAGAGAACAGAGAAGTCCTAGCTGCCCTCGACAGCAAAGGATCTCCCTCCCCCATGGCGAGAATCACACATGCTCGAACTGCCACTCCTCCTCCACCTAGTCACAGCAGACTCTACGTCGATGCGCCGACGCCCCGACATGGCTCCATAGCGGGGATTGGCGTCGGAATAACGAGTCCTACTCAGTCAAGAACGTCGGGCGCACTAGACCCATCAGACCCCTCTACGTATACCTCTCCACACTCGAGCAAATCGACTTCACCCGTTCTCACCAAAGCTCAACCGTTGACCACACGACAGCGTGCTGCTTCGGAAGCAGACCGCCTCGCTCGTCCTTCCACAACCGAGGTCTCCAACAAGCCTGGCTTCGAGCAAAAAGCTCCGTCCAACACTCCCTCAATATATGCACCTTCAAGCGCAGGAACATCCAGTCGATTACAAATGGAGAACAAGAGACCGCGCCAAGGTTCAAGTCCGGCTATGGCAGCAGCCATGACAGGTGACTTTTCCAAGTTGTACGTAGGGCTGCCGGGTGCAAAACCTCTGAAAGATACTGGTGCTGCGCGGGGCCATTCGAGGTCGCCTTCGTCGCGGAGCAGAAAATCTGATACATCTCAGCCTGCGCTTTTAAGTCCAAGAAAGTCCGCAGGCCCTTTACTGAGCTCTGGAACCAACGTGGATAATCAAACCAGCCGCCGACTATCGAATAAATCTGGCAGCTTTTCCACTTTCACCGACGACTCGGAAGAGGGTGCTGGTCGCATACACGCGGATGAGATAGGTGAAGAGGATGCCTTGGCTGAAAGCAGTGATGAAGATGCCGGATATTCCAGCAGCGACGATGACGAGACTAGAGGTCGGTCAGATAGACGGAAATATTCGCAAGGTGAAGCAGCTGAGAACAAGCCGGCAGAAACAACCATCACATCATCACCCCCGACACAGACTCCTCCTACACCGTCTTTACCGAAAGAGCCCTCAATCTCAATAACAGATCCCGCAGGAGAGGTCTCAGCTGAAAAGCCAGAGGTACATCCTCCAACGAACTTTGCACGGTCCCAATCCGTAAGCTCCCACGAAGATGAGGACGACGAAGTCAAAGCTATCCGGAAAGCGAAGAGCCTGGCTCTGAATATGTCTCCCCTTGATACCACTGTTCCCAACCGGCACGTCCAAATCCTTCTGCGAGGAAACTGGGTTCACTTTCATCAAGAGGCAGAGGCGGGCCACGGTCACAGACAATCCAGAACCTACCTTGTGTGTAGCGACCTTAGTACAGAAGCCACATACGCGATGGAATGGGTAGTTGGCACCATGTTACGGAATGGCGATACTCTTCTTGCCATTTACGCAATTGAAGACGAATCCGCAGGGAAACCGACCGAAGCTGAAAAGGAGATTCTACACGCCGAAGGTGCACAAGCTGGTAAGGCCGCTTCCGAGGCGATGGATGTTCTTACTCGGCAAACAACGCAAGGCGGCGGGACGAGTGTTGGTCTGGATAGTCAGAATAAATATGTCCCGGCAACAGAAATCATGAGCTTGAGTGGTTCGGTCGACGCAAGGAAAATGTCCAAGAAGGACATGGAACGTCTAAAAGGTGTCGAGGCGGTCACTCAGACTTTCATCAGGCTAGTACGAAAGACGACGCTGGAGGTCAGGTGTATGATTGAAGTCATCCATTGCAAGAGTCCAAAGCATTTGCTTCTTGGTGCGGTAAGTTGGGTCTCTCTCTACTGCAAGATTCTGCCTAACATTTTCGATCTAGATTGATGAACTCGAACCGACTCTCTGCGTTGTGGGCACACGTGGCCGTAGCTCTCTCAAAGGAGTTCTACTTGGTTCCTTCTCCAATTACCTTGTGACTAAGTCTTCAGTGCCTGTAATGGTAGCGAGAAGGAGATTGAAGAAACCACGCTCAGATGTCCGCATCAGCAGCCACAAAATACGGCTGACGAACAACCTTACAGCCAGCCATGTACCTGTGAAACGGAGAAGTCTGACGCAAGCAAGGATTGATTAGAGGGGAAAGTCTCGCGCAAATGCCATACGGTGCTAAGGTATCCGGGGAAATCTGGTCTTCCAGAGGGTGTTACGTGGTCTGGAAAGACCAGGGCCCCATGAAGACGGCCAGGCAGGGAAAGACATGGAGTGAGACCATCTTGCCAGCTTACCAATGGGTGAACGGATGGTCTTATCTTGATTGATCTGTTACACTATCAGCTTTCAGCTATCAACAGCCTCGCATCGAGGCGTAATTTTACAGTATGCAGCCATACTCAATATTGATATCAAGTCTCCTATCCAGGAGCACCTCGCCAATTGACGTTTCTCTCTTTTATCAAGCTGTCTCATCCTGAGATCGTCCCTCTTGAGTATGTACATCCAATTTCACCGTGCATCGTCTCAAGTCGTCCCGGACTTCCATAACCTTTTCACTTTTCAGTGCATTCATATCGCCCATCTCGGGATGTCCACGTTCGTGCCGTGCCTTCCTTGTGAAGGGTATCACGGCACGTCAAACCTCCATCATCCTCTTCTTCGGATTCCTTGGCAATTGTTCCTGCCTCCTCCTCTCTTCCGACGAGATATCATCTATAGCCTTCTTCTGGCCCTGAGTATCTGTAGCTGTGCCCGTGGTCTTGGTGTGGCCCTCCTTCGCCACATTGAGAATTTCATCCTGCAGATCCGGCACAAATTCCCACGGCACTCCCGCCTCATCTAGCCTCGCCAGACTTTTCGAGTCCTTCACGAACGTCCCGGGCTCTCTCGCGCCGAAAATGACTCTACGTATTCCACACCCGGTCCGACGGGTGTCAATGATGCGCTCGACGCAGGGCTTATTGCCTGAAAGTCGTAATCCGCATGGCTCGAGAGTCGTGTACAATGTCACATTCTGTCTGGCGGACAGAGCATCGAGTCCGTGAAGATGTGCTTCGTCTGTGCCGTGATGCTGCGCCAGCTTAGATAGTGCACATTGCTCGGCGTGTGTGTTGCCCTCGAATTCGAGGGTGTAGCCTGTTGATAGGACTCGGCCTTTTTGCGCGTGTGCTTCCGTTGAATCCGATGATAGCGATGGTGTTGCGAGCGGATCTGTAGATGTAGTTTTGGGATAAGATACTATCACGCAGCCGACGCGGAAGTTTGTTGGTTTTGGTGGTGAGAGGCGTGCTAGATCCAGAGCTTGTGAGAGGTACTGCAGATGAGTCTGCTTGTCGGTCTCTAGAGTTTGAGGGGCCATTTGTTCCTCCGGCTTTCTCTCTCGGAGATGAGAATTGTTGTGATGCGAGAGCGCAATTCGATCACAGGGGTCCCAGTGCTGGAAGATCAGTGATAGCTACAGTGGCTGTTGGAATTGCTGATGTTGAGCCACGGACTTAATTTGAGTGAGTTGGGTGAAGCAGTTGATTACCAGGTGTGAGTATGGGATCCAGCGGTCACTTTGACAAGCATCACTGTGGTGAGCGTGGGAGTATTTTGGATCCGGACTTGGTCCAATGTTTTAAAAGTATGTAATGTTCTTGTTGAAGTGCACGCAGAAGTAGAATGATTGTACGTCTGTAAAAATGCAACGACATCATAGGTACATTGAAATGTGGGGAAGATGGTAGCTTTTTCAGCCTCGTTGGAAATACCCCTTCATTCATCAAGGCAGAGACGACTGCACAGAACATCACAAGCACGTGTGTATTAGACACAAGTATGATACAATGCCGTTGCCGCCACTGTGCCCGCCATGGACACTGTATTCGATATAAACCTTCAGGCTCCTACGCCATTTGCACTGGTAGACACAGGTTTGCGCTCCCTTCTCTTCCAAACGCCTGTCAGATGAGCAATCCGCAGACCAGAGCTCGACCGCTATATAATCACAAAATGTACACGCCGGCAGTTTGGGCGGCCTTTCGCCTTCTTGATATATCATTCCGTCATCGGGTTCAATCAACATTCACGTCGACAACCATATCCTCCTTGGCTGGGGCATCCTGCCCCTTTGCTGCTTTCATGAACATCGTATGAGTATCAGCCATATTAGCCCTCTCCAGTAAGACAGTCAGTCTGTCAACGTCACTCTCTGTTGCAGCTTTCGCGGCGGCTCTACGACCCGAACTTCCCACGCCCTCACGATGTATTTGCGGCATCGCCGGAAGCGTCCTGTCCTTTCTTTCTTGTATAATTGTCAACAGAGAACGCACCTCATCCTCCAAATCGTCGAGACTGACAATATCCCTGCTACTGGCCAGTTTCTTTCTGTAGGTCTTCAACATTCGGGCGGCTTGTTCAGTAGCCATGCCTAAGCTACCAAATTCGGATGCTTGGCTCATGCTTTGCCTGCGACTCGAAGCCACATGGTGGGATCGTAGATCTGTCGGGACCGAAGGTGCTCGCCGTAACCGACCGTTGTTGGATTTATTTCGGGTTTTGGGCGTTGTAGGCATGGATATGGGCATTGGCGGCGGAGACACAGAACGTCCCATGGCGCCGGCCTTTTGAGCAGACTCGAGGTCTCTGCTAAGATCTGTTCTCGAGGGCTGCTTTGTCAATCGAGACGTGACCCGAAGTGGCGGCGGAGAGGGTGAGCGTCGTGGATCCTTCTTTGGTGAATCATTTCGTGCAACCGAGCTTTCCAGCGCGCGGGATGGTGCCTCTTCAACGTCGTCCAACGTGCTAGTGAGAGCAAGTCTTGATGTCTTCCGTTTCAGTCGCATCGGAGACAAAGTCTGGGGCGAAGATGGCAAAGCTAGGCCGCTTTCTTTCGTGAGTTCGGCGATGTCCAACTTTGTCAAGACTTTTCTCAGCGGTGGAAGAGATGCAGGGCTCGGCTTGACCCATTCATCCTCAGAGGCACCTGAGGATATCCCCAGGCCTTGAGTTCGCTCCTGCGAATAATGCGGCGAGTGTACCGAAGTGTGACTCAAAATCCTCCAGATCATGATCGTTCCGTCTAATCCAGTACTGACAGCGGTGCAATGCCGGCCATTGTCTTCATCTCCAGAGTGTTCAAGGAGAGCAATATCGCTCACACCTTCAGTATGGCCAGATTCGCGGCCCAGAAGCATCATGTTTTTCCCATTGTAGACCCGAATAGATTTGTCCATGGAACAGTATCCGATGACCAGACGTTGCGACGCATCTGTACACTCGCGACTCGACCGGGAGGCGATGCGATTGAGGCATACCGTCTCGTCATTTTCCGAGTCTCCCACTTTGAACGAGTCGGTCAAAGCGCCTGTCGAAATGTCAACCTTCGTGACACGGCGGTCCATGGTTGATACGAGCACCTTATTCTCCGTCGAGATTGCCATCGACAGTGGGGCGCCCTTGAGCGTGACAACTTTCGTGGTCAGGTATGCTGGAGTCTGAACACCGCCTTCATTGCGCAACACTCTGTCACGAATCACCAACGACCGATCAGACGAGCACGAGAGGAGCTTCTCGCCGTTCTGCACAAACAACACTTGGTTTACCGCTCCGACATGCTCATCCAATGTCTGGAGTAGATCCAGATTCTCTCCGCCGACTCGGAAGACTTGGATCATACGGTCCCTGCTGCATGTAGCGACCAAAGCTTGGGCTTCATGGCTGGCAATACTGGTAACCTCTGCGCTGTGCGAACGTATGGTTTGCAAAATCTGCCAAGGGCAATATCTGATCAGTCGTATGACACCAAACCGATCACCAGCGACAAAACAGCCAAGTGCTGGTAGAAAATGCACCTGGTTCATTTCGTTTTCGCAGCCATCATCGTCCAGTCCGGACTCTTCCAGGTCGACAACTTCCTGCTTTAGCAGCTCACCGTCCGAACTCCAAAACTTGACCTCTCCATTCCTTGACCATGTAAAGAATGCACCCATGCCAGCTGATGCTGGGAGCACTTGCACGCCAAGGACTGTACTGTTATGTGCCGCGGAGGTCAGCGGGCAGTTGCTCTGGTCGTCATTTTCGGAAGTCTGGACTTTCAAGGTGCCGTTGTTGTCAAGAGTGATGACATGACTCTGTAGTGTTCCAACAGCCGTCAAGCCCTGCACTGTCTGGTGGACAAGGCCAAGGGAGCGTCGAATGGAATGTCGGGGTGGTTTGCGCTTCGATGCTTTGGGTGATTCGACCTGCGATCCTAATAAGAGATTGAAGTCCTCTGACTGCAGGCCGTGCGATGTACCAATGAGGACTCGTTTGGTCTCCGCAACATATGTGATTGATGAAATAGAGAAATCCATCTTTTTCAAAATCCTTAACTCGAGCACATCTTGCGAAGTGTCAACCAAGCAGAGATGTCCTGTCTCTGTCCCAACAACAGCAAGCTGGTCATCCACCACCGCTACACAAGTGAATGTCGAGTCCACCATTGTCCCCAACAGACAGTTTCGTCCCTGCAATGGAGCAGGCCCCGGGGCAGGGCCTGGACTAGGTGAATAAGCTTCAGAAGCTCTGAAAAATCTCGGCTTCTTGGATGGAGACTTCTTCGTCGTATCTTTGGTTTGCCAGATCTTGATGTGTCTTGTTCCGACCGTGATCAAACTGTTGCCACACCACGCCATGTCACAGACGCTAGTAGTACATTTGTTCACGGAGTGTAGCGCTAACTGCCCCGTCCTCGAGTTCAACGACCATACAAATAGAAAGCCGTCATTGAGGTTGCCAAGAGTTGCAAGGTATTTCATGTCCGAGCTGAATGCGACACACTGGACCCCATGAGTATGGTCGCTGACGATCGAAGTCGGAACATCGCAAGGCGCTTCGTCAGCGGTAGAGAAGAGCAGAACTCGAGGTCCGTACCCAGACTCACCGACGGCAAGCCATCGTCCATCCTGACTCAAGGCCACACAGGACACCGTCTTTATCCGCTCTCTTGCTGTCCACGTCTGACCTGTGGACTCATCCAACCAATCCCGTCCAAAGTAGCCCCCATTTTGTTCATCTTGCCCCTTTCGTGGGGTGAATGTGGTTGTCCGTCTCTTTGAAGGTGTAGTCACAGGCGAGTTCTCGTAATGTGAGGTGGGAGGATGGAGTGAGGGCGCAGTGGGTCGAGCCTTGAAGTATCGATGTGAAGGCGCGTTGCCGGGCTCGAGTTTGGCCAGGACAGCAACAGCCCCGGCACAATAAGCGTAAGAGTTTGTGGATTCGCAGCATGTCAATCCATTGGGATTGTTTGTGGTTGTTCCAATGACTCGATGCAGTTGTAAAGTGATGTCGGACGGGCGTGTCTTCCGGCTGAACGCTGCTGGTGCTTTAGCGACGACTGGGGAGCATGTTGGCGTCGTGCGCAGGGCAGGCGACTGAGTGTCCAATCTGCTTCGAAGGCTATACTGGTGTGATGCCATTCTCAACACTCATGACTTTCTATACGTATGTATTGGTTCGACGTTTCCCACTCGTGCGGGGCAATGAATCTGTACACCGAGGGCTCCTTGGTAGTTGTGTTGTCGCGTGTTTACGTTTTCGGTGAGGATGTGTGTAAGGGGATCTTGCAAGTCGCTCAGGTGATGCTATCGGCCACCTTCACGTTCACAACACAAGAGTATGTCTGCATGGCCCGAGATTCGTGGTGACATCGCTCTCCAGCACATGTCTTTTTGTTGTAGTTCCTGTTTCCTAGGTGCTTGGTGAGCTCGTGCGCCCAATGTTTACATTCTTCAGATTGAGGTGGAACAGCCACACTCCATGTGTGGAGTTGGCGCCACAATGTGGCTGATGGCTGTGGATGGGCAAGTGGGGTGCCATGCTAAGTCAGTCATGACATAATCCAGCCCCGTACCATCATCCACAGTGCCATCCTGTATCATCCGTGGCATCACGTCTTCGACACGTCTCCGACCTGCGAACTCAATCATATCAATGTTGGACCGGCAATATATCCCGGGAATCACGATCAGTGATGCAGGGTCGATTACAGGCAGCTTCGTTGCTACCACGCTGCAGTCTTGTGCGGTTACATCGTCTGGTCTGGGAGTAGGGATGCCCGACCCGTGTCCAAAGAGGATATGCTTTCGGCTGCGTGCGGATAACACCACCGCAGCGTCAGGCATCCCTCTCAGTGTGGACAACGAGCAGCTTGCGCAAAGACAACCTGCATGCATGTGTTTCCGCCGCTTACCTCACCTCCTCGGGCGTGAAGTAGATGCGTAAAAGTCTGTTTCAAATGGCTTCTCCTTGCGACATGTCCATCCTTTTGAGATGGGAGTACTTCCAGATATGGAGGACGTCTAGCACGTTGTTATTCGTGACCAGGGACAAAAGCAACGGCGCAATCTTGGCAACGGGAAGATTTTCGTACTATAGGCGAAGGACATGCGCTGGAAAGACTATTGCGGAATACCGGGGATCTCTAGATCCCATTGTCGTGTAGGTTTGGACTGACTCATGTAGTCTCTCTGGGTGTCATTGCAATACGAGTTCTTTACTCCGGAGAAACGACGCATAGGATATCACGGCAGAAAGGTGCTAGGCCCAATAAGGCTCTACTACTCGCAGCAGATGAGGACGTCCAAGTCAGTCAGTCCACAACATGTCGCGGATCGGTCTGCCAATGAACCTGTCTGGAAGTCCCGCAAGTCAAGCAGTTTTCGTAATGTTGGTATCAGGTTCCGGGACCTCCAAGCCCGGAGCTTTGGGGTGCTACCCCAGTCCGGATCACCTGGTACCCGGCAGGTAGGTGTTGCGGACACGAGCTGACTTGCAGCGTGAAATTGACCAGAAGAAGGCGATATGCAGGGATCATGCCAGGACCCGTGGTTAGGTGAGTGATTCGTCTGGAGGCTCACCTTGGTTACTCATGCCCACGTGCAGGAGCAACGGATTCTCATGGAGCAACCCCGCTTGGAGAATCCTGGGCGACGACCCTTTGCCCGTGGTTGCAATGAAACACTGCGTGATGATGTCTCGATTTAAATATCCAGACTTCTACCGACCCGTGCGAGCCTCAGGCAACTCCCACTCGCTTCTGGTGCAGTGCGAGATGCGAGCCGTGTTGCTTAACTTAGGTCTGCTTGAAGGCGGTACAAGGTGATGGTGGATGGCTTGATGGAATATTCCAGATCAATAAACGAGGGTGTTCAATCATCACGCCGAGACATGTGGACAAAAGGGTGAATACGGACGGACATGGTAGGGCTTCGAGGGCGGTGCGGCTGGTAAACGAGAGTTTCGGTTGTCAGCCACTATCATGTTTGTATTTGCGATGACTCAAATTACAAGACAGGTTGACTCGGTGAGTCAAGCCCTGCGCCTTCCAGCAATGGCCAGCGATACCATTCTTGAAGTGTGATCGAGAAAACTTCCAGACCTGGATTGAACTGCCAAAATGAAAGGCATTCTTTGGGTGCTCCTTTGATGGACATCACCATGTAGTACAATTCTTCCAACGCTCTCCTCCACCATGCTTGGTACAACCCATTCACAATTACACAGCAAGTCAGTGGCTGTTCTTGACAATGTAGCACCAATCTTGACAATTGTCACCATCCGATCGTGAAGGGTATCTTTCTACTCGTACCGCAAGCCAGGACCCATAGCTGTAAACATTTTGTGCCAACGTATTTCCAAACCATGCTCCAACCAGTCAAAAATACCTCACGTTGACAGGCGCTGGCCGTATCGTGGACTTTACCCCCCCTATCATACCTCGTTTCGTAAGTTCGCCCAAAGTGCATATCGTCATAACTCCGGAGAGCCTCCTGTGAAGGTATATGGTATCTCATCTCTCAACGCCGGATGAAATCAAAAGCAGGTCCCAAACATGTTACAACGAATCCTCAAATGAGTGCAGCGCAAACTCGGAATTGAGGTCGACTGCATTCTTGTCAAAATAACAACCAGGGCCGTTGTAGAGCATGTCGGTAGCTGAGAAGGCGTCAAACTTGTCAAACTTATCCGGCATCAACATTTCGCTGAACGATTGATCCTGGCAGTTTCGAAGTGTATTCAGTTCGCCGTTGAGATCGACAATGCGATTGTTGAGCCTGGTCACCTCATCGGCCTGACGAGTATACGATTGGAGAAGGTCTTGGTGTTTCTCATGCAGATCCTCGAGTTGGCGCTCAAGACCTTTGACGTGCTTTTCTTTCCGTTCTCGGAAAGCCCGTTGGGAGGCTCGATTTTGTGCACGTCTCCTCTGCACAACTCTGTTAGTGCCGCTAAAGAACATTTCAGCGCTTGACGACGTACCAAATGCATATTCGGGATAGTCTCCTTGCTGTCCTTGGTTGAGGCAGATGTGCTATCCGACCGCCGTCTCCTCCTGTCAGTCTGGTCGAGGCTCGCTGTGGTGTTGTTGTAGTCGACGGGGAGTTGATTTGATTGGGTGGGAGGGTAGAACGTCGATGTAGTGCCTCCATATTGCAGCATGTCATATTGCATGGACGTATTATTGAACATCATTTGACTCATTTGCTGAACTCACAGTCAATGTACTGTCTTTCAAAGGTTCATGGGGATGACTGACATGAGGCGAATTGGGACTTGAGCTTTCAGAAGTGCTGTCGAAGTATTGCCCAGCAGTGAAGATGGATTGGCTTGGCGACTGTGACGGCGAGCTCACGAAGCCAAAGTCCATGTTGATATCTGGTTGTTTCCAAATCGACGTCATTCAGGGGATGGCCGCTCCAATTTCTTTATATATTCAGGCTGGAAAGGATCTTAGAGCTTGGAGTAAGCAGTGGAATACCTCGGACCCGATCGAGGATGATCAGTGATATTTGACCAAGGATCAAAGAACTCGAGAGATGTGCTGGAGAGCGTAAAGATATAATTTGCCCTGAGGATCCCATGCCCGCTAGCCAGGACCGGGACTACTGGCTTGTACCGAACCGGGAACATTATTCTGCCACTGTTACAGCGGCCGCTTCGATCAAATGCTGACCAGGTCGTAGACACCGTAGACGCCGGACATGGCGGGCAGCAAGGTGAGGTGTTCACCGACGGGAAAATGACTGGGCAGCATCGAGATCCACGCTGGCGTATTTGACCAAACCCCTTTTGGCAGTCGACAGCGAATGTCCGATTGGTCAGTTGTGCCTGGAAACGTTAATGAACGAAAGGCTTCCAAGCTTTGTTCGAAGCAAGTTTGGATGTCAGCAAGCCGGCCGGAGGGGACCATCGGTGGAAAGAAGGGTGGGGGCGGCAGGAGTTTGCGATCCCTGAGGCGCCGCCTTGGACGCTTTGACACTTTGCGACCATCATGTCAGCAAAATGCGGGGGCCAGAGGGAATCATTGGGCTGGCCAGGTTGGAAGGTCATTGCCAGGTGCAGGGTGGACGATTTCTCGGTTGAACTGATAAAAGAGGCTGGCGTACTGTATAGACGAGAGCCTGGATGGTGTTTGCGGAAAGTCGACAACATGAGTGGACGAAACTTATGCCTTGATTGGGTAGGTGCCCTAACCTTTTCGCGAGCATGATTCCCTGTCGCCTACCGGCGCCCTCCATGGAATCTTCCAATACATACCCTGATTCATATGCGCACCACCCTCCAAGTCACGAGTCACTGGTTGCGGCACAAGGTATGCCCTAAATGTGGATAGGTCGTCGTCAATAATGTCAGTGCTGCCGATCGTCTATGAACTTTCTCCTACCGCGCCCTACCGTCGATCAGCAGTGCTGCTTGTCTTTGCTAGTTGCTAGCAATAACAAGTCTAGTCGGGGCATAGAGTAGTCCACGGGGCTCTTGGCTGCACGTCCTCAAGGTCGATAGACCGCGAGGATCGCGTTCATGGTCGAACGAGTTCGTCAACTGACATTCGCTGGATGTCGTTGCTAGTTCTTGCTCATGTAATACACTTATTGCTGACCGATCGTCGCTGAATTGCGTATGCCGGCTTCAAGGTATAGCGTCCTTTTTAAAACAATTCATACAGGGCGCCCTACACGGGTGCAGATGCTCACCATCTGCATGGTATCCGTACGGAGTGGATGCGTTAGACGAGGAGGGTTTCGACGCAGACCCCCTGGCACTTTCCTATTGAGGCAATTCGTGGCGTTTCTAGTGCCTTGAGGAACCATGCACGGTTTTGAAGAATTCCAAGCCAACGAAGAAACTCGCACTGTTCATCGGGCACTTGACTGGATGCGGTAATGGGTGGTTTTCCATCTCATTTGTGTCGGATGTTGCTGCAGGCCCACCTGTTCTAGAAACCTATGTTGCCAGCATGTCGTCGTCTTCCACCGGGCCGGTCCCATGTTCATAAACTTCACATCGTGTCTAGTCCGTAGTTGTAGGGAATGTCATGTGCAGGATCACATAACACCCTGCGGCTGCCTTGCTCCCTTTCCCGGTCTGCCCCGCGTCAGACTGGTCCAGAAAGACAGATTCCCAATCTGGTAGTACTTGGGTGCTGGCAAGCTTATGCAGCCAAGGATATTCTCGTTCTTGCAACTGAACAAAGAGTTTGCCCCGAGAACCCCTTACCGAAAGACTGCCCAGAGGAGCGGCTTTGTAGTCCCGCTGATGCATCGCCAGGTCGAGAATTAGCCAATGTTACCGCGAGATCTTCGGCTTCATCTGGCACAGTCACCTTCCTCCAATGTTTGGTCATCCAGACCGACCGATGTGAGTAGACGAGACATGAATCCTGCTTGGTTCATCCACTCTCATGTTGGCTTCTGGCTAGGTCATGACTTACTGTGTCATAGTACGGCACAATACCCACAGCGTTGTACGAGTCCAGCCTTGTCCCATTTGCCGCCGGCTGCTCGTAAGGAGGGATGTTGCCGAACGGATGGTAGGGGGATCCCCATAATAGAAAGGCCCTGCATAGGCACCTGTGGGGGAATTCGAAGAGCTCCTTCAAAATATCTAGCAAGGCGGGCAATTCCCGTCCGCTGATGTCGGTTTGTTAAGCCCGGGGACGTGATCGCACTCAGTTCGGTTGGCCAAGGTCTGATGTCGCTTTGGACTTTGAAAGGTGAAGCCGGGTCGGTGCCAACCTGCTGAACTGGAAATGTAAATCACTTCATCAGAGCAAGTTTGCCCACCCAGACAGCATTGCCTCAACAAAGTCTCATCAAGGGCCAGAACAAGAGGGCATGTCTGGCGGCTTGAATAATTCGAGACGCGAAGAATAGCAGGATATTCCCCAGTTGTAGACCAGGCGAGGTTCAACAGTGGCCCCACCACGCTGAGCTCTTGCAAGCATTTAAGAGGATCTGGTGTCATATTGCTCGAAGATAAGGTTCATGGTCATGGTAGATATGGGGGAACTCCACAGATGGATTACCTGATGCTTCCAACGACTGTTGGTACCGGCTAAATGACCAGACCAGTCGATCTCACCGAAGATCTCCCTTGCACGATACGCGGGCTGACTCAAAGATCACGCAATCCTATGAAGATTCTGGTGGTTCTTTGCTCTTCATTCGTTGCGTTTCCGTTCTGCCTGGGCAAGTGATGTGGAGTGATCTAGGTGGAGCAACGAGCACTGCAGCCACATTGAGGTGACACAGTGTGTGCCAGTGTGGTCTCTTCTTTTACCCGATAGCGTCATACCTCGCTTGATACTCGAGATGGAGCTTGCCGTGAATATAAGGAAGGACTCTCAGCCGAGCCTCCAGCGTCAACGCGGCAAGCCAAAGGGGGATGCCACGGTAATCAGGAGACCGGCATATCAGGCTGGTAATGGGCATCGCGAGACCGAAGGAGCCGAGTTATGGACGAGCGGCTAGTCGATGAGACTCAAGACATGCAGGCCGTAGCGGTACACGAGAGATGTTGATGAGGAGCAGAACGAAAAGTGTACTGTGGTACTGTACCATGTAAGTGTTGTTGCGCGGGCTGCGGTTCGCGCCAGACCGCAGGCTTGGCATCAAACTGGCGCCCGTAACTACTGTTTGATGAGGCGAGGAGTACGAGTGATAGATCCCCGAGGCACTTCTGAGGATAGACATTTATGCCTCGGATCAGGTACAGTACTTCTCTAGAGTTCTTCTGCGGCTAGATGTCGCGCGCGGCAAAGGGATGAACTCCCGTCTGTATCTTTTGTCTCGCCTTTCACTAGGGCGGCTAGGCATGGACATGCAAACGCTGCTGCAGCGGCAATGACCCAATAGGCCGCTGTAGCTTTCACTGACAGTACCTAAGGCTACCGGTAGATAGACATGAAGTCTAAAAGATACCAACGGGCTGGGCTGTTGCTATCACAACCTGTTCGACCTCTCCTTGTAGATACACTCTCAAGGAATATAGCGTTCAGTAGACATGCAGCCATGGAGGACTTTGTCAACACTTATTTCCAATTTCCCATTTCCCTGTCTCAGTCGAGTAGGCTAGATGATGGCACCAGGGGGTTCAGACCGCTACCTCATGGCAATTTGTGCAGGATAGGGAGGCGAGTGCGACAAACCTTTGTTTTCTCTTGAGCATAGACAACTGTCACAAATCATGCAACCGAAAGCCTGTCTTGAACCTTGAAGAAACACATGGCAAAGCACGTGCGAGATGCCGTGTGTGCCTGGTGCTACCATACGATTGACTTACCAGGGCGGTGAATGGCGCCAGGGACTCGGGGAGACCTGCACTGATAAGGGGGAGATAGTCGATATCGACCACTTTAGTCCATCATTTTCAGGGTGTTATCGATCTCATAATGATAGATCTCGTTCTCCGATACTAAATGCGCGCACGACTTGTATTATTTGCTGCTTGTATGTACTGTGAAGTAACAGTGAACCCCGTTGATGGGATTAATGGGTCTTCTGGCAGTGAGTCCTGGGTGGGAAAGGGAAATGGAGATGGAGATGAAGGCCGATCTCTGGCGCCGAACCGGCGCGTGGCTTCCCCCTGCTAGTCACGCATTTAGGTCCTTTTGGAGCCTAGGGAGCCTCCACCTCACCCGTCAAAGCTCACGGTTCCAAGCTTTCACTCGCCCACCTCGACGGCCCTGACCTTGGCTAACCATCTCCCATGCTGCATGGCACTGGAGTCCGTCCTTCCCCGGTCCATTCAGAGCTTCACCTCGTTTCAATGGTTGCAAACCACCTTGGCTCCGTTCTCTGCACCACCTGCGCTGAGCAGGCCCTCCCTACAGCACATTCTTCCGACACTCACCACCGCATCTCCTGCTGCCCTGCTTGTCCCACGCCGCTTCTTCCAGACAAAGCAGTAGTGGGCATCAAGCGTGCGTCGCTTCAATTTCGAGGCGATAGGAGAAAAGACTGTCCTTGGTGGTCCCCAGGTCCAGGTGAGTCTCACGTCCTACAGCTCTGGAGACCCGGAACCATGGCAGGTTACTGACAGGGTAAACTCTCAGCAGTAGAACCCTCCTTTTCATCGCGCGACTCCGGCTCTACCTGTAACAACGCGGCCTATCGCCGAACGACGGACGACACACCCATAGTACAAGGCGGAAAATGAGCAAAGGGTGATCGTCGAAGATTTCTATCAACACATTCAGCGCGGTCACACCGCCCAACGTTCCCCCTACTCGGTGTCGTGACTGCTGTCCCGTCTGCGAAGATGGGGTGTACGGGGTCTAAACTAGATCCTCAGGAAAAAGAGGCGTCTCAAAGAAATGCAAAGATCGAGCGCCAGCTACGGCAGGACAGAAAACAGGAGGGCCGCACGGTTAAGATCCTCCTGCTCGGTATGCGACACTCCTTGTTGTCCCTTTCTATCGTCAGCCATACTGATACAGTTTTCTAGGAGCGGGTGAGTCGGGCAAATCTACAATTATCAAGCAGATGCGCATCATACATTCCAATGGTTTTCAAGACGATGAAAGACTACAAGTAAAAGCCGTCATTTACTCCAACGTAGTGGTCGCCTTCCGCGTACTGTACGAGATCATGCAGGATGAGAAGATCGATTTTGAAGAAGAAAATAACGAAGCTCACGCTGATTTCCTTGACAACATCAATGCCGACGTGGATGCCCATGAAGCGTTCAGAGACAAGAGGGTGAAAGAGGCCATGATTGCGCTATGGAATGATGCAGGCGTACAGAAATCCGTTTCCAAGGGCCACGAATTTGCCCTTCATGACAACCTGAACTTCTTCTTCCAGAACATCAATCGCATGTTTGAGCCAGACTGGGTTCCCAACGACCAGGACGTACTGCACGCACGCCTTCGCACTACCGGCATCACCGAAACCATTTTCGAACTCCGAGACCTGACCTTCCGCATGATGGATGTCGGAGGACAAAGGTCAGAACGAAAGAAATGGATCCATTGTTTCGAGGGTGTCCAGTGTCTACTTTTCATGGCAGCCTTGTCCGGTTACGACCAATGTCTGGTGGAAGATGTCAACGCCAACCAAATGCACGAAGCATTGATGCTATTCGAATCCCTAGTCAATGGCGAATGGTTCAGAGACAAGCCAATCATCTTGTTTCTCAACAAGATTGACCTCTTCCGCGAAAAGCTACCCATCTCGCCTCTTGCAGCACACTTTCCAGACTATACTGGAAAGGACGGAGACGAAGAAGCATCCAAGCAATTCTTTGCCAACCGCTTCAAGTCCATCAACAAAAATAGAGAACGAGACATCTACATACACTTTACGAATGCGACCGACACAAACCTCCTAAAGGCCACCATGGAGGATGTACAGGACATACTGATCCAAAAGAACCTCCAACGACTTGTTTTGTAATCGATAAATGCAACCAAAGTCCCCTGAATCATTCTCTGCATGTTGGCGACGTTGGCTGGCATGAATGATACAATTTATCAATGGCACAACTCGAAAAGCCATCCACATCTGGTCGAATTATATCCACGGTGGCAAGGTCTTTGTGGCCTGATCCTTTCCTCAAGACGCGACCGTCTGGGAAAATCGTTCTTTCTTTTGTTGTTCCGGACAGCGCTGGCGAAACGGTGTCATTTTTTACGCGGCCTCACAATCAAGTCAATCCGGCGAAACGAAGACTTGACTCCAGCAGCTCTGGCCGTGATACCTCCTGGGGTAATCAAAGCTTAAGTGGGAAGAGTGCTCCTTTAGAGTTTGAGAAGAGGTCGCAAAAGAAAGTTTACTCACGACTCTGTATATTTTCTTTGATTGGGAAGTGAGGGATGGAGTTGAACCTGCGCAGGTGAAGGAGCGTTGTAGTTGTCTGCCCGGTGTAAGGACTATCCGGAAAATGGTGGTGTCTAATCGATAGGAGAGCTGGCTATCTATGTACAGAGGGGGTGAACAAGAGGTACAGAATTGATATGAGGACTTCCACTCACAGTGACATGCACCCGATCCGGGTCAGGAAACAATCCAGTCGTGTTTTCCTTGTTTCTTTTGCTGCTCATTACATTGTCTGTCTTCTGCCATGGCTTACTGTAGCACGATGGGCGGTGCTCGTATGGTCGCTAGAAACGAGCTACGAGCTGCAGATCAACTGTCACTCTCAATGCCGCATGTATGCCATCAGAATGGAGCATTCCAAATCAGTGCTGACGGAATACCTGTGAAGGCTGCCCCCGGGTTCCTGTGTCATTGGTTTGTCAACCCAAATCCAGCGCCATGCATCCCCCACAGTACGGGAAATTCCGTTGCGTCGTCCTGCAAATCAGGATGGTGACTTGCGAACACGATCGACGATGAATTGCTCGAGATCTTGGATCTGGAATGGATTGTGATGGGATATGTCCTGGAATACCCTGCATGTCCACTTAGTGCTACAGTCAGAAGACCAGGCGAGGGTACGGTCCATCCATGGGATAGATGATAGACTGTCACTTACGATGTCATAACCTAGGTTGGTAAGAGAGGGCGAAGGCTGAGCGATGGTCACGGCGAGACTCCGAGCCTCGGTACTCGCGTACTGCGAGGATGTCGTCGCTCGTGCATTTATCCCTTGTCGACATTGCTGCAAAGAGACAGCCGATGTGAAGGAAACATGCGGAAGGTGAAGATGAATTGGAGTTGAAGTTGGGTACGTAGCCATGATACGAATGCAGGGCAAGGGCGAGGTCCAGATACTCCCCTCGAGGGCGTTCAAGCGGACCGAAAGGAAGGACAGCCAGTGCAATTGCAGCCTTTTCCGCGTTGGAGTCTGAGGAAGGGAAACGTGTAAAGTATAAACATGGTGAAAGCAAAACTACCTGTAACGATCGTGATCAAGTCTAGCAACGCGGAACCTGGAGGCAGACCGAACAGTGCCTCTCCTCTCCGTCGCCTCATGCAGATTCATACTTCCCCTCCTAGCATCTAGTGCATGAACACAGAAAAATGAAGGACAGCCGACTTACCAGTCCAACCCGTCCTCAGTGATTAGTCTTATGATCCCCTTTGACCTTGTGAAAGAGGTCACTAGCAAGCGAGGTCGAGGGTCTGCGTTCCTCCGACATCCGTTGACCAGCCGTAGGTTCGAGGCCGAAAATACTATCCTTCCTGGTCGCATCACTTGCCACAGCGACACTGCCCTTCCTGGAGTTGACCGTGGCTGCCCCACCTTCCGCCAGAGTGACCGAGCCACGACGGTTGGCACCCTCAGCAGCTACGTTTTGGACTGCTTGTGCCGCTGCATTGGCGTGCGCGTCGAGGGAGGCTTGCGATGCTCGGCGATCACCTTCCATGGCGTTCGAAGCGGCGCTGTGTCGTCGGTAGAAGCCGCTGTGCTTGCGCATGTATTCGTCGTAGGAGTTGTTTGCTTTGTATCCGGCTCCACCCGTCAGGGCGTGCGGCATCGTAAATGCGCCAGACATGTTGAGATGCGAGTAGGGGTTGGCGCGGATGTGTTGGATCTCTCAGTAGGCTGGAGGTAGCTTCGCAAAGCTTGTGGTATGCTCCGACCTGCACAACACCAGTAAGCAACAGAGCCCTGGTAACGTTGATATCCGGTGGGATAGAGTCGTCCGCGGCCGGTCGGCTCGGGAGATGACTCAAACAATCAGATACGTACAGATAGGTACAGGATGATCCAAAGGGTTTAGTAGTTCGGATGTAAGACTCGAATAGGCCGTGCCAGGTCCGGCGATGGTGCCTCGTACGCTGTGTGTCGTGAAACACTGCAATGAAACTCTGACCAGGTCTTGCTGTATGCAAATGTACGAAGAGATACCTCGGTTTGCTATGTGATCTTCGGTGCTGCAAGAGGAATGAGTGGTAACCGTGTCAATTGGGTTCGGTAATCGGCTCCAAGCCAACCAAGATACTCGAGCCTATACTGACTCACTCCGCGGGCCAGGGAATGAAGTCAACGGCAAGATTGTAGCGGCAAGAAGCTCTGGTGTGAAAGCGAGGAAGCAAGCACCCTCAGCTGGGGACACTTTCTTGATATATACTCACACAGAGACCTACCGTCGCCAAAAGAAAGCCTGGACAGTTGGAGCGCAGCGGCCGTGTCCAGCCCACGCCTGGATCGTTGTCCTTCATGACATTGGATATCTCCAAGGTGTATGCTTGAGGCCAGCCTTTGAGGTATGGGCACCCGGGGCTGTCAGCTGGGGTAAAGGAGGGTTGAATTTCACCGAGTCCAATGAGCTGCTGATGAGCGGCGGAATGGTCGGATAAACATAATTTGGAGGGGAAGGGAAGGTTTTTTCGAAGCTGGGTTCATGGGTTGCAAATAAAAAGGTGATTCATCGCGAGGAAAGGTTCTTGTTGTGACACGATATATGGGCTGGCGAGGCCAAATGCTGGCATTCTGATGTTCAGTAACATGAAGCACCGCACGTCTGAGCGTACGAACAGTCGACACTTCGGTGGAGTCTCTGTGTGAGGTGAAGTCGGAGAGTGGATGCTTATAAAAGGCCTCGGTCTGCGCAAGCCTAACTTAGGCACAAGTATCACTAACTATCACTTGGATGCCGTGGAAACAGAGCGGCAAATGATGATACCAGGCCTCGTAACATGTGGGAACCATTCCCGTATAGGCTGCCTAGGCCCCCTCTCTACGATACGCTTATCAGTCACCAGAAACCCTCCGTACACCGCCTAGGTAGGCGAAGTTTAGGCGAGCAACCCTCTCGTATTCGTTTCCAGAATTCCTCGACCTACAAAGGCCCATACTTAAACATGAACTATCGTTATAGCCTCACCGATATGATCTTCTGTACGGACTTCTCATCTCGAGTCTTTTGCTGCGAGAGAACAAATGCCAGAAATTAGAGGGAGCGGAGTTGATGGTTGTGATGCACAGTGACGAGGGACAATTAGGTAAGCCGTGGGTACATAATTGGCAATCAGTGCACGGAGGGTTTCAATTCATGTTTCGGTAAGTTAAGTTAGTTGCTCACATGCAAGGCTCTCGGATGTTCTTATTCCAAATACCACGCCATCGCCATCACAGCCCTCTTACAAACTGCGTCAGAATCACTTTGATCTCTACTTCACCGCTTATTACTATCGCCCGTCCTCGCATACCTATCAAGACTGCCATCACCGCAGTTTTCATCGAATCTCGTCTACTCACAACCTCTCCTCCGCCTGCGCCCAAGATGGCTTCCGCCACCACTTTCTTCGATTTCAAGACAAAAGACAAGCGCGCTCAAGAATATCCTCTGTCGCAACACAAGGGCAAAGTCATCTTGGCCGTCAACACCGCTTCCAAGTGCGGCTTCACTCCTCAATTTGGAGGCCTCGAATCGCTGTGGAAGAAGCTCTCAGAAAAATACCCTGACCAATTTGTTATCATTGGGTTCCCATGTAACCAGTTCGGTGGTCAAGACCCCGGTTCAAACGAACAGATCCAGGAATTTTGCCAGCTCAACTATGGTGTCACATTCCCTGTTCTAGGCAAGACAGACGTCAACGGCGACAAGGCCGAACCGGTCTTTGAATGGATGAAGGCAGAGAAACCAGGCCTGCTGGGATTGAAGAGAATCAAGTGGAATTTTGAGAAGTTCTTGATCGGTCGCGATGGGAAGGTGATCCAGCGGTACGCCAGTTTGTCTAAGCCCGAGAGCCTCGAGAGTGATATCATCCGGGAGATCGAGAAGTCCAAGTCGGGATAGGAAAACATGAGGAAGGCGCTCCATTGTTGTAAAGAACACAATACCCATAGCTCGAACTAGTACTTGGGCGGCGGCGCATGAAAGTGGTCTTCCAGGTCCGATCCTGTTCGCTGCTCTTGTCCATATGGACCTTGTTTCCGCTGAGAAACATTGAATTCCAACTCGACGCCATCATCAATGTCTCTGTGTTTCGCTACTTCCTCTGCTTGTCTCTTCCTTCGATTCTTTCGTACAATCACAAACATAATAACTGCCAGGATCGCAAAGAGGCTAACAGGACCGTCAGTATCGTTACCCTTCATGTTTGCGAGGAGAGTGAAACTGACGTTAACCCAATGATGAGCGGTATGCCGGTAGTCTGAAATACTGTGGTATATTTCTCGCACTCATCGTCCTCACTGTTGGGATTGACGCATTTTCTCTTCCACAACTCCATGATCGTGTTTGTTTACAGGGTTGCTCCGGTAGTTCTTCGGGGAGGTATTGATTGAGAAGGGTGCTTATTGGAGAGAGGTGAACTGAATGATCGATGAATGTATTTGGTGCAACCAGCAGGAGGGAGTGACCTTGTCGTGCCTTGTATAACAATGATATTCAAGGATGCGAAAGACACGTCCTCATAACAAAGAGAGTGGTCGGGAGGCGCAGTCAAACCATGGGGTAGAGACGAGTGAAACAGGGGCGTGCGTGCGTCGTCGAGGCTAGGGTGGCCCCTTGAAAAGCAGGTAATTTCACCCTCGAGCCCTGAAACCTTCCCCAAACCTGCTTTAAACCTCACCCAGCCACTACTGGATATGTTCTGGATCTTCTGTCACTTGCTGTCAATGACACGTTCTATTTTTCTGGGGTATGCGTCTTGATGATCGCTTACGCAGCGCAGATTCATCTATCAGATGAGGTCGAGCACAATTCACTCTGCTCATACCTGTCCACTGCGTTGGCGGGGCACTTCATGCTGCAATGGATGAGTACAGCATGATATATTGGCCATGTCCATAAATTTTGTGCAGGAATCAATCACGAACGACCCTCCAGTTCCTCCTGGTCCATTCACAGTATGATGGAAGCCAGCGGAACGATGGGTGTATACTAGGTCATCTCAAGGACCTCGAGTCCCAATACCTCTTCTGTTCTCAGATGGGTAGTCACGATGCCATCGAGCCTGTTTCCAGAAAAAGTGGCACCGTTCGAAGGAAAGATATCGACCATTCATATCCGAAGTCCAGCAGGCCCGCGACGGCAGGTGCCGAAACCACCAGCTGGTAGGACTATATGGTGGAGCTGATGACCTGCCTCCTGTCAAGAGCGAACGCTACATCGTTGTGTGCAAAGCACTCCAGATTGGCAGTAAGGAACGGTATATATCTGGACGTGAGTAGGTACAGCGGTCAGACGGTGCCACTTGCTCTGGAAACGGGCTCCGTATGGCTCCTGCAATTGTGAGGTTTGCGACTTCCTCTGACGGACATCAACTCTGATGAGCACTCATCAATCCCTGCTTGGGTGAGAGATTCTCTCCTCACCAACACCATTACTTGATCTCATTCCAGAGTCACTTCCGCACTCATTTGAAACCCACCAGTAACGTATTCTCTGTATTGGTCAACATGGCTACGACTGGTGCAGTTCCTAGCACAACTTCGCAAACCTACCTCTGGGCCCTGCGGCTGTGTCAGGGTTTCCTCGCATCCATAATACTCGTCTTGACATCAACATCACTAGCGGCAAAGATCATGTCTTCGGAGCTCTCTTTTCTGTACATCGTATTGACGGACCCTCATTCTCTGAAACATTGCGCACCCTGACTGATATGAGCTCAGATCTCTTCTTACCCAGGCTTTGTCGTTGTTTGGGTCTTCGTAAGTGGATCTGCCTCTTTGCTTGGAACAGCTCGAACTCACATCACATAGACTGCGTGGACGATCTTATACTCTCTCATTGCAGCTTTCCTGCCGCGGCCACGTGCAAAATCGAGCCTGATTGTCGGGATTCTGATTCTCGATCTCCTTACCGCGGGCATGTGGTTGGTAGCCTTCACATTGCTATTTCAACTTAGCGATGGTTTGAGCTGGGCGATCACCCCGGGGACAGAGATGGTGGCGAGTATATTGATCAGCGCTGTTGAGTGGTATGTCCTCCCGCTTCGCTCTGGAGTGACATCAAGATGCTGTGCTGACTGGAGGCACGTATAGTCTCTTCTTCTGCTTTGGCGCCGGCCACCTCATTCGCGTCATGACTAAAAACACGAACGCCGTCATTGACCAGAACGGCAACGCCATCCACCTCGCGCACTATCCGAAGCAGAATATCCATGGGGTTGCTTATTAGCCCATCCAGCGGGCTTGAGAAACAATTGACACCACCATGAAGGGATCAAAGTGGATTTCACGGCGGACTTGAGCCTGGACAGGCAGTTTGGGAGGCGGGGCGACGCAAAAGTGCAAAGAATGAAGAGGATTACCGAGCAGTCTCTATGCTTTGCAGCATCATATTCTTTGATGGACTAGCTGGACCAGGGGTGGCGGCTGTCCATTCGTACTTCATCTCCAGCAAGTATCCTCAGTAACGAATACAGAGGTTTCTTAGCCTGTCTCCCCATTTGCTACCAGCTGCTTCGCTCCGTTTTCCTCGCCCGAGAACGCCACATTGCCTTCCTCAGATCATCAATCTCTCCACACGGTTCTTCAGTTCGCGGATTTGGGGCATCAGATCCGAAGACTCGTTGGTTGTAATGCTTGCTGCAATGACAGCCCTCGAAACGCCGCAAGCACGTCCCAAAGCGACCTTTGATGGAACATAGACGTACGGAACGTTCTTGTCCTCGGCCAAAAGAGGCAAATGAAGCAGAATCGCCAGTGGTGATGTGTCAGCGGCAAGAACGAGCAACTCGGAAGTACCGCGATTCAAGGTCTTAGTAGCTGTAAGTAGTCAGTATTTTTTGGCGCCAAAAATTGGGCATCCGACGCCGGGACATACCCTCGTTTGCGCCTTTCTTCAGTTGCCTAGAGAGGTCAGTTTTTGATTTGATCACAAGATCCATATTACTTACTTGTAGTGCGATGCTTGCTGGACGGTATCGAGGATTTTTTGCGAAAGCGCAGAGTCAGCGACTGGCCTAAGAATCTGGTCAGTATTCACAAGACTCGTTTAGTCTCCATAGAAAATGGCAGAGACTCACCATGCTGCAGACGGGTTATCAGCCATCTTTGCGATATTGGTATGATATTAAACTCGTGGGGTATCAGGGGAATGAAGAAAATGAGAAAATGAAGTGGTTGTCAGAGGGTTCCTTGCGTTGGCTCGCCCTCTGTTTGATTTGCGATAGACTGATGTTGCTGTTGTGCAGAAAAAAAAATTGGTGAACCGCGGAAGTGAATCTTCATAAAAGTTTAGGCGGAGCCAGATGCCGGTCGACCTTCCCGATCCGACACCAGTGCCAAGCGCGCAGGCTGAATGAAGCTCCTCTCGACCTTCGAAACATCATCAATCTGTTCAACTCTTCCAGTACAGAAGCATCTACGTTGCTCGCCTCCATCTCTCAGCTAAGCTTCTTCCGCTCGACAACGCTCCGTCGACTCTACCTCATCTCATAACATCACGCAAGTCGCGCAAAGAAACTCAATACCGTCAAGATGTCTACCGATCTCTGGTCAGTTTGCCCCCATATCATGGAGCCTGCATATGGACTCGATAAGCAGCCTACAGCTGTTTTTTCCATCGCTGCTACCTCCGCTTCTGTCTAAATGGTCTTGTACTGACTTGTATGTGCTTATAGCCCCGTCTATGCGGTATGAACATCCCCTCCACGCCTCTTCGGTGCGATGACGCATTGCACTCCCTTTGCAGCTCCCCGAAGAAGCTTGTCTTATCCCATGGAACAGAGCACTAACATTTGGCTAGCCCTTCTTCGGTGCCATGGGCTGTACATCTGCCATCGTTTTCACCTGCTTCGGCGCCGCATATGGAACTGCAAAGTCCGGTGTCGGTATCTCTGCCATGGGTGTTCTTCGACCAGATTTGATTGTCAAGAGTATGCTACATTGTCCGCAGAAACGAGAAGCAATTAGCTAATATGGCCACCACAGACATTGTCCCCGTCATTATGGCTGGTATCATCGGTATCTACGGTCTCGTCGTCTCGGTGTTGATCTCCGACAACCTTTCGCAAAAACTGCCCCTCTTTACCAGCTTCATTCAACTCGGTGCTGGTCTTTCCGTCGGTCTGTCCGGTCTGGCAGCTGGCTTCGCCATTGGTATCGTTGGTGATGCTGGTGTTCGAGGAACTGCTCAACAACCCCGTCTGTTCGTCGGCATGATTCTTATCCTCATTTTCGCCGAAGTCTTGGGTCTTTACGGACTTATCGTCGCTTTGTTGATGAACTCCAAGGCATCGGTCGATGTGACATGTTAAGTGCACTCGCGTGTGAAGCGGACAAGAATATGACGGCTGCGTTGGAGCGTCATGCACAAAAGACGTCGGAAGTGATGTGAAGAATGAACGGGGAACTATGAGCCGAGGGAGGAGTAGGAAAGAACAACAGTCTGGTTGGGCGCAAGTACAAGTCAACAGCCCACACCAGCAAGATTCGACCGATCGGTCGATCAAGATTAAGTGGATGGGCAAATGCTATGAGATTTGCCCGGACCTTATGTACGAATGATACAGTTTTACCAGCGTGAATTAGAGCAACATGCAGGAGAGGGCAACCATCGAAGGACTGAGCGGTACATTGTGGATGACATGTCAAGGTCCCTGTGCATGCTGATTATGGGAGGCTCTGCTCTGCCATTACATGCGTGTGCTCTACCTATTTATATGTACAGTTTTGGTACTGAAAAATAATACTTTTATGCAATAGATCTTTGATAGTTACATTTCTACCGCAAACCGGAAAGCCTGATGACAAGTCATATTCTGAACGTTGATGACTTGCTTGGCTGCAGATACCTGGAGGCAACAGAGAGTGAAGATAAAAGCTATGAGGAGTGTTTGCGTAGTTCAGCGCTAACTAGAAGACGAAGATATGTAGGTATGCACGTATCGAGCAAGTCTAGGAAAGACTGCTGCACGCTTGATCATGATGAACCTTTCCAACGCCGTGGATATGCACCCTGGTGTGCATCTGACAAGCAACAGCCAGACCCCCTCGTCCACATACGTCTAAAATGCAATGCTCAAATCGAACCTGCGCAAAGATTATATCTGTCCCAGTCGCCGCCGGATGTTTCTTGTTTTGCGCATCAACTTCCTGTACTTGTGCTTCTTCATCTTTAATCGTCTCTGTCGCTTGACACTGATGGCATACATGCCGGTACGCCTGACACGACCGACACGTCCACTGTGGCGTGTGTCCAGCATTTCTGGCCCAGCGGACGCTTCTTCAATCTCCGTCATTGGCGCCGAATGACTGGTGAAGAATCCTTCATCCTCTGCTTCTCCTTGCTCATGGACGTTCAAAACGACCTGCTGGATGTATGGGTCATGTTCTTGGCTTTCGATTTGCACTTCAAGGCTTTTGGCTTGCATTTCTTCGTTGGCTTCGGCAGCAGCGGCTTCTGCCTCGGCAGCGCTGATTTCAGCATCGCTGACCGGCACTGGAGCCGGAGGGACGTTGAAGGGCCGAAATCGCTTTGCAATCTCCTGTATGACAAGCTTGACATTGCGGCCACTAACGTTAATCGTTTGCGGCGCGCCGTCGAGATGGTGTGCCCGATTTGGGTCGGAAGAGGTATCGTTACGCTGCGTGAGGGCCTTTATGATGGCTGCTTTTGCCTCTGCATGCTGGGAACTGTCCTCTGCCCGCTTGTGCGCTATCTGTTCGTCGAGCCGTTCGACGGTTGAGGACAGGGTGAGAATGACTTCTTGAGAGGCATTTCGCTTGGACTTGGGCTTCGGCTGGAACACTTTGTCGATGGATTCGATGGATGTTTCCTGAGGAACAGGTCCCGTAATAGAGAGTGGTCGGTGAGTGGAAAAGAACGACGCTACGTAGATATCTGGGGACAGTCAAGTCAGCCAACGTAGACATTTCATGCAGTGGTGTCACACATACCCTTCAGGTTCAGATGCTGTAAGCTAGGCACCGAAGGCATTTTGGAGGTCCAGTCGTCTTGTGGCACTTGTTTAGCATCCAGTTTGTCTTTAGAGACTCTTCTCTTTGATAAGCGTGACTCGGCCCCCGATCGCTTTGTGTCGGATCTTGGGGCTCCAACTTGTTTGACCGAAGCTGGTGGTATGGCGGAAGAGCCATTGTTCGGTGGTACGGGAGGCTTGGAGGAGGAATGCCGCCGTTGATGGGCATGAGACGTGAAAGATGCTATCGTGGGCGTCGTTGGCCGCGAGGGAGCAGGTGAGGCGTTTGAGCAGGTGCGCGCCACCCGGCGCAACGAGGTGTTGAACATGTGTCCTCGAAGCATGCAAGAATGAGAGGATGGACGGTGTGTCCAGGAAGGGTGCCGATGCGCTGGAGGGGGAACGTGCGATGAGGTGATGGCGGTGTCGGAAGACCAAGATCAAGATTCGGAGTTGATCGAAAGGGCGGCAAACTGCATCACGGCACAACGTGACTGCAAACTCGACATCAATGCCAAGACTGGGCCTTGATGCGCTCCATCTCGCTGTTGCCACCAACGTGCAGTGATATATGTTCTCGTCTTCTCTTTCCCGACATGACCGAGGTATGGAGGCTCCTATACTGCTCAACCTGAATGTGGATGTCAAGTGCTTCTGACACAAAACTTGCGTTTTGCGCTCATGTATTCTCGGACATCCTGCAGCGACACTGCTTCAGGCATCCGCGTCGACAACCTGATACCATCTCACTAGTTTCCTTGTGGAGAACGCTTCGCTTGCTTTCAGAGACGGCGCAGACTTCACGTATACTCAGCCCGCTTGCTTCTGGTATATCGGATTATCTAGCGCTTCTTGCTGCAGAACCCATTCTGATAACTCGAGTCCTTCCTACCACTCAATGCTGTTCCATCCAATCGAAACCTGTTATCGTCACAGTCGGTTGCTGGCACTGTCCAAAGAAATAAGTATCAGCACGAGTGCTATCCACAGGACATTTGGTAATGTTCACCGCACCTCACCAGGGCCGGAATCTAGATTCTGCATTGAGGCAAGTATCGCCTTTTTAATCCGTCGGATCTGCGTGTTGCGATGCGGGGTGTTTCCGCGTAATGCGGATAGAGCACCATGCTTTAAAGACGCAAGGCATTCGTCGTCTGTAGCAATCATCTCTCACATCTTCAACACTTTGCTGAATACAAAAGAACGTCACCCCTGATTCTGACTTCGAAGATCCCATCTCCCCCTAATCGATCTCGTCACTATGTCTCAATCATACATAAAGAGAGTTACCATGTTCCAGGTAGCGAAAGAGGAAGATATCGATGCCGTGGTTGCCCAGTATGATATACTGCGATCCACGGCTGAAAAGGTAATGGAAGATTCTCTGAAACAGAGTTCATGTGCTCTGGTCATTGCTGACCGTGTACAACCATGTTTAGAATGGTGCACCTTACATTGTTGCAAACGAGGCAGCTCGAGTTATCAACAGCTCGGAAGAACGAAGCCAAGGCTTCACAGTCATCGCAATTACTACTTTTAAGTCGAAGGAGGATGTCGAATACTATGATAAGGGGTGTGCAGCGCACAAAAAGCTCCGGGAATTTGTTGCAACACGTCGCAATGGGTTTGCAACACTTCATTTTGAAAGCTCGCTTGCTCCAAAATGACTGGCTTGATATGGTAATCGCCTGTGCTCCACAACCAGGCCAGAGTGGGGGTAGCAGGGGGTTCACCTTCTGTCATACTACAGCGTTCTTCACAGGATGAACAAATATATATATGACTGCCCTGCCTCGTCTGTTTGGTGTCTTTCGCCCCCAATGACCACGACAACGCGGTCTGCCGTCGGCTCTTTTAGTCGTCGGATTTGGTGGTATGTCACCATGAAGTCAATCTTTACGTACACTTCTGGCCTCAGAGGTTTCGATGATCGACGTGCGTGGGAGCTAGCAAGCTTCGTACTTGATGGAGACACCACCACTGACGTAGATGCGCCTGACAGCCCGACATCATGGCATCTTTGGCGGCAGAGATGTTTATACCGTGAATCGCGATCTTCAACTACGTTCGTTGTCAACTTCCCCCCAGTCATTAGAAGCCCTCCATCAGATGCATGCTGTGAGGATCTGCCCCAACGTTATAGCGACAACTTAGACCTCACCAGAGCATAGCAGAGGACTGCAGTCCTGCCGGACGGGGTTCAACGACTCACTCATAGGACAGAGATCATCCAATGCCACGTTGAAAGGGAGATACACCATGGAAGATGGCGCTGGACACTGGAAAGACGTCCAGGCTGTGGCTGATCGCGTCAGAATACGTGCATTAGAGGCAAGTTATCTTGCTGTCCCAATGACCAACAAGGCTCTACGGCTTGACGTTGCTGACAACCGTCAAGCAACTGCTTGAGATCTTCCACAACCACCGCGACTTGAGAGGTCTGCCGGCGCTATGGGGAGACGAGGCAAGAGACCCTTTGGCTTGAGTGGATATTGATACTGATGGGCGTCGACAGCTTGAGTTCCAGCTGGTCTCATTTGACCACGCTGGACGCGCAGTAAGGTTGCTGCTCAAGCAGAGTGAAGTTCTCGAGGCAGTACAGAAGCCTCAGAGCACTGCAAATAGGAAAAAGAAAGAACCTGAGTTCCAACCAGAGTTCGGGAGTTTCATGGTGGAGGGCATACCTGGGCAGCCATACGGCGGCAGTTTGGAATGTTTTCTGAGCGTTGAAGCAGATATGCACAATCGGCAAGGCGGGCTTCGAATTCATCATATTGCCTAATGACTGACTTCATACTCAGAAGGCGAATGATCCAGTCATGCCTGGACAAGAATGAGGCAGTACTGTCAATGCCTGAATTTCCACGGATTGGCGCACCAGGAACATACACCGAGCCTGCCCTACCAAACAACGGTGTTGTCCTTCAGTCACAGTTCATGCCCGATGGGCTGCTGAGCGACTATGAGCGATACGGAACCATCCACGACAATATGCTGCACCGCCGCCGCAAGCGTCCGGTACGGGTTAGGGTGCCTATCTTCAAAGACACTGAGACACCGTGGCCCTGGAGAGAGTCACGTCAATTCCCGCACAAGAATCACGCGCAGGAGAGCGACGTAAACAAGCATGAACAAGTTGACAACTACATATACGGTGATTCAATGGCCTTTGGGCCGACAGCGTGTGGGCTGCAGGTGACGATGCAGATGAAGGACCTTGCACAATGTCGTTACATTCATGACCAGCTCTGCGTACTTGCGCCCGTTATCATGGCATTATCTGCAGCGACTCCTTTCTTTCGTGGTCTTCTGACCGATTGGGACTTGCGATGGAACCAGGCCGCGTCGGCCATTGAAGACAGAACGCTCCAGGAACTGCAGCCAGGAGTGAGTCCTGTCCTGTTCAAGAGTATGTTGATTTGACAGGGAATCAGGTAAAGCGGTCACACACTCGGCCAAGATGGTCGTCAACCCCAATGTTTATTTCGAGTGATCCGAGGATGCGAGCAGAGTACAACTCGAATAACGTCGAATTCGATACCTCTATCAAGGAGCGCCTCGAGGAAGCAGGAATGGACAATCTCCTGGCATCGCACTATGCGAACATCCTCAGCCGGGACCCCATCGCGATGACGAAGAACGAAGTGAATTCGTATCAAGATGTTGAGCTCTTCGAGATTATCCACTCCGCCATCTGGCCGCATGTCGATTTCAAGCTGCCTTCAAAGGACGGGAAAGCAGGATGGCGAGTGGAGTTCAGACCTTCGGAGATTCAATTGTCGGATTTCGACAATGCCGCCTTTGCGATCTTCATTGTTCTTTGCTCGAGGGCCATCTTACACTTTGATCCAACCTTTATATACCGATGTTCAAAGTGTCCGAGAATATGGAGCGAGCACATACGCGCAACGCGGTTGGCAACGAGAAGTTTTTCTTCCGGCAACAGGTGCAGGCGAAGGATAACACGTCTCATAATGACAACGAAGATGAATGCACCGAGCTGACGGTCAACGAGATCATAAATGGGAGGATAGAGGGTTCACGGGCTGAGTCTTTTACTGGACTTCTTCCCTTGATACAGGCGTACATGCAGGAAACTGGTGTAAGTCCTGAGGAGGAGAAGCAGATCACCAAATACCTGGATGTCGTGCGCCGTAGAGCGAATGGCGAGCTGCTGACGCCTGCGACATGGATGCGACAATTTGTGCGTGACCACAACGACTACCATCATGACAGCATTGTTTCTGAGACCGTTTGCTATGACTTGTTGAAGGTGGTGAAAGATCTAGGGGATGGCAAGGCTCACTCTGTGGAAGTGCTTCGAAACAAAGAAGATCCAACAGGGCCATAATCAGCGCTGTAGCTTCCACAGTGATCAAGCTGAGAGGCAGCCGTAGACACATCACTGCTCCACCCTGACTGGAGTTGTCTTCAAAGTATGACACTGAAATCAACACCTGTTCACTTCAGCCTCATTATGCATGTGCTCGGCTCAGCTTCCGTTTCACGACATTTACCCACAGCAATTTCATTTTCTTGGCGCGTCTCCATGCCTATATATTCTTCTCTTCCACCTCCAATTCTCCTTTTCCTTTCTTCATACTTACCTTGTGGGAGTCGGCATGCTCAAGAAGATGCCTGACTACAGAGATGCCACTCCATTGCACATCGGAGTAGGAATTTCTGTTAAGTGTCCTTCGGGGCTCTTATCCGCGCATTTTTTGGCCCTCAAATACCTTTTCATCAATATGTTTTGCCTTGAGCAAAGCTTTGGAGAAGAGAACCCTGTAGTAGATGGAATGCCCTGCACCATGAACGTGAAAGAGAGGTGCTGAAGTGAGCTGATATCTATTGGTAGTTGCACCCATGATGAAGCTCTTTTGAACGCAGGGAAGCAGCACGAGAGCTGCAACTTTGTACTTCTTCCATCTCTGCTTTCCTACTTTGACGCTTTCGTTGCTGTTGCTCCATCTAGTCGTGAAGCAACAGACAACCATAATGCAATGTCCCTACAGCTGAAATCCAGTGGGAGACCGCCACACGAGCAGGCTTGCAACGCCCGTGATCCTTGACGGAAGCCCAGAGCTTCCTCTTCCTCTTCCCGAGGCAGAAATCGGCTGCAACAGCTGCAAGATGCTGGTAGGCTCTGCTGGTACCGAATCCCCCGCATTCATCTTCGCAGTCTGCCCCCAAATCTCACGACCGCGGGTGCGCTCAAAACAGTGAACCGAGGATAATGTTACAATACGACTACTGCGAGCAAGATCTCGACACCCGAGACAGTCAAGTCTTCAAACGCAGACGCGCTGACAATGTTGAGCTAGAAGTCGTGACCTTCCCTCTCTACCTCAAGCAAACCTCTCTACGTCCTTCAAACCTGCCTTCGAGATGCCTCGCGCATCTCATCCACCGTTGCAAGTCCCTGAATCCTATACCTCGCTGCCTGTTCGTCACATCAGAGTCTCTCACGTCCCTGAATCGTCTCCAACCGCGACACCAGTAGTCTTGATCACACTGAACAGACCGGAAAAGCACAATGCCTTCACAGATGTCATGCGCGAAGACCTCGAACGCGTCTATGAGCTTATTGACATTGACCCGAGGGTCAAAGTGGTAGTCTTGACTGGTGCTGGAAGAAGCTTCTGCGCAGGTGCGGACCTTGAGATTGGCTTTTTGGGAGCAAAAGACGAGACGGGCCAAGCAAGAAGACCAAAGACAGAGCGTGATGTGGACCATAGGGACGGGTAAAGAGTACAGTCACAAGACCTAGATGCCAGTGCTGACAAGCTACAGTGGTGGGAGAACGTCTCTGGCCATACATCACTGCTCTAAGCCAACTATTGCCGCTATCCAGGGTGCTGCTGTTGGCGTCGGAATCACGATGTGCTTACCGGCTTGCATTCGAGTTGCATATTCCAAGGCCAAGGTTGGGTTTGTGTTTAGCAGACGCGGAATCATCATGGAAGCATGCTCTCATTACTTTCTCCCACGATTGATCGGACATTCACGAGCAATACACCTGACCACCACGGGCGGTGTGTACCCAGCAGAACATCCGCTCTTTGGCACGCTCTTTTCCGAGACGTGCCCGACTCCAGAAGCCACGTTAACTCGTGCATTCGAAATCGCCGATGAAGTAGCGAAGAACACCTCTACAGTTTCAACCAAGATGATGAGAGAGCTCATGTACCGTGGTCCTGACAGTGCTGAGGGAGCTCACCTCCTTGATTCCAAGATTATCCATGGTATGTTCGGCAGCAAGGATAACGTCGAAGGTGTTGAGAGCTTTCTTCAGAAGAGACAAGTCAACTTCAGCGGCCAGGTACCCCAAGATGCTCCCGATGGATATCCTTGGTGGCAGCAAGTGGATATAGGCGACAAACCCGGAGAGATGGTGCAGCCGAAATCGAAACTCTGAGTGTTATTGACTTAGGCTGTATGGAAGTGAGGTCACCAGACTTGAGGCAGCTTTGGGACGGTATTGGCATCGGGTTGCCTTCATATCCTCGTTGTTGCAGCCCGAACTTGCGGGATGAATACTAATCACCTGCCACGCAAAAGGCCAAGACTTGTCTGAAGCATGGTTTCTGTGGCCAATTCGGCTTCTTATGCGCTCGATATGTATACTGAAACTCGCCCGGAACATGCGGAGCAGAATAGAATCCAAGCACGAGGTCGTAGACTGTACCTTGGTATGCATGATTTGATAAGCTTTGAACGGGATGCACGGATATCTGGCGAGTATCGGGGCCTCTGAATGGGATTGGCGGAGCGATTGTCGTGCCCGCAAGTTGATCACATCATCTTTGAATCATTGACGATCAACCCGTCGGCCTCTATGCGCTGCATGCTTTTTGCACTGAACACAATCTAGCCTGCATTAATCATCCTCGGGTTTTCTCCACGGACACTCTTTCTTCCTTTCTTGTACTTGCCGTAGTGACATGTCAGTTGGTCCTGGCAGACTTGTCCGGTCGTCTGCTACATCGCTGCATCCTAGAATTTTTACACTGGCACCCACGCGATCAGCCGTCACTCGTCCTACAAGCATCCATTCCTCCAGTATACCACCTGCGCCCGTGGCAAGATTAGGTGGTCTATCTCGGCATTTCTCCTCCTCACAATCGATCATGGCTCCAATTACCAAACAGTATGACTACATCGTCATTGGGGGAGGATCTGGAGGTAGCGGTGCGGCCAGAAGAGCCAGTGGCTGGTATGGCGCAAAGACAGCGATCATCGATGCAGGAGTTTCAGGAGGTTGCTGTGTGAACGTTGGGTACATAAACTACGTGGCGGCTTGACATGGTGCTGATTGCTCTCCAGGTGTGTGCCCAAGAAGATGACCTGGAATTTTGCCTCCATCGCCGAAGCCATGAAGGCAGGAAAGCACTACGGCTACAAGTTTGGCGAGCCCGATTTTGATTTCACGTCCTTTGTCGAGAAGAGAGACGCTAGAATTAAGGTCCTCAATGGCGCATACGAGAACAACTGGGCAAAAGAGGGAATCGACTTGATCCACGGTACAGCCACATTCATTAACGAGCACGAAATGGAAGTCAAGCCCAAAGACGGAGGCGAGCCTTATCGGATCACGGCACCACACATTACCATTGCCACCGGTTCATATCCCACAAAACCTGAAGGCATCAAAGGCTCGGAATACGGTATTACATCTGACGAGTACTTCTCGATCAAGCACCTGCCCAAGAAGATGGTATTCGTCGGCGGTGGCTACATTGCGGTCGAGCTTGCCGGTGTGATGAACGCCATTGGAGTTGAGTCCCATCTGTTCATTCGACATAACACGTTCCTGCGAAAGTTTGATCCCATGATCCAAGAGACCTTGACGAACCACTACGAAGAATTGGGCGTCCACGTCCACCGCAATCATCCAGGTATCAAGGAAGTTATCCAGGTGAAGGCGGCAAAGGATGAGTCCGATCCGCGCGAGAAGGAACTTAAGCTTATCATGAACGATGGAAGTGAGATGGTTACAAACGAGCTGCTATGGGCCATCGGACGCGGCGCCGAGACTCGAGGTCTAGGTCTGGAGAACATCCCTATCAAGCTCGACAAGACTGGCCATATCGAGGTGGACAAATACCAAAATACGAATATTGACGGGGTCTATGCGCTGGGTGACGTTTCGGGCCAGGTCAGTCCGTCAATGTTGGAGGTGACCTAAATCTAATCCATTAACAGGTCGAACTTACTCCTGTGGCCATTGCGGCTGGCAGACTGCTGGGCAACCGCTTGTTCGGTCCACCAGAGCACAAAGATGCTCACCTAGATTACGAGAGGATACCATCTGTGGTGTTTTCACACCCAGAATGTGGATCAACTGGATTGACCGAACCGCAAGCTATTGAGAAATATGGAAAGGAAAACGTCAAGATTTATCACACCAAATTTTCGGCCATGTACTATGATGTGTAAGTGCTGCTGCGCGTTGCGAACGAGTCGACGACTGACAGAAACGACAGATTTCCTCCTGAGGAGAAAAAGAAGGAGCCTACAGAGTTCAAGCTCGTCTGCAAACTGCCAGAGGAAGAAGTTGTAGGGTTGCATATCTTGGGCAAGGGCTGTGATGAAATGATGCAAGGCTTTGGGTGAGTTCTGCCAATATGATCCGGTCGCCAAAGTGCTAATGTTGCCAGTGTTGCCGTCAAGATGCGAGCGACGAAGAAGGACTTTGATAGCTGTGTCGCTATTCATCCGGTAAGTATTCCTGACAGTGTGTCTGACACATGGCTAACGACGAGTAGACCAGCGCAGAAGAATTGGTGACAATGAGATAGAAAGGTTAGACCACGTTGTAGTATAGAGATAATATGTCCAACCTATACTCTTGGGAAGTACGGACTAACTTGGTCTCTGATGGTTGCACTTTAAGAGAGTCAGGCAGTATTGGTCCTTGTGTAGAAACCCCAGGCGCTCCCTGAAGCCTGTAACACGAGGCGCCAAGAGTATGACGTCTGGGTAAACAGTGACCCGCGCCTGCCTAAGTACCAGGTAACCAACCATCCACGCGACCTGTTTATGTGCCTTGCTTTTAGGTGGCAAAAGAAGACAGTCATCTTGGTGAACATACTACATTCAGGATACAAGTGTGGTATGCCCGTTTGCAGGACATTGTGACAATGTGATCACGTCTTTTGGACATCCATCAATACCACCCCAAGGCTGAATCGCTGGGAGGACTGCCTAAGCGCCTCACTTGTACATCCCGAGCACCGAAGTGAAGTTGTCTGTGTCACTCTGCCGCTAGAAGCAGTGAACGAGATGGCCCCAAGTACAAAAGCTCTTGATGATTCATGGGTCGTCGAGGATCAAGGCGATGAAAGCATAAGCTGGGACGAAGAAGAGTCTACGGCAACAAGCGCAAACATTCCAGACCAAAACCAGCAAACAAGAACGACCAGATCCGCCGGTCCACCACAACAAACGCAGACCACTGCTACAGACTTTGTGATGCCGACAATTAGTGTTCCCACATCAGAAAGACTTGCCAGACAGCGGAAGCCCCCTGTGCCTGCCAGGTCTACGCGAGCCAGACAAGCAAACTCCACGAATGGGACAGCGCGGAATAGGTCGCCCGCAGACAGACCACAGAAGACAATAGGCTCGACTGTTTCCAACGAGGCCCTCAAGATCCTTGGTCATACCCTCAAATGGACGCTGGACGTCTGCGGCCATACTCTGAAGGCCTTGAAGAAGCCCATCTCATGGGTCCTTGCTGCCTATCTGTTCGCTGGCATCTTGATGCTCGTGCAGAACCTCCTCACCACCTCGATCTACACCGCCCTTTCACCAATTTGTCGCATACCTGGAGTCTGGATTCTCCGTCTTCCGATATGCCAATATGCTCCCCATGACGCAGACGCTCCCACACTCTCGGATGGGAGGTCCGCTCCTGTCGAATTCGACGCCTTGATGCAGACACAATCTCACTTCGAAGAGATCCTGTCAGAGTCAGCTAAAGGAGTCGCCCTGCCCCTGGACATGAAACGCTCGGAGACTTCCATACGCGATCTACGTCAGGTCGTGCGCTTCTCACAGCTGGCTTCGCGCAATGAGTTGGTCTTGGAGTTTGACGGCTTCATCGAAACGGCTCGGATGGCATCTTACGACCTACAAAAGTTCAATTCTCACGTTGGCCGTGGGGTGGATATAGTTCTGAGCACGGCACGATGGACGCAGCATGTTCTCGATGACATGGCCACGAAGCAATCCTCCCGTGGCATCATTCCGAGTTTCATTCAGGACAAAATCCTCGCACCGTTCTCGCCGGTGCAGTTCACCGAGGCTCGGTTATTGGATCAGTATATCCAGCATACACGGATTGTGAGTGACGAGATCGAGCGGCTTATCGAGGAAGCGCAAGCCTTGTTGCAAGTGCTGCAAAACCTCGAAGACCGCCTTGACATCATTCACTCGATTTCCATGCGGGACAATATCGCTGCGCAGGCCGGCAAGGACGAGATCTTGTCTCACTTGTGGACGCTGCTGGGCGGGAACAGAGCGAAGTTGGGCAAGTATAATAGCCAGCTTGGGCTGCTGAGGGAGGTTGGCCGGTACAGAAAAGTGGCTTGGGCGCATGTGTCGGGGACGATTTTGAAGTTGCAGGCTATGGGGGCGGAATTGGAAGAGCTGAGGACCAGGGTTGGTAGTGCGGAGTTGCTCAGGGATCATAAGGAGATTCCGCTGAGTGTCCATGTCGAGAATATCAGACTGGGCGTGGAGAGGTTGGAAGAGGGACGAGAGAGGGCAAGACGATTGGAGCAGGGGCATGTGAGAAGGGTGATTGATGGTGTCGAGGGCGATGGGATCAGAGCGCTGGAAGGGGCATAAATCGGGCATCGCCATGGAAACTCTTGATGACTTGGTAACGGATATGGTGCATGCTTGGGGTTTGTGGCGAGTGCCGGGGGCGGGTCAGATCTGCGGGACAGACAATACGGTGTAACGCCTAATGATGGTTTACGAAAGAATTGAGTCGAATGTATTAATACATGGTCCCGTGCGTGCATAATGTTCCAGGAGCGTGATATACTCACCCGCCGGCCGTCACCTTCTTGACGACTCTGCTCGTGACCTCGTCGAGATCTTCACAACCTCCGAGTCCAAGCAGAGCATTGTCTAACTCCACTTCCTCCAGCGAGCCGTTCGGGTAATACGCATCCGCGACGCCGTTCACAAAAAGGTTGCCGTACACAAGATTCATGATGCCTGTAATGTCACCCTGTTCGAGTCTCGTGGAGCCGTCTCGAATATACTGGATGAGGGGCACATGTGAAATGTCCCAGTCTGCATCAGTCGTATGGGTGGCTCGTTGCACGGCCTGGAACATGCCGACTTGCGAGAGCTGGAAGTTGGCCACATACACCATTTTGTTGGCGAACGAAGCAAGCGTGCGTTGTAGCTTGGGATCGTTGCTGGTGACGTTGGGATTCTTTCCTGTGACGGCCAGTGGCAGGGCGAGAAGCCGTGCCACGGTCAAGCCTGACATGTGGATAGTTGAGGTGTATGTCTTGATGCCGTTGCTGTCGCCGTCGCCGTCGAGAAGTGTGACTTTCCGAGACTTGATGTCGATGCCGAACCAGCCTCCAGCTAGACTCCAATCGAACCAGGCGTTGTTGATGATGCCTATCCATGCACTGGTTCGAGTGCCATCGATTGAAGTGCCCAGCTCTTCGACCAGTTTTCGCGCATCGACCTTGCTGGAGTGGACCGGGATTGCAGAGATGAGGCGGGGGTTGCTGGTGTCGCTGCCGAACTCGCAGGGCAGGATGTAAGGGACTTTGGCCTCGCATGCTGCACGGATGATGAGCGGCTGGACTTGGTCGCAGATGCTGAAGCCCAGGGTGATGACTAGGACGTCCTGGCCGGTGAGGGCGGATACGAGGAACGCATGGTCATTGTATGAACCTGTCTTGACATTGATACGTGGGTTAGAGGTGAGTCCGGGGCTGTCCGACCGGGTTATGACGGTGATTTGATATTGAGGGGATGGGTGAGCAAGGAGAGCGGACAGAATCTCGGAACCCAGAGTTCCTGTTGCGCCAACGAGGGCGACCTTGGAGATATGGTCGTTGTGAGTTGCAGACATGATGTGAAATTGACAAAGTCAGTTGATGCTTACGACTTCTAGGATATACAGTTGAGAAACTGAGAGATCAAGAGCGAGGAAATGGCGAGAATTTGTACTTTGAGACTGCACAGAGGTCTCGGACTTATCTCACCTCACCTTCGGCCGAGCATTGTTATAGATGCGGCAGTGACATACCGGGGTCCGGACATTGGTGCATCATCTGAGAACACTGGTGTATCATATCACACAGCTGACTGTTGAAATTGTTTGCAGGTATGCTTGACTCAATGACTTGTGCTGGTCCTGCTGGAAGGCCATGAGGCATGAAATAAAGTGCGGAGAGATATCAAAGGGCGCAAGGCTAGCTCGAAACGGCAAGGTTCATGAGATTCGGATAGCGCAAGACTAGCCCCAATTGATTGATTGACAGTCCTCTCACATCACTTTCACATCTCAAATCATCATCACTCACCCATCGACACACTTTTTCATTTGAGCATCGGCCGGAGTTAGGGGACAACGTTGGTGCTCCATGCCATGCAAAAGACATACAGGTCTTCCAACTAGCTGAGGCTGATATCATGGTCTACCATGGCGTTTCGAGGGGCTGCGAAACATGTAAGCGGAGGCGGAAGAAGGTGAGATCATCTCGACTGGGAGACTCGATATATGCTCACCCCATCGTTCAGTGTGACGAAGCTCGTCCGGTATGCAGATTGCTCATACACTCTCTGCAGTCATCATACGACAACTGACGCGTCTTCTCCCAGGTCTGCAATAGATGCATCAAAGCCAAACGCACTTGTCTTGGCTACAAACCAGTGTCCGATTTGATTTTTCGAACACAACGCTTCGACAGAGGAAACAACCACCCCATCATTCAACAGCTCCACACGAACAATGGTCACCGTGTCACCGTCGCAATACGCCGGCCTCCTGTACTTACCCTCACCGAATGGCACACCAGCGAGTTCGAACAAACAGCTCGAGATTCCTTCCTCCAAAATTATTGCATCGTCCCATCAGATCCATCCTTATCTCGCGGCTATCTGGACGGCCTTCCACGGCTCATTGAGCACTACGGACCTTTATCCGAACTTTCTCGAGTGCTGACCATTGTCGCTTTTGCCAGCTACGGGAACAAACATCGTCGGCCGGAGGTCGCGGAGAAAGCCAAGATACTTTATTTCGAGCTTCTACAGTCGTTTCGCTCATCCATCCTGAACGTGAGGACATCGAATATCGTCGGATCTCTGATGACTGCTGTGTTGCTGGGCCTATATGAAGTAAAGATACACATCCAGATGTGTTTAAACATGTTTTACAATAACTGACGATTCCAGATCATATCGACCCACGATTCAACTTCAGCGGCGCACAGTACCCACACCAGGGGCGTGTGTGCTTTACTATCATCAAGTCATTCACCATTCGACATCAACACTGGCGCTCAGGTTTTTCAGATGGCAAATCCACTCCGCCTCAGTTCCGCGCAGTTGCAGCAGGTACGGTTCTGTCCCAGAGAGGTCTCTACGATGACTGACAATTAACCTCAGTCTCTGAGCAGCTTCGGAATACTGTGTGCACCTGTGTCCTCGCGCCCAGTGCAAACACTAGATTCCATCCTTCTGAAGACAAGGCCTCTCCACGAAAGGATGCAGCGACTGATGGATGCTGACACGATTGTTCCTGCTGATGAGGTGCACACGTTGAGAGAAGAGATGGAGCTACTTGCAGACGAATACGCACAATGGCCGCAGAATCAGCCTCGTGAATGGTCCCCGAAAACAGTCGGCTTCGCTGACGCCGACTCGATTACGAGCTCTATCTGCTGGCAAGGCAAAGTAGAAGGCTACTTTGACCGTGAGTTTGCCACCTACCCCAGGCTGACCACGCTGGCCACTCGTGAGCCCATAACTGACAATTGCAAGTCTACGTCTCTGCCGTGTGGAACTCCTACCGCAAAGCTCGGCTGTTATACCTAGAACGGGTTATCCACTTCGAGGAACATTTTCGACAGGATGCCAGAAGGTTTGATGTTCACCCAACTGACCTACCGAGATATCACCCTAGCAAAGGAATTCCCCTGCAACCTCTGTTCTCACAGATCCAGGAGCTCGCAACGGATGTTGCTGCGTCTGTCCCCTTCCATCTCACCAACTCTGGAAAAGCATGGCAATTCCCACTGGGCGGAGATGCTGCCCATTTTCCACCTGGGAGATCTGTGGGTGGTCTCCTGCTTCTCCATCCTCTCTTCGTCGCCTCAAAACGCTCCACAGTCTCGCCAGACCTGCGAGCGTACTTCCGAAAATGCCTGGCGTGGGTTGCTACACATATGGGCATCGGGCAAGCGGCCATTTTTGCTAAGGTGAGATTATCTACACCTCGGTGAATGGATGGCTTGGACCTGGCTCCCATGATACTCGCTGACACTCTCACAGGATACCGATGAACTGCCTCTGGGATTCATCCGGGACGGGCATGTTCTGGTATGGGCCGGAATGCTCATCAGTCAAACATAGGTGTGGTACAAGTCTCGCAGCGATAAATCAACCCACCGCATTTCAGCAAGGTCTCAAGGTTTTTTACAACTCCAGAAGCTTGCCTGGTTGACCTCACTATCACGACTGCTCTACAACCCTGAGTGCATCTCGCTGCCGCATTACGTGGGCGCCCAAACTGGCGCTCCTCATCATCGAAACCCAATCGAGTGCTTCAGAAAGCCATCTCAGCAGGCATACCAAACCAAGCTTTGCAATGAGAGGTTTCTACAACGGGCGGACGATTGACTGTAACAAGTACAAGCAATCCCGTGCATGCTGCCCTTCCTGGAAACTCATGTTCGGAAGCAGTCAATTTTCATGGCAGAAATCATGGCATCCAAGTGACGACACCCTGCGGACCTGGAGGTCCCAAGAGTACATCACGCCTCTTCCAGGAGACGCCTACGCTGAGAAGCCTACAGTAGTTCAGCTGGTCGAGGGGGCAAGCACATCACCCGTTACTACTAGTACTTCCCATCCTGGTCCTGGAGGGTTCATCGAAATTTACTGTACCACCATAGAATTCTAGGGGTTCACGCACGGACGCGTCATAAACCCCCACATGTCACCCGGTGAGCCGCGCTGTCACATCCCGTGCCACGCTGGGGTCTGCAATACCACAATCGCCGCCAAACTGTCTGCAGTAATCAGGATGCTACACTTTCTGAGCCCAGCGTGGGGGCCTACCACCTTTTTCAATAGGTTTGAGCGGACAATGAGAAAATCGTCCCGTATCTTGTTCAATACTATATTTATTGGTGGACGACGAATTCCCGCGGCTCTACTGAAGAGTACCATTACTACTCATGTATATAAGAGGCCATGCGGCATTCTCTATCGTTGCCTTGCACCTCTGAATTCAGGATGCTATGAGTGAGCTGACTCGATTTGGGGTGGAGCTGTAGCGGCATGAGACCGAGCCACACCGAGCCTTGAGTGCGCTAGATGAAGCTATAGGGATATATATCAGCATGTACTATATAGTACTAGTAGTACTGTAGTATATATACTAGATACCATAGTGCCAGTAAACATGTATACACATAAGTACTATGTAAGTAAGTAGTGTACTGTACCTACCCGGTCAACAAGTGCTAGTGCTAGTGTAAGGTCAATACAGTACTGTACTCTCTGAGCTGTGAGGTCACTGTGACTGCAGCATACTAAATCGAATACAGTATGCTGGGTTGAAGATGCGAGGTTGAACTTGCTAGATTCAGTTTGCTAGATTCAGTGTGCCAGATTCAGTGTGCCAGGTTGAAAGGCCAGGTTGAAAGGCCAGGTTGAAAGGCCAGGTTGAAAGGCCAGGTTGAAAGGCCAGGTTGATACCGCCAGGTTCACTATATACCGCCAGGTTGATACCGCCAGGTTTATACCGCCAGGTTTATACCGCCAGGTTTATACCGCCAGGTTTATACCGCCAGGTTTATACCGCTAGGTTTATACCGCCAGGCCCCAAACCGCGAGACGGAAAATGCCATATTGGAAAATGCCAGGTTGAAATTACATGAGTACATAGTAGGTAGTACTTAGGTAGTACTCTACAACGTCGACAGTTTCGATGCGGGTACTGTACTATGTAGTACTACTAGTAAGTCTTATTCTCAGCAAACACCGAGAACATACACACAAACAGCACGGCAAAGACACAACGCCCATAGCACGACAACCAGGACAAGATGCCGTGCTTTTTGATATAACAGCGTAAGTGTTGATAAAGTTTGGTGTCTATTACAAAGTACTACTAGTACTCCTAGTCATCTCGCAGTAGTCAGAAACTGCCGGCAGACTGCAGTAATTTTAGCGTCTCAAATCGATCTAAGGGAGTGGGCAGAGCAGACTACAAACTCGACCATCGTTCAGGCAAGCGACGCGACGAGGTGATCCTAGTACAGGTAATAAAATCTATGTATACTAGTAGAAGTATAGTCTTTAATAACCCAGTAGGAAAATGCCACCAAAAGGGACAAGGCTCGCTCGCAATAACTACAGTAGTAACATCGTCTCTCTCTAATCATCTAAAAAAAAATTGGTTCAATCATCATCCATCGCCAGAGCCTGGAACTGGTTGACGAAGCCACCAGTATAATCGCTCCTGTCCGGGACATTGAAACGACTCTCACGTTGCCCATGATGCCCTCCGTTCCAATCGCTATGGCCGGGGCCATCACTATCGATTGATGAACTCTGGCCCCCGCCCAGCAATTCCTCGACCTTCCATGCAACCCTTTCGGCTCCTTGTCGCGCTCCAGCAAGATTCGCAGCTCCCGGACCGAGTCTCAACCCAGCAAGACCACCAGTCAGGAACAATGGGACGTCTTCATGCCACATCAAGTCATCAGTAAGTCGCGGCAGCCCATTGATCGCAGGCATTGGAAACTTTGCCAGCATGTGTTGCATGCAGGCGACCTTCTCAATATTCGGGGCCGCTCCCGTAGCGTATATGATGTGGTCGATAGTACGTGGCGGGAAATCTACCGGCATTGGCGACAACTCGAGAGACCATGTTTGACTGTGACCGCACCAGTCTCCGTCCGTGATGTGAGCCTGAGTCAGGACTGAAAGGCGGTCATTGGCAGCATGCCTCTTGAGAATCTTGTCGAATGTAGGCGTTATACTGCCTCCGTCACGAGCCTGTTTCAACAGCTCGAAGCGTTCTGGCAGGACCGTCGGTCACTCATTTTTCAGAACAATGTTTTGGGTGGGTCAACTTACCTTCGTCGCTATCTGCTGACCAAAAGACAGCCATCTGCTGATTCCTGACCTTTGAAACCCATTCGAGATCCACGTCGAAATGCTTCAACTTGTACTTTCCTCTCAGCACGAGCCAGACCTTGGTGACGCCGCGCCGAATGACCAGGTCCGCGATCTGAGCGCTGGTGAGACCACCACCAACGACCACAACCGATGTGCGGAGTCCTCGATCGATTTTCTGAAGCACGTGTTTGGGCAAACAGTGCTCGCCGACGTTCCCATCGAAGCAATGGCAGACACTACCTCGTCTCTTCTCCAAGTGGAGATTGCAGTCAAACGGGATAGAGGGCTTGTATCCAGGTCCAACCGCAAGAACAACGATCTTCGAGAAAATGGTTCCCTGGTCGGTGGTCAAAGTGAATCCCTCTGCATTGGTCAACCCGCCCAAATCGCCATAGTCGATGTTCTCGACCTTTGCTTGTTGAATCAGGTTACCGAGATCGTACCTATCCACAATATCGCCGCAGAAATCATGGAACACTGCAGTTGACGGCGTGTAATAGTCCACTCGGTCCGAGTCTCTATCGTCGATCCGCAGATGTCGCATGACCTTTCTTCATGACTTGTCAGCTACCACCGATTTCGACAGCCAAATACAATGTGTTCGGGAGAGTTTACTTCTCTCGCTTTTTCTTCGCCTGATGCTTACTGAGTTCTTTACCGACCACATTGTTGATCTCCTGCAAATCATCCGCCCGGCCGTGGAAGTGCGAGTACGCCAGAAGAGCGTCTCTATCCCGTGGATCTGGATGGAAGAACAGTGGGCTCCGGAGGTGGTCTATCTGCAGTTTTTGAAATTTCTCTTTCCATGCAAACATCCATTCGCTGGAGTGGGCGTCGAGGACTACGATCGACCTGTTCGTCGAAGGATCATCATGACTTGAGTCGCTGCTGTTATTCGATCTCCGGCGACGTTTCTGTTCGGTCTCGAATGTTTCGCGCCGCCTGAATCTTCGCCAGTACCGGGAGTGCTCGTCATCCGTGAACAGCGCTGAGGGTGTGGCTTCTCGCAGTCTCGCTGCTACGGCCAGTCCGGCTGGGCCTGCTCCAATGATGGCCACATCGTACAGCATTTTTCAAAGCGGCTCGCAGTACAATTACAGTGGTGAGCAGATGGCGAGATGGTCGATGGTAACCATTAGATTTAATATCCACGCAAAAGCTATGGTGACGACCGGTGAGGCCATCGTCTGGGCGATTCTGCCTGCCATCATGCAATTAATTACTGCACGTTTTTAAGGTCCTCATAATCCTGTAGGTTTGTCACAGTGGAGGTGAAAGTGAGGACAACGACTGATGCCCCAAAGAGTGGAGATGCCTTTTTGGGAAACCTTCCCACAGACTCGACGTGAGCAGATGGAAAATAGAATGCACCGACTTCGTATACTGCAAGTGGGACCACAGCGCACCAAGGATTTTGATTGCAAATGAGTATATATCATCTCTGGAAGTCTCCAAGTGTGTCCTCGGCTTCCCCTAAACTCCGCGCTCAATTGCTGTAAGCTTAGCGAAAGCCCTGAAGTCGCGAAAACGAGGATGACGTCGCTCCAAAAGGTTACTAGTATGTGACAAAGCAATCCTGCGTAAGACTGAACTCGATGACTGATGCTTGCGAGGCACGATGAATGCAGGTCAAACCCGGCTAGACCATGTGTCCGGGACCGCTATTAGCGAAACTGGGTCCAGGAGTACCAGAGTCCGCAGTCCTAGGCCGTCGTAGCCCTTCTCTGCTTGTTCTCGGTGCCGTCGTCGCATTGCCAAAACTTCCTCTACGCTTTGTTGCGTCCTCTTCCTCCGCCCAAGCTAGGGTCTCGTCCGGCAGTAAGATGGCTCGATCGATGCTCACAGGGAGTCCTCGATGCCTGCCACGAAGCATCACCGCACACAACACCAGCTTGCTGGCCGTATGCCACGCTCCAGAAAATGAGTACGCATTCCACGGCACGCCGGTAGATATTCCAACACAGCCATAAGCAGAAACCACCTCAAAGATGATATTGAAGGTCGAGAAGACCACAGGATCCCGTTCAAACTGTCCTGTCTCAATGGCGGTAATCATGAAAATGGCCAGGACAAGCCACCAGAGATCATGGCCGAGCTGACCACGGAGTTGCTGCCGGAGGAAATCCTGACGAGTCCAGGAAGAGTTTTTGGGAGCTTTCGCTTGTCCATGGGTCATCGTCAGAGTCCGTCCGAGGCCCGAGAGGAACTTGCGCCCAGGCTGCCCATTCGCATCTCCGCCGTTTTGGCTCTTCTCTGCAACTTCTTCTTTTTCCTTCTCTTGCTCTGCGATATCCTCGGCATAGATACCCAACGAGCGTTCTTCGTAGACGTTGGTGTTTCGGATTGTCAATGCAATTGGAAAAGCCGAAATATACATCATGATCACATATAGGACAAGAAGACCCGAGCGAAGTCCGGCTATGTTCACGACGTAGAAGCCTCCACTCCTCACTGCAAAGGCTTGGAATAGGCCGTCCAAGGCCCTGTAATGGGGTGCGATCGCATCCGTCGTTGGGTTTCCGATATTCAGCAGTTCGAATGCAACCCAGTCAATGCCATTCAGCATGACCAGAGAGAAGACCAACCACCAATTTTGTGCGCTTGGGAATAAGTTGGTGTAAACTCGCCGAGGGTGGTCAAGACAGAATTCCAAGGTCTGTTGGCGTGTTCGCCATGCGAGCGAAGGGGAGTCCTTTGGAATAAACTTCTTCATCGTCCAGAGAATGAGCCTCAGGAACGGGGGGAAGCAAGTGTTTCCAGCCAAGATGAGCAGACTAAGAGTCAAGAGAGAATAGTAACTCGTTTGAAGTGCAGTCGCATTGGCGTCCAGTAATGCCATCCCAGAGTTATTGAAAGCTGATATGGCAAAGAAGGCTCCAGTCCAAAACGGGTTCTCACCTGGATGTCGTCAGCAACAAATTACAGGTCGGGAGAGCGCAAGCTCACCATTTCTTCGCGCCATCCCAGGTCGATTGACCTGCATCCAAGCACCAACTCCCAAAGCTCCGAAGAGCTGAAAGAGAATGAAATAGAGAGGCACGACCCAGGATAGTAAGCAGATGGCGTCGTATTCAATACCACCAAGTTTCTTTCGTTCTTTTTCACTGAGACCATGAAATTGACTGTTTCGCCCAAGATAGCCGTTGACGGTGTCGAGATACTTGTCCAGTTTGGATATACCATTGCCTGACGGCTTGACTTCGTCCTCGACTGCGGACTCGTTTAACCAAGGCGAATCGTTCGGTCTCGTGTTACGAGGATGATTGTCCAATGCGCGCGCTCCAACACCACGTCCCTCGAAGAAACTTGTGCGGCGACGACTTAGATTACGAGATCGCACTTGATTATGTCCGTGGTCGACAGCCGGCAGTTGATCTGGAAAACGAATGTGGCTGTTTTGATCGCCGTCACCGACTTCAGTCATATCTGACGCCACCGGGGCTTCGTCTTCTGTGTCGTCCGACCTTGACTTGATCCGTTCGGGCGGATTCATGGAAGCCTCATCCGCAATATGCACATCCTGCGGTGGGTCCTGTATTGCACGGCCACGGACGGCACCTGAGGCGACTGCAGCTTCATGATCATCCGCTGCACCCTTGTTTCGCTTCGACCATGAGAAAGTCAGCGAGCGTGGGCGTCGTAAACGTCTTCGGCGTTTTTCAATAAGCTCGGCGAACTTCTTCTCGAAAGCACGCTTTCTGACGTGCAATATGGCAATGGACACAAAGATAGCCGAGCCCATAATAATGAGCAGAAACAGAATGACCTGCTGCCACGTGTTTCTGGACAATATGGTCAGAATGGCCAGTCAGGATGAATTGGTAACGTACAGCGTTGATAGGTTGACAGTATTAAGCCCTGCAAGGTCGTCAGCGAAATTTAAGTGGACAGTCGGGGCTCAGGCCTTACCAGCTTCAGTCATGGCAGAAATGCAGAGATATAGGCTGTCAATGTAACGAACGGATTTTGCTGGTGTAGAAGAACCCCAGAATACGATGCTCGCCAACATGCAAGTGGCACAGAAATAGAAATAGTGCAGGTGGATGAAGGAAACATTTTCCAGCATGGTCTGAATGTCGACGAACGAGAATCTCGGCCTGTGACGTGGCATCTTGGGATGTGTTGGCATATTGGTCGTTCAGGATGCTGGTTTGGTATCAAAACCTCAATGGCCCTTTTGGAATGCCGGTGTAGAAGTCGTACTCCCCCTTCGTGGTGGGTGAGAACAGGCTGCGCCGTTACAGCAAGCCCGGATGAAGATCCGGAGAACGGTCGTTGCGCATAGTCTTGCAGATGCTCGCTACGGCTTCATGGTCGGAATGTCGCGTAATGGAATGAGTGTCGAGGTTGAACATAAGAAACTTGGAAGGGAAAGGGGTCGCTGATGCCAAGACATGGAAGCGAGAGTGGCATTCAAGTTCTTGGTCAGACAAAAATAATTTGTCAATGTTGTCATCATTTTTAGTCGCGACTATCCCTGGGATTTACCGTTACCGGCAAACCAGAGAAAAGGGTCGCTCGCCGTCTGACGGACACATGTTTCGCAATAGATCTTATGGCCTCGACCAGAGCAGCCATCGCCGGCGCTTACAGTCTGCTATACGCATATTATATTCGTATGAAAATCGTGAAAGATATAATCCTCCCTACATTGACCTTTACATGACGACACATTTACTTCCTTTCTCCTTTTTACCTGCGTCAGCAACTGAAGGCATGGTTTGAGAATGTCCATGATCGCGGCCCGGTTTGTTCTTCCTCCCTCTCCTTGTTCTGGAGTATCTCAGCAAGCTCGAGCTTGGGGGCGGATTGGCATCGGCTGTCTGCAGGCTGTTTTGATGTGATGGCTGCATGGCGGCGTGTTGCATCTCGTGTGGGTTCTGCGGATAGAAGTTGTGATATGCGTTCGGCATTGTCACCTGCCCTATGCTATGGGACCTAAACCCTGGTTCGCCCGGTCCGTATGAGCTCGATATACTCTCGATGGTATCAAGCCTGCCCACCTGCGGACGCCGATTTTGAGAGTACAATGGGTTTGTAGAGAGCAAATTCGGGGTTGAAGAGGAGACGGGTATTGAGCGGCCGCTTGCAGGAGAGTTGTTCCTCGCTGCACCGTTGGAAAGTCCCACCGTCTTGTTGAAGGTGGCTGGGCCTATGTTACCAACGGAACCCCATGAGTCGCAAGGTGCAGAGGGGCCCCCGACCGATCGCCCGCTGAAGTCGCGTGTTGCAATATTGTGGTTCTGGTGGGCTGGGCTGTTGGTCGAAACGGATGGCAGAGGCTTCCAAGCATTCTGGGACATTCGACGGTTTAGATTGGCCATCTGATCAGACGTAGGAGGTGCAACCGAGAACGACGTGGCGGTAGGTATGGGGGATTCTGTGGCCGTAGTTGCTGCTTTGGGAGGCGTAGGAGGTCCTGCAGTTGCGTACTGCGATTGCCACATCTGCTCATATGTTGTTGGCGTTGGGGGCGTGGGATGATTCAAGCGGGCTTGTAGATTAGCACCAGTGAGAGTGATAGAACCAGATGACGTGGGTTTTGACGTATGTTGGGGTATAGAGGGCGAATCAAACGGTTGCTGAGCCGGCTGAGAAATATTCAATGGGGACACAACCTCAGGCGTATCAGGGGCTGACATCCGATGTCCTTCCCCGGACCCTGGTCTGGAAGATGTCTCTGCAGATACTGGAGTGGCCATTGGCATATTCAAGGGCGAGAACTGAGCCATGGGAGAGATAACGTGTTGATCATTGGGTGGTGTGGGCGATGGTCCTGGCGGCACACCGGTCAGGGTTGGAGCAACATATTGGACCCCAGCAGGTCCTAATGGCCTGCTCTCACCCATGAAAGGGAGGTCAGGGTACGTCGGGCGCCCATTCTGAGGGGCAAAGGGAAGTGAGTGGTGATTCGTCGGTGGCACATGACCAGGCGGAAAGGTTCGTTGAAAACTACGACCATGAAGCTGTCCATGTGCATGACCGTTCTCCGGGATCCCTGTCAAAGGTGAAGCTGATGATTGTTGCGCACCCAAAGGTCGAGGCTGTATCAGGGGCGATCCCAGCGGAATGCCTGGCTGTATTTGACCCTGACTGTTAGTCGAGTATGGCGGAGGTGGTGACTCCCACCCGTCTCCGGATGGCCACGGCTGCGTGGGTGATCTGTGATAGACGATATGACCTCCCTCTTGCTGCTGCGACGCCAGCGGTGCTCTTGGGGGATATTTAGCTGTTGCGAAGCCTGCAGCACTGGCTGACCTTTGCAAGTCCGCTTGAGAGGGCCTGGAGGCACGCACGGGCGAATTGCCGCGATCCCTCTGTCCGTCTACATCGAGCGGCGATGACGGTTGAGAAGCACTGGTGGTTCGCCCCCTGTTCCATTGTTGACCCTGGGTGGCAGCTGCTGTAGTAATTGAACGATCCAGGGCTGCGGTTCGTGCAGCGCCTCTTCCCCGGTCCCGCACGCTTCGTCGCCTCTCCATAGCTACCTCAATGTCCATGTCGCCGATCCGCTCCGTCAACAACTCGGGCGGCTTGTCGCCCACTTCGATTGTGATCTCACGATCGGCGCCCGTAGATGGTGCATAGTCAAAATCGAGAATGGCAACACGAGATCCGTCCAAAGGCATGGTTTCGTCTCCCAGTGCTTCGACAAAGTGATCAACACCTCCAGGAGCGACCACAACTAGTCTCTTGCCAGGAAAATCACAATCTCTTTTCTCACATGTTTCCACCCACTTGGCCGCAGTATAGCCTTCAATGGTCCTTATTTCCTGACACTTGACAAACAGACTTTCTCTCCAGTCAACTTTTGCTGCTAATGAATCTTCCTCGATTTCCTCGCTGCTTCCAGATAGTGACGGTGAGTAGGCCATTAACGGTTCCAGATGCCCCGTGGCGGAGGTGAGTTGACCCCTTGCTTGCAAACGCTTTTCGTGCCTTTCAATGACCGAACCCATATCGGGGCTTATGTCCAACTTTTCAGGAACTCCATAGATCCAAAGCCCGCTTCCGCTGAAACCAGCTACCACCAAGGTTCCGCACACAGTTGCAGTCGGTGCTGTTGAGGGTGCTGGCATGCTGAAACGACGACTCGTGGGTGGATTCAAGAAGTAGGCGATACCAGTCCTCGTGTCATCTGTTCGGACTGCTCTGTATGACATGAGTGTATGATCATAGGCAAACAGCCAACTGGCATCGCCTTCTGTATGACCTTGGAGCAGTTCTGCATGGCTACAGACACTGCTGATTTGCGGAAAGAGGATCTGTGTGGTCCACATTCGACTATGGATCTCCTTTGGTGGTAGATCGTTCTCCGTATAAAAAGGCGCCGTTATCACCACAGTCGAAGGCTCTTCTAGGTCTTGCGTACTCCCCACCAACATGGATCCGTCGCCGGAGAAGTTCAAGCTATCCACCCCTTCACTCCGAACGGCACGGCGATCAGTCGACAATGCTGTTGGCGCGAGCGAGAATACCTCTACTCCACCTTCGTACGCAGCTGCCAGGACCGTGCCCTGAGGAGCTAACGCGATAGTCCGGGGTGGCGTTTCCATGGCTATGACCTGCACATGCTGGACTCCCACTGGTGTCAGGTTATAGACATTGGCTTGATGCTTGGAAGACAAAACGGCCAATACACTCCCATCGTCAGTGACTGAAGCCGCCAGTGGTCGTCTTATAGTCTTGAGTTCATTGCGGACCGTGATTGGCTCAGTTGTTGCGTCAATCACATATATCCTAGAGGAGCTTAAGGCAAGAATTGTCTGCCCGTTGGGCGAAAAGGCGAAACGAAAGGCTTCAGCACCGGGTACGGCAGCGGATGAGTTTGCACTGACGGAGATCAGGTTGATGAGAGTCTGCCGGGGTCGTAGATAGGCTCTGAACAGATTTCGACGGATCTCAGCAGCGAATTTGGATTTGAGTCGATACAAGTCATTTTTCCGAAAAGGTCCGGTGATGACCGTATTGACCAAAGCATAGGAAGGACATCGAGACAGGTGATGCGCGTACAACGCTTTACTCTGAGCAGCTCCGTACCAGGCCCGGTTCAGGATGGCAAGAGACGCAAAGGTGTCGGCGTCGACCATCCATAATATTCTAACTGTGGTCAGCAGGAACAAAAGCGATGGAGCTCAACAAGTGCAGGCAGTTTAGAGGCGGAAAAGCCACCCACCTTTGTAGCACCGCTGAAGGTAGTCTATGGATAGCAACAGCTTCGGACCTCGGTTGGTTTCCTTCGGCGACTGCATAGGAGTGCAGATGGTTGTCGATGTGGTTGGGGTCATGTGACTGCAAAGGACGGAAGGGGTCAGCCTCATGTTGATATGGGTCGAGTGGCTGTGGTGGAATATCATCGTGGGAAATTGTCGACGCGGTCTTGATAGACGGAGCATGGACAACCACATGCGGCGACATGGTAGGGAGAATAGGCAGTGGCCTTCAAGGATTATTCAGGCGAGGCTGTATGAGACGACATGGCTGATGGACGGCGCCCACAATGGCTTCTCCTCCATCAACGCGTCGCGAGAAGGGAAGCTTCCCATTCCCTGCAAAGACGAGGCGAATCACCGAGAATACTTCGGATGGTGATGGATGTCAAGGCAGCTCCGATGTTGGATGATGTTGTCGATGCGGACGCTGTGTTGGGGTGAAGAGTTAATTCTGGTTGTTATTAAGGGTGATGGAACTTGAAGCTCTTGGTCAGCCTAACACAGCCCTCCTTTCTACGAGACCTTAGAGGGTACTGTAAGATGGGTTAGGCTAGAGAATGTGACGCTTAGTTAAGGTGGCCGCCACCTGTACGAAGCGAGATCAGTCGCCAATTACATGGCCTGAAAAGGACCCTGAAGCCGCAGGTGAAATGGGGAACGATCCAGTTAAAACACCTTTCTTTTTTCAGCCCGAATTATAGTCCATCAAACGTTACTTTTCTTAGATCTGGCATAAAGTCTACTCCGCACCACATCAAAGGTAAATCTTAAGATGCATCTGACAGTTTTCGAGTAGAGCTGGTTCCTTAGAAAACTGCCCCTCGCACACATATCTCTAAGAGTTGCTCTCGGGTAGTTGACTGTCTCTTCTTCCCTTCTATCTCAACACCTACCTACCTAGGCATCATCTCAGCTCCTACACTCAGATATCTCCAGGTCAAGCCACCCATGTCCGGACCATTTGCTGCTTTGGGATAGCATTCCCGAATGTACATATCCTCCTATAACCATGCCTTCCACAGACACTCAAATCCGACACCACCAAAAAGAATCTGTAGCCAATACATGAAGGGAGATGTTAGGTCTGCTGTAAACCACTCTGACCTTGGATCAGACGCTTGTGCGCCATGGAAGGAGTTCTCAGAATTCCAGTCCTTGTTTGTACATCCCGCTCAGAGAACGAAACCACCTTACTTTGTCGGCTCTTCGCCAGCCTTGCCGCCGCCCAGGAATCCCGAGAACCATCCCGTCCTCATATTCTTCATGGCTTCCTCCTGCAATCTCTTTTCTTCCGCGTCTCGCTCAGCCAACCACTTTTCGCCCTCTTCCTTGATTTTCCTCTCGAATTCCATATATTGTTTCTGTCCACGTTCTCGGATCTCATCCCAGAGCATCTTGCCCTCTCCCGAAGATCCCTCATCCCCGTTAGACTTGGAGAGTCCCAAGGCTGACGCCAGGCCGCCAATGCTCTTGCCCTTCCTGCCCTTCCTCTTCTCCGCCTCCTGTTGTGCAAATTTTTCTCGAAGGAGCTTCTCTCGCCGAGCGAACTCTTCTGGGATGTTTTTCCCGTCGAATGACTTGAGGACTTCCCTAACATCATCGAAACCCATCGTTGCCAGATACTCGAGGAATGGGATCAGCTGAATCAAAGTCTGATCTTTCGGATCGCCGGTCCATTTTGGCAGGATAATGGCGTTCTCGGGCTGATTTTTGACGTGGTGAGAATCGGTGTCGATGATCAACACCTTCTTCAAGTCACGATTGAGGTATGACAGATCCTGATTCAAGTTAGCCTATCTGAAGAACAAAAGGGCAGTTTCCAACTCACCTTGACATAACCACCGTCCTTGTAGAGAGTAGCCTCACGGAAGAGTGGCCAGTGAATGGTTGAGTAAGGATCCAATTTCCTGATTATCAGCTCAGCTGTGGCCATCGGCTGGCTGGTGAAAAGCACGAGTTCGTAGTAGCTGCCGAGATAACGCAGGAAGTAATCCAGTCCTGGTCGTTTGGCTGTCCGCCATCCATGTTCTCTTGTCCATTCGGAATGGATCAACATATCTTCTAAGCTGAATACCAGTGTGAATGGGTAACGTAGATTGGGATCAGGGTTCTCCTCGGGCAACAGTTTAGGCGATACCGGGTCGCGATAGTAGCTCATGGTAGACCCTAGACGAGCCTTGACTCTGTCATAGAAGGCGCCGACTCCCCAACCTGAGGGTGCGTCGGCGTGTTTCTTCTCTTCCTCTTCGGTGTCCCAATTTCGTCCCAGGTACAAAGAGTAGCCAAGAACACTCAGGCCCAGAGCAGAATACATATATCTCAGGATCGCGTTTCTCTTCCGGTCGCTTGACGAGACGTACTGCTCACGAGGAGCTTCGCCATCAGATCGCCCCCCACCACTACTGGGAACTTCCTCTTCCGGATCTTCTGTGATGTTGAGGCTCGACCGATGCGCATGCGGTTCCTCTTTTGTTTTATTGGGTTTGGCTTGGCTAAGCTCTGCATCCAGCGTTGATGGTATCCCCCTAGTCAAGTCTGGCAAAGGTTGCTGAGGCTGAGAATCCGTCTGGGTTTCTGAAGGTGCTGCTTCTTTTGATGCCGCTTGTCGATGTTGATCTCTCATTGACCTTCTAGTTGCCTTCGAAACCGAATCAGACACATCGTCCACGTCTCGAGTCGGGTCTTCGCCGAAAGGCGGCGTTTCGGGAGCCGGCTCATTCTTCGCGGTAGGGTTCGTGGGAGTGAAGGGAACCTTTCGAAGTAGTTCTTTTGACTGCGACGATGAATCCCTCTGGGAACCAGGGATCTTGTAATCTGAGCCTTTGATACCTTGATCTCGGCTGTAGGATCGCAGTTGCGGCAAAGCCTGCCGAACAAGAGGCTGCAAATGTCGTGGCCTCAGCAGAGGCAGTGCTGCACGCTTCAACATCCTAACATATCCTCACCAGAGACGCCGATGAAAGCAACAATGGTACAGAGAATAGATGGCTCTTTCGTCAGTTATGGTAGGTAGGTATCCTCGAGTTGGAGATGCGAAGTGTCAAACAAAAAATCATTCGCTAGCCCGGCGTCATTGGGGGCTCTCCGCTGCCAGCACCCACCGGGGTCCCGACTGCGGCCAGTGAGAGAAAAAGATCTGCTTAGGCTTGCTTGGCGACCGCCACCCCATCGTTCTCTTCTTCTTAAGCCCTCGGCTCTATTCATGATCTTTCCTTTCTTCTTTCACAAATCGAAAAGTTACACCCAGAAAATTTGATGCGCCGAGCACGATTCTACATGTTCGGGGGATTGTATTAACTGGGAAGAGCAAAATTTCAGCCGTTCTCCTCAAGAGCGCAAGAGAGGCCAGCCTATGATCTCCAGATCGCCCCGTAAGGACGCAACATTCCACCTTTCCCTTCGCCGCCGGCCACGATGAGTGCATAAACCCGCATCGGTCAGATCGTGATTCGGTGCGCACTGATCTCAATCTTCCCATCTTCTGATCCTCTGCATTCAAGCCACCGATGCCGCCGTCTTGGCGAGCAGGACTTGTCAATGCCTTTCCCATACCCGAAGACCGACTGCCTTCGAAAAAGGGCCTGAAAAAGCAGATTCTGGGTAACAATGAGAACAAGCCCGAGACTACGGACGAAGCCGACGAAACTGCGTTACTTGGCGAACCGTTCCCATTCTTCCAACTGCCCGCAGAGATCCGTAACAAGGTCTACGCCCTGGTCCTGTTTAGTTCCGGAGGAGTCAATGGTCGGAAGAAAAGCCGCACCTCACTCCTCTTGGCCAACAAGCTGATGCATCAAGAGGCATCGTATATTCTCTACAGCTCATTGAGCTTCAGGATTTTCTACATACAGGATTTCACATCCACGCCACTTTACCAGGACTTGCGGCTGATGTACCGCTCAGTGGTGACCAAGTTGGAAATGGTGATAGGCTCCAGCTGGACGAGTCCACCAAAGACGTGGCGGGTTGGTAAACTCCTGGCACGACGCTTGGGAAGGTCATCCGCAGTTCAGACACTGAAGATATTCGTGCAAGCAGACCCGAGTCTACCCATGTATGAGAAATGGAGGATCTCACTAGACTTCTACACGGACTTCTGCGGAGACCTGCTTCGTGACGTCCTTGCCACAATGCCGCATCTCAAGTTTATCGAGCTCGATGGTAACCCTGATATTGAGGTTGCTGGGCCGCTGGTATCTCGATTGCTGGCTGAGGCCGAAGCCAAGGGGAAAACTTGCACTCTCGCACCAACCAAAGCCGTTGCTACTCCAGGAGGTCTAAAGATGGTTTTCCGAGGATGAGATGAATTATGAAAATTATGATGTGAAACGATCATTTTTCAAATCACGTTTACCCTTTGCCAAAGCATGTGCATCCTGATTTCGTGCCTTTCTGCCCAACAGGTGCCGCCTAGTATGCATAATAGCTTGACACAGGTGAAGGAGTTTGCCAGGGTCGTTAAGCCTGAGGGATTCAGAATAGCGACTATCTTCGATGATATCTGGGTTCAGGATGCGTTCAAGGCTGAGGTAGATCGGCTCTCAGACCAGGTCGGAGTGTTGTCTGCGATTGGGTTCGGTACGGTTGCGAACGCCGGCGCAAGGCTACTTGTGTTACAAAAGTTATAGTCATTCCTGCTCGTCAATGAAGCGTCCAGAACCAGGGTCAACTAGGATCCTCGACTTGACGCAATCAAGGCCTGCGAAAGCCCAGGAGCGCACATCAAGGGGGAGCTGCACTGGTAAGTAATGGGATATGCAGAATCGTTAATCGTGGTCTCTGCGGGGTCGTGACTCGCTAAGAAAAGTCCAATGACGCCGCCGCCGCCCTGCCGTCAACGAGAAACTTTTTTTTGGCCGAGCACAACCCGCTCGCGTTGCCTTGCCTGAGTGGATTTGAAGATGTGACCTTGACTTGACAAAAGTACTTCATATTTCACTCCCCTGACTCTCACAGCTTGTGTCCCCATCTCACATTCCAACGATCAAGGTTCAGCCGTCAAGATGGTGGAAAAGGTCTACGTAACATACAATGAGGTTGGTCACACCACAGACTTGCCTGCGAGGCTGTCGCATGCGACATGGCAGCGAACAACAATGACGACGGATAGATCCACAAACTATGCCAGAAGGCAGCCCCGAAGATCCTCGAAGACTTTCAGCCGAACCTCATGATCGCGATTGGTGGTGGTGGCTACGTTCCTGCCAGAATACTCAGGTACGGCTGAACACCAAACAAAAGGACTGCTGTCGAATGTGATGCTGATGTCGAGATCTACAGATCCTTTCTCAAGCAGCCGGGTAGTCCAAACATTCCCATTCAAGCTATTGGCTTGTCTCTGTACGAAACACTATCTGGCTCCGATCCTGTCGAAGCCCCTGGCACAAAAGTCACGCGAACGCAATGGCTCGATCTGTCGTCTCTGGAAATGTCCAATCTGATCGGCAAGAACGTTTTGATTGTCGACGAAGTGGACGACACTCGCACGACGCTCGAGTACGCAGTCAAAGAGTTGGAGAAAGACGTTGAGACAGCCAGACAACAGCAAGGCAGAACAGAGAAGACGAAATTCTCGATATTCGTACTGCACAACAAAGACAAGGTCAAGAAGGGACATCTTCCGGAAGACATGATCAATGAGAACCGATACTTGGCTGCAGTCACTGTCGGTGATGTGTGGATCTGCTATCCCTGGGAGGCCATTGATATTGATGAACATGATAAACTGGCGGTTGAGAAGAGCGCCAATTAGACTAGACCAGAACAGATACAGAGCTTCTTCGTTTGGTCATATCCGACCTTAGTGAACGCCGGTATTGAAGATGATAGAACAGACACTGCCAGCCTTGCTGTCCGAGGTATCCTCCGAGATTTCCGGCCGGACGCTCAATCCCAGCGCACCTTTCTCGTGTCCAAGCTCTTCTTTGCCGCGTCTATTTGTCCCATGAGCTCCGTATATGCTGCCTTTGTGTCATTGAAGCGCAAGACTCCCAGGCCCAATCGTCCTAGCAGATAGGCGCCCAGTGAAATGAGAGCCCAGAAGGGCAGAACGGGGATGATCTCGACTTGGATTTTGGTCGGTAATAGAGATGGCACCGGTGAGTCTTGGGTCAAGAGTGGTAGTGCTAGCAAGAGGTATGCCTACATCGCGGGTCAGTCATTGCTCATAATCACGGAAGCCAGAAATGAACAGTGTCGAGAACATACTGAGGAAACCAGCAAGGCAAAAGAAATTGTTTGAGTAGCGCGACCCATGGTTATGGAGGATGGAAATAACGCGTCGCAATGTCAATGCTGAGTGATATAAGTCCTCGCTGAGGTGTTTACTTCGTTCTGGACGTCGAGAAGCAGAAGTGCAAATATATGGTCGACGTGTTCTGACTTGAAGCAGTGGACAGAATACTGCGTTCTTTACACGTGTCAAACATGAAAATACTTCGCCGGAGGACATTACCCCTTCTTCCGTCGACCAAGAAGACCAAAGGTGAAGCTCAGCCTTGTGTCGTTTGTCTCTTCCTTGGACGGGATTGTTTGCTCTGTCGAACACCAATTGACGTCGGAATCTGGTTAAGTCAAATGCTTCAACTATCTCAACGACCTCAGGACCAGAGCGTCTCTGTTCACAGTCGATCAGTGACTGCCTACTGGCCAGCCCGTCAAGTAGCCGTGAAGACTTGACCACTGGGCCAGGCAGTCCAGCCATTCTCCCACTCCAGCCTTCCTGACCTGACTATGCTCACCTCTGGTGCAGCCTGACTTGTTAGCTGCTGATAAATCTTGGGCAAGCAAGAAGATCATGGCAACGTTGATTGAACAAGAAGCATGCGTGAGGCTTGCCACAGCCTTGTCAGAGCAGGCCCCGGAGAACGAGGAACTCCTTGACCTCCACTCGACCGCTGTGTCGAAGTTGCAGAATGCGGGCTCTGGTCAAGTCACCTCAGCAAACATGTCTGATGCTCTTAGAGACCTGACGATGCACTTCCACGCCGCCACAGACAGCAAGTCGTCCTACAATCCTCGACTAAGTATGCTTCTAGCGAGCATCACCCGAGAAATGCCTTTCTGGCGACCTCTGTTCGGCCTCCCTGAAAGACCAAGCCCGGACACGAACCTGCGCCAACTATCCGGTGAAGCCAACCCAGACTGCATCCTCGAAGTCGCGAGAAGAATCATCAGTCGACCGTGGGACATATCGAAACGGGACGAAGAACAGGCTGCTCTCCGCCTGATAGCGAACTGCTGTGCAGATAACAACGTCAACCGCAGCATCATCGTGAATCGAGGCGGCATTCAATCACTAATGGCAATTGCCACCCGGTCGCGCATAGACGAACTCATCCTCCCAACCCTTTACAATGTCTGTATCGACTACGACGAACCCGCCCTTGACAGTGAAGGCAAGCCGCTACCGCCTTTGGACGAAATGCAACCAGGCAGCGACCAGTCGACACCGACGCTGAGTCTCGCAGAACAAAAGCTCTGCAATTGCTACTACTCTGATCAAGAGGTCTTCTCGGTCATTCCTTCTGTCACATTGCTACTCAGGGTAAGGACCAAAGCAGGGCTTCACCTAAGCCTGCTCGCGGACCTGATCGAAATGGCATCCCGCGCCGCGCTGTACGGCATGCACCATATTTTCTCTAGCGCATTCAGTGATGGTCAGCCCAAGCAACCCGATAGGCAAGCTCTAGAAGTAAGAAGTCTTGTTCATCAGTTGATAGTGGAAGGTTCCGCTATCTCGAGGGACGACCCCGAATCCGGCCCATCCATTTGCCAAGCTGTTTTGAACGTTCTCTCTCAGCCGGAATGTCGTGACACTGTGGTCGCGAACGACGAACTATCATGGCGCCTCATCAAGCTTCCTTACCCGTCCCAAGAACAAGACGACGAAGACGAGGACGAACAACTATCTGAGATCCTCGCGCCATACAGAAAAGCAATTCTGAAGAGGGTCTACGAGATATCCGCATCAGACTCCTTCACTGCCATTTCCGGTCCCAGATCCAAGCTGCTAGGCCTGTGCATAGGCTATCTGAGCATTGGAAGCGGTTTCCCCCTTGGCCCACTAGCAAGTGTATGTGTGCTGGTAGCCAACAGCATAACCTCGACAGACAAAGCTGTCCATCTGGCGACGGAGACTCCAATAGCATCATATCTAACCGAGCTCATCGCACAGTCACTGGACCCAGACGTCCTTTTACCCGTCGTCGACATCGCCACACGGATATCTCTATGCCGTGAAGGTCAAAATGCACTGCATACGGCAGGCATGATGAAGTCCATACGAAAATTCCTCAAGCCAACGAGCGAGACCGAGGTCCTGGGAATTGACATCCAGCGTGCGACGTTGACTCTAGTGCGGCTTTTGATCAAAGGCCGTCCCGAGTTCCTGCACGATCTCTACGCTGAATTTGCAGACGATCCTAATGAAGACAATTCCGATGACAACGATTCCAGTGAAGACGTATCTTCTGAAAACAGAACCCTTTTGGTATCAATACTGTCTTTGTTCGAGAAGACCAACGACTCTGGTACGAAAAACGAGACTGGACGTCTTGTCATCGAGATGCTCAGAACGTATCTCTCTTCCTCCAATTCTCAGGGCAATGCCCACTCAGACACAAGACCCTACGAACATGACGTTCTCTGCCTACGTGGCTCTTCTACACCCAGTCACACCACGTTCGCAGACACAATAGCCTATATCATCACTCAGCCGCAAAACCAGTCTCAGCCTTACGATACCTTAGTCACATCCACAGCTGGAAATGGATCAGTACAAGTGGAGGCCGAGGCCTGGTTCGGGCTAGGTCTCCTTTCCACGCTGCCCGGTGCGCGGCAATGGATCACGTCCGCCCTAGCAAGAGACGAGAACCAACTTCTCATGCGTCTGAAACAGATTGTTAACGAGAACTCGAGCAAAAGTGTGGATGGGACTTCGACGAAAGGACAAACAAGTACCGGACTGGAGACGATGCACGACATGTCGAGCGTGGGCAGAGATCCACGTTACGAGAACGTCAAAGTCCTAGTTGTGAGGATGCTGCAGAACCAGGTCTCAATCACCGACAGCGCGGATGTCGTGAGAGCAGGACTTGAAGCTGCGGCTGCAAATATGGGCCTCGTTTGAGTTGTTGTCTTTTGATGTCCAAACAATGAGCAGACGATAGATTGTGTATGGTCTTGAAAGATGAACTAAAACGTCCAAAAACAAAATGGCAAAAACAATCAACAGCAGGGATTCGCTGGTTCTCACGAACCCAACTACTAACCTGCCGGCATGAGGCTTAAGTATGACTGAGCGAACGGGAAGTCCTGCATTGACTCATCCTATGGTCGATTGCGACAGAATCTATGTGAGAATAGAATATGTTCTTAGATATCTTATGTTGTGGTCGGTCACAAGGGATGTCGTTGATAGCCTGCGTAGCCAATGTGGAAATCGTGTTAGTAGTGGCTACCTAATGCCAGGTATAATGGATTCTCTGCAGCTCTGCTTGTACATGACGCAACCACATTGAGTATACTCTATGGGAACTAGATGTCGACGACTCAATAATCCATGGCGAACGTACTACTACAGTCCGCCGGACATCCGCCGAGTAGGTACTGTAGTAGAGGTGCCGGTCTACTCAACTTGTTGCCGGACGTGGCAATGATCCTTTTCATGTCGATCTCTAAGATCGGACCGACGATACGTCTTCCTGCAGAATTGACATGCATAAGTATCTCCCGATTGATGAGCGCTTTTCATATGTCGGTTCAAGCAGCCGCCTCTGCGATACTGCTTCCCGCACCCTTCCACTGTGCACTTCACGGTGCGCCGAAAAGGATCGTGAGTGCGCGAATGGGACGTGAGAGCCGCCCGTTTGGGGAACACTTTCGGACAGATGGTACATGCGAATGGCCCGTCGTGACTCTTCTTGTGGTTGCCAAGTTGGTTTTTCTCTGGGAACGTCTTTGCGCATATTGGACATATATGTTGTCCTTCGTGCTCGTGCATGTGCTCTTCGAGATCGAAAGGAGTGTCGAAGTGTTTCGTGCATACTGCGCACTGAGTTGGACCTCCTTCCCACCGAAATCCCGTGCCTTGAGGGAATTGTGGTTGCATAGATTGGAACGTCTCGGCCGTGGGAGGGCACTCGTGGATCGGAGATTGAGCAGCATCCGAGCAGACTCCGTTGGCAGTATTCCACATTTCTTGACGTTGCACAGTGCCAGTATCACACACTCCTTTTGTCGAGATGACTCTTGTCAGTGCTCCAGTGGTAGTGACACTGGACAGGGGCTGCCGTTCCAGATCTTGCAGAAACATGTCACCTGAGATCCAGTCCTCCCAAACACCATTTTGGTTCCTCTCATATATCCTGGTGGACTGCGAGACGATGTCACATACCCTTGTCCCCTCAGATTCTGTCTGCGAATGGGCTAGCGAGCGTCCGGTATTCTCAAAGCTTTGATGATATGGCCATCTGGCCAAAGAAGCCGCAGGAAAGGTCTGTACCCATGTTTCAGGTTGCACCAGGACAGAAGGAGATTCCGGCAAGCAGGATTGATGGGCTGACACAGAACCTGATATGGGCATGTAGCTCCTGACTGGTGATGCGAAGAAACTGCCATGCCACTGATTTACTGGGGCATTTGTAGATGGCAAGAATGATTCTCCGCCGCCAGCGCAGTTGCTCCAAGCGAAAGGCAAACCGCAGGAGTTTGGAAAGCTGGAGTCGAGGGTAGAAGAAGATGCCGATACTCGGTTGAATGCAGACGAGTCGATTTCGTAGCCCGTTGCAGACGAAGTGGAAGCCACCGTGATACATTCGCCTGAAGGTCGAGAATAGGGAACCATTATGCCGGCTTTTTGAGGAAGCTTGGGAAGCACAGACTTGAGCGCAGTATGCCCTCATCAAAAGCTGAAGGTAGACAAATGTCGACCAAAGCTATCTTGGCCGCGCCTGTGCGGGACTTGGGGAGGCCGTGAGCATCGATGCAAGGAATATCAGAATTGACAACACTGCAGTCTGGACCCTTTAGGGAGGAGTGTGAGGATAACGAGCCATGGTTGCGCCTAAAGTAGCTGCTTCCATGTCGGCAGTGCTTACCCATACGCATTTTTGCAAGAGCACGCAGTGGAGATGTTGATCTTCGCATATCAGTAGGGACCAGTCCTCGAAGTCGGGCTGTTGCAGGGGTGGAGCATAGCTGGAAGGGCTCACAGGTTCAGCAATTCCCGTGTGCAGTGAAGCAAGAAGGGCCTGCGGAACCCAGAGCTTTTGCCGAACGACCCTGGCTGGCTAGATTTATGCAGCTCCGGGAGTTCTTTTCCAATCGACCATCCATAATCTAGCTATTCCCACTGCGTGTTAAGGGTCAGTTGCTCAGCATTTTCAGGCTGTGCCCATCATTAAGCGTTATTTCCGTTGGCCATGCGCAGTCCAGCATTCGATCTTGCATCGTGACCTATCCATGCTGCATCTATCGACCGAGTAGGCCGGCTTGCCCCGCCGATTAGTGGCAGATGGTGACTTAATCTTTCTGCTGGCCAGCAACCATGGCGGTCAAACCATCAACTTGGGCACTCAACTTCTGGACAAGCGCAACCAAGTCTGCGGTATCGGCACTGCCCGAGGCTGATTTTGTGGTGGAGTCCGCCCTCTCAGGTGTTGCTGGTCGAATGGCTGCAGGAGGCACTCTTCGAGTCATTGGAGATCTGGCGTAGTCTTGGGCACCACCAAGACTGAATTGTCCTCCACTCAGAGGACGGCTGGTCAAATGTGGAGCTTTAGCGATTGTCGGACGCGCAGCGAATACCACTCGCATTGACTTTTCGTAAGCCCAAATCAGGGCAAGGAAAGGAACATGAGTGGCTTTGAGGACTGCAATCCGAATGCGCCGGACGTCTTCGGATGGTAGAACAAGCCGCAGTGGTCGCAGTAGTATCAAGGGGAACAAATTCAAGGGTGGCATGAAGTAGGTCAAGCGTCGAGATGTACTGCTCTCCAAGACGTAGATGGAGTACTGGAAGAGGTATTCCTCTCTGGCATGGGCCATGACCTATACCGACCAATCAGATGACATGCTGCATGGTGTGGCGGCTAATTCAAGGTGGTCGCGGTTATGCGACCATGCGCAACACGATGGAGATTTGAGGGCAGTATGAACAAGCTTACCTCCGTTAACGAGTTTGACACCAAAGAAACAAGTGACGTGATGAGGAGGATGTTGGTAAGACACACGAAAATGAGCCTGTTCAAGGTGCAATGTTAGCATCTCTCATCGCACGCGCTCAGGCTGACTGCTTCCGCCGCGCCCAATGGCTATATCAAGAAGTGGGAATTTAAGCGCCGAGCCCCTGCTGGGGCTGAGCAAATGCAGCAATGTCATGGATGCGTAGGGAGTGGCGGTGTACACATACATCAAAGTATATCCGAACAACGGGGAGATCTATGGCATGTTAGCATCACTCTTTGACGACGACCGGCCAGGGTACCTACCTTGACAGCCATGTCAAAACCGAGATAACTTGACCTGTTTGGATGGTTAGTCCGTACTTGATGCGCGAGCGTTGCATGCCTACCCAAAGAAGACCTTGATCAGAAGCCAGCTCATGTCGTTGATGGTCATGCGGTCTCTTGCAAGCATAGTAAAAGTGGTCAAGAACCCTATTTGCGGTGTGTCAGGGCGCAGTCCAGGTTACGTCAACGGCATGCTGGTCGCCCTTACCAAGATAAAGCACAATGATCACTGGCAGGAACCTGCAAAACGCTTTTGTCTGGCCTTTGTCAGTCGCTTGCGATATGTCTTTTAGTGCTATCGCTTACCATTTCCTTCAAGACAGGGATCTTTGCGTTATATCAGTAAAGGTTGTCTGATGAGCATCAACGGAGCTTCTTACCAGGCTGCCGAAGTAGGGATTCAGACTCATCACAGAGAATATCCTGGAGAGATCAGCTTCGCTTGCTAACACTGGTTGAGGGTAGCCAACCTTGGAACCAAAAACAGTGCTACCAAGGACAAGGTATCAAAAGCTACATCAGTGATGTAGTCGCTGTTTTTGAGCAAGCCGATAGCCCCTGTTCAAGTTTTAGTGGCAAGTCAAAGCACAACTGGATTGACTGACTTATCACAACAAAAGCAGCGCTTACTCCGATGATGGCAATGTCCCAGAGTGACCAGAAATCAGTTTGGTAGAACATGAAGCCAGCATCCTTGATCTCGCCAAACTCATCATATGCGAATGCTGCAATCCAAACGTACAACAAGGCCTCGGTCGCTGTGACGTGCGTTGGATTCCGTTCCACAAGGACTGAATAGTATAGGACCAGGAAGGATATGAAAAATGCAATCTGGAATGCCTTTTGATATTTGGGAACCCGCAAGCGAGTGAAGGGGTCAGCGACACGCTTGTTGTAGCTGCGAGGCTTTTTAACAGCATGAACAGACAGTGACTCCCAGAAGATGACGTCGCCGTTCCAGATGTCTTCCACAATCTTTTGAACTGGAGCCTGAGAGAGAAATTTCTTCGCGTCCGCTATGGCCGCAATCTCCAATGCATTCATGCCCGCCATCGACTGATCGAGGTCTAGTCGTGAGCCTCCACTTGGATCTTCTCTAAAGCTGGCCGAAGTTCCTATTGGATTGTCGACAGAGACGCGTTTGGGAGGACGAAGGCCGCCGTAGTCGCCCGAAGGAGAGCGAATCAGGCGTGAGGTCTCGTCAAAGGTCTCATTTTCCTGCTCACCAGAGCCGTTGGGTGCGGCTTGGGACTGCTGAGACGCGTCTGGACGCTCAGGAAGTTCGTAAAGGAGATAGTCGATCAGTTCTTTTTCGGATAGAAATGTCAAAAACTGCCACGCCACCAATTCGCACGCAAGAGCCCTGCTTTCGTTAAGTCCACTGTCAGTGACGCCCGAGTCATTAGTGAAAAGATACCGCGCTGCCAGCAGCGCAGCAACAACTCCTGGATGGTGACATTCCTCGCTCAATTTGGAGATCAGCGGCTTCAATGTCTGGCCAGCAACAGATGTGCGAAGCTGCTCATACGTATACGCCGCGTCGATGGCTTTACCGACGAAAGTGAAGAGCTTGAAGGTGACATCTGAAAAGCTCTCGTTTGTGTCGATGATTGGCACGTCGTCCTCCATCCACTGGAAAAACCTGCTTGACCGCGGTGTTTGAGGGTTGTTGGTAGCCATGACGGAGTCAACGTAAGTTTTGAGGTTGAAGTGAAGACTGCGTCCACGCATAGCAAATATCCTCTCTACTCATTAGGTTATTTGAGCATCACACCTCGAGGCTCGTCTTCTGCTCCATCCTGGTCGTACAGTTCACAGATGCAGGTACAACGAAGTGTGCACAGTAGGGGAGGTTCAAGTTACAGGCCGCCCTAATTCGTCCTATGCTTGGCAACGTGCTGCTTTTACAGTGGTGTTTCTGTTGTCAACCATCTGCGCGGCAGGCGATGCTGGATCAGTGATAATATGCCATAACTGTGCACCTAAAACCAACGAAGCAGGCTTTGAGATGAATCGTCTGCGACTTTGCACCTCACGCTGATCAAGCAGAATCTTTGTGCTGGCCTGACTCGCGCGGAACCAGTATCAAGCGGCTCCTGCATGCTCTGAAGTGATACGGCGTCCCAAGGTTAGTCCATTGCGGCAATGACGCCGGTAATTCCTGCAAATCTCCCAGCCTTGCTTAGTAAGTCGGCAAGCCTGGCAACGCTCATCTCGAATTCTTTTTCTCTGAAGACGGCTCGCCACCTCAAATTCCACCTGATATACATATCCAGACGACCTATCTCCCAGAACCATCTGCACATCATCAAACCACAGAACCACCATGTCAACAACTTCAGAGCCCCTCCCTCCGCTCTCAGCGGCGGACTTTAGGATCTTCAACCGCCTCGCGGAGGAAATGGAGTACTACCACAGCCGTTTCCGTGCTACTTGGGACGCATTGTACGCCGGCACAGCCCCAGGGAAATCCAAGTTATCTCCAATGCAATTGATCAACATGGGCATCCAATTCTGTCAGCACCTCGAAGGTCACCACAACATTGAAGAAGCCCACTGGTTTCCTTTCCTCGCTCAGAAAATGGAAGGATTCCGACCACGTCATTTCGCAAAGGACCAACACAAGGAGATCCACAAAGGCCTTGAAGCGCTCATGCCGTATCTGCTCGAGTGCAAGCGAGGAGATCGAGAACTGCGCAGAGAAGAAGTGCGCACCATCATGGATTTGTTCAGCGACGTCCTATGGCGTCATCTCGACGAAGAAGTGAAAGAACTCGAGGCGGAGAATATGAGGAAGTACTGGACAAAAGAAGAGATGAGGAGGTTTCCATTCTGAACGATTCCATACCTTGAAGTCGGACTAGACACACGGTACACCTCTACAGCGTTTCCACCGAGCGACAACAGCACGCCACATCATACCAGTACGGTCTCGCCAGCGATAAGCTCCAACAACGTAGGACTTACCTCGATCGGCAGGCTGAGTATCGTGTGCGACGTCCCAGTGAGCCGGAATGACTGGCGTAGTGAGATCTACGACCTCCAATTACCACTATCAGCACTTGCCGGCCAAAACATCACCTACGAAGGCAGGATTAAGAGGCACGCATACTTTATACGAACGCCCTCTCACTTCCGCCGGCACCATCTCCGACAAGGCAATCCGGCCCACGCCCAGTTCATATACATCACGGGTACTCTCCAGTCCCTGGAGCGGAGCAAGATCTCTACGCATTCACCAGCAGTCGAATAATACCTCACCTTCATTACCACTTTCGGCTTCCCGCCTTCACATGACTGGATGAGAATTAATGCGAGGGTTTATACATTTGAGTCGTCAAAATTCGGTTAACTTACAGAGGATGGCAGTGGTCGTATGCAAACGCGGCGCTTCACTCTGACTTACTAAGTTCGAGGACAACGTACCATAACTGGGTCGGCGGCAGGTATCCAATCCGGCGCTGCGTTGGGATCTAGAGACATATGGTGTTGGCCATCCCTGTCCAGGCAATGAAAGTCTTATGCGCCTCAAAAGATTCCTTCGAAAAGAAAACAGTTGTTGATTAAACTTCAAATAAATGACACACAGTAAGGGTGAAAAAGTGTCGCTCTACAACAGAGTTCCCTTAACAAAAGAGGTCCAATTCCTCTCAAACAAAACCTCCCCTTGGGGGGTTTCCTTAGGGGGATGTTTTCTCCCACTACCAAGGAGTTTTTTTGCATTTTTTTTTTGGACGAAAGCTGGATTTGAACCATGGATTGAAAGGCGGTGCAGGAGGCGGTGCAGTATTCTGCCAACCTGCAGTCGTGCTTGTGTTGCAGCGAAATGCCACACAACTTGGTCCGCCGAAACATCGTTGAGCCCGATTCGGCCAGACGTGTATATCTGGGCGTTGACCACGGTGATACTGTGCGCGCCAGCCACATACCAGACAATATCAAGATATCATTCAATACTCGCATTTCGAACTGCATCTACAACGTCCAATGCTACAAGACAGCGCATGATGTTTTGGGCATACTCACACTATCACTTCAGTATTCAGTAGAAGGATCAGGGTAAAGGCAACGTGCAGGGTATTCGGATTTGGGTTTGCGACACTGGCTGGGAATCTGGGGAACCTCGGGTCACTATCCCCTTGACACTGCACATGATACAACTGTAGGAAAACAGTCCTGACAGCCCGGCTACTGGAAAGGCATTATGGAGATTAGTTGAATTATGTATGTTGTATTGCATATTCGTCCATTGTTCGTGTCAATGCTTTTGTCCATCGCAGTGGTGGAACTCGCTGTCGACCCAGGGAATAATAACAGCCCAACTTGATAACCGCCAGCATCATTTCGACAAAGGATATGTTGTAGAGTGATGAACACCAGCCGAGAGCCCGCAACCCCTGTCCATATTCGAGAAAAAATGCCCGAAAAAAGAGCTTGCGCCTCTGCTCATATCTATGCAAATAGTGATATTCAATTTTGTACAAAGGAGATTGTCGAGTGGGATCAAGCGCCTCGAGTGGCCGCTGACTGGTGGCCGCCTTCGTTGAGCATCCGGCATCTCGTAGCCAACGGCCAAGGTGTCCGTCAGCGTGTAGGAGGACATCGTCATGACCAGCTCACCAGACCAGAGATCTGACAAATTGTAGCATTGTGGAAGAACAGTATCCTGTTTCCCAGATGGAGTGGTGTCGTTCATTGCGGCAATGTGTGATTTCCAACCAGTGTAGGTCTCGGAAGAGCGTCCATCCATGAGACTGAAAGACCGGCTCGAAAGGCTCTTGACTGGATCGCGGCACTGGATGAAGCCGGACAAAGCAGCATTCGTGAGCAGTGTTGATACAAAATGCAAACATGCTCGGCCTGATACCATCGCACTCGCCTAAGCCGGGCAGTCACTGAGACCCGGCGCGGTGGGATAGTACCAAGCAGCCGTTGCAATGATGATGTACAGTATCATCAATAGAACACCCTCCAGCCAGTGAGATTTGCCATCTGCAATCAAATAATTGACCAGCAAGACTGCCACAAAGAGAACAGCAATCTGGAAGCCATCAAAGAACAAGGTCATATCGTCTTTGCCCATGATCCAACCGAGGACCACAACAAAAGGCAAGACCAAGAGGGCAATTTGCATGCTGGATCCGACAGCAACTCCGATAGCCAGATCCATTTTGTCTTTGACTGCCACGGTGACTGCAGTAGTGTGTTCGGCGGCATTTCCGACAATGGGCAACAAGATGAGACCAACGAAGTTCTTGGAGATACCACCACCACAGGTGATGGAATTGATGGAGTCGACCAGATATTCGGCGTTCAGAGCAACAAGAACAGTGGAAGCAGCCAATGTGATGATGGCTGTGGTGATGGATAGAGCCGGCTCCTCTGCCTCCTCCTCTCTTGGTGCGTCAAAGTCGTCTTGTCTCTGATCAGGTGTTCTTTTGCGGTATTTCTCCGGAATCACGGTTTTCTTGAACTTCTCACCAACATTTCGTTTCTTGTTCTTCTCGCCTGGAGTGTTGTAGATTTCTGCGTGACTCTTCAATTGGAAGAATAGGTAGCAGGCATAGACGAGCAAGAGAAGCACAGCTGTAGCTCTGCTGACTGAGGCCACACCCGGCTTGGTGCTTGTTTCACCGGTGGTTGTAGTTGATATGTCTGCCCATTCTTCAAAAGCAGTGGGAATGATCAGACTAGCCACAGCCAAGAATAGAAGACTGGATGCAGTTTGTGCCACGGTCAGGTTGAATGCTTGTTCCATGCGATTGACACCACCAAAGAAGAAGCACATGCCCATGACCAGGAGCAAGTTCGAGAGCATACTGCCAATGAGTGAAGTTTGGACGATCAACACTTGATCCTTGGCCAACGCGATGATCGATACAATCAATTCGACGGCGTTTCCAAAGGAGGCGTTGAGCAAACCGCCCAGGACTTCTCCGACACGCAGCGCAATTTCTTCGGTTGCGTAGCTTAGCATACCTGCCAAGGGAATGATGGCGATGAAGTTGATAACAAAGACGGCCACTGGACTGATCTTTGCGTAATAGACGGCGATACCGATAGGGGAGAAAATCAAAAGCACATTGACCCAGGAGTTGAATATCGTCGCGCGAATTTGGCTCCACAGAGTGTACTTTTTCTTCACCTTGCCATTGTTGTTGTCAGGTTCCTCATCCGTTTTCTCTTTTTTGCTGAACAACTTCTTCAGACCATGCTTTTCTTCTTTGGAGGTCGTTGTACGGTTTCGGACCGCGCCGTTACCGGTGCCGTTGACCACGGTGTCAGAGCTGGTTTCCGTGCGCGAAGGTTCATTTTCCTCTTTGATACCTTTGACTGGTTCGGGACTTTGGGCGCGTGGAATCGAGATGTCGTCGCCAGGAGGATATGATCTAGTGGCGGATGAGATTGCAGGCTCGGTACCCGCATGTCGTGGGGGCTTTTGTCTGCGATCTTCCGAGAGTCTGTAGTCGTTGGGATCATCTGTAAGTGTTGCTGTCAAGGGCGAGTCGTTTGGGGTATCGTCTCCCCGAAGCGCACCCCCTGTCATGGGCTCCCGATCTTGTTGGCCCTCCTCCGTTGTGCGCATCGTGTTTGATCTTGTGTTGGGCCTCCATTTTGCAAAGGGATTCCCGAAACTCGACTTGCCGTCCACAGGGTCATTGTACCAAGCGGCATACTTCGCCTCGCGACGGTATTTGTCTGTCATTCGAGGTCAGTAGAGGCAGATGACTGCGAGCGACGTGATAACCTACGCATTGTTTCTGGTGTTGCCTTTTCTTCCTAGGCCATCTCAATGCGCGCTTCAGTTCGAGGCTGAATTGAGACGCTGTTGGAAATCGTAGCCGTGTGGAATGTGGGTGCAACATGTACGGTGCCTGATTTTGGTAGAGAAGTCTGGAATGCGGTTGCCTTTTAATGCAGAATGGACAGCCAGGAAAAAGGCATGGGGGAAACAAGCAGAGGAGCAGCGTCTAGGGTTACTAGTACCTTAGGTAGGTATGACTGACGGAACAAGCAAACAACACGAGAGGATCAAGGCCTTGGGCAATGCAAGATTCTCTGGTTGGTTAGAGGCATAGCAAGGGGTTGCTCAAACCGTTTGGCACATCTTGTGGCGTATGGTGATTCGACCACCGTGAAAGCGAGAGTGAAGAAATGTGTGTTTTGTTGTCTCCTCTTTTGGGGCTGTGCAAATGTCAATATCGCATGCAATATGATGAAACTCGGGAAGATCGAGCATCTCCAGGTTCTCCACCCGGCGCCTCTTTTTCCTCCTCTTGGTGGCCATGGGCTGTGCCTACAAGTGATTTGTATATCATATCGCATGGATTTCCTATATAATGTCTATCTCGCGAGGATCAAAAGGCAGTGCTCTACAGCCCGTCGTGACTCTGGATCGGCCCCCTTTGGGATTTCTCTACGCGACTCCGTCTCACTCTCGTCCAGGTCTCTCTACCTAGGAAGCCAAGACGTACTCCCCCTAACTGTACGGCCCGCTATTGCTTAGACCGCCTTGGCGGCATGCTTGGCCTCGGTCACAGAATTCAACTTCAGTGCCAGAATGCCAGTTGCCTGCGTCACCAGCATCTGATTCTGGTGACCTCCGGGCGTCCACCACCAATCCAAGCAATTTCAAGCACCCAAGCCAAGACAATTTGTCGGTGGCCCAAAACCTGATATTCAGAATTTGTACTTCCCACCTGTCGCCTGCGTTAATCGTCGATTGGTAGGAAGTGTAACCGGCATGATTGAGGTCATGATCGATATCACAGAACTTTCGGAAAGAAATACCATGACCACGGTCACAACTCACCGCCCCCAAACCAATCGGTTTGCACGAGGTATCAGCCACAGGTGAGAGATCTTACCCCTGCTGCGCCACTATTTCGTCACCAATATCACTGGAATTCTTGACCTGAATACTCGCACCCAGGTAGTAAGTGTGAATTGTTAAAGCCAACCCGTATTCCATACGACCAACTGTGCCACGATCCTTGCGTAGAGTGAGTTCATGTCCTGTAAGACACAGCAAAAAGCCGCGCCAAAGCATTGCCTCACTGGAGTGTGGCTGTTGCTTAGCTTTTTGTTTGCGTAACACTGTAGCTAGTATATTCCTGCGGTGATAATTCACACTCGTCATGCACTTGCGTGATGCCACTCGGTGATTGACTTCTTCATGTCCGTCAATGCAGAAAAGCCAACTGCAACTAGGACCCAAATCACGATGACTATCAGTGGAACAGCCAAATTTCTGGGGTAAGGCTAGTGAGGCTTGTCGATCAGCCTTGTTGCCTGTGACCAGTGGGTAATGACTAAGCGCAATGCTAGCGACAAAAATTCTGGGCGGTAAAGCGCATCGTGATGGGCACCTTCAACCTAGTCACAACATTGAAACATAGTATCAACGCAAATTACGACCGAAGATGTTGATGGGGTCCTACGACTGAACTTTTTGCTCTGCATCCCAGTCAGACAGGAAGGTGTGGTTGAAAATGATCGATCCAGATGAAGTTCCCTGGGGCTCGCATTGCGTGGCATTATCCTTCCATAATGCCTCCAATTCAAAGCCTTTGTCGCAGGCGCCCACAGCATCGAAGGCTGATCCGATACTCAAGCACTACTGGTGCTGTGCAACCTTCGGACCTGCTCCCTAGCTTTCTACGATTGTGGGAGAATGATCTAATGAGCGAAGCTGACTCTTATCACCCGCCGCATATAGGTACGTTCTTAGCGGCTGCCTAAAAGGCCATGCTGACTGCGAGGAGGAATATGTGTCAGTGGTGGTCCAGATTCCATGGCATTGGCATGGCTTTTGAAGCAATTGCCAAAGCTAGATAAGAGACTACAAGCGGTCGAGCCTATTGCCTTCATTGTCGACCATAAGGCACGAAATGGAAGCCGGGAGGAGGCCGAATTCGTCTCAAATGAACTTGACAAAATGGGTACAGTGTGATAGCTGTTTTTTTTTTGGCTACGCTAACTATTCAAGACGTCAAAAGTGTCATTTTGAGTATGCAATGGTCTGGCACTCTAGACCCGTCCGAGTTATCGGACTTTGAGTTCAGGGCCCGGGTTTCACGTTATAGATTGATCGCATCGGCTGCGATCCGAAGGAAGATCAGACATCTCTTCGTAGGACACCACCAAGATGACCAGGTCGAGACAGTTTTAATGCGACTAATTCGAAACTCGACGACATCAACGGCTTTCCTCGGCTTGCAGGGCATGGCTGATCGCACCACAATCCCTTGCTGCGAAAGCATCCGAGGCGCTCACGAAAGGCCACCGTATGAGCGATTCGAGCAATGGCATCAGACTCCTGATACTGCTCAACTCAATTCCAAGATGGAAAATTCGACGTTGGACCAGGACCACCTCAATCGCGGCAAAGTTGTGACAGTATCTCGCCCAGGAGGGCTTCAGATCCACCGGCCATTATTGCCCTTCCCCAAGTCGAGACTTGTCGATATTTGCGAAAGCAATCACATCAAATATGTCAAAGACAAGACAAACGAGGATCCAACATTGACATTAAGAAACGCGGTCAGGTATATGAGAGCGAAGTATACCTTGCCTCGAGCTCTGATGGCCGAATCAATGCTACACTTGCTCCAATGGGCGCAGACTTCTGCACAAGATCTGGTTGAAAGGGGAACCCGGCTGCTCAATATGGTCGATGTGGTGACTTTCGACCTACGATCGGGAATGATGACCATAAGTGTCGCCAGTGAATTCGTCCAAGCTTGTCAGAAACTGCAGTCAGGTGCGAATGCACTTGCGCAACTTACAAGCGTGGTGAGCTGCCAGCACAGGGCCGCCATTCCGACCCTTGTGTCTCATCAGAACCTCGAGGACTTTCTGCAAATTATGCAATCTCCGGAGCTACGGCGAACCACCATCCAGCAAGTCCTGCTTGAGAGGTTGCAGAGCGCCTCCCAGGATGCGTCAGGTTCCGTGCTTGTGAGGCTGGCTAGGCCACCTATGCGTCCTGCTGAAGTTGCGCTTGCCACTCAAGGATTTTCTCCCTCCGCCCCGAGAGATGATGACCTGCCAAATGAAGATGGCATATGGTCCGAATGGCTGTTGTGGGATCATCGCTACTGGATACGAGTCAGGACCAAGAATGCTAGTCGACTCGAGCAGATTGCAGTTCGCCCTTTTCAGGTAGCGGATGAAGGTCACCTGCGCCAGATGGTCAAGCAAGAACGAGACGAGCTTCACAGCATGTTGGCTGAAGCAGCTCCGGGAAAGCTGAGATATACTTTACCGATCCTGACATTTCTGGGCGAGATCTCTGTCTTTCCAACACTGAATGTTCTCATACAAAGGCCGCCGACCGAAAAGTTGGATTCGACCCTGAACGAGCATCCGTTACTTGAGTGGGAAGCCTGCTACAAAGCCATTGACCAACCTTTCATCAACGAGCGGAAGTCGACTATTGAGTGGAGGAATGCTCAGATCAAGCGGCTCTGAGTGACATGCAATGTCGTATTTGACCCTACTTCTCCGTCGTCTTTCCCGCATACATATGTCGTACAACAGCTGTCCTATATCTGCCTTACTTCATCCCTTTCACACGGAATGCCCTGAAGCATGTCAGGGTGTGCATGATTGGCGTTTTGGGACAGCACCTCATTCGGAGTTTGACCGCTGCACCAATTCATACTCATGCAAGCGAGACCATTCTCAATTTGACGCAATGCGACAAGTCTCCGAGCATCGACCGAAACTGTCATGCATGCTCACCATGGGAGACTGTGCGATCTTGCTTTTGTTTCCCCGCATTGGTATGGACGATCGTCATGGCATGTAGTCAACCTTTCTCTTATAAGCCAACAGGTGGAGAGGGGTGGAGATGAAAATGGGGTTAGTCGAGAACCTCGGTCATCAGCGCCAAACGATTGCTTTGGATATATCTGAGGCATAAATCTCAGTGCCGGTGTTCCGACTCTGCAACTCTTTCACACTGTCGCAGAATCACGAAAACATGGCTACGCAAACAATTCCAGAGGCGCTGACTGCTCCCGCGCAACGATTTGGCAATGCGCCACCATTCCCAGAGGACGTCCCAACGGCTCCTTTACTACGCTTGTCGTTGGCCAAACTAATCGAGCGCGATGCCGATGAAATCCATCGATTTCAACGTGCATGCGAGGACCTTGGCTTCTTCTATCTAGATCTGTCAGGCCCTGGCGATTCCCTGCTCGCCGACGCAGACCAGCTTTTCAAAGTCGGCGAGCAATTGTTTGATCTGCCTGTTGAGGAGAAACAAAAGTACGACTTCATGCACAAGAATTCCTACTTCGGATATAAAGGCTTCGGAGCGAATGTGGTCGACAGAAAAGGCAATCTAGACCGAAATGAATTCTACAATGTAAGTCTGGCCCGGCAGAGCTGACGATCAGTGTCTGACATCTGTAGGTATCGAAAGACGATATGTACGGACTATCAGACCAGTGGCCAGCTCCCGATGTTCTCAGCTCAAGACGCCCTCTTCTAAAATCCTTCATCGGACAAGCGCATGGCATTGTCACGCTCGTCCTAGAACTGCTCAACGAGCATCTCCGTCTGCCTCCGAACACATTGCAAGATATGCACCGTCTGGAAGGCCACTCTGGGGACCAAATTCGCTTCATCAAGGCCCCACCACAGCCAGTCAACGATCGAAGGACAGCACTGGGCGAGCACACCGATTTCGGCAGCGTGACCGTTCTGTTCAACCGCCTGGGTGGACTGCAGGTTCTGCCTCCAGGCCGCGACGCAGAGTGGTGTTATGTCAAGCCTCTGCCCCACCACGCCATCATCAATCTAGGTGATGCTATGGTCAAGTTCACCAACGGCCTCTTGCGATCGAACATCCACCGTGTTATGGCGCCACCTGGTGAGCAAGCAGATTATACGCGGTACTCGCTTGTCTACTTCAATCGACCTGAGAACGATGTCATGCTGAAGAGACTGGATACTAGCGAGTTGATTCCGCCATTGGATGAGGATGAGGTAGAAGAGGAGATCAACAGCAAGGACTGGATCATCAGGCGTGCTCTAGGGCACAGGCATGCCATTTACGGTGACAAGGCCTTTGACTTCGACAGGACTAGGGGCACAGAGGCCAAGAGTCAAAGAGCGTACCTTTAAGCGATTGTAGTTCCAGCCAGCGTCACTCTTTTCAGCCTCTACCTCTTTCCTGTATACAATTGTATCATGACATATACTGGAATGGCCTCTTTTGGACCGACCGCAGACTTTTCGTCAGGCAAAATAATCATTCAAAGTTCGTGTCCCGAGAAAATTGTAACTCGCCTGGATATCCACCCTAGCTATTCTGTCTGACAGGCCTACAGTCCCCCAGCTTTTCGGTGGAGTTCTCTGCGACCCTTGTCAGCGTGCCAGAGTTCCTAAATAGGCATAGCTTTTTCTCCCACAGTGACATTTTTCTCACTTTTTGTCCAGCAATAAGACGCAGTCGTCAAATTTCACCGCTCGGAGGCTTGATGATTTTCATCAGCTTGACCCAGCAACATTTAATGTCACCCATGTTCTGTCAGATACTACACCTTGTACTACCATTCTACCTTTCATGACCTCGATATCCTGTTCCAGCTACGGCAATGTTAGCCCCGCCATCACGTCGGCCTGCTCTGCCGACCAGCGTCTCGACTCCCGCTCTTCCTCCATCAATAAAAGCCCTTCGACCTCAGCCCATCACGCGAAGATCAACCCTCAAACGTTCGATCGATGAATCCAGCTTGATGGAGACGCCCTCCAGTCCGTCAAAGCGTTCCCGTGTTACTTTCGATTCCGACGTCGAGATTGTGTCTGCCGATGATGAAGAAGAAAATGACCCTCTCGTGGTCAAGGAACAAGTGCGAAGAGCCATTGAAAGACATCGATTCAATGACAATGATGGTTACGACCGTCTCCAAAGCCTTTTCAATACGCCTCACGAAAGCCCCAATGCACCCTCAACCAAGGCACTGAAAATCCATCTTCAAGCCGTCCTTGCTAATGTGACGGCTCTTACGAAGGATTGTCATGGTCTGGTCAACGCAGTCCTACATAGCGAGTGGGTTGGAAGAGAAGAGTCATACTATGCCCTGTTTGTCAGATTCCTGAACAACTTGGCTGCTGCGCAACGAGGATATCAGCACAGAATCATGTCGGTGTTGGTTGATCTGCTGGGCCCTCAAAAGACGAGAAGAATCGAAGAAGCAAAACCAGTGAGGCAGCCAGTGATTCATCGAAGGGTCTTGCAAGCCATTCGACACATTACTGTCAATGTGCCTTCCGCACCCGCCGCTCTTGCCAACCAAGTCTCATCACGCCTCGAGTTCGACTTCCAAAAGGCCGAAGAGCGGATGACCTACACCAAAAATTTTATGGAAATGATTCGATACGTGCCAGAATTGACGTCCGAAATTCTCACGTGTGTTCTCAGGGAACTCATCAAACTTGATGTTGCGGTTCAGGTCGATCTGGAGGAGGACGAGGACGATGCTGAAGATGATATCCTCAACTACATGTCTTCGTCTATGACGCTTGTCCCGGGTGCATCTCAGGACATGCTCAAGAGTGGCCTCGATGACAACGATGACATGAGCACCACTGACGATGATTCCGACATGGAAGATGACGAAGATGTCGACCCTGCTACCGCTCGCCGGCAAAAGCTGAAGGAAGGCATCAAGCAAATTGACTGGATCATGGATATCCTGTTCCAATACTATGACAAACTAACCACGTCTGCCACACTTCGAGTTCGCGACATAGCTCTGGAGCAGCTCATCACCCACTTTCACAGTCACATCCTCCCAACTTACCGTGCAAGGCATCCTCAATTCCTCGTTTTCCACTTCGCTCAGGCCGATCCAATCACCGTCGACCGCTTCATCAGTTCATGTATCGCGGCTCTTCTTGACAAAAAACAACCACACATCATGCGACACAATGCCGCCGCATATTTCTCGGGTTTCATCGGACGTGGTGCACATGTCTCTTCGCAAGTCGTGCAAAACTGCGTGGCATTGCTGTGCAACAATCTGAACCTTCAACGCAAACAACACGAGCCTTCATGTCGCGGACCTGACATCAAGCGCTACGGTGACTTCTATGCACTCTTCCAAGCCCTTGTCTACATTTTCTGCTTCCGATGGCGGGACCTCGCTTCAGCCAGCTCCGACGACGAGTCCGACTTCGATATTGATGAGGAAGAAGTTGAGACTTACCACTTCACCGAGACACTACGTGAAGCACTCCGTGCGGCAATCTACTCACCTCTCAACCCGCTCAGAGTTTGCACCCCTGTGATTGTCGAGCAGTTTGCCAAGCTTACCCATGCTTTGCAACTCTTTTATGTCTACCCGAAGCTCGAAGAGAACAGACATGTCCGGGTGACCACTCACTGGCAAAGCATGTCTGATTTGAGCATCAGCACTTCCGCTCGTGACTTGAGCTGGGTTGGAGACAATGGCATGCTGGAAGGTTACTTTCCCTATGATCCTTATCATCTCCCAATCAGCAAACATTGGATCGAGGGTGATTACGTGGAATGGAAGGGTATTCCGGGCGAAAAAGAGGACGACACGGACTCTGAGTCTGATGCTGGCATGGATGTCGGTGAAATGGACGAAGATGAGGAGGATGATGGTGTACTCGTTGATGATGACTCTGACGATGAATGATTGCTTAACCTAGTACGGCATTGTCAGGCGTTGGCCGAGACATGGTTCGGTCTCACGATTGTCACGACGAAGTCAATTCACTATGTTTTCTTGTTGCGTTCGAGCGAATGTTTCGAAAAAAGTTTGCATACAAAAGCGGAGGACATCTAGAATAGAAAGAGACGGCCACTTGATACCCATTGCATGTTTGGATGGGAAGACCATGTTCTAGTATTGACGCTTCAAGATGGCAAATGAGATATGATCATTTATTATGTCGATGAACATTTCTGAATACTCCCGTACAACCTTTGTAATGTTCTCTTCTCACCCTAGGACTCGTCGTCCTCCCCTTTAGTCCTGGATGAAATCTGACGAGGCTGAGAGTTTCCCCGCACCCGAAAAAAATATTGGAGCATGACTTTTTTCCAAAGTCGCATGTTCTCAAGATCCAACACCATCTGTCTACACTCATACATACAACTGCCATTCTACCAACTCCATTGCTTCTCAAGACCCTCGGATCGCCATCGACTGAACCCCTATACTATCAATTGGCAAACTTACCACTCCGGCCCCTCACGCATCCTCTTCCTCCTGCGCCGCCTCTCTTCCATAACCCGATCATCCCGCCAAAATGCGCGCCAAACGCAGCAAGAAATACCGCAAGATAATGCAATCCTACCAACTAGCCTTCGGATTCCGCGAACCCTACCAAGTCCTCCTCGACTCAAACTTCCTCCGCACAGCCCACGCCTTCCACATGCCTCTCCAAAAATACCTCGAGAACACCCTCCACGGTGAATGCCGGCTCTTCGTGACGAAATGCTCACTAGCAAAAGTCATGGCGGACTTTGAAAAAGACCCCAATAAACATCCGCGACAGAAGAGGCCGGGTTTCTTACCGCCGCCGACAGAAGTGCCGCTGCGGCATTGTAAGCACAAAAACGAGGCGGGCGAGGAGGTAGTGTTCGACGAGGCGAGATGTCTTTTGGACCTATTGGCGGGACAGCCTCACGGGAATGAACAGGCGAAGAATAAGCAGCATTATATCCTGGCGAGTGCGGATGCTGAAGACAATGAACGAAGGAGGAGAGGCTATATTGATGTCAGAGAGCGGGCGAGGACGATTTCTGGTGTGCCGATTGTGTATGTTAAGAGGAGTGTGATGATCCTAGAGGAGTTCAGCGGGGCAAGTGAGGGTGTGAGACGGAGGGGCGAGAAAGAGAAGTTCAGCGAGGGCTTGATAGGGTTGGATCGAAAGAGGAAGAGAGGAGATAGGGAGGGTGATAGTGAAGATGAGGATTTAGCGCTGGAGGATGGGAATACAGGACCGAAAGTCAGGGGTGCGGTGAGAGCGAAGGGTCCTAATCCGCTGAGTGTGAGAAAGAAGAAAGTAAAGACTACGCAGGATGGACAGCAAGATGGAAAGGAAGGGGAACAGGCCAAGCGCAAGAGAAGGAGGCGCGGGAAGAATACTGGCGAGAGTGTTCAAGCGGATGGAGCTGCTGCCGTCGACTAAGTTGCAGAGGCTTGAAGTGATTTCGAGACGGGTTTCAATGTGCATATTCGGCGTTTGTTCTGCGACTGGATGACATGGGCAATGAAAAAGAGATACCCTTCCTGCGACAAATTGCAATTCATTGTATTGAACTTCAGCTTTTTTGATACCACTCCAGCCCCTGCGAAACTTGTCCCTCACGATCAGATGAACGCTCTTCCATAGATGAACAGGCCCGTCGCAGCCAGCACACTCAGACCAGCGGGAAGTGGCTTGCCAGTCTTAATCGCGCGAGGGATACTGCTGCCGGCGAGCAGGATTGAAGCAAGGAGGGCGAGTTCGACACCGTAGGGTTGACGTTTCGAGATGCGGTAGCCTCCCAGGCCGTACTGGTATCCTCAGCGGTGTCGCCTTTGAGTTGATCGAAGATGACAGAGATGCTTACCAGTGCGCCCACCGTCAAGCCAGCAGCTATGCTCGGTACAGAACCTGTACGGACATAGCCCGTCACACCACCGACTGAGGTGAGGAGGGAGAGGATGTATGCTGGTGTTTCGTTGGCGGCCTGGTAGAGGTTAGTGATGTGCACTGAAGGATTGAAGACTGGGCCCGACCAACCATTGTATGAGCGACGTGGACACGACAATTGCGGATGTGTCAAGTGAGTATGAATAAGACGTTGGCGAGTATTGGACGAAACACTGTAAGCGTGGGAGTTGGAGGTTCAAAGGGCAGTCGGCGATGATGCAATCCGAGGCCGACCTCCCCACTGACCTCGCTTCGCCTAGGTAGCAGACGTCGAGTCTCAATCGTTGCACTTTTTCACACTTCCTTGTCTGTCAAATGTGTGCGCATTTGTCCTTCGGTAAGGCCCTCGCCATACTAGATGCTGGTAGGCTACGGTGTTATTGACATGATCATAGCCTCATCATTCTAAGGGCTTGTCACTGCTCGGTCGGCACGACTTGCCTTCGCCTGTATCGTCCACCGAGCAGGCCGATGCAAGGAATGAGACATGCTCGCCGCGTAGTAACTCTCAACTCTAAGCCTGATGGAAAATGACCGCTTGCGGCGAGAAATGAGATAAACCGTGGACCCAAGTCGATGGTCAGCCTCATCAGCCTCATCAGCCGCTGTCAGCGCTCTGGTGATGCTCGACCTGAGATCGCGATAATGCCGAGAGAGCCACATGTGATTCCGAGACCTTCTTTTCTGTCGACAAAGAGAGCTTGGGAACGTTCATTGAACCATGCCTCGCCCTACCAGATCTCCCTAACGGACGTAAGTCTGTGTTGTCGAGGGAGGGAGTTGCACCTTTGTGCCACGTGACGGAGGCAGTGCTCGAAATCTTCGCAAAGCCCAGGTCGGATTCCTTCTTATCTGGTACAATTGGTGTCATGCAGAGTTTTCCTTGCAACGACGACACAGGACACGGGGCTCAGTGGCATGCATATTCGTTCGGCCGATAATGTTTTGAGGGCACCTTTGCAATTGTCGTTCACATGCTCCTTTCCGGACGGTATGATTAGTCCCTGGCGAGGCCTCTTGCTGGCGCCAGTCGAAGAGTCTCGGGACGTTTCGCACCATCAGGCAGTCCTAAGTGGTTGGTGCGAGAGTAAGTCCTATCACTATGCGGTTTGAAAACAGTTTTGATTGCTACATAACACCCAGCATGTTTTCTTACTACTTCCATGACCCAATCATGCCGCAACAAGCTCATTGAATCTAAGTCTTCCAGCGTCAGCAACTCCCAGGCCGTGCACGAGCTGAGCCATGACTGGGTCGATCTCCTGCAGCATTTTCTTTCCCGAAGTGGTATCCTCTCTGTCGCCATAGGTGAGACGATACCTGACTTTGTAATAATCTCCATATGTGATGGGTATGGCTGTGGTGGGAGTCGACTTGTCGACAGGATTGAGTTGAGCGTCTAAAAATGTCTCACTTAGTTCCAATACGGACGGAGACAGTGCAAGTGCTGTGCTTACCGTTGTTTGGTTGAGAAAAATAAGCCATGCTATAGCGGTCTCGGTTGGCAGGGAGATTTTCCCAGGTGATCCTGTGTAGAGTGGATTTGAGGGTCTTACTGGTCCAAAGAGACAGCGCGTCGCCGATGTTGACCACGATGCCCCCGGGTATGACTGGAACATGGAACCATTGATTCTGAGGGTCTTGAATCTCCAGGCCCGCCTGTTTGGTGAAGACAAACGTCAGGCTGCCCCAGTCTGTGTGTGTTGACAGCCGGGGAAGGCGGCCTTCTTCCGGTTGCTGTCCGAGTTGGGGGTACTTGATACATCTCAGTGTATGGCCAGGAGCTCTGTGTTGGTGAATGAGAGAGAAGTAGTCCTTGTCGAGGCCCATGGACACGGCGAAGCTGGACATCATCTTGATCGTCAGGTCGTAGCATTCGGCCTTGAATTCCTCGATGGTCTGACGCTTTCCATCGTCCCACCAGGCGGACAGGTTGTTGGAGCTGAGGACGTCTCCCGCCGGAGTTCCGAACAGCATGGCCTCCGACGCAGCGAACCTACCTTGGTCTTGAGAAGGCTGGGGAAGGAGAAAAGGGAAGAGCCTCTTACGATGTGAACTTCTTTCCCCCATCATACCCTATGGCGGACTCGTCCACCATCTTTTGCATCTTCACATCCAATGGTAAATCGAAGAAAGCGCGCGACTAGCTGGTCAGTATTGTCTCGTTATTTTCTCTTCCATTCCTCCCTACTCACGAGTGCAGCCACTTCATCTGCTTTTGTGATGCCATGATCGGTGATGATGAAAAAGCCCCATTCACAGGCGGCGTCAAAGAGTTGCTTGGACACGGTCTCAAAGTCCAAATCAATCTTCGCAACGCTGATGACGGGGAAAGTTAACGGGTCCATTGTTCCTGGCTGCTACGTCCTTCGAAGCGGAGATCTTCGGTCAAAAGATTATATTATTTATGACGGGATAATGTCTGATGCTGCGAGCACTTTGACTGGACATTGCCAGAATATCTACTCGCTCTTGGAACCACGGTTGCGCGTCTCCCTATTTGGCAGTGTTGCAAGATACCCGTGATGCATGACCCGTCTTGGGTGCAAATCGGCAACCAGAGGACGTTGCCGGCGGCAGACAGAGCCCTGCCGGGAAACCGTGCATAGCCACGAGTTCGGAGAGGTGGTTTCTTATCGCTGTCGCTGCCGCTTCGGTAGTAAATCCACTTGATCTAGCCGAACCTTTCGTCCGTCTTTGCTTATCAGTCCTCCGCAGACGGCAGTCTACGCGATTGCAAGGGGGAATCTCCGGGTCTCGAGGTGCAATCTACTCTCAACGTTGGCCACTAGTAGGGCGTCGAAGGCGACACTACCAGGCCCTCGCGAGGCACTAGGGAACCAGAAACCACCAAACGATACATCACCCTCTCTGCTTATCGCACTATCTAATCCTCTCTCTTGAGGAATGCGATAACCACCGTCCAGACTCCGGCCGGCCAGTAATCCGGCAGGTCGACAAAACAGCGTCCTAAAGCAGGGATTCATACTTACTATTATATGGCTCACGGGAGACATAATTTGCGGGAAGTGAGCAGCACAATTCCCTTCATCACACCTCACACCACGGCCACCTTGTACCTGAGTCCTGCAACCTAGTCTTTCTCAATGGCAGCAATCGAGACTGATACCGGCTCCAAAATCGCTGGCAAAGATAAAATCAGTACAGAGACTCAAGACGTTGAGAAAGCTGGCTCAACGCTCTCGTGTTCACGAGCAACAACGGAAGATGTCCCTCGCGCGAAAATGATACGCGACAAGGTTGCTGTGCTGCGACATCTGGGCAACTTGGAAGCATGGCTAGACCAAAGAATCGGCGTCGAGACTCAGGGCATTGACCGCATTCCTGAGGACAAGAAAAACGCCCCGTCTTTGTTGAACGCATTCTTGATGTGGTTCTCTTTCAACGGCCATGTAGCTACCCTACCCGTGGGTCTGCTTGGTCCAGAATTTGGCTTGTCCCTGCAACTGTCCGTCGTTGCCATCGTCGTCGGAACCCTACTGGGATCCTTCTTCCCAGCATACTGTGCGACACTGGGACCCAAGGTAAACACCTTGTCCCCTATCTGACCAAGAAAAGAAATACAAGTTAACATTCACTCAGCTCGGTCTCCGCGCCATTGCAACCTCCCGGTACTCGTTCGGTTTCTGGGGCGCCAAGGTCTGTGCTGTTATCAACATTGTGGTTAACGTAGGATTTGCCGTTGTGTCGTTGGTGCTGGCGGGACAATTGCTGTCTGCTGTCTCGGACTACAAGATGACCATCGACGTGGGATGTGTCATTGTCTCTCTAGTCTCGTACCTGATCTCATTTGCCGGCTTTGGCATGATCCATACATTCGAGAAATATATGTGGATACTGGCGTTCATCCTCGAATGTGTGCTTGTTGGCCAAGCTGCGCCTCACATTGCGACTGACACCCCTTCTTCTTGGTCAGGTCTGGAACTATCGGCGGCGTTCCTGACATTCATGGCCATTAGCTTCGCATACGCAGCCGCGTGGGCTTCGACGACATCGGACTATTATTGCAACTATCTCTCCACGACACCACGCTGGAAGATATTCACCCTGACATATGCCGGCTTGTCCATCTCGACCATTTTCACTCTCACTATTGGTGCCTGTGTTGGTAATGCAGTTTTCACTTACGCGCCATGGACGGACGCATACGACGCACACGGCCTGGGTGGTGCCATGGGAGAAATGTACCATCCTAACGCATGGTCCAAGTTTGCGCTGGTCATGTCAACCTTCACCGTCCTTGGAACACTTGTCGCGAGCAATTACTCAGCAGGATTGGCAGCGCAATTGGTCGGTGACTATTTTCATGCAGTGCCGAGGTTGATTTGGTCCTTTCTCGCTATGGTGGTTGCCTTGGTTCTCGCTGTTGCCGGACATGATTACCTGTCAACAATTCTGAGCAACTTTTGCAGCATGCTGGGATATTGGAGCGTTTGCTTCGCTGTGATCCTCTTCCTCGAAGACCAATGGTTCCGTCGCAAAGACGGATATGATCTCCATGCGTGGGACGATCCCAAGGCCCTTCCAATGGGCATCGCAGCAGTCGGGACCCTGGTCATTGGGTACTGTGTAGGTGGTGTTCTAGGCATGGATCAAACATGGTTTGTTGGACCTATTGCGAAAGCATTCGGCGGAATTGGTGGAGATGTGGGAATCTACCTCTGCTTTGTTATCTCTATCATCGTGTATTGGCCTTTGAGGACCTTAGAAAAGAGCATGGTCAAGAGATGAGATGGAAATCGGAGGGTTTCCTGACGCAAGAGGACCGCATGTTGCATATAGGCGGTTTGCTATGATTTAGGGAGTTCTGGCACGCCCATCAAGTTGACGACAGGTCACCCCCTGGCCAAAGATATAGTGCCAATTCCGAATCCAAGTCGTCCGTGAGAGAGACGTCTGGAAATCCGTGGGTCCAAGGGTCCTGTAACTGAGGCATATCAGCCAGCATAAAATCGTTCATTCCAGCGTCGCTGCACCCAAAGACGCCAGTATTGTCTAGGCCAAATTCCCTGGCCAAGGGCGAAATCACAGGGGGAGTTCCACCATGGTGGCTCGTTGACCGCCTGCTTGCTTCCAAATGATCCGTATCAGCCTGGATTATTTGGGGCTGCAGGGGGCGGTCTGCTTCTTTTGCAGCAGCTGCATGATTTTGGTACGCCTTGACTAGAGCGTCACACCAACGTTTTGCCATTGGCCAGGCATCTTGAAGGTCGCTCAGCATCTTTGTCGAAGTCTCTAGAATCACCAAGCTTCTCGATCCTGCATCTCTGACATTGCCTGGCAGTGTGGTGCTTCTGCACAGATAATTGGCTAGTGATCCACAGATATATATGCAAAACACGACGAAAGCTGGAAACCCCTGGTTAGGAGACCGAAGAGCAAAGTATGCCTGGATCTGACTGTGAAGGACCACCAGGTTGTCAAACAACTCACGCTCAATTGTCGCATCGCGATCAGACATTGTCGCTTCGAATGTCTCGTTCGCAGTCTGAGAAGCTCGTGGAATCTCAACGCCGCGGGGTCCCTGAACATAGCTTCGTCGAAGAATGATGTTGCTCAGCCTGATCATCATTACAACAGATAGATAGGCTAGTTCGAGGCCCTCTGCCTTGTACCCACGTAGATTCCAGGTCGACCAACGATGTTGGTCAGGAAGGTAGTCCTCGAAATCTTTCAACAGCATCGTGAGGTGAGCATAACCATCCTCGCTCAAAGTCGTGTCCACAATCGGATTCGAAATCTGAGATTGGTTGATCTCGTTCTTTGCGACCCGACGTGCGATCTGGCCCCACAGGTTGTGCGACTGGATCAATGTTGCAAAGAGTGAACGAGAAGACGACTTTGTGAGCTGGGAATCCTTGACTGCTGGACTTGTCCCCATCAATGCAGCACGCTCCCTTGGTGCCAGACCAAAAGCAAACTCGCGCTCTTCACAGGGTAACAGTGTCGTGATATCTCCAAGCGAGAAATATACAGGAGAATTGAACCCTGAATGTAGATTGTCGTGATTTTCCAGCATCCAGAACGTCCTCCTGGCCACTTCGGCGTCCACAACGTTGTCGGCGGTCGCATTCTCTGGAAGGTAATAGGTCTCTTCTCTGTGCAGTCGTAATGTTCCTGCCATTCGTACTGCGATGCCCATGTGCGTAGAGCTGCGATCCTTGTCGCCTTTGCCCCATTCAGCCAGGCTCATCAAGAAAAATGCCTGAATTGTTTCAAGGCTCGGCTGGTACATATAATCCAAGACCATCCCAGCGGCGCTCTCTAGGAAAGCATTGGTGGCATCCTGACCATTGCCATAGCGTCTAATAAGACTGGGCGTGAACCTTGCCGAAATACTCAGGATGCTCAGGAGTAGGAAGACACTGACATCTTCCTTTTTCTTTCGTAAACGCTCGAAAAATCTGGTCTTTGGCAGAAATCCGAGCTGGAAGTATGAGGTGATGAATACTTCACATCCTTCCACCACCTCTTCAAATGGTGGCAGTAGATTCCAGCGTTCTGTGAATGATGAAGCGTTGCTGCTAGGATCATGAGTCTGAGGTCCTTGAGGAGATGTAGTCTCTTCGACGCGAGGCTCAATTGCTGTGAAGAAAGGGTCGTGCATGTCAATGTTGCGTTGGTAATCTAATCGTTCCGTGATTTCTGGGCTCTGACGAACCGAGTCACCTTTCTTCTGACTTCGCTCATGACGATAAGCACGATCGAAATCGGGTTCTCCGCGTCGTGGAAAAACGCAAACGTGACCGGTGCGACTGCACGACTCACACGGAGGTTGAGCCTCCTTATGGCGACATTTGACTCGAAGGCGGCGGCAGCGCCGGCATGCGATTGGAGCTCTTCGCAAATCTGGCGGGCCGTGAGGAGATGAATCCTGAGGTGGTCGTTGTATCACATCCATGACCTACTTCGATGCAGGTTGTGCCGGTCTTTGTATGCGCTGTTTACAGTTTTGTCCCTGACTGATTGCGAGGAACAGGAAGATGTACTATGTGGTAGATGTTGTTGGAGATAAGGCCTTATCAGGCAAGCCCGGCGGATAGGATGGCAGTCATGCTCGGACATTTGCGTACAGGTTGCCTGTGCGATAAGTAAAATTTTACCATCACGGGCGTGCATCTTTCAACCTTCCAACCTACAGTCAACAGAGTCTGATCCCCATGGATGGGCCGACAGACTTTGACAGACAGTGTTGCGTCAAGATGGGAGCAGCCTTCCCCAACCTCGCGTTTGCTCGTGTCTTTCCCATTTCGCCAAACTAGCCTACGTAAGGGTTTCTGACACTTCTCTCTTCTTACACGATTACTGGGGGATGCCTTTATAATGGTGTTCCTTACAGTCCCATTGCATTGCCTTCTTCGTTGGGTCTTATTGCCTCTTTGACTTCTACTATATCGCCTCAAGGCGTTTTCCGTACAACCTTTGTTCTCGCTCTGCTCAAATCTGGTAATCCAAGGCCTACCAGATCTTTGTTCACCTGGTCCAGATGCTTTATGAAGCCCCCGTCAAATCCATCCCAAAAGTTCGCTTGCACTCCTGAGAAAGCTGTTAGTCCAGAACTGCAGGGGAGGAGACCATCATACCGTGAAGGGTACCGCTCTCTGTCAAGGCGTAGCTCGTCAAGGAGATGTGCCCGGATATGTGGAGCATGAAGGCTAGAATAAATTGTATCAGTATGAAGTACACGTCCGAAAAGGGGCGCACTTACCCATGGCATCGTTGTTCACGCGCTCGGGCGCAAGATCTGCATTTGTGGCCTCCTTCCACCGCTCGTACGATTCTATCAATGTTAGGGATTCATGCAAGGTAACCGTCGCAGTGGGGAATTACCTCCATGTGGCATCAGGCTGGGCTCATACGTAAGTCCTCCTGGCTCCAATTTAGTTGCAGAGCCATGCCATATCCCGTACACCATGCCCATTAGCTCTGTACACACGTTACGGTGATAGTACGGCGGCCTGAACGTGTTGGACGTTACACTCCACTTTGGTGTGAAGATGAGCAGCTCCGAGAGCGTACGGCCTGTGACATTGGACTTTGCCAAAAGAACACAGTATATGGATGGATCGCTCTGTTCTCTGTCGACTGTTGCACAATTGACGAATTTCTCCATAGCGTATTTATATGGGACATAGTTTCCATGCCATGCGACGACGTCAAATGGGGTGTGATCTTGTTGGTACTCGAACAATTGGCCAGCAAGCTTGCATATGACCGTCCATGTGGTTTGGTCGATATCAAAACTCGCCATCGGATGTTCAAAGTCTCGGGGCATGGCCATGCCATTCGAGCCGATTGGGCCTAATTCTGGGAGCTCATAATGGGACCCAAAGACTTCTTGGACATATCCTCTTGCTGGTCCATCTGGCAGGCTAATCTTGAACTTGATGCCGGCGGGAATGACGGCCAGCTCTCCAGGGCGTATCATCATATGGCCAAACTCCGTCTGCATATCGAGCCGCCCTTGTTGAGGCATGATCAAGAAGTCCCCGTCATTGTTGCAAAAGGCGACCTTCTTCATGGATGCATTCGCAGTGTATATGTGAACGGCAAGTCCATCCTTGTTCATAGCATCACCATGGCCACCAATGGTTCTCAACCCCTGTACAAAATCTACCCGTTGAGATTCATCGGGCATCAGAAATTTGCCCCAAGATTCATCCTGAGGAAGGAATTGGGTATTCGGATTTGCACTTGAGAACGAGGTTTCAAGATTCTGGTTTAATTGTGACTTCCTCACGGGCCGATGTGCAACCGATGGTCGTATTCGATAGAACCAGGCATGAAGCTGAGAAGCACGTGCCGAAACAAAAGGCGTGCCATTCAATTGTTCCGAGAAAAGATCGTACTTGCACTTTTGAGGCACATTGCGACCTTGAGGAAGTGTCGCTGGTACAGCTTCGGTCGCAAATCGATTTCCGAAGCCTACCTGGTACGGGTAGGGATCGGCTTCAGAGGGCGTCGTGGAAAACGGAGATGTGGCTGTAGACCCATGAGGCAACTCTGAATCAATGCTTGCAATCATTCTCACTGTCGAAGTGCAGCGTGTGCTGAGAATTCAGGAAGTCATAGTGCCTCTCTCTGCCTATCATGGGATTTAGACAAAGGTTGAGAGACCATAACAAGCTTTGATGGCTACCGCCACCCCTAGCCATTGTAGGCAGGAACTGCAAGGCTGAAGCATGCTCTTAGAGCCCACAGGGATGTGCCGGCAGCCCTCAGCACAGATAGAGCAGGCATTGCATCCGGTGAAATCTGCTTACCATCACGTCCCTGGGATCAATCACAGCGCAAGCAAACCTTGATAGGCAAAGTTTATCGTGATAACGCCTACATGCCGGCGGCAGCTTGCCGGCCGGCAGCGCTATTAGGTGTATTACTCCGGCAGACCTTTCGAGGTCCATATCGAGTTTGTTATCGCAAGCATGTGAAACTTTGGCCTTGCCGTACTCGAAGAGCAAGATCCAGATTCTGTCCTTCAGGGTGTTCGCAAGTCTTTAAGACTTTCGTCTGCAGGATGCTAAAAATCTGCGAGACAAGTCGTAGACTATCAGATAGCTGCCTTCGAGCACCCGGAGAATTCCGGAGAAAATGGCTTTCATCCCGAACACCAAATTTGCTTTCGCAGTCGTGGTATGGCTAGCAGTCGGGATCAGGCTCTACCAGAAATTGTACACAGGATCAAAACTACCGTTGCCACCGGGACCACCAAGGGAACCTGTTCTCGGACATTTACGCATCATTCCGCAATCTCATCCGGAGTATCAGTATACAGAATGGGGAAAGGAGTACAGTATGGATTTTCTCACGTTCATCATGTTCTTTTAGTCGCACTTGCTGACTAGACGACCATCAGAATCCGATGTGCTTTATTTCGACATTCTGGGCCGGCCGATCGTTGTCCTCAACAGTGTCGAGGCATGTCATGACTTACTGGACAAAAGAGGGTCGAATTATAATGATCGACCTAGATTTGTGCTTTTTGAAGTGTAGGTCTCCCTTTGTATCCCAGTCGATAGCCAATGCTGACGACTGTAAAGCATGGGTTGGGGCATTACCCTGACGTTCCTTCGATGGGGAAAGACATTCAAATTGCATCGGAAGCTGATGCAAGCCTCTTTCACCCAGTCTGCATGTAAAGCATACCGACCGATCCAAGAGCAAGAAGCACGTCAAGCAGCTAAACACATTTTGGCCAGTCCCGAGGATTGGGACTCACTCCTTCGCAAATTTTCGACAGCTGTCGTCTTGCGCATAGGCTTTGGTCTCGGCATCACGCAGAGGCACGACCCTTACATTCAAATGGCCATTGATGCGGAAGAGGCGACCGGCAAGGGTGGTGTGCCAGGCGCTTCTGTGGTCGACTTCTTTCCTATGCTGAGATACCTCCCTGGCTGGCTCTTCAGGCTAGGCGCGCTGGAACATGCCAGAAGCTCGAAAGTCTATATTCAGAAATTACACGATGCGCCATGGAATGCGACGGAGCCGGCAATTCGAAGTGGCCACGCAACTCTTCCTTCCTTTATGCGGACACATCTGGAGCGCTACGTCAACAACGAGAAGCATCAGAAGGTCAATGAAGCCACCATCGCCGACATTAAAGGTGCAGCCGGGGCAATTTCTATCGCTGGTGGGAATACCACGTGGTCGACATTAATGGTGTGCATTCTCAATTTAGTACTACATCCGGCCATCCAGAAGAAAGCCCAGGAACAAATCGACTCGGTTGTGGGTACGGATCGCCTCCCCTCGTTTGAAGACCGAGAAAAGATGCCGTACATCGAGTACATCATTCAGGAGACCACCAGGTGGTATCCTTTATCACCACTCGGCGTGCCTCACGCTACCCTCGAAGATGACATGTACAAAGGCATGTTCATCCCCAAAGGTAGTGTGGTCTTCGCCAACGCCTATGCCATGACACACGATGAGCGAGTATACCGCCATCCGGATGTCTTTGACCCTGATCGCTACGTACCTGAAGACCAGGGAGGAAGGGGAGAGCCTTTCCCGGAAGGCCCGTTTGGGTTTGGGCGCAGGGTTTGTCCTGGTCAATGGCTGGCAACTGCAGGAGTATACATCATGCTTACGACATTGCTGGCTACAACGGACATTTGTTGTCCAAAAGATGACCAGGGTAAGGAGCTGCCGCCCAAGGTGATGTTTACAAACGGGCTATCCAAGTGAGTACCCTTGCGTTACTTGTGTACAAAGGGAAGTCGTTGTCTAATTTGCAATCCCTAGTGTTCCCGAGCCTTTTGAATGTGTGATGAAACCACGTTCAGCAATAGCTGCACAATTGCTCGAGGTGGCGGTGGAAACTATGTCCTGACCTTATCACAGTCAAATGGCGGACGAGGGGTGTTTAAGCCACGATCATAACGGAAAAATCCAAATGTGATCGTTGAGGAGTCCGGACATCTTCTGTAGATATCATGACTTGATGACTTTATCTAGCTTGCACGATGGAAAGCCACGTTCAAAGCACACGCAGCATCATTCATTAGTTGCTTTCCTTTGGAGAGAACTCCTGCAAGATAAGTTAGCTTCATGTAGGTGTAGAGAAAACGTTCCCTGGCAGAAAATATGGACGCCTACCATTCATGGCCAAGATTGTATGTGTCATGCCCTCGTATTCAACGGTCTCAACGTTGACACCTGCGCCACGCAACTGGGCTGCAAACAATAACGCTTCAGGGGCAAGTAGATCCTGCTCAGCAACAGCTAGCCAGGTCCTGGGAACTTTCGTTAAGAGCTGAGGAGATGCATGATTTGGTGAAGCATCCCAGTTCAGTGCCTGGCTCGGATCAGGCAGGTACATTTTCCGGTACCATGTCATGCGAGCGGGCGTCAGCCACGGCGCTTTCGCCCTCGCCGCCCAAGTAGTCTCCTCTGTGGCTGTATTGTCAATAACGGGGACAATAAGGATCTGGAAGATGATAGGTATAGACGTGGGCAGCAGTGAGGCCTTGAGTGTAGTCACCACCGAAAGGTTGGCGCCTCTGCTCGAGATGTTAGACATCTCCTGAACATGGTCAATAGGCATACAACAACATACGCAGAAGTGCCTCCAATCGCGATCTTGGTTGGGTTGATTTCCAATACGCGTCGTCCTTCATCACTCTGCACCCAGACCAGAGCCTCAAGGGCATCCTCCACCGGCACAGGGTACGGATGTTCTGGTGCTAGCCGGTAGCCAACTGTCACTACCACACAATTCGCATCTGTACTCATACGGTTGTCAGACACTGGACTCTCCAAGCAGAAATACAGGAGAGCTCTACATACCACTGCACATCTTTGTACAGAAATCGTTCTCACTTTCGATGCTCCCAACCGCCCATCCACCACCATGATACCAGACCAGCACCGGCCAACCAGCAGATGGACGCTCTCCATACGGCCAGAAAACTCGCACTGCAAAATTGCTTAGGTCAATTGTTTCTGTGCGCGAGATTGGAGAAGTCTCTAATGATGGCACTGGAAGCCGCCGTGATCGCGCTTGCTCTGGATTCCATGGCCTCACGTCATCGGGTTCAATGTATTGAATGTATTCGTCATGAAACGCAACATATTCTGCATCCAGGTCATGCCGAATCTGATCATCTAGAGGCTGATAAATGGGTTTGCTCATGGCCATTTCCAATGCTGTGTACAATCACGCTCGCACACAGAGCAGGTTCCGCCGAGGTCTTGTGTGGAATGCATAGGCAGACTGTCACTTCGATTTGGAAGCATCGCAGTACTAGTGTCATATTGGAGGCGCAATGTCTGTATCATGCGGCAAGAAGATCTGTCAGCTGAAAAACGTCACCAGAGTCAGTCGCATGCAATCTAGGACTTCAGGCTTGCTGTGTGCAAATCTACCATTGCCGGCAACGAGACTCCGGCAAAGCCAAAGTAGCTGATAATGCGACCTTGACAGATAGTGATCGGACAAATCCGCTCAACCAGTTCCTTCCCCCACTTTTCCCCCGGCATGGCTAAGTTAGAATGGCCTTCATCACTGGGTTCAGACAAGGCTGAAGATGTTAACAGGATATCATCTAGACGCTTCACTCGTAATCCGCAGGGTCACAGACCAAACATGTCGCAAACAATCAGTCATGCAGCCGCCAGTTCTTACAGCCAGTCAGGCTTCTCGAATCGTATGGGATGGGGAAGCCGGCCGGCCATTATCTTGATTGATGTATGCAAGGCATATTTCACGGAAACTTCGCCGCTTTCTCTCCTCGCAAACCCAGCCGGTGCTTCGTCACCAGAATCAATGCGAAAAGTACTCGCAGCAGCACGCTCAGGCGGAGTACCTGTGGTCTGGACCAAGGTAGAGTATTCCAGGACCGACATGTCGGATGCCGGACTGTTTTGGCAAAAAGCAAAAGTCCTGAATGTCTGGCTGCAAGGGGATTCGAGAGGCTTAGCAGAATGCGTACCCGGACTAGAGCCACAGCCGGACGACGTCGTTGTGGTCAAGAAGTATCCCTCCGCATTCTTTGGGACTTCCCTGGCCTCGGAACTACAGGTAAACCCATAGGCCAAATACGTCAATCTGACTCTTACAAGGCCCAGTGCTTGAATGTCGATACGCTGGTGATCTGTGGCGTGAGCACATCTGGATGCGTAAGAGCGACTACTTTGGATGCCATGCAGTACGGCTTCAGACCTATGGTAAGCTGGCACCAAGTGCTACTCTGCTTGAGATAAAAGTGGTTAACATGCATTCAGGTGGTGGGAAGTGCATGCGGTGATCGGACCCCTGAGATTCATAACTCCAATTTGTTTGACTTGGATGCCAAATATGCAGATGTAGTGGAGGAAGCCGAAGCTGTAGCAAAACTAAAAGCTGGATGGCCTTGATAGACACTTACTTTCTTTTTGAGTTCAACAACCGTGATTGGCGATCAATAGACATGTCCCTTTATGCAGACCACCTGTCAACTGTGAATGCCAAAATTGTTTGGATTTCCAGGTAAGATTCCTCTCAGAAAATCAATATAGACAACCAGCTGCAGGGCAAGAAAAGCGCCGTTATGTCAACCGTCTAAGGAGTCCTATCCACTAGCACATCTCTTTCGCCGCCAAAGCCCCTGTTTTCTTTCCGGCCGGCCCAGTGGTACGTGAATTCAAAGTGTGCTCCACAATCCTGATTCTCTTTTTGTCTTTTTCGTAGTCCCTGCTCTTTGGGTGTCTGCGTTCCAGCAAAAGATTCATTGTCCACAAAAATGCCAAACCAGGATCTTGTGCCTCAAAGCTCTATAGCAACGTCTGAGAAACGACCATCCGGAGAGCTTCCGACCATACAGAATGATACCAGCAGTCCGACTGCACCAGAATCGGTGGCCGCGGCATACTGCGTATACGAGAGAAAGACCAAATGGGCTCTGGTGGCAATGGTTGCCATCAGTGGCTTTTTCAGGTACTCGCATCTTAGGCTGGAATGAATAGCGCCGTTGCATTGTTGACCGACAACAGTCCCTTTCCCGCCAACATCTATTTTCCAGCCATGCCAACCCTGGCCAAGACTTTCAATGTGTCGCTCGCTTCAATTGATCTCACTGTCACGATATACCTGGTCATGCAAGGAGTCTGTAAGTGTCATGTGAAAAGCCCCCAGACCATGAAATTACTGATGCGTTGGTCTCTTTTTACTAGCCCCCATGCTCTGGGGCCCGTTGTCAGATCGATACGGGCGCAGGCCTATCTTTCTGATATGTTTGGCCATTCTGGTCGCTTCTTGCATTGGTCTGGCGCTGACTCCGACGAATGCTTACTGGCTGCTGTTGCTTTTGCGAGCAATCCAGGCTGGCGGATGTGCCAGCACAATCGCTCTAGGTGTGTACTAAACGTAGCGCAAATGCTGGGTGGCTGACCACCACCAGGAGCCGGAGTGATAGGAGATATCTCGACACCGCAAGAGAGAGGGGGTTTCTTTGGCATGTTCAACCTTGGACCCATGGTCAGTTTACTACTCCACAGGTGTATCAGGTCCTTACTTACTTACATCTCCCAGCTCGCGCCATGTATTGCCCCTGTGTTGGGTGGTGCATTGTCGGAGGGGTTGGGTTGGAGATCTATATTTTGGTTCCTTACCATCTCTGCAGCCGCGTGCTTTGCCATGATTGCTTTGTTGGTTCCATTGCTCCCTTCTCTTATTGATACCATCCTCTGATGCGAGAAACAGACTTTTGCCAGAAACCCTGAGGAACTTGGTTGGCAATGGGAGTATCGCTCCACCCAACGTCCTACATCATGCATGGTGGAAGGTCATTCGGGTTGGAACACTCAAACCCATGACTGATAGCGGTATGGTGGCCGGTCGTCCATCTCCCAACGTGTTGAAACTGCTTGTCTACCCGGACGTACTTCTGACGCTGTTCTACACTGGTGTCGTGTATGCCGTCAACTATACGATCACCGCGACAATCTCTTCATCTTTTGCCAACATATATCCTGAATTATCAACGACCTCGATAGGATTGTGCTACCTTGCCACTGGGGGCGGAATGATTTTGGGATCCTCCTTGACAGGAAAATTGTTGGATCTCGAATATGTGAGGATCAAAAAAAGGCGGAATCGGTGTGGTGCAGAGAGCGATGAGGCAAGGATTGGATTCCCCATTGAAAAAGCTCGATTGAGGTTGATGCCCATTCTCTTGATAATCTTTCTTGGATGTGTCATATCATGGGGCTGGTGTTTGAAGAAGAGGATTTCAATCGCCGGACCACTGGTTCTCCAGTTCATCCGTAAGCAATTCCAGAAGAAGGTCAACCAAGCGAGATACTGACAACCTCGCAGTTGGATACACCTCTATCGCAATCCTTAATGCGACGATGACGTTGATGATTGATATTCTACCTGCGCAGAGCTCGGGGATAATAGCATGTGTAAGTCACGAACAGCTTCGTCATGGATCGCGAGGCTTATGCATGTTCACAGACCAATCTTGTTCGTTGCTCGCTGGCTGCTGTTCTGGTATCTGTGATTGACAGATCGACGAACTCCATTGGCTATGCATGGACGTATGTGATCCTAGGTGGGCTGTGTCTTTTTCTCCTGCCACTGATGTATGTGGAGATGAGTCACGGTCCCCAATGGCGAATGAGACGAGATTTAAACCAAAGTCAATAGAAGGCTATGTGATTTCGGCAACCAGTTCCGCTGAAAGAGATGGATGAACAAAATGTTCCTGTAATGGTTCATGACGGACAAAGATTGGTGGTGGTAGGGTTTGGGAGACGACGCCTTTTAGAGACGAAGTAAGTCTATGAAGCTCAAATGGTGATTGACTCCAGATGAACCCCATCCTTTCTGAAACTGAAGTGGTATTTGAAGATTTCCAATGGGCTGCACACCATTGACCTCGAAAGCGACGGCCAGCGGGATCCTGACGCACACATGGTCAATGATTTCTTCTGGACGATCTCGTTTGGATCTGCCATTCACATCGATCTACACATGACGGCAGTAGCGCAGAAGTCGAAGAGAGCAGGCTGTTCCGTTCCCCAGAAGCATGTGCTCCTCTGGCCGGATATATGGCCCACCAGATTTGCCACACAAAAATAGGATCAGGGAGTTTTTCCAGCAAGACATCTGCCCTGATATTGCTGGACGTAAAAGAACTGCGCAGATACAGCTACGATCCAAAGGCCCACAATGTGAAGCGGCTACGACTTTGTCTGAAGTTGTGTTTTGTTTACGATATCGCCCTGGTCAGTCTGTCGGTCAAGGAAGGTGAGATCGGGGTTTCTTGCTGCGGGAATGTCATAGAATTGCTTTTGCACTATGCTAGTGGTTCACTGGGCTTCTATGCTGTTCTTGATGTGTACCCCATTGCGCAATCGAAGAGCTGAGCTGCTCAGCACTTCACCTGCTCACATAGCCAGCCGTGGGTGTTATTTCAGTGGCTATCCAACTCACACACTGATTCCTCTCGGATCTCCACGCCATCGAGTCCTAAGATTGCCTCAGCATGTCACAATATCATGTTTCAGCTCATCACTTGCCGTGATCGGTTCGTATGTCTGACCCTGTCCATTAAACCGCTTCGCTTCTGGCACTAGTAGGTGAAGTGTGTGATCTCCCATTCGGCTTCATGCCTCATACATGAAAATACGTTGGTGTGGCCTACCACGCAGCTGGGGAAGTCCGCAGCGTCCTTGCTGTTCCCATACCCTCTGTATGCTGTCTGCATGACTCATTCGTGTGTGACCTCGTATGGAGAAAGCAGATTCCGCCAGGTTTCGTTGGTTGCTGCTCGTTCGGCTTTCATGTTTTCAAAAAATTCCAAGAAATCGGCCTTGGTGATTGCGTTCAGGATACGCTCGCGTTCTGGAACCACGTCGCCGGTAGAAAGACCCGAGATTGCTGCAGCAAGTTTTGGCTCAATGCGAGTCTCAATGTAATTACAGAGAGCTTCACAACGTGCTGTCTGAGCAATGGAAGGCCATCAAATCGAGCTGCAACCACGGACCCGACTGTATCCCCGCTCCAGATGCTTCCAGACGACGCAAATCCGTTCGTACCACAAAAGTTTCGGTCGATATAGCGTCTGCTCCGTGGGTGTGGACCAAACGTCATAGAGGTAACGTCTCGCATGAGTAGCATAGCTGCCTTGGTGCGACGACTTTCGCTGGGTTCTCCGAATGGCTGTATTAGACGCAGAGAAAGTGGGATACCTAGCAGGTTTGCGATGCCACTTCCTCCTGAAGCAAATATGCTATCGCAGCCATCGATGACATGCTCAAGATACTTTGAAGAGAGATTAAAGTCAGCCACATGTTGAGGACTGACGCATGAAGTCACAAGGATACGCTGATCTTTGAGGTGCGGCATCTTCCCGCTACCGTCACGGTACCACCAGCTGAAATGGTCGGCGGCAGTTCGTGCGTCTCGCGAGTCAACATCCACACTCTTCTCCATGCAATCGCCAAGCTCGACTTTGCGCGTAACCAGAATTGGACCTCTGAAATTGGGTGCGCAAGCCTGTCCGCGGGTGCAAGCTCTCAAGCCGAGGTTAGGAGGTTCCATGACGTTAAGATCCATATGCCAGAACTCCAGTCCAGCCTCTGTATCATCACGCGTTACTTCGCGAGCCTGGATGGGGTTTGGATCTGAAAATAAGCCGTGACCTCCAAAGCCTCCTCCGAGGTATGGTCCGAAGTCGGAACAGTCCCAGAAAGCGTCGCCCTCGTGCTCGGTCCAAACCTCCATCCAGACATACCGAGCCTTTTGTTCACCACCAGGATAGAATAGACCGCGTCGGTGGAAAGCGTCGGGCTTAGTTTCTTGATTGAAGGTAGGACACAGGATCTTGTGCTGCTTCCAGTCCACTTTCTGGCAATCTGCGCCTTTGTCAACCATAGCACTTGTCGTGCCGCAGGGCCTTGCTTACCTGTTGAGCAATATCGTGCATCTTTGCATTTCGCACAGACTTTCGTACCTCGCCGAGGGCACATGATGCAGGTCTCCTCAAGCTCAATAACACCAGTACTCGCTATGTTGAGGAAGACGGGCGTATTTGAGGGAATCACCTTGCTGGTGAAGAGGTAGGTGGCTGAGGAGTTGAACAACAAACGCGAGGTGCGCCAACAGTGGTCGATGTATGGAAAGGCACTTCGCGTGACTGTTAGAAGCTCCTCTCAATCGTCGCTGCCTCTGATGAGGCCTGGAGAGCGGTCAGCGAGGGCAGACAATTGGCGAAGAGATGAAAGGCACCTGCGAAAATGATAAACAGATTTGAGAATACAAAGGATCATCTAAGGTGTAAGTGAAGTGAAAGCAGATCAGATCATATACCGCCTGCCAACTGGACCCGCCGTCTGCAACTCACCTGCATGTCACTTCGTGGTATCTTTCACACCATTTTACTCGTTGCCCCGTGGCTGCTTCTCGCGCAGAGTACACCTAGGGCGTTATTGTCACTACAACACCCACCTGACATACCGTCATTTGAGCAGCTCTGAAGAGCGGAAAACTGGAGCCCAAACGACATGAATCTAGAACGGATCGTTCGTCATTCCCTTCATGCCGCTGCAGGTCCGCCAGTTGCCAACTTTAGATCCCTATGCAATCGGAGCCCCTACCTATACTGACAGATCTTGGGTAAGGATATGCAGAATTATATTGCGCCTAGGGTTTGGCAATAACAGCAAAAAATAGTGTACAATAACGTCCATCACTGGGGATGCAATTGATTGCGTCGCCTGTTTGTCCGCTTTGTCTCATTGCCGCTGTCATTTTGAGTAGCTTTCCCAGTCCCGTTCCTGATTCCAACAAGCAATAAAATCCGACATGTAAAGTCTTTAGAAGCCTGATCGCTTGGCCGGTAGCAAAGGATTGTGCAGGGGATGGAGGTTGGGAGAAGTGAGAAGTAGTTGGGTTAAGATTTCTACCCTGAACTCGTCGCGCAAGGCTGTAATTGAGCTTAGAGCAGCGTCACCATTTTACCTGGTTAGGCGGCGGTTCGGTGCCAGATTCCCCGAGGATCCAGCTTGGCAACACGTTGCTTCATTGCGACTGCACTTGGGACTTCCGTATTGCTGCATGGCATTGACATAACAAAGACACCCTCCAAGCAATTAAAAAAGTCCGCTGTTTGCAATAGCTACATTCTGTCTACCACTACCGCATAAATATTCAACATGGCCAAGAAGCCTGTCGCATCTTCCGCTGCAGCGAAAAGCAGCACCCCCGTTGCCGCATCTAAACCACCTCCAGCCGGTCGTACTGCCTCTGGTTCCGTTTCCACAGCTTCCACTCCTGCATCAAGGCCCGCACCCCAAAGCTCATTATCACCACGATCGTCACCCCAGGAAATCATTGTCCATGTCTGGAATAGATACCTTCAAGATACCCCCTCGCGGACGATGTTGCTAGATGTCTTCATGGCTTGGCTAGTGGTTGTAGGAGGTATTCAGTTCTTATACTGCGTTGTGGCAGGCAACTTTGTACAGAGCCACCCGTCGTCCTGGATAGTTCAATGCTAACATGTGAGACAGCCTTTCAATGCTTTCCTATCCGGTTTCTCGGCCGCGGTTGGCCAGTTTGTCCTAACGGCGTCCTTGCGAATGCAGACATCTGAAAGACCTCCGGCTGGAGCATCGACCGCAGCGAAGAAGACCACCAGCAAGACTATTGACGCTGTGAGTGGGGAGTTGGTGGAGAGTGGGAAGGTCAGCACCGAGCGAGCTTTTGCGGATTATGTGTTTGGAAGTCTAATACTCCATGGATTCTGTGTGAACTTTATCAACTGAAAGAGATGGGCTGTCTCCCAAATGATGAGGTCAAGTGGGAAAAGTGAGTGGCCATACTTGCTGGGCAAGGACGGAATCTGCCAGGCCCCGTGGACGGTGTTTGGACACGATTCAAAGACCCAATGAATCCCAACCGCAGCAAGTGGCATATCATTCAATGCTACGAAGCACATTCATTTTCGGTCGATGCAAGAACTCTGCCAGATGAAGCGCAAAGCATTGGCCTGTTCCAACCTGACTCAGAGAAGTCTATGCATCTACTACACTGGCTATGACTTGGCTCTTGTATTCTAAAACCATTCCAGCGACCTTTGAGAGCGAACCGATACGGTGCAGCAAAAGAAAACCTGTACATTAGAGCCTGGGGGCGTTCAAGACGTGGAAAATTAAGGCTGTCTGAGTGCCAGGCCAAATAATGGTCAGAAAAAGAAAGCTAAACCTCTTTCGGTAATCACTTCATATTTCCTCTTTCGGCATGGCTTCACGAACCCCTTTCTTCCTTCACTGAACTCGTAGGAATTGGCAAGGCTATCTGCCATAGACTAGAGGCAGGGAGATACCTAAAAAGAGGTCCCTGTGCATCGTACCATGGTGACATCCTGCTCAGCTGACCACAGTCGGCGACCAGTCATTCGAACAATAAACGGTAAGCAACATGAAACACCGCCCCTGGAAGCGTTTCACCATGCGCTCGACCTGAGGTAGTGCCTTACACACAAAGCACGGCGATACCACTCGCCTCCTTGCTGGTTTCGAGGAGTAAGCAGCATATGAATAAATCTGCTCTGTACCAGCATTCTCTCTGAGACTTTGCGTGACACTTATCCAAGATGTGGCGAGAGATGAGATTATCATTCAATATATTCGCCTTTATCACTGTCGCCTCGGCGCACCAGGATATCTTACAACCCATCACCACAAACTACGCTCCATGGACACATCAGCCAGTTTGCACAGAGCATCTTGACGCCATCGACAGTCCGTTATGCGTATATACGAATGCAACATTCAGCAACGGGCGAGGAATCTCCATCTTCACCACGCCACAGATCGCAGAAGAAGTGGCCGAACTCCTTCCATTGCAAGACCCAGCAATCCTCGCCAGTCATGGCGTCAATCCAGACGAGGGTCCATGGCACGTCCGAGAGCTGCCAGGAAAAGGCATGGGCGTTCTGGCGAAGCACGACCTCCACAGAGGCGACCGCATCACTGCGTACACGCCCTGCCTTCTTGCTCACATGGAGAACGTCCTGTCCACACCGGAGCGCGAGAAGTTCTGGCGAATCGCCATCGATCAACTTCCTTGCCACAGTAAAGAGCACTATCTGAGTCTGGCGACAATCTACGGCGACCCAAGCGTCGTGAACCAAGACGTGGTGAAAGCCAATGCTTTCGAAATGCAGCTTGGCGGCCAGATGCATCTTGCGGTCTTCCCTGAGACGTCACGAATGAACCATGCATGCTCGCCCAAGTACACATCCTTTCCGACCTGACCAAGATCGTTGTCCTAACAATCCGCAGTGCCCAGTATTACCTCGAACCAAGTCTATTGGCGCATTTTGTTCATGCAGCGAGGGATATCTCGAAAGACGAGGAGATCACAATCTCCTACGCACCGCCTATGCAACCTCACAGGGCTCGTCAACATTATTTACTCGACGCCTTCCATTTCACATGTACTTGTTCACGGTGTCGCAATGGCAAGGCATCGGACATGGCTCTAGAGGAGATCGATAATCTCCAATCTAGCCTTGGGGATTGGAGTGCCGATTCGACGGCCAGCGTAAAGAATGCGGAGGCCTTGATACGAAAGTACAAGGAAGAAGGGCTGGATGCCTTCCTCGATACAGCGTACGGCCATGCCGCGCTGACGTATAATGCTGTCGGGAGTGTCCGGGGGACTGAGAAGTACGCCAAGTTGGCGGCTGAGGCGGTAACTTTCAAATATGGACCGTCTGCAGCGGAGCTAGACATGTGGAGGGAGTTGGAAAGCAAGCCGCAGCGCCATTCTAGCTGGCGGCGGAGGAAGTCCATAGGTTAGCAACTTGCGTGGCCTTTGTTGGTGGTTTCAGTGATCCTTGCTTCTTATTATATTATGCGTACAACATTTGGCTCGGGGTCGATGTCACGATTCACTGTGGCCTATGGTCACTCGCTATACTACCGAGTCCATGGGGTGCTTGTCCAACGAAGGCTCTGCGGTGCCAACACGAGTGTGGGGGCGTTGAGACTGTCGGTCTATGTTCCGCAGGGTCATTGCTTCGTCCCATTCAGCTTCAAAACCACCCTTCAACTCCATAACCCGCATAATATCGAGAGCCTCTTCGGTCGTCTTCCGTCGCTGCACATAAGCTGTCATGTATCTCCGCCAGGCGTCGTGTTTGTCCATTGATAGTACACGATCAGGATGGGGTCGATCACCGACCGATCCTCCCAGTCTGGGTGAAACATCATCAGTCGTCGATCTCCATGGTCGTACAGTAGGTTCATCCTTCGCCTGAGACGTTTGATTAGTATGCTCAGCCATGAAAGATTTCTCGCTTCCGTCTTGGACATGCTGCTGCACTTTGCGCAGGACTTGCTGAACGAGCTTGAACACATACGGTGGGTAATATTGAGGATTTCCACCCAGCATTTTGTTCTTGAAGTACTCATTTTGAATTGACGCGATGAAAAGGATCTTGTCGTAGATCTCGTATAAGCCCCATGTGACGATGAACAGGAGGAACACATTTCTGTGGGAGACACCGCTAGTTTCCACGTTATCAAGCCACAGAAACAGGAGGTATAACCCGAATCCAACATTGAACAGTGTCACCGCCAGAGTCAGTAGATTCCTTGACAGCGCGATGACCTTTCCAGCAGTGATTGCGCTTTCAAGGGGTAATTTTGAGATTTGATCATTATCATGCAATGCTTGACTCATCTCGAGCATCTGGTCCTGTAGCAGTGAAGGATGCACCCCCATTTTGATCAGATCCCAGTCTGGAGATGGCCCCCGACTGAGCCAAAGTCTGATCTGGACCGGAGTATTCAGCATTCCCACAAACTGGTATTGCCCTGTCGCAGCGATAACGGACATGATGCCCAAGAACATGCTCGACACACAAAAGCCTCTCGCTGTCCAATGGACAGCATCCATGTTCGGCAGTTGCAATGCACTCAGACCGACACTCGCAAAAATGGCGCCCTGTGCATGGAAATCAGATATATCACAGAAGTTGTATGGTCACCTACGGCAACTGCGATTGCATTAGATGAAGCAAGGTGCGATTCCTTCCAGGCCAGAACCTCCTCGTCTGTCCACATGTTGATGTTCCACTGAGTGTCCTGTAAAGCGTCTGTGTTCACCAGGCTCGAAAGAAACAGAAAATCGCCCCATATTGATCCAAACCGCTGTGAACGGTAGTTGGAGCTCAAGGACATGAGAGTTGCGAACCACTTTTGAGCAAAGTCGTTGTAAACCCTGAACCATTCGCGGAAAGATGCTTTCGTGGCGAAAGGCATTGTCACTACAGGTAGTGTCGGGGATAACAACGTCTACATATGAGCCAAGAGAGTAAACGCAGCAGGCTCACGTCTGTTTGTCGTTGAAGAAGGACTGAAACGATTTCAACAAGATTTCCCTCTGTTTCTGCAGCAGGTCATGGGCGTCAGCGAACAAGTGGTTGAGATCTGGCATGCGCGAGAGGAGGAGAGATTAGTCGTGCATTTGAAAAAGGAATGGGTGCGGCTGAACAGAAGGCAAACGCTTGATGTATGATGTATGATGCACGCTGCCCAGCCCTGAGGCTTGCAACCTGGGCGCTAGATGACCTCCTTGAGTCGCGACAGGCGCCACGCATTACAGCAAAAGGACAAATCTTGTTCCCTCAAGCTAAACCGTATCTCGCGATCGCGAGTCGATAACAAAGATAACGAGACGCACTTGCAGTCTGCAGGATGAGGTAATAACAAGCGCGTTCGGTTAATGAATGGGGAAAAGTGGTAAGGGCAGAACGGCAAGCCCGAGTATAGAGTGCGAAACCCGGAGAATCAATGTTCCATCCCTATGTTGCACTGTACAGTGTACACACATCTCACACGGAGGTAAAGGTGACCCGCATCCAGCGAGTATTGTAAACATATCTTTAGGAAGTGGTAGGTATACTGGGCACCCACTAGGTGGTATGTATCTTGGTTGGTAGCTCGCACTACTCAGTCTCTGCATATCTCGTGGGTGGTGGCATGGCTCAATAATGGGAATCGTCATACGCCAGTGAGCGGACTCATCCGTTCTATGGGGAGACTGGAAAGCAAGGTCGAGGTAAGCCTAAGGAGCCCACAGCGCCATGAGCACAGCGCGACAAGAGAGCGGAGAGTGTTGAGTTTGGTGCACTGCGCCAACCTCCGAACAGCAACTTTGATGTTTTGGTCCTCTGCTGATAACAGCGCAAGTGTAGACCAATCGCTCTCCTCCGTATGTAACCATGAGTCTTCTATTTCGAAACGTATATCCAAGAATCTTGTCTCCCAACAAGTCAAACCCTTAATGAAGGGTCGACGACAACATGCTCGACATCCATGTACATGACTGACGAATGAGGTTCCCTGATATCTCCTTCATGATGGGCTCAGATTTCCAAATCCAGTTGATTCGACTCATGGTGATGGCTCCCGGCTATCCTACACTCTGGATAAGTCTGCTGCTCATGACCGTAGCTTTCGTTTATGTGAGTCCCGGGTTTCCTCATTCGCACATCCCCAGTAGAGACTTCGTTACTAAATCACCGCCCAGTGTGAAGGATCCAGGACGAATGTTCCCAAAATCCCCGGCTTGCCCATGGCACCGGGTTCGCGCCCTTTCACGGGGCACCTGTCGTACCTCGGGGGCCGCCGCAAGGAGAATGACGCGACGGTGTTTTCGCGCTGGGCACGCCAGCTCTCGACTCCGATCTTCCAGCTACGGTTGGGTTCGCGGCGGGCCGTCGTCCTGAACGACTTTGCCTCTGTCAAAGGGGTCTTCCTCGGCCACAGCAATGCCCTGATCAACCGTCCTCCGCAGCCGGGCTTTTCAGACATGTTGGGGCTGGATCCAACGGGGAGCCCTATGACGGAGAGTGTGCGGCGATGTCGACAGGCTATCATGAGGGCACTGGGCAAGCCCAAATGGCCCGGATATTACACGACGCTGGAACCTACGAGCCGGGCCTTGATCGCCAAAGCCTACCGTCGTGGAGAGAACGGAGTCCAACCCGTCGACATCTGGCACCCTCTCGTGAGCATCATGTTCGATCTCGCCATGGCTCTGACGTACGGGGCCAGGCTGTCCGACCTGGATGACGAATTCAGCTCCACCTTCCTCGAGGCTCTCAACACCATCACGGCCATCCGGAACACGACCCGATACTACCGCCACTACGTACCCCTGTTGCGCATGTGGCCAGAGAGCGGCAGCGAGATCAAGAGGGCCGACCGGGTCAGGAGAGCGAGGGTCAAGTACCTATACGAGCTGTACCAGAAGCGTGTCTCCGAAAGGGGTGAGGTCGTCAACTGCGTCATCCAGAGCCTCGGCGCCGACAAGCTCACCGACGAAGAGATCCACGCCAGTTGCATGGCGGTGTTGCAGGCCGCACCCGAAACCGTGGCGGGCGGCGTGTACCAAGCCGTGGGCTGGCTTTGTAGCCCCGATGGCTTCGAGTACCAAGGGAGAGCGTTGGCCGAGATCCTCGACTTCTACGGGGGCAGCCGAGACAAGGCGTGGAATGAGGCCTTCAAGGATGATGTCCCAATCATTGCCAGCTTGACCAAGGAGACACTGCGCTACTTCCCGCCGAGCCCGTTCGGCTTGCCCCGGGAGACCGTCTCCGATGTGCCGTTGAAGTTTGCCCAGACCGAGTGGAAGATCCCTGGAGAAGTCACCGTCTATATGAACACTCAGGAAGCCAATCTCGACGAGTCCTGGTACGGCGCAGATGCGAAGGTTTTCAAGCCGGACCGCTTCTTGGGGGATGATTCCAGTCTCCCCCATCTCGCATTTGGCGCCGGGAGCAGGATTTGCCCGGCCATGGCAATTGGAAACCGAATCACGAACGCGTTGCTGGTGAGACTCCTGCTCGCCTTTGAGATGAGACAAGCCCAGGATGGCACGGCGCCGAAGCCATCGCTCGATTGGAAAGACTGGTCAGATATGCACGATAGTCTCGTCACGATCCCGCGGTCGTTCGGCTGCTATTTTGTTGCGAGAGATCCACGTTGGTTGAACAGCATACTCGGCGACAGCGGCATTACGGCCTCGATGTTGTGATCGTGGATCCTTTGTAGTCTGGTGTCATGCCCTTTGAAAACAACCAAGTCGACCCAATAGACGGCCACCCTAGTACCAATGAGAAGTGTCTCCTAGCCCGACCAAGCGTGGCAGCCAAGACCACATACACACCAATGCCGCTGCATCCTCGCCTGAGAGACAGTAATAAGGTAGAACGTGTGGGATGAAATAGGCGATAAACTGTACGGAGTATGTGGGAACTTCCCCTTCGGCCTCCGCGCCGATTAGAGGTGGATGGCGGGTCCTTCACCGGGAGCCATGATACGAGATGGATAAGTCTTTGCTCGTACATTTGTCTTCCGCGTTTGATCATCATCCAACACATGACAAGTAACCCGACACTTCTTCTCCCCACCACAGCAACCATCCCTTTCACCTTGAGGCCAGAAAGGCAACGGCGCATCTCATTATGAGAGCGCACCGGGCCACAGCCATTCCATGCTCGCTCCAGCAATCCGATCATCCCAGCATTCTGTAGCACATTCTAGACCGAGCGTCCTCCGCCCTCTCCGAGGATGTCTACGATTACCACCACAGACATCAGTACTATCTAGACACAATCGACAACCTCCTACACGTTCATGCTCATTCCCGGTGGAACAATACCTCAACCTACGCGCGTTCAGTGCCACGACAGCCTACCAACGAACCCGGTACCTCATCTCCGAAGGCCGCACGACGAATCCAACAAAAGACGACAACACTTCGAACCATCCGGCCCCTTCCCCGTTCTACTTCGAGACAGGCTATTCCATCTTCGCAAAGCGACCCTCCCGTCCGTTCCCACCACCATTCGTATCTCCCCCTTCAGGCTCCTTCTCTGAACCTCTTACACAACACAACCCCCCCCGCGGCCGACGCCCGTACGTCAACGGCCAACCACTCCGAGGCGTCACAAACGGCGACGATGCAATCATAATTGGCGATGCTAACTTCATCGCGGTCGATGACGGCGTCGGCGCCTGGGCACAGAAAGAAAGAGGCCACGCAGCCCTTTGGTCCAGACTTATAGCACATTTCTGGGCCATCGAGGTGGAAAAGTCCTTCCAGAAAGAAGACGTAGACATTTCAGACCTGGACCCCATCCAGAGTCTAGAAGAGGCGTATGCTCAAACCAAAGCGGCTCTCAAGGGTACTCTAAAGGACGAGGACATAGCGAAAGACGACAGGGAACCCGCGAAGCCGCCCCCAGAGAATAAGGATGGCGAGCCCAAAGTCGAACCGCCTGGTGAGAACGACATCCTAGGCACCACGACCGCCTCGTCTGCCCTGCTTCACTACAAATCCTCCGGTTCATCGCCACAGCCCGTCATCCTCGCCACAACGCTAGGCGACTGCAAGGTACTCATCATCCGGCCTTCAGACAAATCCGTCCTGTACCGCTCCAAAGAACAGTGGCATTGGTTCGACTGCCCTCGCCAGCTCGGCACGAACTCTCCCGATACGCCGCTCGACAACGCCGTCACTGACACTGTCGACATCGAGCCAGGCGACGTCGTGGCGGTCCTCAGCGACGGCGTCACCGACAATCTATGGGAGCACGAGATCGGCGACACTATTTCCCAGTGCGTCGAGAAGTGGACCTCAGGTCAAGACGAGGCCAAAGATGGAATCGTCTACGTTGCACGCACACTCATGAACGCCGCACGCGAGGTCGCCGAAGACCCCAACGCCGAGTCACCCTACATGGAGCGCGCGTTTGACGAAGGTATCGCCGCAGAAGGTGGCAAATTGGACGATATCAGTGTCGTGCTCGGGATATGTCGGAAGAAAGAGTAGCATCTACGACACGGACGTCATGTTTGCCTGGCACAACGGGGCCAAGATATCATCCAATCTAATGAAAAGCAACTTGCACTGGTTTGTTTGAGCGATGGGGAAAGCAACTGGATTTTGGATTGGATTTGATTGGGTGTTCTGGAGTGTACTCTTGGGAACCACAGTGGGAACTGTAAAAGGGCGTACAGTGGAATTTGAACTGTTTTGCACAATGAGTATGATGTAGGCGAACATGATACCAGACTTTTATGATCACAACTCTTCCAGATGAGAAATGAATTCCGCATCTCGTCCGTTAATAACCACTCACCTAATCTCGTGCCATCATCTGCTGTGGAGATGCGCAGCCGCTCACCACAAAATAATACAACCAGCCTCCATACTCTCCAATTGACAAGGCCAGTCTCTTCTCTCTTGCGAAAGTGCGGAGGACGTTCCTGAGGTCTTGCTGTGACGCTTTGCACTAGGCTCCCACACTTTGCACTTCCGGCCAGCAAATGCGCAGAAACATCCTCGTGTCAACGTTCAGATCCGATCACCTCGCTCCGGAGCAGTGTTCTTGTCGTCTAGAGTCTAATTGCATACTTGGTGGAAGTTGTCGCAAGATCTCATTGAGATCTACCCCAACTCATGCTCTTCGGAGGCACTGCGAAGCAGATCGACTTTATGATAATGTGTCGTGAAAATGTAGCTAGCTATATAGCCCATCAAATGTGCCGTCAACGATCGCGGAAAAGGGCCTGAGCATGCTGAGTTTGAACACATGTTGAGTTCAATCTAACTGTCCGTAAGTCTGGTATCGTGCTTTTCCCGCTCAATGATCAACCACTAAATCTGAATCTCGTCGCTTCCAGCCTGCCAAGTCCTTCTCTAGGCGCCACGTTCCTCCTCCGATATGAATTTGTAAAGTCTTGCAACAGCACACGAACTTTTCGTGGCTCGTTCTGCTGCAGCTTGTCGCTGATGCCTTTCATAAGTCGATTAGCTTCGGCAGGTTTCAACGTTCCCGCCGGCAGTAGTTGCAATGTGCCCTGGACCCATTGAGCTGCAGGCTCTGGTGCCAGATTGAACAATGACAGTAGCACTCCAGACGCATCAGGGAAACAGTCCTCGGGGAAACTGAACATCATGCCTGTCAGAACTCGATGAACAAGTTGTTGTCCGGTACTGTTCAGGACCTGTTTGACTGCAGCTTGAATCTGCGCGGGATTCGAAGCAGTAGGTTCACCATTGGGACCGTTAAGAAGCGAGATAGGTGGCTTGTCAAAACCAAAGTCTAAGAAGTCTCGCAGGAAATGTAGTGAAGCTTGAATCGGCTCCAAGGACTGCAGAGTAAGCGCCGTCAAGCAGGCCTGCACCATAGGGAGGGAGAGGTTGGAAGTAATTGTTTTGTTTGGATAGAACCGAATTGCATCCGAGGCCAGACGGAAGAAATCTTCAATGACATCCGGAAGCTCAACTGGCTGCAGCTCGTTCAGGATCTTGAAGAAAACTGTTGCTTGTTGAGCAAAGAACCGGAAGATGTTGTCGCTAGTTGACTCATCCACAAATTCGGCGCCATAGGAAAATTCCCGAATGACTGCATCGGTTGCCCAAAGAAAGCAGCCTTGCCGTGACGCTTCGAACCCTTCGGCAATGCTTGATGCTAGTGTGCCCAACAACGGAGCGGTCGCAGTCCGGTAGGATATGACCATCACCCGCCAACATTTGCAAACACGTTCTAGGATCGGTATGGATCGAGTGAAGTGCTTAGCAATGCCGGAAAGAGCTGGGAGTATTTCCTGGCAATATTTCACCGCCGGATTTGGCTCGTTCGGGGAGACATATGGTTGTACCCATTCGAAGAAGATGGTCATCAGCCCTAAATAGTCAGCAACAGTCTTCTCAGAATCTTCGTCCTTGGCTTGTGAAGCCAACTGGATCACTCGGTTCATGACAGGATCGCAGAACATTTTGAGTGTCTCGTAGATCTTCCCGACCGGCTGAACTGCAACAACTGCTGCAACCCCTTCGGTGACCTCTTCCTGGCTTGAGGGTTTTAGTTTGTCGATGACACTCTCGTAGAAGTGGTGCAGTTGTGGTATGTGGTCACCCAACAGTTTCTGGCAATCGGTGCCTAAGAATTTGAAGGCCAACGCCGATGCCTGAACGACCTCCAGAGATTCATGACTGAATCCAGATATGACATAGTTGAGTTGTGCCTCAAGCGTCTCCGGATGCTGTGCAGTCCATTCAGTGTAGCGTGCCAGAGCCATGATTGCCTGGAATTTGAGCTTCTCATGGTTTGGTATCGTTGTGATAAGAGGGATGAATTGAGGAAGCACTGAGCTTTCTTCCGCATTCACCATGCGGCCCATTGCTCTCAAACTGAATAAAGGTGCTTCCAGTTCTTGCCAATGTGGGACGTTTGTGTCTGTTGCTTGTGAAGCATACTGCTGGCCCCAGCTCTGAATCAACGTAAAGGCTTTGGAGAGACATTGTGTCACGCCAATGACCTCACAACAATCTTTCAGGACGTCACCCATGTTGTGTCTGAAGCCGCGAAATTTCTCCTCTTGTTCCCGGTCCCCATCGAAAAGATCGTTTTCATTGCCATCTTCTGGCGTCGGGAACTCGAGATGTTTGATCATAACGTCGACCAGTCTCGAATATAGGTCTGCGAGAGCGGCTCTCGCAGGCATGTACTTTTCCAGGGTAATACACTGTTTGAGTTCGTACCAGAACACAAACGTGATTGAAATCGCTTCACGGTCTTTATCAAGCATACAACATTCCAGAACACACTCGACGAGATCTCGAAACTCTCCTGGTAGACGGGCGATGAGCACAACCCACGCTTCTCCGGCCTCTGCGAATAGTCTCGTGATGCCTTTCATCAAGTCATTGTCTTCTGTAGCAGCGCTTTGCTGAATCATCGGCCGCAGACGGATTATTCGTGGATAAAGAATCTTGATAACGCTGAGTGATTCATCGACATCTCGGGTATCTCGGAACATAGTGCATAGACAATCCACCGCGGCTTCGAAGGAGTCGCTATCGTTGATGGCGTCTATGATCTCGTTCAGCAGGGGAGAGTTCACAACGTCAATGGTCGGTATCTCGCGTAGCCAGGACGCAATGCAGGAGTACAGGCGAGGGTTGTGCGTTGCTTGTGCTGCAACACCGTGAGTAGCCACACCAGAACGAGGGTTGGTGTCACTTACATGATGATTGCGTATAGGAGACTAAAAGACTTAGGACCTGTGCGGAGTTATCCTCAAGGAGTTCCTTTGTCCTGTCGGCAAGTTCCTCTTCCTATAATGAAATGCTGTATTAGACTGTGATCGGTGGCCAGGAAGGTGTTGCTGCAAAGCCGAGCATCAGATGTGGCGTGGTCGAACATACTGAAAGGTTGATTCTGCGGCCTTCTGTGACCTCTTCTGGTAGGATTCGCAGGAAGTCGAGTAGACAATCTCCGCCCTCACTACTATTACCAACAGCCGAACCCACTGTATTCAGAACGTCTTTCCAAGTTGTCATCTGTATAGCCAAGATCGCCAGGCATACACATATTTGTGTTCGGATCGGCCGCGGACCACTGATATATAGCTGTAGGAGGGAGAGTAGTGAATCTCGAAGTGGCGTGAGAGCCTCTTGGGGGAGTTGATGAAGATCATATTGAATCTGGAACGATCAGTCTCAGGCTCCTGCGCATGTTTGTGTCTTCTGACCTTTCCCTTGAGTGTCATTGCAGCAAACAGCTTGGCCTCTACCGGCAGCGAAGAGTTCTGTAACATTGAATGTGTCGTGTTCCACGCTTCAGACTGCCGCCGAATCAGTATGGACTTCGAAGAGAGATATGTTTGAACAGACCGATTTCTGAAAGCTTTCAAGATATTCATGAGCAGCAGTCTTCTCGTCCCCGCCCACATTACTTTGCATCGTCGATAGCGCCGTAAGTACCGGCGTGAAGCCATCGGCGCCACCTGTGTTTGCCGCCATGGTGGCTGCGAGTGGGATGAGAGGGGTCGGATAATGGCTTGAAGCCTTGATCAGGGCGATATTGTAGGCCCTATCATCCGGAAAATGAGGTCGACAGGACTAAAGATCGACCAAGCAAGAAGGTGCGCTGCGCTTGAGACAGGAGTAAACAAAGGAGTGTTGTTGCGCTTGAAGGGTGAATGGTTTAGATGACCTCAGTTTGGAAGGATTCTTTTATGGTTTGGCGCAGTTGCCCACTTTGCAGCCAGCCAGCCTTTCCTCCGCATTTCCTTTCCAAAAGTCGATTGCTCTTGCGACAACCGCGAAATTTCTTTGTTGCAGCATACATCAAGCCAACCAACACGACGACCTTAGATCTCACACATTTGCGACGTTGAGAACGCAGTAATTTCAACCACAGACCAATTCAAAACTTCCGAACACGATGACGGGCCGCGGTGGTGGTGGTGGACGCAAAACTCTTCTTGCGCCCATTCATTTCATATTCAGTCTCCTACAAAAGCGATCAACGGTCTCAATATGGCTTTATGAAAACTTGCGCACGCGTATTGAGGGGAAGATCAGGGTTGGTGTCTGCGCCCGACCTCTGGAGGTGCAAGCTAACAGCCACGTAGGGATTTGACGAATTCATGAACCTTGTGATTGATGATGCGGTCGAGGTACAACTGGCCACAAGAGATGGTGCTGAAAAGAGAAGACAGCTAGGTAAGGCTCGGGACGAAGTTCTCAACCGGACTATGATGCTGATCAGAGTCTAGGACAAATATTGCTCAAAGGAGACAATGTCTCGCTCATACAGTCTTTGGATTGAGCAAAATGTTTTTTCCTCTACTACGGGATAAACAGTCAAAAAGTCTTTGGTCCAGCACGACGCACGAGAGCAGCTTCGAGGAAGCATAAAAGAAGTCGTGTTGTGGTGATATTTTGGCACGCAACGCTCACGTTTCAGCTACTACCACCTCATCGACCAACCAGTCGTTGTCGTCTACGGGGATGTTCTCTCCTGGTAACAGCATCTGCTGATGAAGAGCAAGTCCAACTAGGCAGCAGTTAGCCGTTGCCGTCAACGGTCAAGATGGGATTGACAGCTCACCCAGGTATGGCATTTTCCGCCGGGCTTCGCTGGAGTCAACAGCGTTCTTATAAGTCGAAAGATAGCGGTCATAGAATCCCTTGCCGTGGCCAAGACGTCGATGAGACCGATCGAAAGCTACTGCCGGCATGAACATGAGGTCAAGATTTGAGACTCCCTTCTGGTCATGCGTTGATTCATCCGAGACGCCGATCCCACCGAGCGCGTTCTCCCTCTGATCGACCGAGTCCTTCGAGAGTGACGGGATACCCCAGGCGTCGGGCTTCAATGACTGAAAATCATCCTTATTCCGAAGTTGCAACATGTCCATGACTTTCGACTTGGGCTCTCTTCCTGCATGTAGATATGGCACGAAGACAGACTTTCCGTCCTCAAAAGCCTGCAGCACGATATTGCCCGTAGATACCTCTTTGCCGGGCATTGACAAGAATATTGCTATTGATTTTGCATTCTGATAGGCCGGCATTTGTAGGACATGCTTCGTGATGATGGCCGCTTGCACCATCAGCTCCGAACTACTTCATCTTGTGGGGTGTCCTACACTGCCTTTCGACTTCTTCGGGCTCGAGCTTCTTGAGGCTTTCCTCAACACGCTTTCGCAGCGACGTTTTCTGCTCCCTAAGTGACATGGTCGACAATGACCGGACGTTCCATGCGTACGACCTGCCCTTCATCGAAGCTCGGGCGCTCTCATCATCAACAACGCTTTTGTAGTTATGGTGATGCCCACGAGCATATGCCAAAGGGATGAAGTAATGCTAATAGGCGTCCGTCAAGTGCCAGCCTTGCAGTATTATGATGATCCTCTGTGGTCTTTTCTATTTTTGCCGTTTCTTGCAGCACCCTGTAAACGACGAATCAGGGTCCCGGGTCAGCGGCGAAATTGCCCAGTCGGAGAATTGTGCTGCCCCTAAGGCTTAAACCAGCCGCAGCACGCCTCCGCCGCGTCAACTCCAGAAGACTCAGGGTGAGCAGCCTCCAAGATCAGCGACCCAGACTTGAAACAAACACAACCTGCAGTTCTCATATTGTTCACTCCCTCCATCACCCATCACTCCAAAGACATGCAACGATGATCCCATCAATACAGACTATCTTCGCCCTTTCACTAAGTCTAGCGACCACTCTCGTTGCCGCGGAGTATGATTCCACACTCGTGGGCACATGGACGACCAAGTCCAAAAAGGTCATAACTGGACCGGTACGTCGAAGAGTGCCTCTAAGTCTCTCGAACGCTCACTAATTCGCAATGCGACAGGGTTTCTACGACCCTGTCAACGATAAACTTATCGAGCCCGACCTCGCAGGAATCTCATACTCGTTCACCGACGATGGATTCTACGAAGAGGCTTACTATCGCGCCGTTTCAAATCGTAAGCCTCCCTCTTTGAGGCGTGTTAGGAACATTGACTAAGGTCTTGACAGCAACAACACCGAAATGCCCCTCCGCCGTCATGCAATGGCAGCACGGCACATACTCCCTCCCAGGCAACGGCAGCATAGTCCTGGAGCCCTTCGGCGTCGACGGCCGACAACTCACATCCTCGCCCTGCGAGTACTCCAACGCAATCTACATCCGCTACACGCAGTCCGAGCTGTTCAAATCCTATCAAGTCGAGACAGACCCTTACCACAACGTCCAGAGACTGAACCTGTATCAATTCGACGGCTCGCCCATGCAGCCCATGTACCTTGTCGCATCGCCCCCAGAGATGCTGCCCACACAAACGCTGAACCCGACAAGCTCGGCTAGCGCGACGAGCAAGAGTCGTGCCAAGAGAGCCGATGGAGGTGATGGGGACGATGCCGAGGAAATACTCAAGCCGATGAGCAAGAAGAATCTCAACTTTACACCACAGGAGCCTTACAATGCCGATCGTTGGTGGTGGGCCGGTGTAGGTCTGACTGCGATGGGCACCGTCATGTACATGATGCCGACGTCGTTGTGAGAAGGCAAATGGGGAGTACCACTTGCGTGGGATGACTATGAACTAGCAAGCGACGAAAAGATATTTGTTTCAAATTCAGCGTTCAGCTTACCCTGACAACTGCATCACACTTTAGCACAAATTCTTTTGGGCTGAAAGGTTTCGGGACGGAACAGGAACAGGAGCAAGGGCATTTCATTGGCGTATATGGCGTTTGCTTCTTGGCTTGGGCGCATGGACGGGTACAGCGCAATGCTCGAGCGAGGTCTCAGAGGGCAATGAGTTTGTAAATTGCAATTCAGAAAGGACAATGCACATTCTGTGCTGGAAGATGGCCCGGAGTTGGTGCTCAAGGACAGATGCAGTTGTTCCAGAAAACTGTGAGCCCGGAAAGGTGAAACATCACTGGTCTTCGTGTATTCTTCATACTGCGAATATATATCCATCATCATCATCATCATTCCTTCGCTCTCGTGGCATGATCGTGATGTTAAACGTCGTTCATCCTGAATCCCTCCTTCTTGAACTCTTCAGGGTCAGGAGTGGCAATGATGCGGCCATTGACTTTTCTGTAAATGGGCAAGGACCGTTAGTATCAGATCATTGCGGATAATGTTTGCCCTAGATCCAATGAGAGAGAACAAACGGGAAAAGTGCTATGCGGCACTACTGTCTACTTTCCTTAATTTCAAGTCGTCGATATTGACCTTTTTAAGAGTGCGGACCTGCAATGGTGATCAGCATCTGGCAATTCCGTGTCTGTACGTACAGTTGCTGGGAACGGGAAATAAAGGAGAAGTATTTGGACAGCTGGCGAAGCTCAGATCATCTGCACTTACATTAAGAGCACGATTATCGGCAAAGAAATTCGGATCACTCGATTTCCCACCAATGCTTGTTCCGCAAGTAGGACAGAAGGTGTGATGAATCCGCTCCTTCCCGAAACTATACGTTGTCATTTCGTCGAAGCCGCTGATCCAGTCGATATTGGAATCAAGAGGATAGACCATCAAATAGCCGTTGGTATGGCAGATAGAGCCTTGAAAAGGGAAGTCAGTCGTCTCATAGACAACGAACCTCGAGATGAGGAAGAAGGCAGCTGGAGGACCTACAGTTGCAATTCGTGACCGGGCCATCCTCGATAGGAGGAGAAAGCTTCACTGTGAACCTGGTGGCCGTCAACACGGCAGCCTACTAGAAATGGGAAAGATGCATACTTGATCTTCCCACAGTGGCATTGCCCATCATAGGTTTGCGATTTGGGTTTCGTCGGACTGACTGGAGTGTTGGACATATTGTCTTCAGGGACTCTTCGCATGTTGCCTTTGACGGAGTCAGTGACTGAAAGCACGATTGGAGCTGCCTGGTCGACTGTCTGATTGAGTCAGGTCAATGAATTGAATCCTGACCTCACTGTCTTCTCTCGTAACAACGATCTTATACTTGCCTTGCTGCTGGCGGTCAAGACCACTCCTCAAGTTCCCTTAGTCAGTTTCCCCGGAAGCGGTCTAAATTTGGTCCGTGAGACAAGGGCACTTGCACGTGAGCCGCGATTCTCTTCAGGTAATGCAAAAGACAAAGAGTACGCCACCGGATGCAGTTGAGGTCAGAATAGTTTCTTTTCCGGCTTGTGCAGCAAGGTCAGGCAGCAATGTGCTTCAAGATGAGGAGAGAGTAAAAGGGCTGAACTCTGAATGGGTGCACGAAAGGCCAGATGCACTAGTCTCGCAGCTTCCCCAACCTGAGCGTGGAGAAAAGAGGAGGAATGGACAGGGCCCTGGAAGGCAGGTCCAACCAGCATCTTCTCCCTCCATGTCTGCTTCAATGATTCATAGCCAGATGCCCCTTGTTTCACCCTGGTCATCTGCCTGGTCCTTTCAGATTGTCTTCATGCTGCACGTTTTGCAAGTCTCAGGGACTCCAAGGTGCCATTGAGCAGTGGCACCTGGCTCATATTTCGGAGCTGAAGATGCCTCCGTATCAGGGTCTAAGTCATGCAATTGGGAAGCAGTTATGGCTGAGGGCAGGTATCGTACCAACAGAATCTCGGATCCTGATTCCCCAATGGCACGTGAAGCAAGCTCCTCTGGGGCGTGTGCATGAGCTTGCGCCCGAGGAGAAGGGAAGAGTGGACGGAAGAGAAGGGCAACGGCTCGATTTATCAAGAAACAGGGAAGCGAGAAGTCGATAAGTAATCATTGGCTCGCGCAAAAGGTATCATCATTCAGGCTCACCAGGGGGATGATGTGATGAAGAAGCATGCTTTGATGCAGTGACATTGTGATGATGAGCTGATTTGACCCGTGGGTAAGCGGTGCCTCGTGGCTTTTGGTGGCTTTGCCCGGAGTGTGTGACGAGGGATATAGATGTCATGTCGGAAACAGCCGATATTGAGTGATACGCCGATGGGGTTGGGTAGCACATAGATGTCAAACATGCGCTATGATGTGATACTGAGGCGAAGGTCGGACGACTGAAGTCTGGGGATGCTTCGGATGGACACAATGGTTGGCTCATTCTCGAAGTATCACGAGCCCATAATAGCCAGGGTACGAGAGAGAGTGAGCAAGCGTGGGGAAGCAACATCCTGTACGAGTACGCATTGACTCACAGGAGCGAGGGCTAGTCACGGCTTCATAATGCATTCCATCATTCACGAGGTACAAGGCACGCCTGATGGAGGGCAGCTGCACGGGAAGCTGTCATAAAGGAAGGAAGGCATCGGCTCGGGAAGTGGACGGGAAGTCAAATCGTTTCGGCGGGCGCCACGCCTATGAATCGAGACCCGTTTATAGCTGTAAGTAAGCTTTTGCGAACTCTTGAAGGAAGTTACCTTTACCGCAGGGTCGCCTCCGGAGCCATTAGAGCACTGCACTACTCGTTTGTATATTCCTTCTCGAGTCCTGCTGCGAAATCAGCTCGATTCCTTGCATTTCTGCATTTTCTGGCGGTGTGATGAGAAGAGAAAAGAAGAAGCAAGGCTCGTTCGATCGGTCATCGCCGTCAGTACCCTAGCCTATTCAGAGGCCCTGCTACCCAACCCTCCCTGTTCGTAAGCCCGTCGATTAGCCTATCTCGTGCCCGTTCGCTAGGCAGCTAGTGCCGACTCCGCTCCGACCGATGAACCACCCCTCTTCCTTTTTCAACCCTCTTCTTCCTCACATCGTAGAGTACTTTACCTCCCACCATCCCGCGCTCTCACATCGAATCATTTTCGATTTCTTCACCTTATGGTCACTGGTTCTGATGCACCATGTTCCGCCCCACGGCACGCTCAGGACTACTCATTACCAGATGCATTTAGACTTGGAATGACCCTTTGTGCTATCTCCGTCAGAGGCAAACCCCAGGCCTGCTAGGTACAACTTCGCCGCTCTCCGTCCAGAAGCAAACGAATCCACCTGGTACTCTTCATCTCGCCAAATCCCTCCTCGACTCGCCTCATTAGCACCGTCAGACCGTACGGTCTCGCCACAGTAGGCCATGAGGAGCAGCAAAAGCAATCAGCCCTCTACCTATCTCGCAAGAGCCTTGCTCGCTGAAGTCACCTGAACTGACAGATTCTGCTCGGTCTGGATTCCCTGCATCGAGGACCCCGTTTCGAACCTTCCACTCCTCAATTTTGTCGACGTATAGTGCCGTTCTTTCCTCCCAGTCATCCCTCGTGCGCATAGGCATTTTTCGGGCATCGGTCATACTTGAGCGCTCAGATCTCTTCAAAAGACTGGCAGTGCCAATCGATACAACCCAATCGTCGCAAGCCGGCTCGTTTCCAGGTGGAAGACTACGTAGCTGGAAACGCAACCCAATTCTCGCGCTCTTCGTCTCAAGCAGGGCTGTTCCCACATCCTGCTCAGGACGCTTTCCTCTCGGTACTTAAGTTCCCCTTCGACGATGCTCAGTGCCCCATGCAGTTCCCCGAACCAGGCTATCGGCTGCCCCTGAGTCAAGATCTCTCGGCTTTTGGCTAGGTCACTCCTTATCAAATGGCAGATACCGAAACTGCCTACGATACTGAACAAGATATGGTTGTGAGGAAAGGCTCTTTGAATAATGGTCTGACTGGAAAACACGGCGGCGAGCGTGGCTCTCCCGCGCCAGCGAAGAAGAAGAGGAGGGTTATCAAACCAAACCCAGACAAGAAATTTGAATGCAGACATGAAGGGTGCGGTAAGAGTTACTCTCGTGCCGAACATCTATACAGACACCAGCTGAATCGTGAGTCATTCTCCCACTGAGCCTCACAGCAGGTACTGACCGGTGGTAAGACACACCCAAGACCATCTATCGCTGCGACTATCCTGAGTGTAGTCGGTATTTTGTGCGGCAAGATCTTTGTATTCGGCATCGGGAACGACATACAACACATGGGTCTCAGTTACACAAAAGAGATACATTTGCTCAATCAACATCTAATCCTACTGGTGCCCCAGCCCCTGCCCAGCCTCAACTTGCTCAAGCCCCAAGCTATTCGATGCCTGCCCCTGCCGCAAAGACGCCTCAGCAGGAGCAGAGGTCCGTTGTCGCAGCATCTGTGTACCATCGTGATGCTGGCAACTTCAAACAGCACTCTCGTATCTCCAGCAGTACGATATCGCCGTCGACAGCGACAAACGAACCCCATTTTCAGCCTCGAACGCCTCAGGCCGTCATAGCCAGACCAGAGCCAACATTGCATCGAACTAGCAGCACCGGTGATACTGCCCCAAGCCCAACGCAAAAACAAGAGCCTGCTTCGTGGTCTTCTGTTTCACGCCGCCAAAGCTTTAACACTGGAGATATGCAGAGGGGACAAATCCAATATGCAGCGCTACAGTCCCGAGAGTCGTTTTCGGGAAACGCAATCCCGCAATCTCCCATTCGCCAGTACTCAGCATCATCTGCGGCCAACATCGTGCCAGTTAGGTCGAATTCTGACACCACTCTCGAGAGACAAGATGGCTTTGTGCAGCAAACGGATATGTCGTCCGTTGTTGCATACTCCTCTGCGGGTTATCCACCTGTTGGGGTATCGCAGACAACGGACGCCGCATTCGCCGCGGCTGTCTCACATGGCTTGACCCGGGCAGGAACATATCCCTATCCAGGCATGACCAGTGGTATGCCTCATATTGATATGAACCCTGGCTACGGCTTTCCCATTTTTGGAGCTGAGGAGTTTACTCAGACACCTTTCGCAGTCGATGACTTTACACAGTGGCTGTTCAATGATGCCAACTCTGGCTCCAATGGTTTCTCGCCTCCCAATTACGTGCCAGGTTATAGTGGACACGAGCAGCCTCAGATGCAGGGCCCATACACTTCCCAGAGCCCTTCGTCTAGTGGCACCTATCCCGGCAACCCTGTGCAACATTCCATGAGTGTCACAAGCATCCTGGAGACCACCACCACAAGTCAATACATCATGTCAGAGTCTAAGCGCCACGAGCTTCTTGACATTATGCAGACACAATTTGTCGAGCGGCCTCATGATGCTGTTAAAAAGCGCAAAGCCTCGGTGTTCGAAGGCGATATCGACAGTGATGGACACATCTTGAGTCTGAGGATGATGCACACTTACATTGGCTCTTACTGGTATCATCAACATGCGCAACTTCCAATCCTGCATAAGCCTACCTTTTCTGCCGACCAAACCTCCAACTTGTTGCTCCTTGCCGTCATCGCGATCGGCGCTGCTACGTTGGACAAAGCATATGGCACATCACTGACAGATTCCGCAGCTGAATTTGCCAATTTCGTTGCCTGGCATATTAGATGGGAAATTATGCGTGACGCTGATTTTAGACCACCAGCGAAACTATGGGTGTTCCAGACCTTGCTCCTGATTGAAGTTTATGAGAAAATGTATGCTACCAGGGCCCTGCATGAAAGGGCTCACATTCACCACGACTCTACCTTGACGTTGATGCGACGAGGTAGTTCCCTTCTGGGCCGTTCAGCGTCTGACTCACCACCAAGTCTGCGTGGAGAACAAGACAACGGTCGGATGTCAGTGCCTTTCTCCGGGAAAGAGACGGTAAAGTCGGAAGAGTCGTGGTATCGTTGGATAACCACTGAGGCAACTCGCCGTGCTGCCTTTGGAGCCTTTGTGATCGATTCCATACACGCCACGATGTTTGGTCATGCCGCCAAAATGGTTGCACATGAGATGCGTTTACCTCTACCGTGCGATGAAGGTCTTTGGTCTGCTGTCTCTGCTGCAGAGGCTGGTCGAGTCCAGACATCGTTGCAGACGAATGGCGTCAAGCCTATCATGTTTCTCGATGGGTTGAAAAAGACATTGAACGGTCAGAGAGTGCGTACAAACTCATTTGGTCGCACTATCATAATGGCGGGTCTTCTATCAGTTTCATGGCATATGACTCAGAGAGATCTACAAATATCCTCCCTTGGACCACGCACAGCCAATTCCTTCGGAGGTCCGGACAAGTGGAAGGCCACGTTGCTCCGAGCGTTCGACAATTGGAAACGTGACTTCGATGAGGCATTGGCTGAAGCAGCGCCAACGCCTGCCTCACCGATTCGAACGAACGCTGGTCCATTCCAAGGTTTGCTTCCGCCGGTCGATGACGAGAATCTTTTCGAGTCACGCACTGTCCTGCACCACCTGGCACACATAGCTGCGCATGTTGATGTGGTTGACTGTCAGGTCTTTGCTGGTGCCAATCGTCTTCTGGGGCGATCCATCACCCCCAAGGACTACAGCGTGATCCGCGAAAAGATTGAACGATGGGCAACAAAGGCTTCAGCACGGGATGCTGCATTCTACGCACTGAAATTCATGGCTCAGGTCTTGATTCCACCTGATGATCCGATAGACGGCATCAACCGTCGTCTATATGGTCATGCCAGTCCGATTCTACCTCAAGCATTCGAGCATAATCAGTACATCGCTCGTGACGATTTTCTTCTCAACCGTCCGTGGGTCTTGTACATATCAGCCCTGGTTGTTTGGTGTTACGGGTTTGCGCTTGAAGGTCCAATCAAGCCGCCGCCAGCCGCAGAGGATTTCGTTACGTATAGGCAAAAGGAACAAGATATGCGCGACTATCTTGAGCGGGTGGGCGGTGTTCGTGCGCCTGACGATCTTGAGAATGTCAAGGGCAAAAATCGGTGTTTGGGTCTTCTGATGATTCTCAAGGAGTCCTTCGAAAGCACGAGATGGGAGTTGACGCATGAAGCTGCCGGTCTTTTAGGAAATGCTTGCCTGAAACTTCGAGGCGTCGAGTCGCATGACGCCGTCGGCCCCAATACCAGTGATCTGTCGAGGTCCGAGGTGCCCCTTGGCGGTCACAATGGCTATACGAATGGATACTCCCAACCCGATATGTACGGCGATAGCAGCCGGGATCATCTCACTGTGGCGAGCGCAGCCAAAGTCTAGGCCGACCGAACTTCCCCTGCATTCGGCTCGGCATGCACTCTGGTTGATGCGGGAACGCACACATTCTTCCCCAAGGGATAAGCTATGTCTCGAGTTTGCTTCTGTCTTCCTGGACCAACGAGTTGCTTCCTGGAGGGTTTGTGACGAGGAAACGACGGGTGTTTCTGTGTTGAGCAATGTCTTGGTATCATTGCGATGTCTTTGTTCAGTCCTTACCTGGATATGTCTTGATTGCATTGGTCATTTTATGCGCGTTCGAGCAGGCGGCCATCTGATACCCCTTCTGTTATTTGTTGTTCTTGTTTGGGTTGGAACGCTTATCGGCGACATTCTGCGGTCGCTCTACCGACAAATCATATAACATAAGGCTGTTTGATACTTTGGGCGTTCAGCATATGATTGGAGGATCGACATGGTACGGTGACAGGAAAGGGTAATCGGCAAGCCAGGGGCCAAGGATATGGACATGGACTTGGACAGGGAATGGACAATGGAACGACATAAGTGAGCAGGGACTTTGTGGACTGCGCTCTAGTACTTCTCGAAGGTACACATATTGCTTCTTGGTATACATGACATTCTTTTGTCAGTGAACTATCTTGGACGAATATGCCTGTGACTTGCCGGCAAGCACCTGTTTACTTGCGTACAGCATTTCACAAATACTTTTTGGTATATACAGTACAAGGTTCAACTTCGTGAGTGTAGTCGTACAATAATATAATCGTGAGTGGCGTGGCAAGCGGAGTGTGATGGTAAGATGTTTTACAGCCGTGGCTGCTCAATGACGACTACGCCTGGATCCCAACATGCAGGATTGATGCAATAGAAGCTGAGTGAGTGGCTTCGTGGATAGTAAGGAGACAAAGACAAAGCAGCGCGCTCTGCTTCTTTGTGCTGATAACGCCAGTGAACATAGGGTCTGTTGCGGCTTTGCACAAAACAACGTGTCGTAGGTGATCAAGACCTTGCTTGTACATGGCTCCAGGCCGTTGGTGTGGGCATCCGTTGATGACGCCCGAACATCGGCTGGGGAGACTCGGCCACAGATTCCCAATATAGGGAAAACAGCACGGTCGATTATAGCACGGCCTTTTCCTGGTCTTGTGTCATGACAACCCGCTCAGCGCGGCTGATCAGTTCTTCATAGACGGTCCAGGCCAGCGCCGAACTCAGTGCCTTCCTGCCCATCCTTAGCGCAAGGCCGTCAAAAAAGCTCTTGAGTCCGTCCTCCTTGAGCATGATCCTCGTCGCATTCACCATATTCCGATACTTCTTCGGCATGAGCTGTAGTCTCGTCTTGACGGCGTCGAAGGGATTCGTAAAGCTGGTTGCCAGTCCGGCCGCGATGACACCGCTTGAGGCGTTGATGGTTGCGGACGAGGCGAAGGACGGATTTTGGTCTGTTTCGCTCGACAGGATCTTGTTCAAGCGCGTCTTGCAAGCCTCGTAGAAGACCACGTAGAGTCCTGCATAGGGCGCGTCGCGGACCGCCGTGGCGCCGAACCCGGAGAAGAAGCCCCTCAGACCTTCGGATGCGTAGATGGATCGTGAAGCGGACGCGATTGATTTGTAGGCGTACAGGTCGGACTCGTAGCGCACTTTGATCACGGTGAAGGGCATCAGCACAAAGCCTGCGAAGACTCGTGCGCTGGCGCCCGCCATCAGGTTTTGTGTGTTGGTCAACTTGGGCAGGACTGAGCTGCTCTTTTTAACGGCGGCTGGTAATACATCGCCGATGGATTTTGTCGAGGCATTGGCGAATATCTGCCGGAGGGAACTTAGGGTCGTGAAGTACAGCGCTGAGCCGAAGCCTGTTCGAAGTGCAGAGGGTACAGTGCCTCGCCAGAGGCTCGCGACTGGGTGCGGACCTGCGAGGATCGATTTGAGAACGGGAACGAGGGAGTGTGACCGGGACTGCTGGACACGGGTCTTCAGTAGGTCGGCGGGCTGGAGGAGGACGGCGCTGGAGACACCGGAGGTCAAGCCCGCTAGGAAGTGGAAGTAGGGATGTGCTCTTTTCGTGCTCGAGACCGTGTTGGCGGCGCCATTGGACATGATCTGTTATGTCTGCTGCGCTCGGTGGTGGTGCGGTCAGACACTTGAGGTAGGAGGTTCGGTCCTTGACGGATCACGCAGCATCATCACGACGCTGAGGTCGAAGTCCGTCTATGTAGCTCATTCGGCGTCGAAGGGGATAGCAAGAAGACGCAAATGCAACGCATGCATAGACTTGACTTGACTTGACTCGACACGGAAAAAGCTCGCGGGTGCACTGGGCGAAAAAGCTTTGATGAAGTCATACTCCCACTACAGATACGATGGCAATACGAACTCGCCGGTCCATGCCGGAGCAAACTGGACCCCCTTAACATTCAGCCTGATCCGACTTCCTCCCCTACCACAAGATGCAGATCGTCGAGAATGCACACTTTGAGAGCGGGCAAAAGCACTGGAAGGAGTAGACTTGCGCCTTTGTTCTTTAAAACTGAGCAATGAGCAAGCATAGCTGTACTACAGCGCAGTGCCCGCCTCTTTCTTTGGGCCTCCTGCAATGGGGCATCCTCAATCCTGTCGAGTCTAGAACCTTTGCACTGCGAGTGCTGTGGGTGAAGGGAGTTAGTTCTTTGTTTTCTTTGTTTTCTTGTGCGATGATGGAAATGAGGCGTGGTGAGCTTTGTTTTCTTATTCAACCTCGCTTCCGGACCCCTTCGATGTCTTAACAAAGAACATCCAGATCCGTATATACCAGCTGAAACCCATTATCTTAGAACCTCAACTCAACAGCCAGAGAACACCTTCAGACACCGATAAAACCATTTTAGCCAAGTACTCCGCTGCCACGACCGCCATGCGTCCACAGGCACTATTCCTCCCATCCATCCTCCTGGCTGCCTTTTCCGGTCTGGTAGCTGGTCAGGATAACGAACCAGACTATGTCGGTACAGCTATACTGAAGGAAGTCTCCAAACGAGGATCGGCTCCTACGCCGACCTGTGCCACTGGCAACTTTCTCTGCGTCTACTTCGCTGGCCAAAGCTGTATCAATGTAAACGGCGGTGATACCTGTTGCGTGGACGGAAGTGGTATGTCGTCCGGGTAGCTTCCATTTCTTTGTTGAGGCTGCTAACAGTAATCTGCAGGAATATGCTCAAACGGATTTGAGTGTGGTACCGGTGTGGCCGCGGGTCGTTGTTGCCAGTCGGTACGTTACCTGCTCAGCATGGAAGATAACCGCATTTCGAAAGAGAATGACTGACAAGATCGTAGGGCATCACTCCTGCGCAATGTGCTGCTGCCGTCATCGTGGGAACCGCGACCACGAGACCTCCAGTGCCCAGTCCGACCAAGACGACCAAGACGAAGGCGGCGAAGCACACCACAACGAAGCACAAGTAGCCTCTCGAAATCGCCACAGTTCGACGGCGTGTAGCGTTGCCATTGGACTGTGCCGCCCCGAGATCATAGGCCTCACAGTGATGTTGAGTATTTTGCCTTCTGATGTGCAACGACTTATGGAGTCCAGGTATATTGTGGTTGGGCTCCGGTAGAAGAGACAGAATCTTGAACGCAACGTTTTGGAATGTTGCTGTTTGACGAGTATAGCCTAGTGTGGATTGAATTCATCTTCATTCATTCTGCGTCGTCGTTTTCATAACCTTCTGTCTTCATTTCCTTGAGACCTAGATCCTCCATCTCTTCCTCCGTCCTTTCGTATTCTTCAGTCTTGATTTGAGGATCTTCTCCAGAGTCGACGTTCTTCTGCACAAAGGAGTTCGCTAACGGGTCCTCGAGGGTTATCGTGTAGGGAAATTCTGCCTTGATAGCTTGATCGAGCCTATCAAAGAATTTGTCCCATCGATCTTTGGTCTCGGATGCCATGGAGTCGCCTTGGGCAAGATCGGAGACACCAACGTCGAAAATCTGGCCACGTAATTGGTCCCGCACCTGAGTGAGCAAGCCCTCGACGGTTGTGAAGCGGCCACCAAGTGTTCCAGGCTGCACTTCCAAGCCAAGGTCGTGGCTCTTCAAGACGCAGGACTCTGACTTTAGGATATCTCTGGACATATCTTCGATCGTCCGAATCGCCAGCGTGATACGCTCGCCCTTTTCAGGTACGGCCCCACCTGTCTTCACGTCGCTTGTCCGGTAGCCACAATGGTCACATACTGTGGCCATGATGATGACCTCTTTGAAATGAGGGATATTCGTTTTCTTCATGTTTACGGTGCAAGGTTTCGAACAAGCCGGACACTCGGTCTGCAATTCGTACACTTCGTTGTCGACAATATCCACACCTTCCATTCCGTCTCCGTTAGACCCTTCAGCATCGTCGTCTGCAACCAGGCCGAGTTTGGCATTCTCTGCGTGACTGCGCAAGTAATCATGTCGGCTGTACTTGGGCCCTTTATCCTCTGGTGAAGGCTCAATGAAGGAGTTCCCCGAAATGTCGTCTAAAGATACTGTCACAGGAAAGCCATCCCCCGCTAGCATTTTGCCTATCTTCTCAATGATAGATTCGAGCGCTGTGTATAGGTCTGGACTTGACTCTTTTCTTTCGGGTTGATCGAGTTCCAGGTCGGTCTTGATCTTTGAGATGATTCCTTCGAGATTCGTGAATTGGCCTGGTGCAGGCGGCATCTCAAGGTCAATATCTTCAAGCCTAAAGATGCCCGTATCGCTTCGAACCACTTGTCTCTGGAAGTCGCTCATTTTGTCTAACTTGAATGTAAATTTCGATCCCTTCTCTTGGATCTGACCAGCGCTCTTCACGGTATTATTTTTCCATCCGCAATGGTCGCATGAGAACGACTCGAGGAGAATATCCTTGAAATAGGGGATCTTGATGGGAAGTATCCGAGTCATGCCCTAATACCATTAGTGAACAGCCAATACCTCGAAGGACCAGGTGTGAATACATCATCGCGACAATTCATGCATAAACTCTCGATCTCGTAAACTCCCGTCTCATTGGGGTCGGCCTGCACCACCTCAGGCGCTGCAGTACTTGACATTTTGGCGTTGAACAGATGATGATGCTCCTTGTCCTTCGATGGAAATGTCTTGTGAGATAGAGGTTGGAGAGGTTGTTTTGTTCCTTTGACTCATCCAATTTGTAATCTGCGAGATGTTTCTCGAAATAAAAAAATTCCGCAGGCGCAGAATGACGCAGAAAGGGCCTGAAGGCGGCGTCTGCCAAGTCAACCTGATTGCGGGGTTCAAGTTGCTGCTCGGGAATGGCGGGAGAGCTAATGCAACCTAAATCTTCAGCCTTGGAGGGTCGCCGTGATCGCCTAACTTTGGGCCCCGGGCACGAGTAGCCTTATCGAATTTCGCTTTTGCCAGCTTCATCGCTTCATCAAATCCATCAAATTCAGGCCCCGAGAAGGCTTGTTCTGCGCGCTTTTGCTGAGCAAAGCCTGCAGCCCTTCACGGTCTTTCCTAGCTTTGGCTCTTCGCTTACTGGTGACTTTGCTAGGCTGTTCCGCAACCAACTCTTCATGAGGGACGGCCTCTTCCTGTTTCGCCTGAAGCGCAAACGGTTTGGTGAGTGATTTTCTGGACGTTAGCTGAACCTTCACCACGTCTTTCGTGATTCTGTTGCATGTGGAACATCGAGAAGACACAACTCTGTTTCGGAGCTCGTCGGGTTTCGAGGTACCATCTGTGCCACGCTTGACCTTGCCCGTCACGGCTTTCGTGTCACTTGTCCATGCTGGTACGAGCAAGCTGCCGCATGCTGTACACGCACCCTTGATTCGTACTCGTTTTCTCGCAGTGCCAGACAGGACAACCTCATTCCTCTGGGCTGACAAATATCTCGATGTGGAGGGGCTGGAGAGGAATAGCATGCGAGCAGATTCCTGTAGAAAACCTATCCGGGTTTCCTGCATGTCCATTGTGAGACAAGGCTGTAACCTTCCTTCCCAGTTGCCAGAGTCGTTCCCCGACTGGAACTTCCCAAGATCCGTTGTCACTCGATTATATCACTGTAAATGACATTGATGGTAGTGAATGTAGAAATCAGGAGAGAGGTCAGGTATTTACAGTCGTAAAAGCGGCACAGCTTACTTGCCAAGGATTTTATATCGAGTTCTGATCGCCTAGAGCCAACCACTCGGGGTATCTCAATCTTACGCATTTCTCAAACTCAGACCAGGATGAATTCGAGCTGAGATAGTACATGTCGCGGCAGTCCTAATGTCTGTCAATATCGTCGAAATCCAATAAGTCTTCCGACAGCGTTGAATTGTCCTCACGCTGGGTCGTGTTCGAGACTTCCACTTCTTAGCGGTCTTTCCGAATCTCAAACGGAGCGTTATTGGGGCAATCACGCAACTTCATCATGTCGCTGGGCGATAGTTCTGAAGTAATGGCTTCAATCGACGTCAAGGAGCATGACGGCGTCAGAATCGCTGTTGAAGGTTGCGTAAGTACTCAACACCTCTCCGACGTTGTCTAGAAAGATTGATCGTTAACCCAATCATCTGCCACAGGGTCACGGCACGCTGCACGCGATCTATGCGTCAATAGATGAGTCATGTCGCATCAAGGGCTGGGACGGTGTCGATTTACTCATCATTGGAGGCGACTTTCAAGTTTGTACATCGAGCAGGAAGCGACTCGTTTGACTAAACTCTTTCAGGCAGTAAGAAACCAGCTTGACCTCAATGTCACCTCAATGCCACAAAAGTACCGGAAGATGGCCGACTTCCATGAGTACTACAGCGGTGCCCGGACTGCACCATACCTCACTATCTTCATTGGAGGGAATCATGAAGCCAGCAATCACCTCTTTGAGCTTTACTACGGTGGATGGGTAGCCCCAAACATCTACTACCTTGGAGCCGCCAACGTCATCCGGTTCGGACCTCTTCGCATCGCTGGCCTCACGGGTATCTGGAAAGGATATGACTATCGTAAGCCTCACTTCGAACGGCTGCCGTACAACCGCGAAGAGACTGGTAGCATATACCATGTTCGAGAACTCGATGCCAGAAAGCTGCTGTCTTTGCGTTCGCAAGTTGATATAGGTCTGTCCCATGACTGGCCGCAAGGGATCGAGATGCATGGTGACTATGAATGGCTGTTTCATAACAAACGAGGATTCGCAGAGGACTCCAAATCCGGAAAATTAGGCAGCGTTGCAGCAAGAGAGTGCTTAGACCGACTGAGACCTCCCCACTGGTTCTCGGCCCATTTGCATACCAAGTTTTGTGCTATACTGCACCATGACCCAACCGACCCTGTTGTCAGAGCCATGACGAACAAGCGCAACGGTCGTCGAAGCCCGACCACTGAAGATCGACCACAAATCTTTGGATGGCAACAGTTCCATGATTCTGCTCGACAAGCCGACACCAAGGAACAAGACGAGATTCTCAAAGACCGGGAGAATCGAAGACTGGAAGAACAAAAGACTGGAATCTCTTCTGGTCCACAATACACCTTCAATGAGACCTTCAACCAAGTTGGGTCCGAAGATGGCTTCGAGCGCAAGGTCATCTCCACGACTCAACATCAGACGAGTGCGGAGGAAGAGGATCCCTCGATCTCGATCTCGAACCTCGATGGCTGTGGTTTCTCGCGACCAACAAAACGTCAACGACTCGGGGACGAACCAGCTGACGGCTCAGTAGCCAAACCAAATGGTGCACTTCACACAAATGGCGCCTCTGCTAGCTCGACATTACTACCAAGAAGCGGGGTCGACAATCCCGATGCTATTGACATCGATATGAGCGACGATGAAGAGACGATTACCCAGGCAACTCCTGTACCCGTCCCCCAAGGTATATCCGCTAAGGCAGCCATTGAAGATAGCGTCAAGCCGCACAACATTTCGCAAAGCAACTCCGAAGAAAGCGATGGTGGTGGAGTGAAACTGAACGCAATGGCGGCATCATTCACCAGCTTGCAAGATCTTGCCTCTCGAGATGCGACCAAAGGAAGTCATGGCTCTCCAGCTGCGTCTGTCAATTCGACGGGATCAGACCTTGATCCTGAAGCCAAAGCCTTCAAGCCGAAGGAAGCTTCATTGAAAGACACAAGTATCAAAACCAGCTCAACACGGTCTTCAACCTTGGCTGCTCCACAGAGTGAAGTATCAGAAGAGATGCGTGCTCAACTTGCTGCCCTCTCCAGCAATTTCACCCAGGAAGAGCGTATCGAAGTGTCACCATCTCTACCATTTCCCAAAGAAATCACCAACAAGAAGACCGAGTTCCTCGCCCTGGGCAAATGCGAGCCATACCAAGAATTTCTCCAACTTATCTCCGTCAAATCCACAACATCTCCCGAGCAGGAAATTGTTCGGCCTCTCAAGATCTCTTATGACCCAGAATGGCTTGCCATACAACGTGTCTTCGCTCCCGAACTCCAGCTAGGTGGCCACCCCACAGAAAAGGTTCCAATTCATCGTGGGGACACATACTACCACAACCGAATCATCGAGGAGCAGGAATGGGTCAACGAGCATGTTGTGAAGCTAGGCAAACTAATTGTCCCGGAGAACTTCAGCTTTACAGCACCCATTTACGACCCCAGCTTGGAATTCGGACCGAACGACATGCCACGAGAGATGACCAACCCTCAAACCAGCAATTATTGTGAGCTGATTGGAATTGAAAACAAGTTTGACATAAGTGAGGAAGAAAGAGACTTCAGAATGCAGCAAGGTCCCAGACCAGAAAGCGCTGGTTATGTTGACTATCATAGCCGACCTCGTGGAGGACATGGTGGTGGACGTGGTCGTGGTGGTGGACAGGGCTTTGGCAATCGAGGTGGTGGTGGAAGGGGTGGCCGAGGCGGCGGTAGAGGAAGAGGTCGTGGCCGTCGATGAGCCAAAACCAAGAGTATTGTTGATATCGTAGCGGGCCACGCCGGATATGAGTATCGGCAAGGTCAGGTGTGAAGTGTACAATATGCGCAGTGAGCTAGTTGAGCGCTGCTCGGAGCTCGGATGAGTGTACCATATTCGACAGAGATACCCTATGAGCATTGGAAGCAATCAAGCACGACGACACCAAGATGTTGTTATCAATACGAGCTGATGCTGCTATGCTATTCCACGGCAATCGCTCTACGAGCACCGGCTGCCGGAGTCTTATCCAACTTATCCAATTTTTTGAGGAACTGCTTCTTCCACGCTTCGTACTTTCGTGTGCGCTCGTCGCTCAGAAAGTCTACAGCATCTTGCATCATGGTGAGCAAGCCAGGAAGAAGCACACCCTCAGGATCATCTTGCTCTTCGAGGTCTTTCGTAGCTTTCCCACTAGCCTTGCGCTTCCTCTTACTTGATAGAATTATGTCCTCGTCGTCTTCGTCGTCCTCAACATTGGTTTCTAAGACGGTCGCGGTCTTTTTCTTGTGCGGATCAAAGTCGATAACCGACTCAGGTACGCTCAACCACCAATCCTGTTTCCCACAGTATCCTTCACGATTGATCCGTCTGATCCAGGCTTCTACGCCAGCAGGTCCGGGCTTATAATGTAACTCCTCGACAGCCTTTGCGCATGTTGTCTTATACACTGGCGTCGTCATCTTGGCGGTCATCATGCGTGTCAATGTCATCAGGTACAGCGCAATGAGGAGGCCTGTAACTTCTTCTATGAGTGCGTCGTCGACGTCTAGGGACCCGTCTTCGCGAGGCCAGATCTCGGTGAGCTTGAGCACAACGCAAGTTCCCGTGTACACGTGCGTCACTGGGAGGATCGTTGAGAATTTCGTGCACAATTTTCGTATCGACGGCATTGTGAAGGCAGGTGCTCCGTTGTTATCAAGGTTATCAGCATCTGACTTGTTCGCGCTGGCTTTCAGTTTCCCCAAGAACGGATTCGGTTGTGGATTGGATATTTTGGTAATGGTGCTTGGGACAGATATGACGACTTTCGGATTCCCATCGGCAGTTCTCTTCCTTCCTCCTGGTGTTGATTTAGACGTCGACGCTGCCGCATCGTCGTCTAGGACTCTTTCGAGAAATGTCACCAATTTCTTATATACGGCTGGCTTGCAGGGTGCGCCACTGGCTTTGACCGCGGGTAGCCGGCATTGCGCTCGGAGTCTTTTGCATGCGATCTCGCAGCAGGCGTAGGCGCGGGCGATTTCTTCGTCTGGTTTGAGTTGGGAGGCTCGTTGGCGGGATTGGGCGAGAAGAGATTCGGAGAGATGGGTTAGTTTGGCGGGAAGTTTCTGAGCGTATGTCGGCAAGAGGGAAGTGAGGGACTGTTGAACGGCGGAGGAGGCAGGCATAGTTTATGCAGGATGGCTTGCGTAGGAACTGTGAGAGATGTGCCGTATCAGAAGTATTGTCAATGGTTTAACTCCGTTCTCCAAAACCTTAGGATCTCGGAGTCTGTATCGAGACGCGTCGGAAGCGGTGCACGCGTAAAGTGCTGCGGCTATGTACTGCATAATCTGCCGTAGTATCTACGGTAGAGTTCTAAAACATCAGCGCGATATGCCATCTTGTTTTGACTTTTTCCTTGGTGACAGATGTTCAAACTTTCAAGTAATGGTTCACGTCGTTTCCAGGCCAGCAACATGGACTTCATATGGCTTTCCAATGAGCTGCAGTCGACTTTGAGACCTGAAGACAAGCTTCGCCACCTGATTAGCTCACTACATAGTCTCCATGACTAGTGACGCCTGCCTGCCACAAACAAGGCCTTTCACAGTCGAGCACCGTAGAGCCTCGTATGGAGAACTTGAGGAGTTCACTTCTGTACCACACAGCTGTACCGTGGTTACTGGACTATATCCTGGAATCCGTCCTGTCGAGATGAACCAGAGAATCAGAAAGGTATGCCCGCGCATTCACGCGCCCCTGTCAGATTGACAACATGTCCACGACGGACTATGTGTGGTGTAATCCGTGGTTCCTGTCGATGATCCCTCGGAGTTTCAAAGGTAAGATCGCCATAACACCTTCAGAGTCACAGGCTATCTATTCTGTACCAGAGGATTTCGTGGACTAGTTGCCAAATCATACGACAGGGCGATGAGAGCTCTACTCGGCACACGACTTCTTCCCTTCTTCGAACGAATACATAAACCCCGTCTGCTCCCAAGACCTGCGGAATTTCACGTCTCTTCTACATTTGTCTCTTCATACACTTGATCTTTCCCAGGCACAGCTAGCTACAATCCTCACATCTCTTCAACACTTTGTCTTTCACACGCTTGTCTTTCCCCGGCTTCAACCAACGACACAAATCTCACAGCAACCATGTCCTTGCTTGTAGCCGGACTCCTGATCATTTGCGCGGAACTTCTTCCTACCCTTCTCCTCGGAACTGTGGACCTGAACCAAGGCTCCCTCGAGCTTCCCAGCAAACGTTCGGCGGCTGACCGTGAAACGACACTCTACATCGTGAACGGGGTCAACACCTGGAAGAGTGGCAACGAGACCTCTGGCATAGCGGTCCGGTTCGACGATGGCCCGGAGCGCATTCTTATGCCCGAATCCGACCTAAGCCCATCGGTCCATCAATCGTGGGGCCCAGACGTCCCCGACACCATCCACATCACCAACGTCGGGCCGCCCGTCTGTGTTGGGGGCTTCAAGATCGAATATCCCGACGGCTCGAATTTCAGCATCAACGGCAACCTGGGCAAAGTATGTGGTGCCAAGCACTACGAGGGCCAGGAAACTGCCTTCTTGACCGACGACCCATCTTGTACCTGGATCGACCACACCGACCCTGAGTCGCGGGCTATGATCTTCAACATGACGGTTGTTCATTGGTCGGACCTCAACGTTGAGATCCACAACAAGACGGACCTGTGCAAAGAACCCTTTATGACGAGGGAAAACTCGACAAGTGCGGACACACAAAAGAGGACAAGCCACGCCGACTTCAACGGCCACCTGATCAAGAGCAAGTTGGCAATCAACAGTGCTGCGCGCTTGTGCAACGATACTGCCTCAGTTGGCCCAGACTTTGCCGCCTTGTCGGAAGGCTTATACTGCGACATGGACACAAAGGAGATTTACCCCATCTGTGACGAGGGTCAGGTCTGTGGCTGCTTCCGCGCCATGGACAACGTCCTAACTGGAGGTTGCGATGATTCCAGTGAACCTAATATCTCCGAGCGCGCGGTCCAGATCGTCAAGGCCTACGACCGTGTCGTGGTCTGGGAGTAGTTCATTCAGGAGACAGAAAAGAGGTACGGCTTACGTTCATGTATTTCAACTGCGGACGAGACTCTCAGCGATACTCAATAGGACTATACCTGGTGGCGGATGACAGTTTGTATTGTTTACAATGGATTGAGGAGTTACGAAGGTCTTTCAGGCGCATTCGGCGAGGGAGGTTTGATCATCACCGAGCAGGCAGGTTAGATAATGTGAGGAGCGTTGTCTACAAGGGCCACTTTGCTTTGTGTTCTTAACCTATGTCAGAAACTTTAGGCAGAAAATACAAAAACAGTAGGAAAATCATAGAAAAAGAAAAAACCATCCAATGGTGAAGCCGTTCCCGATGTTCATAGCCTCACTGAAATAGTTCCACTTGACCACGAAAGAACCATCAAGAGATTTTTTCGAACCATGTCAAGCCCACATTATCCTCATCTTCAGACAAGTTGAGACCTATTGTCAGCACAGCCCTCGAGTGGCAGTGAACTACCCAAAGCTAAATTGCGTACTGCTAATTCTCACTTTCCAACATTCCCTGATAAGTACACCCAGATCAAATCAGCTCATTGCACCTCTCCCACCTACACTCAGCAATGCCTTCTTCTGCTCATCTGACACCTTCACAGCAGGCAGGCTCTTCACTGATCCTCCTTGATTGAGCGTACTAGGTGGCGGCAAGAACCCTATTGCAACGAGATATGCCAGGGACAAGCCGATGGTATTTCTCGTTACCGAGCTGCCACCACTGATATCTTCTCCACTCCATTCACGGTCCGCATATAATGCTTTCTGGGTATTGCTATCGTCCAGTTCAATCGAGACAGAATTCGCTGGGAGATCGTTGGCCACAAATGTGAACAGTGGCATGAGGGCGAAATCGGTGTTTGTAGTGACATATTCGTTCAGGATTGAACACCAAGGGATGTAATCGATCAAGCTTGCCGTGTATCCATACGTCTGTAACGTCGCGAGGAATTGATTGAACCGTAGCTTAGGATTTCCCGAAATGCAGGCCACCTTGGTGCTCTCCGATGGCGGATTGAAGGCACATGCGACCACAGCGCGAGCGACGTGATCGACTGGGGCCATATTGATCGTGTTGAGACCCATATTCGGACGGGTCTTGAGCTGGACGCAGCCTTTCAACATCCTGACGAGGAAATCATCGGTGACTGTGACTCCAGTCTTGGTATGGCCAAGGACGTACCCTGGCCTTACAGAATATCCACGAAGACCTCTTCTGCCAGCTTCGCGGACCAGCGACTCGCTAACCCACTTGCTCTGACCATATCCCGTGGTGAGACCTTCGCTGCTTCCACTCAAGTCGTCTTCTTCGCTGACGCCCTCGCCTCCAGCAGCAATGATGCGCGCTGCTTCAGAAACGTAGTGATCGTGGTCGAGCACACTGGTCGAGGACACGAATGCAAGAGATTTGGGCTTGCCTTCAGCACAAAGCTTGATCGCTTCGATAGTGCCAAGCACGTTGGGTGGCTTGAGCATCTCGTAGGTGTTGATCCAATGTACTTGAGCTCCGTTGTGAATGACAACGTCTGTCTCTTCGGCGATTTGTTTCCACGCTTCGTCTGATAGCCCGAACTTGTCCGTGCCAAGGCTACCTGTCACGCATTGTATTCTGGACGTCCAGGACTCCGACCAGACGCCGTATGCTTGACACGTCATCTTCACTCTCGACATCGCAGTTGCTTCGTCTTTGGCTCGCACCAGGACAATGACTTTCACTTCGGGGTTCTTGCGCAAGAGTAGGTCCTGCAATATGAAGCATCCGAGGAACCCCGTTGCACCAGTTAGGAAAACCACCGGCATAGCGGGTAGCGCAGACGGGGCTGGTCGGAAAGATTGTGGTAGCAACTTCGCCATTTCCAAAGCATCGTGCCCATACTCTATTCCAGGCTGTTCGGCATCAGTATGATCTTCTTTCGTTTCGCCGCCTGCCAGCGCATCTGCCCCACGAATATGATCAATGTAAGCAGCCATATCTTTCAGTGTCGGTCGATTGTAGATTTTGTTGATTGCCAGGTTAACTCCGAGTGTCTTCCTGACCTGATACGCCAGTCGTTGCGAACTCATCGAGTCTCCACCAATCTCGAAGAACGATTCCGTGGGCTTTATCGTCTTCGGGATCAAGCCAGGCACTAGTTCGGCCCAGATCTTCGCCATTACTAACTCGCTTTCCGTCAAATTCTGCAGCATCGAGGATTTGCGCCTCCTGCTAGCAATAAGCATGGTGGCATCCGGAAAGGGGAGCTTAGGCCGATCAATTTTGCCGTTCGGATTGAGTGGCATAGATTTCATAGGGACAATGATCGAAGGGACAGCGTACACAGGAAGTTTTGTTCGAAGATATTCCTGTACGCTCTGCTGGAGAAGGCGGAAGCGTTCGAACCGACCAGCCATGGAGCCATCGTCGGAAATGTCTTCCTTGCCTTGGTCTGCTAGATATTGCTCCCATTTTGACATCTGTGGTACAACATAGCTGACCAGCATTTGTTCCTCGAACTTGTCTCTTCGGACAAGGGTGACGTTCTCACGCACCAGCGGATGCTGTGAAAGGTGGGTGTCGATTTCATTGAGTTCCAAACGGAACCCACGGATTTTGACCTGAAAATCTGCCCGGCCACTGACCTCTACTTCGTAGGCTGGTGTATATCGACCAAGATCACCACTTCGATAGAGACGATCTCTTGGGCCAAAGTAGTGTTGAGTCCACGCTTTATGTTTGAACTTCTCCTCGAATCTCCGCTTATCTGAATCCAGTCCAACCTCATAACCAGGAAACCAATTATCGACAAATTTAGCTTGGGTCAATTCTGGTGTCCCAAGGTACCCCTCGGCAAGGCCTGATGCTCGCACGTAGATCTCGCCGAGTTCTCCGACAGCACAGAGCTTGGTGCGGTCGTGTTGATTGACAACTAACATCTGCACGTTGGACATGCCTTTTCCCGCCGGGATGACATCTTTTAAGCCTTCCAAAAACGAAGCGTTCTCTGCTCGAGATGGGATCTCATAATAGCTGACCGCCCCTGTAGTAGGAGATTATTAGCTCAGTGATTCGCTTCATCAGGTCTGGGGTATACTCAATTTGCGTTTCCGTGGTTCCGTACATATTGACAATCCGTACATTGGGCGCCAGATTTTGCAACGACCTGCAGTCCCGCTTGATGAGGATGTCGCCAACAAAGAATGCATGATGCAACTTTTCGAATGTGGCCACAGCTCCTCCTACCAGGATCTGCCCCATCGCTGGCGTCAAATGTGATACGGTCGCGCCCACCTCCCGCATCCACTCGGCGAGGCGTTCGTTCTGGATATCGTTCTTGGACGGCACCAGCAGCTGGGCGCCCAAGAATAGAGGTGTAAACATATCTCTCTGGATAGGATCATGGGCAATACCACTCAACATGGTGAATTTGTCCTTGTCAGAGAGGTTGAATGTCTTCGCCATCCAATCGAAGTAGTATGCTCTGCGAACCGTCAGAAAGCTGCGTCATGAAAACCGAAGACAAATTGAAAGGCTCATGTGCGAACGCCACAGTCTTTCGGAGAGGTACTCACAAACTATAGAACTCGTCAGCAAGCTGTCACGTTGAAGATAGGGTCAGACTTACCTATAATGTCTACCCTTGACTCCCTTCGGCTTACCTTCCGAACCGGACGTAAAGCTGAGGGTTGGCGTAGAGTCAGGTCCGACCACAACGCCGGTTTTTGTTGCCTTGAGGCTTTGGACATCTTCGAAGACGTCCTTGCCATCGAGTTGGCCACCCTGAACCGAGCCATCGTCATTAAGACGCAAGGCAGGGACCTCTGTTCTAAGGTCAAGATTCTGCTTAACGAAGGTTCGGACCTTATCGGACAATTCGCCCGCGTCTTGAGTAGCCTTTTCAATGATGACGAGCGCCCGAGGTCTCGAAACATCAAGATAGATATTCTGCCGGTCTGGAGGGTATGCAGGATCGAGCACTGAGAAGGTGCCACCAGCTTTCAAGGCACCCATCACCGCGACCACCAAATCAACACCACGGTATGAGTAGATCATCACCACCTCCCCCAACTGTAAACCTGATTTCAAAAGATGGTGGGCAAGTACCGACGATCCGTGATGGATCTGTTGATAGGTGAATGTCCGTTCTGGCCCATCCTCTGATTTTGTCTCCACGACGCACGTCCTATCCGGATGAGCTTCTGCATTAGCTGCAAATATATCATGGATCGCACCACGGAAGTTTGACCACTCAAGGTCGCTGGTAGGGTCGGGTAGTAGCTTCTTCTCCTCGGAGGTTGCGAAATCGATACCACCAATGGGTGCATCGACATCGGTGGCAGCATTTTGTAAAAGTGTGGTTAATTGGCCTAGTATCCCTGCTATCCTTGCACTCGAGATTAGACGTTGGTTGTATCGTGCTGTGAGCTTCAAGTCATTCGTGGATGAGAGAGTGTAGGTGATGAGTAAATCAATAGTCTCGGCATGTACGCCCAGAACATCTCGACTTGCGTTGAAAAGTGCGAACCTGAACAGTACAGGTCTCTGAAGCTGTGCTCGAAGCTTTTCTAGTGATACCGGTCTCTCTGAAGCCTCCGAGGAGAGCTCCTGCACCTGCTGGACTAGCTTGGAAAATGAATTCTTAGCATCAAGAGTTGTCTTGAGCACGAAGCTGGGACCATTCTCCTCAGAATTCGTGCCGATGCTGATGTCTTCGTCCCCAGTCAATCTTGAAACCAGGATAATAAAAGCAGTCTGAAGTATGGCAACCGATGTCGCGTCCAGGTCGGCTGAGAGCTTTGTAAGTGTAGTTGATGGTACCGTTAGTGATTCTGTAGCCTCGATAGGCCTCCTGTTGACATTGTCGGAGGTTGTTTCGGGATAATCTCTTGTCAGCGGCGTGATAGTCTGGTCTTCCAGGTGTTTGGCCCACCATGCTAAATCAGCATCTGCGTCCGGCGCCATGGGTACATATAATGAAGGAGTGAACGTTGCTTGATCTCGTGCTCACAGCACAAAATTTGCGGACTGAGTCAATATTCCCCGGCAGAACTTCGGTGGGAGAAAATGAGGGGCTTGGCGACGAGGCCGTACAGCCACGACAGCTCTGCAAGACTAGTCTTTTGTTTAGGTCAAAACTTGAAGTCATTGGAGTCGACGTCATTTCAAAGTCTCAGGGCGGGAGTGTGTTTCTATTTAGTGCTGGATATCGAACTTTTAGTCAACTATTCGTATAATCATGCAATACACAGTTGGGCCGCCGGCGGCACCAAACTGATATTGAGTACAACTACCTAGCTATTTTCATCTGGTCATGCTGTTTCTTGCTGTGTCCAATCTCCCTTGTCTCAATACCCTTTGACTGTACGAGGATGGTGACGACGATGATTTAACAATCTCCCCAGCTCCGGCCCGCTATATCCCGAGGTATAGTTGCCATTTGGCTCATAGACTTGAAGTCCGCCGATCGCCCAATACGCATCCACGAAAGCAGCCGGATTGTTGGCCACGTATGACTCGCAGGTAGGTGCCAGTGAAGAACACTCACTTGTGTGCCAGAAGGCCTCAACCCAACTTCCGCAAAAGGCTGTGTTAAAGATTGGCTGGAGGTTGATGAAATGGTCATCGAAAGTATCGTTGCCATTGTTGACAAACTTCACCTCCGGGGCGCCCCAGCTACTTCCGTTTGCCTCATGATGTGGATTAGGCAATCCCTCCGATAGATCCTGCGGGATGTTGTCGCGTTCGAAGCTCCAAATTTGTATGACGTCGGCGGAAATTTCAGTGACCACGACACGTCCACCTTGAGCATTGAAATCTGCACCATAGCTTTCGGGTGAGCCCGTCGCAGCACAGCCAACGTTGCTCGAGCCAACATCGCAATCGAGACTGGTGAAAGTTCCCGTCATAGCGCTGTGATTACCATGTCGCAGGCTGGTCAAGTTCGCAACAGAAACTCCGGCGTCGCTATGCAGTGCTAGAGTGTTGACCGAATTATTGTTAATGCCCTCGATGATGTCAACTTCGCCTCGACGTGGCCATGGAGCGCCCTGACCAAGCAGCCAGAATGCGGGCCAGGTGCCACAGCCCGAGGGCATATGCATGATGTCTGCTACGATCAAAGAATGATTGAACCAATCTCTACCTTGAACGCGCACGGATGGTCGGCCATCAGGAGTAACATTTTTGAAATCAGTTCCCAGAAAGACTGCGTAGCTATCGTTCAGTGCCGAACTGGAGATATAGCCGGCCAATCCGGCATCGTTCGCTGTGTCCAAGTCGAGATAAGTGACGAAACTATTGCTTGGGTCTGGCCCAGAAAAGAAATCGAAGCTCTGAAAAAAGTTCTCGCTCGTGTAGTTCTTGACGAGCTGGTAGGGCGAGTTAGAGGTCCCGTTCTGAGCGTTAGATACTCCCAGGAGGATGACGACGACCAGCGTTGTGTAAAGTTGAACCATGATGGGCCGGCTTGTCGGTTGATTGGTGATTGAGGTGATTGAGGTGATTGTCGTGCAGTATGAAGCATTCGGATGTGCGTAGTCTCTTTGTCCAAAGAACTGGTATATGTCTAGAAGAACAGATAAAAGATAGAGGGTCATAAGCAGCAGATCTCACCGTTCCTAAAAGGCATAGTGACATTGCCTTGTCACGTCGTTCGAAGCGACAAAGAAGGCAGTCTTTTGACTGCCCGAGGACAAACGACTGCGTTGTCGCTCGGCGTTTGAGCAGGACCACAAACAAAGAAATGGCTTCGACTGACACAACTGAAGGACATAGAGCCACTTGGGACAATAAGCTCCCTGGCCTTTTCTCAAGATAGACTCCACACAAGCCTTGATATCACGAGGCCGGACTTGATCCAGGCTGTCCATACTTTTGCATGATACCTTAGCCTAGGATCATGGCGCTGAGTAAACAGGCGGGGCGCCTTCCCAATGATGGGTCTAACAGCGAATACCGCCGGCATAGATATGTGGATGGCATTCTGCATGAGCGATAGCATAAGTGTGTGCAAATGATTGACGACGTGATAATGTAATGAAGAGGTCGAATTGTAGTTCCCGTGACAGCGCGTCAAAAACCACTTTACGCGTGTGCGGCTAAGATGTCGACGTCATCATTGGCTGGAGTACTTTTCGAAGGCGGCGACAAAGAAACGCAGTACATTTTGACTGATGCCAATTTACACTGTAGGCTTGTCGGTTCCTCCTGGACTAAATGGCTCATGGCCAAACTGCAGGCTGCTACTGTTTCGAACCAGGTCGTCAACAGAAAACGAAAGCGCCGCTCCAAAGACGATGACCATGCGGCACAGGACAGTGCGCCCGATGCCGCTACTGCGACAACCACGACCACCAAAGTCCCTACCAAGACTCAGGATGGAGGTGCAAAGCCTAGAAGAACGAAGGCGACATCGAAGCCAGCCATTGTCCGACGTGACTCGTCTACCAATCTTGTCGAATCCGATATACCTTGGCCTGATCACTTCAAGTACCTATCTCAGCTGCATCGAGCGCTGAACGTCGTCTACACATTTTGCTGTACGCGAAGACATTTTGCAACGACGTGGGAAAACATAAAGTCTACCGTCGAAGGTCACATCAAGAGACCGTTAGTCGAGGAAGATGTTGCACAAGTCAAAGCCCTCGTACCTCGCGCCATCAATTTCGCATATGTCGATGAGGAACATCTATTGGTCACAGTGATGGGAGAAGAAGATGGGATCAAAGGTGGAAGAGCTGAACACTTCAGATCCTTGCAGGAAGATGAAAGTGGTCCCAAAGACAAGATTGAGACACCGAAAGAGTTGCTGTTCTTTGAGTTCATCGATGGTGATTTGAAGAGGCAGGTCATTGACCCTAAGACAGGACAGCCTACCAAAGCCACCAACAAGCTGAGAAACGAGGACTTGAAGGTTCCGGTCTTTAGCCAGAAATCAATGCTCAAGCTCATCGAAAAACGCAATGCCAAATTCACGTCCGCAATAAACGCTTTCCTCAACCTGTGTGCAGAAGAAGGGAAGGACGCTGTTAAAGAGATCCTGGAGTTGAAGCAGCTGTATATTCCTTACCCCTCCACCAGTCGCGCAGACACTCCGGCGCCGGAGCCTGCTGGCTTGCCCAAGAGCATCCCGAAAGAAAGAGAGTCCATCTCCCAGATTGTCAAGGAGATTACTGAGTTGGAGTGGTACACTCAGCAGATCGTTCCCGATGGACATCGTGTCTTTGACCCCCAACCAGCTATATATGGTGAAATCAACTTCCCGCTGTCGCAAAACCTGGTCAATGCTCTGTACAACAGTCGGAACATCACCCAACTCTATTCTCATCAGGCTGAAGCCATCAACAACCTCCACAATGGCCATCACGTCATCGTTTCGACATCAACAAGTTCAGGCAAATCGTTGATCTACCAGATACCCATGTTGCACGAGCTTGAAAAAGACCCCGAGAGTCGAGGCATGTACATATTCCCCACCAAGGCTCTTGCCCAGGACCAACGGCGCAGCATGAAAGAATTGCTGCAATATATTCCGGGGCTTGAAAGCACTATCGTCGAGACTTTTGATGGCGATACTCCAATGAACGAAAGAAACAGTATAAGAGATGAAGGACGAATCATTTTTACGAATCCAGACATGCTTCACATCACGATTCTACCACAGGAAAGTGGATGGAGAACTTTTCTCCGTAACCTCAAATATGTGGTTGTCGACGAGTTGCATGTATACAACGGTCTGTTCGGCGCCCATGTATCATTCATCATGCGCCGGCTTCGCCGAATATGTGCAGCGGTGGGAAACCGCAAAGTGAAATTCATATCGTGCTCAGCCACGGTTGCGAACCCTGAAGAGCACATGAAGACCATATTCGGTGTCGACAAGGTCAAGCTGACCGACTTCGATGGATCACCGTCAGGGCGCAAAGAGTTCATCTGCTGGAACACTCCGTTCAAGGATCCTGGTGATCCGTCCTCCGGTCGAGGCGACACGTTCGCAGAGACAGCCCGTTTGATATGCCAACTCATTTTACGTGGCGTCCGAACGATCGCTTTTTGCCGTGTGCGCAAACAGTGTGAAGTGCTGCTAGCGGCTGTCAGGACTGAATTCACAAACCTCGAGAGGCCAGAGTGTGGAGCGCTAGTCATGGGTTACCGTGGCGGCTACTCAGCGCAAGATCGTCGCCGCATCGAATCCGAAATGTTCGGTGGCAAGCTTATGGGCATCATCGCAACGACAGCCCTAGAACTAGGTGTTGACATAGGATCCCTGGACGCGGTAGTCACCATGGGCTTCCCGTACACCATAGCGAATCTGCGTCAACAGAGTGGTCGTGCTGGACGTCGCAACCGAGACTCGCTCTCCGTGCTGGTGGGTGACTGCTTCGCAGTTGACCAGTATTACATGCAAAACCCAGACGAAATCTTCACAAAACCGAATTGCGAACTCCAGGTGGATCTGCAGAACGAACTGGTCGTCGAAGGCCACATGCAGTGCGCCGCATACGAAATGCCAATTAAACCCGACGAGGACGTGAAGTTCCTGGGGAAGATGCTACCTGAGATATGCGAGGAGCGACTGACGTACGATCCTATGGGCTTTTACCACTGCAACGAACGTTTTCGGCCCTTGCCCTCAAAGTGCGTGGCTATTCGCGACACCGAGGACGAGCATTTCGCGGTGGTTGACATCACGCACGGGCGCAATGTGGTACTCGAAGAAGTCGAGGCTTCTCGCGCATTCTTCACGCTGTACGATGGCGGCATCTTCCTGCACCAGGGTCGCACCTATATGGTCAAAGAGTTCTCGCCGGAGCGCAAGATCGCGCGCGTGCAGCTCGTCAAGGTCGACTGGACGACCCAGCAGCGCGACTACACGGATGTCGACCCCATAGAAACAGAACAGGTGCGTCGCGTGTCGACCGAATCCCTCACCAAAGCGTACTTTGGCCGGATCAAAGTCCAGGCCGTGGTCTTCGGGTTCTTCAAAGTCGATCAGAAGCGTCGTATCCTCGATGCCGTTGCCGTCGACAATCCTCCGGTCATCATCCACTCGCGCGGCCTGTGGCTCGATGTGCCCAAGTTTGCACTGCAGATTCTGCAGGACAAACGGCTCAATCTTGCTGCGGGCATCCACGCCGCTGAACATGCCGTCATGAGTCTCATGCCGCAATTCGTGGTCAGCATGCCCGGCGACGTGAGGACCGAGTGTAAGAATGCGCTCAAGGAGTTTGCGAAACGGGAGACGCAGCGCAAACGACCCGCCAGATTGACCTTTTACGATGCCAAGGGCGGTGCGGCGGGTTCGGGTATCGCGGCGAAAGCGTTTGAGTTTGTCGATATTCTTCTTGAGCGTGCCGTGCAGCGTGTCTCGGCTTGTCATTGCCTCGAGGGGTGTACCGAGTGTATTTGCGATGAGCGGTGTAAGGAGAAGAACATGATCATGAGCAAGGCTGGGGCTGAGGTCATTTTGAAGAGTCTTATTGGCGCGGAGATCGATATCGATGCGCTGCCTGAAGGTGAGGAGGAAAGAGTACCTGCTGGCGTGGAGACTGTCATCATGGCTACCGAGGTCATGGGTAGGAATGGGCGTAAAGTTGTTGAGAAGGACTTTATCAAGCAGGAGAAGAGCGATGATGATTGTATCATCATCAAGGAAGAGCCTGATGATATCTAGATTGAGGATATGCAGTAATGTTCTTCTTGTCCAAAATGATGATTCGGCAGGATATAAACACCATCTCTTCACGGCGCGGCCTGGGAAGCACTTGCATATGGACTTGCGAATAGTCTGGGTGAAGGTTCTGGACCAAACTTGGGGAATGTCACCTAGACTACCGTCAAAGAAATGTCCAAGCGAATACGTTCGAGGCGACCGCCCTTGCACATGGACTTGGACATTTTCTTATGACGATGGTCTGGGAGGGCGACTTGGACACTTTGCACTTGGACATTTTTTTCACGGTAGTCTAGGTGAAAACATGGACGCTTTGGACTTGGACATATCTGTGGCCGTTGGGCCGGGAGGGCGACTTGGACACATCGGACTTGGACATTTTTTTGACGGTAGCCTGGGTAAAGAATTGGACTTGGTCGTGGGCCTGCAAGTTGTCTGATCCAAAACTTCGCTCTATCCCGCCTTGCTTTGAGACTGCCTGTCGCTCCTCATAGCGGTAATAGATAGTGTGGCCAAAGGCTGTGATAATATTTTCGCATGTCCTGTAATGATACTTGCTTCACCCCGCGGTAGATGTCATGTCCAGTCCTCTCGTCGTAGCATTGACAAAAGCGTCCGCATCCTTCCTGATCTGTGCCACACTGACAGTCCCAGAACCATAGGCTTGAGAGATGGCAGCTTGGACTTCCTCGTCATCAAAAACGCTGTCATCTTGGATGCCTTCCACTGCCACCACTGTGCGCCAGTACTCGTCGTCCGTATCTTTCAGATCGGGATTGCGGACCGTAACATTCCGCGCTATCGAGTAAGCGCGTAGATTCGTCTGGGTCATTTGCAATGACACATTCGCTTGCGTAAGGAGTTCTTCGGTGCGCCGGCGAGTTACTTCCGGATCGGCGATCGCTGGGGCGCTGTACAGCAGGAAACGCCCCGTGGCTGAAGCATATATGAGGAATGCTAGGACTGCGTCGAACATGCATAGACCTAGGTAGCGTAAGGTAGATGCCAGCCAGAATACCCCGACAGGGCCGGGCGTTTTCGAGTCAACGGTCGGGTTGTACGTGCATGTCACGGCGATGTCGAGCAGCGCAACGGCCAGACCGCCCAGAAGAGCTCGTGAGCGCCACCGGCTTGCTTCGAAGCCTGCGATGGTTTCGGAAGTAGCTAGACCTAGACATAGCATGTGGAAGAGGTGTGGAAGGAGCACATTGAGAGGCAGATGGTAGAGCAGATATGAGAATTCGTCGTCGGAGTGGCAGAAGGTGCAGTTGAGAAGCGTAGATGGACCGAAGCGAAAGTATAGCTGGCGGAGGCTGCGTGTGATCAGTTCAGCCTGGCCCTTCGCCGCGGGATATATGTACGTACGTTGGGGAAGTGAGTTTCGAGCGTAAAGCTTCATCAATGGGAGTCAAGACACCTTGCTCCCGGAGAAGGGCGACACGGCCGAACAGCGCGTCCGTAGGCATCGTAAGACGTGACTGTGTCGTGACGAACACATTGTGATACTCGAGTTTACCGGTCAACGGTAGTGAGAAATACAGGAAGACGCATATCGAGACGAAAAGAGCATTAAGGCCCTGGCTGGTTTTCTGGGGAAGTGGTCGCGGTGTTGGTCTCGTCCGGATAGCCGTCTTGACGACTCGATAGTAATTGATTGCTCGAGGAAGAATGAAAGTAAATATCATCGGCCAGAAGGGTTTGATGCTATTCATGCCAGTGAGTAAAGGTCATTTCGACGGGCGGGTTTCGGAGTGATAGCCACCTTTGTAATAAAGTCATGCTGGATGAACAGAGATAGTCTTCTTGACCATTTCACAAGTTTGAACTCAAGTTCAGCCGTCCGAGCTCGAGACAAGAGTCGTGTGTGAAAATGTATCGTGCAAAAAAAGGCGTTGGGGTCATCAATAGCAGCACTCATCGATTGAAGAGAGTTGTTTGATGTTGTGTCAAAACTGCAAGATGAACGGAGAATTACCCGACGGAACAATAATATCCCGGATGCCCGACCCCCTTTTTCTCTCCCAGGGGCGATGATGTTACAGTCCAGTTTGGGGCATGACATTTTCCAGTTAAGGTTCTGGGGATGAGTCTTGCCTAATCATCTTAACCTAGCAGATTCGTTTAATTGAAACTCTTGTCAGGGCCATGTAAAATCAGGCTTTCCGCCTGGCAGCATCATGCGGAAAGGCCAGCCTTGCATTTCATGAATCTCTGTGACAATTCTTCGTAACCACAGTGTAGGAACGATTGGGATCCAGAACTCGCATTTCTCGCTCCTCAAAATCTCCATTCCAGCAAACCATGATTGTCGACCCTCATCGCGGTGACCACTGGTCAGCTGAGCGTGAGCCAGAGACATGTGTATCATTGCGGCCGTGAACCCACCCTTCGACTTGAGAGTGTACATACGTGCGACCTCTTGGAGAGCAAACTTCCATCGCCGCATAGCCTCATCGTGTTCGGATCTCATGTGGGCTATACGCGCAGCAGCAAGGAGCCCGCGCATGTGCAACTGCTGGTCGTGAAGGTCGTCCAATTCAAAAGGCATGGCATTTTGGAGCTCCCTGAGCACTGATTCTGCCGCATCCAGTTTGTCAAGTCCGATGTTGCCTTCCACTGAGGCTAGTAACAGCCGTTGAAAAGGGCGGCGTAGACGATCAGACTCGGCGATGCTGTCCAACTCTGGGCGAAGGATCTCGACGACCTTGGAATGCTCTTGCATCTCACAATATATGTCAGCTAGTCTGCCGGCAATGAGACGGCGAGTGTTGAGCCGTATCGGATTGGTCGTGTATAGGGACAAGAACTGTTCCAACGACGCCCTAGCCGCGACGAAATCTCCAACAGATTGGAAAAACCTTGCTGCCACTCCTTGAAGCCTGGATGTTATCAATATCTAAACTTGACAACGGCTGTACCGCTTCCCACTTGTAGATGAAGGAGGGCACGTCACTGTCGTAGCTCTTGATCTTGTTCTCAATCTGAGAAATGTGAAGGCGCCCCTGGAGTGCATGGTCCCGGCGAGTCAGTGGTTCTGGACCTTGGCATAGGAAGTCACGAATTTGTCGATCTGACCAGTTCTCCATCCAGACGATCGAGTATACTCCGAAAGAGTACCACTGAGGCGTGCAGATAGTAAGGCATGGGTTTCCGCAAGAACGTCCTTGCGTGATTGACAGCCATGCGGCGGATGGCAACCAAGTCTCTCTCGCAAAAGTAGAGGAAGGTTTCAAGCACATGAGGTCTGAGTGGCGCCTGCACTTTGTAGGTCTTTGCCGCTTTTTCCAACAACGGCCAAATCGCCTTCTTTAAAGGCGCAGGCCTGCGATTCACTGTTAGCGGCAATCCTCGAAATCTTGTGACGAACCCATACCAGTTCGTGTTGCCTTCGTAGCATGGCGGACTGGCGAAGCAGATCATCTTCAGGGCTATAGTCCCCAGTTCTTCCATTGTTTCAGGGCGCAGGGCGTGGGAGAAGAATGACCCCACTCTGGACACAAAGACCAGGTGATGGTACCATCTTTGAGGGCACTCTTAGTGTTATAAGAGCTTGCCGTATTCTGGTCGAGACCCATTTCATCTGACAAAAGCTCGATCAATTCAGTGGGGAGGCCAAATTGGGCCGCGCTGGTGTCTGATATCTCTCCATCCATAGTCCATCGCCGCTGTGGGAAGCGCACACTTTTCAGAAGGATATCGGGGATGTCACAGCCACCTAGAGCGTGCAGCACCAGGAACAATTGGTCCGAGGCTGGAACAACATCTGAAAAATCAACGCAGAGGTTATAGTACGAGCATGATGGGGAGCGATCTAGAGACAAACGTTAGCGCCGCATCTCAGCCGACAATGTGACCTCCAAGACAACTGACCACCAAGTTGACTTATAATGAGTCGCTGCACAAGATCAGTGTAGTTTTGAGTCTTCCGTGGACCTAGGGCTTTCAAATGAATGAAGACTCCCTCGTCATCAATATTGAGATATCTCTCGTAGCTACGCTATGTTAGCCCTCTTTGAACGTTAGTCCGTGGCGCATTTGCTCACGTTGAAGGTGGGATTTCCAGTGGAAGCCATAGGAGTGCTCCGAGACCGCCAAGCTTCCGGGCAATATTGATATATTTCCTTCCCGAGTGTCGAAGCTCCTGGTAGTTCTGTTGGCCACGAATGGTGCTGGCGATCTGTGGAGGCACCCACACCTCAGCTTCCAGCTTCGACCGGAGGAAAATTACGACACATGCAAGTCGTCGCCGCAACTCGTTATGGACAACGTCGTCAGAAGGGGTCCAAAAACCATCAACGTCGTCATTGAATTTCTCGCGAACTTGATCGATGGTAGCGACGTCGAGTGACTCCACAGAAAGGACTTTTGTCGTGCGCTGATTGGATGGTGTGATTCGGTACTGGACTTCGCGGCTAAGTGACTTTGACCGGGCCAGAAGACCTTGAAGATCTCTCAAAAGACCATTGAGGGCATGAATGAGACTTTGGGCTTGCGCCTCGTCATAGTTCTTGGCCAGCCGGCGAGCCTCTTTGCAGACTCATGTGACATCCATTTTGTGGACGGGCGAGTCACGGAAGTCATTCAAAATTGGGCTTCTTCCGTCTGGCAAAGAGGAAAGTTGAGGTTCGAAGCGCGTTATTAATCTAATCAGATTGATAAGTTAATAGTGCGCTAGTCTCCACCAGGGCGCAGTTTTAGCTCCAACGCCCAGACTACAGCAGGAATCAGTCCGGCATCGCTGCGTACAGTGGAGTTGAATGTCAAACCTGATTTGGTGGGGAAGGCTCTGGGATGGACCTTGGCCGATGAGAGTCAGATATATCATAATGCCTCTTGTGCCGGCTTAATCTCACTGTGATTCACTTCTCTGTTACAGCTACACCTTACCATTAGCCATGCGTCGCCGTTCAATTTCCAACAAGTCTGATGAGTCGAAGTCGCCATCGGACGAGACAAGTTTCCTTCAGCAGGGACTGCAGGCGCAATACATGAGTCCTGCTCCACCAAAACCCCAGGCTGTCTCATGGGCGTCGATCCCTAGGAAAGGTCAGCTTGCTGTCATAGTATTCGCCCGATTGGCAGAGCCCCTGAGCGAACGGTCTCTGTCATCGTACCTCTTTTACCAACTGCGATGGTTTGATCCATCTCTGAGTGCTGCAGAAATCGCCAAACAGGCTGGATACCTCACCGCCGTGTTTGCTGCCGCACAATGCCTCACATCTATGTGGTGGGGATATGCTGCAGACAGTCCTTACCTCGGTCGCAAACCTGTATTGGTTGTTGGCATGATGGGCTCGGCGATATCAGCGCTGGGAATGGACTTTTCAAGGTCTCTGTCCATGGCTTTCTTCTTTCGCTTTCTGGCTGGTGCACTCAACGGGAATGTTGGTGTACTTCGAACAATGGTATCCGAGGTGGTGGTGGACAAACGGTATATCCGATTCAATGAAAGACTCAAGGCACAACGACTCATTCAGTCAAAGATACAAAGCTCGAGCCTTCCTTCTCCTACCCATGTGCTTCAATGTTGGAGTTATTATCGGGCCACTTCTAAGTGGTTTCCTTGCGGACCCTGTTCACTCACTACCGAGCATTTTTGGCCCTGGTTCGCTGTTCGGAGGTAAAGGCGGTGTGCTGTGGATGACGAAGTTCCCATACGCGTTGCCCAACCTAATGTTTGCCATCATCCTGGGCACAGCGGCTCTTGCGATCATCTTGGGTCTCGACGAGACGCACCCACAACTACGACACCAGCCCGATCGCGGCCGCAGACTCGGGAGACTCCTGGTCCGCAGGCTCCTGAGAGGCAAAGCGGACGAATATGCTTACCATCCCATACATTATGACACTTCTGCTGCCTCAAACGCTCGGCTTTCATGCGACGAGGTTGTAGAAACGCCAGCGTCTGAACCCGAGGACAAACTTCGGCCCCGGCTTCGTGACGCATGACGAGAAATGTCTGCCTGACAATGCTGCAGCGCTTTCTCCAGTCATTGCACGTCTCGGCATTCAACTCGATTTTCTTTAGTCTTCTTCCGGCACCACGAGCAGACCAAGCCAGTTTCGATTTACCTTTCCGCTTCAGTGGTGGCCTCGGGCTCTCGAGCAAGAAAGTAGGCTTTGCCAACACGACCATCGGCATGATTGGGCTACCGCTACAATTACTTCTGTACCCAAAGCTCATCGGCAGCATCGGTGTCAGAAACTCGTATCGTGTCTTCCTACCACTCAGCATCATCGCATACGTCCTGCTGCCCTACCCGGTTCTGTTGCCTGACGATGTCGTGCTAATCTGGATATGCTTATCAAGCGTGCTGGTGATGCGTGTTACGTCTCGGACCTTTGTAAACCCAGCGACGGTGATGCTGGTCAATGACTGTGCACCCAGTCCACATCTGCTTGGGACGGTGAACGGTGTTGCCTCAAGTATATCGAGTGCGGCTCGCATCTTGGGACCGACTGTGGGTGGCGCTATGCTTGGCTGGGGACTCTCTCACAATTTTGTTGGGTTGCCGTTGTGGGTATTGGCCATGATCGCGATGGTAAATTGGATAGCCCTCCTGTTGATTGAACATGTGAAGATGTGAAAGTATGGATATCCCTCACTGTTCTCCGCCGCGTCACGATGCTGGGTGATTAGGAGAGGCGTCCTAAGCAAGCTGTATTTGGTGCATAGCCCAGAGTTTTCTGCCGTTCCGAAAGTCTGCTGGAGCACCAGCGTAGTTTATGGCCCAGCAGTCGTGCGGTCTTGCGTACTGATATCGGTTGCAGCTGTGCATGATCAGCAGCAGCACGTGGTGATAAAGGTGTTTGTATTGATATGCGGCCATGTCGCGGATACTCCGGTATCGGCTAGATCAGACCCTGACAGGCGAGTGTGGGTATGTGTTCTGCGACAATAGCAGCAACGTGGGTTGGCATATCTTCTTGTTACCGTTGCCAAGAGGTGGATTTTCTCACTGTGAGAGATCTTGATTGAACCTACATCCCCTGTCGGCTTGTGTCTGCCAAAAGTACCCATCGCATAAGAGACTCGCAAGGGTCCTCCTTGCAATGGATTCAGTTCTTTTCAAGGTGATGGCCTCGGGCCACTCTGTTAGCGGGGACGATATCCGGTACCGTCGTTGCGAAACTTCTTCTTGAAATGGCTCGGGTTACGGCAATCAGTGTATTTCGAAAGAGAGGGAAATCGCGATGAGCGTTGGGTTCGGCGTCGTGCATTTCGTGATTCGAGTTCATCAGGCACCAAAGTCCTCGCAATGGACGTCTATGCTATAGCCAGATTTGTCTTCACAATGGTCGACCGAATCTCTCACGGCATCCAGTAGCGACGTTGGGCCACAAGCAACCACTAGGACTCGATGGTGGCCCTCGACTCCCTGCATCGCTTCACAGATGACCCTCTCGGTGCTCATCTTCCCATACTTGACGTTGATAATGTGCTCGAGACCCTTCTGCGCCTTTCCGCTGAGTAGCGGGTGCATGATGCCAGTCTTCAACATGTCCTCATCGGCGAAAGCGTCATCTACTGGCAACAGACGTTGAATGTCTTCAAGACCACTGTTGAGATATGAAGCATTCTCTGGGCTTGTGCTCGATTCCTCGCTGGTGATATATAGCCTCACTTTCATGGATGACCCGGCCCTTTCAAGATTGTGCAAATGTTCGGAAAACCAGCTCAGATGTTCTGCTTCAATTGTTACCAGAGCCACAACAAACAATTTCCTGCCCATGAACGCACCTGTACTCTTCACAGCCCACACAAAGTCAATCGACTGGAATGTGATTCTGCCAGAGTGGTTCAACATGCGGTTCAAAAGACCAAAAGTGAACGCAGCCCCACTCCCTCCGGCAATCAGAACCAGCTTGTCGTAGATTGCAGTGTCCGGCAATGTCCCATAAGGTCCATCCACTGATACCCAGGTAGCACAACCAGGGTGCTGGATGGCGAACTCACAGACAGATCTGGTGAAGCCTTTGTGTTACTTTATCACGAGCTCCAAGCCAGAAGGGCCATTGCTGACAATCGTAAACGGATGGGCCTGGTAGAGTTGAAGTCGCGGAGTCCATAAGAAACAATGCGAACCTGGCAAGGCGACCTCAACATAAGGCTTTCTCAAAAGCAAGCGCGTTCCACCACCTGGAAGTGGGTAAAATGCAGCATGATTGTTGACGAGGTTGTAGCACATTCTCGCTGCTCGAACGCCACGATCCAGTGACCACATACAGGCAATGAATAGCATTACGACAGGAAGCTTTTTCGCCCAGTCGGGCCGGTGTAGGCCTGTCAGGATGACCGCAGCTATGAAGCCAGAAGTGTGGCTAACATAGAACGTCTGGTACTGCTGATGTCTGAAAACACCCATCAGTAAGATGAACATGGCAACGCCAGAGCCGAGACCTTCTCTGTTGCCTGCTTCACATAGAGTTGCCCCACGACCCTGGCGGCCAAAGTGTATTGTGTAGAAGATAGCATGGAGCAGCACCAAGAATGTCGTGGTGTAGCCAACGATTCGATGGAAGATATTGAGCTGGGTGCGCGATACGGCTGTCACAAGGGCCAGTGGTGTGTTCTTCAGCCCAAAGAAGACACATAGCGCCATGTTCGCAGCTCCCATCCTACGTAGACATGTTAGCCACAAGATCGATCACAGTATAGGTAGTAGCAAATCACCATCCAAATCTGGAGGCAAAATGGTTGACTCGATAGGTAGCAAGTATGGTTGAGGATAGAAGGACGTTGCTCAGGAGGTAGATGCCAACCAACACAACTAGGCCGTGGGACGGTCGACCAAACCACTTCCAGCAGGAACGCTTCTGCAGCTTGCTATGGCCTGTTAGTAGACTAGCAGGTCGAAGTAGAGCTTGCCTATGTACTGGAAAGCCTGGTAAAAGGCCGCAAAGCCATAACGTCGCAGTCGGCGAGATGACAAAGTTGCTGGAGCCTTGCTGCGAGAAGTGTACAACCAGCGAGTCGCAACAACAGAGAGGATCAATGCACAGAGAAAGGCGGCATAGATGGTCAAGGCCTTTTCATTCTTGAGCTGTTTGATGGTCGGAGGCCTGAGCACATGCATCGTGCTCACCGTCGGTATGTTGAGGCCAACTTTTGGTCGTAGATCAAACAACAGGTAAAGATGAGATTTGATTGATAAGTCAGCGAGGGTCACCACAAACAGCTAGTTGCTCTGTGTCTGGCGGATATACGTTTGGGAGTGTGAGGGGATATGCGGACGCCCAAACGAGGACGAGGCCATCTTGCCGTAGGTTCCTGTGGTTCCGAGTCTTGCTGACTTGGTGGCTATCCACACTTCTCGCTTTCGCTGATGCACCTGCGTTATCTGCGGCAAAGATGCTCATCTCTTACTCACGATATCTTATGAGGTCTGAGGAAATTTCATTTGGCTCCATGCCCAGCGAAGCCACGTTGGCAGCCCCTCTCTGTTGTGAGGGACTTCAGGCAGATCAAAGGCTGTGAAATGGCTCACCGGCCGAGAACAAGAACTGATCTGCAAGTAAATATGGGTCATCTCATGGCAACAGGGATGAAGCGCTTGCATAATTCTCACAGTGAGAAAAACCTTCCGTTTTAGACTTCGTGGCACTATTGTGGGTATGATAGCGGGTACACAGGTCAGTAGCATCACCGAACACGGCCTTGGCCATATAGAATTTTTATCTGATCATCGTTATCAGATCAGATAAAACCCCTTGATCTGTGAGATTAGATGAGATGGGAAGCCATCAACTACACAGCTTTCTTCTCCTACCTTCATACCAGTCGAGTCTCTCGTGCCTGCCCACTAGAGCTGTTGTGACTTGTCGGTATGGCTTCTAGCACAGCCGATGCCAAGCCCACGCCAGCTATAGACACTGTTGTCGTTACAACTGAGGGCAATGACCTGAACGAGAAGGCTCTTGCCAGTGCCGACGTTAGCAGTCCTGTGGACGGGTCTGAAACCAAGTCGATCAGGGACTTCCCATTAAAGTGGAAACTTACCGCGCTCACCTGTGGTATCGCCTTGTCCTGGGGCTCGTCGTTCTCGGAGAACACCCTTGGCCCACTCAAGAGCACGTTGAAATCGGAACTCGGAATCGACAATGCTCAGGTAAGCATCCATTCTGGTAGATGAGGGGGGCTTTCGAGGCTGACATCAAAGACAGTACGGTACTATCTCCTCTGCTACGTCGCTAGTGAATACAATCCTCCCCATTCTGGGCGGTTATGGGCTGGATTATTATGGCGTCGAATGGTATGCTTCTCCCATGAGTTCTTCTGATGCACCTTGGGGATTCCGCTGATGTATCCGGCTGTGATCAGGGGCTCGATGGTTTGTTCTATTTTCGTCTTCCTGGGCGCTGTCATTTCGGCGGCTGGATCGAACCAAGACTCCTTCAGTCTCGTTGTAGGAGGCCGAGTCGTCATGGGGTTTGGGAGCACTGTCATTGAATCTTGTACATCCAAAGTCAGTTACAGGCCTTCCCACATACTGGCATAGTCGCATTAACACCCTTTGTGTAGATCCTGGCTCATTGGTTCCAGCACAGGGGCCTTGGTTTGGTGTACGGTGCAGACTTGGCCGTTGGAAAACTCATCGTTCTCATTGCCAAAGCCACGGCAGTTCCGATGCGTGATGCTACCTCGTTCTGGGGATGGGCGTTGTGGATACCGGCCATCGTCTGCTTCGCCAACTTGTTGCAGAACATATTCTACGTCTGGTGGGCGTGGAGTCGGCCAGAATGGGCCCATATACCCACAGGTCAGCAATTAGCCAGGAATGCAAAACAGCGTCAAGCCTTGCAGGCTGAGAAAGGAGAAGCCGTGGTTGTCGATCATGCAACCGTCCGTCGACACACTGCCCTACCCGACTGGAGGTCCCTCCTTCGGGTGCCACGGTTCTTTTGGTTGGTAGTCTGCTCACAGACTCTGCAAGCTGGCGTCGTCGGCGGCTTCAACGGCCTCAGTGCCGATATCATCACCGTGACTCGGGGTTCCACCGCACAGCTCGCGGGCTACACATCGGCCGTACAGAACGTAATCCCCGTTGTCTGCGCGCCCTTGATCGGCGGCTTTTTCGACTTCTTCGGTTACAGGATGCTTTTTGTGAGTCTGACATCGGCCATCTGGATTCTGGTGTACAGCCTCGTTGGGTATACCCAGACCAATGCTCTTGGCTCCATGGTCATTGCATCCCTGGCATCAGCCATGAACGCCCTGCCCTTTTTGGCCTCCATCCCCCTGATGGTGAACAATCAGGTTGAGCTCGGATTCGTTTTGGGCATCTGGAAGGCGTTCAACAACAGTGGAAGCGTCGTGGTTGATATGGTTGCTGGCAGGCTGCAAGATATCACTGCCGGGAACACCTATGAGCGCGTTATTGCTTTCTTCGTGGCCATGAAGGCTCTGGAATTCTGCCTGGGTCTTTTCTATGGTGTACTTGACAGAAGGTATGTCAAGTTCTGCACAAATCACGCTGAAGTGTCTCTGTGGACTAACGATTGGGTGATAGATTCCTCGGTGGCATTCTCACTATGAGCGAGACGAAGCGTATGGCTGTCGAAAAAGCAGGTAAACTTAAGGATCCTGTGGGACGTAAACCTTCGAAAAATTTCACAGCATTCGGACTCGCCATATTGAGCAGCTTGGTTGTCGTTGCTTGGGTTCTGTTCATTCGCTATTCGTTGTAAAGTGGCGACAGAGGCAGACGTGTGGTTGAGCATCGAGGTAAGCCCATGCCTACTGCTGAACATTGGGAGGATAGCAGCTTCGAATGAGGCGGTGGGACGATCCTGCTCAGCAAGGCTCGGCAGGTAGACGGCCATCCAGAAACAGGATGAAGGCGTCACCATGTTCGGAAGTCCAGTAGCGGAACAAGGTAGCGCGAAAGATCCCTGACGATACATCCTCCCAGCAAAATTTGTCAACGCAAGCCAGTTTTGAGCCTTTGAAGCGGTAATATGGGTTCCTGTAGCAGTGAGCGAGTTCGTCTGCAATGGAAAGCAGGTTGGGAGAGAAAGATCAATCAATGCCTTAGGAGCAAAATCGCCCACAGTAAACGCTCGAACTTGCTGAATCCTTCTTGGTACCAAAAGACCAAGCATGGGAGGATGCGCTCAAAGATATGCGGTCTATCCAATGTCTGATATTCACCTCGTGTATCAAACAAGCCGTGCAAACATAGTCAAATCCACTCTAAAGGTATTGGCGTTCGCACGCCTCGAACAAACTCCTCGCTAATCGTGCTGATGGTTTTTCTGAGCACCTTGACCAGCCTTGCACGTTCCGGAATACCATGGAAGTCAGATAGTGCGCAGATGTCTTCGATGGCTCAGAGTGCATGTTATTTGTTCGGTCCAGCTGCTCCTCCTTCCTTAGCTTTTGCTTCGGCTGGTACTATCGTCAGTCGCTTTTCCGCGCTTCCAGATCGTGTGTCGTCGACACCCACCTTTGGCCTGCTTTTGTCTCATAATTTCTGCCTGTTGTTCCTTGGTCCTTTGGAATTCGGTACCCGACTGCGCATTTTTCTTTCCCTACAGAAAGACTGGAGTTAGAGTATGGCACATACAACATTCGGACGGACTGCAGTATCGAAACATGCCTTCCCAGCCTGCTCTTTCATGTTCTTTTCCCGAGCTTTGTCTCTCTGGTTGCCTCGAGTCATGGTGGCGGTATTTGCAAGTGCTGTCTGAACGATAGACTGCTGGAAGTACCAAGCGAGATTGACTGTGAACGCACGCTGATGTACAAAGTATTAGTCTACGAGTGCCGGCAAACGGGGTGACTTTGTGTTAAGAGGAAGGCCGGGCGCAGTTGGAATGAACGAGGCTGCGGTCAGCGTCTCTCAGCCTCAGGCGCTTTTTTTGTTTTTCTCGGAACGAGGTGCGATAATCTCCGGGTCTGACTTCATCTCACTCTTTCACTCCCCCCTTCACTTTCCATCTTTCATATAATTTAAGTTGATCTTTCGCGTCGTTCTGACGACTTGGAAATCGATGTGGCAGTTCGAAGGTACCATAGTCGATCAACAGCCTTATCAGACCAGTCGCACGACTGTCGATGATCCATGGTCGGCGTCTAGCCGGTGACATTTGAACGTGGTGAAGCGTGTTTCAGAATCCCATGTTGGCAAACATGATCGATTCTCAGCCACTCATTCATTTCGCCACTTCAAAGCCTGAGGAAAGCATCAGCTCGAACTCTTCGGCTCTTCGCCGACATTGCATCGATGTCTCTTTCGTGGTCCATGTGGCAAAACATATGGCGTCTGGACAAGTCTGAAACTACTTTGGGAAATCTTCTCAGACAAGAATCGCCGTCCTGCCAATGAACACGTCCGTCTCGTGCAATGCTCATTGCATATACTACAGCTTCAACTCATGCTCGCGCGCTTAACAACAGTGGGAGTGTCAAGGTACACTCGACATCGTCTGAGCAATGCAGAGGCTCATAGAAGGATCTGGTTCTGCCACACCCTCCGACATGATCAATCAGCTTCCCTCCCATTGTCTTTATGCCTCTGTCATTGACTTCTATTCACGCTGCAACTTGCTAATACCTTCAGCTACCTTATTGTCATTTTCTCAGAGCCTCGTTGGATCAATCACCACCTGTTCAAGTCTGTCCTACTGACCATTTACAATTTATCCTGATTCAATCCACCAAAATACCTCGAGCCATCTTCTCAATACCAATCTTCGACCACTTTACGTCTATCGCATACGATCGTCAAAATGCTTGTCTTTGGGAGGTCGCTACTCGGCGCTGGTTTCGTCGTGCTCAACATCATACGGGTCATGAACATAATAGCTCTGCTCAGTGTGGTGGCAGCCAGCTCGGTTATGCTGGTCAAGACATTCATCGTGTCCAAGTTCTTCTTCTTCGATGCCGCCCAGCATGTCATCACGATCATAATGAGCGGTAAGTTGTATGTGACCCAGTACGCTCGTGGTTGCTGATTCGATCACAGGGTTTCTCATCATCACAGAACTACCCTTATTCAAAACCTACATAGGTCGAAATTGGCCACTCTTTAGTGCTCGATCTGGGTTCCTCATGCTTGGACTTGCCATGGTCTTCCTTGGCAACAATATGCTTGGGAATCTCAACAAAGAAGCAACAAGTCAGGAGAGCTTGGGACTGCCGTTTTGGCGCCTGGTCATTGCTTCGGGGATTATCGTTCTGGTTATGGGTCCAATCAACATTTTGGCCGTAAGTTCTTGCAGGAACAAACGTTGATCAACATGCTAACTGTTACTAGACCTTTATCTTCAGAGACAGAAAGACCCAGGTCACTGCCCGTCAAGTCCGTTCTCATGGCGCTGTCGCCTCGCACAAGGTCGATGTGGAAGCTGCAACGCCGAAACCTCCAAGCCGGCGAAGTCATTACCGATCTTTCTTTCTCGGCACCAAGCGCGATTCCCTACCTCCGTACAATTCGCGCAAGGCTACGAAGCAGAACGACATGGTCGAGACACCTAAGATGCATCTCGCCATTTCCAGTCCCTTTCAGACGGTTCAGAGTCCAGGTGGAGCAAGCTCGAAATACAGCCAGAGTCCCAAGTCTGAGCGATATTTTGTGAGCCCAGAAATCAGCCGACCAGATTTGGCCCGTCACCCTGCAATTGCACACGGACAGGCTCTTTAGGAAAGAGCTGTCGTGAACGGGTTGGAGTGCCAAAAGGGTCCTTGGTCTACGGCGAAACAGGGTTGATGACCTTCATTTAGTTGCGTTGATACCACAGATGATACCATGCAGGATCCACACAGGCGTTGAATATTACTGCTTATCTTGAAAAGAGCAACGATTCATAGCAAAGGTGTTGGGTGAGGCCAGCACAGAGCCTTGCATATTTCCGCCCGGATATGGAACAATCGAGCACAGCATACACGCAATAATAAAGATTTATGAGAATTTCGCAAACACATATTCGTGCATTTCTGTCCGATTTGCCTTTTCACATCACGCATATTAGTATTCAACACTCGGTACTGCCTTTGACGAGATACGAGTACCAAGGCAAGGTCAGGCGCCTTGTCTAAGTCAGAGGCGCAGAGGTAAGGCTCTTCGAAGATGGGTCGGTCAGTCAGTACGAGTGGTGGTGCACGATCCTGACCCAGACCCGTCGTCTCCTTTTCACCCCTCCCCTCCTTTCGCGCTCTTTAGCGAACCGTGGCGAACCCCTCCTTTGGACTTTCTCTGGTGTCCTCTTTTTCCGTCCCTTCTCAATTCGGTAGTTACCTTTTGTTCCCTATCCCTCTTGTTTCCACCTTCCATCACGCCTTACGCCCCCACAGCCATGCCAATGGACCTTTCCGTCCCACTCTCGTGCCGTCTCTAGGCCTGTGACTGCTCTTCATTTCCCACGAGGTCCGTCGCTCCTCCGGTTCAGGCAACACTCTTGCCTAACAGAGTAATCTACACCTCAACTTCATGAAACAACAGGGCGATAATCGCCACTCAAGTGGACCCCTTTGGGCCTTCGAGAGGCGATAACGTTCAGGCAACATCCAGGATCATGGCTTGGAGATATGCGCGAGGCCCATGAGACTGCATTAATTCCTCCATGTTGCAAGTCGCAAGACGGCTCAGCTTCAAGTGCTGAGGTTCGTCCCTTTTCTCAGAGACCAAGCTCTACAGGTTCATGTCTACAGTGCGCTTTCTCAGGTCGCGCACTTTTTCACAATCGTATTCGAATGCCCACGTCGATAGCCCTCAGGCCGCCACGAAGACGAGAATCAGAAACGCCGTCAACAATGGCATTCCAAGCACTGACCAGATCTCTGGCTCTGCTATGCCAGAACGCAAGCTCCTGCCCATTCGCAGCGACTTCACTTCGCGCGGCGTAGGGCTGGGAGCGTCTTGCTCGCGATCCTATCGCCGAACAGTACCTCGTATTCTTTATCCGGCAGACAACCAGTCAAACTGCTCTTCTTATCAGAAACTCCACAAGGTACGTACCTCATCCCCTGTCACTTTTTCTATCCCCATCCTTGCCCCGATCCTCAGCTTCTGGCCCTTCGCAGACCTGAAAAGCTGGGATCGACGGTACGCCACCCCGAACCTTTTGCCTGACACATTGCCGCCACGATTGGAATGATACTCCGTACCTCGTACCCGTCGCTTATTTGCCCACGACTGTGACGGGGTTCAGGATTGGCAACGTTATATGTGTCCTGCTTTTGTCTGGATGCCCTCGACCTCTACATGGACTATTCCTTCGATCAGTCACCCATGGCCACAGGCGCAAAGGAACGGCAAATCCACCACGGTGAACCTCTTTCTGCTTGGAGAAACCTTGCGATTGCGATCGACGGCTGTGTCAGGAAAAGCGTAAGCATGGAAACTTTGCGGCTGGCATGCTCCATTTCCAATCTGTTCGGGTATCACATCCAGACACTCCTCGGGTTTGCCGCGTATGGACTTGACTCAGTTGTCTCTGCTGCCTTGTGTTTGTCGCCAGGCATTGCTATGCGATCTGACAAAAAGAAGCGGCAGGGCGTTTGACCATACATCACACATAAACAATGCGCGGCACACAGCATCGAGAAGTCACATCGTTCAGTGGTTTGTATTCGAATTGTGTTGTTTGTGTAGCATATATCATAAAACCGCCTCTCCAACCATGCCAATGCCAATGTACATCGCACATCACATTCCATATCACCACCAAAATCAGTAGATCGTAAACATCGTAGTCTTAGACAAAAGGAGGCGAGGTCCCATATATCATCATATCATTCATGCATTCATATCGTCCATGCGTCGTCGCCTCGAAGTGTGATCACTCAGGAGAACATCCAACCACCACCACTCCGCCTCCGACCCGGACTCTTACTCTTGCTCCGTACGACATACATCTTATCTCCCTTCTTGACATACTCATTCGGCACCAGTGTCGTAATCTTAGTCGTTTCCTTAACGTATGGCCCCGTGGTGATCAACTTCCGCTCTTTCAATCGGCGTGTATGTTCGAATAGCTCGTCTTGAAATGTATTGTCAATGTACTTCTTGATGATGATGTACTCTGTGTCGCGCTACACAAAAATTGCAAATGTTAGCCTAACAAACATCCAACAAACAAATGTGTCCCACTTCGAAGGAACGTTCGTGCGTTTGCAGACTCACCGAATCCCATTCCCAAGGCAAACCATAATAATCCAATGTATCCGGGTGCAAGTATTTGCGATTCACCTTGATAAAGGTTGGGCGGTGCAGATCGATTGCCAGCGTTGCGCGCTCTTGTTTCTTCTTGTGCAGAATCTCCTCGACGTATTCTGGACTGTAGCCTGTGTAAACGCAGAAAGGAATTAGTACATGTTAACCCATCGCAAACGGGCACCAAATATGGCAGTGTTGCGCAGAACTCCACAGAGCCAGCACTGTACTACCAGTACCGATCATAAGGATAGGAAGGGTACTGCATACCAGCATTCATGAACTTCTCCTTGACCTTCCTCTCAAACTCCTCTTCCTCGGCCTTTTTCTTCTCCTTCTCCTTCTTGAGCCTCTCCTCTTCTTCGCGCAGGATCCTCTCCCTCAGTTCCTTCTGTTCCTTCTTCTTTTTCTCTTCCTCGAGTTTGCCTTCTAGCAAGATGGCCTCTCTTTCCTTTTGTCTCTTGATTCGCCTCTCCTCCTCTTCCAACTGCCATCGCCGTTTCTCGTCATCGCGGGATTTTTTGGCCTGGTCTTCGCGTGCAATGGTAAGTTCTTTTCGCAGACTATACGACAAGTCATCCTCGTAGACTTTGCTGTGAGGGCGGTGCCGTGATCTTGATCGACCGGTGTAGTAATCTGAACTGGACGAGCGACTGTCGTAGTGACCGCCACGGCCTCGACTACGGCTGCGGCTGTGCCCGCGTTCCGAGCCTGCGACATTGATGATGGTCTGTGTGGGTCGTTCGCCTGTGCTCGAAGCACGGGGCCGACCTCCTCCCGGAACAAGCAGGTTGTTGTTGATCACGATATCTTCTTCCACTCCTCGATGTGGTCTTCTTCGTCCTCTGCCGCCGTAGTCACTCCCAGCATGACTTTTCACTGGCATCAACACATATTCGCCTTCGGAATCGTCAGAGTATCGTCGAGCCATTGTGGTTGTCTTCGCTACGGGTAATCAAAAATCCCTGGCTTTACCCCTCAAATGGGCGCAGTTCAGCCTGGTCAGACCTTTGCTGAATAAACTCGCAGTGGAGGCGGGGTAAGGCTGGTAAGCGCCCAGTTGCAGCACAATATGGGGCGCAACAATGATAGGATTGATCGGTGACAGATGCAGCTGTAGAAGAATAAAGGTAGCAATATGCTTCCCACAAATGCTTCAAATTTTGCGCACTTGAACAGAGAAAGAGAGAGAGAGGTAGTGAGAAGTCGACCGCAATTTCAGCTGGTGGTGGGGGGAGCCACTAGGTTTATGGAACATCTGCTGCTGCTGCAAGCCTGGAGCCAGCCACAAGATATGCACGTTTGGGGGCCGCCGTCCACCTGGTCCAGGTCAAAATCTCAGTCAGTTTCTCTCGGCTTGCTTCCGGCCCAATTCTTGTTGCCAATCAGAATGAAACTCGTATAAAGAAAACACGGTTGACCGGGATCAGATGCCTCAGCGCCGCTCAGTTGTCTTTGTTTTTGTGTATGAATGTCTGCTATACGTTTGATTAGTTCTGAAAACTGTGACAAATTCGCTCCATCTAGGCGGCCATCTGCGCTGACAACAAAGATCAACATGCCTGAGGCTCTTTGGTGACAAGCCGAACCCATTTTCCGGTAGCAAACAGCATTTTTGTGGGACTGTTGGGCGGCCTGAATGCAGCTTCATACTCACAAGTCGTCATTGACCAGATTCATTGATTAGGCAAAGACTTGTGACACCATCCTCAAACTGCCGAAACCCGCCCTCTGGGGCCAAAACGATCTGTTGCGTTTGATGTTGAACCCCTTTTCGCTGTAGGCTCCTTAGAGCCTCAATCGTGAAGCAGAGAGGCATGTTTCATTCGAGCTAACGCTCATCTGCATCTCTCAATCGACTTTAGCGGCGTCCAACGTGCCCTCAGACTTGCACCGTTGTAGGCAATGTATGTTAGACCAGGGCATGAGACAGTCTGTTGTTCCTTTGTCGTGACGGCAATTCGGACGCCCATCGTGCATCAAGGCTGTGGCATGCCAAGTTTAGATCTTGGATTCTTGCTGTGTTTCTGCATAGTGGGCGGTCAAGATGTCACTACGGACAACATGGTTTGTGAGCGTCCTCACTGATCCATCCATTTCGTGCAACATTGAGATTGCCACGAGCAGATGTGCAACGCGCTGGCAAATGAGGTTCAGTCACTGAGTTCCTCAGGGCCGAGCTCCAGTCTGCAAGATCTTCTCAATGTGTTGCCGGCTATTCTTGTAGGTGGTCTCTTGGTAGTGCAATTTCTTTTCCAAGTCCGATATGTCTTTTGACAATGTAGTCGACTCGGACTCCAGTCGCTTGTTCAGCGTCGGTACAGGCACCGCAACGAACCTGTTTCCATTGTATCAGCGAAGTTAGACCTTTGTTGGGCATTATTCGGATTGCCTACATTTTTCCCACTCCTTCGTATACGTTTGTGTCCTTGTCTAGCGATTTGAGCTCGTTGGAGGTAAGGAGATTCAATCGTGCATCGCGTCGTTTGGTACTGAGTTCGGCCTGGGTCTGGGTGATTTTCTGCTGCGAGAGTATTGCCTGCGTCTCGACTTCTTGAAGCAACTACCAGAGGATCAGAAGTCTGCCGATTATCACTGAAGGAGCTAGTCAAACCTTTTGCAGGGCAACGTTAGGAATAGACATCTTGAATGGGCTGCAGGCGGATGTGCTTTGTAAATTGAAATGCTGAGCGACAATATTCTAAGTAAAGAATCAGGTCAGTCCTCCGCAAAAGTACGCGCATGCGAGGGACGATCTCAGGCCAACGCAATTGGTTCGTCGAGCATGCCAGTTCCGAGATGCTTGAGAGGCGCAAGCCTGTTTAGGGTTGAGATCCGAGGTTCGAGGGACAGTTGATTACCCAAAGAGACAGGAAACACGGACTCAGCAGGTGAACCACATGTGCCTGCCTACTTAGGCGCCGATTGATCACCCCGGAAGTGCCTAGGCTGGTTTGCTGGGCATCACTTTAGGCTACGTCACTCCATCTACAGTCAGTTCCGAGTTGGACGTTTCATAACCTGAAAGTAGCAAACAAAAAAGTCGCCTCCACGATCCATCCATCTTGTTAAGCACCTTCAGTTGTACTCTTCCGCTCTTTCAGACGTATCCGGTAGTTACCAAGTCGCTCGGTCCGCATTTCTCTTTCTACGAACATGATATCGTGATCGAACTCCAGAACCAGAGCGAGCGCCGAATAACCCCGGCCGCAAAAATGCCATCATGGCTACCCTCGATCCCTTACCCTCCGCCGGACCAGCCAGGCTACTGGGATCCAGTCACAGCCACCCTGCAATGGTGTGAAGAGGTACGAGTGGCATCTACAAGAGCATGGAGTGCCGGGCTGACAGCAGAAGGACTACTATGCCACATACTACTCCGCCGAGATCATCAATACCCTCACCAATATCATGTTTATCTACCTTGCATACAGAGGGGTTCAAAGCTGTAGAAAACAAGGTCATGACACGGTCTTCGAGGTCGCATATTATGGCTATTTCCTCGTTGGCTTTGGGAGTCTCATGTTTCACACCACATTGAAATGTAAGTGTCCTCAGACGTACTCGGGTGCGCTGCTTATATGGGACCAGATCCCTGGCAATTGGTCGATGAGCTGAACATGATCTACACCACATGTCTCATGGCATATGCCAGTCTTTCATACTCACGTCCAGCCAGTCACCAGATAGCCCTCGGAGTCTTCTTGTCTCTCTTCTGTGCTGGTATCACAGTGTATTACCACTACCTGCAGGATCCAGTTTTCCACCAGACAGTCTACGCATTGCTTACGGTCTTCATTGTCTTTCGGAGCATATACAGTATGGAATTCAGCCTCCGCCCATCACTTAGGAAAAGTGAAGAGGAGCATCGTATCGAGAGGAAGCAGCAAAATCTACCTGTGCTGAGCAAAGAAGAGCAAGAATACGAAAACAAGCGAGACCTTGATATCCTGAAGGAAATGTGGTTCTTTGTCGTGTTTGGCATAACCGTGTTCGTTGGCGGTTTCGGCATTTGGGCATTGGATAACACTTATTGCTCGACTCTGCGTCAATGGCGTCGAAGTATCGGCATGCCGTGGGGGTTTGTGCTAGAGGGACATGGTTGGTGGCATCTGATGACCGGTCTCGGAGCATATTGCTACATTCTTTGGGCTATTCACCTGCGACACATTCTCAACGGTGACCAAGAACACTTCCGCCTGGTATGGGACAAGATATACCACCTGCCCGAGGTGGTCAGAGTTTCGGAACCGCCGGCAAAAGGCAACGGAAAGGTCGCCAACGGTGATTTAAAGAAGTTGAACTGAAATCTGGAAACAGTCAGGCCAACAAATGTACCATAAGTCAGAGCATCCCCAAGACTTGTATCGAAGTCGGCTTTTGACATTTGGAGATACCCATGCAACCACCCAATCTGACTTTGATGTTGAAATTAGCCAATCCGGTACACGCTGTATGAGGCCACCCATTGAACTGAATGTAAGCAACCTGGAGCTTAGAGAACCAAGTCAGACCAGCAAAACAATTGCTGTTTCTTATGTACAGCGCATATCAGTACATTGGCCATCTCACCGATATTGCGAATTCCCACATCCTTCCTTCGATACCCTCTCAAAATGCCGAAAGGAAGCTGCCTCTGCGGCAAAGTAACATATACATTAGAGATCGATCCTACCACGACTCAACAGGTATGAACCTCCCATCTTCGAGCTCACACAATGCCATTGACTGGGAAAGACATCAGCATGTCACTGCCGACCGTGCCGCAAGATCACAGGTGGCACGACATCGCTGAACTTGACCGTGCCCGCGACAGCCTTCGTCCTGAACAGTGGGGCTCTGAAGACGGTCAAGACGCAGCACATAGACGAAGGCTTCGACTTTACACTGTCATTCTGCGAAGACTGTGGTAGCCCAATATACGCGGAAGCTCAGTTCCTACCAGACAAGCGGATCATCCAGGTTGGAACGTTGGACGACGAAGAGTACTTGCAACGTGCGCCGACTGCGGAACTTAACGTGAAGCACAGGCTGCACTGGATCAAGCCTATTGACGATGCGGGACAGAGAGAGAAATATGTATAGTACCCTTTTAACGGGCCATCGGATAGGAAGGCAAGGCGTCACATGCGGACCATACCGTCGTCTGTAAAGTCATAGATCTGTGGTGACAGTACCCTGCTGGACCATCTCGAGGTATCCCAATAGCTCGGGAGTTTATCTGCCAGCGTGAAGAGCGTCGATCCTTGAGTCGCGTGCACCATACCTTTTCGAATTCCGCGTCGAAGAGCAATGCCGTTGCTTATATACCATACAGGGCACGGGGAATGGAATGTGGGGCGCCTTACCAGGTAGCTACGGTCACGTTGCGGTCAGCATCTGAAGTTGCATCTTCAGATCGAGGCACATTTGTCAGTCTCTCACTCCGTACGGCGCCCGGTCGATCGCTGTCTGTCTAAGGCTCCTCGAAAGTATATCTGTGGGAGCTGCAAAGGTGGGCATTGTCTCTATGTCACCAACGGTGACGCTCACAAACCCTTGTGCCTGATAGCTCAATTCCTGCAGCATGGACGACGGTCGAGCCTCTGGATATGTGCTCTACTACAATCAGTACTCAGTCTGTTCATTGATGGTGTTGTATAGTCTGGCCCTGAAAGGAGAACGCAATGACTCCGAAGATGAGATCAAAGTGCAGACCAGGGTTGTTGACATCTTCCACGAAGAACAACTAGAGGAACATTTCCTCTGCGATATCAACCACCATGGTCAGGTAAGCATATCATCCCGCGAGATGCTCGTCGCTAAAGACACCGAAACCAGGTTCCCGTGCTGGCACACAGAAGTGAGCTGGATAGACCCATCGCCGACAGTGTAGAGATGACACTTTGGTTGGCAGCACGATACCCGCAGCTGATACCTGCCGTGCACGAGGGCGAGATCCGCCAATATTTGAAGGATCTTCATGCGCTGAACTATTTCTCCTTATCATTTCCTGGACGGCCTGAGGTCGCTCAAGGGTTTGAGGATGGGGTGAATCGGCGCCTGGATGACCCTAATATCTCCGACCGATATCGAAAAGCGCTGGAATTCAAACTCGCAGTGTGAGTATTCAACTCTAAGACAGTGAAGTCTCAAGGCTAAGATAGCACCAGGATAAAGCGGGACAAGACAGGTGGGCTGGTGCCCTCCGAGACCGCCAAAAATGAAAAGCATGCTCGAGAATTACTTGCATCCTTGGAGAATTGTCTTGGCCGACCTGATCAGTGGATATATGGATCACAGCCAACTGCGCTCGATGCGCATCTGGTTGTGTTCATGGCACGCATGAGCGACGTAGGTCGCGACCAATTAATTCCAGAAAAGCTCAAACAGTACGGGGCGTGGGCCATGCAAAGCCCAGAATGGATCAAAATGATGGACGGGAGAAAGACTATGATCCCTCATTAGAAGAGAGCTTTTCTGCGGCAAGCACATTTTGCGGTACAACAAGCCGAAGCCTTGCCATCGAGCCCTCGGCCACGAGCCTCGTGCTAGGTGGGTAAGGCAAGCAGCTCTTGGATTGCTTCAGTTGTTTCCTCCGGACTCTCCATTGTCCAGAAATGGCCTCCGGGCATGTACTTCACTCGCACTTCCTTCGCATTGGGAATGTACTCTCTCGCGGCTTCGTAGAACTCGCGGGGTTGGGTTCTGCTTTCGTAGCCCTGCATAATCATGACTGGACACTTCCAGGTCCTGAGCAGCCGATTGCGGCGATCGAGCCATTCAGCCCGAAACGTCGATGAGTTGAAGTATCGTGGGACGGCGCGAGTTATACCAAGGTAAGAAAACTCCTGGATGATACGAGTGAACTCGTCGTCTGGGATAGGTCGCTTCGCTATCCACGTGTAAACCCACACCACGAATCGCTTGGGGTCTTCCATTATCCCAGTATATGGTGCGTCTTTGAAGATGTCACCTTGTGGAGCCAGAACAGGGTTGAAGTGGTATAGGTGTTGCTCGCCACGACCATAGCGCAGCACGGCTTCTGGGTACTTTGCTACAATGTAGTCGGCCTGTACGGTACCTCGATCGTGGGTGACGACGTTGAATTTCGTGGCGGCCACGCCTATCTTTTCGAGCATGGCATAGAGGTTGTCTGCAGCCCCTTCATGACGATAATCCCCCGGCTTCTTTTCTGACTGCCCGTAGCCCTTGAGATCGGGGGCGATACATCGATAGTTCTTGGAGAGCATTGCCATTTGGTGGTGCCATTGATACCAAGAATCTGGTATGCCGTGAAGAAAGACAATTGCTTCTCCAGTCCCAGCTCCCACGTAGTGAAATCTTACAAACTCGTGATCTCCCGGTGCATCCACGAAGTGGTGCGTAAACACCACGCCATCCAGAGTTTCCGTGTCATCGTCTTGGTCTGAAGGGCGGGGCTTGACGGAGTCAAAGTGGCGGGCACGTTCCTCGACTAAAGCCTCCGGGGGTATAAAGTTGTCGACTGCTTTTTGGGCCCTTTCCGGAAGCTCGGTATATTGCGGTGCTGACCTGGTCTCAACTGAGGCATCGGTACCTGAGGGAGACATCTTGATTCGACTGGCAACACAACAACGTTTTGTGGCTCAAGGATGTAAGCTGCCACGACTCCATGCGCCACTGTTTGAGTGACTTATATATCTCTCAGGCCATGGGGTAAGGGGGCCTGGCTGACGGCTAGTATACGAGTCTGACGGAGGCCTCTGCGCATCAGATTCAGTCTGCAGCTAGCGTCGCGCAGCTTCTGCAGGGTCAATCAGGATGATCCCCGCAACAATCACATCACATCCCTCTTGGGGGGTGCATGGCGGGGCAGGGCCTGATTCCGATCTTACCGAGCATATTGAATACTGGGGAACAACCAGCAGGGACTTGACTTCCCAGAGGTGGTGAACTGTCAAGTCTTTCTCAACTACGAGAAATGGTAATTGTCAGATAGTGAAGTGACGATGTTGTCATTGTTGATGTCCTCGGCAAGGTTCACATCCGCAAAAGCCGTGACGTGATTGGCTAATTGTAGACGTCAATATCAATCCTCCCTTTCAATGACTATCAACAGTCATGGTCGTCCTTTTCTACCACATTCCACAACACATGAACACGGCTCCATCTTTGCACTGAATACATAGTCTTTGCCACGCCTAGAATCCTGTCAGCGGCCGAATCAATCCAGCAACGCACGCACATCTCTGAGGGCAGCCAACCCAAGGTAGATCTCGCCCAGATCATGGCACGAGACACCATACACGTCTTCCACCCAACCACCTCAAACCCCTGACTCCAGTCTCTCATAAAATGGCAAATCCACCACCCAACGCCTCGACAATCTCCAACCTCCTATCAACGCACCGCGCATTGGTAGAAACAGTAACATCCTTCCTCACCATCGCAACCCACCACATCCTCTACCTCCGCCGGCTCTATCCACCAGTCTCCTTCCTATCCGCCCGGGCCTACAACTACCCCGTCCGCCAAAACCGCCACCCCCAAGTATGCCAGTGGATCACCGACGCCATCGCCGCAATCCGCGACCAACTCGAAAAGAACACCGTCGAAAAAGTCAGCCTATGTATCTACGAAACTACCAGTAACCAAGTCCTCGAACGCTGGACATTCGACCTCCGCTCTTTCCCTACTGTCGCCAAAAAGGACCGTGACATCCCCTTCGACACCACTACCCCAGCTCCCGTGCCAGCACCAGCCGCAGCGCCAGAAGACCAGGAAGACTTACTCGCCAAAAAGCTCAACCTTGCTGACCTAGAAGCCAATTTTCGTGCCACGCTCAGTCGAATAAGCACCGCCGCGACGAAACTGAGACCACTACCCAGTGACAGTGACACACCTGACGCTCCGGAATGCAGTTTCACCTTAGCCATTGAAGTCAAAGACAGCGCCGACAGACCTGTAGGCCGACTCGAGAAGGAAGAGCGGAAATGGATCGCCGCTGAACCGGTCACCTTCGGTGATGACGGCGACGATGACAACAGAAACAACCAGCACGGTGCCAACGCACCAAAGACGCACGCCGTCCGCCGACTCGAGGCAGGCGAGCTACGTATGGAAGTCTGGGTCGAGGAGTCTGCTGCGAAATTCGAATACGGCCTTCCTCAGTCCTCGGAACTATCTGCGGAGGCGCGACGTGCTAGAATGTCCTACGGTGCTGGAACGGAACGATTCGATCCTGGAAATGAATATGATCTGGAGCCACCAGACATCAACAAGAGACCTCAGGGTGGTGCTACGGATTACCAAAGAGATAGATGACTTTCTCCCCCTCGGTCACCACCAGTCACAGAATCATATAAACCTCTCGAAAAGCATTTGCATAATTATGATGCATCCTGATTATGTGTCCTAATCCTGTAAAGTCATCCCATCTGCGCCTGGTATCGAGACTCTGCTATTTCGGACCTCCCTGGCTGAAAGCTGTCGTAACACAATGAAGCCAGCTGAATAATGCTAATGGCACACAAACAATGCTTTCTTTTATTGGTTTCGGATGTCCGTCAGCTCTGTCTGCCGTTCTGCACAGTTCATCGATGTCATCCTGCAAAACCACGGCCACTGAGGATGCATTTGCTGTTGTAGTGTTCCTTAGTGTGCCATTGTCCACCCATGAAAACCGACCGCCATGTTTTGTTGAATGAAAAGAAGGAAAAGAAGAGGTAAAATGATGCCAATACTCCGCGTATCCCAATCAACAAGACAACCCGGGCGTGAGCAAAACGTCGTGTGAAAACAGCTCTTTTATCTGAGGCCAACCATTCTTCATGTCCTGACAACACCATAAATCGTAGGGCCGTCCACTTTCCAGCGTCCAGTGAGGAAGACGAATATAACTCCGTTTGTTCGCAGCGCCCTCTTCGCGACATCACCCTAGCCATGCACGTGGCACCCACCACATCTTCAGAACCATTGTTGCGCGTGGCGCCCAATGCATTGACACGTAACACAAGCTTTGTTCGCAGCGCCCCTCCTGAGTCAGAAGGCCCCTACTAGTATGTTGCGCGCGGCGTCTTCTTCTCTTCAGAAAGTTCAGATGGCCGCAACATCCACCTCGCTCAGCTATGTTGCGCATGGCGCCCCTATGCACGTCTTTTTCATCGACGACGAGGGTTAGCGAACGCATCACGGACAGGATCCGGTGCTACGTATGGAGCAGGCATATTTCTATGCATTGTGGCTGGGTTGGGCAAGATCACTTGGGGTAATCCTTGGGGTCCAGGTTGAATATCGTTGTCCGGCGCCATAGCCCATCCGTGCAAAAGGAAATTGAAGCCGTTGTCCTCATTATAATCGTTCATCCATGCCGGAGCAGGCCAGCGGTCGCCATGATACGCATTCATGTCCATGCCTCCGTGGGCATTGGCCCCTTCAAGAGGCACATACTGCGGTTGTGCGTTCATGTGCGTCGGCGGAATGCCAGGCGGTATAGGAGGAGCCAAGTTGGCCATTGCCTGCATATTGACTTGGTGTTGCTGACGCAGTTCTTCTATTCTGACGAGTTGTTGAGCCTGGCGTTGTTGACGCAATTCTTCCATCCTGGCATGCATGGCGCGCATTCGATGCTCTCTGTCGCGGGCTTCCCTCGCTGGCCTAAGCTGCATTTCAGGGTCGTGATTCGGTATTGGTTGCACCTGTCGGGGTTGTTCGTGCCAACGGACTCGTCCAAGTAGCGCCTCAAGCTCCGGATCTGGCATCAGATCTTGCATAACGGCAACACGTGCTTGTAGGTCCTGAACGCGGCGCTGACGATTATTCAAACGACCCGCACGGTTGTTCATGCCCCGATACATGACGTTTGCTGCAGCATGATCGTCCAATTTCGGCTTTGGCGCTTTCCCAGACTCGATCCGAAGTCGGGATTCGTCAATAGACGCATTCTGATCCTTGGCTTTCTTGATCGCTTCGATTTCGGCTCGCATGGCCTCTTCTTCATGCCTATCACCACCGTCTTCATCATGCAACCGACATTTGGCACCTGGTTTGTTGAAATGATCATATGGTCTCTGGCCCAGAGCTGTGAGATCAGCGTTGCACACATAACACATCATAGTGTTACAAGTGCTGCATGTCATCTTGTTGCAGCCTTGCTCCTTCATGATCTTGACCTTGCACTTCGGACATATTCGCATGACTGCTTCAGATCTTGCTTCCTCCACGGCGTGAAGCCCATGAAGATCGTTGTCCCGCTGGTTTTCCTCACAAGTCCTTGGGAGATGACTATCCATTTCACACTTTCTGCACGTGGCGCGTTTGCACTCTGGGTTGAGACAATAGAATACTGGATCCTTGTCGACATTTTCACAGACGGCCTGATAATCGCACCATTTGCACTTTTCGAGCCCTTCAATCCCGGCGAGTCTGACTTCTGCTTGCTGCTTATTCAGGGCAAGCCGATCAAATGTCAGGATGGGGACGGCTTTTCCGACTGCTTCATTGGAGAGCTCAGCAGTGCAACCACTCCCATCCATACAACGCATCTCGTACTTCAACATGCCGACCTGATTATCAGCTAACCCTTCAACACACACGTAGCAAAAAAAGTGCGGTTCGTCTGCCATGCATTCAACCACGCGATTTAGGGGAATCTCCTCATCGAAGCAGCATTGACATTCCACAAGAGCACCCATTTCCTTGTGTTTAGCCAGGTTGAGAGCCTCCGCTTCCTCTTTGGCTTTCTTTGCAGCTTCTTGAATGGCCTCTCGAGCAACATGTTGTCTAGCAGCCTGGAGTTCATTGACCCGATTGTGATATTGATAGGGGATACGGCGATCAGAGATGCCGAGTTGATATTTCTTCTCGATTTCCTTCCTCGGTTGTCGCAGTCGTGCGTACGGCCGGAGGTTTTTGGCAAAGAACTGATCTTCCCTCTCTTCTATGTAGACATACGAGTCAAAGATGGACTTCTTCTGCGTGACGATGCTTTGGATGTAGTGCGTCGGCACATGGTCAAAGGTCTTTGCAAGCAGGAGCACAGCATCCTTGCGGTACATGTCGTCTTTGAACAGATCTCGATCCCAGGATATCGTAAAGCCCGTTCCGTCCTCTGGTGCAGCAGTCCGGCTTCCGGAGGATTCTACGCCAACTTCCTTCGGATACGAGTCCAACTCAAGGATCTCGGCGATAATCCTCTCAGCAAGGGGTGGTGCTGCGAGTTCAATGACTTCATCGTCTTCGTCAGTGTAGATTGGCTGCGGTCCATGAGCATGGATTTTGCCCACCACAAACGCAACCTCGATGTCGGGAAACACCTCGAGGACGCTTTGGAGACATTTGTCATCAGGTTCTTTGCTGCGCACTTCACTGTCCGTCTCGTCAGGAGAGTCCGAGTCACTACCATGAACAACATAAACATCTAGCATCTTTTGCCTCATCTTCGCAGCCTTTTTTTCCCATTTTTGGCGCTGATCTGCATCCCATTTCTCGCACAACTCTTTATGACCTTTGACAGTGCCGAGGACGACAGGAAATCGTTCGTAGCCTGGGCCTTTATACATCTTCACATCGAAGCGGCTGTCAACATAGTAAGGTGGCTTCTCACGCTCTTCCCTCAGGTTTGTCTCTTGCTTAGGTTGGGGGACATAGTTCGCAGCGATCTGGCCGGACGGTCGTGCAGGAAAGACAGTCTGTCCGAACCTAGCAAGACTGTGACTATCATGGCCGGTGTATTCAGGCTGAGGAGCAGGATTCATTGGCGGTCTGTGAGGAGCCTCATACCGGACTCGATGGTTTTGCTCAAAGTTGTGATGATATTGAGCGTAGTCCTGAGCGGCCATAGGTCCAGGTTCGAGACCAGTCCTGGCACGTTTGTAAAGGGGAGATCGAGATCCTCGGTGTGTCTGTTCGCCGCCGTTCATGTTGTCACCTGTTGAGGGCAGATTGGCCGAGTCCCTGCTTGAAACTCGTCGGTGGCGTGGACGATTGAGGAGAGGAGGTCCAACAGGGGTTTGGTGGTCAGAATCGTCGTCAGAGAGTATTTCGATTACGGTTCTTGTGTCTGCATTCGGCTGAACTCGATGAACTCGATGTGCGGACGGGAGCATCTGGAGAGCACCATGGTGGAATCGTTCACGCATCCTACCGGGAGGATAGTTAGTCATTGTGGAAGCCATGCCCGAGTATGGTTGTAGTCATCGGACTTCTTCTCAGCAAGCAGGGTACCAAGGGAGGAGATGATGGACGGAACTGATAAAAGTCAGGTGGAGGTATCTTACTCTTCGAGCCCGCCAATAGCGTGGTTTTCCATGCTGATGTACAATCAGCAGTGGTGACAGGTTGAGGCTGTGACCGAAGAATGCGAGAATCAGAGACTGAGGACCATTGGTTTTGCATTGGCGTAGCAGTGACAAGACGAAGATTACTGCTCAGGATCTAGTCCCGCATTCAGATCGAGGTGGGAGACACGAAAGATCTGGTTTGACAATAGCCTGGGACGAAGTGGTCATTTGCGCAATACAATCAAGGCATCGAGGCAGTGATTCTGCAGGGATAAGCGCGAACAAAGGAAGGGCTATTGAGTTAGCAAAAGCAGTCAGTGAGTGAAGTGTGAAGTCAAGACTGGAAATGTTAGAATAAACTCGGGCGAAAATTGTGAAGACAAGTGACAAGGCCTCTGTGCATTTTGTTGGTACATCTTGTCGGATTAGAGTGTGAACAAGTGAGGTTGAAGCCGTCAAGTGGAAGGGTCAATGATGCAGAGCGACAACAAGAGAGGTGTGGCAGAATGCAGGAATCCCACCTTGCCTTGCCCGCACTCGTTCGCTCGCGGCGCCCGTAAGGGGAGGGCAGACACCAAGGCGGCGTCTAGGCAGGCGGGGTTGTTCCATCAGGCAGACTCCCTTCTCAGGACTCACTGAAGTCTACCTCAGTAGTCTCACGAGAAGACTTTATCAGGTAACCTTTCATCTGTCTCCTGCAGGAGTATCAAAATCATGAAAGGTTTGAAAGAACAAATAAATGATCGACTTTTTGTTTACAGATTCGACATATCTGTCCTAGTAAGAAGTTGGGGGCGGAATTGACCCCGCCATGTGCTTTGACTGCCTGCCCTGGGGTTCGCAGGGAGCACTTCGCTATCCTTCAGCAGTCTCGAGCCTGCTTTCTCACAAATGGCTTCAGGGTCAACAGCAGTCGTATCAGCTGATGTGGAATACTCTGCTCCTGTGAACTGAGCCCAGTTCACTTAATGTTCCCCCTTTGCTCTGCAAAGTTTGTGGGTGATGCGCCTTGTGATCATCATGTCTAGTTGTTTCTGCTTCAGTTTCTCCGCGCTTCCTTCTCCTTGCTAACCTGCCTGTCTGTCATTCTGCTTACCAGCTTAGGCTCCTTGACGACCACAATGTCTGCCTCAACGACTCCCTCGAACGATGTTCTCACGACCTCAAAACCTCCTGCCCTAGACGCCCAGTCTCTGCCTTCTGCACAATCCCAAGACCTGAAGGTCGAGCCTGTCACACCGCTTGAATATCTGCAGACGGCGCATCTCAATGCCGAAGAGTGGAAAGGCCCGTTGGATCTGCAGCAATACCTTGAACGTGAAGAGATTTTACAGCAGACCAATCTGACCAAGGACGGCCGAATCACAGGATGGATTCTCACTTCTGACGCATTTCCTCTCAACCCAGACGGAACTAGACAAATCTTCGCCTCTTGCGAGACCATCCAAACCTGTGCGTACGTCGCCCAGCAGGGGAAGCTTGATAACGTTCAGGCTCACGGCATCGCCTCCGTATTCACAAGGTCTGAGTACCGTGGCAAAGGGTATGCAGGTCGCATGATGCGGGAGTTGGGCAAAAGATTGGAAAGCTGGCAGAAACTCCAAGATCTTCCGAATGCGTTTTCAGTCCTTTATTCGGATATAGGTCCCAACTTCTATGCAAGACATGGCTGGAAAGTCTTTCCTTCTACTCACATTTACCTAGCGCCTTTGCAACAGAATGACTATGAAAGGGCACAGGGTCAGCTTCCTTCTATTGAGGCGTTAACCATGTCAGACTTGCAGCATATTCCAACCGTCAAATATGTCGAACAACGCTTGCAGGAGCAGTCCACAATACAGCCAAACAAAACTTATGTGGCAATACGTCCTGATCTGGAGCATTTTGGCTGGCATACCGCCCGAGATGAATTTCAGTGCCAACTTCTTGGAAAAGGCCATCCCACAATCAAAGGCGCTATTCATCGAGAGACTGGGCTAGCCTTGATATGGTGCCGTGTATTTGCAACCAGAGAACATGATTGGCAGTTACATATTCTGCACACCGTGATTCCACCAGAGACTCAGAACTCAGGGGATGCTCAGGGGGCAATAGCAGCTCTTCTTTTGCGCGCGCAGCTAGAAGCGTCTCAATGGGACATGGCTGCCGGTGTCGAAGTCTGGGACCCAACAGAGCTGACGCTCGCAGCCGCTCAGAAGCTGAAGTCTGCAGAGCAAGGCAAGGTGGAAGTCATTACTCGAGACAAGGAGCACTTATGCAGCCTTCGCTGGAATAGCCATGACAACGAGGATGTCGTCTGGCTGGCCGATGAGAAATATGCTTGGTGTTGAGAACACTCTCCTAGGTCCGGACCTCGGTCTAATGTGGTCTTCCAGAGTCATCATGATACTGTCCACCTGAGTGTCGAACCTGATGGGACGCCTGACAGAAACCAGTCTAGCTGTTCCCAGGCCGTCTTGACAGAGCCTATTTATCCTCTTTGTCCCCCAAGAAGAGTACAATCTCTTTGCGGAACACGGCAATGAAAGAGAATTCTATCCGATTCATTCAAGGCTCTGCCATCCACATGCACCTACGATGTTGTGGATTCGTCTCGCGAATCTCTTATAATTCGGCTTTCTTAAGTATATCTGTGAGCAGTCTACACGCGAAACACGTCTTGGTCGATGCAGCGACATACTGGCGTTTGGTCAACAAGGCCTGGGAGCCAGGATTGGCCTCATAATGAAGCATTAACAAGTGCGAAAAACATACTGAATAGCCATCCAGAAAGGGGCAAGGCTGGACAAGGCTGCAACGCACCAACGTTACATAAGCGCTGACATCATCACGAGTAATTGTCGAGATGGCGGAGAAGCACCGAGAACTCGCGCAATACATAATAATACATTTTCTTAATGTCTCGATAGGACAAATTAATGGACTGCTAACAAACGCCCCCTGTTCGAGGAACGGGAGTTCGTTCTCAAGTATAGGACATGGCCACATTAAATCCTCTGGTAACTGTGCTGGTGAAGCGCGCGTGGACCTGTGCACCTTGTCTACGACGGCAGCTCCTGCTTCGGGAGAGCCAGTCACCCGCGAGACCACGAGTCAACCATAACACGACATTTACCTCTTCAGAATGGCGCAGGTCCTTCCACCTGACCAGCGCTGCTTGTCGCGAAGAGCTCGAGGATCAGCGGCAAGCTGTGCCTTTGGGTGACTTCTACACCGACCTACTCTCTTCGCCACTACCGGAGACCACCCACGAGGACAGCCCTCTACCAGACTTTGTGCCAACAGGCGGTGATCAGTCCAAGGAAGAAAGAGCTAGGAAGCTGTTTGGCTCAATAGAAGGATCCGGGTACCAACGAACCGTTTCAGATACACCGGATGCCACTTGGAGGACCATCAATGGTGTACCTGTTCCGCCACGGCCAGGTGAACCGGATAATTGCTGCATGAGTGGCTGCGTACACTGCGTCTGGGATGACTACAGAGACGACGTAGAGGCATGGGCTGCCCGAGTACACGAAGCACAATCAAGATCCCCCAACCGAACAGCGGAAGGCCCGAAGATCCAGCTAGCCCGACCTGAGGTCCACGAGGCTTCCGGCAGCATGGACGATGATGGTGGCGGGAGCGAGAGTCTCTGGACAACGCCTTCATCTCCGGAAAATGAAGAGGACATACTGTTCGCTGGCATTCCTATCGGAATCCGAGAGTTCATGGCAACCGAGAAGAGGATACGAGACCGGAAACGAGCCAGACATGAAGGTGGTTGATGACACAAACATCTCCCCTTCCTCTTACATTTTATTCATTCAACAATGGCTGCAAACAATTCGTGCACAAGTCACGCAATGTTGCGTCATAAACGCTCTCTCTATAGAGAGACATGCGAAGGACCACGCGTATATCATCCAGCCTCCGGAAGTGCACGAAATGTACCAGCCGCCGAAGCTCAGTCGCATACCACTCCTGCTCAGCCTTCCCCCTACATGCATGATACCCAAGGAACATTACCCAGAGGAGAACGCTCTGGTGTGGTACCCAAAGTTCTTCGACATTGGACTTCTGCAAAGATCCTGACAGACGGGTGATCAATGTCTGCAGAAACTTGTCGTATGGCTTCACACGGATTGCCGTATTGAGATATATCAGGGCCGCCACCCGCAAAGCATCCTGACGGTGGTATTCAGGAGTGTCGCAGGCGCCCGGGCATGGGAATGGGAAGGACACAATGTTGTACTGAACTTTTGCATAAGTGTCCTCGGCGAACTCCCTCATCAATGCCGTAACCAGACGAGGGGTCCTACTGTAAGTCTCGACCAGTCGAGTGAGGTGTTGCAGTTCACATGCTACCTCGAACAATTGAGGACATAAGGAGGTCCACAGATGGTGATCTTCGCAGGGTCTTTCAAACTGGTCCAGCAACATTCCGGCTTCCTCATCCCAGCAGTCGGCGTCATAGAATCTGCTCTTGAAAGGAGGGAGAAGCGGTGTTCGTTGTCGATGCCACGCCATCTGAGCTTCGGCCCTAAATGGTATAGGATCAGTGGGAGGCTTTGAAAAGCAAACTCGGGTCGGTGACTGACTTGGAGACGTGATAAGCCGCTGTTCGAGGGAGCGCATCGATGCCTCCACTGAGCTTGACCATTTCCGCCAATCCATCGTGGTGAGCGACAAATTCCTCCTCTCCTTGCTTTATCTGTTTGATCGACCAGTCTTGTCAGCGTCACGGGTTTCGGGTTGAATTATTCCTCAGACGCGAACTTACGGCCATAACGCCCAAATGACGCACAGTGATTATGGTGGACGTACTGAAAGATCCATGCTGATACTGGAGTCTGGCTCGAACTAGGCTAATAGCCTTACTTCGATGGGTATCCGCTTCTTCTTGCGCAAGCTTATGCTCTTCAACCTGATTGTTTTCCTTCCGCACTCCAGCCTGATGCGAGGCTGCATCCGCGATCACAGCATGCAAACAGGCTGGATCCTTGACGACACTCCTGAGAATGTCAATCAGAGCGGACGTAATCACAATTTTGTCCGCCGGACCGTATATGACAGGATTGGTGACAGGTGTGAGGATTTCGATGACTGTTGGGAAAATTGCATGTCAGCAAATATTTTCCACGAACGACGGTCGCAAGCATTCAAAACATACAATGGTTCAAAAGCTGGCGAAATCGAGGAGTGATAGGCACTGCTGCGGAAGCGAAGAAGTCGAATGACTCCTCTCTGAGGGCAATTTGTGACGAACAGTGGTGGCACATGGCGGAGTTGACCATGGCGGCAGCATCTAATTTGGCGCACCCACATTCATGGCAGATAAACCTGGTGGCCTTGCTCGGAAGAGGACAAGATGTGCTGTCTCCATGCCAATGTGCCCAGCTCCCTCGACAAAGCTCTCCCTGTTTCTGTCCAGCCGTGGGTTGCGCAGCAGTCGGATATTTTGCATCTGATGCCAAAGGCCTGTTACATTTGCAGTACCTTGGGGAGTGTGTTCTCCTGGCCAGTCCAGAGGCTTTCCGCCGATGGACATGGCGCATCGCGTGCGATTTGATCTTACTCTGCTGGGGCCCTGAAAGCGCGTCGGAAGGTTTCGAGACGTTGATGAATTCGATCTGCATCTTCCTTTTGCTTCGCACCTGATCGGAGCCTCTTCATCGATGTTATGTGTGGTTCAGAGTCAGTCGTCTGGCAAAGTCCGGTGACGGGGTATTGGTCTTTCGGCTTGATGAAATTCTCGATGAATCTCGAATGGTTCCTGGCCGTCTAAAGTCAACATGGTTCGACATCAGCCATGGCATGAGGGCGTTGGTACCGCTATGATATCATGTTGGGCATCTCAAGTGCTCGTTCCCAGGAAGCATGAGCCTCGATGACAATTTCCCTACCTACCTTCCGGCCTATCGCGGAGCCGATCTACACTGACATGATGTGCACATACGAGCTATCATGAGTACATGATCGCATGCATGGTGCCGTTGGCAGGCATCAAAAATGATTATCAAATATCAGGCTGTGGTACGAGGAGCGGTTGACAGGTATGCAACAGTGTAGATTAGCCTCCATGCCAGGGGCTGAAGAACGGGCCAGGCTAGATCGTTTGTCCGGAGACTTATTTTCCTCTGGTCTGGGGATTTTCTGACATGGGTGAAAGGTCCCTTACGTGCCGTTGCGCACAACTTGCAGGCATCAGTGTTAACCAGCTGCCTGGGCTGGCCTAGACACACGTTTGGCTGCTTACCAAGGCATTTGGACTTGCCCGGTTTCGGACATGAGGCTGGCACCATTAACGCCTTTGCATATGCGAACCAAGCGCCAAGTTACCACCATCATAACGGCTTTTCTCCGTATGCTGCACGCTATCGCTCATCCCAATGACGCCCTATGATGTCTTTGATATTATGAAATCGACCATGAGGATCTACGAATCAGTCCTAGGTGGAGGCATGTAATCCAGGATCGACCGGCCACATTCACTAGGCGTCCTGCAAGCCCTCATGATCGACGACACTTGATGGACTCTATTGAGGTAGTCTGAATACCGTGAAGCCCCTCTGTAGTCAGACTCTCTCTCACCGGTTGCCACGAAAGGCCGTTCCAGCGAATGCAACCATTTTGGACTAGTGGTCGATCTATACCAGTCCACATTGATTGGCCTATGGCCTCTGGCCTTCCCACTACTAGAATCGCCTTACTTGCTGAGGCCAAGGCCCAGACCGGTTTCCAGGGATCTCTGTGAAAGGACCCATTGAATACCAGGATGTCCTCAAATGTTTGTGTTCTTGGAAGCTAGCCTCGCATGCATGCCGATATTTGGGAAAGCATTTACGCAGTAGTACAGTGCAGTATTCAGCAAGCCGGTACCGGACTGATGCCCTATGAGTGCATGAATGAGGGAAGGCAAACCAGTTCGAAATCCTCCATTTCGGCTTGTCAGGATAGTCCTCCTCAGACCTTTTCTCATATAATGATACATCTTCATCCGTCTTGTATGACCTTCTTATTACTGCTGCTAGCGAGACCTCAAAAGGCAGACATACTCAGCCGTGCGCAGTAGAAGCACTTCATTATTTTCCAACCCAAGAGACCCGACCATTTCCGCAAACTCTACCGCTGAGATGTGAAAGAAAGGACACACTGTGAATCCCGGCCGTGTGAGGCTTAGCGACCACACATTCACCTCATGGATCGCCAGAAGGAAAACAAGTACTCCGCCGAGCTGGGCAAGTGGGGACTGGCAAAGGCGAGCATAGACACATCTGTGATGCAGCCCAGCACAAAGACCCTCAGTAACATGTTTGGAATGAAGACTCCGATCATGTGCCCAGAGACCATGAGACCTGCGAACTTCAGGAATGAGGCCGACTTTGGAGGCGCAGGTGGAATCATGACCACGTTGTTTTCACTGTACATGGAGAACGTCGGCGATGGCATTCCAGGAAAAAGTAGCCCGGGTGAGGGTAGACCTGGGGAAGGGAGTCCTGAAGCTAGGACGTTGGGAGACAGCGGCATCGGGACCTTCTGGTATTGACCGTCCCGGTACATGGCTCTCTCGGGACTGAAGGCTGGACGTACCTCAATCTCATTGACGAGTGGGCTGCAAGGGGTGTTCGACTGCGAATACATCTCCTGTATGCCCAGTGATAGGGATTTGTTCCGCTGGTTGAGAGTCTCCTTACGTAGCACCGAGTTGACGGTCATTCTGAGGCCAGACATGTCGTTCTGGACGGACATGTTCGATTCCTCGACTTTGTTCTGGAGTTCTTGGAGTTGGCGTTGCAGGTCCCGGACCTCGTCCATGGCGTGCGCGAATCGCTTCTGCCAGATTAGCTCGGAGTTCTCCGAGTAAGCTGGCGGTGGTGTGGGACGCTGACCAAGCAGCGCAGAGAATTGTTTTCTTTGGATGGCAGAGGTGGGTGTCTGCAGTCTGGCGTGACGAGCAGGAACGTTTGGATAAGATGGGAAATTGGCGTTGAGTATCACCGGACTGCCCCAGCTTGCAGTACTGCTGCTGACAGGAGTATACTCGTCGTCTTCAAACCGCCAAGGTATGTTTTGAAAGCTTGTCCGAAGAGACTTCACAAGCGCATCATTGGGATAGTCTGCCGTGTCGAGCGTAAGTTGAGGTGCCCGTGCAGTAGGAGGTGGAGTGCTCGTTGTCAGACGCAATCGATTCAAAGCCATCTTAACCAGTGGCAATATGTGTGTCAGCGCCCAATTGCCAATCGAGTCGACCCAAACGTGGAATTGATTGAAGTGGTCGTCCTTTGTCAGGTCGAACTTGACCAGAGGCGCCATACAGAACGCTTGGCTGTGGTCGATCCAATGTATATTCATGACGGCAAAAGTGTTTTCAATGACGCAGGAAAAGGTGATGGGCAGTTCAGGCATCATTTGTCCCTTCCAGGCTTTGGCGTACAACATTTGAAGTGCTTGAAGACAACAAGCGCCCCCAGTGGCACACTGGTTGTTGGCGGCTTCTAGGCGGGTATCTTTGTCACCCTGTCCACGTTCGAAAATCAGAAAAGGACAATACATCGCGGCACCAGGTGAGATGTATCCAGTCTCGAAGTGGACAATTGTCCCCGTAGTCACCAGATATGAAGGTAGGGCGTTCAGTTCATCTGCTGTCATAGCAGAGGCAGAAAAGCCACAGCCGAGTCCGGAACGTGGTATGTTGAGCTTGTAGAGGGGCCCCGTCTGGTTGATTGCATGCTCAGGGAGAGCTTCGCGGCTGAAATTGGGGATCATGCATCGAGCAAGTCTTGTTTCGTCATTGATAGATGGCAGTAAGTTCGGGGGGAATAGAGGTGAAGGTCCAAAGCCCCGGCCATTGATCACCTGCTCTCGGAATGCTTGTTTGAGGTCATCGTATCTGGCGGCGCGAGGCAGTTCCTCTTCTATCATGGACAGAAGCGTTGAAGGGAGCCTCTCCCTCGGTGCCAGGTCGACTATCTTTATGCGATAAGCGCCAAGGACATGTTGACGGTAGGCTTTCCACGGCAGATGGCTGCCATCGTAGGACGTTGGGGGCAAATCACCATTCACAGAGATCTCGATGGTCTCGGCGACAGCTGACATGGCTCACGCGATTGGCAATCGCGGTGATAGTACCACAGAGACGCTGCTACTGTTAGACCCAAAAGACACAGCCGGGGGACAGGTCGTGTCGCAAACCCAGCAGATTTCATCAACACATTGGTAGAGACGATTGTATGTGGTCAGTATATGTTTAAGCTCAGAGATGGGGAACGGGAAGGAAGAAGCGGAGGTGACCTGGAGGGCGACCTTATAGCGAGGAGGGGGACCAAGAGAAGGCAGTTAGAGTCTGTGTCAACTATGGGGGTATATGTCAACCTCCTGTACCACCATCCTCTCGCGCCAGGACTTGTAGTAATGCCTGGAAACACGGCAAGCACATACTAATACCAACAAGGACATGAAAGTGCTTCCATCACCGGGTGGCGGCCCCGGGAGTACTGTAAGTCTTCGCAACACTGGATTGACTATCGCCGCAACGATATGCTAAACCTGTAGTGTGACAGTGAAACACATCAGTGTGGCCCACCGGGAGGTTCTGTGCAAAGACAGTCACTGGTGCCATGTTAGGTTCTTGGGCTGGATCATCCCGATGAAGGCTTAAACATCGTCTCTTCAGAGGATACTAGGCAGATTCGGGTGCCACAAGCCCGAAACTTCAGGAAGGCTGTGATGAACAACCTGGTGGATTGTAAAGTTGTGGAGAGAGGATAGGTTGTGGTGGTGTGGCCTGGTCCCAAGTTGGGCGGTTATCGAGACGACCTGATAGGGCTGACCAGGCTCAAGATGCTCGCATAGAAACACGTGGGAAGAAGCGTCCTACCAGCACCTGCTCTGGGAGGGTATGGTAGGAGCGGAAACATTGTTGAATGCAAGTCTCGCACCCGAAAGCACGGAAGAAGTGATGATCACAATTGTCGAGTGCAGAAGGCAGGAACGGGAGGTTGTAAGGTTGTGATGAAGCTGCAATTGAGCGTGCCTACCCCGGCAAGTACCAACGCCACAGAGAGGGGCATCGAAACATTTATCTCTTCCCCTTTCGCTTCACTATCACACCGCATTCAGAACCATTTGCAGCAAGGTCACATCGCTTCCAGCCTCCAGAATGCGAGGATACTCCAATGCGCTTTCCAAGGTCTAATGCATGCGCTCTCCCTATCGAACGCCTGACCCGAAGAACCTCAATTCAAAACGCTGACGCTGGCATGATAGTCTTTCGCCCATCCTGGAAGACTGTCCAGTGAGGACCGCTCTGATGATGCTTCTGCGTCTCCTGCGCTGCCCGCCAGACCTTGCGGAGTCGGTCGAACCAGGTCGAGCTGGTGGTATCACCACGGTCAGGTTACGCTCCATCTGGACTTTTCTGTCAAACGTGTTCAACAAATCACATATTGAGCGGAGCCTGGAATTCTCTGCCCAGACAAATATACTCCTGATCCGCGCAGCCAGTGCTTCGACCTCCCTTTCATCATCGAGTCTATAGGAGCGGATGGTCGCCACACCATGAGGTAAGTGACCTTCAGAATTGTGGGTGTTGAGGCAGGCTGTCTTGCCGTTGATGGCCAGCGAGAATGACTGAGCAGCCTTGCTCAGCTTCCACAAGAAGTCCGCGTCCTGGTAATGCCTCTGTGGCTCCTGTGCGGCTGCGGCGAGAATCATGAGCGCATTGTTGCATGTTGCCGCCGAGCCAGCACAAGCATTCCGTGCCGCTAGCATCGAGTGTTCCTCGACTTCCACGACGAAGAAGGGCCAGTAGATATCGGGTACTGGCTGTGAGAGCTGGTGCAAGTCACATGGCTCGTTCTTGTTGTTTGTGATGATGTACTGCTGCAGTTCAAGTTGCTGACATGTGAACGAACTGTTCGAATATCCTAACGTGATGGCAGGCTTAGGTGTAGGGAGCTGCATCTTCCAACCATCCTCAATCTCGGCATCATGCACTTCATCGGGTACCGCGTCCCGGCAAAAGGCGGCGTCAGTGCGGCACTTGAGCGCGTTGTGATCTATTGCTATTGAGGCCAGTAAGGGAACTAGCATCTCCGCCATTTCCCTACTGGTCACGGATCTTTGTGACCTGATCTGCTGAGCAAACTTGGTGGTAGCGGAGCTGGCACGGAGTGACTCTCCAAACGGCATACCAAGGGCGAAAGCTAATCGGCTCCATCGATCATCGTCCATTTGTTGGTCCTCGACTATGATGTTGTTTGGTTCGAGAGTGGCTGATCGGTAATCGGCACAGCCGAACGAGGCTTTTCTCTCACTCATGCTGCTGTGTTCCGTCGACCGGGATGCCTGACGGCTGTGAAGGCTGGGACGACTGAGGCTGCGGGATGCACTTCTTGATGGTGACATTTTGCATGCAGGTCAATTAAATATTACTCCAACAAGGTCCAGCCTCTATCGCTGGTGATATAGTTCATTCTGCGGTCTCTTGAGCATCCTTTATAACCATCAAGAATGTACTTGCCGCTGAGGTATGAAATGGGGCAGTCCAAGGTTATTGGACGAGGCAAGCCGCTCTATTTTAGGAGACTACTATCAAAAGAACGCGCCCTTGGGCGCGTGAGGCTGTACGCGCTCTCATTGCTGGCCGGAAAGATGCCTGCATTAAAGCTTCGCTCGCTGATTGGCCTCACACACAGCAGAGGCGTCCATATATATCCATTGGCGATACATTTTGTCTGCTGCTGATTGGAAGATGTGAGCGTCCGACTCACCATCTACATGAATCAATGGCAACGCTGCAATTCTACAGTATTCAACTACTGAGGATGCAGGTTCATTGTCTTTCGGTAAGCTTCTCCGCCTGACAGGAAGTCCAGCCTCGTCCATGAGGTAAGCCCCCACACCACTCACGCTAATTAACTCACACCCTTCCCCATATTCTGGGCTGACGTCTTTTCGCCTTGAATCTCGTGCACTATGAAAGGCAAAGCCGTCCCAGAACACGAGACCGTCAAAAGGGCGCGGCAAAGACGCAAGACTTTGAAATGAGGGGGCATTGTGTTCCAACAACCATAGCTAGGTTACCTGCCCGAAAGCTATCCCATACTTCTCATTCACGTTTACATCTCCGGCTTCTAAGTCCGATCTGCTCGCCAGTCCTCAATTGCAGTTCAAGCAAGAGGGCATTCTCAGGGCCATCATTGCGAGCGTCACCAGCCGCCAGTCCACCCAAGAACAAAGCTACCATGCCTCAAGCTGTGGAGAAAGAGTCGTCAAGTTCAACCACGGCCCCTCCACCACCGATAACACACGTCCTCGAGACGTGTCTCATGGTCAAAGACATCAGATCGTCAACATCGTTCTACAGCAAAATCTTCCATATCGAGCCTTTTCTGGATACGCCCCGGATGTCCGGCTTTGCCCTTGGCCAAACAACTCTCCTCTTATTCCAGTTGGGCAGCACGTCCGCAGATTCGCCTATGCCTGACAACCGCGGGACGATACCCGGTCACGGTCCGACGAAGGATGTTCTCGATGTACTACTCAATGAGTCGGCATCTACAGAGCCGGACAAGGGAAGTCTCCATCACCACTTCTGTCTGGCTGTCAAGTCCACGGAAGATGTGCAGGCATACGAAGAGTGGTTCGAACAACAAGAGGTCAAGGTTACGGGAATGGTTCAGTGGCCGAGAGGTGGCAAGAGCATCTACTTCACTGATCCAGACGGGAATGTGGGCGAGATTGCGAGTCGAGGGATATGGGAGCATTATTGACTGGATGAACAAATTGTATGAGTACAAAATGTTAACCGCATTTGCACCGCTTTGTTTTGTAATCGCTGTTGCAGTGTCGTAGAGCACCCATTGAACTGACAGTATCACTGGCAATCGACTCAATGGCCATCTACGTGAGCATCCCGTTTGTATGCTTTGACTTGCTCTGCGACTCACTCAATCTCTGGAGACGCTTTCAGTCTCGCTTGATCTAGCATACCTTCTGCCGTCCAGGGTTGACTATGAACCTTCTATGGCTCTCGCTTAACTGCCCACTTCATTCAGGACGCCACCATCCAGCTTCACGATCTCACCATTGATGTAACCGCATCTTGCAAGGAAGATGACACCCATGGCCATTTCTTCATCAGTCCCGGATCGTCCAGCAGGCACTTCGTGACCTTTATCCTTGACCTTCTCGTCTGGCATCTCAACTTTGTTGGTTTCATCTGACTCCTTCATGGTCATTTCGGACGGGAAATAGCCCGGCGCGATACTGTTGACTCTGATCCCAGTTTTGGCGAATTCCTTACTCATCATGCGTGTCAGATGTACTGTCGCGGCCTTGGAGGCGTTGTAAGAGAAGTGTGACTGTGAGTGACGCATCATGCCGGACATGCTGGAGATGACGATCACGCTGGAACTGAGTTTCTCTGGGGCGCGCTGCAGGAGCGGCAGAAACGTGACCACGCTGAAGAAGACGCTCGTCACGTTCGTTTTGTACGTCGAGTTCCACTCGTCGACTTCCTCCTTCCACAGGTTCTCCTTCATTTGTTGGGCATCGCCAGTGTCGGGGAATCCTTTGGGACCAGAAACACCTGCTGCGGCAACGACTAGTGAGAGGTACTTCTCCTTGGACTCGATTTCCTTGGTCAGTGATTCGAGGTCTTCTTTCTTGGTAACGTCGCAGGGTCCGATTGGAATGATCTCGCCCTGGAGTGAGTTGTCTGAGTCTTGCGGGCCGTGAGTTTTGGCAGTGTTTTCGAGAACTTCCTTTCGTCGACCTGTGATGTACACTTTGGCTCCTGTCGTGGTGTCAGTGATCGAGGCATAACGAGGTCAAATCTCTTGAGGTGGTGACGTACCATTCGCTGCAAGGGCTTGAGTGGCCATAAGGCCAATGCCCGTTCCTGTACGACGAGGTCAGTCAAGTGCACATCTTTGTAGATGGAGGATTTAATATACCTCCGCCAGTTACGAGACAGACATGGCCTTTGAGTGAGAAAAGGTTTGAGATGTGGAGTTGTTCTGTCGATGCCATATTGAATGTTTTGAGGTGAGCCGATCTTAGTTCAGGATTGGTCGAAATGGTAGATCAGTCAACTTATGGGTATTTAGGTACAGGAGAATCTACTACTGGAGAAGCACGCGACTTTTCGATCATTTTGTAGATCAGAATAACGGTGTCTCAAGTTAAACCGTTGAGTGACCAGTTGTGACGTAATTTTTTGAGTTGAGTATGACGGTCGCTACCTCGTACCAGGTATAATCGATCAGGGGCCGGACTCATCCTCCGCATATTTCCCCTTTTTCAGCCTCAGCCTTGCGCTCTAAACCCCCCAATTGTATCACATCCGCCATCGTGCTCACTGTATCTTCATGTCCTTTGCATCCATTTTGAACGCTCGGGCCACTGCTGGGGTCGACCATCGCAGTGGTGCTTTGCGTGCCCACATCATCTTCTGAGAGCCGCAGACCTCTTCTTGGGATTGACAATTGTAACACCACTTGTGCCCAATGGATTGTCCCTCAGAAAACAAGGACCTGGTGCTGCTGCTCAAGAATTGGCACATGAGAAGATAGATGACCCCATGCATCACAATGCTGTTTCTGTTCTTGCCAACGTTTTGTGGTGAGCCACATTCTCTCGTTGGTTTGCCTCGTGTAAAGAGCTGCAGTGTTCTAGTGAGGGGGTCAACGGTCGGGATTTAGGAGTTTCGATCATCTCGAACCCCTTTACGACGCCAACGCTAGTGCAGCCATGGCTCGCACACCGGCCTCCGTCTTGTGCCCGCCAATGAAACCAGCGGCATGAACGAAGACAGCACCATTTTGAACATCTTCTCCAAGCAAAGCATCCAGTTCCGCATCTCTCACACCTCGCCATGGCTCCGGAAGACTCTTTCGGTTTTCGAAACTAGACATGTTCTTGCTGACTGTCTGAATCCTCCACTTTGAGCCGGGCTCTTCTTTTTCGGGATAGATGACGAAGAGAACTTGTTGTTCAGGAGACAGTCCGGCTTCGTCCTCGATGCTGTACAGGTGTTCTTTCCAGGGTATGCCCGCTCGAGGCAGGACCAAGAGTTGACCTGACGGATGAGCGCTGGAACGGGTATTGAAGGCCTCCTTGACGATAGACCGAGCAGGGAGCCAGGCGGTAGCGGCACCGTGAAGTTTGCGAAGGAAAGCGTTGCCCATGAGGCTTGAGGCGAGTGAGAAGCGGAAATCCTCCTCCGCTTGGGGCTGATCTGCGGTACTTCTTGAAGGTGAACCCATCGGATCATCATGGTTTAGATCATTCACCAAACTTGCGAGAGTGATACCACCATCCTTAAATCTCTTCTCAATGCCAGCTTGTTCTAGTTTGCTATCATCATATTTTGAAATACCGTTGTCGTTGGCGTCCACGGCCTCAACGAAATCGTCGTACAGCTTACGATACAAGAGCTCGACGTCTGGGTTGTCAATAGGGAGTTTCGTGTGTTGCGCAATGATGGCCTTGCCGAAGTGCATGTAGACCAGGCCGGCCGAGGAAAGTTTTGTCCGGTGTTCAGGGAAAGCAGTATCAAAGGTGCGCTGATGATGATCATAGCGGTTCTTTGTGGTGTCATATTCGCCTCCGACGTCTACGACAGTATGACAAGTCTCCAAGAGAGAAGGGTCTCGAGTTCTCACGAGTGAGGCAGAAGCATAGTCTGGAAGAAGTCGCAGCATGTAAACTGCCAGTGCCTCATCTGCGTGGAAATGGCCATTGTGGGTGCCAATGACAAGGGGATCGGTTTTCATTCTTTTCGACGCCGTTTGCGCAGCCATTCTGATCAAAGTTCGGAACATAAACAGGTGCAAGCAGAGGGAAATGGAGTCTTCTTCAACGTATCTTCGCTGTAGCCAGAATTATTTTGGAGATGGGCGTCGACACTCGCCTCCGCAGCCAAGAGCCGGCTAATCGGCGGCTGCACAGTACGTGGGAGCCTCCCACCCCTAGAGCCTAGGCTTGCTAGGTCGCCCAAATGCAGCACTTATCCGGAATATTGTTGTACCGGTTTCGAGAGACACTCTATGAGACTATATGAACTCTCACAGCCACATACAGCCTCCTTAGAATCACCTCATCGTGCATTATAACTGTCCCTTTCCACGTGTGCATCAGTATCTTACCGAATGTCGATCGTGAACACCTAAATGCAGGAAGATATGAATCAGAATACAACTGTCCAGGTTGGCTCTACCATCACGCTATGGCAGGCAGACTTTGCGAAAATATCGGTTGGGAATCAAGAATCCACTTGTTATTAGCGTCTTGTTCTTGCGGTGAAGAATGGTAGAAGCAGAGTAATTTGCTGGATAGAATAGAATATTGGTTGGACGGGCACTTCGTCACAAAGAACCATTCTATACATGACTTTTGCCAGCCTGTAAACCACTGGGATCACCTTGCAAAACGCCAAACTGTGTCGTCAGTGAGGCCTCACTGCCTTGTTTGTGGTCCCTGTCCATCTTTTTTTCCCTGCATCTTACACGATCAAAATCAACCTCGCCCTTGCCCTTTCGCTTCTTTAACTCGGTGCAGTGCACGCGACATTCCTGGCTCCACCTCTTCGACGTTCTTTTTACCCAGCGAGTTATCAGTTCTCACCTCATCCTCTGCGACCTCTTATCATACCCAAAACGACCATCTTCGCAATCACTCGAGTTCTCCAACGCGCGCGAATCGGAATGACATGTGAAAATCCCGCCCTTGACAAAACCGCGATTCACCTCAAGCCTGTTTGACCGACACGGCTACGCAGCAGCGCTACCTCCATTTTCCATCAGCAGATCGATCGCTCTGCCCACCGACCGAATGTTCCTCCGGGCGCTCTCCTCGTTACTCTTCTTGACACTCATTATTCTATTGGTACCCCTCACTTTCGATATTGGCGGACGCGACGCCGGCCTAGCCTTCTCGCTCTCCATCGCCTCGTTTTACTTCATCCTCTCGATCCTGCGGGTATCTACACCCGACAGTTCTTCGGTCAGGAAGGCATGCATAAACATCCTGCGAGGTGTACAATGGCTCGTATTGCCCAGCCTGTGCATTTGGGCCTTGGGACGGTTTTCCGTTGATGCCAACAACAGTGGAGGATGGGTGGAAAGGACGTTTAGGAACAAGAAAGGTTTCCTAGGTTCACACACTGGCTTTTGGGATTCTGTCTTCGGACGAGAAGGACTACTGGAAAACACCACTCTTGGAAGTTGGGACATCTTGCTCCGATGGTCGTCCCCGATGTTTCAGCTCCTGGAAGGGTTCTGCAGCCTGCTCGTTATTCAGGCCGTCGGACAATTGACGAAGTGGCTCGTCAACCGGAGTGAATGGAGCGATGCATGGCTTCTTACCCTTCTAGTAACGTCGGCAGGAGTGGTGTCGAGTTCAGTCTACTTCCTCTGGCGAGTGCTGCAATTCCCAGATGTCTCCAACCTCGACTCCACCCTGATCGGTATAGCGATTGCTTCAGCCATCTTCCTGTGTGGATATGGTATAGTCTCTGGGCGCGGTACAGCGATGGAATCGTCTCTGCTCTTCGCCTACATTGTGCTGTGTATCTACCAGATCTTCACCGACTACAAGCCTAACGTCCCTGTGGAAGCCAATACACCATCCTCAGCACCCGATTTTCCCCCATTTCCACCGATTATCATGTCCTCATATACAGCCATCATGTATGCACTATCATCACTCCCGGAAGCTCTGGTGAACGCATTGGACTTCACCATAGCAGCCTTTAGAGCTGTCACACCTTCGGTTCTCATCTCGCTCGGTTATCGGCTGTTCGTCTTCTATGCGTCGACTCGCATTATTCCGGCCATTAACGAAAGCGGTGCCAGAGGCTTGAGCATCGAACCATCTCTTGACGACAGTAATGCTGGTAACCAGTTCCTGGCATTCCTTTCGTGGTTTTCGCCGAGCATTCTCATCGCAGTCTACACCAGTCTCCTTATGCAGCATTTCGCTACCACCATGGGCGGCTATACTCCGGGGTTGACAGAGTCAATCAGTGCTTGGTGGAGTGGAAACGGCCAGCCTGGAATGAACGGAAATATCTGGAAGTGGATAAATCTCGTCATAACAATGGGGCTGTATGCGGTTGAATTGTGGCTCGGCAAAGAAGACGATATTGATGGCGGGCACTGGAAGGTCGATTGAGAAAAAGGCGACATTACAAGATCGTTTCATTCAGGACATCTATCACTTCCTCAGGTGAGCTAGTCACGACGTACCCAACGTCAACTGGGCAGGATTCCATCAACGAAGCACATCGCACTGAAACCCCTGCCGAGAAGGGAGCATGCAATGTAGCAAACACATGCTTTTCGTGTTCTACCAGTCACAGCGCCCTTTGGTAAAATCGGTATCTTGGACATCGAAAGCGAGGAGTTCCGGTATGCTTTACTGGGCGAGCGGATCGATTCGATTGCATTTGAGTGCCGTACGGGCCTTGGAATGATATCATGCACTGAAAGCGAGGGAAAGAACAATGGGATGGGTCAGTGGCCACAAGAACAGACGGTGCGCAGCGAAAAGCGCATTGGACAGATGGCAAATACGAAGGACCGGCATCACAGGAAGGAGAAGGCATCACAGCACTGAGGCACAAGGGACAATGAGAGCATGAATTACGATGGTTGGAAGCTCATATCAAATTGAGCAAGCTATGATCATAGTTCGAGCCGGAGGGTCAGCACCGGATGCAAAGGCAGGCTCGACACAAAACGACAACTGGAGGAGGCTTGAAAGGAGCGTTCGTGCAGGTCGTACGAATATCAAAAAGGACAGAGATCATGACTTAATCATCATTGAAAGTATCATTGATACAAACGCCCTTCCCTTCGCAACAATCCCCAAAGTTTGGTCATAACGTAGCATAAACTAGTATAACTCGTCCGTAAGGACTGTCTTTATGACTTTCCATGTTCGCACATGCCTTGGACGCGTCCTGCTGTAGCGAGCAAGCCGTCCAGTTCATCTTACGTTGTGTAATCCCAGCACACAGTTCGCGTAGCGTCTTACCCATCGATGGCACATCGCACTGCCGTAATCTCGTAGTACATAAGCCTTTTTCCCTTAGGGTGTTCGTCGTCCGGGCCAAATTTCATCGCCTACTGGAACTCCACTGATAGTACCTCATCTCCGAATAGGGATCCCTTCCTTTCTGGCTGGTGGACTGATGCTGCCGTCCAGAGGAATTGTACCGTTGTCACCCATCTCCTGCTTGCTACCCGCCTCGTCGATACTCGCGCTTCTGGCCAGGTAGCTACTCTCTTTGACGGGACTACGGCTTGTGAGTCCACCACCAGGAATACCGTTTATGCTGCCACGGTGCATGCCCGCAGGGCCTGGTGGGAGGATGGGCTGGCCGTCTGGGCTTCCGGCGATAGAGTCGTTGCGGGAGATGGTGTGCGTGAGAGGACTGTTGTGTGGGATCTCGTCGGCTTTGGGGTGCTCGGTTCCGATTGTGGTGACGCCCGTGTCGGAGGCTTTGCCGGCTTTGGAGAGTGCGTAATCGCCTGAGTCGAAGTACTTGCGCTCCTGTTCTTTTGTCAGAACGCCGCTAAAATGGTGCGGACGATAGTGTTACCTTCAATTTGTTCTGTAGGAGATCGGACTTGTTTGGCAGCTTGCCGTAGAGTCTGAAGAGGCGTTGCTCCTCGGGGGAGAGTTTCTGTGAGGAAGTTAGCGTTGGTTGTGTAGGCGGCAGGAGCTTGACCGTACGTTGAGGTCAATCTTGTTCTTTTGGTGAGGATTCATCGTTGTGATCTTGTTCTGTACTTTTTCTCCTGGAGAGTTTCTGTGGATGTTTTGCTCGAATAGCAGTCGGAGAGGTGTAAGCCCCTGCCGATCAGAAAGCTGCGGTCCCGATCTTGCCTGTACCTGAACAATTGAGTTTGGGAGAAGTCCGGTCCAGTGTGTTTTGAGTGTTGTATTGTAGCAGGTTGACGAGAACTTTTTCTTTGTCACCCGTGACGATGAGATAGATATAAGGGTGGAAGGAGGGGTGTCTGTGAGAGAATTGGCCCGAGCGCTGATTGTTGTCACTTGAGCAGGAAGGTAAAAAAGAAGATTATCGAAACCCTCGTAAAGCTGTCGGGGAGAGTTTTCCGTGACTTCGGTAGAGCGAAAAGGGACAGAGGACGGAGAAGTGTTTCCCTGGGTTGTCTTCACCCAATGCCAACGCAGGTGTTTCGTGTTGTGTTTAGGTGGGTTAGCAGGGTGTTTGGTGGTAGGCGGGGGTCAGGAAATGGTATCTTCGGAAGCAATGTTTGACAGAAGAGATACGAGTGGTCGTTGAGTTTGGTTCGTTGCGTCTGGATTCTGGGGTAACGATTAAGAGTCTAGCAATGAATGAGTTGGTTGGCTGAGAGTTGAGGTCAACTTTGCAGCTTGCCGCAGATGGCACAGGATGCACGGTAGGACGAGTGACGACGTCTGGAGCCAATCACCGTGGTGGATGATGCTGCTATCCGAACATTCATGAATGACCTGCCGAGGAATAGCCGCATGCATGCTTCGTTCATAATTTTCTTAGTATTCACGAGACCAACGTAGCGATTGACTTCAAGGACACAGCTAGCAAGCATGGCAAAGCCCAAGTACACCTTCGTGGTCGAACATCTTGACCCGGAACTTGGACCGTGGTCCGCCCTTGAATACCGGACCATCGCTAAAGAATCGAGCGAATCTGGATGTCACTTTATCCTGTCATCTGTACCACAGTCCTTGTTGGACACTCAAGATGTGAAGAGTCTGCAAAAAGTAGGTGCAGAGGGAAGGACGGACAGTATTGAAACGTATTATGCGCACAAGAAGGAGAAGATCTGTCTACTGGATCCTGCGGCAAAGCAGGAGTTAGAGCCTGCCGATGCCAATGACTTCGACGTCTTCTTGTTTGGAGGGATATTGGGTGCGTGATGACTTATATTGTTGTGTTCATTGCTAATCTCTTCACAGGTGATGATCCTCCTAGAGGTACGTCCCTACAGGCTCATCGCCGTGCCATGCTAACAGTTCCAGATCGAACCAGCGAGTTGCGAAAGAAGGGCTTTTTGGGACGTCGACTCGGTCCCAAGCAGATGACAACGGACACTGCTGTGCGAGTAACACGCATGGTTGTACTTGACCAAAGTATGTTACGCGCCCATCGAGGATTTCCGTTAGGCTGATCTTGATCCAGTACCACTTGAGAAAATCCCATATGTTGACTATCCTGAGTTGAAGCTGGATGAGCATGAGACTACCGAAATGCCATTTCGATATGTCACGGATTCTTCTGGCAAGCCTATTATGCCCGAGGTACGTAGGGCATCTGTGATTGCAGTATCGTTGACTGACATTGCCAAGGGTATGATCGACTTGATCAAAGCTGATGCCGACAAAGCATTCGACAACCTCGATTTCGCTGATGAAGTTGAGGGACTCGAGAACCTGAAAGTCAACCAGCCTTGAATAGGGGTGTAAATGATAAATCTTCCTGGCCAGGTCCTGACAACAATGGGCGGCTGAAGAAGGTTGGAGAAACCTGTACCCTGACACCCAACCATGTGTGTAATCAAGTCTTGGATTTGGAATACCAACAGCACTTTGATCAAAAGCTACACATGCTTTGATCGACCACTCACTCTGTGGGCGGTAACGCCTTCCTTCAGCGCGCCTATGCGCTGTCTAGCACGGACAGGCGCGTGGTCTGGGCGACGAATGGGCTTCACAGTACGACAAAGATTTCCAAGATGAAGACTACCAGGTACGCTGCTCCCAAGCTTGCCGCAGACGCGCTGGTAGAGGCAAGGTCGCAGTTCAAACGGCACGCGACGGCTAGAACAAGTCAAGATACTGGATGCTGGGAGCGGCACTGGCTTGGTTGGGAGGAGTCTCGCACGTGCCTGAGCACAAGACGTCGAAGGGCCTGGACATCAGTGCTAGCACGTTGGAGGTGGCCAAGCGTGCAGGCGTCTATGGGTTGCTGGAAGAAGCAATCCTGACCAAGACAATTGCGAGAAATGATGATTTCTACGATGTGGTGGTTTGTATGGTTCTCATGATCGAACCTCTGAAGCCGCCTGTGTCAAACTCCTTGAGAAGACGTCCTTCGTACGTGCTTTACTCTCTAGCAGAATGCGCCATGCCAGCCATGTTTTTTGCAGTTCGACCAACACATCGAGCTATCGGAACCTTCCGAGCAGGACTCCCACCGGAAACCTTCCTCATCGAAGCCATCTGAGTAATCTGAGCTGCTATCCGAATCGTCTGAGCGATCGGAACCATCAAACCGTTCTTTCGTCCTGTTTGTTGCGCCGAACACTCTGGGAACATGTTCCTACAGTTCATCCACGTCCATCAAGCCATCTCCGCCATTTGACTGTCCGTGACCATTGGCTTGTTGCGCCTTCTTTGCCACACTAACTTCCTTGTCAATGGCCTGTCTTGAGACAGCAACGATGTTGTCTTCAATCAGCCGCTGGCCAAGGTCTTCGATGTGCTTCTTGGGGTCCACTTTGCCAACGTATCGAGTCTTGAGCTGCTCGGGTGTCAATTCATTCTCTTCTCGAACTCTGCGTTCGTATCCGTCGGCAAGATGAACAAGTTGCTTCAGGCCTTCTTCGTTGCGTTTCCGCTCGCCGTCAAAGCTATGTGGTAGTTCAAGTCCTTCCGTCCACACCTCTTTGTGGAGATTCATAAGCATGTTCTCTTCTAGACCTGTTTTGCGATATTGAATGCCGATGCTGTAGTAATGTCTGTTCAACCCATGAATGAGGGCTTGAATGGAGGGTTTGTTCAGGTGTCCCAAGTTGGATGTGGTCTGGCGTGGTTCTTGTCCCATCATCATTGTCTGCGGGTTGATGAGGCGGAAAGCATCTATCACGACTTTGCCTTTGACAGACTGTATGGGATCGACGACGACGGCGACGGCCCGAGGTGTAAGTTGTTCGAAAGATTGTTGCGTGTTGATATCGACACTAGACAGCCAGCAACCGAAACCAGGATGAGAGTGATACCAGCCCACGACTGTTTCTGGCCGTCCCGTTTGACGAAGCATGTCCATCATTTTGGTCTGGAATACGGGATCGACTGATTCGACACTGACAGATGTTCCTGACTGAGGCATCGCGAAAACATCCACTACCCGTACTGTGAAATCGTCGACGAATTCACCTAGCATCAATCCCATGACTTCCATGGGCACTCCTGCGCGACCGTGCCGGAGCATCTTCAACAGTGCAAGGGAGGATATGTAGACCGTCTCGGAGTTGTCGACAAGGTTGGTGTCCTGCCCCGGAGCACCTCCACCCATGCCCATGCCGGAGGCCGCGGCGAGCATGCGGTTGAAACGATCCATGCTGGGTTATTTGAAGGAGGAAGGGAATACTGTTCGGATATGCGTGGACCACGAAATCGTAAATTGAGTCCAGGGCGTAGGTACGCCTCTGTGGTTTAAGTGGGTGAGCTGACAGGCTCGTGATATCAGATTGAAGAAATAAGCAGATGAGAGTCTTCAAAGGGAATAACTGCGCTGTACAGCTATGACTGACGGTTTGAGCGCTGTGAAGGATGGTCGTGGTTTCTGAACAACAGTAAATGAAATGCTTAGTGGAAAGTTGCAGCTGGACTGTCTGCGCGTAACTCGCCGCCTGCGTCTGCACCTGCGCCCGTTCAACCGCTAAACACTAGCGCCATCTGCTCCGCGCAAAGTTGGAGAAGAGGCTATGGAATTGTCCAGTTTCCATACCAGGTAGGTACAGCATCAACTCGCGACATTTGCAGAGAGGTTCTTTGCCATTATTCGTTACCCTTTCTTTCAGCAACTCATTCCACTTGCACGACCGTCTTGGCTACTACCGATATCCTCTTGGTATTCGCAGACTCTTATTCACCCCCAAACTGCTCATCCCGGTCCTGGAAGCTTGTCCTGCGCTCAAAGGCCAGGGAGGATCTAGGTTGATTCTTTGAGGAGCCGTTACTCTGCAGACCACGGTGGCAGAGCACACCCCGACTGCTTAGGCAGAATTCACTTCTATCCCTCTTCGTGCGCAGCCTTTTTCGGTCCAATCATCCTGCGCGCGGCTTGGGGCTGCCCTTGCGATGTCGTTCGCACCGGTCGACCCCGTCAAGTTACGGGACGGTGATAGCAAGAAACGAGTCGCATACTTCTATGATTCAGATGTCGGCAACTACGCGTATGTCTCGGGTCACCCTATGAAGCCGCATCGAATAAGACTTGCCCACTCACTGGTTATGAACTATGGCTTGTACAAGAAGATGGAAATATATCGGGCAAAGCCTGCATCGAAGTACGAGATGACCCAGTTTCACACTGATGAGTACATCGACTTCCTTGCCAAGGTAACTCCAGACAACATGGATGCCTATCAAAAGGAGCAACAGAAATACAACGTCGGAGACGATTGTCCTGTGTTCGACGGCCTCTTTGAGTTCTGTGGGATCAGCGCTGGAGGATCCATGGAAGGCGCTGCAAGATTGAATCGACAGAAGGCAGACATTGCCATCAATTGGGCAGGAGGTCTGCACCACGCCAAGAAGAGCGAGGCCAGCGGGTTCTGCTACGTCAACGACATCGTGTTGGGAATCATCGAGCTACTGAGATTCCACAAGCGGGTTCTCTACATCGACATCGACGTTCATCACGGAGATGGTGTGGAAGAAGCCTTCTACACTACAGACAGAGTCATGACCGTATCTTTTCACAAGTACGGAGAGTATTTCCCTGGTACTGGCGAGCTAAGAGACATCGGCGTTGGCTTGGGCAAAAACTACGCAGTCAACTTTCCTCTTCGTGACGGGATCGACGATTCTTCCTACAAGGGCATCTTTGAACCTGTGATACGAGCCACTATGGAGTACTATCAACCGGCGGCGGTTGTCTTGCAATGTGGTGGTGACTCTCTTTCTGGAGATCGGCTCGGTTGTTTCAACCTTAGCATGAAAGGCCATGCAAACTGCGTACAGTTTGTAAAATCGTTCAACCTCCCTACGCTGATCCTTGGTGGCGGCGGCTACACCATGAGAAATGTTGCCAGAACATGGGCATTCGAGACGGGATGTATCGTGGGAGACAATATGCAGCCCAATTTGCCGTATAATGACTACTACGAGGTAAGTGCCTCTAAGGATGAAATGATCTTTTGTCTAACGAAGTGCAGTATTACGCACCCGACTATGAGCTTGATGTCCGACCTTCCAATATGGACAATGCTAACTCAAAAGAATATCTGGAGAAGATCCTGACGCAAGTGCTGGAAAACCTGAAGAGGACTGCGCATGCACCGTCAGTGCAGATGACCGATGTGCCTCGTGACTCCCTGGGCTTGAACGACGATGACGAAGCAGCCCTGGACGATCTCGACGATGACGAAAACCCTGATAAACGAATCACTCAGCGCAAAGCAGACAAGTACGTTGAGAAGAATGGCGAGCTTTCCGACAGCGAGGACGAAACAATGGATGGCGTGAATGGCCGCCCAAACAGCCGAAAACAGCGGGCAGCCCGAAATTATCGACACATAATGGATGTTGGAGGTAATGATTCGGGCATGGAGACAGGCAGTGGGATTGGAACGCCGCAACAAGCTTCGAGTGTACCGGATGATTTGGATGAAATGAATGTGGACGAAGTGGACGACCAAATCGCACAACTTTCAAGTCCGGCACATGCGGGTGCGAATGGGTCTGCGGCTGCCTCAGATCCACAGTCACCTAGTACTCATTTACCCGCCGACGGCGACGTCGAAATGGGAGATGCAGATGCAGACGGGGCTGCTGCACCGGGCGTAGACGATGCTCAGCCCGGCGAGGAGGAGTCTACCATCACAGTTCAACCACAGCAGCAACGAACGCCCCCGGACTCGCCAGCACCGCCACAGCAACCCGAGGAACCTGCAGCGACGACCGCTGATAGTGGCGCAACAGCTGCTGATGTTGCTGCCTCGGATCCAGCTAACGTCCCGGTCACAGAAACTGCTACAGCTGAGCCTGAAGCAACTGGCGCGACAGCAGAAGAGGCAGCAATCAAACAGGAAGTCACTGGCGACGACGAGGTAGCCAGGGCTCAGGAGGAAGGGCGTACTGAAAGGGAAGCCGCAAATGCTGAAGGAGAAGCTCGAACAGAAGCGGTCGCGAAGGCAGAGACGGACGAGGCAGCGCAAGAGGCCGAGCTTTAGGGAGCGTTTGGAAGTTACTTTGCGAGCTTTTTTTGAGGGATAACACATCCTGCTCGAGCGTTCAGTGGCATGGTGCTTGGGCATCGTTACTGCCTATGTATCAAGAGTCGGCAATAGTACTGGAGTCCGGATGTTGATGCAGAAAATGGGGTGAGTCAAACAGGACAGCGATCGGCACGGGGAATCAGGTTGACTTTATGAATGTTAGCCCTAGAAGGATACCTGATCTTGTTACATCTCTCGTTACCATCTGCAGCATTCCGGCACTGTTTGTCTGTTTTGCTCTCATTGCATGAAGAACATTTTGAGTGCAAGAACCCATGGGTGAGTAAATCTGGCCAAACCATCATAAGGTGATAAGCTGTTATTAGTCATGAAGATATGATAGCGGCGGGTCGAGACTGTTGGCTCTGGGGTGACGCGATGCACGCCCATGGGCCATACTAGACTGAGGACAGCCGAGCGCCAAATCAATTCGCCGCCCACAGCTTCGTCATCGTCGTAAGTTCGTAACCACAGCGCAGTTTTTGAGGTTGGGCCAAGTGCAGGTTGGAGCCAGCCACAGCATTATCCATTCTTTCTCTTCACTCTTCATATCATTCCATGCCAGCTGGTCATCCCTGCGGTAACGATAATAACACACCCGGCCGGCAGGACGAATCCTGCTCCCTGGTCAGTCCAACAACCCAGTCGATGACCTGCATTTCCCTGCTTCCGCGACGAAATCCACCAATCCCACCCGTGGACGCGGCCTGCCATTGACCGACCCAAGTCGATAACGCCATACTCCAACAACATCTTGATCTGGAGAACACGCATTCATCTTTACCTCTATAAGGTACCTTTGACCACGCAGTTCCTCAGGGCGCGTTCTTTATTCTTACACCGGGCCTTAAGCCAACCCTCAAAATGCCTCTCTCCGACTACTTTACCAGTCCGACCTCTTTTCAAGGCCGACAATTCCTCGGAGCCTTGGTCGCTCGTGACCAAACACCTATTCTTGACAATGCCATCGAGATCCTGAAGAGCAGCGCTCCCCGACATTCCGGTCATCCCAACTTCGGCCATCTCACCCTCCTCGTTTTCGAAGCTGTTCTCGAGGTCGTGTGCGTTAGTCTGCCAGGCTATATTGTGGCAAGACAGGGAATGTTCGATGCAGAGTCACAAAAGTTTCTGGCCAACCTTAATGTCATGCTGTTTACGCCATGTCTGATCTTCCAGAAACTGGCTTCGCAGCTGACCGCCGAGAAGTTGGCTGACCTGGCTATCATTCCAGTTATATTCATCGTACAGACAACAGTCGCCTACATTGGGGCTCGGATAATCGCACGATTCTGCGGGTTCAAAAAGAGACAGGAAAACTTCCTCATTGCTATGGGTGTATTTGGCAACTCCAATTCGCTACCTATATCCCTCGTATTGGCACTGTCGAAGACGTTGAAGGGGCTGCATTGGGACAAGGTGCCTCATGATAATGATGACGAGGTGGCGGCGCGAGGAATCCTGTATCTCCTCGTCTTCCAGCAGCTGGGACAATTGCTGCGTTGGAGTTGGGGTTACAACGTATTGCTGGCGCCACCGGAGGCATACACTGTGGCCGAGGGCGGCACAAAACAGATTGATGAGGCGGAACGAGGGCGAGGCGAATACCGAGACGAGGTGGATTCAGATCGCGAACAGACGAGACTTATCAGCCCAGACTTTGAAGGAGATAGAGACAGCAGCGATGACTTTGAGGAGTATGAGGATGACCGGACTCAGGTAGGGACCGAGTCTCCAACGGCGTCCAAATCTGACGGACACAAGACACCTCGCAACAAAGCATCCGCAAAGTCCTCTAGAAACTCGTCGCAACGGAATCTCAATGGTTCGGCTGGCGCCCCGGATCTTATGCCTACGCCAACGAACGGAATGGTGGCTCCACATCATAGCCCTGACTACCCAGCATGGCTGAAAGCGCCAGAGAACCAAAAATACGACGAAGACTGCGGTGGCATCAAAGGAAAAGTGAACAAGGCGAGAAACATCGCCAGATACCACATCTTCCATGTCGGCCATGTTATCCGATCGAATTCGCAGGCTGCTTTCGCAAAACTTCCAGCACCGGTTCAGAAGGTTATGACGGTGGTGTGGAACAGGATCTATCGATTCTTCGCAGGCCTGTGGGAGTTCATGAATCCTCCCCTCTGGGCAATGTTGATTGCGATCGTTGTGGCATCAATTCCGAGGTTACAGCATCTCTTTTACGACAATGGCACCTTTGTGCGCAATTCTGTCACGCGAGCCATTGACCAAAGTGGTGCTGTTGCAGTTCCGCTCATCTTGGTTGTTCTGGGAGGCAATCTTGCAAAGAACACCGTACCAAAAGAAACCGTGGGAGCCATCGCTGATCCGCAAGAGGAAAGAAAGCTCCTTTATGCGTCGCTGATTGCCCGTATGGTGCTTCCCACGTTGATAATGGCGCCTATACTTGCTGTGATTGCCAAGTACGTACCAGTGAGCATTGTGGATGACAAGATCTTTGTTATTGTGGCTTTCTTGCTAGCTGGGGCACCTGTTGCGCTTCAGATCGGGCAGATCACCACTCAAAACAATGTTTACCCTGGTCTGATGAGCAGGATCCTATTCCAGAGCTACGTGGTCTGGATCCTGCCCTCGACATTGATCTTGGTGCTGCTGGCATTGGAGACGGTCGAATGGGCAACGATGTGAGCAGGTTGGAGTGTTTTACAGTAGAGTTTAATGTGTACCATAGCTGCTTGTTCCAGAAGGGCGTTTTATCAAGATGCTGGAACACTGAACATAGGGAGTTGTCAAAATCTGAGTGCATCCGGCGTCTGGGTTCTCAGACGCAGATGTCAACGGGCAGGGCAGCATTATTGGCGTAGGTTGTGATTTGTCATTTGGGTTTAGGAACAGGCCATAGGTGATACAGATGTACTGAGTAGGATCGATCACAAAAGCTACTCTGGTACACGATACACGATTGAGTTGCTCACTCAGACCGGGCAACGTTCATCTGGCCACGTTCTTTTCACGTGCAATGACTTCATGGTTCTCATGGTCGATCTCTGTTTCAAAGTCTCAGAATACCTGGAAAATGTGGGGAGGGATATGTCATGGCACTGTTGGTACTGTGGCTTGTGCCTGGATGTCGGGATTCCCCAGGCGTGCACAGGTCATGGCACGGCCACTGATGCACACTCTCTCCAATATCACTGGTGAGGCTCTTGACGCGTGCGTACTCGTGGTGGATCTTGAAACAGACGGAACAGTGGACTGAAGGCGCCTCATATGTCGAGTTGGATAGGACCAAAGCCTCATACGTATGTGCCGGGCAGTTGACAGCAGCCGCAAGAATGACGTATCTTGATTTTGCATCTTTGGAGTACGGAGTACGAGCCTGTACGGTGATAGTGGATAGGAGAATGTACTGAATTTTTGCAGGCTAGCTCTCTTCTCAGTGCCCAAAAGTAATCGGAGCGAGAGTTGAATACTCCATCTGGGGACCAACTTTGAATTTTGAGCCTGTAAGGATACCTGAATAGCCACAATATGAGCGGTATACCCTGCGTGACGAAGCAAGGCCTCACTAGGCCTGGCTCGCCCAATGATCAGTCTCCGCGGAACCCCCTAGTTAACCCTGAAGTAATGGGATTTAGCAAATGCCATAGCCCAAAAAAGCACTCTCAGCCAGTTATGAGACGTCTTACTGCTGCCCAGAGACTCGGTGCAGCTGCCCAATTTCACATCTCTGTAGCTGTCTACGTAACCATATGAAATCACACTCAAAGAAAGTCGGAACTACGTCTTCTCTTTCTCTCTGTTACATTCTTTGCTACGTAGAAGGCGTCACTTGAATTACATTGTTATTAAGTGGTTCTTGCGCCTCTTCCAGGATCGTGCGCCGCATCGAATCAGTCATCATCATCCAGCTATCCCCGGCTGATCGACACATCTCTACACTTTTGCGGACAACGCGGGCCATATCTATCTCGACTGCCCTTCCTCTCCAAATCGATTTCGTGGAGACGTCTCCTATTTCTCGATTCAGAAACACCTTGTTGTAACTGCGCACCTACGCCTTCAACTCTCTTTGACATTGGCGGTCTGGAGGTTTCGTGCGATGGTAATTTCTTCTCACGGACACCACTAGAACTTTCTCGGGTTTCGCCCCTCTCTTCAAACTCAAGCACCTTGGGGCACTCCAAGCCCGTGCTTGCTCAGCACCTCAATTCCGCTTGTATGAGCATTACCGCCTGTTAATCGACCTTGCATCCTTTGCCTCCACTCTCATTCTCTCATACTTTCCGAGCCATCCTGCAGGCCCGTCTGCACCCGGCAGAGCCCTCGCATTTCGAAGCGCATCGCATGTGGCCTTGACCGGCCCTTACCCGGCGCAGCTGCGCAAGCAGAACACCACACATACACATACACACCTCATCGTTAGTCACCATGGACATCACTCAAACTCAACAGCCGTCATCTCCCGTAGAGCCCGGACTTGAAAGAGAAGGATCTCAATCTCCACAAAATACATCACAACCCTCTTCCCCAGAATCAACAGCTAAGGCACCGTCTCTCAGTGCACAAGGCAGCAGTATGGCGTTCACAATGAGCCCATCCTCAGCCCCTTTGGGTCCTACCAACGCTGCAAGGAGACCAGGACCCCTTCCCGGCCGTGCAAGCGGCCTCAATTCCGACATACAGGCCAAAATGAAGGCATTTTCTCAATCTCGGCGGGGTGCTCCTCCTTCCACACAGAATCTCCGAAACCCACAACAGCCAGGCGGTCCTGGGGGTATGGTCGGAGGCTCTCTTTCAGGAGCCAGCCCGACTTCGCCAACTTCTACGCCAGCCGGACTGCGATTACCAGGTAGTCTCAGTCGACCCAATGCTCCTAGCCTCGGGTCCAACCCATCACCCGCAGTTGGCACTCCGAGAATGAATAGCCCGAAACCAATGGGTGGACTTGCAGCAAAGCGCGGTCTCAAAGGGGCTATGAAGCTGTCCGACGCACAAAAACCACAACCTGTCGGTCAGGAAGCAGAGAAGCAAGACACAGGTTCTCAATTCAGCAAATTCGCCAACATAATAGACACCAAAACGGGTACACTCAATTTTCAGAACAAGGCTGTCATTCACGGGAGTGGAATTGACTTTGCAGGAGGAAGCACCTTTTCCATCTCACTGGACGAGGTGGACACTATCGCCGAGCTTGGAAAGGGAAACTACGGGACAGTCTTCAAAGTGCGACACGCTCGGCCCAGGATGCGAAGGCCAGGCCTCGGATTGCGAGGCAACATGGTTCGACAAGCATCAGCTTCAGCTGTACCTGAAGATGGAGATATGGATCTCAACGGCACCAAAGATTCCGGCACGAGTGGGCTCGTCATGGCTATGAAGGAAATCCGTCTCGAGTTGGACGATACAAAATTCGCCCAGATCATCATGGAGTTGGACATCTTGCACCGCTGTGTTTCGCCTTTTATCATCGACTTCTATGGCGCCTTCTTCCAAGAAGGATCGGTCTACATTTGTATCGAGTACATGGACGGAGGCTCGATTGACAAGCTTTATGGCGATGGCGTCCCCGAAGGCGTCTTGAAAAAGATCACTTTGTCAACCGTGATGGGTCTTAAGTGCTTGAAGGATGACCACAACATCATCCATCGAGACGTCAAACCCACCAACATCCTGGTCAATACTCGCGGACAGGTCAAAATTTGCGACTTTGGCGTCAGCGGCAACCTCGTTGCGTCTATTGCAAAGACAAATATCGGCTGTCAAAGCTATATGGCACCAGAAAGAATATCAGGAGGTGGAATTGCACAGGTCGGTGCGGGTGGCGGCTCATACAGTGTCCAGTCGGACATTTGGTCATTGGGTCTCACCATCATCGAATGTGCCCTCGGCAGGTATCCTTACCCACCAGAAACCTACGACAACATCTTCAGCCAGCTGAGTGTAAGCACACGCTCCCCTCGTACTGCGTACATAACACTGACATTCTCTTCGCAGGCCATTGTTGATGGTGATCCTCCTGATTTGCCCGCCGATAAATTCTCCGAAATAGCAATCGATTTTGTTCGTGGGTGTCTCAACAAGATTCCCAGGCTTAGACCGACCTATACAATGCTCCTTCGACATGCTTGGTTGGCACCACTCATGAAACCTCCTACGATATCAGAAGATGAAGAAGGTGAACAGGCGGCTGAGGCTGGTATCGAATCGGCCTTCTCCAACACTGGCATTCCCGATACAGCCGACAAGGAGGTAGCAAACTGGGTGACAGCTGCCCTCGAAAGGAAGAAGGCAGGCAAGATGGCTGTAAGCAAGAAACCTGCATTACACGAGGCGCCACTCGACGCCGTTCCGGGGAGCCCTCTACTGGCAAAATCAGAGGCAGACGCTACTGCCGGGGACAGTCTAGAAGATCTGCCTGTCCCAGTAGCGAACGAACCTGTGGAAGTGGATGCTCCGGACTTGCTAGCAGCAAGAGTGCAAGGTCTGGATTTCGCTTCACCATGATGAGGAGAACTCGCGATGGGCTGTTATGACGACACTGAGATAAGTGTAACGAATAACGAGACACGAAAATGCAGTTGGTAGTAGAAATTGCTGTCCAAAGCCACGGCCTGATACAATACTGACGGTCTATCTCACACACATCTTCTTTCAAGCAGTAGTGGCCTGATGTTTTTCGTGAAATCCTCGCCTGATCCTCGTACGCCAAATGTAACTACATTCCTTGTGAACAGCAGAGCGGTGGCTCCGGCCTGTGGCTTCGCGAGTGTTTGCGACCTTCTTGCTACTAGTATCTTAGGAAATGATGGCAGGGGGTGAGGGTCTTAGTACGATGACATCACTGGCTTCTTAATCACAACTTCAACTTGCAGTATCACAAAATCGATGATCACCTCCGTTTCATAATGCTCAGTACTCGCGCCTGTATGCTTCATTTTTCTGCTCAAGCCGTGACTCTGGGGTAACGCTTCCTTTCTCTATTGAAGCATGAATAACAATGCCCGCTCTTGCCCGGAGACTTTTGATTTGGGCGACCGTCGACGGCCTTGTTCTTCAGGCTCACGGTCCAGCTGAGCAAAATAAAACCGTTCAGATCGACTATAAGCGTTCGCAGATCAAAGAGGTTCGGGACTATGATGAGACTACGAGGAAAGGCACTCCATTGGAGGCCCACGGTGTCATAGGTAGGGGTGAAGCGCCGGTCTGATCTCAATCAATTTTCTTATCCTTCACAGGACTTCTATCTATCGCATCATCCTCTTTTCTGATTGCCATCACCCAGCGAGAACAAGTGGCACAAATTTTTGGCAAGCCGGTCTACGTGATCAGGGACGTCGCGTTGGTGCCGTTATCGTCTCAAAGTGAGGCTGAGACGGCGATCACCTCCGCCATAGCTTCACGAGGACCGGCTGCATCAGCCGACGACTCGGATTCCGACCTCAGCGATGCCGGTGAAGATGACGAGGCTGCTACTAAGGATGCAGAGCCTGATACACCGTCCTCCGATACATCCATCGAACATGGCCTGACCCAGCACATAAATGCAAGCACCACGAGCATAGTCAAAAACGTCATCGCCAATCGAGGCCAGTACGCACGTTTTGCATCACAATGGTTCTCAAAGCAAGGCTGGGGAGGCGGAAAAGCAGAAGATAAGTCGTCAGACTCATCACAAGAGCTGAGTCCAGAGGCGACCCAGTCATCCACGAAAGGAGACATTGCGGCGGCAGCGAATTCTGCGAAATTACAAGGCGAAGGCCACGAAGACGCGCAAGTGGCAGAGACCCAGAAAATACTGGCCAGCAACTCGGTTCGGGACGCCCTTCCAAGGATCGTCAAGACTACAAGGATGATCTTAACTTCCGGAAGCTTTTTCTTCTCCTACGAGTTTGACCTCACCCGTAGGCTCGCACTTCTGGGCGGCAATGGAAAGGCACCGTCTGTCGAATCTTTGGATCCACTGGTAGGCCGAGAACGACTTTCGTATCTGGTCAGATGCTGACGAGTATAGTATTTTTGGAACAAACGCCTTGCAACGCCGTTCATAGATGCGAAACAGAATACATTCCTGATGCCCATCCTACAAGGCTTTGTGGGGCAAAGAGCTTTCACAGTTAACAAGCCGGAGCCGAAGGACCCTCAATCAGCCAGCATCGTCGCGGCAGAGCACGACAAAGATTCTGCGGGGCTCGGCGATGCCATCGAGTCGGCTAAGCAAGGCCTTGCCAGTATGAGTGGGGAGAGCCAGTCATACCTACTCACGCTGATTTCTCGACGCTCGGTTAAGCGGTCCGGACTGCGGTATTTGCGCCGGGGTATCGACGATGAAGGGAACTGTGCAAATGCCGTGGAGAGCGAGCAGATTCTGTCATCCCCTGATTGGTCCCCCGCAAGGAGGATCCGCTCTTTCGTCCAGATACGATGCTCTATACCCCTTTACTTTTCCCAGTCACCATACTCACTCAAGCCCGCGCCAAATATCCAGCACTCTGCGTCCAAGAACGACGCCGCGATGAAGAAGCATTTCCAAGACCTCAAGCAACGGTACGGCGGTGTCCAGATCGCAGCGCTGGTCGACAAGCATGGTACTGAGGCTTCCATCGGGTCGGCATACGAAGAAGCGGTGCGATCCCTCAAAGAGGCCAACCAACTCGAAAATGTACAATTCTATTGGTTCGATTTCCACGCAGAGTGTCGCGGTATGAAATTCGAAAATGTATCGAGGCTTGTCGACAAGCTCGGGGGTACAAATGAGAACTTCAACGAGACGACTATCTCGAGCGAAGGGACCGAGACAAGTCAGTCGGGTGTGATCCGCACGAATTGCATGGACTGTTTGGACAGGACGAATGTAGCGCAAAGTGCATTTGGCCAATACATGCTGCAAAGAGACCTAGCCAAGGAGGGATACAAGATTGACTTGCTCACCGATCAAAGCACGACTTGGTTCAATACGCTATGGGCTGACAATGGCGATGCGATATCCCGACAGTACGCCTCCACTGCAGCACTCAAGGGCGACTTCACCCGTACCAGACGTCGCAATTACCGAGGTGCATTGAATGACTTCAGTCTGACCTTGACTCGGTATTACAACAACATGGTCAATGACTATTTCTCCCAAGCAGTCATCGATGTCCTGCTAGGAAATATGTCATGGAAGATCTTCGAGGACTTCGAGAGCAACATGATGAGCGCTGATCCTGGAATATCGATTGACCAGATCCGTCAAACGGCAATCGAGAATTGCTCAAAGCAAGTGATCCAAGAAAGCAACGAAGATCTCATTCAGGGATGGACGATGTTGACACCTGCTCATGAGAACACGCTGCGGACCATTCCGTTCGAAGAGGCTGTCATTCTGCTGACTGATACTGCTCTTTACTGTTGCAAGTTTGATTGGGCCACTGAAAAGCTGCGGTCGTTCGAAAAGGTCGATCTCAGGTCGATATCCAAGATCAGGTATGGAACGTACATCACCTCGACATTCGGTGAGCGGGCTGTGAGCGAAGAGTACAATGCCGGGGTTGTGATTGTGTACAAGCCTGGGAAAGAGAGCATCATCAGAACAAATACACGATCTTTGCAGAATTATGTGAAGCCCCAATCGGAAGACTCCGAGAACCGAGTTGATGGAGGAACCGGTATATTGTCATGGCTGAGTCCTTCTGCACCGGCGTCATCCAGGTCAGTCGCCATGAAGGTCATTGCTGCAACCGGCAGTCAAATGGATATACCAGAGCAGAAGAATGTTGGAACACCCCTGGGTGTGGCTGAGCACATTGCGGAAGAGGTCCGACGGGCCATTGGTGGCTCTGGTGGTGGTGGTACGCAAGGAGGCGGCGATGACCTTGTTGAACATGCAGACATCATCTCAATTGCAGACGCCAAGAAGCGCACTGGCTATCTTGAACAATTGGGATATTCGATCAAGAAAATGGTCTGGACGTGAGCGTGGCATTTGTGATGAGTGTTTGTCGGCAAGCAGTGAATACACACTCCTCGTTCAACCAGAACATGTCTTATCCTGAGTTGGCTCATTGTGCCATGAGATGCTGATGGTTGTTGGACGACATAGCCAGAGAATACATTTGGGGATGTCTGATTTTACGATATATAGGTATACGACGATCATGATATGGTTTCTAGCATGATAGCATATACCTTGTAGGTACTTACGTATACCTACGCCGACGGATACGAGGGGCCCACTAAAATCAATCATTGATTCAGGGTCCATGGCTGTTGCAAGTTTGATTTCCATCTTGACCACATCTTCATGCCAATGCGGAGCAGAATTTCCATCATAGAAACCGTGCCCTCAAGAACGACTGCACTTACATTTCGATGAACCCATATCTTGTCATGATCTAGTCTCCAGATTTCTCCTGTGAGACCCTTGCGATCAAGCCTCCACGAATACCTGCTTTTCGCCGGCGCCCTCTCACAAAAATTTCCCACTTACTGCCACCCACCACCCTAGTTCACTCACAACCTGGGGCAGGAGTTCAACACGCAGCGCACTTGACGCGATTCTCACGTGTATTTGTCTTCAGCGCGCGACTCACCAGGGAGACTAGCCTCACGTGCTGAAACAGCATTTTCAGTCGGTCTGCCGATCCACGACTTCCCAATCCTCCACTTTATCTGGTAGAGGTCCCTTTGGGCGACGGTGCCCGTCATGGCGTGGCAGCCGGAGGAGGATGGTTTGAGACAATTGTCAGAGTTCCTCAAGAGCTCATTGAGCGGACATGACAGAGACAAACAAAAGGAGGCAGAGCTGGTACGTACAAAAGTTACATGGAGACATACAATGCGCTAATCGTCGCATTCCCAGATGCTTATGAATGCGCGAAGCAATCAAGACTACGTGAACTATTTGACCTACATATTCAGTACGCCGCAGATCGGGCAGCAACTAAGTCTAAACGCCCCCAGTCTCTTCCTCATTCGGTATGCGGCCGCAATCAATCTCAAGAACCACATAAAACTCTTCTATACAAACATTCCCAAAGACCAGTTGGCATACATCAAGACTTCGACCCTCACAGTCCTGCGAGATCCGAATCCGCAGTTAAGGAGCTTTGCTGGAACTGTCATAACTGAGACCGTGACACAGGGAGGCTTGCTGCAATGGCCCGAGATACTACAAGAGTTATTGTCGCTTGTCAGCAATGCTGGTGGCAATGTACCGCCAGAAACCCAGGAGGGTGCCATGTCTGCATTGGCCAAGGTCTGTGAGGATAATAAGAAGTTGCTGGACAAGGAATTCCAGGGACAGCGACCGATGGCTGTCATGGTCCCGAAGTTGCTGGAATTCGCAAGTCATCCGAACCCAAAGATCAGAGTGTTTGCATTGAATACCCTGAAGTCGTTCATCCCTCAGAAATCGCAGATTCTCTTCTCCGCCCTGGACGTCTACTTGCAAACGATCTTCCAACTCGCAACAGATCCCGATGTGCAAGTCCGGAGGATTGTCTGTCAATCTCTTGTCCAGTTGGTCGAATCCAGTCCTGATACACTTGCGCCCCATCTCGACGGCCTGGTCAACTACATCCTGACGCAACAGCAAGCAGCCGGAAGTCCTGATCTTGCTCTGGACGCTGCCGAATTTTGGCTTAGTATTGGCGAACAGGACCAACTACGAGATCGAATGGGACCATACCTAGAGAGGATCATTCCAGTCTTGCTAGCGGGCATGGTATATGGTGAAGACGAAGTCGTCCGGTTGGGAGGCGACGAAAACAATGCCGATGAGGAAGATCGCGTTGAAGACATCAAACCTCAGTTCGCACAGACGAAGGCCGGAAGAGGCGTGACCTCAGAAAAGGAGGAAACACCCGGAACGCCACAGGCAAACGGATCCTCGAAAAATGCTGATCTCAGTGACGGCGAAATTGAGGACGATGAAGAAGGAGACGAAGACGAATGGGACGACGATGACCCCGAGAATGCGTGGAGTCTACGTAAATGCTCTGCAGCAGCATTGGACGTCTTCGCCGTCAACTATGGCCCCGCTGTCTTCAACATCATCTTGCCCTATTTGAAGGAGAACTTGTCACACAGCCTCTGGCCCAAGCGAGAAGCGGCAGTCCTGGCTCTCGGCGCCATCGCAGATGGATGCATGGACGTGGTATCACCTCACCTCCCCGAACTTGTCCCTTTCTTGATCTCTCTTCTTTCCGACGAGGAACCTGTTGTTCGGCAAATCACCTGCTGGTGTCTAGCGCGATACTCGGAATGGGCATCAAGGCTTGAATCGCCGGCCGACAAGCAACGTTACTTCGAGCCGATGATGGAAGGTCTCCTACAGCGCATGCTGGATCAGAACAAGAAAGTGCAAGAAGCCGGAGCTAGTTCCTTCGCCAGTCTCGAGGAGAAGTCGGGCGACAAACTCAAACCATACGTCGAGCCCATCCTCCGGCAATTCACCGAGTGTTTCAAGCGGTACAAGGACAAGAATATGTACATCCTGTACGACTGCCTACAGACTCTGGCCGACAGCGTAGGCTCAGACATGGCCAAGCCTGATCTGGTCAACCTGCTGATGCCGGTCCTGATCGAACGCTGGAATAAGATCCAAGATGACTCGCGGGAAATGTTCCCTCTGCTAGGATGTCTGGGATACATTGCCATGGCGTATGGCGATACTTTCGCACAATTCGCTGCACCGATCTTCGACCGTTGCATTAAAGTCGTTTACGGCAATCTGCAGCAGCACATGGCGTTCATGTCCGGCCAGACAGTCGATCAGCCGGACAAAGACTTTATTGTGACAGCCTTGGACCTGCTATCGGCCATCATCCAAGCTATTTCGCCTGAAAAGTCTGGTCCATTGGTCCAGAACTCGCAGCCACAATTCTTCGATCTTCTATCTTTCTGCGTGGAAGATCCCACAAGCGACGTCCGACAGTCCGCCTACGCCGTACTGGGAGACTGCGCCATCGCCCTGTTTGGTAGCTTGGACCCGTACCTACAGAAGCTCTTGCCGATATCGATCCGCCAGCTCGACCTCGACGCCATGCCCGACGACGATTCGGAGAACGGCTTTAATGTCCTGGCTAATGTCTGCTGGTCGATAGGCGAGATCGCCGCCCGTGCACCAACCGAGCGTTTGTCCCCGTACGTCGAGCCCCTGTACAACGGTTTGACGACTATCATTAAGAACGAGGAAGTCCCTGAGCCAGCCAGTGAAAATGCAGCAACCGCTCTCGGGAGGCTCGGTCTCGCGTGCCCTGTACATCTCGCGCCGTTCCTGGGCGAATTCGCTGAACCATTCTTGCAATCCATGTCTAAGATCAGCACGTCGAATGAAAAGGCCAGCGCGTTTCTAGGCTTCAATAACGTCATCCAGAACAATCCGCAGGCCATGGAGAGCAGTTTGGCGCTTTATTTTGCGGCCATCGCTCAGTTTCCACAGAAGGGCAAGCAGGGTGCCGAGTACGGCGAGGTCCGGGCTAGTTTTGCACAAGTCATCCAAGGATATGTCGGCTTGATTGGAAACGATGGGTTCAATGCCTTCTTGAACGGCTTGAGTACGCCTGTCCGTGCTAAGCTCAGGGATGGGTATGGTCTTGGGTCGTGAAAAGAAGAGCAGAGCAGAAAGAGCTTGGGATTTTATGAGACTCTGGCAACGGCTTAGAGTTAAGAACGTGTATGCCTTTAGAGGCAATGGGCACGAAACTTGTGGATGGTAACGCCACTGGAAGCTGCTGACGACAATTGTGAAAAGGGGCTCACATCTCACCTCGAAAAGTTCGCCCAGTTTGACGAGGCGATGCTTTTGGTGCTGCAGACTATGAAGGACAACTTGTTGGCCGGCTTCACATTGCTAATCTGCTAGGAAGCTTAGAAGGAGTGGGAGTTGAATGGTTACATTTTCAGGCAGACCTCAGGAGAAGCATGACAAAATGTGGTTAAGACAAAAGAGCTGTACGCGAACTGAAAGAGCAAGAGAGAAGGAAAAGTCATATTGATCTTTCCTAGCTCTGGTCCCCAAGCACCTGTTCAATTTCCTACGAAGCATGACGGATCTTGGAGGCATTTTGATGATTCTTCAATGAATTTTCAACATTTGCAGAAGATGGGCTGTGGATCAAGACACCTTCCTCCTTGTGCTGTTTTCATGGTGACTTGGCTAGCGACAAAATGTAGATAGTTCTTAGGTAGCTAGATTAGATAGCATGGCGCACAGTACGTAGCATAGCGACAGCGTTTTGGCATCATTTCAAGAATAGGGGCAATGACAGACAAACCAAGATCACTTATCACCGGTTAGAGCAAATGTTTGAACCTGCATCGAACGTGTAGAAACAGACGGTAAATGTGTATAGATACTCCTCCCAAAGTATCTTCACGGGATCCATCTTCACGAGATCCAGACCAAACATGTTTTGTGTCGAGATGAGTGGTAGGCTGCATAACGGGGAAGTAATCGGGTAGTACCCTCGCCCCCAATTGACATGAATTGTAGATAACATATTCGGAGCCATCTAGGCCGTCTCATTGTTAGGTCCAAGCCACTACCAGACCGAGTAGGAACGAAAAAATTGGTCAATACACTTGGCGCGTATGCTTGGTCCAAAAATCGACACTTCAATAGGAATGACATGACACCAACATCACAGCTCAAGAGCTCGAGCTCAAGTTTGCATTGGAGAAAAACAGTTGTAGAATACTCAAGGAGACACCAACCATCGTGCACTTACAAGCAGACAGCCTGGTATCAAGAATGCTAATGCTGCCCTTTCACCGACCATGTTCCTGAAGACCGAGTATGTCCGATTTTGCTCTGTCGTATAGCGCGTGCGCAGCTCGACAAGACGAGAGATGAATTGTCGCTGAGTCAGTCTGTCCTCCATCAAGTGAACCATTTGTTCCTTGACTCACCAAAAACACCGAGTATGATCGTTTGATCGCCATTCATTCCAATTGTGATTCAGCGCCAGCGCAGACGGGTAATAAGCCGCACAGCAAGAACAAAAGTGCAGCAGGACGGCATAGTCAGCTGAGATGCCAAGTTAGGAGCACTTAGCTTAGCATTGTATGCTGTAGTCCGCTTGACGGTCGCTCTGAATGGGTCGAATGTGGTTGTAACTCTAAATAGTGAGGCTCGAAGATTTGGAGAGTTGTTGGTCGTAGTGACTTTGCGTTTAGACCATGATAGTCTTCTGTGCAGGAGTAAATGCGTACTTGGCCATCATTGCCATCCTCTCTTCAGGACTTGTCTCGTTGTCAGAATACACCAACCTGGTTGATTTCGGCTTCTCCTTTTCTTTGTCCTTCTTTGCTCCCTTTTCTTCACTAACTTCTTCTTTCGCTGGCGCCGGAGCCGCCACTGGTGGAGTTGCTATCGCCGTGGTAGCTGGGACCGTGTCGGCCGCGGCTTTATCTTGGGCGTCCTTGATCAAATCGTCAAGGGTTGACGCATTTTCAGAATCACCCACATTGTTAGGTGGTGCAGGGACATGGCTCTGCGGAGGCGTATGTGCCGCTGCTACACCAAATGGAGGTTGATGTGGAGGATACTGCGGCGGCATAGCATGGGCTTGTGGAGCAGGCATCTGACCTTGATGTAACTGCTGAAATTGAAAAGCATTCACAGGTGGAGCACCAAATGCTGGCCTCTGTGGCAATCCCGGAGCACTAGGAAGACTTACACTGCCAGTACGTACTGGTGCAGGGAAATTTGCATTCATAGCAGGAGAATGAGCACGATGATTCGGCATTTGTTGAGGATAGCCAGGAGCTGAAGAACCCGGTCCGAAGGGACGAGGAGGCATGCCTGCCTGTCCTGGATATGGTTGACCTGAGTACGGAGCTTGATATGGGGGCGGTGAGAAACTCGGCTGAGGAGGATAACCCATAGGAGGCTGTTGTGGTTGAAAGGGCGACTGTGATGGCTGAGGATAATGCTGTGGCGGATAAGACACTGGAGGGACCTGACCGTAGCCTGGTTGACCAGGTTGAGGGACTGCGACGTGACCATATCCGCCCACCTGGGGTGGTGAGACTGCGGGTGCGTAGGCAGGAGTCGCTTGATACGGAGCACTAGCAGCTACCGCTGGGGGCTGCGCGTAAGAGGGAGACTGATTGTACGAACCATTGGTTGGTGGTGCCGCATATGGTGGTTGTTGATAGCCAGAATAAGAAGGAGAAGCAGCCTGTGATAGAAATGAGCGGAGATCATGCATTGCGCAATTGTGAGAACTTACCGATGGTGCCTGAGGTTGAGCCTGGGCTACGACTGAGGCGGCAGGCTTGGGAGTTGTACCTCCACTACTTCCACCGTTCTCCTTTTCTCCTGCCAATTTGGCGGCTTTGTGTTCTGCCAAACGCTTCTTGATGTCTGAGACAGACTCAAGCTTGGGCTTCTTGGGCGCACTGGCATTTGATCCCTGTGCACCACCACCTCCTTGTCGATCAGTTTGGCCTTGGTGGTAGTTGGTAAGGACACGCTGCGTGTGTTGCTGGACAATATCTTCAGGGATTCCTTCCATGCCAAATATTTCAATATCCAGGCCAGCTCTGTTTGGAAGGGCATTATCGACAGCAGTGAGATTTTCTTTATGCACTTGGCTCATATGGACGCTCAGGCCTGGTTTTGTGTTAGCTATTGATTGCGCCAGAAGGAGAGCTCATCAACTCGCCTCCGGCAGTGTTTAAACGTCGACCACATCTTTCGCACTTGAAGTGTTTCGCTTTTTGGTGGTTGATCAAGATTTTGAGATCGTCAAAGTCGCGCTCACAGTAGTAGCACCATGGCCGCGACAATATCTCATCGACATCGGGGTGATTACGCTTCTTCTTGGTCATGTTGAGCTGAGTAGTGTGGCCGGTTCAAGGGATGGTGTCAGGGACGGTGGTTTCGGCCAGATCTAGTGACTGAAGATACTCTTTGGAGAACCAACCTGGACTTGGACGATCGAAAGGATGCTCGAGAGGAATCTTGTCAGATGGGAATGACGGGGGCCGTCGTTGCCTGGTGTCGTTAAGAAGACAGAAGCCTGAGATGAATGTGAAAGTCGCAGTTGCAACGAAAGCGAAAGGAAAGGGAGGCTGGCCAGAATTCTAATGTTACTGCCTCGCCAAGAACGGAGTTTTTACTTTAGCCAACCCCGAATGTCCCTCCTCATCCTCATCTTCAACCCTGCGGAGAGCATGGCATATTCTCTCTCTCTACGTTACTCGATAGAATCATAATCATAATGACTACAACCTAGGTTTGCAACCTCCTAGAGTATGCCATGTTGTAAAACTACCGGACTTTGCATCAACAGTCGACGCAGATCCTTCCAATATCTGTCATGACACCATTCAGTGCCAACCAGACCTAGGTGACTTCCTCTTGACGCCTTTGCTTCCCAAAAATCAGACGCAGTGCAGTCAACCACTTGATCGCCTCAAATTCCGGACAGACCGCCTCCTCGGAGGATCAGGTGTCCCATTGACAACAATCATCGAGTCGCTACCTGTATCCTCCTTTTTCAAGCTCGCTTTCGACGCTGGACTGCTGACCTCTCTGCCATATCGCGGTGGTGTCGTCGTGTCTCGTCGTGAAAACTCTTCCATCTTCCTGTCCTCCTGTAGTTCATCTGGTGAACTGTCATGGTTCATCAACATATTGATCCCAAATCCACCTCTTCTGGCAGATCTCCCACTGCCTCCACCTGCAGCCTTCGACTCTTGTGACCAGCCACCATCGAAGGTTTCTGGCACCGGTGTAGTTGCGGGCGTCGTCCTAGCACTGTCCGTTTGCTTGGGCTTGGATGCGGCAGCTCGTCTCGGCCTTGGAGACTCCGTAGACTCCTCGACGTCCTGTGGCATGTCGTCGAGCAGGTTTTTCTTCGCACGAGGTCTTTTGTCTTTGTTCTCGTCCCTCCAGTATGCCCATTTTCTAAACATGCTAAAGCTTCGTACCGGGTTGATGCCGTTGATGATCTTGTTCTTCCAATCTTCAGCCTTGGCGGCGTCGTCGTGTAACCATAAATGATCATGCTTGACTGCTTCAACAAGTTCCTCGTCTGTCCACTTGCGATTGCGCAATGACTGGGGCGACAGCCCACGCCATGACGATGTGGGTGCTACAGGTCTGGGGGAATCTCGTGCTGCTGGCGATACTGCTTGTGAGGCTGCTGCTTCGGCAGCGTTGCGTGCTGCCAGCTCTTTCGCTTTTGTATACTGGTTGGGGTGTTTAGGTCGGTTTTGGACTTGGACTGGTGCGACCTTCCCATACCCAGGTAGTCCTTTCGTATACTGGTTGGGATGCTTTGGTCGGACCACACCGGGTACAACCTCGGTGACTTTTCGCCGCTTCGCTGTCGGAGTGTCCTCACGAACACTGTCTGCTGGCGTGTTGGCTCTCTTTCTGGGCGTGGTAGAAACGCTAGATGGAGCTTCAGAGACATCTCTTGTGGGCGGAACCTTTTGGCCATCAAACCTGGTTCGAGTCAAGCGTTTGTCGACCACCTTTGACGGTGTAAGGCCAGTCACGTCACTGCCAGCCGATTGAGGTCGTTCAATCTCGCCATGCTCGTTCACATTGCGCTTAACATATGTGATAGAATACTCGTCGCGGTGAACTTGTTGTCTCGGAACGAGTGGTTTCCCTTTTTTGATAACCGGGTCCCACCCATCGATGTTCTTTGGGTTTTTCGCTCGTGCGACCATGGCTTTGTACTCTCTCTCCTTGGGTACAAAACCGCCTTGCTCGAAGGGCTCTTGAAACAGGCGCACGTCATGCTTCTCCCGTTCGCCAAGATCATCAGCAGATCTCAGCCCTGGAATGCCGGCAATCAGTAATGCTGGTTTGTTGGGTTCGTATTTGTAGCCATAGAGAGCGGATTCTTTTCGTTCCTCAAAGACATCGGGAGCTGGGAGGTCTTGGGAATTTTTGTATGTCTCCTTTCCCTTAAGGCGGGTGATTTGTCGCTCAAGCTCGATGTATTCGTCTTGAGCTAATTTCATGGCAATCTGGTTGTTCGCACTTGCTGCAAAAAGCTGCTTGCGTTTCAAAGTCGTGATGTTCATGAGGAAACTTTGTGGGTCGTTGAGTGGTTGGAAGCCATCTTCGTTCAGCTCTGCGGAAGAGTATAGTACGGGGCGAGTAGACTCTCCAAAGGCTGTCCGCCACAGGGTGTCGATGTCCATGGCAGACACCGTTGGCAGAAACTGATATCAATGCTGGTGTCCTAGTGTGGTGTCCATACATGCAATGAATGAGATACTTCGGCAAGTATGTGATTTTCTGGTTGGTACAGTAGATGTAAGAAAAAATGAGTGGTCACGGAGGTGCCAGGGTAAGAGTAGGAGGCAGTCTAGCCTTCTGCCTTGACCACTGGCACTCAAACCAGAGCTGATACCAACCAGACCAGCAGCTATTCCAAACAAGGACAAAGAGTATGTTTTGGATGATCAACTGTAGAGAGACTTCTGGCAGAAGATGTCTTGAGAGAGCATTGGTCTACCACTTTAGCACTTACTTTCCTTGGAACTCAAACTATCCATTCAAGCCCAATCCGGTGGCGCAAAAGCTAGTCCCAAATTGGACACTTACAGCCACATTTCTTGGCTTCAAACAAAGCATTTGTCTTTGATTGCTGCCAGTCATGATGCAGCACCCCGGAAAATTTCACTTGTCAATCACAGAAATCATCTGACAACCTGGGGATGTTGTACAAATTCATGTCGGGGCCAGTCTACTGCGTCTCAGTATCCAGGGAAGCCCAACCAGGTTTTCTATGAACTTTTCTCGTACATATCGTGATCTGAGCAACATAGAGGCACCATGCTAGGGTGTATGCCTGCTAGCAATGCCAGAAGCTCCGCGCGCTCATACCGCTGCCTCATCCCCGCGTGCCGCCCGCTCACGTAACCTCTTCTCCGTCGCCTTCTTGGCGTCTTCCACCCAAGCATCATAAGTGCCATCCTTCAGCTTCATCGCAACCACCCCTTTCAGCACTTCGCCCGTAAAGCCCACGAAGTTATGTCGCCGCAAAGCATTTTCCCAATCCCACTGTGCTCTCTTCCGTCTCTCTCGTGCAAGACCCTCGTAATCTTGAAACTCCTGTGCCTTGATTCTCCGATCCTGACAAACAGCCATCAAATTGAACCGTACTTCACCCATAGGATACCTTTCAATCCGTCTTTGCAGCACGGGGATGATCTTTTCTGGGAACTCATCTGGCGTGCAGTCTCCATGCGAGATCGGGAAAGGTTGCAATCCATCCAATTCGTACAATTTGCCGTGATGACACGTGTAGCCGATAAAATGGAATACATCCTCTGTGCCAGCATTGGGGTCGCGTTGCACCTCATCGGCGAAAGGGCTTGACTTGGCAAAGCTGTTGTGTGTTTCCCGAATCAGATCCGAATTCGACAGCGACTCTCCTCTCAATCCAGCATCAAATCCCGTTGTGAAATCCTTGAACTCTTGCAACGACGGTCCAATTTCGATCCTCGCGTGACTCGCATCCGCGCCCGATGTGGATGATTCGCTCGACTTGTCATTGTTTAGAATGACTGAGAGGATGGCTTGTGTGCCGCATGCGTTTTGTATGGTCTGAGCTGCGAAGAATAGTCCGTCCTCCTCAACCGCCTCCGGGTCGTATGTGCCATCTTGTGGTGTTCCCTTGTCCGCTGAGGACGAGCCTATCCACTTGAAGAGGAAAATGACGCCGTAGACCGGACTAGACAGCAAAGGAGCATGTTAGCAGGCAGGTTCACTCCGAAGGAACTCCCAAGTTGCAAAGGGACCACGCACGAGCTTCACGTTACCTCAAAGCACGAATAGAATCAGCGTCTAACGAGATCAGCTCCTCGAACTGAACATCCTTGACCCCGAGCTGCTCGATAAGCGAAGTGAAGACACCCTGCATGGACGATTACAGTCAGCTGTCTGGCCCATAATCTCCAGGATCAAAGTCCTAAGGGACAAAGATTGGCTTACTTCATCCGACTCAATCGTGCTCCAACCACCACTAGCCGCGTCTTCTGCCATGGCCGATGCTTGGGAGGTAAGCGGCGCCGTTCACGGGTATTCCAGATCTGTAGGTGAGACGTCGAAAGGGCTGAGCGGCCTTGCAGTTAATGTGCTTGACAGTGTGGATGTGGCTCGATGTGGAACAAGGTCTGTCAGGTACAGTTGGTCTCTGCCACTTGTTAAGACCGGGATCTGCTGTACGTTCGACGCCCGGAGGATGAGGCAAGCGAATGTCTCTCGGGCACCAGAACAGACACGGTCAACGGCTGACAAAAGTCGTGGCAATGAATGAATGGATTGACCGCAGGCGGGAATCTGAGGTTGGACAGAATCAGTTAGCATCAAACCACGGCAATCGCAGTGTTTGAAGGATTATGTAAGCGTATGACGTCGAACACGGAATCATGTATAAAGTACTCCATACTAGTACTAGTAGTACCCTGTCTGTACCTAGAGATAATTCTCCGGGTCTCTATTATTCAAGAAATGGGGACGGATGACGGATGCCCTCGTCGATGGTACCTAACTTTAGTGCAAGGTGTTGCTTGTGTTAATCGCTTCAAGCCGCTTTCAGCTTCAGTGTGCATGCTTCTTGCGATGCGACCTGCTGATGCACGGCGCACAGCGTTATTTTGGGATCTTGCCCGCCGTTGCAACGGCCTGCATCTTGCCCTTGTCATCTTGGTCATGCCGAGGTCTCCTGAGACACATGGCCCGGTGTTGTGCGTTTGTTCGAGTCAGTTAGGTACCTACTATAGGGCTTAGTCAAGGAATGTATGTCCTGGGTCCCCTCTAGCTTTGCCTCTGCCGCCTTGTAACCAGAAAATTCTTTCCTGTTTGGGATTTGCTGTGTGCGCTGGTACGCCATGATTGGTATATCTTGCGCCCTACTTCACGGAAACATGCCTAACAAAGGGAGCGAGAGCACCACTATGTCACAACGCTTGCAAACACGGACAAAGAGGATTCTCCTGCGGCTGAGAGAAGTGAAGAAACACTGCTTGCCTCATACAGTCGACATTTGAGCACGATGGAACAAAGTACCCCTGTTGAAGGATCTCGCATCGCACATTCAGGCCAGCAGCGAAAACGTGCACTATGCTGCATCCTGACCAGGGGGATGTGTCAGACGGCAACAGAATGCCAATGACATGGGCTAAAGTGTCGACTTTTGGATCTGACACACCACCCGACATGGTCAACTTTTTGTACGTCCTTGCAACCATTGGTCCATCCTTTCCTTGCTCTGGAGGATGACATGGCCGTACCATTGTCGGAAAGACCGGAGCATAGCAAACCACGCGGTCGAACAGCATCAAGACTGTCGCAATGGGCAATTGACAGTGCTTCCGCGTCGACTGCCACCATCGCCTAATACAGGACACCTCCACCCAGGCACTTGCCCTTTGAACAATGCGACGAAAGTACTTTTGACCTCCCAAGCTCTCAGCTGCTGCACGCCGAATCCATGATTGTGAAGCACTGCGTCCACCATGTCCCATTCGCTCATTCATCTTGTCCAACGCCTTGCTGATAGTACAAGCTGAAACTCAGAATCCCCATGTCTCACGTCATCGTAAATGTTGATCGTCACCGATATCTGTCCTGCCCTTGGCGCTGTTGTGGCATCATGGCAGGGCTTGGTGGTGGTGGAGTCCTGTGCATGAATCCTCAGCCGTGACGTTCGTCAAGTCCAAAGTTGTGAAGGAGCGACGAACCGAGTATTCATGTTCATGCCGCCATATTGATTGTACGGCGCTTGAACTTGTCCAAAATAGTCCACCCTTGACCCGGGGAATTCGTGACTGCTGCGAGGATACTGCGCACTACTGGCTCCGTACACGAGACCCATCGCATGCGGGCTTCCAGAGCTCATGTTGCGTTCATTCATTGAATGTGCCCGCACCAGAGATGAGATAGAAGGATCACGCCTGGGATCGCCTGAACCAACTGTGGTTGCATAGTACGCCGACGAGGGGGTTTGTTGAAGAGCCCCAGAGCCATGAAGAGGTGAGTGAGAGTAGACGGTGGTGAGGTCGGATGTCGAGGAAGATATCGGCATGCTTGGTGTTGTGTATGGACTCCCCTGGGGTGAATATCGATACATATCCATTGCCTGGCCGCCCTGACTATTATGCCGCTGTCTCATTCGGAACGATGTCAGGAGTTGTACAGGGACGTCTGTCAACGACAGCGCCACTTGGATGCCAGTATCCTGCGTTTGAGTTGTTCGTCTCGTCCTCAAAACATCGTGGACGCACTCAAGAGGTAGAACAGACATGCTGCCCAAATAAGCCCCACCTATCTCGGGAAATAGAGGTTCAATGGCGATAGCGCTGGCGTAGAGGTGCGACAGAAGGGCTAATGGAGCCAGGTCGGATTCTCCGGGTCGCAGAATGAGAGGAGGCAGCCAGAAGATGAAATCTCTCAGAAGTTGTAACCTGGTGAAGGCGTGCTCTGGTCCTCGGACTTGCATGTCTTGCTGTATGTGCTGCAGGTATTCCACCAAGTGCCTGGCGTGCTCCGCGAGTTCCTCACTGTTCGACAGTCGCATCTGCAAATTATGCAAAGCAGCTGTAATCTGCTCGAGTCTACTCAGATCTTCCTGAGGCACATTGACCTGCGCATATGGTAGTGTGGGTGTTGCAGGCGTTCCTGTCCGCGCCATTGCTCGCTGCTCCTGTATGTATCTAGCAAGTTCGGATTCATGCACCCAGGGTCTCATTGCGCTCATCACCTGCCATGTGTTAGTGTTTCCACGTCCGCAAACGGCCAAGTGTAGGCTCACCGTGGAGACTCCTTGTTGCAGTGAAGCCCATCCACGCCTACTGGAAATTAGATATCGTCAACCAGGTCGGAGATCGATCATACCAATCAGTGGTCTGCCAGGAAAGGAGGATAGATGCCGCAAGTATGGCTTCAGAGTTGTCCCTGGAGAATGCTCCAATCGCCTCATGTAGTCCTTTCAAGGCGACTCCTCGGTGGTGGTACGCCAAATTGTCCGTATCTCCATTCTTCGTCTGCCATGCGAGATGCGACGCAGACAATGCAAGCAGGGCGCTCATGGCAAAGTCGTACGACAAAGCGGCAGATATGAGTCTGTGGAATTATCAGTAAGTCGAGTGGTGGACATAATTCATCATCCTTACGAGCCGATCTTCGAGCCCCATACGGTGCAGCTGCTGTAGCCTCTGGTGTGCATGTCTGTCGACAGTGTGACGATATGGTGTATTAGTCGAAGATCGATCGTCGAAAATCGCGTCCAGTAGACTTTATCCCGTGTTTGCAACTCTGACAGAGGCGGTTCTCCAGTTATACGCCAGTTGTCGAGGCGACTTTGGAGTTCGGGTGACATTAGAAGGTCTGGTGGTTTGGAGCCTTTCAAAGGCTCTTCTCCAGCTGCCGGTATGTCCATATAGTCGCAACGGCAGTTGTGCTTGGTGCAATTTCGACACTGGGGGAAATTCTCATCGCAGCGGATGTGTCGGCGTTTGCAAGTCCTACACCCCTTGCGTGACTTGGTATGACTTTTACGGGGAGGTCCGCCAGCTCCAGCCATTTCCCGTACCAAACTGGAGAGGCTATAGCTGGGAAGAGTCGTGTTGACCTCTATGGCCGTCCGAAGTCGACTGTGCTAGATGGAGGACGGTCGGGTTGGCTATCAGGTAAGATAGGTGAGGTCGAAGAGGGATGGTTCACAATGTGTGCCTTAAGTGGGAGCACTATGCCACATGGTCAGGCTCGGTACAGACGAGGGCAACCCTGTTTCGAGAAGAAAGGCCGGGTCACTGACGGAGGAAGCTCGTATTGATGTTAAGGCTGAATGATAGTTCCACCACACCAGACTCTAGCGAGAAAAGTATGGCGAAGAGCGTCAGTGGTAATCTGGCGGGACAAGAGGCCAGAAACGGTGTGACTGAGAGCGTCAGTCGGCCTTGTTTATCCACAGTCTAATCGTAAGCGGATGACCACATGCGATGACTGTCATGGCAGAAACACAGCCTCAACGTAGCAGGTGGGAACGTGAAAAGGGAAGTCGAGTTCGAACGGCGCAAATGTTCTTCTGCCAAGTGTAAGTATAACTCGGGGAATGGCGAACCTGGCCACTATATGCATGCAGCTCGAGACAAATCAAGATCCAAGCTTTGCAATGGTTATGGAGGGGCAACCAAGCGAGTTCGAGCAATAGGAGGCAGGCCACTCAGCCTCTATCTGTTAGAGACGGTAGATAGGTGTTTCGTCCTTTGTGCTATGAATTGTGGTAGTCTGGTCAGGCTGGGCTTCGAACAGGAGGATGGAAACATGACTTCAGTGATTGGCGTTTGAAGACATGTGTGGACGAGTAGAACACAGACCAAGAGTCAACCAATCTATTACTGGCTGTTAGCCACTTGCCATGGTGGAGGGTGTAAGAAGCATGCCGCAGCTCGCCGTGCTGTTTTGGCGTTTTTCTGTGGCTTGGCCTGATGTGACTAAGAAACATCTTCTGCTGGTGAGGCCTTTCCTTTCGTCCACCCGCACGATGCGAGTACGTGACCCATACTGCGGGAAGACTAGTACCAGGTAGACAACCCAAGAAAGGAGGTGGATGGAGTAATCCTGTCCTCAGCATCTCCAACGGCAGGATGCGCCGAGGTCTAGGTCAGAACAGACCAACAGCGCTGTGGACAGGGATATGGGAAAAAGACTCTGTGCGCCAAAGCTTTGAGAATCGGCAAGCGTATGCTGAAGGAAGTTAGTCCATGAAGTTGGGGTCATTCATGAATGGATTTGAGCCCCAGGCTTGAGCCATCATTCCTCTGCACGCTGGCGGGGATGTCCACTTGTTGCCGGAACCAAGCATGGCGGGCATTCCTGATGTTTGGTTCACCAGTCCGGTGGGCCAAGTCCTGCTTACCTCTTGCCCAGGCAAAATGAGCAATAAGGCGGCAGCCTGACGGGGGACGACTGCACATGCACGATGATGGATAGCAGCGTTCCCGGGGAGCGTGTATCTCTGTGAAAGAACTAGCTCACTGCGCGCATGGGCCACCAACAAAATCGATCGTATCAACTTTGATAATCCACAGACGAAGGTTTCTTTTCAGTAGGTTGGGGAAAGCCACAGAGGCAAGAAATCATTGAGAGTGGTGGCTGCCAAGTCGCCAGCTGAAGGAGGCATAGCTGGGCGCTCTTGCAGGGAAACTAAAAACACCGACTGGAATGGCAGTAGCTGATGGGTCTCTGGGTCGCTTGAGTGACTCGTCTGATTGGGTTCATCCGACTCACCTCCCGTCGCTCTGGTTTCTCATTTAGTCTTTTGCTGGCCTAAACTATCCCTGCAGCAGCCGATTGAACGTTTCGCATGAAATGGCGTCCACTCTTGTTACGTCAAGGCACTATGTGACTATTGTTTGCTGCATGGTGTGAGTAAGCCATGGAAACAGGTCACGGCCACAGGGGCAGAGCCGTCTTTGTTACCTACATGAGAAGACAACTGTACCTGCAACGCCCCGAAATTTCCGTAAATCATGACAAGTGGCGGTCCTTGCATCCATTGGGCCCGCCTATTCTTTCCCAATGATCGATCGAGCTGTCTGGGTAATTCCAGATGTCGACTTCACGGGACTCTTTACCACTGGGTGGGCCTGGGAGAAGTAGATGTCGATTTCTCTTGCTAAACGTAGCGAGCATGACGGACTTTCGTCTCCAGTATCACATCTTGCTCTGATAGAGACCAGAGGTCCGACAAGCCGCCACTTTGACATTTCCGACATTGTCCGACCAAGGACATGGTGATCGAGAGACATGACGCAGCGTGGACAGTACGAGTATTGACATAGATTCCCGGCCTCTTTCGCTTGTCAGGAATCTCTTTATTAGTGTGGATCTCAAGCTTCGTCCTCGCTTAGGCCATGAGATCGACTGCCGATCGAAGTTCCAACGGATCAAGCTTCGGCTCCAAAATCTCGGTAACTATCGCCTGTGACACTTTCAGCGTTGCGGGAAAGTGGGTAAGCAAAAAGACAAGTCCGGAGTAGAAGAAGATGGGGGAAGAAGTTGTCGTGCTACCAGACGTTACCAAGCCCTTGTCGGTAGTGTGACCTCTTCCATCATGAAACTGGCAGACCTGTGGAGTAGCCATGTAGGACTGATGCATACCGTATTGTTAGCCAGGGACATTGGCTAAACCCTAATGCTGGTCGTGGGTTGTCAAAGAGGCTCCAGATTTAGGCATCTTGATCGATCAACCGTGCTTTTCAAAATTTGACTTAGCGATATACTTTGGCCAATGTACTTCTGCAATTACTTAAAACAGCCGTAGTGTGCATGTCTCCAAGTGATGAGTGGGTTATGGCGTGTGGCCCAAGAAATCCAAGAGGACCAAGGCTGCTGCTCGCCAGCCTGTAGTGCCTGTCAAAGCCCGGGAAGTGCCAATGGGTTTAGCTTGTATACTACCTAGGTAGCATGGTAGGTTAAGTAGCCTTAGCCCCGGCGTGCCCCTCCAGCGGGTGATTCTGAGTTCTGGTTCTGCAGAGCTCGGGACATTCCTAAAGTCTGGACATGGACTGATGCTGCGAATATCATCTTGTGACCCAGCCCGACTGGTGCCATTGAGATAGTAGTCAAATTGTGTATTGGTCGGATCTTTCGCACGTAATTCGGAGCAACCCCCACTGAAGTCCACGACAACAGCCTATGAAAACGTTGGTCGAGCTGGTATCCTCTTGCAGACGGTAGTCCGTCAACGCTGCAAAAGTCTCCTTTTGGAACCTATGGATCGCATTCTACGCTCAATGCGAAAGCTTCGGCAAGCGTTCCGGTACACGGGTTCCAGTAGCCCTACCGTACTTTCTTGTACCGTGGTTCACGGTTTGGGCTTGAGGGCGGACGAGGGGTTGCGGCTACCACGTGTGAAGGATGAACACGAGGAAGAATCGAAGGTAAAAAGTGGGCTGCTGAACATGTTTCCCCAAGTTAGAAAGCGTTAGAACGCTGTAGATGGTTTGTCACTCCGGGAGCCAGACTTAGACCTAGACCCTAGACATAGGGTAGTGCTTGCCGAGAGCTCTCTGGGAATCCAAAAGAGTGACACCCTTCAATGGCGGAGACATAGACCAGGCAATCAATTCGGACCATTCTAGCCTTCTTTTGGGGATCCACGAAGAGGGCATCGTGCGTAGTCATGGTATTTTCCACGTGGTGAAGAGGCATGTCTCTGAGAGTAGCACTCATTATTCGGCTGATCACGCAAGCTTTGCTTGAACTTGAACAAGACCAAACATCGCATCGGATCATGTCGGCAGCAAAAAACAGCTCCTGCACCAAACATTGAAAATGACCATGTTTGGGAAATCAAGTGGTTTGATTCATGGTATCATCGATATTGACCGACGCCAGACAGCATTCGCCGTGCTGCCAGTTGCACCGCCATAATAAACTGTGCTCTTTCACTGACGAACACAGTAAACTTCCCCAGAAAACTTCAGTCGTTCGCCCTTTTACATCACCACACCGCTGTTGCTGGCTATTCTGGGCCATAGTTCAGCCGCCTCCTTTCCTACGGGTCCAGTGATAGCACTGCCCTTCATTTCTCCCTTGGGGTTGACAATGACACCAGCATTGTCTTCGAAGTAGAGGTAAATTCCGTCGGACCGTCTCCAAGGCTTCGATTGTCGCACAACCACGGCTGGCATGACTAAACCGAGCATCAGCTTCTGTGTTTGCACATATAGTCACTCGTAGAGCCATACCTTTCTTTCTCAATTCAGGCTTTCCCTTTTTCACAGTTGCCATAACCATATCACCGACACCGGCAGCAGGCAGTCTGTTCAATCGTGCACCGATACCCTTGACGGAGATGATGTACAGGTTTCGAGCGCCTGAGTTGTCTGCGCATGACATGACGGCTCCCCTATATGTCGCTGTCAGTATTCCTTGTCCTCATCTCTTGTGTCTCGACCGCTCGGAAGGACAATCCACTCGCAGGGGCTCGCTCGGTAGAGGTATTTTCTACCCTCGACCGCGCAGTGTCGGGGCGCAACTTGGGTGCAGGATATCGAGATCGGGTAGAACGTACACTGGAAGACCGAGAGTCATCTTGAGCTTGTTGCCAGAGGCACCACCGCGACTACATTGAAAACTTCGTTAGCAGTCTTATCTTCGAACGTTATGGGTTCTCGGTCTCGTGAACCAATTTTCCCGGCGTTGATTTGGATACATACCCTCGCTTAGCCATCTTGATAGTAGTGTAAGGAGTGCGCTGGTCGTGAAGAAGTTCTTAAAGACTGGTGGTCGAGTCGAACTAGAAGGTGCCGGCTCGCAGTCAGTCCCAATACTGGCCAAAAATCAGTGTGATGCCAAGCCGCAGGGAAATCTTGGCAAGCACGTGACACGGGGCCTTGAGTTTTTGTTTTGTTACGTCTGCATAATTAATTCACAACTTCCTCCTCCATTCTCGTTCACAAACCGACGTGGAAGATCAATACACCGAAGCTGTGACGTCTCAACGGCGCGCATGCAAGGGTGCGGATTGAACTCGAAAGAGGTGCGCCTGCGTGTCGTGGGACGATTGAGGAAACCGTTATTACGACTCAGCTGGCTCCTTCCCCGCATTCGCTCAAAGGCTGCGCAACTCTCACCTCATCTGCGAAGTCGTGCGACGCCAGATAGTTTTAGTTGCATGCTCATGGCCTCTTAGACATCCTTATCAGCCTCATCCTTTTGGACGGTTGCCGTTTTGCATTCGAAGAGGTGAAATGCCGAGGTGTTCATCAAATTGAGGATGAGATAGATCCACCAAGAGGACCCCAGAGCGTTCACCTATCAATCAGTATCGAACTATACAGATTTGGACTCAAGTGTGGTCAACTTCTCAAAGGAGTTGGTGTTGGCGGCTGCTCCTGCACTGAGCAGCCAGCCAAGGGTGCTCTATACATAAGCGAGGCACTTTCCGGGGAGTCTAAGCAGGCTTAGATTAGAATGGCCACATCATTTTCGCGTGGTGAAGTCTGTCACACCTGTCGCCCTATTGCGACTGTACAGTAGCATGGCTTGACTCATGGGCTGACTCTGAAATTTGCAAAGCCTGACGGTACCACACACCCATGGCCAACCTCCAGTGTCGCTTCCGTCGCAGTGGACTTCGGCCTCCAGGAAAAGAGCAACCACTGATCAATGGCACCTTATACGGACCTTCTGCTGCATGATGCACGCATAGTTATGTGTCCCGGTCAAGACCGTTTCGAAACTCACCTGTCAAAAAGGGTCACACAGGCAGCGCATAGTCGATAAGACTGATCCAAATAATATATCTCATGGGTTTTGTAGCACCTTGGATATGGGCCATTGCGGCTGCGATTGGTATAACGTCCGATCGGCCTAAGGCCCCTATCCAACATCCGCACGGGCTAGTGAGGCCTGAGGCCGCCCGCCCGCCTCTAATAGCAGCAGCCGTGGCCTTTCCGCTTCCCATGGGAGACCACAAAGACAATGGGCATTGTTCCATTCTCTTGGCTCCATACTCGGGGTTCAAGACCTGTATCGAACATTCGACGACAAGATTGAGGCCCTCATTCATTCCTTGACACAAGATAACATGCCCCTATTGCTTCTCTAATCAGACCCGGGTCTCCCGGTCTCACGCCGCAAAGTTGCCTAAAAGCAGGATTCGAATGTCCACATTTGCAGCCTCTCCACTCAGAAGCTTCCACAATCGAGATGCTAGCGACAACCCTGAGTTCACTGCCGAACCTAGCACAAAAGCTAGCAGGCGGCGGGCTGAATGTGACGACGACCTCCGACATACTGATCACCAATCACGATGCTAACATTGTCAACCAGATCTTCATGGCCCCCATAAGCCCCTGGTCTTGCGTTTTTGTGCATGGAGTGCGAACCTCAGCTCGAGTGCTCAGCCCTAAGCCATCGCGCTATCGCCAGCATGTTTCTGCAGCACCGTTGCCCTTTGCTTTCCCTGCCTGTTGCCTACTGACCTCCTCCAATTGATCATTCGTTCGCGTCCTTTGTGATTTGTGACTCTGCTTGCCTCGCCTCGCTGCCTGCCGGCACCTGGGTTGATTCATTCCTCGTGGCTTGCTTGCTTTGGCCATATATAGCCTTGCCTATCCTCCACGACGAGATGGCACGAAAAAGAAAGATCTCAGCGACTTCCATAGACGCCATGGAAGGCTCTCGCGACTTGCACTTTGATTCGGACCACAATGGTGTGGGTGTGAAGGTTGCCAGCACGGTCAAAGCCTTCTTCGAAAGCATTGCTGGCACAGGTTCCGATCCGACCAATACTGTCATCAATGGAGCGACCATCCAATCGAGGCCGTTCCTCGCAAGGATCCTTGCTGATATCGCATCTCAAGTGCCTCGGTTGGGAGGGGACATATCTTTGATTCACTCTTTGGCTGATACGACACTGTTCGATGGCGGTATTGTGGACGACCGCAAGTATCAAGTAAGTTTCTTATACTCCTGTCCACGTATCCAAGGTGCAAGTCATGCCTAATGTCTCAATCTAGATGGAAAAAGTCGTGCAGTTGGCGGCTTCCCTGCCTCCCAATACCGGGGCATTGGACGAATTGAGCGACCAATTCATCAAGTTGCTTTGGAACAATCTGGAGCATCCTCCACTGTCATATCAAGGGGACGACTACAAGTATCGTACTGCTGATGGTTCTAACAACAACATCATGTATCCCCATATTGGCAAAGCCGGTTCGAACTATGCCAGGACGGTCACGCCACAAACACTGAAGCCGGGCGTGCTCCCGGATCCTGGAGTCATTTTCGACGCTGTCTTTGCACGTGGTGACAAGCCTAGAGAACACCCGAACCACATTTCCAGCATGCTGTTCTATCTTGCTACCATCATTATCCACGACTGCTTTCATACTGGCTCAGATAGTGCCACTGTCCAGACTTCCTCCTACCTGGACTTAGCGCCCCTTTACGGAAGTAGTGATGACGACCAAAAGAAGATCAGGACTTTCAAAGATGGCCTGTTGAAGCCGGATACATTCTCGGAAAACCGCATACTCGGCTTCCCTCCCGGTGTCTGCGCACTTGTTATTTGTTTCAACCGATTCCACAATTATGTTGCCATGCAGCTCAAAGAGATCAACGAGGGCGGTCGGTTTCAGATCCCCAAGGACGAAAATGATACCAAGGCAATTGCAAAGCTCGACAATGACCTGTTCCAGACTGCTCGACTTGTTACTTGCGGTTTGTACGTCAACATTATCCTCAATGACTATGTCCGGACGATCTTGAACCTCAATCGCACCAAGTCAACGTGGACGCTCGATCCGCGGAAGAACTTCACTGACGTATTTGACGCCGCTGGTGTTCCTTCTGGCATTGGTAATCAAGTCAGTGTCGAATTCAATCTAATCTATCGATGGCACTCAGCCACCAGCGTCAAGGACGAGAAATGGACGAACGATCTCATGAAGTCCTTGTTTCCAGGAAAAGACATAGCCCAGGTCACGGAACGAGAATTCGTGATGACTCTGTACGGCTGGCTTAACAATCTGAATCCGGATCCTTCTCAATGGGAATTGGATATGGGCAAATACAAAAGAACGGAGCGAGGCACTTTTCGCGACGAAGATCTGATGCAAATTCTGAGTGACGCCACTGAAGATGTCGCCGGCGCATTTGGACCGCGAAATGTCCCAGTGGCGATGAAGCTCATCGAAACACTAGGCATTAAGCAAGCTAGGCAATGGAATGTCGCTACATTGAACGAATTTCGGAAATTCTTCAAGCTGGAACCTCACAAGGACTTCTCCGACATTACCGAGGATGAAGAAGTTGCTCGTTCACTCAAAGCGCTTTACGGGCATCCTGACTACGTCGAGTTATATCCTGGTCTTGTTGCTGAAGATGCAAAGGAACCACTGGAACCTGGCTCCGGCCTGTGCCCAGGCTTCACAATCTCCCGAACGATTCTCGCTGATGCGGTTGCCCTTACGCGTGGTGACAGGTTCTACACCGTGGACTATACGCCAGCCAACTTGACAAACTGGGGCTGGTCTACGGTCAAATCAGATCCGACGGTGGCGCAGGGTGGCTGTATGTATATACTCCTGATGCGTGCCTTCCCGTTCTGGTACCGCGGGAACTCTGTCTACGCGATGTATCCGTTTACAGTCCCCCCAACAAATCGTCGTATCTTCGAGAAGCTCGGTGAAGAAAAGGACTACAATTTCGACCGCCCGAAATACGTCGGCCCGCCTACATCGATAAGATCGTGGAAAGCCGTGACCGATGTTCTTGGAGATCAAGCCTCTTTCGGCGTGCCATGGGCCGCGCACACCTTCTATCTAACCGGCCATGACTATATGCTGAGTGGGGATAAACCAGCCAACACTGCTCAGCGAACCGAGGTCCAGAGGGATATATACTGTCCAGTGAACGGCTTGAAGGAGGTTCAAACATTTTATGAAGACCTCACGACGCAGCTGGTCGTGGCCCGGTCTGAGAGGCTTCGGGGTGAGTGGTACCAGCTCGACGCTTGCCGAGATGTTGCCAACCCATCACACGCGATCTTCGTTGCCCGCATGTTCCACCTGCCACTCAAGAAGCGCGGTGACTTGAATCCTGCGGCCGTCGAGGTTGACCAGTTGTACCTGGCACTGTCGGTGCTCTTTGCTTACGTCTTCCTGGATGGTGATACTGCCAGCTCGTTCAAACTCCGAGCAGGCGCGAAGACGGCCACGGACGGGATCGCCAAGCTCGTCAAACTTGTTTGCGAAGCCGTCAAGGCTGGCAATTTCCTCCACCTCGGCTCTCTGTTCCCAATGGGCAAATCTGGCGAGCTTTTGGCTGACTACGGCACAAAACTCCTGACTCGCCTTTTCGAAGGCGGAAAGTCGGTTGACGAGGTCGTCTGGACCATCATCCCGACAGCCGCTGCAGCCGTTGCCACACAAGCGCAGCATTTCACGCAGATGTTGGACATTTATCTACAAAAGGAGTATTATGACGAATATTGGCCGGAAATCCAACGATGTGCATGGTCCAACAAACCTGAAGACTTTGAGAAGCTCAAAGGCTACGCCCTGGAGGCCAACAGACTGGCGCCAGCTGCATTCGGCCTCCTCCGGAAATCCAACGTTGACACCACAATCGACGACAACGGCAACAATGTGGAAATCAAGACCGACGACCAGATCTACACTGACTTCATCACCGCTGGCCTCGACAAGACTGTTTGGGGAGAGGAACCACACAAAATCGACCCTACCCGTGATCGCTCGCTGTACATACACCAAGGCTGGGGTCCACATTCCTGTATTGGCCGGCCTATAGTCGAAGTCGCCATGGCAGCACAGCTCAAAGTCTTCGCCAAGTTGAAGAATCTCAGGCGTGCGCCTGGTCCGCAGGGCCATCTCAAGAAGACCATCCCAGTCCCCAATCCATTCAGCAGTGACCCGGAGCCTAACCCTGGAAGTGTGGCAGCATTTATGCTGGAGGATTGGAGTTCCTGGTACCCATTCCCGACAAGTAAGCCGCACTTCCCTTCCCGAACACTTGCTTGCGATATACTGACTTACATACTACAGCTCTCAAAGTCCACCACGACGGATTGTGGCGAGATCAATCTGACCAGCTCGCAGGCGAGACTGGTGCTCCTGGTATCAAGGCGGATATCGAGCATAGTGGTATGGCTGCGACTAACGGCCTGGACGGCGACCACGAGATGGAGGATACGGCTTGAGCTTTGGAATTGATTGGGTTTAGCAGCGTGTTGTATTGTATCAGCGATGGACTTAACCGGGAAAGGGACATAATGATATGAGAATGAAGGCAAAAGTTAGGCGTGGAGGATTTCTACTTACTGTCAACTGCAGCTCCTTAGGCAATTCTCCTCACTTGTTCCCGTAATCTTTGGGCATTGAAACTGTTTGTCTGCGCTGTAGGTACAGTCTAGGCATCTTGGCTACATTCCTTTCGTAGCACATCCGAGTGGACCATTCCTCATTCAGGCAGTCGGACTCCTCGACGAAGTGGACTCGTGACTAAGCGCCATGCATAAGGAGTACTCATGGTGGCCCTGCTCCAGAGACGACTTCGGTCGGTTCAGAGTCGTCGCTCCTCGACGCAAACAACGTACAGTACTTCAAGGTAGGCATTACAACGATCCTCCCCTCTCATCGTGGTGATCCCTCATGTTCGCCCTCCTCACAATCAGATATCCAGTGACATTGACACACCATCTCCCTCGATCCACATTTGTATACCCAATCCACCTGCTCAGGCCATCACAACACATTCAGCGAAGATCCATAATAATGTCAACACCAACGCACTACGACGCAATAGTAATTGGGTCCGGTCAAGGTGGCACCCCCCTAGCCAAAGCCCTTGCGCAAGCCGGCCGGCGCACCGCACTCATAGAATCAAAGCACATAGGAGGAACATGTATCAACGAAGGCTGCACACCGACCAAGACGATGGTCGCCTCTGCCCGCATCGCCCATCTAGCTGGCCACGCCCAAGCATTCGGCGTGAACTTCAAGAAGAGCAGTCTGACCTTGAACATGGAGACTGTGCGTAAACGGAAGCGCGATGTGAATGCCCCCTTGTCCCAGAATTATCACCTAGCGTTTGTACCAAGCAATCCCCTGCTGACGCCTTGACTAGATAGTCGACAGTTTCCGCACAGGCAGCGAGAACCGGCTCAAAGATGTTCCAAACCTGGATGTGATCATGGGCAAAGCGCGATTCACTGGCCCGAAAACCGTCGAAGTCACCGCCAATGATACCGGGATGAGCGAGACTTTCACAGCAGACCAGTTCTTCATCAACGCCGGGTGTTCGCCTTCCACACTGAACGTCAAAAACGCCGATACCATCACAGGCAATCTCCTGGACTCAACGTCGATCATGGAACTAGGCGAAGTCCCCAGGCATCTAGTCGTGATCGGCGGTGGCGCCGTAGGCTGCGAATTCGCGCAGATGATGAAACGCTTCGGCGCACGTGTCAGCCTGGTCCAACGTGCCTCTCACCTCCTCCCGCGTGAGGACCCTGAAATCTCGGAGGAAGTCCACAAGATCTTCACCGATGGCGGAATCGACGTGTTTGTGGGAGCCGAGACCCGCGAAGTCTCCAATGTCACGCTGGGCCAGATTGTTGTGTCCTTGGGCTTGAGCGACGGGAGCGTCAAGTCGCTGCTGTGTTCGCACGTTCTGGCCGCGACGGGCCGAAGCCCCAACACCACGGACTTGGGTATGTCTGCGGCGGGCGTTGAGCTCGACAAGCACGGCTTCATCAAGGTCGACGAGCACCTGCAGACCACGGCACCGGGCATCTATGCACTGGGCGATATCAAAGGTGGAGCGGCACAGACGCACGTCTCGTACGACGACTTCCGTGTCCTGAGGGACAATCTAATCACCAAGGCCGACGCAACGGGCAAGGCGTCGATTGAGAACAGGCTCATTCCGTACACCGTCTTCATCGATCCGCAGCTCGGGCGCGTGGGGATGACGGAGAAAGAAGCACGCGCCTTGACGCCAGCGAGAAACATCAAGGTCGCCAAGATGCCCATGGAGTATGTGGCTCGCGCGCTGGAAATGGACGAGAGCAAAGGGCTGATGAAGGCTGTCGTAGACGCTGACACGAAGGAGGTCTTGGGATTCGCGTGCTTGGGGATTGAGGGAGGCGAGATCATGTCGATGGTCCAACTGGCAATGATGGGCGGTCTGACTTACGATGAGTTGGAGAACGCGATGTTTGCGCATCCGTGTCTATCGGAGAGTTTGAACAATCTCTGGGGATTCCTGGAATGAAAAGCAGCAAGCGGCAGTCGAATCGACGGATGTCTGCAGGGTTTCAGGGATGAACGGGTGGAGTAGTCTTGCTGACATGTCTCTTCTCCTCGGCTATCGCTGCACCTCCAGCTAGTCTCCTGACCTCCTCTCCCCGTCATACAGTGGCAGCGGCGTACTCATCATGTCGGCTTTCATCAGCAGCGCCGGGAAGCGTGAAAAATACCTGCTGTGGCCGATAGTTCCTCCCATATAGAAGAGATTGGGTTCTGCAACGTTTCGTCAGCTCAAATGCATCGGGAAAATGGGCCTAAGGGAGACATACGGCCAGTCCTCTTGAACACCCCTTTCAATTCACCTTCCTCATCCAGACCCCAGAAGTCGTCGGCTTGGGCACCAACTTCTTTGCCGAAAATCTGTGCAACCTCCGTCCGCATATTGCCCACGAACCCAGTGCTGAAGATGATCACGTCGGCGGGAATTTCTGTGCCGTCGCTGAAGGCCAGACCGGTTCGTGTGTAGTTTGTTGGTAGAGCTCCAGCTTTCATTTTGATCTGAATTGAGCCCCATGTTAGTCATGAACAAATTCAAGAAATCCAAGAAATACAAGACACATACCTCGCCCTTGGCAATCTTGTCGGAGCATCCAACATCCATATAATGTCCGCCTAACTTCTCGCAGATATGGTACATGATGTCACCAAATGGCTCGACCTTGAAGCCAGCTTTTTCTAGAGCGTCGAACCGCTCCGGCTCTTTTTCTGCCGCTGCATGCAACGCCTTGCGACTCATGTGCCTGGTAATCGCATACGGCATTGAGTATGACTCTCTGTCTGCATCCACAGTTGACACATTCTCGTTGTACGACCTATCGCTGATGACCTTGAAGTATCCGGCTGGAAGAACATAGGTACGCGTTCGTTGGACCATGGTGATGGACGAAAGACCTGCCTCGACCATATCTTCCGCGACGTCGTGGGCTGTGTTTGCTGTCCCAATGACGATACCCGCTTTGCCTTGCCAAGGTTCTGCTGATTTGTAGTCCACCGAATGTAGTACTGTTCCTTGAAAATCCTCCTGTCCGGGATACGTGGGCATCATGGAAATCTGGCCACCTCCACCTGTGGCCATGACCACGTAACGACAGGTTAGCGTTTGTGCCGTGCCTTGTCGACGTAGGTTGAGCGTCCATGTCTCGCGAGCTTGATCCCAGGAGCCTGAGTCCAGGGTCGTATCGAACGCTATGTTCTTGTCGATACCAAACTTCCCAACCCAGTCCTTGTAGCCACGTGCCAGATCGTACTTGGTGAGAAATTCCTGATACGGGAGTGGAAATGTCCTATCAAATGGAAGATGATTGTATTCGCGGGCAGTGTGTAACCTGGCCGAATCATAACGGGTCATCCAGTTGTCTCCGATCTGGGCATTCTTGTCGAGTACCAAGTAAGAGATACCTAGAGCTTCCAGTCGTCCGGCAGTGGAAAGCCCTGCTTGACCTGCTCCAACTATCACACAATCGAAATGCTTTGGTGAATCATTCGTACCGTTCGTTGTGGCGTGTCCATTGACGCCGTTGGTGTGACCATTGGGCACATGCTCTCCGTTGGACACTTTACGCCCAGACTGAAGCTGATCAACGTCGTCGTAGCCTTCGAGTTGCTCGAGGACGGTTCTGATGAGCCAGATCTTCCATTCTCCGGCTTGGTCGAGTATCAGGGATAAGTAGCCCATACATTGTGCGGCTGGGCATCTTCGATTACAAAATGTGAATGAGACATTTACCCAGCCCACGTCTTTGTCGAGACGTACAGGCATCGCCGAACCTGGAATAAGGGTGAACTTTTCCGCTCGGCGCTCATCACAAGTTTTTGACCAGGCTCTGGCAATGCGTTCAGGAGAATATATCGTACGCATGGTTCCGGTAAGAGCGAAGACGTCTCGCCATATTGAGGCCGGTGACAGGCCGTCTTTGCTCAGACTACTCAGACTGCTGACAAGTGGACTGGCAATGGCTTCGTAGTCAAGGCCTGAGTCGAAGTGCGATGTTGGAAGCTTGCAAGGCAGTGTCTCGAGCACACTGCGAGGTGCGTATGGAGCAACATCAACTTCCACAACATCTCCCATTGTGACTTCTCAACGACCGAGATCCGGAGTCAGTGCTGTCAGTGTTTCTCGCTGCCAGTGATCGAGGACCACTGTGGTTCTCCTGATCTGCTAAAACCCTTCAGGTGGCGATGGGTACTATGTCGGGACGAAAGACGCGCAGAAAAACCGACGTTCTTGCAATTGAGGGGCCTGTTGGCCGTGCAGAAGATTGATACGTATAAGGAATTATGCGCAGCGCCCTACTTCGTGGAGTGAGCAAGAGTGGATTGATCTGACGCGGAATTGAAGGTTTGTTGCTTTCATATTTGGTAGCGCGAGCAACAAGCAGTCATTATGTGCTGGTCATTGGCCATTGCAGCGGTTATCAATGACCTCCAGGTAGAGTGTGGGTGGCTTTGGGTTGTGAATGCAACTGCCGTGGTACGCATTCCGGCTCTATAAAGCGGAGGAACGACTGCCAGACTGCCATACGACTCGTGTAGGGGTCCCTTTCCAGTCAATACTGCCGAGGGAAACACGGAATAGTACAATAGTGGAGGTTGAGTGCGGAGAAGGCATGATCCCACCTCGTTAACCCCGTACTGGGAAAAACAGGCGCAAATGCGATCATCGTAGGAGACGCTTGAAGCATTCATAACCTGCTTAACGACAGTGTTACTCATGTTGATGTCGGCGTGTTGACATCAACTGTGATTGACTTGTCGAAGCGTCTCAATCCACGCTCGGTAGAGTGAACCTGCCCAGCAGCTCACCTATCTCACACTTTTCGAGCTCAGCCTTCCTCATTTCCTCCTGAACGATTGCGTGATAGCGGTGAGACGTTCATTGCCGAGGGCGATATCATCAAGTGTTTCTGTAACACAATTGAGATGAACGTTGACACGTTGAAAGAAAGCAAGGACTTTCGACGACGGGATTGCACCAGCTTGAATAGACTCCACATAGTCTTCGATGTCTGACATCCAATCCTTCAACGTCTGTGATTGTTCGACAAGCGAGAAGCCGGAGAAGGTCTTTGCGGAGCGTAGATGTGGCCAGTCACCCCGTGGAAGTGCTGCTTTTGCGGCCCTAGACCGTGCAAGAGTGGAAGCTGTAGGGCCGGTGTTCTTTTGTGTGTTCATCATTTCGGTCAGATTTGCTTGCTCGCCGTAGACCAGTATCTTCTGGCGTTTGGATGATCTTGCTAATCCTGCTAATTGATTCTTTGGATTATCGCCATCATCTCTGGGCCTCTTTGCCATAGGTACGTCTTTGAAGACGATAGCTTGCCCTTCGTCGACGGCGGCTTGTGCAGGGGCTACTAGCGGATCGTAAGTGCACGCGACGGGTTGCTCTTCTTGATCGTTGGTCCGGGCTTCAATTTGTTCTTCAACTTGGTCATCATAATAGTTGTCGTCATTCTCCTCTTCCTCGTTCTGTTCCCCCTCGGCCTCCACGCTTTTGTCCAATGTCTCTTGCAGCCGATCGATGAGTATCTGGCCAAAGTCATCCTCGTCCTCTTGCTCCTGCTCCTCGTCACCTCGGTCTGCCTCCTCGTCTTGGTCTGCCTCCTCGTCCTCCTCATCTTCTTCGCGGACCTGATCCCATGGTGGATTGAAAACCCCCGGGACATAGTGGACCACGTTTGGTCTGTCGCTGTTGTCTTTGAGTCTAGCGCGACTCTCCAGCATGTTGTGCATCTTCTGCAGCAAATTTTCTTCTATTGAGCCCGATTCATGATACTGACTCGCGACGTCCGCAATCACAGCATATTCCTGCTCATCCATACCGCTCGCTGGTACCTCCATAAAGATCCTTGATTACTTGACGCAACCTCTTGCAATAGGGGGCGTTGCATGTTTTGTCGACAAGAGCGCCAGGCCGTTGCGAGTGCTGCAGCTCCTTCAGCGGCTCTCTTCCCACTTGACTTGGCGTTTCTGGAGCGTCTTCCAGCTGCTGCTGCTTCTCCTCATCGGCCAATTCACCATCTCCAAGGATGTCAAATACACCATTGAAGACTGCTGCTGGAGCTCGTGCGTTGATACCAGCTTCCGCTATATCTCTCTTCACAAACGCAGGCTGGCCCATATCATGCTCAACACTTGTGTCCATATCTCGCCGATCAGCAGCAAGCAGGTCTTCGGCGCTCCTCGTTGGATCTTTCCGCATCACTCTTACTATAGGTTTGTATTTTCTGTTCTGCTGCGACTTCCACTCTCTGTACTCAGCTGGGTTCTGATCCCGCCAGGCGTCTCTCTGCTCTTTGTTCAATGGTAGACGATAGGCGGGCATGGTCGTTCTCGATTTGGAGCAACTCTCGTAGTTCGGACGGTCAGGCGGGTAGTTACTCTCTATTGAAAGGTCGTTGCCCATAAGGTCACTGCCCATATAGCGCGATCGATCCGTACTCAAGACCGCGGTTCAGCATCGAACAATTCGAAAACGACGTCCTTGTGTTGTTGGGTCGCTGGTCGATATCCTGATGTGACGCGTCTGGACGCGTTCCGCTCATATGCACTTACGCTAGCTACAGTTTGGGGTCTTCGTTGGTGTTCCCTGAACACCACTAAACGAATGAATGTGAGACGGCTTCACTAAGAAAGATGATACAGATGATTATTAGGTATTAAGTATTAAGTATTTCTATCGTGACATGCAATAACAAGTCGAATATAAAGGGCTTCAAGGGAAGCCATTGCGCCCACATCATGCTGCTGTGCAGAACTCTCCTTCCACAATATGTCCAGGATATCCCGTCAGTCCCATATGATAGAAGGCGCGCAGAAACATGATGCCATTCCCAATAAGCGATTGACTGTGGTTGTTTCCATCAAGTCAGCCGATGCTGCACCAGAACTCCAATGCTCCTGACTCGCATCATCTGCAACCAGTCTTCCTGCCAGAGACAGCACTCTCCACATATGCTGCAAACCTGCCAGCTAGATTTGAAGGCCACCCCTTTGCCAAAGATAGCATTGTCTGTAGATGCCGCAACCTCTGATGAAGTCCTTCTGCAAGTCAGATTCAACAGAGGCACCATCTTCTTTGCATCACCGTTCAGACTCTCTTCTTCTTCGGCGTGAGCCCTGCCTTCCTCCGCGCAGCCACATCACCCTCGCTCAACCATTTACTCGCCTTGACCAATTGAATGATGTTGATCACCTGCTTGCCGAACATGACGGGGAAGCTGATACCCGCAATGATCCACGGTATCGTACTGTCCATCTTATTGGCACGCGCCATCTCCAACGCCGCTGCACTCCAAGGATTGGCAAACAGTGTGGAAGGTTTGGGATGCGCCGGCGAGCCAGGCTGCGCCGAAGTCAAGCCGTTCTCGGTCGTGACAAGCAGTGAAGGCGAGAGCAACGGCGACGAGAACGACAGCAAATAAAGCGCAATGAAGAACGTCTCGTTCAAAGCGCAAAATAGAAACAGTACAACCTGTGCGCTTATCGTCAGCTAAACACCTTCCGCTCGTCCTCGAGGCTCAACATACCCTGTTTGTGTAGTACAAATGCAGAATCCAACTCCTGCTCGAATCCACCTTCTTGTGACTCTGCCCGCTCATCGTCAAGGTCGCATACATATGAATGTAGTGACTTGCCAGGTCGAGACTGATCAACCCTTGGAAGATGATAGACCATCTCGGAAACGCAGACGCAAGGAACACCAGCAAACACGACGTGGTGCACCTGTCCGTCACCATGTCCAGCACCGCTCCGAACGTGGTCCCCTGGTTATACCGTCGGGCGGCCATACCGTCCGCAGCGTCGAGGATACACGAGAAACTGTACAATCCCGAGCACGTCCGGGGGTGGAGGGGCATGTAATAGAGCGACGCGACCGCCAAAATAATCCGGGCGTACCCTGTTCACTCATCGTCAGTCTTCCTGCTATTCCGACCCAAGCTCAACACAGAGCAAGCATACCGATGATATTAGGAATAAACAAAAAGATATTCTCCTCCTCGTAGATATCTGACTCGACCTGTTCTACCGCGCCGTTCATCTTTTTCTGTGCGTGACCGTTGGCTTTGCCCAACAAGGGGCCGACCTCTTCTTGTTCCTCCGCCATGGTCTCCAACGAAGTTCGAGTTGCAGGACCAAAACGGAGGGGGATATCTTTTCTCTTGCAAATACAGCAAGCCCGGTGTTATAGAGAGAAGAGAACAGTCTCGTGAGCAACTTCTGTATCAGGCACACCTTCAAAAGGGCTTCGGAAGGTCAGGGAGCCGATATGCTAAGGCCGGATCGCGCAGGAAAGTGCTGCTGATAAAGGATGCCTGATCCCGCTGATAAAGCGTTGGCGTTGTCTTGGGCTTTGGCTTGTTTAGTTCGAAGGCTACTTCGTTTCCCACGGGCTGAGAGGATCGACTCGGTCAGGTTCGCGAAAGATAGTGGACGTCAAGTTACTACACAGTAGGCAACAAGTATCAGAATCACAAGCAGCTGATCTTGGAAACTCGAGGACGTTGTAAACTGAGGATTGTTGCAAAACCTCGAGATCCGGAGAGGCCGAACAAAGTACGGAGATTATTTAATTACCCATGCTGCATGCTTCGCGCGGGACGTTAAGCTGCAGTGTCCACACGCTGCCTAAGGTTCAGGGTCTCTCACCCCCTGTTCTCCTCCTGGCTCCTGCACATCCACACCCGCATCCACGCTTTTCCGGTTCGATGCGCTGTGATGTGATGTGGAACGGTTGTTGAGAGAGCATCGCATTCGTTCGCCGGATTAGCTGCCCGTTGATTATGCACTCACTCAGTGGTACTCTGTATACCTAGACAGGATCGTTATGTATTTGTTTCTGATCAACTTAAGGGAGTCGTACTATCTGCATCAACTCTACCATGCTATCATGAACTACTGCCGGCGGGCACGAGGATCCGAGGCACTCTGTCGCTTGTAATCACGACTCTCTTTCGTGCCTAGACTTCCATAACCTCCTTCCTGCCGTCGTTCCCATCCACCCATGCGTACAACCAGACAGGTCGCATTATCACCCTCGGTAGAGACCTCTGTCGCAAAGTTGACCACATCTCTACTGGCCTGTTCCGGTGTCTTGGCCTCTTTGACGATATCGACCACTTCCTGGTCTTCCAAAGTGCCCGATATTCCATCCGACATCAACACCATGAAAGAGTACTCGGCAGGACCTAGCTCTACCCTCTTGATCTCCGGTTCTGCACTTACACCAACCCGCTTCGAGGTAATATCTCCAAAAGCGCGGGTATTGGCGAGGCCAGAAATCCTCTCCTCACCAAAAGAATCCGTGACAAAGATCCCGGCATATCTGCGCAATCTGCTGCTTTCGATAGGTGAGGACGGATGATGATTCGTAGTCAGCGGCACAGCTCTGCCATTATCCGTCGAGCATAGCAGAATTCTTGTGTCTCCCACATGCGCTACTAGCATCGAAGATGTCGTCGAAGGATTCCAGAACGGCGTGGCGGAAGGCGTTGATATCATAGCAATGCTGCAAGTACTGCCACCTTTGAACCTCTTCGGTCCCCCAATATCGCGTGCAAATTTGGTAGGCTCCCCCAAGATATCCCCCTCGTTAAGAGGTCGATCAGCTCTGGTATTGTCCCTGTTCTCCGAATCTTTAGCTGCTTGTGCGGCGACAAAATCGTAATCTGCTTTCAAGAAAGCATAGCTGATGACTTCCTCGATGGCGGCACCGTGGTCGACGTCCTCTCCTGCCTCGCTCAAAGCCTCAGACTCCTCGCCCAGCTTCTGATATCCACTGTAGATCGAGAAGTAAGCTGGTTTGAAGCGCCGGAAATACCCTCCCACAAGTTCTTTCCAGTCCCTCGTCAACTCCTTCTCGAGGGTTTGGATGCGGTTCCTATTCGCACTCTGGATAAGAGGCGGGTCACCGGGATACGGAGGGTGTCTGCCCCTCTTGGAATCTGATGCGGCACCATCTCCAGACTGTCCTTCGCCTGACTGAGGAGGCTCACGCTCACTTCGTTCAAGGGAATCGGAATCTCCTTGGTCTTCTTCGCTAACGTCAACTTCCTCCCCTGTTGGCGCGGCAACTTCTTTCTTCCTCTCGCCCGGCTTCTGCAAGCTGGACTGGAACTCAAACACCTGTGCAGATTTTTCAATGTAATCGTGCAGCTTCTCTCTCAGGAAGTCGCTGCATTCTGCTCCACCATGTCCATCAAACACTCCAAAGTAGAAGACCTGCGGATCACCCGACGCTCCTTCTGCGGATGTGCCTTCTCCCGGCCGCGACCTCGCTGTTATCGAAGGTGGCGGCCTCTTCGCGAAGGCTGGCAGTTCAATAACACCGGCTTGGTGTGCGTCTTCATTGTAAGGTCGACTACCTCGAGAGACTGATGCGCCGAAGTGGTGTTTTGCACTTCGTAGGGGTATGCGGACAACTGTAGTGTCTCTTAAAGCGGACGGATGACTCGCAGGAGTGGATTTCCCGTCTGGGGTGTGAGGTTTCGACTGATTCCTGGGAAACTTATGCGCCAGGCTCGTCGATTTGCGTGAGTCGGGGTGCAGCGAAGAGGACGGCAAATGGGTAACGAAGTAATCGTGGAACTGTCGTCTCTGCTGCGCATCGTGCAATCTCGTTTGCGTTGGTGGGCGTATCTGTCGTATGAAGGTCGACAATAGGTCTACCTTGGTCAATATAGCTTAGAAACAACAAGAGAAATGCAAATCACCATAATAGGACTCGGCAGGAGGATGTAACAATCGAGAGCCGCGGGACATGGCTGACGTGGGAGCTTTTCAAGCTCGCCATATTACAGGATCATAACAGACACCTGCAGGATTTCGCACGATAGACGACCATTCTCTATGCAAAGCTAGGGATCGCAAAAAGGGCACCAGAATTCAGAATTGAAACGATCTTAGGATAAAGTCATATAGAGGTGGTTCGGTTTGCAAAGACAAGAAGGTGACGATGGGTGCTTGGATTTTGGTTGAGGTAGGTTTTTGAAATCGGGGCACCCCGAACCGAAACTCCGCCTGAAAATGGGGGACCGTGGGTGGGCGTGTGGGAGCATTGTGGCATATATGATCCTCTGCTTCTCGAGGTCTAACATAGAATACCATCTCTCTATCTTCTAATGCTACCCGTGAGAAAACAGTCTCACAATTTCGGCGGATTAACACCCCCATCATGAGTCTGGATCCCCATCGCCGACGCCGCCTCATACGAGTCGAAGCTCTCATCCCCATGAAAATGCCAGCCCCTCTCTTCTCCCTGCGACAAATGACTGCAATCACTGTTCAGTACACAATTCCAACCACCAGCGACACCTCCGCTACTTCGCCAGCCAGGATCGTAGTAAGCATTGTACGACGCGGGGACCTGCCTGCGTACAAACTTGCTGAGTCCACAAGTGTAGCACTGAAAATCATCCTCGTCGTGATCATCAGGAACCTGTCCCGTCAACGCCCGTCCTGTGGCTATAAGCTGCGCAGCATGCCCACACAGCAGGAGCGTCACCTCCTCGTCACCTCGGCCGGCTTGTACGTACTCCTTGTCGACATCTTGAACGATCAGTGCCAGCGCCAGCGCAATGCGATCGTGCAGAGGGTCTATCTTCTCCCCATGCTTCGATGGAGTCACTCTGGATTCGTACGTGTCATCTAGCCAGGGGAAGAAATCTCTGCGTAGCACTGATGGCTCTGCAGGTGCAGGCTGCACGAACCAGGCGCGTCCGAACCATTCTCCTATCCCTCGCTCTCCTCGTACCTGTAGATTTTTCCTGGCTGATGACTCCGGCGGTGTGACTTCAATGAGAGCCTCGACTGTCGGCCGTAACGTCTCCAGGCATCTGTAGAATAGACTCGAATATATGCGCACCCGGTCTTGCTTCGCTTTTCCACCCAGATACTCGCGGAGGTATTGTCCTGTCTCCTGCGCCTGTCGGACGCCATGCGATGCCAGGGGAGGGTCGGCAGGTAATCGTGTAGGAAACGGATGATTGGACGAGTATTCTCCAGTGACCGGATTCAAAGTCCAGGCCAGGCGGTGGCCATGCCTCAGCAGGAGAATCTCTGTCACAGGCATGGTTGCTATTATAGCATGGTAAGGAGGAGTACAGACATTGCGGAATGCGTAGAGACACCAGGGTCAAAATATTGGAGTTACGGAAAAAGTGACTGAATCGCCAAAGTCCGCCGGCTTTGTGCCGAGGTTGTCAGCCTCGTCAACAACTAATCGACTCGCAATGCGGCACTGGGCTGTGATTAAGTTAAGGGGGGATTGTACTCTCATTGACTCACGCAATGAGTTCTTCATTCATACATGGCGATGATGTTCATCGCTTGGGTCTAATCATCCGCATACCTCACACGCAGCTCACACCCTTCTCTTCTATAAAAGCCGTTCAAGTTGCGCCTGCCCCCTGGATCCCATCACTCTTGCCGCATCATCTGCGGCCGGGAGTCCTGCTGCCTCTAATATACAACGAGCAGTGTTCTGAACAGCCAACTCGGGGGCTTTCTGTCCAGTGAACCACCAAACAAACCACGAGAACATAACCCCAAAATCTGAGTGCGTGATATGGGTCGTGTCGTGTAGTGCAAACATCGAGATGGGCTTTGCATTCTCGTCTACCTCCTTCTCAGAGGTTCCAAGGACGGACGGGTCCTTCTGTGCAGCATCCAATGCCGCTTGAGCCTTCCTTTTCCTGCTCTTGTTCACATAGTCTCTGGGACTCTTGTACATGGCAAACTCTTTGTGGTATTCCTCGTCGGTCTGCACTTCGACGCTCGTAGGGTCTTGAGCAATGATCGCCGGTATGTGGGAGTGGCATTCTGGCCAGTGATGTGCGAATTCTTCACAACTTACAATCACTGTCCTGGCGCTCCCGTCGTTGCTTGCCTCTCCATCGGAGTGATGACATGGTAGAGGTTTCTCGTACAGCCATCGAGTTTGCGTGGATTTGAGCGGCAGATACCAAGGATCGAGTAGAATCAGAGGGCTGGTTGGCGTGATCTGTGCTTTGAGGGATGGGGGCGCCGATTGCAAAAGCAGAGAATAGTTGTCCTCTTCCCGTTGGTCTTCATAGTAGATTGATTTCATGAATTGTATGAGAGTTGTGCCGCCAAACGAATGACCAGCCCACGTAACGGCACTCGGGTTCAGATTCAACGCTCCTTTGGGGATGGCGCATTCGTTTTCAGTACTGCTGGCAAGGTTCCTGACTGACAGACCTGCGTTGAGCATTTCCAAAGCTCGAAATGTTGCCATGAGCTCGAAAAGTCGGATCTGCAGTTGCTCGTCTCGCTGCTCATACACTCCTGGTTTGATTTTGAGCGACACTTGCCTGAATCCTATCGATGTGATCTCGGTTGGTGCCGGAGCCTTCTTCGCGTCGTCTCCATTCCGGACTATTGACAATGCACCACTTCCATCACGGTGTTCTACTGCAGCACAGAAGACACCATAGGACGCAAGCTCTCCGAGAATGGCGCTATGTGTGTTCATGTTACCGATTATGCCATGAGAGAAGATAACGACAGGCAGGGGAGCATCGCTGCTTGACGGTGGTGCATTTTCATAGGCTGGTATTCGTGTCGAGCGCAGATAGTACGGTATCGACTGAATGATATTCCGTAGCCAAGGTTTTGCCCGTGCCAACCTCAGGTAGCCGTCAAGGTATTCTGTCTGAGGCTCCTGCAGCCAGGGTACGCCATAACGAGAAGACGGCTGAGCAGTGGTAGGATAGAACAATCGAAACTTCACCGTCGACAACGTAAGATCTTCCGGCAGAGGTTGGAGCCCTAGTGAGGCCAAGGGGATCTCATATTCCGTGGAGCCGACCTTGTGAAAACCAGTATAGTCTGGAAGAGTCGGTAACGGGCTCAGGTACGACAACATGTTTGAGTCGTAACCTTAGCACCACACCGCTGAACACGGGCTTCTGAAACTGCCGCTGTAGTCAGCCCAGAGATATTGGGAGCAATGTCGTTTGCTGTTGATGTAATCGATTGCCAGGCCGAGATTTCTGGATTGTCGTTGGACAGCCTTGCGGGGGGGGATCTTCCTGATTCAATTCGGACTGCAGCCGTATCGACTATGTTGTACTCGGTACACTTGTTATGGAGAGTACATAGTGTCGCATGTATATATCAGACCTGTGACAGGGTTTGCTCTGCTCTTATACGCGCTATATCACGGTGTCTGAGTCGGTACAAATATATTCCGCATAGACTTCTTTCACCGAGGTACCGAGCATCTGTCACGAGCTGTAATCGTCCATGGAGCTCACAATTTTGTGTTGGGCTGAGTGCTCTGATGCAGCAGTGGCATTGGTGGAGCTGAGACTTTAGTTGAGATTTATGGTGGAGTGGCGCGGAAACCCGTTAATGGCCGTATATCATAGCCATATCCACCGGAGATGGCAACTCTTTCGATACCGAACAGCACCACTCGTCGACTTCCAAGCAACGGTGAAAAATGCTCTCCGCACGCTTGATGGAATGTCGATAGCGGCGCATTGTGGCTCGGAACCCAGCTAGACTTCCGGCATGCATGCTGTCGTCATAGACATTTTCCGAGCACGTCGGCTAGCCACGTGTTCAGTAATCAGTCCATGGCTTCGGGTGGTGTGATGCTAGAGTTTCACATGGGTGAAGATGAGGTTTGCAGAACACCGAGAGCTGAGGACTGCTGAGAAGTACATCACCTGTGCCTTTCGCTGCCCCAACCCCATTTCCGACGCCGAAGCTCAAGCAGAAAGAGACTTGAGATTAAATAAGCCAATCCAGTGTATATCTCCGGCCACAAGTATGGTCGGTGTGACTTTGGGCGACGGATCTCGAGAGCGATGGCCTCGGAAAACAGCGAAGGCAAAGCATCGGTCAGCCACATCAGACTGAGGGTCGACGGCAGCTCCGTCAGGTCGACCACTTCTGCACAGAGTGGTGCAATTGTTCCCCAATATATGCCACTTGTTGCGCCGAGCAGGATGGCCAAGAACAAAAGCACACCATACGAGTTTGTGGGTATCCAGATCGCATAGACGAACAACACATTGCTCGCTGTCAAGATCCCCGCAACAGTTATTCTGCCGTAGCGGTCGCTAAGCACACCAACGAATGGTCTTGCAAGTGTAGTCCCAACATTCATCACAGTAACCACGATTCCGCCTTGTTGCTGAGTGAGCCCGATCGAGACGGCAAATGCTGAAAGCGAGTAAATCGCGACGATATATCCCAAGATGGTGAAGAAGGAATATCCCATCAACAGCCAAACCCGGGACTTTCGCAACAAAGTGTGGTCGAAAAGCCGGATGCGTGGGCGGAGCGTGGCATGTCGATCTCGGATCAAGAAGCTTGCAATCATTAGGACCACGAACGCAATGATTCCCGTGATGCGCAGTGACCATGCCAAGGACAGGTTGTCAATCATCGGCGTTGTTGATGACGAAAAGATAATCCCGCCAACACCAGAGCCTGCGGCAGCGATACCCTGTGCCAGACTTCTGTTTCTCTTGAACCACTGAGGCAGGATGGGCGTAGCTGGTTGCCACACAAAGCCAACACCCATACCGACTAGAATTCCCTGGCTCAGGACCAGATGCCAGAACTCGGTAGCAAAGGACGCTGCCACAAATCCGCCACCGAACATGCAGGCGCCACAGTACATTGGGATATTGGTTCCAAACTTTCGCGTGCTCAGGTTGACAAGAGGCGCACAAAACAAGGCGGTCGCGAAATTGACTCCGCCCACGAACGTGTAATCCAGGTCAGAAGCACCAGAAAAAGTTTCATGGTTGATGTAATAAGACAGGTAAACTCCGAAGCTCTAGACACGTTATGTTAGTATGTCCTTTCCCCCTTCCAAGAGGACGGGGGCACTTTACAGCCAGGATACCCCAGGTGAAGCCATTGATCGCGGACAGAGCGCCGCAAACAACCCAGCCGTAGGCTGGTTCCTCGTTTGGATCATAGGATATGGCTGGCACCCCAGGTGCAATGGGGACCGCCACTTCGGGCGTTTCTTTTGACCCTTCTTCGGCCATGTTGCAGTCGTCACTCTCGTTCAGTTAATTCGTATCTCGACTCCATTGGGCACCCGCGAAGAAAGAAAGGATGTGGCGCGAGGGACAACCTGGGAAGAACAAACTTTCTGAGGTGAGAAATTGAAAGGCGCGACGGGAAACATATAAACGCGGAGTCAAAGGTGGAGACCATTTATTTTATTACCACATCACGACATCGTTAACCTCCGAGGACGGAAGTTCGGCAAGGCGCAATGCAAAAGTACACCGTCGTCACATTGTCTTTCGAGAAGCGATATAGTAGCGCTGGACATTCAACATGGTCTGCCATTCAAGTCGATGGCAGGAACGATCGATCTGCTTTGCTCAACGGCGACATCGAGGTCGGGAATCTCACAATTGACTTGTCGTCGAAGCAATCGCTAAGAGAGCGTGCATCTCCGTGGTGGAGATCATATCGGACTTTTTTTGGACCAAAATGCGGAGAAGAAATCTCATACTGATCTCTGTATGACTGTCACTGCGTTCTTGCGGAATAGGCCGGTCGAGGGTGCCATTCACCCAGCATGCGACTGTGTTGATTGGAGGCGCTTTTTGTCCGCCCACTTGAAGATACAATAATACACTGGCACTGGTGTCCTTTCGTCGTAGGGTCATTCGTGAGACCAGCTCTAGCTGAAGGGCACTCATTCAAAGCAATGCCAAGTGCAGTTGAGAAGCCACAAGGCACCTATACCTAGCACGACTCTATGCTGTAACTTGAGACTTGCCGAGGTCGACGTACGCATGGTCATGTTGTCCTTAACCGGCTCTCTCCATTGCTTCAGACATCCTTTGTCAACATCATCACCAAGAAAGCTTGTCACGACCACGGGCATGGCCTTCGAAACTGAATGGCTTAAACCAAGGAATACCACCGAGACGATAAAGGTGTCGAGCATGTTCCACCAGTAGGTGCCTTTGACCCCATAGCGATATAACAAAATCTCAGCCATACCGAATCGAAGCAACCCATGCGTGTCTGCACCGAGCCAGATATGGTATTGCAGCACAAATGTTTCCAATGAACAGCGGCCGAACCAGGCGAAAAGACGGCTGTGAGACCTCGAAATTCTGGAGGTCGAGTTCCGCAGAACGACAAATGCCATGACCGGCAAAGGTGATATGAAGGGGTGCCACCTATTGTAATGGTGCTTGTCCGAGACCCGACCGCAAAATAGCGTGTAGCCGACCAGGTTGCATGCTGCTATCAATACCACGATCGTGGTCGGCATGAAGGGACCACGGAATAGATCGAATGACGCTGATCCACGTGTGGCTCCAAATCGCGAGTAGAAAAAGGCCAGCACCATGCCAAGGTATGCAATGTAGGCATCCAGCGAGAATCGAAACACGAATTCACGTGCATTGAGTCTGAATATCCCCGGGCCCAGACTGTCAAGACTCGCCAGCCAGGCTTCGAGGGCGGCAGTTCTCGATCTGATAATGCTAACAATCGTTATGGATAGCACCAGACGAAAGCAAAATGAGTGCACTCTCGCACCGGAGGAGGATGCCCTCGGAATAGTGATCCAGACGATCAGGAACCAAACACTCGATAACACTGGGAAGTAGTACAAGTCGTACTGCGTGCCCATGGCAAACGCCAAAATGACGTTCAGCAGATTGGTCCTCATCAGCACATTGACCACTCTTCGGAGTGAAAAGTCGTTGGTGCGGATGAAGTACATGGTATGGCCCCAGGCCGTCATGAAGATGTACGAGGCGACAAGTAGCCGAACAAACTGGTAGACCCATAGAACTTTCGACATCGCGAAGTAGTGGTAAAGGAGAATGACAATCTGCATCCAGCCCTTCCACTCTTCTGTCTGGTCTCTGGACAGTAGCTGCCGTCCGCTCAATTGCGAGGTTATGCCACCTTTTGAGTTGCCAGTCGTAGCTGTCTTTGACTTGAGAGTAGTGAACCCTGACAGGCACGAAAGCGCCGTTATGCAGAGGAACATGGTCTGGTCGACTGTTTTCGACTCTTTCCCGAACAGAGCAGTCCTGTCCGATGCGAAGCAGCAGAGCACAGCAAATGAGACCGTAGCCAGGCCACCAGAAAGTTGCTGAGTCCTTGCAGTGGGGAGCACCTTCACGTCACTGGAGCAACATCGGAAGAGCAATGCTAGCAAATGATACACGATCAAGTATACTCCGCCCAGAAGGATCGCTTTCTGCAGAGGATTTGGCGAAACGTGAGCACTGCAGCAATGTTCTTGAGATTGTTGTCGTGGGATGTCGATAATGTCATTGCACATGTAGTTCAGCAAGACCTGTGCCTGGGTGGAGGCGATCTCATCGCTGATATGGATCCCGTCTGCCATATATGCCGACGGCATGTTGTTGACCATGCTGAGATAGCTCCGCAAGACTTTATGGTAATGAGAGGTGTTCGCACCAGCAAGGACGGCATTAGCAGCATGGATACGTTCCCGAGTAAGGTTTTCTGACCGGATGCGCTTGTCGCTAGCTCGGACGGATATAGTGATAGGCAGCAAGAGTGTTTCGAGGTCATGGCTGACATTTTTTTTCAGATCGAGCTCAGAAGACCGTGAAGCGTTATCCTTGCCTATGCCCTCTGTCAACCGAGGTAGGTATGAGTTGTTGAGATGTTTGACGTGCCAAAGGCCGGCGCCAATTACGAGCATATCAGGTTTGTGCTTAGGTCTGATTGGATTCGTGCTTGGAGGGCCGGTTGGGATGCCGAGCACGTCAGGCTTGAACTTGGGTCTGATTGCTTTCGTAACTCGAGTTCCGTTTCTGGCGCTCGTCTCATTAAGGAAGGGGTCCCAAATGAAGTCGATCTCTGCTCCCTCGGCAGCAAATATGATGTTTGTGTGTTTCCCCGTCCCTGCGCTTATGTTGATGGCCCGCTCATAGTCCAATTGTCTTGCAACAGCCCAGAACAGTTGTCGAGCAGTTGAATCCCCCAGGAATGTTAAGCTTCTCGTTGTGAGGCATGTCCTGGCATCCGAAGCACCGTATGTGTGGAGCATGCAGCCTGATGGAATCCAAGTCTGGTCTGCATCTTTCGACAACAATGACCCTGTCCAGTGGCCATCGTTCAGTAGAGCGTCGCATCGTCTGTCAACCAAGCGTTCTAGGGAAGAGTCAGCATAAGCGAGCGGTAATCTTTCGAAGTTTAATCGGGCTGACCTTGAGGGATCTTCTCCAGCCCAAACCAAACTGGCAGGCAAATGAGGAGACTGAGAATGACCAGCACAGACAACGGAAAGGTGCGCATTGTTTTGCAGGGTCGCTGTAGGAGTGGTTTGGTGAGGAAGTTGGGATGAAAAAGTGAAAGAAGACAGTTGCGGTACGGGTTTAGTGAAGACTCGGAACGCCAACGATCTCATCACAACTGGCGATCGCCGTGTCACAAACAATGCCGTCGCTCGATCCTCCTTAGCATGCGCCAGATAGCAACTGTTCAGAATCTCACTCGAATGCCGTAGCCTCTGATCCCAGTCCTATTCATATTCACAGCTCAGCCCAAGCGGTCGTGCTAACATACGTGGAGATCGGATACTCCCCCTGATGATAGCTGCATTCGATAGCAGTGATCAGACTCATTCATGTCTACCGAATCTCGGGTTCGCCCATCCAGTCTGCCAGTTGCAGCCCAACAACTTCCTCCGCGTCTTCTTCTCCATCGGCCGTCTCTTCGCTTCCTCTGGTCTTAGCTCTTGTTTTGACCGCATTAGGAGTGGTATGATCTCTCGCAAACACCTGGAATCCTCGCACGTGCGTGTCCTTGCCGTTTTGATGGTTCTCACAAATCCGGACTTGAACCACCATGGCTTTCAGTACATCTCCTCCCAGAGATTCTATCCTGTCTAACCGGTCGTCGGACCCTCCGTTAGCAAGCATGTCTTCATCGTCGTGATATCGCGTCTCCCTTCCTCCCACGCCTTTCAATGGTACGTCAATCCAGCCTCGCACTCCTTCAATGCTACTATGCGTCTCCCCCGTCTCTGGGTCCGTAGTCTCCACGACCTCCCATGAGCCGAACTCGACTAATGCACCCTCAGACATGCCTGCAAAGAACTTCATCTTAGTCGGCGTGTAAGACTCATCCAGCTCAAAATCCAAGTATATCCTCATCTTGACGATAGCAACCAGCTTGAAAAAGTGTAACGTCAAGGTATGTGGTTGTGGTCCATCACTCTGCCAGAACAATGTAGGACTGGGGTTCCGTAGCTGTGGTAGAGCACAGCCAGGTTTGGCCGAGGACAATGTCCATGTCGCAAGCGACGAGATGTCTCTCAAGCCCTTCAGTTGTTTTGCATCTTCAACCTCATGGTGAACGGACTCCAAGTATGATTGTTCGTCCACCTGCTCGGACGCTGCCGAGCCCAATGCATTATGTGAGACCTGGGATTGTTCAGGTGCTTCGTTTTGCGTAGGTTCTTGATCGATTGGGGTCTGATGATGTCGACCGTGTTGACGTCGGGGGGCGTTCGCTTCGGGCACGATCGAGTTGCCTGGGTTATTGGATGGAGGGATTGGAGTTGTCAGGAAAGGAGCGTGCGGTGGAGTGTCTAGCATAAACGGAGGAATTGCAGCTGTAAGTGCATTCGTGGTAGTTGGACGGGTCGGAGTTGTCGTGCCTGTCTCGCCAACGGTATCGCGAGCATGCTGGGCTTGTGGGTTTCTTCCACCAGTACGAGGGCCCCGAGGCATTGCCGCAGAATAGTAGGATATACCGTGTAAGACTCTAAGCCAGGAGAGAAGGAAACGAAGCTTTTGGGAACCAAGGCTCTGCCATTCCCCAGATGCCGCTCAGCAGCAGTATGGGAAGGCTGCGGTTTAAGAAACCGTGGTGGTTGCAAATAATCGTGTTGTCTGTTTACTGTACCTGCACCGGCCCTTAACACGCGCCAATACTTTGCCCGCGTCGGCTCCATCGTCATCCCCTAAAAGGGCTTGACAAGGCTGAAACCTCCTTTTGTTCACCATTTCATACATGTACGGAGCCTTCCAGTCGTACCGCGAATACTGTCCAACGGGCTTAGGGAATAATCGGCAACACTTGTTGTATTAGCTATCCCTTATGAGATTCAGTATTTATTCTTCTCCTCTTAAGATGAGTTGTGTTACACGTTGTCTAGGGAACACCTCTGCCCTCTCTTGTCGCCTTGGCCATCTCCGACTGAGCCCTATCTTCGGCATATCGTTGATAGATAGGCAGGTAATGCTCGCGCTCACTCAAGGTCTCGGTCACGGACTTCCTCGCTTCTATAGCTTTGACCCATTTATGCCATCGATCCCAGGCCTGCTGGTCTTCGCCGTCCTCACCCGGAGCTGGGATCCCATCACCTCCTTTATAGTGGTCCAGAACCCACATTCGCATCGCCCAAGGAGCAAGACATATGTCTCCGAAGCTGAACTCCTTGCCCAGAAAGTAGGGTCCTTCTGGGTCTGCCGCGGAGATCCAGGTTTTGAGAGCATTCAAAAACTCGGTCTTAGCCTTCTCCAGACTGTATGGGCTCTTCTCTGTCCACTGCAAGAATCTGTGGTAAGCTGGCAGGATCCTGGTGGTAACGTGATCGACCCAAATTTTCATATAAGCATTTTCAAAGGGGTCTTGAGGGAAAAGTTTGGGTCCCTGCGTGGGGAACGATGCATCCAGATACTCCGAGATAATGTTCGACTCGATCAACGGCTTCTGCGATCCATCCTTCTGCGGAGCGCCCAATGTCGGGACAAGCCCCCTCGGGTTGAGTTTCAGGAAGCTGATATGGTCAGGAACAGCCAATGCGAAGTTGAGGAGTATGCATACCTAGGATCTTTGTTGTAAGGGTTGATCTCGACATAATGGTACGGTATCTTCTTCTCTTCAAGAGTGATCCAGGATCTTTGGACGAAAGGGCAGAACCAGCCAGAATACAAGGTGATAGGTTCTTCTTTCTGGTGCTCGGCGACAATATGAGCGGCGGGACCAGTTGCTTCAGGGTGAATATCGGAATCTGGGTGAGATGAGCCCATTTTGAATTGTCGAGTCAGGGCGGTCGGTAATGATTCAGTGATCAGTGATCAGTGACCAGTGTTCAGAATGATGGATTTGTTCGTTTCTCGTAAGTCTCTGCTATTCACCAAGGTAAACCTCCTACAAGATATATGTCGAGGATACCTAAGATGAGGTCAAAGACAATTAGTAAGGCACATGGGGTTTCCTCCACTGTTGAATACTGACGCCATCGGGCGGGGTCAGTTAAGTCAGTGGACGATGGGCGACGCATACAACGCCGGTCTGCTCCGTGCAGCACCAGGTCAACAGTCTTTTCACTTGTGACCCTGTGAACACTCTCGGTCGCAAAACATGGTTGCATGCAGAACTAGATGAGGGACATGGTTCAATTTCAACAACTTTTGGCGTCAGCTCTCACGAAGCCCGCGCATATATCCTGTCCAGATCTTCGCCTTCAATGCCATTGTGCCCAGATCGTAAAAGCTCATCAATGGCATCCTCAATATCATCCTTGCCCTCAAGCAAGTCAAACCAGCCTCGAGTATCGTTCCGCGCCAGAAGAACCGCCCCGACCCTGGCGACATCCTCACGAGTCACGCTTCCGCGGGCAGTCGTCTTGCCCAGTATCACCTTTCCAGTGCCTGGCGCATCTGTCAGAGTTCCAGGCCTGAGATTGATCGCTTGAAATGTCTTGTCCCCTGAGTCTAGTCGTTTCTTTGCCAGTGCCTCCAGATGCTCGTCCGCTTCCACCTTGGCCTTGTAGTAGTGAGGCAGAATATTGGTGTTGGCATGGTCTGCGGCTGTTTTATCCTCTTCCGACCACCACGGAGGAGTACCCTTACGTGAGGCTATATAACTGACCATCATGAACTTCGATACACTGGGTGTTGCAAGCGCTGCCGATATATACGCCTTCGCGGCGATTTCATCGACTGCTTTGGTTCGTGAAGGTCCGCCTTTCCCGCCGGCGCCTGTACCTCTGTCAGACCGAGGACGTTGCTGACCTGCTCGCATTGTCACTTACCTGCCGACCAGACCACATAGTCAGGCTTGACCTTGTCTATGACCTTTTGTGCCTGGGACGTTTCTTTGACGTCGTCCAAACTGTCCACTAGAACCTCGATCTGGCCAGGCTTGTCCTTACCGAGAGCCAGAATTTCTGCTTCGTGGTCTTTATTTCTGACAACGCTGGTAATGTTCCAATGCTTGGCCAGTAGCAGCGGCGACAGGAGAAGGGAGACTTTGCCATGTCCACCCAACAGCAGGACACGTGGAGTAGAAGTGGCCGCCATTTTGTGTATACTCTTTCGAATTAATCCTGCTTAATCGAAAAATGCGAGGCTACCTTGGCCCAGATATATAACACCGAGGGAGAGATGGAGCCGTGTTTTGCGTCATGGCACAATTTTGATGACAAACTTCGTTAATCACGCCAAACTCCACACAGCATCCATGCTCTCTCACCATCCACAACGGCGAAACGGGGACAGTATATTCAAGTAGATAGACACCTCGCAGATCCCTATTCCGAGACTTTGACGACGTAACAATGCCTGACGCATATCTTGCTCAAAAAGAAACAAGCCTGGTATAGCCTTTTCGGCCAACTCAGAAATAGTAGTATACACCCAGGTATGGAACAGCAACCACCTAGACTGTCGGCACTTGTCCCCTGGTAAGCGTGTATTTGAGCACAGGATGGATCGGCAGATGGGACGACAACTTCATTGCCAACCCTCCCGGCAGGACATCATCGAGCCCGAGTACCAACTCTGGCACGTCCAGCCCATTGCTTGTGCTCGTTCCCCTTTTGGCCTCCTAGGTGCTATAACGGTCGCTGGGGACCAACGCCATGCGTTTCGGCCGCGGGTGCGGACGTTTTCAACCATTGGCCGTCAGCGTAAGACTCCTCCCCCGGATCTGGCAAAAAGACGTCGAAGCGCTTGCAGGACCAACAGTTGATGCGTGTTGATGAGACGTCTGAGGCATCGAACCCGCTCGTGGACACCATGACAAGTCCGCGGACAAACCTAGCCTAACCTGCATCCGAGGCCTGTCTTGATCTCTTCATGCAATACCATGCTCTAAGACGACTCATTTCTCGCCATACTTCCTCAACAACCCCTTCAATATTCTCACCGCCCCAGACTTATACCCTCCCCCAAAGATAGCGTAATGATTCAGGTGATGATAGCTTTCATACAGAGCCACGCGGTCCTCATACTCACTCTCCGGCTCCGTCTTCGGCACAGTAGAATGATACTCCTTCCAAAACCCGGCCCCAAAACCGCCAAACATATTCATAATCCCAAAATCGTACTCGTTATGCGCATAGCAACTCGACGGGTCAAACACCAAGTCCTCCACAGGGCCGGGCTCATCAGGACTTGCAGTATCCCGCCCCACGAAACTCCCTCGACTCTTATTCCCGGACCATAAGTCACCATGTATAACGACAGGCTTGATCCCTTCTTTGCCACCTAGATGTCCATCACCAAGTAATCTGGGCACGACCTCATTGATCGTTCGTTCCACCGTGCGCCGTAGGTCCTCATCTCGTCCATTGTTCTTCTCACCTCGTTCCAGTATCGCGAGTAGACGCCGCTTCGCGAAGAAATCTGCCCACGACGAGCTGGACGTGTTGTCCTGCGGCGTGTCTCCGCAACACGTAGATACTGGGAATCCATATCGTGGAGAGTCATGACCTTCAGGTGTCGGAGCCGGCGTGGAATGTAACTTTGCGAGCTTCTGAGCCAAACTCATGCCGCTGCCACCACCCCCGCTCCTGTTACGACCACCAAGGTCCAGAAACTCCGTGGCGAGAAAATGCCCGCCCTTGTCTAACTTACCCCAGGCAAATGACTTGGGACATAGACTCGGCACGGCGTTATGAATGGCATTGAGTGAGGCGTGTTCTCCTTCGAACATCACTGCGGCTCCATTCGATGAGGACGTCTTGACGAAGACCGAGGCTGATGGCGTACTGATCCGGAATGTCGATGCAAAGCCGGAGCCTCCATGGGTTGATATCTTTGCGGAGGAATCTAGTGACAGGGCGCGAAGGATGGCCGGGTCGATTGTGGAAGGCATACTGGGCTCAATATTACTTCAGAGACAATTAAGAATCATCTTAGAGAGAGACATACAGCACGACATGTGTTGCTAGAGTATCTCATGATCTTGTACGTCGGATTGAATAGACTTGAAGTTGTTGACGGTGACGTAATGCGAGGCTCGGGATAATGTTCACCGGGCTGGTTTCAGAAATCTTTCGATCCTCTATGATTTTGATCTCTTGGTAATCTAACAACTCATGTGCCCCAGCATATAGTGCTAGGATGGCCCATATCAGCATGTCCACCCATTGAAGCTAGTGTCCTGCGATGCCCTACAGCCCATTGCCCAAGCCGACAAGAAACGCCTTCGCTATGCAAATCCCGATTTCCGTGAATTCTGTAACAGATGTCGACTTCACTTTCTTGACGGTGCCTTGCCCTTGGCCTTGCCTTCCGCATCACTGTTGACGCCACTGCCAGTACCACTGTCGGTCCCTGCAGCTCGCTTCTTCGCCCTCAGCGTCTGTCCTTGTCCCTGGAACCGTGGCTTGACCTCATCACCCGTCACTGGCTCCTCGTTCTCATCTTTCTTGCGCAAGGGTATCACTTCGTAGCCGAAGAAGAGCTTCCCTGGTGGTAGTCTGAGTGGTTGTGGACCATTTGTGCGTTTGGTCACTGGTTTGGCCTCATTCGTGGACGTTCCTGCGACTGGTGTTGACGGACTCGGTGTGGGGACTTTCGAACTCTTTTTGGAACTCAGCTTGTGCCCACCACTAAGAAAATGTGACGAAACAGCTCTGGCGCCTGCCTCTGCCGAGTTAGATGAGGGTGCTATGCTTGGATAGTTGATGGACTGTGCCATCGTGCCCTGAAAATGAACCGGTCCTCCATGTGGTTTCCCCAGTGTACTTCTGGGTGTACTTGCTCCACTAGTTCGTTCTGGGGGTACATATCCAACCGGAGTTGCGAAATCGACCTCCAAATCTGTTTCCATCGTTACTATAGCATGCGAGTCTGTGTCAGGCTTGACTTCCAGCACCGCAACGTCGAATGTTTCATCGTTGTATTCGAACGTGAAGACATCGTTCTTGGTGAGGCAAGAGAAGTTTCGAAACGCATTTTCGAGGACGGCTCGCGGATCGGAGATGTTTAGGAAGGCGGGTGATTGAGGTTGTAATTTGATGAACTTTCCAGGCGGCAGGTCGGTGGATCGGATCTGGAGGAGATCACCCGGGTCAAGGTCAAGGGTGTTCATCAACTGTGGCAAGTATCAGTATTTAGCGTTTCCGGGACCTTTGAGTATTCATACCCATTGCGGCAGATATATTCTTCCCTCCTCAGCGATAAACTCAAGGACACCCGCATGTGTAGTCTTGCCCGCGTTGCCGTTAATGAGTTCGAAAAGCATAGGATAGGAAATGTGAAGCCTTGTGAGCTTATCGAGCGCAGATGGCGGCAGGAAGACCTTTCCACCGTGATTGACATGGCTCCTGTCCGGACCGCTCATCATAACCACAGGGTAACATCGATAGTACTCGTCGAAACGTCTCGTGGACATGCCCACTGGTGGAGCGCCGCCTCGCAGAAACGACGGGAAGCCCATCATCGGATCGCCTTGATAGTACGCCTGAAATGGTCAATATTCATCAGAAATGAGGCCGGCTCAACTCACCATGGCGATATTGCCCTGACCTAGAATCTATGAGAAGTTGTGGCAAGGTTGTGGACTACTAGTGACAAGAGAACCGTCGCAGTGCTGCTTTGTGAACAGAAGATGACAGTCGTGAGGGCAGCGTTAACAGCGAGAGAGGATACGCAGGGGTCGACGGTGGCCACAAGGCAAGAGTTGTTTGCGACAACGATGAAGGGTTTGCAGTAGTAGCAAAGTCAAGGACAAACACCGAATGTAGAGGAATCTGATCACGATGCTTAGAATTAAACGCGGTTCACACGCCGCCGTTCGAGGCTACCAGATTGTGACGTACTATTTCAGATTGACCGCAGATTAACCGACGTTTGTCGCAGAACTTCCCCGGACTTTTTGTCTGTCTTCAACTCACATCGTTGAAACTATTGAGATTGTGCAGCCAGTATACAAATTTCAGACAGCTGGTCAAGGCCAGACATCGGCCACAATGTCGTACAACACTTCGCGCCCCAAGCGAGCCGCGGAAGACTACGTGCGGACACGCGACCAAGAGGAGTTTTACGGCCAGCCAACAAAGAAACCACGGTTCGACGTCCGCAATCCCTCTGCTCTAGCCCCCGATGCCTTGGAGGAGGACGCAATCCTTGACGCTGATGTCATCGGAAGCCGGGGCCAGCAAGTTCGCCGCGGCGCAGTCAACATAGACGGCTATGACTCGGATTCCGACAATGACAACTTCAATGCGCGAGCAGATGCAAAGACGAAAGAGAAAAACGCAGCAGCCAAATCCAAAGAGGAAGACGAAAACGACATGTTCGCTGATCTAGAAGAGGACTTCAAAGACGGCGACGACTCCGAGGGCGATGCCGGCAGACGAGGAGACAAGAAGAAAGCCGTGCGTTTCCTGGATGCAGACGAAATCGAAGGCCAAGTACAGAACTCAAAGAGCGGTGGCCACGTGTCAGCAGACTTTGGTCTCAATGGCGACGGCAAGGGGAAAAGTCGGGAAGCGGACGTTGAGGTAGAAAGCAGCAGTGAAGAAGAAGTCGACGACGAGACTCGAGCCGACGCTGGTGAACTTGATCCTGAGCTTGGAGCGGGGAGCAAGAAAACACATGCACCTAAATTGGACGCCTTTAACATGCGATCCGAGATGGAAGAAGGTCGGTTCGACGAGCAACAAAACTATGTGCGGAAAGCAGCAGATCCCGATGCCAAACATGATGTTTGGCTAGAAGGGTTTTCCAAAAAGCAGATGCGGCAAGCAAAGGAGGCAGCCGACAAGCGCGAGGAAGAACGGAGGCAGCGGGCTATCGAGGATGACGCAAAGTCCAAGGCAGATGTGCTAGCCGAACTGATTCCGCTTTTGGAACGTGGTGAAACGATATTGGAAGCTCTCGCACGTCTTGGAAAGTCAAAAGATCGCAAGCCAAAATGGCAAAAGAACAAGAACAAGAAGCAGAACAGCGATTCATCAGCTGACCACGCTACCTCACAAGATGATCCTGCGGAAAAGGCTCGAAAGGAAAAGGTCGAAGCTATAACTGGCGCTGCTGACATACTCCTGACTCGGGGTCAACCTGAGGTCTACGACAGTGAAAGAGAAGTGCTGATGCGACAATATCAAAGAGAAACTGGTGAAGCATGGATTGATCCTCCTGAGCCCACCAATGTCTCTGCTCCTGATGCTAGCTCTATGGAAATGTGGGAATACAAGTGGACTGATGCCAGAGACGGCGGAGCCATCAATGGCCCGTATGATGCTGATATCATGCGGCAATGGAATGATGCTGGCTATTTTGGTGAGGGTGTTGAATTTCGTAGAAGGGACGGAGGAGACTGGACTAGAATAGCCCAGTTCACCTGATGATACCGTCCTTCGACATTCCGAATAATCGACTTCCTAAGCATGGAATATTCCCGTTTCAATTCGACCTTCGCCGTCCAAAGCCGTCGCACGATTGTGTAAGAAGGTCATGACCCTCCAGTTCAGCTCTCGACGCCAGAAAAGACCATAACCCAGTCTCTGAGCACCTTTTTCGGCAGACAGACCACCGCTTCCGGGCATTTCTCGACCAAGTACACAAGCTCTGAATCTTGAATGGATCATGGCCATGCCACAGCAGACGCAAGGCTCGTGGGTGACGTAGATGTCCAGGCCGCTGCACAAGTAGCCTTCTTTCGAGGTAGCGGCCACCTTCTCTGGCAAGGCATCACTGTCGATACTTGTGTCTGTGAGGACGACGTTGCCGAGCCGGGCAGTGAGGTCGATAAGAGCTTTTCCGTCGTCTTCGTAGTGAGCTTCAGTGGGTGTGAGAGCTTGTCCAGAGGGAGTTTCGGAGCAGGTCGCAAGGAACTTCAAGTGACCGCCGGCGCTGATGCGTCGTCGAAGCTCCTTGTTGGCCACCATTGCGATGGCGCGCATGATCGCATGCCATTCCGGTCTTCCTTCGCCGTGGTTCGCCTTGAGAGCTTTCCGAGTGTCTGCGTCTTCGGAGTACCAGCGAGCGTCGCCAGCAACAGCCAAAACAGCTCCATTCTCAGGATCCACCACCACCGCACCAATACCTCGACCATGGCCTTGTGCTCGAGCTTCGGCACCTGCCAATATCGCCAGTCTCATGTACTTGTCTGCAGCTGGGACTTCGAGTGCAGTGCGGACTCGTCGAAGGTGGTTCAATGGTGGAGCATCCTGAATGACCTGTGATGCAGGATTGTAGATTGCTGGCCAGTATCGTTCAGTCCAAAGAGCAGCTTGTTCAGCGTTCAAAGGAGCAAAACGTGGAACAACGGCGTCGAAGCAACGAGGAAGGCCTTCAACGTCGATATGGGGCAAGAGTGTATCACGTATGTCCTCCCATGGCACGACCGTGTTTGGAACAAGCAGAAAGGTTGTCTGAAGTCCCCTCGAGTCGTAATCACGACGCCATGTCAGATCCGTTGGCAAGTGTGAAAGAGTGCACAGACGTCGAAGGTGGCCGAAGGAAGGATGCTTGCCGCCGCTTGGGATGATGGGCTTGACGATGCTGATGACTATGGTCAGCTAGGTACCAGGGTTCAGGCACAAAAAACAGTACCTCAGTGCCTTGCTCGTCAACTTGGCAGGAATCTCGATCACAAAAGCACGGACTGGTCAAAGGGATCAGTCTTCTTTCACAAACGTCGATCTCAAATCAAAGCAACACTTACCAAACACTTCACTAGAGCGTGTCTCATGCAGTGTCTTCAGAGGTTCCAAGAATTCAGGTTGTTCCGCCATGGCTTTGTATGCTGTTGAGATCTTGCGGCATGGTATGGAGAGAAAGAAGACAACCGGCAGGCGGAAGAAGAAAGGTGAAAGAAAGAACGCAGACGGCGTGAGGCGTGTTTGAAGAAGGTCTCAACTCGTTCTTGCAGGATAAACGCGCCAGTGTACAAACAAAGGCAAGAGCTCGCGCTGAAAGGCGGCGAGTCGAGGAAGTTGTGAGAGAATAATTATAATTATTAAACTGCAAGTAAGACCGACAGCGACGAATTTAACGGTCGAAGAGAACAACGCTCACTCTGAGGCAGAACTGAACTTATATACAATCAACGGGATCAAGGAAAGAGAACAGTGATGGTAACGGTGACTAGGGCGATGAATCCATATCAATTGATCTTGAAGCATCTTTTTTTTTCTTTCTTGATCGAGTCACCCCCCGAAATCCAGATATAGCCGCATCAATGTTGTTCCGTTCCGGTCATATCCGATTGCAGATGCCACAGATAAACCAACGGCCGGGTGGTCAAGGTACCCTTAGCGGCTGCTATGATTATGGCCGTGATGGAGGGACCACTTATTCAATCATCCAGGTTGTATTGCATTATATCAATCGTTCAACTGAGGTATATAGTCAGAAATCAACGTCCACAGTCCCTTGTACATTGTTGCTCCGGGTCTTTGTCCTCCACAATACCCTCTCAACAGTTGCTCGAAGATGATCAGTGCTCTTATCAAGATGACCCCTCGCGCACTGCTACTACCATACTGAAGCCGCCACTCCATCCGCCAGTTTTAGCTCCTCATGCATGCTTCTCTTCGGTCTGAGTGACGGTATGCTGAGCTTTCGACGACCCCTTTATCATATGAATAGCCGTATGATTCGTCAGATACTGTGAAGGATCCTTGATGAGCATGGCACAGCCGATAGCAAGAACGCCAAACGGTATCGATGCCCAGAACACTCTCTGGAATGCATATGCGTAAGCCTCTTTGAAAGCAATGGCAGCCGCCTCTTCAATCGCGGGTGTAATCCCAGGCACAGTGCTGAAAGCACCAGGCACTCCCACTGCGTTTTCAATCGTGGCGGGTATCAGAAGAGCAAGCGCATCAGACGACATGTTGTGCGCCATGGCAACTGCGGCAATGCGCTTAGGGATCTGCTCATTCTTTACACCATTCAAGATAGTGTTGAAAACGGCGTTGCCTACACTACCGCCACCACTGCGGAAAGTGCCGATCAAACCGGATGCCAAACCCAGATGTTTCAGAGGCACGTTCAAACCGGCAATGACATAGCATAGCAGTGTGATGAGCGCGAATGGGCCCTGAGCAAAGAATTGGAAGGCAGTCCAGCCGGCTCGGTTGTATGGAACCACACCAGAGTAAGCCGCCACGAAAACGGTCTGAATGGTCAACATGATGATGACCTGTAGTTTGAGATGGCCGACGTGACCCATAGCAATGGTAGCGAGACCGCCAAAGATGACTTGCGCGATACCGTTGGGTAGGGCAATGATACCGATTTGGATGGGGTCATTGGTAAACATATAGAGTGACCCTTGAGGTAGTAGTCCGGCAAAGGAGTAGAACACGGCACCTGAGTCAAGTCAGTTATGTGCGAAGACACGCTCAGCAGGTTACTTACCAGCGACGAAGACGACGACCAAGAGTACCGTGAACTCGCGCACCTGTCGGAAGAGGTGCAATGGGAAGAAAGGCTGCTTCGCTAGCGTAAAGTCGTAGACAAAACAGGCAGCCAGAGTCAAGATGCCAACCACGATTGGCGCGATCACTGAAGCCGATTTCCAGGCATGACCCGTAGTTCCAGCCCAGGTGAGCCCGATGAGGAAGATAACCAGACCACCAGTGTACAGCAGGAAGCCAATGTAATCGATCTCCTTGATTTCTTGCCATCGAGATTTTTCAAAGTCGTACTGCGGACGTTCTGGTGGCCAGTAGAATACTAACGTGCCAATCATGCTGAGGACGCCGTAAATGAGGCCAATATAGTAACACCATCTCCAGCCATGGGCCGTGTTTGCATTGAGGGTCGTTGCGATAAGTGTTCCGGCAGCTGCCCATGGGATGGTCATGGCACACTCGGTAAGGCCCAACAATCCACGCCATTTGTTGGGCACCAGCTCCTGGATCCCGGCATAAGAGACAAAGATTATACCGCATCCGAAGCCGATGACAGTGGATCCGGCCACGAGAGTAAGAGTGGTCTGCGCCGTGCAAGCCACGATCTTGAGATCGCATTAGCGATCATGAAGCGAGGGGGGTGATAGGCGAAACATACCGATCCAACCATTGCAAGCACTTCACCTGAAACTATCGTATAGCGGCGGCCAAAGATATCCGATAGAGATCCCGCAATGGAAAAACTGACGGACGAAGCAATGGACCAGCCACCCACGATCCATGTTATGTTCTCCGTGTCTCCGAGATCTGTGCCTACTTGCTCCAAGATACCCGTGATGAGCACGAAGCCACAAGAGATGGGGCAGACGTATGAGAACGAGAGAGACTGGTTGCGTACGGCTGGTCAGCAAGATTCGCTGTGTGATGCAAGCTGATATGCAGAATGATTGGACTCACCAGGACTGCGAGCAAGGTCCTCCATGTCAATGTCTCGGCTTTCTCTGGGTTATCTTCGAGGGCAGCCCGATGGGGATCTTCAAAATCGAGTGGGATATCAACAACGGGCACATGGTGCGACTCAAAGTGCGAAGGCTCTGTGACCACGACTGCCTGGCCACGAGGCTTCTCTCCAACGTGATGAGACATGGTGAACAGGTCTGTTTGGGCAAATGGTCCTGCACGAGATGCCTATGAATGTGGCAGAGACGTTGGTAGAAAGGGAAGTTGGATTGACTTGAGGAGCTCCCCACGCTGATATTGTCTATTCCTCCGCCACTCCCAAGTGGACACGGCAATGGCAAAGTCTGGGGCCCCAGTCAGTGTTCTTGTTGGAAGAGAGCTCCACATCTGACAGAGGATATAAGGCCCAGCCCCAGACCTGGAGTGAAGAAAACTCGAGCTTGGCTTTAGAGTTATCTGGGACTTTTCCTGCTTCGCTTCTTCTTACTCCACCGGTAAATACCCAACACTCATTGAAATGGCGTCCTTGGCTTATTGGCGCGGTCAAAAACAAATGTCCGTAGCATTGGCAGGAAGAGATAGATGTCTTCATGACAGATAGCGTATGCAATAATGCAGATAATGAGATTCGATGCAAGAACGTCAAGAACATTGAATGCCATCTGAGGACAACAGCGATGTCTTTAGGAACGTATGGTCTTCGATGACCATTGGACCTTGTCCACATGCTTGACATCTGATACTCACAGCAGATGGCACGAGCAGGAACCAATGCTGGTATATCTGGCACCAGGGCGTTGAGACGATGACAATTTCTTTCTCGTGAGCAGACCCTAGTACATGATGAAACTACCACCCTTTGTGGTCGCCAGACTCTGCCTGGCTGCCTACCACATACCCCGGACACAAGGGTAGTAAAGTTTTGCTATCGGGGTCTGGACACGGCCTTTCGCTTGTTGTAAGTTAGCCTTGGCTACATTGCCCTCAAGCTACTCCTAGGCCATATCGTATTTGATTGACTCCATGCTGAATAAGGTCTTCGCTGGCACTAAAGCGCTACGTGCTGCATTCAAAGCTTATGGTCGTTATGGTTCTTGTCGATGGCTATCCCATTGGAAGGCAATTGAACTATCGCCGACAGAAGCTTGAAAGGAAAATGTTTGAATGCGTTTATTGAAGAAGTACCGAGCAAGAGTCAGAAACGCCTTTGAGATGACTGCCCCACTATTGCGGGCGCTGCATCCGGGCACTCCGGGGTGCCCCGCGTATGCTCTCGTGCAGAGTATGACAATAACGGAGCGTACAAGCAAGTACAATGAGGAGCATCGCCTGGATAGTGCACCGTCAATGCAAGCATCCGCCTGTTTTCACACGCAGGGACGGTGACATGCCAGTGTTGAAGCCAGTGGACCGACGGTAGCATGTTGTAACCACCATGGCCACCAATCTCCTTAGGTAGTCGTGAGGTGGCCGGCCGCGCTCCTCTTTACAGCGCTTCTAATGTACACCATTTGCAGCAGTCAGTAGTCATGATATGACCACTTTAGACAGCCCAGTGACGCACTGGTGCGTCGTGCATCGAGAGAGCCATGTGGCTTCACATCTCCCATGATTCCGACTGGGTGGTCCAGCCGTGGGGCCTGCAAATCCTTGTCATGGGTGGTGACCATCCCGGATGGCCCAGCATCCAATAGTACAGCATAGTATGAGGCTCAAAAGAAGCCCGCTGATGGCCTCAAGAATCTCGATTGTGCCCCATGTTGGCGACTCGGCGGACGGTCTGCGTGCTAATAGATTCTGCTCCAAATTTCGTGGCTCAAGCAGTATCCATGAGATCGCCGTCAGTTCCATTAGAGCCGTTGATACCGAAAGTCACATCTCCTTTGTCGCTGATAAACTGCTTCTCAAAGTCATGTACGAGTTTGATGGAACGCGCCGGGTCATAGAATAGCTTAAAGCTCCGTTGGACATCATCAACACCAACCTCCTTGGCTTTGCGTTTCTGACTGAGCAGGGTGGACGTCGTGATGATGTTGCTTGCATACCTCAGTCCCGACTCTTGTCCAATCTTTGTAAGAAGGGCCAAGGCATCCGCGGAGAGATCCACCTCTTCTTCTTGAGCACGGATGGCAAGGATTTGAGAAATCTCGTCAGCTGAGTATGACTGTGTGGTGATAATGACGACACGGTCCAGGAAATCCAAAGGAAGGCCGTGCGGTGAGTTGTATGTCGTCCCCCGTATGCGAGTATTGCCTCTATTGCTTGCCATGATAACAATGGGTGCTAGGTCTGCCTCCAACGCACGGTTGATGTAAGAGTAACATTCAATATCCAACATGTGGACCTCGTCGATGAATAGCACGCCGGGAATGATATCAGCCTTGCCCTCTTCTTTCCACTCGCCGACCTTGGTGTTTATTTGATCTCGCACTTCGCTCCGGATCTCGCCAGTGTCACCAGAGAATAAAGCCAGGAAACCTTGGGTCCTTGAGTTGATAACATCAATCTCATGCAGACTCACAGTATGCACAACCTCTTTTCGCACCTGGAGTTCTCCTTCTGGACACTGGACGAACTTGGTATCCGCACCCATGGCATCGTAGTCCCTTGATCTCGTGTATGATCTGCCTAGTTTTGTGATCTTCCCGGAAGATTTGTCAATTGATATCACATCGCCAGCCATGACTCTTTCCTTGGTCATTGAATCAATCATCTTGGTACCCATGTCGTAGACTGTTTCCATATCAGTCGTCTTGATCGTAAGTTTGCCCTGCTTGTTGCCCCCTGACACGCTCCTGTCAATCTGTATCTCTACCACCTCTCCCTCAATGATCTCGCTCTCTTCTTTTATCCTCACACCTATCGACTTTCGGAACGCCTGTGTCAAGGCTTCTGTTTTCGACATTTCCAGGGAGAAGATTTCTGAGGAAGCGAGCATTGTAAAGGGGACATCGGGACCCAAGGACTGTGCCATAGCCATGGCGAGCGCGGTTTTGCCCGTGCTTGGTGGACCAGCAATCAAAACCGCCCTTCCTGCGATCTTGCCTTCTTTTACCATCTGCAGAATGACAGCGGCTGCTTTTCGTGCCTTCTGTTGGCCAATGAGGCCTTGTGAGGAACCTCGCGGCTCTAAAGTTGCTAAGTCCACACCAAGGCCTCGGATATGAGAATGCGCAGCTATGAGATTGAGGCCGCGAACCTCACGGCTCTCGGGCACGGTCGTTATAGCCTGGTATAAATTAGCGCAATCGCGTATCTCGTGTCCAAAAACTTACGGCAGCCATTTTGAAGTATTCACGGCTTCGCTGGGTGGTACAGGGAAAAGCTTCTGCGAATGTGAGGCAAACACTAGAAGAGACGTTGGTGATGCTCGTTCCGCCAGATGTACTGTGTAAATTTCGTGCATTCGCGTAGCCGGCAAACTTGCCTCACTTAATCGACGTTACCGCGACCGCGTCCGAGCCCGCCTCACTAACACAGGAACGGCATGGGAAATTCATTGGACTTATCCAGTCAAAAGGCCTCATGAAGACATTGGAAAGTTGCGCATACGCCGTCCATCAAAGCCCTTGGTCCATAAAGAATTGAAGTCTGGAATTCTACAGCTTGAAGTTGCCAATCGGTTCAATCACTATTCGCATTTCCTCTTGAGACCATTGCGCCGCCATTCACCGTCTGCCATTCCTGCCTTGTCATGCGCAACATTTGGCTTGAGACTTCCCGGCTGTTCGATATGCCTCGGTGAGGCCACTTTCGAAATGCGCAGGCTTCAGACATGACTGAGCCACGTCGTGTCCCCTTCGAGGCGCAAAGCGCATCAAAAGACCCCAGACTGAGGAGGACGACTTCTTACAACACGACTGAAGCCGTTTACAGCCCAAGACAGGAAAGAAAGGACGCACTGAGCGCAAGAGAGGGTGCTTCGACGTTCGCGGACACACGGCGGAGAAGTGATGGCAACGCCGTCAAGCCTTCTGGTCAAGAAATTGACCAGAATGACTCGGTGAAAGCTCTGCGTACACTCATTTCAAGCGCCGTCAGCGGAGGACTTGTCAGACGGAAACAAGACTACTTTGAGCGGGAGCTGAAGGTGGCGCGCGATCACTATGAACGTACTCAGCGCGAGTCCAAACACCACCCCATTGTGATTGCGCAAGCAGAGCAAGACCTCAAACGAATCGAGACATCATATAAGTCCACCAAGCAAGAGGCGGATGAGTATGCTGCAAAAGAAAGCACAGTTGCGAACGATGTCCTGCGTCTCTTCGTCGGACTTACGGCCAATCCTGCAGTTGAGACCCTGAATACCGAAGTCCGCGCACTGAAACATGAAGTGGCGTCTGTCCAGGCGAGCCAAATTTCGGAAAGAAAGCACGCTGAAAAAACGAATCAGGACCTGGTCAAAGTCTCTGCGGAGAATAGCGGCCTGCTCAGTCGCGTGACCGACTTGGAGGACATAACCAGGAGACAGGAAGAGGACTTGAAGAACCTAAAGCACATCCGGCAGGACGTTGAGGCTCTACGAAAAGATCTCACTGAGCAGAAAGAAGCACGGAGATCTAGTAAATCGGTGGAGCAACTCTCAGACTTCGAAGCCTTCCGAAAGAGTATTCAACTTAAGGCGAAGAATACTCAGGATGGTTTGGAAGCGGTCGAGAAAAAACTTTCTCTACTACAGCATGATGTCTCAGGACAGAAGGCTAACGCGAGTCTCGTCCAAGAGCAGCTCTCCAAGCTCAGCGATCTCAAGGATGAGATAGCGAAGCTCAGAAAATCGGACGAGGGGCGGTCTAAGGCCATTGCCTCTCTACACCAAGACTTCATCAAGCAGCTGGCAGATTTGAAAGACCTGCGCAATGATATGGCCGAGCTAAAGGGGGAAGTGGCCAAGTCGCTGGTTGAGCACAAAGCAACGTCCCTGAATGATCTAGCACAACAAGTCGACGATAGGATGGCACAAGTGAGTGTCGAATCCGACCTCGCACATGCGCGACACACCAATGTTTTCAACGAAGTACAGCGCATCGAAAGAGACTTCCGCTCTAAAATCGAATCTCTGCAGCAAGACCTCAAGAACGTGGCAGGGGCATCGCTAACACAACCAACAGCATCCGCAGCCATCTCAGATGAGACAGTCGCTGCTCTTACACAGAGGCTTGGTGTACTAGAAGGCCAAATCACTGACCTGCAGAAGGGCCTAGAGATTCAGAGACACCATTTCCAATCCCTCGATCATCGGTTCAATAACCTGGATACTATGAAACTTTATCAACGAATACTGCAGGTGGTGGCGCCTTCTTTGCCTAAGTTTGAGCAGAGATTAGTCAACGTGACGGAGAAAGTAGAGCAGATCGAGCATAAGATTGAACATCCCGAACCAAAGCTTGACACCCGGGTCGAGCAACCTCAGAGATCTGAGTTTGCTGAAGAGACACTTACCCTGAAGGCCCAGCAAGAGTCTCTGAAGACCCAGCAAGAGTCTTTGGCTCAAGAGTTCCGTGAAGGTCGGGACAAAATCAAGGAAGAGATTCACGAGATCCTTGTTGCGCGCATGAAGTCGGCGAATGATGAATCAAGTTATCGTGACACGACAAAGACCAAGTTGAAGGAGATCCAAGTCCAGATCAGTGACTTGCGCCAAGCGATCTCGCAGACTGGCAGCAGCAAGAGGGGTACGCCCGATTCCGACTTGACTGGCTTCAGTATTAAGGGTCGAAGCCAGGCTACGTCTGGGCTCTCTCGCAGGACGCCTCAGGGACAGTCGAAACACGAGCAGCCGACGTCTCAAAACGCGAGGCCCAATGGCAGGGAGGATGATGAAATCAGTGGCGATGAATTGGTCCCGGACGAGGTGGAGGCGTCTGCTCTACTTGAAAAGTTCAAACGACCGACGACGAGCTCTAGTCATACTTCTAGAGAGGATAGTACAGGACGAACACCAACCAAAAGAAAGCGTTTTGAAAGGGACAATTCTCAAGAACCTACTATCGCCGAGTCTGATGACGAGCCGCCAAGTAGGTCTCGGCGCAGAGGCAAGAGATGAGACAAGATCTTGTCTCGATGCACGATGCAGTATTCTTCTGAGGTCTTGAAGATTCGCCCCAAAACACACCGTGCTCGTGTCTGGAACATGGCCTCTGGTGGCAATTCTGTGTGTTTTGCAAATAGTACGATGATACCCATGTATATGTAATATGGCTACGGAGGATGCTCTCCATTATCAATGAACAAAGATCCGTCTTGCTGACTACAGCACATCCTTGCAGATGGGGGTGACTTTGGTGCTAATGCTACCCGTGCTTTGATAATGGTGTGGGGTTTTGCTGACAGAGCCTTGGGCGGCTCACTGATGCATCGGTGCATTCCCTTCTGGGGATAGTCCCCTATCAAACTTCATGTAATCGGCCGCGAAATACGAGGCCCCCAGCCCAATCGTCGCCCCTTGCCGCCGTGACTTTGCATCTGTTTCGAAGTGAAATCATGATTCTGAATCCTCTTTCCTCAAAACCCTTCGCTCAAGGGAATCTCGCGGTACAAAGATGAGGTTACTCTGTTGTTAGTAGTGGGACGAGGACCGGGACCTGACATCGCTGGACGATTGATTCTGCCTTCACAATGGATACGCCCGAACCGGATCCCAAGAGCGGGCAGGCCACTCCAAACCCCAAAGATGCCCACCACCATCACTTGCACCTTGCTCAAGCTTCACGAAAACGCTTCCACGAACTCATTCATCCACAGACAGGCAAAACTTTGCATGTCTGCCAAAGCCCTGAGCATCTAGGTGAGTGACTACACGGAATCATTGTGCCCCGCGCCAACATTCCTTGCAGAGGAGAAGCGCAATGAACTGCTCCGCGAAAAGTCATTGGAAGAATTCGAACTCATTCTCCATGGCTCTGACGAGCATCTCGAAGTGGTGAGACAATTACACGCCCATCATCAGTCGAAGAGGGACGAACTTAAGCTACGCCATGGCGACCTATATCTCGACATCGAGAACGTCAAGTCTGAATTGGACGCCCTCAGCGCGGAACTGCACCGTATCAGTGACCACGCAGTATCACTAGACGCATCGTTCGACCGCTACGGATACTCAGCACGTCTCAGGACGAAGGACGAAGATTCCGAAAACGCCTCTACGCACAGCGACCACCCTTCAGCCATCGACCGACACAAAGATCGCTCCGTGGAGGCCATCAAGTTCATAAAAAGACCTACTGTCCGGCAGTACTTTCATAAAGGTCTGCTATGGAGATCCGCAAAGGCCGGCGAAGTCGGGTCATTCGAATTGTTCGTCGATCTGGTCTATGTCGGCGTGGTTGATATCATAGGCGAAAAAGCCATCGAGCACCCAAATTCGCTGTCTCTACTTCAATTCTGCATCATATTCTGTATTGGATGGAAGATCTGGGCGGACCTTACCATGATCATCAACCATTTCGATATCGACGACATCTTTCAGAGGCTCAATGTCATGTTCTATCTCGTCTGTCTCTTCGGATTTACGACAAATATTGCCTACGCATTCGACTCCACCTACACATCGGCCATTGGCTTTTACATCACGCAAAGAATGTTCGCTGCGGTCTGGTATCTTGCAGTGGGCGTGTTTCTTCCCAATATCAGAGGAACCATGGTCTGTTGGACTACCATGATGGTCTTTTCGAGTGTGCTCTGGATAATCAGCATACATGTCGCATGGCCTCATCAACTTATCGTGATCTGGATAGCCCTGGTCCTTGACATATTCGGTTACGCTGTGCTGATCTGGTTCATGCACAAAACAGGAAAGTTTCCGCTTCTGAAACCGTTTGCGAAGTACTTCGAATTCTTCCCAGCGATCAACATAGAGCACCGTGTGGATCGGAACAATGCATTCGTTTCATTGGTGAGTTGCACTTACTTTGGGCATCTACAAGTGGTTAACATGCTTTGCTAGGTATTGGGCTATTCGGTCCTCACAATCCTATTCCAATCGCAAGCCTCTTTCAATATAAATGCATTCTTTGGTAAGGGTGCGCTTGGTTTGATTCAGGCTTTCACCTTCAATTGGTAAGAACTCTACTCATTTTCTATCAAGAATGCAAGGATACTAACAGTTTTAGGATCTACTTCGAGATCGACGCATACCATGTGCACGTCCACGCGATACGACGACACTGGATAAGCAGCACCGTCTGGGTGTCTGCTCATCTTCCATTCATCATGGGCTACGTACTCGCCGCCTCGACACTCTCGCAACTCGTCCTGGCACATGACTGCCGCGACGCCAATCCCGAGGATCTCGGCGAAAGCTATCAGCCAAAAAGTGCGCCAGAAGTAGCAAAAGCACTTCGATGGTTCTACTGCGGCGGCCTTGGTATTGCCTTGATCTGCATGGCCCTCATCTCGTTCTGCCACATTCACAAACGCCTAGCCAAAACGCGACTACGCAAACAACCACGGCTCATCATCAGGGTTTGCGTGGCGATTGTAATCCTCTGTCTACCGCTCGCCGACTCGCTTTCATCGTTGTCTCTGATCGCCACCACCACGTCCTTGGTCTTTCTCGTTCTCTGTCTGGATTTGTACGGCAACTCCTGCGAAGGCGACAAGTTCTGGACGGGTGGATTTTGTCCCAAAGAGAGGAGAAAGTGCACCTACACGGCGCACTGTAAGATGGGGAAGAGGCGGCGAAAGGAATTGGAAGGAAAGTTACAGCGTGGCGACAAGTTGTGCTTGAAGGACTATATGAGGAGCAGGAATACTAGTATGAGTAGCGTGGACAGTGAGGAGACGCTCAGGGACGAAGAGTGGCAGGGTCTGGGTGGCCATTATTGATCTCGAGAGAGTCCAGCTTGTTGTCAGCCAGGTGTGTTGCATATGATGAATCTATGATGCAGATACCAGGTCTCCTTGGACATATAAGCACGCAGTCCTTTACATGTTTTCGCAATTGACCGTATCAACTTTTCTTTGGTCGTCTCTGTGTCCTGCAAGGCCTATCGCGAATAAGGCAGCTATTACCCTGGTAAAGTGTTACATCGACCACATAAGGCACGCCAATGAGGCGCCTTTGTAATGAGCCCAGAAAGCCCAAATCGCCCGACTATACCAGCCCACTTTTGAATTGAATGAAAGCATTCGACCAACGCACCCACAACACCTATTAAAGTACCCTCTCTCCGTGGCACATATTATCCACATCTTCGTGTCTGTATGAGTTCGGCACCAACAACTGATTCAAATAGTCTAGCTGTGCCCAGCAGATCATGCCATACCGATCAGAGCGGTCCTCATATCCTTGGCTCTCTTGGAGACCAGCGGCATCAGCTGCAACGCAGGATCTCTGGGATCACGCTCCGCGATAGTCATATAAAGACTCTCGAGCTTTTGGATGAACGAGCTCAACAACGCTGGAGCATGTTCAGCAAGATCGGCAATTTCCGGATCCTAAAAGCATTGTCAGTCAGCATCCATCGTGATCAAGCAATGATAAAGCACTTACAGATAGATCAACGGCATTGAACGCAGCAAGTACCCATTCCAGTCTCCGAGCAGTATTGGTCGTCAGAGAGTTGCCGATTGTAACAGCGATGGAGAAGGCAATCAGAGGCGACACGTCCGTCGCGAGGTATTCTGGAGTGAAATGGATGAAGAGCTTGTCGAACAGCTCCACAGGCTGGCTTGACTGTAGCCACTTGATCGATCCCTCCTCATACCGGCCATCGTTCATCAATTCCGTGATCTCCTCCAACTCCAGTTCTTCCTTCGTCTTCTGGCGCGGCACCATTTGCCGACCAAAGCCCTGTGGAGATGGTGTCATTCGAGCTGTCGACACCTGGTGTGAACCAGAAGGCGTACTGCCTTCTCCAAGTAAGGCCAACTGACGACGATCTTTGAGTATCTGACCCTGGAATGCAACCTGTGTATTAGACATTTGCTGAAGGGTTTCAGACGTCGCTTGAAGGACTTGACCGAGCTTTTCAAGCCTGGTCAGGTCATGCTTCCTATCGGCCGCCAGCTGGTTAATCTCATTTCGGAGTCGAACCTCAACCTCAGTGGCGGCTTTCTCGGCGGCTGATACTGCCAAGGTCTTGAATGCTGGTACAATCTGCTTCTGCAGTGCGTCTGCCAACTGCATCTCAGTCTGTTTCGATATCTTCTGTGAGATGGTATCCGCGATAACTCGACTCATCTGAGGACTCTGCAAAGCGTTGTTGATGGCCACTGGGAGTTGAAGACTCAATTCTTGAGGCATCATCGAGTGGAGCGACTTCTGAACAGCTCCTCCCACTTGACTGCTGACAGCTTGTACAGTGGCCTCAGTAAGCGCGGGAACCATCGATTGATGCATCTGCGCAGCCAATATTCGCGACAAAGCCTTCTCAACGTTGTTCGTGAGAGTGGTAGATACGAGTCGGAGAACTGCCTCTTGACGAGCAACAGATGCCGAGTCCTGCACCACACGGTCATTTTGGATACTCTGATACAGGCTGTTCAACTCTTTCCGGAATTCGTTTGATACTCCACGTTCCACTTTCTTGAGCTCTTTGTCAAGCCAATCTCCGGAGATACCAATACTGACAGAGTCTGCTTTGGTCGAAGGCTCTTCAGCTGGAGCTGCAGCAGGCTGCTTTGAAGCAGCATCTTCTATGCCGTTGGTCTTTGCGGCTGGAGGCGCGTCTGTCACTGTGGGCAAGGCCTTGGTTGGTGAGGTGGTACGTGAAGGGACCTTTTCCGGCACGGGGGTCTCGGCAGCTGGTGTGGCCTTCTTCTTGCTTTTCTTGCTCTGCTTAGTTGGCGGCAATTCGGATACTGCTGCCTCGGCATCGGCGACAGGGGACTGGGCCGAGGCGATTGGCTCAGCGTCTTGCATCTCCACTTGTTCGGGTTCGGCAGCAGCTTCAGATTTCTTCGCAGCCTTCTTCTTCGATGCTTTCGCCGGCTGCTGTACTTCTTCGACAGCACTCTTACTGTCTTGTGGTTCTTCAATGACACTTCCGAGCCTCAACTCTTTGAGGTCGACAATACCTTCCTTTGCAGCGTCAATAGGATGAACAACCTTACTCTCAGCATCCCAGCCGAGATCTTCTTTGGCAATGCTCAAGCAGGTAACACCTTTGGAGTGCACAATGTAGAGCTCGAACAGTGCCGACTTCGCGTCAATGGCCTTTTGCTCCTCCGGTGTTCGATGAATTGGAAGAAGCTCGACACTTCTAAGCTGACCTCTGCCGGTGAAAGCAATCTCACGTATACCACTCATGCACGCAGTGGAATCTGGTTTCGGAAGCTCGGGGTCTTTCGCAGCAATTCGTTGAACGTATGCCGCTTGAGAGTATGATGAGCTGAGAGTATATCGTGGAGCTGACAGGTGGATAAAGAAAAGGGAATTACGCGTAGGGTGTCCGACGACGATGATGCCACTGGCAGGATGGTAGTTGACACTACAGATGCCATCAGTCTCGTTTTCATGAGGGAAGTTGATCTCCTGAACTGCTTTTCCCAGGGCAATATCCCAGAGCTGGAGAGTGTGGTTTTGTCGTAAGCCAACGAGGACATATCGCAAAGCGCCTCCTCTCACATAAGGGCGCGCCTTGTCGACAAAGAGAACCGAGGTTGGCCAGGACTTCTCTGTTGGTGACGCGGTCGAGAGCGACAGCAAAGGCGTCTCGACCGTCATGCCCGCAACGTGCGCAGCTGTAGCATTGGACTCCTCGATAAGCTTACGAATATCCCAGAATCGGAGCCTTCCGGTCTTGTCCAAAGAAACGATGGCGCTGTCATCCTCGCTGAAGGTAAAGTCTTTGCCGGCCTTTCCTGTAGAGATCTGGAAGGCTCGCTCTTGGAAGAATTTGTCAACATCAACCCGGCGGTTCTCTTCAGTGATGCCGTAACGCGAAGAGAGAGCTGTAGTAGGCCAAATGAGGTGTATGGCTTTTCCTCTGCCGATCGCAAAAAATTCGGGATGTCGTGAACTCCGCTTGGCTCGGGTCTTTAGCACACCACCTGCAGTGTTCTCGTCGGCCGGAGGATAGGGAGGGAAGATTAAACTGTCCGAGTCGAGCTCATTCTTCTCGAATAGGTCGTTGCTGTCTTTTCTGATGGTTGCGTAATACACAGCGCCACTCACTCCTGTGCCGAGGATTGCTTGGTCATCTGAAGGAGTACCATTAGGTGAGGTGGTGCAAAATGCGATGTTAAAGATACGGTCATGCGAGTTCTTGAAGACTTGTCGGTCAGTTCCATCCTCCTGTCGTATGATTCTCATACCGCCGTTCTTGACCAGGGCATAGCCGATATACTTTGAAGTGGCCGCCGCCAGGGAGCGGTCCAACTGGTCGAACTCTTTCTTGAGCCTTGATATCTCCATGACGCCGTCGTCCCGAATGCCGATGTCAGAACTTTCGCCGAGTTGCAATGTGAGTGAGACGAATGGTTTGATGGGGAAATTGTAGACGGGAACAACCCGCTCTTTGGAAGCCTTGTTGGGCAACTCCTCTGTATCTTCCCACTCGTCAGCGCCATCAGGTTCTTCCTCGGCAGCTTTTGCTGCGGCAGCATGTTCAACAGGTTTCTTCTGGTTGGCTGGCTCGAATGATTCGCCGTTGCTGATCTTTGGTGCTGCTGCCGACACGGGCTTCGAAGCTGCAGCAGTCAATTTATCGAGGACAGAGTCCAACGTCACAGGCTTTTCCTCCTTCTCTGGGATAGCAACTGAAGCCTCACGAGAGATTGTTCCTTGTCTGCTCGCAGATGCCAGTCGAGGGGTAAGGATCTTTCTCCTGGCAACCTGCCCGGCACTCGCAAGAGGCGACGCACCCTCCCATTGTCGATCATCATCTGCCTCAATGCTTTGAATTGGTACATCATTGGGTTCTTGAGCCGGAGCAGCGACTTCGGCTTTCGGCGTTTGTGGACGGGAATTCTTGAGGGCTTCGAAAGGGTTGACGTAGGTGAAGAGCGGTTTGTCTTGACCTGGCTGTTTGGTTTCGGCTTTCGAACCGACTTCAATTGAGGATGGTTCTTTGCTCGAATTTGCACGGAAGATGCGAACAGGTAGGTCAGCGGAGGTTGGAGTTGGCTGGCTTTCGTTCTTGGTCTCTGTGTCAGCTGGTTGTGGTCGAACTCTTTCTACAGAGGTCTGTCGTCCCAGTGTCGCAGTGCCCGGGTGAGCCTTGGAGAGAAGCTTCAAAAGAGCATCTTGAGAAGCGTCTCGAGCGGCAGTAGGTTGTGGATGACCACCACCTCCGCCTTGGTCTTCCAGTTTGAAAGGCGACTTCGATCCGGCTCGAGACCCAGAAGGTGGAGGACTCATAAACTTCGCGACCAAATCTGAAGCCGACACTTGTGGTGGTCCAGCCGTATTCTCCTTTCCATTCATGCCTTTAACCCCATTCTTGTCTTGATCTTGAACTTTGACAGCAGTAGGGAAGGCATTGGCTCCACCGTCGCCACCGGGCTGGGTTGAGGTACCGAAATTGAGTAGGTTGAGGAGGGACTGAGCTGTGACAGTAGGAGCAGGACCGGCTTGAGGTGTCATGTGGGCAGAGGAGGATCCGTTAGTGATGGAGGTGAAGGGTGGTCCAGAACTGGAGGGTAGTGGATGAGATGGAAGTCCGCTAGAGCCAGGGCGATTAGAGGCTTGGGACGGCGTAGCTGAGTCTCGCGCCTTTGGCTTGAGGTTCGCAAAGAGGGCTTGTAGATCGTTGGTCGACATTGTTCCAGTCAGTCTCAGATTAACAAGCTCTAGATGCTCACACAAGGCCTTAGAACACTAAGGCAAAGCTAGAAAAGGTGCAGACAGGTGAGACTTTCTTTCTCCAGGATGTCACACCAGGAGAAGCGAAAGTCAAAGTGGAATGAATGGCAGCACAAAGGATGTGCGGATTCAGGCTCGCGAACGCAGCTCAGAATGGATAAAGCTATTAAGCAAAAGGGTGAAGTGATTCACAGAAAGGTGAGCCGGGGAGAATGAGGTTGCGTTGCCAGTTGGGCCCCAAAGCCTCCAAAAATCGTGACATCTACGAGATCGACGCTAAAACATTTATTTGATCGACTCTCCATCTATTCAATTGTCCAAGCGCCGATGCCGATGCCGATGCTTGCCTGAGGCATTACTCCACCTCTCCATCTCCTCCATTGCAATTTGATCCCTCACTCCTCCATAACCATACCGAATCCTGTTCCCGCGCACAGTGTTCAATTGCAGTATACTTACTGGATTTGTGGCTCATTTATACTTTTCTTCATCGCCCTGCAAGGAAGCCTTGCGCGACTACGGACAACCAAGACAAGGACATTGCCTCGGTCCGCTCAATGACCCATCCCAGCCATTTGGAATCGGTTTCAAAAAAATACTTCCAATGATGTACTGCCTGCGGAGGTCCGTCGCATGCCCTTTCTACGCGATTTGAGAGACGTTATGTACTAACACAATACGCAGTTACCTTCCTTTACTCTTGCTCCCTCTACCATTGTCACTGTCACCAGTCCACCTCATCCTGTTGATCGTCTTGACTTACATCCTCAACCGACCTTGCATATACTGCTCCTTCCTGCTGGTTATTCTCCTAGCTAGTTCCTGTCACTGGTCTAATCGTTGTTTCATCGACTTCAGTCAGCACGGAGAGGAGACGTCGTCAATCGCGGCATGGTTCATCCCGCGTCTCTACACGAGTGCTTCGAGCGAGCAGGCAAATAGCACCTCTGATATGGGCGGATTTCTGGCGGATGTCGCGAACAGTACGGTAGCAGGCATGTCGCAGGCCCTCAAAGACTCTGCGTCTGGAATGCTGGAGGGAGCACGGCACAAGTTGACTTCTACTACACCTTCGCCAGTGACAGATGCGGGTGTTGGCACCCATTGGCTCAAATACTTGATTGGCAGATCGGAATGGACGTTGCCTTGCGTTGGTGTCAAGGTGGTGTTATGAGGATGAATGTGATGATTAAACATGGCGTTGGACGTTTTGACGGCAATCATGAGTATTGATTCCAAACACACAAGCATTTACTGGTTGGAGCCATTTCACTGTGGTCCACGCTTGAAGACCACTATCGTTGTGACCGATAGCAAAGACAGCATCGATGACTCGAAGTGTGAATACGCTCATACAACATGAGTTAAATATTGTACTATTGACTCTAATATGGGTCAAATGGCCTGCTGTGGCACCAGATTACAGCCACGTCCGCAGACAAGCTATTTGGCCGTCGCATGCCCACGTCGAGAACGACTAGATGGCGCTAAACCTTTGGACAAAATGCCATTATCACACCACTCCAAAATGCGAAACGCTGCGTGAATGTCGTCAAGCTCAAGCCTGCCGTCTTCAAGTCTCTCGAACCGTCAAGCCATCCCAGAGTTATTCAGCGCCAATCGCCTTGCTCAAACATGAGGCTGGGTGGTTTGAACGATACAAGTCTCCCAAAAAGCTCGGATGGACGACAGGCATGCCGATGGTCTTCGACCAAACTTCGTGTATTAGTGTCTATCATTCCTCCGGCTGTCATTGAATAGGCCAGTCGTCCTCTGTAATAGACGACCAGAAAGTAAAGACGGCCACCACGCTTAGCAGCGTGAAAAACGTTTCGAAGAGTGCCCCATCGACCTTTCCATGTGTCGGATTGCATATGTGTATCGAGATCACATACATAAAGACTTGGCCAATGGCGAACAGTAGTGCCGCTGCGATCAGGTAGAGCATCGGTTTGGTCTCTCCCAGAACTCTCAAGACGAGGACAGATTCGAGGATGAAAAATAGAAACATGCAGACCAGCGGTAGTAGCTGATAGAGCACGTAAAGCGCGATATTGCGGTGAGGCGACTGAAGCGAAGAATCCCAGTATCCGGACCAAGAGAAGGCGGTGTCGAGAGCGATGTAGCCGGTACCAACGAATATGGCCAGAGCGCTTCCAAAGATCAAGCCCATTGACAAGGGTGTGCCATCGTCGAGTAATTGATATCCCACAAACGCATTCATGAGCAACATCCACGAAGTTGCCGCGATGGCCGCTATGTGGACAGCCGTGAAGCCTTTCCTCACAGTGTTGTCTAGCGGGATACCACCGATCGTGAATATTTCGCAAATTTCAATCACAAGGTATCCTAATAGAAACAGCTGCATCTCCCGGCGTCCCACTGCAGCTGCTTTTCGGTTTGCGCGCCATAGTAGAAGGAATGTGACCAGTATTGCAAGGCCGGCGATCACTATAGACCCCACGTTCGCAAGATGTCTTCCACGGCTAAGTGAGATTCCGTTCAAGACGCAGCCTGCTCCATCGACACCGGTGTAACCGCTTCCCGGTGGTTGATTGTTCGTCGTCAGAATCTAGACATCGGTCAACGAAAATGCACATGAGGTCATGTGTGAGGAAGACCTACATTACATATAGGAAGTGTTGAGTCGCGACAAAAGTCCTGCGCACATATGTTAATCACCTTGTGTTACAACAGTGTGAACCGCCTTACTTGAAACTTCCCGAACTGTGTATTCCCCATCTATAGCGAGAGGTCTCCCAAAGACCTCGATAGCGAGTGGCGATGTATTGAATTGTCTCGTAGGCCAGGTGTACCGTCACGTTCGCGACACCATGCGCTCGTGTGCCTGAGGTGTAGTCAACCGGAGAGTGTGCGTCGTTCGATGCTGGACCGACCTCGGAGGTGAAATGTTGAAGGATGCTCGCTTCGTAGAACTTGAGCAAAAATAGCTGTCACTATTTTTCTCGGCGACGATCTTTGTGAGGCGCAAGAAAGCTGGAATGCAAGATTGGCTGCAGCTTGCTGCAGGAAACAGGAAGTTGGCAGGGAAATGATGGAGTGGACTCGACGCAGACAATTCGCTCGAAAAGGGTGGCAGGAAACCTTGTTTTCTTGGTGGAGAGAGGCGGAGATCAGGGACTCTTATCCGTCAACTAAGTGATCGATTTTATCCTTGTAGGCGAGAATGAATAGGACAAGGAGCGTATCAGGCGAGCAGGATAGACGATTATGGGAGTTTGTAGAAGAAAGCCAAGTTGTAAGAGAGGAGTCGAGGACCGTGACCAGCAAGGGAAGAAGCTCTGTGCGAGTCCCAGTTCAGACTGGTTTTGAGGTGGGCAGCACGAGCATTGTGGGAGCTGCGGGCGGAGATTGAAGGTCGCTGTGGCAGGTCATGGTTGCTTTAGGGTTGCCCACTCTCACACGACGCCCCCGGATGGCTTCGTTTCAATCTTGATAAGGATCGGTGCTTTAAGTGAGGATTCATCTCATCCTCAGAACACGTGGAATAACGTTACTACGATCTACTCTCGACAGGCTCTGCAAGGGATGCTCTATGATAAACCAGTGTACTCTCTGCGCCGTTGCCTGGAAATAAGTTACAAGATGCGGGACGGACAACTGCAGTGCATGATGCATCGATGCCACTTCTTTGAACGGTGGAGCTGTGGCAAACAACTCGTGATGCTGCTGCAGGTACGACGTAAGGCCTCTGCAACCAAGTTTCATCCTCTTCTAGCTGCTTCAAAGTCACTTCTCGAACCCTAGATTGACCCTTGCTGTGTCCTTTGGACAGGCTCATTATTGCCGCCCTCAACCGGTCTCTTCTACTTTGATGCTGTCCTCCGGCATTTCCTGCCTTTCTCTTCTAGCTGTGGAACATCGATGCGTCTGTGGTGTAACTTCGATCTCGTCGCCAAAATTTCATGCACCGGGTCTGGTGCCAGTACTCGACATGCTATCCACTGTGAGATCATTGATTAGGTGTACTCGTACTCCATCGTCATTGTCTGTTTGACAAGGCTGTGGCATGTCGTCTGTGCACTATAGTGCCCCTGAATACCACTCAACCGGCACTTCCCAGCTATTGGCCCCCAGGAACAGAATCGCCGCTGACAAAGGCCGAAACACATGGTCGTTCAGCCTGATGCAGGTAGTCTTGCGGAATTAAGATTTACGAGAGACGATCCGACGGAGCCGCTGCAAGGGTAGTTTGCTGTTCAAAATACGAGTATCTTGTACAAAACATAAGGATGCTGCCTCTCCAGGAACACCCTGAGTACTCCGTCTCTAATACTGCCCGTCGTTAGTGTTCGGGCTTACTGTGTAAATGCCTTGATTGCCTGAGTCTGGGGTCGACGGATACCAACGCATCTACAATTGCACAGAGGCACATGCAAATAGCATGGGGTATGCGATGCCAAAACCCCAAGTGCACGTGAGGCCACATTTTGCGGTGGGAAAATAAGGTTAAGCTTACCTACTAGCGCAATCGGGTGCAAAAAACATGCGCCATGATGTCGTCGAGATCCGACTGTCACAATCACTGTTCGTTCTGCACTTCGATCTAACTCGTCACAGACTCCATCCATCACTGTCATTTTCGTGTATTAGGATCTCCCCATGGGGATGTTCACGATATCACAGACCTCTTGATAGCAATTGCTCTGCATGTGCAGCATCGCGCAATCCACCACTCCATTGTCACTCACTACCTTGCCTCCTCGCCCTTGCCAACATGGCTACCTCCTCATCCACCCCTCAGTCGCGACCTCGCCGCGCTCCTCGCATCCAGTATGCAGAGGTTGACTCCGACTCTGTTGACTTCTCCGAAATCGAAACCCGACCCCAACCTCCTCGACGTTCCCGCCGACAGATACCAACATATCGAGAGTCGAGTGACGACGATTCTGATCTCCAGTCCGACTCGTCAATAGAGGTTCAACCCCAACAAGGAACAAAATCGCGGCCGAGAATACAGGAGACTGCTTCTTTAGCATCGCGGAAACGCAAAGCGGCACCCTTAAGAAAAGCTGCTGTTGGGAACTCGTTCAGCGCCTACAAGCGACAGAAGACTGGATCTTCCACACTCCCTCGCAAGCAAGATGCGCAAGTCTCCATTATTATCCCACCACCTCCTAGTGGACGAGCTCCTCCATGGCAAGAGCTCCCATATCATGTGTTAGTGAGTGTCATGAAACATGCAGCCTATCCGCTTTATGGTCAAGTGTCACAACCTACCGCCTCGTTACCGTGGCTGCTATCGATGTCGACTCTGTGTCGGTCTTTCCACGAAGCGTGCATGGCAGCACTACTCCACAACCCTCCGTTGTATCCCGCCTGGCGGGCCCACGGCCTGATAGAGCTCCTCAAGCAGGAACCGGAAGACTTGATGACAGATTACCGCGCGAAGATACACTACCTTGAGATCGAAGTCAAGCAGCTCCTGTACAAGAAAGCTGGCATTTCGTTGATGGACTTACTGACGCGGACACCTTTGCTCCAAGGCCTGCGTCTGTATTCCAACTATGATGATATGCAGACATCACTATGGGCTCAGCCCGCGGCCCAAAGAAGAATGAACTGGTCATATCCTACAGAGATGTTCGACCATTTCGACCGAGAGAACATATTCATGTTAACCTTCGAATGGAATGGAAGATTTCCCAACCCGAAAGAAGCGCTACAGACTGCACTGAGTGCTCATTCGCGGCCAGCATTCAGCAGATTACGTGAAGTATCCTTCCTAAACTTGACCTTGCCAGAGAAGACGACCAATGACGATGTGGCAACGGCACGAAGCCTTTTCACAGGTGCCCTCACAGACCTTGTCGAGTTGAAGCATCTGACATTGAAAAATTGCGGCATCTTGGATGAGGTCACTGCACCGCTGCTGCCGATCGGGCTGGAATATCTAGAGGTTGTGCAGTGTTCTCAGTTGACTTCACCAGCATTGGCACAATACCTGGCTGCAGGCGGCAGCACATTGCGAACGATGAAGTTGATCGGCTGTCAGTCACTGTCTTTGGGTTTCATGGCGGAGCTCAAGACTTTATGCCCTCGATTAGAGGATTTTGTGGTTGACATGTTCTTCATTGACCCAACATCTTTTGCGGATCGGGAGCCTCTGTTCCTGGCTCTATTGCCAGACGGTCCTCCAACTTGGCCGGCGAGTCTTGTCAATTTATCTCTCGAAAACATCCGTCACAAAGTAGCTAACGAAGCGCACGAGTTCTTGGAGTCGCTTGTCGAATCGTCAGAACAACTGCCACGTCTCAAGAGGATCAACATCAAGATGATATTGAAGTTGGCCGGTTGGCGCGATCGTGCACAGTTACGAAAGGACTGGCTGCCCAAGCTCCAAGAGGTCTTTCTGAACACAGACAAACCGCTTGATCAATGGGAGAAGGCTTCCAAACAATCTTCGCAATCATCCCAGCGACAGAGCAGTCGCCTGGCAACGAAAGGCCAAAGTACTGCGGAAAACACCGATGATAGTGACGCCGGTCCTGCAGTTGTGGTGCAAGGACGATGCGACGTGGTCAATCTTGTGATCTCGGATCAAAGACCTGCGCAAGACCAGTTTCGTGAGGATGACTTTTTGGATGATGAGCCCAGTGACGATGAGGAATGGAATGGCCGCGATCAGCAGCCGAGGTCAAGTGGGTATGCTTGGTGAATATGCATGGATGTGAGTTAGTTGTTGCACAGTGCAATGACACTAGATTTGGCCGGCCCTGGACTGGAAAACTGGTGCTTGTACAATGATTCCTGGCAGGTGCTTGACCAAAGTTAGCTCCTCAAACGATGCTTGATGTTAATGCCTTAGGACCATCCAACAGGTTCAATCGAAGTAACGTGATCATTGGAATTTCTCAGTGCGATTATCCTGATATCTACAAGTTTTACACCGCCCAAGCCCCACGCCGAGACATATGTTATCTCCTTCAAACCTTCAAACCAATCTCTTCAGCGAAAGGCAGAGCAAACAGATCTCCCACTGCGGATACTGAAGCCCTGGATTCTAATAAGCCCTTGGCAGCCTGCATAGGAATTAGCTTGATTTTGACATTAAAGAGTTGGGAGCACTAACCGATTTGACCTTGTCTGAAGACACCTTGTCAATCGAAGCAGCAATTTCTTCAAAGTTCGACGGCTTTCCACCTGCAATGAGACCTGTACCGGTGGCTTCGAGACCGGATGAAGTCTGCTGTCCAGCTTCAAGTGCTCGGTATTTCGCCAAAACTGTGGCCTTCTTGATATCCTCCTCTGCCACGTCGCCGGATGCAACCTTCTTGAGCGCATCAACAACGCCCTTGCTCGCCTTGCCAATCTGTTCCGCACTACCCTTGATGGTAACGTACAGTAGACCAGCGTCGGAATAGGAATCATTGGTAGTCGAGACATGAGCACCAGGGAAGTCCTTCGCGGCTTTTGACAGTAGGGAGAAACCAGGAGACCATTTGATAGACGACTCTCCTCCGAGCAGAGCCGCAAGGACTGAGATCTCCGGCTTGTAGGACGAGCCGGTAGTGTACGAGCTTGAACCTGGGAAACCTATAATCAACACATTTCCAGAGCCATGTGCAATTCTTTCTTCTCCTCCGTAGTATTTCGACGCGGGGCTCTTGATGTCGAATTTCCCGGATCCGGTGTTCAGGTCGCCGAAGCACTCCTTCACCCACTTCGAGACTTCGGAGTGAGTTGCGCCATTGGCGACAACGGCAATGTTGGAGGCTTGAAAGGCCGCCTGGCTGAACTCAAAGACGTTCTCGGCGTCGACGTACTTGGCGAGCGGAGTTGAAGACGTAGGGTACAGTGGTTCGCCGAGACCACGATGGAAGGCCATGCCATGGACCGAATTTAGGGCGAGTGCGGCTGGACTGGCAAGCAGTTTCTGAGTGGCTAGTTTCATGACACGAAGCACGTCTTCGTTGAGTTCATGGGCTGTATACCGTTAGATCTTTCCTGAACAAAAGGGCTGAGAACACCAACTTGTATAACGCGTTTTCGAAACGACCTCCCCCATCAGCTCGGCGAAGTAGGGCAGATCATCTCTGAGGAACTTGGCTGTGAGGACGAGATTCTCGCGGGAATGGGATGCAGACGTCTCGCCACCTAGGAGCTCGACTTCTCGAGTGATTCGTAGAGCTGATCGTTTCTCGGTCGACTATAAATCGTGTTAGTCTGCTTCTCTTCAGGCTTGTACTTGCAATGACGGACCAGGAAGGCGAATTTCTCGAGTGCGTCCGTCAAACCCGGCAGCGGCTGGTACCTCGTGCCGGCTTTGGCGACAACGGTCAGGGTTGTGGTAGGATTAGGCAAATCTCTGCTTGCAAACTTGACGCCATTGGCTTCACCAGTCTCATATCCAAAGCTTCCGGAAGCTGGTGCGGCGAGACCTCTCTTCTGTAAAATGGGTGCAGCAAGTTGGCGACGGCTGGCTCGCAAGGCTCTGGAGCCTAGCGAAGCTGGAGAAGCCATTGCGAAGGCAGGGTGAGGATCGAGATTCTTCGCAAGAGGTCAAAAAGTGCAGTTCGACGTACAGGAGCTACGAGCTTCAACAATGATCAGACTGCGTTTTGGCTGGGCGGTGATTGGTTGCACGTTGCCAAGCCGAGCCCCGGAAAAGAAGAAGTTGCATGGACTTTGCAGACCCATTCATTTCATCCTCACAAGTTCTTTTTCTTACCTACTCACTCTTTCTTTCTTGCGATCTTCAAAGCCTGCATTCCAGTTTTAATGATCTGCCAGGGAAACAAATATCATTACCGCGACCTCAGCACACTCAAGCGATGAGACTGGTTCGATCTCCAGCGGTCCGGTCGCAACACACATCTACATTGCACCTCTTCTCCATCACGTGACAACTGGAGAAGCATGGAGGTAGTGACCGACCACTATCCCCTATATCTCACAGCCACTAAACGATGGACAGGAATTCTCACGACTCTGCTGTCTGATCGTAGAAGACGTCTATGGCGGGTTCCTTGCTGTCAGACTCTCGTTGGCGACTGTTATCGTGCTGGGCTAACACCTCGAACAGCAAATCTTCAAAATCTTGATCCAACTGGGGCGACTTTCTGCTTCTCAAGTGGCGCAGAAATGTCGTCTACCCCAGCGGCAGGTCAGGACTGGTCTGGCTACTCTGATCCAGTTACGTCTGGTCTATCACCATACGACTTCCGACGGTTCACTGTCAACGTATCAGGCCAATTCTCATAATGCCTACAATCTTGTGCGGCTTGGAAAACTGCTTGCACTTGTTGAACGTAGCTACGGTCACGCGGCAGCGACCCTTATGGAGCATCTGGCCACGCTGGGTTATGGTACTGCGGACGATCTCGAGGCACACATTCGCGCGGACCAGGAAAGTCCTGCCCCCCGCATCAATGGACATTCTGCGACCGAAAAGCAGGTAAACGGTGATTTGAATCGCCGTGACCGTTTCATCAAGGTGCTGAAGGTGTTGATCGACAATCAATACATCGCTGCTGTGCGTGATGCCCACTTTCAATCACTTTTTGATGCTCGCCAAGATATCGAGAGACAGTATCGAGGCCTTGGAATGGCTTCCACCAAAACCAAAAAGTCACAGCTTGAGTTCGATATGAAAGTGGACGTTGAGCTGGAGAAGCGCCTAGACCCAACCGTATCGGCAGCATATATCATGCACGAGCTCATTTCCGACAACTCGGATGGTCCTGACACCAACACTGGCCAAGTATTTTTATCCCTCCGCAGCAGCGGCTCAAGCTGATCTTACCAGGGCAAGACGTTGCTATGCGTTGACTATCAAAACGTCGTCAAGTCAATACGAACTGAGAGACTAGCGCCTGCGGCGGCAAGGCTACTCGGCAGAGAATTTGCGACAATTACACAAGCAGTCTGTTCACAAATCGAGCTTGACTCCAACCCTTTCACGATTCGGTCTCTAGAAGATCCAATGGCTTCGAAGCAGCGAATAGACACATCTCTGCTCGCTGCTGATGTTGCTGTCTTGTCAAGAGCCGAGGATGCAGAAGACGGCTCGCTGGTCGACGGATACCCTACGAATGGCTACCATACTCCACATACCAACGGTACAAGAAATGATCCGCTTCTTAATCAGCGTCTGGCTGTACTCGCAGGAGGACCTTTTCGGTTCATCTCGCAAGATTTCGGTGGCTCGTTTCTCGTGGATAGAAAGCAGTTGGGCAACTATCTCCGTGACCAGGAACTATTGCGGCTCATGAGTGAGCGGGTAGATGGCCCAGCGCTTAGGATCATGCGCATGCTGAGCGATAAGGGCAAACTCGATGAGAAGGCTCTTCAAGAAGTGGGACTGTTGAGTGCCAAAGATTTGCGACAATGTCTTGCTCAATTGCAGGTAAAAGGGTTTCTCGAACTACAGGAAGTTCCTCGAGAAGCACAGCGCCAGCCTAATCGCACAATCTTTCTCTGGTTCTACGATGCCGAAAGAGTACGAAAAGTCTTTCTGGGTCAGCTTTTTAAGGCGATGGCACGGCTTTTTCAGCGGCTGCATCTGGAAAGAACCAGACTCTCATCAACACTAAGCAAGATCGAGCGGACAGATGTGCAGGGGAGTGAAGAAGAAATCCTGCCTGCCGGGGAGTTCCGGTTGTTGTCGGAGTGGAGGGAGAAGGAAATCTGGTTCACAGCGGAGCTCGAGCGTCTCGATGACTCTGTTGCCATGCTGCGGGATCTTTGATTTTGAGACAAGGGTCTCGGCGATTCATGACTATGATTGGCATAGAAGCAAGCGCGGCGTCATTGGATCTATTGTCAAGGAGCGTTCATTGCTATTGTCATGGCGCTTTTGGGTTCACATGAGATATCTACCATTAGACCTTCAGAGCAGTCTATTCTCGCACTGAACAGGATACCTACTAAAACTGCTAAAGCCATAATTAATAAAGCTATTCGCCAGTGATACTATCCTCATGGCATCTAAGCATGTCGATCGTCATGAAGAAGGGCCGCCGCTTTTATAAAAATGCTCCGGTAGATATTCGGAACCTTTTTCTTGGCGGTATGAGCTCCGGCAAGAGGTCTCAGTCACAGCTTAAGACTTGCGCAGTTCTTGTGCCATTGAAACGATCAAGTCAATCACTGCCGGCCGTTATACCACAAAACAGACAACATGGCTTTCGCGTGGAAGGCTTCCGGCCTCACGTACGTCCAAAGTGCCGTTGACCCTCTGTTCCAGCACTAACCCTCGCAGCTACAACCGTTACCTAGCCGTTGCCGCAAGAGTCGTCCGAAGATCCCTCAAGGAAGGCCCCAGACTTCAAGCTGAACGACGAGGAGAGATGGACCTAAGATTCGCCAAGTGGCAGGTTAGGTCACCCTAAACACAGTACACTACGAGACAGCTGACACCAGATGATAGGGTGGAAAACAGGGAGACATTAAGAGCTTGGGGGCAGCCAACGCTGAAGCGATGGCGGAACACGCTACTGGAGAGGCCAAATAGATACCAACAAAGGGCCGCCGGCAGGGTCAAAAGGCCGTAGAACACCGGTTGCTACTTCAAAATCTGTACATAAGAAACAGGGACCAGATGAGTTCACTGAAGTCACTTGTTAGCGGGAATGCGCACATGACATTTTGGCCGACTACGTGCACATCAGCTTTTCTCTTTTATGCCTATTTCCCTTCAAGTGTAGTGACGACTCGTACAATGTGAAAACGGCTTTCTCCTACCACGGACTGATTCGAAGCGCAACATTCTGTGAAGAGCCCATTCATTCTCACCATTTGTATTCAGATGCCGTTTGTCCACGAAAACTTCTCGGGGTATTGACGCAAAAGACCTAGTGGATGAACCCCAGGCGCCCAAGGCCATGGTCCAACCTCGAATCATCCACCCAAATATCCAAGTCAATGATATAACAAGACAATTTCGCACTGCTGCGTCGAGTCAGTATGGCAAAAGTATTTCTGATACATGCTGACCGCGGCGTGTAGCGCTTCGACCCGGCAAAGTCGTCAAAGATGAGCACTTTACCCTCTTTGAGGCCGTCAGCGCCTTGGAGGTGAGATGTCGAGCCAGCACCCATCTTCCGTGAATGGCGAGCTTATGAGTTGCAGATTGGAGATCCGAAAATGGACAGTGGTTCAGTCGCGTTTGACCCAGACACCGAGGTTGAATTCGACTTCACTGCCACGATCTCTCCTGAAGAGATTATCTGGTTGATGGATGAGCTCCTATGTAGAGAGGTGGGTGTCTCTGCCTTCCAAACCAGACACACTCATTCAACTTTCCGCAGGTCGCGTGGCAAATGGGTTATCCTCTATCCCAGACTCTTTTCACATCTGTCCATCTTGAACGCCTGCTGTGGCCAGAGCCAAAGCGGCTTCCCAACACGAGATTTGATCGCAATGCTTCCGCCATCGTCCATAAGCCATCACTTCTTGAGGACGTTTTCCGGCCTTTCTGCTTGGGTCTGGTGAAGTGCTGTGATCTCGTCCTTGCGATGATCACAAGTCAGCATTATTACGAGGTGAAAATCCATGTCCCTGCAAGCAATCAATCTGTGTAGCTAACGCATAATAGGAGGAAGACTTTGCAACTCAGATATTCAACAGACCACTCTTGCATGTGTTCCCTGTTGACGACATATTGGCCGAGCTGCGAAGCGCTCAAGTCTGGTTAAAACAGAGCGATCTTCCTACAAACCTGAAGGAGGCTCTGATGATCAGAGTAGATGTCAGATACGATTCTTTAAAGCTGCTCCAGCGCTGTGCGATCGGTGAAAGACCCAAGCCGAAGCATTTGGACGAATGTATTGCACTGTTAGAGCGCATTGAGGCTACGAGTAGCATCGGTCGTCCGGTCACCTCTGAGGCTTTCACTTTGAAAATCCAGCGCCGACTCGCAAGCAGCGTCCCCCCAAGACCCATGGTTGTTATTGAGCGGGACAAGGCTTTTCCTTTTTTCCGTCAGCTCTTCATTGATACCGTCACAGCCTTCCAAGTCGTGGATGTTTCTTTCAGTGGAGACCTGTTAGTCGCATATCAGCACTTCATGGCTCAGGCAACACAGCCGGCTGTCTATGTTCGAGCCCTTTTACAATCCTTCTTGTTTATCAACAATGGTGTGTTAGGGCAATTCAGCATTAAGGACTTCGTTTACCAGGACATGCGCATGGTTGTCCTTCCAACAGGACCTCTACCTCATGACAACAAAACTGGCGAAATATTTACGGATCAACAATTCCAGGTCTCCTCGCAACTTGACATGTTTGTGGACCGGTACGGCGAGTCATTTATAAACCTTTTTCGAACGTTTTGTCTCAATCGATGTCGAGTGCGACGTACGATGTGCCACGCCGCGATGGACTGGGACCAAATCCAGGCCGAAGCCGAAGACTTGGATGGTCTCATACAGTCCGCTTTCAATGAAAGGGCTATCCCGTACCCAGATGGAGAAGACGTAACATTCTCCTACAGCGTCAGCAGTTGGGTATACCACTACAAGCTGATGCAGCTTCGGACCATTGTGGAAATGGGATTTGAACTCTCCATCTATGCACCACACGAATTCTGCGACATGTATTGGTACCTCACCTTTCTTTGCAGTACCCATCTTTCGCATCTGGAGAGGATCAGCCATTTTGTCTCGTCACGGCCCGCTTTGCCAGGCTCGCAGCAGGAGGCCGTGCAGAAGACTTTGCATTGTCTATATCGGCAATATACAGGGCTGAAGGCTACCGAAGCATTGGCCAAAGCATTGCATCGAGTCTTTGTCATTCTTCAACGACACAAACTGTTATCAAAATCCAAACCAACATACGCATCGGACAATCTGAGGTACGAGCTACGGATGCGCCCGTTTCTGCACTTGTCACTTCCAGAGCCCATCAGTCTCGAGGCTGCTCAACGTGTGTCCTCCTTAGAAGGTCTCTCCGATCAGATGGTACTCGATCAAGCTTTGCAGCTTAATCAGATGGCACGGAAGGCATGGGAAGAAGTCCTTCGCGAGCCATGGAATACTCAGCCTCTGTCACAGGACGTTCCGCAAGGTCGGGTTCGAAAAATGGACCACCTTTCGTCCGATTCTGTGGTCGCGCGGGAGCGGACCAAAGATGTACGCAACATGATGAAGTCTTGCATAGGCACGGGGATAGCAATTAGCACACTAAGCAAGGCTCTGGAGAAGAAAGAGATAACGGGGATAAAGGTTGAGATACCACCCGTAGGGGACCGTGATCGGTGGCACATATCGTGGCCGGTCCCGAAGATCAGAAGTTGATGTTTATAACGCTGTCAATAGCACCAATGGTTGTCACCTTACTGACCCAAAAAATGGTCAGCCTTGAAAAGGCGATGTGTTGATGGGATCTCTAAGTTAGTCCTCAGCCGTGGATTAAGGTTCTCGATAAGTGGCTGATCTTCGGCAAAAATTTCTTATCGCCTGCAATCAAAATTTCCTGGGGATTTTCTGATCTTCCGATTCCACCATCTGCACTTCCTACGATATTCTCTCTTCAGAAACAATGGCGTCCGCGTACAAGTCAGCAATGCGTGGCGGCGATCTGTCCGAATCCGACTCAGATGCGTCTGAACAAAGCAGCAACACTTTACCTAATGAGTCTGCAGACGAGAAGGAAAATCCCGTCGTGAAGACAAAGCGCGACGATGCCTCCCAGATCCCTGTCGAAATCAGGAATCGCATATTGATGTTAACCTCCCGCGGTGTCTCGTATAGGTAGAGTTGTATCCTCTGTTCAGCAAATGGCAGAGAAGCTGACATCTGCAGACATCGACATCTGTTAAGCGACCTACACTCACTCCTCCCACATACATACAAAGATACTAAGCTGGACACCAAGACGAACAACCACTATAACGCCGCACTCAATGGACTAGCTGATCTACATTCCTGCAACTACGTATTCTACCTTGAAGCACGGAAACACGGTCAAGACTTGTACCTGTGGCTGGCACGTGCCCCTAATGGGCCTACGATCAAATTCAATGTGACGAATGTGCACACACAGGCGGAACTAGGCTTCGGTGGCAATTGTTTGAAGGGTGGAAGAGGCGTAGTCGTTTTTGACAAGAGCTTCGACGAGGAGTTGGCAGGCCAAGAACATCGCTCGTTGATTCGAGAGATGCTCCGGGGTGTCTTCTGCGTGCCGCCCAAGGGCGTGAGGGGCATGAAGCCATTTATCGATCGAATTATTGGCATATACGGTCTTGATGGGAAGATATGGGTCCGAGTCTATGAGATCCGCGAGTCCGAGCCTGATAAGGCAAGCAAAGAATCTGGCAGTAAAGGCGCCGATATCTCGCTGGTCGAAATTGGGCCACGATTTGTGCTTACACCAATTGTCATTCTTGAGGGCAGTTTCGGTGGTCCATTGATCTTCGAGAACAAGCAATTCGTCAGTCCGAACCAATTACGCGCTGACCAGAAAACGAAGAAGGCCGGAAGATATGCGAGCCGACGAGCAGGCGCTGAGGAAATTGCTGTCAAACGGAGGGAGTTGGGTATCAAGACGGGAGTGAAGAGGAAGGCCTCTGCTCTTGACAATGCGCGGTTGTTTGGCTGAGCCAGTCAAGGTTGAGCTGTCAACACTTTGACAGGATGAACAATCGATGCTGAGCCCAACCGCCTGCGTGGACAAAGGCTTTGCACAGAATCTCCGAGCGACGCCTCATAGCGAAGATGTCCACATGTCGCACGCGAGCCAGAGACATGGCAATTGCAGACATCTTGGGCTTCGACTCGCGTCCGGGTACGGCGATAAGGCTCTACTCATATCGGAGTCTGCTATGCAGACGATTTATGTTGACAAGGTCAACCAGATCCCACAGGTTATGGCCGACAAAGCGCATGGGCTGGACTTTGCCGTTCATCCTTGGAGGATGATATCGTATCTTCATGCTCTCTTCAGCGAAGGAGTTGGTGGGTGGTCGAGCCAGGTCTTCGATGGCAGGATGCGGCTCTGAGGAACCTCGTACAGGTCGCGCGCCCGAAAGACGTAGACAAAGAAGAGCACTGAGGAACCATTGCAATGCAGTCACACTCGCAATGAACTGTAATGAAACTTGTACCAAATCAAAAGTCCCATTGAGTGCCTGTTAATAATCCATGCATTCCAGCCTCGTCACCTCACGTGCCTCAATAATGGTGGTATATCTGATTGGCTGGACCGGTGGTCGCCCGCCTCCGTAGCGGTGTGGAAAGCATAAAGCATCGTTCTGCCCGGCCTCCTCGTGTCTACCTTTTACATCCACCATCGATCGCTACGATTCTCTATTGCAGAGTATGGCGATGGAGACTTCAGTGGCCTTGTGCCCTCTGGCCAAGAGCGGCAAAACCACACCTATCACGAACGACATGTGTATTCGAGTCATCTCCATCCATGATAGCCCCAATGTCGGGGTCTCTATCATTTGAAGCCATAAAGAGCGTGCGGCGGTGATATCATCCGCTGCCCATTGTCATTCGACTGTACTTTAGAAGACAACAAGACCTGCTTGGTTGTTTAATACATTAGCGAACTACCTTAATCATGGTGAGTTCCAGGTGTGGAAGTGCGGACTACTCAACTCGATATGCTGACGTCGGTTAGACCATGGCGATGCAAGATCTTGCCCCGGAGATCATGGTGCACATTTACGAATCCCTTTCTTCTGTTTCCGACATCATCAGCCTATCGCTCACATGTCGATACTTTCACGAGCTTCTGCCCAAGGCGCAGAAATTGGTCCTGTTCTTTGCCGCGCTGGATAAAGAGATGGGCCCGTTGGACGATATATTGCAGCTTTTGACGCAAAATGACAACCAGATGCTTCATGTCCGCAGGACGCCGCCTCTGTCGTTCGCCTTGCTCACGCAGGCTGCTGGAGTGGGTAGAGTCGCGGCACGTTTTGTCGGGTTGTATCCTGGGTTTCGATGGACTGGACCGGAGAGCGTATCTCGCCGGTTTCTGGATGATGTTGAGGCCCGGCGATTACGGCGCGCAGTTTACAGGCTCTGGGGTTACACGCAGGCTTTCTATGGGAAATCGGCATCCTCGATCTCTCGTCTCGCGCGGTCCGATACCTCTCCGGCGGGCGAACGGCTGCCTTTGCTCAGGTCTTGGTCGACTGAGGAGCTTTATGAGTTGGAGGACCTGCGCTGTACGCTGGAGCAGTTGCTCGCAACGGAAATCTGTCCCACCGATGGTGACGTTTGGTGTAGACTGCCTGAAGAGGCGAGACACGTGCCGCTTTCGCTGCAGCATACATTTGCAAGTCATGTGCCGACGCTGCAGGATGTCTTTTACAATTCCCGCGATACGCTCGTGGTCGATCGGACAAAACCTTCGGTGCAGGAGCTGCGGTTCAAGCACATGCAGGGGTGGGGGAGCGATCTGCAAAACTTCTACGTTATACAGTCTTTCCTCAAGTTCTCGCCAGCTCAGATTCTCTGGCTGTACGACAATGCCGTGTCGAAGGCCGATGTGGAGAAGTTTATTCAGTCGCAAACATACGACCCGTGCTTCTTGGAGTCTGGGTCCATGCTGTTTGCAGATTGGGTGACGGTCCTGCTCGCGCGAGGCGTCGACGTACAGCATGCGAGAGAGGCGGTCTGGGATGGAGAGGCCGGCATTGTACTAGATGGGTAGCAGACGCAACGGGCTTCTGAAAAGTAGGCGGATCTGCGCGTGCTTCAACGACTTTAATACCATATCGGACGCACACTTCTGGAAACAGTCCCATGCTATCAATTGCCCGGTAGAAGAACTTTCTGTTTTGCATCTGGTTTTGCATTGAAATCGAAGCATACCCTTATCATTGCCCATATTAACCCACTACCCATTTCGTTGGCATTGAACCGTACAAGTCATGATCGTATCGGCAAACGACCAAACTCATGCATAAACAAGTCTGGCAACGCCCCCAGCTCCTAGTTTGCACCACAGAATTCGACTGGCATTTAGCAGCACTTGTTGCTTTTGTTATCCGGCGCCCCTGACGGAGTCATGTCAATCTTCACACCGCCAGTTGGTGCTTGCGCCGCATCTCCGCTGTCCAGCGCCTTGCTCGAGACGATTCGATAGATTTCTGGGCTGTGTCAGCAGAGCTTGGGAGGCAGGAAGGCAAATCTTTTACCTGTCAGGATATTTTGGAAGGCCAATTCGACGTTGCTAGCATCAAGCGCAGACGTCTCGATGAACGATAGGTTGTTCTCGCCTATGGAGAATGTCAATCAAACCAACACCACAAGCCAATTCTTGGGACACGTACTCGCAAATTGCTTTGCTTCTTCAGTAGGCACCGCCCGCAAGTGTCGCAGATCGCTCTTGTTTCCAACCAACATGATCACGATATTGGCGTCCGCATGATCCCGAAGCTCTTTCAACCATCTCGTGACATTGTCGTATGTCTGGTGCTTGCTGATGTCGTAGACGAGTAGGGCGCCGACGGCTCCACGATAGTAGGCGGATGTAATGGCTCGGTATCTTTCTTGTCCTGCGGTATCCCAGATCTGTGCCTTGATTGTTTTCGTGTCTACCTGGATTGATCGGGTTGCGAACTCAACACCAATGGTGGACTTTGAGTCAAGGTTGAACTCGTTCCGTGTAAATCGACTCAACAGATTGGATTTACCGACACCCGAGTCTCCTATAAGAACGACTTTGAAGAGGAAATCGTACTCGTCGTTTGCCATGTTCGATCAAGCGAGAAGGGGTATCAGGCAATAAACACCAAGGGCGGGCGTCGACCGGGACCAAGTTAACGTGACAGAAGGTGTCGAGGAGTGAGGTTATTCCCGGGACGCGGACTGAAGAATGATTAGAGAAAGGCTGAAACAAGTGAGTCGGCTGCAAGTCGTGTAGAGTGACTGACCTTCAGGATCGATTGCGGGATGAGATGTTCTGTCCCATCCGATTCACCTCATCCGCAGTCACGTGTCGCTCCTTCTTGGCCTTTTCTGGACAATTAATGGCAAGAGCCGCGCGGGCTCTTCCTCGAATAGGACAACTCCTATCGATGGCGAGGGCGGTCTACAAAGTGCCACCACGCTATGAATGAGGTAGGCCATAATGACGGATTGCTCATGTACGGACATCTGTGGCCCCGTTGTTTGCTCTGCACTGTCTCATTATATGTCAACAGCCAACATCTGGCGGGAAAAGCTCAAATCTGACCATGCAGTCTTCACGGTAACAGCAGGTCTTTCACGCGCATACTCACGGTCAAATTATTTGCCTGTTTTAATTCTCCCTGATTTTGGCTTGCGCTCTATTCCTCAATTAATCTGCCCTCAATCCTCTCTGTCATGCGACATCTGATTCTGTGCTCGACTTGTCAATATGCCATCTGATAGCGAAGGCTCCTTGTCTGAGGAGGAGGATGCCACGTATGAGGTCGAGAGAATCCTAGCGCAAGAGGTCAACGATGACGGACCGACTTTGTATCTTGTCAAGTGGCGAGGATATCCAGAGGAGCAATGTACTTGGGAGCCCGCCGAACACTTCTCCACCCCAGACACCCTAAGCGAATGGAAACGGCAGTACGACATAGGTGATTTTCTTGACGATGAACAAGTCAAAGCTTTACAGGCTCGCATGAACGAGTGGGCACTTGCTCGGCAAAAGCAAGAGCAAGAGCAACAGGAGTCAGAAGAAGAGAGTCCACCGGCACGGCTCCAGGGATCATCGCGCGTACCTCGGATACCTCAACCACGCAGAACCTCTTCTGCTTCCACGGAACACGGTTCGAAGCGTCCTCGGCCTCAGGACCCATCCATTTCGAATCCCCAGGCATCCGACAGACAGGCTGGCAGTCTTGTATCGAGAACACAAAGTTCTTTTCAGAAAAAGGGCACTGCAACTGTTGTGAAGAAATCAAGCGCCAGGTCGACCACTCATCCAGCACTCGCTGGCATGAGATTCAAGAACCTGAAGCATCAGAACAATTTCGCAAAACGAGCCCGTCAAGAACCTGCGCCAGATATTTCCAAACTTGACTTGAAAGCCCCTGACGATTTTCTCAGGAGCTCTCCGGCGATAGCAAAAGCTCAAGAAGCAACGCACAATCACCGGGACGATTCGCCTCTTTTCATGCCTGAAATGACGCCTGTGCCCGGAGATGGAGTTGGAAGTCGGTCACTCACATCCAATCCAGTGCCTTCAGTTGAACCACCGCTTGACCGACCAACAGAGCCAGCACCGGTGATCCCCATGAAGCCAGCCCTCGGGCGCCTGGCACAGCCAGCACCCACGCGTCCAACAGAGCCCACACCCATACATCCAACAGAGCCCGCACCCATACATTCGACAAAACCCACACCCGTACGTCCAACAGAGCCAGCACCTCTACGTCCTACAAAACCACCCCTCGAACGACCAACAGAGCCAGTACCCATTCCATCAACAGAGGCACCTCCCGAGCAGCCAAAGTACATGTCCTTTCAACCTCCGTTCATACCACATCCAACTAGGCAGAATGAGCCAGCAAAGGCGAGATCCGGTCTGTCTAGGAGCATTTCACAACCAAGGGGTACGCCTCAGTCGGATATGGCAAGACGAAACAGCTCCTACACTCCATTGGAGCATCCGGACGGCGACAGAAGTTCGCGTGACCGAGGCCGGTCAGACTCTCGGCCGGACGTCGTTGCCAGAAATGGCCGCGCATGGAATCGGGGTGAAGTAGTTGTGCACCTGAGCTATAGTAACCATCCTGTTGGAGATGTGAAGATACTACATTTTCCTGGATGGCTGATTTCGCGAACGATATCGCTTAAAGCTCCTGGAGACCACACGGTAAACATTCACTTCCAGGAACGTTATGTCATGAAACGTGGCGAGTTCACCCAGTTCATGCTGAATGTAAGTCGAAATACATATCTCGAGGCCGAATGCTGATTCAGTAAGCTGGAAAGATCTACCATTGCTCTTGGTGCTATCGAGCCGTATGAGGATACAAGAGAGCCAATAGCGAGCTTGGCAGAGCACCTTGAAACAAATAATATGGGTGCTGTTTGGGAGAGTGATACAGGAGGGTACGTGATGGTCCTGTACTCATGTAAAGCCCCGGGATGGAGTGGACATGGCCAAAGACCGATATCAGGATCTGAATCACGGTTACATGTCATGGTCCGCAACAAACTACCTGGCTTTTATGTGGAAGACTGGGTTTCCCAACAGGAAGTGGCGACTCAGTCCAAGGACTCGACTGCCGAAGCAGACATAGGAGGGGCACCAAATGATTCCATCATGAAGGACACGACGACGCGAACCAGAGACCCAGCCTTTCAGCGAGATACCTTGCAACGGCTTGTTACAGAAAGGAACGCCATGTCAAAACATCTGGGCGCATATGTTGGTAGTCCCTCTGAAACGCAGACAATGAACAAGGATAGATCGAATCCAACACGATCTCCAGTAACACCCATAACGCCTGGGTCGCCGTCGCAACAAAACTCACCGCTCCGAGAAGATTCAACAGATCAGGTTGCGATAGGCCCATCTGTCCAAACAAAACTTACCTTTTCAGCAACCTTCAAGCAGTTGGTGAATCTCGAACGTGAAAAGAAACGACCAATATTCTACATCGCATTTGCTCAGTCACATCCCGCAGAAGCACAGACGATCACCAAATGGCTCACCGAAGAAGAATCTGTTAGTATGCGGCATATATACGCTGACACAGAAAAGACCGCCTGGGCAGAGATGAGAGAGGAAATAAACACCTCAAACACCAAATGTGGAGTTGTCTTATTCCTCAAAGGTACTCAGGCTTACTGTGATCTGAAATCATTCGCAAAATGGGTGAGACAACTCGCTTGTTTCAGCCTATTTCTCCCACAGTCGAGCATCTCTCTGGACAGCTCGATATCCAAGCTCTTTCCCAGAGGTATGGTTTTGTTTATTACCGAGTATACCATGATGGAGTTCCCCGAAGAAGTTTCCTTCGCCTTGAGATGGTTCGAGGAGCAATCTCGCGGCAAGGAAAACGCTCGGAAGCTGGGTTTGGTTCCAAACGTCAAAGAGTGGATCCTCAGGAGACTATTGATCTGTGACAAGAACAGCCAGGAGAGGTAAGTGCCATTAAGCTCCGGTCAGTATAGACGGCAGCTGACTCTTCCCTAGCTACATTGGTATGCTGGAAGTGATTCACCGCTTAAAGACCCAGGCTTCGAACGCCTGGAACAACAGCCCACGCGCCGCCGATCCCGATCGATATATCGCCGGCGAAAAGCCTGGCCAGGAGGATGGGGTTCTTTTAACAGTGCCTCAACTTCCGGGATATGCTGATATCGGGTCATTGACGATGGACACGAAGAAGGTTGCTGAGCGTGATCGCATCCTCATACAGTACTTCTGTGGCTGGGCTGCGCTGAGGGTTGACAAGTACAAGGGCTTCGACCTCTTGGACGAACAGCAGACAAACGAGCTGACTCCGCACTCGTGGCATGTTGCTTTCAGAAAGCCCATGGCCTTTGTCGAGTCGCTGAAACGCACGAGCTGAGTGTCCGACTTAGACCATTGCATATCGTCCACATCCGCGTGGCGGAGTCGCCTCGACTCATGCGTCCTTTCTGGGCCCTTCGTTTGTCGATCCTCATGCAGAAAAAGAAGCAACACAAACGCCAGCCTCGATGAGCAGGAGCTACATGAGGAGCAAGGCAATAAATGGGCGGAGGCGATTCCAGGATATGAGACTCCGGGCACTGTATTCACAATTCGATATCATGATGGTCGTGTAAGGGTGTTCTAGTATGTGCAGAAATGACTAATTGCCGACGTACTTTACATACATCTAAAAAAACAATCACGAGTCTGGCTGGCTCATGACTTGTACGATATTTCGCTCGAGACCCCTGCGGTCCTCTCAGAAATCCATTTTAGCCTTGGAAAGCACGTTCAGGGGCCGTGACCGCTATTTCAGAGTCACGGCGACCCTACCGGGGGAGGTGTGCGTGCAATAATGTCCCAACATTGAGTTGGCTTTGAATTTCACGACCACCTCTGCCGTTTCCGGGATATCCAGGATTTTAGACCTTGTGATCTTCCGTATGCGACTCAAAACCCCGAGTCTAGATCATTCCTCCTCCAGCTGATACTGATCATTCCTCTCTATCAGAGATTTGTAATAGTCCACCAGAACTTCTGGTTTGGGCACTATCCGCCAGTCCATCCTTTGTAGAAATTCCAACTCCAGCAACGCCAATTCCTTCATGCTGACACCACCGACCCGGGCGTAGGTCTTGTTCGTCCAAAAAGAATCGCTCAGGCCTTTGCTCGCTACTGTGGCACTCGTGATCAAGAATCGATGTACCGTCAGGCTGCTGATGGTAAAAGCAGGGTAGAGGGCGCATAGGCGATCAATGTAGTACACCACGCTCAGTAATATGGGTGGAGATAGTGTGGCGTGGGTGGTCAATCGTTGGAGGTAGTCGAGGACCGATATGCCCGGTGGAGCGCGGGAGTGGAATCTGGTGAGTTGACCTTCTCGAAGCGGAATCGCATCGTTATATCTAATAAGTTCCATGAGCATGGATGAGATCAATACGACGAGGTCGCGCGTGTTGCAGTCCTGATAGAGGATCGGCATCAAGCGGACGGGCGGTGTGTCCGGGCGAGCCTTCTTCACTGGTGATTGAAGGGCTTGCGGCGGCAATTCTGTTCCATCCTCAGCCTCGTGAGGAGGTGTTATTGCTGCGGGCTCATCGGCGCTTCTCTTCGCTTGCGTCGACTGGACGCGTGTGCCCTCCGTCCTTGAAGGTCGAGCCAGATCGGTCGAGCGAGCTATGTTTGGGCTTTGCTGCGCCACCCTGTCAAGCGCTGCGGCTCTGGATTTGAGCTCTTCATTTGCTGCTTTGGCATTTGATTGCACGTCTTTGTGCTCTGACAGATTAAGTCCTGCTATTGTGGACGTGGGTATGTTCGAGCTAGGCGTGGAGCTGGGCGGCGAGGGCACCTTCTGATTTGGTGGTGAGTATTGGGTCGCGGCGTCTACCATCTTGGGTTTTGGCGGAGCTGATGATGAAGAAGGTTTGTAACTGTCGAGAGATCTTGAGCTGGGGTTGCGGGGAGGCTTGTATGGTATGTCTGGGGAAAGATTGGACCTGCGAGCCGGGCTGTCGCGAGATTGACTGGCAGGCTTCGGCGAATGATCATACTGAGGCCGTTGCTGAGAGTAGTGTGAGGTTGCGGACTCGAAATGTCGCGCAGAGATGCTTGGGGACGGCGAGGTCGCTAGCATATTTAGCGTCGGATGCCTTCACCTGGGCCGCAAGCCGCTCGTGCCGTTAAGGTATAGGTCATCACCGTAGGGATATGAAGCGAAGAAAGGACGGTGCGGTCGCGCCCATGTGGCTCTCTTTTCGTCCCCGCGGAGGAGGAGGAGAAGAGGTTGTAGGGTCACGGCGGGGAAAGAGGGTCGTTTAGAAAGGTTCGGATAGGTTTTGCCGAAGGGAATACCTGACGAATAATGGCGTGAAAATCTGAATAGTGAGGTAGGTTGCTCCAGTATAGCATACAAGGACAAGTGGTAGAGGAAAAGTTGCGAGTGGGTAGAGGGAGAGAGGGAATGGAAAGTAAAGTCTCCTAGCAAAAAGAAGGTGTCGGCACACAGACCGAGGATTTGACAAGCCTCGTGGGATGAGCGAGCCTCGCAATTTGTCCAGATGCCGCAAGAGCCTGCATTTTCTCGGTGGCGCGCCGCGGTTTTGGGTACCACGCTTTCGCTTCCACCACTGTGACTCGCTTGTGGCTTCCACTCGTACCCTGCAGCCCTGGAGATCGGGCTGGAATTCCCCAGGCCATTGATTTGTCGGCGCCCAGACGGAAAACATCTCCAGGGCAGTACTGATGCCATCTGATTAGGGCTTATTAATAAGTACCTAGGTACCTAGCCTGCCAGGCTGTCCACTGCAATCGCTGATTACGGGCCAGAATGCCAATTCTGATCATTATTACGGAGTGACCCGAAGCACACGACTGCGGCCATCAACAACATACATCATCATCATCCACATTTATTTCGATATTTTGATGACACCAACTACGTTTTCGTATGGCGTTCCCTTCCAGGCGTGCAACAGCGGTGTTGCAGCCTTTGGAGGCGCTGCGTAGTGCGTCCGACATTGCTGCGCAGTCGGCTGCGTTGAAAAAAGTAAAGTATGAGCTTAGTGGCCATCTCTCGCGCAAGATCGAATACATCCGTCAGGGCCTCATTCCTTCCCTCGCACACACACTGGCCCATCTGGCTTCACGAGATGCCGACGCACAATTGGACCAGGATGAAGAGTTGGGTTGCACACAAGTCGCGCAGATCCTGTGCGTAATTGCTCACGAAGGTCCGGCTTTCGTTCAACCCATTCTCGAAACAGATGTTTTGCGGAGCCTCGTTTCCTGTCTGCTGTTGCCACTATCTCCAAGGACGACCCTCGCCATACTAAGATGTCTCAATGCCATCGCGGACAACCTCCCACCTGCCAGTCTCGGTCAATGGTCGCAAGATGGTAGACTGGCCGAGTTATTGTACTCGAGAGAGTACATAAAATGCATAACAAAGGTCGTCGGCAGTGCCGGCGATACCGTGGTATCTCAGCAGGCTTGCGATGCCATGTTAGCCTTGCTGTGCAAGACTGTTACGCAAGAGCTGCACAAACGTGCCCTGGTTCAGGAAGGGCTTTTAACGATGCTGGCTGTTCGATTGGCATCATTTGTGGTGGCAGAAGGCCTTGTACCTCCCGCCGCGGAAGGTGTAAACAGCGACCTCGCCGTAATCTTCAGCCTACCAGAACCCGCATCAACCTTCGCCGATCTACCACCCGTACTGGAAGCGCTTTGCGTGTTGACTGAGCAGTCTAGAACGCGGGCGGCATTGTTTCTTGGCGACCCAGCAATCAGAGCAGTCCTACCTGATGTTAAAGAAGACTTCTCTCCTTCGGACATCCGGCGGGCACCATGGGGAACGAGCTACTTCTCAGGAGGAGCGGTTCCACGCTCCCGCGTCTATGGCCCCTTTGATTCGCTGTTACCTTGTACGCTCGTGGCCGAGAAGGCGAATTCGGCCACCCACATGAGCTTTCCGTCGTTGGGATCCGCCGTGTCCATGCCCAAACGCAGGCCATCATATCTGTCGGCGCCGGCTGAAATGGCACACTCACCCACGATACAAGGCTTCGCAGACGAAATGGGTGAAAGCTCTTTCGTTTCGTGGCTTCTATATGTTGTGCGCAATTCACGTGCAAAGAAGCGTCTTCTGGCAGCCAAGTTCCTGGTCAATCTTTACAGCCTGAATTATGTCAAACAAGAACGAGGTCCTTCGTTTGCTGCCTTGCTGGTGCCGCTCCTTACTCGAATGCTCGAGCCCGACGCGACGCGACCAGATACAACACAACAGAGCAACAGCTCAATCCTCTCCAATGGCTTGCACTATGCTAAAGCCGTTCCAGCTGTCCTGGCGCGGCTCATTATGGACGATGCTGAGATGCAAAGCGTGGCAGTTGACAGCCATGCCATTACTAACCTGTCCATAGGCCTCAAGTCGACCTTCGATAGTCCTGCTGGGCATAAGGTTGCACCGTGGCAACCGCACAAAACCGAGGAGCCATCTACTGAAAGCTCTGTGCCAGGTACTAGGATTGGACTGGGTGGTCCGACGTCAACCATCCGGCGTGACATGGACTATCGTGAGGGATGTTTACAAGCGCTTGCAGCAATTGCCCCCTTCGACGACGACTATCGGAAGGAAATATGCGACCAAGGTGTTTTGGTCCATATCATGCAAGCTCTAGAACCTTATCAAATACAACAGGGTGCTGGCCAACAGGTGGAAATCACGGGAAACTCTGCTCCCGTCATCCTTGCCGCATGCGGAGCAGTAAGAGTGCTGACGAGGTCTGTGAAGGCGCTGAGGACGAAGTTGATCGAGGCCGAGGTCGCAAAACCGATCATCAAGCTCATGAGCTCGACAAATCCGGAGGTCAGAATTGCTGCTACTAGAGTACTCGCCAATCTGGCCATCGACTTTAGTCCGGTCAAAGAAAGCGTGGGCGAGTCGAGTGTGGTGAAGAAGCTGTGCGAGCAAGCACATTCCGCAAACGCGCGGCTTCGACTGGAGTCCTTATGGGCTCTCAAGCAGTTGGTGCTGAATGCAAGCAGGAAATTGAAACAAGACGTGGTCGACGAGCTCGGGACGAGTTGGATAAAGTTGCTTATCAAGACCGATCCTGTTGACATTCCAGAAGGCGAGGTTATTGGCCTCGTGGAGCGGGAATATCCTCCTACGACAAATGTGTCCCGGCAATCCGCACAGGATGTTGTCATGAGTGAAGAAGCTGAAGACAGCCAACGTACTGGCGGGCCTGTCGCAGATGAAGCAGGGCTTGATCAAAACAGCTTCGACACCACGCATACCACTAAAGACGATATAGACATACAAGCTCAGCTGCTTGATCTTCTGCGGAACTTGTTCTGTGGAGAGAATGCGTCAGATCTGGTCAAATACATCTTTCACGAGATGGGGCAGGACGACTTCTTCCGGATCATGCTGGATCGACTGCGGCCCAGGACACTGGCGGGTCCGACACGGAAGGAGAATTACACAGCACCAGCACCGGCCGTCATCGTGGTCAAAGTGCTTTACATACTCGTTCATATTGGCGCTTGTGAGCCAAGATTGAGGAACGTGATTGCTTCGCAGACGGCATTGATGAAGCAGGTCTTGACCTTCTGCAACCATGCTGACCGCGAGATTCGGGCACAGTGCTGCTGGATCGCAATCAATTTGACGTATGAGGACGATGCTAGCGATCGGGCGGCCTGCAAGCTTCGAGCCGTTGAACTTCAGAAATTGGGGTTCGTTGCGCAGCTTAGAAAGCTTGAAGGCGATCCGGACTTGAATGTGAGGGAACGGGCCAAGTCGGCTATGCATCTAATGTCAAAATTGATGGCTTCATAGGTGCTGCCATCTAGGCGCCGTGGCAGGCCACACTCTCACAGTCATCAATAAACTGCTGCACAGCGCAATTGAGACGCTGCAGGGTAATTTTAAAAGATCGAGTAACACTGTGTCACCAATAGTCGGTCAATCTATCAATACCTTTCAGAGCTCGACATGTTGAGTGCTGCGTTCGATTGTGGTGTAAGGCTGAGGCCGTACGGGCGAGGCTGAAGGTCGGTATTATATCCTCCGGGACCAATTTTGGTTAGCCTCGGCAGTCGGACTCTGCCCGCCGAGCCTTTGTTTACTTTTGTCGTTCCGAATATATCATTGTAGCCATACTCTTGACATGACCAGCATCTTCAACGCTATGGCCTCTGCACAGAAAAACTATCCCAGGGCGACTGTACGCAAGATAGTGAAAGGCCATTCGAGAAAGAATATCGGCAAAGGCGTTGACTCGCTCATTTACCTCAACTACGTCTTGTTCGTTGAAAAGTATGACGCGTGCCCTTCACGTGCAAGCAAAATCGCTGACGCAGGGCTGTACAGACTCATGGATAATGCGACCCGTAAAGCACGCAGTGAGGGAGAGAAGAACGTCGCCGCAAAGGATATCAGAAAAGTCACAATGGTGAGGCTTTACTAAATCCGTGATAGATGGTGTGAGCAGTGCTGATTGTTCGACAGACGACTCTCAGACGATTCAAAGGTTGAAGTGGCCAGCTCAAGATATAAATGTCTGCCATCTCCTATCTGCTCGAGTAGATATTGGCCGGTCAAAGCGGTCCTAGGCCGAATGAAGGCCTTGCGCTCATGAGAGGAATACCTACACAGGCGAATACCGTCAATTGCGAAGACTCGCACTCTGCCACGAGGCATTGCAGCTTCTCTCACTCAGCCTCCACGAAGGCGATCACTTCATTACGATCTGCAGCGCCGAGATATGCTTCGTGTCTATCTGCATCCAGAAGCGACGTAGCCTGACATCTCAGCGGACATGCTCGGGCCCTTGAATCCTTGAATCCTTGGTGGAAACATGAGAGCATCACGAAACCCCTCACGCCAACACCAGGATATCTTTCAATCCGTCTCTGAGGTTGATGGAGCTATAATCTATCCAGGTGCCTGAAGACACTAGTCCATGTCCATACAGCAATCAGCGCTGTTTGACCTTGTGCTGGGTTGTGGTGGACAATCAAAGCGGCTTCGAATATCGCCGTAGCTGAAAGCATGAACTTTTTACAGGGTCTCGATGTAGTGGCCGACCACCAATGTGGATCGTGTTCGTCTGCCAAACCGGGGGTCTGCTGGTGAACAACAAGTGAGCAGCTTAGGTTGAAGAGGCGCGGGAAACGACGGTTGGCAACGATGTGTCGGCTTGGATATTGAAGATTGTATACTCGGTTCAATCTGTAGTCGAAGGATTTTCGCGTACAAGTCTGATTTGGAACTGCGTATGACTGACTTGCAACGGCTTGAACAGGACACTGCAGAAGCCAGAAGGATACCTGGTAGTAATCAGCCTTGTGAGGGCGAGGCTGAGAGGCTTGGCGGGAAGCTTCTCCAAGACGACCGGAGCGTCGTACAAATTATTTCATTTGCTCAGAGTCTCACGCGAGTGAACTAGCACAATCACAATCACAATCACTCCGTTTCCATCTCATCTTTACAGTCCTCACAGCTCATTCTTAGGACTCCCTAAGCACACATTGAACTTCTGCATATTCTTCCATCTTACTCTACCAATTGAGATCCATCCGCCACACGGTCTTACTCCAATTGCGTCCTGCGCTCGACCCCGGATTTCAACCCCAAATCAAACACCCGGTCTCCGCTCGCCCTCGCACCATGGCCACTGCTAATACTGTCCCTGTTGACTCAAAGTCGGCGAAGAAGCGTAAGGCAAAGGGAGAGACCGCTCCTTCCACAAACGGTACCGCCAGCCCATCAATTGAAGGACCCACGACCGAAGCCCATCCCACTGCCAATGGCGGCCCTGACATTCCTGGCGAGAGCTCGTTCATCAAGGATCTCCAGAGGTATGAGTGAAAGCCTACAGAAGTATATGAGCTCAGCTGACAATGACCTCAGAAACATCCGCAACATCAACAAGAAACTTGCAGCATCCCACAAAGCTGATGCAGTCATAACCGAAAACCCCGATGTTCCACTCGATGATCTGGTTGCCCAGAAGAAGCTCAATGCGGATCAAAAGGCACAGATCCTCAAGAAACCCGGTCTTCAAGCTCAGGTTGCACAATTGGAAGAACAATTGCACACCTTCAGAAGTTTCTCTCATGAGCTTGAGGAGAAGTTTGCAAAAGAGAAGGCTGGACTGACTGAAGCACACGAAGCTGAGATTGCTCGCGTGAAGAAGGAAGTGTCTCAAGATGCAGAAGATATCAAGACGAAGGCAGTTGAGGATGGTCTACGAGTCATTACACATTTCTTGCATGCCGCAGCCTCCAAGCGCCAGTCCGAGGATGTTGAGTCCGAAGAGGCTCGTGCATTCGAGGGTGCTCTACTGTTGGTCTACCAAGGAAATGACGCTTCTCTGACAACTTTGAAGAGCCTCATCTACGGCACAGAAGAGAAGGTGCTCGATGTCCAGGGAGAGCCTCTTGACTACACATTTGCCAAGGTCAAACAAACCTCGCTGCAAGGAGCACAAGACCTGGCGGCACAACCGAGCGAAGAAGTTGATGAAGCCCAAGTCAATGATACTGTGCCGACAGGAGAGGGAATTCAGACCGACAATACCGTGGCCAATGCTGGTTTGACCGAGCTTGAGGACACTACCGCTATCCAGACAAATGCCAACGAGACCGAGTCCGCCGAGCCTGAGGTTGTGGCTATCCCGGAGCAGGCTGCCACCGGAGACGATGCTGCTAATGCAGCTGCTGAATCTTCGTGGGATCCTCAGGCGTCAGCCATCACTGACACAAGTGCAAACAACGACGAATGGGTGCAGGTTCCGCGTGATCCTGCCGAAACCGACACTGGTCTAGCCAACACCCCTGCTGCCATGCACGGATCGAGCAACTGGGCTGAGGAAGTCGGTGCTGCTGCTGCGGCAGAAGAGAAGACTGCTGCTGAGAACGACGGCTTCGAGCAAGTGCGTCGTGAACGAGGTGGTCGTGGCCGAGGTGGTCGGGGTGGCCGGGGAGAGCACAGAGGAAGGGGACGAGGTGGGCGCGGCGATGGTCACCGTGGCGGCCGCGGAGGACAGTCAAGAGGTCGTGGTGGTGGTCCACGAGTCGACAAGAGCTGATCAAGTGAGTTTCGGCTGGCGTAAGGACGGATCTTGTATGCATGCTTGCAAGCTACGACTTTGATCTCGGACTTTCTGGGCCGCTTCGATATGTTGCCAGCTCAGCAACTTTCTGCTTCTCCAATCTTTCCTGGTTCTCTAGCATTGCGTCGGGTCCAGCGGGATATCTCAAAACCAAAAAGCGCAAGCAAGCGATGGAATTTTGATTGAGGATTGAGCATGTACACCACTGCATGGGAATCGGCAAAAAAAGGATGTCTTCTATCACAGGCATTGAGCAATGTACCTCAAGAGCTTGCAAAAGACGAGCAGGGCTGTTCTGGACAAAAAACGGTGATCTTGGTGGTAGGTGTGGAAGTATGGACACAGAAAGAGATGAAGTAGTTACAGTAGTAGTAGTTGACTCTCCAATACCGCCTGCTGGCCATTAACTCCAAGATCAAGTCATCTTGCGTCAGTTTTCCGTGATCATGTCTCGACTGTGACCTACACTTCCTTTGTGTCTGGTAACAAATTCCTGGTACGACTCTGATCATTGTGTCCAAGGCATCATTCCATATCATGAGCTAGATCTTGGATTCTCAAAATCCCACTTCCCCATCCCATGGCCGCGAACCCAGCGCAAGAGTGGTTCGGATTCCACTCGAGCGCGGTGACAGCATTCTCCTCTTCGAAAATAGGTTCCGCGGCGCCCAAATCCTGTTTATCTATTTTCTTCTTTGGGTTGGTCGTGATTCCAAAGTCGACTTTGTCGGGCTTGAAGCCCTCGTGGAAGCGCGATACTCCTCGTCTCGTATCGTGGCCGTGGTACAGGTCTATCGTATCGCCAGTCTGCCCTTTAGCCGAGGCGTGTACAGTAGAGGGTCGTTCCGGCCTCCAGTCATACTCGCACACCTTCTGTAGCCAGGCGATCGCACCGGGTTTCGAACGCGGATCGTTTCTGCGGTGAGGCATGATTTTGCGCAGGTAGTTCGTCGCGAAGACTTGTCCTCTCGCATTACCGACCAGGATGCACGGATGTTGGTAAGAACCAGCCAGTGCGGTCGCCGCACCAGTGTGCTCGGGCAATTTGGCGATGCGGTGGGTTGTTGGGAAGTGGCGGAGGTGGTGCGCCACGATGAAGGTTGCGGAGGATGACTCGGTGTGTGTATTCCCTGCGCGGTCGAGCGTCGTTATGAATGTGCGGGTGAAGGGTGCGAAAACTAAATCTTTGGCTGGGAAACAGGCTCTTGCGACGGAGACTCTGTCTTGTTCCGGGCTGCGGAGGTCGGTGAGTGTTAGTTCGCCTGTTGCTGAGGTGCTGGCGATGAAATGCGACAAAGATGATGGGGTGGCGGCGCAGAGGGATAGGATGTATGTGTTGTGCTGGTCGTGGGTGAGGTGTGGGGTTGGTGAGGGGTCCACGAGGTCAAAGATGTGGATAGAGCCGTCTGCGCAGCCGAGTATGAGGTCTGTCGGGGTTGCGAATGTTAGACTTGTGAAGAGTGTGTTGGGTGGTGGTGGGATGGTCAGGCCTGCGCGGTCCGCGTGGAGAGTTAGCGGAGATGTGCTGGGTGGGAAGGGGATAGTGAGGATGCGAACGTGGCCGTCGGTAGAGAGGATGCCTAGATGGCCTATGTGTTGTGATGTTTCGTGACCTGGTGATGTCGAAGGGGCTGGTGGAGGACGCCATTTGATGTGGCGGATATTGCCCCAGTCTGTGCCGATGACAACGGCTAGTCGGGGCATTGTCCGCATGGACAACGTTCGGATGCCTGTGACTTTGGTCGGCTGGGTTTGAAACGCCCAGATCTGGATGGCGGATGGGTATGGTGGTGAAGGATGGAATGCTGGGCGGATGTCTTCCTCACCCGCTGCCAGATTTCTCTGCGTCGATGTGCATCTTGTAACGATGGCCAGATACTGTACTCCATCTTGTCCCGGAGCCCATCCAAGGCATTGTACTCTTTCACCGACATTGAGCAACCAACCCTCGTGATAATGTTCCTGTGATGTGGGCATCTGAGCCTGGTCGAGACTTGAAGCTTTCGGCCACGCTTGACCAAAGTCTAAGGGTGAACAGTATTCCAACGGAAACAGTTGTTGTCCACCCCAAAGCCCAAGAACGACGGAGTGAGATGGTTTGTCTTGTAGTAGATATTTTGCATAGAGTTCATCGTTGCCAATAGGTGTGAGGATCTGGTGGTCGGTAGGCGGATCAACCAATGAATTGGCAGTACTCGTGGGTGCATTGTCTGTATCACCGACCGGCTTCTCACTTGCATGAGCAGCAGACAGCGTTGCACGGCTGGGAAGCGTAATGTCGCGGCCGTTCAACCAGGTGTCTCGAGCTTGCAACACATCATGTAAGTCTTCGATGTCGGGCCCAAATGTAAGATGGTAGACTGAAGACTTTCCGCTGCTCTGGTGCCCAGATGGGAGCCCCCTTGAGTGCGCCGTTGTACTAATGGCGCTTCGAGGAAGGCGGCGATTGCGTCGACGTGGTGCGTCTCCAGCATCAGCATCCTCATCGGAAGCGAGGGTTGCGTTTTCTTCTTCATCTTCGTCAGGCGTATCAACATCCGAAGATTTCGACACAGCAGCTGATGCCATGGAGACGTCATCGCCATCAGCTGAAGAGGCATCACCACCGCTTCTGGCTTTGACCGCTCTGACCCTAAGATCAGTATCGAGCTCTTCTGCTTCCGCAGCCTCGTCTGGACTCGAGCCAGACGATTCAGAGGACTCTCGCAAGAGGCGTAGAGTGCCTTTATCCCAGCCGTCGTTTGCATATTTTGGGTTGACCTTTCGTTCCCGAGCTGATCGGCGTCTGTTCTCGGCCATGTCTGTCAGGATCGCTCAAGCCTCAGCGGTGCTGCGTTTCAAGGATATCGCCAAAGCGGCCACTTGCAGCGAAAGTACGAGCATAACGAGGTGCAGGATATGCGTGATAAGTCATCTGTCAACATGCCAGATCAGTGCTGTGGACGCGAAGCAAAGCACAGCCTGAGTCAGACGAAATGGTCACGACATTTGCAGTCAATTGCAGCATTCAAGCCGAGATCGGAAGCAAGATTGCTGTTATCATAATCTGACCGCAAGTCGACAAGGTCGCTATGATTGTGAATACCTAGGTAGGATTCGGATGCAAAAGTCGGGTGAAGATGTGGTTGATAGCATTTTTGCCAGACCCTGAACTGCAGTTAAAAATTGTGACTAACAGGCTCATGCTTGTGTCATTACAACTACATAGTCAGCCACGCATATACTGGAAAGTCCTTGAGGCTAGCACAGCCTGGTTGCTGATGCGAGTGACAAGGCCACGGCGCAAGTTTACGAGAATTTGCGTGAACATGTCTGAGAAAAGTGCACGTCAGGCAAGGATCCCGAGGGTGCTGCTGTGTGTCGACGAACGGCTTGCCTATCTCTTCACTTTCACATCGAAGAAGGATTCTCAGTAGAACCCCGAGAGACGTTGGACCACGTCATGCCTTCAGGCACCTTTTCATCCGTAGGCTTCCTATTGAACGATAATTGTCCTGATGAAACAGAACATGCAGGAGCAATACTGCATCAGTTCCTGGGCAAAGATCAGTCCTTTAAAGGCATCTGGCAGAGACAAAAAGTGGCTGTGATGCAGACATCAAGGATAAAGTTAACGGAGAATCGGCCAGTAGGTGCCCGGTGTCCAATAATGTTTCCGTTAAAGAGCCCCTAAAACCTGCCTTTGCACATCCCCAAGGCCAGACCTAGAGTGGACGCGTATCCGTCCCAAGCCCACCCGGTTCAGGCATTCCAATCACTCTGCAATGCGTCTATGATGATTCGTTGACTCTGCTGCACGCTGCCACAGTCTGGCTATTCTTGGTCAAGGCACCGCTAATTCGGGTTTTCCTCTCCAGCCCCTTTGTAGATCATCGGAGTTTGGTATTACCCCAGAAACCTTCATGAACCGGTAGTCCGCCCTCTTGCTCACTCTTTCTCTTTCCTGACCTTGCTCTGAAGATAGCGTCCTTGTCTTCGTCAACAAGTCAATTCCAGCGACAATGGCCAGGAGCACGACTCGTGCTCTTTTCTCAACGGCTTTGCTGTTCGCCACTGCTAATGCTCAGTGGGGTGGATTTGGAGGGATCAACGGCGGTGGGGATCCCTTTGGCAATGGAAACGGAAATGGAAATGGTGGCAGCAGCAGTGGAAACAGCGGCTCGTCGTCCTCCTCGAATTCAGCATACGGCGCCGAGATATTCGGTTCCACGGCTGAGTACAACCGCGCAAAATCAATCCTGATTGCCCACGCTGTCCTGGCCTCATTGGTTTGGGTCATCTTCATCCCATCGCTAGCCATTCTCCTTCGACTAGACATCCAGAACCCTGTCGTCCTTCGGATCCACGCAGTCGGGCAGATCCTGAGTTATATCATCTTCGTCGTGGCTGCTGGTATGGGCATCTGGCTAGCCGAAAAGTCTTCGGCATACGGCATCTGGGACAATTCTCATCCACGCCTGGGTCTGGCCATTCTGGCCATTGCCTTCTTCCAGCCCATCTTCGGCTTCGTGCATCACCGCATCTACAAGAAGCGAGCGTTGGGCAAGGCAGCTGGCAAAGCCACCAAGGCACCCGGTCGGACACCCATCGGTCGCCTTCATCTCTGGGTCGGCCGTATCTTGATCTTCTTGGCCATTATCAACGGTGGCCTTGGAATCAGATTGGCGTCCAGCAGCCCGTTCCAGACAGACTCGCAGACCAGGAAAGCGAGTGTTGCATACGGCACCGTGGCAGCCGTCATGGTAGTGCTGTATCTCTTCTTCGTGGTTGCATTTGAGATTCGACGGGCTCGGTACCTTCGACAGCAGCAGCGCAACAGACGAGCCATGGCTACCAAAGACACATTGCCAACGTACGATGAGAGTGAGGAGTCTGTCGGTCGGAGCACCCGATCTTCCTGACACCTTGATGAAGGATGGATTGTGACTTCCAGGAGTTGTGGGTGAATCTCTCATAGCCTGATCAATGATGCTTAACGACCAAAATGCAAATGAAATAGTGTAATGATAACAAAATGACAACTCCTTTTCGCCATGCTTTTCACCATACTCTGGGAATCAAGGCGTACGGCACGTCTCGCTTGACTCTGGCCCATTGCTCGCCGTATTTCTTGCCCATGTAATTATCCAGAGCGGGAATTGATCGATTGACGAAATTCGAGATAAAGAAAGCTGCGACGACAGAGCCCCACAGCGGTCCACCAGAGGCTATCGCATACCCAGTCCGCCAAAGCGTGTAGCCAAAGTACGAAGCATGGCGGACAAGAGAGGACAGCCCACCCGCATACACCTTCCCTTCATTCCGTGGGTCGTCCTTGAACCATTTGCGTTGAATCTCGCTGATAGTTTCGGCCAGGATGCCCGTGACATACAGCGCCGAACCGACGTACATGCTCCATGGCGGGAAGAAGGTGGGATTCTCTCCTGCAAGGTCGAATACTAGTGTGTTCAGCGTGTTGCACGCCGTGTTGAACAGCGATATTGCGACGCCCGCGGAAGGACTGACGGGTTCGTTGGCCAGCGCGGTGATCCAGAGGATGTGCTTGGCTGCGGAACCGATGGAGAACGCCCAGAGGAGGGTCTGGTAGGGAGTCATGCCCGAACCGGCCAGTGGAAGACCGCCGGTCGGTGGAAGGCGTGGAGCACGTAGGCCGAGTATGCGTGCGAGAGCGGGCAGGGGGGAGTTGAGAAGAAGATGGCGTTGGAGGAATGGGTCGGCAGCGCGGAGACCGATAAAGATGGCGCTGCCCAAGAGGTTATTTCCCCTTTGGCCTCGGGCGATCATGTCAAAGGGCTTGTCGTCGGCCATGGTGATACTGAGGTCGTGGGAGTTTGATGAGATTTGGCAGATACGAAAGGGTGATTGAACAAAGCTGGAGAAGCCTGGAGTCCAAGCTGGGGTTCAACAATGGGAAGTCGGTCACTGGGGTTGAATCAATCAAGTTGATGGCATCTCCCGCGTAATGTCTAGTGCTGACGTTATATCCGAAACAGTATGAATGAGGAGGAGTAAGTATATCTAATTCAAGCTAACGAGGTCTGCGACGACCATTGGCAATGCTTTAGGAATTGGCTGGGCGGTCTTCTCCGCTCCGCCTGTTAAGCATATTAAAGCTTCCCACTGGTTCAATCAAGAGTAGAGGTTCACCTTGCTTGTTCACGCAAGAACTCACAATGGCCGACATGGACTTCGACACCGGCTTGGGCCTCGAAGACACGCATGTTCTGGTGACAGGCTCGAGTGGGGCAATCGGTTCCGTGGTGGTGAGCGCCTTTCTTAGCGCAGGCTGCTTTGTCTCTGCTTTCGATATTGCTGAGCCCACCTACAGGACACACGACCGACTGCATCAACAAGTAGTGGACATCACTGACGAGAATGGTGTCGAAGAAGCCATGGAAACAGCAAGGCAGAAATTCGGGCTGATAGCGACATGCATTGCCGTAGCTGGGTTGGATTTGTCTTACATCCCCCATGGCTCGCTCGCAGATATGCCCCTTGCGGACTGGAAACGAGTGATGAGCGTCAACATCGACGGCACGTTTTTAACATGTCGAGGCTGGCTTCGAGGAATACGAGATCACGCAAAAGCAGGGGACAGGAATATCGCCGCCGTGATTTTTGGGTCCGAAGCCGGGAGATTTGGGGTGCCGGCCTCGGCCGCCTATGCAAGCTCCAAAGCGGCAATCCAATATGGTCTGGTCAAGTCTCTTGCACGGGATGCTGTGAGCATGCATCCCTGCGCTCGTGTCAATGCAGTCGCGCCAGGACCCGTGGACACTGCCCAGTTTAGGAAGGAGTGTAGGGCAGACGAAAGTGCCAGGTGGCGGGAGGCCGAAGCAACAGTAGCTTTGGGAAGACCAGTTACAATAGAAGCTGTCGCAAGGGCGTGTTTGTTTCTTGCAAGCGACAACTTTGCAGGCAACATAACTGGTCAATTGTTGCCTGTTGACTCAGGAAAGAGTGGCAGCCTCTACTGGCTCGAGAATGGGGAAGGGGCCTAGTGGAGATCGCATGTTCTTCATCCCAGTACGCATACAATCTCTGGGTAGTGTGGCCTCATCAGTCAAACCAGCCGTACCCAGCCACGCACGTGAACACAGGATAGCTGGGTAATCTGGAAGAAAACGTCCTCGTGGTAGAAGAGCCGTGGCGTTTGCAATCGTCAGCTCTGGGCAGATATGATATCTTGACCTCTCTATTGCTTCGGATTCGATAGCAAAGCACTGCGATCCCGGTGTCGCGGCCTTTACAGTCTTGCAGACGGTGAATACTCGGGTTCTGAGGCGACCACAAGGCTGGCATATTTGGCGACCAACCTATAGGTTTAGTTCTGCGTCCATTCTACGCCGTGAGTTGGGGCAAGAAAGGGAAAGAGCCGGTGGGATAGCGGGAGGACACATATACATGTTATATGGTCCACAGAGATCATTCCTTGGGGTGGACATTAGATCGCTGTGAGTGCATCGTCAGCGTGGTATGGGTGGCGTGAGCACCGTATATCGTATTCAGCGTCGTCGATTGGCAGATATAGTATGGAAACCTCATATTTGTTGCGCTACGGTGCAGTAGTGTCAGCAGCAGGGTGAGGACAAGTGTCGAAAGGATACACTATTGTGTGACGACCACGGCCAATGCTGGGACATGGAAGCATGATTGATAACACAGTGGCGTAGAGACCCGAACAAAAGGACTTGTTAAAAATGTACTCGAGATAGCCGTTCCGCCTGCAGTACCTTTATGGGAAACAGTAGGAGACTCAATTGAGCTAGGAGCCTCTGCAGGGACTCTGCAACATCATAACGTTGATAAATCAGTGCCAAAGAACAGACCTCGAAGAGATGTTCCTTGCTTTTTGTAAAGCATGAGTACGTCGCGACAAAGTATATGGCCCTCTCTGGGCCGCCTATCTATTAGCGGGGACTGCTTTCATGCATTAGCAAGGTGTGCTAAAATCTCTCAAAATTGACCAGTCGGTCCGACATGCGTGTGGCGTTGGACTCGCTTGCCAGGTGCCCGAGGCGCGTCGACGTATCAACACGGGAAGATCATCAACAGTCGGAGCGAACGGGGTCGGCAGCACGGGGTGTTTGGCAGGTCATCGCAGGGCCACTAGATGCATCGAGATAAATGGACATTATGAGGACCTTGAATATCATTGATGGTCAGTCGAGAGAAGGGCGCTTCGAACTCAACACGCTGGCCAGAGGAGTCGAAGAAGAACAGGTGGCTGTGAGGCTAGGACTGTGAGTAAGATAGGCGACGGATGGTGATTAGTCGAGGCCTGAGAGAGGAATAAACAGGCAAAATAGTATTCGAAAGCCGTAGTTGGTGGGTTGATCGCAATCCTGAAGTTCTGGGGAATCTGCGACCCAGACAACTTAAGGCTAGTAACTTAACTGCGGCCCATGCGGGCAAAGCTCATCATTCCTCTTGCAGGCAGAGTGCCATCCATCCATTATTCCTCCTCCACACACTACCAAGTCAGGTTACTCTCTGTCACTCTTCTTTGCGACCTCATACTTGGTCACATCACTACACTCTCTCGTCGACGAAATACCATCAACATCTTCTATTGTTCGAAGGCGGGCCACTCTGTAATTTTCACGAGTTCATTCGCCTGCCCACTTCTGGACCTCACCGACGAACTCTTTTCCCGCCGTACGATCAACCAATTTGCTGCTGAGAGGGTCCTATTGAGGCCAACGTCGAAGCCCACGAGAAAACGTACGAGTCGACTTCAATTAATTTTTTGATCGTAAAGCCGGTTGTCACAGTACACCACTACCTGCGCCAGAAACCTTCTCGCTCGAACCCCCTCTTGCGCGGCCCCGTCGTATACCGCATTGTTCATCGAGAAACATGGTGTCGTAAAGTCGAAGAAGGTCTGGCACATTTGGGTCAAATTAGCAGGAGTTCCAGCAATATGACATCGATCCAAGATGAAGATATGTACTTGTTTGGGGGCTCGTTGAGTCAAGCGCCAGGCTTTGCAGGTCAGGATTTTGATGCGTTTCTGGACACCCCGGCTCCTGATGGCGACGCTTCCACGGCTACGGCGGGCTACCTCAATCCCAACGATTTGTCCATCAAACGCGAGTTGACTGACTACAGTCCTCGTCCAGATAGTGCTTCTTTTGCAAGGTCACCTCGAGACTCGGCCTCTGGTTCCAGCACTTCCTCTTCCGAATCACCTTCGGATCAAAAGCGCAACATGTCAGCGAATTCAACAGCATCTCCCCCAGCAGGAGAAACTGCACAAAGTGTTTGGTCAAGTGGCATCAACGGGTTCTCGATCTCATCAAATGAGCAAATGTTCGAGGACGCGCCTATGGTGGGTATGGATCAGGATTTCGACACGACTAACCAGGAAATGGACTCGGCATTCGACTTCGAGACCGCTGCGAGCACTCCGAGCGGATTTGACGCCATGAGCGACAACCCTATGAAGCGCGCCGTGGTTGCCCAGCCCTTCAACAGACAGGGCAATTTCGCGCCTTACGCTAAACAGAAATCTGCTGCTCCCTTCCCCGCGAACGGACAAGCTCAATTCTTCTTCCCTGGCTCCAGAGAAGAATCGCCGTTGAATGCGATGCTCCCTTCTGCGCAAGGCCAGTCTCCGTGGAGTAAGCATTCGCCATCCTCTGGACTAGAAGAGACATTCAATCATATCACCATGAACGGCGATTCTCCGGGGAATGCGACTTTCTCCCCAAACGTCCAGTTCTCGAGCGCCGCATTTACTTTTGATCCAGAGTCTAGTGCGACTCCATCTACGTTCACTAAAGACATCTCGTCCCCGCCATCCACAATCACTTCTGCTGAAGGTGCCCAGATTTTGACGGTGCAACCAACTTCCTTGAAGTCTCGAGTTGAGACTCAGATTCCCATCAAATTGACTCTTGCTGCACTTCCTCACGGAGCTAAGAAGTTGAGGCTCCCGAGGTATACGGTGTCGAAACCCAAGTTCCTGGCCAAACCGGAAGCGCACCGCGCCCCAGAGGTTTTGGAACTTCACACGTCCCTGGTTTGCACAAGCGCCATGCAAGATCCTGTCAAGTTGCAAAGGGCCTGGGCACGTGCACGAGGAGAAGATACAGCACCATATACTCGCCCCAGTCCAGCCTCCTCGTCCGAATCTTCCACCTCGAAAGACGATGAAGATAGGCCGTTGAACGGCGGAGAAGTACGCATCTGTCCAGGATGCATACAGCGTGAGAGAAAACGAGCCTCCAGGAAGAAGCAGAAGAAACCAGAAGAGGAAGAGATGTTTAAACAAGACGAGGAAAGAAGGGTGGTGGTTTTCAATACGAACGAGATCAAAGAATGGACTGAAGTGCCTCACGAGGCCCAAGCGGAGTCTGCACGCAACGCTACGCCGCCTAGTGCAATGCAAGTCGATCTTCCCATGCGCATTGCGTGTTATTGTCGGCATCAGAATGAAAAGCTGGGTTTCCAAGTGATCTTCACGATCAAGGATTGGAAAGACAAGGTCATTGCTCAGGCTATGACCAATTCTATCATGATCACTGACGACCACAAAACCCACACTGCGCCTCCTACCGCATCGAATCTTCCTGTGCCTGCGCCGACTACGACGCCCCAGGTACCAGGTGCTGGTGTCTTCTCCACCGGAGGCCCAGAGCAAAGCCAGCCAGCGGTTGTGAACCCTAAATCATTCAAGCAATCCTTTTCAACGACGGACCTGCAGGGACTACAAAATAACTTCAATCCCAGCTTCCCAATGGCACCGGCGGCAAATCCGTTTGCTATTCCATCTACCATGTCAAACCACACCGCAAGCACTATGGCTGCGCGAAATCTTTCTAGGCCTGCATCTCCCACTGGACCTACTGGCCCGACGACTAAGAGGAGGAAACAAAGCGGCTCTGGGAAAGTGCCATCGGGTCTTACAATGACACGCCTGGATACCACTCAACAAATGGCGCATGGGCCTTCGACCATGCCCAATACTGCCGCTTCCTCTCCATTTGCGCCCAACATGCCATCATACATGGGCCCTCATGATCGTCCATATGCATTGCCTCCGTCACGCTCTGGACCATATGGAACCAGTCCGCCTACCCCAAGTGGCAACGACCCTACATTTGGTTCCAGCATCAATCGCTCTTTCAGTCTAGAAAATATCCCTCGCCAAGCAATGATGTCTGCGCCACCCTCTCGTCAGCCAAGCCGACCTGGTAGCCCAGGGTCCGCAAGAAATAGTTTCGGCGCCTCTGATGCTGCATTTGGGCAAGCAGTCAACAACCAACTCATGCAGCATCCAGCTCGGCGTCCACCTCCCCTTATTCACAAATTGGTGCCTGCCGAAGGCTCTGTTACAGGCGGCACTGAGGTGACTCTACTCGGAAATGGGTTTTACCAGGGTCTTGAAGTCATGTTTGGAGACACTGAAGCGACCACGACCACATTTTGGGGAGAGAAGTGCCTGAACTGCATTGCGCCACCTGCCCTTCAGCCTGGCGTCGTGGCTGTTGTCTTCAAGCATGATCATCCCCAATATTCTACGATGCAGCCACAGTCTCAAACTCGACCTTCTCTATTCACTTATGTCGATGATCGAGAATTGGAAATGTTCCGTCTTGCCTTGAGGACTCTCGGAAAGCAGCTGCAGCATCCGACCGATGACCCGTACTCAGCCGCTCAGCAGCTCTTACAAGGACAATCACATTCGATGTGGCCATCTCACGGTGCCTACGGCATGAATGGAGGACACCAGCGCAGCGCTGGCTATTCCAACGGCGCCCCGCTTGATACGCTTGAATTGGAGGCCACCATGCTCAATGTACTGGAACGAATGGATGACCAGAGGCATGTCAAGGAGCCAAGGTTCGATCTTCGCCGACCCTCTGGCCTCACCTTGCTCCATCTGGCGTCATCGCTGGGGTTGACTCGCTTCGTGGCCGGCCTGTTGTCTAGAGGGGCTGATCCGAACTTGGTCGACAATAATGGCCATACACCCATGCATCATGCCGCCATGAACGGACACACGCATGTCATTCACCGACTCCGGCTAGCTGGTGGCAACCACAAGGCGAGAAGCCTCCGCCAATTTACTCCCGCCGACCTAGCGACCTCACTGCTCGCATATCAAGCCACTATGAATCCGGTGGCTCATTACCGTTCTCGCAGTACTGGGGGAACTCCTATGCGGCTACATAGCAGAAGCTCATCTTCCCTCAGGTCATTCTGGGATACAGCCTCAGATCAGTATACGGTCACTGACTCGGACGATTCGGACGATAGCGAAAACGAAGAAGAAACGCCCACAGGATTGCATAGTGGTGATCTCGAAATGCCACTGCCACTCACTCGTCCGATCAGCAGGGCTGTGGCAAGCATGCAACATTCGCGGAGGAACAGTGCACAGCATATTACAGCTCAGCCGTCTCTTATTCCACCAACGGATGGTGCCAGTGAGGCGCCTGCAACGGCACCTTCAGCTTATATGTTAGCATGGCGTGATCATCTCGTCGCGCAGTTGCACCAATTCAATGAGAGCGCTCAGTCAGTAATGCCCAACCTTGGTAACCTCAATGGGCCACTAGCAGCCTTGCAGGACTATCGAGAACCAATGGTTCGCCGGGTGAGCTCTCTCTTCCCACAACGGCCGAGCTCGAGACAGCAGGCCACCCCACGAGAGGGCTGGTGGGAGACATTGACCGGCACCTCATCTTCTGCACCGTCTCCGCCTCCTGCTTACGGAGACCTATACCCAGAGAATGAGGGTAGCAGTGAGGATTGGGCTCTGAAAAAGTCTTCTGCGCTTCAAGCGGCCACAGATGCAGCAGCAGATATCCACTTTGAGAGGCATTCGGATGACCAACATGCCGCCAGTTCATCATCGGCGAAGCCTGGTCGTTTAGACCTGATACAGGAAGTGGAAAGGGTCGCGCTGAGTCGTGACAGAAAATTGTTCTTCTTTTGGGTACGTTCGGATCAACTTTACTATGTTCTTTTCGGCTAACTTGTGTCGCAGATTCCGTTCGCTTTGATTGTACTAGCATTAATGATCAGAAGCTCGGGAATATTGAGCATATTTCAACACTCGACCGATATGCGTCCGACAGTGCAAGGGCAAGTGGTCGAGGTATTATGATCGGCATAAGGGCCTTTTTGCATATATGAGCACGTTGCAGGACGATGGAGGATTTACGGCTTGGGCTAAGAATCTACAAGCCCCTACATATAGTATCTGGCCGCCTCTTTATGCGTGCAGCACTTCTGAATAAGACTGTACTCAACAGATTTCTAGATTCTGTTTCGACGGTTCTATTTGTATGTGATCATTCTGCCCTGCCTCATGAGTCACATACCACAAAATCCTGGTAGCCTTGCAATATGGGTGAGGGGCAAGGCTGTATCTCCGGCTCCATCTGCAATACTTTCCAATGCCGAACATTACCCAGTAAGTTAACTTTTGTCGCGAATCCTTCTTGATGTCTTTGACTTTGTGAACTGATCTATCACACCACTTCCAAAACATCTTTACACTGTTGTATGGACCGGAACCGCTCGACAAACTATGTCTCGTCACCGACTACCGCTTCGGTACTGATGCAATTCTTGGAATTGCGATAGTAGCAAGCCATCTCACTCGCCATGGCCAACGCCAAAGTCGATAACGCGGACACAGACCAGGACTCCGACTCACGAAAGTACGAGGAAAAACACGTCCACGAGGTCTACGAGGAGATTGCCACCCACTTTTCCGAGACTCGGTACAAGGTAAGAACTTCTGACTGCCCATTTGCTGACGCGGCATCGCGATGATTTTGTTTTTTCTTTGGTGCCTACTGTCACAGTAGTGCGCCGTTTGATGTTTAAGGTTGGAATGGACGTGGACTGATGCATTTTTTTTGTGTTTTTGACAGCCGTGGCCCGTGGTCGACGAGTTCCTACGAAACTTACCGCCTGGGGCCGTGGGTTTGGACATTGGCTGTGGGAACGGGAAGTACCTGGGTGTCAACAAGGATGTTTTCATCGTGGCGTCGGACAGGTGCGTGTGCCACCGCATCAATTTTCATGATAGGGGGAAGATGGGACTTTGGATTTTGCTGACAGAGATTACGGTACAGGTCGAAGGCGCTTGTTGACATTGCGAGACAACGGCAGCCTCATAGTGCTGTTGTCGCTGATACGTTGAGTCTGCCTCACCCTAGGGGTGTTTTTGACTTTGCTATCTCGATAGCTGTTATACATCATCTGTCGTCGAAGGAGCGCAGAGTCGATGCGATAAGGGTGATCCTTGAGACTCTACGAGAACCTTCAAAAAAAGATGATGGAGGGCAGGCGTTGCTCTTTGTATGGGCTCTCGAACAGAAGAATAGTCGACGTGGGTGGGATAGAGGGGACCAGCAAGACCAGCTGGTTCCTTGGGTATTGAAGCCTACACACAACACCAAGCCAGAAAGTTCGCCCACCACTTATCATCGGTATTACCACTTGTACCATGAAGGTGAACTCCAGAACGATGCAAAGACAGCTGGTGCCAGGATAATCAAGTCAGGGTACGACCGCGACAACTGGTGGATCATCATTGGTCGACAAACATGACATCTTTCAGGAGCATAGTGCCACTGTGCCCTCCTGGATGAGCATCATATCGATATTATTACAGGTCCTTGCCTGCGCGTTATAGAGGACCATGTATGCGCAAAATTCGACCAAAGGACAATCATGATAAACCGAAACTTCAATCCTCGCGCCCGCCTGATGTAGAAAACTCGCTCAAAGTACGATGCCAACAAAAAGATATCATCAAAAAGGGGACTTCCGGTCTCTGGAGTTACTGTACAGGTGATGGAAAGGATCTGTGCTCTGGTATGGAGGAGTCGTGAGCGCTGGTAGTCCTGCTGTCAGTTCTGCTAACGAAGGCAACTGCTGGGGCCCTGTTAGCGGTCCTGACAACGACAGCTCGTTTAGTGTTGACGAGCGCTGCAGTCGTGGAGGAGGGCCGTGTCGAAACTGTGCCCGTGGAGGCAAGGTCATCGAATCGAAGGTATTGGTAGGGTTACCGAGGGAGAAAGGTGTCACGCCGGCACGCTTCGCCATTTCATGTTCACCCATCTGCCAGTGCATGGCTTCGACTGCTCGCCACGGCATTGCCATTTCTTCGGCGACTCTCGCCCACATATCCGCGCGGAACCTGCAATCAAAAGCACGAGGTTAGTGACTCGATGTAAGGTTTGGGTGAGGGTGGGTGAGACAAGATTGGGCAGCTTTGCGTGCCGCGATCTAGTGCGACGTTTCTCAACATACCTCTCGTACAACCTTGCGAGCCTGTTTTTGCGGTCCTCATCCCACTCACTCCTTCTCTCTAGGTAGTTCTGGTAATGCAACCTGCAGCTAATGGCGCTACGACCAGGCAGATGCTTGCTGATATCCTCCCACTTCATACCATCCTGGCGGAGTTGAATGATCTTGGTGTCTTCCTCGGGAGACCATTTGGACTGCTTCTTGGCAGGTGACTGGATGGGATTGTCCTCGCTTGACAAGAGCCTTTTCGCGGGTACCGCGGAGCGCGGCTGTGGTGGCAACGGTGCCACGCTCGTTGTGACACTCGATGGCGCCGATCCTGAGCGAGAGACCGAAGCGGGAGAGCTGATAGAGCGGTTCTCGTCGTCTTCGGCTGACTTGAGCAGCAACGAGATATCCACGATGGGTGGTGAGACCGTTGGCTGGCTGGAGTGGTGTGGAGGTGTAGACGCCAAACACGGTGACTGGATGGTGCCATACACATGAGGAAGTACCAGCATGAGAAATGTTGATTGTCGTGAACGTGTGAGGCCGGAAAATAAGCCACGAAGGTGAGTTCAAATAAGTTACCAGTAACCAGGTAGCGTTCTTTCTGGCATCAGGCCGATACCAACGAGGACTGAGCAGGACGCCGGTGTTTCCACAGATTGTTCCAGGGATACGGATGAGGGAATACGCGAGAATTTTAGATATGTGCCAACTTGTCGAGAAGGAGAAAGGGGCGTACTCAAGGCGATCTTTTGTCGTAGACAGGGACACTTGTTTAAGAAGTGTTCAGTGCTCACTCAGTATGTGGAAGATGTTCAAAAGTGCGGTCTGAGGGAGCGGGTCAATTCAGCAGCAGTCTGCCATAGATTGCTCTTTTCCTTTGCATCAGCCTTCGTGGCAGCTGGCAGGAGGTGGACAGGCCTGAGCGAGCCCACCACAGCCTGGCACTTGCACGCCGGTATTGGCAACTGCCAGAACGACGCCGCAAACAAGCTTAGAGAGCGGAGTTGGCTTTGGCGGTATGTACTTTGTCTCTATTATGCTCATCCGAATCCCAGCGGGCGGCGGACGGCTACTCACGCGCTGTGCCCCAGTCGCCCCTGCAGCGTTCGTCGTTTAGCACTGTCTTGGACGCACCTGGGAGCATTATCAAGCAAGATATCGTCACAAACCCAGAGTCAGAAGGATCCATATTCCCTTGTGGCGGCCTCTTGGCCCTAACGATAGGGGAGGCTGCATATTGATCCAGAGGAGGGAAGTGCTCAACCCCTGTGCCTGGTACATGGTCTTACCGGGGTTCACCGTTTTGAACTTTGAAGGGAGCAGCTTGCAGGAACATCTGCATCTAGCAACAGGGGCGGAGCATTAATGGCGTCAAAGCGAGACCTGCCAGTGCCAGAAGCTTGGCGAAAACGAGGATTGATAGACTTTTGAGCACCTTTTTTTGACAGCGATGATGATGAGATAAAGTTCGTAAGATCTCATGGTCAGGTTCGTGATTGATGCCGTTGAATTATATTGTGTAGGGATGAAGGGAGTTGCTACTGGATGCCTTGGGAAGGCATGATGATGTGGCATGCCTTTCACTACAGTTGTGTTCAACGTCCTCTCTAAAAACAATTTTCTACGATTCTTCGGATATGATACATGTTGCTTTATATTTCCGTCGGCTCACAACTAAAGTTTTCTTCTTCGTATCCTGCCGTTCGTTGACCCCGCGAATGGACGATATGCACGGCCCATTAATGATCTGAAGCCAGTTTGGACAGATTGACAGTCAAGATGAAGATTAAACACACGGCACAGCGGCCGAGAAGTCGAACTTGAACTTGAACTTGAACTCAACTCAACTCATCATCATCAAAGCGCAGGTCTACCCTCCCACCATCTTGTCCGCAATAGTGACAACATTCTTCGCTTCAGTTATCCGGCCCATGCTCTCCCCCGAATTGTTACAAGTCCACATACTTTTCAAGGCTCCCCTAACGAGCGAACACCCGTCGGACTCGTCCCGCTTTCCTTAGTCTTCACGGGGAACTCGGGAGAAAGCTTGCTTGCTGGATCCGCTCCTCGTGGGCAGATGATCTGAAGCGAGGACGGAACAACAAAACATGGTTCGTAAGGCAGAGAACAAGGCGTTGGAAACAATGCTTCTGTCTTTGAGTTCAACACTTATGACGCCTTTATTCCGCGCCGGCCCACTGCGTTCACATTATTGCTTCGTGTCTTCTTCACCGTGCACTTTCAGGGACTGATACGAGGTCTGAAAGCAAGAAGAGAAGGGGGACAGACCGACTGCAGGTTAAACTAGTTTCCAACCAACTCCACCTCCCAAATGATCCACCACTCCTGCGTTGTCAGGCGCCGAGTCACTCCTGCAACTGACACTGACAGTTCTTCTCTAGCGCAGAAACGAAAGGACCATACGCCTGACGGATCTCATCTCTTGCAAGTCTGATTCGAACACCCCCATCAACCAAAAGAAGACTTTTGTCATTTAGAACACGGCAGCGGACGTGTAGACAGAGTCTTAGGCTTGTCCAGCATCCGGGACTGCAGCATGGCAGGTATCGTGGGTTTTCCTGCTGTGCTACTATAGTGTCAGAAGCAGCCCGCCGTCAAACATGTGAGAACATCGGCCGTCACCCACACATTTACCAAGCAAACACGGTGCGAGTCTGGCTGTGACGACAACAATGCCTCATTCTACTGATCACAGTCCGAGATCATGCCAACCACAAACTGCAAAAGAAGGCGGTGAGAAGCGGTGTACACACCGACTGTTTCTACTCTAGGACAACAAGTATGATACGCAGAGTACACGTGGTGCCAGACCCTGAACAAGGAAGGAGGATTTTCTTGATGACCGGCTATAGGCCATAACGACGTACCCGTTACCCGGCATGCATTTGCGCTGCAGAGTGTCTGAATTTGCCATAAGGGGTCATGGGTATTATTGACAAACTCATGATGCCGCTCATACAAAGTTACAAAGTCACATAACACGCTTCGGATGAGCATGACAGCACAGACAAGATCTGCACCTGCACCTGTGACAAGCGCCACAAGCAAGGCCAAGAAAAACGGTTGCAGCTTCATTTTGTTTTGCTTTTCTTGACAAGTCATGTGTTTGACTGCTGCAGCATGCAAGCGGTCGGCCGTTGCATCAAAGGCCAGGAAGGCCAGGCTTGCCTAGGTACCCATGGATCTTTTATGACGTCCCAAGATTGTTGCGCTGTTTCAAGCCAAACTGAAACAGGGAATGTACCGGAAACCTCATGAAATCGCTGGGAACTCGATCGCCCTAAGTGACAAGCGCGCCGTTTCTGACCTATGAATCATGTTGGCGAGAAACATCGGTAGTTGGGAAGATCCGTCAGAGAATTCCAACCGTGATAATGGCGGGAGCGGAAGGGCTGGCTCAGGGTTTGGCAAGTCAGGTCAAGCCGCTTCAGCCCCCAATCCCGTTGATGTACTGTAATCATTTCTGACAGCCCAGCAGAGTAACAAGTTGACAACTTCGGGTGTATTATCCTAATTGTTTCTTTGCCGTTTTCTGTGTTGTTAACAACGATCTACTCGGACGCAGTCTATCTCCCTGGAAAAATGTTCAGTGATGGGTGTGCACCTTGAACGGACTAATTTGCGCACTCAGCTGGCTCGACCTGTTTGGCGAACTTCTAGAAACACCGTTCGACGCCATAGCCGTTTAAGCGGCTCCTAGGCCTGGCTACCTGCTTCCCCGTCGTTGGTATTACAATCCAACCAGAGAAGACAGATCTCACCCCTACAACCACGTCCTCACTTACGAGAGCGGTTTCTTTCTGCACTCGCCAAACCAGCAAGGCTCGGATGAGTAGCCTGTCGTGGCCATCTTTGCGGGCCGAGTCGTCCTGGGCACACTCGCTTGTTTTTAAGTTGCTGACCAGGCTGAGTCCGACGTTTGAGACAGGAACAGCAGCCTTCTTTGAAGCAGACGACATGCGCTGTTTACTGCAGAGTGCCCCTTATCAATTTGGGTTGGAACGATGTCAACGTATGGGACTTTATTACCATTCCGTAATTGATGGTCTACGAGGCTTACCCCTTGAGCCCAAGGCCTGTCAGGCCTTGCAGAGGGTCAAATGTTCTCGCCTCAAGAACAATGTGAAGTTGTCCACATCGCGCAGGCTGTCACTAATTAAGATACATGGCGGAAGGCAGTATTGACATCCTGAGAAGACCTCCCGCAGTTGACTGCGACCCGCCTGGGTCTGTCTACTTACCTAGTCTTGATATACTTCCCACAATTTGTGCTGGACCTGTCTAGCATATCAAGCCTGATGGAGTGTGGTGGTGGCTTGTGATCTATCTTCCCCAGGGTCTCCATGCATGCATGGAGGCAACAAGCCCGCCGGGATAACCCATGATCAGGTCGATCGGTCGATTCTCTCGTGCTCTCGACACGTCACACCGCATGAAGCAAATATCCGACAAACTGGTGTCGACCTGAAATTGAATACGAGGCAGCCATCACAACAGAATTGTTTTGCTGTAAGTCCGTGTCATCGTGAGTGGGTGTGACGCGACCGAAGATCCCTTGTACTAGTTATGGTACATTCAGCCTTCCGTCACACAGGCTGGATTGAGATCCGGGTTCCCGCAGAACCGTTATGCTGTGCGACCTGCCTTTGATGCAGGCGGATTCCTCTCCCGCAATGGTTGTTCAGCATCTGGCGTGCCACAATATTTCATTATCTGCATGCACCTCCTTTGGGGCAGGGGCCCTCTACTACCACATTGCTGTGCATTTCCTGCTTGTTGCTTTGTCGCCGGCCTGAGGCATGTCCGTTGTCAGCGTGGTTTGCATCACGTTGGACCAATTTCCAACCCCAGGTTGGTCAGCTGTCAATGCTGTGGCACTCCATCTACAATGGATGTCTACAATGTCTTGAAAACAAGCAGAACTCCACTTGCAAGGAGGTAAGGTCGTTACTTGTGATGCTGGATACCTCTGAATACAACCATGAGTATGGAAGATATGTGTCTACGAAGCATACCCGTTTCAAACAAGGTGACAAGGCATTAACGCCAGGGACGGCACCTTATCAAACGAGATATACTATGTTGTTATGTACGAAGGACTCCCCAGCAATATCGGAAGAAAAGTACATCATTGGAAATCCGAAGTGCGCCTATATCAAAGAAGAAATATTAGTCTATTGAGTACGAAGCACTCCTAAAATTCATCGAAAAGGATTATCACACTGAATACATGGAGAGTACCCATGCTAACGAGGAATACTAAGTTGTCAGGCATGAAGCGCTCCCGGGGTTCATCGGGGAAGGTCAAGTCATTGAAATTAGGAAGTACACCCTGGACAGAGGTGGAAAGTCATCTTATTGACGTTTGGGAGCCTTTCGCTCATGATGCTCGAATTATCTGCTATTGTGCTCTTGGTTCACTCCCGCCCGATCAGGCCTCCCACTCTCCATCCTCGCTGTCGCCCTCCTCGGCCTCACCGGCAACCTCAGCCTCGCCAAAAGCTGCCTCTACCAACTCCTCCAAATACTCCTCAAACCGCCCATCCTGGCGCTCCTCCATGGCCCTCCTGGCCCTATTCTGCCATCCCTGCTCGTAGAAACCCTCTGCCACATTCTGCTTGAACTTGGGGACTGCTGCCTTGATGTTGGCGTCATTCTGGACCATGTCTGCAGTCAGGGGACAGACCAAGGCGCCGTAGATGTCCTCATTGTATTGGCGAAGACGTGGTGGAAGAGAATCGATGATTGCACGTTTCTCGGCTTCAGTATAGTCCGTAGACCAGCCAGAGATTGCAGCGACGAGGAAGGCGTGTATGTTTTTCGCGACAACAAGAGAAGAACCGTTCAGGACGCGAGCAGCTGACCAGGGACCGGAGGGAGTGCTGGCAGGCTTGGTGGTGCCGGCGGAGGAGGTTTTGGAGGTCTTTGAGGACTTTGAGGCCTTTCTGGTGGACTTCTTTGGTGCCATTGTGGTTTCTGGACTTGAATAGATCGGTTTGTGAAGCGTGAGAAGGTCTGGAAGGTCTGTACGAGAAGAAGAAGCTATGCTGATCGCTGTAGAACACGAAGAGGTAGCGTTGTCGAGGACTGATCAGGGGCAAGACTTTGTGATGACTTGAAAGAACACAGCGTCGTGATAGAGAGTCTTCTTGTCGCTGTCTTGGAGATGTTGCTTTCACAAGGTAGTAAGAAAGGAAGAGTCGCAGAGAAAGATCGGTTTGACCTTTCCTGCACTTTTCAAAACACCGAAGGCGGCCAGTATAGCCGATTTTGAATGGGTGCGGCGGCGATATACAGCTGCCGCTTGGCTGAATCAGACAATGGAATAGTTCGGACAATCACCCGAGGCGGTGATCATTCAAATCCTGGATCTCGGGGATTCATGCTGCTGGCAGGACCAGAGGGAAAGACACCCGACTTGTCTTACCATGCGGCCTTAGTTGTGAGGGAAAGCACATCCTTCACTGTGAAAAAGGGCCAGCCTCTTTCCACTTGTTCTGGGGAAAGATGCTCCTGTCCTCTGGCAAGTCGACGAGACTAACGTGTGCGCCGTGGAGACAGAAGCCGCAGACCGTTGTCGTTGATGATACTCTGTAGTGGACGGTTTGATAACGTCGAGCCTCGGCACATGACAGAGCCAATCAGGGTGGACCACCACATCTCATCCCATACTTGACGTCGACCAACCTCCCTGACACATCCGTATCCAACACAATCTGTACTTATTATCCATCTAATCAACCAGCACGAGACGATATCATCACGACCGAGCCTGTCTCTATATCGCTGGAATAGTCGGCTGGGAACGGCTTTCCAGGCTCTAGAGCGATGGCGTCTTCGACGCTTCGCCGTTCCGCACACGCGACCATGAACACTCTCTCCAGCGCATCAACCGCAGCCCTTAACCTTCCCTCTACATATGCAAACTACGTCGCGCACAACGCATCCGCTGTATCCAACGTTGAGCAGAGCCTGCGCTCACTCACCTACCTCCTTCCCGGAGCGCGCTTCCACGATGCCGAGATCGCATCCGAATCCGTCCACACCTTCGTCCAACTCCTCTCCATCTACCACGACCATCTCCTCAAGAAGCGCGCCTCCCTCCTAGCTCTATCACCAACAGTCCTGAAATCCAAAGTCGTCAAATTACAAAATCCTAAACCCTCCTTACACGCAAGATACACTACATTCTGGACGACCTCATCATCATTATACTCCAAGATCGCGACACTCATGAAAATTGCACAATACACAGAACTCCTCTGGGAGATGGTCGCGCGCCGGCGCGGTGGAGAAAAGACTCGATGGCGCGTAGTGGTCCTATTGGAATCATTCAAGGCGATATGTCGCTTACTCCTCATGCGACTCACCAATTCACGACCACTAGTCAGCCCGCCAATGCCTCTTCGCGAGGACTTTGCGCCCGTCGAGGCCGAAGGTGAAGAAGAAGACGAACTGCAAGCACTTCGTGCCGACAATGGCGACTCCTTCGATGTCAAAACCGCTCTGGGCGAAGCGGGCGTCCCCACACCGCCAATGTCGGACAGCGGCAATGGCAAACCCTCAGCATCCTCACTATCCATATCCGAACCGTACAGCATGCCGCGCACCGGGTTCACACTGCCTACGCTTCCTACGCCCGAAACCGTGTCGAGTTATCTGCTCAATCATGTGCTTACAGCCGACGATGTCAAGCCCGCGAAACAACTCCTCCACCAACTCACGACACTACGCGGCCAAGCCGCAGAGATAATGTACATTCTCCGGCCCGTTGTGTACGCACTCATGATGCAGCGTGTGGCCCGGAGTTACGGGTACGAGGGCACGAAGTGGAAACGCCACTGGACGCCCTGGCTTGTGGGCTTCGCCATGGAATACTTTGCGAGACAAATGGCCAAGGCCGATCTCGCGGCGAGAGTGCCCGGCGGCGCAAGAAACGGTCTATCCGCGCTGGAGAGGGACGAGTTGAAGAAGCGTGGCTGGAGTCTGGCTTGGTGGGGCATGAGAGGTGCATTTTACGAGAATGTCACGAAGAAATGGATCCATGGTGTTGCCGACTCGTTGAAGGGTAGGCCGCTGATTGATCTAGCGGGCACAGTGGTCGAGGAGTACGAATATCTTTGGGGTAACTACTATTTCAGCACGTCGACTATGTAATGAGGTGCCAGGTACATGGCGCTCTTATGTAATGATATTGAACGAATGCAATGGAAAACAATGATCGATCGCAATACTTTGAACTTTTAGTGCTGCCTGGTCACGACTACCTAAGTATGTGACTGTCAGACTGTGTCTTCAATTTCAGCTCCTCGCATAGCCTCGACTTGCATATTCCATGTTGACATCTGTAAATCCGCCTGAAGCCACTTCAAGTTACCATGATCACCCAGATGCATAGTACTCTTGGTCGATTCCAGCATGAATGCCACCCATGATATTCTCGTACAAGCACTTCATCTTCTCCCGTCTTATCCTGCATTGCAAAAACCATTCGAAAATCGAGTTCATATCCATCTGGCTTCAAGAAGGCCCTTTCACCAATTCACATGTGGTACCCAGGATGGTCGTCCATTCGCCGTTGATAAAAGAGTTGAAACTATCAGTAATTGCTCGAGTGTCGTCTTGTCATGTCATCATGATGTTCGAGAACACGTTCTCATCATCGAGCATCCATGGGACCGTGCTTTTTTGTGATATGGGTACGAAAGGAAAAGAGATTTGTGTTGGAGCTTAAACCGCGACCATTCTAGGCCGGGCAAGCGGACTGGAGATGTCCAGGTTGCTTGCCTGAATCGCTGTTAGCATACACGACCACGATTTTAACAGATATTCTTACATTTGTAGCAGAGGCGCTCTTGGCTTGGCTCAGATGGGCAGTCGCGAGACAAGTGACCTTGTTCACCACAGTTGTAGCATTTCTGAGCACGGCCTTGGGTGCAGTCACTGGTAACGAGTTAGTCGGGATCGGTCAGGAGCACAGCAGGAGATATGATATACCGTGACATATGGCCGACACCTCCGCATGACTACTCATCGTTAGCAATACGCCCGTGAAAGTTGAGTTGGAAAAGTACTCACATAGCAGGTCTGACCACCACCGCCGCCGCCGCCGCCGCCGCCACGGCTGTAGCCACCCTCACGTTGGTAGCCACCACCGCCACCACCATAGCCTCCTTGTTGGCCACCGGATGAGGTGCAGTCACTGAGAAATCAGCAATTGTTCCCGAAGATGTCGGGTAATGATGAACTCACCGCGCTATGTGACCTTGTCCACCGCAGCGATAGCATTCACGAGCAGAGCCGCCGCCGCCGCCGCCATAGGAGTTCCCGCCGCCGCCACCGAAGGATTGACCTCCGCCACTGCCCCAGCCAGCACCAGCTCCGCCAGGAGGACCAGCTTGAGGGCAGTCACGGGCCATGTGTCCTTCGTTACCACCTGTTTCTGTCAATGTGTTTTCAGCCAGATGTTTTCGAAATCAAACTGACATTTGTAGCAAGACTTTGGCTTGGGAGCAGCAGTGCATTCGCGACTGACGTGTCCTTCAGCTGTGGAAAGGGTTAGCTTGATGAAATTGGGAGGAGGCGAGCAGGCGTCATACCACCGCAGTTGTAGCTGTTTAGCAAGATCTGGTTAGCTATTGTATTTTGGAAGGCTCTCTGCAGAGAATTGCTTACCAGGTAGGGTTTCCTTTCTTAGGGCAATCGCGAGCCTGGAGTAGCGTAAGAGGGTGGAAGAGTAGTCATAGCGATCATAAGCACCTGGTGAGACGAGTCACCGCAGTTGTAGCAGCCACGATCCATCTTGTAGAGAGTTGATTTGAGCTAACTGAAGCAAATCCGTCAGTATGAATGTCTTTGAGAGACAGGAAGAGCACAAAAGCGTACCAGAAGCGAGTAGATTGTGTTATTGAGAGCGATCTTGACTTTGAGCCACAGATTTGATTGTTGCAGGTTGCAATGAAATTGTTTTGGATTGCGATTGAGGGCAAAGTGAAGGCGGAGGAGAAAATGAGCAGTGGCAGTTGTCAACGTGCAAGCGGCAGCAAGAATAATTAGTGGGGGGGTTGATTCTTTCGTCACAGTTTTTTGACGTTTACGCCGCCAGTTGTTCACTGTTCCCTCAGCACTGCGCTGCGCCAGCCCGCAAAAGCCAAAGCCAACGGGGGCGAGCCGCCTGAGTCGCTCGTTTAGTATTTCGTCCACTCCACTGGTTCGATCCTGTGCAGGTCGCACATCCCCTCGATCCACTCCAGCAACGTCCAAACCGTGATCTGGATGGGCCTGAAAGTTTTGAACGATTCAGAGATTGGTGAGAGATCGGCCAGACCTCATTCATCGAGCCATTATTCATTCATATATCATTTCCCTAAAACGCCAAACTTTCTATGTAAAGTCGTATAGCGCCATTATCTGTGTCTGATCTCTTTCGCCCAGGACCACAACTTGTTCTTCGTCAAAGCCTACCCATCTACGAGTAAGGCTGAGTTCTCGTTTCATCTCATGGAGAGCAAGCCCTAACCCGGAGCCTCGTTCTGCCAACGCTGTGGCAATTCCGGACAGATCATGCACCGCCTTTATTCGCGTGCTAGTCTTTGTCTGAACGCTGGTCGTCATCACAGGCTCCAACTCCCATACCCGGATCTCATCGCCTCGGCAGCTGATCGAAACGGCCTTCCCTCGATTGTTGACTTCCGCTCCAGAGACGGCAGACGTATGTCCCCAGAGACGTCGACCGGCACTGACCTCCAGCTTTGTTTCATTCGAGGTCACCATGAATGACATGATGGTGTTGTCTGCTAGCGTGCATACGAGAAATGGATGCTCGTAAGATAATGAAGTAGGTGGACTCATCAGCTGAGGGTGTAGAGGCATTGGTAAAGAGCTGGCGGCGCGGGTGGCCATCTCCCATTTGTCTTTACCCTGATACCGCGCATCAATGGGTGTTTCAATCGTTGAAGCCAGCCTACTGTCCAACAACAGGCCGTTTGCCGACATCATGATCTCCTGCAATCCCATGCACCATCCAGAATGCACCCTGTTGAATGCATACGCTACAGTGGCGATGACCCTCGTGGACGTTCTTCGCAGTGCCAGTGAAACCGGTGAAAAGGACGCATCTGACTGGAGCCGGGCAATCGGTGCCAATTTTCCAGCTGCTGCGCCTTCCTCCTGATGTGTGCTTAGATCATAAAGTGATAGGAACTTCGTCTTGGAAACGGTCATGGCATACGGCATTGCAAGAGCAACAGCCATAAGGGGTCCGTCTGCTGAGCGGTGGCTCATCACTGGTTCGATTTTGCCCTCGTCTTTAAAAGCATACATTGAGAAAGTGCCATCTCGGAAACCCAATAGTACATGTACTAGGCCATCGGAGGTGTCCAGGGCCATGCAGGTTGCTTCGGCTTCGAGATGTAGGGGTTGTTGAGCCTTCAAAGTTCGTGTCCCGGCAGACGACGACCATGCCCGTAGTCCGGACAACCGGTCGACAGTGAATATTATGCCTTTGTGAAGTTTTGCGATGACTGGTGGCGATGGAGGATTCGCAACCTCTACTTCATGGACTTTTGCATTCCCAGCTACCCAATTGCTGCGGATCTTGAACTGTCGTTTCCAATCGACAGTAGGACCATCCCTCAATTTCTGTCCATGCTCTAGCCATTTCGCAATTTTTGTTCGATGCCTTGATTCTTCTCGGGTCTTGGTAGGCGGTAATCGACGGGCTCGTGACTCGATCCAGGCATCGTAATAATTTGCTTTCCATATCTCCCGATCGGTGGCTAACGAGCGAAAACGCTGTGAGACACTGAGAAAGCATCAGTCGATACTTGAGTAGTGCACAAGCACTCACCTTTCAGTACGGAGTAGGTCCTTTGTCTCGAGACTGGACAGGATGCGAAGTAGGATCTCATCACTAATGTCCAACAGATTGCGTCTTGGTCCGGTCCGACATCTCTTGATAGTGGACTGACCAGGAGTGTCGATATCATCGTCATCAGACCTCCGCCGCTTGGGCATCGTGCCTCTATCTCAGCAGTGCCTGCACTGTTTAGACAAAAAGTGGTTAAAGTACTGTCTTGCGGCAATTGCGACTGTGATATTCCGGGCGTCGACCCAAAGAACTGCCGGAGTTTGGCCGAGTTGACTCTCTTTTTGGTGCTTTGAACGCGTCTTGTCTTGTCTTGTCTCCAACATATAAGAAGATGAGCGCGTCGGCACAACAATTGACGAGCACCCTTATATCGGCATTGACTCAGAGCGAACTTCTTTATCGTCAAGTTAATGAGAGTATAAAGACTATTGAACGGTTGAAGCATGAAAATGGAAAGCTCAAGGAGCAACTTGACGATATCCTGAGCAAACAAAGAGATGCTCCTGTACTGCCTCCACCTCCGGACGATATACTAAAACGCGAGAATGAGCAGCTCAAGCAGGAACTTGAGGAGCTACGATTTCATCGACATGAATCTAAATCACCATCTGAGCATTCTGATGAACCGTTGAGATTGGAAAACGAGAAACTCAAAGAGCAGCTTGAAGAATTACGTGGTAAGCAGGCCGCTGCACCCGACCTATCTGCTCAATTCGACCAATTCTTCAGGAAGGACGTCGAGAGACAAGCCGAAATCGACCAATTGAAAGCAAAATTACGCGTTGTACAAGCAAAGGAAAGAAAATGGCGATTACAGCATCCGGGTGTCTCCTCCCCAGTCATCTCATCTGATGAGACTCAAGGCAACACGACACCCGTGGACGGCAAGCGAAAGCGACCCCGAAGCACAAGTCCTCAAGTTCTGAAGGAGATTTCTGCAAATGTCGTGTCTGGGGGCAATGTCTCGCACAACCGTCCCAAGTTTAAGAGGCTCAGCGATAGAGGAGCTGAAGCAATCCCTGCAGTGGCGGAAGATGGTGAGGAGTACAGCCGAGAAAGACCGGGCTCCGCAAAGGGAAAGGATACTGGTGCGAACGAAAGCAGCTCACCGCATCAGCGTCTCCAGGCTCTGCTCACAGCTCCGGGGCCCACTCCTTCAAAGCTCCTTTCTCGACCTGACACAAACGCGGCAGACCACAGACTGTCACCTTCGACAGATGAAGTGGAACCTCGAGCGCCGTTGCCTCCTACGAATGTCCTGCCTTCCGTTGCTCCGAAGGCCACATCAGTAAGGAAACCACCATTCCTTCCCCCAAAGGCACGTCCTGCAGCAGGGCCTGAGGATGAGGAACCATATCGCTCTAGGCCAGTGCATCGACTCAACCTTTCACATTTCAAGATCAACCCAGCTTGGAACGGTGGCTTTGACTACGCCTTCGAAGACGTTATGCGCGGACGTGAAGCCAGGAAATGCTTGCCAGGCTGCACACGCCCTGAGTGCTGTGGTGCCAAATTCAGGGCGTTGGCAGATACACTTCCAGCAGACAAGGATATGACAGATGACGAGTTGCTCCTATACTTCCTGGGACCGGATTCAGAGGAGAGGATACGTACCTTGACACCACTTGCGCGACTCAATCTCATTCACGAAGCCCGTGCGAAGAGGCTGGCAAATCAGTACGGCAAGATGCATCGAGTTGCATATGATCGAGCACAAACTCCGCCGGGGTTTTGGAGCACAGATTTCCCCTCGACACAAGAGGACAAAGAGAATCGGGAAAAAGCAAGACTCATGGAGCGTCAAGAGATCGAAAAGCGATACGAAGAAGCCAAGAGAGGAGACGGACGGTGGCTCTTTGCGGACGAATGATAAGAATATCGTTGAGGACATCGACGATCTCTGCGCGAACATCATTAGAGAGCACATCGGGGGAATAGACATTCGAAGAGTCTGTAACGGGTACGTGGCCTCGCGCTAACAGGCAAGGTCGGGATTGAAGAGTAAAAGCGAGTATTATCAGAGCCCTCCGGTCAGTACTGGAAGACAAGATCTACCTACGTGGAGGTGAGGTACTTCTGTCTTCGATTGATTTCCTTTCATCCACAGCGTCACTTTGCACCATCTGGATGATGGTCAACTGATACTGCGACCTGCGCACTCTTTCTCTCTCCTGCTGGCCCAGTCCGCAATGCTCCTCTAAGTCGCTCTTTATCTGTTGAGAAAGCCCTCCGATGCTCGACGCTTATTCTTTCTGATCCGATCTTTATCACTAGCAGGCCGCATGTTTTCTATTTCGAGTTCACTTCTCACTTCAAGTTGAGATGAGCCACCACCACAAGACCAATTCCCGGCCCGCAGAGCCGCATGCACACGACCTTCGTTCGCGACAACACTTTGCACTTGCTGGAAAAAGTAGGATGGTGTCACTCAAGATACGGACCGGAGAGAACATAATCGACGGAGAAAACTCTTCCTTCAACAATTACGACATAAGTCAACCTCTGATCTCGCGAATCGAGCAACTAATCCCTGCTCGTTACAAGAGCCCGCCACACTCAAAAAGCCGAATCTTCGCTGCTCTAGAAGATGCTATCTCGTTTGTGCATAATACGTGCCCCGCGGGCCTGAAGCGCGGCAATCTGCCACGAGCCGATACGTTGAGCGAGAAGTGCCGTTTACTTGGGTCTTTCATACCTATTCCATATTTCCCGCCTTCAGGACGGCCTGTCGACCGCTTTCTAGGGGGTCTCATAACCTACCTCGAAGATCAGAACACGAGGGGTGTCACTGCTCCATCGCCAGTCGACACACCTCAGAGCGGCGCCGCCGCATCTAAAACAGATGCACGACAGCCTCCAATAGCCGAGTCAGGACCTGGCAGGGCACAGCTCCCTACACCGCCGACGCTGGGGACAGACGAAATATCAGCTATCAAAATAGAAAGCGATACTGAAACTGGAACTCCGAAGGGCTTGCGTAAGCAATCCAGAAAGAAAGGATCTTCGACAAGGCAACTATCCAGCGCCGCAAAGAGGAGGAAAAGACGCGAAGCAGCCAACCTTGAACGTGATGCTGCTGACGACAACACAAGGAGACCCCCAACCCATCCCAAGAAGAAGAAGGCAAAAGCGTTTCTCCACCACCGAGCCTCCAGCCCAGTGCTTGATCTTACTCCACAGCCACCGCAAATCGATGTGGCCAGCGTCTCCGCGCAGCTACGGGACCGTCTCAATGTCACGCCTAAGGAGCGACCGAGCAGAAATGGCCAATCCTCCGACTCCGAAAGTTCAGAAGAATCAGACTCATCGAGCGATTCAGACTCTAGGCCCGTTGTAGCAAATCCAGCAGGCGCCCGCAAGGAAGAGCAACAACGAGAATTGCACAGGGCAAAGCGCAGAAAACCTCTGAACGTTTATCGAGCCATGTATGACGAGGCTCAAGAGGAGATACGGTTTTTACAAGACCTGCTAATGAAGGGCGCGGGACTGACCGAGGCTGATCTCAAGGCTTGCAAAGTCCGAGTCAAAAATGGACGGGGATTTAAATATGCGTTTGACCTGGTGTACAATCCTGACGTGGACGATCGTGGCAAGGAACCACCGAGAAAGAAAGTGAGAGTTTCGCTTTGAGTCAGATGAGGCCAGCTAGAGTTTGCTAGGAGGCGTCCTGCAGAGACTGGGCGAGCATTCATTCCTGGCCTGATTGGCATTGCCTGATTTTCGATGCATGCTGAACTGCCTTTGTCTGTACAAGATGAGAGGAGGTTTTGGACTTTGTATGTAGCTTAGCTGTGTGGCAGAAGACGGGCTGAACATCCTTTGTTTGACAATCAACCAGGAACGAATGTATGTGTCTCTTCTTTGTTCTTGATTCTTTGTTCACGGGTAGACTGTTCACACTACACTTGCCCACATGCGTCTATTACTGTGAAATCAGGAAAGGGGAATTTGAATTGGTAGATGCACTCGATACACTAGAACACTGTCTTTCTGTACAAAGAGATCCTGTCAAGTGCATGACAATGGGATGCTGACTATGTGGGTACAGTGCTACACTTACATCATATGTACTGACAACCCTCAATCATGATACAGCCAGTGCCGATGACGAAATAAAAAACCCGAAGCCCAACCCCATCTTTGAAACACCCGTCATTGCTCGAAGCTGCCGAAACCGTCCTCTGCTTCAAGTGCACAACAGATTGAACGACCTGTCTGACCGAAACCGCGCCCGTATGTGCAAACTCATGCCAACCTGCCGAAGCCCCTAAAATATGTTGCTTGCTGAGTGGGGATCTCAATCGTTCAAGAGTCGAAAATAGGTGCGAAAATTGGAACTCCCCGAGACTCAAGAGCATATACCACTCTCCGCGTAACTCTGGGGTTGGAAATGATGAAGCACGCCTCCGCACCTGATGACACATACAGATCATATGTCAGCCGCACAAGATTTGGTCGTCCAGCGACAGTCGTGTTGATGATGACAGCTTCTGGATCAGCGCGGCGAATCTCTTCGACGATGCCTGGTTTGTATGTGGCCTCAGGATCAGGTGTTGACCATATGATGCGGCATGGGATGTTCTTCATGCATAAAAGCGACATGACAGGACCAACCCCGGATCCTGTGGCGACGAGTACCATCTTCTTGAATATTGGAGCGATGTATAATACGCCTTTGGTCGGGATACCACGAACCCAAAGTTTTGTCGGTGGCGATTTGATGAGTTTCGAGGTCCAGTCGCCTGCAGCGGATACGATGACGGAGAATCCTTGGCCATCCTCATCCGGGATACCAGCAAAGGCATGCCATTCTCTAAGAGGGCTTTCGGACAGTCGAGCAGCTGCACCTGCAGGGCACTTGGTATAAGTGAAGTGTAATTGAATGGCGTGATCCGACAGTGGTTCCGCATCGACTGCAACCTTTCGGAGGGAGAGCCATGGCAATATGATAGAGATGGTCGTAATCAGGAGGCTCCAAAATATAGGACTGCCAGCAACTGCGCCTTGGAGCGTGATAGTCGAGTCTGAGCTGTGAATTTTTGCGTCCGTCAGAAGTCCAAAGAGAACCCAGAACAGTGCTAGGGCAGTCCAACCGGCAAAGCGGTGAACCAATTCAAACGAGTTGTGAAGTCTTACACGAATGCTCGGATGTGCCATGACCACGATGGAGATGAAAAGTCCGTCGATTACCGCCATGACAGCCGGTATGGCATAGTTGTGCGTGTCGAGTAGTTTTTCTCGAAAGAATCTGACCACAGCGATGGTGAAAAACACTAGCCAGAGTGTGGCCGACATTGCACCGCCACTGTGTACTCCTCCTAGATGGTAGATCTTTGCAGCCATGCAGCGGATACGTAGTGGGAACCACTGAGGACATCTACCGAACAAGTAGAAGAGAGCATTAATGACAAGCTCCTGTCGAATCAGGACCGACGCAGTCACGTTGATGGCTACAGCCGAGCCAGCCGCTGTTGGTGACATTGTAAGCAGCCTGTGCTGTGTAGCCAGGACTACCATGGCGATGATATTTGACGTGAGCACAATGATGTTGAGGCGCCGATAGACCGACAGAATGGTCCACCGGAGATTCCGTAGGATGCGATCATATTTTTTCTCCGGAAATGGTGTCACAGGAATAGTTGGCTTTTCAAGTACCATGTCTGATGCCATCACAGGGCAAGGGTGATCACATGCGCCGTCGAGTTTGGGCAGGATGGCTACCGAACTTGTAGGAGTAATCTCTGTGAGCTCAGAGGCTTCGGTTTGTGACGAAGGATAGTGAGGATCAACGGAGTGGTTCATGTTGTCATTGGGATAGTTCGGATCTGGATGATGGTTCGGCTTTAGGGAATTCGCGTCGTATGCGACACGGTGGTGCTGGGGAGGATGTTTCGACACCCAGAATGGGTGAAAAGTATCTGGCGCCATCCCTAACTGTGTAGACCAGAAAGATCAGTAAGACTTTTCAAGAAAAGTTTTGCTTGGAACGAGGACAAATGAACCAGGACAGAAATGAAGATAAAATGTTCCCGGGGACGAGGCAGAAAAGAACGGAAAGGCATTGATAATGGCTGCCATAACTACCCGAGTCGACTGCCTCGAGATGCTTCGAGGCAGTGAACCGAAATTCACATGGCTGCCATGACGCCGCGAAGCAGTCAATACACAAGCGCGAGGCAGTGGAGTGTATGGGTTTGCTGCGCGACAAACGGAGTACCTACCCAGATGTGAAGATATTTAGCCTATAAAGGAGGCGTGTTGAAGAGGTGACGTCGTGGTATGGATCGGTGTTATCGGCATCTGATAAGACGACGTTCCTGACGCTTTTATACCGCTGGCGTTGCAGTTGATCGTGGAGGTACCTGAAACGAGGACATATCCTGCGAACAGAAAACGGATCGTGAAGCCGAAGGGCAACGAGTGGATCGGATCATACAACGAGGTACCAGGTGGTATTTTGGGAATGACGAGGTGGAGGATGGTGAGTGAAGGGGTTACCGAGGAGGTATCGAACGTGAAGCATTGGACGAATATTCAAGGTGACTCGAAAACGTGGGCCATGAGAAATCATGCAACCACTGGCAGCCGTAGGATGACAGAAACAGCCAAAACAAAGGTATCCGATCCGAACGTAGCCGAGAAGAATTCCTCAACGTTGTGGCATCAATGGTGTTGTGATGGTGTTGCATGCACTTTCGTACAGATCCGTCCGTAAGTAGCTATAGTGGTATCTAGCTATATTTTGATATCCAATCGGCCAAGGCAGTGAGGTCAGGCAGTGAGAGAGATCCGCGGAACTGGGTCGATTCTTCCTCCAGCCAAGTTTGCATTGCCGGTAACCAATTGATAGTCCTCCAATATATTGAATCCAGCTGCATTCCTTCCGACTGCAGGCAAGAGGTGGACGGTGCAGACAAAGATGGAAGGAGCTGAGGTGCTGTAGTTGGAGTTGAAGCTGGACTGCATCATGGCCATCATTGGAACGGCCGTAGTAGAGTCGAGAATGACCAGGCTTGACTAATGATGCCGCTGTCAAAACCAGCAAGACAGATGGGAAGAGGCTGTATTCTTGTATCTCTTCCCAAAAGACCTGTTCTTTGTGAGGTGAGTTGCGTGAGGCAATTCATTCACCCGCGCCCACTGTAGCAAACTGCCCGTATTGTCAGCAAAAGATCTGTTGTCTCAAAGTGAATACACCACCAACTCTGTACCTGTCTTCAATTCTTTACCAACACCAACTTTTCATCTTCTCCGTCTTTATCAACCCACCTTTCTCTTGTTGGATAGGTCTCCTCTCACAGAGATCTACACCTCATCCGCTTCTGCATCCCCTCTTCCTTCGCACAAAGGGCATGCTCCTTGCAGCTCTTGTCCTACTTGACCTGCCACTGTCCACGCACACTTAGCCACACATATTGACACCTGTCTCTGTGCGCAAGCCACAGTTACACAATGTCTTTCTCTCCACCTCGTTCCGAGGACCACGTCAACCAGCAGGCCCATCAGTACGTCCGGACCGCGACCAAATCTCTCGTTATCCCGCCTGCAGACATCTTCACTTTTGCTTTCGCCAATCTTGGTCAATATGACAAGAACAAGCCGGTAAGCTGCTTGAACATGCGGGTATACAAAACAGGCAATCGCTGATTTGGAATCTTCCATTTAGATCTTCGTCCACCCGAGGAACGATGAGTCGGAATCGATCTCGGCTTCTCAAGCTTACCTTGTCGTGTGTCAACTTATCGAAGGTCTCAAGGAACTCGGAGTCAAGGAGGGGGACTGTGTGATCCTACACTCCTACAATAACGTAAGATTCTTCCTTCTGTTGCTCAAAACGGCTGTTGCCGCTACCCATCTGCTTCACCATCTGTTGTGTGACACTGCTGACCGGGTCGATCTGGGGGAATGATAGATCTGGTATCCCCTGGTTTACCTAGCCATAGTCGGTTCCGGAGCCTGCGTTTCGGGCGTCAATCCTGCATACACCTCTTCCGAGCTCGAGAGACATTTCAAACTCACAAAACCCAAGTTGATCTTCACTCAGACGCGCTGCATCAAGCCAGTCCTTGAAGCAGCCTCGATCTGTGACATCTCCAAATCAGATGTCTTCTTGATCGGTGGTGAGGGAGATGCGCCCATCGAAGGGTGCCGTAATTGGCGAAGTCTTTTGGTTGACTCGGTGGAACATCCATTCAACCACCATCCACAGAGCGGGGGAAGTCTGGCGGCGTATGCAACCACCAGTGGGACCACAGGTCTTCCAAAGGTGGCCATGATTCCACATCGCTACATCGTCGCACAGGCAGCAATTCTGGAGGACCAGTACAATGCGAGACCTTACCAGGTATTGTCATTCTTGACATCTGAGCACCCAAGAGTAATCAGACTGACATCTTTCACAGCCTTCACAGCTCATCTGTCTACCTGTCTTTCACGCCTTTGCATCACCACTGGCTCTTGTCCTTCCTCTCCGCCTCGGTATCCCCACTTACTTCTTGCCGAAATTCCACCTTCCGGATTTCCTTCACGCTGTCAACAAGTTCGGCATTACTGACGCACCAATCGTGCCTCCGATCGCTGGTATACTGGCACAATTGGGAGGTTTGGACGCCCACTCGATTCGGTTCTTGCGATACGTCATATGCGCCGGAGCAGTACTGAACCCGGTTGTCCAGGCCACGTTGATCAAGCGCTTGAGGCCAGGTGCTGTGGTCGCTCAATGTTGGGGAACCACCGAGGCGGGCTGGCACACTCTTCATGGTTGGTCTGAGAAGAATGACACCGGAACCGTTGGACGACTGCTACCCAACATGGAGATGAAGCTGATCGGTGCCAATGGAGACATTGTCAAAGAACATAACAAAGTTGGAGAAGCACTCATACGTTCGCCAACGATGTTCTTGTCATACCTTCCAAAAGGCAAAGCAAACCGAGACAGCTTTGACTCTGATGGATTCTACCGAACCGGTGATCTCGTCCTCATTCGAGACGACAACAAAGTCGTCCATGCCGGACGATGCAAAGAGATCCTAAAGGTCAACGGTTGGCAAGTCTCGCCAACGGAGGTCGAAAGCGTTCTTGAGTCCCATCCGCTGATTGCCGATGCTGCTGTCTATGGCGTCAGTTGTGAGGATCCCAATGGCACCTACCAGACCATACTCTGCGCCTATGTTGTCCAGGGCTTCCCAGAGGGACGGTTCACACAAGCTGCGATGAATTTGTCTGAAGACGACATCAAGGCATTCGTCGCTTCGAAGCTCATCTCATACAAACATCTCAAGGAAGTCAAGTTCGTCAAGGCAATTCCTCGCGCGCTCACAGGCAAGATTCTGCGAACTCGGCTTGGTATAGTGGAGGAAGCTGAGTGAAAAGACCTTGCTTTGCAGGAACATTCCGAAGAGGGCGTGTTATGAAGTCTTTGTCCTTGGGACTCCAAACTCGAGCCTGATCAAATGTTTCGAAGCGCATGAAGTCGCATCTTGGAGGGAATAGTCGCTGATCGGTAGAGGGCCGTCTAGGACGTGTGGCAGTGTCAGAAATACGTCACCAGGTACAACTTCTTCCTGGTGATCCATTGTAAGTTTAGAGCCCAAGACATTGGAAAGCTGGCCGTAGGCGAATGTAAGATCAAGGAGGTGACGGTCGCCGGACACCAAGCTACTTGAAATGTACGCGTCGCCGACACGGTCTATCAAAGCAAGATAGCAAAGGAGTTTAGAAGCAAACAAACAAATCTTCATGAGATGAAGCAAAGCCCTCGGCTAAGCTTCCATGTATGCGTTTAAAAAGTGCCCCTATTCACTTGCTATCACAACAAAGAGCAAGAAATAGCCGAGGATTAGCCTGACTAGACAAACAGACAGACTCTGGACAAGATAAGTATTCATTCCTTGCACTGTTCAGCAACAGTCAGACTGCACAAGATGGCGACAACAACCCAGCCAGACATCCCCGTGCAGATAACTGTACCCAACGACACAAACCCGACCAGCGGTACACCACTGTTGAGGGCGGAGCGGCGCATCACCCCGTCCTGGACCATCTCACAACTGAAAACCAAACTCGAGCCTGTGACCGGAATCCCCGCATCAGCCCAGTCCCTGAGGACAAGGGGCCTTGATGGGTCATGGATCTCTCTGTCCGACGAGAGTTTCGTTGGCGATCCAAGGAATGGTCTTCACCGCGGCTCGGAGATTGAAATCCTGGACAGTCGACCCGTAGCAGCACGGCAGACAATCAATTTCAACGATCTGAGTTCCGTCGAGAAGTACCAGATGCCTGAGACCCAGTACGAGAAGCTGGAGGATTCTGTTCTGGCATGGAAGCGCCGCCAGGGTCTGGGCAGGTTCGATCCACATGCTAAGGACGCACAGAGTCTCGCCGAGGAGAGGTTCAAGCATGATAGTGCTGAGATTGAGCGGCGGCAGATCAAAGTCTCCATGCGGTGCCGTGTAGGCCGCGATGATGGAAGACGAGGCACCGTGCGATATGTTGGCGAGATCCCTGGCTTGGGAGGCGTCAAGGAAGCGGGGTGTGTGTGGGTGGGTGTTGAACTGGATGAGCCAGTTGGTCGAAATGATGGGAGCGTGGTCGTTGAAGAAGAGGATGGAACAGAAACAAAGAAGAGGGTGTTTACCTGTGGGGAGAAGTTCGGTGTTTTTGCAAGGCCAGAGAAGGTTGAGGTTGGCGAGTGGCCGGTGCTGGATGATCTGATCGATGAGGATATGGAGGAGGTCTGAGGAACGGCATAACCTCCGTCCACATGATCAAGTCAACGAAGACTCCCAGGATCTGGTGATCCTGGAGGCGCCGCGAACAGACTTGAGTGTTGGCGTGACACGTATGGAAGCAGCATGTCAGAGATCAAAGGCCATGCCCTGGCCCACGACGGAACTGGATGAACGTGGTCCCAGATACACGCGAGACGCGAAAGTGCGGGACACGCATCTGCCTTCGGCCACACGCTACCGACGGGCAAGACGATCAGGAAGGGTGCATCTTAAGAATGAAAGCATGCGAAGTAGATCACGATCATGCAGAATCTGCACTGCTATGCGAGCAAGACCATGAAACGAAAGTGGGAAGACAGTGGGGGAGCTTGGCTCAAACACAAATTCATTGCGTCTTGACGACCATCTTTGAAGCACGGCATCTCAATGTCGCGTTCGGCTTCATGAAGCAGACGACAAGCAGCGCTCCAGTGGCTGTTGTCTTTCAAAGTGGGCATGTTATCATTGCAAGCAAAAGCGGTATCTTCAAGTCATATGCCCGTCGAACAAAGTTTGGCCAAAGGTATTTTCATTCCAGTCATGTCGACATGCACGATAGACATATAGAGTCAATGCGTGCCGAGACAAGTTTAGACAGTCCAAAAGCCTTATTCCTCAAATTCAATGGGGACTGGCTCACATCCTTGACTGAAGAATATCTGCGCCGGCTTATCCAATTCGTTCTCGATCGAGTATTGATTGCCTGTCAACACATATTAGCTCTTATCGCACGACAGACAGCCGTAGTGGACATAAAACTCACCTCTAGGAACTTGCCAGAACCCCCCTTTGCCAATGCTGAACCGGCTCGTACTGCCAGTCTCTTCACCGCCAATAGGGCCAACACTCACTGTGACACGCCCTTTCACCACGAAGAAACTCATGTGCATCATTCGACTGTTCTTCGGTCGCTTCAGTCCTCCAGGAGGTAAATCCAGCAGTCCCGACCCCATAAATTTCGTGCTTATCAGTTTGGCGTATCTAAAGGTCGGCCGTCCGTCAGGACTGGATCCTTTCTTGACTTCGCGCGTCTTGATAGCGGATGCAGCGTATGCGATTTCAATCTCCTCTTCCTGCTCCAGAGGTGCTTGCTCTGCACCATCCCATATCGAAACGTTACCTCGAAGCTTTCCTCCGCCCTCTGTCTCCCACGGCTCTGCATACGGGTCTTCTTTCGGCACGTCGTCCTCATCCACGTCAGAGTCGGACGAGTCCGAATCTACCACCGAGACCGCGCGTGCCTTGCCTTTCTCTTTCTCTTTTTCTGTCCCTTTAGCGTTCTTTTTCTTCTTCTTCTTTGACTTTGGCTTCTCCCAATTTTCGTTGACTTCTTCTGTTCGTACAATCTCCTTGATGCTATTCAATGGGTATCGAGCATCTTTGGGCAAAGGGCTGTTCTCACCAAAGATGCATCTCTCGTTACGCCAGTATGCCAACGGCTTGATGCTGACGCGGCCACTTCTGGTATGCGTCACGCCTTCATCCGCTGGCGTTTCTCGTCGTAAAATGTATAAAGATCTTGGAGGACCTGGCCTTGCTTTCACCTTCTCAATGATATCGTCAAGTTCCTTCTCCTGACGTGCGGACATCTTAACGTTGGGGTCTTTGTTCTTCAGCGGCTGCTTTCCCTTTGCCTTTGAAGGCTGTGCTTTCGGTGTCGGTGAGGGTCTAGGACTATCTTGTGCGGGAATAGGTTGTTTGTTGTTCGTTTTGCGAGATTTCTGAGGCACGGGCGAGACAGCAGGATCCTCGTCCACATCCAGCGCATCCGACTTGCGCTTCTTCCGCGAGTTGGGTTGGTTTTGTATTACTGGTGGTAATGACGGTTCAGGCTCGAACGTCCTCTCCACCTCCTCGTCGTCGAAATCCTTGGGAGGGCTGCCCCGGTCTTCAATTTCTTCCCTTTCTTCTCCATCGGAGATCACCTCCTCGTTATCCGCGCCGCTCGAAACGTAGTCATCAGGTCCGTCAATCCCATCATTCGGTACGTATTCATCGACAATCGGGGTGGTTGGCTCCTCCTCTTGCGCTGCCTCCTCGGTGGGCTGCAACGAATCCTCCTCAATCGACGCTGATATCTCACTTTCAGCTCTTTCAATCTCGCTCATGCTAGTCCGGGGCGCCCTATTGGGATATGAGCTGTTCGTGGTGATATCCCGTAGAGGTGACTTGTTAGGACTTGGAGTCCGAGTGTGTGCCCGTGCCTGTTGACTTGGAGTCGATTCAGGCGCATTTTCAGTATCTTCCAGGTCTTCATGTCGTAAGCTTTTCCTGGTTGAAAAGATATGGACGCTGTTGCTTTTCCTGGCAGTGTGCATTTGCGTTTGTTGCGTCGGTGTCAAGTCCGGTGCATTCTCACCATCTTCCGGGTCTTCATGATGCAAGCTCTTTCTCGTCGAGAAGATGTCGACGCCATTGCTTTTTCTGGCAGTACCAGTTATCCCGCTTTTCCTCGGTGATGAAGATCTAGGAGGTCGCCGCGGGGTTGAGCGAGTTGATCTGCGTATCGCTTGAGTTGGAGTGGTGCTCAGATCTGTAGCGGTGTCAGTCTGGTCTCGATGTCATGCAACCTATGCGACGTACTTGTCTCTTCCACGCTTTCCATCACCATCACATTCTTCAGAGGAGACGGCTTGCGAGGAGAAGAGAAGATGCCGGTGATTTCTTCCATGCCATTCGCATCGAGGGGTCTGGGGTCTAACGTGACTCCAGTGCGCCTATCCCGGGTCAGTCTTGTCCTTCTGATGCTGTGCATGGTATCCCACCTTCCCAGCTTCCCAACTGCGGAGTAGTCGACATTGTCGCGTTCGCGATGAACAGGCGGTCGAGGCGCCATAATGGCGGTAAAGAGTCGCGAAGGCCCCACGGGGTGTGTCAGGTTGGAACAATGGAGCCGCGATCAAGCTCCGATGCTGCCTGCAATGAGTTATCTTTCATCCGATGTTGATTGAGGATGGAGGTTGTTGTCTAAAAGGCCCGATCGAGTTAGCGTTGGTAGAGACTGCCCCAATGCCAATTCCGAAGTGAAGCCGGCCCAAGACGCGTCCTGTGCCTTGTCCGATTATCGAGTCGCGTCTTCACAATCCTTAGATCCAAGCCTCCCGAGTCCAGACAATATACGGAGCTTTGTGCCTACTTCCCTCTATCAATCATGGAGGAAGAACTCCCCGCATCTTCAGTGTTTGTACCTCCTTCGGTGCAATGTCATCAGGACGCACTGTTGTCTGGAAGATCGTATGCACACTACAGCGAAGTCCCAGAGGGCGTTACCACAAATAAATCTGGATCCGAACCTGGGACGCCATGTGTACTCGGTGTGGACGAAGCAGGTCGTGGGCCTGTCATCGGGCCCATGATATACGGTGTCTACTACCTCCCAATCGAGATGGAACAGTCCCTGCTGGCGACTACATATCACTTTGACGACTCCAAAGTCCTGACGCCAGTCGTGAGGGCTAACCTCATGAAAGCAGTCTGTTCATCAGAGACAGATCTGTTCAAGTCATCCGGCTGGGCCATCAAATCTCTTAGTGCTCAGGACATTGGTGCTGGCATGATGAAGAACGGCGGATCATACAACTTGAACGCCCAGGCCATGGATGCCACCGTCGAATTGATCCGAGGTGTCATCGAGCGAGGCGTTAACGTCAGAGAAATCTATGTCGACACCATCGGCAGGCCAGATGTCTACCAGAGAAAGTTGGCACTCATCTTCCCAACCATTAAAATTACTGTCGAAAAGAAAGCCGACAGTCTGTATCCGTGCGTCAGTGCAGCAAGTGTCGTCGCCAAGGTCACAAGAGACGTGAGTTGCGAGGCTCTATTTGAGGCCTACACCCAGCAACAAACGACCTCATGCAAGGACGACACAGTCAGCTGGGGTTCTGGTTATCCATCTGATGCAAGATGTGTCAGTTGGCTGAAGTCAGCGATCGACCCCATCTGGGGGTTTGGAAATGAATGCAGATTCAGCTGGGGCACCATCAAAGACATGCTAGAGCAAAAAAGTGGACCGGCAATGCTGGCAGACTGGCCCGATGATGCCGAAGACGATAACATGAGACTTTCCCACTACTTCGGCAGCAATGGCATGTCTGGGCCAAGAACAGAGAGCGACGAGCTGAGGACTTGGTTCGGCACCAGCGTGGGCCAAGAAGCGTTCTGAGTCGGAGCGATTCGATTCGTATTCAGCGCATCACAAAATGTCATTTTATATGATTCTCAACCACGAACGCTGCGCCAGATGTATGGGTATAACGGGCTCGCAAAGGTGCACCTTCTCACAACTTCGCTTTCACCCAAAGACCCTTCATGGCTCCCTCAATACCTGGGAGATTGGCCGGACCATCATAGATGTCCCGCTCCACAGCCCTGGTGTTAATATGCAGAGGACTGAGGTCACTCATCTTTGGAACACCCAACAACCGAGCGGCTGTTGCCGTCTCGTCACGAAGGATCTCAAGGACTCTTTCAACGCCTTCGATACCTCCAGCCGCCAAGCCAAAGAGCGCGCCACGACCGATACCCACGGCCTTTGCTCCGAGTGCCAACGCCTTTACCACGTCGGTACCTCTCTTGATGCCGCCATCGACCACAACATCAAGCTTAGTGAGGACTTCGGGGCAGTATTTCCGAATCTCTAGCAAAGTGTGGATGGCAGGTGGTGCTGTGTCTGCGGCACGACCGCCATGGTTGGAAAGGATGATGCCCTTGACTTGATCTGTGTGATGAGAAGCAAGATAGGCGTCTTCATGGCACTGCAAGCCCTTGAGGATGATGGGCTTGTTTGTATGCTTCTTCAGCCAGGGAAGTGTCTCAGTCCAGGTCAATGTTGGGTCGGTACCAAAGAACAAGGATTGACCAATGCCACCGCCACCTTTGAGCTCTGCTCCACCTGCATCCTTGATGGCCTGGCTTGTGTCCTCGACAACATATTTTGATCGCTCGTCCTCTTCTCGCTTGCCGGGTACGGGCGCGTCGAGTGTTAGGCAGATAAACTTGATGGCATCCAACTTGTTGATTCTTCCCAGCATATCTTCTGATTTCTTCCGCTCTGTCTGGACATATAGCTGCCAGCCAAACACTTGACCTGGCCCTGCATCTTTCACAATCTGTTCTGGTGTCATAGAAGCATTGTTCGAGATCATCTGTATGGTGCCAAACTTCTTGCATGCCTGAGCAATTCCCCATTCGCCGTCCGGATGGGCGAGTCTGGCCATAGCTGCCGGCGACACAAATATTGGTATCTCAAGCTTGTGTCCTAGGAAAGTGGTGCTTAAGTCACAGTCCCGACAGTCGACGAAGACCCTGGGCCGCAGCAGTATCTGCCTATAAACAGAATTGTTGAAGTGCTTGCTGGCCAGATCGTCAGCGGCAGAGTAGTAGTATGCCCATCCTTTCTTGGACATTTTCTTCTTCCCAGCGGCCTCGACTTCATTCAAGTTCAGCAGCGCACCCAGTGGTAGTTCAATCTGACTGTCTGGTTCTGGTCCAACATCTTTAGCCGCCTTTACAGGCTCAGGGAGTGTCTGAGGGTTGATCGGTCCAATGCGCGCGGACTCCGGCAGGTTGTCTTCGAGCGTACCGGGAGGGTGAATCGGGTCGTACTCTTCGGTAGCATCTTTACCGGCAAGCTTGAGGATGATGTTCGCGCCACCAGGGTGGTTGGGCAGGAAGTCGGTCACGTCCCACACATTGCCGTAGAGTATCACCCAACATGACTCTTTGGACTTGTGTTTCTGTACTGTAGATGCAGGTTAGCTGGGTGGTCGGAGCGCAGCGACGTGGATGACTCTCTCACCCTCTGCGTAATCAATGACCTTCGACATGCTGCCGCTGCGTCGCCTGGCTCAAAGTCCAGCGTCGCTAATCACACAGCGTTGAATGCGCTCAAGTAGATGTAGATTCCAAAAAGCGAACGGAGCAATCGCCAGCACTGATATACCGACGCCGCCATTGGTGTCGTCCCACCCCCACGGTTCATGTCTCCAATTCTCGGAATTCTCGCATCATCCAGGGGGGAATACTCGCTGCAAGATCGACCGAGGGGCTTAGAAATGACATGCGCTCGGTAGGAAGGGCGACACAGCGAGACCTATCCGCATTGATGGACAAGGGCGGTCTTTTTGCCAATACCAGGTATACTTGTAAGTTATTAGCATCAAACCATCACTTCTTCATTTACCTGTACTTTCGAGCACTTCTTGTTACTACAACCAATTCTGCCTCACCCACACAAAAGGCTCGTATAACAAATACCCAATGCCGATCGAGCAAAAAAACAAAAACTCTGTCTACAAGCTCCTTATGGAGATTGTAGGTAAGTGAAACCAGCTTTACCTGGTTTTTTCCGTTACTACGATACTACGAAGGGGGAGGGGGAAGTTTGCCTCGTGGATTGTTCAAACTGCATCTCATCAAGTAGGGATGATGGAGGATCGCACAGGACTTTTCCACTCGGCCATCATCAAGAATGCTTTTGCAAGACTTTCAGGCTTCATTGTGGATTGAAGCAGAAATCCGACACTCAAATACATATGCGACCATTATTTCATACCACTTCACCGCCAGGAGGTGCGGTACAGTCTCACCTCGCGGTGCCCTTGACTGTGACGTTGGCTGTATGGGCACCTGAGGACGGCTGATACTGGGATATGGCGCCTGTAGGGGGCCATAGCCGACCGTCTATAGGGTTGAACGGTAAGTCCAAAATATCCATGAGGTCAGACATATGCGCCAGATATGCAATATCATGGTTGGTTGAGACTGCAATACACTTATATTGAGTTCCTCTATACCAAGGCTACAAAAGTACGTGGAATGCCCGTTACATTGCGTCCTGACGATCCATGTTGCTCCATTGACATTGCTTGTACTTGGGGGTATGTTCCGGGACGTGAGCCCAACATTGCAACCCAAAAAGTTCACACAGTTTGAACTTTTCCAATGGATGGTCTTCTCTCGTACACACCAAGAACAACTCGACTCGTGGCTCAACAGGACCTCGGCATACTATTCGAAGTTTCTTTATGCGGAAGAATCGACAGCCGCCCAATGCGCCGTCCATCGAACCAATTACACGGCCCACAGACCACCAACGCACAGCCTATAGCACCCCAAATACAACCTCGTCCACGATACGAGATACGCTCTTTCCCCAGATCGATGCACTGCACGAGGTATTGCTTCTGCAATGTCAGACGAGTCCACTGCCACTCCTTGTACCTGACTCTTCATCATGGTATTCATAACTCTGGCTATATGAAGGCCACTTCCTTGCTATATGATTGCCATCGCTAGGACAATCGTCTCTTGAGTCAATCTGCATCATTCCATGCCCAACAATGGTCTCCTTCGCACCACTCATAAGGGGTTTGTCCGCCGCATCTTCACTCTTGACAAGTCCTCTCAATGACGCTGCCACGTTGATTCTCGGTACGAGCCAGCAGGCGCTCATTCAGCCAGTCCTGCCACCCACTCTGGATCTCAACGTCGTGAGCAACCTCACCACCGATACAACATCGACGTCAGACGAACTGGCAGTACCCAACCCGCCAATGCCATTTTACCTCATAGCCCACCGGGTCTCCACAGTCCAAGGCGTGCAAGATGCTCTCTCCCATGGCGCTAATGCCATTGAAATGGATCTTACTGCCTACAACAGCGGCTGGTACGTAGACCACGACGGTATATGGCTCACCCGTGGCGGCAGCGCGCGCCAAATGTTCCAAGCCATCGCAGACGCTCGTCAGGCCGGCAAGACAATCACTTTCGTGTGGCTCGATATCAAAAATCCAGACTACTGCGATCCAAACAAGCCAATGACAGAGCCATGCTCGATCGACACCCTGCAGGATCTGGCACGCGAGATCCTCCAGCCATATGGTGTGAGGGTTTTGTACGGCTTCTATGGCGGCAGCAACATCGGACCTGCCTTCAAAAGAGTCATTGCTTCTCTGAACGACTATGAAGCTATTGATCTCGAAAGCCTAGCAGCGACTGTCCAACAGGCATTCTCTGCCGCCGGACTCTCCCAATCAGCAAAAGGCATCATGTCCTATGGCAATTTCATTCTCGGGTACCAGTTCGGCAATTGCGAAGAAGAAAGCTATTACACCTGTACCGAGCTCCGTCAAGCCGTTGAGTCGAGACACTTCGGCAAGGTCTTTTCGTGGACCCTCGAGGCTGGGCAGAGCTGGTATCTCGACAAGCTCATGGGCGAGGCGAGTGTTGATGGGCTCATTTATGGCTTCAAAGCAGCTCCATATTACGACCATCCGGATACTCGGTCTGCGGCACAAGATATATTTTCTTGGATCAACGACCATTCTGATCGCCGCTATGTCGCCACTCAAGATGACCACCCGTGGTAGACGACATACTGATGCTCCTTGTTCCTAGTATTGCTTTTAGCCACTACAATTTGGATGAAATTCAGACAGACAATGCACAAATCGGCGAGGCAAAGTCAAGAGTTCTGCCCCAAATCTCCTTTCCAGCAATCCTGCATCAATGTCGAAGTACGTGCACGACCTGTGTCCACCGTCTCTTGGGCACTCCGTGATGCTCGACTCCAAGCGCCACATCAACTCGGCGTGGTGCACTGAGGATGCGTCATGTGCTCACAAGGCTACGCCCCACCTGGGCGCATTGATGATGATACCCATGAGACATCCGGAGATGATGCCGGTCACTGGTAGCGTTATGAACCAACCGAAATAGATCCACGCGACCATTCGCCAGTTTATGGTCCTCCACGTGCCGGAACAGAGTCCTACACCAACGGTCGCGCCAGTAATACATTGGGTGGTTGATACTGGAAGTTCTGCACGTGACTCTTAGCAGACGCCCTCGAGCAACTTGCCGGCAAGGGGAAGACTTACTGAGTCTAGTAGCAAGGATGATTGTAATGGCAGAGCCGAGTTCCATGGAGAAACCTCGTGAGGGAGAGTGGAGGGTGATCTTATTGCCCAAGTTGCGCATGATGTTATAGCCGTAGGTCCAAAGACCAATAACGATTGCAGCACCACCGAAAGCCCTGAGATACAGTTAGACACTGTTCAGAGAGTTGTAGAGCATGCTTGGCATCCGAGCAGAGACTTACAAGATCCAGTATGGCACAGGAGTTTTCGATTTGAGCTCGTTATTGGCCCAGATATAATAGATTGTGGTGTAGGGTCCAATTGCGCTTTTGGAATTTGTGGTTAGCCTTCTACGAATGCCTGAGATCATGTCCGGAAAGAACTCACTTTGAAACGTCGTTGGCTCCGTGTGTGAATGATGCCGTGGCCGCAGTCATGGCCTGGAGAAAAGAGTACAAATATTCGGCACGATTGTCGTAGTGTTTGGCGTGAGCGTGGACGGCCTCGAGGTCGCCGCTCAGAATGTTGCGCTTTTTCTGCATACTGACAACGTCCTGCTCGACGCCACGGAACAGCGCGCGCTTGAGCTGCCAGAACAGGACTGCCGGGCTGGAGTTCTTTCCTTCGGGGCGAGGGCCGATGATGGAGAGTGGTGGGGGGCCAGCAGCAGCAGCAGTAGTAGTAGTAGCGATAGGACTCACATCGTGACCAACACCGGGCCCGTCGGGGTAAATCTTGTCGTCTGTCAGGTTGCTGTCCCTGAGCTTCTCCGAAGGATGTTCATGGCTGCGCTCGACATCTTGTGTCTTGACATTCGCCGAGGCGCGTTGGGCTTGGAGCTCCTCCAGGGTCAAGTGGTCGCGGTAATAGTCCTGGACGACCATATAGCCTTCAGGCATAGGCGGTGTTTCTCCGCGTCGCAAAAGTAATGGTCCTAGTGGAATATGCCACCATTTGAGTTGCCAGTCATTCTTGAGCAAGACCCGATAGAGCCACGGAAGGAAGAAGACAGCGACGAGGAGGGTAACCGCAGCGCCGACGCCGATGATGACGCCGACGGTTTCCGCGTTGCTGAGCGTGATTCGCGAGGAACCTCCCTTCCAAACGATGAGCACTAAGACACGTCAGACTCATACCCAAGGCACTTTGGAAGGGGAGGAGACTTACTGGTGAGAAGTGCCGAGGTGATGCCAAAATAGACTGGGATTGTCACGAAAGCTTTCATGACTGGGTTCTTGCGCAACATAACTCCGTACTTGGTGATGAGGAATATCACTGCACCGAAGCCACCAGCAATGGTGGGCGCGAATATCCAGGCCAGAAACACTTGTACAACACCAGAGTTGACGTTGCCACCCCACCAGTGAATCCCATCCGAGCCCAGAGTTGCTATCCCCATGCCAATCACGCCGCCCAAAATGCTATGGGTAGTGGAGACCGGCAATCCAAGCTTGGTAGCAACAGTGAGGTAGCATGACGATGCAACCACGGCACACACCATGCCCAGCATCAGCAAGGCAGGGTTGTCTGCGAATTGATCCACGTCGACAATCTTTGTCCGGATGGTGTCGGCAACGCGGGCGCCGACTCCCATACTATTCAAGGGTCAGTAGTTCTTCACAAAGTAGCCACCCTGTCGAAGGTGCTCGCCATATCTTACCTGCCAGCAAACTCCATGACGGATGCAATACACATGGCTTGGAGATAAGTCAATGACCTGGACGAGACGGACGTGGCAAAGGAATTGGCAACATCATTTGCACCGATGTTCCATGCATCAAGAAAGGCAAAGATCGTGCCAATGGCAAACAAATAGTCATATTGATGGAGATACATCTCGAATCGTCCCGTGATCAGAGAAACTGAAGGGTACAGCCGAGGTTGCTGGGGAAAAGGAACAAGATATCAAGGCGAGCCCTCCTGCATTTTATACCGGTGCTTGAACAAGAGTTTTCAGATACTGGGCATCACCGTTGATGACCCCCTGCGACTGGCCCAAGACGCCTTCGAGAAAGGATAGACCTTGATGCCAAGAGTGTATGCGTCGTCCATGGCAGGGCGATATCGCTGGGCATTCTGGGCATTGCAGAAAGGGGGAGCAGAGCGGAGTGATGAGGGCTTGAGAATATCGTATAGACTTATACAGACTGGACCATCATGGTATTGGCAACAAGGTCAAACTTTCGTTGCCAAGTCGGTATGATTTCTTGGTAAAAGCTCAAGCTAATCAGGCGTGTATAGTCAGCCACGTGCACATCGGAGTTTCCACAAACGATATCACGAAACATCAAACCCTCTCGCGATGATAATGATATTTTTTGTTGCAATCGTGGCTTAGATCGCTTGGCCTTCTTGGAACATGCCACTGCCAATACTTGGGAGCATGTCAAGGTCGTTCTCGCCTTGACTTAACCGGCAGCAGAAACAGACGTTGCGCATGTTCGGAGTCTGCGCTCTTGACTGGTCATATCATATGCTGGGACCGTCAGTAAGCCAGGCTCTAGGCGGCTTGGTATAGCATCTCGTCACGACAGGTTGCGAAAGGAGGGATATGAGAAGAGCGGAGCTAGGAGGACGTCGAGACGCAATAAGATGTGCTTGTCTCGGCTGACCTTCCATTCCACTCAACCTCAGCCTTGCTCTACGTAGCGCAAGGCTGGTACCCCTCTTGCCCTTCACCTCAACTGCGTTTCTTCACATCTCATCTGTTACCACCACCTGTATCCCGATCTAGAGCCCCCGCTGAACTCCCGGGAAGGCGCCAATCCAGTCGATGAACATGTCCCTTCAATAGCCTGCTGCTATCGTTGAAATTGAATGCTCAGTCATGTTCACTGTAAGCATATCGTCACATCCTTTCAAGCACCACGCACCCGCTACACAACTCGAGACTAACACAACGTGCTGTAGTCTCGCCATGCAGAAGACCAATTCCGCCTGCGCATGCATCGCGCACGCAGCATCGACCTAACCAACGATGAACTTGTCGAAGTCCGCGCCGCCCAACGCACCTTTGAAGGTGCCTACATCCGCACCTCACTCTCTCAATTCTCCTTCGCCCTCGTGGTGCTCAAGATCTTCACGTCCGAGTTCTATAGTATAGGGGCTCTGTTCGCTGTTTATGGAGCCGGAGTTCTGGTCGTCAGCGCGTACCGCAGACAACAGGGGAACCAACAATTCTTCAATGAGGTCAGCAATGACGGGCTGCATAGGAAGAGATTCAGAACTAGTGGGAATGTCGTTGTGGTTTTGACCGCTCTGAGTATTGCCGCGTACGTTACGCTGTTGGTCCTGACGTTGAGGCTTTCGACATGAAGGAAAGCATAACGACTTGATCGACAAGGACTGAGTATAAAAGCATTTACACGTGCCAAAGCCGACATTTGAACATGGACGGAAATTGGAGACAGCCCTTTCATCAGCATGTGACGGGAAAGGAGACGACCGGTCGATGCCTGGAGAAAAAGCGTCGAGGAAATCCAGCAAGGTTCGAATCCTGCTTAGCATCATTGCGAACAACAACTCGTGGGCACCGGGACGTGTTTCTGGACGGATCAAGGGTGCATAGACGTTCCGAGATGCGATACAGGCAGAGCACAGTCATATTCAACTCCAGCCTCGCCACATGAGATTGATGTCCCACATCTCAAGAGGTTATATTCTTGTCCCGGCCACCCCACCGCCTGTCAAGAAGAGCACGATGCTCTGCCTAGGATGAGTGCAATGGGAATACACGCGTGACCTTTACCAAGCAGGGAAAATCCTCGGTGATGAAGGATCGTGGTTGCGGGAAGTAGGAATATTCACGCTCCGACCTGGCCTTCTGATTGTGACAGGTGGGTTTCCGACATCGCATATCGAATCTGTTTGAGCAGGCATTAACAATGGGCCAATGTCCGAAGCGACTGAAAGTTGGCTCAATATATCTGGTAGCCATGGACCAAGCTTCTCAAATGCTGTCTGAAGGAGCATAGCACCAGGTAGCACTCATACAGCATACCGCCGTCCAAGACATGGGTCACAATGGTCGATTCCTCATTTGAACTCATCACCATCACCATCCTCCTGCATTGCCTTCTCCATAGCTTCAAAAGCCTCTTTCGTCTCATCATCCTCGTTGTCACCTCCTTTGACCAAGCGAGCGACTTCTTCCGCGATAGAACCATTCTCACTCCCAAAAACCTCCTCAACATCAATACCTCTGGCCATCATCGCCCCCTCAACAGCCAGCCTATCAGCCGCAATATTGCCCACATTGTCTTTATGTCCCTTGACCCACACAAAGAACGTGCCTTTACTGAATTGGTCTCTCTCTTCGATCTTCTCGCGGATATCCACCACCAAATCTTTGTTTTCCACAGGCTTGCCCTTGGCATTCGTCCAATTGTTCTTCTGCCAGTTCTTGTACCAATTCGTGACGCAATCAATGCTGTACTTGCTGTCCGTGTAAATAGTCACGTCGCGATGTAGAGGTGCGATGTTCAGTGCTCGTAAGATCGCAGTCAACTCGGCGCGTTGATTGGTTTGTTTGCTGCCCTTAAGTGCCTCGGAGACATTTCTGTAACGCCAACTCGTTAGCTTTTCTTCTTCGAGGTCATCGCTGTCTCTTCGTCGCTCTTGCTCGGCGGGGGTTTCAGGCTTGTGCCGCGTCGCCCAGTCCATGGTATAGACTCGCTGAGTCTTTCGACGCTGTGCGCGGGATTTGAATTTTTGAGAGGTGGAGGTGGAGGTATCATACTTTGGATCTTGTGGTCCGAAAAACACTCCCACTCCTGCCCTGGCCCCTGCTTGGCCGTTGCGTAGACTCGATCCGTCGGTATAAATACGTAGCATACCCGGCGCATCTCGTTCTCGGACCATCATTTTTGTCTTGCGTTTCTCCTCTTCAGTCCGGTTGACCAACGTCCCGTCTGGGCCCAGCTTTACGTTGGGATCGTAGCCGTCCTCGGCACCGGGCGGTAAGGGTCGTCGACCAAGTTCATAGGGGTTTCCATCTTTGTCGGTCGGAGCATATGTTCCATTGATCTGGAGGCCAGGCGCTGAGTTCTTGACAATCAACCTCCGTATCTCTTCTTCTGGACTGATGTTCTGTGCCGGTTCTGAACCACTGGATTTCTTCCCTGCAGCGACAAAGGCTTCTGCTTCGGCTCTTGTGTTGAATTTCTTGTGCTTGGGTTTGCGGAAGCCTCGTATTTGAGCCTGTGCTTGCGTCCAATCCGTGTATACGCCTGGGATCTGTCCACATTGAACTGCATAGTATTTCTGGTCGGTGGAATTGGACTTGTTCTCGGCTAGGGGTTTGCCATCCATCCAAGCTTGCGCTTCGTGGAGATTCTGGAAAGCCTTGACTGTGAAGTGTCAGCACTCATGCCTAAGTCATGCGGACTGCTGTTCCATACAGACGGCACCCTTGAAGCCCTTGACTTGGCCTAGACAGTCTGGCCAGGTCTCATAGATGCCTGGCGTCTTCCCCTCTCTTACGGCATAGAATTTCCGTTCCGTAGTTCTCTTTCTCTTCTGTCCCGCAGCAGCGTTGGTGGCAGTAAGGCCAGGACTTGACCGCGAGGCATCGTTCCGGGCGGCTGGAGCTGGTTGTGCCATGATGATGCGGTGGTAGAAGGGGCGGAGAACCAGACTGAAACGTCGAAGGCGAGGCAGATTGATGGTCTTTTGGGAAGGAGGGGAGCGAATCCACGCGTTCGCAGGAAGTGAAACGAGACGTAGTGAATCTTTCGCGAGCAAGGAGTATTTGGAGGGCAATGTCACGACGCGCTTTTGCTAGGCTGAGGACGATGGTAGTCCAAGTTCATGGGCGCTTCTGGAGGCAGCAGCAAGGAAGCGGTGAAGGAGGAGGCAACCAAAGAGCTCCGGTTCTCAGAGAAAGGGAGGACCAGGCCTTGCAGGGTCGTCGTGTGGCCGTACAGCGGAGAACGGAAATGCAGGGGGTCTGTCCCGGAGGATCTCCCTCGCGCGGGGTATGGTACACGGTCTATATACATTCTTCAATAATGTTTACAGAGCCCACACTCGAAGTTCTTCTCTTCCTCACAGGCTGTCGGTAGGTGTGTGCCTGTAGATACGAGGATTGGCCGGTCGTTCCCGACTGAGGCCTGTATCACCATCTTTACCTAGTACTACACCCTCATTCTCATTCCCTCGTACTCTCGTCCTGCCAGCGCAACCCTGATCTCGCGTCCCCAGTCACCGGCCTGTCTCTTGCGCTGCTCTCGATCTCTTGACCCCTCTCACCCACTTCCCGTTCTACAGGGGTCTGTGTCCCCACTGGGGGAGTATCAACAGGGAAATGTATCGGTCGAGGCGGTTCGGCTGGATCATCTACGACCCCATTTCTTCCTGAAGATTGGGTTGTGCTGGATCTTCCAATCTTGAAAACCGCAGGACTTGGCTGATGGTCTCCTCGGTTGTTCTTCTTCCTCCGTCGAAGCGGACTGTTCGGTTGATGTCGTCGGAGGTGGATGTCAGGCTCATCGTCTTCCCTGTCACTGCTGAGTGCCTGCGAAATGGTCCGTGGAAAGTGATATCCAAGCTTCCCCAATGGAATGGACAGTCCATGAACGACAATACTGCAAATGGCCAGAAACCAGATGACCACCCTCATGATAGCTGCTAATCTTTCCGCATCTTCGCGCACCACCCCATCCACCGTGACCTGATTGAGGAAATCCACACTGACATAGAGATAGAAGATTGCCGACACTCCAATTGGGCCAAAAAATCCCACGAATATTGCTTGTTGAAGATGCTCGATCTCCTGTATCTTCTTGTGCATAGCAAGGACAATCGGTACCCGACGCAACAATAGAATCAATATCCCAAGGAAGATCAGACGATATATCGGTATAAAATCGTTCGATCGAAAAGACGCCCACGGACAGACCGCTCCGAACCACAGAAAGACAGAGATGTTGAGCAACATGTCTATAGTAGGCTGAAGAGAATCATCGGCCGTCTCCAGGCGGAACCTGAACAGTGATCAGCAAAGCGTTTCTCAACCATCGAACCTTAGGCATAGGAGTACTCACCAATCGTCCCAAGTAAACGCGTTTCCAGCGACAAAACAGGCCAACACATCATCCGAGCCGATCATTCCGCAAGTCCCCGTGATGAAAAGCGCAAGTGTGATAGCAAAGACAAGGAAGCTCTCGCGATCCACATACTTCCTCTCCTCAGCAAAATGCAAGAGCTCTTTCGCCAGCCAGCCCACAGCAAAACCGTACACGACGCTCAACAGAATAGTGTACCCCCAAGTCTCACCAAACCAGTATCCCATCGCCTTTGCCGCGCCACCAGGTTGTCCCGCGCCTCCATCCTGAGTGTACTTGATGAGGTACAGGGCAAGAAACAAGAACGGGTACCCAAGCCCATCGTTTGCGCCGGACTCGGCAATGATGATTTTCTGCAACGGTTTCGGGATATTCTTGTCCGCGAATTTTCCTTTGACAATAGAATTGGACAAGACTGGGTCCGTGGGCGTCACACAAGCACCGATGGCTAATGCGTGAAGAATGGGCAAATGTGGCACCATCGCCCATACCAGGAGACTCGCACTTATCCACATGATAGTCATACCCGGACCGAGCAAGAGAGCTAGAGGCTTCCATTCCGTATAAAGATATCTGCTTGGCAACTGCACGCCAGCCAAGACAAGCTGGACACCCAAGACCAGCCGGGTGAAATACAGCGTGATGGTATCAAGATTCTCTGAGACCCCTTGAGCATATTCGAGAGGCCTGATGAAATTGGCGGCATGAGGCGAGAAGATGACCCCAGCAACAAGCGATATCACTGCAAAGATTCCGTCAGTCACTGACCCACAGCCTGGCCATGGAAGATGCTGAAACGTACAAGCTTCGGATAGATAGAACCGTTCTTTGCAAAGATAGCTCACAAGCCCAAATAGCGTGATGAACCCTCCAAGCACTGCGCAGACGATGTTGAAATTGGTCAACACTAGGGTAGGCATGGTTGCTGGGACTCGTCAAGAGACCTTCCGTTAGCAATTTGGCTCGTTATCGTTAAGCGTAGATGTGGCCTTGATGTCGTGGCCTTGATGTCGTGGCCCTTCGACCGGAGTATGTCTGGACAGAAGGTAGAAGATAGGCCGTCCTCAATTTGGCGGAGATAGGACTCCTTGTACAACAGGCTTCGTATGCTTGGTAGTGCTTGGTGATCTTGTTGATGCGTCGGCCACTACTGCAAATCCAATCTCAGGAACCTCCGATCAGACACTGTTCCTGTTGATGTCCCTTCGGCTGTTCGGCAGTTTCGATTGGGCTCTGCTTGTGCTGTAATGTATATACTGATCGATGAACGGGGGAAGAAGTGAAATGCCACCCCTCGCAGTAAATGTTATTGATCACAAGCCGAAACTTTAGGAAATGGTAAAGAACCCGTCAAGCTGCTCATCCGGATGTTGTATGGCAAGGATATCTCAACCATTGGATCCAAAGCGTATGGATTGATAAGTCAGGAGACACCCTCCAGTAGTAGTTGTTCGAATAGAACTGGACAACGGCGTTGGAAGAATAGGGTGGAAAGAAAGATAACACAATGATGAAGATCAGCTATTCGTCCCCTTCCCAGATTTCTGCTGGCACAATTTACATCGGGAAACTCCCCCGATTGTTACAAAACCTTCAACATGACAAAGGCATCATTGACTTGGCGAAGACGCGCTCATGCGAGGTGAGAGCAGAGGTCAATGTACCTAGGTATGCAGCGGGGCGACGGTTGCCGCCATTCCGTTCGGCTGCCCGGCAAGACGGAACAGTGCTTCATATTTGACTTTGACTACGCGAACTCACATTTTTTCAGAATGTCCGTTATCGGCCATATATCAAAAGGCCCCAAGGAGAAAAACTCGCAGTTCATGAAAGCGGAATTCAAGGTCAATGATCTTACTTGGAGTGCTCTGACAGAAGTCTCAGGAGCAACCTCCTCATTACATTAACACAACGCGATTGAATATCGAGTGCCAGTGTGACCAACGCTTCATAGGTCTTCTGTGTGCATCGTTCTCAATGGAAAATGCTTCTTTGAGACTTCCTTCCATGAACGCCCACGCTAATGAGCAATGGAATCCGTCGACCCATATGCACACAATTCAATAAAATCACCAATCCACCCACGCTTCGTATAGCGACATTGCGCCAGGTTGCCAGTAACTATCTTGCCTGCCCGAATCCAAGAGATATTAGTCCAGTCGAAACAACGCCAATGTGGGCCGAAGTGAGAAACGGATCACTCCAACGTTCTATATCCATATAATAAAGTAAACAAATGCGGACATCAAGGGTATCGTGCGGAAAGGAAAATCATGCTGCTTGGGGGTCGGTGGCTCGCCTCATTCGATAGTCTGGTTCGTGACGGAACTCGTCAGTCGCAGGATCCCAGCGATAGGCTTTGAAGTCGACACCGTATGGCCGCTGTCATGATGTTAGCTGCAATAATATCAATAACCTTATCAGGCTGCTTACCGGTTCGAGCATGTACACCACGCCCAGAGGAACATCAAGGTCGCTAATGTCCTCCTGTTTGAGACCCATGAAATAGGCCAGAAGGACGCGACAGATGCTTCGGTGTCCGATGATGCACACATGGTCGGTCATTCTTTCGATCTCTAGAATGACCTTGCCGAGTCGATTGATGATGTCGAGGTATCCTTCTCCACCAGGTCCGGGATATCGATATGTCAACTTGTCGCGTTTTCGGAGTTCATACTCATGATGAAACTTGTCGCGGATGTCAGCATAGGTCATACCATCCATTGCTCCAGCGTGCAACTCGTCCAGCATGCGCATTTGCTTGATGTCGTACTCGTCTTCATTGAAGAATTGGCTGGTTTCGATACTCCTCTTTAGCATACTGGTCCAGACACAGAAGTTTCGGTCTTGGAGGCTTTGCGCCGTATACTCTGGGTTTGGTGGGGTGGTGTCACCAGGCAGAGGAGGGAAATGAATGCTGGCTTGTTTCCGGGCCTGGTTTTGCTCCCACGCTTTCCATTCGACTCCGATGAACTTCTCCAATGCTTTGCCATATCTTACCCCGTTCGGACTCAATGAACTGTCGCCTCCTATCTTGCCGTTCACGTTGTCCATTGATTCGCCATGTCGGGTGATCCAGATCTGTCTGGGCGCCAGGTTGAAATTCATCAGGTAGGTCACGGCCTGAATCGAGAGAAATCCTTTCACCTGAGAAGTGATCATTTTGCGACCGACATCAATCATGGAACAGTATGCCATGTTGTGACCTTCTTCGAATTCATCCAGTTTCTGGTAGGACTTTTCGTATTGGTGGACGCGTTCTTTGAAGTCGTCTAACGCAGCAACAGGATCCTTTCCCTTGTAATCTGGACCCGACAATTTCAATCGCATGTTGGCCTCGAGCAGGTTCTTGTCTTCACATCGAGACTCTAGGAAGAGTACATTGATGGTCTCGTCGCGCTCACGGATATGTTTGATGAGCGAAAGACGTCGTTCCTGCGTATGATTCGTGGCGTCCAGGATCCCGACCGAACCTTCATTTCCCAAAACATATTTTAACAGCTCTTCCAGTGTCTCATGCGCCACTTGTTCACGCAGCTGTCTTCCTCTTTCATTTTGCGGGTCGAAGAATGCAGCAGACTGGTCCACTGGCGCCGGCGCTGAAAGTAAAACTTGCTCGTTCTTGTCTTGAGATGTTGTGCTGCCATCCGTTTGCTGGGGAGTGGTAGGGGACGAGAGATCCTTTGTCACTTCACCGTTAACCCGAATCTCGGTCTTGACTGCTGGCGGAGGGAGGAGTTCGTGATCGACAATACTCTGCGGCCCCTTGGTGGTTGAACTCATCCGTCGCACGGATTCACGAAGAGCATCATCCGTCCGATCGGGTATAGGTTTTCCTCTCCCAGCAGCCACTCTTCGACGATCTCCAACGTTAAATATCCTTGTAGGATGCTGCAACCAATTCAGATAGCGGGCGATCTTTTTTGTGATATAGCTCTTGCCTCTAGCCGGCAATCCCACCATGACAATAATGAGTTTGGCTGCGACATCTCTTTCTGATATTTGGCCGTTTGGAGACACTTTCGACCGAGTCAGACCAGGAATGTCGAGGGTAGTCGCTCGAATCTTTGGTGTTGCGGAGCCAGAAGCCACAGTGCTGCCTCTAGCAGATCTAGAATACCTCGGTAAGTCCTCCTGCGCGTTGAAAAATCTAGGTTCTATGCTCACATCTGTGGACTCCCAGGTGCACTAGGCAAAGGTGTGTCTGTTAAGGCTCGTCCCATCGAGTTGGGAGGATTTGGTGTAGGTTTGGGAGGGATGCGCCCAAAGGCCCCTTTAGGGGGAGGCATGAGACTCGACTGATGGACGACATGGTTCAAAGAGGATTCGGTTTCGAGGTTTGGTGTAGAAGAGGCACTGCTCATTATTGCGGCGCGAGCGAGGCCAGAATACTGTACACTGGAACGTCGTGTTGAAATTGCGCCTGGAGTTGGGACACCCGGGCTGTCGGGCGGCGAGGTATGCCTAGGCCCCTCTAGCAAGACCATTCAGTACGAATGCACCGTAAGTGAAGTGTCTATACTGGGAGAGAGAAGAAGGAGAAATTTCATAAGGACCGGATAAGGGCGTACAAGTTGTGGTATTCAAGCTTTGACTCACTCTTCGATCTCCAAGCGGATACGGACTTTTTGGGTCAGAAGCGGGTAAGAATAATAGTGGATTGAGGCTTGCGGCAAGTGACCGCAGAGGCGCGACCTTGTTACGCAAGGGTCGTAGGCAGTCTGAGGTTGGGACTGGCTTGCTGCTCAACTGACGTCGGCTTCCTTCTCCCAAGCGTTACCGAATTGTTGATGCAAGATGTGGGAAAACGTTCCTTGAACTCTTTGATATAACTGGCTGGTTCCTGGTGCCCTGACTTGTCCACGAGGCAGAAAGATAAGCTTGGAGCTGATTTTTGGGCTGCTATCTCTTTTAAACATATGCATCCAGCAAGGCGCCCAATTGCCAGACATCAGTGAGAGCGTGGGATGTTGATGAAACGTTGGCAGTGTCAGGCATCCAATTCTCCGTTGTGAGTCTGTGACTGTGAATCCCTCTTTGTCGCCCAAATTCCAAAAAACCTGCGGGATAGGGGTAAAGATACCCCGAAGCACCAACTGCTGGACTGCCCAGTGGATCGAGCACAGATATCCTTTGCGGGCTTCATTTCCAGGCTGTTCGGGAACTAAAGCCTGCATCTCCGGTTCGCGCGCCAATAAGCCTCGTCCTTGAGTCGGCCCTTTTGGTGCTTAACATGTGGCAGTAAGCACTTGACGGGTTGCAATAGCCTATATACTCGCAGATTGTTCGTCCATTCGGCGCCCGGTTTAAATATGGCCAATGCAGTAATGTTTTGGCTTTTCTTGTAGATGCGAATTTCAGACATTCTACAATGCGATTGTGAGGCCCCAATCCAGCACATGTCGACAGAATCATCAAACGTGGACCAGCAAATTGCGACCACGCAATGCCTGTTCATTGTCCTTTCCACCAACGCCGTGCTAGAAAACACATCCAACTCAGGAGAACAGATAACAATCACATTATAAACCTCCTTCACGACGACGGCGGCGTTTCTTGCCGCTCCCTCGCCTCCCTCTCCTTCTGCTGCCTAGAAATCGCCGCACGGGCAATGATCTCGCGCCTGCTCAAGCCTTCATCGCTCGCACCGTCCTTGGACCTTCCCAGGACGAAGTCACCTCCAGTCCAACCTCCATGGTCTGCATGTTCTGCATCGTCGTACGTGTCATTTGGGTCATAGAACTCCTCGCTAGAGAGACGGTGTCCTCCATGTAATGTATCGTTGCGCTCCACCTCCTGTTCGATCTCTTTCGTCAGATTCCAAAAGTTGCGATCATGTTCACCCCAGACATTGTGCGACAACTCATGACACAAGGTTTTGCGAATGACCTTGTAATCTCTGTAGCCGTCGTATCCGTCCGTCCGTAACCTCAACTCGATGACCTCGCCTGCATTTCGGTTTAGGCCCAACGTCCTAGATTCATGGGTGGTATGTTCGGCAGGGTTCATCTCTGTCAGAAGGCCAACGCTGAACTTGTGCTTGCGCATGGACGCCTTGATTCCCGGATCGTTCGCAAGTCGCTCGAGAAACCTTCTGCTCTTTTCAGGATTGGGTAGGTATGGCAATGGTTCAATAGCATGGAATGTGTACGTGCTTTCTTCTTGAACCTTCTTCCAGTCTCGTGCTTTGTTCGCCTTGACTGGTTTGAAGCTGCTGGGGCGACTGGGTCTCTGACTGGCGGCGCCCATATCGGCCATTTTCTTGGCCTCAGCATTGGGAGTACCGATGAGTTTAATTCGGGTGGTAGGAGTAAGGAAATCGCTCAACTTGCGGCCCGCGAAAGGATGTTTCAGTAAACCTGGTTTTGGGAGAAAGAACAGGGAGACTCGCTCGACGTCGGCGCCGATCTTCTCGGCGCATTTCGCAGCCAAATCGCTGACCGTCTGCTCCGCGACGTCCTCGAACTCGAGCGACTCATCTCGATATTGAACCTTCATTGAGTGGATGTGGCGAAGGGCTTGAGATCTGGTCGAACAGTGTCGGACAATGTTTGGCCCCGGTATCACCATATATCCGGAGTTGAACGAGGACGGAACTGGCGGTGCAGGGAGAGCTGAAAGAACAAAGTCATGCCTACCTAGGTACGCTAGATGTTGATGTTCTTCGTCGTTCGAAGCACTTCGCGAATTAATCAGCGACCACGAAAGGTCGCAGGCGACAATGATGACGCATTGCCTATCCAAGCCCGAAGTTAAGCCACTTATTGGCAGATCCGGAGCGAACCGACAAGCCGAATTCCCCGGATTTTAGATCGCCAAATGCCTGTAATAGGCTTCCTTGACGCCTGCGGATTTTTAGTATCAACCACTACATGTTGCATCAGGTGCCTCAGCCTTGCGGCATGTGTGTATTCATTATTACTAACGATCTCGTTATCACCAACCACTAGTGACCATTTTGACCGTTGACTTGCGAGACAGGGATAGTGTCTGTCCCCTGCAAATGTGAGGTCGGAGCAGCCTGGACGTCACCATTACTGTGACCATTGGTGCCATTCGTGTCATCAGCCTTACAGCAAGCGCCATTCGCATCTCGTCCAAACTCAACGGAACTGACGTTCTTGCTCCCAGGGACATCCAATGCAGGATTCCTCTCGAAAAAGTCAGCCGGCTTGAGTTCAAGCTGATGTATTTCCACCGGCATGACAGGCCAGTCCTCCACGCGCGGGTTGTGCGTGAGACCGAAGACGTTCCATACAACCACATCATCGTTCTCGACATCGTCGTTACGAGCCACGGCGTCTGAAACACCGCCTACTTCCTTTTGTGACTGATTGGTAAACTCGCCTGCGGCAAAGAGCTCTTCGTCCTTGTATTTCGTCACCCAAATGTGGTGCTGTGCAAAAGCTGCTCTCTTGGCCATTATAGATTCTGGATCCGCCAGCAGCAGTTGACTTGGCGACGGGATGAATTTGTATGCAACGGGTCGCTGAGAAATAGGGTTGATCTTGTTGGTGTTTGCCATCTTGACCGTCAGATTGGTGAACGGAGAGGCTTGAATCCAGGTCGACTTCGTCACGGGTTTGCGCACGACTTCATATCCATTGCCGAATGGGTTGGTCTCCGGGTTCATCGGGATGGGCATCGATTCCTCCGTAAATACAGTGTTTGCTTGTCCGTCGATAGCAGGATCAATTCGTACAGCAAAGATGTGCTGATGGTTTTGTGCAAGGGCACCAGGCGACACGACGTTGCCATAGGGGCTAACCTTGCCGGGATCGATGTTGACAACTGAGACGACTCCAGTAGCGCGTGTCTCCAGGGTGATACTATTCCAGATCGTCAGCATTTGGTGCGCGCAGCCGAAGCTTGTGTGGACTTACCCTCCAGCCTGGTCGAACTTGTAAGCGAAAACATACTCGTAGTTCGCCAATGTGATGATGAACTGAACAACCAACTCTCGATTTCTCGTCACCACAGCCCGGTTGGTTCTGAAATTAGTGTGTTTCCAGCCGATACCATTGTCCTGCTCATGGATACAAACCACGTTCTTCGACACGGATGGCTGGCCTTCTGCATTGACAAGCATGGCATCAATATACTTGATAACTCCGAGACAATCACATCCCAGTGCCAGATTGTTGGCAGCTCGGCCAGCACCAGCATCACCAAAATCGAAAGCCTGCTTCCGCTGGAAAGGTGGCCTAGGGTCGCCATAAGGAACCGTCATCTCTGACAGACTGAGACGGTAGAGGACGCTTCGACCATCATAAGTGACATCGTGAATGACGGCGCACTCCCGAGGAGTGAATCCAACTCGGAACCTCCATTTTTGCCATTCAATAAGGGAATCGTCGCTGACGGTGAAAGAAGGGCCTTCGGGTTGCAACACATTCAGTGGTTTGAGATCCTTGCGCAGAGGAGTGTCCAGCAGCTCCGGCACGTATTCGGCGGGCTGGCAGTGCTCGAGCACGTTTGTCTTAGCGGTACCATACTTCAATCCGTTCTCCACGCCGCCGGTAGCTAGACGATCGATGCGAATGATCTCCTGCTTATAAGTGTCCATGACTGGAATGATCGGCAGAGGATATCCGTAGTGGTTCGTGTCTGGGTTCTCATTGCGCAATTTGGCAAAGCATAAGCCTTGGGTGTACCGAGGGGTGACCTCGCCAGGGTCCGGTCCGCCATACGGCCAAGGGTCGATGGCGATGTCGAACTTCTCTGCATCGAGATTAAGCTCCTTGACAGCCTTCTTGAACATGTCCGATTCCACACAGACACGGCTGAACTCTTGAAACTCATCCATGGTAAGTGACTGCTGAAGGCCCTTTTCCGGTTTCCTCATGCTAACTTCATTCTCGGAGGCAATATCGATGACGGACTCCATGTATTCATGGCTTCCATCCTCGTAGACGACATCATATTGAGCACGAGCTTGACGAGGCGGCCGGGGAGTTTCTGCTGATAGAGTTCCAGCGTGTTCGGCATTTAGGAATTTGACCAGCTCAGCCTTTGCTGGCTCAAAGGTGTAGACATTTCGAAACAAGATGGCAGCCTTCCGAGCGTTGATAACTGCTTGTCGAACGACCTTGACTTCGTCGCCACTCAACTGATCAAGTGGGTGTCGATGGACGATTTGAGGGACCACATGGCCATTAGTACCGTTCGTCCCATTAGTAGAGACCATCTCGAAATACTTCAGGCTTCAGACGGAGGGAATGAGAGGTTCTGGAATGCAAATGAATGACTTGAAGAAACGAGCAAGGAGAATATGACATGAAGTGATGGTTATGAGGTGTAGTTGAACGGCCCATGTCTGTTTGAATGTGGGCCGGACATGTCCTCATCGTGGGTACTTTGTACAGCATCACAAGGTTGGCCGCAAGGCGATCACTCGCGGGCGAGGCGATAAGGCCCGAGGAAGAGCTCGCCCCCAGCTTTCATGCATTTTATCTTACGTGAAAGTTTTCCCGGGGAAGCAATAAGGACGAATTGCGCGATGTACGGCCATCGGAGGGGCAAGTAAGAGGTTCAGAACTCAACATGATCATTCACCCAATCTCACACTGGAAGGCGATGGCGTCGCATATACATACCTAATCAAGACGGACGGCTGGAACGGGCATGTGGTCCAGCATGTCGATCTGGCTCTGGACAACATAAGTACCATCAATTCTCCTGGACTTGCATGCTTACGTGCCTGAGTGTATGCACGTCAGGGGCCTACGACTTGAGAACTATACAATGCATGTGTTCCCGCCGCCGTGTGTAGGGTTGTGCCAAGCTTTGTAGAGGACGGTGGCGTCAGATTCGTATCACTAAAGCCATGGCAATATGGTCTAGAACCAAAACTGGATATCCAACAGGAGTCATTACACCGTCTGCTGGCAGGATATCTCATCACGGATATTCTTCATCGTCATCCATAGCCCAAAACTCCTCTTTCAGCAGTGCGGTATGTTCTTCGTTGACTGATGGGGACGACTCTTCCAGTCTCTTCTCCTCCGAGATGGATATGATCCCCTGCATGTCGATCTCGTACGGAACTGCTGCTGTGGTTGGGCAGGTCCAGGGTGCGAACACGACTCGAAACGTGCGACTCTTCTTCTTGTCCCTCCATATGTTTCCTCCAGCATATTCCAGTCGCTCACTTTCCATCTTAAGGACAAGGCGAGTGGATATCTGGTTGGCCCATGCCAGCCCCAGTGCAGGATTCTTGAATTGGCTACGTCTTTCTTCGCTGTCGTCACCCCATCCTGTAAAGAAGCATTGTTGGTGATCAAGACTTTGAACTTCCCGTCGCAGCTCAGCCGATGCTGATGGTAGGCCCGGACCAGGGATTGCTGGCGAAGACGAAGCTGGAGATGAAGACCGTGGTAGATTCCTGAGTTCATCAAATCGATCTGATACCTGATTGGTGACCACGACAACGACGTTGTTTTCGATGGCGACCCGCCGCAGCATACTGCCCAATTTACCAAGTTCAGTGGCTCTCTTTGCAAGCCCTGCTGGTGTCCGAGTCTCGTGCTCAGCTCGGAAGTTTGCGGCAACAGAATCAAGAACGACCAGCCCAACATTGAAACGCTGCACTGCGACCGGTAGCTGAAATCGAAGAATATGTTCTTGTGCCTCCAAGTCGTTGGTTGCAATGGCATGGACGTGGTCAAGGGATGGTCGATCTCTTGGTTTTAGGGCCTCGTACGCGGGATGAGACTCCAGCATCTGCTGCAAGCGGTTCGTGCTGAGTGGCGCCTCGGTCGAGACATAGATTGCACCCCTGCCCAGTCCATGCGGCGGAGGCAGTTGGACAGACAGCAATAACCCCAGAACAAACTGCGTTTTCCCCACCGCGCTCTCTCCCACGACTTCCACAATATGACCTGGTACGATGCCGCCACCTAATGCTCGGTCGATCGTTTCGTCGAGTGTCTTCAGACTAGGTCCTACTACTGGACTGGCTGCACCATTCAACGATTCTGCAATCGTCACCGTAGCCTCAGCCGGGTCTGTAATTTTAATGTCCCAGACTTGCTTGACTTTCCCTTGCAAATCATCCTGGAGAGCTTTTGTGACATCCAACACAAACTTCTGAACATCGGTAGCAGGTAGCGGACACCTTCGAGCAATTTCGATAGGATCGAGAGTGATCAAGTCGGCTACAGTAATGTCATTCTTTTCAAGGGAGTGGAACAGATGGGTGTAGTCTCGGGAGTCGAAATTAGGGAGAATCTCTGCCAGGTCGGACATTAGTGCGTGCTAGATTTGTGGTCGTGCGAGTCCTAGAGGCCATTGTTATTGAACCAGCAAGATGTTTCGCCTGCGTGGTTGATTTCCAGGAAGAGGTACAGGAAGATCGTGAAAGCAAGGAAGGCGTCCTCATGGACGAGAAGTCCTTGCCTATGATCTGACCGGCGAGGAACAGCACATTGTCAAGTGCAGGCGCACCAAGGCTCTCAATATCAAGGCGCGTGAGTGAGAAGATGAACGGACGCGACTTAGTTTACAGTAGTTGGTGGGGAAGAACTTTTGTCCTACAGCCTCGTTGCTGCAAGGCTGAACTGGTTGGAGAATCGAAGCATCCTCTTCTCGGCTGACGGCTCGTCGATTTCGTTGCCATGTTCTTACTCTGCCACAAATCTTGAGAATCACTCAACACACCTCCATCGTGACTGCCTCTACTTGTTGAGGTCACCCAGCTATGGCATCTGTCGCACAACCTTGGCTGATCCATAAGTAAGCACCATTCCACGCAATGCCTCTTCGAACATTCTGCCTGGCTTCGAGTGAGCTAACACAGTCGTTTAGATTCGTCGATCCTATCTTTGCCGTTGGCGTCGGGCTAACGGCTGCCTATGTGCGTATTCGCCGTGAAGAATCTGAAAAACACCCCGACCAGGACTCGAGCATGGGTGGTCTGTGGCAGAAGGGTGTACGATTGAGCAAGAGCTATTTTGGTCCTGAAACGCAGGATGGCAAGAAACAATGATCGGAAGACGGTGTACCTTCGCGGTCGATACAAAAACTTCGAATCGTGCATTGTCATAGCACAGGGGTGAAGCGACAGGAAGCTACACAAAGGGCTGCCATCACAGCTGGCCCGGCCAGCTCTGGTTTCTTCCGGCGGTCTGCCAGCGACGTGCTATACCAGGGCCAACACACAGACTCATTACGTGCCTACACATACAAGAATTACACTGGTCCGGGTAAGCTGTATGCGCACACCTGGTTGGACTGCATTGCGTCCCGAACCTCCAGGGATCACTTTGCCCAGTCGGAATCTGCAGCCATCGTCTTCCTCGTCAAGATGTTATACCACCCGGGTGCTGAAACCTGCTCAGCATGATCTATCGATTCCTGGAGGCTGACAGGATTCTCGAAAAGATTTATACTTGATCCCCTTGACAATCGTCTTGTCAAGCTGCGCACCCTGACAGAGAAACAAGCCCGGACGACTCGTGTGGGAAGAGCCTTATACCCGGTGCACGTCATATCAGATATAACCTCAATCTCGAAACGTAGGGAAAGCCGCTTGCCGCACGCGCACAAGCAAACTCCGTGGAGGCCATGATCGTCACCAAATGACCAGATCAATGGTCAAGATTTTCACCGTGGTAGAGAGATCCTGAGCCACAAGAATGGCTACTTATATAGATATTGATTTAGCAGGACAGGCCTCCTATGGCACGTCCACGTCGGAAGCCATTGGACAGGGACATCACCTCACCTTTACCCGTTATGCATTCGATAACGGGCCAGGAGGATCGTCAGGCTCCACAAAGAATGCAACATTGTGTACTTTCGATCAAGCTACTTATATTGGTATTTTCCTTCCATCTCAGGGCCGCATTTTTGCGGGGTTCCAAAAGGCCACCCTTGTCAGCTTGCTGCCCCTCACATAACGAAAGTGTCTACCTGCGGACTACGGTCTTGTATATTGCCAAATATAAGTACATTGTTGCTCCGTCCGTCCTCAGTGAGAACAAGCCTCATTGACGTATTCACCCACGGGAGATGCAGGAACCCGCTAAGCCGATGCGACGGGGCAACCCACGATCGGATCTCGAGGTGTTCATCGTTTCTCATTTCCAATCTCCTGCCCGAACAGGAAGGTGAGTAGGCATATGCACCAAGATTGGGCAGACTCGAACCACAACTTCGACGGACCCAGTGCTGTGAGACGAACTTAAGCAAGAAGAAGCGCCTCAGAATCGTCACTATGCAGCGGCTCGCCTTGTTATGACTGCAACTTAGAAACCGGTAGGTCGAAAACCACATTTTCTTTCTCCTATTCGCACCCAACCCAGTACAGGTGCAGAACCTCATCCGCTCACCCCCATCGTCGCCATCAACCTCAAGCACCAGTATGGTTACCGTGAAGATCACTGAGAACACTGTCCCCTTCAAGCACCCATCACTCCCGTATCCCTGCGAAACATACTACAAGATCTACGGCGACATCACATCCGGTGTTCGCCCACTTGTCACCCTCCATGGCGGTCCCGGCATGTCACACAACTACCTACTATCTATCTCACGACTAGCTTCCACACACTCCATACCCGTAATCTTCTACGACCAAATCGGCACAGGACGCAGCACACATCTCCGCTCCAAACGCCTCGACACCAAATTCTGGACAACGGAATTGTTCATCGCCGAGCTGGACAACCTCTTATCGTCTCTCAACATCGCAGACTCATTCGACCTCCTAGGCCAATCGTGGGGCGGCATGCTCGGCGCCATGTTTGCAGTTCGTGGTCACCAGGGCCTCGCCAAACTTATCATATCAAATTCTCCCGCCAGTATGCCCCTGTGGCTCGAATCGTGCAATTACTGGCGCACACAACTCCCGTCGGAAATCGAGCACGCGCTACAAAAGCACGAAAAGAACGGTACGTTCGACGATCCCGAGTACAAGGCTGCAGTGGAGTACTTCTACAAACTGCACCTTTGCCGCACGTTCCCCTTTCCCAAGGACCTGCAGGACAGCATCGACTGGGTGGAGCGCGACGATACGGTGTACATGACTATGAATGGACCATCGGAATTTACTGTGATAGGGAGTCTCAAAGACTGGAGTATTGTGGATGACATACACAAGATCTCCGCGCCAACGCTGGTGCTGAATGGAGAGTTCGACGAGGCAAGGGACAGTTGTGTGTATCCTTTTTTCGAACAGATTCCGAAGGTCAAGTGGTATACCTTTTCTGGGGCAAGCCATTGTAGTAACGTCGAGGTTCCGGAGAGGTATTGCGCTGTGGTGGGTGAGTTTCTGAACAGTTCGGTCTGAGACGGAAGGAGGATCGAAGGCTTTCGAGCGAGAAATTGATCCACAGGGATTTGAATAAGGGCAGGAACTCTACCTCGGGTCCAAGCGTTTGGATGGCCACGCTATGGAGAACTTCAATCGTGGAAAGGAGTAATGATACCAGGTACTCAGTGTACAATAGAAGAGCCGGAGCTGTATAGGTAGAATTAAAGTAGTGAAGAGTAGAATTTGCTACCATATGTCCTGAATTTCCTGATTACTCTTTTTTGGGCACACAGAAGTCCCATGATCGTGACATCCGCAGATGGCCAACATCGGTGGCGTCTTTGGAACCCAAGCCTCAGCAAAATGTGCATGCCACAGAACGCCGCGCATCTCAGAACAAGAACCAAAGTCTTGAAAAAGAAATCTCGCCGTTCTTTCTCTAGTACACTTGACACGCGCAGACTCGTCGGGTTCGTAGCTCGTGGTGCCACATAGCTGAAACCGTATCTCTGGAGTTCGATGGTCAACAGAGGCGTTGGCAAGATGGATCTGGAAACGCTGTCACTATCATCTTCTGCTTAGATGAACATGCGCAGATAGCTCGTGTCGATTTGTCAAGGAGATCTCCCCCAAAGATCGATCTCTTTACACGACTTTGCCGAATGCCGGAATCAGGGTTTGTGCAAGCCAGAAACTGAAGACCAGTTTCGGTCCGGTCATGAGCATCTTTGGGACAAGACCCTTGAAGAAACTCGTGAAACCCTCATTTCGCATCATGCTCGAGATGATCCGGAAGCCAGACTCGGGGTTATCAAAGTTTCGGTTCTGAATTCGAGTCTTGATCACGTCGAGAGGCGCAGAGACAAGCAAACTTGCTGAAGCGCCGGCAACTGAGGCGACAAAGTTCTGTCCCCAGGTGGCTTTGTTGTAGTCCTCCAACTTGAAGAGCTTCTCCTTTGCCCATGCGGATCCTCCAAAGAGTGCGAATGAGCCCGGGGCGTTACGTGCGGCTGTCCAACCTGCACCGCGGTACAGTCCCATACCTTCGTCCGAAACAATTTTCAAAAATCCTCGCGACCGGAAAGCTTCGGGGTTGGTCTGACGCTTGATCTTGAGGACATCGAGTGGTAGTAGGACGATTTCTCCAATTCCGATCAATGATCCAGCTGTTGCATTAAGGATGGCTTTGCCGGTTCCCTTGCCAAAGGTGTTCTCGAATTCCATTGCATGGTGTTGGGTCAAGTAGTCTCGCACGAATGGCTGTCCTCCGTACTTGTATATCCGCTGCAGGATCTTGTAGCCTGCGGCATAACCTAGACCGGGAAACAGAGATGTGAATTTTTTGAGGGCAGGTGCGTTGGCAGTGTCTCTGAAGATGACAGTGTTCAGTGCAGAGGCTGAAGTTACCTGTACACTGTCAGTTGAGATCGGACGGGGTGGTCTGCTACGCCAGCTCTTACCCTGCCAGTATTGCTCATCAATCTTTTGGCGATGGTGTCGACCGGGTGAAAGACCATAAGTTCGGCCACTCCAGCAGAGCCTATAGCACACCGATATCAGTTCTTGTCACCGCAATGTTCGATCATCGGACTTGTAGCTCACCTGATCCTAGCAGTCTTGCGACGCCGGATTCTCTCTTGTACTCTTTTCCTGCAGCACCTAGGCCGACAGGAGCCACCGCAGGAGGTGACATGATGGCAGCCTGCTCACGCACTTATGGCAGCGCACGCTACGATGTGGTCCGAAATACTTCGAGGTCGCGATGTGAAGGCACGGGGGAAGGAAACTGCGACGGTTGTACCTCGGCGCCTTTTATCGAACAGTATGTCTCAAAAGCTTGCGCGGAGACGCTGTCGAAAGCGACAAAGAAAAAGAAGAAAACCTGCTAAAGGAGGGTAGACGCGGGACGTTGGTGGTCAGAAGTCAATAGGTGCAGAGGGTTGCGGTAGACTCGATGTCGAATTCGTGATCTGGGAGCCAGAAAAAAAAGTTGTAGTGGAGATAGACATGCGCGCATTGGGGACGGGCCTAAAGCTCTGCTGCACGTTCGTGTGCTCTCGTCTAAACGCCTTTTCCCGCTGTTCGCCCGGATTTTAACCTCCACAAGATGAGGTCTATGTCCGCGGCGACTTCCAGCCTTCGAAATATCCCAAACAGTGAAAGATCAGATATTCAGCAAAGTATTGTATTGCATCTGGAGATTTTCCTTTTCGTGTTCACATAACTTGATTGTCGGTGCAATAATCATCAATATTCGAATATGATAGGAGACAATATCATGACCTTCCCCGGTAATGCTTGCTCGATGCTCACGATTCCAATCCTTTGTGCCAATAATGCACATGTAAACCATGCCATGCCTTAGTAGATGACCATGCCGCTCTTGTAAATAAAATCCATCACTTCTAATCGTCGTTGGCATCATCAAGATACTCAACTGATCATGCAGATTGAACAGTTTCCAGCTTGATTCGAGACTTGACCGCATTTGCTTCCTCCTGCTGAATGTCAACAATGGACTCGCGAAGATTGGTACGGTCAACGTACCTCTGCTTTTCGTTTCCCCAGGACCGAGTCAGGAGTTGCTATCCTTCCCATTCCTGGAACAGGGGTGGAGACTCCATCTTTCTCTCGGCCCTTGGTCACCTCAGCATAACAGCTGGCATGATAGTACCGACCTCCAACCTGAAGAGCATCTTTCCAGATGAAGTCTTGCACTTCCTCACTCCATTCACTCTTGAATGGCTCTTGATCGATGGGACAGGCCATAGATCGTAATACAGGATCCGCAGGCACCCGGACGAAATCCTGTGGCTTTTTCTTCGCGGCGGCCGCAGCGCCATTGACCGGCGCACCACTGGCGTCTACTGGTCCAACGTCGTCTTCGTATTCCTTGCTTGCGATCCATTCCCGCTCATCAACATACCAACTTTGATTTTGGCCACGTTTTTCAGCTTCCAGCATTCTTGCCTTGGTCTTGAAATGCCAGTCTAGATGACGTGCCTTCTTTTCCCGGCCAAGCTCGTCGGATGTAAACCTCTTCCCGCACGTACTGCATTGGTTTGGCCGCACATTGAGAAAGTTCGCGATCAAGTGTGGTCTTGAAATCTTTATAGACGCTGACGTCAATGTTACCTCGATTGCGGTGTCGGTGCCGAAGGCTGAAAGTGTTGGAAGTGGTGTGAGGCCTTGAGGTGGTGTTGGCGCACCAGATAGCAGGCCAGACGCCCGAAGTTGTGCAAGAAGTGGGTTTTCGGGTCCCATCGGAGGAGCCATAGGACCGGGTTGAGGAGTATTCATGCCATGTTGAGGGGGTGGATAAAAGCTCGATTGTTGTGAGGCTGGCTGCTGGTTGACGGTCGCACGTAGCAATTCGGCCAAGTTTGTGCTATTAAACAACGCATTGGAGCCTGACGCTGGGCCAGTGGTTGATTGAGCTAACGGCTGCGGAGGCATATAGGGATTCTGGACAGGGGTGGCTGTATTCTGCGGCATAGTTGCTTGTTGCCGACCAGCGGCCAACTTTTCCGCCATCTTCTGCATGATCGTGTTGCGAATGTCAATCAAATCATTCTCAGACGCATGTCCACTATCAAGTATCTCCTTTAGTGTTTGGAGACTGGCAAGCTTTCTTTGAGCACCTTGGTCCATAGGGTGCGTCGCACATTCTATCTTTGCATCAGTGGTGAGGTCGTCAATGTCCATATGCAACTTTTGCACGTCAACTCCGGCGGCAGAGACAGGCCTTGGTTGAGGGGTTGGTGGGAGATATTGAGGCGTGTGGGAAGGGTGTGGGATCTGTGGCTGTTGGTAATATGGCGTCGGTTGAGGAGGGTATGGCTGACTATAAGAGACAGGTGGAGTCGGCTGGTACTGTTGTGGGGTCGCAACCTGAGGTTGGGGACTTCTGATGTGTGAAGGAATAGCTGGAGCAAATTGTGGCAGACTTTGAGGAGGTGTCGGAGTGTTGCGGTAAGGCTGAGCGGCCGCTATCCTGGCTGGAGCACCCTGAACTGCAGTTGATCCGTAGCGGTTGGCCCCTGGTGCAGCAGTCCGAAACTTGTTCAGACTGTCGACGATGGTCTGGGTGGCGGCATGAGGAAACACCGGAGTGGTCGAGAGAGAACCCGGGACAGGCTCACGCCACGTTTTCATCATTTCCTCCAGCTTCCTTCGGACGTTCCCGTCAACCTGTGAGTACGCGAGCATATAGATCTGATGAAGGTTTCGGCCAAAGTAGACTGTATATGGTGACCCGACATTTTTGGCGATCGAGTCCAATACATATAAGGCCGGCAGTTTGCGAGCAGGAGGTGCCTATGATAGAGTCAGCAGTGATTCCGGACGGATTTGTCGTTTGCTTTTCAAAGTCATAATTCAGAAGAGGCAACCAAGACGAAGAAAGTATGACATACTCGGTTGATGTGATTCTGCAGAACGCGAGAAATCGCTTCGGCATGCTCAATATTCTCCTTTGCGATCAAGGTCAGATTGGAGATCTGATATCTGTCGTTTGTCACAAGGTCTTCCAGAGAACCTTTATAGTCTTCAGCGACCTCATCAGATGGTAGCCCGGACATGTTTGACGGTGGGAAAGGAGATGAGACCGCAACTGGAGAATGAGAGAGAATTTGGATGGAGGCTAGAGTCAGAAGACTCGGTTCAGCAAGCGGGCAACTGGCACGCAGACAAATAGGAGACTCTCAGAGTCAGGGCATTGAGTCTGCGTGAGGCTCCTCAAGCTTGCTGTCGGACAAAAGTGCCTGAGAGAGACAACGAAAAGAGGAATGTCGTGGTATCTTTTGGCTATCTAAACACCTGAGTGCGAACGAAGATGTGACCGATCTCTTCTGACGCCAGACGCCTATTCAACCCAACAGCCCTGTATTCCAATCCACCCAAGCTCTTTCAAGATGGCTGGCTCATGAATAATAGCCAAAATGAACAATGTCTTCCCGATCAAGTGAATGACTCGAGGCAATCTGTGGGGGTGAGGCTCATGTGGATGCTCGTTAGAGCAGTGGTGATGAATAGAGACTGGTTCTGAAGTCTTGATGAGTCTTATTATTCAAACGCCGATTCAGGTACAAGGGTGAGGTAGGAAAGGGAATAATCAAGTGTTGATGCAGACAAAGAGATGGATAAACAGTTGAAGTTCTTAAGCGGAAAGAAGCGGCAGAATGATGGAATTGTATTCACGCCAAGTAGATCGAGTATCTGATCACGTGACGGACAATCTATCGCTTGCCGAATGCGACGAGACGATGAGCGAACCGGTCATCCGCTGCCTCCCATATTGTCGCCGTTTCCTGTTCGCATTCCATCCTCCCTACAATACCGTTGTAATTCTCAAGAACAAGTCGGTATCGCACAATCAGATTAAGCCTTATTCGAAAAGCACTACTACCTGAATATCGTCTCCTCCACAGCATACAAATCGCCCTCCGACTCAGCCATGCGTTTCTCAATCATCGCCCTCCTCGCCTTTTTCGCTTTCGTCCTGGCAGTGCCTCCTACTCAGAAACCTGTGGTAGTGTCATATCCAGCCGATACTCCTTCGTCTGTGATCGATCAAGCCATTGCGGAGATTATCAAAGATGGAGGAATCATCACGCATGAATACTGTAAGGAGACTGCTCCCTCTTTCCATAGGTATACTGGTGTCTGACAACTCCCAGCTTTGATCAAAGGCTTTGCAGCCAAGGTCGCTGAAGCCACGCTTGAGAAGATCACCACATTGGCGGATACATATGCGCCGCAGATTGAGGAGGATTATGTTGTCCGGATTGACGGCTCGACTGACTCACAAGATCAGTAACTGTCGTGACATGTGAGGCATGAATAGCGAAGCCAAGGAGAATGGACTTATAGCCGAACGACAAACGGCACATGATCGAAAGGCTGCCCGGCTGGGATGAATGGCGTTGCAGGCGCTCGGAGTTACATGTATCGGACGGACTGCGCATTTAGAAAATGAAAATGCTCCTGAAATACAATTTGCCATGCTCAACCTGCTGTGTCATATGAACGTTCCTTGAATGAGGTATTCCCTTGTACGAACGGACTATCATATATATTTGGCAGAGATGCATGGCTGGTGTTTGCTGATCGACGTCATACGAGATTACAACGCGCCCCAGAGCGTTCCGTAAAACACGCGTGTATCAAACCCGAGTCGTTTTCTGCGACATGAAATCGTTCATCTCTCGAAACACATTCAGCCACGATTTGATGTTGGTCTAGTGAGCAGCCACGACGCAATTATGAAATATACAAAAGACCAATATAGAGTACTGTCATGGCAACTGAGGAAGCCATTGCTGCGGGACTCATTGACTGGGTCAACAGTTTATCAGTCGCCGACCCGATCTCAACGGTAGACGACCTTACCAATGGCGAAGTCATCTGGAAAGTCCTACGTATGCTTTCCGTCCGCGCAGCTTTTGTCTATCTGACTCGACTACAGAACAAATCGACCGCTTCAGCTTCCCAGGCAAACTCCCAGAGGATGCGAACACGGATCAGTGGATACACAAATGGACCAACCTGAAGCATATCTACGATGCCCTCTCCATCTTCCTCGTGGAAGAATGCGGTCAAAGTCTGCGCTTCCCGGGAGGACGACCCGACCTCAAAGCCATAGCTCAGTCTTCCTCTCTTAGCGATGCTATCGGCCTCCTCAAGTTACTGGTGGTGGCTGCGATCAATTGCGCCGAGCGCATTGAGTATCTTAAGCAGATGCAAGAGCTTACGGAGTCTACTCAAGGCGTACTGATGCAAACGGTTCAAGAGGCTGGCGAGGATGACGGTGCAGATGACGAAGAAGAGCTTGCGGATGGGAATGCCCAGGAAAATGAGAACGATCCTCCAATGTCACCGCGACGTTCCGGGGAAATGGAATCGGTGCTCGAGTCAGAAGAGAGGTTAGGGAAGGTAATAGCAGACAATCAAAGGATTGCGCATGAGAAAAGAGAATTACAGAAACAGCTGGACGAACAGCATACACGCTATGAACAATTACAGGAGCGCTTCGATCAAAGCCAGGACGAGTTGAAAGAGACAGGTGATCGACTCACTTCTGTTCTAGCAGGACGTTCGGATAGTCAATCGTTGGATTCGAAACACGATACGCTCGTCGCAACACTGGAGACTCGCGTACTGGAAGCCGAATCTGAGGTCGAAGAGTTACGCAAGTCGAATGAAGTGCTCAAGATCAAGGCGGAGAAGGCTCAAAAGCTGCAGGATGATTTCGACGAGTTGAAGATTGACAGGGATCGACTGGCACGTAAAGCCAACACGGCCGAAAAATATCGTCAGAAGCTGGAAGCCAGCCAGGACCTTGAAAAGGATAACACCAGTCTCAAGTCCAAGGTGGCGGAACTACAGAATCAACTGAAGCAGTCAGACTCTGCGCGGGTGAATTCGACCGATTTGCAGCGGGAGGTTGACGAGTATAGACGACTCTTGCCCAGCATTGAGCAAGAAAGATACGATATAAACGAAATGAAGAAGCGGCTGGAGTTTGACTACCACGCGCTCGAAGCACGTTATCATGATACCGTGGAACAACTGTCTCGGCAGCAGCAAGAGGTGCACGACCTTCAGGAGAGACTCCGAGATTACGAAGATGGCATACCCTCGGCCACAAAGGCAGAGAGGCAGCTGAGCCCAGTCAACAAGGATCTGGAGAAGGAAGAAGCAGATTTCGCGGAGTCCGAGGCTCGATTGACTGCAGCATTATTGAACGGGGACTCGTCGCCCACGCCTCAAGACTCTACTCTAACGCTGCCTGTTGAGACGACCTCTGCGACAGGTCTTGGTATCGACCTCTCGGACGACGGTGAGGCCATCTCCGAGGATGAGCTCAAAGCACTAATGTCGGCGATGCGAGCACAAGCGCAAGCCGGCTCAGCCACCGAGCGAGAGTCGTCTCTTCGTGCACAAAAGAAGTTGGTTGTTGCGATCGAGCGGCAAAGAAGCAAGAACAAATCACTCCTTGATCATGTACAGAAGCAGGACCAGACAATCAAGGACATGCAGAAGCAGATCTCGGAAGAGCAAAGAGTGCAGAAGGAGAAGGGATCTATGCCCCCACCGCCGCCACCGAAAGACAGTCCAGCGCCCGTATCGGACTCAGAAGCCCAACCACTAGATGAAGAGTCCGAAATTGAGCGTCTGCAGAGTCATAACACGATTCTACAGCGTGAGCTGAAGCTTATGGCTTCGGCGTGGCATGAACAGAATCTTCGGCTTGCCAGCATGAGCTCTGCAACACCAGGACGGAGCAGGGCCATGGGTGGTGCAGGTGAGCCCAGAGGTTTCCTGGGTCGACAGAGGCGAAGAGTTGATGCCGTTGCTTTTGGCAAATAACAAGACGCCCAAGGCTATACCACAATTCGATATCCTTGTCATATCCGACATGCATCATTCTGCACGATTTGCGTCCCTCACACGACGATAATGCCTTTCTGGTGACATTTTCATCGTCAAAATAACTTACATTATTGTGCTCATCCAAGGGGCCATTGCCATCTGAATTATGCGGAGATGGATCTCCCATTCTGCGTACTGCAAAATCGGTATCTCCAAATGACATGTCGACCCGGCTGCTCTTCTCTTTGTTGACTAAACTTACTCCATGCTGCGGGGAAGTATATGGTACGAACCACAACTACGGCTCTGCTACCACCCAAACTCTTTGCCCACAGGCTCGACTATTGCTGTTAAATTACTGAAAGCTCCGCCAAAATCTGAATATGGGTTCGGCCGGCGACGAGGTCTATGTGACGGTTTCCGCCCTCGAAGGAGGACAATTGACTCTGCCTGAACGGTTGTTCATCACAAACGCTGATCCAGAGAAGAGAGCAACTGTTCCATCTTTGTCCTTTCTCATTCAGCATCCGTCACAAGATGGAAAAGCCCAACGTCTCGTCTTCGACCTTGGTCTCAAACGAGACCTGACACAATACCCTCCAGCTCAACAAGCCCACATTGCTAATCGCCAGCCCACCATCCTCCACCCAGACGTTGCAGACTCTCTGAGAGGAGGCGGCCTTGATCCTGCCAAGGATATCGATATAGTCATTCTCAGCCACGTCCACTGGGATCACGAAGGCACCCCGGAGGATTTTTCCAGCGCACAGTTTGTCGTGGGATCGGGCACTCTGCACCTTTTGGCAAATGGTGCTGGTTCTCACTACCCCAAAGCTATCTTCAACCCGGATCTTCTACCGCGGGGTCGAACGTCAGAACTACCGCCAGTCTCGAAGAGTGCCACGACCGCAGCAGAGAAGCAGACAGAACACGAGTGGAAACCATTCGCGGGCTTCCCAGCCACTGTCGATTTCTTCGGCGACGGCAGTGTCTACATTGTCGACAGCCCGGGTCACCTATTCGGGCACGTCAATCTGTTGGCGCGAGTCGCTCCACAGAAATGGGTCTACTTGGGAGGCGACTGCTGCCACGATCCACGAATTTTGACTGGGGAGAGAGAGATATCCTTGTACGACGATGGACATGGAGGACTGAGATCGGTCCATGTTGACACGGAGGTGGCTAAAGAAACACTCAAAAGGATAGGACCCCTTCTCAAATCCCCCACGCCGGCATTGGAAGGGCACAATGAGGTGGAAGTGATTGTGGCGCATGACAAGCCTTGGAGGGAGCAGAATCTGCACCGATTCTTCCCTGGCAATTTATAGTCAGCTTAGAGACATATAAAATATATGTGTTTACTGTCTAAGATTGTCGCCGAGGGCCAGTTTCATGGCACACTCTTGGGCCATAAATCCTCCATGCAGCCTTGTCTCGATGTGAAGCCCAGCCAACTCAGACTGTGCATCCAATGCACCGTTGCATGGCCTTACTCTCCGATCGCAACCCCTCCGAGGTCATTTCCTCGACTCGTGACAGTGTTTGCCCTGCCGCTCTCGAGGTCAGTCCACAGTATGTGGGGTGTTCATCTAAGTCACTTAGAGCCTCGGTTCATTACCCCAAGTCTCTGCCGGTTTACCCCAACTGCCCTCCATGCAGCAGATTTGGGGTATGAGCGACTTTGTCATTACGACCACGACCAGAGGCCGTTGCTCGACCAAGCCGGGTATCATGCACCCCATCTATCTCTGCTCTCGTGCCGGGTTTGCCCATGTGGAAGACCCTCCAGTTCATCGAGTTTTGCCGACTATCCGATGCGGAGAATCCCTTTTTTGGACGATCTGTTTTTGTGACGGACATGGAGATGCACATCATCGCTGAAAAAGATGTCCTCCATTCACATTGATCCTAGAACGTTATTTCCTACACTTGAACTGCCATACCTACCTCCTTGAGACCAACCCGTTCACGTCGCAGCCATCACTAGCATTACTATACTTCAGGCTTAGCAAGACCCTTCACAAAGAGAAACATCTCACAAGTCAAGAGGATGTCGTCGCTAGACAAGACCGTCGCCTTCATTGGTAAACATGCCCTGTCCCAGCCCTGCAGTCCACATCACCTCGACGATTCAAGCCATGCTAACAAAGTATTTGTGTTGCTCCAGGCCTAGGAGTGATGGGCTACCCAATGGCCCTCAACCTCCGCTCGGCACTCGACGACTCGTACAAGCTCCTCATTTGCGACGTCTCAGAGGCCGCCCTCTCCAAATTCCAGTCCGAAGCGTCCGGTAAAGGCCCCGTCGAAGTCATCAAGAGCGGTCACGAGGCCATCAACAGCGCCAACACAGTCATCACTATGCTGCCGACCGCTAGAGCTGTGGAATCAGTCTACCTCGACGAAAAGACGGGCATCATCCCAGGTGCCATCGCCACCGCCTCAGAATCCAACCCACGACAAATCCTGATAATGGAGTGCGGAACCATCGAGACCTCGACAATCCTAAAAGTCGCCGAGGCCGCAAAGGAAGCCGCACCGAAACTTCCCAAGGGCACAGTAGTGGACTTTGTCGATGCCCCCGTGTCTGGCGGTCCCATGGGCGCCCAAGCCGGCACTTTGACCTTCATGGTCGGTGCAACGGCCACGGGTCCTTACGAGCACGCAAAGAAGTACCTCCAACATATGGGCAAGAAGGACAGCATCTTCCACTGCGGCGACGTTGGTGCCGGTACCGCCTTCAAGGTGATAAACAACTACCTTAGCGCGATCACGAGTCTTGCGGCGTCCGAAGCTCTCAACATCGGCGCCAAGATGGGTCTGGATCTGAAGTTATTGACCGATGTGATCAACGTCTCGGGCGGTCAGTGCTGGGTTACATCGCAGTCAAATCCTGTGCCGGGCATCCACGCCAACGCCCCTGCGAGCAGAGACTACGAGGGTGGATTCCGGATCGAGCTGTGCAACCACGTTCTCGAGATGGGTAGTTCGCTTGCTGAGATGGTCGGCGCGAAGACCGTGCTTGATAAGCCTACGCTTGGTGCGTTCAAGGACGCAATGAACGACGAGCGGTATAAAGGCAAGGATGCACGTGTTGTGTACAAGTGGTTGAATGATCAGGGGCGGTAGTGCAGGGAAAAAGGAAATCTAGAAAGAGCTCATTGCGGATAGGGAAAATAGCATGTCTGGCATGGCCACTGGACGATTTGGAGATTGTGAATGCGTCAGCGTAAGGTAGCAATTACATCTATGTGGTGGGTATATTCAAGGTGTGCAGTGAGGTGTTGAGCACCGCGTGGTATATACAGCAGATGCCAATGCATCCAGACTTCATCTCAGCTTCATATCATTCAGGCCGACTCGCTAATGCCTTTTCGTTCTTTTTCTGGGTATGCCGAACGCCCTTGCAGGCGTTCACCCAGCCTCAAGCATATCAGCATAAATATTCAGACTAGTCCCAATGACATCGACGATGGCCCACGTCTGCGCCCCATGGAAGACCTGCGCCCACACCCTCAATACACCCGCACTTAGATACTTCATAGCGGCGGGCGATTCGATAGCCACGTCCACGGGCATTGCATGCTCCGTCTCGTCCAGCATCGTCTTGACCAGCGTGGCGATCTTCTTCTCGTCGTTCGTCACCGCCGGTCCACTGTTCGGCAAACTGAGCGCTTCTAACCATTTGCTCAGCAGGAATGCGCACTCGAGTGTACATAGTGAATGCTGGATACTCCACATGAATGTCTGCGTCTGCGCGACTAGGTGTATCCCGATCTTGACTGGAATGCTGAGTGCGTGAGCCGAGTGCAGGACTGCACGGACGAGTTTGGGCGTGCGCTTGACGGAGGGGCTGTCGCGGAAGGCGTTGGCTATTTGTACTGGGTCGCGGGTGTCGAGGGCACGGCCGGGGCCGAGGTCGACGTTCAGGCGGATATACGCTAGCCTCAATAGAGCGGTGGAATTGAAAGTGACGGGCCCGTTGGGGTTCATTGGATCTAAGCTGGACTCGGGATTGCGTTTCCAAGCGAGCTGCCAGTTTCGGAGGGCTTGCTCGATGGCGACAACGTCGTCGGTGCGAAGGTCGCCGTCGTGCTCCAGGAGATACCGGGAAGTGTGGCGGACGAAGAAGATGTGTTGCAGTACTGCGTGGACAAGAACATAATTGCCCAACGACGAGTTGTAAGTGGTGGTATCGCTGTTGGACCTCAGAAACAGGCGGTTCAGCGCTGTCTGAAACCCGACTTCGGCTGGAGTTCGTGAGTGTATCTCTTTCCATTTGGCCGCCGTGGGTGCCTTGAACTCGGAGGCGTTACACGGTAGTGGGAGATCGAGTTCTGAGGCGAGAATCAGAGAAGGAATGTTGTAGACAATGGTGTGAAAGTTGAAGAAGCAAAAGACGATGAACTTTGTCCGCTTCGTTGTTTCTCGTCGGATCCAGTCGCTCCACGTAATGTCCGCGGACAATTGTTGACTTTTGAAACCGTCATCCCGAACGAGTGTGGCGAGAACACTTTGGATGGCAAGTGCTTCTCGTAGAATCTCGCGGTGCTTGGCCCAAGTCGCCATCGCCATAAGCAGAAGTAGTGCTTGAGCAGTCTGCATGAGGTCCTCTTGCTCGGCGCCAGGCTCCTCAGGCTGAGTTGGAAGTCCCAAGCATCCAGATAGTGAGCCGCTTCGCGGTGTTTCTTCGACGTGGAAGATCTCGCTGTTCTTTCCCGAACCTGAGTATTGTGACGATGTTTCCGTTGCGCGATGTGAGGCTGCTAGTCTCGCGTCCCGCTGCCGTATGCGTTGCATGGCGATCGCCTGGCTGACGTGGAAGAGCTCAACTCCCTTTTGCCCTTCGAAACAATACTGCGCTCCGACCGCCGCCATGGCGAGGATCAGCTCGATGGCGCAGTTGTTCACTGAAAGTGTGGGTATGTGTAGAAAAGGTAGATGCTCGTGGAAGCCGTTTACGTAGCCAGCCAGATACCGTGATAGCGCCAATCGCGATGGTAGTTGGAATGTGTTGGGAATGTGATTCGAGAACTCTGCTAATTTGACAGCAACATTCTGCCTATCGTCCATATTGATGTCGGCCAGTGGTCGGTGTGGGCCATTCTGTTCGACCTGCGGTGCTGCTGGGCTCTCTTCCGGTTGAAGTGATGGTAGTCGTGAGCCGAATCGAGAGAACGAGCTTACATCTTCCTGGTGTTCGGAATTCTGTACAGGACGAGATGCAGGTCTTGGCTCGGTCGAAGGAAAGAGACTGTCCGCTGCGTGTGTCAGAGACTCGGGAGAGAAGAATGGGATCGGCTGTTCGGCGCTGATCATTGATGAGAAATGGTAGGATGATAGATTCCCGCTGTCCATGAAGTTGGCCAGATCTTGAAGAGAGTCGTCAAAATCAAACCCGCTGATACCCATGCCCATCATGCCATTGAACTGGTTGGACGATCCCGCCATCGCAGAGTTGGCCGTCGTGTCCGCCATGTATTGGTCTTGGAAAGAGACCATGGGGTTAACGAGATGGTTGGTTTGCTGGAGAGAAGAATGTGATTGAGTATTTTGAGGTTGGGCATGCTCAGCCGCCATGAGTAACGTCGCGAAGGAGAGGTCATGATTGCTTGGAGTATTGCCCGTAGTCGGGTTGAAGTTCGATACAAGGTTATGTGTGGTCGTGAAATCCGGCGACGTCAGATTGGCGGCATCTGTCAAGTCAAGTGGGATATTGATACTGCCATCTTGCTGTTGCTGCGTCGAAGAGGGCTGTGCAGTGGTGCTGCCGGCACGGCTTTCTCGTCGACCATGCTTGCCCCATCGTTCGCTATCATGGCTGAGGCGTTCATGACGCACAAGAAGATCGCTATGAGACTGTCAGTGGTGGTGAGTGAAATGCGCAACGTCCAGATATACCTTCGGGTGAATTTGCTGTCGCATTGCATACAAGCGAATGGCTTCTCGCGAGTATCTGGTTAGAGTGTAAGTAAAGAGTCTATTCATCACACAGGGCCTTCATACGTGTTCTCTCATGACGTTGGAGATGCTCCAAGCGAGCGAAGAACCTCTGACAGTGTTGACATTGAAACCTCTTAGGCTTCTTTGGGGGCGGTTCTGCGTCTTGATCCTGGTTTTGATCAAGGGTTTGGTCTAGAGTCGGGTCCAGGCCATTCAGCTCTGTATCGACGACTTCCTCAATCATGTGGAACGAATACTGCGGACTGCGAGATGACCCCCAACAGTCCTTAGCTTGGAGTACGCGGTAATTGTGCCGGCAGGCGTGGCGGTAGAAGTCTACCTCATGGGGGATGGAGATGGAATGAAGCTCTGGGGAAATTGTCTGGGGATGATTGGGAGGGTTCGGATGAAGAGCAGTACTCCGTGCACCGCCTGGAGCGCCCGCCTATTTACTGGTCACGGGGCACAATACCCGCTTGGCGCCTTCCGGGGCAATCAGGATCCGGTTCAGTTCGACAGGCCTAACCACCGGTACATCAGAAGCGAGGCGGCACACCTCCTCTCACTCTTGGTGACTTAGCCAGAACTTTATCAAGCTTCTTGAAGGTTTAGGATTTCCAAGCACCACTAGAGTGTGATTATTCCCTACTGCAACGCCATCATCTATCTATCTACCAGGGAGCTTCCACCCGTTTTCAAAGTCAATGGCGGCCAACCTAACACCCGGTTGGCCACTCTCATATATCAAACGTTTGTGGTTCATATCGCTCTGAAGCCATCTATTTCTATGTTCGTTTCATCAGAGACGACACAAACCCTGTGGGGAGCGTGGGAGCGGGTAGGTTTGGGTGCCAGTCACTCCGGGGTTGGCATGCCGTATCTTCTCCAAGCATTGCCATTTTACGGCATGCAAACTACCCCAAATACCAACCCACCGATTTACAGGAAAGTGGGACCATGTTGGATTCAGCTGCTACATTTCGTGATTGTTGTCTTGGTGTGTGATTGTCTCGAAGTCATGCTGAAGTTATAGACGACACCTCGACGACGGTATGGGTTCCGTCTTCATGAACAAGGCACCTCCTTCGCCACCAGAGAGCGCATCGGAAGCTACTGTCGAAGTATATGCACTACAAGCCGGCCACTTCACGCTGCCCGAACGATTCTTCGTACACCCAGCCTCTGAAACAGCCCGAAGGACTGTTCCTTCGTTGTCCTTCCTGATAGTCCACCAAGATCCGGTAACGAGTGAAAAGACGCGGATAGTATTCGACCTGGGATTGCGGAGGGACGTGAAACGCTATTCGGAACCCATCCAGAAACATGTCGAGACCAGACAGCCCATGGAGACCTTGCCGGATGTCACTAAGAGTTTGGCTGCTGGCGGACTGAGCCCTGATGACATTGACTATGTGATGTACTCCCATGTAAGTGTCTACGCCAACAGTTCTATCCATTGCTGACCCTTCAGGTTCACTGGGACCACGTTGGAGAACCCCGCGACTTTGCCAAAAGTACCTTCGTTATTGGGAATGGAGCAAAAGCTCTACTACACGGTGCAGGGTCGCTACGGGGGAGCCACTCGTTTTTCGAGGCCGACTTACTGCCTTCCGACAGAACACTCGAATTACCAAATCCTTACGAAGAAGTTGACGAGGAAACAAAAAAGCCGCAATCAGAAGGAAAAGGTCCAGATTTCTTTCAGGAATGGAAATCGCATGAAAACTTGCCGAGAGTGCTAGATCTGTTTCATGATGGCAGTTTATACATTGTCGATGCTCCAGGCCACCTGCCTGGGCATATCAACATCCTTGCTAAGACGGGACCGATGACCACAGTCTACTTGGCCGGAGACGCTTGTCATGATCGAAGAATCATGCGCAACGAGCGAAAGATCGGAGAATGGCTTGACGACCATGGGCACATTTGTTGCATTCATGCCGACAAGAAATTGGCGGAGCAAACGATTGAAAGAATTCAAAAACTGGAGTCAGATGGCGTGGAAGTTATCTTTGCACACGACTTCGAATGGGAAGAGGACGTGAAGAACCAGTCCCGGTTTTTCGGACAGGCATAAGATGCAGTCTGGGTTGGAAGCATACAAGCGAGTCTGGCGCAAAATATTGAAGGCTTCCGGTCTGCCATGCGCGGCTTTTTATCTGTGTCGTTTTCTAGGGGCAGGACTTTTGCGTCCCTGAAGCTCTTGAGTTCTCATATATATCATACTACCTACGCAGCCCGAAGTAGTGGCAGTGTACAGTCCTTCTACAGCTCACAATACTCGTAAAAATTGTATTACTGAACCCCTCGCCAGAACATCGTGGTGGGGTGTGGGTGAGTGGCTTACTTGGAAGTTAGGGGCCCTTGGTTGAGGAAACTCGATGCCACCCCGCATAAACCCCTACCATTTCCGGTGTCGGTCGACGACCTAACGTTAGCCTAGGCACAAGGGGATTTCTCCAATAAAGTCAACATTGGGAGCGGAGAAGGACGTATGGTTTCTTTAGAAAATATCCATGAGCTGACCTTGTTTCAAGAGGATACAATTTATCGTGAATACCAGATCACAATGTCGCCGTCGAAGGACGCCGCTGCGTTGAAAAAGGAGCTCGTCTCCCAATTAGGTGAAGAAGCATACGACGAAACATGGGACAGCATCGCCAAACTGAGTCCCGAGCTATTCGACGCCAGCGTCAAACTCATCGCTGTGCCCAAGAAGAAGAAACATCTATCCCCTAAGATCCAACAACTCATGTCGATAGCAGTCGACGCGGCTTCAACCCACCTCTACGTACCCGGCATCCAGCAACACATCAAAGCAGCATTGAAGGAGGGCGCGACTCCAGCCGAGATCGTAGAAGTGATCGAACTTACTGGCACTCTCGGCATTCACGCTTGCAACATTGGAGTGCCGTTGTTGGTGGAGGTCATGAAAGAGGAGGGTATCTACGAGAAACATGCCTCAGCCGGCAAACCATTTGACGAGCAGCGAGAGAAATTGAAGACCGAGTTCACGAAGAACAGAGGATACTGGCATACATTCTGGGAAGACTTCCTGGCACTGGACCCGGAGTTCTTCAAAGCATACCTTGATTTTTCGTCTGTGCCGTGGCTGAAGGATGTCGATGGATCTGGCAAGGGCGGTGGTGTGCTCGAGCCAAAGGTAAGAACCCCTCCAAATTCTTGCGCCAGAGGAATGGCGACTAACATGTTCTTGCGTAGATCAAAGAATTGGTTTACTGCGCCTTCGACGCCGCCGCAACACATTTGTACGTGCCAGGCTTGAAACTACATATGAAGAATGTTCTTGGTTACGGCGGCACTCCGGAAGAGATCATGGAGGTATTGGAGATTGCGACGCAATTGAGTCTGCATACTTCGAACGTGGCGGCACCAATATTGTTGAAGGAGTTGGGGCAGGCTTCTTGAGACAAGGCTGAAAATCCCTGGAATGCAAACAACTAGAGAACACTTCCCAGTATGCACCCAAGTCTTCCACTGCATCGGGCTTTTCCCCTTGGTGAACCATGCATAGTTGCTATGCAATGCTTACCTCATCATATTGCTCGTGGTCAATTGCTCAATGGTCAGTGCTATGCCGGTTTGATTTTATGGGTATATCCCCAATACGATGGGTCACTCACCTCTAAAAGGTTGGAGAATACCCCAATTCTCCGCACCCATCGTCCGTGCCAGGTACTCAATCGTCAGTATCTCACCTCTCTGCCGCGTCTCTGCACGGCAAGACGGTTAGAACGGAATGCAGTCCCTCTTTAAATTCTTCTTGAGTGTTCACCGAGGATCGTGCCCGTTTGTCATTTGACCATTTTGGTATTATTATAGTTTCAAGAAAGAAAGCAAGTATCCTTGGTGTATCATTACGGACGACCCCGTTAGTTGCCTGATTAGGTATATATCGCAAGCTAGTATAGATCACTTATGGTACTAAATAGACCAGCCCCTGATACTGAACTTATCCCTTCCGGATGTTAGCGAAATCAGCGGGTGAATGCTCTCGGAGCCATATTTCTTGTTATTTATACGTCCCTTGGGTTCGTGCTTTTCTTCTTTCAGCAAGGAGAGTTCAAAGATCAACCCACTAGCAAGCGATGATGACCTGCCGCAGCAACGATTGCAGGAAGTCCGTTGTAGTGGCTAGGTGGCCGCTTTTCGATGAACGTAGCAGGCTAGCAGCCAGGCTGAAGGGCGTCCATTCAGGCGATCCAGAACCATACCTGGCGAGTTGTTGTAAGCACATGTACGAAAGGTACCGGGGTTTAGGAGGACTGACCTTCTGCAAGAAGTTCTTGGGCACCATCTCTGGCCACTGGCCTTCCATTGCGTCGACCTCCCGTTTCCCACTGATCAAGTCGATCTCTTTCAAAGGATGAAGCTTGGTCCTTTTCACCAGCTTCCAGAATATAAAGAGTATGGCGAAGGCTCTAGTGTTGACGGGAATCAAGTTAGCGTTACCCCAGGAGGTGAGAATTTTGAGTTCGTATCTCGCGGGGAGAACACGCACGGTAGTCCGATATAAGCAGTGATAAAGTTACTGACACTCCATTCGTCGTGCATAAAGACCTGAAAGCCGTTGAAGAAGGTGACGACTGCAAAGTATGCCAGGGTCGCCCAAGCGGTGTAGGGCTGGAAGCGAGACATGAAGCCGACATCGATTGTTTCGACGCCTTGGACAATCTGTGCCTTCCTGAAACGAATGAATGCAAAGCAGATGGACATCCAGGTCAGCAGACTTGCGACTGTGATAAGGCTGGCGAACTGGGACACGTCAACCTCGTTGATCACATGAGATGTGCGGGGGCTGGCTTGACGTACCCAAAGAAACACGTTGGCACCAGCCACTGACACCGTCATGTAAGTCAGTAGGGATGTGGCAGCGGTCATTCCAACGGCGTACATAGGCACGCCACTAAAACACGAATCAGCGGCACGCTTGCTAGACCGATAAGTTGCTGACCTCTTGGAGCATCTCAAAAAGATGCGGGGTGCGTGTCCGTTTTGCGCAAGAGCGTACAAGTATCGACTGCCAGTGTAGAGAAAAGCGTTTGCGGAGGAGATGGCCGATGTCAGGATCACAGCATTGATCACGGACGGCAGAGCGGAAATGCCGGCGTTCCGGATCCCAATGACCCAGGGAGACTCCGCAGCACCAGCAGCACCATTCTTTTGGGCGCTCAAGAGGTTGGGGTCGTCGCTGGACACGATGAGACCAATGGCCAGAGTGCCAAAGACGTAGAAGAACAGGATGCGGTACAGAACCCTGCGGACAGCCTTGGGAACATTCTTTCGTGGGTTCTCGGCTTCGCCCGCGGCGGCTGCGACCATTTCGACCCCAGCATAAGTGAAAGCAGCGTAAACCAGGACCGAGAAGAAGCCGAGGAAGCGTCCAGTGTCACCCGTGGCAGGTGGAAGTGGCTTCATTGCTGCCGACAATTGAGTGAGCTTGACTTCTCAAAGGTCACTGCCTGACTTACCGCCTGGGTTCTTCCAATAGCGAAATCCCAATCTGTCATGAGTCGGTCCTCCCCCAAGAACGATGACGAGCGAGATGATCAGTAGTCCGAAGATGGTGATCAGTTTGATCGATGCAAACACAAATTCGGCTTCGCCATAGATGCTTACTGCAAAGATATTGAGGCACACGACGAAGAAGATGATCAATGTGATCCAGGCGGCGGGCTACTTCAAGTTAGCACATCGATGTTCTGTCAACAAGTGAGCGCAGTCCGTTGATACCGTGATGTCCCTTGCGCCAGGCCAGTACTGTATGACGATGGCTGCGGCGTCGATCTCTAGGCAGAGAACAATCGCACAGAAGTACCAGTTCTAGCAGGCGTAGTCAGCACCTCCAATCGGTGCAAAAATCTTGTATCGTACATTCCAGCCTACCGCGAAGCCTAGCGCATCGTCAACAAAACGACTGCAGAATTGGGGAATGGCACCCGGGATCGGAAGCCAGGTCGCCATTTCGCCAAGGGTGACAAGCTGAGGCGGTTGTTAACAGGACGCAAAGACGTGCAATGCCTTCCACGTACCATCCCGTACACGGCAATACCTGTGATGAGAAAACCCAGCAAGAGGCTCAAAGGTCCGGCTGTCGTCAGACTCGAGCCGATTCCCAGGAACAGGCTCGTCCCAATGGTACCACCCAGCGCGATAAATTGGATGTGTCGGGCTTTCAATCTGGTGTCATCGTCTTGTGAATTCCAGAGACGTGAACAATGTGGTGGTTAGGCTTACCCGCGTTTTACATGACCATAACGGATGTCCAGGGTCGCGACTGCTGCTTCATTGACAGACAGAGTCTCTGTGTCGGGCATAGCGACGGACTCGTGTGCCTTGCCGTCCATATCCATTTCGAGTGTGTGCATTGCGGATCTGGGGAATCTCGGGCCACCTGCAGCAGCTTTCTGTCACGTCCTTGAACCGACTCGACATAACGGTCTGTCTGGTGCCCGTCGGCCATTATATATGTCCAAGAGCTACTTTCAGTACCGCGCAGGAGAAGATGAGACAAGGCGTGAGGCAGCGCTAGACTTCACGAGACACTGAGTGCAGGTTCAGTGACACGTTGCCACATCCTGCTGCGACAGCAATTCATAGCGAGGGACCTAAGATGAACAAAGGTTCCAATGATAGAATGCGAAAGGTCACCTGGTGCTGATCTTGAATCCCGACGATATCGTCGATATGACTTACCACGACTCCCGAATGTGGTAGGACATACGCTTCGAGCGTGCTGTCGCGGCATGGCCTCGCTATACGCTGCTGGTCTTTGAAGACCACGTTCGGGAATGGCAATCTTGGGTCGAGTTGACGATAACGCGTTCGGACTTACCATAAGTGATGGACCATTGCTAGTTTCAATTACGAAAGGTCTAACTGGACAGCGTTGACTGCCAGGGCCGGAGGAGCGAGCAGTGTTCGAGAGTACGTCGGTTGTTGTGGAAGATTCAGGTGTGGTCATCATTGGTGAAGTCTAAGTTGTACTGTAGAAAGAGCGACGACGAGGCACAGGCTTGACAGGGCACGCTAAGCCCAAAAGAAACAGAAAAGAAGTTCATGCCGAACCAGCGTGACATCACTCCATCTTTTCATCACTGTCCATCAATCACGTTGAGCCTTCGCCTTCAATCTCAGCAGACGTTGCATACACTCGAATTGACCGCTCTATCGTGTTCCGCAGACCAGGCTCTATCGTCTACCAGGGAAGGCGATTTCTTACCGTTTCGTCTGAGATGGCCAGATGTCGGCCAGTTGGCTGACCCCAGCGGGGCCTAAACCTTGCCTGAGGTAGGATCTCATGAGACCTTTGTTCACTGGCTATCCTCCACTACTTAATCTGGTCGATCTGGCTGTTCATGCCGACATGCCAGTCCCATCTACGACAATACGCGATGGGAAGAGTGTCAGGAAGACCCAAATTCCGCCCTCCTAGAAAGCGCAACCGCACCTTTACCGGTTGCTGGCGTTGTCGTTCTCGCAAAGTGAAATGCGGAGGGGAGAAGCCCGCCTGTCGCGCTTGCCTGCGTCTTGGAGGTGTTTGCAGCGGATATGATGCAAAGGTGATTTGGGTCGACGAAGACACTCAAACATTCAAGTCTGACGGCCGCCGTCATGTACAGTGCCAACTGACTTGGGCCGGTGTGCCCGTGCTCAATTCAGACCTGGTCGACTTTCTCATCGAAAAATGCGACCAGGAAGCTAGCGACAGCATCTCAGGTTCTTTGAGCACGTCGTCCATCGCTTCGACCCACAATCCATTCTCCGCCCTACGATTCGATCGAACAACGCCTCAAGATGTCTCCCCTGTACCACTCACCCTCCCCTTGGTACCAAGTCTCAACAGCTATTCGCTTGCTCCAGAAGAAAACCATCTATTCCAACACTACGTAAACCATGTCGCTGTCATCATGATGCCCTTTGAGCATTCGCGCAATCCGTGGACGTCCTCATATCCTGCCGCCGCCCTTCATTATTCCTCAACAGAACAACGAGCATTATACGATGCGATCTTGTCCCACTCTGGATTTCATCTTGCCCAACTATCGAATGATAGAGACAGGTGGGCCATATTGGCAACCAAGCATTACAACAAGGCGATTCAAATGCTCATGAAAAGCATCAGTCAGGAACGAATGCAGTATGGTCCCACTGTCGCAGCAATAATGACGCTCCTTATGGCTGAGACCTACAGTGGCCGGTCGGAGGTTTGGAAACATCATCTCAAGGGTGCCTGGTCGCTTTTGCTCGAGCATCGAGCCACGGAGCCGTGGCTCGACTCAGATTTCGCTTGCATTTCAACACAGAGTCTCAACATCATACGTATCGTCGCTCAAACAGCGCGGCTGGATGCTGGTGGACTTGGTCAAGATGCCATTCGATGTCCAGGCAGCGGATGCGGCTCCACCAAGGACTCAACTTTAGTGTCGTCAATCGCCTCTACCTTGGACTTTGGTTTCACCATCGGGGCCACTAAGGACATCATGGAGTGTATTTCGCGAATAACTGCCACGGCTCGTGATATTCAGGTTAATGGGCACTTGCCATCCATGGACGACGAAATATCAAGCATTCTTGAACAACTGAAGACCTGTGAGGGCAACCTAAAGTCGCTATCTCTCTACCCAGGCAACGATGCCATACTTCTGACGCCGAACGGTCTCGAGAGTATTTCAACTCCAAGAGACGTGCCATATCACCAATTGCGGGCGTTCATCCTGGCAACCTATGTCTACTTTTACCGGGTCATCTTTGATTTGCCTCCCTGTAGCCTGACTGCATATGTCAGCTCCACCTTTGAGCACGTTGCGAACTTTTCGGGCAAACACGCTGGCAATTTTTCTCTGTGGCCGGCCTTCATTGCAGCAACTGAGGCATACACAGACAATGACATGCGCTTGGCTCGAGATTGGCTGCAGCATGCACTCTCCTTTGGTATGGGCAGTAGAGCCCATGTGCAGACTGTCCTCGAGGAGTTGTGGCATAGGAGAGAACGCATTGCGCAAAACTTAGGCGTAGACAAGGGATCGGTCTCTGTGGATTGGAGACAAGTTATGCGAGATCTTCAGGTGGACGTTCTCCTGGTTTAATGGCACTGGCCACTGATTGAAACCTGTGGCAACCTCCATTATCCCTCACATGATCTGTTCCATGCTCGACGCCCATTTGGGCTGAATGAACAATGCATGAGCTTCGACCAATACTTCCTCTGCAACATCTCCGAGCGACATGACGGTTCCTTTGACCCACGCCTTCCTGCCCTCGACACGCTCTGTCACCGCCCGCACAAGGATCATGCTGTCTGCTTTCACCGGCTTTCGATAGTCGATTTCCATGTGTACAGTCACTCCAATCTTCTCCGGCAGACGGGCAAAACATGCTCTACCCATGCACTCGTCCAAGACAACTGCCAAGAATCCTCCATGAATGAGACCAACATGGCCGGAGAGCTCCAAGCCGAGATGGTAGGCTGCGATGAGAGAGCCGTTCGCATCGTCGAAGAATATTTGTGGCGGCACTGATATCCTTGAGACGCCCGCGAGTGTGCTGGCCGTGAGATGATTTGGTAGAGCCTCCGAAGAGACCCTCAGAAGGCATCGACTTTGCTGCACTGATCTCCCACCTGCTTGGCCATCATGAAGAAAAGCTGAGATGGCTGGAGAGTTGCGGACTGCTTGCAGTAACTGTTCCTCGACATTGGCAATGCTTCGCAGATCCGCAGGTTGCTCGCATGGTCCAGACTCCGAGTGCTGTTCGTTCAGCATAGCGCTCGCCAGAAGAAAGGAGTCGTATAAGCAGGAAAAAGGCTACACCTTCAGGTCGAGATTCAACGAAGTCTCAAGATAGATATGCTGTTTTCGCCCCAGAATGCCACGGAAAGGACGTGAATTCGTTGCATATGAGGCTCGGCACGGATTGAAACATTGGATCCGTCAAAACGAGTTTGTCACAAGATCATGAGATCTCCCGCCTGACATACAAATCTAGGCGCGCAGGCAAGCCAAACCGAGAAGCTGAGCATGACATCCACTCCCATCATTGATAGGCCTTAAAGGCAATGAAACTTTGTAGCTCGGTATGATGTTCCCCAGTATCTGCAAAGGGTTAGGCTCATCTGGGGCTTCTTAGGCCCACACTGGAGAAGGATCGCATCCTTGGACTCGATCTTCACGATAGCCTCATCATGGTAATCCATCTTTGCGCGCACAAGGCAAGGGCGATGGATCGAGTTCGGTAGTTGGGGTTTGCACCTGCTTCAAACTCGATATGACTTGCCATCTTTGGTACATGTATCCTTGTTCTGATCCGGACAAGGAATGCTCTCCTCGGCTCGAAAAGTGAGCCCGCGTGGATATATGAAGGCCTTTCCCTGTCTTCACAAATCTTAGTAGCTTCACTATTCCATCTCTTCTCGACCGCAGCCGCCATTATGGGATCACTGGCGCCTGAACCTGCAATCTTGACAACTTACCCTTCGCCTGCAATCATCAAGATCACCTTGAATCGACCTAGATCGCTCAATGCGCTCAATATAAGTCTACTCACTGCTTTGGTAAACACGCTTCATCTTGCTCGCACCGAACGTCGACGCATCATCATCCTGGAAGGAGCCGGCGATCGTTCTTTCTGTGCCGGCGAAGACCTCAAAGAGACTCTTGCTCCAGCCACCGGTACCGCTGAGGAGTTACGCGTTGCATTCAACCTGCTGCAGGACATCACCCGGTTGACATCCAGCTCCGAATCACTCGTGATCGCAGCTGTGCAGGGGTTTGCCATTGGCGGCGGAGCCGAAATAGCACTCGCTGCTGATTTTGTGATTGGAGGCCCTGGAGCGAAATTCAGGTTTCCGGAAGTCCCCATCGGCCATGCCGCCACAGGAGGTATCACGCTCAGGCTGACACACATGGTCGGGCTGCTCAAGGCCAAGGAACTACTCATTCGAGGCCGCTTCATACCCGCAGAGGAGGCCTTTGCCATAGGACTCATGAGTGAGCTTGTGGAAGACCCGAAGAGTAGGGCGATTGAGCTCGCCCGAGAATTGGAAAGCTTGCCCACCATCTCCGCGATGAGCTCCAAGGCTGGCCTAGAGCGAGCAGTATTTCCAAACATGGAGGTGAGTTTGGCTGATGAGGTCAACGTGGCCAGCTACTGCTTTGCCCAGAGTGATGCTGCCAAAGCATTCGAGAATTTCGCGAAGAGGAACCGAACGAGCAACGGCAACACCAAACACACTCCCGAATCTGCATCTGCCTCACCTCAGCCCGGTCCTGAGTGTCCAGTTTCCACCACCTCGGAGGCACACAAAGGCCCTGTCCCAGCCAGTACAGCAACAACAGACTACCTGAGGTCGGTCAGAGACATCAATACTGCCTTCGACAATGCTGTCAAATCCTTTGGAGCCAGGTCCTTCCTCAAGTTCGGTGGAAAGACTTATTCCTTTGAGGACATTGACAATCGTGTTTCAGAGCTTGCCGGTGGGTTGGCATATCTTGGGATTACCACTGGGGATCGTGTCCTTGTAATGATGCGAAACAACATTGACATGGTCAATCTCTGGCTTGCAACCAACCGACTGGGGGCGACCTGGGTCCCTATCAATGTGGAACTAAAGTCGATCACTTTACAACACGTTGTCCACGCCGCCGAGGCGAAGATAGCTATTGTGGATGCTGAGTTCGTTCAAGGGCTCGAGGCAGCTGAAATTCAGTGCGACTACCGTCTGTTCATCCGAGGAAACCATGATCCGAAGACAGACCTCGAAACCCTGTATACACTGGGTCCACCGGTGAAGTCGGCTACTCCAGTGGCAGCCTCATCATCTGCAGCCTTTCTCTATACCAGCGGAACAACTGGAAAATCGAAGCCATGCGTTCTTTCTCATCAATACTTCATCCTTCAAGCATCCGCCCTCATAGAGACTTTTGGCCTTCATCAAGACGACGTCCTTTACTGCCCTTTTCCCTTATTTCATGCCGATGCAACCGCATTGACTGTTATACCGGCCATTCTCCTCGGTGCCACGGCAGCGCTTTCGGTTCGTTTCAGCGCGAGTCGCTTCTGGGACGAGGTTCGAGAGGCTGATGCCACTGTGTACGACTTCATGGGAGCAACGTTAGCATTGACGTACAAGCAAGCACCCACCTCTCGTGATCGCGATCACCATGTCCGGTTGGCATGGGGCGTGCCCATCCCAAAATTCGCCGAGGACTACGAACAGCGATTCGGACATCCATTGTACACGCTGTACGGCAGTGTAGAGGCAAGTCTCCCGGTGATGCAACAGGGACCTCGAGTATTGGGATCATGTGGGAGAGTGCGACCGGGCTACCACCTGCGCATAGCAGACGAAAATGACGACTCACTCCCGCCGAACACTCCAGGACACCTTCTTCTGCGAAGTGACGTCTCCAATGCATTTTTTCAGGGCTATTTCAACAACCCACATGCCACTGTGACAGCCTACTCGAATTTGTGGCTGCATACCGGCGACCTCGCCAGAATCGATGAAGACGGGAACGTTTACTTTGTCGGTCGGGTCAAAGACGTGATTCGGCGACGAGGCGAGAATGTCAACGCGGCGGAGATCGAGGAGGAATTTCTGCGCCATGAGGATGTCGTCGTGGCTGCCGCATTTGCGATTCCCTCGGACCTGGGAGAGGGCACTGAGGACGAGGTCAAGGTCGCCGTGAAATTGCGCGAGAACAGCCTGGCTCAAGAGGCTGACCTGTTCGATTGGGCTGTTCAGCACATGGCGAGGTTCCAAGTACCGAGTGTGATTGAGATCGTCTCGGGCTTGAAGCGAACGCCAACAGGTAAGCTGGAGAAGAGCTGGCTCGGAGCCGAGGGCGGCAAGAAGTTTGAAATTCGAAATCGGCCCTCCAAGGAGACTTATTAAGCATACATTTGTTTTCTATTGCCATGAAGGCTTGCTCAGTCCCGGGCTTGCTCTATGGTGGAGAAATGTGGATCACAACTGCCTCAAGATGTAAGCCGATTGAACAGAACCATCACTGACAGGTCAAGATATCCAATCACACAAGTCCATGCAAGAAATTTATCCTCAAGTTAAGTTCATGTAGAATATTGGACTTACTCAGTCCTGCCACGAAGCCTAGGAATCAACTAAGGGCTTATGAAGAGACTCCTGGTCAGGGGCTTTCGGGCCCCTAAGTTGCTTTCTTTATTCTTTGTGCGCTTTTAGCCGATCCCGGGAAGTTTAGGGCACTGCACCACGGTGTACAAGAGAGGCCGAACCGGCTGATGAAGCATGATGTGACACACTTCTTGATCCCGAATGAGGTGGTAACAGAGAGAAGACGATGCCCCCCGAGAGTCCACGAAATACGTACTCGGAGGATCAAGAAGAGAGCCTCGGACTTCAGTTTCCGCCATTGGCATATTTTCATCCTAAAAGCATCTGAATATTGAAAGGCCCCCTTTTGATTAGCCTTCAAGATGCTCTGCGGTCAATTCTTTCCATAATTTTCGCTCACTGAAGGGTTATCGACTCTTAGAATCGTGAGCCCTTCCGAACCACCGAACTCTAAACAGAATTGAGGTCTGAGGTGGTCGATCCAACTGGCAAGATCGTGTTCAGTAAAGATACTGAAGAAGGCGAAGCTATCATTGTGTCCATATTAGAACTGGGATTTCCTAGAACTCGATCGGAGACCTAGCAAGTCGTTGGATAGGCGAAAGGGGAGGCCGAGGCTCGTTGCCAAACCAAGTAGCGGGTTATGACCCCTTGAATGCCACTTCCTCCACACGAGTTCCTAACCTTTCAAGGTGCTTTCTTCTTTTCGAATTTCTTCGCAAGAGCCAGTGGCTATGCCGATTTTCTGTAGGTTGGTCTGATTGATTCCAATAAGTCTGTGTTCAGATATAACAAGGAAGAAAAGAGGGCTCAAACACATGATCCGCCACTTGATATGGCACCGAGCCTTATACTCAGGGCTTGCTGTCCCCCATACTGTATAGGAGTACTCACGCCCTCCACCACGAGAAGTCGCCTCCATCGGCGGGCTCACCGGGCTCTAGGGGGTTTTCAGATGCTTGTCTTCAAGGCTCAAAAGTACGCATTGGCTGCTCCCGATCCTCCCCTTAGGAGTAATCTATCGATCGAGGACCGGATCACTCGCTTCCACCGGTGCCGGTATCACCAAACACTGAACATATTGTGAACCGCGTGTGCATTTCCGACGGCCTACACTTCGGATCGCCACGGGTCTTCAAGAGTGCATCTCTACACCCTCACAGCAACATACTAAGACTCGTCAGTCCCTTAGTCTGATAACCGGCGTAGAACTAGCGCGCATAGCCAGCTTGATTAGTGTATCCATGCACAGTGGCAGCCCCTGAAGCCGGTCTGCGGAAGAAGCGGCACCATCAGCCAGAGACCACATCTGGTAGTAGGTCACACAACATGGCTGGTCAGAAAACGCACAGCCGCGACACGTGCTTCAATATATTTGATATATATGTCGGTGAAGTTCACGGCCCTCTGGAATTGGGACGCTAAGCAGTCGAAGATCTGTACGAAAACGAAAGGACTGCACAGGCATTTCGAGCGGTTCAAGCGACAGGCTCCTAGGGCCAGGCGGAGCCGGTTTTTCTGGGAACGGCGTGCCTTGCGAATACCGTACTCTAAGCAGTTTTCGCGCCGAACAAGCCTTCCGCGGACGTAAACTTGCAGCCCAGAAGGCTCCAGCCTCTATCCTGCTTTTGTCTGCATCCTACGGCCTCGCCACAGGTCTGCTGGGTCTTCGCCTAAACAAATCGCACGGTACAAACATCCACTCGATCGTCGATCACATTCCGCGGCCTCGTTGACCAGGGAAACGTGTTGGTATATTCCTCCGCGACCCCTGGACGCAGGCGCCGGAGAAGATTTTTCTAGAGCCAAGGAGAAGACCATTCTGTCGAGCTAGGAGACTTTACCTGGAAGGAGTCGATGCACCCTCATGACTTTCCTTCGACCCACGTCAGGACACCTCTCTACCTGTCCTAGGAAATCTGTGCTACAGGAGAAATACACTTGCTCTTTGAAACCCGTCCATTGGGATGCACCGTGTATGGATTCTGCAAAGGAGAAGAACCATTAAACCCGTACTCCCACCTGTAGCTTGCTGTCCAGGTACTCCTTGTCAGTGATATTTCCCACTCGTCACGCTACAGCTGTCTAGAGAGCTGGGCGACGCTTGCACAAGGACTCCGTTTACAGTAGTGGGTTAAGTATTTGCCGTCGCGCCTAGACCCCGGCTTTTTGGCCCCATGGAGAGGTGCTGTTGGCGAGGATCTGGGCCAAGTACGCGAACAGTGCGTGATAGGGGGTTAGGCGAACCGACAACGAAGTGTACACAGTGTAAGTCCAGGCATCGCAGTTGACTGGCCTGATGCTCTCCCACCTGCTGTCTGTGTTGAGTTTCAAGCAACCTTTGGTACGAGTCCTCAACCTACCAGGTACCAGGTAACTGTAGCAATCCACGCATGTACCGTGACGATACGTGACAGACACAAATTTCAAATGACAGCTAAGTAGGTATATAGTCACGTGATTGTCCAATCCCCAACATGACGGGGACGACTTCCCCAATCTTCGCCCAATTGCCGAGGAAGTTGAGAAAGTTTGAACTGGTGTCCAGGCAAATCAGCCAAAAGCAACATTCACATCATGAGCCGTGCTGCTGTACAGTTGCTCCAATGACGATATTCGAACTCTCACAAGCCATTCGAACTCTCTCAAGCCACTGGCACGCATACCCGGCGGCTGAAAGCTTGTACTCTCATCGATATGCCTCAAAGCAGCCGGGCATTCGCCGGGTGGTAAGAGAAACCCTCTGAATTGAATTGAATATACCCATTCTCAGAGGCATAAGCCTCCCGAGATTTCGGTTCCCTGGTGATCAATGATGTGGAGAAATCCCCATGTCCCCAGTGTTCCTGGCTTGAATACCCCAACACCAAGCTCATAAGACTACGACTTTGCAACTAGTCTTCCAGCCAATTCTGAAGATCCTTCAACACACTTGTATCTGTGGTATCTATCAAAATGCCGTCACCTACTCACGACGCGAACATGGAGGCACACAATATGCACGACATGAGCAACAACGTCGACGTGTTGAAGCCCGAAGCCGAAGTCGAGGAGTACATCGATGAAGGCCGATTGGCCGCCGTGGCGGATTTCGAAGCGAAAGAGGCCAAACTCAGACGCAAACTCGACCTGTACATCGCGCCCGTCATGATGATGCTCATGCTCATTTCTTATCTTGATCGCGGCAACATCGGTTTCGCCGCGACTCAAGGCATGTCCAAGGACATTGGCCTCAAAGGCAATCAACTCAATGTAAGTCCCTGCTATGTCCAACTGCAGACCTGCCAAGACTGACAGTATCGTAGGCCGCCGTCTCAATCTTCTACGCTACATATGTGTTGGCCGAAATGCCTGCGTCGTTGGCCGTCAAACGACTGAAATTCCACCGTGTCATCCCCGCCATCACATTCTGCTGGGGCTTGGTGTGCATGAGTTGTGGATTTGTGCAAAACTTTCCCGGCCTTGTCGTGACCAGACTGCTGCTCGGGTGGTTTGAAGGGGTATGTGCTCGATTCCTATACCAACGTGAATGTTACTGACAAGAACACCGCAGTGCCTGTTCCCCGCTATGACTTTACTGCTTGCCAACTGGTACCGACGAGAAGAATTGGCTCAGAGAGTGTCCTACCTTTTTAGTAAGTACCTGCCATCCCCAATATGCGGATACATCATACTAACATGATGCGAACAGTCGCTTCAGCTCTATCCGGCGCATTCGGCGGCCTCATCGCCTTTGGCATTCTCTACATGGACGGCGTTGCAGGCTACCCAGGCTGGCGCTGGCTGTACATCCTCGAAGGTCTTCTAACCCTAGTCTGGGCCGTAGCCTGTATCTTCCTAGTCCCCTCATCCTACAAGACAGCCTACTTCCTCAACGACGAAGACAAAAAGATCATGGCCATCCGCGAATCCCTCAGTGAGTCCTACTCAGGCGGCGACGGGCACTACAAGATCAAAGACCTCAAACTCGCATGGGGAGACGCAAAGACCTGGCTCCACGGCATCTCCCAAATCGGCGTCGTAACCATCCTTTATGGTTTCGGCACCTTCCTCCCTGTCATCCTGAAGTACGGATTTCACTATACAACCAAGCAAGCTCAGTACCTCGTCATCCCCGTCAACCTATGGGGCGCGATCGTGTATGCCATCGGCGCCGTGATTTCGGACCGATACAACAAACGTTTCTGGATCATGGCGGTGTGCGCGCCCGTCGGAATCGCAGGTTATGCGATTCTCCTGTCTGATGTCCCCGTCGGTGTGCAGTACTTTGCCACGTATCTCATTGCGACAGCCTGCTTTTTGTGCACAGGTGGCAACATCGCGTGGTTATCCGGCAACGTGGCACCCGATGGCAAGAGGGCGGCTAGTCTGGGAACTCAACTCACACTGACAAACCTGGGAGGAATCATTTCTGGGCAGATCTACGCTTCGACCGACGCCCCGCACTTTACTCTCGGTCATGCATGGTCGCTTGGCAGTCTGGGATTCTCGTGGACCATCTTCTGGATCATCAGAGCCTTGTACAAGAAGAGAGAGGCGGGCAAGGAAAAGGCACGCGCGGAGGGAGTGGTTGTGCCACCCGAGGAGTTTACCGACCGCTCGCCTACCTTCAAGTACCAGATGTAGTTCTACAGGAGTTGGAATCGGACAAGGCCCAAGGGGCACAAGCGGCCAAGTGCCATATAATCCAGTGGGGGTTCTTCGGGACTCCCCCCGGTCTGGCTACCTGGGAAGCTAGAGCGTCAGCGACAAGATATTGGGAATATCTATAGACAATATTGAAACTGAGTTTATCGGGCCAACCTGCCCTGCTCATACAAACAGTCTCTCATTTTATATGTTCAAATACTCCTCTCGCAAGTGCCCAGTGCTGTGATCCACTATCTTTTTCAAGGCAAACCGGGGGTATAGTGGCAAGATCAACCAAATGCTCAAGCAGAAACGTCCTCCCATTTTCTGATCATAAAACATGCGTAGCCATCTTCTTCATGAAACGCTTCTCCGTCTTCGTCAATGAGCCCTGTTTGCCATTGTGTCCTGGTCAAGTCGATGGAAATCCCCCTCGTCATGTATCTTCCCTGCCCATCCCAACGCCTGAAAATATCGTACCCGTCCAAGGCCGTAGACAATGTCTTGCTCCAATGGGAACGGACTTTGCATACGTTCTCCGAAATAAAATGCTCCATTGAGATCCGACGCTCGTTTGGTTGCACTCAGCAGGACTCCCAATCGACGTTTGATCATGTCTCGTTGTCGACCAGCACTATGCCAATAGTCGACCAAACTCTCCAGTGCTTCGAGTCCGCTCGAGATCAAGGACATCATCTGACTCTTGTGGTCCATCAGATCCGATAGAGTACCTGAGGCTGTGATGACGTCCAATGCTACCGTGATGGCGAATCCGATAAATGGACTCGTTGTTGCGAACCGGAACAATGGAGAATTCTTCTCTTCGTCGTTGCTAAGTTGTTGTACCAACTCTAACATCGACTGAGCTTGCTTATATGCTCCTTTTTCTCCTCCTAATCGAATGGCGATCGCCTGTTGATCAAGTTCTCCATGACGAACATAGCGATTGACAAGCAACGCGGTGTAGTAATGCAAGATGTATAAGCCACTGACGGATTGCGACTGGGCGTCTCCATCTCTCACCCTTTCCAGATGAGTTTGGAGCTGACTCTCCCATGTTTCCAGTTTGTTCATGATATTGTGACGGAATCTCTCTGCTTCATCACTGTAGCGTACCCTATATCGCTTATTGGTTTGGTTGATCTGGTCGACCACCTCATGAAAGATCGTGGCGATCTCCACCAAGAAACCAAGCAGTCCCACCCGAGAGACGCTGTCAGCGCTAAGCGGCATACCAAGACTGAAAGGCGTTTCCCGTAGATGGCCTGACTCAAAGGTAACCTGGGTGCATGGTAATCGCAAGTGGCATTGGGATCGGTAGACGGAGCTGACAGTGGCTGAACAGCAGCCATTAAAACAATCCATGATATACGCAGACCAGAATGTTCGCCGTCTGCACTCCACGAGAGTTTCGTAATCAAAATGAAAGTCGAGCCTTTCATGTGGGAGAATCGTGCGAACACCCTCCTCGGTATTGTACTTCAAGCCGAATCCTGTCCTCACGGCGGAGCCGCAAAGATCCCATGCTTTGTTGTATTGGCCTTGCGAGAAAGCAAGAAGTGCAAGAATCAGTCGTGTTTGGAGGAGCTGCAGACTGAAAGTGTCGGCATTTCGTGCGATAGCCTCTTCAGCGAAGCCTGTGAACAACGAACGGTGAGTATCGGCATCAGGTCGACGAGCGAAAACTGTTCCCATAGCCATCATAGCGTACAACAACATCTTGTCAGTTGATGACTTCGAGGCAGACTCCGTCACCCAACCAAGAAAAGCTTGCCTGGGCAAAGTCCAATATGTGGCAGCGTCGACATGGGAGAGGTATTTGCGTACGTAGTGCACGGTCAAGCCACGATCAAGCTCGACAGGGTCGATGTGCCAGGAGAAGCTCGGCGTAGTTGTTGGTGATGGTAAAGATGCCAGTGATGGCTCGGCGACTGCTCCTTTGACCTGATAGCCGCCAGGAACAGGGTGAGGCGATGGTGATCGGCGAGCCTTCTTCGCTGGTCGGGAATGATCCGAATCGTGGTCTTGAGAAGCCCCGTCCTCGGATGTTGGAGACAAAAGGCTTTCCAGCGTCATCGATGTTCTCTGTGCAGGCCTGGCCAGTTCTTGAGACATCCAGTCTGCCGACGCATTTGAGCCCCGTCGTCCAGCTCCTGCATCTTGTATCTGCGCAGATGGCGAGGACCGTGCCGGAGAATGAGCGGCTGAGCCTGCTTGCTTAGAGCCAGCGCGGCTCCTAGAACGATAGTGAGTCAGATGAATAGGGAGGGGCTTCAGGAGAAGCATCACTTACATCGAGTCGAATTTGCACTCACGGCCAAACTTCAGGCATTGGGCACATTTCGGCACGCTGGGATCACATTTGATCTTCTTTTCTCTGCACGTGTTGCAAGCCTGCCCCAACCGTTTCCTAGGTTTGCCAGCTTTGGTGGTGCCCCATTTCGGGTTGACGGCATCGCCATTGATGACCTTCTGACACACGGTGCCATCGTCATAGACGTAACAGAGACCTTTGTCTGCAACCACTTCCTCCCTCAACATTGATCTCCCATAGCCCAGGTCGAAGGGAGGACCTGAAGGGGGCATGCCGGACAAAGCTGGGCGCCCATCCGGAGGGAGGTAGTTGGCGTAAGCCCAGTAGGCTTCTTGGTTAGTTTCTGCATGGGGGGTATGTGGTTGCGGGCCCGTCTGTGGAGGGTATTGCATCGGGTGCCGTTCCGGAGGCCCATACAACGTCGCCTGAGGTGGACGGTGAAGAGTGGGAGGACCGTTCTGGAGCCTTCCATCACCGTGACTTGAACCAGGACTGGTTTGTGCATAGCTTGGGCCGTCATGAGAGGCACCAGATAGAAAGTCACCGAAAGACGGCAAGCGTGTTTTGTGTGTTGAGCCATCGCTCGGCGCCATTGGCGCGGACGGCGTCGAGTTGAGTGACAGGCGGGTGAGATGCTGGACGGTAGGACAAGGACGGAAGTGGTGCTGAGTATCGTGCCACCGTTTCAGTTGCGAGTCTGGAGGCAGAACAGCACTCGTGGCCATGAGGACGTAGTTTCGAAGAGTGGGTAGGTCTGGTTTGTTTGATTTGTTAGGTGTGGCGCTTTGCCATGCATTCGATGCCTGATTCAAAGACGTCCAAGCACGCCAGACGGACTAGACCCAGGACCTGATTGACTCTCAATTGCGGCAGTGTGACAGTCAAGCAATTTTCTCTGCGCTTTCCGTCCCAGCTCCAATCAAGGGACTAGGCTTTGCCGCATCACAAGCCGCTAAAGCAGAGAATCGTGGAATGGTAGTGACAGAATGTCAAGTCGTAGCCGAGATCCTATGCCGGCACGTAAGGCGTAGTAACGCTGGGCGAGAACCTGCAAGATGTTGGCATTGGTCCGTGACAGCGATGGATTTTCTTGACGACTGCTGGGAAGCAATAGAATGGTGCTGGAAAGAAGCAGGTGAGTGAGGACGTAGCACGCGTTATGGAGACGTATTACCCCAGAGTGCGAGTCCTTTGATGTTAGAGCACCATCTCCCCGCGTAATCGGAAGAGCAAAGCGAGACTAGGGACGGGGGAGGATGTTCTTGAGTAACCGGTAGTACAGGTTGTAGATGAGGACGGCTGGTCGCCCACCGGGAGGGTGGTCATGTATGTAGGACGGTCGGTCGTAGTAAGATGTGAGCCTGCACGGTGATCGAATAGGAAGCAAGCAGCCTCCTTCGTCAACGGGGTGGACAGAATGTGGTCTTGGATGCAGGGAGCCCAGGTGATGGCGTCTGGCCATGGGTCTTACCCATAGCAAGAGGCCAGGGTGACATGGTTCAATGAGGGATGGTGGCCTCGTGGAGTCGCATGATTCCGAACACCCTTACGCATGCCATCTTTGGCCCTTGTCGATCGCCTTGCAGGGATATCGAGTCGACGGAAGAAGCAGGTGGAGTCTTTGGTTTGTGGCCAGGGGTGGTGGGAACGGCAGGGCATCGTGCGAGCTCCTCTCACGAAAGCTTCGTCTAGTCTCGGCAGATCATATGCTGGAGGGAGGGGATACACTGTGGCCACATCATGAATCACCACTACTAGTCACAAGTCGAGGAGGAGATTGTGATAGTTGACGCACTAAAGGCTTCATAGTAGGAACCAGCAGGTGGCGGACAGTGGCTCGAGCAGATCTGCGGATTTTAAAGCGAATGATCATGCTAGTTTGTTGTGACGACAGAAAAGAGACGAAGGCGAGACGATGGATGACGATTGAAAAGGGAAAGAGAGAAGCTGAAGGGGAGTAACACGACCAGGGAAGACCGGGGCGATGGAGAGGGCCAGAAAAGCCAATAACCGAGCCTTGAAATGGCCCGAAAAAAACACCTTGTTACCAGACACAAATTGGAGGGAATCAACGACTGACGGTACAGTAGTAGAAAACCAAAAAAGAATGGATATCTTGGGGTACAATAATTGTCTGTTTGAACATATGCCTGTGCCTGCGCCTGCTCCTTTCTGCAGCTGCGCCCGCGATTCTCCAGGCATACCCAGAGCAAATGGAAAAGCAAACCACCTCACCCATGATACCACTTATTTGTGACCATTTCACCAATTCTGCCCGGATATTCTTTTTGGCCCTCGCTTCGATACAAGCACGTACATTTCCGTTCGTGTAATTCTTGGTATTTTACCAGTGGTAGATCTAGCAGGCTGACTGCATGGCCACGGCTGGGTAAACATGCCAAACCGCCTCTTCTTGATGGACACTTTCCAAACTCCCGTTGTTTTGCCCTCCAATCGCTAAACACTAGTGCCCCACCGGCGGACGTTAGACTCCTTAACTCTAATATCTGCGCCCACTACCTTTCTCTACCGAGACTCCGAGACCCTAACTTTACACGAAGCTTTGCTGGAAGTCTGTTCTGCTGTACCACATGGCGGCTCGCAGCCCCTACCCTCACCCCAAAAGGATCGACACGCAGCTGCAGCTCCTGTGCATCCAGGCAAAACGGAACAGTTTTGAAGCATTGACGCGGCTGGTGCCTTGAAGTACTATGCTCGGCATTCCTCTAGCCCAGAAGATACGAGCCTCAAGACCAACAAGGTCATAGGAGAGGCAAACCTCTCCATTTTTGGCCATACTCTCACGTAAAAGTCGCTACCCGAAATGAATCGAGGAGACGCCACATATCCACCAGGTTGCTGCAATCCGAACGACCAGAAAAGAAGAGGTTTTGGAGATACGAATACTGCAGGCACAAGAAAGCCGTGACTGGTTACACACGGGTAAAGCTTCTGGCCTCATGTTCCACCACTACTATCAGCAGCCGAACATGCATTAGTCTTTGACCCTCCAAGCACGTCGTATGGGCTTTAGCTTAGGTTGAAGAGCTCGCACTGTTTTCGAAGTCAAGGCCAACGCCAACGTCAACGTCAACGCCAACTTCTGCCGAGCTGCATGTCCTGCAAAAGCAAACTATGATGGTATCAGGTAAGACTCGGGCCCCAGAGGGTTAGTGTGACCCTAAAGGCTAAGGGGGATCCAGCCAGTTCGGCATCTTGTTTCCGTCTGCTTAGGCGGTAGGGCCGGCGCGAAAAGGCAAACCGCCACCTGCAGCCGGCGATTTGATCACACCCGTATGGCCATGGAGGCTAGGCCCGCCCGCACTCGACTAGGGTATTCTGAACATTAAGGTTCAATCCTCAGGATCCCTCCCTGCAAATCTCGTTGCATCATCGCACTTTTGAGGAAAACCCCCGACCATGGATATGGCACGGTTTTGGAGCCTCGTGGTTCGAGATCCGCCTCACACCTGCGGAGGCGTCTGGCCGACGGGTCACGGAGTGTAGTACAGCAGGCCGCTCATGCAATCAAACTGGCTTGACACGAGCAACTACCAGCCGTGCTGTCTGTTGCTCTCCCATACGTCTTCAGTCACGGATCACTCAAAATCAGAGCTACCAGACACACAGTCCAGGGTGCCTGCCGACACACGAAGGTTCCTGCCCGTCACAATCTTCTAGAGTTGTCGCAAGACATGTTGTTGTTCAAGTTGGCAATGAGTTATAACGGTGTATGGCGCCTTGTCCCCCTTTGGCAACAGCTGAAGGTGATGTCTCGGGCTGGTCTTCCCCACCTCTGAAAACTACTGCCCCTCTGATGCAAATGAGCATCTTTTGTCTCACAGCAAAGGCGTATATTATTGGACGTCGAGCAGCCAGGACGTTATAATATTCTCTCATGTCGCCACTTCCCAATCACTGACCTGGCCGTCAGCGTCCATCATGTGCGCTTCGTATATCCCACTTATTGTTGCCATTGACCTACCCAGTAACTGTGCTGTACTTTAGTAAGTCCAACATATGCGGATAGAGATGATCCGTAGGCTACGGGTCCGAGCGGCAAATTCTTGTAAAGTCTAATACCATCCTCCTTTATTTATTGGCCTTATAAGGAAAGCGTCAAAAGGACAAGGCTTTTATGGACATGCGAGAAGTCCAAGAGCGCGCGGCTACACTGGGTTGAGGATAGTCATGTCAGAAAGGACTTTCTCCCGTCAATGACCTGTATTACTCGAGCCAGCTCGTCGTGACGATGGTACGCGTACTCAGTCAATTAAGGTGACCAGTCCGATTTGGAGACCTTCCCCCAGAGAGTCTTGGGTATAGAACAGAAGAGGTCCATGAAACTCGATGTGTGACCAACTACTGTCTCATCATTTGGTCACTGTTGCGTGCAATCCTGGGCAGTTTTCGGTGGCGCCAGACGACTTCCATGATAATCCATGATTGAACCAAAGAGAACACCCCAAGTTCCAACCCCGGATCATTTGAAGCCGCCCGCATTCGACCAAAGCCTTTTAGCTGCTGAGGTCTCATGCAGGCGCCCGACAATGACCATGCAACAGTTTTTCCAGCCAGACTACTGCTGGCCCCGACAAGAATTGAGGTCTGTTACTGTTATTGCGAAGACGCAAACTACTGCGCAGAGCTTTGCGCTTTGCGGAACCGCTATGCGGCACTCCGGAATGACGCTTTAACAAACCTTTTGACCCATATATATCCAGTACTTGCTGGGGGCAACAAGTGTCACAAATTGTTGGTCACAGGGCCTAGACTAACCAGATAGTGCCAGATGAATTTCTCGGTCCGCAAGCACTGCTCAAGGATGATGACCGAGATTGAAAAGGTAGAAGGACAAGGTACAATAAGCCCTTACTTCAACTGGAACTTTTCCTAGAGGTCCGTTGCTGCACCCAACCAGGTTCGTCTGGCGCCAACCTGGTCGACTGTCTTGTCGGTGGCAAGCATACTAGTAACATGTGGAAAAAACCCTTGGAACGGTTTTTTGACAGGTGCAGGAAGAAGTTGCCAGCCAACAGCGCCCAAATGTGTCGGTGGGCTTGCATGGACTGACAGGTGCATGACAGAATTCTGGGTACGGACTACCTGTTCAAGCCGGGATCTACACAGGCTGGCTTAACTTGAGCCGGATCGGCCACCATGGGCGACGAGAAAGCAATTGGCTGATGGCACGTCCGAAATGCACGTTTTTGACTCGGACATGCCAATGCCAACCGCGCTCCTTGTGGCATTCGCGGGACCCGCCCATATCATCTCATCACGCCTACGAAGCATCCAAATGTACGGCCTTGCATGAGCGAGGCCCAGGGTTTTGCCTCTATTGTTGCATTTGGTCACACCTCAACTTTCAGGGCGACAGAACCCCAGAATCCAATTGCGTGTTGGACTCCTCCTCCTCACCGAACAGCCGACTTCTCAGGCATCAACACAATTGTACAGGTCTTAGTAATCGCGCATTTGTGACAGGTCTCATGAGACGCAATGGACGCGGGGACATCATGCGCCGCTAAAGTGCCGGACTGTTCTCTGGTCCGAAAGACTGTTGAGTTCAACACAACGCCTGACCCATGCTGAGTTTTATGCGCCAATAATTGCGGTATGGTCTGTGACGAGATGGGCGCCGGACGGGTCTATCCATGGGAAGTCTCCATCCCCTAGACTACCCCCGTACGGATTGACTTAGGAGGAATGATTCAACTTGCGAATCTCACCTTGGCTCTTGAGAGACCTCACCAAAGGCTGCGGCCCGGGGCACATGCGTCTACGATCGGCTGAACTGATACGAAGGATAAAAGTGGTGGGACTCAAGATAGGATTTGTTGTGCGGCAATAGGGGGTTGGATCTTTGTATCACTCCAAGCGGGTGATATGAAGCCAGGTCCAACCCCATCGCAAGGGAAGACGCTCGGCAGCCCATCAATCTTGACTAGCGACGATGATTCCTCCTGTTGTTTCACAAACAGCAGTCGTGTTGACTACGATGCTCGCGCACTCCGGTACCCCAGGATGGAGCCTCTTGGTCAACAACCGGCATCCATCACTGTTGCCGTGAATTCAGCACTTGGCAATTCACCAGCCTCGGCAATCTCTGGGCCGGAAGGCTCGACTTACAAGCGCATACTCGCTCTGTCACCTTACCATGGTCTATCTTACATATTTCAAGCGTCCTGACCCTGCATGTTTGCACTACTGGACAACCCCGCCATATTCATGCTTCTGGTTGCTCCCGAAGAGGATCCGGCCTGCATCCCAGTCACAATCATGGGAATTCCAACGGCCTGGATAAATCGCATGGGCCATCCCGCTTTACGAGCCGCGTGCTCAAAGCCCTTGCAAGACCTAATCCTTCCTCGTCCAGTGTGAGCGTCATTGATGCACGACCTTCCTGTTGCAATCACCAAGTGGTTCCTCGACATCGAGCCTGACACTAATAATCAAGGGCTTGAAATTCTGCTCCTTGGAACCGTTACAGTACAGATCTTAGCCCGAGCATCTCGTGGCCCCAAGCACGGCACGATGACTCGGTACACACACGAGACCATCCCCTCGATCGGGAGTTCCATTTCCAAACATGCTGCGAATCAGAAGCACAGAATCTTTCTCAAAAACGGGATTCTTCATCTCTCCGCCAGATCTGCAGGAACATGGGAAGATTTCCCTAGTACAGTAGAGCACTAACTTATTGGTCTGTTGATTGGGTCATTCCCACACTTCCTTCAGTGGTTTCAGCTTGAACCGCACCGTGGTCCATAACCATTACTGATGCGCATCTTACAACCACAACGAGAGCCAAGTACACTAATTTTCACTACTATAGGCTCCTACGGCTCCCCATCACCACGATCATCATTGCTTCTCAGACCAGACACTAAAATGTTTCGGCCCTGCTCATATCCTGTCTCGCCAAGTTCTGTCACGACCAAGCCGTACCCTCCCCGGCCCTAGGACCTCGCTTACACTCGCGCCCTCTCAGGAAGAGCATGACAAATGTTAGCCACTCCGCGGACCTTGTGGCTGGCCCGAGTGAGACGGCGCACTTGTGTAGAACGAGACTGCTGGCTTCATGGCTTCGATCTGCACAAAGAGATTGGCTTCCCGGTCCAGCTGAACTCCAATGCTGCATGAAATCGAGATCTGAAATACCAAGGCGCTCATGCCGAGACCCTATATTGTCCAATGCGTCCTTCCCCGAGTTCTTCTGAACTCTACGCATGTCCTAACCTCAATCATAAGTCCCTCATTTGAAGGGGCTACGAGACCAAAGTACCCGATCCTCGGTATACGTTGGATGAAACGTGGATCACGGCTTCAACAGGTCAAGTGCCCAGCATATGACAGTCATCCGTCCTGCTATTCGGCAGAGTAAATACACCCTAGGAATCAGATTCCAAGCGAGCTTCTTCTTGTCTGCTCTTGTCGTCTTCCAGAGTTCAGAAGTCAGAAGACAAGGTTTCCGAAGTCTATCACGAAGTCTATCACACACCACCTCAGCGGCTCCGGGAGATTAAACACTTGCAGGATCTCTCCAAGTACCTTTTTATGAAGAAGCTCGATCTGACGCGAACTCTCGCCCCGCGATCTTGCCAGCCAGATCTTCCCAACGAAGCATCTCTACCCCGAGACCGAAACTCAATCTCATAATTCTGGAAAAGGACTCCGTAACCTACCTAGGTACTATTTCGACCTCGAACCATCGTCCGATGCAGCAATTCAGTGGACCTTTGAGTTGAATTTGCAACCCAGAGTCTCTCGGTCACCGGAACAGACCGAGGTCTGTGTGCCAAATTATGCTCCATCTCAGGCAACGAAGCCTTGGTACGGGCACAAGTACCTGCCTTGTGCACGCCGGAGAAGTACTCCGACAGCGTTAAACGCGGTACCAAGACCACCGGCAACCCGCAATCGCTTCTTATTCGCTTTATCTGCAAGTACAAGTCACGATCTGTCCAAATGGAGACCTTTATCTATGTCGCGACTACCCGAATAAGTTAACTTAGGCCCCAATGCTCCCCTTTTTTGACATCTAAATGCAGGGATGATCTGATGTCGGAACAAACTTGCGAAACTTGCGAGATCCTTGACAGCTGTGTCTCCAAGATGTGCCACTAAACCAGCTAAAACAACTCCAAGCCGGATATCGAGGGCCCAAGAAACTCGACCTGAAGTGCCTGGCTCCAAAATGCGTCTCTGGCGAAACGGCACCGGGGGGTCGTGTCTATGACCCTTCGATGTTCCGAGAAGCCGGTCAGGTCAGTTCATGCACGGGAAAGTCGCCTCGACGACCGTGGAGCATCTTGTGATCGCTGCCTGTCGTCTCGAACCAGTGGAACCATGTTATGGGCTGGATGATGATTTTCCTCGCGTAATAAGAGACGGATCATGTTGGACTCTTTCCAACACCGGTATTTTCCCAAACCGGGCAAAGGATCTTCAAGGTATGGCATTGAATGGCACGAGACTCTACGGTAGTATCAACGTGGATGCCTTTTTCAGAAACATGGATTCTAAGTATCTGGATTCAATCTGAATACGAAGCAGACACAATGCTATGGTCACATCTGAGAGTGACTTATGCCCCTGGGTGCAACGCTATGATGAGGCCTGAGGCCGATATGTCTCGCTCACTGCTCAAGCAAGCTAATTTACAACAGTGGCAGACTTGGCATATCTTTCACTCTAGTTTTCTACGACTTTGCTACAGATGCTGGACAGATATTGAAAAAACCATGGACCTCGCAGCGTCGGTGACTGAAATCTTGATATGTTTGCAGACGGAGTGATCATCAGACCGAACCCACTGCTCGCCGGAGACACGAGGGGAGGTAAGTCATGCCCCGGCAATTTGGACAGCCCTCTTGACAGTGTCAGGAAAGGATGCAGAATACGGAAGGTAAGTCGAATGTGACTCGAAGGAAGCATCCCCTGGGTCATCTCAATGGTATGGAGACACACATCGCGAGAATGAAGAAACCCACTGCAGAAACTACAGATTGGCAAGGTCGATAGCATTGGCGAGTACGAATATATCCTCTGCAAAAGCTACATTTTCGGCAAGGTCGATAGCACTGGCATGAACTTGAGGAAGAAGGAAGGGATTGAACGACATGTCCAATCGTTGGAGTTCTGTACTTTTGGCTCCCGTCAGTTGGTGATTCCTGTGTCTGGTGGTACTTTTAGTGGATTCTTTCAATGTTGGACTGCTGGCACCAGCGCGGATTATGTGCTTCTGGCCTGATGCACGAACTATACTAAGGGGTAGGATTGAGTTGCAGCACAGTAGAGGTCAGATCGAGAGATTGATATCAGTGGCTCATACTCTATCTCTTCTCCACTTGTCACGAAACTGATGTCCATACGCTATTGCTTCGGGAAATTTCAAGTGTGACCAACAGCCGTTGCACACAGTAAATTTATCTCGTATAGGGTAGTGCGCACGGGATGGGCGAGAGAAGGAACATGCAAGAAAGCTCCTGGATTGATTTCATGTCATTGATTCTGCCTTGCCATGATCTGCTAGTAAGAATTTTAGAGACAAACGCCACTGATGAGAACATGCCGCTTCCGGCTCAGTCCATTCATCCACCACTCATACGACAACAAGCACTTTAGTTCTCGTGCAAGACTTCCAGAGCCTTGTCGCTGATACGCTCAGGCTTGCCATGGTCGCCAACACCCTTCTGGCCCACCTTGTCCTTCGAGTACTGAACAGCGTAGGGGTTAAGGCGGAGCAAAACCTGTCTGTTGCGGAGAGGGTTCTTCTTCTGCACGTTGGAGCGCTTGGTGATGGCATAGCCCTTGGGCTCCCTGAGCACGGACTGCACCTCGGAGCTGTTGATGAGGCGGGTGACGTCGGCGTTGCTGACAATGTTGGATGGGAGGAGGAAGTCCTTCTTGACGGCGGAGGCCTCGGTGGTGGAGCCGTAGACGGTGTCAAGAGCGGCGAAAGCGGACGAGGTCCAGATGATGAAGCGACCAAGGTGGCCACCAGGAGCGAGCTGGAGAAGGTTCAGGGCGAAGACGGAAGAAGTCTCGACACCGGGGATGTTGCGGAAAGCGCGGACGAGCTCCTTGCCATCGGTCTCTGGGTTGTAAACCACCAGAGGGCCGCGGCGAGTGCGGTGTCGGCGGTTTCGCAGCTTACCCTTACCGGCACGGAGTTTGCGAGACTTTTGGACCTTGACGACATCTGGGCCAGCGCCGACAGCCTTCAGGAGTGCGACGGCAGCGGAGGTCTTGACAAGGGCGGCACCCTCGAAAGCCTTGCTGGAGATGACAAGAGGAACCTCGGGGACGGTCGAGATGCGGTGACCACGGGCGAGGAGGAGAGCTGGGACAGAGCTGGCTGCGATGGCGGATGCAGTTGCGAAGCGCCTAGAGAGTTATTGTGAGTAGGTGCGAATATGAGTGTACTGGGTAAAAACATACTTCTGGCCCAAGTTGATCTTCTGATGCCACTTTCTCCAGACCTTGGTGGGTGCGAACATGCGACCAGCACGGCACATGTTACCGAAAGCAGCTTGACCGGCTCTGTGAGTACCACCACCAGAGACACGAGGAATACGAGCGACAGCACGACCTGGTGATTTTTGTCAGATATTTGATCCCATCTCTTTTTGCGATATCTAAACACACCTGTACCCCACGACTCGGCTGAGGTCTGTTCACCAGCCTTCTCGCTCACGGCGTATGGTTGTCTCTTGTTCTTGGCCATGCCGGTGTGGACAGCCCTATATCGCTTGTCAGCATCTCCGTTGCTGGCATTGAAAGATCATTTTCTCATACTGGACAATATCGGGACGGATTGGCGAGCTGAAGACAGCTGGGAGAGGGTGCGTCTCTCCGCTGCCCGCGCCATCAGCGCCCAAGATACCGACGGTAGGACGATTCGACATCTTGACTGCTTTGAGGGAGGAAATCGGTTGTAGTCGAGGGTTGAGGTGATGTTAGATGCGAAGTTCAAATCCTCAATTCGGGGCAACTGCGACGACTGTGCTGCCGATTTTGCGGTTTGTGGTCTAATCCAGGTTGGGAAAGAAATCTTGGCAACTGTTCAGCCTTGCCTTGGCTTGCAACTCGCAGCCCTTGCTTAGGTAAGCGAACCACTCTCTAAACGGCCTGCATTTCCCAGAGCTGGTTTATTTTCCATATTCCTGTACCCAAGCATTGTGCAGCTAGATTGCTGCATACTCTCCACAATATCTGACTGAACTAGTTATCCAGCACTGATTCATTGGGCAACCAATTCTCCAGATTCCTTAGTTCCCTTGACCATAGGCTGCTATGGCCAACATATCATATCCGTCATTTGATCGACGATTGACAAGTACTGTGTCTCTCCCTATATCACCTAGACGTCAATGGTATCGACAACCACGCCCTTGACCCAGTCATACTGCATGAGACGAGCAACCTCCTTGGCAACGTCAAGACTGACCAGTGCACTAACGAGGTACAAGCTGGCATCAATGCCGCTCACTGTGCCTCCACTAGTGATGACCCGCATACCACCGAGCTTCATACTCTTGCGACGCACCAGATTCTCGTGACGAGCATTGGACTCCCGACGAGAAAGACTACCTTTGCGAGCAGTCGAGCCCTTACGTCCCTTCTTGAAGACGTACGGGTTCTCCTCAATATCTTCGCCAAGGTCGAAGCGAGCATTGTTCACAACATATCTCTCCTCCATGACATCGGTGCGTTCGTTCATGTCACGTGCAGCCGCATCCTGACACTCTTTCTCCAACTTGATGTAGTAGTCTGGATGGACGGTTGCACCCATGCCTCCAAGGATACCCTGCTGGGCAAGGAACAATGCAGCCGTATCGACAGCCAGAAGAGTTCTCTCACGAGCTGGATCAGCGGCCTGGACCTCAGAGTATGCCTTGACCAACGAGGTTGGCTCTGCGTTGTTTTTCAAGATGTCCATAGCCTTTCCGCCAGGAACGACCAGGAGGTCAAATTCCTTCAGGCGCTTGTGTGCTTCTTTGTAGGAGATGTGGGCAGTCATTGTGACACCTTGGGCGGTAAGGACTTCCTCTGCTGGACCAACAAAGGTGACGTCGAAGGCTTTGGTATCTGGTCGCGTGTGCAGTTAGCGAGGGGCTCACAAGGGCAATAGCTTGTAGGAGCTTCTATATCATACCAGGGTTGTTGAAGTCGTGTTGAGCATGAGTAAGGACCTCGAGGGGACCAGCAAAGTCCAGGAGATCCATGTTGTCGTGCATGGTGATCAGCACCTGGATAGGCTCGTTGGTCTCCTCCCTGATTGCACTCATTTTGCCGGCTTAGTGGGATGAAGGGGGTATGAATGAGACTTTGGATGCTAAGGTATTGTTGTGATAAGAATGAGTTTGTGAGTGAGGTTCCTCGTAATGTGTCCAAGCTCTCAGTGTTTCGGTCGTGTGCAGGTGACAGGTGGTGAAACCGTGAAAGAAGCAGTAGGTCAGGTGAGATGGTTGTCCCTCTCAATGCAAGGGTGCGGAGAACCCCAGGAATTCCTTATGGGCGAACAATCGTGGGGGAAGCACGTCAGAGTGAGGGGTTTAGCGTTGGTGGCATGTCCTCCGGATACGTGATCAGAAATGTTCCTTCGCAACCAGCCTCAACCTCGAGCAAGAACTGCGGAGAATATCACTCATGGCTCAGTACTATCTGACAAAGACCATATATTCTATGTTCGTATAGGCAATCCCGTACAGAAGCACCTCATTGCTGTCGGCCACCTCGGAAGCGCTTACTGTACCTGCAGATCGCATTGTACACGAATTATGCCCTAGCTTACGCTGTCTTCATTCAAACACGAGCTGCTTATGCCAGGCAGGTCGCTTTATGTCAGCCACCTTTGGCCAGCGTGTTACAATAAGAGGTGAGATGCCTGGCTAGGAGTGCTTCCACGGAGGTATCGCTATCGCTATTGTTGCGAGGACAGTTCTAGTCTTGTTCGTTTGTTGAACGCCCAAAGCATTGAACCCTCTTGATCTCTCACGGGTTTCGGGTATGCTCTATACCGACATGACCGAACCTGATTGGGCTTTGTAATGTTTGGGGTGTGAGTCAAGTGGGAGTAAGCAAGAAGAGAAGAGAGCGGCCTGCAGATAAGTATATAAGTTGGAGCCATGTTTGTGGACGAGCGTCATCATAAACGATAGTTGACCCATCGAATTGACAAAGACTACCAGCAACAATATTCTTCGTAAAGTCCATATCTTTTGAACGGTCTTCCTTTTCGTCAAGTGCAGCTTGCAATAGTTTGGGTTTTTCGAACAGCCATTGACATGGTCAATAAACTCATCGTTGTACTGGGAAGTGGGCCAGGCTTGGGAGTTGCTACAGGATCAAGGTTCGCAGCACAAGGCTTTGATGTCGCCTTGCTTGCTCGAAATGCCGCACGTCTACAACAGGACGTAGCAACAGTCAGAAAGGTGGCCTCCAACGCAAAGATACAAGCATACACCGTGGATATCTCCGACCATGTCGCCTTGTTAGACACACTGAAGAAGGTGGAAGCCGAACTGGGTGCTCCAGAAGTCGTATTCTTCAATGCAGCACGAGTCGGACCCTCGAAGATCGGCGAGACGCCTCCAGATCATCTGCTGGAAGACTTCAAAGTGAGTATCAAGCGTTGTTCCACCCTACCGTGACTGACAATCAATAGACCATGAATATTGGGCTCTACGTTGCAGCGACATGGGCCATACCACATTTGACTGCGGCAGCGGGACGGCCAGGAGCTCATCCATCATTCCTTCTGAGCAACGGTGCCATATGCGAAACACCTATTGCCGGGTTCTTCGCCTTGTCGATGCAGAAGGCTGCACAATTCAATTTCACCAGTAGTTTGCGCCAGGTTTTGGGACCCAAAGGTGTTCATGTGGCCGTTATCACCATTGCAGCAATCATTAGGGATGACCACCCGGTACTGAATGCAAAGAACATTGCTGAGCAATATTGGAAGCTTTACGAACAAGAAGAAGACAGTTGGGAGTTCAACGTCCCGATGGGAGATATCCAAGAGTTGTATGATATTCTGAAAGGCCAGTGAACCCGGACCAAGGGTGCAGGGGTTTGTACTGTGGTAGGCCTTCCACGTGGGAGGCTGGAGGGGCTGGTGCATCTCCCGGCCAAATGCCTGTCCCGAACCACAGGTAGCCATCAGTTTCTAGGGCAGGATAGCTTCGGCATTGACGCCATTCCATGCGCTTAAGGGACTTACCTACTTGTTCAGAGCCAACCCCATCTCTGTCGAGTGAACACTTCTTCTGTCCATTTAGTTTCCTTTTGGCAATCTCAATTGTCCTTCTTTTCCATCTCCCTTGCCATTCAATTGCGCAAGGTTCCTCTTCATCGTTGTGTCTCGAGTAGAGTTCTTGTAATCAAACGTCCCCCCGTGACGCAACCATGCATTTCGCATCGCTTCTCTTGCTGCCGGTGCTGGTCGCAGCCGAGCAAGCGTCCTTCCAGGACCAGGCACAGGCATGGTTCGACAAAGCCAAAGCGTACATCCCCGGCAACGTGCCCAGCACCAGCAACATCCCCAACCCGATCGAGCCTATCGCAGCCAAATTCGCCGACCTCAGCGTCGAAAAAATCAACATCCGCAACTGGCAGCGCAAGCTATCGCCGAAACCCGACACAGAGGAGGAATGGATGATCTACATGACAGGCGGAAACAAGACTTGCTTCGGACGCTGCGATGAGGTCGACAAAGTATGGACTGTAAGTAGCACTGAAGCGCATACCGGCAAATGTCCAGTCCAATGTCTAACTATTGGTGACTGCAGGAATCCGTGCCATTACTCACCGCGCTTCCTCAATCAGCGGGATCGCCTCCCCTGCATCTCGGATTTGTTGACTGCGATCAAGAGTCAGTTCTCTGCACGAGCTGGGCTGTTACCCTGCCGTCGGTCTACCACTTCATGGTTCCCAAGAAGTCGGAGCCTCAAGCCAAGACTCCTCTGCACATCAAACCGTTGAACTTCTCGGAAACAAGCACCACCTCAATCGTGGAGATCCCCAGCAGATCAAAGTCGACGTATTTGAAAGAGGACGAATACACTGGACTGTTGCATCCGTTCGACGGATTGTTGTCGAAATTCGGCTTGCAGCAACCCTTTGGCTATGTCATGTGGGGCTTGGGAGTCATGCCCAGCTGGGTTATGATGATTGGTATCAGTTTCGTCTCGCGACAGGTCATGAGCAGGAGAATGCAGGGTGGCAGAAACGGACAACCTCCGACTGGACCAGCAGCCCCCCCGGCGCAAGCCAGACCAGCTCCAGCTGCTGCCCCGGCTGCTGGAGGTTCGAAGAAGAGAAGGTAAACGGATGCACCGCGGAGGATTGAAAGAAGTCTGGCGGACTCTATGCAAGTCGTCAAAAATATTGTTGAGCAGCGTAGAGCAGTTGATTATGATCTTCCTTGGATGATCTAGGTCACGCCTGTAGCAGCGGAGAGTTGGGTATTTTGCCCTCCTTGGTGATGAGATACTTTCCGAAAAGCTTCTTGTACATTACTTGCCTGCTGAATTGCATGCTGAGTTGCCTAGTCTACATCGTTTTACCCTTCATATATCTGTTTCTCATTCCAGAGTAGATCCCTGACCAGCAGGTCCTTCTCGGCCACCCGTCGCATCGCTCTCGCCCGGAGCTGTAAGCTCAACACCAAGCTCTGTCTTCAACAACTCGCTAAGCTGACTTCCATCGCGCAAGTAGAGCCAATGTCCACCAGCACCGTCGTCGCCGGCGTCGACGGTTGAGCCTTCTTTCTCGTGCTGTCCCGCGCCGGAGACCACCCAGTCAAACCGCTTCGGTCCTGAAACGGGACTTGATAGCCACAGCTGTTTGTTCGGAGGCTGCTTGTTGATAACGTACGTGCCGGACTTGGGTAGGGTGATTGTCAGAACACCGGCCTGGCACAACGGTTAGTACTGAGTTGTATGAGATAGTAAGGGAAGGCAGATAGTATGCGTACCGAAAATTCCGCCTCCAGGCCTTCATTGGCCTTTTCACCCAGCTCTTCTAGCTTCAATACCAAGTTGTCCAGATACTGATCTGCTATCTCGTGGTACTCAGCGTCTGAGATCTGTGCAGCACTGCCGGTGTTCGCGTGCGGCTCCGTCTTTGGTGGCTCCGGGTTGGAGCTATCTGGGGCGAGACCTTTGAATGTACTCGGTGTCGTGGAGAACGAGCATGCTGACGAGAGCTGTGTGGTAGAAGCGACGATCAGTCGAGAATGTAGTGCTGGGACCGCATTGGGTCGGTGAGTGAGAGTGAGTGCAGATGGGCGTGCGCCTGCTCGCGTGGAGCGGAGGAACACTCTGCTTGCTTTCATGGTTGCTGTATAGGAGGGGAGGAAGTGGACCTAGTGTACAACAGGCAGAGTGAAGGTAAAGGAGATGATTTTGTGCCCGATGGAAGGCACTGTAAGTTTGTTGTCTGAGTGTAGGTGATTTTGTTTCTGGTGGTGTTGGTTGACGGGCGATCAAATGAACTTGATGTTCTTCGAGGATGTTTAGGAGCAGCAATGACGAAATTTGGGGAATAGGTCCGCCATCGCCTGTACCCTTGGCCCTACATGGGAGCTTGATGACTGGTTGTCGCATTACTTTTCCGCTATTTCCTCTACCAATATACACATATTTGTTGAAGATGGTACAGACAGGAGGATTGGCGCATTCTAATAGAGGGCTGAAGGGTAAGATTTGCAGAATACCACGCCCTAAACGTACCGCGAAGGGTGGACGGTCGTAAACATGCCTCCGAACATTAGTTCTATCAATACAATACACTCTCACTAGTGAAGGGTTCTCAACTCTATAGTACAATGAAATGGCGCTGGGGCATGGTCGCCTGGAGTGTAATCATCCATCGCACACCGCGAGCCTCGATTTCTCACTTGCATCCATGCCGGCCGAGTTGCTGGCTGCTGCATCCCACCAATTAACTTGTTCGAATCCCAGAATATGAGGCTTTCCCGAGCTCAACCAGTTTGCTAGCAGACGCGGCGACATGGAAGAGCGACCATGCGAATCTTCCATGGTCCATGGTCGCTCAGCCAGCAGAAGCCAGCGTTGTATAAGGAGATAACGTCGGCGTCTAACATAGGCTGCTGGCTGCTCATTGCGACTCCGGAAATCTGTGATGAAGACTTCTTCTGTATCCTCATGACGCAGCGTGATCTGGGCTGGGGCGCTTGGCCACTAGATCTCGAGCTCTCGTGGCAACACTGGAGCCGACAGCCGAAAGGCGGATTTCTGAACAGGTTCTTCGTATACCGCAATCGCGGCTTCTCAGTGGTATTGTTCGAGGCGGGTGTGAGGCGCCCGGATCCTCTGAGTTACTGATGATGGAGCCGGGAGCCGTCGACTGGAGTCGCTAGCAGTGGTTCCCTCGTTCCATTGGCGGCCATGTATATTATTCCCTGTTCGTTTCTCCTGCTCTGGACTCAATGTAAAAGCCAGGATCAGGCACCCTTTCCTGGTGTACTTCGTCTTTTGTCAACGGCTTGTCCACCTCCGATACGGCAACCAGCTCCTTCACTCTCATAATCTGGCCAGCAACTGAGGTTGTAACAGGGTGGTAAACCGTCCCCATGCGTTTTCGTAGACCGAGAGCTTTCAGGACGTTGCTCGATTTTGCGGGAAGGCCGATGGCCGATCGGATCAGGGTAATGCGGAAGTAGGACATTGTTCGCTCTCGGACACGGGCGGTGAGAAAGGTTGGTATTGTCACGCGTGTACTGGCAAGATATCACAAAATAGTGAGAGTGGAAAGTCTGCAAAAAAGGCTGCGCATATAGATTTGGTGTTGTGCCGTACCCGACCCCTACGGTGCATCATTCTCGGACGCAAACGTGTTCGGCCACGCCGCATGTTCGTCTCAACCACGAGGTAAACGTTACAGTAACCAGGATTCCAGAGGCATTGCTCTTTCGACATGTCTTAGGGATGGAGTGCAAAATCAGAGGGCTATGATAGTGAGTACATGAGGACATAACGTTCTGAGCGGTCCTTCCGCATCTCGTGATGTGCAGGGGGTCAACCGGCCGACTCAACAACGACAATGGCTTCACGACCCAGTGCCCACGATGCCGCCGGCATGCCTCGAATCCAGGATACCCTCCGTACTCCTGAGGACTTGGAAAAGATAACAAGCTTAAAGGCTGAGATCAGTCGCAAAAAGGGTGATATCGACGCGAGGTTACATGAAGGATTGAAAGATCATTTGGCTTCTACACAGAATGGCATGTCAACCTTGGCCGAGGGGCAGAAGTTGGTGGAGCAGATCAAGGAGGAAATGAAGAGCATTCATGACCTTTGCGAACAGGCGCAGGCAATCCGCAAAAATCTGCCTCAGCTGGATTACCTCGCCCGAGTACATCGAAACTTCGAGGCAACACGTGCCATGCAAGCTGGTCTGAACAACTTTGAACGTGATTGCTCCATTGTGCAAAGACTTCTGGAGGACGACGAAAATGATATTGAGAACCAGCCAAACCTGCTCGAGGCTCACATGCGCTTGACCAGGCTACGTGATTTTCGAGATGAGGCGATGGATCAGATCAAGCGTGGAAAAGACACTAGCCTGGAACAGACCCTACTCGACTGGTTCCAGCAGCTTGAGAACATCATTGATGATTTTGACGCCCATGTTGGCAGCATCTGCATGAACCTGATCCAGCACGTGCAGAATGACAACACTGGTCTCATTGTACGAGTTGCTATTGTGATTGCTTCAGAGGAGAAGAACGATGATCGAGTTCGAGCCTTGCAGGATGCGCAGAAGGACCATCAGGACTTGGTCAGCAAATTCACATCCTTTACGATCGGTCCCAAGAAGATGCGTGGATACAAAGAGAAATTTATCCAAGCCATTAAGATGGTTGCTCAAGACAAGTTCGATGAGACGAGGCGAAGTTTTGATGAAGACCCTTCCCGGCTCGATAAGGCGACCAGGTGGTACTTTAACGATTTATTTACCTGTAAGGAAGGCATGCAGAATCTTTTCCCGAAAAAGTGGAAGATCTTCGACACCTATGTCAATATCTACCACAAGCATATGCACGACTTCCTGCTCTCGTATGTGGACGCTGAAGACCTTCGCCCTCCACAAATGCTCGGCATTGTACACTACATCGACATGTACTACCAAAAGATGAGCAAACTCGGCGTCAAACAGACACAGCTGCAACCTCATGTTCTCGATTCTCGCGAAGGAGACCTCATACGCGACTACAGAAACATCATCACAAAAGCCCTCAATTCCTGGATCGACAGGATGTATGTCGCGGACAGAAAGAATTTCCTGTCACGATCTACCGATGCCATCGAACAAGATCCCGATGGACATTTCCGAACCAAAACTCTTCCCGACTTGTGGCGTATGTTACACGAACAGGCTGAGGCAGCAGGCGACTCCGAACGCGAAGATGTGGTCGAGGGTGTAATGAGCGCCATGTTCACTGCCTTGAAATCGAGACAACAACAATGGGAGAAGCTCATTGATGAAGAAGTGGAAAGATACAAGAATCCGACACCCGAGCAACTCGAAAATTTGCAGCCTCTTCAGGATTGGCTTCTCGCCATCGCCAACGACCAGATAGCCTGCGTCGACGACGCTGCAGGCGACGTGATAGATGACCCTAGCGCACAGAAGGGTTATCTCACTCGCTTCAGAGAGGACTTCACCAGACTGCCTACGCCTCCTTCCGCGAAATTCTTGTCCACCAACGGCACAACCGAGTTAGACGCTCTGAGAGACGGCTACGTTGATTTGTCCACACACTGCATCAATGGCTTCGTGCAATTGATCTTCAGAGTCGATTTCCGTACGATCATGGCGGAGTTATTCGTGCCAGGGAAGTGGTATGAACAAGCTGCAATGCAGCGTATCACCACAACGTTCGATGATTACATTGGCGACTACGCTGCAGTGTTGCACCCATCACTGCTGGATATTCTGATCGAGGAACTTTCCGACGCGTTGTTGGTCAATTACCTGACAGCGATCCGCACGAATCGTGGAGTAAAGTTCAGGCGCGGCGAGCCGTTCCCTGCTAAGTTCAGGGATGATGTACTGGCTGCATTTGCCTTCTTCGAGAAGTACCCTGACGGTTTCAACGAGACTATCAAGCCGAAGTGGAAAGCGGTGAATTTCACAGTACAGCTCCTGGAAGCCGACAAAATGGAGGTCGTGGGTGTTTACGAACAATTCAAGCGGGAGTTCTGGGATTTACAATTAAGTTGGGTGGAAGGCGTCTTGAAGACTCGCGATGATTGGGATCGAAGTATGATCACTGCAGTCAAACGGGCTGCTGCTAGCACTTATGCAGAACGTGGCGCCGATACTGTCATGGGCAAGGTCAAGTGAGGTGTGGCCTGAAGACTGTCCAGACTGTCCAGCAGTCTGAAACTATCAATGATACCCCCTATTCTACATTTTTCGAGCCTACATCACAACCGATGTGCTCGCTGCAAGTCTAAGGTCAGAATTCTCCTTGGAATTTAGCCGTTACAAAAGATATGATATGATATAATGTACTCAGTATTCTTCGCAAATGCGCTACTGTAGATACTCATGATATATAAAAACTCAAAGTTAAGAAGAAATGGCTCCCAAATATGCAAGATGAACAATCACATATGTCCAAAAATCCCAGTCATTACCACGCTATGCGCAAGTCTCTTGACTTCTCACGTCCTCACTTTTCCGTCCCAGACTTAAAAGACACAGGGTATCAAACTTCAAATCTAGAACAAAAGTCCGACAATACCTGCCAGGCAGGCTGCCACGCTCAGCGAGGTGCCGGCGGGCAGTTTTGCCGCGGCGCCAGTGTACGTGCCAACGGCGGCGACGGACGTTGAGGTTGACTTTGAAGACGAAGACGCAGACGTCGCCGTCGTCGCTGCCACACCTAGCCAACCGCTTTGCGCGGCGGAGGTCTCGGCGGGAGAAACGATGATCGAGGAGAGAGATAGAGTCTCGACTGCTGCTGAGGCTGACGAGGCCGCCGAGGACGCTTGTACGGCCTGCACGATGATCGAGGCGGAACTAGCTGCTGATACGATGGATCCTGCTCCTGTCACCGTCTCGGTGGCTGATACTGAGCTGCCGCTGGAACTTGATGTACCAACAGGCACAATAGTCTCAGTGATCAGCGCAGTGGTCGTAGCGATGGGAATCGTCACGGTGACTACCGTCCAGGACTCAGCGCAACCGGCAGTGCAGGTCGTGACTGCTGTTGTGAAGCCCTCTGGGACGCCACCTGAGGTGGTAGGCCAGACGAATGACGTGGTCGTCGCGGAGGCGGGTGCGACAGGAACGGTGGTCGTCAGAGTGTACGTGAGCGTTGTGAAGCCTGTTGGGCAGACGTCGATGTAGGATGTCACCCAGACTGTCGTGGTGTAGTCCGTAACCGTGACCGAAACTGGGTCGACGACTACAGAGCTCCAGTCAGCCCAGTTGGCGCTTGACGTTACCGTTGGGTCGACGATTGCTGATGAGCTGGTTGAGGTCCAGTCGTTCCAGTCGGCGCTTGACGTTGCCGTTGGGTCGACAATTGCTGATGAGCTAGTCGCGGTCCAGTCGTTCCAGTCTGCGCTTGACGTTGCCGTTGGGTCGACGATCGCTGCTGTGCTGGTGGTTGTCCAGTCGTCCCATGTGAGTGTGTATTCGTCGCTGATGACCGTCGTCCAAATTGAGGTGGAGACCGAATAGCTTATCGGGCCGACGGCGGCGCCGGAGGTGGTTGTCATCGTGCTGCTTGTGGTGGCCCATGACCACTCGCTGGTTGTGGTTGAAGCACTGACATCGTCGACTGCGTTGCCGGTGGTGGTGGTGGTGCTTGACGTTACGGAGCCGCTGATAGGACCAACAGAGAAGCTAGCGGGAGTGGTCGTAGTGCTTGAGCTGGTGGATGTTGTGTTCCAGTAGATGGAGCTGGACGCGGTTGAAGCACTGACGGGTCCAACAGAGGAACTTGCCGTCGTCGTCGTCGTGGACGTAGTGGACGTCGTTGTAGAGCTGGTAGTAGTGCTAGTGCTGCTGGTGCTAGTGCTGGTGGAGGTGGTGCTGGTGCTGGTGGAAGTGGTGGAAGTGCTAGTGGCAGCCACGGCAGTGAAGGTCACGATAGTACCATCACAGTTGTCGCCAGCGGCGTCAACGGTCTCGATCTCCAAGGAAGACAGGACACAGAACTGGCGCTCAGCGAGGGTAAGCGCACCAGATGAGTCCATTAACCAAAGGTCGTCGGCTGGTTCGGTGGCGAAGACCTCAAGGAATGCAGCGTCGGAGTCAGAAACAGGGTTAGAGCCGAGGTACTCAGCGCCATAGAGTATAGTACCATCGTCGCCAGTAATGAGAGTAGCGGCATCAGCCTGGCTACCCAACACAGCGATACTATCGTCGTTGATGCCAAGGTAGTAGGTGTCACGCTTATTCTTCTTGGTGTTATCCATATTGACGACAACAATTAGAGTTTGGCCAGCCGCAACCTCGGTGGCTGTTGAGGTAGATGAGGTGGTAGTCGTGGTGCTAGAGCTCGTGGTAGCGCTGTCAGATTCGACAGCGGTGCTGGTGGTAGTGCTTGTCGTGGGGCTAGTTGTGGTACTTGTGCTGGTGGTGCTAGAACTGGCGGTCGCGCTGACTGGTGCGACACTGCTGCTGCTGGTAGTGCTTGTCGTAGAGCTGCTGGTGGTGGTGGTTGTCGATGGTGAAGTGGTTGACGTGGTCGAGCTCGAGGTCGTTGTCGATGTTGAGCTGGTAGTCGTGGTTGGAGTGGTGGTCGAGCTGCTTGTGGTTGTGCTGCTAGTCGTAGTGCTGCTGGTTGTTGTTGAAGGCGCCACAGTGGTTGTGCTTGTGCTCGTCGTTGTCGTGGACGAAGTGGTTGTGGTAGTAGTGGTCGTCGAAGTGGTCGTAGTGGTAGTGCTTGTTGTGGTGGTCGACGTGGTGCCAGTGCTAGTGCTAGTTGTACTGCAAGTGATATCGCCGAGGATATCCTTGATGTTTGCAGCATAGCTTTCCCCATCTATCTGGTTGTTCTCGGAGTACGTTGCCTCCCAAATCATGACACCGCCAAAGGTTGACGAATACGCACTGTTACAAGCGTACTCGGTGAGGAGCTGTGTGGCTGTATCGAGGTCCAGATAGTAATCTTCGGAACCACTGTAAGCAGAAGTCGATGCAGGAAGACCAACGTATAGCTTGACGTCTGGATTGTAAGAGTTTGTCTGAAGCCAATCGATCCATCCCCATGAGGGATCGCTGCTGGTGTCCAAGGTGCCATCGTTGAATAAGGCAGCTGCTGAGCAACTCTCGGTGTTGTAGTATTGCACGAACCTATGGGACTGTCAGTCTTTATGAATGCATGATACCTTCTACTCAACGTACACATAGTCAAAATACGAGTTCTGAATGGCGCTATCCAGGTGGGCGTCGGGAACAACACATTGTGGTGCCCCCGAGATGTAAAAGCTCTTGTCTGTGTATGTCGCGAATTTGACTCTGAGTTCGGTCACCAGGTCAGCGTAGTAGGTGTCACTGCCAGATTCGATATCCAGATCGAAACCGTCGACAATGGTACTTCCAAAGGGTCGGGGATACGCCGTTTCAGTGGTGTCTTGCTCTGGTCCATAGGCGCCCCACAGGAAATCAGCAAAGTCCACAGCCGAAGTCGAAGAGTTGAGAGTGACATCGGAAGCTCCTCCTAACGATACGAGAATCTTGATGCCGAGATCCTGGCATGTTTGTACATCTTCGGCGATCTCGTCGCATGTAGTGAACATCTGCGTGAAGGCACCATCTGGGGCGATCCAATAATTGGCACTGCAAGCGTTTCCATAGTTCGTTCCAGGATATCCATTACTGCCAGAATCATCGGGGAAGACGTTGACGAAGCCGATAGGAATAATATCAATGGTGGAAGTCTGGCAGAAGTATGACAACCTCTTTTGGGATGGTCCTTGGCCCTAATCACCATCAGCCTTGCGATTCATACGCCAGAAATGATTTTTCTTTTCATACCCAGTATACTGCAAGTCCCAGGTCGCTCGCTCTCTTGGCATGAGTGACTGGGTTTGTGAGAAGTGGTGAAGCAATCGTTGATGAAATGAATGTGGCTGTAGCCAGCAAGCTGGCGGTAAATGCGGTCGAGCGCATGTTTTCGTATATAGATCAAGACCGGTTAGGGAATTCAAACAGGCGATAGAAACGAAGGGAAAAAAGGAATGACTGGGCTACAAGAGGCCCTTGAGAGAAGGACTGGACGCAAGCAAAAAGCTCGCAACGTGGTGTGTAAAGACCGTGAGTGCGTAAGAGACAGCGAAAGAAGAAAGAGGGAGGAGAGGAAAGGAACGCACGAGTCAGCAGGAGGCCATATGAATGAAGTCGGGCCAGAGAGTGCGGTACGATGACTTGTGTCAAAGTCGAGATGGGGTCGTGACAGCATCTCTCCACCAGCAATCTGGAACAAGCTCACCTTGTGGTCCATACTCAATGGATGAACTGCGGTAGGCGCCTTTGACGAGAACAGCGAATGATACTTCTTCTGGGGTCTTGCATGCTTCATTCTGCCAAGCCGGCTTCTCTATGTCCAGAGATGAGGTTGCATCGTACCGTCCCTGATGAAGCAGTCTTAGGGGTAGAATATGCTTAACTCAAGGGGTTCAAGTACCGTAGGAGCCGAACGCCGCCCCCAGAGAGGCGTGAAGAAGCGCCATAGACCATGGATGTTTGGGGCAAAGCTCATCGGCAGGCGAAGGGGGCTTAGCCAAATGCATCCATGATGAGAAGATTTCAAGCGTGAGTCTGGTTGTTTTGCAGGCGAGATCTGACCATGAGGGTTGCTCAAGACTCAAATTTCCCGTCCAAGGCTGCGAAATGGAGACGTAAATAGAGAAGGAGAGAACGGGATTCGACAGTTCAAGTTGACATGCTCGCGCCAGGGGGTTGGACCTTTCCTGATGGAGACTAGGCTGTGCGTTCAGGGGCAACGTTGTTCAAACTCCATCTTGACGCGACTCCAAGAACTCGGACCATGACAACCCCCATCTGTGCCAGCCTCAGCTTTGCTTATTCGTCAAACCTGCAAGACTCGAGGCCGGAGCACCTGTGGCTGTTGCTTGTCATCGGTGTCATGAGCCACGAATAGTAACTCTACCTGATCACCAAACGCCTCGTAATGCCTCCATGCCGGCAAATGCCTCCAGAAGCTGGAAGAACAGTCGAGGCTTCTGTCAAGAGTAAAGCTTTACCTCTCTGACGCCTCCGTTTCTGCTCCTGCTGTTTCATGGAGGCTGGGCGGCGACAAAGAAAGGTGCACCATGATCGTGGCTCAGAGAGAACCTAAACTTGCTATTCTCACATAACAAGTATGAGCCGGCACAGAGGAAGCGATCCTCGCCACAGAGGGCCCCGTCTGCCGATCCTTCTGTTCTCAAGCAACGATGCACTTTACCGTTCTCTTGGGGCCGTGCATTGCTTCAATGGTCAACCGAGTTCGGTTCGAATCCCTTTTGACAGGAACGCCAAGAGTGAATTTCAAGCAGTCTCGAATTCAACATCCTAGGTAGTTATAGATGCTGAGGCTCTGAGCACACGATACATTGGTCTAGTCAACGCTGACAGAATTGCTGCACGGTGCCGAGCCTTGTGGAGATAGCCTTGCCTTGTCACCGAGATGTCAGATGGTAGTCTTCAATTTCGCCGTTGTTATGTGATGTAAACATATCCACCAAGAGTTGATCAAATTTCTTTTTTTGTTTTGTTCTTGTTTGTTCGGGACAGCGGTCAAGTGGATCGAAGTCACAATCTATCAGAGCCTGCCGATCTCCGAGCTCGACCCCCGGTCTGCAGAACACATGGTGAATACTGACTGGACAGTGAGTCTGAATGGTTCTCAAGTGTCATATATATATATATAGGAACTTCACGAGGATTGCATACTTCGAAGACTCCAGGAAGGTACCCCAGCCTGAGACTAATCGACAGAAAGTGACGTTCACGACGAACAACATGAGATGCCCTTCACTAGTATTCAAGAATGGTCAACCGGCTGCTTCTCTGGCTCCACATGTTCATGGGCAACATGTTCGCTGTCTCTGTCGACCTCCTTGATAGGTCCCGTGAACCGTTTACGAGCACGAACAAAGTAGTTCGCAACCGCAAATATCATGACCGCTCCAAACACAGGCGAGGCATAGTTCATGTTTTGACCTGTAACTGGCAGCTCCGAAGGGAATGGTAGGAATATGATCAGGAATATGCAGAACGCAATCGCCAGGATATTGCTGAAGAGACCGAGTTTTCCCAACGTCCAGGGCCCAAAAACGATTGGATTGGTGGTATTGAACCGCCGAATCGCAAAGATCAGGATCGGAATGGCGTATGAGAAGTAGAAGCCGAGGGTTGTTAGGGAGATCAGCGCGTTGAATGCTGTGGTGGAACCGATATTAATTAGCGACAGAAGCGACACACAAACGGTAATTGCGATAACAGCGTTGGTCGGGCATCGGTTCCATGGCGTGATGTGCGAGAACCACGTTGAGAATGGGAGGCCATGGTCGCGGGAGAAGGCCCATACCAGCCGGGAAACCGATGCCACACAGCCGAACAGATTCATGATGAAGACTATGATGACAGCGGTAAGCATTGCGGTGGCGGCTCTTTGGTTGGTGGTCGCTTCGAGGAACACACCGATGATCGGAAAACCGGTGTCGTTGCTCAAAACGGTGTCTGGGTCTGTGATGGAATAAAGCACGGTAAGGATGTAGGCGAATCCTGCCACTCCGTTGATAATGACCGACCAGATCATCGCCCGAGGAATGTTGAGAGCAGCATTGTGGGCTTCCTCGCTCATATGTACGACAGCATCCACGCCAGCCAAGGCAAACGCCGGAGTCAAGAATCCCAAGCAGAAGCTGACTCCATCGCTAGGCCAACCGCCGCCGTTGATGAACGTGGCCCACACATCGTGGTTGCTGACCTTGTCGCTTGTGGCCAGGATGGCAATCATGATCATGAAGAAGAAGAGCACATGCAGTGCGCCACCCAAAGTCTCCCACAGAGGCAATAGTCTCTTGCCGTAGGTACTGCCCAAAGCAGTGACAAAAGCAAACCCAATCATAATCAGAGTTGCATGCCATCGTTTCGGATAATATGAGGGGTAATTGAGTACCGCCAGTCCTTGGATCATAGTCGCGATCAGAAAGCAGACAGAGGCGAGCCCTGCGACCCATCCAGTAATGGTCACCCAGCCTTGAACATAGCTGATGATTGCACGCCACCGAATTGGCGCATGCTCAGCACTCCAGTGGTACTGGGCACCTGCAATGGGGGAGCTGGAGAACTTGTCAACCCGTCTGGTTGTCGCGGGGGAGCGCTCGATACGCACATGGAAGCCATCTCAGCGAACGAACTGGCAATCATCAAGGTTCCCAAGACCGAGACGATGAACCCATAGACGACAGATGCAGGACCTCCATTCAGGTATGCGCCGGCAAAGAGCGCGCTTGTGGCTTCCCAGGTGCACAAAGTGCATGCCGACATACCGAGCACAGCCCAAAAGTTCCATTCTCGCTGTCACCGAGCATCAGTCTTGACGGTTCAGCAACTCTCAACACCGAGATTCACCTTCAAGACTTGTTTCTTTCCAGCGGCCTCCAAGGCAGCTGCATCTGAAGTGTAGACAGTCATTGTACGGAGACAGGTAGATATGTTTGGGGGGAACCTTGCGAAGAGCGTTGTCACAAAGTTGCAATCAAAGCAAAAAGCTCGCGTTCCAAGAAGCACGATTTGAATCGACGCAGATAACAAACAGGGGGCTCTCGTGCACTGCCGACAACGCATGTGGTACTTATAAGCAATGCAGCATGGGATTCACATGCACTTGCTAGCAGCGCAAGAAGACTTCCAAAGCCCAAGCTAGCTTTGAGTAGGCAGGCGCAGGGCGCCTTCGATACCAGGCTTGATGATCGTCCCCAATGACAACGAATGGTGCGGAGAGTGGCCATGAATTGAGTGGACTGAAGCTAGGGTTAATCCCCTTTGTCGACAGATGCATATTGTGATGAGGTTGCCTGGTGTTGGGGTTGTATCTATTTCCGAGAACGAGCACCAGTCAACGGCCACAAACTTCGGCGGGGGTGGACGCCTGGTGCCGTACGAACCGCCGCCACAAGTACCGAGCTGGGGATGCTTACCATGCAAGCTGCAGCACCTAAACCTTTGCCGGGATGATTCCCGAAAGGTTATAAGCAGGTCATGGATTGAAGCGAGCCTCCTTCTCGAGGTGTGTTCAATGAATCCGTCGGTTAGACAGGTCGAAGGCGTCCAGCATGTGCCGAGTTGCCTAGCACAAGTAGCGAGGTGTGTGCTGTTGCGCGGAAGAGGCTTTATCACCGCACTATTCTATGCCTGCAGACGTGTTGCGAGGGGACCCTACTGTAGGACAGACACAGAAAATACTCGTGTCAGTTTCCATCAACGCGTCAGCTGTAAGCATGACACTGATCTCAGTGTTTGAATAGCATCAATGTATTTGAGCAGGATTGAGAACATGTAGAGGTAGCAAGCAGTAAATGATAATACGCGGAGGAAGTCGTGTTACCGCCGAGCACGCCCATTGGACCATTACTCTCACCGCCCAAGAAGTTTGTCATGGCAGAATTTCACAAAATTTCTGGGGATTCAAGTTCAAGTTGCGCCCAAAAACACTGAACAGCCCGTCAACAGCAACTCAACCCAAACCTCTACAAACACAGACATATTCCAATTACAATAGCTGGGCAAACATGTCGAACCTACCAGAAGACGTTGGCTCAATCTTTGAGGAGCTCGGTGATCTGGAGAGGGAATTCGCAGACGTTGAACTCGATGCTCGTACGGTTGCCATGCAAACAATTCCTCGCTGGACTCTTGCGCTAACAGACCACTCATAGTCCGAAGAAAAGAGCACTCGCTCAAACCCCTATACGCAAAGCGCAAGACCCTCCTCGAAGGGCTTCCCGACTTCTGGCCCACGGTCCTGGGCAATGGCCCGGAGGAAATCCAGCAATTCTTCTATCCTGCCGACCTTGAACTGGTCTCATGCATCAAATCCTTCACAGTAGAGCGGTATCAGATCAAGTCGGAAACAGAAGGCGAGCCCCGCAGTCTGCGCTTCACCATCGAATTCGACGAGAATGAGATCATCGAGGACACAAAGTTGGTGAAGGACTTCGAGTACAAGCCACGTGAGGACGGTCCAGGCAGCCTGGTGTCAAAGCCTGTCGCGATCAAGTGGAAGGGAAAGAAGAAGGATGTGACACATGGTCTTCTCGACGCTGCAGTTGAGCTTCAGGCCGCAGAGGAAGCCCTCAAGCTGAAGGATGGCAAGTCGGAGGTGGAGATCGTTGATCGTGAAGCACTCTGGCAGCATGAGAAGCTGCGGGAGAAGATGGTCAAGCTTGACGAAGATGAAGAGCTTGAACCCAGCTTCTTCAACTGGTTTGGTTTCCGTGGCGCTGTCGATGCGCCCAAAGCACCAAAGAAGGCTGCAGAGAATGGTTCGAACGGCGCCGAAGAGGAGGATGACGAAGATGATGATGACGAGTTCGACCAAATGCTGGAAGTCGAGATCTTTCCTGCTGGTGAAGAAATCGCAATCACCCTGGCTGAAGAGCTTTGGCCCGATGCCATGGATTATTTCATGTCTGCCCAAGACGAAGCGCCGGACTTCGATGACCTCGACGAAGAAGACGAGGACGAGGATGATGATGCTCCAGAACTGGTGATCTCCGAGGACGTGCTTGCCGAGAAGGTGCTCGAAGAGCAGTCAAGGCCCAGCAAGCGACAGCGCAAGGCTTAGGCTTGCCTTTTGTCTGGAAGATGTTGACACCATGTACCATAATCGCTTGCTTCAGAATAGGATAATCTGTGGTGATAGATAAATCATCCGCAGGGCTCTCTCTTTCGCTTTTGCCTTGTCTTTTCCTTTTTAGAGGACGTTCCTCATCCTCAAATGACAATAACCAGAATCAACAGGATGATCAAAACGACGATCAGCACAGCAATGCAGCAACTGCTGACGCTGTCCTCGTTCTTCCTGATGACTTCGCCCACCTTCTTGACACCAACGTTGAGTTTCCCACCCACGCGATCTGCGAGCGTGTCTACCTCGTCCAGCATATGTCCTTGCTCTTCAAGCTCTCGGCCCATGTCTTCGGCCTGACCACGTAGTACGCCCACTGACTGGAACACACCGTCAAGTTGCTCATCTTGCTCGGCCATGATCGTAGCCTGCTGCTGGGCCTCAAATTCTCCGTACGGATCATCGTCCATATTGGCATCATCTTGGAATGAGGCGTGTTGGGGTTGCTTTCCAGCAGGTCCCGCGATATGCGTGTCGGACGTGACATCTTCCAACTCACGGCGCATGCCCTCGACTTCGTCGCCCACATCTTTGACAAACTGCCTCCGACGTTGCACTTCTGCTACATCAAGGCCAAAACGATAAGGATCTGATTCGACGGCAGATACCGCCTCGAGGAGGTCTGCGAGGTCACTAGTAAGGGTTTCGAGGTTGGAGCGTAATTCGGTACGCGACTGCTGCAACTCGGGCGATGTGGCAGATGTCGAGAGTGTACGGATGCGCAGGTATGAGGAGAAGAGGTGCCGTGTGGCTTGGAGGGTCGACTGGACATCTCTAGAGAGCGATGAACCATGTTAGCCTTCTTCTCTTCCTGTGTGGGTAATCCTCCTGTCGTGAAAGGGTACTTACGTTTGGACTTCGAGGAAGGGGTCCTCGGATTGAGGAAACGCCATTGTATGGTTCCCTCAACGGGCGGTAGTCTCTTCTTTGATATAATCAGCCCATAAGGCATTCATATGGAGTCGTTATTGCATTATTGGTTTTGTCTCGACAGCGGGATGCATGAATATGAAGCGTGATCAACATCGACCTCTGGCACGACGGGTCGGAAAGTTATTGGCCGAGTCGCCGCGAGGCTAAACACCCTAATACTATGGCAAGGCTGTGCAGGCGCCAGCAAACATATCTATAGGTATACTGCAACAAGCAACAACAATGCCATTGCAAGGCTTGCTTTTGTACATTCAGCTCTACTGAGGATGCTTCTCGCATTCAGATGATGGCTTCCTCAGACATGAAACGTCTGGCGTAATCGACCGTGGACTGACAACGAGTCTTAGGTTGCCTCTTTTTTAGTTCCTCCCTGAAGTTCTTCATACATCAATTGACCTCGTCTCGACTTGCCATCCGACACGGTGGTAAGCTTTTCGAGGGCTTCTTTGACTTTTGCATCGATCGTCTTGCGGTGCGTTGCCAGGTCTTTTCCAAGCGGAGACTTCTTGATCGAGTCCAGACTCAAAGCCATCTTGATGGCATTCTGCAGTGGTAACAATGTTTCGAGTTCACTGTTCTTCTCTGCACGAACCCGCACATCCTCATTGGCCCTTGCCGGTATTTCTCTTGCATAGCCTACATTAGTGGCCTCGTTGCTGAGGTATAGCATTCTTGTTGCATAGTTGACGGCATGGTCGACGCTGCCGTCAGCGTTGAGTGCCTTAGCAGCAGCAATCTCAGTCAAGACACTTATGACCAGCGCATCTTTCCTTGGGTCTTCTTCATCCTGCTGGAGCTTTCCCGCACCATGTAACTCATTTTCAAGCATTCGTGCGATCTTCTCCGCTCGCCGCGCCGCACTCTCCAGCTCAGGACCTGTGAACTTGTGCTGTGCCGCACGAGTGTGAAGACCCAACATCAATTCTCTTGCCACACCTTTCTTTTTCAGGGTGAAACCGGTCTCTTCTGCTTTTTCGGCGCATGTAAGGATGATGCGCTCTTTCCCGACTTCACAGGCCTTGCGCGTAATCTTCTCGTAGAAGTAAAATGGAAGGTCGTACTTCGACATACGCAACCCGGTAAGAAAAGGAGCCAGGTTATTCCAGGCTGCATCTTCATTCGTCGAGCCCAATTCGTGCAGAAGTTGTATGATGGACTCCCGTTTGTTCGGTTTGTCGTAGAAATTCGCGGGCTGGAGCTTGATCTCTTCATCATCATCCATGGTCACTGTGACACCAGGGTCGTTCGTCAACGTCTGATGCCGCGAGGGTTTGTAGATGAGGCGCCTGTGGTGCTCCTGAAGGGCGGCAGGGACGAAGACTTTCTCGCGCCATGACAGGAGTAGACCATCTAGCTCTGCACGACTTGTCGGGTTGAAAGAAGGTACCACTGTGGGCTGGGTAAGCATCTGCGCACGTTGTAGCATAGAGAGTCAAGTACCTTTTTGAGTGGCCGGAGTGCTACTGAATGAGCGGGAGATCTTTGATGCATTTCGCAAGCTGTGTCGGCAACTTCTGCAGACATAGATGAGAGGCTGTGCGGATTGTGCCATGGTTCGTGCGCGCAACTTCTACGCCCGATCGTAGTGCTTTCGAAAGAATGTCGTTTGAACGCACTTGGATCTCAATGTTAACCATCGCTAAGTCAGAAAATCTTCGGCGCTGTATCCCGGGTCTCCGACTAGCACGTGATGTCGCGTTTCTGTGACTTCTTCGAAACGCGTCGATCCACGTGGATTCATTTAGAAACCATGAATATATCTTTGCGCGACAGTGATCCTGGCCTTGGGTTTCCTGATTCCTGTTTCACAACTCCTAGGTAAGCCTCCATGTAGAACCTCGAGGAATCTAGCAGAAACTGGCACACACATTGGTTATAATGGCATCATGACCGTAGCCTGCAGCGTGAAGCCTTCTGTTATGCAACTCACAGCCATAGCCTAGTATTGAGCAGCCTTTCCCTTTGACATTACCTGATCCCCTTTACAGGCGTGATGTCGTCGTATACTTATTACCAGGACGGCATGAGCGGAACGGACGCCATGCCTCATCATGTCCCTTGGACAGCAGGGCAACCATATCGAGGTCCTGCTGACTTCGTAAGGTTCGATGCTCCTCGTTACCAAGCTTACCCAGTACCCTATCAAGCTGCCACAGCAGACCCAGTAGGCCGCATGAACATGACGCAGATGACAACCGTGCCAGCAGCCCATAATTGGGTCACAATGAAACGACAACGTGAACCCGAGCACGACGAAGGCTACACCAACACCAAGAAGCCCCGGAACCCTTCAAGGAGAGATCTGGAGTTCGACTGGGATCGAACTCAACTGCGAGACCCTCGTCTGACCCCATGTCGAATGCTACCTCCTCGGCGGGACGAAAAGGACCTCACGGAGGAAGAAAAGGCGTTCTTCAAAGGTCCAACACCCGAATGGCTGAAAGGAAAAACACGATTGAGTCGGGCAGACAAAGACAAGATCTTTGAGGAAGAAATCCGCAACATTATCGCTCACTCATCTCACGAGAAATATGTCTGTTACGACAAGGGTCCCAATGGCTCGCCGACATATGATCAGAGCGGCTTTCAGTTCGACTACTTCAGAGTAGCCGAGTGGATGAAACCTATGAGGGTCAACAAGAACAGAGCCCAGAGGGTCAGAAAACAGGAGAGACACTTTAAGAAGCACGCGGACGATCTGGACAGGATAAATGCTCTGTTTTTCCTAGATGGGCAAGGGCCCAGCAAAGGCGAGAATAACTATGTTGAGTTACTCATCAAGGACAAAGTCTCCAAAGATCTGGGTATACCTTTCCACCACATTGGTGTTGCCGAAGTGGAAGAGTGGGCAAGAAGAGGCTTCCCCAAGCAAGATCCTAGAGCATATGTAGCTGCGACTATGACGGAGGAGGAGAAGAAAAGGCTTCTGTTTTTGCTGCGCGGAGCAAGTCTGAGAAAGTGAATGAATTGGTAACGTTGCTATGCTCTACCTTCAATCAGCGGCAATGCCATCGCGTCGCTTTTCGATATCGGGGACCGCTGCCTATCGGAGCTTATTTGGGTCTCAGGATTGACCATGTGTGCCGTGCCCCAATCTTCAGAACTAGTTGTCATCAATACCAGCTTTCCATAGCTCATTCTCTTCCTGAAGAAGTATGTTTTGTTGGTCCGCAAGCTCACGTTCCTGCATACAAGTCTCTTGTTTTTAGCGTCTCTCCACGGCTTCGAGACCGTCGGACGTGATCAGGAATTTGACCGACTGCACTTGCTGTCAGCCGTCTGCTCAAATTGCGCAAGGAAAGTACTCACCTCCTCATAGATTCTGTAATAGCGGTCGCTCATCCATTGCACGTGAACACTCATGTAGATGGCACACTCGTGGGACTTTTGCTTCATGTATGCCCTCAGATCCCAAATCCCGAGCATGCTTGCCGGATACGAGAATTCATTGTCTCTCGTACCATCGAGAAACGCTTGATCGGCGCCGGGTTCTTGCAGTCTCCTCCACTCGTCTGTCTCAATGTCGTCCATGTCAGCCTGGTACTTGTACTTCGTGATGTCGTATTTGATCTCGATCGTTGTAACCTCAGGAAAGTGCTTGAGCAAATCCAGATCCTGCTCCCAGGTGGATGCATCGAACACCCTCCCACTGATTGCCCTGCCACTGAAGCCCGCCATCTTGAGATCGGTGACGCGAATCTGGAGCCAGGCGAAACTTTCTGAGCACAGTCTCTCCATTGCTTGCCAACCGTAGTCCTCGTGGAAATCAACATGAAGATGGCCGTTGAATGCGTCTTTGCGCAAGAGGTGCGTGTCATCACGGAGTTTCTTGCAGGCCAACTCGACGGAGTAACTGGTGGTACGGAATACAAAGTACTTCTGTAAGCCGTGCTGTCTGTAATCGCGTGCATAGTTGCTGTTGTCGACGATGTAGACAGAGGCTCCGTACTTTTCGACGTACAGATGCTTATAGATTCTGTCCTGAATCTCTTGCGGCAGATCAAACAGACGGAAAGTGGGTGTCGGCGGCGTAACACTCCAGTTACCAGTGTGCTCTACAGTCCATTCGTTCTCAGCCTGAGGGCCTTCGATCGCGCTTGTTGTTCCGTGTTGGCCGAACCCACCCCGACCATGCCGGCCTCGACCGCGACCCCAAGCTTGACGTGGCCGAAGCTCTGGATGAGCCTTCCAGCAATTGCTTTCAAGGTGACCAAACTTTCCGCAGGAAGGGTAGGTACACTTAGGACGTTGGCGTCGGGAACCATGGCTCTCGCCACCCCTGCCATTGCTGCCGGTTGTATTACCAGCTCGTGCTTGAGCCCTGCCCTCTCCAGGCATCTTGTCAGAAGTCTTTCGTCAGATCGTGGCGTGTGAGAGATCGAAGTCTGGAAGTCGTTTTGCAAGATCCGCCGACGGCGGAGATCTTCTGTTATTGGCTTGGATGCAAGGCAGTGTCTGTTGAGTTAGGACTTCGAAGGTGTGAAAGGAGTCGCAGGAGATAAAATAAATATGATGAATATACTAGGTTTTCAAATTCACCAGTCCAGAAAGTGACTGCTGGGTGACATCTTGCTCATAAAAATGCGACCGGCTTCATATCACTTCCCTTCGGGCCGGCTGTGACCTTGAACAGCCGCTCAGTGACATTGTTCTGATAAGAACCTCAGTACATTTGCATTGACACAGGCAGTTGAAGCAAGCCTTTGATCAGTCTTGGACAAGTGACGATACGGACAATATCTGGAGAGCATGCACTTAAATACCCTGCAAAACACTGTTTGTCATGCTTATTTGAAGCGGATAAGAGCACTGATCAACCACAAACAGAACCTTTTCCATTTCCGAACATCATCGAGGTGCGATGACCCTATGACTGCCTCCGTGAAGGGAGTCCGGGATGCTGTGAGTGCCGAAAGAACGCCATCGCACACTTACCTTCATTGCGCATAAGGAGGGATGACCACAGACTTCACAAGAGAACAATTTCTCTTACTGTCATGCTTGCTCTCAATCGCGCCTCTGCAGTTCTTACAGGTAGGTACTGGTTTGATGTTTGAAGTTGATGCAAGCAAAAAGAGGTCAATCGTCTTCAACGGAGCAAGGCTGTACCCAAAAGCGGCACGCTCCGTCATCCATTTTTAGCCTAGTCCAGCCTGCGCACATCGCATCCTAAGCCTCGTCGTGCATTGAAGCTTCAAAGTACAAGATCTAGTTCTCCCACAGCCACAAGAGACCACCATCTCATGATGTCTCAAAAAGTCACATCCCGCATATCATCATGTTGTTGGCGGTCTCTTCTCTCCGAGTTCCGCCCACAACAACCCCTCCGTCGCACACTGGTGACCCTCCAACGAGGTCCCGTCGAAAAACTCGCAATCCCCGAATCCCTCCCACAACAGTACTGGCCACAACTCTCCCCACGATTCAGGCCGAATCTTAGTAAGCACCTGTCTCTCCCTGTGTTCAACCATTCTGACACGCAACAGGTAAAGACGAGATTAAAGTCCACGATGCACCCACCTCGGAAGCAGAATCCTGCAAAGACCCCATCGCGATAATTGATCAAAGACAACTACGTCTACTCGACCCCACAGGCTTACGAGCAAGACTCTTCGACAAGACAAACAAAGACCGTGCGATGGTCGGCGATGTCCTTCTCGTCACATTCAAGACCGGCGACCCTGTCTCCGGCACGATACTGTCAATCAAGGGCTCCGGCCCGCATACCTCGGTTCTGCTACGAAACCACTTGACGGGTGTTGGAATGGAGATGAGCGTCAAAGTGCACAGTCCGCTCGTGCAGAGTATGGAAGTGGCGCAACGGACGCCCAAGAGGAAGAGGCGTGCTAGATTGTATTACCTGCGCAAACCGGAGCACGATCCGGGCAGTGTGCAAAAGGTGGTGGATCAGTATTTGAGGCAGAGAGCGATGTTGACTGGTGGGAAACGGACGACGCAGCACTCTGGGCCGAGGACGAAGAGGGGGAAGAGATGAGGATAATGTTCCTGGATGTGTTTAATAACATGTATTTCCGTACGAGCGTGAAAATCATGGTATCCTCATTGGCGGATGGGTTATTTCAGCTTGAGCGCCATTGTGGCAGCGCCGTTACGCTGATGCGCATACTTCCACGATACTGTAAGATCACGGTGCAGTCGCGCAAAATAGCTAATGGCTAGATCGGTCATAGCACGGGAGAAAGAGTGCTACAATGATGGCCGAGCCTGCGTCGAGAATCAGCGTCCTACGACAGTGGGACCTGCATACCAGCAGCGGAGGGCGAGTACTAGGAAGAAGAGGAGGACTGGAGAAATCAGAATCTTGAATCTATTTTCAGAACGTCCATTTCATGAGGCGTATCTTTACTTTTCTTCTTCATGATGAAGCTGCTCTCGAGTCAGTATCTCAGAGCTTATGGCAACAGCAAAGTGTGATCGTCATCAATTTGGCCATCGATGTCGAGGGTGATCTTCCCACCGACAACCGCAGGTCCTTTGACCGTTATCTAAATTGTGTCAGCAATGGTCTCGTTTATTTTTAAAGAGAATGAAGAACAAAACATACCGGTCCCTTCGGATTATGAGAGCCCATGCCATCCTCCTCGCCGTTGAGATTGACCTCGACCGAGCTCAGCGGTGCGCCCACACACACTCGAGCCCCCTTATCGCGGTAATCAAGGATATTCGTCTGCGCAATGGCCCCGGCCACGAACGGCGTGGTCAAAGCATATCCAACCCGCGCATGGAGATGAGTGCGCAGGCTGTGCAGCGCCGACGAGGGCAAGCGAATCTGCGGGGCGGGCGCTGCGGGCTGTGGAATGAGCAAGACGCGCAGTTTCGGCAGGGCAGATTGTCCCCCACTTTTGGAAGGTAGGTTGCCGTTCTCAAGAGTGCGGCTGGACATGTATTTCGAGATCGTCGAGGGCAGGACCGTGGCGGGATTGTACAGGTATGTTTGGACGGTTGGTGGTGCTGAAATCACGATCGTTGGATTACTCGGGGAGGCGGCGGATACGAGGTCGACATTGTCGCCGGCGACGGAGTTCAAGGCCACAGATGCATTGGCGTAGAGCGCGCCAAGCGTCCAGCAGAGTGTGTAACTGTCCGTGAGGCTTGTGGTTGGGTGCAGTATGTCGGACGGTGATATTTTGTATGCCCGTGCCAGAGTAGCAGTCAGTGCGGCGGTGCCGGAGATGAGGTTCTGTGGTTGTTAGAACTAGCTTGACCTAGATGAGATATGACATCCTTACCTCGGACGTGTATTTGACCAGGTCGAATGTACCATTAGGAGCTTCGCAGAAGATAGACACTGGCGGTACCTTGGAGTCTTTGTCCAGAGGTAGGACTTCAGCGTTGGTCCCACGTTTGTTCTTCTCTACCAGTCCCTGCCACGAATTGATGGTGAAGCCTTTCGGAGCATCATCAGACCAGTCCATGTGCTGACTGCCAGGCTTGGTGACCCAAATGACGTCCTTCAAGGCTTTGTTGGCCGAGGGCAGGCTGTCAAGGTTCAAAACACCAGCCTCGGCGATAACATGATCTGCGGAAGTCTTTGCGAGGAGGGAGTTGATTTTGTCTTGCGGAAGACCATATGGAAGGAGGACCGTCGAGAAGCCGTAGAACGAGCCAGCTGTACCATGCACGTTAAGATACAGAACACAAACATCACAGAATGCTTCAACGTACCGAAGATGACGGACAGCAGCTCTACCGAATTCGAAAGGCACACAGCGACTGACTGTCCGTTGTTGCGCTTCACATACTGGCCAATGACGTTGATAGCAAGGGTAAGATCGTCAAATTGATGCTCCACGACTTTCTCACTTCCCAAGATAGTCAGGATCTTGCCTTTCTCTCCTGTAGGAGTACCATCCTCCATGGCGGCGCCACGAACAGCAGCCCTCCAAATATCCCGGAGATCGCCTGGTCGGCCTGAGCTCCATCGTGGAGCACCGGGGTCTTTAACCCCCAGACCAGCACGGAGAGGGTAACCATGAGGGATGTCAACAGCTCGGTAGACGGCAGACTCACCCTGATGGCGGATTGGTGCTATTTGTGCTTGCCTGGCCAACAGGAATGGATGTGTGTCAGGTTCCGTGCTAGTAAGCAGCGGATAGGTGAGAAAGACGACCAAAAGGACAATGAGGAGTGTGGTGTAGATGTTCCATGACGAAAAGAATTCGGCTATGGCAGCATCGAGTCTTTCGGCTGTGCCCGTCGTTGACATGATGTCTTTCTGTCGTGTCTGCAGATTGTCACAGCGAGAGAGATGGCAGTCTCACTAGAGGGTTGTAGTATTGAAGTCGTCTGGGCACGGAAGAACTCAAGGCGGAACCTCGTCGAACTCGATGGCCGAACGGCAATGTCACGTGGAAAATTGGCCCGAGATAGCCCGCCGCTTTTACGGTCAGTACTACATTACACGAACGTAAGCAGAAGGATGATCATATATAGGTCGATGGGAATGGTTTGTGGGGATTTGCAACCGTGATTTGTCAATCGTTTTTATCTGTGTCTCGTACTTGAATGACTGATTGTACATCTCGAATGGCTCCCGATAAATACAATACTAGAGTGGTCCCAGCAGCCTTCCGTCCTGGGTCAAAAGGCCCCTCGGTCATCCACGGCTTTTATGAACACCTGGCCGACAAGATCTCAACCCCTGCAGCATTTCGGAGGTTTCCATGAGCTGTGAATGATGTGCACTGAAAGGTAATCTGATCATGACGCCCCAAATGTTCAGGTCCCCGAGTCCAGCTCGTGATGTTGGGAATGTAAAAACAATGGTTTGTTTCGAAACCTTCGATAGCGCCAAACTGAGCAACCCGTCCTAGTCTTTAACAAGGGTCTCATTGAGAGTGTCGGCGATTCCTGGACTGCAGGAAACACCGGCAGGCATTTGGATGACAGCCGACCAAGACCCTGACGCACATCTCTGAAATTTGCTTCCGTCTGCGCTACATGCCCAAGCACCTTCATCGCTGCACAGCCCAGACATGGCACCGGCAGAGCCAGATACTGAGCTGCTGGAGCTGACGACTGAGGTCGCTGGTGTAGTGGCTGCGGAAGTTGTCGAAACGGGAACGATTTGGACACTGGTGGCTGACAAGGTTGTTGCCGCGGCTGAAGAACCAGCAAATGTTGGTGAAGAGGCAGATGTTGCAGAGGTCGCAACTGCAGTCTCTGTCATGGATCCGGTCACAGGTCCAGTGGCGGTAGGTGTTTGCGGAGCATTGTTGCCGGTTGCGGCGGCGCAAGACAAAGTAGTGTAAGGTCCGGTCCCAGCGCTTTGAACGACCGAGCCTGGGTTTGGATAAACATAGTCGAAGTCCTCGTAAGTGACGCAATTATTGATGCCAATTAGATTGGCGACAAACAAATTTGGGAACGAAGTGTCGCGCTTCTCGATCGGAGCCGGGGCATACCTCTTCTTCTTGGGCGCGATAATAGTTGCTGGTCCACACTGCGAAACGTCAGTAAGCTGTATCGGTAAGAACAGGGGCAATGCGAAAGGCAGTGCCGTTGAAGGCAGTGCACTGCCTTTCAGGGAGAAAAATACTTACATTCATGTAATATTCACGGTTGCCCACGCGATTGACCCAGCTCCACGCGATGGTATATTGGCCCGGCGAGATACCTTCTGGAATGGTGAAGTTAAAAACTGAGGCCATACCAACTGCGGCGCCATTGCTATCATCTCCCAAGTTGCCAGTGAAGTTGGTCGGACAACCACCTTCGATACTTTTTATCACGCTCCATTGGGTATCTTTGCTAGGTTGAAGATCGGTCGTCAAACTCACTTGGCAGGAGCCGCCTCCGTGAGCGGCTTCTCCCATGAACGACAGGTCATAAGTAGAACCCACTGCCATGATGTTCTCGGCGCCTTCCAAGTCGTAGACCCCGGGTCGGAGCTTGCAAGGGAAGTCGCTACCGTCCGGGGCGAGATTTGAATTGTTGAGAGTGGATTTGCCATAGGGAGTTGGGGTGAGCATTATCATATGGGCGTTGACCGAGGTGGCAAGGACTAGAAAGACAGCCGTAACCATCATGCTGATTGAGGAGACCATGTTGAATCTGGTGGTGTATTCGTGTTGTGTAATAACGCAGAACGTTGTACTGCTATTCAGCTGGAGAAATTGAGATGTGTAGTGGTAGAGTTGAATCTTTGCGGATGGAGCCTCTGAAAGAGAAGAAGCAGATCTGTAGCCAGAAATAATCCTGGCGGCAGCGAAGCGGGACGGCTAAGTACAAAGAAGTACCACTTCGAAGTCACTTATTGTTCGTAATGACAAAGCAGTAGAGCCAACGAATAGTGACACTGGTGACAATAGACAAAGGGTCCTAGGTGGTGAGGCAGAACTATCGGATGAATGACTGCCTACCGGATGGCCATTGCAAACAAAGGACAGATACTTGACTGGGATCGATATGAACACCAACGAATGTATTGTCAGCGCCAGGGAAACCACAAAGAGTGTGAATAAGAAAGAAACGAACGATCGGCTAACCCGCCACAGTTGTGAGGTGAGTGGTCAATGAGTGAGTGACGGTATGAAATGAGTGCAAGCCTTGAAAGATGGTCTGAAGCATTCTGGCATGCTTCTATATAGATCTTTGCAGTGGTTAGCATTCGCCGGCAGGTCCGAGGGAGGGCGTGAAGTGTCGAGCTGTTTGGACAATAGTAAGCAAGGGATATGTGGAACATGGCATTCTATTGACATCAATACGATCGTCTTGAGGCGAGGTAGTACCATTCCTCGAATAGCAATCGTTGCGGACCACAGTCGCTAGCCACCCCGAAGCTCTGGTCATTGAGTCGAGCAAGAGATCTGGTCTCGCTTACTCCGTAGAGTGAGCTGGAAGCGATCGCCGAGCTTGGACCCCAGGATGATGGAAGCGTGGCTGTGCAGCGGGTTCCAGGTCAGAAAAGGCTGGGGTAAGAAGGAGAACCCATGGCTTGGAATTTGAGGATAGGTCGACAGTGGAGAGTACCAAGAGGTCAAAGGGTTGAACAATGAAAAGAAGGGAAGGTTGGCAAAGAAAGAATGCTGTCGTTGACAGCTTCAGGGGCATAAATACCTAGTGCACTCCCTTAGGACCAATCAATAGGCGCGTATGCCAATACCTAGAATCATGCGCGGAGAAATGTTGTTCCCTAAGGTGTTCAGCTCCTTGCTCCCCATCCACCCATGAATTCCTGAAACATGAAACACCAGTTCTGGCGCCCTGCTCGAGATTGCTTGTACATCATAGAGTGCATCCCCTACGCACAATCCGCAGTCCTCTAAACTAGGACAACTTAAAGACCTCAAACCCGGCCATGCTATGCCGTGCTGCTGCGCGCTCTCCACTTGATGGCTGGGAAGGTAGGGTCAGCAGACACCAGACAAGTGACTCGCCTATGACATGACTATGAAGCGACGGCAGGCTTGTCAGTAGTATCCGCCGACAACGATGGCCGCGCTATGCTCTTGGAACACATCGGACCTACGGAATACAATCGTGGGCGAAGCAGCCGGACCAAAATGAAGAGGTTAGTCATGGTCACTTCTCGTCGTTTTTGACTGCGCAACAGGAGCTTCCAGGTGGTCATCTCGTGCGCTGATGGTGCCACAAGGTTGTAGCCAGAACTGGTCATTCGAAACCTTTTAACGAGCGTGCTCAAGCCTCGCTCGGGTACTGCAGATCAAGCTTGCATATCGTGATGGCTTGCTCAAAAATGGCGCACTTCAAGATGGCAGGTTACTCGCAGACAACAGCAACTCATAGCTTTGAGATGTCGCTTCGACTCGCTATTTCTGTCGCCTCTACAAAGGCTGCATTGCAGAGCAGGAGCACTGCTCCCTATGTCTGCTGGTCTTTCCCAACGCGTGTTGCCCTTTACACACAGATGAGGAATGCCAGAGGATCTCTCGATTGGATGGACCAGCGCATGGCGCAACAAGGCCTTCGCCGGAAGCCCTCAGCCAGAGGCTGCCATCATTCTCTTAAGGTTACAATAGCTCGTCAACATACAATCCTCATGACCTGCATATGCATGAATGCCTACAGTCGTAGCTCTGCCAATGTACACATACCCAATCCCCATACCCAGTCATCAGTCATCATAATGTCCCGGCCGTGGCGCGCCACTCATAAAAGCATCGACGATATTCGCAAAGACCTCGACCTCATTGCCCTTATCCCCCGGCAGGAAAGAATGCCAAGTAACCTGCCCTCCCTCGACCATCAATGGCGACGCATACGGCGCCTTGTCCGGCCCCAATGAATCCCATAACCGTTCCTGAACAGCCATCAGCACACCAACCTACCCAGAGCCCATCCGGATGAACACCCAGACTTACCAATTGTAACCAAAGCTTATGATTGACCTCCCTTGAAAGCAGCATCGTCTCCGGGTCAAAGTACGGCAAAGTAGACAGCCCAAGCCTCTTCGCCTGATGACTGAGATTCGTCCACGTCGTTTCGCACCATACTAGCTTTTTGTTATCGTTCTTGAATGAAGTCGGAGCGGGCTTGTTGGTGCGCCGGGACGCGGAGGCGATGATTGATGCCGCGTCTTTCTTTTCCCTTGTAGTAGACATGGTAGTTTGCTTTCCACTCAAGACAGCAAATATGGTTTCAAGAGGGCAGACGAAACAGGTATAAGAAGTTCAAGTTCATAAATTGATTTGGTAGTCTGAACGGGATGGCCGGCTTCGTGTACACGTTCGAGACATTTTGAGGATGCGCATATGATCCACCGTACCTATATTTGCGGGCTCGCATAGCGGTCAACAACGCAATCTTTGACGGTCGTGATGGGTTTCTGGTGACTCTCTTTTCCCCGGATGAGAACTACTCAGGAAGTCTACAAGAAACCGAGAGACGGAGGAGATTTTAATTTCACATTGCAAGCTCATTTTATTCACTCATGTATCATCAGCTAGGTTACAAAGCCCGTTTGCCCGCGATATCGATCTCCAGCTCCTTTGCGGCAGAATCTACTGCTTTCGTTCTGATCATGATTCAATCATGATTCTCAGTGCCCCAGGCACTTCCGTGTCTGCACATTTGCCAGGATTATTTCCAAGCCAGCCTGGTTTGTGTCTGGATACCCAAGGGGACATCACTTTGGTCAGCTATACCAAGCTATATCAGCCTTAGAACAGATTCTGTCGGGCTTTGTGGCCATGCTTGTGCAGATGACGTTTGCGGACGCCTCCTGTAGGTTCCACTCCCTCAAAGCTAGTGACGGTAACAACTTCTTCGACCAATATCATTTCAATAATTGTGTTGCCGCTCACATATGAAGTTGTCATCGTAGTGAACGAGTCAGGTTGAACAATTGTGGTAGATGCCAACACATCGAAAGAGCTTTGTGAGGTCGATGAGGTCAATGCTGTAGGTCCAGGGGTCGGAATTGGAGGCGACGGCAGTGTGGTGCTATTTGGCATTGCTGCAGATGGCTGGACTGAAGGTGCGTTTGCTGGGAACGTGGCAGACTGAGGACCGGATTGGATGGGGATGTTGCCAGGAAGTGTCTGGATATAGTTGATCGCCTCATTCTGCAGAGCTTCTGGCATGTCCAGCTTGCATTCTGTAGCATTTCCCTCATCCTGAAGAATGAAAATGGGGCAATCTTCTTGCAAGCCGCTACTGTTGAGACCGGTGCAGACGGTGCTGTCGATAGCTTCTTGAAGCACACCTTCATTCCAACCGCAGATGAAGTCACCATGATAGCCATAACCAGTAGGGTCACCATTGGAGAACACAAACTGTCCGTCAATGTTGTTGAACAAGTTCGTCTGGTAGATGGTTTCGTAGAACAAGACTGGAAGTCGAACAGGATAATCATCAGGACACCAACCATATTTGACCTCGTTTGGGTATGCAATATGGGTACTGTGATTGGCGCTGTCTAGATCTTGTCCATTCCAACAGGATGGAAACATCAACTCGGCACGGATCCCATCGGTACAGGTGGAGTCAAGGAAAGTTTTATTGCGCAGGTAGTGGTAATCCAAGGCGCCTTCGTTTGGGGGTTGATCATAATGCAAACAGTTGAAGCCGAGCGCCTTCTCCATGAGTGACTGCTGGGTGGTATCGCTCCAATCCCAGGTTGACATCGGTGGATCTGGTTCTGGTCCGTAAAAAGTGCGCTTAGTCGAGCTGCCAGCAATCATACGGAAGTTTTGGGGGAACGCGGTAACGTTTGAGCCGTCGCCATAGGGTCCTTCAGTGAAGTAGTACCTGGATTGTGTCAGAATTGAGGGATTGCCACAACAAAAATATTAACATACACAGTCATGCCGCCTGAGGTTGGAACCATTTCGAAGGTGCCATTGGAGTACTGGAAGTACATGCGTGGAGCCCAATATGCCGAATGGTCTTGTGTGATGGAGCAGCTTGAGCAATTTGAGTCCAAGAGTTCGTCAAGGGTGGGATCGAAACCGAGGTCTGTGCTAAGGTGTTAGCAAACGAGCACAGGGTTTTGCAGAGTCAGAACTTACTAGAAGCGCCAAAAGTGACATGGAGATGCTGCGATGGCTGACCTGGAGAGACTATAGGATCGATGCGACCGTTGGCGAGTTCACCGAAGCAGAGATGACGGAAGAAGGCTTGAGCTGGAAGAATGTAGAGGGACAATGCGAGAAGTTTCATGACCGGCATGACGAGGTGACCTTTGAGCTTTGCTCGGGTATTCATCCTGTCGCGCGAGAGGTGTTGTAGACGTTTGTGACTTTGTATGAACTTGTATGTGCTTTAGTCGTCGTCCTGCGAGAGTTTTGTGTAGGTATTGGTTTGTTTGATAAAGAGTTGTGGTGTTGGAAAGGGTGTGGAAGTGGTAAAGACCGAATGGATGAAGGGACCAAATGAGTGTCGAGATGGCTGGATAAAGGAGTGTGTTGGTGTTGACGATGAAATGCGAGTATTGTGAGAGTTGGTGGATGGGAAGATTGGAAGAGAAGAACTGTGATGCAGTCAGTAAACATCCTCCTGTCCGCAAATGGCGGTCGCCTACCGCGAAATATAGTGGTTGGGGATGTATTTTCTTGTTGTTCAGATCGTCCCGTGCGGTGCGGTACATATATGGTGCCTCGGTTGGCCTCAGATGGTCGTTCGATCTGCGTCTGCTTCAAGTGAAGCCAACAGGCTGCAATTCCTTCACCGGGTTTTTGGGTCCGGTATAAAGAAGTTGCAGCTTCTTTGTCGGTCCAGCTTGCCGCTGAGGAGAACTATTTTCAGACCTTCTCTCGCCGTCTCTTTCCCGTTGCTTGACTGATTGGAACCAGTATCTTCACCAAGACGTTCCTCTTTCTCCTACAATGCGTTACTGTCTGATCCTCTTAAGGAGCTGTGCACCGCCACTCAATCAATTGAGAATGCCGTACCGGACGGACGAAATAGGTTTGCTCAACGACTGTCAGGAAATTCACGTTCGTTATCCTCTGCTCACAAAGTGCTAGGCACAATTGCTCTTCCCAACGGTCGACCATCCGAGACGGACAACCGCAGCGTCACTGCTCCCTGGTCTGATCAGCCTGCTCGAAAACCCCGACCCTGTTTTGCAAGCAGTGCAATTGCTGTCTACGATCAAGAAAACATGAGGTTCAGCGAAAGAGCTCAATGGATGTGAATCTGACAGTCCGATTTGGCGTTCTGCAACACATAGCGAGAGGAGCTGCTCATTTAATCCGCAAAGTTCAAAGCAAGCGTGCATAAGAGACAATAGAAAGGACACTGAACGCACAAAGATCCACAAGCTCCCTCTACTCATCTTACACTTGTGATCAGCTGTTTGCGCAGCGTCCTTACCATGGCCAGGCTCACATCCTGTAGCCGTTGCAGAACCATGGTTCAACCTGGCTGGAATCTCAATCCCTGCTGGCCGCCTCCTGTGTTTGTGATCAAGCGGCAATTTCAGAAGAGGTCTTGCATGAAATCTACCAGGAAATTTCTTTGTTGTTGCACGTGTGGTATGGCCTTTCTTTGTCATCATTTCTGCATGCTTCCGTCTCCTAATTTCCGGCAGAGGTTCAGAACCCTTGTCATCCATGCGCAAACACCATCGATTGGCACAGTGAAGCCGGAGGACTTGTCACAGCTCTGACCAGAGTGCTTACTCAAGCTCCCATTCGCGGCTATCACGGCCAGGGCATGCATAGAAGTTGAAATGAGAGCATCTCTTGTGCAACTCCGTCGTCGTCTTTCTGGAAGACCGGATGTATCTTGTGAACAGGCCGAACCATGATTGCAAATGGCGTTAGTCACACCTTTCAGTCTCTTGAGGTCAGACAGCAATGAGACGACCGATGTTGATTATGACTTTGAAGATGAGCAAAAGCAAACGTCATTCACAGCCAGGGGTGAGTCGATTCATTTTAAGCCCTTGCCAAGCTTGCTCATGCAGGGACCGTTAGGGAGGCAAGGGGCGTGGCAGGCCTGCCTGAGATGAACAATCTTCCGGGACAGCGAAATTACAACCCTGGTACTTCAGCCATGGTCGAAGCTTATCAAAACGACGTTGCACACTCTTTATTTTCCAGATGTAATCGTACCGGAAGCTGCGAAGCCTCACTTCTGTCAATCTCCAACTGAACAGAGTGTGGTTCTGCTCCCAATTCAGTCGCTCAAGGTCTACTTGGTGAGGCTTTGGCACAGGTACGCGCAATTAGACCGTTACGCTAGTTAAGCGAACCCGTGGACGTGGTCTGGCGTCCGGAGTACCGCGACCTGCAGCAGAACCATCCCAAAAAATTGTACCAGAGGAAGGAAATTATTATTTGGACCACGACATAGCACGTCAATGTTCCGAATGACTCAAGTTAGGTGAAACACATTCTTTCGTGGGAAGCTTGGTCGTTGGGGGCCTAGACGGTTAGGACCCTGCTGTGAACAGGTTGAATTTTTAGGCATAGCTAACAACGAACAGACATGGACGGCGAAATAACGAGTCCTATGGACGAAGGTAATAATGTCTGGGTACCCTCTTGTTGCGATGGCTCACGAAAGATTAGTGGTCAACGACATGTCTGCAGGTCATGTCCCAGAGACTAGAGTCTTGATCATCATGACCGGAGGGACCATCTGTATGCAAAAATCTTCAGATGGCCTTGTTCCAGCACGGAATTTCCTGGAGCGGTGCATGGCGCCTCGGCCCGAGTTCAACGACGGACACAATCATGATCCCATCGAGGTCGGGTTGCACGATGGTCCCAACGGCGTGGGCAGATTGCAAAGTCTGAGGACACCTACTAGCGTATACGGAAAACGTGTAAGGTAAGGTATCATCATGCTTCACCCGTTGTTGGAGGTGTTGAGTCCGTGTTTTGGGTGCCTTGAGACATTCGCCTGTGGAAGAGGGTTTGCTGAAAGTTGTTTGTAGGTATGCCGTACTGGAATTTGAAGAACTCCTTGATTCGTCCTCCATCGACAGCAGGGGTTGGACCCAAATCGCTCAAACAATCCAACGCAACTACAAGTTGTTTGACGGTTTTGTCGTTTTGCACGGGACGGATAGCCTGGCGTATACTTGTTCAGCTTTGAGCTTTATGCTTCAGCATCTCGGCAAGCCTGTCATACTGACCGGTGAGTGGAAACATGACACCCCAAGTTGCAAGGTCTCTTGCCATGCCGCCGTTGGATGACCGTTGGCGAAGAAGAGAGTCTTTGTGAAATTCAGTGGTCTGGGGCCATGAAGAATAGTTCTTCACAATATCCCGCAATACTCAGTCCACCCGATGGCCTTGTTGGTGAGGAGTCAATGATTGGAGGCTGACTCGATGCAGGATCTCAAGTTCCATTCGCCGAACGAAAGAACGATGCCCTGGACAATCTCATGGACGCGGTAGACGTGGCAGCCCACTTTATGATCCCGGAAGTCTGTCTTTGCTTCAACTCTACCTTGTTCCGCGGCAACAGGTCGACCAAAATATCCGCCAGTGCTTTTGATGCATTCGCCTCTCCGAATCTTCCTCCTTTGGCCAGAATTACCGCCGTCGATACCACAGTGGCATGGAACATGGTGACGAGACCGACAACCCTTCAAGCCTTCAGCATCCAAACAGATCTTGAGATCCATCACGTGGCGTGTTTGCGCATTTTCCCGGGCATCACTGCAAAAATGGTGGACGCAGTGCTTAGAACCGAGAATCTGCGTGGTCTGGTGCTCGAGACCTTCGGCGCTGGCAACGCTCCAAGTGGGCACGACAACGAATTGTTCAAAGTGATTGCTGATGCAGTGCAGCGAGGTATTGTCATTGTCAATATCACTCAGTGCCTGACTGGAAGTGTAAATCCACTTTATGCGCCAGGCATGGTTCTCGGCCGGGCTGGCGTGGTCGCAGGAGGCGACATGACCAGCGAAGCCGCTTTGACGAAATTATCGTACCTTTTGGCACTACCAGGAGCGACACCGGAATCAGTCGCCAGAGATATGGCGATTTCTATTCGGGGCGAGCTGACCGAAAATTCCGGGATCATCTTCAGTCATCCAACAGGCGAATTGTCTTCTCCGGTCACCCAACTCACTGCTATTGCCTATGGCATTGCCAGTGGTGATATTGACAGGGTCAAAGACGTGCTTCGGAATGACAGCCAGCTTATGAATCGCCCAGACTATTCTGGTAACACGCCAGTCCACTTGGCTGCTACAGGGTCCAGCCTAGCCATACTTCGTTATCTGCTGGGGTTGGGAGCATCGGTGCACATTCGCAACAATGCAAGTCGGACACCGCTTTTTTTAGCCGCAAATGCTGGTTTGATTCCGCATGTAATGCTACTACGACAAGCGGGTGCACATCTCCATCAAGAAGAGTTACCAACTGCGAGCCTTCACGCAAGTCAGAGGCCCGAGGCCTGGAAGCAGGCTGGCTTGGAAGTTGGTCATGATGATAAAACTAGGTGACGAGCACCGGTAGTCTACGCCAACTCAACCGAATTCCAGAGGTTCCGGCACATGGCATGACTATGCGATCTTGGAGTGCGTCTACGGGCACTTATTGGCCATGCTACAGAGGGACCTTACCCTTGACACATCAATTCAGCATCTGGTTACAGCAGTGCCTCGTGGCTTCCCGACTGTATGCGCCGGTGGAGAAGAGCCTTGCAGCAGTCCAATGACTCATGCAGCCTTTTCCACGCCCGTACCTTCAGGGTTGCCTATGGGGCCGCGGAGATGCCCGGGCTGGGATTGACAGCCTCAAAATGGGTGCCTCGACTCCTCACATGGTTCGATGATGAGTTATTGCGTGACGACGAGAGTGCGTTATGGGCTGGTCCTCATCAATCCACTCATCGCAACCAACGTGCTCTAAGTAAAGGATGTCAGAGTCATCATCCACGGAGGCTGTCTTTCGGTGAGGCGCCACTGACGAAGCCCGAGAGACAATTGTTGGGCCGCATCGCCTACGCCCAAGGTTAGGGATCAGCTAGGGGTATTATCTAGGTGCACTCCCCGCCTTTCAGCCTACTCCCCCGCATGCATTCGGGTGATAGTGCCCTGCACTGGGCCCTGCAAAATTGCGGAAATCCGGCTGTCATCCATCGTCATACTATTTCTTCTGTTTCTCCTCCAGGTTTGTGCGACTCCGCCAGCAAGTCCCATTTGCTTTGGAGACATATTTAATGGGCCTCGGAGGTACGATTCCCTAGTTTTCCATACGTGATGGCACAATTTGGTGGTGCGTGCTGAGGTCGGCCCTGGCCCGCCGGCGGTACACTCTGTACTGACATGGTTACGTAAAGGATAAGCTGCATCAGGTTTGGCGGTGATGAAAGTATGAAAAACTCATCAGAGAATTTGCGCAGCCAAGGTCCTCAGAATGGAACCGAATTACGGCACGGAATCCAGTCAATACTCTCTTGCCTCTTGTGGTCGAGGGTTTTTCCCATGTCAATATTGTTCATGGCCCCAACACTTGGGTCATACTCAGCCGGAATGGTGTGATACTCTCTACTTGTTTGGCTCTTTTCCTGTTGCTCTTTTATTTCTGTTGATGCCCTCGATACCCGATTTGGTATGCATTTACTTTGCAGTTATATCACTTTCTGACTTTGAACCTTCTGTCATTCACGCGCCGATATATCCCAATTGTTGGGTCCTGTTGCTTTGATCACAGCACCAAGGTTCATCGTCACCACATGACGAATACGAAAAAGACCATAGCCATCGTCAATGGTACTGGTCGACAAGCAGCCTCGCTCATCCGAGCGGTGACAGCCGTTGGCTATGGTGTTCGTGCCCAAGTGTACTCTACCGAAGGTTTGGTCGCTGAGGAGTTGGCTGAACTACCAAATGTCACACTGTTCGAAGGGTCCCTGCTGGACAATCCAGTGCTAGTGGACACCATCTTTGAGGGAGCTCAGATTGCCTTTATCAACACGAATCCTCTGGCGGGCGATGAGATTAAGATAGGCAAAGCACTTGCCAATGCGGCCAAGAAGCGAAACATCCAGCATTTCATCTATAGCAGCATGCCCGATCACTCGATACACAATCCAAAGTGGCCTTCAGTTCCGTTATGGGCTCCCAAGTTTACTGTCGAGAACTACATACGCCAGCTAGGACTACCTGCAACCTTTGTCTATGCTGGAATCTACACGAACAACTTCACCAGCCTTCCATATCCACTATTTTGTACGGAATTCTTGGAAGATGGCTCGGTGGAGTGGCGAGCACCGTTTCACCCTGATATCAAATTACCCTGGCTCGATGTTGAGCATGACTTCGGACCGGCTGTTCTACAGATAATCAAGGATGGCCCTGGCAAATGGGGCAAGGGGCAAAGGTACGTCAGATGATGTTTAGTGGTTGCATTGCCTTATCTTTCGGCATTCACCAGGCCAGGGCTGTTGCGCGAGTTCTTGAAGATAACACGGCTGACATTTGATCGTCTTTCAGGATCGCACTTGCGTTTGAGAATCTTACACCAATCCAAGTGTGCGAATCATTCAGCAAGGCACTAGACCTGCCGTGCGACTACGTGTACGATGAGCAAATCGAAGTCGCAGTCAGTATCCCCAACGGGTACCGACAGCAGCTTTCTGCGCTTGAGATTCTGTTTGGCCATTACAACGCCCCTTATTTTCCGGGATCGGACTTCCAATACATCGGCCGAAGAAAAGGCAGCAACGATACAGTCACCAGTCGAAACAGTCAAGACTCCTCGTGTGGGAAGCCGGGAAAGCTTACCGACACCGCTCGGGCACTCTGGCCCGGTTGGCGGTCGATAGCAGAGTATTTTGCCACAGCTTTTGTGGCCGAGGAAGAAGCGAATGGTAAGACATGGATGATGGACAAGACTCAAAGCACCTAGTGGCGTGTGGTGTGTATGACGACTTATGACTTCTTATCTTTCTTGCATATTTGGAAAAAGGGGAATCGGAACTGCATAGCATGGGAACATTGGCACAAAGGGTGATCCTGGGGTAACCTACTTCTTTCTCTGGTTAGGTCATTGATTTCTGGGGTTGAAAAGGGTTTGTGGAGGGCTTGGGGCGTCACGAATGGCCCTTTCTTTCTTTGCGCCGGCTTTGAGCGATATCGCCTCGAGATAAGAAGGACATATCAATATGTCAAACTGATGCTATTATCTAACGAGATTAATCGAAATATCGAATTATACTTTCCTAATCACCTTTGGCGCTGTTCCCCGCAAAGTCTTGGTTCGGGGTGTGTAGGGGTGGATGCCAATGGTGGTTGATGTATCCAATGTGAGGCTGGGATTCGACCTGCCTAAAAGAGCCTTATGAGAGATGCGACGCCACAATCGCAGCATGCAGGAGGCTATCTGACCGCTCATTCGTTTTCTTGGTCTGGGGCGATAGGACCTAAGGAGCCGTGCACCCGGATGTTCTTTCGCAAGGGGGCTCTCGTATCATCTGAGGCTATCGAAGAGGATCCTCAGGTGACTTTGACCCCGTTGGGGTGCTTTTTCCCAGAGTAGCGGAGAGGCTTGCTCCTCTCTTTCTTTGACCGTCAATTCATGTCGAAGATAAGATCTCCCGATCTTAGATTCGTACGCGTCCCCCGTACTCTCAGTCTTGAAGTGAGTATCGGCCGTATCCGAAGATACTGGGCCAGAACGGAGCGGTGAGAGATGAGAGATGACGTACCCGCTTCTCCATGCCACTCGGGGTCTTTCGGTTCTGGCTTTGTCAAGATCAGATAAGACTGCTACAGGTAAAGAAATCTACCTAATGCCGAGTTTCGTCAAACGCAGCCTTAGGTAAGTCAGCGCAAGGCTTGCTTACAATGACTTCATGGGCCGGCCTGTGGATGTGGATGCTGCCAAGGCTCACGTCGATTTGTTCAGCAGCTTCAAACTTCCATTTGCACGTGGTCGATTCGTTGACATCGGTGTGCTTTGATTCTCAAAAGGACAGACAAGTCTGAGATATCGACCTTGTAAGATATTGTGATCCTCGCACAGCAGCTGTTCGTGCCTCTCAGCGTCGAGGAACACTTCGCCGGGTATCTGAACCGAGCTTTGACCGGGCAGCTCGCCACGAGTCAGATATCGAGATCGACGGCCAAGGCGAATAGGTCGTATCAATACTCCGTACGGAGGGATTCAATCGACATACAACATCGAGACTTACCCAATACCTGAATAATGTCAGATAAAGACGCAGCGACGCCTCGCGTCTTCCTCATCCGCCACGGTAAGTGAAAATTGCGAGTTAGCCCCAACCCCGATACAATCTCCATCTCCATCCATCAGAAAATTCTTTTTCCTTGCCACGACGACATCAACCCTTCGTCAGGACTTACTACACCCATGACAAGCACCACTTCAGCGGGATCTTTTGTTGTACGACAATTGACCTTTCTGGGCAGGCGAAACCGAATGGTCCCGCAACGGCAGGTACACCGGCAACAAAGCAGACATCCCCCTGTTGCCTGAAGGCGAAGACAAGATCCGCCAGACCGCCAGCATAATCTTTGGGTCGGGCCGGTTGATCGACCCTGACAGAATCTCCGCCATAATATGCAGTCCCCGCAAACGGGCTCGGCAGACCCTTGACATCTTGCTCAACGCGGACTTTTCGCCCAGAGATGAACTGGATGCGATGACAGATTTTACGGAGGACATCGCCGAATGGGGTTACGGCGACTACGAGGGTTTGTTGACGCAACAGATTCGCGACCTTCGAAAATCTAGGGGTCTAGATAAGGAGAGGGCGTGGGATATATGGCGCGACGGGTGTCAAGGTGAGGGCGGGGATAGTCCGGCGCAAGTTGGGGAACGTCTAAACCGGGCTATTGGTCGGATTACGGAGATACACGGGAAGGCGTTGAAGGAGGGACGGAGGGATGATGTGATTGTCGTGGCTCATGGGCATATACTACGGGCTTTTGTGAAGAGGTGGTTGGGGTTCAGTGTTGATGCGCCGGTACGACTGGAATTTATGTTGGAGCCCGGCGGTGTGTGCGGGTTGAGTTATAGTGGGGGAGATGTTGAGAGGAGGGCTTTACTTGTGGGGATGAGGATTCCGAATCCTGAGGTTGAGTGAAGTTGAACTGTGGGTGGGCACAGAGTACGGGTCTCGAAAGGGCAGCGATAGAACAAGGATCAATATAGATGAATTGATATGCAGGCATATACGTTGGTAGATGGCTGGCGTGGATTTGAGCGCCACATTCAGGACCTTAGATTACCGGGATGGCACGAATAGCTATATGGAACAATCAGGGGTAATATGGCGCGGGAGTCAAAGGCTATGTGGAGAGCGACCAACGTGATGGCCAGACAGGGATCATAGGATTGCAGGTACAGTGCATTATTGCATCAGTGCATTCTTAAACTCATGTATATACTTCGTTACTATTAGCCATTATGCTGGTTCAATCTCCTTTTCGTATTCAGGACGGCCGGCGTACACTAGTCGGGTTTTGACCACCAGTCAGCATGGCCATTCGCCTGGTCCCGGCTCGGCGCTGCACATGTTTGTTCAGACCTCATTCAACATAGCTGCCCTTCTCTCCGCGCTATGCTGCGCTCTTCGCATTCTCATATTGCCCTCTGGCGCTCTCGCGGCAACGTCACGCTTGCTAATGAAAAAGCTGGGCAGGCCGTAATCGGGGGTACCTCCCAGCGTGTCGAAGATGTCGCCAACATAGTTGTTCGGGACGACACCCGCTTCGAAGGTGCTGTCCCATCCGTCCAAGATGCCCATCACGACCTTGATACCGGCGAGGTAGATGTTGGCAATGGCAGGCGAGAAACCACCTTGGTCCACGTACAGCAGATTCTGAATCTCGCTGATCCCTGGGGGTGGGCGGTCAAAGTCTGAAGAGGTCCGCATGACGATGACGCGCGAGTAGTCGGTCATATTGGCCTTGGCGGCGCGCAGGATGGCCTCGAGAGTGGCGTTGTCTTCTTGGGCCGTCGAGCAGTAGACGCCTGAGCCGTTGGTCCAGATGCGAGTGGTGTTCTCGAAGGCTTCGGAGAGGAGGGTGCCGCTGTAGTACACATCGGAAGTGGCGACGTCGCAGCCTACGACGCTGGGAGGCTGCGCGGCAGCGGCGTAGATCGACTCGGCGGCGTATTTGGCGCGATAGGCTGCGGCATCGGCTGTGTCGTTCAGAGCAGCTGTTGATGCGAAGGCCATAGCGACATCACGGAGGGCCAGATTCAGCTCGAAGACTTCGGTGCCGTAGATTCTGTAGATGTGTTAGTCTTTGAGGGAAATATGTTTGGGGCGGTTAGCATACTCTGCCGGGTAGTCGGCTGGGTTGTCAGTGTTGAATGGTATGTAGCTGGAGGACAGGTCAGTCTTTGTCAGATGTGGATATAGCAGCTTGCTTACCCAGTGGTGAAGTTGCCAGGCAGATCGCGAATGTCGAACTCGTACCTGCAGGTATGTTAGGAAAGATCGAAACTTGAGAAGTTGCTCGGCTCACTGGAGTGCGACCTGGACTGCATAGCGTGCGCTAAGACATGATGTTAGCATATATATTCACGACCCGGAAGAGTGTTAGAGCGGCAATGACAACTTACAATGTGACGGAACCAGTTGTTGCTACCTCTGGATTGACACCAGCAATACCAGCAACAAAGAAATATGTCTTGGTCAAGTCGAATACGGAGCTCAAGACCAGGGCACTGATAGACGAAGCGGCGTTGATTTCCGATTCTCCAGTAATGACCTGGCAAATGTCGCCGTCGGCTGTACAGTGGACCTCGGGGAATAGAGGAGAAAGTCCGGGGATGGTGATGTTCTGTGCGAGCACATCGAACTCGTCAATTCCCCACCAAGCGGCTCCTTCGGGCTCAAACATATCGATGATAAAGACCTTGGGAGCAATGGTTGTTGCTCGCTTGCTGACTCCATGGTTTTCCGCAAATGGTGTTGCTGAGACGAAGCTTGCTGCTGCTAGCAGCAGGCTCGAGAATTGGAGGGACCGCATGGCGACTGGTAGGTATGGCGCAACGGGACTGTGAACGCTCTAAAGGCACGCGATTGAAAAAGAAGAGCCCAACAGACTGGCGCAGGTGGAAAGGACCTACCTCTTATGTGCATGCATACCGAGGCGTCGGCTTGACGAGCTCTCCACGCGGTTCCCAAGCTACCCTGGAAGAAGCTCAAGGTAGCTGCAGTGGATCGAGCTTCCAGTATGCATCGGGTGTCACCGATGGGCAGACAAACCGATATCAGTAGTAGTTGACGAGCTATTTGACTCCGGTGCCTGGATCAGCATAACGAAGTGACCATTATTGGAGCTTCGAAGCTCCGGGCAGGTCGTTATCTGTGCGCTAGTGGCGAGTACCAAAGATGGAGTGCCGCAAATATGGCAGAGAAAGGAAGTATAATGATGCGGACCTGCAGTAGGTGAGTGGCATCCCGCTTTTCCTTATCTCTGGTAAGGCTCGGTCATACCGGATCAGGTATGTAGAGGCATGAATGGAGCCTTTTGCATCATCTGAGAAGCGAGATAGATAGGCGCACAGCCAACGAACTCAGTATCTGTTACTGACTTGTTCGGTGAGGTAATCTGCTCTGCATTTACCCTGTCCCGAGGCACCCGTTGAGGACCGTCGCGAAGGCATGCTTAGCTTGACAGTCAGTACGACGTACCTTGCATTCGGGACCAATGGGCATGTTGATTCTTGTGTTGACACCGTTGGCAGGATACAAGCTATCAAAAGAATATGGGGGATATAGCTGGAGTGTAGGTGTGCGTTTAGCTTATCGGGAACTTATCATGAGGTTGCTATCGATCCCTTGGCTTACGTAGGCACTTAAAAGATATGCGATACGCGAGAAGATGGCGATTGAAACTTCTCCATCCTGTTTACATAACATTTGCTTTGATACACTCTGAACGACGTTGAAGAAGTAACCTCTGACCAGATAGATATTCAGCTCCAAGTAGCCCCCTTCCCAAACGCACTAACATTATATATGAAATACACCAACCACGCAGAAAGCAGCAGCATGCTTTCTGTGCGGCTTGCAGAAGACAATCTGAACCCTTCCCTCAGCGCCATCAACCTAGATTTACTTTTTCGTGTTGTTGCCTTCGAGTTTCCCGAGACTGGTGCTTCTCTGACCCGTGGCCCATCCTCAGCCTCCCCGTATACCACAACATTCCAATCATCATTTTTGTCCGGTGGTTCAATTCGACGGTCCGGTGGTCGGGGGAATGAATTTTGTAACAAGAATCTTCAATTGGGGGTTTTCGCTCAGCATCAAATCTTGACCATTTCTTTCAATCGCAAAGGAGAAGACGAGTTCTGGGGTGTCGACCGCGATGGAAACCACGACAGAATCGCAGCTCTCACCCCGAACAGACACGACGAACAGACTTACTCTTCAGCGTCGCTCTTCACAGGCGCATCACTTGCTCCACTGTTCAGGCTCTCGACACCTAGGTTCGTGTCGGCCGTTTCTGTTGATTCGCCGTTGTCTCGTTCGATTGCGCTGAAGCCGCCACCGTTCGCATGTCTGCCTCGAGCCTCGCTGGCGTCTCTGGCGTCCGGGATGCTGCGTTCTTCAATGTGCCACTGTTGAATTGCTCGGATGATATCGACGGCCAACTGTCCGTTGCGTTGTAGTGCCTCAGCCCAGTGTATAGGGATCTTGTCGCCGGTGGTCAATTGACGGGCCACCGAGGAGACCATCATCTCGCGCATCTCATTGTCTTCATCGGTCTCGGCATAAATGTACTGCACTCTTCGAAGTCCAGGATAGGTGGAGGTGTTATGGTAGAAATCTCGGACATGCTCGACGACGGCTGTTGAAAGCGTCTTCATTTGGAACTTGTCGGACAAGAGGTAGAGTTCTAGCAGTGGACCAATGTCTTTCTCCGTCGAAGGAGCGCGAATGGACTTGGAGTAGAGCCAGCCAACCAACAGCTCGAAAGGATAATCGTCTTCATCGGGCAATCCATATGACTTGTTTCCTCGCTTCTTCTTTTCCTCGTTCTTGTCGTCTGCGTAGAAGATGGATGAGAAGAAAGGCGAGTAGTAGCAGAGGAGCCTTTCGTGGATAGTCCAGTGAGTGGATTCGGGACCGACGTAGATGTCTACGAGCGATTGAGTGAGGAGTCTGCGCCGAGTTAGTCAAGAGTCTATGGGCCTTTGATGGTTGCGACACTCACTCATGGAGCGGCTTGTCCTTCTTCTGCTCGTGACCCTGGGTCTGCTCTTGATCTTGGGTAGTCTGGTTATCCATGGCTTCCGGCGCAATTGAGGTTCTGGCTGAGGGATGCGGGGTATTTTGGCAGCGGGACGAAGACAAGGCGTATGCGTATGCGACCGCGACTTTGCGACCGGTTGAGGATTTCGTGAGGGATAGAGAGAAAGGAAAGAAGAAACAGGAACAAAACACCAGGATTAGTACGTCAGGACATGAGCTCCAGAAGGGAAAAGAGAGGATGGCTGGAACAGAAGCTGGAGACAGTTCTGTCTCATGAACCCTTGTACCTTGTCCATCTCGTTGTGGCCTTGGGTCGAAAAGAAGTAACATACGTCAGAAGGCAAGCCACATTGTGGACAATCACCAAGACTGAGGCGAGCCGTGAGATGCGTGAGTGGTGGAAAGGTCATCATCGTGGAGCAGAAACGGCCTCGATGGACAGGGATCTGAGGTCTGTGTGTAGAATGGCGAGAGAAACCGGTTTGTGGCGCAGATGGGAAAAGCCAATAATGAGTGATGCCCCTCACGTGCATCACACGTGTCCAATTCAAGCTTTCTTTTCAGATACACGAGCAGCGATGATGATCTCGGTTGACGATCACTAAGAAATCAATTCTCACTAGAGACCATCGAAGGCATGAAATGATAGATATCTTCAGACACATATGGCTCGTCGCTAACACCCACAGGCATCACAGATGTCGTCTATTTCTTTCCCTTTCCTTTTGATTTCGACTTCTCACCCTCCTCTTTGGCAAATCCGCCCTTGACCAATGCCTCTCTAGCCACCGTATTGATGAGACGAAATCGATCTGGTCCCAGCTTGACTCCTCCATACCATCTCGTGACAACTACAATCACATTCCATACGTCCATGAGCTGCATCAGATGCAACAATCTCCCTCCTGCGGCTGTCTCTCCATCATCATCACAGTCCTGTATCGTAGTCGATGTCCCTGTTTGCGCGTTCTTCGCCTGTATGCGCCAGGCTGTGATGTTATGTGTGGCACCAGCGACCTTCTTGTTCGTTGACAAAAGATGAGAGATGGCATCCATAGCTTCGGGTAGGGTAGAAACAGGGGCTGCCCGTGCTACAAAGGTAGACTTGTTGGCTGTCAACGGCTCTGAGAGCACCCAAGCCGGAGGGACAATATTGGACGATGCTGCATCAGAGATCAGGTCGTGTGCACTTGTCTCGGGGAAACTGGGCGATGCGGACCTGTTCGCAACATTTGTGCTGTGATCTTCAGACGCGCCATGATCGTGATGTTCGTGCTGTTGCTGGAGGAGAGGCCCGCCTTCTTCTACCAAATCAAACAGGCACACTTGGCCTGGTACCCAGACTCTTCCCACCACGTCACGCAGGATGCTCACCGCAATCTCACCCTCACCTCTTCCACTGCCTCCCGTCGACTGAGTGCCAACGATCGTAGGAGGCGCATCGAAAGGGTACTCGGAGGGAAATGATGCGAGGAACGAGAACGGCAACTCGGGCAGACAAAGGACTGCAGTTGCCTCCGTAGCAGACTCGCTCTGCAAAACAATGGTGTTCGGACCGTAGATCGAGTTCAGGGCTTCAAGCTCGTCAGCAAGAGCCTCATTCTGTGTCACACGTCCATCTTGAGACATCAAGGTGCGGTGACTTCAGAGGTAAATTGCAGGCCAACAGCTTCATCTTCGGCGGCCAGGCTCGGCTGACTTGCCGCTTTCACCGCCTAGTGCTTACACCCCCTTGTCTCTTCTTGTAAGGCTCTTCTTTCGTCTGGCTTTACCAAAGTCCCTCTACTCCGTACCAGGGTCCCTCTACCGAGATGGCTCTACCAAAGTCCTCTGCCAATACCCTTCTACCGAAGTCCCAGGACATTGGAGAATGGTCCCCCGCACAATGCTGCCCGATCAAACAGCCTTAAAGGTGAGATATGGACATAGTCTCCGTTCTGCCACGGTTTCCGCGACCACATGATCACCGGCGCTTAGTTGCCCAGGCACGCGTATTGTAATACAAGGCTAGAGTACCCTCCGCAGAGCAGAATCACGATATGAACTTTTGATGAGACGACATGGCTGCACTTCAATCGCTGGACCACTATGAGCCGTACCACTACACTCGTCTCAGGCAGCCTGACAATATCCGTTTAGTTCGCCTACTTCCTTCTGCCGATGGCACTGATGAGCTTAGGGTCGACGTGCTTGAACAAAGTCTCTCCACTGTGGATGGTACTTACACAGCGATATCCTATGCCTGGGGGGATACATCCATTGATATCCAGCGACCAATTTTCTGCAATGGGAGAATCATCAGAATCTACCCAACACTACACTCTGCTTTGTTGAAATTACGCCATCAGTCCGAGGTCACCTTGGTCTGGTGCGATGGTCTTTGCATTGACCAAGGAGCAGACCCCGAGTCTCTAGAGGAGCGTTCAATTCAGGTACAGATCATGTCTGAGATCTACACGAACGCTCAAAGGGTCGTGGCAGACCTCGGGGATGATCTTGGCCATAAAAATGATGAATTCATCTTCAGTCTATACGAGCTTGCAGGCATCTCGACAAAACACTTGGAAGCTGTCTTTCCAGCGTTCGAATACCATGATTTTTTCATAGACGAAGATGAGGAGGACGCAGACGAGGACGCAGACGACGCGGACGATGAGTACTCAGGCGACGACTACGAGGAAGGGCAGTCGGCGTCGCAAGACCCGGAACAGTCTTCACCGCCCAGACATGCAAGCAACGCCCCGTCAGATGAAGGTCGCAGCGTCGACTTGCTCATTGGACTTCTTCCTGCTTGCGTCCGCCAGAAATGGCTCTGGCATTCACTTGGTACCCTAGTCGCTCGGCCCTATTTCGGAAGACTATGGGTTATTCAAGAACACGCATTGGGCCGTGAGGTCGTCTTCATGATAGGACGTACCCAAATCCGTGGATCCATACTCGCTCGTGCAATGTTACGCCTCTACAATACCTCGTTTTACTGTCTTGGTTATAGTAACGAAGTCACTCGAGCCCAACACCGGGTTCCGTACATGGCATCGCTGAATCCTGTCATAATTTTCAGAATACGGGAGTACATCATGGGGAGGACCTTTGACCGGTCCAAGATCACGCTCGATAGACTTGTTCACGAAACGACACTTTTGCTTCTACTGACCCCCGCGACAAGATATATGGGCTATTAGGCCTTTGTCACGCAGACGAGCGGAACCACCCCTCCCTTCGCGTCGATTACAGAGAATCTGTCGAAAGTCTCAGCCTGCGCATGTCCCGTTTGTTTCTCTCGAACGGCGCGCACTTTGTGCTTTATCACAGCGTCGGATGCTGTTCCGAAGCTTCTACACCATCATGGGTTATTGACCTTTGTGCGGAGAAACGTGACGACGTAGGCTCTTTAGTGTTGGCTGATGGAACATGCGATGATGCCCTGTACAATGCCGGGCATGCTCCTGACCAGGCCAATCCACGCGCTTTTCAGCCCTTGGTATCGAGAGACTCACACCTTTTGACGGTCACGGCCATCTTGCTTCCTGCCATCTGCAGTCTCTCAACCACTTGCCCATATATGGACAAAAAAACGCCTTCCAGCAAGAATGTCCATGACTGGGTTTCGGATCTGTTAACATGGGCTTCGGACCAAGACATGCCTACCAGCATTGATATTCGGAAGGCCCTTCTGTCCACCGTATCAGCAGATACTCTCTCATTTTCGGGACACTTCTATCGAGCCAGTCTCGACGCCGTACTTCCTGGGTCGGAGATATTGACCGCTGCGTTGTACTGTATCGAATACACTGGCCCCGACATTCTCACGGATGACTACTCTCGTCGTATGCACCGGTCTGCTTTCTCTCTCATGGGCTGCCTGATGTTTGCTCAAGGGTGCGCTGTGGGATTTCCTCTGCGAAGCCAAGAGTTGGTATCGCTGCTGTACCTTGTACCTGGATGTGCAAAACCCGGCGACGTGGTTGCGATCTTCGTAGGCCTACCTGTACCCTTTGTCCTCCGGCCGACGGAGCCAGAGCCGGGGCTGGAAGGACCTGTGTTTCGAATCGTGGGCTCAGCATATGCACATGGCATGATGGACGGTCAAATATTCTCGACTTCGTTGCCGGAACAACTTATACATCTGAGATGATGTGGGGCAAACTTCATGCGCATGTTGTCTGGACTGGCTACGATCAAAGCTTCTGAGTTTGTGTCCCATTGTTCTGGGGTAATGGTGAATTGCGGGCTCCTCTGTGACCGCCCATCGTTGATGTACCATATTGAAGGCTGGTTTCCATCACAGCGGCAACATCCTTATCGGCGGGACGGCGCGCCCCATCCGTGGGAAGGTGAATCTGCTCACCATGTCGAAACCCGGAGCCTTTTCGTCTGTCCAGACGCCCACGGACCTATGACCGACAGGGAAAGTCCCAAATCCACCAGCATCGATAACAACCTCCCTATCTTCCCAACCAAGAATATCTTTCCACCTCTCCCCAGCATGTCTCTGCCCAACGAACATTCTCTTCGACCTCCGATCCCAGCTATTGGTCATGATGACGGCCAACCCAGCGCCATTAGACTTGGATTTATGTCCGAGCCTAGTCCACCCAATGCAGTCCTCCGTGTCAAGATAGTCTCGTTGCTGGCCATAGGCGAAGAGCTTTCTTGCAACAGCGAGCCGTGACAATTTACCTCCGCACGCAGGGAGTCGAGGTCGCGGACCATGATTGCCGAAGATATCGCCCCAAAAGACGCATGGCGTGCCGCTATCAGCTCGAAGAAGAATGAGGACGTAAGCCAGAGGAATGAACCACTCTTCCACGGGAGCTGCAAGGGATTGCGTCTCCTGTGTGTCGTGGTTTGCGACGAATGTCTTCATACCGAAACAATTAGCACGCAACACTTGTGATGCGAGAGCATGGGAGTCTTACCACTGCATGCACTGGGTCTCTTTGGACCAACGACCCGTCAAATACCGTCCTGAGATCTTCTCTTCGACCTTTGCTGAAATCACTGAAATTGTACACGAGCTGGACATCAAAAAGATTCAATCTCCCATGAAACTTTCGTAGAATCTTCTCCAGCACCACCGAATCCGAATCCCAATACTCCCCAACGAAAAAGAATTTCTTATTGTTGGATGTTGCGTCAAGATGTGCCAGAAAGTCCGCGAGAAAGGAGAGTGAATAATGCTTGATGGCATCCAGACGCATACCACCTAGATTCAGGTGCGACGTTATCCATTGACCCCAGTTGAACAGGTCGGCTCGGACTGCTGGATGGGAGTGGTCGATGTCGGCGAACATCAAGTAATCATAATTACCCAATTCTTTACTCACATCACTCGCCCAATCTCTTCGTCTCCCATGCACATGCCTGTCGCCCACGAACTTAAAGATCCCATGGTCGTTGGCCCGAGAGTCGTAGTCGACGCCCGTAAAATGCTTCGCATCCCATTTCATATCTGAGTACGTTTTTCCTCGAGCGGGGAACGTGAATTTCGTCCAGCTCTCAATTTCATACGGTTTCGTGAGTGTCTTTGTTCGGTCCTTAGGGTCAACTTTTACCGCACGAGCATTTTCGTTCCCATCAGCGCCGGCCTTGTGATTCAATACCGCGTCCCAGAGGACTTGTACGTCGTGACGCTTTGCTTCGGTGCAGAATCGTTCGAGGTCGGACTTGCTGCCCCATTTTGTGTTTTTGTGACCGGTCCCTTTGGCGTCGAATTCGCCTAGATCCCAGAGATCGTAGGTCGCGTAGCCTACGTCCTCCGGGTTGGTGGCTTTTGTGCCGGGAGGGAGCCAGATGTGGGATATGCCTAGGGTTGAGAGCTGTGGGAGAAGGGATGTCAGGAGGGTATAGTGGCTCCTCGTCGAGTCTGCGTCAGAGTCTGGATGTGATGGATGGCCTGCAAGGCCTGCGAGGGGTGAATCTCCGAACAGAGGAGATCCGCCTTGGTAAATTGGATGCTGGGAGTGGCCTGGATGTTTTGAGTCTGAATGGTGTGACTGGTGCTCCGTTGTGCCAGGGAGATACCATTCGAAGGATTGGAATATTGTTTTGTTCTCAGGTATTTCCTGTCCACCATCGCCGTTGACAGAGGAGGAGATTTCAGTTCCTTTCCAGGTGTGGCTATTGCCGCTGGCGTGGTCGATTTCTGGCGTCGCTGGCCGACTGACGTTGGTGCTGCTACCGCCAACGCTGAGGCTCCGCGCAAAGGAGCTGAGTCGATGCATTGCTGACATGTAATCCTTGGTGGACTATTGTCTTGTTTCCAAAAGTCTTCTTCTTCGCATTGAAGGACACCTTAATCGGGACCGTTCGACGTATTGTGCCTGTCTTAAGTACGGCGATCATGTGTAGAGTGATATCATGATGGCCGTGCACGATACTCGACAAAGTTTGAGATCGATGGTACCTGGCTGATCAGACGCATTGACCATGCCGGCCGAGGACATATATTGGTTTCGAGATGGGAACGCCATATTTGTAGCGAACAGCAGGAATATCCTGTTGACATGGAATATGTTGGGAATATGCAACATGTGAGACAAAGATGGATTCAGGTTGCGTGTACATGACAAGGATGTCGATGAGGCCAATGAGCATCGGGAATGAGGACAAGGCTGACTAAGATTCGTACAGGGGCCGAGAGATTGCAATATATGTTTGGTACCAGGATTTGATTGGGGAGATGAGATCTATACTGCAGCAGCAGGCTATCTATGTCCAAACCTACGCTGAGATGTTCGAAGCCTTGTGAGTGAGGTGCGGAGTTGAACAATTCCAGACCCACATGAGTATTTCCATCACCCTTTCACATTCAATTTGAACCCAAGGCGAGCAACTCTAAGACCAGCATACATCAAGCCGCCCGCGCAGGCCAGGACACCACCAAACACCCACAACCCAGTCCATTTGAATGGAGCGTTGTCGCCTAAAATGGCCCCAGCACCGGGTCCTCCAGCAAGCAAACCCAATCCAATCATGCCAAAGCCCATACCAATCCTCGTACCGATCAACGACTTGTTCTTGATCAGAGAGACGAAGCAGACGGGCGGCAGGGCAATCAAAACACCGCTGAAGATCCCACTCAGAATGGCCATGACAATAGCGGCTGCTTCATGCTTGATTGGGATCATGCACAGCAGCAAGACACCCGTGATGATTGCACTAGGCGTGATGATGTTGAGCGGCCCAATCTTGTCAGAAAGAGCATTCGGCGCCACACGACCTATACAAGACCCAGCATTGAAGATGGAGACAATATAGAACACTAATCCTGGACTTGTCATGCGTCGTTCCTCCACATAGTAGGGCAAATAGAACAGGACAACAGCGAGGCCCATGAAGGACATCATTGTTGCCAGTACAAATGTCATGTATTCGATATCTCTGAAGGCGGTCCAGTCAATGAGAGCTCTTGGCTTGGGCGGCCGGACACGCATCTTCATCACAGTAATCGGGACGAGCAATGTGCCAAGGGCTATAAACCCCACGACTCGAACAGACCATGGAAATCCAATCTGGTCAATCAACCGGTACAGGACGATCGGGTAGATGACGCCGCCCAGTGAAGAGCCGGATGTAGCAAGTCCGACGGCAAGGCCCAACTTCGTGCTCCAGTATGTGGGAAGGACCGACACACAAGGTACAAAAAGGCATCCTGCGCCTATTCCGACGCAGAAGCCTTGTGCCAACAGGACCTCCCAGTATGTCTTGCATATACTGAGCATCATCAGGCCGAAGACGATGAAGAAACTGCCAAAACAGAGGAGTGCTCGCAGGTGCCCTCTGTCGTAGATTGGTCCGGTGAGAGTACCCATCAGTAAGACCAAGAACGCCTGTATTGAACCTGTCCATGAGATATTCGAGGATGACTCATGGAAGAGTGCGCCAGATTCGTAGTATGTTTGGAAGAAGGCGAAGGTGTTGAGAAGACCCCACGTGTTGAAGAACAACATGAAGCCGCCTGCAACGTGAAGCCACGCTTGAAGGCCGCCATTCGGTGGTGGGCCAGGATTGTTATATGTTGGTTGTGGAGGTTCCTTGACTTCTTTCTGCGTTTCGATAGCTACGGCTTGTTCTTCAGACGCAACATGTCCCTGATAGTCGGTACTTCCTGCTTCACCTGTGACGGCAGGGTTCGGAGGATTCCCTGGTGGTGTCTTTTCGGCCATCGTGATAGTCTTCGAATGACAGAGGACGCACCTGAAGATGGTAACTTGCTCCGTGTGAAGAACGCTGTGTGCTGGTGTTCTTTACCCTTTTATCAATCATTGCTTCGGTATTCGGTTTCGGCCCTCGGTCGAATCGGTTGAAGATGAAAGCATATCCAATACCAGATTGGCAGTACGATTTCCTTTCCCAGTGAACTGAACCAGAAGTGAGACGTCGCGAGTAGCGATCAACCAGGAGCTTAAACACAAATTGCCTGTCGATCGATGAGGCCTGTCGTGATGTTTGAAATGCCTGTCGAGGCGAATTAGACAATGCCTGAGGTCGGTTGTAACTCGGACTTAATTGGTGCTCGATAATCGAGGAAAGAGCGAGGAGAACGGCGAAGGCAGCAACCCCTAAAAACCTTTTGCACCCTGCATTGCAGATAAACCATGCAGGCTGCAGCTGTACCTCCTGTCATGAAGTCGTGCGGTCATTGCCAGCAAGGCTCATGACTTCCTAGCGGCTCCGGCATAATCTCCCAACCGACATCAACTCCTTCGATGGCAACCGAGTGTCTGATAGATTTGAGCTCACCGAAGCCTGAAATTCGCGTTTCGAAGTACTCCGGAGGAATGTCTTCATGCTTCTCGTAGTCATCTACTTGAAAGCCAGTCGTCCCAGGGTATTGGCCGAGGCTCCGGAGATACTTCATAGTCCCGGCCAAACTCACGTCGACCCTGTACGAGCCGCCTTCTGTCGCTTGCGTATAGAGGGCAGCCATAATTCCAGTGGCCAAGAAATACCCACTGGCGTGGTCAAGAGCCTGGCATGGCAAAGCCCTTGCTGCTTCGCCTTGACCATAGTGTTCCGCTTCGGAGACGTTCATTCCCGAACATGTCTGCACCAGAGAATCAAATCCCCTCCGTGACTTCCACGGTCCCGTTGTACCATACGCGGTCAGGTTCGCAAACACAAGTGGACGGCCTTTACGCCTATCGAGAATATTCTGCTCGGTGAGACCTTTGGCGACCACGCTGCCTGGACGGTAGCTTTGAAGAAAGACGTCCGCATCGTCCAGCAAATCCATCAAGCGACTAACGTCTTGAGGCCTATCGAGGTCAACTTGTGCGGTGCGCTTGCCTCGAGCAAGATCGCGATCGAGTCCTGGCAGGTCGGGTAGGTTCGGGCTGGTGATCCAGAGAACGTCCGCGCCATGAGCTGCCAGTGTTTTACCCGCCACAGGCCCTGCAATCACTCGAGTCAATTCGAGAACCCTTAGACCACGGAGGCATTTATCCTGTGGCGTCTGCATGTGCTCGGGGAATCCAGGTGCAGAGTTGGCGACCTTGGTCACCGTTATTGGGAAGTCTGAGATAGCTTGGGCTTGCGGTGTGACATCCCATTGTTTGTAGGTACGAAGTGCGGCGATGACAAGCTTATTATCGGCCGCAGCAGTTTCCAAGTCGACCGCTCTCCAAGCTGAGATGGCTTCACCTACCTGTGCCCTGCTCGCGTGGGGCTGACATCCCAACAACTTGACTGTGCCTTCGTGATGGTTGGGAAAATTGGCGTGCACGCGAACATACCCATCAGATGTCGCATGGAGACCTGCAATTGGACCCCAAGACGAGGCCGGTTTCTGTCCATCGAGTAGGTAGAATCTTTCGGATTTGAACTCAATCACGGCATGCTGTGACGCCACTCTCACCACCGGAACTCTACCTTTCTTTCCGTATGCGTAGAGCAGTGCCGCTGTAAGACCAGACAGACCGATCGAAGCATGGGCTAAGTGACCGACTTTGAATGATGACGGCAGACCTGGCCCTTCTCTTTCGAGGTGTAGACGATCAAGCGCAACAGGCGGCAGTCCGAGAGTCTTCCAAAGGTATTTGACAGTATCTTTGGCTGTGAAGGATGCGCGATCTGTCATCGTCCTTTCGCAGATTCATCCAGCGGTTCGGCCACTTTATGTCGGTACGTTAATGCCGGAGCTGGGTAGTGGGTGAGATAAAGGAGGATGGCAAGGTAATGGAAATCGTAGCTGGGGAAAAGTTGTGGCTCAGAAGCCGAGGTTGCCAAACTCTAGCTTTTGGGCGATTATCGGCATACACCATAAGCCCATTCCACTTATATGCGGCCGATAAGACTGTACTCAAACGGACTTTTCGGAGGACCGTCGGGTTAGAAGAATGTTGCATTGACAATACGGAGCATCAGCAATTAGAAGCCATATGTGAACTGCAGCGCCTGAATGGGAAGTTCAAATTCCGCCGACACAAAAGACAATGGACAGACCACCAACGGCCTGCCTCAACCACATATCTTCTCGTCATGTATTCTACATGCCGACATCTAGGTCCCGAGCCAAGTAGAGCTGAAGGTGACGGTGCGCGGGAGATCTGTAATGGTGGTAAAAGGTGCAGCTTGACTGTAATCGTGTAGCCGTGTAATCTAGCGTTTTAATTGTAAATGTTCTCTTTGATCGAGTGAGTGAAAGGTCGATACCACCAACGACAAACCCCTCTTTCTATCCTCGAGCTGGCACAAGTTGAAGGGCCCCGGTTTCACCTGACTGCCATCAACTCGAGGGGAATTAAGTCTAGTTTCCAATTCCAGATTTTTGCAAGTCTCGTGTCGGCCAGTCTCTTTGCGACACAGAGATCTCCGTGTAGAACAGTGGCAGATGATCATTTTTGTGAGCCGTGAGAAGCTTCGCGGTGAACCCCTTGTCTTTGTGAGCCATGAGAAGCCTCGCGTTGGACACCTTGTCTTTGTGAACCGTGAGAATGATGGTGAACGAGCGGGCTGCGCTCGTCCGGAGCAATGCCGGAGGGAGCGAACGACACTTGTGACGGGCGGCGATCTCCAGTCCAGGTGTTCCAACCTTCGAACTGTGCTGGTGTAGCACAGTGCTGTTTTCCTTCCTTGGCCAATCTCCGATCTCTAATCGTGAAGCCAATGGCCATGCCAACCAAGATGATTTGCATTGTACCGACCAAGACGTAGACAATCCAGGCACTCCAGCCGGTCAAGCCGACTCGAATGATCATATTGATGCCGAAAATCCAGGTATACTGTGTCTTGTTAGCAATGATAATTGCAAAAGAGGATGAGCAAGCGTACAGGCGCCATCAAGACAAGAGAGACCGGACTGAGACTGCCGAGGTGCCCCAGATGCCAGGTCGTTCGAACCTGAGGAACCCACTGGACACATGCAAATGCAGCGACAGCAACACCAAGGATATCTGCCCAGGTCTGCGCGACCCATGGAAAGCGGTGAAGGATCATAGCCGAGACCAACAGGACAGCGAATGCAAAGCTGCATGCGGTGATGAGAACCCTCCAGGCACGTTTCGCCCGGCGGAATGTGCGGTCTGGTCCGGAGATGGACGGTCTATGTCCACGCAATTCTGCATCGGCTTCCTCCTCGGAGTAGTAAACGTACATGAACAGGCTGTGAAGATTTGTCAGTAGAGGTTTTCCTGATGCTAAGATAGATACTTACACGACCCAAAAACAGGCAATACCGAAAATGACCTGCAGCATGCCCAGAAGGCCACTGATACAGGCAAACTGGGTGTTCGTTCTACAACAACCAATCTCGACTGCGCTGGATGGGAGCATCATGATGTTGCCGACAGCACAGACACCAGACAGCGATCCCAAAAGAATGTAGTATGTTGACAGACCTTCGGCGGACTTTCGTGAGACGATTCGACCCCATTGTGGAATATAGCAGATGAGCAGCCATCCCATCAAAGCCCTTGAGATATGTCAGGGCTAGGGAGGTACTCTCGTAGGTGGACTTACACTGAGACCACAAATTGGGGCATGGATGGTTCGGCGAGGTGTTTACATTCTTCGGGTTCGTCGAAGATGTGAGCTGGGTTCTTTGAGAAGTTCATCCTTGCGATGCTTCAGATCTTGAAGCTCTAAGCTCTAAATGCGCGAATCTTCCTTACAAGCTGCGTCGAATGCAGCGAAAAATAAACAACACAACGCGCTGCCAACAGAAAACCAAAAAGCGGTCTATGAGAAAGAAGCGAGGTGCGGACGATTCTAACAGCTGATCTTTGTTGAGAAGGGAGGCAAATATTTTGTTTGATAAGAAGGCAGGCGTCGCCGATCAGTCTTACGAGCTGCACGATGACGGAACTGGAGATGGAAAGAAGTTGTTGACATGGCACAGACTAAAACAACACTACGACTAGGTATGGCATGACATGATGCACTTTCGACCAAACAAATGAATTTCCCATTCACCGCACCTCCCAAATACCGCTTTACGTCACGGGCGGCGGGAGTGTGGGAGGCTTGAAATAGCTTGGTTATTAGCATAGTAAGACCTACTCGTATGATAAAGGCCATGTGAAGATGTGATTGGTGTTGATTTCTTGTCAAGGCGGATCAGCAAGGCAGCCTGCCTGATAGATCAAAAGTGGCATGAGGGATGCCTACTTTAACAGGCAGATTGTACGCCCCAAAAGCTGGAGAAATGCAGGATTGCTTGCAGGAATGGGGGGGCAATGGCCGGAAGTGATTGCCGAAGTCCATTTAGTCCATTTCATCGAGATAAGAGTAAGATATACTGGATACTTGAACTTTGGACTTTTATGACAAATGACAAGAATCCTCCCACGCCCTCCATAGCAGTCCATGAAAACACATCACACAAGCCCATCCAATGTACCTTATAGCAGACCCCTCGAGTGATAAAAACAATCATGTCTCCCAGAAAACTCCGCTTCACAACACCAACCATGCCGAATAGAAGGCCGTAACAGTAAGGGAAAAGGTGAGCCGTCGCACGCCTTGCACGCTCTCAAAGCTCCTGCAGCGCGAACACATTCTCATCACCAACCACCGAGCCGGGGCTACCAGGAACCTCAATCTCAACATTCACTTTCTCCTGTTCACCTTTGGCACTCTCACTCTCCCAAATGTCAATCTCAGTCGCAGCATCCTCGTTATCAATGACGGCAGTAGCTTGATCCTCCAACCCAGCAATGGCCTTCTCAGTCACATATGGGCGAGAGCTGAGAATCTGGCTAAGAGACGGGGTATCGAGGGCTTCGATGGCCTTTGCTGTCAGCGAGGTAGGCGGGGCCTGACAAGTGAAGTCTTCAGAAGCAGCCTTGACCTCGACCTCATCCTCAATGTCCGTCTCAGCTTCCGCGTCATCATCTTGGACAAGCACCACGCTTGTCGCATCCAGTCCCTCAGCATAGAAGGCGACGGGGTTGAGGTCACCCAGTGGTGTGCGTGGTTCATCATCCGTCATCACATTGATGTCTTTCTCATTTCGGGCGGCAGCAGCGGCCATTGATCGGGTGACCGGTGCTGACATCTCATTTGGATCAACGTTCTCCTTTCCTCTATCGAGCTTGTTTGACTTTGAGGCCGCCTTGCTCTCATCGTCACTGATTTCTAGCCCCGTTGCGCTCTGCGTCATGGTCCATTCGTTCATACGGTACTCCTGTGTTTCCTCGGTCTCTTCGTAGATGTCAAAGAACCATGACTGCTGTTTGCTGTCTTCGATTGTTTTGCTCCGAGACTGCGATTGTGATTTGCGGGATTGATGCAGGTGTCGGGATTTCTTGGTGCCACTCAATGCCGCCGAGATGCTTAGAGACGGAGATCCTGTGGTCAGGGAGGTAGAAGGAGGGTTGAAGCGTTTATGGGGCTTTAAGAGGCTGGAGCGTAGACGTGTCGGTGAGCGTCCTGCTGCAGCTGCTGGAGCAGAGGCCGGGGTGATTGAGGAAGGCTTGACAAAGGTATCAAGGCGGGGTGTGGATATCACAGGTCTATCAAGACGTGGCTTGAGGTAGGTGGAGGTAACGTTCAAGCTGTCTCGATGGGATTTAGAAGCGGAAACGTCGTCGTCAAAAGCGGATCGTTTGCGTTTATTCAATGAGTCCAGGATATTGGGATCAACATTCTCACTGTCGGAGCCGACTTCGGGAGAGACAGCTCGACGTTTGAGGGAAGGAGCAGAGTTGGGTGTGATTGCTACATCGGCAAGGTCAGTATTTGTGGCTCCTTCACGACGGTGAAGTCGGGTGCCATACCATTCTGACGATTCTTCATGCTCTGCAGGCTCCGGACCTTGGAGTCATTGAGAACCCCAAAGGGCTGTCGAGCCGGTGTGGCGATGGGAGCTAGAGCTGCCATTGTTGAAGCGTCTGCTTTGATCTTCCGTGTATGCTGGAGTATCCTTTATGGTTTGGAGAAAGACGAAGGCCGAAAGTCTGGAGTTGAGGGGGTAAGCAAGACAAGGTCTCGTCGTGTTGTTGTTAAATGTTTGTCTGGAGGTGAATACTGGAAGCAACCGGAGGCAGTCTTCACGAGGCTCGAAAGGAGAGAACCAACCTCGAAAGCGGAGCGGATAGAGGGTATATGGGTGGGATTTCTTACTGTGGAAGCTCAGACCAAGCCGAGATAGTAGTGGACGTGGATATGGACGTGGACGAGAACGCGGAGCCTTGTTAAACGCGAGATCCTGGTTGTGGATGACAGGTCTGACGTGGAAGAGTGGTGGAAGAAGAGATGGTGGAAGAACCGATTGTAGCGTGTCGACACTACTGCAGGTAATGACCAAAGTGTGAATGGGTTGCGACGGTTCTGACGCAGCGATTGGGCCGTAACTATGGTTGCATTTCAGGGTCAGTGAAGTACAAAGTCGCAGATTGTGTCGAGAAAAGGAAGAAGAGGGATGAAGGTGCATAAGAACGGGCAGACGCGTCGAAGTGGAGAGTGAGATTGACCACGCCGGGTGGACGCGACGACAGCAATCAATTTCATTTAATGCGCGTAAAGTGGTATCTACAGAACCTACGGTATCTATCCCTTGATGATATCAAGACCTTCAAGCAACTCCTCATGGTCTTCCAAATTGCCCTTCAATGCTATACACTCTTTTACACTGCACTGGAAGTTGTTATGTTGATACTCATAGTAAAGAACATCAACAAGCAAAAACGCGTGACGCCGACCCAAGCAACCGCCTTGGCGACCAGATTTGTTTCACCTGCAAACCCGGTTGACCGCTGGAAATGATTCCACTTCCAATCGACACCAGGTTCGATCGACGCGATGATGTCGTTTCTGAGGTTTGCATGCTGCAGGATTGTCCTTGCCTCAAAAGTTGCCAGTGACCGTTCCAGCGACCTCTGTGTCCTGAAGCGCCGATGAAGTCGACGAAGTATCAGACACCAGTTTCTCGGACTCGTTACAAGCCATCAACTAACCGCTTCCTCGTCGTTCCAGACACGCCCCAAACGAGATGGGTTTGCTGCCGCTGATCACACATCCCAATTGACATTCACGCTGACCAGGCCTAACATCCCTTGCATAGCAGCGCGTGCCGACACCATGCACCTCAAACCTGCACCAGACGTGTAGAAGTGGCATTGCTACCACTGACCAGACATCTGAAGTGGCTTTCACGCCACCGACGCCCTATATCTTGCCTTATGCACCTCAAAACATTCAGTCAACGTATCGACATGGCCGAATGTGCATTGCCACACGAAGCCTGTCACTCGGACACCAGCACATACGATCTTATGCAGCTGCCAACTTACCAAGACCAGGATTCAGGCCATGTTTTCATACCTAGGTACCTATCCCGGTCGCTATCTACGGTATAGTATATGACGCACCTACAATTTCGCTTTCATCTCAGTGACATCAACCAGATTCTCATCCTTCGCAAACCTATAGTAATAGTCCAAACTCTCCGGATTCAGCAGCGTACCAGAAGGCTTGATGACCTTCCCAGACACGATCTGCTTGACCGGCAATTCGACCTTCTTTCCATTGACGGTTGTCTGGTCATAAAACAAGTCAGTATACATGCACTCACGACTCAACACACAATGCGAAGCACAGCTTCAGGTAAGGTAGGTAACGTACCGGAATATCCTCCGTCTCAAACACGAACTTAGGCACATGTCGAGGACTCGTCTCCTTCCGAATCGCCTCTTTGACCTCCCTGACCAATTTCGGCGTGAATTCATGGCCCGGCTTCATCAACAGGAACAAAATCACCCGCTCGTCCGTATCGGTAGGTCTTCTCTGCCCAATACAAATACTGTCGCTGATCTGATCGGCGAACTTGGCCTCGACAATACTGTATATTTCCGCAGATCCGAACCGCACACCACTCGGGTTGAGCACGCCATCGGACCGTCCCAAGAACATCACTTGCTTCGTGACCGGGTGTATCATGATGAAATCGCCGTGCGTCCAGACATGGTCAAACCGAGCGAAATAGCTGTCGAAATACCGTTTTGGACCATTCTCCCCCATGAAAGTGATGGGCATGGTAGGAAACGCCGCATAGGAGACCAGCTCGCCGGGGACGCCGTCCTCGACTTCCGCACCCTTCCCACCGTCGATCGTCTGATCGTACACCTTGACCGGTACGCCGAGAGAGCGTCCTTGACACCCACCAGCATAGACCGGCAGGAGAGGAACGCCCGCCCCGAAGCAACCCACCAGATCCGTCCCGCCAGAGATATTGTCTATCTGCACCGAAGGCGGAAATCCCTCGTCATAGAACCACTCAAATAATTGTTCGGACAAGACCATGCCAGTGCTCGAGACGACCTTTAGGTGACTGAGATCTGCCACCTTCTTGGGCACGAGCTTGTTGGCCTGCAGCGTCTGCAAAAACCGCGGACTCGTACCCAAATGCGTCACTTTTTCATGGGCCATCAGTTTCAAAAAGGTCGTATTGTCAGGCAGGAACGGACTTCCATCGTACATGACCATCCGAGCACCGCCGAGCAAGGCCTGCACGCTGGCCGTGTACATGATCCAACCCGTCGTCGTGTACTGTAATTGAACCGACTCCGGACCGATCGACCGATGGAGAGTGAGCTCCTTGAGTCCGTTCAAAACAACACCGCCAATGCCATGAACGATACATTTCGGCTGCCCCGTTGTGCCGGACGAGTACACGACCAGAAATGGGTCCGAAAAGTCAGTCGGTTCGAACTCGAGCGCATCAGATTTCGCCGCGGATGTAAAGTCTGACCACGTCTGTGTTCGGGGTACCGACGAAATGTCGGCAGGAGAGTGTTCAAATCGCACTTGAGACACGATTCCCTGGAACTCAGTCACACCGCTCATCCCGGCCATGATGTCCTTCATCTTCGGCCGCAGATCGACTTTCTTGCCGTTGTACACAGCCCAATCGTCCATGAATAAGAAAGTTGGTTTGATTTGCCTGAGTCTGTCCAGGATTCCCTTCACCCCCATGTCTGTGCTACTCGAGCTGAACAACCCACCCAGCGTTGCGCAAGCAAGAAACACGGTCAACGTATCGATACTCGTGCTTGCAACAATGGCAACCCGGTCTCCCTTCTTAACACCACGCGCCTTCATCGCTTGAGACAGTCGCCCCACCCTTTGCCGCAGATTCTTCCATGTGAATTGCTGAATCGGTTCGAGGAAGCTACCTTCCCGGACCTGCGTGCACGCAATCTTGTTGTCCGCTTTGGCGGCGCTAGGGACTTTTTGGCCAGTCTTGTCTCCGGAGAAGAGAATGTTCTCGGCGAAATTCATCTTGACGCCCGTGAACCAGCGTGGGATGGTGTCCATGGGTGCAAACTCATCCACAACTGGATTGGGGACTGTCCCGGAATAAACGAGCGGAAAATACTGGAACGTGTACCTGTAGAAGTCGGACCGGTGGGTGACCGACCAGTCGTACAGGGCGTCGTAGTCCTTGAATGTTGTGCCGAGCTTCTTTTCTAGGCTCGTTTTGAATTTGTACATTTCTGTGCTCTTCGGGTCCGGGTGCTCCCATAGTTTCCGGGGGATGGGGAGGTCTTCTCCCATGGTGGCTGTCGGTCTGTGGCTCGGGTTTATATGGTATATAAAGTATCTGTAACCCGGTTGCTCGATACTGTTGGCTTTGCGATCAGGATCAGTGGTTCGGTCCCAAGATCGATGAGAGTCCGAAAAGAGACGAGACGCGGATCCCAGTCGATAGATACGTAGATGTCAAACGAGGTATACTTGGTGACGGCGTGTCGCTATATGTAATTCTTCTCCGTGGGGTGCCACCGGAAACCCCAGCAGCAAGACGGAAAGGATTCCTTACCCCAGATCACAAGGTTGCTCCAACGATAGCAGGTACCGAGTAAAGTCAGCAGCAACGTATAGACTGACTCCCGTTGAATGGTTTCTGCCAAGGAAATCTGGTGTAAAGGGACAAAGTCCTCCAAAAATGGTCGAGACGTATAATCGAACCGAGGCTGGAAATGCAGGCTCAAAGCATATCATGATACATGAATGGGCCATATATCACCCAGTGGTGGGGTAGCCGAAAAGCAGTTCTCGCCGATTTTGTTCGTTCGGGATCCGGGGGATACGGACATCTACGAAGGTCAGAGGCACGAGTACTTGGTGCTCTGACCTTCTCGGTTCCGGAACGTGTCAGCGGGGATAGAACACAGACCGTTCACTGCGTGCGACTGATCGGCTCCTTGTGGCCGATGCCAGGTATACCTCCTCAACTTGACGGCTAGGTTCCGAGGACCTGCTGCAATAGATGGCCGATACCCTGAAAGACCTTGATTATAGCATGGTGGTATTCGACGTGTAAGCACTCCGCAATGTACTTTATGTACTGGTTGCGGACCCGGAACCGATTGATCGGCCGCTGACGCCGACGGAGGTTCAATGCCTTCATCATTTCATCCAACTTCATGGGTGAATAGTCGCTTACTTAAACGCTGACATCCATTCGTCGCTGCACGTTTCCCTCTCCTCCACCACACAGAGACCACATTCTACTTCGAGTTGTAGGATTATAGGGAAATATGTGTGTCAATCTGTGACCCCCGATACAGCGAAGGGGATCTGGTTTGGATCATCATAATGACAGGGGACTTGCTGCAACGTATTGGAAAGCATTGGATGCGTGTACACGCTTTCCAGGCGCCGCAGAAGAATCCGTTCGTCATGAAGAGCCAAGATATTCATGGTTCTGAGTTAAGCGAAGTTAGGCAAGAAAGAATGATGGCTGAAGCAAATTGAAATAGTCATCGGAATCCGGCTTTTCGATGCGGAATTGAAATGCATTTCTGGAAGCATTTGCACTATATTCCTTCATCCAGTGACATCGCTTTTCATGCTGGAAGGAAGTTTCGACCTCTGCGGGTTTCTCTTTTAGAAATAATATGTACAGCTCGTTATGGCGCCCTCTGAAGTTCGGACCCAAACAACTCATTTCATTTGCAATTCTTTCGTCTTTTGAGAATCGAAGGCTGCATATCATATCACATCTATTCCAATGAAGCAGCATCAATCACGTCAGGCTCGAATTCGCTGTTGAAATCGCTGTTCCGTCTTCTTCGTTCCACTGGGTCATCTCTCATTTCGACACCGGGTCCGATGGAGTGTGAACCTCGATGTCGGGGCCAGACCTGGAACGGCATGTTAGTACATATATTGCATGATCTTGGGATGGTCTGGTGAGAACTGGTCTGACCACATTGGGTCAGTCTTCTCATAGACGTTCGACTTACATTTGTTTCCCTCCATCCTAAACGAAAAGCCCATTCGTGTGCCAACAGTTCACCAAATCCCAGCATCATCCCGTTCACAAAAGGTAACAGGAGATTGATTGCAGCTCCCCGCAAGATTCCCCATATAGTGGGCGGTGTGTATATTATCACCGGTTGACTACCATTGTTATCTGACGATTGAGGCGGAGATGAAGATGGAGGAGATAATGATGAGTATGGCTCGGAATCGGATGGGATGGTTAACTGAGAGCCGGAGAGGTCTTGAGGTGGTGAAGGAGATTCGTCGGATTGTGTAGCCATGGTATGATGATTTGACTATCCGAGGATGCAATGCAATTTCGATGATGGAGGTTTGGTCAAGGATAATGCTCGCAGTCGTTCATCTTCGTGTGCAACTGGAGATTGGGAGCAACAGTCTCGATGCGCGAATGAGCTCTCCCTCCCCCGAATCGTGCTCTTCGTCCACGGCAGCAGTGAGTAGCCGAAACTGCGCTTGATGGAAGCTTCATAGAAGTCAAAGGTCCAGGTCCCGCGTGCTCCAACTAAAGAAAAAGACCATTACCTTAATGTTCCAGGCACGAGGTTCAGCCGCGGAACGAATCACAGGCGAGCTTTCTCAGGCCTCTTTCGGTGACGTACCGTATACAGTGTTTCTAACTTCTAAGTGCTTCTCTCCGCCGCAGTCAATTCAGGTCGATGCATAATAGTCAATACCCTTCACTTCGTTCACAAACATTCACATTTCCACCACTGCAGACGGGCTGCCGTTTGACCTTCATCCATACTCAAGCATCCGTTTCGCACTTCTCAGTTCACCCATCAAGTAGTCTCCTTGTTCAAGAACATCATGGCCGACCCTTCGGAGCAGGACACCCTGATCGCACAGTTCACTGCTATAGCATCAACCTCAACTCGACAGGCATGCCCCTCTTCATTGTGGTGTCTACGCTGTTGCTAACGTATCTCACAGGCTCAACAATTCCTCGCCGCTAGCGAGTGGAATCTCGAAACTGCCCTTGCGAACTACTATGCCGCACAGGAAGACCACGTCGATGACCCTGCCGATGATTCAGACTATGTCGATGAAGACGATCCAGAAGAACCCTTGAACCAGTCTCATCCTCAACATGGCTCAGGTCGAAGACTAGGAGAAGGCCCCGTTGACCCTCAGCCAATTCCTGTCGCTTCTACCTCCGACCCCTCACAATCCAAGAAGACGTCGGGTACACAAAAGAAGTTTGCCACACTGAGCGACGTCAATGCTGGAGGTGCAAACACAGGCGACTCTGATGATGACGAGAAACATGACTTGTTTGCTGGCGGTGAAAAGTCTGGTCTGGCTGTGCAGAATCCCGATGACTTGAAGAAGAGAATATTGGAGAAGGCACAGAAACGTGGTCCACCACCCAAAGAAGCTGCTCCCAAGAAGACACACTTCACCGGTTCGGCACGCACGTTAGGAGGCGACGATGCGCCATCACGTGAAATTCCGACTGCACCTCAGCCTAGGTCGAGAGCGGAACGCGTGGAACGTGTCTTACACTTCTGGCAGGATGGCTTCAGTATCGATGATGGTGACCTGTACAGAATCGACGATCCTAGAAATGCGGAGATTTTGAACCTAATCCGACAAGGACGGGCACCTTTGAATATCATGAACGTCCAGCCCGGTCAGGAAGTGGATGTGGAAATCAAACAACACGACGAGAAGTATGTCAAGCCAAAGAAGAAGTACCAGCCGTTCGGAGGATCCGGTCAGCGCCTGGGAAGTCCTACTCCTGGAGGAATGTCGTCACCGATGCCTGGCTCTTTCGCTGCGGAACCAGCTGCGACCGCTACTGCTTCAGCCAGTGCTGGCCCTCCGACTGCCGACGTCGATGAATCCAAACCCACAGTGACACTAAGAATCAGTCTGGGCTCGGGTACAAGGTTGACGTCTCGATTCAACACCACTCAGACAATGGGCGACGTGTATGATTTTGTCCAGCGTGCTGAACCTGGAGGCAGAGACTTCGTATTGCAAACCACTTTTCCTACGAACGAGCTTACAGACAAGACGAAGGTCCTAGGGGACATGCCAGAGTTCAAGCGAGGAGGGGCGATTGTGCAGAAGTACACTTGAGCCGACTGTCCACATACCGCCGGAGCGAGGGCAGGGCGGCGCCTGAAGAGCTAGGGCGATGAAGAAGCTCGACACAGTTGGCATTCTTACAGCGACCAAAAATGGATACTCTTAGACAGTGCTGCATAGCATAGGCGTGAAAGCAGCCCCCAAATGACAGTGTATAGATAGAGAGAATACATCAAAAACCTGCCATGATGATCAAGTCATACCTTGAACGCTCTTAGTCAGGAACCTGCCGACCGCAATCGATTGGCCGGCGTCAAAAGTTCGGCGCACCTTCCCCAGATTACACTCCATATGTACATTTTCCCTGCGGCTTCACATTGGGAATGGACTGTGCAACATCCGGTCCGGAGTGGTAACTCAAGATGCCCATGTCCCAAGGACTCAGGTGGTCGGGTCGACACATCAGCAATGGTAACTGGAGGTTGACAGGAGTTGGAGCACGAGACGTGCGGCATGTACGCTACCTATTCGAATCATTACCATTGAGCCAGGCAAGACTGACTGGAAGCAGTTCTCCCATCACACCTCGAGAGCGTCTCTCACTCGTGCCAGAGCGACCTGGAGCAACAACAATGCCAGGCTCGTTCTGTCGCAGCAGTCCCGGTCAATATCCTTATTTGGCTGGGGTTCTGATAAACCTTCAGCAACCGAAGCCGTATCACCTCCAGAGACCCTCCAGAGCACGATTGAACCTCCCCAGACCTTCCTTGAGCCCACACGTACCGTGAAAGCTTCGCATGCTACCGCAGAAGCTCCCGATCCTACCTTCACGCATCCTCATCCTGTCAGCAGTGTCGAGCCACAAGCACTGGCCGATCTGGAAAATGCAATACTTAAACCTCATGGCACACCACCATCACCGGAGTTGGCAACGGATGTCGCTTCGGTCCCAGAGGGTATTGGATATCTCAAAGATGTCTGTGGTCTTGACTTTGGCTGGGGACCGACCGCTATAATGGAGTACTTTTATGAGCATCTGCACGTTACGGCCGGACTGTCTTGGTCATCATCCATCATTGCTCTTGCCGTTCTTACTCGTATCTTCCTCTTTCCCGCAGCTGTGGGCGCCGCAGAGCAGGGTGCAAGGATGAAGTTGATGCAGCCTGTACTACAACCACTGCGTGCAAAGGTTGCAGAAGCTCTTCGCGAAAACAATCGGCAGGTGGCTATCGAAACCCAACAACAGATCAGGGAATTGAGCAAAGGATCGGGTGTCTCCCTCTCAAAAGCTTTCCTTCCGATCATCATACAGATTCCACTACAATTTGGCGCATTCCGTCTACTACGAGACTGCGGAACGTTACCGGTTCCAGCATTTGAAACCGAACAATGGCTCTGGGTGCAAAATCTCAGTGTTGGCGACTCGACCTATCTACTACCTCTGGGGGCTGCAGCAATGACATACTTCAACATCTCAGCCTCTGCCAAAGGAAACTCAGCCGCACCTCCCGCCATGCAGATGCTGAGACTCATCCTGCCACCTATCTCGTTTGTCTTTCTGTTATTCCAGCCAGGAGCGACTCAACTATACTTCTTTGTCAATGGTATCCTTTCACAGTTACAGATAACAACTATTCAAAACCCCTGGTTCCGAAAATGGAGGAACATGACACCGATAGCTCCTTCGACTCCAGGCTCGGGTCCAGCACCCAAGTCGACCAAATTCTCCAAAATGAATATTATTGAGCAGCCAGTGGTCCAGAAGACGGTGGCCTCAAAATCGGTGATCGCCACGCCAGAATCGGTGTCGTCATCTGATCGCAGCATCATTGACAAAGGAGTCGAAGTCATGAAAGCTCAAGGATCCAAGGTCTGGAAGAGCGCGACCAGTGGTGTCAGTAACACTTGGAAAACCGAGACCGAGAAGAGAGTGGAGAAGGCTAAGATTGAGAAAAAACAAACATCAGCAGCCAAATACGAGGCGCAACGGAGACTTGACATTGAACAGGAGAGAGCGTATCGAAATGCTGCTGCAACCTCCAAGCGGTAGGACAGATTGTCAAGCATCACCCGCATTGAGCAAGTTCTGTCATAACATCATTCTTGGCCATTCTGCTCTTGCTATATGTGCAAAAATTGCACTCGGAAAGGGGGCATGGACACGTTATGGGCATGGAAGATATTGTAAGCAAAAGGTTCAGGAAACATTTGATGCCTGGTCAAGTGTCGGAAGTTTCACAAATGAATACACCTTTATATGTACAAATTAGGTCCTGGACGAAGATTCACTCCCGGGAGTCAATACATCACCTCATCCTCATATCCTCGGGAAGGCTTTTATCCAAAGGACATTTCCAACATGGAGACCGATGAGAAGACCTTCGTATTGAGGTTGACTCCGCATAATGCCCCTTTTTCCTTGTTCCATGGTTGCCCATCTGCCGTACGAACCGTTCCCCTTGGATCCGATCTGGACAATGTGACAATTCCGCATCTATGAGCGCGAGCCCACAATCATTGCCTTGGACCGTCCATCCAGTGTTTGAGAGAGCTGCAAGACCTTGTCGGAATCACACTCGACATCTTTTCTGACTGGACATCACTTTGCTGTTACCTCGTCGCCACGGATTGCTCATCGTGCAACGCCTGTTGGTCATTTGGTGGGCGTAGCAGTTGATCGTACCAAACGGGTTCCTTCCTCCGGGTAAATATACTTGAGAGTTTACCAAGCGGTATATCCTCCATCAATCACGAGCTGTAACGTGACGAATTAGCTTTTTGACCTCCATGTCTTTCAATCAAGGTAGAACTTGCATTTGTACCAGTCATGAATGAGCTCGCATCACTCATACACAGCAACGCTGCTCCTCTGTACTCGCGAGGTTCCGATAGTCGTCCGAGCTGAATTGCCAGCTTCGTCAGTAAAGGTTTCTTTCAGATGTTGAGCACTAAGTTGGTCCTGCACTTACCATGTTCTGACTCTCCCACTGCTCCTTCAACTCAGGCTGGTCCTCAAAGTTCTTCAACACCATCGGCGTTACGATATTACCTGTTTCCTATCATCAGTATCCAATATCCAAGCATCATTCACCACTGGTACAGTGTTGTAGTGCGACCTACCGGGACATAATGCGTTAACACGGATCGGCTTCCCATCAACCGCCTTCCCCCACTCCATCGCCAGACTCCTCGCAAGCTGGCACACCGCTGCCTTGGAGCTGTTATACACCGCCGAGGTAAACCCCTTGTTCGCAATAAGACCACTCATACTCGCGACCAACAAGATCGACCCCTGACAGTCGTACTTGATCATCTGCCTTGCGCAGCTGACTGCCGACCGGAAAACACCTTTATAGTTGATGTCCAGCATCTCCATGATCTTCTCTGGAGTGAAGTCTAGCGCTGGCGTGACGTTTTGTATGGCGGCAGCGGCAATCAGCCCGTCCATGCGTTGGTGCTTGCTTGCGATCTCGGAGATGACTCTATCCAGGTTGCCGGCTTCTCGGACGTCGACGTGGTCGTAGTTCAGGGCGCCGCCGTACTTGGGACCCAGACGTTGTTGGACTTCATGGAATTCTGGTTCGGGTTCTGGGAGTCTGTCGAGACAGTATACTATCCCACAAATCAGTTTCTGCCTTTGAAGGGGGCCACAACACAGCTGGGTGACGGGGGAAGATGGGAAGATAGCTGTGGCTTACCTTTTCCACCGGCTTCGACGAGTGCTTCAGCTAGTGTCAGACCTAGACCACGGCCTCCTCCGGTCACGACGAAGACTTTCTCATGGAGATCGAATTCCCGGAATCGAGCGGGTGATTGTTGCGGGTCGGGTAGTTTTTCTTTGATTGACGGCGCTTGCTTCTCGTTTGACGGCTCCTTGCTGGATGCTTTGCTGCTGGCGAGGGGACTCTGGGAAAACAAGCGACACTGTTGAACTGCTGGCAGCGATCTGAGGGGTCGTGATTTGTTAGTGATTCTGCATATTGAGCGCACGGTTGGCGTGCAGCTTCTGGCGAGGCCGAGACTCAGCCGTGTTGAGGGTATAGACATGATCAAGACTCGAGTATTTGCTGTGAAGAAGTCAAAGTGGACGGGTTGGGACAACAGAGGTCGTGGGAGGAGAGTTCACGAGGCAGCCAGGCGCGAAGCATGAACACGAGCACGACGTAGCACGAGAAATCGAGAGGAGGTCAGCTTCTTTGAACCTTACGTGAGTAGGTCAAGTGATCTTCATGACTGAGTATTCCCAATTCGGTCATCTAGCACTGTGGTGCTGTGTATGGTTGGACCGGAACCAACATAGTGCAGCCAAGTTCGATCTCGAGAGTGTGACGTTGTGGCAGTTGGCAAAAGGAGGGGCGAGATACGCCATGTTTGGGACATCGATGGCGAGGCGTTGACATAAAATTCTCCCACCATCGCGATGGTCCTGGATATCTCGGTTTGTCCCAAGATGAGAAGATCCCAATGCCACGATGGAGCCACGGCAACAACCAAAAAAAGGCTGTAAAGCTGTTCACGAATAAGTCGGATAAGCATACTCCGTACGCGAGTGATGAACAAAAACGACGTCAAGCGGGTTCCAGTTGAAACCCACCGAGATAAAGACCACTTGGCAGTGATAGACGCAAGGAGCCCGGGCGCCAGTTCCGGACCGCCTATGGGAGATTTTCCTAATACCACAAGGGCCTGTCGTGGCCTAAACGTGCAATATTGCCGATGCCAGTGGTGATTGCCGGCGGAAACCTGACGGTGGCCGGTTCCACTGAGATTTCATCATACCTGGGTACTTTTACGGACTTCCACGAGTATGGAAACTCTTAGGCAAGGCTGTGATAACTGTACAGTTTCGTTCCAGTCCGGCAACATCCCCGAGTACTGTGGTACCTCACGACGATCTCTTGGTAAGCACCTTTGTCACTCGGACGCAGTACCCGGCACCCACTGCAGTGAGGATGTGCCACCATCCATGTAACTCCAGCACAAAAGCCCATGGCGGTCCAACAGCCCTCCTGGCCTCGCGAAGCTGCCCACAAGCAGCACTGTCAATCACCCAAACTATGAATCCTGCAACGAAAGATATACCTCCAACCCGAAATTTCGCCAGCCAGTATTTCTTCTCCTCGCCTTTGAATTTGCGCTGAATCAGATACAACACCCGTGGCCAGATGGCGGTGACGAGCAGGACGAACGTCCAATTGTGCAGCCATAATTGGTAGAGCGTACAGTGGATTGCGCTGATGGTGCCCAGTACCGCTGTCAATGCTGATCCAAATGCCACTTTCACCTTGGGTGGTTGGTCGACCGTGTACAACTCGTAAATGATGGCGGCGCATACCCAGAACATGGACAGATCATCACAGAGTTGCGCGCCGTATTTCAAGGTGAGATGGAAGGCGAAGGACATGACTCCGACGAAGAATAGTGCTAGGTTGGGGAATGCTGTTGTAGAGAACAAGCTCTCTCCTGGAAAGAGCTCGTTGATCGACCAGTAGACTATTTCGCACGCGGTCAGGTTGTCGTGGTTATTGCTTGTGCCTATAATGAACCGACCATATGCGAGATTTGTAAACGTGTTTACGAACTCTCCAATGTATAGTGTAACGCCGTAGTCTTCTTCGCAGAAGCTTGTGCAGGTATCAGCATGATTCTTAAGATGCTGTGGCGCGGCAGGAACATACTTGGCCACAGAGGTTGGTGGTCCCCAGTATCCTTCAAATGCGTGAGGATCACCCACGAAATTGCGTTCCAATCCCATGGTGAAAATGTGGTTATGGCAGAAAGTGATGCCGGCTTGGTGTACTTGGATGTACCTAGTTGGTGTTGAGGGATGCCTTTTGACTTCGAGATCTCCTCCAACAAAGCTCAGGTAATTTAAGAGCTGCTCAAGTGATTTGCAAGCTTGGTGAAGAGCTCTGCGAGACCCACGAAAAAATATAGGATTGTTTTTGAGTGATGCCTGGTGGTATTCACACTTTTGTCAAATTACTTGTTCTTCAAATATACATTTAGCAATAGCTGTGGTGTGAGTGGACATGTTTTCCATGGCGGGTTGCCATAGGCTGTCCATGACTGCAGTACAGGGCGTTTTGGAGCTGTCCAGTTATACTTTGCAGCAGCTGGCACGGGAAGTGCGTCGTATTTCGTACTTCGTCAACTCCCACATACCTAGGTATTCTATCAACCGTCGTTTCTACGCCTTTCGCCTTCGACTGGCCAGCGCTGACTTTAACATGCGGTCTTATAGGTATATGTATTCGAATGCGGTGACGAAAGTTCGCCGATGATATCTCGCTGTATCTGAGTGTCTACAGAAGTACAGCTTACCATTCCGTCTTACTTGAGCATGACCCGCAGACCTTTCGAGTCCAGAGAAGGAAACGGGGAAAAGAAGTCATGCTCAATCTCGATATCCTGCCTCCTCGTCTCAAACAGCTCGGCATCGAATTCGTGGAAGAAGCTCGCAAGTGTCAGGTAAAGGTTCATCAATGCCAGCTCTTTCCCAATGCAACTTCTTCCGCCACGTCCAAACGGGACAAAACACTTCTCCATATGTTTCAACTCGTCTCCCGTCACGAGCCATCGCTCGGGCTTGAACGACAAGGCATCGGGGAACACAGATTCTGATAGATGATTATCCCTAATCGACATGCTGATGGCCGTCCCTGGGGGCAACACATATGACTTATACGTGGTGGCAGCACATGGATTGACTCTTGCAAGTCGGCCGGAAACGCTGTTTGCCAGTCGGAGTCCTTCGTTCATGACGGCAGTGAGATAGGACAGGCGCTGCACCGTACTATACTTCGCCAAAGGGTCCTTGACGCCTTTTGACCCATCCGCTGCTTTGGCCAATTCTTCCTTTAGCTTCCGGAGCACGTCAGGGTGCGACAGGACATGGAATGTGATGGTTTCGAGGGATATGCCTGTGGTCTCGGTCCCTGCACCAACGAGTGTGCGCGCTTCTTGCGTGATTCGGTCGACCGTCTTGTCGCTCTCTGGAATGGCGTCGGAGTTAACGATCCCGTCCAGGACTGATCGATCGCTTCTCTTCTCGGTTTTGACCACTGCTTCTGCCATTCGTGCCAAATCCTGCTATAGTGTGAGTTTCTGGGATCTCAGGCCTGCGTAGGGGTCTGCTCCTACCGTTTGAAAATCGAATGCCATCACACCACCCTCAGTCGAGGTCTTTTCAATGAACGATCTCGGCATGCGCATAAATATGGGGATAATGATGGGAATATGCCGATGCCATACAGCAATCTGCGAGATTATCCGCGATTGCTTGTTGTAGTCGTCTGCGAAGTCGACCGAATCCAGCAGGTCAAAGCCTTTTGGTAGACAATAATCCGTCACAGAATCTGCAGCAAGACAACGAAACGCATTTGAAAGGTTCACCGGTTTGTCTTCTTGTCGCATCTGCCGCAGACGGCGACATAGCTTCAGGACCTTTTCTTTCGATGAAGATTCGAGATTTGAAATTGCTGAAGATGCAAAGAAGCGGCTCATGGCCTTTCTTCGAGCGCGATGGAGGTCGACATTTGAAGTACCAAAGCCGGCATCTTGCGACGCAATGAAGGCATAGTACCAGGGATATTTATCAAGACGACTGGTGACATTGTAGAATTCATCAAAGAAGTCTGGATCTTGTATATGTACTTCATTGGGTCCTATGCGAACGATAGGTCCTACAAAACTTGCGATTAGTTCATGACAATCTAAAGACCCTCTCTGTGCCTCACCATATATTTCATGCAATCCTTCAATATGGAATGAGAATTTGCCGCCCTGGATACAGTCATAGTAAAAGTCGTAAAATCGGGAGATGGCGGCAAGCTTCGGCCCGGGAACCTTGGAGAGGGGATGAAAGAATAGGCGGTAGATTACTAAGGAAGAAAAAGCTGTAATGGGAACTAGAGCCAATAGAATCGGCAAAGTCATATACGTAAAGAATGCCATATTGCTTGATGATGCGCAGGTGGCTTCGGGCTGCGGGAGGAAGGGAGCGGAAGTGTGAAAGAGGATGAGTTGAAGACCAGCTCCTTTGACTCCAGATGGGGAATCATTACAATTGACCGTGCCGCAAGTGGCTTCGTGTCTTTTTGAGTTGAAGGAGGATCTCAAACCACATGGCAAAACGGCCCAGTTCATGGACGAACTGCCTATCTCTGAGTCTTCCGTGGTTAGCTTGCAGTAGTCCGATAATAATACCAACCATTGCCAAATCCTGCGGACTGGCAGCTGTCTCGCCTAGGAGACGAGTATGCCAGGCTAGTCGGATATGCGTCAAGAGGTACCCGCATGAGAACGCGAAATAACAAGCGAAGCCCTTTGGGTGCACGTGTCGGATATAGGCCTATCATCCAGGCTTTTGAGCCCTAAGTTAGGGAACGAGCTTTCCCCACTGTCAAGATCGATACCGCTGGGGGGCCACGCTGGGGCAAGGCCAGCGTTACCAGCCCTCATGATGGTCCATCAAGTTTGGAGCTGGAATATAGTGGCGATCACAAGCTCTCATTGAACATTATATGAATCTCAGAATATCAGGGAACGGGGAAAGAACGGCTCTTTTAGACCCTGGTCGCTGATGTGCTTGTCGTTGTCGCTTACCTTCTTACTTTCACCCAACGCATGGGTTGGCAGAAGTCACGACGCAAGCGCCGCATGAGCAACATGAAGTGGTTCCCTGGCTTGGATCTTGTCATTCGTCGCACAGCATCAAGCATCCAGCACATAATCATTGCTTTCCAGTGACAAGGATACCGATCGAAGAAACCATGTCTTTACCGTTGATCTACAGTGAATGCAAATGAAGTCGGCTTCTTTAGGCATCAAGCGGAGCAACAAAGTAGCGTCCTGGCCGTTTTGACAAGGGCAAAGTCAAAGCCCTCGAAGCCCATAGCACCTACCATAGTTAAGTTGATCCTTGCACCCTTGCGCCTTCGCGGGCGGGAAGTGCCTGGGCATCGTGGAAGGCACAACCACTGCCCCACCACCCAAGGCTTACACACCGTGCCATCCTCATTTACTTTGCTCATCCTTTCATCATTGCTTCTCAACCCTCGATTAACTTCAACTCTTCGGCATCGCAGTAACTTAATATGAGAGTTCAGCCTCTTGTGCCTTGATTTGCGGTGCCAGACCGTCCTTTTCCGCCATGGCAAATGAAACAGACGCCGACTCTGCCTATGGCGACAGTATTTTCAGCGACACGACCTCATTAAGTTCCAGCGTGATGAACTATCAGTACGAAAATGGTCGTCGCTATCATTCTTACAAGGCTGGCAAATATTTCGCACCCAATGACGAACGAGAACAAGAACGATTAGACCTGCTACACCATGTTCAATCCATGATCTTGGGCGGAGAACTACACCGAGCGCCCATTGAAAATCCTCAGAGAATCCTCGACATCGGCACGGGCACAGGCATCTGGTCAGGTCTATCACTTATCCATTCACAACGCACTAACAATTTCTGCCAGGGCCATCGATGTTGCCGACAAATTCCCAGAAGCAGAAGTCATCGCCACAGATCTATCACCCATACAACCCACTTGGGTGCCACCGAACTTGCAATTCATGGTCGACGACTGTGAGGCCGAATGGACCTTTCAAGACAAGTTCGATTGGATCCGAATCGGCAATATGGGCGGATCAATTGAGGATTGGCCACGACTCTTCCAGCAATGCCTGGAGAACCTCAAACCTGGCGGCTGGTTGGAAGTCATGGATCTCGAAGCGTGGGGATCAACCGATGATAACAGTCTTCCGGACGATAGCTCTTACAACAGGTGGCAGCATGAGCTTAGCAATGCTTCTGCTTTGACCGGGAGGGTCATGAACGTGGGTCCCCAAATCAAAGGCATGGTGGTCGATGCAGGCATTCAGAATGTCCAAGAAGAGATATACAAGGTAGGCAACCTCAACCACTGGAGCTGTCAGTAACTTACGCCCGATCAAAGTGTCCACTCTCGCCGTGGCCAAAAGACAAACGATTGAAGGAAATTGCTAAGTACATGCTCCTGAACCTTATGGAGGCAGCTCCTGCATACAGTTTGGCTCTTTTCACTCGAGTACTCGGATGGCAAAAGGAAGATGTCGAGGTTCTTATGGCTGGAGTCAGGTCTGATCTGAACAACATGAAGTATCACTTGCATACCAAGTTGTAAGTCATGCCAGATGTCTCTTTCGTCGAATCTTACTAACCTCATAGACACATTGTGTATGGCAGAAAAGCGTCATGATCGAGTCGAGTATTCAGCGTTATGATCAAAGGCGGATAGGTATCTTTCAGCAAGCAGGAAAAGTTACATTATGCTAGGGACAGTGCAAGCGGGAAGGACAGCACCAGGTTTATGTTTTGCAGCGATATCAGATTAGCGGTCGCTGGCACCACGTCCACTCGAGACGGAATGAATACTACTTTTTTATCACCATTGGACTTTCAAAGTCTTGCGCTCGTTGAGGACTGATCGTTTAGGACCGCTCTCAGACCAAGATCATTCACCAACTCTGCTGCAATATTGTCGACTTACCTAGCTTTGCGAATTCGTATCAAGTCAGCCGGCGTTTAACCATACAGTTGCTCCGCTAGCCCCGAACCAAAACGCAACATCTCCAACGGTGCATAACATCAGCAGCATAGCCCAAGAGCCTCACTACCAATTGTGAGCCAGAACGATACACAAGCAGGTTCTGGTATGTTCGAACTCTGTATGTCACTAACATATCGTCGCCACCACAGCCGCAGCCCATGTCTGAAGCACGGCGATTGCACATTCCCGCGCAAGGCTCTTCACCCCTATTAGTAAGTGCCCAGGATTGCCCAGAAAGCATGTAACCCCCGCCATCAGGACTTAGGATATAAGGTCTGTATTGGTACAGTATATCAAGGACATGGGCAACCGTCGTCAAACGAACAAAAGACTCAACGTCGGCTTCGGAGGCATCATCGGTCATCATGTCTCAAGTTAAATCTCAACTCCCAACTCGCGCCAAATCCATTCTCGTCATCGGCGCCGGCGAACTAGGCACAGCAATTATTCAAGCACTCACTTCTCATGCCCTGTACAGTCCATCATCCACCAAGATCACTCTCATGGTCCGACCCTCAAGCCTGACGAACCCGTCCCCAGAGAAAGTCCAACAGCACACCACCCTCCGCAACCAAGGTATCAACCTTGTAGGGGCAGACATTGAAGCATCCACCCAAGATGAGCTAAGCAACCTCTTCCGGCCGTACACAGCCATCATGCACGCTGGCGGCATGACATCTCAGCCCGGCACCATGCTCAAAGTCACACAGGCCGTCCTGTCCGCGGAAGTGGAGTACTACATTCCCTGGCAACACGGCGTCAACTACGACGCCATCACCCGCCGAGGAGGCCAAGGCATGTTCGCCGAACAAATCGACGTGCGCGACCTTCTCAGATCCCAAACCGCTACTCAATGGACAATCATATCATGCGGCATCTTCATGTCCTTCTTATTCGAGGAGTACTGGGGCGTTGTCGTGCCTTTGGCCGATGGTGAGGTGCAAGTGACCGCCCTGAACAGCTGGGATGATATGATCACCACGACAACAGCAGAGGATATAGGTCGAGTCACGGCTGGACTTGTATTTGATGGGACCGCCCCTGTGAACCAGCCTGTGTACATAGCGGGCGACACATTGTCATATGGACAGTTTGCGGATGTCGTTAGGCGGGCGACAGGCAGACAAGTCGTGAGACGGGTTTGGCCTGTGGAGTTTCTGCGTGATGAGAGTAGGATGGACCCCGGGGATAAGTTGAAGAGGTATCGCGTTGTGTTTGCAGAGGGTGTGGGATTGAGTTGGCCATTGGAGAGCACTTGGAGTGCAAGGAAGGGGATGAGGATGGTTACCGTGGAGGAGTACGTTCGAGACAAGTTCAGGTGGAGGTGTGATACGGTGGGAGGGCGACGAGGAAACAACGGAGAGTAGAAAGGCGATGAGTATAGCGAGCTTCACGTCCATATCGGATAGATATATAGTGTTAGATAAGGAGGGCGCTCTAAGTTCAACGATGGAGATTTCGTTGATATATTTCGGGAAGGCACCGGGCATAATGAGTATATAACCTCGTTATATAAAAGCGAGCGACAGAATCACATTTTCAGGACAAAAAACAGCACGTGCCCATTCACTCTCATTTCACTTCTATTTCATCTTTCACTCTCACATGCCGAACTACTAATTTCACATCTACCTCACTTGCCCCCCCCCATTCACATGCTCTCATCACTCCCCGAGGAGTGGTACTCGTCTACCACACCCTCTCCTCCCACCCCGGTCCACCACGCCGTGAACCTCTCAAACGAGGCAAACACCGACCTCCGCCGCTCTGGCGACTCGACAAACTCCGGAAATGGCTCAGTCCTGGTAGAGCGACTGCTTCGCGGGTCCGAAATGATTGACATTCTGATATCTGGAGACGCAGGAGACGCGGTGCGCTCGCGCGGACGCATTCGACGGGCGGAAAGAGGGGGAAGCACCGGCGCACGCGTGACTCGAAGGTTTGGAAGGGTCGAAACTGTGCTTGGAGAGGTCGAGACACTGCCCACGGTGTACGAATTGGTGCTTCTGTCCTTGCGATCCTTGCGGCGCTGTACTAACAACCAGACCAGAGCGGCGAACATGACTAGCATGCATACACCGAGAACTGACGAGACGATCTTGACTATTTTCCATGCAGGAGAGCGAGCAAGAGAGATCGGAAGAGGCTGTGCAGACGCGCTGATGATTGCAGACGTGCTGGATGTTGTAGAGACCGTGCTGCCGGGGGATGTGGTGATTGCAGGCGACGACAAGGTGGCGGCGCTACTGATTGAAGATGTATTGACCGTACTGGTGGCTGGGAGAGGAAGAACAGAAACGGTGACCATGCTGGTGGCGCTGGCAGACGGAGCAAGAGAGGCAGGCACAGTCTCGGTGAACCAGACTGTCGTGGTTGCTGTGATGTTGATATTGACCGTACTGGTCGCCAATGGTGGAAGAGCAGTCGAGGTGTTCATGCTGGTAGGCGCAGGAGAGTCTGGAACCCATACTGACACCGAGACAGTCGCTGGCACGTCCAAGCTTTGCATTGAGGCATTGCTGGATGGTGTGAGAGCTGCAGAAAAGATCGAGAGACCAGTAGAGGAGACCGTAATCGAGAAATTCGAAAAGAGAGGTACCGACAGCAGTTCAGTCGCCATTGAGGTCGCCAGCGTCACATGGAGAGACATCCTGAGCCGGTATGTCTGGGGTATTGAGGTATTTGAGGACGATGAGCTGGTCTACAGAGCAAAAAGCGTTAGCAAGACACAATTGGGGTGTGGTTCAGCGAAAACTCATTCTCACCTCGCTGTCAAGCTGGAGACGGGCTCTTCGGCAATGCGTACCTTGCAAAATCGAGTTTGTCGTCGACGTCGAGCTCCGAGAAGTGTCTTGAGTGTGTTTATTGCGATTGTCCAACGTCTTTCCAAGAAAAGAGTTGCCAATTTGTCTGGTTGAGGAAAGTGAGGAGAGTTGAGAAGTGAGTCTCGCGAGAAGGAAGCCATTGCTGGCGAGGAAGATGTGAATGAGCTCGACGGCGCAGCGCTGCGGAGCGTTCATTGCAGTGTGCATGTTGTAGACGCAGTGGAGCGTTGCTCCTAGTGTGGAAGAAATGCGCAGCGGAGCGCTTCTTGTCGTATGCAGGGCTGTGAACGCCCAAACAAGGACGAACGGCAACAGAGTGCATACCGCGACAGAGGCGTGCAAACCACCACCAATACTGACAATGAGCGTAGGAAAACAATCGACAACAGCTGTCGGAGAGGACGGATGAAGAACGACGAGCATTTTTTGTGCGATATTATCATTATGCCTGACTTCGCCAAGCGGGACTTTTGAAAGCTGGAAAAGACACAGACACCGCCCTTCGATGGTTTTCTATCCGATGCTAACCGTGAGGACGGTCCAGCAGAATACCAGCTTCTGGACCAGCAGGATCGGACAAGAAAAGAAGACCGAGGAGGTTGGTCGTCTCTAAAACACATACTGCGCATAGTTCAGCCTCAGAGCAGGTTTGCGGAAACGTCGAAACTTACAGGAATGAACAGGTAAGGAACCTGCCTTTCGTACTCCTCCCACGCCTTGCCATACTTTTTCCGACACCGTTCGATATCTCTAATAGCGCGATGGACGATCATACAGCTGAAGAAGGCTGGATAGAACCACGGAAAGGGGGAGCGGAACCCCGTTACTGCTCCCCAAGTGAGTGCGAAGAAGAGATCACAGGTATAATGGATCTTTCGTGCATAGCCATCTGGAAACACGGTTAGCACTGAGATCGACCCAACCAAGGAGATACTTACACCAGCCGTCTGCCAGGATAGTCCCACCATCCTCTGACCCGATGACCTTTGGGTTTTCCACACTCTGCCACGGAAGCTGTGGAAAGGCTTTCCTGGTTATGGCACCGCCAGTTTCCTGCGCCCGGAAACGATTCTTCTGGCTGTTTGTGGTATCCCAAACCCAGTAAACAAACAGATACACCACATATAAAACGCCCAGTGCATATTTGTTCCAGAGATATGTGCTCGGAGCGTGGTTTGCCAGGTATATCGTGCAATGACAGTATGTCAGCGGCACACCGGCCAAATTCCAAAAGATGAGCATGAAACCCCATTTTTCATAGTACATATCCCAGGTGGGCACAATGCACTCTTCCCCCTTACTGCAAGCATTGGCATACAGGAAGTGGGCCATAACCAAAAGTCCTACTTCTCCGGAGACATAACCATACAGTTCGTATTGGCGTGCAGCAGTCCCCACTGACAGCAAAAACAAAATGTACCAAGGCAGTCGTACCTCGAAGAACATCTTGAAGTCCAGAATGTCGAACATTCGCGGATTGAGTTCGGCTCCCATGAAGAAATCATACATGAGATATCCAGACATTCTGTGTTGCTTGCCACGATAGATGGCGGAAGCGTACGCCACGATCGAAACCAGGAAGCCAGAAATGATGGCGACGGACATGAGGGGACCGAACTCGTCAATGATCTGATACAGCTTGAAGAGGCCGGAGAAGTGCAGCGCGAACGCCACGATGATGGTCGTCCACCAAGACCACGATCCAGAACAATAATAATCGAGCCGCTTGCCGTTCTCGTGAGGCAAAGGTTTTCCTTTGGTCCATATGCCTGGCATCAGACAGTAAAGGGCACCCTCGAAGATGAAGAACGTCCAGTACATGACCCAGGCTTTCGCGGAAGGCCATGCACCATAGTACACCATTCGACCTAAGCCGTGTAGGAATTCCCCAAAGGTCTCGCCATCTCTGGGGTGTGGGAACTTCCCGTTGTAATAGGTCGCGCCGATCCACATGTAGTACATGAGGGTAGGGAAGCCGATCATCATTGCTGTGACACCCCAAGGCCCTCCGAACTCGAAGTGACCGCTGGTGTCGACCTTGGGGTCCATACCTGCCCTCCAGCCATCAACAAGTCTTTCTGAAGGGATAACATGCCCGTTCATCTTGCTGGTGATCGAACCATTCGGCTTTCCTCTCACATGTCCATTGACAGCCTCTTCTTCCGTGGTGTCATGTAGGTCTTCCGTGAACTTTGCAGAGCGCGACGCTTTCCGTGTGCTCCTTGGAGCAGGTTTCACGGCCGTCGCGTCGTCTTCGTGGCCGGTCGACGAGTCTTGCGCGTCGGAATCTTCCAGATTCACGCCGGACTTCCGCGTACGAGGCTTTCGAAAGGTACCGGGCGTCTCGACATACCCTGGATGAGCTGTTTTCCTAGGACCACGGTCAGCAAACGCGTCTTTGTGCCACGACGGAGGACTGAAGCATACTTGGGCGTCTTGCCCGCCTGGGTACGCGTGACCGTCATATCGGTCTATCCTGGGAATGAGTGTCCAAGACTAAAGAACGACTAGATGAGGTGACATGAGCGAGTAAATGAGTGTAGATGCGTCAAAGACACGAGTAATGACGAAGAGTAAACATGCCGTGCGACGTTGTTGGTGGTGCGGCCCGGGAATGTTTATTCCATTCCGGATGGAAAAAACCATTTTATCCATTAAGGTTTGTTCACACCAAAACAATCTTCCACCTACAGACTAATACACACTAACCTACAGTACCAGCTACCGAGGTATGTTCATGGACGGATATTGAGAGCCATACAAGGCTCGTTTATTGACAGCTGTAATGGCAGGTGTCCATTCTGGCCACTCTGCAAAGGGCGTCACTATATACACAAGACATGAATCGTTATCGTGCAGCAGCATTCTCATCATGCACCTCTTCGATTGTTTGTCGACATGAGCGTGATCTTCTTCTTCTTGCCTTTCTTCGATGAGCCACCAGCCGCACGGCCTACGTCGTTGCTCAGACTGGCTTCCACCATGGCGACAGCATCAGTGTCATCCAACAAATCCCTCTCCCACCCTTGAAGCCAACCATCATCCTGTGCTGCAGCTGGCTCAGGAGCAGCAAGCATTGATGGTGAGGTTGGTACAATAGCTGTTGTGCCCCAAACCGTCCTTGGAGCGTCCGGACTCGTCCCGGGCGTGGCCAAAGTTGCAAAGGATGAATGTGTTCTCGTGTTCCAAGGAGGTGTCGTAGCAAAGCCTGACTCACCCGGAGACGAGCTTGGGTGAGTATTCGCGTCGACCAAGGGGCGAAAGTCTGATTCGCTGAAACTCCTGGGTGCAGAACTGCCCCGCCGCCTTCTTGGGGCCGGTGCCCATCGTTTATCGTCCTCTTCTTTCTCGGCACGTATTCTATCCCTCTCTTCTCGCGCCTCCTTTTCAGAGTTGCGCTTCCTCCTCTTTGCAATGTCGTCTGAAAATTGTTCCAGAATGACCGGACTGACCGTCTCGGTCCAGTCACATTCCAAAAAGGTGACCTCGAAGCCGTACGGCAGATGCGCCATGTATTTGGCGCGTTTCCGCAAGTCGTCATCTATGATGTGTCCTGTAGAGATGTGCTCTACTCGTGGAAGAATGGTTGATGGAAAAGCAGAAAAATCGCCGAAAGCTGTCTTCAGAATGCGTATATCCAGTGGTGAAAGAAAGAAATTGGGCATGGCGTGATAGAAATAGAAAGGATGTGACTGAGGACGCTCGGGATCAGGCTGGCGCTTGTTCGCGAGGGTGTGAGGCTGGATTCTACCAGGCGCTAGCTCGACAGACAGAGATTTCATGGCAGTGGTCAGGGACGATTGACCCTCCGTGGCAGCAGAATCCCATGACTCGGGGATGTCCACGGGTTTCGTCGATGTCGAAGAGGCTGGCGGAGGGTTACCCAAGCCTGACAGCTTCTGTTTGGCATCCTCAACCGCTAGGACAGCTTTGCGAGTCCAGGTGTTCTCGTCGCCAAACATCAGCTCATCTTCCCTCTCTTGAGTTTCGAGGTCAACCAATTCCCGGCCGTACTGAGAAGCCATGTAGTCTTCGCCGCCTTTCATGAAACGAGCATACTCCATCATTTCAGCAACATGAAACCAAGGAATATCGTCAGATCGTCCATATCCGTCGGCAGTATCTCGAGGAAGTGCAAGTGTCTTGCCTGGTTCACGTTTCAGAAGCTTGAGTAGCACGTCTCCACCTTCTTTGAGCATGCTGGCGTCGTGGCCAGCAATCCATCTGACTGGCCGTGCCTCGGAAATGTATATGCTGTCTTCACAGATTGGACACTTTTTCCATCTGGCTCGTTTCTCAGGGCCAGATTTCTCATCGTCCGCGGAATGCATGTATCGTATTAGACATGGTAGACAGAAGATATGACCACACTTCGCCATGCGGGGCGCAACAGGTGTAGACAGACATATTGGACAGCTTGCATCTTGCGTTTCGGCTGAAGCCAGTACTTGTAATACGGCATCCCAGTCAACGTATATATCCGCATCAACTGTCTGAGGGTGGTAATCCCGGTCGGGGCGTACAATGAAACGATAGTTGGAGTGAACATAGCGAGCTTTATCAACAGCATGATATCCCGATCCTAGCCCGAAAGTAGGATTGCGTCTTTGATGTCGATTGTTGAAGTGATGCTGGTAGTGATGCTGAGGACGTGGAGGGAGGCTAAAGTTCATCAAGTGGGTGATGGATGTCTGACCCTTCCGGCTGTTGATTGACCTCATGGCGCCAGACTCCCCAAGGGCATCCTCATCCACCAGGAGACGCGGCTTCCTTTGGCCTTTGTGTTGCTTTCGGAGGGGTTGATTCCCACGCGCCTGGGAAGACTGACGCGTTGAAGCACCGGCACCAAAGCTCCCGGAGCTCAGACTTCGTTTGGAGGAAAGATCAGCACCTGTCGAGGAAGGCGCCTGGGAGTAATTGGAAGAACTCGAGGGAGGGAGAAGTTTGCTCGATGCCGGACTTGAAGTGGCGCTTGATGACATCGCTATGGTAATTGGGGATGTCCTCTGCGGACGCGGCGTCTCCTCAAGTCAGCAATAAAGCAGACCCGAGTCCTCGACTGAGTATGGAGAGTGTATGTGTACAAATATAAAGAGAAATGCTGTCAAACTGTTACCACGATCGCCGAAGCGAAGGGGCATGAAAGGTGGTGGAGAGAGGTTCGAATGGCCTGCGGAACAGAGAATGAGATGGCAATGGAGGGGAAAGAGTCAGTCATTGCATGCATGGGCCTCAGTAGCCACTATCGATCTGCTCCAATCACCCAATTACTGTACTGGGCTTGCTGGGCTGTTTCGCGACTGAAGCTTAGCTAATCTTCAGTCCTTGGGCTTCTCCATCATTCATTTTGCTCTTGCCGGACTTAGCGCCGATAGAAATTCCGCCGTCCAGTAGTAACACCACTCACTCACAACCCAAACTGCGCAACCGTCAACGTGCGTCTTTGCCTGCGACACACAGTGGCCACCAGAACTTCCATCGGCCATCGCGAGGGATTGTCCTACATCCTTCGCACAATCTCCTCTCTTCACTCTTGTCGAGCTTTGCACCTTGTCGTAAAGACACAGGTTCAGGCGAGTTCTTTTCCCGTTGTTCTGTGGCTGTCCAGCGGTTTCGACAATTTGACTATCGTGGCTCCCCCTAGGTCTTCAGTCCTCAGGCCTCACTCGAGTATCACCGGTCATTTCTTTTGTTCCTTCCCTCTACGACTCAGGTATGGACAGTCGCAGAGCGTCAGGATAAAAAGATTCACGGGAAATGATCAGCTCTCAGACGAGACGCGCATCGACCTAGCACGATGTCCTGGCGAAGAGAGTCTTGAACGCGATTACAATCATGCAGCAGAACCATCACCCATATGGGCAACACCCCATGCCCATGCAACCTCCACCGAGGCGGCATGATGGCTCATACACGACCATACCACCGCCGATGCGGCCTCATTCAGGCTATCAACAGCCTTACTATCCACAACAAATAGGGCCAATGATGCCCCAATATGCGCAACCATATGCGCCAAACTGGTATGGCTATCAACAACACCATGTACATCCTATGCATGGTAGTCGTCCGCCGTACTATCCTCAACATCCAATGCCGCCACCACAATATCCTCCGCAGCTTGGGCCTCTCATTGTATCATCACAACCTCAAACACAAGCATCCCCCCATCTCCCTCACAGGCCAGGACCAGTACCTCCACAACAAGCTCCTAGTTCAGCGTCTACTACATCTACCAGCCTCATCCAAACGCCACCGTCTCCTCCCTTGAGTACTACCAGTACTATCAATACCAAGAAGGAATCCATATCGCCTGCAATATCACCAGCACCACCGACTGTGCAAAGCCCTTCGGTTGAGGCTCCTCAAGAGCCCTTCCGGCCTCCGGTAAGGAAGAAATGGTACTGTTCTTATCGCAGCACCGCTAATTCTTGTTTAGGTTCCCTGGTTATCGGTCCAGGATGAAGCATTTCCTCCTCGTGCCCCTCGTCATAGACGCCGGATCCTGAGGTCTCAACTCGGTACTGAACCAATTGTCTACCCTAATCTGCAACAAGTAGCCGAGGCACCTACGGAAGACACGGTGGAGAAGCAAGAAGATGTCTCTGTGGAGCTGCCAACATATAGTGAAACGGAACAGAGCACCACGCAGACATCCACACCATTGCCATCAGACGTCCTTTCTGAAGGCCCATCGACACAGCCAACAACGCCTTCTTCTGCTGTGCCTGCGTCTCTGACTAAAACTCAACAGACGCCGACACAGCCTAAAGCTCGTCCTGCCGGTCCTGTTCTCCCAGCGGTTCCAATTCTCCCACCTAGCCCAACAGCGAGCCGTAGACCACACAGAGATTCGACCGTCTCAGATCAAACAAAGGTCTCCGAAGCAGAACATTCAGCAGTGGACAAGTCTGAGCCTGATGATACCAATGCCGACACAGCGGAGGCAAAGCAAGCCCCTGAAGATGACCCCCCTGTCGTCTCCACTCCTGCTGCTCCGAAGTCATGGGCGAACCTTTTCCGTGGTGACAATCCACAAAGCAGTTCTACAGCGGCACCAATCCCGATGCTCGGATCGGTCGATACGACGGCAGGAAAGAACGAGACTCTGTCAGATGTTCTCAACGATATGAGTTTGGTCGCAGAAGCCCCCACCAAGATCTCCTTCATAAAACCACGTGGTCTAGTGAACACGGGAAACATGTGCTACATGAACTCTGTAAGTTTTGCCTGACCTCCGTTCTATGGCAGGAGACTAATTGGTTGATTCAGGTGTTGCAAGTCCTTGTTTTCTGCCTACCATTTTACGACTTCCTCGCAAAAGTAGCTCAACGAGCTCGATATGCATTCAAAAGCGATACTCCTTTAATTGATGCCATCATTATGTTTGTTCAAGAATATCCTGTAATCTGTTCGGCCAAGAACATCGACCAGCTTCGCCTGCAATTGAAACCAGAAGACTACGAAAATTATGGCGATTCCTTCATCCCAGAATATGTCTATTCAGCTATCAAAGATCTGCCGCGGTTTCGGGAGATGCGTCGAGGTCACCAACAGGATGCGCAAGAATTCCTTGGATTTTTGCTGGAGGAGCTACATGAAGAATGTGCTCGGGCAATGAGAACTAGTGCCTCCAACTCAGGTCGAACTACCCCAGTTGGCAGTGTTTCAAACCTTTCCGAGCAAGCTGACGCTGAGAGCGGATGGATGGAAGTCGGTCACAAGCAAAAGCCATCAGTTACTCGGTCCTCTGGAGCGATTGCAAGTGACTCGCCTATAACCAACATCTTTGGCGGCAAACTGCGTTCCGAGCTCAAGGTGTCTGGCAACAAATTATCTGTTACTTTGGAGCCATACTCACCATTACAGCTTGACATTGGATCTCCCCAAGTTCACAATATTGTTGATGCTTTGAAGGGCCTTACTCGGCCCGAAAGCATGCAGGGTGACTTCTACACGCCACGAGGACAGAAAGCCACCGCCACGAAGCAGGTCTTTATTGACAGCCTCCCTCCGCTTCTGATCTTGCACCTCAAGCGCTTCCATTACGATAGCACCACGAAGCGTGCCGAAAAGATCTGGAAGAAGGTCGGGTACCCATTGGAGCTCGAAATCCCAAAGGAGGCTTTCCCGTTGCAAGCCCGCAACAAATACATCGCGCACGGTGGATTGCCCAAGTATCAATTGACCGGCGTCATCTACCATCATGGAAAAAATGCAAACGGGGGACATTATACTGTGGACATCCGCCGTCAAGACGGTCGTGAGTGGATTCGCATGGATGATACGCTGCTCAGACGCATTCGCAGCGAAGACGTTGCTGAGGGCGGCAGCGAGGAAGATCCCAAAGTCCTCGCAGCAGCTCTCGAGCGACACAACGCCAGCGGCAATCGATTCGAGCAAATCGAACAGGATGAGGAAGAGGAGGACGACTCGGACAAGGTGTGGAATCAAGTCAACGGCCATTCGAGGTCAAAGTCGACATTGAGCACAGTTATCAACGGGGCAGCCACTCCAGCAAAGGATTCTTCGGGCAAACAGACACCAAACCCGAAATACGCGGTAAAGGACAACAAGGTGGCCTATCTGCTGTTCTACCAGCGGGTCTCGACGTAAGGCGTGTGAGGAACACGGCACCGAGCTCATTTCTCTTTACCACGGCATGACCCGTTTCAACGGGGAAACGGCTTTACCCTACCTTTCCGATGAACCAGAGGTCACGAGGACATCAGATTAATATGTGACCTTTATGACTATTCTAGAAGCGTTGACTGCTTCTTTGTACATAAAAGAGCCATCTTAGCGAAGGAAGCATCAAAAGTCCGCAGCCAATGTCGATGTCTCCATTATCAATACACAAGTTGTGACTGTGACAGTGATGATGATATGGCCGTTACTAGTATTGATCCTCGTGCGCTTAGACTGATCATGAAACGACAACAGCAGGACATTGCATATTGTGTATTGATGTTTATGGTGGATTGTCCACCTCCTGCGTCTGCTCGTTTTCGCATGGCATTGTTTGAGGAGTTCGTACCGTCCTATGAAGGCTATCAGCTTTTCTGAGGGTCTGGGTGGGACCACTGTGGGACTTGTTGCTTGATCTTATGTCATCTTGAACGAAATTCCCGCAAACGATATATGTGCCTACCGTTTTAGGTAATTTTACCAGATTTTCATGACCCAGCGACCCTGCTTGGACAAAATAAAATGAACGGGGCACCAAATTGAATACTCTCTCACTGATTTGTGCAAGCAGCATCACCCAACATCGGAAAATCTACAGTGCAACGACGTGTGATGCCATGTACAAACTGCTCGTCTTTCATTCATCGATCGGATGCCACCAGCATTTCGCAGAGTGGAAAGGCTCTGGGAAGGGCTCTGAGAAGACCTTCCTCAACTTAAAGTTCACAATCTTGGATTTAGGATCCAAGCTTTGCTTCCTTCATCTTGAACAGGGCTTTCTTCGCATCTGTGTCAATATCGTGGAACCACAGCCAATTGAAATGGCCTTGTTGCAGCCTGGGGAGGATTTTGTACATATCGGAGCCTGCTTCTTCATGTTGGAAGAAAATCATGCGGCCCACTTCGGCAGAACGCTCCAGCTGGAGCTGTGCTCGCGGTCGTCGAACCGAATCATAAGCAGCAAGGCCGGCAGTAATCTCGGGTCCCAAGCTTGCAGCGCTCCTGGGAGATTTGGCGAGTTCCACAATGATACTGGATAGTACCCAAGCATCTTCCACTCCTTGCGCAGCCCCAGCAGCCTGGAATGGGAGAGAAGCATGGGCGCTGTCGCCCAAAAGGGCCACGCGATCGCGGTAGTATGTTGAGGTGTGCAAGTGATGGAAGAACCCCCATTTGATGGGCTGACACATGGTGAGGAGTTGCCGGCAGCGCTCATCTACGCCCTTGCCTTGAAAGTCGCCCATCATGGTCTCATGTGACACCCTTTCTGTGACTGCATTATTCATCTTCCACCCGTCGTCGTCAACCTTGCACAAGAGAAAATTGAACTCCTATCATTCGAAGAGCATTAGCAATGCCTTTGATGGAGGAAATGATGGGTGAAGGACGTTCGCTTGCCTCTCCGCCACTGATGCGATAGGTAACAGCACTGCGTTTATAGCCGAAGTAGAACTTTGCAACGTCGGTGAGGTCGCCGAGAATCTTTTCGGCCTCTGACATTGGTATCACCCCTCGATAGCAGTAGGCGCCGGCGTACACTGGCGCGACTTGCTTGGGGTATAGCGGCGATAGGACGTGCTCTCGCACGGTACTGTTGATCCCGTCTGCGCCAGCAAGAACGCTTGCCTCGGCAGATTCACCATCTGCAAATTTGAGCACCACCTTGTTAGGGTACTGTTCAATTTTGATCAAGCGTTTGTTGAATTTGACCTTCTCGAAGGGGATGGAGCTGGTCATTATATCAAGGAGAGTCTTTCGATGAGCCTAGTTGAGGTTAGCGCATTGCCCAAGTCGCATTCGAACCACAAGCAACAAGGCGACTGACAGATTTCCGGACGAAGTCAAGATGGCCCCAAGCTGACTTCAAATTGCCAGACCATGGCTGATCTTGACCTATTCCCCGATTGTCAAACCTCAACCGCAATCTCCTGACTGGGAAGGGTGATTCTATACGTACCAAGACCCACTTCGAGCAACAAGCCCTCGAAAAACACATGCTGGGCATCGGCAGGCTTGTTTCCAATGCAAATCTTCTCATATTTGGGACGAAATCCGGGTTCAATAAGGTCCATTGCTCGCAGCCCATTGGGCGCGAATCCGATGCCAGCACTTTGGAGAGTTTAGAAAACTTGAGTCTTGGTGTACAAGGTGTTGGAGCCCCAGAAGTGAATCTCACCCTACAGTCGAATACTCGTTCGCTTCTTCATATAGCGTGAAGGAAACACCTTTCTTATGTAATGCCATAGCCAAAGCAAGGCCGCCAATTCCGGCGCCTGAGATTTACATTATCTGATTGCAGCTAAGCAGATATCATCTGAATAACGTACCAATGATGGCGATATGGATGTCGTTCGTCATCTACAAATCGACCGAAAGTTGTGTCGGTAAACTTGAGACAGACCGAAAGACTCATGCTTCAATGGGACAATCTTTCGCAAAGACGAATACTCATGGTCGCAATTCAGTGCAGTGTTGCTGGCTTATCGCGAACACGAAGATAGTCTAATTACACGTATCGGAGGTCAGACCTTCTAGCGAAGGCCTTTTCTCCGAAAGGGACTAGTACAAATGGACTGTCACGTGATCTTTACAAAAGCGGCGCTGGTCGGTTTGGGCCATCGCGAGCTTCTGCAATTGCCGTGAATTTAGGCGTATTTCCTAACATCATTGGATGCCACCAGCATCTCGACGAGTAGCTAGAACGCAAGCAATTCCCCTACCAGTCTACCACATACACGTCCTAATTCAGCCGGGCAAATACAATGTCGGCTATTTCAAAGAGCAAGGACTCCGAGAAGACATCCTGGCCCCTAGGACGTCTGCCAAAGAGACAGCTTCTGCAACAAGACTGGTTGCTGCGATGTCGCACCATGCAGGCCTGAGCCACCACCATGCACCTTCCAGGCCTATCACCCACCAGTGATTGAGACCATATTGCACAACCATTCAGGACTGTCCTGCAGCCTAATAAGTATTGGAAGATGCGCCTCATCTCGTCCGACCAAATCCAAACTTCAGCCGCATAATTCCTTCGATGTCCATGTTTTATGGTCATCAATGTCATTGCTAAGCAATCGACCATGCAAGCAACAGAATGGCGCCTTATCTCGCGCCTAATGATGGACGGCTAACCTCAATGAAAGCCCTCTTTCGGTCACGTCGTTCGTCGCCACTGACTTCGACGCATTTGTCATCGCTAGAACCATCAGATACTGGTCAACCCGTGCAGGAGGACGAGCCTGCCGGTCCTTTGACCGCATCTACAGTGCCTACAGTCTCGACATCGAATCAAGCTCGGCATCAGACTCTATCGGTCCGCTCGCCACCTGCGGCATCAAAATCTACGTCGCCCGCCTTGCAGCCACCGCCTTCGCCTCATGAACAGGCCAGTGGCGCATCGACAAAACCGTCCGAAACTACACAGCGGGATCTTTGGAGCAGAGCAGCAGAGACCATTGACCCGCAAGTTCTGAAGAAATGGCTGTTATCCGATTCAAGCCTGCGTGCTACTGCCGAAGCCCAGAGGGTGGCGGAAGTGTTAGAGTCGGCCAGAGAACGAGCACGATTACAGCAGAGGAAAGCCTGGAAACGACGATGGTCATCCTTAGTTAGCTCAATATCAACATTCAACTCCCTCGTCGACGCAGGGCTTCAATTCGACCCGATCGGTTATGGAGCGCTTGCATGGTCAATCGTCTCATTCGGCCTTGAAGCTGCCGTTAGCAACAAAGAGATCGACGACGACCTTGTGGAAAGCTGTGAATACATTCGTGCCACGATCGATGAGTATTCCATATATGAAGCTCGTTACCTCGGGCCTCAGGCTCAGTCCAAAGGGCGTAAGGCCCTCGAGAATTGTATAGTGGACGTGTACATGGCTGTTATCGCATACGCAGCAGAGATGAACTATTACATCCAAAACAGGGCAGGCATGTCTTCCTATCAGGTCTCTTTGGGAACGAAACGGACTAATATGCGCAGACCGAGTTGTGAAAGCTATGAACGGCTCCTCGGACTCGTCTTTTGTCGAATACAAAGCCGTCATTGAGAAGAGAACAGCCGCTGCTCTCACCATCATTGATGATATCCGAAACGAGCTTTCTGAGTCTCGTTTGAAGGAGATACAGTCCGGCATAGATGCCATCCTTGCGAAAGCCAATGATTTCTCCAAGATCGTGGACTTCGTCGGCAAGCAGGAGAGAGAGAATATGCTATCCTGGATCTCTGTTCTGGATATGGATACAGTCCATGTAACTCAACGTGACAAAGCAGAAGCCCCTGATCGTCATAATCCTGGAGGCTGGATATTGAGCCATAATGAATATTTGAAGTGGGACTGCGCAGACGAAACAGCGTCACTCTGGCTCACTAGTGGAGTTGGCACTGGCAAGACAATCTCCACCTCTACAGTCATTGAGGAACACAGAAAAGACAGCTCGGGACACTTGGCCTACTTCTACTGCTCTGGTGCTCCTGGAAATGATGCGAGTGCTATGACAGCTGAGAATATACTGAAGTGTCTTCTAAGGCAGTTTGCTACATGCTCAGAAAGATTCTTTTCTTTGGTTGCGAAAAAGTGGAAAGAATCGGAGTCTCGTGGTCTCAAGGCCTTGACTCGACTGGAGGTCCTGAAACTCCTGGGCGGTATCATCGAAGACGAGCAGACTCTCCAGGCAACGCTCATCGTCGATGGTCTTGATGAACTCGATGCAGATACTTTGAGAACACTCCTCAACTCCCTCGCCACACTGCTAGAGGCGAAATGTGGCATCTTGAAGGTCTTCGCTTCCAGCCGATGGGTTCAACGCATTGAGGATATATTTTCTGCAGGATTCTGCATCAACGACATCGCAGCCAAAACCCGTGGCGATTTGACCCTCTACGTCGAGTCTGCCGTGAATGCTGAAACGAGGGAGAAGAATTTAGGAAATGGATTCATTGACGATATCAAGAGGACGCTCCTCGAGAGAGCGAATGGCATGTAAGTCGTCTCCCACGCTCACCGTTGCTGTTACAAAGTCTTATGTGGACATCTCCAGGTTCAGATACACCGAGCTTGCGATCAAGTACATATTCGGAGCGACGACTAAACGCATTCGTGAAAGGCTGGAGAGTCCCTTCCTTTTCCATCGAGCGGCGACGCTGTCTTGCGACCAATGTACGAGAAGCTGTACGACGAGATAGACAAAGGAGATCCCGTCGACCAGCTCCTTGCCCGTCGTGTCATCAAATGGCTTCTGCACCAATTCTTGCCGTTGACTGACAGGGCATTGCTCAAAGCGATATCGTTTGGTGTCGACGATGAGATAAGCTTGAAGCTTCAGAGTTCGGACATTGGGATCGACGAGGTTAAAGCTGCTTGTCACCATCTTGTCATCCACAATCCTAAATTCCACCGCTTCGAATTCGGCCACGTTTCTGTGGTGGAGTTCTTCCAGTGGAAGAGCTCTCCAGCTCTCGGCGACTTGGAGGCACATTCTACGATGGCCGCGTCTTGCCTGTCATTTCTGGCACTTCAAGATTCCTCAGACGAACAGATTTCTCGGTATCGTGCATTAGCGGCAACGATGTATCCTTCGATTCCTTATCATGATAAAGGCACTTTCGAACGTTACGCTATTCTGAGCTGGATCTGGCACTGGCGGGAAGCGCAGCACACTCCTTCCGCTGCTCTTCAGGATCTGTTTGACGGATTCTGGTTTTACAAGAGTCGCCTTCAAGCTTGCATCGAAGCCATCGATTCTTTTAGCAGCACCCTGGAGTTCATGGCACACCCGGATGGTATTGGTCACCACAGACTGACTCAGAACTCGTGGTGTTATCTGCTTCGAGTTCTCATGCAGTGGAAAAGCAACCGCTTGGCCCAGCGATGGTTTTTGGTTTGTGCGCAAGATCTTTCCAGTGTTGCCGATGACATTTTTCTGAGAGTCCCTGCCGATGCAGGCTCGTTGTTGTTTGTGGCGGGCATCAAACTGGCTGTGACATTTGGCAGTACGCGCCTCTTAGAGTTGACCAATTCGAAATATTTCGCATTCTCGAAGCTTCACGACTCTGGGACGTCGCTGCTACACCACGCGGCAAACTTACGAAACGCACAGTCTATTCAAAAATGCCTCGAGTTGTTTCCGGACGCAGTCAATCTGTGCCCCTCAGGGGCTCTCAAAGATGAATGGGTTACCGTCCCGTTCCTCATGGCGCTACGACCAGAAAGCAGATCAGAAGAAACAGATTCGACATCTCTGGAACTCTTCCTGAAAAATCCCAAGCTCGACCTTGGAGCATCGGATAAGCAAGGCCGCACGGCACTGCATTATTCGTTACCCAAGGGGCTCGATCGTGTTATACTCAATCTTGCGCTAGAAAGAGATCCAAGAGCCACCTTCCGCTGGGACATCAATGGCCGAAACTTCATGAAGATCGCCTTCCGTCACCACCCACAAACGCTAGCGAGCGTGCAGGCTCACTATGCAGCGTACGACCTGCACAGCGCAGCACGGACCAGAGACATCGGCGCTTTAGACAAGGCCCTTCTCAAACTACACAACGAAAAGGGGACTGCAGCGCATCAAGACCTCCTCCAAGCTTTGCTTTCCGCAACGGAGTATGGAACCGTAGAATGCATGAAGATGATACTGGGAAGCCCGCATGTGGATGTCAATGACCAAGACGAGTACGGTTTCTCTGCTCTCATGGTTGCAAGCCGGAATGGAAAGTATCATGCGGTCCTGGAGTTGCGCTCCCGAGGTGCAAATGTAGTCCTGGAGACTCCCGCCGGACGAAACGCCCTGGCCTTTGCCTTCCAAGCGATCGACTTGCGATCAGGCCTTTGTGGAGACCGGGTAAACGAACCGTTCAGTTCTCTGCTATCGCAGTGCAGGCTCTGGCCCTCCTGAAAGCACTTCTCATCCCCATGACTCAAAGTCCACTCAACATCAACCACAGAGACTCAAAGGGCGGCAGGACCGTCCTGCACTACGCATGTGAACGTGGTGTGGAGAGCTACTTCGGCTGGGCACGCGCTGCCGAATTAGATACTCATCGCAGAATTGACGTTCGTTGCAAGCTTCTTCGCGAGATTCTGTCCCACAAGCCAGACATCAACATCCGGGATCGAAACGGGGAGACGGCTCGAGACGTCGCTGAAGGAAATGCACTTTTTGAGCTTGTGAACTTGCTGGATCGTGCAAACATTTCATCGAGTCAATCTTCTGATTATTCGAGCAATGCCGAAGAATTTGCAACGCCCGCAGCGAGCCACGACAGGTTAGACATCGGGAGCTTCTTCTCTTTCGAGTCCTTCGATGACCTGTGTTGGGGACTTGCTCGCATCGGACCTAGTTATACTCAGGTTCTCCTTCTTGATGATATATCTTAGGAAGTGGTGGATCAGATATCCGGATAGATCACATAGCCACATATACCCGCGCGACTCTCGTTTCTAGACCTCAGCACACGCCCATTTACCCTCAACCAAGCTAGCCCAGGCCTCTATTCATGGCCTCAGATGTGCCTGAGGCTTCGCGCTTCAGTTTGGACCTCGACAGAGGGTTGAATCCCGTGTAAAGCCAACGTGCCTCAGCGTGTACTCATTCAGACAGCCGATGGGCCGACCGGCTGTGCTGGTGCTCGAGAGTACCAGAACCCTGAGCTTCTCATTGACAGTTCTCCTTGAACCCTCAGGCTGTAACTGGCCTTTCTGTGTGTGACCTTTCCGATTCGTGGGTGGAGAAAAGCAAAGATTCGCGTGTTCGCCCAAATTGTATCTGGACGCTGGCTTCAGAAGACCCACTGGACTCGGTGTCTGGCACTATCAAGAGCCGCTAACCTACTGTGGTAATTCACCACTTAGGGGCGCCTGAAATGGCCGCGAGCCTTTGCCTGAAGGCTACTCGGCTTACCTAAGTTACGTTTTTGATTTCGTGATTTCAGTACGGAGGAATAAGTCAGCCGAGGCAAATGCCCCTAACTTTTCAGCATCATCATCGTCAAACTCACTAATTTTACACAGTTGCGCCCAGTACTTGTCAGCTTCTACACAGCAATAATGTGCGTACAATACAGGCCACACATTCCTTGACCATTCATTCCGTGTTGACCCAACGCGCCATTCTTCCTCCGCAAATGCCCGTAGACAAAATGGCCTCCTTTTCTGCGCTCGCCTCATGGCGTACGCTCGCAATCGTTTTCGCGTTGATCAACCTCAAATCTCTCCCTCTATCATGGCATGTCCGCATATTCTACCGCATGTTCAGCAGCTGGTATACTCCAGCCCACGTCAAGCGCGCAATTCAGTCATCATCCACATCCAACAAGACACACCCACTCTTTCAACCTGTATCCATCTTCTCCCGCTCTCCTCTACTAGAAACAGACTACAACCTGCACAAAAGCAACAGCACATACTTTGCCGACCTGGACGAGAGCAGGAGTGCCCTAATGACCAAGTTCCTCACGCCCAACTCGAAGCAAGGCGTCAAGAACCTGGAAAAGGAAGGACATAAAGGCCGCACAGGAGTTATACTCGGCAGCGTACATACCTCTTTCCACCGAGAGATCAAGCCCTACGAGCGGTACGAGGTGCGCTCCCGAGTGCTGGGTTGGGACAAGAAGTGGATAGTCATAGGGAGTTGGTTTATACGACCTGCAAGAAAGGGAAAAGAGGAAGTCGTACTCGCCTCGTCGCTGAGCAAATACGTGGTGAAGAAGGGCCGATTCACTGTCGCACCGGAACGATGCTTGACGACAGCAGGTTGGTTGCCCGCGAAGCCGGAGAACTCCAAGTCTAGAGCTGGCCAGCAAGCGAATTCGTCTGAGGGGTCGGAAAAAGCGACACAAATGTCTACCACGGAATCATATACTGTACCTTCTGGGGTTGATACACCGGATGGCCTACCTGCGCCAGTGCCGGAACAGGCTGTTGAAGCCACGACCGCCATTGTAGAGAAGCTCGAGAGCTTGGCGGAGAAGACATCGAGACAGCAGGTGGACGCAAGTGAACCACTGATGCCACTTACCGCACTAGACAAGGCTGGTGAATGGGATTGGCATCACGTTGAAATGGAGAGAGTAAGAGGCTTGCGCATCGCGGAGAACTGGTTGGCCCTTGATAAGCAGTTGCTCGAGGAGTATGCACGGGGATAGAATTCGGGGCGTCGGTCCCGGCAACGAGATAGACGAGTGTGACGCGGACGATATACAGTTGATACAGCCTTGAGCGATTGGAGGCATGGTCTGCGGAGTTTCGTGGGTAATTCAAGATCTTGGGAAGACCGGAGCATTGGCGCTCCGAGGGTAAGGCTATTCTGTACATGGATACCTCTTTTGTGTCATATTATATACCTCGTATCCGGTCGTGATGAGACTATACGGGTTAGACTAGAGTAATAGACTAGAGTAATAGACGATCCCACGCGGGAGACAAAGATAACAATTTATCCACCAGGGATCCGAACTCGCAATTGCTTTTTGATAGCAAATTCCGCTTGAAACGCCAATTGACTCCGGGTTTCTATGACATGGTCGAGGAAGGTTTGTGATATGGCGTGAGGCGGTTTTGATGGTTGAGGATCGTACAGCAAGTTGTGCGTGGGTGTGGAGGGCAGAAGACTGCTCAATCTGGACATAAGTCGACCGGCCCTGGTGTGAATGCATTGTTTCGAGGACCTGAGAATGGTCGGCGCGGAAAGGCATCTATTTGCCTCCTTTCTTGTCGTCTTTCTTATCCTCCTTTTTGTCATCTTTCTTATCCTCCTTCTTGTCATCTTTCTTCTCCTCCTTCTTTTCGTCGTCATCATGGTGCTCGGCCTTCTTTTTGTCTTTGCCATTAGCTTGCTTCTTAGCATGCTTTGCTTCGTACTCCTTGTGCTTGGCCTCACGTTCCTTCATACGCTGTTCCTCGGCAGCCACCATCTCCTTCCACATATCGTCACTGGGATTGCCAGTACCCTGACTGCCCACCTCACGCTCAACCTGCTTCTCAAGCATGCGCTTGTGCTCCGGGTCCTTGGGATCGATGTACCTAACAGTCTCATAGCGGCCGGTCTGGCTGCGCTGGTCGGAAATCTCGAAGGCGGCGGTGGCAACAAGCACGCCCAATGTCAAAAATTGGGCGTACACTCTGGCTTGGACGATCTTCTGTTGGCCCGTCAGGTATGGATTGCGGTTGACTAGTGCAAAGGCGGCGACCATGCTGCCAATCCACGATCCGCCGACGATCTTATAGCGTTCTCTCCGGCCAAAGTCCCATGCTCGTTCTGTAAAGGTCTTGCCCGCGCGCTCGGCCTGTGATTGCTGCTCTTGTCGTTGCTGGTACGCGACATCAGCTGCATTCTGGGATTGTTCGTACTTTCGCGAGTAGTGGTCTGCGTTGACGATGCCGGCGAATGTGCCGGAGCTGGTAATCAGGAAGGCCTTAAGAGGGATTGTCAGGTTGCGGAAGAAGTGGTAACGTTGGTGAGCGAAGACGACGCCTGCGGTGCCGACTGCTAGACCAAGGGCGCCGCCGATGGCACCACCTTTGAGGGTGGCGTTGTAGTGGTCTCGTTCTTGTTCTTTGGTGAGGATCTTCATTTTTGCGGTTTACTTAGATAGAACAGGTGGGTTTCGTAGGTGAAGAGCTGCAAAATGGTGTTTTGCTGGTATCTCTATGCTGTGGCTAGCTTCGAGGTGTTTTTCTCCGCAGTTTCCCAGCGCAATAGGTTGCCCGCCGTTTGCTCACTCAGCTAGCTTGCTGGATTTGAGGGGATGTGATTACGAGGTCGGTAGGGTAGCTGCAGCGGGTGATAGGGACGAGGGTATGTGTTTCCCTGTTCGAGGTCGATGTCGATATCGCGTGTGCGAGTATCCGTCGTATGCAGGTCTATCAGATAAAGAGATGTCGAGTAAGGATGTGGATATGGTCAAAATATATCTGCTACAGTATGAATCCAATATGAAATCACCATGACATCAGAAACTGCTTCATTCTCAGACTTGGTGTTCGGGAACTGCCTTTTAGTACCAAAAGACTCGTATACCAATCCCCGCCTACTACTCCGTACAAATCTACAGCTAAGGTAATAGAATGTGTGTGTCTGCGTAGTACTTTTGTGGCAGATTAGCACCCATAACGAACGTTCTGAATAATCACGCAGCTCGATTAAGTTCTCAACGGGCATGTAAAGCTGTTTACGGAAGTCACACGAGTGGCCGCATTGCCGAAGACGCAAAAAGACGCCCGCAAAACGTTTAACCGGATATTCGTTCCACGGAGAAAAGAAGGGAAATGAAAACCTTCCTTTCTTTACCTAGAAGACCTTGACAAACCCGGCAAACCCTCGGATTCTTTTTCAGCCTCCATTTTAATGGGCTTTCATCTAAAAGACAGGACACGCGACATGATTTCTGCCGAGAGAGTAAGTAATCTCATTCATGGCGTGACTTGTGTCTTGTTGCACCCTTTTTATTCTCGTGGTCGCCGATGCTTTTCGCCTTTTGCAGAGCCCGCGGTGTCTGCTTTTTCGTCCGCCTGGGCATTGACCATGCCTCAGGCCACGACCGGCTGGCCAGCTGCTCTTACTCTGTACATACGTCTTCTCATTGAACCCTCCATTCGTCTCCATTTGTGGTATCTTGACGCGGAGGAAAGATCGCCATATCCTGCTCGAGTGCTTTGCATCCCCAACGCGCCAGCATGCCAATCATATCCAATTCCACCGTACTGATCATGTTGTTAAATGCAAGCCGTTGCCTGTATAGGCTTCCAGCAAGTCGTCAGTGACCAATATCTTGTTTCTCTTCTGTTGTATGACATGGACCTCGTAGATTCGATTGTCCCGGACCACCTCAGCGCCGTGGACCACTGCTTCCCACTTGATTGCTGTGTCAGATCCATCTTCTTTCTCAAGGTAATACACTCGATCACCAGGTCGAAATCGCACCTCAAGGAGCAGATCACGACGAGGAACCATCCGATCCCGTCCGTTGCCATCTTTCGGACTGATTCGGTACACTATTCTCTCCGCTCGAGCTGCTAACGGTTTGCCGTCGCTTGTAGTCCTGAGGTAGCGACCTGTTATGAAGAAGATGTTGGGCGCGTCGAACTGGCGTACATTGGAAGCTCGAGCCATAGAGATTGGATTGATCGTGAACAGTTGACTCGGGTCAAACGTCGCAGGGTTGATTCTTTCGACGCCAATGATACTATCTCCTCTGGCATCAAGGAGAAAGACTTCTTGTCCGGCTGGAAATCGTTCGAGCAGCTTTGGTGAGCTCGGAGTGAAGGGTGACTGAATCTCTGCAGCTTTGACTATAGGCGTCGACAAGCCTGCTTCTGCTCTTGCCTCAGTCGTGTTGGTGGCCGCCACCTCAGTCGTCGTAGTAGTAGCCATTCGAGCACGCCGCAGATCCGTTCCAATCGAACCTTTCAAAAAAGGGCGAGTTCGAGGCGAGGGAGAAGGTGGTGGAGCTGGTCGCACGTTCATTTCAGATCTAGACGCCTTCACTGGAGTTGGCGGTGGCATCATGTCGTTGACCCGGATAATCTTGGCCTCCGGTGTCTTTGGAGCCTCCATGACCGTCTGTGTCATGATGGGTGTGTATGGTCTTGACTTCGTGGGCGGCGTTGTCTAAGTCGTGAATGAAAGCCACGTAAGGTTCGCGTTGCTGACAGCGTCCGCGCTTGAAGCACGTTGACGGTAAGAAGAAGGGAGCCATTGCGGCCGCGGCAGACTCTGACCACGTCGATCCGCGGTCAATGAAATGAACATGTGAAGCGCTTCATAAAGAACGCTGTGTGATTGTCGCTAATATATAAGGCACTCGCTGTCGCTATGCATAGTGTGAATGCACGATGAAGAAGGAGGGCGCCCGGATCCTAGAGCGTTCCATATCGTCGTTGACACTGACTGACACCTCATGAGGAACCATCGCAATCGCAAATGCGGGCAGAAAACATCCTTATGTGGCCTGCTCGAGTCGCCCTATTGATAGATTTCATAGACCCCGGTTGATACCCTCCCTCAACGTCTGACTATTGTCGACACCTCCGGCACGATGGTATAGCTAGTCGCTCCTGGCAGCAATCTCGCCCTATTGCTCTGTTTCTGACCAGGCGCCACATTAACCCTTGCCTTTGGAATAACAGCTGGTTGTCCATCATCTCTTCTCCTCGTCGGATCATAAGTCGCCCGAGCCCAAGTCTTCTTCGTGTAATCATCACTCCTCTGCAAGATAGGTCTTGACCACTCCTCCATCAGTTTGGTGGCCTGTCGTTTGATGGCAGGCTCTGCTCTTTTGGACTTTCTGTAAAATAGCATGACCTTTCCAATGCCGGAAGATATCAACGTCTCCTTGTTCATCGGAAGCTTGCCAAGTGCTGCAAACAATTCACGCTGAATGTTGTAGGCTGGCAGACTACCATCGCTCAATGGTTCCAAGAAGAATCGAACGGCTTCCAACAAGTTCGTCTCCGGGTCCAAGATCGACTGGACAATATTGTTGCGGTTCAACAAGCTGACAACGTTTGGAAGCATCTTGAGCTTTTCGGAAGCAGGTAAACCCTGTCGAACCAATTCTCCATCCGCCTCTGCCGCTGTAATCATCTTGTTGCGCATCTCCTCAATCTCCGCATCCGCCATCTGCTCAAGATCCTTATTTTTGTTAGAACAAGTCCTGTGGAAATGTGACGTGAACTTACAATATCACCCTTCCGAAGCCTCTTCCCGGACGACTTCTTGACCGCAGCATCCATAGCTCTGTCTAACGCTCGCCGTCTTCGCTCTTCAGGAGTCAAGTCTTCTTCATTGATTTCCGGGCGTGGAGCTTTGGGCTTTCTTTCGCCATCCGGCTTGGATTTTCGTGACCGCTTGCCATCTACTTCTTCGCCGCCAGAGAAGCCATCATCACTGTCTGGTCTGCGCTGGTTTTTTCTGACCTTTTCCCGCGTCCTCTCCTTCTTCTTTTTGGGTGCTTCCTCTTCACCGTCTGCCCTCTTTCTCTTCGTCACTTTGATGGCTTTGTTGAGCGTATCGAAATCAGGCGCGACTTGTACAGCTGTTGGATCGAAGTCTGCAAACTGGGCTTCATCGACTTCGGAGAGAAGTGATTCGTCATCGGAGTCTGGGTCTGCGGCATCGGCAGTGGCCACTGCTTGAGGGTCATCGAACTCATCATGCAGGTCGTCCAATTCATCTTCGTTCTCGGAAGGTCTGTCCAACCCTTCGGCATCGGGAGGTGGCCCTTCTCCTGGAGAGTCAGCCATCTTCGTAGCACCGCAAGATCGATGGAATTGGGACAGAGTAGTCTTGGGATTTAGTAGAACGAGTCGAAATGTCTACAGGAATTAAGGGAGGTTTGGAAGAGTGAAAGGAACGTGAACAGCGACAGCAAAGAGCGAATGTCAAGTGAAGTTGCTGCCAAGTCGCGACACGAGTCAATTTTGCACGTGACTTGTGATGCATGACTCGTATCAAAGCCTCGCCTATCTGATCTACAACGAGCATTATCTGATCCGTCGGGAAAGGCACACTTTTGCCTCGAAATATGATGGGCATTGAGCAAATGCCCTTACACTTCAAGTCCAAGTGCAGAAACATGGCAGCATATGATCTCGGACTCAGAGAACTCCATGTGGTCGTCCCGGCTTCGGACTAACAGCAAAGGTGTTGAAGGCATGCCAACACTTGCAACATTGTCCTGTGACGCACATTCTCGGCTCCCCTTCATGCAGTGTTGAGACCTGCATCACGAGTGAGGTAGCAGCTGGAACTTGCCGAAACTTCTCCAGCAGGGTCTCGCCCCTTCTACAACGCCACTTATCATGTTACGACATTCTTGCAAGTCATACAATGGTGCTTGTGGAGCGAATTTCGCAGGTCGAGCCACCCAATTGGGAAGGTCGATGCCTCTGGCACGGGACAATGTCCCATGAGGCCATTAGGATGCTTACGCCGAATTTGCAACGATTGCCCCCAGCAGAAATACGAAGCCAGGCTGCCTCGTTTCTTGTCCATCGACCAATCCCAATGGCTGGGAAATCAGGGTCGTACACAAAAAAGTGACAGACCGCAACTACATGATTGGCTTGCTTGCGGCTTGGACTCTCATCCCCAGACGGTCTGTCTTCGGGTCGTACATCTCAAGTATTTCGATGCTTCGAGTTCGCTGAGCCACCAACGGTATACGCAAGACATCATGGCGTCAATAACTTGAAACGACATAGAACGTTGTTCTGGAAAGTAGATGGTTGTCATGGTCCAATCATGTCTTTGAATGGTCGTGCAGATACATGCTGGACCTCTTGCCCTCAAACAATCGAGGCGGTGCGCTGCTCCCAAGTCGAGACTTGACACCCAGGACCTTTCTGCATCTGACGTTCTTGGTCGCGAACGGGTCTTGCCGCCAATCATCCGCCACTTTTTACTAATCTTCCTCTTCCATCATTTGTGGTCATGTCATTGGATATAACATTCGCCGTCCCGAGAAAGGTTGTCTCTTGAGCAGCATTGCCATGGCTTCTCCCAGTGATCCAGCATCCTTAGCCAGCCTGAAGGCTAAGCAGGAGCGTATACGTGACAATCAAAGACGCAGCCGAGCTCGACGACAAGAGTATACCATCGAACTAGAGCAGAGGCTCGAACAATGTCGTATCACTTGTCGCGAAGCTGACTTGCTCCGTCAGAGCTTCCAGGACCTGCAAGCAGAGAATTCCCGTCTACGAGGGCTTCTGAATACAGCAGGCGTCAGTCCTGTCCTTGTCGATTCCTTCTTGCGACAACGCTCCACGGAGCAATCTTCCTCCACCAGCAACAATCCCTCAAACTTGCGCCAGCTCAAGCCAAAAATATCACCTCATGCTATCTCCACGAACGCAATGCAGCCCTTAGATGCGAGGGCAACCTCAAGTACTGTCCCCAAATCTACACGGCGCGCCGTATCACAAACTCGCAGCTCGACGGACCCGTCATCTTGCTGCCCGGAAGTAACACGTTCTTCTTCGACGTCGGAGCTATTGCGTCCCAACTGGGAGTCAACCAACCTCCTTAATGAGCCTTTGCCTTTGGGTTCAAGCAGTGATGTTCCGCCGTTACCTTCTCCGACCACGATTGGACCGTTAACGCTGGACTGGACCTTTGACCCCGGGTCAGATACGAAGCACTCTGCACAATCGTCAGTTGACGACTCGATTACATACTGGGACAACTTTGCGATAGATTCCGCCGAGTACCTTCTCCCAGACGATACTATCAACGTCGCAAGCTCGGCTCGAACTGCGGACCCTTGAGAGCGTCATGCCTCGTGCAGATCTCTCACCACTTCTGAATCAGATTGGGCCCTCAGAAGGAAACATACAAGATGGGAAAGCGCAACGAAGCAAGGGACGCATCCAATTGCGCGCAGAGCTCCCCCGAGATTATAGATTCGAGACGTTGCAAGCGCACGGGTACTCTCTTGGAATTCGACCCGCCAAGGCGTCGACCCCCGGGAAGTGCTCGTCAGACACCATTGCAGAGCGCATGTCCCGACAAGATTTACTGGAGGATGGTTGTCATTACTAAATAGTCTCCCGAAGACAGGGATTACCGTTGACTCAGTGAGAAAGGCATTTGAAGGGACGTCATATATTTCAACGTTCTTTCAACTCCGAAACTCATCCGATCTACTTCAAACGGCCATGTACATCACAACCTGGCGAACCCGGGTTGGGAAAGCGCTTGATAAGAGTTGTCAGCAGTGTGCACTCGAATTAGGCCACCGACAGTATTACAGTACTATTTGGCCAGTGGACAGCGAGCACGAGCAGAGCAACGCCACAATGTTGCAGTGGTGATCAGGATTTCTGCACATAGAAGGTACATCAGGGAAAGCGCAGTTTGCTGGGTACCCAAACGCAGACTTCCATTTTGCCTCTAATGATACCGCACAACGACTGTGTACATATTACAACCTGAACAAGTCGATACTCTACCTGAGCAACAGAAGCCATAAGCCGTTCTTGTGGCGCAGTGAGCCCAGATCACACTCGTAGCTTTCGAACGACGAAGATGAACTCTCGGCCCAGTTAGCACCGCACCACGTCCACCCACGCCCACGAGGGAAAGATTAGGCCTCAGGTGAAAGTTGACTGGCTGGTTCAGTAAGGGTCTGCATAAGCGTCACTGATTCCTGCATGCGCCATGTTTGCCCGGTTGTGTCACTGGAATTCACCCTTTGATCTTACAAATACCTCGCATGTGATTGGTCAACGGTATTCACCATACAAGGGCAGCCACAGTACGTGACCATATCCCGATCCCATAGCCACTGGCGGAGGGGTAGTGACAAGGACGATTCGGTCGACGGCCACTCAGACAATAAGGAGAGCACGATATAAGTTGCTCATCGTCTGTGGGAAAAGTCGGCCAAATTGACAAGCATAAGCCCAAATTGAAAAATGAATGAAGCATCGGTCGTGCCGGCGCGAAGCAACACAGAACGACACAGATTGCATTCAGGCGTCCTTCGAGATTTCATCATCGGCTTTGCAGATGGCCTGACTGTCCCATTCGCCCTGACTGCAGGGCTTTCATCGTATGTTTTTGGCTGCTATCAAGTATAATCTGAAACCCACTACCCATGACTGACGTCCCTGGGGCTTGTAGTCTCGGATCGTCGAAACTCGTCGTGACTGGCGGACTTGCCGAGCTCTTCAGCGGGGCTATCTCCATGGGTCTGGGCGCTTATCTGGCCACCGTCACCGATGAGCAGCACTATGCTACCGAACGGGTCCGCGAGGAGAAAGAGTTGCAGGAGTGCCCGGATGAGGAGACTGAGGAAATATACCGTATTCTGTGCGTGTATGGGCCAGAGAGGAATGAAGTTGCGCCGTTCGTTGAAGCACTGAAGAAAGATCCTGAACAGTGGATTCAGGTAGGTCCTCATTCCTTGATGTTTGGGCGATACGTCGTGCTGAGCAATGCATGCTGTAGTTCATGATGGATTTCGAATTGAGGCTGGAGCGACCATCTCGTCACGGAGCGTACATTTCATCAGCTGTCATGGGAATCGCATATTTTATTGGTACACAGCAAACAAGGAATGCTGTTGATCGCTGCTAACCAGAAGATGCAGGTGGCTTGTTGCCCATGATTCCATATTTTGCCATTCGCCATGCAACCACTGCGTTGTTCGTCTCGATCGGTATCACTGCGGTGATCCTCATCATGTTCGGCTATTTGAAGTGTGCGTATGCTGGATGTGGTGTCAAGCAATCCATCTTTGGCGCTGTACAGACTCTGTGCGTGGGGGCTGCGGCCGCCGGCGCCAGCTATGGGATCGTCAGAGCAGTCGATTCAAGCAATATATCCTGATGACGACATCGGGAAGGTAGCCCGATAGATTGTGTGCTGCAGACGAGATGGATAAGCAGGTACTGCCTCATAACACCCAAAGGAAGATGGCTCAGTTGGGTCGGTCGAAGGAAGTGTGTTTGAATTGACAAGTCACGTGCCAAGGCTGCATTTTCAGGGGCCAGCCTCGTCATGATCCGCGAAATGAGGAATGTAATCGCAATATGGAAGATTGTTATGAGGCTTGCAATATGGGCCACGACAAGGGCGGAGAGTCTCGCAAGCAGGAATGATGACGCGCACCTCGCAGTTTAGTCCAATGTCGAGCAGACTCAAGACCCGGCTTCATAGCAACATGCCACCCGGACCACATTGCCACAGTGTTATATGACATATCGCAGGGAATCTTTTCGTGCTTGTCGCTCGTCTTCGGACGACCATGCCGTTTCAGGATGCAGTTGATCATGCATAATCATTGCGGCATCGTTGTCATTGTCGATTTTCTGATTGGCACGCCGGAGAATCTGACGCATAACAAGCGCAAGTATAATCGCACATAGTGCTGCTACCGAATTGAGACACATGGCAGCAACATATCGAGGAGCCCATCTGTCCGGGTACATGAACGAGCCAATGATCTGTGGCGAGGCACGATTAGTATGGATATTCCAATGAGGAGAATAGGCAATGCTCACATGAGAAAGGCCTCCAATACAGTTGACAAATGCCACAGACAACGCTCGCTTCGTCCGTGGGCGCATGATGGTCTTTTGCACCCATGCAACAATGACCGCATGCGCACCATGTCCCGCAGCAACCATGAGGATCATGGCAAAGTAGCGAGCACCGATTTTCACACTGGTAGCTGCTGCTATGATAAAGCCCGCAATCGACACAGCGAGTGGCGCGATGATGTAAAACGAGCAATTTTTGTACCGGTCGGACAGCCATGCAGTCACTGTAGCGACGATGACTCCAATGATATACGGAGGTACCGTGAGTAGCAAGGTGTTGGTGCGGGGGAATCCGAGAGTCTTGACCACAGACGGGAAGAAGCCGATGACTGAAGAAGCAATACCGGCTGCGAAATACATGAGCGCGAAGATTGGAAGCCGCTTATCACGTAGTGTCATTTGGACGCTACGGCTCCAGTCTTCGTTGACTTCCTGGTCAGCCTGACCAGCATCCAGGATCAATCGCCATTCAGCGACTGCACGTTCTTTCGGAGATAGCCATCGAGTGTTGGAAGGGAAGTCCGGAAGGATCCAGGAAGCGAAAATGCGATCAAGACTGTAGCACCTCCGCCTGTGATGAAGAGCCAGCGCCATGCCTCCTTGCCCAAAGCACCATCAAGATGCTTGTTGATGGCAGCGGAGACAAGACCGGAAAAGGCGTTGCCAATCATGGGGGCGGACGTAAACAGTGCGTTACGAAGAGCCAGCTCGGATCTAGTATACCAGGAGGAGATCAAAAAAAGCACCCCAACACTGAATGGAGCTTCCATGAATCCGAGGAGACACCGCACAACATACAGTGCGCCTTTTGTCTGCACGAAGGCCATTGCGAGAGAGAGCCCGCCCCAGACCACCATGCAGGCAGGCAGATACAGTGACGGGCGCAGCCTGGTCAAGATGAAGTTGGATGGGATTTGCATGGAGATGTAGCCGGGGAACAATAGTGCAACAGCGAGTCCGAATTCTGTGCTGGTCATGTCCAATGATTGTTGCATGCCGATCACTCTCGCGGCCCCGATTGTGTTCTATTCATCCGGGTTATTTGGCATGCCATCACGGAATGAGAATGGGACTTACACGATCGAAGTAGTTGAAGATGTACATAAGCCAAGCCATGAATATGAGGCGCAGATCTGTTTTCCATTTGACCTTTTTGCATGCCGAGAGAAACTCCTCTATGCTCATGGTCTGAGCTGGCTGCAGACGATTGGGCTCGTCGTGGCTGTTTTGCTGAGTAGAAGTACCAACATCTTTGCCGCTAGAGTCCCCCGGCTCCGACAAGCTGACGCTCGTAGTCTTGAGATGATGTTGAGTTGCCATGGCGAATATCTTGTGCTGTGAACGGGTGCGTCCTGAAGGAATGTGGCCGGTCGAAGGTCAAAGACACCTGAGATGCCAGGAGCACTTGACGGGTCAAGTGCTGGGGACAGGTGAGAGACTTCATTTTGTACCCTCAAGACCTACATAGTCATGGAACACGGAAACTTGAGTGAGAGCTACGCAACTCTTTGCGTGAAATAGCCTTCACATACCTTAACAGCATTTGAGTGCAGGCATCTGGCGAGTCTCAGGCATGGAGGTTAGTGATTGGAGTTCCCGAAAATTTGCTACCAGCGCAAAGGTTCATCCTGGGGAAATCGTGAGGGTCGAAGAAAATCAGAAAACCTGGTTCACCGTTTCAGACGAGCAGCTGTACGCACGTGTATCCGACATTCTTCCATTGAAAGAATGACAACTCTGGTAGACGTCGTGGGCGTATTAGGTGGGCACATGGTCATCGCTATGATGGTTCACCTCGCTACCTTTGGGGTCTGTCTCGCTGTTGCGTAGCTCCATTCAATCCCGACCTCAACCAAGGAATGAAGCTTGACACAGGCAAAACCCCCCATGCATGGGCGCCATGCTGAAGATGAATGGCCACCTTCCACCATGGTTGAGGTGATCTTTCATGACACCAGTGGCACTCATGGAAGTGCATATTGAATGATCGAGGATTGATGAAGAAAGATGGTGGCACAACATCCATCGTCGCCGCCGAACTGAGTTGGCCACCGCATAAGTAACATGCTTCACCGTTTGGCCCTACGGCGGAGTGTTTAAACATCGTGGTTTGCAACCTGCGGAGAAACTTCATGACTTCCACTGGAGTGTTTAGAACAGAGGAAACCAACAGCCATCACGCAGCGACATATCTTGAACCTCCCTCGCCTTCTTCGAGCTTGAATAGTTGCAGTCCGCCAGCTACACGATTAACGCATCCTAATCCTCTCAAATCAGTCTCCAGCAAACAGCGACGTCACCACAATGTTCGGCGGTCGTAAGTTAACATTCATATGGTTGGACGAGAAGGAATCGTTCTGATGCGTGCTTTACACAGCTCACGATCAGCAACTCTCCGAGAAGGACATCCGCGACGGAGAGGCGAAAGCCACGGTAGAAGTGCAGATCTTCGCAGTCGCATGCGCTGCGTTATGGTTCTGTACGTTACCAAAGTCCCTACTTCCTCTGGCCTGCGCCATTTCGCGTTGCGTGGCTCTGTTGAGGGGAAAGAAAGCGTTGCTGACGTCTGTAATCTAGCACCACATGTTGTCGAATGGGCCCGAAAACTCTTCTGAATATGTATCACTAATGACGAATGTAATCACCAAGGGCCAACGAGAAATAGAGTCGAGGCAGAATACATTTCATTAAAGAGCAAAGAGCAATCGGTGCTAAGGCCTGGGGAAAGAGAGAGACAAAGAGAACGCATCTCTCTTGTACATTATTTTGTACATTATTAGCAGGCACTCCACTCGCAAGGGTTTGCAAGAGGAACATGTCGTGCGATGATAGAACGTCAAATGTCGTTGTCTATCAACGATTCCCAAACCGCTATGCAAGATGCTTTTTTCCCTCATCCTGAACAGGCCTGATCCCAGTATTCATCTGCGCCGGGGAATGTCATTATCTCGATCCTTCGATATTTTCTCCCAGTCCTCAAACCCCTGTTGTATTAGATCCAGCTCTTTCTGTAGATGCCGCAGTTGAATGTCGTATGCTTCTAATGTCTGGAGAGTCTTGTTAGCTTGGTGGTATCAGTCGAAAGTGCTAAAATTACCTTTTTAGCCGCTTTCACGGTTTCCTCGTCAAGCGTTGTGTCCTCCTCATTAGCGGCTGGTACGAGCTTTTCCATTTCCAACTTGATTCTCTTCGCTCGTTCCCGAATGCCCAACATACGAGCCCATACTTCCTGTTCCCTGGCATTTAGACTCGGGTCAAAGACTTCTCGCTGGAGCTTCTCCAATTTTGTCTTGAGTTCTTCCTCCGTGTTGTCCATCACGTAACCTCTGTTGCGTAGAATCTGTACTTTGACTGCCAGCGCCAATGTCCTCCGGGCTGTGGCCGCCTGTCGTCTTTTGCACTCCTCAAGCCTTGTAGCCACGTTCTGCCGGTGCTTGTCCAGCTGCACATCCAGCGACGTATTGATTTCTTGTAGCATCATGTTGCATCGTTGGATGGCTTCCATTTGGATTTGAGCTTTCCGACCAAGCTGAAAGAATCCCTGAATCAGAAGCGGTACCCATTCAGGGCTCGGCCGACTGGAGACAGCCTCTTCCCATTTGTCTTCGTCCTCTCCTGGACCCGGCCTATATTTCAACGCTTCCGTCTCGGTCTCAACGTGCTGGTACAGATACGTCCGCAGTGGTGATGACAAGCTTTGAGGATCCCACTTGTTTTTGACAATGTTCATTTGTACCGGAATTGATCTGAATTGATTGAGGCCTCGCCCTTCCTCCCACATTGCCTGAGATGGTGTTTGTTCTTGCTGCGACTGGCCAAATCGAAGCGTCTGATCAAGGGGACGCTGCTGAGACTGCTGCAGCTGTTGCTGTGGTTGGGTAGAGGTTCCAAATAAGCCGCCAGTCTGTTGTTGTGGTTGGGTAGAAGCTCCGAATAGTCCTCCCGTCTGTTGTTGCGGCTGAGTAGAAGTTCCGAACAATCCTCCCGTCTGTTGTTGTGGCTGGGTAGAATTTCCGAACAATCCTCCCGTCTGTGGTTGTGGCTGGGTAGAATTTCCGAACAATCCTCCCGTCTGTGGTTGAGGTTGAGTAGAAGATCCAAATAAGCCCCCAGTCTGTTGTTGAGGCTTTGCGGCCCCAAAGAGTCCTCCTCCTGATTGCTGCTGCTGTTGTTGCTGAGGTTGTCCACCGCCAAAGAGACCTCCCGTCTGTTGTGTTTGCTGTGGTTGTGTGGACGTACCGAACAGCCCACCACTCTGCTGAGGCTGCTGTTGGGGTTGTGATTGAGGGTTGCCGAAGCTGAAGCTCGGGGCATTGCCTTGCTGTTGCTGCTGCTGCTGCTGCGCCTGTGGCTGTGGTTGACCGAAAGGTGAAGGTGAGGGCTGATTCGTGGATTGATTGTTCGAAGGATTGTTGAAACTAAACAGGCCAGTCTTCGCTGGCTGCGACTGCGTCGCAGTTGAATTCCCGAAGAGGCTCATCTTGGTAGTCAAATTCGTACAGCGAGGATTGGTGGTTGAGCGAAGGCAGATATAAGGATTCAATCGTGTGGTCGTCGTTAACAAATCATGTCGCGTAGCCTCGTCACAATCTCGAACGAAAGACTGAGAAGAGATAGAAGCTGGAGGAGGGTGAGGACGGGGACGATTCCTGCCGATTTTGTTGGACGTCAATAACGTATCCAGACGCGCAGTTTTGACGCGAAGTGCAAGAAGCATCAAGAGTGAAGCAGATCACGTGGACACGCTCAGCGGCATCGCGCTTGCCTTGGCACCTCCTGTTCAATATGAGGTCTATCAATCAATGCACCATCTAATAGGTTCAACAACCTCCTCGACTTCATACCATGCAGCAACACGGCACAGATAGCCCATGAAGTAGACGATATGCTTGACCACAGCTTCATCAGCATCATCAACCATGCGATACCGCCAAATCTCCTTCCCCAACTGCAGAAGTCCTGTCTCCATAGCGTATGCTTCCACCCATGAGTTAATGTTTTGCCTTACAGTTCCCTGGTCGCCCTTCAAAGCAGCTGTCGTCTCGGGATTCTGCGCGATGATCTTCTCGCAGCAGGTTTGCATTCCATTGAGAAATTCCTGCCTTTTCTTTGAGAGAATTTGAAAGTCTAAGTGGCTATGCGCTCTCGCATGAATGAGGTCTTGGCCCACCTCAGACGCAGAATAGGTGACTAGGAGGCCTCGAAATGTATTCAGAGGCTGGAAGTCATTTCTGGCCAGCGATTTATCGAAGACAATAGGCGACTCCAGTATGATTGCTGGCAATACATCTGCAACGTCCACCTTGGCGGGGCATTGGTGCCAACGAGCTTCAATGTCGCAAGTGTACCATAGTCCATCTTGGCCCTGAAGTCTTAGATAACAGTCGTCGCCAATAAATTGAGGAAGGCACTCCATAAGCAGCTCACTTTTCGCCACTATTGAACCGCCACCATGCCTCGCCTTGAACAGGATCCCGGGAAACTGTACGATTAGACCTTCTACTGACGGCGTCGCATCCAGTCTTGCAAAGAGGGGGCCCGGCCCACCCCATCGTGGTACTTTGAGATCTCCCATCAACGATGACGGCGCCCAACGATATCCTTTCGAGGTGAGTTTCCGCGAAGCACGAGAGAATGCTAACCCAGCAGGCAGCTTTTCAAGAAGACTCCAGACCACCTCCATCTTTTGTGAGTCTGCGACTTCTATGATCTTGGACATTTCCAGGCCCAAAATCCCGCCGAGGCAAAGGGCCTCATCAGATGCCCAGCTAGTTGATCGTTTGCTCAGTGCATATCGAAGAGTTGGCACTTCTTGTAGTCGACGATCGAATTCCTGGTCTGGCATGGTTCGTGTGGAAGAAGAATTCGCCATGATAGCGAGGTCAACGGTATGAGATGGTAATGATGGGATTCGAAAGAATGTACCTCTCCAAGTATCAACAATTTTGAGGAGGTCAATTGCTTCGTCACTGAATTGAAAATAAACACTTCTCGCAAGGCGCCCTTCCGAAAACGTCCACAGCCGTTGCGTCCACCCGCAGGCTGCAACACGCGCCAAAACATCCGTCGGACCCATTCCTCGGGCGCAAAGACCACGCAGGTAAGAGTCGAGGACAAGCACATGTTTGGCTCGTCTGAAAACTTCGCTGAAGGTCAGCAAACCTGCTTGGCGCAATTCCCGAGGATACCGAGGAAGGCAGAGGGTATCTATCCAGAATGGTGTTGCATACTGCGAGTCGGGCTGAGTGAGTGCTTTGACATAATCGCGAACCTGGCGAAGCGTACATTGAGGCAACCTGTTCTCCTCGCGGTTACCCATCCCGTCAGCCCACACATGGGATATGGCGACGTATTCAGTATCTGGTTTCGCTGTTTGAAGGTTCACCATGACTCCAGATGCCGAATCCTCCGAAACAGTCACTAGTGGCATCAAGTCATGCATGACTGCAGCTGCTAACGGGTCAGGTTGTGGACCCTTGAACGCACATGGGCAAGCTTTATTCATATGGACGCTCTCGTACGCTCTCAAATCGACTTGCAGCAACTGGCACTGTTCTGAGGTGCAATCACCATGATGATCATTGGCCAGGGGTGGTTCCAAGTTCGCAAAGTACCAAAGCTCTCCAATAGGTCGATAGTCCTGAGAGTCAAAGTACGCAAGTTTATGCGGGCACCAGCCGTTTCGCTCCATGACCATGAGGATAGGTTTTCCGCAGTCGCACCAGTCGGGAATCCTCCAGGTCTGCATGACAGGAGATTCTAAACCTCTCTTGATGAAGATATCCTTCAGAGCTTGATTGAGATACTCTCCGAGTGCAGCAATGCTGAGGCAGACACATGAGAGGACATTGTCCGGGTCACCATCTAGAGGATGTGCAACCCGCAAGACGATATCACGCGTTTCGAGTAAGCAGCTGTATAAACGGTCCTTCCACGGCTGGAGATTGTGTTCATACAAAGACCATTCTTCCTCGAGTATTCCCACGCTCCAAGAACTGACAAGCTCGCCTAGCTGCTGGGAGGTGAACAGGGTGGTCCCTCCTGCATTTCGTCTCTTGAAGAGTGCCACGTCAGTTGGCTCTCCAGTAAACTCACACAGTAGTCCGAAGTACAGCCAGGTCTGCAAGAATCCTCCGATCTCCTCATGGTCCGTGACTGATTGTCCGTGGTGAGAGAACGACATGAAGGCAGATCGGCGCTCAACGGTCCATTGCCTTCGCTCTGGGAATGTTTTGAAGTCACCGCCATCGTAGATTTCATTGCAAAGGAATGGAATAGCGAAGGATTTGACGACTGGATTTTGTGGCAAGGGTAAATGATCCATGATAGTCGAGGTTGATATCCGCACACTGCACGAGGCCTAGGACACTCTTTTTCTGCAAATCGTGCCTGCCTCAAGATTCACTGGTCCAGTAATGCAGACTCGCCTCAGGGTAAGTATTGTTCCCGCGTCCAGCAACGAGGTCCATCACCATCGATGGACTTGGTTGCCTGCGCCCATGACGTCGGGTTCGAGTCGAGCGATGCCAGGCCTGAGCATTCTTCTGCACATGGGTTGATCTGAAGGGCGATGATAAGGCATAGGATTTGTGCTAATTCAACTGCAGTACGATGTCCTTGAAGTAGAGGCGGTGAAGTCGTGGGAGACAGTAGGGTTCGGTGTACCTGCCCATTCTGAGGACAATGTCTAGCGGTGTGAATCGTGGCAGCCTCAGAGTCGCTGGATCGCAGCGAGCAAATTTCACCTGTCCTATTTTCACTGTGTATACTTGCCACTTGCCTAAGAAGGCAAGTTGCCTAAGAAGGCAAGGACATCAGTGGTAATGGAAATCTATGTCACAAGTTATACAGCAAGTAAAGATACATTGAGTGACTCTCCAATGCTCCATCTGGAATCTCATGGGTACCTACGTCTTTCATCAATCAGATGTTCACGAAACCTTGTGAAAGGTACCCAGCATCTGTTCAAGTATCAAGAGGGTGTGCCGGAGCTCTGGAAGTTTCGCATAAGTAATTCCTGAGATATTCTGCCTGAGCAGCAAACATTTGTCTCCAAACCTGACCAGCTCCCAGCCTGCAGACTACCCTCTCCCTGCCAATCTGCGCCCCTGCGTCTCGTATGCTCACCGTGCTCGGCTGCAGAATGTAGTCGTAGATTGCGCGATCCTGACTTTTGGGGACAGGGGGGACTCTGACAATGTCTGATTTCTAAGCATTAGTAGGGCCACTAACGCCCACTCATGTGGTTCGAACAATGCCCAATTGCTCTAGTACAGTGTCGTGGGCGTACTTCTTTCGGGAATCAGAAGGCCGAGTACAAATCTGTCAAGTGCATGTCGGTCAGGTGCTCATGAACGGTTGCTACCATTTTTGGCCAGCAGACTGTATGTCAGTAACATTGGCTGAGTCTGTGAGGCCTGGCCAAGGATGGATCATAGCCATGAAAATTTTTGCGACCTCGTTCAGAGCCGGTTTCTCCCGAACATAGCAGCAGACTCGACCTTCTGAGGTGGCAGTCATGCCAGACTTATGATCAGCAAGGAAGGATGGGGACATTTGTTTCAACGACACATAGAAATTCCTAGAGACAGTCTTGGGGGCGGTTCTGGCGAGGGGAAATAATCGTATCAGTGCCTTGCAACATGTTCCGGCGACGGTGTCTGAGTGACCTACAGAGAATTAATTTCTCGCAGGAGCATCAGATGGGGACGGACGGAAGCACACCGAGGGAACTCTCTCCTCCATATATGGACTTGTAGCCTATCGATGGCAATGGAGGCTCACATAGTGCACATGTTCATCTCGTCATTACTTCCGAGCTGTCGGGCGCCTCTACGGGACGTTGAAGCATAAATTCCGTTCAGGCGCATACTTGCTTGCCAGCGACCAACCAGAAGAGGTGGATTAACATGCAGGTTGGGACCTTCATAGCTTGTGGATGTCCTAATGGAAATGTCATGCAGGGCTCCCGCAGATACAGGGTTTAGATCTGGCACCTGGGAGTTCCGACGTCGGCAGCCCGAGTTTAGCTGCCGCGCAGGACCAGCAACAGTGGGTGGGCAGCCCACGTAGGCTCAAATGGTCATCCTACCATAGGAGGTTGCCGGCTCAACTTCTGGTCTGGTTGTTTATGCATCAACCCGGGTGGAGATGCGCACGCCGCACATGGCACTGGCACGGTTGTTGCGAGGGCCGTCGATGCAACCTTCAAGTCTCTACGACTCAAAAGCCTTGGGGCCATCTGAGTGCGCATGCGCCTGGTCTGCTTAGAGTACTCCAGAAGCGTGGGGTGCAGCATTCGTTGCTGGGATGAGCTCCGCACTTTGTATGGGTTCGCAAAAGCCTCCTTCAAGGCTGGAAAACATGGCTATGAGTGGGCAAATACGTACAGGTGCCCTGTGAGCAAAACACTGGCTGCGCAATAACAACGTCAGATTCCCATAGGCGGCGAGATTTCTTCCCGCTATCATGTTGTCCACCTGGCCGCCGTAGACAGGCAGCGCAGAAAAATTTTTCTGGTCCAGACATGGCAGGTGTTTGATCTTTTTAGCTTGTGCGACACCGGAACGATGAGATTCCCTTAGCCGCACAGTAAGAGAGGGCAAGACACAAGACTGCCGAACTCCGCGGTCAATGCCGAGTGTGGACACGGCGCAGTGTCGACCACGAAGTCATGAGATACACACGCTGCTTTCCTGGTTCGGGGAACTGCGCTGAGGCAAGAAGCGAAGCGAGGATGAGGGTTTCTGCGTCTGGACTTTTTTCGTGCACAGTGGACTGCAGTATGACACCACTGTATCTCGTACAAGGGTCGCGAAAGACGGGTATGGGAGAGTGCGCCGGTTGCGGCCCTCTCATTCGGTTGCTGCGATTCGAAAAGGTAATCGAAGCCTAAAGGAAAGCTCATGATTGGCGTGACTCTGTCTTATCAGTCCATGCACGATGATGGAGCGTGCTGCTCGATGGAGTTTTCACTCGCAAGAGAGACGAATAAAGCTATGCATGATGTTTTTTCAGCAAGGATGGTTGGTTCCCCCACCTCGAGTGCCCTTAGGTGAGAGAGGTAGGGTATACGTTACCTGCATTGTTTTTTGTGTTGTATGCTTGATAAGGCCACAGGGTGATGCTGCCGTATCCTAGTCGCCCTTCTGCTGACCTTTGCAAACGCTGAGAACATCTTGACGCAATCTCCAGCTTGCCTCTCCGGCTGACCGGTGCCACCAGACATTGGAAGAAGAAGGAGACCACCAGGCCTGCCGTCTTGTACAGTGATTCACTTGCCGGTCAACAAGCTCTGACTGCGAATTGAGTGTGATCAGGGGAGGTCCTGAGGCTCCCTAGGCCCATTATTCACCACTTTCAAGCACCCAAAAGCACTTGGAGCTAGTGAATTGAGTGCCGCACCGCAGGAACCTCTGTGCAGTGTGCAGCAACCCCACACCTGACTTGACCCAATTTATCTTTTTCCTCCTCTCTCAATTGTCCACCCTCCTTCCATTCTTTCTTGTTTACCACTGTCCAGCACCAAAGTCTGCCCGTCAAGCCATTCACATCGCCAGACTCAATCACAGTCGCTGGAGGTCAGTTCTACAGACAGACATTCTCTTCTGCTCCAGAGCCACTCCTTTCATCTGTTCCGGTGCAGCCTCATTTCACGTGGTTCGCCCCTCCATACTAGATTCAGATCGATTGGACTGCCATCGCCACCACCTATCTACCTGTCCATCTGTGAAAAGAAACGTCGCCCGTCGACCATAGGATGGGCCTGATCGCGGAGGAACCACACAAGCAAGAGATCGATACAACAGAGGTTCCGGAAGAGTACACTCCGTACAAGCCCGACAAGGGCTATGGATGGGGCGAGGCTCTGCCTGAGAAGCAGGGTCTCTATGACCCTAGCCTCGAGAAGGATGCCTGTGGTGTAGGCTTTGCTGCGTAAGGAACTCATAAATAGACTTGATTGACTCTTTTGATCTGACAAGACACCAGCAATATCAAAGGCAAGCCAAGCCACAAGATCGTTAGCGATGGTGAGTCTTTCTGTGACAAAATTGTCTATGATACAAGCTAACATTGTCTCAGCGCGCAATCTACTTTGTAACATGACCCATCGTGGTGCGGTGGGATCAGATGCACGAGATGGCGACGGTGCTGGTGTCATGAGCTCGATCCCGCACAAATTCTTCGTCAAGAACTTCGCTCGTGAGGTGGGCGTTGAATTGCCACCTCTTGGTCAATATGCCACCGGCAACCTCTTCTTCAAGCCAGACACTGAGATGCTGAAACACGCCACCCTCAGTTTCGAAGAGATCGCTCAATCCCTGGGCCTGCGTACCCTCGGATGGCGAGAGGTTCCAAGAGATTCCACACTCCTTGGTCCAGCAGCCCTGTCCCGCGAACCTATCATCCTGCAGCCATTCGTCGTTCTCGCCTCCGCATACGGAAGTGGTAGCAAGCCAGATATCACTAACCAAGAGGAATTTGACGATGTCGCCTTCGAAAAGAAGCTGTATGTCTTGAGAAAGACTGTCTCCCACGATGCACGATGGAAGCCATGGTTCTACGTCTGCTCGCTGAGCAACAGAAATATTGTCTACAAGGGACAATTGGCTCCCGTGCAAGTATACCAATACTTCCACGATCTTGTCTCTGTCGACTACGAAGCCCATTTCGCCCTTGTTCACTCTCGTTTCTCCACAAACACATTCCCATCGTGGGATCGATCACAGCCTCTACGATGGCTTGCCCACAACGGTGAAATTAATACATTGCGAGGCAACAAGAACTGGATGAGAGCTCGTGAAGGTATTTTGAGCTCCGGTCTCTTTGGTGACGAGCTCGAGAAACTTATGCCCATCGTGGAAGACGGAGGTTCCGACTCGGCTGCGTTCGATAACGTCCTGGAACTCCTCGTGATGAATCGTGTGCTGTCAATGCCCGAGGCAGTCATGATGATGGTCCCAGAAGCGTGGCAAGGTAACTCTGCTATGGATCCCGGGAAGGCCGCTTTCTATGAGTACGCGGCGTGTCTTATGGAACCATGGGATGGTCCTGCCCTCTTCACCTTCTCAGATGGCCGGTACTGTGGTGCAAACTTGGACAGAAATGGTCTAAGACCGTGCCGTTACTATGTCACTGATGATGATCGAATCATCTGTGCTTCCGAAGTTGGTACCATTGCTGTGGAGCCTGAGCGTGTGATCCTCAAGGGACGTCTTCAACCCGGAAAGATGCTTCTGGTTGATACACAAGCCGGTCGCATCATTGATGACGCAGAGCTCAAAGCTACCGTCGCAAACCGACAACCTTTCCAGCAGTGGCTCGATAAGAAGCTGATGAAGATGCCGCGCGTAGTGGAGGCACTATCAAACGAGGTCGATCTGACCAACAAATTGACCGAGGCCACCATTCAAGAAGATGCGAGACTAAAGGCATTTGGATACTCATTCGAACAAGTCAGCTTGCTCCTGGCGCCCATGGCTGCTGATTCAAAGGAAGCACTTGGTTCGATGGGAAATGATGCACCTCTCGCATGTCTCGCACAACAACCACGACTGCTCTATGAGTATTTCAGACAGCTATTTGCTCAGGTCACCAATCCACCTATTGACCCTATTCGAGAAGCCATCGTTATGTCTCTCGAATGCTATGTTGGACCTCAGGGTAACCTGCTGGAGATGGACGAGTCGCAGTGTGCTAGACTACTGCTTCCGTCGCCTGTCCTGGAGACCGAGACATTCAATGCTCTCAAGAACTTTTCTCAGTATAACAAGGACTGGACTGTGCGGACCATCGATATCACGTTTGACAAGTCCTCCGGTATTGATGGCTTCATGAATGCCCTTGATGAGATTTGTGATCAAGCTACCGCTGCTATCGACGAGGGTGACAAGATCATTATCTTGTCTGACCGAGCTACATCCGAAGACCGCGTGCCTGTTCCTTCCCTTCTCGCTACCGGCTTGGTACACCATCATTTGGTGCGCAACAAGTGGCGATCACGAGTTGCGCTGATTGTGGAAACCGCTGAGGCCCGAGAAGTGCACCACATGTGTGTGCTGGTTGGCTACGGTGCCGATGGCATTAATCCATACCTTGCCATCGAGTGTATCCTCAAGCTTAACCGAGAAGGTATCATCAAGAAGAAGCTCACTGAGCAACAACTCATTGCCAACTACAAGGCTTCCTGCGACGGTGGTATCCTGAAAGTCATGAGTAAGATGGGTATCTCCACCTTGCAATCGTACAAGGGTGCTCAGATCTTCGAAGCTCTCGGCATCGATGATACCGTGGTTGACCGATGCTTTGCTGGTACTGCCACTCGTGTTCGCGGTATGACTTTCGAGCTCATAGCCGAGGATTCTTTTGCTTTCCACGAGCAAGGATATCCTTCTCGACATGTCCGAGACGTGCCTGGTCTGCCCGAAACTGGAGAGTACCACTGGCGTGACGGTGGTGAGCATCACATCAATGATCCCGTGAGCATTGCCAACATCCAGGATGCTGTCCGCACACACAACGACAAGTCCTACGAAGCTTACTCTCTGTCGGAGTATGAGCAAATCAAGAACTGCACGTTGAGAGGCATGCTTGACTTTGATTTCGAGCAACGCGCGCCAGTGCCCATTGACCAGGTAGAGCCCTGGACGGAAATCGTGCGACGATTCGTGACAGGAGCTATGTCATACGGATCCATCTCCATGGAAGCCCACTCAACATTGGCTGTTGCGATGAATCGGCTGGGCGGCAAGTCCAACACTGGTGAAGGTGGTGAGGACCCTGAACGAAGCTTGAAGATGGAAAATGGCGACTCTATGCGCTCAGCAATCAAGCAAATCGCCTCTGGCAGATTTGGTGTCACATCCAATTACCTGGCTGACTCTGACGAGCTGCAAATCAAGATGGCTCAAGGTGCAAAGCCTGGCGAGGGTGGTGAACTTCCTGGTCACAAAGTGTCTCAGTCAATTGCTCGCACCCGACACTCCACTCCTGGTGTCGGTCTGATCTCCCCTCCTCCTCATCACGACATCTATTCCATCGAGGATTTGAAGCAATTGATCTATGACTTGAAGTGCTCCAACCCGCGGTCAAGAGTCTCTGTCAAGCTTGTCTCGGAAGTGGGTGTGGGTATTGTAGCCTCTGGTGTTGCCAAGGCCAAGGCTGACCATATCTTGATCTCTGGTCATGATGGCGGTACTGGTGCATCCCGATGGACCGGTATCAAGTACGCTGGTCTCCCTTGGGAGTTGGGTTTGGCCGAAACTCACCAAACCTTGGTTCTCAATGATCTTCGTGGTCGTGTCATTGTGCAGACTGATGGCCAGATCCGAACTGGACGTGATGTTGCCATTGCTTGTCTCCTTGGTGCTGAAGAGTGGGGCTTTGCCACGACACCACTTATCGCCATGGGCTGTATCATGATGCGCAAGTGTCATCTCAACACCTGCCCCGTCGGTATTGCAACCCAGGATCCACTCCTCAGAAAGAAGTTCCAGGGCACACCGGAGCACGTTATCAACTTCTTCTACTATATCGCCAACGAACTCCGAGCAGTCATGGCGAAACTCGGCATGAGAACTGTCAATGAGATGGTTGGCCGTGCCGAACTCCTCAAGGTTCGTGATGATTTGCGCTCCCGCAAGACCGAGAACCTCGATCTCTCTCTCATCCTGACACCTGCACACTCTATCCGCCCGGGTGTTGCCACCTACAATGTCCGGAAGCAAGATCACAAACTACACACCCGCTTGGACAATAAGCTAATATCGGAGTCTGAGCTTGCGTTGGAGAAGGGTCTGCCATGTAGAATTGAGACAGACATTGTCAACACCGACCGTGCGTTGGGCGCTACTCTATCTTACCAGATCAGCAAGCGCTACGGTGAGACTGGTCTCCCTCAAGACACCATCCACGTCAATATTCGAGGGTCTGCAGGCCAATCGTTTGGTGCATTCCTTGCTCCTGGTGTCACTCTTGAGCTTGAAGGTGACTCCAACGACTATGTCGGCAAAGGTCTCTCTGGTGGTCGCTTGATCGTCTACCCACCACGGAGCGCCGTCTACAAGGCTGAAGAAAACATTCTGATCGGCAACGTTTGTCTGTACGGTGCCACGAGCGGCACCTGCTACTTCAGAGGTGTTGCTGCAGAACGTTTCGCTGTCCGGAACTCTGGCGCCAATGCCGTCGTTGAAGGCGTTGGTGACCACGGTTGTGAGTATATGACCGGCGGTCGTATCGTGATCCTCGGTGGCACTGGACGCAACTTCGCGGCTGGTATGTCGGGCGGTATCGCATACGTGCTCGACATGAACCAAGACTTCCATTCCAAGATCAACATGGAAATGGTTGAAGTCTCCGGCATCGAAGAACCGGCAGAGATTGCCTTCCTGAGAGGAATGATTGAGGACCACCATCACTATACCGGCTCAGAGCTTGCGGCTCGCATTCTCCTCGAATTCAACCGCGCTCTCCCACGCTTCGTCAAAGTCCTCCCCACAGACTACAAAAGAGTCTTGGCTGAGCAGGCGCAGAAAGCCGAAGAAGCCAAGAAGGCGGAGTATCCTTTGCCATTGCTTCCCGGCAACGCTGTCCGAGAACTTCATCAGGAGCAGCGCAATGCTGTTGCTGAAAAGGAAGGCAAGCAGAAAAAGGCAGACATGCTTGACATTGAGGAGGGTATCAACGGTGATGCTGACCAAGCCAAGCAAAAGGCCGCTCTAGTCCTTGACAAGACGCGAGGCTTCATGAAGTATTCTCGACGAAGCGAGAAGTACCGCAATGCGAAGACCAGAGTCAAGGACTGGGGCGAGCTTAACTCTCGTCTCAACGAGGACGAGCTCAAATATCAAGCAGCCCGATGCATGGACTGTGGTGTCCCGTTCTGCCAGTCTGATACTGGATGTCCGATCTCCAACATCATCCCCAAATGGAACGAGTTAGTGTTTCAAAACCAGTGGAAGGACGCGCTCAATCGTCTACTCATGACCAACAACTTTCCAGAATTCACTGGTCGTGTCTGCCCTGCTCCTTGTGAGGGCGCTTGTGTCCTCGGTATCAACGAAGATCCTGTCGGCATCAAGAGCATCGAATGCGCAATCATCGACAAGGGTTTCGAGATGGGCTGGATGGTTCCAAATCCCCCAGAAGAACGCACTGGTAAGAAGGTTGCTGTCATCGGATCAGGCCCAGCTGGTCTTGCGGCTGCCGATCAACTCAACAAGGTTGGACATTCCGTGACTGTCTATGAGAAATCCGACCGTGTTGGTGGTCTCTTGATGTACGGCATTCCCAACATGAAGCTGGACAAGCGTATCGTCCAACGACGTGTGGACCTCATGGCTGCCGAAGGCGTCGAATTCGTCACCGGCGTCATGGTTGGCCCTGGTGAGGAGGTGAGCTTGGAGTCTCTCCGCGAAAAGCACGATGCTGTTGTCATCTCTACTGGTGCACAAGTCCCTCGTGATTTGAAGATCCAGAACAGAGAATCCGAAGGCATTCACTTTGCTATGGAATTCCTCCACGCAAACACCAAGTCGCTTCTTGACTCCGAGCTGGGTGACGGCGCATATATCACCGCCAAAGACAAGCATGTCATCGTCATTGGTGGTGGTGACACTGGTAACGATTGTATCGGTACCTCTCTTCGTCATGGTGCAAAATCCATCACCAACTTTGAGCTTCTGCCTCAGCCTCCGCCAGAGCGTGCTCGTGACAACCCATGGCCACAATGGCCAAGAATCTACCGTGTCGACTATGGCCACACCGAGGTCAAGCAACACTATGGCAAAGATCCTCGCGAGTACTGCGTGATGACCAAGGACTTTGACGTCAAGGATGGTCGTGTGGTTGGTATCAACACTAACCGTGTTGAATGGACCAAGTCAGCAACTGGTGCCTGGGAGATGAAGCCCAAGGAAGGCAGTGAAGAATATTTCCCTGCTGACCTTGTTCTACTCTCGATGGGTTTCTTGGGTCCCGATGATCGCTTGTTCAACTCCGAGGTTGAGCTCGACGCCCGCAAGAACATCAAGACACCAAAGAACATGTACAACACCAACCTGCCTGGTGTCTTTGCGGCTGGTGACTGCCGTCGCGGTCAGTCTTTGATCGTGTGGGGCATCAACGAAGGTCGACAGTGTGCCAGACAAGTCGACAGCTTCCTCATGCACACTGGATCCATTCTCCCTGTCACTGGAGGCATTGTTCGACGAGCTGCGCATGACGCTGTGCCTCCTCCCCGTCAATCCAAGGCCGAGAAGGAGGGTGACATGGCCCATTCTGCCGAAGAATTCAAGCGGGGTCCGGATATCAAGGCCAGTGCTTGATCTGGCTGAATACTTGGCGGAAAACAACGGTTTTACAATTTCATGATGGAGGATGTGGATGTTTGGGGCGGCCCATTCGATCGTTTATGATCCTCTTCTTCAGCGCAACCAGTCAGGAACAACAGATTATACCACTGATGAAGCGCATCACGAAAGCACTGCGCTGGTTTTACGGGTCTCACGATTGGGGAGGTTCTTGACGACTATGTGCTAATGTTTTCAGTTTCTTACGATCGTTTCTGAGCGAAGGAGTTCAAAAACCTTTCGCCCTACCAAGTTCAATCGTTTATCAAATGGGGTTTTGCATTTTTTCTAGAAAATTTTGGGGGCGAAAATAAAGACATTGCTATGAGGGCTGAAAAGATCGATGGGATGATTGCAGACTGCCACATGGAAATGTATCAATATGATCAGCGGTAGATAGCAGATGAAAATTTTATTATAATTGAAATTCGAGATTGCCATGATCGATCTGAAAAGCGTGAAACGTCCTTTGACCACGTTATTCTCAAGAGGGCAGGGATTTCTTTCGGAGGACGACACCTCACGGCCAGTCTTCTAGCCATCTGTATGTAGCATGACAAGGTATTGAGGTGGCCCTTGCAGCGCAACATGTCTCTTCCACATACGACTCCCAACACCAGTCAGCCTAGCATTTGCGTACTTACCTGTCTCCGTGCTCTGTAGTCCTGATTAGACTCGTGACGCTGTGCTGACTTAGCGGGTGGACCTGGAAGGTGGACCTTGGTCATTGCCGAAAGGAGAAGTTACAGGGGTATGTCTGGGGCTATTCTATGACCAGCAAACTACACGATTCACCTTGAGATGTATGTTGTTTTGACCGCCTTACACTCAACGCCAGCCACCTGGCTCATCGAGTACTGTGAAGGGACCGGATCACCGATCTGAGTGCTTACACCACCTATCATGTTGGGCCGCATGACGCCTTCAGGGTTTTGGGGAAGGCATACTAAGTGCAGGAAGAGCAATTCTTCGCTTCGATGCTGCAGATAGTGCAGACGCGGATCGGGCGCGAGAGTGTGGTATTCCTGTAAGTCCCAGGGTACTTTCTTTACATTTCGCATTCTATCCTGGGTCCACCTTGATATATTCCAGCATCTCGATCACATGCATTCCCCTTACCAATCAGACAGAGCCGAAAGCCTAGGTTTTACGAAGAGTGCTCGTGGGACGCCTGAAATTCCAGATCACCGGGTACTACCTGCTTTAGGTATATAGAAGCCGTCAAGTTTCCCTCTCTGTCAGCAAGCACCTTCTCCCGATCCATCCTGAACCCGAAGCCCAGCCCGAATCCAACAAGCCTAAGAAGCGAGACAGAAATGACGGATCTTTCCAAAGTCACTTCGACATGCTACTGCGGAGCGGTCCAGCTGGAATACTCCATTGAGGGGGACAATTTGATTACCAGCGTACGAGACATTTCTTGGAGCTCCTCCTGTGCCAGGTTGAAGAAGGGAGAGATCTGACACTAAACAGTTCATCTGCCATTGCACCGACGACCGCAAGATCACGTCCTCCGTGCATGCTAGTAATTTCGTCATTGTAAGTCCCTTACACGAAAAAGCCAGCGGCCATCTCCTGGGTTCGGACCCTGTTCCTGCTGTTTGGATGACGGTTGTGGTTCCTCGCTAACGCTCGTCACCAGAAAGACAACACCCTCAAACACGTCCGCGGGCAAGACAACTTGACCAAATACGAGCGCAAACACGGCATCACTACCGGCGACCAGATGGATAGCTACTTCTGCAAGACGTGCGGATCCTTACTGTACAGAGTCTCCAGCGGGTTCCCTGGCACACATATCCTCAGGCTCGGGGCTGTGGATGATTTCTCGCTGTATGATGGCGCACTACGCCCGCGAGTCGCGCAGTTCTGTAAGGATAGAGTTGCTTGGGCGGAACCTTGTGCCGATGTTAGGCAGGATCCTGATAATGTGCTGAAGCCGGAGTGATTCGCATAGTATGCGCAAGATGTAGTGATTGGCGGGTGAATACAGGTTGTCCATTTTGGTAGATCTGAAAGTCTGGCTGGAGTCGACTTTATGGAGTGAGATGTTGTCCAGCAGCGTTATTATATAGGGTGACACGACAATCAGCATATCAATCATGGAGTCTGACTGTTCTGTGGTACTGCCTAGTCCAGCCGGCATACGACGCTGCAGTCGCTGACTGAATGCTCATTGTGTATACCGTGTGTGTTGACTTGACCATCGAAACGCCAGGCTGACGGTCTACAAAAACGAAAAGGCCCTCATCCTCACCCAGTAGTGATATAGTATTTCAGCCAGTTTCTTTGTGCAATGCCCCGTTACCCTTCTCACAAGATAGTAGGATCAGGCGAGATTGTCGCGCTCAAATCTTCGACCCTATGCCGACAGCATAAGGCCTCGAAGGCCTTGAGTCGTCTTAATGGCTTGATAGCCATCTCGGAGCAATATCCTGACATGGAAATTGCTTGCGCAAATCGTGCAAGCAGAGTCGTGCATAGCAGTGGAAAACACTGTCCTGCACTTGCCGCGTGACAAAGTGCCGCGACCCAGAACAGCAAACCCTTGTGTACTCCCCAGAGATCGGATAAGTCAGTCATGCGAAGACACCTGACGAGTCTGGGCTGGATCTGTACATGGTGTGTGGCGGCGACGGGTATAGGGACACCTTCCTCTTCGACTGCCAACAACATCAAACTGGCCCATCGGCAGCATTCGTACATACCTTCCTCCCCGGTTTCTGGTGTTTTCGTGATTGAGACGATTCGAACGATCTCTTCGCGGAGGGTCTCACGCTGCTCTGATACTTCTTGTGTTGCAAACGATGGGTGGTCCTCGTCGTCGAGGAATGTTGAGAACCATCCGTGTACTACTTCTTCCAGGGCGAGCATTGCTGCCTCCGCGTGTGTCGTGGGTGTCTTCGCATACCAGCGGCTCGCGAGAGGGGATGACCAGATGGAGGGGATGGTGCTTTCGTGAGGACATGTCTCTGGGAAGAGAGCTCTGTCATCTAATAGGAGCGGGTTCAGGTGAGCCGGTTCGAGGGCGGTTGATCTATAAGTACTGTCAGCAAGCAGTCAGGCCGGTGGTTTCTCCAAGGATGCATACACTTTCAGGTGACTTGAGATGTATTGCAGCAATGCAAGGCTATTTGAGTCTTGGGTAGCAGTTTTTTGTTGTAGGAGAAGTCGCTCCATAGCCTGTCTGTGTACAATTAGCTCGGCAAGCGCCCGTGGTGCCATGTCCGAAGGTTCGCGACAGCATAGGCAGTCGCCTTTGGCGGACGCATCGACATAATCTCGGATACTTAGAGAGTTAGGCAGGTCCTGAGAGGCTAGGCAGACGATTGGAGCTCCCAGAGCGAGAATTGCTGTCAAGCATCGAGGACTGAGTATGTTCGAGGTTGCTATCTTCGTGTTAAGTTGGCGGATAAGTTGGCCCTTGAGCTGCAGCAACACAGTCTTCATGCCCACACCAGTCAACGCCATGTTGTGAGCATAGCTGAGCAGCAGACAACCGCAGAACATGATTGATGCATCCTCATGATAGGACGTAAGGAACCGTTTGACGAAGGTCTCACCAAAGAACTCGAAGAGTGACGAACAGACTGCGGCTGAAGTAATCGTCCCACTTATTTCGAAAGGTAGCGAGGGAAGATATAGCAAGGGATCGGGTTCGAACTGGCGAGGAGTAGGGGTAGATAACATTAGAGGCGGATATTCAATGGTTTTGGTGGCTATTGCCTGCCAACGTCGTGAGCTTCGAGTTGGGAAGCACCCGTAGACTGGTCCTGCTTCTTGAGGAGGAGCATGATACCTGACTGCGTTGAGTGCAGGTGTGTCGGCATTATGTTGGTGGCGTTGTGCTCCTACAGGACCACCCCAGTATGCTGCATGGCTCCTTGTTGGCCCAGCGTGCCTCTTGACCCAGCTGACTTCACCAGCCTCGAATTCGAGATTGACAAAGGAGAACCGAGGTCTAGGTTTGTTGCCTTTGCCACCGGTAGGCATGTCCGGCGATGCAGATTGATGCAATTGAGCTGGGATCTTCAGGGAATGCGATCTTGTTGAGAATAGATAATCAATAGACCTTGCACCTGCTCTAAAGAGGTAGTTACTCTTGAAGTTTCACGCTGAGAACGTCGATCTTGCTTCTCTCGAGCGGACGTGCGCTTTCTATTTCGCAGTCAAAGAAATTATCAATCCTCCAGAACGCCCGCGCGAGGTATGTGGAAGTCTCACCTACAACAGAGGCGGCATTAGCGTAGCGGAGACGCCAGAGAAGGGACCAGAGAGCGGACAAGTTCGGTGGGTACTCCTCCTTTCCAAGTGGAAAGACACTTCGTAAGTCGAATGAAGATCCCCCATCCCTCTATAGTAGCTGGTCTGTTGTTTTGACGGGTAGCTAATGTGTAGATTAGACACTTGTTTCCTATTGCATATACTTGAGGCAGGCAAAAGATGGGTCGCTTCCCTCGCTTACCTCGCTTGTGGAGATCCTGCTCCTCCTTTGAAGTTTGTTTCGCCGTGATCTTGTCTGCTCGGCACACAACTTCATTAGTAAGGGATGTAGAATCGCCTCGAAAGGTCGCCTTTGATTCAAAAAATGCAATTCACAAGCAGACTAGGTACAGGCAGAGCGCTTGGAGTGGTGTTGTAAGCACCGTCGCCACTCGTGCTGCTTGAGTCGTGCACTCTACTACACCTCAAGACTTGACACGTGACAAGAGCTAAGTGAGCCATTTCCATTACAGATCTAGGCTTTATGGACCGGTGATCATTGCCCGGTCCCTTTGGAGAAATGCTCTTGTCAAATCTAAGCATGATCGATAGGTGACGGGCCAATACCGATGTCGATAGTGTAGACATAGAGAGGTGCCTGTATGAAACTCGAGCCATTGTTAAACGGCGTCCCTCGATTCAGCTGAGCAGCTGGCATCCACAGTTTGCCATAGGTATCAATCCACATAGCATCTACCCATAGCAGACGAGGGTCTTGCACCACTGATGACACGATGTTAGTAAGCCGTGAATAAATCTGGATAGTTACATCGACTCACAGGTGGTCCACGAGCCATCGGGCGATATTTTGATGATCGCTTGCCTGTCCGTATCGCTATTGTAGATATTGCCTGCGGCGTCAATCGCTGTACCTCCTGTAGACGGCGTAAGAGCGTAGGGCTCTGGATATTGCGAGAGAAGACTAGCAAGGGAGGAATTGTAGAAGGCCTCATTGAGATATTGCGTCTCGATGCGTGACATGCCGCCGGAGCAGGGTTGATAGTAGTAGTACTGGCCGTCAGGCGAGACTTCATGCTGGTCGGCGTAGATGTACTCGAAGCCTCCTGTCAAGTCGTGCAGGAGCTTGCCTTCCGCTGAGACAGGCATGAAACCCTTGGTGGTAGGGTCGTCCTCGAGCACGCGTCTGGCATCGCCACTGGAGAGGTCTAGAACGATGATTCCTGGAGTTCCGGCATCCGTAATGTACGCTAGACCAGCCGCTGGGTTGAAACGAACATCGTCGATCAGGCTGGTGGCTAGTGTGACGTTGCCAAGATTGTACACCCTTGCCACGCTGTTCGTGGTCAGATTTACCTGGACCAGTTTCGGACCTTCAGGCAGAATAACAGCCTCTCCGAAACTTGGAGAACCGGTGTCAACTAGCCACAACGTCCCATCGGGTCCGATGCGCTGCGAGTTCGTGCGAATCAGGTGGGTTGCAGGATCCTTGCCTGCGGCGTAGGAGTTCCATTCTGCATTAGGGTAGGGCGTAGGGTCGCTGCCGTTATGCCACTCGGCGACTTGTGGCCCTGTGGAGCCGTCGACGCGGGCATACAGGATGAAGAGACGGCCGTCGGGAGTGCTGCTGACACCGTTCACGGGATTCTGAAGGGTAAGAGCGACCTGGACTCGCGGATCTTGCGCAATGGCGCCGGAACAAAATAGCGCAAGCAGCGCGTAGGGAAGGAGCTCGGAAACATACATTTTGCTGACTTGTTCGATTCCAAAGACTTACCGTCTACGATCATCTCATTAACATTCAACCGGTCAGGGGCATCATCGAGGTCAATATATATATGGCACTTTGTCGCACGGCGGTCGGCATGACGTTCTAACCCCTCACCCAGGCCGAGCGGAGCAATACTGTGCGAGGTGGAGATGGATATTAACCGGCCCTGGTGAGGTTTCCCTGAGGTAAGTGTCCGTATGTCGTGCTTCAGGGGTTTGGCCGGCCAGAAATGATTTGCATTGAAACCCATGAGAGAAGGAAGTGAAATGACGTATATTGCTGGCCCTCATAATCAGGCGCGGCAGCCTCGTCAGGTACGAGGATGGCCTCACGATGTGGATACATTGTGGTAGGACTGTACCTGCGTGGACGGGTGCAACAGTGGATACTAACACGGCTTTCGCGAGGCTGACATGGACGCTGTTGACCTCGCCAGTCGAACGCAGCCTTCCGAAGTGTAAAGCATGTCAGACTCGGGGTCACCTCACAGCACCGGAAGCATGGGAGAAGTTCGGCCGGCCATCTCCTAGTACTAGACATGCCTTTGTGGGATGACAATGCACTTGGGTGACCCGCAACACAGTCCTACCACAACAAGTGTTGTTGAGGACGGGGACAAAGAAGATGGCAGGCCATATGCCATGGAAATCATTGAAGCTTCGGTCGAAGTTCATCCGGAGCCAGGTTTAGGTTAGTCCGCAGGTCCTCGGCAACGTCCCTGTCCCGGTTATTGATCGGATATCAAACAACGAAGACCCCTCAATACCACAAATACTATGGAGCTCGATTTGTCAGAAGACAATTATGCATACGTGCATGCACGACTTCAATGACGATATAACCTCAAGCGTGCATGTTGATACCTTTTCAGTTAACCACAAGGCCAATTTTCTCGAACCACTGTCCATTCGAAACAGCGCTGTAGCTTCACGAATACGATGTCAAACATACCAACCAAGACCCGGTCTTGGATATTGACCAACAAGCCCACGGGACTTGCAACCATATCAGGAGACAAACCGACATTTACACTCGAGACTCGAGACTTGCCAGCTTTGCAGAATGACCAAGTCCTAGTCAAGGCTTTGTACTACAGCAATGATCCCGCGCAGCGAGGCTGGATATCCCCCACCATTCCTGAGGGAAGACTGTACGTCCCACCTGTTGAGGTCGGCACGGCTATGCGTACCCGAGGTCTTGCGGAAGTCATCGACAGCAAGTCCGACAAGGTACCCAAAGGCACAATTGTGTCCGGAACCACTGACTGGAACGAGTACGTCGTGCTGGACGCCAGTGCAGTAACTCCTGTCCAACCGCTTCCTGGCGGACTGAGCCTGACACATTATCTCGGTGCCCTGGGAGGCACAGGTCTGACCGCATACTACGGACTCGTCAAGGTTTGCGAAGCAAAGAAGGGCGAGAAGATAGTCGTGTCCGGCGCAGCGGGCGCCACAGGTAGCATGGTGGTGCAGATTGCGAAGAACATCGTTGGTGCCAGTAACGTCATTGGCATCGCTGGCTCGGACTCAAAATGCCGATGGGTTGAAAGTCTTGGTGCGGACAAATGTAAGCCAGAATGGATCCTACTCGGGCGTACGTGTGCTGACATGCAGAAAGGCCTGAACTACAAGTCGCCCTCCTTTGCCAAAGATCTGAAGGAAGCAACCAAAGACGGCGTAGACGTTTACTTCGACAATGTCGGTGGCGAGATCCTTGACCTCATGCTAGGGAACATGTCGATGCACGGGCGGATTGCTGCTTGCGGATCCATCTCAGGATACAACTCGGATGACGAGCCCACGATCTTGAAGAATTACTTCCAAGTCATAACGATGAGGCTGCAACTTAGGGGATTCATCATCATCGACTACCTGCCCAAAGCCGGTGAGGCGCTGAAATTATTCCGAGAAGCCATCCAGGAAGGGAAGCTGAAGGTTGGAGACGAGAATGAGACGGTCGTGCCCACGAAGTTTGAGGACGTGCCGAAGACGTGGTTGACATTGTTCTCAGGCGGTAACACGGGCAAGCTCGTGACCAAGCTCGAGGGATGATGGTGCTCCCACTTTAAACAAAAAGGGGTGGCTGTAGACGAAGTTGAGTTGGAAGCATCACTTCAGAGCTTTCCAGACGGACTGAAAGAACTCAATCACGTCTGCAGCCAGCTCATTCGGCTTCTCGTAGGCAGCGAAATGGCCACCTCGGCTATGCTCGTTCCAAGACTGGACATTCGAAATCGTTTCGGCCCATGATCTCGGCACGATGCTCAATTCTTTGGGGAAGGCACTGTATCCTGTTGGTGTTTTCAGATAAGTCGTTCTGATCCAGGACTCCGGATCATTCAGTCCGGCAGGATTGTTCTCGAAGTACATCTGGAAGGCTGTGGTGGGACCAGGGAAGTAGTGCAGCAACGTCCATGTAATGATCTCAGTATGTGTCCACGGGTAGTCGTCCGCCCATAGGAACAATTTGTCGGCCATCCATGCTAGCATTCCCACAGGTGAATCGTGCATGGCAAAACCCAGGGTGCGTGGCTTGCTGGCCTGAATCTTGTCGTAATCGGAATTGGTGTCCATGAACCACTGCAGACGGTCAAGGCATATTTGCTCAAATGCTGAATACGTTGGTTCTCGACCATCAGGAAAGTCTGGTTTGAGCATCATCAGCATGTTCTGATGAACTGCTTTGACTTTCTCGGGGTACATAAGACCGATGATCCGAACGATGTCGGATCCCCAGTCCCCGCCTTGAACCACGTATTCCGGATATTCGAGCTTTTGCATTAGGCTGTGAAAAGCCGTAGCATGATGTTGATGCTTGAATCCAGCCTTCTCCGGGTAGGACGAGAAGCCATAGCCTGGTAACGAAGGTGCGACGACATGGAAACCTGCTTCAACCATGATGGGTAAAATCTTGGACACTTCTGCAAATGATCCGGGCCAGCCATGCAGAAAGAGGATAGGTATTGCATCTGGACGTTGACTGTGCGCGTGGACAAAGTGCAGCTGAATGTCTCCGAAGCCTTCGACGTCAATGTCGGTCATGAACTGCGGCATCGTGTTCAAGCGGGCTTCCTCGGATCTCCAGTCGTACTCGGTGCGCCAGAAGTCAAGGATCTCCTGCATGAATGAAGAGGTCACTCCATTGTCTTCGCCTTGGTCTGCGCCATTCCCTACTTTGGGAAGCCGAGCCAGGCGCAACTTCTGGGTGAGTAGATCAAGCTCGTCGTCAGGGATTGAAATCTGGAAATGTGAGCCATTAAGCCAAAATGTCGCGTTCTGCTGATCGTCATCTTACCTTGTATGGACGCATTGACGGAAGATGCTGTCGTTCTTGTTTCGTGCCAATTGCTCAACTATCCCAGATGGTGTTGCATATCATTCTTTGTAGGTAGTAGACGGTATCCATACTGGCGGCCTTACCATTGACGTCAACGAAAAGAAACTGAAAAGGGCATAGCGTGCTTGCCGAAGATAAGCGTAAAACGTGCCCCGACAGGGGTAGGTATGACATCTCTAGATGAACGGAGCGAGCACCTGAGAATGACATTGCAGAAAAGACTACATGCCAGAGGGCGTGGATGACCATTGGCAATTCGGCAGAGCACTGAGGCTTGTCCACGGAGACATACTATGCTGGTAAAGTATTTGCTCGCTCACCAAGGGTGCACTCCGTCCTTATGCACCGCCCTTCCAACATCAGCATCTCTCTTGCCCTCAATGACACTCAGCAAAGTCTGCCCCGATACCTCAGGATCCCCCGCATATCCACCAGCACTGATGTCCTGCTCCGTTTTCCCACGCAGATTCGAGCGCACCAAACCGGGACATACGGCGAAAGTCTTGACGCCCTTGGGTCCCAACTCCTTAGTCTCCTGGATCATGAGCATGTTGAGCGCCGCTTTACTGGCGCGATATATGTCATAACGAGCTTGATAGTATGGGTCATTGGGGTCCGCTGCCATGCTCAACGAACCCAGACCACTAGTGACGTAGATGGAATACGGATTTCTTGACTTCAACAGCAGAGGCGTCAATGTATGAGTCACGACCATAGGTCCAATAACATTCGTCTGGAATGTGCGCTCGAGTTGTGTTCTCAATTCGCCATCTGGGGGCCCAACACCGGCGTTATTGAGCAGAACGTCTAGGTGGCCAAACCTGTCCTCGATGACTTTGGATGCAGCATCAATGGAAGCCTGGTCGTTGACGTCGATCTGGATGTCTGTCAAAGTGCCCTTGATCGAGCCCTGTGCTTGGAGCTCAGAGACTGCTTTCTTTCCGTTCTCCGGGTTTCGACTACCCACGAGTACGTGGTAGCTGGGAGAGGCCGAAGCAATCACCTTGGCAGCTGCGAAGCCAACACCAGAGTTGGCACCTATTGGCCGTCAGTATACATATATCCAGTCATAACGCGAGGGCACACACCAGTGATGAGTATGATGGTTTGAGATGACATCCTGAAGCACCTGTGTTGAAGATGTCAAAATAATTCGGCCGCTTGTGGTCGTGTTGATACAATGACAAGGTTGATGGCTCTAGAGCTTCGGGCTATTCCCTTTTTAACATCTTGTGCTCTCCAAGGTGCGCCGCCTTTTGTGTTAAGCCCTGCCAATGAGATGTATGATACAAATGCTTCCTTGGCGTACATTCACTTGATCGTCCACGTCGCGATATCTGCCAGATGCGGGTATCATGATTTGCGGCTTCATGTCCGATATGCCCGTTAACTCCGCGAGGTCTGTGTTTTTCGCAAGGCTGCAGCCTTGTATGGCCGGGCCTTACGGATTGAACATCGTTGGCATGCATTGACTTGGCAAAGCAGAAAGGTGCACTGAAGCTTGGTATTCGTTGCCAGCAACTGACACCGACAGATCATTCATTGTCCCACCACAAAATTGTGTAATAGGCGTTCTGGTTTGCCCAAATGACTGTATAATGGTGCCGGTCCAAGTACACATAAGGACCTACAGAAATCAGCGCAACCGCGAGAATCACACAGGCCCAAAAGACGAGCCATCGACCGTGGTGGACATCGCCGATGAAAGTCGCCGCGGCTGCACCCACGACCGTGAGGAAAGCCGTGAACAATGGTGCATGAGTCCCTGCAAGCGCAGCAGCCAACAGGCCTAATGAACCCACAAAGAAGCCGAAGGTATACTTGTGGCCTTTCAACCATGACCACATCTCAGCCCGAGTCATCGCGTTACTCCGCAATTGCGTTGCGCGACTCATTGGAAGCATTTTCTCCTCCAGCATTTGGTAGGAGATCCTGCCTCCGCGAAGTCCACCGCGGATCTTGTTCTGAAGCTCGGGGTTGGACATCATCTCAATGCTGTCAGCTCGCACGTCTTCCTGCATGCAATCTGCAAGGTCAAGGATCGCCCGCTGAATGCCCAAGGTTCTGCCCCCACGATTGAGCCGCGAATTCAAATAGGCATCCACCCAGAGAATGTACATCCCCAGCGACCATACAAGAAAGAGGATGATGACGGAAAAGAGAACCAAAAGGAGAACCCCCATTTGTAAGATGACTGGACTTGCTGGCATTTGCCGTTAAGGTTGATCTCGGTAAGGTTATAGTTGACATCGCCGTTGGTGAATGTGGGCTCGATATACGTGTTGAATGGCCGGTCTCCAGAGTCGGTCGTCCACGCGAACCCATATGGCCACTCATAGAAGGGGACCTGAGACATTAAAGCTAGGGACTGGGATTCTAGGAAGTCTTGTTTCCAAAACATCGCGCTGATGTTAAGGCTGGGCGATTTCAGCTCGATAGGAGTTCCGTTATAGTTGAATGTAGATTTGGTCTGATTCAAGCCGAGAAATCCGTATTTGCTGCCGTAATCAGAAACATGCTGCACAATTGACACACGTCAGCTCATTAGGAGATGATGAGGAAGTAGAGAAGGTTCATAGTCAGATAAACCAACCCCAGTTGTGGGAATGAAAGAGGCTTGCTGATGTTGGTGACTCACCCAGTAGAACTGACAATCGGCGGTCAAAGACCAGTCTAATGTCACATTGCTGGTGATGGTGCCGTTGAATCCAATGGGTTCAGGGCGGTACAACTCGCAAAGGTCGACATAATCACCAGTCAGATCGCCCTAAAAGCTATTATCGCTGGGGTTGGTGTTGCCAGCGGCGACCGGGAAATCGGGACCCAGAGAATCATTGAGTCGATGGGCGTCGTGTACAATATATCTGACTAATTGAAAGTCAGAGTACGGGACCATGTTCCCTGAGGGGACTTGAACAAAGGGTTCGATATTGGCGGTATATCCGGCCATGGCACTAACAAGCGTCTGGAAGGAGAGGACAAAGCTGCCACTGATCACCAACCACACTACAGTAAGCCGTGCTCTCGCAGTTCTGTGCTTGAGCAAGTCCCGGCTGAGTTTGAGCAAGGAGGTCAAGCTACCATTCTGCAAGGTGACGGCTTCGAAGGTCCCATACGACACCGGCGATGATTCCATGGACCTCACCAATGCCCTGGTGTAGACCTGGTAGGACACAATTACCAGCACTGCTTGACCGCAACGTCCGATGATGATCTGCCAAGGTCAATAGGTAGACTCGTGGAATGGAGTACTCTTACTGACATCCCAACAGACAGTGATTATCTTGGCCGCAGTGAAAGACAGTTGACCGTAAGCCAGAGTTATTTGGAAGAAGCCGGAGATTGTCCAAATGTCGTAGCTGCCATAGCCTACACGGAAGGCAGAGTCGGGTTGACATGCGTTATTGGGTTGGTAGAGACGGCGTGAGCAGACGACTGCAGGATACTGACAAGCACGATCATAAACAGTATTGGCCAAAAGAATATCCAGCCTTGATGCCACTTTATGGTCTTGAGGTCGACAACACCTTCTTGGACGAATGTCGTGAAGCAGGAAATGACGGATCGCCAGAACACCCTTGAAAACAGGCATGTAATGCCATTGAGAGTCCATGATGCGAGCCGCGGCCCAGTTCCTCGAACCTTCAGCTTGGACAGTGTGATGCTGGAGAGCCGACTGTATTTGCTTGATGATTTGCGCTCATGTTCTGATCCAAATTCGTCTGGATCTTCTCCGGTGTACGCCGTTCTCGTTAGAAAGGCCATGTTGTTGGCTATGAGTAAGGCAGTGCACTGTTCAGCTGCCGTGGATGAGCAATGTCATCGGATGGATCAATGAATCTGCAAATTGTGGTCAGATCTGGGCGTGGAAGTTGGCATCCGGCTGAGTCTGGAGGAAAGAGGGAAGTTGCACAAGGTCCGTCCATATTGTTCAGCGGCACTGTATGATACATATAATTTCATGCTTGAGAGTTCGGCCACACGTACCTAGGTATCCCTGCCCCTACTTTGGGGCGTTGCCTTTGGGCGTTGAGGCTCAGTCGTGTTTGGGGCTGAAAGAAGGCTGGTCGTGCGGGCCAAAGCATTTAGCGATCTGAAGATACCCAGCGACCTACCTAGTAGTAATGTAGCGCATGAAGAGGACCAATGTGGAAGTGCAACAGCAGATACTGAGAATGTGGGAGGGTGTACTGCGCGCGGAGTACATCTCTACACCATGAACCCTGTACGGGCTACGGCGTACTTTGTACGCGTCTCTTTGCAGTCTTGATAACGATATGCACAGTGAGACATGATTGATGGTCACCAACAGCCCGAAATGGCGGCGTGCAGATCCGATGTTTTCTGATAGGCCGTGGTTTGGTGGCTGCGTGAGAACCTCCAGGAGGCATTATCGCAATATGAGCAATAAGGCCACCCTCCACCTCATCGGTTGACGTGGTCCCTAGTCAACAGGCGGGCGGGGGGACCTTCCAGTGAACTGACACTGCCATCATCTCAATCTATCCTATATCGGTGTAGATGCATTTTCGGGCACTCCCGTCCCAAAACACCACTGCTTCGGAACTCGGCCACGATGTGTCTCCGTCATTACATGTATGAATTGATCCAGAACGATGGCGGACCATCAGGGCCTGCTAATGAATACCCAACATTCAGTACAACATGTTATTATCCAGGAATAATCATACTGTATTGCCGAGAATCTGGAGCAAGAATCGTGATTTGGGTCAACAACTCAAGACATTCCATCTGTCGAGGAAGGATCACGGCCCATGAATACTTTGTACAATCTCTTGCTGACCATGGGGCCGAGTCTTTTATCGCTCCATGCGCCATCCTTGTTGGCTGATTTGCGAACATCCTCAAGGAGCAGGTTCCCGTTGCGGTCGAAAGCAGTCACGAGTGCACGCACACTCTCAAACTTGTCCACAATTCCGTAAGCCATACTAGGAGTAACTCGCTGTACTTCTTGTAGCATTTTGACGAATGTGTCTCTGGCGTCATCTCCAGTACGCACTTGCCCGCTATCCATGCAGAACGAGGCTGACTTGAGGTTGAAGTCGAGTTGGGCGAGCCGATACGGGCGGGTTGCGAGGTGTTGTGTCAGTGCAGATATCTGGGATGCCGTAGTCCCAGGTGACGTTGTGTGATGGATCAGTATCGGTTGATGAGCGAGCTGCAGATGCAGAAGTAGACCGTCGACAACACCTGCTGTGACAGAAGACAAGTCCAGGGAATCAGTAGAAGTCTTCTTAGGCTTCCTAGGTCTCGCCCGTGAGGGCCCTGGCTCGGGGGTCGACGTCGTCATCTGAGCCCTCACCGCAGTTGTGTACTCTCGATTTCTGGCATTCGCAGATTTCTTGAGCCAACCGCTGAGGCCTTCGATGAGATAGATAGGGGTGCAGTCTCCAAAACGTTTTCGAAGAGAGGCGACATGGGCATCGAGATTAGCCTGCATCTCGGATTCGGTAACTGGTTCGCTGGAATCAAAAGCTCCGTTTCGGACAGAGGCAATGGCAGCAAATTCAACAGCCGGGAGATGAACCAAGAAATGCTTCTCTTTCACAATGCGACTCTTTGATGCCGGCTCCCACTGCCCATCTTCATCGTTGTAGGTGGACTTGACGGTGCGCCGCCATGTAATGAGATTGCCATAACGCATTTGGTCTGGAACGGATTCTGTTAAGTTGACTTCTTCATCAAAGTAATTGACTTCGACTTCAAGATTCTTCATGTACTCCTCAACCTGGTCTCCAACGCTGGTGCCTTTCAGAAAGCCAGACATGTCCACAATCATTTCTGGCACTGCGTTCTTCTTGTTGACTCGGGACTTGTTTGCCTCTGCCAAGTCAGCGGCCCTCTGCTTTTCTTGAGCCTTTGATTCACGTTCTCGCTTTTTGCGCTCCTTCTCGGCTTCTTTTTCGGCATCACGCCCTGCTTTTACCGCAGCTCTTTCTGCCGCTTTGGCCACCTTGTCCGTCTCCGTGGCCTTGGAGACTTTCGTGGTCCTAGGTTTGGCGGGGCTTGAGGAGAACTCAATGTCATCGGTAGGGTCCTGCTTGGATTTTTCTTTTCCAGTTCGGACTGCTCTCGTAGCTTTGAAGTGCTGAAACAGGGGTTTGGCTTCTTTGCTCGGATCCTGCGAAAGAACGGCAAGTAGACTGGCAGTCCTGTTTGAATAGATCTCATCTTCCACTTCCCTTGCAGTCGGCTGTGAGAGGCTTCCTGGGAGGTCGAAAGGATCTTCTAGTAGATCTTCGGGTTGAGCGCCAGAGCGGTGGTCTGGTCTGTCCTTCTCAATATGCCTCTGTTCCGGAGCCGAAGACGAAAATGTAAACATGGTTTCATCAGGACGATCCTTTTGTCTATGCCGGCCGGAGGACTTCTGAAATGATGGGGCGACCCTTAGTACCAAATCTGGTTGGGAGTCATCTTCGGACAAGACTTCGTAGACGACATCCACATTCGAAGTCTTGCTGGCATGGGTTTGCGGTTGACGCAAGATACTGGGCTCTGGGCTTAGACGTTGTCTCTTGGATGGTCGATCAATGACAAAGTCTATCGACGCTGTATCATCGAGATCGTCGGAGATTGAGTGCAGATTTCCACCAGCTGAGTTTGCCGAGGCGCTGGCATGGCTTCGATTTAATTGCGTCAACGGAGGTGGACTCGAGGATAAAAGGTCTATTACCTCGGCCATAGCTTGTCTATGACCGTCAAGCTCATAACACAGAACGAGAATCTCAAATGATTACTTGCGTGGGAATGAATGTTGCCACCGGATGATGATGACAAAAGAGAAGCCAATTGAGTCAATTCGCTACTTCCAAAAGTAAACAGTCTTGGCGCGTTTCAGGACGCGTTGAAAGGCGTAAAGTGCTGCTCTGGGACACTCACCCCAGGGACTACAAGGCTGTGGGAGGATGTCGCTGCGATTCTACAATGATAGCATATTACATCTGTCAAGCCGCGCCAGGGAATAGTCTGACTAGATTCTCTTCAGAACCTGCATTTGCCCTCCGGACCCGCGCAAACTCAGTGGCTCGTGCATCACCACGGCCAAACTTTGCCTTGATGAGTGTCGCAAATAGAGCAGCCAGAACCGCCAGCGCCAGCCAGAGAGCCAGGACGATGTCTTTCCTTTCCAGGAACTTGCTCCTCTTGTTCCTCACCATTTGGTCAATTTCGTTCTCCAGCCCATCTGCCATTTTGTTCCTGGTGAAATGCTCATTAACCCTTTGTCTGCCGTTTCGGCTAAGTGTCTGGAGTGCCGCAGAACTCAGCTCATGCAATACCTTCTTCATGATTGCAGCCCACTCGTCCACATTGTCCACATCACGAAGCCAACCAGTCTTTCCTTCTACAATGGTCTCCAAAGGGCCACCAGTATTCGAGGCAAGAACAGGAAGTCCGTGCAACATGGCTTCTACGGGAACAATGCCAAAGTGTTCGTTGCTTGGTGTATACAATAACAGCTGAGCGTTCTGCAACAATGTGTTTTTGAAAGGCCCGGGTACGGAAAGCAAGAATAAGACCTGTATACTGCTGGGTATTGCGAGGGCTGTGGGAACAGTCTTCGCCGTCGCTGTGGACAGCCCGAGACTCTGGGCTAACTCGTCCAGTTCCTGGTGGTAATGGACGTTTTCACTGACTCTCTGGTCATAGCCGCCGGCCAAAAGTAGGCGTGTGCCTCTGCGCTCATCTGGAGATAGATTCTGATATGCTCGAATGGCCAGCCCTATGTTCTTCTTTCGTTCGAATCGGTTTATGCTTAGAAGAATCCTGTACTGTCCTTCCCATAGACGCCCCTCGTCTATCTCCTTCTCTTTCTCTTCGACGTTGACGCAAGGATATATGACACCAAGTGACTCTGCCAGGTCTGGCCAAACACGCGAAGCCACCGATTTGGTGAAAGTTGAGTTGACCACGATTTTGTCGCTTGCACTCATGCTCCATCCTTCGAACCAGTCGAAAGGAAAGCGATAAAGTTTCTTCGCCAGTCCCGGTACGCCTGAAGTCTGTCGATCCGCAAGGAGCTGGTCAGGAAAATGACAGTAGAAGAGCGTACGTTGGCGACCGGGGTAAAGCCATCTGAGCAATGGCACGCATGCGGGCAACTGGTCAACGAGGAATACGTCCGGCTTGAGTTTGTTCAACTCGTTTGTCCAAATGGAGACTGCTAGCACAAGGTGAATCTGGCGAAGGATGGCGAGAAGGATATGGAAGCGATTTAGGAAAGTGGGAGGAAAGAGAGTGTTTCCGCGAACTCTGACATCAAGGGTGCCTGCAACTCACATATGTGTCAACGCTTCAACGGTCACCAGATGCAGAGGTGCAGGCCATGACTGACCATCTCGAGCTTCATCGAAGCAGTGCTTGGGATCGCAATGCGAAGTGAAGATAGTTACCTTATTCCCCTGCTCTTGTAGACCAACTGCAGCATCGATAATAAGACGTTCAGCTCCGCCTATGCCGAGGTCAGGATGAAAGAAGACAATGCTTCGTTTCGATGATGGATTGGAAGGAGTAATTGTGGACATGATCACATTGTTGCGCGATCAAGTATATCGAGCCTCCAAACTCAACTGCGAAAGCGAAAGCGAAAGTGGCCTTCTGCAGGTGTTCAACTCGGCTGACTTTCCACCATTTACGAAGCCTCCCTGGCCTTTGGAAGGCCGCGATTCACCGACTAAGCTTAAGCTTGAGGGGCATGGCACCCTAAGCGCATGTGCGAATCAACACCCCGGGCCACTCTCCGCTTGGTACGACAACATCCACCCCCATACTTCTCATGATGCTCTCCAGCTGCAACTAGAAAGTCATGTTCCCTACACCCAAGTTGAATGCACGGTCTAGACTTCGGACAGACGGTCAAATCCCTATCTATTCATGGCAAGGTTTATGCATGAATAACATTCAACATTAGCAGATGTCTAGTATGATTGGTTTTCGCATGTTGACAACCTTGATCATGATTGCGCGTATCCGGCAAGCCTGTCACGTTCCCGTCAACACCATTCCTAATCTTGTAAAGCTCATTCCCATAGTCAATGTCCCGCATGCGCGGGCTGCCGGTCGATTGCCTCACCACTCCGCAACTTCGTACACAGTACATTTTCTCTCTTTCTCTCATTGTCACCTTCGTCGTTCGTTGTCTCTATTGAGAACGCACCTACGGGTGTTAATCGTGCTTCGCGTCCTCCTCCCGTGACAACAGGCTCCTTCCTCTGGTGAAGTGCCGTCCTTCGCTCAACACCTTTTTCTCAGCTGGCTTAATATCCCCAGCATCCTCTCGCTTCGGTCGCCTTACGACACTAATACCTTCCCACACCTGTCCACTACGTACTCGCGCTTCCAGTAATCATACAAGATGACTCGGGTAAGAGGCGCATTCCCCAGGCTCATGGACGAGAAGCTGACGAAGAACAGTTCACGGCTACACTACTCGCCCTCGTCGCGTTTTTCTCGACGTACACTCTCGCGGTCTCTCCTCTCGTTGTCAAGGGCTCGGACTTTGTGAATACCGTGGATGGCACGCGCTTTCAGATCATCGGAGTCGCGTAAGAGAAGACTTTATTTCATAATAGAGATATTTGCGCTGACTCAAGCTCGAACGATAGGTACCAACCTGGTGGTTCCTCTGGTTTTGACCCATCTTCTGGTGTGGACCCGTTGAGTGACGCATCAGTCTGCCTGCGAGATGCCGTCCTTATGCAGAGATTGGGCGTTAACGCAATTCGAGTCTACAACCTCGATCCCGACCTCGACCACACCGAATGCGCCTCCATCTTCAATGCTGCTGGTATCTACATGATTCTCGACGTCAACAGTCCGTTGGCAGACCAATCTCTGGATCGCACTGCACCATGGGACTCGTATGATTTGGACTATCTCCAGCGTGTGTTCAAGGTTGTGGAAGACTTCATGCAGTTCAATAACACACTGGGATTTTTCAGCGGCAACGAAGTCATTAACCAGGATTCGGTTGCAGAAGTCCCTGCATATATCCGAGCCGTGACCAGAGACATCAAAGACTACATCTCGGCCCAATCCAAACGGTCTATTCCTGTCGGCTATTCGGCTGCGGATGTTCGCACCCTGTTGATAGGCTCATTCAACTACCTTTCTTGTGGATTGTCGAATGATACCAGTTCCAAGATTGATTTCTTTGGGCTCAACTCTTACTCTTGGTGCGGAGATGCTACTTTCGAAACGTCCGGCTATGATGTCTTGGTATCTGATTTCAGCAACACGACCATTCCGGTCTTCTTTTCCGAATATGGCTGCAATCTGGTGACCCCGCGCAATTTCAGTGAGGTTCCTGTGCTGTATAGTTCAGAGATGACTGGCGTCTTCTCCGGCGGTCTCATCTACGAGTACAGCGAGGAAGTCAACAACTACGGTTTGGTTAATCTGAATGACAATGGCACGGTCTCCATCCTTGAGGACTATAACAATCTTCAAGCACGGTACGATGCATTGGATGTTACGTCGCTTGAACAAGCCAATGCGACTGCAACAACCTTGACTGCGCCGACATGTAACCTCGACCTGCTCGCTGGTAGCGATTTCACCGATTTTGAACTTCCTGCACGCCCGAGTGGTGTGGATGCTCTGATCTTGAGTGGTGTGTCTGGCAATACTACTGGCGCAACAACAGTTTCGAGCACGTCACCTAGTCAGACTGTTTATAACACCAACGGCGAGGCGCTTTCTGGTCTGAAGCTGAATGTTCTGGCTTGGGATCAAAGCAATTTGCCAGGCAACAATACCAGCGGCACTACTACTGGATCACCATCGGGCAGCACAACCAGTACCAGCAGCAGTAGTACTGCTACCAAGACCAACGCAGCGGCCAGAGTTGATGACGTTAAATTCGGATCTCTGATGATGGGTGCTCTATCCGTCGGTCTGTACATGCAGCTGTGATTGGATGGTAAATTTCAAAAAGGCTGTCCTGCTTGATGAACCAGGATTTCTGCTCAGAGCTTGGTGCATGGCACTGTTCAGGTTCACAGGATGAACATAATTTGCAGATGACTTGACAGGTCCAAGGGTCTTCAAAAGGCCTATATAGACAAGATTAATTAATGCATGAGTACAGAGAGATGAATTGAAAGAATGACAGGATTTTTAGCGGCTTGAAGAAAATCTGCCACGAGGAAAGTAAAGTCACTACTGTCGCGCCGTTAGTAGTGGTGTGCTGCACATCCCACGTATTGTGGTAGGTTCTCCATCAGTGATGTGTTTATGACAACTGGAAACGTCCATTTTCCTGGTTCGATTTCATATGGGATGCTCGTAAGTCCCACCACGCACTGACATCCGGGGGGGAACAAACCAAGATTCCACGGGATTGCGTAGGTGGATGTTCGGGTTTCTTGGTATTCGTGGCATCTCATGATCTGCTCTTGCCGTGGTGTGGCGCGTGCTCTTTTTGTCGTCATGGATCGAGCCAATAATTGCGTGTCAAATCTTCTGTACCCTGGCCAGTTGTGGCTTGCTCTTGGGAGGCTCAAGGATTCTCTCAGAGTCTTTCTGCACTGCCCTGATTTTTGACTTTTTCCTAGCAGATCCAAGAAAAACTGTGCAGAGAGAAAAGCTGAAATGATGCAGGGACTGACGCCACTCACACGTCACTTTATCCTTCAATTTCGCCCATCACATCACCAAAACAAGACGCGAAGTGACCCTTGCGTCAACACCCCAGTGACCCAACCCAGTTACCACAAAAACTACGGATACAAAGAGCCCCCAAATCCCTTCGCGTTCCTCGCTTCCTCCTTTCGATCATCAGATTCACGAGCCTCACTCCAATAACCACACCTCTCTCAACCTAATCCCACTTCGTCCACCATGGCCATCGGCGGTCTCATCCTCAAGTTCGGCCAGACTGGCCTGCGCTTCCTCGAATTTGGCTGCGCAGCCATTGTCCTCGGCATCTACAGTTACTTCCTCTCTGTCCTGGCCGACAAGAACATGCACATCCCAACATGGGAGAAGGCTGTTGAGGGCATGGCGGGCGCTGCCTGCTTGTACCTCATCTTCTGCATCCTCCTCACCCTCTTCATCGGCGGCATTCCCGTTTTCGCCGTCCTCGCCATCATCCTCGATCTCTGCTTTGTTGGCTGCTTCGCCGGCATTGCCTACTACACTCGCCACGGCGCCAACTCCTGCAGCGGCATTGTCAACACTCCTCTCGGCACTGGCCTCAAGAGTGAGAACGCACCTGGCGCGGGAGATTGGGGATATGTCTGCAGCTTGAACACCGCTTGCTTCGCCGTCTCCATTGGCGCCATCCTCCTCTTCCTCCTCACCGCCGTTGTTCAGTTCATGCTCATGCGCCACCACCAGAAGGAAAAGAAGTTCGGACCTGGCCCATCCAACAACTACACTAGCGGATCTGGAAAACGATCATTCTGGAAGCGCAACAAGCAAAACAAGGGTACTCGCGATGCCGAGATGGCCACTGCTGCTGGTGCTGGCGGTCTTGCTGCTGCAGAGCACCACCACCACGACCACCACGGTATTCGACCAAGCCACGAAACTGGCATGACTGGCTCGACTGTTAACAACAACGGCCAAGTACCTTATGCATCCGAGCCCAAGTACGGTCAACCAGGCTATGGTGAGACCGGTTATGGTCAAACCGGCTATGGCATGAACGAGACCCGTGGTGCTGCGCCTGTCAACCATGCTGTTACTGGCACCAACTACTAGATCACCTGATCGCTTGATCGATTGATCGAACAATGCATCCAACCCAGAAGGCATCAATGTCACCACCATCTAATAACTCTTACGGAGTTCGGGAAGGAAAGGAAGCCAAGTGTTCCGGATGTTTATGAGCAAGATTGTATCAACAGCACTATCAACATGCAGCACCTTGTGGTTTTGCAAGAGCAGATACGACGTTTACGATAGATCCTATCCCTACCCTGCTTATTAGCACTTAATATCAATTCAAAAATTACAAAATCATATCTTGTTTCTATAGCTTGACATGCTGCCTTTTCGATTTCTTCCGTTCGTCAGACTTTGTTGCCCGGCCAAGTTGTCATATGACGGAAGGATTGTGGCTTGCATGACGCATGATGCAATGCGCGGCCACTCCCGCTCCTCTAGTTAGTGGATGTTTACGTCAGGCACGAAAAACTGAACTCCTTTCATCCGGACCACTGGGCAGAAGTATGTAAGATGTGTGTCAGGTGGTCTACACGATGAGGCATCGGATGGTAGCCTCGTAGAAGGATTTTGCACACCTTCGATCCAACTAACCGTCCATCGACTTCTGTACGATGCTACCTGCACTTGCCAATACCGATCAGAAGGAACCAGATATAATTGCCGTGTTGTTAGTTCAATGAACCAGAGAGACATCGCTCATACAATGGTGACGGTGGCCTCTTCTGCCGTCTCTAAGAGCTTACATAAGAGATCATTCGGCCCTTCATTTGGTGCCAGCACCCCTATCCTGCGGAAAGTCATTGATGCCTGATCAATAGGCAAAAGCAGAAGAGCCACGCGCTCGTCTTGGTATGCGAGCTCGGGCTTCTCAACGTTTTCTTTGCCTTCCAAGATCGCCACTTCGAGTGCATAGACATGACGAATCTGGGGATTATAATCGATCCCGAAGTGGCCATTGTGCCAGCGGAAATGTGGGATATCATCGGAGTCGGCTTTCTCTTGCTCTGGTTCGAAAGTGGCAGGTATCATGAGAAGACGGCCTCGCAGTACCAGTACCCCGACTTCAAGACCTGAAGTCATTGGTTACACCCGACCAGGTGATGGTGGTAGAAACCACGGTCGCTTGTGGGAATCAGAGCGCCTTGCCACTTGATCGGAATGGCCAAATATTCATCATATTCAATGGGCGCCGTGACCGACAGCCAGGACCATGACGGGATTCCTGGAATCCAAGCGAATCGACGTGGGAGGTTTGCTACCTCCCAGAGTAACCCTTCGACGATGCTTTTGCGCCAGAGGCCGACTACAACCTCTTCGTGCAACAGGCTCTGAAAGAATGTGGTCAAGCCAGCCAAAGCCGGGATCTTATCTTTCTCGTAGGTGAGTTTACGGGTAGAGTATTCCCGTGCAAGTCGCGTCCAGATGTGCAACAATTGGTCTCGGTCCGCAACTTGAGGTCGTAGGTTTCTCAACGATTGAACACGCCAAGCATTTGGCCTCTTGGTGTCATCGAGAAGGCCATGCTCTGAAGCACTGATAGCAGAACACTCCCAGTACAACAGGCGATCAGTGAAAATGATAATGCGCTGTGAGAGAGCCGTTTCCTGAAAAGTCCAGCCCCTGTTGTCAAGCAGATCATGGCGACCTAATGAATGTAAATGGGCTATGCGAACAGCAATCTTTTCGTCATCCGGCCCTGTCCCTCGCATGGCAGGAACAAATGTGGACAAAAGTCCTCCACTGCTATCAATCGCCCCAGCAGCAGCAAGTGTAATGGAGGCATTACTGAAAACAGACATCATTTTCGATGATGCAGTCTGCAGGGTCGTCCTGTACAATGCAAAGCGCATCGATCCAGAGGTAGCGGAACCCCAGCTTTCGAACAACCACCACTGCGTCCCGGTACGTACTGGGAAGGACTTCCACTTCGATTCGATGCTCTCTTTCCCTCATGGTAGCCATTGTGGTGGTCAACGCATGTGGCGTGGAGCCCCAACAATGAGAAAGAGCTACATATCTGCTGTGAACGCTATTTGAAGCGAAAAGACGCACATAACTTTCGTCCGCTGCACACTGGACATCTATCACGCGGGTAGGGAGAGTTGGAACTTGAGATCCGATACAATCTGGATGGGTCCGATCGCATTCATCGATCCAGCCCGCAATCGTCTCGAATCTCGTCTTCCAATCGTCTATGTCCTGACTTGCCCAGACGGCTCTTGAGCTGTTGGATTTCTGCTCACAGCTCTCGGATACAACCAGACTTGCTGATTGCTGGGGTGGGTCAGTTTCTCGGCTTTGGAAGGTGCAAATTCCAAACACGTCTCCGGACCATTGAAACCCTGTGGGGCCTTCTCTGTACCAAACGGGCCTGTATCTTCTCAAACAGAAGTCAGAAGAAGGCAATGAAGGCAGCGGGTAAACGTAAATGTGGTCCTGCGCTTCCTTAGGAGTTTCGATGGGGCCATCCTCATCGTCGTCAGTGTCGGACTCCGCTTCGCGCTGTCGTCGAGCCAGACGTCGCTCCAACTGGTGCAGAAGGATACGTCCGTACAAACTGTCACGCACAACAGAGCACAATGTGCATCCATCGCCCACCACTGATTCATGGAGCTTTGCAAGTCCAGGCTGATGTTGAAGCTTCTTGAACTCCCGATTGCGGAAAAGTTCAGTGCAATTGGCGCAAAAGCCTTCACGGAAACATTCCGGCTTTGGGTCCAGTGAGCCCAGGGATCTAACCTGCTGAGCAGCCCACTCCAGTCCAGCCGGCGAGTAATAGTTTTGAGGAGGTTCGAGATCACCTTCAATTGAACCTTCAATGACCAGGGCCGGTCGTGGCATGGCTTAGGCTCGAAGTAACACAAGTTGGGATTTTCACCTAGAGCCTACTTCCACGACAGCATTGGTCGACTTGAGAGCATAGGACGGTTCTCGAAACACAACTCCAAAGGATGCCCTAGATGGTCCGGCTGTTCTATCTCGACTGACGTGAGTCGGTGGCGTCCTACTATCTGCGCCGAGGCGCTAGCCTTACAACGACCCCGCGCAACGTCGATGGCTTGCCCTCGACGACATACCTGATCCAGCACGATTTCAAGGACCCTTCAAGGTCCTTCATCCGCTTGTTCAAGATGGTGCGGAATTGCCTACCAGAGTACGTGCACTATCAAATGCCAGTCCCGAGAAAGGCAATCCTGCCTCATCCTATCCGGATTACGAGCTTCCCAACCTGTCTCCCCTGCCAGATATCCTCAATCGCCTCGTCAGCCTGACAGAAATCATACACCTTGTCGATAACGTCATCGAATCGCATTTGCGTCGCTGACAAGGCAGCACAAAGATCCTCCTGCTCGAGCCTTGATCCGGCATCGATTCCCCTGGTTATGATCAGCCGTCGAAACGGGTAGTGGAGGGCCGGCTTACCTTAGATTGATTCTGCGATCAATGAGAAGGGGAAGAAACTCAGCCAGATCATCAGTGTTCTGTTTGCTCAAATACCCGACTTGGCTGATGGTCCCACCTCGCCGTGTACATTTCATGCTCTTCACCAGGGTTTGGGTGCCGCCGATTTCGACGACCAGATCAACACCGGCACCGTTGGTAAGCTTCAGGACCTCTTCGTGCCATTGGGAACTCGTCGCGTAGTTGACGGTGAGAAGTGGTGGGTTCGAGAATTGTTGTCTTATCCTCTCCAGTTTGGCATCACTTGAGGAGCTGAGAATTACCTTGAGTCCTGCTGTGCGAGCGAGTTTCAGCGCGATCATGGCGACGCCACCCGTGCCTTGGATCAAGACGCTCTTTCCAATACCAATGCCTAGCAGAGAAGTCCAGGCGGTCACTCCGGCGCACGGGATGAGGCAGGCTTCGACCCAGTCCAAATGTACCGGCAATTTGGTCAGCTTCTCTTCACTAAAGACCAGATAGTCGGCCAGCACTCCATCCTCATCCGCCGCTAACCAAGACCTTTTCGATTCCCGCCCAGTCAGATTCTCCGTGTCGATGATGGGCGCGACTCTGTCTCCAAGTTTGAAGGTCCTTACTCCTTCACCAACAGCAACTACCTCGCCGGCTGCGTCGTTGCATGGTAAACCATGTGGCGTGACCGGCCATGGGTTGCCACCGTTGGCGATATTGGCATCTCGGTAGTTGAGGGACACGGCATGGACTTTGATCAACACGGATGTCGCAGCGAGTGGAAGCGGTAGGTCTTCGGTCACAAGCTCCACCCTCGGTTTGCCTGGAGTATAATCATCCGTCCGACGGTATGCTTGTCGCGTTGTGACCTGGACATTGGCCATGTTTGCTGCGTCCCAAGACTGGCTTGAAACCCTCGAATACAAACCAACTTCAGGTCATCACCATTCTCGGTCGTTTTTATGCTCCAAGAAAAGTAGTCTTATATCCTGTGGGCCACGTAGGGCGTGAAGGTTTAGGTAAGCACCGGTGATGTTCCGGCGGACTTTGAGGCCGGATCCGGCATAGTCTCCCTGCAATTGACATCGACCTGGAGTGCCTGGACTGCTGAGTTTGAATGATTTCTAATCTAGATCACACCTTTGACTGTGTCGTAATGTAGGCACATTGCACCGGCTTAGGAATAGCTGGCGACCGGCTCTCCCAAAACGTTCAGCCTTGGTGTTATTCCCAAGCCGGGTGTCGTCGGCGCAATGACACGGCCGCCGTGCATCTGATAGTCCGCATCCGCCGTCCTGAGAGTTACCATATCACGCGTATCGAGAATGCAACGCAGATGACGTTCCGGGATTGTCTGCGCCATATGAACAATGGCCGCAAATACAATGTCCGAGCCAACAGTGTCCTGTACGCCTATGGAGTATCCTGCAGCCAGACCAATATCTCGTTGACGACGACCTTTGGTCAAACCGCCCGCCTTAGAAATCTTGAGGTCAAAGCCTTCTGCCGCATCATCGGCAATGAGTTTCGCAATTGAGGAGTCGTTAGTGGCCAGCTCGTCGAAGAAGATAGGTATGTTACTCCGGCGCCTGAGAGACACACATTCTCGCCAGGTCGCACAAGGGGCTTCCAGGACGAAATCCAGTCCATCCGGCAGTAATCTCAGCATCCTCAACCCGGTTTCGACAGTCAACCCGCCGTTGGCATCGACAATGAAGAACTCATGAGGCTCCTTGTCGGCGAGAGCCGCTGCGATGCGTTCTGCGTCCATTTTGGGCTCCCCATCGATCTTGACCGAATGGCCCACATAACCCTTCGCACGAAATTTGCCAACGTGTTTGCGCATCGTTTCCGGTTCACCCACAGGGATGGAGGAAATGAGGGGCAACTTGACATCGGTGCGGCCGCCGAGGAGGTCGCACACAGGGAGCCCAACCGATTTGCCCAAAATGTCCCAGCAAGCCACGTCCAGAGCTGCCTTTGCATGTTCGTGACTAAGGAGCGCAGCATCCATGGCGTCGTTGATGCGATCCACCCTCCGCGGGCCGAGCCCAAGCAGCTTGGGCGCGATCTCTACAATTCCAGCCCGGACACCGAGCGCATGGGCTGCGACATAGGTCGATCCAAAGGGAGTGCTTTCTCCCCAACCCTCGATGCCATTTTGAGTGGTTATGCGAACGATTGTAGCATCGAAGCTGGTGTATTCGCGACCACCGGAGAGACGATAGACTTGCCCGACGTAGGGCAGATCAACCTGGAAGACGTCGATGCGAGCGATCTTGACCTCCGACATCTTGTGCTCTCGCCTTTCTGTCTAGAAAGTGTTGCTGAAACTGTTTACAAGACGCGGCTGCACCATGAACGACTCATACCCTGAGGCTGAGATTACGTGCTGTTGTCTTTCAGCGGTGAGCTCGGTCCGCCTAAGAAATGCAACCTGATAGCGCCACCACGTCTTCCGAGTGCTTGCAATTGGGAAATCCTCGATGCAGTTAGTTGCACTTTGGTCGAATCTGGGGTAAAAGTCCCCCCATAGCCTTGTCCTTCAGGTTAGGTTTGGCGTGCTTGCCTAATTAGGCCAAAAAGTCCCACTTATCAATCTCACCCTTTCTGGATCACCTCGGATCACGATGCTATGCAGCCCGGCCATTCATGGACAACCTACCCTGTAATAACATCTCAATCTGGCAATTCTGAGGTAAGATGCGTCCTGGAGGCTGATACTACGGATTGAGTTGCAAAGCCATGGGCGAGCCGGAAGGTCGTTGACCCTCGGAGGCCAGTGCTGGTCATGTGTCGACGATGATCTCATGAAACCATATGAATGATACATAACGCTCCCATTACTCAGGGTGTTCTGTAAATCGTCGGGTACATTACGGAAGACTTTTGGAACTCACTTCGTATTATCAACTTTGATCAAACGGACACCTTCCACAATGGCTGTCCTCAACTATCTCGGTTTCGGAGGCCCAGCGCCAACAGTCAAGCCCAGTTCCGAAACCCCTATCAGGGCTCTGCCAGCAAGTTGGTACACGTCTGAAGACATGTATCAGCTCGAGAGACGAGCCATCTTCTCCCGCCGATGGATGCTGACCACGCACAAGTCGAGATTCGGCCAAGCCGGGGACTACCTGAAATTCGACGTTGCCGCCTACGAGTTTGTCCTGTGCCGTGACCGAAAGGGACAGGTCAATGGATTCCACAATGTTTGTCGTCACCGTGCATTCCCTGTTGTGCAAGGGCAAGAAGGATCAGCCAAGATATTTGCTTGCAAGTACCATGGCTGGTCATATGGTCTTGACGGCAAACTCGCCAAGGCACCAAAGTACGATGAACTCGAAAGCTTCGATAAGTCTCAGAACGGCTTGTTCCCGATCCATGTGCGTGTCGACGCCAGCGGATTTATCTGGGTCAATCTTGACAGCAACGAAACGCCGGAAGTACCGTGGGAGGAGGACTTTGACGGTGTCGACACGCAAGAGCGCTACCACGTCTACAAGTTTGACGACTACGTTCTCGACCATGAGTACAAACTTGATGGTGCATACAACTGGAAGATCCTGGCCGACAACTTCAACGAGTGCTATCATTGTCCGACAGCTCATCCAGATATACCCACACTTGCAGATATCGAGACGCACGATGTTTCCGGTGTCGACGGTTATATCAAGCATCAGTCTGTACCCTCCGAGGAGCAAAAGAAGCTTGGTATGGCCATTGCCAGTACCTATTTCTTCCCCAATGTTTCCATCTCGGTGCTGTAAGTAGTGAGGTACAATACTGGAAACTACTATATGCATTGCTAACAAGTCCCGACAGGCCACACTTCCTCATGCTGCAGCGCTTCCTTCCCAACGGACCAAAGAGTTCATCAATGCACTATCAAATCTACCGGAACAAACATTCATCCGATGAGGACTTTCAACGCATCCACAAGCTATATGCTAAAGTGGTGTCCGAGGACAAAATCCTTTGCGAACTCTCGCAGAAGAACCTCAATGCTGGGGTGTTTGTGAATGGTCAAATGCATCCAAGACTTGAGAAAGGCCCTTTGTACTTCCAGCAGCGTGCACGCGAGGCAATCAGGGACCACGTGGAACGAGAGAAGGCAGAGAAGCGAGAAATTTGGCCTGCTCAGCAGAATTTGCCCGCCGATGCAAGTGTGAGCAAGGAGGATGTAGAGCTCTGCTCTGGTCTGAGTTGTCAACCAGATCAAAACATCTTAGCCTGGCAAGAGATACAACGGATGTAGGCATGGCAGCATAGAAGTTTGGCCACGTAGCATAGCATAGCATAGCATACGCCTTTTTGTTCACATGATCCATGCCAATGGTCTCTTACGGATAATTCAACTCGACGTTCGTTGCAACAGATTACTGGCAACCAATCCCAACCTCACAAGACCCGTATTAGCAACTACGGAAACAAGATAAGCGACTGTCAATACTAGGTGCATCTCCTTATCCTAGTCAAGATAATGATACTGCGGGATCATAGCCGAACATGCATAATGCCTTGCTGGGGAGCTGACTCGATCTCAGGTCTTATCATTCCAAGCATTGAAAGGGGCAAGAAAGTCCCCCGTCATGCCATCTCCGCCTCCACGGAATGGCCCAGCACCCTGCAAGAGGTGTACTTTTTCTCCCGCTCTAGTCAATCTGGCACACGACTCACTAGCCCCTACAGACGAGAGTGATGGGTGACGCACGCGGTGCAAAAGTCCTTTTTTGCATGCCGATCTGGCTGACGTCCAATCTATAAGACCCACCTGCGCACCAGTGGTCTTTGTTTTCGTGTTTCGTCTTGCCATCACTCGTCCTATCCCTAATCTCTTCGAGAGAAAAAGCAGAAGCTAGAAGACTATGGCAGAATCCAAAGACTTCAAGGGCACCATGCCCAACCTCGATCTCGAGAACACCACTAGCAACAATGGCTTCGGCCGGGTTGAACACGTCGACGGACTACACAGATCCCTAAGTAATCGCCAAATACAATGGTTAGCCCTAGGGGGTTCCATCGGCACTGCTCTGTTCGTCAGTATCGGATGGGGTCTGATCGAAGGCGGACCGGGTTCCTTGTTCATCGCCTTCCTCTTCTACAGCATGGTCATTGGCAGCATCAACAGCGGTCTCGCAGAGATGACGGTGTATATGCCTGTTGCTGGCGCATTTTTGCGCTTCGCCGGCAAATGGGTCGACGATGCGTTCGCGTTCATGGCCGGTTGGAACTTCTTCCTCTATGAGGCCATTCTCATCCCGTTCGAGATATCGGCGCTTACTTTGGTCCTGACGTTCTGGCGCGACGACATACCGATTTGGGCCGTTTGTCTGGGCTGTATCGTCCTCTATGCTATCATCAACGTCTTCGCTGTACGCTGGTACGGTGAAGCCGAGTTCTGGCTTTCTTCGGGCAAGCTCATCTTGATTCTGATCTTGTACTCTTTCACTTTTGTCAGTAAGTATTCTCCTCTCTGTGTGGCTGTGACATCGAAGCACAAGTATTCCGGCTTTTCCCTCTCGTTCCCTGTAACAGCTGTCTGATAATCTACAGCGATGGTCGGCGGGAAGCCCAAGCACGACGCGTACGGGTTTCGCTATTGGAACAGCCCAGGCTCCTTCGCCGAGTATATCACCACAGGCTCGTTGGGGAAATTTGAGGGATTTTTGGGCTCACTCTTCACCGCAGCCTTCACGGTCTGTGGTCCAGAGTACATTTCCATGGTCGCTGGAGAAGCTGTCTACCCTCGCATCACCATCAAAATGGCCTTTAAAACAGTGTAGGGCATTCATCATCCAGTCCTCATGTGCCAAGTATGCTGACCTTCCAGGTATCGGCGCTTTGGTGCCTTCTTCATTCTCGGAGCCTTGTGTGTGGGCATTGTGGTCCCATACAACGACAAGACACTCATCACCAATCTGAGCACCAAGGGTGGCTCCTCGGGCGCGTCATCCGCATATATCATTGCCATGCAGAACATGGGTGTTCACGGGCTGCCTCATCTTGTGAATGCACTCCTGGTCACCAGCATCTTTTCCGCCGGCAATACGTATGTCTTCATGGCTACACGGTCTTTGTATAGCTTGTCTCTTCAAGGACAGGCACCAAAATTCCTTCGCGCCACCTCCAGAAATGGGATTCCGTATTACTGCTTCTTGGTGACCATGGCATTCCCATTCCTCAGCTTTCTCCAGGTCAGCAGTGGCTCAGCTCAAGCGTTGAAGTGGTTGGTCAACCTTATCACCGCGTCTCAGGAGATCCACTATATCGTCATGGCTACGACATACTTGTTCTTCTATCGAGCACTGAAAGCGCAAGGGGTAGACCGTCGAACTCTGCCATACAGAGGTAGGCTGGAAGCCAGTTTTGCTAGCTTTGAGAACATGTGACTGACTCGTGCGACAGGTTGGGGTCAGCCGTACGTCAATATATTTGGCTTGACCATTGTTTCCATCGTGGTCGTCATTCAAGGATATTACGTCTTCATGCCGGGCAGCTGGGACATCGGCAACTTCTTCACATACTACACCATGATATTCGCATGTCTCGTCTTCTTTTGTGGGTGGAAGCTCGTCAAGCGGACCAAATTCGTACCTGCTGCGACTGCAGACTTGGTGTGGGACAAGGCTGTCATCGACGCTTATGAAGAAGCCACACACCCGCCTCTTGGTATCTGGGAGGATATCTGGGTGCCTTCTCTGGCAACTATTCGTGTCAGGAAATGGGAAGACAGGCGAAGGATGAACGTGGCCCGCCGGAGGAGTAGTGCGGCAAGGTCAAGCGGCGAGATGCAGATGGCAACTCCCGAAAAGTGAGCTTGCGAGGGGTCATATGGGTGAGGTGGAAGTCCTGCTCAGAGCAACGGGAAAACACCATCAGTGGTCGACCGGGCCGCTTGTGTGGACTACATTTGTTGTCCATTTTGTATCCTGGACGTCATCAGCCTGAGTGAACCACCGTACATCCAGTCCGTCGCGAGCGTTGGCATGTTCTTTAGCCAAGCGTAACTGTAGATGGTCAGTGTCACTGTTCCAGTATAGGCGCAGGAGCCATAAATCAAGAACTGCCGCTGGGACACTCACCTTCCCAATCCCAGTCCTTCATGACTCCCAGCCAGTGCAGATTCCCTCGGACCGTGTAATGTAGATTGCTCGCCCTTGTAATGTTATCGATTCCCTTCTCGAAAGCCAAAGAGTCTGGAAAGCCGGATGGTGGCGCAGTGACCGTTGTCGTCGCACTACATCGGCAGCGACGGTTTCCCCCTTCGATGTGACTCGAAGATGGGACCGGCACAACAGTGGCGGTCATGCTATCCACGTTAGGACTGGTTCCTGGTGAACTGAGCCGGAAAGCACCGCAGCTGGGGCATGCGCCACATTTTGCTTCGAATGCGTCCCTCCTCCTCCATACTTCCTCGGTCACTCTCTTGTATCTGTCCAACCTTGACAGGGGCATTCGCTTGGACATGGCGTCCCATCTCTCACGCACCCAGTCGCGGTCTTCTCTCTCGAAGGCCTCGCCAGCTATGGCCATGAGGGGGAATGTCTGGACAATCATTGTTCGAGACGTAACAGGGGTGGTTGCAAGGTAGATGGAGACCTTCTCCGCCAGTTCCCAGAATGACTGGATCCATGGAAGTTCCGGTATGGCCTGCCTCAGTAGCAACAGCGCTGCCCAGCGATATGCCTCGGCCGTCTGTATAATATCCGAGGTGTGGGGCGTAATACCTCCTGAACGTTCTGGATCGAAGGAGGGCGTCCAGCCCTCGATTGCCAGCCGTAGCTCTGCACCTTTAGGGATCATGAACGGCGAGTTGTGCTTTTCGGTCCTTCGTCGGACGGACTTGATGATGTCCGCCAGATGCCCAAGCAATGGGAATAGCGCGATAGCATAACCCATTAGTGGGTCGAGCTGTTTCAGTGGCAGAGGATGAAGTTGAATATAGGCTGTCATGGACTCCATATCATCAAAGTCACCTTCGTATGAGGTTGTCAGGCGAGTCACAACATTTTTGTACATCCAAGTGCGTGCGAGGAAGCTCAGCCGGTCCAGCTCCGCTCCTGTCAGCCTCGTAGTCTTGTGTTTGTTGAAAGCGTCTCGAACAAGCTCTCCTGCCAGCCTGATATGCTGCATCCCAGGCGAAACTTGTTGGTCGTCCCAGGATTCGGCGAAGCTAAGAGCCAGTCTGGTGGCCAGGGAGGCTTCAAGAGATATGCTGCTATTGTCTTTGACCTGCGCAAAGGCCTGCACGCTGTTACCAAAGTGCTCCACGCCAGCCGCGCGGGGTTGCGGCTGTGACTTGCTCGTGTATGAATATGACATCGCAGCCAGGGCATGGTAAAGTGCCGGACAACCATCAGCCATTGGCCACACATGGACTTGCCACGGGTTCGTTGACCGATCGTCCCCGATGGACAGGACATCAGAGAGATGACTGTCGAAAAGATGTTTGACCGTCTCCCTACTGTCAGACACCGAGCAAGCCTGCTCGGGGAGGACATATTGATCTCGGGGTCCATTAGGTCGCCTGTTGGGCTGGGCTGGAGCAGAAGCATTTGAGCTCTGTGTGACTTCATGTGTCTGCGTTACGTCACCTCCTTGGTTCGAGATCTCCTCGAAGTTTTGCAACGAGTTGAGTGGCGAGAAAATCAGGTCGGGAAAGCCTGGCGGTTGTTGCTTCTGTGGATCGATATTTATCGTCGGTGTTGAGGGGAGGACATTATGATCATCATTTTGCAACAGCTGGATGGATGGAGTATTGGCGAAGGAACCCAGGTTGGTGGGAACAGTGAACTCGATGTTGCTGTCATCAATAAAGAAGCCATCAGTGAACTCAACGTCCGTAAAGTCGAATACCTGCCCATGCGCTAATGAGGTCCAAACGTCTTCTGCATGAAGCTGTGTTGTTGGCGCATCACCGGCCAGGAGGTTTGCCGCTGTCAGGTTCGTGTCAGTCTGCAGAGGCAATATCATAATTTGGTTATCTGGGATTGCATTCTTGTCGAGCGGTGGACTTGATCGTCTGGTTGAAGCTGGTGCCAACCCCTGAGACCGAGTCTCTGAAATCGTCAGTACCACCACCTCCATGTACAAGACTTCTGCGTCGGAGGGGCTAGGGAGTGACAACATACTTTCACGCCGTCTAAGTTTTTACGGAGGACTGGCAACCGCTCTGGAATTGATTTTGGAGTGATTGCCGTCTCAGGCGAGGTGTCAGCGCTACAATACGACGGGATCGACAAGGGCCGATCATGACCGCACTGATCTATGGCGCGTGTTGCCCCTGAATCCGTCAGGGGTCTGCAGTAGTATGGTGTGAATGACATCTTGGGAGCATTAGTCAGCTTCACCTAAATGATAGCCGGACTGAGTGTACAGTCTTGCAATATGAGTGAACGGAGGACTGGAAGAGGTCGAGGGAGGGAAAGAACCACTTATAGATGGTCCCCTAACAATGCGGCTCAAAGCGGGCAAGATTGAAGCCCGAACAACAATGTCTGCAGGCACCATCTAGATGAGATGTCGAGCAACACAATCTAAAGGCGAGGAAGCGAAAATCGAGGCGCCGTTCGGCGATCCGACATTCGCTGAGACAGGCTCCACACCCACTGTGAAATCAAGAATGGAGGCAAGAACGCGCGCCTAGCCGTGGCGGAAGCTTTTGCAGCTATTCTTGGGGTGCTTTGGGAGTATCTCAGACTTGATCGAAGCGGCCCGTTCTTTTTGGGAACAGCTTCTGGACGATTGGATGAGCAACATCGGGCACCCCGTGAGCTTCCTGCACTATTTTGGGGTTATCACGAAGTTGATCACTGCAGGCGAGGCGGAAGGCGACATGGAGCGTAATGCATGAGACTGACGGTCGCGCTTCAGATCAGCGCTGGTGTGGTGTCCATTGGCAGTTTTCTTCTAATTTGAATATGAAGGCATCATTGATGGCTACAGATTACGTCTGTCGAAGAAATATGAGCAAGAAGAGATGGGTAGATAATGCGCAGCAGCAATAGAACACCATTCTTGATTATCGACCGCTCCTGTGGACGCTTTCGTTTGTAGTGAGTCTAGCTTAATGATCCCAACTATGAAACCGCCGAAAAGCTATGTTTGGAGACACGTGACAACATATGTTGTACGGTGTGATTTCACAGAGGACTTGTCATTGGTCAAGGGCCGTGGGGACCTGTCAGACTATATACTTGTCCGGAGCGTCGTACATCGGGTACGACGCCCTCCTGAGTCAGTTGCGGGTCGTTGACCGTCATTACATCCCTTGGCGTTGCCAATAGGCTTAATAATCACATCCTCCCCTATCTAGACTGGATACCCATAGCCTCGTAGCCTCATAGCCGTGTAGCCGGATCAACAATGACCTCTAATTCCAGGTTGAAGACGTCTTGGGACTATTTGCAGGTGTTTTCGAACACGTCCGAAGCCTGGCGGAAGATGGTTGCCCATCGTCGGGAGTCTCCGATGTGTGCCCCGTGGAGGCGCATGTGCGTCCTGTCCGGCGGCTCGAGCCATGACCCGTCACTTCACCGTCGTCCTGTTCTTTCATATGCTCGCCGGCGTAACACGTGCAAGTTCAAAAGACCTCACTTAGGTCGTTAGTTGAGGCCTTATTCACACGTCCGGGGGCCTTGCTTTCACTTCACCTGCCCTTTCAGATGGGCCACGGCGGTGAATACCTCGTCGTTGCCTAATTTCGGAACTGGTTCCCGATTAATCAGGCGGCGCCAGCGACAGCGTGATGCCGGAGGCGACGGCAAGTCCCCGGAGGCCGTTAACGAGCATGTGAGAGCCTTCATGTCTATGAATACGTGCCCAATTCTTCTCCCAAACCATCTTTCTCTCTTACCACAACCATCAATCCTTCCTGGTTGCCTGTTCTCCTTCTTTCTTTGATCCGAGTCATTCATACAGTCAATCAAGCCTTCAGTCGTCTTGCGCCGTGCTCAAGATGGCTCCTAGGATCGAGGTGCCTCGGACTGAGTAGTTTCGTCGAGTCGAGGCCGTCATGAGGTCGTTGAGTACTCGTCAACCTCGTAAGACAGTGGTTCTGGTGAGGAATTGACATCCTTAGTTGACAGTGTAGTTACTAATGATATTTGGCCAGCACAATCCAGCACTCGTCGTCATAGGTAGTCGTGATCCGATGACTCACTAGAAGTTCATCGACAATATTCGGCAGGGTGTTTGGAACACTCGGAACTCGTCGGTGGCTGTGCTCAACCTACTGGATCAATTCTTATTCCTTCGCCCTCTAGAGTACTACGGTAACCGTGACTTCGATAATCCTTAGGTCCTGGCCGCAGCACTGGTTTACATGAAGGGTCATATCGAAGCAAGAGCTTACGATCATTATGCTGAAGTTAGCACTCTAGTGTCATCGAAGGAACCCGTCTTTCCGGAGTGTATCATAATGTAGAGGGATAGTGCAAATGGTGGTTTATACCTCTTGTTCGGTAACTATGCTTCTTGTTATGCTGCAAGTCGAACATATTTCTTGAAGACTAGTCGCGAAATCTAGTAGCCACCCAAGATTAGCGGTGCTAGTCGTAGTGGTCTAGCTCGTCGTTATTTCGATTCTTAGGCTCGTTCTACTTCGCCGTCCGTTGAGATTCCTCCTAGAACTCCTCGTGGTTAAGCCACTCGTCAATCCGGCAGAGAGACTCGGAGTTTAGTTCGGTAGTAAAAGAGTTCTCGGTCCTTGTAAGAGAGCTCCGGACGTGTCAAGACTAAGAGGAAATGGCCGAGATCCTATAGTTGGGACTCTATATCTTAAGCGAGATCGTACTTAAGGTGAGATAATTAAGCTCGATAATGGGGATAGAGGTGCCTTTACGCCTGAGGCAGATCCTTAATCTGAGGTGGCCGGTAAGGTCGCCTTCGAAGATGAGGAGGGTTTTGTCGCCGCTTTTAGTATCCAGAAGGTAGATATATCCAAGTATTCGAAGAAACAGGCTGTCGAGTTCCTTCGGAATATGGCCAATGTGATTGCGATTGGGGGTTTGGTGCTAGCATCAATTGCTTTCCATACATACCGCTCGCCGGACGTGAAGTTTGGTCGTACTGAATCAGTTGAACCTGAAAGTACGCCAACCAGAGGTCCTTCGCAGCGTTCAATGGCTCCGCCGGCTTCAGCTTCTTCGGCGGCGCTGAGTTCATACACCTATCCCATGATAGGCCAGACAGCTTTTGGAACTCCGGCGTCTGGACCACAAGGGTCTCAGACGTACGGTCAGCAACCCTTTGGTCCGGTGCCTTCTCAAGGTGAGTCTTCTCGGTACTCGCAACAACAGCGGTCCGAGGTTCAACAACAATCATATAGCCAGCAGCCATATGTGTATTCTCAGCGGCCACCAAGTGCGGGCTTAGGCATTGAATTTCAGTCTAATCGACCTGCCGCGGTCCGGCCTTCAGCTCTGTCTAAGGCATCAGTCCAAGGTCCGAACATTCCAGGCCTTCCTCCGCGTAATCCGGGGGCCACCCCGGCACTCCGAGGGGACTACTCGGTTAGTGGTGGTATTGGTGCCGATCATGCTCGCAGCGCTTCTCGCGCTATGTCAATTCGGAGCAGGGCATCTTCAGATGCGCGGACGGAAAGCAATAGTCCAGAGTTGAGACAATCAGTCGAGTTCGGTAATCCTCAGCAGCCTCCATGGACTGGTACAAGATAGCCGCCTAGTACGCGAGGTCACCTCAGGATTCTCCCTTACGTGGCAATACACTATAACGTGCTCCAGCTATGGAAGTAATTAGTCGGAGTCGCCAATCCCCGGTGGGAGAAGACGATAGACATAGTACTTGGTGTAGAAATGGAATGAGGAATAGTGTAATAGCGTACTGACAGTATGATCGAAGGGTGTTCTATAGTAGTCGATAGCGTTTGTGGGAGTGCGTTTTCCTTTTGCAGTCTTCCTGAGATAGGCTTGCAGGACGTTTCGAGGATACCTTGGTAGAGGAACGAGACCTAAAGTTGCCTATCGAGGCCTTGTATTTTGTCAGAGTACATAGCAGAAAATCCAAAAATAGGTGTACGCCTAATCTTTGATTTCCTTGCGCTTTGGTGCTGCCCGAAGGCTTCTTCCTACTATGTTTCGAACGCGCTGAACAGCTGTTGCAGGAGCAATACCAACATGCTGTTTTTTACGTTTGCTTGGCCGATATTGTCGTTCTGAAGACGTCGATTCGTCTCGCTATTCAGGAATTGGGTCCATGAGGATATTAAGTAGGTCCGGCCGACCTTCAAAACGTCCTTAGTGATATCGGGTATTCGATTCCTAGTCATCCGAAGGGTCTCGGTGATTATCGAATGCGCCCGGGTAAGATGCTAGATCTGCCCGGTGAAACGTAGATATTCGCCGATGATACTCCAAATCCACGTGGTGAGGCGCGGATATTGGAGGGATGTCGAGTGATTCCGGCATTATGTCGTCGGATATAAGCTCGATATTGTTATGTTCAACCTTCATGCGGTTAGATATGAGCGCGATGTCGTATAATAGAGGTATGATGTGTGGTTCCTTAACGCTAATGTTCGTTATTTAAGGTCCCTTTTGGCCTGGTTCAATATCCATTTCCAGGTCCGAGAGATATTGCGCGCCTTCGAAGGCCGTATCTCCTAACACTAGCGCTAGCGTAGTGTCCAGTTCCTTCCCGGGAGTAGTCACGCTATCCTGCACAAGCGGAGCATCCTTATGCTCTAGGGGTATCGAAATTACTGAATTGGCGGTGTCTAGTTATTTATTTCGCCGTTTAGGTAAGATCCTAGGTGTGTGCATTAATCATGGACTACCTTCTGGCTTCGGGACGAATAGGACTAGGAAACCTCAAGGGCTCCGAGATGGTCTCGCGAGTCCTTAGTTCAATAGTTACTTAATTTGGCGATCTTATTCGTCCCGATATTGCTTCGACAGGGGATAATAGGGCAAACTAATCGGTTTGGCATCTTTTGTGTCAACGTCATACTTAATATCCCGCGTCCGAGGGTATTGGATAGGTAGCTCGTCCTATAGCACATGAGAATACCTTTTCAGGATTAGTCGGTAACGCTTCGGCGCACTAGTAATAAACGCCTTCAATTGTTAGCGAGCCTCTATTCTTGGCCGAACAATGTACAGTATCGGTGTCATGTCTTCGACCATCTCAGGAGGCCTTGGTTTCTCCGGCGGCGGCTCCCCCTTTTCTTTCGCATATCGTGCTAGTGTCCGAGCACGTCCATGTAGTTTAGGAGCGGTCGACAAAGCGGACAGGTTAGCATTACACGATTCCGCAAGTGTAGAGGTCATAGGTTTTCGTTTCCGCCACTTCGAAAGGATCTTGTTGGCCTCCCGGAAGCTGGATAAGTTGAGTCCAATCTCGTCAATGCCCCGTAATTGACAGTCCGGAAGGGTCTCGTGAAGAGGAACGACTCTTTTCCAGCCCCATTCTTCACTGTCACACGATTCGAAGCGATATCCTAGTATGCGTTATGCTATTTAAGCCAGTCCAGACCAAGAATCACGTCATAAACATCCCATTCAAGTATTCGAAGTTCGGTGCGAGCCCGGAAGTCGCCAAGTCTTAGCCTAGTGGCCACCGTCTGAGTTGAAAGGGTGGTCTGACCATTGGTGAGCCTAACACGCAGAGGACGTGCCTTTCTCACTTTGAGACCCTTAGGGAGGCGTTGAAATGCGCTTTGGGAAATGTAGATGCCTCTGATCCAGTGTCTAGGAGGACAGTCACGGCGATAGGCTCTTTTGACTAACCTAACGCTCCGTTGACGATGTTGTAGCTGTCCTCTTTATCGACGCTTTTAGTGGACTCATAGGTAGCCAAGTGGACGTCGAGAGGGTTTTGCCTTAGCGAAAATACCTTACGCGACGCGGCGTCAAGGGCTGACTTAGCCTTGGGGTTCACCGATTGCTCTACCTGGTCGTTAGACGCCCCATGGTTCAGCGACGCTGGCCTTTTTCCCGAAAGGATCCTCGCGAGCCACGAGGGGTGTCCTTACGCGCAGGTTCAGGGCATTCCCGTTTCATATGGCCTGGCTTCCCACAGTTGTAGCACGTCGGCTGGTCGGACTCAGCGGTTTGGCTTGATCCACCACGGTGGGCATTGAATGACCCTCGGGAGGACCGCCCAGTGCCACGGCTAGGGGTCGAAGAGGATCTCATGCTGTGAAGCGTCATTTGCGTGTCTCCATCAGCATCCTTCTTCCGATAGATAGGAAGACGGTTGTACACTCGCCCTCTCCTAGTCCGGGCGCTAAAGAAGTCCTTCCGATGAACAATATGATACAATTCACGCTTCGTTTTGTCTACGTATTGGACGTATCCCTCGAAAGTACTTAGCAGAAGGGCGTCTAGGGAGGATCTCTATCCGGTCACGGATGTTGGTGTTAAGTCCACGCTTGAATAGTAGGAGATAGTCAGCATCCGTTGGCGCAGCCTGGAGGTACATCCGTTTGAACTGGATGTTGTGGGAGAAAGCCTGAATCGTTGTCTTTTGCGGAAGGTTACTAAACTCGTTATGGCGCTCGTCATTGGTCCTAACGTCTTTGAAGCGTTCAGCGACTAATTCGTGGGATTGAAGCCATGTTTCCGCGAACCGCTCCTCTTGTTCGGCGATGCTGTTGTCGGCTCGTATGAGCTATATCGCCGCGGCGTCGTTCTTGCGTTGCTCTTTGTACTCGGCGATCCGCTCGATACGGCCACGGGCGTTCTGAATATTGCTAATATGGACGTTCGGGGCTAAAGCAGTAGGGGTAGTAGACGAAGATGATAGGTTGGTGTCCGAAGGCATCCCATCGAGGTGCATATGGCTCGGACCAGATTTTTAGGTCTGTCCATCGCTCCCATTAACGGTAACGTGCGGGCCTGGCACGGGCAAGGTTTGGTCTTGGGGCGGATTGCCACCCATGAGCCCTAGGAAGCGATTTAGTACTTGAGTCATGGACTCCTCGACGAGGCCGCGGATGTTCTCGTGGATCTGCTTTGTTTGGTTTAGAGACTGGCCGACGGCTTCTATCAGTTGTTTGGACCGGGCCTTCGACATTCTAGAGACGGGTTGCGTCGTCCATTGAAGGTCCTTCGGCTGGTGGGAGGGGTATTCCGGATATGAGGTGTATACTACATTAGGTGCGGAAGTAATTGTTAAAGTTCCTTCTAGTAAAGATACAAAAGGTGGTTGTAGGGTAGGAGAGAGATGATAAAGGACAGAACGAAGAAGAAGGGGGCTTTCGAGCGAAGGATATAGTAGTTGGGAGAAACTAGCTCGACCAGCGAGTGTCCTCTTCCGGTATCCTTCCCACGTCTGGGTTTGCCTCCATCAAGTGTTCCATCTTTGGAACGGCCGCTGCCACCGCTTCCATCATCCGGAGTCCAATCATCTCTGTCGAAAGTGTCATTCATGAGGGACTTTCCCCCTCCGACGCGTCCTGGCGTGGTTTCCTGCCTCGTTGAGGAGAGACTCCTTGGTAGAAACCACAGCAATCAACCGCAATGCCACACAGACATACCTTCCGTCGATTGACCTGGAATCGATTCAGGTTTTTGCGGCATCCGAGGAACACCAGAGTTCACGGGACGTTCTCCATGGTCAGCTTGGTTTCACCGTCGTAGATCCGCAGCGCCTCTCGTGCTCGCTCGGCCTCGTCTCGGATGATCTCCGCGATCTTCTCCGACCGCGGCGTGAAGCGTGCAGGAAACGGCTCTGGTCGCATGTTCTCACTCTTCGTGTAGGCGAAGACGTCCAGTCTGACTTGATTGCCCTGTTGGTTCCCTTAGTGTTAACAGCTGATCACTGTAGCGATGTTCGAGCCTCGCGTGGGACAGGTGGGGAGACGCTGAGAAGAGGTAAAGGGAGAGGAAAGGAAAGGAAAGGGAGCGAGGAAGTACTGACGCTTTCATCCAAGCCAGGCTTCATGTCAAAAGCCCACAAAAGCCGTGCAATCGTGAGCAAAAGTCCTTGCTGTGCCAGCGGCTGTCCACTGCACTGACGTCGACCCCATCCAAAAGCGTTGTGGCCCTTTTTGTTAGGATACGGACGGCGCTCGGGCCCATTCAAGAAACGTTCAGGTCGGAAGACGTCTGGGTCGGGGAATTCGCGTGGATGACGGTGGATAGCCCACACGTTCCCAATGATCGGAGTACCCGCGGGAATGTGGAAGCCTCGATAAACGTCGTCGTGCGTAGGGGCGTGCGGGATCCCTCCGAGGACAGTGACCGTGCGCCATCGGAGTGCTTCCTCAACGATGGCAGAGATATAAGGCAAGGAGGTCTCGTCGGATAAGGCGGGCGAACGGTCGCGGCCCACGACGCGGTCGAGTTCTTCGTGAGCTTCACGTTGTGCCTCGGGGAAGGCGCACATGGCCAGAATAGTGGTGATAATGGAGCTGCTGGTAGTATCGACACCGCCTCCGATCAAGTTGGCGGTGAGGCCGGCGACGTCTTCATCGGCGAGGCCATACTCCTGTTGGCCCTTGATTATAGTCTTTGCAAAGTTGTCGCCGGGCTTCTGCGCGGCTTCCTTCGACAGCTGGTAGAAATATCTCTGGGTGTGCTTTGCCCCATTGAAGATGGCCGACGGCAGGGGGTAGATCCAAGACGGCAGTCGAGCCAGCTGGGGGATCGACTCCATCCAGAATGCGCCCGGCACAATATAATCAACGGATTCCATGAATTTCAATGCGGTCTGCCCAATGTAATCGTTCATCCGATCGATGCGGCGGCCCCAACCGATGATAGAAACCACCGAGATCGAGTATCTCTCGATGGACATGACGTAGGTTGTTGCATCGTCCATTAGGTTTCGAGTTAGGATTTTGGATTCGTTGGCCTGGACCGAATAGTGACCTCGCACCGCCTGGGAGCCGACCACTGTGTGCTTGTTCGAATTAGCGTTGGCCCTTTGCTTCGAAGACATTTTCATACCGTCAGCCTCCGGTGCAACCGCCAATGGTCGCCATACACGGCGCACGTTTGATTTGTTTCGGTCTGGTTGAGCATATCGCCCATCACGATGATGTGGGGCCTGGATGAGTAGAGCTTGTCCCGTTTCTCGAGGAGGTCCGAGGCGGACCAAGCATCATTGACGATGATGGTAGGCTTGCGTCCCACCCACAGGGTCAATAGTGGGTCGTTGTAATGTGCCGCCCACTTTTCCCATGCGAGCCATGGTTTCACCTTGGGAATAGCCAGATGGTTGCCGATCAACGGGAATGGAAACGGCCCCGGGGGCAGTTTTCGTCGTTGTTGGAGCATACGAACGTAGTCGACTACCACGACAAGGAGCAGGATGAGCGCGAGGCTACCGAGCGCCGGCGGAAGAAGTGTCCATGAGAAACGGCGGCTTGCCAACAGAGCCGGCTTATAAGATCCGAGCTGGAAGTCGGGCATCTTGGTTGCAAGTGAATGGACTGCGCGTTCAGTTACAGTACCTGTCTCGTTTCGATGTTTGCCCTTGAGAATGTGACAATGACATGCCGTGGCAAATTATAAATGGTTTGGAGGAGCACTCGTGGTTGTCTGGTCCCTCATGAGCCCCCCTGAACCTCGGCCATTATTTGTGTACGTATAAGGCCTCACAGTTACACTGTCCTAGAAGTCAAATCTTGATGGGGCCTCGACCTTGGATTCTGGAAGGGACTACGAGGACACCAAGTACGGTTGTGCCCCAAAGAAAAAGCCCACTGCTAGTTTAGGCCAGAGCAGGTGAAGTGGGGCTCATGTTGACCCTGTTTCCCTCCTCCCCTCAAACACCGACTTGAGTCGCGACAGCCACGCATCGTTGATGATGAGGCGGTGGGGTGCAATCATCCAGTTCAGAGGCCCAATATTTGCATGTAAAGCTCATCGAGAGAGATGGGAACTGCGACTACGAAAGCGTTGCCCATCGGTGTCTCGCAGCAGTCTTGTGGGGCTTGGACCAAGAGTGGCTGGAGCGCAGGCAGACGGTGAAGGGTCAGGCCGGTCGTCTGGAGTAAAGTGAGTACGGATGAAAGCATAGAGGACACGTCCGAATAACAACAGGATAATACTTTGAAATTCAAGGACTGATTCATTTCTTGGTATATTGGGATTACAAGCATCTCTAATAGACCACTGCAGCAATTACAAACAGCCGATACCGGCGCTGGATTCAATGTTTGAAGGCGGGCATCGCCTGCGGAATATGAGGCCTTATTATTTTCGCTTTCCCTTTCCGCCAACTTTTCGTGCTGGCTCAGTGGGCGCTTCCGATCACGTTACACGGTGGAATGGACACCCGTCAAGCCAATCGCGTCCTGCCGTGGACCACCTTCCAGGGCCGTGCTTGTCCCAATTTCATCCCCGAGCGTATGGGCCATAGTGGACGCCTCAACACGGCGGACTGCTCCTGTTATGCCTTCCTTTTCCATGTGGACAGCTACATGGTTGGTCAGATACCTGGATGGATCCCGAATGAAAAGGGTGGCGATAATGGCAACGACACCGAAGGGAATAGTGATCAGGAAGACCCGGCGAAATGCATAGGCATATGCATCCTTGAACGCCTGTGCTACTGCCAGCTCGATCGCGGGGCTGATGCCGGGGACCGCGGCAAAGGCATTTGGCACGCCGCTGGCATTTTCGATGGTCGCCGGGATCAGTAGGGCCAAGTTCTTTGCCGGAAAGCCCATGGCCAATGCAGCTTCTGAAATTTGTGGTCCCAGCCGCGAATTGACGGTGGAACTGAGGATGGTGTCAAAGACGGTGATGCCCACGCTACCGCCTGCGCTGCGAAATGTGCCGATCAGACCGGTAGCGATGCCCAGCTGGCGTTGGGGAATATGAAGACCGGCTACGATGTAGCTGATCAGGGTGATGGCGGCAAAGCATCCCTGTCCGAAGAACTGGAACGCTGACCAGGCAGCTTTGTTGGTCGGGATGACGGCGGCGTACAGAGCTACGAACAGGGTTTGGAAGCAGAGAAGCGTGGTGAGTTGCCATTTGAGGTGCTTAATTTTGTGTGCCAGGGACGGGATCACCCAACCTCCGATTAGTTGGGAAAAGCCGTTGGGCAAGGCGAGAAGGCCGATCTCGGTGGAATTGTTTGTGAACATGTACAAACTTCCCTGGGGAAGCAATCCGGCCATGGAGTAGAATATCATGCCAGAAACGAAGACCAAGACCAACAAGATAGTGAATTCTCGGACCTGTTTGAAGAGTTCGAACGGAAAGAATGGGCGTTTGGCGAGCGTAAAGTCGTAGACAAAACATGCGACAAAGGCCAAGAAGCCAAGGACGATTGGTGCGATGACCGATACGCTCTTCCATCCGTGTCCAGCGGTGCCAGCCCAGTTGAGACCGACCAAGAAGACGGTGAGGCCAGTGGCGTACAGGAACAGACCGATGTAATCAATCTCCTTGACCTCGTGCCAGCGAGATTTGTCGTAATCCAGCTGCGGACGATGAGGTGGGAAGTAGAAGCATGCGGTGCCCACGAGACAGATGACACTATAGATGATGGAGATGTAGTAGCACCACCGCCAGCTCGCATGCTCTGCCAGGGCATTACCGAGCAACACGGCAACGACGGCCCAAGGCATCGTGATGCAGAATTCGGTCCATCCCAGGCCAATTCCTCTGCGACGTGTCAGTGGCTATCACTCATCATTAGGGCTCTCGAGACCACATACCGCCATTTGTTAGGCAACAATTCTGGAATGCCAGCATAGCCGACAAAGATGATGCCGCATCCAAAGCCCAAGACCGTCGAGGCAGCCGCGACATGAAGTGTGGTCATCGCGGTCGCACCGACAATCTATACAAGAGGTCAATTCAGACCCCAAGGGAGAAGTTGTAGGCTTAGTGGAGAGTGGGGAGGGGGGGGGGGCGGGGGGGGTCGGGGATGGGGTCAGTCTCACAGCGCCGATGATGGTGATACCTTGACCAAGGAGGATGACATTTCGACGGCCAAAAATATCGCTCAGACTTCCAGCGATAGCGAAGGAGACCGACGAGGCGATTGACCAGCCACCAGGAATCCAGCCGATATGGGTGGTGTCGCCCAGGGCGGTGCCGATGGGCACGAGGATACCCACGGCGAGGACGAAACCGCAGCTAAGGGGAGCGATGAAAGACAGACCGAGGAACTATAAAGGCCATCATCAGCGTGACAATCCAAGCCGATTCACCACAGGACAGACGAACAAAGACGGAGAGGATGGTGGACCAAGAGAGCTTCTCAGGCTTCTCCGGGTTGTCTTCCAGGGCAGCGCGATGAGGGTCGTCGAGATCGACGAGAACAGTGTTTTCCATATGATGTGTTCCGCTGGCTTCAGCCAGGGTGAAGTCGCGCTTTGACATGTCGGCCATGGTGATGGTGTTTTCGTGTGTTACGCTTGCTGCTGCACGACGCGACGCAAATAAAAGGATTGATTGCCAGCGAGGCGGCTATCACAATTATATTGGACCTAACTGCCCGGTGGGGATGCCCCATGCGGAGATCGGTCACGGCCCCATATCGCCTCGCTACTTACTCTGCGAGGCGGGGAGCCGAGGCGGGGAGCCGAGGCGGTCATTGATCTGGCTGCCGAAGCAGATCTTCGTTCCTAGATCCATCGTCTTGGGTGCAGCTACCCTCAACATGACTCTAGCTTCTCAAGTGGTGCGCTCTCGTCGGAGAAGTCTCCTGACGGACGAGCAGGGGCACTTGTTCTGATCAGCTGTGGAGGTTGGCACGTCAAGCAGACATCACAAACTGTCGAGTCCATCGTCGCAGTCCTCAAATTCGCGAAGAGGATGTGCCAGATCTAGACGTGTACACCTTAGGTCGCCATCCAGTTTTCAGCAGCTCACCTGCGAAGGGACCCAGCAAATGCTCACCAGTTGGTTTGATCTTGCTAGACCAGGTATGGTCGACAAGATCTGGATGTTGTCGCGTGACTGTTAACGACAGCTACTGTATGCCAGCAATTCGAGGTGTACACTCCAAAGGAAGGAAAGCTGCCGCGCTCCTCAACATCTGATGCCTTGTGGGGCCTTGCAATGGACGAGCCCTGGACTCTCCATGCAATCCGATGTAGAGCCTCAGATGGCTTCACCCCACATAGGGCACTTCGGACAAGCACAACGAGTCACAAATAGGCACGTTGGCCATGAACATATCAGACATTCAGGTTCACCATCACTTCAATCTTGCAACTCTTTCCAGCCGAAATCATTCCCGCGACCGAGCCTTGCGATCGACTCAACATGTCTGAAGAGCTGCCCCCAACCCCGTTGTTGTCCACCGAGAGGGGCCACCACAGCGGTATACCGAAGCGAATGGAATCGGAGGCGAAGCTTGCAAAAGCGCGATTGTTTTCCAACAAGACTCTTCCGGACAGTGTCGCTCGACAGAGGGAGATCCCCAGGTTACCGCCCAACATCTCCCGCGAGAGCTTCAACCGGGCCATGGCAGAGCTGCGGGAGATTCTCGGTGACGCAAACGTCGAGTTGAACGACAAGCCGTTGGTGGATGGGTGGTACATGGAGCACCCGTACGTTCTTGTCTCTTACTGATTGCTCCGTTTTAATTATGGAACAGAAACACTCATGATGCCTTTCACATCACCGATCAAGAAGAGATGGTCTGCAGCGCCGTGGTTTTTCCATCATCCACGGCCGAGGTGCAGTCAGTGGTTCTCTGGGCCAACAAGTACCTGATACCCATCTACCCCATTTCCATGGGCCGGAATCTGGGCTACGGAGGCGCCGCCCCGCGCGTTCCTGGCTCCGTCGTGCTCGATCTCGGAAAGCGAATGAACAAGGTCTTGAAGATTAACGCGAGGAGCGCTACATGTCAGGTCGAGCCCGGCGTCTCTTACTACGCACTCTACGAAGAGATCCAGAAACTAGGACTACCCCTGTGGATCGATTGCCCTGACCTCGGCGGTGGCAGTGTGTTGGGCAATGCCATCGACCGTGGTGTCGGCTACACTCCTTACGGAGACCATTTTTCGAAACATTGCGGCATGGAGATCGTCCTTCCAACCGGCGAACTCCTACGTACCGGCATGGGCGCGATGGAGGGGAAAAATGGCACGGATAATCCGACATGGGAATCATTTCAACCCCCCTACGGACCCTATAGTGACGGCATGTTCAGTCAAAGCAACTACGGTATTGTGACCAAGATGGGATTCTGGCTTATGCCGGAGACAGGCTCAAAAACCTACATGGTGGTTTTCCCCAACGACAACGATTTCGAGCAGATTGTCGAGGTGATCCGGCCGCTCGCGCAACAAGGAGTTTTTGCGAACATCCCTCAACTGCGCAATGTGATCCAAGAGCTGGCGGTCTTCGGCAAGCCGAGGAGCGATTGGTGGAACGGAAAAGGCCAGATGCCGAGAGAAGAGATTCGCAAGCACGCAACTGCATTGCCGTGTGGAGATATTGCATGGGTGTTTTACGGCTGTCAGTATGGCGACGCCGCCTCCATCCAATCCCAGATGAATTGTATTCAAAAAGCGTTCTCGACCATCGAAGGCAGCCGTTTCATCTACCCAGAAGAACTGCCTGATGACCATTACATCCACGCCCGCACCAAGGTGTTCAGCGGAAATCCCGTGCTGAAGGAAATCGACTGGTGCAATTGGAAGCCGAACGGAGCGCACTTGGATTTCTCGCCGATTACGCCGACGCAGGGCGAGGACGCACGCATCGTGCACGACATCATACATCGTCTCTTCAAGAAATACGGCTTCGACCTCTTTCCCACATTGACGATCGCGGGGCGGGAGATGCATTACATTGCCAACATCATCTACGACATGTCCGACCCAGATGAGAAGCGCCGCGCCGTCGAGCTCATGTGTGAGTTGATCCGGGAGACGGCGGCAGAAGGGTACGGGGAGTACAGAACGCATCTCCTGCTCGCAGATCAGGTGGCGGCGACGTATGGATGGAACGACCAGGCGCTGCGGAGGTTCAACGAGTCGATAAAGGATGCTCTCGACCCCAATGGAATCCTCGCGCCGGGTCGCAATGGAATTTGGCCCAAAAACTACAGGGGGAAAGGCTGGGAGATCGAAGGACCGGAACGCATTCTGTCGGGGAAAATCGTACCTCCGGAGACGAAAACACAGCCTGCCGCTAGTGCTAGGAGCTCACGCTTGTAGGAGACGGGGAGGGCCATTGTTAGACTGATGTAGAGTCAATGGTATCATTTTCCCCAAGACTGAATGTCATAACGCGATTGTCTCCTTGTCATGGGCCAGGTCCAGTAACAGTAATGAGTGAAGCCCAAGATCTTGTCTTCGACCATGCACCATAGATTGAAAACAATCGCACAACCCGTATATGATAAGTCAACAACCCGCACCAAGCTAAGGCCATTCAGAAGGTCTTTTTCGGCTCCCAGATGACCTCCGCCTTCCCGTGTTCTAGACTCTCAGCTATTCGGTTAGACCAGCGCGACCCTCTGTGACCCTAGATACCAGGACATCCAGCAGCCAACTTTGCACGGCGATTTCACATCGGCCTTTTCAGGGAAACAGCGAGTGACGGGCGCCCCACAAGCGTGGGCTCTGGGAAATGAACATTGCCATTTCAGTGCCCCACCTGTGACTATTGGAAATGGAAACTCTGTATTGCGTCTGGGCTTGGAGTACAGTTCGTAGACGGCAACGTAACGTGACGGGAGTCGGGATGGGGCTGGATCTGCGGTCACAAGGTGCAGTATTCTTCGTCTTGGAAGACTTGGGCTAATTTGAATATGGCAGGTGTCCATTCGTGTCTCTGATCATATTTCAATCGATTGGCGTGCCGAACATCGTCCATGCTCACAAACCGAGTGTGTTTCTTGTCTAAAAAGAATGTCAGACTCTGCTATGAAAGGTCAGTAAGCCAACTTGCCCCCTTGGTCGGGCAACCGTTGCTCGGTCAGAAAGACGGTCCGATACTAATATACTGGGTGTTTAGTCATCGTGGTCGGCGCCGGCCTGGGTGGTTGTGCCACCGCGATGGCCATGCACGCTCAGGGCTTTCAGGTCGAAATCTTCGAGAAAGTGAGGGAGTTCCTGCGTCTCGGGGATTCGCTGGGACTTGGTGAAAATGCACTGCGATTGTTGAAACGATGGGGCTTGCACGAAGACTTGATCAAAATCGGCAACAAGTCGAAAATGCTACAAATCCGGCACTGGGAGACGGGCGAGATTATTGCCCAGCAGCCTCTGATGGACATGGCCGGCTATGTTGGTCACCGGGGAGATTATCATGCAGCCTTCCTGAAAAGAGTCCATGAGCTCGGGATCCCGATCCACATGGGATGCAACGTGGGTTTGCCGTTCGGATGCTCGAAAGAGGCAGTCCTTTCACTGTGTATCTGGTGTGACTTGACGTTTTCCAGGTGGTCTCGTACGATGACACAATCCCGTCGTTGACGTTGGCAACCGGCGAAGTACACAAAGCCGATGTCATAGTTGCCGTCGATGGTGAGTACAGTGCTATTAAGACCACTTCTCCTCTCGTCCTGGCTGATGCCGTCCCGCAGGAATCAAATCGCTGGCTCGCGAGCTGGTCCTCGGCTTCGAAGACAAACCGAAGTCATCCGGGTACGCTTGCTTCAGGGCATTTTTCAAAGGTAACCTCCTCGATCCAGACCCCATTTACCAAGAGTTCCTCGAAAAGGAATGTGTGAACATCTGGATTGGTCACGATGTGCACCTGATCCAGAATACGCTGCGCGACGGCGAAGAATTCAACTGGATCCTCAACCGGAAAGATCCCAGTAAGCTGGACCCGAACGAGTCCTGGTTCCATCAAGGAGATATGAACGAGGTCCGGAAGATCATGAAGACTTGTGATCCGAGGATCGCGGCGGCGGTGAACCAGACGAAAGAGTGTTTGGACTGGAAGATCTGCTACCGCGACCCTATCCCGTCGTGGGTCAGTAAGAACAACACGATTGCGCTAATTGGCGATGCGTGTCATCCTCACCTCCCCACCAGCGCGCAAGGCGCATCACAGGCGACCGAAAGCGGTGCTGTCCTGGCTGTGTGCCTGAAACTTGCCGGAAAAGGGCAGGTCCCATTGGCGGTAAGTCTGAACTGCCTGGTCTCTGGTACTGGCACACTCAAGCTGACCATGGTGCTGCAGACGAGGGTGTATGAGAAACTGCGATTCGACCGAGTTCGTAGCTCGCAGCTCAATGGCGAAGATCTGCGAGACCGATGGCACAATGCACTGCGAACGGTGGAAACCGGTGGCATCATCGATCCCGAATCCATCAAACTCCGGGTAAGTCCTGCTCCACCTCCATGGGTCGCGACCGGTGATCAGGTACTAATGAACGATAATCTCTAGAATCGTTGGCTCTATTCCTTCGATGCCGAGGCCGACACGGTAGCTCGATGGCGAGAGGTATCTTCAGTTGTACGAAAGGAGCTGGAGGACAGGAACGTCACCCCGTTGTTCGAGGCTGGTGCTCAACCTGTGCTCATAGGTTGAGTGACACAGTGAGGTGGTGGTTACTTCCTGATTCATGGCGCGTGTGAGGGTGCACCAGGTGAAGCATGGAAGCAGTGGCATAGACAGCCACTCCGTCGATCGTAAGTTACCTCTGTAGTCTTCCACCTATCAAGATTGTCCTCGAACAGTTGGCCACGATGAGGCTGGAGTTCGTCGGTCGAAACAGGCCTAAATTAGCCCTCGGGTCCTTTTCGGCGCCGGCCATTCCGCAAGCGCCTAGACTAATAGGGCTCAAGCCCAGGTGGTCTGCCTTATCAGTCCACGCCTGTACTGGCGCGCCAATCATGCCTCTACCACTGTGCTTATCACGGTTATGCCACCACCTCTATAACGTCTGTAGCGTTACGTTTATCGTGCCTAAGTTGTCACACGCCTATATCATGCCTAGATTGGTGATCTGCTATATTTATGTGGTGTCGTATTCAGCATTGACTATTTCTAGGTATATTTATGTAATCTAGCGGACATAGTCGTCGGCCTTGTAGCACCGATCCGACTCTCAACGATCCGCCACGTTGGAAATCTTGGATTGTTCTCGGCGTACATGTCATACTGAGTGGCTGCGTCACCCCTCTCTTCTCTCCTCTCGGCCCCATGTTATCCTAACCCAGGCTCTAACTCTATCCCCGCACGGCACGGGCATGGGCACTGGCAGACCTCCAGATCTTCACTGCAAAAATCAAACCCCAAACATCAGAAATCAAACCAACAAACATCACTGCATTCCGCGTATTGCATTGCACAGACGCGCGACAGTCGCCATCATATCCACCTTCAAGTTTCATATCTATCGCTCAATCTGGTTCCAGTGGCAGTGGCGGCCCAGGGAGTGCCGTGAAGCGGGTATCATGCCTGTGACTTGCATGCGTGCCATCGTCCCATAAACCTACCACAGACACGCCATGTTATTGTGTCCGAGACATACACCACCACTTCTTCCACCATGCGCAAGACACTCTTGCGCAAGAAATGTCAATACTGCGAGAGAAGATTCTCCAAGGCCGAGCATTTGAAGCGTCACGAGCGCTCACGTACGTCCGATCCCTTCCCATCCTTTTCCCACCACCGCTATGGTTATTCAGCTCCGCTGGTGAAGACATGCTGACCATGCGCTTCTACACGCAGATACAGGCGAGAGACCATACACGTGTCGTCTGTGTGACAAAAGTTTCTCGCGCAGGTACGCATTCAATTCTCCCCCCCGGATGCCCAAATTCGCTTTCCCTGGCCAGCTATGCAGACACTGCCACTGACGCTTCCTAAGTGACGTGCTGCATCGCCATGTGAGACATCATGCACAAGGGACCAGCGAGGACGCCGAAGCCGAAGCCGAAGCCGAAGTCTTGGACTCGGCCACGGGTCAAGATCTTATCGAGCCCCAAGCTTCGTCCGGCGCAGTACGTAACCTGGACAATGTTACCACCATCGTCGAGACCACAACCCCATCGTGGCAGCGATTACAAAATGGAACAACATCTTCGCAGCTCATCGGTCAGGCCACAGAGCCGGTAGCTGCCGCGTATGAAGGCGACCCGTTCTGGAATGCAAGCTTCTCCTCGGGCCTTGAGCATCAGATGAACCCTCATGAACTCTTATGGCCCGTGCACGTTGATCAGGACACGAATCAACAAGATGCCGACACGTTCATGGCAGTCCATCAAGAGCAGCCCTTGTTTCCACTATCCGCAGGTATCGAGGGCCACCAAAGACCCATTCAGCCAGCCGGTATGCAACAACCAGAAATTTTTGCTCAGCATCCGGTGTCTTCGACCACGTCCGAGTATCCAGAAATCCACCCCATAGCCTCCGGAACTTTTGAGGGCAGGCGGCAGGAGTCATTACCGCAGGACCGACCCTCGCCACAGGCTCGTGAATTGTTGGACACGCAGAGTCTTTCGGCCGCTAATTGGTATTACGACCTTGAAATAATCGGAGAAAATGCCTACTCATCTCGAGATCCCTTTCCACTAATGCCAGACTCGGCCGCATTCGATTTCGTGGACGTTATCGATCCTACCCATCCTCCAAATCGCACCCCTTGTCTTCCCCTCTCAAGTCAACGGTCAAACGACGACATACCAGACGAGCGTTTTGAGAAACTCATGCGGTGCTGGCCAAATCGGAGAGACGATGCGATCCGCTTGATGCAAACGCTGTGGCAAGATGTAGCCTCCCACACAGAAGAGAACTTATTCTCCCAGGCTTTGCCCCCTCCAAGAGTCCCTTATGATCACCGGCAATCCGGTTCTCGATGGGGCCTGGACGAAGAATGCAGGCTTCGACTTCAACATGACTGTGACTTTTCATTCTTGACAGAACATCCCTCCCCAGCAAGGTGCAACAACAACAACGATCCAATCGACCATGACGCTTCAATAAGAGAATCAATATCAGGTAGTCCTCGCCGTAACCATCCGATCGCCTCAACCGTCATCGACTTTCCTCCTGCCGAGATACTCGATATGAGCCTGGACCTATATTTTCGCCGTTTTCACACCCTCATCCCTTTTATCCACGTTCCGACTTTCGATGCAAAGTCTACGCCCAGCTCCATGCTGTTCTCCATGTGCCTGATAGGCCTGACAATGTTGAACACGGACGGCGCAACCAAGTTCGTCCGGATCTGTTTCTCGGTATGTAAGGAAGTGTGGCACGCTGCCCTTGAATTCTTTTCGCCTCGATAGACCATTCCATGTCCTCTAACGACGTGGTTTTGTGCATAATAGAGTATCCTCGAGAAATGCTCCACGGAATTGGCATCAAGATCCCTCGGAATATGCACGCCACCGCAGCTGATGTCCACCTTCGCAGCCTGTTATCTGACCGTGAATCTTGCGACGATGAGCCCAGTAAGTTACGCCTTGCCAATCGTCATGACTGTTTCCACCGCCCTGTTCTCACCCCGATTTAGGAAACGGCTCATCACGAACAAGCACTGACGCTCTCTGTGCAAATGATTTCGGTCAGTCTCCATCCCCTACGGTTGAATCATCGAAAGCTAATGAGTGCCGGAGATCGCGCAGCGGCATGGTCTGTTCACGGCCAACGACGGAGACCCGTTGACCATGACTCTAATAGCACAGCATACAGATGGTGAGCAAAAGTGGAAATCTTGGGCTCGAATTGAATCGGCCAAAAGGTCTGTCAAAAGCAAGACTGTCTAGGGAAGTCTGGGCGACTGACGAGATGGCCAGGTTGATTGTCTGTCTCATCATGGCCGACTCATGGTCCGCATACATGTTTCACACCAGCCCAATCATTCACACGGACCGACTTCAAATCCTCCTCTCCTGTGAGGATGCTCTGTTTCGTGCTGGGTCTGCGAAAAAGTGGGCTCAAATTGTCCATAGCGGCAGCCTGGTTCTCATGCCTTCTTTGGCGCTCGATCCCAGTTCTGCACATCTCCAAAAGTTTGAGACACCCCTTGATGACTTCGGTATGTATGGATTGCTGTCCATAATCTGGCTATACATTCTCGAAGCAGATTACCGCCTGCTTCCCCCGAACACCCACAAGGTAAAAGGCAAGTTGCGGGTGCCATCCGAGGTGTACGCCCAGGATCCGCGAGTCAGATTTGTGGGGTCCCTTCTGTTCAATGTGGTTGATTTGTATGGAGATCGATTTGAGCGTATGAATCCAAATTGCATGGTGTTGTGGCACAGCATGTGCATAATGTTGACCACCGACCTCCGCATCATCGAATTGGGAGCCGGTTGTGCTGGGGCCGGGCGCGCACGGCAGGCGTTGGACGATATTGCGGCCTGGTCACAAACCGCAGCCGCCCGGAGGGCCTGCGTACACGCCGGCCAAACATTCATGATCATGTCGAAGCGGAAGGTGTCGGATGGTACCATGTTCCACTCCGAAGCCACGCTCTTCATTTCTGCTCTGGTCCTGGGTCTTTACTTGCTAACGGTATCCAATACCGCTGAAGCCGATGGGAACGAGACTTTGGAGAGCTTGGAGCTTCTTGATGATGTTGATTGGCGGTCCGTGGTCCACGAAGGCCTCACGCCCAACGGACAACCATACAACGGAGCTGAAAGCCTGGCCAAAAGATTCATCAGAGATGGTGGCAGCATCCAATTCTCCGGCCTGATCCACCATGGTGGGTACCAATCTGCACGGCGGATACTGCTAGACTACGCAGGCCTGCTGGGAGACGTGGGCAGATGGAAAGTGCGCAATTATTCTCGTGTTCTGCGAATCTTGAGCGACACTTTGCTGGATGTCGACATACCAGCCTCTGGGAATGACTTCTGAGCCTCGTCGCGAAGCCTCAAAGCCTTGGCACCCTAGCCACAGCCGAACGGAATCGTTGGTCAAAACCACAGTATTGGCAGTTAGAAGCCGATCCTTGAATCCATATTGCGGTCAAGGACGAGGCGTCGTCGCTCCAACTGAACAATTTCTCACAAAGGGAACGGACCAGGGTTGTTCCGCCTTGTGAATCTCGGTACATCAGCAGCCGCTTGAAGGTAGGGGCTGCGTATCTCGGGTGAGGACTTTGGCTCGCATTCTAGGACTGCTTCGGCTTTCCCCAATTGTTGGGTCTGACAAGCCTCGCGTGAGCAATGGACTCTGGATTGCGCAGCTTTCACTGCCTGAAAGGTCAATACGCCATGAGTGTGGTCGTGCAATTGTTGGCAGGCATCATTTGAGACTCTCCGTTGCTCCGTGGCACACGCTGGCAGACAATCAGCGCCGTGCAAGTCCCCACCATCTTTGGGTGCATTGTCCTCGCCGTCTAGGACGTGCCCATCGGTCTCAAATATACGGCATACTATTTAACGTACACTTGCGCCGGTATTCCGAGAATATATTATACGTGATACTTAAATCTGATGCCGCATAACCATGAAATAAGAGGCTTCTTAAGTACGGTATCTCATCTATTTAGTTACATTTAATCTATTTAGTGGACACTCCCGGTTTAGAGAACCGTGTTAGGACCCTGTCTTTACGCGGCATTCATTAGTGCGTCTTGGATGGGCGTTGGGCTCATATACTTACAGTTGTGCTGAGGGTTCTCGAGCTATATGATCAAAATGGACCGGAACTTGTAGTGCTATATATCTAAGAAGTGGAGACTAGCATACTGAGGAGGTTCTGTCGAAGCATCGGCCGCTTATCCGGCTGTTGAGGCTGCGGTCGTTTGACAATGAGGCCTGGGGTCCGGCGCAGTACGGAGTACCTTAGAAAGGCGGACAAATCTGGGGTAGTTAGTTATCCTGCAACAAGTAGCTTCGTGTATAAGTATGCAAAAGTTAATTTGAAATATCTTCGAGACACTATGGAAGTTATTTTAAGATGGGAGTAGTCATCGCAGCCATTTCTTTCTGCCTGGGAGTGTCAGACAGCCCGAGTTCTTGTTTGCGCGACCATGGCAACTACACGAGGACTGCAACTTAATCAAGCTGAGCTGGTGTCTCCTGTAACATCAAGCATGAATATCGGATCTTTCGGACAAGGTTGTCCTCATTACTGGTGCCACTTCTGGTCTTGGAAGAGCAATCGCAGAAGCATACGCTGCTGCAGGTGCGTTCGTCGTTGCGGCGGATCTGACGCCGCATCCTCTAGTCGCCCCAATTTTCACAGAAGCAATGAAACAACCAGGCTTAGACATAAGCACTCCGACTGTCGATCTCCTCAACCAAAGTTTTCCTTCCATCCACCAGAGCGCAACCTCGAGCCATGTTTGTTCACTGCGATGTCACTGACTCTGCGTCTGTGCGTGAAGCCGTGGTGTCCACAGTTCGACGATACGGCCGTCTCGACATCATGGTCAACAATGCCGGCATATCCGCCGTGACCAAATCGGCTTCCTTCCAGGATGGGGGACGTTGCAGGTCGCATGAAGTCGAGGATGAAGTCTTCGACAAGGACATGGCGGTCAACGCTCGCGGTGTGTGGGTTGGTGTCAAATATGCCGCAGCACAATACCTGGAGCAATCGCCACGTGCCTCTGGCGACCGAGGCTGGATTATCAATATCTGTACCGCCATGGGCTTGGTGGCTTCCGCCGCCACGGCTTCATATTGTGCGTCAAAAGGCGCGGTCTTGCAGTTGACAAAAGCCACCGCCTTGGACCATGCCAATGACAGGATTCACATCATTTGTATCGACCCTGGGTATATAGATACGGCAATGCTGGAGCCGATGGAGGCGAAAGCGGCGGAGGTCAGGTTGAGGCACAGACGGCCAGAATACGAGGGTTGCATCCGTGGGGACGGATGGCGCTGCCAGAGGATGTTGCAGGTATGGCTGTCTTTCTGACAGGACCAGGAACGTCATTTGTTGTCGATGGCGGGTATACAACACAGTAGCTGTGTTTGTCCACACTCTTTGATTCTGTAAGCTGCAGCATGGCTTGACAAATGCACCCATTCGTTCTTACTGCAATATTGTTTCCTGCGAGCATTCCGCTGGACCATGCCCACAAGGCATACTTTCCCGGCAGTCCAACTCTTCACTTAAAGCTTACTAGTTGATTCGTCGAGGATTGAGACCTCAGCAGGAAACTCGGTGGTTGAGGAGGTAAAGGCTGGGGGTTTTGTTCGTACCGCGCCTCGAGGGACAAGGTTGGAAGCGAGCGAAAAAGTGGCTTGTGGTACAAGGTACCCATGACTTTCGTATCATCAAACACTTCCATTGCCGCAGTGGTCTCTGCAGGTCATGAGTGTCATAATCCTGTCAAGTCAATCGTCGTGGTGCGCTTGTACGTGGCGTCCTCATCATGCGCTGGAAGCATGTCCTGCCCACCCTCTTTGAAACCAACGTAAGTTGCAAAGATTCATCTGCGCACTTCCGAAATGAAGAAAACTTGTACTCCGTGGCAAGAAGGGAGCAGGAACATGTTAGGTTAGTTGTGGTTGCGGAGTACAAGTACGCAAACACAACAATCAACAATGCGCCAAATGCTTCCGGAGTTTATCCGGTGCAAACTGCGATCGCAGATATTGTTCGCGTCTTCCTCGAAATTCGTTCCTTCTCTCCATGTTATAGGCGCACTCTCCTCTACAACCACCACAGTCTAATTACTGTACCTGACGCCGCTCTTCCTCGAGGGACGTAGCAACCGCGCGTTTGTGAGAGGATGTGATACAAATGCATCGAGATTGGGATCGATTTTCGAGCACTGGACGAATATCATGAGTATAGCACTTTCAGCCATTTGTCAATCTTGATGCAATAGGTGTTACGATTACAAGCGTGCTTTCATCATCCTGTCCTGCTCTTCAGCGATCTCATCGATCTCCTTGGTAGTCCCAATCCTCCAGCTCACATCGTCACCCCACTCCTTTCCGCCGTTTCCTTCAACCTGCTTCCAACGCCATCTAGAGAGGTCTTGCTTACCATCTGCTAAGAGTCTCACAACCCACTCGCCGACAATTGGCATCATCTTGAAACCGTGTCCTGAGTCTCCGGACAAGACAACCAGAGAGTCCCCGGTATTGGGTACGAAATCAACACAGTAGTCAGAGTCGGAGGTGTCCGCAAACCAGCACATTTTTTGTTCAACAAATGGTCGGTCCGCCAACCACGGCAATGTCTCTCTCAAAAGCCGCCTCAGTTTCTCCTCATCGGATGCCGGGATGTAATTTGTAGGCGTTTCTAATGACTCTGAAGGGGGTAATGAGGTGCCCGTGCTCTTGTCTGTATTGACGTACCCGGCGCCCAAAGGACACAGTTTAAGCAGCTTAGTGGCTGGGTCAGGCTCAAAAAAGAACCCCAGGTCCCGTACGTTGAGTACGGGGATTCCTCGAAGGTAGTCGCACTCTCGCTCAGTCAGGCGGACATGGGCCACGGACCAGCATTTGGCAACGACGAAGGAGCCGATGTCTGGGATCAACGTCGAAGCCCACGCTCCAAGGCATAGAATGGTACGTCGAGCTTGATAAACCTTTCCGCTCTGTAATTGTACCCCTGTGCAGCGCCGCTGAGCGAGGTCTCTGGTAGTGCTGTAGAGGAGCTTCACCACCTCGCCCTCCTTTGGTCCAAGAACGAATTTGATCCCCCTGCCGCTTAGATGCCTGTAGATGTCTGCCATTGTGTTGGAAGAATGTGCATAACCAGCGAGACGGTTGAAATACCCATTGAAGCCCGTCATAGGGCCAGGAAACTGCCAATATATGTTTCGAAAGTCGTCGTGGCCACTCAGGGGCACGATACCCGGAGCAAACACGGGATGATCCTTCACAGAAAGAAGCGCTTTTTGCAGGTGGTTGACCGCTTTTTCTGGCGCTGCGCTGGAAGTGGCGAGCACATAGCCCACCTGATGAAAGTTCGCCCCCCAGAAGGGAGTCTTCCAGCGTTTAATGGCTTCCTGAAACCGGCATTAGTCCTTGTCTTCGCTACACCGCAGCCGGACAAGGTCCTGCTAGATGATGGTCGAGCTTACTTACTAATGCAAATTCAGTGTAGAAGTCGTCTTCATATTCAGCTCGAATGATCTTGTTCAAGTCATAAGCCCCAGAGTACGGTGAAGGTATCTCAGATGCCCGATCGAAGACAGTCACGTCGGTGTATCCTGCGTTGATCAGATGAAGCGCCGTGGACAATCCCCAAGCTCCAGCGCCGACCACCGTTACACTTTCTGTTCTATCGAGAGCCATTCTTAGGCCCTCTAAACCACAATGCCCAATTAATGTATCAATTGACTAAGGATCGCAGTGGCTATTTGTTATTGGGCGTCATATCGCCCAGGGGAGAGCTAGTTGAGAGTCGCCGCTTGTCATGTCGACGATCAATGCACAGACAAAGGCGCTGCAAATACATTCTTTTGAGGTAAGAATGGCTTGTGGTTACCATGTCAGATCATGGATGGGGAAGAGTTGCCCCTTTCGGTAATTTGTAGGGGGTCGGCAGGTTTCCCGAGGACCCTATCTGAATGTTTGACAACCGGGTGTTCTGGCCTCGCTAGCCTCACATCTTTCTAGTGAACCCAAGCACAACATCAACTACTGCGTCTGCCTGTGATCGGCGTTAGATTGCAAAAATACGATATCCTCAAAATCCGGAAGCCCCAATATTGCAGACTTGTCCTGATCAATCAACATGAACACCACATCGACGGCCCGCAAGCTCCGTATCGCCATTCTCGGCTGCGGTAGGTTCCCATTAAAAAAACTTCAACCCCAATCACCAAGAGTTCGGCCACTGACGCTGGATGTCAGGGTTTATGGGAACAGCATTGTTGTCTGGCATTCTCAAGAACATCACCCACTCTCAGCATGAGGTACACTTCTCGGTCACTGCGTCCTCTTATGCCTCGCTTCGGCGACTCGATAAGAAATTCGCTGGTCAAAGAGACCAAGTTGTTGTCATCACTGGCGACAATGTCGAAGCAGCCAAACCCTCTGAAGTGGTGATCCTAGGGTTCCAGCCACAGCAACTTGCCGAGATATTGAGCAACTCGGCTTTGCTGGAAGCAATCCGTGGCAAACTGGTCATCTCCCTGCTGGCAGGAATCTCCTCGCGACAGATTACGCAGACAATCTATCCCAATGCAGAGTTGAGTGAAGAGAACCGAGTAGCTCGGGTGATCCCCAGCATTGGCGCACAGATCAGGGAGTCGATGACACTAGTCGCTGAAACTCCTTTGTCTTCGTCCGACAGTGACCTTGTGGCCTGGCTGTTCCAGCAAGTTGGCCGAACGCAGCATGTACCGGAAGAGCTCATCAATACCGTGACAGCAGTCAGTGCGGCATGTCATGCCTTGACCGTCGTGGCAGTCGATGCCATCGTAGACGGAAGCGTAGCCGAGGGCGTACCTCGTCAGATGGCGCTCGACGTTGCAGCACAATGTCTACGCAGCTCCTCCACGTTACTGCAAGGGCATATGTCCATTGAGTCTCTGAAGGAGTCCATGTCCGTTGCTAGAGGTATCACGATCAATGCTCTTCTGCAACTTGACCGGGGCCACGTGAGGCCAGGGATCTCTGACGCCGTGACACATGCCGTACATTACGCACAAGAGTTCACTAAGGCGGAATAGTTGTTCTTATTGCATAGATACGAAGATAGAACTCATGTTCGTTGCGCTCCTTCCACAGAGAACCAGTCCAGTGCATCCATATCCATTGAGTCCGCAAAGTCCATGAGCTGTTCTGCCGTGAATCCGTCCTGCCAGTTCAGTTCTTCAATATAGAAGTCCTCGGGCAGAGATTGTGAAGAGGCCACGTATGAAGGAGGAGGATTAGGTGGAGGTTGAATAGATGGTGGTGGTTGCTGGCCAAGGTGTTGCACTTGGCGTTCATTCTGTGCCACATAGCCAGGCATACCTGATGACCTGGGAACAGTGCTTCGCTGAGGTATTGCGCCAGGAGGCAAGCGATTCAGAATCGCCTCTAATTGTTGCAGCTCTAACTTGATCAATTTGGCAACTAGGTTGCCTCGAGATATCATCTCGTCTAGAACTTCGGAAGAGCGCTGCGACCAATGCAAACGGTCTTTGCTTAGAGAGGGATCGACCCGTGCTGCCATCAGAAGGGCAATGGACGAGGTGAAGGTGGCATCTAAGTCGAAAGGAAGAAAGCTTTCTATGGGAAGGCCGTCAGCTGGAGTGTCTTTCCAGTGCTCTTATATGAAATGCGGATTCTAACCAAGAAGGCCGTGATCCTGCAAGGTCGACAGGATGCTTAACATCTGCTGAGCAGATTCAATGCACATCTGCAGCAAGGTGCGGACACTTTTGAATGGATGATTCGACGTGTTCATGTTTGCATCCGACTGTTCCATCCGACCTTGCAGAAAGCTGTAAAGTATTGGTCGTGTTGTGAGAACAATACACTAGGCGCCCATTAGCTCGCTGGCACATTTGGCGATGGCATCGTCAGCGTTGTCATACCTGGTGGTACAAAAGATGCAAATAGCCAGATAGTCTTGAAATACTGGCCCTGGGACCGGTCCCTTGAATGCTGAACGAGCCATTCAGTTCATCGGTAACATTGGCAACACTCTTCAGGGCTTCTTTTGTGACGACGAGGAAGCGTTTGTCTAGCCGTGCTTCGTTACCGTACACGGCTGTTGGTTTTTAGCACCTTACCAGTGTGGCATCCTACCATGGACTTACTGTTGAGTATCTGGGCGAGTACCCTGGAAAGCTTGATCTGTATGTCCATCGCCATTGTTCTCTGCGGCTGATTGGGAAAGGTAGGTAGCTCTGCATTGATTGACTCGTCCCCAATCCCCATCGGTACTCCCATTAGGGAGGACATCTGGCGATCGAGGATGTAGACAGTCCACCACACTTTACGACACCTTTGGACTAGGGCATCGTCCACCTTCTGGCTGCGCATTTCTGTATGCATGCCATTCTCCAAGGCCATTCGCAGAGCTTGCCCAATCTGGGATCTGTTAGCAAGTGGGTATCGGGATCCACAGCAAGACGCACAATACGATAGGCCGCGCCCCTGAAGTCGATGCATTGTAAGTATAAAGCGGTGCAACACAAGACTTGTATCGATTCAACCGGCTCGGCATTGCAGAACGCGAAATCCGGCAGAAGCCTCATGGCATACACAAAGAGCTCGGCCCCTGGTGGCCTGCTTCCTTTGCCGCCTTGGCCCACAAATGCTTTTCCAAAAGCCCCGGTTCGTGTGCCTACGATACGCAACGGCGAGGATGTCAGTCCGCAATCAAGCCAGCCTGGGTCAGCCGCGTATATGCCATCGGAAGCTTCCTCAGTATTTGCAACCTTTACGCCGGCGACAGAGTCGGATGTATCTGCAGCAATCGAAGCGGCCCTAAAGGCCAAACAGGCATGGCAGGACACGCCCTTTGTGGATCGAGCAGCAGTCTTCTTGAGGGCAGCCGAACTGGTGGCAGGTAAGTACCGATTCGAGCTCATGGCGGCGACTATGCTGGGACAGGGCAAGAATGCGTGGCAGGCAGAGATCGACGCTGCCGCGGAGCTGGCCGATTTCTATCGTTTCAATGTTTCGTACGCCGAGGAGATTTATTCCAGGCAACCTACCCTGAATGAGCGCGGGCAAGCAGGGTAAGGTGCACCAACAGTACTGAGGGAACATTTTCAGATGCTAATGTAGGCGAATCACAGGCGAACTGACTGGCGTCCACTGGAGGGCTTCGTCTATGCGATTTCCCCGTTCAATTTCACCGCCATTGGAGGAAACCTGATATCTGGACCGGCTCTTCTTGGAAATGTAGTTCTATGGAAGCCTTCTCCTTCCAACATCTACGCAAGCTATCTGGTTTACAAGATCTTGCGCGAAGCCGGGCTTCCGCCGAATGTCATTCAATTCATCAACGGCGACGCTGAGCTTGTCACCAAAGTTGCACTTGCGCGCCCTGAACTTTCTGCCATCAACTTTACAGGTTCTTCAGACGTCTTCCGCAGTTTATACGGCAAAATCGCAGATGGGGTGAGGGAAAAGAAATACCGAGACTTTCCCAGTCTCGTCGCAGAGACTTCGGGGAAGAACTTCCACCTCGTTCACAGCTCTGCGGATGTCAGCAACGCCGTCAAACACACCATTCGAGCTTCATTTGAGTATGCGGGTCAAAAGTGTTCAGCGTGCTCGCGCATTCACATCGCCGAGAGCCGTGCTGAACAGTTCTTTTCCGAGATGAAGCAGGAGCTTAGCAAGGTCGAAGTGGGAGCGCCCGAGGATTTCAAACCCTTCACGGGACCTGTCATCAATCAAGCCGCGTTTGATAAGATCACCAAAGCTATCGACGAGTCCAACAAGGACAGTCGACTCGAGCTTGTTGTTGGAGGCAAATACGACGGCAGTAAGGGATATTTCATCGAACCTACCATCTACTCTGCCAAAGAGGTGGATCATCCTCTTTTTGATCGAGAGCTCTTCGGTCCTGTTCTCGTTGCTCATATCTATCCTGATGCCGAGTTCGACCAGATCTTGACCAAGATTGACCAGCAAGGGGGCGGGTTTGCACTCACTGGATCTATCTTTGCTACCGACCCAGCGGCGATCCGGAAAGCGGAAGTTCGACTCCGATACGCTGCGGGCAACTTCTACACAAATTGCAAGACGACCGGTGCTGTCATCGGTCAACAATCTTTCGGCGGAGCCAGGGGAAGTGGCACCAATGACAAGGCGGGCAGCGCAAATATGCTGATGCGGTTCACGGCCCCTCGCACACTGAAGGAGGAGTACAATCATCTTGACAGTGTGCTCTATCCAAGCAATGCCTGAAGTTTCTTTCACTGCACTGTCGGGAATCGAGAGTGGGACATTGATAAAACTCTAGAGTCTGAGAAGTCTAGGAAGACTTGTAAAGCCTTGACGATAGCGGCGTAACCTCGGATCAACATATATAGTTATGATTTTGGGATTCTATCCGGGTCCGCCGGGTTGCTTCCGGATCGTCATTCTGATACTACAGTAGGTAAAGGAAGCGAAGGCTTCCTTTACAGATTTCCATCTTCTTGACTTTTTCGATCTTGTGACATACTGCGCGCAACACCTTCTTGTTGAACAAATAGCTACGAAGCAATGCTCGTGCTCTAGTCCAGATGGATGTGAGAACGTGTCTGCGGTCGTTGCCGCCCGAAACCATGGTGTGAGCCTGATTGCAAAAGGTCACATCTGCCTTTTCCGTTCAGCACCATGTCGAATGCCAAAGAAGATGTCAAGTTTGCACAAGAGGAGGAAACTCGTAGGCCACCCCTGCGATCTGTTCAAACAGAAGCTTTCAATCATGATTCCGCTCCTTCCGATGACTTATCCGTCGACGAGCAAGCTGCCGTTTTGGAGGCAATGTCCCTCGAGTCACCTCCAGGTCTGGTTCAGTCGCCCAGTAGTTACTCGACCGAGTTCAGTCCAACAAGTTCTGGTCCATGCTCTGTTCCCATCACTCCCATAACACCTACAACGCCAAACTCACCCACGCCATCCAAATTCATGACCGCTTTACAAGATGTCCGGCATTTTGCGGGTGGCCTGATCGCTCACCCATACGAGTCTACCAAGCACTATTCCATACTGCGTCATTCATCCGGACTGGTCTACTATAGTGGTCCAACCACCAATCTGGCCATCACCATCTTCTCAGACCGAGAAATTCCACCAGACAGGACGTTATGGTTGCAACGCAAAGGATTCTCCGGCAAGACTGGGTTGAAGATTGGCAGCTTGCTTGGTGCGCGAAGTACGTGGATCAATGTGACGCCGACCATCAAGGCCATCCCTGATCAACTCGACCCAAACAACGAACGTGCATGGCAGAGAGATATCAACAAATTCCTCAAGAAGGCACCCAAGGAAATCCGATCCCATCGTGTACGAGAGACCGACATACTCCGTATCCCTTGTGATGCAGATGATGGTTATCTAAGAGTGGTGCTTTGCACGGCGGAAGGCAAGAAGGTGCTTTGCGGCAGTCCCATCTTCCGACTAGCATCGTCAACCACCAGCTTCAGCTCCATGCGAGGCGCATCACTTAGCACCATGCCACTTGAAGTCGGTGCCAAGATTGGACAGTTCGTGGCTCGCAATGCGGTCTCCGCCACGTTCACTCCACTGGCAGACAATGCTCGATCGGCTGTTACAGGTCAATTGACTCAGATATACAAGCCCAGTTTTGCCGTGCAGGAAGTCGCGAACTACGCTTACAGCTCTGAAGCACCGAAAGTGCAAGGACGACTTGATAATCTGAACCAGCAGTACGATCAAGCTCGGGATGCTTCTCTGGATCCAGTACAACAACACGCATACGACGCTCTGGCGCGACCGGATATCGTAGGCCCCGAGTCTGGCCCTGTCCAGCCGTTCCCAGTTCGTTTCCAAGGGAAAGTGGTGCAGGGCACAGGGCGAAGCAAAGCATTACTGAAAATACCGACCGCGAATCTGACGGGCGTACCTGACGAGATTCTCTGGCGATATAAAGGTGTATTCTTCGGTTGGGCAGCAATCAGCTGGCCCAAGAAGGTCGAATCCGAAAAGGGCGCCTCTGGCGTATGGCACAAAGCCATCATTTTCATGTCTCCTGATCCGGACCGAAGGAGGACGGTGGTACACCGGAACACTGCTCGAGTTTATCTGTTGCACGATTTCCAAGCCACTCAACTGATTGATGCAAAGTTATCCATCATGATGATGGGGTACCTTCGCGCCATGGACGAACCGGGTCCGGATGAGCAAGTGGATGTTGACGCGCAAATGTTTGATATCTATAAAGATGTCGCAGTTACTACTACAAGTCTGAGTCGACCCCCGTGGTCGGCAGAAGCAACGTTGGAGCGGATCCGGTCAGCGGCGTCAAGCCGGTCCATGACTGAGCGATATGTCGATCTCAGACAGAATACACAGAGGCAGATTGACAGAGTCCCGGTCAATCGGCTGGGCATCAGGACGGAGAGTGCTGCTTTGAAGGACAAGTTGATTGGGGCTGGAGGAGTCTGGATTCCACGACAGTCACAGTCGTTGGGCTATGCGTATACGAATTAATGAACTGATGTCTCTCTGTGTCACATATTGGAATTGTATCTGAGGCTGTGGCTACGGCCATTCCTTAGATTTTCCTGTTTAGTGTGGTCCGACCTCAATCGATGTACTTCACCCTCGCCTCACTCTCTGCCCTTTATACATTAAACCCACGGGATTTTCATCAACAATCAGAGACAAAGCCATCCGCTTCTTGGCCAACTGTAAAAGCAGGTTGGTTTCACAGTTAATGGGCCGCTTTGGATGAAGGATTGTTCTTCGTAGAAATTGTAGACATCGTAGTAAACGAGAAAAACCATACACTGGAATGGTTTCACTTACCACCAGCCAGATGAACACCATTCAATCTGCCTGGTGGCAAAGTTTTTGCTCTTTTGGTATGGCTATATTGAAGTCAACTGGCCACTCTTTATGCATGGAGTACAGGTAGTGAATCAGGTTGACGTCTATCCTACACGGAAAAATACCCCGTAGATGCCGATGCCAATGTCTAACGGGTCTATATGACGTAGCCATGCAGCTCCAATTTCTGCCCCTCAAACCTCTCAAAGGGCTTCCTTCCCTCATGCCAGTGCAGCGGGGTTTCCGTCTCCGTCTCCGACCAGAACCCCTTCGACTTCGACTACCAACGAACTGCAATTGATCGTTCTTAAGCGGGGATTCAGGTCTCGTGGCATGGTTGTTTTTCTCAGGGATTGATGCTCTTCTCCGCTCGTCGGCCGCCCAGTCGGTTCAATGCATAGCGGAGATGATGACTTCGCCATGGGATTCACTGGGGTCGGATGGATGTTTATGTGCCTCTCGTCTACTCCTCTCTTGTGACTTCTTGTGATACATTTCTGGATTCGTCTTCAAACTGCCCACATCTCGTCGTCTACCCTGAACCTTGTTTCTCAACTCACTGACACCAGGCAGTTTCTATTGCTGAAGCAACAACATCCAAGATTGACCATAAGACGTGATTACAGCCACACCTCCTAGAGCCTCTACCACTCGCGGCGCACGACATATCACATCCTCCTCAGTACCTACCGTCGAGATGTCCGAGATGAACGCCGTTCGCTTCCACGGCCAAAAAGACATCCGCCTCGACAGAATCCCCGTCCCCTCCGTCAAGCCAGGACAAGTCAAAATCGCCCCGAAATTCTGCGGCATCTGCGGCTCCGATCTGCACGAGTACCTCGGCGGCGCGAACCTGATTCCCCAGCAGGGCCACCCTCATCCCATCACCGGCGAGACCCTTCCCCTCACCCTGGGCCACGAGTTCAGCGGCATCGTCGAAGAAATTGGCCCCGGGGTCGAGCACATCAGGCCTGGCGACCGAGTGTGCGTACAACCCATCATCTACGACGACAGCTGTCGCGCCTGCAAGCGCGGGCTGGTCAATTGCTGTGACAAAAACGGCTTCGTCGGCCTGAGCGGCTGGGGCGGCGGGCTGAGCGAACATATGGTCGTCCCTGCGAGTTGCGTCAAACCTTTACCAGATAATATCTCATTGGAAGTTGGGGCGCTGATCGAGCCGTTGGCCGTCGGCTGGCATGCGGTGGACATCTCGCCGTACAAGGACGGCGACGCAGCGCTCGTGCTTGGTGGAGGACCGATCGGTCTTGCGGTGGTGCAAGCGTTAGTGGGCAAAGGGTGCAAGAACATCATCGTTAGCGAAGTGAGCGGCAAGAGAAGGGAATTTGCCAAACAATTCGGCGCACACCATGTCATTGACCCTGTCAAGTCGGATATCGTCGAAGAAGTCGAGAAATTGACCAACGATGAAGGCGCGGATGTCGCGTTCGATGCAGCGGGCGTACAAATCGCTGTCGATACGGCGTTCAAGGCGATCAAGGCGAGAGGAACGCTAGTCAACATCGCGGTATGGGAGAAGCGAGCCACCTTAAATATGAATGACGTTACGTTCAGGGAGAGAAGGTATCTGGGAATGTAAGTACCCTTTGTCATATCGCCTAAATCGATGGAGGTGGGCAAAAGGACTAACAATCGCACGCAGAGCGACGTATTCTCTAGGCGATTTTGAAGCTGTCATCAAGGCCATTTCTTCAGGTAAGATCCACCACTCCTCAGACTCCGGGTGCTTGCTGATGAGAATCAGGTGCAATGAAACCGGAAGGGATGATCACCAAGGTAATCAAGCTGGATCGGGTCGCCGAGGAAGGATTCAAGGCATTGATTGAGGACAAGGAGAATCAAGTCAAGATCCTGGTCGACGTGGGTGCTGGCATATAAAAATGTACAAAACAAAAGCGCAGTCTGGAGTTCATAGTCAGTGAGCATTTCGTCGACAACTCAAGAATCGATCGATTCTTTGGCCGAAGGCACAAACTCTCCAATACCAATTCTCATGATTTCGTTTTCATCCTCATTGATATGGGCCCTTCTGCTTATACAACCGTGTCCATACCGCCACGCTCACTTCCTTTAGGACTAGCAAGTTGACTCTGACTCGGACCCTCGCTCTGGCTCTGGCTGTTCTTGGTCATCTTGCTCAACCTCCAACTCACTCTAGGAGTACTGTCAAGCTCGTGCTCCGTATCCAATTCCTTGTCAATTACAAAGTGCCCGACGAAGCAGCACATCACCAACGCCAATCCACCCAGACCGCATAAGAACGCGAACACCCCGCGGAAACCGTAGACGTACGCACCAATCACTGCTGCAAGATCAGGTTGATTGCCCGCCTTCAATACAGTGATATACGCTTCAGCATTCCGAGCAATTGACGTAGCAAGATCCAAATCCCGCAGCTTGACGCTCATAACGTTCTGGAAGACTGACCCGCCGATGCCCAAGCCAATGGCCATCCCTAAACTGCGCAGGAAGGCGTACATAGCGAACGCGGCCCCCTCATCGCCAGGCAGCGAAACAGCTTGAGAAGCACAGTTAAGCGAGTTCAAGAGCAAGCCGTGTCCGAGACCAAGAAGAATGAGGACAATGACCCAGACTGCAGTGCTGGTTTGGGCGTCCCAGATGATCGTCAGGCCTGTGGCGAGCGTGAGGACGATCCACCCTGACCAGATGGCCCAGCGGTATGTGCCTATGCGGGTGATTAGACCGCCACACACCACTGAACTTGGGACCAGGGTGAGCGTGACTGCGAGCAGTGAAACCCCGGTGCGTACAGGCGAGTCAAGCTTGACGGACTCGAAGAAGAAGGGTATGTAGTAGAGTTGGCCGTAGAGCTGTGACGTGTCAACTACACGCAACCAGAAAGGAAGAGGGAGTATTCTTACCAGGAGCCCCTGAAAGAATGTACCAGCGTACACGGCGAACGCTGAACGATTCTGGAACAGTGAGTGTCGGAGGAAAGGTTCCGCAGCCCCATAACGTTCCCAGAGTATCGTGACTACGAGACCTGCCGAGCCAACGACCAAAGGGACGATGGTGCGGAAACTGGACCATGGCTCTTGCGTGCCTCCCCAGGATATTGCGATGAGGAAGGATGTGGCTGAGGAGATGAACAGAAAGCCTCCGAGCCAGTCTACGCGATTGAACATTTCTGTCCAGGTCGAGTCGCGCGGTTTGAGGCGGACGAATACTGGGACGCAGATTAAGCCAATGCCACAGAACGGGAACATCAGGTAGAACACCCAGCGCCAGAGTCGGGGCGTTGCGAAGACGCCTCCGACAAGGGGCCCAATACCGGTCCCTAATGCCCATGCTGCTTGGCTGTGACGACAAGGTGAGCAAGGCTTCCTCGGGAGTATTGCAAAACTTACATGATCGCCAGATATTTCGGGCGGAATCTCAAAGGCACAATATCCGTGAATATGACCCCCGAGAGGATTATGATGCCGCCACCACCAACACCCTGCACGCACCTTCCGGCAAGTAGGAGACCTATATCGTGTGCAACGACACACAGTATCGTGCCGACGGCGAAGAACAATATTGAAGCAAACAGGCAGTGAGGTCGACCGAGGATGTTGCTGATTGATGCCGTGAAAGGCATCGTCACAGCACAGGTGAGGAGGTAGGAGGTCCCGATCCAGAAGCCCTGGGTTGTGCTTGCATCGAATGCTCGGACGATTGTCTGCACAGGAAATCAGCATTTGGTATGGAGATTTTGGAATGAGCTCTCGAGAACTGCAGACGCACCGATAGAGAGGTAATGATGGTAGTAGCATCGAGGCTGACCATTAGCGAGACGACTGACAGTGTGAGCATGACCAACAACTCATGGCCTGAAGGTTTCCAATTCTGGACACGATCTTGTCGTGTAGAGTCGAGCCCATCACGCTGTAGTTCTGCAGCGTTGTCTTGCGAAGCCAACATGTTGTGAACGTGAAGAGGCTGTGCATGCGATTTCGAGCTCTCCTTGTTTATCAAAGGCGTGGTGAAGGAGTTGTGTCAATGATTGAGGAAAGAAATGTCTAACATGCAAACAGCCGGGCGCAAACAAGATGAAAGATTGATGTTGCCAATCCAGGTCAAGATCCGCAACGCGATGATGTGAGAGCATTGTTATTGTCATCGCTTCACCCCTCATCGCGAGATGTCGAGGTTCCCTGGTCGACAATTTCATTGTGAAGCGATACCTACCTGGGTAAGATTCGCGACAGGCAGAGTGAATCTGTGAAGACCGTTGTAATCCAGTCTCGTCCAGAGGTTTGTTCAAGAAACATACCAGTAACCACAAGTCTTCCAGCATGGAGAGGTGCTCACATATCCAGTTTCCCACATATGATTTGCCCACAGCTGTTCTGCGTATACTGTGAGGTTTTCCATATTCGGAGACGTTACACGAGCCGACCGAGTTGTCTTTCTCGGTCTTCATTCATCCGGCGAGCCAGCCGCAAGAAGCATACCATTTATTGTCAACACACTGTTAGTGATTCATCATGAATGGACATGGAACTGCTAACATTGTCAAGGCACCATGAAGACTTTAGAGTAGTTGTTGGCTCGTTGTAGGCTGAAGAGCTTGGAGAAGGGAATCTCCAATCCATATTGGGTTAGCGTATTGTTAGTTATTCTCAGCCTTGTCCGGCCCCTGAATAAATACACTGCCCGGTTTAAAGCATTACTGAAATCATCCTTGAACATGTTGCTGATCACAATACCGTACAACGAACTGTCGCGGCTTAAGGTCTTGTTATTGCGAAGCACTCTCTTACCTTCGGTAATGCACTAGACCGCCAGATGTGGATTGAAATGTTCCCATGAAGCACCAGCAATGCTGGCCGAAGGAACCTCTTAATACAATGCTAGGGTATCAACGTTATTCTGTGGTAAGCCAGCCCACGGCTGCGTCACATGTATAGTCTTGCCCTGCCTCCGCTGCCCGGGATGCTGAGCGTCTCTTGCATCAAATTCCATCGTTCGTGAGAGGCACAGCAAAACTTCCTCATCTCGGATCAGGACAGAACGAACATTTCGAGAAACGATCGAGGCAACCATCGCATCTCCTCAAAACTTGCAAAGCAAGTCCACCCCCTCCTCGACCTCGTCATCTCCGCGGGATGGAGACTGCCCTTCCCGCAATCTATCTTCCAAATCTTCAGGCAGCAACAGATTGCTGGGAGAGCAATCGACGGCAGGTCTTCCACGAACTCTCACCGAAAAAGGGCAATTGCTGCACCTCCGCATTTGCAGTGGCTTGGTCGATGCTTCAAGCCAGCCGAATATAAAGCCTGAGTACAAGCTCACAATGGTGAAGCTGGAGCCACGGTATGCGGCGTGGGTAGACATTTCCTTTCTTGACGCTGATATGGAGAAGTCTCCCACGCTCGATGGTCAATGTCGAGTGGCGCATATAGGTTCTCACCGAATAGCTGTCGATAGAGATATTCCTGGTGAGGGCTTTGGCCCAGCGATAATATGTGCTGATAGCGCATCGGCAGATTATCACTTCTTCTTTGTCTCCTTCTTCTTCGCCTGTTCCAGCTTCCCCAGCTCTTCCTTAAGGATCATTTCCAACCCCTCATTTCTCCGTGTCAACAGCATGACATCGTCCGTCTGTACCTTGCTCCGGCCGGCATGTTTCGCGAACGACTCAAGGTCGATAGCAGCATTACCTGTAAGACCCAGTCAGTCTACAATTCGCACTATGTGGAAGGAAAGCATGCGTAGGCATACCAATCTGTGCCCAGACCAATTCCATCAGACTACCAATGAACTGCGGAGTTGCATTGACACCAAGGTTGATGCTCTCTTCGTCGACGATCTTGCCAATCTGGAACCACAATGCAGAGCGGAGTTTCTAGAGACCAAAAGTCAGCCTTAATGTCGTGCCGCTCGATAACAATTCTGCAGGGCTCTGTAGTGTTGAGTGAGGGGTTTCAACGGCTCAATCCCGCAGTTGCTGGCATGGAATTCGAGAGACAAGTTCGGTGCTGTACATACCTTCTGCAAAGCCTCAGCCTCGACCTGAGTGTCTGTTGTCGACGCCATGCTGGCGGATTTGTCGGCGCAGTTGTGCAGGGCTTATTGCAGAAAGAGTAAACACTTTCGCAGCCTCGACGCGTCACGCGAATATTACAGATCGCGTCCAGACGATGTACCGTAGCATTACGGTGAGGTACGACTACCACTTCGCACTCGCAGTCACACTTCACCCGTTGTTATCGTCCATCAATTACATCTTCATGCAGGATTCTACCATTCCTGGAAACGCGTCGAATCATGTCATGCTTGTCATCAAAGCACCTGATCCCTTGCAAAAAGCATTGCGAGCAGATATCAAAGTCTGCTAAATTGCAGATTGAGCAATGGTAGTGCAGGTCGGTACACAACATTCCGCACTCATCACAGTTGACAGAGAACGAGTATCGGTCTCGCAGAGACTCGGCGACTTGATTAGCTGGCAGCGGTTTGGCGTTATCATCCTGTCGCGGTTGGATGTCTGGAGGTAACGTCCTGATCAATCGTGCTGCAGGAGGCCGTCGTGCAGGATCTGCAGCCCGACACGCCGTCACAACCTCGTCCACCCACGCTGGCAAATCTGGACCACATCGCGGCAAATCGACAGGGTTGCTGTGCGCGGCGGAGCAGCCATAATGTGGCACCGTTGCGCAATCGTTCACGCGACAGAAAATCCCACAGACTGTAGATGAGTGTTTGGCAATTAACCATATGACGAGACCGAGCTGGAAGATGTCGGATTGGAAGGTGAGTGTTTTGTTGTGCGAGAGAGCGCCATAAGCAGTCTCGCGACGCAATTCTGGGGGAAGGTACCCACGTCTGTTTGGCCAATGATTGCCAGAACCTGCGATTTTCGTGAAGAATGTGCTGTCATCGGTACTCACTCCAGTGGCTCCAACTTCGATGCAACCTACAACCTTGCCTTTGCTGTGGACTTCTGCCACGGCAGCGATGATATGCCGAATCCACTTCTCCCGTCGAGACCAAGGAATGACCTGTTGAGAGAGAGAAGCTCGTTCCAGTATCTGCTGGACGGACCCAAGCTCAGGACATATTTGCAGGTAACTCTTGATCTGGCGACGGGTATCATCGACCACAATGACAACGAGGCTCGCCACGCCTCTACAATCTTTCAGCTCGAACAGTGTCCAAAGGTCTTTCATGAATTCTGAAACATGGTTGGTGCCTTCGTTAGAATCTGCAAACGGGACAATCCTCTCAATGCAGACCTGGGCTTCTGCGAGTACAATGTAGGAAGAGGAGGATATCCGCCAGTATACCACGATCTCGCTTTCCAGAAACTGCGGGCATCCAATATGCTCAATATCAGTGAGGTAAAGAGAAGTTTCGCACGCTTCAGCCTCCTTCAGATCCTCACTGACTAGACATCTCGACTTGTCAAAAGTGATTTCTTGCAGGGGCGATACCTCTAGCTGCATCGCCACGTTTGTCACCGAGTTGAACAGCTGAGTCGTTGCTAGTAGAGCTTCGAGAGGTTTGTGGATGGATTGAGGCAGCGTCTTGCAGGAATGATCAAGTGAGGACCCTGCACGAACGTCGAAGGCAGTGGAGATCGTAGGGCTGACTATGGTGGTAGCCAGGACGGTGACACGTCGCCACCGACGAGGAGTCTCCGCGTAAAGAAGGAAGAATTTGTCGACTTTGACCGAGACAGCTCGGTATTGTTCCATCATTGACAGTACGGCAATTCTCTCATCAAATGGACCTTCCGGGACATACTGCTCTGGAAAGAAGCTCTCGGACATCTCGAACCGGAAGTCGGCAATACTCGCGCATGGCGTGTAGAACTTCTCGCTGAGCATCTCTGATAGCTCTGCTGAGTACAGCTGAGTTGTCTCAAGGACGGTCTGTAAGACCTGGACATGCGGAGGAAGGTCCGTATCTTCCGGATTGTCATTGACTTTGACGACATTGTTGGCTGGCCCGCTCGTCAAGGCATCATTCCTGGTGCTGGACGTCGGTTGGTGCCGCAACGACCCCTGAAATTCCATCAGTCGAAGGAGTAACCCATTGCATTTGTTCTGCTGCTGACGCAGCTCCTCCGCAATGTCATTTACAGCTTCCATTGAGGTCTGTTGGTTTTGTACCATGGTGCTGCGCAGGTTCTCGAGCTCTTGCGCCAGACGGGACAGTTGCTGGCTTGACTCGCGCGATGTGATGGCGACATCGTCATTGCCTTGGCCATTGATGGCCATTTGTTTGATTCTGGTCATTTCGACATTGGTCACAATGCTTTTAAATTGAACAAAGTAAGGCTGGTTTTGCGGCTGACAGGAAGAGCAGAGCGAGGCATGGACGCCGCAACTGGTGCAAGTGCTGGCTCTGGCAGACGCTTGAGTTATATCAAAGATCTCGCGAAACCGAGTTTGGTGCTTCAAGAGAAGGGTTCTGTCGGTTGTGAGACTTCGATGGTAGGTTAATAATTCCAGTGTGTCACTCACATGCTCAAAATATCGACCGTGGTGGCAAGATCTCGCTTGGAAACAATCAAATCATGCTTGAGCCGCTTCACGCTTCCGTGGTGCCTCAGCCATTTCCTTCGGCCAAATTTGTCTGAGGCTAGCCCAGCAACGCTGGGAGACTTCCTGAATTTCGTATCAACTACCACTTTCGCAGATTCAAGAGCCTGTTGGGTCTTTGCTAGTCCGGATGTAACGTCTGTATTCTCAAACTCATGTTGTGCAGTTGCCCACTTCAGGAAGGTCGCAAGACCGGTGATCTGCTCCAATTCGTCGTTCAACTCCCAGAGTTCATGAGGGGCATGCCAAAATGCTTCTGCACCTTTCACTGCGGTTGAGGCCGCCTTGACCACCGACAGGATGCTTGCGGCGGCCGAAACTGGATCCATAGTGTTCTCCACAGTATGAGAAGCGATTGTGGTATATATACATCTCTGTACATCAACACTATCATCCACGTTGACCGCCCAAGACTGGTTTGCTTTATCGCAAATCACGATAAGCACTTCTGGTTGCCTTTTGCTAGCCTCCTCAGCCGCCCTGGTCATCTCCAGCAGGCAGCTATCGGGCCAGAATCCTGGTCGCAACCAACCAGACTTGCAGGGGTTTTGGGGCGGTGTCTTTACACTATCCGATCGGCATGCAGGCGGGCTACTCGTTCGTGTCCTATTAATCTTGTAGAGGTGGTCAAAGGCCAGCCCCGCATGGCTATTCTCAAAGCACTCTCTGGCGTCCGTGGACTTCCACACATGCAGATGCATGCTGGCAAGCGTCCGATGAACAGGCTCGAGGCATTCAGCGGCTGCGGCTAACAACCAATCATCGCCATACGACATCACCCACGTAGACGGTGCTCCAAATGCTCCAACTCGCAGATGACGTCCTGATAGAACGCCTCTTGAAGCCTCGATTCCCCCATCGAAAAGCCTCTACCGAAGTCAGTGTGAATCAGCTTCCTGGTGATTTCGGCATATTCGGCGCCCAACTGAGCGGACACGCTTCTGCTCAACCGATCAGCAGCGCGAAAGTCGGCTTCCAGCCCACCAATCTGATTCCGCCTATCGACTGAGCGTATCATTGAGGCAAAAGGTCGTAGGTAGGCTATCTCCAGGAGCATGACGCCGAGACCGAAAAGAATGCGATTCCGGACAAGAGCAGGCCCTGAATCGATCATATGCTGAGATGTTGTCTCTGTCAACTCCGCCGGTCTTCCTTGAATCTGAGCAGAAACATACGCGCCCATGGAGTCTCCGATGTCGTCTTCTGAAGAGGCCGTCTGTCCTAACAGTACTTCTCGGCTGCTCCATGTTTCGCCTAACCAGGGAGTGGCATGGAATTGCAGAAGCGCCTTTGCCAACTTCTTACCTAGACCGATTTTATGAGGCAATGAGAAAGACAAGCCTTCGGCTCCTTGATCTGCGTCGACGAGGACCTTATACAATGATCTGAGCTCCGGAGATTTTGAACCCCGGACAGCAATGGTCGATTTGGAGTCAACATATATCAGGTGTTTGGAACCCTGGGGAGACTTCAGGTATCCAATTGCGGTAGTATCAGGCTGCGTCTGGCGCAAGAATCTCTGTAGCTGGGTACAGAAGTTGCTGCCAGAACAAAGGTTCAGAAGCACGGGAGTACTTGGAGGTCGTATTCCAGTGTCCAGTACAATTTTCGTGGTTGGCTCGTGTCCGAATCGCACCTGTTTTTTGACCAATTTAGCCCGCGGTTTCTTGTCGATAGTTTCTGTCTTTGTCTCTAGGCACTCGTGGGCGCGCTTCAGTGCTTGCGTTACACGCTGAGAAGGTTCGGGGTCGTCTGTGGACTGGAGCTCTCCAGTGATAGCAGTTTCCACTGTCAGCCAGGTAGCATCACCTGTTGAGCTCTTCTCATCGAGGCAAAGTTGGCTAAACGCCAATGCGAACCGAAGCTGCGTCACTCCAGACTCCGCATACGTTGGTGCGAGATTCAGATGCGCTTGATGGCCGGTATGCTTCGTGCAAGCAGATTGGAAGGCTTCGTGGAGATCTAGTGACGCATCCTTCACCACACTGTACGCTCTCAGACTTTTTCGGACGGCGAACGGTAACTTCCGTTCGCCTGATTTGAAGCGGCATGGAATGCACAAGTCGACCAGCGAGACGAAGTCTTGCGTATGCTGTCTGAGTCTGTCCATTGACTTTTCAATGCCTTCTTGTTTGAATGCGAACTTCAACTTTTTCTTAAGGTCTCCCGGTGCATTCGTGTCGTCCATCTCGACCTTGCTGAGAGACCTTCTGACGCTCTCAAGTTCGTCACAGATAAGCCCCATGAAATCCTCTAGGCCTTCTCGAGAATCACCAATCATATCAGTGTAATCCCTGGAAAGGTCCCTAGATTTCCAGCCTGGATGTTGGGAGTCTGCGAGCATTTGGCGGGCGTCATCTTCGTCTACGCAATAGCAGAGAAGCCTGAGATTGGCTCTCAGAAAGATGTCTCGCAGGAGTCGGAGAACGTTCAAGCTGGCCTTGACGAACTTGGTACGTGTCTTGAACGCTTTGATACATTTCGCTGTGCCGTCGTATTTGTCAATGGCAGAGATGATTAGGGGCGCGATTGCTAGAGCAAGGCCAACGGCTTCAGCCATTTTCCTTTGTTGTTCGTCCTGAACATGCGGAATCGATGGTGTTATTGTCGTGGAGTCGGAAGGAAGTTTGGCATCAGGCTGAGCACCTCTTGCCGGTCGGGCTGTGCTGAGTATGCCTCGTATTCGCTTACGCCGTCCCTCTGAAGTCCTGGGGTGAAGCCAACCTGATTGGGCTGTGCTCTGAAGCTACTTGCTGCGCCTTTTCCCACCTTCTCCTGCACATTTTACCTGAATCAATCGCTTGACTCCGCGACTCCTTACACATCCAACCTCATCAAACTATACGTATGGCATTAATTGCTGCTTTGTACAGATATCAATTCCCATTGCAATATGGTTCAACCCGAGCAGGTCGTGGACACATACTTGGCACAATGGCTTGAGACAGATCTGAGCAACAGGGCCAGTGTGGCTTGTGAGCATGATTCGGACACCAGCGAGATAACCCATGAGTCTGGTATCGTAACAGCGTTGTATCGATCGTGCCGAACGCAGCTGTCGAGGTTGTCTGCCGTCCTCGCATCTTCTAGCCAGCGTTGTCGCATACTCTTGACGGAAAGTCGGTCTAAGCTCGTCATATTCGGTGGTAGTCTTGAGAATGGAAGATTGGAATCCTGTCTGAACGTGAACGATGAGGTTAAGGATGACATCCTGCTAATTTTGTACGAGATCGGTACAATCCTGGCCTATGGTATGTAGTCATGACGGCACGAGCCGTGACATACCTCACGCATATCTCGGCTGCTGACAAAGTATGTTTAGACATTTTTCAGCATGCTTGCAAAGATCTCGTCGCATTTAGAGACGATGATACATCGACGACGCTGAAGGGTTGTTTAGCTTCAGTCAAAGCCGCTCTGACTGCCGAGAGTGGTAGCGACACATCTGAAGATGAAAGTGCCTCGGAAGACGACAAACGACCAAGCGATTCGGTAAATGCGCGGACATTGGAACGACAATGCCTTCGTCCTCTCGCCAAAAATGTGGACCTGCTCATGCTCCTCTATCCCACACTGGAACAGATCTTCCGGGATCAGCATCAACCACCGCGGGCAAGATTGCCACGACCGATTCCGAAGATTTCTGTGACAGGCTCGGCTTTGCCATACGTCCACAATGTCCGTGACAAATTTCCCAAGGCCGACAAAGACCTCGCAGAACGCCTTGGGGAGGCCAACTGGCAAAGGCACGAGCGCCTCAGAGCCGCTAGAACCTCAGGGGCTTCGGAACAGCCAATTCTCGCGAAAGCTGAATTGCCGAAGTCGATTTTTCAGCCCATCTCGGAGTTCAGAGATTCTGCCCTTGGAGAGTCGTTGGCTTCAAGCTCTGCCCGTGCTCCGTCTGTTGCCTCGCATTCGTCTTACCTGAGCAGTATCGAAGGAGGAGAAAAAGAGCACTTCAGGGTACCAAAGATGCCTGCAGGCGCCGATTACCACATAGCGTTCTCGTGTCCATATTGTGGGGAACGGGCGTCGATGAGGAATCGCATAGACTGGAAGTGAGTGCCGGAAGTTCGTGACTGGAAAATTACTGACGAGGACAGAATGCATGTATTTGCAGATTTACAGGCATACATATGTACACACCCAAAGTGTTCCGAAGGATGGGCAACGTTCCCCAGCCGGCGAAAATGGTTTGAACATGAGACAACATATCATATGACGAGGAACCGTTTTCGGTGTACTCAACTCAATTGCACCCTGGTTCTCGAGATGGAAGAGGAATACCTGGCGCATGTGCGCGGCAGCCATGCCATCTCATTTGAGACATCCGCCAACAAATGGTCGCTCCTCAACGCAGCAACAATCTCGACAGTGCAGCCTGTCGAAAGTCTGAGATGCCCGCTATGTCACATTTCTGACTGGACCACATATCGCAAGTATGAGAAACATCTTGGTAAACATCAGGAGGAGATTGCACTTTGCGCCCTGCCTCCGAGCGCTTACGATAACGACAATGACGATGACCACGACGCAGGTGGACATGAAGGTGCATATGATTCAGCTTCAAGTACGAGCAGGAAGGAAGTCAATGATCTGGAAGGACACGATGGTCTAGGTCCTGATAAACGAGATGCTCAGACGTCCAACCTCTCCAGACGGAGGTCCAGGCTTCCGACAAATAATGTCATATTTGTCGGATCTATGATCAATCACCATCACCTAAGGATAAAATCTTTGAATTGTACATTGGAAAGAGACGGCCCTTAGAGGAAGTGATTGTCCATATGGGCGATGCCTTTGGCGTGCTTCAAACGTAAGTCCACCAAGTTGTTGTTATGAGGCTTTTATCATGCTTGTTAACACTCGTGTCAGGGTGAAGCAGTATAAGACGAAGCTAAGTGATTGGGGCTTCAAACACAATCTGAAAACTACAGACGCTGCCCACATCTTGAGGCTGTTAAATCAAGCAAAGACAGAGGGGCTTCCAGAAGTTGTAATGTGGGCTTTCCAGCCTAAGACCAGGGAGGACATAGCAAACTTTATCAGGAGACAATCTACGCTGAACGACGAGGCTCACCTACTTTCCAAGATATCGGATGAAGACAAAACACCACATTATATTAAGCTCGCCGGAATTGATGTTTTGTCTTCTCCCACCAACAACATCCCGGAAGAGGAAACCTTGGACTACGTTTCTCCTCGCGACACACATCCTATACCGAATGACGACGTGGTCTCCGCTGGTCCCTCGTCGATCCGATTACCTCTGCAGCACGAGCAGTGTTTTTCTGCTTTCGGTGAACATGAGGAGCCCGAGCTATTATGGACTATTTCCGATAGTCAGGACGGCAAGGCTAGCAAGCAAGACCCGTACACAGACTTTTCAGGTGATGCGGTGGTATTCACCAGTCTCTCATCTGAGCCAACGAGGGCCAGACCTGAATCTGGAAAATACTCTTGGCCAACCTTCGAATCCACCTCTCCAGTAGTACATGGAACACAATGGACAACACGTCCTATGACAAGGACACGAATGAGGAACACTTCGACACTTTTCAACATTGGGACCTACAACACCGAAACGGCGCCGCTCTCGAAACAGGTAGCTCCTGGACAGTCCCGGAGCTCTCTTTCCGATAGGAGCGCGCAGATTGAGGTGGAATTTACGATCAAATGCATTTGTGGCTCTCCAGATGACGATGGAAGCACCGTATATTGTCCAAGTTGCGACACGTGGCAACACATCGGATGCTACTATTATGGCAAAGAGGTACCAGAAGAACATATTTGTACCGACTGTCTCCCTCAAGATCTTGACGCCGAGAAAGCCACAGAGCGGCAGAGGGCAAGACGAAAGACCAACCGAGCGTGAGATTTCTTGGTACATCTCACCCACTCACTTAGAACTGGAAGCTGGCGCTCGGCGTTTTCCTCGTTGCTTAGGGTACCTCTGAACAACGTTCTCTTTTCAGAAGAGCTGCTTACGCCGAGAGACGCTGTACACTCGTTGAAAGGATGAAGAAGAGCTATACTAGAGCTCGTACCTGAAGAAGAATGCACAAGTGTTGTTGATTACTCCTTGCTTGCTCTCATCTGCGAGTGGCCTACATCAGGCCACCGCCTAACCTTCGATCGCTTTTAGAGTTCTTCCACTCGCATAGATGACCCCAATCAAGCAGTTTGACAAAGATTCAGGAACAGGATATCCGCAATCTCTGGATCTATATAAGGACGAAATGGCTCCTACAGCCAGCATTTTGCTGCAACACAGATACCATACAAGGGTCCCTCACAAGGCTTCTGGCGGATTCTGCCGAGTACTTTTGCTTACTGGCGTCAACACCGAGTCAATATATAGCATATTGTCTCGCCGCAGAAGCCCCTGCAAACACAATGACATATTCTTGAAGCTCATACAGGCCATCCTATACCGCAACAAGATCGAGCCAGCCACAACATCTGCTCGCCATGCGCGTGCTTGTCATCGGCGCTGGCTTTGGCGGCCTCTGCCTGGCAAATGGCCTTGCACGACAAAAAGGCATCATAGTCGACGTCTTCGAACGACACGCCGATCCGTCCAAAGAACTCGCAGGCTACGGCCTGCGCGTCGGAGCGGACGGCAAGAGAGCGCTCCAACACTGTCTTGATCCAGAGAGCTTCAAGCGTTTCCTCGCCGCGACAACACCGGCTGGGAGTCAGTGGGCTTTTCGAGATCCCCAACTGAGACTGCTAGCGCTGCGTGACGATGCGAAGATATCAGGGAAGGCCGAAGCAGATGTTGAGAGAAGGGCGGTGCATCGCTTCGAATTCCGGGATATCTTGCTGAAAGGCTTGACTGATCCCTCTGTACATTGGGGCAAGTCCTTCACGCATTACGAGCAGCTCGACAACGGACGCGTACGCGCACACTTCGCCGACGAAACCAGCGCAGAAGGAGACATCCTCATCGGTGCTGACGGGAGTGAATCAAAAGTCCGGGAGCAACGTCTCCCCCATCTCCAGCGCGAACACCTCGGCATAGTCATCATCTGTGGACGATACCAGCTCGATGACATTCGTATCCAGAATCTGCCGACTCTTATGACGGACGGGTCTCTCAACAACATCGTTCCATACGGCAAGTGATGGTTGTTCAGTGCTTGGTTCCCGTCGGCAGAGGGAGAGTCTGCAATCGATGTCCCCGAGAATTACACTTTGTAGGCATACGTTGTTCCCAAGTCCCAAACACCCCAAGACGCGAAGGCTTTGACTCCTGAACAACTTCGCGACATTGCTCTCGACGGAATAAAGGACTGGACAACCCCACTGGTCACCGTCGTGAGGGATGCTGATCTTTCGACTGTCGCGCCCATCGTCTTGCAGTCAATGCCGCATTTACCAGTCTGGGAGTCCAGTAATGTCACGCTCCTCGGCGACGCAATTCACAATATGACCCCTATGGCTGGAGTCGGCGCGAATATTGCTCTTCGAGACGCTCATGTCCTGACAGACCTTCTGATTGAGGCGCAGCATGGTAATCTTGACCTCCTCGATGTGGTAAGAGTGTATGAGCATAAGATGTGGGCGTATGCGAATGATGCTGTGGCGTTATCGCGGGGGATTGCTGAGGATGCGAGTTCGGAAGGAAGGTTGGGGAGGTGGATGTTCCATATTCTCCTCAGAGTGGCCCACGCAAGTCCGATGCATATGAAGGCGACGATTGGGAAAAACGCATTGGCAGAATGATTCGGGGTTTTATTGTGGAAGGTGCTGGATAGTGGGGTGGTCTAAATGCTCAGTATCGACCAGACCGTAGAGTACCAATGTCCAGATGTTTGTACCACCCAGTGCATGTCCATCGTGGTAGTGGAACATTTGAGCACCTTAGCCAGCGCCATCGGGTATCTCATCGTACACCTTCGTCCCCATACACCCAAAGACAAAGCTGGGCCGGTCCTTGACGAACCACTCCTCTTTTGGCGGCGCCGCACTCAATCCCTGATCGAAAAGATTCGGTCTGATAACAACGACCTTCCCGCCCCATTTCGCCGGGACTGTCGCGATGGTGCACCCACAACCATTACAAAAGACCTTTGGCTTGGCTTGTCCGCTTGCCGTCTCGCTCCCAGGAATGACATATGTCGTCAAGCTCGGACTGTCATTAAGCTCTAAATTCGTGAAAGGGACGAACTTGTCCGCATGACCAGGTCGCCTTCGATCAAGGAATGTGACGTCCTCGGCTTTGAATGCGGCGACGGCCTGGCATGGTCCTCCTGCGCTTCGTTGGCAGTCCGGGCAATAGCATAGAAAGGCGCGGAGAGGCTGGCCAGATACTGAGATCTCGATGTTCTTGCAGAGGCAATGTCCGTGTTCTGCCATCTTGGTGTTCAACTTGTTCTCGTGTCTCGCAGAAAAGTCCACACAATCAATATGGTCCACCTGGATCGATGTACTTCGGCACAAGGAAGGAGGATTGAAGTCAATGCCGAGGTTTAGGGGTCATGCTCGGTTGACTTGCCTGATGCGTATGTACATGTTCACCACCAAGTTATCGTACTCCAGAGGGACGCCGAAAGTTTAGCCTCTCCATGTCTTCATCATCTCATAATGTCCAAATCATGCGAAACGAAGCGGATGTGCCTCCAGATACTCTTCAAGAGTGGTCAACCTTCCACGAGCATTCTCAGCAGCCCAAGCAACCAGTTTCTCGGTATCCGGACCGAAGTATCCAAACTCCTCCCCGAAGCTGAAGGCTTCAGACAACATATCAGCCACGGGCGGTGGTAAGGTCTTCTTGAAGTCCTCATCTGGAATCTGCTTGTAGAGGACAGTCTCGCCTGTAGGTTTGGATATAATGGCAACTATCTCCTCCAAGGTGTACAGTGCCTGGGCTGCGCAAAATGTCTTGCCTTCGTACTTATCAGGCTCGGCGAGGATGGCGCCAACGAACTTGCCTGTGTCGCCCACCGCATCGACCAGAGGGTACTGAGTGCTGGGAGAAGTGTTGCGGGCCATGACCCAAGAGCCGTCGGGAGCTTTTCGTGGAGCTAAGAAGGGCTGAGCCTGGAAATTCTGCATGAATGATCCTGGACAGTAGAAAGCGCTTTTAATCGGGAGGCTGCGGATGTACTGTGCTGCCTTTGCCTTTGCATCGAAGGGGAAGACCTTTATATATTTGCCGCCCGAGATCTCGCTGACAAACGGTAGAGTGCTGAAGATGATGTACTCGACACCCTTCTCGACCGCAACGTCGGCAATATTCTTGGCGCCCTTGTCTTCGACCTCCGTGCTACCCTCGCCGAATGATGGTGTTGTCATGGCGAAGATGGTGTGCACGCCGGTCAAGGCTGTCATGAGAGAGGCTCTATCGAGCGCGTCTCCCTGGACGACGTCGACCTCAGACTTGTCCTTAAGGGCTTTGGCCTTGATCGAGTTGACATCACGGGTGATGGCACGGATCTCGTACTTTTGGGAGAGCTCTGGCTCGTTTAGCACGTAGGTAATGACTGATCCGCCTTGTTGGCCCGTAGCACCAAAGACGGCAAGGATATTGGACATGATTTTGCCGAGCGCAGCGAAGTAGTCATGCAAAGGTCCTGGTAGATTGCATCAAGGATGAAGCACCGTGGTGTCAGCCTGCGAAACCAACCTTACTAAGACACGGTGAGATCGTTCACATTTTTCAGGGAGACACCCTCTGTTCTTGTATGCTCATGATTCCGTCTTGAAAGAACGGAAAAAGTATCATGATGGCTGGACCTCGTACATCGAGCTTTTGATTGGTAAAACTGCTGAAAGATATCATATTCGGAAGGACTGAAGACCCGAACATCGACAAACTCTTCTATCTCGAAATAACCTTGCGAGCGAAGACTAAAAGTTCATACTGCAGCCTCGTTGAGGAGTCGGATACGGGTGGATCAATCTCTCCGTGATACTTACACTAGCCAACGTCGAGAGCGGCATCACTTCCGTCCCACAATAGATTCATCTCGTCGTCGACTCCACACGAACTACAGATCTTGAAAGCTAAGTCCAGCTACAGCCAGATACACAACCTTCGCACAGCTCAGCGACACGTATCTTCCCCGCTCAATACACCTCCGTCTACACCTCATCTTCCTCCACAACACCGGCACAATGTCCGCCCTCCTATCTCAACTCGACACCCTCAGCGACACCTTCCAATCGCACCTCCCACCCCAACTCCAACCATACTTCACCCGCTCGAACCTCCAAACGATCCTGCGCGTCATAGTCATACTCTCAACATTCCTTCTCTTCCAACCCCAACTCGACCGTCTCCTTCGCAAACTTGCAGGCAAACCAGATCCGCGACAAGCCGAGATCGACGCGCGCCTCGAATTCCTCAAACAGCAAAAAGAAGGCGGAGTCCTAGGTGGCATGCCCTCGGCCTCGTTGGGCGGCAGAATACCCGTCGTCAACAGAGAAGGCAAAATCGTGAAGCTCATCAGCCCGGAAGAAGCCGAGGCCTTGAAGAGGGCACAGTCCGCGAAAAAGAGCCCGGCAAAAACTGCAGCTGGGAAGAAGGGCAAGAAAAGTGGGAAATGAACAATACGTCCCTGTTCACAAAAGCTTTAGGCCTGCTCTTTCTAGTTACCACCATATCAAGTGCCAGTTTCTCTTTCTACACACGGTGCGGCTACAAAACTAGTACAGCCGCCTCAACTCATCGCCCCAAGCTCGAGCTTCTTGGACACTCACATTGAGCGCCTGCTCCATCAATCCGCCCTCCCTCAGCACCGTCTCAAGCTGCTGGTCATCCAACGCCAGAAGTCCTTGCTCGACCATTTCGCCGTCCACAACACGGAATGGCTCGTCTTTCTCCATGACTTCGGTCTTCCACGCTCGGAACTTCGTCCATGGCATGTACCCCGGAGCTTGGACACGAGAGGCCAGCGCCGATTGCAAAAGCAGCAACACATTGACGTATGCAGGGTTGATAGTCGCGAGCATATAGATAGCTCCTTCGACCGTAGCGGCGAATGCCCGTGGTGTCACCAACGGACCAACTCGTGGCATTTTGGGATCGAGGCTTCGTTTGCCGGCAATCTCACCACCATCGGCATCCGTCATCTTTGTGTCTTTGCCTGTGGACTTGTGCTGCGACGGCGCTGGTGTCGAAGACAGAGGGACCATCTTGTTGACCACTTCTCCTAGACGGAATTCACCAGTAACTTCCAGACGGCGGCGGTAGTCGGCCTCGGTGCCATCCTGAGTACCCTGGCGGAGAGTTATGAGGTTGCCCTCCATATCGGCTACCACCCATTCATTCTCCGCGATGGCTGCGGTGGCTGACGACCACACCGTCGCAAAGTGTCGCGACGTCTCGCGCAGTTTGTACTCTGGGTTCGTAGAGTTCGGAGGAACAACTTGGAGAATAGATAGCGACTTCATCAGGTCTGCAACCGCAATCTGTGCGGGTGTGTCTGACGTTGCAGGTGTGATTGCCAGGGAAAGCGGGTTCGTCGATGTGCGGTAGGTGGCTAACTTGGACAGTTCAAGTGAGTGGCCGCCTCTTGTCGATGACGGTACCAATCCATATAGAACGACCTGTTGCAATAGTTAGTAGGGGAAAGCATGACTTGGGAACTGTGGCTTACCGTCTTGACCAAGCCGGCCACAATCTTGCCATCACACATTGCCAGACTGCGACAGGCGCCCTTAACCCTGATCTGAGTCACCTGCTTGAGTTTCCTCTCCTTGTTGACTTCGTAGACGATGATTCGACCCTTTAGGCGGTCTTCCATTCCCAAATCATCTTGTTCCAATATACTCGTGCCTACCACGAACATCTCGCCGAAGTCTTGCGACTCGTTTTCGGTCTCGAAAGAGCCAGTGGAAATAACGCACTCGACCAGTTCGCTATCCTCGAGCTCGATAGAGTCGATCTCCTTGAAGCTGACCTCATCGGCAATCTTGACCGAGCTGAGCAGCGCTTCTGTGCCGCTTTCCATGATGCGGCGGACACAGCCCATGGCGAACATCTTGGCTGTGGGCTCGTAACTAAGACACCGGACTGTCTCCCCTATAAGCAGTGTTTGCAACTGTGTCGTCCTCTCCTTGCCGATCAACGCGAGCTTGAGCTCTTTCGGGGCTGCGATGGCGATCGCACCCGGGTACGCTTCAGAGTTGAAATTGCACACGCGAGAAGCGCTCTCGGCGTTGACGGCTGAGTATATGATTCGTCCTTCGGAGGAATAAATCAAAGACGGCTGTTCACACGATGCGAAAATGTTGGAGAGTGTCGAGCCTGACTGGGGATCCTTGGGTAGTTGCTTGAAGAATACTGGTTCTGTGCCGAGCAGTATCCTCGTCATTCCCGACAGCGTGTTCTTCGTCGAGTCAAACGAGTACGATAGGACGGTGCCGTCGGCCATGGCAACGAACAGGTTGGGTGGAGCATCTGGCAGGACGTTGGCCACCAGGACTGATCGCGGGATGTCCGTACCAGGTGAGCCTAAGCTTTGCGACTGCAAAACTTCAAGCGAGTGTAGGTCCAGAATGGCGACGGATGCAGTTTGCCAGAAGGAGACAATGCACACGTTGCTGTTTGAGTCCGGGACTGTAACGCTAGACATTTGTGACTCCGCGGGGAACGTCTTTGAGATGGTGGGTTTCGATTCGCTGTTGGCTGCGTGGAATACGTGCAGGGTGTGACCGCCTTCCACCACGAGTAGGTGCACAGAGTCTGCACATGCAGCTGTGATCTTGGCTGCTGCATCGGGCGGTCTCCATTCAAGTGTGAGCATACTCGATTCGAGGTCCGTGATCCGCAGCCCGCCCTCACATACTTGTACAAGTCTCCTGTCAGGAAGATTTGCCGCGTAGAGTGTCGGCTGGGTGAGATCTAGGTGGTGGAACTCCTCCACCTCTTCGACTGAAGCTTCGGAGTCGAATCTGAATATTCGTGTCTCGGTGACGAAGGAGACAAGAAGTGTGTCGTGCACATCGCTTTGTCCTGTCGAGCTCAAGCCCCACAGATCCGTAACATGAGATAGCTCACCGATTGTGCCCAGCTCTTCCAGGCCAACTCCGCTTCTTACGCTCCGTATGGTGCCATCTTGCCATGCTCCTGAAGCCGCGACTATTCGCGCCTGGCCTGAGGAGAATTCAAGCGACTGGCCGCCTTCACTACCTCTACCAAGGTCCATGATCGAAAAATCCAGTATCGGGGCAATATTAGGGAATGTTTGAACGACACGAACCCCTCCCTCCTCAATGTGTACCACTTGCGAGTCACCCGAGTGGGAGCCCACAAAGACATAACCCTCATCTAGATAGACCAAGCATGAAGCTTTCGATGCTTCGCCAATGGGATCCAGCCGCCATGATGACACCTCGAATCCGGTTACCTCGATCATCAAGAAGAATAACCTGCCAAAATCATCGGCCAGTAACCATCGTTGGTCGTCAATCTTCGTCCAACACGTCCATATCGTGGCGTTGTCGTCCAGCGGCTCCTCGATAACATTTTGTAGTTCTCGGTCGACGTAGCGTATCGTATGGTCTCCAAGAATGATGAAGCCTCCGTATGGGGCTGCCACCGGAATCAGATGGCTGACTCCTTTGTCGAGTTGATCGCCATTCAACTCAGCAACCGTCTCCAAATCTGCCGTCGCCTGCTCACCGCCGGGGTAGTACTTCAACTCCCGTAACTTCAATTGTGGGTTCTCCTGGTTGTCTTCCCATAGTATCGCTATCTTCGGATTCTCCTTTGGGTCGTCGCTTTCCACGAACGCAGACGATCTGGTCAGCAACTCTTCGATCCTGACCTGTACTGGCTCACCCAACGTGCCCACTTGTGTATTGGAAGTACTTTCTCTTTTAACGCGCTTGTTCGACGGCTGCACGAAGGCGAGCACTGTGACAACACCATCGTATAGCTCCAATGTCATGAACCTCCCTGTAGGGTCGATGTGACATCTATCCAACTCTCTTGAGTCCCGCAGCACTTTATCTGCAAGGTCGACATAACTCTGCTCAGTTCGTAGCTGTCTGATGTCTGCGTCCCATGAGCACGTGAAATACTGATAGCGATCCGTGCCGATGAATAGATGATCCGTCTTGGAAGAGGATGGCCGGAATCGTTCGAGGATCGTGATATAGCCATAGACGGTCTTCGTATATAATAGTGATAGTCCTTCTGTGCCTTGCTCGTAGATTTCCAGGCGGTTGGCTTTCCTGGTTCATTGCGTCAGTGAAACAGCTCTGCGAATATGCCGATCAGATGTACTCACGCTACTATCAGTGTGTCTGCATCGGGTCCCAGAAAGTTCAGCTTGATCGCATGCCGCACGCCGCTGGGACGGTGAATAGGCACGACGTAGGACATGGTTGTAATGGGAGGTCGATCAGGCCGGCAGAGTTACGCTGGTGGGTGATGAAAGAATCCTGCTCCAGGTCATGACAGACGAGAACAAGTAAGGCAGAATTGAAACGTCTCCGACTCCTAGTTCGAAGATGAGGCTCGTACTTACATAAGAGCCATTGATCAGGGCACGAAGGCTGAGAGTAGACTGCGGTGGACTGTAATCATCATTATTCGTTCCCTCCAATTATGTGGAGACAGATACTCGCGAACGCGGAGAAAGACGTGTGGTATACCACTATTATCACCGAAATTCAATGTGTATGTCAATGGAGACCAGTCTCTTATTCTTTACCACCGAGCCACCTGTATACTACTGAAAAGTCCTTGCCCTTGTGCACCTTTTCAGTCTCGTCGTAAACCTCTTTGGCCTTCTCAGCCAGTACAAGCTTGGCTCCAGCTTCTGACGCAGCAGACATGGCAAGTCGCAGGTCCTTGTTCATCAAACTGACTCCGAAGCCTCCGGCATAATCTTTGCTGGCTGGTGATGCCTCAATGACTCCAGGTACAGGGTTGTTGATTTCACTCGGCCAGCTTCTGCCCGTTGCGGAATTCAGAAGATCAGCCAGAGCCTTGCCTTTGATACCCCATTTCAGACCCAAGTTCATAGCCTCGGCGCAAGCGATATTGTTGATAGCCAATGCATAGTTGTTCGCCAGTTTGCCGCTGAGACCAGTGCCTTGGGGTCCCATATGCCAGACCTTCTTTCCCATAAGAAGCAGAACTTCTGTAATCTTAGTAAGGTCCTCCTTTTCTGCACCAACCATGAAGGTCAACGTGCCAGCTCGTGCGCCAACCACACCACCAGACATGGGGGCATCCACAAACTTCGCACCGTCCTTCTCTTTTACCCACTTCGCGACTTCGCGTGATGTGGTAGGATCGATGGTCGAAACGTCTATGAAGAGTCTTGAGCTTTCCGTGGGTGGCTTTGGTAGTGATGACGCGAGGACTTCTTCGAAGACTCCTTTGACATGACGAGGCTCTGGCAGAGCTGTTACGATAGTATCCTGTCGTGCTTCGTCAGCAGAGGCTCAATGGATAACTTCAGAAAGAAAGAAATCGAATGACTTTGTGACAGAATTTCAGAGGATTGGCTTTGTTAGGAGAATCATAGAAAGGACAACCAGTAAGGAAGTCCCCAACTTAGATCATAGATAGAACAATATGGCTCATCATGCAATACGTGCGATCGAATGTGGACAGACTCTTTACTTACAGCATTTTCTACCACTTCTCTCGGACTCTTTGCAATGGTCACGCCGGTTGGTACAGCCTCTTTTGAAAAGTTGTCCAAGGAAGTCTGATTGACGTCGAAGACGGTGAATGTATCACCTTCGGGCATTTTGGCTCGCAGGTTCTTCGCCATCGGGTAGCCTGCAAAGGACGGTCAGAACGTAGTTGGCATACTGAGCAGGGAACGTACCCATGGCTCCAAGGCCAATAAAACCCCATGATGCGTCTTTGGAAGCTGAGCAGGAGAAATGTCTGATGCTCGTAGAAAATTGTGAAGTCGATCGCCTCAAGGCGGAGGATACCATCGTCACCGTCATCTCTGCTGGGCTCGTCTCTCGCGATGCATTCTCAGCGAGGCGAATGAGACGGGTTAAGGCATATCGAGGTGTTCGGCTGGGTGCGGAGTGTTGCCCGAGGCAGAGTACAAGCTCTGGCCTGCAGGAGCTCGGGGAAAAGCTGGAGCTACCAAGTTGAGTTCAGGAGTTTTGAGTGGGAGAAACCGAACAAACCGAACCTGCCCGGCCTTGGCAGGTACTAGCGCCGAGATGGTCCACGCTCAAGGGGTGAAGTCCATCAGCTAGGTATGTACCTTAGTTGACGAGACACTCAATTGAGACAGCGATCTGAAAATCATCGATTTCATTGAATATAGAGCAGAGCTGGTTTTCTGGGCAGCTGTGCAATTGTACAAGTCCCGAAAAGAATCTTCTAATACTGCATCTCGGCATACGCAGAAGACAAGCAAGCAAGCAAGCAGCATAATGTGAGACTGGAGGTCAGCCCAAAGAAGCGAACAAGATAAACACGGCCCAGAGGTGCTCTTCAACGACGCCTCGACTTTCCCTTCCCCTTCCCAGTTCCACTACCTTCAGATCCAGGACTGGAAGAAAACGCCAGAGCCGGAAGATCGTCCTCCACTGCTTTCCTGCTCTGCTCTTCGGCAAGGCTGAGCTGCAATGCAAACTCCAAATCTCCATCTTGGTCAGGTGTTGTGTTTTTCGCCTTGCTGCTACCTGGCGTTGCAACTCGTGAAGGTGTGCCACGTTTAGATCCTTTGGCATATCGTATAGGTATGTCAAACTCGCTTGGCACTGGTGAAGACGATATCTGTTCGGTTTCCAGCAAGCTTAGACGGAGCGCTTCTTCGAGGTCGGCGTCGACTGCACTAGCTGGAGCATCTTCCTTCCGGCTCTGCGGCAAACTAGGTGACACATTTGAGCTGTGATCTTCGTTGGCCTGCCTCTTCACCGCGTCACTCGAGAATGCCTCCTCGCTGAGCATCGTGGCATAAGCTAGTAGTTCTTCCTCGCCCGCCCCTTCACCCAATAAATTGGTGCCGAATCTGCCACTCATCCGCTCTTTTTCTTGATCCCTTGCGATCTTCTCCCGCTCCATTTCAAACCGTTCATTGGTGATATAGTCCTTCAGCACTCCACGGCCAGTGGCACTAACCTTGTGGTTTGCCGGCGTGGAATTACTTCCTCGCTCGGACCGTCGACGAAGCTGATTTCTTTTGCGACTCTTGTATGCATCTGCCGCAGTCGAGCTGTACGACCAGTAACGTAGATAAGCTCCCAATGAGACCATTCCGCGCAGGACAGTAGGATCAGGATCTAGCACAATCGCGCCAGCGGCATAGTAGTTGTTGCCCACACCCTGCACAGAGGCTTCTGCTTGGGCAATGCGTCGTCTCGCTCGGTCAGAGAATCGTGAGTTCAGAGTCCTGATTGCCTCGTTCGTAGAAGCGAGAGGATCCCAGGCCTGCACAAGCCCGTCATTGCCTCCATGAACAACATACAAAGAAGTCAGCGCCAGGGACGCAATCTGTGGACTCTTGGTATAGATGATTCGAACTGGCTGGACAGTATTGACAACGTCAGGGCTTGGAGAAAGACTAGCACGCATGTCCCAGAGCATCACCACACCGGACATGGTACCGATGCCAAGAAGGCGGGCTCGATGACCGGGTATCTCGGAGACTGACTTGACCGTCGACATATGACCCAGAGGAGAAGCCAATGGTGAGGAAGCATTCGAACCACCAGACATCCCAAGCAGAGGATCTTCATTCGCGGTCAACATGGCATAATCCGACTCGTCCGACGCTAGGGCTGAGATTTGGACATTGCGATGGTCGGCGAACGACAACTGCGACATATGCCAGTCTTGTCGGTATTGCGAGTCTGCCGAGTCATCATGACTGGATGTGCGCGACCTTGGGACGCTGCTTAGAGATGGCGATGACTGAGGGTCAAACACAGAGGCCAATCCTGTTCCGAAGATGGAAGGACGTTGCATTGTCGACTGTATCGTCGGCCAGCCATCCAGGCTGAAGTCAACAGTGATCTTGGCCTTGCAACGTGTGAAACGACGAATAGATGCAACGCTCTCTTCGTCCAAGCCACGATTGACGATGAAAATGGACTCTCCTGCTCCATGGTGATCGTCCCCGGCAAAGTCTACGATCAACTTATGTCGCATGTCCCAACCTTCACACAGGTTTTGAAAGTATTTGGGTTTGTGAAGCAAGAATTTCTCGACTTCTTTTGTCTCGGCAATTGTTTGTTCTTGGCTCAGCCCAGACCTATCACTAGAAGTGTGAGGTGTGTAGCTGCCGTCAACCAATGCGGTCCCGAAAGGATCTGGTTTCGCTTGTCTTCTCGTGGTCTCTACGAGTGACCACTCCACACTTCTACCTGTCTGCCAGGCAAGTCGATCAACGTCGGCTGGGGAGGCCTTTCCAGCAAACTCGGGTCTAGTGGGCGTTTCCGTCAGGTAGTAAACCTCCCCAAGCGCATTAAGAGCGGTAGCCCAAACACGTTTGGAAGCGATCCTGCGAGAAGAGACTTTCTCATCGATAGATATACCCACGATGGGCACGCCTGGGCAAAGTACCCACTTAGCAGTAGGCTCGCCCTTCTCGTAACGGCGGTCGTGCACAGGATTGACCCCGAGCGCGTACGCAGCCAGCACACCATTCGAGAACCCTGCAAGGAAGCCAAACAGCCCGTTCGTGATCTTTAGGAGAGACTCCGACTTTGCGATGTAGACTGAACAAACAGCACAACCGATCATGCTCACTTCGGGGATTCCAAGGGCATGATTCGCATTGGACGATATGGGAACGAACCGCCCACGTTGCTCGCTTGTCGACGTGTAGTAGAGTCGTCCGCCAGGACATGCTTCCCCGTACAGTTTCCCATATGGCTGGCTGATATCCATAACATTTTCCATGCCCACCACGTTGCCAGGGCCTAATCCGTGCGGAAGTTCCCCAGGAAATTGGTCGGCGAAATGTTTGAAGCCTTCAAAGTCGGTCAATCCCCAGGATCCTGGCTTCCCATTGCTGGGTTCGCTGACCGATACACCTCCCTGCTCCACAGCCCCATGCATAAACGACGGCTGTTTCTTGTTCAAGCCGACGCCAAACGTGGCATGGATGTGACTGACAGGGTAGTACAAGCCGGATTGGTAGGTCGTAACCGCGGCCGCAGCACTATTTCCGTGTCGAGATGCACTCGATCGAGAAACTGTCTCAATGGCAGGGCGGCCCCGGCCAAGTGACCGGAGCAACCGTGTTCGCAAAATGTACTCACTTCTCCAAGACGACAGTGCTGATAAGCGCGTGAAGGATCTTCGTTGCGCCTTTTCAACGTCGGAAGTAGAATCTCTTGGAGCTCTACCCGGCCCGATGTCAAGTTCTTCCGAGCCTGGGAAGTATCTAGCAAACGCTATGCGCCACGCATGAGGAGTAGTGACCAATTTGTGGAATCGTTGCGAAACTAAGCTCATCGAAGACAGGGTCTCGGGTGGCAGATGGGACAATATATGAGTCAAAACCTCTGCCTGAAGTCAGTCGTACTCGATGAAAGAGGTGTTTCAGCCGCACCATTGGGAAAGCCTTCTATTGAGACACTTTGAGCTTTGCCTTTTGCCATTGGCACAATCTGGAAAATCATGCCATCAGAGCGTTTCCGCTGTGTTGCGTGTGCTTTCTCATATTCATCAATGCGAGTGCCAGGAGAGGCACCTTGGGACGAGTCATCTCGGCTGCTCAGCCGTCCGACATGGGAGTTTCGTCCCCTGTGAGTCTCTCCCGAGGCGACGGAGTTGGAGTCGTTATCGTCCGAGACTGAAGAAGGCGCTCCGGGGCTACTCGGGGAGAGCGTGCCATCAGAGCCCTGGAGCACATTGACTGGCAATCCATGCTGTGTGGGAGGCGAGGGGGATTCAGGTTGCTCTACTAAAGTCGCGTTTTGAAAGACTTCGGAAGGCGCAGGTTGCATAAAAGGATTTGTGGTAGAGATAGGGGGTTGGCGAGACTGAACCAAGTGTTGGGTCAGTCTGTAGAAGCGCTGGACGAGCCGGATTCGAGGTAATCGCGTGTGTGTTCAATGCAAAAGAAGGAGAAAAGCGAGGATGGAGTCATATCTACGCAGTTCAGAAGAATCAACACCATCTTCTCAGAGTCGATTCCCATTGGCCGGATCACGATCACCGGCAGCTTATATAATATGCCTTTTACTTCACCACTTCCACCATGCAAGATGCTACGCGACTAGTGAGACGTACTTACGATACAATGCAGTCAATAAGATGCTGCACTCAAGCCCGCCATAGAATCCTATGCTGCACTTGATGTGTATGCGTCCACACTTTACCCTGGTCCATATGGCACGTCGCCACGCGGTCAGAAGCAGGCAGCAAGCACGCTAATTTCTGAATCGAGTACCGCCTGGTTGACGCTCTTTCTGCTTCGTCTTGTGGTCCCCTTGTCCACTTTCTGTTGGTACAGAACATCATGGCGGACACAATCAAAATCCTCGTTGCCACCGACAATCATGTGGGCGCTCATGAGCGAGATCCGATCCGAGGAGACGACTCATGGCAATCCTTTCATGAGATCATGTGTCTGGCGAAGGAACGAGATGTCGATATGGTCTTGCTAGCCGGCGATCTCTTCCACGAGAACAAACCCTCCCGGAAATCAATGTACAATGTCATGCGCTCCATACGGCTGAATTGCCTTAGTGATAAGCCATGCGAACTGGAAATGCTCAGTGATGAGTCTGAACATTTTGACGCCACCTTTGATCATGTCAACTATGAGGACCCGAACATCAATGTCGGGATTCCAGTCTTCTCCATCCACGGCAATCATGATGATCCCACAGGTGAAGGTCACTACGCCGCATTGGACCTACTCGCTGTCTCCGGCCTCGTCAACTACTTTGGCAAGACACCGGAGAGTGACAACATAGTGGTCAAGCCCGTCCTCATACAGAAAGGCCGCACCAAACTCGCACTCTATGGCATATCCAACGTCCGCGACGAGAGACTTCACCGTACATTTCGAGATAGCAAGGTCCAATTCCATCGGCCAAGCACGCAAATGGGCGATTGGTACAATGTCATCTGCGTCCATCAAAACCATCACGCCCACACAGAAACATCATACCTCCCCGAGTCCTTCCTGCCTGACTTTCTCGATTTTGTCATCTGGGGCCACGAGCACGAATGCATAATCGAGCCGACATGGAACCCTGAAATGGACTTTCAGGTCATGCAACCAGGCTCATCCGTTGCCACTTCATTGATGCCTGGTGAGGCCGTCTCAAAGCATGTCGCTCTTGTCACAATCACTGGGCGAGAGATGAAGTCAGAAGCAATCCGGCTAAAGACCGTACGCCCCTTCGTGTACAAAGACATCTCTCTCAGTACAGACAAAGAAGCCGTCAAGATTGCCAAAAGCAAAGAGGAACATCGCGCTCTGCTGACACAACATCTCATCAAAATCGTTGAGGACTTGATAGTGCAGGCGCAACAAGAATGGGAAGAAGCACAGGAAGAGAGACAGGACGATGCTGATGAGCCCGAAGAATGCCCATTACCACTAATCCGCCTGAGGGTCGAGACAAGTGCGCCTGAAGGTGTGGGCAAATTTGACATCGAGAATCCCCAGCGCTTCTCGCAACGCTTCACCAGTCGAGTTGCCAATACGAACGATGTCGTCCAATTCCATATCAAGAAGAAAAACGCGGCCGCTCGTGCTGCCCGAGACAAAGAGGCAGACCGAGAAATAATGGCGAAGTTTCAAGGTGTTGAAGTCATCCAGGTTGAAAAGCTAGTGCATGAGTTCCTCCAAGCACAATCACTCACTATCCTGCCTCAGAATTACTTCGGCGATGCAGTCAGTCAATACGTAAACAAGGATGACAAGCACGCCATGGAGCTGTTCGTGAACGAATCTCTGGCAGACCAGATCAAAAACCTGGTGAAGCTCCAAACTGATGCCAACGACAACGAGGAGGATGAAGATTTGGCCACGCAGATAAATGAGCAACGTGCCAGAATGGAGGAGTTGTTCGCAAAAGGTCTGATTAAGGTCTCCGCTAACAAAGCGCGCTTCAAGCCCAAGCCCGACGGATGGGACAGCGACCTAGACGGACCATGGGAAGAGCAGCCCGGCGCTATAGAGCGTGCATCTGAAGATCTGGAGGATGCTAACGACGTTGAAGAGGAAGAGGACGGAACGCCTGCTCCCAAGACCGCGACAAGAGGACGGGGACGTGGACGAGGCGGCCGAGGAGCAACAGCAGCTTCGACACGCAAGGCACCCGCACCCAAGAAAGCCAAAACAACCGCAACGACGACGGCAAGAGGAAAGAAAAGAGCTGTACCTGATGATGACGATGATGACGAAGAGGAAGAGGACGATGTCGTCATGCTTGATGACGAGGATGAAGAAGACGACTCCCAAGCCATGTTCTTTCCTGACAAGCGCAAAAACGGTACAGCAAGCACAAGCACACGTGGCCGCGCCGCTGCACCAGCATCAAGCACGAGGGCTAAGAAAGCCGTTTCTCCAGCGAAGAAACCGCCTGCTCGTGCCGCCGCGTCGAGAGGCAAGCAGTCGACACTCAGCTTCACGCATTCACAGGCAAGTATCCTGGGTAATGGTAGTGGTCGGAATGCTCGGCCTCAGAGTGCAGACTATGATATCGAGGACGAAGAAGATGATGATGCATTTGAACCTATCCCCGCGACACGCAGAAGACGATGAAGGACTCTGCAGTGCTGTGTGTGGCGAGTTGACACACGGTCGAGGACGAAGGCATGATATGATGTTTCTGTAATAAATCAAAAGCAAAAAGCGACTGAGCATGACTAAGGCAGTTGTGAGGATACCAGAGCGAGCTGAGACATAGCTATCAAGAGGAAGAGACCCAAATTGCTTCTTTGCGTTCCAATCACTGTTGAATTCGTATCTATATACCTCGTAGAAGCAAGAGACATTGGCATGGTACCGTTCACACATACAGAATGGGAATCTGCGCTGCGCTCACAAGCCACGTAGCTTCTACCTACATTGTTGCACCATTCTGAGCACATGGCATTCAGTCCTTCTTCGCTTCTTCTTTAGCCTTGGCTGGAGTTGGGGCCGAAGCTGGAACAGGAGCAGGACTCGCACCACCGTCTGCTGAAGAAGCAGTATTTCCATTTCCAGCTGCACCTGCACCACCACGCTTCCCACCCCTACCTCCTCGTTGTCCTTGTTTGGCTCCCTGTCCGCCACCGCGTGAGCCTCCTCGAGCTGCCCCACCGCTACCGGTACCGCCACCACCACCACCCCGACCCCCTCGGTTTCCACTTGCACCGCCACCACGCGGTGTGCCTCGCGGTGCAGTTGGTGGTGTGGCCCCAGCTGGTGCCGTCGTCGCTGGCGTGGTCGAGGCAAGAGCGGAGGGCGCGGTCGGTGTAGGCGGTGCTGTGGTCTCTTTGAGCGGGACATTAGTTGCAGGTGAAAGTGGTTTCCCTGACTCGTTTTGCGTGGAAGCACTTGCTGCAGCTTTTGCGGAAGGGGCATTCGCCTGCTTTTCAGTGCCTTGACCACCACCACCACCACCACCGCGCTTCACATATGGCGACTTGTTCTCGAGCACGACCACCTGGCCATTTCCAACCTTGACCGGACTCGCAGCCATCGCTTTCTTTAAACCTTCGGCCTCGCTGAAGTCGACATACCCCAGCCCTTTCTTCTTGTCAATTTCACAGCGCAAAATCGTGCCGAACTCCTGGAACACCGTCTGTAGCAATTCCTCGGTGATGCCCTGCGACGGGTTCGCATGCTTGAGGAAGGCGGATTTTGCTCCGGTAGAAGGCTGAGGTGCAGATTTCGCTGGTCGTTGTGAAGGTGTTGTAGAAGGCTTCGCTGATGCAGCACTGGGTGTGCGTGATGCTCGCGGACCTGTTGGGGCTGAAGCGGTCGTCGCAGAGGCAGTGGACCCTTTTTGCTCAGCAGTGGAGTCTGACTTCGGCGCTGTGGGAGCAGCAACAGGCTTCGGTGAGGATGACGACGTAGTCTCGGCGTTGCTGGTTGCGTTTGAGGACTTGGGAGTTCTTTGTGTTTTGTTCTCTTTGGCTACCAAGCCCAGATCACGTTGAAGCATGCGTGCGGCGGCGCTTGCGTTTCCTCTCTCGCGCTCCCGCTTCGGCGGCGTCGCATTTGGCACGGGAGGCTGTGTCTCCTTTGCAGGCTGCTTCGCATCGCCCTTTGCTGAGGTCTGCTGTTTGCTTTGCATGGCAGCAACTGATTTGTTAATTGCCTTGACTGCATCTTCGGTGGCTTTGGCAACTCGCTCTTTTTCCGCAGCTGGCGCAGCTTTACCTTTAATAACAACTGGCGACCGAGTCTCCGGTTTGGTGGTTTTGGCATCCTTGTTCTCACGAGCTTTAGCTGCTCTAGCCTGAGACGCCTCTTTCGCTTTGTTTGCCTTTTTCTCCTTGATAAACTGGACAAGAGGCGTGGTTGAGACCTTGTCCTTGGAGTCCCCTACGTCTGCTCCATTCGCAGCTGCTTTAGTGACCGGCTCGGTGAGACTCTGTAAGAAATCAATGAATTCCTGGTCCTGGTCGATCGTGCCCTGTCGGCCATCATTTCTGCCACGCCCACTTGGTATTTTGTTGTATGGGGCAAATTCTAGAGATGGAGGTCCTAGTAGGCAAGGGTCCTTTGTCGTGTTTTTGGCGTCCTGGAATGATGATTGTTTCACCACTGTGGACAACGACTCGAGCAATGATTGTTCCTTCACTTTGATGTATGCTCTAGCTGGTCGTGAAGGTTTTGCTGGGCTGCGATCTGGTCAGTGTCGCGTCAGGTGAGGCCAATTCTTATCTCACTCTCTTGAGATCTTGCCATCTCTGAAGGCTGCCCAGTCGACTCTCCCAGCTCCGACTTTCCAGTCATCGCCAAGGACGGTCCAAAATTCAGTCTCGGTCAAGCCTGGTGGTAGTCGCCTAACAACCAATCTGAGTCTCGGAGCGGGAGTTCTTGAGGACGACTTCGGCGTAGATTGTGCTGATGCGTTCTTCCTCGTTGCTGCGTTCACGGGCAAGACGCCTCCCGCGCGGCCTTTCGTAGAGTGTGACATTGTTGGTGTATCTATCTCACTTGTCAGTGAGAGGACAACCTTAGATCCGCTCAGCTGTCTTTCACCTTCGTTTCACTTGACTTTCTGACGATATTCATGAGGCGGGCGACATCATAATGACTCACAATCGACCAATGAGTGCGCGGTTCATGTCTGCCAAGAAGTGAGGTTTGTTCGCGCTGGTGCTGGTCGGCATCCTATATAACTCGGCTAAGTTTCCCTCTCGGACTTTCTTTTTTCCGCTTCCGAGATCTCGTGACCATCATGTCTTCGTTGGCCGCCGCACCATCAACCGCTGTCGACGACAGCATCCCCTCCGCCTCCTCCCCACCACCAACGACCTCCTTTGCCGCTGTCGCCGCGTTTGAGCAAGCGGCCGCCGCAGAGGCATTCCCGGTCTTCGACGAAGACAACACGGAGGGTTCGCCCTCGCCATCGCCCTCCCCCTCCCCCGTTCCTTCCCGTCGCCGCCGGTCACGCAACGTGACCCATCTTGACCGTTCGCTCTTTCTCGGCCTCCCGCCAGGACGGGTGTTTGACTACGTTGACCTGGTGAGGTCGCTGCGTGCGCCGCCATTTGAACCGCCAAGGGTTCAATCTTCTCCCTCCACCTCCTCCACCACCACCACCACCGCGGCCGCTCCCTCCCGCCAAATCATCATTGACGAGGTCCAACAATGGCCGCAGTCAGAGTCCCAGTCCCAGGCCCAGCGCGCCTCAAGCGCTCCGCAGGCCCAGACGAGTGGCTCGATGCAGCAAAGAACTGCAAATACCTCTCAGAATACCACATGAAACAGCTTTGCGAGATCGTCAAAGAATACATGATGGAAGAATCAAACATTCAACCTGTCTCGACGCCAGTCACGATCTGCGGAGACATCCATGGACAATTCTACGATCTACTCGAGCTTTTCAGAGTCGCAGGAGGCATGCCAAACGAATCAGCACCAGAAACACCCGTGACACCAGCAAACATCATCACCTCCGCAGACATCGAACCTCCCACCACTATCACGAACCCAAAATTAAAGAAGAAGATGAGACTCGGAGGCACACAACATCCTGACCCAACTGGCGACAAGAGCAGTGAAGTCAGCGATGCCGAAGAGATACCCTCATCACAACAATCTGAAATCGAAGACGAGCGATCAGAATCTGGGAATGTCATATCCCAACGACAAAATGCCAATTTCATCTTTCTAGGAGACTACGTCGATCGTGGATACTTTTCTCTCGAAACACTCACCCTCCTTTTATGCCTGAAGGCAAAATATCCCGAAAAGATCACGTTAGTCCGAGGCAATCACGAATCTCGTCAAATCACTCAAGTGTACGGCTTCTACGAAGAATGCGTACAGAAATATGGAAACACCTCAGTATGGAAAGCATGCTGCCAGGTCTTCGACTTCATGACACTTGGAGCCATTGTTGATGGCAAGGTCTTGTGTGTACACGGGGGTCTTTCACCGGAAATCCGAACACTTGATCAAGTCAGAGTCGTTGCTCGCGCGCAGGAAATCCCACATGAAGGTGCATTCTGCGATCTTGTATGGTCCGATCCAGAAGACGTCGAGACATGGGCAGTATCACCACGAGGAGCTGGCTGGTTATTCGGAGATCGAGTCAGTCAGGAATTCTGTCACGTCAATGGACTGAACCTCATTGCAAGAGCACATCAATTGGTCAACGAAGGCTACAAATACCACTTCAAGAGTCAAGATGTGGTCACAGTATGGAGTGCCCCGAACTACTGCTACAGATGCGGCAACCTAGCGTCCGTATGCGAAATTGGCGAAGACATGAAACCGACATTCAAGCTGTTCAGCGCCGTCAAAGACGAGCTACGACACGTCCCACCCTCGAGAGGTGGACGCAACGAGTACTTCCTTTAGCAAGAATGCCATGACTTCCAGGAGACACTGAGAGAAACAATGATTGTGCTTGGATTGTGCTTGAACGACCTTTAGGGCCCAATGCCCTGCTGCAGATACCACGGTTTTCAGCATAGCGAGGCGTGATGAATGGCGCAGGCCGCAACAACTGTACATTATTTCACAAGAGCTAGATGATAGTGCTAGGCTTCAATAAGCCGAGAGATACCCAAATACCTGTGCACAGAGGCATATTGATCCATACTGTAGTCTGTAGATGACTTCTGGCACGCCATAACACCTACCTGGTAGGTGAGTCCTCCGGAGTTGAGTCCTGCTCCCCGAGCTCCTCCCCGCCGTTGGAGATAAATTTCGAGGGATACCCCAACTTCTACGACTTTTTGTCCCGATGTTGAGGTTCTCGTTCAGATGTAAGGGCTATGCGAAGGACACTTGCTTTGTTCTCCTCCGCTCGGAGAGCTGGCGAGTTGAACCTGATTCAAATTCGTAATGGCACATTCTACAGAGAGCATCCGGCAGCACATGGCGGAGACTCTTCCTCCTCCAATCCACCTCTCTTCCCGAACTTGACCTTCGAGCTGCCTGCCACCCAGGACCAGGCTGCTGAACGGAGAGACAACCACTGGGCCGTCATCAGTGGCTCTGATGGAACCACATTCCTCGAAATCCTGAGGGGTTCACATCTATGTTTCCCGCCGAATGCAAGATCATACCCGTACCTGGCCTCCGGTGCCATTGATGATCGCAAAGATCACCACCTGCGGATACCGTCGCGGGCAATACAGTATGTCGGTTTCAATACAAAGGGGCAAGCATCAGGTGGAGGAATAAGAGGCGCCTATCTAAGTGCTCGATACGAAAGCCGTAGAGAGGAAACAGACTGGTCGGTCCTGCAATACCTCAAAGGAGAAACGGAGTTGAACCCAACGCAAAGTGCAGAGGAGCGACATGTCGACCTCAACCTCCTCGACCAGACTATCGCGGACCTGCGTCTGCAAAAGCTCCTCGACATGCCAGTGAGCAATTTGAGTAATGGACAAACCCGAAGATCAAGGATCGCAAAAGCGCTGCTGGGTAAGCCGAAGCTTCTCCTGCTCGACGAACCATTCATGGGCTTGGATCCACCGACGCTGGTCACGCTGTCACCCATGCTGCAACGACTGGCGCATAAGTCGTCGCCTCTTCTTCTCCTTGGATTGCGACCCCAAGACCCCATCCCAGATTGGATCACGCACCTTGTCGTTCTCGGCCCAAACCACACGGTAGCGCTGATGGGCGCGAAGCAGCATGTCCTTTTCAGTCTTCGACAGTGGGCGGAGGTCGTATCCCAAGCACAGTCAAGCTCCGACAACAAGATCCTCGAGCAAATCGTAAAGACATACGGTACACCGCCGTCCGGCATTGGCGACGAACTCACCAGCAAAGGCATATCAAGGCACGAGCTCCTCACACAAGACATCACCGCATCCACTCACCAATCGTGGTCTAAAGCTATCGAGACTAGCCAACCCTCTCCGCGGAACAGCCTCGACCAGCTCCTCCTTGCCGCCTCTCAGGACGACAGTTCCCTCCTTTCCAACCCCTCAAAACGAGATACACCTCCTTCATCAACCTCCACCCCTTCCACATCCAATACCGATTCTTCACCTCCCCCCTCCCAAGGCGACCCCCTCATCGAACTATCCTCAGTAACGGTAAAATACGGCCCCAAAACCGTTCTAGGCCACACACCCCCCGGCCTCACCCTAACAATCCGACAAGGCACACGTCTCGCCCTCCTCGGCCCCAACGGCTCCGGCAAAACCACACTCCTCTCCCTCCTGACCTCCGACCACCCCCAATCCTACAGCCTCCCCATCAAATTCTTCGGCCGCATACGTCTCCCCTCGCCCGGCAAACCAGGCCTATCCCTCTGGGAGATACAATCCCGCATAGGCCACTCCTCGCCCGAAATCCACGCCTTCTTCCCCAAACACCTCCCGCCCCGGCGCGTGCTGGAGTCCTCGTGGGCCGAAACATACGCGAGTAAACCTAAACTCACGCCCGAACGGACGCAAATGGTCAATACTTTTTTGCGGCACTGGCAGGCTGAACTGCAACAAGACAGTCCCAAACCCTCTCCGGATCTGGACTGGGCATCAGATAAATCGACACACGCGTTCAATTCGTTGCCCTTCAGTGCACAGCGTCTCCTGTTGCTCTTACGCGCAATCATAAAACAGCCTGACATCGTGATCTTGGACGAGGCCTTCTCAGGTTTATCCGCGGAAACGCGCGACAAGGCCATGTCGTTTATCGAGTCTGGCGTTACGGATACGCAATTCCCCGGCCTCACATCTGCACAGGCCCTGGTCGTGGTGTCGCATGTCAGAGAGGAGATTCCTCCCGTGGTGGACGAGTGGCTCCGTCTACCTGGCGAAGAGGAAGTACTCGAGCACGGGCGAGACGTCGAGGGTGGACGAACAGTCAAGGGAGGTATCAGGACGAATGAGGGTTGGATGAAGGTCTGGGGTCTGTGATACGTTCACTGTATTGTACATACTATGGCACCTACTGGCCTCGATTATATAAAGCTACGATAGATATGGCTCTGGAAAGGAATCTACACTGGAAGGCTAGATCAAAATGTATATACCAGGATGTATAATCATAAATATATATGTGGTATCTCAAGAGACATTGACAAAAGGACCATTGCTAGCCAAACATAATCTTTCCCGTCTTCGATCGTCGAATATCTGGGGTAGTGATACGATAGATCCAGATCATCCTCTTTCCAAATTCGCCGGAATAGCTCAAAAAGGCTACATAAGAGAGAAATATGTCATTTCATCAATATTGTAAAAGTGGTAGGACACATGCCAGAACACCAAACACGCATTTGGACCTCTCTTTTACGAACGACGCTTGCGACTCCGATATCCACAAAGCACAATTCAAGAGAATCGGCGTGACATTGGACTGCATCGAATGCATGCTCCAAGAAAAGTCCGCGCTTATTCCGACTCCTCCATGACAGATCGGTCGCGAATACTGCTCGACCGGTCGGGGATCATGTGGTAAGGAATGCTGAACGCCGAAGCACTGCTGGCCTGGCTTCGCAGGCTGGACTGACGGCGCAATCCACGACCTGTACCACCACTGCTGCTCTGGTGTGAGTGGTGAGATTTGTACTGTGATTGTGACGTGATGGATTGACCAGATTGTGGATCCGCCGAATTCGCTCTCTGTCTCGAGGACGAAGCCTGTGCAGATGAAGCCTGGGATTGTCGTGGAGATGAGACTGGAATGGGAAAACTCGACAGAGATACCTCGCCGGGACTAGGTGGCACCGGTTGATGCTGCTTGGTGAAGCGAATGCCGTTGACGTGTAGCGGTGGCGGCATCGGTAAAGGTTTGTTCAATGCCTCAAGGCCTACAATGGACGGGCCAGGACCATCCAGCTCTGCCCCTTTACTCCTACCACGATCTTCGACGTTCAGCACAGAAGCCTTGGGAGTAACGCCATTGGGTATATTTTCGGTATCCGACATTGTCGTCAGAGAATGATAAGTAGCGTTCGATGTATTCTCCTTCGTCGTCTGCTCAACCGCTGGTGACACTGGCGATGAGCTTCCGACCTGAGCGAAAATGGTGGATGGAGCCACGGGTTTCCCATCGCTAAAGGAGAAGTTGTGTTTCGGAGTATTGGTTCTGGAGCTTTGTACGAGCGGTGCAGGAGATGGTGTTGGGAGAAAGTTCTCATTCAAACTCTCTTGGAGCCGGATCAAAGCAGCGCGAGCTTCGGCCTGCTTCTGAGCGAACCCGGATTCATCAAAGGTTGACTGGTACATGTTGAGCTTAGGACTCTTCCCCGAGCTTCTGCCACTGTTGGGATCATGGGTCGCAGACCTAGTCCGATTACTCCTTACAGACTTGGGCTTTCCCTCGCTGTTTAGTACGGTGGATTTGGTGGCACTTGTGAGGGGAAACATGGTACTGGTGCTTGCAAAGTCGCGGGCAGTTACGCCAGAGGCTTGACTCGGATCGACAACGTCAATTGATTGAAGCTTTCCAGGTGTTGTATGCACATTGGATTGCCTAGCGATTGGCGGGCTAGATTGTTCCCCTGCTTGAACCGAAGCTCCGTCAAGTTGCGGGATTTTCGCAGGATCGTTGTGGTTTGGTCCCCTTCCAGCCATGGAGACTTCTTTCAATGCCCCTCTCCGAGCAGGTGAGTCAGGGGTGAGTGCTGTGGACGGTGGTTCGTGTTGTATTACAGCCTCCTTTTCGTCTTCATAGCGACGATCGTCTGAAAAGTGTTGTCCGCTTGGGACGTGGTGTGCGGACTCTCCCATTGTTTGTGGACCGGCTGATACCACGAGGTTCCTCGTCCCAGCAGCGACGGACTTGACGGGTGATTCTAAGTAGATACTCGCACGGGGCGGCAAGGATGCAACAGTGCTGACAGGCGAAAACCCGCTTGTGAGACGAGTAATTCCTGCGAGAGGTTGTGACGCTGATGATTGTGTCACATCGTGTGTTTGCGGCTGCGATGGCGCCGTCTCAGCAGAAGACGACATCTGCTCAGAGAGCAAAGAATCCGTTCGCGGCACGTCTCTGTCAGCTTCGGGCCTCGGACTCGTCATTACGGTGCCCTGCATTCTTCGCATCGTGTCAAATTTAGCTTGCTCTACCACAGGGGACGAGCTGTAGGTAGACGTAGCAGACGCTTCCGAGAAGACATCTGAATCATTGCCAGTCAAATCCATGATCAAACGGTGAGGGAGGTTTATCGCACGCCTGACCGACGATGCATTGCTCAAGCTCGATGGCGAACGGACAGAATAGTCGATTCGATGTGTGACATTTGTACGGTTCGCCGACATCGACGTAATTGGTCGAGAGGGTTGGGGATGATCCGTATATCGATTCGGCATGATCTCCGTTGGTGAGAGCTGGTATTTACGCAATAGATCATCTCGCTCTTGTTGCCTAGAAGAAGGACCTGGGGATCTGACGGCAACTATTCCTTCTGATGTGTCCTCTGACGCTGTCTCCTTACGTTGAGAATTCTGCGCTGGACGGCCTCTTCCAATGTCGTGTCCTCGTACATCCACCGATGATCCGTAAGAACGTGGCTGCGCTTCCCACGTTGATTCATTCGGCAGCCGGGCATCGATGGAGTTGGGTATATATGGTCCTGGCGCTTCGACTCTTTCACCAGATACTGGTGACTGATCGCTCATTCTGCTGCTGCTAGTGTATTCCAAAATTCCGGTATGCATATCATCGAAGTCCTGTCGAGGGGTCGCAATCGGTGTTTCGAGGCTACTACTGCTAGGTAAAGGTGGGAACGCATTTCTAGTGGCCACTTCTTCCGCATACTTTGAGGCCGTGGTGGAATGGGTTCGAGTGTTTCCCTCGAGGGCAACGCGAGCCAGATCTAGATTGCGTTCCGCAATGTCCTCATTATACCCCATCGTAGGACTCTTTCCGTTTGTATTGGAGATGGAGAAGATGTCAATATAACGAGGAGCCTTTTGCCGGCGGTTATTTCTCGTGTAGTATTCTGCGGATTGCCTGTACTCTTGTTCTGCCCTCGTTACTGCATCGGTAGCAGCGCGGCTAACTGCCTTCATCAGACTGCCGCTCCCGGACGTTCCCGGTCGCGATGCGGAAGTCGATGGTCGCGAGACACTCACCAGCATCGGAAGTCTTCTGCTGCTCGACGTCGGTCGCATAGGGCTTGTAGGGGTGGACTTGGGTGTGAGGTGGCCGTTGGCCCTTTCCATTGAGCTGCCTGGCCGGGCATAAGCCGATCTTGGACTGCCATTTATAGACCATCCTCCAGTCTGATCAGTGCTCTGACTCTGGCTCTTTCTGAGACTGCCAACACTGGAATCGAACATGGCATCTCCACCTTTGCTCTTGCGTCGAGTCCATAGCCTCTTTAAGCTGGAATCCATATCGTTGTTCGACTCAAGCGCTCCGCCGTTTCCACCTCTGCTTTTCTTGATTTAGATGTGACCCGTGGCCCGGCTCGTATTCTTTCCCGCAGCACACATGATCAAGCCGTGTCTTGCGGAGAGGTTGCGAGAGATCTGAACATCCCAAACGGGTATGGCGAATTCCGCGGGAAGAAGGTTCGGGTGAGTCAGGTCAAGGCTACGATAGCCGGGAGGAGAGGAAACCCAGGGTACGAGGCTGCGTCGCGACGTGTACGAAGTGTTCTGGAATTGCTCACCAGCGATCGAGATTGCAACAGTCCATTATCGCCGCTACCGAGCGATGGGAGCAGGGCACGCAAAATGGATTGGCAGGGGCAGGAGGTTGGTGCGAGGAACGACGACGAAGGAACAAAAGATAGCGCATCTACTTAATTGCGGACTTGGGACCTGGAAAAGCACTGGAAGGTGCCGTCTAGCGATAGTGGATGGCCCGATGAACGAATTGGACCTGGTTGGCAATCGCCGCTGTCAAAAAGGGACTTCCCCCAAGTTACTGATGAAGATGGCGGCATGGTTGAAAGTTCTGTCGGGGGAGATCAGAGAGGTGCCGCGACTTGCCTTACAGTAGTACGCTCAGTTGGTGGTTAGTTAGCCTAGTCGTGCCCTAGTTGACCTGCACCTCCCTCAAGCGGGCGTATCAAGCGCCTCTTGGTGCCTCCGAACATTGTCGATCAACCGCCCGTTTGCAACCCACCGCTTCGGCTACGATTCCTTGACATCAATTGTGACAGATGGCTGGTCACTGGCATTGACGCGAACCCATGAGCTAAGTCATCCCTTGCAGACTGCTATCTCGTCTCGTTCATATCATCGCCCACTACTTGACCTCCCTCGGGGCAGTTGGTCAGTATTACTGTGGTAAAGTGTCCATTGGAAGTCCAAGATATGAACCGAAGTCCGGCAGAGGTTATACTCTCAACTCCTGGGCGCTAACTGGAAGATCGAAGCATCATGCATCTCTGAAACACAAGCTGGATCTCTGATCCCATGCAGCCGGCACTACGGAGTACCTCGTAAAGAGAAGCACGACCGAGAGCACGCGAATTGTCCGAGGAAGCAGGGTATCCTGAACCTAACTAAAAGATGATCACTGGATAGCTTTACCGCTTCCTTTGGATTAGACCATGCCAGTCATAGAGATATGGAGAAGGCCCAATATACCATTCGCGTTCCACGCTCGTTCACAGTATACTTGTAGACAGAATGACAACTTCGCTTCCATCTGTTTCATATCCTAAGATACGCAATCAGTGCTCCATCCTTATAACGTCAATTCATCTATGGCGAAACTAGGTATCAGGCCAGTTACATGCTCAATACGCGCTAGAAATTTGGCGAATTTCGGTACGTGCTTCACCTCGAAAATAACCTAGCTGTAAGGCGTCAAAAGCACTCGCATATCGCAAAGGACCACGAGCCGCTTTGACAGGTCGGTTCGTAGCACAGCAGAAATGATCAATTGCGGTTTCATGTGTATGGGTTTTCATTCCGGGAAGCTGCCCCGCTGATGGTTTCTTTTCTCAACTCATCATAATTCGTGATCTATCTCACCCCAGACTTTTCATCCTCAAGATCCGAAAACCTTGTCGTAGTCGGTCAAGGTGTATCGGTAACGAACCTTGTTATTGCTAACTCCTGATACGGCCTTCGCGCATCCTTCCTCCGAGATTGGGATGGTCTCCACCATAGGGTGCAGCTTCTTCTCGGCAGCCAGCTTCAACATGGCAAGACACTCTGGTCTGTTACCGATGTGAGATGCACCGATTGAGCTACCATTGCTCATGAACATCTGAGACTTGATAGCTGGCAGAGGCTCGTCTGGCAGTCCAACCTGGTGGAATGTGGCGTTGACCTTGCAGATGGACAGATACTCAGTGAGGTCAAAGGTGTGTGTCGCATCCGCTGTGTTGAGGACAAAATCAAACTTGAAGGCAAGAGGTTCGGCCCAGCCTTTCTTATCTGAGGTCACGAACTCCTTTGCGCCCAACTTCAGAGCGTCTTCCTTCTTGCCAGGAGAGTGAGAAATGACTGTAACATCTGCACCCAGAGCATTGGCCCACATGACTCCAAAGTGACCCAACCCTATTATTTATGTCAGAGCGGAACTTTATAGTGGAATATGTGGAATATCACTTACCACCTAGGCCGACAATAGCCACATTCTTTCCAGGTCCAACTCCTGCCCGCACCAAAGGTGAATACGTCGTCAAGCCGGCGCACAGCATGGGTGCAGCCAGGTGGGAGGGGATGGCGTCAGGGATAGGGAAGACGAAATACTCGTGGGCTCGAATATGCGAGGCATATCCACCCTGCGAGATGGTCTCATCTGGGTCGACTTCTTTGGGATATGGGGCACCGTACGTGTCGACCTGGTGTGGGCAGTAGTTCTCGTTGTCACTCTTGCATTGAGGGCACTTCAGGCAAGCCCAGATCTGAGCACCAACACCGACACGGTCTCCAACTTTCACGGTCTTGACTTCATCTCCGACCTTGATAGCCTTGCCGACGACTTCGTGGCCGACGCAGATGGGTAGAGGTGCCTCGCCCCAGCCGCCGTTGATGGTGTGGACGTCGGAGCCGCAGACACCGCAGCATTCGATCTTGATATCGATGTCGTGCTCTCCGAATTTCTTGGGTTTGAACTGCACAGTGTTGTCAGTGACCAGGCAATGAACAGTGTATTCGATTAACTTACCTCCTCCTTTTTGAAGTCAGTCCATTTCTTCTGGTCCGCAATGCGGAAACCTTCAAAGGTGTCAGGGTATCCCATGGTTGTGAATGTGGTCGTATGTTCTAGAGATTGATTTGACGAAGAAGGGTTGTTCAATTGCTTTGGGGATTGAGTAAGTAGAGGGAAAGAGAATGTACTGGCAAGAGACAGATTTATTTTGACCTGAATTTATCCAGACTACGAGTACGACCTACATCACCAGTATGGATATCGTGACGTATGGATCTGACAAACTGTGAAGACTCTGTTGCTTCAGCCTTCCTCTCTCAGCTCATTCCAGCTGTCTCATGGACTTCTGGCTTCATTCTCTTCAGTACAGAGTTTCCTGGGAGCCGCCGGATCTCAAATTCGTCCAAAAGTATGGAAATAAAATGTCATTATGACGCGGGGTCTAACTTCGATGACATACCGAGAATATCAACAACACCTTTGTCAGACTGAGGTCAGGAACCTTGAATCCGGCCCGAATGCGCCAATAACAAGACGTCTCGTTGAATTGCTTAACGGGCCACAAAAGTCATTCCTGCTTGATCGGCCATCCTGCCGACACTCCCGGCGCATAGAGGGGTTGTTTGGACGTTGGAGAAAATACAATCCCCACGGAGACTGATGGACCGGCGGGCATGGTGTCGAAGCATGTGCCTCGGTGGTCGAATGTCCGAGTAAGTGGTATTCAGATTTCCAGTCCTTCCCACATAAGTCGCTTTACTGCAGGGGTGCAACGTGGGCAGTATACAAAAGTTCCAATCACATAGTTAAACAGCTAGTATACATGGCCTAGAATCGCTTGCCATTTGAGCCTCAAGAGAGTCTAGTCGTCCTCGTCGCCCTCAGCATAGTTAACGGCCTTCCTCTTCGTAGCCCTCCCACCAGTCGTCCGTATCGGCGCGTTTCTTCCACCTTTCTTAGCTGGGGGTGGAGCCACAGCGTTCTCATCAGCGTCGGTGAGATCAGGCATGTCGATGTCCGGCTCGTCGTCTTCGCCGTCGAGATCAGAGAGGCCGCTGGAGCTTGGTGTGGGCACTGACGTCACACTTTTCTTGTTTGCCGACCGAGGTGCTCGCGCAGGTTTCTGCTTCTTGGTCATGTTATACACAGACTTGGTTTTCTCGAGGTCGAGACTCGTGTCCCCATCGACAAGCTCCGATGCAGATACACTGGCCGAAGCATCTGTCAACGAGGCTGCGGCATTGCCAGCCTCCTGAGCCGCCTGCCATGCCGCCTTTTCAGCCCTTCTCGCGGCAGCTCGTTCAGCAGTCGTTTTTGCCTTTTCCGGGTCTCGTGGCTTAACTTCGCGTTTCTTTGGACGGAGCCATTCTTCCATGCCTGGCGGCCAGTAAACACGACCTTCCGGACCACCCATGCCGACTTCGGTATCGGGAATGAGTGGTGGGGGCTGTGCTTCGATCTCAGGTTCATCCATATCCTCCTCATCCACTTCTGCGGCTTTGGACTTCTTCTTCGCGGTCTTTTTGGGCTTGGGAGGCTTCCATGCTTTATTCTCGTCATTGCGAACATATGGTAAGATGTCATTGAAGGTGTCAAAGCCTGGTAGCTTGAACGTGCGCATGAGCTCGAAGACGGCTTGTTCTTTGTCCTTGGCTTCGATCATGAGATCCATATCCTGGGCACAAGGTGGGAGAGTTGCTACTCGCGGATTGTGTTTGCGCCTCTGTCGTGCTGTGATCGCCTGCGGTGTCGGTTCGGAGTAGTGCATCTTCTGGGTGATTCTCTTCTTGGTCCAGGTTGTTTTGATTCGGTCATACAGTTTCATGATGTCTGACGTGCCTTCGCGGATCTTGTCCGCATCAAATACGATGTTGTGATGATGGTAATCGAGCACCATAGGTATGTTGAGCTCTTCGCATACTGGCAGGAGGTCGTGCACGCTGTAACAAACATCATCGTTCTCCAAGACCAGACGAGCCTTGATGCCTTCGGGCAGGGCACGGTAGTTGTGCTTGAATCGTTCAATGGTGGCAGCCTTGTCCCCGAATATGCCGCCCATGTGCAAGATCATGACAGCATCTCGGTTCTGCTGTTCAGGCATTTTGAGTAGGTCGAGCAATTCGCAATGATACTCGAGGTCCCGTATCGATGCGGTGATAACCTCTTTCCGAGGTGACCCAAGTTGGGTGAATTGTCCAGGGTGTGTGGTCAGGCGATGTCCAAGTTCTGCTGCCACACGTCCTGCTTCTGCTAGTGCTTCCGATGCGAATGGAGCAAGCTTGTATCCATACACATCGTGGCTGGCAAATGGAAACATTTCTGAAGACAGTCTCATGAACTTGATGCCATATCGATCGTTCCAGCGCAACATCTTGGGAATGTCACGGGCATTGGCCAGGCCTAGCGCTTCCACATATGCTTGACCTCTTGATATGTCTGCTGGTTGTTCCTTGTCGGGTCTATTCTTGGTCGCGTGCTCAGGTTGGTCGGGATCTTTGAGCGGATGACGATGTTCAAGGATGGACGCAATGCGGCATGTTCGTGACGAGAAGACCGGGGGATTCGAGGCCCGAAGGTAGGTGTTTAAACAGGCATAGCCTATCCGACCTTTCCAGGGTAAAGGCAGGCACGAGCTGTTGACTGGTGGCGGTCTTGACAAAGCTTCTTTGAGCTCTTCTGGGTCGGCAGCTTCATCGTCCTCGCCCTCTGGATCTGCTCGATCGACATCATCCTCCTTCTTGGCAGCCTTCTTGGGTGCAGGTGAAGGCTGTCTGGCCTTTTCTACCACATCATTTACCTCAGGTTCGTCGGCCTCCTTCTTTACCTTTGTAGCTCCCGCCGTCTTCCTTTTCTTCTTCGTTGCGCCCTCAGGCTTCTGTTCTGCGTCGGGTGAAGCTCGAAGGGCGTCTGGAGCGTCCTCAATCTTGGGGTTGGTGTCGGGATTTGTGTCAATATCCGCAGGTGCAGCCTGTGTGGATGCTCTTCTAGAACTTGTGCGTCGAACGGGTTCAGGCGGCATCATAGATGATGCCACTAAAGCAACGTTGACAGGGAGAGTCTTAGGCGTAGGAACAGCAGCATCAAGGTCAGCCGCTGAAGATCTTTTGCGTTTTGCCATGCTGTGCAATCCCAGCGACGAGAGTGATGGTCGCAAATCAAGGCGAAGACTAGGGGCAGCAGAGCAGGAATTCCATCTATTGAGACTGGTATTCAATAAAAGCTGTCTAGATGCTATGACTGTTCTCAGTCTTGTGGTGATCATTCGAGGTCTTTTAGTGAATCTCTAGCAGTACAACTGGCTGCCACCTTGACAAAAATTCATCTGCAAGAGCCTCATCCTTTTCCAATACCGAGAATTGATTTTTGCATTCCTACCAGCCTTGTCAGGTACGAGCAGTTGACGCATCTTTTTCCTGTCACGACGTCATGGACTTTTTCTGGTCCGTGGTCACTGGCACTGGAACTCTCCTCGACGCCCGTCGATTCTCCGCTTCAGCCTTGGCACTTTACGCGCTCTGTCCACCCATCGATCGACGCGTTTGAGGGGTCCTTCACTTATCGCACAAGGGGTGTGGATGGGCAGATCCATCTGAGTATCATCCAGCCTGCCGTCTCGCCGTCCACCACTTCGACAACACCACAAGTACGGAGTACTGCGTACAACTTACGATGACCATGGGCTCATCCAGGATACACTGCCACCACTTTCATCGCTCTCGCCCTTTGAGCCTGCATTAACGTTCCTCTGGCCAGATCTCGGCCTCTACCGACCCCTTGCGACATGGAGCGATCAGCAGCCTAACCGTCGCCTAGGGCCTGCCGAAGCATGCCGCTTCCTCTAAATGGCAATGCCCCGCCCAATCTTCACTCCAGATCGTGATTTGCCTATGTCTAGAGCCAGCAGCTCGAACTACTGCTGTGCCCCTCGGCTACGTTGGCCAGTGACCACCTGCTCGAGTGACTCCTCCTTTATCATCCCACCTGCCGCCAAAAGTTGTTGATATTATTTCACACTGCTCCGTGGCAAATCGAGTCAGCATTGATTTTACTCTGTTACGAGTCACCTTGCAGCTTAGACGAATGATTTCTGATTAGCTTCTGCTTGCCTGGACCCCGCCCCGATATCAGAATGTTATTACTTGAACTACTAGGCGTATGAGGTGCTGGTCTTCCACTTCAGGGTTCGACACCTGACGGGATTGATATCCGTTTCCAGCGGTCACCTACCACGTATTATTTGCAGAGGTTCTGCGACAATGCCAGTGTTTGAGCGGGTCCGAAGAAAGCTTTCTCGTACCAAGTCTGCGCCAGGCTTGGAACAAGAAGACGACGATGAAGGCCAAGTCAACCTGCAGCCATGGCCAAGCAATCCGCTGTCCTTGTCCCCATCCGACGAACAACTTGTCTCAAAGCTTGCCTTCACACCAGATACCGAGTTCATTGAACGGCCGCCCCGCCTGCAGACTCCTTCTGTTGCTACTCAGTTCTCCGAGCGAACAATCTTCAACAACGTCGAAACGGGATTTCTATCGTTGCCAACAGAGCTTCTTATGTTTCTCCAACCTTACCTGAGTCCAAGCAGTGAGGTAGCCTTGCGACACAGTTGTTCAAGGTTTCTGCACTTGTATACCACCCCTTCCTTTGTCTTGAAGGGACAGGAACTGTTTGATTTCCTGTGCATGACAGAAAGGGATCAAGATTCAACTGAGCTGGACAGGCTGGTCTGTGGCAAATGCCAGGAATTGCATAACCGCACAACATTTCCTGGTGCCGAGATCAAGCAGGAGCCTACTCTTCGGGATTGCAGACAAGTATGGTTATGTGCTCATCGTACACTTGGCTATCAGAAAACGATCCGAAGCATCAAAGCTGGGGTGGAGGCACCTTTTCGAGTTGAAACCTTGGAACCCTGTTCACGTTGCAGGAATTCGATCCGCAATAGGAGTGTGGCGGATCGTCCTGAAAAGGGTACCTCACTCATGGAACTTGAGAATCCGAAAGCACAATCATTGCTGATTTCAAAAATTGGCTTGCTCCAAGTACCTTCCCCTCTATACAACACCAGGACCAGTGGGGGAAGCGGAATGTATAAAGAGGTTTTCCAGGCCAAAGATGTTTCCGCTGCTCTTCAAGCACTCGATTTTCGACTTTGTCCTCACCTCAAGTTGGGAGACCCTTACATTTTGAGCAAGTTCTGTCGAGCGTGCATCAATACGCAGCGTCTGCCGCCAGGCGTCAAAGGGCCCCCATGCATTAGCGAGTGGAAACGATTTGGTGACGGCAGATCAGGGGCGAAATGTAAAGGTGCCTGCTATGACCGGTCATGCAAAACACAATTCATGTTCCAATCACGCGAGAGTCTCTCGCCTGATGCTTCTGGCAGAAGGCAAGTCTGGCTGATCATTGCGGTTTATCGTTGGCTTGGTCCCTTACTCACAGCCGGTCACGAGTCAACATGGACAAATCATGCTGTGGATCACAAAGAACGCAAGGAGATGCGCGAAAGATGGGCAGCGTGGGAGAGGTCGAACAAATCCGTGAGGCAATGTATGCCCAATTGGAGCATATGCTTGCTCCACCCAGAGGACTCGAACTTGCGATGATGGAAGCTCAGAAAGCCCTGGTGGATATATCAAATGTCTTCATATCTTGTCCATCGGCACTTTGCGCTGGGGCCAACGGTGGGAGACTGACAGACCTGACGATCTTGTCTCTTCCACAGGTGTCAATGTGCCCTTTTTCGGAGCATGCAGCTATCACGATGCTACCGCTTGACTGAATGCCATCCTCGTGAGCCACGACAACAACCACCACGTTCAGTGCCCGACCTTCTGGAACATGGCTTGACTGCACGTCGGGTCAAAGCTTAAGCCATTCACACTGCGAATGTTCGGCACGACAGCGATGGACGAGGCGGATGGCAGAACCGATACGAGATTCTGAACCTCTTTTGCCGATCTTCAGAACGTGCAAAGTCAGCCAAGCCTCGGTGTGCTGACATTAGCGAGCGTCACCATGGAGAGCAGACGCTTGGGCGTTGCTTGGGGCACTCCAGCCCACATTCCCGGCACTCGAAGCCTGAGAATGGCCAAACAATGGCTAAGGTTGTGTCAAAGGTAAATAATTCTCCGGGCGGCAAACGGGCGCCACCCTCCGCTCAGACCACCCTGAGATCTCTCCAACCTTGTCTCCAGATCAACATGGTGAACGAGCTTCTATCCGACGCAGGTACAATCCCTGCTGTCTATGGCAATGCAAGTGGGAAAAGCATGACTTCAAGTGGCTGTCCCATGGCTCTGTTGCTGCTTGATCTTGGTAGAAAAGAACCTTCATCTACCTTGCTCAACGCGTCAGCTCTTCATACCAGACTTTCATACCAGACTCTCTACAACTTCACTCCAAAACCTAGAGTCAAGGTTAACGTACTCTCAAACCTGTTCCTGGTTACATACCAGCATTGATATATCTCTTCATCTATCGTTGCATTACCACGAAACTACCTCACCAGCATTGTTATCTATATTCTCTCATCTATCGTTGCAGTACCAAAAACATACCTCGTCAGCTTTGTTTTATTGACTTCTAAACTGCATCGCAAGGCCAGTATACCACATTCGTCCTTACACCTCTCCCTCTCTCCGCTTCCCCCACAATCCTCCCACCATGCCGCGCACTCAGTGCACGGCAAGTGCCCTCTCGTTTGTCTTAATATGTCTCCCTCTCCTAACATCAGCGCACATGCAAATGAGTTGGCCTTATCCTTTCAGAAGCCCCCTGGATCCGGACGTTAGCTACACGGACAAGGATTACAGCAACACCTCCCCTCTCTTAGCCGATGGATCTGATTTCTCCTGCAAGCACTACCAGTATGTGGCCAACTACAGCGACGCGGATGTTGTCAAGGCGACTTATTACGCTGGAAACACCTACAACATGACCCTAGCTGGAACGGCAAACCACGACGGAGGGTCCTGTCAACTGTCTCTTTCCTACGACAACGGCGAGACGTTCAAGGTCATCAAGTCCATGATCGGTGGATGCCCCTTAACGCTGACATACGACTTCACCATACCGGAAGACGCTCCGGCCTCGAATTCCACTATTTTATCCTGGTCCTGGTTCAACATTGTTGGAAATAGGGAGATGTATCAGAACTGTGCCCGTGTTCAGATCCTCACCAATCCGTCTAGGAAGTACCGACGCAGTTATTGGAAACGGGACACCACATTCGATGACCTCCCAGACATGTTTGTGTGTAACGTGAACAATAACTGTACCACCATTGAAGGCGAAGACGTGGAGTTTGCTGACCCCGGTGATGAGGTGGTGTCGGGCACGGACGCTATTACTGCAGCTACTGGTGACGGCTATACTATTTCAGGATCTTCTACCACTACAGCATCGTCTGGATCAGCAATCGGTATTGTAGTGACATACAACGCCACCACTACTGGAGCTTCTACCACAACGGCACCTTTCCCCATCGTCAATGGAACTACTATTGGAACTACTAACGGAACCATAACCATAACCACAACAGCAAGCAGTACTTCTTTCCCTCTTACGACTTCTAAAACATCTTCTACGACTACGACCACATCTACGACAACTTCCACGACCTCTTCGACTACGTCCACGACCTCCACAACATCCTCCACTACTTCGACGACCTCCACGACTTCCACGACTTCCACGACTTCCGCGACTTCCACGACTTCCACGACTTCCACGACTTCCACGACTTCCACGACTTCCACGACTTCTACTTCCACGACTTCTACGACTTCCACGACCAGCACCACCACGACCAGTACGACCAGTACAACTAGCACAACAGCAACACCTACAACAACTGCGTCCTTAACCACGGAGGTGTTTACAACCACGTTAACGTTCTCCGCAGATGGGTATACGACAACAATAGTGTTCTCAACGACAGCAGTGTTCGATGCAACATCTGCCACAGCATCAACGACGTCTACCTCCACTTCCATGTCCACCTCTACAACGTCCACAACATCCTCCACAACTTCTACAACGTCCACAACGTCCACAACGTCCACAACGTCCACAACGTCCACAACATCTTCTTCGGCCAGCACCTCAACGTCAACATCTACGAGCACCACAACCACAACAACCTCAACAACAACAACAACAACAACAACATCAAGCACATCCACCGCCACAGCCACAGCCAGCGCGACGTCCTGCACACCAGGAGAATTCATATGTGACAGCACCAGCACATTCTCCCAATGCGTAGCCAACTCCGCCGACTCAACGACATACGTGTACATGGGCTCCGTGGCCGCAGGTATGCAGTGCGTCAATGGCACGATCGAGCGCCAGAACGACGGACCGTGTACGCCCGACGGCGCGATATTCTGTAACGGCTCTAATGCATTTTACATGTGCGACCAGGGCGGGTTGATCGATATGGGAAGTGTGGCTGCGGGGACGACTTGTGAGAATGGGGTTATTGGGTATGCTTGATGCGAGTAGTACACTACCCATGAAAAGGTCTAACGTAACGACATCGACGGATCGTTTACAAAGGACTATGACCTGTGACGGATGATATGAGTTACTCTCGACAACGTCCACCTTAATCGGCATTGGTATTGGGACTGACATTGGCATGGTATCTGGTGGAATCTGGCCACCCAGGCGTTTTGGAATGGGACGAAAAGTCATATATTGGATTTAGCGAGAGATACCATAGCATAGTACTAGGGCCAAATGCAATTGCCATACCACATTTCAAACAATCACAATAAAGACAGTACCTTCATAATCCGTCTGACGATATCAACTCGCAACATAGTGTCATACCACTGTCCGACTGCTGAAGCAGAGAACACCTAGCAAGAAGAGGCTGATTCGGTATCTCGTCGAGATGGCCCAAGGACCACAGGGATATCATCACGAAGTACTACTTTATATTGCTCTTTCAATGCTAAATAGTCGCTATATCATCTGTCTTCCTCCATCGGATGTCTGTAGTCCTTAAGCTGACCGCCTCCATGCGCACGCTTGCCTCTTCTCCTCGCCTGATCGCAGGGCAGGGACCTTTCACAGACAAAGTAAACCTTTCAGCAGGAGCAATCCAGTCCATCCCGACTTCTTGAATCTGAATCTGAACCATGCAGATGCAGATCGGCTCCACCAAAACCCACACCATGACTGAAATGAATGCTCCCGTCGAGGATTGGCACTGGGTTGCTTGCGCGCAGAGCAGAAATATACACAATGGGTATCAAACGAATAATTGACAAACGCCAACGGTCAACAGACATGTATTGTCGCAGATAAGGCGACGCTCAAGGCCGGGGTTGTATTGTATGGTCGGCTTCTTCGGAACGTGGAGGTCGTCCTCGTAGTATTACTGGTATTATCGAATAGTGTAGTTCTCATGGATCATCGACCATGCATCCGGAACGCCCTGGCTAATCGTATGTCTTCGTAAATGCAGCATCATGTGTGACTCCATCCTCATGGGAGAGCAAAACCACCTGAGCCGCCTTCGGTGGAAGTATCACCCTCCACCGTCTTTTTCCACGCCTCAGGTAGACAAACACAGACCAAGGGAAAAGCCTTGATTTCTCCGGTAGGGGTTGGTGAATCGTTGCGGCCCTCGGAGCCGTTGGACACGCCGCTGTCTCGTTGCACCTTATGCTTGCCATCATAGTCCTCGGCTCGATCATTGATTCGCACTCCGGTGGCCCAGCCGTCATCCCAGATGCCGACAACTTTGAGCATATCCCCTCTTTCGAGCTCGAATTCATCTCCAGCACGAGGTTGATACGCCCAGAGCGCAGCGACCTTATCGCCAGGATGGATGTCGTCATTCGAGTAGTAGTCTTTGAAGAAAGGAAGTTGTTCTGACTGACCACTGCCGACACCTTCCGGAGAGGAGAAGTCGCCAGGAGAGCTGTTATGTTGGGATTCCGTACCAGGTGATCCATCATGTTTGGTTCCAACCATGCCCACGGCCTTTTCATGCGACTCTGGACTGTCACCATACGGATCCGTATGTGAGGTATAATTGCCGCGCGGACCTATCACGGGCTGCTGGTCGTCTCGCAATGCAGACATACGTGCCACTCGACCGCCGGGAAGAACTTCATATCCTTGTTGAGACATCGGCTGATTATATGCCATGGCAGGATCACCTTTCCTTTGCGGAGATGGCTGGTTGAGAAGGCTGCCAGCTTTGCTACCGTGGCGCCTTCGACGCAGGCAAAAGACACAGAGGACGATAAGGGCGCAGAGAAGTAGAAAGCCGAGGACTGCTCCGACCACAATACCTGCAATAGCTCCGCCACTGAGGCCATGGTGGCTGGTAGATTTGGCAGCACCAGCACTCTTGCTACTAGTGGGCGATGCCGTTGAACTTGCTGTAGAGGAGAGCAAATTTGAGATGGTTGAAAAGACTGGCAGGGTCACATCCTCACAACGGCCAGTCGCATTTGAGGTCACGCAGCACGAGTCGGTGCTATTGACGGTGCTCGAACGACAGAAATTGCAGAGGCCCTGCAAATTGCCTCCAAATCCACATTCGTCAGGCTCATTGACTTCGCCTGAGATGCAGCTTCCACTAATAGAGTTGGCTGGCAAGGCGCAATTTGTGAAGTCGGCTCGAAGTTGGTTGGCATAATTGCTGTTTTTACCTGAACATAGGCTGCTTGAAACAATCTCTTCCTCGCTTGTTGCCAGATCGGCACAGGAGTCGGCGCATAAAGGTTGTGAATCGGCGGTTGACAGGCCGCAAGGCGTCTTGGAGTTCTGAATAATGCCGTTGCAGATAAAGCTCAAAGTATATCGGGCGTAGTAGTCGCTGGTGTTGCCCAAATTGATGTTGTCACAACCAAACAAATTGACGTATTTCGATTGTACGTATCCGTGGGATACATATTGCGTTAATTGTGTGTCGAAGGTCTCTCTCGACGTAACATATGCTAGAAAGGGACTGGAACAATCAGCTTTCGAGCACATAGGTGTCCAGCGCACCACTTACTATAGACCGACTAAAGTAGTATCGGTTGAAATGGAGGAAGCATTGAAAGCTGGACACGTCGTCGAACCCTGTAGTGAGATGCAACTTTGCGCGAATGCAGGAGGAGCCAAAAGGGCCAATGCGCCCAGGAACAAGTATTTGGTCATGCTCGAGGCAAGCGATCGGGATGTTGGTCAATCGTGTTTTCCCAATTCGAATATCCAAAATATATCCAACTCTTCCAAGCTCATGCTGAACTCATCCTCCTTCCAGCCCCAGCGTGCCTGTCCACACTTGGTCCTGCTGGTAGATAGAGACCGGTTACCGTAACGTGGTGGCAGGATTCGGAGTAAGAAGCTTTGACAGTCCTTTTGATGTCGGTGGAGTAAGGTCAATGCAGGAAACTGGAGGTGTTGGATCGAGCTTCTGGGGAGTCGCAACAGGTAAACTGCGATGGATGCAGGAATCCAAGAAGAAAAACGAGCGACTATAGGTCAGAAGAGGTAACAGCTTGGGGTAGAGAAGACCCTGCAGACGGATTGGCCGACGTCAAAAAAGCCAAAAAGCAACAAACATGAAGGAGTGGCAAGACAAGTAGAGAGAGAGAAGAGAGAAGATCGGAGGATGATAGGCAGGTGTGATTGGAAGCAAGAGATGTGGGCGCGTTTGCGGGTGGCAGGCGCAGGCGCAGGCGCAGGTTTAGGTGCAGGTGCAGGTGGGTTGCAGACGCCAGGTGCCAGACTTGCAGAGGGTGCGATTCTCTGTCTGCGGACTTCCGCTCTGGCAAGATTCCTCTTCTTCTCGCTTCGCACCTGCCCCAGCAGCCTGAGGTCAGAGACAAGATTGACTTGCTTGATGGGGTCATGCATTATCCGCAGGGTCGTCGACCAGGTGAAGACCTGTTTTGGCGTCGATGCCGTCAAGCCATGAGAGAAAAAATGGAGATCTACCGGCAGGCTTCCCAGTGGCTTCAGTGGCTTTGGGGGGGTCATGGCTAACCAGCTCAGCCTCCAGTCTAAACCGTCTTTCTTCCAGCATCCCCAGGGCCTTATCGGAATAGTCAAGGCCTAAAGATACCGACTAGCCCTGTTCCTTTCAGGTTCCAATTTCGCAGTCTCGCTTCGCAATCCGCTGTTCCTGCTTCGTGTCAAGCCCCAGTCTTGCTGGAATTGGTTTGATTTCTGAAACAAAACGTGCTTGCTGCTGTTATCACTCATAACAAGTCTTTCCAGACTGGGAACGGAGGATTTCAATCGCCTGCGCAGACTGCACCGGAGACACGAGATGAGCAGAAACGACGCCAACACCCCTCCTACCTTACCATTGCTGTTGAACAGTATCCGATAGCGGCACTCTATCGAATCTTGCGACCAGTCCTTTCGGCAGTGTTTGAAGTGATGGTGATGCAGGTGGATAACGGACTGGCATGGAACATGGGAAGAGAGATTGCATGATTCGAAGCCACAGAAGCCAATTTTGCGCTATTCTTGTCCCGCCCCGCCATGGTCTTTGTTCTAGCTGACCAGTCATTTCTCTAGGCCTGTCACCTTTCATCGCTTGCTTCCGTGTCGAAATCGAAGGTTTGGTTCTCCAAAGAGTCCAAGACCACCCTCCTTGAAGCGAAACGGACCAGTCATCTTTTCTCCTGCCGTATCGATGGCTCAAAATGTCGACATCGATATTGCCCTGGTATACCAAGATCTATCAGAATAGCGTCATTATGCGGACAGTTTATTCTTGCAGGTTTGTTGTTGCCAACCTCAACGTCCTTCATAAATGTGCAGATCCTGCCTTGCGTACTCCTGCACGCTGGTGTCAAACGAGCATGCAATATAGGACAGTGAATGCAGGTACTTACCCAGTACCACTGCGAATCCCACTGAAAGAGCACGCTTGAAAAGCGGTCCGTCTGATTTAGTAGCCGCAGATGCAGACCACAACCGCCTTTAACTTACAACGTGGCTGGCTGCTTGACAGCACTTTTGCAGCATGGCGCCGTCTTCTAGTCCAGGTCCAAAGATGGACGGCAGTGTCACTTAGTCAACAGTGCAGCATGATCGTCATCTTTCATCCCTGCGGTGGGTTACACGACGAGTGGTTACACACAATGAATGCAGAGATGGCAGGGCACAGTCAAAGTCGCAAAAAAAAACCTTCTTAAGATGTAAATTACCTCCAGATGCAGGATTTGTGGATAGACATTGCTTTCATTGTCTACACTCGAAGCTCTTTTCACTCCAAAATTCCCATGGCTGTTGGTACAGATTTTGTGTACACCACCAACGCCATGCTTGTGTCTCGCTCAAGAGGAGACCACTGACCCTGTGTTCATACATCCTTCATGTCCCAGTGAAATACAATCCCAATCGTGCAAGGCTCGTGACAAAAGCCCTGATGCATGAAAAACAAATCCCAAACTCCAAGTACTCCTTTCCCGCAAAATCAATATCCCATGGGTATCTTTGTGGCTGTATTCTGTGTCCCAGCAGTTCATATCAATCGTGCATGTCGTTCAAGTCGTTACGATTCTATTGATCGTGTTCTTTTCATTAATCGTGTCCAGTCCTCCAATTAATCCTGTTGTAGATCATTTCAATTTCTCTTCTTTGAGAAGAGACCCTTGACTTTCCCAAGGCCCTTCTTGATCCAACTCTTCTTTTCCACCACCGTTGTCTGTGAGGGGCCTTCGCCAACAACAGTCAAATGTACTGTATTGCTCCTGGAGCTGAACACCCGAGCAAAGCTGAACCCAGCACGACGGCGACGTCGAACGCTTCCAAATTTAGGCAAGGTAGGAATGGGCGCCAACGTCTCATCATCGTGGTTGACAGTCCCAGAGGACGCCGAAGATGATGGAGAATCACAATGGATAGCGGAGAAGTCAGGCCACTGATCATAGCCTGACACGAGTTCTGCCAGTGACGAGTACCTGGACGCAGTCGATGCTGGCGAGTGTACTTGTGGGGGCTCGACGAAGCGTACTCGACGACGTGGTGGTTGTTGTTGGGGAGTCTGAGGGTGTGAACCGCCAGTTGCCGCCGCTGGTGATGATTCGGAGTTTGTTGCTGGTGATGCGACGGGTGTTGACTCCTCCACGTTGCCTTCGGGTGTAATGTCGTTGACAATAACCGCAGGTGTGATATTGTCATCGTTGCTACCGCGAATTGTAACATTCGGATGGATGACGGTACCATTGATCTCCTCTTCGTCGTCACTGAATTCGACGACTCGTTGTTGTGGGAGGCTCGGTTGGTATCGAACAACCTCATTGAAGGCCACTTTAGGGGCGAACGACATATAGGGGCTGTCCACCCTGCTAGCAGTCCCAACAACGTACAACAGTGAGTTGTGGACAGTACCAAACTGCATGGTTGTCAGGAAAGGAACGACCCTACCGTTGCTGAAGGCGCCAACTAAGAGTCGAACAGCACGTCCTGAGGATGCTTCCCATGGCAAGGCGCGTCGGCGATATCGATGGAGAGCTGGTTGTTGAGCAGTTACCACCGTTGAGACTCTCTGTGTAGAGACAAGAGCAATGTCGTTTGATTGCACGGAGGTCTCGACCGGCATCGGCACACCATGAACATTCTCGTACTCTTGCTCCAGAGTCATACCGAAGATCTCGTCATCAGTACGCTCGGCGACCTCTACAGGAGCAATGTCTTCTTGACCGTAAGCTTGGTCATTGACGTCGTAGACACTGTCATTGTCATCGTCTTGATGGCCAGAATCATCGACTTGGTCTCCATTGGCTTCATCGATGGATGTGGGAGGTGTATCATCTGATGAGCTGATGCTGGACCTATGAGAATGGCCACTCTCATCAGAACTTGATGGTTCAGTTGACATTGGCACCTCATCACCAGCAACAATGTCTTCTTCGGAATGGAGTGAATCAGGTTCTTCAAGTGTTTCTTCAAGAATGGTCTCCAGAGGTGCAGATGGTTCAAAGCTTGCTTGAGGGCCAATGACGGCCTGGACCTCATCCTCCACATCAATGTCGTCGGCCCAAGATGCATTAGTCGACAGTGGGCCGATTTCGTTCAATCGTCGATCAAGGTCCTCCGATGACACGGAAGTGCTGGTTGAAGGCATTGGTCTCAGAGTGTGGCTTTGTGTTGAGGTGGTATCCAGTGCTGAATGTCGCTCTGAGCTGGATTGCATCGGGGGGTTGCTCTGAACGGCATTGGGGGTCTTTCCGGTTGAATAACTTCCAACACGTACAACAGCGGACTCTTCTGATGTCGAGCAGTAGGCAAGCCTCGACTTGACTAGGCCGCGCGCCTTCCGAGACTGCAGTGCGGCTCGACGGGTAGAATCAATGGCAACTTTCTCCTCAGTGCCAGCAGTAAGGACCTGTTCCCGCGTTCTGAATCCTGCAGTACAACCGTTTATAATGAGTTGACCTTTCTCATAGTCCTCTGGATAAAGTGTGTCCAGATAAGGCTCGTCCTCGTCTGGATCATAGTAATCCTCTTGCCAAAAACCGTAGCGACTGTAGAACTTGTCACATTGCCCAACGCATGCATTCTCCAGTGCGGTACCGTGCAGTTCGTCGAGGACCTCTGGCTTGCCGTAGTATACCACAGGGTCCAAGTATCGAGAGGCCGACGTCACGAGGAAGTGATTGCGTGACTTGTACTCTGTTCCCATTGAAAGCCATTTGCCAGAAGCTTTTAGTATAGCGATGGTGGTTGCTGGTTTTGTCGCAGATTTGGTATATACCACTCTGCCGAAGAAGTCCACATGATGTAACCAGCATTGGACGAGCTCGCGTTCCTCTTCGTAGCGACCCTCATACTGCTTTGTCTTGTTGTTCCAGTGTTTTGTGGATACTACCCTGGCGGCAGGCTCGTAGTCCGGGATGGTGTCTCTGTCGTTGACCTCCTGGACTCGATATAGACGCGACTGGTATTGGCCCTCTGGAGTCAGCTCTGGGGTCGGGGCTGGGCACGTATATGTACCCCACTGTTGTGCTCGGGGTACACCTTCTGCCGCGAGAGGATTGGGAGTCTGCACTGCCGCCCCAGGCATGAAACGCACGAGTCGCTTTGCCTGGTTGACAGAGAGGATAGTCGTCAACTGCATACGCTGAAGATGTAAATGTCCAGCCATGTGGACTCTTGGGACAAAGACGGGCGCCAGTGCGTTCATGTTCGATGATCGAGTCATGCAGTGATGGCTTTGCATGCCTGGCATGAACTCGGTCGCATAAATGTTGACAGAAGATTGCCGATGTGGAGATGCCTCCCGCCAGTGTCCTTCTGGGATGAATTCTGGGGCTTCAGGATTGAAATTCGAGTGTGTCTCGCGGAGTATATGTTCATGACAAGCAGGTATAAACATAGTAGCATCCATGCTTAACGAGTGTGTCTGTACAGATTGTCCTGCAGTGTCGGTGGTCGTGTTTGTTTGTTGAACAGGAGCGAGATGATCCGGTTGCGTGGCTCTGCCCGCCAGACTTGGAACAAGGTCTTGTGCAGAGGGCAGAGGTGAAGAAGGAGGATGTTGAGCCATCGTTGGCGAATTTCTGGCTTTTGTTAGAAGGAAAAAGCACTTCTTTGGTGGTTGATTGGTTACCGTTGTAGGGGATATAGGAAATGTGGAGTTTCCACTAGAAAGCGCAGGCAAAGACTCAATTTTTTCTTGGAAGAGTCCTCAAAGATGCAGAAGTTCGGAACGACGCCGTCGAGTTGCAAGCGATGAAGAACAGTGTGCTGTATCGATGAAACATCGATTGATGGCAATCGAAAGAGAGATTTGAAGTTGTGGTTGATGATTTAGAAGAGATGTTTTGAAGTTGAGAGAGGAACATCCCAAAAAGCGTGTTCTCAAGTGAACGGCCATAGCACCAAGTGTGTGAATGTCACTGCCTCAGTCTGATCCCGCTGTCACTGCTGTTTGCGCGTGGCAGGATTCGTGGTCAGTGAATCAAGGCAGTGCGGATTGTCGTGAGTGCAGAAGATCTCCCGGGGGTGTCTTCACTTCGAGTGCCAGCACCGCAGGACTCTTCATCTGCTGCTACCTCAATACTGGAGATGAGCCCCAGAACCTGGGTCGATGCCACAAGCAAAATCTGGGGAAAACTCAGGTATTGCTCGCGCATGGTATTGAGAGTTGTTGTTGATTGTTGACTCCGATCCATGAATTCTGCTGGACTCTGTCAAAATCCGTTGGGCGCAACTCTCCTGCTGTTCGCCTTGTTTGACGCATCGCATGACTTCAGCAGTCATACTGATGAAGCTCCTTCTGTTGTCATGCAGCAAGCTCTTGGAGCGCAAGACATCGCCTACCGACACCAAGCCGTGCGTAGCTGATATTTATATGTAAGTGTTTCGACCTGCGTTGGTTCCGCCGTCGCAAGCCTCCATCATTATTCGTCTGGCTCTGCAGGACTCGCCAGCCAATCCAACGGCATGTTTGGAGCACCGGTTTTCGATGATACTGGCAATCAAACCGCCGAAGATCGAGGAACGGTGTGCGGCGACTTTCGATCACGTTGTTCCCGGAGTGCTTTGTCGGTCTCATGCTGTGTTGCTCCTCTGCAGTGCAAGATCTGCTAGGCATGACCCAGGTCCGAGAATGTTGTGCTGTCCAAGAGATATATTTATACTGCACAAGCTGGAAGAGCTTGTCTGATGAGTGCGAGACATCGACAATTCGCACAAAGACTGGCTTGACACCTTTTATATAAAATCTGGTGTATCAGTGCCGTCAGCACCCTGTCACCGTTTATATGCGGTCTGAGGTGACATCGGCATGTCCGGTATAGGTGACCATCACGTTTTGGAGGGGTTTGCTGTATCGAGGCTGCGGCCCCTGAATGGGCGGCAAGCCACTCCCATCATGCTGTGTTGGAGCGGAGAAGATTCCACCTCATGCGACCACTGAAGGACCTGAGATATCGGACATAATCTGATGAGAGGTGATCGCTGTGCCATCCAACGCAAGGAAATGAATAGATCATGATGTTGTTTGTCTTCACAAAGACGCCAGCATTGTCATCTTGGCTGGCTCCAGGCAAAGAAAAGAACTTCAAATAAGGTCGAATGGTACGCAAAGCATGGCCACAGGCATTATCTGCTCGACTCGCCACGACTACGTTGTCTCCGAACACTGAGTCCCCTGGATTTTGAGAAGAGTGGTGAGGTTGCAAGACTTGACCGAAAGAATGTCCAGGGTGGCTGGATTGACAGCCTTACGTAAGCCCTCAATCGTTCCACATATTCTCCCCGGTCAAACGGCCTTGTCCTGATCACTAGTCATTTCCATCTTTCTACCTCATGTTCTTTTGCAACAGCCTCTTCGGCCCGGCTCATGTCCATTGTGCAGCGAGATCCTGCTCCACTGCAGTGTAAAGCGGAGTTGACATCATAGTCGTCCCAGGTGTACCCATGATCCGCTGGTACATCGAGCGATATGAGCTGTGCGACTCCGAAAGCGGGAGCCTGCATTTTTCAGATACAGCCTCCCAATGTGACTGGCAACGTTCTCGAGTGTTTGTCGTATCTTGTCAACACAAGCTTCAGGGGCGCAAAGAATCGTCAGTACGACGACATCTCTCAAGCATGCATGGCTTTCAGCTTCTTCACGCAGCACTCCAAGTGAATGAGGCAGAGGATGAAAACATAGCGTTGCCCGACGAAAGTTATGCGAAATCCAACCGAGCTAATCGTGAATACGCCCGGGTTGTTTGCTTGCGAATGGCATATCCTTCCGATCTCACACATCATAAAAGCCTCGACTCCGGCTTGAAGTGATGAGACGTGGCTGATAGTCTAATTCGCATGTCGAGTTCTGCCTGGGCCGATATGTTCTGTGTGGTTCAAATCTGGATTGAAACCAGCAAGCATCGGTCCTCGAGCCAGCTGCATCCAACAACCCATATAAAGAAGGGCGGAAAGTGGTGGAGGCAAATGCAGAAGGTAATGTGGCCACAATCAGTTCACTTCGAATTGATCAATCAACTGCACTCACAAGTCTGTCCTTCGCAGACGCGCATCGTTGCCTTCTCAAGTGTTCGATCTTTACTTGCGTTCGATGTTTGCTCGTATACCTGGGGAGTCTTTCCGTTCGGTTCTCACCCAGGTCTTGGTCCGGTCCATCCGTCACTATGCCAAAGATCATCAAAACATGGTTTCCGTCCACATAGCATTATATACCTGCCATGGAAGCAAGTTGAACGGACAAGATCATTTCGGTCTTCGTTGGCTTGGTTGTCGAGCCATAACTGTGGAAGGAGTCAATATGACGACAGATGGCTGCCCTGACTGCACTGTCTTCAGCTACGGTCTAGCAGGACGCGGAGCTCATCTGGCGATTCCGTCAATAGTCGCACCAGTTCTGGCTTTTCTATTGGTATCGAATCGTGTATACTGGCGCTGCAAGCTGGTGGGGGGACTAGGTCCGGATGATCTGTGGACTCTCCTAGCTCTGGTAAGTGGAGGCTCCGCACACGTTTACACGACGAGGCTGATGTTTTAGGTATGCTTCATAGCGCAATGCGGATCGACTATCGCCGCCGTCAATTTTGGATATGGCAGACCTATGGTCACCATGACACCAGACCAGGCTTCTCTAGCTCTGAAGGTATGAGCTGAGAATGTTCCCCGTCTCAAGCTCTGTGCGCTGACAAGACGTGATGCTCAGTGCTTCTTCCTCCTGCAAATATTCTACAAGCTCACGATCAACTGCACGAAGGTGTCGATCCTTTTACTCTATCTGCGCATCTTTACCGATCGTGCTTGGTTTGGCAGGATATGCAGAGGCTTAATAGTATTGGTGCTGTGCGCCTGTGTCTCATTCACGATAGCAACAATTCTGCAATGCGATCCTATTGCTGGAGCATGGACTCGCTGGACTACCCATTCCCACTGTGTCAACATCTACGCCTTATGGTACAGCAACGCCGTCTACAACATTTTGACAGATCTCACGATCGCTTTCATGGTGCCCCCTATCATCTTCAAGCTCAAATTGCCTATGCGGCAGAAGCTGGCATTGACGGGGATTTTTGGCCTGGGTGTCATTGTCTGTGCGGCATCAATCTCTAGGCTGACAACATTGTACTCGTCCGCGGATGGGAATGATCCCACAGCAGGTTCCTTTATCTCGACAATATGGACGAGCATCGAAGCTGGGCTTGGGATAATCTGTGCGAACCTACCAATGTTGCGAACTCCTCTTCAACACTTCTTTCCCAAAATCTTTCCCCCTCGATCACGGACAAATCAGCTCTCAAGCACAAGTCAAATCAGACCTAGCGAAGGATCTGATGGTTGCATACTTGTCATGACGGCAACAATGGACGAGACTCCAGTCTGCTATACAGAGCCGACAATGTCTTGTCAAACGCCTGCTATCGACATCACCCAGGCTCCGCCATCTCATCGTAGGAATCGAGAAATGAACGAGATGAATTTTCCCACAGGCTCTACGATGACGAGAACCTGGGACGGTTGTGACACTCAGCAGCGCCCAAGCTCCTCGAGATGGCGCACGTATAACCATAATCATGCAGAGGGTGATGCATCATGGTATCATCGTTCGCACAAAGTATGGTGAGGGGCGTACTTTGATACATAATCAACTTGTACTTCATAATGACATGATAGAGCGGACGGGCTTGTCATCGACGGCTTCCATCGCTATAGATCTGCTGAAATCAGTTGATGGTCGAAAGTCGTTAGGCAAGAAATCTTCAGATATTAAAAGGCGTCCGAAGCCGAAAATAATAATATCATTACACTGTAGGCATTCGTCCTGTCACGATCTCGGAGAATGCTTCACATGCAGGAGCCCAATTCATGACCACAAGAGCTCGTCCTTGTCGGTCTTGCATGCAAGTTTGACTGCAAGAGCATCACTTGAATTGGGCACGAGATCAAGCCATCCTGTCGTTAGAACAACTCGACGGTCGGTGAGGTCGAAGTCGACTCGGCAAAGCTTCCCAATTTATCTTTGTCTTGGCCGGGACCGCAGGAGTCGGAGCTGCAGCTTTCAATCCTAACCTCACTTGTTTGAACAGCTTCGAGCAGCATTGCAAATCAACTGGGAACACTTTTGAGCTACCTGTGCGTCAACCTCAGTCTCGGGAGTCACGGATAGCATGCTAATCACGGCATACAGCTCAAAATGTCGTTCGTCATCCGCCGAAGCGTGTCAACGCTTGTTCCTCCCAAGGTGACCTCAATTCTTCACGGTTGCAATGAATATGAGCTAACAGACATTGTACAGGTCGCAAACCCTTCGGTAAGTTCCACCTAGATCCAGACCTTCCGCCCGCGAATGTTGCTTCGCCAAATCCCGAGACCACGAAGAACCGGAACGAGAACCACGCGCTGCGACGAACCCGGTTCGATTGAAGAAAGCATGTCTGATAATGAGTTATAGGGATTGGGAGCTGCCAAAAATGCCCAACGTATGGCGAAAATAGCGAAATTCTACGAACAATTACCTAAAGGACCTGCCCCCAACCGAGCGCCTGGTGGACCATTGGGCTGGTATCAAGCCAAATATTTCGGAAAGAACCCATCCGCTGCACGTACGTTGATATCCATCGCTGGGACGAACGAACACTGACCTGAAAAAGCTATCTGGCACGTCATTTTCGGCATTATGGCATTGGGATACAGCATGGAGTACTACTTCCACCTAAGTAAGTGCGATGTGATATCCGGGTGAAACTGCGACTGACCTTTCTTTCAGGGCACCACAAGAACAATGCTCACTGATTTGACTGCATTCGAGAAAGTGGTTACGAAACGGAATTGTACATAAAGCATAAATCGATAGGGGTTTCAAGAGAACCTCGGGTTTCATGAATATTCTTTTGCTCGTGCCGCAATACCTGCGTCTTCAACATGCTCAGTTACTTTCTACGGGGTCGCCTTGCTTCGAACTGTCCCTCCGTCCACCTATGGCTGCTTGTATGTTATGCTGAGTGAACGATGATGAATGAACAACGCCGAACAGCATGGCAAGTCTGGTCTCGCGCTGTGGCAGGGACTTCAGGAAATGAGAAGATGGGATTTCACTCGTTCTCCACGATACGAAACAGATTCTAGCCTCTCCTCAAAGCCCAATCTTGGTGAAGATCTGTTATTGTTATGCGGTTCGTGACATCGTCAATCACCACTCAGCTGAAAGAACAACCGGAGTCCCTAGAGCAGCGCACGTCCCTCAATATCGTTCAATACTGTAGATGAAATAGCCAATAGGTCCATGCACTGGATCACTTGCCAGCAATAGCGACTATGCCCAAATACAGTATGATTTGATGTGACCCCAGGCTGTCCATCACCGTCATATTATTGACACTTTTACTTGCGGCGCTCTCTCCAGTATTTACTCGGCGACACGCCAAGCCCCAGGTCCGCCGCAATCAGGACTACGACTGCGCAGCCTCCCTATCTCAATTGACTCAACCACATCCATTCCTCCTTTAGTTCTTGTAATTCTTCTCTTTAGTTGGGAGCACTTTTGTTTGAAGCTTCCCTTGGTCCACTCCGCCGAAAGCGACCGCGATCCTCGAACGCCACTGTGCGTACGTGGACCTTCCACTACTCCAGGCTGGCAACCGTGGCAGACTACGTTCCTTAACAGGTACTAAACTCAGCCAGCCAATACCGCCTTTTTTCGAGTCTGACAATTGTCGCATAGATCCGAGTTTGTTATGGCAGAGCAGAGTGCACAAGATGTGGTAAACCAATCTCAGTCGGTGGGCGACATCTCGCCTTCCGACGTACCTGCGACCACATCCACACCTGATATCCAAGTTTCTGGGGACGACGCTGGTGCTGGGGAGGTTGTATCGAAAGAGAATGGAACACATACACTTGCAAATCTCAAGATGGAAGACCTTGACGACGGGTCTGCTCGCTCAGACACGGACACCAGCCGTGCCGACGGTAGTGTCGCTGGTGACAAAGCAGCTGAGCAGAAGTCACTCAAGAAATTCACACCGAAGCCCGTCAGTTTCGCAAAATACTCAGTACCAAAAGTCATCGCTGCAACGGCGGCGGCGAAGGGAACCGAGAAAGGTAATGCGCATCCGGCTGCTTCGGTCTTTGTCTGACAATGTGGCTCTTAGTTGCGACTCCGACTTCCTCAACAGTGACACTTGCCTCTGGCCGTCCACGATTAGTTGCGAAGACTACAAGCGCTCTTCAATCCCAAAGCAAACCGTTCAAGAGTGCAACGCCTGATCCTATGCAAGTTTGGAACAAAAATAGAGGTAAATAATGGTCTCGTGTCCACTTAGGGCGACTTTTTGACTGACTGGCGTTCAGTTACACCTCAACCATCCACGAAACATCTCACCGACGAAGAGCTTAAGCAGCAATATGGCATTCATCTTACCTCTCGCATACAAGCAGATGGCGATGGCAAGGAGGCTAAATGGGCGGATATTGATGACGATGAGGATGACTGGGCACCGGAGACCATTGAATGGAATGATGGAACTAAGAGCACTCTCACACCGGTGGACATCGCTGCGCAGGCCAGACCAACCACACCAACCATTTCCGAAACAGGAGAACCGTCGAAGCCCGCTCCTCCTCCGAAGATCTTGACACCTCACTTTGCAAGTTCTGTCGGTCCCAACGCTACTGTCCTCAAACTCGGTGCCAGCGCAGAACGGCAGCAGGCGCAGAAGGCTGCCATTCTACAAACGAAAAGTGCTTCGGATAAACCGACCCTCTTTTCTTCCAAGACCGCTCTTGCTCCTACCCCAGCTAAATCTCCATGGGCACCGCTACCACCAGTCGACAAGGTCTCGCCCATTGCAATCAATCCACAACCCTTAATGCCACCTCCAAGTCGTTATCCTTCTGGCCATGCCTTCGGTCAAGCCCCGTCGGTTCTAACAGCACCATCACCTGCCAAGGAGATCTCAGCAGACGATTTCAACCGCTCCTGGCGAGATTCACCACCAACTCAACCACGCGAACTTTACATGCCAAATTCGGGACGTTATGAAGCGGTTCCGGAAGGTCGCAGGAGAATGTCGAGAAATGATCAGAGTTTCCGTGCTCCAGCTGTGCTTCAAAGACCCAGCCAAACCGATCCTCATGCCCCTGCCGAGCCTTCTGCGGCATTTCAGACGCATCGTTCAAGCATGGATCAAGCCCGGCGCAGGGCATCATCGACTATTTCCGGTGGCAGTGGTCAGTTCGGACGGCGGATGTCCTTCAGATCTGGCGATGTACCTACTTCTGCAGTCGAGACGCCAAAGATTGATGTTGAGGGCGCTGCCGAACCGCCTTCTGCGGACGGTATACAATCACAGACTCAGACGCCATCATATCAAGCTCGCGCAGTGACAGACTACATGTCTGCTGGGCCTCCTGCTGTCGCTCATCCTGGACCTCCTATTGCGACAGATGCTGACCTTGAAGTTCAACGCGCCGCGCAAAGAGCTCTCATGAAAGAAAACATTGAGCGGGCAAGGAGAAGGAAGATTGAAGAGGAACAGCGTCTAGAAGCGGAGAAGCAAGAGCGCATCAGACTCAAGTTGGCTTCCCTTGGGCCCGATCCCAAGTCGGCCAGGAAGACAGACGATACTCCTCAGGAGAATGGTGGGAAGGGAGACATCGAACAGCCGCTGGCGGCGTCGAGCTCTCTTCCTGCTTCGACTCTTCATTCGCCGCCCAAACCTCCTCAACCACTGGCATCTGGCGAACCGCAACAGTATGGAATGATGAAGGTACACCCCATGGATTCAGTCAAGAAAGTTGGAGGCTCGGTGCCACGCCAGCTGGAATCTCAGAAGCTACCTGTGCGCCCGAAAACCGAATCCATTGCACATGAGGAGACTCGTGACGAAACGGTTGAGGTGACTTCACCAATCATCAATGGTGTACGAACTGCGCCGGAAACACGGAAAGCAAGCTCTCACGAAACGTACTTGCCCTCCGAATCAAGTCCAAAGCTACCCAAGCCCAGCTCTTCAGGAGGCGATGCCAGAAGTGGATGGGGCGATGCTCGTCACGATCACCGTTCACCTCAAGCGAGCAATCTTTGGGGTATGCCTCATAAGCAGGCCCTTGGTAACGGTACTTTTGACCAAGGCTTGGCGGGATATGCGCCACAAGATTTGTCCCGGACATCTTCGACGGCACAAGGCTGGATGAATGGCAGGACTCCTCATGCGGGGCGGTCACCGCAGATACAATATGCGAACCACGCTCTCCCGGAGGGCAAACCGATTCCATACCAACCTGTGACCTCGCCCGATCAAGGTCCACTGGCTGCTGACAGTGAGATTGACTCCCTACTCCCGACAGTCAAACCTGCACCGATTGGTCCTCCACAAACTCAGCAGAGCCACGCTCCAGTGAACGGGTTTCAGCAAAGCCCTCGCCTACAGGGCGTGGATGCATGGGGCAACTTCCATCAAGTTGCTAGCCAGCAAGAGCGTGCTGAGAACGAGCGACTGCAACGTGAGTTGATGGCGAGGCGGGAGGAAGAGCTTCGTACAGGAACTCGACCAGGACCTCAATACACTTTCAACGAAACCTGGAAGCAAGTCAATGTTGGTGATCAAGCTGGTCAGCGACAGATCGCGAACGTCTCCCAGTCTGCAGTTCCTGCTGCGGGCATATTCGGTGCTGTTGGGTCAATCCCAGGTGCTGAACTAGCTCCCAGAGTTGTGAGCGGACCACCAGCTCGTGGGTCGAGATTTTTCCCACAAGCAATCGGAGGACCCCCAGTGCAGGACCGACGTGCTTTCACTTACAGTCATCCAGAGCCACCGCGGACACCATCACCACCTCCTGCGGAGGAATATGCCAGCTTTCATCCGGCTTTCGATGGTGACCTGGGCAAACCTAAAGTGCTGTTCCCACGGGAAAAGGCAGTTGTCAGACTGCCACCAGCAATGCCACCCACGCCTCCTAGTCCTGTTCAGTCTCAGGGTGCGCCTGTTTCAGACGCACCGATGAGTTGGGCGGCAAGAGTATCTTTGCCACCTCCAGCTGCCGGACCGTCGCTTAGATCAGTGTCGACTCCAATAGCGCAGACCCCATCATGGCAAGAACGATTTAACGGATTGTTGGGCAAGAGGCCCTCGCCAACGAGAGAATTTGCTCAGCCGGTGGATGCCGCCCTTGCGGTAGCATCGTCCTCGAGGGAACCACTTGATGTACAGCACCTGATTATTCCTGCTGCTGCAGTATCTCTCCCGGTCGATGTCTCGCTTGACCTTCCGGAGGACGATTATTCATACTGGACGAAAGAGGTTGAAAGTGAGGATGATCTGTTCGAGGATCGAGAACCAGGTTCTCTACCGCTCATCAATCTACCACTGGAGTCGCCACTTCGACAATGGGCGCCGTCGGTCGCACCAAGAGCTCTTCCTCCAGTTGTTGACGCTTTCTCTATGCAACCTTTCATGGTGAACAACTTTAAGGAATGGCATGGTCCTATGAAGCCCCAATTCGCACTAATTCGCTTCCCCGGATCGATGAAACCCATCAAGAAGGACATTCCGCTCAAAGGAGCACCAGCACAGAATGCTGGTAGACAGCGGCCTGCAAGCCACGCTGGCACATTTGTTGGGAGACATCCTAGGGGTCGCGGAGGAGCACGTGGGCGACAGGCATCAAAGGCACACTGAAACCGGTCTTTTTATGGCCCAGTCGCAAGGCTGCGAGCAAGCAAAGCACTATGCATCCTTTCAATGTATATTGACGTCTTCTTCGCGGCACTGGAAGACATGGGACACCCCATGTGGCACGACATAGCCTCTCAACATCTCCTTCTATCACTAATCCTCGGCGTGTCGGACGAAGAATTGTACTACTTACTGCTCCACAGCAGACCAAGTCATCTTGTCAGCTTGTTTCTGATTGCGAGGGAAATGACATTGTCTGTCTGTCATTAACAGGCGATAGGATCTCGAGTAGAGAAACAGCACTGAGCGTGGAAGAAAGGTATTTCTCTCGCGGCAGGGCTTCAAAAGGCTGGGGCCACGCAGTCTTTTGACTGACATAGCGTTTCCCCCGATTGAGCGCGATTAAATCGAGCCGTCTTTTTCTTCGCTTGTCTCAAATAATCAAAACTTCTAATTTTCATCATGGGTCTTATTTCATTCGTGACCTGCTACAAATCGCTCTGCCACACCATGGCCCCAAGCTGCTATCTGGAACATAGCCGGTCGTCCCTGAAGCTGTGCCATACCATTCGACCCCCGTGATTCTCACTCGTTGTGTGCCGCAAGTCTTATGAAAGGGTATCCGAAATTTGCAGAAAGGAAAAGCATAGTAGATTGTTTCGTGGATATTCGTGGTATCGAAGCTGGACTGAGTAGTGGTCCTGATTGGGGCATTGGCTTCGTCACGCAGTGGTTCGCGCAAAAGGTCTGCTCCTCGGCCCTCGATACGGAGCATCACGGGGATTCAGTGGGTTTGCGCTGTTGTGAATCAGGCCTTGACTGGAGCGAGAAGTTGATGGCAATGACTTTGACGTTGAAGTTGACGGTTATGGCTTTGGTGACAGGAGTTGGACAAATTCCTCATCTGCGAACCACGAACGGGCGGTCAAGTCAGTAAAGCAGAATAGGGCGGAATGGAATGCAGGTCGTCATGACTTACAATCTATCGTGCCGTTTCTATCCTTGTCAGCCTCTTTGATCATTTCGTCGATCTCTGCATCGGTGAGATTCTCGCCAAGCGACTTCATGACTTGACGCAGTTCGTCGGCGGAGATGGTGCCGCTGCCGTCCTTGTCAAAGACGTCGAAGGCGGCGCGAGTTTCTTGGGCAAAGTCTTGTGCTTTGACGGTGGTGGACATCATTTTGAGAAACTCTGGTCGGATCGTAAGAATATGTGGCTTGTCAAATTCCAGAAATTCAAGCTTACCCTCAAAGTCTATGCTACCGGAGTGGTCGATGTCGACTTCGTTGATCTATTGCGGTGTTAGAAGCGGTCCAGCTTGCACGGGTAGCGGACGTACCATATCTTGCAGTTCCGAGTCTGTGGGCGTTTGACCGAGCGAGCGCATGATGTCGCCTAGTTCTTGGGCGGTGATTGTTCCTGGTGCAGCGAACGGATTAGACTCTAGAATTTGGGACTTGACTATGGACATTGATTGATGCTGGTGGGCGTGATCGTAGCGGGCTGAATTGGACAGGCCCCACTGCGAGGCAAGGCTGTGGGATGCCCGAAGCTTGTCGCAAGAGTGAGCACTTACCGCTTTCATCTTTGTCCTGGAGGCTTGTGAGTAACCGAAGAGCTTGATCATGTTGCCGAGACAAGAGACTTACGAATAGAGCGAACACATCTCTGTAGGCTGAGATTTCTTCATCAGACAGTTTTGCGGTGGTAGGGGTCTGGACGCAGGATCAGGCGTGCCACGGTTAGCTTGCGTTCTGTTTTTCCACCGCACTATCCCATCCTCCAAGAGATCAGGAGAAAATAGACATACCATGGCTGATCTCGGCTGTCTTGAAGACGGTTGACTGGTGTTGATTTTCTCGAGAGTAGGAGGAGGCATCTTTGACCGAAAGGGAATCGGGCTGAAATATAAAAGTCTAGGGGAAATGGAGATGCAAGTTCCCTAGGCTGGCTGGGCTAGGCGAGATATGCACAAGTGTGCGAGACCTGATTGCTCTTGAGAGCTCTGCTGGCGGGGTTCACCAGGTTGAGATTGTGAGTGACTCAGCGCAATGGGTGAGATGATTCGTTTAGGGGCTGGTAGTACGTGGTCGAATGAGAAGCAGGGTGCAATCGAAATCCGCCTGGTCTCAGAGGTGGCCTATGTCGGGCTGAATCTGGGAGAAGGATTATAAGACGGAAAAATAAGGGATTTGAAAGAGACAAGTCCGAGGTCTAGATTGCTTTCGTTTTCCCAAGGCTGCAGCTTGGAATTTGACTGGTGATCGGTGACCTCAAGAGAGTCACTCGCTGTGTCACTAACAGGCTAGTTCCAACTCTTGACTAGCCAAATGTCCATGGCATTGGCACGGCGGGGAAATGGAATCGAGGCACGTGCTCAGCTACTGGAACACGTGATGGCCACCCTTCATGGGAATTCAAATGACCGTCATAGAAGGCTGAAGACATCATCAGTCATGAGACGATACATGAGTAATATAAAAGGGACCAAAGCGATACACTGATTGTTATAAACACCGAGCCTACCAATATACCTGGGTCTCTACATGCTACGTCGGGCAGAAGTAACACGACTTTTCACCGCAACTTCTCCTCGACGTCTTCTCATGCTTCATCAAGCCATGTCTACCACCAATGGTGCTCAGGCGCCTCCCAAGGACAAACTGATATGTAAGTCCATACATTCGAATTTGCTGTTTCTCTGCTCGTACACACCTCTTGGACATGACTCACAAGAGCCCTACTATGTCACAATGGTATCCTATGTCCGATCATGAAGCAACCCGACTCCTCAGCACGACAATCCCGACTCTCTCCAAGAGAACAAGCACTCGTCAAATCACCCTTTCCTCCTCCTTTCTTCAGGAAACTTTCCAATCAACCTCTCATGATAGCTAATGAGGAACAGTCGCCCCCGGCTCCAACCCCGACGATGCCCACACCGCCCACCAAGCCGCACAATTCTCCCTCTCACGCCTCCGCCGCCCCGATCTCTCCGACAACCCATTCATCCAATTCCACAGCTGGTTCACACACCCCCAACTCAAAGGCTCTGTCCCCGAGACCGTCACCCTCTCCACCGCCGGTTTACCATCAGGCTGCATCTCCAGCCGCACAGTGTACCTCAAGGAACTCGACGACAAGGGCTTCGTAATCTACAGCAACTTCGGCACTTCGCGCAAAGCCGCGGACCTCACATCCAACCCGCACGCCAGTCTCACATTCTGGTGGAAACCTCTCGAACGTCAAGTCCGGGTTGAGGGAATCACCGAACGCCTGACACCACAGGAAAGCCAAGTGTATTTCAACACACGCGCCCGTGGGTCCAGGATTGGAGCATGGGCAAGTCAGCAGTCTAGTGTGCTCATACCGGAACCTGAAAACGACGATGACGGTCGTCTCGACCTCGAAAATCGCGTCAAGGAAATCGAAAAGCGATTCGAAGGCCAGGACGAGATTCCCGTGCCGCCTTTCTGGGGTGGATTGCGTATCATTCCGGAATCGGTTGAGTTCTGGCAAGGGCGGGAAAGTAGATTACATGACCGGTTCGTGTATACGAGGCTAGAAGGTGGTGCTGGGTGGAAGATAGAACGATTAAGTCCTTGATAAACGTTACCACCAGAGCACAGCCTGTACATAGAACATGATTGAGTTTCAAAAAAGGTCACCTTCGGCCTTAATCTTGCACGAGTAAAAGCATCACCCATACAAGAAGCGCAATCTCACAAAAGACAGGAGAAGAAAGACAGGCAAGAATGGGTTTCATCAACATATAGAAGTTGAATTGTCTCATCAGCCCTCGTCTGATGCTTTTTGTTGGACCAGCTCTTGCCGGCAACAAAAGTGGCCTATTGTCAAGGACCATCATTCAGATCCAGACACATCCACTGTCTGATCCATCACCTAATTAGAATTGAGTAGAGAGTATAGTTGTGTTTTGTTGTACATGGCCTGTCCATCTTTCCCAAAGAACTCCCACATTTGGCTCAATTGCTCTATCCAGCGCCCACCTGCCGAATAAGAAGCCGAACCGGTGTCCCATGATCAATGCCGAATATGCGTCATGTACAACGCTGTCGCTACGCGCACAGCAATAAAATCAATAACGCCAGTGCCATAGCCATGCAACCACGATGTTCATGGCTCGTGTTTCGGGTATCGTCATCAAACAAATGAAAATTCCAGTCGAGGCAAGCGGATACCCAGTCGCCACACTCGTCTGGTACTTTTGAAAATTTTGTGTTTTCGAAGATCAAGCAGAAACTCCTCCCATAAGAGCCATCACCTTTTCGGTGACAGCAGCAGGATATCCTTTTCGCAACATCTCTTGAACAACTCCGTTGGCTCCGGTACGGTCTTCCGCAGAAAGATACGCACGTGTCATTGCTTCGTAAGTGCTGGGCTCTCGTTTCTGCGTTCCAACTTTGTCGTAGATTTCTTTGGCTTTGGAGATGTCACCTTCGCCCACCCAGCCGTGAATCAGGGTGTTGGCGATGTACGGGGTCATGGCAACACCACGTCGAGACATATCACCAAGAACTTCGGATGTCTTGGCGACCTCGTGATTAGCCACCATTGCCTCGAACAGGTTCTGATATAGAGTATCGGTAGGACGAATGTTTCCATCTTTCAAGATAGAATCGAACACTGCCCGTGCAGCCTGCAGATCATGCATAACACAGCCTTTTGCATGGATTAATGCTCCATAGTGGACCGCTTCGGGTTGAACACCAGCCTTTTTCATCTCGGCCAGAATACCATCTGCAGCAGGCAGATTGACAGGCTCAAGCGCGGCGTGTGCCTCGATCAGTAGCTTGTAGGTGTGTGAAGTGGGCTTGATGTTCTTCGCCTTCATCCGCTCGTAGTATTGCAGAACCTTGCTTCGGTCACGCTTAGTGTTGAGGAAGTACTGAATGATGGAGTTGTATGGTGCCGGTCGAGGTCGATAATTTGGCGCAGCCTCCATTTCGTCAAACATGTCCACAGCAAAACGTTCTTCACTTGTTCGGCAAAGAGCATTGACCAAGGTACCATAAGTGACCGAAGACGGCCGAATACCTCTGCCTTCCATGTCTCCAAAGTATCGCAGACAGTCGTCAATGCGACGAGCCTTTCCAAGCTTGCCAATGACAGCATTATACAGAAAGACACTGGGAGCAACCCCCTCAGACGATGCGCGTTGGAAGATCTTGACGGCTTCAGTAGCTTCATCAAATGTCCCTTCCAGTGTGGTGATATAGATGCCGAACGTGTTGGCTGACGGGGCTGCTCCCATGTCCAACAAGTCCTGGTGAAACTTGCCCGCTTGCTGACGATCACCGACAGTCAAGCATGCGGCAATCATCGAGTCCAATATTGTGACCCAGCCAGCTCGGACTGCTGGAATTTGCAGCGACATGGGCACATCTGAATGTGCCATACCCAAGATTTCGTTGATCAAGTTAGGTTGCTTAGCTTTTCCGGCACCAGTGATCAACTTGGCGTAAGCCGAGTAATGCAAATTCCTGCCGGCACGACGAACGTTCCTCAGGCGAGCCAGCCCGTCGTTGAGGTGGTTCTCAATGCGACCTGTGGTGCTCTCCACGAGCTCTGAGATTGCTTTCGAGGCGCGGTAGTCAGTAGTGTGAGCATATGGGTCAAAGCTATCAGCTTCTGGCAAACTTCCCGAGAACGACAAATGAGGGGACAACGGTGACTGTGGTGGTAATGTAACAGGGGCTGCAGCAGCAGGCTGAAGAAGCTCTTGCCAGCGTTGTAGGAGATCAGGTCTGACAGCGGCAACCTTTGGTAGACTCTCGCTGACCACATGTACGGTAGATGGATCCATGAGGATGCCGCGGTTGAGCACGGTCTCAAGGAGATGAGAGAACCTAGCTTGGTGCGCGATGTCGATGCCAGCCTGTGACAGAAGCGTTTGGGCCTGAACATGCAGAGCCAAGGCGATATCTTGTGCATCGAGTTGCTGAACGCATTCGGGTCCCAGGCTTGCGATAGCATGCTCTGCGACAGGCGAGACCAGGCCACCATTCTCAATCATTGCTCGCAACAAGGCAATGCTTGTCTGGGAAGATACGGGCACCTGTTGCTGCATAAGGGCTTCTCCAAAGAGAACGATCGCTTCGTCAATCTCTGCGACAGAAAGTTGGCGGCTTGCCTCAGAGCTAGCGGAAGCCCGGATGCGCTGGAACATAGAGCGGGCTTCGGCGACACCTCCTTCGACGGAGCCATTGCGAATCAAGGCCAACCCATACATCGTAGCAAAGTCGGTGGTCGGGACAATGGGCAGTGATTGAGCCTTATGCCAGGTAGCCGTGGCTTGGGCAACATTTCCAGCTCGAATGTGCATTGCAGTAACAGCCATGACGGGCTCAGCCGTCAGATTGGCGACGGAGATGGCATCCAGACCGCTCGTGGCTTCCTTTGCCGAATCGGCATCAGCCGCAGCAGCGGTGATCTTTGAAAGGGCCTGATCTTGGACGACCGGTTGCAAAGTGAATTCGTTGATACTTGCAAGAGCATCGGAGAATGCCTCGTTGTCAATATGGTACTGGACAAGACCGTTAACGACAAATGCGGATGTCAGCTCATCAGAGAGCGGTTGCTGGTTGGCTGAGTTCTTGAATGACTGCATGATTCTCTCGTAGAAGTGGAGACCAGTCTCTGCAAGTCCAGCAGCATAGTAGGCTTTGATCAAGGAGGCGTAGACTTGCATGTCGAGCGGGTCGTTTGCCGCCCTGCTGATGGCAAGGTCACGATACTCCTCGTAAAGTCCGTAAGCTGCATGAATGTTCTGCTTGGAAGCTTGTGCATCGATGACGACTGTATACAATCGAGGGTCGAGGCGAATGTCTTGAGCTTTCATGTCCGCCAAAAGAACATTCATGTGGTCGACCATGCCGGACTGAGCGCAAGCCTTGACCAGAGAGTTGTAGGCAGTGGTGGACAGGTTGAAGTCGTTCAAGGTGGCACGAGCGATGTTGTAGAGCTTTGTAGCGAAGGCAAGAGAGGTGTCGGCGGCGTAGGTCTCGTATTGTCTGGTAGCAGAAGGAAACACCAGAGCGCCGTCGGTACCATACCGGGCGGCTTTTTCACCCAAATGCTTCTGCACTTGATATGCTTCAAGACTTCTTGCGGCCAAAAATCTTAGCAGGATCATGTATGAAGCGGCGTTGAGCTCCACGGAGCGCTTTGTCATGTCTCCATACACCTCAAGGGCTCTAGGCCACGGTTGATAACCAGTGCTCAGATTGATTGCCGAAAGAAGGATTTGGTTGTATGCATCGATGGTGGGCACTTGACCATCTTTGACGATGGCTTCGAAGAGTGCTGGAATCTCGGCGTATCGTTGTTGTTGACCAAGACGGACTATCTCATCAGACAGAAGGAACTCTTCCGAGGCTAGAGATGTAGCATCGGTGGGAGGTGTCGTCTGCTCAAGTGAGTGGTTGGAAGAGTCGAGGTCGGTAGCAGCTGCTTCATTGGTGACGGGTGAAACTATTCCAGTACTGGCAACAGGACTGCCAATGATGACCTCCTCATGAACGGTGGTGACTTCAGTTTGTTGTGCAGCTCTGCCATCCTGGATCTCTTTCGCAATAGCCTCGTCAACCCGGGCAAGTGCTTCCGCCTCTGTGAAAACCTCATCCGCCTCTTGAACACGCGGAGTGGTGCGCTCACTTTGTGATCGGGACACATTCAATCGAGCCGATGGTCGGATAACGTCAACGGCGCGGGATGATTCAAGTCGCTGGTATTTCGGCGCTGCAACCTTCTCCTGATCTTTCCACCCTATCCGGCGGGCAAACTGGTGTTGTTTCCATTCGGAGTCATCACCCGTCTGTTGCGCATGCTGCCAGGCTGCGTAGTACTGGCCTAACCCAGCATCACCGGAAGAGGACTGAGAAGTATACCCAGTCTTCGCACCGGCGCCAGAGCCAGATGGACTTGAGAAAGCATTTTGAAGTTGTGCGGTCTTTGAGAATTTGCCGACAGGATAATTTTGGATTGTTCCTAGTGACTGACCAGCAGCAACAACGGAAGGAGCATAGGTATGGGTGATTCCCTTTGCAAAGCTGACACGGGCGAGATGTGCAAAAGGCTTGAAAGGCATTTAGTGATTAGAATAGACTCTTCCGGTCGAAGAGGGTGGTATTGAAGAAAAATGAAGGCGAGTAAGGCAGGTTCATTTGACGAGCCAAAGCCGCCAAACGAACGCGCAGACTGAGAAAGGTGAAATGATGAGGGTAGGAAAAGGTGTCGAGAACACTCGGAGTGGAGTGTCTGTTGATGTCGTGTTCAATGCTGAGGGTAGAAAGAGTGTGCGTGTTCATGAGAGTCAGGCTTGAGATAATATCAATTGTTGGTGGTTCATAAATCGTACTCGTAAAAAAAGTTGTGCCTGGCGGAGTTTAGCTTGAGGCGTGCCTAATGGTGACGAGTAGTCGCTAGTTCCGTCCCGGACCCCAGGGCAAGGCTGGAATGCACTGGAGAGCACTGAGTAGTCAGGTGGACGATGGACAGATGTCGTTAGAACGGGTGGATGTCGAGGGAGCTTTAGGAACTCCTCAGGACCAACCATGAATGTGCATCTCAGCTTCGATGGAGATTTGCATCGGGAAGTTGAGGCATTTCCTCTGCACTGGCACCCGGAGCTTTATCGAGGGACGCTCTTCATTCGCCTCTTGGGGGCTAGTTGCCGATATGCCAGGGATGGTCAGTCACTGCTCTAGCGAAACCTTCCGGGGGCCCATCAAGCCTGGAAATCGAGCTGGCTCCCCGAGGCCAATGATTTCCAGCCTTTTCTCTCGGAGCCTGGAAGCTCCTCCATCCGAACAACAAGGACCTCGTGCCTTATTTTTGAAGGCATCCACACCTTACGAGCGAGCGCGAGGTACAGTATACCGAGCATCATCGCCCAGATTATCTCATACGAGAGAAGATCGGATATGGAATTTATTTAGACAAGTTTCTTTTGCTTTATTCTGCGAATTATCTATGAGATCCACGATGAGCATTGCGCACGTAGTGCTGTGACAGAAGCGTTTCAATCCATATCAGACCCCTCATGAATGTTAGCGAGATTTACTCCGCATTTCACCACGGCAGATCGCCTACATGCCGTGTCGACATGTGCGCATACGACATCAATATAAGGTAAGTCGTTGCTAATGTCCCCTACTCTCCACCGCTCCTTATCAGTGAGTGCCCTTCATCAACAATGTCCACCACCACAGCAGACACCGCTGTGGGCTCAACGGAGGCCGCAGGCCTCGCGTCCAAACCACCTCAGAGCAAGAGTCTGTCGCTCTTCACCCGATTTCGATTCTGGACCAAGATATGGCTCTTCAAAAGCGCGGTGGTAGCAACCTTCAAGGTCATGCGCTTCGTCCAGGCCAGCAAATTGAAACCGTTCCTGCCCACATATACAAAGCACTACCCTGTGCGACCCATGCTCGAGAACCGTGTCTTTCTCCCGCCAAACGCCAAATCCGGAGGGAAATACCCCCTTCTGATTGTCGTCCATGGTGGTGGCTTTGCCCTGTTGGATCCGACGGTGGATGACGAACTTAATTCGTACTTCGCCAACAAGCAAGGTTTCGTCGTCGTGGCTGTCAATTACCGCAAGGCGCCGTCATATGCGTTTCCAGATCCGGTGCACGATGTAGCTGAGATTACTCGTGCTGTTCTCGCTGACCAGGAGCTTCCAGTCGACTACTCCAATGTCGTACTCGCTGGCTTCTCTGCTGGAGGCAATCTTGCACTAGCGGTTGCACAACTTCCGGGTATAAAGGAGAAAGTGCGGTCCCTTCTGCCAGTTGTTCCTGTGGTGGACTTTAGCGGGATCTACAAAGGCGAGTTCCGCACGACCAAGGAAGGTAAACCAGATGTGTTAAAGGACAACGGCGCTCTGTTTACTTGGGCGTACATCAAAGAGGGAGAAGATCGATACGATCCATTGTTGAGCCCAATATACGCCGGTCGAGACAAGCTTCCGCAACGAATTTGGTTCATATGCGCCGAGTACGATTACTTGTGCCATGAGGGAGAGATCATGGCCAAGAAACTCGCCGGCATCGAGGATGAAAACGAGACTGGGCCCGAGTGGGAGAAGAACGGTATTAGATTCCGAACGGTACCCAACGTTCAGCACGGATGGACGCACATGGCGAAGTCTGGGGAAGCAGAAGTCCAGAGGAAGAAAGAGGTTGAGGAGCTCTACAAGGAGTGTGCAGACTGGCTCAAATGATAATGCTTCTGGGTGTTTTCGTCATGTACATTGGTGCAAATGATAAAATGACAGGCAAGAATTATAAATGACATTTTTGGGTTGGGACAGAACGTTATGCATACTCCCACCGCTCGCTCCTGTACAGTCATTCGCCCTTCGCTTCCCTCCAGAGATGCCCAAAAACGCCGTGCTATGCTGAATCATATACCTCGCCAGGCTGAAAGGCCGCCTTGAGGGAAACGCCTCCAAGCACCCGAACGGATTAATCCAACGGAATCGTCCCAAGACTTGCATCGTTGTGAGTTGTACTATTGTCTGCTCTAACATGCGCAACCGTCGTCAGCCGGCTTTTGGTTGTTAACCGCAACATCAATCACTAAAGAGATAGTCAGCATAGTTGTGCAAGAGACGGTGTACCACTCACCTTGTGGGTTGGGTTGCGCTTCGCTTTCGGCATCCATCCCGGGCAGAGCCTGGGCTATCCTTCTGAACAGCGCCTTGACATTGTGGCCCAGCTTTGCGCTCGTCTCCATGAAGATGGCGCCTGCCCTCTTCGCCTCTTCTTCACCTTGCTGCGTCGTAACCTCCCGCTTGCTATCCCCAAGATCGGTCTTGTTTCCTACCAGCACAACAATCACATCATTACCGCGCTCGCCCCTGACATCATCTATCCATTTCCGCGTCTGTTCAAAAGTCTTTTTGGAAGAGATGTCGTAGACCACCACCGCTACCGAGGAGTCGCGAATGTATGAAGGGATAAGCGAACGAAACCTTTCCTGCCCGGCAGTATCCCATAGTTGTAATCTGACGGTGCGGTCTTCCAGATACATCGTTTTGGAGAGGAAGTCGATGCCGATCGTGGCTTGATAAGTCGTGTCGAAAGAGTCATACATGAATCGTGTTATTAAAGAGGTCTTGCCGACTGTGTTTTGAGTTAGCGAGACGTCCGGACATGCGAAGCATGATTGTTGAGTCCATACCACTCTGTTCACCGAGAAAGACCAGCCTTGATGTTCTGGTCAGCTAGGAGTTCATCTACCCAGTAGAGTTGACGAACTTGAACTTCTTCAACGGGTTCGAATACGACCCTACTGCACTTTGCGCCATGTCTGCTTAGGTACAATGGGAGTATCGTGTTTCCTGCCAACCCGAAGGAGGCAATTGAGTTGGATCGTGGGAGGTCTCGAGGAGTTTCTGAGGTCGCGTCACTGCTTAAAGTGTTCTTCTCATAAGGTCATGGCAATATTAAATTGAGCGCGGTATTATCAATGAGCGGGACAGGTCGAGTTCCCTGTATTGAGAAAGAATAACTCCTGTTTCGACTTTCAGGGTCAATTGGGGTCTGCAGGCACGAAATTACGGCAACCGCAGTCTCGATGTGGAGTAAGTTTACCAGAAAGTTCAATTAATTAATGCGAGCAAGAATGACCGAAGGGGCGTTGGAAATACGAGTCGCCGAATCGCTGTGACAAACAGACCAAACATCCACCGGGAACAACCTCGAAAACGCTTCGAGAGAAATCGGTAGACGGCCCTTTGCGCACCAACAACGGCTTTGTACAAGTCATGAGTCTGCAATAACCATGCGTGCAACTCTCGCGCTACTGAAGCGCTCCGTCTGGAAAGGTATGCTTTAACAATCCGCAAACAGCCTAGAGGACTTGCGCTCGCGGAGACTCCTTCCAAATGTCAATGCGCTCACACACTGTACAGGACCGAATATCGTCCCGTTACCCGAACTCAAACCTGCTGGCTCCGGCAAAAACATTCAGATCATCAGGACACAGCAACGCGCCGCCTCTATATTACCGAGCTTTGTCGGACTACGGTTTGCCGTGCACAATGGAAAAACATACAACGAGGTCTATATAACGGAGGAGATGGTGGGAAGAAAACTGGGAGAATTCGCTCCGTAAGTCATGCGTAGCTGGAGTATTATAGTGGCCCCTTCGCTAACGCTCGGTTGTCGCAGTACGAGGAAACGATTCACATACAAGATGTCTAAGAACAAATGAAAATGGATATCAACTTTGCTGTACGATACCCGTTGCCTGGTCTGGGTCGGTCCCTTCGGCGTTCAATTTGCTAGGTGGCTAGGTGCCTTGTTCAGCTGTGCCATACCAATGGCGGGCTTCACTTGTTCTCCGGAGAGCGCCAGTGGAAGGTCATGGGTTTTCGCAAAAAGGCCGGTCTAACACGGGGCACTCTCCCTTTTTGACATTCTGTTCTATGAGATTGAGATTGGGAATGCAGAACGGAACGAACGAACCTGGCCGATGGAGTCAACCATATATCGGGCCGATCACGAATGTCCATCAGGATCTCCATGGAGCCAGATTTAATATAAAATCAGAGAACACGAACTGCAAACTCGTGATTGGCAATCTTTCAGGGCTGCTCTTTATCGTCCTTCTATGACTATGCAATACAGGCCATGCATGACATTCATCCCAGCCTGAATGCCCTCCCTTAACTCCATTCGCTATGCATTAAAGGTGTTCTCAAGTACAACAACAGCCATCATCTGTAGAACTCGCCTCTCTTGATATTGACCCCATACTCCTGCACCGCCATTCCGAGGTCCTCCATCGTCAACACCGCCTTAGCCTGTCCGCTTCCACCCTGCCCACCACCACCATACCCACTCCTCTGCACACCCAACTGTGTCGTCTGCTGTAGCTTTCCGGCACCCGCACCACCAGCAGCGCCCGCACCAGCACCTGCAAATCCACCTGGTCCAGCACCCGCACCCACCGCCGCCGCATTGCCCAGCGGATTATTTGCCGCCGCCGAATTCGACGCCCGGATCCGACTGTACTGGTAGGCATCGGCCGCGACATCGGCGACGAATTTCTGCGTCGCCAGCGCTAACAGTCTTGCTAATGGGAGAGGCGTGGTATTCGTGCTTGCGCCTGTAGGATCCGCTGGCGACGGAGGAGGTAGGCCAGATAGTGTTAGAAAGTGCGCCGTGACTGCGTCGGGGATCTATATCACGATTAGCTGTGTCATTTCGTGATGGAGAAAGTATGACCTACGATGGGCGCATAGTCGTCCATTTTGCTAAGAAACTCTCGTAGCGTGACATCCTTGCGGTTTTGGTGGGCGAGGCCTGATGTCGTTGTCGCTGCTTGTGTCGCGGGCTGTGTTTCAGATTGTGTGAATTCGTTGTCGAGAGTGCCGGACGAGACTTCTGGATTGTGCGCCGTGGTGGACGCTTCTTGAGTGGTGTCTGCCATTTCGGCGTCGACGTCCATGGTTGTGTCCGCCGGTTCGGGCATCGAGGGTGGTGATGACATTGTGATGGAGCAGGCGATAAGATTTGCGGATCTTGAATTGCAGGGTCCGGTGTAACAGGACGAGGTGTGAAACGTGGTTGGGTCTATGTCGCAGAACGAGGGACAGGGTACGGAGTACGCAAGGCTGATGTTGGTTGGAGTGCAAGATCCAACGACACCCGCAGAGGATCCTGAATCTGGGGCAATGTCGGAAGAAGTTTGTTCCGAAGTTTAAAATGATCCCCCATACGAGTACCTAGGTATGTCCTTCACACTTCGATATACTCTACATTTGGTAGCCACTTTAGGCAGTTGTCACTCTGACTTCGAGCCGTCTGGGGGTGACGATTTAATTCTGACCTATCTCTGAGGCTAGAAAATCATATATGTCCGTTCTGAACTTCACCACGAATGCTACGGCAGACAAATACAAAGGAAGGAGGTGACCAGATGCGAGCAAGAGGTAGCACGGACAGATTCTGGGATCTGTCATGGATTAATTACTACCCTGTGCCGTATCCTCTATGTAGCGCAATCGCTGTTCAAGGCCAGCCTGAGCCTATTGATTGAGATGCTGCCGCTGCAGCTCGTGCAATCATCGCTTCAACGTCATCCATGCTGGGTTGAAATGCCGGTTTGGAGTCTGTCGGCGCGCTGACTTGAAGTGAATCCGAAATTTCCTGGTTCGACTGCTGTCCTGCTTCGTCCGCTTCGAGCGACAAAAGAGCGTCGAAATCATCAAAAGATGTTTCATCTCCTTTCAGGTCATCAAGCTTGGAGGCTTGTCCAGGAGCTCGAGTTCGCAAATCTCCTGTCACATATTGCAGGTAGTACGGCACTTCGATGCCACTTTTCAGGAAGAACAATTTCAGGTTTCGGGCCTTGTCCTTCAACTGGACTTGATTGCGATCTTTTAGTGCCTCGCTAACAGTTCCGCCGGGTCCATACATGGCTAGAATCTGACTCCAATGCGGACCCTTGACCTGATCCAAACCGTTCATCAGGGCTTGTTCTTCCTCGGTCGACCAAGGCCGCCGCTGGGTGGGTACAGCGCCTTGCTTTTGTGCCAACGCAGGTTTTGTAGAGGCAGCTAATCGTGCTCGTTCGTAAAGAACTGATGTTGGCGCTGTCTGTGAAGCGTGAGGTATCTCGGTACTGTTACCTGCACCGGGTGCAGGAGGCTTAGAAGCACTTCTCCCGTCTCCCGGTTCGTACTGCTTATACTCTGGAAGGGCCGGTTGAGGGGTAGGCGTAACAGCTTTGACCGTCGGGGTAGCCGGTGAGGATACAACCGGATATTGCTCCTGATAGGCTAAAGCACCTGAAGCTGCCAGGGCAATCTCTGCAGCTCTAGCTGCTTGGGCGACGAAATCATCTGGAGACGGTGACTCGGGCGCCGGCTGTACTTGCGCCGCAGGTGATGCAATCGGTTCGGTGAAGGTGACTGGAAGTGGCGGAGCATGTATGGAGAACTGTCCTTCCATTTGACCTCTTTGTAGATTCTTGGTAGGATCTTCCCTATTCCCATCCGCATCACTGCCACTGTCCGCATTCTCCATGGTCTTTTGGAGGTAGGAGGATACTTCCCGGCTGAAATCTTCCCATCGATATTTGATAGGCAACTGGTCGAGGGTGTTGTTCTTGACATGCGTCTGCAAGATCTCCCGTCGAGATGAAAGACGATTCAGGAAGTCTTGTTCAGTGGGTGCTAAGGTTGTTGCCCCAGGCCTCCTAGCGAGAATATGTTTGCCTAGGTCTGGACCAAACATGTCTGCCATGACCACTTGAGGAGGAGCCGCACCAGTCCTCCACGCCGTTATGAAGCCTTGGGTCTTCAAGTCCAGGTATATGGAGGCTTGCGCCTTTAGGAGCTTTCCGTTCTCTGGAACGAAGACTGGAAGGAAGCCTTGATCCATGTCCCGGAGGCCGATTTCGCCAGTGAAAATGCTGGACATGAAGATTGCTTGATTGGCTTTCCTTATGGTCTCGATCTGATAACTTTCCCGCAGCCCTAGAGCCCTAGGCGAGAGAAATGGGGCTCCAGTATTGAACAACCTCCTCGTAGGATCAAATAGAGCCCTCAAACCAGCATACTCACGCGATTTGGGGGAGTTCGGCATGTTCGACAGGCCCAAGGCCTCGGTGGGTGTCAGCCGGGCAAGGAACATTATGATTTGAGTCGCCAGACTGTCCAGCAGGGATAAACTAGCCAGCATCTTGCTCATATCCGGACCTTGTGGTTGAGGTGGCCTTGACGGCGCATTCTTCTGACTACTAGCAGGTATAGAGGATGCTGGGATTGCAATTTGCGCCGCGGCAGGTTGCTGTCCCTCTCTCTTCTGTTGTCCATCATTACTTTGAGGGATGTTCGATGTCGCAACGTGACCATTCTGCCCATTGCCATCTACTGGGGACAAACGCCTTCTCTTAGGACTTCTTGGGTTGTCGTCGGGAGTTATGGTCGCGGGCGCAGTGGGAGTGATAGTCGGTTGTGAACTTTGCTCTGCTCAAGATTAACGAACGGACCTTGAGAGAACCAGACCGGGGCTCTTACCTGCGGTTTTCTGGGAGACTGGAAGCGCTCCATTGTCACCCGAAGCCTGTAATGAGGTAGGGTTGGGCGACATTGTGTTGTCAGGGCATTTTTGGTAAGTGTACTGCTTCAAATGCGAGTGAAGGTCACGTGTAGGTCATAATACTCTAGTTCACTGAAACGAAAAGCAGCAGTCTGGCGGGAAAGATTTGGTGCGGAGAAAGCTCCGGTGTTTCCGCACTAAGGTACAGTACTCGTATGTACTGGTAGATATCTCCACCCCATGGATAGCTTGTCAACGGCCGCTACCTACCACGTAGGTAGACACTCACTGCAGTATCTTAACTTCTTAAGGTCACCATTCTGTATCTTCAGTACCGTGGTATCTTCAGCACGTTGATCGTATCGTCCCGTCCAGTAAATTTGACGACTGTTTCCAGCCACCATCTTTTCCACACACCGCTTTATTCGCTCCCAGACTGCATGCCCAGACCCTATCTAGTAGGCTAGCAAACCGTTTCCTCATCCTCGGCATGTCACTATGTCACTTTCTGAACTCTGGTCATGTACGGGAGGTTGTTAGGTTTGGCCCTTTGGTTGTCCAGGCAAAACTCGACATGGCATGCAAAAATGCTCCGCTGTGCGTTATACCCCGATCTCAAACCTTGCACAGTATCGCCTGAAGCTCTATGCCTTTTGGTTGTTGCGGTCAATGGCCTTTGCGTGGCCAGTGAATACGGTTCCCGAATCATAGGGCCAGTCCCCAATGAATTATAGCGGGCAGGTTGCAGATAAAAGGCTTCCGGGGGTCAACCGCTGATTGGGGGCTATCTAGCCTTACCGACAAATCGAGTGCAATTCTGACTCTTGACCATGACCCCACCTTGTCGACGCTTGCGGTCCCCAAGCTCGCACCGACGAATCACCTCCATGGTCTATGCCCTTCTCTTCGGATGATTGCATACTGATCATGAGAACAACTCTGAAAGCAGTAAGCAGATCTCTGGCGTTGTATTCATTGCAGACCCTGTCCAGTCATGACTTCCCAGCGAGTCGCCCTGCAGCCTGATGCCTTATCGTCAGACCTCATAATGCCGGCTACACCCCCTCCTTTGGCGACTGCTGTCCTTGCTTTTCAGCTTCACCAGTATTGGTGGCTGACATTTTGAGACTGAGTGACATACTCCCTTGCTTTTGAGGTACTGACGTAGCTATTGGCTTTGTGGCGACAACGATGTCAAAATATCTGACCCTGTTCTACTTGTTCTTGACCGCTGCCTCGCAAACAGCCCTCCGTGAACAAGTCCTAAGCACGTTTATCTATACTCGATATGGCGACCGGACCCCGCTCGTCCTGTCAACGTCGCCAGCTTTGACGCCTCTCGGTGCACAACAGCTCTTCGAAGCTGGAAGCAAGGTTCGTGACAGATATGTGACGCCTGGTGAGGGAGGTGATGGGGAGACGACCACAATTTATGGCATCTCAGCATATCAGCTTCTGTATGATCAACTGAGCGTTCTATCAACGACAGATCAATACATCGCAGCATCAGCTCAAGCTTTCGTTCAAGGGTTATACCCTCCTCTTCAGACATCGTCGAATTGGACCTATATCGCTGGGCAAAGCACTCTTGCAAATGGCACAAATATTGTTGCTCCTCTGAACGGCTACCAATACCCCCAGATCTCAACGCTCTCCAGTAACGATCTCAACTCCATATGGGTCAATGGAATGGACAACTGCCCATCGTATACTGCCTCTACCCAAGAGTACTACGCTACGAGTAATTATCAGGAAATCCTCAGCAACAATGCGGACTTCTACGCCAGTCTCGAGCCGCAATTCCTGAACGGCATCTTCTCCAATGCCTCTGTTGGCTACTACGACGCAATTGAAATATACGACTACCTCAAATATGCGTACCTTCACAACAGCACTGTTGCAGAGTCTCTGTCTGCGGTTGACCTGACAAGGGCTGAGATCCTCGCAGCAGACTTGGTCTTCGCCCTTAACGCAAATGTCACAGCTTCTGGTTCAACTGACGGGGACCATATCCGAGCAGTTGCTGGGAGAACCCTAGCCACCCGCCTTTTAGAGGCCTTCAACACAAATATTAACAATCAGGGCACGTCTGATCAGATGACGCTGCTTTTCGGCAGTTTCGAGCCAATGGTGGCTTTCGCGGCACTAGCCAACATTGTTTCTGAGCAAAATGCAGCATTTTATGACGTCCCCGAGCCGGGGTCGAGCTTTATTTTCGAAATGCTATCAATGCAAGACGGAGAGACGACTAGCTACCCAAACATGTCCGACATCTACATTAGGTTCCTGTACCAGAACGGCACCGATGACTTTGCATCTCTGGTCGAGTATCCTTTGTTTGGTCTCAGCCCAAGTGCAAGTCCGATTTCATTCCTAGATTTTGCCGCTGGCCTGGAGAAATTCTTGATGTATGATGTTGCGGACTGGTGCACCGCTTGTGCAAGCTTCAGCGTCTTTTGTCCGGCCTTTCTCGATTCAAACACAACCTATAGTCCTACGACAGGGACAGTGTCTTCTGGGCATACCCGTCTGTCGCTTGTGGTAGCCGGAGTCATTGGAGCTGTTGTGACACTTGCCGTCGCGGCGCTCCTACTTAGTGCTGTCATGATTCTAGGGGGTGTCAGGCTACACCGTGTCCATACGAAACGCAGATCAGATTTAGGAGGATTTAAAGGGGGCGAGAAGCTGGCTAGTGACAGAGATCTGAGCATTCCGAAAGGTGGAGCTGGTGCGACTGTAGTAGAGAATGGCGAGCCATTGTCTCCTCATGGTCACGAAAGAGTTGGAAGCTGGGAGATGGGAGACCCAGCAAAGGCAGAAGAAGCGAAGGGTAGAGTGCTCAACCCGGGTGCTCTCCGACGTCCCAGCTTCGAGGATGACAATCTTTCCATTAATTCACATGCATCACCAACAAATCCACACGATCATGTTTGAATCCAACCAGTTTTGAGGAGCCTCTGGCAAAACGAGACAAAGAGATCCAGCAAAAATGTCCCCTGGCATTGTCCAGTCTAATGAACTCAACGACTTTCGATGATATATGAATGGTCGACACGAAGGTGTGCGACGGCCCTGGGAGCGTGAATATTGACTGCCACCCGAATGCTGTCCATCATGGGCGGCTATCACCACTACACGAGGAGGATGGAGACAGGAAGCTGAACACGGTCGGGAGGCGGTCAACGGTAATGAGCAGCCAAGATACAGTATCTCAATCAGTGATTTCTAGAGCCTCGCAGTCATGAAATGCGCGATACTGCCGCACCTTCTCTCATGTCCTGTTTTGGATCGGTTGCTTTTTCTCGCAGATCGACTTCACTGTGGGTGTTTGTTCATACCTCTTCCTTCTCAACTCTTCATTGTGACAACTTCCAATCAGCAAGCGTCGACAAGATATCTTCTTGGATAGAAATACTGCGTGGCTCTTGCCTGTCCACCGGCGTCGGTGAGTGCACATCTGCTCCTACCTCCCTTGCGCAAAGCGCTCTTTCCCTGCGTGTATCCATATCTTCGTCTTGCCTTGTCCTCACCACCAAAACCGCAGCTTGCAATGTTCTGCTTGGAGATAGTCAATCTCTCGACAACACTCCCGCAACGGGCTTGCTTGCTGCTTCTTTCACTCGAGAAACTCTCTTTTGGTTCCCTCACTTTGGTTATTTGAAAACATCCTCACCTGCGCTCCAAATACAGCATAAAGCGAATATGACTAACCAATCCACAGACAGGCAGACTGGCAGGTCACGGCGCTACACGGTCTCACGTCTCCTCGAACTTGCTCCTCAAAACAGAATTATCAATTTCGACCTGTCCAAGTTCAGCTACGACGCAGCTCGAGGTGAGTTCAAAAATGACGGTCAATACAGCCGCAGGGCGGGTTGGGACTGACAATTGGTAGCGGGAGTAGTACCACCATTGGGTGCCTGCGCCATGTCTACCAGACGAACTGCGAGCGACAAACCTCGTGGTTGGTCCCGTGAGTCAAGCAGCTCACAGGAAGAACTCATTGTCTATCGTGGGAATCGCATCCCGAAAGGAGGTCCAGAAAGACAGCCCGCCGTCCCACCAACTGGCGACCTGGCTCAGCAAGACAAGGGCTTTGCTCGATTCCTCGAAAAGCATTCCTCTCCAACCCACCAGCGAGTCACTGCCGGCGGACGTATCGTGCCAATGGAGCAACGCCCACGTCCTCCACCATTCACCTTACCACACGCACAGCAAGATCAGGATTCCGGCCGCAAGGATAACCCAAACAACACGGGCCAGGATGAGACGATTGCTTTTCCTGCTTTCGTGCCTGATATGGGTCATCAGGGCAAGCCAAACCAGGACGGAACAGATGGTCAGGTTGTGCAGCCACCAGTCCACATGCTTGCAAACGGGAACGTCGTACCTGCAGCCATCAACGTCAACCTCATGGCTTACCCCGATGCGTATGCTATGGATGCGGCATCCTGTCCACCACCATTGTCCCCAGGAATGATGACAGCGCCTCTGTTCCCAAACATGTACGACCCATTCGGCATGCAAAGTGCTCAGATGTATCCTCCGGCTACGCTCGCTATCACCGCCCCATTGGCTCACTTCAGTGGAAATATGGAAGCTCCATATCCAATGCCCATGCTGGCTCAACCAGAGGTGCCTGTTGTTCCCCCAATGGACCCGATCCCACCCCCTCAAACAGGACTGAATGCTCCAGATGAATTGCACTCCAACAAGATGCTGCAATCTGCCCTTGCTCGCTACAACGATCTGGATCAGCAAATCAAGAATCTTGATCGTCATCGGGCATTGGGCGACCATGACCCTCTGCTCGCCACTCAGCGGATGAATATTGTCGAGATGCGTGCAGAAGCAAGATCGCTCTACAACTATTGGACGAGTATTGTCTCAAATGATCTCAAGGCGATTGGAAAGCAAGCTGCAGATCGTCCTACCAGTACTCTCAATGTGCAAGCAGCCGCATACGTTCCTCTGAATTCAACTGCACCAGCAGCTGCACAGTCTTCTGACATTACCAAAGTCTTCGCTCACGGGGACAGCAATGGGTTGCAAATGACAAGGAAAAACACACCCAAACCTGGTCCTCGCCGCATTCCAATAGTAGCGCCTCCAGAGAAGACATCGTCGGCTGGGAAGCGTTTCAAAGACAACACAGCATCGTATATTGGCTCAGTTGAGGTCGATGAATGGGGTGCGCGCATTGGAGAGCCGCCTGAAGACATTGAACTTCAACAAAGTGAGATGTTGCTGAAGTTGAGCCGGGAGCTCAGCATCTCGCCACAAGAGTCGACCCACAGCTCTACTGCGCCGAAATCTGCCGCTGTCAGTATTGAAGTGACTTCGAAGTCGGCCACACTTGAGGACCATCCTGGTGATCATGACCAAAACCGAACCGGCCAACCAGACCAGGAAATCAGAGAGTGGCTGCCCACACAGCCAGGCCGAGCGCCCCCCAAGGTTGAAGCATGCTATGAAGTCCAGTTAGATGCAATGCGACTTCCCAAGAGATTCATTACCACGGTCAGATTGCCGGGAGGAACAATCACTGAGGTTCGTGGCCAGGGATTGCGTCGTCCTCCATCGATTGAGATGGACGAGTTTGAACGACACTACTGGACGTCCAAGCCGGAACTGACGGACGATATTACCGCGAACTTTCTCGACGTGCGTCTTGCTGATGAAGATATGCCTGCTAACCGAGTCAACGATTACATGGACTCCAACCGAAACAAGGGCGAAAGGTTAGTCATTTCGAGTCTCATTGAGGTGAACAGAAGTATACTAAAGTCACTGCTTCAGTCAGCAGGAATACAATCCTAAGGAAAATGCTCTTGTGGTTGCAAAGACCAGTATGGAATCTCTGGGCGGAAAGCAAACCAATTTCGTGGCAGGAGATCAACCTACGCGGTCAGTCTTCTTGTCATCGTATGTCTTTCGTGACATTTTATTGACAGACTGCAGTCCTCTGGTGCTGCCTCGATTCGGCCGACAAGCCTACACTTCGATTATCACGACCTCGACTGATTCTGGCGGTCTGTCCACCTTCGGACAACCCCTGGCCGTGCCACCAAATGTGATGTCACGAGTGGACAATAGGCCTGGTTGGTCAATGAGTGAGCACTCACGAAATGGCGTGGAGGTCCCATACGATGCCGCCAACATCAAAGGCCACTCTTCGGTGTCTGTTCAGAATGTTCATGCCATGGGTCGTTTGCCACACATGCTCGACGGTGCAACCGACCATCAGCGTCGCACAGCTGCATGGGCACTGTCTGCAGCCGGCGGAGTTCGAAGCCCTCAGCTCGCCCAGGCCTCGATTGCCACTGCAAGTATCCAACATGGTGGTCCACGAGATGGTGAGATTGGAGGAGTGACTCTGGGAAATGATGGTGTGTACCGCCCTCCAATTGTCAAGTAAGGTGACATGTGAGCATGAGCATGTTGCGGTCGAGCCTGTCAGGTACGAAGTGTGCAATAAGGCTGCGACCATCCTTTTCTTTCACAGTGTATCAGGGGCACAACTTGGAAATGTCCATTGGGTGACATTGATTGGTATGCTTGTATGGTGTTTCAGAATATCAGAAACACAAGTGTCATTGGGCTGGAGTGGGCTACGAAAAAGGAAGTCTTTACTTAACGTCCAAAGGGGAAAGGGACTGATGCAAGCATTCAAAATGTATTCAATCCGGCAACATGAAGGATGAAAAGAATGCGTATGAACACATTGACTAGGTAGTGTCAGCAGGGTAGCTGCATTTCAATACACCAGAATACATGTCATTGGTTGAACTCACTGGTACTGGCTCGAATAGACAGTTCCCTAGACTTGACCTTTACAATAACCCATATCGGTGCGTGGCAGAAACAGAGAGGATATAGTCGTACAAGGACACCACATTCGCCATGTCACGATCATACAAGTACTTACTGGTAGCACGACGAGTGGTACCCTAAGTTTGGCGAGCTGGAACATTGCTGAGAAATCAACGGGGAGGTGGAAGACGAGGATCACCCGCTGGTAGCCACCGAGGAGCACGATGACGACGATGGCAATCCAGAATTGGGGAAATGCATGGCGAAAAGCTTCCCGAGTGCGTCTGGAAGCTCCAGACAAAGCAATTTGTTCAGATCGACGGATGAATTCGGTTTGACAGAGTGCCAGAGACAAGGGGCTGGATGTCGAGGGCACAGGTACATCTTTGCTTACTGTAGGCTACCTCATAACTACGATTTGTTCCTTTGACAGTCACAGCAGAATACAGTACCTGGTAGTTTGACCTCCCCTTAAAAGGTGCCAGTGCGTGAGTGGCAGATACTTGAGTAAAATAGCCTAACTCTTAAGGGTGCCGTGGGTGCGCACTCCCCTGCAATGTGAAGTCCGGCCGGTGCCCCCACCCAATCCACACTTACCGAGCGGCAGAGTTTCCTCGCTCCTCAACTTCTCAGATCCCCCTCCACTCCCACCATTAATTGTACACGACGACGACATCCATTATCATCACGTCCGATCGCTCTTGCGCTTCGTTTTACACAACTTCCAGGTGCCACTGAAAAGGGAGCATCTTCGGCAACTGCGATCTCTCCTTCTCGAGGAAACATCATCAGTCTCAATCCGTTGACCCTTAGGTACACAACAACCTCCACCCGGACATGGCGCTCCGCAGATAGCCATTCAACTCGCATCCCGATCTGTCCACACTCGCACTCCTGACCTCCCAGGTCGCCTCGTCTACTCCGTTGCTCTCACTAGCATCGTCTCGCTTCCTCCGAAGCCCTCTCGCACCTCGCTGATTCTGCGGATCCATTCAGTTGGCAACCTGCGGCAACATGACTACCTCCGAGAGACGCAATTTCTCGAGCCTGTCCTTCTCCTCCAAGAAACACATGAATCATGCTGATACTGCGACGCACACTCCCACCACGACCAAACTCAAGAATTTCTTCCGCATCAATAGTTCCGGCAGTCAAACCTCAATAGGCTCAGACGGACTGCCCACTCCAAAGACGGAATCCAAGCCTGGCAAGCAATCGAGATTCCTCCCAGGCCTCAATAGGAATCGCTCTCAGACTGTTGCTAGTGAAGGCCACCCTCTCGACGAATCCCTCTCTCCCACAGCTCAAGCCAACCCATACTTTGTGCACCAGGGGCCTCCCACCTTACGACATCACAACGATGGCAGCGTTCCTCCTTCTCCGCCCGATACCCCCAAAGTCCAAGTAAATGGCGCCACAGCAGAAGAGAAGGCAGTGACTGCCGGCAAGGAGGAGCTCGCGCGGAAACTGAGACGGGTGGCGTCTGCACCCAACGCACAAGGTCTCTTCACTGTCAATAAGAACAACGATGAAAGGCCGCAAACCGCCGAGCTGGGGAAAGAGCCGCTCGCCGTCCTTTCAGGAGCAACACCTAAATTGAGCATGGCTCCTCCTCCTCAGCCAGATGCGAGTCCGCTGATCCTGCCAAAACCTGGAGGTAAAATCCCGCTTCCAGGTCAAATCCGCCAATCTGTCGCTTTTAGGAGAACGTACAGCTCGAACTCGATCAAGGTGCGCAACGTGGAAGTAGGCCCTGGCAGCTTTGACAAAATCAAGTTGATTGGTAAGGGTGACGTGGGCAAGGTGTATCTGGTCCGGGAGAAAAAGTCCAACCGCCTCTATGCCATGAAAGGTTGGTCTCATCGATTGGTGTTTTTTGATGCAATGCTGACCTATCTTAGTGCTGAGCAAGAAGGAAATGATCAAGCGAAACAAGATCAAGAGGGCATTGGCCGAGCAGGAGATTTTGGCTACAAGCAATCATCCCTTTATTGTCACCCTCTATCATTCATTCCAATCTGAAGAACATCTATACCTCTGCATGGAGTACTGCAGTGGTGGAGAATTCTTCCGTGCCCTGCAGACTCGGCCGAATAAGTGCATCGGTGAGGAAGACGCCCGCTTCTATGCTGCAGAGGTGACGGCTGCACTGGAATATCTGCATCTTATGGGGTTCATCTACCGCGATCTCAAACCCGAAAGTGAGCAAATCCTACCACAGCTTGTTGAGACCGCTGACTTTTCTAGACATTCTCCTGCACCAGTCTGGACACATCATGCTGTCAGACTTTGATCTTTCCAAACAATCCGATTCTGGTGGAGCGCCGACCATGATTCTGGGCACTCGTAACGCTTCCAATCCCACGGGTTATCCTCTGGTCGATACCAAATCGTGTATCGCCGACTTCCGAACGAATTCTTTCGTGGGCACAGAGGAGTACATTGCTCCCGAAGTTATCAAGGGCAATGGGCACACTAGCGCGGTCGACTGGTGGACTCTGGGTATACTGATTTACGAGATGCTCTTTGGGACCACACCTTTCAAGGGCAAGAACCGCAATGCGACATTTGCAAATATCCTCCGTGACGAGGTTCCATTTCCAGATCACTCGCACTCGACACAAGTCAGCAAGTAAGTACCTGCCCATCAGCGACATATGTGTCGGGAAATAGCTGACAGTGCCTAGCCTCTGCAAATCCGTGATTCGCAAGCTCTTGATCAAGGATGAGGTCAAACGTTTGGGATCCCGCGCAGGCGCATCAGACGTCAAGAACCATCCCTTCTTTCGGCCTATCACCTGGGCACTACTGCGGCATATGAAGCCGCCCATGATCCCTCACCAAGGCCGGGCCATTGACACATTGAACTTCCGAACGGTGAAGGACAGTGGCAGCGTGGACATTGGAACTTCGGCAAGCCGTCTAAAGGGTGTTCCTCTCGACTCGGGTATGGCTACCCCTGGTGGCGAGATTGCCGACCCGTTTCTCGAATTCAACAGTGTCACTCTGCACCACGATGATGAAGATACGATTATGATGCACGATGGAGGGCATATGAATGGACATTGATGGCTGCATTGTGGATCCGCTTTCGAGACGAGGTGTCTCGTTTGCAGTGGCGTTTTGGGTGTTCTCACACGGACGAATGAAACATGCGTGGGAAGACCTTGAAAGTAAGATGGGCTTGTTCCTCTATGGGAAAATGGCGGACCGAAGTCAGTGTTACAGTCTTTTTGAGCATACTAGGGCGTCCGTCTGATATGAAGACCAAAGGGCGTATGTACAGATATACAGCGAATCAAAAGTGGAATGGTCTTGTGTATATGAGTTGGACGACTGCTCTTATTGATCGCCATATTCGCCTTTTATGCATTTCATCAAATGACAGCTCACCCATGCTTGACTCTATCTGAATGCTGGATCTCTGCCCCAGTGATCACTGCTGGTCGGGTTGTTCTTCCCAAAGCAGGGAAATCAGGGTTGGCGGTGAATTCACAGTCGTACAGCATATGGAAACAATGTCCAATCAGCGGTGACGTTGTTGCGAAACTAACGAATTATGTCCAGGATCAAGTCCACGCACCCTTTCACATCTCTTTTTCTCTCTATTCACTTGTCCACAATTTCTCATCAGAGTCTTCACTCACCAAGTTCCTCCGCGTTTACCGACGGTCCAGAGAGAGGCATATCGACCCGTTCCATCCCTTGCATGACCTTCACTCCCGACCTGCACGTGCTTGTTTGTGGAAACACCCAAAGCATGGCCAGAGGCTCACGCTTTCATCCTTTCGTTCCAGTCCGTCGCGTGCGCATTAGAGACTTGGATCTGCTCTAATAAGCACCTTTTCATGGCCCTCGTCATTAGCTGCTACCACTAGCCTCGCTATCACGTCGTGCTGACATCTCATATCACATCGACTGCACCATGAAGTTTGGTCGCAACCTTCCCCGAAACCAGGTCCCTGAATGGGCTTCAGCATACATCAACTACAAAGCGTTGAAGAAGCTGATCAAAGCCGCCGCTGAGGGTGAAAAGCAGAATGGAAGCCTCGATCTTGCTGGTAGGACGAAGTGACGTAGGACACCGGGCAATGCTCATATTGTTTAGGATTCTTCCATACGCTGGATCGTAACCTCGAAGATGTAGACCATTTCTACAACAAAAAGTTCCAGGACTTCTCACGTCGCTTGAAACTCCTGGAGGAACGCTACGGCGTCTCTGCCCATGCCGCTGCACAACTCGACCAGGATGAAAGAGAAGATCTGCTGGCCGCGCTCTTAGAACTACGCGGTCAGCTGCGGAAACTACAATGGTACGGAGAAGTGAACAGAAGAGGATTTATAAAGATCACCAAAAAGTTGGACAAGAGGATACCTGCAGCACATGCGCAGAAGAGGTATCTTGAACTCAAGGTCGATCCTTCCGCATTTGCAACCAATGCACAACTGTTCGCTTCGCTAAACAGAATAAACGATTGGCTATCTATCCTCAACGATATCGCCGCCTCCACCAACAACGACGACGTTGCTTCCATCTCTTCGGCCTCCCTCAAACGCACAACCTCGCGTCCATCGTTGAACATTCCTACCGAGCAGCTGGCACAGGTCGAGGCCAAGATTCGTCAAGACGATGCGAAACGACTGCAAGAATGGCTACAGACCGTCAGTCCCGGTGCGGACACTTCGGAACCAACGCTGCAACAGCTTTACAAGACTCTGCTGCAAAGAGCCATATCTAGCCGTAGTCGGGCATGCACGGCATATCTGTTGGGCGAGATTGTCTTTCTGGATGAGCAAGACGACATAAATCGACGTAATTGCATCCATCGACTAGTCATTTCGATCGGCCGAAAGCAGGCCAATGCTGACCAGGGTCCGGCTGCTGAATCCTTCCCTGACCCGGAAACAGAGCTGTACAACTTCATCACTCCTGCTACAGCTCCTTCAGTGCCGTTCAAACGCTCGGTGGTGCAGGACGATCAGCGAGCTCGGATTCTCACTCATGAAGACGAACCAATTTCTTTTCTACAGTTTCTTCTCGACAACCTGCAGCCTGTTCAGCGATCTGCCCTGTTGTCCAGGGATACTTCTGGACGCACTTCACTGCATTTCGCCGCGGAGTATGGTGTGAGGGTGATGTGTGAGATCATCATTGAGCATCTCAAAGCCTGGAAATTGTTTGATGTCTCCGAGGGTATTGATGGACCGGAGTGGCAGGACAATGAAGGTTGGGCACCATTGCATCTCAGTGCCATTGGTGGTCATCCTTTAACGACTCAAGCACTCCTTGCTGCGGAGGAAAGTGTGGCTACCAATTCCAGCATTCGTCGAAAATCTGAAAAGTCGTCCGCAGTGTTGGCTCTGGCCACAAAAGCAAACTTCATCGACATTGTCCGTCTTTTGGTCAATGCAGGGGTGGATGTTAATTATCAGGACGAACAGGGCGATACCGCGCTTCACGTCGCCGCTAGATTCGGCCGCGTTGAATGTGCGAAACTGCTTCTTGAAGGTTCTGACATTCAGAAAGCGAATACGGAACTTTGTGAAAGCACATATGGTTGGACACCTTTGTTCATCTCCTGTGTAGATGGCCATCTTCCTATTGTGGAATTGCTTATCGAACATGGAGCTGACCTCGAAAAGCTCGACTCTTCGGGTTGGAATGCAAAGGAGCACGCTGCTCTGAGGGGTCATGTTGACATTGCTCAAAGACTCGCGAGCATTATGCCAGACCTTGACGCAGACTCCGACTCTTCCGTCATGTCAACCTCTCCACCATCAGTCTCTTCGTCTCTGGCCGAGCGAAACTCGAATGGCATCGGATCTCAAGTGCAGACAGTCAAAATCAGTGAACCTGTCAAGACCTTTGGTCATCGTTATCTAACGGACAGAAGCATGATTTTGGTCAGCCTGGGTACAATGGATACACGAAAGAATACCCGTCCCGTCCATCTCGACAGAATCCCAATGGCGAATGTGCATACTACACAGCTGGACACCGCACTGTCCATTGTGGTGTCTGCCAAGGGCGCAGAAGGCGAAGCAGAGGTCATTGATCTTCCCGTCCATGATAACATCTCGACGGAACCGATAGTTTTCCATGCCTCAGATCCGTCTAGCGTCAAAATACTCTTTGATCTTATCCCAACATACGCTGGATCGAGGGAGCGTATTGTCGGAAGAGGTGTTGCACTTCTCTCGACCATCAAGGCAAGCCTAGGGACGAAGAGAATGCCCTTACAGGGCGATGTCACAGTTCCAATTATTGCAGCTAGCGACCTCGAAGTCATCGGCTCGGTGACCTTCAATTTCTTGGTCATCACACCTTTCCAACATCCAAATATGTCTATCACAGAAAATCAGACGTACTGGAAAAGTATGTCATCGACCATGGTCATCGGTCACCGTGGACTTGGAAAGAACTTCGGTGCTGGCAGACGGTCATTGCAGCTCGGCGAAAACACCATTCAATCCTTTATTGCTGCCGCCAACCTGGGAGCTTCATACGTCGAATTTGATGTACAACTCACGAAAGATCATGTCCCGGTCATCTACCATGACTTCTTAGTCAGCGAAACAGGCATTGACGCTCCTGTGCACACCCTCACTCTCGAACAATTCCTGCATGTTAATGACATGCGCACGCCCCGTCACTCGCGGCCAGCCTCACCAGTGCCGTTTGAAAACCCCAAAGTCGGCCACCTGAAGAACAGCGAGTCGAGATCATCAAGAGTTCGATCAATGTCTCTTGGTGGCAATGACATCACTGAATCAGTCGACATGGATGAGCGCATGAAGCATACCAGAGACTTCAAGAAGAAAGGGTTCAAGGGCAATAGCCGTGGTAATCACATTCAAGCGCCATTCGCCACGCTGGAAGAGATGTTCATCAAACTGCCATCAAACGTTGGCTTCAACATAGAGATGAAATATCCCATGCTTTCTGAGAGTGAGGAAGAAGAGATGGATACCTATGCGGTTGAGCTCAACTCGTTCGTCGACACAGTCCTGGCCAAGGTCTATGACCTCGGCAAAGGCCGCAACATCATCTTCTCGTCATTTAATCCGGATATATGTCTCTTGCTCTCGTTCAAGCAGCCAAGTATCCCGGTCTTGTTCTTGACAGATGCGGGCACGTCACCGATTGCAGACATTCGCGGGACCAGCCTCCAGGAAGCCGTTCGCTTCGCAAGTCGGTGGAATCTACTGGGCGTAGTGAGTGCAGCGGAGCCACTCGTGGCTGCGCCCAGACTTGTTCGCGTCGTCAAGGAGAGTGGTCTGGTCTGCGTCAGCTATGGTACACTCAACAACGACTCGGCCAAGGTCAAGTTGCAGGTCAAGCAGGGTATCGACGCGGTGATTGTCGACAGTGTGCTTGCCATTCGACGTGGGTTGACCGGAGAAGATAAGTCGTCGAAGAAGGAGACTCAAGCGAATGGAGGGAGTAGGGAAGCGGTCAGTGGGCAATTGGAAAAGAGCTTGATGGGAAGTACTGAGAGTTTGGAGATCCCGGTCATTTCCAAGACGGCGGAGCCCGAAGATATTAAGCTCGAGGTTCCTCAACGGAATAGGATGGTCAATGGGACCGCTTAGGATCGTGCGGTAAGGTTGGGCCAAGGAAGAATGCAGTGTGGATGTACACATCGTCAACCGATGGTACATAAAGATGTCAGAGTGTGAATACTGAATTGTATAGAGATAGACTCATGGGGCCAGTTAGACCATGGCAGTATTCGTTTACACATCCCTTCTCAGTGTCTTTTATCATACAGTGGCCCATCACTTGCTTACTTAAGACCTGGGCTGTCCAGGCTGGCCCGGAAAGGGACTGATCGTACAGCTGGCCATACTCCTTTTTTGCACCACCACGCCGAGAGAGGCCGACGAACCAGACTCACTCAAACAAGTGGTCGAGCTCTACATCAAACAAGCCTCCTTCTCCGACGAGTGCAGTTCACTCCCACCGACGCGTACTTTCGGACCTCTAGACATCGCGCCTGCCTTGCCATTTGCAGTGGATGACGGTAAGTATATGAACGCGTCAACAATCCACTCATACCAGACCCTTCGATCGTCGGTCCTCCGCCACATCGTCACGCTTAGTTCCGCGTTATCAGGCACAGTGAGCGGAGCCTAAACACCACATTTCATTAGTAGGGGGTCAACACGTAGTGCGGGAAAAGGGGTTTGGTGGACATACCTTCAGCGGGAAATATATGGGAAACCAACTGATCATACCCTCGCTCTTGGCGTCCATGGTGTTAGGATTCGTGGAGAGCTCGACGCCCCGGTACAGGACTGTTTCAAAGTATCCGGCTAGACCGTTGCAAGTGCCGCGGTTGGGCACGGAGAATGTGAGGGTTGAGCTGCGTGCGTTGTGCGCGTTGCTGGGTGTGCCGTCTACCATGGGAGGGAGGGAGGGGTTGGGATGGTGGAAGGACCATGTTGTGCCTATCACGGGAATTGGTGTTGATGGTTGATTCTGTGCGGGTGCAGGGGTTTGCGAAGTGCGTCGCGGTGTATGGGCTTTGGAGTACGGTGTTGCTTGCCCCGAAGTAGATGGGGACGTTGGTGTTGGCGATGTTGGGTGAGATTCTGTTGCCGACGGTTCAGGGGTAGTTGTGCTGAGAAAGTCGATGGCGTTCAGCATGACTACGTACGGCGTTTCCGCGGCGCTGGGGTTGGTCGGGCTCATACCGTGCATGATGTCTGAATGAAGTTTGGACGCGGCGATGGGTGTAATGTGCGCTGTGTATGATGCTGGGATGGAGATGCCGTGGACGGGATTTAACAGATGTTGCACGCCGTCGAGACATTCGGGCGAGAGCTCGTTATCGGCGAATGAGCCTAGAAGCTCGGAGATCAGAATGTCGATCTTATAGGGTGTCGGTGCAGAGGTTGGGTTGCTGGTGGCCATAAGATATGTGGAGTCTAGAGATGGAGAACCCGTAAAGGTGCCGGGTGCTGCGTCTTTCGTGTCTTCGTTGTGATCGTGCGTGCCGTCCTCGGTATTGTAGATCCGGCGGGTGGGTTTAGAGCTTGCTGGCTGGAGTGGGCCACGCCATGTTCTCATGTCGGACTTGACCAGGTTGACGCGCTGGTTCCAGGTTGTCTCGTTGTGGCGCTGGAGCAGGACGAATGCGTTTGGGTTTTTTTCGAGAGCCCACATGTCGATCTCGACACCGACATCTTCACTTGCTTTGAGGGCACGGGTGACGAGCGGACCTCGACCGGCGCCGACCACGGCTACCACGACTCGACCGTCTGGATTGGATGTCGGTTTGCCTTGCTCGATCCAGTCGTGCAGGGCGCGGGCAATTGCTCGCTCGTACCAGGCATACTTGATGGGGTCTTTTTCGAAGACCTCGTACGTGATGCTTTCCAAGTTGACGGTCAGTGGTTGCAGTGGCGCTTGAAGGTAGTCTTGGTATCCGGCACCAAAGCGATCTAAAGCGGTCGGGACGGGTTGCTTGTTCTGCAAATTTCGCATGTAAGATAGATGTGGCGTCGGGTCCTTAATGTGCGGATTCTCTGTCGCCTCTGCCAGAGTTGGAAATGTCGTTCCGTTGGCACCATTGGGGGTGTTTGTTGTTGCTGGAATTGGTCCGACGTTGCAGAGGAGGAACCAAGGTGGAGTTCGAAGTGAAACGAAACGACTTATGAATGCTTGATGTGCCCGAGGTAGGACAGGGTAGAGTTTGGGGTTTTTCGCAAAGATTTTGGCGTCGAGGGTGATGAGGCGAACTGGTTCGGAGTACCATCGAGACTGGACTGGTGTTGGTGGTAGAAGTTTCGGTATGGATAGTGCTAAACGAGATGTCAGTTGATGTTCGGAGCGGAGAAAGGGGCCAGTCGCTGTTTGAGGGTAAACGATTCAATATGCTTACCTACACACATTCTAGATGGATATTTACATATCGATCTAATCATGTCCCAAGCCTGCCAGGAGCCGAATATATCTAACCTCCTTGTTTCGGCCTCATCTGGATCCAAGAACTGCTGGCGAGCAAAGGGCGCCAAATCACCCATTTGGTCTTCTTGCTCGTCTACATGATCGATCATAGGCAGCCAGATGTATAGCTGCATGTAAGGGCCTTGGCTGATACCTTCCAGAATGGCACGGGCATACTGAGCAACTTGGGTATTGACTGCACCTTGACCACGCAAGCGAGGCCCTGGAATGAGAACGTATGTGACTCCGCAGAAAGCAGCATATGCCAACTCCAACCTCAGGACTTGTCGCGAGACATCGGCAATGATTGGGTCAGGCGAGCTCAGATCAATCCATGAGCTTGTGACTGCGATGATCTGGCTGATAGATTCGTTCGGGGTCAACGGCGTATCTGCTGGTACTAGAGGTGGAATAACGACTGGAGAAGCGTTCCGGGATTGGGTAATATCTTCACCAGACTCGACGTCATTTCGAGAAAGAGATGAAGAGAGGAGAGTCAAGACCCTGGAATGAAAATGTGGAGTTGTGATTGGCGTTGTCACCATATCATACTGTGCACCGTCAGTATTGCAATAGACTGAGAAGAGACTTCCATCCCACATTTGCTGCGTGCGCATCCTGTATCGTCTCGGGTGTGACTGGGATTGGAATTTTTGGGTCATGGTGCCCGATCACGAATCGCGGAGGGTTGTCCATCGTTTTCTCTTTTTTGATGGATTGGTTTGCAGAACAATTGACTCGCTGCCAATGGGACTTTTCTAGCTGGTGTGCGAAACAGTCTACAAAGGTCTGGTGGATCCTCGTTTCTTGCACTGCTATGCTCTGGCTAGCGGATAATTGAGAGTGTAGACCGTGTAGGCGGCCTAGTTGTTTCTTCCGCACATGTTGCGCCCCTGCAGCAGAAGAAGGGGCTCCGCAGCGAATCGATCGGTCTCTGACCTGTATAATCGCAAATATCCGAGCAGCCAAGGGAGCATCAGGCGCAATGATTGTCATCTAAAAAATGCAAAGGAGGTGGAATTGTCCCGAAGAGTGCTAGTGTCTTTCTTGTGCCAAGTTCATGTTAATGCCCGGGAAATTCCTTCAAGAACAAATGCCTTGCCGTATTAGCAGCACTTGGCTAGGTGCCTAGGTGTTCGAGCACAATGGTTTGGGCGAAGTCCGTTGCTGCTGTGAAATATTAGTTCGTCATTAGGTGCTCATCAGGTGCATAGACGTCGCATTCTAGCAATAGACTTTGTGTTGGCAAAATGTAAGATGTAGGTGCTAGGTGGGAGTTAGATATTGATCGCGTAGTCCATAGCGGCATGTTTTCGCATACTCGAGTCGGCCAATGGACCCGCACAGCCTCGTCCTCGGACTTGCCAAGACAAGGCTGAGCTTCGCGGAAAGTCATTTGAGCTTCATTGAGATGCAGCAACAATTTACCCGCCGTTGCACCCAACTTGTCCATCTCTATCATTGCGGCTTCGAGCTGCACGAGCGCCACTATGAGTGTCGCCCGGTCATCGGAGTGTGTTTTCTGTCTCTTCTCGCGGTCGTCTCGCCCTGCGTCGCTCGCCCGCCGTCAGTTTCACTCCTCTCCAATCCACCAGAAACGAAAACCTCGATTTCCCAGCGTCAGGGCCACCGCCAATCAGATAGACATCAACACGGCCGCTGCGGAGTTTCCCAGTGCCCAGAATTCCCCCGACCTGCAGAGATATCCTCCTGAGCAACACGCGGCGATCGAAGCCGCGCGAAAACTCATTGACCCCGAGAAACTACAAAGCCAAACGGGGAATCGGACAGATCCCTGGAAGATCAAATACTACGACGACCTCTCGAAGGTTGACCCGGTAGTTGACAAGCCAGTGCGACACCCTTGGACGAACCTGGACGACAGTTCTCGACTCAAGACGGAAGATGAATTCGAAGAAGACTTGGTCAAGCTCATGCACGAGATACCTGCTCCCAGACATGAAAATGACTTTGACACAAAGATATGGGATCGATTTGATGAGAATCTACGATTGACGGTCGGAAAGGAAGAAGCAGAGAGGCGTCCCCCCACAGCCATGGCTCCAGGCTTGCCCAAAATATCGCCACAACCCAAAAAGAAGCGGACGGACGACCGTCGCAGGGACGAAGACGCAGCCCCCAAGGAGCCACCCTCGCCTGCAGTGGTCCGACTAATGCAGATGACTGGATATAACAAATCAGACCTGGCAAATCTTCGAGTCAAGACAATCTTTAGCAACTCTGTCAGCAACCAGACGAGGCTCGGGAAAGTTCACAAAACCTACTTCCTTACTGTGGCTGGAAATCGAAACGGATTGATTGGCATAGGAGAAGGTAAAGGAGAGGAAACTGCAGACGCCATCATGCAAAGCCAATACCGTGCCATTCGAAACATGCAGCCTATCATGCGTTACGAAGACCGAACCACCTTCGGCGATCTCAGCGCCAAAGTCAGTGCAACAGAGTTGGAGTTGTATGCCAGACCACCCGGTAAGATCCTTTCAGCGTATGGTCAGTGTCCCTTAAGACTAACTAAAAGGACAGGATTCGGACTCCGCTGCCAGAAGTACATCTGGGAAATCTGCAAGTGCGCCGGTATTCATGATCTCGCTGCTCGAGTGACCCGATCGAGAAACCCGATGAACACTATCAAAGCGACAATTCATGCGTTGTTGGGCCAAAAGCATCCGGAGGACATCGCCAGAGCCCGGGGAAAGAAGTTGGTCGATGTTCGAAAAGTGTACTATGCCGGGCGGGTATAGAGTGGGCGCTTAGATGTTCGAGCCCAGTGGCTGTTTCTTGTATCATATCACTTTCCCCATAGCCAGATGACTATCTCGGTAATCCAACATCTGTCTTGAGATCGATGTTAGACGGCGATGTCGACGTTCCTTGTATCATACATCGAGTCCAAGTAGTGTGGTATCTGTGATGAGCCGGCTGACTGTTTCTGCAGTCCAATCTTCGTGAAGTAACCGATCCGAACGCTGTCCGTTATGGTAACACTCCTGCCATCTGCCCAGGAATTCATTCGTCGCGTGCGTTTGGCACAATTCGTCGTGTCCAGTGGGTACAAGCCGTTGACTCGTTCACCTCATGTTCGTAGTCTCATAACAAATCATCAAAATCACTTCACCCATTGCCCTGGTCTGCATCTCCATCAAACCCTCCCTCATCCATCCCATCCATCTGACCCTGCTGCAACACGATGCTGTACACACTGGCCTTCATCAAAGTGTACACGCTCGCCACTTTCCTCTCGAGCAGGCGCAGCCCCTCTGCGATTTCGAGAGTCATAGGCCCGCTCGACAATGTCGCGAGTGTGGATGAGAGCTGTTAGTAGCGAAGTCAGCGGCTTTTTCTTTCACACCAGCAATCTCCATCGCTCTATGTCGGCTCTGAGCCGTTCCTTCGACACTCATGTGGGACGTGACGTACCTCCTTCATATTTCCTGACAACCGCTCATACTCGTCCAGCACTTCCTGTTCGAGCGGAGAAACCCCTGACGAGCCTTGTCCCGTCAGGTTGAGAAGCGTCGAGCGTGAGTCGTTGTGTGTTGTGCTGTCGTCCATGATGTATCTCGCAAACTTGATTCAATACTCAATGCTCAAGTCCGCAATCACGATGTTCAATATTGCGATCCTCGCGTCATGCAAGTACTACCCAGCATAGTCGTCGCCGTCGCGTCCTTGTCGCGATTGTAAATAGTCTTGGCATGCCAAGCCTGGCGGTAATGATGGGTCTCTCCATCGCCTGGCGTCCTTCAATTGCCAGTGGTTCTAGGCATAATCGGAACACCTTGCAAGCCATGTGTGCTTTATAGTTCTGGCTGAATAAATCCATGTTTTTGCGCAGTGTTTGTTATAGAGACTTGAGGTCTACAGGATTGTTGCAGTAAATCGCTCCGGACTTGCATGCCCAGCTTCGCGTCTGGCTTGCATATATTTGACCGAGGCCAATTGGACGCGAGTGTGGTGCAAGTCCCTGCACTGCTTACTTGCCAGCTATGTTCATGTCCGCCTGCTGCCTCTTTTTTCGGATTGAGGAGGCTCGGACGGCGTACACGAAAAGAACCGACAAGATGCACATGGCCCGTCCACCTGCTACCTTTCTATACATTCTCCTTGCAGCCTCGTATCTGTAGGTAGGTGATCCAAGCCAGCTCCATACTCGTGGCTCTCGGGTTGTACTTGTACGACCCATAACCACACTTCCGGACCTGTGGATTGTGACCTGTAGTTTGTGTCACCTTCAGCAACTCGGCATCCGATCGTGCAACAAACTCAACTCAGCCGCACGTCTTGCAAGGCCGGAGCTTCTCCCTGCTGTGACTTCTCTTCCTCTTTTCTTCCTGCGTTTCGTTCCTCTGTGTGCATGACCCGAAGTCCTGATGCGCCAGCCCAGGCTTCCGCAGAAAACGTGTTGTTCATTCATCGCCCAACAAAATGACAGCATTGCAAGATCATTAAGAACAAGAGAAGGCTGCTTATCATGGACGTCTTGTCGATAGAGTCGTGCGTCCGAGCAGGTGAGTCTCAGCACTCTCAATGCACAATCCTCCCGGAATCAGTCCGGGAAGTTGTCGCATTTGCCGCCCGCTGCAGGTTGACTGCCGCGATCATGCTGTGCCGACTGACATTTATGGCTTTTAGTCATTGCCGCGTATCGCGATGCTGCGGGGCTTGTACAGCGACTCAAAGAAAAGCAGACAGAATCCGAAGGCTCTAGCCTGACGTCAACGAAAGAGCTCGAAGACTCGCTTGCTCTGGGTTCCGTAAATGTCCAAAGTCAGCATGACCATGATGTACGCCGGTTTGGGGAGACGTACATCCGCGGAGATGCCATGGCACGGGAGCAGATCAAAGACATTGTCATCACCCTACAAAAGGCGGTCATTTCGCATCTGCACGAGGTCTTCATGGAAGAGGTTGATCTGGACCTTCGCCTGCTGAAGGAGACGTCCGACAACAGCCGAACAAGTGCCATAGTTTGTCTGGGCCAGCTCTACCAGAGGATGTCCACAGCCGAGGCGCTCAGAGAACAGATCTTCAGACACCACTTGGATCATTCAGACAGCGGAAGTCCGAGCTCGGTGCCTCGCTCGGACAGCCAGAGAACATACTCATCTGGTGATGGGGCCCAATCGACGACTTCCTATACCACGCACAACTCTCGACCCAGGATTGGCCATCATCGAACCTCGCCTAGTGGACCTCCGCCGCACGCAGCATCCACGATGCCTTCCGAGACCTTGCAAGATAAAATGCGTGGAGCTGGGAGCTGTACTGCAGGGGGAAATGTGATGCAGGGCCAAGAGAGGAATGGCGAATCTAAAGGTCCTTCCGTTGGCGGCTGGATTTCGCAAAAGGTCGATCGGCCCAATGGCTTTGCCGTCGACAGGATTTGGCCATACATTGATGCAGCTGCGCCGCCTCCTATTGACCTCTCTGCCAAAGTGACAGGCCATAAGCCTCGACAAGAATCGGCTCACCATGCAGATGCGTCGGTGGAAACGCGGAACATCGGGCGAAGCCAGAATCTCCTATTCAATCTTGATCACAGTACGTTGGAGGTTGTCGATACATCTGCAGCTCAAGAATACCTTCCTCAGGTTTCATCGACATCGTTGCAGCTGCGTCACCCGCATGTGCAGCAGAACGGTTCGCAGACATCGTGCAGTCAAGCAAGAGATCCATGGCAGCAACTGCGGGGTCGAGGCGTGCCTGCCACGTCCACGTCCGTTTTCATGGCTGATTCTCACCCAAGTAGGGTACGTTTCGAAGGTGGAATGCCTTCGGATGCCATGAGCTGACGTCTGTAGGTGCCCACGACCTCCTCAATCGTAAGGCGCCTGTCAATTCGGTCTTCGCACTCGGGATCGTCTAGGGCCGGCGGATTTTCTCTGAGAAGAGCCTTGCCACCAGGTATCGTCGATGTCGTCCAGAAGAAATCGTCTGCGAAGGCGGGAGTGCAGCATGATCGCTCTCCCCCCCTTCGAGTGGTCAGGTCAGACCTTGAACTTCCAAGTGAATCGAATCTGGCAGGATTTTGCAAAGGTGCAGTACGACAACAACTTGGAAGTAGGAAAAAGGGCTTCGTGCTTCACCACAAACAGGGGGACAAGGGGGAGAAGTGGTTCTTTCGATGCACCAAATGCAGCTTTGCAGGACCCGCAACCATATCGACGGCATTGCCAAGCGGTGGACGTGGTGCCGTAAAGCGCGAAAAGACGTTTGACACAAAGATCAGAATATCTCCAGGAGGCATCAAGTACCGGTGGGCTTTTCTTGCCAAAAGCCACGTATCCAACAAATCCAGCAAGAGTGACCTGTCCAATGTCACTGATAAGTATGGCTGCTATCTCTGTCTTGCGGAAGGAGCCACCAAGGCTTGGCTCGATAACAAGCAACGGTCTTCATTGGGAACAAGCGGTGATGCGCGCAGAACGGATAGTATGGCTCCAATGTTCATAGGGTTGCATGCGTTCATCACGCATCTCGAGACACATCGGTTGCCAGACAGATTTCCGAGTTCGACTGTGGCAGGCGAACTGAATTGCATCGTCGGACGGGTCGCAAGTGAAAGCGAGGATTTCGATTTAAATCTGCCCCATCGGCAGAATGAGGACATCGCGGAGCTCTTGTAAGCCGGCCGTAACCTCTGAGCAGCTTTGATATAGAGAATTCCAGCATATCTGTTGAGCGGACATTGCTGGCCTCGGTCGTATTTCGCCGCCCGGTGTTCGTTATGGTCGTTCTGATTGATTGCTTTCTGCTCAGAGTGTATAGTTGCACTCCGTGCTTTGATGGCTGGACTGGGTCTTCTTGCTGTCACTCATCATACACCGCCGCCGCTTCTCCCTACCGCGACACTGAGATCTCTCCTCGTGAACTTCTGGTTCTCGCGGATCCAGTTCCGTCGTCCTTCTTCCTCGAGGAGGCGCGTCTGCTCTCGAGATCGGGCTTCGAGGCGTTTGAGCCAGGCATAGCTTGCTATAGGGACGACGAAGATTGAGACAAGGAGGAATTTCTTGCCACGGCTGCATCGCAACGCTGTTAGCTGTGTTCGCTTTTTGGAGCACTTTGGAATATGGGACGAACCTAAGAAACGGGGTCGGACGGTAGCCCGGTATTGAGCTTTGTGGTGGAGGTTGTGGATGGGACATTGCTTCGACGTTGGCGAACGTTTGCTGGGCGGGTGGACCAAATGAAGCTTCGACTACTCATACACAGCTCTTGCAGCTTGCTGGTGTTTATGCTCGCGTATAGTGGTATGTCCGTTAGATAATGCGGGTCGTTGCCAGAGCAGGACACTTGGAGCTCGAAGTAGAGGAATGGAATAGGCGCTGCTGAAAAGACGTGTCACAGCTGAGAGCACAACATGCGATAACGACAGCTGTTGCGCACACGACTGAACAGGCCAGGGAGGTGGGTAGCGACCTATTAGTGGTGCAGACCAAGGTTGATGATGTCTGCACTCATCGTCAAATTGCGGAGAATATTTTTGCGGGGAAAAGCAGAGTACCTGGTAGGGTTGAAGCATGGAAGGATGACATCTAAGTTTGATTCCTCACATTAATGACCGTAAGTGCGCCGACGATATGTACTCATGGTTGACAGCGGTTATGGACAGCATCCAGCAACTCGATACTGCCTTGTCAAGAATATACACGTTGCTTGGGCGTACCCAACTCCAGACATGTAGTCATAACCACCAAGGAGGCCGCCCATGGCCAGTCAACCAGAATAGCATTGTTCCATCCAAGACAGGAGCATATATCATACTCGTATTCTCTTCGTCTTCATGACCTCGCTGGCTATGCCCACGAACTCCCCATGAAGCCTCCCGTCCAGAGGACTTGTCGCTAAAAGATGCTGATTTCGAAAACTAACCTCCGATACTATTCTTGAGTGCCGCTGCTTTCTTCCTGTCCGTCTCCTGTGTCGCCATCACCCGCCTGAGATCCATCTGCACTGCCTTCCGCATCGCTGTTTTGATCTGGTACAGGCTCGCCGTTGGCCTTTGCTAATCGTTGCTCTTCCTTCAGAGCCCTTATCCTCTCGGTCTCCTTCCGCATGGCTTCGAGATTCCAGGCCCCCGGAGCATCCTCTTCATCAACATCATCATCGTCGTCGCTGTCCTCATCTTCCGAATCTTTCCAGTTGCCGCTTTCAAACATCGCTCTGCCAGTAGCTTCCTTAGCTTGTCTGGCCTGTTCTTCGGCAGCTTTCTTGTCGAGACGCTCTTTCTTCCATTTGGCGAATGTTTCAGGCGTTACTGGTGTTAATGTACCCGTCAATTTGTGGCGTTCAGATTCCAGGAAATCTTCTAGTGTGAGAGTGTTTAGAGGCGACTTGTCCATAAGCTCCTTCTCGGCACGCCGCTGCTCCTTGGTCTTTAGTACGAATCTATGATCAGATTAGTCAAGTGCGAATAGCAGGAGGTGGACATCTTCATACCCAGGCGGCAGACTGTGTCTGTACATGCACTTATCGCCACCATTGGGGCATGTCCAAAACCAACCATATTTTCCATCCTCAACAGCCTGGATGAAGAACTTGCAAACCTTGTCCGTCGTTGTCTTGGGATTGCCGTGTTTGCTGGATACAACCTGTCGCAGCTTCTCTTCATCCCAGTCGTCCATCTTGTCCTTTTCCTTTTCCTCTTTCTGCGTTTCTCGGGTGTCTTGGTAAAGGTCCCTTTTGGTCCCTTTCCTTTCCACTTCAAGATCATGGCTGAACTTGCATTTCCTCCCTTTGTCACAGTGCCCCTGCTTGAAGAATTGACAGAGAACAGTCTTGGGATCCACGCCGAAGGGCACTTTCTGAATTTGCAGGGGTTTGAACAATTCGGCGGCTTCCGCTTTGGCCTTTTCAGCTGCCTCCTTCTCCTTCAGCCGCTGTGCCTTCTCGGCTTCCTTTTTCTTCTCTTCGGGGCTCTTATTCGATTTTGCCTGTGCCTGCATCTGGGCTATCTGTCTCTGTGCCTGCCCACCCTTCTTGTTTTTCATGCCGAAGGTCTTGTCATCGACTGTGGCTCTCGCCTTCTTAGGCTCAGCCTGTTTTCCCTTGGGCGCCATGATGGGCGGACAAAATAAAATGTGCAAAAACTGCGGCGACTTTAACTGGCGAGCGACCTCTAGGGCTAGATTATGCGACTTGGTCTGAGGTGGCGGCCTCAAGCAAACGAGCTGATAACAAGAGGGATTGACGTGGACTTGTCGGGACTCGTAAATGAATGAAAGAGTGATTAAATCGTGGGGCGTGACTCTGTATTGAATTGGGCGTGCTTGAAGTCAGGATCTTTTCATGGTGCGTTTGAACGTCGGAGGTTTCGTGGGGAAAATCACCGACGTCACGCTGCGGGTGAAGAGCACGAGTTCAAATATACCGCAATCACCGTCTACTTGCCTCTCCCGTACAGGTTGACTCATCACGACTATTGCTGCCTACTCAGGCGGTTCATGTATCAAGATTGACACCTCGTATATGGCGTGAGGTTCAGAACCGCAGCTTCCTAGCCCATGACTGAGCATCTTCTTTGACCATGGTCTCTCCCGAACGCTCTTCCTCGAACCTGCCACCGTCGTTGGGCCCTGGTGCCCGGCCTGTGCAGCCTGGCGAACCTACCCGACCAGCCGGTATCGCTGAAATCATGAACTTTCGTTCCAGATATTCTGTTTCTGTCGAGCCCGAAACCTTGCATATAGGGTATGAGATCAACGGGATACCACGCACCTATCATCTGGCCTTCGAATCCATGCCGCTAGGCACATTCTCCAGGTGGGCGCTATTTGGTGGTCCATCGAGGACTAGAAACGCAGGGACTCAGGTCATCGACTTTATACGGGGCACCGAGAACATAATGGGAAGACCCTTGAATCAAAGAGAAGCGGAAGGCTACGCCTACCACACTTCCAAGAAAATGCTGTACAGTCTTACAGGAACCGCCGTCGGCGTCCTGGTTGGAGGCGTCATCGCTCAAAGGAACCGTGAGTGGATGAAATTTCCCTTTAGATCTGCTCAGCCTTTGGAAAGGTACCAGAACTTTCCCAATCGGTATCTGCCGATCTTGAGAGGACAAAGCGCGCTATTTGCCTGGCGAGCTACACGTGTGAGTGTCTGGACCGTTGTGGGCATCTTCATTGCTAGGCCCATATTCTCAGCAATAGGCAACACGGTGTTCTACACAGGGTTGAACAGCGACGACCGCACGAAAGAACTCATGGCCAGTCTGAAGGGTAATCTAGAACGGATAGCCTCGAATAGAGTCAGAGAAGTCGCTTCTGGAGCCCAACCCCGACCACAGTCTCAGAGGCAGCAAGACGGTCAATCTGTTGAGCCTGATACTCAGGCATATTATAGAGATACGCAGCAAGACGTTATGGACGACCATCAGAGCGACTACAGTGGAGACAACACTTTCACAGACGGCTCGACTGATACTGCCACGACCAGTGACGCCTCGATGCTGGCTCGAGAAGCACAACTACGGGCTGAGGTCTCCCGAGGTCTATCTGACGTCGAGAGAGAAGTCGGAAGAGTTGCACGATCGACGCAACAAAGCCGATCCCGGAGTGACCAGCCGAAAGATAGCTTTTCCGGCTCTACTTCAGATCCCTTCTTCGATGACGATGCATCACCCACTGCTGGCAACGATCCCGACATGGCGACGCGCGACACCTACAGTCCGCAACGAAGCGCCTGGGCGCGGATACGCAATCAAAGAAACCAGACCTACAGCGACGGTAGAGAAGGTGCGCCCGCTGAGAGATCTAGCAGTTCGGGTCGAGGCCTTTCAGACAACCCGTATGCCGCACGAAGAGGGGAGGAACAGGCTAGTGGCGACAGTTTTTCGTTCTCGAAGACGGATACAGACCGGCAGTTGGCAAAGGACCAGGCACAGAAGGAGTTCGATGCTATGCTTGACAAAGAGAGACGATTGAGTGGAAGTGACGAATACGACAGAGGTATGAGCGCTGTTGCATCTGGTGAAGAAAGCGCCGCAAGTTCGGGGATGAGTGCTTGGGAGTCAAGAAGGAGACGGTGATGAGCTGTTCTCACTGGTACTGGTTTGGAACATCAGGATCCAAAGCCAGGAAGCTCACGATGGGAAGATATAGGCCCCTACCACTCTCGCAAAATCAGGGCTGACGGTTATATAAGCCGCATTACCGAGCTGCCTTATTTGCAGCCGATCCAATGCATTGCAGTCGCATTACTCAGCAGCTTCACCGCATATCGAGCTCCATGGGTGGCTGGGAAGAGATGTCATGTATACTACAGGAGCGGTCAAAATGGATGCCATATTTCGGTTTACAAAATGTACTGTATTGAGGAAAAACTAAGTGGCGGCCTCACCTCGCTTTTACGTCTTATACTGTAGGGAAAATCGGAGAGACTTTCGGGGTTTACTTTAGCAACCAGGGCTCGAAACAAAGACCTATACAGCCTCTTATGTGATAAGCTACACGCAATGTTGAAAGCAGTCAATGACGGAAAGAATCTTGCGTAGAAATCTTTCGCATTCAGTAGAGTATCTCGGTGTCCCTATCTACCCAAGTAGCAGTCCCAGCAGAAACCCCCGAGGCCACAAGCACACTCCGTGCTTTTCTGAGAACTCTGTTTCGTGCTCGTAACAACGTGACAACGGCGCATGAAACGCAAATCTAGAGTGTGATAACACGAGGACGCTTCGGATCAGGAATTTCGAGGGCAGTGGCGTAGTATTGGTCGACCGGCATTCTGTGCTTTTCATGGATTCGTTCATAGAGTCGAATACCTGAGTATGTATTGCCAGTGTTCATCGGTTCAGGTGGTCCGTGAATGAGTCAATGGTCGCAGCGCCAGGAAATTATGCGACCGCCTTGCCCTTGCCCTTGGCATCACCTTCAGCCTCTTCCTTGTCTTCTTCCAGGTCGGGCATGTCATCGTCATCCTCTTCCTCATCATCACCACCAGCGTCCTCGCCTCCACCAAGGCCTTCCATGCCTGGCATGTCGCCGCCACCGCCGCCGAGTTTTGAGAAGTCAATGCCTCCGAAGCCGCCGTCTTCGCCGAGCCCGCCGCCGCCGCCGCCGAATTGGTTCATGTAATCGTCCTCGGGCGCCTCGTTCTGTTCGTCCTCATCGACCCACTAGATACAACTGTCAGTTTCTTGAACGCAATTGTCATCTGGATAGACATACCTTGTCAAAGTCGGTGCGCAGGTAGTGGACCTTGGCCGGGTTCTTGAGCAGTCGTGGCCAGTATTCCTCCTTGAGTTCCTTCTTTCTCAGCACCAAGTGGATGTTGGCTGGGGTGTGATGCGTCTTTGAATTCTCCACGTCGATCTCGTCGTAGAATTCCATGTCGAGATGATACGTTGTCTTCTTGCTGTCTGACGTACCGGTGAAGGTCAGACCGGTAGGCTTGAGATCAAGCTTAAGACTTTTGGGTGGGACATCGACAACGCCGATGGTGAGGTAGACATAGTTCTTCTCAGGGTCGCTTGTGGAAGAGCGCTGAGCCCATAGAACTAAAGGACACGAGAGTTAGTCAATTGGTCTGGGTGGTGAGAGCTCTGCGATTGTTGATAGAGGGAATCATCGGACAATCGCTCAGGTAGCATTGGAGTAAGAGACTCACCTTCGGGAGTGACTGAAGAAGACATATTCAGGTTCAGGTCTGCGGTATGGAGGGGTCGTTGGAACTTTGGATCAGGAAGAAGTGAGGGTTGTTCAGCGAAAGGAGCAGGACTGAAATGTAGAAATAGAACAATTGAGCAGAAAGTGACTTTGCTTGCTTGTCTGCTTGTTCACCGTTTGTGTGCTGTGTGTGGGCTGGCTATTATTTAAGAGACGAGGCTGTTCGAAATGCGACGAATGGCGTCGAAACCAAAAACTGCCCCCCAAACTTGCCATGCCTATCCCGCACTGCAACTCAACGCTGCACGAGTCAAAAAGCTCAGCCCTTCAGCTTTTCAGCCCAGGCAAATCCCCACCTAAATTGGTCATCATCCGCCTGTCGGTGTTTAGATTAGGCTTCTCCAACTACTGCCCACTGAGCATAGTTGTTTGCCGCAGTCAATCCACGCCTATCAGCCCTACAATCTACTGACGATACCACCATTGACGTACCTGTCACGGTCTACTAGGCACATACATATCTTCACTGCGCCGACACGTCCAATCCTACCGCCAACGGCGTTTGCCAGGTGTGATTGCTACCAACATGGCTTGAAGAGTCCACGGCCAGAGAGTCTGCAGACAGTGCCAGACAAGATACACAACCTAACCTGAAGAAGTGCGTCGCAACGCATAGGCAGAATGCAGTCATTCAAGGCCGTCTTCTTCAAGCCCGACCCTCAGGAACAGGTGAGCCTCCTCAATCTCCTTATGGCAACAGCCTGACTCTTCCGCAGAAACGCAAGTGCGATAGCATTATCCGCAAGAATGTTCGCGCATTGGATCGCGATATTACCAACCTCAGAGTCACCGAGCAGAAAACAAGGAGTCTAATACAACAGTCGGCGAAGCGGGCGGAGAAGAACCCATCACAGGCAAAACAAGGCACGGCGGAAGCACGACTATTCGCACGAGAGTTGATCAGAGTACGGAAACAGGCGGCAAGATTACATACGAGCAAAGCCCAGCTGCAGAGCGTGCAAATGCAAGTCAATGAAGCTTTCTCTGTACGGAAGATCCAAGGCAGTCTGAAGGCCAGTACCGGCATTATGAAGGACGTCAACACACTGATCCGGCTGCCGGAGTTGACGGGCACGATGCAAGAACTGAGCCAGGAACTTATGAAGGCAGGCATCATCGAAGAGATGGTCGGTGATTCGCTACCGAATGATGAGCTCCTGGAAGGAGAGGACGAAGAAGCAGAGACCGAGGTCGACAAAGTGCTCGGTGAGGTATTGAAGGGCAGACTGGGCACACCGGAGCAACAGATCCCCCAAGCTCCGGTCGAAGAAGAGGTCGAGGAGGAGGAAGACAGAGAAGCGGAACTGGAGCAAATGCGAGGGAGGCTAGAGGCTTTGAAGAGTTGAAGCACTTTGCCTGCCTGGTGGTACCTTGCTGTTTCAGGCATTTCACAATTGGTATAAGACATGGACGGCGTCGGATTGAATACGATATCTATGTTACAGACATTCGCCTGGATACCAGTAGTATATGTGGAACAGACGCTTCAATTGCTGCATCGAAGCGCTGGGGGAGGACGTCCCTTCGTCCCCCTTTCCCTCATTCATATGAGGCACGTGACGTTTTTGATAGGACTGAAAACGGACTAGTTCCACAGTGAAGGGCTGGGCTGGCTGCTGCCTTCTGCCCCCTTGCTTGTTGCTTGCTGCTTGCTGCTTGCGCCTCTTTCTTCATCTTCAACCCTCCGCTGTCACTTCCTCCATTCTTCACTTCAATCTCATCACTCACAACCATAATTTTTGCGCGCGTCTTCATCGCCATCTCTTCTCTACAAATTCGTTCTTCTTGATTTCGTCGACTGCAAAATTTCGACTCTTTCCGATAAGTTCAACCGCTCTCTTCAACCTCTCTTGACTCGCGCGACTGCTTCTGCATCTCATACACACCTTTGCACTCTCACCTTCGAACCGTCACTTTACCACATTCAAGATGTCTGGCCGGCTAGATCAATCTCTCGATTCCATCATCGATAGCCAGAAGAAGGCGAAGCGCGAAACCCGCCAACGCAAGGTCAGAAAGCCAACTGGTACAGCTGCTCCCGTTGGTGGTGTCAAGAAGACATCAAGGCCAGTCAAGTCAGCAATCAAGCCCACCGCAGGCGCCTTGACTCAAGCCAAATCAAGCAAGATTGTCGTCAGTGGACTGGTATGTTTGAGATCATCTTACCTTCCAAGGAACACGTAGCTAATTATTAACAGCCATTCGACGTCAACGAAGCCCAGATCAAGGTATGTTGATGAAGAGGCTTTCGACCTTGGATTTCCATCGCCGCTCGTCGTCACCTGCTATCTCTTCGCTCCTATCTCGACCCTTTCGCTAGACACTCGAGGAAGATGGAGTTGAATGAGAAGAGCACGAAGTGAAGATGTCGGGACCGGAAAGATCATATCCAAGACAAATGATGCCATGCTGAAAATGCTGGCTTTGTCTGAGGCAGGCAACATCCATCCCGCAAACCGTTGGCAAAACTTCTTAGCCATGTACTGCGGTCGAAAGATGTATAGCTTACGATCTGCAATGTCACGCAGCCGGCTAGCCACCGTGCTGTGACCTGACGCAGATCTGCCTCGAGGATGATTGACATGCTGAAAATGCTGCCGAGTTCCTCTATAATCCCCCGTTGGAGCATCAGCGAGTTCGTACCACACTTTGTTTCAGCGACAGCAGCGCAGCTTCTACCTGTTCAGCTTGGTCAGCAATCAGTCCGGGAGTTCTGGAGCCATGTTCGAAGGACCAGCAGCTGGCTGGCGCCATACCCTCACAAACTCAGTCACAAAAAGCCTACAAAGCCGTTGGACAGGTGCTTATGTCCAGAACGATCGTCGCCAGTTGGCCTCAATACGATCGTAACAACAAAGCACTCCACCAGCCGCAACCCTGTTGTGGCAATTGCTCTACGCCTGCTTCCATTCTCACCCTTTCTATCCTTGCAAGCTCCTCGCCGCTTCACCCAGGACAATGTCAACAACACTACTGGAACACGTTTCAATCACCTCGACTCGGGTTGAACTGGCCGGACTGTGACGTATCAATCTGCTGCTGCTTACGACTGTTTCGCGCTCGCTGATGCTCCATACGAGGATTTGTACCTGGACCATGTTCTACTGGAAACATCTCTTACCTACTTCACCTGAGACGGCGCCCGCGAGCTGCTATTGCTATTTACCTTTCGACCTTTTTACTGATCACTCTGGGACGAATAGGAATACTTCACCAAATCTGTTGGCAAGGTCAAGAAAGTCTCTCTGCAATACAATCAGACTGGTCAGAGCCGTGGAATCGCCGACATCGTCTTCCTCCAGCCAGACTCCGCGGCCAAAGCAGCAAAAGATCTCAATGGAATGCTCGTTGACAAGCGACCAATGAAGGCAAGCAGCACCTCTTTTACGCATCCTGGACAATACCTGACTCGGATTAGATCGAAGTGGTTGTGGATGCAAGCAGGATTCCTGAACCAAAACAAGCCAAATCTCTTGCGGATCGTGTTGCGTACGCAAACCCAAAACGCTCGACCAAGTCAGAACCACTGACCAAAACCAGCGCCAATCCAAAAGCTCAACCAAAGTCAGCCACCACGGTCAAGAAAGCCGATGCGAAGAACGGCGCCAAAGGACCGGTTGCTGGCGGCCGCAACCGCAAGCGACAAGGTCGCAACCCTCGACCTAAGGCAAAGACCGCTGAAGAGCTCGATGCCGAGATGACCGACTACTGGGGAGGCAACAACCCTGCCGCAGGTGCAGCTCCCGCCGAGGCCACCGCCACCAATGGTGCAGCTGCTCCCGCAGCCACCGCAGGCGACGACATGGTGGACGAAATTTCAGTGAGCGATGTCGAATTCATCTGCTAATCGTGTTTGGACTGACACCCGTATCAGTGAACACCCATGGTCGAAGACAGTATCAGCCAGGTTATTCATACTTACCACAGTTCCCAACCATAACACCTACGCTTTTACGTGCTGTGTCGAAACCACTGCACCTGGACACGAACTCCGATCGACCCGTATGCTTTCATTCAATCAGACTGTTTTGCTAGTTTTGGGCCGAGGATGGATTGCAGGGCCAATGAAACTGGGAAGGAACGACAAATTGAATTGGGCTTGATTGCATTGCTATTTCTTAGTTGATACAGTATTCCATCAGTGAGCATGGGAACAGGGCGGTCATTGAACTTAGGCGAGATAACTCAGCAAGAATAGTTGCATTGTAATATCAAAACATTGCGAAACAAAGTTCTTCAATGGTCTTAGACTTCATTTCCAACGTGATACTCATTCCAGTATTCATCAATACATGAGTGTTGCTCGTTCATGTGTTCGTAAAGTCCTAACATAAAACAACTTTTCTTCTTTTTTTCTCGCTCCCCATGAATGCAATAGAAAACAACCACGAGGCGCTCAACAGACACCAGCATGGGATCGGAAGTGTTCGTCTTTGTGATTTGCGAACACAGTCTTTTGCAGTCTTTCCTTCTCTCTTGAATGTACGCAACACAAAACATAGAGAAGCTCACTTTTCATGAGGGCATCACCTTCAGTCCTGCCCAGCATTCTTTTTCTTTCATATCCACATCCATCTCCATATCCATACAACCGCTGACCAAGTCGTGCCCATCTCATAGATGGTTCTCCAACGTAGATACCAGTATTGCCTCTGAGTCCGCCGACCGAAACAATTGTGAATGTCGAACAGCACCCGAACGAACAGGTATTCTCTTCGAGAGAAGGCGTCGATGTCTGATTGAATGCTTGAGGAAACCTTCTTCAAATCCACTCGAAGCCGTCATCGTTGTCACTGTCCGACGAAGAGTCACCATCAACGTCGGCCGCATTTCCTCGTGTGAGTTCTTCAATGCCGGTGCCAATCGAGGCGCTGCTCGCGGTAGGATAACTGTCTGGGGTTTCTCCTTGACCATGGCTTCCATCGAGCCAAGGGGTTGGACCGGACAACCTCACTCCACCAGCCTCGTCAATGACCGTGTCGGCATCGCTCTCTTCAGCGCCATCGTCAAAGTCGCTGAACTCCATATCCGGACCATCATTCTCGTCGCACATGTCATCATCACTGATCACGCCAGATGCCATGCTCCTCGAATCGTCTAGCATGACGGTCTCAGTTGCAGCGGACTCGCCTACACTGATTGTCGAAAGACTCTTGACTGTTTGGGTGCCGTCCGTAGCTAGTCTACTCGCTTTGCCGACCGTGCTGACTGCTTGACTGGCAACATCCTCGAAAGCTTCATCGCCCTCGGAACCTGGTGCACGTAGCTTTCCAGGTCCAAATGTGTCTGCTTCATTTGTGTCCGACGGGACTTCGGCAAATACACCCCCAGAACCGTCGTCGTTGCCGTTGCACCACAGAGGTAGAAAACGAACCTCATTTGCGTTGATGCACGTCAAGTTGTCATACAGGTTAGTCGGAAGGAAAACAGTGTCGTGGAACATATGCGATGGATACAGAAAGTCGGTGCATAGGTCGGCAACTTCTTTGCTGATTTCGAGAAGTAGCTTGTGCGGGTCGATTGGGTACTTTGCATACATATCGGACTTCCAGCTGGCAGCTTCTGGTGAGGGAGGCGGAGCTTCTTGAACAGGCATCGTGTAGCTGATATGCTCTGGGGCAGGGAGTGGGATTTGTGCTACCTTGGTATTGGGAAGCGGCCATTCTTCGACCTTGCCGGACCAGGGATTGAGCACGGCATTTGATGAGGCGGGCTCGCTCGCTGATGCATTTGACGATGCCACGGACTCTTCACGAGCATCGAGCACATCAGCGCTGCTTGCCCACGACTCTACCACAGAGTTGTCGCCAGAGTTCACTAGGCGCTCTTGCTCTTCCGAGTTTTCGTCTGTGACAGTGTCTGGTCCTAGCCGCGAAAAGGCGGCTTGGAAATGCTCTTTGACTTGGTGCACAATGCCACTTGGTTCTCTCTTCGGTCTCAAGGCTAGTGTAGGCGCGTTTTGGGGCCCAGTAAAGTCACTGCCAGGAGGTCGACGCCATTGCTTGTTCAGCCAGGGTTGGTCCTGTGTATTCTCCGTTTCGAAAAGAAGGTCGCTTGGAGCAATGAAGGATGAAGTGGCTCCAGCGGCCTGATCCGCTTCCGATGTCTTTCGCCGTTTTGAAGGTGAACCATCCCGGTCAGAAGTTTCGAGGTCGCGAGAACCATGCTTTGGACTTTCGATAGCCAAGGCCTGCAAGGGTAAAGACGAATCTAGGTCGTCCATCTGCGTGTGTGCAAAGGTGACACTTTGGTCAGCACGACCTTTTCCCTTTGGACTTATCCCCTCAATATTTCCGGAGAAGAGCTGATTTACGGCAGCAATCCTGTTATCAAGTGCCATGCGACTGACACTCACATACCCGTTGGACAGGCCTTCAAGCCCAAGGGCGCTGAGAGCTTCACTGAATTTAGGACCACCTGGTAGCACGGTTTCGTCCTCATTACCGTAGCCTTGATTCCTCGGGGATTGCTCGAACTTGGTCTGTTCCAGGACACGCCAAAATTGTTGAGTAAACAATTTCGCAGATGGATTGAGGCTCTCGTATACTGATGCGTAGTCCTCGTCAGGAGCCAAACGGAAAGTAGGATTGCAGGACGGGTATTTTTCTAGCTCGCCAAATTTCAAGTTTCCGCAACATAAGACATGACAGATTCGGTATCGGACATAGTCGATGACCAAGCTAATGGCCGAATTTACGATCTCGTTCTCATCTGAGTCCTCGAACACAATGCGGGTGAGAAATTCGTACTCGGCACTTCTGCATAGCCATGACATATCTCGGAGGCGAGCACCAACCTCGTCCCGAAATCGGCTGACGAAGGCCAAAGCAGCATAACTGATTCGATCCAACTCGTCATCGTCGAGCAGTGCGAACTCTCGTCCATGGATGCTTTGAGTCGATCCAGGTATGGATTGACCAGAAGCATAAAGTAGAGCTCTTTCTCCCACAAGTAGCGAGAATGCATCTCGAACAAGATCTGGAGACTTGATACCCATTCCTATGCGGTAGGCTACCTCGGGGTTGTTTTGGATGAAGTTGATGTTGTTACCGCTGTGGATCCAAGTTGTAATCCAGCCAGAAAGGCGCTCGTGTTCAGCGCAACCAAAATGTTTAGCAACTGCGAAGTATGTCCAGACCTTTGGGGCCGAGTCGAGTTTGGGATCATTGCCCACAATGGCATTGAGTAGTCGCTCGATTGCAGAGCAATGTCGCAGCGTGGAGTATTCGGCTCCGATAGCCCGTGGCTGCACATAGGTCTCTGACGGTGGGGATTTTTCTGTCGGATTGTTTGCGGGATTGTCTTCAGCTGTATTACGTGTCGAGCTGTTCTGACCTCTTTCATTCGACGACTCGGCTTTGGCAGTCGGAGGTGCAATTGGAGGTGGGAGGATTCCAAAATCGTCATGCCCGAGCACAGTAAATGGCGACAGACCGTGCCTCTCGAGCATCAAATGCCAAGTAAGAACACCTTTGGTGCAGGTCAAAAACGTGACAAGCTCTGCAGCTTCCTCATCTTCGGTCGGTATACGCAGATCGATGTAGTACTTGAATCTCCCGCCATGTCGTGCTTCTGCTTGTTCCAACACACCCAGCTTTCTCAATTTCTTCTCGGAGCGCACGGATTTTGGTCCCAAGAGATCGTCGTGAGTAAACCTAGAGGCTTCACCCATGAGCTTCAGTGCGGAGGACTGGACAACGTAAACTTGATTGAAATGGTTGTTAATGTAGCGTGACTCGTGGTCGTCTTTCTTGGCCAGTTCTGGGGCCGGGCCAATGTAAATGGCAGTGTCGCCCTTCGGGTCGTCCAGCGTGGTGAACTCGTTGTTCAGGCTCAAACATAGACCGAGTGATGGTTCGAAGGTGGTAGGGGATATGGGCGTAGGTTGGCTGGGTCTTCTTGACTGTTCCATGGCTTGTTCCCTCAACGACAGTCTGATGGCTTCTTCGACATCATTGTCTTCGTGTTGTTGACGATTACTGGGCCCCGGAGGGGTTGAGGACTCTGAGGCATTATCATCATTGGTCTCCCTGTAAGAGCCAAAATTGGCAGAGGCGCTTGATTGGACTCTTCCGGGCAATGTTGGTGAGTTGGGCGCCATGATGGTAGTGTCGAAGTCAGTAAAGCATGTCTTGGTGTCGTTTGCAACCGGACAAGAGGAAGGATGTGCAGCAGCAGCAGAGAGAAAAGGTTGGATTGATAGTATCCGTTTCGGTGGGTAGAAAAGTTGTTTGTTTGTTTTTTTCTCAAGGAGGCCGCTGTTCAGTCGTATTTGTCGTTTACCGTTCTCTCAATGGAGAAACTCAGGTATCCAACATGAGGCTGAAGAGGTTAGAGGGAGGTTGCAAGACCAGTAGGCGGCAGGATTGGGGCACAGTAGTTATTCCCCTCAGGCACAGTTGAGTCTCACTAGCAAGCAAGGATCATTGATAACACAATTAGGTTGAGCAACAGAAATGAAGAGGTAAGGTGAGGTGAGGTAAGGTGAGGTGAAGTAGGAGTCAGGCTCGACATAAAGCGGGACAAGGCAACAGTCCAAACCAGGCAGACATGGGTGTGGTAGATGACTGTAAGTTGGATATCTGATTGGGGCTCTGGGAGGAGGGGAAATGGGATCCAGGGGCCTTTCAGACGCACGACCAATTACTGTAGTTAATGCACATCCATGTCTTTGGCCCTCTTGTGCCTGTTGCCTCTGTGTACAGCCCCAAATGCGACGCAGCGAAGAAATGGTATGGTTCTGCCCGTGTGACTGAGTGTGCAGTCAGAAGTATCTGTTCCTCATAAGGTACCTACCTAGCTCATAGGTTTTGGGCCTCACTAGGCTGTGACATTTTGATGGAACTGTTAACATTACCCAAGCATGAGTCTTGAAAAGTCTCAAGCCATGGACTGTCGCAGACGCATTTCAGACAAGACCATGAGATTGAGTATCCAGAACCATCGTTCTTGTTGTCGTGTTCCATCGGAAGACAATGTCTGATTTGCAACAGACAGGAACAACGTGAAGCAAGGACTAATTTGCTTGTAAAGGGTTCTTATTTATTTATTCAAGCCACTGAAGCCAGACCCGCCCAAAGCTTCTTTGAGCATTGACGTAGCCTAGGGCTACTTGTGCCACAACATAAGGATTGATAGACTTAAAGCACATTGCGAATGTACTGCCGCATATTTCGAGATCATCAGCAGAGATTTGATCCATGATATTTGTATCGGTGACTCCCACAACACGCTGCAGTAAACCGTGACCTTCCATAACGCACCAGAGAAAGACAAGATCCCACCCCAACGCCTCAACTCTACCCATTCTCAGCCCACACACTTGCCCCAAGCAGGCAGACCACATCCAAAGCCAACGAACAGATATATCAAGAAGATGACCACGACCGTCAACAGTACCATCACCCTGACATTCTTCCACCACATCTGTCGTCTCAGACCGCGGCTGCGTACTCTGAAATCCCTCGCGCTGCCTCCCAAACGATCAGTCTTGTCCACCAGCAAATCAATCCTCTCCCCTCTCTCCAGCACTCTTTCGATGTTCTCCGTCATAATGTCCTTCACACTGTCAATCTCTTTGCGCGCATTCGTCAGGGCATCGCTCGGTGGTGCTGTGTTGTATTGTTGTAGCATCGCCTTTAATGTCGTATTGAACGCTGCTGTTCCATAGGCCGGTAGCGCCTGGAAGTCTGTAGATTCAGGCTTGTACTGGGCCAAAAACTTCTTCTTCAATTCGAGGAGGAATGCAAACGGTATGCGTCTGCCCATTTCGGTCTGCGCAACCACAAGATAAGTAAGCGCCGCATGGCTCGACAACTGCTCGTCTGGGCTGTTGCTAGTAGAAGACGGCGAATCGGCGATATAGTGTACAAAGAGGCGGTCGTGCGTGTAGGTCAGTTTGGCAGGGGTGGAATGAGAGATCTTGGGAAGAATGACCGAGGCGAGAGACGAGGCGGACGACGAAGAGGTGCCCGGGGATGTGTGTTCGGTCAAGATGGTGTCTCCATGCGCGATGCAGGCACTGGGGTTGATCAGTCAGTGTTCGTCAAAGGCTGCAGACTTCTGGGGACGTACTAGAGGAGCTGGTTTGACTGCCCTGACCCGGACGCCATGTTGTCCAGCCTGTGAGATCAAAGTATCTGATTTGCGTTGTCTGGGTAGCAAGATACACTCTGCTATTGTGACGGAGGACCAGATATGCTGTAGAGTAAAGCGACTGAATGTACGAAATTTTAGAGGATTCCGCCTCTTTCTGCAACTTGTGTCGGCGTCGATGTTGAGATATCACCCGTCCGCGCCATCTCTGTTTCGGTTGCGTCACACCTCGAAAAGGCTGGTCACATGACGAGATTGCAAGACCGAACGAGCCGAGCACGAGACAGTATTACAGCTGTGCGAAATACATACTCTTCATGAACTAGTGTCTTCAACAGGACTGTGGTAAAGAACGCCGTCAATGGTGATACAGAACTCCAGAATGCCGAAAAAACATCAACGCTATCAAGCATCCAACCTGCTGTGCTGCCCAATGCTAACGCTCCACCAAACCACAGTAATCTTCCTGTAAAATACTATTGTACAATGCTGCTGAAACACGCATGCTGAAGGGTCAATACACCTTTCAACGCGAAGACGATCTTCCAGCCGGTTCTGAGGACTCTTCTACTCCGGCACCTTGTCCATGGGATTTTCCTTGAACATCTTCTTCGCCTGAACCTTTCGCTCCTTCAGGGTCGACATTCTCTTTATCCCTGCCTGGCCGCAAGGGAGAAGGTGCAGGTGTCTCGTTCTCCTTGGTTCTTCTTTGCCTGTTTATTGGTCTGGACGCCTTTTCGGGGCTCCTACTTCTGGCGTCTTCGTGTCGCATGTGATCTCGCATTTCGTGGATTACGTCTCGGAAGCCCTCCTCGAGACTGTTCATCCGCGCCATCATGATCTTAGCAAACCTCTCCTGCTCCTCGTTCTGAGCTCTCGAATGCCGAGATTCATTCAAGCCTCTCTGCATTTGAGCAGCAAAGGACGCCGGAAGAGCACCAACATATCCACCACCTAGCGCGCGATTGTCGCCGATGTCTGACATCAAGTCCATCTCGAGCGATGGCCTCCGTCGAGGATGGCCCGACCGGCTTTCGACTGCGAGTAGGCCGGCCAAGTTGGGCGCAGAACGGAACGCTGGGTCGTCTTTGCCGGGTAGAACAGGCCGCATACGCGCAGGCCCCGGTGTTGCACGTTTCGAAGTTCGATGACCAGCAGCATTGGAGACAGGCTTTGAGTTGGGCGTCCGAGCTCCCGAGCCTGGCCTGGAAACATGATGCTGTTCCAGTGCACCTGTCGTTTCCGCCGCCGAGGATGACTGGTCCGTGCTAGCATCCATCATCGGCTTGAAAATCATGGTCGCTGATGAAACGTTTCGAGAATGCTGTCGAGGTCGATGCTTCGGAGATCCAACCGAAGGCGTATTCCTTCCAGACGCGAGTTCATCGCGCTTGGTCCGCAGCAGCGATCCTGGGGCTCCTGCTGATCTTGGTGTGGAGGTGCCAGCCAAAGGCCTATTGAGGAAATATTCCTGAGACATTAAGTCACCAGCAGGAGCTTGCTCTGACTCAGGAGAACGATGATCAAACGTGGTTGTTTCCTCCTCGTCCTCTTCGTCGTTGGTATGCAACTCATCATCTCCATCTGCTTCCGCATCGGTAGTCTGAGAAGGTTGCTCGACTGCGGAGGGCGTTGTATTATCGTGACCAACGTTTGCATCCTTGGCCGAGTTGAGCTCTGCGTTGATTGTGAACTCTTCAGGGTCGGATAGCGCCGACATGGTGCGTCGAGAAAATGTTCGGACGCGACGAGAAGGGGGAAGTAATCTGTGGCTGGTGGCTCGGGCCTCCAATGAGTCCACGACCACTCTGTCTTGCTCCTGCGGTGGATTTCCAATATCGTCGCCAATCTCCTTCATCCAAGTCTTGACGACATTGCTCGTCTTGTGACGATAGTCTCGCCCCTGTCTGGCACCGCGAATTGTGCTGTCGAAAGGGCGTCTAAAAACTTCTTCCAATGCTCTATCTTGCCGGAAAGTGGCGATCGAGGGTGCTCTGTTGAGTCGACTAAACTTTGTGCTTATTGCTCTCCTCGGGGCCCGATGTTCCACGAGATCAATACTGTCGTACGCGGCCGACTGCAGTACGGACTTCTCGTAGACAAATATCGAGAAAAGCAATGGGAAATGGGTTATTTTGATCATTGTCCGGTTGATTTTCACGTACTGGCGGAATGGTAGACAGTATCTCAGCGGCACCAGAACCCATTGAAGAATATTCGTTGGAGCCACGTATGAGAATAATGCGTCAGACTTGACGTGAGATATCGTGTTGACGGCAAAGAGGAATTGATGCTCCTCATTGGCATTTCGGACGATGGCGGTGAAAGAGTTTGTCAGTACAGTGACCAAGATTGTCACAACTAGGAAATGACAGATGAACAAGAACAACGTCAAAATAGTCTTTCCAAGGATGTTGTAACCAGGCCACCTATCCCAAGCTGCCGGAGTAAACCCCATGACCATCTGCAGAAGCGCGTAGGCCACCGAGCTGGGGGTGTCGATTCCTTCGTTACCGAAAGACAGTGTAAGGGCAACAAAGAAGCCACTGCAGCTGATGACGATGAGCAGCGACACTGCAACAAGATCGGTGGCCATGTAACGAAATCCAATAAGCAGGGGCGAGAAATAGCGATAGTGGTCCAGAACTGAGAATAGGCGAGGGAACAGTAGAACGGCATCCGCTGCGAGAACATCGTAAGCCATGTTGGCCACTGTGTGCTTCTTGACATCAGGCATGACGATCCCATATATCCTCAGAGCCAAGTGGATGAACAAGATGAGCAGAATGCCAAGATCGAAAATGTTCCAGAAACTGGCCAGATATAGACTGAATCCTTGCTCGTTGAATCCCACAATCTCATCCAGCATATACCCGGCTGTCCAGAACCAGAAAAAGACCTCGAGCGGCGTGATCTCCAATGAGCGCTCTACCAGAACCGCAACAAAGAGACCCAGGAGTACGGCAAAGGACATTGTAGAGAGAATGTTTCTGTATCGAGGCACTCTCAGGCGGGACAATTTGAAGAGGGAAGCATCGCGAGGGTTGTACAGCGTCACAGCGCGACGCGGAGCCGCCAAGGCATGGCTTGGAGTAGTTGCAGCTTTGGTAGGCGGTCCCATATCGTTTGTACCGTAGCTTTTGATCTCTTTTGGAACAGCCAATTTTCGGTGCAAATTGTCGGCTGCAGAGTGAAAGACGATAGTGCCGGCCCAGATGGATTCCAGTTGCTGGACGACCGTAGGATGTGAGAGAAACTGTTTAGCCTGTGCACGAATTGCAATCTCGAAACACGATATCCTCGCTGGTCGCTGTATTTGTTTTCTTGACGCAATCGTACCACGCCGTCCTTCATTGTCCACTGGCAGGCTGTCGAGGTGGCCTTGGAGAGGGTCAAAGTCATACGATAAAGCATCGATCAATCCCCTGGTTGAATAGTCCTTGAGTAACCTGATGGCAAGTAATTCGCAGACCATTCCGCGAGTCTTGTTAGTCCCGCTGTTCCCTGAATAGATTGCAGCCTCCTTGCCGTATTGAAGACAATTGGCCATAAGCGCATATTGTGTAGCCGCATTCAAATGGTCGTTGCGAATCTCTTGCTCGACGGGCTTTAGCAGGAATTGTGTGACCTGTGGCGATCGGAGCTGTTCCCAGGAGAGGACGGTGTCACAGCGAGAAGTGACAAGTGTTCGGACAGCGTGAGTGAGCGCAAATACAGGTATGGCATCAAGATGAGTAGCTGAGAAGATGGGAAGAAGTGGGGTGGTGTCATCAGGCCCATCTTCATCCAGGTTGTCATCGTCCCCTTCAAAAGCCTCTTGGCCTCCACCTTCCTCCTCTTCATTCTCTGAGCCTTCCTCCTCCTCTTCTAGGAACATGCCATCTTGTTCGAACTCGGAGGATTCTTGTTGTTGAGGATGCATTCTGGTACGTGAAACTTCAGGCGATCTCGTTGTTGGAGCGTAGGAAGACGAGAATGGCGAACGGTCGCGTGGCCGTCGAGTCCGGGCAGGACCCAGGACTGAGGTAAGCATGTTTCAACAGGCAGAATGAGTTGCCATGAAGAATGCAGAAAACGCGAAAGGCAATTGAGCGTTCGCAACACGGTAAACAACACGTAGATTTATATTGAGGATGACTGGCAATCCGTTTCAATGCTGCAAAACGATACGCAGGACAGAAGATGGCGACAAAATGCACTGAACGCAAGACAAAACAGGGGAGCCAAGAAGGAAATTGAGTCGGTGAGCTGTTGATGGGAAAGATAAACAAGTGAAGCGGGATGAGCAGGAGAGTTTCTGGCAGCGCAGCCGGGGCTCTTTGGCGCACCCCACCTAAAAGCCTCTCCAGGCGCCCATCGGCGCCATCGCAGCTTTTTATCCAGCTATTGCATGCATGTGCGGAATGCGGAGAGTTCAGTTTGCGGTAAAGCATATCAGCAGGTCATGGGAATAGTGAGATGGTGACATCAAGGCTGGGCGTACTGTGTTATATTGTCTGATAAGAAATCCGTGCTTGAATCGTAGAGATGGAGGTTCAACTGATGCTTGTGATTGGAAGCCTGGAATGTTTCCCACAGCGCTTATGTACGCAGCCGCAGCGTCTTGCAGGAGCGTGGGGAAGACATGGGATTCTTGTTGGATGCCATTCTCACGCTTGGGAGATCGGGTATGTTGATGGTGGAAGACGACAGCACGACATTGGCATCTCATCTTCTTGATGTTGACCTTAACTTCGAACCTATCTGTCGACGGACACTGCTACGAATACCTGGTATCTCATTTTGGAAACAACAACATCATGCCTAATTGCGATAAGGCCCTAATGGCGAGAGATGATCTCAAGTTGGGCTTAGTGGCTTCGTCATTTAGTCTCAAACTAAGGATGATTTAGCGAGCGACTAACCAGGTAGGCGGGAGTGGATCACTCGGTCGATCCGTTGCTGTCATTGGATCGTGTATCCCTGTTTTCTTGGCATAAAAAAGTTCTGAGCATCAAAAGTCTTTGTTCAAATACTGAGTCGTCAAATCTTACCTCGTCAACTTTTTGCTCCTGTTTCATTTGAGCAGTCACCAGGAGGTGCCGGACCTCTTATTGAGCATCAAATGTACTTGTGATCTTTCTCTGCTGTCTGCACGACAGCTTCTACCCTCAATCATGCCTCCGTCAGCACCCCTGAACGGCGACGGACGACAGTTTGTCAACAGCAGTGCCTTGCCTCAAAGTCCGACAATGGCTTCCTCTGTTGGCTTAAGCCATGACGAACGGCCTCTGTCTTCTGGCGGCCTAATTGATGGTGACCGGACTCAGTCCCTTACTCCTATTGCAGCAGCCCATCCCTTCAAAGATGAGGAGGCTAAAATCTACCTCGAACTCCGGGACGGCCAGGTCTTCGAAGGCCTTAGCTTCGGTGCCCCCAAAAGCATGTCCGGAGAACTCGTCTTCCAGACGGGAATGGTTGGCTACCCCGAGTCTGTTACCGATCCATCTTACCGCGGTCAAATCTTGGTCATCACCTTCCCTCTTGTCGGCAACTATGGCGTCCCCTCCAGAGAAACAATGGACGAACTACTGAAGGACTTGCCAAAGCATTTCGAGTCCGACGAGATCCATGTTGCCGGTCTTGTGGTGGCGTCATATGCTGGCGAGGCATACTCACATTATTTGGCCACATCTTCACTCGGTACTTGGCTGAAAGAACAAGGTGTCCCTGCCATGTATGGCGTTGACACTAGAGCTTTGACCAAGATCATTCGGGAAGAAGGCAGCATGCTTGGTCGGATGCTATACTCATCTTCCTCTGGATCGAAACTCACCAACGGCACCAAGGTGAATTCTCAGCCCAATGGAGAAGTAGTGATGGGCCCTATCAACTGGAAAGAACAAGTTGATGAGGTGGAATGGCACGATCAGAATACGAGAAACCTCGTGGCAGAGGTTTCAGTGAAGGAGCCCAAAATCATGTCTCCTCCGAAAGACAAAGCGCTCACGCACCCCTCCGGCAGACCTGTCCGAGTGGTGGTGGTTGATGTCGGTCTCAAGTACAACCAGCTACGATGTTTCCTTTCTCGTGGTGTTGAGGTTTTGGTAGTGCCTTGGGATTACGACTTCCCTGCCCTGGCGGGAAAAGACTACGACGGCTTGTTCATCTCCAATGGACCCGGTGATCCGGCAATGCTGTCAACTACCGTCAAGCACATATCAGCGGCCTTGGCGGAAGCAAGAACTCCCATCTTTGGTATCTGTCTTGGTCATCAACTTCTTGCCCGGGCTGCCGGAGCCAGCACCTTGAAAATGAAGTTTGGCAATCGCGGTCACAACATTCCCTGCACAAATCTCCTGTCTGGTCGATGTTATATCACATCGCAGAACCATGGATTTGCCGTGGATTCTATGACGCTACCAGAAGGTTGGGAAGAGTTGTTTGTCAACGCCAATGACGGCAGCAATGAGGGTATTCGCCACGTTTCGAAGCCATACTTCAGTGTTCAATTCCACCCAGAGTCCACGCCTGGGCCTAAGGACACCGAGTTTCTGTTCGATGTTTTCATCGATGCCATCATGAAAAGTGTTGCATCCGTGGAAGCCCTGGTGAAGCCTGTCACCTTCCCTGGAGGTACACTCGAGGACAATGACAAAGCACATCCACGTGTCAAAGTCAAGAAGGTTCTTGTCCTTGGAAGTGGCGGTCTCAGTATTGGTCAAGCTGGAGAATTCGACTACTCAGGCAGTCAAGCGATAAAGGCCCTGAAAGAAGAAGGCATTTACACTGTCTTGATCAACCCTAACATCGCGACGATCCAAACTTCCAAGGGCTTGGCAGACAAGGTCTATTTCCTTCCAGTCAATGCCGATTTCGTGCGCAAAGTGATCAAACACGAGAAGCCAGACGGCATCTACTGCACATTCGGTGGACAAACTGCATTGCAGGTTGGAATCCAGCTCAAGGACGAATTTGAAGCCCTTGGAGTTCAAGTCCTGGGCACTCCGATTGAAACGATTATCACCACGGAAGATCGTGAGCTCTTCGCCAGAAGTATGGAGTCGATTGGAGAGAAATGTGCAAAGTCTGCATCAGCTTCCAACATCGACGAGGCAATGCGCGCCGTCGAAGATATTGGCTTTCCAGTCATTGTCCGAGCAGCGTATGCGCTCGGTGGACTAGGGAGTGGATTTGCTGAAGATCCCGAGCAACTGCGTGAACTGTGTACAAAGGCTTTTGCTGCAAGTCCACAAGTACTTATCGAACGAAGCATGAAAGGCTGGAAAGAAATCGAGTATGAGGTTGTTCGAGATGCTCGCGACAATTGTATCACTGTTTGTAACATGGAGAACTTCGACCCTCTCGGTATCCATACCGGAGATTCCATTGTCGTCGCGCCTTCGCAGACCTTGTCGGATGATGATTACAATATGCTTCGCACGACGGCTGTCAACGTCATTCGACATCTAGGTGTTGTGGGAGAGTGTAATATCCAGTACGCACTCAATCCTTTCTCAAAGGAGTACTGCATCATCGAAGTGAATGCCAGATTGTCTCGGTCATCAGCTCTAGCTTCCAAGGCTACAGGATACCCCCTGGCCTTTATTGCTGCAAAGCTTGGTTTGGGTATACCTTTGAACGAGATCTCCAACACCGTCACAAAGAAGACATGTGCTTGCTTTGAACCATCCCTCGATTATGTCGTCGTCAAAATTCCCCGATGGGATCTCAAGAAATTTACCAGAGTTTCGACCCAGCTGGGTTCTTCCATGAAGAGTGTTGGTGAAGTCATGTCGATTGGCAGAACTTTCGAAGAGGCTATCCAGAAGGCCATCCGCTCGGTTGACTTCCATAACCTGGGATTTTCGGACATTTCGAATCCTTTGATGTCTGTGGACGACGAACTACAGACCCCGTCTGATCAGCGAATGTTCGCCATTGCCAATGCCATGGATGCTGGATATAGTGTCGACAAAATCTGGGAGATGACCAAAATCGACAAATGGTTCCTTTCAAGACTGAAAGGTCTCAGCGACTTCTCCAAGTTCATGTCCAAGTTTTCCGCCACGACCGTCTCTCCGTCCTTGATTCGGCAAGCGAAGCAACTAGGATTTTCCGATCGTCAATTAGCTCGTTGCTGGAATTCCAATGAACTTGCAGTCAGACGATTGAGGGTTGAAGCAGGCATCCACCCCGTTGTCAAACAGATTGACACTGTTGCTGCTGAGTTTCCCGCTTACACAAACTACCTTTACCTGACCTACAATGGTATCGAGAGTGATGTTACCTTCAACGATCATGGTATTATGATGCTTGGCTCAGGTGTTTACCGGATCGGTTCCTCTGTGGAGTTCGACTGGTGTTCGGTCAGAGCCATCCGCACTCTGCGACAGGAGGGGTACAAGACTGTTATGGTTAACGTAAGTTCATGCTTTTCTTTTTGTTTTGCTATTCTTTCGATGCTCGTTTCGATCCTCTTGACATCAAAGTTCCGGACGCACACCTACATACCCTCAGGATGCAATTTGGAGCTGCACTCGTCCAGAGTACATCCAGCTTCCCTCAGAGTGCATGTTGCACACGCTCTCACCCTGATCACCGGTCATGCCTATCTTCTGGAAGGATTCTGGACATACCTTCCCACAATATGGGTCACCTCGATCATCACACTCCATCGTTGTCTGCTGGAGAGCCACTTAACCACATCGACACCACGCTCCTCATTGTCTTCTAGAGGGCCACCCCGGCACATCGACCACTACTATGCCCTATTGTCTCTGGAAGCCTCGACGACCACATCGACTATCACAGTTGGCTTGTCTCCCAAAGGACGGCCAACCGCATCGACGATCACAGTCCGCTTTGTCTCCCAGAAGACCCTCTGTACCAACCTTGTTTGGGAAATGCGCAGTATGCATCCTGTACCGACCTTCCCGGACCTCCGCAGCATGCATTTTGGACTTCTTGGAACTTCACTTTTTTTCTTCCTTTATCCCCTTGTTGTTCTATTTTGTTCTGTATACCAGTACCATGCTGACCTCCTCCCCGTACAATCCGGAGACCTGCAGCACTGACTACGACGAGGCTGATCGTCTCTACTTTGAGAATATCAGTCTTGAGAATGTGCTCGATATCTATCAACTTGAGTCGGCAAGCGGTGTCATCATCTCTATGGGTGGGCAAACTCCAAACAACATTGCGCTACCCTTACATAGACTCAACGTGAAGATCCTCGGAACTTCCCCAGAAATGATCGACTCTGCCGAGAACAGATACAAGTTTTCCCGAATGTTGGACCGGATCCATGTTGATCAGCCATCGTGGAAAGAGTTGACAAGCATGGAGGATGCCCTTGGTTTCTGCAAGAAAGTCGGGTATCCTGTCCTTGTACGACCGTCCTATGTGCTCTCCGGTGCAGCCATGAACACAGTGTACTCGAAAGACGACCTTGCCAGCTATCTCAACCAAGCAGTGGAGGTGTCACGGGATCATCCTGTGGTCATCACCAAATATATTGAGAACGCCAAAGAGATTGAGATGGACGCTGTGGCGAAAGACGGCGTCATGACTGGCCACTTCATTTCCGAACACGTGGAAAACGCCGGTGTACATTCTGGTGATGCAACTTTGATCTGTCCACCACAAGATCTTGAGCCAGAAACCATTGCCAGAATCGAGGAGGCTACCCGCAAGATTGGTAATGCACTGAATGTTACAGGACCCTACAATATCCAGTTCATCGCAAAGGACAACGAGATCAAGGTGATCGAATGCAATGTTCGTGCTTCGAGATCTTTCCCGTTCGTTTCCAAAGTCATGGGAGTGGATCTGATCGAGATGGCTACCAAGGTTATCGTCGGCAAATCCATCACCCCTTATCCTCCTGTCAACATACCCGCGGATTATGTTGGTGTCAAAGCGCCACAATTCTCCTTCTCTCGCTTGTCCGGGGCCGATCCGGTCCTAGGCGTTGAGATGGCATCGACCGGTGAAGTCGCCTCCTTTGGGCGAGACCGTTATGAGGCCTACATCAAGGCGACGATCTCAACGGGCTTTAAGCTGCCAGAGAAAAATATCCTACTCTCCATCGGGTCGTTCAAGGAGAAGATGGAAATGCTGCCCTCGGTTCGCAAACTGCATCAGTTGGGTTACAACCTCTTTGCCACCTCTGGTACTGCCGACTTCCTCGAAGAGCATGACATCAAGGTGAAATATCTTGAGGTCCTCGGAAGTGACGAAAAGGACCAGAAGTCGGAATACTCGCTCATACAGCACTTGGCCAACAACAAGATTGATCTGTACATCAACCTGCCATCGAGCAACCGCTTCCGAAGACCTGCGAACTATATGAGCAAAGGCTACCGTACCAGACGAATGGCCGTCGATTACCAAACGCCACTGATCACCAATGTCAAGATTGCAAAGATTCTCATCGAAGCCCTTGCCCGGCATTACGATCTGAGCATTCGCAACATCGATTTCCAGACGAGTCATCGCACTGCGGTCCTCCCAGGATTGATCAATATCGCGGCTTTTGTGCCTGGCATTGCACAAAAGGGCTCGCACGACTTCTCCCTCGTTACCAAGGCCTCAATTGCAGCTGGGTTCAGCATGATCCGCGTCGTGCCCGTGGGTATTGACGGTGCTATCACCGACGCTAGGTCACTGAAGATCGCTCAGTCCAATGCCGAAACAGGGGCTTACTGCGACTTCAATTATGCGGTTGCCGCCACGGATTCCAATTCGGAGCAAATCGTGCATGTCCAGGGCGAGGTTGGTTCATTGTTCATCCCGTTCAATCACCTCTCCGGGAACATCAACAAAGTCGCGACAGTGAGTGCCCACTTCGCGACATGGCCAACGAACAAGCCGATTGTGACGGATGCGAAGACCACCGATCTAGCCTCGATCCTGCTCTTGGCGAGTCTACATGATCGCAAAGTCCACGTCATGAATGTCACCTCGAAGGACGATATCCGTCTGATTGCTCTTTCAAAGGAAAAGGGCCTGAAGGTCACATGTGATGTGTCCATCTACAGCCTTTTCCTGTCGCAAGTCGACTATCCAGACTGCTCGGCCCTCCCATCAATCACTGACCAGAAGGCCCTGTGGGATCATCTTTCGGCTATCGACGTCTTCTCGGTTGGCAGCTTGCCATATCAGCTTGCCGGCGAGAACGCGGTTCCTACAGTCGGCATTGAAGATGCACTCCCATTATTGCTCACAGCCGTCTCAGAAGGAAAGCTGACCATGGACGATGTTACTCAGCGTCTCCACGATAATCCCAAGTCCATCTTCGAACTGCATGATCAGAACAACACATCCGTGGAGATTGACATCGACCGTCCCTATGTTCTCCAACCGGGCTCCGTCTGGTCGCCATTCGTGGGTCAGACATTGCGCGGTGCTGTCTCTAGGGTCGTCTTCCAGGGCAAAACCGCTTGTCTCGACGGTGAAATTTCACTGATCAGCCCAAGTGGTACAGACATGTCGTCCCACTTGCTGCATCCTACCTCGCCACCTGTAGGGCCTACATCTCCAGTCTTGCGGGCACATGATGGTCAACTCGATCGACGTGCTTCGGCTTTTGACACTACACCTAACAGACGACTCTCTATGGCATTGCGCAGCCGGCCAGTCACCCGAGCTCGGAACATGGACGAGGTGCTCGAAGAAGGCCTGCCTCTACCCACTTCCGCCTTCCAGCAACCCCAGGCGCCCTCCACAATCTCACCCTCATTACTTTCTCTCCTGGCATCCTCCCCTTTCAAGAACCGTCACGTGCTCTCCGTCAATCAGTACACTCGACAGGACTTGCATATACTGTTCACGGTCGCCCAAGAGATGCGTCTGGGAGTTCAGAGACAAGGCATTCTCCCCATCCTCCAGTCCAAAGTGCTATGCACAATGTTCTTTGAGCCAAGCACACGTACCTCCGCCTCCTTCGACGCGGCTATGCAACGACTGGGTGGTCGTACCGTTGCGATCAGCACCGCTCATTCGAGCACGCAAAAGGGCGAGACCCTACAAGACAGCATCAGAACGCTCGGATGCTACGGTGACGCGGTCGTCCTCCGCCATCCAGACAACGAATCGGCAGCAACCGCCGCCAAATTCTCTCCTGTCCCTATCATTAACGGCGGCAACGGCAGCAGAGAGCACCCTACTCAAGCATTCTTGGACTTGTTCACCATTCGAGAAGAACTTGGCACCGTCACTGGCTTGACTGTCACTTTCACAGGTGATCTCAAGTATGGCCGTACTGTCCACTCGCTGGTCAAATTGCTGCAATATTACGAAGTCCGAATTAATCTGGTCGCACCCAAGCCGCTTGCTCTTCCCAAAGAGGTTCGAGAACAGATCGTCGCCTCGGGCCAGCTCGCAGTCGAATCCGAGACTCTGACACCCGAGATCGTCGCTAAGAGCGATGTCCTCTACTGCACGAGAGTTCAGAAGGAACGGTTCCCCAGCATCGACGAGTATGAGCGACTCAAGGACAGCTTGATAGTGGATAACAGTGTCCTGAAGCATGCCAAATCCACCATGATCGTCATGCATCCCCTTCCGCGTAACAATGAGATCAGCGAGGAGGTGGATTTCGATCAACGCGCTGCATATTTCAGACAGATGCGGTATGGATTGTACACCAGAATGGCTCTTTTGGCGCTGGTACTTGCGGCGTGATTGGATGTGGAACGTTCCTACCTAGACTGATGTTTCGCTCGCGCTTGTTTTCAGGGCTTTTCGGGATTGATGAGCTGAAAAGAAAAGAAAGGGTTGTACTTCGGGTTCTTGGGTTTTCCGCAGGTAGACAAAAAAAAGTAGAATGAGATTGCCAGATAGTAAGGGTTCAGTCTCATAGCCTTGCGGCATTGTATACTTAATATGTATGACTATGTATGTTCAAAGTTACTTCCCGTTCTCGTTATCATTCGGTGTGTTGTTCTGCAGCGTTGTTGCGAAGCATCCAAAATTTGCCCCTTCTTCCCCGGACGCAACAACTAATTGCGTCTCATACCTTATCATGCTTCCATCGAGACGACTAGTGGTAGGTTCCTGGCCACACAAGAAAGTACGGACTCCCAGCCACGTGCAGCCATGAAAAGGACCCCAGCCTCCCGGCGCTAGTCCATTCCTGGCCATTGTAAACATAGACTCTGACCTTTGGCCAATCACGATACAGGCTATAGCCAGTACCGTAGTAAATGAGGCTTGGCACCCCCGGCAACTCAAAACGCCATTTCATGCTCACCATCCTATTTTTGCACCTGCCATCCGATTTCCATCGCTACCATTGTTTGCAACCATTTGCAGCCAATCGGGAATGTTTATTGCGTGTTGATCTCGGTATCATCACAATGAGCGTATGCAGGACGATGGCTGGACGACTATTACAACAACTCAAGAGGCTGAAGTTCATGTGGTATATATCTGAGGTCGCCTTAAGGTCTGTGTCATGTTCTTTCTCATCCACTCAAGGACCACAGGAGTAAGCTTTGATACCTGCACGTTCCCCAGACCGTACAAAGCACCATCTGAGATCAGCCCCTTGTGTTCTATACTTTCGTTCCGAGATTCCAGGATGCATTCTCGAACCATCTCTGTCATTGCGGTCGCCGCTCTTTCTTGTTTGCCGTTGTCCTCTGCTCTGCCCAGACCACAGATACCTGAAGGCTCCGTCGACTGTCTTCTAGAATGCCTGAGCTCTTCTCCGTACCCTGGATCTACGAACGTGTGCGATCCAAGCTTCAATGCCACCATCAGCTCCTGCATCCTCTCCACATGCGATACAGAGTCCATTCCAGTTTCCTTCGGTATCTTGGGTGATTATTGCCAGCATCCCCAAAACACTTCTGCCCCCATCCCACCATATGGAAACTTTACAAAGCCTTGTGCCAACCTCACCACGAGCACCCTCACACCCGTTTCGAGTAGCACCGCTGTGTGGAATGACTGGACCACGAGTTCGACCTCGAGCTTGACAACAACTAGCTCCTCGAGGACCACTACTACTACTAGCACTAGCACGACTTCCACGACAACAACGACAACGAGTTCAGTCTTAAGCAGTACAACTCCTTCTTCGGTCCAATGGGGTGATTGGAATGCCACTTCAACTACCTCCACCACCACCTCAATGACTCCAAGCACCACGACAACTCCATCCACTACTTGGGGAACCACTACCATTTCCAGCACACCTGTGTCTTCTACAAGCACTACTCTCACCCAGATGTGGGCCGACTGGAACACAACAACCTCTTCCACCACCTCTAGCACCACTTCAACAACAACCACTACTACAACCACGACGACAACCACCACCACTCCTGTAGCCACGACTACAACCACAACGACACCATGGTTGACAACGACTCCAACTCCTGTTTCTCCTGCCAGCACTACACCCACACAATGGGCAGATTGGAACACAACAACGACTACAACCACCACTACCAGCAGCACCACCACCACCACCACTACTCCTGCGGCCACGACTACAACCACGACTCCAGTATGGACGACAACCTCTCCAAGTCCTGTTTCTCCTGCTAGCACTACTCCCACGCAATGGGCTGATTGGAACTCGACTACTACTTCCACAACCAGCTCTCTTTTGACGACCACCAGCGCTACCACCACTTCGACTACCACCTCCACTACAACCAGCTCAACCACTACTACAACAACCACTTCGTTGTCGACTACTACAGGCTGGCAAGATTGGAACGCGACTACTTTGTCCACTACCACTTCGTCGTCGACAACCACTTCCAGCTCGACAACACCCTCTACGACGAGCACTTCTCGTCTGAGCATATCAAGTACCTCATCATCCTCGACCACCTCCAGTAGCTCTTGGACAGTCGCCTCCAGCTCGGCGACCCTTACGGTTCCTGCTGCGCCGGCGGCCACATTCACCGGCGCTGCCAGTCGCCTTGGCTTTGGAGCCGGTGCTCTGATTGGCGCTTTCGTGGCCGTTGCTGCACTGATCTAGAACGAGGTGAACAACCTTATGCAGATCGTGGGATTATTGTTTTTACCAACAGGAGTTTACAGCATCATTGGACATACTTATGCAGCACGCTGACACGGAAAACGGAACAATTGGACGTACTCTCGGACTTACTATGCTTATTACTACACATTTTTCGCTTCTCATCAACCATCTGGGATGGGTTCACAGGACAAATTTCGAGTCGGAGTTCATATATGGTGGGACATGGACAATATGCCGTTACGGATAGCATCGATGGCTGGGATGGCGCTGGAAATGATTGAAGGCGAGATGAATCAAATGTACCTTGTGGAGGGCCTGTGGATACGGGCCGTTGCCCATACAACATAGGTAGAGATACTGCAATGCAATAATTCGAGACCTGAGAGATGCCGTTCTTACAAATTCGGCACTCTGGAAGGCTCAGCACCAATCAAGCTGCTTCGATCCGTAGCAGCGCCACACTGACCTCTGAAACAGTGGGTACCTGCATCCGCTATATGCAAGGCTGCGGATATAAAGAAGTGAGGTCGCTTCTAACCTCCGTACCTTACATGAGCCGACAACAAGGCATGGCCTCTGTCGTTGCAGCCTGATTGCAGGTGTCGACGTTCCATGATTGGTCAAGCAGACAAGGCTCGATTCGTGCTAGAGATGCTGCAGATCGCTGAACGGCTCCACTTGTATCTAAACCCGAGATTGTGTGCGTGATGGACATAAGCGTAGCATTGCGCACGGAGTGCTACAAAATGCTGGAAATGCCCTTCGATAGCCACGTCCCAGAAACACGACATTCATACCGATCAAGCAGTTCTATCACAAACCTCTGCGCAGATGGAGTTCGACTGGAGCACTACGGGCAATGAAGTTGTCAAAGCGTTTAAGAACCAGGTGACCGGCAAGACATGTGCGTGCCTAAATTTAACCCTGGAGACACGCCTACTGATGGGAAATAGTCTTGATCACCGGTCCGACACCAGGTGGAATTGGTGCTGAGACCGCAATCAGCCTCGCCGCGGCAGACCCAAAACATCTCATACTAGCCGGTCGATCCCAGGCCAAGATACAGCCTCTCATCAATGAGATCAACAAGGCTCATGCTCATGTGAAAACCAGCTTCATTCAGCTCGATCTCGCAAGCCAGACATCTGTCCGGCAAGCGGCTAAGCATGTCAAGGACCTTCTTGGAGACGACCAAATCGACGTGCTAATCCTGAATGCCGCGATAATGGCCTGCCCTTATGCTCTCACGGAAGACGGCATTGAGTCTCAATTCGGCACCAACCATATCGGGCATTTCTTGTTTGGAAATCTGCTCTTGAAAGATGGTCTTCTCCGGTCTCGCGTGGTCGTCGTCAGTTCCGCGGCCTCCGTTCGAAAGTTCGAAGTACTAGAGCCTCATCTGAAGGACGTCACCTATAATCATGGCAAATGCTATGATCCACTCATAGCATATTGTCTCTCCAAGGCCTGCAATGTCCTGTACGCCAAACGGCTTAGCAAGATACTCAACCACAAGAACATCTCGGCGTTCAGCCTGCATCCAGGAAGCATTGCGACCAATCTCCAGGGGTACATCACTGAGGAAATGAGGAACCAAGGCATCGCTGCTTTTAAGGAGGAGGACCCGGCCTTCGTGGTTCCGAAACGCAAGGATTTGCAACAAGGGTGTGCGACTCAGCTTCGCGCAGCGCTTGATCCGAGCCTTGAAAGTCACTCGGGAGCATATCTTGACGACTGCCAAGTGAGCGAGCCTGCCGTCCACAAGCCTGCGGAAGCCCATATGGATGAGGTGTGGGAGCTCAGTGAAAAGCTGGTCGGTGAGAAGTTCGACTTCTGAGTAGCACAATACCAGGGATGTGAGGGGCTGATAATAACACAACGGTGCATAACCTGTCAATCAAAAGTTGTCTCACCATGTACAATGGCCTCACCTCGTTTCTGTGCAACCACGCGCATGACCCCGGTGATTCCGCGGAACGTGCTCTGGTGAGCAGCGTGGGTGAAGGGGCCAACAACGATGCCGTATTTTCTTAGCATCGTCCGCATAGAAGCTATCTGTTTACTGGTTATCAGTAACCCGAACATCAATGCTGTCAAAGGGTGTGTTTGAAAGTGGTATGTCTGTAGGCGCCATTTCCTGTGAGACTACATGAGCATTCACTCATGCAGCTGCCACGAGGATGTGTCCCATGACTTCCTTGACATGTTGTACAGAGTACAATTCAAGCTCAAGAATGCCAATGACAGCGGAAACACTGTTCAGCCTTGCCTCACGTGAGCATAACAGGGGTCTTGGCGCGAGGCTGCGCGGCGCAGTTGCGCCTAGACTTACCTAGGGCTCAGCCCTGGAGTAGGAAAGTGAGGACACTGAAGCGAAGCGATCAGTGACAGATGGGGCCGGTAGCGGCGTCACTGTTTGCTTCTTTCAAAAGTCTGGAGTAACTCCATTTCAACCATGATTACTCTATCCCGCCCATTATCTACGTCTTCTGTTTGCCTGGTCTGATCCTGTGGCAAACTCCTTCCACATGAGATTGTTCGGTCGTGTCTTGTATTCGTCGCTCATTTCTACTCGAGTCTTGTGTCCAGTCACATTCCGACCTCGAACGATACATAAGCCCATTCTTCAGGGCATTCACTTTCGTCAACCTCCCTCGAGTCACTCCTTTGCCACAGTCATGAACTCTTCCAGACTGATAATATCGGATCTCGAGAAGCCTGACCTCGACGATAGACAGTATCGTGTCATCGAGCTCCCGAACAAACTCGAAGCATTACTCGTCCACGATGCGCAGACCGATAAAGCCAGTGCCAGTCTCAACGTTAATGTTGGGAACTTTTGCGATGAGGAGGACATGCCAGGAATGGCGCATGCCGTCGAGCATCTGCTCTTCATGGGTACGGAGAAGGTGAGCACCCGACCATCTCGTGTCGAGGCAAACCCCTTGCTAACCGCACAACAGTACCCTATAGAGAATGAGTACAGTTCCTACCTATCCTCAAACTCCGGCCACTCCAATGCATACACTGCCGCAACCCAGACAAACTACTTCTTCGAATGTGCGGCCTCACACGAATCGAATGACGATGCTTCGCATGCCGCAGTCAATGGGACTGCCCAAACTGCGGTCAACGGGACAGCAAGAGGACCTCTCTATGGCGCTTTGGATAGATTTGCACAATTCTTCGTCAAGCCTCTCTTTCTGGAAAACACCTTGGACCGAGAACTGAGAGCAGTGGATTCAGAAAACAAGAAAAACCTACAAAGTGATGCTTGGAGACTGTCCCAGCTCGTCAAATCCCTGTCAAACCCACACCATCCATACAACCATTTTTCGACAGGCAACTTACAGACACTAAGAGACGAACCTGAAAAGAGGGGTGTGAAGATCCGCGATGAGTTCATTCGCTTCTACGAACAGCACTACTCCGCAAATCAGATGAAACTGGTCGTACTGGGTCGTGAGTCTTTGGACGAGCTACAGACCTGGGTCGAGGAACTGTTTTCAGAGGTTCAAAACAAAGATCTGCCAGAAAATCGCTGGGATGGAGTGGATGTCTTGACCAAGGATCAATTGTCGACAGAGATACTTGCGAAACCGGTCATGGAGTCACGCTCTCTGGAAATCAGCTTCCCATGGGAGGACGAAGAAGATATGTATGAGACTCAACCGGCACGGTATATCAGTCATCTCATTGGCCATGAAGGACCGGGCAGTATTCTAGCATATCTCAAGGAAAGTGGCTTAGGTCAGACCCTCTCTGCTGGCTACCACCCCGTCTGCCCCGGTTCTGCCTTTTTCGAGATTGAGATCGGGTTGACACCAAAGGGTCTCAAGGACTACCATGAAGTTGTCAAAGTCGTTTTCCAATATATCGGCATGATGAAGGCAAACCCACCCGTGGAATGGATGCACCAGGAAATGAAGAACATGGCCGAGGTGGACTTCCGATTTCGACAAAAATCTCCTGCTAGTCGCTTCACCAGTGGCACAAGCAGCGTCATGCAGAAAAATCTACCCCGCAACTGGTTGCTCAGTGGTACGAGCAAATTCAGAAAATTCGACGCCAAAGCCATCACACAAGCCATGCAATATCTCAGAGAGGACAACTTCCGGCTCATGCTGGTATCTCAGGAGTATCCCGGCACGTGGGATCAAAAGGAGAAGTGGTACGGAACGGATTACAAGGTTGAGAAGATACCCACAGATGTCTTGTCCGAGATCCGGCAGGCACTGTCTTCTCGAACCCAAGCCACAGAAGAGCTACATCTCCCACACAAGAATGAATTCATTCCTACCAAGCTAGATGTCGAGAAGTTGGATATCAAGGAGCCTGCCAAGACGCCCAAACTGCTTCGCAACGATGACCAGGTCCGGCTTTGGTGGAAGAAGGATGACACATTCTGGGTGCCGAAAGCTAACCTCAATATCAAATTACGAAACGCCGTCACTCACACGACTCCTGCGAACTTTGTCAAGACATGTCTTTTCGCCGAATTGGTCAAGGATAATTTGTCTAGCTACTCATATGACGCCGAGATCTCGGGTCTCGCCTACAATATTGCACCGAATCCTCTGGGAATGGATCTCAGTATCCGTGGATACAACGACAAAATGGCTGTACTACTTGAAAAGATTCTGTTTACGATACGAGACATGGAGATCAATCCCGAACGATTCGATGTGATAAAGGAACGGTTGGCAAGGAACTACAAAAACTGGTACTTTCAACAACCATACTATCAAATTGGCGATTACACGAGGTGGCTCCTCAATGAAAAAGGCTGGATGACTGGTTCATACGCAGCAGAGCTGCCCCATACCACGGCGGAAGACATCAAGGCCTTTGCACGTCAGCTTCTACAGCAAGCGCATATCGAGGTGATCGCCCATGGTAATTTGTACAAGGAAGATGCGAAGAAGATTGCCAACCTGGTAGAATCGACGCTGAAGCCACGCATCTTGCCGGCCTCGGAGTGGCAGCTGAGGAGGAACATGATCATTCCCAAAGGGAGCAATTTCGTGTACAAACACCCGCTGGGTGATCCTGAGAACATCAACCACGCTATCGAGTATTACCTGGAAGTCGGCCACGTCATGGACGCTTCACTTCGTGCGAAGCTGCAGTTGTTCGCTCAGATGACTGATGAACCTGCCTTTGACCAACTGAGAACCAAGGAACAGCTTGGGTATGTGGTCTGGAGTGGTGTTCGGCCCTCTTCAGTTACGATGGGTTACAGAGTCCTCATACAGAGCGAACAGGACCCGGAATACCTGGAAACCCGCATCAATGCATTCTTGCTCAAATTCAAGCAGGATCTAGAGACGATGTCGGACGAAGATTTTGAAGGACACAAGCGAAGTCTTGTGAACAAGAGACTGGAAAAGCTCAAGAATCTCGACTCCGAGACAAACCGCCTACTGTCATACATTGGCAGCGAGTACATGAACTTCTATCAAGTCGATCGGGATGTAGCTGCGATCAGACACCTCACGAAGGCCGACATCAAGGAATTTTATGCGCAGTACATTGACCCAGAATCGTCTTCACGGGCCAAGCTGTCCATCCACCTTGAAGCTCAAGCTTCAGCTCCTGTGGTTGAAGTTTCACCATCCGAGAAGAAAGATGAATTTGTTGGACTTATCGGCCAAACCCTGGGATCTGTCGGGGTTGACGTTGAAGAAACGAAGCTGAAAACTCATTTTGAGAGTGTAGAGCCCACCGATCAGGCCGGAGTTAGCAAAGCCATCACGAGCTACATTGGCGAGTCGCTGCCTGCAGCTAAATCAAAGGAGATTGTTGGACAGATTGAGGAAGCATTGCCTCAACTATTGGTCGCTCTGAAGATCAAGCCTGTCGCAGCTCCTACGGACACTGTGGAGGTGGCCTCGAAGATCCCGACGCCTGTGATTATCAAGGACGTGTATCAATGGAAGGCTGGCTTGCAGGTTAGCCAGGGACCCGTTGCAGTAGAAGACTTGGGTGCTTTTGAGGATTTAGAGTCCAAATTATGAAGAGCAGAAGACCTGACCCATAGACGGGAAAGGGGGGCGACAGCATTGCTTTGTTGGCACTAGCGATGGCGTTGTTGGCCAAAGTCCACTCCAGTCTAGATTACATGTAGATGTCGTGAATATCGATGCAGAATTGGATCGATTCAGTCGCCCTGGAGGCTACATGCTGGTGACCGTAGTAGCACCTGGAAGACTTAATTTATATCCGTTATGGCCGGCGCGTCGCACCCAACTCAGCCTCGTGGATAATCCGGGGAAACTCAGGGCATTAATTCTAACAAAGCACCACAGTCCATACGCAACGACCTAGCATCGATCAATACTAGTATAGACCCTTTCATAATACACCCGCATCTCCTCTTATGGTGCTCTCCTTACACTGGAACCAGTTTCTACCAGTACTGGTAACAGTCCAGACAAGTATTTGGTGATACAGGCATGATAGCTTTCCCACCATGTCGACATTAACCACCACGACGCTGAAGTCGTCCTATCCGTACATTCAGGCCCAAGTCTCTCGTTTGTGTTGGATCGTGACTAACAAATGATGCAGTCCAATCCTTCCAGCTCCGTTCACTGCTAATCAACCGTCCACGATACGCCTTCATCCTCTCTCGAATTACACCTTCGGTACGAAGGAGACACAGCCAGAAGAAGACCCGTCAGTGGTGGCCCGGCTCAAGAGACTAGAGGAACACTACGATGAATATGGCATGCGCCGGACTTGTGAAGGGATCCTCGTCTGTCATGAGCACAACCACCCACATGTTCTCATGCTCCAGATTGCCAACGCCTTTTTCAAACTGTGAGTTCCTGAACCGACGGATTGAAGAGACGAAATGGCAGCTTACAATGCACAGACCCGGGGACTACCTACCGCACGATGCAGACGAGATCGAAGGATTTAAGGTACGATTGAACGACCGGCTTGCGCCTACGAACCCTCAAGAAGGGGACACAGATTGGGAAATAGGAGACTGCCTTGCTCAATGGTATGGTTCATACCGCCCTGAGATGACCGTACTTTGCAGAGGACTGATGTTACTACAGGTGGCGTCCCAACTTTGAGACCTTCCTGTATCCTTTCCTACCCGCCCACGTTTCTCGGCCAAAAGAGCTTAAGAAGCTGTATCTAATCCACCTGCCACCGAACAAAGTTCTCAGTGTCCCGAAGAATATGAAACTTCTGGCGGTGCCTCTGTTCGAGCTGTACGATAACACCGCACGCTATGGCCCGCAACTCAGTGCCATCCCGCATTACCTGTCCAGATATAGATTCGAGTTCCTCGACGAGGATGGGAACGTTAGCAGTGTGACGCCTGGAGGCGGGGCGATGCCTGGGCCGGAGCCGACGGTCAAAGTCTTGTTCGACGGGAAAGAGGAGACCGGCGAGGCTGTAGTCAAAACTGAGGATAGCCATATGCAGACGGAGAACGGGGATTGAGGGCCATTCAGAACGACATGCGAAGCACCGGTATGTGCTTCAACGGAACGATTCACTATGCACGTGAAGAATGAGATCAGGCAACGGCATTTGAACAGTCGTCAGTCGACTTTCTGCCCACTCAGTCGGTCATTCTTCACAGGGCCCTTCGGTGGGACATCGGCGGCCGATAGCTACGGTGGTCACCGGCCCATGTATGTCCATTGGATCTGCATCTATAGGCCTACGTGATGAGCCAGAAAGAGACTGGGCATTTCAGGACGTGGGTGTTCCAATAAGCACAAACTCTGTCGCGGGGAGTGCGGCCGGAGGCATTGGGTTGAGCAGACAGCCCGTAGTGGAAGCCAGTCAGGTCGACACGTTGATGAGACCCAGGCAAACTCAAAGAATGCATTGGAAACGAGACGATGTAAACTATGCCTGACAAGAGCAGTTTCATCATTTGAAAGACACATAGTCGGCACGTGATCTCAACCTTCACATCCGAACATACCTAAGTATAATCCTTGTCATCCGAACAGAACCGAACTTGCTGTACCTTGCTTTCTTTTCTCTCGACTACTGCACCAGCGACTCCTCTTATCACACTTGTCACCATCCATGCCTGCATGATATGCAAGCATGGGTTGCAAAAATTCAACAACTTCGCGTGCCAGCAACGTGCGTCCTCCACGTTGTTCGATGTCAACATATCGACGTGTCACAAGCGTTGATCGCGACACTCAAGGCTTGAAAATTTAATGCCTGCTCTCTAACATCGACTACTTGGATCGGCGTGCTGTCACACGTACTTCAAGACCCTCCTGCTTGTTGAACCACAAGTTCCTGGTCGTCCATGTCTTGTCCTTCTCCCACATTTCGACCTTGAACTTTCGGAGCAGGTACGGAATCAGCTTGTGAAGCTCGGCCAGCGAGATGTTTTTGCCAATGCATGTCCGGGTCCCTGCGCCGAAGTGCAACATGCACTTTTCCATCGTCGACGTATCTCCCTCCAGCCATCGACTGGGACGGTACTCGTCGGCATCAGGTCCAAAGATTGACTTGTCAAAGTGAATCACGGCCCCATTCATGCCAACACGATAACCGGCGGGAATATATGTCCCACAGAGCTCGATACCTTCGGCAGGTGCCTTTCGTGCCATGGTTAATGCAACGCCTGGATGCATACGTAGCGCCTCCTTGATGCAGGCACACAGGAACGGCAGTTTGACCGCTTCCGCGTACTTGACGGGGGAGCTCAGTTGGCCCTTCTCAGCAGCCGTATCGATTTCTTGCAGCAGCTGCTCATACACGGCTGGATATTTCATGAGGTGATAAAACACAGACCGGAATGCAATCGCTGTTGTGTCAGATCCCGCAAACCTGGAACAGGAGGTCAGCATGTTCCCGCTAGCCATGTGTTCGGAATTACGCTTACAACGCGACATAAGCTTCCTGCTGAATGTCTCCGATCCGGAAATCGACCTTCTCACCTTTTTCAAGCTGGATCTCGTGCAACTGCTCAACTATGTCTGTCCTGTGCTGTCCCTCGTCCTTGCTAGCGTTGTCAAATCGTTCGGCTACGCACTTCCTGGCCGCAACGCCGATGTTGTCGATAGCCTTGAGTGCTTTGAGGGAACCTGGAACCACGAGCGCCGACATGAGGATCAGAGTCCGCAGGTAAGTAGGAGCCACAGCCGTCATGCACAAGAAAGGCATGAGCAAGTCGAGCGACTCTATCCACGAGCCGTGATCCGCGCCCGTCTCCAGGAAGCCGAACATCCGTCCGAAATAGAGCTCGCCAATGACGTCGAAAGCGTACCTGGAAATCATCAGCCACTGTTCTCGTATGTTTATTCAGACATGGACTTACATTTGCAGCCATTTCCCCAGGTCGAATGGCTTGGTTCCATCTTGATACTCGGCTATTCGTTCCAGGAACAGTTCGGAACATTTGTCAATGTATTCTTCCGACTTCAACACATTTGATAATGTGTAGACGTGGTTGAAGATGCGTCGTCTCTCCCCATGTTGCTTATCGCTGATGGCAGTAAACATGTCTGGGTGTTTGCTGTAGTTCTGACTGTTCCAGACAGTATAAAAATCAGTCTTGTCAAAACCGCCTTGGTTTCGATAGATACGTTTGATGGCCTCGGGCGATGCGCAAGCCACTTCATTTGGCGCGATCCTGATGAGAGGCCCGTATTGTTGGTGCAGGCGTCTCTGAGTGTGTTCCATGTCTCCTCGAGCTATCTGCTGCATGTACCAAAGCCTGCTAATAGATGCAAGCCATGGTCCCGGGATTTTTCGCAGAGGATGGAAATGGCGTGCATACACAATCCAACAGATCCAGTACGTGACAAGGATTGCTGGTGACCACAGGAGGGCTGAGACAGAAAACAGCCCTCCCAAGGGCCCCAAAGAGAAAGCCATTCTCGAACTTCTGTAAGGCAAAGAAGCTCTTTTGATTGCCCAGAGTTTGAGAGGATGCAGGGTGAGCTTCACAGAAAAGAATCAACTGAATGACTAGCAAACCATGTTATACACCCAGCAGATGGACGTGGCATCCTGAAATCAGAGAACGGCAGAACGGCAGTTGGCACTACTGCTTCAGCGAGTACCGTGTTAGCCAGTCCTGATACGAGAGAGATCCCCACAGCACCTTCCGCGTCGAGGCTGTTGGCGCGGCTACTGCGTTCTGCATCTCAAACGCCAACAACGGCATGGCTCGCTGCCTGACAGTGCCTGCCTACCCAGGATCGCGGTTTCACGACCAACCCTCAGCCGTGGATTCGTCAATCTTGCGAGTCCCGCTATATCCCTGCTAGTCATGCGGGTCGTGCCTGTTGAAGTCGGACGCGACCGGGCATCGCGAAGTACGGATGCGTTTGATCGACAAGGCCGGCCTGATGCGAACCCTACAAGCCCTGAAAATTTCTCACATGCAGGGAAGATTGTGCGGAGACAATATCCATTCGCTAATCAGATAACAGGCATTTCTTAGTCGTTCTGGTGCGTCAAACTCAGGCAAGTCTTGATTGGTTCATGGTTTGGATGAAGCCTGACGACGTTGAGTGGAGTCCAAGCTAACGCATGGGGCGGCCGGGGAAGATCTTCCTATGCCATACCCCAGTCTTGATCACCAAACCTACGGGTACCTCGTACCGTTCATGTGGAACCTGAACTTCCGACTTTGTCACGTTTGTGATAACGCAAACTCTCCCAGGTACGCCAAAAGTCCAGTCCACAATTCGCAACTGTCAATCATTCCCAGCAGTGGTATGGCTTCACAAAAGGCACGAGAAACTAATGATGCCGAGAATGCTATGTAGCATTCATGTCTTGTTTAGGATCCGCCTGACTCAAGAACTCTGACCCACGCTGGAGCGGTCCGCTGTCAACGGCGAAGTCATGAAGTTGATGGTGGATGCCAATAAGCTTCCAAGCTTGTTATGTGCGGTACGATCACAATGCATACGCCCCTTATTCTCGCTTCTCCCCTCGTCCAGACTGCCGTGATCTAATGCTGTCTTCCGGTCGCGTCTGTGGCATTATACGATATACGCAAGTGGAAGATCTTCTGGCAGTGCACAAGCAATGTACAGTACGGCGGGACTCTCGAGGCGATTCAACCCCCATCCTTGTCTCCACCTCAATCCCAGCTGGGCCTGCCAATGGAATTGTCCCTGAACCTTCTCTGACAATACAAATCGGAAAAGAAGGATCCTATGTGAGTATCCGTGGTCGCTGATAGACAGGCCTCAGCTTCCGTCGCCCCAAAGCCGTTGAAGCATGGGTCCGCCCCATGTCTTCGAAGCCTCTTTTCTTTGCACCCGGCGAACCTCTTGCTTATACATAGTATGTCTGAGTATTGTCGATCACACATCTACTGTGATTCGGTGACAAGGTGAAAACCTGCTTCAGCTTGACTTTGTGGAGAGTCGCCTGGTGGATACGGCAAACTTCGTCGACAATGAGAAACTCTCCGGCAAGTAAGTTATATGAAAGAACCTCCTCCTGAGTTTGAGCCGGCCTGTCATTGCTACAAACGTTCTTCTTGATCGTCAGGTCACAAGCAAGTACACGTGGAGAAAGGAAATATGAGAATCACCTTGCTGGTCCCGCTCCTTGTGAGCTTATTTACATTCGTTCAATCACAGTCGTTGCCATCATGTGCTGTAAGGCCTCCGAACACAGTCCCCCAGGTTGATTCAATACTGACGGGATATAGGCCAACTGCCTCGAAGAGTTCCTACCTCAGTCTGGCTGCAACGCAACTGATGCTGCCTGCATCTGCGCCGATGTGTCTCTTATGGGCAATGTGCAGACCTGCACGTTGGCCAGCTGCACAATCAAAGAGAGCCTGAGTGAGTCTACCAGACCAAAGTCTTTCCACGTTGCTAATCTTCATACGCCTTCAGCTGCGAAAAATGCCACAGCCACACTTTGCCAACAACCTGTTCGAGATAACACAGCAATAACTCCGGTCATAACTGCAGTATCGGGACTTCTAGCAATCGTCTGCGTTTTAATGCGGCTGGCGGACAAGTACCCACATTGGGAAAGGCTGCAATGGGCAGATCTCTGCGTTGTTATATCGCTGGCAAGCAAGACTGTACTTTGATACGCAAAGTGGTGGCTGACCCTCTATAGCTTCTTGCTATACCAATGGCGGTCTTGGAATTCTACAGTAAGCATGACTTGCCATATTGTAGGGGCAAGGGACACTGACCAGCTATAGTGTCAAGCGCCGGGTTTGGCAAAGACATTTGGACAATATCTTTTGACAACATCACTCGCATCGTGCAGGTGGGGATATATATGCTCGACGTCCAAGGATATCCTGCTAACGCCCCTGAAGTTCACATGGTTGACTGAGATCTTCTACATGATGACCATCGGATTCACGAAGATGGCACTGCTTTTGCTTTACTGGCGAGTATTCCCTACTCAGCCGTTCCGCAAATTCGTCCTTGCCAGCGTCGTTGTGTGTGCGGCATACATCCCTACGTTCGCCCTTGGTATAGCGTTGCACTGCCTACCGATCTCATACACATGGACAAGCTGGATTGGGGAGACGACTGGTCACTGCACCAACTTGAACGCTTTTGCATGGGCGCACGCCATCATCAACATCGTCTTTGACCTGTGGATCATTGTGCTTCCTATACCACAGCTACTGCAGCTGGCGCTTGGGCGTAAAAAGAAGATCCAAATTACACTGATGTTCAGTGTGGGCTTGTTGTGAGTCTTACATCTCCTTGGAGTCTCTCGGGACAGGAGCTGACCTTCACAGTATCACTATTGTTAGCGTCGTCCGTCTGACATCGCTTGTTCAATTTGCCAACTCGACCAACGCCACGTGTAAGTGATTCTGTGTCTCTTCGAAATTCAAGACTGACGTTATTCCACAGATGACAACGTCCCCACGGCTTACTGGAGTGTGCTCGAGGCCTTTGTCAGTATCATCTGCACCTGTCTCCCAGCAATTCGAGCCTTGCTTCGAAGGGTTTTCCCATCTTGCTTTGGTACCACGCGAGATGCAAGCTCAGACTCGCGAACATACCGCGTGACGAAGTCGCCCATGAACAGCGGGAACATGTCCAAGTCTGGTGGGCACTCCGTGACCGTGGAGGCGCGAAGTGAAGATTCAGACGCCATCGAGCTGGTACAGAAATCTGATCGTAAGGATGCCGGTCACGATGGTTGGTGATGCCTCTTTAGGGAGGCCAAGAGCATGCTTTTGGGTACCCCTCTCGCCCTGGCGCTCCATTTGGGACCGCGCATGCTGTTGAGTGTACAATTAGAAAAGTTTTACAGTACATAGGGTTTGGTGCAGGTTAATATCGTCGCCTGGGATACAAAGGCATTTGGGGGCATGATGAATTCTGAATCAGTCCTCAGCCACGTGATTCTGACCCTGACTCAGATGTACTCCTAGTCAATCTGCCCTGCCACCTGCGTAGCATCGCCGCAGCCTGTCGCCTTGGCAGCACGGAAGGAGGGCAAATTGATTGCTAGCACCCTTGAAGCCTGCGATCTGTCCATTTTCAACAATTGCAAACGCTACAACTTCCTTCAAAAAGTGCTTTGTTGCTGTTGCCGAGTTTGCGCATACTTCCCTCTTGTCCGCAGCGATTTTCTATCCACACCGCCATCATGAATATGCTAAACCCCCAAATGTAACTACTGTCCATTCAAATTAACCGAGAGCTCGTGACTGACTGTGTACAGCACCAACTTGGTGATCATCCTCGGGATGATGCAAGTCTCCAAGCGAGTACCCTTTGAAGACCCTCAAGTCCTTCTGGGAGTTCGAATTCTATACGTTGTGTCGAACCTGATCATCTTCGGTCTCTATTACTTTATCAGTCTGAAGATAAAAGCAAAAAAAGGTATATTAGCGCAGACTACTTGGCCGGCAGGAAGGGCAGACAGCTAATGTGTACTCCTACTAGATTTTACCACGTTGAAATATGTCGAGCCTTCGCCCATGGGGTCTGGGGAGGAGCCTAAGCTCGTCACTACGACCATTCAAGAGTACGACCAGCAACAGGTGATGTCTGCGTACAAGGGCCAGTTGATGGGTGTCGCCATGATGGGATTCATGCACATATACCTCAAGTACACCAATCCTCTTCTCATCCAGTCCATCATCCCGGTCAAAGGCGCTTTCGAGAGCAACTTGTTCAAGGTCCACATCCTCGGAAAGCCGGCGGCGGGTGAGCTTAAGAGACCATGGAAAGCTTCTGGCGGTATGATGGGCATGGGCCAGGGCGAGACGAAGACCGACAAGGCTAGCATTGAAGCTGCTGAGCGATCTGGCCGTGGCGGAGCCAAGGAAGAGTAAAGCAGCTGGTTACGAGGACAGGCACGAGACTTGGAAAAGCGCTGCACAAAGCTATATGTGGTTACATCGTCTGCGAAAAGTAGATGATACTTGCATCTATGATGTTGATTTGCTACGAATGTGATATGCGTGTCCTTCCTGTTGGATGCCTGTGTATGAGGACGGTGTGATATTACATATCAAATGAGGGTCTCGTGCTGGTAAAGGGGCGATTTTGGACAAAAACCGCGCAGCCCTAGGAACGAATGGCATCTCCTCGGCTTAATAAGATAACTCGAGTGAGTCGTGAGCGTTTAATAGATAATGAGAAAGCGATTGGCGGATTGATTGACCTCTTGCTGCTTTGACGGGGAACAAAGCCATGAGATAAGCAGCTGCACGTTGAGTCATGGGATTGGGATTATTGAATCCAATTGTTGGGAGCAACTATAAAGCCTGAGGAGACTGTCTTCTACAGGTTTTGAGATGAAGAAGCACTCTAAGTAGAAATTAAAGACTTCAAAATAAGGAATACCGAAGCCTCGTCTACTTACCTAGGTATCCGTTCAGTTCTCGTTCCTCGGGATCGCAATTATCGTGCACGATAATTGAAACCAGCTACTAGTAACTTATCCGTAGGTGAAAATCCGGAGGCGAGCTTATTACAGCGGAATTGATCGCTGCTCTTCTGCTGCCCCTCAACGTCAACACCGCCCCACCATTTGCTCAGAGGTCCAGAGGGAAATACAAAAAGCTTTCCTCATCCATTTCATCACACCACAGATACATTCTTCCCACACCAGAACCTCTACTCAGTCCTCAATTGGACAGTTCAACCCCATTTCAAACTCAGGTAAGCTAGATATATCTCTGATCCGGTCACTTCCTACAACAAAACCACCATTGACTTCAGTTGCAAGTACTGACTTCTTTTTTTCTCTTCTCAGCTCATTTTCAGTCCTACAGAAAGCACCATGCCTACTCTTGTCGGAATCAACGGCTTTGGCCGTATCGGACGTATCGTAAGTCGACTGAGCTTGCCCAAATTACATGTCGCAGCTAACACAATCCCCAGGTCTTCCGTAATGCGTGAGTATCCTCCGAACACTCCCTCGGTCTCCGAAAGACTGCCTCTAACAAACCCTCTCAGTGTCGAGCACGACGATGTCCACGTCGTGGCTGTCAACGATCCCTTCATCGACCCCAAGTACGCCGTACGTACCGCCTATGCTCCTCAGTCATATCACTTCGGCTAACAATCGCAGGCATACATGCTCAAGTATGACAGCACACACGGTCTCTTCAAGGGTACCATCGAGGTCAAGGAAGACTCTTTGGTCGTCAATGGCAAGACCGTCAAGTTCTACATGAAGAAGGACCCCGCCGAAATCCCATGGTCCGAGACTGGTGCATACTACATCGTTGAGTCCACCGGTGTTTTCACCACAACCGAGAAGGCATCTGCCCACTTGAAGGGTGGTGCGAAGAAGGTCGTCATCTCCGCCCCATCCGCCGATGCTCCTATGTTCGTCATGGGTGTCAACAACAAGGAGTACAAGTCCGACATTCCCGTCATCTCCAACGCTTCTTGCACAACCAACTGCCTGGCACCCCTTGCCAAGGTTATCAACGACAAGTTCGGCATGAAGGAAGGTCTCATGACCACCATCCACTCATACACTGCCACCCAGAAGACCGTTGACGGACCCTCTGGCAAGGATTGGCGAGGTGGTCGTGCTGCTGCCCAGAACATCATTCCCAGCAGCACCGGTGCGGCCAAGGCCGTCGGCAAGGTCATCCCATCTCTCAACGGCAAGCTCACCGGCATGTCCATGCGTGTACCCACCTCCAACGTTTCCGTGGTCGACCTTACCTGCGTTCTCGAGAAGCCCGCCAGCTACGACGAGATCAAGAAGGCCATGAAGGAGGCTTCTGAGGGCGAGCTCAAGGGTAAGGATTAAAACTCTTCTACAGCCTGCGCAGTTCACTAACTTCATCAGGTATTCTCGGCTACTCCGAAGACGAGATCGTCTCAAGCGACTTGAACGGTGACACTCACTCTTCCATCTTCGATGTCAAGGCCGGTATCGCCCTCAACGACCACTTCGTCAAGCTTGTTTCCTGGTACGACAACGAGTGGGGTTATTCCCGACGTGTTCTGGACCTTTTGGGTGAGTACCTTATCCGATCGGAAGATTTCGGAACGTGAACTAACAGCGGAACTAGTCTACATTGCTAAGGTTGACGGAAACGCGTAAATGGACGTCCCCGCATACAACATGACCGAGGCAGGTGGAGAGAATCTTCACCTTTTGAGGGGATGAGTTCATGATCGATTTTCGGGACGGAAAGCAAAGAAACATGAATTGATGAGTTTCGATCAAGTGCTGGACAACCACCGGCGTCCGTATTCTTGAGGTTAAATGAAGACTTTCACAAAAATAATTCCGAGCCTCAATGCTCTTTCTTGATAGCCTGATTGCCGACAACCCTCATCTCAGTATTCAGTCATTTCTCATGATGCAGTTCAATTCCCATTTTTCTATGTCCAAGAGGCAGGTCACGTGTCACTATCCTGTGGTTGTCACGAGACAAGGCTGAGATGTCTTGGCATTTCATTTACTCCTGACCTTTGTCAAGACGCGCTCCCAAGTGAGATCATGCAATTCACCTCGCCTAAAGACAGATCGATATTACAAATGATCTCTTGCAAGAGACTTCGTCACATAGATTCCAAAGCCTTTGTCTACTTCGAAGATTGAGTTACCTGCTCAGTTGCGCTTTGTTTCAAGTTACGACATCACCATTATCAAAGTGAAAGTCAAGTGAAGGGTATGCTCACTTCTCCTCCATACTCTGACTTAAAACACATATGTGAAGCTGCCTTTAACAATCGCAGTCGCCTCTTGCGTTGGTCGGTACTCGAGAGCTTACAAGATTCACTGTTGCAGAAGCGGTCCATTCACTCTACCCGATAAGTCGGAAACAACAAACATTGCCGTTGGGGGTAACGCTTTCCATCATGGAACAATTCTAGCGACTTGAGCTCGAACGAATCAAGGGAGCCGCCGGCGACGATGAGCAATCTTCCTCCGCCGGGCTATGGAGGCTCATCCTCAAATATGCCTAAGTTTCCAAATCCGATACCTAGGCTTGAGGAACCGCGCCTGATGTCTGTCGATACATCATGGGACACCCCCGACATGTCTACTGACATCGACAATCGACTAAAGATCGAGACCTCCGAAGAAGAATACGAAGATAGTCTCCTCTCAGACACCTCTTCGGAATTAGATGACGCATCTAAGCCGCCACGCGGTCTCCCTCTCAAAGAGCTACCTACTGGTCTATGCTACGATGAGCGCATGCGATATCATGCCGAGGTCGCAGCAACCAGTGGAGAGAATGTTCATCCAGAAGACCCTAGACGAATTTACTACATTTACAAAGAGCTCTGCGAAGCTGGACTGGTAGACGACAAAAAGTACCCGCCTATGGTCGAGATGCCGTTGGTGAGGATCGATGCCCGAGAGGCCACGCGTGATGAATGCCTCTTGGTGCATACGAGAGAACACTACGACTTTGTCAAGAGCACGGCCGAGTTGTCTGACGAAAAGCTTATTGATCTCTCAGAGGAAGGCAATCTGGATTCGATCTACTTCAACGCGCTGTCATACTTCTCGTCGAAACTGTCTGTTGGCGGAGCGATCGAGACTTGCCGTGCAGTTGTCTCGCGGAAGGTGAAGAACGCCATTGCTGTCATCCGTCCACCTGGCCATCATGCCGAGGTCGACCGCACGATGGGCTTTTGTCTGTTCAACAACGTCTGCATTGCTTCGCGGGTTTGTCAGACCGATTTCGGCGACGATTGCAGAAAGATTTTGATTGTGGATTGGGATGTTCATCACGGCAACGGTTGCCAAAAGGCGTTCTACAACGATCCTAATATCCTCTACATCTCCTTGCACGTCCATATGAATGGTGGGTTTTATCCTTCGGGCAACGAGGGCGATATGTTCCATTGCGGCACGGGACCTGGCTTGGGAAAGAACGTCAACATTCCGTGGCCCTCAAAAGGCATGGGCGATGGCGACTACATGTACGCATTCCAAAATGTGGTCATGCCCATCGCCATGGAGTTCGATCCAGACTTCGTCATTGTCGCCTCAGGTTTCGATGCAGCAGCCGGAGATGAATTGGGAGGTTGCTATGTCACTCCGCCTTGCTACGCGCACATGACGCACATGCTCATGTCATTGGCGAACGGCAAGATCGCTGTCTGCCTCGAGGGAGGATACAATTTCCACGCCATCTCGAAATCAGCTCTTGCTGTCACACGAGTCCTGATGGGCGAACCACCCGATAGACTACATGCCACCGCAGCAACCAACTCGGCTGTCGACACGGTCGCCAAAGTACGGAACGTCCAATCCAAGTACTGGAGGAGTGTCTATCCGAAAGATCCGATCGGCGGAATCTTTGGAGGAGAGAGATTACACGATATCATTCGGCAGTGGCAAGCAATGCATTTGTACGACAAGTTCAAATTGACTCAGCTACACATCTTCCGGGAGACGATTTCGAAGTCGTTTGATCAACAGGTTTTGGCTACGTAAGAATTCGCCACCAGAAAGAGAAGAGACTGTGCTGACGTTATGACAACAGGCCTAATTATGAAAGCAAGAAGCGACTCTTGATCATTTTCCACGACGCGTAAGTCTGGCACCCATCTTTCAGCATAGTCATATAGCTAACATGAAGTAGGCCAGATCTTCTAGGCCACAACACCGGCCTCTCAACACAGCACAAGCTACATGACACATGGATGGTATGTGTTTTCCTTCCCTGCCCCCAATATTCTGAGAGTTTCATCCTCCTCCCTCCTTTCTCCTGTCATCTCCCCATGGTCTCTGCGACCGTACACATTTCATGCTCACATCTAAAAGGTTGACGGCGCGCAGTCGTACATCCGCTGGGCCGTGACCCACGGTTTCGGCGTCATCGACATCAACGTCCCGCAACACATCACGGTCAACGACGAAGATAACCCGGACTACCACGAAACGGACGTCGAGTACGCATCGACCATGACCGACGTCGCGCGCAAAGAAGGCGAAAAACTCGCAATGTACCTGTGGGAGAACTACGTTGAGCCATACGAGTTTCCAGGCGGTATATTCCTGATGGGCGCGGGGACCGCGTTTCACGCTCTGGCGAAGTTGGTCAGTGAGAATGAGACGGTCTACACTTCCCTTCTGGGAATCATAGGCTTCATTGCGACGAATCCGATCCGTCCTATCTCGAATCCCGGTGTGCACTGGATCAGTCAGTGGTACCGTGAGAACTCGCTTGTGTACGTCAGTCGTGCGCATAGCGTGTGGAAGAAGGAGACGGGGAAGACGTCGAAGCGGTATGGTCGATTGAAAGAGAGTCCGGGTGAGGTGTTGAATGTCATGATGAAGATGCATGAGGATGAGGTTACGGAGTGGATGAAGGAGAAGGTGCGGCAGGCTGCGCGTGGGGACAGTGATGAGGATGAGGATAGCGTCAATGGCGAGATTAAGGAGAGTGATGGCGATACTGCCGATGAGCTGGTGCCAGTGGTAGCGCCTACTGCCCCGAGTGAGGGTGGTCCGGCCGTGGAGGTGACTGCTCCGGGCGCAAGGACCAGCCACAGCATGAGTTTGGGTGGAGATGTGTTTATGACGACTGAGCATTGAAGATTAGTATGAGGCGAGAGATTATGACTAGACTGCAGGGCTACCTAGGTACTAGTAGCGAGCAATTGACGCCCAGCGTATCCCTCAGAGAACATCTTCGTGGTTCACACATACAAAGCTGTTATGCTAGAGTTTCTTGTCATCGTTTCCAATCAGATCAAGTAGTCCCTTGGCTTGCTGAACTTGCACTCTTGCGCACTGTCAACGCAGAAACTTTCTGAAACGGGAAGTACTCGTACAAAACCATCTCAGACGTCACCATTTTCTTCTCACACATATGCCAGGTACCCTGCTCCGCTACACGATGGATGGATACTAGTTCGAAGAGAGCTCGTTATTGTCTTCACCACTCGCGCAATCTCCGCCTCACCCACTCAAAGCGTTCGATCTCGAAACAAGACTTCTTCTGGCTTTCAGCGTCTTTAGACGTCGCGGAGGTGTCTTCGGACGGCGGGGGCTGACCTCGACGTTGCTCTCACCGCCATTCGGTTGCTGCTTGCTCTTCCTCGCAGGCTGCGGGCGTTTGGTCGGACGGCGGAGACGGACCGGAATGTCGCTTCCACTGTCACTAGAATGCTGCTTATTGAGTCCTAAATCATCTGGGCTTTTAGACGTGTTTTTTGGGCGCGAGCTACTGGCCTTTCGCTTTAGAGCATGCGACGACGTGTCGATGCTGTGGCTAGGTCGTGCTTCGAGAGGTCGTTCGGCGCCAGTGCCACCAGCCATTTCCTTCTGCGCGGACAAGATCTTCTTTGCTAGAGCCTTGAATTCATCAGCAGTGGCTCCAGTCAATGTGTCGAACAGCTTGGCCTTGACATCTCTGCGCGCGGTATGTGTTGCTGCACCTTGAGCTATCTTGACGAGCTTGGTGTGGAATGCCGGATGTGTGACTGAATGCTTTGCTAGCACTGTCAGATCGAATGGCTTCACGTCCAAGAACTCGGCTTGTCGAGCGGCCTGCTCTCTTAGACTCTCAATCTCCTTCGCGATGTCTCTTTCGTCTGAACTGAAGCGTGCTACTGAATCTTCCTCGTCTCCGATGGTCGTGCAGAAACTCTCGACGACTTCTTGAGTGTGACTTAGAGAGTCTTGTTCCGCCTGATATTTCGCTTGGGCTTCCTCGAACGCTTTGCGCGCATTCTCAAAGAGGCTCTCTTGCTCCTCCCGGGTCAGTCTCGCCTGCTCTTGACGAGTGCGCAATTCTTCAATCTTCTGTCGGCCCTTCTCTTTTCCCTGCTTGATATCGGTCATCTTTTGGGTAAGACCATGCTCTCTCTTCTTCGCTCTGGAAAGTCGATTTAGCATAAGAGCTGATTTAATTCGTGATTTGTTGACAGCGTGCGGGCTGGGCAGGTTTTTCTTTCGAGTATCGGGTTTCTTGATGTTTACGACCTGCGTCTCGGCTTTCTGCATTGTTGGCGCATGACTTGGTGAGACTGATGGAGACCTAGACCTAGGGACAGGCGATCGTGTTGGTGGAGGCCCTGTCTGTGAGGGACGAGGTCGCGATGATGAGCAGGTAGAAAGGGGGCTTAATTCAATCCATTGAGCCGGCATCGACTGGCCGGGCTCGGAGGACATATTCTTCACAGGCTCGGTCGTATTGGCCATGGTGTCGTCTCGAGGATCTGGTATGAAGTCCAGCTCTTTAGCCGATGTTCCACCATAGGCGGTGACAGGGGCCAAGACACGTTATGGCGGAACGAGCAGGCAAGGGACGATGAAGCGACGAAAGATCAGTCAGTATTCGAATTTTAGGTGGTGAGACGAAAGAGGTCAGAATCGAAATTCCAGTTGCAAACTTGTAGTGAAGTGAACGTCGTAGTTGTGTGGTGGCACAGTTTGTCAACTTGGCATCATTGAGCAGTGAATGGAAGCAATCGTCCACAGAAGTGAGACGAAAAGGTGAGAAAGCACAATAGTCGCTAAAAAAGAGGTTGAATTCGAAAAGGACCTACTCTCTGGGACTTCTCTTCACCATTGACCTGAATCGTTAAGCAACGCGCCTTCCTCCCTCATGATCTTGACTTGTAACATCGAAGACATCATAATTGATTTGGAAACCCGTTCTAGTACCATAGCGCCTTGTTCCAGTACAAACTCCTGTTATTGGCCAGATCATCCTTTCCGAGCGAGAATGTATCGTTGAATATCAGTTGTGTCGTATTGTCCCCGTACTTAGGCCAGTATAGCTTGTCTTCCGGCCACTTCGTGTTAGGATTGCCCGTGAGGATGAAAGAAAGCAGATACTTTTGCATCTTGATGGCTATAGTCGAATCGACCGAGCTTGATTCTCCGCCAGTACCCGTTGTGCCGCTTGGCCCGGTGGAAGTGCTGTTGTCGGAGGAAGTGGCATTCGAGCTGGTTGTGCCAGTAGAGCCGCTCGGTGCACCTGTCGTCGAATTCGAAGTACCAGTAGTACCTGTAGTGGTGGTTCCCGTGGTTGTCTCTGACGTCGATTCCAAAGTGTAAGTGCTATACCAAATATAATCCTGATCGGTACCATGAGTCGCTGGGCTGAGACCGACTTCAGCATTCCAAGTGTTGTTGTCCAAAGCTTGGGTAAGAGCAAGGTTATGGGCCGTCAAGTCAAGCGACTGTTTCATGTCCGCAAACCGCAGGCCTGGACTGGTGTAGTCCGACTCCGGGTAAAGCTCAAGCAGCTCGTTGACGACATCGTCCGTGATGGCGGGGAAGAAGATCCTCAAATAGGTCGACACATCGGCAGTGGTATTCACGCCTGAGTATGCCACTCTGTTGGCTTCGTGCTGTTCGTGGGTGATGACTAAAGGACCACTGAAGTTGAATCGTTTTTGGTAGAATTGGGACTCGTATGTGTCCGCCACAAAGTCGCCGTCCACTCTCGGTTGGAATTGGTAGGTATAGTTGTCGACCGCGTCAGTCGCGGCCCTGTTAAGTGTGGTGAAGTTCACTCGGCGCATGCAGTCCAGATGGCCACCGTCACAGCCGACTGCGGATGAGACGTTTTGCCAGAATTGCTCGCCATGATTATGTCCAGCACCTGGCACAAAGCCGGGAGACATAAGATATGCACGGTCGAAGAGCTGCTCGGCATGACCAGCTTTGCGCGTCAATTGGAATAGTGTGTTAGAGGCACCAGCAGAAAATCCGACTGCCGTGATTTGGTCTGGATCTCCACCAAACTTGGATATGTATTTTCTTGTCCACAGAAAAGCATGTTCGGCATCCCAAAGCCCTAGATTTGAAGTCCCTCCTTCATGTTGTAGCGTAGGTCCAGTCGCTAGGCCCGTCAGACCAAGTCGGTAGTTGTAGGCAACGAAGATAAAGTCGGTGGTGAGGTTGAACCAACCCTCAGGCGTATTCTGCGACTTGCTGCCTGCGGTGAAGCCACCACCGTAAGTCCACTGGGCAACCGGGAGCTTTTTACCAGCGGCGTTTGCAGGGACCCAGACATCCATGTAGAGACAGTCTTCCTCGGAAGAGCAGTCAACATCAGCATCAGCTAAGGAGCCATTGTTGACCTTGGTCTCATTCGCCGGCCATTGGGGCTTAGCCCATCGCAGATCACCCGTGGGTACAGCAGCGTATCGGACATTTTGGTACTTGTAGTAGCCTATCGAGGAGTTGCCGGCAGCTGCTTCGACGACAACATTAGGTAGAAAGACAGAGCAATCAAATGTATCGTATCATGAACACTGTTTGACAGTTATACCTAGTGTAGGTACTGTAGATAACTGCCCTCGCAAAGCTCTCTGAAGAAAATTCGGGTTATCTGACTACCCCAAGTCTTCCGATCGATGTTATTCTCCTGTCGGTAATTGTAACTCAATTTTACCTCTTTTCGATGCGGTCATTCTATGTAAGTCAGAAAGTGACAGGCTCAACTGCTCAGCTAATTCTGGTGGAGACAACCACAATCAAGCAGGTGCTGTAGGTACAGGATTGTCAAAGCCACCAACCGACGTTCCTTTCGATGTTCTGTCGCTGTTTGTGCCAAGATTGGACATTGCTCTAGTCACTTGCTTGTTTGTTTACACAGGATCGTTATCAGTCCAGTTCATCCCGTCGACGTTGTCTGAGGCGGAAGCAAAGTCGAGCCAGGAGAGATCAGGCCCAAGAAAAGCGGCTAAGTCGTCCGGAAGAGGCTGGTCCAAGGCCAGTGGCGGCAAGTCGTTGTCGAATATGCCGTTAGGATAACGGGTGGCTGGTTCAAGCGCTATCGTTGTGGTATCTGATGTCAGCCCGTCGTTTTCGTTGGGCCCGACAAGTCCGTTGGAGCTCAGGGAATCGTCTCTACTACCTTGCCCAGATGAGTAGATGGAGGATACCATGTCTATTATTGATGTATTTTCAGTACGGTCTTGTGCCATGTTCGGGGGTACGACTTCACCGTGATCGACATTTCGACCTAAGCCAATGCTCGCTGGTTGTTTAGAGGGATCTGTCACTTTTGACTGTTGCTTTCGCAATTCCAACCGGTTGATAATGTAGTCGATAAGGTGTAACGCCCATACACCGCCAAACTGCTGTTCGGAAAAGGCCTGGAAGATAGCTTTACACTGTTCTAGCCGTTGATATGCCTCGGAACGTATGGCGTTGTCCAGCGATGTCATGTCGAAAATGTGGTTGATGCTAGCAGGGATGAGACAGGTGATACAAGTTGCCGAAAGTGATTCGACCAGGTTTTCCTCGTAAAAGCCCATGGCGATTTGGGTGATTTGCCGGGCTGCGAAGCGAACGATTGCTCTGGACTTATCTGGCGGGCCCCTATCTGCAGGCTCGATTGAGCTGGACACTGTGACTGCTGGCAACATTTGCGGCCGATGCAAGTTCAACAGAGCCGCATAGTAGGTCATGGCCAGCAATCCCCGGTGAGCCAATTCGGCCTTTTCCATCGCTCGAGGACTTGGCGGAAAAGGCGTGGTATGCCACAACTCATCAGAGACACCTTGACGCCACAGCTCGAGGTCTTTCTCGTACGCTCTCAGTTGGTCCGTATTCAGTGAGATCCTTTTTGTTGCCATTTTGTCACTGCCCTCTAATTGGTGACGTGAGTAGAGCACTGCTGTTTTGCCAGATTCCAGCTCAGGATAGGCTGCTTTGAAGATCTTTCCGCAGATGTGCATCAATTGGACAAAAGACACACATTGCTGGGCATGTGCGCGTTGCTGTCGTAAGGTTGAAGGAACAGCTCCAGGGAGCACATCAGTTGCATGGTGGAAGTCAAAATCATCCACCTCAAGCATGGGCACGTCGTGGTCGACTTCCATGATCCTTGGTGACCTGCTCAATGCGAAGGACCCTATGGTGTCACGGGTGACCAGGCCCCACCACAGCCGTCTGCGCAATCGGTGCATAGATGTACCGAGAAGGAGGTTGGGTGCTGCTTGATGCAGACTGATGGTGCGGGACAGCGACAGGGCGATCCCGATCCAATGCCAGGCATCTTTGTTCTCATTCGGACCTTCAAACCAAAATGTCCACAACACGAAAGTTTGAATCAGGCATATCCTATCATCCTCGTAGTCGGCTCCATATAGCAATCGGAGCTTCTGGTGAACAGATCTCCTAAAAGCCTTCCGGGAGAGGAACCCAATTCTGCGAACCAGCCTGACATCGACCCACGTGCTACCAACAAAAATGAGAGCCTGGAGGAGTAGGAGACTCAGCTTGTCATCTGTCTTGGTGCCTTTGACGATCGACAAGATGTCAAAAGGGTTCACAATGGGGAACAACGGCTGAACGTTCTGAAAATACGATCGCAAGCAGGCATCAAGTAGCTCGGCATCTGGGAGGGTAAGAGCACCTTTTACTTGCAAGTATTCGACATCCTCTTCAGCCATACTCGAAGGGAGGGGTTTGACCCATGCAGGTAAATCGCTTACACACGGTCCAGAGGAGGCCGAGCTACTCCGTGAGGCAAGATGCCTCGACAGACGGAGCGAAGTATGAGATGGTGGAACGGTTTGTTCTAAACCATTGGACCTCCAATTTTGCGGATCCTCTATGCTCTCAAGGTTAGCTTTCGGTCACATTTGCATCGCCAGGAAATGGTACCTAGATTGAATGGACTCTCTATGGTTATGTCTGCGACTGTGTTGAAGCCCGCCAGCACTGGAGAAGGTTGAGGCTGAGTGGCCGTCACCGCTTCATTTCGCTCGGGGCTCGTGTCATGCTCGGCCATACTGGACAGAGCAAGGTTGTCTCCTGGAAGAAGTCTTGGTGGTGGACGCGGATTGCTATGCCTGTGGCTTGACCTGCAGAACGTCTTCAGCACACTTGTCAACCCGCTTTGCGCCAAGGGACAACTGACTTTCTGGGGCGCTTGGGTGATAGAACACATTGGACGCTTTCAAACACACAGATGGAGCATGGATGTCCACCACGAGCATCGCAGCGGACCTTTTTCCAACGACACAATTCACAGGCAGCAAGCGCCCGTCGCGAGGCCCTTTGCAAAGGAGTGGCTTGCTGCCGAGGACGAGGGCGCGCCAGATCTGGTTCTTCCATTGAGCGTGGATGACTTCCTGTACAAAGCTCAACCCTCATGACATACTGAAGCAGTGTGCAAAAGTCGATCTGCCTTCAGTCGGTGCTAGTGTTGTAATCTAACAGGATTGCTGAGTAATGGTGTTCCCAAAGCTTCCCCACCGTCTTCCCATATGCATGGCCTGAATCAAGGCCCCCACTAGCCACACCCAGTCAGTGATGATAATGCGAGGAGTCTTAATTTAGTGCGTGGAAATGTCGAATCCATGCCTGTGCCCTTGCTCATGCGATTCTTTTCCATTGTTCTTGCCTTGGCAGGTCTGGAACCTCTGAAATACCACTGTGTACTGGATACCCAAGCCAATGGGCACGGGTGCTCAGCTATTGCGGTTCGGGTAAGCAGTAAGTTTCCTGACTGGACAAATGGAAGCAGCATTTAGATCTGATATCATTTATGAGGGACCCGAATGCATGGCCTTAGTACAGAGATATCTTTCAGGGGAAACGTCCTGACATGTAACTTTTCGAGGAAAAGGTCAAGGCTGAAAGTTACATCTACTACAAACATCAGTGCTGGCAAGTTGAAGTAGGTTTGCATTGGAGACGACAATGGACCACATAAACATGGTCATTGTAGGCTTCTGAAGCTCCATGTTAGCAGGCGTCTACCCTAGCCTCACTTTCGCACCAGTGGAATTCCGCGACTCCGCTAAGGGATCTTGTCAAGCTTTAACCTTAAAGGGTTGTTTCAGGTACCAGCCTCAGGAGGACTCTGGAGGCTTTCGGTTTGTAATTAGTAAGCTACTCGATACAAAGCACTTGCAATTCGTGCGGTGCCGTCACGGGCCAAATAGCTTTCTAAGCCGTGCACATTGTCTTATTGGCGGCCGACATCCATTCAAGATCCGGCGCGGACGAAGCAGGATCGCCAATAGTTGAATAATCTCTCATATTCTTTTCGGGACAAGGGATTTCGGGCCGCGGAAGGGATCTCCAATCATATTTGACAATCACGGTACCAAGCAGATCTTGATACCAAATCTCCTAACTGTAGGAGTGAAGGACGTTGTGCCTGTCCCCTACGTATGTGTTGGGCACTGCAATGTTTAATTAGCCTCTATGGCTACCACACCATCGTAGGCACTCTTTATATACCCTTTGAGCAGCCAGCTTTGTGAAAACAGGAGAACAGCAGCTAACATCAAACATCAGCGGACTTAATCATGGCATCCAACTCGCTTTATCCTGCTAAGGCGGCTCCATCATTGAACCTTCCTCCTGGAGCCTCTGCAAAGGTTCAAATCGTCGACACTACCTCCAGAATCCGTGGGCCTATCGACCTTTTCATGTCCCCACCCATCAAGGGCCATGAGCTTCTCCATGTGCCGGCTTTCAGTTTCCTCGTTGAGCAGATCTCCTCTGGGCGCAAGATACTATTCGACCTTGGGCTCAGGAAGGATTGGGAGAGCCACCCTCCTGCAGTCCTGAAGCTCATCTCGACTCCCGGCTGGAGTTTTGAGATAGAAAAGGGTGTTGCCGAGATCTTGCAGGAAAATGGGGTCGACGTGGCAGCTGGGACCATCGAAGCCATCGTTTGGAGTCATTGGCATTTTGACCATACTGGAGATGCGAGCAGCTTTCCCAGCACTACAGCCTTGATCACAGGCCCAGGCGTCAAAGAGGCATTCCTTCCCGCCTTTCCAGAGGGCCAGGCGTCACCCCTCTTGCAAACGGACCTTGAAGGTCGCGAACACAAAGAGCTCGACTTCGATAACCAATCCACCGTCAAGATTGGTGGCTTCAGAGGCTTAGACTACTTTGGAGACGGGTCATTCTATCTCCTTGACGCGCCTGGCCATGCAGTAGGCCATGTGTGCGGCTTGGCCAGGGTGACCTCTACGAAAGAAGGCGACGCCGAAGACACTTTCGTCTTCATGGGCGCAGACACTGCGCATCACGGTGGAGAGTTCAGACCGACTGAATACTTACCTCTACCGAAGGACATCTCGCCATCTCCATATCAAGCCAAGTACCCCACAGTCTGCCCGGGTCATGTTTTCGAGGCAATTCACCCAGGCAAGAAGGGCGTCGAACCCTTCTACCATATTAATGACAAGGTTGCCCACGACAGAGGGCAGGCCGACCATGCGTCTGAGCGTATGCAGGAATTTGATGCTGCAGACAATATTTTTGTCATCATCGCCCACGATGACACCCTCCTTGATCCTGCCGTCGGCATAGAATGGTTTCCGCAGGGCACAATGAAGAATTGGAAAGTGCATGATTCGGCAAAGAAGGCCCGCTGGGCATTCTTGAAAGATTTTACTCAGGCGGTCGAGTCAGTGTCAAGCTAGACCTGGCCTCAATCAGGTGTATGCTCTGGACAAAAGTGAGAACAGGGAGTTCGAGGATTTTCTGCATGTACACTCTTTTCGATGTGGGTCATGCTTGGGCATTGGCTCACCATCAGAAATAGCTATTGAATAGATCTACCATCGATATATTTACGAGGAAGAAAGATACATGTCACGGCTGGAGATGCAGATCATGTTCTGTGAGCTCGCAGTATGGACCTTGAAACAGAATTTCCTTCTTGTGCCAGAATGAGATACAGGACATTCGAGAACGACTTCCCTTCTAACTTGACACAATGACATTGGTCTTGTGATTTGCCATCATTATGGGAAATGAGGCGTTCTAAGAGACGCCCGCCCAACGGCGCTGGTCCAACCTCAAGAGTCCGTCATTTCTGTCACTGCAAAGCTTCTGATCTCTTGCAAAGCAGAAACTCGATGAGGCTGGATCTCATCGACATACTCCTTATCCTCCAGAACGGACCGAAAGGCAGCAAAGCTTGGGAATCTGACCAGCAAAACCACGTCGTAACTCTCGCCCTCTTGTGATCCAGCAACCAGCTGTGTATGAGCTTCTCCCAGGAACACAATACTGAGGTCTACACCTAATTCGGTCGCTCTCCTCACAAACCCGTCCTTGTAGGCGACATATGCTTCTCGACCTGTAGACGACTTGAGCTTTGGACCGGTATAACTTGCAGGATATTGTGCCTTTGGTTTGAACTTCATCATGTTCATCATTACATAGGGCTTCTCGGCTGGGATGGTCTTCGAAGCAGCTTCAAGATTGCCCAGATAGTGTTCCGCATTGGTAGTCATGATCGCGGCAATGAAATGAGATCGGTAGGGGACGTGGGAGATGGAATTCTGTAGTGGCCAGACTGTTCCTCGTTACGATTTCATTTATGTTGATAGAAATCCCGCGGGACCCCTGATGATGGTCTCGCTGACTGCACAAAATGACTCAGGAGGTCGTAGGTTCGTAACGGACCGTGGATGTGTTGGCTGCTCCGCGGGCCCAATTCCATGGTCAGATTGAAATGAGTCGAACAACGCTTGTGCCGCGGGACAATCTGCCAGTTGGTAATGATTCGACTCAGCTTACCAAGCGGCTGGGCGATGTTGCGCATCAACACACACGACTTCGCAATCATTGTTCGAGCATAACAGTTGTCCTACAGTTGTCGGAGAATGACACCAAAGGAGGTTCCCACGCGCAAAACTTCCTATTTAAACCTGTGATGTGGATGTTTGTTTGATGCCGTGTGTCTTTTCCCTCATCATCTTCACAATTGGTGGTCTGAACCCCGTCTCGATATTATAAATTGGATAGGGTGGCTCCATGATGGCAAGGCTGAGACCCCTGGACGAATCGCGCTAGGCAATTGGGCGTGGTCGACCACGGGCACGTGCAAGTGTGATGCAAGAAGAAATTGCGAAGGACGGCAATGAAGCAACCCAATGGGCATCTTTGCGAATGATTTTCATGCGCGAGAGGTACTCGAATGATGACGTTTCTGCTAATATCTGGTACCGAGGTTAGATCAGCAGGGATAGGTGATTTAGGTTGCGATGGGGCTGTAAGACTTGGTGGGGAGTTGAAACTTCATCCGAAGCTTGATCGCGCACGAAATATGTTAGCCAGTGAGCTGGTAACCGATGACCAAACGCACTGTTGGATTCACGCACTGGTTGTGGCTTTTGGTCAAGGCTTGTGCTGCATGGCAGCGAATTGGCAATACCATTTGCTCGGGTTGACCCACAGACGACCCCAGCGGAGACAGGAATATGCGGGGAGAGTCTTGCCAGGAACAAAGTGGAGTTGGAACTGATGCATCCTCGGTTGCGAAAGTGCCAATCGGTTGCGAGAGTCCTACGGTACATATTGGTTCGAACCCTGGCAGCGATGATTCGCGCCTCAATCGCCTTTAGACCTCTGTCGAGCTCCTCTCGTGAATCAGATAACATCAGCAACGTCGATCTATCGGCAGCAGCATTTCAATAACATGGGTTCTGTTGACGACAGTTACGTGGTGCCTGATTGGTACCACTCCGGGATTCTTCGTCCCATCAAGGTCATATGCATCGGTGCGGGTCTTTCAGGTCTATGCCTCGCCTACAAGATGGGTCAAGGCCTCGATTCCTTTGATTTGACGATAAACGAGAAGAATAGTGATGTCGGCGGCACGTAAGTCCAACATGCACCGGACTACATGCTCTTGACGAGGACTGAGTTGACACAGTTGGTTTGAAAAAATCGGTATCCTGGCTGCGCATGTGACGTTCCTGCACACGTCTTCAGTGAGTCCAGTGTTGGGAGGCTACATACCTCGTGCTAAAGGCGCCACTCAACAGGCTTCACGTTCGACCCAAAGCCTGACTGGTCGGAATACTATGCAGGCTCAGCTGAGATCTGCGAATATTGCCGCGGTCAGTGACTTAGCGGACACTCTTTCACTTGGGTGTATCTGACATTTCTCCATAGATTTCTCTCGGAGGCATAACATCGACCGTTTGACTAAGCTTTCGCATTCGGTGAAGGAAGCTGTCTGGGATGAAGATTCTTTTCGGTGGAAGCTACACACTGAAGACTTGACCACGATACCATCGAAGGTCATCGAGGATGAGTGCGACGTCCTCATAAATGCTTCTGGCTTCTTGAACAATTGGAGCTGGCCAAAGATCGCGGGTATTGAGAATTTCAAGAAGCCAAAAGTTCATTCAGCAAAATGGGACGCCAACCTGGACTTCAAGGATAAGGTAGTTGGCATCATAGGAAATGGTTCTAGCGCCATGCAGGTAAGGTCACCTCTGCTAGAAACATTCACTTGACTTGCAAGCTCACAGCATTGCTAGATTGTCCCCAAGATTGCAAAGGTTGAGTTGGGAATTTTCAGGCCGAGGGAATTGGTATGTCGATTCACTAACAGTTTCGTCCAGATGCGGCCCGCTTAAAGGTCTTCATGCGCTCACCGACCTGGATATCTCCTGCCCTGGGTGCTAATCCTGGTCTTGAGTTTCAACATGAGCATGGAGAGCAACATGAAGCTCCCAAAAGCATGAGCAGTTTCAGTTCACGGAGGAAGAGAAGGAGGAGTTTAGAACGAATCCTGAAGGCCACCTTCAGTTTCGCCGCCGGATCGAAGCCGAATTCAACATCCTGGTTGATGTGTTCGTCCTTGGAATATGGATCCTCGGTTCGCACAGTTCTCTCACCACCACAATGGTTTAAAAGCACTTTACCCTTGGCCGAATGCTTTGTTTCAGTCCAGACTGTCTTGTTATGATCTCTCCTTGACTGTGATCAACGCACGGCCACCGAAGACGACGAGAGTCTTCGAACAACATGGAAACCTATTCCAATTACAACCTATTTGTATGCCTGCAGTCGCAACTCATCTACCTCTATCACTCTCGCTGACAGTACCCCAGGTCATCCTCTTCTCCGCTTTTGGCTCCCTATTCACAGGCTATGGCTTGGCTGTCATTGGGAACACGTTGGGCCAGCCAACGTTCTACACTACAATGCACGTGCCAGCAGTGCCCACCGACCCTGCATACTCTCATACTCGCACCTTGATAGGTGCCGCCAATGGCATCTTTTTCGGGGCCGGCTTTGTCAATTGCCTCATCGCGGCATGGACTGTTGACGCCTTAGGTCGCAGGAGCACCTTTCGCCTGGCAGCCGCTATTGGGATCGTTGGCGGCACGCTTCAGTGTGCTGCGGTAAATCAAGCAATGGTACGCACTCTTCCTCCCCACAAGCCATTTCCAATTCACGTAGCCAGCCCTGACCAGTCATGCTTAGTATCTTGTCGCTCGGGCATTCACCGCTATCCCTGTGGGCATAACCATCGTCGCAATGCCAATTTACTACTCCGAAGTTGCACCACCCCATTCCAGAGGACTCATGGCGGGTGCACATGGATGTTGTATCAACCTTGGCTACTTCCTGGCTGCTTGGATAGGGTAGGAGAAGACATGCAAGGCTCAGTATCTACGGATCGACAACTGACACTCTTTCAGCTTTGCATGCTACTACGCAGCTGATTCAACCTTTGGCTGGCGCTTTCCCAATGCCGTTGTGGTTTTGTGGGCTGTCTTGCTCCTCGTTGGCACTTTATTCGGTATGTCTCCTCTTGCCTCATTCAGATGCACTACAATCCAATGTTTGACGTCTGACCACGACCCAGTCCCGGAATCTCCTCGCTGGCTTGTTCAGCGACAGCGCAATGCAGAAGCACTCAAAATTCTGTGTAGATTGCACCACGATCCGTCTGATCCAGAAGATACGTTCGCCCACCGGGAGCTGAATCTTATTGTGAAACAATTGGAGCAAGATCGTGGTGCGATTACGGGGGGCGGCCGCTGGCAGCTCTTCACTGAGAAGACGTATCGAAAACGCCTGCTCCTCGCTCTCATGATCGCAATCGGCGGCCAAAATGCAGGTGAGTTGGATTCAGATACCACACATATTCAACTGTGTTGTCCTGACTGGCGTACTCGCCTCTCTGATAGGTATTCTTGTGATCAATAACTACAACGTCCTGCTTTATGAGTCACTAGGATTGACTGGCTCCATGCCTCTGTTGATCGCCGCCGTCTGGAACACCATCGGCTTTATCGCAAATGTTGTGCGCGCCGCCACGAGTGACCGAACCGGAAGACGAACTGCATTAGGTGAGTGCGCCCCAGTCTCGCCCTGTCGCCGCGCTCTACTCTGGCCAAACCATCTTTTCTGCTCATTCTGGTCAGATACTCACGCATCAAATCCTCAGTCTACGGGTATGCCTTCACAATGGGAAGCTTTGTCATCGCAACCGGCTTGATTGGCAAGTATGCAGAGACACCGACACGAGGATGGGCTGCTGCCGCAACGGTCTTCCTGTTCATATACGTGGTTGGGTAAGTCTCCTTAACTCCCAGCGGGTCATCTCTTCAGAAGAAATCTGATATTAAACGTCTTCTTTCCAGATACGGCACCTGCATCGACCCCAACCAATTCACCGTCGTCTCCGAGATCTTTCCGTCGCACCTTCGCGGACAAGCAGTTGGCATATCTCTCTGTGGCCTGTTCCTCGCCGACACCTTGTGGTTGGAACTCCAGCCCACCGCAGAAGGAGCGATCGGGTGGAAATACTACCTTGTTTTCGCATGCTTGGGGATGGTGCACACCATCTTCTTATACCTTATACTTTTTTCTCCCTGAGGTGAGAATCTTCTTTGCCCTGCCAGATCACTACGCCCCATCTTGAGAATCGCATACGAGAACTCTTGAGTATGGAAGCTTATTCTGTGTTACATTAGACTTCCGGTCTGGCTCTCGAAGAGATCGATCAACTCTTTGGCAAAACCGTCGTTGCTCACCTGGACGACCATCCGCTTGCAGGGACTGCAGTCAACGGAGCTTCTGGCGAGACTGGAGAAAAGGACGGCGCGGTCACGGCGCAACATGCTGAGACTGCTCAGGTAAAGCAATGAAGCTTATGTGGCAAGATGGCTGAAGGGGAAGCAGGACAGCTTTGGCAGTTCTGAGGCTTCACATTGGTTTGGAGGAGTTGTTGATGGTGGAACGCCAACGGTCGGAAACGTATAGTGGCTATGGGGTCTTCCTGAGCGACCTTTCCCCCATGAAGCAGAATCACACGGCTAAACGACTAGTTGACTCTCTTCTGCTTTCTTCGCGACACTCAAAGCCCACTCGATCGTTTCCTTCTCGGCACTCAAATGCGGGCAATGGTCCGCCTTGATGCTCGTGACATCAACTTTCCGACCGCTCACCTCCTCGATCATAGCAATCATGTCCCTTTGAAAATCAGGAGGTCCGGCCATATCCTCTTCGCAGAACAAGTACGATACTGGAATGTCCTTATACCCGGCGTGCGTCAACTCATTTCCGAAACTCTGCGCCGAATGCTTCGCAAAGTCTCTGACCAAAGCCTCACCCTCTTCAGGAGGTAATTTTTGACAGATCATTCCAGCAGTCGCAGCCGGATCTTCCATCAGCATCCAGCCATTTTCCTAGAGAGTACATGTCATTCCTATCAGGCACAGACCAGGTGCAGTAGGCGATTGTTGATGGTACTTACATCGATGGACACATGAGGTCTTTTGTTGTCGGGACATCTGCTCAGGAGCGACCCGGCTGATTGTCCAACCGCAGGGACCAGGCAGGATATGTAGGCGAGATGAACGATTCCCCCGAGTTTACCTTGGGCTTTTCTCTCATCTTTCCCCAGTCCTTTCGTGCTTTGAGACATGGGTATACCAGCGTACGAGTGACCCATGAGGACCACGTCTTTGCCTTGATCTGCGAGTTTCTCGGCCTCTTGTGCGATTACAGCCGCATCGTCGTACGTTGATGGTGCTGGACCATCCCTTCCCTGCCGGCTGTTTAGTCCGATAGTAGGCAGGTGGATGCCCTGAATCTCATAACCTGCTCTCGAGACGGCGTCCAGGAGATGCTGATAGGCTGGCAGTAGAACGTACGAGCCTGGAATAAAAAGTATTGAAGGTTTTGACATTGTCATAAACACTTCAACAACTCGGTTGTGTAAGCAAGGTCGATGCAATCAGATGTGGCAGCCTGTGTACTCGAACAGCCAGAAATTCCAACGCTTGGAAGATGCAATGTTGGTGTTTTATCAAATGGCCGGTCAAACCAAAAGGATTGATCCGAAACATTTTCGTCCGGAGACTCGAGGCTGAGACCCTGAAGTGTGGATCGTGACAAATGCTTCCTGCCAGCCCGGGAGTCGGCTTTCCACTTTGGGACACATCCGCCGGATGTCCCGTACTTCCTTATCGGGGAGGTTTCGTTGGCACTTCGAGGTATGGTTCGGCTCGCCAACCAGCCAGCACATGTCGAAGGCAAAGGGGCGTAGATTGAAGGTCGTTGGTGGTATTGATGTTCAGGTGTAACGTGGTGTAGACGCCATGGTGTTGATTTCGTGGGCCCACTCTGTCCAGAACAAAGCCTGCTGGCTGTCATCGAAAGGAAAGGCGTTTAGCCAGTCAATATCATCTGTAGTCTCACCAAGATCGAGACCATCAATCGGATGAGATTGTAAGATTGTGTCAACATTCTCGGATTCTGGTTGGTGCCTCACGCTGAGGGCAGCATCTAGTGTCTCACTGAGGCCAGCGTCCTGCGATGATGAGGACCTCTGTGCAATCAGGGCCGGCTGAGGTACTTTCTTGGCTCGCACGAGTGTTCGCTTGATGAGGCCCGCTGCATTTATGGCCACTACACACTCGTCCATAGCTTCGAGTACCAAGATGGCGCGGTCAATGTGAGCGAAAAGGATCTCGAGTGCTGGCTGAGTTCTCGCAAGCTGACGAAAGATCACGGCGAGCAGTACACTGACGGCATATAAGGTATAGGTCGTGTTGTACCACCAGGTTTGGAAGTAGTCATCTGTACGATATGTTGAGTATATTAGATCGATCACATCTTCGGCGGATGAGATACACCTGCACTGGCATTCTCGAAGGAAGGTAGTTTCGTCTGCTCTTCTCGCATCAAGCATGAACGCAGCATGAATGACCATTCGAAGGTTGGAGTAACGCAATCGCAGTACCACTGACTGCTTTTTAATGTAGTTGGCGATGCGGCGGGGTTTCAAGCCAAGGTCCGAGCCATTTGGCTGCTCAGACCGAAGGTAGGACGGAACCTGTGCGAACCAATGCCGTAATTCAGCGTCAAGGGCGTTTGCCTGTTGGAGCTTCTCGTCGAGTTCACACGGCTGAGTATACATATCGAGTGCCACTTTCCGTGTAAGTCGCGACAGCCCAACCGTGCACGGAACAATCTGCAGAATGTGGGGACCTATCATTGGTTCTGCTCGAGTGGCAGTGGGAAGAGGTTGCGTGTGGTATTGATCAGGACCGAGGCTGTCTGGTCGACCCAAATCAAAGCTGGTCTGTATATCAAGACAATAGACAGCCCACCACGTTTTCGATGCGGCTCTCGAGGGTCTTGGGTCAGCAGCATCCTCACTAATGGACTTGCGATTGATTCCGATTGCCAACGAGGTTCTTGCTGCTTGACCAGAGTATAAGTAGGCGACGTGAGGTTCGAGCTCGTGTTGGCATATTCTGCTCATCATATACAGACACTGAACCATGTCTATGTCAGTTGTTGTGCCAAGTTGCGTTACGATAGCAAGTGCGTCGTTGAACAGCTTGCGACTCCATGTAAATCGATCTGCTCCGGATAATTCGGGGGTCTCGAACGTCATGATAAGGCTGCCCAGACTCAGAGTGGCATAGTAGAGAGCGACGAAGGATGAAGGCTGTTTGCCAGGTCTGTTGAACCACAGATCTTCACAACGAGCGAGAAACTCTTCTTCGTCGAACAAGGGCTGGACGGAGTGGACGTTTGTAAAGTAAGCATCAAGGAATCTCCTTGCCACACGGAAATAAAAGCGATCGGGGTTCGGATCGGTGTCTTGCGGTGCACTAGGCATCCTACGTGATGCACCAGGCTGAAAGTCGGTGTTGTGCAAGAGCGAAGTCAGCGATCGTTCCTGTGGCCCAGCTAAATGATCGGTGATTTGAGAATCTGATAATGTTTCCACATGGCGGAGGAATGCAACGGATGAGGCGGAGCCATAGAACTCGAGGTTCCTTGTATGCAGATTCGTATACACCATTTCAGATGCGGTGTGTCGAGGCGTCAGTGTAGATGTGGTCCAGGTGTTTTCATCCGTTGATGCCGCGCCTTGCTGCTGGGGCTGACCGACAGCCATGGAGCGCGACTGCGGTCCCAGTCGCTCATCAAGGGTCAAGGTCTGATTGATATCATTTGGCGAAAAGTCGATGATGCCCGAGACGGGCATCTGGGCGAAGTGCGGCGAGTTCGTGGCAGGGACATGGTGTACAAATTGTAAAGTAGGTCTTTCACAACGAGGTTAGTTGAAGAACATAATGTCCTTAAGGGCCAAGGGTACTCGCCGTGTTCTTTTCCTTTTATTGCCATGATTCCGCGAATAGATACACTCCAGCTCACGCTCTGCGCAAACGCTGGTAAGCCACGCGGGTTTAGGCTGGATACCACTGACACAGCTTACCGACGCAATAAGTGCATGGTTGGTCCTCGCTACAACGGTTCTTCCTAGCGCGGCAAACTTCACACGCCGGAAGTGCTCTGGGGCGACGTGGTCGTCCAGCTTTCTGCATTGCGTGGATAATATAGCTCCGAGTTGTATGATAATCGTTTCCTTCTCATGAGCAGGTCTGGTGGCGGCATACAGCCAAGGCTGACAGGGAAAGAATGTTGAGTTTACATCGTGGTGGAGAGAACAATTGGGGGGGTTCAAGTTGAGGAATCTGCCCCCTAATGGTCGCAAGTATTAGGTAAGCTCGGCTCTATGTCACGCCCAGTGGCTTAAGTTGGCACATTCATCAATTGTCCAGTGAACAGTACTGTATCTCTGGAGGGCTTCATCAGTAGCTACATGCTTTCGGCCGTTATTGACAACACACGGTCTAATCTACCTACTTCATAAGTTTGTGTCCATCTGGATTCACCACCACTGTCTCACCCACTACGTCAACCCTACTTGGTGCTTTGTTCAGTAGCCTGCCCCGAGGCCAGGGACAGCACAATCGAGGAAGGATATTCGGGCCCAGTGTAAACGATATGTTTCCCACGATTGAGATTCCCCGGGACACGATCCAACGCAGGAAACTCTGGCAGCGTCACTTCATGACCCTTGATCTCTAGCCGGATCGATTCTCCAGCTTCGAAAATGATGCCAGCCGGCCACAGTGGGATGTCGAGACAAACAATCTGACCTGGCAAAGTCTTGTCCTCGCTATCGTGAGGATGCCACGCGACCGCAGGAGCAAGCATTGCAGTCTGCTCTTCGCTGAGGTTCGGGTCAGCGCCCACTTGCCGGTGAGAAGCTCTAAGTCTGCCATTTGGTCCCAAGTATTTGAAAATGTTCAGGTTTGGGACATCTTCGGCCGTGATTCCTGCCGGCAGAGCCTCGAGAGGGATGTTCACCTGCATCAATGGTTGTCCGTTGGCGTCGAGTTTTCGACAGATAACATAGACGTCTAGATCGTTGGTCTCAGCGCAGGACATATACAACTTGACTTGCGAATAGCCGATAAGCTCTGTGCAGGTGCTGAATTTGTGGACAAAGTGCACTCCGTCGTCATCCCACGAGTCGGATCGGTAGCTGATCGTATAGGATTCATTGGGGGCTCCACCTTCCTCCATCTTTCCAGTCTTGCCATCCAAGAAGAATGTTCGGTGCTCGACGTAGGTGGGTGGGTATACGGGCTCAGGTCTGTTCACAATGCAGTCGCGGTTGAACCCGAGCAAGCTGTGCCGCACTTTCGGTGTCGACTCCCAATCGTTGTCCTTTCCACAGAGGTAGCGATCGAAGAATTTTTGCAGGTCATCGTTTGCCCATTTCTGGTATATATCATACCATTCCTGGGTGTGGTGGATCCGGAGCCTATTCTCCCAAGGTCAGAGGTATCTACTCAAGTATCACAAAGCAGGGATATCACTCACCACTTGTCTTTTGACGACGAGAACAGGAACCCCCTCATTGTGCCCTCGGTATGCAGCATAGTCGAGTAGCTAGCCAGGGCGTAAATCGGAACGTCGATCTGGGCGAACTTCGCACTTTTGTCATCCCAGTACTGGTTCCAAAGTGGATATCGCCGGGTCATGGCACCCGTGTCCTCCTGTCGGTTCTTGCCACAATAGCCACTGCCGCGATAGTCAACAAACGCATGGTTCGGAATGCCACCTCGCCCCAGCAGTTCGCGATAGTAATCTGCAATGCCTTCCCATGGAGCGATGGCTTTCAAATGAGGCGGTCGTTCAGCAGCAATGAACCATTGGGCGGCAGCAAGGTAGGAGTTGCCCGCGAAGCCAACGGCTTTGTTGCACCACTTTTGAGAAGCAATGCATTCGACGGCATCGTATCCGTCCCGGCCATCCTGTGTCCCTAGCATATACATGTCTCCGTCTGAGTCGAAAACACCACGAGAATCCACGTTGACAATCGCATAACCTCGAGGACACCATTCCGCGGGATCCAAAGCCTCGAATTTCTCAAGGTCGCTTGTCCAATCTCTTGGTATGCCAGCTCGCCATGGCACCCTATCAAGGCTCTGAAAGCCTATGTGAAGGGGTTAGCGTGGCACGGGGCGTGGAGGCTTGAAGCCGCACCATTGCCTTGCTTCCCATAAGGGCTCCAGGCCAATATAGCCGGGACAGGCTGGGTGTCAGACAGCACAGGTCGAAAAACATCGGCCCAGATCGTAGCACCATCTCGCAGCGTGATGCGAACGTCTTTCTCAAAGATCAAGTCGTCGTCCAATGCGCGCCTCCCGTCTGCTTTCCGCCATCCTCTGGGAAGTACTTCTTTGGATGGACCGAACTCGTACCATCGTTTGCTGAAGTCACGATTTGCTTCCTTGAAGAGTACTTCAATGCCGCCAACGTTAGTCGCCATGCTGTCAATGAGAGAGACTCCTGAGGGTCTCTTCACGGGACATCACATCTTGACGAAATCCCGCTGACCTACCAATGGCTAAATACTAGAATGAGAGGCCTCTTCACACGATCACAGACCTTGGAGCATGCGGCTGCTCAGGATCAAGACCGTGAGCGATTGTTAAGCAAGTAAAGGAGCCGGCGGTAGAGCCGGCGGCTACCTATCTTGGGTTGGCCCAAATCGTTGTCCCTGAAATATGCGTGGTTCACAGGCACATGCAGTCCTTTGAGCAGGCTGTCGATACTGGCATTCCAGCAACCTAGAATGAATTCCCGTGGAACAGACAAGTACTGTACATGGAGTTGTCATGCACTGATAACTTTTGGGAAAGTTGACCTCATGTGAGTATCAATCCACGTTCCGCTGGGCCTGTACCTGCTACGTTTTTCGGTTACACGATTCTATACTCGTTGACCAAGTATAATTACGCTGTCTACGCTGCTGATGACTTTGCTCTCGCAATGAATCAGCTTGACTCGTCTATCACGTGATGAAGTGTGAAATTGCTTCGTTTGTAGGTTATACGAGACAGTACTGTGGTATGTGTACCGAGTTATATGCTTGTGCAGATCTGGCGTAGCCTTTGGCATCGGAGCGAGAAAGTCCCCGGGATTTTCAGTTCGGCTAATGTCAAAAACACCAACTTGGTGGTTGCGTCACGCATGTCAAGATCGATCTCGACACGAAGTTGTCACGAACCTCGCTCGCGACAACAAAATCTACAGATTTACAACATGCTCTCTTTAGGGTTGGGGAGAAACCACTTTGGTCAAAGTGGTAGGCAGGAGCGGTTCAACCGGACACGCTCGTCTTCGGCATTGGCCCTCAACATTCGAGGAGATCTTCGCTACGGCACCACGACCATATTTGGAGTCAACAGTCTTCACTGATTTGTGAGACAAGGTCTTCGCGATGGCTAAAAAAACAGAGCCACGGGAAAGTCAATCCGCCTTCTGCGGACAGAAATGATAGCGGCTCGACGCATAACGGCATTCGACCTTCCCCCACCGCCACTGGGGATGGTTATTTTGACGACACGCACCCAGCTGATGCCAATAATAGCAAATTGCCGCCAATCTTCAACCACTTCAACGCCAGGGACCTCAAAAAATTGTTCAAGTGCTCTTTAGCAGTATGGCTTATGGTCCTGTTCGTCGTCATCGACCCTGTGCTGCAGGCCGAAGGTCAAGCGGTGTTCTTTGGGTGCATACTGCTGTTCATCGCGCCGCCGAGTGGCATCGTGTCCTTGCAGATCATGACTGGCATCACGATATTGGCTGGTATGGGATTGGGTGGGCTTGGGGCGTCCTCACGATGAAAGCCGCGTTGGCTACGAGGCCTGCTGCTGAGACGAATGCGCGATTGTTGGAGCTGGCGCACACTGCGTCCGAGACTACCACTAATAACCAGCAAGCCTCCGGCCAGACTACTTATACGCAGATACTGATTTATGACGGGTTCATGTTGGATGCTCGCATTACGGCAGTCTACTTTTGCATGATATGCGTTTATATTTATCTTCTAGTAAGCATCAATTGGGTGGTCGCAACTCGGGAATCGAGCTGAACATGACTAGGCTAGGCTGCGCGCAGCAGCGCCCAAGCTCACACTCGCGCAAATTTTCGGCACTATCATTATTGATGTCGTCCTTACGATAGGTATGACTTCCCCGATCTTGGTAGTGTCCACAGCAAGCCGAGTCGAATAACTCTCATCGCAGGCCCCCTTCTCCCCTCTTTCGAAGGCACCATACCACAGATTCTGCTCAAACCTGCGGCAACCGCTGTAGGGCTGGGAGTGGTCTGCAACGTTCTCCTCTTTCCCAAAAGCACATCCTACATCGTCCTGGATAGCGTCAAACAGCTTCTCCTCCCCATGTCCGAATTTGTTGACGCTTGCCGCATCAGCTTCGACGATTCAGCCAAACCTATGAGCGTTGCACGTCTGAAGGCTGCAAAGGCTGCCGGTATGGCCACCTACAACGGTCTCGAAGCCAATCTGGGCTTCCTGGCTCTCGATGTGTCGATCTGTCGCTGGAATTTCGAAGATATTGGATTATTGAGGAAGCCACTCAAGCACTTGTTCGTCACATGGGAGAGCTTGATTGACTCGCAGATCATCCGTGCAAAGTCTCAAGCCAAAAGGCAGGAGTTCAAGGAAAAAGACGAGCACAAGCAATCCCAGATCCGAGGAAAACCTGGTCAACATCAGCTCGCACAGCAGATCGACTTTGCACGACTGTTCAGGAATGACACTGACTCGCAAGACCTCTTCGCCCAGTCCATGGAGGCACTCCGCGAAGCCAGCGACCCTCTCATGATCACTTGCCAAGAGGCTTTGGGGGCCATGGTGGAAACCCTCAGCGCGGTCAATGAGAGGAAGTATTTCAAGCAACCTTCAGCAGAGACCTGTCAGGTTATGGGTTCCAGACATCGCCAGATCCTAGAGAAATTGCAAGCGGACATTAAGCTCTTCACCATATCCACGCCCCATCGCGTCCTCGAGCCCAATACTCATTTCTTCGGCGCGGATGGAAACCTCAGTCTCCCTCCTGGCAGCGGGATCGCTCCAGTGCGCGGCATGATCATCGCCTTGATCTGGGAAGAGCGCGTCATGAGCTTCGCACGCGCTTTGGAATACCTACTGGCGCAACTCGTGGCGTTGGAAATACATCGAACCAAGACAAGGCTGTGGATGCCGACAGGACTACGACATTTGGGACCGTGGGTATTTGGCCGTGAGGCGACGCCACGAGTTACGCCGGTGCTGAATGAGATGGAGGAGGAGCAAGTCACATCTGAACCGAAGAAGAGCAAAAAGCATTCGCACAAAAAGCAAGATGGTGACAAGGATGATGGCACCGAGGACAATGTCCGTTCTACAGCAGGACAACTGGAGTCCATCCGTTTGCATAGAGGCAAGCAACGCAGCCGTGTCGGAAGCATCTCCTTGGCTATCTTCAAGTGGTTCTCCAGCACAAGTGGTCTGTACGCGCTTCGCGTGGTCATCGTCACCATTGCACTTGGTATCCCAGCCGCTCTACCAAGCACCGCCGGATTCTTCTATCGCGAGAAAGGCCTCTGGGCTTTGATCATGGCGCAGGTCGGCATGGTGCCCTACGCAGCTGATTTCACCTGGGGTCTGATGCTGCGTCTTACGGGCACTGTTGTCGGCGGTGTGCTGGGTCTCGTAGCTTGGTATATCGGCGCCGGAGATGGTCCTGGCAACCCCTATGGAATTGCTGCCATATGTGTGCCTTTCATCTTGGTCTTCATGTGGGGACGGCTGTTCGGCCCGCCGGCCTTCTTACAGGCGATTATGCTCTGTGCTGCGACGTTCTTTCTGACGGTAGCGTATAGTTGGGTCGATACCCATATACCCAGTGAGTACCCTTTCCCCCAAGGTTCAGAGGTTTCCCGGACTGACATTTTCTTTCCCAAGCTACGGCAACCCTGGCGTCGGCTACAACGTCTTTTGGCGCCGTACGCTCCTTGTGATTGTCGGTTTCACCACCGCAGCCATAGTCATGTTCTTCCCACGCCCGCCCTCTGCGGGCCGCCACTACCGACGCGTGCTCTCCGCCACACTCTCGCGCTTCCAAGACCTCTACGCCTTGTTCATCATGAATATGCGCAAGAAGCACACTGATCAGGCCGCCAGCGTAGAACTCCTCTCCACGCTCGAAAAGTCCACCATCGCGTCGGGAGAGCTTCTCAACTCCGTCGCGGGGCCGATACAATTTATCAAGTTTGAGTTCTCGTCGACGGATTGGTCGGCGGCAGGGTTATCGGAATTGACGGCCCTGGCCATGGATGTCAACTTTAACTTGTATCAACTGTTCTACTACTCCTCCAGTCTACCCGACGACTTCCGTCGTCGCTTTGTGTTATTGTCCGGTGTTTTTGAAGAGCAGTTTGTCGGCGATCTCATGGCTGTGCTGAGCCTTCTGCGTCACGCACTTGAAACGGGCGAGGCCTTGCCGAGCGTCATGAGCAGTCCGTTGATGGTGCGTGCGTTCCAGGACCGGATGTACCGCACCCATAGCCACCAGCATGGCAGACAGCCGGAAGAGAGGGAAGAGCATGTGAGGAAACTACTGGGTCCCGGTCACGAAGCATATGATCGAGACAGAGCAGAATGGGTTCAGGAAGTACTGTGTGGTATTGTCTGCCTTGGTGGGATTTTTAAATGCGTTGGATGAGATGGTCATGGTTGTCAAGGAGGAGTTGGGAGAGACTCATGTTGTGGATGTGGAAGACTGGGGAGACGGGCTCTATGGCGGTGAGGATGCTATTGAGCTTCGCGAGGCGAAAGAGGAGGACGGGCTGTTGGAGGAGAATTTGAGGACGTGACCTGGTACGTGTTGTTAATTACGGTTAACATATGGGTTTTATAGTGACAGGATTTTGTCATCTGGGTAGCTGGACAATTGATATGCGAGATTGGGAGTACAAATAAACATTTGCTGTTCCATGTCCGTCGTGACGATGTTAGGGAGGAGCCTGTTGATCAGAACATCCCATATTGTTTCGGCACTCTCGACCCTGCTATCGACAAAGCTCTCGGGGCTGTAAGACGCCGCGTGGCGGATGATACACGTCCTACCTGTCATCCTGTCCTCTCGTCCTCCTTGAGCCGACAGGTTGGATCAGCGAATGCACACCATCCACTGAAATCGGCTCTTCGAACGAGACATCCAGGCCAGCGTCACTGCCATTGCCTTCTTTCAAGCACTGGGTACCCCGCCATTCCGATGCTTTGGACGATATGGTCAGTGTTCAGGTTTCAGGGGCCACGCGATATATTGATATCGGTCGAATTAAATTGTTGATCTTGGTTTCGTCGCGCGACCAATACGCCGGGGGCTCTTTTCTTTGGACTTCGAGAGAACGTAGCTGGCCTATAGAACAACGTATGTTGGCAGGGCGAGCTGATCGATAGCTCAAAGGTATATTTTGTGAAGTGATACTAAGAATGAGAATAAGTCTAACTACATATCTTCCAAATCTTCAATTGTCTTCGCAATCGGCCATAGGACATGGAAAACAGGGCTTCCCGTTCGCTCAGCCGTACTTAAGCCATGTGCCGGTACGTTAGTAGTTGGGTGGGTGACCACCAGCGAATCCGTACTGTCGATTGTTTTTGCGTTTTGATATACATCGATGAAAGAAGCCGTCGAGAAGAAAGTCTTAGAGTTTTGTATATTTTTTTGGAGTTTAGGCGTCCTCCTGCGGCCACCTGGTCGCAGTTGCCTTGCATATGCAGTTATGCACGCACTTGCTATCACTATCACATTTGGGCGTTCCAGACAACCCCGGACCGAGGATCTTGGCACTAGAGTCAATGACTTCAGGGTGCCTGCATCTTTTTCTGAGGTCGGATCTTGATCTGACTCTCCAACCCAATCGTCCAGCAGTATAGCATCAGATACATCACCGACAAAATGAATCGATCACTGGTACGATGCACGGGTTGTCGCTACTCCGTCCTCGAAGCGTTCACATCTCTTGCCGCCATTTCCATCCCGAAACAAGCACCTCGTCAGCCCATCCGTCGACCCCAGCAATCCCGAGCGTTCAGTCGTCTCACACCCCTGCGGCAATCCCTTGAACAACTATCTTCAAGCCAACCTCCAGAATCTGTACCATGGTATCTCCAAGTCGAAGAGCCTGCGCCTCCCGCTCCTGTTTCCCCGATCCTCGCTCTTCAAGAAATTCCACCCCTCCCTCTTGATTCTCCTATCATCCTGCAACCGGTGCTCGAGCACCTGTCCATTCAAATCGGTCTAGACAACCTCGTTTTACTGGACCTGCGGAACATGGATCCTCCGCCGGCTCTGGGCGCCAATTTACTGATGATCATCGGCACGGCTCGCAGTGTAAAGCATCTCAATGTGTCCGCGGATCGATTTTGTCGATGGGTGCGGAAGGAGTATAAACTCAGACCGTACGCGGACGGACTGTTGGGTCGGAACGAACTGAAACTTAAATTGAGGAGGAAAGCAAGGAAGATGAAGCTGGCCCAAAGTGTTGGCAATACAGTTGCCATGCAGGGTGCCGATGACGGTATCACCACGGGCTGGGTCTGCGTCAACATGGGACCGATTGACGATGCGGTGTTGCCGGAAGAAGTCGAAATTTCGGCCGCTGCTGCCGAAGAGGCATCGGAGGACGTCGCGGAGGATGAAGACGAAGAATACGAAAACCCAGCAAATGACTATGTCGGTTTCGGCAGCAGGACAAATTCGCCACGAATTGTGGTTCAGATGTTCACGGAAGAAAAGAGAGTGGAGATGGACCTTGAAGGTCTTTGGGATGTACGAAATACAAGACGAGCAAGAAGAGATCAACGCGCCAACGCCGAAGCTGAGTCGGTCATTGGAAGACTGCGAGCACAAGACGCTACGCAGGATTCGCGAGATCAAGGCGAGGCCACAGGTTCGGATCATCAGGACAAGCCCAAAGGTCCAGCGCAGGAGCAGGAGCCGAAAGATTCGGACGAGGGCGTGCCTACCAAAATGGAGGCTGAAGTTGATGAGGCTAAAGAACGTGAAGACATGGACGAGTCTCGCCCCCTGGGTGGGATGGGTGCCAGTTAAGGTGGACAGCTATGCGAAATAAACTTGGTTCATAAACAATTGTATAAGTCTCGTTGCGTTGCGTTCATTCGTAGCTCATCACCCGTGGTGCACCGGCAGTCCATGTCCAGGTTCACTCAAGGCTAGGACCCAGCATGACCACACTGAAGCGCAGCTCGCCGCCACCGGCCTGTTCTTCTCTCTGCAAGAACGCTTGCACGCCTAGCTCTTGACCCTTTTCGCTGAGCACATCGTCTTCCGGACCAAGGTGGCCTCTCTTTAACGGTCCTTTTCTGCGTCCATCCAGCTCCCATAGATCTCCATCCTTGTCCTTAACAAACGCCACATAGTGCAGATCGATACTGGCCTCGGCTTCGGGAGCTGTCGTGTCGCCTTTCGCTGCAGCCGTCGCATGTGCTGACTCCAGTGCCTCACTCTTGTATAGCAGGTCTGCACGGTCATTCGGTTTCAGTGGGATGGCTTTCTTCAGTAGATGATCCAGATCACTTCCTTCCGTGATTTGATCTCGTGCGCCTCCATTGGTAACTGAATGTAATAGCCCGATGAGTCCGCAGGCGTTGCGTATCGTTTGCTTGAACCATACGACTTCCTCTTCTGGACCGGATCCAGCATAGTCCTGGCGTGGAGCGTCTTCTTCTTCTCGGAATTTCTCGTACGTGTCCGTGACGGGAAAGACAAGGAGAAGTGCAAGGGCTGGTCGGGCGAGGAATGATAATAGGTCGGGATCTGTAAGGGAGTAGACGTCGTGAAATTGCAAGGTTGGTGAGAGGCCCAGTTGGCGGACTAGGTTGGTCATTACTTCGGGGTTGTTTTCTACGGGTGGTTAGGATGGTTGTTCTGTTGGCTGGAAGTGCTGCAACATACCAAGAGGCACAAATGCCTTGCTTGACACGGGGACGTCAACATCTGCCATCTTGTCTGCTGTCGTGGAGTGTAGTTGATGTCGTTTGATAGATACCTTTGACAAGGTAGAAATTGATACTTAGATGGCGGCCGAGACTGAATGAGGCAACGACGCCAATTGCGTCAACTGCGGGCGCTTCTCACCAAAGTTTCAGGCACCAAAGCATTCTGATTCGCGGAACAATGGCTGCCCGTGAATGGGCACACGCAGCCTTTCAGCAACTCAGGCAAAAGCGATACAACCCCTCCATGTCTACTTCTAGCACAAAGTACCTAACTGGGTAGATAGCTTCCATCACGCGCATGGCTGGGTACTTTTGGCAGCTGACACCGGTGTATTCCTAGCAGAGATTACCCAATACAGACGTGACACAATTTTTGAGCATCTCGGATTCACATCCACTTTGCGGACCCAAACTTCCAATGTCGCAATGGAAATGATAGAGCAATCGAGTCAGAGTAGCGATAAAGAAGTAGAGGATGGACAAGGATGGACAGGTACTGTACAGAGCAGCTTGGCGCAACGTTCGACGATTGCCTAGACCTAGATCGAAGCACAGGGCTGGATCCGGAACTTGCCAGAGCAACACAAATACCAACATCGGTTGAACGGATTGACCATGAGCGTCAATAGTGTGTCCCAAGACGTCAGCGTTGAGCTCTGGCATACTTGTCACATTTTGAACGAAGACTCCAGATCAAGGCACGGCATGGCGCAGAATCCTCCCTCATGCTGTTTCAAGCTGTCCACTGACTTTCATGCTGGAATTTGAGGACTTCATCGCCCCAAGACCACCAGCCAGAAGTGAGATTCCGCGCAAACAGTTCTAAGCCATTGTAGTTACTGGGGAGAAGGTCTTCCAGAAGAAGTTTCAAGCATGGCTTCCTCGAATGAAGATCTGGCACGGCAGCAATGACTCGTCTCCGGGGTGGCTGGGAGGTTGGTCCTTCTCGAAACAACAGAAGAACCTCATATGGCCGTCTCCATATCCCGTCGAGTGGGCTGACAGGTACGCCATGGACCGTTGTCTTGATCCATATCCATTCCTCAAAGAGGTGATATTCTAGAAAATGGAAAGTTCCATGGACAGTACTCTGAATCGAGGCCTTGTTGGTGACCCAAACAGCAACCAGCCCATTTGGAGCAAGTGATGTTCTGACGATATCCACTGCCTGTTGGAATGGATCAACTATTTGGTCTTCTGATGTCTGATATGCGCCTGAATGGCGTACAGAACGATTCGACCATGGCGGGTCCATCAAGATCAGATCAAACCTCGTGTCCAGGAGCTTGTGCTTTTGACAAGCTAAGAAGGCCTGTTGTCCCAATTTCAAGCTTGATCGGATAAATGTAGCCCGAGGTGGAACATAGAAGGCTCCCCTATCGATTGTGTCTATGATCGCACGATGTAATCTCGGATTGTGCACGACAATAGCGTGGATATTGTTTTGGGAAGGCAAGTTGTTGCGCGGTTCTGTGGTTGACAGTATGAGGGGCACTATACTAGCAGTCGAAAGATGGTCGGTGCACACGGTTGGATAGGTCGGAGCTGTATGCCGGGGAGCATTATGGTCAGACAGGACTCCATTGTGCCCATCTTGTTGTGGTAGTAAGGCGCCACGTTTCCTGCACCAAAGTCCACCTCTACCGGATAGATGCTCGTTTATCTCGGTCAGGGCCGAAGAGATCTGATGCTGAAGCGAGGCGTGGTACCTCCGCTCACTTATGGGTATCTTGTCGATTGCAGCATCGCGTTTGATTCCTTTTGGTTCGGTGCTGGGGTAGGAACTCTTCAAAGCAGGACAGCTTTTTAGGTAATGTGACGTAGACTGACCGTGTTCAATGGACGAAGGAATATCAAGTAGAACAATAGTACGGCTGCCGTTTTCGTATAGAACAGGATATGGCATCCCCGCGGACGGAAGTCGAAGGGACAACAGACGGACGAATACCAGGGACCACGACGGTGCCCATCTCCAACGTCCTTCCTCTTCAAGCTGGCTGGAGAGGGTCGGTCATATCGATCTCGTGCACTAGTATGTACTATTGGTCAGTGATCTTCGGTCGGTGCTCCGAAATGAAGATCAGAGAGTATGCCGTATAACGAGGTACATACAAATTGGGTGAAAGGTCTAGACCGTCGAGAGTCGGAAAAGCGGCCTGTGGGCAACTATCGCCTGGATTTGAAATATGCCTATAACGGCGTACAGCATAAAGACCGCGCTCGAGCGCGAGGATGATCTTTTGGGCGGTTGATGGCAGGGAGAAGGGTGATGCACGGTTCATTGCAGAGACAAAGCTGAAGAGGAAGTTTGTGAAGTTCGCTTATGGCCGGGGAATTTCCTGTTTGGGTTTAGTGGAGTCCGATTCGAGGGATGCCCAAGGGGATCATTGGGATCATTGGGATCATTGGGATCATTGGGAGATCAACCCCTGGGAACAATTGCCATCACCTTACACACGGACCACTGGCACAGACCTCATCACGATCTCAGCAACGATATTGGCGTTATTACCAGCTCCATTCAGAGCCATCGGTGTCGCTTGGTCTGGTACCATGGTGCAACTCTATCGAACATTCATCCCTTCGATGGCGGTGACGAGCTATTGTCAATGCATGAGCACATACTTGTTGCAGGTGGGTAGACAAGATTTCACTGACATTGACACCCGACCCATGCCGCTGCAGGTTGTTTATGTTGATCTGTCCGTCCCTTATACACTAATTCCCTCTACTCTGGCAAACTTCTGAGTCTATCTCAACTCTTCTGTGACTTCGGTACCAAAGATTTGTGCTTCCAGAATTATTGTATCCCACATCATCACCCACTACCCATCGCCACGCTTTTGACAACGAATCTTCGTTGACCACGTGTTTCACTCCGCACACCGGCGACATGTGTGGCTCAGCGGCGACGCCTAGCACAGAAGAATCCACGCGATAGAACAACGACTCAGCAGGTTGAACGCCATGGCAGACTTGACTTACGCGACGCACGCCGTCAGCGTTGTGGAGGACAGTGTAGACCTCAGCGCTGGCGGCTCATACAGCCCAGCACGACAGCAAGCCATTCACATCGGCGCACTCGTATGTGCACTTTTCAGCTTGGTGACTGTCTTGGTGACCTTGAGATGGTTCCTCTTGATGAGGCGGACTTTTCGGCATCATTTGGTCATGTGCCTAATCATCAGCGATGCCTCGAAGGCCATCTGGTACTTCATATTTCCGATTGTCACTTTCGTCACAGGTCCTGTCGCCAGCGAGTCGAACTTCTGCCAGGCAAGCGGTTTCTTACTTACCTTTTCAGTGGAAGCCGCCGATATGTCGATACTGATAATTGCTGTCCACTCGATCCTGTACATTCTTCGACCGAACAATGCCTTGGGCGAAGGAGGCCTGTATCCATACCGTTACTGGATAGTACCGGCCTGGCTCGTTTTCCCACTCTTCGCCTCCTCCATGGTTTTCATCGCCGACAAGCACCCCTATACCACCGCTGGCACGTTCTGCTACTTGGCCAAACGTCCGATCTGGTACAGACTCGCCTTCGCCTGGGTCCCGCGATACATCATCATTGCAATCATCCTTATCATGTATATTTGGATCTACGTATATGTTACCCTCAAATTCCGAGGCTTCGACAACCTGGGCAATTCGTCAACTGGCTCCCCTCAGGGCTCCAGACGGAAATCTGCTTTCTCTCCAGATGCTGAAGACGTCGAAGGAAATCCCATGGACGCCGCACGTGCGCCAAGCTTACGGCCACAACTTCAAGAGGCGCCGACTGAGCAGTCTTTGGCTGGATCCCAACAACTTCAACCGTGGGATCACATGAATTTCATCACTTCAAAGGCACTAAATACGCCTGTGGGAACTCCTGCAGAGGACGTCCCACCTCCGCTGGAAGCACGAGGGAGCGAGTGGTCAGGTGATACACAATTTCCCCCAGGTCGTAGCTCTGTCAGAGCATCGGTAGCAGATCCTCACACTTCAGGATCTTCCAGCGCGACCGCTGATACGCCCAAACAACTCGAAATTCCACCAAATACCTTGTTTCAGAACGGCACAACCGATGATAATGACCCACTGAAAAAGACGAGAATCGCGATTCGCAAGCAACTGCGATATCTGTTCGTCTATCCTCTGGTGTACATCATTGTCTGGACATTCCCATTCGTGGCTCAGATCCAATTGTACAACGAGTACTATGTGCGGCACCCTGTCTACTGGTTGAATCTTGTGCAAATTCTCATGCTGGCCCTTCAAGCCGGTGCTGACAGCGTCATCTTTTCGTGGACCGAGAAGCCATGGAGAAACATTGATCCCAATTCGAAGTTCGCTCTACCTAATCTTCGAAACCGTCTGCGGGGCAAGGCTTGCGACAATGGTCCTGCCATAACAGTGCAGCCTGCGATGAGTGAATCGACATCACCAAAGCGAATGACTCTTTGGTGGGACGCAGAGGCACGTCGACGAAAGGACAGTGTATTTCTGGGCGGGGGTACATTTGGAGACACCCTATCGCACATCGCCAGTCGGACGCGGTCGAGAAGTCCCGAGAAGAAACGGGGTCTGCACTCGAGGAAGAAAAGTGCTGATTTAGTACGTGCGAATCCGTTCAGGAGAACAACCGCAGCAACCTTGACTCCTGTGACGTCCAACGACAGTGGACATCCAGGTCGAATTAGTACACAAAGCGGGCGGACTGCCCCGGACAGTGTACCGGAGAGGAGCGGTCGTGATTCACTTGGTTAAAGGCCATCATTTAGAGATATACCCATTTGTGGCACTGGTGAAGACTTGTATAACATTAGCATAGCATAACGGCTTTGGTAATGCCCTCAGGGCGAGTATAGCGAACCGTATTCGAGAGAGCATGAGCATATGAAATTATATACCTTAGGTACCTGTTTGACTTCTTTGTTTCCTGTCTTCCCCGCGAATAGCCGTGAATTGAAAACGATCCGGGCGGAATGACTGGTAGCGCCCGAACTCGCACCGTCATGCTTAACACGCTTACTTTATAAGGATAAGCTGCCCCGAAAGATAACCGAGGTTGTGGCTGTTCCGTCGGCCTCAAACCGCCGAGATTGTTGCGATAAAGCCACGTTCTGGAGGCGTCGGAAAGAGCACCCAAGGGCCAAAGCACCCATAAGCCTCAAGTCGCTTTCCCACCAGTCGCTTCTCTCCATACCAAACTCCGTGTTCCTCCACCATTCCACTCAAAGCCGCCGCTGCTGCTGCTGCCACCCACCATCCACACGTCACAGAAACAATATTCCTCTGCAACAAGCGATATGCACGAATTATAACCTACACCTTTCCGTCAGGATGTCTTAGAGAGCCTGTGAATGCCTTTTACTACGTCAGGCCATGCAGCTACAGTATTACAACCCTCACAGCCGTCCAAGATGGAAAGCCGAGGCTCCTCGAGACTGCTCGAGGAATCACTCCCTCCATCATCGCCAAAGCAGAGCCTCTTCTCCACGGGTGACTCTGCGGTGACCACGCAAACCGCTCCGACTGGCGAGAGGAAGTGGGTGGACAAGAGAAGTCTGGATTATATTCTGCGTAGCGGTCTTGCGGGTGGATTGGCAGGATGTGCTGTATGTAGCATGGCGATGTGTATGATACGACGCCCACATACTGACAAGTATACAGGCCAAAACCGTTGTCGGACCGCTAGATCGAGTCAAGATCCTGTTTCAAGCCTCGAATCCACAGTTTGCAAAGTATACTGGAAGTTGGCTGGGAGTGTTTACTGCGATGCGGGACATAAATAAAACAAACGGCATCCGAGGGTTATATCGTGGGCATTCAGCTACTCTACTCAGAGTCTTTCCCTATGCTGGCATAAAATTCCTCGCTTATGAGCAGATCAGAGCCCGTGTGATCCATGACAAATCGCAAGAAACATCAGTTCGACGATTCTTGTCAGGGTCACTGGCGGGCATCACGTCGGTCTTCTTCACCTACCCCCTCGAAGTTATCCGTGTCCGATTAGCGTTCGAGACGAAGCGAGATTCACATTCATCCTTATCCCGAATATGTCAGCAGATCTATCACGAACAGGCCCCTCAGCCTCAAACTCTGGCCGGGCAGAGCCCTGTCGCGGTTGTGTCGAATGTCGTGCACCAGGCAGCCCCAAAATCGGGTCTTGCCAATTTCTATCGTGGCTTTTCACCGACCCTGCTCGGAATGCTGCCATATGCAGGCATGTCCTTCTTGACGCACGACACCATTGGAGATTTGTTTCGACATCCGTCTTTAGCACCATACACTGTCTTACGATCCACCGCGACAACTCCTACACCGTCACATAGCGGCTCCGACAACATGGTCAGCCACCGAAGCCAGCTGACTGCTCCGGCCGAACTCACATCTGGTGCTCTGGCTGGCTTAGTATCTCAGACAGCGTCTTACCCTCTTGAAGTGATCAGACGGAGGATGCAGGTAGGCGGTGCGGTCGGTGATGGTCATAGATTGACCATCACGGAGACAGCACGTCGAATATTCGTAGAGAGGGGTTGGAGAGGCTTTTTTGTTGGTCTCACCATCGGATATCTCAAGGTTGTCCCTATGGTAGCCACGAGCTTTTATGTTTACGAACGTGGAAAATGGATGTTGGGAATCTGAGCAATGCCTTAGGGAAATCAAGCATCACGGAGTCTCTTGACTGGATTACCGCCAGAGAGCGCTCCGCACGGCTTGACGGCTTACACCAGCGGCGAACTTCCAGGTTCAGTTATACTCCTACATGGACCGAATGGCACGAGGTCTTGCGTATTACACACGCGGACTGCACTCCGAGGACTTGCTTTTCGAGCGTACAGCGAGCTATAATCAGTGTGTCACGGATATGTATGTCAAGAGTACTCTCCCAATTGAGGAAGACGAAACGTCACGAGCAACATTCATGCAGAAGGCGACTTGTACAGGAGAACCTTTGCTAAACGGTTGACACGACAATATGGCAGAATGTTCCGCTAGGGCAACGGCATCATGTACACCGAAACCCCGGGTGGTCCGGCGGCAGAACCCAGCAAGCGATATTCCACGAAGGCTTGAGCAGCGTCTTGAAAAAGGGAACAGATGAAGATTACCCTGAGATGCCGACCTGCATTCTCGCTCATTGCAGATATCCTCACAATGATGATTTATATCTGTGGATTGTCTCAAAGTCTGTCTTCCGCAGGTCAGCGAAAGGCCTATGTAGGCTTGACTCACCGGTCCCATTGTCAGAACAGAGCGTAGAGCACCGACGAATTTCTATAGTCGTACGGCAAATGGCTGCAAGCAATCCAAACGGCGAAAGAATGATGACCAAAAACAATTCAGTCCCCCATAGGCATCCGTGAATTCATATGATATATATATTCATAATCATATCGTATCCGAGTCTTTCGGTTCCCTCGGAAATTGTCTGCCAGCCAGCTAATTGTCCACTCAAACTGAAAGCTGTACATGGTAGCTGAGAGCTGACTCACAGTCGTCGCTTATACCAAAGTATGTGCATGATCATTAGACTGTACCCGAACGCACAGATATCCAAATAACTTGATCACTCTGCATTCTCGGTCTCGGCAACCTCATATCCAGCCCACTTCTTGAGCTCTTTAGTCATCCGGTCCCATGAGAACCGTTCTTCTTTTGGGTCAGGGCAAGCGTACTTAACATCTGGCCTAGCAGGTCACGAACAATCTATTCATTCCCTGCCCAACCTTTCGCCCTCATCCTGCGTCATCTCAAAAGCCGGCCGGTAGAATTCATTGCCATTCTCGTCGCGCTCTTTCAGCTTCGGATTTTTCAGGGTATCATTGAGCCCGCCGAGACTGGTATATCCCTCGTCGTACATAGGACAATATTTGAGAGGACCACCCGTCTCTAGGTCCTTCAGGTGCGGTGACCGTAGGAAACACCATATCTCCGGTAAATGCCAGTCTATCACGGGGTGTACACGCATGAACGTCGGCCAGTTGTGATCCGTTGGGTCGAAATGCGTGAGATGTGCGCCGTTGGGGTCTGTCCTTCGTGTGCCCACAAAAATCGCTTTTATCGATGGGTTTGCGTCCAAGTACAATGCAAATGCGTCGCGGAAGGAGATTATAGGTTTCGCCACGAGATCTATGTCGTTGTTGGTGCCGTCCTCGCCGCCATCCACTCGAGGGAAGGGCTTGGTGATTGTGGGATTGGAGTGTGAGCGTTCTTTCTTGGTCGGGCCTGGGTTTGTAGATATATGCGACAAATCGAGGTGGTAGAGTTGCGAAGAGTAGTCGACGAAGCTGGAGACTGCGGGGAATGGGTCGGGCGGTTTGGCGTAGATGGAGGGGATGGACGTGGGAAACGTGGGAGGGTCCGTGTCATGCTTTTCATTCTTGAGGCGTGTGAAGTGCGCGTACAGGGCGGACAAGTATAGTATCAGCAGGACTAGACAGTCTTTGCCGCCGTTGTAGGAGAGTGATAGAGCCTCGAATCTGCTGTGGGAGGCCTGGATCAGGAACTATCATGGGACGCAGATAGAGGATTGGAGACTCACTCGTAATCGCGGAGGGCCTTGTCTATTACTCCCAAGGCTATCCTACTCTGCTCTTGTGTCCGTCTTGTCACGTCGTCTTGGGGGTCTGCAGACAGGAACGAGTCGACTTGTGAGTGGAGTTGAGCGCAGACCTCTGCTAAGGTTAACGATCTGTTCGCGGGGTGGGAGGATACATCTGCTTCTCCATGACCTTGGGTAGGGATACCGTTGGTCGCGGGGGCATTGGGCGGCAGCGATGCATTGCTCATGTTGAATACATGAGGGAGTGGTAAGACGCAGGATACAATGCGACTGCAGGATTTCGAGAAGGGTCGACGCAGCAATAGACGTGATGATGGTGTGGGGAAACCCTGCATACTGTTATTCCGACAATGGCAGTGGCTTGCGGCGGTCCGAGGCATTCATTGTCCGATCGCTGACCGAAGTCAACAATAGGCCCGTTCTTGACATAGCGAGCTTAATCTGCTGAGCAGTACGAGGTGGTCAGAATACCTTAGTCTCTACATCGGTAGAGGGCAACCTCGAACCGATTTGTACGACGATTTCATTCGGTACTCCTGTATGCACCGAACGCCACAGCCCACAGGGCACCCTCCTCATGCCGAGAGTATTATATCTATTGTATTCCTGATGCCCACCATCCCAGCCTAACCAAGCACCTTCATTTTCTTCTTCTTTTTCGAATCTTCTCCGTTCTTGACACCTTTCTGAAAGTCTCGCCAGCTTCCTATCCGCTGCTCCCGGGTGTCCTCCCATTTCTTTTCATGGTCGCGTTTTCGCTTCCTTGCCTCGATTTCTGCATCTTCTTTGGCTTGTTCACGACCTTCTTCTTGCATCTTCGCCTTAATCTGCCTCCTTCTCCTCGCTTCGGCGTCTATCAAGACCTCCACCGTCTTCTTTCTCCATTCCTGCTTGAACTCTTCCGTCTTTAGTTCTTCCGAGTCCACGGTGTACTTGTGCTGCCGAATGAGCAACTGTCTGGCGTCTGCAATGCATTCATCTAGATGCTCCCGTTGCTTTTCATCCAAGAGAGCTGTTTGAGCTTTCTTCAAACGGTCGAATGCTTCTGGGGCTTGAGGATTCGTGGATTTGTCGGGATGGATTAGTAGAGACTTCTTGCGATAGACAATCTTGATGTCTGACTCTGGAACACCAGGCTGAAGATCAAGGACTGCATATCTGTGATGATGTTAGCATCAGAGGATCGAACGCTGGTGGGTTGCACATACGCATCAAGTTTAAATGCTTTGAGGATTCGATCTATCTCAGCATCCTAGCGAAAGTGTCAGCACGAGGACATCGACGGAATGCCAACATTGACCTACCTTGTCATACTCCTTTGCTTCCTTTTCAAGCGCATCGAGTGCATCGGATTCATCATTAGCCATGACGGGCTGATAGTCTTTATCTTACCGATGACTAGTAATGCCTCACACCACGGTAGAACGGCTGATCAATGGAGATATCTTTGTACCGAGATCACTGGTTAAAGTCGCTTATCTGAACACGAGCACAAGTCGCAACGGCTGCGATATCAATCTGAGCAGCAGGGAAAGACGAACCGCGCATGTTCATCGTCAAGCAGTAAGGCTGAACTTCGCTCCTTCCCCGCAGGTGGAAGGTCTGCCGAGATCCGATGTTTTGCCAAAATGAGATCAGCCTCGCGCACTTCACATACTCGTAGTTCTGATTCACTCGCCCTCATTCACCACCTCGCCGACCATGAAGGTGAAGCAGTTGCGTCAACCAAAAAAGAAGTCTGCTCAGCTGGTTTCGAACGTCGCTCTGCAACAAGTACAAAAACTCTAACCCAGAGCTCACTACCGGTATTTAGTGAGGTCTGGGTCGAGGTAAACCCCCCAGTCGAGGATGGGGATTTTTTGCGCTTTATCAGGTCAAGCTGCACCCCCGAATTCCGGGAACCAGATTAAGTGTTGACTGCACGGGAGCCCGAGAGCTCACGAGGATCAGTCCCCAAGTCAACACCCTCAGCGGTCTGAGGAGGTTAGGATTTCGATCTCTAGGACTCACGATCTACTTTCCAGGCACAAGCCGTCTCATATCTGGTGATAACACCCTCACGCCATGACCAAGTTCAAGTCTACCGAAGACATATCATCACTTAGGCCACAACACGGGATAGATACAAGCTAATTGTTGGACAAAAATCGGTGAATCAAATCAATCAACTTGCAATTCTTTCTGCCGGGTTTGAATCACATGCCGCTAGGCGAGGAAGTGAAGACTGAACCTACGTATCACTCAATGCCGCACCTCTGACCGTGTTCCCAGGCGCAGAAATTGAAGATGCCCTATCAACAGCACTTTCCCGGGAAGGGACACTCGATGATAGGCTTAGTCTACCCAAGTGGGCTGCCGTCAGTAGAGGTACTGCTATACTACACCGACAGCATTTCCCTTTCGATTAGAACTTGTGTATATGACCTGTGAAAACTTCCCTTGACTCCTAGACTCGTCTCCCGGCCTGCTAATGATGACATGACGAGGCTGAACAAGGCTGCACAAGGCTGAATGTCGTGCGGAGCACATCCGAAGTAGACCCGATATCGATAACAAACATTTTTCCAACCTCGCTGCGGCTCCTATGCGTTTTGTACAAACATTTGCGACCACTCACCGCGCAAACATGGCACCACCAGGACGGCGGAAGGCGGGTCCGCAGGTCCCGAGAAAAGACTTTCAAAGGCCTCGAAATCTCAAACGCAAAAGGGAAGAGGAAGACCTCGACAGCCTGAACAAACGAGTCGCTGAACTCGATCCAAAATCTTCAACACCGCCCGAGAACTTCATTGACCTACCACTCTCAGCAGCCACGCAAGATGGACTCTCAGCCTCCCACTTCAAGACCTTGACAACGATCCAAAGCAGGACGATCCCGCTAGCAATACAAGGACTAGACATCTTGGGCGCAGCGAAGACAGGCTCCGGCAAGACCCTCGCCTTCCTCGTGCCAGTGTTGGAAAATCTATATCGCAAGAGATGGACCGAATACGATGGCCTGGGGGCTCTCATCCTCTCTCCCACCCGCGAACTGGCAATCCAAATCTTCGAAGTCCTCCGCAAAGTTGGCCGCAACCATACATTCTCCGCAGGTTTGGTCATTGGCGGAAAGAGTCTGCAGGAAGAGCGAGAACGTCTCGGACGCATGAACATCCTTGTCGCCACGCCGGGTCGCATGCTGCAACACATGGATCAGACAGCTGACCTTGACATTGGTAACCTGCAGATTCTAGTCCTAGATGAGGCCGACCGCATAATGGATATGGGCTTCATGCAGACCATCGACGCCCTGGTCGACCACCTGCCCTCAGAACGTCAGACACTCCTCTTCAGCGCTACCCAGACAAAGAAGGTTTCAGACCTGGCTAGACTGAGCCTGAAAGAACCTGAATTCGTCTCCGTGCACGAAGCCGCCGACAGTGCAACTCCGTCGACGCTCCAGCAAAACTACATTGTCACCCCTCTCCCCGGGAAGCTCGACACATTGTGGTCCTTCATCCGCGCCAACGTCAAGAAGAAGATACTCGTCTTCCTCAGCAGCGGCAAACAAGTGCGCTTCGTCTACGAATCCTTCCGCCATCTCCAACCCGGTATCCCCTTGCTCCACCTACACGGCCGTCAGAAACAGACCGCCCGTTTAGACATCACCACAAAATACTCCAATAGCAAGTACTCATGCCTTTTCTCCACCGACGTCGCAGCCCGAGGCCTCGACTTCCCAGCGGTCGACTGGGTCGTCCAGGTAGATTGCCCGGAAGACGCAGACACCTACATCCACCGAGTCGGCCGGACAGCACGTTACGAAAGAGACGGCCGAGCAGTCCTATTCGTCGACCCAAGCGAAGAAGAAGGCATGCTCCAAGCCCTCGAAAAGAAGAAAGTGGCTTTAGAAAAGATCAATGTCCGTGAGAAGAAAATGCAAACCACGATCCGCAACCAACTGCAAAACATGTGCTTCAAAGACCCCGAATTGAAATATCTCGGTCAAAAGGCCTTCGTCAGCTACGTCCGAAGCGTGCACATCCAGAAAGACAAAGAGACATTCAACCTCAAGGAATTGGATCTCGAAGACTTCGCCGCAAGTCTCGGCTTACCGGGCGCCCCACGCGTGAAATTCGTCAAAGGCGAAGATGCTAAAGCGCGCAAAAACGCGCCGCGACAACTCCTCGCCGCGCTCGAGGGCAGTGACTCCAGTGACGCCGAAGGCAAGAGCAAACCCAAGAAAGAAGTCCGCACAAAATACGACCGCATGTTCGAACGACAGAATCAAGACGTCCTGGCCGAGCACTACACCAAACTCATCGGGGACGACGAAGACGCCTCCAACACACGAAACGGCGCCGCAGACGACGACGACGACGACGAACTCGATTTCCTCTCCGTCAAACGACGCTTCGAAGCCGGCGACGTAGCGCTCGATCAGAACGATGACAGCGACAGCGCCAGTGATACCAACTCCGCCAGTAAAGATTCCGCCGATCCACCCACAGGCGCTTCCCGCAAATCATCAAGCAAGAATGTGAAGACAGTCAAACTCTCCGACAACCCCAACGCAGACCCCCTAATAATCGACTCTCACCGGCGCGAGAAACTTTTGTCTTCGCGCAAGAAATTGCTCAAGTACAAAGGATCAGGAACGCACATGACCTTCGACAGTGACAGCGACACGCCCAAGAACCGTAAAGCGTACCGCGACGAGTCGAGCTTCACTGCGGCGGAGCGCGAGAAGCAAGAATTTCTGGACCGCGAGCGCGAACGTCAAAAGGAATTGGATGAGGTGGATAAAGAGGTTGCGCGGCAGAAACGGCGCGACAAAAAGGATAGGGCGAAACAGCGGGAACGAGATATGCAGGCTGAAAAGGAGCGTGGTGCGCGTGGAGAAGACGAGGACGCTGATGCAGGAGTGCAACTTGTTCCTTTTGAGGAAGAAGACAATGCTGGTGCAGATGGAGACGGTGATCTCGAAGAGCCAGAGCCAGAGGTCGAGGACGAGCCTAAGCGGAAGCGACCGAAGAAGTGGTTCGAGGATGCGTCTAGCGGCGACGAGGATCAGGAACAAGCAGGCAAGGGCAAGGGCAGGAAGAAGAAGCGTTCAAAAGGTGGCGTTGATGTCGACCAGCCTGAGACGCTTGAGGACTTGGAGGCATTGGCATCGGGTCTACTCGCGAAGAGTTGAGTTGAGTAGGTGGTCAGTAAGTAAGAAGAACATGAACCAATGTTTGAGACTCCTGTCCAATGTTTCCAATGTTTCTAGTAGCGCCCAACGGCAGGTCTGTACTCGTAGAGGCCAGCTGGATCTGCCAGTCTTCATCCGCAGCACCCTTTGGCCCCTGCCCTCAGTGAGCTTGTTGTCGGCATTTCTGCATGACATAGACTGCCCGCGTACCAGCCATGGACGTCGAAAACGTTGCCACCATTGCCGCACCACTCTGCCAAGTTGTACTTTTCCTTGAAAAGGCCTTCCCCGCAAGCCTGTTTCCAGAAAAAGTGGCACGGTCTGACCAGTGTCGCTCGTCAGGTGCAAATGAGTATTGTTTCTTGTTGTCGTCTCGAAGTCCTTCGCACACAACGATAGAGCTTTATGCATTGTCAGAAAGAAGGTCATCAGCTCCATCGTGTTTCCCTACTGGCTTGCTGTCAAGGCACCCGTTGTCGCGAACCTGCAGAACTTCAATTTGAATGGTCGATGTACTCCCTGTCAGACGGTGCCACTTTTTCTGGAAACCGGCTTGCCCGGTAGGCCTGCAGGCTCATCCCCTTTCTAGGCCAGGCCATTTCCTGCTCTACATTCGCATTGACCCGTAATGAGATAGACCAAACCCTGACGCCGTCGCAAAACCAAATGCCATCCCATTGCTTTTATGATGCTGATGATCGTTTGCTGTAATTAGTAACTATCGGCCCATGATCGTGTTCGTGTAATCGAGACTGTACTGTAAGCCAGCACGATGTGTATCTTCCGCCGTGCTCCAGAAACAAAACCAGTAACGCCTGTCCCAACTCATCCCCAAGTGCTAAAGTATGTACAAGATAATTGTGGTTGTTGAGAATAACGTGTGAGAAGGAGAGGCCTTGGTGATCTTCGCATTGCTCATCATGGGAGCTAAATGCCTTCGCCAACAAAAGTGCTCGCGTCCGGCGCGAAAAACCTTTGCGAAATTGTTGTACATGATTAGAATAAGAAATATTCGGTCTAAAGCCATGCCAGGCGTTCGTTGCATCGTGAGGAAAGGAATGCATCGGAGTATTGTCGTCGTTAACCACAAGGAGGACAACATCATCACTCATGTTTGGGACCCAAAATTCCTTGGATATCCATCTTTGGACGCTTCGAATCGGGTTCCTGTGTCCCATCGTTGCTGCTACCCTGAGATCGGTGACGACCCTGTTCAATTTGTTGTGGCTGTTGAGTGATGGCTGGATCTATTGGTCCGGTAGCTGCAGGTCGTATGGGTGGTAGCTGTAGACTGGATGGTCCGCCTAAGGGGGGAAGCGTTTCGGACTGCATCGGTGGTGGACCAGGCGGACGTGGGAAAATTGGGTTTGAATAGGACATTTGTGGTGGAGGTCTCATTTGCCCTTGAGGTGGAGGATAATTGTACATGCCAGAATACGAAGAAGCAATCGATCTCAATGCAGACTCTGACTGAGGAGGGCCATAAGATGGTGCTTGTCCGGGAATGGGCGTCGGTCCAGGTGTCGGGTATTGTCGAGAAGAGGTGAACGTGCCTTGCGCCGTGGCTGGGCTTGAGGAGATGGATGGTTGCGCGTACATGGATTGAAAGGCTGGCCCCCTCATCTGCACTCGAGATTGATCGTAGGCTTGAAGTGGTCGATACGGCCGCTGCTGATACCCCGATGACTGGGCAAAGGATGAAGGATCTGAGCCTTGGCTTCTTCTGAGAGGGTCACCCAGAGGCCCTCCCATGGGGCTCAAGGCCGACTCGAATGGTCGTCTCGCCGAGGGGTCCTCCGGTTTGAGAGGAGGACGTCCTCTCTTCTTGTGTTCGACATCAACACAGCTTTCCTGTACACGGTCAGTATTCCTCTGCCCGAATGTTGCGTCGATATGAAACATACCTCCTTGCCGCTTTGCACACATCTTCGGCACGGACGAGCATTGTCACATCTCAAATGCTTCTTCTTGCAGTTGATACACGCCGAAGCCACATGCGCTTTTGGTTTTCGTGCGGCTCTAGGTGAGACTGGACTGAGCGCATAGCGAGGTTCCGAGGTGCTCGGCGTGGTGCCTAGGCTTGAGCCCGACTGATACGACGCTGGCAGCGGATAGTTTGTTATGTATAGACCTGGCTGAATAGGTAATTCTGCGATCGTCTCACCACCTCTTGCCTGCGCACCCAGCCTTGGGGCAGTGTGTTCCAGGGTTGTGGCCGGTGACGTGGCGATCGTCGTAGCAGTAGCGGTCGGAGGCGTATTGGATCGCTTTCTTCTTCGACCAGCAATCTGTGGTGGTTCAGTAGGCTGCTCCGGTGGGGGAGAACCGGACATGGGAGGTGTAGGAAGAGAAGCCCAGGCGGGCGGCGCGAGTGGTTTCGGCAGAGTGAGCTCAATGGTGAACCTTGGTCCGTCGATACTGGATCTGTGTTTCTTGAAGGACGAGCAACGAGGGAATATCTGAGGCGGACGTGAATGCTGCATCAGGTTCGTTCAAGAGGCCGCGCAAATACAAAATCTCCCAGATGGCGGTCCTCGAGAAAAAAGATGGCTCCCCAAAGTCGACACCAGTCAGTCTGAGCTGTAAAGTAAAGTCTTCACGTAATGTCCGTGCTCAGAGGTTGTTTGGTATGCCAAACACCGGCAAAGGCAAGTCCCAGGTGCTTCGACCATGTACCAATACTTCCGACGCTTATTTGGATGTCCGTGCGGGTGCCTGAGCACTTGTCAGTGATGTGCACCGGAGCCCAATGAATTTCAACAGAGGTGAGGTACAACATATTGCTGCATACCTGGGACGGGCTTGGTGGTCTGTTTGGCCCCAATTTCATACACAACCAATACTGACCTCACAGAATGATATGAAACTAGATCGGACGTGACGAGGGGCAGGGTACAAAAGAAACCGAAAAAAGAGATTGACCTGGAAGAAGGAAGCCGCCAACGATAGTCAATTAAGAGGTGAGAGCGACAGCATCAACAAAATATCGTGAAGGAACGAGTGTCTGTGGTTGTGGTTGGTGTCGTCAACATTGGAAAATGGAAGCCGAAGTGAAACGATTCCCCTCGCTCGACGACTTTGGCGAACCTCGGGCGATGCGATGTCATAACAAGGACTGGAACTAGAACAATCAGACCTCGAAGGTAAGTGAAAGCCAAAGGAAAGAGGGCCAAGCTGCTTTCAACCTGCCTTCATCATGCATGCAAGGGCAGCCCTTTCCTGTGGTGACATGCAGATAGATGGATGAGCGGGAACAGGTAAGTTACCCAACTGGAGTTGGCAGACAAATTTCCTCCTGTTCGTGATCGAAGCCGCCGATCTGCTGTATTGAGAAGCCGAATATTGGTCCAATAGTCCCGTTAACAGATCCACATCGGTCTGTATGCCAGAAAGCAAGCCCATGGAGTTGAGCTGAGAAAAGGAATGGACATGGTGCATTAGGCTTTGGGGTCTGACAGGAGGCCCCCTTGGCCGCATGTCCTTCCCGCCGTCAATTGCGACATGGCTCCAGGAAGAGGATCCAGCCTACGACGCCTTCCTGGTCGGGCGGACGAGGTTTCGCCGCCTCGCAAGCCACGGTGTGCCGGTCGGGAGAACCACATAGTCATGTCTCGGCAAGCCCAACTCCAGCCAGGCCATGGACACCAGCCACAGTTCTGCTCCAGAGGCTGAGAAAGCTTTTCCGAGTTCAGAGAGATTGAATGGACGAAGCCGTGGTAAGACATGGCCGAGGAACCAGGCATAAGCTTCGCCCCCTGCCGGACTTGCACATGGATCGCCCATTCTGCAGCGCGGGTCGGTGGCTGCATTCAACCCCGGCAAGATGCCAATTAGGGACCCCTCTTTTTGTTGAACTTGTTCAAGGCTTGATGGCTTCACTATTGGACTCAGGAGGCTCTGTATCCGTCGATGCGGGTAGTGAGTGCCGGCCGCTGGATACCGGACCTTGGATGGCGTACCTCCATTGGCGAGAGAGCTTGGGATATGGAGAGACAGTCCGTCCCAAAGGGGCAGCATGATTGACGGACAATTATCCAAAAACTCCCACTTGCCAGGGTCAGACCACCAGGAAGGATCCAAGCGAGCTGGAAACAGCCTGTTTCTCGATCTCATATGTCTTAAACGAAGCGAGCCTCTCATGTTTCTTTGTTCTACGAGGTCGATTCAAGAGGTAACAGCTCGCATGAGTCGAGGTTCGAAGATTGTCCATTCAGTGTCATGCGCCGGGCTGGCAGGCTGCATGAGAGATTCACCAGAAATAGACACCTCTGTGACACTCGTGACGACCTGGGAACCTCCGCCGTGGGATCTTGTTTGTTCCACAAATCCTCCAGATATGAGCCGCTAGGGCCGGGCATTAGTTCTCTGGATCTGTCGAGTATCCGACGTTAGCTACCTATCTGGTCTGGATGGTGAAATTGTTATCAAGCGGTATGCTGCATTTGGCAACACTACTTACTACCTGGGTTGATTGTTAGTATCCTCGCCAGCACCGTCGTATATCCGGGCCGCGTCGACAGCTCGTGTCAAGGTCCAGGGTTACGTACAGAATATGGATACTCGCTAAAAGCACATTCTCGTGGGGCTCTAATGGTGCCCCTGGCTCCTCGTATCCCACGACAAAAGGTCGTCAACGCCACGAGATGCGAACGTGCCAAGTAGATCTGCAGCAACAGTTCACCATTCTTACTTTGGTCGTTGCTATCTTATGCCAAACGCCGCATACTGGCAAGATACGGGATTTGCCATCACATTGTAACTTACACAGTCGTTCCCGAGATCTGGCAGACTCTCTAATCAGCTTTTACGAGAGGTAAGGAGTTGCTTTTAGTAGGAACTATATCCAAGAATTTCTTCAGCCCAAAGCAAGGTCCCGGACTTAATATTGGGATCTCACGGGCCGGCGTGGCCTCCTGTTGGCTGGCGGCTTCACACTGGTTTCTCGCTTGTCGATGGCTTAACGAATTCTCCGGCTAGACCGTGCGTGGGCGCCCCTCTCGTCCACATCCGTGCCTGTTTTGCTTGTTATGGAGGGAACCATCCCAAGTAGGTTTCCATATCATTCAATTTTCAGTATAGATTCGTGTGTGCCGTAAATAATCTTAAGCGACGTCTGTCAGACAAATGCCCATCGCGTGCTCTTGACAATGACGGGCAGCACCCATGACTTGCCTCGTAGGCATGCTCCACTGCGCCCGTTAGTTGTTTCGACGTGAGAGGTGCAGCTTACCAGGGACAAGGATAATGTCGATGTTTGCCCATGGGTGATTTTGGGCGGCCTTATTACAACTGTGCAGCCACCTGCGCAACACAACAACCTCAGAGCGTTGAGGCAAAACCCGCAGTGCATGATCATTTTGTTCGCCAGAATCCTGGTGTCTGAGATGAGATATGAACTGCTTCGAATTGGTCGTGAGAAATGCATTTTTGATTGTGGTCATCTCATTTGCATTCGATAGTGGAAAACGTGGAGAAGTGTTGACGGCTTGTGCCCGGTCAAGACAGATCATCGGAGGTTTTCCACGCCATGGAACCTCCGCTCACCAGCCTCGACCCCCCTGAAAACTCGTATAGCAGAAGCTCATTTTTGACACTGACAGGCATGAAAAGGTTCAGCCCGCCTCGACAAATTCTCCGGGAAAAGAGCAAAACAAAGCCGTCACGGCTTTGCAATATTATTGGAAGATAATGAGGAGGCATGTCTCGTCGTCCGTATACGAAAGAGCGTCTCTCGCATGGAGTTTTCCACATGGTCGTGGCTCATCCCGATGCAGACTGCAATCTCGCTTTGATGCGAGCCATGATTAGGGGACAGAAACATATCCCAATCGCCTCTTTCCTTGGCTGTTCGGGCCGTTGGTATTTTTGGCTTTGCGGAAATATAGTTACTTGTGGAAGGCTTCTTGAGAAGGATGCGATTTGCGTGCGCCACAGCATAGCGTGAAGATCTGGCACTTGTCGCTTGTTTTTGCTCTCCTTTGACAGACGCCAACGGCTCGCTAGGAGTGCCTTTGCAGGCGCTAGTTTCCTTAGTCTACGCCTCTCAAGCCGTCAAAAAATGTTCCGTTGGTGAGGCGCACAACGTGGTACCCCTGTCCAGCTGGAGGGTTGCTGATCACATCTCTCCTGTTGTTTCTGTCGAGACAGGGTGTCATACTGGCGGTGTCTATCACCATCCAAGGTCATTTGGCAAGTCATTTCCTCTGGCACCAATATTGAGCTGTGTTGCTTCTGTGACATATGATTGAAAGATATCCGAGCTCAGGTGCTACTGGGCTGTCTCATGCTGAAATCTCCAGTGTCACGATCGATGGCCTTAGCTTTATGGAGTACGGGGAAATCATGACTAAAGGATAATTTGACGTGCATTGAAAGATCGATAGTGTGGTAGTGTGTCACCGTGTATAAAGGTAAGGCGTACACGGGTGGCTCCCAGCGATTGTTCATATCATGCCACGTTTGCCGTTCCTACCGTGGATATGCCTATGGCAAGAGAGAGTGACTAGTTTCTAGAGTTCATGCTGATGGAGTTCTCACTTCCTTCCTGCTCCGGGTGGAATACTGCGTTAACAGTATGGGATATTGGGGTATCTGTTCATCATGCTGCCGTCCCCTCAAAGCACGCTGTGTCGACTCTCTCAAAACCTCGAACGGGACAAGCTTATGCTGCCTTGCCTTTTCACTTGGCCTGCTAGGGTCTGCCATATTTCCAAGAGGTAAGATTTAGTTGTTCGCAGCTACTGGCGTTGAAGATAGCTCCCAGCCTGTCCAGGTGGCAGGAAGCAATTTGGATTCACGATTTGCATGATGAAAACTCGATGGACTGTACACAGTGAGTAATCAGAGTACCAGAGTCACTGGACAAGTGATATGTCACTTCTTGGAGAAAGGAACCCAGACTTGTCGAGGACGAGAGGATCAGATTGAATGAATCGAGATCAAGGCGCAAACGGAAATATTTCCCGTAGCTTGGCATGACGCTTGACCACGTTTGCTGGGGACGACGTTGAAAGTTGAAACCCCTCAATGCTTCATCCAACATTCCACAGGTTACATGTTTCCTGCTCGTACAGCATAGCCTATGCTCGTTGATGACAATCCCTTGAAATCTTTGATGATCGTACAGAAGCCGAGATGAGCTCCTCTCGTTGATCTTTTGCTTCATTCCACGCAGAAATACGCTTCTTGTTGCTCGCATTGCTACTTGCATACCGCTATTCCGCTCACCAAGTTCACCGCAGTTTCTGTTGAAGACCACAACGAAGTAGCACCGGCGAAGAGGCCCTGGTGATGATGGTGGACCAGACTTCTACTCGGGAGGATCCCCTGGTAGCAGCTCTGCCTCCAGCCACAGACTACATAACATATTTGACCCTGCTGGAGTATCAACTGACCCCTGAGAACCTGCCGACTCTGAACAGATTGCTCAACGAAGATGATGGCAAACTGGCGGCAGAGATAGGCTGGGATCTTCTAAGGTTGATACTCCCCATGTTGAACCCCGCTCCTGAGGAAGCCGTTCGATGCACGGAAATCGTAGCTCGCAGAGGAAATCCCCGGGAAGTGGTGGTTCGTGTGGCAGAAGAGCTGGAAAAACTGGGTGACCCAGCTGACGATTTCGAAGACGATGATCTTGAGGACGATGATGACGATGATGCTCTTCCGACCTTCGCTGGAGAAGCACCTCGTGTCCACCTCGGAGATATGACTCTCGAAGGTATGCCGGAAACTGAACAACATGCTGAGGCCAATTCCAGAAATACTGTCCAACCACCAGCAGGATCGAGCAAGGCAATAAAACTCCAGGCACTGTTGAACATGCTCGGCATTCTTCACCCAAGGATCAAAACACAATATCCAAGTCGCTTCCTCGCCACCTCTTTGCCAGCAGCGCTTGGGGCATACCGACAAATACCCATTACCACAGCCACCACGTCCGCATTTCTGACGATGCTAGAGAAGCTCGCTGGAAAGAAGCGCCCTGACCTACCTCCACGAGTAAGCACCTCCAACATCAAGCCGGCACCATCGTCTGCACCTCTACCCGACCCAGAAGCCAAAGCAGAAGAGGAAGAGACAGGCGTCAAGGCACCATCGGATGAAGAAAAAGCCATTGTCCACCGCCTCCTAAGTGCAGTCACCCTGGAAGTTCTAGACGAATACCTGTCATGCCTCTCATCTCCCGAACACCCGTCAATGTCATGGACAGCACGTCTTCGCGAGACTCTCGAACCACAAAGAGTGAATTCCCTTAGAGTCAAAGAAACCCAGCTCTGGAAGGAAACAGAAGAACTGAAACAGCAAGACACACTTCTCTCGAAATTCCACAAGCTCTGCACCGAGCTTGATGTGCACTCCAGCATCGAGATCAAAAAGGTCGTGCACGATGAAGTCGACCTCGAACACCCTGACCAAGACAAAGAGGAGGAACCATCAGAGTATCCAACATCACCCGCACAGATCCCCTTTCCACGCGCGGGCGTAATCTTCCTCCACGCCTACGAATCTTTCCTCGCTGCTCAAGACGCATCGCCCGTCCTCTCGACCACCGAACTCACAAAGCTCATCGCCCACTCATTCCCACTTTCAGCGACACCATCCATCCCGAACCCAGCCCTCCAAGACTCACTACTATCCCTCCTCTACAAGCACGCCCTGCCAAATACCAAGCCCGACGCCCCGCCCTCACCAGCCAAACTCCTCCTCCTCATCAGCACGCTGACCCAACTATTCACCATCACCCCTTGGGCCTCACTACGCGACTCAGCACACCACATCGCCACAAGACTTCTCCACGCCCACCCGGACCCAAACATGCGCCTGCAAGTCATTACACAAACCCTGCGCGGCAGCACCTTGAGCACCAACTGGGCCGAGACTTTCGACGACCCAGACCCAGAGCCAGGAATCGACGAAGAAACAGGTCTAACGAGAAGCACGTCAGCACTCCAACCTCATCCCATCCCACTCGCGCCGCCCCAACAACTCCCCGCTCTCAAGGCCATTGGCGTGAACTGGCTGAAAGACGAGTTCGCAGCCTGGACACGCGATAAATTCAGCGGCATTGAACCAGCGTTCCTCACCACGGCAGACAACGACACCAACGAAGCCCGCGCACTGCTCTATCTGCTCTTCCCCGCAAACCTACAACCCCTGTCGTCCGACACAATCAGCACAGATCCTGAATCCGACACCCTGGGATCTTTCCTGCTCGACATCGCGTTCTACATATCCACGCTGAACCTACTCTGCATAGTCCTCCCGCATTTACGCCCACTAAACGACCGCGTGCCCATGCACATCACCTCGCTGAGTGAATCTTCCGAGTTTCTCGTCCAATTGCTCCAGCACGCTACGTCGGCGTCGAAAGCTGCGGGCCTCTCCGCAGGAGGCGAAGACAGCTTCCTGGACGACAGTCGCGCCGACATCATCGCACTGCAGGATGCGTGTACTCGGGTCAATGCGGCTCTGGAGCACGCTGGGAATGTTGCTTGAAACTTCGACAACCATGTCGACCGGCTTCCGTGGTCGACATTGGCTCAAGTACCCCCATCGCATTGCCACTCACTGTGTTTGAAAAGTATTATCTATGACGATGGATGACCTGCTGCGAAAACATTGGCGTAGTCAGCAGAAGCTGGTTTATCTTAGCCGATGAACAATGGAAAAATTGCCCTTCTGTTGGTTGACATGCATTGAATTTTTCGTGATATGAGAACTATATGCCACAATCCAGGCTTCTCTAATCTATACTCCGGAACAGTTATGCCGGGTCCGAACGCTGTCCGAATTGCTACAATGCCGCCGTACGAGAGATTGCAAGCATTGCTTGTGTAGATGCGCCGTGAAAACTCCAACGGGATAAAAGAATCAGAAAAGGAATGTCCAGCAAAATGTCCTGAAGCCCCACAAGATGGCAGAGTTCGGGACAACTCACTCGACCAAACCCCACGGAAAGGCTGGAAGATCTCCAAGGCGCGTCGACAAGTAAGTGGCGGCCGGGTTCGGGATGTTCAGGCCGGGAACAGATAATGATCTCGACTTGTGGCCGACCCCACGATCAGTGACCCCGCGCGCCAAATTTGAGAGACTGGATTGCCCCCGAAAGAGGCCACGTCACATGTCGGGGGAATTTTTTGCATGGTGTTGTCTCGCGCTCGAGACTGCGAAATTCTTCCGGCCATCATTTCGTACTGCATGCAGCTTGACCTCGGCCAGCCAATGGACACACTTCGGACGCTGCGTAGCGCGGCTGCTGCAGGACAATCTTCATCCTTGATTGTTGCTCGGAACAGCACCCCAGCCTGCGACGTCGCACCCTGTAGGTGATCACGAAACCACCAAGCCCATCTACGACCAAACGTCTTCCTGGTAGACACCACTGCTACGCATGCTCTTGACCACTTGCTCTGCCTTGGCTGCATCGACTCCTCGTTCTTCGGCGATGATCTGTCCGAGGACCTCATTGACTTCTCGGGCCATGTGAGCAGCATCACCACAGACGTAGAAGTTGGCCTTTTGCTGAAGCAAGTCGTTGATCAATTTGCCATTTTCTTTGATGTGATGTTGCACGTAGACCTTTTTCGGACCTTCTCGGGAGAATGCATTGAAGATAATCAGTTTATCGCCAAGGGCCTGCTTGTATTCCTGTAACAATGGGTTAGACATGCATGTTAACGGTGACAGAGCCGAGTTGAACTTACATCCCATTCCGACTTGTAGAGCCAATCCTCACTGGATCTTCGGCAGCCGTAGAAAAGCACGGTTGTACCGACTTCCTCGCCCTTCTTAGCTTGTTCGGCGCGTTCTTGGACGAATCCTCGGAAGGGCGCAACACCGGTACCGGGACCGACCATAATGATAGGCTTGCTAGGGTTGGAAGGCAGCTTGAAGTTGGAGTGACGGACATGGACAGGCACGTGAATGCCATCGTACTTGTTGCGCGGACCGGTGATGGAGTAAGTAAGTCCGTGGGGCGATGGCTCGGGATCTCCGTTCTGCTTTTGCTTCAAAGCCAGCAAGTAGTTGGTCGTGACACCCTTGACAATGTGACCTGCGCCAGGAATGCGGATAGACTCGACCACGGCGGTGATGGAGATCTTGTCTGGCTGGACCAGGGAAGATGACGAGATAGAGTAGTAACGTGGCTGAAGCTTGGTGAGGCCTTCCACCAAGGCAGAGAAGGGAACGGCGGACCAGGGCTCAGAGCTGACGGCCGCAACGGCCTGCGAAACATTCAACATTTGTGTTGCCACCTTTTCTTTGAAGTAGTCCGCATCAGAACCCAAGCGAGCCATCTCTTTCTTTGCAGTCTCGTTCGGGGCAAAGGCAGCCAGGGTGGACAGGAATTGACGAGAGACAGGTGCGCAGATCTCCATGTGATAGCGAACGGCAGCATCGTAGGTGGTAGGAGTAGGGAACGGGACTTTGGCGGTGGGATCAAGACCTTTCAACGTGATGACCGTGTGTCGCTTGTCTTCTAGACCAAAGGTCTTTACGAATCGATCAACTTCCATGCCTGCGTTGGTGGGCCAAACAGCAATGTGGTCGCCAGTGGTATATGACAAGCCAGAGCCGGAGACGTCGATTTCCATGTGCAAGCAGTTTCGGTCCTTGACGGTGAAGAGTTCTTTGGAATCGGCAATTGGGGCGATGAAAGGATTGTGAGCGTTGTAGGGGCCCTTCTGGCTGGCTTCGAGATGGTTCTTGTTGGGCTCGCCCAGATAGACGGTGTCGTCTTCAGCAGACAGATCGGGGCGTTCTTCAACAGCAAAGACTGGCTCGTAGATGGCCTCACGCTCCTCAAGACCCATCTCTTTGGCGAGAGCAGCCCACATGGGCTCCTTCCAGGTCAAGAAGTCTTCTTCCATGGTACCGGCACCGTCATCACCTTCACCAGCGTCACCAATTCTCTTGGCACCCAGTTTGGTCAAGATTTTATCGAGGTTGCGAACCATCAGATTGTAGTGCTCGTAAGTGTTGTTTCCAAGACCAAATGCGACGAATTTTAGATTTTCCAAAGGCTTCTCTTCCGAGCCAGCGCCAGAGAAAGACGGGGGGTCACTGTTGATGAACTCCCAGAACTCGACGGCGTTGTCAGTAGGCTCTCCCTCACCATAGGTGGCCATTACGAAGAAAGCGATCTTGTCATCTGGGAAGGTATCAAGGTTCTCGAAGTCATAATCTTCCAAATCCGCAGTCATTGTGTTGAGACCGAAACGGGCATGTCCTTCTTTTGCCAGACGGGAAGCATAATCCTCTGCAGTACCAGTTTGAGAACCATAGAAGATGACACAGTTCTTCTCAAGCTCATCCATCTTTTCCACGACATTTCTGGAGCCTTTCTTGGAGGCACTGCCGTTCATTGCGGTGGTGGCATAGGGATCTTTGGGGACACCCCAATAGGTGCCCCGGGTGAAATAGGCAATGCTGCCCAGGAGGAGGACGACGAGGACAATAATGTCCAAAGTATCGACTTGAGCCATGGTGAGCGGTATTGCAATGCTGAACCGATGCTAATTGAGGTCTATTGGGAGTGTTGTCAGCTCAGCTTTCTGGCTGCGAAGTCGGATCAGCGCGAACCGGAACGCAGGCGACTTTAATAAAGGAGGGACAGCCAGGTGACAACGTGGAGACTCAGGGTTCCTCCGTCCGGCAAATGGCAGCACTGTGTGGCCTGAGCCCGCCAAGATTAGTCCGTAGAGGTGGGCTCGATGTTGCAGCTGAGATAAGATAATATACGATGGTGTATTGTGTCGGAGGCGATGCAGTATATTATCGATCGATTGACAGGCAAATAGGCCTTTTGGTCAAAATGAAGAGAAGAGGAAGGTGGCAAGGAAATCGCGGATTTTAATCAATGCGCTGGTGAAGCATGGAAGAGTTCAGTCGATGCAGCCCACCCGGGTAGATTTGAAGATATGGAACCGGCAAGATGAGGGGCCTGGACAAGGGCCAGACTGCGGAATTGATAGTGATGGTGGAAGCGCACGAAAAGAAAAGGTGCGGGTTCGGTCGCGCCTGGTTGTTCCAGTAGTAGCGGGCGTCCGGCGGCGGCCAACTCAAAAAGATTCTTTCTTCCTCGCGCACGTACGGAATAGAGCGAGGTGAGGAGCAAGAGGTGGGGGAAGTCTTTGCTGTTGTTACCCAGAGGATCGGGGCAGCGCGCGGCACTTCAGGTAATGGGAGGCTGTAACCAACGGAGAAGGCCACCCTGGCCACCTAGGAGTATCCGGACTACTGTGTACACAGTACTGTGAATAAATTGGGGATGGGGTTGGCACTTTTCTTCTGTTTTCCATCGCCATCGATGCTCACAGGGCCTCGGAATCTCCCCACACACACCTTTTTGGGAGAGGCAAACATACCTCAATGTAGTCAGCGTCGATGATGCCTTGATGCTGAGATACTACACACCTCGCAGAAGATGACTTTGATCTGTCACGGGGGTCGTCCAGCGTATCGCTCAATTCGTTAGCCCTGGCACCGGCGGCAGCCTGAATCTTTGCACGATGGCGTTTACATAGTCCTGTTTCTTGTGATCGATCCTTTTGATGAATCGCTAAATATATCCACCCACTTACAAGATCTATGCGAAGAATCCTCCGATGTACCCTTATCTGCACTTGGATTGGAAGAGCACACCACTGACAATTGACGGTACCACATCTCACATACCCCATGGTGTGTGAAGAATGACCGCTGGATGAGCGCCAATTCCATCACCCGCACACCTCCCTTTCTTCCCCAGTCCGATCCGGCGCCCGTATCTGATTTGATAAAAGGACCAGTGCAACAGCGAATCGTGGGTTGTAGCACACGGCCAGCCAGATGGTAGGCTTTGATAGAAACACAATGGCTCAAAGTATCGTCCTGAGGGCATCTTACACCACGCTGCTGTAGAACACAATGTTTCTGTGTTGCACCTACAGTATTTGGTGTTTTCGTCCTGCATTCCTAGTACTGTAGATCTCTCTGTCTTCACCGCACTCTCGCATGCCGGCATTTGATTGGTGACCAGGCCAATTGCGTACCATCTCCATCTCGATACTCCTTTGACCTTGTGTCTCATGTCTGCCCTTTATTGCGACGGCGACTAAAATCTACGCCGTCTTGCAACACCGGTTTCTTGCTCGATACCCTTCTCTCGACCTTGACGATTGCACAACGAGCAATGCCGCAGTCCGTGCAGCCCCTGTTCATTCGGCCTTCGGCACACAATGCTGCAGCATACTGGTAATCGTGAGTCTCGGAAACCTTCCGCTGCCACCACACAATCACCGCAGTTCCCAAACCCTTCTTGGGATGAGCACTTGACCACATGCTAATCTGGGCAATCCAATGTTCTCAGATGCGCAATCAGCTTCGAGCGATCCTCAAACCTTTCCTCTCGACGGTCCCGGTCCCGAACAGATTTCCTTGCCTTTACCTAACGGCCGTCCTCCAGTCGTCGCTTCCGTCCATACAAGGGATGCGTCGGTGACCAGAGGGAGGCCTCAGCAATCAAGCACACAAAACTATGGCGCCACCTACGTGCCATCGTCACGCGCAGGCTCTGCGCAGCCACAGCCACAAGGAACAGACAGCGGTGGGAGTTCGAGGGGTCCTTCGGTAGATACTACTGGTCTGCAAAGACGGACATCGAACAACTATGGCCATCACCGGCAAACGTCCGTCATACATGGCCTCCAGCATTCCAGGAATCCCAGCTTCAACACTCCCTCCGGCGCAACTCCCCTTACTCCAGAGTCGTCCCTCAGTGGCCCAGGCCATGCAAGATCACAACACCAGACCCGGCGAGGGCAGTATGCTGCAGCGGAGGGGTCTTCCAATTTCACGAGCCCGGGTTCGCCCTTACAAGGCCACTCGCAGGGCCAGTCGATCGACTCTTTGTTGGACGGTCCAGTCCCGGTGCACGAGTCGGGACAGCCACAGCCCAGGCGGCGCAAAGAGCATTCGCGAACTCGGCGAGGCCATGCATATCAATCCTCTAGTGTCCACCAGAACGAACCACGTACACCCGGGGAATATGCGCTCCATCACCTCTTTCATGCTTTTGTGCTACGAGCCGATCAGAGAATCAATCATTGTCTGTCATTGCTTGAGACTGTGAACACACCGGTTGAGTTGGCTTGTGGACCTGGCGTCGATCCAGGCTTTGATCAATTAATATCGTCACTGGGCCATATCTCCCGGCAGGGACCGAAACCCCTGGTGGACAGTTTGATGTTATGGCGCAAAGGCAAAGGTGACGCCGCCGCCAATTTGAAAAAGCAGGTCTATCAACAGAGACTTCAACAAGGACTGACGACGAACACTCTCCCAATTTCGCTACCTAGACGGCACACAGAACCGTTGCAGGTCCCAGGAGAGCCTGGCTTGTCAACAGTCGGCACGGACAGTCCACTCTCGTCAGAGGACACGCTTACGCAGGAGTATATTCTAGCCGACCGAAGAGCCACGATTTCCGTCTACATACTGTGTCGCGTCTTGATCGCAATTTTCGAGCAGAGTAACCTGGCGGCAATCACACAAGATCTTGCCAATAAACTCGAAGATATAGTATTCACGCAGATTAGGGAAGTTGAACCCAACCAGATCTTATCCTCAAGCATTCGCCTCGCCAATTGGAGAATCTATGGTCAGGTACTTGGTCACATGAGTCGCCTCGACTTCCTCAATGTCACTCTTCGCTTCACACAACAGCTTGACACATGGCAGCAAGAATTTGCAAAGACACCTGGGACTGCAGCCGCAAGAGACATAGAATCCCGGCTCGAGTTATTGTTGCTGAGCATGCGCCATCTCCATATAGCCGCGAGGCGGGAGGCCGTGCAACCAGTCGTTGACTTCTTGAGAACTCTGGCCGGACTGTTCTCTGATGCTCACGGCCCTCGAGTGAAGCAGGCGTACTGTCAGCTTTTCGAGCGTTTGTTGACTGCTGTCGCAAGCAGCCCCGAATGCTTCCAGACCAACTCGAAATGGAGAGATCTCATCGATGCAATAAACGCCCGTCTATCAAACATGATGGTCAAAGTACGTCACTGGTATACAGGCTTTCCTGTCTCGATACTGCTGCTCTGTATTTCTCCACTAGAAACTTTCTCCACGCAGTGGGGATCACTGTTGTCGGGTATGCCAATGAAATTGAAGGACAAGGCTTCACGCGGTCTTGCTCTGCAGGCCATATGTCAATTGACCTGGACATACTTTATGCGCGTACCTGAACCCGCGGCAACCAGAGTCCGGCGCATAGAGGAGGTATTGAAACTTGCTCTTCCGCAAGGAAAGAAAACACATGTCAGCTCAGAGCAGTCTGTTTCGACACCACTTGTGCATCTCATGAGAATCATTGGCTTTGCTGCACAAGATATCTGTTTCAAGTCAATCATCTTCCCTCTGGTACACTATGACAAATTCCAATCGAGTCGGTCGCTCAAGATTGAGGACATGGAACCTGAAAGAATGGTCGTTGGGATACGAGCCTTCCTTGCCGTCATAGCTGACCTCGAGAGAGATGATGATCGGCCTCCTCCGTTTCCATCTTTCAACATCCAACCGCCAACAGGTGAGGGTCTTCCGGGATCTCCGTTGAGCATGAGAAACAACGTAGGCCTGGACTCGCCAACGCGGACGACATTCGAAGAAGAAACCCTTTCCTCTTTACCAGTGGACACCAGTAAGCTTGATGATAATGCGAGACAATACTATCTACAGTTTTGCCAGATCCTGGGAAAGATCACCATTTTGTGTGACAACACTTTTGGTGGTCAGGCGGCACTGAACGAAAAATTCTCTACACCTACAACGACCCTGACGCCAAAGACGCCGTTGGTGGATGCTTTCACCATCAAGCGCGAACAGGAGGGACCTGGGCCAGATCAGAGGCATATGTATTACGAACTGCTTCATGTGGCCATACAGGCTCTCCCGCGTTGCTTCACGGATCATATTCCCTTGAGCCCCTTGATCAATCTTTTGTGTACAGGGTCTGCTCACGTTCAAGCAAACATTGCAGCTTCAGCCACCCAGTCTCTCAAAGCCATTGCCCGACAAGGCCATGCTCAGGCCGTTGCCATTGCTTTTCCACGGTTTATCTTCCATTATGATACGCAATACTCGACAATGTCAGATGAAGGTCGTCTCGGACCAGCACATATCGAGTCCACTCTCACATTGTATCTGGATCTCCTCCAGATATGGACGGAACAATTGAAGCAAAAGACGGTGGCCAAAACTGCTGAAGCAAGAGGCGCCAATTCCTCGCGTGCGCTGCAAATGGAGCTCACGAACGTCATTCCCCATGTGGATGAAATTGAAGCCTACGGTCTCTTTTTCCTTTGCTCTCAATCCCGCCGAGTACGAGCGTTTGCGATCAAGGTTCTCCGGCTGGTCCTTCAGTTTGACAAAGTTCTTGGCCAGGACGTGCCATCAAGGATCATCAGACTTCTAGAATTACAATCGTCCAAAATTCTCGATTTGCAAGAAGAGGGTCTGAACGTTGCCGAAAGAAGTCGTTTGCAGAAAGATAAAAGTGCCAGCCCAGATTCGAGCACATTGATCGAGATCTGTAGCTCTGAGGTTTCTTATGATTCAACACTGTGGTTAAAAGCATTTCCCAACCTCATTCGGGCGGTTTTTGACGCTTGCCCGAACGCCATCGCTCTCTGTCGGGGCACTGTGACCGACAGACTCGTGTTGATGCAACGTGATATAGAGAGTTTCTCGGACACTGGAGCAGGAAATCCTGCCGCGTACGAATATCGCATGCAGGGTCGCAGTTCTGCAACCTCGGCAGAGGTTCTCTTCGAACAGTGGAAGCTCTATCTAATCATGGCGTGTGTCACCCTCAGTTCTCCAGGTGCACAATCTCAAAGTCAGCTGGCTGATGCTGCGCATGCTCGAAAGACATCAAAGGGCGCTACCGCAACTCAAGACAAGCTGAGCTCCGCTCGAGCATTGTTCTCTGCAATTATCCCGATGCTAGGGGCCTCACCGGAGGCCATTCGAGATGCTGTGGTGTCGGCGCTAGGGTCAATAAATCGCAAGCTTTGTCGTACTCTTCTTGAGTCCCTTCAGTATGCTGTCATCAAATGCAACGACGAGGCAAAAGCAAGGATCAACCATCAAAGAACCCCCAGCAGCCCACAACGATCTCAACAAACGGAAAGGTTGCGCACAGAAGTCACACATGTTTACAAACTCACGGCAGCCTTCCTGAGGTACGAGGATATCTACACGGACGAATGGATATTGCAGAACTTGGTCAACTATAACCGAGATCTACGCATCTTCCTGAGTGACACGGATGTGCAGAATGACTGGCGTTTTCAGAAGCTGAGATATCACTACTGTGGCTTGATTGAGGAAATCTTCGAGGGCGTCAACAGATCTAAAACCCCAACTCGCTGGATGCCTTTTGAAGCACGGAAATCAGCGTTCGCCTTGATGGAAGACTGGTGTGGCTATTCCGCTGAACAGAACCTCTTCGACCCAAATCACAATCATGGGAGAGACTATCAAGACCGTCTCAACGCCAACGCCGCTGCTGAAAAGGAAAGAAACAATCTGAAGGTGGCCGCGTTGAGCGCAATGGCGACTTTGTGCGCGGGACCCATCAGCATCGTGACCGATAGTCATGCTCTCCTCTCTTTCAATGTGCAACGGATGCTATCATGGGTCGATGGCATCTTTTCAACGAACAATCACAAAATGCACACCATTGGTCGAAGGGCGCTGAGATTGTTATTGGTGAACAATCCGGAGCATCTTGTGCTTGCCGAGCATGCGATCGAACAGTGCTATCGGACCGAGTCCTCTTCAATGGCCCTGGAGAGCTACTTCGGCGTCGTGTCTGACCTGTTGATTCAACAAACCGATTACCCCTTACCGTTCTGGAAAATCCTGAGTATCATCGTGCTGACCTTGGGAAACGAAAACCGCGAGATCAGGATGAAGTCGGCTCATCTTATTCGCACATTGGATGATAGACAGCAGAAGAGCTCAAATCTTCAAGATTTTGATATCAGCATATCTGACAAGACTCGAGCGGTCTACAAGTTGGCCCAATTCGAATACTCAAAACGACTTTCCAAAGCAAACTCGGACATAGCTTTCTTGATCTTCTCCGAATTCTCTCTTCATTACAAGTCTGCACGGAATGACCATCAGCGCAACATGGTGGTTGCAATTCTACCGTGGGTACAGACACTCGAACTTCAGGTCGACCCTGGAACTGGCGGGCCAACGGCGATCTCGTACATGCTTCTGGCCAACATGTTCGAAATAACAATATGCTCCAGCAATGCCATGCACAATGAAGTCCAAGCATTGTGGCAAGCTCTTGCGACGGGGCCTCATGCTGGCAACGTTCAATTGATTCTCGACTTCGTTATCTATCTCTCCCTAGATCGAAGAGACCAAAACTTTGTCGAATATGCTAAGCAAATCGTGGTCTACTTGTCATCCACACTTGCAGGATCAAGAGTGCTCGAGTTCTTTTTATTGCAATTGACGCCCAAGAACATGGTCAATGACAGATCGCACGCCGAGGTTGTGCTGCCTGACACCCGAGACATGCCATACGTTGCAGATTTAGGGTCTCTCTTGCCAATGGGTAGCAAGCAAGTCGGTTTGTCGTTGGGACAAGTGTCCTTGATCTTCTTGGTGGATTTGGTGGTGTCCCCCGTGGTTCTGCCAAAGGACGAAGCCATCAAGCTAATACATACCGTGCTGATCTTATGGGACCATTACACAAGCTCGGTTCAGGAGCAGGCCCGAGAAATGTTGGTACATCTCATACACGAGTTAGTCACCACGAAGATTGACTCGCAGATTCTCATCTCAGCCAAGTCACAAATCGAAGGACTAGTTGAGGCGGTGCGTACCAATGATGTTCGTGTGAGTTGGTCATACGAAAAGAATACGAGGAAAGACGAGGATGATGGTGGCAGCAGAGTACCACCAGCAATGTCTACTTTGACCGCCGAAATTGTTGGTATCTTCGACCTTGCATTCGAAAACTTCAGCGAGGCATGGGCGAAAGAAGCTTTGCACTGGGCATCCATTTGCCCTGTACGGCATTTGGCGTGTCGGTCATTCCAAGTATATCGGTGCATTTCCGTCAGCCTGGATGCCAGGATGCTTGCGGACATGCTGGCCCGCCTTTCCAATACCATTGCCGACGAGCAAACAGACTACCAGACTTTCTCTATGGAAATATTAACCACCCTTAAAGTCGTGATTGGAGCCCTGGAATCGAAGAATCTCTTGCGATATCCGCAGCTTTTCTGGACCACTTGCGCGTGCCTCAACACAATCCATGAAAGGGAATTCTACGAAACCTTGGGAATGCTAGAAAAGTTCATCGAAAAGCTTGATCTGTCTGCTCCAGAAGTCACAGAAGCGATGCTGAAAGGGCAGCCAGCAAAATGGGAGGGACGTTTCGAGGGGGTGCAAAGCTTACTTTACAAAGGCCTCAAGTCCGCCGACAGTCTGGATAAGACACTTTCTATCCTTCACAAACTGGCCGAACTTCCAGAATGCGACTTGGTGGGGCATGAGGATCGGCTTCTCTATTGTGTCCTGGCCAACTTGCCACGATTTCTCCAAACATTCGAGCTCGAGACTGTCGACGCGGTTTCCTTCATGGCTGCAGGGCGACTCGCACAGGTTGCAGACGATGAGGGCCACGAACTTCTTTCGACCTGTCTCCAGCGCTTTGCTGATAAAGAGATGTCAACTAGTCGGGAGATGCTGTCCGCCGCCATACAAGCCCTGAAGGCGTCCTATTTCCCAACCCATGATGCTCGAAGCTTGATATTCATGATTGGTCTGCTGACGAACAAGACCCCCTGGTTTAGGGTCAAGCTCATGGACGTTTTATGTGAATTGATTCCGCTCGTCAACATGAAGAATGTAGCCATCACATCGCACGGGCCAGATCTCATTTCACCACTTCTGCGATTGTTGCAGACTGAGCATTGTACGCAAGCTCTAGAGGTCATGGACTACATTATGGAAGTGGCAGCGACGCCAATGGAAAAGCATCACATGCGTATGAGCATGACGACAGGCTCCGCAAAGGCGATTCGAAAAGAGTATGAGCGCACTCAAAGTCTCTACGGAATCCCGCTACCATCCGGATGGTCCATTCCGATGCCCGCAATCTATTCGAGTATGACGAGGAAAAACGTCCATGCAGTCTTCTATACCTGCGGAGACTCCGAGTCTCTAAAGGAGCAAGAGACTTCCACGCCTGACGTTAAATTCCAAGGAGACGATGGTTACACTGATTCGTACTTCCCACCTCAGAGCAGAGCAGACACTATCAGATCAATGGAAGTGGCTGCCGATACTAACGTCAGTGATCTCATGAATACCCTTGACAGTCTTGACGACTTTTTCGACGATGTCGATGGAGATGGTCTTCTAATCCCGACTGCTGCAAGTCATTTGGGTGTGGATAATCTGACCTTACCTCCTTTGACGGAGCAAAGCACAACTGTGTACGACGAGCAAACTGCTCCGATACTGCGTCAAAGCCTTGGGAGATCCTCATCACAAGTTGATGTGCAGGATGGCTTCACGGAAACTGGGCCACTGCCAGCCATGACGCAACGTGGTCAGCTAAGTATGTATGCTGGCCAGAATGGTGCAGCCCAAACATCCTTCTCTTCAATTGACGAACTTGGGGGTCCAGGACCATCATTACCAACTTCGACAAGAAAGCCAGTTTTGCAGACTGTAACAAGCCCACAGTCTAGGCCGGGACTGCACGCTCGCTCCATCACTTCTCCTGCCAATCAATTCCCAATGTCACAACCGACATCAAATGCATTTTATCCCATGCCTTCTGGGCTTGGGAGGTCGCAGGACGATTATGCAGACCAGTATGATGACGCCGTGCTGTCGGATGGCGAAAACAGTCCATTCCCATCTTTGAACATGACAGCGACAAGCTCGTCCAGGATTTTGTCGGGGCCCGGACCTGAGTATCAAGCCACTCCAACCTCTGCAACTGAAGGTGGAGGGTCGTTCAGTCTACAGAGTATGAGGCGTGGCATGCGCCGTCTCACTGGTGGTAAGAGTGAAAGCCAGAAGGAGAAAGAAAAAGCTAGGGATGTCACTCGTCTACGTGGACAATCAGGAGGACAAAACCTGATACCTGCAACGATTCTGAGCCCCAGAGTGCCGAAGGTGCCTCTGGAATATCTCAATGCCAGCAATCTAAGTGGCATGAGTCCTACCACCCCACCAGGTATATGAAATCAACACCTGAATTGTCTTTCCTGGAGTTGAATGGTTCACAATATTCAAGATACCCATCCAGTCTTCCTGGGGAAGTCATGGTTGCAAAACAGGCGTTTCAAAGAAATTCATCAGGGGCTGATGCTGGTACGATATCGAGGCCAATATTCAGAAGGCAAGACAAAAATCGGGATTTGTATAATAGGCTTGTGAATGTTTTTGGTGCTTGGAAGACTTCGGTCACAGTTTCTAGGAAGGTCACACAATACCACATTTCCGGAATTCGATCTGCTGTTTTCCGAAGAAATTCTATGTGATGACCCATATGTTTCTGCTGGGGAGATGTCTCACCTGCACTGACCATGTTCTGCATTCCAGACGTCTACATTCCTAACAAAAGATGCGTAGTCATACACACGACACGTCTGCGCGACCTTTGCGTCTCGTTAGAAAGACAGGTGAGTCAAGCGAGTCTGGAGATGAACAGCTCAAAATGAGGGTGATAGGGCGTCTGAGGATCGATTATCTGGCGCTGGCCATATCAAGCCTTACAGCATATGCGGCAGGTCAAATTGGTCAGGAGAGCACTACAATGGGGAATACATGGGCTAACAATGCGATAGATTCGCAGTCTTGCTACCTGACGACCACGGTTTTATACGGCAGTCCCAGCAATTGGATTACCTTTTCGGGTTCTACATCCTCGCCTTCGATTTCCAGCTCTCTGAGCGGATCGCAACAATCAAGTCCGTCGATCACATCATATGCTACGAGCACAACAGGGAATCCCTCCGCGACAACGAGCACTGCATTGTCGGCTCCGTTCATTGTCACGGTGGGTGGTGTCGGCAGCAGCAAAGCGCGAAAACGCTCGAGCGAATTCCTGACATTTGTGAGCGGATTGGCATATCTGAGCGCGAACCAGAACGATGCGGCGGTTTTCCAGATCACGCCGGATGGGCAGATGTTGAGCGGAGCGGATTATGTTGGAACAGAAGCGCATACGGGCACGTCGCATCTTAAGCAGAATGCTGGCGTCCAACCCGATGGCTACAACTGGAGTTTTGAGGGGGCAACGTTGACATTTGGAAATACGACTTTCTTCACGCTCCAGGATGGTCAGGTTGCTGTTGTGTTTGGAAATAGTTCGCTTCCTACGGGTGCGGTGCAGGTCACGATGGCTACAGAGTTCGTGGATATCACTGGCTCCAGCTTCGTGATCGAACAGACATCTACGACAAGCCTGGGTTCGACGACAAGCGTACCAGCTTTAACATCGACGAGCCTGGGACAGCACAGTCAGAGTTCGCAAGCAAGCACTGCCGGACCTTCTATTGTGATGAGCTCCAGCGTTTCAACGACAACTTCGCAGGGTTCATTGTCTCCGTCGATGACAGTCAAAACGAGCACAATTCAGTCATCCCAGACCAGCGCTTTGACGTCGACATCTGCATCGAGCGGCCTTGCGACCTCGCCCACATCAACGACCATCGAGTCCAGCGTCACGTCGAGTTCTACAGGAGCGACATCCACCACCGCAGCCTCCTCGAGTCCAGCATCTTCCAGCAGTCCAACTTCCAATCCCCCATCAAGGTCTCAGACCACTACGGCAGCTTCGTCTTCAACTACATCTAAATTGACAACCCAGCCCACGTCGAACACGCAACCAGTCTCGTCCACAGTGTCGCCAACAACGACGACGACGACGAAGACAACCACAACCACAACCACCACCACCACCACAACGACTTCGAGACTCACCACGACCAGCATCCGTACGACCACGACAACTCGCACCTCAACCTCCACGACATCCAGCCCTACCACCTCCACATACCCAGCCAAGCGCGGGCTAGCCTACAGCAACGTCACAACACTGGAGTACTACCCGCCTCCCAGCCCCTACATATCCTGGTCCTACGACTACTTCTCCCTCCCAAACAACACCGACAACGTAGGATCCTACCCCAACGAGTTCGGTTTCATCCCACTCCTCTACAACGATGCCGACAGCCTAACCAGCATTTGGGCCGCCAACGTCAACTTCAGCATCGCAAACTACGGAACCGACGCGATTTTCGGCTTCAACGAGCCCGACGCCTGCTACAACAGTAAATCAGCATGTATGCCCCTCAACGCCACGTTGGCGGGCTATCAGAACTTCATGCAACCGTTCGCAGGGCGGGTGTTGATCGGCGCTCCTGCAGTAACCAACTCCGGCGCACCAGATGGTTTGTTCTATTTGAATGAATTCATGGGCAACGCGTCAGAGATGGGCCTGAGGATCGATTTCATCAATTTGCATTGGTATGCGAGTCCGTGTAACATCGAGTACTTTATCAATTATACCACGACTGCTTATGAGATGTTTGATGGCGCTTACCCAGTTTACGTCAGTGAGTTTGGAATGGATCAGGCTTATTATGACCTGGATACTGTGGTGGCGTTCATGGAGAATGCAACGGCGTGGATGGATGGCCAGGAGTGGATTGTGAGGTATGCTTGGTTTGGGAATTATGCGGACACCCCCGTGGGGGTGAATGAGTATTTGCTTAACGCTGATGCGAGTGGGAGGGGGACTTTGGGGAATGTGTACTATTCATATAACGGGTAGACAACATGGAGGAGGCTGAGGACATGATGGGAAATGGAAACAGTATGGATTGCTTGTGGGTCCGGCTTGGTTACAGGTTTTGAGAGTGTGGTGCGCAACATGAACATTTTGAAGGGTTGCGCAAGGTAAGGCTGTGGGATTTCAGGGGCCTGATAGATTCACTTGTTGGGAACGTTGCATGACTTCTTCGAGGTAGATGTTGTCCTCGTCATCTATCTGTTATCCAGTATGCCTTGGCCTTTCACGAACTCTCATTACAATGATTCTAACAGCAGAGTACTTTGTAACATCACGCTGACCACTATCGTCGGCATACTGAGGTATCTTACACTTTGGCTTGTCATAAACTTGTAAAAACGGCCCAAGGTCAACACCGCTCAAAAACGCGATACAAGCCCTTCAGGTTCGCCACTTCGATCACTCCCTTTAGCATGCCCTTGGTAGCCACGATTCGAGATCTGAATGCAGGGAAGAGAACATGTTCCAGGGCAGATTCCAACTCTTTGCGTCTTCTTTCAGTAGCAGCCTCAAGTTCATCAGTCGGGTCATGGCTATCCTGAACCGCCGTCTCTGTGTCTTCCATGCTGGTATCGACAGAAATAGATCGAGTCTTACCCTTTGAGGCCACCAGCGGTAGCTGTTCAGGAACATAGAATGAGGCCAGTTCTCGCAACAACGTCCGAAAACATGGCTCCTCTTGCGTCCAGTCGACGAATGGACCGAGGCGCAGGAGAAAAGTCGGTAATTTCGCCATGCATGGCATATAGCCCTTGAGCAGTAACGGGATCGACTCAACAAACCCGTCTTCCGAGATCTCGACGGAGAAGTACTCGGACATCATCTGTCTGCGGCTCATCAATTGGTCATAGACCTTCTGTACGACCTGTTGTTTGTCAAGATCGGCACATGCGGAATCCGTCTCGATTTGATGTTGCGCGGCGATCTCCAGAAGTTCGCGGAGGCTGGGTGGTGGTTGTAGCTGAATACGACCAAAGTTGCCGAAATCGGTAAGACCAACTTGATAGAAGAACTCATTCGCCGTCATGCCATAGTCAACAAGATATAGTTTCACGCCGGACTGCATAGCAGCTAATCGCCTGTTACTGTCCACAATTCCAACGTAAGTCAGTGAAGCGAAGACTTCAGTCAAGCCATTATGCATGGCTTCGCGGACCTCCGCACGTAAGTTCTTGATCGAAGTCAATCGTATCTGCACTTGTTCGCGATCTGTAGTGCTATATTGGGCTCCTTCAGCTGCGGTCGACTCGTCCTGAGTGGTGGCCGTCGAAAGTGCAGGAGGAAGCATTGAAGTGATCTTTCGCATTCTGGAATCTGTTCGAACCAGGTTGTTCTCGTATGGTTTTTTGGTTGTCAATGTTCTCCTTGTGGCGCTTTCATCCATGGGCGTCTGGTCCGCGGCTGCCGTCCGGAGATGCAACGGAGTCATTGGAGTTACTCCAGGAAGCAATGTCTGCGTCTGAAACGTTCTGCTCGTGTCCAATTTTGCCAAACTCTCGCGGATATTGTTGCAGACGAGCTCGATGATCTCATCCTCATTCAGAAAGTGAACCTCGCGCTTCGTCGGATGGACATTGACATCAACCCTACTAGGATCGATATCGAGACAGACATATACGAATGGATGACCGCCTTTGGGAAGGAAAAGATGATAGGTTTGTTCGATGGCTTTTTTGACTGTTGAGGATTCGACCGATCGATTGTTGATGAACAAGAGTATCGTTGTTCGCTTGCCGCTGTAGTTTGCATTGGTGGCATACCCTGAGGCCTTGATACCCCATCGAGTATCTTCCACTCCGAACTCCATAAGTTCCTTACCCACGCCTCCATAAGCTTGCCTTATTCGGTCCACCTTCGTCGCAGCCGCCGCCACAGAAAACCCCGAAGCAGTGTCACCATGTTTTTTCACTGAAAAAGCCACTCCTTCTCGGTGGACAGCATAGCGTGTGATCACGTCTAACACTTTGGTGTACTCTTCGGATGGAGATCGAAACGCTTTCCTCCTGTTCGGTATGTTGTAGAACAGATCCTCAACGGTGATTTGCGTACCAGGCCGACCGGCGCATGGCTTCGGATCGGGACTTTGGCCAGGTTTAGCAGGAGTCAATCTGCCGTCAGCGTAGTGTGCTTGCCAGGCACAACTTGAGTTGGCGGTACGAGTAGTGACTTTAAGATGGGCAATATGGCTGATGCTTGCAAGAGCTTCGCCTCGGAATCCATAGGTGCCAATTGACATGAGATCCTCGAAATTCTTGAGCTTCGATGTGGTGAACCTCTCGCATAGGATGGGCAAATCTTCCCTCTACCTAGATCAGCGGCCCGCGGCAGAAGACATGGTTGACACTTACCTCGATTCCATGGCCATTGTCGGAAATCTGCAACAGTTTGAGGCCACCATCTTTGACAACTACATCGATAGCTGTTGAACCGGCGTCGACCGAATTCTCAAGCAACTCCTTCAGTGCGTGCATGGGAGCGACGATGATCTCGCCAGCCGCAATCTTGTTGACGACATCCTGATCCAATGCCTTGATATTGGTTAGCAATCCTGTCTCCTATCAGTGAGAGGGGATAAACATGCCTTTATTCGACGAGGAGCTTCAGGAGGCAAACCTGCTTCCGCAGCAGTTCTCTTGACACCACGAGGAGGAGCCGAGTCAATTTCCATCGATTCTGTCATCTTGTTTCCGATGGTTGTCGCAGTGCCGCAGAGCAATTGCCGACATTATCGTTCCCAATTGCAAGGACTGTTATGGGCGTGCGGTTGCCTGGAAATAAAGTCCATATAGGCGGTTCGGGCAGTGGCAACCCCGCAAAAAGAGTCATGTATCAGGCGCTATTCAGCTGCCACGAATCATACCCTGGGCGTCGTCACATGCAGCGTTTCGGTAACCTCAAAAGGCCCATTTGTGAAAGTTGCCCTGCGCTGCGATACTTTTGTCATGGTGCCCGCTTGACGCTCGATCACTTCAACCCCATTGCACAGCAAAAGGTCCTCCTTCCAAATACCCCAGTCCACAGCTCGCGCATTCGGCTTCCTGTCTCGATCCATGGAGGAGTATCGGTAGCACTCGACAGGAAGCTGTCCGACCATTTCACCATGGCAATGAATTATGTGACGTTCAACCAGGACTACAGTCACCTGGCTGTAGGTAAGTCTATCAACCTTCCATTAGTATGATCCCTAGGTTGACTCGGTGTAGGAACCTCCAAAGGTTTCCGAATCTTCACCACCGATCCATTCGCAAAATGCTTCGAATCCCGAGATGCTGGCAACATAGCCATACTCGAGATGCTTTTCTCAACTTCCCTGGTGGCTCTCATCCTCTCTCCACGAAGACTACAGATAAAGAACACAAAAGTACTAAGAATGCCGGGCACAGATTCAACGGCGGGCTAACATGACGCAGAGAGACTCGATTATATGCGAACTTACCTTCCCTACAACGGTCTTGTCTGTACGGCTCAACAGAAAGAGGCTGGTTATCGTGTTGGAGGATCAGATATATCTCTACGATATACAGACTATGAAACTACTTTACACCATCGAGACATCTCCGAATCCTACAGGCAAGTCAGGTTGGACGTTAGTCTGGTTTCCAGGATGTTAACAGCGAGGATAGCAATTTGTGCCCTTTCACCGTCGTCAGACAACTGCTACCTAGCCTATCCGCTACCACAAAAATCGTCTGCTAATTCCTTCTCACCTCCCTCGCATGCGCCTCCCCACAGCACGCATATTCCACCGACTTCCGGTGAGGTTTTGTTGTTCGATGCTGTCAAGTTAGAGGCGGTCAATGTGGTCGAGGCACATCGATCTCCGCTGTCTTGTGTAACGTTCAACAACGAAGGGACCATTCTGGCCACAGCATCCGACAAGGGAACCATTATTCGGGTCTTTTCGGTACCGGATGCACACAAGCTTTACCAGTTTCGAAGGGGGTCTATGCCGGCACGAATATACAGTATGGCCTTCAATATCACCTCAACGCTGCTTTGCGTGTCGTCCGCGACCGAGACGGTCCATATTTTCAAGCTTGGCCCTCCTACCAACCGGCCGGAAGATAGTGATGAACCTGCTTCACCTACCAAATCAACTTCTGCGTTTACCCGACGATTGAGTCAGGGAAGTGATGCAATGTACGACCAACCTGGCGATGATGAAGACGAACCCGAGTCTCCTACAGCCATGGCGACCCGGAAGCCGAATGGCACATTCATGGGTTTGTTACGAAGAACATCGCAACACGTGGGCATCAATATCGCCTCGACAGTAGGCGGATATCTTCCCAAAGGCGTGGCGGAAATGTGGGAACCCGCACGAGACTTTGCCTGGATCCGACTGCCCCGATCGAATTCAGGGACGGCACCGAGTCAACTACGCAGTGTTGTTGCCATGAGTCCCAACTCGCCTCAAGTGATGGTGGTTACGAATGAGGGCAACTTCTACGTCTTCAGTATCAACCTGGCCAAGGGTGGTGAGGGTACTCTGGTCAGGCAATATTCGTAAGTAGTGCTGAAGTCTGTAAGCTTCTGTATGCTAACGCAAGACAGGGTACTTGGTATCAATGACAAGATGGGTGGTTCTGGCGTGGACTATTGATGACCTTGTGCACTTTCCAGGTTCCAGTCCACTACAGTAATGATTTAGCGCTGGCGTTAGGGGATGCTTGAATCAGCGTCAGTCAAGCATAGCGGCCTCGTGCTGCACCATAGTTGAATGATAATATTCGCAACTCAGAGCTCTACTCGCATGACCGAACAGAAATATGTTGATACAACCTGTGCAACGCTACCTAGACCTGACGTACCCTGAACCCAATTGGAGGTAGTCCCTACTACTCTGGAGTGACAATAGAGGGTCTCCAGGATGCATCTCCATCTCGGGCGACAGTCAACCGATCCAGTAGTTGCTCGATTCGGCCATTATGCAGGGAATGACGGGCCGCTTTCCATTACAGTAGCACAACTGTTCCGCGTCATCTTCGGGATGGTGCGAGATGCCGTTCTGTATTCACTTGTCAATTCGCTCTTTTTCTCGCATGAACGACCCGGAGTGCACGTTGGCACTGGTGAGTGAGGTGATCATGGCCAAGGTGGACTGTGGATCAATTGCTCCTTAGGACACGAAACATGCTGTTCTTGGACCTCATATTGATTTGTGCATATTCTGCCATATTCTTTCCTACTGTTTCTACCTTGACTCAAAGTCAGTCAGGCTGTCGCTACTAGCGGTTGAGTGAGTGTCTGTCTTTGCAGCGCTGCAGTTCATGGCCATGCAACTCAACAACACTTCGTCTGGTGGCTGCTCGACAGCTGTCATGGAATTGCCGTCGAGGTCTCACGTCAGGCTGGAGGCCGAGCAGTCGGCTCTCATGCCTGAGAGTACATCAAAGCCATCTCGATCACCGTCAGCAACAGAGCAGCCTCCTCAACTACAGAAATGGAATTCATCTCGGGTCAACACGTTCCGCACGTTTGCCACACTCTTCTCCTTTTTCGTTCTGGGGCTCAACGATGCCGCATACGGAGCACTTATACCTTATCTGGAAGAGTGGTATAACGTCAATTACACCATCATTTCTTTAGTATTTCTCAGTCCTATAGTGGGCTACACATTTTCCGCTCTGCTCAACAACCATATACATGTCGTCTATGGGCAACGCGGAGTTGCTTGGATCATGAGCGTGTCGCATTTAGTGGGATATAGTATGTTCGGCCCTGATCCTCGATTCTGGCACTCAATTGACCTCATTCCACAGCTGCTATTTGCGTCCATCCTCCTTACCCAGTTTTAGTGGTTGTTTATATTGTCGTTGGATTCGGCAACGGCCTGGGTGATAGTGCATGGTAAGCGTCACCTCGATTTCTGGGCCAGTTTGTGCTAACTCTCTGCCCAGGAATGCATGGATTGGCGACATGGCGAATGCTAACGAAATTCTTGGTTTCCTGCATGGGTTTTACGGTCTAGGCGGTGCATTGTCTCCTCTGGTTGCCACGACGGTCGTGACGAAAAAGCATTCACCCTGGCACTGGTATGAGTTCTATTATCTCATGGTTGGCGCAGCAGCAATCGAAGTGGTGGTCCTGGTGGGGGCATTTTGGAAAGCCGATGGCCCTGCCTATCGCGCACAACGTTCTCCGGCTTCTGGGGATGAGGCTGTGGACGATGCTGAGACTGGTCTTGGTGAACCACAGCAACGGACTTTACTCAACAAGCTCAGCCCGTTCGGCAAACGCGAAAAGGGCAAGAGCGAGACTGTCGAAGCAATCAAGAACAAAACCACTATACTCACCTCGTTATTCTTACTTATTTATGTCGGCGCGGAAGTGAGCATCGGTGGGTGGATTGTGACTTTTATGCTACGAGTCAGACATGGGCCAGCCTTCGGCTCTGGAATGACCTCGACAGGATTCTGGCTGGGTGTCACGGTGGGACGATTTCTGCTGGGCTTTGTGACGGAGCGACTGTTCAAGAGCGAGAGATGGGCCGTGGCGACATATCTCGTTTGCAGCGTGGCCGCAGAACTCGTTTCCTGGCTCGTCGACAATTTCTACGTCAGTGCGGTCATGATTGGGTTCGTGGGCTTCTTCTTGGGGCCCATGTTTCCGGCGGGTGTCGTTGTTATCACCAAGTTGCTGCCCAAAAGGCTGCATGTGCCCGCGGTTGGGTTTGCAGCTGCATTTGGAGCAAGCGGTGCAACCATCTTTCCATTTGCTGTGGGAGCCATCGCCAACGCCGTGGGAGTCAAGGTATTACAACCGATCATACTAGCAATGCTGGTGTTGGCCCTGGGGGTGTGGATGGTGATTCCAAGGCTTCCAAAGCAGAGAATGGCATAAAATATCTTCACGACTACAAAGCCGCTTCCCAACACCCAAAAAGCAATTTTATGGCGAGTCAAACTCGTTTGACTTGAAGGCCAGCTGGCCCTTTCAACAATCAGCAAAAAGGAGCAGCTTTCAAGATGGTGGCTTTATGCATGATTTGACTAGACGTCGACTGACATCTAGGGGCTGATTGAAATGACTTGGCATCAAACAAGAATGTGATGGCAGGCAGTGCATTGGCTATAATTAGCAAAGGAGGCAACGTTAAAAGGGCGGTTGTAAGCACCCGCTGCAAGACATTCGGTTGAGCGGGCACATACAGCCTATCCGCCTAGCAGCCGCAGTCTGGGGGATGCTCCAACGTTGCAGCAGGCGTTGTGAACCAGAAAAATGGAAAAGTCAGAACGTCTCTAGGGGTGAAAGTGGGCGCTGAAAGAAGGAACGACAGCCGACTTGAGCTAATCGTAATGGAGAATTTCTTGGGGTTAAGGCCTATGAGACTAAGCCTCTTGTGGCGTTAAGAAAAAAAGACAGCGAACCCTGGAATTCCATCTTGAATCCTCCACCCTGTCCAAACAGACATCAAGCATTGACTTCCACCCCTTTATATCATCAGGTTGGGATTATTCAAGCATTTTGATTTCAATCATAATATCACACGAGCTTCTTGTCTTTCTTTTTGCCCATCCTATAGACCGACCATCGACTTTCGTTGTCGGGGTATACCGTGTTAAGAGCATCAATTAAGCCCCCTTCGCGTCCGGAACGCGTATCGAATCCGGACACCTTTCTTCAATGTCGGATTAGATTGAAGTCCCCAACACCAACTCCATCATCAAAAAGCGACCTCGTTGCGTTGAGAATCCTCAACTTCAGCCCGCAAGGGTATTCCTGAATTATGTTTACTCCTAGGCAGGGTCCCATGAAGGAAGGCCGCTCTTTTCCAGGCCTACCGCATAGTGGACCGTCGCGGAGGACCATCAAGAATCGCCAAGGAGTTCTGATCATCCTAGTCCTCCTATGCATACCTTTGGTATACTTTCTCACATCAACCGGCTCGACTTCGTCAAGTCAGACAACCACCAGGACGCCGGCCGACAAATTACGCGAACTCGCAACAGATCCTGAGGTGGTGCTTCGACCCAATCCAGGTGCTGTTCCAAGGCAAGAAAATGTTATTCCGGCAAACCCGGCTGAGCCCCTTGCCCCGGCTGAACAACCACGATTCGAAGCTCCTCCACCTGTCGAGGAAGTCGTCCCAGAGCGCGCCCAGGCCCCTGTCGCGCCGGTCGCCAAACCAAAGTCGCCGCCGGTGTCCCACGCAGACGACGAGGAACCGGTGCCTGTGGAGGATGACGACGAGATTCCTGCTACATCAAGGACGAAATCTCAAAAGGGACTTGCCGACCAGGAGCCAGACACAGAAGGCGACTCTTTCTCGGAAAGGCCAAAATTCGAAAAAGCCCTCACTCGGGTGATCAGTCTTCTGCCCGGAGAGATGGAAGGGCGAGACTTGCTACGTCCCGTCGAAGGCACAGGCAAGGAGAAACTGCGGGAGATGGGTCTACGCGTCCGCGAATACAAGAAGTTCTTCAAGGCCTGGGAGGATCTGCACATTGCGTTCGATGAAGAAGGCGGCAGCTATGTTCGCGACGACGTAATTCAATACCTGCGTCATCATAAACACGAGCCCTCGGATTCTGAGGACTACGCCGACTCCAGTTTTGCACAGACCGTGCATTCCTACGAAGCGTACCGTTCTTTCTTGGTCAAATTCGGTCATCTGCTCTTCCCTTGGACAGCACCATATATGCCCGACCACATGACTCTACATTCACATTTCAAGAAGGGAGGCCGCGGTATGGTGCTCACAGCGGGCGACGACCAAGCACCATATCTTCTGACCACCATCCCAATCTTCCGAAAGCTCGGCTGCAATCTGCCTATTGAGGTCATGTATCTAGGTGACTCGGATTTGAGTGAAGATTATCGTGCCGATTTGGAGTCTCTTGACGGTGTCATTACCCGAGATATTGCGCAAATGGTCAATGATGAAGGCTGGAAATTGGCTGGTTGGGCTGCTAAACCTTTCGCGATCCTGCATTCAAGCTTTCGGGAAGTCATCTTCATCGACGCTGACAGTCTGTTCATGAAAAACCCGGAGGTCTTGTTCGAGGACCCATCCTACCAAAAGACTGGTGCTCTCTTCTTCCGCGACAGACTTATCATGCCCGAGTCGAAGAAACGATGGCTCCAGCAAATTCTACCTAAGCCGATTTCGAGACAAGTCAAGCAGAGTCGTTTCTGGACCGGCGATTCCGGGCATATGCAAGAATCTGGTGTGGTCGTGGTTGACAAGTGGCGACATTTCATCGCTCTACTGCTCGTCACGAGAATGAACGGTCCTGACAGAGATGGCAACAAAGATGAAGGCAGGGTTGGTGTGTATGATATGGTTTATGGTCAGTCTGCCCTCTATTTCAAATGTTGTTCGATTGCTAACTCTATCTAGGTGACAAAGAAACCTTCTGGATCGGCTGGGAACTTGTTGGTGACCAAGATTATTCCTTCCATCCAGGTGATGCAGGTATCATGGGTAGAATTGCAGATAAGGAGAAACCAGAGAAGAAAGAACCGAAGAAAGAGAAGAAGATGGTTAAAGAGATGCGACCGAAGGTGGACGACCAGGGACAACCTCTTATGGATGACGAGGGAAAGCCTGTCGAGGAAGAAGTCGAATTCGAAATGGAAGTCACCATTGAAGAGCCGGATGAGCCTGAAGAGCCAAAGGAACCCGAAAGCTACACGATCTGCGCTCCGCAATTGTTGCATCTCGATCTGGATGGCAAGCCGTTGTGGTTTAACGGCTGGCTTCAGGATAACAAGTTTGCCGACAAAAAGAGGCGGAAGTTTGGCAAGTTCGAGCATTATCTGATTGAGCCGCGTGACATTCGCGAGCCTGGGGCCTGGCAACTTGAGGAGAGCAACATGTGTTGTCTTACTACGGACGCCGATCTGAAGCAGGATTTCTCGAAGGATGAGAGAGATTTGTTGGACTCCATGATTAAACAGGCAAGGGATGTTGGCATGTCGGGTTGATCTACAAAATTGTACATGAAAGGAAAACTACCAGGTATGTTTGGGACAGGGAGCGTTTGGGTAAAGGACATTTGCATCTGGGAGGTGTAGTTCACGACCATGTTTTTTTCTGTTGGATCATAAGTATGGCACAAGTATGGAAAAAGACTTTATATCCATACTAGAAATCGGAAGTTTATAGACATTCTATGGCCTTGGATTTCTCTCAGATCACAGCCAAAATGATGCCTAGTGACTTAAGACTAAGTAGTGATTGGCTGGTAGGCTGGCTTATGTAGATTTAGACATCTTCTTGGCGATTCAATAGAGTACATTTGCAACAAGCAACCATCTACATTTCACCAACCTTGAATTCCTATACAGTACACCAGGATCCTCATCACGAACATAATTTGGATAACCAGTTGTACAATGCGCCCAAGATGGACGAGCAGAAAGACAATATGCTATTCATCCTCTCATCCCCGCCACCGGATGAACCACAACCAATTACCACTCTCCGCTCCCAAGCCCATGATTTAATCTCAAATATCAGCCTTGACACTCTCCCGACCACACTACAGGATGTCCTCAGCCAAATCATAAAACCACTCTTCACAAAGACACACCGGAACTTGACATCGACAGGCCGCAAGAACCTCGTCTCCAACACCCCATCATTTCTGAGTCCTCGCTTCGAAGTCGACGAACCAGAGAGATGGAAAACCAACTTCACCGTACCCTTACTCACATACATACTAAGTGCCTACGCGAGACTCCTCTCCGACAGTCGGAAATCAGTCATCGAAGCACACTTCCACCTCCTCGTCCCTGCTATTCTGAATATGATCGACGACACCGACGCCACTTACAAGGCTTCTGGAGCTAACCTGCTCACAACGCTATGCGAGATCGTGAGGAGTCTGCAAAGCGACATCATACGCCGGACGGGATTGGGCGATGTCTTCTTCGATGCATTGAAAACGAATTTCAACCTCCTTCCAACTTTGACGCCGGAGGAGGATAGTCTTGGGATCTTGGGAGCAGTGGTTCCAGCTTATTTTGCGCTACTTGACATCACTACCAATACCGACACCAACATTGACGCCAAACAACGGAAGGCTGGAACAGATAGATTGACATGGCTGTACCGGCACGGCATAATCTCTGGCATCGAGCATTTATCGTCCTCCGGATCATTCTCCTCGACGATATCAGTGCCCTTGACCACGTTCTTACTCGCACAAATCCCTGCGGTATTCGAGCTCATGGGAATGACAAGTGTACGGCATTTTCAGGAGTTATTACCCATGTTGCGTGCGGGATTGATGGATCCTTTCATCCTGGCTGCACCCGGAATGGTGCTCGCTGCGTTGGATGTTTTGGACTGTGTGATCAGGGTTGGGGAGCCGAGGATCAAGGAAAAATGGTGGCCGGAGATTCTGAGGGGTGCGGTTGGGTGTTGGTGTAATTGTTGTGATGAGCCGCTTTCGAGAAGAAGGGATGGAAGCGAGGTGGAAGAAGTGATGGGTAGATTGAGAGGCGTGGTGGTGAGTTTGGGAAAGGTGGTTGATCGAGAAGTGTGGGAGGATGTGCTTATGCGGTTGATTGACGAGGAAAGGGAGTTGGAGGAGCTTGTTGGCACTCAACGGGCAATCAAGAAGAGGGTACAGAAAAGAGAGGATGAGGGCAACGGCGACCAGTTGACTTCAACGGTATGAGTCCGGTTGTCAGCGAAACTGTCAGGTCAGGTCAGGTCAGGATAGGACATGCCATGGAATTCAGTCAGCAAGGTCTGATGACAACTTCAGCACAACCAGCATGACAGGCTGCGGAAGGTGAGCTGAAGGTCTACAAGATGCCAGAGGCCACGATACTCCAGCAACGCGATATGCGGCAGACAATTCTGATAGCCGCAAACAGGCCATTACAATACTACAGTATGAGACGCCACTGGCCGGACGCCATGCCATGCCATACCATACCATATCATACGACGCTATGCAAGTCAAAGTCTACCAGGGGTATCACAAAACACAAACCCATCTCCCACCACCACCAGTACCACAACTACACCGCCCCCACATCATCACCACCAACCACAGGCCTCTGCTTAAACAAACTCTTCCCCTTCAACCACTTCTTATACGCCTTATACCGTTTCTTCCCACCATCCTCTTCCAACACCGTCAACGGATCCTCAACAACACCAGAGGCAAGGTACTCATAATACTCATCCAGACTCGCCTCCGCGCGCTCTTCTACCGTCAAACTAACGGCGCCGCGCTCATCATCGTAGTCCCTCAACACGCGATGCTCAGCGGGATCAACAGCCGTCTTACTCAAGTACTCCAGGAACTCAAGCGGCGCAGCACTATAGTCGATATCGCTCGTCACCACTAAGGGGATAGTCGACGGATGCGTGACGTACCGCTGGTACTCGTCATCTTGGTGCACCTGCGGATCAAGAGACTTTTCGATAAGCGCGGTGAACGACTGCAGCGCGAGCTCCGCTTTCGTCGGAGGCAACAATGACGAGCTCGTCAGATCACTTGTCGTTGCGGTCGGGAGTTTAGGTATTTTCGGTACACTGGACGACTGCACTTCAAAGCTAGGCTCTTTGATTATGCCCGTGTATTTCTTCTGGTTGTTGTGGTGGAGTTGCTGTTGCGCGTCTAGCCACGGACCGAGACTGTTGGGTTTCGGAGCTGGATTATTGTCAATGGCCGATGCAGGCGCCGAGTCTGTTGGTGCGAGGGACGACGTGTCGTCTGAGGGTGCGACGATCTTGACGCCTTTGCGGCCGGGATGTTTGTCGGTAGGAGTATCCCCGTCAGCCGGGTTGGTGTCGGTCGCGGTGCGCACTTTGAACGGGGAGAAATCGTATTTGCCAGATGATGTCGAGTTGATGGGGATGTACCGTAGATTGGAGTGCATTTTGAAGGAGAACAGCTTTTTGAACGAACTTATGGCGAGTGGTCGGTAGTACTCGACCCAATAGTCGTCGAAGTAGCCTAATGGTCTGTCGCGCAGGTCTCGTGGCCAGATCGACGCCGGCATTTCTGGGGACGCGAGGTATTCTTGCGTATACCACTGACGGTAACTGGGGCGGCGTTTGCCGAACATTGACCGTGGATCGGAGTGGTGCAGGTAGTAATCTGTCGTTAGGTCCCAGAGCATAGGCTGGTCGTGTTGGAAGACGTAGCTTCCAAGGAATAAATTGTAGGCTTCTTGTCGCTGCGCGTCCATGAATGAGTTGTTGTAATACCGTTTGAAACTCTCAACCATGTCCCGTGAGTGGCTGGTCCACTGATTGATCTTGCGGTATGTGGCCATTGTGTTGACCAGATGAGATCCTCCGTATTGCACGGCTATCGTATCGCCGTGGTCGTGCCACATGTGTGTGAAGAGGTTGATGGCGTCAGAGTCGTATTCGATGTGTGTGCCTTCTATGACTCCCAGAGCTTGTAGCTGGTAGCCGAGTGCTTTTTTGGCGATGACGAATTGTGCTGCGTTCGTCCGGTCGAGGCAGTCAATGCAATTTGTCCTGGCCACCCCGCTTTGTAGTTTGAGCCCGGATTCTTCGTCGTTGCCGTTCTGGAAGAAGCTGGTCTTTGGAAGGATATCCTCGGCAATGGCCTCGAGACTACCGATGACGTCGCCGTCACGGCTTTTGGAGGCTCGACTCATGTCCCAGGCATGATAGAGGATTTGCTTGTCCTTGGGAAGAAATTGATTGAGGTAATTCACAGCTGTGGTGTATTCTTGCAAGAGCTTGGATTCTCGCGGTGTGCGTTCTCGAGACTTGACCAGGTTGAGCACGTATATAGGAGTGCCGTATCGTTTGAACAGGTCGTCGAAGTGTAAAGCTGCGGCGCTGAAAAAGGGATCCACCACATTAAGATGGATACTTGGTTTCGGCGTGACTCCTGTGGCTTCTTGCGTCCAGTGTAATGGGATGCTGCCTCTGTGTTGAACGTAAGAAGTGTATTTGTTGTTCGCGAAAAGGACCGGGCCGGGAGCGTGAAAAGAAGAGGTCGACATTTCTGAGACGATTTGCTCCGTCTCAACGTCGTTTGCTACATAGCCTAAATCATTGGCACCACGTTTGAGGAACCTAGCGCCAGCAAAGAACCGCGATCGACGAGCAATGATCGTCACGTACACCACCCGTCCCCAATAGATCGAAAGAGCACTCTGGTCAACGTAACCATGTACGATTGGGACACACCAATCAAAGGGATTGCGCAGGATTTTCTTCGCAGGTTCGAGAAGGTAGTGATTCCAAACAAACATGTCGTTGTGGTCGCCCTTTGGTGGCTCGGCCAGACCGTCCTGGAGCGCCTGTCGTTCCCGCATGATGTTGTGCTGCAATGTTCGTGTAACATCGTACGAATAGCTGAAGTAGAAAGATCGAGTGAGGTCCAGATTTCCTAGAATACTGATGAATCGAGCCTCGTCGAGGTGCCGCTCGGTTTTGACTCTTGTCGAGGCTGCTGTTACCAAAGGCATCATGTCGGTGCCATCGATTTGATAGATGTAGTGGCCGCCAATCATGGCAACCTGACTTCTTTTGGTCACGTATATCATGTAGTACTGAGCTGTGAACCGTATGAAGCCGAGCAAGCCCCAGAAACTGGTCTTAACCTTTAGACCTCCAGTAGCTCGATTTCCTTCATCGACTGCATTGAGGATTTGTTGCGTCTCTTTCTTGGTGTAAACAATGTCGTCTTCGATGATGTTCAGCTCGCCAAGTTCTGATGTCCGGTCAATCTTCAAGATTCGAAAGGCTGAATCTAATAGATCTGAGCCAACAATGTAATAGTAATTTGCCGTTTCATGAAGAGTGAATTTGTGCATCTTTATGACACCTTCCTCTCCTACTTTGCCGACCCTTGCTCCCTTATTGCGCTCAAAGGCTGTTGGGGATGGACTGGCAGTTCTTTTGAACGATTTGGACAGGTCCATTTCTTCGTCCTCATCCTCCTCATCGCCTTTTCCTGGTCCCATTGGTGGTGACTCAGGAGGATTGTTCGACAAACGTGGGAATACCCGCGGAACAACGTCCTCTATGAATTCTGAACCTCCAGAGTCGGCCTTAGTGTTTTGGGTAAGATTGCTCGAGTCATCATCGTCTTCTTCTTCGACTGAAATCTGTCCATCGGCGAAATCCTCTTGCTTGACATTGTTGCCTCCATTTTGTTCTTGGTCAGGATCACCGTTCTGGACCGGGACCTGATTAGCGACAAATTCGCGGAAGGACTCCATCTTGATCGTAACCCCAGGTGCTAGGAGGAATGCTCAAGGAAGCATAGCCTTTTCCGTTGCCAATTGAGCAAGACAACCATTTGTTGATATGATGGTGATGATTGTTGATAGTCTTATGGCGCCGGTGCCTGTTGAACTATGCTAAATCGTTGGTGACTGCCTGGAACCATCTTTCCACTAGATAGTCTGGCCACACAGAACTATGAGTCTGAGTAAGATATGGTATGGTATGGCAACGATATCAATCAATAACCTCGTCCAAGAAACTGACACCGATGCCATCATTTGGCCCAATCCAGTTTAGTCAATTCAGATAAGATAAGATGATTTGACCGAGGTCCGTACGCGCTTCAATGCGACTGACTCTGATTCTCCCCGCGCTCTCATGCTTTCCCCGGACTCGCAGTCCATCTCTCCAAGATGTAGCGACTCGACACTCGGAGAGCCTCTAAGGCTACTCGTCACTTCTTGTTACCTCCATATTGAAGCAATCCACGATGGCACCTTCCACGCCAGCTCCCTTCTCCGAACCACTCCTCCCGCAACTCGATCTACCCACCAACCCCTACTGGACCGAGAAGCATCACAGGCTAAGAGCCTTTGTACGCAACTTTGTGGAGACCGAGCTCGCACCGCACGCACAAGAGTGGGAAGTTGCTGGACAAGTCCCCGAAGAAGTCCGCCTACGGTACTGTCAGCTTGGTTTCTCGATAGTAAATCCGGTCATCGACCCAGCTGATGCGGGCGGTCTTCAACATCCAGCCGGTATACCCTTCGGCGAATGGGATACGTGGTGCTCCGTCATAGTCAGCGACGAGCTCAACCGACTCGGCTGGTGCGGACCCACTTGGGGGTTGAGTGGTGGTAATGGCATCGGGGCTCCTCCCATCACTCGATTTGGTACGAAAGAACAAAGACAGAGATGGCTACCTAAGATTGCAAGAGGAGAGTTGAGATTTTGTCTCGGTATCACTGAGCCAGACGGAGGAAGTGACGTTGCCAACATAAAGACCACGGCTGAGCGATCAGGGTCGATATATCGTGTCTCGGGTCAAAAGAAGTGGATTACGAACGGCATATGGGCTGACTATTGCACGGCCGCCGTCAGGACTGGAGGACCAGGACACGGCGGAATTAGCTTGCTGGTTATACCTTTGAAGGCGGAGGGCGTCACGTTGAGGAGGATAGACAATCAGGGTGTCCATGCTAGTGGTAAGAAGCCTTAGGATTTGTGCTCTTGGACTTGTATTGACTATATAGGCTCTACCTTTATCGACTTTGATGATGTCGAAGTCCCAGTCGACAACCTCATCGGCAAGGAAGGCGAAGGGTTCCGATTGATCATGTCGAATTTCAATCCGGAACGACTGACTCTAGCAACGGCCGCGATCAGACTTGCCCGCGTCTGTGCTCAAGATGCATACAGTTATGCTTGTGAAAGGGAGACCTTCGGCAAACCCCTAATTGAGCATTCACCGATCAAATCCAAGATTGCCAGTTTCGGACTTCTCATCGAACCTGCTCAGGCCTTTCTAGATCAACTCTGCTATGTCATCGAAACCTCCCGGGTCACAGGCAAAGAGGTCAACGTCGGAGGAATGACAGCATTGCTCAAGGTGATAAGCACGAGATGTCTCGAACGTGTCTGCCGCGAAGCACAACAGATATTGGGTGGGGCGGGATACACCAAGACCGGGAAAGGCGCTCGCATTGAACAGATCAGCCGTGACGTACGAGTTCATGTTGTAGGTGGCGGTAGTGAAGAGATCATGCTTGACCTTGCCGTGCGTCAAGAGGCTCGAGATGTGAAGTTGAGAGCTAGCAAGCTTGCAGCGTCGAAGTTGTAGAGACTTAGATGCTTCTCAACCAAGACCAATTTCAGCCTTTCTGCCAGAAAGCATTTCAATGGCCTCTTCCTTCGTAGCATCAGGGTGATCGAATTGCCACTCGGCAAGGAGATCTACAGCCTTCTTCAGCCATGGTCCACCTTTAGATTCGCCTAGTGCATTTTTGATCTTGTCGCCCTTCAGGAGTGGCGCCATAGTATGAGCGTCCTCCAGCTGCTGTTCATGGACGAACGTGATGAATGTTTGATATCGATCCGTAGCATCTGTGAAATCACCCTCGGCAATGTCGCACAAGAGTGAGTAGAGCACGTGCGATCTCCACGAGTCCCTGCTTTGCCGCAAGACCATGCCAACGTCTGCTCGGGTAGCTTTGCCGTCCACCACAAGGTCAACTGCTCTGACAATGTCAGGTCGACAATCGATGGCCTCTTTGAGGACCTTTCTCATGCTATTCGTAGCTTTGATGCCCTCCCATGCGGCATTGTATGCCTTGGCTGAGGATGCCGACCAGGGTACGTAAGCGGCCAGGAACCAACTTAGTGCCTGATCTTGTTTTGGTTTCAGGCCGAGACAGATGGCAGACTTCTCGTCGAGGATCTTTTGCAGCCCGTCGTATGCCAGCAGTGCTTTTTTGGCGTCGGGACATTCGGTGTCTGCAGGATCGGCGAACACTGTCGGATATAGATCGAAGTCGTTGATGTATTTGAGACCGGTGAGTGGATCTGGTCCGGCCATGATCTTCATGACTTCGACGCCTACACGTTCTCTGCTGATTTTGAGACGCAATGCTTCGTGGATAGTTTTGTCTTGCATGGCATGTTGGGCTTCGGCTTCGATCTCGTAGCTGAGGCGGCACGCGAACCGGATTAATCTGAGAACTCGCAACGGGTCGTCCTTGAAAGTCTGATATGGTGCAAGTGGTGTTCTGATGATTTTGTTCTTCATGTCCTGAAGACCTTGTTTTGTAAAGTCTTCGACAGCCTGGGTGTCGAGATTGTAGAATAAAGCGTTGACCGTGGCGTCCCGGCGCATTGCATCTTCTTCAGCGGTGCCGAATTCCATTTGTGGATTACGACTTTCTTCGTCATACACTTCTTTCCTCAAGTTGACGAAGTCGACGTCGATCCCAAACATTCTTGTCGTGATGGTCTCGAGATGCTTTGACTTCTCCGGGTTCGCAGCGATCTTGTGAATGTCTTTGACTTGATGATTTATACCTTGTTGGACAGCATCTTGTTCGTACCTTTCACCGTGGTCCTTCATGAAAGCTTGCATAGCCTGGCCGAATTGTAATCCCGTCATGGTACTGAGAGCGACATCGATGTCATGACTCTGAACGCTCAACAGTTTGTCCCGAACCCAACCTCCCGTCCACCGAAGGACGAGATCTGGCATTCCAGGAGTAGATTGCATGTGACCTCGACAATCCAGCAAGCACTGCCGAAACAGCTTCTCGGCTGGAGTGAGGGAGAGTACTGGAGCCATGTTGGAAAGTCTTCTTGATTGTGTTCTCCGAAATGAAGTCTTGAGGATGTGGCGAGCAGTTGTGGAGGACCAGAGACTCATACTTTGCTGGACAGAAAGTATTTATACAACATCGAGTCGCGCGCAAATAGTGACATATTATTGAGAAGTTCAATGTCAATATATCTCGAATGCTTATTGTTTTTGCCCGGTGACTGAAATGATACTGCGCTTTTGTGCCTGGACTCCTTTGTTTGATACTCACGCTATGCCGACACACTCTGCGATTCCTGCGATCGGTGCCTGATCGACCTTGATGTATTGCTGGATTGTGAAGTGAAAGTTTGCTCGACAATAGGAGAGCGGCAGCCTTGTTTGCTCAGAAATTCATTTCGGAACAATGATTTTCCGTTGCACCTCGGTTCAACGTTCGACTGCACTCGTTCCCCGTACCCAGATGCTTCCCCGATCTTTAGGTGTTCCTGCATAGAGAGCTTGAACTTGACACGCGAACACCTTGCACATCCCAATCATGCGCGTGATCGGGCTCACAGGCTCGATCGCCACAGGCAAATCGACCTGCTCACAAACACTCTTATCCCCACCTTATTCCCTCCCATTGATCGATGCAGACCTCCTAGCAAGAAAGGCCGTTGAGCCAGGAACTTGGGGATACCGTCGCATAGTTGCAACTTTCGGTCCCACAACTCCAGACCTTCTGCTTCCTGCGTCCGATCCTCAATGCTCCGGAAGGGAAGATGGTCCCAACGGCAAAGGTAGACCTCTGAACAGACCGGCGTTGGGAAGAAGAGTCTTTGGAAATAGTGAAGAAAGGACGGCGGATAGGAAGAAGCTCAATGCTATTGTACACCCTGCTGTGCGGTTTTACATGGCCAGAGCTATGCTATACTACTACCTTACTGGACACTGGGCATGTATCCTAGACATTCCTCTTCTCTTCGAATCCGGATTGGATATCTTCTGCAGCACGGTCATTGTAGTTGCTGTCTCAGATCCCAAGATACAGATGCAGCGTCTGAGAGAGCGCGATCCACACCTGTCGGAAGAAGATGCACAGAACAGAGTGAAAAGCCAGGTCGACGTTCGCGAAAAGGCCACAAGATGTGAGTACAGAAACAATGGCAAAAAGGAAGCCGCCAAAGGCTATGTGCTTTACAATGACGGGAGCAAGGAAGACTTGAAGTTGCAGATTGCGGATGTTGTGAGGAAGATACGGTCTGGAAGTCCTCGATGGTACAGTTTGTTGCTGTTGATCTGCCCTCCTCTTATGGCTACGGTCGCCTCCTGGGAAGTTCTGAGCAACTGGTTGCTAAGACGAAAGACGATCAAGGAAAGAGGAGAAGAGCTGGCCAAAACAAAGCTGTAATTTCACCATCTATTTCTACTGGGGATTGAGCTTGGGGTGGAGGAGAGATCTGAGGCGTGGGAATCGAACATCGAACTCGAAAGTCCATCTAGTAATGGCTGGGCTCCTAGACACGTCAGTTTGGTCTTCATCGGAGCCTGCAACTCAAGGCTCGTTAGCACACTTTCCGCTCAAAGCCCTCAAAAGTTGAATGAGTCAATCTGCCATGGGTATCGGCAGACTGAACACGGATTTACAACCACACGCATACATCACCGTTTTAACAGCTTCTACCAAACAAGGGTATCAACATAGCGCATAGCTTGATGGTCGAACGCGCAAAAATGCAAAAAACTTTTCCACCCAGCAGATTGAACTTGTGTCCTCTGGTGGGTGGTAAGTGAAATCGTCCTCGTTAGGGCTGGTTTTTTTGGTTACTACGTTTCTACTGGAGCGAACGCAATCCATCATCCAAAGCGCCCATTAACCGTTGACCCACATGGTTCGTCAACGGCGGATGGCTTTGTCCGGATTGTTGAGGAGAATTCGAAAAGAATAATACTTGAAGCCTATTGCTGCTGGGTTGCTGGTCATGTGCAAGATCAGGTGAGTTGGGTGGTGCGGTATGGTGCTGGCAGAACAGTAGCCGCAGCCTGATAAAGGTCATGCTCGTCCTCAACATGGCCCACCACCTACTGACCATGACTGGTTGCGTGTGGAGCGCCTGGCGTGATGGGTCTAGAGGCTGAACATCTCGACTTTACGCAATGAGATGAAGTGCGACAACCTTGTTCATCCCTCTTGACTGGCGCGCGGTCCTATTCGTTGCGGGCGGCTGTTGGCTGGCTGTGGATGGACCAGGGTTGTTGTCTAACGTGCGGTCACTCTACGTTACGGGTGTTGCTTCTGTCCTGGATATGCAGTTGGACGGTAGCACGGCCTTACTAGTATGTCATGTCTTATGATGTTCGCGACGCGATTGGCGACATTCATACTGACTTGGGGCTCATTAGACAGCTGTGTCCTGGGCGCAGTGGGAGGTGGCCAAATTTCTGCTGGACTTCGGCGCCGACCCGATTCAGGCGACTACAGATGGATGGTATGCTTCACATTCAAGTCTGAATAAATAGCATGGACTAACACGGTCAGGACTCCTCGACCGTGCAGTACGAGAAGCCTGCTGGTTGGTTTGAATGTACGCAAGAAGTGCACGATATCATCCAGGGATTTTTGGGGTGCCTCAAAATGCAGCACAGCTGGCCCATCTTTGAATCCAATGTAGAGGATCCAGGCGAGGCCGAGAGAAGCGACCAGAAAACTCAAGACGGCTCAAGCAGCGCAGACGACGTCTACGATGACGCCCGGTCGGCCTGGTCTCATGAAGGCGTCTAGAGCGGCAATGGTCAGTGCAACAGGGGTGTGCCAGGGTCACTGCAGTTGTTAACAAGGACAAGAGCTTCACTGAGAGACTGCTCGACGATTCAGGTAAATATCCAGTGGTCTTGAGACTCATCTAGTGTTCTCAAGTCTCTGCCGTACCACAGTAGATTCTGACTGGATCTGGGCGACTATCACGATGCTCGGAGGACACGTTGCATGAGTTTGCGCATGAATGATGCATCTCACCAGGGTGATCCGGACTCAACGAGACTCATTAGCTAGGTTCTTTCGCATATCTCGATGTATCTACCACTGCGAAATAAAACCCGGACCTTCCTTGCCTTAGTCATCATTGATTGCTGCCAAGCCTTATAGGAGAGGTCATGCAGTGGCAGTGGGTAAAATTACGCCAAAAGCTGTACGAGAACTTTTCCCTCCCCAGTTCTTTTCTTACAGAATGCATTGAAAAGCGGGAGATAAGAAGATCGCCTTCCTCGCCCACTATTGGGTGAATCCATGACCTCTATCCCGAGTCTCCTTCTTCAATGGTCAATGATGATGAAAGACGCCTTTCTCATCAATCAATTCATTTACGTTTCGCGATATGCCCATGGAGCATGAGCCGAGCTTGCTTCAACATACATCATGGCCACATGTCGGGTTTCCAGGTAGGATACGATTTTCTGGCAAGAGGCTAAAACTCCTCTCACCATGCGATATCATGGTGGGGCAGAGGATTTCACCGCATCATCCACTCATCAAGTCCTAAGGCTTTGCATAGCGGGCATCGGTCGGCCTTATCTTATTGCTTAGTCTGTTCGGTTTCTGCAAGATAGAACGACATCTTTTCCTTCGATCATATAATTCCGTGAAAGCTTACTGTCATAACTTCAAAGAGTATACTCACCATCCAACGGATCCTGCAACCTGTACCACTGACTGATAGTATTTGTTTACTATTGCACCGCCGCTGCAAGACAGCCTAGGTAGAGGATAGAATGGCTTCCACAGACGACGAAATCCGGGAGGCTCCCAATGAGCAGACAAGCCTCTTACCAAAGAAGCAAGATGACAATGACCCATCGTCGAGTGAAGAGGAAGGAGAGTTGCTCGACATCCTACCAGAAGACGATACACCAACTCGAAAACTCATCCTGCACGAATTCTGGGTTTTATTTAAAGGGTCGATCCCAGTGATATTGGCATACACCTTGCAAAACTCTCTCCAAACGGTATCAATCCTGATCGTGGGTCGAGCCTCGCCGCAAGACCTTTCTACGGCTGCTTTCTCCTACATGTTCGCCATGTGCACGGGTTGGCTGATTGGCATGGGAGGATCAACAGCTCTGGATACTCTTGCCTCGTCATCCTTCACCGGCAGCAAGAACAAGCACGACCTTGGCGTTCTGCTTCAGCGAGCCATTATTGTCCTCACTGCGTTTTATATCCCAGTTGCCATATTATGGCTGTGCTCCGAACCTGTCTTCAAATTACTTGGGCAGAGCGACCAGCTATCACACGACAGCTCCAAGTTCTTGAGCTGCCTCATTCCCGGCGGTCTTGGGTATATCTACTTCGAGACGATGAAGAAATACCTCCAAGCCCAGGAAATCATGCGACCAGGAACTTACGTTTTGCTGATCACTTCACCCATCAGTGCCCTGCTCAACTACCTATTTGTTTATGTGGCTGGTTGGGGTATTTACGCCGCCCCTTTCGCTACAGGAATTGGTTATTGGCTTTCGTTCCTCGGTCTCTTGCTATATGCGAGGTTCGTGGCGGGTGGTGACTGCTGGGGCGGCTGGAGCAAGAAATGCCTGCAGAATACATGGACGTTTGCCAAGCTCGCCCTCTTGGGCGTCATCCATGTCGGTACCGAGTGGTGGGCATTCGAGATTGTGGCTCTGGCTGCAGGCAGACTTGGAGAGATCCCTCTTGCATCTCAAAGTGTGATCATGACCGCCGATCAAGTCATGAACACGATTCCTTTCGGAATTGGTGTTGCAGCCAGTGCTCGCGTGGGCAATATGCTTGGGTCACGCAATGCAAAGGGAGCCGCGCGATCAGCCAACGTCGCTGCTTGGCTTAGCATGTTCATGGGCGCTGTCATCCTGGCCATCTTATTCGGCACCAGGAATCACTTTGCCAAAATCTTCAACGATGACGACCGAGTGGTCAAGCTCACTGCTGAGGTTCTGCCATATGTCGCTCTCTTCCAGATTGCGGATGGCTTGAACGGTAGTTGTGGTGGGTCACTACGAGGCATGGGCAGACAGCATATTGGAGCGGCAGTCAACATTGTCAGCTATTATTGCGGTGCTCTTCCGTTGGGAATCTACCTCGCCTTCCACGGTTGGGGTCTTCCTGGTCTATGGGTTGGTCAGTGTATCGCACTGTACCTTGTCGGTGCTGCTGAATGGATTATTGTGGCTTGGAGCAATTGGGACCACCAAGTCGAAAGAGCCTTTGACCGGATGGACAAGGACGAGTTGGTTGAGAACGGTCATGCCGGGGACGCAGTGCCTGCTCCGGCAGGAAATGGTCCTCAGTGATGCATAGATCTGAGATGAGGAAGACGGAAAAGTATTGCATAGACTGAATGAGGTGGTTCCCTTATCCGAGTAGGTATTGTCACGGGTTGTTTTGAGCGATACAGCCTTCCATTCTGGGTTAGACTCTGATTCTTACCTCAACGTCTTACCAAAATTGTTCTGCACATTGATATCGCACTTCTTGACCGCATTCATCCAAAACTGATAAGCACCACCATGACACACACCGAGCATTGTGACCTTGTCTTCCGCTGAAATCCATTCGTGGACATGTGCGCCTTCCAGTCCGAGGCTCAACGTTACTCCGTGTGCTTGATCGTCCCTCCCACGGCCGTTTTCCCAAGATCCCAAACTCGGACCACTGCCGACGCCCGCTGCCATGCTTTGCTTGCAGTTTACAGCTCGCATTTCCTAGCTCGGCATGGAAGTGCGATGCCGTCATGCACTGGTCATCTTTGCGGGGCAGACTATCGATAGTCGCTCTGTTTGCTGCTTGGGAGAAGCCCGTCGCCGAATGCGAACCTGCATGTTTTAGGTAACAGGAACCAGGAAGCTAAACATCAAGTCCAAGCAGCTAGGTAGGTTTATCTGCAGGAACTCGAGTCGAATCGTCATTTGCCGGAGCTGCTGCAGCTTGGCTGATCACTTTCCATTACGAGTACTTTACTCTCCGACTGCTTCGCGGGGTGGTGTTTTTTTTTTGTGAAAGCTCCCCCTCACTCCTCCTACCCTCTCATTCCCTACTATTCGTGAAGCTTGCTGGTGGTCGTTTCGCAAATATGCTTCTCAAGTCCCTTGCCTTGCTGGCGTGTGCCAGCTGTGCTCTTGCCCACGGTGACCACGATCACAACCAGGAACCCATCTCTGGACCCCACAAGTCGTTGTGGTACAACACCATTCCAGGTGATGGAGGTACACAGGTGAGCAGCATTGGAAGCAATATGCAAAAGCCACTCGAACTAACAAACAACCAGGCTGATTCAGTGTTCTCCGGAATCTCGACCTTTGGCCGACTCCCCTACTTCCCTTGCTTGGCTAGCGACGAGGAGAAATATGACATTGCGTTCATAGGTACGCGAGATTCAAGAGACTGCGAGCTGAAACCTCGGAACTGACAAGGCTGAATCTAGGCGCACCGTTCGACACGGGAACATCATACAGACCTGGTGCTCGTTTCGGGCCCAGCGGGATCAGACAAGGTTCTCGACGCCTCAATCTCTAGTACGTTTGGTGTCTCCTGCTCGCATGCTTACTTTTCGACGTCCAAAGGCTCACGCAAGGTTCGCTTCAGTGGCGGGTACAATGTGTACGTCTCCTCCTATCCGACTGTCCGAGCAAGACTGACCTGCTGCTAGGCCCATGGATGCCAACCCCTTCAACTTCTGGGGCAAAGTCATTGACTGCGGTGACATCCCTGTTACTTCGTACGTCAACCCGTCAAATACCATACTACATTGCATGTACTGATGAGGAATAGATATGACAACCACTACGCCCTTCAGCAAATTGAAGAAGGCCACAACGCACTCCTCACCCGCACGCCCTACACTGCCGCCAAAGAGCCCGGCATCAGCAAGTCCGGCAAGACGCTCCCCCGTCTCATCACGCTCGGAGGTGACCACACCATCACCCTTCCCCTGCTCCGCAGCATCAACCAGGCCTACGGTCCCATCAGCGTAATCCACTTCGACTCCCATCTCGATACCTGGAAACCCAAGGTTTTCGGCGGTGCACCGTCCAAGCAAGCAGCAATCAACCACGGCACATACTTCTACTGGGCCAGTGAAGAGGGTCTCTTGGCCAACGACAGCTCCATCCACGCCGGTATTCGCACAACCCTGTCCGGCCCCTCAGACTACGACAACGACGGATACTGTGGCTTCACGCGCGTCGAGGCCCGCGAAATCGACACCATCGGCATCAACGGCATCATCGAACGGATCAGAAGTCGCGTCGGTACCAAGAACCCTGTCTACCTATCCATTGACATTGATACTCTTGACCCAGCGTTCGCGCCTGCCACCGGAACACCAGAGACGGGAGGCTGGACCACACGTGAACTGCGCACAATTATCCGTGGTCTCGAGGGGATCAACTTCGTGGCTGCGGATCTTGTCGAAGTCGCGCCCGCGTATGATACCAATGCTGAGTTGACGACGATGGCGGCGGCGGATGTGCTGTACGAGGTCATGACTATTATGGTCAAGAACGGTCCTCTGACTCTCAATGCCACGCAGGCAGACAAGGAGCCTAAAGTGATTGTGGACAACGAGATCAAGAGATGGTAAAGGTGGAGACCCTATGGGTACGCGAGGACTGAGGTCACCCAATTACTACGCAAGGCGCCAGTTGGGCTTAATCTTTGTTGGGCTCTCTGGAGAGACGGCAAGAAGTCAGAGCAGACCTACATAGAGAAGTTGCAATATAGTAGGGGCAGACAAAATGAAAAGCTGGAAAAGCAAATCAAAACGAGGGAAATTGTGCAAACAAGGAACTCTTTCAATGATTAACGGTCATGCTTGTAATACATTTTGACGACAGCCTCGTCTTCGAGACAGTGTCAAGAGCGCTCCGCCGCTTACTTGACTGTTCTTGCGAGAAGCGACGGCTGGATTCTATGGGCGTCGTTCCCTCACGCCCGACTTCCTCAATGCATGCTAGCCACTCTGCCCCTGAATATGCACCCTGTCTCGCTGTTCTTTCTCTTGTGGCAGAAATGCAATTGAGAGCCTTGTACCTCCATTCCTTCTTTTGACAGAACCATGCCGTTGAGGAAATCCAACGTGATCTGTAATTTGTGGGCATCTTCGATCATGCACTCGTCTCGTGGTTTCCTTAAAGGAAGTAGTCTGGCGTTCTTCGGCTGACCATAGGCTCACCAGCTCGTGGGCAGGGGTCAAATTGCAAGCTGGATTGTGAGTTAGCATGCAAGTCATCGGTAGGACAGGATATACATACAAGGTATACTTCAGGTGCTCGTCAATCTCCATGATAGCAGCTTGATTGCCGCACCTGTAGCAGTAGTTGGGCGCACTGAAGATCGTCACCACATTTCTGTCTTGACCCCAATTGTATCCTTCCATGACCAGTTGATGTGCTCGGGCAACCAACGTTAAACCATTGTTATGATTGAACGCTTCCGAGATATCCTGGCCAAACGTGTATCCTGCTCCTCTTGGACTGATACCCCATCCACATCGGTCATCTGGATCACTCCAGAGTAGATCGCACATGGGACCTTCGTGGGGTACCTCCTGGATTCTGTCAAGCGACCGGATGTTATCAAGGGTGTCGATACTAGGAGACAGCCCTCCGTGCAGGCAGAAGATCTGGTTGTCGATAAGAGCGGTGAGGGGAAGGTAGTCGAAGAGATCGGTGAAGTATTTCCAGACATTGGCATTGCCGTATTTCCTCAGGCACTCGTCGTAAAATCCGTAGACTTGTGTGATCTGTCTTGACTCGTGGTTTCCACGGAGAATTGTAATTCTAGAAGGGTATCGGATCTTCAGTGCAACGAGGAGGGTCACGGTTTCGACGGAGTAGTAGCCACGGTCTACGTAATCTCCTGTTCATTGTTAGCAAGTGCCTCCTTGCTTTGTTGTGTATCGTTCAGCTTACCCATAAAGAGGTAGTTCGTGTCTGGATTGGGTCCGCCGATGCGAAACAATTCCATCAGATCGTGGAATTGGCCATGAATATCACCGCAGACCGTGACGGGACATTTCTGCTGGATGTTAGACTATAGTCGACTGGTATTGCAACGGTCAAGCTTACCACTGGCTGTACGTTCGACTCTTCTTGGAGTACTTCTCTCGCCTGCGCTCCGAGGTTAGATCCCTATCGCCAAAGGGTAAATGTGTATAATCTCACTCTGTCACAGAGCCTTGAAACGTCGCTCTCTGCCAATTGTTTGCAATCCATCAAGCTCTCAATCCACCCATCCAAGGTCGGTATTGACTGAGAATCTGTAACAGGCGATAGCCCATGAGGCTGCGCCGGTTTCCCGACATCAACGTCCATCTTGGAATCCATGGTTGAGCATCAATGTCTGTCCGCTCACAGAAAAGGTGTGAAGGAAGGAGAGGCCGGGTGATGAGCAGGCTCTTTGGGATGTCGTGTGCTAGTTTGGCAAGATTGTTGTTGAGATGTTTTGGTAGTATTCAATTGCGGTCTCGAACGCAGGGTAGACGCGCAGTGGGATGTTGTGCTCGGCTGAGGGGTTTGGCAAGCAATCAGTGTTTTAAAGCTATTGTGAGAATGGACGTTGAGTTGATGTGGTTGTTGTTCTGACATAAAGTGCAGCCCATGACATACATGCTGAATACCGCCGGGTACTAGTAAAGCTGCGACCGCCCCGCCAAGCATGATCTGTAAAGGGGCAGAAATGCCTGCCATGGGAATTATCGCCTTCATCAAAATATAGGGCGTTTATTTGGAACAAGATTTCAGCGATGATTATGATATGCATTCAGTTTGGTCGCCCTTGTCGCGACTGAGAGTCGATGATAGTATTGTGCTCATGAATTTGCACTGATGTCGACCTCATCAGATTCATCACAACGTAGCAGCTGATAGCTCGAGCACCCACCACGTAAGTCGTACATTCATTTCATTCCTCATGCTCAGATAAAGTCACCGCTGCCAAAGCCTCCAAATGGGTTGCCACCACCAAAACCACCACTACCTCCACCAGGGAACCGAGGACCACCTCCCAGATTTGGCGGACCATCTCCAGGACCGATGGGGTCGTACCTAGCACCCGGGGGCGCTCTTGGGTCGTAAGGTTGCTGACCGCCCTGACCGCCAAATAGAGGATCGTCAAACGTGGGGTGCATACCGCCACCTCCACGGAAACCTCCCCCAGGTCCCATCCTCAGAGGGTCATTTGGACCTAGACCAGGAGGATACAAATCTCTATCTCCAATGTTTCCAAACGGCTGTCGTAGGGGCGCCATTCCACGTGCCGGTCTGTTGAGTTCGTATTCGTCTTCAAACTCTGGAGGTAAGAAGTCACCTGCGGGTTGGGGTCGTCTTGGTACTGCTGCCAAAGGGTCATCGAAGGGATATGGACGCGCAGGTTGAGGCTGATCATCGCGCAGTGGATCTCGTGCTGGTGCCCTAGGCTCCTCTTGCCGTGAGCGTTGCTGTGTTGTAGAGGTTGTCTCTTCGTACCCCGCTTTTGCAATACCTGGTGCCAGTTTCTGTATGATGTTGACTTTGAACAGAGAGGCCAGGTCGGTGATGCGTCCATTTGAAATGAATACATTGCGTAGTGCACTAGTTTGGTCCGAAGCTGTGGTTGTCTCCTTGATGGAACCCTCTGAGATGTACTCTTGTGCTTTTACCTCGAAAGAGGCTGTCTTCTCATCCGGGAGGCCGACACCAAATATGAGGGCTTTTCCTCCTAAGCGATTCACTTTGACCAGAAATTCCATCGACGACTGCGAATGTGCATAGCGAAAAGCATATGAGGAGGAGGCAGTCCATTCCGCAGGTAAGGACCGTACGTTCTCAGAGTCTGATTGTGCCTCTGTCGAAAAGTTAACGACTGCAAGAGATGCGCGATGTTTCCGAGACATACCTAACTTGTGATCTTCTCCCAGGCCGATGAGACGGAAACCTACTGCAAGCATACAAGCATGGGAGAAGAGGGCAATAGCAGCATAAGGGTCTTTGACAAGAGGTGACTGTTCAGAGTCTGTCGGTTGAGTGGGGAGAGACTTCACCATGTAGTCAAGGATTGATTCCGCGCTGAGGGCGGTTGATGATGAGGATGGCATGATGGGTTGCGACGGTGAACAAAGTGTTAGTACAATACCAGGATTTATGGTCGATGAACAACAGTGTTGATGTTGTGCAGCGGTCAAAGTATGGCCAACACAGAAACGTGAAGAAGTGTTGACGAATTTATTTGGTGCCTGAAGTCTGGAGCCTTGAAAGGCAACCGCGAACCGAACTCGAACTGAAACAAAGTGAAGACGCGCCCCGGAGACCACTTGAGGACCTTGACGTCATGGTTAGGTGCACCCCGTCCACACCCCGTCTTACCTACCTAAACATGAGGCAGGTACAGTACCCGATCTCACTCATGGTACCCAGGCATTTTTCAAGCTCTAGAAATTGTAAATATCGACTCTTCATGGTGCAAAGTCCAGATTGTGATGGTCAGGTAAGTGTCAAAGTCGCGCATGCTGTGACGACATGTATACAATACTTGCGCAACGCTTTGGGCCTCAAATGAGTACTGTATGAGCAAGCGCAGAAAAAAATACTTCCTACGTCAAGGAAGGAGGTAAAGTATCGAAGCTCGGATCTCTTTTTCAACCGAATGAATCGATCCGGGAATGAAAGGATTTCTGCTCCGATAACATGCCCTTACTGATACTCCAGAAGAGACTGTCGACCAATATCCGAATGACTTAAACCTTCGAGCAAGCAGATCACGGCGCATGGCACAAATCAGGGACGTCGCTGCACGGTGTCTTCGCTCTGAACGGAGGCATCGGAGGGCGAGACTCTACAACTTCCGACCCACAATATCACTCAAACCCACCCATCATTGGACATTTGCCTTTAGCAAGCTTTGTCCATCTACTGCTTTGTATTGAAAATGGAGTGACCACTGAGGGTGATGTGCTCCATTTGCACAATGTGACGCGCGATCTTGCAACCGACCGCCGACCACATTATGGGTTCTCGGATGTATTCACGGCGCCATGATATGGATAAATTCTTTCGCTACATCGTCTAAGACGATAAAAGACCAGCCAGACCCTGCCTCTCGTCGCTTGTTCGTTCGATTTCGCAACATACTCGTCCTCCTTGACAACAGACTATTCCCTTGCGACTCAAATCTTCCCAGACTACTTCACGATGTCGGCCACGGAATCAAGCGAGCCACCATATGCCCCAAAGACAGCTGCTATAGGTGGACAGCCTACAGTGGGAGTTGATGTCCCAATCACCAGCGTCTTTCTCTTCCTCTTCCTCTGTGGAGCCGTTGCAAATATGGTACATGTGGCACACTTGGAAGAAGAGGGCACTTGTCTAACTCGCTCTGTGCGCAGACAATCTTCCAACTAAATCGACGACGAGGGCACAAATTCATCATGTCTGCGATGATGTTTGGGTTTTGCATGGCTCGGATTGTTACGATGATTATGGTATGCTCACAGCTTTGACCATTACACCTTCTTGTGTCTAACGTCCTCCAGCGCATCGTATGGGCCTGTTTTCCTGACGATGTCCGGATTGGCATCGCCGCCATGATTTTCGTATCCGCTGGCGTTTTGATCCTCTTTTTGATCAACCTCATCTTCGCCCAACGAATTCTCAGAGCCGCACATCCTCACTTCGGCTGGAAGAAAACGTTAACGGTCATCTTCGATGTCTTATACTTTGGTATCCTTGCGATGCTCGCCATGGTCATAACAGCGACTGTTCAGTCTTTCTACACCCTCAATACGAACACACATCGGATCGATCGTAACTTACAGATGACGGCGTCGAGCTACCTATTGATGATCTCGTTTCTGCCCATCCCCATGGTCATCCTCGGCATTATCTTGCCCCGAAAGACTAGACTCGAAAAGTTCGGCACCGGACGGTGGAGATCAAAGATTGCGATCCTGCTCACAACGTCCGTCCTGCTCTGTCTTGGTGCGTCGTTCCGATCTGGCACAACATACAAGAATCCACGGGCACGAGACGATCCAGCTTGGTACGACGCAAAGTGGTGCTTCTACTTCTTCAACTTCCTACTCGAGATCATCGTCGTCTACCTGTACATTATCCTACGTGTGGATCTCCGGTTCCACATTCCGGATGGCAGCAAGGGTCCCGGTGATTACGTGCGGGAGACTAAGCCCGGCAAGGAGGCTAGTGGTATGCAAGAAGCTCGGCGCAGTAGCAGCATAACTAGGGTGATGTCGGAGGAAGAAGTTTTTGACGACGAGATGCCTGAGGACACGAGAGCCGAGAAAGACGTGGAGCGTCAAATCGGGTCAAGTCAGTAACGAATGGCCGCTGCAGAAGACCTCGTCTGATTCACGCATATGAAGCGTTTTTAGCGTTGTGATTATAGACTACTCCATGAATGCATAATGAGATACTGCGACCTCGTCCATCTCGAATTGCACGATGATATTCCCGCGACACGTGACATGCGCCACAGTGGCGCCGTGGACTCGGGGAATATTGACATGCCTCGACGCGTGAACTTCACCAAAGAATGCACAACAGTGAACAACGTTTCAAAAGCTGACGTTCTGATCAAAGACCGAGGCAGTATCCTCGATCTACATAGTGGACAGCACTGCGTCATACCACTATCACAGCAACAAGATATTTCGATATCAAGGTGTTTCTTTCCCGCAGTCAAAACGGATTCGACTCACGTTGCCCTCAAGCGTCACCACTATTCAAACCCTTGTTCTTGCTTGGGTCCAAGCGAAACGGTCTCTGATCTGCATCGGACGACTTATGTACTGGGTTGCTGCATGCAGATTGCATCAGAAGGACGGTCGTGAGAGTACCTGTGGGAAAGACTCGTGACATCGGCATTGCTGGATAGTCAGATCTTAAAGTGAGTTTTGTCACGCTTCACGACTTCGATCCCTGTCGTCCTAAATCTCAGAGCTTAAGATCGCAGCCCTCAAGTAACTTGTTTCGGGTATGTTCCTAACAGCTGGTAGACCTCTTTGACATCATTACACACCATGGCGCCTCGGCGATCAACAGCAAGAGCTTCGAGCGCGACGCCAATACGTGCTAACTCGCCATCAAAGCGGTCAACCCGCGCAAGCAGCATACTGTCACCAGAGGATGCTGTGCCACGAAGAACGACCAGAGGAGCTTCGCAGCAGCCGAATCTGGCAGATGGCGGTGTCAACAACCCGAAACTACCCGAAGTGCAGATACAACAGTCATATGCTTATGGCTCAAGCAAGACTCCTGTGCTACCAGCACAGTTGGTCGCAAGAAACAAGATGAATCTGAGGGAGATGGCCGAAACTCTTGACGCCGGCGTCGAGCAAGCCCAGCAGAATCTTCAAACCCACAACCAAGAAAGTCAAGCAAACCTAAGGAAGGAAACTCGAGCTGATAGAGCACGTCGAAGAGCCTCTCGCGAAGATTCACGTGAACCTTCCGTCGCCAGTGACGATGTCGAACAGAACAAGGCACAAAGAGTGGCTGCTTGGGCGGGCTCACTCGACAGCAGTCAGCTTGACCAAATCCCGGAAGAGGAACGAGACGCTGCACGAGACACTCCAGATGACGCATCTCGAAAGGACACAGATCCATCTAGCTTTCCCAGCGGTATTTTCGACCACAGTTACAACTACGAAAGAGGTCTGCGAAAACCCAACGTAACGGTCCGTAGGCGGGAAGAGTCGGTTGTACAGAAAACTGTACAGAAAACAACTGCTGCGACAAAGGAGGCCGTGCAAAAGTCTCGTCAGCTCTCATCACATCTTTTTCACTCGACCCTGGACTGGTGTAGACGACTTTCGCAGACCAGTGGCAGAGCGATCAACGACTTTCCCAATTCACGACTTGTCACGACCGTCACGAGTCTTCTCTTTGTTTCACTCATCATAGCGGCAGCGAGTCTTCTAGTTTGCTACACTTACACCAACCACATCTGCGATCCCTTCACAACCTCCCCAGTCGGTCTGACGATGCAAAAGTATTGTGGAAGCTGTGTCAGAAATCCGAGCACACCTTTGAATATCACCACGGGCAACTACGGCGACATGTCGAAGCTGTCGGCGGCACTCAACACCCTCAACAGTCAGATACGAGCTATCGAGCTGAGGTTGAGTGACAAGCTTGAACAGAATCATGCAGCCGTCGATAAAGACATTGAGACGCTGAGGAAACAGCAAGCGGAATTGTCAAATTACCTGTCATCAGTTGAGTTTGGCCGAACAGGCTCCTCTGGGGACGTAGCATCACCAGTCATAGCAAAGATCAATTTTTTCGCTCCCAATAATGGAGCTCTGGTTGAAGAACGCCTGACGTCGCCAACTCGACAGCGATCGCTAGGGTTCTGGCAAAGAGTGGCATTGCGAATGGTCTTGTCGACGTACTATCAGACGAAGCAACCAGTGACAGCATTGATGCCCTGGCAGGACGTTGGAGACTGTTGGTGTTCCTCGCCTGTTCCGTTCGAACAGGATACGATGCGGCTAGGGGTAAGAGTCAGCGAAATGATCTTCCCTACTGAATTGGTGGTGGAGAACTATCCGACAGCAGGATCACTCTTCCCTGGTTCTACGCCCAAGCATATCGAGGTTTGGGCCGATTTTGAGCATCTTGACGGCCAAGAGTGGGAGAGCCTCAACATCAGACAGATGCAAGGGAATAGTCCAATTGGCCCTCATTGGGCACTGATTGGGCAGTCTGATTATGATGCTTCGGTCGAAGCCACGCACGTTCAAGCATTCAGACTCGACGTGAATCAGCAGCAGCATTTGTACGCCGCAGAGAACTTTATTATTCGGGTCGTATCAAATTATGGGTCGGACTATACTTGTCTATACAGGGTCCGCATGCATGGTGTCCCGATGAGAGGACAATAGGAAGGACTCAGAGGTAGACCTTGACTTTGCTCAGTGGCCTTGATAGCGTATTCGGCAGCTCCTGAGGTCCGGAAATGGAATATATGAGACTGTGTCCGCAGTATCCTATCAAAAAAAAGTAAAATCGCTCGACCTGAGCCTGTATACTCGCCTTGCACCTACCTCTTTGAAGACCATCTCTCCATCCTCTCGCTGCCGACTCACCTTGCTCGCATTGCACTTAAGTAGAGCAGCATCCGCCATCCGCGACATCTGACATTCACGGTCTCAAGTGGTGATGAGCCACAGACATTTTGTCTATGACGTCTTCTGCTTCACACTCCTCCATTCCATGCCCATCGCACCGAACAGAGTCAAGCATGTCAGCGCCACAGGCAGGTACAATGTTTGCATGACCGCGCCATCTAGTCCCGAAAGGGCTTCAGCGAGTCTTTGCCCTCCAAGACGTTGTCGTAGATCGGCGATGCCCATGCTATCGACGCTCCCGGTTGAGGTCGTATTGTTCGAGCCACTGTCAACACCAAGTTTGCCTAAATTGAGCTCGAGTCTATTTTGAAAGATTGCTTGAGCGGCCACAGACATGATTGCCGGTCCAATGCCGTGCCCGAACATAACAAGTGATATGCCAATCGGCACTTCTTTTTCGGACAGGACCGTTTGTGCTGCGACCTGCGGCCCTTGAACCCCGAGTCCGACACCAAAGCCAAGGAGGGCCTGAAAGCATATCAGACTGGCAAGGGTGGCATCGACTGGAAGAGTTGTCAGGAGACCAGCACCAATAGAACCCAGGACGGTGCAGATGAACATGAACGGCACATAATACCCCGTGAGTGTTGTGCCTGCCCCTGCAAGTACGCAGGCAATGCAAAGGCTGATGACTTGCGGGAGGGAAAACAAGGCCGAATGTAAGGGTGTATAGCCTCGGACTGCCTGCAAGTATATCGCGATGTAGTACTCCACAATGGTAAAGCTAGCAGTGCAGCAGCCCGCAAAGAATGCTCCAGAGAGGATGCTGCGCTGCTTCAAGATGCGAAGAGGGAGTGTAGCGTTCTCGCCCTTCTTCCACTGCAGCCAAGCAAAGCCGGCCAGGCTTCCTGCAAACAAGACAAACAGAAGGATGATCCGCCAATCCGTCCAGCTATACCTCAGACCTCCCCATTGCAACGCAAGGAGCAGACAAGTAATCGATGGCACGAAGATGACTGTGCCCAAAAGATCGAGTTTTTGGAGCTTTTGCCTGAGCGGCAGATCGATATCTGGGTTGTGCCGAGGATTGTTGAAAAAGGCCGCAACGACAGCGAATGCGACCACACCAACAGGGAGGTTGATTGCAAAACACCATCTGAAGGACAACGTGCTTGTAAGCACCCCGCCAATCACGGGACCACTGACAGCCGCAACGGTTTCAATGCCACCAGCAACACCACCGTACAAGGCCCGCTTCCGAAGAGGAACAGACTGAGTCAAGATTGCAAACCCCCCACTCATGAGACCGCCGCTCCCAAGGCCACAAATGGCCCGGCCGAGAACGAGCATATGGGATGTGGGCGCCACAGTACACAGAAGTGAACCAATCTCGAAAATCACAAGAGCGCACAAGAAGGTTCGCTTGACCGAGGTCACTGTGTACAGTTTCCCGAAAAGAAACGAAAATGCTGTCCCAGTCAGTCTGTAGACCGCCACATACCAGCCAATGTCGGCTGTTGTGTGGAAATGGTTGGTTATAGTGGGAAGTGCTGTCGCAATGACAGAGAAATCCAGGCCAACTAGGACAGTAGTCATCAGCACCCCAGATAGCATCGCAAAGAACTTCGGTCCTGTCGGATATGCAATTTCGTTTTCTTCATTCGAAGCAGCATCTTCTGCCAATTCGAACTCCTCCTGGGGTGCCGCTGCGATTACTGCGGTAGCGGCCTCTGTCTCGGATCCCCTGCGAGGGGGAGTCGCAGTAATACTATTCGCCATTCTGGCAGGGGGTAATCAGATACTGGAGTTGCGGCACCATTGATGGCTAGTCAGGACCAGCCAAATCGTCTGGACATCACGATATATATGATGCATTCACAAATTGAGATACAGTGCGCGTCACCATGATATGAGGTATCTATCGTTAGCAGCCGTTGGAAAGCGGGGTAAGTTAGTCAACAATGAAATGACAAAGTCGACGACCATGAAAGTCCGTCGAACATGCCGAAACCCACGCACTTCACTCCGGCCGGGCAAGAATCACTTTCAAATGACAGTAGTAAAGCCAGGGCACTTTCACTCGTTACTAACGAAAGTTATCCCCTACAACATAGGACATTTTCGAACAGAACTCCAATCCGTTCACATCTTGGGATCCCAGGTAATCATTACTATCGCTAGTATAGGAACATTTCTTGATCTCCAATCGGTCCGCCAGTCCAATTGTTGCGTTCGATGTTTGCTTCATTGCAGCCAAAACGTCCTCAGGCGATTACCTCAAGCAACGACAACGTGCGAGGAACCTCCGTTCAAGGACCTTCATTTCAGCAGGTTAGGCATGAGTCGAACGGCAAGACCTTGCTGAAGGATGAGGTGGCAAGTTCAACAGAAGATAAGCGTGCCCAATCTAGCCCAGACTCTGCTTCGGAAAAGATTCTCGGAAATGCGACAGCATGAGTGATACGCACCCTGGACCTTCACGTGTGACGGTCTCAGATGCGCAAAGCCTCGGCTTCATGGAGATCTGGGTATGCGCCTAACATCGGATATGGTGGCTGCTGTCTTGGACATGAGTTCGGCATCCTGAAGACTCAGATGGTCTTGGGAGGAGTCATCCTTACCACGTGAATGGTAGCAAGGGCCGCACCTTTTTCAGCGGTCTTTCCGCCCACAACCTGGACCATACATGGTCTACGGACGCTCTCCTGAGGGAACGACCATTATTCGATGCTGAGCAAGTACCACCACGAAGGAAATCGAGCCTTGGCCATGGACCTCAACAATCACGCCCGAAAAGACTCGATGAAATTGTAGCAATGTGAGATTCAGAGGCCCTTTACAGCCTGCTTCACGGCAACGCTACTCTCAAGCGGCATAGAATGGTGGTGGAGTTGAAGGCGAGCAGCGGCATTTGTGGCAAGGTCTTCGTGCTGGATATGTGGTAGATATGTGGTAGAACCACAGATTTCGGCGAATTTGATTAAAAGGGGCTGTTGGCTTACATCAAATACTTATACACGCTCTCATAGATTCAGTTCAATCGCGAAGAGGTCGTATCTTTAGATTCATTCTATGATCCTCTACTCGTTACAAGCTATGAGCAGTCTAGCAGGACGAGTAAATGTTCGGTCAAAAGCAGGAAGCCCTTACAATGAACTCATTCAGATTGTAAAGAGCTTCATCGAACTCGAGAAGCACCAATATCAACAGATACCACATCCGCCTGGGCAGCGCTCCCGCACTTCAACGCAGACGGAGTATCCTCTCGGAGGTAACTCAAGCAGAAGGATTTCTGGAAAAAGTGAAGCTGTTGGAAAGGGTGTCCAGCAAGACATTCGTTCTACTGGTCTTAAAGGCCGGCATCACGCACCAAAATTGTGCTCCGCACCGTCATCCTCATCAACACTGCGTGACTCCAATCTGACACACTTTTTTTTCAATTCCTCACGACGATTTACGAAAGTACACCACAATCCAGACACCCCGCCAGCGACACCGTTACAGACTCGACTCCGCCCAGACACAGCGAGGAGTACTGAGGGCGTACCCTCTCACCATCAACAGCCCACAGTGCTGCAAGGACCTGCAAAACAGAATACACTCTACTTCAACAAGTTTCCTCCTTGCTCAACCACAAACCCGAGCAACGAGGACGCCTTTCCTGCAACCCCCAATACCAGCAGATCAATGACGTCCGAGTCGTCATCCTCCACACCGGCACAGCACAAACCTCTCGTTGTTGGCCGCACAAAGCCCCAGCCCGAACAATCCACCTCCTCCACGACAATGGCCACTGAAGCCCAAGTCCCCGCCGATGTCAAGGCAGAACTCAACCACGAGATTGCCGAGAATGTAAAGTCCAACACTGTTGAGGCCGCACCCGCAGACCCTCCAGCGGCAAGCACAAAGAAGAAAGAAAAAGCACCCAAACAGCCTAAACAACCCAAAGCCGCACCGGCCGCCGCACCTCTTTCTCCAGCCCTCATTGACCTCCGAGTCGGCCACATCCTCCGCGCAATCGCCCACCCCAACGCAGACAGCCTGTTCGTTTCGACGATCGCAATGGGTGACCCTGAGGGCACAGAGCACACCCAAGTCGACGAGGAGACGGGCAAGGTCGTGCGAACAGTATGCTCGGGTCTGAACGGGCTTGTTCCCTTGGAAGAAATGCAGAATCGCAAAGTCGTCGTGGTCGCCAACCTGAAACCCGTCAATATGCGCAGCATCAAGTCCGCGGCTATGGTGTTGGCGGCGTCTCCGGCTGCCGAAGAAGGCGCAGATCCACACGCCGCGGACCGGGTCGTCGAGTTGGTCAATCCACCTGAAGGCGCTGAGGCCGGTGACGCAGCCCACTTCGAGGGCTGGCCGTACGGAGAAGGAAAAGGACCAGAGAAGGTGCTCAATCCGAAGAAGAAGCAGTGGGAGGCCATCCAGCCGGGTTTCTTCACATCGGAGGACCTTGTCGTTGGGTTCGATGCGGCTAAGACTGAGATTGAGGGTTCGGGGAAGGGAAATCTGGTTGTCGAGGGCAAGGGAAAGTGCACGGTGAAGAGTTTGAAGGGTGCTGTTGTACGATGATTTCGAGAATTCTCGTGACGGAAGACATTGGCAGCCCAATCTCAGCTATGATGGAAAGAGTCAGGCTGACTCAACGGACCATCGCGCCGCATGGGCAACATTCCTGGCACTCAGGAACGACCGTCTCATGAAGTGAACAGCATAGGCAAGCCTGTCATGCACCGAGAGGCCTGTGTGGACGCTGGTGCTGCTTCACGGAGCAGTCTCGACGATTCTTGAGAATAGTCTCCCGCAGGAGCATGTCATGGTCCAACGACTCAGGGTCAAAGGGCTGAAGCAATAGGACCTATGCCATGTAGAGAGAATCAAGAGGAGACACCTCAGACCAGGGATTGAAGCACGTAGATAGGCATCAAGACATACGTACAGATCCGCCAAAGATCTTTGTTGAAACGGACAATCATCCGCCAATAGTACTACTTGTGAGCTCCTCCACGTCGGTGTATATCGGTGCAAGACTTTATATGATTCGTATGTCCTCGTAATTAGATATATGGATGCAATTATAAAGCCTGCTCCCTCCGGCAGGCTTATATAAACATGCCAGTTGTATAACGCTGCAAGTCTTCCCAAACCCCATCCTTTCACTGACGCCAAACACCTCATACATAGGTATGCTGCTTTACCCTGATGCCGCAAATTCAATTCACTTCAACAGCGCAATCAGCAGCACGAGAATGACAATTAAGATAATGATCGTTGTCATTCCCCAGTTCTTCTTTGCCGTCTCACTTACGCCCTTTAACCGCCTTTTCGCACCGTCAAGTCGACCCTGGTGTCTATCGACGCCCCGATCGACCTCGTCTAGGAGAGCGATTTGACCTTCGAGCTCGTCGCCGACCTGCATGGCCAGGTGGCGCTGCCGGCCAATTGACTCGCCCAACCGGTCCAGCTGGTCGTCCTGCTCGGAAATGACTTGCTGGTGGTATGCGTGGATTTGCACATTGGACATATTCTGGGCGGGATCGGGGGTTTTGGCACGATCTGAGTCCTCGTCCGTGTATCGTGAGGGGAATAGCGCCGCGCGGTTCGTCTCGTCTTCGGCATCGAGTGATTCTTGCGACGGGTTGTCTCGGAAGCGCACGTTCTTTGCGGCTGCGGCTGACGCGGAGTCTTGTTTTCGTAGATTTGAGGATCTTTGTTGGGAAGGCGACTTGCGAGTCTGAGCGCGTGCAAAGTCCTCTTTCAGCGCCGGGTCGTTCGGCGAAGACAGGGTCTTAGTTGTGCTGGTGTTGGAGGATTCGCCGTGGAACTGGCGTGAGAGATCGGCATATTGTGATCGGAGTTGATCTACGGTCGTGGAGTCGGCGTCAGGTTTTGAGGAGACGGTCTCGATGCCTTTGCGGAAGGACTCTAAAGAGCGGGTGATGTTCGAGTCTTGGGATGGATTGGGGTCGAGATTAAGAGAGATAGCGCGCTGGCGTTCGAGGAGGGAGAGTTTGATGTGGTCAGCTAGTAAGAGAAGTTGGGATGGGTTCGACATTGTGAGATGGGTTGAGGAGAGGTCGAGAGACGGAAGGGAAGGGCGGTAGTTGGGAGAGACGCTGCCTGCTTGTTCGGGGCGGTGCAGGCTGCGGTGGGATCTGCTATACTGACAACTCGCAGCTTAAGCGGATCGGAGATGGCTGTAGGCAATGTTGCGCTGAGGAAACTCGGGGTGTACAGGGCGAGGCTTTATGTCGTGGTTTGGTCGAACATGGACCAGCATGTAGGTCAATGGTCAGCTGGAGTGACTTCGATAGAAGCGACGATTCCGGCAATGAGACGGGCTTGGCATCGTTCATTCCGCTCGGGGATGCTGGTGGTGCTGCGGGTAGTGACAGCAGGTACGAGGGCTAGGGCTGCCCCTCTACCACACAATAGCCCTTGCAGCCTGCGTTCGCCTTGATCCAATCAATTCTCCACACGTGGATCACGACTTATCCGCCTCGGCCTTTACAGAGGGCTTGTACCAACTTCAAGCCCAGCGACGACTTTACTCTTCAACAAGTCCTCCCTTCGTTCCTCCTTCGGAATGCAGAAACGTTTATGAGACCTGTGCAAATGGAAGACGGCCAGCCTACATATCCCGTCGGGGAAGAGACTCGCAGCGAAATTCCTCCCAGTCCCCGTTCATCACACCTGGAGACACTCTTTGCTGAGTTCGCTCGGACGCGCCCGAGGATCTCACCTTCAAGGACACCATCCTTACGATCTTACCGTCATGTCCGAAATGTCTCCCACAACCAGAATGGACCAAAACTTGATCTTCGAGCCCTCGACTATGTAACAGAATACGATTTTCATCTGATGTGTCCTATATGTCACGTTCCCTTCCTAGACCCGGTCGTGCTGGATTGTGATCATACATTCTGCAACTCCTGCCTGAAAGAATACAGGGAAGGCAGTGGCAATGGGCCGCGGTCGGAATGTCCCACGTGTCGCACATTTCTGTCGGCAGGACCACGCAAAGCATCTCGACTAATTGTCAATATGTGTAACGAGATCAAAGTCCGCTGTCCGAATGAGGACTGTGAGGAGATTGTTCTCAGAGGCGTTGTCGAATATCATGCAGTTCGGGAATGCCAACATCAAAAATTCCAATGTCCTGATCCGCAATGTGGAAAGGTGGTCAAGAAGAAAAACTATGTCCCGAATCAATGCATACACACTTCCAACATCGAATGTGATTGCGGAGCGGTGATCCAACTCGGAAGAGGAGGTTGGCGAAAGCACAAAGACGAGGAATGTCCAAATACTGTCGTGAAGTGTCAGAACTGTGATGAACAGATGGTAGCCGAGGACCACTCTGAAGAAAGGACCAGTCACGTCTGCAACCATGATGACCGGCAAGCATGTCCAGGAAGAACTTACGGTTGCCTGGATGAGGTCACCGCAGAAGACCTTGACGCACATGTGAAGGCATGTCCGCTAGCCCGTCTGGCTCCATTCCTTCAAAAGCAGTCCAAATTACTACACACTCTCCAAGACCAATTGGCCATGGCCAAGGTGCGTCATGAAGTCCTCGAAAATGGGCTGCAAGAGATCAGCGACATGATCGGCGACCGGGTTCTCCGGTACTTGTCTCAATCGGAATCACCTGCTGCGGAAGCATCAGACATTGAGGAGATTGAACGAGACCCCATTCCATCCGCAATTTCCCACCGGGATCTCCTTATGCCAGCACACCTCCGAGCCTTGACACCTTCACCAGACCCTGATGCTGCTTCCATCTCGCAGACCCAGCAGCACTTGCTTGCCCTTCATGAGAGTCTTCGTGGGAATGTGTCGAACATTGAGCAGGATATTGCTGCCCTCCACAACAACATCGCCGATCTTGATGCCCGTACATCGATGCAATTGATGAATGAGACCTTACGGGTGAAGGAGGATCTGGCACATACTAATGCCGCGCTTTTCAGTACTAGAGCGCAAGTCCAGTGGCTTCTCAATCGAGAACGAATAGGACAACAGCAGCAAGCCATGGGGATGCGTGGTCGAACATCTTCTGCTCAGCCTCAACCATCGAACCAGGCGCACAGGGGCTCTGTGTCCGATGACGCCGAAGGTCCCCATCTTGGAACGAGCGTCGACAGTCAACCCTCATCGTCAAGCCTCGCACCTAGTCCAAACTTCCGGCCTCAAATCAGGCGACTAAGTGGAGGTAGTCAAGAGAGAGTCAAATTATAATGGCAATCGGAATGAATGCATGAATATTGATGTCCAGCATGCGTGCTGCCACTCACTTCTGTCTTCATTCAATGCTTCAATATTCATTGACAATAACAGACGATCCCTACGCCGAGCAAATACCCGCCTTATCCTTGAGGGCTCTTGGCCGAAGATCGTCCAATTTCCCTATTCGTGTCTAGCCTTGTGCCCCTCTCCTGTTCCGCATGGAGTTGCCTAATTAGATAGCGATAACTGAACGGCCCAACCCGGTTGCGTGCCCTTCTGCCCTCTGTAATCTATCCGGCGTGCACTCGAGTAAGCTACCGCGAGCGTGAGCTTTTGATAAGGTTAGTAATTGGTGTCTCTGGACTGGATTGGTCACTTTGTCCAGCATGCTCAACGTAAGTTGGCGATACGAGGTGAGGCAGAGTTCAATCGGCATGAGGACATGTGCAGAGGGCAGAGTTCAATCGGCATGAGGACATGTGCAGAGCCATGTTGAATTCGATGAATTAGGTAGGAGAGTTGGTTTTCTACTCTCGGACGGTTCTGGTCTAGATATAGCACGCATGTGCTCCTGATTCTCCGACGTAAGAACTGGACTCGTACAGACATACAATCACCAGAGTTGCCAACTTGCTTGTCGCTCGAGGTACTGAACAGGTAGAGCGAGGCTGCTCACCACTTTCGCCAGATTATCGCAAGTCATTCCTGAAAAGAGCCGCCTCGTTACGTCTCGTGGGATATCGACGCATTGCAATTAATTACAAGGAGATACTCCAGCCTCGAAGGCTCCATCAGCATCTGCTACAGTGATTACCACAAACCGCAGGCTGCAGGAAATCTAGCGCCTGTTCCAGCATCTAGCACGCCGTCTTGAGACGCCAACGCGGCCCATCCCCGTTGCTGCACACAACACAACCTCAAAATGGGCAACAGCAGGAACCTCGAGTACCCCAAGACTCCAATCAACAAAGTCAATCGGTACAATGTACGAGGTAAGCATCGCCTCTCTTTCCCCTTCTAGCACCATCTCCCTTTCCACCCGTCCCTGACATGTCGTAGAAACCTACGACCTCGAGCAAATCCACAGCATAATCAACGACAGCACCTTCGTCAACGTCTCATTCAACACGCCTGACCCTGCCAATCCATTCCCCATCACACTCCCCATGGTCGGCATAGCAGCCAGCTTCGAGCACCCATCCGCCGGCCTTGGTGAGCCCCTCGACGTCTATGTCCACGGGTACGTTTCAGCACGTATGATGAATCTCTCACGCACTGGCGATAAAAAGGGGTTGCCCGTAACCATCTCCGCCACGAAAGTCGACGGTCTGATCCTCACGCTCACACCCTATACGCACGACGTGAATTACCGCTCCGCCGCGTTGTATGGGTACGCCAATGTGGTCACCGACGAGGCCGAGAAACTCTGGGCCATGGAACAAGTGACCAACAGTGTCGTCTCGGATCGGTGGCGACACACGCGCGTCCCGCCTATCCCAGCTGAATTATCGAGTACGGCGATCTTGCGTGTGAGTGTGGTCGGCGGGAGTGGGAAGATTAGGGTCGGCGGACCGCGTGATGAGAAGAAGGATCTCGATCAGGAGGAGTTGCAGGATAGTATTTGGACGGGTGTGATTCCTGTGTATGAGCATTATGGTGAGCCGGTGCCGTATAAGACGAACCGCGTCAAAGATGTGCCGGAACATGTGGTGGCTTTTGCGATGGAGATGAGGAATAGGAATGAGAGTTATGCGGCTGATGCGATTGCGGATACTTCGCAGGATTAATAATGGATCTCTGGAGGAGAAGCGTGGACATGAGTTTGTTGCAGTAATGATTGATATCTGCTGGTCTGTGACTGGGATTAGTGATGACTTGCCGGATGCCGGAGATTTTTGGATAAGTCGTATTATTTCCCACTTCGGTCCTGTACTGTGGTGTCTTGCGAGTTCCGTACTGTGAGGAGATCTAGTACGGCTGCTTCCACTTGTTTGCAAACCTCGTCATCGGATAGAGGAGCCTGTAGGTGGAATTTTCGTGCCTCTGCTTTGTCTTGTGTGGCTGTCATGTCTCATTGTGCCTCCTCGACACCACTGTGCGTAGTTGGGAGACAGAGATGTGGCAGAAAGCAGGCCAGTCTCAAGTCGGTCCATGGCAGAAGGGCGCGGCCGCGCCCTTACTCCTGCTCTTTCTGACCAAGTCGTCTTCTGCTTCGATATGTGGAAATTATGAAACCGAATGACCACTTGTGAGTGAAGCTCACCTGTCATATCAGGCATGCTGATATAATTAATTGTTCACACAAATCCATTGACCTCTTTTGATGTCCTGTCGCCAACCTCGAAGAATCCACGATCAGGTTGCCACGATTCATTTGTGTTAGAGGAAATGATGCTCTTCTTGTATCAGTCAGTCCTTCGTGCCTCCCTTGCAACCCCTTCATCGACAGACGCGTTTTGTGAAGATTGGCAAAGCAAGCAAGGGGCCATGCCAATCCTTCGGATCCAGTCCTGTACACAATCTTCTCGAAAGACGGACATAAACATTCGAATCTCCCTGCCGTGTAACGTCGTCACCGGCATTTTAGATTGGCCCAAACGGGTGTTCCTCCCTCCAGCCATATTGTGACTCGTACAGTTGGACAAGACAGCCCCGTCCGCGGATCGCCCCGAGGAATGGGAAACACGGACACATGCCTGCAGGCAAGTTTCAGGTGGTCATGGCGCCCGCCGTGTTCCCAAGGATGTGTCTCTTGTTATAAGCACGCGCTTTCTGTGTAAGGGCGAGATCACCCATCCTATAGATAGGTCAGCCTCGATCCACTGCAAATGATAAACCTCGGGAACAGACAAAGAAAGGCACGCGATATGTCTTTCCTCTCCGTGGAATGGGGACAATGAGCCGCAAAGCTTGCCACACTCCTTTGACACTGCTCAAAGACGTGTGTTCATCCTGCCGACTTGTGGTTTTGCTCCTTGTGAATTGCATCCTCCGCGACCTAATCGACGCGATGGCCGCGCCCTGAGCTCACCGTCGTTATATCGTGCTTTCGCGCGTTCTTCCCCTCGTTTCCCCTCGCTTAGTCGGCGAGGAAGTCACTCCTTTGAAGCGTTTGGACCGTTGCCGCGCCCCTGTATATTTTCTCTCACCGTTCAGTCACCGACAAAGATCAGCTCACACCATCACCAACAGATCTCAGACAGCAAACGAGAAACAATCAGCAAACAACCTTACCTTTGCAAACAAAAGCACATATCATTCGAAAAGAATCCACCTCGAGCTTCCTTACCTCATTCTCCATGGTGTCTTTCCAGGATCTCAAAGCCATGATGATGGACAAGATTCGCTCTGGCCGCGCGTGGATCAGAAGCAAATTCAGTCGCAACACCAGCACCAGACCAGTCATCGTAAGTTGGCATCGCCAGACTCGCCGAGTATAGAGGCTGACGTGTATCCAAAGAGCAACCCGACCGACTTCCGTCGTCAAGACGTTGACATCATGTTTGACCACGAAGGGTAAGATAGTCCTTTCGATCTTACTGACATCTTCGCTGACTGGTACTCCTAGTAATGCCACGATCGTGGGTCCGATGACTTATGGAGAACCACGACCAGCGCCGCCGTCGCCACACGTGACTCAGGCCGGCAGCATTCACGAGCGTGAGGACTAAGGCAATATCATACCTACAAACCGTCAGTGTCAAGTTGAATGAAAAGGACATCATGACGAAGAATTACCTTCTCAGAGCTTCATGCTCAGAAGCAGAATTGGACACATACTTGGGCTGGCAAAACCCTTCTTGCTTAGCTGAATCTTGGGACAACGCCGCCTCCATATAGGGGGCCAAAGGTTGCTTGTGGATAGGGAATGATACACAGTACAAATGAGGCTAGAAAGAATCAGGTCATGAACATTGGGATTTCCTCCAGTCGTGCTTTCTTCTCTTGTTCTTTCTCCAGCTTACGCTTTAAGAAACGGTCGCCGAGCGGCCTTGGAGCAGGTCGAGGTTTCTGGGTGCTGGGCTGGTCATCGATCATGACTTCCGGCGAGTCACGATCAGTTGGTGACCGTGACGACACTGTTCTGCCGAATCGCTCGTGGACGATATTCGCAGATGACCCTCGCATTCGAGGAGATTTGCTAGCCCGTGACAGCGACACTGAGAGAGCATTACCCCGTGCTGTTTCGTTTCGACTCCCAGCTGGATCTTTGCTTCTCTGTATCAAACTACTACTGCTTGTAGTCACGACTTCGGCCATGGCTTCCTCCTCATGATCTCGCCCACGTTTACTGCCATTTGGAGACTTGCTCAAACCCATTCCAGCCTTCGTGTTACTCGACATTTTCTCTAACCCAAGCAACGATGTCTTTTGCTGGTTACCACTAGCCATCAGCGGAGCGAGGCTTGTCCCGGACCATGGATCCACCACTTTCTCTTCCTCTTCCTCTTCAGAATCTGCTCGGCGCGTCACCCGCTGTAACGTATCCTTTTGTTTCTTGTGCAGAGCTGACGACTGCAATCTTCTTGTTGCCTCCTTGGACATTGGCGATGTTGGTGCAGGTAGAGCTTTCGGCGGAGCTTCACGAGCTTGCTTCATGAGTCGCTTGTACTCTGCAAGATGCAAATGCGCGGTATAGGATTTCGCAATGTCTTGGAATTCGTCTTCGACCATGATGTAGATGTCATCGCCATCATAGCCTTCTCGCATAAGCTCCGTGGTAGGTGGCGCTTTGGATGGCGAACTAGATGGGGATCTCGACCCTGACCTCTTTTTGGGAGTTGTGATAGACTGATGGTGCTGAGGTGCTGTGCCTCGTTCATCTGGCGTTTGCCCCCGAGGTGCTGGAGACGACCTGTTCTCAACCTTGGGTCGCTGGGCGGGCGCAGTGCGCTGCTTCTTCGCCGGCCGAGCATGGTCTATGGTCCACGGCAGTGTGCGCGCCATCGCGTCGGGAAAGAGGTGTTTCGTGTTTGTATCTCAGGATGACTTGAGACTCTGACTTCACGGTGGATTGGCACGACTTGGACAACGTTTGATCACAAACAGAACGTTGTGCATCTCTGGTGGACCTGAGTGGACGCGAGACTGGCTTGATCGAGCCTTGTAGCAGTGACACAGACGAAAGCAGTTATATTGGGAGTGAATGGCCGGTCATAGTGGTAAATCATTAGGTGTACAAGGCTGCGCTAGGCATTAACGAACCCCGCTTGACTTGTGCCTGCAAGCCTGCGACGCAAATGCCCTCGATCTCGCCCATCTAACCATCGCAACAAACAAATCGAAAGGGGAAGTGCGCACGCGCACGCAGGACATGATTCATATGTTTGATTGTGTCGTGATAGTCTCATGTCTCCTCGAAAGCTCATGTTCGTAACTTTTTGCTGTATCTAATTTGGGGTATCATCGTACAACCTCCTTCAGTTGCAGGGCTATTCGTGAACGCCTTCAATACCGATGTGACCTGCCCTCAATATCCATAGTGTGCTCTCATTGATGCATCGCCCAGCAATGTCCATCTAATCCTGCCTGTGCGCCTGTTTCAATCAAGCCCCGATGAAGCATCGTGAGGTGTGCCAGGTTCTGCTCCCTAGACCTCACCGGGCTTCTTGGAATTGCAGCTGACAATCTTGACTTTGTCTGCCTGGAACTCTTGGCCACCATCGCTCTTGAATCGTACGTCCTTGACAAGGAACGTCCACACATCGTCGCAGAACCGATATGTTTCCAGATGCCCCTATCATCGCTGTTAGTCTCCAGGGCACACAGCGTACATCGGCTTGCGGACCTTGAAGGTGAGTCTGGATTTGACCTTTTCGGCGAGCGTTTCGGCGATGGAGCGATCGAAGTTTGCGAGAATCTTCATCGCTAGCTGGGGTTCTATCCGTCCATCGTTGATAAGATCATCGATAGTGTCGATGAGTGCCTCGCCGATACTGCAGGATTCCGTCAACAGCCGCTCGAGAACATCGGGCGTCGAACCGAAGAACACGGAAAGTGACACTAAATGAAGAGTAGACATAAGCACCCGTGGAGTGACCTACCTGCTGCCCCGGTAGAGTTCGTAATACTGTTGCGGAGCCGTCATCCTGACCAAGCGCCGGTGTTAACGTGATGCAACGAGCGATAGCGATGCTTCTCGACTCCCTTCGGCGACCTGCACAGGGTCGAGGTGAAACGCTGGAGGAAGTCAAGCCAGTGTAGTGAAGTGGTTGAATATTGGAATGAATGAGTGAGTCGGAATTGTAAAGGCGCAGGCACACCGCGAAACTCTATTGGCCGGGAAGGGAAGCCCCGATTCTGGGCAACCATTGGCTCTTTGTGAATGATCCCTACGCAATGAGCACAAGACATATTTACGTAGTTGGCAGAAGCCGCCGTCACCAAAAGAGATACGATGAGTATGGCTCGAACCTGTAACCCTTCTCTCATCGTTTGGCAGATTGCTCAGTCGACCATACCTGTAACGACACCGGAAACATGTCATTGATACGCAGATTCGTTTCTCGGCAAGGCCTAACATATCAATTCAATCATATCCTAAGCATACAACGACGGGCATCCTCCACGACGTCACAAGCCGATTCCAACAAGAGTACCACCAAACAAAGTGACTCCGAAAAGAAAAAAGCGACCATGGAGAAGCTAAAGTCGGGACATAAGAGCATGGCAGACTTGGATGCAGAGATGCGCGAGGCAATGGAAGGTTTATCAGGCGACGGTGGAATATCTGGAGCAGAATTGGAAGGTGGGAAGCAGATTGGGATGAAGAGAAGTGTCAAGGAGAACATGTTCAGGTATATCTGAGGAGTCGGCTATGCGACAGAGTCTTGAAGAAAGAAGCGAATGTGGGTATCATGCCGTTTGGATCAATGCTGGACTCATGCCGAAATCCAATCAACGACTTCCCTTAGCGAACGATGACCCAGCTGTTTCTTTCATCATACAACTCGTTGACATCGCCGACAAGCTCCTGCACCGAGCTGCCACCAGGGCAATCATACCATTTCCCTCCGTCACGAATGCACCGTACCTCATCAGCAAGCCTCACGGTGCAGCTCTTGGTTACATTGTTTTCTTGACTCCTCACCATACTCGATCGAAGCAACCCGATACCCTCGCCTTCATCACTGATGCAAGAATTGAGCTTGGAGAAATCGATGCCATGCTCCATGGAGCAACTCTCAACCAGATCTCGCTCGGGTATATGAGGATAATCCGAAATCATGCAGTTGGCGAAGCCAAGCCACATCTTGACATCCGGGTATTCTTTGGCGGCGCACAGGAGTATGATATTGCCCAGGCATTCGCTGGGACCATGTTTACACGAGACGGCGTCTGAATTCGGGTCGATGCTGGGAGGCTGGTTAGCCAAAAGGCATTCCTGCAGACGCAACGTATAGTTTACCTTCCAATGAACGACATCGTGAAATCGACCTTCTCACTCACTTGCACCAGGGTTGGTACTACTAGTTCCTGCAGGCAATCCCGGGCATCTGGGCATTTTGACATGATATGGATCTCTAATGGTATCTTTTCTACCTCATCGATAATGTCTGGCTGGGAAGAGGAAAGACTAGGGTCGTAGTGATGATCGTGTACGAACGTAGAGCGGAAGAGGGAGAATAGCGCAAATAGCATCAACACTGCTGGTAAGATACGTTGGATGAATTGGCGTCTGCGAGGATGTACTTCTGCATGTGGTTGTTGATATGAGAGCCGCGAAGGCTCGGAAAGGAGGTTTTTTCCATCGTGCATCTGCGAAGGTAGAGGCGCCATGATGTATTATCTCGACCATGGAACCCTGACTCCGCCAAACGAAGATCAACGATGGAAGTCGAGATGAGACGAAGGATACTTGTCGTCCATACTCTGTACCAGTACGTGGCTTCAGTCGCAAACAAACCGCAGGCAATGACGACTGGCATGTGGTTTGGCTTGGCATATTTGCAGTCGAGAGGGCGACTCCCGAGGTCCCCCATCAACAACTCCCCAAGGACCCTTAGCAGCGGTTTGGCAGCGTCTGTGCCCTATGAAGCCAGAGATAGCGTGCTCTCAGCATCGAGCCATTGGCTACTCTGGTCCCTACGAGGTTACAATATTGATGCACTTGTGTCTTAAGTGCATTCTGCAAGGCATATTCCATACTGCATACTACATTGTTCCTGTCGCTCTTCTTTGTTCCTCTGCTTCTGCTGAATGTCAATGGTGGACTCAGTACAACTGAATGGCCACTGGGCCAAAGGCACCTCCAAGCGTGGCCGGCGGGCTCCTCGGGCCAGACGCCGCGCTGCCGTTATCGCACTCCTGCATGGGTCTTCAAGTGGAACACTAACAAAACACTGTCTGTCTGCATGTCAAATCGCTGCTCTTTGACTCGTCTGAGATCCATGAAAAGCCTCTTCTGAGGCCGATGGCCATGTGGCAGGAGACCCTGTTCCGCTAGCCCTTGACCGTTCTGCTGGTGATGGCCAAAATCGAGGCGCATCCTCCCCCATCAAACGCGGGTCTAGCCTCCATAGGACCCAAAGACTCTCCACGCAACCGTGAGCCTGCCGAGCTGATGGGCTCCATTGGCTGAGGGGTCTGTGCGATGCCGGAAGGACCAGCAAACAACACCAGAACTGGTCAATTGAGGCTGACTACCCATACTCTAGGTTTCTCCCCTTTCTGCCAGCGTCACATCCGTTCTCCTCAAGGTCACATCTGAATCACCAAATATTGGGATTCTGCAGGTTCATACTGTCAACTCGACCGCTTCGGTACTTGAGTGTTGGACCTTATCATACTTGAAGCCACACCCCTCCTCGTCCTTCTTATCTTCACAAGCGGCAGCAACTTGGATCAACGATTGTTTTCGTGTTGCCTGTTCAACTTTGTTTTTATTCTCCGATGCTGATCGGCTTGCCTCGCACGTGAGTAGCTTTCTGGTCCTGTGCATCAACAGGGCTTACTGCAGGCAAACGATTGCAACAATGTCTGAATTGGCCTCACTACAATCTCTCAGCAATGACAGTCCTCCACCGGACGACCTCGAAGCCGAACTGGATGCGTTCCTGCAACCGCTCCTCATCGACGACGGCGTGGTCCATAATCTCGCCTATCAATTCTCTAAGGTGTACGAGGAGGTGGCATTGCGCTCCGACGAGCAGTTTTTGCCCACTCCAGTGACTCAACTACCGTCAGGACAAGAGACAGGTCAATTTCTCGCCATCGATGTCGGTGGCACCAACTTACGGGTCGCCTTCATTGAGTTGCTGGGCGATGCTGACGATATCGCCACCACCATCAACGGAGCGGAACGGTCACGTGAAACCCTCCGCAATGCTCAGCGACCACGAGTGCGCCGCACGTTGGAGAAGGCTTGGCCAATCGGCGAGCATTTGAAGATGGACAAGACCGAAGACCTGTTCGCCTGGATTGGCGACTGTATTGCAGAGGTTGTAGGTGATCGGCTCAGCTCTGACATGGGGAAAGTTCCCGTTCCCGAGGAACTGCCAATGGGTATCACTTTCAGTTTTCCGATGATGTAGGTATTCCCTTTCAGCCATGTCTATCCCACTGACACGAAGCCAGACAAGATAAGCTAGCATCGGCAACACTTATGCCTATGGGTAAAGGCTTTACCATCAGTTCCGACCTGGACTTAGGCTCCACTTTACTGCAAGGCTATGCGCGCCACACGCGAAAACAACCACCTTCAGAGTCATCGCCACGCGCAAAGAGAAGAAGGCTGGGACCATTGCCTGACCTCAAGATCGTAGCTATCACCAACGACACCATCGCTACTCTAGCATCACTGGCGTACAGCGTCAAATCTTTGCCTAACTCGCGAGTTGTGGCTGGTATCATTGTTGGTACGGGAACCAACGCCACGATTCCCATGAAGTTCTCCAGTTTGGGCGGCTCCAAGGTTGAGCCAATCCGACAGAATAAACCTGAAGCGACAGAGACCGTGGTGAACACCGAAGTCACCATTGCAGGCGCATGCGGGCCATTACAGGCCGTCACCACGGAATGGGATCAACAACTTGACGCTGCTTGCGCTCGACCTGGCTTTCAACCACTTGAATACATGACTGGAGGCCGGTATATCGGTGAGCTCGTCCGCATCATATTCCACGACTACATGACAAGGGCACACAAACCACCTGTGCCTTCAACTTCTTTGCCAGCAACAATTGTACACCCATACAGCTTCACTACCACTTTTGTTAGTGCGGTGGTCGCACGAGCCCGGTCAAATTCGGAATTGGCGGGTGAGTTGAAACGTCGGATCCCACCTCCAGAATCATCGAATTGGGGTTGGTCGCCGCATTCGGCCAGTGCTCTGCGCCGTATCGCACACCTCGTTCAGGTACGATCTGCTGGTCTTATCGCAGCGTCGACCGTGGGATTGCTGGCCACGGTTGGCGAGATTGCTTTGTGCGAGCCCGGTAGCCCTGCGTCCCTACCAGACGCGATCTTCTCAAGCGACAGTAAGCCTTCCTCGCCAAAGGCCAGCCATCTGTCACTGCCCTCACGCGACATTCGCGACGGCTTGTCACCAGCTCCTGGTGCGACAGCCTGGAAGTCTGGCCCAGAAGAGTTGGTAATTGCCTATACTGGAGGTATTATTCAACATTATCCCAACTTCAAAGAACAATGTCAGCGTTATGTTGACCGACTGGTGATGAGGGCAGGGCCACAAGATGGCGGGAAAAGTGTTTTCCTACGGGAGGCTCGTGATGGCGGCATTATAGGCGCAGGGGTGTTGGCCGCAATGCAGATGCCGTCGTCGTGACCTTGGCAGGGGTGAGAACGAGAACATATGGCCTGAGTCCTTCAATAGGGATGGCTCTGGAAAGTCATTCGTGGCAGAAGCCCGGCCGCTGGTAGACACGACCAGCAGTATCCATGCCCATCAAGGATTACGATAGGAAGCTGGCAAAGCCAGGAGTAGGCGACTTTTTGACTACTACCAAACGAGCTAAATAGCCGGTTGGCGTTGGTGCACTATTGATCGGCTGCCTCACGGGGCCCCGCACTTTCACGAAGGAACGCATTTATTGACACGAGAGGGAGTATGAACCTGTATTCCTTCCGAGGGACAATAACCAAGGCTATATAGTCGAGTCTACATCACCGTATCAATACGTAGGATGCGCCATGACACAATAGACATTATTGACCCAAGATCGAAAGACCATGGAACACGATTTGATGTGCAGGATCTGTGGGATGAAAGGTATTTGAGTTCTTGTGATCAGACTAGGCTTAAAGGAAAGCGGGATGAAGACCCTTCGATGCTTCGTGCCCACTGGGCCCCTCGAGGTATCTGACGCATTTTGTAGCGAAGAGAAATAAGGGAACCCATGATTCGCCATCCACTTTACTGGTTTCACAGAAGCGAGACTCGAGAGGCGTCAGCCCCAAGAGCCAAAGTTAAGCTGGGATCAAGTCGCCCAGGGCTTCGGCAAGCTTGGACCCAGAACAACGTGGAATTAGCTTGAGGCCGTGTCGCATGACATACGCAGGATGTTTAAGTTGCTGTGGGCGGCAAAGGAATGTGAGCGCTGCTGTGACACTGCCAGAAACTCACGACACAGTCCTGATCCAGAATAGACAAATGAAGAAGAGAGACAAGGGCATTGTAGGTGATACCACCGGTACTCGTATACGAGACTGCTGATCCGGGTAAATTGAACGAGATCCTGGACTTGTGATGTTTTCCAGGGTGCCGGAAACAGGCACTGGGCCGAGTTAACGAGTCAATTGATGGCGTAAGAATAATTAAGTTAAGGAGCATCACCATTTCCCCGGGCACATGGGGGGCGTCAAGTCGCGAAAATGCTTTAACCCAGATCCCCACATACTTCGCAATTCTCTGTCCGCGTGCCCTCGACTCGAGAGTCCAAATCCTCCCTCTGCCGCTTGCACACTCATCATTCACTCTCAACTTCAAATCAACTCACTTCACCCTCCCCACTCGCTTCACCTTCGGGTATTTACCTGCTCTTGCACCGTAAATCGAGTCTCTCGCTATCCCTGAACGACACTATATTAATAACGAGTCGGCGCCGCCAGACCACCGATCTGTGTCTCCTCCTTCGCACTTTCCCACTTGCCACGCCTTTTGAACGGTGTACACTTCACTCAGTTGCGTGACGGTCATGCGCATTGTATCGCGCCTCTGCTCTGCATGGGCTGACATTGACCTCCCTCACGCCTCCTAACCTCTCCCGATCCTCTTCCAAAAATATTCGACTGTCGCAAAAATGAGTCCGATACCAAAGATTCACAATGTCCTGCATTCGCTGCTCAGGCGAGAAGACCAGTCGCAAAAGCCAACCGATCCTCACGCTCTGGCACTCGAAGCATGGGCCGAAGGATATATGATCGGCTCTCTCATTATCCTGTCATGCATAACGTTGGCCAATATGCGTCGAGGAGTCTTGCTGCACAAGTTGATTTTACTCGAGGTATGTGTCTTCCGAATCTCGCCCGCAGTGACCCCATCAAACTCCATAGCCGCTGACGCAGCATATTTTATTTGACAGCTTGTCTTGGGCTACTGGCAAGGCGTCTTTATTCTCTTCGACCCGCCCATCTACGCCTGGTGGCTTAGCGTCGCCGCCATCTTCCTCAACATCTCTTGGTCTTTGCACAATGTCATCGCGTGGATGAAGATCCGGCCCTTTCTCAACAAGACCGCTAGTCGATTGTTCATCGGCACTGTCATTCTCGTTCAGCCATACTGGGTGGTCGAGATCTATGCCAACTTCACTTATTTCCACAATATCAACAATGTCTTTCTGAAGACCAGACCCTGGGAAGCTCTATGCCGCGACCCCTGGTGGGTACTCGCCGCCTGCATCTTGTTCTACAACATCAAGACGAGATATGACCTCTCTATCACTCAGATTGTCCGCATTTCTCCTCGATTTGCCGTGATGCTCGGCGCGATGATTGTCAGCATCTGCTTCATCGTTCTTGACGTCCTGTCCGTGACATCGGCCCTCAAGTCGGCATTGCCCGTCGGCATCAACCCGTTCTGGAAACTGTCTTTCGTATTCAAGTGCTTGACGGATGCAGTGGTGTTGGACGATTTCAAGACAGCCTTGGACCGACTGAGGGCTTTCAAGTTATCCAGGCTCGGCAGCTTTGCTATGGACGGCACGGACACTCGAGCTAAGCAGCATATGGAGGACGTGTCGCGCTCCAACAACTGGCAGACCCCTTCACCCACAGCTGGAAAGGCTCAACCAGTTGGACCCCTACCCTCACTACCCAGAAGTCCAGATGGAGATTACATCAACCCGCAGTGGGAAGACCTCAAACCCCCTCACACGGACCATATCGAAGATGAACGATATGCCACTGTGGCAAGGAATGCATCGCGTGACCGGGACGCAGAGGAAAATCAGTTCGACGTGATCGATTATGCTGACCCTCTTGACCCTCAACGGGAAGCCAGTGACGCTCATATCCTCAAACATCACAGCACTTGGCCTGGAAGAAGGCCATCCGACGAGACTTCCGACGTTGATATCGAGTATGCTTTGGCAGTAAGGCAGGTTACTCAAGAGTCGATGGAGCACGACCGGAAAAAGAACAGGAAATAGGTATCGGCCAGTGACACTTCAGGTCTGGGTACCGGGAAGTCATTACCAATGCTCATGAAGGGCGACTGAGCTGGATCCACGTGTATTTTGTCGAAGGATCACGAATAACTTGAGCAAGGGCGTACGCCCGGTCGAGCATGGAGTCTTGCGGGATGTCGACAAGAAGAAGGGGTCTGCTGGATAGAGAACCAGCGTTGACGATTAATGTGATACCCAGGACGGAAACTTGAACATAAGAATTTCAAAAACGTTGAAAATGTTGCATACTCTCGGCTGTCCTCTGGCAGAGCTTTAGCTGAACAGATGTTCTCCGGTAGTTCGTCCATCCACAGGACCCTTTCTGGGGGTTCGGAAGATTAATCTAATCTGGCTGCCATGCTTGAAACCATGCCTAGCTGATGCCTAGTGGCTCAGATCTGCGGGCACAGATTCGCCAGTTTCAATTTATGCTCGTCACCGCTACGGACCGTTCAAGACGTGCACCGACTCTAATAGGCTTAATGTTAACGTTAAGTCACTAGCTTGGCAGCCGCAGGAGAACGCGTTCTTTCGCGATTGCCCCGAAGATTCTCCAAAGGCTTCAGTCAATAATCCACAGTGTTTGTTAACCATCGACACCCTGACTATTTCCCCCACCTCTACCTCTTTATCCATCAGCATTGCGCCGGCGTTGGGGAACATCAGGTCCTCGCAAATGTCGACAAGAGCGAGGCTTCCCTTCTTGATCTGTGCAGTCAGAAGCCATGGCGGACGTCTTATCGACTAACGCCCCCAATGGCGATTCGACCCATTCCTCCACAGAACCGGTCGACCCTTTATCCGTTCTAGAACATATCGCCAACCTGATAGAAACCACCCTCGGCGCAGCCAGAAGAGAACTCGAGGCCGTCGGAAGCCTGCTGTCCAAAGCAAGCCATGCCGACTCCCTCAGCAAATGTGCCAGATTCGCAGATGATTCGCAAGTCTCCCTCTTCGCTCGGAAAGATCGAAGAGAAGAGCTGATCAACGGACATGATGATACACCTAGTCAGTGTACTAACCACCCCCCTGCGGTAGGCTGCTGACAAAGTCCCAGAAATCGAACATGTCTATACGCTGTCCTCCGAGTTATCCCCTGAGCCTACCACGATCGCTTCCATTGTCTTCCTGAAACTGGCCGGACCTCTCGATGGACGAAAGCCTATCGCCAGCCAGATACAAGTCTTCAATCTGCCGGGATCATACAGCGCTGATGAGGAGGGGAACACCAATGCCGATCTCGCCTCCCCGTACAATGTGGTTTACTCACTTGTGCACCATGTCCTCAGCCCTTACTTTGACGCTTACACGAGATCGGGAGGGTCGTCAAGTCGCAATTACTATGATGCTCAGGCCAAGGGAGGAGTTCATGGCGCAAAGAGACGGATAAAAGAGTTGGAAGTCAGTCTCCTGAATTTGAAGCAGAATACCGATGTACCTTTGGTTCATCTGCCCTTGCACGATGTTGTCGTCCAGGCCCTACAAGATGCCGCTGCGCAGAGAGTTCAGCCGTCCGTTCAATTGGTCCCCGGCCATGTTCTCGAAAATGCGACTGTTCAGAACAGCCTGACGAATTGCGTCAACGGATGGATCAGATCAATACAGGGCCTCACCAAGCTTTCCAAGGAATCAACAGATACTGCAGAGGCACGAACATCTGCTGCACAGGAAATTAACTTCTGGTTGAACCTCGAAGGGGCGCTGAGCAAGGTGGCGGAAGAACTAGAATCACCCGGTGTCAAACTGACTATGGAGATCTTGAAAAAGGTCAAACGACAACAACAAGTCTTCGGATTCGAGACAGATACCGGGTTGAAAGAAGCTCGCGATACGGTCCACAATTACAATACGCTCATGCGCGACTTTCCTTTGGACGAGCTCTCTTCCGCAACTTCATTGAGCAAAGTGGCAGAAGCGTTGCAACATATCTTTGCGCATTTGAACAAGAAATGGAGAGTCTGCAACTATCCCATACGACGGGCTTTGAAGCTGGTCGAAGGTCTCTCTACCGAAATGAACACTCAAGTGCACAATCTGCTGCTGGAACGATCCTTAATGTCTTCAACATACGATGACTTCAAGAGTCGGATGGAATCAGTCAATAAAGTATGGGAGACCTGGGACGAAGAGCTCAAAACCTTCACTGCAGTAGCGCGCGAGATAACTAGGCGGAAGGGCACCGACTTTGTGCCGGTTAGAATCGTGCCTCAGCATGCTGCTACTCAAGAGCGTCTTCGGTATGTAAATCGATTCCGAAACGACCACGAACAGCTCCTGCAGACAATCGTCAACGTCCTTGGCAATGCCCGTGGTAGAGGATCCGCTGGAGCAACAGAAGAAAGCGGCCCAGTCGTCATCGAAGAGCTTGGAGACGTGGACGCTGTTGAAGAAGTTACTGCCGCATACGAAGTCGTCCGACATGTGAACGTTCTGGACCTCTCTGAAGATGGGACCAGGGTCTGGAACCAGGCGGAACAGCAATACAGCGAGAGAACGTCCCGGGTCGAAGATTCTATCATCGCAACCTTGAGAGATCGATTAGGGAAAGCAAAGACGGCCAATGAGATGTTTCGTGTCTTTGAGAAGTTCAATGCATTGCTTGTCAGACAGAAAGTCCAGAGCGCGACCAAAGCATATCAGGCGCAGCTTTTGGACAATGTCAAGACAGCAATCGCCTCATTACACGAACGCTTCAAGCAGCAGTATGGCGGCTCCGAGGCGCAAATGATGGCTCAATTGCGCGATATTCCCCCGGTGGCTGGCGCCATTCTCTGGGTTCGACAAATAGAGTCGCAGCTTGATAGCTACATGTCAAAAGTGCAGGCCGTCCTGGGCGAGGATTGGAAGTCACACACGGAGGGAGAGAAGCTACTCAGCGAAAGTGACATGTTTCGAAGAAAACTGACGACACGCGACATTTATGAAGTGTGGCTGCACGATGTTCAATCAAGAGACATCTCGGTAACGGGCAGACTGTTTGTCATTACCCGCAGTCGAAGTGCGAACGGCGCACTAGAGCTCGGAGTCAATTTCGACAATCATGCCATTTCCCTGTTCAAGGAGGTCAGAAATCTCACCTGGCTGAGTTATCAAATACCTCATCGCATAGCTACGACAGCCAAGCAGGCTCAACGAGTGTATCCATACGCACTGAGCTTGATGGAAAGTGTCGCCGGATATTCTGCTGCTGTTCGGACGATTCAGGCGATGCGCAACATGGTATCGTTGATGGCTGGTTACGAGAAGGAGGTGCAGACTCTCTTCACAACGGGTGTGAGGCTGCGGTGGGATTCGTTCATCCACTCATATGAGTTGCACATCAAGGGAAAATCTACGTCCAACGACTCTGCACATGTTCAGTACGTGCGTGATTTGGCTGTCACAGTCGCCACTTTGCAGAGCAAGACAGCCACCATTCGAGAACTTGACCAGAAAATCCAGCAGGCACTGTCTGAGTTAAGTACATGTCGATATTCTGCGAAGACATTCCAGGCTCAGATGGACATCATTCAAAACGCGGTGGACAAGATGAACCTGGAAAATTATGCCAATCTCTCGCAGTGGGTTTCCGAACTCAACACTCAGCTCAGCCTAATATTCCAAGATCGATTGCGGCAGGCTCTGAGACATTGGACTACGTCTTTCAGCTCCGCTGACGAACCCGATGGCAACCTTCAAGGTAACCCTTCTTCGGAGGATGCCATCTACCAGGTGCAGTTTCCCGCAACGCAGATCGAGATCATGATGAACAATCAGACCATCTTTGTCGACCCACCCATAAACTTCGTCAAAGCCACTTGGGTGCACCAGCTCGAAGACTGGCTGGACGTCCCCTGCCATCTAACCCAGATCGCCATGCGATATCAGATAGCGACGGATGCTGGTCGTGCGCAGTCAATGCCCACATTCGCCGACTTGCCGCTGCAAACAGCGGAGACCTTGATGGTGGCCTACACGTCAATTGATGACAAGGTACACGAAATGACCGCTTACCTGGACGAGTGGTACACATATCAGAACTTGTGGGACCTCCAAGCAGACCACTTGCATGAGAGGCTCGGGGAGGATCTCGGTCAATGGCACCAGCTGTTGCAAGAAGTCCGTCACGCCCGATCGACATTCGACACCTCCGAGGGACGTAAGACGCTTGGCAGTGTTACCTTTGACTATGAACAGGTGCAGTCAAAGATTGCCCAAAAGTACGACCAGTGGCAGTATGATATCACCAGCAAGTTTGGAGGCATTCTTGGCAACCGTATGGCAGAAGTGTACACCAACATGAACCGCGCCCGGCTTGAGCTCGAAAACCAATCTCTGGAAACATCTTCCACAGCACAGGCCGTTGCTTTCATCACGACCGTACAGCAGTGCCGCCGCGATGCAGCTATATGGGGACCTGAAGTGGAGATCTTTCTACAGGGTCAGACGGCCCTGTCAAGACAGCGGTACAATTTTGGCAGCAATTGGCTTCATGCAGACACGGTCAGAGACGAATGGAACTCTTTCGAAGGGCTCCTCAACCGAAAGGGCAAAATCGTCGAAGAGCAAACTGATGCTCTGCGAGCTAACATTGACGTTCAAGATCGCCTCATCAGTGATCGTGTCGCCGATGTCGTCACTCGATGGTCAGAAGAAAAGCCCGTTTCAGGAACAATTCCACCTACTGAGGCTGCCGAGTTGCTGCGCGTGTTCCAAGACCGGATGGAAAAGCTTCAACACGAGGCCGAAACCGTCGCCAAAGCGAAGGAAGCTCTTGCCATGTCACTGAACAAGGACAATGCCCTGTCATCCGCTTTGGAAGAAGTGAGCGACTTCAAATCGGTGTGGTCTGCACTGTCAACCATATGGGACAGCATCAATGAACTTCGCGACACGTTGTGGACAACCTTACAACCTCGGAAGCTCCGCCAATCACTGGATGGCCTTGTGAAAATGACGAAAGAGATGCCCAGTCGCATGCGACAATATGCTGCATTTGAGCATGTGCAAAATGTTCTGCGGCAGTTGATCAAGGCAAATTCTCTACTGGCGGATCTGAAATCAGACGCCATTAGGGAACGGCATTGGCTCAAAATATACAAGGCTCTCAAGCCCAACAAACGTTATTCTGAAGTGTCGATGACACTGGGAGACGTGTGGGATCTTCAACCGGTAGCCAGCGAATCCACTATCAGAGACATCATTGTGCAAGCCCGAGGAGAATTGGCTCTTGAGGAGTTTGTCAAGCAGGTACGCGATACGTGGCAGAGTTACCCTCTTGACCTGGTCAACTATCAAAGTAAATGTCGCCTTATTCGTGGCTGGGACGATCTCTTCTCGAAATGCAGCGAAAACCTCAACTCTCTGCAAGCTATGAGACATTCACCATACTACAAAGAGTTCGAAGAAGAGGCTTCGGCATGGGAGGACAAGCTGAACCGAGTCCATGTGTTGTTCGATGTCTGGATCGATGTTCAAAGACAATGGGTGTACCTGGAGGGCGTGTTTACCGGTAACAACGATATCAAGCACCTCCTACCCACAGAGTCCAGCAGATTCTCAAACATCAATACCGAGTTCTCCGCAGTGATGAAGAAGGTTTACAAGTCCCCCTTTGTGATGGACGTGCTCGCTATTCCTGGCGTCCAGAAATCTCTAGAACGCCTTGCGGAGCTGCTTAGCAAAATTCAGAAGGCTCTGGGCGAGTATCTCGAACGAGAGCGTGTCTCTTTCCCTCGATTCTACTTCGTTGGTGACGAGGATCTGCTGGAGATCATCGGCAATACCAACGACAGCATACGTGTGGCCAAGCACTTCAAGAAGATGTTTGCCGGCATATCTGGAGCCGAAGTGAGCGATGACAGCACAATCACGGCTGTTACTTCGAAAGAAGGCGAGGTTGTCAAGCTCAAGAAGGAAGTCTCTCTGGTCAAACTGCCCAAGATCAACGAGTGGTTGACCGCGCTCGATACCAATGTCAAACAGACTCTGGCCGAGCTACTCGCGGAAGCCATTGGTGCTTTCAGACCACTCTTCTCCGCCGACGAGCTAGAAGCGACGTTGTTTCAAGAGTACATGGAAATGTTTCCTGCTCAAATCATGATTCTGGCTGCTCAAGTGGTCTGGACCGACCTAGTGCGAGAATCGCTTGAGGCTGCCGGACAGGGACTGTCGAAGCTGCACGAATATGAGGTGAGGCTGCTTAATCTGTTGGCTGAAAGTGTTTTGCAAGATTTGCCGGTTTTGACACGCAAGAAATGCGAACATCTCATCACCGAAGCTGTTCATCAGCGAGATGTCATTGCAAAATTAATCAAAGCGGAAGCTGACTCCCCCGGACATTATCTGTGGATCTTGCAAATGCGTTATGCCTACGATCCAGAGGCTGAGCTGATGACCCGGCTACGCATCGAAATGGCAAATGCTGTCCTAGATTACGGCTACGAATACCTTGGTGTGCCTGATCGTCTCGTGCGGACACCGCTTACGGATCGCTGCTTTTTGACGCTGACACAAGCACTCTGTCAGAGACTTGGTGGTTCTCCGTATGGTCCTGCTGGAACTGGAAAGACGGAATCCGTCAAGGCTCTGGGACTTCAGCTGGGTCGCTTTACCTTGGTCTTCTGCTGTGATGACACTTTTGACTTTCAAGCCATGGGTCGCATCTTTCTCGGATTGTGCCAGGTCGGAGCCTGGGGATGCTTTGATGAATTCAACCGACTGGAGGAACGAATCCTTTCCGCTGTGTCCCAGCAGATCCAAAACATTCAAATTGGTCTCAAAAACAGCAGCACCAATGAACAGAAAGCCGTGATCGATCTTGTTGGAAGACGTCTCAAAGTCAATCCCAATTCTGGACTATTCATCACGATGAATCCTGGATACGCTGGTCGCTCCAATCTACCAGACAATCTGAAGAAGCTATTCAGGAGCGTAGCCATGTCCAAACCCGACAAGGAACTGATTGCCGAGGTTATGCTTTTCTCTCAAGGCTTCAAACAGGCAAAGGATATCTCTTCTCATATCGTGCCTTTCTTTGACCACTGTGCCCAGCGCCTTTCGAAACAACCCCACTACGACTTCGGCCTCCGAGCCCTGAAAAGTGTCCTCGTCAGCTCAGGAGGTCTCAAACGTGTCCGAATCCAAGCTGGGGAGGACACACTTGATGATGAGAGTGTCCTTGAACCGCAGATTATTGTACAGAGTATCCGAGAGACGGTGTCACCAAAGCTCATCAAGCAAGATGTGGAGACCCTTGTCGAGATCCAGGCGCAAGACTTCCCAGGAGTTGAATATGTTCCAGCCAACATGACGAAGCTCATTGAAGCGATCAAGGAAGTGATGCAAGAGGAACATCTGACCGTGAGCGATGCATGGATGGTCAAAATCATGCAATTATACCAGATCCAAAACATCCATCATGGTGTAATGATGGTAGGTCAATCCGCATCTGGCAAATCTGCGATCTGGAAGGTCCTGCTTCGAGCTCTTCAGAAGGTCGAGGGCGTCGAGGGTGTCCATCATGTGATCGATCCGAAAGTGATGTCCAAAGAGGCACTTTACGGTAGCCTTGACAACACCACCAGAGAGTGGACAGACGGATTGTTCACCGCCATACTGAGGAAAGTGGTCGATAATCTGCGTGGTGAAGACAACAAACGACATTGGATTGTGTTTGATGGCGACGTTGATCCCGAATGGGTCGAAAATCTGAACAGTGTGCTGGATGATAACAAGCTCCTCACTCTCCCCAATGGCGAACGGCTGAATCTACCACCAAATGTGCGCGTCATGTTCGAAGTCGAGAGTCTGAAATATGCAACACTTGCCACTGTCAGTCGTTGCGGTATGGTCTGGTTCTCGGACGATACTGTTACCCCGTCTCTCATCATCGACCATTACCTGCAGAAATTGTCGGAACGCAGTTTCGATGATTTGGACGATGAAGTCAAAGCTTCAGGCCTCAGCAGCAAAGCCCAGGAAACTCAGCGGCACGTCGTCGAAACGTTGAGAGGGCTGATAAACCGTGATGACTTTCTATCAAAGGCATTGTCAACGGCAACAAATTACAGGCACATTATGGAATTCACCGGGGCCAGAGCACTTGATAGCCTTTTCAGCTTACTGGCAAAGAGCTATCGACTGGTCCTGGAGTACAACATCTACCACCCTGACTTCCCTCTGGATCTGGAACAGACCGAGGCTTATATTTCGAAGAAGCTTCTGTTGGCATGTGTCTGGAGTTTCGTGGGTGATGCGAGCCTGCATATCCGAAAGGAGTTCGGTGACTTTCTTGGTGCAATGACAAATGTTGACGTACCAAGCCTCGACAGTACTACGTCCCTCATCGACTTTGATGTTTCGCTGCCACAGGCACAATGGGTATCCTGGCGGTCTCAAGTTCCTACGGTAGACTTGAACACCCACTCGATCACTCAAACAGACGTCATTATTCCCACCATTGACACTGTCCGTCATGAGGACGTTCTGTATTCTTGGTTGTCGGAGCACAAGCCGCTTATGCTGTGTGGTCCACCAGGATCCGGCAAGACCATGACGCTGTTCAGTGCGCTTCGCAAATTGCCAGATCTGGAGGTTGTAGGCCTGAACTTCTCGAGCGCCACCCAACCTGAATTGATCGTCAAGACGTTCGAACAATACTGTGAGTACAAAAAGACTCTCAATGGCATGGTACTATCTCCAACCCAGCTTGGTCGGTGGTTGGTCATCTTCTGCGACGAGATCAATCTTCCAGCCCCGGACAAATACGGAACCCAGCGCGCGATCAGCTTCTTGCGCCAGCTTGTAGAGCAAAACGGCTTCTGGCGCACATCAGACAAGGCCTGGGTATCGTTAGAGCGCATCCAATTTGTCGGTGCCTGTAATCCTCCAGAAGATGCAGGACGTCATCCGATGGGTGATCGCTTCTTGAGACATGCGCCTGTTGTCATGGTTGACTATCCTGGCGAGCTTTCTTTGACTCAAATCTATGGCACTTTCAACAATGCGGTCCTGAAAGTTGTGCCCGCATTACGAGGCTTCGCCGACTCACTGACTCGAGCAATGGTCGAATTTTATCTCAAGTCTCAGGCACGTTTCACCCCTGACATTCAACCACATTATGTGTACTCGCCCAGAGAGCTTACGCGCTGGGCCCGTGGCATCTACGAGGCAATTGCACCTCTCGAACACCTTTCCCTCGAAGGCCTTATCCGGATCTGGGCGCACGAGGCGTTGCGCCTTTTCTCGGATCGTCTTGTGGAACCCGATGAGCGAGCATGGACTTCCGACATGGTTAGACAGACCGCGCTGGAGCACTTCCCTTCTGCAGACATTGATCAAGCACTCCAAGGGCCAATATTGTTCTCGAATTGGCTTTCAAAGAACTACGTGTCGGTTGAACAGGAGCAGTTGCGTGAATTTGTCAAGGCACGCCTCAAGACGTTCTGCGAGGAGGAGGTCGATGTGCCACTGGTCCTATTCAACGACGTTCTCGAGCATGCACTTCGGATTGACAGGGTCTTCAGACAGCCACAAGGCCATCTCATCTTGATCGGCACCAGCGGTAGTGGAAAGACCACTTTGGCGAGGTTTGTCGCTTGGATGAATGGGTTGAACATCTTCCAAATCAAGGTCCACGGCAAATACTCCGCTGAGGATTTCGATGACGACCTTAGAGGTGTTCTGCGGGCCTGCGGATGCCGCGGGCAAAAGATCTGCTTTATTATGGACGAGTCAAATGTGCTTGACTCGGGCTTTCTGGAAAGAATGAATACGCTGCTCGCCAATGGTGAAGTGCCAGGTCTGTTCGAAGGTGATGAGTACTCGGCTTTGATGACTGCTTGTAAGGAAGGAGCTCAGCGAGAGGGGCAAGTACTCGACTCCCAGGAAGAGCTCTACAAGTGGTTTACCAAGAACATCGTGCGGAACTTACACGTTGTTTTCACCATGAATCCGCCACAAGAAGGACTATCGTCGAAGGCAGCTACAAGTCCGGCCTTGTTCAATCGTTGCGTGCTGAATTGGATGGGTGACTGGTCAGATCAAGCTCTCTTCCAGGTTGGCTATGAACTCACTCAGTCGCTGGATCTGGACAAGGCCAATTTCACCGCACCGGATAGTATTCCAGTGGCATATCGTGGTCTCTCTCTTCCGGCCTCTCATCGCGACACGATTGTCAACGCAATGGTGCATATACACTATTCGATGCGCAAGACCAATGATCGTCTTGAGCAACAACAGGGCATTGTCACATTTCTTACACCGCGACACTATTTGGATTTCGTTTCACAATTCGGCAAGCTGTTTAGGGAGAAGAGAGAAGATCTTGAGGAACAACAGCGCCATCTCAACGTCGGTCTCGAGAAGCTCCGAGATACTGTCGACAAAGTCCGTGACCTCAGAGCAAGTCTTGACCAGAAGAAACAGCAACTGGAGCTCAAAGATGCTGAGGCGAATGAAAAGCTTCAACGTATGGTGGCCGACCAGCGGGAAGCAGAGTCCAGAAAGACTGCGTCTATCGAGATACAAACAGCGCTCGAAAAACAAGAAAAGGAGATTGGCAGTCGCAGAGAGATCGTGCTGAGTGATTTGGCAAAAGCCGAGCCGGCTGTTATCGAAGCTCAGAGAAGCGTCAGTAACATCAAGAGACAACATCTCACCGAAGTCCGGTCCATGGCCAATCCTCCTTCGGGAGTAAAACTTGCTCTGGAGTCGGTATGTACTCTGCTAGGACACAAAGTCGACAGTTGGAAGAGTATTCAAGCTGTGGTTCGCAAAGATGACTTCATTGCAAATATTGTCAACTACGACAACGAGCAACATATGACACCCAATCTGCGAGTAAAGATGCGGCACGACTATCTATCAAACGACGATTTTACCTTTGAGAAAGTGAACCGTGCAAGCAAAGCATGCGGCCCCCTGGTGCAATGGGTCGAGGCTCAAGTCAACTATTCCGAAATCCTTGACCGTGTCGGACCCTTGCGCGCCGAGGTTGAGCAACTCGAAGAGAAAGCTCTTGACACCAAGGCAGAAGCACAAGCGATTCAGGATATGATCACTAAACTTGAAGAGAGCATTGCGATGTACAAAACCGAATATGCTGCTCTCATCAGTGAGACACAGGCGATCAAGAGCGAAATGTCACGGGTCCAGACGAAGGTGGATCGAAGTCTTCGACTGTTGGACAGTCTCTCGTCCGAACGTGTTCGATGGGACGCTGCGAGCAAATCCTTCGAAATACAGATTCAGACATTGGTGGGAGACGTGCTGATTGCATCCGCGTTCCTGGCATATGCAGGTCTTTACGACCAGCAGTTCAGGAAGACCATGACAGATGACTGGCTGCACCACATGTCACAGTCCGGCATCTCTTGCAAGAGTGATGGCTCAGTCTTGGGCTATCTTTCATCTGCGGATGAGCGGCTACAGTGGCAACGTCATTTACTTCCTGCGGACGACCTGTGCATGGAGAATGCAATCATGCTCAAGCGCTTCAACCGATACCCTCTGATCATTGACCCACCAGGCAGGGTGACCGAGTTCCTGAAGCAGGAACACCAAGGACGCATATTGACTGTCACCAGCTTTTTGGACGATGCTTTCACGAAGCAACTGGAGAGTGCTCTCCGATTTGGCAATCCAATCTTGATCCAAGATGCAGAATATCTTGACCCAATCCTGACGCATGTCCTCAACAAAGAGTATCAAAAAACTGGCGGACGAGTGCTCATTCAGCTGGGCAAACAGGAGATTGATTTCTCAGAACATTTCCAACTTTACCTGTCTACAAGGGATCCATCGGCGGCTTTTGCACCTGACGTGTGCAGTAGAACAACCTTTGTCAATTTCACAGTTACACGCAGCAGTCTCCAGACTCAGTCACTCAATGAGATCCTAAAGGCCGAGCGTCCTGATGTGGACAAGCGGCGGACCAATTTAGTCAAGATGCAAGGCGAGTTTGACACGAACCTCCGTCAGCTGGAGAAGAGACTATTGCAAGCATTGAACGAGTCTCGTGGTAACATATTGGATGATGACAATGTCATCCACACCTTGGAGACTCTCAAGAAAGAAGCGGCGGTTATCACGAAGAAGGTTTCTGAGACAGAAGGTGTCCTCGCAGAAGTCCAACGCATTACTCAAGAGTACAGCCGCATTGCTGATGCCTGCAGTGCCATCTTTGCCCTGCTCGAACAGCTGCATTACCTCAACCATGGCTACCGTTTCTCACTTCAGTACTTCCTTGACATCTTCAACTCCGTCATGCACGACAATCCGCACTTGGCAAACAAAACCGACCATGATGAGCGAAGAGAAATCATCCTGAAGGATATATTTGTGGAGACATACCGCCGAACATCCTTGTCTCTGCTACAGAAGGACCGCATTACTCTTGCAATGCTTCTCATACGAGCAAGTCCATATCAGTACGACCGATCAGCCATGGAGCTAATCTTCGAGAATCGGCCACAGTCCCGTGGCGTTATTTCAGTGGATGCGAATCAGGATGATGTACTGTCCTCTGTGAAACACATCCCCATCTTCAAGAGCGACTTGACTGATTCATCCAGCGATGCCTGGAAGCAGTTCCTCTCTGCTGAGCGCGCCGAACTTTGTGTGCCGCAGGTTTGGGACGATACTGGCAGTGCCGTTGATGGGGCTCTTTACAAGCTCTTACTAGTCAAGCTGGCCAGACCTGACAGATTCTTGCCTGCCGCAGAGAATCTCGTGGTGACTGTGTTCGGGGTAGAAATCTTCCAAGGGACCGACGACTTGGGTATGCTTGTCAACCAAGTGACCGCATCGGTCCCCATCGCGCTTTGCTCCAATCCTGGCTTCGATGCAAGCTACAAAGTTGACGCACTTGTGGAGAAGCAGCACGTAACATGTGCCAATGTCGCCATGGGTTCAGAAGAGAGTGTTGCTAGCGCCGACAAGGCAATCACGAGCGCTGCTGCAAGTGGTACGTGGGTACTGATCAAGAACGTCCATCTCGCTCCACAATGGCTGCAGAGCCTCGAGAAACGTCTCTCCTCTCTGAAGCCTCATTCAGACTTCAGATTGTTCTTGTCAATGGAGTCAAGCCCCAAAATACCTGTCAATTTGCTCCGAGCATCAAGGACACTTGTCTACGAACAACCGGCTGGACTGAGGGCGAATATGAAGGAGACTTTGACAGTGCTTTCGGACAGGGGCGCCAGGACGCCGGTCGAGAAAGGCAGGCTGTACATGCTACTATGCTTCCTACATGCCGTGCTTCAAGAACGATTGAGATATGCGCCGACACTCGGGTGGAAACGTCTCTGGGAATTCAATGACAGTGACTACGAATGTTGCTCCTTCATTATCGACTCCTGGGTCGACGCGATTGCTCAGGGGAGGTCGAATGTTGCTCCAGTGAAGTTGCCATGGGACTTGATCCGGACGCTGGTCACCGAGATGTATGGAGGCAAGATTGATGACGAAGGGGACTTCTCGCTGCTGCATAACATTGTGGCCAAGGTTTTCGATCCAGCGGCGTATGAGACGGATCATGAACTGGTGGAAGGCGAAGCACTCAAAGTTCCTTCGGGAACGACCATTCGAGACTTTTTGGGCTGGGTGGATCAGCTCCCGGAACGAGAACCACCTGCATACTTGGGATTGCCTGCGAACGCGGAAAAGTTGTTGTTGACTGGTCAAGGCAAGGAAACTATCAATAACCTTGCCCGGATCACGGACCTATTGGAAGAAGGAGAGCAGTCGGTTATAGCGTCGGATTGAGATGGTTCATGTGATCATACAGGCGTTCAGGAGACTTGAAGCCGACATGGGTGGTTGGACTGTTGGACCCTACATGCTACAGACAGAGCATAGCTGTCGATGTGGCTTTTACTGCTTTGGCAAAGTGTTTGATTGATATGCTGCGAGGTTCGGAAGCCTATGGCGCATGGCGTTTCGGATGGGTGGAAAGACTGGCTCAAATAAACCCAGTGTTTAGGTTGGGTATATATTTCTATTGAACCTTACGGCCTATTTGTGTTAGATTCAATAGTATGAGTACATTCTCTCTGTGTGCGTCTCCAGCATTGTTCACATGCTGAGTACTCCGTACAGTGTCTCGATTGACGTTGGACCGTCTTTGATTCAGGGGCTTCCACGTGATGTGATTATAGTGCATCGATATCGCGGCCGGCAAAGTTTCCCTTTACATGACAAGGAAATACTCCAACGCGACAATTGCTTGCGCCAGGGTGTCTTGTCCATGCCGTGTCTGGGGTGAACTGGTCACAAGAAAGCCAGACATACAATCGCAACGACACTCAATGGCCAGGACTGAACTCGTCCCATGTAAGAACGATAACTGAAGGCTCCACTGTTCGCATCACCGAAAATGAACGCACTCATAAGTTAGCTCGGTCTGGACACGCATCCCTCCTCCCCTCCGCATTTACAACTTGCCTGCGATGGCCACCTCGGCGGCAATGGACGACGCAGCGCAGACTGCTGGTCTGCCACGACCACAAGTGTCTATACCACAGATCGACAGCTCACCGATGCCACTATTTACTCCTGCACAGCTCGAACCGGCGTTCGAGTCCACACCTGCAATCGCCATTGATCCCATTGCCCTCATTACCACAGAATGTATTACAATCACCTCTGCCATGCGCAAACACGCGCGATGGTCCCAGTCTTCGGTGTCGACGATATTGGGTGGGGGAGCTGCCAGACTGCAAGAGTCGGAAATGCGACGATCGTCTTCACAAAATCGACGAGGAAGCAGGACACCTGTGATTTCGGATCCGGCGAAGGCGAGATCAAGTATACCCAACGGTTCGGACGATGAGAATGCTAGCTTGGCCGATCGATGGGGTCTACGGGGAAAGAAGGGAAAGAGCATGGCCGACAATCCTCTTCTGGCGGCATTCTCGCGCCTGAGGAGAGATCTCGCAGGTTGCAGGGATGTTCGTACGGTCGACGCTCCTGAGTTGCTGCATCCCTTCTTGCAGGTCATTCGGAGCTCGTCGACCAGCGCTGCGATTACTAGTCTGGCTGTCATCTCGATCACAAAGTTCTTTGCGTACAATATCATCACGATCAAGAGCCCGAGGATCGGGCCAGCGATGCATCTCCTCAGCGCCGCGATCACTCATTGCCGTTTCGAGGCTAGTGACACGGCGGCAGATGAGGTGGTTCTGCTAAGAATACTGCGGCTCATGGAAAACATCATCTCTCGACCTGAAGGACAATTGTTGGGCGATGAAAGTATCTGTGAGATGATGAGCACTGGCTTGAGCATGTGCTGTCAGGCCCGGCTTTCGGAGGTCCTGAGACGGTCGGCAGAGATTGCAATGGTTACCATGTGTCAGGTCGTGTTCAGCAGATTGAGGTACTTGAAGGTGGAAGAAATAAACAAGACCAGAAGTCGATCGAATACGAGGACGACTTTGGTTAGCGCCACTGATGACCTCAAGATTGAGCCGCCGATGACCGGGAGTGTAATGGGAAACGGTGTCTCGGAACGCACAAGTGTTGATGTTGAACAAACACCGACCTCTGCCCAGGGTGTTGCAGAGGTGGTGGCAAAATCTTTGGGTGCAGAACCCAAGAACACTGCAGCGCCGGCGAGTCGGAGCGAGGACGAAAATGTCACCCCTTATGCGCTCCCATCTATCAAGGAGCTCTTTCGCGTGCTGATTGACCTCCTCGACCCGCATGACAGGACGCATACCGATCCTATGAGGATCATGGCACTTCGGATTATCGATGTCGCGTTGGAGGTCTCCGGTCCTTGGGTTGCCAAGCAGCCTATTCTCGCCGGACTTGTTCAGGACGACTTGTGCCGACATTTGTTCCAGCTCGTTCGGTCTGACAACATGGTCCTGCTGAACAGCTCGTTGCGAGTCGCTGGGACGTTATTAGCGACATGCAGGCAATTACTGAAGCTTCAGCAGGAATTGTTTTTGTCCTACCTAGTGGCCTGTCTTCATCCGCGCGTCGATATACCTCAAGAGCCGGGCATTGATCCGTCGCTCTACGAGGGTGTACCACAAGCACCCAAGTTGGTCAAGCCGGCTCCATCTCAGCCTAGTAGTGGTCGATCGACTCCTGTACCGATCAAGGATAGGCGTCAATTGGGGCTTGAAGGCGGTTCCAGACGACCGGAAGCAAGAGAAGCCATGGTTGAGGCTATCGGCACTCTGGTCCGCATGCCCGGCTTTATGGTGGAACTGTTTGTCAACTACGATTGCGAGGTCGATAGACAAGACCTTTGTGAAGACATGGTGGGGCTACTGTCGAGGAATGCATTCCCTGATTCGGCCACATGGAGTACGACGAACGTGCCGCCGCTTTGTCTCGACTCATTGCTCAGTTTTGTACAATTCATGGCGGAGAGACTCGGTCAAGAAACCCCAGCTGGCACCGAAGAGCGAATAGAAAGGATGCGGCATCAGAGAGTGAGGAAGAGAATCATCAAGAGTGGTGCTTCTAAGTTCAACGATGATCCGAAAGCAGGGATTGCTTTTCTGGTGAAAAGTGGCATCATCGAAAACCCAGATGATCCTCTGCAGGTTGCTCAATTCCTCAAAGGGACGACGTACGTGTCGAAGAAAACTCTCGGCGAATTTTTGACGAAGAAGAACAATGATCGACTTTTGACGGCGTTCATCGGCCAGTTCAATTTCGAGGACAAGCGAATTGACGAAGCTCTGCGGGAAGTCCTTGGCTCGTTCCGTCTTCCTGGCGAGTCGGCACTCATCGAGCGAATCGTCAACAATTTCACGGAGAGATACTGCTCGCAGGTATCTCCTGAGGAGATCGCCGACAAGGATGCTGCATTTGTCCTGACCTATGCGATCATCATGCTCAACACGGAATTGTACAATCCTAATATCAAATCACAGAAGCGAATGGCCGTGGAGGACTTTGCCAGAAATTTGCGTGGCGTTAATACCGGCAAAGACTTTGCGCCAGAGTTCCTCCAGGAGATCTACGATGCAATCAAGCAGAATGAGATTATTCTGCCTGATGAACACGAGAACAAACATGCCTTCGATTATGCCTGGAAGGAACTACTAATGAAGACGAGCAATGCAGGATCCTTGGAAATATGTAACACTAATGCCTTTGATGCAGAGATGTTCAAAGCGACGTGGCGACCCATCATCGCAACGCTTTGCTATGTGTTCATGTCGGCTTCAGACGACGCAGTCTTTTCGCGGGTCGTGGTTGGATTCGACCAGTGCGCACAGATTGCGGCACAGTATGGCATAAACGAGGCATTCGATCGCATTGTCTATAGTATCAGCCAGATCAGCGGCCTGGCGACGGAGATTTCTCCCAGTACTGCGTTGAACACTGAGGTGCAGGTCGGAAAGAAGAGCATCATGGTCAGTGAACTTGCTGTCCGGTTGGGACGAGACTTCCGAGCTCAACTGTCGACCGTGCTACTGTTCCGCATTCTATCGGGACACGAAACCGCCGTTGGCGATACGTGGTTGTACGTCGTCCGAATCTTGAGGAACCTCTTCGTCAACTCGCTCATCACGCTGCCGACGATAGAAGGTACGAAGCTTGCCGGAACGGGTACGATCCCACTGCAACCACCGTCGCAAGTCATTGACCGTGATGGACGACTTAGTGAAAGTGGTCTCCTGTCAACTTTCACGTCGTACCTGTCGAGCTATGCTGCAGACGATCCGCCGGAACCGTCGGAGGAGGAATTGGAAAACACGCTCAGCGCGGTGGACTGCATCAAGGCGTGTCAGCCCGATCTCGTGCTCAAGCACATGGCTGCTCTTGGCCCTGCACAGATTAAAAGTCTTGTCGCCGCGCTGCTTTCGCAGGTGGATGAGTCTTCGCCTGTGGTTACTGTCAAGCCTGAGCGGCCTGTCCCAGTCACGGCGAGAATGAATGGCCATCGAATGCCTAAGGCAGGCGCCGAGTATGATCCTGGGAGTATCTTCTTGCTTGAGCTCGCGACCATGCTTACGCTGCGTGATGACGAGACGATTGCTGCTGCCGGTGAGACTTTAACGGCGACGCTGTTGAATGCGGTGAGGGATGCTTCGAATCTGCATCCTCTGGCTGCGTCGAGGGTGGTGCATTACCTCATGGAGGTGCTGAGGTACAGCTACGTAAGTGTTGGTTTCTGTGGACTGATGCTCGAGAGTGGTGCTGACATACCCGAACAGAATCACGATTTTATGCGCGCTCCAGTCGTGCTCCACGCCATTTCCAGCTTCGACGATACCGTGCTTGATCGCACCGCGTCCACCATCACGCAGGGTCTGGCAAGTTGCATCGCAGCTCCAGGACCATTGACAAACGAGATCACAACGTCTCCGGACTTTTGGTCTATATTGCAACGACTGCACCAACACAAACAGGAAGCAGAGACTGTCTTTGCTGTTCTTACGACGCTGGCTACATCCAACCCGAGTACTGTGACAGCAGACAACTTTGAGTCTGCTATAGACTTGGCCAATGACTTTGCTGCGGCCGGATCGATTGGCTCAATTCAGGACAAACGCAAAGACTTCGCCGCCAGGCGAGGTCAACAGGCGAAACCAGCACGAGATGAAGATATCGCCTCGGTACAGCGAGCTAACAAAGCCATTAGCTTAATTTACCAGCTCAGCGATCGAGTCCCAGGTCTGATTGCACAATCGCATCTTGAGCGAAACGAGGCGTGGGCTGCATACTGGTCGCCAATCTTCCGAGCTTTGTGCACGCAGTGTGTCAACCATTGTCGGGAAGTTCGACATCGTGCTCTCTCGGCTCTACAGCGGACGTTGCTGTCAGAGTACGTGGCCGACCAGGAACAACATACCGAGTGGATCGCCATCTTTGACGAGGTTCTATTTCCGATGACGTTGAGGCTGTTGAAGCCCGAGGTGTACCAAATCGACCCGCATGGGATGAACGAATCGCGCGCCCACGCTGCAAGTATACTTTGTAAGATATTTTTGAGGTATCTTGACCGGCTGGTCGAAGTGGGCAGAATGAAAGATGTGTGGATGAAGGTCTTGGAGCTACTCGACCGGTTGATGAATGCCGGCACAGAAGGTGATGCTCTGGCCGAAGCTGTGCTTGAGGGTGTCAAGAATGTCCTGCTCGTTATGGACGGGACAGGGTACCTGGGGAGAGATGAGGATTCAAATGGTGCTGCGTCAAACACACCTGTGGCTGCGCCCGTGGGAAGTGATGGTCAAGCTGAAGGCGAGGATGAGGATGAGGGCAATGGTCCACAAGAGAAGGTGCAGGAGATACAAATTTGGCCGGAGACAGTCAGACGCTTGGATAGGTTTCTTCCTGGCTTGGTGGAGGAGTTGTTCCCGCCGCCGCCTGCACTTGTTGCCGCTCCTGCGTCTGCGCCCGCGCCCGCTCCTGCAGAGGCCAAAATAGCAGAGAAGGAAGGCGCTGATGAAGAGCCAGAGACGATCCAGGCATAGGGAAGTACATTGGAGAGCAACAAGAAAGTGATCGTATCGTGATGATCATTCACTCTGGTGCGCCAATAAAAACAAAAGTGCGCTTGCCCATCGTTTGTCTTCTAAGATTTCTATCATCTCTTGCCATTTCATTACACACATCTGGCCGAATTAAACTCTCCCACAGCTCTTACCTTGCCCAAGCGTTCAACAACAGCCAAAAACCTCATACGACGTTCGTATCATCTCTCCGTTTCAATTTGATTTGAAGCGGTTCTTTCTGCCAGAAGATGAAAGTCTGCTGCTCACCCCAATCATCGATCGTTGGAGCAACGTCCCAGCTGAGGTCGAAAGCGTACAGTAACCTCGCCAATATTAGCCGCATCTCAGCCCAGGCGAATTTCTGCCCTATGCACATATGCCGTCCCACAGAAAAGGGTTGAAAGACGGCCAGGTTGTCATCGGGACTTTGCTTGTCCAGGAAACGCTCTGGGATGAAAGCTTCAGGATCGCTGAAGTTCGTGGCGGATCGGAATGCAGGATATTGATTCACGCCTACAAATGTCTAAACATCGGTCAGCAAAAGCTTCCGAAGCATCCACGTTGAGGCTTACCCCGCCAGGAACCCATCTGCCACAGATCTCTTCTCCTCCTTCAGACACCACGCGGGGCACCCCAATGGCGCTTGGTGGTCCTAGCCGCATAGCCTCATTTATGATGGCCGACAGATATTCGAGCTTCGACGAACTATTGACATCGATGTCTTCTTCGTGTTTGAAGGCTGTTCGAACCTCCACCGTGACACGCTCCCTTGCGGCTGGCGTCTGCAAAAGATAGAAAAGTGCTGAGGCCATGGCGGTGCTTGTTGTCTCCGAACCTGCGAAGACGATCACACTCATGTTGAGCTCAAGCTCCTCTGCCGTCACCTTGTCGGTCTTTTCCTGATTATACTTGAGCACAGCGTTGACAAAGTCGGCTCTTTCGTCCTGAAGCTGGAGCCGCTTCCGGACCATTTGCGCAGTCAACTCTCGGTGACAGATCATCTTCTCACGAACCTTCTTCGGCAGTGCCATCCGCAGCAGGCTCTCCAATGGCCCATAGTGGTTGATCGATGCCACCAGCGCAACGCCTTTACCGAAACGACACGCTATTTCCACCCATGGATGCGGTTCACCCTTCGAAGTGCTCTCGAAAGACTCGCCGAACGACAAGTCGGCGGATATATCGAAAGTCACAAAATTCAACCACGACACAACGTCGACTGTTGCACTTGCACCAACAGCCATTTGCTTGAAGCGCTGAACCATCATTTCGACGTACTTTTCGAGGAGTGGCGACTGGTCCTTGACAGCCTTCTCGCTGAATGACCCCATAAAGGCTCTGCGAAATCGAGCATGGGCGTCCTCATCGTATCCCATGATGCTCCATGGTTCAGCTGGTTTCTTACGGAACCACACTGGGTTTCGTTCGAGCACGGCGTGACCAAGTCGAGAAGTGTAAATGTCCTTCCATGCCTGAGCGTCGATATATGACAATTCGTTTGGAGCAATGCGGACCACAGGACCATATTGGTCATGCAGTCGAAGAAGATCTTGATGCAGATAGCCACGCTGAAGAGCGACAATCCAGGTTAGTCGTATTGCTTTCCATAGCATCGGCCCCGGGTAACGCCGTAGTGGGTGGAGAAAGATGTTGTACAGCACTCGAAGGGCGGCGTACTATCCTCTTCGTCAGTTCAGTAAACATCAGCATCGCGCATGTGCTCACCAAGACCCCGCCCCCGCACAGAAGTACAAACATTGTCCTAATGTCCGCCATAGCGTACATTTCGAAAGGTCTCCGATCTGAAGTAAACACTGTTCGGTGAGCGGAGTATCACCCGAGAGCGCATCTGATTCGATTGCTTTGTTGCTCGAACAATCTGGGATTCATGCGACAGATATGATTGAAGTCGACATGTCATTGAACAATAGGTGGGTGGCTAAAGCAGCCGCCTGAGGCGGAACTCACATCTGCAGGGCCTGTCTTGTACCACCCTACATGTTCAGCTCCGAAGTGCGAACCGCTGTTGCAGATTTGTTCTGACCTAGTGAGATTTAGCCAGCCACCTGCGGACACGTAAACGAGGCAGACAGGCAACAGATGGCAGGGATTGCGACCAAGAGACTTAGGCGTGTTTCCAATATGCAGTAGACATTCGACTCGTCCTTACGCACCTGTTTATTGTGTCCTTCTTTGTACATGCCCTTTTCTCTTTTCTTGCCACTCAGCGATGAAACTACTAAGAGACGGTTTGTTCAGAAGTCGACCCAAGAAAGATCGTGTTCAATCGCCTGCTTCCAACGATGCCACCAACGCAAGGTCAACATCTCCGGATACGGCTGCGGGAACGAAACTTTCCACGTCTCCCGCTGTCGAACCCGAAATCGTCACACCTCTTCCGACCAAAGAACGTACCATTGAGCCCTCTTTGCAAAAAATTCACGTACCCGACGCTGGACTGGCTCAGAAACTTTCGAGTGCAAGCAAGGCTGACGCACCCGGAAGTCGAGGAAGTCGCAATCTTTGGGCTGAGGCTCTGTCGAAGCTAAAGAACGACGAACCTGATATTCACCATGAGTTCCAGGCAATACTTGAAGCCGAAGCAGCCGGACTTTCGACAGCTCCTGACAAAGTCAATGAAGATTCCTTGCGGAGCTTGATTGATGAAAAGTTGGCAACCATCAAGCAGAAAGAATGGATACTCAGTTTCGGGTCGAAGTCTGTTCACGTCCGGACCGTTATCGAACGCTGTCTTGGCTTCATCACAGGTTCCAAAGATCTGTTGACACAGGCAGGCGCGCTGGATCCAGTGCATGCTGGACTGCCAGTAGCGGCTCTTTGCCTGATTGTCTCGGTAAGTCCGCCTCTCGTCTGTTAATAGACCGTTGAATTCTACTCCGCCATCCACACTTTCATGTATAGCCAGGGAGCTTACAGGACTGACTGAGGAGAAGCTCATAAATCGAGATAAAGAACAAAACAAGGACCTGGCGGAGGCCTTGGAGACTACAGCCAGCATTGTTCAACGATATGTCGCAACAGAGCAGGTCTACATCTCCCACATCGAGGATCCAAACGCGCAGTTTGTCGATTCAATAACCTCCCTGTACACCAAGATCCTGCTGTTGGAAGCCAAGCTGATCATACATCTGAGTGCAAACACCGGGTCGAGGGCTCTAAAGAATGTAATGGGTCGTACGGATTGGGGTGCTGATGTCAAAAGTGTGCTGCAAGCAGACGAGGCGTGCGAGAAGCTGCGTGGAATTGCCGTTTCCGCCATTGCCACACAACGTCACCACCAGCTGCAAGAACTATTAAAGAGCCTCAACAGCCAGAATCTTGATTTTTGGCGAGACTATCGCCACGAACAGCAACAATACTACCGCTCAGATCGAGCCAGGGCTTGCATGACACTGTTGAGGGCAATTACCTACGAGGATTACAAGGATAGGAATCCCGAGCCAAGTGACGGAACATGTCGATGGTTCAAGACCGATACAAGATTCCGAAATTGGCTCAAAGAGCCTGGCTACTCTTGTCTCTGGGTGACTGCAGATCCGGGATGTGGGAAGTCAGTCCTGTCAAAGCATCTCGTCGATTGCTATCTCGGGCAACAGTTTGGATCCGATACAACGATCTGTTACTATTTCTTCAAGAACGAAGGGACTGCATCATGCGGCACGAATGCCATCTGCTCGCTCTTACACCAGATCTTTTCCAATGAGCCGACAAAAGTGCTTATGCACCACATCGAATCAGACTATCAGAACAATGGCGATAAGCTTGCGGGCCTTTTCGATCGTTTATGGTCCGTCTTTCAAGCAGTTGTTAAGGACAATTGTGCTGGAAGGATCGTTTGTGTACTTGACGCTTTTGATGAATGTGCTCCGGACGATCAACGCAGGCTATGGAAGAAGTTCAAAAGCCTCGCTGAGAAAGACCGGTCTCTTGGATCCCTGAAACTGCTGATCACGAGTCGCCCACATATCGCAGACGCCATTGAGCCTGAGTTGCACGAATCCGTAAAGTTTTTACGCCTAACTGGAGAGGCTGGCGAGGTCTCGGGTGGAATATCTCGGGAAATCGAGAATGTCATTGACCAGCGTCTGGAAGATTTCCGGCTAAAAAGACAAGAAAGAGGCTTCAAAGACTCTGCCCATCTCCAGATTCGTAAGAGCATCTTGAGACAAGGGAAGAATCGGACGTACTTATGGGTTTCATTCATCTTCCAAGACCTTTTCGACCACGTGGGATCTCCCTTTCCCGATCTGCAGGCAATCTTCGAGCAACTGCCATCGACGGTGGAAGAGCAATACGAAAAGATCTTGAGCACAAGTAAAGATCGGAATCTTGCGTTGAAGCTGTTAAAACTTGTCATAGGCGCGCCGAAGCCCATGGATCCTCAACACCTCTACGTCAGACTACTCTCTACGGACACTGTCAGCAACATCGATCACCTAGAGCCGCCTGATACCAAACCTCTGCACGAATATCTACGTAGGTTGTGTGGATGTTTCATCTCTATCACCCTTCACGAGGACCAACAACTTAGTGGGGATGGTAGCTCTAAGTACAAGGACCGTCACGATCCCGAGCAGTACACGGTGCACTTGATCCATGAAAGCGCAAGGGAGTTCCTCGTTGAGCGTCACGGCGATCCAGCTGGGGAAGGCCTGTCTCTCAAGTGGCAATGGAAGGGTGTCATTTCAGGTCAGGATGCTTACCACAAATGGATAGAATCTTGCTTGTGCTTCATCATCGTGGCCCATCAGGTCCACATGGCCAACGCGGATGGTGCGGCAAGCGGGAAGACAAATTACGATGTGCTGTCCAAAACCCCCGAAGACACTATGATTGTACCAGCAAGGCACCGTCGTAAACTTATTGCATTCAGGCAGAAGGTTCCCGATTGTAGCTTGCCTACCTGGGTATTGATGCACCTGAGAATTTCCCTCCTGGATTTGGACCATGTCTGCCTCAAAGTGGCAAAAGGTGATGTTTCGTCCCCTGATGCATGTACATCGCCTCCACTGGTCCATCTACTTCGGCGGATTTGTTGTGAGATTCCCTGGAAGTGGTTTTCAACCTTCTTGTACGGGGGGTTCCACTACTTCCGTCAGTTTGACTGCGACTGGACCTCCACTCATAAAGCATTATTTCTGGCGATATTCTTCGACCTTGCAGGCGTGGTAGATTCAATCCTGGAGCAGGAGCCGCACCTTGTCAATGTTATCGACCCCGTCCGGAGCCTTACACCCTTCACCTATTCTCTTTTGTGCAAAAGCGACAAATGCATTGCAGATTTCTGTGAGAGAAGCGACGTGTCTGTGGCAACTACTGACCACTATGGCGGAACTGCTTTGCATAGAGCCTGTCGATCCGGGTCGCCCTCAGCTGTGAGGTACGTTCTGTCCAAAAAGGAGGTCAATGTCAACGCTCGGGATGAGGGGGCCAAGACTGCGCTCATTTCGGCGTGCGAAGCGCCTTGGTCCGAGCGCAGCACCGAGGTCGTACGCGAGCTGCTCAAGTTACCCTCTCTGGACGTGAACCTTCAGGACTCCAATGGTCGAACTGCGCTGGTGATGGCGGCCTTGACAAACTCCAAGATGATGCGGGAGTTGCTCAAGTCGTCCTCTCTGGACGTAAACCTTCAGGACTCCTATGGTCTAACTGCGCTGATGATAGCGGCCTCGAGGCCAAACGCCGAGGTAGTGTGTGAGTTGCTAACGTTACACTCTCTGGACGTTAACCTTCAGAGTTCCTGGGGCGAAACTGCGCTGATGAAGGCGTGCAGCGGCTATGAAGGTAACACAGAGGTCGTGCGGGAGCTACTCAAGTCGCCCTCTCTGGACGTAAACCTTCAGGATTGCCGGGGCGAAAGTGCGCTGATGAAGGCGTGCAGCGGCTATGAAGGTAACACAGAGGTCGTGCGGGAGCTACTCAAGTTGCCTTCACTGGACGTCAATGTCCGCAACGGTGGAGGCAGAACGGCGCTCCATCTTGCTGCACTTGGACCTAGCTTCTTGGACATCCTGGTGCTGCTGGTCGATGACTCCAGAGTCGACGTCAACGCTCAAGACGAGACTGGCATGACGGCTTTGATGCTGGCCACGAGACTCATTTCCCCAGTCCGGATAACTGTCTTACTGCAATGCAGGCAATTAGATGTGAACATTCGGACTGGAGAGGGGGACACCGCTCTGCTGATGTGCCTCAAGACGGCTGCGGACTCTCTTGATCGGGAAAAATCGCCTTACCAGTGGGTAAAATGGCTAGAATCCTTTCTGCAATGCGTGCAGTTGCTGCTCGCCGCCCCAGAAACCGACATCAACATTCGGAATGTTGATGGAGAACATGCTGTCTTCCTGGCTGCAATGATTCCACTTCCTCCACTACATCAACTACTCGAGAGGTACGGTCTTGACCTGTCCGAACCTATGCAACTCCAAACCCTCAGACCGCCACAAGCCGACATGGACGTTCTCAAGGCGGCTCAGGATTGGCTATTCAACATCCGACCTGCCGTCAATCTCCAGTGAAGGACGGGAGGTGGAGAGCCATGATAGCTGAAAACCATCTGAATTGTCGCCAGCGCCACATCAAGCAATCCGCCAAAGATCATTCCAGGTAATAAATAGTTGGTCATCATGATTAGACATTCAATTAACGAATGAGGCACGAGAAACCGCACCAAGCAAAGTGGGATGGAAGACGCTCATAAGTACCAGAACGTCGGGGGTGGCGCATCGTACTACTCCGTTCTCCATACACAACGACAGCCGTCGTTGCTGATTTCTGTGACGGGTGTTGGAAGTCACGGGGGATAATGCACAGATAGTAATGACTTTACGGACTGGTCCAGAGCGCGATCTCTTTCATCATAACCATGTCTATCATTTGTTTCATAGCCACGTGGATCTTACTTGGTAAGAGCAGCCTCTCGTGCTCACAGTGGTGGTCATCATCTGGCTTTCCTGATCCAGATTCCAGCCAGTAGCTGCCATGCCTAGGCCTTGTGGTCATTCACAACATCAGGTCTACCACTGGCCTTGTCTGTTCCACCATCCTCATGCTCATCACCTCCCTTTTCGCCCTGACGCGCACAATCACAACCCCATTCCTTCCTGAACTCATCTACCTTGAGCTTGCCCAATATCTTGAGCGCTGACTTACTCGCCCTCACTTTCGCATACTTGACGCCCTGCCCTTTACTCGCAGCAACGATACGCCCATGCACAAACCAAGCAACATGCACGACAACACCTGCAACGGACTGGTCTCCAGCACCGTCATCATCTTCATCTCGGTCCGGCGTCGTGGTTGCAGGTGTGGTCGCACCCTCGATGACTTCTGGCCCACTTTTGCGGCACCGGAACTCTTCGCGCAGCAGGCGGAACAGGTGCGTAGTCGGGTGCCGGTTAGCAAATGTATCGTAAGCCTCAATGTTTTCGAAGAACCACTTGACGTGTTTCTCGAAGAATAATTCAATCTCGCGGAAGTTGAAGCCCGAATCAACGAGGACGGCGCCGAGGTAGCTTTCGACCAGATCGGCGAGAGCTTTGGGCGGAGCCAGGCCCGAGGACAGACGCGTCCAAAAGTCGGGCTTGACGTCTTCTTGGTGGTACGCTTCCTCGACCTTGATGGCGTAGCTTGCGATCTCGCCGTAGAGAGCCGGCGTCGACGCATAGATGAGCTTGTTGAAGCCGAGAACCACGGCGAGAGCGGCAAGGAACTTGTTTGAGACCATGGCCATTTTGTGCTCGGTCAGCCACTGCGGCCCCCGGGTCGGATTGTTTGAGAAAAGCCACCATATGCACACCCAGTCGAGGCAGGCGTCACCTAGAAACTCAAGACGTTGGAGATCAGGAACAGGAGAGTTCTGATCAGAAGAGTGCGTGAATGCTGAGCGGGCGAGGCGAGGGGTTTTGAACTTGTAACCCGTGATTGCTTCGACTTTGCGTGCGAGATCATTGGCAACGGGGTCGTTGGTCGCTAGGCTCCATGGCTGTGGTTTGTGCATTGGGGCGACCTCTTTCCAGGAGGTGATGGCATGGTCGGGGTCCTCGACGAGCTTGGTGATGGCTTTGATGCCCAGATCGAATTTCTTTTCGGTAGGCAAGTGCTGGCTTGTCATGATGCACGCTCCGATCGTGGCCTCACAGACATCTGCTATCGTCTTCTTGCCCAATGCATGTTTGTGGTGTTTGTCGGTCAGCTTGATAACGCGACCTTTGATCTGCTTCAACAATTGCGGGTACCATGTATCGCGCCAGTGGTCCTCGGAGCTCGCACGGATGTACTGAAACAGTTCATAATGAGGTGCTGAGGCAGTGGAACACAGTCTGTTGTTCGATAGCATCTCCATGCGTTTGCAATGCATGCCTTCTTCGTTGCACGTGGTGCGGTTGAAGACAGTGATAGTGGTCATCATCTTGAGAAGTGAATCACCAATGAACTCGAGTCGTTCATAATTCAAGGGTGCAGTCTTTTCGGCAACTGCGTCGTCGGGCATAGACCCAATATCAAGGTCTTCTGTATCACCTGCACTATTGTCCTTGGTAAATGCTTCCAATGCAAGATGAGCAGGGACCTCGGTCAGATCGAGCTTCACGAATGCCTCGCGGACAATCAGGTATGCTTCCAGTCTGTGCAGGATTGAAGGCCATAGTTGACAAATCTCGGCCACAGCCGAAGACACTCGCGCAACCTCCAATGGCTGAGGTGCAATGTAGCACATTGCGAAGCGTTGCTGTTCTGGAGGACATGGCTCGAGGACATTGCGTCCGGGTATGACCACTTTAGCCTTCAACACCGGTTGATGAGGATCGTATCTACTAGCGAACATCTTCAAGTCCTTCCCTTTGGCTCTCCAAGTACTATCCGTGAATTCAATGATAGTGTCTTTGTGTCGCTTTTGAAGGCCTGTGGCACTCTCGTGTGGTTGATCCCAGATGGATTTGCCGGGTACAACCTGGTCTGTGAAATAGTGGTATCTTCCGCTGCCTGGATCAACAAGGAATGCATTGCACCAATTTGCAGCCATGGTGTTCGCTTCTTGTGCGTTTGATGTCAGCGTCCATTTTTGGCGTTCGAGTTCTGCGCCAACTCGAAGCTCATTCATATTGACGACCTGTTCGAAAGCCCCCTCAGCAACCCCTGGTAGCCAGGGTGCCAACCAGTAACTCATGGCCTTTGAGTCCAGAGTGTAAATCTTGTTGAAGACATCATTGAAAATTCCATTGAGTGTGTACTTTGTCAATGCCTCGATCTGCTCTGTACTGACTGATATTGGTGCGTCCGATTGATGGAGAATGATGACTTTTTCAATGTTGGCGTCCACATAGACAGGAAGATTCGGAAATTGTGGCAGAGGCGAACGCGTGAAGAGCAGCAATCCTTTGGGAGTGGAGGACGTCAATGTGCTAGTCAACAAGACTTTGGTGACAAACAGCTCAGTCGGCAAAGATGAGCTTCCTACACCACTTTCAACCCAGAAGTCCGGTTTCAGCTTCTTGTCATAGTCGTCCTTCTTCTCCGATACTGCCAGACGAGCATTAAGATTCGATGGCTTCACCCTCACGAAGATACTGTCAAGATTCTCGTCCAGTAGACAAGCTTTGCGCAGTTTGAAACAGCAATGCCAGGCAGCGGATCGTTTGGCGAGAACTTTGTTCGTACGTGCATCACCTCGAGCACCCTTGACTTGCGCGGTTCGTGGGTCATCATTGGCCGGAAGTATGACCTTGTATCTGAACATGTCGGCTTCGGTATCGATGATTTCCTCGAAAACTTCGCGTGAAGTGCCTCCGACCTTCTGCAGCGAGTCCACATATCGTGTCAGAAGCAGCAGAGAGTTACTGTAGTTCGCCACAACTCCGGCCCCAGTGACAAAGCTCTGACAGCTTGCGTCCTTGGTCATCAGCTGCTTGAGCTTCGAGCCTTGTCCTAGTAATCGATCAGCAGGTAGCTGCTGGCAGAACCTCCTTATATATTCATCTTGTTCAATTGCGAAATTGACATTAGCTTGCTGATTCTTGTCGCCCTCCTCAATCATGTGCGCAAAGATGGAGTTCTTCACCCTAGCTCTTCCACGACTCTGCATGTACTGTATAGCAGTTTTGTAGAGGTCAAATCTGATCACCAGGTCACACTGAGGAATATCGATTCCTTCCTCGGCGACACTTGTGGCGAATATTAGATTGATCAGGCCGGAGCGGAACCTCTCCATGATAGCCTCTTGGTCTTTCCAAGAGCTTGACTCCGCGGTGGCTTGACCTACACCAACAAGGACACCCGGCCTCAAATTGGCGAGCTTCAATGAGTCGAAGAGGTCGCAAAGGATGAAAGCCGTGAATCTCTGGTCGACGAACACTATTCCTCGAGTTGTTGGAGACTGCGAGAATCGATCTTTGAGCTCTTTGTACAGATACCTCACCTTGGGTGACAGTTGAGGGTCGACATCGACTCGTGGAGCACCAAAATGGTGTTTCTTGACGAGAGAGATAGCCTCGCGGACGGATTCCAAAGCAGCTTGCCGCCGCTCGTTGTCAGTTTCTTCGGTGTATGCTGTGCTGCGCTCAAACTGCCTGATGATGCTTGTGGCCTCGTGGTCTGAGGTGGGAAGTCCATATTTCCAAACTCGGTCGGCAGCCCATGCTCCGAGCTGTCTTGAAGCCCAACGTGAGAAGTAAAAGTACTTGTCCAAGTCTTCAATGAAGCCGCAGAGTTGACGCAGCTCAGAGTTCAGTTCCGTGTCAAATTCGGCTTGCAGTGGCTCATATATCCATTTCTCATCTTTCGCCCTTGGCGCAAAGTCGAAAACAGACAGATCGTTGGTTGTTACAATCTTGCTTTGTAGCAGGCCCTCGAGATCGCTAACCACTTGAACAATATCTCTTTTGGAGTCGGAAGGAGACGCAGTCATGCCAAAAATTCGAGGTCGTTCTCCTGACCATTTGAGATAATAGTCCCGGATAATCCTAGAGTATGGGTGATTCTTCTTACAATGATGAGCCTCGTCAAAAACCATCAGCGAGATCTGTCCAATGGTGAGATATCTGTGCATGAGACATGCGTCGAGAACGGCAGCGGTGCAGACAACGACGGAGTTATTGGCAAAGATGTCCTCCCATCCGGCCTTTCTCCATAAATCCTCGCTAGTACCTCCAAAGAGAGGAATCACATTCTGCGGAAGATTGATGTCGAGGAATCGGGCTTGTTGTCTGGCGAGATGGACACTGTTGACGAGGAAGAAGATGATTTTTGCGGGCTTGCCATTGTTGCGGTCAATGAGCTCTTGCTGTAGGAAATGTCGGATCAGGAGCGCTGCGATGAGGGTCTTTCCGCTTCCTGTATCGAGAACGGCGATGACATTTTCGTCTTTTGCACGCTCGAAGAGTTCCTGCTGATATTCACGGGCCTTGTCGATGATGCTCTCAGCCCGGCTTGTCGTTGCTTGTCTAGAGGTCGGTGCAAGCTCTTTGGCCACGGCGTTCTTGAGGACGTATTCATTAAGGGCGGATTTATTGGCTTCTCGCTCCAACTCTGCCGTGGACTGTGAGGCTTGAGCATCGTCTTGACTTTCATCGTCGGTTTCTGTGAGATAGTCTGCCTCGTCGAGATCGAGATCGGCTAGGTTGTTGGCGGTGGCCTCAGTATAGGCCGGGCTGTTGGTCACCATGTCGCATGCTTCCAAACGAACATTGTTGTTGACGAAAAGGTGCCTCCAAGATACGTGGTTAATCGTAGCATGGAGGGGTGAGTTTGACTGCGAGGAAAGTGCAGTCCAAACGATTTGAGATCGTTACTGGTGAAGCAAACAATTCCTGCATTTGTCCACCTGACGGACGCCCGCTGCTTTGCATGTCCTCCACTGCTTTCTATTGCAATGTCGACATGGCGAGCACCCAGACTATGTAACTCTATCGTAGTATTGATAGCGAAGCTACCCTCCGCTAGAAGGCTGTGTAGAGAACGTTCGCGTCAATGGGCTCCAGGCTCGTAAAGATACTTTTGTTTTTGGTTGTCGTTGTGATAGGCGGCACGATGATCGCCAGGCACGCCTATCAGGAATGGACTAGGTAAACCATCCCCAGCAATCATTATGTCATTCCTGCAGGAAAGGAATTTGGGCAGCTCGTAAACACCAAACAGTCCTTCTCAGACGATGTGACACGAAAAGCAAACTACAGCCGCAATGAGGATTATAGCTGCAGCATTGGGCCTCTGCTGCTTTCATCTAGTGAGCGCGCATGGCTCTCACTCATCAGAAGATTCAGTGAATCCAGCAGACGACTGGGCACTATACCACATGCAAGAAGAACATCGTACGCGGATGCTTGCGCGCTCGACTCAGAGAGACTACTAACACCTCGCTCAGACATATCAAATTTCGACCCTTCTTCATTTTTCTCCCTACACGACTTCAACAACGACGGTTCTTGGACCGCTGACGAGATCCGAAGAACTTACGGCCTCGATGACGAATCCCTCAAGGACACAGCTGCAGACGTCAAAGACAAAGCGGTTCTCAATGTCTTCAAGCTCTTTGACCCGACCGGGACCGGCATAATTACACGCGATCAATGGCTGAACGGCATCCGCGCGGGCAAGAAATTACCAGATTCGGGACTGGGTCCTGGACACCATGGCGACGATGAATATGAATATGAAATCCATCATTTCGAGAAATATCATGATGAGAACACGAAAGAGGAGGATCTGATACATCCAGAAGATATCGCACATTTCCGGAAACATGACATGATGGAGGACGAGGCGGAGCGAGTACTCAAGGAGCAGCAACAGAACATTGTCGAAAAGAATATCCCGATGAAGTTTAGGAAGCAGCAATAATAGACGATGCGATACTAAATGTACGACTAGGAGAGAATGGTAAAAATATCATCCATTGGGTTTGATCTGGATATCAAAGACGCAATGCATAACACCAGGTGCATATGTCTTGACCTTTGCAACGTGGTCACACGACACTGTCCACGGCACCTCTTTCTCAAGGGACTGACCTTGCAGCATTCTCCCAATGTCCTGTATGATGCTGCCCTCCATCGTCTCGATGTGCCGGACATCGACGTTTTCGTGAACATGCAGCCAACCACCTCTCCCAGCGCCGTTGAGCCTCAAAATGACCTTGACGGCACCCTCCCAGCTCCCCTCGGAAGTCGGAAGCAGGCCCAGGTTGGCATGTCTGGCATTGAGTCTTACTCCCACGCGGTGGATATCACCCATGACCTTGTATACCCACATGTTATTTCCCAAGAATGCAACACACCTGACCGTATGTTCATCGCCTTTCCGATCTCCCTTCAGGATCCTCTCGACCAATTCTTCCGTCTTCATGCCCACAACGTTTCCCTGATCGTCCACTTCGACCACCAAACAGCCCCAGCCATTCTGCTCACATCCTCTCCGAAGTCCTTCGATGCTCCAAGGGTTGATATCCCAGCCCCAAACTCGGCGGATCCCACGCGCCAGGTAGCAAGAGGCGAAATAGCCGATTCCGACGTAGAAATCCACCACATCTATCGACCCAAGAGACTCCCCTAGCTCGTGATCGGTCAATCCCGCAAATTGAGGTATAGCAACATTGTTCGCTTTTCCAGCCTCCAGAAGGCTTCCTAATATCCGAGCCTTTTCCGAGATATTGCCCCGACTGAACATGGTATACAGTGGCGCCCAGCACTGCGTGATGCCCTTATGCTGAGATGTCGACGTCCAAAACGCCTGTTCGAAATCTTCCGCCGTCGGTCTGCCAAGCTTCCGTCCAGGTTGAAGTCCCCAGTCTCCGTATACTGGGACAAGCCCAGACGGACTGCGTAGCACATTTTCTTTGCGTAAACCCGAGCGATTCTCGACTTCTCCCATTCCACCGGCGTCGGCATAATCCGCACCCTCTTCAGCAGCAATGGGCGCATTGATAGCGATTCTGCTGACCGTGCCTGCAAACCCGTCCTCGGCGATGCATTGGAACAGCTCGTTCTTCTCGACGTTTGTTAACGCAGAGTACACCGCAGTCCAACGTGAAGTATGGGTTGGGAAATTGAATGGCAGAAGGAGAAGTGGTGCATATATTGTGTATCGCTTGGGCAAGTCTGCCAAAGAAAGCGTTATGTGAGGATGGTTGTGCCCTGTATCATTCTGGGATATTGAGTCGCGTTCCTCAACGATAGTGACTCCCGCCTGTCCACAATATGCTGCAATTCCCTTGACTAGCGGGTTCGCTGGTTTCTTCGGCCTCGCCCTTCGCGCAGGCCTTTCCTGTGACATAGCAAAGACGTCGAGGCCACTGGACGACGAATCATCACAACATGCATCATGAAGTGACAAAAATTACAAATAAAATCCTAAGCCATGGCTTTGGTGGGGGATAATTGATACAAGGCTGAACCACAGCCTTGCGAACACATTGCGGCTGCTTCACCTGCAGACCACTAACGTTACTGGCAATGCAACGAAAGAAAGACGCTTCACAATCCAAAGTCTCGTTGCCGCCGACGACAGATTGGAATGTAAATTATCACATTACATTACAGTCTCCTTGAAATGTGGCAAATCATTATTGACCTGATCGATCTTTTGACGTGTCGTAGAGATGCGGAGCCACGTGGGCCCTGACTTTATCCGGAGTTCCAAGCTGCTGGGCCTCCCTGGCCCCGAACTTTGGGTAAGTTGGCGGTTCTTCAGGGCCAAAGGTCAAGGACTCAGGGCCCGAGGGCACCATCCCATGTGGTCTGTGACCCCTAAATTATTGACAAGTCTCCTTGTGGTCCTGTAAACAACTCTTGACATCTGTCATTCCTTTATCCCCCGAACATATGCGAAAGAGGTAAGGGAGGTCACTTGATTACCGCATTCTTGAGAACACGATGCGAGACACGTCCATCACTCAAATGCTGGTCTTGGGATTCTGTCAGTTCTAGGTGAGGATTTCTACCCCTTTTGTTGTTGGTTACTTCATTCCCATGGCGCTCCCACAAATTCCAGGCCTCAAAAGATCATCCTCGACCTCCATCCGCCTGTGATCATTGGCCTGATTAGCGATAACCGTCTTCGCCTATTTTCGCATATGCGGACTGGGTGGATTTCTTTCGGACAATTTCTTCCCAAGCGTTCGGTGGCGCGAGTTCCATCCACCTGAACTCATCCATGGTGTCCATCTCAATTTCGCTCCCGCCCACCTGAAACGGCGGGGCATGCTTGGGCCTTTGAAGAATGACCGGATGTGGAAAAATTCAACGTCAAAGGGACCGCGCCTCAGCATCATCGCTCTCATCTGAAAAGGGATGACGACCAGTCGATGCGTCAATCAGCCAGACATCTCTTTTACGCCTCAGGCATTACCCTGCTAAGAGGCATGCCAGTCTTAGTGTTTCAAACTGAGGAGATCTCATGCAGGACCGCGCCGACAGTCAGCCCTTCTCTGCTGTCAACATGGCCACAAAGAAGGGCAGTCTGATAAAGGCCCTTTATTGCCATCAGCCATCATGAAAAGGTCTGTACGTCTCCCATCCTGCCCTTCCTTTCGTTCCGTGCTTGACGCTCGTTGAACCCCTCGATCCGTTGGCGGCTAGTCCCCTCGTATCGTCCATTCCTTTACCCAGTCATTCATTATGTATTCAATTAAGCTGTGCTTTTTCTTCCTTTCAACCACATTCATTACAGGATCTTTGGCTACACCGTTGCATAAGCACTTCCACCATCATCATGGTACCGGCTTCCACCATTTCTGCACTACAGACGGCTCCGGAGATGTTGCATGCTCGTTCCCCAACGGTGTTGAGACCACATTCGCCGCTGAGAGCGCCACTAGCATAGCGACAGATGCTTCGGCATCGAGCCTAGCATCTGTCGATGCTATTGACTCAACACTCTCGCTCACGGTTGTCGCGACAGTGACCACTGATGGGCTATCTGCATCTTCCGATTCTTCGCAGTCTACTCCTACAGTGACCTTGGCATCTACCTCTGATGTGACCTCGACAGCATCCCCCGCGGACGTCTCGTCAGCAAGTTCTGCTGCAACATCTACCTCTACCAGTACGCAATCTACTTCCACGGAGACCACGACCTCGACCTCGACATCCGTTTCCGAAGTTACCTCGACAGTTGCCCTCGAGGAAGTCTCGACATCAAGTTCCACTTTGTCATCTTCCTTCCCCGAGGCTTCAACATCTACTTCTACAACGACCACGACATCTGCGTCTGTCATTGAGTCCACAGTTGCTGCCGCAGTGGTCTCGTCATCAAGCTCTACGTCGACAACTACCCCTCCCGAGGGTTCAACATCGACTTTCACGACGACTCTCACAACGCTTTCCACCACTACTTCGACTTCGACCACGACATCAGCCTCTGCTACTACTTCAGCAGAGGTCGCCGCAGTCTCCGTATCTCGTTCTGCATGGTCATCCACCTCAACCACGTCTTCGCAATCTACCTCTACTACCAGCACTACCACCGCAGCATCGACCTCGACCTCAACCTCGACATCTGCCTCTACTGTTTCCGAGTCCACCAGCACAACGACCGCCTCGTCCTCATCCTCGTCCTCCTCCACGAACACCGCTAGCGGCACTCTCCCAGCACCGTCCCAATTCAAGACCGACAACGGCACCAAATGGACAGTCGAATACGTCGGCGAAATAGGCTACACAGGCCCGCTCGCAAGTCAGGGCATCATCGGCGACAAATGCCGCACCTCCAAGATCGGCGACCAAATCATGTGGAACTGTGGCGACATGGAATGCGGAACCAGCTACACAAACTGCGGTTTCTCCATGGGCGCGGGCTTCTTGGGCACAGACGATGTCATGACCATCAACGCGACGTCCACATCATCGCTGAACGCCAACACCTTCGTCGCTCCCTGGTCCAATGACCCATCCCCAGAATCTCCCTGGAGTATCTGGGGCATGGACACATCGAACGTGGCCGCCATCAACGACACCCATGGCGTAGCCTACGCATGGGAGATCTGGCGCGGCGCCTCCGACGGGAGTATCAGCAACAGAGGCAACGCTGTTGCGAGCATCACTATAGGCGACGACGGACCTGTCGCCACTCGCGTTGGCCCCCTATTGACCGGCTCCGACTCTATCGCTCTAGGTCTTCTCGCGATTCTTGCCGATGGAGGCTATATATACACGTACTCCGTCACCGGACCTACAAACCTCCAGATAGGCCGTGTCGCCGCGTCCGACGACGTCTTCGACGCATCCAAGTACGAGTTTCTGGCCGCAGGCAGCAATGATACTTGGATCGCAGGTATTCCTTCGCCCACGGACACCAGCGTCGCTGCCACCACGGCAAACACCAGCGGCAGTTTCGGTTGCGGGAATTACGGGTCGGTCTTCTTCAACAGCTATCTGAACAAATATGTCATCTTGTGCGATATCTTTGAAAGTTTCGTCAACATGTACGTCGCTGACAACCCGTGGGGACCCTGGAGCGCCGAGTACGGAATTCAAGGCGGCGGTATGATTGAGGGAGGTTATGGATCGATGGCCCATCCTGAGTATGCTGTCGATGGGGACACTAGCGGGAAGTCGTTCTACTACTCGCTTGGACCGAATGGATTGTTTTATATGTTCAAACTTACTTTCGATTACTGACCACGTTCAGAACTTTTGATTACCAGACTTGGGATGACAGGACAGGACAAATGTTGGACACAGCACTGTGTTTCGACAGGAAAAACCGACAGATGGATGGTCATATAGGATAGAGATTTCTTGGTTGCCTTTTAGCGGCAGTATATATACAATTGGTCTCGATTACTTTTCATGATTTCTCCCACAACCCCAGTCGAGTGTCGAAGCATTATACTTGGCAATATTTTGAGATGATGGCTTACTTCTTGGGGTTGGTAGGATGAATGCTCTCGGGCAGAGCCTTCTCCAACGCCTCTGGCGCAGCCTTCTGAATGGCGTCAGGCACTATACTGTCGCCCGTAGCATGGCTCTTCCAGTTCGAATCTCCCTTGTCACCGGGGTCGATACTGCTGCCCTTGGTAGGATGGACAGATTCGGGGAGCGCCTTCTCGAGACCCTCTGGTGCCGCTTCTTGCACGCTTCCGGGCACGATGCTGTCGTCTGTGGCGTGGCTCTTGCTTCCGCTCCCTTCTCCCAACTTGCTTTCGATCTTGTTGGGGAGTGAGTCGTCCTTCTTGGGGTCTTGCGTGGGTGCGGCTAGATATACGTGTCAGTCTACTACTGGGGTTTGCTGCTTTTTGTTACGAGAACATACCGTCACTCTTCTCATATAGTTCGTGCGAAGGGTTTCCTCCTGGTCCGCCAACGAATCGTGGACTACTTGATACGAATGTCCGGATTGGTGTTCTTGTGAATGTGCTGGTGGTGTTGCTCGCGACAGCGCGGCGAATGAGGAATTGAGTTCGTTGCATTTTGTCGGTTCGTTATATCACACACAAATAATTGACTGTGAACGTGTTTATAGAGTCTTTGTAAATCGTTGAATTGTTCTTGCTCCGTCAAAGGACAGTTCCAGGCCTACAAGCATATATACTTACCCCTGGTGCTCGAATGTCATGACTTCAGTGGTGATCTCATCAAAACCTACACTCGGCGGGTGCATCTCCGTTTGAGCTGCTAAATATTGCATTACTACTTACGGCTTCAACGGTCTCCGGGGAATGATTGTGCAGGGTCATGGTTGAGGCCATTGGATCGCAGAAACTGTGGTTGACTAGAGTAGTAGATGCGTGGTCTGATCAGTATGACGGCTCGATCTTGCATGGCTGTCTATGACTCGAACTCTGCACGAACTGGGTACAGCCGCCTTGGCCACCAAACGACCAGATCATGACGCCATGGGCTGGACGGGCACCTCAGGGACTACGGGTTGCCTTAATAGTCACCTCGGCCCCGATTCCAGTGATAGAACTGGGTTTACGCGAAAGGGAAGAAATACGAAAGTGTCTTTGTGCTCGTACTCGTACCTTGATCATTCTTTGTCGCCGCACGAGGGCTGGCATTGTCAGAACAACAGCACGTCAATCTGGCAACCTAGGAGACGCAGGCGGCAAGTGTAGCTTCAAAAACTACGACTATGTCTCTGCCATGCGCGCTGTACCGACACGAGGGACTAATAGTCTAACGACGTATATGAACGACTTTGTAGACATATCGAGTGGGTAATTTCAATTGAGCAACGGGCTACCCCGATCAAAGATGACCAGGCAGAAAAAAGCTCGTGTGCAGTGCCTTGTCCTACAAAGGACTTGCATAAGGACATTCCATTGACAGATGGTAAGATTGGGCATAGTCTAGATAGTGCCAATTTTCCCAAAGCCTGGCTTGCTTGGTCCTTCTGCATTGGCATGCAGTCGTTGTGTCTCAGCCTCAGAGGCAGCAAGCTTCTTCTCCAGCTCCCTGATTCTATCAAGCTTATTTTGACGATGCTTGCGAGAATTTATGGTGTTTCGAATACGTTGCGCTTCTTTCTTGTCCCTCATGTCGACAAAGTGGAACTCCCGTCCATGTTTCGTCGGGGCCTGCTTAGTCTTTGAGGATGTTGCTTCGACGAGAACTGTCAAGGGCGTTAGGCTGCCTTTGGGTTGAAAAAGCAGGGCAGGTGGAGATGCTGATGGCATTGTAGCTGGTGGTTCTGAATGAGCTATTTCTGCCACGTGCATGGATCGATCTTCGAATAATACACCGAGGTTGCCTGCCCCTGGAGATGCGATGGTGTGCACGGGCGGCATGCAGTCCATCCAAGGAGCACTCATAGCCATTGTCGGTGGACATGGTATGTCCCCAGGAAATGAGACCGCAAAAGGGTTGATGAAGAAGCTGTCCGGAATGGTGATCCCGGGTGACCGGGCCATGGTGGACTCTTGCATACAAGTAGCACCCTCGAAGTGGTTCTGTGGCCAAGGGCCTTGCGCGCTCAAACTGCCCTGCTCAGGACAGAGATATTGATCTCCTACATGCTGTGGCTGTTCCTGATAACCCAGCAAAGTCGGGTCGTAAAGGTAAGGTGATTGTATATCACCGTCATAACAATAGGATTGAACATTTCGCTGGTCATCGCTGACCAGAGGATAAGACCGTGGAGGTGTATAGTAAACCGGGTAATTCCAAGAAGACCATTGCTGATCTTTATGGCGGGAAGAAGAGGCGGAGCTGACGCGACGGTACGACTGTTGTTGCAGTGACCATTGTGAATTACTGTCCAAAGTGAACCCTCACCAAAATCGAGGAGAAAGCGCGGCGCCTGGCCTGGATGCCTGGTTCAAGACTTCACGGGGGAATTGTTGGATGGAAGAGAAGGAGAAAAGAGAAGGTGGAAGTTGAAGGGAGGTGAGTCAAGACATGCCTCTTCTCTCCGCCGCGCGGTCGAAAGCGATGCAACCCCGAGGAGTGACAAAGGGCTTTCTCAGGCCACCAGGCTGGGACCGACCAATGCAGAGCGTCGATTGGGGTTGCTCAGCCTCCCAAATGTCAGGTCAATGCGCCCAAATCTCCGGCTATGCCTAGATAAGTAACTGGAACTTGCAAACTCCTACATCACATTGTGAGGTTCATCATACTCACAAGATACGCCGCAATTTGCAAGTCGTCCATCCAGACATGGAAACACCATATGGGGATGATCAGTATAAATGATCCGCATCTGGAGCGAGGCTGGATCATAATAAACAGTTTGGCTGACAGCGACCCCTACGACATGCATGCCCTCTTCGTAAGTTGCAAAAATATCCGCATACCACACTCGACTCACGATTTCTTTCCCACTTACCTCAAAGGCTCCGTTGAAAGACGATGAGATGGCACGTATATGTCTCCCTGCGATAATCGAGAGCATATATAAAAGAGACTCGGGTATCATGACTGCTCGCTGGACCTTTCAGAACAGTCCAGCAGCAATGATGATGACCTAGTCGACATCAGTTGATTTCCGCCGTGAAAAGTCCTATTTTGCCGATCTGAGCTTCTTATCTGTTCTCTTCTTTATGCGCACCGGTTTGATCGCGCCAGTGTACACCATGGTCATGGTGAGTATATTGGTGCCACCTGTAGTTCAACAGAAGTTGCCGCATGGCACCAGTCTCTCCATCTGCCCTAACTCGCGCTGCGATGACATCTTTCTGTACAGTCTCGCGAAGTTGAATGTCTTCCATGGTCGGAAGATCGAAGCGGAAGAACTTACCCTCTTCCACAACTCTCCTGTGTGCAGAGTGGAATCGGTCATTCGTGTCTCTGGTTTCGGTCGCCATTTTAGCGAGCGATTTAATGAGCTGGTGCGCATATCTGCCGGCATGCTTTAGGGTCTGTAGACCAGTCCCGACGGACACAATGCAACAGACATGCTGGTCTCCTGGCCTTGTCGTTGGAAGCTGCCAGTGATCCATCCACCAGTCCTCGGCGTGTTGCCACAATACATCCACCGGGTTGCTGACTTTGACTGCGCCTTCGACAAACGTGCTTGTGAGGCCATTGTATGTGATGATGGTTTCTTCGAACATTGTTGGCGCCGCCGTTGAAGCCAGTGCTACTTCCCAGATCTTGACTTGATCAAACATTGAGATATGGGGTTCCCCCAGTTGTCGGTAACTGGTGAAAGTCGTTGGAATAGACACCCCTGCGCAAGTAGCTACCACCACGCTGTGTCGTTGTTAGATCATCTCTATGGAGGAGAATGATGAGAAAGGGCTCACTTACACTTTACAGGCCGGTTCAGTGGCCGGTCGGAAACAGACATTTTCGGGAGTGGCGAATCCGGCTTTACTGATGGCTTTTAGTATACCGCGTTTGAGTGCCTGACTGCTGTATCGCGGTTTGAGCTTGAGTGTGCCTGTCACCGGACACCGACTGACTTGTCGGCATACATCGTCCATCATCTCCACGTACAATTCTATGCACGTTTTAACGTCGAGACGGAGGACACCGAGCATGATTGCTATCAATCTGCCAGAGTAATATCAGATCAGAAGGCGGGCGGGTCTCGAGTTTGGGATCAGGAGAAGCGGCACTTACGCTCCGGTGCTTGTACCGGCCATCATGTCGAAATGTTCCCAAGGGAGTGGATTCCCTACGCTTTCCATCAATTGCTGCAGGACGAGGAGGGACCATAGACCCTGGACACCGCCGCCGTCAAAGGATACAAGACGCAGGCCTTTAGGACGATCTTGTTGAATCATATTTCGTGATTTGCAGATCAAGTGTAAGGGTCGCTTCTGTGTGGTAGATTAGACTAATGCTCAAGGCGACGGTGGAAGTAAGACCTTGGAGCGGCCGCTATTCGAGTGACTTGCTTCAGTCGAGCCGGCTGATGCTCTGATACTCTGTACTGTCGTAGTTGGCCGTTCATCGAGTTCCTCGTTTCGTCTCGCGGCACGCACTCGATGGCACAGAACTACACTCACTTTCTTATAGGATCTGTAATGCTCTCAGGCTGGCGTGGCTGAGACACTGCCTGGAGATATGGTGTGCACACAACGGCTGAAGCTGCCTGGTAGCATTCCCTGCTGGGGTTGTTTGTGTGGTTCGCTTGGAGTTCGCCTAAATGATCATATCCAAGGCAGCAAGGCTGACACAAGTACTTGGCAATTTTGATTATCATGCATGATACGAATGGCAGAAACACTCTAGCCAGGCATGTCGACAGCCTTATGAAAGCCTAGGCATGTAATCTCACTTGGACCACAACATACCGCTCGAGGCTTCATGACAGATTTATCGTATTAGGTAGATATCGCATCCGCGCCATTTTCCCAGATATATAGTACATTCCTCATCCATTATTCGGAACGACCTCGTCCTTAGGCCAGCGTTTCATCAACTTGGTGGCTTTTGCAAGGACCGCGAACTTCTGTATGGTCGGAAATTGGGAGTCTCCAGTGGTCACTGGGTAACCCGTCCCATCTCTGTAATTACGGGGACACCGCGGTGGCAATAGCACCCAGACTGGAAAGTCGTTGGGGATCAGTGCCTGTGTAGTTATCGCCTTCGGCATCTGTGGGCCAATAGTCCTGATGGGATTGTGTTAGTGGCCTGACGTGTTGATCGCTCTGCGTTAACGGCGTCGAATACCGGGAAGTCGAAATGCCGACTGCTTCAGACTGTCGACTATCCTGCGATGCGTGGTTGTTATTCATCTGAGCGCTGTAGTCATGACTGCGATCGTCCTCCTGGTAAGAGAAAGGTCGAGTTGCGGCCGGAGTGGCTCTCTGTCTTTGCGTGCCTTGATCTTGCAGTGATTGCGGCTGTGCATGCGTGCCAGCTTGTGGAGAGATGTACTCTTTTGAAAGCCCTGAGCGAGAGGGCTGTTTGCGTACCGAGTTCCGCGACGTTATGGTAATTGTTCGACGAGTCGAGTTGCCTGAGCCACCAACGGAAGCAGGGAGTGGGGACGGACTCCGAGAAGGGGGTCTGAGATTGAAGTATGGCAGTGCCTGGGTCGGAAATGGGACAGGGCTACCTCTAGAGCTTTCGAGGAAAACGCGTAGATTCAACGTCGTTTCGCCGGACGGCAGGGCTGATTGGCCTTTCTGACTACTCTGAGTTGGCGCTTTCTGCAGAGACTGTTGTTGAGGCCCTTGCTGCTGAGGAGCGGCACCAGCGGCCTGAGCCTGGGCTAGACCGCTATCAGATGTTGAGTACGTCGTCCCAGGCAGATAAACAAAATCGTCAAACGAGCTGGCGATGTTCGAAAAATTGAAGCCTTTCCCCTTGGGTTGCGGCTCAAAAACTTGGCCGATCTCTTGGTCAAGATCCAACAGTCCGGATTTGAAAGGTCGATATTGGTGTAAATTGGCGATCACACTGGGATAGCTAGCTCCAAATCTGCCGGCCACCTTAGGTTTTATGTCGATCTCCAGCTTGACATCTCCCCATTGTTCGATGCTACCACTGCCTTTGGTGATTAACATGACGAAGGTGAACTCCCTTGGCAGACCCGATTTCTGCAGCCTATTTTCTTCGAGAGTCCAGACCATTTCCCCATCTTCGATATCATAATCGTGACCATACCACGATCGAAGGGTACGAACCGAGCCTTGAATCTTCATCATGTCGTAAATCTTGTAGCTGCTCTTGACACCATACGAAGGCTTGAGACTTGCGCTTACGGGAGCTTGTGACACCCCTAGAGATCCGGCAAGATTGAAGTTCCAGTCCAAAGTTTCGGGTGAGATAGCACCGTATAGGAGGTGAGGTGCATGGCGCAGGAACTTCGGACGTGACGGTTTGGGAGCTTTACGATTTGTATTTTGGATAAGCGAGTCTGACATAGCATTGGTCTGCGTGCCGTGATCATGGCTCACATTTCGTTTGGGGCCGGTCACGATCTCAAGCGGACTCATGTTGTCCTCCCGGGTATGGTGAAGGGCGATATTGATCTCTGCCGACTTGAAACGGAAAGTGCTGCTGCTCGGATGGAAGACAAAGTTGATGGCCACAAAGCGGACATTGTCAATTTTGTCCTCGTGGATGACAGGGCTATCGTAGTATCCAGATTGAAGACGCTGAACGTGGGCAGTGATGTACGAACCGCCGGGTAGTCGACGTTCGTAGATGCATTTTTGGTTGACTTGATAACGATAGTCTGGAGCATTTGGATCTCGTGGCTTTGCAGTTGTAGTAGGGCTCATGGGAGTCTGAGGCCATGTTTGTGCAGTGTTGATGCGTGCCGGCGCAGAGGCGGGTTCATCGCGATTCGAACTGAACCAAATGCTCATGTTGCACCAGTCTTAATGGAGTTGTTTCAGGATACCAACCAGGATATTGAAGCCGTCGACAGCATACTGAAGGCGGCGACAAGAAGATGAAGGCGGAAGTCCTCAGGCGTTCGTCGCATAGTGGTTTCGGTTGCCTTTCAGGAGATTTGGGGGCTGGCAGGCTGACAGCCTGATCGCTGATCAGGAGGTCAAACCCCATGCCCCGAGCCGTAGCGTATCATTGGGTCTGTGCCCCCAGGCCCCCGGCTAGAGAAGCATAAGTCCCACATTCCTAATATATATCTATCCTGGTCAGATTTGAAGTCAAGATCTTGAACAGCTGAATGAGACTTCCGGCGAAACACGATAGCTGCGCCGTGACTGTCTGCATGAAGACAGAGGAGGAATGTGCATTGATGCTCCTACAGATGAAACAACAGGAGAGAAAGTTCTCGGACTCGCACCTTGAATGACGTCGACCATCTTGGCCTAGGCATGAAGGACTTCGAAGCAACCGCAACACAATCTCGATCATGAGTTTTCGCACCGAAGTTCGCAATATCAAGCACATCGCGTCGACGAGCCCTTCAACATACAAGGAAAAAAGAAGACTTCGAAAGGCCAAAGACTCCCTAAGCAAGAATGACTACATCGCACAACCCCGTACAGCTACATCTACAGCCTCATCAACGGAGATGAACGCCCAACAACTTACGTTCACGATACTCTCTATCAAGGTAATGTCCACAGCTTCATATATATATACTCAAGGTACACCTGAGCATTCCTTTCTCTCTCCATCCCCATCCCATCCTCGTGAACCTCTACTATTCCCAACAATGTCTCCCTACGCCCCAGGAACCAAAAACACCATCCCAGCGCGCTCCTCCGCCGCCGCTCCTCTCAAAGCAGGCCAATCCATCACAGTGATCAACACCCACGGCACCCAAGTCATCGACTTCTGGGCCTTCACGCTCCCCACCACCGGCTCAAAGACCCTCCCAACATGGCTATCCATGTGCCACACCCGCGCATCAACAGTTCATCTTTCCCCCCTGCCCGGCGACACTCTAATCACCAACGACCGCTCACCAATCCTGACTCTCATGCACGACACCACGCCCGGCGTGCACGACACCCTAATGGCAGCATGTGATAAAGCACGGTACCTCCAACTGGGTTGTCCCGAGGAGCCAAATCATGGCAGTTGCACTGAAAACCTGCACATCGCGGTCGAGCGGGACACACCGTACGCTCTGCCCGAGTATATGACGGCGCCGGATCCGCTCAACCTGTTCATGAACATTCCTGTTGTTCCTCTTCCCGAGGGTAAAGGTCGGGCTCCTAACAATGTCTCTGCGGGCGCTGAGCTGCGGTTCGAAAGTCCAGTTTGCGAAGAAGGGGGGAGCGTCACGCTCAAGGCGCTGGTCGACTGTGTGGCTGTCATGAGCGCTTGTCCCCAGGATATCCTCAAGGTGAACAACAACAACCCTACGGAGGCTCATTTCATAGTTGAATAAATGATGTTCTGTCGCTACCGCTGATGTCCAAAAGAGCTCACCCGAGATATTGTTGCAATTACTTGTATTTCATCAAGTCATTTCCAAGATATTCCTATCCCAATAGCCACCCAAGGGCCGTCACTATAGTAGAGTAGTCCAGACCCGCTTCTTCCCATATCACGACCAATCCCTAACAGCGAAGAGTGCTCCCTCCCTCATCAAATCCAACCCTCTTTTGCTGGTGGTTGTATTACTCAGCTGCAGATTTCCAATACTGCACCAATTATTGATCGGCAAGCAACTGAGGTACTTGCACCAAGAACAAGTATCACGGTACTTGTAGAAGTTGTTCAACAGCACCACAAAAACCACAATCCCCCCTATCAACGCGCCCGCCCGTAACAACCACCACGCCCACCACAAAGGCTTTCGCCCCTTGAAAAATCCAACAGGCTCTTTGGCGAACGCAGCCACATCTGCTGGCTTGGCCGTGGCCGCCAACGTAGACGGCGTCGTCTCCAGCATAGGACGTTTTGGGTTCGTAATGTCCGGTTCCGATCCTACATTTCGATATTTGCCTTCTGGATTTGCATTATCGCCGGCGGACCGTTGTCGAAGGATACTAGGAGAGTGAAGCAGACACAAGCCCATCGCCAGACCCATCAAGAACCCACCAATATGCGAGAAATTGTCCAGACCAGGCAACAGGCCTAGCACGAATGAAATGATAATGTCGACCAAAATCCACATCAGGTCCTTGACGGGACTGCGCCGCTCGTTCCATCCATAGATCAAATCCAGGAGAACCAGTGCTAGGATGCCAAACAGACAGCCTGAACAGCCTGTCGATGCGATCGCCGTGGCTGCAAAGTTGCCACCAAGGACAAAGCCGAAGATCCCCGAACTGAAATAGACAATGGCGAATCGAATACTGCCTATGGCCTTCTCCATATCTCGGCCCATGGTGAGTTGTAAGAGTAGATTGAACGCGATGTGAATGAGACCTGCGTGTAGAAACATTGGAACGATGAATCGAAACCATTGATTCGGGCTCTCGTCATTGAGTCCGCCGAAACCACAAAGCGCGCTCAAATCACAATGATTGCTCGCAGCGTCGGAATCGGACGTGGTCGTGTTAGGACAAGGCCAGTACACTGGAGTCGAACTGTCTTGAACACCAGGCGTGGTACGCATACATGGCACGAATCGCGCACCCATGTTGATTTGAACGTAGGTCGAAGGACCAATCATTGGGTTGAACTGTGGATGTATCATGATAGGAGAACCCGTAATTATCGCTGGATGGCCAGTGGTCAGCATCGTCATCATCGTGTAACAATCCTAAAGTACTCACAATTCTTGATTATTTCAACGAGAAAGACCGTGATCTGGACCAGGCTGACTATGTACACCACCCAAGGTATTTTGCCCGAAAACCATCCTTTCTTTTTCTGGGTTGGGCTCGGTACTAATTGAGGCTGGATTTGCGACTCTGGGGAAGGAGGATATTGTGTCTGCTGGTTTCGCCAGTCTTCTGGGTTGGTATTAACTTTGGATTGGTGTTTCAGAGGTATCGATTCCGAATATCGTGAGGGTGATGGCGATTGTTGACGTGAAGGGTCATTAGAGTCGTGGTATCTCCGATCAGGCTTCTGCTGAGGAGGGTATAGATTCGAAGGACGTGACTGATCCAGGCTGGAAGAACTCGCAAAAGGATCATACGAATAGGCGATATGCGGAGGTGGTCTTTCATTATATTGTGGCCTTGAATAAGGCTTTGAGGATTGCGCCATGTCGGATTCGTTGTAGTAGTCGTTGGCCGCCATGATCTCGGTGGACGAAGAGGAGAAAGCAAGTGAAAGGGTTCAACAGCAGGTCGTGTTGAAGAATGAAAGGAGCGCTAGGCGATTCACTGTATTGATGAGTGAAAAGTAGCCTGAAGAGGAAGACGGTTCCCTTTGTCAGCCTCGAAGGACCATCATCTCTCACAATTTTGGCGGAACGGTGCAAGGGAGTAAGGAGGATAACAAAAAGCCGGCAAGTTGGAAACTTGACACCCCCGCAAATTGACAGCTGCCAGGAGTAGGATGGCAAACAGATTGCAAAAGAAAGTTGTGTTTGATCTTCAGGGTTGCTACAATTCTCCTGATAAGTGAGTGGCTTACTTTGAAGGAGAGTGTTGATGGTTGTCCAGCCAGTCGACGCTGAGGACGCGTCCAACGTGCTCAGCAAAGAGAAAAGCTGATGAATTGAGGCGTGTGCGTTTGCGGCCTGCGTCAACTGGTGGTGGCTTATTAGTTGGGATCATCAGGCGGACATTAGGCGTGTCTCAAGGGCATCCACTATGCAGGAACAAGGCAAGGCTCCCCTAGACGCATTCTTTAAGTGGTCACTGGGAGACTCTCCGGCCTCCTGCATCGGGATCGACCCCAGTTTGTATCAGAAAATAGCCACTGACCGGCCCCTTGGATTGGTTGGACCGAGGCACAAGCCTTGATCCAGGTCCGATTTTCATCTGAAAGTTTAACCTGACCGAGATATTCAATGGTTCAAAGGGACACGCACGACATGTTCCATTGTACAGATTCTCAATCCGAGACGTGGCAACACCTACAACAAACCTCCTCGCATGGCCCAAAACCAGAACAAAGAGATCTTTTGTCAAATATCACATATGTTTGCACTCGGTAAGTGCTCATTCGCTATCATAACTCATAAAACCTGGTGTAAGGCTGGGACGGGCATCATCACCAGCATGCAACAAACGCTATCCATGCGGTGCCCAAAGACAGTGGTTCAAGGTCCAACCTGACCACAGAGTGTGTCCCACCGTCAATCCGCTAAGATACACAACGCCAAGAAGTGCCTTGCATGCATTCAATCGTGAGTTCGTCAGATCAAGAGTGTTGAGTAGCTGGGGCCAAAACTCCGGGTCTATGACGGTGTACCAGCATTGCGGGCGCCTCTAGCGCAAGGAAGTGTTGCTTTGTTCGGAGATGGTCAGCACCGAGGTCATGTCGACGTAGACCAAGCCGGCCGAGTACGAGTTCCACCAATTTCTCTTTGAGCCGATCTGCTCGTCTCGTGTCTGTCGGATTGCTTCGTATGTCACATCATTCCTCGTACAAGCGCTCTCCCCAGAGCGAAAGACGGTGTATGCTGGTTCCCGGATCCTCCGAAGCGTGTGTATCTGTTACAATTCCGCCTTCTTTACGGGCTCCACGACAACCGATTGTCCATCCATGTCATTGTGGACACCGTCCGCCCGTGTTCGAAAGGGAGCCTGTGATGTAGTAGATTAACCTGCAGACCGCATTGACGACGAATGCCTCGGTGCCAAAGAAGACGGCGTACAGAATGGCGGTAAAGGCGCCAAGGACGACGAGGTTGAAGACGCATTTTTCGGCTGGGGTCATCATATAGACGCCAAAGGTGACTTCATATTGGTGGTAGCGCAGTCTCAGGTAATTTGAGACTTTAGCTGCCGTCAAGGATCGCGGCTTGCTTTTGGGAGGCGTGCTGGAGGAGGCAAGAAGCTGGATGGCAGCCATGGCTATGGGAGAGGAGAAGTAGTTTTCCGAATTAGGAGGGGCGGAATCGATGAATAGAGGGAATGGCTCGAGCGAGGGACGATGATCATGGTAGTCGCTCGACATATTGTACATGGAGTGAGGAGAGGATCGAGACCGGCTCATAGCACTGAGATTCTCATGGGCATCGGTCACTGAGGTAATACTCAAAGTCGTCCCGGTGTCGTATTATCTGGTTTCCTTCGGCAAAAAAACGAGGTTTTTGAGAGGTGTGATGTATGACTAGATAGGACGGTCGTGTCCAAGTTGAGGCGCGGCAGCGGTGGGACTGTCGATAACAGCGAGCCTTCTTGTTAACCACTTTAACTCAGAGAAGAAACGTCAGGGACTTTTCTTGCGGCTTTAATGGTATAACGAGGCTGGTGTCGAGGTGGATGCGGCGACGGGGCGGGAGTGCACGGTCCTGTCAAGCCGTGGGCCGAGAAGGGGAAGAGGTGAAGATGATCCAGGATCATTCAGAGGTCAGGGCAGAGTTGATAATAGTGATACAAGCATGAGGGAGTCGTTCTTTCAAGACTTGTTGGTGGTAGCCATGTGCGCTTTGAGGGTGTGCACTGTTCTGTTCTGTTCTTCTGCGTCGTTACACTCGCATCCGTGTGGAATTGCAGGAGCCACGCGACCAGAGGAAGGGAAGAAAGCCCTATCTTATCCAGGCCGCCTGGAAAGAACATTCGCCGATGGATCCTGTCGAATCATCGACTGCTTGATCATCTTTCCGAGCATACCGTAGGGAGTAGTCGTAGTCGATGTAAGCAATCTTTTGCCTTATGTCATGCGACCGTCATCGTCATTCCAGAAGGAGAAAGGGGAACGAGGAAAAGAGACGAAGCTTTCCGCCACTTCCGAAGCCCAATCGTTGGATGCCACCCTCGCCAGTCACTCCCCTATTTGACACATTGACCACCAGGTATCCTACGAACTTCTTGCCATATTGTGTGTTTATTGATCGACCAAGAATCCTTTCAGATAGGCTTCAACATCATCCACACCGTCAGCACCCATCTTTGTCGTGAATCCGACATGTCCGTCGGGCCGCAGCACCAAAAGTGCGCCATACCTTAAGTCCACGCCGAAGCGACGATGCGCTTCTGAACGCTTATCATAGTACACTTTTCCACCTGGAAGGCATCCCAATGCCTCTTCGACACCGATTCGGTTGTTCGCCAAAGCCACCACAGTGACCGTCTGCACTACCCCTCGGGCGAACTTCCGTGTCGAGGTGTCGACTGCTGCCGAGTATTTTGCTATCGAAGGCAGTGTGATTCGTGGGTCTCCCACGAATGCCAATATGTATACAACAGCTCGGTTGGGTGCGGCCGCATGCAGCCTGATAACCTCCAGGGTACCCGGCTTCAGCAGATCCAAATCAGGCACACGTGCACCTGGTGCAACGCCAGAACAGGCGTTGGCATTGGGGCCTTGCACATTAATGAGATTTTCTTCGTACGAAATCCCCAGTCCAGTGTTATAACCCTTCGCATCATCGAAGAGGTCCGCCAAAACCTGATTGATGTCTTTATCAGCGGGACGTTTCATACCCTCGGGCCATTTGTTGGCCATCAACGTCGAAATCTTCCGGTCGAATCCAATCAAGCGTTGTGCGGCGGCTCGACGTTCTGTCCCATATGTCGCAAGAAGATCGTCTTTGGCAAGACCCCTGAGAACTAAAACGAGCTTCCAACCCAGGTTACAGGCATCGTGTATCCCCGTGTTGAGTCCCTGAGCAGCGCCGGACGAGTGCGTATGGCAGGCGTCGCCAACAAGTACTATACGAGAGTGCGGCTGATACGTAGCAGCAACCCTCTGTCCAATGATATATCTGACGCATGGCAGTCAGTCCTCGAGAATCGGATGAGTATCTAGGCATACTCACAACGTCCACCAGTCGACTCTCTCAAACTCAAGCTCAAACGGCTTGACAGCCTCGATTGCCTCTCGTATGGCAATCTCCTCGGTGACTTTACCTCCATATCGAGACCGTAGCTCACTCGTATAAACGTAACCTACGCGAGTGACCCCTCGGTCCAACGGCGCCCACAGAACGTTTCCATGTCTAAGGCTCTCGATAGAAGCATAAGCCCTCGGCGTGGGAATGTTACACTTAACTTTGCCATCGATTCGAATCCACTGATCTTCGGTCCTTTCCCCTTCGAACGGAATGTTGAGATACCTGCGAACGAAGCTCTGACCTCCATCGGCGCCGACCAGATACTTGCTGCCAAAGGACTCCCATTAGTATCACTGCTGCCGTCCTGCCTGCTGAAAATTTCCATACCTCTTGACGGTGTATTCTGCCGCCGTACGTATGTCTTTCACAGTGGCCGTCACACCATCTGCTGGGTCGTTGGTATACTCAAGTCGAACACATTCCGTCAAATCATGTATCTTCCCCCCCAACGCAGCAAAGCTATCCCGTAAACACTCTTCTATATACCGCTGTCGCAGCATAAGACCAAAGTCAAATCTAACCACCACCGTACATCGTCAGCCAGAACTCCTCCCTAAGATCTACCCTAGGTAATCTCAAAGACCGAACGGTAGAAGTGTGTGCATACTTTGTATCCGCGACATTCTCCACAAAATTCCAAACCCTCCCCGGTATCACACGCTCGCCTTTGTCGTCGTAAGTATAAGCTTCGCGCACAAAGTGGGATTGCTGTACAATATCATCCGCAAGGCCCAATTGATCGAGCAGTTCAGCGGAGCGCGCGTAAATGGCATTGGCACGTCCATACTGGGCTCCTGCATATTTGTCGTCCTTGTCAATAACGTACACTGAACATCCGGCCCTCAAAACCTGATATGCAATCAGGAGTCCAACGGGCCCGGCACCAATGACCAGAACGTCTACCGAGGACTCTAAGGTCATGTTTCCGGTGATGGCGCGCAATGAAGCTGAAGAATTGGGGTCAACTCATACTGTAAATGCACAGAGGGCAAATGTCTGCCTCGAGAAAAAATGTTGCTTTCAATAACGCTACACCGTCATGAAAGCCTCGTTGGACTCACATACCCTCGGACAGCTGGCATACTCACCTTGTGCTCTTATCTTATCGCCCGAACATTAGGGGGACATCCAACGGCATGTTATCAATACAGGCGCGCTTTTCCGTCCGGGGAAACCCCTTTAATGTAAAAATCCGGAGTTGAGGTCATCCTGCTCAAACGCAGATATTACGCGGCTAGTCTTCCTTATGGTCCCAGATACACAGCCAACAATCCATCATCCATTACATCGCCGTGCAAAGGACTATGAAAGCTCTGCTAAGGATGGTAGAGAATCGAAGTGATACATCCCAATAGCTCTTGCGAGCAGTAGAGCAATCTTCCCTTTTCCACCCCTTTTTGGACCTCTGTGCGTATTCCGCAACACTGAAAAGGCCAATGAATGACTTCATAACGCTCATAATCGTAGTTATGCCTGCAGCCGTCCAACTTCATCCTTGCTCTCTGACACAGCACAATGCAAATACACACCTTTCCATCGTACCCTCTCAACCTGCACTGCTCGTCATCGCGGATGGGATACTCTCATACGGCGCGATTTGATCATTGTTCATCCTCGGACTCATGGCCTGATTATCATCATTTCGTCGTCCGCGAGATGGACTCCGCACACGACCCGCAAAACTGCGAATCTTCCCAAATATCTGGTTCGATCCCGACCCATTGCCGCCGTTGCTGCTCTCATAACCAGATCGTTCGCGTCGGTGGCCTGTAGGTAAAGATACGGCCGAGAACGGAATACCGCTATTAGGTGCTTCTGAGAAGGACGTCGGGATCGCAGACATCGGCAGAGGAACGTTGGCAGCGTCCGCTTCGAAGCCACGAAGACTTGAGAAATTGGTGCTTGCAAGCGACAAGACCGGTTTTGGCGGTGGCGGAGGAGGCGGTGGAATCGCCGCCAGGTGTTGCAGCTCCGGTAGTATGGGAGGATGCCCTTGAGGTGGAGAATTTGTATAGCCTACCAGTCCAGCTGGAACCGCCGAGACGGCCTGAGGCCCTCGAGGAGATACACGCGATCGCTCGTGAGACGTCCCACGACTTCTCGACCTTGTCTCTGCTCCCTTACTGCTTGATCTGCTATTGCCAATACGATGATCGTAAAGAGGGTGTTTTGGAATCTGGGACAGGAACTCCAGAGGCGCAGGAGCAGGTGCTGAACCCGGCCTGATAATATCCTCTCGAGCCGGCGCACGGTATACGCTGCTTGACAACAGCTCTCCGCCACCCACACGACTTGCGGGTTCTGCTTCTGGTATTGTCTCAACGGCGACCTGCATCGCCTTTGGGGTGCCAGGACGCCCTCTTAGGGCGCTGTTGTTCGGCATGGATGTCTCCAGATCAAGCTTGTTGGACAAGACCTTCATGACAGGTCCGTCGTCTGTCTGAGCTCTCATCAAGGGTGGGAGCACATTACTAGTCGAGGCGGATTTTGCATGACCAACGATCTGCGACGGGAGTGGAATATGTGGCACCGAAGGTCGACGTGTAAGTGACTGTCTGCGAGCTGCTAGCTGTTCAGCTGCAGACTCTTTCCTGCCAACATTTTGTAAGAACTGTGGTTGACTGGCGGGTCTGGAATCTTCGGTGGTAAGAGGCAGACCTGAAAAATAGTCTTCAGGATCATCAGGCTGGCAAGACCGATCGTACTTTGTGTCGCTCTGCTGTCGATGACGACGATGTTTCTCACTGCGACTTGTCTTCCTGCTCAAGGACGGTTCTTCAGCCTGACGACTACGGGATCTGGGTCTCGCTCGTCGACGATCAGGCGAAGGGTCCCTCCTGGAGCTTGTATCTCCGAGTTCTGGCTGACGGCTTGTGCTTCGATGCAGTCTGTGTCGATCTCGAGACACGAGCCTCATTGAGGAACCCTTGTCGAAGCGACTTTGCAAATCTTCCTCAGAAGGGACCATCGGTCTCGGTGATGACGGAGAACGGTGCCCTAGATTTTCTTTTCTTGACGAACTTCGGCCTCTTGGGGAGAAGAGTGCCTGGTCCGGACTAGGCTGCCTGCTTGGAACGCGACTTCCTGTTCTGCTTTTGTGCCCCTGTGTCTTCGAGCGAGATCTATGGCGCTGTTTTGTGCCTTTGGTAGTAGATTGAGAACCCCGACGGCTGAGCTTAGACATACTGCCAGGAGTTCCGGCCCGGTCATACCCAGACAGGTTCGAGCTATACATGGAGTCAAAACTTTCCACACTGGTGCTGTACATCCGGACGTCCTCTGGCGACATTGGAACAGGCGAAGACGGTGAACGGTTGCCAGCTGGTACAGTACGTCGGACATCCCGTTCGCTCCCATCGCCGAAATTGTTGGCTCTAGTCTGCTTCTTCTCCGAGTGACTGTCTTTGGATTGCTTACTAGCACTGCTATACCCCCGCGCGCGAGAATGGGTTTCATAGTAGTGAGCTTGATCAAGGCTACTGATGAAATGATCAATGCTTTTCCCTGCAACGACTGGGCTTTTTGCGTCCCGGTAACTTCGACCAGTAGTTGGAGGGCTGGTTAAGTCCCCGCTGGTATCCATTTGTGTATTGGAATAGGTACCAGTAGTTGCCGGTCTGCTGATGGGGTCGTTATAGCCAGTCCCAGCCAAATATGCCTGGCCATTTTCCAATTGCTGTGCGGCTATTGTTTGAATCGACAAACCCTCTGGCTTTCGGCTCTTCGAATCAGTCCTTGGATGCGGAGAATCGACCCCTGCTACGTCCGCATTCAGCCGATTATGAAGATGGGAATTCGGTCCCGGGAAATTAATGGCCATTTGTGGTCCTAGAGCGGTCTGAGGCGTTTCTTTGACCGGAGTTTCGACTGGCTCATAACGCGCAGAGGTAAGCAGAGTAAGGCCTGGTTTACTAGTCCGCTGTGCATCTTGTGTAGATGCGAGTCGCTCAGCCTGGCTCTCCTTGATTGACGTTAGCTCCATAGGCACCGATACGGATCGTGGGGGCATTGTGGATGGGAATTGAGGAGCCTCCACATCTACAGGCGTTTCACCGATTGAAGGTAAACGGCTGGGCTGAAAGCCACCCGGAGTTGCCGTTTTGGCAGAGAGGGCACTGTTGATGCTGCGAATGTTATTCAAGCGGTATGATCCCAAGCCTCCTGGTGACAAAGCCGATCTATCAACTGCTGACTCGGCAATCGGGGTGACTGCTGCACCAACGGTTGGAGTACGGTCATCAGGTTTCAATCCCGGGAATTTGAAATGATTGCTTGATGGCGCCTCAAACGATGTGATCAGCTTCAAGGCTGATGTCTGCGGAGTGATCCTGGTGCCTTGCGCAGCAGCGGTTCTGAAGGGAGTGGGCGGTGCAGGCATGCTCGCCATGATATGTGGTGCCGGCATGGCGACTGGAGTTGGAGCATCAAGCGTCCGTCGCCTTTCGAGGGTTTTCCGGAATATCGCTGGGTACTCCATGGGTTCGAGCTGCTGCAATTGAGGCATTTGAGGCATCTGGACAACCTCAGGAACGGTCTGTGTGGGGACCTGTGCCTGTGGTGAGGTCCAGATATCGGACGGCTCGACACCGGTGCACGCGAAACATCGTATGGCAAGCGACTGCTGAGAGTTCTCCACGACGTGCTCTCCCCATTTTCGGACGAGATAAGATTGACGTTGCCAGTCATCAGGATAAGCAAGGCATGTCAACAAAACAGCCTCTAAGTAGTGATTGTTGGAAACGTATACCTCGATAGCGTCACTTCTGTCGCCTAGGGCAAACATCAAGGTAGCCGCAGCATGGACGTCGCCGTTACCGAGCAGTTTTTCGATGAAGACCTGGGTGATCTTCTTTGCGCCGACTTGATTGCTTATCGTCCCCAGGGCTAATAGCATCCAGTCGAGTTTTGACCCGTTGTGTGTCAGGCCCATGATCTCAGCGAGATAGTCTGGATCCTCATTCAGCCACCTAGCGAGGAAAATGGCATTTTGACTCTCGCTGGGATGACGACTTAGTTCATCACGGATGAGATCGTAAATGTCCTCATCCCAACCGAAGACAACGCTGAGCATGTGGCGACGCAGGCCATCAGCGGACAGAGTCTCATCCAGTGCCATTGGTGGTCGGTGTTGGACATCATGCAGTCTAGCTCTCGTAAACGGGAACAGGTCGACCACAGGTCGTTCTTCGGGACTCATGATCACTTCTTGTCTTAAGCGGGAGCCCTTTTTGTTCATGCGACTAGTGACAGGGGATTGTGGCTGGTATGCCTGGGTTGCCTGCTGGCTGGACATGGACTGGGGCTGGAATCCGGTGTCGAACGAAGTTGTGGTATAGTCAGTTCTACCAGCAGGGGAGATGATGTCCTTCGCACTCGGTTTGATTCCGGATTGGTGCGAGCTCGCAGTGGACTGAGGGCTCGGAATATTATGCCGTTCGTGCCTGGTCGCTTCGACAGCGCGCAGCTCTCGCCGTGCGCGGCCTAGAGGAGAGGCCACTTCTTCTTCGCTTTCGGACGTCGTCCACAAAGGTCCTCTCTTATCCTCTGGGGGAGTCGGGGGGATCGTGGTCGGGATGTGCCGTACATTTGCCACCAAAACGCCTCCTTCCACATCATATTGTTGCACTGTATAATCGGGACCCAGTGTGAAAAGAGTTCCAGTTGGGCCATGGCAAGCTACGGCTCTAACCCCTTCGATTGTTTGCATAGGTTCGTAAGTCACGTGTTTCGTTCGCACATCCCAAGCCCATGTCTTTCCTTCAGAGTACTGGACAATGCGGCCATTCTTGGACCATGAGATCCAGTTTCGGCCGGGAAGGTAGACATCCGAGCGCTTCAAGACACGGATGACTCGGGGAGGCTCGGCGGTGGGCGGTTTCGAGACACTCCAAATCCTTAGGTCTCCGTCTGCTGTCTGAGTAGCTAGCATGTCCGATTTCTGCTTGGACGAAGAGGCATGCCATGTGAGATTCACAATAGGAGACGGTCCTCTTGATGTAGTCAAAGTGTGGATGATCATAAAGGATGGCTGCAAGGCTGCCAACAGGATCGAGCCATTGTTGTAGCTAAGTCGTTAGCTTGCATTAACAGGAGTACCACTTTGGCGACCTACCCTATAGCATATGTCTTGCAATCTGACGACGGAGCTATTGCAGTGATTGGGTCGAAAATCGTGCGCGCGGAAATATGATCACTCGTCGCAGGCTCGAATAATATCACCTCGCCTTTCGCGTTGCCTTGCTAATGTTAGCGAAGAAAGATATGTCAGTTTGAAAGGTCTCACCGAATGCGATATTGCCATTCCTCATCCAATGAGCAACCCTCAGTGATTCATATGATACGAACCGTGAGTACTGTTCGCCGGTGAATAAATCCCAGACTATTGCCGTTCGACCAACATCATAGGTGACGACCAGTCTTCCAGCACCAGTTTCGCTGACATTATCAGCAGCAATCAGTTGTATGTCCTTGGAGTGCTTTTCAAAGCGTCTTTCAACTGCCAGAGTGTCATGGTGTAAACACAAGACAGCAGAACCTTGGGCGTACAAGAAGAGCGACGCCGTGGAAGCACATGGTTCTAAAGCCGTGTCTTCGGCATGAGGTCTGGGCTGAGAAGGCGCCGGTATTGACACTCCTTTGGCTTTGTTCGATACGGATCGTTGGCGCGCAATGCCTACGCTGGCAGACATAGTCGGTGGACTTTCACCAACGCTGGAGATGCGACTAACCCCGATGTATCAGCAATGCCATGAATTCCACCAGATGAGAGGATGTCCTTATGTGTACTCTTTCGCTCCTGCAACCTCAACCTATGACATATTTCCGGCCGTACAGCGCCAATCTATCCAAAGCGCTGGTTATTTGAGTGCAGACTAATTCATCCGCCGTGCAACAATGAGGGAGGGTAGCAGCAGGTTGCGTTCTCGTGTAGCGACCGTTAACCCAAGGAATCCTAGAGCCGCCAACGTAGCCGCGAAACAGGGTCGTCCTGCAGGAGACCTTATAGGGGAGACAACACCGATCGGGGGATTTCGTGATCAGATCAGAAGAGAAAGCAAATACTGCGAAGCATGCCTATACCGAACTCCGTGTACAGACTTGTCAGAGCAATATTCGGTGAATGAAATGAACATCTGAAACAAAATCTCTCGAGATGGATTGCCTCGAACTCAATGGATCATGTGGACTTAGGTAAAGAGGCGCAGCAGAAGAGCAATGTGCAATATTAGCAGCAATTCGAGAAAGATGGCCGTCGATTTCTCGAAGTACCAACGACATTGATGGAAACATGACTGCGAAGCTCTACTGGACCGCGGACAGTTGATTGCGGCCCCGCAGGCCCCCAACCTGGGAGCAGGCGCATGTATTGGCGAGAGTCTTCGAATCATAAGCATGTAAATCTAGCTTGAATGCAAGTTGATGCGGATGGAGAATGGTCAATGTGAATGGAGGTGGAAGAGAATGTACAGTTGGTCGAGGATGGACAGGCACGAAAGGCTTAGGCCTAGCGACTCTGGCTTCGGCGCTTATACCTCCAACCATTGGCTGCGCAGTTTCCGCCGTCACACACCTCATTCCTGGTCCATCTCCAATCACAGCATCCAGCACACCAAAACTCCTCAACTCGGTGCCCTGGTCTGACTTTCGTCACTCTGCCGTTGATATGCAAAAGAGCTTGCATCGGCCCATTTGGACCCTGCCTCGCCTGGTTCCCGTACTGGTGCGGTATCTATTCCCATCAAGGACAGCTTACAAGTGACTCCTGCTGGAGAACTGTCCAGCCCCCCCTCAAGCGATCGCCTCATTGACTCCTTCATCAAAATCGACCTTCCTCAATACGGAAACGGCCAGCGGTTATAGAAATCATGATATTGGAAGAAGATATATATCGCCACGCCTACTGTTTCTCGTCTACTGCGTTGGTGCTGGTATGAGACAAACTTCCAATGGCGTGGGGTGTCAGAAGTGACACGAACACAGAGATACAGACACACAAGACTTGTTCTACCTGGCTTGCCAGAAGAGTTTTGACAGATTGTATCCTGTCAGACTGTTTATTGTGCATCATCACCTGCTGGCGTGCTTGGAAGGTTCAAAGTGTGGCGCCTCATCTCTCCGCTCTGGTCGATCATCTAAACCAGTCCCGGCTGCCTTCATAATGCTACAATGTCCTACCTTACACTAGCATGGTCATCTGCATTCTTGAAGTCCGCTGCTGTCGGCGTAGCGTCACATACAGGAAGACACTGTTTGGAAGCGATGCAAGATTGTACAATGCAGTCGTCTCAGGTGATCTGCATTCGTGGGGACGGTTCTGGCGACGAAGGAATGACATGCAGTGGTGCCCGAACTTCCCAAACCTAATATACACAGTATACATCCGCAACTTGTCAATCATACTTTGGGGGATTTTCGCCGCAGGTAAGAAGATCCTTCCGTGGACAGTCGATGATAGTACCCAGGCTCCACAGATGTGAGTGACCTTTGCCAACAAATCCTTCACCCGGGTGCGGAACACTCAGGCCATGTGTCGCAGCACGCACGTACCTTATGCTGGAGAGACGCATCGGAGCGAGCCAGTCCCGAGCTCCAGCACTGACCATGTGGAGCAAACGTGGCAATAGCCACCCTTCGCCACAGAGTTGACAGTCATGCTGTATATCACGACGGCGAAGTGAAGAATGTCTTGTCCACAGCCAGACCCTGTCTAACCAACGGTGAGGGTACTTGGTTACTTGTAACTCTGTGGCATTCTTCACGCTACGGAGTACGGAAAGTGGAGTACTACAGGTATCACCAGAGTCTAAGAAGGAATTTCCCTGCACATGCCACAAGGTATATCAAGCAAGGTCTATCCTGCGATAAGGTTCGATAAGAGCCTTAACTCGATGCTGAACCCCATCATCCTTCTGCATGTTACGCGCCCACGCTAAAATATGGTCGTTTGCAGCCAATCGGGGTCAGGGTCGTGCTGAAGACTCGCAGGGAATATTTTGCATTTTCGACTCTTTCAGAGAAAAAGCGCTGGCTTTATTTCCTTATCCATTCTGAGCGTATGTAACATACGAAAGCTTTTGTGGCGTCTCGAACACCAGGCTGCCACTCTAAATTACCAGCTTTTGCTGCTGATACCAAGCTCATCAGGACAATTTGACTGCACAAGGGCAACACACAACAGATAATCGATTCTCTTCACCTGCTTGCGAAGAAGACACAACAGACCAGCCTGAGGTACCGTAAGTGATTTGCTCTGTTCCTGCGCCATATGCAAGGGGACAACGAATACTGGAGTGCATTGTGTCTCAGGGCAGAAAATACTGGCCACTTGTGCCCGCGGAGTCTTATGCTGCATTGGCTGCTGTAACACTGGATGTTCCCCAACCACCTCAGATGTCCTGGCCTTGTCCATGCCTGATGGTGCACGGAATGCAAGAACGTCCATGGCATGACATGAAGCAGAGACAGCGACCCCTCGGAACACAATGAGCAGGCATTCTTCTCACGCTCCTCAACACGTGCTACAAGGTACGAAAACTTGCCCTCTCAGTCAGTCAATATAAGTAATGATGTGCGGTCGTGTCACACTAGGAAGGGTCCGTACAGATCTCCTCATCTGCACTCGGTCTCAAAGTCAAGAAGACTTGAGCGGTAAGTGCTGTGGAAATACATTAACACATGAGGCAAACAATGCTGCTTTAAAAGCGGGATTATGTACAGCTATGAAGGCGTTCGAGCTGAGCTTGTCCGATATGACTTCCTACACTATACAGTCTCATAATACCAACAGCCGAAAACCTTGTTTTCCAACATCTTACAACCTTACGGCTTCATGCCCCTGCGTGAGTCTCCATGTGATGGTGACAGTTGCTTAGTGACCCTCGGTGTCGTTTACCGGCCAGGTACATAGCGATCAATCTGAACCGGGTCTCGATCTCGACGAGCGTCACTTCTGTCCCGGTCCCGCCGACTGTCTCTGCGATCATCTCGCCGGCCGTCTCTCCGATCATCTCGCCTATCGTCCTTCCTGTCGTCTCTGCGGTCATCATCACGTCGGTCCTCACGGCGTCGTGGACTTCGTTCTCGCCTGTCCCGATCCCTCTCCCTAGGCCTGTCACGATCTCGGTCTCTGTCCCTATCCCTATCTCGGTCTCTGCTTCGATCTCGCTCGCGGTCTCTGTCCCGGTACTTGTCGCCGCGGTCTCGGTCCCTATCTCTGCTCTTGTCTCGTTCTCGGTCGCGGTCTCGATCTCGGTCCCGCTCTCTGCTTCTGTTCCTCTCCTTCTCCTTGTCTTTATCCCCGTCTCTGTCCCGATCACGGTCACGATCTTTACGATCGTCGTCGCGCACACGATCCTTGTCCCTGTCGCGATCTCGATCACGGTCCCGATCCGTGTCGCCCCGATGACTGTCGTACTTCCTCCTCGGTTCTCGCTCACGATCTTTGTCGGGTTCTCGAGTCCTGCGTGGTTCGCGCTCACGCTCGCGTTCATCTCGCGAACGATGAACGCCTCCTCCCGGAACATAACGATCGATGCCCACTGGTGACGCGGATCGAGGCCGTCGTGCCCTGGGCTTCTCCAGGTCCGGCTCGGGAGAATCTTTCTGACTGCGTGCTTCGCCCTCTTCACGATCCTTGCTCGGTGTCCGCGTCTTCTCCTTGTCTGGGATTTTTTCCTTTTCTTGGATGGAAGCTCGTCTGTCACGCGACCTGCTACGGCGATCATGATCCTTTCTGTAGCTATCCCGTGACCGTTCGCGTCGTCTGGAAAAGCGGTCGGATGCGGCATGCCGGCGAGAGGCATCGTGGAGCTCGGCTTTTTCGAAGTCGTACTCAGGCCTCTGCTTGGACTTCTCGGCCAATTTCTTCCCCTCGATCAAGAGTAGTTCAAGTGCTGCAGCCTCAAGATCTTTTTCATCGACTTTGATGTCTTTTGTGTGCGTCGATTCTGCACGTGAACCCCGTCGATCAATGCTTCTGCGATGATCGCGACCCCTATCACCATCGCGTTCGGTATCCTTGTCTCGAACCCGGTCACGATCACGCTCGTGGTCTTTCTCTCGATGTCGATCGCGGTCACGGTCGCGTTCACGATCTCTCTCCCTCTCACGCTCTCGCTCTCTCTCATACCGGGCCTCACGTTCTTTTCGCTCCTCCTCACGCTTTCTGTGTCTCTCATCTCTTGCCTTGATCCTGTCAGCTTCCCGCTTCTCTTCCTCTTCCCGTCTCTTGGCCCGAGCAGCTTTTCGTTCCTCCTCTTCAGCCTCGCGTTTCAGCCTCTCCTCTTCTTCTTTCTTGGCTTCCTCCTTCTTCCGTTTTCTCTCCTCTTCCTGTTTGATCTTCGCCTTCAATTCCGCAGTTTCACGGAGGAGTTGTTCCATGCGAGATCGATTCTTCTCCCTTTCCGCAGCCCGATTCTCTGTTTCGGCTTTGTATTGTTCATCCGTCTTACTGCCACGTTGCTCTTCTTCAGCTGCTACCCCTGGTCCTACATCTGCTCTTCGAATCTCTCGCACCGCATCCAGCACGGTACTGAGATGTTTTGCGATTTCGGTGTCAATCCTAGATTCCACATCCTGATAAATACCGCTTCGGTCGACAGCACCTTGTATCAATGTAGCTGCCTTGCCTCGTTCTCGGCTTAGTAGATTAGGATTTTTCTCGATTTCGGCTTCTGCGATTGCATGTATTTGGTCTGTAAGAGCAGTCTTTGCATCAGATGTATTGTAAGAGGCCCAGACCTGTTTTCGCAGGCTATCGTAACCGCCTTGCTTCTTGACTTTGAGGAGCAACGCATCAATCGTTGTTCGTTGGTCCTTATTGAGCGGAAGGTCGGAGATCTTAAAGCGCGGTCGCAGGGAAAAGGGGGCAGAGGGATCGATTGGTGGCACGTCGGCCATGGCAAGGTCAGCCATTGCTGCGATTGCTCACTGAGGTGCGTCGCATCAGCTAGGGATGTCGGAGTTGTAGAGATTGTGAAAACTCCGAAATGCTGTCTGGAACGCGGTGCAGTCGCGTTGGTGCAGAGCGCATCAAAAAGCGGCCTTCTGAGTCGGAGCCGGCCTTGGCGGTTCTTCAATTCCGACCTCAAATATCAGCTCACCTCAGGTACCTCGACAGTACCGATCTCACTCTTTCTTTTAGTCGACATAGCAATCGTTCTCAACATACGAAGGGCGGGTTACAGATGACTTGCCCTGGTCCGTGTAAGAAGATTCCAAGCTCCTGGTTAGAATTACCATTAGTGCTATCCTATTTTCGATCTCTGTATGAACGCATCAACGTCGAGTCCAAACAACCACAACCCCAACATGTCCCGGCATAAGGCATCCATGTAGATAACATACCGGAGCCCATCCATGGGCTAGCGGTTTCAATGCTTGCAAATCACTGAAGGATAGCCTCAGCAGCTCATTTGGATCAGGGGTAACCCTGCGATGGTATACTGCCACACCCACACACACTTAGAGCACACAACTTCTGCTAGCGATACAACGATGAAAAAAACAAAAACTTTTTCACCAAGCAGATTTGAACTTGCGTTCATCTGGTTGGTGGTAAGTGAAACCATTCTTTGTAGGTTTTTCACGTTTCTACGGTTCTACTGGAGCGAAGGCAATCCATCTCCAAAGCGCCCATTAACCGTTAACCCACATGGTTGGTAAACGGCGGATGGCTTTGTCTGGATTGTTGGAGGGAAATCTGGGAGTTAAATATATCAGTGGCAGAAAAGATGAGGTGAGGTATATTGATTGACATCGTCTTACATTGAGGTCTCTACGTCTGGTACTAACAAAGACTGCGTGATCTGCAGCATGCACTGGAGCACATCATTCCTGGCCGACTGCAGGAGGGAGTTGAAGGCTAATGTTCAGCTGCCAGCAGCTGGTTTCAGCGTATGCTCCACGTGACAACGACTGGGCATTCATGAAGAGAGCTTCGGAGTACCTTTTGCACAGGGTCGGGTCTTCAAAGCTGATGAAGATTCGGACTTGACAAACTGCTCCAGGACCTGAATGCAGAATGCATCTTACCGAGGATCAGAGCCTTGCACGCACTCCCAAGTATTTGGTCACTCCTCCATACTGCTAGGTGAGTGGCCGCTCATTTGTACCAAAATGTGAGCTGCTTCTACCATCTCATCAAACTCACTGGTTGAAGTGTCGCAGCTTGTGATTGATTCCGTGTCTTCGGGGAGTTCGGTGGGTTGTTGTGAAAGTTGAACAAGGCCATTGGCAGCAGCCATCGCCCCTTGATCGTACTGCTTTGTCTCTTCATTGCTGTTTGCCATGTTGGATAATCCTCAAGTTGCAAATTGAATGTTGACGATGCTGTTGCTTGGCTGTTTCTCATTGACCCGAATTCTGGTATTTTCGAGACTGGATATTCGAAATGAGACCCGAGCCTTTGAGGACATGACGGCTTCTGGCAGTCACCGATGTTGCAGCAGTGTTCCGGACACCTGGCAAGGCAGTGTCCTTTGATAGACAAAGCCAAAGTCGTAGGGTCAGGCATTCTCAAGGTACAAAGAAAGGATCCTTTGTGTGGATTTGGGACACTAGTACTCTCTTCTATAACCTGCCATACCAAGCAATATGTAGACGGGTCTGTTACGAAATGCAGCAATCACTCAGTCTTTCCCATCCACCATGCATTGAAGCGAGTGACCTCCTATTCTTAGTCAGCCTTGCCAGCCTCGCAATCCTTCGGTGAATCATTCAAACCACTATGCAACTGCAATTTGAAATTGAGTACTCTGCCGTAAGAATCTGCCTTGGCATCGAGCATTGGAATTGCGCCGTACCTCCTTGGTCCGTGACTTCCTGCGAGAGACTCGGTCAGGAAATCCAAAGCTTGCAAGTTGAACCCCAACTTTCAATCTCCGAGCTCACGACACCACGAACAACCACATACCGCCTCTCACGACGGTCAACGAAGCTTCAACACCTCCTCCAGATCTCTCACCAGTTCCTGTGCCCACCCGAGCTGTTTACAAAGCGTCGTCGCGCCGAGGGCGCCCAATAACAAAACCACAACCAACATGGTTCACAAAATCCTATTCTGGGCCGGTTTCGGTACGTGATACCATTTTAACCTTCAAATACTACAGCTGACACTCTCTAGGCGTCGCAACACGCTTCATGCAATTGGGCATTGAGATGAGACCGTTCTTCCAGCGTGGCGCGTTATGGGTGTATCCCCTGTTCGCAGGCATTGGAGGTTCTTTCGGGTACTGGATGAAGGGTGTGGAAGACAGACAAGTCAAGCTGCTACGACAGCGGAAAGAGATTATAATCGAGAAGCGGAGGCGGAGGGCAGAACGAGAAGCTGCTGACCAGACGGAAACCGCTGGTGTTTTGGCATCGACGAGTTAGATGTGAATGGAAGATAATTGTCAGGAGGTACGAAGACGATTTGCAGGTCACAGCAAGTCCGAAGCAGACACCAATTGTACAAAGGCACGACTTTGAAGATACGACGAATGCATTTTGTTTCTGCATCTAGCATGATCCGAGGACATACAAGAGATATCTGGTTCGGAAGCAGGACCGCCCAGACAGGGGCTATACAGACGAACAACCCAGCCGAAGCAGAAGCATCTCAAGACCCTGTCGTATCTGCCCGGAAGCAAGCTGACAAGGCCCTCAAGTCATGCTACCCGTCAATGCCTTGGATGTCCAAACCCATGGCCAAGCAACACGGCTCGTGCCACAAACATCGGTGGTATTCCATCTGTTTGTCTTGACCTCCTTCCCTACGCTCGTCATCACAGCAGTAAGTCAGACTACATGCCCATGTCTGGATGTTCAATTCCCAAACGAGAGACAAGCAGTCCAGCAGATACCGCTTTGCCCCAGGATACCTTGCCCTGGCCTTCCCCGCTGTGCTCACCACCACAGATTATCCCCTCCAGAGACTTCCCGTGCAATACTCCATGTTCCATATTCCCGTTCTCTTGCTCTACCCATTCCGAGGAGGATCCTCATCATACTTCTCAACCCCCTCCGGCACCGGCACAATCGCTCTCTTCGTCCAAATATGCATCGTATTGGCGCCTCTCCACCACGTCTCATCGATCCCATCCAAACACCCACCCTTGACCGCGACAAACGTCCCACCACCATGCATAAGCCTCGTTCCGCACACCTTACAAAAGTAACAATCCTTGGTCCGTCCCGACGTTGTCCGTTGGTGCGTCCACACGCCGATATGTTCATGTCCAGTAGCGGTGCCAAGTAGATCGAATGCCGGGAAAAGAGCTGTGATCCCAAATGCCGACGCGCTTTGGGCCCGACATTCAAGGCAGTGGCAGATGAATATCTTGACGGGCTTGTCAAGGGGTGTCGTGAAGCGGACTGTGCCGCATTGGCATTTACCGTTCATCGTTTGCGAACAGGAACAGTGCTCTTGTTGACCATAGACCTACAAGCGGAGCTCTGCAGATCGTCAGATAGTAGGTATCTATAGATGTCCTGAGCGTCGAGTGTGAATACGTGCCACTACCGTTGCGGGCAACCTAAAATGCTCATCTGCGTGGGTGAACCGAGGCTGTGCACAATAGATCTCAGGTATAACCCAAACGATGTGACCACAACTACCGAAGTCGACGTCCTGGAAGAAGGAACTCCACGGACTCGACTTCACAAGAGGTTGCAAAAACAAAGCAGAAGTGTAGGTGTGTTCAGACATGTTCGAAGTTGAGAGTGATTAGATACAAAGGTTTCTACGCCGTCGCCCCCAAATGCCCCCAACATGTCCGATAAGTTACCCCGGAGTCGGCGCAACTCTGTCGCAAATGTACAGCTTCCCATATCTGACAAGATACAACATTTTTGATACAGTGCCTTCAGGGCCGAGATCAGAGCGTGAACGCCGACTTTTTTAACTCATGCAAAATGTGAATGCATCATCACGCTTATTTAACGACTCTCGTAATCAGGCCCGTCGCAACAGTCCTTCCACCTTCTCGCAGGTTGAATCGTTCACCGGCTTCGACGGCAGTTGGGTGGTGAGTCTTGAGGACCATCTCGACGTTGTCACCAGGCATGATCATCCTGCTGGTGTCCTCGGTTCCCTCGGGCCATGCCAGGGTGGCGGCCTCATCGGCTGTTCGAACAAAGAGCTGCGGTCGGTATGCTTCGGTGAATCCAGTCTTTCGGCCACCTTCCTCTTCGGTCAGGACGTACATCGACACAAGAACCTCCTGGTGAGCCTTGGCAGTACCCGGTACAGCAATGACCATACCACGTCTGACATCTTCGCGCTTGACACCACGTAGAAGAAGCCCAGAGTTATCACCAGCTCTTGACTCGTCGCAGGACTTCTTGAAGGTTTCAATATCGGTGACCTTTGTCTTGATGACGTTCGCACCACCGCCCACAATCTCGACTTCAGTATCCTTCTTCAAGACACCTCGCATGACACGGCCAGAAGCGACGGTACCTCTTCCGGAGATGGAGAAGACTTCTTCGACGGACATGAGGAAAGGCTTTTCGGTATCTCGCTGCGGGGTTGGAATCCAGGTATCAACGGCGTTCATGAGCTCGTCAATCTTTTCCACACCGATCTCGGGTTTCTTGCCCTCCAGAGCGCACAAAGCGGAGCCAAAGATGATGGGTGTGTCGTCTCCCTCGAATCCGTATTTTGCCAGAACCTCGCGCATTTCCATCTCTACGAGTTCCAACATTTCAGGGTCTTCAACGGTATCGACCTTGTTGACGAATACGACAATCTTTTGTACACCGACCTGACGGGCAAGGAGCAGATGTTCTCTTGTTTGGGGCCTGGAGATGGTCAATATGTGGTCCTGCATTTTTCTTGGGGTTCATACATTTGTCCATCACCAGCAGCAACGACCATGACAGCGCCATCCATGAGAGCGGCTCCAGTAATCATGTTCTTGATGTAATCGGCGTGACCGGGGCAGTCGACGTGGGAATAGTGGCGTTTGTCTGTCTGATACTCGATGTGCGCCGTGGCAATTGTAATACCACGTTTCCGCTCTTCGGGGGCTTTGTCGATCGCACCATATTCTAAGAACTGTGCGAAACCCTTCTCGGCTTGTCTTTTGGTGATGGCGGCTGTGAGCGTAGTCTAAGATGATAAGCTTGACGAAAGAATTGCGGCGAACAGAAGATTTACCTTGCCATGATCGACGTGGCCAATGGTACCTGAAAATGGTTAGATGACAGCAAGATGTAGGCAGCGTATAGTACTCACCGACGTTTACATGGGGCTTGTCACGATTGAAGACAGCAGCGTAGGTTCTGGCACCGAATCTGTCGTGACCAAAGACTCGATTGACTGGGTTGGCACCTCGACTGGGCGAGGCGATGTGTCGCGAAGTTCGTAATACAGACGTGACTGAGCGAGAGAAAGCCATGATTGACGCCCCTAAGAAGACAATAAACGAAGAAAGAAGAAGGAGCCCCGAAAGCTGACCTGCGACGACCAGAAGAATAAAATCAACTGCACTTCTGGCGGCGCAGACAAGATGGACTGATTCGAGCTCGAAAGATTTTCCAATGCGGACTAGTTCAGACTTATTCGCCGCGGAACGACCTCCATATATCTTGGCGCCTCTGACGATACGCTACTAATACGGAGTACTCATGAAGGCCTCTCTGGAAAATCTGACCTCTACATACCTTCAATGTTTGAGCGTCGAGTGCCGGCGGTGAAAGGAGATCAAGCAAGATGTGTACAACCAGATTTCTATTGCGTCTTGGTAATCTGACAAGTCTCTATCCCGATTTCCAGCCCTCACGAACACTATGACTCCGGCCCATTAAGCTTCTAGGCATTGCCAAACTCCTTGACCAGATATGGACTTGATGCGATGTGCTGAGCTCAGGTATTTCCATGACAACAGTGTTATATATATCTGGTTTACTGTCGACCCTTCGAACAGTGACGCCCAATCCTAATATAGTTGAAACATGTATCTTGATGGCGCGACCAGCGCCACAGTAAGAAAGCAGTACACCTGCGATCCTGTCCATTGACGAGGTACTCCGGGTAGGTCGTAGCCTTCAGGCTTATTGTAGTATAATCAAGTCGCTCAAATATTTTTATATTTTAACATTGGCACTCACATTGGCACTCACGGTGCCTTGAAGAATTCGTGTTGCTGGTCCTCCTGCCTCGCATCGAAATCGGGCATAGATAGTCGTGGTGTTGGTGACTGTGCTTGTGCATGTGCTTGTGCTTGAACCATCTCGAAATCCGGTTCGTCGGTGGATTTGTTGTAGCCCATGCGAGACGCTGACCGAGAGTAGAGTCGGCTTCCCGAAGCAGTCTTGATCATACGTCGGATTCCTTGATAGACCAGAGGCAGATTGCAAACGACAACGGCGACGAAGGTCTCTCTGACAGCCCAACTGCCAGCAGCTTGAGCTCCACCAACGGGATCCTATAGACTCTGATCAGCATACACACATATGTGAACTCGGGGCTTGACGAACATGTAGAATGAGAGCAGCACGTAAGATACCAGCAGCCATAACAAAAACTGCTCCACCGAAGATGAAAGTTAATGACAACTTTTGGATCATTGGTACGTCCGCTTTCCATAGTAGCTAGAAGTGTCGTCAATAAAAAAAATACTATCCATAACAGTTCACAGGATCGCTTACCGGGATCGGGATTGTAAGCAAGTACAAGTCGGAGAAGACGTTGAGAATGACGGTGACATACAAGTCAATTTTCGAGATAGCGGGCTGGCAATGGTCTGGAACATTTTGTGAGCAGACAAGATACCAAGATCGCGAAGAGACTTACTGCCAGGATCTGGGTATATCTGCCAATTCTTGTGGAAGGGGTGACATCCGCCCAGTATTGACGATATGGTCGCAATATACGTCGCGATGACTATCGCATAGCCGAGCCAGACCCGCCGCTTCATGAAATCCAAGCCTTCTCTGAAACAAGTGGTGAGCTTGAGTCTCCAGGCATTGGGTGGAACTCACGTCAGTCGCTGATAGAATATTATCATGCATAGCTTCAATGTCCACAGCAATAAGGTGTAGAGGCTCCAGCCAACAAGCTGAGTCTTCGAACCGTTGACTCTGAATTCGTACTCTTGGGAATTTGGATCTAACGTCCGCCGTTCCTCGTTTGTCATCCCATTGTTTGCCAGACCATGCCACCAGGCTCCGACAGCGTATGCTGTGCCAGATTCAAGTCCATAGACAACCTAAAATTGTCAGGTGACGGAGGACCGAGCGACGTGGTGAGCTGTGACAAACCGTAGCAAAGAGCATTAAGTAATCGCTGCGTATGCATGTCAGCATGTGCTTGGACTACAGCGAACAACTGTCGCGGGCAAACATACTCGGCCCATAGTCCTTTGATACCAGCAGTGGCTACTCTGGAGGCTGTCCGAACAGCCACCACAAATACACCGATTCCCAGCAGTGTGAAAACTTCCGTGTCGAAAGTGCTGGCCATATTGAAGCAACAGGATATTGCAGCCCTGAGGTCAAGGTTCGCAGCTCCAAGGATGAATCGTGGAGGAAAATCCCGATATTAACATCGAAGTGGAAGACCTTCCTTGTCCTTGGGCCCGCGCTGGTTGGCAAGAGATCGCATCACTTTGCAAGGGTTGAGAGACCGCGGTTGACCAGCGAGGACAAACGGTCCCCACTGTCTCATACGTAGTGCCTACAGGGCCATCATGCCATCGGACTGCGAGATAGAAGGGTACTGATCGACGGCAAGAATGTTTCCATCAAAGTTCTGCGCCATGTCTTTGACAGGGACGGCTGGCAGGTATCCCAAAAGCTATGAGAAGGTCGAAACATTCTGGGCCGCATTGTTCAGTGTCAAGGTTCACATGAAGGTTCAAGTTGACACTGGCATGCGCTTTTTCGCCGTTGTGAATGGATGCGGAAGTGTGTCCGCGTGGATGGCTCCGTACCTGACATATGCAGCTAGCATGGGCTTCGGCTGTGAGAGGAACGGGTGGGTGAGGTAGCCATGAGGTCGCCAGGAAGGTCGAGTTGGCCACTCCACACCCGTGCTTTCGGCAGCTCTGGATAAGAGTGATGGCATAACAGTACTCCTCTCTGCCATGGCTCATCAGGTATTTTGAAACGAACCATCCCGCAATTGAGAATATCGGCAAGTAGCTGATGGCGCCGGGCTTAACCTAAGATCGTTGGTGAACTCTGGACTAGGAAACTTCAACCAAGAGAAACTCCGCGCCGGGCTGAAATCGACCCCGAGAGTGATGATCTGACTATTTGAGAAATTTCTGCAGGTGAAGGCTGGGACATGAGGGGAACTCTACTGAGGAGTAGACAGAGTTTCACCAAGTCTTGACCCGACGACACCGTTGATGGAGGTCAATGGGTCTGAGAGTGGAATGACCGGAGTCCAGCACAGCTCTGTATGGCCACAACCGTACGATGTTCCGGTTAGATCGACAAATCCTGCCGCTTCCGCGCCGCCTGCCTCGGTTCTTGCCAGGGTCTAGCTTCAACGTCTGCCGTTCCTTCGGCAAATGCATGGCAGCCACAACCGGAGCTGCAAGCCCTGAAGAAATCCCACTCTCTCGCAAAGGAGGGAAAGAGACCTCAAGGCTCACGGAGTTCGTTCATGTGACGCTGACATCGACCACCGTGGGATCTCCGTCCACGATTTATGTCATGCTGGCAACCAGATGAATGCTTGAGCTGTCTATCATCATAGTAGCTGAACAAGATAAAATATCGGATGTGCCGAACTTCTATGGGGTACTACTGCATATGCAACGCCACCCAAGCCATGCATGACTTGGTCTGCATGGCGACAATTTTTGGGACAGCTCCAACTTCCAAGTTCTTCCCAGGCATGTGCCAGGCTTGTAGTCCAGAGCCTCTTCGACTTCGACGATTTGTGGTTGTGGGACGAGCACAGGGGTCCATGAACCTTGAGCCCACTTAGCCTGTGGACTATATAATAGGCTTTCCGGACGCAGCCCATTGCCCGCAGTTCGTTATATGGTAGGATGTTCGATTTAGTTGGACCGCGTCGATAGACGGGGATGGTTTTGTCGCTTGAATCCCACTTGTCTTCACCACATCAAGTTAAGCTATCTCCATGAGGGCAAGTGACCGACCTGGATGCATCATATTCGCATTTCCAGGCACAAGATCTTTGCAGGAACCATGTTCCACAATTCAGACTCTAGAGGTTACGGGTACTACCAAGGACGGTTGAAGAATCTGAAACAATTCATCCCAAGAGCTTTCACCTCATGCTAGCTTGGTCCCTTCTTTGTGCTAATAACTTATCAAACGCGAACTTGGCGATTTCGAGTCAGGTACCGTGCGGTTGCTAGAGCTTGATCAAATCTAGGAGAAATTTCCAACTACCATATTGTCGCGGAACAGTACGACAGATCTTCGCGGCTTCTGGTACGGTTGTGTGGCAGTATTCATAGCAGTTGGCAGCGATTTCGACCGTGACAATGGGCTCACTCGACCTTATCGTTATCGGCACCGGTTAGTTGGACGCCCATCCTGTGACTTTGCTTTGACGCCTTGTCATGGAACATCACATGTCATACTGATTCATATGAAAAAGGGTGGTACGGTTTAGCAGCAGCCAAGACATATATCGAGTTGCATCCGTTTGACAATGTCGTGGTCCTCGAGGCCAACTCCTCCATTGGGGGAGTATGGGCAGAGGATCGTCTATATCCCGGTCTCAAGTCCAACAACATGGTGGGCACCTATGAGTATCCCGACTTTCCCATGAACGAAACCTACGGAGTGAAGCATGGTGAGCACATTCCGGGTACGGTTCTGCATCGTTATCTCAACGATTATGCCAAACACTTTGGTTTCTTCGATCGCATCCATTTCAACACAAAAGTCAACTCTGCAGCCCCTACTGAGGATGGAGGATGGCTGCTCAATACGACTTCCTCCGAGTACCCTACCTTTGAGACTAGGAAATTAATCCTCGCCACGGGTTTGACGTCACAGCCGTACATCCCCAAGCTACCCCATATGCAGGACTTTCAGGGATCATTGTTTCATGTCAGAGACTTTGCGAATAACGCAGGGACGCTCAAGGAGGCCAAGAATGCCGTCGTGGTAGGAGGCGCAAAGTCGGCTTGGGATGTGGCATACGCTTATGCCCAAGCCGGAGTTCCGGTTGATATGATCATTCGGAAGTCGGGTCGTGGGCCAGTTTGGATGGCTCCTCCATATGTGACGCCGCTGAAGAAGTGGCTCGAGAAGCTTGTACACACTCGATTTCTGACGTGGCTCAGTCCATGTGTCTGGGGCGATGAAGACGGCTATTCTGGTATCCGGCACTTCCTCCACGGGACCTTTATCGGACGTGGCATCGTCAGCACGTTTTGGAAAATTTTGGGTAGCGATGTCATTTCCCTCAACCAGTACGATTCGCACCCGGAACTGAAGAAATTGAAGCCTTGGGATCCAGCCTTTTACGTGGGAAGTTCATTGAGTATTCACAATTATCCCACCAGTTTCTTCGACCTCGTGAGAGAGGGCAAGGTTCGAGTCCACATCGACGAGATCACAGGCTTCGGACCACAGACAGTCAGCCTGGCATCAGGTGAAACTCTCAAGGCCGATGTCGTCGCCCTAGCCACCGGCTGGAGGAAGGAGCCTGCTCTCGATTTTTTGAAAGGCAGCGAGGCTGATGTTGGACTGCATCATTCACCATCTGACGTGGAGGATCTGGCCAAAGAAGCTGACAAGGAAATCCTTCACCAGTTCCCAGTCCTGAAGACACAGCCCCCTCGAAAGCTTGAGCTTGCGAGCACGTTGGCGGAGAGGCTGAATGAGCCTCTGCGAATGTACAGGTTTATGGTCCCTCCGTCGATGGTCTCAAGGCGTAACCTTGCATTTGCCGGCATGCTGTCTTCGATTACGACTTCCATTATCGCCACTGTACAAGGAATCTGGATATCTGCATTCTTTGACGGCAAGCTGGACAGGTTGCCTGCTTCAGAAGATGACATCCGATGGCAAACGGTTCTGCATACTCAGTTTGGTCGATGGCGGTATCCAATTGGCTATGGTCCGGGCTTTCCAGATTTTGTCTTCGATGCTGTTCCCTACGTGGACATGTTACTGCGTGACCTGAATTTGAAGTCACACCGAAAGGCTAGCAAGATGGCTGACATGTTCGACCCATACGGCCCTGAAGATTATCCCGGCTTGGTCGACGAGTGGAAGGAAGAGCACCTAAAGAGGGCATAGCACGCATGGTAGATATTGCCATCCTTTAATCTTGGTCGTTGTCCCACGATCAACGCTCAACCATTTCGATCATATGGACGATTTGAACCCCGAAACCCAATTCGTAGATGGACCGAGTGGCGGTCAATGGTTGGCCTCGTCGGGAGCTGCCGCAGGGGTCCATTGTATTCGTGGCCTTGTAACTATTTACCTATTCCTTCCTAAGAATCCATATATATCATCTTCGCCATGCAACATCATTCAATTATTTCGTGAAATTCTATATGACGAGACACGGTTCTTCCAACGACGCGGTGCCACTACGTTGATCTGCCGATATTCGGTGCGGCTGAAGCAATAGGCGCAACCCGGGACGAAACACAGATATCAGCAATGGCTCCCATCGAATTACCGGCAGATCTTGAGGTTTTGGTCATCTCGAAATTCGACGACCGGGTGGCGCAAGGAAAGGCCATTTACGAGCCATCAACCACCGAGACTCTGGAAGATGGCGGCTTCAAGGTAGGTCATTATGTCCAAAGCAGGCGTTCGCTTCAACATGAGATGCTGATTTCACCGCCAACGACCTGCAGTACGAGTTCCGCCTGGTTCCTCACCTGCTGAAGAAGCCCATCACGCCGGCGAATGCACCGGAAAGAAAGACTGGTGAAGGACGCAATCCCTTCGTGAATCCGGACCCGGATGAAGTGATGGCAGATGTTGGTCCGTCGCATCTGCTCCTCCTCAACAAATTCTGCGTCTACCGGCCAAGTCTTCTTCTCATCACGCGAGAATTCGTTCCGCAAACAGACCGTCTTGACGGCAGCGACCTGTCAGCCGCCTGGGCTACGTTAAGTCATCTTGAGCACAAGTACATATTGATCTACAACTGCGGATACGAATCTGGATCTAGTCAGGGCCACAAGCACATGCAACTTTGGCAGTATCCCGATGAACAACGAATGGGCTTCGAGCTGTTTCCAAACAAGGCTCGATCAACGACGGATGTCACCAGCGATATAGCCAATGTTCCTTTTCAGCATTTTGTACTTCGATTACCGTCGAAAGTTGATGAAGCTACGCTGGTTCAGGCTTACGACAAACTCTTCAACAAAGTCCAACAGTGTCATGCAGAGAATGGCGGAGGTGTCGCTTATAACGTCATCTTGGTCAAAAACTGGATGTGCTTGATCCCTAGGCGGCGCTGCGGTCTAGACAAAGGCGCGGGCGCGAACGCTGCAGCCATGGTTGGGCTTGTATGGATTGTCAAAGAGACTGAAAAGAGCGTCTGGTCGGCCGGCTTTTACAGGTATCTGGGTATACCTAGATGACCCAAAGAAGTCACGGTTCCTAGATTTCTGGAATTGAAGCACATTTTATGAGCTAGACATAGAGATATCAGAGGCATAGACGTCTAGAATAGAAGATGACGAGGCGGGTTTCTTGACAGACCACCGATCCTCAGCCTCGCTTCTCGACGACAAGGCTACAGGAAAATGATTCCGAAGTTCAGCCGATGACTTTCCTCCGCATTTCCGCATTTCCATCTTTTTTACATGCGCAATCCGACTTGAAGAGACAATCCCCCCGGACGCAGAACGTGAGAAGCAGCGATGGGCAAAGGTTAGAGGTCCTCATATCGCTCGCTTCAGCATGCTGACGGGCTTACCTAGGAACCGATAAACTCTATGTACAACCACATCCTCCCACCATACCCTCTGCAGACTAACAATTCTAGATCACCCACTCCGAATGGGCCTCCTCCGATTCGTACGGAGCCTCAGCCGGCGCCGGTGTGCGCGCTGACACCAGCGGTCATGCCTCGTTCAAACGGTTACCTTACAACTTCTGCTCCCTAAGTCTACAACCCTTCGTCACACCTGTATGCACGGCCGATGGCACGACCTTCGACCACGAGAACATCATCCGATGGCTATTGAAACATGACACGAACCCTACAAGCGGGAAGCCCCTCAAACAACAAGATCTGATCAAGTTGAACTTCGCAAAGAATGATAGCAACGAATATGTCGATCCCGTCACATACAAGGTCTTCACGGATAACACGCATATCGTCGCAATCAGACATGGCGACTCCGCCAACGTATTCGCCTACGACACGGTCGAGCGGTTGAATATCAAGGCAAAGATGTGGCGTGACCTGGTTTCTGACGAGGAGTTCTCCAGAAAAGATGTCATAACCCTACAAGATCCGCAGAATATCGAGTCTCGCAACCTCAGTTCGTTCAAGTATCTCAAAGACGGTGAAGACGCTGGCATACCGAAGGAGGAAGCGTCAATAAATGCTGCTTCACTAGGCAGCGCAGCAGACCTGAAGATCATGAAAGCGAAAGAAGCCGTAGCGAAAGCCCGAGCCGAGCGTGCGAATGCCCATTTAACGAGTCAGAAAGAGAAAGGCCTGTCAGCAAACCCTGCAAAGAACGCCGCCGCAGTCACGAAGTCGAAACAAACACCATACAATGCCACCCGCCATACTACAGGCCTAGCTGCCGCATCTTTCACGTCCACTGGCGTGACACCTCACACATCAGCCGCCCTGGCACTAATGTCCGATGAAGAATACCTCCTGAAGAAAGGCCGCGTCAAAGAAAAGGGCTACGTCCGACTCTCAACAACTGTGGGAGACCTCAACCTCGAGTTATACCCGGAGTACGCGCCGAAAGCAGTCTGGAACTTCGTCCGGCTAATACAAAAGGGGTACTACAACGGCATCGTGTTTCACCGCAATATTCGAAACTTCATGATCCAATGCGGTGATCCAACAGGAACGGGGCGCGGTGGAAGCAGTATATGGGGCACCAACTTCGAAGACGAAATCGAAGGGCCGTTGAAGCACGACAAGCGAGGCGTTGTGTCAATGGCGAATAAAGGCAAAAACACCAATAGCAGTCAATTCTTCATCTCGTACCGGCCGACAAGTCATCTGGATCGGAAACACACCATTTTCGGTCTTGTAGACGACAACGTATCATTGTCGGTGCTGAAGAGGTTAGAGGAGACGCCCGTGGACGCGGACGACAAGCCCAAGTCCGAAATCAAGATCACGGAGGCGGTCGTGCTGATCGATCCGTTCGAGGAGTTCTGGAAGAGGAAGAACGAGAAGGAACAGACAGACAAAGAGAAAGAGGAGAGGAAGAAAGAGGACCGGACGACGTGGACGGGAAAGAGGATACGTGCTGATGGCACTGTCGAGAGAGATGGTGCTGATGCTGGGGTGGGGAAGTATTTGAAGGCGGCGATGCAAAGTAATCATGCCGACGAGGAGGATGAGATTGTCGAGTTCATCGATGAGCCGGAAGAGCCTGTAAGGAAGAAGACGAAGGGCGGTGGAGGGTTTGGCAACTTTGACGGCTGGTGATTGTCTTGCATGAATGGCTAAGCGATAATTGTGATATATCCCTTCCGTTGCACCCTGGCAAACACATGAGAAGCAGTCCTTTGCATGACACTCCATACGTCCATCCCATCTGTGACCCAACAAGGAATGCAGATGAACGCTTCCATCAAATTCGTCGTTAAAGTGTTGCTGTTGCTTTCCGACGATAGCCTGCTCCGCCTTCAACCACAGCGGATCCCGCTCTTACTCTTCCACATCAATTCCTACCTGTATTCAGGACTCACCCCATCATCGTCGTCACGAGTTCAAGCCCCATCAGGATACAACCTCTCCTTCATTCTCTCCCTCCACAACTCCTTAAACCGCTTATGCGTAGTCCGATGACTCTTATCAACGCTCTGCCTAATATACCAGCTCAACATGACATTACACCTCGTAGCCTGCGTCTCCAACAAATTTACCACACCACTACTACTACCCAGACTAAAAGCATCATCCATCGGCGCCTCCCGACTCACTTCATCAACATACTCTGAGCGTTCAGCGACTTTGACCACCCATCTTCCGTGGATCGTCACGCCGTTGCCCGGATTCGTCAGGGCTTCGAGACCATCTCTCGTCGTGCGGAGTGCGCTGTGGTATACCAGCGTCGTGGAGTATCCGAATAATACGGGTAATTTATCGGTGATGGCGTATTGTGTGAAGTCGCTTGTTGCGTAGTCCGCTCTGACGTCGACGTTGAAGGTGGCTGCTAGAGAATGGATGTCGACTGCAGCAGGGTCGGCTGGTGAGATGGTGGAGACGTCGGCGATATATGGGTTGAGTGTGGTCATTACTTTTGCGGAGCTGCACATTTCGCGGGCAAGGACCAGCCCGATTTGAAGGACTTGGGCGGCGGTCTTGCCGGGAGGGGGAGGAGGGCAGACTAGGTCGGTGATGTAGCCTTGTTGGAAGTGGGTTTGCATGAAGGTCATTGTTGGAAAGGTATTTCCCGGCTTGGGCTTCGTTGGAGGTGCTTCGTCCAGGAGGACCGGCGGCGGTGTCCTCACTCTTCGTACCCTGACACTCGATGGGGGACAAACAACAAGGTGTTTCTATTCGAGCTGAACTGTCTGGCGGATGGTGTGGTGGTATATTGCTGAAGTAAGCACCGGTCAGATGCAGACTCCAGTATCAGTTCCTGCCTTGTCTGATCCAACCGTGATACAAGGTCGTAGAATTTGGTTGTGAGAGTGAGTTGTGTATGTAGACTGTTGTAAGTCACTCGGTGCCAGTGTCTAGGACCTTTGACACCGATGATTCGATCCGGGCATATGCAAGAAGCAGAGAGTGGTTTATGTATGTCCTTTAGGCCCGTTACATATCGTTCTTGCGCCGAACACTCTGACGTCCTTTGCCGTCCGATTACAAGTCCAGTCAAGTCAATTCAACTTGCCGAGTGGTACAGACTTCCCGTGACGTGCCTGCAAGGTCGTGTGATTTCTTCTTGTACTGTAGTACTGGAGGCGGTCCACTACTCGGCCAACGTGTATCAGCGCGCCTCACACAGCCTCTGGTCGTTTGATGCCGCAAAGTGGGAGAAGCAGGTTGTGGCTGATCGGAAGTAGACAAGTCAGGATGTCAAAAGCGTCTTGTGCCCGCGAGGCCGGAGAATAAAAGGTCAGGATATATCACATCAGAAGACAAAGGAAGGGTGTCAGATCATTGACCAGCAGGCCCGAAAGTAATGGCAAGGATAAGAATAGTTGTGGCTTGAACAATATGGTAAGTTTCGCTCCAGTTCTCACGCATCGAAGAACCCGGTTAGTAATTATTTAGTAAAATCACTAAATTATAGAGGGTTAGGTGACGGTGATATCGAATGCTCAAACGCTTTCCCTGCGTAGAAGCCCGTGTAGACAGTGGCTTGGGGCAACATGTTGCATGCAGTCAGCCGCACGACAACCCGATGGGCGGGAAGAGAATGATCCGTACACCACACCAAGGTATATAAGGTGCTTATTTTTAGCCACTTGAAAGGGCCGTCTAATAAGCATTTTGAACGAAGTCGTGGGAGAAGCATGTCTGTCATCCCCCACATCTTCCATTTAGGGAGCGTAACCGCAGTAAAAACCATGTTCATACAGTCAAGCTGATGCAAAGCTTGTGACAGCCTCGCGAGATGAGAGTTGTCCACTCTCATCTCTCTCGGCGGAGGCAAAATAGAGAGAAAGCCCCAATGATGCTTTTTATGAATCGCTCGAACGCAACAGAAACCCACGCCCCCTTTTTGGACAGTTTCAGTCCGTTTTCAACCAGCCTGCGACCCCAGGACGAATTTGACTGGAACAACCCATTCATCCGCAAATTCGACGCCTTGCTTCCGCCGCGACCCATGCTTTTGCCATGCCGCTGCTGAGATGCCAATATCGGCCACCCAAACTTGCCACGTTGGCTCCGAGTGGTGGTCCATGGCCATGGCGTGGAGTAAACCGCTTTTCGGAGCTCCCAGACTGACGATATGCTTGCTGGCCATGACCAACGCTTGTCCATCCACCTCAGTAAATAATCCTGATGTTGCAGACAGTCCACTCGGGACGTCAATGGACAGAACAGTCGAGCTTCGATTCGCCCACCGAATCATCTCCAGCGCCGTCGCTTGATCATCGGTCCGCAATTCTTCGAAGGTGCCGTGCACGCCGAGCAGAGCATCGACAACGACATCCGGAGCCACTCCGCCTCCAGATGCCTTGGCTTGATATTCGTCCCACCGGTCCACATAGCCCTGCCCTTTCTGGTAGATGTTGAGCTGCTTTCGCATCACCTCGAGGAGCAATTCCTCACGCTCACCGCCAAGAACAACGATAGTGACCCTCAGCCTCCGATTGCGCAGATGTCGGGCAGCGACGATGGCTCTTGCACCGGACTTGTGGTTACCTACCAAGAAGACCACGTTTCTCACATTAGGAATCCTGAGCACAGCCATTGCTATACTCCGGCCAGCATTCTCCGAAAGCATATCTTCTGTGAGGCCCATTTCGGACGTGCACAACTGCTCGATTTCCAACATCTGTAGGGGTGACAGGCAGTGGCAAGGCTTATTGTTGGCAAGCTTGAAAGATGCTCTCAAACCTGACACAGAGCCATTGAGCGGCGACGATGTCTGTATTCGTCCAAGAGGACGCGGCGATTCCGTACGGTCGATATGTGCCGGAAGTACGCTTCCTTTTCTCGATTGAAGCGGACGTCGCGAGCCAGCCCTTTTTGACCCTTTACCACTGCTGTAGTGCTCTTCCGGAAATTCGTTCTCGGTCTCTCCGGCTTCACTCTGCCATCGATCACCGGCCTTGACTTTCGGTGTGTCTAAAACGTTTTCGCTCCAATGTAGATTTCTTCCACCGTCAGTCCCAGGCCTGGCTTTTCTGTTGAAGCTGACAAGTCGATCAGCCTCCGCAGTAGTATCTGCTTGTCTGATATCATCAAACACCTGTCGCTTGTCAAACTTGGATAGATTGCCCACGAAGTCGAAGTCTCCCAAATCCTGGATGTCGGTGGCATCTTCAGTAGCCCAGCCATTCATATCTTCACCAATCTTCCTCCCTCTTTGAGCCTTCTTCTTGGGTTGGGCTGGGACTTCCTCTATCAGCGGAGTCTGGCGCCAGCCCTTCCCCTTCCCAGCCTTTTTTTGGTTCTTCAGAGGTCCATGATTGACGTCTTTCATGTCTATAACACCAGGACCTGTCCGCGACACTGCGACCTGTGGCGGAGGGATGTTATTCGCTTTCTGCGTCTCTTTGGCTCCGACAACATTATTACCAAGCCGCAACGCGTCGAAAGGTTCAGTAAGTGTTGCGCTGGCAGGAGTATTCTTCGCATCTGGCTTCCTAGGTAAAGTGGTCGCGATACTGGATATTGAGCTGGCTCCAAAAGTTCCACTTCGAGGCAGTCGTGCGGATGGACTGCTGACGGCGCCATCGGCAATCATAACAGGAGACACCGGCTGCGCCTGATGTAGTGAAGGTATTTGTCCATCTGGCGGCTTTGTGTAACTGAGGATGGCGGGGTCAACAAACGCTGCAGCAGCATTTTGTTGGCTTTGGGGGACGGCCGAGAAGGTGGCATTCTGAGGAGGTTGACTAGCGACGGGTGTAGTAGTCTCCTGCTCGTCATATCCGGCTGGTTGAGAGGGCGACACTTCTAGGTCCGCGATCGCAGAGGACTCGAGGACATACGAGGGGAGGCGCTGGCCATTCCAGAGTAGCAAAACTGGTACTCATTAGCGGTAGGCATTGGGAAGAAGGGTTTGATTACCATTCTGCAAGTACAATCTCTGGTTCTGGACGTTTGCAACAACACCCTGTATTTGAGCATTGGGAGGGCTTTGTAGCGTGACCAGTATGGTGTAGCCTACGAAATCTGACGCCATCATGCAGTGGCTGGTGGGTTGAACGACTCTATGGCTGCATAATGACGAGAAGCCAACTGAAATGTCCCCTCAATCAAAAGAGGTGCCGAAGTGTACGTGAGATCGTATGTGTGTACTTCACGTCGTTGTCTGGAATATTGAGAGTTTAGACACTTTGGATAAACTTTGGAATTGGTCTGAGTGTTTCCTGATTCGTCACCTTGACCTTTCAAGGTCTTGTGCACATTTACTGCATAGTAATGTATCGTATGTCCATACCATACTCTAATGCTCTACATGATAATTCATGTTCTTCAGAGGGAACTATTGTACTTCGGAGTCGTGAGCCCATAGCCCAGTGGGTGCTGCCATTTGGCTTCATCCGCCATGGCCTTACTTCAACCAGTCCCTCGCATCATTTGTGACTCGAGCTCCAGCATTTCCTCATATGAAAAGTCATCACCGAACTCGTCCTCATCTGCTGCCATCTTGCGCGACACATTGGTGCTCTCCTTTTTGACGATTGTGCTTTTCTGGGTGGTGCCTGGCAGCACCTGCTTCTCCAACGTCTCATGGCCTGACAGCTTGGAATAAAATTGCAGGACTTTCGCATGCACCATGACTTTGCGTTCATCGAATCGAAGTACCTGCAATCCCTCCTTGCTCCTTGCACGACTCAGTGCAACATATGCTTGCCCTTTCTCAAACACTTTGCCCAAATCCACCTTGACTCGGGTCAATGTTTGTCCCTGAGCTTTGTGAATTGACAGAGCCCATGCAAGGATTAGAGGGACTTGCACGCGTTTTGCAATGACCTCTCCCTGTTGTGATTCGGTCTTCCACTCGTCCGGCGAGCAAAGCATGGTGCGGGATGTGCCATCCGGGAGATTGAATCTCACCATGGGCCATAGTCGTGTAGAACCAACACTCGGCCCCTGATTCTTCATCCTAGCCTCCTGTATCTTCTGGCGCGCGGCGGCTTTCTCGTCCTCATTAGCCCCGTCGTCTGGTCCATTCGCCAGGAGATACGACGGCTCGTCCTCTTTGTAGGCGAAGAACGTCCCTTCGTCCATGAATGACTGTACAATCCCCAAAGAGCCATTGACGAGTTGCGAATCGATATTCTTGATCAACATGACCTGGGCTCCTTTCTTTAACTCAAGGACTTCAGGAGCGATGAAATTGGCTAGCAGATTCTTGCGGATTGTCAAATCTTGGACACCCGAGTCAACGGCATCAAATCTCATAAGTTGACCAGATAGTTTCCGCATTCGATTCTGATTAGCGTTTTCGACCTCGTCGCGACGTGGATATCTAATAGTGGTCAGCCAAGCCTCCTGCAAGATATGGTACGCTTACAGCTCGGTAGCCTCAAGATCGTCATGAAAGTCAAGAGGTCTCGACAAAGATTTGAACTCTCGAATGGTAGCAGCGCTCATCCTACCCAACCGCATCTCGTTGAGCATCTTAGCGAATTGTTCGTCCTTTTGCCGGAAGACATGTGTCAATAGAATGGTGTGTTCGATACAGGTATTCCAAGTGACCGCATCAAAGACAAACTTCGCGACCGAATTCTTCTCTGGTACTGGGGGAAGTTGAAAGAAATCTCCAGTCACCACCAGCTGAATACCTCCGAATGGTCGACCGTTGTTGCGAATCGTGCGGGCAATTTGCTCAAGTTTGTCGAAAAGTTGACCATCCACCATTGATATTTCGTCAACAATGAGTACCTTTGTCCGCAGCCACTTCTGCCGCGACTTTTGATTACGCTTGATCTTCTTGACGAGCTCTGGGGCAGGCTCCTTTCCCAACCCAATGCCTGACCAACTGTGCAGTGTTTGGCCTTCTAGAATGCAAGATGCCAGGCCTGTAGACGCCGTGACAGCGATTCGATCAGGCTCCTTTCGGTATTTGTGTTTCAACTGAGCAATGATCGCCCTCATAAGGACCGATTTGCCAGTACCTGCGGAACCTGTGAAGAACACACTCTTCCCCTCTTCCATCACTGTCTTCATGACAGCCTTTTGTTCGTCACTGAGAAAGGTTTCTGGTACTCTGTCCATTGTTCCGTTCTGCTTCTCGGACTTGATAGTCGACTGAACGGTTCGGTCAGACGAAGTTCGTGGAATGGGTGTGTTGGACCGTTGCCGAGCGATTGGTGCTTTTTGCAACATATTCGACATTGCTGCAGAGGCTTTGTCGACACCAGTAGCGGATTTAAATTGCTTTGTCGTCGAATACTTGTCAAAACGACCATTGTGTCCATTATCTGCTTTCTTGCCATATTGCTCATTGTAGGAGTGACCTCCCGCAGTCATGGGCTTTGACGCGAATGTAGCCGGCAGCACTCGTTTCTTCGTTTGTCTGACCGGTTCCGGCGAGGCTGAATCTTCAGGAGATGTCCTTGTAGACGGCTTTGCGAAATGTGACGCTGGTGATGAAGACCACTGCACCGGGGCACTGCTGGTGGGCTGGGAAGAGTCCATAGGCACCGCAGGCAGGTTCGGATATTCACAGTCGAGACCGTCGAGAGAGGGATAGCGAATGTCCGAGCCTTTCTTCGGAGACGTCAAGTCGATGAAATGACTGGGAGAAGTGTTCTCATCGAAGGACGTCTGCTGATGCAACGCCCCCAATCCGCTGGTGGTACTCATGGTCCGCCCGAACTTTCGTTTGAGGCTGTTGGTTTGGGTATCGGTACTCGCGTTGGCCGCCGCAGAGTTCAAGCGGAGAGGTGATTGCTTCTTCTCGGCGTTCGACGTAGATGCATGTCGGTTGATGGCTCGATTCAGCATGATGGCGTCGACGAACCTCTTGGGGCTTCTCAGAGGGCCATGGGAAGCACGCAAGAGTACAGCGGGAGAGGGAAGGTGCATGAAAGGAACAGGATGTGAGGAAGGATGACCCGGAGAAAAGAGGTGAAAGGTGGATTGGGCTATACAGAGGCCTGCAAATTGACCGCAATGAAGCGCACCCGCAGAAAACGCGTGCAAAGTCGCGTTTTGACTAGTAGTGGCAATTTAATCCAATAAAAAGTAGCAGTTCGGCTTTGAGCGGAAGTGGGGTTCTCATGCAAGGCTGAACAAGGCTGCGAGAACACGAGTCACTCACTTTACGAAGTACCTGCAACCTAAAAAGGATCAATTTGCTTTCTTTCCAATGCATTCATGTCTTTCTGAGAAGTGGTGATGTGAAACAATATCTAACGCATTCGCATGGGTATCCTGCTAATTCGTGGACTCGCTCAAGTTACAAATTGGAAAAACTTGTTGCCGCATTTCGTGGTACTCGAATTACCCCATCTGCATCGTCCGTGATTTCCGTAAGAGTGATGTTGTCGTGGCTGCTTCAATAGCACGTGTCATGAGAAGGCTCCATGTCGCAACCCACGATCAACGCACTGATCGAGATTATGGCTGATATCCTGGATAGCTGTTGCCGTATGTTGCTGGAGGTTGCGGATACATTCCTACTGGTGGTCCCGGAGCACGACCATAGCCCCCAGCTGACGGAGGAGCCTGGCCAAATGCGGACTGTGGTGACTGAGTGTAAGGACTCGGCATATGGTTCGAATCCCAATTGCCACGACCACCAGGACTTGGGCCTGCAACTCTGTTAGCCATGTTCTGCATACTTGCAGTTCGCATCTTACCTTGTGGCGTCAGGGGACCTGGGCCACCATATTGCGGAAAGTATGGTGAGGCTGGATTGTAACCGCCTGGAGTTGACGCAGATCCGATGGAGGTTTGTGGTGAATAGGTGTCGAACTGGCTGGTTGGTGGACGGTCTTTACCCCACTGTATCTGTTAGATGCGCCACAATCACGTTACTTTCCAGTACTCACCGAGCATTTCAGGGGGCGGCCATTGACATTGTACCCAGACAACTGACAAATTGCCATAGCTGCATTCTCGTGGGTGTCCATCTTCACAAAGGCGAACCCGCGGTCGGACTGGAAGCGCGTCTCGACCACATAGCCAAAGTTCTGGAAGAGGGGAATAAGATCGGCCTGAGTCGTGTAAGGCGTAAGATTACCGACATAGCATGTAGTTTGCCAGCTAGGAGTTTGGTTGGCCACCATCTCGTAAGACTGGACGCCTTGAGTGGGGAAATGGTGGTGGCCAAAAGGAGTGGTCGGAGTCATGCCCATCGCCGCCATTGCTTGTTGTTGTGAGATGGACGGCTGACCTTTCTGGTTTGCCCAGTTGCATCGAATGGCGCGACTACCAAGCCATTCGCCATCCATCGAGGCGAGGGCCTTCTCCGCGTCTTGCCTTTCACGAAAGGCCACAAACCCATAGCCACGAGTGCGGCCAGTCTTCATGTCCCACATGACGCGAGCTTCGGAAACAGAACCAAATGTAGAAAACGCTTGCAATAGAACTTCATCGTTGACTTCGTTACTCAAATCACCCACAAAGATGTGGAAATGATTCGAGGTATCTTCTTTGTTCGAACTGTTGGATTGATACGCCCAATTGACACGGATTTCAGCCTGATGGACTCGGCGGCTATTGAGAGTGTTCATAGCACGCTCAGCGGCGCCGGGGTCATCGTATTCGACGAATCCGTAATTCAATCCCTTAGTGTTGAATTGCTTGGACTAATTAGCGCAAGGTCTTGCATACCATACTAAAACTCACATTCTTGTCCGGGATAACCTTGACACTGACCACGTGGCCGGTGGTTTCGAAGATCTGCTTCAGAACATCCTCGGTCACCCGGGGATCGAGTCCACCCACATACAGCGCTCTCTTGTTTGGCTCGGGGGCAGCTCTCCGAACGACCCCGCCAGACGAGGGTGACATGGCTTCATCTAGACTCGTAGGACTGCCCACCGTGTTGTTGTTCTGGGGAATGACTACTGGAGGCAGCGCAGGAGGTCCCATGCTGATGCCGGTGTGGCCATTGCTTCCAGGTGGAGCATCGTAACCAGGAGCACCAACTGCGGATGATGGAGGTGCCATGGTAGTAGGAGCAATGTTCTCGTCCATCTTGAGAAGTGACAACCTTTGTGACGATTCAAGGAGACGACAATGAAAGCCTGCGCTGGAACTCGTAGTGGGGAACAATATGCAACAGCTCAGGCTAAGTACTTTTGCTTTTGTAGTATTCGTGGAGAGAAACGTTGACGGTTGGTGTCGTAGAATAGGAAAGTTTGCTGGAAAAGTCGAAGATAACTCGCTATCAAGATGAGAGACCAACCCAGCAGAAGAGCGCCAAACGTCGACAAAGTAGGAGATGGTTGCGAACGCAGAAGATACTCGGAGGAGAGGAGGGAGGAGAAAATGTGGTAGTGGTACGCCGGTCGTGAAAGAGGTCGCGCCGAGATGAGACAGAGGCAGGCGGGCGGAGCGGGCGGCGGCAGGTTGCTGGGGATTTGAGATAGCAAAGCAGAGCAGAACAGTAGCAGCGCACCAAATAAGTGATCTGAACTGAGGAGATGACTTGTAGGAAACGGAGAGATGGGAGATCGCTCGATATCTTTTCCCAACGCCCAAACTTGCAATGCACGAATTCCAAGCGAGACAACGGAGATGGGAAAAAGGAAGAACAACGACGAAGACGACGTATAATAAATGAGGAAGAAAATGGATGGATGTTGAGTAAAATGAGGAGATGCCGTATAGCGACGTTATGAAGTTTGGAGCTCCTCCAAGATAAGGCGTCAGCCCAGCCAGCAGTCACAACTCTAATTAGGGCGTGTAGGGGACTTTTTAGCCTTTAGCTCCGGAAACTCGGGGGCGAAGTGGCACTTCATAGGCGCCCAAAAGTCAAAGCTTGGAGCTTCGATACCCACCAGGGCCTGTCAAAACATGCAGCCTGTTTGAAGCTAGCGATAGCTTCGAGGCTTGTGGTGCGGGCGCCCGCCTCAGTCAAAAGACCGGGGGTTTCAAAGTTCAAGGTCATTGACAAGCAGGGTGTTCGACCCACCATCAGCGATCATCCTGCGAAATTGACACTTTTTCCAGTGGGCGCCAGTGTCAACTGACATCGAGTCACTTCACCTTTATTCACACTGCAGCCGACAGCTATGTACCTGCCCCCTTCTACATGAACGAAGTCGCTTTCGCCAGCACCCCCACCGTGTTTCCTGCCGTCTCTTTCCCAATCCTGACCTTGATCACCACACGAATGCAGACGTCATCATGGCGACGACAGCGAACAAACCCCCGTACGACCCGGTGAAAACGGTGGAAGGCATGTTCAATGGGTCTGTGACTCGCATCGCCTACGCCCTCAAAGATCCGTTGAACTACGCCCAGTCCACGAGAGCCGTGCTTGTCGAAACCGCAAAGAAATTTCAAGATGCGCTTGACGATTGCGAAATCCAGATCCTCGATGCAAAATGGTACTTGGAACAGAAATTGGCCATGAACAAGGCCCGCCGAGAGAAAGCACGCGAAGACATCGCGGCCAGTGCGAAGAGAAAACGTGACGAAGAGGAAGGTGTGCAGGAGAAGCCTGTAGAAGTTGCAAAAGATAATGCGCCGAAGCGCGTCAAGACAGCTGAGCCAGAGGAGGCTGCGCAACCACAAGAGCCCTCGCAACAATCGCAAGCTCCTCCAATGCCTGCTGTGAAGAGCGAGCCAACGTCGCAAGTCCCGCAGAAACAACCAGCAATGAAGACAACTGCACCCAAGCCCGCAGACAAACCTCAAGCTCCAGTCAAACCAGAGGTCAAGCCATCTCAAATACCGCCGGCGCCGACTCCCAAGGTACCAGAAAAGCCGCCCGAAAAGCCTCCTGCTGTAGAAACCAATTTTCAAGCGCCTACTTTCGACGATTTCACCAGGGCCACCCCACAAGACACGAGTAACGAGGAATTCAACTTCGTCTCCATGTTCGGTGACGGCGATCCTTCCGCGGACATGATGGCTGGGGCCGGAAACGACATGAATATGAACTTCGACATGGGTCTGGGCGACAGCTTCGATGCTAACGCAACAAACCTCAATCTCCAGGATTCCTCATTGAATTCCTTGCTTCCAGGTCTGGAGTCTTACGCCAACCAAGCCGGCGACGACAACAATTTCAACATGGGCATGCCCATGCCCACAAATACCAACATGAATGTGAATAACAACAGCATGGGAACAGGCGGCGCTGGGACGGATGCAGCAGCTGCCATGGGTACCACCGACAACAGTCTCCAAGAAGTTGATTTCAGTCTCCCAGCTCTAGGGCCCAATGAGTTCGACGAGCTTCTGAATTCCAGCGACATGAACTTTGACGGAAACGTCGACTTTGACGATAACGCCATGGGAAATCTAGAGAACATGGATCTTGACTTTGACAGTATGTTCAAATGAGGGAATTGAATTGGCATCACCTAGAAACCGGAGGGAAAAAACCTCAATTTTAATGGACACCATGGTGGTCACGGTATGGCTGGTTCCAGCTTTTTGCGAAATGGACCTGGGTATATTGTTCATGAGACGGGCTGCATGGAGGAAGATTGGATTCTCTGATATATGTCATCAAACTTCAATGGTATAGCGATGGTGTTGGGACAGGGAGTGATTGGGTTTGGGATGAGATGGCGGTTGCTTGTACTTCAAAGATACCCTCGGTTCGGATCATGGGGATCACGGTTCAGCTACACTATACGGAATGATCTGCACAAAGGCACCAGATGGTAGAATACTGCAATTGATTGATCGTTCTCTCTAGCAATCTGTCTGCCCAGCTTCTATCAAAGAAGTGCTCTGCGTGCACCATATCAAGCCACAAAGCAGTTTTCTGAACATCAAACAGTTCATGAAGCCGCGCCCCCTTGATCAATCGATCAATCAGCCTTGCCCTTCCCATTCAGATTGTTCAACGAACTGGTCGTCGAATCCAATGGCGAACCAATCACATGCAGCGAGAAATCGACTTCCCCAACCAACTCCTTGACCTTCGCCAATACAGCAGACGTTTCCTGCATGATGAGCACGCTGGCGATCTCGAGCACTGCAAACGCAGCATAGCACGGCTCGTCGATATGCTGCACGCTCAAAATCCCCGGGTCGATACCGGCCAGCTGGTCTGCAAGATGGATTGGCGGTGGCACGCGCACGTACGGGGGAAGAGGCTGGGCGTTGTACATGCTGGCCGACAACAAGCAAAGCGTCGATGTAAGCTCGTGGCTAGTCACGGTGGTCTCGGCCGTCATCCGTCGGAAATCGCGCAGCCACTCGCTCTCCTCGCCGTCTTGTTTCGACTCGAAGGTCTGGGCCGCGAAGTTGATGATCGACATGTAATTGAACAGGCTCTGCATGTGCGCGATCAGTGCATCGTAGGTCTGTTTGGGAAACTTGCCGCCGATCGAGGGCTCGTACACGGTAAACGCCGAGTGCTCACGTAACTTGTTCATCATGATGATCATCTTCTCGAAGCTGCGCCGGCGGGCCTTGTCGAGCTTCTTCATCGCTGACATCTTGCCTGCGTCTTGGGCGCGCCAGCCGAGCCGCAGTTTCATTTCGAGTGTTGAGTGCGTGATCGAATAGTAATTGGCCATTATGTACAGTGTAGATCCGAGGTCCTTGCGCAGCGTGGCGTGCGTGGTAATTGGGTACGGGAAGTACGTCCAGATGAACGCGACGGACAGACCGATCACGACTGCGGCGAGTCGATACGGCGCCAGGACGTATATGTGGTAATACTTCTGTCCGTTCGAGGTCAATGCCTTCGTGCCGATTTTGAGGTCTTGCAGCTCGTATCCAACGATGAGGATCACGGTGACCATAGAGATAACGCCCGTTATCATCAACATCGGCTTCTTCAACAGGACATAGAAGCCGCATAAGAAACACAGGTAAGTGAGAGGAATGATTGCAGCGGGCTTCTGATCCGACATGTACCAAATAGTGATGGAAGCGATCATGGCCACAAGAGTGCCCGCAATTCTCAGGACAAAGCCTTGCACGCCGGCACCAGCAGTCGGTCCCATACTGATGGCCACCATGATTACTGCCCAAATCCCACGTTGCGCTAGATAAAACTCGTGAGTTTGGCGCAGATAGCCAATGATTGCGAGGCTCATGGCAGCAACGGCTGCGCGAAAGCCGTAGCTGCATGCGTCGGATCCTAGGAACTTTGGGACTGCCCTCAGATGGTTTGTCAAGCGCTGATAAAAGTTCGTTGGAGGTAAATGCTCTGGATCCTTCTTTGCTGATAGCGCGTCACCAAGCGCGATATGGATTCCAGTGGCTTCAGTGTCGGCAAATGTCGGTTCAGAGTCCTCCTGCGTGAATGCGTGCTGAAAGAGTTTCCTTATCCGCTTCCATCCTGGGAAAATGAAATGCTTCTTACTCATTGTTCCGTCCTCGACCTTGGAATCTGCATAGTGGACGAGGTCCAGTACCGAATGACAAACCGAGAGAACTAAGTATTCGAGGTAAAGGGTCAAGTAGAGCTGCTGATGGTTTTGCTTCGATCGTACAGCGTCAGCTATCGAGTTTGGATCGTCGAACTTGTACTGTGCTGCAGAGTCCTCCCAGAATTTTTGAGGAACTTCTATTCCTTTCTTCTCGCACCACTTCCGCAAGGTCTCCTTGCGATGGATTGCGAAGGATTTGATCTCCTTCTCGAGGTGCACGGCAAAGTTTCGATCACCGGGCGCTGGTGGCATATCCGCATTCTTCTCGATATCTCGCTTGGAAGCCATTGGCCGTGGAAGCAGTTCAAGTGTGTAAATAATGTGTGCTATGCCATCGTTGAGTCTTTCCTCGAGCTTGCGGAAAGGCTCCCTGGATAAAGCCACGATCTCGTGCCACTCATCTGCCTCAAAGCGTCTGATGGATTCGAGTGTCTGGCTATCCGGAATGAGGTCTTCCCCTTGATTCTTGTGCTGCCTGACTGACTGTAAGATGTCGGCGAACGTCGACAAGCCTCCCACTGGCAGGAAAATCTGTCGCAACATCGTCCATATCTTGGCAAACTCGTCCGGCCAGAGTTTTCCGATTGCTATCTCCTTTTTTGCAAACCCGATTTCGACTTTCAGTTGACCAAACAGTTTAGCAGCCTGCTGAAGCGTCATCTTCAATTTGGCTGCAATCTCTTGTGCCTCCTTGTGAGAAGCAGCCAGATCAGGTGTCAAACTGGCATTTTTGTCCTTCCCAAACTCGGCCGGGTGTTCGAGGGCAGCAACTGTGATGGTGTGGAGGTAGGCGTTATGAAGAGAGATGCTGGCTTTCAGCAGGTTCAGAACACCAGCCATTTGCTTCCCGCAGATTTTTCTGGAGGAGACTGGGATTATGATGAAAGACACCGCGGTGGCTATTCCAAAGCCGGTGAGGAACACCTTCAACAATCTGTCCACGAAACTCTTTCCAGCCTCCATGCTGGGAAATGTCGCCGCATAGGTTGAGGCAACAGTGATGAAAATACAGTATTGGATCGAAACAATCGTAAGCTGTGGACGTAGTGCTCTGATAGTATTGGCAAGCCACAAGTTGAAGAACAGGAAGACGGCGGCTGTTACATTTGCGGCCGCATTGTAACTCAGGGACTCTTTGCTGCCGGAAGTCCCTGTTTCCGATGCTGCCTTTGCCGAACCCCGGGCTGATGTAGCGCATCGAATTGCGAGCAAAGCCATTGCAGCTGCAAAGCATATAGCAAACACGGACAGCAGCAAGGATTGCGCAAACTTTGCTCGCGGCAGAATAGGCAGAGAGATGACAGACATGATACCGATCAAGTATCCCAGTGTCGTAAACTCGGCAGCCCAAGCATCACTCTGGTATCTATTCTCGGTAAGCATGCGGCGAATGCAGACAATGACCGATACACTTACGCTGCCAGAGCAATCACTGGCGGTATCCCCCCTCTATGTCTCGTCAGTGGTACTTTCGGTTGGAAAAGCGAGAGTCTCACTTTATCATGAGCAAGAAAGTCGGCAAATCCAGATCAAGCATTGTACCTATTCGTTTCAGAAAGCCTTGTTTAGGCTCCGGCGCCTTTTCATGTCGTTGGTCCTTCTTATCATGCATGGTTGTCTTCTCATCCACCAACGTCTGCTCTCTCTCAGACGACGACATGGTATCCAAGACGATTTGGGAAAAGCGTCGACGCGCCGTGGAAGGAACAAATGAGATTCACATGGGAAACAATGAAGAACCAAACACTCGGGCAGATGCTCAGATCAAGTTCGATTTCACCCATTTGGTTGTGAGGTTTAAAGACATGCTCGGGAAGTTAGGCTCAGGCACATGCTGTTCACCTCCTACCTGATCCGTATGCGCCGCGTACGAGGACGAATCATGGCTGTAGATTGAGTTCAGTGCCATTGCTGAGTCACTGGCTGATTCATTTTCAAGGTTGTCAAGGTTCATAAGGCCGCCCAGCCTGCCGCTTCAAAATTGTCCATCGAGTTGTGAGGGGAAATAGTCAGTCTGACGGCACTCAGTATGTGTCAAATTGAAAGGAATCGCGGATGACATTGTTGATTTTTTGGTACAGAATAATGCTGTCTGACTCAAGAGATACTCATGATGTTTCCGGTGCTCGGCCTCCATTGAGAGCGATCCTCCGGCGCCAAGAGATTGATTAAGCTGCGATTTCCTGAAACTTTTGTGAAAGGCTGTTCGATGTATGTACGAGACACTGTCGATTGAACATCCCAAGATGCCTCCAGCAAGGGCGCCGAGTGCCCTTCTGCTGCATTCATTGAGGTCTTTGAACTTCGAGACTCCTCTACTCGGTGCTTCGGCGCGGTCGCTCACCACCACAAGCTCCACGCGTGAAGAAGCAGAAGCCCAAAAACCGTCCTTTTATCGAAACCCAGATCCTGCCACGGTTTTTGTGCCACGACTTGAAAGAAAACTGAGCAGAGAGGGAAAGCCACCGATCGGATCACGAAGACGGCGTGCGGCCCTCGCACAATCTCCCGGCATTGCTTTTGATCAGTTGCCTTACCAATGCTTCCAAGAAGCTCGCAAGATCCTCATTGAGGACAGAGCGGAAAAATTGAAAAAGATAGAGACGGAAAGAGCTCGCATTGCTCGCCTTCAGGATGTCGATCCGAGCACGTTTCCAGGCGGCGAGGTCTACAAACAAAGGAGATTGCGGAGTATGCAAGCAGAGCTGGAGCAATTGAAGATATTGGCTGACATCAACGATCCCAACGTCAAGCGGCGATTCGAGGATGGCAAAGGTAGAAGCAAACCGCGCAGACCTCTCGAACTTTGGCTGACCAAAATAGGCGATATGAACAAACCCATCTACAGATATCTCGCCGAACGGAAATGGCGGGAGTACCCAAGGAAAATCCTGGTTCAGCGGATTACGCAGATGAATGTGCTGCCCGACGTGATTCCAAATTGTGATCCCATTCTGGACGTCAAAATCTCGTTCGGCAAGAAGGCTGTACCACCGGGCGACTTTGTTGAGTCACACATAAGCGAAAACCCGTGTCAGCTTGTTTTACAACCCTTTGACCGAGGCGAGAAGATGGTCACCATTGCCATCGTCGATCCAGACGTCCCAAACACCGAGACCGACAGTTTCGAAACTAGATGTCACTTTCTAGCATCCAACATCACTGTCTCAGCTACCCAAACCTTGGTCGATCTCGCCAAATTCTCCGCGGATGCTCAGGTCCTGCTTCCGTGGCTGCCACCTCACGCACAAAAGGGTAGCCCTTATCATCGATTGTCCATCATTGTCTTGCAGCAAAAGGACAACATTCCTATCGACCTAGAGGTTGCTAGGAAGAAGGTCGAAAGAAACGGATTCTCCACCCGCAGCTTCATGAGCAGGCATATATTGAGCCCCATCAGCGCGTCTCTCTTCAGAACTCAATGGGACGACAGCACTGCGGCTGTTATGCAGAGAGCAGGTCTTGCAGGCGCCGATGTCGAGTTGAAGAGAAAGAAGGTCGAGCCTCTGCCCTATAAGAGGCGCAATCCAAGCAGCTTCAGATAGGTCGGGTCAGCCAGACCTTGTACAATATATTGTGTCGTGTCCATGACTGTCTCGTTCGCTTTTAGCATTGCCAGTCAAGGTCCCATGACTTCGTAAAGGTGACTCAGACATCGAAGCTTCAGTCGACTTTCGCGTCCTCTAAGGCGAGCTCGCCATGCACAGGTTCCAGAGACGTGTAGTCGGCTTGTGATGCAGGGTGGAGCTGCGGTGTCCGAAGGCTTTTCCACGTGAACCAACCTGTGCCATTATACAGCACTTTACCAACAATCAGAGCCATTGGCAGTGGTCCATAGAATCTGGAATCCCTGCTGTAGGTCAAGCTGTCTCCAGCAACCCACACATGGCCTTCCGGTACCTGTACCATCATCGGCTCCTCGCGGACTGCATCAATGTCCGTCACACCAGGCACGGGCACGCCGCCCACGGTCGGACATTGCGACGGATCGCGCACGATGTAGTCGCCTGGCATACCAATGACTCGCTTGCATGCTCTTCCTCGTAGAAAGATAGGATTCTCAAATACTATGATATCGCCCACTTTTAAGTTTTTTCCGCGTCTATGTCTCCGAGAATATATGGTAAAGGACTCTTCGGTCGGTATAGTTGGGTACATGGAGGGTCCTTCTGTTTTCTGTTCAGGATTTGTTAGTCGCGCACATGCATTGCGGTTATAGGTAGACAAACATTGATTGTGACCAGGTCATGCGAGATCAAGGCAAATGCCGAGTACATTGCAACCATAGCAAAGCCATACTGGATTATGGACCCTGCAGGAGTCCGCACCTGACTGGTAGGGAGTTGTGCAAAGAACTTGCGGAAGCGGGACATTGTCCAGGAAAGATAGACAAGTGTGTAGAGGCTAAACGAAAGACATGGTAGAGGAGAACGAATTACGTCCGCCTGGAGTCAACGGCGCTCCTTATTCTTTGGCAAACCGATAGACTGCACCAAACACTTGATGTGGGATTCACGTTGCTTCAGTAAAGTTTCTGGATATGAAAAAAGCTTTAGGTAAGCTTTCAGGCAATCCATTTCCCCGCGAGCAGGCAGCAGGAATGGGGTCCACAGGAACACATATAAAGAACGAACATGTCAGACATCACCTAACTTAGGCCTTTGACTTGTGTTCTCGCTTGTTGTGCCCTTGTTGCTTTGGTCATAGATCATCCTCTCACTGCCGTTTACTTTGAGGTGCACGTTCATCAGGATGCAACGACTATCGATAGAAGCTGCCCGAGACTACCTCCGATCATATTTTGTGGAAGCTTACTTGCAACAACGTGGGCAGAGAGCCCGTGCCTGGAAGCCCGGTACACGTTCTTCTTGCCTGGCCGCCACTCGGAGAGGCTCTTTACCTAGGTATCTTTTACCCGTACACAAGCGAAGCCCAAAAAACTATGAAGAAACCGGACATGCCATCAAAGACTTCGGATCGACCATTCGGGCCTAAATTACGGAAGTACGCAGTGTGCTGTCTCCTTCCCACTCCTTGTTGGAGAGATGAATGTTCGCTTGTTTCATTTCAGCCCCATATTCAATGCTACCTTTTGACAAGCACAGGATCGACCCATGCTTACAGGCTTCTAGAAGCGAGCACTCTCCGGATCCTTTCCTTATCTGCCGATCCATTCGAGCTGAAAACCCTCGCAAGGATGGCCACCAAAGAACCGACGCAATGCGCCTTTAGCCACGGTTCTGCCATGCCGTTGTTGCCGTGGCAAGCTCAAAATCGTGATATCGGCTGGCCTGTTGCATACACGATCATGACGGATCGAAAGAACATGGTCCGATACATGCATCTCGCTACGAGTACAGCAGAACAAATATACCACGGAAGCCCAGCCGAAAGTGGCAGTCTCCGACAGTAGTGAAGGGCACCAGCAAGAGCCAAGATTCCACATGTGGCCCGCATCATGGCGCCTCTGTCTGTACCGCCTTTATCTTTACCGCCTTCATCTTTACCGTCGTTATCGTTACCAATTGATCATGAAATCATGCACCACTCTGACGTCGGAGAATCGCGTCAAATGTCATCACCCTCAAATGAGGCAAGATTCCTCGACACCAATACACGAAATGTAATTGATCGTGTCTGGGCGCTGACGTCGTTGGCTTGATGTGCAAGGCAGAAGCTGCACTGGAGAATCCGATTGTCCATCCCATAACGAAGCTCGTATTGAAGGTCTGAGGAAGTCGAAATCGTTGACATACCACAAGCTTTGTGGCCTAAGACTTAGCATTGCTTCGTCCACGGTGTTGGGGGAAATCCAAGATATCAAAGTTGCACTGACACAGCCTTCCCAGGCGCTAAAACGCTAGGAGGCGCCGAGATACAGAGGTGGCGCGAAAGATCACAACACTACCGGTCGATCACTCCAGCCTTTGGATATTATCCGGTTTCTATCTCGATTATCTGCAACACCCACTCCATTTACCGCGCATATCAGGCAATTGGGAGTGACAACGAGTTCGAACAACGATGATTTACTGACGAAAACTATTTGCCTCGGTTGAAGAACAGACATATCAAACTCTAAGGGGTTTGGACTGACTTGCGGAACACCATCACCGCTAGCAGAGATCCATCTCTGCCGCACGGTATTTATCTAACGTACCTGCCTGTTTGCGTTACTGTGTCGCCGCCCAGGGGGCGACTGTGGCATGATCTCATCATACTTTCAACCTAATCCAATCAACGGTATGTACATTTCCGCTTAAGGTCGCTGAAAAGGTAGGTCAACATGGGGATGGGTTTAGACGGTTAGTTGTACGCTTTCTTCTTCCTGACCCTATCATACTCTCGCCCAACCTAGATCGCGAATTGACGTCGCAATCTCAATCCTGGGTCCCCTCCTCTCCTCAAACATGATCAGACTAGCCTTCTGGGGCGTCTTGATAGCCGGGGAGGCAAAGGATAGAGGCCAATTATACAACCTTGACCTATCAGTTGTGGAATCCTTTGCAAGGAAACCGTCCCAATTTGGTGTATGTTAGATATACATCCTATCTACTGCGTATCAAGGGGAGTATCACCCTGCAATCCTTTAGTCTGGTCAGAGCCAGCGAGCCCTGGGTATCAGGTATATATATCCCAGCTTATTCCACCATTACTTGCTCCACGTCTCGCCTACAAGAAATTTTTTGGTACGACATATCGTAAACTCATACAAGATGGCAGCAGGTGTAGGATCTATGGCCGGCATCGGCGCTGCCGACGATCCTCGTCTCGATAACGACGGTTTTGGTAATTCCGATGGTCCTACAGCGCTTCGCCAGAAGCTACACGACCCCAGTATCCCAATCGAGGAGTACCTTTACTATGCAAAGATCACGCGGGCAGAAGAAGACCGTTTGTACGGACCGGGAAGTGATTTTCAACATACCGATGGTGGTGCTACCGCCTTTGTCAAAGAGAAGATCCTTCGCAAACGCGTGCAGCGTCGCGTCTCGATCCCGCAGCCTCGCCTGTCTATCAGTGCTCAGGGCGAGGCCCAGATGCAGCATATGCCTTCCGAATCTGGCAATGATTCTTCCAACGAGAAGGCCAACAAGGAGAGAACCCATGCACCGGTGACCATCTCGGACGAGGAATGGGTACAGGCCTCCCGAGCTGCGAGAACCGCTACCTGGTATGTGGCCGCCACACCGTTTGACTTACGCCAGCTAACGTAGCTATCAGGTCCGCTGTCTTCTATCTCATCACCACTGATATCTTGGGCCCTTTCAGTACTGGATACGCTTTCAGTCAAATGGGTCTAGGACCTGGTGTTGCGCTCTTCACGGTCTTTGGCGCTCTTGCCGCTTACAGTGGTTACCAGCTGTGGCGTATGTACCTCCAGCTCGATAGTGATCGCTACCCGATGAAAGGATATGGCGACATCGCTTTCCGCATCTATGGTGCATGGTTCCGTCATACTTGCAACGCCTTGCAGTCGTTCCAATTCTTCTTGAACGTGGCGTTGATCGTCCTGACCAGTGGTCAATCCATCAGTCAGCTGTCCAAGGGCAAACTGTGCTTCATCGCCTGCATGGCTGTTTGTACCATCTTCGGCTGTCTCGTGGGCCAGATTCGGACGCTGCAACGCTTCGGTTGGCTTGCTTCTTGGGCGGTGTTCCTCAACCTATTCATTATCTTTGCAACGTAAGTGGCATTATTTTCGCATACGTCCACCCTTGACTAACGCGACTGTTCTAGTATGGGTGTCATGGCTCATTCGCCACCCAACTACGCGCTCTATGCGGCCTCAAACCCTGATTTCGACATAAACAATCCTGACCCGATAAAGGTTGCTGGAGGCTCCCCGCCTGGTCTTAGTCTGAATGACAATGTCAACGGACTCATGAACGCTGTCTTCTCATTCGGTGGCGCCACGCTTTTCGTCGAGTTGATGGCGGAAATGCGCCGCCCCATGGACTTCTGGAAGGGACTACTCGCTGCCGACATCCTCATCTACCTCTGCTACATGGTATACGGCCTCTATACTTACTGCATGCAAGGACAATATGCGTATAATGTATCATACCAGGGCGTGTCCCCTTACGGCTGGCAGACTGCTTGCAACATTATCGGTCTCATCACTGGTTTGATAGCGGCTGTTCTGTACGGCAATATCGGCGTCAAAGTTCTTTACAACAACGTGGGACGAGACCTCTTCAAGTTCCCAATCCTCGAAAGCAAGCGCGGCAAATGGATCTTCGTCTTCTTCGTTCCACTCTACTGGGTCGCTGCTTGGGTTATCTCGCAGTCGGTGCCTCAGATTAATTCTTGGATCGTGCTTGTCGGCGCTGGATGTATCCTGCAGTTCACTTACACATTCCCCCCTTTCATGATGCTTGGTCTCAAGATACAGCGTGACGCTATCCTGCCCAACGAGACGTTTGATCCTGCTACTGGTCAAGTCACTCATGTTGACAGCGGTATGAAGCGGTGGATCCGTGGATTCAAGAAAGAGCTTGCGTGGAACCTGTTTGACCTGTTCTTCTACCTCGGATCTTGTGTCACTTGCATCTTGGGTTTGGTTGCTGCCTTCACCACTATGGTTGATGCTTACAAGGAATCTGTCAACTTGACGGCATGGAAATGCGAGTCGCCAACTGGCTAGAACAAACCTACAACGGCAACGCATTATCAAGGGCAGAAGGTTGTGCTGACGGTACTGAGACTTGCGTGGTTGTTGAGTGGAGGAAGGTGAAGATGGTTTGAGGACACAAACATGATTGTTGAGCAAAGTGACTTTGTTCACGGTGAGAGACGTATTTACAAGTGTATTCGACAATAACCATAGACTTCTCGCTTTCTATTCTCGAGTCATGTCGTCTGCTCAAGGTTCAATTTATATGGATGTAAGTTTTCAGGCCACCAAAGTCTGGGGTAACCTACATTTTGACTTCGTGTACTCCGTATGCGCGTGATCTCCGAAATCTGACGTTGCAAGCACGCAATTTCTGACCCATCACGATGGGCGTCCTCAATATGGCCATCATTCCGTCTTTCATTCTTGTTTCAACCATCATCATTGTCTGTGCCGGCGCAGACCTTCTTTTCACCCAGTATAACTTGAACCATGCTGCACCGCTGGGCGCTACTGTGTAGCTTGTTCCTTTCAGTCACCCTTCTACTTTTTGCCTGTTCAGTCGAGGCCCAGGCGCAGAGCGGCGCCCAGCTGCCATTGGACGACGCTTATCACAGGGATAATCAGGTACAAGGCGGGGAACATGCAGGTACAGTTCAACGACCCTCGACACAAGCGAGGACTCCATGCTTCAAGTTTCAAGGACTTTGTCTCAAAAGTTCGGCCTACAAACAAGACAATACTCATACTGTACCAACATGGAACATCCGGACACCTCTGGACGACCCCCAGCGTCCGATTAGAGACCCCGACTCCTATAACACGACCTGTGTGTTAAGAGTGTTCCCTAATGTCTTCAAGCAGGGCAAAGCTGACTCGCTGCTGAAGTACTTCCCCTGAGATTTGAACCTCTTCCGTTAGGTTCTGTGAAGCCGCTGGGATGGCTTCGACATCAGGTGGACTTGATGGCCAATGGTCTGCCTGGCCATCTTCACGAATTTTACCGCCTTGTCAAGGAGGCGCCCTGGCTTGGTGGTGACCAGGAATATTCATGTAACTTGCCAGCTGCACCGAACTTCCACTTCGAGACTGGAACGCTGACGCACTGATACAGGGCTCAACGAAGCATGGCCGTACTCGTACAATGCCATTGTGCCATTAGCCTATCTTTCCGACAGTGAAGTGCTCAAGCAGCACGTCCTTCGAGTAACGCATTGGGTCATCGATCAACAACAAGCCGATGGATGGCTGGGCCCAGAAGTAGACCTGGCCCGTCGCAACTTTTGGGGTCGATATCCGCTGTTCCTAGGGTTCATGCAATTAGTCGAAGCCGAACCCGAGCTAGGAAAAACCAAGATCCTGCCTGCCATGCACAAGTTCATTGTATTGATGTACAAAATGCTTTCGAACGAGCATGAAGGCTATGTATCGAAGCCTGGGGACAACTTCGACGAGCAATGGGGCAGGTCCCGTGCTGCCGATATGGTCCTCGCACTTCAATGGCTCTACGAAAAACATCCTATGGGCAATGAGAAGAAGATCCTTCGATGCATGGTGCATGTGTACGAGAAGGCGTACGATTGGTCATGGTGGTTCAGTGAAGAAAACTTCCTAAAAGAGGATCTTGACACATTTCCTGTCGAAGTCACGGACAAACTATTCCCCTATGTCCACGCTGTCAATACAGGGCAGGGACTGAAATGGCCGGCGGTGATGCGGAGACTGGTGCAGGAGGATAGTCTGCTCAATACGACCCGAAATGGAGTCAATTGGACATTCCAGTACCATGGGACACCCTCGGGAGCTATTATCGGCGACGAGCGTCAATCAGGACGTAGTCCTGTTCGAGGCACTGAACTGTGCAGTGTCGTCGAGACCATGTTCTCGCTCAACTATCTTTATCAGGCCGTTGGCGATCGTGACTTTGCGGATAAGTCGGAACTGGCCGCTTACAATGCCTTGCCGGTCATGTTCATGCCTCACTGGTGGGCTCACCAGTATATTGCTCAGACCAATCAGCCTATCAGCCATCCTCTAGAGAGGACCCCGTTCTGGAACGTCGGTCCTCTAGGTCAGACGTTTGGGACCGAGCCCAACTACCCTTGCTGTACGGTCAACATGCAGGGATATTCGAAATGGATTCCCGCGTCATATGTCAAGGTTGGCGAAGACGGATTGGCACACGCACTGCTTGGACCTACGCATGTCAGCACAACTTTGGGTAAACACAATCATGTCCGCATCCGCTGCGACACGAACTATCCATTCACAAACTACCTCAACTACGAAATCAAGGCGAAGTCTGCTTTCCGCTTCTCATTCAGAGTGCCTGGTTGGGCGATACTGGATGAAAGCAGTGTCCGTATCGACTCGGGCGAAGTTCACCAACTCAAGCCAGATAATGCGACAGGTCTGCATACCATTATCATACCTGCTGGCCGGACTAGAGTTCAGGTCATGCTTGGTGCGAAAGTTCGCATTGAGCCTCGGGCCAACGATACCGTGTCCATATATCACGGTGCTCTTCTCTACGCTCTGCCTGTCGGCATAGACTATCACCCTTCGAGGCCGGCGGCATACCCAGGAACTTCGGCCCCGCCAGAAGCCAATGACTGGGTACTCTTGCCTCGGGAGCCGTGGAATTTGGCTATCGACACATCAACATTGATGTTCTTCGAGTACCCCAATAGGTACGAGGAGTGGTTGCCAAACCCCATCTGGCATGAGGACGCGCCTCCTATCAGTATCTCAGCACTGGCATGTCAGATAGACTGGCAGTTGGAAGGTGGATATGCACCAAATCCACCGCTCAAAGGACAACGGAATTGCACGTCGAGAGCGTACCCGGTTGAACTGCGTCCGTATGGCAGTGCTAAGTTGCATATGGCTGAGCTGCCTACTGTGGACTTGACCCCGGGGAGTCCTGATCTGTGGTCTGGTAAGAATGCTGCAGAATAGGCGCAAAGATCTAAAAGCAAACCATCATTAGCGGACAATACTTAAAACAGGGTCGAAGACATAGCCGTTGTTTGGTGCACCTGACGTATTCCTGCCACTGGCGCTTGCCAATAACGGTTGGCGTGTGAAAAGGAAGTTTCCATCGACGGCAGCAGGCGCCTGGCTTATAAACGGTGACCTAAATTACGGAAACAACAAACACACTTTCTTCTCCTCTCCGTCCTCTTTTTGATCCTGGCTGGCGGCAGTGCAGCAGTATTTCCTTCGCTCGTTTCATTGTTGCACAGTGATGTCGCTGTGAAATACCTGTAGCTGCAGCTGACCCCTGGTGGACTTTGTCTCTTGTATTCGTAAGCGCCATGGATTTTGCCGAGTTCTAGCTGCAACCTCTGCAGTCCAATCGTGCACGGTGACTGCTTCCAAGCACCAGTGATGATGAACACGAGCTGTGGACGCCGTACAGAGTCCCTGGCCCCGGGAGAACCCTCGCCGGCGCTCAGCGAGACAATGATCAGGTCACAAGGTAATCGTCGTTGCTCCCCATATTCCTCACCTATCTTGTATTTGTTTCCTTATGGCTGCCCAAATCCGAGCCATCTTCATTGGGTACAGAGAATAATGACCTCCTCTGTCATAAACCTCTACGACATTCCAGGGCAGCCGCCGCCCTTGTCAATCGAGAAATGAAAAATTACGAATATCCTCGGGTTAACCCACCCTCACTGCAGCCACCTCAACCGTCCTCGGATCGCAGGTATTCATGGATGGAGACACCGGCAGATGTAAAGAATCGCACGTGGACAAATCCTACAAGAGAAGAACAAGGGACATCGTCACCACCACAAGTATCGGAACACCAGGTGCAGAATACGGAACGTGGCAATGCTGCATCAGCACATCCATATCAGATGCAGGATCCCAGGGTAGTACAGCAGATGTACGTCGAGGAACCGCGGTATCAGACTGCATATAGCACGCAGCAGGCAGCTTCACAGCTACCAAGCTCTGTACCCCCATCAACTCAAATTCAGGAACAACCTTCCACAACTCCTCAGCCACCGGATCCTGTCAAACAAGCTCCAGACCAAGTGAAAAAGTTGACAGCACCGATTGAGCCGGACGTCAACCCTTTGACACCCACCACTCCCAAGGTGGCCCAACGAGCAAGCACCAATATGGCCATCGTTCCTCCCCCTTCCGATCCTGCTCAATTTTCAGTCGGCATATATACTCCTAGTCCACAATCAATACGGGGTGGTTCATGGCAACACGGCCTTTGTTCCTGCGCAGAGCCTTCCACGTGTTTGACTGGGCTTTTCTGTCCTTGCATCGTTTATGGACGCACGCAGTATCGGCTGGGTTTGCGAGGAGAACGGAAAGACCCAACCAATATGCTCGGCTACACTGCTGTTAATGGATCATGTATAGCGTTCGCAATCCTGTGTGGCATCAATGGTGTTCTGAGCGCCATTCAACATACACGCATACGCAAGACCTACAACATGAGCTCTGAGGCAGGCAATGTTCCCGGTGATTGCGTCAAAGGGTTTTGTTGCTGTTGCTGTGTTGTTGCTCAGGATGAGAAAGAGGTTCGATACCGCGAGGAGCAGGCAAGAAAACCTGGGGTCTCTACAAATCAAGAAGGGTATGTTGCACCTACTGGCATGAACTTTAGCCCACCTCCAAGGTAAGTAAGCCTCGAGCATTTGCACGGCCATAGTAAGATGGGCGACGTGTATGTGTTGGCAGCAGATGAACCCGACACCGTTCCGAAGAAGTCCGCCACGGTGCAATCAATGCAACGTTGTTCGCAGCGATATCGATATGCGATTGGACATGCCTGGAGCGACGTTCAGCCACCGAGGTTTCAGGGTCGAGACGGGCCGCGTCTCTATGACTGACTTCAAACCCATGCTTCGGTCTTCCCATCCGGGGCTCCCGATATCATTGTGGCTGTCAGTGCCTGGCACCAACAACAGAGGCGACTGCAGACATGGTAAAGTAAAGAGGAAGGGAAGCAATGTGAAAAGATTGACTGGGTACGTTTAGTGGGCCTCTAGAAGGCAGTATCTCAAATTCACACTCCATCTAAAAGGGCCTCCTTCTAAGATGTGAGCTGCAACTCTCACACGACTGCCATACCCTGCGCATTCTTATCGACACCCATGCTAGTCAACGTGAGGTGCTGAATGGATTTGGCACTTCCTTGACCACCCGAGACATCGAGAACCGTAATGGCTGCAGGTGTTGTGCCATTTCCGGGGGACAAAGCATATATGAAATTGCCGGCGGCCTTGAGGTCGATCAAGCCGGGATCACCGTTGGCGGAGAGATCAGTCTCGGCGATGATGCTTGCGTTAGTAAGACTCATCTCAACGACACGATTGACCCCGACATCGGTCACAAACGCACTGTTTGTTACTGATGAAATCGTTGCCCAACATGTGGCAGCCTGGCCATCAATTGCTTGCTTTGCAACTAGTGAAGCAACGTTCGTGGCCGGATCAACATCAAGCACTGCGCCTCCGAAGGAAGCATCCGTCACAAAGACTAAGGATGCGCCAGGGATATTAGCGGAGCCGAAAAGGACAGCCGTCCCATCAGGGGAACTTCGAACGTCGGTCGTGGCCACGGTCGCCGGTTTGCCCCACGAGGACGTATCCACCGGGAAGACCGAGAAGAAGCCTGTGTTGTTCACCGTGGGGTCTCCTTTGACTGTGGCGAATAGTCTAGATTCGTCTTCCGAGAAGAAGAGCTGCGAAACTGTGTTGGTCGGTCCGACTGGTGGAGTTGTTTGGTTCAGGTTGAAGGAACGCAGGCCGTCCATCGCACTGAGCCCGCTACGGCTAAAGCTTGAACAAGACACACCGTTCGTCGCTCCTGTTGTCCCAACACATACAGTTTTGTGCTTTACAGATGCCGCGACAGTGTTGGGAAAGTCGCCGGGAAGATCGACTGGCTGGCCAAGCAGGGTGAGTTTGGTGGAATTGCTTGCATCGATGGCGAACATGGACAGGGTATTGCTGCCGGGATTGACTGCAAAGATGTGCTGCCCAGCAATCGTCAAGGCTGACTGTCCGATCAATGCATCGGGTGTCGCTGGTTGGTCCGTCGCACCATCAATGGCATTGGATCCTGCTCCTCCGGTCAAAGTAATTGTCCCTGCAGACAAGGTGCCGTCTGCTGCTATGGGGAGTGCAGCCACGGCGTTTTGTTGGTCGTTGGTGATCAGGTATACTGCTTTTGGGCTGTTGTTGGTCCACTTGGTCTTGCTGCGGCTATGGGATGGAGCGGCGGACACGTTGGAAATGATGGCCAAAGAGGCAAGGAGAGCATATATGATATGAGACAGCATTTTGTATCGCTGGGGTATGAATGTCACAATGACTCGGACTTTAATTCAAATGTTCAGCCTGGTGAGAGCAGAGGTATGTCGCCCTCAACCGCCATCGGTGAGCACTTTTATATATACCTTTCTATGTCGAACATTCTGTCACTACATTTCTGCATCTTGACGTCGAGTAAACCCGGCGCCATGATGGAACGTTTCCATACTGACATAGTGTGAGAAAAGCAGCCTCATACTCCGCAACTGATGACCAGATCGAAAATCTCCTGATTCGTTATCGCGTCAAAGCATAACGTGCAAGGTTAGTGGGAAGCTAACATGTTTTGGGTATTCTTTGATTATCCATCAAGCCTTGTCAGGGTCACAGGTGGAGTTTCAGAGCCTCCTGCGCAAGCGCCGACATTTGCCAGAATGTGCAGCTAACTTAGTAAGTTTGACCCGATATCTGCTCTTATATCTGCAAGTACTAACCTCGAGATTTTTGGGATCCGAGAAGGGAAATAATTGATTATGCCCGCTCGCTTCCATCGCACTTCAGCTAGCATGCGAGGGACAGTATGAGAGACATTTTCCGTCCGCTTTTCCGGACTCCAGAGGGTGAGTGAAATGGTGATCCTACGAAAACGGTGAAAGCTTACTAAGGGACTCTTAGAACGTGCGGCGAATCGGAAAGAGCAATTGCGCCGAGCACAGAGGTGAGTGAGAGTCGACAATCGGGAGACCTGACAAGGCCTGGAATTGACTTCTTGACCCAGGACCTTTCGAGAGCGAAAAGAGAACTACCTTAGGCTTTTGGAGAAGCAAGTCACTTCTTTGCTGAAGAACGAGATCGACACCCAGGTCCAGATTCAACATCTCCAGTCTAGGGTGTCGAGGCTTGAAGCCAGGTTGAATGAATCCGAATCCGAAAACCAAAAACTTCACACTTTTGTGGGTAGTCATGATGGTCATGGCATGGGTCTCGCTCAGGCACCAAATATATCCGCCAATGCCATGCCTGATATCAATGATCCTTCTGATCGTGACCCTGTCAATGCTGTCATCTGGGTCGAGTCTAAAGGAGCTCAAGCAGCACATTTGCATATTCGCAACACGTCTCAGGGCAACAACCCCGGACAGCTACCTTCCCCGGATCTATCACCTATCGGAAATGCCCACGCCGATGCAATCACCAAACACGAATCAGTCTCGGTCGGTGGGCAAATGATGGCACAACTGAGGCATCCGCCGCAGTTCAGTGACAAGGTGTGTTTGATGGACATGGACTTGATCACCGTTGGTATGGAGTTTGTGCTCAAGTGAGTGGTGTTCATGGTTCGCCAAGGTGCAGTGAAGTTTGACCACTCTAGGCTCGAGAATCCATGTCTTCCGCATATCCTGCAAGCATCCTCGTCCGAGGGTCAGGATCAAGATTCTCCTCACGGTCATGTGCATTTGGCAACACATGCATTATTGTGCTGTTCACGAGATACACCAAAAGCGCTGCCCTCTGGATCCACATGGCAAGCACCGAAAGACACGCTCAAACGGTTGTTGGACTATTCGCCAGAACTACCCATCGAAGACTCGGAGATGAGTCCAGTTCAAGCATGGCAACAGATTACACTACACCCTCATTTTCATAATCTGAAGCTTGAGAATCTGAATGTTCTTTCTGATAGGCTGTTGCAAGATATCAAGTGTTACGGGTGAGTTGACACAAGGCATTGTGCTTGAATTACGCTGACATCGAGTAGATTTGGAGCCGTGGTCAGACAAGAGTTTCTGGAGAAATTGCTCTCGACGACATGAGGACGTTTGTGGAGAAGGCACCAACATCAACCTAGGTTAATCGGGTTGCGGGCAATGACGAAACTCTATCGGTTTGCAACATCGGAGCATAACAGAACTGTATCTTGTGCTCCTCTTAAGTGCGAAATAATACCACCGAGATACAATCCCAAACATTTCTCCCGTTGCAACGACGTATCAACACAACATGGCCCAAGAGCTGTTCCTCTGGGACCACCCTGTGAGCTCTTATGCGCAGAAGGTGCGCATTGCACTCCGAGAGAAGAAGATACCATTCAAGCTGGAAACTCCAAGAGGCATTGGGAATGGCGACAAAGCTGCTGTGCCGTCAAACTTTTCGGAACATAATATGCGACTCGAAGTACCCCTCCTGATTGACGGCGACTTCAAGATTACCGACTCGACCATCATCCTAGAGTACTTGGAGGACAAGTATCCCGAGACACCGCTCCTGCCAAGAAGCCCAAGGGAACGAGCAAGAGCTCGAATGATAGAGGAGGTTTGTGACTCGCAGTACGAGGCGCTCAATTGGGGCGTAAGCGAAGTCACCAACTTTGAACGGGCGCACGGAGAACAAGCGGCCAAACTTCACGAGCAAGCCAATCATCAGGTCAAACAGATTCAAGCCTGGCTGACGGAACAGCTCGGCGATGCTGAGTGGTTCGGCGGCGAGCGATTCGGCTGGGCTGACCTTTGTGTGTGGCCTATGGTCAATCGGTCGATGTTCTATGACTTGGGACCGCTGCCAGGATCTGCCCTGAGAGATTGGTGCGAGAGAGCAATGCAGCGCGACTCTGTGAAGGCTACATACGAGGAATATCAAGCGGGGAACAAGCTTCTCAAGGGAGCTGCAGGGGCTTTGGAAAAAGGTGTGATGAGGCGTGAGTATCGAGACCACCGGCTGGAGTGGATGATCAAGTCTGGAGGTGTGGACATCGTGGTGGAAGGGTTGAAGAAGCGGAATATTCGATTTTCGTGGCCAGATCCGATGGAATAGGAAAGACCGCTCACAACGACTTTTGCATGAAGAACGGCACAAAGCCAGTGTTGACGGCAACATGTTTGGGAGAAAACGAGGGAATGTAGTTGAGGAGGTTTCTTACTCCTGGAGATGATTCTACCGGTGTTTCTTCGGCCAAATCTCACCCTTACCATTACAGTAACAATCTTGCTTGAAGAATCACTTCAACTTCTTCACCTTTGGCTGTGGTTCCTTGCCAGTCTTGATCGCATACTCGTCGGCCTTCTTGTAGAAGATGCTGCCATCATAAATACCACGAATGTCTTCTTTCCTCATGATTCCGTCCTCGGGCCAGAGCAGCAAGTACACTGCAGTCCCTGGATGGCCCGTTAGATTAGTCGATGATCAAGATCATGCATGGGCGGCATTGTACTCACACTCCAAAATAGTCGCATTGATTCCGAACAAGTCCAGAACCATACTTTGACCTCTAATGAAATCTTTCACATCTGCTACCGTCAAGCCGCCCTTGTTGTCGCGGTCGTATTTGGCAAAGATGTCCTCAAAGTTCTGCGATCTGAAGCGGCCTTCGTTGTCGTATGTCATGCTGTCGCTGCCGTGCTTGCACTTGTACACACGGTTGAGGTAGATGCGGAAACAGGGGTCCGGCAGCCAGCCTGGTACAGTTGGGTAGGACAGATTGAAATTGATGATGAAGGTTGCTAGAAGGCTTAAGAAGATGTTCCATCCTGTCACACACACACATTAACTTCGACCTGACCCAAGATGAGAGGATGATGGAGTTTGGATTTGTTTTTTTGGACTCACCCCATTTCCGACAGCCATTGTATGTGTCGGAGGGCCACAGGATTCCGTCGTGGTCGGTGTCAAAGTAGTCGCAGTGCTGCTGGACGACGGTCTGGTGTTTGTGTCGTTCGGCAAAGTCTCCTTCAAGTGTTCCATTGGGACATCTGGTGTCAGCAGCGATGTTGGCCCTGGCTGTGCCGGCGTCTTTCAACTTATCCTGCTTTGAGGGTATGAATGGTTTGCGTTCCACTGTCACTGGTTGCTGGTAGATTGCGGTGGGAAATGGTTCTTCGGCGTTGACTCCGTTGGGGCCTTGGTAGAGGCCTTGGTGTTTGACATCCATGATGACCTTGGGTACGCTTTGAGGGTCTTTGTTGCAACGCTACAGCCTACCGGAAATAAAAAGAGATGCGACCAAGTTTTATACTATAGTATTGTTCTTTGCGTCTTTGATGTAATGAGCATGTTCGGGTCGGGTATGCATGTGAAGCGAGCATTGCATCATGTACACCTATGCGGCCCGACTTCGTTTGACATTGACATGTGAAAGACTTGAGATATATGCAGGGCCTCCACGTGCTCATATTGATCTATTCCCATTGCGAGTCATTTTTAACGTACAGCCTTTTCAAGATCTCGTCTCGCCTCTAGACGCCTGTGCGCTATGCTCAATAAGAGAATCCCAGACCCAGAGCTCCTCACAATGCCGATACTCTTCAAAGACGGTACCATTCCCAGCTTGCTGTCCAGCACGGTCAGCTCGAGACCAAGACTTGTTCAAAGAATTCGTCTATCATGTCAACGTCTTCCATATCGCACACAAGAGACACATGCTGGTCAGGCCGACATATAACGACGCACCCATGTTGTGCATCAATGCCATATCTGCTGTAGGCATCTTCCGGATCTCCTTCGCGCTCTTTGATCGAAGTCTCACTAGCGAACACCTTCCAGTAGTCGTACCCTAGCGTTTCATGGTAAGGACGCAGCACCTCGGGCAAGTCCAACAATTCGATCTCGACTCGTGGCGCTGAGTGGATAGTGAAGATCTCGACCGCCGCTTCCTTGGGTTCGTTCGGCCTCAGGTGCCTACAAACGATAGAGTTTTGATCTGAAAGACGCCTGGCGAGAGACTCTAGGCGTTCCCATTGTTTTGTTTTCGTCAAGTCGCCAGCGAAGATGATGATCCTCCAAGGACCGGTCGATGTCATGAAGTCGTGGATGTGACGAGGACTTGCGTCTGCCTGATTGACGACTATGTGAGAATCCAGGCGCTGACCAGTCAGGATGTTTCGAGCAAGACTCTTCTGGGAGTGAAATTTCGATTTTCCAGCTTTTGCTGGGCTTCCTGAATCGCCATTGACTTGTTCATCATTGTCGTCCTCGGCCCTGATCACTGATGGGCCGTATATGACGCCTGTACCGCTCAAAAAAGGGGTGAACTTCTTCCGAAATTCGTCGTAGTTCTTCGAATTGTCACAAGGTCCTTGGACGAAGAATTGTGACATTTCCTGGTCGAGGTCGAGGAGTGTTTCGGCAGCCCTATGCCTCTCGTCCCGGTACGTGTCAAGCAACTGGGGCTTTGCCAGGCCTTTGATGACCATGGCCAACTTCCAGCCCAAATTAAAGGAGTCTTGGATTGAGACATTCATTCCTGCTCCCATGGTCGGAGTATGCGCATGTACTGCATCGCCGACAATGAAGATGCTGGCACCATAGTCAGCAACACTGTCCTCGTCAAAGTCGAGGCTACATACCGATCGTGTAGGCTGTTGGTTTTGGCTATCTGATGGTCCACCTAAAGGATGAATTAGCAGTATAACTTCAGACACCCGTACATGGTGCTTACCGTGTAGATTGACCACCACTGGCATTCCCCACTTTCCAGGTTATACGGGCTGATGATCTTTTGTGCTTTGGTGAGGATATCTTCAAAAGAGACCTTCTTGTCATCGAACCTGTCCTCCTCACCCCCAGTTTCGGCCAACTGAACATAGCACCTGATCAGGCGACCTTCGCGGGGGAGAGTCATAATACTCCCATGTCGAGCTGAGTGGATGACACAGGAGATCCGCACGTCGGCTGTCCCAGATCAGTGAGTGAAGGCTGTCGGGCTAGTCTTTGGGATGACTTACGGAAGTTTGTCCGGGGCACTATATCCATAACACCGAAGTGTTTCTGAGTTCGATTTTTGTTGAGCTCGAAGCCGCAATGCTTCCTAACCCAGCTGTGTGCCCCATCGGCGCCAACCAGATACTTGGCATGTATTTGCTCTCTCCTGACGTCGCTATCTAGAGATCTGTCGGCGAGATTTTCCGTGATAACATCGGCTGTTTCAGTACCGCTTGATCCTGACTTGTTCCGGTGAGCTACGTTGAGAGTGATTGCATACTCTCCGTGCTTTTGCTGTTGTAAGTCGACGTGAGAGACGGACTCAGTGATTACGTTGCGTTCGACTTGGAGAACACCTTCATCCTCGAGCAGGTCGATGAATGCGCGTTCAATATATCCTTGCTTGATAGCTCCTTGCGCAAACCGACTCAGGTCCATCTCCATGTCACGGATCCTCTGTGTTCTCTCGATGCGGCTGTCATCATCGTCGGACGGATTCTTGTCAAGGGTCAGAGTGAGGGAACCACCATGTCAGGAGATCTTACCCATGAACAAATCTCTCGTATCGACGCTCCATATTTGAGGATTGGTGTTGCGATCCCGAAACTATCGAGAATTTCTATCGTCCTTGGATGCAAGCCATCTGCCCGACCCTCGTGTACCTGGGTTTCCTTATCATCAATGATGCGAGCTTTTAGTCCATACCGGCTGGCCCAGGCGGCGAGAGTTAGACCTGCTGGCCCTGCGCCCACAATTAGGAGATCAGTATAGCTTGTGTTCTGGTCTTCTGCGGTCGAGCTGCTAGACGGCAACTCTAGCTTCATCTCGGATATGGTATCCGGCGACAGTGAGCAAGGTTGGTGTTCAGATGTCGCAAATATTTCAGTAACGAGAGACGGTACGCTATCACACAATCCAGCTGCCTGTCATGAGTAGTTGTTGAAACATTACGGGGTACATTTGTGCCTGTGAACAATGCGTCATGATTATTGGGCCTTGAATGACCAGGCACGGTCACACGAGGCACTAGTCAGGCACAGTTTCAATCGGCAAAGTTGTACAAGTTTAGTTGTAAGTCCAATAATGCGCAGAAAAGTCATGATGGCTTCATTATTGACCGGTACGTGCAGGTGTTGGACGGGTATTTCATCAGGAAGGATTCCGAAAGAAAGGAGATTCAAGGAGGCTCAAATCCGATAGGTTGAATCTGGTACACAATGAGATGATGTCATTAACCCAAGACAAAAATACCAATAAACATTAGTGGCATGACATCAAAAGCGGGTCGATATCTCCGGCCTCGATCCGTCCAATAACTTCATCTTCCGGCCATTTTCTCCGCGGTTTGCAGTTGGATGTTATGCACATTGTCATGGCGGACTCGGTTTCCGCCATGTGGGAAATCGAGAAGACTTTGTTGGTTCGCAATTGTGCCATCGATGACCTCTAACCCGGTCCAGGGGTGGCAGTTCTGCTCGCACCTCTTCATTGAATCCCATTGGCTTGGAACATCTGCAGGGGCACTTTACGGGGAAGAGAAAAGGTGCCTGGTCGAGGAAGAAATTTCCCCGATCTATGTTGGCGGATCATGACATGACGGTGGCTTGATCCTAAATTGGACCAATGCGTCTCGGGTTACCTATATAATACATGTACCAGCACCCGAGGGGGTGCGGGAGGGTTCGTACCTTTGTTGTCCCCAAAGGAGGCTCGCCCAGCATGATATCCAAAGACCCCATAGATATCATCGAGATCAAGTCCGATGCTGACGAGGTGGTGCTGGGTAATGAGACACGCAACAGCCTGAAATCCAAGGCGTCCACATTTCATCCACTATTGTTGTGGGACGAAAAGGGCTTGAAGTACTTCGAAGCCATCACCTATGCCCCCGAGTACTACTTGACCAACTGTGAGATTGAGCTATTGGAGAAGCACAGTGATGAGATTGCGCAAGCTTTGGCACCCGACTCGGTCCTGGTAGAATTAGGCAGCGGGTGGGAATGAGACCGCTCCTTGCGAGGCTGAACTGTCTAACCAATGTCACAGATGTTTGAGGAAGGTCAAAATCCTCCTGGAAGCAATCGAAAGAAGTCGGAAGCGTGTCGACTATTATGCTCTCGACCTGGACCGATCCGAACTGGAGCACACACTGCGGGACATCAAGCCCGGAGAGTTCCAATACGTCCGCTGTCATGGCCTGTTTGGCAGCTATGACGATGGACTCGACTGGTTGAGAAGCTCAGAAATGAGTTCGAAACCACGATGCATCATGTCTTTGGGGAGTACATTGGGAGGCTTCGATCGACAAGAAGCAGCCAAGTTTCTGTCTCGGTTCGCAAACTTGCCTGGACCGCCTTCATCCGCTGGTAACTCAACGTTAATGCTGATCGGCTTAGACGGCTGTCTGGATGGTCAGAAGGTCTGGTCAGCGTATAACGACTCTGAACATCGCAACGAAAGATTCATTCGGAACGTTCTGACCCATGCCAATGGAGTACTTGGGCAAGAAATCTTCCGCCAAGAGGACTGGGAGCACCGTGGCAAGTGGAAAGCTGAATCGAAGAGGCATGAACAATATTTGATACCCAAGAAAGACATTGAGTTCGAAGGTCGTTGGTTGACAGCGGGCGAGGAAGTATTTGTCGTGGCTAGCCAAAAGTATGGACCTGAGGAGCGAGAGACTCTATGGCGACACTCTGGACTGCGACCAGTGAAGGAATGGCATACTCAGTCACATGGTTACGGTAGGTGTTGCAGTGTCCTCTCTGATATGACCATCAAGATCCAAAAGCTGACGGGTTCTAGGTCTCCATCTCATGACCGCCACGCATCCGAATTAACGGGGTGCATGTATGGACTAACGCCAACGAATATTCCATGGTCTATTATCGCAGCTGCCGGCATCCTCCGCATATCTACACATGAGGATTACTTCTGAATTTTCTAGGCGTAAGCCTGAAGGTTATCTTTGTATCAAAGTCCGTCTGGGACGTGTCAGCATCTTATACTGCAACTACAAAGTACCTTATGCTATATATCAAAACAATCTTATGGGAGCAGTCAGCACCATATTCAATTATGGCTACGACAATTGGGCGGCCAAATTGCGGCCCTTCCCAGCGTGAGACGAAGCCCTCAAGTCTCTTTTAGCCCCCGACTCGGACCGCCTTGCCCACATTGACAGTAATACATCCAGATGCAACACAAACACCGAGGTCATCTTCAATCAGCAAGCGACTATTTCAGGTGCATGGATTTGTTTGCTGACAATACCCAGCGGCAAGGCTGAAGATATAAAAAGCGTCCCTTCATCTACGATTTGGCGAGCTTGCGGTTGAATAGAACTCGGCTCCCAGATCCTCTTGTGATCGAGCACCTGTTGACTTTTCATTCATTCATTCATTCATCCTCCTCACATCTGACCCTCAAGAGCAGACACTGGGAGCACGATATCACCATGGGCGCAGTCGCATCCCTCATTCCCAAAGCCATAGGCATCGCTGGAAAGGTAATACCCAAGGTGGCAGACGCTCTGCCTGGCATAATCGGTGGAGGAACTCCAGCACCACCAAGCCCAACGACAGGCAGCGCCGCAGACGTAAACAATGCAGCAGCCGCACCTGCAGCCGTCAGCCTCCTCGCAAAGGCACCAGCAGCATCTGCTCCTCATGGTGGTAATGCGACATCTACGAACCCTGCTATAGCCCAAACGGCCCAGGCAGGTCAGGCAGGCGCCCACCCGGCTACTAGTCAGCCAAGTTTCGAGACACTCTCACAACACTTCCCCAGCGACATTCAAGCCATGGAACACGCCTCTCAGTCCGGCACAGTCACTGCAGAAGAGTGGCAGGCTTTCGAAACCTTCCTTTACAGCTTGGTCACCTCTGCGCATCCAGGCAATGATCAGAGCGCGAGCACAGCGCTCAATGCTCTCCACCAGAGCCTCCAGAACGCTCAGCAGGGCCAATTTGATGAACAGACCGCCACCAGTGCGGCTGGAAAGTTCCTCCAGGCACATGTTGGCCTGGGTGTCTTAGCTTTCTTGGAATTGGTTGATCAAGGACAAGGTGGGTTAGACTTCTCAGCAGATCCCCAGGTTGAGCAGGCCTTGAAGTCTGGCGTTCAGGTCCTTGCCCAAGCCCCAGAGGAATTTGAGCAATACGAGGAACAGGAACAAGGACAAGGGGGCGCTGGTGAGCACGAACAAGATGGAGCTGGCCAGGGTGAAGAGGGCGAGGAACAGTATGGCCAAGGAGAGGAAGGTGAGGAACAATATGGTCAGGGAGAGGAGGATGAGGAACAGTATGGTCAGGGAGAGGAAGGTGAAGGAGCATATGGCCAGGAAGGGGAGGAAGACGAACAGGGAGGTTATGGTCAACATTGACCGGCCAGCTTTAACAGCCAACGCACCTCGTAGTGTAGTATGAGATTGCCTCCCAATGAGGTATCACGGTCCTTTTGTCAGCGTGAAAGTTCAGCATTGGTTCATATGCCAGAATTCTCACTGCATGATTCTTGACACTTGCTCATATTTCTGACCTGATTCGACCTCGCCAGCTGACAGCATGCTCGAGCTGCGATACCGGACAGTCTTCGGTAGTCCGAGTAAGCTTCGAGATGAAAGAAAGAACGCCATTCCAGTAGTGAGAAGTAAGTTAGAGATCTTATCTGGCCTCAGCCTTGTGCTTCTCCAACATCAACCCCGCATTTAGCCTCGCCAACCATATTTTTTTCTTCTGCCTCACATGTCAGTACTGGTAGGCATTGCAACTCCAGAGCCGTACAGTATCTCCTTCACCTCCATTGCATACCAAAGTCACCGAACCCAACCACCAAGATGCCTCACAAGCACAAACGCAAGCGCGACGACAAGGACGCCTCAGAGTAAGCACCCGCCCAAATTCCATCTCAACTGATCGCTCTGCTCTCCACCCTTCTTACATTGCACTTGCTAACACGACGACCAGTTTCGACCTCCCACCCACCTCCCGCGCCAAAACCTTGCCTCCCAAAAAGCAAGAAACAGTATTCACATCTGAACCACCGACGAAAAAGCGCGAGCACAAGCGCAAGAAACCAGATAAAGATGATACCCCGAAAGCCTTCGCCCGCCTGATGGCCTTTCAAACCACCGGCAAACGCGGCCCCTCCGGTCTCGACAACGGTGACCGACCCAAGAAGAAAAAGACAAAGAACAGCAAATCTACATCCACAACCACTACAACCACGGCATCAACCCCAGCACCACCAACGTCTCAAAAGACCCTCCAAATCCTCCCAGGCGAACGCCTCTCCGAGTTCAACGCCCGCGTCGACCAATCCCTTCCCCTAACATCCATCCCCAAACACAGGACCCGCACTCCTCAGATCGCCGGCCTCGAGAAACTCAAAACACCCTTAACAAAGCACAACAAACGCTTAGCAAGGCTGCAATCCGAATGGCGCGCGACCGAGGCCAAGATCCACGCAAAGCGCGAGGAAGAGCAAGATGATCTCGCGGACCAGAAGGAAGAAGATGACCTGCTCTGGCTTGGAGCCGGGATCGATAAGGCCGCCGGCAGCGGCAAAAAGAAAAAGAAATTGGCAAAAGACGATGTCGATCCGTGGAAACAGCTCGAGAAAAAGAGGAGAGAAGAAGGGGATTTGGGAAGGCAGAAGAATCTGCAGGACGTTGTTATAGCGCCGCCTGTGTTGAAGAGTGTGAAGAATATCTTCAAAGATAAGACTGCGCCAAATGGCGGAATGTCCAGGGCGATCATGACATGAATAAATGCAGTATAGAAACGACTCGAGGTCGGTATACAAGCATTAGACACCCTTTCGAGCCAGCCTTACTTTTGTAGACGCAGATGTATGACATGATATGGGTATCTTGTACTTTTGAAAAATGTCCATCCAACAGACACAACTAGCCCCAAGTCCCACCACCACCACCTCTCCCTTGCTTCTTCTGCGAACTCAATCTCCAATCATCCTCGCCCGCAAACTTATTATGCAAAGGCTGGATGCGTTCAGCCTTCTTGCGCTTACTCAAACGATCCGTTGGTGCGACCTTGAAGAACGTCGGCGCCGCCTCGACAAGCCACTTCGGCTCAATGACCGTCGCACAATGCATATACTCCTTGGTCGTAAGCACGAGGGTATGGAAGATGACATGCTCAGCCGGCTTGCCGAACAACGCACTGCTGGGATGCATATACACTGGCGTGCCCTCGATAAGCGTCTTGTACCCTTCCTGTGGGTCCTTCCGCGCCGAGTTCCTGAAGAAGCCTGAACACAAAGCTTGCCTGACCTTAACTGTGCTTCGCCCACACGACACGATTTGATGCTTGTACCGCTGCATGATGCTTACCAGTTGTTGACGGACGTCTCGAGCACGTGCAATCTGTCGCTTCTGGATGAAATTCTCGAAGCACCAGGGGTCACTGTACCGCGAGGTTTTCCATGCGTTATACACATTGAGCAGAGTCAGATGGTCGCCATGAGGATCGTGGAACTTGCTCTTCTTCTGATCGGCCTGTTGTTGCTTCTCCTTCGGGCGGTAGAACACGGTCTGGACAGACAGCATGGCAACGATGGTGAGCATCTCATCTGAGCAGCCCATATCCTCCGAGGCGATGAGTGCCTTAGACAGCGACGGTTCCATAGGGAAGTCCGCCATTTTACGTCCAAGTCGAGTAAGGAGACCTTCATCGTCGAGAGCGGACAAGGCGTACAGCTCCTCAAGGGCCGTCAACATGGTGTTTGTCGGAGGAGGATCCATAAAGTCAAAGTGTAACAGGTCATTGATACCCATCGCTTTGAGCATGAGAATGGTGTTCGATAAGTTCTGGCGTTGAATCTCAGGAATACTGGTCGGCAACATTTCGGATTGGTATGCCGCTTCGGTATACAGCCTGAAGCATTTGCCAGGTCCTGTTCGACCGGCTCGTCCTGCCCTTTGTTTGGCCTGCGCCTGAGAGATTGGAGTAACAACAAGTGAATCCATGCCCAGTTTGGGATCGTATGCGTTCTGCTTGACAAAGCCCGGATCGATGACATAGTAGATATGATCGATCGTAATAGAAGTTTCGGCAATGTTTGTCGCAATGACCACCTTCCTGCTTCCAGGGGGTGCAGGGTCGAAAATCCGGCTTTGCATTTCACTAGGTAGCGCAGAATAGACAGGCAATACGATTAGCTCTGGTACGCTCGGTCCCAGAGCCTTCATTCTCTCGAACAAAACTTGACAGCTTGTATCGATTTCCTCCTGACCAGTCAAGAACAGCAGGATATCTCCGGGTGGCTCTGTGAGATGGATTTGCATGACAGTTGTCAGAGCCGCATCCAAATAGTCTTCTTCCGGTTCCCTTGAGTACATGATCTCGACCGGGAATGTTCTACCTGGGATGGAGAAGATGGGACATTGGTTGAAATATTCGGAGAATTTGTCCGCGTCAAGCGTTGCTGAGGTCACGATTACCTTCAAATCAAGACGTCTCTTGAGAGTTTTCTTGAGCAATCCGAAAAGCACATCCGTTGCAATGGTTCTTTCGTGTGCCTCGTCCAGCATGATAACACTGTACCGCTTGAGGTCCGGATCAAGCAGAATCTCTCTCTGCAGCATACCGTCAGTCATGTATTTGATCTTGGTGTCTGGTGAAGTCCGATCTTCGAAACGAATCGTGTAGCCGACTTCCCTGCCAAGTTCGCATCCAACTTCTTCCGAGACACGTTTAGCGACAGACATGGCGGCAACACGACGAGGCTGTGTACAACCAATCATTCCGTGGTTGGCATAACCTCCTTCAGCAAGATACTGGGTGAGTTGAGTGGTCTTTCCCGAACCGGTATCTCCAACCACGATGAGCAGCTGGTTTTGCTCAACGGCCTCGAGTAATTGTTTCCGGAATTTGTACACGGGCAGTGACTCTCGTTGTTGTTTGATAGTCATATCTGTCCTTCGTCCAAGCGACACATTTTTGCCCTGAGTCGCCCGCTTCCACTCTGGAACAGCGTCAGTGGCCTTGGAGGACTGCTGTTGGGCCTGTCGGAGTTCTGAAGCAAATTTACGTTGTTCGGGATTGATCATTGGGTCCTGCCACTGAGCATTGAGGTCGACCTTGGAAGCTTCTTCTGCAGCTTTGTCTGCAGTTTCCTGTTGTTTCAATTCCCTGCGCTCCTTAGCAAGTGATGTTCCTGCTTGAGCCGCTCGATTCAGTGAACCTTCTGGAGCCTTGACAACGCGGATGGGTGAGAGTTCAAGGGACTGTTTGGTTTGACCGGCCAAGAACGGCGGCTCTTCTTCCTTGACCTCAATATCAATATCTTCTTCCTCTTCCAGTTGCCCTTCACCGTTAAGTGCTGCGTTGTAATCTTCATCAATATCAGGATAATCCTGTGCAGAGATTGCTCCTGAAGCGATGAGTTGTTTAATCTCCCATCGTTCTGGAGATGTCATTCTCTTCTTGCTCTTGTTCGACCTTGAATGATAGTCGTCCTCGATGACAGGGACTGTGCTGCCTAGACCTCCATAGCGGTCATTTGACGGCAAACCATCTAGCCGCTCCATATTCGCCCCGGAAGCAATTCGGCGAGAGGGTACCAGATCTTGACCGCTAATCTGGTCGACCTCCTTCATGGACAAACTGATTTTGTTGTCCTCCATCTTCAGTACTTTCACCTTGACCTGCTGGCCCCGAGAAAGCAGATCTGAAGGGTGATTGACTCTTGCCCCTTCTTGAATAGCCGACACATGAATAAGGCCACTGACATTGCCTTTGACACCCTGAAGGTTGGCGAAGGCGCCAAAGTCCTTCACACCATTGATGGTTGCGTCGTAGACTTTGTACAGAACAGGGACGTCGTCGATTTCTCTCGCAGGTGGTCTTCGAAAATCTTCATCGTCGTCATAGTCCCGCCGCCTACTCTTATGATGGCCATTTCGTCTCTCATCATGTCGGCCTCTATGCCCATCATAATCTTCGTCTCGCTCCCTGTGGTGCCGTCGAGACTTCTTCTCTTCGCGCGGACTAGGACTTCTTGACCAGTGTTTTTGTCTGGGTTTTCTGTCTCTTGAGTACTCATCCCGCTCAGGACTCCGACTTCTCTTCCTGGTTCTTTCGGCATGTCCATTGGTGCCGTTCTTCGCTGTTCCGGCCAGGCCTTCGAGTAGGGCAAAGGTATCGTCTTCGGCAGGAGTCCCTGGATCAGCAGGTCGAGTCTCGTCTATGGTTTTTTGTTCGACCATATCATCCTCGTAGTCGTCCCAGTTTTGTGCTCGATCAGGTACGGACAGGCCCTTGAACACTCTAGCCTTGCGGCCAATTGCATCCAAGGCATCCATGTCTGTATTTCCTCCATTCTGCTCCGTCTTCTTCTGCACCTTATGCTTGGGATGCATCGTCAAGATCAACCGATCGACACTCTCGACCAGACTGTTGGGGAACTCTGCCCCCATGGCAGCCAGGGCCGTCTTGAACTCGGGCAGGTTTCCTCCACATTTTTCATGTTGATCGATGACGAACTCTGCGAGGGTCTTGTCATTGATGCCCAAGTGATTCTGGAGTTCGGAAGTGACTTTGGACACGAGCGACAGGAGTTCGAGCGATGTGAAGTCGTCCATGACCGGTATGGCCAGTCCAGACACCCAGGCCTGTCGATAGTCTTTTTGGTTTGAAGTGAGATGAATTTCTAGAACAAATCTGCAGGCCGTGCCTTGGACGACTGTGAGTGGCTGGATTTTCTAGGCATCGAATGAGGTTGTGGCAAAAGCAGCCTGCGGACACTCTGCGGATCAACAGCCGCCGACAGGTCTCGCTGGTCTCGCTTACAGTGGCTCGATCTGGTGGTTTAGTGATGCCCGAGGGTCCGGAAACCCACATTTGGGCCCTGCCGAGCTCGGTCTCTCAGGGTCTGGAAAGGAGGGACTCAAGGGGACAGGACAGCTTTCGCCTTGCAAGCAGCTGTCGTCTATCAAGGCACTGGACAGGGACAGACCGCCCCTCCTTCCCTTCACCCCGCCATCACTTGTAACTACTTCTACATCTCTCTTCTTCCTTTCTCAGCTTCTCAACCTGTCCAAATCTGTCCTTTCCTGTACTACTACACAGAAAAGCTTCACCCTCATATCACTCAAGCTTCTTGAGAAAGACTACTCAACATGGAGAACATCAGACAGAAGTTGAAGCGCCGTGTCAGCCACAAGGACCCAGAGCGTACGTACACCTCTACATCTCTACACCTCACGAGATATAGCTTGCAGCTACTCATCTTGCTTTTAACACACTCATCATCCCTTCATCAAGCTGTATTGTTACTGTGTTTGCCATGCTTGCATACTAACAAGGTTACAGCCAACTTCGAGGAGAACGACTCTGCTGATGAGGACACCGTCACCTACGTCAACAAGGAAGCCGACGACGCTGAGAAAGACGGCCACCCTCAAGGAAGACCCGGCACTTTCTTGCACCGCTTGATCTCTCACGGCAACAAGAAGACCGAAGATCAACTTGCTCGTGAGGCGGCTGCTGCCAACCCTGAAGCTGGTTCCGCCGATCGCGTGGTCACTCAACGATAAGCTGCTCAGCCACAAGTCTCGTGACTTAGCTATTAAGTGTCGATCAAAGGAGCGATCAATGCACCACCGGCAACCTTGTTGCAATCTGGGCAGTGGTGCATGACGGATGAGCTGTGAAATTGGAGTGGTGATGTCGTGATTTCTCATAGCATGGGGATTATAAAGTCGATGGTAGACGAAGATCGAATAGCATAACAAAAAATGGCATTACTATTGGGGGATTGAGTTTCCTTGTTCGTATTGCATGGCCTTGCGGGGTATCTGTGTCTACATAGTACTCGTACCTGCATTGCATAGCCTGTGGCTAGGCAAACCACACTGAATTAATCTTCGTGATGCCGTGTATCTATCATACAAACCGGCATTAGCTATAGTTATTGTACATTTGACGGCGTCACTAGCACGCTGACTGCAGGATCTCATGCAGCTGTCGCGGCCATACTCCTGGCCTGCACAGGATCGGACTCGCCGAGCTCGGCTTTTTCCGCACCCCTCGTCCAGTCCACCGGAAGTACTGCCAATTCATCTCCCGATGGAAGATCGAGGTGAGACTCTGATTCGGGCAAAGCAGTACCATCCGTCGGTAAATCAGGAACGGACATTCTCTTCTTGTAGGCAAGAACACGCTTTCGCAGGGCTGGGTTGGCTGAGAACTCCACGAGGCAAGTGTTGATCTTATCCTCGACGAGTCCTTTCGCGTAAAACGCCGTGTCTCGATCCTTCATGGAAAGGAACCGGTAGCTGAGCCATAGGAAGAGAACCAGGGATTTGTGCAGATCTTCTAGACATTCCAGGTATTCGCGGTCACCGGAGATGGGCTTCTCGAGGACTTCAAGAGTGATCTCGGGAACATCGATGATGGACACATCTCTCTTCTCGGCGACGCATCGAGCCAGAGCTTGGGCGACGGCCACCACTTGAGGTGACCCGGTACCACACGGTGAAGCGACGTATTGGATACGGTCGGTCACCGAGAGCCCACGAACAGATTCGATGGTGCGTGCGATCTGACTTTGATCGCGAATGCTGCACAGTTTGAACCGTTTGTGCAGAGTAGCCGAGTCATTGACACGCCTGAGGATATACTCGAAGGGAATACCCTTCGGTAGTCGATCCGCCAGATTCTCCATGAAGTCTCCTGGCGGTAATATGCCTGCCACTCGGAGCGGGGGATCTTGTGCATTCATGGCTTCTCGAACAATGGGCAGGTCCTCTTCATTCAGGGTGGTGACCAGGCCCACACTGCTGTCTGGAGAGGCTTTCGACTTGACGGCATTGTTGTTCATAGCCTGATGAGCAGTCCGATACCGCCCGGCTCGACCACCAATTTGTTTGATTTGCGACACGGACAGCTGTTCGTGCGTGACGCCGTTGAATTTGTACACGCTGTGGAAGATGATTCGCTTGACGCTCAGGTTCAGACCCATGCCGATGGCATCGCTGGCGACGAGAAAATCGTAGTCGTTGTCTGGGTCGTTGAAGAGTGCAGCCTGCGCTGCCCGTGTCTCTGGAGGCAGACTTCCATATACGATGGCGCAGTGGCGCCCGGTGTCAAGTTCAATCTGCTTTTTGAGGGCGTGAATGTTCATGACAGAAAAGGTCACAATACAATCGCCCTTCCGCAGGTTTTTCAGGTCAGTGTTCAGACTTTTTGTCATCACCCTTAGGGGGTTCAGTCGATTGTATTCATGGATCTCCAAAGTATCGCCTGTTGCTGCGCATAGCTCGCGGACCAGGGGGAGCACACGAGCCTCTCCACAAAGATGGACTTCTTTTGCGTTTGCACCTAGAAAGGCCCGAGTCCACGCCCATCCACGCTCTTCTGAAGCTATCATCTGAATCTCGTCGATAACTCCAACATCGACTGGTGTCGAGACATCGACCATCTCCACGGTGGAGGCATACAGGCTCGTATCTGGATCGTCTTCCCGTCTGATATCGTCACCGGTAACCAAGTCACACTTGAGCCCCTTTGCTTTGAATCGTGAAAAAACTTCGTGTGCGAGTAACCGCAGGGGCCCCGCGTAGAAACCATTCCCACTCTCTTCGAGCCGTTTTAATGCATTATATGTTTTGCCGGAATTAGTTGGGCCAATGTGGAGATGCACACTTCGTTGAATCTGGCGCGCTGCCGTATACCATTCCGTGGGATACCGTAAGTCCGTAATGATTGATTTGCTAAAAGTCCCTTCTTCCACGCCTGTGGCGAGGACATAGTCAATGAAGCCGAAGTGAAGCGCCCTCTGCAATTCTTTCTGCCAGTCATTCGTCTGATATGTCGCGCCAATCTCGGAGACCAGTTTATCATCCAATGGTTTCTTGTCTTCTCCTCTGGATCGCAAAGTCTGCTCAACTCTTTTCCTGAAGTCAACCCAGTATCTCCCGGTAGGGTCGAGCGCTTCCAGTTGCGACACGTCGGAATCGGACGCAGCTTCGGTCGAGCGCAGATCGTCTTTCAGAGTCGATAAGCATGTTCGGACTCGCGACAGAACTTCCTCGTCTGATAGTTGTGGGGGGCTTCTATTGGTCTTTCTGATAAAGCCGGCTCTATAAGAACCCTTTCCAGCAGGAACTCGAACATTGGGACCTGCCCTCGAGGATTGACGAGGAGGAGTGGCGTAGCCTCGAGACCTTTCACGAAGTCCTTTCGATATTGGCCCAGCCAGGCCTCGAAACGCACAAAATAGGCATTGCCCTCGTCGAGTTGACTGACCGAGCATCGCCCATAAGGTTCGGGCGATCTTAGGAAGGAGAGACAGGAAGACAGGGAATTCGTGAGACCAAAAGGAGGTTGAGGGAGGTCGTGCAATCTAACATGAAGGAGGGATCATGCTATTGAGGACGAGCGTAAAGAGATCAAGAGTCCGCATGTCATTGTATACGAATGGACATTCACCAAACACTGCATGGCCGATCAAAAATGTTTGAGGCGCCACCTGCATCTGCGGAATACTTTACTCAGAGTTCTCCCATACATCATTATTGGCTTTCCCCTTCGATCGAAGTCCCACATTTGGGCATGGCGGGAGACCAGGCCCAAGCCGTACTCTAGCCGGTGCTTCAGTACTGTACCCCAGGTTCCAAGGTATCGCGAGATTCACTGCAACCTTTGGCCATTCTTCACCCCCTGCAATAATCCTTTGGGACCTCTTGAGCAAACGAAATACCTCTAGAGGCACGGACGGTGCAGCATATTCTCTGAGCATGTGAACTCGTTCGACATCCCCCATCCGCCGCGGCCGCCATGGCTACCTCTATTCTTGATATCCAGCGAAGTATCATACTAGACACAATCCGAACGACCAGCGGTCGAGACTGGAAGGTGCTGGTCTTGGACGAGCAAAGCAGGCAACTCGTTTACAATGTGACGAGAGAAGACGACATACTCAACGCCAATATTACCAACATTGAACAAATCGAAGAGCGCAGGCAGACGCTCTCCGATACAGACGCAATCTACCTGCTCTCTCCGCTGCCACACATTGTCGAGTGTCTCAAGGCTGACCTCGGGCGAAAACGATACCGTCGGGCACATCTGATTTGGACTTCGCAATTACCACGTGCGTTAGGAGAAGAGATCTTTCGTTCAGAGTCACGAGCACGCTTGATCGTCGAGTCTCGGACTCTGAACATCGACTTTTTCCCAAGAGAGTCAAACCTCATCACTTTTCGAGAACCGTGGAGTTTCCACCTCCTCTACCATCCCGCCTGCGATGCTCTGGTCAAGAATCACTTGGACGCCTTGACTCAGAAGATTGTATCTATATGCGTTTCTTTGGGCGAATATCCTCTTATCAGGTTTTACAAACCTCGAGATCACGATAGACACCCGGCAGAAGTCCTCTGTTACCACTTGGCAAGTTTTATCCAGGCCGCATTGGACAACTATGCCCGCGACGAACGCAACGATTTCCCTCCACAAAACCTTTCCTCTCGACCACGGGCAGTACTTCTACTCACAGCCAGGTCCATGGATCTCATGTCTCCCTTTGTCCACGAGCTCACGTACCAAGCGATGGCCATGGATCTGCTCCCGATCAGAGATGACGACGACAAAGTCACATATAGAAACATTATCCGACGGGGACAGCCCGACCAAGAAGAAAAAGACGTGGAGATCACGGAGAAGGACAACCTCTGGGTTGCCCACCGCCATATGCACATGAAAGATCTGCTAGTGAAACTAAGCGAGGAGTTCAGGAAGTTTCAAGCACGAAATCCTCAATTTGCCGATAACGACGGTCAGCCCGCTAGTATCAACACCATCAAAGATATGTTAGCAGGACTCCCTGAATTCCAGGAAGGCAAGGAGGCCTTCTCTCTACATATTGACATGGCCGAAAAGTGTGCCAAAATATTCGCAGACCACAAATTGTTAGACGTGGTATCCGTCGAACAGTCGCTCTCTACCGGCATGGACGAAGACAACAAGAGGCCCAAAAACCTGGCAGATCAAATCGTGCGGCTGCTGGATGACGACAGTGTCATTCATGAAGATCGTGTGAGACTTCTAATATTGTACATATTGTACAGGAGTGGCATTCTCCGTGGTGATATTGAGAAGCTACGTTGTCACGGCCAGCTCTCACCAATGGATGGGGAGATCATTTACAACCTTATCACCTTAGGTGCGCGAGTTGAGAAGCAGCTGAAGGATACCACACTACCACCACCACCTTTATTTCCACCGCGCATCAGAGATACCGGTAACGTTGAGGAAGTTAGCCTGTCGCGGTTTGAACCAGCTCTAAGGTACATGCTTGAAGAGCAGTGTCAAGGGACTCTGGACACAACCGTGTTCCCTCCCGTCAAGCCGCACTTGAATGATCCCAACATGGCCGGCATGACTTCCCAGACGTCTCTGAGGAATGCCGGAAAACCTACATGGGCGCAGACTCGGTCGCAGTCGAACAAACCCCGTCAGCGAATTATCGTATTTATGGCGGGCGGCGCGACATATGCTGAAGCCAGAGCCTGTTCCGAGGTATCCCGTATGGCTGGAAAGGAAATCTTCCTAGCAACCACTCATATGCACACACCGAAGAGTTTCTTGCGGCAAGTGAGCCTTCTCAGTACCGGTCGAAAACAGTTAGACCTACCCGCGGATCGACCGGCTCCCAAGTTACCTGCCTGGATTTCGGAGCCTCCTCCACAGGCCCAACAACCCGCAAGACCTCAAGCTCCTCCAAATGGTAGACCGTCTGACCCGACGAGGCCGCCCACGGAGGCCATGCAAAGGATGAATATTGCTGGAGGACCACAGAATGGCACTCGGCCGGGTGTGGGCACGGCGCCTGCCCGGCCACAACCACAACCCCCGGCCACTTACCAGTCTCCGTCAGCATCAGAGGGCTCCGGAAAGCTGAAAAAAGAGAAGAAACACCACCTCGGGTTATTCAAGAAGCACTAGCCTATGCTTTTCAAGACTTAGCGTGGCGTCGTAGGCAGGTGGCGTTCCTCCTGAACATAGAGCAAAACTGCGTTGTGCATCGGATGCATCAGCTGTTGGGTCCCAAGTACTTTTCTAGATCCGGACCGTAAAACGACTTCCGAAATTTCTCTGCGCGTTTCTTTGCCTCCATTTCCATGACTCGGACTTTTTTGGCATCAAGTCTGATGACCCTGTCCTCCTTTTTCACTTTGATCCTCGTCTTCGTGCCTCTGCCGTCATCTTCCACGATCTCTCGGAGACCGGCAGTATCATGCTTCTCTTTCGGTTTGATGGGAATGCGAATACCCTCCTGCCGGGCACCCAGGCCAGCCCTGCTGTCCGGATCCCACCCGTAGGCCTCCAGGTATTTGACTCCAACATGTTCTCTGTCCAGATGTGAGGGAGGATGTATGTGCTGGAGACAAACTTGATGCGCTATTGAGGATTCGTGGGCATGAGTGTCTATGGTAGTGACAGTATCGTCTGACGAAGATAGAGGTTGCTTGCACACTGGGCATATTTCTGTAGCCACCTGCTCTAATTCTTTCTCGTCAGGCTCTTCTACTTTGCGACTCTCTTTGGGTAAGACGATCGAGAGATAGCGGGACGCGATGTTCGTCGATTCCTGTGGTTTGGTAGTACTAGGGATAGAAGACTCTGACGATGAAGCGGGCACGAATGCGATACGCTTGCGTTTGATGCCTGCACCGAACACACGCTGATCCTGCACCGGTAAGAAATAGTCTTCGTCCTCATCTGCCATGTTGGCGGGAGTGACTGTCACCAGTTGCCGAGTGTCATAAAGTGTTAAAGAACATAAAAAAACGACATGCGGCTACTGTACTTAGACTCCAGGTATGTGGCGTCACTTCCGTTACTTAAGCTTTCCAGGCACCCGTCGCTTGTGATAGGCGCAACTCACTGTATCCTCCCGGCCTCCGCAACTTTTGATCATATGTCAACGCAGGCCACGCTTCGGCCATTCTTGTCCTGCGTTTTTATTTATTGGGGGAGACGACATCATGCCCATCGATCTGCTGGCAGAGGGCTATGGCCGGAAAATCTTGAGTAGCCCACACACATGGACTGTGGCCCAGGCCGCGGCTGCCATTGGCGTGGTAGCCCTCCTGAAGTTTTATTTTGGTGGTGCAAGATGTCGTTCCGAACGAGTGATGCACGGAAAGGTGGTGATGGTGACGGTACGCAGACCTGGGCAATATTCGAGTTACATCTGACAGTGTCTAGGGAGGTACGTCAGGAATAGGTGCCGCCATAGTACAAGAGCTCGCAACAAGAGGCGCCCAGATCATTCTCTTGACCCATCATGCTCCCTCCGACCCATTCCTCGTGGACTACATTGAAGATGTGCGAACTATCACCAACAACGAATTGATATATGCGGAGCAAGTCGACTTGTCCTCACTTCATTCGATACGGCTTTTCGCAACGAAATGGGTTGATAATGCCCCTCCGAGACGATTGGATATGATCGTTCTCTGCGCCAACGTCATGACGCCTTGGTTTGGTACAAGTCAAAAGACGCTGGACGGACTCGAAGCAGAATGGGCTATCAACTATCTCAGCAGCTTCCACCTCCTGAGCATCCTGTCACCCGCCATTCGAGCACAACCACCAGACAGAGATGTAAGAATTCTGTTTAGTACATGCAGCAGCTATATTGGAGGCAAGCTGGAGCTGCAACATACCGAGTCTACGTCAAAATCTGGCAGCACTTCCTACGCGCGCAGCAAATTGGCCGTCATGACATTTGCATATGCATTCCAGAAACACCTTGATTCATACAAACGTCCTGACAATCAGGTCAACAACGCGCGGGCTTTCATTATTGATCCTGGATTCTGTCGCACTCCTGGCACAAGGAGGTGGCTGTCTGGAGGTCTCATATGGGGTCTCTTTCTGTATCTGGTGACCTGGCCACTATGGTGGCTCATCCTCAAGTCGCCTGTTCAAGGTGCTCAGAGTTACCTTCTCGCGGCCATGGAAGCTGAATACGGACGAGGAGCTGGTGGAAAAATGATCAAAGAATGCAGAGAATACGAACCTTTAAGACCCGAAGTCAAGCATGAAGAGGTTGCGAAGAAGCTGTGGGAATTTAGTGAAAAGCAAATCGAACAGCTGGAGAAAGCAGGCGCTGTCAAACGGGCTCTGGCGAAGAAAGAGGCAGAGAAGAACAAGAATGATGTGCCAGATCCGGCCGCAGACGGCACGCCGGTTTCTTCCGCCGGCAAGAAGGAGGCCACGGCGGGGTCCAGAAGGAGCCGCAAAGCGAAATGAGCCCAACTAGCAGCCACCTACCATCTTCGAATAGAGGTACAGGCCGACCTACATTAGGTTGCATATCAGAGACATCTTTCCTGCGCTACATTCGACCTCAAGGTGTGCATCAGAAGCAATCAAGTCGGTGGGAAACTCCAAGGATGACTCGACATCGAGGCCAAGAAACCAGTTGGAAGCATTTCCGCAGGACACGCACGATGAGGGCGAGATGATACACAGATGGAACGACATATTAAGTCCTTGAATGGAGAACAAACAAACTCCACATCCGGCTGCTGCTGTTGGGCCCATTTGCCTGTCTGTCTCTCGCCATCTGGCGGAGCAAGGCTTCTTTGGCGGGCGGAGTAGTCCGCGGCGGTATACTCGATGCAGTCACAGTGGTCTACCCACGATACTGCACCATGCGTGGTACAGAGAAACATATCACCGTCGAGTAGGCGTTCAAGACCCGCAAGACATCTAGGCTCTGATCAACCCAAATCAGTGGCTTCCGCACGGCTTGCTTTTGATAGTCAGTGGGCAATACAACGCACACTGACAGAACCCCTAGAATTTCATAATGGATCTGTCGACTCTCGTAATGGGACAATTCCCATAGGAGGCGGTGGGATTCCGCGCCTCCACAAACCATCGGAATGTTGGAGGCACAAGTTTGCACCCAGGCATTTCTCCATCCCCACTTCACGCAACCATTCCGGGGTCGACACTGGTCGTGACTGACTTATATGGTCCAACATCCTCTGTTCCCAAGACGGTGATATCCTTCACGCCGTTCCATACTAGACATCAGTCTCCCGTTCACTACACGGTCATTCAAGCGACGGCAAATCATCATGATTGACAAAACCTTCACATTCATCGCGGGCGCTGCCCAAAACTCTCCACTATTATTCCTAGCTTACTTTACCGCGGCTTCTGCATTGTTATACCTGCTCATCACAGAATTACAAAGAACCAAGGTTCGAATTCCTGGATTCGGTGGTCCTCCGGGCCTGCCTATGATTGGCAACCTTCATCAGATTCGAGTCAATGCAGCTGAGCAGTATCGTCAGTGGGCCAAGAAGTACGGCCCCGTCTATCAAATTATGCTGGGCAATGTTCCTGTCGTCGTGGTAAACTCGGCAAAATCTGCTAGAGAGATATTTGGCGCCAACTCCCAGGCGCTTGCTTCAAGGCCGGAGTTCTACACCTTTCACAAAGTTGTTAGCTCAACCGCAGGAACAACCATAGGAACATCGCCATTCAGCGAGAGTTTGAAGCGTCGGAGGAAGGGCGCGGCGAGCGCTCTGAACAAGCCCAGCGTTGCAACCTACATTCCACACATCGATGTGGAGACTCGCGACTTTTTGCAGGAGTTCTTGACATACGGCGATTCCGGCAAGAAGCCGGTAGATCCTATGCCGATGATTCAACGTCTATCTTTGTCACTGGCGTTGACGTTGAACTGGGGAACAAGAATGGCATCACAGAATGATAAATTGTTTGGTGAAATTACTCATGTTGAGGAAGAGGTTTCCAAGTTCCGCTCGACTACAGGCAACCTTCAAGACTACCTACCTCTCCTTCGGCTTAACCCATTCAACTTTGGTAAAGTTCATGCACGCGAGATGCGCCAGCGAAGAGACGTATATTTAAAGAAATTGAATGATGATCTAGACGACCGCATGGCCAAGGGCACGCACAAGCCATGCATCCAAGCCAACATCATCCTCGACAAGGAAGCCAAGCTCAATCAAGAAGAGCTCATTTCCATCTCGTTGACCATGCTTTCTGGCGGTCTAGACACGCTCACGACACTTGTCGCATGGTCAATGGCATTGTTGGCACAACGACCCGATATCCAAGAAAAGGCTCTGAAGGAGATCCGCGCCGTGTATCCCGAAGATCAGATCCTCTGCGACGCCAACGATGACCAATCCATTCCTTACATCTGTGCTCTCGTGCGCGAGCTGTTGCGCTTCTACACCGTGCTCCGACTGTCTTTGCCACGCGGCACGGTCAAGGATGTTGTTTACAATGGGCACACCATCCCCTCGGGCAGCGTGGTATTTTTGAACGCTTGGTCATGCAATATGGACGACGAAGTCTGGACGGACCCTGAGGTGTTCCGACCTGAACGCTGGCTGGAGCAGCCCGATGCACCTCTGTTCACGTACGGTTTGGGCTATCGCATGTGCGCCGGAAGTTTGCTGGCCAACCGCGAGATGTACACTATCTACTTGCGCATGCTGTCTGCGTTTGACATCCAGGATGCCAGAGCTGTGGATGGTGGGGTCATGAATACTCACCCTGTCGAGGGTGTTGAGGATCAGACGCAGCTTGTCAGCGTGCCGAAACGGTATACAGTCAAACTGGTGCCGCGGAACGAAACCGTGCTGAGGCAGGCTTTGGATGACTTTGTCGAGGAGAAGCATTGATTTGCGGGTCTATACAACAGCTATTCGCTGTAGCACTTTACTTGCTCGTTTGCATGAACTGGAGTTGTGGAAATACTCCTCATCATTGCATTCTTAGAGTGGCATTGTACATTGTACCCGAATTCGTCTTGTATGCTCATGATTTACCTTTTGGCATTTTTGCGTCATGGCTATCTTGTCATCACATGTCTTGATGTCTATCTATCGCTAAAAGTCTATCTTTTCTCGGAACGCTCAGTTGATGCCGCTACGAATCCAGCACTGTCTATCTGACAGTCGGACGCATATGCCCATTCTGCTCGAGCGAGTTCGTCCTGTGCCTCTTCAATCCTTCTTCGGCGACCTTCTTGACCGTCACCTCACCCTCGTAAATGTCCTTTGTCTCGTTGAGGATGGTCTCCCAGCTCTCGAACTCGGTGAAGGGAATGCCCTCGTTTTCGCAGTACGTGATGAGATCCTGGCCAGCCCTCGCAAACAGCAGATCCGTCTCACGCGCGGCGCTCAAATCACTCACCCCGTCTCCAGCGTACAGCAACGTCGGTCGCTCGTCATGGGGCATTTTAGCGATGGCATCCGCGTACGGCCGGATGGTGAGGGACTTGTCGTGGCCGAATCCGGAGTCGTCGTGGAATTTGATGGTCCAGCCGTCTGCTTTGTCGAGGCTGTTGCCTGGCGCGCGGAGTTGGGTCTCGTTGGCCACGATCTCAATGTCCTGCATGAGTTCCTCGCCGAGCAGGTGTTTTAGGAGGGTCTCGATCACGGGGATCATGCCGCTGGACAGTACGATCACGGGGACATGATGCGCGCGTGCCCACACCATGAATTCCTTGAAGTACGGGTCCAGGGAGATGTTGTCCCGTAAAATCTCGAGGACATTGGGGAACGGCATCTTCCAGGAGTCGAGCATCTTTTGGAATGTGTTGCGGAAGCTGTCGCTGTGGTCGATGACGGCGTGGAAGAGACTACGGCGTTGCTCGTAGCCCATGCCATAATTGTCAGTGATGAAGTCGTTGGTGTCTTGGAGAGTGATGGTGCCGTCGAAATCGGTGAAGAAGATTACGCGGGGTTTCGCGTTGAGAGTCTCTGGGAACGGCATGATGAAGGGATGTTGTTGGTGATGAGATATGGGTTGGTTCAAGACGAAGTTTAATGGTATAGCAGGCTTTTTATGTCTTCGACTTATGCCAGAGGATTAGCTGCCGTAGAATTTTGTTCTTTTCCAATATTAGATGATCGTCAACCAGGAGACAAGCTCGTCTCAAGCCAATGCCCACTGCCCCAGTCTTTGATATTTTTTGGCGGGAATAAGCCCGAAAGAGGAACCACAAGCAGAATGACGTCGGGACGCGATCGGCGTCATTTCCGTGCTTCGGCTCACCTTCTGTATTTGCCGATACTTCGGGGAGAATCAATGCTAATGCTTGTATCCAAGCTGTAGAAGCTGGTGCGGACGGAGCACTTGAGGGTGGTAACTGTGGGAGACGACTTTTCCCGGGGTGATATAGAGATTTTGGCAGTGCTGCTCGACATGCAGCAAGCTCCGCTGCGGCTATCTCAGACGATATGGTCCGCATTTCGAGCTGCGAAGCCAGCCCACAAACATCTTCCACAACCTCGCCATTTTTCCTCGGTAGTACGGCAGGCCCCGCAAGCATGGCCATGTCAACGGTCGAGAATAGCTGTTCAAGCTCGATTTTATAGCGACCACAAACCAGAGATTGAACGAAAAGTGCAAGATGCAAAAGATCGAATCGACGACAGCCTGGACGCTCGTGCGGACAGAGCTGCGCAACCCGAAGAAACACTTAAGAACGCACGAGACGAGACCATCGTCCATACGATACCGGAGTCGTCCTCGATAGTCTACGCCAGGCCACACGACGAAAAGCCCCCTAAGCCGAAACAACAACCCAGTCATGCCGACAACGCTCTACCCTCCGACTCCTCGTCCCGGTACTCACACCTACGGAAACGCTTCTCCCACTTTATGGACAATTTCCAAACACACGTCTTCACGGCGTCACGGAGATTGAACGACCTGACAGGCTATTCGGGTATCGAACAGCTGAAAAACGAGATCGAACATCAAGAGTTGGTGGTGCAGGAGTCTCGAAAAGCCGTCAAAGACGCCCGCTCCCGGTACAGTGAAGCCATAGCCACGCGGAGCCAGACACAACGCGAGGTCAACGACCTCCTACACCGTAAGCACACCTGGTCCGCCGCGGACTTGGAACGCTTCACGAGCCTGTACCGCTCCGACCACGCCAACGAGCAAGTCGAAGCAGCGGCGCAAACGGAGGTCCAAGAAGCCGAGGCGCGCTACGAGGAGGCATCGACCAAACTCGCCAGAGCGATTCTAGCAAGATATCATGAAGAGCAGATCTGGAGCGACAAGATCAGACAGATGTCGACATGGGGCACGTGGGGTCTAATGGGTTTGAACGTGCTGCTGTTCGTGGTCTTTCAAATCGCGGTCGAGCCGTGGCGGAGGAAGAGGCTGGTCAAGGGCTTCGAAGAGAAAGTCGAGATGGCGTTGAAAGAACGCAATGAAGATAGAACGCCTCCCGTGCAACCTAACCAGACAGCTGCGGCGGCGGCGATATCTGCTGGGACTGAGAAGGTCGATGCCGTGGCAGACAATATCGCCGAACAGATCGTCGATGCGATTTCCGGGGCTACCGCCACCCAGACCGCCGAGGAGACACTTCCAGCAGCTACAACGCCATCCCAAGAGGAGGTTGAACAAGTTGTCGAAGATGTGGCTACTGCTGAGATCGCCGCGGAGGAGGTCAACAGCGGCTCTCCGGAGACGCTTGTGCCAGATGAACCAGTCGACACGCCTGAAGTCACGCATGGGTGGGAACGATCGCGGTGGACACCGCCGGACTCTCCGCTCGCGTGGTATGAAGATACGGTACGTGCGCGGATCAGTGACGAGCAGAAAGTTACGCTCACGCAGCGCGAGTTGACTACTGTTGCAATGGAGGGCGTGGCCGGTGGCATGGCTCTTATGGGCTTGCTGTTCGTGCTCTTTCGGCCGAGGTGAGATGTGGTCAAGATCCTCCTAGACAGGCGGTCCGCCGCTCAATGTATAGAACATGTAATCTACGACACCAAAATGTACATAAAACAGGAAATCTCACATCACTGGCACACTGTTGTCTGGTGGCCTTAAGATACACGATTTGATGGGAATTTGTCTCACATTTTCCTGGAGGATTGTTGGACGTTTGACCCCAGGCACCTCTTTCCTGCTCTAATATGTACAGAATCTAGCTAACCACCTCGTCGAGCTGTGGTGTAGCCCAGGTCATTCCACCTGCTGCACTGCTAGAAGACTTGTTCGCCGCGCGATACACCAGTATAAAAAACAACACCTTAACCAATGACTAGCGAGTTGTCTTCTGGGAATTCGTACTCGGGAATCTCGAGGTTCAATGGCGCAGGACCTTTTCTTACTCGTCCGGAGATGTCGTAGTGTGAACCGTGGCACGGGCAGAACCAGCCTCCAAAATCACCTGCTTCGCCGATGGGGACACAACCCAAATGTGTGCAGACACCAACCATCACTAGCCATTCGGGTTTCTTGACACGGTCTTCGTCTTTCTGAGGGTCACGGAGGACGGATAGGCTGGACAAGTGATGTTAGTATTACACTCCGTCTTCTGGGAAAGAAGGATGCTGCAGGAGCTCGACGTACTTGACTGCTTCAGCTTCCTTGATTTCATCTTCTGTTCGGTGACGAATGAAGACAGGCTTGCCTCGCCATTTAATGATAACGTTCTTGCCCTCAGGAATGGCAGCAAGGTCAACTTCGACTTTAGCCATGGCCAAAACATCGGCGGACGCGGACATGTTGACGAGGAAGTCTGTGGTTCAATCGCGTATTGTTAGCTTATATTTCCCCCAGGAACCGATGTCCGCTCGAAATGCGTTTCTTGCGTACCTTGCACGGTGTTCTTTGCGCCAGCTGCGGCGAGCAGACCCATTGATCCGGCCACGAAATATTGGAAGACTCGGTTCGTCACTTCGGGTGTGGGAGAAGCATAGTGCTTGAAGCTGGGGATCTTGGTGGTGTCATACTTGTCGGGGTTGCCGGCTCTATGTAGAGGATGGCCGCCGCTGGGACTGCTGAAAGGGCTTGAGAAGCTTGAGCTAGCCGCGGGGTTGGGCTCGTTGGTTTGTAGCCGTCGTTGACCACTCGGGGATGAAGCTGTGGCGGACACGGCGGCCAGACGGGAAGTTTGTGACGAGGAGCTGGGGAGAGTGTGTCGGGTCCAGTTGCGCAAGGCAGAGCCTGCGGAAGCTGGAACTGGACGCATGCTGACGGATGCTGAGTAGAGAGAGGTCGTCAAGGGCGAGGTGAGGAGCTTGAGGAATCCAATGTTCCTTCAATTGCGATGATGGAAGCCAGGAAACGCAGAGAGGCAATGCCAAGCTGAGGAAAGAAGCTGCGATTTTATATCTCAACTGTGATTGGCCAGGATCAAGTCGGCCCTTCCAACCTCTAATAAAGCACCGACATAATTTGAACTTGTAACAATTCCAGATGGACTTCGCGACCATGACTACTTGTGTAACTATATACAAGTTTTTCCTCATCGCCATCTCCTCGTTGCAGTCATACTTCTAGACATACATCAACCAATGCCGGCAATGTTGATCCTGCGAATGCTTCCGTCAACTCCATAAAGAACCCGTCCATCGTCAATGCGACGGATACAGAACACGTAAATGGCATCTAACCCCCTCTTTCGTCGATTCAATCCGTCATTTCGATATCTCGAATTGGATCTGGATGACTCCCTGTCCGCTGATGAGCTGATCTATGAGCAATGGGGCTACCATGGCCGCCGTTCGAAGATCCATTGATGCCATTCACGCCGTTCTGTTGCTGGTTTTTCATCATAGTTTCTATTGAAACCGTTCCGCTGTCACCATTCATGCCATTCGTCGTGACTCCTGACGAGGACGCTTTTGCGGCGGATTCCTGTGCTTTTTCTTCTCGGAACTGCCGATAAGTCTTCGTCTTCGGTACTGTGTCTGAAAGAAATTCGAGATTGTCGATCCGTGATATGGCTGTGGCTGCGAGATTGTTAGATACTTCTTCCGTTTTCCATATTCATCCCTTACCGATATCTTTATATGCGATGTTCCGCCGGGGTTTTCGTTCCGATTTTACCACATTGTGTGCTTGTTCGGCCAAGTAGCGCACGAATTCCTCCTAGAGGACATCAGCACGCGTGACAAAGAAGACGTCCTGATATGACGCACCGTAGCGATGGATATAGCAAAGGCAGCAGTGGTAGAGCACTGAGCGATGTCTTCATCCATGGCAATGATCTTCTTAACACGAGCCACTGATATGCGGTTAGTATGGACATGCTCATCAAGCCTTGCTGGGACTTACATGGAAGAACAGACGAGCCTGTTATCTCCTCCGGGGGCTCGATAGGGGCATTATTATAAGGCATAATGGCCTTTGGAAGTCTGCGATGGTACTGCCTGTCCCCTGGACTTTCGGCGTGTCTTTGCCAAAAGAGATTTCGATGCGACGACCAACAAGGTATGGACAGGATGATTTCAGCGAGCCTTGCCTGTCTCCTTAGCCCGCGAGCATCAACTCGCGTCACTACGTGAAGCGGGTTTGATGAGGGTCAACTTCAAAAGCGCATATAGTGTCGCAATTGTGCACTTTGAGTAGAGGAGTATTTGCTGAGTCTGTCAAATATGGCTTGTTCAAGTAGAAAGCTAGTATCTGAGGTCAAAGTCGCGTCGAGGAATCCACATGGCAGCGACCTGGGCACGTCCCAAAGCGGAAAAGTGAATCGATCGGAGGACAGTTCGTCTACGAATACACCTTAGGGTCTACTCCGTAACAGCATTCGCATCATCCCAAGCCTCTCACTCCTATGGACGACCTATAGATGGCCATGATCGATAATCCGATGTTATGACCTCGCGCGTTTCCATTTCGGCGTCTACCTCTTCTGCCCGACCCTCCCTGTCGTCCAGGCGATTCACCCGGCGCCTTTCTAGTCTCGAACACGGGGAGCCGACCCCAGATATCGCGCCTGCGGAACAGGCCATTACAGAAGAGATTGAAGAGATAAAACGCTATGAAGATTTCACCACCATTGACTGGGTTCAAGATGCGGCTCAAGAACAATCGCGCAGGCGTGCCAGGCGGAAAGAATCCAGATTCTTCGAACGAGATGGTGTCCTGGGATGGCGGCGCAAACTCTGGGAATCCTACGATGCTGCACAGGCTTGGATCGTCATCACCTTGGTTGGGATCGTCATTGGTCTCAATGCTGCAGTCTTGAACATCATCACAGAATGGCTGTCAGATATCAAGATGGGCTATTGTACCACAGCCTTCTATCTGAACGAGGACTTTTGCTGCTTTGGATCCGAATCAGGATGTGATGAATGGAGGAGATGGAGTTCGTTCACAGTCGCCAATTACTTCATCTATGCCATCTTTGCCGTCCTCCTGGCATTCATCTCAGCGTATCTGGTCAAAGGTTACGCACCGTACGCGGCCGGTTCAGGTATATCGGAGATCAAATGCATCATTGCCGGATTTATCATGAAAGGATTCCTTGGATTCTGGACCTTTCTCATCAAGTCTATATGTCTACCACTTGCGATTGCTTCGGGACTGTCGGTCGGTAAAGAAGGACCGAGTGTGCATTATGCGGTATGCGTCGGCAATGTCATTTCACGGTTCTTTGACAAGTACAAGCGAAGTGCGTCCAAGACGAGAGAGATTCTGACAGCTACGGCGGGAGCGGGAGTGGCTGTGGCATTTGGAAGCCCCATCGGTGGTGTGCTTTTCTCGCTGGAGGAAATGGCCTCGCATTTTCCCTTGAAGACGCTTTGGAGGAGTTACTTTTGTGCTCTTGTCGCGACAGCCGTGCTGAGTGCCATGAACCCTTTCCGGACCGGACAGCTCGTCATGTTTTCAGTAAAGTACGACAGAGATTGGCATTTCTTCGAGATCGTCTTCTACATCATTCTCGGTATATTTGGCGGGTTCTATGGGGCCTTCGTCATCAAGTGGAATCTCATGGCTCAAGCATTTCGAAAGAAATATCTGTCGAAGTACCCGATTCAGGAAGCTGCCATCCTTGCTGGTGCCACGGCTCTTCTCTGTTATCCGAACATGTTCCTGCGGATCGACATGACCGAAATGATGGAAGTCTTGTTTCGGGAGTGTGAAGGTGATTATGATTATAACGGGTTGTGTGAGAAGCAGAACAGGTGGCCGCTTGTTACCTCCCTGCTCGTTGCGACGTTCTTGCGCATATTCCTTGTCATCATTTCTTATGGCTGCAAGGTGCCAGCAGGCATTTTCGTGCCAAGTATGGCAATCGGGAGCGCTTTTGGCAGGGCACTCGGGATGATCGTGGAGTGGCTACATGAGTCGTTCCCTGCTTCACAGTTCTTTGCGGCATGTCAGCCAGATGTGCCATGCATTACCCCTGGCACGTACGCCTTCTTAGGAGCCGGAGCAGCCCTGAGTGGAATCATGCATCTCACGATTTCGGTCACCGTCATCATGTTCGAACTTACTGGAGCCTTGACCTATATCCTCCCTACCATGATTGTGGTCGGAGTCACCAAAGCAGTCGGCGACCGCTTTAGTAAAGCTGGTATAGCCGACCAGATGATATGGTTCAATGGATTCCCTTTCCTTGACAACAAAGAAGAGCATACATTCGGGGTTCCTGTGTCTCAGGTTATGACTGGAAATATCAGCATGCTCTTCTCGACTGGCATGGAAGTTAAAGCCGTTCAGAAGTTGTTGGACGACACCGCGTATTCTGGCTTTCCCGTTGTGGAAGACGGAGATTCCAGAATACTCCTCGGATACATCGGGAGGACAGAACTACAGTTTGCTATCGAGCGAGCCAGGAAGCAAGGCATGCTAGCAACAGATGCAAAATGCTCGTTCGTCACCGAACGCGAAGATACCGCGGAGACACCAGCACCACTTACACCGGCGATCACGTTCGACTCTATGGCTCTGCAGACGTTGGATCTCAGCCCATTTGTCGACTCTACACCAATCACCATCCATCCGCGCCTGCCACTGGAGACGGTCATGGAGCTTTTCAAGAAGATGGGTCCGCGAGTTATTCTTGTCGACCACCACGGCCAACTCGAGGGGCTCGTTACCGTCAAAGACTGCTTGAAGTATCAGTTCAAAGTCGAAGCTCAGGAACATGCCGCTGCCCTTAGGGATGACTCCAACGGCCAGCACGACAGGTTCGTGGATGTACTCGCTAGGGTTGGAGAGTACTTCGCCGACAAGATCAATAACCTTTCGAGAGGGAAGCTGAGGCTTAACCCGCATGTCGCAAATGGATGGGCTCGAGTAAGTGGAAACGATACAAGACATGACTTTGCGGACGACTATAGACGCGAGCACGAGATTTTGGACGGCACGGAAGATCTGGCGGACCACGAGCGGGACGGCGTCGAAATGAACACTAGATGAGCGCAGTATACTATATCTTTCTGTTCAGGAGGGCTCTCTGTCACTGTTGTCCGATCTTGCTTTCGTCGTCGATCTATCTTTGTCTGCTCTCACGTTTTCATCTCAGTTCCGTCTTCCCTGATACTCTGAGAGGTGAGTCATTTGTATAAGTCTTCCTAGTCTACTTACAACTCCCTGGTCCGCCCCTGAACTCACTTACTCGCTGCCCTGAAGGACTCCTTACCCATCCCTCCTCCCCAGCAGCATCAAAACCTCGTAGGCAACAGCTCAACCATGTCTTCTCCCGCAGCTCTGAGTGTCGACGACCACCCAGATCTTGATCTCGTTCAAGCTCCCGACTCCGATCTATCACAGTTCCGATCACCCTCGGCGTTGTCCAGGATGTACACTCTGGAAGACGAACTCACCGCCATACAAGACGGCACCTTCCTCAGCGATGACAGCGGCATCGGCGATCTTGATCATGATTGTCAGCCCGAGCCCGAGTACGAGTATGAGAACAACAGCCTTCCTTCTCCGACCCCGACCGATCTCAACCACTTGCCCCAGACGCCCTTCATCGCCGCCAACCTCGCCGACTTGACCATCTGGCACGAAACACTTACCTCCCTGACCATTGCTGAGCACAGCGACGCCACGCACGAGTTCCTCTCCGCTCACACCACAATGTTGTACCGCTTCGTCGTACACTCTGTACTACCGCACGTCGCGGCACTAGAAAAGTACAGTGACGCGGCGATGAGGGATAATGAGAGACTCGTTGAGCGTCTTGCGGAAATGAGAGGTCTTGTCGAGGAACTAGGTGAGGTTTACTCCAGAGAGGTTCGGCGGTCAAGGGCAAAGACTGAGGTGCTTAGTGAGGTTGTCGATATGGTTGGGTGTCTTTTGCTAGATGAGGCGGAGGAGGCAGGGTTGGATCGCATCGAACGATCGTGAACATGATCTGATTGATGGTGATGGACCACTGGAAGCAGCCACGGAGTATGGTGGTTGACGATTCTGACAATCGAGACTGGCTTTGAGTTGGGAGCGGGATATGGCTACAGGTTGTCGCAGTGGATCAAGCTGGAATAGTTGAAGGGCGAGACCGGGATATTCAGCCATATTGGATATGCACCTTAGAATAGTGACAATTCAAGCACGAGGTGTCAAGACTAAGCACCTGTTATGCTTGGCTCGGTGTCTAAAGCTCTGATCGAATACCGTTCTACAGCAAAGCCATCTAGGCCATCCATGCAACCAGCACACTAGTCGTGCTCTCAAGTCCTTTTCATTCGTTGCGTAGAGTCTGATCTCATCAGGAGCTTGGGGCATCATTCACCGCCCACCATAGTAGCCACCTCCACCATAGCTTTGATTGCCGCCATGATCTCCCTGCTGATACGGATCCTGGTAGTTCGTCTGATATTGATACTGATCCTGCTCACCTTGGCCAGAGCCATACGAATATCCTGGATCTTGTGTCGCATACTGCTCATATCCTGCCGGAGCCGGCATAGGCATCGGACTAGGAGACGCCAGGTCCCGGTCTTGGGCAGCCCGGTCTCCGTCAGCCGCAGCCTCCTGCAACTCTCTCGACCCGCCCATCTCGCTTCCTTCGAAGGCTCGGAACTGACTGGCACCATCATCGTCATCGAGACCACGCTGGCCACCGCCAAATCCGCTCATGTATTTCGAGTATTTCTGTACATTGTGCACGCCCGGAACGTGCAACTTCTCAGCAATATTGAGGACGTCACTTAGTCCGCCATGTTGCTGTTGGCCTGATGCCGGTTTCTGTTGACCTCCCAAGTGTGTGAAGTTGCCGATCATATCTCCGACCATACCTAACGGATTGTTCGAATGGCCGCCCTGTTGCTGTTGGTGCTGGCCAGGCAGGAAGCTTGCAAATCCACCCAGTCCACCAAATTGGGACTGCTGTTGTGGTTGCTGTTGCTGCTGATTGCCATGCTGCGTATGCGGATTGACGCCAGCTTTGTGGTTCTTACCCGCGCGCACCGACTCCGAACTTAACACATTGTTCAGTTTCTGTCTGTCTGGCATACGGTCAACCCAGTCCTTGACAGCACGGAACATGTTACGGTGCACTTCGAGACTTTCGTTCCGAATTGCAGGATGGTGGAAGATACCCTCAACATCACGCATGACTTGGTCGACAGGGACGTTGGGATGTTCCCAGGCGTACAGAACGCGAGGAGCGATGAACTTGAGAATTTCAGCTGCAACGTGACCTGCAGGCTCGTTGAGGATGTTGCTGAAGTGGTCTTTACTCAACATGGAGTGGGTCGGATCGGAACTGCTGGCGTTGGTCCACACCTCATATTGGTGCTGGCCTGACGAGTTGACGACTTCTGTGCTGCCGACCTGGAGGGTTTTGGAAATGGCGTTTATGACTGGACGGACGAAGGGCGCGAGAAGTGACAGGATGAAGACTGTCAATGTCTCGGTTATGCGTTCCACTAACGCTTCGAGGCCGGGGATCTTCTCGATGATGGCACTGATAGTGCGAACCACTTTGTCTCGGAACACCAGGATGGGGTAGATCTGAGCAATCGTCTTGGCTGGGTCGAAATCGGGCATTCCTGGTAGACCAGCCGGAGCAGTGACCTGTTGCTGGGTAGTCTGACCCGCTGTGCTTTGCTGTGTCGCTGGCAGCTCATGTGGCTGTTGACTTGGTTGTTGCGTTTGCGCTTGCTGATCCCATGCCGTGGATGACGAAGGAGGCTGTTGGTGCTGGTCATGCTGAATGGGAGGCTGCTGATTCCATGACTGTGATTGTGATTGTTGGTCCCAGGCACCAGGCGGCGGTCCTTGTTGGTGCTGCCAGTTCTGTGTTCCTCCAAATTGATCGTGTTGCTGGAATGGCGGCGGTGGTCCCTGATCCTGCCATTGAGGGTGATGCGGCGGTGGGCCCCAACTCTGCTGATGTTGCTGGTAGTCCTGCTGCGGAGCATTCCAGGAACCAGCATCATGGCTTTGATATTGAGGAGGAAAACCAGGCTGAGAAGCTCGGCTGGTGTCCCAATCGTTGAACCCACGAGTTGAGCCACCAAAATCATCTGCACCTCTGAAGGCTCCTTGCGCACCGAGATCTTGCCCACCCAAGGAGCGAGCTTGTGCTTGAGAACTTGCCTGAAGCTGTTCTGCTTCATCACAGAGCTCCCTGGTGCCTGGAACCTTCGAAAGAAGCTTCACAAGTGTAAATAAGGGATTTGACGAATGTGCCGCTTGCTGCGCTGTTCCCAGAGCATCGTCCATCTCATTGACTTCGCTCTGTGTGAAGTGGTCGGTAGCCTCTCCGAGCACAGAGTGGTAGAAATCCACTGTTCCAAATGTCCCTGTGACAAGAGGGTATACCTGCTTGCCATGGAGATTGATCATTGTGTTTGTTCCCACGTGAGGAAAGACGTTGTGATAGCCCAGTTCTCTCAATGCAAGCTCAACGTAATTTGTATGAGCACCAAAGTCTTCCAATGTATGCAGGCCTTGACCGAGACATCTCAATGCCTCTGCAAGATCTGCATCTTTGCCCTTGAAGAAGCTGGATCCGTTCATGTAGAGACGGCCGTGATGGATACTCCGTTCGAAACTGTACTTCACGTACGCCGTGCTTGTGGCCCAGTCTCCTTTGCCATTTGCGATGTAGTTCTTCATGCCAGTCTCAGGGTCGATTTGTAATTCGATCTCACGGACAGGGGCACGCAGTCGAGCGTCATATGGTCGAGCATCCTCGTTCTCATTGTAGTCTTTTGGGTTGCTGCCACGATTAGCTCATCCAGCCTCGACCACGATCAGCGTTACCTACTCGATGTGTTCCTCCGGTCGATAGACACCAAGTCTTTCAGAGGTGACTTCAAACTCTGCCGTAGCATAACCAAATCCGAGGAAGGACAGCAACCATACGAGAATACGGATCGTCTCTGGCTGTGCCTTTTTCAGCGCCGCTAGAGTGTTGTCAGCACCGTCTTAACGAGGCTCCCACATAAGTGGTCCAGGTATCGGCGAAGGGATTCTCTCACCTGTGTCCATAGCCTGACTGTAGTCCCTAAGCCAATTCCTGGCCGATGCGTTAGTAGTTCACCTCGCTCCCAATGACCAGCACATACCCAAAGTAAACCCGCTTGATCATCATGGTATTCCATTTGTGGTGCTTGATGCAAGCAATAGTCTTGAGCACATCCTCGATGTCTCCATGACGCCAGTTCTTGCCCTCAACAGATGAGATGGAAGCGATGTCTGAAGTCGAACAAGTCAGTATAACAGCCCACGTGTCCAGGAGATTAGGATATCGAACATACTTCCCGCTCCGAATGCATGTGCTCGAGCAGTGAACAACACTAGGGCTAGCAGCAGAATCAAGCCGACATTCCTGCTCAGGAAAGCCATAGCTGCTGGCAGACCCGGGTCTCGAAACCAAGAAATAAGGATATGGCAAAAGCAGAAGAAGTTGTTAGTTGAGGTGAGATTGTGATATTGGCCAAGGCCAAGGAATATAAAATGCAGCAACGAGTCTCACACCGACCTGATCTACGCTCTTTCACCGTGATCAACACTGCTCGCAAACGAATCTTGCCGGCAGAAAGTGACACCTTTGAACTTATTGTAAGCCATCCTTCGAAAAGAGGTGAATAGCCACAAATCCCCCACGTATGCCGAGAGAATTGGCATGCCTGATGTCGTCGCTCTGCTTGCCACATCTGGATATCGTGCTTGGCTGCTTCCGCCTTGCTTTATGTTCAGCCTGATTTAATGGTGGAGTCAAGACTTCAGGCACTGCCACATACGAAGACACAGATCCAGTACCTTGCAGAGCTGACCAACGCGTCCATAGCGAGGCGGTCTCATCTATTCATTTGGAGGCGGACCTGCATTGGCAACAAATAGGTGCCCTACACGACAACTGGGGTTGCGTTCAATCTCACGGATACAGTGCTGTAGATTTAACAGAGTCTTTTCAACAGAATGAAAAATCATATTTTCGGCATCTATGACTAGAAATACACCTCATGAGCGGCGGTAACATAACCTTCAGCATCTGCTAGACAAGATACAGTTGGTCTTGTGAAGCGTTCGTTTCATTCTTTTAGCCCAGCCGTAGCCATAAGATGTCCATTCGTGTCGTCGATACCACATAACCTAGTCAGAACCCCGTAAGAACCATCTGGTATCATTTGTATCTCTCGTCTGACATCCAACCCATTCCGAATGTGCAAGCAAAATCAACTCCCAATAAGCCACATGTAAATTGAACACCGCCAATGATGCTGCATGATAGTAGTCGTCTATCATGATCTCTTATTCCTCGAATGTGCTTGATAACTCCATGCTAAAAAATTCAGATTGTCTTTTTGTGCATCGCTGTGCCGCCATACTCCACTCCCGGTTCGTAACTTCAACAAATGGCTGGTATCATGATGTCAACATCGTCAAAATCGCTATGACTTTCTTCGCTCGGTGAATAGAACAACTTATGTCGGGTTCATCAGATACATATATACAGTGAGAAGAGTAGATTGAGAGGAGGATAAATTTGTCGTTGGACACCGGCAAGCAAAAAGCAAAACGACCACATCATGACATCAACCAAGGACGAATACAGCGACACGACAACCACAAGCACGGAGGAAAGAGCACAACAAGGTGAGATCTCTTACCACCGACGAGCGGCAGTTGTTTGCTGCATCATACCTGGCGAGATGGATGATGGTGGGCTTGCAATGCGGTTGCCGGTGGAAGGGTTGACAATCGGAATGGCGTTGGTACGGGAACGAAGCGCCGATGGTTGATGAATTTTGAGGTGGTTGTTATTGCTCGTGAAAGTCGGAGGAGAAACGATGTATGCCGATGTTGCAGCAGAGGAGATGGACAGCGAAGGTGTTATTTGTTGAGGTTGGATCTGAGTCTGAAGAGGTGACGAGTCGGGCGAGCCACTTGACAATGAAGATCGGTCAGAAGAACCTGAAGTTACTGACTGTCGCTTCAAATAGTCAGCAAGAGATGTCGAGGACGAAAGAGGTTCATCACCAACCTCGTCGAAGGTCAAAAGGTTCGGGCAAAACTCCATGTCATCGTCAAGATCGAATGACCGGCCTGCCTCGAATCTCTGGCGGTATTGTGAAAGTGTAGGAGCCTCGGTTATGACCACCTCTTTAACGATTTTGGGCGCACGGTATTGTCGTTGGTTGTTGTGAGAGGCAGATATGCGAGGGGCTCTCCGGGAGCGGCCATGATGGTTATGAGTCTGAGGCATCGGGTGAGGGTTTGTGGCTTGTTGATGATGGCCAGGGTAGTAAAATGTCGACATGATTGCAGTTCTGATCTGATTCGCAGCCTTGTTTCTAGGTGTTTGTGAAAGAATAAAGGCGCAGTTGAGCTGGTTGCAGCTAATCGAAACAGTGGCAAAACAATGACGGTGGTCAGCTGATGGGAAATTGGACCTCCTTAAATCGAACTATCCGGATAGCTTTGTCGAGAGAGAAACGAAACTGTCCGTAGCGAAAGAGTTATTAAAATGGAAGATTTGCGATTTGGTGGCAGGTAAAAAGGATGGCGAGATGGATTGTAGAAATGGCGGTGATGAAAGATGGATGGATTGTACGAGTAGAACAGGCGGTGGGATGAACTTGGGGGGAAGAATTGGAAGGGCAGGCGGGCTACAGGGCAGTAGTAGTATTACTAGCTTCCTGCAGTTGGGTTGTGGTCCTCGCGTGCCTTTTCCCTGGCTTGCAAGCGTCAGTTCCAGGGCCAATCAGTCGAGTCCATGCGCCTTGCACTAACGACCGGGCTAGTGATGCAGCTGGGGCGGTCGCCGCCGGGAAGAGGGCCAAAAGAAAGAAGAGAATGGCTTGGTTACGGCAAAGGTCCTTTGGGGATTGATCGTCCAATTGCCACATCCTGGGCGTACCTTTCATACCACTCACCATTGTTTGGGCGTACCTCTCAGCATTGGAATGTGGATTCTAGCCTAATCTTGTCCTGGCACAAAGTTCGAGCGTTTTGTGGACGAATCATTGCAGTTTGACTGGAGAATGGCCTGAGGCTGCGCCCCTCCTCAAATCCCTCTCGAACAAAACACCTCGCCCACACACCACTCTCTGCCCACTGGGTCTCTCCATTTATCTCACCACTCGAGCGAATCACCACCAGCCATCACAACCTTTATGCAGCCCCGGATGACCGCGAGGTTGACGTCGTTCCCAAACACAAGGCACAACCAACAGGTTCTGGCCCTGCCGATCGAGCCTTTTCCGTACCTGTCTACTTCCCTCCCGCCTGGCGGCTCGATGCATGTACAGCCTCGATTGTCGTTCCACCCGATTTGCTTTCATCTGGAAGAGAAGGTCTACTTTATTCAGACAATCAAGAGCTGCATATGGAACAATCCAGGGTACAACTGCCCAATGCTTTATGAAGGATGCTTTACACAGTCCGGAGTAGTCGTCCTGTGAGACCGCGGCTGTCTCAGCAATCACAAGGCAGTACCCCACATCAAGCTTGCTCAATGCACAACTCCTGAGATCTCCAAGGGGATGCTCTCATCTCCTCCTGTCTCGAATGAATCTTGATTGAGGTAAACTGACGTCCCCTACGAGTACTGATGTTTTGTCCTGCTTTTTGGGAGATGATGTGTACCGTCGATCTTCCTCTTGCGGTCTTGCCACGATTGATGTGCATGAGTTGGGAACCCTGACACTTTGCCTTGGACGCATAACTATCGGCTTCTTGAGGAAAGGTCCGGAGCAGATCGAGTTCCGGCGTACCACCATCCTTGCACTGTGCAGCATACCTAGCCGAAGCGAGAGCGCTCTATGACACAACCACGTTTTTACTACCCAATCACTTTTACGATGCTCAAAATATGCCACCAATCTGGTGCTCTTGCTTGACGCCATCGCTATCGTAGAGTTGCCGCAAATAGGTCACCCGGATCATGGTTTTTCCTGAACGCTGCACTCTTTTCTAGACGTCCGTACCTGGCTATTCCTCGGACAAGCAAAGTGTACACATTGGCAGCGCGCTCATCCAGTCGGTGCGGCTTTAAAAGCAACATACTTCGTACTCGCGATTTCAATTTAATACACTCTTCTCATTTCCAGGTTCTTGTCACCCTGCGGCTCACGCTTTAACTTACCCGCGCCGCGGCGAGCTGATGTCTGCTGCAGTCTCCTAGTACACCTTATCCAGGGACCAGTTTCCATCATTGCGACAATTCAGTGGACTCCCTTTGGGTTCACGCTGACTGGGCCTCTGCTGTCGGTATCCCCCTGTTCCCACTTTTCCATGCCCTCTCTTGTCTCCGTGCAATGGACGACCACAAGCAACGATCGAGCTCGAATATCGTCGTACTCGATCACGCGGTGTGTATGGGCGCTATCGGAGAGCCGACCGTTATCGCGAAGGTATCCATGGTCTACAGAGAGGGACACATCTGCACTCGTGTTGATTGAGGTTTGCAGCGTGAGGTTTGTATTCGTGTACTTTGTTTCTAGGACGATGCAGAGAATGGCTTCCTTCCACGTCACACTGAGCTCGAGCCCGGCCTGCACGGCGGGCATGGTTGCGGATGTCAATGCCGCCATGTACGGTCCCTGTGATCAAACCCCGGGAGAACGTAGTGTCCTTCGTTGGAGATCGTTGACGACAGAACCTCGAGCCGGCCGCTCGGGCGAGGGAAGCCGCTTCCTCGCAGATATTGTTCACCAACCTTTATAAAAAAGGACCCAACGTCCAAAGAGTCCTCAATCGTGCCAGTCGTGGTGGTACTGGAAAGACATGACGTTTGATTTGTGAAAGAGTCGCAGTCAGCCACAGCCTGGGTGACATATTTGTTCCTAATGACTGAGGCGTCAAACATGGAGTCAAGACAGTCCAACCAAGCTTGCCCGCTGCATCCTGGCCTGCTACTATTGAATGCGCATATCGTATTGTCTATCCGGGCGATAATAAAGACCCTTATTGACTCTAGCCGCTCCGCCCTCTCCGCATATTAGCATGACTAGCCGCTTTGACACTTCTCCCGAGTCCCGTTTCCGCAACATGCCCTTTTCTTTACATTTGTCTTGTCTCAGTTCTCAGACCCATGAGGCTCACGTGACAGTGCATACGCACTAGTCCTTTTCGGAGAAAAGTCCTTCGCCAGAAGGGTCTGAGCTCCAGTACGTGTAAAGTGGAGATCTTCTCGCTTGTAATATTACCTAGCTACGTATTTTTCCTAATTTCCTTAATATTTAACCGTTTTCTTTCGTTTAAGCGTATTTATATATATAAACCTAAAAAAGACCTAAATAAAGAAGAAAAAAGTAAATAAATCGAGTTACTATTCGTTAAGATAAATAATACCTAAAGTATTAAGTATTACAATATTCTTCGTACTTTAGCTTCTTAATTTAATAACTTTTTAGTT